TTTAAAATCTCTTTATTCCTATTACTATTAGCCACACAATAAGGAAAATATTGCCTTTTAATTATAGATAGCCATAGTAGCTTATCTTATATTTTAATTTAATCAGATATATATAATAAGAATAATATTATTCTTATCTATATACCCACATATTCTTCTCACAAGCTTTGACCTCTGGATATAGGCTATTTTTCACTTTTAAAAAAGGTATACAGGAGCTTAGTGGAGCAGAAAATATATTTAATAATTAATTATATTAACAAGCTTAATTTTCTAAAGGTCTTTCCACAAATTTATAAAAGCACCTTTTAAGCAGAAATTATTTAAAATAGCTTTGTAGGCATTGGCCTAGTTCTATTTAATCCAAGTAGGGTGCTTAACAAATTGGATATCTAACTAAAGATCCCTATATTATTAGACAGTCAGTTAATTGATTCAGCACTTAAAACACCTTATATTATTAGATAGCTGGAGAAGCAAGCATCTACAATAAAAATCCTATTTAAGAAATATATTTAAAGACCTTTATCTTTACTAAAAATATGATTAGATAAGATTATTAAAGTTCATAAACTGACTCTTAATGAACCTGTTCTTGCATGGGAAGAAATTCACAAATATCACACTAATAATAAATGGTAAAATTAAAGGTATAAGCTCTTTAATAGACAGCTAGCTATTATAAAGGGCTTATCTCTTTAAGAAGGTCTAAAGCTATTTCAACGCAAGAATGAGGTTGATAAAGGTCAAGATACACTTTCTATAGATTCAGCACTTTCTGCAGTTAAACTATATATATGAGTGCCACTGCAGTGTTCTAATTGTCATATTTGGAGACATACTACAGTCAGACGTCCTAAACCACTTAATAATTAATTTTTATATAGAAATGTGATTGTTTTGTTGATTTAGGCCCTTGAATTTAGCCTGTGGGCAGGAATTGGCAAGCGGTGGCCCACTCGTAGGTGAAATAACGTAATTCCCGGGCGATCCGACCGTCCTAGGCGATCCGCTCACCTCATCGATTTCCCACGCGTCAAACTCATGTAACTATTCAAACAACCATCATGCCACGAAAACCGCGTCAATCTTGCCAAAACTTGGTAAAGCAGGAAGGGAGGATTCAACTTGCAATACAAGCCCTTAAAAATAGCAAAATTCCAAGTATTCACTGAGCAGAAGCTGTTTTTAATATACCTTATTCAATACTTTAGGATTAATTAAAAGGATACTTATCCCAATAAGAATGCTGCAACCACATGCATTAACTCTCTATAACTTAGAAAGAAGCTTTAATAAAGTGGATTGAAGTAAGAGATAAGTGTGGAATTACTCTTAGGCCTGCATATATACAGTAAATGGCCAATTTAATCCTCTAACAAGATTCAAAGACCCCCCCTTAACTTATTAGAAAGAACTGGGTCACGCAGTTTATTAAACACTATAATAGTATTAAATGCTGCTTTGCTTGACAATATAACTATAAGAGGGCACTCTGTGAGGATCCTAAGGTTATTAGGGACTGGTTCAAACATTTAAAGGAGGTTCAAGATGAGCATGGTATTCAGGATGAGGATATCTATAATTTTGATGAGATAGGCTTTGCTATAGGTCTTATTGCAACTACTAAGGTAGTTACACAATCAAATATGCCAGGAAAGCCTCATCTTATTCAACTGTCAGGGCCCTTGCCATGTAGACCAGGACGAGCACGTGAGCTTCCTTACTTGGATTAGCGTGGCGCGTGGATAGGAGTACGTCGTCCAGCTTCACGTAGATCTCTTCCTTTTTCCTTCCTCTTCATGCTTGAAGTTCTCGTCGATAGCTGCCTAGATAGTCGAATAGCATCCTATTCATCGTCTAGTTGAGTTCCGTGACATCAACCAGGCTAGTGTGAATGGGTTACCACAATTGAATGCATTGGCTCCACAGGATTCAGTATTCCAACATGCATTATCTTTAAGAGAAAGGTCCATATGGAAGCATGGTTTGAAGAACTCAATTTATCACATGATTGGAGGATTGAAGTAAATGTAAATAGATGGACAATTGACCAAATAGGCCTTCAGTGGCTTGCAAATTGCTTTATTCCTGTAACAACTGCATGGACTAAGGGGGGGTCTTGATTACTAGTTCTTGATGGCCATAGGAGTCATCTTATGCCTAAATTTAATATAATGTGTAAGGACAACAATATTGTATGCATCTACATGCCTCCTTATTCATCTCATCTCTTGCAACTGCTAGATGTTAGTTGTTTTAATCTATTAAAGCGCGTGTATGGGGGCCTTATAGAGGTAAAGATGCACTTAGGATTCAACCATATTGACAAGCTTAACTTCTTATAGGCCTATCCTGCTGCACACAAGCAAGTATTTACAATATAGAATATTCAAAGTGGCTTTAGAGCAGCAGGGATACTTTCTTTTAGTCCTAATAAAGTCCTCAAAGAGTTAAATATTCAAATATTGACTTCAACACCCCCCCCTAACCATGGGACTTCAACAAGCTCCTCCATGATCAATACACCTTATACAGTGCGCCATCTACACAAGAAGGTCTCCTCAGTTAAGAAGATGCTTGATCCAGGTAATTAGGCATCTTTAATTGCCTCAAAACAGGCCCTTGATAAGCTTATAAAGGGCTGTGAATCAGTGATCTACAATACTGCCTTCTCACTGAAGGAACTATGCAATCTCCACGTGGAAGTTGAGGTTCAGCAGCAGAAAAAGAAACAATCTAAGTGACAGATATCTCCTTGTGATGGCCTCCAAGTTCAAGAAGCAAGGGACTTAATTGCATTGAGAAATGAGCAATTGAATATAGATGAAGGGGGTCCTAGTAATTCTACTCCACCCACTTCTGGAGCCCAAAAACATGCACCACCAAAGTGTACTGAATGTGGTATATGGGGCCATACTAGGACTTGATGTCCTAATCGTCATCAAACTTGGTTTAATTAAAAATATTAAGGATTGTGTTGCTGCGAATAGCCTCAAGATCAACTAGTATATATATTTTTGACAGGGTGAGCGGATCGCCTGGGAATTAACGTAGTTCACGGCCGAGCGGCACACACGGCCGAGCGGCACACACGGCCGAACGGCACACCCCACCGGAAATCGCGTCTTCCTACCTACATACCAACTTCAACCATCTACCATCCCACCAATTCGCACTGAATCTTCGCAAAATTTGACCAACCAAGAGGGCAGGATCCTGTTGGCCCTATCTGATATAAAAAATGGCTGCATCAAATCTCTTCGCGCAGCAGCGAAGCTATATGATATACCCTACTGAACTCTTGCTGCTCACGTGGGAGGGAGAGCAGCACGTGTTGATAAGCGCCCAAATGGCCATAAATTGACCCAACTAGAAGAGGATTCACTTGTTCAATGGATCTTCTCTATAGATTCACGTGGAGCAGCGCCTAGGCCCTCTACTATATGAGAGATAGCCAATATCCTTCTTGCAGCACGTGGATCAACCCCCCTATTAACTGTTGGCATTAACTGGGCATCAACCTTTGTCAACTGTCATAATAAGCTTCATACACGCTTCTTAATGCGTTATGACTACCAGTGCGCCCTAAATGAAGACCCTCAATCCTTATATGTGTGGTTTATGATTTTACAGCATGTTATTGAAGAGAATGGTATATAGCCAGAGGATATCTATAACTTTGATGAGACAGAATTTGTAATAGGACTTATATCTACACAGAAGGTAGTCATATAAGTAGACTTCTATAGTCAGAGACATCTACTACAGCCAAAAAATTATGAATAGGTTACTACTATTGAAGCAATCTGCGCAGATAGCTTTTCACTACCACCTTATATTATCTTTAAGGGCAAGGTTGCTATTGCAGGTTGGTTTGATAACCTACTAAAAGACTGGCAGTTTAAAATCTCAAATAATGGCTGGACTACCAATAAGATTAGCTTATGTTGGCTACAAAAGCTATTTATCCTATCAACAAATTCACATGTACACAGCTAGTTTCAGCTACTGATTCTTGATAGCCATAGGAGCCACCTTACACCCTAATTCAACTAAATCTGCACAGAAAATGATATTATTCCTCTTTATATGCCTCTATATTCTTCACATTTACTACAACCACTTGATGTTGGGTGCTTTGCAGTGCTTAAGCACGTGTATAGTTGCTTTATAAGTGATCTCACACATAAAGGATATAACCATATTGATAAGTTTAATTTCTTGGATAACTATCAACATACACAGCTAGAGGTCTTCTAACAACCAGCTATTATTCAGAATAGCTTCACAGCTAGTGGCCTAGTACCAGTTAATGCAGAAAGAGTGCTTTCAAAGCTTAATATCTCTCTATGAACACCTACACCACTAAGCAGCTGGCCAAGCAGCAGATCTAGCCAATTCACACCAAAAACACCCAGAACTGTGGTTCAGCTATAAAAGCAAGCTTCAATACTTAAAGATCTGCTAAAGCAGCAGTCAAATAGCCCTCCAAGCCCATAAAAAACTATACTGGATCAGATTATCAAGGGCCACTGCATAGCACTACACAACACCACACTTCTAATACAAGAAAATGTGGATCTACGCGCAGCAAATGAGAAGGTGGTAAAGAAGCATACTCAGTCAACTAAGCAGATACCCTGTGAAGAGGGTTTAACTGTTGAAGAGGGCCTACAGCTAATTGCATAGCTTGATTTGCCAGCAGAAGCACCTGTGGTAGATTCTCATACACAGGGCAAATTGCCTATTCAGGCAGATCAGCCAGCCACCAGGGCTCCGCCTAGGTGTAGTGGGTGTAGGGAGATTGGCCACAGGATCAATACATGTAAAAATCGCTATATTTAGTTGAATTAATAGGTGTTGGTTGAGATAATCGATATTGAAATCCTCTAATGGGGGTGGGTGTGCCGCTCAGCCGTGAACTACGTTACGTTACGTTATAAATATATTAAGTAATCAAGATCAGAAGATTGCTGTAGAGCTGATTACCATTATAACTATAACTGCTGCACAACAACTGCATGTGGCCCATTCATCATAGATCCATCAATGTTGCCTGGCAAATCATTATCGGCATTCCATACATCAATAACTAAGTTTTCGGCTTGCATGGCCTGCGCAATAGATCTGCACAGTGTGGCCACACGTTCAGCCTGCAAATAATCACCACATTCAAGAACTGTTAACTTTGCACATAGTTTAAGTGCCAATGGGAAAATATAATAATAGAATAAATCTTCCTGTAAGCAGACTTCAGTTGCTGCACTATGTACCAGTGTTGGAGGCACCAGTGCAACTTTTGGCTCGAAGGTCCTGACGCTGCGTGCTGTAGTACCACCTCGAAATGCTGTGGGAGATATGTACGGGGGATTTGAGACGAGAAGGTCGCATTCATATCCTTCAGCAGATGAGAAGTTTTCACGGAGGATTTCCTCCACACTGGTAACACTATTAACTTTTTGCTGATTGAGGACATCACCCTGTCGGAACTGCACATCGGAAATGGATCGGGTTGAAAGTAAGCCACGACGCACGTTATGGCTAATATTTCTCTCCGCCAGTTCTATGGCTTCAATGCTGAGATCAATGCCAAGGATGGATAGTCGTGGGAAATATGGGGAAAGCAGAGCATGAAGAAGGAGTGATATACAGCCTGTGCCTGTACAGAGATCCAGGATGCGTAAAGATTTTGACTGCACATCCAAGCTACGTTGTGCAGCGATTTCGAGTATCAACTTAGCGGTCCGAAATGTGAAGAGTTCTGTCTCTGGCCTAGGAACGAACGGTCAGAGATACTCGCATATTCGGTTAGATTTGACGGAGGGAAGTAGTGACCTTGGAATTAACACACCGGGCCTACACAGTATTTCCAAATCCCCAAATGGCTGATTTCCAAGAATATACTGAAGGGGTATCCCCCTGGCACGCTTTTTGCACATTGTCCTCAATAGGTTTGTCCGTTTTGATGAGACAGAATTTGCGGACGCATTTCGGCCGTTGAGCCTTGACGTGCTGAGAGAGATGGCATGCTCACGTAGCCAGCGGAGCTCATTCCTTGCGGATTCAAGCGTGCGACACTCTTGCAAGAGTAATGGCAAGAGAGGACTTTGCTGATATGCTTGAAGAATAGTGGTGGTGGATATTCGTGGCATCGGGGATACAATGGTTGTTTGAGTGGAAGGGGCGAAGGAACAAACTAGTTGAAGATAACCCCAGCCTGCAATAACCCCAAACCATGAGGTGGAGGGATAGTTTGTTAATGGTGTCCAGAAATCTTAATCTATCCCAGTCTCAAGAACTAAACAACTTGGAAATACGACTAATTGATAATTATACTATTTTTAACAGGTATCAACAGATACTTCCTCCAGTGGCGCCGCCCGTTGTAAGGTATGATCATACCTATATTGTTCCTTTTGTACGGAGTAGGTTTGATAATAAGCCAAGTCCACTCTGTTACAACACTTCAAACCAGGCCAGAATTTTCCTGAGGGTGAACAGACTATCATACCTCTGCAGAACAGGACCTATCACAGGCTGGATAAAGGTGAATACCTTCTGTACTATACTCCGTAGTACATGAGCTCTGAAGGTTAACACTGCTAGTATGAACCCCTAAGAGCAGGACAGCTGGCCACAACAATACCATCTACCTAACAAGCGTCTGTTCTCAAACAACAACAAATATAGCTGCAACCTGTATTGCAGTAACGCTGTCCATTAAAATAATTCTGGTCCTGGATCAAAAGAATATAGTCACAAACCCAAAATGGTAAGTCGCCCACCAAGGCCTATTGCCTAGTGCTAACAGGCAACCAGGTGCAAACGCCACAGCAACGAAAGGCAAATGAGAAATATGCGCGGCGCGAAGTTGCAAAGCGTGGGAAAGGACAGATACCACCAAAGCAGAAACAGAAGCCCAAGGCCCCAGTGTCCATGGGTTGGATTGGTATGTTCTGAACATCATAACCTATTGTCTTTGGGAAACAGCCGGTGTAACTAAGGGATCACAGCTATTCTTGCATTTGTTATTTGTGGAGGACTTATTTTTGAGCTCATGAGGATTATCCCAGAGCTATGGACAGTTATAACTTCAGTATTTGGTCATTGGACAACATGACAACATTTCACTGGAATTGCCACCAGACAGCTGTCCATCCATCAATTGGATAGGTTGGTGCTGAGGGTCAAATTGTTTGTATTTCCTGCCAGAGGTTGTGATGTCCATTCTCAACATATACTTGCCCTTCTCCATTCGTAATACCCTGCTCTCCTCTTGATTATTAAGACATGAATGAATGTGTATAGTTAGAGACTATCAGTGCGTGCCGATTCTGATGTGGGAATCGTGTGGCATTTAGGGTCTTCAATTTCTATTGCAAATCGAATGGGAGGGGAAAAAAAGGAGGGATCTCTTATTAACATCAACAAAAGGCGATTCATTCTCGAGAAATCAATTCCCCCATTTCCTCCCCCTTTTCTTTTGCGTAACGCCGCCCGAGTCCAAAGGCTGTTGGGAGCTGTGAGAATCACCGCCCAAACTCTCAGACCCGGCTGCTGTTATGTGCTTCCTGTTATTCTTCCTAGCCTTCTTCTTTATGAGAGTCCCTTCAGCCGGAATGCCTTGTAAATTTATCCTCTCCGATTCTCTTTGCATTTCCAACCGGGCCTTCTCTACCTCATGCATTGCTTTAGCCATATCCACTTCATCGTTTCTTCTTGTGCGGTTCTGAGATGCAAAAGGACCCGTTTGATTTTCGTCATCCAGTGAGAGTTGCTTCAGGCTACTCGAGTCCACCTGTAGCAAAGAAGATTTGACCTTTCCCGATTCGATAAGATTTCCAAAAGCTGTAGATGCCCCTGCCGAATCATCATATCCGATTGTTTCATCCACAGCAACATCAACCTTGGTAGAACGTGAGTAGAGCTTCCTTCTATTATTAAATATACTCTTCTGTTTCCCTTCATTTATCGTCAGGTCAATGATGGGAATAGAATCCACGTCTAGCTCACCGTTCGAAGCGGTAGATGCAGGATAGAATGGTGTGGACCTGCCAGACGAGTCGTCTATACCTATGTAGAACGGATCATCTCTGTTACGCTCTCTGCGTTCTGTCCTCCGTTTTGCTATGGCAGACTCATCTGCAGGTCCACTTGGGATATTTTGGTATGGCAAATCCACCTGCATGCCTGTTTGAACAGGCTCTGTGAACTGGTTATAGAGGGCCGGTGCATCTCGTGAATAATAGTAGTCATGGAAAATCTTCCTATCCTTTAGCCCGTGAGGGCAGCTATAGTGACCCCCGAACAGCCCAGAAAGATTCCAATTCAAAACCTGCCCTAGAATTAACTTCTCAGGTAACGGAACCTTCCTCTGGGCACTGAAAGCAACCGGATTGAGTTCGAGTCCAGAGAATAAGCTTGGTATAACAGATGATAACAAGAGTGGCATATCTCCTGGCTGGCAGTTTGCTGAACGCAAAGCCTCTGCTGCTAGTCGTAGTATTTCGAGAAATTCGATAGATCTTTCTTGTATGTCTAGGTCAGGGTGGACAGATAGTGCTTCAAGGAACTCTATAATTCGGGTCAAAAAAAGGAGCACTTCAGTGTTCCCCGACGTATTGCCAGAAACAAAGTGAATAAATACTTTGGGGATTGCTTGCAAATAAAGAGAAAGAGTCCCTATCGGCAAAGACACATTTGAAATGTCAATCAATGACCGTAGGGTACGCTCCGGAAACGCAAGGAATTCCGCGTATTCACCGACCACCCAAGCAATAGGACCTAAAAATCTATAATCAGGGTTAAAATCCGAGTCTGGTCCTCTTCGGTTGAGGAGCAGAGATTCTGCTGCCCTGGTTGCTTCCATTCGGACACTTTTCACGCGAACAGCGACATTGCGTATTTCTGATCCCATTCTCGATGAAATGTCTTTGTCTTCATCAAAGTCATCCGCAATATCCCGGAAAGTGCTAGATAGCAAAGAATACCGTTCAAGGTTCGCTTGAGGCAAGAATGAGACTAGTTGTACCAGAATATCGATGTACCATTCGAAATCTGGCAACTCCGAATAGTTATTGCGTGAACATATGTCCAAGATTCGATGGAGGACTTCGATCTTATAGCCGCCTAGCAGTGGAAGGGAAGTGCAAGTCCTTTGACACCGCAGCTTGGTCGATTCTTCCAGGCCATAATCACTAGATAATTGGACGGCGCTTGGATCTTCAGGGCTTGGCTGGCTTTTATACCCAGACGAGGAATTGCGTAGTTGATCAACAAGACGATTGACGACGAACTGAAGTGTTTCACTGGTAACCATGCCCACTGCAAGCTCAAGCGCCTGTAGTCTAATGGAAACGTCTTCATCGTCCAAGCAATCTGTTATCACGTCCTGTTGCATATATACCAACGTAGGATGCGATGTTACAATCCGGTTGAACGCAAGAAGTGCAACGTACTTTACTGCGTCTCAATGTTAATTTCAACAAGAAACTAAATTCGGGCGATATCAACCCACGGTTTGGATCAGCATCCATAACAATCATGCCCCGAAGCTTTCCAACACATAGACTGGCAATCTCATCCTTTTCTCGCAGGTTATCATCACCATCTAGAATTCCACCCTGGATAATGCCGTTTATACACTCGTATAATAAGGACATAGCAGTAGTCGTCTGTATTATATTTGTCAACGGTCGGAGAAGCTTCCGAACTAGGCGTGGTTCCACCGAAGTCAAAGCTGCGAACTAGAGAAGTCAGCGCTATCACCACGATGAAAGGAAAAGACGAACAAGTTTTATTATTTTTATAGCCATCCAATTATTCCCACCTTCTACCAGCAAATCGAAAAATCTCGGTGCAAGGGGAAGAAAGTCGCCTGGTCTTCTCCACCCAAGTTCACATACAACATTGATAACAGCGGTTGTTACACTTCCATCTTCCTGACTATCCATGAGACGATCTTTAATTCTGGGCCATGCTAGCTTAAGCGCATCAGGATAGACCAAAGCAAGTCTATAAAGCGACACAATTGCCTTCTTCCGGGTGGCGGCATGACTGTGTGAAAGCCGAGCCAAGATATCCGGGAGCAATGACATTGCAAGTGAAGGGCTGATAATGTGTGGAAGTGTGACAAGGGGGAGTGACACACTAAGGATATTGGAAGATGTCAAATCCTATCAGGCTGTCAGTTATAATGAAGAAGTAGAAAAGATATTATTCAGTGTAATAAACCTTCTTTAACAAATTTGTAGCCAGCATTAATACCTCTGTATCTGGTCGAAAGCTTTGGGCTGCGCCCACATAACCAACTCTTTTCTGCAAGTACTTTGAAGATGACATGACCTCAAGTACATGGAAAGAAGCCCATGACATGTCATAACCAAACATCTCAAGATATATCAGCTTCAAAACAGCTGTTGCTTTCTTATCTAAAAGTGTAAAATCCCGCAGCTTGTCAGAGAAGTTTGAAGAGAAAACAATGTTCTAGGAATGGATGCATACCCATGTCTTGCGATTTGACCTCGGCCTTGCATTCTCGCAGACAATCCTGAATATATTCATCCTCTGCGCCTCTATGGTTTCGAAGACCTTTGATCAGATCATAAAGAGATTTCTCGAACCTATGTATAATACCTCTCTCCATTTAGCACGGTCTTCTAAGTAGCAGAGAGGAAGGGAAAATGACTGACATGTTGTTGGAGAGTTATTGTATGTTGTGGTAAAACCAATACATATGTGGGAGTATCAGCATGCTCTGGTAATTCTGAATCTGTACTGTAGATGCTATTTGTGTTCGCTGCATGGAACGTATAAGAAATCATTCCTGGGCCTGGGAGAAGGGAGATAAAAAAACAGCTTTTCTTGCATTGACCAGGAATAGGTTGCTATGCTGGTGAATTATTACTTATGTCAGAAAGGACCTTGCATCAGATGGAGACAAGTAAATAAGGTACTAACGTATTTCCCGGTCGAGCGGGCCACCCGGTCGAGCGGGCCACCTCATCAAATTTCTACGCGTTTTACTGCTTCAACTAATTCAACCACCAACCATGCCTCCAAAAGTGCGTCAAAATTCAAGAAATTCAGTAGCAAGAGGGTAGAATTCTATTAGCAATCTCCACTATAGAAAGCAAGCAAATTACCCAAATTGCTAAAGCTGCGTGGGTCTATAATGTATTGTGTTCAACTTTACATGACCAACTTCATGGCAGCAAATATCACAATAAAACACATACTGTGCCGGGGGCACTGCGAAACCCCGGATCTCCCATTGTTGTGGAATATGCATGTAACTCAGGGAAGAAAGGCAGAATGAAGCTGTATCGACTACACGTACGTAGCCTACTAAGGAACGGATGCCATTCAGATCTTGTCTCTCTTGTCTTTCTTGCTCTCTCTACATACAATCAGGGGCTCAGATTCTCAGGGGTTGGAGAGGGAGCCAAGCTGCCATACCATGTGACCTTTTCCATATCACTCCCCTTCATTCAATACCCTGAAAACGAATGGCATGAAGCTATATAAGCTTCCAAAATAGCAAACCAAACAAAACAAGTGGAGGGGTGTTGAATGCCTTTAACATATCAATCTGTGGATCTTGATATTGTATCATAGAACCTTATTGTCATAGTGCTGCCACTGGTAGCAGCCAGAACTGCTATTATAGGACCACATTGCCATATCTTAGTATGGTGGAGTTGTAGCTACTTATTTTGACTCCAGCTGTAGTAATTGGAGTGCTCATTTTAAGCTATCTGGCTTAACTACCTTTGTCAGTCTGTCTATGACTATTTCAGAAGTAGGAATATATTTTGGCTTGATATCTCTATATTCAACAAAGTCCCAGATGACATGATATTATACGCGGATGTCACGGAGCTCAACTAGACGATGAATAGGATGCTATTCAGCTATCTAGGCAGCTATCGACGAGAACTTCAAGCATGAAGAGGAAGGAAAAAGGAAGAGATCTACGTGAAGCTGGACGACGTACTCCTATCCACGCGCCACGCTAATCCAAGTAAGGAAGCTCACGTGCTCATCCTGGTCTACATGGCAAGGGCCCTGACAGCGGATATGCTTGCTGCGTAGGTGGTTGATTAGATTGGATGTTAACACCAATCCCTTTGATTGTCAACTCCTAACTAGGTTAGCCCCTTAAGGTGTTTCCAAATAGCTGCTAGAAAATATTTAATCTAGATAGCTTATTTTACTGCTTTTGAAGCTGCAATATATTTAGCTTCAGTTATTAATATAGCAGTTATAGGTTATTTACTGCTGCACCAACTAACTGGTCTATTAGCTATCTTAAAGACATAAGTACTAGTTGACTAGTGCCTTATAGTATTCCTATATAATAAATCTGAATAGTCTATTAAGATCTTGTCACTCCCTTTTGCACTATAAGTTATTCCATATATGATAGTGCCTTTGATATAGCAAAGAAGATATTTTAAAGCTTTAAGATAGATATCTTAAGGATCTGCAAAATATTGACTTAATTAGTTGATAAAGAATTAAATATTTAGCCTGATCCCACCAGCTAGATAAGTAAGTTATTTAATTATCTTCCTGAATTTGCTGTGTAGATCTTAGGATAGCTTTTTAGATAATTCATTATCTAGACTCATACTTAAGTTAAGTAGGGTATCTTACAGTCTTAATTTAGTCATTCTAAATTCCTCTAAGATTGATTATGCATAGAACTCTTGATCAAGATAAATAGAGTCCTTAGTCTAGGTGATTCAGATCCTTAATATCTTTTAGGCCAGTCTTAGGTCTTTTATTAGGTGAAAGCTCTTCAATTGGCCCTTAGTAGACTTAATATCTTTAATATCTTTTTCAAAAATTAAGATATTATTTATATAAAGAGCTATAATGACTCCTCAATTATTAATAAAGATTCTAAAGTCTACTGTACTTTATTGGAATCCAATTAATATAATAAACTTCTTGATTTTTTGATTTCAAAGATAAGTAGATTGTTGAAGTCCATATAAGGATTGTAGAATCTCACAAACATTATTTGAGTTATGAGATCTAGGGTCAACTCCTTCAAAGATCTCCATATATATCTGCTTGTCAATCTTTGATCCAATATAAGTATTTGTAGCATCCAGTAGATGGGCTTTAAGTCTATAAATTATTGTTAAAGTAAATAGAATTTAAAGACTCTTTAGTCTGATAACTGGGGTAAATATGTCTTCAAAGTCTAATCCTTCACATTAGGAGAAGCCCCTGGCAACTGTCAGGGCCCTTGCCATGTAGACCAGGACGAGCACGTGAGCTTCCTTACTTGGATTAGCGTGGCGCGTGGATAGGAGTACGTCGTCCAGCTTCACGTAGATCTCTTCCTTTTTCCTTCCTCTTCATGCTTGAAGTTCTCGTCGATAGCTGCCTAGATAGCTGAATAGCATCCTATTCATCATCTAGTTGAGTTCTGTGACATAACTTCAAGCATCCACCTTATCCTTTTGTTGCCTGGGCTGGAGTCTGATTCTTGCCAACCACTGACTCACCTAGAGCTGAACTGACAGAGTCAACAAATTCAAACAAAATAAATCCCTAAACCTAAGAATAGAACAACTGATCAAATTGCCAAATGGCAAGACCCTCTGATACAGCTGGCACTGAACCAGCTGAAATAACCCTAAGTCTGAATATGGAAGAACTGAATCAATGTGACTCCATTGTGTTTAATAATTATAGGGAACTTAACTATATCAGCTTAAATAAATTTTGCAGATGAATGATTGCTGATCTAGAAACTTTATTTAAAGATATTTAGTCCAGATATTAAGATTATAAAGAAATAATTAAAGATCAGAAGGTCTAGATTGCAGAAATTATTATAAAAAAATAAAAAATTATTGTTGATCTGATCTTGTCACAGTAAGAAGTTCAGTATCAATAAAAAAAATTAAATCAAGCTATAACAGAATAAGATATTTATATTTAATAAATTGCTAAAACTATTACTGATAGAAATATAAGCTTCTAGATTAGACTAAGTTCTACCACCTATAAGTTAGCTAAGCTCTCTAATCCCTTTATACTTACTGATAGTAAGGAATCTTATTTTGAAGATTAGCTTCTGCTGATGAACTAGAAGCTTTTTGCAAATAATGATCACTATGACACTCTAGAATTTTGAATTATATATGTAGCAGGCTGCTGTGAAGGTAAGATATAAAAATATATTATATTTTAAATAAGAGAAGGAGCTCCTAGCCCTTATATAGATATAAAAGACATTCTTAACTACCTAAAGATAATCTATAAGGACCTTAATTAGATTATAACAGCTAAGAATCAGTTCTGCTAGCTATATATAAAAAATATTAATAAATTTTATAATTTTTTTTCTAAATTTTTTTACCTTACAGCTGAAGCAGAAGTCCCTAAAAATAATTAAAAAGATAAATTATATTATTAGATCATAATAGAGCTATAGAAGTTAATTATAACTAAGAAATTTAAAAGAGGATTATTCTAAGAGTTTTCAAACCTCTGCTCCCAGATTGCAGGTTATTTAGAAACTATTAATTATTAAGTTTAAAGAAGCTGTACTTTTGCCCCTATTAAAGCTAGTTAGGCCATCTAAATTAAGAAAGAAGCTACCCTTGGTACTCCACAATCTAATAATGCCCTCATGACTGAAGACCTGCAAGAACACTTAATAAAGGAAGGATAATACTTTAGGTGCCATAAGTAGGGACACTGATTTTAAGACTGCCCAGAGAAGTAATCTTAATTAAGATTAAAATTTCTTAAAAAGAAGAAGGATGACAGCAACCAGTCAGAAAATATTTAATCTAAAATAAAGTCTTCTCTCTAGGTCATATTAATAGCAGCTTAGAAGAAGTGGATTTAGATAGATTACTTAAGGGGCAAAGTTTTACTGTACCTAGCCAGGTAGCATATAATAAAATTAGTATATCTTTATCTGTTTTAACTAACACAGAAGTAAATAATTATCTATTTCTTAATATATATTATGCTATTAAAATTGTTAAGTTTTTAAGGATCCTTATCCAGTAATTAGATTAATCAAATAGGATAAAAAGTTTTAATAAATAACTAAGCTCTTCTATTACTCATGTGGTTGTGCTATATTTGTGGATTAATAGCTAAAGATTCCTTAATCAGCCCTTTCTCATTCTGGACCTTAGCCAGCATGACATGATTATGGGAAGGAAATAGTTCATAGATTAGGATGTCTGGCTAGATGTGAAGAATCACTATTTGATTTAGCTTAATCAGAGGCCCCTAACTGTAAGGATCCAGGCTAAATAAAATATTATTATCCCTAAATAAATTCTTAAACACCCAATACCAACACCTGAGTATCAGAACCATATAGAATATTGGGATAAACTATAAAGGAGAAGAGACTGTTACTAATAACTAGGAACCACAGAATAGGATCATCATGTAAGTAATGAAAAAAGGATATAGGCACTAGCTCTAGAAAATCTTAATTAAGGCCACCTAACTGAGACTGCAATTCTTTAGACAGATACTTAAGAAGAGGTCTGCTAGCCTATATTATATAATAAGAAGCTAGTTAATATTGCTATCATAAGAGCTGTACCCTTTCATTAGCACCTTAGTAAAAAGGGAACTAAGGCATATATTACTAGCTTACTGGAAATTGATTGAATAATAGAGGAAAAATATGTTATGAAATATAAAGCTGAGGAGATAGCAGATCAGGAACTTGTTAAATAGAAACTGCTAAAATACTATTAGGGATATAAAGATGTCTTCTCAAAGGCCATATCAGATAGGCTATCACTTTATTAGACTAATGACTACAAGATTGTACTGGAGGAAGGAAAAATATTAAAAAAAATAGACTATAGTCCTTTGTATAAGTAATTAGCAGAAGAGCTAAAAGTAGCTTAAAATTATATTATTAATAATTTTTTAAAAAAGTTTATTAGACTTAGCACAGCATCATATACTTTGCTTATTTTAATAGTCTAAAAGTTAAGGGGTAGATTATGATTCTGTGTTAATTATCAGTAGAATTGCGATTTGCTGAGTCCATGGCGCACACTTTGTGAAATACTTTTTCTATGCCGGTAACACGATCAGCCCAGATCGGAAACGCCAATTAGTAGCCCTGGCTTATGCTACTGCGCGGGACCAAAAATTGGCTCCTAAAGCAGTTCTCATTCGGTTAGTATTGGTTTTATCTCTACTGGCCCCTATAAGACGATTTTAGTATTTCTAACTATGGTTTGGATTAGTTCTGACATGCACGACACAACCACCATCGACGGCAAGCATGCCAAAGATCCCAAAGGTTGGCATGGTACCTTCGCCTACAAGGCCGATGACCAGGAGGAGCGAGAGTTCCATGTGGCATCCCATGGATACACCAGTGGAAAGGAGGATTTTACTCTCAAGGAGGCAACCCATACTCCAGAAAAGCAGGACAGAACTCCTCGGGGTGGGCGGAGATCTGGAAAGGTTGTTTGGCCAGCTGAGAACCTCCTCGAAGAATATGTGGATAGCCCTATCGCTTACTCACACCTGCCTCAGCAGAATTAAGGGCTAGGTGACATGAATGCTATGGTGCAAAGAATTTACTTCCTTCTTGGTCTTTTCTTGTTCTATTTCATTTTAAAGAGAAGAGAAGGAAAGAATTGAAACATGGGACTTGTGTTCCACAGTTTTAGCACGAAACCGAATAAATTCGGTGAATGCAAGGATCCACAGACTAGACTATCCAGCCAGTAATAGACATCCTTCGCTTAGTTCATCCGTTGGTAGGTTTTGGAATCCAGGAGGCGAGGTGGGGCACTGCTGAGTGGCAAGGCTAAATATGGGGGTTACACCACTTTCCGGACTAGCTGGTGGGGCACACCCAAATTGAGTTTTGGTCATTCCGCCTTCTTCTGTGCATTCCTGTCTGGACAGACATCAAATAACAACCACTACGACTGCTTATCATGGCATGGTGCTCCAGGATAAGATCCTCAAATGTCTTTCGTTTTCCATTAAGTATAACCAGCAAAATATTATTGCGTGCCCCACCCAGTAATTGCTCTTGGAAGTTCGAGTTTGCGTCGTTCACGCGGCTTTGTTTCGCCTTTTATTCGTCGACAGTAATGCCGCGCGCCAAAGAACATGCAGAGAACCGTGAGATCCAGTACAACTGGATTGATGGTACAGAATCTCTTGAAAAGTACAAGCCTGGAGGCTACCATCCCATCATGATTGGCGATACGCTTCACGGGCGATACCGCGTCGTGGACAAACTAGGTTTCGGGGGCTATTCGACTGTCTGGCTTGCTCGAGACAATTTATTGGAACGCTATGTTGCTGTTAAAGTTGGCATATCAAACGCGGTTCTACAGGAGACTAATATCCTGCGAGCTCTTTCCACGCGATTGCCATCATATATGCCAGCATGTCTAGGCCATAGTGCTATTCCCGTACCTTTGGATGAATTTGAGCTGAATGGTCCCAACGGAAAACATTTATGCTACACAATGGCTCCTGCGCGATGTAATCTCAGAGAAGTGTCATACAGTCGCCTGTTTCCTCTTGAAGTTGCTCGGGCGTTATCAGGTGGCCTCATACTAGCTATTGCGTATATGCATTCACGAGGTTTTGCTCATGGAGGTTTGTGATGTGATGATTTATATTATAAGTCTATATCGCTGATATCTAGGCCATGGCTGTTTAGACATCCACCTCCGGAATGTCCTGGTCAAACTCCCTTCGAGCTTTGATCGTTTCTCGGTTGATCAGCTATATGAACAATACGGAGAGCCTGAGACCATCCCTATTACACGCACTGATGGGAAACCACTTCCACCAAACATCCCGTCAAAGGCGGTGTTACCACTTTACCTTGGCCAAAATGCGGAGGAGTTTTTACTATCGGACGCGCGCGTGCTTCTAGGTGACTTTGGTGAGGCATTTGCCCCAGACTTTGATGCCCGCAAGGGAGAAGACTGCCACACACCACTAGCAATGCGACCCCCAGAAACCCGGTTCGAACCACAGACTACTCTTTCATATTCAGCTGATATCTGGAGCTTGGCCACGGCGATCTGGGAGATCCTTGGCATGAAGGCTATTTTCAGCAGTGAAGTTACCACTGTCGATGAATTGACTTGTCAGCAAATTGATGTACTGGGGTCTATGCCCTTAAAGTGGTGGGAGCTCTGGGAAGAGCGAAGTCAGTTTTTCGATAACAACGGACATCCAAAAGAGAGCCGGTATGTATGGCCGCCTATTAGCAAGGCTTTTGAGGACTATGTACAGGAGTATCGACGGAAGCTTGGAGTAGGAGAGTTTGGAGAGGACGAGAAAGCTGCCATCCTGGATTTGATGTGTCGGATGTTGGCATTCCAACCAAAGGATCGACCGACTGCCAAAGAAGTCCTACAGTCTGAGTGGATGGTCAAATGGGTTTTGCCTGATCTTGAACGGCATTCGCTGGTAGAGGTTGGTAACCTGACCTGAAATTGGCAGAGATCAATATCTATCGGATGTCCTACTAGCATTTCGCCCAAAGAAAACTAATGGAAAGAAACTGGGTTGCCCAAGTTTACTAGGTGCAGCTAGTTCTAAACAATTCGTCTAATGATTGTGATTGTATCTTTCCGCACTGTCCTTAGAAACCAGCGCCTCTGAATCCACCATCTGATTAGCATCCGTAGTAGGTTGCTGGCAATCAGCCAGTGTGAGGACCACCACAGTAGCGCGAGGAAAACGCTCACGTACGAAGCCGGTGGACTTCCTGCGCATGGCTCCGCAAGTGCATCTCATGCTGTAGCGACAGATCACAGAAGTTGCATTTGCGATCCTTCAGATGCAATGTCTTAAAGTGTCTCTTCACTCCGTAAACATCAGAGTATTCTTTCAAGCATTGAAAACACGCAGATGGCTTGTCCGCTGTCACCTTTTCCTTGACGGAACCAAGCTTCTTCTCCCATGCCGACACAGTCGGACGCTCCTGCATCTTCTGCTTTTTAGCTAGTGGGTCTGCGACTTGAGTCGCATCGTCTGATGCAGGATGTTTTGGCCGTCCGCGGAGAGGTCCCCCCTCACGGAAACTGCAGTACTGTGTACCCGCCGCCACTGCTTTATTGCGCCTCAACCACTCGTCTTCCAACGCGTCTGAAGTAGGCCAAGTGAAAAATGTCTCCACAAGGAGGATCTGCTCCGGTGGCATAGCAAACTCCTTCCGTAACACCTCCCGGGCAGGCTCGTCATTCACGGCACCGCCTGTCAATTGCCTCTCAATGTCAATAACCGCTTGTTTCCGACTGAAATCCCGGCGGATCTCTTTACGCCGTTTCTCCCGAAGACGGCGACGCGTGTTCTCAACACCACGCTCCTGTTGTTCCAACAAGGCCCGCAATGTTGGATCGTTGGATCGAGCATAACGGTCCTCCAGCTCAGCGTGCCATTGTATGGCAGATTGCAACTCGGGATCCTTCTCCACTGACGCTTTCTCGGCGTCGCTTAGAATTCGGGGTCGCCTCTTGTCAATCCAACGGCTCATCCGAGTCACAGCTCGCGAAAGTTCCTCATCCGGATCGACTCCGCACATGACCTCCTGCAAACCAGTATGCCGTCGTGGTCGATAGTGCTTGATGAAGGTTCTGCTGCTCGCGTGAGCCATGATCACGTTACGCTGCGCCTCGCTCACAAATCCTGGAGGCGATAGTCAGTAACCCTTAGGTTAAAGAAAAAAAGAAGGAAAGAAAAGAAAAGAAGAGGATGCACAATATGGATCGAAAAGACTAAGGTTCATACCACTCTGGTCAAGCAATTCTCCTCCCCCGTAACGGAACTGGTGGGAGAAAAAGTGATTCAGGAAACCATGTATTTCACTGAATGACCGAAGCTGCCCATCCAGTGTAGAGCCGTTCATGCGTGTCTCCCACAAGATACGGGGCTCGCCCTCGATGACGTCAACCTTCGGAAAGACATAGTAACTGTCCATCTCCTTTTTCAGGGGAAGTGGCATCTCCTGTCGCCCATCCTCAATGAACAGCCTCCGAAGGTCCTCCATCGAAGTCAAGTGGGGCGCCTCAAACGCATTTACGTAGAACAGTATGCTGAAGAGCAATACGTGTGGGCTGAAAACAAGCGATACACCATAGATAATTTCGGGTAAAGTGAAGGTATTGCTGTTTCATTGATCAGTCCAATGAGCCTACCTGGTACCGGGGTTGGGTGAGGTATGACGCTGAGGGCCACGTACACCTTTGACATTCCGAGAACACTTTTCACAAACTGGGGTTCAATCTCTATCATCGGCACCGGCGGTCCTCCATGCGGATCCCGCTGCAGACTTATCTGCAAATGCTTGAACTGGAGGTGTAGCATCGCCTGTTTCCGGTTGACAGTGAAAAGCCTGATGGTGTTGTAGAGACATAGAAGAATTCGCTGAAACCCAAGATGGAATCGCCTTTCCTGGGTTTGGAGAATTGTCTCATTGAACGGCACCATGTCTTCGACATAGACGGGAACATTTGCCCGTGGCTGTTTGTCCAACCCGCGTTTATCGATCAAGTGTCTCATTCCCTGCCCGCACGGTAAATGACATGCTAATGAAGACGGGATCCAGGAAGAATAGGACGTACAGTGCGCACCGCCTCACCCATTTCTTTGCTCATCTCCTGCTTCGTCACTTTGGTGTAATAGACTCGGAAATACTTCCAGTCCGCTTCAAGGGCACTAGCTTTTCTGTAGCCCTTTAGGCGGCGACCGTCCAAGCCGTACTTCAGCTTGAGACACCAATTCAGAAACCGGTGGATGTCGTTTGGGGAGGCTTGACGTAAGGCCTCCTCTGGATCTTCCCACTTCGGATCGGCTGACGGCTCGATTGCTTTAGTCCGACAGTACCTAAAAGCATACAAGTCAGAGATCGGTCCATCAAGGCAACATTTCAGTATAACCTGGTCGGCATGGATACTGACCGAGCCCAGCGCTCCTCTAGTCGAAGGTTCAGTTTCCGGGTATTATTCGATTTGCCATAATCTTCCGGCACCTTAGACAGATCCTCATCTGTATCATCAGCTGGATCTTCGTAACGGCCCTGATGAACCACCTCCACGGCCGACACATCTATGATATTCTCAGTTTCCGAAACTTTGAACTCTGCGAAGTCCGCGCGCTCGCGTCCTAAAGTAGGGCCTCGCCGTGTTTTCTTTTTCTGGACCTTCTGAGAAGGGGGAGGCAGGTATTCCGGTTCCGTCAGGTCCGTCTCCGAGTTAGGTTCGACGGATCTATCGTCATCGGTAATTCCAGGAGACGTGGTGGATGATTCAGTAATGGCAGTGCGGGAGCTGGCACTGGTTTCTCTCCGACGGCGCATGACTAAATTCGTAAGCTGGCCGTAGGGAGAAAAGGGTACAGGAAGAGTCAAGGAAATCCCAGGGCGTGACGGTCGGTATTCGGTTTAGTAGATGGGCAAGGACAAGGTCGATCTTTCGGTGATTCGATGTGAGCACAAGGTGACGAAAAATAAAGGATAGGAAAACTGGAACAGACGGGCGTATTATAGTCATATTGTTGAGGTACTGGCCAGAGACCAGCTGGCATGGCGCTGGGGGCGCCATTGGCGGCGTTGTCAATGAGATTCCAAGAGCTGTGACGGTAAAGCGGAGGATGAGCCTCCCTGGACGAGTCCTGATGGACGCGCCCAGGATGTTGACAGCCTCAGGCATGGTATATTACGCTAGATGGTGCGTCGACAGAAAGTGCGGGAGCGTGGCAGAAGGAAGCTGCTGAAACATGGCCCTTTTCGGCAGTCTCCTGCTGCCGAAAAAGGCAGCCAAATAGCAAATCGCAGTTCTTATATAGAAGTTAAATTTAATCACTAAGAAAGACTAATACCCTATCCCCTTAATAAATAAGTTAATAGAATGACTATCTAGTGCTAAAATATTTATAAAACTTAATATCTGATAAGGATTCTATAGGATTTATATAAGTCCAGAATTAAAAGATCTTACCACCTTCTAAACCCAATATAGAACTTTTAAATATTATATTCTACCTTTTAGACTGACTAATAGTCCTACTGCATTTTAGAGATTTATTAATAAGATTCTTATAAACTACCTAGATTATTTTATTACAGGATATGTGGATAACCTCTTAATCTATAGTCAGAATAAGGAGAAATATATAGAGTATGTAAAGAAGGTCTTAAAATATTTTCACAATGCTAGATTACAGGTAAGCATCAAAAAATATAAATTCTATGTTATACATATAAAGTATCTTAGCTTTATCCTGATTACAGAAGGCATAGAGATTGATTTAGAGAAAATAATAGTAATCTAAGGTTGGAAGACCCTTAATACAATATAGGGGGTCTAGTCATTTCTAAGATTCTGTAATTTCTATAAGAAATTTATAAAAGACTATAGCTAGATATCTATCTAAATCCTTTTATAGGCTTACTAAAAGGAATGTCTTCTTTAATTAGGATAAGAATTGTGAAAATGCCTTTAAGGATCTAAAAGAACAGCTTTCTAACACCCCTATTCTGTGCCACTACTATCCAGACCTTGAAACTAAATTAGAGATAGATACCTTAGATAGTGTAATAACAGGAGTCCTATCATAAAAATATGATAATTAGTGGCACCCAGTGGTATATTACTTTAAGAACATATCAGCTGCTGAAAAGAACTATAAGATCTATAATAAGGAATTATTAGCAATCATATAAACTCTATAAAAATAGTGAGTAGAATTAGAAAGACTCTAGCTATAAAAATAGTTTAGTATCTTTATTAACTATAAGGCTCTTAAATATTTTATATCAACAAAGAAATTGAATATTAGATAAGCCTATTAGGCTAAGTTCCTATCATAATTTTATTTCTTAATTTAATATTATCTTAAGAAACAGAATATATTTGCTAATACTCTTAATTATTTTTAAAAAAGTCTAGATACTCTAGACTGCAATCATCAATTCTAGATCCTCTTAAAGCTAGACTCCCTAGAACCTTAGGTTCATAGAGAAGTCAGCCTATCCCTTATCAATCCTCAGATTCATATTGTCAATCAGATCCTCCAAATAAACTGAGAGTCTCCCAAACTAGAAGAATACTGAATAAAGGCAAAAACTAACCAAGATAGATTATAAGAGTTAAGAGATAGCCTGCTGCTCTAGAATAATTGCCTAATAGTCCTAGGTAATAACCTAATCTTGTGCACACATCTTTTGGATAAGGTTCATGGGCAAATATCCACAGCATATCCTAGATAAATAAAGACTCAGCAGCTAGTATAGGCTCAGTACTACTAGTCTAGCTGGTATTAAGATGTTGAATGATATATATGGAACTGTGTCAAATGCCAGAGAGCTGAGAATCCTTAAGATAGGAAGCCTAGATTACTGCAGCCATTACCAGTGCCTAATCACTTTTAGCAGCATATCTCCATGGACTTCTACTCCTTCCCTAAGGATAAGAATAGATTTGATATGGCTCTAGTGTTTATGGACTAGCTTAGCAAACACCCTATCAATATCTCTTATCATAAAGGAACCATTGCAGAGCAGATGGCATGACTATTTATTAAGCATATATATCATTAATAAGGGCCCTCTGACAGTATTATATCTGATTAGGGCCTTTAATTTATTTCTACCTTCTGGAAGGCATTCTGCTGAATCTTAGGAATCAAACTGAAACTCTCCACCCCTCACTATGCAGAGATGGATAGGCAAACAGAAATAATTAATCAACATATCATAATATACTTACAACTTTTTATCAATCACTATTAGGACAACTAATCTAAATTTCTACCCCTTATTAACTTTGCTACTGCAACCTTTCCCTCTGAAACTACCTTAGCCTCCTTTTTTCTTATTAATTACAGATATGAATCCTAAACCTTATTTAATTAGACTAGCCTCACAACCCCTATCCTGCAGAATGAGAGGGTTAGTAAAAAATAAACTAAGAGGATGGCAGAATAAATGCAGAAAATATGGCTAGCAGCAAAGGAAAATGCTATAACTGCCTAAAAATATCAGAAGATTTAGACAGATTATCACCACTAGGAAATAGACTTTGGAGTTAGAGATTCAGTTTGGCTGTCCTTAAAGGCATATAGAATAAGCTGACCTAGCAAGAAGCTGGATAATCAGATAGCAGGACCCTTCTGAATTTTAGAAAGGGTGGGTCACTCCTACTGATTAAAGCTTCCCAAATCCATAAAGATCCACCTGATATTCTCACCTGATAAGCTGCATCAAGCTGTGGATAATCCTCTCTTAGGACAACAGATTGAGCCCCCAGAGCCTATAATTATCAATGGAGAGTGAGAATAGGAAGTTAAAAAGATACTAGCATCATGGCTCAATAAACAGCAGCTCCAATATCAGGTTAAATAGGTAGGCTATGATGAAGACAACACATGGTATCCTGCCCAAAATTTCAAGGGATCCCTTTATCAATTGTGAGACTATCATACAGCATATCCTTCCCACCCTAGACTACCATAGCATTTGAACAAATGGCTGAAGGCCTGGGAGAATGATAATGACCTACCAGATCACAGAGATGACAACTTACCAGCTTGAGGGCTAAGGACAGCCCTCTTAAAGAGGGGGGTAATGTCAGGGCCCTTGCCATGTAGACCAGGACAAGCACGTGAGCTTCCTTACTTGGATTAGCATGGCGCGTGGATAGGAGTACGTCGTCCAGCTTCACGTAGATCTCTTCCTTTTTCCTTCCTCTTCATGCTTGAAGTTCTCGTCGATAGCTGCCTAGATAGCTGAATAGCATCCTATTCATCGTCTAGTTGAGTTCCGTGACAGCAACTAGCCTTGCCTTAAATCAATCAATTCACCTATTAGCCCCATATTTAATATTAAACATCTATTTAGTTGATACCACAGCTTAGTCTTTAGGTCTTTAAACATATCTCTAGGTCCCAAATTGGATTAGGGTTCCTAGCTTAAGCTTGACTGCTTCCCTCCATTTAGCTTCATACATAGGATTATTAATTGCCTCTTAATAGGTCTTTGAAATAGGGATCTGCCTATTAAATTCCTCATTAGCTTTAGCCTTAAAAATATTATAATTATTTAGATATTGCTCTAGCACTGCAGCTAGATTTATTACTTTATTTATCTGTTATTGTTCAGTAGCTAGGTGCAGAGAAAGATCTCTTGATATATCCCTCTCTTCTCTACATCTTTGGGCTCATGGCTTTTACCTATATATGCCTCTGTCTGTTCTGATTTGACCACTGCTTATGTTAGATTTCAAATTTAGCTTAATTTTTATATTTTAGAGGACTCAATCAAGATAAGGATTAATAATAATAATGGTGATAGCTGTTGTCTGGTTTTTAAAGGACTTATTTAAGTAGGTAAGTTAGATAAAGATTTTAAGATAACCACCTCTATCCTCTGATTAGTTAATTTAGAATTCTGACTGCCTTTCTTCTCTATACTACCACTTCCAGCTTCAGCTTCAGCATCATTCTCACTAATATCACTACCAGCACCTCTAGCACTCTTAGTACCTTTAGTACCTACAGTAATCATATTGCCTCTTTTATTGCTTACATCACTAACTTCTGGAGCTTTAATAATAGTAATGCTTCCTTTAGTTCCTAAGCTTGCTGTAGGAACTCCAAATATCTTTTAAAAGATAGGTTCCTTCCTAAGATCTTAAACTCCTGGTTCCTTGTTAATGAAGCCTTGCTTGTTCTCTAGGAATATTAGGTTCATGACTTAATAGATCTTTTGATCTCACTTAACCATGATCAGGTAGTGGTTCTAGCTTAATTTATATCTAATAAATACTTTTTTAACAGCTTATGGCTCTAGCTTGTTATTTGTCTTCTTGTAGAATCATACTTTTAAAAATAAGATTCAGAATTTTAACATATCTGGGAGATATCTTATCTACATCTTAAAGGGGGTCTTCTTAGTGCCACACACCCTGACTGCTTGATTTCAGAGATAGTTAGCTACCCTAATTGCATATAGCCAGTACTTCTTTAAGATATCTACATTAATAAAGATTGCTTAGATTATCTTTAAAAGATATTAGTTTAGCCTCTCTGCAATACTATTCTGCTGAGGTGTATTAAGTTTAATAAATTTAATTTAAATATCTTCCTTTAAGGCCTATAGCTCTAATATCTTAAATTCTTTTGCATTATCTATTTAAATAATAAGCAGTTTAACACCCTTCTTATATTCTACTAGAGCTAGCTATTATTTTAAGGTAGCTTTTATTGTAGCTATTTTTTAATCTTTTATTAGATATATCTATAATATCCTTATATAGTTATTTATTAAGGAGAGATAATATCTCTTCAGAGTTTTTGCCCTATTATATAGATCTTAAAAGTCTATATAAACTCTTTTTAAAGATCTTAATGTCTTTGGCACTTCTGCATAGCTTTATCTCTTTACACTCTTTGTCTAGATACATATCTCACAGGTCTTCAATTCCTCAATCACTTCTTTTCTAAGTGAGAGTCTTAGTTTCTTTGTCATCTGCTTAAATCTGGCCTTCCTTAGGTGACCTAAATATTAATAAAGTAATTCCCAGTCTATCTGCTTTATAAGCCTCACAGATTCTTTTTTTTAGGGTTTTCAAACCCTTTGGCCAATGCATTCTTACTGCTTACCCATCTAAAGTAGCTTGTCTGACTAATATTATATTTTTTTACTAGGATCTCTCCTCTTCTCTTAAAATCAGTATTTCTTCTTTATATACTTATTCTAGATACCCATATCCTGCAATAATTGGGTTAATAAAAGAGTCTATCTTATCTTAGACATATATAATATATTTTGAATTCTAGCCACTTTCTCATTACTTAATAAGATTCTTATTGTTCCTTTGTCAACAATTTTAATAGATTTTCTAGTTATTTTTAAACTACCTCTATATCTCTAATCTAAATATTTAAATAGATTAATCTTATTACTGTAGGTATTTGTTACTCTATTATCAATAATAGGGTCTTTACTCCCTTTTACCTTATACACTTTTTCATTCTCTTTATCTTTAAGTAAGTATTCAAATTGTTTGCTAATCTATTTTTTTAATTTAATTTGGTAGGTATTCTCTGTTGCTTAGTAGGCCTTTTATTTATATACTTAATATATGCTGTCTCTAGCAGAATCTCTGTTATTAATACTTGAGTTGCTGTCACTGTCTGTCTTTTCCTCTGCTATATAAGCTTTTCCTTTCTGGCAGCTGGTATATCTTTTTTAGCTCTTATCTCTGTTAGTTCCATATGCTCTAGCCTTGCTATGGCCCTTCTAGTGACCCTTTCTCTAAAGATCCTTTTGGGAACTGCTCTGCTTTCAGTCCTTTTTTAGAGCTTTATATTCTCTTATAAAATAGCCTATCTTGCCATAATTAAAATATGATATCTACTTAGCCCTGTTTGCAGATTCTTAGATATTCTCATCCTCTCTAACAGTACTCATCATGCTCTCTTATTATTAAAGTTATGATAAGACTATTCTATAGGTTAGATTCTCTTGTGCTATAAATGAAAACTTTATAAAATTATATCCTGATAGTAATCCATCCAGAAAGAAGATAAGAATAATCATATTATCAAACTTTACCTCTCCTCTACTAATATCCTCCAGCTTAGCATGATATTGGTCTAGTTGTTGCATTACCTTCTCAAAGCTCATATTTAGATCTATCTGCCAGCATGTTACCTTTCAGATTATATTAATAATATCAATCTGGGTCCTTTATTCATATTTCTCTATTAGAAATGCCTATATATCTCTAGATGTCTTCAAGCTCTATATTAAAGCCTTATCTTCCACCTTCAGGTTCTGTAGGATATATAATTTGGCTGTTATATCTGATATTCTTTATTTTAGGTCCTCTAACAGCTTTCTGACTCTTGCTGTATTCCCATACCAGTTATATGTGTGCTCCACCATACTCCACCAACCTTATGTCTCTAGGAAGATCCTATATTGAGCTTTCCAGCTGCTCACATTGTCCAGTCTAACTTCTTAATATTAAATATGGCAATCTTCTGTGGTGTCACTGCCTGGTAGGCAGGAATCTCAGATTCTCCTGACATCCTAGATGTCAGTTCTCTTATTCCTAGTATCCCAGATACTAGCTCTCCCTGCAATTGTTGATCAGGGTCTTCAGTATTCTCCCAGCTCAAAATATATCTCCCAGTCTGTGGGTCTCATTCTCATTGGGCCAGTGGCATCTGTCGTGTTCAGTTCTAGGTTTGTGGTTTGATAGCCTGATCAGGGATAGGTAGGCAGGTTGCACAGGCCCCTTCACAGGATTAAGGATCAACACACCGCGTATAGTATCAATTCTGCTGAATTAGCTGGGATGATTAGTCTCAGGCAATCCCCTGAGGTGCTAGGCCTGTTGGTTTAGGCTAGATGTAGCAGCCTGGGCTCATAACCAATGTTGTGGAATATGCATGTAACTCAGGGAAGAAGGGCAGAATGAAGCTGTATCGACTACACGTACGTAGCCTACTAAGGAACGGATGCCATTCAGATCTTTTTCTATCTCTTGCTCTTCATACAATCAGGGGCTCGGATTCTCAGGGGTTGGAGAGGGAGCCAAGCCGCCATACCACGTGACCTTTTCCATATCAATGTCAATAAGATCCTTTTAATAATTTATCCACTTTATTCAACTCATTTACTGTAGCTACTTGATATTAAGATCTTCAGTCCTCTGTCTGTTGCATACAGTAGTCAGTTAGAGAAAATTTTTACATACTTCTTAAGGCCTTAGCTATATTACAAAATAGGACTTCTTTAGGCTCTTTTGGCTAGCTTAGGGAAAGGTATTATCATCAAGAAATATACTATCTTCATGGAGAGCTGTTGGGATATTACCATTAAATCCTGAAGTTGTATTGGCCCAATTCAGCAAAACACCAGACTTTAGACCTTTATCTAGTGAGTCTTCACGCTCTATCCTACAGGCAGAAGACTGGCAGAAGATTGAAAGACTTCTAAATCAGGTGGTCACCAATGTGTATGAAAAAAACACCAAGTTGAGTTCTACAATACACCACCTCTTTACTGAGAATATACTGCTCAAACTATGTTGTGAAGGCCTTGAATTAGCACTTCAAAATGAGAAGAAGAAGTGTTAACGTGGGAAACCTCTGCAGTTTGAATTACCTCTAGGAAATGGTGGTGCAGTCTTTTATTCCCCCAATAAGGTTCAGCAAGCCCAGGATTGTCAAAAGCAAAAGGATGAAGCTATACAACTTGCTAAGACTTTAAAAGAGGAAGCAAAGGCCCATCAGCAGTAGAGAAGCTAGAGAAGCAATATTTATTAGAGGAGCACAAGCGCATTCAGGCTTCTAATCAGGGATTGCGCCTCTTAGAGGCTGAGAAAAAGAAGCAGCAGAAGGAGGAAGGTCTACAGCTTCAAAAAGATCTCAATCAGGTGAAGAAGATGCCAAAGAAGTCTTCTAGAGCTTCAAATACACAGAGGATCCATCCTACTGAGCCAGTGGCTGCTGAAGTTGTTGAAAAGGTCCCTCTGGTAGTAAATTGTCGAGGCCGGCAAATTTGACTACCACACCGTTTCTGGGTTGAGTAAAGATAGTGAAATTTTCTATATAATGCCTTCTTTAAAGCACCAAGAATTTAGAAGATAGTATCTAATGTATGGGGTTCAATTGCTTCATGTTGGGTCTTGTAGTTGGTGGTGAAATCGGGCGGCAGGCGGGAACGGGCGTCAGGTGATCACCCACAGTAGCTGTAGAATGCTGGGTTGAGAGCAGTTCCATGAAACAATTCCCATGAGACAATCCATCACTTTCTAGGTAGTACCAACATGGGCAACACTCATAAATTGCATGATGCCATCCACAGCTCAGATTTTACATCCACATTACAGTTCTCACAACAGACACCTTCCATTCTTGGTTCACGGTTGACTTCAGAAACAAGTCCCCTTGCTCTCTTAACATCTGCTTCGGACAATCCAGAGCACTATAAAACCATTGAACAACTTTTTCTTACTTGTCTCCAGACTGGTGATGACAAATCAGCACAACTATGTCTCGATCAGTTGACCAAGCGTTTTGGGCCCCGCAATGAAAGGGTTATGGGATTTCGTGGCTTATATGAGGAGGCAACTACAGAGGATACTACTTCTCTAGAGAAGTGTTTACATGAATACGAGAAAATACTCTCAGAGAACCCAGTCAACGTGGTCCGTCTTGCTATTAATGGTTAATGAACTGAGGCTTTGGAATCCGATATAAAAGCTAACGTTGACTTTTGGGTAGCCTATTCTAAAACGCCGTGTTGCTCTTCTGCGCTCAATGTCTAAGCCTATTGATGCTATATCTGCGTTGGTAGAGTTTTTGGAGGCCGTCCCTACCGATGCCGAAGCCTGGTGCGAACTCGCAGACCTTTACCAATCACAAGGGATGAGCTCCCAGGCAATATTCTGTCTTGAGGAGTCGCTCCTGATAACGCCTAATTCCTGGAACGTATGTTTCACTCCCTTTCATTTGGCGAAGTATAGCCTAAGTATTTTGTTTATCTAGATTCATGCTCACCTCGGTGAATTGCTATACGTCTGTGCATCTTCAGCAACTGAAGATACCTCATTTGGTCTTTTGGCGAGGTCGCTGCGTTCCTTTTGTAGAAGCATTGAGCTGTGTGATGACTACTTAAGGGGCTTCTACGGTTTAGTTTTGGTATGTGATCCCAGACTGTCACGGCACCTTGAAGGAGCCATGGAATTGTCCTCTCTAAGAGACTTTTTTTTGACTAAATGAATACCTTTCTAGGTGTCTTCTCTTTTGCTGAAAAACCAGAATTACGCACGAGGGCCTCAAGACTGTAAGGATGGAAAGTGTGATAGTATTCCTTCGAAGGAGTACCTTCAGAAGCTAAATCTGTTTTCTCTGAAGGTGCTTCAGAGTATAGTCAACTCGCGGTCTTCGAGATACCAGGAATGGGAATATGGTCAAATAGAGCTCGCGGCTGCAAAACGGCTTCTGGATCGCTTTCAGACTGGATAAATGGGTAATATAGATTGCAATATCTGCAGTTTGTTTACATATCAGCGCCCTGGCGTGTAAAAAGGGGGCAGTTTCACGCCTAGAAATACTATCTGGTATCTATGACTGCTAGAATAAGTGACCTCATCATAGCAGGCATTTGCTACATACCTCCCTAGTACTTACTACTTAGGTAGGTGTTTACGCTGTAATATGGTGAGCTCCCCAAGTACCTAACATTGGGCTTCATGTGTCTAGCTCATTAGAGAAACTATTAGGAAAGGTTCCCTTCCAGGCCAAATAGTCACTTATAGGTATTATTATGTACTCTGCACTCCGTATTCCCAACCCAATTTCCCCCCCCGGCTTCCAGGTATTGCTAGTAATCTCATCTTCAGGTGTTTGGCAGGGATTATTGAGTTTAGCATTTCAATTGGGCAGTTTGGGCAGCAGATTTGCCATCCTAATGCCTAAAACACAGCTGGGCAATGGGCATTCATTCATGATACCTAACTATTAATATTAATTAATCCCATTAGCAGGTAGCCTGGAACTTTACTCGGTTAACCAATGACATATCACATCAGGCTATTTTGTTTCTTTCTTGAATCTTCCTCCGATTCTTGCTCTCCATGTATTCAGGCTAAAAATCATTTTATTCATTTATATTTCCCACGCTCATCTCGTCTTCCTTTAGGACGTCGCAACACCTCTTTTTGCACCTTTACTGCTCTTTTCAATGCATCGTGCTGTTATTTTTGAACCGCGGCCCCTGTTTGGCCTCACCCAATTCTGAAACTATTCTGCAGCGACTTTCAAGAACGCGAATGCCCGCATTCTCAGGCACTCAAGGAGGTCGAAGGGCTCCAGGAACACTGCGTTTCTCGAATTACCCTTGTGTAGCTGTTATAAAAATCCGCAAGTCGCACTCGCATAATTAGTTCGCTCTTCCTCTCCCACCCTCACTCACACCTTTGCCGCTCCAAAATATCACAATTTCCTCTGGCTGCCTTACCGAATAATCGACAGACCCAGCATCTACTAGCCCTACTTTGGATCGTTGTGCAAGAAGGACTAGTTACTTTGGGGTTTGGATACTTTTAGTCCTACAGCTCCTATGTCGTATGCTTTCCCACTGCACCAATCAAGACAAATCCCTAACTGATTGCTTGCGGTGCTAATAGGTTCAATATCACCTTTCAAGGCCATTCTAATTACCACGGCTCGGACAATTCCTCGTACACCGACGAAGAGGCTTCATCAGAGGCTGAAGTGTCCCACCCCTCTGATCCAGAGGATGCATATGGGGGAGAAGACTGGAATCTGCCGTACCCAGACGAATTGAAGCCCTCGGATTCAGCTTCGCGACCGAGGATATCACATCGGAGCCGCAACCAGATCCATGGATCGCGTTCCGTCTCGGGCCGCCGCCAATCTTCAAGGCGTGGTATAGCACGCGAGCGGAGCACATTTTCTCATCGTTCACGTCATCATTCACCAGAATCCCCCGAAAGCGTGGGTTCTTCAGATGATTATGGTGGACCGTTTGTTCCTGGGGCTCACGAAAGAGGACCGTGGCCACCAGTGGTACCAGGGCCAACCTCGCCGTACAATGTCTACCAGCCTGGTAATGTACCGCCTGCACCCTTTGCGCATCTAAACGGCCCTCTTCCATCTGATCAGCTCGTCAGTTTGGCCCATCCAAACCAGACAGGCCAGGCACCATATGGGCATTTCCCTTACACGTATGGCTCTCAATTTCATCATCCCAATGGCTCTTCAATGCCTCCAGTCTTCGTTCATGACCATAATCCAGGACAGCGAGGAAATCTGGGACGCCATATAAACAGCCAAGCAGCCTCGCTCCACATTCGAAACGAGGGGCATAACCCCCTCCAACAACGCTTACCACATAATGCACCTCCTACTGGATCTCCATACGGTTTACCACCGTTCGGTGCCCGTGAATTGGTACCTTATGGTCCAGGAAATCACTATAACCTCAGAGATCCATATCCAGCGGTTCCGGGTATGGTCCCCACATATTTCGGCAATTACTCTCCACCTTCACCCAAAGCAGAGCACACACCACCACCACAACCTCCTCCTCCACCGGCAGCAGCAGAAACGCCAAAGGATGAAGCAATTGAGAGGCTGGAGAAATTAATCCTAGAGGAGCGGATGGCACGGGAAGCCCGCCAAGCTGCCATCGAAAAGGCAGCTGCTGAGAAGGCTGCCAAGGAAGAACGTGCCGCGCATGAGAAACAGATTGCTGACGTCGCTGCCGCTCTCGCGAGAGCAGATGCAGAAAAGAAGGCCGCGGAAGAGGCTGCCAAGTTAAAAAAGGAAGCAGAAGCAGCTGCAGCTGCGGCTGCAGACAAGGCAAAGAAAGAAGCAGAGGAAGCGGCGTTGGCAGAGGCAGAGAAAAAAGCCGCCGAAGCGGCCGCCCAAACCAAAAAGGAAGTAGAAGAAGCGGCCGCCAAAGCCAAAAAAGAAGCGGAGGAAGCAGCAGCGGCCAAGGCTAGCGCTCCGAAAAAGAAGAAGCCTATCAAATTCAAGGATGCCATTGGAAGGAAATTTAGTTTCCCTTTCGATTTATGCTGTACCTGGAAGGTAAGATAATTAGGTTCCATGGTCCAAGGCGAGTTTTGTACTCATTTCTAACTTCCCGACGTCAAATAAAGGGCATGGAAGAGCTTATACGACAAGCTTTCCTTCATATAGAAGCAATTGGGCCACATGTCGCCGAAGGTCGTTATGATTTGGTGGGCCCTAACGGCGATATCATACTTCCCCAGGTCTGGGAGACCGTCATCGAGCCAGATTGGACCATAACAATGCATATGTGGCCTATACCAGAGAAGCCAAAGCCATCCGAGCCAGATCCTCCCCCTGCCGATGCATCTAAACCACAGTCAGGTGCAGGTTCTGGTGCAGCCGGTGGCGGGGCGAAGAAGAAACCAGAGCAAACAGGTGTGTTCTGACCCTTGAATTTTAAGTGCTATATGCCCTGGGATGGCAGTGACAGGTTTGTCTCCGTCGCAGACCTGTCTAGGACACCCTCTGGAGACAAAAATCATATGGATAGTTGTACTCACTCTTCGTTTCTTCCTTTTCTAGGCATGAAAAAGCAACGTCCAAAGGCCCCAGATCCTGGGGCATTTGCTATGTGGATGGTCGGTAGGGACCGGTTTGGGACAAATAAGTCTTCACAGAAAAAGAAGGCCACCAAATAGATTCCCGGTATGAGCAGCCCCGAGAATTGCATGCTATTATGGCGAAGTGAACCAAGCAATCCATGAAGATTGTCTTATCTCAGTGATTGGACGCCTGGTAAATACTATATTTAATTGGCCAAGGGGTTTACCACCAAACTACCTACCTAGCTAGGTAGTAGGTAGGTTTGTCCTAATTATAAAATGCTCCCAATGGAATTGAATGAACCATGACAGTGAGTCGAAGGCTCTGACTAAGAAACTGCATTCCAAGCTCTTTTCAGTAAAAATAAGTAATCGTAGATATTGTATGTTGCTATGTGGCAAAGCCCAACTTTTGTATATTACCCCACATGAGCTTCGAAAGATATCGGGTGGCTTGTTAGTCACTATTTGGCCAAGGTTCAAACTGGGAGAATACAAGAGAGGCCCAAGGGAGAAAAAAAAAAAACCAACAATGACGACGAAGGATTTGAACTAATCAGTAGTAAGTCTCAACTTTCTAAATAAAGACGTATTAATACCTCCAAGGAACTGGAGAAACTGGTTGTGCAAGAAGAGCGAGCCCTAGGCACATTGCATCAAGGGAGGAGAGATTTCCATTCAATTTTGTCACCTCCGTCACCAAGCAGATCCTCTGAACTATCACGATTTTCCAATGTCGGTTTGGCCGGCAGACCGCCAAGGGGGCGCTTGGTTCTACTTGGCAGTGGTCCTAATATCCCTGGTTCTTTCAGCGAGCCTTGATGATTGCCTTCCACCAGAGGACTAGTGCGTTCCTTGTCACCACGTATGGAGGAATTTGTTGACCGAGACTTCGCAGACTGGGCGTCGAAATTTTGTACTAGACGAGTAGTTACAGGTTTACTCGATTTTGAGACCGACATGGTGTCAATATTTCGCTTGGAATTGAATGAGTCAGGCTTTCGCGGAACTGGTGGTGGTAACTTTCGACCGCTAGATACGCTGACAGGCGAAGTGGTACCAGTTTCTGTTTCGCCGAGTTGTGACTGACCTGCGCTTTCTCTTACCAACCTAGCTTGATGCGCCTGTGACTCTTTCGTTCCACGTCTTGGAGGCAACGGTGGTCTTTGTAGACGATCATTAATATGCATATCTCTAGGATTACCAATTGAGGGAGATTTTGGAATCCAGTCAGCTCCTCCATTCAAGGAGAAAGGATTAGATTTGCGATGGATATTCGGAACCAAACCCGTTGCCGGCGGCGTCATTGCCGACCTCGCCGGTGCACCTTCTACTGTTAACCAAAAAGCATGCCAAATAAGGAGAATTTGTCATAGTACATACCTTCCTTTAACCACCATTTATAATGGTCTGAACTTGCTGGTGCAGATCCAGGAGCAATTGACCTCGGCGACGCTACATCACCGTTCTCTGCATCTGTAGGTTTATTTGCATCTGCAAGAGTACCAGAAAGACGCTGTTGTTCGTCATAAAGATTCCGCCGAAGCTTATCCTTCAGGCTCTCATCAACAACATTGATATTGCAATCAAAAAGAGCGCAAACAGGCCGATGGTCAGAGAACCGTAGATCTGCGGCATTATAATGCGTTTGGCGAAGGTTTGCTCCTCTCCACAATATTCTATCACACCATGCTGGAACACGGCTTTTCTCACTTTAAGCAAGTTAGTATTTACCGTAGGTAGAGCGTAAAAAAACAAGCCGTAGCCACTTACGACGTATCATATTCATTTTTTCCGATGTCATATTTGTATGTTGGAGGGAAGACAATAGGACCTTCGGAATAGAACCGGAAGGCTGCGCCAGCAATCATCTGCAAGTTCAACTATTTTCAACGTCAGCTGATTACAACAATGGCTTATCTAGATAAATCTCCCATTACCTGGTCATTTTCATAAAGTTTCCTGTAGTCCTTTTGCGAAATAAGCTCCCTGACCCTATGATTGCTGAGCCCAATTCTGTAGTTGAAGTCACCGAGCCATACAATAGAATCATGGTCTTCTATTGACCTGTTTTTTTGAAATCTGAGGCCATGCCGTATGGTTTCATAGTCGCTGTTTCTTTCATCATAATTTGCAAATCCAGCTGCAAGATGCGCAGTAATGAAACATATCCTAGTATTTGAAATGTCAAATCGGATAGCACATCCACCTTTATTGCCGGCAATTCCAGACAGGCCCGTCTACGCAAGTTAGTAACCATAACACACAAAGGTAGAGGCAGATAGGAGGTCAATGTCAATGGACTTGCTTTTACAACGCCCCCTTCAACATTCTTGATCTCTGCGAGAGCTTCCTCTTTCACATAGATTAAAAGAGCAGCCCCAACAAGCTGGCCGCTCCGCAAGAGTACATACTTCCCACTCCCTCTTGACCTCGCACGGTTGTTTAAGCAGCTGTTCACAGATTGTTCCCATATTTTGCGTGGACTGGGGTCAGTAGACATTATCTGTTGAGGGCTGAGTTCCACAATTTCCTGGAATCCAACAGCAAAGACAGTTGGATCGTCATAATGTTGGTTTGATTCAGGGAATAACCAAGGTGTAAGGTCACAATCCGGGCCCTCATTGCGCCCATTTACATTGAAAGTGCCGATCCATATCCTTATCGATTTAGTAAAAGAATATTCTGGGGCGCGACGACCCAACTCCTCGGAAACCATGTCATTAATCGGATCGTAGAGAGGCACAGGTACTTGATTGGCCAATCTGCCTAATAGAAGATCGATCGTCTTCTGTCTTGCCTTGTCGGTAAAATTGTTGACGTATAGTCGAGTGGCACTCTTGCGCGCATCCGCAAGTGCTCCTGCTAGCGACATCTTCCCATGCCGTGTAAAAGAGCTCTTGAGAGCACCTGTGCCGGCGTAAATTTTTGATAGGGCATCTCCATTGTCAGCCCAGAGAGTGGAGTGTCTCATTTGAATATCCGAACTCATTCTTCCTCCTTGCTGAGAAATGAATGATTCAAAAGCCATTGAGCTGATAATGGACTGCACAAGGTTGGTCCTGTCAAGACAATCTAGACAGTTTGTCCGAAAGACGCCCTCCTGCTGTAAAACCACAGATGACATTCTGCCCTTCTCCGCATACGTGGAATCTGCTGTACCAGAGTCGTCGGATAAGAAGTACGCAAAACCATTCGAAGAGTTTATGAGCTCATGTCTAATTTTATCAGCAGCACCATACCCCAGCGGACCCTGAGATTGGACGTTGAAATCGAATTCAGTTAGTCGTAGAAGGCTATTCTCGGCCGGTGCGTCCAAGGAATTTCTTTTTTTGAATGTCTCTGCTATGTGCTCACGAAACTTCGCAGAGAGCTCTGCTTCCCCGGATTTGAGCGCACTGAGGAGATTGACGACGTGGACTGCTCCATATTCCAATCGGAGAGTTTCGAAATGTTTCCTGAAGGCATGCCATGTTGCCTCTGTCGAGCGTGTCACTTCAATCTTCTGCTGCCCTGGAAGAAACCCTGCAGTTTGCTCCCAGAAAATAGGAACTGAACCGCGAACTTGAACGTAGGAAAAGGTGATTCCTGGAGGGCTCCAAAAAATAACTTCCGTTTCTACAAAATTGGCGACATTCCCATCATCGTCGATCCCTCTAGAATTGAACCGTGTACCGGCGCGTCGTGATGACTGACGAGAGATTATGGTTAATGCGGAAGGAAGATTGCTGCGGACACGAGGTAGAATGGGAAGAGAAGCAGGTATCGTGAGGGTGTTAGCAAATCCTCGTATGATGCATGTCAAAATTCGAGACGAATCGAGACGCTGCCTTTCAAGAGGGGCTAGGTGGCTTCTTAGAAGAAGAAGAGGATTGATCATGTAGGAATTCCATAGCATATCTTCATCAAGCGTCTCAATATCAAAAGCCGCTGACTTGTCAGAACTAATAGCATGTCAGCCAAACTTCGTAAACGGCCATCCAATTTCGGCTCACCGGTCTTGCAGCCGATCCGTGAGGTTGAAATCCAGGCTGTAATAGAAACTGCCATCACTAAGGAGCTTCTTTAAAGCCAGGAATGGATAGTCAGTGATGACCTCTCTGCCGTCAAGAGCAGAGCCCCAACCCAGGTCCTCAGCGGCAAATTGCGACTCAGACTCGTAAAACAGTGCATTATCTTGGTCCGAACGATTGAGGCAGTCTGTTCCCCTTCTTGGTCAGATTGAATGTAACCGGTGAGGATATAGGACTACACACAAAAGTCCACATTATCTATTCTCGAAATTGTCTCACCAGGCCTTGCTGTTGCAGCCTTAGAAGCACCGGTTATAGCACAGATGAAGATATCTTCATCTAGGGTAATCAGACCGAGAGTGCCGTATCCGCCTCCCAGGGTCCGGTAACCCTTCAAAGTTGCGGGTGAGACGGTCGAGAACTCGACTGAGCAACGATATTTACCATTATTATAGGGCAGATTTCCTTCAACAGAACCGGCTGAGCTGTATTGGAAGATCAACGCATTTTCAGCTGCCACCAAGGCAATGGAACGTTGAGGGTAATCCCGAGCGAGGATTCGCAAGTTGGGCATGGCATCGAGAGGTACGGATTTAATCAAGCTTTTCCCATCAGCCGATGCCCTTCGAAGCTTATACTTTTTGTGTTAGTCATATAGTATACACTTTGGCATGACTTATCTATCCATAGATATGCTATTATAGAACATCAATACGGAGTAGATGCCGATTGTTGGTGAAACAACTGTCAAGCATTCGGCCAGACCAGACTGCGTGTTCTTGGCTTTTGCTCCACTTCGCGCCCCATACATACGACATATTATACATAGCTAATCTATGCAGTAACTCTACATAGCACTTCCCCGAGGTCCGTAGAAACTTTCAGCAGGTTGGTGACGCTACCCATTATGTCAATAATGCAGAATTTGGAACATTTGAGACACCGTGCATTGAATGGCCAACTGTAGTCTGTCCACAATAATAACCAGGAGTTGAGTGTGCCATTCAGTGCTTGTTTTGGAGAATGGAACTAATTCTAGTGACAAATTAACAGATTTTACTCTGCACTGCTGCAAATAATATTGACAATAATAAGGTACCTCATTCTGTAACACAACACTTTGAATGCAACACAAGCCACACAGTTTCGCCATGATATCCCATGTACTGGATGCGACGATTGGGAACCGTTCTCAGTGCCACCATTCGTTCATCGAACCGGGCAGTGAAGAGAGACTTGTGTCCTTTGCTTAGCCATGCTGTAGGCGCTGTTCAAACCCCTCATCGTGGAAATCATGCGAGCTTCAATGTCGGATCGTCTTTGGATGAGTTCGGAGAGTTTGCTGATCCTTCCTAAACGGCGTTTCAAGCTGCCAGGAACATTTAGATGAAATTCCCCACTTCTTCCATAATGAAATAAAGACAGAACAGGCGGGGTGATACGAGTGGTATAAATACCTGGCTTTCCTCCTCATCCGCAAAAGGTCGAGCAAGGCATTTTCTGTCCTCTGGACTTCCGAGAGGTAGTGGGCCTGTGCCTGTTGCCAGTGATGTTCCATGTCAAATTTAATACAGTACAGGTAGTATAAATTTGACCTAAGCACTGAACGTGAAATTGCGAGAAGATATCCAATGTCGATGGGACTTGCGTGTGAGACAAGGTCAGAAAATCAAGATAAAGGAGACCTGCCCATCCAGTGATTTGTCCCTTCTCCAAGCATCGCGACCAATAATAGCAGCCTGAATTTTTAGAGAATATTTCTTGCATCGATGAATGGAATATGTTCTTATCATGCGCTCATTCGGATTACAGAATACTAGGTGTACCCAGGGAGGCATTTCCCTGGGCCTGGATTCTCCCACACTCATCCGTACAACCCTGAACAGGTAACCTCGATGCTAGATCCATTCAAAAATGCTTGGAACCCCTCCTTTTGATCCACCACAGGAGCATACCCATATAAAACACAGTGGAAGTAACACCATTATCACCATGTCATGCAGTGATCTTCAGGTAGGAGTGAGTTCAAGAAGCAGCGGCTGGACTCTGTGCACGCCCGGTTATCTTCTTACTGGTAATTGAGTAACTCACATTGATAATTGTATCTTCCTGGTCAATTCTTGACCTAGCAGCTTGTACCAAAGGGTTCATAACCTGCAAATTTGTAGATCATACTAGTAATTGGTTTCTATGCAGTAACGTAATCGGACACCCAGCTGTTCACTTAAATACACATACAAAATGCGATATTTTACATATTTATATCCCAACAAATTTATATATAATTCCTAGCTTAAAGTTAACGTAATCAACCCCAAACCGCGGATACCACGGAACCGCGGATTTTTCGGCATGGCCACTATTTGAAGTTATTCAGCCACCAACACCATTTAATTAGACTAAATGAATATGAGCCATTAGACTATTAGAAAGCTATTTTTTTTATTAAAGCTGTTCTGCAGACTTTAGACCTTTTGATCTAATTAGTGAGTATTCTGAAGAGTGAAAAGCAGAAGTTGAGCCTTCAACTAGTGATAGTGCAGGTGTAGATGTATATAGTCAGAAAATAAGCTTTGAAAGAACATGCTCTAGATTAAATGGCTTAAGCCCTGCCCCTATAAAACTGCTGCAGATATTGGCTGAAGTAAAGACTTTAGTATATATATCTGGATATAGTGTCAAGGTGCGGGCTCGCAGGTAGTCAAAAACAGATTGATTAAGTAGTCGATACTCGGATTAGCTACGGGATCTCTATCTATCAGGTTCTAACTGCAAGACGGGCTGGTGCAGGCAGGCTCAATAGACAAGACGTAGCTCGAAGAGCTTCAGTCAGGATCTAACTGTGCGGTGAAGATATTTACTAGATCACGTGACTTTTCATGTGACTCCTTACTGGAGTCTCCTGCTTCTGTCCACGGTAGCACCGTGACATATAGTGATAGAAAGTTTTCTTTATCAATAATTATTGTTAATAATTATACACTCTTTAAGAAGCTTTCTATATACTCTTTTAAATAAGCTAAAAACACCCACATCAAGCAGTTAAAGAAGATGTGAAGTATAAGCAGATATGTAAAGATAAATTATTATATTCTGCTTGTAGAAATTATTAAATTTAGCAGTCAAATGGCTGCTATAGCTATCAAGAATAAATAAATATTTAACACCAGTTATATAGCACTTAGAAAAAGGTTTAAAATATTTTTTAGCTAGAGAAGGCCTATTTCATCAATTGTCTACCTATTTTGACTAGTTACAATTTATTAGCCACTAGCAAGCTTAGATTCTTAAAACTAGACAGCTTGTTAATAGCTTACTTTTAATATAATAACTAGTGATAGTTATATACCTTTTAATCTAATTATTTTAATAATTGTGACTTATTCACAATTGCTTTATATAATTTTATATAATTACTCACTTCACTTAACTGCAGTAATCACTTAAGAAGTAGAGCAAAGTCCTATTATAAAGCTAGTCTCATCAAAATTCCAGATATCATCCTTATATATGCTATATTCTTGAATAGCTGCTTGTATAGTCTCTGTTGTGGAATATGCATGTAACTCAGGGAAGAAGGGCAGAATGAAGCTGTATCGACTACACGTACGTAGCCTACTAAGGAACGGATGCCATTCTGTTCTATCTCTGTTGCTTTCTCTACATATAATCAGGGGCTCGGATTCTCAGGGGTTGGAGAGGGAGCCAAGCCGCCATACCACGTGACCTTTTCCATATCAGTCTCAAACTAAGGTATTATAATTTTTGGATCTTCCTGTTTTGCACATTGGTAGGTTATTTATCTTGTATATCACGTACATAGCTTAGGATGGTGCTTAACAAATTTATAAGGCTAGTTGATTCTAAGAGTTGCAGAAGAATCTTGTATATGATTATAAAGTAGAACTTGTGTCAGGGCCCTTGCCATGTAGACCAGGACGAGCACGTGAGCTTCCTTACTTGGATTAGCGTGGCGCGTGGATAGGAGTACGTCGTCCAGCTTCACGTAGATCTCTTCCCTTTTTCCTTCCTCTCCATGCTTGAAGTTCTCGTCGATAGCTGCCTAGATAGCTGAATAGCATCCTATTTATCGTCTAGTTGAGCTCCGTGACAACTTGCACCATTTCATGTAGAAATTCAGGCTGAATTGGAAATCCTTGCTTATCTGCATCCAATAGTTGTTTAAGAAGTAATTTATCTTCAATTTCAGTCAGTTTATGACCATTGGCATGTCTTTCTGACCATGATTTTGAACCATGAAGCTGAACACATAGAGTATTTTCAGGGATTGCAAAAACTTGAGCAGCATGTAATATTTATTTAATTTGGCCTTTCTAATAGGCTGAAATAGCCATCTGAATGTGTGACTTTTTAGAAGGAGGCATATTGCAGTATAGTCATGAAGATTTGACGTGTTAAACAGAGAGAGTAGAAACTGGTTTGAAATCCGTGGTTCAGGGGTTGATTACGTTATACATATCTGTGATACCTTTTAATTTAATATATTCAAAAACAAATAAAAACAAATCAAATTTAGTTAAAATTACCAAAAATACATTATAATTTTAAATTTTATATAATTCATCGTAATTTTGATGAATATTTGGCTATTTTTAAAGGTGTTTTAGATATATATTATATATATATTTAAATTACGGAGTAGAATAGTTATTTATATATAAATTTGTTGAAATATAAAGATGTAAAATATCGCATTTTGTATATGTATTTAAGTGATCAGTTGGATGTCTGATTAACGTATTTCACTAGCGAGCCGCCACCACAAACGAGCCGCCACTTCCGCTCCAACTCTTGCCCATGGGCTAAATACTAAAGGCTTTATCAACCAAACAATTGTGTTTCTATATAAAAACCAATTATTAAGTGGTTTAGGATATCTAACTCTAGTATGTCCCCAAACATGATAATTAGAACACTGCAGTGGTGCTTGTACATATGGCCTAACTAAAGAAAGTATTAGAACTATAGGGATAGTATCCTAAGCTTTCTAAACCTTATTCTCATGCTAAAATTGCTCTAGGCCTTTCTAAAGAGATGAGCTCTCTGCAATAGCTAGCTGTCTATTAGATTTTTTCTGTTTTTGGCCTTCCTATTTATTATTAGCATAATGTTTGCATATTTCTTCCCTTGTGTCACGGAACTCAACTAGACGATGAATAGGATACTATTCAGCTATCTAGGCAGCTATCGACGAGAACTTCAAGCATGGAGAGGAAGGAAAAAGGGAAGAGATCTACGTGAAGCTGGACGACGTACTCCTATCCACGCGCCACGCTAATCCAAGTAAGGAAGCTCACGTGCTCGTCCTGGTCTACATGGCAAGGGCCCTGACACCTTGTAAGAATAAGCTTATTAAGAGTCAATTTATGACCTTTAATAATCTTGTCTAATTGCGCTTCTAGCAAAGGTAAAGGACTTTGAATGTATTTCTTAAGTAGTTTCCTTATTACAGATACTTGCTTCTCCAGCTGTCTAATAATATAAGGTGTTTAGGTGCTGAATTAGTTGACTGACTGCCTGGTGGTGTAAGAATCGTTAGTCAGATATCCAACTTGCTAAGCATCCTATCTGGATTAAATGGGACCAGACCAGTAGCTGTAAAGCTACTCTGAATATTCTCTGCTGCAAAAGCACTTTTGTGAGCCTTTGGAAAGATATCTAGGAAATTAAGCTTGTCAATATGGCTGATACCCAAGCACATTTTCTGCTGCACTAACTCACTATATACACTTTTTAAAGACTGGAAACAGCCTACATCTAAAGGCTGGAGGTTGTTGGAAGAATGTGCAGGCATGCAGATAGGAATAATATTATTCTCATTGCATATCTGATCAAATTGAGGCATGAGATGGCTGCCATCCATAATTAGGAAGTAGTATTTCCCAATTGTATGACTAATAGTAGCAGGAATAAAGAGATTTTTAAGCTAGCAAAGGCCTATCTCATTAGTAGTCTATCTATTAAGACTAACTTCAATCCTGCTATCCAATGGAAGAGTTAGATCTTAATACTAACCCTTTATATGGACCTTCCCTTTAAAGATAATGTATGGAGGAAGTGCCTAACCAGTAGAGTTGATACACTCAATTGAAGTAACCCATTCCCAATTGCCTAGCTGTATAAGACATACTTTTCCATAATAATTAGCTCTAGTAATAACTTGAGCAGTAGCTACTAGGCCTATAGCAAAGCTAGTCTCATCAAAATTTAGATATCCTTTAATATAATCTCATGCTGTATTATAGTGATTTGTATACAGTTAAACCACTCTTTAATAACTTTAGGGTCTTCATATTTAGTATGTCAATAATCATATTGTCAAAAAAAGCAGAATTTCACTTTAAGATAGTATTTAACAAAGTTTATAACCCAGTTTACTCTAATTAATTGAATAGGTGTAGTACTGTGGCCAGCAAGAAGAATATTAGCCATTTCTTATATGTTTGATAGCTTGGGAGGTGCTCCACATTAATCTAGTGATAGAATCCATTGTACAAGTGATTCCTCTTTATTTTAGGATAATTTACGGTTGTTAGTGCATGTTTCATTGCAATATTTGCTGCCATGAAGTTGGTTATGTAAAGTTAAATATAATATATTATAGACCTGCGCAGCTTTAGCAATTTGGGTAATTTACTTACTTTCTATAGTGGAGATTGCTAATAGAATTCTACCCTCTTGCTACTGAATTTTTTGAATTTTGACGTGATTTTGGAGGCATGGTGGATGGTTGAATTGAGTGAGGTTTTTAATCGCGGTCAAAACGCGTTGAGGTGGCAGCTCGTTTGTGGTGGCGGCTCGCTAGTGAAATACGTTACGTTAGACTGTAAAGCGCTTACTCATCAACTTTTTTTTTTCCCTGATAGAACTGCTCTGCACAGCATCTTCACATCTACTATTAATATTACTACTGAGTACCATTATCTAATTGAATAATTCAGTGGAGTGCATTATTAGGCCTTACCTGTGGTAGCCTTTTAGAAAACCTCCTTTCCTCCCCCCAGATGCCGTTAGGTTGATAGTTCCTTAATTTTCTTGAAAAATAACCTATCCCTTGCCCCTGTGAATTTTAAGGTGGAATTGTTGCAATAAGAGATGGGCCTGGCAGCACCTCAAAAGTATGTAATCCTCCCTCCTCCCTTTTTGAATCCACACCTTTGTTAGAAGTCTCTTTACTGCGGTTATGCAGAAATTGTTAGCCTAGTTGTAACCCATGTCTAGGAAAACCAAAATATCCCACGATCCGAACAATACAAGTTGGTCTCGCTCAACAGACAGCTTTGGACATAGGATTTTGAGCTCCCAAGGATGGAAACCTGGAAGTTGCCTAGGCGCACGGAATGCCGCTCATGCTGATATGTTTACTGCAGCGAGCGTGTCCCATATAAAGGTAGTTGTTAAGGATGACACACTTGGGTTAGGGGCCAGATCCAAAAGGAACCCACTAGAGGAACCGACTGGCCTTGATGCATTCAAGGGACTTCTTGGCCGGTTGAACGGCAAAACGGATGTTGAGCTAGAGACGGAACGGCGAAAACGAGAAGATGTCAAGCTGGCGCGGTATGCTGCCACAAAATGGCAAGCTGTCAGATTCATTAGTGGGGGTTTGCTGGCACAGGAAAATACGGACACCCTCAATTCCGAGCCAACTAGAGATTCTCGATCAAATAATGTCACTAGTGAGACCCATCGTGGAGAGGTGCAAGATGAAAATAATAGTGACCCGGATCCTCATGGCTCCCAGCCTGCTAAGTTGTCCATTAGCAAGGTGCCTGAAACAAGAGACCTACGTACTGAGCGAGCTGCTGAGGGTGTTCCTGATGCAGAAAGAAAGCGGAAAAAGACATCGAAGAAACGAAAACGCGAGTCTAGACGCAGGGATACTGATGGGGAATTGGAAGACGAGAAATTACAACATCCGGCCAAGGAAAGCAAATCGACATTGCCCAAAACGACAGTGCTACCAAAAGAGCGCAGACCACTAGGTAGACACGTATTCAGAGGGCGACACATTGAACAAAAGAAAAGGTCCCTTTTGGATGAGAAGTCTCTCAATGAGGTATCTTATGTACCTGTTCCCTCCATAGTCATGTTGGCTCACTAACAGGAGTAGATATTCATGGTCAAATCATAGATCTTCCTATGGGTGTCTTGTGCGTCAAAAATTCTCAATATTGGAAGAGATCCGGTACTCCCAAGCCACAATTGGCGTTACTAGAGGTTTTCTATAGATTGGCAAAGGCATTTGAATCTACCTAGGTATCATGCTGATACCTAATGCTACACCACTCTGCCCTTGCTATCACGGCGTATGTCTCCAATTGCACATTGCCTTCCACCAAGTACTGTTTCTCCCACGCCTGGATTAACCGAGGTTTCTAGCTGATGTGAAGTAGCTGCATCTCGAAGATATGTTGTGTCGCTGCAAATCCACGCGGGCTCCGGCCCATGCTTGAGGTTGCAATTGTCCAGTCCCAGGTGTCGGGTTCTTTGAATTCTATATTTAGAAGGGCATGCATGAGAAGATGAAGAGTCATACGTTAATTGAATGTCTGTAACTAAGTGTTTTAACAGCATCTAAGCCTGGCCCATAGATCAAAGTGTACTTTTCATCTGAAGCGGAAGTTTAAAAAAAGTAAACTCTTCCTGACTCAGCACGGAGACTAAGAATTTGCTGCATTCCTATCTACGCCGTACCTACTTCGTTTTGCCCTCTTACAGAATCCTGATGCTGTATAATCGTTTATTACGCAATTGTTCTGGTTCTTAATGTGTGCAGCCGGGCAGTTTCGGGCTGTTCGATGCCACGAGCCCGCGGAAGGAAGAATTACTAGTCATATATGCCCGTCAAACTGACAATATCGGTTTCTGAGGCAGTTGAAGCTGAGCATCAAATAATGCATCGTTCAGAGCCGCTACATAACTATGATAATGTTGATGACTACGAGGCTTTCCCCAAAGAGCATGCCACATTCAAGGGTAGTGATAATGCAGTGGATAATGTGGGGGATGGCAGTCCAATGGGTTCTTCACAGGGGGATTACAACCATGCTCAAGTTGGGACACCAAATTTCATACACCCGAAACAAGTCAGGAATGGCAGAAAGATGAGTAGGTAAGAGGGCAAACTTGTCAATGAAGATGCAATGTGTTTGGTTGCTCAGGCAGGCTGATACGTAATGACCTTTCTCAGCGTTCACTGGGCACCGCTGAATATTGGCATTGAGCGGCGTCTTCAAACCTTCGTTGTCTTATGCCATACTCTCAGCATAGCCATTTTTATGACCGGGTTTTTCTTCGCCTGCGCGGTACCTTTATTTTGGCCGCTTTTATTGCCATACCTCGTCTACATTTTCTTTTTCTCCAGAGCTTCTACATCAGGGACATTAAGTGGCCGCAGTGATTTCCTGCGCTCTCATCGTGTATGGTCACTCTACGCGTCATATTTCCCTGCCCATTTGCACCGGTCGGTGCCTCTTTCTCCAACACGGAAGTATATCTTCGGTTACCATCCACATGGGATCATTGCCCACGGCGCATTTGCAGGATTCGCAACCGAAGCTCTCGGCTTCTCAAGACTCTTCCCAAAAATCACGAACACCTTGCTTACCCTTGACTCAAATTTCTTGATTCCGTTTTACAGAGAGTATATCCTTGCTATGGGTCTTGCGAGTGTTTCCCGTGAATCCTGTCAAAATTTGCTTACCAAAGGGGGTTCTGATGGCAAGGGGATGGGACGTGCAATTACAATTGTCATTGGGGGAGCTCGGGAGTCTCTTGAAGCTCAACCACATTCAATGCGCCTGATCCTAAAGCAGCGCAAGGGTTTCATAAAGCTGGCGATTAATACAGGGGCTGACCTTGTACCAGTCCTTGCATTTGGCGAAAATGATCTCTATGACCAGGTGAGGTCAGATCAACATCCTCTAATCCATAGATTCCAAATGCTGGTCAAACGGACTTTGGGGTTTACCTTGCCACTTTTCCATGCTCGGGGTGTTTTCAATTATGATGTAGGGTTGATGCCCTATCGACGCTCCTTAAACGTTGTTGTTGGACGGCCAATCCAAGTGGATGAACGGGCAAGGCAGAAGATCAATGATGGTTATGTCAATGAGCTTCACGCCAGGTATGTGGATGAGTTGGTGCGATTATGGGAGCAATGGAAAGATGTCTTTGCAAAGGACAGAGCCTCTGAAATCCAGATCATTGCTTGACGGGTCGGGCCCTATCGTACAGGCATTGTTCAAGGTTGGCCGGGTCAAATGGTTTTTTTTACGGCAATGATCCCTTGATTTCTAGCACCTAGGTATCGATACGCCAATGTTATGAATGCTGCCATCCAAGTGCTTCTCTATGTAGACGACATATGTGTGGTAGTGAGGGCAATACTATCCTTCGTGTTCGCCTACGGCCATATTGCTATTTTAGGAGCTGCCAGAGGGGTGAGCAATGCGTCCACTTGCGATAACTCGTATTATTAGCTTGACGATGCTCTTTAAACAGCTGGACTTGTGTAGAGAGTCGAGACAGACATTATTTTTGCTCTTGCAGCAGTCGTGATGATAATAGACACATTGCAAAAGACGTAGAAGAAATCTGCAGCTGCTTTGGCCGCCTAATTGAAACCGAAGACACTATTATTTACACTGATGATTTCTTTCGGCATAATAAAATGAGAGCCTCTATTCACAGGCTACTTCAAGCAGGAAAGGCATGTCTGGGTATCAAAAAATCAAAACACCATATAAAACGATCCGCAATAAAACTCAGTAGTCTCGTTACTAAAACCCGTAACGGAGAACTTGAAACAAGACAATGCATCATAAATCTGTGGGCGACCCGCTTAATTTGAGTGGGTATCATTGTCATTATTTTCCACAATTGTAACAGTCGTGGCCAGACCCGTATTTAGGTCCGCGACATTGGCTTCTGCTGGTGATTCTCGTGAGCTATCGGTAGGAAGATTGATTTTCTCCCGAGAGCCTTTGCCTGAATGGTCATTTTTAGCACGATCTTGAATCATTTCATCAAGCATCCGAGACACTTCGTCTATACCATGATTCTTCACCTTTTCTTTCTCGACATCCTTGAAAGATGGAAATAGCCCGGGAGAATCGACGAGGTCGAGCGGGATACTGTTGCTAGTTGTCGAATTCATATCCGTCCCACTGCTCTGGTGCTTAATCTTGCTTTGGAGATCTGGGGTGTGTGGATCTGATGTCGCACGGGCCAAATCTCGATGCCTAGAAGCAGAGCGTAGAGCAGCAAGCATCCGGTCCTTATCGTCAAGCTGTAGGCGAAGTTCGTTGATCTCCATGTCTTTCTCACGAAGCAATGCCGCCATGTCTGAACTGTCGAGTGCAGCATTTCCAGTCTTGATTCCAATTGACATGCGTGAATGACTTGAACGCCTAGCCTGTAGAAGTCGCCTTTCCAAAGTAGAGATGTAGCGGTTCTTATCACTGAGGTCAGCCTGCAGGGCTGCAACTTGCCTTTGAAGGCTAGCTTTGCCATCCGCAAATTCACCTATCGCATCCTCTTCTTCATCATTCGCAAGCGACCCACCTGCATAAGGCACTGCTGTTGAAAGATCGCTGCTGTTGGTCGAGATGAAGGAAATTGGTCGAATGGACGAATGACCACCCGCACCCAAGGTCGAATGGCTAGCTGACGAACGCAGGGATCTAGACCCCGATTCGATGGCGCCCCCAGACAATCTGGAGAACCGGTCAAGCGCAGAAAGACTGCCATGGCTGTTTACACCGGTAGACTTCGAACAAAGAATAAGACGATTTAGATGCTCAATTCGTTCCTTTAGAGCTGTCCTAGCTAGTTGCATCTCCAGCATTTGTTCCTCGTGACGGATTTGCGACTCTCTTTCAAATTGTTGGTCCTCCAACTTCAATTCCTTCTCAGCCTGGGCCTTAGCGTGGCTCTCAAGTTGGCTGCGAAGAGATTGAATCTCCATCCGATAGCGTTCCAAGAGGACCCGACTGCCTGCATCACCAGCCCCGCTACCATGCGCTTCTTCTGCCCTTTTGGCATGGCTAACAATGTTGTTTTTAGCTCGAGCAGCGAATTTCAATGTATTAAGGGTTTCTCCCGGTTGAGAGCTTGCTGTGGGTGGGGTGCTGGCAGCACCGAGTTGGATGGTGCAAAGAATGCTGACGAGTGAATTACCTGACAAGGCCGGCTGTAACAACCTTGTCAGTTTACTATCCCGATAAGGGAGATGCTTCCCCTCCCTATCAGTCGGATTGCCGTTCTTGTCCTTATTTTCCGAGAGTCTGGATATGATGGTACCGAGCGTGAGGAGGCTCTTATTAATATGGGCGCCTTCTGCGCGTCTTTCCTTGTCATCAGCGGCCCGCTCAGACCCAGCGAGATCGATTAAGCTAAGAGTCGAGACCCTTACTCCACCTGGGACTATGGCTGATCGCTTTTCCTGAGAATGGTTAGAAGCGGGTACCCGCTCTCTGCTTTCAACAACAATTTGAACAACCGCATGGCTCCGGGAACTGCGGGAATTGAACTGAGTAGTGGCAGTTCTCCTGGCATGGTCACCCCTTGCTATTACCCGAAGGAGTTGGGTTGGGCTTTGCACAATCTCTTCCTTTAAGGGCGTAGCATACACCCCTCGCTTAGCATCTTCTCGTAACTTGATCTCCTCTTGTTGAGGGGGGACAACTCCGTTTGCCACCGGTGTTGAAAGCAGATCATGGATTTTCTCGTTGTAGATTTCCAGATAACTGACACGCAGTAGGAATTCTCTTTGAGGTGTTTCCCTGATGAAGGAGAAAATATCTGTTATTGCGAGCGGTATCACTCCTGGAGAGGTAGCTGTTCCCTGCATAGAGAAGGTTTTACCAGTCCCAGTCATGCCATAAGCAAAGACCGTACCGTGGTACCCTTCCATGACCCTCCGAACAAGGCGCTTCGCTGCAGCGTCGTACACTTTAGCATTATGGTCATGGGCCGCAAACACATTATCTGTTGCAGAGTACGTCAGCCAAGACTCCCAGTAAAATGTTGGTGCTTTGTCTACCATAGTAGTAATCGCCACCACCTTCCTTCCCTCTGAAGGAAATTAGACTTCTTCTTGCATCCACTGTCCATTCGTTGTCGGTTCTTGGAGTCTCACCCCCATTGAAATCTGGTCGGACACGGACACTGACAATCACATTTCCCTTAGCTTCCTTGGCCTTAGAGCCCGTCCTGGAAACAACAGTGGTATCTTCTGCATCTTCAAACGTTGTTGCACTGGTTGAATAAGATCCCTGGGCAGAGGAGCTTCTGCTCTGAGGAGGAGACGGAATGCTAAATTGACCTTCCGAGTTTCGGGTGCTGACAGGAGGGATTGACTTCCCATCTCCGCTACCATTAAGTAAAGAAGAAGTTTTTTGACTGCGAAGGCTGCTAGTTCCGGCGCTCCGTCTGGAACCCATCTTTATTCTCGCACTGGTTGACGAACCGGCGCTCTTTGCAGGATCAGGCGAAGCATGCCTGGAAAATGGGATTCCTGAGACGGAAGGTGCAGGAGACAGCCCGCTTCCTGCTTTTGGTGGTTGAGGAAAGGCTGAGATGCTGATGGTTCTACGCACGGATTTGTCCGAGATGTTCGGAGCTTGTCCACTTGATACTGACCTTAGTGTCGAGATCTTGGAAGCAGAGTTGGTCAGAGAAGATTTGATGAGCGACGGTCTTGGAGTGGAAGGTACAGGCCGCTTTGGGGACGGAGATGGGGCCCTGGTTACATCTGGCGGGATCGGTAGGCTTGTTCTCGGCCTCTGAGCCGGCAGAGGCGGTAACGCTCCTGTTGGGGGGCTGGATGCTTGTGATGAGGCAGTTATGGAGGCCATGACTAATAACAGAGGCCCCCAGCCACTGGATATTATTCAGTCACAAATAACGTGAATAAGAGAACAATTCAACAATGGCAACCAATATGTAACGCAACAGCCATACGCGCAGACCTGTAAGAGAAGCGATGTTGACAAAGCCAGGAGATTGACCTGTAGTTTAAGAGCGATTAATTAAGGGCCAACTGGCTCAGAAGAGTCATAGATGCATAGGCAGCATCGGAAGTGTTTGGTACAAAAAAAAAAAGATCATTGATGAAGAGAGAATATCAGACAGAGGGAAACGCAGAGAGGTGTAGGGGATAAACCCACCTGCTAGAGAATGGCCTCAAGAGATAATGGTGTCCGTGATACAGTTAATTCAAACACTGCTGGGTTGCAGGTAAAGTAAAAGGGGCAGGGTTTTCGCAGGGGATGCCTGGACAAGAGTAGTTTCGTTCGAGTGTTCAGAATCGAATAGTCATTTGAAGTGACAGACTGGGCCACTGTGACAGCCTGGAAAGGTGGAGGAGGGAAAGAGCCCTTAGAATGGAGAATGAAAAGGAACCAGCTACTTGCAATGGTCCAAGGAGATCTGTGCCCATGGAGCCATGGGGAAGAGTGATGAGCTGAGGGTCTTTGGCAAATAAACAGTGGTTGACAGCACTAGTAATAATAATAATAATAATAATAACACTAATGACAGAAGAGTATGTATCATATCGGATGTGCAATATAACATACCGGAAGGAGATGAAATGCCCCCTTAAACTTCCTAATCTGAGAAAGCCTGCCGGCACAGCATGACATATGATACAGGGATACAACAGAAAGAAAGAAAGAAAGAAAAAAAACTTTTTTATTTGCTGAAAAGTCTATGTAGCCTGCTGTATTAGCTCCATGGAAGACTCCCACGAACTGGCTCATATGCACACTGTACAGTGTAAGTACTAAGCAGGACCCAAAAGTGTCAGTCAGTTTAGCTAGCTATCTATCACCATAGTTTCTAGCAGTGCCGTGGGTAGTAGTAGTATCATACCGTGACAGCATGCATCATCTCTACAGAGAAGAGTTGGTCTATACTTCATGAAGTGGATGAGATGCACTGGATGGTGTCTCTGCAACAACACATATTAATAAAGATAATAGAAACGCCAGGAATCATGCTAAGCGATAATAATTAATATGCTTCTACTGGGCTCATTTGTCTTCTTGAGTTTTCACTTGTATTCCATCCTGTATTTTAGCTTTTGGTATCTAAATATCCCTTACTGTGAACATCCAACTCCAGTCAGAGACAGACACACTAGCCTTATACATGAAATAATGGCGAAAGAATACTTCAATAACAAGGGGAATAGTTCCCCTTCCAACCAGGACTGTATAGAGTTTCCGTAAACGCAGGCCTGAATGCACTGTAAGGGTATATAAAACAGTTGCTGGAGGACAGACACCGCAGTATGTGATTGCTACTATCTGCTACGCCCATTACACAGGAAGATGCATCTTGCCACAAGCCAAACCATGAGTGCACCTTCATTTTTAAAAATTCAGCTGTCGAGCAGTATTTTTAAACGGACCATCATTGCCGACTAACTCCCCACCTCTTCTAGTCAGATCATCACCCATCTTCTTGGGGCCTCCGGATTTCCTCGGGAGATCTTCTTTTCGCGTCGGCTTGGGTTCAGCAGTCCACCAGTGGTGTTCAAGAATCTTGCATGCGGTGCTTCGTTTTCTTGGATCCAATGCGCACATCGACATTAGTAGATCTGCACCGGCAGGTCCTGCAGTGGGAAACTGTCGTAAGAAGAAATCCCGACCCTGGAATGGTACAACTTGATTCTTATCAGGTGGCAGATAATTAGGTAACTTTGTGACCCCTGGCCAGTTTTCCTCCGTTGGCGTGCCAAACGCCTCGCATATTTTGGATATCTGATCGAGATCGCTGTTCCCTGCAACAAATGGGACTCGGAGAAGAAGTTCGGCGAACACCATTCCCACCGACCAGATGTCAACAGCACCGGAGTACTGTCGTGCGCCATAGAGTAGCTCAGGCGGTCGGTACCAGCGTGTGATAACCTGATGAGTCATGTTCAGATAGGGATCGGCAAATGACCTAGCAAGACCGAAATCTGCCAGCTTAACTTCCCCATCGGAAGCGATCAGAAGGTTATTCGGTTTGATATCCCGGTGTAGCACAAAATTCTCATGGCAAAACCAGACACCCCTTGTAAGCATTCCCATCCATGCCTTGACATCTGCAGCGCCATACTGGATATTTCCATCTTTAATAAGCATCTCCAGATCGCCCCGTGGTAGATATTCTAGAACCAAGTTGAGATTTTGATCCTTGGAAGAAAATACATCATGCAGTGCGATGATATTGGGGTGAGAAAGCTCCTGGAGGTACTTGACCTCGCGAATTGCATCCATGGAGAGTCCATCTCTGTATTCAGCATTGACTTTGATTTTTTTAATGGCGACGGACGATGACGGATCAACTCGAAGATGGCCCAGATAGACTACGGCGTAGGTGCCTTCGCCCAGTACCTTGTCTTCAACATTCTCATTAGCCTCATGACGAAACCTGGATAGCTATACCGAGAAAGTAAACGGTCAAAGGCAAAGGAAGTTATAGGAAACCAGAAGAGACAATACCTTTGACGTACTTGCGTCTTACTTCTTCATTTAACTGCTCTGTGAGCTCAGAGCCTACCGCCGGCGAACGAGCATTGTACTTCCCACTTGATGTAGTTACCGAAGGGGAGTGAGGCACCAAAGGTGATACCGCCATCACCGCCTGCAAATGGCACCTGTCCGAAGTATAGGAGTATTGGGTGCGCGCAGAGTAGCGAACAGCAGAAGTTCGATCAATATTTCATCTCATATTCAATGTAGTAGTAATATATGAGTAACCGATTAGTTTGAGTTATCTGCATTATCGTCGACGACAATAACAATGGAGCAAGTATTATTGTTTAAATCTTTGGTATTAGAGTCTAGGAACCCCGGAGTATCATTGATCCCGATTGGCTTGCACCTCAAATTTCTCGGACAAGATCAGATACACTACTTGGTTTGCTGGTGGTTGTCATTATCGTGCTTCTGGAGACCTTGCCAAACACCAAATGCCATTCTGATAATTTAAGCCCCTCAAGTTCTGAAAAATCCTGTTACTTGCTTTGTCTAAGGCCAATTAGAGCTTCGTCGAAATACGGGCACATCCCTTTACGATATAGGGATTTCCTACAAGATGGAGGCCATGGCTATGGCAATGCGTAATTCACGCCTATTACCATCATCCCTCATCAAGAATGTCAGAGTGTCGAAGCGATGTATTCGGTTCCTTCACAAAAATGTCGCAACTCCTGCAATACCCTCACCGACCCCGTTCGTCCCCGACGTTCCAACCTTTCTTACGTTGATTGGTCGTGATATGTCGAAATTTGTTAGCAAGATTCCATCCTGGGAGAAACTCTTCACACTTAACTCTGCTGAGCTTCGCGATCTGGGTATTGAACCGGCGCGTCAGCGACGTTATCTTCTTCGAAAGAGAGAGAGATTTAGGCAGGGGTTATACGGCCCTGGCGGTGACCTACAGCATGTGGTGGATGGTGTCGCTCAACTGCGAGTTGTCGAGATTCCTGCAGAAAGAAACGAGCAGGACAAGAATGATAACAGCTTGACATCTCATTCGGATTCTTCTGCTACGCTGTCCCCAGGGATGAAAAGGGTAGTCGTAAACCTACCCCCGGATGCTACCGAGTATCACCACAATTCTTCCGAGCCATTGAGAAAGTATGCACATATGAAGGTCTACGATGGGTTTAAAGTCACGGGACCGTTCTTGCAACCAGTTAAAGGTACAAATGGTTCTGCAGCTTTGATCAAAGTTCAGGAGGGCATGTGGGAAGACAAACTGGGGCATAAGGTTGATGGTGGTGAAAGGAGGCGTGCTGAAGTTCGGGCCAAGAAGAGGAGCGAAGAAAGGAGAAAAGCGAGAGGATAAACCTACTTGGGCCTGTTTACTGTTCAAGGGTGCGCCGACCTGTCTCCGTTCGTATATTATTACTACCTATCACTGTATTAAACTGAAGTAGCCATAAAAATCTAAGATCTAGCTCCGACAGACAGAATGGGTAGTCGTTTATAAGAATAACAGCTGTCGCAATACAAAACAATCAATTAATGCTGTTAGGATGTAGCAGATAGACCATGAGGCCCAGGTATTGAGGCAGTATCTCTCCACTCATTTCTACCTGTCTTCTCACCTCTCCATTTTATTATTCCAACTTTCTCTAATAATGCTGACTGACAATGAACACTGCAGCAATCATTATGCTTTAGTGACAACTTCACGCTTCTCATACTCCACGACAGATTTGCCCATGGGCTTTGAAAATAGGGACTAGCATCAAGAGTCAGTTTGGATAGCTTGGTTAAATATAAGCATACTGTAGGAATTACCGAGAAATCTGTATCTGGAATGCCCTCAACTCCGGGCAGGTTTCGCAGCTTGAACATCCTTGCCAGCGAGGCAAGAATTGTTCCAAGTTGCACATAGGCAAATTGTTCACCAATGCACCTATGGCGTCCAGCACCGAATGGAAGATATGGACTATTAGTGCCCTTACTGACCAATCCATAACCATAGTCAACTTGCTCTTCATCCTCCAGCTTTTCCACAGAGGTGCTATCCCAGCGATGCGGCTCCCATTCCAAGGGGTTAGAGAAATACTCAGGCAATCTTGCGGAGACGCCTGGAGAAGACAGCACATTATGGGAGGTCGGTATTACGTAGCGAGTTCCTTCTACCCGCATCGGGTTCTTCACACTGCGAATGATTGAATGAATCGGGGCGTGCAAACGAAGAGTTTCCTTGATAACCTTGTTGTGCAAGTCCAGCTTTTGAAGAGCTTCATATGTCAGGGAAGGGAGCTCAGGACCAAGAACTCTCAATTGCTCTTGGTATAGCTCCTCCATGATATCAGGGCGGGACGCGAGGCGAAGAACAATCCAGGATGCTGTTGACGAAGAAGAATGTTGACCTGCCATCAGCAGAGCAATCATCATGTGTGCAATTTCCTCGTCGGGAACAGGGGTACCATCCTTGTACGAGCAAGACATGAGATTCCAGACCATATCCTCTGAATCCTTTTTGCCGCCAGCCTTGCGACGTTCTCTGATGATTTCCATATACGTCTCTGTCATCTTTCTCTGAGCTGCGTCGCGCTTCCGATTATGAGGCAGGGGAGCCCAAGGAAGCATAAAATTTATAGGCACGAAACCCATATCAAGATCGTGATATAACTCGGCAAAAGTGGAATCGAACCTACTGCGAACTTCCTTCCCCTGAAGCGAGCGCGAGGCGGTGTAGATCGTAATTTCAGCAATGGTTTTGCAGACGTCGAATGTACCCTTAGACTCTTGAAACATTGGGGAATTCTCTACGAAGTCTTCCACTTCCTTGGTAATCAAACCGACGTACGAACGAAGAGCCTCCGAAGTAAGACCAAATTTGACAAACTATCTTAGTTAACAGATGCCTTTGGAATGACAGTGATATTATAATACTTTGCCTACCTTCTTCTGCTCCATAAGTTTGGAATTGGGACAGTCATACACAACATTCTTTCCGAAGACCGGAGTTGTAAGCGGGGAATAGACCTCTTCTGCGCAGACATCTTTAAGTTTCCCATTAAGAATGAAGTCATTTCCCTTGGTGCCCAGGTAGACTGTAGTCTTCTTCCCGAGGAGTACGAATGTGAAGATATCGCCATACTGAGAGAAGAAGAAATTCATGAGCGATTGGTCAATTCCAAGAAGGGAATCAAACTCCAGAGTTGGGAACGTTACCTTCTTGCGGCAATTGAAAAAGAATTCGTACGGATTCATGCCGTAGGTAATGGTGTTCCCAATAAAGGGAAACCAGTGGAAAACCACAGGGGGTTCATTGGGATTTTTAAACAGGAGCTGCCGCATAACATTGAATATGACTGACACAATGACAAGAGAGAGCAATCCTGACGCGCCGAGGACCCAAACTGACTGAGTCGAGCAGCGCTCGCAGAAGTGGTCTAGCAATGCGGCGAGGAGGCCCATGGCGGCGGAAGTAATGGCAAATAGACAAGCAGCCGGGAGGTAAAAGTGGGCAAAGAACTTCTCCTGTCAACGTCGCCTCCAGGGTTTAAGAGCTGGCTTGCTTTTAGGCCACGAGGAGGAATGTGACCGACTAATGAAATGGGACGGGATTCTCATTTGGTTGACCGACTAATTAACCGACCCCTACGGTAACCTTCGGGGTCGCGCGTATTGCGCGACCCTGACAACCACCCGAGCACCCCAGCCACCCGAGCACCAATTTTAGACCCCCCTTCTAGCTTCAATATCTCAACGAATTCTATAGTATTTAACTTCAAAATATATTTAAACTAAAGCTCTACTCTTCAGCTTGGGCCCTAGCATGTCGTTGCCTTCGTATAATAATTCCTCGTCGAATGCATACATCCAGCAGCTCTGGTAGGCAACGCTTATACTTAGTCCTCCACCTCTTTATTTCAGCCTGCTCATTAATATTCGCAGTATTTCGATTTATAGCTTCAAGCTCTGAGCTTGATACTATGCCTCCCTTGCGAATCCTGCGCCTAGAGGCCTGTGATCGAGCTGCGCGGTCCCTAGCAGCTTTAATATACCGGTCAAGCTCAGCTTCGATAGCAGCTGAATATGATGCTAGCATACTACCACCACGAATAAGCAGCTCTAGGCCCTCATTAAATTGATCCTTGTTGATATCATGAATCTCCCATATCCTATCACCAATCTCCCTAAATCGTTCAGCTTTTTTTTTGGCGTACTGCCCCAGGAATCAACATCATTGGTATTGGTGGATGAAGAGGATGGACGATGTGGTTGAGGCATTTGATTGAGTACAATTGATGGATTGAATGGTATGATGCCAGTCTTTTGGAATCCATGCTGAATAGTACGCTTTTTGAATGTCTTCTTGCGAATTGCCCCTAAGGCATGAAGGAATTCAACCTTAGTAAATTTACTGCATCCTGAGTAGGTTGCATCTGCAACTGCTTCTGAATGCCAGTGCTTATATGCATGAAAAACACCAACATCCAATGGCTGCAAGAAATGACTTGTATGTGGAGGTAAGAAGAAGGTGATGATATTGGTCTTCTCACAGAATTCAACAAATTCATGTGTTAGATGGGAGCCGTATCCATCACATATAAGAAGGGTATATTGACCCTTCCTATATCTTTTAGTATGCCGATAGAATGACTGAATCCATTGGAAGGCAATTGTATCAGTCATATAACCATTTTCTGATACTCCAATTGAATAGTCTTGTTGAATATCAGCAGCTTCAAACCAATTTGTAAGTATACAGCTACCACTCATGAGAATAAGTGGTGGGCAGGTCCAGCCATCTGCATTGACTGCTTCAACCACAGTAACATATTCACGGTTTGAATTCATCCCAATATGAGGCTTATTAATATTGAAGTCCCTGGTAATAATCCATTGATCACGACCAACACCGATATTGAAGCCAGTCTCATCAAAATTGTAGATATCCTCCTTTAATATCCCATGGTTCTGGATGGTCTGATGGAGCTTCTGAAACCACTCCTGAATAACCTCACGATCCTCTGCACGCTTGCGGTCAAGCTCTATAGCTCTAGAGTGACGTCTTTTATATTCAGGATGCCTTCCTAGCCATCGGTTTAACCATTTCTCGCTGACAGTAGGTGGAGGGGTGTCTAGGCTGGTATGGGTTGATTTCAGAATAGAATTGGCACTTGATTGGATCATTTGTGCAAGTGGCTTTATATTTAATTGCTCTAGAGTATCAACATAGTGACACAGAGCCTTTTCTTGCTCTTCTGATAATCTGGTGTTGGTTGGTGGTCGTTCACATAGATTGGACCGTCCCTTCCACCTTGCGGAGAGGGTTTGCCGTTTAACTCCATATTCACGTGCAGTTTTGGCGATATTTGGGGGATTTTGTGTGCTTAACGCGTCAATAGCTTTGAGCATTCGATCTTCATAATTTTTATTGAATTTGGGCATGGTGGTGGTGGTTGAATTATATGATAAAGTTGATGGGTTGGAATTCTACGAAGTTCTAAAATCGGTGCTCGGGTGGCTGGGGTGCTCGGGTGGTTGTCAGGGTCGCGCAATACGCGCGACCCCGAAGGTTACCGTAGGGGTCGGTTAGGCACTGGACAGTGTACGCCGGAGAATCTAAACCTGACTTGCTCCACTCACTCTTAGTCAGGGGAGATCTGACTGTACAGCTAGATCAACAAGGTTAAAATTAAAATGGATTAATATAATATTACTGTCTAACCAACTACCTAGTATCTACTGCTCACCCTGTATCAACGGTTCTTACATTAACGCGTTGTCTCTTGTCTGTACTATAAACGATAGGCAAAATAAGCTTATCCTGTCATTCAGTATGTATAGCTATTGTGCTTTACACGGCAGTATAGACTAAGCCGTCAGTCGTACAGCAACTGACAGGACTTAACAATAATGTAATTTGTACTCCGTACATATGCAGTCGATGTAATGGATATTAATATTTCATCACTGTGCTAGAGGTGTAGGTATATGTAGTAGGCCTAGGGCTTTTGTCGCCTTTTCCATACACTTTAACCATTCACTCGCCCGGGGGTAGCGTATAAAGGTCAGCTACTCATTTTTCCGGAAATCCGTTCCTTGCTCTTCAAAGAGAACCGGATCTCCACGGACTCCAAGGTTGACAAAATCTTCAGGGTCCTGATCCCTGCCGGATGGAGCCTCACGCTGTTGATGGACTTTCCCCGGACGACTATGTACACGCTTTCCAGCGCGATTTTGGTGGAAAACCTTCACAGGTATACTACTGCCTTCTTGACGCTCACTAAACCGAATGTTGTTGATGCTGCTGAGCAAGGTTCTTTCGCGCTGAACCTTGCGTCTTGAAAAACCAAGCTGACCAAGCGCCCCGGTCAAGCTGTCTGTGCTGTCGGAAATGCTGGTGTACTTTCCAGTGAGCCACGGATGCTGTAGACACTCGTCCACTGTGATCCTCTTGTCCACGTCAACAGTGAGCATCCTGTCTATGAGGTCCAAGGCAGGATCTCCCACAGAGTCCCAGTATGGGGAAGGATAATCGAAACGACCTAATTTGATCTGCTGAGCTAAGGTGTATGGATTCTCGGCAGTGTACAGCTCGTCGGAGAAGGGGGGGAACCCGCAGAGACATATGTACAGAACGACGCCAAGTGACCACACATCCACAGCTTTCGTATATTTACGGCGGCGTGTTTCTTGCAGGATCTCTGGAGCGACATCTATAGAATTAGTATAGGAGCCACTATAGTTGGGTTGAACCGTGACTTACAGCTTGGAGTCCCACACCTGTGGATGCAAGGGTTAGTTTTTCATAAACATAGTTAGGACGTCCGAACATACAATGTGGTTGTGAATGAATCTTCCCCAATGATCTTGGCAAGACCAAAGTCACCCAGTTTCACACTCAATTTATTGTCAATGAGAAGGATATTTTCTGGTTTTATGTCTCGATGGACAATCCCACGATCGTGCTGACGATGTCAGTAATTATTCAAGAATTCGGGTACTGGAAGAGTGCCCACCAAATATTTCAATCCATCAAAAAGTTGAACAAACACGCAGCGAGTTTCGCTCTCTGACAATTTTGTTTTGCTCACAATCAAATTGAAAAGTTCGCCTTCAGGGGCAAGCTCTGTCACAAGGTAAACGCCATCATTTTCATCAAATGCCTCTTTGAGGCAAAGTAAATTGGGATGATTGACACCCATCAATAGAGCTATCTCCTGCTGTAAGGTTTCGGCATGGGACTTTTGTGAATCACCTGAACGTCTCTCAAACACCTTCGCAGCGTATTGAGATCCTGTGGCTCGTTCCACGCAGAGATACACTGTCGCAAAGTGGCCCTTTCCAAGCTGTTCAAGAATCCGATATTGGTGGTGGAAGCCATTCGAGTCCCTTGTCCTGGGATAACGAAAAACAAACCGCACTTGGTCTAGGATGCTAACCTCGTCGCCATCATCAAGCTCACGATGTTTGTTCCGTCCAACCAGTGCGTCATTGATAAAGGTACCATTACTGGACAAATCTTCCAAAACAGCAACAAAGCCGCCCTTTCTATTTTCGGAGAATACCAAGAAATGCCTATTAGATATAGTGGGGATGTCGATGACCATATCTGTACTTTGTTGGCAGGTTTAATGATAGACATAACACATCAATACACTTACCACACTCCAGATGACGACCAACAAGATAACCGCCGGGGGGATGGCCCTGAACTTGTCGCCAAACGTGTTTTTCAGGCTTCGCCTTGGGACTTCCGCCTCTCACATCAGAGCAATCACCGCGTTTTCTCAACACGAGTGACTCTCGGACGTTGTCATTAAGTGGGATTAGGTATCCCCATACTCCTTCAGCAGCCTCATCATTGACACCGTCAGCAAATGCTCTTGGCGGATATATAAATTGCGAAAGGGCCTGTGTATCTCCCGGGGATGAACAGCTGTGAAACGCGTCCGGATTGGACGAAACTTGGTGACGCGCCTGGCTTGGACTATCTGGTGGAGTAGCTGTCAATTCATTTTTGGAATTTGTCGCGGTTGTCTTCTCTTCATGAGTTAAGGGTGTGGGAAGGTAGTCATTATTGACAGGGGTTATTTGCGATTGCACCTGGGATGAAACACTTTGCGATCGTCGTGGCTTTTTCAAGTCCTGCGAGTCGTGATCTGTACTGGCCTATTATTATGGACTCCGGGTTAGTCACTGAACTAAGGACGAGGAACTCCGGGGGCTGGTACCCGGCCACGCTTGAGAGAACTCTTTTCCTTCTGGGGTGCCATTTCCTTTCCTTGGTCTATGCTGTGTCTCGAAAAGGCACAAAATTTGTGCTGATCTCCACTGCATCAATTGAATGTCTAGAGTCTGGAAGGATAAGAGCAAGAGCCCAATAAAAGACCTCCGTTCTTGTGTACTGAAAGATTGATTCAGTTCAAATGCATCTCAGTCACAGGGAACTTAAACTTTAGATCCGAGGTCCAACGACGCTTCAATCATCGAGCAGTGACGGTACCGATTGAAAGACCATCAAGAATCAGCGACTAGTTCATTCTTCATTTCTGCGCCTGCATCTTGAACACGGACGCTGCTGCTTTATCGGGTGAGCTTGAGCTTTGATGAGCTACGGAGTAAATACTCCGTACCTAGGTTGACCTAAACAAGTCAGGTGACGAGACCGCCTCAGTGACTAGCTCTCTCTACTCCTTATTACTCCTTACAACTAATACTACTTGCCGCATGAGAGTGCTGCTGGTACCTTTAACTACTGATGGATGTGTAAGGAGCTTAAAGAATCCATGTTCAGGGGTCGAGTACACTGATATAGAATCCAGCCTTTCCACAGGTATCAGACGCTCCGCGTTTGAGAAGCTTGCAGCGTTAGCTGTGAAAACACCAGTGAATGATGAAGAATCAGATATTGCGCGTCTTTCTCAACTGTATCAATATCCAAAGAAGCATCACAATGAATTCCTGGATGGTGGTGCAAAGAGTCTGGCTCCGAAATCACAGGTGCCCATGGTCTGACTTCCTGTCACTTTATTCTTCGTGCTTTCAGGCTGACTTCTACAGGGCATTCGAGAATTGGATGTCCTCATTTCCTTGTGCAAAGCTTCTATATCAGTGAATAGATTAGAGCCTGCTTCGACGCTGGTTTCACAGTTATCTGCGTACCTCCCTGAGTCTCATAGCCAACATTTCCATGCTTCGCCTTTTCTCCAGAGCATAAAACCATCTCCTTGGGAAACATTGACGTATAATCTCATACATGCCCTTCTTTCACTGGGTCTCAACTGTCCTTCGTTACAAGAGACTGTCTCAAATACCGTCAACGACTACTTGCAAAGCTGTGCCGAAGCCATCAAGTCTACGACACCTTTTCATAGACCTAGTTATGAAGTGGATAAGCATGGCTCGCTCCAAGACCCCTCAGGAATTCTGGCTATTGCAGTATCTCTAGTCGGCTTCTTCGAAGCTTCGGCGATGCATGCCACTTTCTGGGACTCTAGCGAGAAGCTACAGATAATCGAACACGTCCGGGATATGTTGTCTGAGACCTTCATGGTTGACATCGAAACTGCTTCGTCTACTATACGTAACGCAAATATAGCGGAAGGTGCTTTTAAGGATTGGAGAAGATACGCTCGGCGCTACGCTGCTCATGGACGCCCTCTAGGAGCTATGCTGTTACAGCAAGGCTTTATGCGTTTTATTAAAGCTTGTGCTGCTTCCCTGATTGGCTCTCACCATGTTTCTGAAGATGAACTGCTAGATGATTTTATGGATGGGGTCGGAATTGCGAGAGGCAATGATGACTCGGAGATTCCCCTTGTTAGACGTATAGCAGAGATAGCCACAGACCAAATCCATTTGCTGGATGATGGGTCTGACTATCTGCGGCTTGGCTCCCCTTGGCAGCAGCGACTTACATTTTCGGTGAAGGCCTTGTGTTTGATCAGCTTTCTCAATTGCGTGGTCCTGGACGAAGATGTGGCAAGCAGCGATGCTCTCCTTGCCTGGTTGGAGGGTACAATTATAGACCCTAACCAGATGTCGTGTACTGAGATAGCAACAACAACCTTGAAAAGCATAGCGATTGTCGCGAGACTCTCGCCAAGCAGCGCATCCAGTGCGAGCCGCTCCCTTTTGAGATTCCTCGTGCGCGGAGGTTCAACGACAGGATCTGTTGTTTCTGTGGCTGCACGGTGCCTAGCTCAAGTTCTCAGCATTCTATCTCAAGATGCCGTCATTACGACGCTATATTCCTTGGGAAATGTGTTAAGCTCACGTTCTGACACCAAACAACTGTACCAAAACGAACTCACTGGTGACACAACTGGGCCTACAAGCAATGCCTTGGCATCATATGCGCAGCCAAGGGATGCGAGCATGATTTCTCTTGTTGTCAACGGCGAGGACAGCAATGTAACTCAAAGAAATGTCATCCATGCTATTATGACTATTGCGACAAGTTGCAATGATGATAAAATTACCGCCCTGGCGCAGTCCATGCTCCTACAAAAGATAGGGAAGATAAATACAGTGGTGGATTCATATATCATTCAGGAGACAGCAGCATTGGCCCTGTACAACGGACCGGCTGAGTTTCAACTGCTACTCAAGTTCTACAATCGTGCTTACCTCGACGCAGCCACTGAAAACCAGAATACTATCTCCGATGCGGTTCAAAGTGCAATGATATATCTTTCTCTCAGGTTGAAAAGAAGCTCTTCTCGCTACGAAATCTACCTACTTCATCTGCTGGAGAGCATTGTAAACAAGGGAAACGCCACTGACCGCGAAGATGATAGGCAGAAAGAGGATATGTTGACACATGGGAACATCAGTCCTTTTCTGAGACCACTAGCACTGCTTGTTTCGTTCGAGAGCGAAACTACCGGAACTTGTCCCACAGTTTCCGATTTTGACGACAGCATACTGGCCATGTTCCGTGACATTTGGTTTAACATAGCTGTTCATGGCATATCGCTTAACTCAGCCTTTGCTCGGAGTCACTTTGAGGAACTCCGAATAATTGCAGAGCATTCTCCGCCCCTCGTCGCTGAAGATCGTACGGAAGTCCTAGAAAGTGACGTCGAACTAAATACGATACTGAGACGCGGAATGAGCCCGCAGCGTCTCATTGAGCAGAAGCGTACTTTAGTCTCAGAACTTCCCAGTTGTGAATCAGACATTAAACGCTTGAATTATCCGAAAGTCGTCTTCCTCAATGCTGCTTTATTGGTTGAAGGTCTCCGTGCTTCTACCGGAAACTGCACGAAAGTTTTGAATTATTTCCTTGATCCAGCGCTCGACACTGCCGAAATGGCAAGCTGTATGAATGCTATTGCGGACAAGGTTGTCAGTCGCTACCTCGCAATGACTTTATCAGGAAAACGTGAACACTTTTCGGCACCATATCTGTCGAAACAATTAGCGGACTTTTTGGTAGCTTGCTGCCATCGCATTGAACGAGTGCAGATTGTTGCGAGATCTTGTGCCAATAAGATCATAACAGAGTGCCCTTCTGCACTATGCCAAAAGCATTCTTTGTTTAGTCTCCTTGAACTTTTGACCGTAATGTGGTCGTCTTGTCTTCAAGGAGACCTAGACGAGTTCGATTGGAAGTCTTCTATCACATCTCCTAGAGGAATTGTGGACATTGACCTGCCAGATGACTATGGATTCAGGAAGACAACACTCGAACTCTTTCACGAACGGTCCAGAGCATGGGTAAAGGCTGTTATGAACTTTGCACCATTGGACGTTAAGGGGCTCCTTCAGGTGTGTTATCTTCAATATCTCCTAATATGATACTATCTCACGTTATATTAGACCTATCTGTCTGAATTTGAAGACGATGGCGCCTATGGCCACATCTCAATGGGGCGATCCTTTGCTTTAGAGATGGGTTCGCTAATTCCACAAAGTGACCAGCGACTTGGTAAGGTCTCTTGTAACATCATATCGGGCCTTGTTTTAACTCTGGCGTCAGGGTCGATTGGAAACCACGGTGGCGATTCAATCAACATCGCCTCGGGCTTCATTGCTCAATATACTGCGCGCCAAAAGTATCCATATTCTGATATGCCTTCTACCAATGGTCTAGATCGCGACAGATTTGGGTGTAGCTGTTAGTTCAAGTTTGCTTCCTCCCCTTACTCCCCATTTCAATTCTCCCATCCATTATGGACCGCCACTTTCCGTTACTAACCCGGATTGCAGATTGTGAACCTACAACTCAGTTACCAGAAAGCTTTTTTGGTGTAGAAAAGACACTATCCCATCTATATGAGCAGGCCGCTAGAGGAGAACACGTATCCTTTATTGACATAAGAGATCCCCTTCGGAGAGCAGCTGCTCTTTGTAGCAGCAATACAATGCGGCCTTCTATCATTCAGTTCCTTGTCAGCTTGCCGTTTGAAATATTCACGGAGGAGTCAATAAAGCTTGGGATCTCTCTCTGGCTCGGGGTGATTAACGAGAACCCAAAGGCAGAGCCAAGAATTTTGGTGGAAGTAGCGGAGGCTTGGGAAAAAACTATCCAGCGCAAGAGAGGATTATTTGATCCTTCTTTCGAGTGAGAACCCATAAACCTTTTTTCCTTTGCCAAGTTTATAATTTGTTTGGAGGTTCCAGTATTAACAATGTTAGTTATGTCGACCCAATGTACTCCAAAATCGAGCTTTTGCCATCAGATAAGGCTTTGTTGCTCCAAAAGCAGCGTGCGGCACAGGACATGATTTTGCCGCATAGTCATGTTCTTCAATTCTTCGAAAGTCACTTCAGTGCCGTCCGCCTTGACAACATTCAGAATCAGCGGTTATTCTATCGCCTGACCCGCAGTACTACTACAGGACTCATGGGAACGAGAGGCCACCCTCTAGCTAGGGAGATTCATTTCCGTGTTGTTTTATTCGGCTTGAAGGTATTGAGGCAGTGCACCTTCCAAACGGAGTTTTCCTTATGGAAACTTAAAGATCAAATTCTTTCAGCTGGTCTCAGCTGGTTTAAGCATTCACCTAGGTATATTCCTCTTCCCAAGAAACACTAATAACCTTCCTGACGTATGGTTTTTCAGGTGGTCTTACGGAAGTAACCGACTACAAATAAAAGCTGAAGACAAAATTCTTGGCGACGTTTCTTCTGCTTTGGCAGACATTGCCAACATTGGCTCTCATGACCGCGGGCAGTGTAAGTCAATACAACGAAAGCAAGACCTTCTTCAGGTCTTTCTAGAGAATGAGAGATCACGTCTCAGAGTGTGGCTATTACCTCTGGAACAAGAGCGCAAACATTATCCATCACCGGTTTCCGGGGGCAAGAATTTCTTGGAGGTACGTAATCTAACATAGTTATTGTCATACGGTCTAATCATTGCTTTAGGAGGTAATATCGTTGCTTTACCTCGCCTGGACAGAGAACCCAGGAATAGCAATTCAACTTGCGGTCCGTTTCCCTTCTGCACGGCTGAGAAACGATGTCCGTCGGTTATTGTTAAACTCTCCTGAAAAGGCTCTTGACGAACCCAGTGGTCTTGAAATTGTGTTTGGTTTGGCTCTGCCTGCGGATGTCTCTTTTCAGTTGAAGGTCTGTCTTCTATCTTGTTCTCCCTTCCCTTTCATTTCTCTCTCTCTCTCTGTCGGGGTCCTCTCCTTTACTGATAATGACTTAGTATTTGTTGTATTGGGCATCTATAAATCCTATTGAAGCCTTGACATACTTCCTGCCTGCGTATGGTAATCATCCATTTATTTTGCAGTACGCAATGAGAGCCTTGGAGAGCCATCCTATAGACGTCCGGTTCTATTTCGTTCCACAACTAGTCCAAGCACTCAGATACGACGCGCTAGGCTACGTAGAGCGCTACATTCTTGAGACGGCTAAATTGTCCCAGCTGTTCGCCCATCAAGTGATATGGAATATGAAAGCGAATTCGTATAAGGATGAGGATGCTCAAGTTGTAAGTTACATCTGTTGCATCCATACTTGACCAGTACTAACATAGCCAAGCCGGATCCTCTCAAGCCCACTTTAGACAGATTTATGGAGACTCTGATATCGAGCTTCTCTAATGAAGAACGTGACTTTTACGAACGAGAGTTTTCTTTCTTTAACGAAATCACAGGCATTTCGGGAAAACTTCGTCCGTACATCAAAAAGAGCAAACCGGAGAAGAAGGAGAAGATTGAGGAAGAATTACGTAAGATCAAAGTGGAGGTTGGGGTATATCTCCCAAGCAATCCAGATGGCGTTGTGGTAGGGATTGATCGCAAATCCGGAAAACCATTACAAAGTCATGCAAAGGCGCCTTATATGGCAACCTTCAGAATTCAAAAGACCAGGACTCGATGGAACGGAAGACCATCTAGCAGCCCTGGGGCGCATACGTTGAGTCAACAGGATATGCCAACAGACTCGCAACCCTCTCCTGCGCCTGATCCGAGGAAAGAGACTTACGAAGTCTGGCAGTCTGCTATTTTCAAAGTTGGTGATGATTGTCGCCAAGACATGCTTGCGCTGCAGATGATCGCTGCCTTCCGAAGCATATTTGAGAGTGTTGGGCTCGACGTTTGGGTGTTCCCCTATCGGGTAACTTCAACGGCTCCAGGCTGCGGTGTTATTGATGTTCTACCCAACTCTATTTCTCGTGATATGCTCGGACGTGAAGCTGTAAATGGACTCTACGACTATTTCCTTTCCAAGTACGGAGGGGAGAATTCGGTGAGGTTCCAGCAAGCGCGCACAAATTTTGTTAAGAGCATGGCCGCCTATTCGGTTATCTCATACCTTCTGCAGTTCAAGGATCGACACAATGGAAATATCATGATCGACGACGCCGGGCATATAATTCATATTGACTTCGGGTTCTGCTTCGATATTGCCCCAGGAGGCGTCCGCTTTGAACGCGCACCATTCAAGCTAACTTCTGAAATGGTTGCTGTCATGAGCGGCACTCACAACGCACACCCTCATGCGGCCAGCAGCGTAAGTGGCGGGATCAGTCTGCCTGGAGGGAATACGCACAATCCTACAAACACACAGCCATACAGGTGGTTTGAGTCTTTGGTGGTGAAGGCGTTTCTTGCGTCTCGTCCGTATTGCACGAAACTGTCCCATATTGTGTCTTTGATGCTTGATAGCGGCTTGCCTTGCTTCAAGCCCGATACGTTGAGGAACTTCCGAGACAGATTTGTCCTCGACAAGAGTGAAAGAGAAGCAGCTGAGTACATGCGTGAACTTATCCGCAAGTCTTACATGAATTTCTTGACGAAAAGCTATGATCAGTTCCAACTTTTAACCAATGGCATTCCTTATTGATATGGTTCGTGCGAGATGTTGTCTCTGGGAATCATGGGCTACGGTAAGAACGATCTATAGAAGTGAAGTTACATGTACCTAAGTATATATGTGTAGACAGCCATTCCGGCTGTCTACTGATATTGTTCCAAGCTGTCTCTTTTCTTCTTGTTTAAGTCTGATATTATCATGAGCCCCCATATTGCTCACATTCAAATAGACTTCTATGGAATTTTGGTCTTGACCCTTGACTTTTCCCTGAAGTTATGAAATTCTCAGCCCTATATGTTTCATGCGCCTGCTTCTCGTCTCTCGGCCCTCCTCTTTACATTCTTTGGCAATTCCTTTACTTACTCTCTATAGGATCGGCGTCTCCATTTGATGCTATCCATAGTGTATGAATTATGAAGTTGAAATTGAACTGGAAGAAGATAAAAGATGATGTCTGGATATTTTGTTCCAGTTTCTGGGACGGTGAGGACCTGAGGCTCCCTGTTGCTGATGGCCTACCACTTCTGTCTTAATATAGGTCATGCCAGGAACTTACACATGCATAAACTGTACACCTTTGCATGAGAGACTAAAATCACAAATAATCTCGATTCATTGCTCCAGGGACATTACAAGATACTTGGATAAAAGTCAACGCGGCAAAAAGAAAAGAAGAATGAAAGAAAAGAGGACGACTTCTCTTAGCCGCTTGTACTGAATCAAGAAAATTCCGGATAGTTCTTGGTGCAAGTCTTCTTGCTATCTTTGCCCTCATCTCCTGGCTCCCTCATTTCACCTATACCCTTTTCTGTGTAAGGTAAGGTTCGCTTATCTTTGCTTTCGACACGGCTGCAGGATTCAGGATTGACCAACTTAAATAACTTAAATACTCGTAGTAGAATGGATACGACCATAGTACCACAGGTCATTCGAGTAGTCGGGCAAAAGGAATAAGAAGACCATACTTCTCTGCAAGGGACTAACCCGAAAACGTTGTTGGTGAGAAGGGCTGTGGTCTTGGAGACGATCCAAACACTTATCACTGTTGATGTAGGGAATGGTTTTGAAGGATGGGCGGGTATAGAGAGAAAGAATAGACAGACATTTCAATACTTTTTGTCCCGTCTAGTCAATAAAATCGCCCCTCAAGATCTTCTCTTGGAAAAAGTCGGGTTTTTTCTGCTTATGGTGTTTGGGTATGTTCCTAGCAGGTTGCTCTGTAGACGCAATAGAGGTAGCTCGTTGCTGGTAATCATTCTGGCCGGCCCCGATTGGATGCGAATGGACATTTGGAGGAATGGAGCCTAGAGATGGAGCACGCTCGGCTCTGGTCCGTAGAGCTTTGGACCAGTTAAAGCCTTCTCCTAGGTGTCGTCTCGTCAGGTTAGATATATCGTTTTGGGGGAATACTTTACTTGTATTTGGGGCGGCCGATCCAGAGGAGGTATGGAAGGGGAAGGTGCTGGCTGATAGCGAACTTCGGCGCCCTTCCGGCATGCGTGAACCAGGAGACGGATTTCTACCATCAGTGCTTCCACCATGTGTCTCATGAAGTGTCCGCGCGCTGGAAGAGAGACGACGCCCAAAGGGTGAATGTGCACCATCATTTGGGGGGACATTTTCATTGTCCTCATCGATTAGCGCCTCCTCAGGATTAACAGAGTTAGACCCCACAGAACTCGATATGCTGGCGGGTCGGAAAAGTCGGCTACTCGCGAGTGGAGAAATCTGTGTTGGGGATCCGGAGAGCCCAAGGGTGTTTAGGGACAACCTGCGTTGTTGCGTCGATTGGGCATTTGTTGCAGGGGTAACCATGGAGCTAGGGAGCGACGGTGGTGCAGGATGGATGGGCGGTTTAAAAAAGGGATCGGCGAAGGACGGGGGGGGACAAAGAGCTCTGACGCCGGTGCGAAGGGATCGAGATGGGGCTCGAGCGGTCGTTGGACATGGTACACTATACGGTGCGAGGCGTGGTGGTGTGTGTGTATGTGGAAAAATACGGAAGAAGAAAAGGTGAGAGGTCGACGGACAAATAGCCCTTCTCTCGTTGAAATTGTACGAGGACACGAAGAGTACGTGACTAGATGAAAATTGAGCGCGAGTCGTGACGTTGCGACTCCCAAGCCATCAGAAGTACGTGACGTCAACAAGACAGCTGGTAGGGGGAACGTATACAGGACAGGACAGGATCTAGAACAGGGGAATGCGACAGTTGAGACCTGATGAGAAATCAGCAAAGGCGTCTTCGGATGAAGCACTGGTTTTATGCCACAGTTTCACGGAGACAGTCCAAGAGTGGCACGATACAGGGCTTTCTGTGGGGTGATTTGGGTACGTGAGGCTCCGACACATAGCTGAGGAGCGTCGCATTCCACCGTTCAGAGAGACTATCGTCATCTATCATGGATGTCCCACGAGAAGAGCGAGTAAACGAGAAAAGAGGTGGCTGCTGAAGGAGGGAGGTGAGGAATGCTTACCAGGTGGATGCTGTCGATGAGGAAGGACTGTGGTAGATATCCAAGAGGATGCTGAAGTGAGAAAAGTAGTTCTGTAGTATTCCCACAAACAGTTCCCAGCTGCAGCTCGCTGGAATTAACCCATCTCTGCTCCCTCCCACGACATGCAAGGATGACGCTAGCTGCCTTTTATTGTCTCTTGTTGGTTTATGCGATGAAGCCATCTTCCCCGCACTCTTGGCGCTTCTGGCTTATAATCCGTACGAAGGTTACATGGCCTGTATCTTCCTGCACTCTGCATAGTGTAGCTGTTGTCGTGGTTGATTGTACGGTGGATTCAGCCGGTTCAAAGAGGGAAGAAAGAGAAAGGAGAGACAAGGGACGCTGGATGCATAGGTATTATTAATATTAACAATAGCAATACACCCAAGGTATCATAATAGCTTCATCGGGCAACGGATTGATGCCATGAATATGAATCATATACGCGCCAACGCACCTGCAAAGGAAAAATAAAAAAAAATAAGATTGAATAAATGCTGACATGGCGAGTAAGAAATATGGGAACAGAAAGCCAACGAGCCACGGGGGAAAAAGAACAGGAAGCAGGAAAAGAGAAACTGAAAGATGCCCTTCCCAAACCTGGATATGTCGGAATATGTAGAGTTGTCATTAAAAAAAAAAAAAAAAATCCCATCACCGTCATTATGTCACTAAGCCTCATTAGATATAATTACTGGCCATTACGGCATATGGCCGCCCAAGTATTTCGACAGCCGCTATCGATCTATACCGAGGGAAGCAACCTTCCCTGCGAATCGCGCTCCCGCGCTTCCTCTCTTGTGCAGCTTCTCGCGCTCCTTGTTATCCAACGGAGTTATTGCCTGTGACGATGACAAGCTCTCATTCCCCGCTGCTCGGATTGTGGGCAAGGAACTCAGGGTGTCGGCTCCCGCATTTCCCGGCCCTGCGATACCTGGCCGGGAACTAAATGCTCCCGTCCTGGCCGTTCGCTGGCTGAGATATAGCTGGGCGGCTGGTGAGAGCGGGATGGGTGGTGGCTGTGAGGGTATCTCCGCCCCGTTCTGAACAAGAAGTTCGGCGATAGGGAAGGGAGTCGGTTTCACCGAGGATGCAGTGGATGGCCGGGTCGACGAAGTTGAGCCAGGCATTGCGGGATCTGCCGCGGCCAAAGCGAGGAAAACAGCGTGCGTATTCCGTGAGCGGTCAGTAATATTGACATTGGCACGAAGCGCAATGCCGTACAGAACGCCCTGGATGTCATTCTTCTTGATCGAGGCGAGCAGTGTTTCATCCGGGGTCAAGAATCGTGACCGAGACAAGGACAGCGGCTGCACGTAGGCCCGGTCGCTATACTTGGCGGTTATAAATTGCAGTCGTTGTTCCCGCGTAGAATTGGCCGACGGTTTCCTACTTTGATCTAGGGTTGCCTCCCAGACCATGTTGCTCACGCGGTTGCCGATCTGCAGGAGTATCTCTACAATGTCGTTCGAAAAGGAATTGACATCCAACGTGAGAGACCGTATTTTTGATATGTGAGTTCCCAGTGACCGATGGATGCCACTGCATTCGATACATAGCACAATCCCTAGGTTGATCGACACCCATTCGACCTTGGACGAGGACCCACAATCTGCACACCAGTAGTTGCCTTCATCTGCATCGCGGACTGTCTGAAGTAGCCTCGACGGATTTTCTTCATAACTATTGTCACCACGTACGTAGCTGGGCCGAGCCCCGACCGTGGTCCGACGATTCACTCCATTGTTGGAACTAGGGGAATGGGAATGATGTCCCGAGTACGAAGAGCTCTTTCCAGTCAGAACTGACCCAATGTCACGGCCAATTGAAGATGTATTCTGCTTGGGTGGCGGCAGAGGATGCGATATACCACGTCCCTCAACGGCACTCTGAAGTGCATTGTTGATAGCTCGGATCCAGTTCTTCATGTCATCCTCTGAAGTCGCCTGGTATATGCGTTTGAATTGGGGAGTTATAACCTCAAAGCAGAATCGTCGTTCTGCGTTTCTCGCCTCCCGCACTGATGCCATTCTGAGATCGATGGGGTCCATGTGTAAATCAAGCTTCTGTTTCCAGTTGCTGTATTCAGACAATTTTCCCTGATCTAACACGATCCAAAATCTGGAGAAAAATATTAGATGATATCAATTGGAAGGGGGGATCATGTACTTACTTATGCCAGGCCTGTTTATTGATACCCTTAGGGTCGATATGAGACCCTGGACGGGAGAGTGCCCACAGAAGCCCCTCCTTTCTCTGCGGACCCCCAGTCCTATCGGGGGCAAGAGTGTCTCGTTCGTCTAGGTCTCTGATCCCCTTGAAGCGGCTCTGGCTAGATGATCCAATTGATCCTATAGAGGACGAGATCACAGGAGCTCCGGCAGATGAACCCAGGCCTGTTGCAACAGTCTGCGATGACGTGGAAGAGCTGGTGCTGAGAACTTTACGTAGTTGAGATCCTGTACTATCTGCTCGACCCAGTTCAGCGTCTGGATACTGAATTCCGTTGCTGCCCAAGGCCGGCACGGTCGCGTTGGCAGAAGCATCAGGCTCAAGGTACATGTTGGAACTTTTTTCCAAAATCCTTCGCTTCTCTTCTCTTTCTGTTCTTTGAAACTGGAACTCTTTATCCGCTTGGTTTACTTCATGTATAAGAGCCTCTAATTGAGGAGCCATTTCCTCGATCTTCTTAGACGCTGCGAGAAAGTTCTTCGCTTGGTTATCTGCGTATTTGGTGAGATGAGAGAGCACCTCTTGCTCTTTGCGTCCGCCATGTAGATCTTGCATAAATGAGGAATAGTCAAAGCGCTTCAGTTCAAAATTACGCCGTTTGGCCTGATATTTGGAGTCGCTCTCTGCGCGCTTTTTCTCTTTCAGAGAATCCTGTCGCTGGCCAAGATAGCGGCCAACATATGCATAGTAATCCCTGCTTTCTTCCTCAAATTCTTTCTTCTTGGCCTCGGCTTGTTTGATGTCGTTGTTGTACAGTTTGGTCAATGGCTCGATGACGAGTTTCTGGAGCTGGAGTGCATTGAGCTGCTCGTAATGCAGTATTTCCCGTGCGATGTTTTCAAAATAATGATCTAGTGCGGGCTGAATGGCGTTCGCATTGGAAGTCGAAGCATCTCTCAGCGCAGCAAGAAACGCCTCTACAGCATCATTGCAAGTCACTTGTGCTTGCCTAGCCGCGTCTGCTTTCTTAAGTACTTTTTTGATCTTCGTGCGCATGTTTCCTGTCTTTTGTTCCAAGGCCTTCATAGTGGCCCTAAACAATGGGCCATCCTCGACTGCACTCATATCTTCGCCTGGTCGCGAGTGAGGAAGGTCAACTTTCACGGGCGGGGGAGCTGGTGAGGTATCGGATGCTTCCGGTGGCGTAGAAGGCATATGATGGTTGGATGCTGCCTCGAAATCTGAGGCGAAGGACTGAGACGAGGGCAGGCGACCGCGGCCAGGAACCAATAACTCCAAGTTTGGCGGCGGTATTCGTGGACTGGGAAGTAGCCGAACAGCACTATGTACCCAGAAAGAGAAATGAGCGAGGGTATTTAAGCGGTTGGTCCTCTGATCGTAGTCTAAAAAGCTGCAGCTGTTTCGCCAGCCGCCACCCTTGTCTTCCATCGTCTTCGGAGGTTTCCATTTCCATGACCATTCGAAATGAACTGACGGACTGCCTCCTGTAGTAAAATCCCCAACAAACTGAACGTTGGAGTTGTTCTGCAGGTTGGGGTTGGCGTGGAACTCTCTCGTGATCAAGTTATCCAGTTCTTTGGAATTTGACGCATGAGCAAATGTGAGTCCGGTGAGAACAGTGTCCGCAACTTCAGGAAGGGATGTCGAGACACCATTAACGGTGGAGTTTGTCACGTTACTGATCTGGGTCTGCCTTAGAATGAACGTAAAATTGAAAATCAGTTCGTCCTCGTTAGTTAGGCGGAGCAGGAACGTTGGCACAGGCGCAGATGGAGGAAGATCTGGGTCCTGTCAGATCGCAACGCAGATACCATTAGCAATGCGAGGTTATTTCTAGGGATATGTAAGATAGTCCTTTTGTTATTTGTTACCTGCACGTATTCGACTGGGCTGTCATCGCTGGCATCTCGCTTTGCAAAGTATCTTGTTGCCGGAAAAGAGTTTGGGACGAGGTTTAACACCCGGCGTCTGGAATTGCTGACAGTCACCGAGGTGATTGTAACTAGGACCGGTTGAGTCAATATCTTACGCGCGCAGTGTAGGGAATGAGGTGGAACCTACACTTGGTCTGATCCTTGAAGAATAGGTTTCCCGAGTCATCAAGACGGCTTCCAACGTTGCCCATCTTGGGAGATGCCGAAGCGATCTAATCGACGTCGGCAAGATAGTCCGGAAAGAGACCGGGCGATGTGGAAAGGATAACCATCGACTCGCCTGCGAGCGTACAGTTCGATCACAACCGTGATCGAGTCAAGGAAGCGGTAAGGGGAAGGGCGTGGCTAAGCAAACAAGCTGTCATCCACCACCAGACTTTGGTCACCCGCTGCCTGCAGGTCGCAATAGGGGGGTGCCGAAGAGAGAAACCTCACGTGTCTGCTCAGCGGAACAAGACTAGGGGCGATAATGCGATGGGAGTTTGGGGAAGCTGAGAATGGTATTCAGATGGGATATGATGGAGAAAAGATAAAGGATTGAGGAGGTTGGAGGTTGGTTGTGGAGGGCGCAAAGGAAGGAAGTTGGAAGCACTAATTCGTACGGGAGAGTAAGAGAGTGTTTTTGATTGATGCTGCGGAGCACGCTTAGCATTATGCTAATTGCCGCACATACATACATGCACTGTACATCCTATGGCTTGTATTATATTACTATTACTACTATTATTATTATTATTATTGTTGTTGTTGTTGTTGTTGTTATTTTCTACCCCTCGATGCCCCGCAGGCCTATTCTTATTTTTTTCTTGTATTCCTTTGCTTCCGTCTATCCGTACTACGTACGTCTGCCCTGCAGGAAGGAGGCAGGACAACCCATCAGCATACACTATGATGGTCGCAGTCATGTTAACACCTTATGGATAATTATACGCATAATAAATACAGGGCCCAACAACGCGACGTTGAATGAAACAAATACATGAGATAGTCAATGTATACTCGGAAATATCTCGTCAGGTCATCGTTATCGAAGGACAATCATCCAGAGGAAGAAACTGCTGAATGCTATGGATGCAGGCAATAGCCTCGGGGATAGCTGTGGAATCCAAGTTTCCCGTCTCCAAATTATGCTTGTATAGTGCTGGTCGCATGCTTCCGCTGCTCCTTGGATGACACGCTACTCCGTCGATCCGATTCTTCGTCAAAACTGGAGAGGGAAAGCGAAGAACTGCTGCTCTGCTGCAGCAAGGTAATCGGGTGTCCTTGACGGTTCTTGCGATTTATTTGTTCCTCCTTTAGTGAGTTCATCCGCTCTTCATCCTTCTGGCAATCCAACGTGGTCACGCGAAGGCCGGGGAAGTTCTCCGAAAGGAATTCTCTCAGCAAAGGCAGACACTCTCCGTTTGGACGGTAAGTGCCACTTGCGTTGTCAATGAAAAGCTCGTAGTCAGCAGGGTCATTGGATACCTCTGCGAGGCTTTCCTCACCCACGGAATTCTGGCGTCTATGTCGCTGGCGTCGGCAGACAAAGAACTCTCCAGAATACGCAATGTAGCTAGACACATTACTATGCATTGTGTGCTTACTGAGCAAGTCGATTTGAAACTCCCTCCCTGTCTCTGTGAAACGTAGTTGACCGTCAAGGGTTAAGACATATGTGAATATACGGCCACCCTGGCTATAATGAACAAACTCGAGAAATTTCTGTGTGAGCTCAACACATGGAGATGGAAATTCACCATAGAGAGTGGTTTTATCAAAATTGTAGATGCGTTCATGTTGGTGGTGCAGAGCATGTTTGAGTATGCGGCCGCTTAGGGTGCGCGCCTTAAATATTCCTGCCACGAAAGACCTGGCCTCAACAAAACGGTGATAAAGTTGAGGTGGAACTGGGCCCCTAAGTTGCACCTGGATAGCTTGGAAACTGAAGAAATTATCAATAGTGAGTGACAGAGTGACATTGAGCATCCACCCGATGGAAGAAGAGACTCACTTATAATGTGTGACAGCTTTCTTATCATCTTCGCCATGAACCTCATCCTTTGTGCCCGCAATTATTCCAATGAGGGGAGAAAAATGCTTAAACCAGTAATTTGGTCCGACAGTGTACATGTGTCCACCATCATCGCCTTGAGTTTGTCCTAGACATTCGACACTGACAATTACACGGGCTTCCCTGTCACTATGGGGGGAAGTGAGCGCGGCAATTTCCCTGAAGAAGTACACGCGCTTGCTAGCCTTCCGTTTCTTAACCTTGAATGGTTGCTCCTTGATTCCGGGCCAGTCAGGCTGTATCGAATTCACCTCAACCGTGGCGACACCCAGCCTATCGTCATGATCAGCGGGATCTTCGTCGTAAAGACGGCACTTAAGCTCGAAGCCAGACGCGGGAACGTTGGCAACAATCCATTCCTTATTCCACACTGGATTGGTGTCCTTCTGCACCGTCGGGGTACGATAAGTCAAGTTTGGATCTTGCTTGTGCCGCTTAGGTAGATCGACATTCAGTTGTGCCACTAGGTACGGATCAGAGGAGAGGGTGTTGAAATCAGCGAAGGGAAGGTTGACAGCGCGATGGAAGGTGAATTTAAGGGTGTAGCCGGGAGGCGCATGAGGTATCGGAGTATTGTCGAAACCACCGGCGGAATTCTCTTCGTCTGAATTACCGACGGCCAGATCCTGAAACTTCTCGGCCTTACTGACGAATTTGGGGCCATATTTGTCGATTGCATGCATAGGCCGCGCTTGCGGATGAACATCGTCATAGTCCATTGCGGAGTTACGTATGGTTTGACACAACTTCAGATGTAGAGAAGTGGAAACGAAACCTTGACGGCATTCCCATGGACAAAATAGATAATAGGGAGAGAAGTGTATTTTTCAACACTAGGCTACGGAAATCTCAGCGGATAGCCGGCTGTGGACGGTACAATCGCATCGCAGTAGTATTTAACGAACGGAGGGGCAGGACCCCGCGAGAGTGGCTGGTGATATGCGCCAAGCCAATAGCCATATGCAGATTCAATGCGCCAGGCGTGGCACAGGTGGACAGTGCTGCGTAAGGCTGCATGATGACGCAGAGGATGGGATGGGATGTGGTTGTCGGTTTAGCTGGGATCTTTTGTCGCCAATCTACAGTGTTGGCGCATCCTAGCCAAGAACAGTATACGTGTTCCATGCTCGTTTGATGACAGCGAGTATAAATCATAACTTACGTTGTATGAGCCATTACCCATCCGGAGTTCATCACTGTAGTTGTATTTATGGAAGTTCTATGGAGTGGTGCGAAGCCCTCTAGCCGTTACCAGGCATAAGTGAAAACACTTCAATCAAACATGCCCTTGGTAAATCACCCATGTTATCAGAAGCATTTCACGATCCCCGGAACAAAAACTGCATATCCTCCGGGGTAAGCTTTTCCAAAGCTGCTCCTTGGTCTTTGTTGATGGTGCCTCTGATCATGCTGGCCTTTTTCTCCTGAAGCAGAACAATTCGGGATTCAACTGAGTCCTCTATGCAGAGCCGAGTGATTACGCAGGGCCGTCGTTGACCAATTCGATGGCATCGATCCGCGCTTTGCCACTCAGCCGCGGGGTTCCACCATCTGGGTAACGGACATCAGCGAAAAAAAAAAGGGAAGCAATTTTCGGGGTTAAAGGTACTCACGGATCAACAATGAACACCTGGGATGCCTCCGTCAAATTCAAGGCAACCCCTCCTGCCTTCAGGGAAACGAGGAAGATTTCCACATCAACATTATTCATAAAATGGTCAATCGACTTCTGACGCTGCACTGGTGTCATTGTACCATCTAGCATGACTGTGTTGAAACCGGCTCTCCGCAAGCGCCACTCGACAAGCTGCAACATTGAGGTGAATTGAGAAAAGATTATGGACTTTAGGGTTTGCTTCTTGTTTCGTAACTTGTAGAGGTCGTAAACAAGCATCTCGATTTTAGTAGAAGACGTCCAATCCTCCATTCTGATTCTGTTAATGATCGAATTCTTCTTCACGTACTCTTCCTCTTGCTCGATATCTGGCTGCTCAAAATCGATCGAAAGAGGGATATGACACCGCGGGCAGTCCGCTATAGAACCAGCGTCAAAAGAGCGAATGTAATCCTTTGCACATTGTCGACAAAACTCGTGGTGACAGCGAGATCGAATCGCTTCCTCCGCGGGCTCATCGCAGATGCTGCAAACAAGGACATTCTGCCCACTTTCGCTATGTTTCTTCAGAATCAAATCCGGATGGTTTGCAACTTGACGCATTTGCATGATAAGACCGAAGATGTTCGCATAATTATTCAACATCACACCACGGCTCACATATGTATCGAACTGTCTAGTAGAGTTTGTCATAATGCTTCTCGAGAAGTCACGTTCAACTTCACCAAAGAACTCATTGTGCAGAATAACACTGTAGACATATCAGCATCATCCAATACAATACCCATAAGGGTAAGACAGACCGTTTTGGCGGGAGTTCCATAGATGCGGTATGGTCTTGCTTCACCCGCCTAAGCATTATTCTATCCGTTATGAGGCGCAGCTTCGATAGTGCTTCCTCCCGAGCCCTGTTGTTAAATCTTTCGGTGACTAGTATAGTAAGTTAGTGATGAAACGAGAGAACAAGGACGGTAGCTCACTGGGATTCAGGATCTCTTGGTTGAATATTGACACATGGCTGAACCCACTGCAGAGGTGTCAGAGTGGCTGTATGAGCAATTCGTTCCCTATTGATACGACAAACCTATGCCCACAACTATTGCATCTCTTGCTTGCATTCTGCGACCAGTGGAGACTCTCACATTTGCATTCTTTACAGAAGTAGCAAGCGAACGGGCGGACCTGAAGAAAACGAAGAAGGGAGAAGAATTCCCCAATTCGATTTTGCACGGGCGTTCCAGAAAGACACCATTTGTAGTTCGCCTCTAAAGCAAAGCAGGCACGAGCTACACTTGTAGTACGTTGCTTGACAAAGTCAATGGGCAAATGCAAATAGCAGGTCAGGGAGTATGCAGTACCTTAATGCTATGCGCTTCGTCAAGAACAAGTCGATGATAGTGGATGGAGTGTATAACACCTAGCAATAGTCCATCGTTATTAGACACGCAGGTGTGATCTCTTCCGTTAATTTACTTACTATCTTCCTTAACGATTTTGCCATTACGGACCCATCCCTTGGACTCTTTCCGATGAATTGATTCTAGACCAGAGTCTATCTCCAGTTGTCAGATACAGGATCTGGAAGCGATTGCAATAAAAGGCATACAGGATATCATTATTACGTCATATTTCTCAATGTCCTTTTTCGTGAGGAGCTTGACCTTTGAATTAGAGTTGTGATACACAAGAACCTTCAGCTGGCCATTGGTGTATTCCTGCCAAGAATCAGAGATCAGGCATTCCTGATGAAGAATTTATATCAACTAACCTTGATTTCGGATTGCCATTGCATTAGTGCAACTGGAGGCACAACAACAAGTGACGGTTTGCCAGCAGGGTAATCTGACATTAGTAGAGAAACAGCCTGGATTGTCTTCCCCATACCCATCTCGTCACCTAGAAGCCCTCCTTTGTAACACGTATTCTCTTGCTGTATCATCCAATTCAAGCCCTCGAGTTGATATGACTTCAGCTTCCGCGAGATACCTAAAGGCTGCTCTGCTGCCACTGGATTGATAGGGGGAGTCTTCTTTAAATCATCCCACATTGATGTGACAAGTGGATGCTGTATCTCAAGTTTCCTTCGTTCTCTCGCAGCCTAAAACTTAGTCAATAATCAAGATCAAAGAATGATGTCCCAGGCCAGCTTACCCGGCGGCTCATCCCCGGGGGGAGTGGACGGTTAGGCGCAGAATATCTTGATGACAGTGCTCGACGTCTGGTTATTGAATTGTTTCTGTCTTCTGGTAGTTGTGAAACCAGCGGCTCGCCATCTTCTGAGGATGGAAGGTCGCTTAATGGGGAGTCAAAGTCGCTTGCTGAGGAGTCAGAACTAAGTTCGTAAGCATCCATCAGTCCGTCTTTAAGTTCATCAGATGAATAGAAATCCTCGCTGTCTGGAATGACTGTCCTCCCGGTTGCTGCAAGAGAGACACTCCTTCCAGGATGCGGCTGCCGTTGTGTTCGGTCTTCTCTTGCCATTTCAGCGATTTCATCTGCATCAGTTAATGGGCAACAATCATCACCTGAAACTTGAACTTCAATGTTAGAGTTATATCTGCTAGGCTTTTGCCGCTTTGGGCTTTGGTACTCCTTCAACTGAAGAACCCGGGCCAGGGCTGCATCCGAATCTTCGGTCTTGCTGTTATCAACAGACATCGCAGTAGAAGTTCGTTTGACACCTCTCTGAGTATTACTAAGAGAATATGCACTTGAGCGTAATTCCCGGGCTCGAGTAGAAGCGCTGATCCGCTTTCTTGACTTTATAGCCGATTCAATAGGGGTGACGGCTACACTGGTTGCGGGAGTATTATACTCGTTCGTCCCATCTCCTGAATTTTCCTCCGTCGAAGTGGATGATGAGGAGGTATAACGTGATACGACATTCTTTAGCGGAATAGCAACCTCAAAAGAATTCGAACAAGGACCAGGGTGTGACCCTACGGGGTTAAATTGCCCGCTGTCATCCTCAACCTTCTTCTGGCTGGCGGCAAACGAAGCTCGAGCTAGTCGTGAAGAAGTGCGCCTAGGCAACGATGAAGAAGGCTGTAAGGAGTCACCTGGAATACCGAATGTTAGTCCAATGCTACAAGAGGAAATAAAGAAATTAAACTCGTCATACTCGTTGCCTTTTTCCCACGAGGCATCTTCCTTCTCGTAGCAAAAGAGTACTTGCCTTGCGTTTCTGCTAATTGTGCCTGTAGAAGAGCATCTCAGGTATCCTTTTAACAGGTATCGGGTATGGTGGAGCACGATGAAGCGTAAGGCTGTCCCACGGGCCTAAGGGGTTGGTGCTTGGAAAGTGAAATATATGGAGTGGAGCAAGCACACACCACTGGAAAACACGGTGTCTGCCTGGAGTTGGTTTGCTGGACTCTATCGATAAGCATAACCGCGCGTAAAAGTGGAACGCGAAATTATCACGGGGTCCTGTGACTTCGAGACGATACCACAATTACCTCTACACTCTACAGACCCGGGACCTTTGCCAAAGCAGTACCATCACAAATATCCGCATCTAAGAACATGTAAGTTTGTGTGATTAATTTCTCGTTAGACAAATTATGGATGATCTTGCTGACTGCCTCAAGGGCGAGTAGAAGACACGCTGGAAACAGTATCGGGGGCCCGTAAGTTGCTTACCATCTAGACATCTAGATACAACCCTGATAAAAGCAGGGCTGACACGAACAACTTAGGCGGTCCGCACTGACTGACTTCCTTGCTGTAAGTGCACTGCCATCAGCTCGAGAATGCTCTTCCGCGTCTTGAAGACTCCTTTCGCTGAGATCTGTTCCTACAGTCGAACAACATCTCCGCAGCCCAAATCCGCCAAGACTACCAGATGCGATTACAACGCGCTACCCATCAAGACGAGCCCACAGAGACGCAAAACGAAATTGAGAACAGCAACGATGACGACGATAATGATGATGATTCAGTTGAAGTACAAGAGCAAGGAAGAAAGCGAAAGAGAAGGCGTGCTGCTGCTCTTTCTAAGATTAAGCAGAACAAGGAAGCCGCTCGCCGTAAGTCTCGTTGTATCGGAGGAAACGATGAAGATAACGACACCATTGTAAAGCAAATGAACAATGAATTACAGAGAATACCCGACCATATAGAGAATTGTGAGATTTGTGGCAAGCGTTTTACAGTCACTGCATATAGCAGGACTGGTCCAAATGGTGGCCTGCTGTGCCCTAAGTGCTCCAAAGATATGGCAAACAAGGAAAAGAAACCAACTGCAAAAAGGCGTGGCCCCAAAAGTGGGCGTCGCCAGAATCAAAGCAACCTGCTCGATGGCGTCGCTCTGCAGGGTGCCTCTAGTTTGGTTGAAATGTGTACAAAGGTAAACTTACAGCTTATCCTCCCCAAAAAAATATATATATATATATACATATATATATATATATAAAATACCTGAAGTGTTAACCGCTTCCAGAAAGTTGCAGATAATATTCAAAATATCGAAGAGTTCGGCGATCTGCCAAGACAACTGCTTCATCGTCTCAGTCAGATATTATCCAAGCGGCGTATTATTACCCCGAGAACGTTGAACTTGTTTCTACGGCCCGACTTAGATTCCATTGATATCTATGACTGTGCTAGTACGTTTCTTGATTGGAATTTTCCCTTGTGTGCTAGTGATTGCTGATTCGTTCACAGAACTCGAAACAGATGACTTTCAGAAGATATTTATGCTCATGCCTTTGCTGACCAATGTCAATCTACGCTTTGCCGGACAGATGAAAGATGACTCGCTTAAGTGTATGATTAGTCACAACATTCAGATTAAGAATCTGTGCTTGGATGCCGTTAACCTAGTCTCCGACCCATGCTGGCGACTTCTCTTCCAGAAGGTCGGATCGAGGCTGGAGAGCCTGAAGTTGTCCAACCTTGATTCTTCTCTGGATGACGAGACCGTTGATGAGATGTGTAGGTGTTGCACAGCTCTTCGGCGACTCAAGTTGAAAGAATGTTGGCGGACTGGTGATGCCTCTCTTCGGGCAATTTCTACTTTGACAGCTTTGGAGCACTTGTCCCTGGGTTTCGTCCAAGAAACCAATGCTGATGCCCTTCTCGGAGTCGTCTCGAGGCTTGGTCCGAATTTGCGAACGCTGTCTTTAGAGGGGTTCCCCGATGCGGATGATCGTCTTCTTAGTACGATTCACGACCAATGCCGCCTACTGTGTAAACTTCGCCTCTCTGACAATACTGTATTTACTGACAAGGGTTTCGTCAGTCTCTTCAAGGATTGGCACAATCTGCCATTAAGATCTGTGGATCTTTCGTCTACGCGAGACGTGGATTACTCGAATCCAGATGGTCCAAGTGACCCGACGGGTCTCGCATCAGAAGGGTTCATCGCTTTGATGAAACATTCGGGTTCTACGATCCAGTCTCTGAATATTGCTTCCTGTCGCCATATATCACGCGCTGCGTTCGAAGCAGTGTTCTCAGAAGATAGAACATATCCGAACCTCAAAGAGCTTGATGTTTCATTCAATACGGTCATGGATGACTATCTTGCCAATCGTATCTTCCGGTGCTGTCCTTCGCTGAAAAAGCTAATCACGTTTGCATGCTTCAATGTGCGGGACGTCCGTGTCCCAAGGGGGCTTGCCTTGATCGGTGGTTTGAAAGCTCAAGATTCTATCATTGTCGAAGGCGACTCCTAGAAGGATATAGTCATATGGTCTTTTGGACGTCAATTGCTCTGGAATCGACGGTCAGCTCGTTAATTTTCGAGTACGAAGATTGACCTTGGTCTCAGTAGTAATAACTGATGTGAAGCTTATAATTCTCTACTTCAAAGGCAGCTGGATTTCTAGCTAAATATCAACAGATGAGAAACGTACCCTGAAAGTGGACAAGAATGAGATTTTGGCTCCTGTGCGATATCTCTTCCATCATGTCCTTTATTTTTCCTGTCTGTTGTTAACTTTTGTTGAAATGAAATGGCTTTGCTTCCTATCCATTACAGTATTATTACTCCGTAACTAACTAACGTAATTCACGGCCGAGCGGCACACCCACCCCCATTAGAGGATTTCAAGATCGATTATCTCAACCAACACCTATTAATTCAACTAAATATAGCGATTTTTACATGTATTGATTCTGTGGCCAATCTCCCTACACCCACTACACCTAGGCGGAGCCCTGGTGGCCAGCTGATCTGCCTGAATAGGTAATTTGCCCTGCATATAAGAATCTACTGCAGGTGCTTCTGCTGGTAAATCAAGCTATGCAATTAGCTGTAGGCCCTCTTCAACAGTTAAACCCTTTTTACAGGATATCTGCTTAGTTGACTGAGTATGCTTCTTTACCACTTTTCATTTGCTGCACATAGATCCATGTTTTCTTATACTAGAAGTGTGGTGTTGTGTAGTGCTATGCAGTGGCCCTTAATAATCTGATCCAGTATAGTTTTTGATAGGCTTAGAGGGCTATTTGACTGCTGCTTTAGCAGATCTTTAAGCATTAAAGCTTGCTTTTTGTCACGGAACTCAACTAGACGATGAATAGGATGCTATTCAGCTATCTAGGCAGCTATCGATGAGAACTTCAAGCATGAAGAGGAGGGAAAAAGGAAGAGATCTACGTGAAGCTGGACGGCATTCCTATCCACGCACCACGCTAATCCAAATAAGGAAGCTCACGTGCTCGTCCTGGTCTACATGGCAAGGGCCCTGACAACAAATCATTATTATTGCAGCATAGAGTTATGCAGGAGGATATCTATAATTTTAATGAAACTGGCTTTGCAATAGGTGTGCCTGTCAGGGCCCTTGCCATGTAGACCAGGACGAGCACGTGAGCTTCCTTATTTGGATTAGCGTGGTGCGTGGATAGGAATGCCGTCCAGCTTCACGTAGATCTCTTCCTTTTTCCCTCCTCTTCATGCTTGAAGTTCTCATCGATAGCTGCCTAGATAGCTGAATAGCATCCTATTCATCGTCTAGTTGAGTTCCGTGACATTTGTAAAGAGTTAAATCACTCCCTAATAATCTAAGGTCTTTATATTTAGCTTGCTGGTAATTATATTGCTGGGAATATCTTGTTTTAAGCTTGTCACATCATTTAACAAAGTTATATACCCATTTCTCACAACAGTTGAAATGATAGTTGAACCTCACTTTGATAATAAGATATTGGCCATTTCTTGAATACAGTGGTCAGGGAGGTGCTTCATGTTGATCCAGAGATAGAATCCATTGCATAAGAAATTCCTCCTTATTGAAGTCAATTTATGACTGTTTGCGCATAGCTCAGCTTGATAAGTAGCTCCATGAAATTGTGTATATAGAGTTGATTTAGGCACATTATAGTGACATGCTGCTTGCTGTACAGATGAGACTTTTTTATCTTTAATAGCAGAATTTGCTAACAAGATTCTCCCCTCCTGCTCAGCTAAATTTTTTGATTTTTTATGAGCTTTTGGAGGCATGGTGGGTGGTTGAAATGAGTGAGGTTTTTGACCACGGTCAAAATGCGGAGAGGTGACCGCTCGCTTACCGGATACGTTAGTCATTTTGTTCCACTTTCAACATAGAGGGTGAACCGCTGGTAGTACAGCACTGTTGTACGACAATTTTCATTGATCTAATCCAGGCGATACTTTGTCCTCCCAAGCAGAGACTGTAGGGCATTCCCAATATGCCATCTCTGTGCACTTCTACAGCTCTGTGAACGTTATCAGTGACGGGAAGGCCTTGCTAATCACCCGGACAAGAAATAGCTCCACCACGGGGATATATATAGTACAACTATATCGCTGCAGAGGGCGCCAGCTATCTTGATACAGACGATGCATGGACATTAGAAACTGTACAGTGTAACTGTCTTGACTCGTCAGGGCATGGAAGGTAGGATTACGGATATATCGAGCTGAATACTCCTGCAATGCAATTCTGAATCTGAACTAGTTTCCTGCTAAACTCTAAAATTGCATTTTCCCATCTTCTGTGGACCAACCGATAATTACCCAGAGCAAAGGAAAACTGATTAGTGAACTGGGGTCGACAAAGGGAAACCTTGAACCTCGATTCCTAGAAATTGCATGGAATAATGAACTCTGTACCTGAATTGTGGAGCAAATAAAAGAAAAGATGAAAGCAAGGATATCTTCCTAGAGACTTATGAACGTGCGATGTACAGCGCACAGGGATACTGATTAATGATTACTACCTACCTTGTACCCGGTTCCCAGGGGCGATCGCATGGACCATGGAACCGAGTTGCAGAGGCCAGACTTAACTTCGGAAAAGACTTCAAGTGGCTGGTGGCCTATCATCTATGACGATGCTGAAGACCAAGGTCTGATAATAGCATTACGCCACACAGGAGATAGATATGAGACAGATCAGATGCGTGCTCGTTCTCTGACGCTGCCGGGCTTCCAAGTTCCAACCACACCAGCCCCCTTCAACTTCTGGCTTTGCCAGCGGATCTTGCCTCGTGCCCCCTTTAAATATAGCCCATGCGGTGGCGTACTATTATCATTCGCTATTGCCTCTGTGGATATTATTTTTATTGGTATTGATTTTTAAATAGCGTGAACTATTATAATCATGCTAAGACAGAGAGGCACAAGAGTTATTATTAATACTCTCTATGCATGCACCTACCAATGTCCTCCCCACTCTCCGATCTCACCATACATATTCCCGATCACTGCGGATGCTCTTCCAGGTATCATTCTTTATTAATTTTATGTACAGGTGTCCTGTACGGAGTAGTAGATATAATGACTTCATGGATCTAACCAAGTGTCTATGCCTATGATCTACGCTGTATTTCGTAGATTCCTTTTCGTCACAGACGGTTACGAAAATCTGGAGGAAGAATATCCATCGGGACAGAGATCAGGAACCTACAGCATAGACAATAATATACTAACAATACGGGGGCATGTGTGTATAATAATATTTTATTTTACTCACCTAGTCGCTAGTACAACTCTTGTTGTTGTCCAGTGAAAACCTGGCTCTGCAGGAGTTTCAAACACCACCTTGTTCTCTCTCCCACCAAGAAGTCCTCTCTCTCTCTCTCTCTCTCTCTCTCTCTCTCTCTCTCTATGGTTATTTATGGTTATTTTATTTTCTTTTCCCCATTCTGACTGCCTTGACTATCATCATTATTAGTTATTGTCCACTCATTATTGCCATCATTGCCCTTCCTGTCATTTAGTGCTGGATACGGTCGGCATACGCTAATAATAATCTTCTTGTGTTGGATCACGTGGGATTCTGCCGCATAGGTCCGCCCTCGCTGACCCTTTTCACCACGTAGGCCTATCTAGCTAGTGACCAACCAACAATACACCTCCATTAGGTTATGAGCCCGTTTCTTGCTCGGAAATATGAGCTATTTTAGGCCCGTATAAGTGGTCAATTTAAGCCCTCTGATTGGCTGAACCAAAATTCCATACCCCAGATTCCAAAAATTCCAGGATCCCAGATACGGTCCGAACCTGAGCATGTCAGGAGAACCTACTACGCCTCCCGCTACTGCTATACGACGATCACGTCGCCGAAATCTCCAAAACAGGTCCTCGAATATAGACGAGACCTCCTCATCAGTTGTCTCTGAAGAGATAGAGACCCCAACGCCTTCCGGAGCCAATCTGAGCTCTACCAATACCGCCAACATGGCTTCCACAAACGAACTTACCCCTGATCTTGCTGATATGATGCGACAAATGCTTGCTCGCCAGAATCAGATGGAACAAGATATGCGAGACCGTGAAGCTAGAATGGAGCTAAAACTGGCATCTATCATCCAGTCTAATACTCCACAAGCTTCCTTGCCTTCAAATACAACCCAAGATACTACACCAATGGATATCCAACCGCCTCTGCGAGATACCTCAGACACAAATATCAGCAATGCTATTGCCCTTGTCCAAGCCGATGTCGATACGCTACTGCCTGACCGATGCCGTGTCATCTTGACACTGGATAATTACGATGCATGGAGCTCTGCCATACAAAAAGAAGCTGGTATTCTCAATGCTATTACAACTCTTCACCAGGACTCTCCTCCTGCTGGATCATCTCCACTTGATGCTGCAGTTTGGCACAGAAAAGCCATTGTCATGAGAGCCCGTATGCTCAATGCCATGACAACCCCTGCTTCCGATAAACTAGGCACCGTATATGACCTCTCTGCCCATGGTCTTTGGGACCGAGCTGCCACACTTTTTGGCAAATCCACCGGTGAAGAGCGAATGGCCCTTACCATGGAGCTCAAAGAGCTCTATATAAAGGATAACGATTATCTCACCTACCAGTCATCCTTTAATCGAATCTTTGACCGCCTACACGCTATTGGAGAAGAATCTCTTGAAAATCTCAAACATGACCTCTTCTTTATAGGTCTCCGGGACTGGAACCGCGCCTTTATCAAGAGTAAACTAGATGATGTCTACTCTACTGGCCGTGCTCCGGTTACCAACCTGGATCTTAAGGTTATCCAGACCCAATTATCTACTCGAACCGGCACTAAATTCCGTGATACTCATTCTCAAGACCGGTCAAACCAACAGAAAGAGAACTCCCAGAACCGCAGTTATTCAAAACAAGCATCTGGAACCAAATACACAATTCCTCAACGTTCCAATAACCAAGATAGATCTCGTCATACACTTATAGACTGTGATCACTGCGGAAATCGCCATGGACTTATATGCTATTTTAAACATCCTGAGAAAGCACCAGAGTATAGACGCAAGTTCTATACTACTATGGCTAATGCTCTCCGTGTTCAGCAACAATCTGAAGCAAACCCACAATCAAACCAGGATCACCCTGCTTCACAGGAACTTGTCTTGCATAAGAAACTCTCCAATGCCAAATCTGCCATTGTGAAGTCTGCAAAGACTCTCTCATTTTCCAATCAATGGTTTGTTGACAGCTGTGCCTCTTTCCATTCTACACCTGACCGTTCACTTTTTGCAACCTATAAGGCCTTGCAGAAGCATGATCTGGTGGAGACAGATTATATGGAAGGTGCTCAAGGCCATATCTCTATGCCTCAAGGCATTGGCACCGTGATTATAGATATTGGTTACGGATCTCTGATCCTAAGAGACGTCCGCCATGTTCCTTCCTTTACTTCCAACCTCATTTCAGAAGGCATGCTTGTACGACAAGGCTTTAGGCTTCAATATACACTAGATTGTGAAGTCAAGCTGATTACCACACCATCTGGAGCTGAATTCCAAGCCCAATTGTTCAAAAACAATGTTTACCTCCTTGAAGACTGTCTATCTCCTGGAGAAGAAGAAAATTCCTATGCCTTTGTCACCACCCGGTCTGGCAAAGAAGTTAACCGCCCAGAAGAGCCACCTGCAAAGGCTCCCACAATTAAGACACCAGCTGAGGCTCCTACTCCAAAAGAGACCCCGGTTCTAGGGAAGCCGCGAACTACTAAGATATCCCTACCTATCATGGCCTGGCACCGACGCCTATGCCATCTCAATCAAGCCGATCTCCTCCGCCTCGCCCGAGATCCTGAGTCTTGCATCGAAATCAAAGGCTCTAAAGAACTCCCATTTTGTGAAGTCTGTATACAGGCTAGACAGACACGCTATTATAGCAAGGTCCCTAGGTCCAGAGTTACCAAACCCCTTGCCCGAGTCCATCTAGATATCGCCGGCGGTGGACAAACTCTTGATTTTGACAACCCTAACGATGTTGTCCCTGGCCGAATTGGGGCAAAATATGTCCTACTTATTACCGACGATGCCACACATTATCGATGGATTCTCTTCCTTGAGACAAAAAGTGCAGCCATTACCGCTTTCAAGAACTGGCTTCAAAATATGAAGAACCATGGCTTCACTGCCCCTGCCTACCTAGTCTCTGATAATGAATTCCGCTCCACTGAATGGATGGAAACCTACCGTCAGGAAGGCATAGAATGGCAACCAAGCTCACCATATTCACCATGGCAAAATGCCGTTAGTGAACGTGGCATCCGCATCCTTTTGAACGGGCCCGAGCTATGATGCTTGATGCCCCATATATACCAGAACGCTTTTGGGTAGATGCTCTCCAATATGCCACAGATCTTACAAATCGACTCCCTACATCTACCATCTTATACAATTCCCAAATTCCTGGGGGGGTGAATATCAACAAGGACATACACCCCAGCCCTTATCGCGCTCCGTTGGCAGCGTGGACTAATTCATCCATTTCTTCACTCCCCGGATATCGCCGTTGGGGGTGTCCAGCCTGGGTCCATCGGCATGGACCAGATAAACCTGGAAATAAGCTTGATTCGCGTTCTCACTGCTGTTTCCTCATTGGCCAAATTAGTAACCATCAATATCGTGTTTGGGACCCTAAAACTGACACCGTCTTTGTCACCAATGATGTTATATTTGATGAGGATTACAAAGATCCTACAACTACCTCTCCCAAAGGTCCCAGCACCCCTACCGAAGAAAATCCAACTCAATTAGTTGAAGATGAACCTCTCAATGACCAAGATATATGGCTCCGACCTGCCAAAGGCATGTCCCTAGCTTACTTTGCCACTTCAACCATTCCTTCATCAGAAGACAACACGCCTACTTCTTATAAGCAGGCCATATCCCATCCTGATGCTGCTAAATGGCAAGCTGCCATGCAAAAGGAAGTCAACCAACTTAAAGAGAAAGGCTGCTGGCAACTCATTCGCCGTTCTGACCTACCACCAGGGACCAAAGTCATCCCTGGCCGGTGGGTATACAAAAAGAAAGAAATCCCCGGCATACCTATCTCAGAGGATTATCAGGCTAAAGCCCGCTGGGTCATCCGTGGCAACCTACTTGATAAGGACTTCATGGAATCCTACGCACCAGTGGTAAATGAAAATACTACCAGAACCCTCACGGCACTGGCCACCCTGCTTGGCTGGCATACCCGAAAAGCTGATGCCACCCTGGCTTTCCTAAATGGGAAAATGCCCACGGACAAACGTGTCTTTATGACCCAAGTTCAGGGATTCAAAGAAGGTTCTGGAGATCTTGTCTGTGAACTCCTTCAATCCCTCTATGGATTAGTCCCATCTGCCCGCATCTGGTATGATACTCTGGGTGCTTTTCTACGCCAAATCAGCTTCAAATGCTCTGAATATGACTCTGGTCTATGGATCCACACTACCCGGACCCAACTCTATGTGACCACCCATGTGGATGACTTCAAAGTCTATGCTAAACATGAAAATGATGCCATCTGGTTTATGGAGACTCTCTCCGCCAAATTTGACATAAAAGAAGTTGGAAACTCTACCAAATACCTTGGCATGACCATCTCCCAGTCTGAGACTTCATCTTCTTTATCTCAAGCCGACTACGCTGAAGATGTTGTTGCCTCTTTTGGTCAAGCCCAAGCACATCCTGTTAGGATTCCAATGGATCCTAGCCTAATAATTGATGATGAACCAGACCCTACAGTCAACACCAAAGAATATCAACGTGGTGTAGGCTGCCTTACCTGGCTAGCCACCAAAACCCGGCCAGATCTTAGCCAGACGGTTGGCATACTATCCCAATATAACGCCAAACCCACCCAAAAAGCATGGCGTGCCCTTATACACGCCATACGCTATCTTAAAGGCTCCATCAATCGGCAAATTACCTATCATAAACCCACGGAGTCCATTACATCTGACCTCCTCATGCCAAAATGTTATACCGACTCTGATTGGGGTGGTCAACTGACAGGCAACCGCCGGTCAGTTTCTGGATACATCTTTCTGCTTGCCGGAGCCCCAATTGCCTGGAAAAGCCGCAAGCAAACATCCGTTGCCCTTAGCTCCAACGAAGCTGAGTATATGGCTCTAAGCGAAGCCAGCCGTGATGCCCTCTGGCTCCGGAATCTCATCAACGAGCTTAATGTGCTCCCAACTGAATGCCCACCAATATCTCTTCATATCGATAATCAAGGTGCTCACGCCATGGCTGAAGCCGAGCTCACCACCAAGAGATCCAAACACATTGACATACGCTACCATTACGTTCGGGAGAAGGTCCGAGACGGCATTGTTAAACTTCAGACCTGCCCTACCAAAGAACAGGCAGCAGATGGCCTGACAAAACCTCTCCAAACTGAACGATTCAATCATTTCCTGGAACTCACCGGCATACATTAAGCGGCGCTTGCTCCCCCATTTTGGTTATACTTTCTATTCTGATTTACGGCTTCTGATTGGCCAAAGCAGAACCTCTCATTTCTCTGCTTAATTTTGCTTTTATTCTCTCATTTGAAGGCCTGCATAGAGGCCGATTTTTGTATTTAAATTCTTTAGATTAGTCTTTAGGCCAGCTCGTGCGTGGGGGGTGTTGGATCACGTGGGATTCTGCCGCATAGGTCCGCCCTCGCTGACCCTTTTCACCACGTAGGCCTATCTAGCTAGTGACCAACCAACAATACACCTCCATTATCTTGTCGTGATTTCTTCTTTACTCTTTCTGTCTAGCCTCTTCCAGGTCTTTTTTGCCTTCCCCTGGTGAATGAGCCCACCCTGTGCCCAGTTCGCCTGTCAACTTACTGCCTAATCCTCCATATTAACTGCTGCCGTTTGCACACCTTCCTCCTTTCCAGCCAGCTTTGTCTCCTTGAACCTGTACTATCCCCGAGTTCTCTCCCCTCGCCGTCTTCTTGGGGAAATTGTCGGTTAAACGCCATCCATTGTTTATATATATATCTTTGTTACTATTTCTCATCCGCGGATTTAGTGTTGGCGTACACACTTGAACCACCGAGGCATACCTACCTACTCCGGTACGTTCTCGTGGTGCGGATTCTTTTGGATGGCCTGACTGCTTCGTACCCGGTGTTCTGGAAACCCTTTTCTTAGCTGACGCCCCTGTCTCGAGTTCCAAAGGCATAGGTAATCTATCGAACTTGACCTGATTCGAACGTCATCGACTTCATTTTGATCGCCAACGACAGCTCGATCTATAAAGGTCAAGTGCTTCGTTGAATACCATAACTCGTTGCTGTACATTGCATGTGAAGGAAGACTGCGACAGGCGTGTTGGGCGACTAAGGAGGACGTCTTTTCTTTCGCTTGTCTCGTAGGAGCTGTGGAAAAATTTGTTTTCCAGCACCAGCACCGATGCCCATCAAGCTTCCTAAGGGGTTCGCGCGGCGGAAGTCATCTGCCAATGCCTTAGAAGAGTTGGAGAATAATCCTCAGCCATCTTTCCGGGTAATCGAACGTCACACTAATGAGGGGAGGTCGTTTGAAGGGGGTGCATCGAGGGGGCAATTGGAGGAATCGGACAATATCTTCGCCGGAATTGAACCGCCTTTTGCCAAACTTCGGTATGGAATGATCCATAGTCCTTGGATCCAACTAACAAATAGCTGACCTGATGTTAGTGGTAGCAAAGGCACTGACCACACGGCGTCTACTGGACGTATGTACGAGAGCTCATCGTCGACACGGTTCAGCTCATCGTCCACCCTTCCTTCGTCTGCAGATGCTCCAGCAAATGACGATGTCGTCCCGCCACCTCCGAGAAATCATCATGACCGTCCCATGACTCCGTTGGCTGGTGCGCTGCGTGCGGCAGGTCGCACATTTTCCTTTGGTGGAAGAATCTCCAAGTCATCAGCACCCGCGCCTGCGCCACAGCCTTCTGGTCCATCGAGGAGCAGGGCAATGACGGCTAGCACGACCAGCACTGCTACTCCGCCGAAATTACCGGACCATGATCTGAACCTTGGTGGGTTTGATGATGGCTTCAGAGATGTATTCAGTGCTTTTGGAAAACGGGAAAGTGTCGCCTTGCAGGAACCCTTTTCTAATAAAAACATGGACACGGTATTAAATCACCCATAACAGGCCATCCCCCGTTCTCCGCACACCAGAACCTGTACGCTAATGGCCTATAGTATCCTCCACCTCTCCGGGGTTATCCACCAAAAGAATTCCAGAAAGATGAAATATCGCAATTGCCATCTACGAGCGCAGCTGTTCCACGTCCACGTCTCTCATGGTCCAGCCACCAATCCGAAGACGAATTATTAAGTAACCCTGACTCTCGGCCAGGAAACACCATCGCACCAACAACAGGTCCGCGCCATGCTTTTACCATGCCATTAGACGACGGGGAGAAGCCGCTACCATCACCTGCGCCAAAGCCCATTCCGACAACTTCTCATCGCTCTCTTGAGAAGCCTGTGACAGGCTCCGGAAAAACCCTGAGGCGGAGCCTCATGTGGACTAACATGCGGGAGCCTTCGTCACCGGTTGATGATGCAGATGCCAAGATCGTTAGGGAATCTCTCCTTGGGAACAAAGAAGCCTCTAAATCACCAGGATCACCGAGTTATGAGAGTGATGATGTGAACAATGAGGAATCGCTTTTCGAAGGTCGAGAGAATACGGTCGTAAACCGATACAAACCGGAATCGGATTCTACTCCTCGACCTTCCCATACATCTGAATTCACTGAGATTCAACTGGATAATTCTATGGCAGCCCATGCAAGGCTCGCAGCGCAATATGAGGAACGTGTTCCGAGATCCCCTTCTCCGCCGAATAAGATCATGACACCCTCTCAATTTGAGCATTACAGACAGCAGCAGGAACTTAGAAGGTCTAATAGCGATGCGTCCAGGAGTGACGATTCCGACGAGAGTGATTTTGATGAAGACGATGAGGCAGAGAAAAACCGCGAGGCAGAAAGACAGAGGCGCCAGCAGGAAGCCCGTCTATCCGTCTATCGTCAGCAAATGATGAAAGTGACGGGACAACAGTCTCCCCCCTCGTTATCACTTCGTCCAGAAATGAGCAGCAGTACGCCTAATCTAGCACCCCCAACTTCGAACTCGGGCCCCAAGCCCGATAGTGGGAAGAGTAGTGACGCAGATGATGATGAAGAGATTCCCCTTGGAATTCTGGCGGCACACGGTTTCCCTAATAGGAATCGTCCTCCATCTCGCCTTGTCTCATCCGCCTCTATACCAAACTTGCGTGCTTCACTGCAACCGTCGTATGCTGCTCCGGGTTCAGCCGCAGACCATAACCTGGGCAACAGAGGCAGTTTGCCCGTGTTTGCAAGGAATCTACCCCGCGATCCCTACTTTGGAGCAAGTTTGGTCAATCCTCCAAACAGAGAATCACTGGCTATGGGTGGAGGCTCACCAGCGTACGGAGGTCCCCCGCCGCCACTACACCCTGGTGGACTTGTCGGAGTGATCGCCACTGAAGAACGAGCTAGAGCAACAAGAAGAGGAAGTCCAAGCGCCATGCCCCAGACCCCTAGCGGTGTACCTAGGCCTTTTACGATGATGAACATGAATATGCCTAGTGCCCCCGCTCCGCAGTCGGTACCCACACCTACAGAACAAGCACAGATCCAGCTCTCTCAACAAATGAGTAAAATGGTGCAAATGCAGATGCAGATGATGCAGCAGATGATGCAGATGCAGGGTGGACACCCTGTACAAGGGCATCCTCAGTTACCGATACCTAAGCATTTTCCTTCTCCTTCGTTGGCCGGCCCAAACATGAGACCGGCGTCTGTTCACGCAACTGGAGGATTTAGCAATCCTCCTACCCGTACTCCTCAAGTTGATCACCGGACACTTAGTATGCTTGATTCTAACATGCCACATCCATGGGACGGTTCACCTATGCCGTTTAACCCAGCTAGTAACAACCGGGCAAGCACAATGACCGGGCAAGGTTATGCGCCATCAATTGCTCCCTCAGAACGGAGCAACATTGGGATGGCTTCTCGATATCGCCCTATTTCTACGGTACAACCAGAACAAGGCTTTAACAAGCGGGCCTCCACATTCACTTCTTCTACATTAAAGCCATGGAACGATGAACATCACAGAATGTCTATTTTAGCTGAATCACCAGCTCAGGCGCATTTAGAGAAGTCGGCTTCAGGATCGACCTTGGCCGCTCGTCCAATAACGAGCGACAGCAGAACCACTGCCGCTGGAAAGCAAAGCGTTCCTATTGGGTCGGACGACGATGATGATGACGAGGGCTGGGCTGAAATGATGAAGAAACGAGAGAAGAAGAAAAGCAGTTGGAAAATGAAGAGAGAGACAACATCCTTGGGCGAGCTGCTAAGCCCTGTGCACTGAAAGCAAAAATGCTGGCGTCTGATGTGCGAACGAATGCATATTCAACATCCCAAGCTCACTTGACTTTCTGATTCTAATATATTCACTCCACCTACTTGTGCCTGGCATATATCTTGTTCTAATATTATTTATACTATACCTAAGATTGGCCTATGTTGAAATTTTCATTTTTTAGAGCGGCTGTTGCGCGTTGGGGGTTTTGGATAAAAATCATTTGTCTTGTTTGATTTTATGATAATCTTAATTCTGTTTCGGGATGGAATAGAGAATGGTGTTTGAATAACCAACTTTATATCTTCTTTTCCCACTCAAGCTAGCTGTGTCTTATATGGTCGAGGCATACTATGTATGTACGTTGCACTGTGCATTGCTCATCTGACTTCCATCTCATCTGGAAGTGCATGTACATATATATCCGGTTATTGTTGGAATAGATCAGGTAGGCTATTTTTCAAATGCTTCTTGTATAAAACCTCATTCATGGGGATAGGGCCAGGAGGGATATTCAACATGGTTAGGCTTCCATGAAGATGGGAGAATCACGTGCAGGCATCTTCTGTCAGTGAACGCGGAGCTTTCTTTCCCTTAAAGAGATCTTTATATATCTCCCTTTCATTTCAACTTGCCTTTTCTCTTCCTTTTCTTTTTCTTACTTCCTTCACTCACTTGCCAAGTAAACAGATGACAATACGAAAGTTCCTCTTTACCTTCTTTACCCCTTTCTAACAGTGCTTTTTGGGTTGATTTTGCCACTTTTTGGACCCTATCATTGTCTCAATCCGTTAATGAAGGATATACCATTTCTTAATACATTTAATACCTACCTTACTATATTTCTCTCTTTCTGTTTTCTTGGAGGCAGTTCTCTTTTGGAATATCACTTGTCCCAGCTGCTGCTTTTGCAAGGGACATTTTGAATATTGAACAGGCATTTAAAGAGCCCTAAGAACAGAGAGAAGCGACAGAATATCTGGGATATCCATATTCAACCGAGTCTTCAAGATGAATGCCCCTGATCGGTAAGAGACCCCCTGCACTCCAGAGTCCCTTAGCTTTACCCTTCTGTCAACTGCATATTGCATCATGTTCTTTGCACATTGCCATGGCTGCTAGCCTGAATGCCCACAGCGGCTCCTGCAGTCTCCCCAGAAACCCAAAATGGAAGGAGGCACTCAATCTCTCAGTCCCTATTCCTGCAATTTTACTGTCTTGTTTGTCAAGGGAGCTGTTGGTCATCAGTGCTCTTCCCATCTCTATCTGCTGTGGACCTGTCAAGGCTCCTCAAGACTTCTTCCTCACAGAAGCATTACTCTACTTTCAGTGGCTCTGTTATCTTCTTCCTCCGTCTTCCAGCTTCCTGGCAAAACATACTCGTGTTCCATCTTGCCTAAATTTCCTCGTCTTTCTGCAGTCTGAAGCATGGCTCCTTCGGACAAGGGGTTTATTCTCCCCACGGAGATGGCTTATGCTCGCTGGCGATACAAGTCTAGCGGTAGTCGGCATGGCTGCCAGTCCACTATCAACGTTTCCCACGATCAGCAGCCTAGGTCTGCCTGCTTTCACTCTTCATCCCCTCTTTTATAAATTACCACCTTCCATCATCAGTGCTACCTTGAATATGACTATATCTCTGCGGATTGTAACAAGATAATATGAGTCGATTTTACTGACTGCTCTTGAAACTAGTTACGAGTCCTTTGTCCTTGCAAATGGCGAGAATAAGGTTGAAATGGAAGTCGATACTCGTATGTCATCTGCATCCTGAGGTCGCTGATTGAGACGAGTACTGAAATCAAGGTATCGCAGGTATCCCATCTTCTGCCATATTCACTTTCAACAAGGAGGACCATACTCTCGGCAACATGATCCGCTCTCGTCTCTTGCAGAACTCTCATGTTCTCTTCGCTGGCTACAAGGTATGCGTGTGGCTTTCGCGTTCCGCAGAACGCTCATGCGACTAACTGTTGCCATTCCAGGTGCCCCATCCTCTTGTTCCTAGTTTCATTCTCCGTGTCCAGACCGATGGGGAAATCACCCCGAAACAGGCCGTCATCACTGCATGTAATGAACTTGTCAAGGATCTGGGTATTCTCTCTCGCGAGTTTACCAAGGAATATGAGCTTCGCAAGATGGTCGGGGCTACCCAGCAGCAGTCTGGAACTCCGGATGAACAGTAGACATCGTCACGTTCTACGTACTAGCTTCTCAGCACGATGGGGAAACTTCTTTGCTCGAGAATTCGGCGGTTGGCCTGGTTTAATATGTTAAATGGTGATGTGAAAAATCAACTTTAGAATGGAACTGCGCCTTTGAATCCTCGTCATCACCTACTGTAGTAGTGAATATGTTGTACGCTGTAGGATGAACTTAACTAGTTAACGCAATCCACCACCGAGCGGCAGATTTTCGCCGTGACCACCTCAAGCACCATTCAACGCGTCATTTCTTCATACAAATTGTACAAATGCCACTTTCTCAAGAGACTCATCTTCAGATAGCTATAAAGGCCTACGAAGATCAAAAAATTAAATCAATTTTGAGGGCTGCTGAAGTCTACATGGTGCCTGAGAAAATGCTCCATGCCTGCTTGAAGGGAAGGAAACCACGTGCAGAAACACGCGCCAATGGCCATAAACTTATAAGGCCAATTGATTCTAAGAGTTGCAGAAGAATCTTGTATATGATTATGAAGTAGAACCTGCACCATTCCATGTAGAAATTCAGGCTGAATTGGAAATCCTGCTTATCTGCATCCAATAGTCATTTAAGAAATAATTTGTCTTCAATTTCAGTCAGTTTATGACTATTGGTGTGTCTTTCTGACCGTGATTTTGAACCATGAAGCCAATCACATAAAGTATTTTCAGGGATTGCAAAAACTTGCACAGCGTGTAATATTGATTTAATTTGGCCTTTCTGATAGGCTGAAATAGCCATCTGAATACGCGACTCTTTAGAAGGAGGCATATTGCAGTATAGTCATGAAGATTTGACGTGTTAAACAGAGAGAGTAGAAACTGGGTTGAAATCCGCGGTTCGGGGGTTGATTACGTTAACCAAACATCCTCAGATTATGTTAGAGTTCACGTGTATTCTGCCATATTAGACCGCCCTCGCTTGGCCTGACACACTAAAATAGCTAGACCAATCTAGATAGATACAATACAAGCAAGTTGATCCAACAGATTAGTTATGTAAGTTACATGACAGACCAAGCTTCCCGATAAGGCTAGTGCGAGCTGTCCCTGAACGGATCCGCGTCAGCAGCTCCTCCTGATCGTCTTGACCTCACTGCCTACGAATTCCACCTCTCGGCTGTCACTCTCACGTCCTTCCATCTGTATATCTATCCGTTCTGTCATTTGTGTATCTGCTTTCTTTCTTTGCTTCCTTTCTATTTTTCTTTTGGCTCTGATTGTTTTGTTATGTACTCTTCATCGAATTCTTTCCTGGGCGGCGCCAATAGCGCTCGCCCGGGACTGGCTCCATACATGCAGCAACAGCCTACCTTCTCTCAATTTCCTCAGCAGCAACTGTCCCAACCTCAGCAACAGCCTGGGTTTGCGCCACAGCCGACCGGATATCAGTCTCAATTACCGGTACCTGGAGCTTCACAGCTTCAACCTCAGCCTACCGGACTCCCTGCCGGGCAATTCAGGCCTCAATTTACTGGCTTTCCCAGCGCGGTGCCATCGCAGCAGCAGGGCTTCCAGCCTCCTGTCCAGCAGCCACAGTTCACGGGTTATCCTCCCCAGAGCCAACCTCCGCCACAGCAGGTCCCTGCGACTACTGGGTTACCGTACCGCCCGGCCCCGAAGACCTCATCCGAGATGGCAGATTCGTTCCGATCTTCTGCTGGCACAAGTGCCCGCCCCCCCTCCAGCTCTGGTTCGAAAATCCCGAACATTAGACTCTCGTTCATTACGTCCCAAGATCAGGCCAAATTCGAGCAGCTTTTCAAGTCGGCGGTCGGGGACAGTCAAACAATGGACGGTATGTATAGTGATAATCCTTTAGTTTGCCCTTTCGGTAAGAAATTGTTAACTTTGCTTGCAGGAGAAAAGGCCAAGGAACTCCTTTTACGGTCGAACCTTCCAGGGAGCGATCTTTCCAAGATATGGTACGTAGACGGGGACTTGCAGGGCCTATTTGTTCCCTTTTTTGGTTCTTCCGTGTTCGAGGACTGACAATTGAAGGGTGCTATCGGATACCACTAAATCGGGGCAATTATTCTTTCCTGAGTTTGCTTTGGCCATGTATCTCTGTAACCTGAGACTGACGGGTAAGGAAATCCCAACCTCTCTCCCCGAGAAGATCAAAAATGAGGTTTCAAGCATGGTGGATATCATTTCTTTTGGCGTTCCCGACACAAATCCTGAGCCTGTGGTGAGGACGAACGTGCCGAATTTTGATGCTCCGCTCATGGAGAATAAGTTGGCTCCTCCGGCGCCCCAGCAGCCGCAACCACAACAGTCGACAAACTCACAGCTCCTCAGTCGGCTTGCTGCCCAACCCACCGGCTTTTACCCTCAGCCAACTGGTTTCCAGCCGGGCCAGGGTGCTCCTCCAGCTCAGAGTCTCGCACCGCAACCGACTGGCTTCCCGGCGCAGAGTGCGCCGCAGATAATGCAGACGCAACCGACTGGATTTATGACAAACCCCCAACCCACCGGTTACAGCGGGCCTCGTCCGCCACTCCCGCCCATGCCAACCGGTTTCGGTTCTAACCTCACTCCATCGCAGACAGGATCGGCTCCGCTTGTTGCGCAGCCTACAGGCATTCCGGGCCAGTGGGGTTTTGTGAATGCTCCTTCAACAGGCTTACCTAACATTGAGGCACTCAAACAGCAACTCATGCCGCAACCTGGGCGCGAAGGAGGCTTTACAACGGCTGGTCTCTCGGGTAATGCGACTATTCCGTGGGCGATTACGAAGGAAGAAAAGAGGATCTATGATGATCTCTTTAAGGCATGGGATGGCTTACGTAAAGGCTACATTGGCGGTGATACTGCCATTGAAATCATGGGCCAAAGTGGCTTGGATCGAAGCGACTTGGAGCGGATTTGGACTCTAGCAGACCCCCACAACAGGGGAAGGCTGAACATGGATGAATTTGCAGTGGCTATGCATTTGATCTATAGGAAGCTCAATGGTTATGCCATTCCGGCCCGCTTGCCTCCAGAGCTTGTCCCTCCGTCTACAAGAAACTTGAACGATTCAATCGGAACAGTCAAATCGCTCTTGTCACAAGATGCCGAGCATCGCAAGGCATCTGGAGCATTTCTGCAGCCTCAGAAAACTGGTGTTAGTTATCTCAAAGAACACTCCTTCCGTGGAGGAGCAAGCTCTCCAGGCTTCGGCCGGAAGGATGCGACCATGTTTAAAAATAACGACAATGCTGCTGGATACCGTTCGAGTGCGCGCCGTCGGGTAGGAAACAATGGTCGAACTCCATCCCCAAGCGCCTCTTCGCAAGCCTCGGAGGAAGAACATTCTATCGAGCAGCTAAAGAAAAAGATACGGGAAACTAAGATCCTGCTGGATGCCGTAGATTTTCAAGATGCAGATCGGGCGGAGGAGGAGGAGGCTCTGGATCGTAGGGATCGCCGGGAGACAGAAAGTCTTATGGATCGGATCCGCCGCGTCCAGGATGACATTGATACCCATCCGAACGCATCTTTCCGTCTTCTGGACAATGGGGCAGAGCGAAGATCGCTTCGCCGTCAACTTCAGTCCTACGAGGACCAAGTCCCGCAACTGGCTTCGGATGTCCGCAGAGTTGAGAGAGAAATTGCCGAGGCTAGGCTCTCACTCTTCCGCTTGAAAGATGCCAAGGCCCACCCTACCAGTGCATCGAACATCATCGGCACCGGTCCCGGCGGCACTATCACAGAGGCGGACCGCATCAAGGCCCGGGCCCGTGCAAGGATGCAGGCCCGTGCAGCTGAGCTTGCTGGAAGACCAGTCCCAGTCTCGGAGGATGACGAGATGGCTGCCGCTCGTCGCTTGGAGGCCGAAAGTGTCACTGTCAAGGCAGAAAAAGAACGGAATGACACTATGACGCATGATGTAGAGGAAAGTGTCAGAGAATTCGCTCGGAGTCTCGAAGATAGCCTGAAAGGTGAAAGTGAGAATTCAACTCGTGAGCACGAAAGGCGGCGGTGGGAAGATGCTCTGGGTGTTGAGGATGTGATCCGCGATTTCATCTATGAACTGAAACGCAATGCTAGGACTGCACATATCCGTAAGGAGGAGTGAGTTCAAGAAAAGATAGCCATAGTATTATTTGGAGGGGTTGGTACTAACGAGTCTTAGGGAATCGAAATCGTCGTCCACTCTCAGTGAGCAGCGTTCCGGACATGAGTCCTCATATACTGAAGGTGCAGGCTCTCTACGGGTTTCTCATACACCACAACCTACAAGCTCTACAGTCTCGCCAGCACCGTCTACGCCATCCACCCATGAAGAGCGTGTTGCAGCTGCAAGAGAACGTGCTCAGAAACGTATCGCAGAGCGTATGGCTGCTGCTGGTCTCAAGCCCCAGAACGGTTCGGAAGAAACTCTTCTTCAGCGTCAAGAGCGAGAGAGAAAGGAGCGAGAAGAAAGGCTAAGGCGAGCAGAGGAAGAAGATAACAGGCGCGAGCAAGAGAGACAACGTCGTTTAGCCGAAGAACGTGGCTCTGCAAGCCCGTCCGCCGCTAAACCGATTAGTAAAAAGCCACCGCCTCCTCCCTCACGAAAAGTTAGAACAGATAGCTTCGGCCAGGCCGATGCGAAGAAGGCAGAGGAAGAAGCTAGGGCAGAGCAGACGGCCCGAGAACAAGCTATTAGGGAAGAGCAACAGGCACAAGAAGCTGAAAGGAAACGTTTAGAGTAAGTACTATTAGATAAACTGGGCACAAGGGGAATCTTCTAACACATCTTTTTTAGGGACGAAGCAAAACAACAAGAGGAGACCATCCGGCGAGAGAAAAAGGCCCAAGAAGCCCGTCTCCGAGCGCTTGAAGAACAGGTCAGGCAAGGCAAGATAAAAAAACAAGAGGAGAAACGGCGGAAAGAGGAGGCCCACCGACTGGCCAAAGAAAACGAAGCCAGACTTGCAGCTCAACGCATTGAGCTCGAAGCGGCTAAGGAGCGAGAACGACAGCTTCAGATTGAGTTGGAAGGTCTCAACGAGAGCTCTTCTTCGGACGATGAAGGACCTGTCAATATTACCCCACAAGACAGCACGCCCACCCAGAGCCAGGTGCTTACAGCGACAACTGTTGTGTCTCCTCCAGTGCCGCCTTCGTCAGCCCCAACTCTTCCTGCAACCGCGGTGGAACAAGAGAGGGTACCTAGCCCGGGAGCGAGTTCACCGGCTAGCAGCCGCGCTGGTGCTTCGGGCCCTCCAGCAGAGACAGAATCCAAGAATCCTTACTTCAGGAAGATGGCTCAATCAACTGACAACCAGGCGATACCATCCCCAGCCTTGCCTACAACTGCTGTCAGCTCGCCCAAATCTGAAGTACAAACTACAAACCCCTTCCATCGCCTCGCACAGCAGGAGAGTGCCAGATCCACATTCACGGCATCTCGCCCGCTCGAGCCCAAGTCTCGTGCGCGCCCGGAGGAAGATGACTGGTCTGCGGCAGGTTCCGAGTTTGATTCATCTGACGATGACGATGACGACCGGGCTGGCGGAGGTAGTGCTAAGCAGTTGGCAAGCATACTGTTTGGGACCATGGCACCTCCACGACCTTTGAGTGCTATGGATGATAAGTCCCCGTCAAAATCAACGACTCCAGTACAAGAAAATTTGGCTTCGCCGCCTGAGACTACTACGACCAACGGAGAACCACCGGCGCTTTCAGCTGCTACTTTTCACCCTCCTCCGCCTGCTCCTGCAGGAGTCCCTCCGCCACCGCCGCCTCCACCCCCAGTGGCTCCGGGCCCCCCACCGCTACCTGCTCCCCCCGCTCCTCCTTCAGGAATTCCTCCACCGCCGCCACCAGCTCCATCTGCAGTAGCTGGAGCGCCAAATAGGAGTGCTTTATTAGCCTCCATCCAGGCAGGCACCGGACTGAGAAAGGTTCAGACAAATGACCGAAGCACGAGCTCCTCTGCAGGGCGTGTTTTGGACTGAGGGAGAAGGGCGGTATGCCACGCTAGGCTTGATGGTAGAAACATCCGGATAATATGTGCAAGGGGGATTGAAGATATTGGTTGTATAAAATATCCGTTACATTCTTCCCCCCTTTCTTGTCCCCTCTTTTTCTATAGTACCCCATAGCCATTTGAAGTTCATTTGAATTGTATGCATATGTGTATACATACATGTATACAGTATGGAGTATATCACAATCTATATCCCAGCATTGGGTGCTATTTGAGTATTGTTGCAGTTACTCATCTCCGCAAAATTGAAAGTGAAGCTGTTGCTTTAAGAATTGACAAACGGGCAAAATAACAACAATAATAATAAATAAATAAGCACTGAAAAAAGTATTCCGTAGTATGAGACAAAGACATATATATGCCGTTGTAAATCAAATCAAGTGACAACCTCAGCGACAACATTACCCAAGGTGCTCACACCCCATAAGGCGATAAGGCCCCAGCCGATTTTCCGGTCCATCTTCCATTTATTCAATGGAATGACGACCAGTAAACTGACGAGGGTGATTAATAACGTGGCCCCACTGATAACCAGAACCTTGGAAACAGTGATTTCGTACGATCCTCTGCTGGCACTAGGTGCTTCTATGATTTCCGGTCTCGGCGAGTTCCAGGTCATATAGAGACCACCGATGCCGATTCCCAGGAGGATATTCAACATAGGGCCACCAAAGCATGCGCTCAGGGCCATGACGGGATACCCTAGACGAGCGACGGTTACATCCGCTACAAGGTCGCCCAGCGAATTCCCAACGGCGAATACAGTAAGTCCAAGGAGGGAGTCACTGATATTGAGAATTACTCCAATGGTCTTCAGGAGACTGACAACCTCAGTGGCTATGGTGGCTATCCAACAGATAGAGACGACAAAACCGAGCATGGAAAGGAAAGGGCGCCATTCGCTTGGCAGATGAGAGTGACGGCCATGCCGCGTACCCACTATGAGACCCGTGAAGCATAGGAGTGAGAAGAGCAAAGAGCAGAGAGAGGGCAGCAGAAGATTACGCGGTCTCAAGTCCGGATCCACACTTGTCCAGCCGATTACAGAAATGAAAAAGGGCCCCGCAAAGAGCTGGATGGAGAGAAGCCATCGATTCCATTCCTTTGCACGGGGTTGTGCCGGCGGGGGTGAGAACTCTTGAGCGACGAGCGCTTCAGAGTCCCAGCAACTTCTTCCCGAAGAAGAGTGTCGGTGCGGTTTATTGTTCGGGACCACTTCCCGATGTTCATTTTCCAATGTGTCATCGCAGGCTGTAATAAAAGGACTGTCTTCTGGTAGTCTCACGAGAGGTGCCGGGTCTTCTCCGTTATTGGCTGGAGTCACAACTACGGTAATCGGGTTTGGGACAGCGTCAGGAGGTGGCGGTTCGATGACTGGTAGTGTAATCGTCAAGAGCAGCACGCTGGGTGCTGCAATAGTACCCAAGAGCCGTTCCCAAATGCTCTTGGATGTCCATCCATATAAGGAAGGGAAAAGCGTCGAGAGTAATGATTCAGGTGGGGGAAGGACCCTGTAAGGCCACCATTTCACTGGAATCCCCGACTGGCCATCCTCTTCGCCATATCTGTCATGTATCTGAAGTAACTCCGTAGGGCTTGCAGCAGGTGGTAAGCGGATACTTGGCGCCCGTGAGGAAACCGGACTTGGGGAATCCTGGAAGGGGGGGAAGGGGATAATAGGGCTTTCCGGCTCAGAGTCTTGGTTTCCAGGAGACGGTGACACTGCCTGAGGCGACAAACCTAGCGGGGAACGAGGCAAAGCTGTTTCTGGCTGGTAGTCGGGAATGCGGAAAGTGTCTGGATGAGGTGGTGCAAGTAACTCCGGTGTCCGGGCACGCATTGTTGACGGACGGCTTGAGCTTCGCGATGGATATCTAGATGATAACGGCGACACTGTTGACCTGACTCGCTGACCAATCTGAGCGGGCTCTAGTTGTGTGCTCTCCAGGCCTTCGATGGGCTCTCTCGAAGACCGACCGACTGACTCATGGGCTGGATGCGTTGTGTTGCGATTAAAAAGGTCTGTGTCTAGCTTTAGTCCTGCGACGTCATTTGCAGAAACAGCTCTGGTTCGGGCAGATGCCCATGCGCTATTCGGGGACAAGAATCCCTCGGTTGACGGCCTTGTGGTATGTGGATGGGATGCTACAGAACGATTGTCCAGCTGATAGGAAGGCAGAGTATCGAAATCATCCGAGTAGTCGCGGAAATTAACTGGGAAGTGTTGATGAGGAGTGTTCCTCGATTTCATAAGAGACGAAAGCACGGATTGGAATTCAAGGGCGCCAACTAAGCTCGGTCTGATGGGATTGAACGTGTTGCGTCTCCTGGAAGTAACAGGGCGCGAAACACGCATGTTATCTCGGATCTCGGCCAGATATCGATTGCGAGTCTCATCGTCCTCTTCGTCTTTCCAGACTGGTACTTCGGGATGCTCTAAATCATTGAAATCCTCAGTAGACGCGCCGTGCAGGAGACTCCTTGACTCGGCAACTTCGGGGTCGTCATCTTCTTGTACTTCGTCAATATCAAGCTCCTGGTTTTCTGGGATATGAAAATGAGTTCGTGCTGCGACATTCCTTTCGTACGCTCTGCGCCGGCGTACACGGTACCAATGCCAGGTGACGACGGTAACGACGTAGAAGCAGTACAGACCAACCATTGCTGCAGATTCCCAAGTGTTCAGTCGACCATCTGCTAGTACAATCATACTGAAGGCCACGGCGATCACGAAATATCCCACGTCGCGAACAAAGCTCCTTCGAGCCACCCTGAATGGTTGGATCAGAGCCATGGAACCCGCGACAACAGAGGTGATAAAGCCCGCAGCCCCAATAAGTTCACCGATAGCTAAACTACCACTGTTCGACCTCATGGCGGCCAATGTTGAGAAGACATCTGGACTTCCATTTCCAAATGCCAGGAATGTAACCCCCGTCAGATTCTCACTCATCCCTAGGATACTGGCCAAAGTGCTCAGGTTGATACATAGGAAGTCACTGGCCGCAATCCCAATCGTACTGAATAATAGAGACAACCAAGCGATAATGATGATGAATGCAAGCGGTTTGGCGTGTGCAAGAGTGCAGTAATAGAACTGAAGGTATGAGAACAGCCCGTCGTCATGGTCAGGGCAGTTGATACGAACGAAGGAACACTGGTCTTTCGCATTGCGAACAAGATGGCACTAGAAGTTTAAAGTGTCAGGCCATTAAAAGTCACTGGAGATAGCATAAGGCAAACATTGGCCGCAAATACCTGTCCTACTACACTTTTTTCGAGCAGAGGCGACGAATCTGGGAGGCTACGTCGCAGGAGTTTCGGTGTAGCAGCGATATAAGGCCAATTTTCCAACCTCTCAAACGCAAGACTGGCAATTGCGAGAAGTGTGAAGATCAGGAGAGAGAGATAGAATGGCTGAATGGAGTATCGACGCCTTTGGCGGGCTGGAGTCTGCGGAAGGAGCATGACGTTGTCGCGGCATACTGTTCAGCCGGAGAGGACAACCAGCGTGAATCAATTTAAGCCATCAATGCATGCGTCTGGGGAATATTCCAATAAATTATATAGTGCTCCTAATGTAATTTTGAATAAGGAGGAGCGGCCGAGAGACGCTGGGAAGGATAGACGAGATGAATAGGGAGTGACATGATACCAAGGTTGCGTTGCAGGAACGAAGCTCGGTTTTCGTATCGTCATTACCACGTTGTATTACACAGGTGTCTCACGTGGCATCTGTAGCTATGCAGCAGACCAATCATATTTAGTATTGGTAATCATTCCTAGATAGGCTAGCGCCTGTGCATCCATGGTCTCTCTGGCAAGGCGTATGTTTTTGTTGACATCCGTCCCCGTTGGGAAGGAAGCAGAAGCTGTCAACGGGAGACCTTGCCTTGTCCACTTAACGACGCCGTGCTGGTTTTCTTTCTGCTTGCACTTCCGCAAGCAATGACGACTTTGGAGAGGCCCCTTCCAATTGACATTGATTTACTTTGGATCATTCCTTCTTTTCTTTTCAACTAAACCTCTCCTGTCTGGCTTCTATTCACAATGCCCCGCGTAGCAAACCCCAAGGTTCATCGCCGTTCACACGGCTCCTTAACACCCCACAAAAATTCCCCTGTCAAGTAAGTCCAGCTGGTTTACTTTGTGCAAGCCAACTGGTACTAACCGAGTCGTCAGGATACCCCTTAACGATGACATGGAAGAGAAGGCAGCGCGGATGGAGGCGCGACAGGCTCTCCACGACCGCCAAATGAACCAGATCAAGGCAGCAGTCAAGACGCCACTCCCTCCTCGAAGGTATGATCCTGCAGCAAGTAATAGTCCCTCGACACCACGCGGCTCGGGACGACGCGGACGGGACAGCGATGTCGATGGGCGGAGAGCAGTGACCCCGATGAAGCGAGTGCCGATTTTGGCCAACTTTGAGGAGTGGATGAAAATGGCAACGGATAATAAAATTAACGCAAACAATTCATGGAACTTCGCGCTCATTGATTATTTCCACGATATGTCATTGCTTAAAGAAGGGGACGGGGTGAACTTCCAGAAAGCCAGTTGTACTCTGGATGGTTGTGTGAAAATTTATACCAGCAGGGTTGATAGCGTTGCGACGGAGACCGGCAAACTGCTTAGCGGTTTAGCTGACAGCCGCGACAGAAAGATGCGAGAAACCAGTGCCGAGGCGGAGGACGATAATGAAGACGACGAAGGTGGAGAGGGAGGAACTAGAAGTTCAAGAAGAAAGGTAACATTACTGGAAAAACTGGTGAATAATGTCTTCTAACCCTCTTTTAGGGGCAACGGTCTCATGAAGCTACGCTTGCACCATCATTCGCGTCATTACAACTGAAACGGTTCGAGCTCGAGTTTGCTGTAGACCCGCTATTTAAGAAAGCATCTGCGGACTTCGACGAAGGTGGAGCCAAGGGGTTGCTTTTGAACCACTTGGCAATCGATGGTCATGGCCGGATTGTATTTGACAGCAGCGATGACATTGTTGACGAGCATTCAAAAGAGGGTAGCGGTGGGCAGGAATCTATGGATTCTGAGCAACATGACTCGCCATCGCATCCCACTGAGCCCACAAATGACGTCTTTGAGGACGTGGAGATTGACATAGCTTCATTGGCTAGTAAATATTTCCCGGATCTGGAACGACTTTCACAACAGGACATTTGCCCGTCTCTGAAGAACTTCGACTTGGGGGATCCAAATGGGTCGCTGGATCTTCCCTTCCTCAAGACCCATGAGGACTGGAGAAATGATAGAACAAACGAGGAAGGTATGGGTGATCCATCGGGAATCATGCTCGACGATGACAACGCCATCGGCTTCGACGACGACGATGCCACGTTGGGTGGTTTCGATCTCGATGGGGAGGCTGGTTTTGGTGAAGGTGGTGAAGTCTGGGCTAGGGAGGCTGCACTGGAACCGATGTTAAAAGTCCATCGCATTGACCAGGATGGCGATGAAAACAACAATGGTGGAGAGCTTGATACGGAAGACCCGTATGCAATCTCCCTTTCCCACCAATCGGTAAATCATGAAAATATTCTCAGCTATTTCGACAATGCCCTGCAAAAGAACTGGGCAGGCCCGGAGCATTGGAAGATCCGCAAAATTAAAGAACATGCAGCCGCGAGCACTACAAGTGCCGCACCTAAGCAGCGGAAAGAAAAAGAACCGTTCGAGATCAATTTTGCAGCAACTATTGATTCCACTATCGCTGAATTAATATACACTCAAGCCGGCTCTAATTCAGCCATCTCCCTACCCAAAACTCAATGGAAGACCAAGGGACGTAATCTTCTTCCCGATGACAAGCACTTCAATTCGCGTCAATTGCTTCGTCTCTTCCTTAAACCCAAAGCCCGGATGGGTTCGAAGAGGCGTCTGGGGACACGACTGTCTGACCATGAGCGACATGGCCAGGCTCCAGGCTCTGGTGAAATGGACGAGGCATTCTGGGCCAATCACAAGACGGAAGACAACGAAGGTCCTTCTGAGGATGCTGCTCCTGGAACTTACGATGCCAACTTTTTCGCAGATGACGATGGTCTTGCATTTCCAAACGGCCTCGGTCTGCAGGGTGATGATGACGATGATGAGAACCTACCATTCGCGGATGCTCAGGAGATGCTTACTCCGTCAGCGGATGGACGACTAGGTTCCTCAGCAGGTGAAGCTGGGGGAGCTTCTGGGCTCAGTGCGCTCCTGAATACGATGGGTGCTGGAGGATTCGGGTCGCAACTAGTAACCCAAGGTGGCCGAAGGGCTCGACCTGACTATGTTGCCTATGCGCGAGTAGCCAAGAAGGTCGACGTCCGGCGACTCAAGGAAGAAATGTGGAAAGGCATGGGAGAGCGGTTGGTCGCCTCAACCAACTTTGATTCCACACATGAAGCAGGGCAATCGATAGCTCCGCAGTCACAGCACATCGAGGAAACAGGGACATCATCAATGCCAACGCAGCCCAAGGAAGACTCGCCCCATACTGCTGTTTCCGAGAAACAGGATAGCGATGGGCTACGGTTCACGCAGATAATGAACTCTTTGAAGTCAGTATATCCTAAGGAGACATTGCGCGACATCAGTACATCGTACGGATTTATTTGTCTCCTCCATCTAGCCAACGAAAAGGGTCTGGTCTTACAAGGCGGCGATCCCTTCGGCGATACAGGGAGATCATTAGAGGAAATTTATGTCGTGAAGGATACTCATGCTGTCACCGAAGAAGAAGCTATGTAAATAGATTACTGCTGAAAAGAGAGAGCTGCCAAGGTCTAATGCCGCTGTGCGGTATGTCGGGAATGTCGAATTGGATGCACAGGTTCTCATGATATCTATTTTATGTCTGCAGCGGCGTGGTGGGGTGGCATTCGTTTTCCAGGTTTTGTGATATATGCTGTACCTTTTTCTTTTCTGCCTTGGAACTAGTAGCAGTCTCTTAGCATGGAATGGATACCCTTATGGTCAATTCGGCTCTCTTTTACTGGAGGTAGGACTGGGTTTATGATCCATTTAGATCAAGCCTTCATAAAATATCATCTTCTGAATCTTCAGAACGGTGGCTTTCAATTTGGAAATGAGCTAGTTAGCAATGGGAGTGGCGTGTCTCCTTACTAAATTCAATCTTTGACTAGACAATTGACTGCTCCAGAATACTGACAGGCCAACTCATAATGCCGGTGGCGCTTCTGAGATGGTCGGGCAAGGATAGCTCAGAATTAGCATAGAGAGAAATCAGTGACCCAAGTATAGCAATGTCCGATTCAACAGATGAACATCACAATGCAATATTCCTGGGCATATGAGGTCAGCCTTAAAAAATCCTTCATACTCTTCTTAAACCCTTCCTTTCCTTGTTTGAGAGGTAATAGATAACATCTGGATATAACCTGTACTCCGTATTCCTTCTCTTCCAGTGTCTTAATACAAGCCGATGACGCAAAAAAGAAAAGAAAGGAATAAAGAAGGGAGGGGGGAGCCAACAAACAAGACAAATGTAACAAAGGAAGAACGAAATATCAGCGCAAGTTACAATAACAATATACTCAACCATAACCGGAAGCTTAGGCATTATAGCGAGACAGAAAACGAGGATACGTAACATAGGCAGCGTTCAAGAGACACAGTTAATGTAATGGCAGCCCTCAAAAATGAGAAAGAAAAAAGTTTCCCTAAATACTCGTTTTGATTAATCTAATACTGATATCCATCCATTGATATTCAATCATATTCGCAAAGAGCAGAGCATTTCATCGGTGAGCAGCTGGGGGTAAGCTAATGTCAGCGTTGAGACGCGAGTAGGCACCCGGTATGGGCACAGCGTCATAAGTTGGCTCGCCAGGCGCTGCACCTATATGGTCGTTGACTCTCTCCTTTTGAGTTGGGGCCGGCGTTGAGAACATCCCCTGTGCTGGTTTAGGCGTCGTACTCGGCGCACGAGCAGGCGGAGGCTGGAGCTGAACCGTTGGGAGCGGGTTTGTCGAGGGCTGGGCTGTTGCGTACTGAGTTGGATAATATTCTCCCTTCTCTGCAGCTGAAAAGCTGTCTTCATATTTTGGCATCGGCCAGTTATACGGTGACTTGGGAAACCGTGGACTGGCAAACCCTGAGGTATTCGGTGCCGATTGAAGACGAAGTTGAGCCAGATACAAGTTAGACCTGGCCTTATCTCGCAGGTCCATTGTCTTCCTCAGCCGCCGCTTGGACCAAAATCTGTAGAAAACTACTGCATATATAAGAATGACCAAGACTTCGATGACGATTTCGATAATCGAGCAAACTAGGGTCCAATCCTACGAACCGGCATTAGCGAAGCGGGAAATTTGATAGGAGTGCTTGAAGAGTTGGACTTACCATAAGGCGGCAGATGAGGCTATAGTTGACATCATTTTGGAACAACTGTGCTCTCGTGTTTTGCTGGCAGGACCAACCCCAAAGATCCTTGCCGTTTCCAGAGGCCTTTGCGTTCTGGAAAACTGCCGCTCCCACAACCCACATGATGAGGGAGAAGACAAAAAAGGCGACTGAAAAGACTGAATAATAGACTGCAAGCTTTTGCGCGCGTTTGTGGCCACCTTTGTAATAACCCCAGAACACAATCAAGCATGCGAACAGTGAGACGGAAGCTAAAGCTATGAGCAGGTATTGGGGCCATGGGTTCGTTCCAATGGCCCATGGAGGTAAGTTGTTGCGAGGAGGGAGTGTCTTTGTCGCATTAAACACAGTCAGAGTTGTGGCCAGGATGGAAAGGACGATGAGACTGCAGCCAAAATTTACGAAGCGGAGGACAGCCTTGGCCGCTCGAACGCGGGTTTTGATTTTCTAGATAGGGATGCGTTAGTAGCTTGAATCGCGGCCACCGGTTGACTCCTACTCACCAGATCCTTCTCATTGCTTTTTTCCGTGGTCTTTTCCTGTTTGTCCAAGATATACTCTTCTTTGAAGGTTGGACTCAGTATATTAAAGTTCCGTGCAACCGAATTTGGAGTTTTCAAGGCACATTTTAGAGGGGTGGCTGGAAGGTGAACTTGCGATGTGCCCTGTCCAAGTTCCCGCACGTTCACGTATCCAAAGCCCACGTCCGAAACATTATGCTTTCCCTGGGACTGTTCAGAAGATTTCGCAAATGAAGACTTTTCTGGATCAAAGGGTTCAATTGGAGAGATAATCGTTGTAGCCTCAGCAAACCGGGCAGTTCGAGGACTTTTCAAGGGCGCCGCAGTAGATTCAGAAGAGCTGCACGCTTCAGCTGCTGGCGCAGGCTGCGAAGTAACTGTCATCCTGGATATGTGCACACGCCGAGTTGAGGTATGATTTAACTGGAGAACCGGAGACTGAAGTGGTCAAGAGATCCAGCTCCTAGCCACCAATACCAACGGCTCTCGACAGAACGAAGCTGTTTTAAGGTAGTACGGTCCTTCACTGTCAAAACTGTGACAATCTGGGACTGCAATAAAACTCTATGTACCTGACCAAAAACTTCACTTAGGGATGATTGCAACTTGGACAGATAGTTGGTACCGCAAGCAGGGTATGCTCCATGTCGAAGTCGTAGGAATGAGAATTGAAAACAAGCCTACTTACTTTGGGGATGAAAGCGATTAATCCAAGATTGGAAAGCAAAGAACGGCCAGGTAGACAGCCCGTCTGGCAAACTCTTCAGCGCAAAGGCCGTGTTGCAACTGTGGGAATAATTAAGGAAAGCGAGATAATGCTTGAATGGAAGAGCTTTCTTTTGCTAGTCTTCTTGCCTTGGACAACTTCTGAGCTACCAGCACTATCTGCAACGATAATGGAGACCAGCAACCAAACCTAGGGAGGAGGAGAAACGAGAATGGATGATGAGAAGAAGCGATGCAGTGATATACAAAGGGAAAAGGCGACCAGGCCTTACTAGTCATCGGCAGCGGGAGCGCGTAGTGATCATGTCCATAAGCGCCGTCATCCTTTTTTTTAATGTGCTTGCTGTTATGGCTTGTCCTGTATGGACAGTGATGCAGAAAGGTGTTTGGTTGTAGACATGCTGGGCGGGCGGCAAGCTGGGCTGCACCCTGTATGCTGTGGTACATGCAGAAACAGTAACACAGGAGATGATTGGACAGGATGTGTAGAACTGCAATGCAAGCGTCGAGTTGCAGAGCAATTTAATTTTTAACAACATCTGGACAATCTCAGACGGCGGTTGATTTGAGGGTAAGGAGAATTGGCTTACTGGCATTCGCAAGTGAGCCATCGAGAGGACGATCTCTACTGCCAGAGCATGGCATGCATGGTTGTCACCGTTAGTCGACTGGGAGGAAGCCAATGGAAGAGTGCAGGAGCCTATTCAGTACTCTTCATCACACAATCACCTTGAGATGCATCGTTCGTCGCCCAGCAGGGCGAATCATAGTCCTAGGACGACGGTGAGCTTGTCTGCTGGCTTGAATGCTGCCGCTCATCTGAGCCAACCATAGGCATCGAATAGCCGCTGCAGAACACACAGACCCGTTTTCTTTTTTTCGCAAAAGCGAAGGATCGGGTAAAATATGATGACTTCCGTAGTAGATAGAAAGATATGTGGTTTATTATTTATTGTCTTGATCACAGCAGGCAGTGACCTGTCAGTATCTGGATCCCGTAATTGGGTATGGAGTAATGGCACCAGTCATTCTGGAAACAGTAGTCTCAACTCTGGATACTGCACATATGTCTCAGTAGAATAAGACCTTGCAGTGGCTCATGCAGCAGGACTTGGATAATGCATGATGGCTAGGTAGGTAAATAGGATCGTGATGAGTGTAGTATGTACTGTATCTTGCTCGGACTGCATATACACGTGATGAAAGTCACATGATAAGTTTTATAGGGTTATGTATTTTAGGGCTTAGGGTAAACCCCAGAGTTTCCGAGTGATTTTCCGCTCCGCCACTCGAGTGGGACACTTGCCTCATTTGCCACACATCCGTGACTGCCAAGCCATGGCTAGATCAGAACAGGCATAGTCTGCAGTGGCAATGGAAAACTTTGCCTGTAGCATGTACTCCGTATGCGCTGTACATGTACGTGCTCTGTACTCTGTAATAGCAGTATGTACCTAGGTACTAATACTACATAAGTTAGAGGTAGTTACCTAACGTACCTGTGGTAATACATGATACATGATACTTCATGACAAGTATCATAACTCTAACCCGCTTTAGGTTCAGATGTGCAGAGTATGGGCGGCGTACTGGACGAGACGAGGGTAATTAATTAAGCTGGGCGATTCGTCGTTGCAAGCACGTCAGAGCACGCAGGGTCTTGATTCTTGATTATTGACAGCAGTTCGAGCATCAGAAGGCTGATTTTCTGGAGGATAATGGATCAGTATGATCATCTGGATTGCATATGAGATAGTTACTAGCTGGACTGAGTCAACCCCACGCCGTTGGAGGCAATCGTACGAGGGTCGCCAGCCACAATGCGCAAGTTTCAGAGCAGCAAAGGATGATATTCGTGTGGTTCGAAGACACAGCCTCACTCTAAAAATAACCGACGATACAGACTGTGTTATTACTGCTGTTGTTGTTATGATCCCCAAAACAGTGGACTTTTGCCTCGTTTCCCAGTTCCAGCATATCCATATCCATAATCACCAACATCATAGCATGCGGCTGCTGTGCCACTGCGGCCCAGAAGAACTGTAGTCTGTCCGTTGTTGCTCATCTTCACTCCCAGTTCTGCGGAGTCTCTATTATTACTATCTTCCTCTGCTGTCAAACTTTGGCGGCTCTGCCTCGTCCGCAGATACCCCGGCTCTGTCTGTCTTTCTCATCATTATTATCCTCCTGTCAAGGCCTCTCCTGCTCTGTTCGTTTTCTTCCAGCCCATCTTGGTCGTTGTTTTAGCCACCGTCATTGGCATTGTCATTCATTATTATTACGCTGGAATAATATCTTCGTCTTTCTAATTCCTCCTTAATAATCCCCTTCCCTCACCCGCCACTCGGTTTTTCCGCTTCCTCGTTTTCCTCGTCGCAATCCAGAGAGAGATCCAATCCCTTTCTATCCTCTCGTACCCGTTCACTCCTCCACAACGCCAGATGCCCCAGTCCTCCCTGTCCCTATCCCGGTTTCAACCTGTTTAATCATCCATACGACACTGCCTTACTCCTCTCGCGCTTGCTAGGCTGACTCCCTCTCTCTTTGTCACCTCTGAGCCTTGACGAGCCGCGAGGCGGAAGGATCCCCGGTCAGCTTGCGCCACGCTCGGGTGAGCGCCCCACGCGACGCCGGTATGTTTCATTGCTTCATGTTCAACTTGCTTCTAGATATTTGAGTCTTTGTCCTTGTATCCCTTCTAAGCCGTTTCATCGAAGCTTGTCTCTTTATTCTCTCACTGTTCTCTCTTTCCCCTCCTAGGGCTACCGGCGGACACTGAACTGACATGGCCTCCGAGGTAGCTCCTCCCGCATTACTCCCTCGACTGTACCAAACTGGCGTCATCTCCAGGTCATCCATGGCCGCACTGATGCAATCTTCTAACGATCCGACTTCCATTACCAATCCGTTGTCCGCTGTATCGAGCTCGGTTGTGTCGAACCCTTCCGAATCCATCATCTTCCTGAAGCAACAGCCAAACTCGGAAACGAGTTTGAGTTCGATCGCGAGCGCTGGCCTGCACGTTTCAAGGTCATCTCGAGACCAATTGCCACAAATGAACCCTTCCAAACCGACTGGGCCGACAGACCGGCCACTGGAACATGAGCACGACTCGCAACAGAGGAGCTCTCAGGTTGCCAGGGAAGCCCTAGGCGCCAGTGAGAAGTCTCACACTGGCGTTATCAACGATACAATGCACATGCCGCCTGACCACATGCAGGTTGACCCGCATGCAGGTTCAGGTAATGTGACGGAAACCTTTGGGACCACCGAAAACAGTACGACCTCACTCGTCAACACCTCGACTGTAGCAAGCCCCGGTCCGATTGAAGACACAGTCTCCCAGGACGGAGATCGTCCGCATCATAGGGACGATGGCGAGATTCCACAAGAACATACTAGCAAATCATTCTCCTATCCATTACCAACTCCTAGTATGAGCGACCCTCGCCGCGGTCATAGTCTACCGAACTCTGGCTTTCACAAGGGTAGCCTGCGATCTCCGTCGGCCAAGAAGCATCGATGCCCGTACTGCCCCACGGAATTTACACGACATCATAACCTCAAGAGTCATCTGCTCACCCACAGCCAAGAGAAACCGTTCGTGTGCCAAACTTGCCAGTCGCGCTTCCGACGACATCACGATCTGAAAAGGCACATGAAGCTACACACAGGGGAACGGCCACACATCTGCCCTAAATGTGGTCGCAGGTTTGCTCGCGGAGATGCGCTGGCTCGTCACAACAAGGGCCAAGGTGGGTGCGCTGGCCGAAGATCAAGTATGGGCAGCTTTATCCCGGAGGACGAGTATGGTGACAACACAGCTCATGGAGGTCCCGAGGATGGCATGGAGGGTCTTGTCTACGCAGAACCGGAACGCATGGATGAAGACGACGAAAGGCGTCTCAGCATGCCCAGCATAAAAACGCACGGTGCCCCGACGGAACACTATCACCGCTCCATCACCAGTGTCTACCAGCCTCGCCAACCTAGCACTTATCCTCCGATCGCCACCAGTCGCCCATCTCCGGGGGGCTTGTTCCCTCCTGCAGCCAGCCATGGCGGCTCTAGTACATCAACTTCTCCCATATCGCAGACCGGTAACTTAAATTTCCCACCGCCGGGGCAGCCATCAGGTGCCTCCATCTTTCCGTCAAACGTTACAGAAAGCCCCAAGTCTCTCTCTCCGAATACGTTGACCTCACACCAGCTTGGCCACGTTTCCGAAAATAACATGCAACTGCATCGCGGCCATTCTCCAGGAATGGCACAGTCGTATCAGCAGCAGACACTCGGTAGGACAGGGGCGATCCCAACTCAACCATCCCTAGCGAACCCGGCTGCTCCTGGTTTAGGGCTTCCTCCTCAGCCAGGTGCACCTCAGCTACCTCCTCCGCCTGGGTTGAGTCCTTCGGATTCTCGCTTCTCACTCCCCAACCAAGCGCCGGTACAACCGTCGTCTTCTGGTCCGCCGCAGCAAACTTCTTCTCACAGTCTCTCCAGGAATCACTCTATCTCAGTGTCCTCAAAGACAGAGGCTCCCCAACAAACCAATAGCAGCTACTTTGCAGGACCTCATGATCCTAACTTGACGGATCAGGGCCAGGAGGACAAGCTCTGGGCGTACATTCGATCTGTGCACGAAGAGCTGACTGGCTTGAAAACCGAAGTGGCTGCACTACGAGCACAAATCGCTTCGTCAAATATGAACTCATCTGCAACCGATCCTCACACAGGGAAATCGCAATCCGAGACCGGGGCCACTAACGCTGGACAACGATGATCCCTTGGGCTTGAGAAGCGTTTTATGTCGACCCCAAACTACACAAGTGTGGGTGTGATGAATGTTGATGTTGGAAAGGGCCTGGAATATAAGCTTCAGTTTGCTGTATTTTCAAGTCCTCTTCCAACAACTACTTTACAGCGCATCCGCCTGTGTGTTCTTTGTGACAATCTTATCTCGCAACATGCTGTTCCCCCATCCCAAGTCTAGCTCCTCTTCTTCAACCGCAATCTTTATGTGTCTTCAAACGCCTTCTCCTATTGCCCGTTTTTGGCTTAGTCTTTTGAATTTATTTCTCTAGACACATAGTGGTCGTCTTCACATATACACCCGGTTTTGGTCTTCTCCCGCCTAGCCCAACCTGTCCATCTCCTGTGCTGCTTCGGGATGCATTCAGGTTCATTTTCTTTATATGTTACTTGTTTATTTTTATTACCGTCGTTTTGTCGTTGTACTATTTACAGTTTGCTTTCTGGGACGAAGGGGTGGGAGTCCGGAGTACAAAACGGATCTTTTTGTAACCATTTCTCTGCAGTGGGCTCACATAGCAATTAGCTGGAATATGGATATACCGTTTACTCCGTCGGAATATTATGAGATACCTGGTTTTCTTTTTTGTTTTCTTTACTATTGTTGTCTATTATAATTTGCATTAGGCACTATTTTCGTTGATGGATTAGTAGATTGAATTGAATATCATTTCTAGCTTTGAATGGGCTCCAGTGGTTTCCAGATAGAACCAGGAAGGAAACAATTAGACTACCATAAAGACAACAGATATCCTGAAGAGGCCCCGTAAGCTGCTGATTGACCCCTTCCATTGCATCACCGTTTTCAGGGCGGGTTCGAGCTCCTCCGTTGCGCAGTCCACCCGATAAAGAGCCCAACATCCTTAACCACAGCCTTGGGCACACCACCGAAGTACCAGCTCCGCTGCACCCACTGGGGAACTGAACCGCCAGCATCCGAAGTCGTCGCCAAGGTCCATTCGACCTTCGACCGCGACTGACTCTGGGTCCTGCTGACAGTCAGATCACCCGTTCCACCACCGCTGCCGCTACTACCACGGCGGGGAGGAGATAGGTGAACCAGACGCTCGATACTGGCGTACGAGGCGAAGATGGTGTTCTTTGGCGCCGACGAAGCGATCCTGGACCGGATGGACTCGGGGATGGAGTCGACAGGGTCATGTGCCAGTGGGATCTGTATAGTCACCCAGCTATTCGACTCGGTAGTATTGGGAGAACTTGGGGGACTGAGGGCGGAGATGATCAGACTGACGAAGCTGCGTGGGGAAACGAGGGCTTGTGGCTGAACCGTGTGGGTGAGCATGTTCACTGGTACCAGATATTAGATGTTAGCATCTACCATTCCAACGTAATTAATCGGTATATCGAGAGAGAATCACCATGCATATCCACCTCCCTCCATCCTCCCTCTATCTCATCCTGTATAGGCCACTCCATCAACCTCTCCACACCCGTCAAACTAGGTGTATACTCCATCTCATTCTCGGAATGATTCTCCCTCAACCCGCGCCGGAACTCATTCCACGACGCGGTCCCCTCCACGGGCGCATCGAGATGCACACTGCGCCGACAGACCCAGAACTCATCCTGTCTGCGGCCCGGGTAGTCGAGTTCTTGGTCCTCCGCGCGGATGGTATGAGTGAGGAGCTGGACCTTGGCGGTTGATGGTGGAGACCAGCGCGCTCGGCCGTTAACCTTGAAGTTCCGCGGGATGGTGGTGACCAGGAAGGTCTGGGCTTCTAAGAGAGCAGAGTGAAGAAAGGTGCGGAGGTCGGGACGAGACTGGGCTGTCTCGTTGCTGTCGCGGGTGACGGTGTTATCTTCGCCGTCGAAGGCTGGGTGACAGGGGAGTGAGGTGAAGGGGCGTGGACAGAGGCGGATGATTGATGGCATTGTCTTTTTTAAAACTACTTTGTAGAATTGGTTGGTTATATTAATGTATAATATATGTTAGTGAACGAGCTGGAGAAACTTCACTAGGAGAGGATTACTCCATATAAATGAATGAATGAATGATACCGAAATGATGCATCGATTACATGGAATGAAATATGTAGATGAATCATTCAATATGATTGACTTCTGACACCAGTAGCGGCAAGCCCGGATATAGATACGCCGCGCGTCTATGTATATATATATTATATATACCTAGTCTCTTGAAGGATGAGTAAACTCCTCCACGAAACAACCATTGTAGTTCCCTATGAGACCCAGAAAAGGTACCTACAGGCTGCGTATGCCCGCTCCGACACTACCAGTGTCAAATATCTCAACCAGACCGGCTCCTACCGCTTCTTCCAAAGCCCAGCGGAAGCTCATCCCGTATAGTTCTTTCCACTTTTTCGTCCTACCTGGTAGGATACCTGCGCGTTCCCCGCGCACTCTCTTCGCTGCGTCGTAGCTTCTGTCCGTCCCTACGGCGCCATCCCAACGGTCCCGGAGGAGGCAAAGAGGAGCCTCGCCAGAGCCCGACTTGTTAAGAAGGGAAAGTAGATGCGCGCGCCCAGCCCCGAGGAGGCGAAGATAAGGCCCTGTATTGGGAAGCGAGAGAAACAAACTAGTTTTTCGTAAGTGGGATTGGCTGCCATCCCCGATGCCTTCTTGACTGGCAGATCCAGTAACCGATATAAAAGGAACAAGAGGCAGTGAGGTAATACTTGATGAGTCCTTGGCAAATGATGATGAAGAGACAAGGAAGCCAGCGTGAATTAACGCCATAGACTCCTGCGAGGAAAAGACCTCTGCGGGGATGGTCAAGGTATTACCCATGTGATCTAAGACTCGGAGGAACCGATCTGTAAACCATCAGCGAAGGCTGCTGCACAGCGGGCATAAATAGATATACATATAAGCCTATGTACCTTTCACGGATTGCTCCAGCCCACTGCTCCCTCGCACCAGATTCTCCCAATCCTCAGTCAGGACCAGACAGTCGCCCAGACCAGCCGCATCATTCCCTCTCCCAGGAACGATCAAGCGGCGCAGACGACCTGCATTGATCAGATCCACAATTTCCTTTTCCACCCGAGTGGGCTCATTGAAAAGAGTATGAACATGTGCTACTGATGCGAGAGGAGGCAGGGACCGGCGTAGGTTAAGTACTTGGGCTACCCGAGTGCTGTTCATGCCTGCCCGCGTAGGGAGATCTTCAAACATGCTCCTCCCAATGTAACGAATAGCCTGAGCGACATCTTCTACAGGCGCAGTGTCGGAGATATAGTGCGAAAGGCCAACGTCCGACAACGGTTCCCGGCTATAGCATGGACTACTACATGCTGAGTCGGACTTCACCGGGTTGGAGGGCCGGACATTAGGCTTCTGGCGAGGATGACGGGCAAAGGGAGAGGCGCGAGGCCTTGACGCGGTACTTTTCCTCTTCTTGATACCGGAAATAGGGGCAGACGTGATTCGCAAGGGCATGACCTGGACAATCCGAATTCGTGGAAGCAGAAGGGAGGGGCGACTCCTATATTATATATAAATTAAGCAAGGGGGAGAATAAAGATCATGTGATGAATATACTCACGTGCTCAAAAATAGCATTACATAAACAATGTTATTCAGACGCATAAAGTTATGCTATGCACATGACCTCGTGCACCGCACCGGGAGACATTTTTAGATGCCATTTGCTGCAAACAACGCAGTCCAAAGGGAGAGAAGGAGAAGAACGAAAAAAAAAAAAAAAAAAAAAAAAAGAAAACCTGCGCAGAGCAACATTCTCAGTTGACAGACGTCTGGATGCTTCCACTGCCTGTGGATCTGGCGATGCGGCCACCGTGCAACGAATGGCTTCAACTTCAGTGACCCTCACATGACGTAGCTCTGAACAGACGTCTGGCCTCTCATGGTCTACCCACACTGGCATGATATAGAAACGCTGTGCGCCGCCACTGCTCCTTTCTTCCCTTGCATATTCTGAAGACTCCTGTCCTAGTAAAAGCCGTTCTCTGTGTAATAGATATTCATCAGCTTCCAAGTCCTCTTCCGTGCTGTCGATTCGACAGCGTCGTTTGCTGTTCTCTTGCGCCCCTCACCCGGTCTCTGTTCTTTTTTTAAACGTCGTCACGCTACGCAATGACTATCTTCATCGCATCTCTGTACGTGGAACGGACCATAATTGTCCCGTGGGATTGCTCTGGCTGACCTGGTTTCGGAATCTGTTCCCAGGTTTTTACCACAAACGGTCAATTTCCACGTTGATGGTCATCACAATAGCAACAGCCTGCGAGGCAGCCGCTACCCTAGCTTTTCCCATTTCCCCTTTAGTTCAAGATTCCCTCGCGACTCCATCAATACCGCGTCTAATACCCCTGCTAGCCTATTCGAGCCACCCAAGGTTCCTCAAACTCCCACTCTGACCGGTGGCAAAGCCGATCATGAACACATTTTCTCTCATGCCATCGCCGAAACCGGGAAGAAGCCATCCGAAGCTCAGCTCCTCACTGATAGTGAGTTTCCTTCCCCAAAATGGGGCTACACAACTTCTTTGAATCAGCCAAAGCCCCAAACTACCGCTACACCGTCCCCTTCAATCTTGAAACATGCAGACCCTCTCTTTCCCCAACCACTGCCGACGGATGAGCGAACCAAGACTGTTCCGCAGCTTATACGCCAGGAACCAACTAGAGAACAGTCATTTTCCAGTGCAGAATGGACAGTCGAGCGGGCCGAGCAAGGAAACGGTGGATTACGAAACGCTGTTCGTGCCGCATCAGACGCCGGTTACCTGGAAAATCAGATATGGGTAGGCACGCTTGGGATGCCAACGGATGCACTGATCCAAGACATGAAGGATAGCATTGCTAAGAAGATGGAGGAAGAGTATGGCTCGTTGACTGTGTATGTCAACGATAGCGATTTCGATGGGCACTATACTCATTTCTGCAAAACAATCCTCTGGCCGGTGTTACACTATCAGATTCCCGACAATCCAAAGAGCAAAGCTTATGAGGATCATTCCTGGATCTACTACGTCAAGGTTAATCAGGAGTTTGCCGAATGCATTGCTAGGAACTGGAAGAAGGGAGATTCGGTATGGATCCACGACTACCACTTGCTACTCGTGCCGGCCATGTTGCGCAAGCTATTACCCGAAGGAGCAGATGCCAAGATTGGGTTTTTCTTGCACATTGCTTTCCCATCATCCGAGGTGTTCAGATGCCTTGCACCTCGCAAGCAGCTCCTTGAAGGCATGCTCGGGTCAAATCTGATCGGCTTCCAGTCCGACGAATACTGCCGGCATTTCCTACAAACCTGTAGTCGTATTCTTTGTGTTGAGGCTACCAATGAAGGCGTACAGCTGGAGGACCGATTTGTTAATGTGGGCAAATTCCCTATTGGCATCGATCCCGCCTCCTTGGAGAAGAGACGTAATGCCGGCGATGTCGATCAGTGGGCCAAGATGATATCTCAGAGGTATGCAGGGAAGAAACTTATCGTATCTCGAGACAAAATGGATCAAATTAGGGGCATACGCCAAAAGCTTCTCAGCTACGAGCTGTTTCTTAACACCTATCCCGACTGGGCGGATAAGGTATGAGCCGGCTTGTCTTCATATTATCTTCATCTTGCTGACTGGAATTGGATACAGGTCGTCTTGATACAAGTAGCTACCACCACGACTGAACAGCCCGAACTTGAAGTCGCAACATCGGAGATTGCTACGAGAATTAATTCCACCCATTCAACCCTCACCCACCAGCCATTAGTTTTCCTCAAACAAGACCTTGCTTTTTCGCAATATCTCGCTCTGATTTCTGTGGCCGATGCGTTGATGGTGACTAGTTTACGCGAGGGTATGAATCTGACGAGCCACGAGTTTGTCTACTGTCAGAATGGGAAATATGACGGCAAAGGGTACGGGTCCCTAATACTTAGCGAGTTTACTGGTAGCGCATCCGTCTTTGGCAATCATGCTCTTCTTGTTAACCCATGGGATTACCGGCAATGCTCCGAAGCAATCCATACAGCCCTTACGAGGAGCCTAGAAGAGCGCAAAGAGGTGTGGACTGAGCTATATAGTGCTGTTCTGAGTCACTCCACAACAAACTGGGTGAAGTCATTCAGCGAGACGTTAGACAAAGTTTGGAAAGAGCAGTCGGCGCGCGAAACAACGGCTGTGCCACGTCTGTATGTGACTGCCCTCGAAGAGCGGTACAAGAAATCCTGCCGCCGCTTCATTATTGTTGACTACGAGGGTACTTTGGCAGCCTGGGGTTCTCCGAATAACATCATCCTAACCACACCGCAGCGAGCCATCAGCGTTCTTAATGACTTAACCGAGGACCCCAAGAACGTTGTCTACGTTATGAGCTCGAGGATGCCGCAAGAGATGGAGAGGCTCTTCCAACGCGTAACGAACTTGGGTCTCATCGCAGAGAATGGATGTTATGTGCGAGAACCAAACGCAGAAGAGTGGGCCACGTTGGTCGACGAGGATAAAACGCAAATCTGGAAAGAAGCTGTATCCCAGATACTTTGCTATTTTCAGGAGCGCACTGAAGGGAGTTGGGTCGAGCAGCTTCACTGTTCCTTTATATTCCACTATGAAAAGGCGGAGGACGAAGCGGCGGCGGCTCGGCTAGCTTCAGAATGTGCTGACCAGATCAACGATGCCTGTTCAAACCAGGGAGTTCATGCAGTTCGCATTGAACGAGCCATCGTGGTGGAGACGACTACACCAAACAAGGGTTCTGCTGCTGAACTGGTGTGGTCAAATTACCTGGAAAAGGGTGAAAATGATCCTGAGTTCTACCGGCCGGACTTCCTCCTTGTCATTGGGGATGACCGGGAAGATGAGCCCGTCTTCCGTTGGGCGAACAGTCTCGAAAGCTCCAAAGCCGTGGATTTCGCTAAGACTGTCACCCTTGGCTCAAGGAGCACTGAGGCGAAGGCCACGCTGAAGCAGGGTGTGACTGGTGAGTCCATATTCCCCAGGAACGCCCCTTCTCCATGCTTCCTTTCTGCTTCCCGTGTTCCTAGGAAAATTGTGCGACTGACTTGAAACTACACAGGTGTTCTTGCATGCCTTCAGAGACTGGCAGGTTCTCCCTCCGAGGGCAGGATTGTATAGCCATGATTTTTGTGGATTTTGCATGATGCCCGTTTGGGCAAGGGTATATCTACGGGTGTACAAGCTTGGATCGCTATTTTTGTGACATTTTGGAAAAAGGATAGACCACTCGACTCCGAGTCTGTTGATGCAAGTATTGGATAGAGCTTCACGTTGGAATAGTCCGGGTAAGACGCAAAGTAGATAATAGAAGCGGAGTAATATTAACGCCGGCTATACTTGCCGAGGTATTTCTCATCTCCCCGACCGTTTCACGCTCTAAAGTCGAGCAACCTTGCAAACTAGCCGTAATAACGCATAGGAAAATGAGAGTAAGCAAGGGCCGGTAACTGCATTGGACGGACATTACACAGAGCTAGGTTTACATCGAAGCGTGTGCCTATCGGCAAGAATCAGTCGCTGTGATCATTATAATAGCCCTGTTTGCCTTGTTCTTCTTATTCTCCTGAGCAAATCTATCCACCAGAGCGTCCAAAGTCGTACGGAGTATTCAGGGAGAAAATATGACATCGACGACATCCAACGCCCCCGCCTTCGAGGAAGCTATCGCGGTGACACCGCTGACCTCGCATACGTACTCTGCTGACTTGCAAGACTCCTGGTGTATCGGAACGGGTATGACATTTGCTTTTCTTCGTTGTGAATTTTCCCTGAAGAGCTATGTTTCTGCCATGGAGGAAGAGGTTTACAAAGGCTAAAATCCTGTATAATATACAGTGCCTCACGGCGGGTACACGACAGCTGTTCTATACCGTCTGGTGAAAACGCATTTTGCACATACGCATCCTACACTTTACAAGAGCGCACCGGTGGTGCCGATCTCGATCCAACTTTCGTTCCTGCGACGGACGGCGGCTGGTAAGGCCGTGCTGACGGTGCAGGATGTGAAGCTTGGGGCCAGGACGAGTACGCTACATGTGACTGTCTCGCAGGCTCGGGAAGGGAAGAAGAAGCACCCACAAGGCGACAGAGATAGTGCTACAGAGGAAGCGCTCGAAGCCAAAGTTGCAGGTTACATCACCGTAAGTCCACCCACGGCGGAGGTGGGTGCCTCAGGAAGCACGAGCTGGACGCTCCATCCACCTAGCTTGCCTGGTTCCGGACCTAATGGCCGGGTAAATCTTTCAGCTCTTGCAGCCGAGGGACGCGACGGAGTGTGGGAGCGATCACAGCACGATTCCAAGTCCTTTCGATGGGCTGGCCAACATATTGAGGTATTCAGTCCAGCGAAGGACTCTGCTGGGCCGGAGCGACGGGCCATCGTCGAGCAGTGGGCGCGTTTCCAACCCGGGGGAGAGCGAAAGGCGCGATGGACGGACGAAGCCGTTGTATACCTGGTGGATATGTTCCCAGAGGCGCTGGACGAATTGGGCAGGGTAGCATCATCAGGGATGTCAAGCAGCCATAAGACGGAGTTCTTCTGGTATCCCACTGTCACGCTGACTGTAGAAGTAAAAAAACAACTGCCGCTGCATGGGGTGGAATGGCTATATAGTCGGATACACAGCAAAGTGATCCGGAACGGACGCACTGACATTAATGTGGTTGTGCTGGACGAAGAGGGGGAGATAATAGCAGTAGCTTCACAGGTGGGCCTGGTGGTGAGTGCCAGCCGGAATATTGGACAGCGGACGTTCAAGGGGGCAAAGGAGAGACTGTGAAGGGCATGGAATTGAAGACATATGATAATGCAGCTGTAATTAAACAGAGTTTGGCATTTGCCCTGATGGAGATAGCTTGTTTATCTGCGGCGCCTTGGTGGTTAGACAGGTCCAAGTGAAACATGCATTATCACTGAAGGACTGAAGCATTCCCTGCTTTGCCGGAAAATCCGCAGAAAAGAGGCATAAATAAAACAATCATAATATAATAATTGGTCGAATATGAAGTATGGGCATAAATAATATAATAGTATGGGAGGCGATAGGGAGGAGCCCAGTGCAACTATCGATCACTATTTCCTTAGCTCGAGCCATTTGTTTAATGATAATAATAATAATTATTATTTGTTTTATGATTAGGAACGGTTCTTTCTGCGTTCGTTCTGTTTCCTGGCGAATCTTCAATCCTTAGCACTTTCTGTTTTCTGCTTGTGCCTCCTTTCCTCTTTTTCTTCTTCTCTTCCTCTTCCACCCTCCGTCTCCTCCCCCAAATATCTTCTCTCTCTGCATCCAGTCTGTCAATTTCTATTCTACTTTGTATCCTCACGCAAGTCTAATAATTTAATACATTAATCCCCAATCAAAACTCTCAATTCGCAACAATGTTGTCCTCTGTGGCGTTTGTCTTCTCCTCGCTGCTAGCCACCGCGCTTTGCAACTACACGTTCCCCGAGGGCTTCAACATCGGCTTGGTCTCTCCTCAAGAGAGAAGTACGTCTCTATTAGATTTGTTTTCTCGTTCTTTCTTTCTCTTTAAGTGCTGACAGGTGCAGATTCCTGGTGTCTTGCCCAGAGGAACTCCTGCCCACAGATCTGCGGTGGAGTCGCTACCACCAATTACTGCGATTCGGTCAGTCTGTCGATCTACCCGTCCCTGTCTGACGTGAACATGCTTTTCTTCAGCACCAAATGTTGCATGCTACTGACACTCGTCTTCCAAATCTAAAAGACCACTCTGGACTTCAACTGTGTTTGTTCCAATGGCTCGCAGGCCGATGTCACGCCTTATGCGCAGACCATTCCCTCCCTCGTCTGCCAGAACAACTATGGTCAATGTGTCGCCAACCATCCCAACGACCTAGATGGCCAGAAGAAATGTAAGGATGATGCTCAATGCGGAACTCTCAATGCAAGTGACGCCACTGCTGCCGCAACAACTACCGCTGGGTCTGCTGCTTCCTCTTCAGCCGCGACCACCTTGTCGACCTCCTCTGCCAGCGCTACTCTGAACCCGTCCGCATCCAAGACTTCGGCTGCTGTGGCTTCTTCAACTTCCACTGGCGCGGCATCTGCCATTCGCATTGCCCAGGATTACTCCACTGCTGTGTTGATGACTGCCTTGTTCGCCGTCTTCCGTCTAGCTCTTTAAAGGCACCATTCGTGCAGACTCCTTGGCGACGCTGTCGGACAATCATCTGAGCCTTTAATTTTGTACGTTGTCCATAACTAATGCAGCACTTGGACTTATTCTGGTTGCTGTTGTTACCGCTATGGAAGCCCATGTCTCGTTTTTCATTGAAACACTATCCATCTTTTGCTCACAATGATATTGTAATCTGGACATTGTACACCCCTCTGGCTTATTGGGCTTTCTCTCATTCCAGACCATATCCACCATCCTGTATTATGGGCTTCATGTGCTTCACGTCTGTCTTTAATTGGCGCTTGCATGAATAATGCTAGTATGTTTGCTTAAAGCGAATCCAGTTCTTCCATCGGCCGTCCCAGTCACATTGGTCCCAGTTGGTATCAGTTGGAGCTCACATGTAATATGTATATTGTATAGTCCTTATTTCCTCGCCCAGGGCAAGTAATTATTCGCTCTCTTCGGTGCGTGCGTATGCGAAGTAACTTCTTCAAGCCACCCACTGGAGGCCAAATACTGCCATGCCTGTTTTCTTGCCTTTCTACGATGACGAGCAGTTTTCTAATAATAAAATAAATATGGAAACAAGCTAATAACCCTGTCTGCAGCTGTTTCGCAGGCCAATAGTCACTGTCAGATGCAGAACGCGTTGATACTGCTAGTGTGCGGGTGCCAAGACTTCTCTCACACACTGAAATTTCTCTGGCTTCAGCAAATCCAACTCCAACCCGCTTCTCTCCCACAGTTTCCCGCTGCAATTCACCCGCCATGCCGGCTCCTACAACGACCCTCCTCATCGAGGGCACCTTTACTGAACTCGCCGAGGAATTTTCCCAGTACATTGATGCTCTGCGCAAGAATGAGGAGGGTGCTGGTCTCCACGCCGAGGTCGCCCCTCTGCTCCAGCCCCTTCGCGAGCAGGAACAGGCCGGTGCAGAACCCGATCTGAAACAACGGGATGAGGTTCTGAAGAAGCTGGTTTCCGCGGCCGCCATTTTGAATTCGGCACCGGAGAAGGGTGAGTCGAGTCATGTGTTGTGCTGGGATGTTATCGTTGCCAGCTAGTTACCTGGACTGACAAAGAAACACTGCAGAAATCATTCCTGCCTACAATCTTTTGATCCATCTCATCCACCAAGCTTCTGATGCTGATATGTTCCTTGCCCGCATCTGCACCTATCTCGCGAAGCCCATCCAGACGCCTGCGCAGCACGGCCCCTCCTTGGCCATCTCCATCCTCACCACCGTCTTCAATACCCTCGCTCCCTCCGATTCCAGTCGCTACCACGTCCTGCTGGCTATCGTGGCCGTGATCCGCCAGTCCGGATCTGGCCATGCCTTTGACGCTCTCAAGCCCCAACTTGCAACTCAGCTGCCCAACTGGTTGGCCGTATGGGAACTGGACGCGGAGGAGGCTAAGAAGCTACATCTGGCTGTGGCTGATGCCGCAGAAGCCTCTGGCGACGACGAGCTGGCTCACACGCACGTCGTTCAAGCTCTACAGACTATCCCTGCTAACGAAGCTTCTAACAAGGATTCTCGCGACCTGGCTGTCCGCGCCCTAGCATCGGCCTTGAAACACCCAGCCATCTTCGACTTCACACCGCTGACTGCTTCGGATGCTATCCAGGCGCTGCGATCCAGCGACAGCACTCTCTTTGAGCTGCTTGAGATCTTTACCTCGGACACTCTAGATGCGTACCAAGATTTCGTCTCCTCAACCCCGCTGTCTTCCATTTCTGGTGGTGTTCTCGCCGACGCTGGTGAGGCTTTGCAGAACAAGATGCGCCTTCTGACGCTGGCATCTTTGGCTGCGTCGACTCCCTCTCGCTCTCTTCCCTATGCCAGCATCGCGTCGGCCCTGGGCGTGCCGACCGAGGGCGTCGAAAAGTGGGTCATCGATACGATCCGTGTCGGCTTGGTGGAAGGCAAGCTGTCTCAGCTCCGATCCGAGTTCCTCGTGCATCGCGCTACCTACCGGGTCTTCGGCGAGAAGCAATGGGCTGAAGTGCAAGGCCGTCTGATGGTATGGCGTCGCAGTCTCGAAAATGTCCTGGGCGTTATCCGGGCGGAACGGGAACGATTCGTGCGCGAAGGACTCCAGGCCGCTGCCGAGGAAGCTAGCCAGGGTAAAACTGGAGAGAAAGGAGGGAAGGGTGCCGATCGGAGACGCAATCCTACACAGCAGCAACAGCAACCTCGGGAGGTAGACCTCGTTGGGGGAGGTGATTAATAAGAGATCCTAATGTCCTTGATGTTCTTCTATTACCATTCTCTCTGCAGCTGTCTGTTCTCTCTTTTTCTCTGTCGTTTTCTTCCAGGCTTCAATGTTCGGGGATTCTGCTTTTTTTCCGCCCCTTCTCTATCCCTTTTTTATTATTGTTTTTTTTTTTCTCTCTGCCTAGAAAAGTGTCCAGTCTGGCTGCATTATCGATTACGAATTGGACAGATCAATCGGATCACGAGTCATGTCATGTCATTCAGCTTTCAAAGTCTTCCATAGACAGGATGAGCTGGTCTTATGTTATGGTTTCTAAACCGGGAGGCGAAGAGAACAAAAAAGGTGTACCTAAAGGCATGACGAATAATCCAGAAAGAAAAAAAGGTGAATAACAAAGCCCTATGTTTTTTTGGAATCGCCATACATGTTTGTAGTTATTTGGGAGTTTCTGAATAGAAGTATGTTTGAATATCCAATTGAGAAGGGGGGAATATATGAATATGTTTTAGGTTGAGTCTATACACAAGATGGTAATGTGGAGAATCAAAACATGTTGATAGATACAAGAAACACAGCTAGATTGGCGGCTGAACATAACAAAGCACGGTCTATATGTGATTAGATTTTCGGATGGATAGGATGAATATCCTTAACGGCAATGGCCTCCTTGATGTGGGCATACACTTCATCAACCTCGCCGGTGGCCTCGACAGAGACGACCTTTCCCTGTTTCCGGAAGGCATCAACGACTGGCATGCTGGTCTCAACGAAGACACGGAACCGTTTGCGAATAGACTCAGCATTATCGTCGTCTCGACCCGACGTCTCCCCGCGCTTAAGCAAACGCTTCTCCATCACATCCTCAGGGCAGTTGAGGAACAGTGTAAACTCGGACTTGCACACGGTATCTTCGAAGAATACGGCCTGGTCAAGCTTCCGGGGGAAGCCATCAATGAGGAAACGGGGCTTTGAGGCTCCGCTAGGCTGGCTGCTGCGATGAGCAAGGGCATCGGCCATGGCGTTCGACAACAGCGCCACGGTAATCTCCATGGGGACGATCTTGCCATCACGGATGTAGGAGCGGATGAGATCGCCGTACTGGCTTCCCGGGCGGTTCTGTTCAGCACGCAGCAGATCCCCGGCTGAGAGATGAGTGAAGCCGTAATCCTTGACCAAGTGGGCAGATTGTGTTCCCTTGCCGCTACCGGGCCCGCCTAAGACGAAGACGACGGTGACATCGGACGAGGAGAAGCGAGGGGTGGTGTTGTTCGAGGTCTGTGGGGGAGGAAGTTCCTCGGGGACGGGACCCGTTACCTCGTGAACGTTGGCCATGTTGTTGTCGTTGTTGCCTCAAGATTTCAGCCCCTGTACTTTCTATTCCTGTTCCTGTTGGACGATCTGATTTTGACGATTGGCGGTGCGGGACCTCACCAGGAAGACGTACGACCCGGTGCCGATGGCGATGAGAGCGACAAAGGGGAGGATTTTGAACTGGGAGGAGGACGGGGAAGACGAAGACGAATAGAAACGGTGGTGTTGTTGCTGCTGCAGGTGGGGTTGACGAAGGGATCGCTGCAAGGATCTGGTTGTCTGATTCGCGCGGGATGGAAATGACGAAGGCACCGGAAATGCGCAGCGAAGGACTGCAGGACGGACGGACATTCCTGGAGGAGGCGCGAGAGAGAGCTGAAGTTGCTTTTCTGAAATGCGAACGAAGGAATGTTCAGCGTTGGAATCGAGGTCGAAGAAGAGCGAGATGTCGCTGCTCTCGACATGTCCGCATGCGGAATAGCGCTGTTTGTCTTGTTTTCTCATTTCTGTCTCTTCGCTCTCTCTCCAGCTTCACCATCTCCCATTCCTCATCCGTTCTGCTCAGTCCCCTCTATCTGGGCCTGCACTGGACAATATGCATCGGCTCATCTCCATTGCTGCTGCTCTTGATGGAAGCTGGAGTGGCCTGCCTTCCCACTTCCCTCCCTTCCCCATCTCCATTCACTGGCGAACCTGAATGACTACTTAAATTAAAGTGAGAGAATTAAAATGAATCGGAAATGCAAAACCGGCGGATCGATTGAAAAAAATACCAATTCATCCATTGTCTAGACCTGTATTCCAGCACCATACCAATATAAAGCTGCTATTCAGAGTAGATCCTTCTAACCCATCTACTGCCCTTGCTGCATATGCATTGCTCTTCTTTCTGTCTTCCTTTGATCCATCCGCCTTATCCTTGGTTAGCATGGATGCCAATCAAGCTACTGGCCATAATGGCCTCTTAGACGCTGGCAACGATGCTGCTACTCGTACTCGTGGCAATCATGGCAACCACAGAGGATGCAGACGCGGACGTAGTCATGGACGCGGAAACTCGGCCTCTCGTAATCAGGTTCAGCAGCCAAATGTCAGTCCTATTTCCTTGCGTGCTCCGGTTGCTAGTTCTGATTTTGCAGAATAGGTCTCGGAATCCAGCCAATCCCCAAATCAACAGGCTGGTCGAGGGACCAGAAGATATACTCGGAGAGCAAGTAGCAAAGCTTCTAATGTAAGGCCAGTCCTATGAATTATTGACCGTGTCTTGCAAGAGACTTAGTACTCCAGGCGCGGACATTCGAACTCAAAGAAACCTCATCAGAACCTGGAAATGCCCCAGGGCGGTAGTCGAGGTCCCGTGAATGACTCTTCTGTCAAAGGAGGCTCTTCACAAAACTGCGTTCACAGGAGTGCGTCAGCATCCCGCAGTCACTCCCTGAAGAATGATGACGCCCCCCGAATTATTTTGTCTTCGCAGAACAAAAAGGAGGCCGAAGTCCTTCGACTTGATCGTGAGAGCACTAACAATGAAAGCCAGAACTCAAGACTCTATAGCATCTTGACCAAGGGACGGGATATTTCAGAATCCTTATGCCTCGAAGGGATCTTGACCGGCTCTTCCCCAGCTGCTGCGACAGCACATACTATGGAGACACAGAATAGTCCTATCTATGTGGCTCCTGAATGCAATGCTGTGTCTGATATCCACCAAACCGTTAGCGTGGAGCCTGATACAGTTCCGGACCAGAACATCACGAATGATGGGCCTGTCGTTGAGAGTGCTCCTCTGTCTAAGGGTTCCTCTCGTTTTCTGCGCCTTCCCATGGAGCTGAGGTTGCAGATATACAAGTATTCATTTACTACCCATCGCGTGGAGATCCTTCACCAGAAAAGGAAGAACTCTGACAATTCCAAGCGGACATGCTACCGTCTTTACCATCACCAGTTACATCCGCGCAATTCCACGACACAGGAAGCTCCCTGCCGCATCGCACGCTTCCCATATACCTCTCTTCCCCTTGCACTTATGTTTACTTGCGAGGAAATCCACTGCGAGACATTGTTCTTGCTCTATTCAACCACTCAGTTCGTATTTAATTCGACCAGGGCGGTAGTGAGATTCCTCAGAGTTACCGACAAGTCAGCCCAGAGTGCTATCCACCATGTGGAACTGAATCATCATATGTACAACGAGCCGCACCTACTCGCATTTAGTGTCTTCAAGCACCGCAGCGACTTTGCTTGGTATTTAGCATGCGAAGCCATGTCAGATGCGTTCACGTCCCTGAGGATTCTGCATGTTGGCATGACCATTCGGGACTGGCCAATTCACCTGGAGCTTGACGAATGTTGGACATTTCCATTGATTAATTTTGCCCGTAAGAATCTGGACTATGCCGACATCAAGCTTCATATGGTCATGTTCAAGCAGGAAAGACTGGACGCAATTGCTCGCATGATTGAAAAGGAGATCATGAAGCCCACCGCCTTTCAGATGAAGGATGATGCACGCATTGCTAGAGAGAAGGCAGGTAAAGTCAAGGCACTTAAATCTTTGAGGTTGGTTTTCTAGTTTGGCCAGTGGCAGAGGCGGATATTCGCGAAAACGAGCCATCGAGCTTTCCATCGATGGGTAGTTCTGGGGCAATAATAAATGCGTCTGCGGGTTTTTTTATGCTAAGTAAGCATGTTCTCACGAAGCATTTCTAAGGGCTATGTTGCCGAACTAGATGAGAGCCGCGGTGCCTTTAATACTACTTGAGCTTATGGCCATTAAACTTGGGATCAATGAGAGGGAAACACTGCTATTTAAAATTCCATAATGTATATATAATATCCATATCTCCAAATCATGTGTAAAAGCTAGATGGCGGTGACGGCGTGAAGAGGTAATCAATATACGGAGAATGCTAAGTGCGATAGTAGGGAGGAAAACATAAGGTCCTTATTGTGTAACGTATTTCCCGGTTGAGCGGGCCACCTCCTGCTAATTCCTGCCCGCGGGCTAAATACTAGAGCCTCTACCAGCCAAACAATTGCATTTTTATATAAAAACTAATTGCTAAGGGGATTAGGACATCTAACTCTAGTATGTCCCCAAATATAACAATTAGAACACTGTGGTGGAGCTTGTACATGTGGTCCAACTGCAGAAAGTGCTGAATCTATGTCACGGAACTCAACTAGACGCTGAATAGGATGCTATTCAGCTATCTAGGCAGCTATCGACGAGAACTTCAAGCATGGAGAGGAAGGAAAAAGGGAAGAGATCTACGTGAAGCTGGATGACATACTCCTATCCACACGCCACGCTAATCCAAATAAGGAAGCTCACGTGCTTGTCCTGGTCTACATGGCAAGGGCCCTAACATTACCCCCCTCTTTAATGTTGGATCAACTTGCTTATCTTGTATCTATCTAGGTTGGTCTAGCTATTTTAGTGTGTCAGGCCAAGCGAGGGCGGTCTAATATGGCAGAATACACGTGACCTCTAACATTTAAGAGGGCTGTCCCCAGCCCTCAAGCTGGTAAGTTGTCATCTCTGTGATCCAGTAGGTCATTATCATTCTCCCAGGCCTTCAGCCATTTGTTCAAATACTGTGACAGTGTGCCGGGGGCACTGCGAAACCCCGGATCTCCCATATTTCCTATCTCGGAACACCGTAGAACCGCGGACTCCGACATACTAATGTATGGTGGAGCCCACGGCCGGAGTACTTAATGGAGGGTTCCCTCCCAGATAGTTACAAGAAATTGAGCATTCTTTTGGTTTCTAGGTTGCTTCACTAGTATTGTTATCATTGTATAGAATGGAGCGAGGCTCCTTTGACATTGTGTTTCCTTTTATCGTTATATCGTTTTCTTGCTAAGATCGTTCGGTGCCGCGTGGTATAGCGGCATCGTCCCTGAGATCCCTTGATCACAACCCAGTTTCTGTCGCAGGGAACAACGCACGTATGCCCCCCTTTTACAGCATGTCTTTCTGTGATTTTGAACCATGAAGCTAATTGCATAGAGTATTTTCAGGGATTGCAAAAACTTGAGCAGTGTATAATATTGATTTAATTTGGCCTTTCTGATAGGCTGAAATAGCTATCTGAATATGCGACTCTTTAGAAGGAGGCATATTGCAGTATAGTCATGAAGATTTGACGTGTTAAACAGAGAGAGTAGAAACTGGGTTGAAATCCGCGGTTCGGGGTTTGATTACGTTATGTGTATTTATTAACTAACTATTAAATAAAACTTCTATTATCCTTTAATAAATCTAAATTATAAGTAAACTTGACTATTTACTTCTATTAACTATCCAATGAAACCAATGAAACCAGTATCTGATATGTCAATATCTATCATATCCAATGTCTAATGTCTGTATACAGATTATCTGGATCTGTACAGCCTCTCCATTGGAGAAAGGGTAAGAGAGAGAAAGGAAGGAATTTCTAATGTAGGGGTTCAAATATAAATTCATTGTTGTACTAGATACACAAAGAATTTCTTGGGAGGAAGAAGAAGAGAGACAACAGCATTATGCCCAAGGAATGAAATAAGTAAGTAGAAGCAGCAAACAGAAACAAATGGTACAAATAGTGCGGGCAGAGTGCTCAGGCGTCAGTCCTGAGTTGCCATATGCCTGGGCGTAGCCCATGATAGCCGCAAGAGTTAGCCCTGCTCATCGCTTTTGTGTTTGTATCCAACTCCCCTAACTGCTATCTGAGGCACCTGCTTCCTCCAAGGGAACTTGACTGTATGCATGCATACACCGTCGTAGAATAAACATGTAGAGACCAGCCAGGATTCCACAGATGGAGCAAAGAGAAAGGACAAGAATGAGAAGGCTACCAACTCCGCGAATGACCTCGTCCCCTCCCGGATGCGTGCGATGGGCAACTTGTTCCTCTTTAATGGACGATGCTATCACCACGTCGTCTGCATGAATGTCTGGATCGTCGTGGTTCTCATTAACTCTTTGATTCTCTTCATAGTCCACCCCACTTTCTTCTCCTTCTTCATCCTGCAGATTCTTGACGTTTGGAAGACCCTGAGGGCTATTTACTACAGGCTTCTCATTCCTGCCTCGAAATCCGGCTGCCTCCCAGTTATCAGGAACAATGGTACGATGCACATTCGAGACACCAAGAATTTGACCATCCTTGTCCACTGCCTCGGCCGACACCCAGTCCAAGTATCCAGTCGCAACGTACATGGTCTCGAAATCCGTCTTGGTGGTGTTACCCACCAGGATTGACCCACCGTTCTGGCGTGCGTAAAAGTTCCATGATGCCACATCCGTCGCACCGTTCCAGCTGACATAGAAGACGGTGACGAAGTTGGTGTCGTCCGTACCGTAGACGGAGGCTACAAGGTCTGGTGGCGTGTTCGGACGGCCGCGGAATGGAAATTTGTAGGACCTGTAGGAGGAGAAGCGATTAGATGCAAAGCTAGCTTCCATCAGGAGCTTTCCATCAGCGGAAGACTCGCTTTGGTAGCCGCCCTCACTCCAACCGACGAAAGTATTGCCGTTTGGCAAGGTCTGAACATTACCACGGAGCCTGGTGAGGCCGCCGTCTGGACGGTAGAAACGTTTGATCACACGGGCCACCATTGGCGACGCGCTGGTGTCTAGCTGGACATAGAGTGCGGATGAGACTTCTTCATCCTCGCTTCTTTCATCAGAGGCATTGTTTAGAAATGAGATTGTGTGATGTGTGGCATTCGACTCGACGAATCGAGCGTGGTGCTGTTTGGAAAAGGTGAAGTCTTGCTCGAAGTTTGTATATTTCCCGCCTAGTCGCCAGATAATGCGCCCATCCACTCCGGAAATTAAATAGATGGTATTTGTGAATCGAGCGGACAGGAGGTAATCCCCAGCGCCATTTTTATCAACCGAATTGACATGCATGTAGTCCCAACCGGGATAATCAATTGGCCGGTCCCATTGATTCAATTTTACAGACTCGGTCATGAAAATGCGGCCGGGAGAATTCCAGTCGACAAGGACGTTACCAGTTTCAGTATCCAGCTCGACGAATCCACCGTTCTGGACCCAAGCAGTTTCATCTGGCCGACCAAGATCTTCTAAAGGCATCAATTGAGCCCGGTATGCGCAAGCCAATGCTGTCTTCCCCCCATCAAGAACATTGAATTCATGCATATTGAATGCTGTGAGGTCATTGGTAACAGGGGTGGTATGCTCAACTTCGTAGTGTTCGTTGAAGATAAAACCCCGTCCTTTATCCGTGCCATCATCCTGCCACTGATGCTGTTCGATGAACGACAAATGATACCGGTCATCTATGTTATCCACGGCCTTAAAGTCGAAAATATTTCTGTTTTCAAACAAGCAAGACCCTGCCCATATGAGAGTCTAATGGGCAGATATCTAGTAGTAAGTCATTTGTTTTTTCTTCTGTCCCATATTGCGTTTGGGAAAGATGCCTACCCCATTCGCGTCGTAGATATATGGTCCAATCTGGCAAGGCTCCCATTTCTTCGTCGGAGGTTCTTGATCTATTCTCGTATATGGTGCAACGAACCAGTACCCCGGGCTTACCAGGTCAGGATCATGGTAGGTGATGTTGAATTTTAACGCTCGAATGTGCGGAAGCTGGACTTGGGTCAGCGAAGCTTGCATTATGCCAAAGGTTGGAGGCGTGTAGGCCCTCACAGTAATGAAAGACACCAGATCACTGTCGTCAAGTTGTGCATTGATTGCACGTAGGAGCAGCAGTAACATGAGCCAAATTAATATCATGGTTGGCATGAAGTTGAAGGAATGGCTAGGAGTAGACTTTCAGAAACGAGAATAAGATGAGAGCTTCCACAAGAGGGACTCCGCAGAAGAGACTGGAGGATAGCAGGACGGATGAATTATCCATCATGTAGAAGGAACCGCGACTGGGAGTCTGGAATAGAATCCTCTGGCATACAGATAATGTCCAGCATCTAGTGGGAGCAGTATGGATGGAACTCCGACGGTGGGTGAAGGCTCCTGTCTTGGCAGGACTGGTGGATTCCATTTCCCATCAAGGATCCCGTTCAGAAGATATGATATCGGACGACGATATGGGATTTTTGATTTGATTTGATTACTATTTAACGTCACTCGGCGGATCACGTGGCACACGTGACCCGCGGCCTCCCAAGGGGCATCCGGACGTGCTACCTAAGCAAAGACTCACTAAAATAAATACATGCTTGAAGCAACAAAGCTGGACACTATGTGTTGGAAAAGAGTGGAAGAAGCACCAGGCGCTACCCTGGCCTGGACTTCTAAAGGTGAGGAACCTGCTTTGGCTACCTTCAGTCGAGCAGGGGTGCCTTTCCCGTTCGTCCAGGTAGAAGCGTAGACTGTTGCACTATTCAGTGCTTGAGCAGGCCCAATTTGGGCATATATCCTTGAAAAAGGATGAATCTTGCACGATGTGGCTGAACTCTTCCGCCCCAGCAGCTGTACCTAGTAGCCAGTCAATTGTACTTGACGGGCTGCCTCTCTTGCATTTCCATCTATCCTTCCAGCGCTTCCTGGTGGGTGGGCAGAAGAAGAAATGGACAGGGGACTTCTGTCTCTTGCAGGAGCAGGTTGCTAGGTAGTCTACATGTTGAAATCTTTCATGATATGCTGCAAAATCCCCGTGACCTGTACGGGCGGCTATGAGCCTGCCCAGGACCCAGCAGGGGAGCTTATGTTCTTGGTCACGACTGCTTTTTGTATGAGGTCTGATGCCCAGGTCACGGTAGGCCTGAGGTGCGCCTCTAAAATATGCCGCGTGTGTATCTGCGCGGATCCGCTGTTTTGCCTCCCGTCTGAGGAATGAGGGAGAAGGGGGGATATCAGGACTGGCTAATGAAGCTCCCTTCTTTGCCAGCTTATCTGCGAGCTCATTCCCTGTGACCCCAGAGTGGCCTGGAACCCAACAGACCCCTACAGGTTTGCGAGGTAGAGATAAAAGTGAAGGCAAGCTGTCCCACTGAGCGGAGAGTTGGTGGAAAGTATCAGTAAGTCTTCGTCTATGGGGGGCTGGCCTGCCATCTGCTAGCAGGCTAGCTGCGGCTAGATTATCAAGGAGGATGTTGATTTGGGTAGCGAACTTGGTGCAGTCTTGGCTAACTGCAGCACGGAGCCCTTCTACTGCACCCATAATTTCTGCGTCGTAAACCTCTGTCCGCGCGCCAGCAGGGCCGAATCCCTGGGTAAGCAGGATAGGGCCATAGTATATTGCATAGCCGTACCCAGCGCCCTGGTCTGTACGGGAGCCATCTGAATAGACTGTTACTTCCAATGGGGAAGGAAGGTGCTTACCCCAGTCAGTGGGGAGCATGCGCAGTGATGGGAGGGGTGGTTCTATATGCATGCGTTCCGGCGCTGGTCCAGGGACAAGTTGGAGGATCCTGGTAAGTCTGGTCCTGTTCTTACAGCTCTGGGCTGTAGTGGTAGTTATGCGAGCAATCGGGTGCTTCGCGTCAAGGCTTGCATATCTGATTGCCGCCTTCTGGAGGGTACCGTTGAGCAGGGCTTCAGGGTCAGGTAGGTCTGCCTCCCGGAGGAGTACTGTAGTAGGGGTTGTTTTATATGCAGGAAGAATGGCCAGGGCGGCCAGGCGGAGCAGGGATTGAAGGGAGCTGATAACCCCTTGTTGCCTGTAGCCAGTATAGAAGACTTCTGCGCCATAGAGAGCTGTTGGCAGGACGCACTGCATGACCACTGCACGCATGGAGGCTACTGGGCACCCACGCTGGGTATTGCTAAGCCTCCGGAGATGTTGAGCGAGCTGCTTGCCGCGGCTGAATGTCCAATTAATATGTGACCTGAAGGTGAGCTTAGTGTCAAGCAGGACCCCTAACCATCGGGTATATGGAGATGGTTTGATCTTGCCTACACCTAGTAGAAAGACTGTGGGGATAGACTGCTTCCGCTGCCTAGAGAAATGCTGTATTTCTGTCTTCTCAAAGGAGAATGGAAGGCCTGATGCAGCCCCAAGTGCCGTGATTGATTTATAGGCTTCCAATAGTTGCCGTGAGGTCTCTTCCAGATTGTTTCCAATGAATAGCAATCCCAGGTCGTCTGCATAGCAGAAAGAGCCCTTATGGGTAGAAACTACCATTGCCGCGTACAGCAGGAAGAGAATTGGGGATAGAGGGGACCCCTGGGGGAGACCGCCCTTGATTAGGGCTGTTGCAATAGCCTCTCTAATATGGACTGAGGCAGTGCGGCCGGTCAGCCAATCTTGGATTAACCGGATTAGGCCTTCGTCCCATCCCTGCAGGCGTAGGTGTGAGAGAAGCCGCTGATGGATTACCGCATCAAAGGCCCCCTTTACGTCCAGTAATAGTAGTGAAGCCACCATCTTCCTTCCAAAGGCCTTCTCTATCCTGTGGACCAGGATCTGGACAAGATCAATCGCAGAGCGGCCAGGAAGAGCGCCAAAATGGCAGGGGGCCAGTAGCCCTACCTGGATTGCTCGTGCAGCTATGCGCCGCGCCAGAAAGCGCTCTAGGCCTTTTCCTAAGGTGGAGAGTAGGCTGATGGGTCGCCAGGAGCCGAGCTGTGTGAGGTCCCTTTTTCCTGGCTTTGGTATCATTACCACCTTTGCAGACTTAAAACACTGTGGGAAGCGACCTTCCTCTAAGCAGCGGCGATAAAGAAGCGTGATTGTGTTGCCTAGAGCAGGCCAGAGCTCTCTCCAAACTGTGGTAGCAAGCCCATCCCTACCTGGGGCGGATGGGGCAGGGGCACAAAGGGCAGTCCAGCAGTCCTCCTTAGTTGGCAACCCTAGTGAATCCAGAGGTTTTGCTGGAGGGCCCTCCTCTAGTTGATCTGGAAGGGAGGCTCCCTTCTCCAGTAAATGTGAAAGAAAAGCATCCGCTTTATCTTGTGGAGTGCTAACCTGATTTCCTTGGATGTTTAGAGGGGGTGCCGCGAGCTGATCTGAGCGCTTATGCCATTTAGCAAGTAGGAAGGCATCTGTGGGAGACACTGCTTGCTCAATTCGCCTCTTCCAGTAATTAGCCTTTGCACAGGATATTGTCTTCCGGAGTGGTAGGTAGTCTGGGTCCTGCTGCTGTCGTGTTTGGTGGAGTAGGTCTGTGAGCTCTGGTGTCCACCAAGGGGTGCGTGGGAGCTTGCGAGAGTTATGTTTTGATGCACCACGGATGGCTAGCTGTACATTATCAACTAGTTCTTCTGCTAAGGTGTTGATGGGGAGGTGCGCAGGTGGGGGGGTTAGCAGAGATATAGCCTTCTCCCAGTCTGTAGAGCCTATCCTTGGACGGGAGATAGGCTCCGTCCAGTCTGTTGTAATCAGAATGGTTGCATGATCACTTGAGGTATTAAGGTAGTCTTCAACTACTGCCTCTATCAACATGTTGGAGAAGACCAGGTCAAGGGTGTTTGGCCCACGAGTAGGAGTGCCTGGCTCCATACAGAGCACTAGTTCATGGGCTTCTAGCCACTCTATAAGTGCTGTTGCGCCTGCTGTTACTTGGTGCGGTTCTGTCCCCGGTTGCCAGAGGGGGTGGTGGGTATTAAAGTCCCCCGCGATAATAGTGTTCTGCGGAGGGGAGAATTGCAATAGGGTGTGTAGGGTAGATAGGGTTGAACCAGATCCCGCTGGCACAACGGGGTCATTTGGGGGCGGTAGATGTTTATGATGGTTAGGCCAGCTGTACAGATAGCTGCGATATCTGGTGAGATAGGCTGAGGGAGAGAGAATGCTGGAAGATCCCGGCGAACATATATCAAAGCTCTAGGCCTAGTTTCCCACCGAGTGGCAGGGCTGAAGAGCTGGTATCGTGGGTGTGTTTTTGTGAGTTGTTTTGCCATGTCCGTCCAGGGCTCCTGGACTAGGATAATGTCCGCCTCAAATGTTAGCAGTAGGTCGTGGGCAGGGCTGCCCCTTCCAACATTAGCCTGCAATATCTTCATAGTTCTGGTGATGGGAGGGTTTGATTTGCAAGCTCCTGGGCAAGCTGGCTTGAGGACTGGTGGGGGGTGTGTGGACTGCTAGCTTGGTGGCTAGAGGCTGACTTAGCTAGTTGCTGTTGAAAGGCAAGTCGGCCAGCCTTACGAACAGCAGCCAAGGTGTGCTTTGCAAGGCGGATAATAGAACCCTTTTGTGTATATGGTCTAGCAGGGCACTTTTGGTAGTCTGCTGCATGTGGACCGCAGCAGTTCACACACTGCACGCGGCAGGTATGCTCCTGTTTAGAGGATCCACAGGAGATGCAGCGCTCACTAGAGCGGCAGGCTCGTGTATCATGGAAGCGGTGGCAGCGGGTACACTGTAGTGGTCTTTTCTTAGGGCGGGTAGGCCGTGATAGGCCAGAGGAGCCAAAGAGTTGCAAGGCACGTTGTGGCTTCTTTGGAAAGGCTATGACTGCCGTGATAGAGCCCTCCTCTACAGGGTGCTTAGAGAGCTTAGTCATAAGCGGCTTCATACCAGTTATGCGCTCTGCTTCTGTACTGATATCCCTGATTGTGGTGGGTGCCCATCCCTCTCGGGTCCAGAGCTGCTGAGGGATCCTAGGGACTACTACCTGATGGAAACCCATTGCAGCCTCAAAGTTGCCGTCTCCTGCTAGCCCACTTGCCTGTGGGGAGAGTAGGAAAGCCCTACCTTCTTCAGTGGCTGAGATTGCATATCCTGTAGCCACGGCCTGCACTCGTGCGATTCCACCAGGAATTTTTTCCGCTAGGGTGACCCGGATGCCATGCGGCCCAATAGCTCGTAGGCTGGAGGAGACCGGCAGCCGGAGAAAGATACGGGAGTCAGTTTTGCTTTCCTGCTGGGGTTGCTGCTGGGCTGGCTTTTGTGTCTGCTGCCGAGAGGCTTGCACACTATGTTCTTGAGTATCAGATTGCCAGTTGTCCTGGCTAGCTTTTAGGGCGGCAACTGAGGCCCAGGTTGAGGTCTGTAAGGTCTTTTTAGCTTGATATGCCTGCGCCATCTGGGGGGTGCTATGTCAGGCTTTGCCCCTTGCTGTGGGGTGTTGAGGTTTGCCAGGGTAATAAACCTAGCTACAAGCCCTCGAGCGAGCTCCTTGGGACGGCCCTGTAGAGAGGAGACAGTTGTCTCAAGTGCCTCTGCAAGGGAGGTTAGCGCCAGCTTCCAGTCACCTAGGAGCAGGAGCTGGTCGTTTGCAGCTGCGGTAGCCTGCTGGCAAATTGATCCAGCAGCCTGCGTGTTGGATATAGGAGCTATTATCGCCGTAGGCATCCTATAGGGGAGGGTGGCGCCCTCCTTTTCAGGGAGATGCGGGGGAGGGGGTAGGGGTGGGAGGTCCTGATAACGGATCAGAGTTTTCGAACAGGCGCGGAGTCCCTGGGCGAGCTTCGTCCGCAGGAGGATCGTCTACCTCCATGTCTAGAGGGGGAGAGCGATCAGTATAGATGGTATAAATAGTGATAAACAATGTATAGTCGTTGGTCTGCCTGCGAGTCCGGCGACGATATGGGATATGTTGGTGTGTTGTTAATTGATATGGAAAAGGTCACGTGGTATGGCGGCTTGGCTCCCTCTCCAACCCCTGAGAATCCGAGCCCCTGATTATATGTAAACAGAGATAGAACAGAATGGCATCCGCTCCTTAGTAGGCTACGTACGTGTAGTCGATACAGCTTCATTCTGCCCTTCTTCCCTGAGTTACATGCATATTCCACAACATTAATCTTTCCCGCTATGTTGCAAGGGCCCGAGTGTCTCCTGTCCCGACGGGGACCGCGTGCATGATGGCCAATGAACTGCTTCAATGTTATGACAGTTCCTAGATCAGATCGTGCAGCAATGCTCGCTTGAATGAATCAGGAAGCGCCTTGATAAATGCAGACGTTGAATGGAGTTTATGACGTGGTGGGAGAGATACGGTACTAGTAGCACGATGCTGCAAGAAGTTGGGAGCAACTGCATTTCCACATCTGGAAATCACTGGACTTGAACGCTGTTGTCAGCATTCCATACTACACTTCGTTTTGCTAATCTGCAGCCACATTCAAGACTTGGCCTAAAGATTATCTGCAAACTATGTATTGGCAGAAGAACTGCAAAAGAAAATAATTATTTAAATAATCCGACTTATTTCTTCTCTAATGTACTCGGATTATGGGCAACGCGGTGCCCGTGCTGGTCGACATAGACAACCTGCATGTATAGGCAAAGGTGAGTGTATCAGACGCATCATCAGTATGAAGGATCTCGTGGTACCTTTGGGGGATGGACAACTCCTTCGTCCCTCGCTCCGTCTTCATCGACAACTATCCTCTCGGCCTTGCCAAATTCCCAGTCAGTGACATGTACACAGAGCGCACGTACATCCTGCACACTAAGGATCCAAGGGGAATAAGCACTACTGAAACCGCCGTACCTCGCCTCTATGCCATCCTCCGCGGTACTTCGCAAAGACGAAGTCGCCTTCCTGGATATATTCGCCGTGTTTGTCTTTGGCTCTTTCAGCGGGCATTGTCGTATGGATTTGCGTACCCAGCACCCGGAAGATTGAATGAAATCTGAACGACTCCTTGTCTCCCTTCTCGCGGGTCTGGCATTGGTTAGCGTCCTATTGGGGTACTTTTTATATATACACCCCAGATACCTGGTACCCATGACGTTATACTACCGTGTACGTGATGTCATTGTAAGCCGATGGCAACATAAACCAGACATGTATCAATAGGGGCCAAGTCGGTCCTTGGGACGCAAACTATGTGGAAAGAGTCGAGACTCCTTATAGCCAAGGCGCTGCATGCACGGCAGCTGGTATTGGTGACCTTCCCAGATGAAACTTCAACCCTTGTTAGCATTTCAACTTCCAGTAGTACATTACTCGTATAGTGGTTGCAGTGTTAGGAAGTACTCGGTACTTCTGTGTCCAAACAGACAGATCGCCGTGCAAGCCTTGTGTGGTCACTTTTATACATGGATTTATCCCGCACGCTGGTGAGTCTAAATAGACATAGAAAGGTCTATTGTCAGCACACATCCTCACTACTACACCAGTAAGAACTGTCTGGGTTCGGGAAACTTTAGAACATGGAAGTCATAAGCCGGGGAACGTGACAGTGTACGACAGCGTCAAGCAACCCTAGTACCCGACGATGACGACCCTGCAGCTGAAATGGGGAATGCAACACTGGAGAATCACATAGCAAGTAAGAGGGAGGCGGACGAATCTGCCAGCTGTATATGCCGGTGGACGCATCACTGGTAGCGCTTAGGTGTTAGACTCCGGTGGTGAACTGGCTATAATATTGACCGTAATGAGTGAGATATCCAGTTGATAGGGAGCGCTCGTCGACATCGGGCACGTGTGATATCTAGCGCCTTCAGTATTACTGTCGGATATCGTGAGAGCAACGTGAGTATTGTTGAATTGGGAAAGATGCGGGTCATCTAGCGCTTTTCAGTTCACCGTTACATGAACCGGTCTTCCTCAGCTCCTTGGATGCTCACTCATGTCTCCTGTATTCGAAACGCCCTCCTAAGATGATGCGGCACGTAGCGTACAGCGCTGGAGATGATCGATCACAAACTGGGGCAGTCACTGACTACTCCGAAGACACGGAGAGCCAGCGCCAATCAGTATGCGCGTTTACAGCGTTGTAGACCGAAAACAAAGACCTATCGATCTGCCAAGACATCATGGTCGGTAGACAAAATCTATACCTGCGGCGGACCACGAAGGAACAGAGCATATTGATCAAGTAGATGGACATCTAGTTGAAGGCTTTAACTGTGCCCATGCCGCCACATAGCCTCTCATCCTATATAGTACGGACTCTAGAGTAGGGTACTTTTTAAGAGTGAAGATGTCTGCAGGCAGGGCCGGTTAACACAGATCATTAAGTGAACCGTGCATCAGGCCAGGAGCAAAAGGAAAGTAGCATAACTTAGTTACCTAAGGCTAAGGCCGTGGGTCTAGAACAACGTGTAACAACGACAGCAGTAGCAACAATACGATGATAAACGAAAATCATAATGACAACGGCCTATCTGCATGCAATCTGCAACCATGGCCTCCAGGCCGGACGTAGACTAACCCAGTTAAGACAATATAACGAGAAGGGGATCTCTCGGCGGTGATCGGGTGTAACGGTCCGCAAGGTGTCTACTACCGTTGCAATCAAGCGTGCCACTGTTTTGTGATGAGCAGACGATTGGCAGGCATCAGTGGACAATACCATGCTATCGTGGATCTCGTATTTTGATGGAAGAGAGGATGTAGGAGTCTATGGTGATTGATTTGAAGGGGGAAGAAGAGGAGGAGCGTTGATGGAGTAACCACTGGTGCTTGGCCAGATACGGATCAGTGGTATGGAAATGACATGACTGTATCGAAACAGACAGACGCTCTGTCATGTCATGGATGTAACCAATTGTTTGTGCGAGTTTCTGTCTACAAACCAATACTACGATGGACATGCCTGGTAATAACCTGACGCATATGTGACAGAACGTGATGCGACATGAGGCCGCTATCACATGACCTGGAACATTCCACGTGACAGTTCGGGGAGGACGGGCAATCTCCCGGAGTTTATCAAAGAAATAAACCTCGAAGCAGAAAGTTCAAAGGATAGGATCCATTTAATAGAGTAATGATACGATAATTAGACATGCCCGGCCAAACGATGGAGCATCGTAGCATAAACAGTGCCATATCGCGCATGTTCCACGGAGCAACCTGGCCCGTGCTCCAAGGTGTGATTATGGCTGACAATCTTGCTGAGCTACCATGTAATATGTATCATTGTATCCTCCTTAGTTGACCGTGGCGAGGGTATGATAATGAACTATCGACCTCTCTGCCGTCGCTGCTACTGTGCTATCCCTGCTGTTGGCCATCCACTCCGCAGGTACATCCTCTTCTCTTGTGTCCTGCCCGGTTCTTGCAACATCCAGTTTAAAGTTCCATCCTTCAGGTCCATCTCTGCCCCAGAAAGCGTCTCCACTTCCAGGCACAGCAGGACAGATTCTGTACAAGAGCTGGTTAGGGTCCCTCACTAGGTGTCACCTTGCCTTACCCGGCATACTACTATTGCTATCACCGGCTGTACCGCTGCTGCTACTGCTACGGCGCCCTTGTTCCTCATCTTATAATTCCCGGTCATTCTCTCTGTCTTCTGTGAATTCTTGTCTCAACCTCACTGATGCTCCGACTGTTCATATAATCCCCTGACCACATGCTGCTACGTACAGCAATCCCTTGTTGACCCTGATCTTCCCAAGTGTGGACAACTTCACACATCCTTCCTCCCCCGTGTCCCTGTCCTAACCCTCTCGCTCTCCCAGGGACCATGTCAACAATCCTGGTCAAGATCCTCCACCGGATCCATGAACTATTCGATGATGTCGTGGCTGCCATCGACTCTATCCTGCTATTCCCCTCGATCTTTCAAAACCGCAACCGAAGACGACGCACACGTCTCTCTCAGGAAACTGCCAGCCTCAATGACTTTGGCAATGAGGTCCACCGTCTCTTCCTATCATCACTGACCACTGGAAATATGGCTTCCATGTCGGAGAAGATACGCGAGCAATTCAGGTCCTGCCTCGAATCTAGCCCCGTCTGCATGCTCCCCTCGTACACCCACGCGCTGCCATCCGGCTCAGAAAATGGAACTTATCTCGCCCTGGACGTTGGAGGGTCCACCTTCCGCGTGGCCTTAATCCGCCTGCATGGGAGGGAGAAGGCAATGGATATCCTACACGTCTCATCCTCGCCTATCGATAGCCACGTTAGATCGCTAGAAGGCACACTCTTCTTCGACTGGATGGCAGAGAAGATCGAAGCTACACTGCGGGAGGCTGGTGATGATCATGGTCGGGGTGACGAGCCGCTTGCCATGGGCCTGTCATGGTCGTTCCCCATTGACCAGACATCTGTTCGCAGTGGACGTGTAATTCACATGGGCAAGGGATTCCTCTGTTCGAACGGAACTCTGGGACAAGACCTAGGCGACCTGATTATGAAGGCCTGTCAAAAGCGCAATCTCAACATTCAGGTGGAGGCGATTGTAAATGACAGCTCTGCTACGCTTCTCTCCCAAGCGTATACGAACCCAGATACACGCATGTCCCTCATCCTAGGAACTGGAACCAATGTCGCCATCCATTTCCCCGTGCATGGTATCGGAGCAGGGAAGTTCGGTGTCAGACCTCAGGATTGGTTCAACCGCGCTACCCACGTAGTCGTTAATAGCGAGATGAGCATGTTTGGCGGTGGAATTTTGCCAATGACTCGATGGGACGACCATATTAATCGCACGCATTTGCGGCCTAATTACCAACCCCTCGAGTACATGACGACCGGTCAGTATCTAGGCGAGATTGTCAGGCTCATCATTGTAGAAGCGGTTGATAAGGCACACCTTTTCGGGGGAGAATTACCTCACTCTATGCGCGAACCTTATTCTCTGGATACTAGCGTTCTTGCCTTCATCGAGGCAGATACCTCGCCGTCGCTATCCTCTTCGGCTGCTTTCCTGCAGAAAGAGCATATATTCGCCCGTTCGCCTTCTCTGGAAGATTTGCAGTTCCTCCAACGAATCTCCCGGATAGTTTCGAGACGGGCAGCAGGCTATTTGGCGACGTCGATCCATAGCATGTGGTGCCTGCGCAATGACGTCGAGTTCCCAGCCACCTGCACATCTGTCTCGTCCGTCAAAGATGCGAAGGAGGTTACCGTTGTTGAGAGTGAACGGCAATCCAGGAATCTTTCGATTGCATGCGACGGCAGTGTCATCAACAAGTACCCTGGATTCAAGGACCGTTGCCAAGCTTACCTTGACCAGCTCACCAAGGAAATTGATTCGACCCTATCATCCCAAGATTCAACGGTGAGCTCTCGCATCCGCCTCGAACTTGCACCAGAGAGCGGTATTCTAGGAGCAGCAGTTGCCGTTGCTGTTGCAGTAGCGGAAAAGCAATCGGAAATTGCTGTCATTCCGGTTCCCTGATATCTTCGATTCTGTTCTCTTTCGGTGAACCTTCTCTTCTTGGCCTACTTGATTCTATTCTACCGCTTCTTTGCATTAAACGGCGTTTTCCCATTCCCGATCTGATTCGAGAACAAAAGGTTTTGCATCTTTCGAGGTCCAGGCGGCTGTTTCAAACGGATTTATTTTCGTTCCCTTGCATCCTTTCCGTTCAAGTTTCCCATCATGCAGAGGTTTGCACGGCCATTTCTGTGCTTTTCACTAGGCGTTTCATGTTGTTATCTGGATATACATAAAGATGATTGATTCATGGGTTTCAAATAGCGGAGCATTTTGTCACGTTAGCATAGCGACCAACTGTCTCAATGAATCGGACAACTATGGAAGATAGTTATGTAATTAGGCACAGTTGACGTATTTAATTATCCTGTGACAGTTTGAATGTCTTCTATATTGCTGAATGCAAAAGATATATGGTCAATTGATTCCTTTTAAGACCCCCTCTAATGTTGCTCCAAGTATGTCGTGCAACTAAGGTGATGAAGGACGTAATAATAGCCTCTGTTGACAGCTCAGCTGACCAGATGCAGTGTACTGTATTCTCCATGAGAGATCCAAGGCGAAGGCTCGCAGTTCACTTCACTCCCTGCAAAGATCCAGAAGCAAATCCAACATCCGCCGCTGAAGAGCCAACAGATCGTCTCTCGTAAGCGGTCCTTGTCGGGGCTGCTCCTGCTGTTTGGCAGAGTCACCAAATCTATGTTCAGCAAGCCGCCCAGATCCAGAGTCTTCTCGACTACCTGGTTGTACCGGATGATTCACTAAGAGATCCCTCCTGATGGCAAAGAAAGGTATTCCCAAACCCCGTAGTTCCGAAGTCATAGCTTCCATCATCTGTACGGATGCCTTGTAAACTTTCTCATCGTATATTCGTAGTTCTGTTTCGTTTTCTTCTGCTGTCTGTGTCAATACAGTCAGCAACCGGGTTTCATGCAAAAGTGAACAGAGAGACATACAGATACTTCTTTGGTAGTGTCAACAAGTACCCCAACGGAACTTCTAAGTGGTCCGAAGGGGAAAGAAAAAGAAGAGAAGAGAAAGGTCAGAAAACGAGGCTGCTCTTTACTCCATCTCACGCTTGCAAAAAGCGGTAATTATAACTCACAAAACTCGATCTAATTCTTTCTTTTTCTCAACTCGGGCTTCCTGCTTCTTCAAAAGCGCTTCCCGGCCCTGCCACCATTGTCTTTCGTGGTCATGCTGACTCTGGATCAATCGTCGTATTCGGTGCTGTAGAGCTTCATTTTGTAATACTGTTTGCACCACATATTTCAATCCCGCGGGCCATGCGGTAATGGCGGATGGGTCTATGGGCTTCTTGCCACTGCCTGAATTTGCGGCTGGTTCAACTGGGGTTCGTCGTGGAGGTATCGAATGTCCCGTCGTGTGCATATGCTGGGTGTGGGCTATGCTCGTCGGAATGGCGTCTGACGGCTCATATGAATCATCGTTGTCGGCAGCTTCCCCTGCTCTGCGGACTCCATGGTTCAATAGACCACTATTTGCCGGGGAAGCGGGATTTGACAGGGAAGATAATGTCCTCAAGACAGATGTCAGGTCTGAGGGATTGTACTCAGATGAAGCCATCATTCTCTGAGCCCATCAGTGTGCTTTCTGGGCGGAACAGTGTCCATCGAACTTGAGTAACAGAAGCATCAAAGGTTCTTGGACCGTGCTTGACATCAGTTTACCGGGAAACCGACAATCGAAGTTGCAGTTGGCGTGGTGTAGTTGCAGTAATAATTATACGTATTATCTCAAGATCGGGCGGCGACCCGCGTTGCTGTCGGATTGCCTTGGCTCCGAATCTTTCTCTGAAAATTTACCGTACGACCCCAATCAAATCCCTCCTACCACCACTTCCATCGATTTATCTACCACGCTTTATTCTTCGCTGACAGGAAGAAAAGGAGAAGAATACCAGAGGCTCTTTTTAATTGAATATCCTCCTAGCCTTCGTGGTGGGGCATAATTGGAAGTGAGGGAAGACAAGAGAAAGAAAGGGACAGCGAAAAGTTCCACGCCGCGGTCTTCCAACGAGGAACATCATCCAGAGTCATTACACAATTCTAATTGATCATGTCTCGGTCCGCAGCAGACGCAACGAGATTTACAGCTACAGGCCCGTATGCCAGTTCCAAGCCAGAAGCTCCATCGGGAACACCCTATAAGCTTCCCAGTTTCTTGTCGGGTTCGAACAACAACAGCAACGGCGGCAAAAACAAACAATCAACCAGTCCGGGAAATTCAAACGCGCCAGGAGGTCGTCAAGAGTCACCTAGAGAGAAGGTTGCGCGACTGCGTGCCCAAGCGCGTGCTGCTCGGATTGCCCAGTCTACATCGCGGGTCGATCGGATGATTGACTTTGGACGGAGATTCGCAAACAAGGCCCACAAAGTGATGGTTTATTCTCTTATTGCTACATCTGGTATGTCCCCGGGAGATTAATTTATCCTTGCTCTTCCCTCCCCGATCATGCAGGCATCTAACTATCTTCATAGCCGTCTGTGGAGCTCTCACGGTTTATTCCATGGTCTCATTGACCCTGTACAACCGCCGCCAGCGCGCGCTGTGGCTCGACCGGGAACTCGAGAAGTTGCAGAATGCAAGAACAGCATATGCCCAGGGCACAGCAACATCGGAGCAGCTGGAGATCTTGAAGAATGAGAAGATCGGAGAAATTGTCAAAAAGAAGCAAGAAGAGGAGAGACAGCAGCGACCCTGGAATAAAGCGAAGCGGTATATTCTTAGTGGGTTTATTATGGATGAGAATGTGACCGAGACGGCTCCTGCTGGAGCAACTGCTACTACTCCCTCCGATGACAAGTCTCCGGTATTAGAGGCTATAAACGCAAAGATAGCCGAACAAGAAGCAGCCAAGTCCAGCACAGAGCAATCATCTCCACAGCCTGGCCCTCTGGATGTCATGGCCGAGAATGCTGAGACGGCTGCAAAACAGTCGGCTCGCAGCTGGAAGAGCTGGTTCTTTCTCGGACGGTAGAATATAGGTAGGAATACCAAAGAGCAAAAAAAAAGGAAGGGGGGAACGGTACCTGTTCGGGCTTGGATGACTGCCAGACTATTACCTTGTTGTCACTATATTAACTCGTTCTGTGCTTTTTTGTTTCCAAATTTCTTTCTCCCTTTAGCCCAGAGTTCCATCAAGTCGGGGTTGGTGGCGTCTGTTGGAAATGTTCTGTGTCTCTTTTTTTCGTTTCGTCTATATGGGACGGCCCTGGTTCAGTCGTCCCTATATACCTGTATATTGTGTACATATGGATACTTCCAGATTTTGGTTCCAGGCTTCTATTTCTCTTTACTACATGGAAATAAAAAACAGAATAGAAAGATGTCGAGATAATGGGTAAAGCTATGCTAACCGACGAATAAGCCGTATCAACCCAGACACTTTTCAGCAGTACATTGGAATGTGAAAAAGAGATACACCTATGAGAATAGCGATTGGTTCAACAAACTGGGAAAAAACGCCTTGCGCGCTGAAGGGACTATTCTCTGGTCTTTGCCCCGTTTATATTGAGAGAAAAGAAAAGAGAAGATATCGTCGAGAACTAAAAAACGCCGAGTAACTAAGAAACTTTTTCACCATCCAGAGAAAATGCACATGAGATATTCTGTAACGAAATGCGTGAAAAGGGAGCAAAGTGAAACGAAGAAAGGGTGGTGTCATGTTTGAGACGTTGAAGCGAAGAACATGTGGACTCAATTATTAACGCCGTTGGTGCCGTTGGCCTTGCCAGCTTTGAGAGCTCGTCTTACACGAACGGCATCAGCCAAGTTCTCCAGGACGTCCACGGTCATATCCCAGTCAATACAGGCATCTGTGATGCTGACACCCTTGATCAAGCCGGACGGGCCCTCCGGGGGGACTTTCTGGTTACCCTCGTAGATATTGGATTCAATCATCACGCCCATAATGGCGTCTTGACCTTCACGGAGTTGATCGGCGATCTCCTTCGCAACAAGGGGCTGGTTCAGGTGGTTCTTCTTGGAATTACCATGGGAGCAGTCAATCATAAAGATCTCGCGTTGTTTCTTGGAACGAAGGGCTTCGCGAGCGGCCTTGACGCTATCACGGTCGTAGTTGGTTCCCTTGGTCCCTCCGCGCAAAATCACAAAGCCATGTTCGTTACCAGAAGTCTTTGTAATGGCAGCCAAACCCTGCTTTGTCACACCCATGAAACGATGGGGGTGAGCAGCAGCTCCGATAGCGTCAATGGCAACGCCCAAGCTTCCATCTGTACCGTTTTTGAAACCAATGGGGAAACTCAGTCCAGACGCAAGTTCACGATGAAGCTGCGATTCCGTAGTACGGGCACCAATTGCACCGACGGAAATGAGATCGGCCAAGAACTGAGGGGAAATGGTATCAAGCATCTCACTAGCAATAGGCATACCCATACCTGTGAGGTCGGCATAGAGCTTACGAGAAATGCGCAAACCTTTGTTGATGTTGTACGAGTCATCAATATCCGGATCGTTGATCAGACCTTTCCACCCAACAGTCGTTCTTGGTTTCTCCAGGTACGCACGCATGATAATGCAGAGGTCGGAAGAAAGCCTGTCAGAAAGGTTCTTTAGACGGCGCGCATACTCGAGAGCCGTATCAGGGTCGTGAATAGAGCATGGCCCGACGACAACGAGTAGACGGTCATCGCGCTGTTCGATGATTTCCACGGCCTGCTTGCGACCAGAGCGGACAGTTTCGAAGGCACGGTCGGGCTGGACACGAACGATAAGTCAGTTAAGGTCCAATGCTTTTTTCTTTCTTCCTGTAGAATTAGGGCAGGTGGTTCCTAGAGGGTATGACTCACAGCTGAGATTTCCGACTGGAGGTACTGAGGGGGAAGCAGGGCATCGTATCCAAGGACTGGAAACGTGCATTAGTAGGTTTGACGGAAAACATTGAACGACGAGAAGGACTCCAAATACTTACCACGAGTGTCCTCGTTGACTTCTGTGGTGTTAACAAGAGGCATGGTGGGGTGACTTGGGAATCGCTTGATTTGGGCCAAAAAGTAGAGAAAAGACCAGAAGTCTTAAGTCAATAGATCTGGATATGGGAGATTTAACAGATAAACAGAAAGTTAAAACTAGATACCTCAGTAAGGTACAGATTAACTATATCCAGACAAAAGAGAGGAGAGGAGTAGAGAATGTAATGAGTGAAGAATAGTTGTATAGAGTAATAATTCATTAATTAAAAAGTGGCAGAAATAATGGAAATGTCAGTCCAGTGACTGGCCGATGTCGCTGTACTGTATTTATTACCCAAATATATAGACATATGAGCTGTGGATACATTGTAATTACCAGTTCCTTATACAAGGCGGTGAGGCACTGACAAATTATTAGGGCAGCTAGAGGCACGTGTAATGCACAATTAGTAATATGAGCTATGCATGTTATATACAGCGTATAATTCCACCGGCATCACTTGTTGTAGAATCCCCCTGGACTGATTATAATAACAGTAATGGCAAAAAATCTCTGAATAAAGGCTCATATAGTAGTAATACTAATAATATAAAAAAAATTTTAAAAATGGGAGATCCTCTGTTCTATAGTGGTGAAATCAACCTTGGGAGCGCCTCCGCGTCCGCTTTGTTTTCAAACTTCAAGTTTCGACTTCTGGACAGTTCGAGTCCTCTGCTACATGCATGGAGAAGGATAACATATCCTGTCCTCGCTCCCAGCTAGATTGCTTAGATGACTTAGCTTATCCATGGCACCCTGGCCCTCGAACACCGCGACTCCATTCGGCCAAAGCGGATAATTCCGATGTCACTGTATTCACCGTGGCTTCGACATATGTTTCCATCGACTTGGTCAACTAGTTGCCTGGTCGGACACTTATGATATTCTCTGCAACCCCTTCGGTGGGCGTCCTGAATACTGGCTGTGTTTCCAGACGCGATCCATTTTACTACCCCTTCAACGTCGATGCAGAACCCCGATCATAATGTTCAGCTTCAGCGACAAGCGTCCAAGAGATGACGATGCATTTGCTAGTCAGGACGAAAGCTTGATACGTGCAAAAAAGGTCTTTCTACTCGTTCCACTCTGATTGACTATCGTTATCTACATTTACTAACAATTGGAAATGTAGAAACCACGTCCTCTACCGTTACGCGCCTTGCCCATCACCACTCACGGACGAGACCTAGCTGATATCCATCCATTCCCTGCTCAGTTTCTCCTTCCTTCAACCTTGATCCCGGCTGATTCATCAGAGGACGATGACCAAGAAGGCATTTTCAATAAGTGTTTAGACCATGGTATCGTAAATTCAGCATACCATAATGTGCAGTCCCAAGGACAGGGATATAGTTCACCTGCTGTCAGCCTGGACACTGCAATGGAGCTTGATGTGAGAAGTGATTGCCAGCCATTATCCAGCCGTGATAATATTCATCCTTTTTCAGTCGGCATGAACCACAGTGAAGGCATCCAATTGTCTTCTGTTCCTTGCAATCTCATCAACCAGTATCTTCATATCACCGAAGGATGTATGACTACTCCCACCCACAGTCACTTTACGATGAACATGGCTGCACAGACAGAATCCACAACCATGCCATCTAGCAGTGACCCTGCTTGCAAGTATCAGAACTCTGGAAAGGATGAAAAGGCAGACTGCGGGCATGATCGGCATCCCCTGAGCCTGATCAACCAGGATGGGAATACTCTGCAAGATAATTACAGCGTGTCAACGGATAACCATGGACAAAACAAGGCGCCATTGGGCATTGCGAAAGCTGGGCCTCGCAAGGGAAAAACAATGTTGTCAATGGGTTACCGCGCTGACTGTGACAAGTGTCGACGTAAGGTCCCGGGGCACTATAGCCATTTGATTCGCACATGAGAAATTAGCTCTTCCTTGCACATTAATGAATGGGCTCTTGGATGTGTATTTTGATTCTTCCTTGAGATGGTTGGAGGCGTTAGGCTAGCTTGTGGAGTTCTTGGTGTTTCTCTCTGTGATTGCCCTGTATTCATGGTGAAGCCGATACCATAGAAAGGCTATTGATGATTATTCTTTCTTCCATAATTTCTTAATCATTCTGTTTCTTCTTTCTTTTCTTTTTAAATGACTCCAAAGATATATTTACTCCATGTTCAACCCCACATATAATAATCGGATAGCGGACGGCAATCCCCCCCGGCTTTTTGTAGCCGATCTGGTAGCCGATCACCTCTGCCGGCATGGGAAATCCCCATTTGGGCTCTGCCTCTGCTTCAACATGAATTATTCCGCTTCTTTTACGCGCTTACAAATGTCGCGGCAGAAGGATAGTCCTGGAGAATGGCCCTGGCCATAATTATTATCGTCGACGCTGGGCCAACAAACACCTACGATACATAGCACTGTGCCAACGGACCTCGTTCCATCGCATAGCCGGCTCTCCCTGTTTGAGCTTTGTGTCAATAGCAATACGACTACGATACTTCTCTTCATCTAACGGGCACTACAGCACAATGGTCTCTCCGATCCCTCGAGGTCTCCGTCTGGTCCTCCAAAAGTCTCCCTCCGACATCGTCATCCTTTCTTCCCTGCGTACCCCTGTAACGCGTGCAAAGAAGGGCGGCTTTAAAGACGCATATCCAGAAGAGCTGCTCTCACATGTGCTCCGGGCCACTCTCGAAGCAAATCCAAATCTTGATCCAGCGTTGATTGATGATGTCTCCATCGGCTCTGTGCTTCAGGAACTCGGCGGTGCCAAGGCAGGCCGTATGGCTCAGATCCACTCGGGCTTCCCCCATTCTGTTCCATTCCATACCATCAACAGGCAGTGCTCGTCGGGTCTGGCTGCCATTACGACCATTGCGAATGGAATCCGCGCCGGCGCGATCAACATCGGTGTCGGCGGAGGTATGGAGTCAATGACTCGCAATTACGGGTCGCGTGCGATCCCGACGGTCCTATGGCAGGATTTGAAGGAGTCTTCGTCTCAGGATACGAGAGACTGCATCATGTCCATGGGCATTACCTCGGAGAATGTGGCGGAGCGGTATGGTGTCTCCAGAAAGGACCAGGACGCTTTTGCGGCCGAGTCACACAAGAAGGCCGCTGCTGCTCAAATAGCGGGTCTCTTTGATGCTGAAATCGTCGCGGTAAAGACGAAGTTGTTTGATCCTGAGCAGCCAGATGCCCTCCCCAAGGAAATTACGGTATCCAAGGATGACGGAATTCGACATAATATCTCCGCAGAAAAGATGGCGGCACTGAAACCGGCTTTCTCGCAGACAGGGTCCAGCACTGCCGGAAACAGCTCACAGGTCAGCGACGGCGCTGCTGCTGCCTTACTGATGCGCCGCTCCACCGCCACAGAACTTGGCCTGACCTCTTCAATAAAAGCTCGATGGGTTGCTACCGCCGTCGCCGGATGTGCTCCAGATGAGATGGGCGTTGGCCCAGCAGTTGCAATCCCTAAACTCCTCGACACAGTCGGGTTGAGTATCCCCGAAGTGGGGATTTGGGAAATCAACGAGGCCTTCGCATCACAAGCACTTTACTGCACCCGAAAACTAGGAATTGACGAGGCAAAACTAAATCCCAAGGGAGGTGCGATCGCTATAGGCCACCCACTTGGTGCCACAGGAGCAAGGCAACTAGCTACTCTTTTACCCGAACTCGAACGTACTGGGCAGGAAATTGGTGTGGTTAGCATGTGCATTGGTACAGGCATGGGGATGGCGGGTATGTTTGTTCGGGAGTAGAAAGAAGATATATATACTTAGCACATATATGTGCATTACATAGAATGGCATACAATAAATATATTGTTGAAACCATTTTATAGATCATTTTGTATTGTTTTTCCAGATCGAATGAAAATGAGGCTCTCGGAGATCACTGGCACGTGACCAGAAGCATCCGGTCCCCGAAATAGTCGAAGAAGGGAAATCTACTTTCAATTTGAACGCCTGTCCGGTCGACAACATTATCAATTCCCTCCACAACGCCGCGGCGATGCGACTGTCTGCGCGGCTGTTGAACCTAAGCCGGGAGGGCACCCCCCTCCAAGGGCCAAAATCGATATACCTCTGTTCAACATGCAGACAGGAAGTCCGCGTCCATCCACGCCCATTTCTCATCCACCATCAAATCCGCCATAAAGGCACTTTCACGGAGCGAATGCGACGAAAGATATGGGGCACGGACAATCCTCCCGGTCTTCAAGATCCGTACGGCGGCGAGGGTGTCATTGAAAGGGAGGTCCGCAAGAGATGGAAGCCGGAATCTGAATTGGAAAAAGAGGAAGAGCGTCCTGAACAGCGTACGGAAGTGCACGAAGAAGTGGAGGCATATGAGGATGATCTTGCTCCTCCTGATGAATATGTTCAAGCAACGACTTGGGATGGGCTTGAGCGTATCGGCCACTTGGGGAAGTGGTCGGATTATCTTCCTAGAAAGGAGGATGCTTATACCCCGTAAGTTTCTTTGCCTTTTTTTACTTCCTGCTTACATTTATTATTAGAGGGGAGAAGAATGAGAATTGTATATCAAATTCATTCTTTAAGGAAAAGAGACAATGATGATTGCTAACCGAGACGTAGATTCATGCCTAGGAAGAAGTTTACGAAGATGCGACACATATCGCTCGCCGCGCACCAGGCGGTAGTGGAGATCGCGATAATGCACGCCTTGAAGAAGCCATTGGTTAATGTTTGCAGTGTGGTGACACACCATAAGACGGTTTTCAAGTTCATCGCAGACTGCAAGGTTCGGCCGACTGAGAATGGCCAGTGGGACGAGGCCATTGTCTTTCCGAGCAAGAAAGCAAAGAAAGCCCTTCTTTACGTTTTCGAGCAGATTGGAGATACTACCAGTAGGGCTGCAATCGAGATTAGGGATAAGACCACGGCACCCGATGCTTTCTTCTTCGGCATCAGGGAAGTCCGCGATAGTGGTTTCCTTTCCTTGCCCCTGAACGACCCGGCTACCAAATTTGCTGTATGTTTCCTCCTTCCTCTCTCCCTTCCTCTCTCCCCTCCTCTCCGGCATCACCGCATGCCTCCATGGTAAATTGGAGGTGGATTCGTGGAAAAAGAAGATGGAGGCTAATCCTACTGTATCCGTATAGTTCCTGAAAAGACTGTCCCAGTTGACCGGCTACTTCTTCCCGGATGGTCCCGCCCACTCTTTCACCTCCGTCAAACAAAGCGTGGAATTCATTGATAAGCAGATTAACCCGAAACAGAAATTGGCTGTTGAATTGACGAAGAACTCCAGCCTTCAGCAGCTGTCAAATGTGAAGATCTTTGCTAAGAGACAGACCCAGTCAACTAGGGATGAGGAGCTAGGCAGAAAGAAGGTCATTGAGGCCGTGTTCCGAGAAAGAGGTTTGATTGTATGAAGTCTGATTTTTGAAGACTTTTATTTGAAGATATTTTGTCTTACCACTATTTTTTCTCCTAAGAATGCTTGTATAATAGCAATAAAAAATACTGCCCAGAATCTGACGAGAAATTGCGCTGTGTTGTATATTTATTTACAAATCTATCTATCCAACAACGATAATCAACAATGTCGTAATACCTAAGAAACGTATAGCCTTTCCGGTTGTGCAGCCTTTCCCCAATAAACCAATCCTATGGAATCCGTGCGCCTGCAGACAGAAGAAGCGAAGAAGAAAGAACGGTTCAATAAGAAGAGAGATCATCTACGAGCCCCAGCAGGAATGGTATAGCCTCTCGTCATAAAATCACTGCCCTGCTTGGACTTACCATCCCCGGAGCTTTTCGTAAAGAGACTGTCCAGATTCTCATTAGCTCCTAGCATCTTCCGGCGTTTCTTCTTCTCCTTTTCCTCGTCAAGAACGCGGGCAGTTAGCATCGCTGTGGCGGCATGCTTGATTCCGCTCGGTGCGCTGGTAATGGGAGCCTGCTTTGTGTGGGACGAAGCCGATTTTGAATCTCCAAATTCTCCGTCGGCGTGCTTCTTTCGCTTCTTCGAACCGGGCGCTTTCTTTAGGGAATGCGTTAAGCCTTGCTCAGCAAGTTTCTGGGCTCTTTCTAGAAGACGTGATTTGTCGGCGTCTTTTGTAGGGAGGATGAGAATGACGTTATCTTCGGTGTAGGGTTCATTGCACTGAGAGATAAAAGCAACAGTTAGAGAGAAGGGAGTCCAAACGAAGAAAAGCGAAGAGAGTATAAAAATGCCATACCTGCAAGCATCTATCGCCCTTCAGTTGTCGAATAGCTTCCTCACAAAACACATGTCCACAAGGTACAAGGTAGACCGACTTCACATTAGGACCCAGTTGCTTGGCTGTGATAGGGCAAATCCATCCTTCATGGCGACTGTACTTGTCCTTCGACGACCCATCACGCTCAGTGTCAATTTCAAATTTCAATTCCACCACGTCCCGCAGTCCCTTGACTCGCCCGCCGAGGATTTCTTCGCAGTCGGCCTTCGAGCTGATCCCTTCCACTTCGTCGCCGGGGAGGAGAAACTGGAGGACGGCATCTTTATTATAAAGATTTCCCGCAGAATCTGAAACTATGGGCCTGGTAAGAGGCTTATGTGATAAGGGACAGGTGGTCCAGAAGTGCTCCTGAAGCTCACGCTGAGCTTCCTTAACTTGTGCTGTGCTGGGTGCTCGGGCGGCTTCTCTGACAAGCTCGCGGCGGGTTGGAATGCTGGTGTGGATGCCACGTTATGTCAGTTATTGCGGGTGATGAGGTTTTGGAAATAGAATCGCTCACCTGCCACCATCATTACCCATATTCTCTGGGTGAGTATTAGCACTGGGAATATTGGGACAGAGAAGAGAGAAAGGGAAGTTGGTTATAGAAGATTAAATTATTGGAGTGGCGATGGTGATATCGGATCGATGACTAAGGCATCAGATTAACTAGATCGACCCCAGACGTGAGCTCATATCAACAACTGTCCTCAAAGCATCCCATCCCCACAGACAACTGGGCTCACTGCACAGGCAGCATTGGTAGGAGATCAATGCCGCAATCATGGTTCTTTTACAAAATTCGTTGCTCCCCTTGAGTGTGGCAGCATGTTTGACTGTGTTAACTGCGGCGAAAGACGACGGCGCCGCACGACCTCGTGGAGTCGGACCAGAGTGTAAGTATAGTGATATTCGGCCAGACTTCACACCAATGGATTACCAGTATACTTCCATAGTTAAACCAATTCCTGGGAGAGACAGTATGTGGGAGTTCGTCGACTAAGCTAACTTGCATTCCAGTTGCCAAATTCTACAAGGATACGACAACATTTAGCTGCATCTCCCATCCAGCTGTCAGGATCCCATTCTCTGCTGTGAACGACGATTTCTGTGATTGTCCCGACGGAAGCGATGAGCCTGGAACTTCCTCCTGCTCGTATATTTCCCGTTACTCCTCTCTGACGGTCGCTGACCGTCCGGGGAATAGCGAGCTGGAACTCGCGGCAGCGCTCCCTGGATTCTACTGCAAGAACAAGGGCCACAGGCCGTCATATCTCCCATTCCAGCGCATTAATGATGGTGTCTGTGACTACGACCTATGCTGTGATGGGAGTGACGAATGGGCGCGCGTCGGCGGCATCAAGTGCGAGAATCGGTGCAAGGAGGTTGGCAAGCAGTGGAGAAAGCAGGAAGAGGAACGACATAGATCGATGACCGCAGCTCTTAAGAATAAAAAGGAGCTGCTTGTCGATGCCGGGAGACAGCAGAAGGAGGTCAGCGATCGTATTCGAGACCTCGAGGTGGAGCTCAAATCGCAAGAGTTGAAAGTTAACGGCCTTGAGAAGGACTTGGAAGGGCTTCAGAAGCAGGACCGGAAGGACGCTAGCAAAAGAAAAAAGAAGGGCAAACTTAGTGCCTTTGCCCAGGTAGCTAAAGAGAGGGTCGAGGAGCTAAGGAATGCAGCGATGGAAATTCGCAAAGAAAGGGATGAGATTCGAGCAAGAGTGAAGGAGTTGGAGGACATCTTGTCGAAGTTCAAGGAGGAATACAACCCTAACTTCAATGATGAGGGTGTCAAGCGAGCTGTGCGTAGCTGGGAGGAGTATGCAGCTAGGCAATCCACTGAAGGCACTGAAGTGGCAGCGCGCGAGAGGGACTTGGATGCTATCTCCACTGAGGACAGTGAGAATTCTGGAATTAACTGGGCACAGTGGGAAGCTGAGGATGAAAGCGAAGGCGATTCTCGTGAGTCCCCGGTCATCTACGAGTATATCTATCTACTCTTGGCCACTAACTTCTACTATAGCCTCCAAACTTACAGCTTGTCTCCCCTCGCCTATCGCCAAATTCGTCGAGGATAAGATGCACCTCATCAAGGGCCTCCTTGAAGAAAACGGCATTCTAGCACCAGAGGCCGGCGATACCTCATCTGAATCGCAGGCTGTAGTGGAAGCACGCAATGCGCTCGCATCGTCCCAGGGCACTCTCCGGGAACTTCAAAACAACCTCAAGAACCACAAGGAGGATCTTGAGAAGGACTACGGGCCAGCGTCAATCTTCCGCGCACTCAAGGACAAGTGTGTCTCCAAGGACTCTGGAGAGTATGTGTACGAGCACTGCTTCCTGTCCAAGACCAAGCAGAACCCGAAGAAGGGCGGAGCATCAGCCTTGATGGGTAATTTCGTCGGGTTTGGAACGGTGGGCGTTGATGAAGTCGATGAATCGGGCGAGATCGTTCCCGTGGCGAAGATGACGCTAGAGTACGCGAACGGCCAGAAGTGCTGGAACGGACCGACACGTTCGACCACCGTTATCCTGGAATGTGGAGAGAAGGATGAGATTGTCAAAGTCATGGAAGATGCGAAATGCGTCTACTCGATGATCGTCAACACACCCGCGGTCTGCGAAGGGGGGGAGGCTGAGGGTAACGTTGCACCACGACAGAAGGACGAGCTCTGATCATAGGTTGTACATCTTGGTTTGCTTTTTCGTTACTTCGTTTTCTTGGCCAGTTGTCGATGTTCTGCATCCCACATGCCCGGAGTTCCCCAACCGTACCTGAGTTCGAAGTGTAGGAGTTATGAGCGGTTGAAGCGAGAGGAACTACATTGTTCACGATTGACACGACGGTCATCAACCATCGATGGGACTATCAGAGCCATACTAGAATTCCTTTCCTTGGGTTTCATTATGTTATTCCATACCCACGAAAACTGCGGTCCGTTGACTATTTGAAAAGTAGATCGCTCCATGGCACCGGCATAACAGGAGTCGTACCGAATCCAACCGACGGTGGTTCTTTGCGCACGGGATATACTTAGCATCAGCATTAGTATTAGTATTAGCATTGTCATTATCATATTAATATATCCCACTGGAGGGAGACAATCGGACGAGAGTAGAGGCTCCTCGCGGCAATTGGCGAAGCAAAGCCAAATTGAGTTTTCTGGGCTTTTCGCGCCGGCTTTCAGGCTGGCGGATGGAGAGGATTGCTGCAGTCCATGATCAGCGCAGAAAGAAACTTTGCGCTGCATCTGCCATCCATTAGTTTTACTAACTGATAATCAGTAGTAATAACTATTATCCTCAGACCCCACTCACCCTTCACTGCTTGCTTTTCGTCGTCTGCCACATGTTCGTCTGCCGTCGGTTTCAGAACAGAGACCCTTGATGAATAAGAATACGACACGGCAGCCGTGTTGACAGTCTGTAGACCTTAGTGGAGGCAGAGAATTAATAACCTGAGACAGCATTATTCTGTCTAGACTGTGGTGGTCTGATTCCTCTAGCTTGCTACATGTCCATTCCATGCATGCGTGCACGCAGCAATGCTCCAGAGATAACTCTCCGTACACAGCATTACTGCAGTGAATACAACCACTGGATGCTATCTCGCCCCCCAGCCTTCGAGGGGCCTGAGCTCCATCTGGCTTGGCCTTAGTCTGGTCAAATGGTCAGATAGATACTCGTCCAGAGGTGGGCCTCTTGGATGTCGAACGTGGCACGCTCAGGGCGCTGAGGATGGTCAGACAACGCCCAGCGCTTCGAGCGTCCATCGAGCTGACGTATGAGAAATGATCTCATGGACGGAATGTGGTGGAGGTAAGCGGATGAAGCCGCCGGGCATTGTCGAGAGCTGTATTTTTGCTTCTTCAAGCCTTCTCAAGCATTGTCCTATCCCAGCCTGTTCCACCACACCCTCCTTCGGTGCCCCTCTCTTTGTTTATCCCCCACTGAGGCCGTGAGGACGAATACACGTCGGAAAAGAGATCTCAGCCGATATGCATTCGGCCTGGTCATAGTCATGGGAATGCGGGCAGATGCATATATAAAGGACCTCTCCCAACCTCCGTCTCCCTGGTCTTTTTCTTTCTCTCTTCCATCACATCTGCCTTCAAACAATTACCATCCAGCGAACGATATCTCGATCCAACCTTTAAGAAACAGTCCGTTTTCTTCAAAAAACCAACCATCAACATGTCTCCCTGCTCCTGCAACTGCTGCTCCGGCAACTGCTCTTCTTGCTCTTGCTCCAGCTGCTCTGTAAGCTCTCCCACCAATCGTCGTTTCGTTCAGTCGAGAAATCGATCATTCCTCTTTACTAATAACTGCCACAGCACTAAATCCCTTCCATCCATAGAAGTGGATGGAGCCATTCTCCTCGGTAGAATGTTGATCTGTCTCGTCCCATTCTAACAGCACGCCCTCGTCGGATCCGATTGGACGCTTCCACCACTGCGTCGGAACTGGTACTGCAAGAAGGAGCTATTCAGTCACAGTGTTGTCTTGTGTCTTGTTGGGTGCAGACTGCTGAGAATCAAGTTTGAAAGTCGGTGTGTCCAAGTGACTACTGCCGTTTGGTGCTTTTCCGTCTTTGATGCAATCGGACGAGCAGATTTCCATTCTCGCTTGCAAAGAGGGGGAATTTTCTTGAATTGGATTTAGTTGTCAATGAATTGTTGATTTTTTTCTGGATTTGATATGCAAATGCCAATTCCAATGCAATGAGAAATTCTGCTAGTATCATTTCACTTCAGCCTCCATCTGTGCTTTGTAAGGTAGAATATGCCGACAGTGACATTGCCTGCCGCTGCTTTTCTGCATTTTGAGATTCCATATTCCGTACGGGAAGACAGACAGCAATGGCTGTCCTCATCGTTAACACTATCATGGCATAAGCAATAACATATGTAACAAGGCTCAATCCCTCTCGCTAATGTCTAATACAATCATACCTGGTAGACGAGAAGGAAAAAGAAAAAGGGCTCTGAAAAATTCCCCTCAATTCCCCTCATATCATTCCCCTCCAGACGCTGCTCTGCTCATCTCTTCCCCTTCCCTCCTTTCTTCTTTGACTTCCCTCCTTTCCCACCAGCAGACGCCGTTGCAGCCGTAGCCGCCGCAACAGCAGCAGCAGGAGCTGCGCCACCCTCCTCCTGTACAGCAGGCGCATCGACCATATCCACGTCCGCAGTAGAACCGGCCGTTGCTGCAGCCGCAGCCGCAACCGCAGGAGTAGGAGCAGCAGAAGCACCAGCACCAGCACCACTTAACCCCAATTCAGCAATATTTGCGCCCCCTGCCAGTTTTCCCAGACCAGTAATCAGACGTCCGACCTCTGCGATCTTATCTGTGCGATATTTGAGGCAGATTCCCGTGGCGGGGTTGAAGGTTTTCAGTGTTAGCGTTGCGACGGACTGTTGTGGTTGTGGCTGTTGCTGTTGCTGTTGGGTGGTATCGGGAGATTCATTTTGGAGTTGAGTTTCGGATTTTGTGTTTGACTTAGAGCTGGATCTTTTCTCTTGCGATTTTGCTGTCGGGAAGCTGTATTTGGTGGTTATCCTGGTCTTTTTTTTTGTCCTGGGTTAGTTACTTGGTTCTGTGCGGAGTCGGTTTTAAAAACAAGACAATCGACAGCTTGTAAAGAACTGCATCAGATCTCTCAAAGGAAAGATATAATTAATACATACAGTGTCCGGATATGCCTCTAATAATAAACAGGACTGTTCGAGGAATGCCTGCGACGAGGGAAGATATGCCATGGTTGCTGTGGTTATGGTTGTTCTGATGGAAAATGCATCCAAGACAGTAATATTCTGTCTGCAAATATAGAAATTACTTCCTGTGGTTGAGTATTCGTGTTCAGCAAGGATCAGATTGGTCTCTGTCTGTTGTTTGAGAAAGATGGCGAGCAATGTTCTCCTGGCATACTCTTTAAACTGTCGAAGTTGAGACAACCAGGGTTTCTATTCTTGGCATTTATCTATTTCACTGCCCTCGCGCCACCCTGTGCACTGCATTTCTATCTATGCCAAACATGTAGTAGCATTATCTTGTGGTATGCTATATACAATAATGATAATAGTAATACATGCTGTACATGTGAAGAGAAGACGCTGCTTGTAAACCTAATATGCAAGTTGCCCAAAAACAAGAAAGGGAATCCACATGATCAAAGCATTTAATGAAATGTAAGTATGTCCATCCATATTATCTTGTGCTGCAAATATTGTCATCATCAAAATCAACATAAATGGAAAAAATGAAAAAGATTCGTGGACTCATAACAATAATCACCATAAGCCTGCAGCCTCAACTGGTAGCTTTACGGCAATTAACGCAAGTCAGTCGTTGTTTGCCGTCTCTTCCTTTGGTCGCCCGGAAATTGGTACCATGGCAATGGTTGCACGTAAGCACTTCCCCTTCATCAGCCTCCCCATTGGACGAGGCATAATCACTGCTCAGGGTGCTTGCGGTTATTGTCCGTTCTGCAGATACGGTACCGTTGTTGGGACTCAGAAAAGCAGGAGATTTCTTGGAACTGGCCACGAGCGCATCGTGGGCCATCTTGTTCCAAAAGAGATAACTCTGGTCACCTGGCGACCACATCGGATTATCTTTATCATGGTTCGCACTGCTGGCGAACTCTTTCGGAGGCTGAAGGGCCCTGTGCACCATTGGCTGACTGCTGGGTTTTGACACCTCCTCGCTGGATCGTGGACTGTCCATGGATGATTTGCGTCCTGACTGTGGGGAGGATGTAATAAAGACGGAACGATAGTCAGCCGGTAGCCCCATGGAGTTCCGCTGAGGACTGGAGTAGCGAGACATGTGAGGAGACGGGCTTCGAGTCCTCGTCCCACGTCGAGAACTGTCCATGCTAGCACGTTCGTTTCTGGCAACCGAATTGCGCCATGATATGATCCGCTCCGACGGCGTCTTCAGAATAGAATCCTTTCCATTCGATGACGCGATACTGTGGCGAGCCGAGTTGGAGCGTCCCAACAACCTTTTAGAAATCGTAGATCCTGTGTCCAACGCCTCAAAGCGCCGCTTGTGGTACGCGCAGTCCTGCCTCAGAACCTTGATCTTCCCCGAGTAATCGGCTATAATGATTATATCGCCGCCTGGGTGTGTCGATCGGGCAAGATAACTGGGTGACTTCTGTGCCAGTTTCGCATGATCTGGCAGTGCATTCGATTCGCCATTGCGCTGGTCACCTGTATGCGCATTACTTACCAGCGTCACAGGCGGCGGATTGCAAATATCATAAACTGGATCCTCCGAAAACCCCAGTATCTGTTTGGTCGACGGAGGTGCCATGACAGCAGCCGTCACCATAGCTGACTGAGCCTCAAGCACTTCGACAGCACGTTTATCTGTGTCTTTTTCAAACGAGTCAATCGGCCAGATGTACGCCCTTCGGTCCTCACTTCCACATATGACATGTTTACCGCTATGGCTGAAGGAGGCCCGGATCTGACTGCACGCGTTCTCGTTACCCCGGAATTTTGCCTCCAGGGTTCGGTCCCGGAGATTATATAGTCTAACCCGAGAGTCGTTGCTAGTAATCAAGACCTTAATTTCACCATTTGGGTCATTAGGGGGCACAGTGATAGTGTCGATCCCTGTGATCTTACTCCCCTTTGCCTTCCGCGTGCGTGGTGAACGAATATGTAGCTGTCCGACAAGCTTCAAGCCATCCGTTTCGTAAATATTGCATAGACCGTTGAGACATCCGGCGATCGAATGTCGGCCATCAGGGGTGAAAGCGACGGAGGTAATCATATCCGGAACAGTGGCCACGAATGCCACACTTTTGTCCGGGATGCTCCAAAGTCGAAGTTTCGTGTCAAGAGACCCCGCGAGGAAAAATCGGTCATCGCGAGGGTGAAATTGTATGGAAGGGACGAAGTCGCTGTGCTTAAAGCAACAAAGACACTCTGACCTTGTGACGTGCCACAAGCGGACGGTTTTGTCCATTGAGGAAGAAAGAAGAAAATTGTTCTGGCGTAGTTACACACAGTCAGCCATATGTCCTTTCTTCCCCTTTTCCTTTCTTTAAAAGACAGCTGCAATTTGGGCCGAAGGGGTGGCGATTCGTACTTTACTCCAACTCAAATCCAGTACACACCCCGTGTGCCCCTCATACACTTGGACTGGCTTCGACGCAAACACAGGAGCTTTGAACCGCGGCAGCTCTCGACTATCTTGGCCTTCGTAGTCTTCAGGTTCAAACGCATCCCGATCCGCCGGGGAAGAAATTACGGCCCATACCCGGACCTTCTTGTCTTGACCAGCGGCGGCGAGATACCTGCCATCTTTTGAAAACCCCAGAGCCCAGATTGCTCTCCCAGCATTGTGCCCGCCTGGGATTTCAGTCGACGTACTAGTAGATCCATCATTATCCGGCAAGCTGGATGGGAAATCCGCACCATCCAGTTCTTGTGCCACGAATACCCGGTTGAATGTTTTCTCTTTCTTGAAGTGGGCTCTGACTTTAATATATTTAGGGGGGCGAGGGAAGCGTGGAATGAATCCTATCGGCTGTGAAATAGAGTCGGTATCCATGCGATTGACGTCCGGTTCAGAAATGTCGTCATCAGAAGCTGAGAAATGGCCCCTTTTCCTGGTTGGGATGATGCGGCTGAGAAACGAGCCACCTTTCCTGCAGTTCAGAAGGGGAAAGCCAGTCAGTTGATTCCTGTTCTAGAAATCTCAAGCAAAGAACGGGTTCTGATGCTTTACGTAAAGGGTTATATAGAAAATGTCTCATTGCGCCAAGAACAAAGCAATTTGCAACAACTGGGTGTTTCCTTTGGGGAGTAAGGACTCAATAATAGGCAGTTGGATACCCACTTTTTATCCTTGGAAGATTTTTGACTTGACGCTGCATCTCCCCGTATCGAACCCAGCTTTGTCGGGCTGAAATCGTCCGTTCCGCGAGCCTCCGCTTCGTAAGATGCCTTCCCCAGTAGCCTCAAGGGAATCGATTTCTCGGTATTCGTGCGCCTAATGATATGCTACAAACAAGGCAAGGAGAAGCGTTAGCTTCTAGTAACACCGCACAATAGGTATGGTATCCAAACGACAGGAGGGCAGTCGGGCACTCACTCGTGACAACGGATCTATGGCGCTAGAATCAGCGTTGGCTTCAAAAAAAGACAGCGCCGTTGGCGTAGATGACTGAAAGCTCGGGGATTTGTGACCCGGAAGGGAGGGAGACACTAAAAGAGAAAACCAGAAAACAGTCAGCAAATGGCAAAAACTGGTTAGCTGATGCAAATGGACGAGTGAATGAATATCCTGAGAGACAGCCGGGCTAGATTGCAATCCCGATGTTGGCGATAATTGTTCGACAACCGACAAAATGGCCAGCGCGGCAACAAAAAACATACCGAGAGGGAACGTCTGAGAGGTCCTGAGAGACCCAGGTTTGCTGGAGGTACTGGCAGTTTGAACAGTGGCAGGGCCATGGCTATCGCTGTTGCGGCCGGCGCTGTCTGAACTGGGATTGTCATTGCCGGTGATTATCGGAGCGGTCGACGATCGAGCAATGGCACCACCAGTGCCGCCAGTCGAACCCTCGGCCATACTGGAGATAGCGCGCAGGGCAGCGCATGTGTGATTTGTGATTAACCTCGATGCAACAAGGTCTGAAGAAGGGAGAAGAAGAGGAGGGCAACCGTGGACGGAGGCGATAACTGGAGATTAAAGCGAAGCGCGGCAGTCCGCGGAAACGATAACTTTTTTAAAGCATGAGAGTCGTCTACAAATGACATCAAGCCCTTACTACGCCAGCGTAGGATTCCCAGAGCAAAGCCCCTCTTGGTAGGAAAGCTTAAGGGAATGACTTCTCCACAACCTGATATGTGCTTGGCCACCAGTTGACAAGAATATCCTCCCAGGAGCTGTCACAGGGAATGTTCCGAGGCAATAGTGTTAGGATCCAATAGTAATAATGCTTTCAATCGGGGGATACCATTGGCTGGCTCCGGGAAATCGCAATTGACTCCTCTTCGTAGACGTTCTCGTTTGGTGGATGCTGGTCGGGTTCTGGATAACCATGCCATCGCCAATGCCCCCTTCTCAGACTCCTGAGCCAGGGACAGACCGGGTATGCAACTTGAACATTTCTTCCATCCTGGCAGTCAGATCTGCAGACGATCTATTTGTATCATTGGGGAAGTTCGACTATTTCCCCAGATTTCACCAATGGATGGTCTAGTATCGAGGAGCCTGCCAACAAGAACGACGGCAGCATCTTCAAGCTGCCTATGTTGTCGATGGCCGTGTTGCTAGTCAGCTACAATCCCATGTTTTCAGCTCAATAATCTTGTACTTACCTGCTTTGACCGTGCCTGTGGTCATGCATCCCAATAACCACATCCTCTGGTTGGATATACTCTGTATGCACCGTATATTATGTATGATTGTTGCTTAAAGCTAGATGGGATGCCGGGGATTTCTTTCGAAAAATGTATCACTAGGCCTAGGCTGCGTCCTTTCGGCCACAGTCAGCGGAACTAGGGAGCAGAGACCAAAATTATGGACGCCATTTCTGGCAGGATCTGCTGGCTCATAGCTATTAACACGGCTGTCATGAGCCGGGACTATGAAGCACTGCAGAAGTACCGAAGAGAGTTCCTAATACGGCGGGGCCAAGCACCACTAAGTAGCTTCACTGCTCAATACGGACACTAATTATATACAAATGTTGGGGGTTTACTTGCTATCTCTCATTTTCCCCTATTTATTCCTAATACTTGGGTTTACGCTTGCTCTAATTTTCTTGCGCGATCCTTAGCTATATCGCACATTGCCTGTTGAAGCGAGAGTGTCAATCGAAGAAACAGCATAGAGAACCTGGAAAAAAGAGAAGATGGACTCTTGCAGACTATACATACCTGGATTATCTCTTCAATCTCACAGTCAGTATCTCCTCTATCGATTCTTTGGCGCATTTCTTGCATAATAATGTCCCTGTTTCGGCCATTGACAAAAGTTCTATTGTACAATGTACATTAACAATGACTCTGTACTGTCTCCCTTACACTCCAAAATTAAGATGATACGAGTAGTAGAAGAGAGACGCGGGTTAACAGCTGGCGGAATACATACACAAATCTCAAACCCGGAAACTTGTCTTCATATTCAGCATTCAATGCCTTCAATCTCTCTGCCTGTTCTTCCGCCCCCGTATTCAGATTGGCCTGTTCCTTCTTGCTCAGTTCGCTTATGTACTCTGTCGCCGCAGCCGGGGCTCTCCCAAGGCGCGGATGCGAGCCCAGGATCCCGTAGAGGATGTCCTTATCCACGGGTGAATTGGCGGGGGAAAGTGCAGACAAGCGGCCGCCAACAGCGTCGATTAGAGAGTTGTATGATGAGAAAGATTGGTTCGCAAGGACTGCGGCCATCAGAGTGTGAAGCTCTGGAGAGGATTCAAAAAGAGTGTCAAGGACTTTGAATTGATCTTCCTGCGAAAGCAAGGAGAGTGACGACGGTGCAGGGAGGGTCGACATGATCGAACTGGTGGAGCTGTGGCTTCAATTGACTCGGCAGATGCGTGCGAGGAGGCGATTATGACTATAAGTTGAGACGAGCATTGAGATAATACGAAGTGAGATACTGCGTCAAAAGACAGTTCGTTCTTCATATAGCAGAGCATGCGAACTCTCTGAGAGCCATTATCTCATCCCCGCATCGGGGCCCGGCGGTCTGCGAACTGAGAAACCTGAGACTATGGTAATGAATAATCAATAGCAACACAGTTGGACACGTATTATTATTATTATTATTATTGATGGACAGGATAGTATGTATGAACAGTCATCTATTTATCATTAGATCTCTGTACTGCAGATCTCCCGCTGAGAACAGGGCAGAAATGTGACAGATGGATGAATACAGCAGTGACTATACGTAGCATCAGAAACGACAGAAATGGATAGATTATTTTATACTCCGTAGATGATAATAAGGATGCTGGCCCACTTGCCTAGGCATAGTTGACTCCCAATTATGGAGCAGTTCATATACTGAGTGGAGGCTCAATCGACAAGACACAATGCACACTGTACCTGCGACGAACCCCTGAACTCCTGAGACCTCCGTTCCAGGTCCAAAGCTTTTTTTAAAACCATCGGTCTAAGTCCCCAGTTGGTCCTGATGGATATCTTCGATATGAGATGAGTTCAAGATTATTGACCCCCGTCCAGCCTTCCACCCACTTCTGCAGACAGAGGGCGCTATCACGGCAAAGGCACCCTTGCGCTCGTCGAATTATTATTAAACGGCCTGGCTGCTTTGCAACCTGTCGTCCAAAGTGCTTCGTATCCGTGCTCGTTCATCCTCCCTCCTGTTCGGGAGGACTCTCCACCTCTAGCTGTATCACCAGCACACGCCTTACCCCTTCGATTCATCTCCAATGCGGATCCCTTCATCGCCATGTCTCTCAATGGCCTGGATACCCCGGCTGTCGTTGAAGCCTACCAGACTGTTCTTGCTGAAGCAGGAAGATGGTGAGTATAATCCCTGCTCCGCGGCCTCCTCCCACGTTGTGTTTCCTCGTGTCTGCCAATTTGCAGTTGCTCTGTTTCATCATGCTGCGGCTAACCGTTACTGTTTCTCCTCGTCGACCAGGTTCCTTCTCAAGTACGTGTCAAGGGATGAGGTGGCTGTCCTAGGTCAAGGCACTGGCGGAGTACCAGAAATCCGCAGCACAATCGACACCTACGAAGATAAATCACCGCTTTATGGCTTCTTACAATATCGTCGGAGGAAGGTTATTCTCAAGTACATGCCCGAGGGCATGTCCCGACTATTACAAGGTACGTTCCTGCTCTACTAAGAGTAATGACCCTATACCCTATATCGCGTCCACTGACCGGCTCTGCCATCGCTTCTTCCAGTTCGAACCGGAGTTCACTTTCAGTCCGTCGTCGATAGACTCTCTCCGCATGATACTATCTTCTCCCTCACACAGGCATCGGATCTGACAGAAAGTTCCCTCTCATCCGCATGTCTCCTGCACGCCGCATCAGGTTCGATCACGTCGTCATCAAGTTCTCTCCGTCGTCGCAGGCTGATGGAAATAACCGAGGATGCGGAGGAGAATGCCGTGGGAATGGATGAGCCGCAACCGCCGGCTCCAGGTACAGATACCCGGCAGAGGTCGTTCAGTGAATTATCAGAGGCAACCGTAGTACCATCACGAGTCACATCGAATGTCGAATATCCCCCAAGCAGTAACGGAGACGAGCTGAGGGCGGTTAGTGAAGCAGCTACAGACTCTTCGTCGTCATCAATGCCCTGGGATCTTAGCGCAGAGCCTTCAGATTCACAACGAAGCTTCCTGCAGGAGCTGTCTCAACAACCATTGTATGAACGGCGAAAGTCATCCCAGTCCGCGAGACCAGCGCTGCGTGACTTGGAGCGTGCTTACACATACATACCAAAGGTCAAGCGGGGTCCTCGTCCTTCGGTAGATCTCAGAGGGCGACCGCGCACGGCAGGCAGCCTGTCCCGGAGTCATGATCAACGACCTGTCGCTTCATTGCCCCCTTCCGTTCGAACCTCAACACGACAACCTAACATCCCAGGGTTTTCCCGTCCTCAGTCGCAGCCGAATGGTGCAGCTTCCGTGCCCGGAAAGCGTGCTCCACCTGTACCCCCTTTATTACTAGTGCCCCCACCGCCAATGACTAGTATTTCAAGACCCCCTCTCTCCCCTGGAACCAAGTCCATGAGTGCAATATCATCTTCAGGATTGACACCTGAAAAGGAACGGTTGATGAAAGCTCTCCATCTGCGAAGGAAACAAATGGAGAAAAAGGCGGAGAAAAATAAACATGATGAAGCAAAGCTCAATGGGATAACTGCCAGCGAAGACAAGGAAAATATTTGTGGCCATGACGAGGACATGCATGAACAAGAACAGGGAGCCAATCAGCCTACAGTTGCATCGGATCAGAACCATCAGCCTTCCCCTGAGCCTCAGCCACCTGCACCGCCGCCTCCCGCCGGACCCGACGACGACCTGAATCGCGCTGTCCTTAATTCGCCGAAACAGGATTCAGCCGTCGACACGACCATGGCTATCGATGGGGAGCAGCCTCCGACCCTGTTAACCAATGGCGTTAATAACAGCACTGAGTCTCTAGAGAGCATTCAACAGTCACCACAGGCTGTCAGTCAAGCGGAGATACCGACGCCAGAGGGAGAAGAAACAAATCCCATCCAAAGCGATGCTCAAAGCCGTGACAAGGAAGGATTTCAATTGCCCAGTGTACAAGTTGACGATGTCTCACATGAAACTAGCACCCAAGCAGGCCCAGAGGCAGACACTATTTCTCTTCAACAACAAACAGAGCCATCTCTCGATGCCGATGAACCCACGAAAGACTCCCGATCTAAACCCCCTGAATTAGTCCTTCCCGAACCGCCCTCCCACCAACCCCCACCGATCTCTACTACTACTGAAAAAGAGCCCGCTACCTCTAAAGCTGCAATACCGCAGCCAGATCTTTCTCCTAACGATACTGGCATGGCAGATAAGGATGTCGACCGAAAAGAAAAACCGAATTTGCACATTGAGAATAACCACACGACAGGCATTGAAGCTTCCAACGAGGACAAATCACATTCCGACGATTCGTCCCTCGAAGAATTGGGAAGTGCCAAAGTCGAGGAAGCCAAGTCCATAACAGTGCCGGAATCTCCGACCGCACACCACAATTATTCGAATAGCCCACGGTCGATTGATGTTTGGAGGAATCTACGGGCGGCCTCGAATCCGACCGCTGTTGGACGTGCGACTTCCAATCTCCAGGTGCTAGCAGCTGGTAGATCTGTATCTAGCCCCTACTCGGACAACAATAGCAGGCCTGTCAGCCCTGTTACCATGGCGCGGAAGATCAACGTCTCGTCCGGAATTTCAAGTCGCATTAAGGCCCTGGAGAAGTTCTCGAACAGTCGTGAGATGCATTCAAATACAAGCCACACCCTGACCACGCCTTCTGTTTCGTTCGAAAGCATCCGGAAGCGCGCTTCTGTCTCATTAAATGGCGGGCATTCTGATGTCGCGGCGCTTTCAAGACGCCCATCGCTCATGACGTCGTCTCTAAACACGTCGTCTCGACCCCCAAGTCGGTCGCCTTCAGTTACAGCTGTCTCGAATGCAACCCAACATGAATCGCAGGCTGCGGGTCCGTATGAGATCGGTGTACGCCGCGCCCAGACCGGACCGTTGACCATTAAACATTCGACTTCCGAGAGTTCTCGTCCGCAGAATCCGTCCGCAGACTCTACGGTAACTACTCTCGAGACGCATGATGCGCCCCCAAACTCCGCACATTCGAATAAGGAAGTCCCCATAGCCTCAATATCCCGCACAGAAAGCGCGCTGTCCTTCTCAGCACACCGCGAGACTGAAGCCAACCCACGACCGAGCTCAAGTAATGATCAGAGCCCATTACCGGAAGAAAAGAAAGAATCTCGCACGTCTCGGCTCTTCCGCCGAATGTCTTCTATGAGATCAAGCCCGCGAAAGAGTGTTGTGAATGCGTTGAGCTCAAGTCCGGAAAATGGCGAAACTTCGACGTCTGCCGAAAAGGGCCGTGGTCGGGCTTCTGAGGCACCTAAAGCCTTTCGAGCAGTGGACATCGGCGAAGTCAACGTTCAATTTCCGGACACACTTCTCTGGAAGCGCCGATTCATGCGCATCGACGACCAGGGTTGCCTTGTTTTAACCCCAGGGAATAACGACTTCCACGGCCGCAACATGACCAAACGCTACCCCCTTTCAGAATTCAAGACACCTTGCCTGCCAGATGAGGATATGCAGGAGCTTCCTAACAGTATTTTGTTAGATTTCCTTGATGGAAGCACACTCCAGTGCGCTTGTGAATCGAGACAAGGGCAGGCATCTGTTCTCCAGAGTAAGTATCAGCTCATCTCTCGATGAAGATAGGAAGCCGGGATATTACTAACCGATGGATGTGCAGTTCTTTTGGATGCGCACAGCGCCTGCCAACAACCATCTGCTTGATAGCCGATCCATTCGCTACATGTATCATTCTCATCTTCTGCTCTCAGCTATTTCCTGTACTTTCATTATGCTATCTGGCCTTCCCGTCATTTGTCGCCTTTTTCCTATTCCACTGTTGTAGAATCCTTGCACTTCATCCTCACTACCGTTACCAGGCTCTCTTTTTTTTTCGGTTGAATTTCGTGCAGTATACCCCGTCTAAAAATCCTTTTCGTTTGTTCATAGAGATGTCTCTCTAGTCATCCACCGTCACACTACCGAGTGTTTCCCATCTGAGCATCACGTCACCTCGATTCCACCTCTGTTGAGGTACCTGGCACATAATCTAGCGTTACCATTCGAAGCTCAGCCTTCGTTTCACGGCCATATCAACAAGCTATTCTCGCCCTCTACGCATTGCTGCGCTGCCTTTCATTAGTAGACGACAGTATATATTACAGACTGTTAGAGTTCCACCCGAAGCATCACTTGTGTGATTTTGGAATTGCATCGAGCTGAGTAGAATGGACATGACTCTCATTGCTGAGCGCGTGCGCGTAGCGAGCGGTGAGCGTTCGCGCCCGTCTTGCCACGGGCGCTTACGGATATCTCTTTCCCCTTGAAATTCCACAGCATACAAATGGACGGTGGGCAATTGACACACTACACATTGACAATGCACAGTTGAAAGTCCGGATTCGCTGATCCTTTCAGCAAGCGTACTATCGGTGGACGAGACGCGCGAGGCAAGCGTTTAGCCGCCGTTCCCAGCGTCTGGAACACGATGCCTCAGATGGCGCTGGCGACGTTCAATGAGATGATCGATCGAGGCTTCTGTCGAGATGTGGATCGATGGGACCACGGTTCAGCCGCGTCGAGAACGATAATCTTCCTGGCTTTAGCTGCTGCCAGCCCTACTTGGAAGTTCATGCGATAATTCAGTTCCCAGAAGTTGGTTCAAAGAGGATAAGTCGATGGTGATCATGCTCATGAGTTGTGGTGGTAGCTGACATGTAAGATGGCATTAAAGAACGCTGGATGAATGGCCGAAGATTCGCACAGCAGGCTATTCATTTCTATCTGTCATGAATGATCTAGAATTTATATTGTTTCGGCTCCAATAAAGTTTTCCAGCAAACCCTGCAGCATCCGAGACGTTTACTCGTCTCAGGTTGATGGAATCGCAAGGGGTAACAAAACGCATAACGCAGTCCTGAAACGTGTCGAAGGTGGATATATTACCTATGCAGAACCCACGCTCGAGTCTAGAGGGCGCGTGGTAAAAAATATATAGAGGAGGGACATGCCGGCATGATGGCCTCTGTGACAATCACTATAAAGCAACACCACTGCCCCTGTCACTATCGCTGGCCGGGTCTCCGGGACCTGCGATGTTTTTGTCGTCTGCGGTTATTCTCTCTGCCCTGGCGTTGGCGCTGGACGCCCCCAGGGTCTTGGCTGACGACTTTAAGCCCTCAGTGCTGGGCACGCCGCAGGTGCTGGGCCTGGTGGCCGACCCCCATATCAACCGGGACTCGTGCGGATCGGCACGCTTTGGCAGTCGGGAGCTGTGGGCGTGTCGCGACTCGCAGCCGTACGATGCAGAAGGACACCCTACTTTTCCCCTATACCAGAGCTCGGCGTCGTGGACGGACTTCGACCTGGATGGCAAGCCCAAGATCCAGGCGATCAATGGCTCACAGACCGGACTGCTCTGTTACGGTAACAACTACGAAGAGCCCTTCTATCCAGTGCCGGAGAATGAATGCCACGAGAACTCGATCGGCGCATGCCCCGACCAAAAAAGTCGGTCAGCCATCTGGCCTGACAGCCCGCCCCTGGTGACGAGCGCGGATCTTGCGACGGGCGTGATTCAGGCGTACACCTGGATCACACAGAGTGCCATCGACTTCCACCAGCATGCACTCGTGGTCGACCCTCCGACAACGCTGTATAGCGTGTACTACGACCCAGCCGAGAGCGGCACGGCGGCCGGCCTTCCCAATGTGACGATTGTGCAAGAGAACTTCTGGACGAGCGACCAGCTCCCCTACGGCTCCTACGGGGGCGTCGTCGCCGACGGGATCGCGTACCTATACGGCCAAAACAACGCAAGGTCCGTCGGTCTGGCACGCGTACCGGCCGATCAGGTTACAAACAAGACGGCCTATGAGTTCTATGTCAACGGCGACTGGACAAGCACCGTTCCGGGGGTCAATGACACAGGTGTTAACATCCTGAACGTTAGCGCCGGCGGCCAGGGAACCTACTACTACTCGAGCATCTGGAAACGATTCGTGTGGATCGGACAGGCCTGCGACGATATCGGTGCCAATTTCTACATCACCACATCTGAGTCCCCTGAGGGCCCCTGGGCTAAGCCCTCGCACTTCTACACCGGCTCCAGTGACGACAGCAGCATTTCCTACACTCTTCAGGCGCACCCGGGCTTACTGCGCAGCCTGGATGAAAACGCCATCTACCTAACCTGGACTACCGCTAACAGCACTGGATATTACATGCCACTGGTCTATGTGCAATGGCAGTGATCTTTTTCATTTTCTTTGCCTTCATGTCTCTCCTTATTGAGCCGTTTCATGATAGATCTATTTGTTTAATGAGCAACACGACCAAAAGAGATGTTAAATTAATTATGCTTCCTCCCAACTCCGTCTTCAACAGGAAGATTAGAGGATCCATCTTGTTCAGGAAGTTTGGCTTTCGGTATCTGCATGCGGATATCTGGGTGAGACTCAGGCTTGCATATGAAGGCTTTCCCGCAGGATATGCATTGTGTACACTAAAAGTTCTCCTTATTTTATCAAATAGACCATTTTCTGTGCACATTATCTTTAAGAACTGGGAGTGTGCCTGTATAGATATATCGGCATGCCGAGTGAAGGGAGTCTTCGCAGTCAACTCAACCGAATCATTTCGCTGATTCATGAAGACTGATCCTGCTAACGTCGTCCCAGAAGGAAATCAATTCATCGTTGATCAACATCGCCCGCTTTTGACCTCGACAGCTTGATTTCGTTCTCACAGCACGGGGTATACCTAATAACCTACCTACTACGCGATCCTGGACAGCTATGACACCTTCTCCTGACTCCGAATCCAGAGTGATCACCGGCAGCTGTCTCTACCAGAAGGTCCAGTATAAAGCTACAGGCGCTCCATTAGCAACCATGCTCTGCCACTGCGATCATTGTCGCAAGTACACTGGATCCAGTTTCATGGCGAACAGCCGCTATCCCAAATCCGTACAAATCTCCCCTTATGAAGAGTGTCAGCTTCTTTCCCATCTGTATATATAACACTAATGCGTTGATGTTGAATATATAGCAAGTTAGCATCCTTACAAGCAGCGATGCTCTAGAAAAGTATCACGACAACAAGACAGACTCCGGGAACAGCCTGGCTCGTATATTCTGCGGGACCTGTGGCTCCAGTTTATTTCTCACCAGCGAATCCAACCCAGTCTTTCGTGAATATGATGATCGTCACTTCTGGCACGCTGGATCTAGGGGCGGGAAAAAATGAATGGACGCCCCAGCTGGAACTGTACAGTGACAAGCAGAGGGAGTGGATTCCGCATCTGGAGGGGACGAAGAAGGTTTTACCTGTCTACCTTCAACCATGTCCGAAGCAGTCTGTAGATTGTATATTCTGAACCTCTGAAACGGCAGGGAGGGACCTGAAGGCTGTACATCTAGATGACAGCTTACCCGTGTCAAACCTACAGGAACGGCAATATCATTCCGTATAGTGACATATATTACTTTGGAAAATAGTAATATCAGGAATTCCACATTTATTGCTTGCTTTCTAATCCGGCTACCCTCTTCTTCTCCCAGTCTTCTAAGAAGTGTCGTACTTTCTCTCCCCAAATTTCTTCGCCAGCCTCTAGATCCTCGTATTCCAATACTTTGCCGGGGCCAAGTTCGTAGTCTGCCTGGCGGCTTCGGATAAGCGAACTCATAAGGCCACAGCTGCCAACGGCTTTTCCTAAATCGTGAGCCAGAGAGCGGACATAGAAACCAGACGAGACTGTCATGGTGATCTTAACGGCAGGGGGCGAAGGGGATGGCACAGTATCACCAGATGATTTGGGCGATGTTTGTGGTCCGTCCTGGACTTGCGATGACGCTATGGCTTGGTCCTCGACCTGAGCTGAGTCTTCCTGGGTAGATACTTTCTGCCTTTTCACAGGCTGGGCAGTATCGGCAGCAGCAGCAGTATCCACGTCGTTTACTGCATCCTCTCCGGGACTTGACTTCCGCTTTGTCGGCAGAATCTGCGGCTCTTTTTGATGTTCAGCTTCTTCCGCTTCAGCAGACGAGGCGACTGGTATGGCAGCATCCTTGTCCAGAAGCTTCTCCGCAGCTGTTTTTTCTTCATCCGCCATTTCCTCCTGGGGCCATTTATACTCGTGTGTGCCTGGCTCGTACCATTCGAGGATCTCCATATTCGTAACCTCCACAGGTCTCGCTTTGATCTCAATAGGAGGCTCTTTGCCTTCACGAGCGTACTCGTAGAGCTTCTTTCCTTGGACCTTCAATGCCGAAAAGATCGGCGGGCGCTGCATTATCTTCCCCCGGAACTGTTCCAAGGCCTTTTCTACCGCTTCCCTAGTAATATGCTCGTAGGGACCACGTCGAACGACCTTCCCCAGCTTATCGTATGTATCTGTTTCGGCGCCAAACAGCACGACCGTCTCGTATGTTTTTGTGCATCCCAGGAAATCATTGAGATGTTTTGTCCCCTTTCCGACACCAACAACTAGCACGCCAGTAGCGAGCGGATCGAGGGTGCCACCATGCCCGATCTTGACGTCCAGTCGCTGCGTGCGCCGCCGTCTCCGCTGGAAGTTGCTCTCTCGCTGTCGTCGGGCTCGCTCGGTATCGAGCCACGGTTTGAAGAGCTCCGATGGATTGAAATGGTGCTGGAGCTTCCTGATTACATCTGCCGAGCTGACTCCTTGGGGCTTGTTGACAGCTATGGGCTGATGTTAGCTTTGCTTGCTATTCCTCGAGTCGCGGGAAATCCTCCGCGGAAAGTTGCACAATACCAAAAATGCCCTCGTAGATCTTCTCCCCAGACATGGTCCTTCGAAAAAGCCTAAGACAAGGGCTGAATACCATCGAACCCCTTGTTCAAAGCCCACTTCGACCGCGTGTGAATTAGTTGAGCTCTCTTTATGGGCGAAGATGGACAAAATGGGAAATTTGGTACGGGCGTAATTTTGGTATCGATGGATGGCAACATAGCGGTAATTTCGTAACGCTGTCATTGCAGCAGTTTCTCTCGGTCGACCTCGAGTTCTAACTCTGAAAGCAAAGGGTTTCCATCATTCTTCCTTCGGATCCCGCTATCGGCCAGCTCTAAGAAGATACGCGACTCCATATCCCATGTCAGTGAAGGCGCCATGCTGCCTCCAGAGACATGACATCACGAGAAGAAAGCGTCCTGGCCGCCAGAGACCCGTCTCTCAATGACGAGAATGACTGGGAGGAATTCAGCCTGTCCGACGTCAAGATTCTGTTCCCGGGAAAATCGCGCTATGCGAACCTCCTCTCGGCCTCTCCAGACAACCCTGTCCAAGTGGTGGGTCGTTTGGAGGAAGTAGAGGAAGAACAAGAGCCATTAAGTGCGTGCATGATCTACCTCCATTATCTATCTACCTCCGTTAGTGCACCGTGTTTGCCTAGCTGACTTGCTGTTCGTTTTATGCCTGGACAGTTCTTGATGATGACTATCTTTCGAAGCGCATCGTGATTGAGAATGTAGCACACTATGCCTACGGCCAGCATGATGATGGCGAAGTTGGGATCTGGGTTGCGGGTCGGGCTGGCTGGTTCTCTATCTCTCCTGCGAGAGGATACAGGCCTATTTTCAATGATATGGTAGAAGCCATTGATCTGCTCTACTTCCTGACAGATAGGCATCAGAAGAGGCGGACGCGGCGAAGAAATTCCAATCCCAGCGTGCAATACCTCTGCGAGGAGGTAGGTTACCACCAAAAATTGACCTATTTAGTCTTGATCTTCAGACATCACTAACTTTGTGATGTCCATGTCATAACATAGTACGTTCACCATACTCACGGAATCTGTGAAGATGTGGATGACTCAGCCGAAGTCTTCTACAAACACCACAACTTTCTACTTTCCCGAATGCTCAAGGGCGAAGGTGTGGGATGGGTTGAGACGAATCTATTCAAGCATCTCTGTGAGAAGTTTCCTGTGAGTCTTCTTGAGCCAATTTGTCTATAGAGTTCAAAAAGGAAATATTCTGACTCTGTTGGCTAGGATGACTATGAGCGAATCAAGGCACTACTTGCGCCCAAAGAACAGGAAGAAGACGAAGAAGAAGAAGAAGAAGAAGAAGAAGAAGATGATGATGATGATGATGATGATGATGTGACGAACGAAGACGATGAGCCCAATGGATTCTCTGAGAGTCAGGTCATTGCCCCCGATTCAGACTCAACCTCGAAGATGCAGGCAGATAGTATTTACAAGGTGATTGTTGACCTGAAGGAAGAGGGTCACCTAGCAAAGCGTCAATTGAATTTGGACCTTGTCATTTTCACTCTGACGAGTCGCTATGAAATTGACAATGCAGAATATGCTCGAGATCTCATTGCAGCACGAGCCGGCATTCTTGTTGATATGATGGATGAGGCGAAGACGTCAAACTTCGACTGGTCTCGCAAGGCTATCTACCGGGATTTGAAATCACAATCGCAACAAAATCACCCACAATATCTCACCCTTACACCATTACGTCCTCGATTGCCAGAACATGGTGGGTCGTCATCCAGCGAAGAGAGCAGTGACGAGTACAACGCGAAGGGTTTGAGGCGTAGAGTCCGCAAATCTCTTCTGCGACCAAAAAGCTCTGTCTCTTCAAAGAGGGTTGGCAAAGGAACCCGAAGTACCGTGGCAACCGAGCAGGAAGATTTTTCAGACAGCAGCGAGGACAGTTTAAAGGATCTGGAGACTCCGAGCAAGGCCCGTGGCCATGAATTTGCCCGTGATCCGCTCTCGACCAGAGCAAGACGGAGAACCCGTTCCATTCTCTCTGACCCTGGTTCCATGACTCCTCTTCAAAAGACGCCACTACAAGAGACTCTTCAGAGCAGGAACGCGTCGGTTTCGACCGGAGACCGCGGTGCATCTGAACCTGCAGACAACTCGTACCCAAGCGACCTTCCTCCCGATACCTGGGTATGCCGAGTCAAAGGCTGCAGAAAGATCATCTACAAAAGCAGCTCGAAACGAGGCAAAGAAATAATCCAGGATCATTCTTTGGCCCATGCGGATGATATGCAGGCTAAGATTGACCTTGTCTTCGCTGAACAACGACTCAATGTCAATCTTCCTGTGGACCATCTTATCGAGCGCATCCGAAATTTTGGAGCTCTTGACCCTGATCCCTCCACAGAAAATGAAGCGTCGAAACGCATACGAACGTGATGATTTAACGAAACAGGAAGGTGGGTTTCTCATAGCTCAGACGAACACTGTCGTGCCCTTTTTTTTCGACGTACACTGCTTTGGGTTGCATTATGTTATCACGATTCTCTAAAGACATGTCATGTTTTCAAAAGCGGTTGAAGAATACGCGAATCCCGTTTCCGCTGTGGACATAGAAGAGTCAATTCCCCGGAACGTGTATGCCCTGAACCTAGGTTCCGCTTATTGTTCCGCTATTGCTCCCTAAGAGAGAGAAGAAAACTGCGTTCTTCGAAGTGTGCAATGGATGGGATCTAAGGTTGAAGTGGATTCTCTCCTGCATTCATTCCCCGGACACTTCAAATTGAATACTACATAATATATATTGCTGCATCTTAGAGGAAAAGGAAAATTCTGACGCGCATACCTCGTTGGTATTGTATTGCATATAAGATATAGTCTATGCATCCATTATCACTAATACGCAGAAGCACGATGGGGCAGGACATCTTCAAAGATCCCACGAAGCTCCTTTTTTATCCATTTCCCTCATTTCCAAACAAAGAGACGATATTTAAACATACAATCAAGTCAAATGAACCGGACCGACTACGCCCGTCCCTTGGCCCTCTTACTCTTCCCAGGTCTCTTTGGCTTTGCACCGGCTTTCATCTTCTTCGCCGAGAAATTCCTCAAATCTCCACTAGAGATGGCGTCGCCGCTTTTCGCGTGTCGTTTCTTTCCACCGAATCCAAATTTCTGGTCCTTCTTCTGTCGCTTTGTTGAACGTCCACCTGTCTCGCCGCTTGTGCGACTGCGTTTTCTGCTGTCTGATTTGAAGTCATCAATGGCAATGTCGAAAAGGTCCTCGTCTTCTGTGGCGGCGGAGGTATCGGCCTTTCGCTCTGTTTGGGCGTAAAGATTGCAGTTAGTAGTTGATCAACAGCAATAATAACAGGGGATCTTCCATGAAGGGTTGTTGTCAGGAGGAGGGAACGCACTCTTCTTCAAAGCGTTGATCTTCTCAAGCGTCTCGCGCTTTTCCTTTTGCCTCTGTTGTAACTTCGCCACCTGAACCTGCTTTCCGAACTTCTTGAGATCACGTTGTCGGCGTGCCTCTGCGGCAGCCTTCTTGGCCGTTGCTTCATCGTATAATTTTTTCTTGATCTTCTCCATGTGCTCGTCCGTCTTGACCATCTCCGCAAAATAGTCGCCGGGTCGCGTGAATGGGACGCCTTCTTTCTTCAGCAAGTCCCGCGCAGTAACAGCCGCTGCCTGGCAGACTTTGTAGAAGGCTAGTTCGCGGTTCAGGTCATCATTGGGATCGGGGACATCGATAGGCTCTTTTGAGACTAGAGAGTTATGCTCTGAAAATAGCGTCTGCGAAGTGATGAAGGAAATGCGCTTGATCGAGGTGTTAATGGCTGCGGAGTTGTTGATTGTGAGACGTTGATGGGGAATTATGTCCTCTCGTTCGTCTTCAGAAAGGTCGGAGACAGGGATGTCCTCCTCTTCTTCTTCTTCCTCCTCCTCTTCTTCACCATCTTCTTCGGCATTGTCTGCTCCATTTTCTTCTGCTACTGTCCTATCCTCTTGCTTTTCGTTACCACTAGTGGTTTCTTCCTTCTCCTCTTCGAAGTGCTTGTCATCCTGGTAAAAAGTTAATTCAGTTAGCAATTGAATCCACGAGATAACTTGTCATCCTATTCAAGCATACCTTATCATGTATCTCTACATCATCATCCTCCCCATCCGCATCACCATTAAGCTTCGCCTTCTTCGCCTTCTTTTTCTTCTCCGCCAACTTCATCATTTTCTTTTGCTTTTCTGCATCGTAGTCTCGGCCCTTGTGGGCATCAAGCGCCAGAAGCAATTTGCTCTTTTTGACCATGTCGCTGATCGTCGCTGATCCTCTCAATAGAGGAGGAGTGATAATTTTAAAGTGCCGCAAATAAGCTGATAGCGAATACTAGTATGTTCGGACGCAGCTTGCGGACTTGAAATCTGAAGCACGGGATATTATTTTTTTCTCTTTTTCGGATGGAACTAGACCTTATATGGTTAGCTTAATCGGAGATAAGAAATGTGGCTGCACTAGTCTATAAGTGGCTAGGCTATCGGCAAAACTGTTGATCCACCAGATGCTCGTCTCTACAACTACAAGTGACGAAATACACTGTGCTCGCATATCCTCGCTCATGCTTGTTGCCAATTGACACTCCTTTCAACTGTGACACCTTTTTGGGACAGCAATTTGAGTCTAACTGCAAATTACTCAGGCCACAATGTCAGAGAAACCAAAATCACCCACTGTAAATGCACAAGTCTGTCAAGAGATCCTCTCAATAGTTTGCAGGCCTTTGGGGTGCAAAAAGCTGACCTTACAAATGGCTATTCGATAGAACCCAGATGCCACCAGAGAACAATTCACTGCGGCAGTAGATGAGCTGTTAGATCAACTGCAACACAAGTTCGATGCCGTATCGAGGGAGATGTTCACGAAATGTGAGTATACCGATCGAGCTCGCTTGAGGGTTTACCTTTTAACAATACTCTAATTGGTGACCTTGTTTCTGAACTGCTACAGTTGACGACATGGCAAGACGGTTAGACGAGTTAGAAGCTTCTTTGATGATATCTGGAGATGCGGCAACGCCGACGACGACAGCATCCACCCCTACGACTACGACGAAATAGATAATCGAGGGTCTTTTGTTATTATTGCTTTGAATCGTTCGATACCAAAATCCCATACGGGATAATCCTGCATTTGCCTCGACGTCGAGATGTTCTAATAAATGCCGGAGTTTATGGGGATTTTTCTGGTTCTTGAGCGTTGATCTCGGGGTTCTGCGTTGAAATATGGGAAATATGGCCGACTTTTTTTCACGGCTACTACGCGGATACATGCGTTCGTCTTGATTATTTTCTTTTCTCTCTGCAAATCTTCACAAGATACCCAACTACGCAGGCATGAAACATGGATCTTACGGTATCTATTCATGTGCGTATACGTATACGTATACATATACCGCGACTGTATTTCAATAAAATACTCTGGTCCTACTATTTCGTTCCCCAAATTCAATGTCAGATATCCAATTTAAACGTTCAGGGAGAAAGGTAACATTCTTTCCTTCCCCATCTCTCTTTTTTAAACTGCCAAACACGCATCATGAAATAAGATAAGCAAGAAGACCAGGAAGTACTTCTCTACAGCTCATCCTTATGCTCAGCAGTCTCCTTGTCTTCTTCCACGAACCGGCGTAGAATATTAGCGCGGGAAACGATATCATCAATCTTCTCAGGGGCAGATCCACCTTTGCCCAAAATCTTCTGGAGTCGATTGTACTCCTTGCTAGCGTAGTCCTCGCTCTTGCTGATCTTCTCCGCAACCTTGACATAGTACTTGGCGTACTTGTCCTTGAGGCCCTCGGTCGCTTTCTTGATTTCGGAAGCAAGCTCACTGAAACTGTGCGATGAGACATACTTGGCAACCACATCATCAAGGCTGGGGATGATGCCGGCTTTATCATTCAGACCACCTCCCACAACACGGTTCGTTCCGGTCTTGGTGTTAAGGAAGTCGACGAATGCCTGCTCAGATCGGGCGCCTTGGTACGTCTCCGGCTCCGTGGAGCCCTTGGGGAAGAACTTGATGGTCGGGTATCCGGTGATGCCTTGCGCCTTGGCCGTAGCCTTAGAGTTCTCGGCCTCTGCGTCGACTTTAGCGACGACAACATTGGGTTCGCGAACGAAGTCCTTTGCGAGGGCTTCCCAGGTCGGGGCAAGGTTCTTGCAGTCTAGAATAGAGTGAATTGTCAGTAATAGCAACTTCGAAGGGGGAGAAAGATTAAGGCGAAGGGCATCACTAACGTCCACACCAAGGCGCCGTAAACGCAACCAATACATCCTTGTCTCCACCAATGGTACTCTGGAAGGAAGAATCGGACAACATCTCAACACTGCTAGGCTCCTTCTGCGGACCACGAGCTCTGATACCCGTCTTCTCCGTAATGAAAGAGGACAAGCTCTCGAGATCGCGCCCGCTCTTGTACTCCTCAGGCGTGTCACTCTTACCATCAAACCACTTCAATGTCGGGAATCCCTGAACACCAAACCTCTTTCCAAGGTCTCTGTGCTCGTCTGCATTGACCTTGGCGATGGTGACCTTGTCCTCGGCGAAGGCGAAGGTCTGCGCGAGTTCCTCGTACGTCGGAGCGAGGTTCTTGCAGTGGCCACACCAGGGAGCGAAGAACTCGACGAGTGCGGGCTTTCCGGATTTTAGGACGACATTGTCGAAGTTACTTGGGATCAAGTCGACGACAGCTGAACCAGCTTGGGCGAGACTGGCCAGGACTGCCAAGGAGCCCGCGAGCAAGAAGCTCAGACGAGCCATATTGGTGGTTCTTAGGAGTGTTGGTGCAGCAGCAATTAGAGCTTGGGGGTTTGTGAGAGAATAAATAGGACTCCTTTGAGAATTTATAGGATTAACAAGGCTATGATATGTGAATGAATACCCTGCTCCTTAAGTAAAGCTGAAAGAGTGAAGGTGTTCATACTATTTGGAGAGCTCCGCGGGTAGTCAGATAAACGCGGATTTATCAGCGGATCCAAAGAGGACACCTGGTGAGATCTACCTACTTCTGAACAATACTGACAAAGGATTCTTTTCATTTGCAACAGCAGACGCCACTGCCTACAATAAGCATCTCCTAGATCCATGTCATGCATGAATATCCTCCAGAGTCTCAAGTCCATCAAGGTATCCCGCCTACTTGCAGCGCCGCCCGCAGAAGCTGCCTTCCAGGAAAATGTTGTTCTACCACGCGTCCAACAGGGATCCCCGTAGATTACAGTATTCATGCTTGTTCCGTAGGAATAGACGCCGCAGTATCCTGGCACGCTAGCTAAGCGCTGGCATGGTCGGACAATCTCCTTGTTTATGTTACCGTCTCTCAGCCAACCAGTTGTTCGCATCATCCCATATCTTAACGTCCTTGGGATCTTTTCCGGCATTCTGAGTAGCTTTGTAAACCTAAGTAAAAAAAGGATGAGAAACTTGCGACCATCAGAACAGGGCCTTGGGTTACTCACAGCATCCCATAGCTTGAAAGCTGTGTCAAGGTTGGCAGTAAAACTATCGCTGTGTTGAAACCATTCCTTGCCCTTAGACTTCACCTCTGTTCTAGCCTCCACTGATGTCGGGTTTATTTGGAGAGGCAGGTCATCAAGATAGGTACGGACGGCAATTCCAAGACCACAGTCATTGTCATCAACGAAAGGAAGCCTTGAGCTTCAGTCAGCCAAAACTCAATGTTTTTATGATAAGCAACGCATACTTCACGCTCAGTTCGGTCCAGTCACTGCGCTCTCTGTTCACGTTACCGCTTAGAAGCATCCCGGCAAGCACGATCTCAATCTGATCCCTTAGAACCGAGCGCACTTCGTAAATCAAGGAGTGGTAGCAAAGAAGTTCTCTGCTGAGGGGCCCCGAGTATCCAATACTTTTATGACGTAGTTTGCCAGTACAGGCGACGCGCGAAATCAACATATTAAAGGTTTTATCATCTTCTGCGGAAGTAGTTCAAAAGTCAGATGGATCATGTGGTGTCGGATGAAGGGACTTGGACTTGGTTGCTTACCAGACCCTCTCATCGGTCCTCCAGAGACATGAGTAAACCACTCGGTGGCATTGAGAAGTCCCAAGCGAAGCATTTCAATGGCGATAAAGATAGATTCCTCAAGATTATCCGCTGGGTTCAAGGCAGTAAGCGCTTGTTCAAGGCAAACGCCCCATGATGTCAGCTGGTGCTTTTCGTCAATGTACCCTCGGAGTTGCAAAAATCTCCAGAAGACGTTTTGGAGAATATCATCCTGCGATGACAGGGCCTATGACAAATCAGAGATGTGACAGGATATCATGCTGGGGCTATATGCATACCGGGGCATCTTTCCCAGAAAACGACTTAGACACGAACTCAGAGTCCTTCAGGCTCTGGACGGCGAATGCGAATGAGCCGCGTGGGGCCTGCTCAAGCATTAGGGTAATGGTCGCAACAAAATTCCAGGGAATAGTGAAAAATAAACCTTCAAGCTCTTTATACTCTCCGGAAGCACTTCGTCATTAATTTTCCACGACTGAATGGTCTCCTTGACGGAAGGCAAAGACTTCAAATTGATCGACAGGTCAGACTTTTCATCGTGCCATGTACGTACATTGATCACCTTCGTCTGATAGAATCTGTGAAGTGAGTTCGAAAGGAGACTGATTGACTGGGCTCTGATGGGGTTGAGTAGATCGCCCACGGTACGACGATAGATCTCCGTATCTTCCACCCCCAAAGGCAGGGAGAGTAAAACTTCACCAGACGTCAAATAATTAGGGATCCTGGGGCCCAAGACTCCTTTAAAAAGATAGAAGTATAGTTCCTCAGGAAGCCGCTGACCGATCAGCTCATGCATGTCAGAAGGTGTGTTTTCAGCATCCATAGGGCCGACTTTGCCCTCTTCAGTCATGATGACATGGTGTTTCACCGTCAGAAATGCTCGTTTGTAATTATCTGTGTACCGGAACTCCTGCAGTCGACGGTCCTCTTCAAACTGAGCGCATAGGGCCAGGGCACTTCTTCCAGCGGCATTGAACATCGCGAGCACATCGCGAATGTTCAAGGCTTTCCCGGGAAACGTTGGGTTCTCGAACAATGGAAAAGGGCGAAGAAAAGAGGAGCCAAGAAGCATACAGAATTCAAAAAACTGTTCATTGGATAGTCTGCCAAGCTCGTCCTGACAGCTCTGTTTTGTTATCCAGAAGAAATTGGACCGCTCGGTATCAATTCTGGTGATCAACTTTTCGACGCCGAACATGAGGGCCTCAGAGTAACTGAAAACAGCATCAAAGAGGGAGCTCGAGCCCTTCGAAAGATAGGACAGCTGTTGCAGGTCATCAGCAACGAGTTGTCATGCAAGTCTACGTCTAGTGTTTAATCACGACTCACCTGAGCAGCAGCACTGTATGGGGCCACTATGAAGTCCACACCATTCTGGTAAAGGATCCGCTGTAAGAATCTGTAAAGAATCTCCGGGGTAGGGGTTCCTAGTAAGAAGAAAGCCGTATCCGTCAGCGCATTGCCAGTGAAACCCAGGGTGGCATAGAGTCCACTGAAAGAATGCGCATACCAGCACTGCTAAAGGCTTCCACAACTTGATCTGCCTGCTGCTGATCGTAGAGTTCCCAGGCATGTTCAAAAGCTCGTACCGACTCGGTCTGCAAGCGAGATTGTTTGTCCTTCTTACCAAAGTCAAGGCCATTAAAGACAAAAACACAGGAAATGTCGAGATTCTTGAGAGCCTGCAGTTCCTTTTCAATACTATTCCTCAGGGCAAATGGGAAACCGCCGAGCGCTACCAGAAGAGGCTCGCGAGTCGAAGGTTGGTGAAGGCGCTGGGAGAGGTAGTGGGACGCATCGATACCCAAGACAGCTCCTTTGAGAGCAGAGAGAGGGAGCGGCTGGCTACGGCCAGCAGCCCATTCATCCAGGATACGGACTGCCCAACGAAGAAGACATATATAGTTAGCTTGCGATTGGCAGCAAAAGACAAGAGAAGCAGAGGTTAAGATGGAAGCAGTTCTCACTCGGCATGTCTAAAGCTGGAGCTGTGTAACAGGCTAGACGACAAGCACCCAGCAGCTGCCAGGCATTGAGAGCCTGGAATTGAGGAGTAGAGCAGCAGTAATTAAGGAGAGAGGACAATCGAAAAGAGTGCTCAAAGGACCGAAGAGAAAGAACGCCTTAGACCTGCGACAACATGACAGCATGAAGCTCCAAGAGTCCCGCGTTGGATCAAAAATCACGGGGCTCCCGCGCTTATCAGAAATGCTCCATTAATTGTTCCTCTTCCAACGGACATTCTAGACCTCGCTCAGTCAACAACCTGCAATTTCCCTGCGTTCCTCGCATATTTCTCGCATACTAGCTTCTCGTTGGAATTTCTATCTGTTTAAGGGGAAGGCAAAATGGCAGAAGTAGGACCTCCAATTGACCTCCCCATTATCAACATCTCCAACCCCAATGACCCCGTCGTCGGAAAAGCCATGATCGATGCAGCGGCGAAATATGGCTTCTTGTATGTCGATAGCAGAGGCACTGATTTCACATATGAGGATGTTGAAAAGGCTTTTGGATTGGTATGTTGGCGATGTGCTGCCACTTCATATGCATTCCTGTTTTATATCTATCGAAAGACATATTTATCTAACAAACTGCCAAACAGTCCAGGGAGTTTTTCGCTTCTCCTTTCGAGGAAAAGTCTAATTACCGCATTACCCCGAATGTTGGTGCTAAGTTGACGCTGAATCTGTTGCCTTCTGTACGTACAGGACAGGCTGATGACTCATGGAATGCCGATGCTTTTGGAACATCTAGAATCGAGGCTGGTCAGGAATGCATACAGAGACACTCGATCCAGAACATCAACGGGTGCGTAGAGTGTATAGAGTGTTTTGTGTGCTCATTTTGCTTTACAAAGTTCAACTCGTGTCCTGCCGTCAATTGTTCCTGGACACTTGCTTTGGGATGTTCATAAAGACCTAATAACAACGAACTGACGCTAATTATCTATAGACGGGAGACTTCAAAGAGTAAGTCATGTGCCCTTGCCCACATCTCGAAGCTTGAAACCCCTTTAGACTGATAATGATATTTCTCAACAGAGCAATGAATTTCGGTGAATTCAAAGACGGAAAGGCCCAACAGCCTATTCCCCCCTCTCTGGCTTCCGGTGAGGCCAGGATCGGCCACTTCGCATCTCTCTGCAACAAGACATGCGTGAGGATCTTGAAGCTGTTAGCACTTGGACTCGAGGTCAGCTTTCCCGACAAACACGTTTAACTCCCGAACGGGGAGAAAAGAGAATATTGACAGAGAAAGATACAAAACGACTGGTTCGCGTCCTGCCATGATCCCACCAAGGGCCCTACAGGCTCCATCCTCCGCTGGCTATATTATCCTTCAGTTTTCTCCTCGGCGACAGCTTCGTACAAACATGACGTCGACGTGCGTGCGGGAGCCCATTCTGACTATGGCAGCATCACTCTCCTTTTTCAGCGACCTGGACAACCAGGTCTGGAGATCCTGACATCTGAAGGAACCTGGGCACCCGTACCAGTGCAACCTAATACCAGTAGCACAGGGGACACTGACAGTGCAGACTTTCCATTTCCCCCGATTCTGGTCAACATAGGTGACCTTCTCAGTTACTGGACGGACGGTCTGCTCAAATCTACCGTTCACCGTGTTGTGTTTCCTCTGTCCGAGCAACGCAGCCCCAATCCCCAGGATAGGTACAGTATCGCCTATTTCTGCCATCCCATAGACAGTACAGAGCTAGTTCCCCTTCCCAGCAAAATTGTCACTGCTCATCGGGAGCGGAGCGAGGCGAACGGTATCCGGGATGAAAGGGTCGGCTTTGGAGGCGGTGCGGGTAGTCTGGAGCCTGGAAAGCGTGCATTGACTGCCAGTGAACATCTGGAATCTAGGTTGGCTGCGACGTATGGCTTCAAGAGTGTATAAAAGAAGTCAATTCTTTTATTGTTGAAGCAACGCACTCGCAGTCGCAATTGTATAGTGCTGTATATACTACTTCTTCAGTGGCAAACAAGAACCATGCTTAGATACGCTTTAGCATACGATACGATGTATGTAAGTCCGTTGAATGCAAAGAACAAGTCTTGGTATGTGGTACTCAAATGATACACGGCAAAAGGAAACCAAAAAAAAAAATAAAAATAAAAATAAAGAAAAGAAAGAAATGCAAAGCGAAAGTCCAAATATCATGGAAGACAGAAAGGGAACTCGTGAGTGCAATGACAAAAACGGACAGATGGGAATAATAAAGCAGATAAACAACAAAAAAGAGGAAAAAATGTTCGTCCAAGGATGGGAGTATACTCATGACCAGCAGATTTCAAGTATATTAGCGATGGAGCAGTTTCGTGCAAATTCCAACGTCGATGAGATAAATAACAAAGCTTTGCAGGGGGAATAAACAGAAGTCATACAAAGAGGTATCTTTGGGTTTAAATGGTAACGCCGCTATGTTGATAAATGCCATGTACATACGACTGAACGTGAAGCCTCAATGCAAAAGTATAGAAGAAAAGGCAGCAAGACCAAGAAACCCCAATGCAGGAGAGTGACATATGGTGATATATGAGTTTGCATGCATTATAAGAAGGGCGAGGAAAATGTTCTTCTCTTCTTCTTAAGGCGTGATATGGCACCAGTGACGGTGATAGGCCCACGCTGCTTTCTGGCAGTCCTTGCTGCAATACTTTGTGCGGCGGCAACGGCGGCATTTCGCAAACTGCCGTTGGAACTCCTCCCACTTCCCGCACTTGTAATAGGCACATTGGCGAATCCCACCTCGAGACTCGTCCTTGCGGCAGAGATTTCGCATAACAATAGATGCCCAGTACTGCATGTCTTTAGAATGGTGCCTGACCGTGAACTTCTCGACCAATGGAAAGATATTAATGTCGTCAGGCAGTAGATATTCGTCTTCTTCTTCCATGATCGGCTCGGATTGAGACGAAGAACTGCTAGCCTCGTCCAACATTTGAAGTTCCCGGTCGATTTTGAGTTTGGGAACAAAGTGGGAGCGTTGGAAATAGGAGCGAAGATTGCAGTACTTGGAAACGTAGGCCAGGAGCTGGAGGGACATCAACACATCTTCATCCCGTGGCATCATTGTCAGAACACTCTGGGTCGAGATGGCGGAACGGTCGCGGAGGTAAAGTGTATGGAGGTTTGGAACAAGAGACGGTGAGTTCTGGTTGTTGGGGGTCTGGTTAGGAGAAAGACCCAATGTGCCATCCGCCTGCGTTGTGGCAGCATTATTGACGATACTGGCATCTACAGTAGAATGGTGGGTGATATTAAAGCCCTCCTCATCCTGCCCTTCAGATGGATCGGTCACTGTCAAACCGTGCGTACCTGTCACATCATCCAGCAAGGCCTGTCTATTTCCGACGCCATCAATATCCATCTGGTTCTGAAGACCGACAATTGGTTCGGCTACTTCTCCCGTAACATTATCATCGCCTGTGGCAGCGGAATCGTCGCCGTTCGCATCATCAGATTCGGCGGAGGTGGACGGCCGCTGGCTGATTACAGGCCGTGGTCTTCGAATAGTAGCCTGCGGAATGCTCCGTGTTTGTGAAGGGCCGCTTGGAGTGGTTGGGGACTCGGGTTGAGATGCTAGACCAGTCTGCAGCCTGGGGAGCATACTGGGAATCCTTTCAGTGTCGTGGACGGGTCGCAAGCCGAACCCGTCAGCGGTATCCATGGGAGGCATAGCAGTAGATAAGGGCTGAAGAGCTCTGAAACGACGACTTGTGGATTGATAGTGGGCATTGTTTGGTCGATGATTGTGCACCTCCTGACCAGAAGTGCCTTGTTCTGGAGGGGAAGTCATCGACATACGGGGGACTGATGAATTTTCCATGGCATTGGCATCTGCAGCGCTGTTGTTTTGTAAGAATTGCTGGGGTATTTCGATGCTGGGAGGGAGATGTCGGCGAGACGGGTGCTGCTCAACGTTGGGTAGAGGATCAACGAGCGAAGTTCGCCCAATGGTGTCATTAGCAGCCCCAGAGGGCTTGAGAGTCCTCGAGGCATGCCTTTGTGGCTCCGGGTCGGTACGCGCGCGCACCTTCTCCATCACTTTAATATAATTGTCCAGGAGGGTAGCAATAACCGGTACCATGTCGGCTTCGACAACTCTCGTCCTTACGCTCTCCGATCCCCGAACCCCGATATTGACAACGCACTGAAAGGCGAGGCTCCATTTCCACATTTCCATCACATCCTTGCTCCTGCCTTCCTTGAGAATGCATACCAAGCGTTCAATGCCACCGTCGACGGTGAGGATGTCCCGGATTCGAGCCGAGGATGTGGTGAGATAGGCGAGATGATTGAGGGAGTTGATAAGAGGTAGCGTAGAAGTGCAATCGAGGGCACGCCGATCGTAAAGCGTGGTTGTGATGTTGACCGAGGCCTTGTTCACATTGGGTATGCTGAAATTAACTTCCCTCATGATGGAGGATAAAGGGATATCAAGCAACGCGTTCCGTAATCAAATCCAGCCAAAGACGAAGAACGATCAACTCGAGATCTGAGATGGTGGGCTTTGGAGAAAAAGGAAGCCGTAAGCCCTGCGTTTACCTTTCAAAGGGCTCCTGAAGGATTGAGAGGCCCAATGACGGAATTGGCCAATGTCACGACAGACCGGGTACCTTGGGCAGGAGTCTTTATTATTCCCAAGACATGGAATAAGGACGATGTAGAAGGAGCAGACAACGCCCGAGGGTGGATCGATGGCAGCCTTGGGATGAAAGGTGTTGAAAGATGGGTCACAAAGGACTGAAAAGGGAGGTTTGATGAGCCAAGGTTAGAACGGGTTGGTCAGAGTCTGGTGGCCGGACTACAGCCACGGAAAAGAACGCAACGCAGAAAGGCGCCCGGAGAGGCCGTACGATGGTACAGTGAGCCTAAACGAGCACAGCGGGGGATAAAAACGAAAGGAGGAACGGCCGAGCAGTGAAGGAAGAGAGATGAAGTCGAGGAAGGGAGAGAGAACGGGGAAGAAACGAGCCCCTTCGGTCAAAGCGGAGTCAAGAGACTCGTCGCTTTCTCCAGCTACAGCAGCGTCAGGCGCCTCTCCCACTTGCGGCGACTTCAGGGTCTTGCAATTTCCACCACTCTGCTCATTGCAGTTATGTTAGTGTCTGGCAAACATTCGATCTATTGCCAGATATTCATCTATCTGTCTGTTCTTGAAACTTCTTCCTGGTGAGGCCCGCCACATTTGCCCGCAGCCACCACCACCGCATTTTCTGTTTTTAACTACGCTGTTGCCACTGGCCATCGTCCCCTGTCCTTTACCTTGTCGCTAATCTCACTGCTCATAGCCTTCCTTGGTTATATACAAGGAATTGATCTGCAATCTTACAACTACATATCGAGCTATTTACTCCCGCAGATGTTCTGAAATGGCATTGTCCGGCAGCGTCTTCCAGCTGCTTGGCCACCCGGCTATTCAACACCGCTACTTTGTGATCTGCCTTCCATGCGGTCCTCACCACTTGATCCCATCAGGGTTTTGACTCCCATATTTTCTGCAGTTATCCGTTATGTCCAGGTCCCACGGCCTACACTAACTGCCTGTACTTGCAGGCTACCGAGGTGACTCATTCTATAAGGTTGGAGATATAATTCTACCTACAGGATGCATATTTGGAGAAGGAAAATATGGAACTATGGGAAAGGATAAAATGAGCAGTGCAACCAGATTCATTCGGACCCTATTCATGGGTATTGAGCAACAAGGAAAGGAGCCGACACCTGTCTGAGCATTCTACCAGAGGCGTTTGTTGTTATTAACTCAGTTCATAGATTGGGTACTATCGAATGCGATGAAACACTCGATAGCCCATGGGTTTCTACGGACGTCTTGGTATATAGGCCTTTATGGTCAAGTGCGGTGCTATTGAAGCAGATTATTATTATTAATAGCTACTAGCAACCCTACGTGCATGTGATCCTGCATTGTCGCTCCTTTCGTGATCCAGGTGGTAGACGCCAGCAAGCTTAAGTGCATATCCTGAGACGCTCTGGGGAGTGTTTCAGGTTAAATCCAGGTTGAATTCATCTTAGGATACATATCTCCTAAGATGATGCTGCAACAAGTATTAGTGTCATGCGGGGGTCGTTGGTTCTACTTGTGCTCTTTGTTGATGGCAGAGCAACTGCGTCTTGCTGCTTCTATAGGCTACAAATGAGATGTATTAATGCCCTTGGCGTGCATATGTCCTTGCATTGTTCAATAAGGAATTGAATGGTCTCATGTCATACTGCAAATAGCCGCACGGACGGCTGGACGGGTACTATGATTAGAAACGGCATTTTGGCACAGATGCCAGCAAGGCTGTAAGCTTTTCTATAGTACATACGGAGTATGTACGCAGTAGATAGCATTCTTCCGAAAACAGCAGACGCTGCGTACCTCGATACACAGAGTAGGCTGTACAGCTGCACACTGGACGGTGAGCATGGCTACCTACATAGTATATATTTAGAACTGGGGGCCTCAGGCATTAAGAGGATGGCAGTGTTCGAGAAGCACTGCACTCTCCATCCCATTGCTAACAGAGATGATAATAGCAGGTGGATGTACTCCAATCAATAATGATATGTCATGAAATTAAAGCTAATGCAGGTCGGTGGGCATGTATCTACCAGTTTATTATTGACTCAGATGGTCCCATTTGCCGTACAGCTTCTCCGTGCAGCATCCGGGGGAGGACCAGACCGCTTATGCTCTATCAGATGAATTCAGAAGAGAAGGAGAAGGTTGGCAAGAATATACTGCCGGATGCACTATTCGACGCTTGAGTACGTCAGCGCAGGCAGGATGTTCAATAGTTCTGCAATAGTGATATGCAGGAGAACCCAGACCCATTGAACCGTTGATGATAGCCAAAACAATCTAGTTAAGCGCAGGCTGCATCCATAATTATAATAATTCCATTCAATATTTAGGTTAGAGCAGGGAGGAAATGATACCTAAATGATAAAAGCGCTCATGCCATCCGGTCGGATAGTCCCGTTCGGTAATTACAGCGCCGTGCGGTACCATACCGTACCATACCGATTACCTAACCAATCACGCGTACGGCGAGGTAACAGCCATTACCTATTACCACAGTCCGATTTCTCGGTGGGCTCTCTTCTCATTATATTATTATATTATCGTTATTATAGTAATTAAACAATAATAATCCTGCTTTGCCGTTGCAACTGTGGCTAAAGGCGCTGCTCATTTCCGGCTCCAGCGCGAGCGCTCGAACCAAGCCCGACTAGTAATTAACTATCTGCTGCTACTCTTACTACTCCCAGTTAGAGGTCGTCCTCCGTCAATCCCCCTCCTGCACCCCTGGATCTCTGCGCTCTCTGCTTCCTCTTCGCCAACTTCCGTTCGTCATCCCAATTGACATTCCTCCTGTCTAGGAGCTCCGTCTGTCACCATGGCTGCCGATATGACCGGCGAGCAGCTTCAGGCCAAGATCACCGCGGCCAGGCGCGAGGCCGAGGGCCTCAAAGACAAGATCAGACGCAGAAAGGAGGAGTTGGCAGACACAACCTGTACGGACTTCCCTTGTCTATTGCTGGCTTCCCTACTCCCCTGCTCCCCTCTGTGCCTTTTGGGACCGATATGTCTATGCTCACTCTCTTTTTAATCTCTTCTCTTTTTTCTTTTTCTTTTTCTTTTCCTGGGTCGTTTTTCGAACCGAAAGAAAAGAAAGAAAAATGGCCTCGCTTTCTCTCTATCGACCACCTAGCTGACTCCTTCTATGCAATGCCCTGCAGTGCGTCAAGTTGCGCAAAGCCAGACTGATCCCCTACCTCGTATCATGATGAAGCCACGACGAACACTCAAGGGACACTTGGCCAAGATCTATGCCATGCACTGGTCGACCGACCGCCGCCATCTAGTATCAGCTTCGCAAGATGGGAAGCTCATCATTTGGGATGCCTATACCACTAACAAGGTCCACGCCATTCCGTTGAGGTCGTCCTGGGTGATGACATGCGCCTACGCCCCAAGTGGAAACTACGTCGCCTGCGGTGGTTTGGATAACATCTGCTCCATCTACAACCTGTCGTCCCGCGAAGGCCCAACACGTGTTGCGCGTGAGCTCTCCGGTCATTCTGGCTACCTCTCCTGCTGTCGCTTCATCAACGACCGCCGAATTATTACCTCCTCCGGTGACATGACCTGCATGCTGTGGGATATCGAATCGGGCTCGAAAGTGACCGAATTCGCTGATCACCTGGGCGATGTCATGTCGATCAGCATCAACCCAACCAACCAGAACGTCTTTGTCTCCGGCGCCTGCGATACCTTTGCCAAGCTTTGGGATATCCGTACAGGAAAAGCCGTGCAGACCTTCAACGGTCACGAATCCGACATCAATGCGGTGCAGTTCTTCCCTGACGGAAATGCATTTGGAACCGGTTCCGATGACGCAACCTGTCGCCTCTTCGATATTCGCGCGGATCGTGAACTTAATATCTACCAGGTATGCTGTAGCTTTTGCACCGGAATATCCACCGTCCTTTTGTTCGATGTCTCCGGCTCGCCGATCAGCTGAACTAATTATTTCCCTGAATTCGCAGAGCGATCAAGTTGTGTGCGGTATCACTTCTGTTGCATTCTCGGTCTCTGGACGGCTGCTCTTTGCAGGCTACGATGACTTCGAGTGCAAGGTATGCTTAATCCCTTCCAATGGAAATCATCTCCGAGACAGCGATACTAATTTTTTGCTCCAGGTCTGGGATGTTCTACGAGGTGATAAGGTCGGTTCTCTTAGCGGTCATGAGAACCGTGTAAGCTGTCTTGGAGTCAGCAATGACGGTATCAGCTTGTGTACTGGGTCCTGGGATTCTCTCGTAAGTACCTCAATACACTCCCTTATTAATACCGATACTGACTTCATATTTTTCCGTCTCTCAGCTCAAGGTCTGGGCCTGGTAAAAAAGAGAAAGTATTACATAAAAAAACTTGAAAACAGACGAAAAAGATTAAGAACAGGATACCCCGTCTCGAATAATTTGCAACGCCGCACCTTCAAACATTTTTTTTTTTCTTCCATTCAATTTAGCATTCGATGTCTTGAATGTCCATCATTGTACGATATTTTTTTCTTTATTCTCCGAGGCGATGTTGCTTACCGTTCGACCATAATGTGTCATTCTGGAGTGGGTTTTAAGGGCGAGAAAACCCAGCGAGCGATACAACAAGGTTGGTTGCGATATCTCCGACGACTATGTTCTTGTCCGGACATGTTCCACTTAAGGACAAACATGGAAGGAAGACGCGAACACTTGACTGAGCGTCTGGATATTTCTGATTATGTCGATTTATCAGCAGTGTCAATGCTGCTTTTGTCATTATTTCATACCACTTTTCTTCTGAAATATCTTGGGGGGCTTCCCAATATGGGCATGTCCACAGGAATGTTTTTTGAATTGAATCCTGCCCTCCCCCTTTTTGTCCCTTTGCTTTTGCTACTATTATCCTCCTCTTTCTGTCTTGTTTCTCCGTCGCGCATCGGTATCGGTATGCACTTTTGGGAGTGATTGTAAGGGAGGATTTGTCTCGGATTGGCCATGATGTTTCCCTGTCGTTGTGTTTGCTTGCCCATTTCTTTAATATCTCCTTTATTAATGCATTACTTCTCATCGCTGAGCCTGTTTCCCGGTACTATCAACCTGTCAGTCTTCCCTGGCGTCAGATTTTCCACATTTTGCTGAAGAATAATTCTCCTTTGTCTATTGCCTCTCCCTGGGACTGGGTGAGATTGGGGAAGTAGTATAAAATTGAAACCTCCAGCGCCTTAAGGTCTTGGAAACATCTTCCTTTGTAAGCATTGATTTCCTGAGGGATTCTTGGGTGGATAATAGGGCAGAAAAGTAGACAGGATGCCAGCCAACGTCAGACTTTAGCGTCATTTAGGCTGACCATGGTATAGTTTTTGAGGCATCCATTGCATTGTCGTGACTCCTGAAACATTCCGTGCTTCACTTGCTTCACGTCGGCGATGCATCCATGGCTGGCGATGGAGCCGCAGTCCTGTCACAATCTCCCGCGTGTAGGGCTGTGACGCAGCAACACCATCGAAAAAATATCCAATTCGTCTCTTCATCCTCCCCCCTGAATGATCGTCCACCGTGGTTTTCATGCCCCTTAATCTGTTGAATAATATCCATCTATAATTTTATATACAGATATAAACACCATCCTACGCCGCTGCCCCCCGTCATCCCCGCACCATGTCCTCCGAAGCTCAAGACGAGTTCAATCGTCTCATCAATAAGAATAAAGTCTACTTTTCCAGCCATCCCGAGGATCGCGATAATAAATCCGATCTGGACTCCGACTCTGACGGCGACCAAGACGGTTATGCTCATTCCAACTCCGAAGACTACGACGACGATACTACCAAAAACATGGTCTCCCGCGGCGGCGCAAATACAGGCAGCTACCGCATTCCCGACACAGTCTTCGATGCAAATACAGGTCCCAAGGGTGTAATCGCCGATGCGCAGGCGTTCGAACGCGCGCGGAAGAGTTCCTTCCGCAGGACATTCGGCATGGATTTCGCCTTCTCCTCATCCAAGAAGAATAGCAATAATAACACACTGGAGAAGAAGGGCAGGGCATCTTCTTCTCGTGGCAATGGCTTCATCGGTGAAAGGAGTCCCCATTCCACTGAAGATAAGAGTGATGGCGATGATGAAGAGCGGTTCATGCTTGAATGGCGCGAGGCCCGGATGAGGGAGCTGCAGAGTCGGAATCAAGCCAAACGGCCCGGTCCTAGAGGCAAGGCGTATGGATTCGTTGAAACGGTGGATGCAGAGGCGTATCTTGATGCCATTGAGAAGGCGCCTCCGGATACTACAGTTGTTGTTTGTATTTATGATCCTGATGTATGTCTTTACTTGCTATCCCTTTCATTTTATTGGCCTCTACTAACATAGACCACCTCTCAGTCCAGCGCCAGTGCTATTGTCGAGGACTCCCTCTTCACCATTTCCCGCAGACAGCCCGCGACACGCTTCATCAAGCTACACCATGAGATCGCCGAAATGGACCACGTCGAAGCTCCCGCCCTGCTGGCTTATAGGAGCGGCGACGTCTTCGCTACCATCGTTGATATCTTCCGACAGCTCCCAAGAGGTCGCGACTGCAGCGCGGATAGTTTGGAGGATCTGCTGAAGTTGTACGTTATCTTACCACTTTCTTCTTTCTTGACTATCCGGCTTACTGGTTATATGTCCCTTACAGAAACCGAGTATTATAAAAAGTCATCTAGACCCAAAACATTAGACTGCGAAGCTTAAGGCATCGAAAGCAGGGTACGGTCCTTGAGTTCTTCTTTTTCTTCCGTCCTTTCTTTCTTTCCCCCTTGACATTTTTCTCCGCTTTTCTTTTTATTTTCTTTCATTTCAAGGCGTTCGATAGCGGCGATGATGACGATGGCGATGACAATGACAAATGAATGAACAATTCTGGTTATTTATGATAGCTATCCCAGGTTTTCGCCATCATTATTCCCAGATCGGGTGGGCTGGTTTCCAGGGTAGTATGTGATTTGAGATATCCCGTTTTGTTTATGGTTTATATATATATATATATTATTTCTTTGTTCTTGTTTGGCATATACAAATATACACCAAGCTGAATGGAAATCAAATATATGAACTGGAACCGGGCATTGGAACAATGAAGTGGTTTTTTTATTCATCTTCATTAAGAGGTGCATCCGTATTGTTTATATTCCTATTCCTGCTCCAGTTCCAGTTCCAGTTCCCTCCCAAAAGATATTGTCAATAGTTCTGCTCCTTCAATCCTTCTTTAGCTCCCAGGCGCTCCAGGCATAGCGGGTATGATATGTAGATACCAATCATCATCAAACACTTCATCCTCCCTTATGCTAATTTTTCCCTTGCCACCTTCCCTGTCCTGCATTTTCCGTGAAGGAAGTTGTATCACAAGAGTGAAAATTGAAAGAAGAGAATTCGAAAAAAGAAAAACAAAAAGCATATCCCATGAATATAAAAACCAGTGAAGTACGGGAGATTTTTAACGAAGCAGATTTATTACAAAGCACCCTTCTCTTGTGTAAAGTCCCACAGCATCTTGATGAGGTTGTCTGGTAGTGTGTAAAGGTCAACGTGGAATTCGCCCTCTGCAATGACCAAGTTAGAATGCAAGCTTCTTTTAATATGTCCTTAACCAAAGGGGAAGCGTCAAATCAGACGGGAAAAGGAACATACGCTCGACATCATTCTTAGTATAAGAGTCTGGTGCCTTGTTATCATGCACCATCTGCACGACCTGGAGGAGGTCATCCTCTCCGAGTTTCTGGAGACCGTCCGCCAACTTGTCCATGTCGATCTGATCGTAATCGCGGTCTTGTAAGAAAGAACACCAGCAGTATTGTTCGCAATAGTGCGTAGCATGCTTACATTCTTTTCCAGTTTCTTCTTCTTCTTGACACTCTCCTCGCCGCCTGCAGAGCGTTTGGATTTCACACCATTCTCATCGCCAGGAACCGGTCCGGATTGCCTGAGAAGAGACAACAGGGCCGGTTTGGGGTTCCTAAAAGTCTATATGACGCAAAATCAGTAAGATGTAAATATGAATGAAGCAGCCGACAGTGCTATACCCACCACGACATGTTTCGATTCATATCGCGTCGATGCAAAGTTCAGGTCATGCGTGATATTGTGATCCTTATCCGCAGCCGTAAGTGTAACTTGCATATCAAATTCACCCCATCCCTCCTCTTGAATTCGGAAAGGAGGATTGTTGAATGCTGTTCAACCACCGCATCAGCTTCCGTCAATTCTCTTCAACCAGGTATCCGTAACGCATTGCAAAGTACATACTCTGAATCGCCCTCTCTCCAAAACTCGGATGCAGCATGTACGTCACTTTATCAAATACATCGGCCGGGATTTGCTCCCCACGATCATTAACGAGGTAAATCTCAATGGACCACGACCGAAGCGGGAACCCTTCAACACCGGAATCTTTGTTACTGCAGGCGCAAGTAAAAACATATTAATCAATAACGGATCTAATCCATTTCAATTGTTCGTTTTGTTTTGTATTTTATTTCCCCCCCATCAACCGCCGGTTCTTCTTATATAACAGGCGAGGGAGGGCAACGCGTCGCGCAAGCAGATTTTCAAAGATTGCCGTTGAGAGAATGTTGCGCAATATCTTTGACTGGATAGGGAGAATAAAAAAAGGGGGAACATACATAATCTGCTGCTCTGTAACCAGCCTGACTGTCCTCTTGACCTGTAACGCGAAAGTGGTTTATCAGCGACAACGCGAGACAAGAATCGATAACTAGACAAGCCTTACTGGGGATTTCATCATGAAGAAAACAGTAAGAGGGGGACCCAGTTGTGTGTAGAAGAGAAGGGGGAGAGAGAGATTCCAGCAGGACACAAAGGTGATACGAAGGGAAAAAAAGAAGGAAAAAAGAACACACTCACGTCAGGCATTTTACAGTTGAAACAAGGAAAACGTAGACTCAATAAATAGGACAATTCCTCTATCGAATTCTTTCTCTCCTCTTTCTCCCTCTTGCAGAAGAAATGGAAAAGAAAGCAGTGGATCGCGAAGTACCTAGTGAGCGACGGATGGCCAGGCACGGGTCAGATAAATTCAAGAAAGCAGCAATCCTAGGCCTTGAGGTAAATATCCGCACGACGGCTTCGTAGGGCGTAGATGAGATGATGGCAAAGCGAGGGGATGCTGAAGCTCGTTGGGAGGGGCGGGTTTGGTTGACAAGTCAAGTAACTGGCTGTCTCTGCGCGGCGGATGAAGCGATCCAGCCCACAAAGGCAACAATCCCGTGCTCCGTCACCTCTTCCAGCAGCACACGCCATCGCGCATGTCAAATCTAAGCAAGCTACATGCCTTCATCTCATGGACTTGCTGGCTTGCTGGCTGCATCGCTACGGCTACGACGCCGCAGAACGGTGGGCGCTAGGACAGTGCAAGATCTATTCTACAAGGCTAGGGAGCTGTCGTGCATCTTGATCTGTATTTCATGCTATATTCAAGGGAATATCTTCTATCTGCTACCACCTGCTCATCCGACAAGGGTAGCCTTATACGAACCGACGTCGGGGCAAATCCAGCTGAACATGGGCCACGATTCGGCCGCGCGCAACTTCCCCATCCCATGCTGAGTCGCCTACCGCGGTCCAGGTGTTGGTAAGGGATGAGTTCGAAGGCGTTGAAAAAAGGAGATCAGTTCATGGGTGGAGCGGGAATGGGGTAAACGGAGTAAGGAGGGGATTAAAGGTGATTTGACGGGACGACGAATAGATCAAAACTCATTTAGATAAGAAGTTAATGATCGCAAATACTTCTCCCGATAAGTAGCGAAGACCTAGGCAACCTGACGAGGACGAAATTACTGCTTGGAGAGGAGCTTCTCATTCTCCAGTGCAGCCTTCTCGAAAGCTTCCTTGAAAAGATTGGCATCTAAATGCGGTGTTAGTAAACTTCGCACACGAAAAGCGAAAGAGAAGAGAACCCAATGAAACTTACTTTCACTGTTGGCGAAGCGGATGGCCAAAGTCTGCGCCTCAGGTTCACCCTCACTGACATCCGCAGTTGCGTTCCAGACCCAGCTGCGATCACTGCCCACGTTGGAGGACAGCTTCATCTCGGGAACAACTAAACATTTCATCAGCACCGGTCCAGCCAACAACCGACAACAGAAGCGCTATCGGTAACTTACTGTAGTGGTTAGCGCAGACCTTGAGGGTCTTGTCTCTGCGCATCACCAGCCGAGTCTTGCCATTCTCCTTGTGCTTCAGCAATCTAACATCACCAGTGCCGCGCTCCTTCCACTCCTTGGCCTCATGGTCGAATCTGAAAAGCTTGGCGCGCATCTTGAAGACCTGGTCCTCGAGTTCTTCGTTGGTTTTAACATCAACCTTCTCGGTCAGGTGGATGACGGGCTCGAAGTGGACATCGGGAGACTCTGGGGCCTCATCCTGTTTTAAGTTGATGAGTGTCAGCTCTGAACTGGAGACAATATCCATCATATAGGGAGGAAATTAAATAATGAAAAGATCAAAAAAGAGACAAACCCACCTCATTCTCCTCCTCCTTCTTCGCCTTAGAAGAACCAGAAGGCTCATTAACTTCTTCCTCAGGCTCCTCCTTCTTCTCCTTCTTGGGACCACCACCGAACATGGAGAAGATGTTGTCAGATGTCTTAGCAGTACCCTCTACCACCTTCTCAGTAGCAGTTTCCGTCGCCGACTTCTCCTCTTGTGGCTTCGGGGCCTCAGTCTCTGTCTTCTGCTCGGGGGAGTTGGTAGTGGGTTCAGGTTTGGTCTCAGCAGCGTCAGACATGGTGGGCTGTATGTCTGTGTGTCTGGGGTATGTGTATTAGAGTGGATTCTAGGAATCAAACGCAGGGTTCACTGAAGAGAGACGGAGATGTGGCTGATGGGTATGTGAAGGCCAGAATAGGATAATGAGGAGGGGAAAAGACAGTTTGCTGTGGTTGAAGAAGAATGTTTTGCAGGTGGGTAGGTTTGGCAAAATCCCCTTGCCCCCTCCACGCTAGTCCCACCGCCTTTCTCCTGTGGCGCTGGACATCCCCGCTTCATAGCAGTGAATGAGACAGCAGATGCCTTCTATCTACAGCAGCCTGGTTTAGTATCATTTCAGCATTATGCTTTTACCAATCCTCTAGCTATGGTGTTGATATGAATGAGTGTAATGGCTGGCAGAACCAAAGTAAAGGGCCATAAAAAGAAAGAGAGAGACGCAGCAAGACTAGAAGAAGATCAAAAGAAACCAGCGACTGCTCGAATAAACAATGATATTGCATCCTGGTGTTTAAAAAGTAGTTCCCCTTAATCCCGTATACCCGTACCTACATAGTAGTTATCCCACCGTCGCCCTAACCATCCATATCCATAAACCAACCCAAAATGAAAAGATTGCGTAGAGCAGTCCGAAAGAGAAGCAAAAGGAATAAGAAAGAGCAGGGAAAAAAATCATCTTCGACCATGACGGCTTCCCGAGCAACATCTGGATTCATGGGAACTGTCACGCTTCATTAGGTGACGGGCTCTGCCCTGTGCCTTGTCCAAGATCCGTGACTTCTTGGAATTTCGGATACCATCCATCAGCTCATTCAGATCAACCGCTCGTGCAGACGCACCTATCTTTTTCCAAGTGTCACTCAGTATCTCTTTAGTCTCCTCATTGAGTCTATCAACATGCCCCTGTAGGATGGATGAAGCCGTCGAGAACTGCTGCAAAGCAGTATGCTTTATGACCTTGGAAAGCTGCTTTGAGCTAGATAAGATCGCGTCCCTTGTCTCCCGCGTAATCTGAGCGGAATCACGGCGCAAAAGCTCTGCTTCTTGCCGTATGAAATGTGATTTCTTCACAACATCCCCCATCAACTCCTGGAGATCGGTACAAAGTCGGCCATAAGTTTCTGAAACGCCTGCCTGGGCCGTACCGAAGTCTTTCACGAGTTGTGAAGAGAGAATTTGAGCGGCACGTTTCCAGTTCGAAATCTTCAACCAGGGTGTTCCAAAGTCCACTTGCGTGACCTGGTTCAGAGGCGGCTTGGGACTTGATACTGTGATGTTCACCAGTCCCTGTGCATCTTCCCTATCTAGTTTCAAGGAGTAAACCCCTTCAAATAGTTTAGATAACTCGTAAGGAAGGATCTTTCCGCGGCGGCTGACGCTGACCTCGAACCTAGGCCGCTTCTTGCCGGACGGGAATCCATGTGGAGGTTTGATAACAACATGAAAATCGCCAACAGTCTGTATCTCAAACTGGTCTGGCTGACTTGATGGTTGATCCAAAGACAAGAACGATAATCCTGTCAGCTCTTCCGCATTGGTGTGATGGTTGGGGTCATTGCTTGATAGTCCATCTGCACGCAACGAAGGCGATCGTAAGGAGAGTGAAGTCTGTCTCAGCCCTTCCACCGGGACCACGGCGGTGCTATGGACACTCACCGAAGCGGGGGCTACGGCATTGGATGTAGCAAATTGCGCGATAAGTTGAGAGGCTAGGAGAAGGATGGCTTTGAGGCCCGTGTATCCCAAGGATAGGGCAACAGCAGAAACAAGAGTGAGAGTAAGAAGGCGTAAGGCAGGTGTTAACTCGTGGGCACGAGTGGAGCTGGCAAGTTGGAATATACCAGCTGGGCACTTCTCTGTATCGAAGAAGAGACCTCTTTCAGGGATTTTCTCATTCTCCTCAATGGCTTTGGATGTCTTTCTGGGATAAAGGGTAGCCAACGACGCCAGGTTCCTGTTCAGCTGGCTGGGAGTGATACTCTCAAACGTCTTCACATCAATAGGATAACGTCTGAGTAACATCATATCTCCAGTCACAGAATGCTGAGATTCCAGGGACAGGTGAAGGCTATGGGGATTCAGTGGAGTTGGGTCAGCGGCCGCGCTCCAGAGTGGCTCCTCAGAGATAGTCATGGTAGGAATTCCATGTCTTTGCATGAACGCATGGGCCAAGCTCTGGGTCCTCATGGAGCCAGCATCATGTCTGCTGGACATGAAGAAGATGGCCACATCCGGAAACGTCCATTCGGAAGAGGAGGAGATAGAGTATTCAGACCCGGTCCAGGAAGAGATACACGGCGGCCGGTTCTTGAAACTCAAACGTACGGCGTTGGGTTTATCCATTCGAGGCTCAGTTGTTGCCCCGATGCACTCATCGACAATAAGCTGGACATGAATCGGAAGAAGTTCTGCAAAATTAGGCGTAGCACCTGCCCCAAAGGCCGTCGGAACGACATGATACCTAGAAGACTCGGTGGAACTGCTTTGAAAGCTGCCATATGAACTTGACACCAGGGCATCACCGATCTTGTCAAGAATAATGTTCCGGAAATCTGCGGCTCCAATGTACAGTACACGAAAGGGCTTGTCCGTGTCGAGGCTCTGTTTGGTCATCGTCTGTTGGACGGTGGCTACGAGGACTGAGTCGTCGAGGTTGTAAGGAAACCGCCATTTCAGCTGATCAGCCTCCATGCCTTCAAGGGTTCTGATGATATGCTTCAGCTGCACTCGTTCGACTTCTGGCCAGATTTTCGGTTCGGTGAATTCGATGGAATCAGTCGATCGATGGAAGGCAGCCCTCGTGGTAAGACTGCTATCATCTATAGCATCTTCCACGCGAGGAAAGAGGCCAGTAATGTGCTGAGAGTCCGAGATGCCGCTTTCTGAATCGCTGTCGTTATCATAATCATCCCCATTGCCATCATCATTTCCATCGACCTCGCTGTTACTGAATCTACCGTCGAGGCTAGTCACATCATCGGGACCAGCTGGATCGATCAAGGATCCGATGTCCGTTTGCTCTGAGGGAGCACCATCTTCCGAATGGGCGTCAGAGACACTCATACTGGCCCAGCTTTCACTCAACGACCTGGCGGATGAACACTCAGCATGGTGACTAGACGACATGTCGGTGAGTCTGGAACGAGATAACCACTCTTCGACGGAAGCACTTAGGGGAGGGAGGGTTGGATATTGAAGCGGTGGAGCAGGTGCAGCGCTAGATAGAAGCCTGAGTCGAGGCTCTCGAGAGTCAGCCATGCTGTGTAAGAGTTAGAAGTCATGGAGTTTGGGAGAAGGCCCAGAAGGAATGGATGGAGGAAGATAGTTCAGGCCACGGAGCGGGTATTGTCTTGAAGTCGAAGGGAGGAAGGACGGACGGAAAAAAAAAAAAAAAAAAAAAGATATAAGAACAAAGAAGAGCAGGTGAATGGAATGGAAGGGAGAATCAACGGGAAGATACGTTAACTAGAAGGTCGTTGCAGAGGGAAGCTGACGACGACTGTCCTCGACGGCCCACTCTCATTCACGAAGAGATGAGAGTAGCCAGGACGAGTTGTGTGAGTTTCCTGGAGATGATGACTGCCCCAGAGTCAAGCGGGCTGAAGAGTTGCTGGCAGTCGCTGCCTGAAGCGAAGAAGTTGAGGAGGGGGGGAGCTTTGTTCCCGGCCTCGGGCGGGACAAGGCAAGTCAGGTGTTCTGGGCCTGGAGGGACGCCCGGTTACTGGGACAGGAGAGAATTAATGATGATATTATTGCCGTTATTATTATTATGATGATGATGATGATGATTACTGACGGAACAACCGCCGCAGCATCAACAGCCAGAGAGAAGATGGCTATGGGAGAAGAGACGGGAGAGGGACAGAGACAGGGGACAAGAGACAAGGGAGCGACGCTTGGGTATCTATACCAATACTCAATACTGCAGCAAACTGACACTCGCTGCAAGGCCATGCAGAGGGGCACATGGTGGATGATGACGAGATGTGCATACTGCCTATGGATAATAATGATAATGACACTGCCCGCATCGTGTACATACTACTAGGTATATGCTACATCCACGACAACGGCTACTCAGCATCCTCTCGTCTTGCTCATCTATCACTTCTTCGGATAGATACATACATAGTACATATATACGAGCTCTACTGATGACGACTGGGCTCTTCCTAGCAGGAAGAATCTGGATTCTCGATACCTAATAGATACATATGGATGTTCCATGGCAGCAGACGCTTATCGTCAACTCTGACCTCATCATGCTCTCGTCCCGATACCGATACCGATAACGCTAATCCGGAAGCGGACTAGGCCACTCTACAATCACGAGATTCGACTCCAGTGCGTCCATGCCGTTCTTCACCAGTTGGCCCTGCGACACCTGCCAGCCATTGGAACCCCAGAGTGTCTTTTCAATCGAACGGGCTCCTCTGAAAGGCAATGCCACTGCCACGCGTGATGAGAGCGCTGAATAATCCAGGTACAAGATACTGACCAGCGTTCGGTTACCCACTCTCCAGCCTGCTGCATCGATCCGTTGCTGCCCTGAAGTCACTTCCAGCACGACAGTCGGCGCCCCCAGCAGGAACCGCGTTACATCTCGCGAAGCCAGTACGCGAGCCAATGCGCTCGTCATGTTTCCCAGCTCTGCGCTGGTCGGGTAATCCCACATCACGATCCCCTTGGCATTGTGGTTGATGCTCAGAATGTTCATCGTCACCTCCTCAGCCGCAGTGGGATACCGACTCCAGAAGGACTCATTGCCAAATGCTTGCGGAACTCCCAAGTATGTCTTGGGACCACCGCCAATCCAGCCCTGGTATTGAGCAAAGAGATCGAGGCAGCTGGAAATGTCCTCGAATTCGCCCTTGCAGTCGTCGCATCCACAGCAGCCATAGGTCGTGTTGCACACGGTATCATACACCGCGGACCAAGTAGCGCCGATGGCGACAGGATAGACATCTGAGAGGATGATATCCGCGCCCGATGAGTAGTCCTCGTAATAAAGTTGTAGCAGTTCAAGCAGAGGGACACCGGGTGCCATGGGTCCAATGACTTGATACGGTCATAGGCGAGCTTGGGAGCATCCAAGGGATCGCCCTGACCATCTGGCCTCGTCGCCAGTATACCAAAGCAACATGCTCTTCCTCGACTTGAGCCTGTCCACCTGCTCTTCCACCGCGGTGAGATTCTTGTAGGTCCAGCGCATGTCATACATGAGCCAGAGCCCAATCTCATCACACTTGTCGAGAAATAGATCCAACTCGGTGAAATTGAAGGCCTGGTTGGGAAGTCCGGCGTTCGGAACAATATGGAGGATATTATATCCCTGGTCCTTGAACTTCTGTACGTTGTTCAGCGACTTTTCCAGCCAGCCGTCCCAACTGACGTAGAACGAATACGGCAGGATGGCCTCCCACGTATGTGAACCCGTAAGGTAATCCTGCACCAGTATCCCCCCATAGAGGCTATCCAACTTGGCCACATTCCTGCCGTCAGTCCGATAAGGCAGCTTGTAAAGCAGAGTGGAAGCAGTATAAACCTGCTTTCCTCCAGGGACCATCATCGCTGTCAGCGTAACGTTATACGGGTCGAAGCTCGGCGGGACATCTAGCAACGGGAACGGGACTTCATTCTCCGCAGAATTGACCGATGCAAGGAAGGGGCTACTGTAGACAGAACCGGAGCCGTCCGAGGATAATATACTTATTTCAATCGCAAGGGCGTGTGGAGGATTCCAATCTCTCTGTAATACATCGTACTCAAAGGGCTGCCCAACGGTATACGAAATTCCCGCATCGATGATAAACGACCCTTCCACGTCCCCAGGAGTATAAAGGTTCACTCGTGGCCTCACGCGCAGGTCCAGAAGCGGCTTCGTTGATTGAGGAGGTTTATCAAGCCAACCCCCTGGTTCGAAGGATCCGTTTCTATAGTTTAGAAGTGCTCACCCGGCTAACTAACCATTGCATTCAAAATAGATGGAGAGAATGGGTAAGAGCTAAGGGAAAGGAATCGGGTTTCCCTTACGTGGATCTATAGGCCTTTCCACACCAAATATCCACCCCTGGGGTGTTGAATGCCGCGCTTGAGCCGACATTGGCGATCAACATACCGAAGGAAAGAGAGATCCTAGCAAGCAATGAAGCCATCATGGAAGAGAATGGTTGGCAGTGTCATCCAAGGCAATTTGGCCGCAGAAGCAGCATTTATGTGAGCGTTGCTGGATCAATGATGGCTTAACAATGGCACCATGGTCTACTACTATGGCCTTACCTGGTGGAATCCTATCATACCGTCACATTGATTCTCTGGGGATCGGCAGGAGCATAAATACGAAGTAATGATTGTCTTTCGACATGAAGTATATAATTGAACAGAAGTGGAAAAGCCTCGGCGAAGCGGCACGTTATCTTTGGAGGATGCCTGCATTACTCCGTAGATACTGCGGTAGCTATTCGGCATGACCGATCAAGATGAATATTATCTTGGAGCAATAATGTAGGTAGATACATAGCTTAGAGAGCAATCAGCAAATGATCGTATTATTGCGAACGGTGCCCTTAACGTCAGTGAATAACACCATAATCTATACATACACACCATGCTTCTCTGCTGTCTGCCCTGTAGGGACAATGCGTCGAAACCCGTGTTCACAAGGCAAAGAAAGGAAATGGTATGTACACTTCATTAAAAGAAGGAAAAGGGGAATGCTAAATATAATAAATCAATAATAATGTGTACCGGGGAATTAGAAGACTGAAAAAGAGTCTTGATGATGAACGGATAGACACTGCAGTTCTTCCACATCCTCCTTCCTCCGAGTACAGGAAGTGAAAAAAAAAAAAAGATTATAAAAGCTCATGACCTCGTGAAATCCTTCTTCCTGACACATGTAGTCGTGCACGTAGCGGGGCCATCGAGTCGAGTCATGGACCGATGAGTTGCAAGAATCATTCGAATGCAACCAATGTCGGTGAGAACTCGCGTATGTCGCAAGTCGGATTATGAGCAGACGCTCATAAGCAACGGACGTCAAGCGGTTAGGAACCGACTCCTCGAGTAAATTAACGCAGAGGATTTCAATTCACGACACGTAGATGCCATTCGATCCAACAATGTTGGACAATGACTCTCCTTTCTTTTTTTTCCCCCCTTTCTCCTTCCAAAAAGAGTGCCGACACCAGCCACAATCCAAATGACAAAACCGTACACAGCATGCTAGATGTATTTGTCCATATCGAACGAAAGGTCACTCCGTCTTCCATAGAAGCCGTCAGATCCGGTAAACGCCGTCCAAAGAACCCCACGGCCAACACAAAACGGGCCAAACAAACAACTCCAAGCGCGACTCAATCGATGCTCACGCTCGAACACACGGACATGGAAATGAGATGAAGATGATACAGTGAAGCACAGCGAATATTAAAAGTACGGTCCATGTCTAAGGGGAAGCCCAACCTCCGGCGACTTCTACCCATTCGGCGAGGCAGCTGCCCTGTTTGCCCTCCACGTCCACGATATCTGTGTCACACTTGCACCTACAACCCACGCCATTCTCTTTGACGGGGTCAGGATCGGCCCAGTATTCGTCTTCTTCAATACGTTTCTTCTCATCCTGGGTTGTCATTTCCAGCCATGGAATTCGGGGCAATTGTCTTGCAGGGGCATTGGCAGGGCAGTGCTGGATCGTTGTATGCCGATAGCCGATATCACGGAAATAGTGGATGTCGCTAGGTGAGAGTAGGGCACCGGCAGCAAGGGAATGAATAGGAGCATCACCCCACTAAGTAGAAGGAGCAATTCAGTATACAAGCTAACAGCCGCGTGAACAAAAATTGAGTACATACTCTTTCCATCCAGAAACCTCCGCTTCGGTCCATCATCTCGAAGAACTCCTCATAGTCTCTGCTTCGGAAGAAGTCAAGGCGCGCAATTTCGAAGTTACTCCAAAAGTGGCACATGTTATATGTTTCGCCTTCCATGGCTTCAGGATCAATCTCCGGGAGGGCATTCTCGCCAGGTTCTGTCCGCAGAATTTCGTCGGGAAGCTTTTCTTGTTTCTTTTGGTCGTCTTTCAGCGCTTCCTCCTCTTCGGGCTGAGGCTCGATAAACATCTCCCACAGGCCCTTAGACTCCAAGCCCTTCTTACGCTTATAGGCAGCGGCGTACCGGAAGATGTTAGGAACTGTCTCCCGAAGCTCCTTGACGGCGATGGTAAAGCCGTAGGTCTTGTTCGCCTCGGCCATTTTGAGGAACGGATCGCTAATACATAGGTTAGCGGGAAACACAAGGAATTTAAATGTATGCCCATGAAGGCCCTTACTAAGTAATGTCACAGAAGTACTTGATTTCGGGCTCCAAACGCCAGTACCATTCGTACTTCAGAAGAAGGGGATGCTTATAGAAAAATCTGCGCAAAGACTTAGCCCAAATGAAACATTTTGCTTGCATTTGCCACAGGACACTTACCCTGAGTAGAAGCGGCACATGTGATGATAACTCTCCATTCCTCCGTACATAATAGCAGCATCTCCCTGCTTCCTGATACCTTCCTTTGCGGCTTCTAGGTCAACCCAATCCGGGAAACCCCACATGGAGCTGTCAATCTTGCCGAATTCAGTATGACCGCTAGTATAATTCCTGACAGTGTCTTTGAATTCCTGGTCGAAATCGGCATCGTTCAGGAAGACGTAGGGGTAATTCCACCACCGATTGAAATGTCTCTCGATCGATTTGATGGACTGGACGACGCCTTCTAGTTCCTTATTCCTGGCGAGAACGACAAATGCGGCATTCGCACGCGGAGTACTGGTGTCGATATGGAGACAACCAGTGGCAAAGACCTTGTCATGCTTTTCACTTATTTTCCTGCAGTTGAAAAAAGAGCGATGCTGTTAGCCAAAGTTCAAGAGCACACGGTGAATAAGGACATCGCGGTCAGAACGAACCTTATAGACGGTGGTGTACCGGCAGGAACCAAGATTCCTCCGGATGAAGAGGGATGTCGAAGAACAAGGAGCAGAATAAGGACTATTACAAGGCATGGGAATAGTAATACAAAGCCCAACGGTATTGAAATCGTTGAGTTCCTCTTCAATCGTATCCTCCGCCTGAAAAAAGCGAATCTGGGAAGTATGCGACCCTTCTCACGCGGTGGGTCATCCAGTGGCAGACTGGGCGCGGAGGGGAGCCGCTTTGAAATCCGTTGGATGAATCCCATCAGTACAGTGGGTGTGTGGTAGCCACTATAGCGAGGATGGAAGGAGGAAGATTCCGTGGTCAAATGCAAGCAAGCGCTTAACCGGGGAAAAGTCCGCCGTTCGATAGGGGGATTCAGCAGTTGCGAGCGTTAGAACGTAGGGGCGGGGGAGAGAAAAAAAAAATAATAATAAGAAAGAATAAGGCGATAGTTTTGAGACAACACAAACATCGATGTTAAAACGAGTGGCCGGAGGAAAGCCTCCTTGACCCCCAACTTCTATCCTCAGTCAGCTCAAGGCAGACCGGCCGGGGGAGGAAGAGCAACGAGGCAGACGGCTGGCAATGACGATGAGGTCGGAAGCACGCCAACGGTGAGAGATGACATGAGCCCCGGGGGAGTCAAAAGTAGAGACAGAAGGATATTTTAAAGCAGCCGAAGGGGGGGATGAGAGGCGGAGGCGACGTATGCGTGTAGAAACGCAGAATCAGTCGGCGAAGGTTGAATGCCAAAGTTGGAAGATGATGGGAGGCTCTGCCAAGACTCCAGGAGGCGCAAGCACGGGGCTAGTCACGTTGCCGTTCGGTATTAGTATTACGGCAGGCTTGGCATATTTCCATCGCAGGTCTCTATCGCTGCACAGCAGTGAGGTTATTGGGACATTGGCTATGCTAATGTTAATTAGGTACCTAGGTACCATACACCATGAGCATATCCACAGGCGTCGGAGTGTCCTTACGGTGAGAAGACGGCAAATATCTACCTAAGAGAGCTTGATTGCAGAGATGATCTTTGCAGCGGTATGTTACATGGCTTGTAATAGACAGCTGGTGACTGGATCTCCGGCGCAAGTTGGCATGATCCAAACAGGATCTTGCTGGTCCACTGTAATATTACAGCACAATACAGCATATTACCATACCATACTGTACAATACAGTGCGGATTACTCTTCGGCAACGCTGGAAAATGTGACACGCGGCAACAGTGAGGTTGCACGTGACTGGACTCCAACGACCGGCCTGGACTCGACAGCGTAAAATAATAAGATGACTCTAATTACGTCTCCAACCGCTAAAAACAACGGGGAATAAGAATAGAACAGCGTTGGCGCATGGAGCCATTGATGTTGTCGATCTGAACCATCCGCAGGACTTTTCCGTACTCTTATTACTACTCTGTACGGCGTAACTATGTACTATCCATGGATGCATAGGCGAACTACTGGAAGCGGTATAGCGCTCCTAGTTGTGCTAGCTCTTCACTTCCCCCTTGCTCGCCCTTCGAAGAAAAGTGTGCTTGTGCATTGCATTCCTTGATGGATCATCCAAGATTCCGTGTCATCAGCATACATTCCGCTCTCCTTGCTCTCGTATCTGCACTTAAGGCATAGTATGAGTAGGGAAATTAAAATGAGGTGGTTTATGAGTGCTAGTCCATACTAGCCCTAACAGCTAGTATTCCGATGCCTTCTTGGCTAGTGGGATAGCATATGGTTGGCCTACTTACTCATTGTTATATTATGGTCATTATAGGCTTATACAGAGTATTCTAGAACAAATGGCCAAGACCAAGTAGACAAGGAAGGGCAACAGCAATATTAGCCAATATCCTATCTTCAGATCTTACTCCACAACATTTGCACCAAAGACAGACATTGACCAGCTGCCCTATCTATGTCTAACTTCGGAAGAATCATACTCCCCAGCAACCATGACAAGCAACTTGATGGTGATGCTGCGCTCATCTCGATTTTTAAGCTTCAATCTGTACTTCTTCGGTACGCTTGGCGGCCGCCTCCACCATTGCTTGGCTGGAGCGACTTCAGTTACAGTATGAGACCGGCTTTCTCATGCTCTACCTCAACCATATCTTCCAGGTCCAGTTCCCATTCTGCTGTTGCTTCGGGTATCAACCAAGCTTGTGTATACTATACGCCATGGTTTAGCCTTGTAGCGTACAAGGCTTCCCTCTCATTCCTTTCGGCAGGTGGTCATGTATTATGCTGAGAATTCACCTTTATCAAGGGTTCGTTGGTGTTTACCACTGTAGCGTTGGTCTCCTGTATTGTCATAGACTAATATTCCAATTGATGAATATAACATGCGGAAGAGAGAAGAAAATCGAAAGTCGGAGTATGTGCGTAGGCGGTAACTTATGGCAGAATACACATGACCAGGAATCCAAACTTCAAAGAATCTCTAGCATCCTCTGTAAGTTGTAAGAACGGATAACAGGCGTCTTATCGTTGGTTATTATAGTATTGGAAGAGAATGTGCAAATTCAAGGAGTGGTGTAATCCCACAGGGGTGACCCATGGAACGCACCAAAATTGATGACTCCCCTGCGATTTATTGGACCACGGCAGAGCCCAGACGCTGGGATATTATTAGCTCTGACAAAAGGGGTTCCATTTTCCTGCCTGCAGCCAGTCTCCAGCTATCTCCATCTACGATCCGTGCCAATTGTCCAGCGTCAACCTTGGGTCAGGAACCTGTGTCCCCATCCCGTCAATTTTTGCTGCCTGTGCCGTTCCCAGACGCTGCCGAGGATCTCTCCTTATCTCTCCTCTCCTCTCTTTCTCCCCTTCTCCTCCTGGAGCAGGTGTCTGCCGACTTCCCGTCTATGTATACGTTCAATATATATCCACAAACCGTCTTTCCTCCCCGTCGACGTCGCCTGTGACGGATCCCACGAAGACTGCACACTCCCCTGGCGGGCCAATCCCCTGAGAACCCGCAACCTATTCAATTGAACCTTCGAGCTCCTTTCTCTTCTGGATAGTCAGGCACCATCCCCGGACTCTGGACAATATGATGGATCAGACACTTGTCGCTCAGCCCCCGCCAGGCTCTGCTGGACGTACGAAAAGCCAACCCACGAATCCTACGCAATCCAAACTTACGCTGCCGTCTCCCCCTTCGCGCAATGGCCATTTGAGCCTGGACGTCTTTTCTCCGGTCAATGAGAACGGTAGCTTCGAGTTTGACCGGGTCCTGAAGAGTGGAAAGGTGTACCGTCGGACGAAAAATAAGCGTGTCAGTTGTCGATCCTTCCTTGTCACTGTGTCTCTCTTCGTCCATTAGGCCATAACTAACCCGTCAACACTTTATTAAGGCATTCATCGCGTCGTGGAAACCCGCATATCTCGTCCTCCGTCCCAATCTTCTGTCAGTTTACAAAGATGAGGAGGCGACGAGACTTCGACTCTCCATTAACCTATCCGACGTCACGGCCATTGCAGCCGTTAGGCACCCGGGATCCACACGAGAGCACGTCTTCGGTATTTTCACCCCCTCGAAGAACTACCGCTTCCAGGCACTATCACAGAAGGATGTGGAGGATTGGATTGTACGCATTCGAGCCGAAACGCCTGTTGACGAGACTGAGGAGGCCTTCTTAGCGCTCACTCGGAATCTCGAGAGTAGAGCTGCGCCCAAATTGCCCATGGACGATACTACCGATCATTCAGACGTCGACGCTCTTGGAGGCACAAACGCCTCAGACTTCAGACGGCCGTTCTCCCCAGGTCCTCGGAAGAATTTCCTGTACGTCCGAGATTGCTCGGCAAACGATGCTACATCGTTCTCGGAGTGGTCCGATGGACCTGCAAGTAGCACTCGGCCCCATTCAGCTGCCTCGTTCAGGAATCTATCTACCCCCGTTAAGGGTGAGAGACAACTACCCTCTTCGAGCACTGCAAGCGTCCTTCGTGACCCGGAAAGGATCGTCTGCCAAGGTTATCTTCAATGTCTCCGACTCAAAGGTGGCGTTCGCCAGTGGAAAAGATTATGGGTCGTCGTGCGGCCGAAAAGTCTCTCCTTCTACAAGGATGAACAGGTAGGACATTCTGTCTTCATCCATGTAATTTTTATTTTGAAAAATACAAGGAAAACAAAACTGACCCGTTCCCCCTAGGAATACTCTGCTGTCAAGATCATCTCAATGTCCCAAGTAATTGATGCGGCAGAGATCGATCCTATCTCTCGATCCAAGGCATTCTGCTTTCAGATCATCGCGGAAGAAAAGCCATATCGACTATGCGCTCCGAATGAGGAAGCCCTAACCAAATGGCTCGGATCCCTCAAAAGCATTATCGTTGCTCGCAAGAAATTAAACCCGGCGGCAACAACACCGCAGTAAGAACCGTTGCTGTTCTGCTGGATATACAGCACAGCATGGCCTGATCATTATTGGAGCTAGCCCACAGCTCTTTACCTTCGTTTGTTCCTTTCTTTGACCCTTCTTATTTCTTGCCTGGAAGCATCTCAATTGGGCCATTCTTCTTCTAATCCTGTCTTATGATATAATACATGTACTTTCTTCTTTCAACTCCTGACCAGGATCCTCATTTCAACTGTGCTGGCGTGTCATGCAGTACTACAGTACTTGGTAGTGCATGATAATCACAGGGATTACAGGGCATGAAGAGAAAAAAAAAAGAAGAAATTGTCACAGTGCATACTGGTCTGTTTATGTCTCTGTGCAAGTCAACCTTGCTACAGCTGATATCTTCATTTCTTTCCTATTTTCACTCTTTTCCTTCTATACTTCCCCCCCTTTTATTTTCAAAATTACGATTGACCATGATTGATTCCATTGACGTGTCTTAGTATTCTTGACTATTCGTCGATGCCTACTTTTCTATACCCCCTTTCCTTTTATCATTATTTTTTATATTTCCCCCCTTTATCTTCTTCTTTCTTATAAGCAGCTAGATTCTCTGCTTTTATTACTAGACTTAATATACTTATTACCTTATTATCATCAAACATGATTGCCATAATATTCTCTAAGGCCGTCCGGGACGTAATCATGGCTAATCCTATCTCATGCTATGCTCCATGCAACAATAAAATAACCCCAAAACAAAAAGAAAATGATGTGTATATAAAGAATCCTTATATATATAGAAAATATCCACAGAATCAATCCACGTTACTCTCCTCGTCCCGACCAGGTACCACCTCATAACCACCCGCCAGTCTCTTTACTCCGTGACTATCAGTCGCGGACTCCCGGCTCTCATGGTTAACAACCATGAACGACAGGAAGACTATGGTGGCTCCGACCCAATACAACGGTGTGGCGTAGTAAGATTGTAGGATCATCTCGCCCACCAGCGAAAGCGGGATGGTTAGACTGAGTCCCACCGTGACGAGGAGCGGGGTTGTCAATAGCATGGCATAGGCCCAGCAGATGTCGGATATGAGTGACGTAAGGGCATTGACCTTGGATTTGTGAGTACTTTTATGGTACACAACACACACACACAGTGTAGGGAGAATACATACCAAAATAATAACCCAAATCTCATGGGAACCTGGCAAGGCAAAAGTCTCCAAACCCGTGAGATGCAAAATGACAAGTCCAGGCCAGAGGAAGAGTAAATTGAACAGTCCCACAAGCCCGAAGAATAGCTGCATGTTGACTCTCGACTCGTCGCCAACTTGCTTCTTCATAACAATCGTGTAGATACCATACAGGACCGCACTGAATGCCGCCATCGCATCGCCTAGGGCGATCTCGAAAGGTGTCTTATGCGGGAAGGAAGGGATGGTACCGTCCCCGTTACCGCTGCCAGTGGTGTCATCTGAAGGGGTCGATGATGAGAGATCTACGCGAGAGATCAGGATGACTCCTATTAAAGAGGCGATCGTGCCACAGAACTTGCGCAGGGTGAATTTTTCGACACCGATCACGGCGCCGAATATGAGTGTCCAGACCCCTGGGTAAACACAGTATTAGTCTAGGGGTTTTTTTTCGCTTGCTTATCTTCCTTCCATACTCAATAATGATGGTTACATACCGCTGGTTGATGTCAAGATTGTGGTGCTTCCTACTGTTGTATATTGCAGACAGGCCATTGCAAAATAGTTCGCCTAATAATGTACGCAATTGACTGATTAGATGTGGGCATAATAAACCAATGACCCACGAGGAAAATGAGACTCACAAGAAACTAAATATCGATTACCAGGTGTCAGCTTCACCATTTGTCTTTAAAACCCAAAAGCTCGGCGCAATTTCATCTTACCCATAGCAAGCAAAACTGAAAACTCAGCTTAGCTGTTGCCCTCAGACCGAGCTTCGAATGTCCATGATCATGTTCATATTGCTCTTCTACCAGACCGGATGCATCCTGGTCACGAAAGGAATCGTCCAGTTCGTCTTCACGGCTGAAAGTCGTAGTTCGCGATATGCTCTGTTCTTCAATCTCGACCGCCTTCGGATCATGAGAATCAATATGCCTCAGCAGACTGGATAGAGAGTCGATCCGGGCGAATTTGTTAGAGCGCCATAATCGCCATATCCGGCCTATAATAATCGAAAATAACGGTAATGTGAAGAGAGAGGTATTAATGTATGTTACAAAGAACGGTTTGGAGTAGGTGTTATCGGCGAATATGGTCTTTGGCAGAGACAAGAATGACATTAGCGATAACTGGTCATCAAATGATGCAAAGCGAGGATTCAAGATGCGACTCTTAACACATCAGACTTACACTTGCTAGGAAATTAGAAGCCGTCCATAGTACCACCACGACCAGGAGAAGACAGATGCCGACTGTTCGTCGCGCGACACCAGACGCTGCGTTATGCGGTCTCGGAGTTTCTGTAGCGGATTGACGTCCATTCAATTCCACGGGCATCTGAGCAAGACTCAAGGACCTTTGTCGAGGAGATGGATCAGTAGTAGCACCGGTAGTCCTAGTCATCCTGATCGATCCGCACCTTTCCGCGCTCACGAGACACGAGGCGGGTGATACTACTGTTGTGCGAAGATGCGCTGATAAGGCGAGTGAGGGGATCGGATAAAGCTATCCACTGTCGCATAGCACTCCTCCGCTCAACAGGCAGAATTACAGAAGGCAGCGAGTATATACGGTCGATGTCCAGATGGAAGAAGAGAGGTGCCAACAAGAACCGGGGAAATGCTGATGATGCAACGATAAGCAGAAATACCCACCAATCATGATAATTTGTGAGATAACCGTGCCTACAACTGCATAGAGTCGTTCACGCATGACAGTTCGCCAGAAGAGAAATACCAGTCAATGGAGCCAATTATAGTATATTCCAATCCCCAAACGTATCAGATGTGAACCGAAGACAACCAAAAGACAGAAAGAAACGAAAACGATACGTCCCAGCAAAGTACATTAGACTGAAATTGACATGGGAATTCACAATAGTCGTTGATTAAGAAGGTCGTATGCGTCCGGACCTCCAAAGGGAAGAAGGCTTCAAGCCTTGTCTATACACCCATACGCTGAAAGAAGCAAACATGGCAGTAAGCGGTGGGCAAGCTGCCCAAGGATCGTGTCTGTACAGCAGGAATCAACAATTGCACGAATCGCGTTCGCTGTCGAGATGGATGTTGATTCCTGGGTCGTTGAAGTCACCGTTGTAGTCTTCTGTCTCCTCCTCGATAAGGGCACTCTTCGCGATGACTGGAAGAAACAATTTTAGCAAAGCAATAAAAAGAGTATCGTTATGACAGTACTCACCTTCAAAGGCTTGTTCGACGTTGACGGCTTCTTTGGCGCTCGTTTCAAAGTAGGGGATATTGCCCTTTGACGAACAGAAAGTCATGGCACGTTTCGAAGAGATCATCCGCTTGTTTTCCTCGACATCAATTTTGTTACCGATTACGACCTGCGAAGAGAAACCACGTAAGTAACTCCTGCGGTGTAGGTGGCAAGTTCTACAAAAGTAACTCACAAAAGGGAAGCTCTCGGGATCTCTGGGGCTCGCTTGAATGAGGAACTCATCCCGCCAACTATCGAGGGCCTCGAAGCTCTTTGCATTATTCACGTCGTACACCAGAACACAGCAATCAGCTCCCCGATAGAACGCGACACCGAGCGACTGAAAGCGTTCTTGACCGGCAGTATCCCAAATCTGAAATGAAAGAGGGAACAGTTAGCACCTGGTGGTTCCATCCTTCCTATCGGCCACGAGGGGAGAACCGGACCTGCATCGTGACTAGTCTGTCTTCAACCAGAACCTCCTTGGTAAGGAAATCGGCCCCAATTGTTGCCTTGTAGCTTGCGCTGAACTTCTTGTTGACCTGTTGCCCAAAGAGGAGCTTATCAGCGGCGATGTCGCGGGACAGATGCTGGACGGACGACGGACATATTGATTCATCAAACTGGTCTTTCCAACACCACTATCACCCAGAATCACTACCTGGCAGAGATTAAATACCGCAGTTAGCAAACCGAGACGCAGTGACCGGGAAGTGGGGGAGGGGCATGATACCTTCAACAGGACCTTCTTCCGTGATGCCATGGTCGTGGTAGACGAATGCGGGAGGCGGCCCGAGTTAGCTGCTGGGGAGGTAATTCAGAAAATATAGAAACAAAGACAGAGAGATTGGAAAGGAGGTGTTCCTTCGGTAGATGTGCGGTAGATGGGGTAATTAATATCAGCGGGTAGGTTGACTTCGTTGAGAGCAACAAGGCGATGATGCACTCCCTGGATTCCTGATGTCTTAGGTAAGCCACAGCACCGCACCATCTAACTAGTTAACTAGTTAGTAGATCTACTACAAGAGAAAGAACTCTATTAGCCACGGAGTATATAAGAATATCTCTGAAAGAATTGTATGTCGGATAGTAGCAGCGTGTAAGCTACTATCAACATTAACAAGCTGTTTCCACTTGCAATTAAAACACCAGAAACAGCTCCCCTCAGCTAGCCATTATGACCATGAACCCACTCCAGTGACCCTACACAGTTTCTGGAAGATCGTCATCCTCATTCTATGTCAGCACCTCGAGAAGATCAAAGAGCGTGATGAAGAATACGACCAAGAACATGACCATGAGCACAAGCAATGAGGAATGATGCAGAAGAGCACCGGCACAAAAGAAGCGGGTATTCCAGAACACCGTCATAAATGAATTCAATGTGCGGATTCATCGACACAGGACCTTCTAGCTCATATGAGTGACATCTGCGACTTTATTGACCGCAATGGCATAAAAAGCCTTCATATCCTCAACTTCTCTACCAGTTGAACAAATTCACGAGCCAACTGATGAGCTGCACGATGTGCCTTCGGAGGCGATATCAACCCTCGGTGATCTTGGGATATCCCGCTCGCCAACGATTGTCATCGTTTATCTCATGCGCAAATATGGCATCAAGCGAGAGAAATTATTTGCATTTGTTCAATCGAAGCAGAAAATCAAGTCAAGTGCTAATTTTACACGGCAACTCCAAGTTTGGGAGGACCAGGAGAGGACTGTCGCGAAAGGACCGTACCAAGCGTTTCCAAATGGCCGAGCGCAAAGAAGGGACTCACTGAAAATGAGCCCCTCGCACCCCGGGATCTTTAACGCCCATGACAGCAGTTTTGTGATTGGTCTTAGATGTCCAGTCCCAATAGTATCGTGGCTAAAAAAAATAGAATGGCAAAGCAGGTATCTAGGTAGCTTAGTGGTCCTCATTACGTAATCAATAACCATGATATCAGCAACTAGTTATGTGCTACCTCAGGCAAATGTTCAATTCAAAGGGATATGTGTCAGGATAATAATTGGCAAGCTTTTTGACAGTTGGTCTAGGGGCACAAATAGTCAGTGTTTCAATAAGAATAACAGTTTTAAATGGTGTGTTCCAGAAATGTATGTATGATGTTGGGGAATGACCCAAGCGGTCAGCCATTTGGGCCTTGAAGCTCTTGAGTCCCCATCTGGTATCCATCCATCTATCCATCTACAAGTGAATCCTCTACAACCGAACTCTCCTTGTTCTGCTATCCTAGTATTATATATACCTTGTTGCACCTTCAAATCGTATCCCTGTTCAACATCCTTCCTGCTGTTCATAATACTCCATCTCTACTCTGCCCCTCTCACTTCCAGAGCCCGTCTAACAATCCCATCTCAAAAAGCAGAACGTCACAATGAATTGTAATCAATGATATTCCTTTTTTCATTTATTATTCCTGGAAGTTACTCTGGTCATTTCATCATAGAATCAAAACATAAACATGGTTCACTGGCGCGAGGAATATTTTGCCGCATTGGCAGTTCGCGATGAAAGCGAAAAAGCCAACATTTCTCTATACGATGCTTGTATGTGGATCGTCATAAGACGTACTGCATTCTTTTCTTCCTTTTTTATTAAAAATAGCAAATAGACACTCGACTCGCCGACCGGACCAGCCGCACGGCGACAACAACTACTCCCAGTGGTCCCCAACCTGACGTCGTCGCAGGAGAAAAGAAACAACGGAAACCATCAAACGAGCCTGCTGCATCCATAACGGACATCCTCACCGCTACCCGTGCGGACCTCTCTGAGGCACAGCGTTCTCGCTCTGAGCTGCAGGGCCGGCTGGATCGAGTCACTGCGGACCTGGGGAAGCTTCAGAAGCGGAGCGCGCAGGACCAACGCCGCATCAGCGCCCTGGAAAGTGAGAGAACCAACCTGCGTCTTCGTTTGAGGGATAGGGATGAGGAATTGAGGGGAAAGGCTAAATTGCTAGATGTATGGACTGACTACCGTCATGTTTTTCGAAAAGTTGTGATTGTGAACGTGCTTACTGATTTTCCGCTCCTGTTTTGCCGGTCTAGGATTTCCAGGATGAACTTGCAACGCTGAATCTCCAGCTAAATATGGCCGAGGACAGGACCAGTCGGTTACAGCAGGAAAACAAGGAACTGGTTGATCGATGGATGGCTAGAGTAGGCAAGGAGGCAGAGGCCATGAATGATGCTTCCAAATTCTCATAATGATCATTCTGTATGCTAGAATAAATACCGCTTTCTTTGTGACGTCGTCTCTATACTGCAGCTGCACACACGTTGTCCATGATATGTGCTGTGACCCAATATAATAAATAATACACCAAAATGAAGATACAAACCGAGGATGATTCCCAGAAACCAGAATTTGCAATGGAAATGAAACCCATGCAATCTGATAGCAATGGCTATATCCAATGGACACAGAGACCAGCCCGATCAAGTGTGGTCTATGCAAAATGCAAAAATGGTGGTATCACAATGATAACAAAGAAAAAGAAAATAATCCAAAAAAGAGTATAAACAGTCCAATGAACATGGCCATATACATACCGCAAGGTATCATCCGTTGTCCAGTAAATCAGGTCTGTAGGGTCGGGTCCATTTGCTCTGCGTAGGACACAGACTGCCTTCACTCCATATTTTCCACGAATGCCTTCAACTTCGAGCTATCCTTGGTGGCAATAAAATATGTACCACCAACATCAGTCCAGCTGACGCTATTGGACCAATAGTTCTTCTGCTTCACAGTGAGTAAGTTGATGGGGGAATTGAGATTCCGGGACTGGATTTTGTGACCAGCAGGGACAAACGACTTGAGCGAGACAATCTGACAGCCTTCCTTCATATCCAAAAAGTGATTGATCAACTCGTTGTTCAGCTGCGGCGTGAACGCCTGGTTGTTAATCAAGACGACGTCCGCCCGTTTCAAGACTCGGATGATGCTTTCTTCCGTGAGGAAGTCGCCCCGAATAAGATGCGTCTTTCCTGGTTGAATGCCCCAGAGTCTACATCGTGTCTCAAACTCGGCCTGTTGAAGTTGCGCAAGTTCACTTGCATTTTGCATCACTTCGCACCCCCAACTCTCGCACCCAATTTCCAGTGCGGCCTGTAGAACCACGTTGCCCACCCCGGAGCCCAGGTCGACAAAGACTTGACCCGACCTCAGTCCAGTCTCCTTAAAGATCGTGCTGATAAACCGTGGGAGAAGTTCGCCATACACGTTGTCCGTCCCATTCTCATACTGTCGAAGGGCATCGACGCGAGGAGAAACGGTCCGTGAGTAGGTCTGGTTTAGAATCCGCTCAACAAGAGACAGAGGCAGTCGTTTGGTAGCATCAAGCCGTTTTGAAATGCCCCCATTCACCCTTATACGTTCAATCGCGCGATTATAGTCCGCCACAACCTGCCGGAACTGCGTCTCAGACACATGGGCCAGCGCACGTCGTAACCTCCGGTTTATCCCAGTGGATTCATTCGAGAATTCATCCGCATCTTCCTCAGGGATATGATTCTGCGAAACGGTCTCTATTACTTGGACGATTTCGTCAATGGGTTTAAAGTCATCGTCATCTCGCGGAAGGACTAAGTTGTACCTAAAAAAGGAGGGGAATTGTCAGCTGTTACTTGGAAAAGGAGATTGCATACTCATTGCTTAGATTCATACCTTTCCTTCCGTGAAGCGCTGGGATATTGTAGGAAAATTTCTGCCGACTTGTCTGTCTGCCCGAAGGCGCGTCGGTATTTCCCCGTCTGCTTCAGAGATGCGATTTCAGCAGCATGGACCCTTGGGAGAGACTCTGGAACCCCTTCGGAAAAGGCCTCGAGTGAGCGCACACGTCGTTCGGGATCTATTTCCGTACTATCACTTATTCTAGCCCGCTTGCGCACGTCGAAGGAGGTATCCGTATCGTTAGCGTCGTCATCGTCGTCGCTTGAGAGTCGCTGCTCGGGAGTATGTCTTTTGCGGTTACGAGACGGCGTGTCGGACCGGCCCTTCGAAAAGCGAGCTTCTGCGCCGGTGGAGACCGACCGATTCTTCTGGGCAGGTATTTTTCTTCCGTTTTCAGAGAGCGGAGAATTTCGCGAAGGCGTGCGGGTTGGGACATGTAAAGATGACGAACGTGACGGAGCTGCTCTCGCCTGTACAACCTTGCGAATCTGAGGCTTCTGAGCCTGCAGTGAGAATGAGCCACCTTTCTGGAGGTGGTCAAAAAATCCCATGGAGAAGGAGGAGGTCTGAACGTCTAGAGAGAGGGTTGAGGGCGAGGGAAAGTTGGGAGTGACGAACAGAGGATTTCTTATGCCGGTGGTGTACACATGAGTCACAGGAGGGGAATTTTGTGTTCCCTGAAGAATATATTAACAATAAAAATGGTAATTATAGCGACAGAACAACTGTTTTCAAACAGCAGTGAGCGGGTGAGCGGGAAAAGGTTGAAGCAGAAGAAATAACGTTGACGAAAGATGACTCGACTCGGGCGGTTCAGCCTTGAAACGCCACACCCACCGAGTCAGCCCAGAACCCCGCGGGAAAAGGGGCGGCTCCATGGCGCTGGAAACGCTCAAGTCCATGTTGATGTTTCTTTTCTTGGCTGTCTCGATGGATTTAATGTCTGGTTATTAGCTTTTCCCTGGATGCTTGTCAAAACGCTATTCTGCCTGAGCACGTGATCTGAGAGTGTCTGAGGGAGAAGATCCAGCAGCTTCATTGCAATCGAATTGCAGGATTAATTAACTAGCTGAACATGCTTAACATCCATTGCTGGGAGATCTCTTCGAGTGCGCTTTCTCGATGGTCTGGGTTTGTCTTTGCAGCACAAGCAGTTGCACGGCTGCCCAGGACATCTCTCTCAGCCATATAACGCTTCCTGAGGAAAAGCATTCGAGTCGCAGTCCAACTAGCAGCTGCACTTCGGAATAATAAACTCGCAGACATATTAATATGATAGCATACTGCGCTTAGCCTGTTCTGGGAACCGAGGCCTTTTGCGCGCCTCGCCGGTTTCCTCCGCACTGACTGCACTTGTTAACTTCTTCAACTGATCAGTACTGACAGATCTATACCCCCTTCTGCTCCCATGCCAGATCCGCCACCTTACTACCTGTTGCGTCCCGATGGAACACCCCTGAGTGACCCTGTTATTGGCAAGGGTAGCTCTGGGGTGGTAGTGCAACGAGACGGGACTGCAGTCAAACTGCCGCTTAGATACTGTATCCTCGAGGGCGGCGAAACAGAGAGAGAAGCCCTAGAGCATAGTTCCTACAAGTCACAGGAGTCTATTAAACAAGAGAAAAATGTGTTCGAACGGCTGGGACAATGCGACGGCGTGGTCCAATATCTCGACATTTCTGGTCCCGGAATCCAAATGAAGTTGATGGAGAATGGCAGCCTTCCCAATTACCTACGGAGAAACACACCAACTACTTCGCTTTTGCTATCTTGGGCCAGAGAAATGCTTCGTGGACTGATCCTCATCCATGAGCGCCGTGTCATTGTGGCGGACATTACGGCTCGAAACTTCCTCCTAACCGGTGATCTTTCAGTCAAGTTCACGGGCTTTTCTGAATCGGCTATTTTGCCTCTCGACACTGATATGAATACTGCTGTTGCCGGCAATGGGTATTCTATTCGTACAGATATCGGTCTGCTTGGTGCTGTTATATATGAGGTGATAACTGGCAGACGCTCTCGTTTTGACCTCTTTAAATACCAGACTTCTGAGCCTGCCACTGTTGCTCTTCCCCCAAGGGAACGGCTCCCTAGCACGAAAAATATTTTGCTTGGTGAATTCATTGATAAATGCTGGACCAATGGTTCTTTTGAAGACGAATTTGCTCTCTTATCGTCACTGGACTCAGCCATCCTGAGACATTCATTGGAGGCGGACAAAGACATTTACTCGCGCCTAGGATCTCACAGAACTGTAGCAGCCAGCGCGGTGTTGCCATGCTTATCCCTTGATACAGTTATTCTGCAGCAAAAGAAACCTGACTGGGCCCAGCGATTAACTTGGATCAGAGAGGCGGCGAACGCAGTCGCCTATGCGCACTCAAAGAACGTCATCCTTGCCAATGTTTCTGCATCAAACTTTGCTGTTGATAGCAATGGATCGCTGAGATTGTACAACTTTAGCGATGCCCGCACTGTATCCGAGAATGGAAATTTGCACAAGTATGACGAGAACGGAATTTCAGTCAAGAATGATGTGGTCTGCTACGGATCGTTGGTATATTATATCGTCACAGAACGACGGCCTGAATTTTCTATAAGCAAACGGGGCGATCTTTTTGGACCAGCAATGAAGAAGCGGCTGCAGCAAGATCTGTTATTTTCTAGTTGGCTCCAGGACAGTACGACCCCTCCTGAAGCAGACCAAGTTATCTGTGATGTGATTTGGAACTGTTGGACAAGGGGCAAGTACAGGGCTATGGACAGCGTATGTCGTGCTATGTCTCGCTTCGACAGGCTGCATCTGATTATGGATTCTATCAGCGTGAGGGTTTCTTTGTTTCGAAGAGAGCTTTGCCAACATCCGCTGACGATTTATGATATTTAGGTTCGGTTGCCATGTCTAATACGCCAGTATCCCTTAGTTTTTGCCTTTGCAATTTTCGGTTCTCTTGCGTTTGCTACAACCTGGCTACGACCAGACTCCCCGAGACGTATGCTGTGTAGGATACCCCTTTCTGATCTGACGAGTTCATTGAGGCGTGGCTGGTTTTGACATATTTGTTACTGAGGATCAAGCAGCCTCTCAAATAACTGTTCGTGTACTGCGACTTGACCATCCCTAATACATTATCAGAGACTGGTTTTTGCTAGTCGATCCCTCCCTCAATCCAATCCAGGACATTGTCAATATCTAGGGTAATTAGTAGTAAGGTTCAAGGATACCTGGTAGACTTGCAGTTCGGCTTTTATTTGTCCTGATGTTAACTTCTATTGCTCCCATATTGGCTTGAATATAGACAACTTTCTTTTGATCACTGTCTCTTGGATAGATCCTTTTTGCTTGGGTATCAATTCATCCAAAATCACACATTACCTATCCAAGTATTCCACCATTCCTGTATACGGAAAACAATAGCCTCCGCTTCCTCCTTATTTCTGCTTCTTCTTGGCAAGCCTCTTCTGAGCCCGGATATCCTTCTTCATTCGCGCATCCACAATCTTGTACTTGCCCTTCACGCCACGTGGACGACCTGAGATACCCTTATTGTTTCCTTTGGCGACAACCAACTTCACCTGTTGCTTTGGCTTCTTCTTGGTTGCTTTGCTCATCATCTGGGCAATAGCTTGCGACTTGTCCCTCTCACTCATTCCTTCATCTTCCAGGAGCAGTGCAGACTTCTTGCGGAGCCGTTCCAGTTTCTGTGCTGCCTTCATCTTCTTGCGACCCTTGGCTTCCATGACCTTCTTGATCGGTCGTGCGTTGATCGATCGCATCTTTTCCCTGATAGCAGCTGCCGCCGCCTTGGTGATGGGCCGGTTGGGTCTGCTGTGCTTGGTTTCATCGTCTAAGAACCACTCTGGAAGACCGTCTGTGTCTCGGAAGGAATATCGGTTATATCCCTCATCCACGATATCCTGAGATTTCTTCTCGCCAGTAGCTAGCTGTTGAGCTAGTGCCATAGCCTCTGCAGTAATGATATCGATGTCTGCATCAAGAGCTGTTAGTACTGATTCAAACATATAAACCCGCCATTATGATTATTTTCAAAAAAAAAAAAAAAAAAAAAAAAAAAAAGGTCAAAGGCCAGAAACTCACCTAGCTGGCCGTTCTTCTTTCGGGGATCGTCCGGTTCCTCATGCTCATCTTCGGGCGAGTTCTCAAGTCGGACACTCTTGGTGTTCTCGTTGAAATCCTCCGTACTCTTCTTTTCAGAAACTTCTGAAATGTCATTCTCACTTTCTTCCTCGATGGCGCTGTCATCGTCATCGTCATCCTCGCCTTCATCCAAGTCCCCAAGATCCTGGAAGATATCTTGGTCAAAGAACACTGCGGCCTTATTTGAGAGATCAGCAGATTTCGGTGCCTTGTCTGTACTTAGAACCATTGAAGAATCGCCGCTCTCCTCATCGGAGCTTTCCTCTTCCTCCTCGCCGGAATTAGAAAAGCCCTCCCATTCTTCCGTCTCATAATCTTTCCTAGCTTTCTTCGCCCGCAGCTTCGTATCCCGTTCTTCTTTCCGGCTTTGGTACTGCTCGTACATCATGTCAAGCTCTCTTTCCAGTCGGTCTCCTTCATCATCGGTTTCCTCCAATTCAGACTCGGACTCTTCCTCACTGTCACTTTCAATCGCGGCCACTTTGCCAGCAGCAATCGCATCTCTAGCTTTCTGTCTTTCAACCGGCTTGATTGAAAATGGGGTGTCCTCTCCTATTCCTACTTGTTCCATTCCTATGTCCATGGGTGTCGTCATATGCATCTGCATCCGGATGATGTCCTTGCGCTTTCTCTCATTTTCCTTTCGTCTCTCCTTCTTGTTCTTCGTGCTTTCTTTTTCGCGAAGCCGGTGCAACTCTTCCTGAATGGCCAATTCTTCGTCCATCGGCGTGATTTCGGCAACTTCCTCGGTTTCCTCTTTGTTTTTATTTTGTCCTTTTCTCACGATAAGGCCGAACTTTTCACGAACCTTAAGTCGCCATCTGAGAAGGTGTCGAAATTCTTTCTTTCCCAGCACCTTCAGATCTTCACAGCAAGCGCGGATCTCGTCTGTAGTCTCCTCCAGTCTATCCAGAGTGGCTAGAGCAATATCACCCCCTGGTGACTGTTGAAAGCTGAGTTTGTTATATGTTCCAAGAATCGCAATGGGATCCGTAGTGTTGATAAACTCTGTCACTGGTATCTCCTTGAACTGGGTGTAGTCTCCCTCCTCGTATCCTTCCCTCTTCCGCTTTTTCTTCTCTGGGTTGAACACCTTGGCTTCATTATTAGGGGTAGTATCAGCTAATTCAGCAAAAACATGTTTGGAGTCAAGGAATTTCGGATCGATGCGCTTGGGGGCCTTGTACCCGCGGCAGACGACGAAGATTTCGGCGGAGACATTTCGAGACGAAGGAGGCTTGGTCGCTTCAACGGATGTGAAGAGTTGTTTGAAAACCCACAAGAGAGAATTGTAATCCTTTGACCGAAAGACTTTGGTGACAAATGTACCGCCTGCAATCAAAAACTCCGTTGCCAACTTCAATGATTGTAGCACTAGTTCTGCTTGAGAGAAAGCATCCTGAATCCACGCTGTACCAACATTTGGGGCACCATCATGAAGCACCGTGTCTGCCTTCCAATGTTTTAGATGTTGTCTGATGATGGAGCGGCATTTATCCGTGGTAATATCACTCTGGAAAGTTATTACTCGGGGAATTGGCTTGATCGGCGCTAAATCAACACCAAGAATGATACTCTGCGCGGGCATACATTCTGCAGCTACTTGACACCATGACTGTGCCACAGAGAGTGTTAGAATGAGGTGGTCTGGGAAATGGGGATTGAGGAAAGCCACATACACCCGGGGCTGCACAAAGATCCAGAAGCACCTTGCTCTTTTCCAAGAAGCCATACTTCTTGTTCAGCTGAATCAATTTAAAGGCAGCTCGCGCTCTGTAGCCCTTTTCCTTCGCAAGACGATACCATTTGTCGAGACGGCCTTTGCCGTGCTGCTGGTCGTTAGCACAGGAAGAACTGCAGCACAAATTGGAGTCGAATGTTTGCAGACCTTTTTCTGAATCGCCATTCTCCAGTCAAAGAATAGTCGAACTTACTCGACCGAACCAACGACAGAGGATGGTTTGTGAGACTGTTCCTACCGTGTGCAAAGGAAAGATGTAACTGAATTTCTTATCGATACTTTTTTTTCACATTGTGGCGGTGCAAAGACACCAGCCCCTATTATGCCTTAGGCACCAAAGGCGGTGAGAGACGAATACGAGCACATGATATCAGATGCGTTGTTCCCACGACTCCCAAGAGTAGTTTACGAGCGACAAAGAAAGGCTGGAGGTGGGTTTAGTCCATCGTTTCCATTATATGAAGTTCCCATTCTGGGGATGTCCTTTTCTCAATTCCCATGGCGCCGGGATCTCGAAAGAGGTTAAAGCTTAGCCCGTCAGGCGCGGACTCGCAATCCACACCGACGTCGAACGATAAGCAGGACTCAACCACGGACGCAGTCAAAGAACGCTCCACCTTGCGGAAGCGAGGAAGTGGACTAGTAAGTCGTCGAGTCTCTCGAGGATGATGGAACGATCGATTTGCAGCTAATATGTGGTTGTCTACATCTTAGAACCTGTATCTCGGCTCGTTGTCATCGGTATCCCTAGTCTCGTCCAAAGCGGCTCCTGTTACCGAGGTTGCCTGCGAGAGCGTAGCGTCGAGTAATACCATATCCTCCTCTTCGATCTCCCGCCACGATTTGCCAAAGCAGCACCGCAGTTCTTCAATCCAGTTGACACGGAAAGCAGGCGCGTCGAGCAGATCTCTTCCTGCTGACGCGACTACGACTAGACTAAACGTGGCTTCGGACGGTTCCGCATCTACACCAATTGTCGACAGTCCCCAAGGAGCTGCCACCCCAACCTCGCAATCAAGTAACAAGGAAAAGTCGGAAGAGAATATTACAGGCGCTGCAGGCGAAACTGTTAGGGAGGGTGAACAAAGTGCAGAAGTAGCGGCACCGCCTAGCGCTCCGAACACGGCCGGTGGAGGTGAAGGTTCCGGCAATATCGCAGCTCCAGAAAATCAGACTGCCGGATGGTTCTCGTGGTTTTATAGTTATATACCCTCTGTCTCAGGGACAAGCGATTCGACCGGCACAGATCCGCCAGAGGTTGAGGCTGAACCCCCCACTGACGAGCAGACTTCGGGCGAGGCCGACACTCAGCCAGTCGATAGACTTCCGGAAGAACAAAGTGAGGTGAACGAAGATATAGAACAAACCCCACAGCCGCAGAAGCTATCCTGGTTCCAGATGTGGAGAGGAGGGGGATCATCTTCGCCTTCCAAGGCAGCCGAAGAACCAAAAAACGAAGAACCAAAAAAGGAAGAACCTGCTGCTACGGACGCATGCCCTCAAGTTGCCGATACTGAATGCCCGTCAGATCGTCCAGCTGGCGAACTAGGACAAGCAGGCATCACTGCCGAACCCCCTTCCAGAAATGTTAAGTCCTCTGGTTGGTCATTCTGGTCTAGAGATACGTCAAAGGACTTGACAAATGGGAAATTGGAAGATGTGAAGACCGTCGAAGCTTCTATTGCACAAGATCCATCAAAGCCGTTGAATCAAGATCCGGATGCCAACCGACAGGTCGAGATCACGCAGAAGGGAAGTGTCAAAGCAAAGAAACAAAAATATAGCGTCGAAGCAGCAGCGGCAGAAGGCCTTTCAGGCCCTCCACTTACAGCTCCCAAGGCTACTGAGCCTACTGCGTCGAAACAATTACAGAAGGTCTTACCGAACCAGGTACTACCACGCTTTAGAGATACGTTCGCTTTGCAAGGGGCACCATCTTTATTGCAAACAATTGGACGTTTCTTACATTATACTAAAGAGCCGGAGCGTAAACATGTTAACGTGGTTAAGGATCCACACCATATCAAGAAAGCTCTGGCTATTGGAGTACATGGGTACTTCCCTGCCCCCTTCATCCGGAGTGTCCTTGGTCAGCCAACAGGGACTTCAGTGAAATTTTGCACCATGGCCGCGAGTGCCATAAAGAAATATGCGGAAAGCCGTGGCTACGAGTGCGAGGTCGAGAAGATTGCTTTAGAAGGAGAAGGTCGTATCGCTGAACGTGTGGATCTATTATGGAAATTACTGCTCAATTGGATGGAGGAAATAAGAAAGGCAGACTTCGTTTTATTCGCATGTCACAGCCAAGGGGTTCCGGTGACGATAATGCTAGTTGCAAAATTGATAGCCTTCGGCTGTCTAGATACAGCTAAGGTGGGGGTATGTGCAATGGCTGGTGTTAATCTTGGGCCTTTCCCCGATTACAAGTCTCGTTGGATTAGTGGTTCTGCTGGAGAGCTCTTCGAATTTGCTCTGCCGCACAGTCGGGTTTCAAGAGACTATGAGGATGCACTGAGACGTGCACTGGATTTTGGAGTTCGGATCTCCTACATCGGGAGTATCGATGACCAGTTGGTCTCTCTAGAGGTAACGTCTTACCCATTTTCACTCCTTGACCAATTTCGTAGCATTGCTTCTAATCATACTGTATCTGCCAGTCATCTCTATTTTCTCCCATATCCCATCCGTATATCTACAGGGCCGTTTTCGTAGATGGGAGAGTTCATGCCCCAAGCTTGTGAGTTTATTCCATTCCTAGGACACCGAGAATTGAGCCGTGAGTTAATAACGCCTCGTTATGACAGCCTCTCACATCTGGTCGGCTTCGCTCTGAAACTGCGAAATCTTGGTGTTCCAGATCACGGCCTCATTAAGGAGCTTAGCTCTCCACTTGCAGGCAGCCTTTATACCGGAGAGGGACATTCACGGCTCTATGATGATGAGTCTGTGTATCAGTATGCTCTTCAGCCTCCCCTGTCATTCCCTTAACATCACCCAATATATATGTCTTCATCGGTCAGACTCTAATCTGCACTCATTCCAGCCTCGCCATTGAATTCGCCCTGGAAACATCAAACGTCGGCGGTGCCACTTTGGAAATCAAACGACCCACTCAACCATACACACCAAACCCATACATACTCCCATTCGCCATGAGAGGTCTCCTGGAAGAAGAATATGTCCGACGTGAACTCCACCAGGAAATGATAGAATTACTTAGACAATTCGATGACTGGAAGCCAGCTAGCAAGGTACTGAAGGACGTCAAGTTTCGCTTAGAAGGTATACGGTCGAAACTTTAATCATTAGAGACGCTATACTCAGCTTTTATGATTTCGATGTCCTGTGCCCTTCTTCGCTCACCTAAGGTTATCATACCATTGTCGTTTGCTATTATTGGAGTACAAAGAGCTGGGCGTTAGGTTAGGGATGAGCGGTGTCCTCTTGTACATACCTATTGATTATTATATTAAGTCTTGCTTCTTGATTCAACTCGAAAGGCAATGGGAAGAACCGAAACCCTTGCGTTTTTTTTTTCTTCTTTCTATCCCACAGAATAGACAACCAAATGGTCATACAGACCAATGTAGTGATGCACGAATCATAGTAACCCCGAATAATGATAAAAAATGGTGAGGAGAGAGATGAGATATGAAGAGCGGAGACACGGAAGAAAGAAACATAACCCATAACCACGATGTCACATAGCGATGGAAAATGACGAAAAGAGAGCACCAACTCCAAATTCAACCCCAAAAGCCTCCTTGGCTTTTATCATCTTCGCTCATCCCAATACCCCCTAATGAAGGGGTTTAAATAGTCCACTGAACCCCGAAAAAAGAACCCAACGTATAGCCCCAAAAGTCCAAAGATAACCAATCACATATCATCCCATTTTCCTAATTTCGCCTGACTCGAAAAGAAATTCATTAAAAGCTCTATTCCTTGTCCAACCCTTCCCATTCCCAAGTGAGGTGGTAGTTTCTGGTGTTGATGATAACGAAAGTGCAGTGTGTCGAGTCTTGAACACGCCTGGTGGCGGGTTGGGGTGTTTGCCGAAAAAGAGAAAAGGAAAGAAAAGAAAAGGCTAAGAAAATAATGTGCAGCATAAATTTAAGTATAATTTCCTTTGTAGAGACTTGATTTTATGCAGTGTACCCATATTCGAAGGTAGAGATTTCAGGCCTCAAAAAAGGCTGTCTGATATGCACCTTCGACTTCGTCTGTGGTTGTCAAAGTATTAGCACCAAAGAAAGACAAATTGAAAGAATTATCACGTAAGGTTAAGCAGAGCTTACCTCTCATTCCGTCCAAGGCTTCAAAAGCCATCGAGTAATTCGATAAAGCAGCAATAAGGCGTTCTAATCCACCTCGAAGTTCCTCGACAAGCTGGTCTCCTGGCCCATTGCCGCTCTCTGGAGAAAGCTGCTTCGCGACGCGTGCTTTGTAGAAGAGCATCAGCAGAGCATAACTACTTTGCATAAGACAGCAAGCGAAAGATGGCATTGTTCGCGGTAGCTCGAAGCGCGGCTGCAGTCCCAGTTGTACGGATCGGGTTCTGTCATTATCTGTTGGAATTCCATAGAGAGGTTTCGGCTTCGGCAGACATTCAAACAGACGTGAAGTGCTAAGACCGGCTCGAAGACAGACTTTCGTCGAGTATTCATTGCTGTATGGAAATCTGTTTGTCATGGAGTATTGCGGCATAGAGCGATAATCAGGAGGCGTAGAGGAAGGAGATGATGATGCGGCGTAGTCCCCAGGCGAGGTCCTCAGAGAATCGAGATCGCTACATAAGCATGACTGGTTGTCCACTCCGCTTTGGGATCTCGAGGGTTGTGTTGATCCGGTTAGGCCCTCGGTAGTAGCTCCTGCCGTCGTCAGATCGCAATGCTTTTTGATAAAGATCGGTATATCAGAGAATGCCCGAAAACGATGGGTCTTGATTTTTGCGCTAAACAATTTGATCTTGGTTATCATGCGTATGGAATTTGCTGTTTCAGACTCGGCCTGGTCGCTATGATCCGCGGTCTGCGCGAACACTGGGAGCAGCTCTGACTGTTCCAGCACCGAGCTAGCCCATACATCGAGTTGCTGCATTCGTTCGTATATGTATGGCATATTTGACCTCGACTTAACACACTTCTTTAGTTCGACGATGAACTGGGACGCCGATACCAGCACTTTCTGTGACTGCATTAAGAGTGGCCAGCCCTGCAGAATAAGTCTGGTGTTAGTTAATTCCTGTCTTGCCATGAATCTTGAGATTCGAGCTTACTTCAGGGTCAGCCGAAAATCGGGGTAGTGGAGTGGTGAACTGAGGATCATTTGGAACAACGGCAGGTGGCTTAATGTAGAGGGTCAGTAGTGTATTGCACCATAGAATGAGGAGAAAGTCGAACTCACGGATGTGCTAACGATAGATCCTTGCAGGACAGAGTAGTACTATACGGGAAAGTTAGACAGCCGCTTCCGCAGCAGGAAAAAGGGCGCCGTACCGTCATCCACCAAGCTCTCCTTCTAGCTTCGGCAAACTCAGAGTGATCCTCTCCTAATGAATGAAGAGACATATCTAACGCTATTGCTAGCGCCTGGCTGGCACGGGACTTCATTTTGAGTATGTTCCCTCTTTGTGCGTATTCGTAGACAGACAGAATGAGTAATGCTAATATACTCTCTAGCTCAACTGGAGTCCGAGGATGCAAGGGCTCTCGATCAGGAAGTGGCCGTTCACCCGACAAAGCCTTTGATGGATCCGTGGAAGAAGCAAGAAGTTCGCCATCGGCTTCAATGCTAGAAGTCGCAAGTTGCGCAAATTGGTTCGCATAAGCCCTGCGCCGGAGCACGGAGCTTGCAGAAGATGGCTCCGCATCACTTGGATGAGGTATTAAGGCCAAGATGGCGGATATAGCGAGACTTAAAGGAGACACAGGCCGATACATCAAAACGGGCCCTTCAGAGGAAGACTGAGAAGAAGATTCGGGTATACTCAACGGCTGATCAACACAGCGCGGAGCTACCCGGGGAGGGAGAACAGGGAGATAAGCATGAATAAACTCATAATAAGCATTCAATCTGCATATCACGTCAGATGGAGACCAACTAAGCTCTAGTCGAAAGGGGTGGAAGCAAAAACCCACATTCCAGATTCGCTGCCATACGTCCTTACTGAGCACTGTCCTGGAATAGCTGGAGGAGATGGTGTTGGCTCCATTTGAAGCTGAGACCGGTTCCCATCGCCAATGGAAAATATGTCAGAAAACATGGATTGGACATCCGATGGAAAGTCCAGTTGCCTCAGTCCGGCTCCTGGCATAGAAAGCATATCTATCTGATCGAAAATGATCGGTGCTGCATGTATATGAAGTTAGGGGAAATCGATCTTCCAAAGAGTCAAAAAGCATAGCTTGTGCCGAGTCTGCGTACACTCATCAAAGCTAGACATTGAAGTGACAGCCGTAACTGGAGAGCCATTTCGCTGCAGATTCGCACCTGGTACGATGGCCGTCTTGCTCTTTTTCTTCCTGGGACCTCCACGCTTGCTAGGCAAGTAAGAGCATTCCCGGCCTTTGTTGATACACTTTTCAGCAAAGACAGTTATTTTTTAGTATAGTCACACCTACATGTATAGTTGCCAGCAAAATCAAAGGAAGAGAGACATACATTACGGCATGGTTCTTTTCCATCACAACGAGTCCGCGAAGCGCGGCTAATCAGAGAACTAGGAGTCAGCAAAAGCCGGGGTCGAAAAAATGGAGTAGAACGCTTCTCGGCAGCTTACCAAGCTAAGCATGCTACCTTAACAGGTGGCTTTGCAAACCTCTTTCGAATAACAGCAGGTTTTGATGCCGTCGACTGCATAACAGGTTCATCCAACTGCCGCGGGAGAGGCGGCTGGGGGTTTTCTTGAACCATTGCAGTTCACGGAGAGGTCTTGTAAATGAAGCGTGGCAGATTTGATCACCTCGATGTAAGCTGCGAGCATGACTTTATGCTCAGGATAGTCATTGATAGCATTAGAGACTATGCCGACGGTTTGATATGCATCCTTCCTGAGGAACGGCAAACTGTGGCGCAACACTGCTGACTCATCTATTCTTCTGGGCTGAGCAAATCCCGGCTTCGGGGTTTCGGTTTCTGCAACTGGAAGCGTAGGTTTCCTCAAGGGAGTTGTACTTTATAGATGGATAGATTGAACTGGAGAATTTTACTTGACGCTGTGGAAGATTTCGAGTCTCATGTTGTCCATCACGTGATTCTTCGACTGCTATCTATTTCTACAAGGCAGCGTGGAAGTCTCTCTATTTGGACCTGTCCACAACCCCTGTATACAACACCAATACATGTTCTGTTCACTTCAGGGGGACCTTGATGCCCGGGCTGTGCCTTACACTGTCCCAAACGCTCTGCGGGACCCTAGCGGGTAGTTTGCGTCCCTTCAGTTGCTGGTCTATTAACCACATCCCAACAACAAACTCTTCCCTTCTCAGTAAGCCGATGCCTTGTCCGTCTACCAGATCCCAGATCTTTTCCAATATTTCTCGAGGCAAGCCGCTACGGCTCCAAATATCTCGGACCACGAGGTTAAGAACCATCTCGGATGGATCAGGAGGGTATTTTGATGAACCATTCTCCTCCACAGAACCTTGCTCAGCGGCTAGCTCATTGAGCTCGTCTATGGGGATAAGCAGGCCTTTGTTCGCAGCCCAGACGCCTTCGTATCTTCTTCGTTCTTGTTCGGTAACCTCACTCCTCCACCTTTTGCGGTCACCCTCATGATGCTTGTGCGGATGCTTGTGGATAATATGCATTTTGTGTCCATGATCGCCCTCTGATTTCTCCTGTTTGTGGGCCTCTGGTGGTTCACGATTACGGAGAGTTAGTGGCATACCTCTACGAGGACTGGGTGGCCTGGGGTGCTCTCGATGTGACGTATGAAACGGGCCAAGTAATGACCGGACTTTTCTTCGACGATGTGGTGGGACTGGAGGTGGTGTTGTCCCCCTTCTTGGTTTGATATTCTTAGAAGCAAGTGATGAGGCGATAATTGCGTCGGCAAGCTCGTTCTCATTTATACGCACGTTTCTGTCGACAGTGCCTACGCTGCTGGTGCGCGAACGCCCCGACGTCGACATAAGACTTGGTGTCCACGAACGGTTCGAAGACCGGTCCTCCTCCATAGAAGGCCTGGTGTATCTTGAGGTTCCAGAAGAAGAGCGGAAGTCAGATGGTGGGGGTTGTAGCGATTGGTCCCATTCCAAGCGGCTTGATGGAGGCTTCCGTTCGTTTGGTAAGCTAGCCAGCTGGGAGGAACCGGTTGACGGAGTGTAATTCGAAAGACCTCTGTAATTTCCGCCATATGTATCTCCCCGACTGACGTTGCTTCGAAGTTTCATGGGTTTAGTCCCGACAGGCGGACCTTTGTGACTTCCCGTTGGTCTAGGAGCCCTCCGTGCACCCGGCTCGACTGCATCAGGAGAATGTGTCATATTCTGTGTAGGAGACTTGAGACTGTCGGACATGTCCTTTTGTGATATCCTATCTTCCTCTTGCAAGAATTTCCAGGTGGAATTGTTCCGCGCAGTGATGTCGCGGGTGAGCTTGGGAGCTGCCAAGTCAGGGTTCTGTGTAGCAATGCTGGACTGCGGTGGCATCGTCATGTTTGATGTTCACAATGTCATGCTATTTTCCCTCCTCTCACTTCCCCAGGGAGACTTAGTCACCTGCCAAGGGGGGATGCGAAATCCATTCATGCTCGGGGATAGCGGCGTGAGCATTGGATGCTATTTATGGCGGGGTGTAGGAATTAATAATGCCGGTCTCAGGGGGAAGACGGGGCAATCTGGCGGGAGGAGCTTTGATGGCTTAAAATAGAGCACCACAGAGAGGAACAGCGATCAACACAGGCCATTACATGTCTGATGAAGGATAGAATATGATGATAATTCCTACGATACTGCTGCATCAGGAAGAGTGCAAGCTTCAGCCGGAACGGGTGGATAATTCTCCCGCCGGTCCAGAACGGAACAGATACGTCATGTACCTTTCACGGCTTCAACTTCCTGTCTAATAGTAGTAGTATACAGTGCACACCGTATCATCCTGCCAGCAGCGACAGCAGACCCAATCCTGCAGACACTGTTTCTAACGCTCCTGCTGCTGGTGGCTCCTCTTTCTTCGGAGGAAGAGAGCATCGTACAAGTCTGGCCAGCTGTGCGGCCAGCAAATGCTCCCGGAACTGCATGTCCAGCCCTCCCACCATATGGATAGAAGATAATGCTCCATTCTCCCGTCCTTTCTCTCCCCAGCACAGTCGGGGCCCTGCCGTCTCGTCTTCCATCTTCCCGGTTTTGCTTCCACTCTTCGGCCACACCCTCTTGGTCTCGTAGAGAGTCTCCCATGCGAAAGATCGAAACACACCACCATCTGCTCTCTTGCCGTCAGCCCGACCGCTCTTCCACACAAAATTGCGTCCACCATACTGGAATCGGCGCGGCGACCAGTCTTTCCGGCGAGCCTCGCCGTCAGGGATCTCGACAATGGTGCCTATATCCGGTATGGTGCTCGTCACCAGTCGGAAGCTCCCCCCTCGTGTCTTGCGAAGCCTCACGGTCACGGCGCCTACCTGAGGGAGAAACTCGCCCGCGCGACGCAGGATTGCTTCCACAATCGGGGCCTCGTCGCTCCATACTGCCTGAAGAGCATAAAGCACGTGCGTGTTGGTGGAATCCTTAACAAAGATCCAGTGTGAGCGTTTACCGAGAGCCACCAGCTCAGAAGAGTTCGAGATGCGGTATGTTACAGGCTCCGCTGTGGAGGGCAGGGTCGGTGTGAAAAACGGAATCTGGGAAGAGTCCGCAACATTGACAAATGGTTTTAGGTGGGATGGCACCTCACTATCTTTCTGGTCTGCATCTTTCTGGTGGCTATGCAGGCCTCTGCGGATCTGTAGGATGATGGGATCAGCTATGCAGATAATATCACTTGAGGTCCATCGTACCTGGGATAGCGTCAGCTGACCGTCCCCCTCTTGCTCCTCCAATTCTTCCATGGCATCCAGAATTGTGGGTGGCCGTATGATATTCTCGAAAGTACCCTTCTGTTTGAGCTCCTCGAGATAGGCGAGTCGTTCTCGATGCACTTGCACTTGCCGCTCGAACATCTTGCGGTTTATCTTGGGCATGCTCCCTTTCTTGTACTTCTTTGCTGTCGTGTCCAGGGCTTCAATGGCATCCTTGTAGACTTTGATGGCTTCTTCATAGTTGCCTTCTCGTTCAAGGATAAATGGGCGTGCTGACAGTTTGTAGATTTCCTTGCCAATTTGTCCGGCCATAGCTGAGGCTGAGAAGAATGATGAAGACTACTTGGACGGTCAATGGATCGAAGAGAAACAGCAAAGACACTACGAGTTTGCTGGATTTATATATAGACCGCTCCTCAGAGCCTACTGGGTACTCCGTTCTGTTTCCCACCCTTCTCTTCGCGGAATTCGCCTAATTCCCAGAGTCAGCCTTCATTATCTTGAACTACTCCGCCGGGCGAATCAAATATCTGTGACAAGACCTCGCCAAGCAGAGAAGCGACAATGGATCGAGTGGCTACGGTTGAGGCCCACCGGATCTTAGATTGTCTCCCGACACAGACCAGCCTTGGTGAAGTTTGAACACATTACTCCCCCTATGAGGTGGCCGTTTCCCCTCCTAGATCTATTTATTAATTAACGAAACCCGGCTGGGCAGTCCAAAGCAGACGAAACTTAGATTTGTGGGTGGGCCATGAACAGCTCGCACAGCCCGATGCAAGTAAGTATTACAATGGCGATCCATGGCAAAGTATTGGTCAAAGTCTGGCTGAGGTCTCAGATCTCAACATTGGGCTTCCTAGGTAGTATCCGTCGGTGCTAGAACATGAAACAAGGTACACACATTTGTCTATACGATGGAAATCGGAATCAAATCACTTCCTCCCCATAGCGCGCTCAATCTCCGTCAAAGCAGCAATGACCTTCTCATCGTAATGCCTCCGTCCAATGATCTGCAAGCTGACCGGCGCATCCTTATATCTTTCCGGCGAGTACATATCATAGACGAACTGATCTTCTGCATTCTTCGGTTCATAGTCCAGATCCTTCTTATCCTTCTCCGGGTCGACCGTTGTGACGGGGAATACGACGCCAGGGTAGTCAAGTAGGTTCCAGTGGGAAGTGTAGCCCCAGTAGCGCGATTGTTCGTGTGGTGTTGCTGCGCCAAATGATGGCGGGCACAAGATAACGTCGACTTCCCTGCCATCGGCCTTGCCGGTGCTGGTCCAGTATTTGGCGTATGCTGCGCGGTAGGCGTCTCTTTCGGCACAGAGCTGTGTGTGGTGTTTTAATTAGTGCCGCGCTCGTGTGCAAAATATATATATAACTTACCTTCCATAACCCGTGCTGATCCAGCTTCTTCACTGACGGCTGTTCATGAATGATGAACTTTGTCAGTGGCAGGATGGGCTCACCAGCTTCCTCGATAAGGCCGAGGACTTCCTCGCCGCCGTCTGGCCAATATAGCGCTGCTGTTATCTCCCATCCTTTGCGATGATCCAGTGGTCCACAATCCCAGTCGACTACCTCCATACCTGCCGCTTTGCACGCCTCGGAGACTTCCTTTAGGGCTCGAATCATGGGGGGATGGGGCATCACAACGCCATCCCACCATTGCACTGCAATCTTCAGCGGCCTCGTGAATTTGTAGGGAGTCCAGTCTTTAGCCGTCAAGGATGGGTCCAGACGCCATGGTTTCGTGGACAAAATGACTTTCATGAAAAGTTCGAGTGTGTCACGGTCCGTAGCCATGGGGCCTAGCGTGGACATGATGGCTTCCTTTCCGACCATGTGGGCTCTTTGACCACCTGATGGAACGCGCTTCAAGGTTGCTCTGGGGTAGGTTAGCATGCATAGTCACATTTATTTCGATTGACATACTTGAATCCATAGATGCCGGTATGCGCGGCCGGACAGCGAATACTTCCACCAATATCACCACCAATACCCTGTACCTCTCAGCGAAAAACCCGAACATGACAAGAAGAAACAATAGTGATATCAATACATACCAGGAGACTCCCACGCATTCCAATCAAAGCCCCTTCGCCCCCACTGCTCCCACCAGGAGTCAAGTCCCGATTATAAGGGTTGACCGTGCGTCCGTAAATATTGCTACTCGTTTCTAGATGCATGATAGTCTGCGGTTGAGTCGTGCGAGCGTAGAAGACACACCCAGCATCCCAGAGGATATCATAGAGCATCGGGGAACCCTGGGGCTTGTCGATCCATGCGACATAGGATGCATTGGCAGTTCCATTTGGCGATTTGCTGCCGTGATGTTCCTTCGTAGAGATAGGTAATCCATGAAGCGGCCCCAGAGGCTCGGGTAAGGAGTCAAGATAACGTGCTCGGGCGATGGCTTCGTCCCAGAGTAACTCTGTGAGGCAATTCGTCTGGAAGGCGTCAGAATAGCAAATTAGTGGTTGATGATATATAGGTTTATATATAAAGGCCTACAGCGAAATGTGCCACAGCAGCGCGTCGAAGGAATGCTCTAGTGACTTCTTCAGCAGAAAGCTCCCTGCCCCTCAACTTAGCCAGTAGCTCTGTAGCTGTGTATTTCTCGGTGATCTCCAGCTCCTTGGGGGTTAGAATGGCGTTTGGCAGTTCCTGTGAGTTGAGCGGCAGAGAGTCTGGTAAACCCTGAAGAGGGGGGTCAACTCGGCCCAGCGAATCATCCCTCTTCGTCCTCGCAATGGATGCCTTGACTTCCCAGGGCTGGATGGTCATTGTTATGGAGCACCTCGAGTTTTTATGTCTTTTTAACAGTAACTTGACTTGTTGAGAATGAGTTCAAGGGAAGGCCCGCGGACATGCACCGGAATTCACCCATTGCCCTTAAATACACTCATCCTCGGCGATGCCGCGGGGCTCACGCTGTAACCGGTCCTATCAGCCAGATAACGGAGGAATCGTTGTCTGGCGAACGATGTAGTATAATAATATCAATGGTATCGTGAGGCTTATCATTGACATGCGGGAATCATCGGGTATTCCGATAATAGAGGGGTATCCTATTCTCAACAAGGGTTCGAAGACAGTGAACGAAGGAGGCATTCACCATGGAGAACCTATTCGAGAATGACAGATGGGAGACAGAAGCCAGTTTTGCCACCTTCTACAACGTCCAGAGCACTGTATTCAACACGGATCAATTCCTCCGATAACAGTAGCTCGACCATATCCGAGTTGCTTGAGAACAAGGTAAAGAGGTCTTCACAATGCCTAAGAACAGGGTCAGACAGGCCTTTTTTTTCTAGGCATCACTACTTAGAACCGTCGAAGCTGAGACGCTGCGCCAACCAACATTGAAAAGTCTAGCAGTTCACTGTCTGGAAGTATTGCGTGGGATAGAAATTCCTAAAAAACTTTAGCAATACTCGGTCAATTCCAATCCGGACAGACAGGTGTTCATTGAACCAAGGCAGCAGATTATGCCTGTTTCCCCGGGTTCTCAATTTAACCGAGACTTGGAGAATTCAACCGCGCGGAGAATACATACGACCCTCACGGCGTCTCTTAATAGTAAATACCCACAACTTCTGAACCGTCTGTGCTTGAGCTCCAATCATCAACATGGTCGTGTACTCGACAGAGTTTGACTACTATTCTTCAGACATGGAAGAATTGGTTCTCGTTAGATCATCAGATTCCCCTCTCGGTCCACACACAGCCTTTTATATTCTATCTGACAACCAGCTGCCAGTCCTTGCTCACTATGCACGTCCTGCGAAGGACGGGGCATAGAGAGAACGGGATTTGGCGATTGTCAAACCCTTTTAATTAGCCCACAGTGAAGCTCTTCCATGAGGTATAAATATCGGGATTGGGCTGCAATATCAAACTCATATCCACGGCCACTCAAGAAGTCATCCATGACGCACCATGCTTACCAAAGAGAATAATAACGGAGAAGGTATGATCCATGCTACCTACCATATAGGCTTTTTATTCTACCAACGTTGAAGACCTCTCCTTTCCGTTTTGGTGCCCTGAGTGCTCACCCATGATGAAAAATACATACTGAGCATCATCCTGAATACCCTCGTGAAGGTAGTGGGAGAATTTCTGATGGTAGAATAAAAAGCCTGTATAGGGGGCATATAACAAACAATACTTCTCTTGAAGTCGTTGGCAGAGGATGTGACATATGATATCTTTTTAGGAGCTTCAGAGCATTGTGAACTCGGCAGAAATGCAAGGCAATTCGACAGCCACATTAAACTGGATGAAGGTAGCTCCAAAGGGGCCAAATGTCCAATCTGCCAGAGTACATTTAGGAGACGAGAGCATCTAAAGCGTCATATTCGCAGCCATACAAACGAAAGGCCTTTCGAATGCACGCGTTGCGGTCGACACTTCTCCAGAACGTACGTGCTATCTATTCATTCCTAGCCCGCTCTGTTTAACTTGGAATATGCTCCCAAACCCCTATGAGTGTACAACTAACTCGGGATTTGGACGGTTATACGCCTTCAGTGACACACTTCACCGGCATGAAATGAGTCACCATAGCCTAAGATTCGATGGTGGAAGGGATCGAGCTCATAGGATTACTGTCAAGACATTTCGGGCATGCTTCAAGTGTGCAAGAGCAAGAGTGAGATGTAGCGGAGGTGCCCCATGTATCCGTTGCGATAATCGCTCTCTCGAATGCCAGTATCCTACCGAAAGACGCTCTAAATCCAAGGCAACGGAACCCGCATCTCAGAAGCTACCTATCTCCAAGGGCGATGAGCCGCGTTTCCACGATTTATCACAAGCCATTGCTTGTTCCAACTATAGTTTTAATGCATTTCCAGAGGCATTGGATGTAGTATCACATTCTCTGCCCCTTAACCATCGAATGGCCGATTTACAAACACAATCCAGTGGACTGGGCCCTTCGAGCAACCCTCCAGGAACCTTAGCAAATTTAGGATTCTGTGAGATTGCCGATGGCGAACTGGATGGTATCAAAGAAGGGAGTCTTTTGGAACCGGAAATATTTAAAATGTTTAGCCTAACTTCACTTCTGTCCCAGACTTGCCAGGCTACTGATGCCTCATCTCAATCCTCTGGTTCCCAGCAGAATAGTTCTGTTTCTTTGGCAACTAGCATGGGAGATGCACATTTTGTCGACCCTACATTTATGTTCGGGAATGCTATGAGTGGCTTTCAATGGGGGGCGGCTGGTTCAAATATCGATGCGGAAATGGGAGACGCGATTAACCAGCAGATACAATCTACTACCGAGTTTGATTGTTCGGCGACATCCGCTGTAAACTGGATTTCTTCTGATATCATTCTGGATGCAATAAACTGCCAATCACTCCCTTTTGCACTTGCACCAGACAAAGGCAAAGACGTTTCAATAGACAACACTTTGATTCAGACGGCTCACTTCCCCCCGGAAGACCTATTCATTGCGAAAACTGTCTCCCAGCCACCTCTCGAAAATAGATCACAAGGTGAAAGCGACAGGCTCAGTCAACACATTCATGCCATTGTCAAGGGGCTGCCTATCCCAAAGCTTTACGATGCAACACTGCAATCAGCAAATTGTTTGTACTAACAGCGAAGAATCTCGACCGTTGGGGTATGCGAACGACCAAGAAACTTTACTACCATGGGCTTGTGCTAACCCTTTGAATGCCCAGTCAAACTTGAAAAGGAATTCAGTGGGGTATTCTTTGCCACTGATCGATCGGGTAGTCTATATCAAACAGAACCAGTTTTCACCTGGGCCATCGAGATCTCCACAGAGAATATATATAGTCGTTTCCTCCAGCTCTGTTGCACAGACGACTCGATCTTCCTGAACTTCGAGTCCGACAGCTTTCCCAATGCGAAGGTACTAGCTAGCTTCGTTCATTCATACTTTGATTCTTTTGAACATATGTACTTTTTTTTCTATCAATGTTGAAAGCCTTCCTAGTGCCCAGGTCTTGGCACCTTTTGCTGACTGAGTAGATCTGAGCATACACTGAGTGGCCTGAGCTGCTCCCTGACCATGGGGTAAGATGTAGCCTCAATAAAATGCACCCAGCCCTAGAGATTTTGACCACATCATTGTTTCAGGTATGGAAAAAAAAGAAAAAGGGTCCAGCATTTGCCTGCTTTGCCTGTATGGTCAATTGCGTCAACTCATCTCCATACAGCCTATGAGCAAAAAATAATTTAGAAGCTATTTAGGGGCCCAGCTTGTAGCTAATGAGCTACATCATTGCATAGCAAGCTTGAGATCATTTTGTGGAGATTGTCCTATTGCATGTTGAGGTAAGTGTAGGGATGAGGCTGGCATTAGGGTCACATAACCCACAGTCCGGGACCGTATAGCCGGGGAAGGTATACAAGGACACACTCATTTACCACCATGTATCTAGTTCTACTCCTTCTTTCTTCGCATTCAATAAAGCTAAGTTCCTAGAGTACTACCTTTGAATACTTAACAACTACACTTTGCAAGTACTTACCAATTCTAAGGTATACATGCTGAGGGAACCTAACCCTCCCTCTCGTGTTGTCAATGTTGGTACTGAGAGTGCTATTGATTATTGAAACCCAAACTTAGGTGAGTTAAGTCAACTTTATCTGCTAATACTTGATAGGATTGATGAAGCCTTGGATGTAACATATCTGTTGATGAGATTGGGATGCTATGTTTGCATTGTTACTTTGGAGTGGCATCAATAATTCTGGTGGGAGTAATCAAGAGAAGGATGGATCCTCGGAAATCTACTAATGGGGAATACTACCAAAGAGAACCTGTAGATGGCTTTCATGGTGTATTCGTACTTCCCAGGTAGTATCTCATACTACTGTGGAATTCCTCGTAGACTAGGTCTGTTAACACATTTCCCTCTATGTCCACAAGCAGGTGTTCCACACAAGCAAGCATTCCACTTCACATGTTTTGGGCATGCCTAAAACTTGAGACAGTTCAACCACCCACCATGCTACTAAAAACCTATAAAACATCAGAATATTTAGTTAAAGAAAGAGGGAAGGGTCCTACTTGCCATATCAGCCATTAAAAAGAAGATAAACTCAATTAATGAAGTGGATGATGACGTCACGTCACATGCTCACGCGTTGCAGCCTAGAAATCAAATACGATCAAAGCAGTCGACACGAACCTCCGTTAATCCATCTCTACGGAGTTGGGTTCTTGATTACAATAAGATGGATTTCAACGACGTAGAGCATATACAGAGACCAAAGGTCCCAGAAGAAGAGGACCTGGATGAAAAGTGAACCCCGCATATCTCCCCAGGAAAACCCGGCGGTCCAAGCTAACTTTCAACTGCGGCATTTAGATATCCCAATCGGCCTCATAACCATTTTCCAACGTTACCTTTTCATGAGCTCTTCTTAACCCTTTTCAATCCTTTGAATGGACTTAAGAAGAAGCCAACTGGCCCAGCGCCGATGCGCAGAAAAGTCGGCCCCCGCAGACAAGACGCTGAGAAACTCAACCCTCTCGAACGACGACGCGATATTATCGAACGCTTTATTGCGAGATGGCGAAAGGATGTAGGGGACAACATATATCCAGCGTTCCGGCTGATACTTCCCGACAGGGACCGTGACCGGGCCATGTACGGAATCAAGGAGAAAGTGATTGGCAAGCTGCTCGTGAAGGTCATGAAGATCGACAAGAATTCCGAGGATGGCTTCAACTTGTTGAACTGGAAGTTGCCTGGGCGGTCTGCTTCGCAGATTGCGGGAGACTTTGCCGGTCGATGCTATGAAGTCATCTCCAAGCGGCCAATGCGGACGGAAGTAGGAAACATGTCGATTGAGGAGGTCAATCAGAAGCTTGACGAGCTGTCAATGGCTTCGAAGGAGGATCAGCAGCTGCCAATTATGGAAGAATTCTACCGGCGGATGAATCCTGAAGAGCTCATGTGGTTGATTCGGATTATTCTACGACAGATGAAAGTTGGGGCGACGGAGCGGACTTTCTTTGACGTTTGGCATCCTGATGCAGAGAACTTATACAGCATATCCAGCAGTCTTCGCCGTGTGTGCTGGGAATTATATGATCCCAATGTACAACTTGAGGCTGAAGAGAGAACAGTGACGCTCATGCAATGCTTTCAGCCACAACTGGCGCAGTTCCAGATTCACTCGTTCGACAAGATGATCGCAAAAATGAAGCCAACGGAAGACGACACTGTTTTTTGGATTGAGGAGAAACTAGACGGCGAACGGATGCAGCTTCACATGATCTCGGATGATTCGGTGGCAGGAGGCAGACGATTCGGCTTTTGGTCACGGAAAGCCAAAGACTATACGTACCTCTATGGGAATGGTATCTATGATGGGAACGGTTCGTTGACAAGGTATCTCAAGGATGCTTTCGCCGATGGGGTTGAGAACTTGATTTTGGACGGTGAGATGATCACTTGGGATCCGGAGCAGGATGCGCCTGTTCCTTTTGGCACGCTCAAAACGGCTGCATTGGCCGAGCAGCGAAATCCATCCTACAAGGGCCCACGGCCTTTGCTTCGCGTTTTCGATATTATGTACCTCAATGGACAGGACTTGACTAGATATACGCTTCGTGACCGGCGAAAGGCCTTGGAAAAGAGTATCCGGCCTGTTAGCCGTAGATTTGAGATACACCCATACCAAGAAGCGACAACCACGGCGGAGATCGAAACAGCTCTCAGAAAGGTGGTTGCAGAAGCTTCTGAGGGATTGGTACTTAAGAACCCAAGATCACCTTATCGGCTGAACGACCGACATGACGACTGGATGAAGGTGAAACCAGAATATATGACTGAGTTCGGGGAATCGCTAGACGTCATTGTCATTGGTGGATACTACGGCTCTGGCCGCCGAGGTGGTGCTCTTTCCAGTTTTTTGTGTGGTCTGAGGGCGGAAGATGCTCATGCTTCTCAAGGAGCGAACGCTATGAAGTGTTACTCTTTCTGCAAGGTAGGCGGGGGTTTTTCTGCCGCTGACTACGCGAACATTCGCCATCATACGGAAGGGAAATGGAAGGAATGGGACTCGAAGAAGCCTCCCACTTCATTCATTGAGCTGGCAGGAGGAAGTGCTCAATATGAACGCCCGGATATGTGGATAAAGCCAGATGAATCGGTTGTTCTTAGCGTTAAAGCAGCATCAGTGTCTGTCAGTGACCAATTCCGGGTCGGATTGACGCTACGCTTCCCTCGATTTAAGAGGCTGCGCATGGACAAGGATTGGAAGAGCGCTCTCTCCATACAAGAGTTTTTAGACCTCAAGTCGAACGTTGAGCAAGAGCACAAGGAGAAGGAGTTCGCCGTGGATAATTCCCGCAGGAAACGGATCAAAACCACAGCAAAAAAAGGACTTTCTATCGCTGGGTATGATGTGGATGCCGAAGTTAAGTATGCTGTCCCTTCAGGGCATATATTTGATGGGTTGAATTTCTGTACGTCTTCCGTCACCATCCTTCTCGCCATCATGTTCCACTCGTTAATGCACGAGCACAGTTATCGTGACCGAGTCTAGCGCACCTCAGAAGAAGTCCAAAGCTGAACTCGAACAGCTAGTGAAGGCCAATGGAGGGAAGGTCTATCAGACCGACAATGCAGCTCCACATACCATCTGTGTTGCAGATAGAAGTACTCCTCTCTCCATGCCACCTAGAGGGGCCTCTTTTGGCTAATATTTCCTTTCTACAGGGACGGTGAAGGTGGCTTCTTTGCAAAAAAGCGGCAAGTCAAGCATTATCCGGCCATCCTGGCTTCATGACTGCGTCAAACAGAATGAAGTCGACGCGGGTTTACCGGACATTCTTCTTCCTTACGAACCTAGGTATGCGTCTTTGTATACTCTATAGGATCAATCGGTCACTCATTTCAACAGGCACGTATTTTGGGCCACCAAGGATCAGGAGAAGGAAGTCGGTTCCAACGTCGATCGGTTTTCGGACAGCTATGCTCGAGATACAACCATGGACGAGCTCAAGGAGGTACGCTGCTGCCGAGGCTAGAACTGCTTAATAAATAGCTGACTAGTTGTACTAGATTTTGAGTCAGATGGAGAAGAAGCACCAATTTTATTCCCCGGCCCCCCAGGCTCTCAGTAAATTCGATGCGCTCTTCCAAGAAAGGGTTAATTCTGGATTTGAAATGCCCCGCGGCTGGATCTTCAGAGGGTTGACGATCCTCTTCCATCACCAGAAACATAAGCGGGTATCAAAATTTAATACAAATGAAGAAATGACAGGCAACGATAGCGCAGACCAGCCAGCATGTCGTCTAAGACTGGCCAGCAACATAGCCAGGTTTGCAGGTGCGCGTGTTATAACACCCTCGTCCACTTCTTCCATCACCCACATCGTCGTGGACCCAGATTTATCTTCTGCAGAGCTCTCTGTGGTGAGAGGGTCATGGGCCGCAAACCCTGGGAAGAAGACGCCACATCTAGTAACGGTGGAGTGGATTGAGGAGAGTTGGAAAGAACAGACATTGCTAGATGAAGAGAGTACGTTCTCTTTCCCTCTGCATATGTTCTTTTCACTTCTAATCTTTATTATTACAGGGTTTCTTCCTCGAAAGTGACACGGCACGTATGTCTACAGGCGCATTTCCCCCAAGGCGAAAAAAAAAAAAAAAAAAACGCCGCATACTACACTCCGTACAGCATTGAACAATGGATGACATGTCAGTCTGATACTATACCTTGATTGGCTCTATATACAATGCAGTACATACTACCCACGACGAAGCAAAGCACATGAGCAGACGAAAGAACTCGGCCTTTTTCACAGTCATGAGTTACACGAAGTATTAGTTAACTATATCATCCCAATTTGTCAGCTTTGAACTGATAAGAAAAAACCACATTGGATCGGGGATTTGGCTCGCGATGGATCTATGACGCCGACAACTTCCCATCAGCATGGTGCTAAATAATGATGGCAATTACTGTCTCTGGGTATGTTCAGCATATGGGATGCTCCATGCTGTTTATTCTATTCTCACCAAGCTTCCTCTGTATACCATGCAGTATATGCCTATGGCATGCACACTGCAGTCTTCCTTCAGGTACTAATTTTTTTTTTAATTATCGGGCAGAAATAGTAATAGCCGCTGGATGCGAGGGACAAAACACGGACAGACAGACTTATGCGGTGTGCTTAGTATGCATAGCGCTCAGTCCTCCATTCCCAGCCTTTCATTTATTTCTCACCCCCGAATATTATATTATATGCCCGTCGGCAATTACAGAATCCTGCCTTCAATAATACAGCAATAGCACAGATATCTTTTGAATATTTGGTTTGGATTAAAATGAACGTAATAAAATATAATATACAACACAACAACACCTCGCGCTAATGCATGGTCAGAAAAGAACAGAATGGAAATGCTCCTATTTCCCGGTCCGTAACCCAACGCCTTGCGATACAAAAAGAGAAATTAGGCACTAGATGGTTGAAATTTCTCCGAGTCAATTGCACTATTCTACCTGCAATCAATGGATATCCCGACCCATCTTGCAGGAACGGTGTTCCCTTCATCGTCTGTATAATCTCCACATGAAGGGTTCGCGCTGGCTTTGCGCGGTGGAAGCCATATTCGCGCCCGGATAGGAATGTCGTCCCGGAATTTCCCGCTGCGCCGCATATTCATCTCTAGAACCACCATGCGCAGGAAATCGCCGTTTTCTCTCGGTTCCCGTTGGCGAGCCATTGGTGGGATTATTCCCGGATCGAATAGGGAAATTCCCTGATCCGTGCTGCCATTTTTCCTTAAGCGGCTTGCCGAACGGTGATATGTCTGCATCTGGATCGAGACGGGGCACATGCTCGGGGAGCCGCTGGGACCCCGTCGGTACTCGTGATATGTATGCATCTCCGCTGGCGATATGGGAGTTGGGTTCAGGTAACGTCGTAGAGCCGGAGAAGGTGGCCCACTCATGGGCGGAGGCCGACGGTCGTCAGTCGTCTCCGGAGTAATCGCGAACAGAGACCGGGTGAGAAAGTCATCCGGCTGCACGGAAGGCGCGGCAAACGTTGACACCGTTTGTGCTGCAGACTTGATGGCACGCAACGAGGCCGTCAGATTCGACTTGAATCCGGCGCTGAAACGCGGAAACGAACGAGATGATGTGGACTTTGTGGAGCCAGCACTGGGGAGTGCAATATCTCTGCGGATAGGTTCAAACTCATCATGTTCTGGGGATTCGACTTGCAATAGAGGATGATCTGATGCACAGTCTTCAGGGCGTGCAAGCTGTCGATGCCTTCTCTCGGACAGACCCCTTTGAGTAGATGGTGTGGGTGACAGTTGAAAACTAGACGGAGATTCAACATCAGGCATCAAGGACGGCATGGAATCTGTCGACATAGATCGAAGTGAGAATGTCGCATCTGCATAATCATCGTTCCCTATAGACAGTTTCTCGCTGTCCGCATCGGGAGGACTGAGCAAAACGTCAAGCATAGGACTAGCAGAGCCGTCCATCAGGCGATCCTCTTTGGGATCAACACCCTCCATCAGAAGCTTACTGAAGTCCTCTACATAGTTGCCACGAGGGAGTTTGCGAGAGTCCCGAAGAGACCAGTTCCGTCGAGGGACCGGAATTGCGGTAGCTTCGAGAATAGAGGCGACGGAAGCAGGCAGGGTTGCTGTGGATGATGACCTGCGAAGATTCCTCGAATTGTGAGCTGTTCTGGAACGAGAACGACCCTGTTGTTCTTGTTGTCCCTGGTGCACCGGGGTCACTCGCAGACCGCGTTTTGGGGGGATGACGACGGGATTGGAGTGAAGAGTAGCCTTCTCGTCAACGTCGGAGCTATGCATAGGGGGTATCTGGAGGCCGGAGGTGTCCCGTTGCGAGGGTGGCTCGAATGTCGACTTTGGGGAGTCGCCGGCATTGTTCTTTCCATGCTGCCTGGAAGCCTTGGGAGGCGTTACAGACGAGAAGAGAAAAGCCCTAGGCACCATCATCATTGCCAACCATGGGACAGGCAGAAGCGGGAAACGTCGCAGTAGCCTGACGAGGCACTCTGGTCGAGTATCTGAGCGAGATACATGGGGTTAAGAAGGGGGAGAAGGACGGAGGCCTCCCCCAGGAGGGCGTGACGAGGTGTGGATCTTGCGTTGGGTCGACACACCGCTTACGTCGTGTGAGCAGGGTTGGCTAACGGAGAAAGCAGGCGGGAGAGCGGGTGGGATAGGATAATATTAATATGAGATTATTATTAGCAGGAGTGATTGCTTTTTCTGCTCTGTGCGTGCAGCTGAGACGGCACAATGCAAAGGGCGAGATAAGCAGCGAAGGATGAAAGAAACGAACAACGCAGATAGGAAACTGGGCGAGTGACGCATGCAGCGGCGCTAGTCCCGGGAGGGACTAATGCGGTGGGTGCTCGCCGCATTGCCGGATGCGGCGGAGCAGCAGTCGATTTCCCGATACGGTAAGGCGGCTCGGATTCCGGCGCACAATCCTGCGCCAGTCTCGCCTATCGCGTAATACGCGTACATTACGGTACGGTCAGCCGATACGGTTAAATAAGCACACAGCCAGCGGGAGTAATTGACCCACACCGCTGGCTTGGCTGGTTTTCTAGAAGCCGGTTGGACCTGCAGGAGCCTTCTTTGTTGAGAGAGTTCGCCTGTTCATGAACCTCATGGTTGTTCCTAATCTGTCTATACATATCTCTGAGACTCTGGAGTCTGGGATATGTTTTAAGGTTGGCCAGAGACCCTGCAGAAGCATATCGCCGATTAGAAGATCTTGTAGAAGATTCTGTCTCATTATTTAATATTATTATTCCCCTGGTTCCTCTGTTGTTAACTAATGAAAATACCTCCAATTTAATAATATTAATCATAGGAATAGCAGACGGGAATCTGCCTGTTTCACCGGAACAGAGGATCATTCCTTGTAATCTGAAATCATAATAATAATAATCCAGCACAGAGAGCTGCTGCATGGATAGCAGGATAGCTAACCCATGCACACGTGTATTGAAGACAGCGGACAGCATTCCTCATTAATATTGATATCTACAAGAAGGATTGACTGTTACTCTTCATACTTCCATCTCCCATGTTCAATGGACCAACAGGATCCTCCTCGATCCGCGTTAGTCAGCCCCTTGTGGCTTATCGCCAGAATGGCAGCGCGAAAGTTACAACCGCCTGAAATCTTCGCGGCGACCACCATTATACGTCCAAGATAACCTGCGAGCAAGGTTTGCTGGCAATTCGTCTCTTGTATTGGCTCGTCTCTTATCTGCTTCTTCCCCTTCTCCAGGCTCCCTCCACAGCGCATTTTAGTCCTCTTCAACTTAGCGCCCCCACCTCCATCCGGTCAGTGAGATCATACGTCAACCGTCGAACCATCTCTGAGCTACCGCGAACTACGCAAGTGGGCATCAAGAGCTTGCAGATTGCCTCGCTTTTCCTTAGGAGATGTTGAAATGAGTGCAAAGTATGGAGCCCATCCACCTGCTATTCAAGGTGCTGCAGCATCTAACTTGCACTCGATTCAGATTCATTTCGATACTGGCCCGTTAGACTCATGATCTACTGGGCTTCTGAAACGCGCATCATTCGGTTTATAGTCCCATAAATATGTCCCATGCTCGTCGTTCCTTCATTGCAAACCAAATATGGAAACGGATTCCACGGATCCAATCCCTAGCGGGTGTGTAGAGTCTGGACTCAAGAAGTCTCGGGGAGATACTGCTGCCAAGGGAAAGGGCATGAGTTTAGAAACCGGTCCTGCTACTAAGAGACGCTGCGTCAGCACTGCCTGCATCGCTTGTCGTAGGAGGAAGTCCAAGGTAACTAGGACATCGCGCCTTCTCATCCTTTCTACCATGTGCAATTTCACTGACTGTTCTGTATTGTGATGGAAATCTCCCAAGCTGCGCCGCGTGTTCCTCCGTATATCACACACCATGTACCCATCTGCCCTTTCGCCCTTTCGACAGTTGCCACACTGGAGCGACATCCGCTAATTCATCTCAGGTGTATATGACCCGAATTCTGACCACCGTCGAAAAGGAGTATACAGGAAGGATGTTGACACGAGGAGAGCACGTAATGCAACCCTGCAGACCCTGATCCAGGCGATCCTGAATTACGATGAAGAAGATGCTTTTGAATTGGTGCGCCGTATACGGTCCTGCGACGATCTCGAGGAAGTTGCCGAGTCGGTCATCGCTGCCGACAAGGAAGGATTAGCAGCTACCACAGAAGATGAGTCTACCGTTGCGGAGAGCGCGGACCAGTTCGAGTCCGAATTGTCTGGAAAGATGAGCGAGCTTGTGCTCGACGGTTCTCGCAAGTTTATCGGAGGAACCTCGAATCTCATCTTCTTACCCCCTGGCTCTGAGCTATGTGAGTTCAGTTTACGCCCAATGGACCAAGGATTGGGGAACCCTCAAGACCATTCGGTGACCCGATGGACAAGAATCACCGATGATGAACGCTTGATCAGCCACCTCATGACAATGTACTTTTCGTGGCATTACCCGTTCTTTACCACTCTTTCCAAAGACCTGTTTTACCGGGATTACGTCGCTGGGGTTTCTAGCCAATACTGTTCGTCTCTGCTTGTCAATGCTATGTTGGCACTCGGTTGTCACTTCAGCTCATGGGAAGGCGCCCGCGAGGATCCTCGAAATTCCGCCACCGCTGGTGATCACTTTTTCAAGGAGGCTAAGCGACTGCTCCTTGAAAACGACGAGCATGAAAATGCAAAACTGTGCACGGTTCAGGCATTTGCGCTCATGTCTGTACGAGAAGCTGGGTGCGGCCGGGAAAGCAAAGGTTGGGTCTACAGTGGCATGAGCTTCCGTATGGCTTTCGACCTGGGTCTGAATCTGGAAACTGGCCCAGCTGCACAGAATCTCACTGAAGAGGAGACTGATGCTCGTAAGATTACTTTCTGGGGCTGCTTTCTCTTCGACAAGTCCGTTACCCCCGCATCCCTCTTTTGGTTTATGCCTATGAATGTATCTAACGATCGCAGATGCTGGTCTAATTATCTGGGTCGTCAGCCCCAACTTGCAGCGCACAATATGAACGTGCCAAAATTTGAGGTTTTACCTAGCGAGGAAGCACAGCTTTGGTCTCCGTATACAGACTGCGGAGCCGGTCATAAGCACACTCAGCCTTCGCGGACGAGGACCGTCGCACTGCAACTTTCGAAGCTATCTGAAATCAGCGGCGATTTACTCGTATTCTTTTATCATCCAGCGGTCATGGAGAAACCTCATTCGAAGCAGTCTGAACGCAAGAAGCTGACCGAGATTCATACGAGGCTTGAGGAGTGGAAAAAGAACTTGCCTAAAGAGCTGGAACCGAAAGAGGGCCAGTTACCTCAAGCTCTTGTCATGCAGTAAGTTACTACTTGGATTCGACTGTCATTAAAATACACGGTACTGACTGACTCCTGTGAAGCATGTTTTACCAACTTCTCTTCATCCATCTTTATCGCCCCTTTCTAAAATATACGAAGTCGACGTCGCCTCTCCCTACGCATGTCTCGCCCCGCAAACTGTGCGTACAGGCTGCATCTGCCATCTCGAAGTTGCTTCGGCTATATAAACGCGCGTACGGCTTTAATCAAATTGTCAATGTCGCGGTTTATATCGCGCATACGGCCTGTACAATTCATCTCCTCAACCTGCCGGAAAAGGATGCCCAAAGAGACATCATCCATGGGCTCAAGCACCTGGAGGAAATGGGTGAGAACTGGCTTTGTGCCCGGCGCACAATACGAATACTCGATATATCTGCGAATAAATGGCAAGTAGACCTTCCGGGCGAGGCAGCCGCTATTTTCGAGAGGACGCATGCGAGATGGGGTTCCTGGGGGTCGTGGGATCAGGCATCATCGCCCTCGACTTCCGACGAATCACCTACTATGGCACCCGCTCAATTCTCCAGTACAGCTCCGAGCACCTACTCGTCACCGGGAAAATTCCTTCATCCAGCTGCTCAGCGTAATGATTCTCAGATGAAGGTTTCTGTGCCTCTCAGACCGATGACTTCGTATTATCCACCAATCCAATCTTCTTCAACCCCCACTGCTCTTACTTCTCAACGATCTGCTAGTGTACAGTTCCAGCGAGCTCGATTTGCTTTACCTGAGCCAACATACCTCCAGCCCATGACTCATATTTCACATCCTTTTCAAGCTACGCCAATCTCACAGCAAGATGTGTGGTATAATACTACGCCAGAACCTGAGGCCTCCAGGATGAATGCAGGACAAGCAACTCAACTTCCCACGGGCACTTCTCCAATATCAAATCTCGGGGATGCAGGAAGTAGTCTTGTGCAGGAGAGCCAAAATTGGTGGTCTAAAGACCATAACGCATGGGTCATTGGAGCGGAAAACTGGGGGGGGTGGAGCTCTGGTGATAGCAGTGGTGGTCTTTGTGCTCCAGCAACGACATTCAGTCTTCCCTATCAGACCCATACCACTGGCATTGGTGTCGGTGTTGGCCCTGGACCGACGTCCAGCGACGACGCGGGCGTTCTCCCAGCTTCAACCTCAACCTCGGGACCACAGATGGAACCGGGCATGCTGGGTAATGATCATGTACATGTACAATTAATGGGCAATTTTCAGGAGTAAAAATATAACGGATATTATGCGATAGCTCATTGCACCTGGATATACTTTTCTGAACTGGTTTATTTTCATCTGTATATATATACATTTCTAGACGGACACTGGAGGTTATTTTTATCTGCCTGTTCTTGCAGTTGGCTATGTGAAATGAGCTTGGAAACGGATAATAGCTATAATGCCAACTAATAGTTCTTCCATATCACCAACAATACTTGTAAAAATTCTACTGGTCTCTGAAACAATGAAATACAGACAAGGCATGAATAGTATTTGACACTGACTACTATACTTTAATGAGTCGGGGCTGATTATTATCGATAGTCGTAATCAAATTCATTGGGCTGTATAATCCACCCTTTCATTGTATGAATTATGGATATGAATGAAGACATACAGTTGGCATTGGTATCACTATTGCAATAGAGTTAGCATGAATAAACACGAACAAAGAGAGCAGATTACTCACCAGAAAATAGTCAGCAACTGGTTTCTTCGCAGGCATACCACGTGTATCTTGAGCAGCAGCCTCGAACACTCTGTATCGCCTCCCAGGGCTGAGGACGTGTGTCTCAACATCTCCGGACACGCCATTACTTCGTCCCTGGTCACCGTTACTTCGGGCGATGGTCCCCCCACCACTGGTGTCCTCGCCCAATTCCAGAATCGCAGCGACGTTTCCGCATCGATAGCAGTAATTGGGGGCAGACCAGACAGTGACGATCCCGCCGTCGAACATCTCCTTGTAGCCTTCCATGACGAGCTGATGGGCTCGAGCTACGAGAGATAGGTCATTCATGTAATTGAAACGTTTCACAATGTCACCGCCGAATAAGAATCCAGCTCCGCGAGGACTCAACCCCCAGCCTTCGATGTCGTCTGGGTCCGACCAGAGTAAGTCACACATGGCGCCTTCGTGGGGAACTTCCTGTTTTCGGTCGATCAGGCGGATTCTGTCGACGGTATCGATGACCGGTGAAAGCCCACCGTGTACACAAAGAATGGCTCCTGTTCGGCTCCCTATGCTCCCTGTCGCGTCGCTCGTGGCCCCTGTGCCTGGCATACCAGACCTGGTCGGTGCCTGGCCCCGCGTGGCAGAGATATCTCTTGGGGGGGAAATATTCCTGGAATCCGTCGACGCGTCTGATAATGATCTCTGTCTCCGTCTGTAAGAGCTCATGGTGACTTCGCCTTTCGAATTCAGGACTTCCGTCTCTAGTACTCCATCATCCGGGGGCAGGGTAGCCTGAGCCGCGTTATTCAGACCCGATCCGGTCGGCTCCAGCTCTGAGCTCGCCCCGAGTACCAGAGCTCCCAGGGCTAGGTAGTCAAATACCTCACAGCAATATCGCCAGACGTTGGCACTGCCGTACTTGCGGATGCATTCGTCGTAGAAGCCGTAGACGGTCGTGATTTGGCGCGATTCATGATTTCCCCGAATCAACGTGATGCGATCTGGGTAGCGAACCTTGAGACAGAGAAGAAGTAGAAAAGTTTCCAGTGAGTAGAACCCGCGATCGACGAAATCGCCCATGAACAGATAGTTGGTATCGGGGACGTCTCCGCCCACGCGAAAGAGTTCCATCAAGTCATGGAACTGGCCATGGATATCTCCGCAAATCGTGACTGGCGCATCTACCAAGACCACATTTGCTTCTTCTATAAGCAGCTCGCGCGCCTTATAACAGAGTTCACGGACTTGGGCTTCGGGGATGAGACGGCAAGATCGCAGGAGCGCGATCGCTCTACAAAAAAAGAACAAGCAAGAAATGTCAGCTATATGGATCTGTATCTGATTTTCAAGGTGGATTTAATACTCGTCTAGATCGCTCATAATGGATTCGAAGGATTTAGAGAACACGCGCCCGCGTTGAAAACCGAGGAGGTCGAGACTGAGCGGAGAGGGGTCCTAAGCCGCAATGATTCGAGGCCTGAAGGCGCCCCCGTGCAGAGAGGCAGATTGGAAACAAAGAGAAATGTGTGAAGAGGAAAGAGAAGAAGAGACAGAATGTGTTAGGTCTAGAGGATTAAGGATTTCATTTTCATAAGTCACATCTCGTGAGGGTAATTGACAGAGGCTGGAGCGTGTAATTCTTTCTGCCTTTGCAGCAGTTGATAAGATTAGATGGCGGGAATCGCTTCACCCGGAGTCACAGCACTTTCACTTTGGCCTTCACTTTCACTGTAGCCCGCAGTCCCTGGACTCCCACAGCTATTGAACACTCTCCACTCCCTATCTTTCACTGGTATGTATATTATTCACAGCTCTGCATTCCTTGAGCTCAATCAAGCTCCCAGTAATTGACCATCTTGACAGTAACTAACCCGCAGGAACCGCAGTCCCAAGACATCCTTCGATGTCAAACAATACCAGCTGCTCTCGAAGCAATTGTCTCTTTCCTATTCCTTTGCAATGACACCCCATCTACATCCGCGCTCGCGGTCAACGAGTTCTCTCTTCGCCGCCTCTCTTTTCGCTTCCTTCGTCGTCGTTGGCCTGCCGCATCTCTTCCCATGCCCTGCCCCACGCCGCACGCTCGCCGATTCAGAGATGACCGTCACGCCTGATGGTCAGCAATTACAGAGATATAGAAGACGAAGGAGAAGGGATGTGGATAGCGCTGATGGAGCTGTCAATGTGGAGGGCCATAAATCTCCCGTGATGGATGAAGACGTATCAGCCTTCCTCCAACTGGAGGCGGAGGCTAAGAAACTATCCGAACATCGCAGAGAATGCCCAGTTCCGAAACCTGGTGGGATATTAGGCGAGCTATTGGGGTTCAAGACTGGAGGGAATGAACGACATCAAGGGCAAGTGCCACAATCGGACGTTTCCAGTTGAGGAATTCAATAAGCAACAAATATTTTGGTGTCGGATCTTCATGGAATGTTGAGTATATTATCTATTTTGGCATTGTGGTTTTTTGTCTCCTTTGGGACTGTCATCGCTATGGTTGTCTTTCAAGACTGGGGGTGAGTGTGTCGACGCTGTACCTGCTATCCGCTGTATTACTATTTTATACCAGAGGATTACTGTATCCTCCCTTCCAGTTGCCTCAGACATGGCAGTCAGATCTGTGCTATTATATTTATGAAGTCATCATTGGGTTCTAAGCTTCCTGCAGCTTTGCAGGCACCCCGTAGTCAATAATATCGAGACTTGAACGCTAAGCCCAAAGCGGAAACTCAATTGCAATCCCAATGGCTTCAAGCCACATACAACAACTTATTTTATAGCAACCATCTGAAGACGCTAGCATCAACAGCTTCCCCAGGAGCTGCATACATCATCATGGATGTGAAGCGTTTGGCATATGACTTTTGTTTTAATCCGCGGCATACGAAATGGATTGTCCCGCTTGTGGTCGTGGGCGATGCTTTCCTCTGTGCCCTCATTATCTGGAAAGTTTCATGCAAGTTTATATATGGTCGACCATCTCCCATCCAATTTTAACTGACTGGGTCGGAACAGACACTGAGATCGATTGGACTACCTATATGCAACAGGTATCACTATATATTTCCGGGGAGCGCGATTACACCTTGATTAAAGGCTCCACGGGGCCTCTCGTCTATCCCGCAGCACATGTGTACATCTATACAGCACTCTACTACTTAACTGATGAGGGCCGGAACATTCTACTTGGCCAAGTCATCTTCGCTGTCCTTTATCTGGTCACTCTCGCGGTTGCGGCGATGTGTTACAGGCGATCCGGCGCTCCTCCGTACATATTTCCACTTCTGGTTCTCTCCAAGAGACTTCACAGTGTTTTCGTGCTGCGGCTTTTCAATGATTGTTTTGCAGCTCTTGCAATGTGGGTTTCTATCTTGCTGTTTCAAAAGAGAAAGTGGACGGCGGCGGTGGTTGTATGGTCTGTCGGTGTGGGTGTGAAAATGACATTACTCCTCCTCGCGCCGGCGGTGGCAGTGGTTGTCATTCTGAGTTTACCTCTTACTCGGGGTATCGAACTTGGTGTGATATCAATTCTTATTCAAGTACGTGACTCTTTTTCTGAAGATACTTGGGATGTCATCTGACTCCGTGAGGTGCAGTTCCTGCTTGCGATTCCTTTTCTTCAGAGCAATCCTAGTGGATACGCTTCCAGGGCATTCGAGCTCACGAGACAGTTTATGTTCAAATGGACTGTAAACTGGAGATTTGTCGGTGAAGGAATCTTCCTCTCTCGGGGTTTCTCTTTGTCTTTGTTGGCCGTGCACATCTCCATATTGGCTTTGTTCGTCTCCAAGACATGGCTGAGACCGTCACGTCTCAGCTTATTTGGATTCATCCAAAATGTCATCTGTGGCCGACAACAGACAGTGGAGCTTTCGGACTCTTTCATAATGATAGTCATGTTAACATCCCTGGCCATCGGGATGCTGTGCGCCAGGACTCTTCATTATCAGTTTTTTGCCTATCTTTCCTGGGCGACTCCTTTTCTTCTCTGGCGCGGAGTCCATAGTCTAGTACTTACATACATCCTATGGGCTGTACAAGAATGGGCTTGGAATAAGTATCCTAGCACTAATGCAAGCTCCCTGGTCGTTGTGTTGTCACTTGCTGTCCAAGTCGGTAGCAATCTGTGGAGTGGTCAGTGCAGATTCGATGACAACAAGCGTGTCAAGGATGGCAAGGGCAACATTAAAGAGCATTCCCAATAAAACAAGTCCTCTTTTCTGTTCACTTTTGTTTTCTATCATAACAGTTTAATAATGAGAATCAATGGCTCATATAAGCAAAGAAGCAGCTTCAACACCCAATCCAAACTCCATATAATACAGATAATACAGTTGAACTTTTGTCAAACATTCCACATTTCATGCCATTCACGCATCAGACTCATGAGACGAAGGCATCTTACCCACTCTCGATTCCTCCTCATCCTCATCCTCATCATCACCCAAAGAAGCAGCAGCAGGCTGCTTAACAAACTCCTTGGGCCTAAACCACATCAACGACTGCTCCCAAAGTTGATTGATCACTAAAAGAAAAGAAGATAACATAACATACCAATACTTCTCTTTCCGCCACCTCTTCTCATCCCTCACAACATTAACAATCTCCCCACGGAGCTTATTCTCCCGATCCTGCATCGCATTGGTATCAACCAGCACAAAGGACCCCCGCTTGATCCAGATAGTCGACCGGAACCGCGCGGGCAATTCCACCAGCATGGACTCCTTCGAGGGTAGTTCCACGGCGTAGATGTTGTTGCCTGTTGCCTTGATGACACGCGCTATTTGTTGGCTGGCTGATAGGTCGTCTGGTGGGGTTAGGGTTTCTTCTGCTGTTGCTAGGACTTTTCGGCGGGGGGGTCCCATTTTATTATTGTCTTGTATTTGTTTATTGAGTTATTCTGTGGTTTTTTGGATTTGGTATGTTGTGGTGTGGGACTTTCTAAGAAATTTTGCTATAGGACGGGCCGTGGCATTTGAGTGGAGTGTGTGGTTATAATACTCTATTCTTCCAGATCTAAATATAATATACGCGTCCAGACACTCGTAATGCTGCTTGTACCGTCCCAGTCACGTGAACTGTCATGTCAGCCTGAAGCTCTACTAACTAATATGCATATTTCTCCTTTATCCAAAGGCTGCCGTGTAACCGTAACACTGGAGTCTGATTTATTGCCCATATTGAGACAAGGCGCAGGTCAGGCTAGGGAGGATTCGAGTAGCGCGGATACGGATCGAGATAACTAGATGCACTTACAGGTGCGCGTAAGAATGCGGATTGAAGGGGAAACGTGCGTGTAGCCTTGATTCAGAGCTAACCGCTTGTCTTCATAAAGGCCTGCTGCGGCCAGGGATGAGAAAACCATATGTTGACACGTGACCTTACTAATTAACAAGCATACATGTGAGCTCGAGCCCTGACAATGTACTCTTGCTGCTCTTGTGGGATTTATGCATGAAAAGGCCCAGTCATCTTGATGATGGTGATCTTGACAATGCCAACAGCACTGACTGTTTCCCTTACCATGAGCATATGGGGAGGTGTCAGAGTCAGTGATATCTGTTAGTGAGTCCAGGCTTACTGCCTCATTAAGTCCATGCAGAAAGAGACATAACTGGACTTTCATTACTACTCCTGCTGGGGAGTGAGAGTTATGGTAACTAGGCATATTGCAGCACTAGGGGAATATATCAAAGAAAAGGAGATCGAAAATGAGTGGTTTGGGAATTGGGAGACGGAAGTATTGGGAGGGAGCAATTTATAGGTGGGCTTCACGCGCATTCAGGTATGTGCGTGGGCGAGTCGCTCTGGGTTGTGGCGAGAATCGATGGGATGGCGATGCCATTTTCCCCTCTGCGGCCGAAAACATTGATCTTCATTCCATTCTCTGACAGGTTCATCGAGATTAATATAATAGTACTATATTATTACTTTATTTAATCCCTGACTCTTTCTCTTGCATGAAATCCATATTATTTGGTCTTGTTCAGATTGGGTCTGCTCCATACTGCTCATACTGTCACCGCTCACTTGTATGGATCCAGATATGCGCAATGATGATACATACTCCCTACAGCAAGATATACCCTGCTATTTCCTATGCTTTAATGGTGAGATGCTGAAGTCAGCCCTTCCTGTCTTACAAAGACTTAGCCAAGAATGGTGCAAAAAGCAAGAGGAGTCGATAGAGATTTTAGTTCTGTCGCTGTAACGTTTCTTAATTGTTTGTTCATGAGCGTCCAGTCGGTGTATGTTATTCCCATCCTGAAAACCGTTCTACCGACCATCAGTCTATAAGGGAGGCCAGTGAGTAGCAAGCACATGGGTTTCATCTGAAGCCGTTTCTTTTCCATAAAGTATTTAAACGCAAGCCCTGCTTGTAAACAAGGAGCAAGACGAGGAAAATAATCCTTTTTGTACAAGTCCGACAAGTTTAGAGAACAGAAACCGTCGGCTGAATGCATCCTTCTAGGCAGACAGCCGGGCTCGGATGGGCTGATGTCATTTGAGTCAATTAGTGTAGGAAATATGGTTTAGAATGTGGAGAACAGAGATGTCATTGGTGACCAAAGTATACATGGCAAAAAGGCTGTCCCTGCTTTATGTCCGGCTCAGGAACCTCCGGTAAGGAATCGCAGAGTGCAAGGTTTGACCTCGTAGTGCGACAAGGGAAGGTAGAAGAAATTCACACTTGATAATCGGGCTCCAGTGGGATTTCAACAAGGTCGACTACAGCAGTATACAACGGCAACATCCTTGAGGTCCGGAAGCATATTTTACCGAGACATTCCCAGACTGAGCTGCCAAATCATAAGGACAATCTGATCTTTCTCGGGTCTTGGAGAGGATAGATACCACTTTCGGTAGGCCTTGAAATGGCGCATTGCTGTTCAGTTCCAGGTCAGAGTGTTGATGTCAGATAGGCGTAAGAATCAGCTGTCTTCCCTCTGTTGAATCCTCCTCATGAAATGAGTCATGCACAAGCATATAGTTGTAGAAAAGCAGTGTCCGCATAACTGTTCATGTACTCAGTGCTGCGGCTTATCCGCTAGATGACCTCAGGAGCTAGAGCAGGTAACTGCATGGCTATTTAATGCTCATAGATGCATGGGAGCAAGTTTTGAGGATCGCAGATACAGTGCCATGGATGGTAGTCTTCAGCTGGCACGAAAAACACTGTTCCCACGGTTTAGATGAGGCTGGGGCGCCGAAATTCCGGATTGCAGCAATTTACCCGACCTGGGGTGGTCTGATCTGAGGGTTTCTGGTCTATGACTCTTGTCCTATAAGGCAAGGTAGAAATAGCAAAGGCCAATGCGGGCAGAAGAGGAGGGTTCGCACAGCTTGCTGAGTGCTGATGGCTGACGTTTGAGGAGGAACGCGCAGCGGCTGTAAGCAAGGCGCTGTCACACTGCTTAATCAGCATTCTGCTGCTGAGTCAGCCGGCCACTCCGCCCCTCCTTCTTTATCTCTTGACAAGTTGGGAGCACGTCTCCGTACTAACTCATGCATCCCGACTCGTAACCAACCGTCAGCCTCCTCTTTGTCTCCTCTGCATCGGCATTGTCATTATTCTCTTTCGTTAGCCGGCTAACTCTGTGGCCAGCACTTGTTTTGTCCTCCCGTCAGCCTTCGTCCTTGCCGTGGACTGTCCCTGTCAATCTCCCTTGTCCAACGTTCTAGTCTCTTATTTATGCCTGTCGGGTGCCGCTATTTATCCTGTACTGCCTGTCCAAAGAACCGCAGGCGGTAAGCCTACATCTACTGACATTCCGCCTTCTGCCCCCTCGAACTACCCTGCAAATACGAGTGGCAACGGTCGTGCACTACTACCCCCTCCCAACAGGCTTTGTTGAAAAACAGGCTCTGCTGGTCGTCATACCGAAAGTCAGAGAAGAGTCCGATCTTCTAACCAAGAGTGCTGCAGTTGTCTAATACTTCAGGCAGGGGTCTAGACATTGTTGGGGTGGCATTCTTTATCGCGATCCCCCTGCATTTGTCAACAAATAGCCCCGCGACAGTGTCCGCCTCCACGCACGCATTTTGTCAGGAGACCCTCATTCCCTTTCGCCGCCTTACGCGCCTACCCTTGTCCTTATTATCTAAGTTTGTCGTTTCGGGTTAGATCTTGGCCAACATGGACGGGGACGAGCTCATTGCCTCGGTCTATCGCAAGATCGAGAGGGAGAAGGCCCTCATCCATGCCGCCACCAATATGCGGCACTCGACCGATAACCCCCTTGTGCAACAGCGGGTGGACTCGAATATCCGCGACGGTCGCAAGAATATTGCGTATCTGGAAGAGAAGATGAGGGAGCTTCAAATGCGTCGAATCGAGCAAGAGGGTGGTTCACCGGCTGATAGACAAACATCTGGCCCAGCACCCCCTCCAAAGGATGGTTACTTGGACGGTCGAGGCGAGCATGGGGATCCCTATGTTCCTGGCCATGCTCCGAACCGGTCTGGTTCTATGCCGGCGACCATCCAGCCGAAAGCAAGGCCAAATTATAGCAAGCTTGGTGCGTCATGTCCTGTGTACTTTACTTTTAGATATCTGGCCTATCTTAAACTAACAGGTGCTTTTCTGTCAGATTTGATTAAATATGATACCCCCTATCTCGGACCCAAAATTCAACTTATGCTGTCCCAGCTAGAGTTTAAATTGAGTGTCGAAAAGCAATATAAAGCCGGTATCGAGAAGATGGTTCGCCTATACCAAGATGACGGCGATAGAAAGAGTCGCTCAGATGCCGAGGGTCGTCGCATTGAAAGCAACCAAAAGATCCAACTGCTTAAACAATCCTTGAAGAGATATGAAGACCTGCATGTAGACATGGAGTCGGCAGATGGTCCTGATGGTATATTTTTGCGCACATTTTATTGCTTGATATCTATGTGTTTACTTTCCTTGATCACTAATTTCTTGCAGATGAAAGTCTAAGCACACCCAACATGCGCAAGCCTCTAACCGGTCTTTTAAGCTTGAAAATCCACGCCGTAAAGGACGTTGACCACGCAGCAAGTTCACGATTCTCCAGAGGTCCGGAAACCTACATTATTGTCAAAGTCGAAGATGCTATAAAAGCAAGAACCAAAGCCACCAGGTCGGATAAGTGGCCAGATGAAGTCTTCAACATAGCAATCGACAAAGCGAACGAGATTGAACTTACCGTTTACGATAAGTCTGGAGACAGACCCACTCCTATTGGCATGCTCTGGATCCGAATATCCGACATTGCAGAGGAGATGCGTCGCAAGAAGATGGAAACGGAATTTAACGCCTCGGGTTGGGTGTCTGCAGACAAGATGGCTGGGCAAGATCCCGGTGCGCATGCGAGTGCTTCGGGCCAGGCCACCAGCCGTCCCCATGCTGCGGCAACAGCGCCTAGCGGTCCTTCAGGTCCAGTCTTAATTGATTCTTGGTTCGCCTTAGAACCAGTTGGTAGAGTACATCTGACCATGAGCTTTGGTACGTACCGACTTTCGTAGACCTTTCGCCACTTAACTCACTTAACATACACTAACATGTTGTATAGTCAAGCACACGAGCCACCGCCGGCCATTCGACCTTGGGCTTAATCGTCAGGGAGCTGTCCGCCAAAAGAAGGAGATTGTTGTTGAAAAGCAAGGACACAAATTTGTCTCGCAACAATTCTACAATATCATGCGGTGTGCCTTTTGTGGTGACTTTTTGAAGTATGCCGCCGGTATGCAATGCGCGGATTGCAAGTATACTTGCCATAAAAAATGCTACCCAAAAGTCGTCACCAAGTGCATCAGCAAGGCAAATTACGAGACCGATCCAGATGAAGAGAAAATTAACCATCGTATTCCGCACCGCTGGGAGGGATTTGCTAACATTTCGGCCAATTGGTGTTGCCACTGCGGTTATCTACTGCCGTTTGGGCGCAAGAACGCGAAGAGATGCACAGGTAACATCGATTTGAAATCCTTGATCCCATAGAAGTCTATGTAAATGCTGACTGTCTGTCCAGAATGCGGTCTTACATGTCATGCTCACTGTACCCATCTTGTGCCTGATTTCTGTGGAATGTCTATGGAAGCGGCCAACCAGATTCTGGAAACTCTTAATCAAAGTCGAACGAAACCTCATACCAAATCCGAATCCGTGAGTTCCGGTATACGTGAGACGCTCAGGCCAAATGGTCCACCGAGTCCCCAAGATACTGCTTCCCTTGCCCAGAAAAAGCAGACGGAGAGTGCGTATGCGCCTCCCAAGCCCGCGTCTCCCGATGCCGTCAGGGCTGCAACCAATTCTTACATGCCTCCTCCATCGCCAGCGGCTTCGCAAAAACAGCAGTATGCTCCAGTAGCACCGCCATCATCTAATCCAGCCGCCGCCGCCGCCGCTGCGGCTACTGGAATGCGTCCGGCAGAAGTTAACCGTCCAGCGCAACCTCCACCGCATGCTCAGTACAATCCGGCTGCTTACCTTCCATACCAGCAACACAACATCCCGCCCCAGCAACCAAGCATGCCGGTTCAACCCCTTCAGAAACCCAGCACGCCATACACAATACCCCAGCAGCAGCCTGTGCCAATGACGCCTCAGCAAGCCGTTACGCAAGTCAAAGAAGAGCCGCCTCAACCTCAACAGAAAACTAGAATCGGTTTGGATCAGTTCAACTTCCTTGCTGTCCTTGGTAAGGGTAATTTCGGCAAGGTCATGCTGGCAGAGACGAAGAAGACGCGCAAGCTTTATGCCATAAAAGTTTTGAAGAAGGAATTCATCATCGAAAATGATGAAGTGGAGAGCACCCGATCGGAAAAACGTGTTTTCTTGATCGCAAACAAGGAACGCCACCCCTTCCTTCTTAACTTGCATGCCTGCTTCCAAACCGAGACCCGCGTGTACTTTGTAATGGAATATATTAGCGGTGGTGATCTGATGTTGCACATTCAGCGCGGCCAGTTTGGTTTGAAACGAGCACAGTATGTCTTCCACATAAGCTTACTTCTTCCGTCGTATATCAATTCTGGCTAACATAAGCTTTACAGATTCTACGCTGCAGAAGTTTGTCTAGCTCTCAAATACTTCCATGAAAATGGAGTCATTTATCGTGACTTGAAACTCGACAATATCCTCCTGACTCTGGACGGCCACATCAAGATTGGAGATTATGGTCTCTGCAAGGAAAATATGTGGTATGGCTGTACAACAGGCACTTTTTGCGGCACACCCGAATTTATGGCGCCAGAAGTAAGTCAAATTGCGACAAGTATGCTTAGCTGGGGTTTCAACGACTGACAACCGGTGGTAGATTTTGCTTGACAAAAAATACGGCCGAGCTGTTGATTGGTGGGCATTTGGTGTGCTCATTTATCAAATGTTGCTTCAGCAGTCACCTTTCCGTGGTGAAGATGAGGACGAAATCTACGATGCCATCCTTGCTGATGAGCCCCTCTATCCAATCCATATGCCCAGGGATTCTGTCTCCATCCTTCAGAAACTATTGACACGCGAGCCGGAACTGCGACTAGGTGCTGGACCTACAGATGCCCAGGAGGTCATGTCTCATGCTTTCTTCAGGAACATCAACTGGGATGACATCTACCACAAGCGGGTGCCTCCACCATTTTTGCCACAGATCTCCAGCGCTACTGATACGAGCAACTTCGATCAAGAATTCACGAGTGTCACACCTGTGCTCACACCAGTGCAGTCTGGTAAGATCTCATTGTCAGCTATCTTGGTTGATCATATGCTAACGCATGCCCAATGTAGTTCTTACTCAAGCTATGCAGGAGGAATTCCGCGGCTTTTCTTATACCGCCGATTTTGCCTGATCAAGAGTATCGAGATTCGTAGTGTCTATATTGAACATGATCTTGCTTTTGTTGCTGCTTCTATCCTGACGGGTTTGGATGTCCTTTTCGCGAATTGACTTGCGGCTCTTTCGCTGCTTCTGGCTCCATTTAGTGCCTTTTGCACTCGAACTTCGCTTAAAATACCCAAGTGAAAATGCGTGTATTTGCTTTATTCTCTGAACTTCTGAAAGGACGTAAACAACTATGTTGGGAACCTCCCTTGTTATCACTTCTGTCATGTTATGGCATCTAAATGGTTTACTGTTAATGCTTAGGAAATTCTCCTCGACTCATTTGATGTGATCCCTCCTGATGCATCCTCTCCAGTTCTTGTGCAAGAAGCAGGCGTTGTTGCAGCGGCATGTCTCTTCAGGCGCATTTGCGCATTTGCTAATGAGGATAGCGCTGAATGGCTTCGAAATTAAAATCTCCCGGGCTGCTAGTTGATGCCACTTTTAGAACACTTACTGCTACTTCGTTTTTATATACAGTTCGGGGGAAGTCCAGCGGTCTATTGAGAGGTGGCTTATAGAAGCTGTTTCTTCTCGTTTCGTCTTCTCTTGATAGTAGAATTCAACGCTGACTGAGAATACCACCTCCTCTTTGTCTGCCTTCGAGGAGCCTCTATCCATTTCAAGGCATGCTTCTCATTATGGGCCTCGGGACGTCGAATTTACTTACATTGTGCCAGGCTTAGAAGCTCCAATCCCCCATCTCAGACGCATTCGTCCACCATCTGTTTGACATTCACCACTCTGCAATGTTCCCCTGTCCCATCCATTCAAACAAAGAAACGAACACAAAGGGAATACACCTCGTACTCTACGGAACAAGAAGCCCCCGTCTTCGTTTCAATGACTACGTTAGCTACTAGTGTAGTCAATGCAAAGACAGCCTCGTCGTCGAAGACAGCAGCCATCTCTAGACGGCATCTTCGTAACATCCTCGAATTCTGAACAGGACAGTTAATTGCAACCATACGGCTTATTTCTTTCAATATCCGTCGTCTCCGAAATACAGAAGTCACTACTACTCAGTGTTCCCAAAATGGCACAACAGGCCAGGGCTACGAAGGGACAAACCCAGCCACCACAGAAACGAAAAGCAGCTCCCTCGGATACAACTGAATCAAACAAGAAAACAGAGGTTAACTTCCCCTCTGGCTCGGGAGCCTCATTGCGTACGCAACTCAACAATGCCCTATCCACAGAATTCGATGACTATGGACAGGAATTTATTTTCAAAAAGGCAGGATTTCAAGCGCTGTCGGGTTCCTCCGCTCGGGATGACATGGATTCGCTTCTGGCGCACAGTGATGATTCGGACGTCTCTATCCGGTCAGAACCATCGAGCAGGAATAGGACACGGAGGAATAGAAGACAACAGTATCAAGAAGACGAGGATGAGGCATACATCTGGCGCAGTGATAGTGACAGTGAAGTCGAAGAGTTCAGCATTTCGAAGAGTGAAAAGAGCACCTTCGAGTTTGACTACTCGGCAGAAAAGGCTAGGCGTTGGTCAGGCGTTGTCAACATTCCCCAGGGGATCTGGAGCGAAGAAGAGCGGGACCTCTTCTTTCGACTTGCTATGCGTGGATTTGAACCTCTCATTCCGAAATACTGGCATTTGGATTTCCCAACCCTTCCCGAGTCTCTATTCGCAGAGGTTGGGCATGAGGGAGAGGCAGTCATCCACGCAATAAAATCCGAGTTTCACGGTGAGTTACATACAGGTCAGCTGTGTTCACTCTCTGATCTCCTGACTGACTTGATCTCTTATGTTGTGTAGCCATAAAGTCACTTGTTGGTCTTTTCAATATCTCAGGTCGAGTGAGGGACTGCAGGATTCTGCGCATTCGACCGGAAACTGTAATCAAACGGGCCATCCAGAAATATATCCGTTGGGCTTTGTTCGATGCCGATTTGGATTGTCATCCTCGAGTGATGCCGGTCCATGCAATATATTCTCAGAAGACAGGAGAATCAACCCTTCACGCCCTGGGAAAACTCAATAGACGTCTAGAGAAGAGGGCCAAGTCGTACCTCAATGCTGCAGGCTCGAGTCAACATTCTTCTGATCGCGTCTATCCCGTCCTTTACGGCTTCTTTGTATGTGGACCGATAGTTGCATTGCTGACAATGGACAGTGATCCTGAAAAAATAGCAGGTCGGAAAGATGGCGCCGGAAGTCGATTTGTTTCCCAATTTGACCTTTCGGAACGTGGGCAGGACGTGTGGAATTCACTGGCGATTGCAATTATGACAATGTATATGCGCAAGACGATGATAAAGGTAAAGGAAGATGCGCAAAGAGGCCTTTGGAGGCTTCCTAATAATGTGCCTGTGGATGCGGAGGAAGATCACTAGTAAGGATATGGAGGTTTCCTAACCTGCCGATTTTGATTTTCTTATTCCTGAATTAATCACACAAGGGGAGGGGTTTATTGTCTATTATATTTAAGCATGGAAATAAAAGAAAGAAAGTAAGAAAAAGGAGTATCATGACACTTAGTAGCGTCTCTAGCTATTGTAACCACGGGAGATTTAGAGCTTAATAATTGCTCAAGTCAATGGCCTCATACCGTACTGTCATTTTCCTCCATTCTTATAGATGGCCATCACATGACTCACAGTTTGTCTCCCAACGCTTCTGATCCACCACAAGCACAATTCTAAGAGAGCTGATTATATTTGATACAGCCCGGCATGGATGCAGCAGAAGATAGAGACATTAAATTTCAACGTGCATCTGGGGACCTGATAAAGGATCTAACCGAAAGTCTTCCATCTCTGCTTTGGAAGCCACAAACTGCGAATGGGCAGGATGTCCGAGTCGTACGCCGCTGGGCGCAGGCCGCTATGACAGAGAGGCTCATAAGCCTTGTAAGACTTCCCAAATCTTCTCTGAACGGACAAAGGTATTCTGACGAGTAATATAGCTTGAGCCTTTCCAAGAGTGGCCGCAGCTTCTAGACCCGCATCTGCAGAAGTTGCTGCCCCCTCTGGTTGACGCTTTCTTGGCCTATCTGGTCAAACATAGTGAACAGTACGCCGCGAGAGCACCCCGAACACGGCAACATGGGACTCTTTATCCTCTCCCAAGAGCTATTGGCAAACTTATGTACACCTTTTGCAAGGTTCGGGGGGTCAAGGTTGTCAGCAGGTTCTTGAACAATGAACCCAAGTATCTCGACCCGCTACTACGAGCATTCATCCAGTGGGACTCAGTCCAAACTAATTATCCGATGGAAATAGCAACAGGGGACGATTCAAAGCGACTCATTTGGGAAGAGCGATATATCATGTTATTATGGCTCTCACACCTCTTGCTTGCTCCTTTTGATCTGGCCTCTATGTCTTCAGATAATATACCTGTGCCTCATGATAATTTGGACCAGCTGAACATGTTACCACCAGAGACGCCCGCAATTGCAAAGTCTATTCTTTCAGTGGCTTTGAAATACGTTAGTGTCCCTGGAAAGGAGCGGGAGGCCGCAACCGTGCTGTTGGCACGTCTTGCACTTCGCCGAGATATGCACGCTGATCTTCTCAACAAACTGATTGACTGGGCTTTTTACACGTTACAACCGGAAGATGGTACTAAGTTGCCTTCTGTCTACACGTGTGTTGGGGTGTTATCTTTTCTCGCTCGCTTAGGAGCGTCGAGCCAGGTTGAAGATTTCATGCACCTCGTTGTCCCTATATTTGGACGGACCCTTCGCATTGCTCAATCAGATTCGGTGACATGCAAGGCGATTAGGTCTTCTGCCTTGGCACGGAAAATGATGATTAAGATCCTTCGCACGTTCACGGTTATGGCTTTAGCTATAAATGAGAGAGCTGATGGTAATCTCACTGATGAAAATATATCTTCGATACTAGAAGATACCATTGATCATTTCCTGGTCTCGCTTGCTGACGATGACACACCTGTGCGGCTTGCTGCGAGCAAAGCTTTGAGTATTATAACATTGAAGTTAGACTCTGTCATGGCAGTAGATGTCATCGATGCTGTTCTTGGATCATTGGAAGAGAACATCCTATATGAGAAGCGCGACGGCACCCTAGTGACGCCGTTCGAAGCGCGAAGGATCGGCTTTAACACTTTAAAGCGCAACCTGAGTGCAGTCGATGCCCAGAGATGGCACGGGTTGTTGCTGACTTTAGCTCATTTGGTCTTTCGGCATGCTCCTCCAACGGAGCAACTTCCCAGCGTGCTGCAATCCCTTGTGTCTGGTCTTGACTTCGAGCAGAGATCTGCAACTGGAAGCTCTATTGGAACTGCAGCTCGGGATGCTTCCTGCTTTGGCATATGGGCACTGTCTCGAAAGTATACAACAAAGGAATTGCTAGCGTTAGATGCGCAATCAATCCATTTTTCTGCAAGTCAAGAAGGGATGAGCGTTGTGCAAATGTTGGCCGTCGAGCTTGTACGTGCTGCATGCGTCGACCCTTCGGGAAATATAAGACGAGGTGCCTCCGCTGCCCTACAAGAACTTGTCGGTCGCCATCCTGATACTATCCTTGAGGGAATCTCTCTTGTGCAGGTAGTAGATTATCATGCGGTTGCGCGCCGCTCACGGGCGATGATTGGTGTTGCAAAGGCGACAGCGGATCTCAACTCCGTTTATTGGAGTCCTCTCGTGGAATCATTGATGCAGTGGAGAGGTATTGGTTCTCCTGATGCGGAATCCAGAAGACAAGCAGCAAGGGCGATTGGAGCATTGAGTGCTCGAGAATCGTACAAGACTATGGGGCTGGTTCTCCGGCAACTTCTTGAGAAGCTTTCTGGCATTTCCCGGGGTGACACGGAGACAAGGCATGGCTGTCTGCTATCAATTGCCGCTGTTATTGATACTTATAATAGTCAGCTGGATATTATGGTTGATAGTAAGCATTCCTCCGGTGCTTTTGATGTTCGCCACCAGATAGGAGATCTTTGGGAAATATTTGATTCATCGTTTGGTCCAACCCCCGAAGATCTTACCCTCCAAACTGCGCGGCCCGAGTTGACTGCTGAGGCGGCTTCACGCCTGGTTTCCTCTCTTTCTCAGTCAACTGTCCAGGATCCGGAAATGCTTCATCCCTGCGCTGCCTTGCTTGATACGGTGCTTCAGATTCTCTCGCTATCAGTATGCCGAGTGGAAGATATTGTCATTGAGGCTTCCTCTGATGCTCTATCGAAGTTGTTTCTTCTTTTCCCATCCTCCAAACGACAGGAGACAGTGCAAAGCTGGATTGCTCATACTCAGGCCGCTAGCAAATTGCCGACAGGGCGCGGTCAGATACTAGCTCTTGGAACGGTGTTTAAGCGAGTTGAGGCAATAGACTCTTTGGGTGAATCTGTCATAGAGGAATTGCTGCGCTGTGCTGTAAAGGAGGAGCTGATTGAAAAGAGGGTGACCGCCGTGAAGTGCTTGTCAGCCGAGGTTATGCCGTATGCAGGTATGTCCCTGGCCCTCCGTATTGCACCAAGAATCTCAATTTTTTGACTATTTCGCAGCTGTCACGGATACCATTGTAGACCACTTTGTCGGCTTCCTGAACGATTACACGACAGATAGACGAGGCGATATTGGGTCCTTGGTCAGAGTAGAAGCGCTTCAAGGTGCCCGGGTGATTCTTCAAAAACATCATGGTTCAACCTTTCGCAGCGAGTGTACCCAGAAACTCCTCGGCTGCATATCCCGACTTGCTGCAGAGAAACTGGACAAGGTCCGTTTCCAGGCATGGCTCTGTCTACAGAGATTCTGGGAGTTGGGAAACGACTTTCCACGGTTGCAAAGGTGATATGCTCTTTCTCCATTCTCCCATCAAGCTTATATTGACCAAGGCAGGAAATATGAGCATTTCATCGATGTGTCTTCACCACATTATTTCCTTCAGCTACTGGAGTTGCAACAAGTCGAGTGGCTCCGCCTGCCGCTTATCCAAGGTATTGCTACTTCAGCCGTCGCTGGATCTGAGGGTCTCATTCGTGCATCGCGTTCAGCATTGGTGCAGTACATCAATGCATGCGAAGAACAGCAGCGACAAGTTGTGGTTACTACACTCCTCAATAGCCTAATAATTATCCTAAGCGAGAATATGCAGGATGACCGCTACGCAATACCGGTTATGGAGTTAACTGCTTTCTTAATTGATGGATATATATCCACCATTTCTGCAGGGCTGGAACCAAGGTCGGTCTTGTCATTTTTTCTTGCAACGGTCTGTAGCAAAACGATTACTGAGTCCACCCTTCCCATTTTAGCCTCAGGAAGGTCTTTATTCTTACCCAGAAGGCACATTTCAAATCATCGAATATAGCTCGCTTAGAGGCGGCGATTAAGGTCTACGCGCCATTAGCGAGACTCGAGCAACTACGACCAGACGTGCTCAAGAAGCTGTCAGGGATGTTGCTGCATCCATTCCCCAAGGTATGTTTCTGCACAATTCCCGCAGCTCTTGCATTATTAATTTCCGTTCAGGTCAGGGCAGTTGTTGCAGATTACCTGTTCATGGAGACGGGTTTGGACTTTGTCAGAAACGAAGATTGGACTCGGCAGCCAAAGCAGATGAAGGGAGATGTTGAAAGGCTAAGAAGGGTATTGGTTGTGTAGATTTATATGAAATTCAAACCTCATATCGAATGTTGCATTTGCATAGCGTAGGATGGATGACCCCTTGAGATGAACAAAAAAGACTATTAAACCAAACGGGTTGTATGTATTCAAGAGCAATACAAAAAAGAAACTGAATTGATGCATCATCCGCGAATCGAACGCGGGCCTCATCGATGGCAACGATGAATTCTACCACTAGACCAATGATGCTTTGATGTCTGTTGGAGATCGATCTATTATTATTAACCAAATTTTCTTAGCATCCGAAACGGATTAAAGCTGGGAACATCAGCCATAATAATCCCAAGATCGATTCTGCCGAAGTTGTGATAAAGCTCAGCTGTCGCAAACATGGCGACACTCGGTACAGTACCTTCAAATATCCCGCCAAATCCCACGTAAGTCGATTCAAGATGACACATCTCCTCTGTTCTAGAAGAAGTGCTAACCCGTTGCATCCCGCAGTGTCTACGTTCGTTCTCCATGCAGCTTTTCCACGCGACGCCGCCCAATAACTAACCACAATTGACAGGTTCGCAACCTCGAAGAAAGGATCAAGATCGATCAACTCAAGGAGGCTCTTCAAGAGATCTTTTCCGAATATGGAAATATTATCGAGATAGTCGCGAAAAGGAACCTAAAGGCCAAGGGCCAGGCCTTTATCGTATTTGACAATGTCGAGTCAGCGTCTCGGGCTATTGATGAGGTCAATGGATTCGAACTTTTCGATAAGCCGATGGTGCTTGATTATGCGAAAACAAGGAGCGACGCTACTGTTATGCGGGAAGGGGGACCAGATGAGTTTGAGGTTCATAAGCGGAGGAGGTTAGCTGAGAAAGGTAGAGCGATTTATTTCCTCGCGCCTTTCTTTTTCACATGCGTTCCTCCATATGTGCTTTAGTATTTTATTCAAAGCTGACCTACGGACACAGAGCGCAGACAAGCCCAGGAAGCCCTCGAGGCCCAAAAGAAACTCAAACGCCCAACCGGCGCCCCTGATGTCGCTCGTCCAGCAAAGGCCGCCAAGGGAGCTGGTCTCAAACCAAGCACCGGCGCAGCAGCAGCAGTTATCCCAGATGAATATCTCCCCCCGAACAAGATCCTGTTCTTGCGGGATTTGCCCGACAACGCCGATCAAGAGAGCCTTACTGCCGTCTTTGGCCGTTTCGAGGGGTTCAAGGAAGTCAGATTGGTACCTGGGCGGAAAGGAATCGCTTTCGTCGAGTATGAGAACGAATCTGGAGCTATCAGTGCGAAGGAAGCTACGTCCGGAATGCCTATGGGAGATGCTGGGAAGCCTATTCGGGTTACCTACCAGAGACAGTAAAGCTGTCTTGTTCTCTCTTTTTATCTTCCTGGGCATTGTGGAATTAGTTAGTTTCGTGGCGTCTTGTGGGGTTTATGTTTATATTATTTCGCATGGCCTTATTTCTTATTTCTATTCTTTTTCTTGACCCTTCAAAGGAACATGCATGGTACGATGACAGTTTTGTCTTTCCCGTACTTGAAAGGAAGGCAACAGGTACTACGGAAAAAAAAGTATCGAACAAAACTGACTGATCGAGTTACAAAAATGCCAATATCTAATGAAGTACGCTAGTTACAGAACCCAGAGAAACCCAGAAAAGCGAAAAGTGTTAGAATATGACATCCTCATCCTCATGTTCTCCGAGGACGTCCGGTACTGTTGGCAGCTCAGTCTCAGCGGTGGTGGCCTTCTCCATGTCCGCTTCCTTCTGTCTGAGGGCGAGGATCTCGGCATTCGAAGCTTCGCTGTCTCTTTGTTTCTTGTTCGAGACCTTTTTGAGTCGATAGAACTCCTCTCTGTCGAGCTCGTCAAGCTCCGAATTGATGTCTTTAAGATGTTAGTAGGCATTTATGAGACGCCAATATCAGGATGGGGAAGTGAGCCAACATTTGATGGTATTCTCCGTCCGAGGAATGATAACATGTTCACTGTTTCAAATCAGTCATCTTGACACTCCCTCCTGGCAAATATTAATGGCTGATTTCCTTACATGGCATTTACTGTGATGTAGGTTAGCAATAAAGTAAATAATGGATTTCTAGGCTCTTGATTCTGTGAACGTACCTCGTCGGTTGACAACCTTGATCACCTCATCTAGGATAACGAACGCAGTCTGAAAGAAGGTAGTAAGATATAGATATCTATATGTATATGGAAGATGCGAGTACCATACCTGTAAACTTGCAAGCTCCACCAAGGTTTCTACTGCCCGGGCATACGTCTCACGGCAGCGCTGTACCTGCTGACCACCCTTTCCAAGTCCAGTCAGACCAAAATCGTTAATGCCCTCCTCAGTATAACTCTCGAAATGAGGCAAGAAAACACCCGAAACGTTCTCCTGCTTGGCTCGCACGCGAAATCTGGCCTGCTTGACTGATTCCTGAACCTGATATCCAATCTCCCCTCCGACGGCGTAGTTAACTTCGGCCAGTGAGAATGCAGCTATCTGCATGACCCTCCCCATCTTCCGCTTTGCTTCATCAATCCGCCTTGTAATCTCTGATTCTGTGGTCAGCTTCTCGTGCATAGCGGGGATCCTAGATAGGGAGGTATCATACCTCGAAAACGTCTGTTGATGGAACATACGTGTCAGCAATGACGATCTTCAATTGACGGGTAAATAGCAAACGCACTTGGTCAGAGCTTCGCTCTTTCTCTTCAGCAAGCTGTGGCCAGTCTCTGCACCCTTCAGCTTGCTCTTCATCAACCCGAGTGACTGGCGAGTCGGGAAGACTGGCTCGCGGCCCTATTGGAAAGAGCGTCAATGACGGATCTATGCCATAAAACCAATGCCTTTCCAGACTACAGTATACTCACCACTGCTCCTGACATGGCTCATGTATTGATAGAAACCCGTCGGATCAAAATCGCAGGCAGCAGGAAACTTCTCATGCGCAAACGGGGCATCTAACTGCCAGCCATGACGATACGCGATAATACGCCCGAGCTCGGGCCAACTGCCATCTATCAGTCACGTGTCAGAGGCTGCAACTTCATCCTCGTCGCAGGCGCTGAAGACGTCTTCGACGCGACAAGAGTCCCGTTCACGCTAGAACGGCACATCTTACCCTCGAACTTAAGAGTTGGTCACCCGGGAAAGGATCCCGCTCAATTGAGTGGCGGTATGCCAGGGACACTTCTGCCCCCGAGATCACACCGGCAACACGCCCAGATGGACCGATCGGCAGCCAATGGACCGGATCTTTACCTGATCGTGAGTGGGAGATGGTATTGGGATCTTCAAAGACTGATGACTGACTATGATACTCCATTCCAGGCCGACCAGGATGTGGTATACGAGCAGGATATCCTCAGGGATCCGCATAGTATCAAGCCATGGATCGCATATATCGAGCACAAACAGCAGCAGGGCACACTCTACGAGCAGGCCTTTGTGAGTCATCATTCTTCTCTATTATTAGGTACCTTCTAACAGCCTGTTTTCTAGGTAATGGAGCGCGCATGTAAGCAACTCCCAAGGTCCTACAAGCTCTGGAAGATGGTTAGTTTCTTTCCCCATTCTGAATTGATTTCGTGGTTGTCGTATAACCCGCTTACTTTGTGTGGTTTTCTCATAGTATTTGGAATTCCGAACGAAACATCTTCGGAATCGCAATGCGACACATTATCGGTCGGAGTATACGAAGGTGAATAATCTCTTTGAGCGGGCGCTTATCCTCCTCAACAAGATGCCGCGGATATGGGAAATGTATCTTTCCTTCTTGCTACAGCAGCCGCTGGTGACCCAGACGCGACGGACTTTTGATCGGGCACTTCGTGCACTTCCGGTTACCCAGCACAACCGTATTTGGAAACTCTACAAGTCATTTGCGCGTTCCGCGTCTGGACAGACTGCAGTGACCGTGTGGGCCCGGTATATGCAAGTCCATCCAGAGAATGCCGAGGAGTACATCTCGCTTCTTGTCGAAATGGGCCAATATACTGAGGCCGTGAAAATATACATGGACATCCTGGACAACCCGCGCTTTCAGTCCAAGGAAGGGAAGAGCCACTTCCAGTTATGGATTGAGATGGTGGACCTACTGGTTTCCAGGGCCAAACAGATAGAGACCGGACCTCAAGTGGGCATCGATGTGGATGCAATCATCCATAGCGGAATCGACCGGTTCGCCGACCAGAGAGGTAAATTATGGGCCGGTCTTGCAACATACTGGATTACCAAGGGAAATTTTGAGAAAGCCAGAGATGTCTTTGAAGAAGGTATCACTACTGTTATGACTGTCCGCGACTTTACTTTGATTTTCGACTCCTATGCTGAATTCGAGGAATCTATCATTGGGAACTTGATGGAAGCAGCAGCAACCCGGGCTGAGAAGGGCAAAATCGACGAAGATGCAGATTTCGACCTTGATCTCCGCATGTTGAGATTCGAGCAGCTCATGGATCGACGACCGTTCTTAGTCAATGATGTATTGTTGAGGCAAAATTCTAACAATGTCATTGAATGGGAGAAAAGAGTGGCTCTGTGGGGTGATAATAAGGAAGAGATTGTTCAGACCTACGCGAGAGCCATAGCTGCTATAAATCCCAAGAAAGCCCATGGGAAATTCTCGGAGCTTTGGATCAACTATGCCGGATTTTACGAGAGCGGCGGAGATCTGGAGACCGCCAGAGTCATATTCGACAAAGCCGTCAAGGTTCCATTTAAATCAGTTGCCGAATTGGCGGAGGTATGGTGCGAATGGGCGGAAATGGAGCTTCGCGGCGAAAACTTCGACAAAGCAGTTGAGATTATGGCCAAAGCAACTCAGGCACCCAAAAGATCTAGCGTGGACTATTTCGATGAGAGCCTTTCCCCGCAGCAGCGAGTCCATAAGAGTTGGAAACTATGGAGTTTCTACGTTGATCTCGTCGAGAGTGTCAGTTCCCTGGAAGAAACGAAGAAGGTATATGAGAGGATTTTCGAACTACGCATTGCAACTCCTCAGACGGTCGTCAATTACGCCAGCCTATTGGAGGAGAACCAATACTTCGAGGACTCTTTCAAGGTTTACGAGCGAGGACTAGATTTGTTCAGTTACCCGGTTGCGTTTGAGCTCTGGAACTTATACCTGACGAAAGCGGTGGATCGTAAGATCGGAATCGAGAGACTGAGAGACCTCTTCGAACAAGCTCTTGATGGATGCCCGCCAAAGTTTGCAAAGGTCCTGTACTTGATGTACGGCAACCTGGAGGAGGAACGCGGTCTCGCACGCCATGCCATGAGAATATATGAGCGTGCTACGCGAGCAGTATCTGACGAGGACCGGTTTGAGATGTTTGAATTTTACATCACGAAATCTGCCTCGAACTTCGGATTGACGTCAACAAGACCGATCTATGAACGCGCCATCGCTGCTTTGCCTGACCAGGAAGCGAAGGAGATGTGCCTCAAATTTGCGGAGATGGAAAGGAGACTTGGTGAAATTGACCGGGCCCGTGCTATTTACGGTCATGCTTCCCAGTTCTGCGACCCTCGCACCAATGCTCCCTTCTGGCAGAAATGGGAGGCATTCGAAGTCCAGCATGGAAACGAGGACACGTTCAAGGAGATGCTTCGTATCAAGCGGAGCGTACAGGCTCAATACAAGTATGTCATTAATTTTCTTGTTGTCCTGATATCTCAAAAGAGTTACTAACAAATCTTTCTTCACAGCACCGATGTCAACTTCATCGCTTCTCAAGCAATTGCTCGTAGCCAACAACAACGTGCCCAGGAGGGAATCAAAGAGGGTGAAGGAGAAACCGAAGAAAATGACCGTGCAGATGCCATGGCAGCCTTGGAACGGCAAGCTCGCGCCCCCGTGGGCTTTGTCGCTGCCAGCACAGGTCCGGAAGGTGGCAATCGTCCTCCACCTCATGAGCAGCCCACAGCCCCTGTCAACCCGGATGCTATTGATCTTGACATGGATGGTGAAGAATAGGACTATTCTAGAAAAGAGATAAGAGATTACTACCCCCCATCCATATTCTCCCTTCGAAGAAAGCGAGCAAGCAAGCAATACAAATCAGAAAAAAAAAGGAAATATTTTATTCAAATTTCATTTGAACTTGTGTGTCTGTCTCGGACGCCTTGAATTAATATTTCTTTTGTTGTTCGCAATTTGTATTAGTCTTTCTTTCTTCCCTTCTCTTCTCTATTCTTCTCTCTCTATCTCTTTTCACCATTTCACGTACGTGGTGTGACTTTCACTTTTGCTCCCAGAGTGGGCTGTTCAATTCATACTGTCCAATGGTTCTATCTCTACGATACCTCTGTCGTTGTTGCATTGTTTCATTTGGCGTTTCCTCTAGCCGAGAATATTCCAGTATTGTTCATGGTATATTTATTATATAGACTTGCTCTGCTGAAAGTGACAGTAGAGCTACCTGCCGTGGCTTGTGACATGAAAATGCGCGAAGACCTTGAATAAATGAAGGCTTTTTTGAACACTGCCATTAAATCCCCATATATATTTCCACTTGTTATCTTTCTATTTGCAAGTAAGAAATGATTTATCTCTTTCTCTCTTTGGCTCTGAGCATGCTTATCGATGATGGATGGATGGACAACTTATGGTTTCTATGTACAATGCTTTCTTTCCAAGGACTGCGGACTGACTACCCATGTATCATCCTCTTAGGTGAAAGGAAAAAGAACGGTAGGTAGATAGATGATATCCAGTTCAGAGTTGAGTTCTACCGAGGAGGAGAGGGGACCAGATCAAGGTGAGAGAATAAGAAGCGATTAAATCAGTCTTCCCCTTCTCCCTTGCCAGCAGCAACGTCGGGATCAGGAGTCGGTACTGACTGGCTATTATGATTATTATTATCTTCCTTAGCAGGCTCGTCATTCGCGCCCTGCGATGGGGGAACAGTAGGTGATGCAACGGTGGAGGTCGGGGGAGACTTGAACCTATCCTGTGTTGACAATGAGGCGTCCGGGAATATCTCCAAAAACAATTCGGGTAAGAACCGCTCTAGGCGTTTTCGGGTTTCGGCCCAGATCTTTTCCTTGTTGGGGTCCTGGGATGGTGGGACCAACAAGCCTCCATCGGCCATGACGAGGAGGATATTCTTGACGCTCTCGGGGATTGCTTCTTCCTGTACGTGTGCAGGAATGGTCAGAAATGCTATGATCGGCGGAGTTTCGAAAAATCAAACATACCAGACTATCTCCTTGACCGCTATTCATCATTCTATCCAGGATATCCAAGATTTTCAACCACAGATCCAGCATTCCGCTCTGGTTCGGTAGCTGGTCGAGGTAGCGCAAGAAGATCTTGCAAACTAAAGTCGCTGCTTGGACTCGAGTTTCGCTCATCCCGACAGGATCTGAATGGTAGACCTCTGGCTTCAACAACCGTAAGACAAGAGGGAAGAGCACCTCATCGAAGATGGCCGTCCACTCCCTATCGTCACTTGCAACGAGCTCGATAGAAAGAAGCGATCGTTGCAATGTTGAGATAGCATGGTGTCGGATTTCGCGGCAGGGATTGATACACTGCGCGGTCAGAGATTGGAATACAGGAGACCAGTATGCAGCCCAAGCTGAAATAAATAAAAGCAAATAGTTAGCACAGCCGTAATACACGGGTCCACGGTACATCCAGCCGGTCTGCACAAACCTTCTTTCTTTTCAAGATGGGACTGCTTGATCAGAGTCGGAACTCGTTTACTAAGATGATAGACGAGTCCGATTGCTTTGACGCCGCGAACCACGACTTGATTTTCTCTGTTATCGTTCGTAAGCCACTACAACCCAGAAGACAGATAAATAGAGTGAAAAAGGGAGTGGCCTCGTACGTGACTTTCGTTTGTTTGACGCCCTTGGATCGTCGAGTCCGAGAATCCATCTGGCGCTCATCGATGGAACCCACGCTTCCAGCACTAATGAAGTTGTCCGCGAGACCTACCGCAGACTCATAGTTGTCGGCAGTAATTATGGGCGGCATCGACTCCACAGCGGTTCGGAGTATCTCATACACTAGGGGAGCGGCCTCATCGTGCCGATGCAGTCTTTGCAGAATTGACCAAAAGTCTGGTGAGATAGTTACCTCATTCCTCAGAGGCCCTGGTTCAGCAATACATAGTGAAAGGCCCTTGACCGTGGGAACGGCAGTGCTTTCCAGAACATCTTGGTCAAAACTAGATATACCATGCAGAACAACTGGGACTCGCATAAAATGATACTCCTAATGAAACGAGAGTTAGTTACCTCTAATGGATGAGGATGGATGAGGAGAGTGGGGTATCATACGTGACTCAAACGCAATAGGCTCAATAGATAGTTTACAATCCGTGAAATAGCCAAGGGATGGAGGTTGCTTGCATCGCGAACAAAAGTCTGCAGCGTAGATGACAGATTCTCACCAAGGGTCTCCAGCGTGGCTTTCTCCCTCAGCGTGAGAACTGTTGCCAGCTCCAGAATATATATCATTCCAGGGTCATAGTTCGACTTATTAGACCCTAAGCGGCCATTTGAGTGCCTTCGAGAACTGAGTGGCCTCTCGGGCTTGACCACAATGACCGCTGGTACTGTTTCTTCGGGCAACTGAGACAAAAGAGCCTCTACTAACCACGAAGCTGACGGTAATAGCAGGGAACTGCAAAGACGATAAATATGAGCAAGGAACCCCAAAAAAAAAAAAAAAAAAAAAAAAGAAAAGACTAACTTCATATTGGTGAGAATCTCATTAATAGAGCACGCCTTGACGCAATCAACGGTGCATAGGGTATTATCAAGCTCCTCATCTGATGGTTCCGGAGGATCATCAGCTGCGTAACTCGAGAGGTAGGAAGTAAACGCAGACAACAATCCAGTTTCATTCTGCTGTCTATCACGGTCAACAACTTGAGACGGCGGTTGCAGAGAGATTGGTGGAATGTCGAGCTTGGAAACAAGGGTATTGTCAAGGGGTGGGATAAGGGAGTTGATGAACAGATTGCGGAGAATCCGCACAATGTAGACCCAGCTGTGCCGGGGAACAGATTCGTTGCCTGCCAGAACACGGAACAGCACCACTGTTGCCAATTGTGCGCGGAAATCTCTTCCAAATTTCACTGCAAGCTCACTGACCATCACGCTTTTCTTTCCAGCCTGTACCTCTGTATTCAGGGAAGTACTCGGTGGTGTGTCGGTGGCAAGGGTGCTGATCGAAGAGAGACAATATACTATACGGTCAAACGCTTCCGTCAGACGATACCTGGCGGCAATTTGGGCACATTGGTCGAATCCCATCACAACTCGAGAATAAACTGCATCGTCTGACGCGGACATGAAAACGTACGAGAGCGTTGCAACGACGGGTTTCCAGGTAGCTTCGAACATATCTGCGTCGAATATATTGGTTTGCCCAACCACCATCTCTCCAGCCGAAGATGCTTTCATTAGAAGTTCTCTCCAAGCGTAATCGAACGCATGCTTATTCTCGTGCTCATCTGGTAGAATAATTTCATTCTCCTTGATAGAGTCATAGATCTCTTGGAGGAATTCGGGCGCAAAGTCTCCTCCTCCGTTCACGCCACGCAGATTTTTTGCAAAGTCCGTATAAGTCATGCGATTCTGCCCCTTGACATTAGGATTGTAAAGATCCGTATTCAGCATGATAATGGCATATGTCAACACATAGATAGCATCTTTGTCTGCAATGCCCTCAGGGTGGGCTTTCCCCATATACTTTTCGGAGAATATTGAGACGATTCGATCAATTAGAGGTGCCTCGCCGGGAAGGCGAAATGCGCCAAGGAGCTCCCGGAGAGCCTCGACAACACCTTTTCCTGCGAAGTCGAAAAGGTCGACGAAAGCATCCAGTAGCGGCTCGTTGGACCTCTTTGAAATGAAATCTCCCAGGACCTTCTTCGACAACCGAGTCGTCCCCTTCAGAAAGCGCGCAATCACGACAGGGTCATCAGGATTATCGATTATACCCTGCGATACGAGATATGCAATTCCAGCCTTGGGATCTTCATTGAACTTCTGACAGCCTTTTACAATAGTCCTCTTCGTCCTGCGTTGACCTCGCAAACATTCAATGTCGGGAAAGCCCTCGTACCTTGGTTTGTGGTCCAGCCTATCATGGATGAATTGAACATAGCTCAAAAGAGCATCCAGACATAGCGGAGGTACGTTGGTTGTGCTCCATGTCGCAGAGTCTGGAAAAGCGTTCCGCGACAACAAGCCTACCAAGTCCTCGCAGAGATCGCCCCTATCCACCTCGCAATCATAGTTAACGAAGAGCTCGACCATGTAGCTCGGTATACGTGTCAGAACCCCAATGTTCTCAACCATGGCCTCTCGAGCTTCCGGGTTTCTGGACCCGCCTTCTAGCCCTAGTCTTTGCCGATCCTTTATAGCAACAGGAGTGGATCTCCCACTGCTGGTTTGGGACGGGGGTGGCTTCACCAACTTTGGTGCCTGTGGTACACCTTCGTAAAGTGATGGGTCAATGCCTGCTTCTCTGGGTATTTCTACCCGTGGATGAAGGCAGGCAACCAGATAAGATAGGTACAGTTCCTGTTGAAGTTTGAGCACGGAACGACTGGTCAGCAGTAACGTGCCTGTAACGCGCAGAGATCCGGCAAGGATAGCCATGTTCTCCGATCGGACCAACTGAAAAAGATAACGGCATAGATCGTCTTGAGCCAAGGCGGCCATGCTGGGATTCCGGGCAATGGAAGGACCGGCCACTTCCAAGGCCACGTCAATGATTCTTAACGACATGACTCTCATGGCATCTGTATGTTGCGGGTTATGGGGGTCTAAGAGGTCTATAAGGACACGGAACAGCTCTCGAATGGAGGGCAAGGCGTACGGCTTGACTTCATCAACGTCGTCTTCGGGAAGCGTAGCAGCAGCAGCGGCTCTGCCATTGACTGTTTGATGCGCTTCCTCTTCGCTGCTGCGTTCATATTCGGAGACAGCAGCGTCAGTGCCCATAGCGGAAGGATGTTGTGATGTGACCGTGTCTCCATCCACCGACGGATCCATCTTGAAGTTGGAGGACTCGCCCTCGTCATGGGTCTCTTTCAAAGAGCCTGGGTCCGAATGTGATTGTCTGTCCAAAGATGCCAGTCGTAGGAAAATGACTCGGCACATATTGATCATGGCAATTTCAGCGGATTTACGGAGCAACTCCGACAGGCGAACCTGACAACACATACTCAGACCAGTTTCCATCATTTCACAGACACTCTCGTCTCCCAGAAGTTCTCCTTCTGGCCTCGACAATATTCCCTCCATCAATTTCAGAATCCTCAACAAAACGATCTCATCTTCTGCGGAATCACTGCCTTCGAACCGACAATGGGTGATGGCGGCTGACAAGAGCCGCACGGCCATTGATAGCCTTGGTGAGTCGCGAGTGATGATATCATACGCGAAAAACTTGGAGATGGAGACTAATGCTAGAGAGGTGATCGAGGCGGAAGTTGAAGACGAGCGAATGACCTGCAGGAACGGGTGTAGTAGAGATGGCGTATCGAAGGACCTGATATCGCGGCAAGCCTTGAGGTCACTCCGCAGACGTGTAAATGCAGAGATCAAGGGGTTATCCTGTATGCTCTTGCCCTTCTTGCCCCTCAAACCCCATCTATTTGCAAGCGAATGATCTTCATCGACGGTGGATGACCGATACTTGGACGATCTGGCTCCATTTCGGTAGGCGTCTGCAGCGGACGAATCGTAGTCATAGACCCTGTAGGCACTGCTGCCACCAAGAATTGCGGAAACTGAAGAATGCGCCCAGCGAGCATGCTTGCGCATGGCCGAGGTGACGGTGATACATTCTGTAGTCACCAAGGCAATGGGGTCGACGGCGATGGGTAGGGAGGAGGGCGTCGACATGGCTAGGGTAGGGAAGCGTTGAATAGGAGAGGTCCCAAGGAGAGAGAAGGTCTAGATCTCGCGGATCAGGGTGTCTCTCTCTCTCTCTCTCTCTCTCTCTTGGCTTGACTCCTGGGATGAAGAGACGCAGCTCTGTCGGGCTCGTCGTCGACAGCTGTTCTGTTCTGTTAAGGCAGCTTGATTGCCCGATTCGGCTAGCCGCTGGTCACCGCCTTGGGGTTCTAGGGATTCTGTTTTATAATAAATACAGTGGTACCATTCATTCTTATGAATTATTCACTTGAAGATTGTTATTATTATTATTATTATATGAATCCAACAGATTCCTGACATTGCGATGAGCTGTCTAGTATCTCCAGAGCCTGGATTGCCTACCGGCGTGATATGTCGACAACGCTGTGCTACTAACCGTCAATAATAACAGCCACTGCAATGCTGTCTGTCCCAAGTGCCCCTCCATACCAAGGCCATACTACGGATAGTATTTATCAATGTCGACTATCAACTCCGTCCACCACGGAGGTGTCACTGCGGGTGGCGGAGCTGACTGGGAGAAATGCTGCTTATAATGCAGCCGTGGTTGGCCAGGCAGGATGTAGCGGTACCTAAGTGACATGATGCGCCCCTCATGTTTTGCGCAGCCATCCGCCTGTACTGGTACTTCGACGCTGAAACCGGCAGACTCGTCACTTGCGCTCCACTGCGCTCGGCTAGATGCTATTTATTTGCAGTAGACGCTCCGTAGAGGCCTCAGCCAAGGCTATATTTATCGTCATTGTTCCAATATTTATTGTTGCGTCTCTGCTGCCCGACAGTTTGGCTTCAGCAGCCATCCGCGTCCTTGACAGCCTTACTATCCTCCCCCTTGCATCGCATTCCACCGCTGCTGTCTCCTGCTCTCTCCCTCCTCTTCCCTCGATGAACACCTGAAATCCCCCCTCAGACGAAAGCCACGCGTGCTGCGACTGTCTTGGACTCGCATGGAGGGGTGTGCAGATACAGAGTCGCGTGTATGCATGAGCGAGTGAACGAGGGACATCCACAACGTCAACAAACCACCGTCTGACTGCCCTTCGTGGGACAGACCTATGTCTCCCAGACACCCCTTCCCTCTGGACTGAGCTTCTTCTATTCTCGGCATCGTCTGTGTCACTTTCGTTTCGTCTCTCCCCCTCCTGTTGTTCTTTTAGCAGCCATTCGCGCCTGGGTCGCTCCTCCCTCGACCAGCGCATTGCGCGCATCAGGTCGTCAACAACAACAGTGACGACGACGACAAAAACACCCGTTAATAATAACATCATAACCTGAAAATAGCAGCGACGGCGCTCAGCCATGGCGATCGCGTCGGGTTCCCTGTCGTACCTGCCGCTGGAGCAACTCACACTGTACCATGCAGTCGATCCGTGTCTGTCGTCCATCCTGGTCTTCTACGGCCCTGTCACTACTGCCAATGCCACCGTCAGCAGTTCGCGTGTCCAGGCGCATATCTTTACTCCGGCAGGTTTCCGCAGTTACCCTCGCATTACTGTATCCCCTGCTGCTCCCCTGTACGCCGCCGTTAACCACCTGCCACGAGAGAAACAAGGCGACGAACTATGCCGCGGTCTGGCCGTGAGTATGCTAAAGTACTTCTCAGATTTGTCAGATCCCGTCAAGGACTATCTGCGAGAATTGGCCAAGGCTGGGAATGGGAAGTCGGGGACGAAACTATCCAACATGTTTGACGAGATACACGCGGCGGATCTGACGAACCGATTGATTGTGGTGGACGACGCGTCCGATGCGATACGGGATCTACAGGCAGCATATCAGGAGCGCAAGGTCCCTTGGATTGACATTGACGTTGTGCTGCCTGCTGGCACCATTCAGCCTCCGTCGCAGCTCGAAGATGACGCTGCGGAGATGGAAGGTAGCTCCGACCTCCAGTATGGCCAGTATTCGCCCATGGTACGAGCACTAGGGGATCCGATCTTTTTGCCCACGTCGCGGTTAAAGCGCGCACCGTCACAACCTACCAATTTAAGCAAGTCCAGGACCTTTTCTAGAAGTCAAAAGGAGGCTCTCCGCTTGACCATGTGTGAAGTTGTTGATACGGAGGAGCGGTATGTAGCCAAGCTATATGCTCTGGTTCATGACGTCGCAGAAGAGTTTCGGTTGAAGGCACAGTCGCGACCACCGTCCAGCACCAGCCCGGACGAGGCATCTCTTGCTGCGTTGTTTCCCCCTTGTCTAAACCAGATTCTCGACGTCAACCTTGGTTTCCTAGAAGTAATTCGCCAGGTGCTCGAAGAGACCGAGAAAGACGCTATTGAGGATATCTCACGGGATACAGAGCTTCCATCTTCCATGTCCCAGAGAGCGTCTTCGAGGCAAGGATCCGACGCGATGGGTGCGGTTGCATTTGCGAGCGCTCTTCTGGAATGGTTCCCGCGATTTTCACAGCCCTATGCTGATTACATGCGCGCTCACAATGGATTCACTCAGACGCTGAACTCTTTTTTGAAGGATAGGAATTCTAGTTTTTCAAAGAGGGTACACGAGACGGGCGAGCAGAGACTACGCTCCCTCTTAATGGAGCCGGTTCAACGCCTTCCGCGATATAGCCTTCTGATCGATACAATGATGAGCAGTCTCCCGCTGGTCCACCCCGCAGTTCGACCATTCCTGAAGGCTAGGGATGTTATCAAGGATATCTGTTCGCTGGATGATCCGGGGTCTACCAATTATACCAAAAGCCTTCAAAAGCTCAAGTCCCTGGTGGACGGTTGGCCAGCTGCTATATTCCCGGCAGGCCGCCTGATCAACGCGATTGACTTCAACGAATTGCCACCTCCATTCCGTACCGATCTCCAGACAACTAGTCACAGCACGGGCATCATGCTGCTGTACAAAAATTGCTTGGTTCTCTTGTCAAAGGCTTCTGGATGTAAGATCACCGCTCGTGCTTTATTAGCCGAACTTGACAATTCGGCATCCACAGCGGGTGACTCTGGAATCCTGATCCCTGGTGAACTCCGGGTTGCACAGGTACTCGACATCAACAAGGTGCGTTGCATGCAGTCTGGATGCGGGCGTATCTTGTTCTTGGCTCCCGCCTCAGCAACTATGGATGCGGAGCCAATCGACCTGCTTGCATTGGAATTGTTTGCAGTACATGAAGGGCGAGCAAATCGCTTGATCGAGGAGATCGTCAAAGCCCGAATCGAAGGCAGATTCCCAGAACAGGAGCGAGAGAATGGTAAATGGACCCTCAGGAGCTGCACAGGGACTGTCGGAAACCTTGGCATCTTAGCTTGCGTGTTTGAAGAGGATGAGACTGGGTCGTCGAAGCGAACGGGGTCTGCGAGGATAAAACTTGTATTCGATACTCCGAAGTCCGTATGCAGTAAGATGATGAGCAACTCCAACGACTTGGAGGGCATCGTTTCGATATCTGCGCCAGAGGAGGACAAGTTCAAAGTAGAAATCTACTCAACCGTTGAGATGTTCTCGTCCGACATTGTCACAGCAGATGTCTTCCTCCCTGCTCTTTCCAAGCGCCGTAAGTATAATGCCCTCTCCCCTCCCGCGATTCTGAACTGAGTTTTGGAGCTTACGATGGATGAAGTCTTGAATCTACTCTTGCCCCTGCATGGCCCTCAAAACAGGACCTTGACAGAGCCCATGGTCCGTTCGAATTTCGAAATCCTCCGCTATATTGCAAGCGGTTTTATGACCCAGATAAAGACCACTCGTTCCTTCAGACCACCCTCGCCCTCGAAGCTGCTTTCAAGTCTCTGGGGGGGGCAGTCCAAAGAACCGAGTTCTCCGAAACTACCTCATTCTGCCTCTCTACTGGGTGAATTCCCCAAACTGGCGCCTTCCAAACCGAATCACTCGAGATCGAACACCTTGCCGTCAATCTTCCCCAACAAGGACGATAGCGGGAATAGGATTTCCATGGTTGGATCAGAAACGTCGAAAGAGTCATTGGATAGTCCATTTGGCCTCCTAGAGCAGACGTTCTCGGCATACGCGCTTGCCCTTCAGTCCCGAAGCGGTAATATTGTTGGACGTATTCTCCGTGGGAGAGAGAACGTTGACAGATCCGCTGTCAACGAACTCTATAACGTACTGCTTGAGGATCCGGGAAAGATCCAAGCCGCGGCCGAAGTCCCCATTGATGTCCTATTTGTCGCATTCGAAACATTCATGGCTAACGCATGGAGGGATCACATGGGGCCCGTCCTCGAGCCCTCGTCGTTGAAGCTAATCCAGAGCCAATTTGATACTATGTTTCCTCGTGAATTCGATGAAAACTTTCGGGCATTGCTTGCAGAAATGAGCCCGCAGAACCGCCGTGCTTTCGCTGCAATGATTCGACTGCTCTCCGAATTGCTAGACGCATCAGGGAACGATGGTGATCGCGGTGCTCTGACGGCTGCTTTTGCAGAAGTACTCACCGAAGATGGAGATCCCATGCAACATGTCTCCCTTTTAGATCGATTGGTCGACGATTTTGGAAATCTCTTTGACGAATATGTCCCGGTTGGCGCTTCTTTGGAAGGCACCCTGACCACTGATCAGACAACAAAATCTCCCTCGCGACACTCCAGCTCCATGAATTCCAACTCTTCCTCCTTCAGACGACGTTTGGGGTTTGGTCTGCATCGTGAAAACTCGAAAACCGAAGGTGAAAGCAAAGTATCCTCGATTTTGAGGACTCTGAGTAAGAGCAAGGGATCTGGCGACTCTGAGCCAGGCACTCCCCGAGGCTCGCTACACTTGCGATCAAAATCCATTGACGTTGACACTCGACTGGGTCCTCTGTTACGCCCGAGCTCACGCGATCGCCCAGGCTCTCGTGATCGACCTGGGTCTCGCGACCGGCCAAGTGCTTCTGCAGAAGATCTAGTTCGTCGTCCAAGCAGTTCTCAAGAGGATCTTCCATTGTCGTCAATTAGAGGTGTGACAAACGGAAGTGCCAGTGTCGTGAGGGTTCGAAGGAAGCGGAGGAGTTCCCTCTCCGACCTGCGTCCTCTCTCGACGTTGGTAGAGACACCTGGCAGTCCTTCTTCGCCTGGATCTGTGACCCCGGGGCCTCAGTCAGAGGAAACCCCTTCGAAGAAAACCGTCCCTCCTCGCTTGACTTCGCCTTCTAGAACTAGATCCCCGGCACGTCCCACTACCCCGAAGTGTAAGGAGAACATCGACCCAAGATCAACGCCGGCAGAGAGGAGTTCTAAGAAAAACGACATAGCAACACCCACTCAAGAGTCCAGAAGAAGAGAGCGAGCTAAAAGCATACCTACGAGAGGTACTGAGCTTAGGGAGCGGCCGACGCTCGCAAATGCGACTGAAGTCAAACGGCCCCAGACCTCTCACTCCCATTCACACTCTCCGCAGAAAACGCCTAAATTGCGAATGCAAAGCCCCCAGAAGGTATGTATCTCTTCGTTGCCTCCAATTGAAAGAGGGAATCTGACCCTGCCATCACGAAATCAGCTCCGCGATCGTCTCCAAAGCGAGAACAGAACACAGGCCCTCGCGCAGGCAGGTTTTCAGGAAGAGTTGAAACTCATCAGCGAGGAAATTCAAACATTAAGACTGGGATCCCCGCAGCGACGTTTAGATTCACGGATAAATGGTCATTATTCTCTCAATGGGCTCTTTGCTTCACCCCCAACTGACGCAGCCCTTGAGTCTCGTGTTCGCGAGCTCGAGTCAAGATTTGACGTTCTCACCGATGAATTCAGGGGTCGGACGTCTGCTATCGAGAAAGACTTGGAATCCTCACTGGTCGTAAGCGAAAAGAGAGCCAAGAAATTGGATGAACTGTACCGCGAAGCCAGTGCTGAGAACGAAGCCCTGTATGATCGGTTCAATCTGGAGCTGAACAAAATCGTTAAAGAGGTGCGACTGGGTGGTGCAGAGGAGGTTCTCAAAACCCAATTGACAGCAGCACTTGATGAGATTGGGAGGTTGAAAAAGGAGAACTTTCGACTCAAGAGAGAAGTCGGCGGTTTACGGGCCCAGCAAGCTGCAGTGTCTCTGTTGAGGGCGAGCGAGTAGAGACTCAGCTTCAATATGATCGGTTTATGAAACTCGGTTGGGTTTACAACCTCAGCCTGGTGGCTGGCCACAGAGGCTCATAGGAAGGGCTTATTTATTACTCGAGTCTACCAGATGTGCTTTTTTTTTAACCACCCCTCCCCCTTACTTTCTTTTTCTATGGGATTTGGGCGATGTGGGTTCCAGAAGAGGGAGTGCTTATTTTCATTCCTTTACGACTGATGAAAGTACCCGATGCTATTTGTTTGAATCGATGATCCGTCTTATCCATGATTGTTAGCGTTTCCTTTTGGCTTTCGTGAAGAATGGCGGTGGCATGGCGTGCACGTCTTGTATGGATGTCTATTGATTGTTTCTTTCCTTGTCTCTTTTTCTGGGATACCATGCAATTTTCACGTCTAGCTTTTATTTGCTTGTGTCAAAGACTCTTCCATGGGACGAATTTTATTGTTTTGACAATCCTTCATTCTTCACTGGACCGTTCCAGCAACTCCAACACCTCGCTGTCTACCATTTTGTACATCCATTCCCATTCTATGCTGTATATCCTAGCATATGGCAGTGATTGTGGGAGAGGTAATCGAAGCCCCATAGTGGGCAAAGCCAGTGGTATCTCATTTATTTCACCTCCAATTGAAGAATCAGCCGCCACCATCGCAATTATAGGAATGGTAAACCTGACATGACCGGGTGCTTCCCGGGAGAGTTTCGCTTTCAATTGGGTCGATAAGATGCCTTGATGCTGTAGTTTGTGTTTGTGTTTGCTTTGGTGTTCGCCGCCATGTTTGTCTTCCTTCTTAGCAGGTAATTCGTCGAGAGTCTTGTATATTTTCTTAAGATCTGATTGCTGCAACGGGCGAACGAGGAGTTGTATTTTCTTTTTCTCGCTCTGATCACCATCCTTGAGGATGTTTTCCACATTGCTACCATCCCTATCACTTTTTCCAACAAGGGCAACCCGGAACCAGTATCTGTTATCCCAGAGCGTCCAGGGTGTGTACTTTGTTTGCATCGGATTATCGGCTTCAGCTTTAGCTTCAGTGGTGCCGGTACCATCCGACCCAGGTACTTCCAGATCAAAGCGGAGTATCGGGAGACGATTCCGCATGAACGGTTGCCGGAAGAGTAGCCAGGTGTTATTGTTATTGGTATTCTTTTCTTCTGATATCGATTCCGGTTTCAGTGGACGGAATAGGACTCCGCCTACTGTGAATGCCTGTCGAATTGTTTTCTCAGATACATCCATAGAACCGATGTTGTTGTTATTGCTATTGCCAAAAAGGTACTCCGTGAATGGCTCGAAACTTCTCAACGGAAAATGATTCCCCGGGAAAGGAGAGATGAGCTCCGTGATCCGACGAAGCGTTAGAGACTGGATTTCACGGATTTTTTCCTCCTTTTTTTCCAGCATGACTCCCAGATGTATCATACGCGGGAACTGAACAACCACCGTCCCAGATTGAAGATTTAAATCGAGCAGTTTGCATTCTCGCAAAAATTTATTCGACTCCTCCGTTGTCTTCCCTAGGAGATCCTGGCTCGCCCGGATCAATGATAGAATAGACTGTTTCTGGAGAGCACGCGGTAGTTTACCGGTGGATAGGAGATGGCGGATAGCATTTCTGGGTGTGAGGGTGGGATCGAAATTGGTTGGGTCGGAGACAAAGGGGATCTTGTTCACTTGACAGGTTGCCACGAGGGAAGATTTGGGGAATGAGAGGAGTGGCCTGTAGATCAGGATTCCTCCTGTTGAGATGATTGTATCGTAGTTGCTTTGCTTTTTCTTTTTCATCGCGAGTGCCGTCGTCCGCAAGACAAAAGACGAACCACTCTCAGACACGCCGTAGAGACCGTGGCATTCAGGGATGTTCGCTAACAGGGGTATACCAGCTAACCCGGCACCCCTGGCACCAGAAGAAAGTCGCCACAGCGTGGTTTCAACATTGTCATCCTGGTGATGGCCCATAAGCAGGGCCTCGATGTGATTCTCCCTGCAGGCGGTGCCGAGGGCCTGGAAGCGCAGGCGTCGAGCATATGTTTCAAAGGCTGTCGGAAGATTGCCATTGCCATTGTACTGTGACCATTCGAGCTCGAGAATTTGGGATTTGATTCCTTTGTTGCTGTTAGATTATATCAAGGTGGAATGGATCGAAGTTTGGTGGTGATGATGATGATGACAATGATATATACCCAAGGGGGAAAACAAACCAACATCCTCAAGCCACCCAGCTACCGTCCTCGCCTCTCGACTGCTCTCCTCGCGAGCCTTGTGGTCCACCACAAAGGCAGTAACTGTCACTCCGCGAAGAAGCAGACTGCGTTCCAGCTTCTTACACAGGAATGCCAGGGCCATGGAATCCGCGCCCCCGCTAACAGCCAGTCCTGCAAATATCCCCATTCAAAGATAATTTAGCAAATTTGTACAATACATTGCCGACATATATGAATCCAACCAAGAAAATGATGACACTAACCCAATTTGCGAGGATATATATATCTATCCTTTCTTCCCGGCCATAATCCTGGCCTTCGGGACTGAGACTCGGCCCATCCGCGTTGGAAGTGGTCCAGGAATTGAGACGGAGATATTGCTTGTGCTGCAGTGCTGTACTGGCGCAGAAGATGGGATGAATTGGACATTCCTTTCTTTACATTCGTGCGTGGGGAGAAGTATAAGTCATTGGAATTGCAGTTATGTCCGAGGAAGACTATCTATGAAAAGAACTGAAGGTAGCTGAGTCTTGGCAGAAAGCGGGAGAGAGATACATCAACAGAATAAAGGATAACACCAAAGCAAATATATCAATCCTGACTGTCCAGCCAAGATCTATACTTATATGCGCCTGTTACCAGGAGTGGAATAAATGTACAAAGAGCGAAAATCAACAGAAATATGTACGGTGCCATACATCCCAATATACGGTATTATCCAAAAAGAGAAAAAAGTAATCAGGTCACGTCAACAACGATCAGCCAACAGATGGCGTTTTCGAAACGGATGCATTCGAGGAATGGATGCTTGCTGTAAGTCCCCCTGCCTCTCCGTTCCGAACGCTCCCTGCGTCTCCTGCGGGAGGTTTGTTCGATCCGCTCTGACTGCCTTGCTCATCGTCCTTGGCGGATTTGGGAACGCGTATTTCCTTCTTCCCATTAGCCTTGTAAAACAGGACAATGTCTCCTGACGATCGCCAAATGTGCGTTCGGATAGTGGCCAGTGTCATATTGGGGGGGATCAGCTAGCATATTCGTTAGCAGCTAATTTCGACTTGACAAAAGCAAGACAAAAGGAAGTAGACACCGTAGATACACGCACAGTCTTCTGACAATAAAGCTCCAAGTATTCCTCTGGTTGCATTTTATCCTCCTCTGGCTCATCAGGATTTGGCGAATCAATGTGTTCAGCCACGTATGCGAGAATTTTCTTTGCGCGGAGCATGTGGTTGGCATTCAAGCGAGAGCTGGTGCTAAACATCAATAATAGAATAATAATGTCAGTAAATCAATTTACTAATTCATATAATGACCATCAGTTCACACATACCCATCTGTCTTAACTACATTTGGTAGAAGATCATCATATGGCTTCAATGTGAACGCGAGTTTGGTTGGATCCTTGAAAGGAATTTGATCCTGTACTGAATGTTAAATAGGAAATTCCAATAAGCAAGAAGAGAAACTCACCTTAAATAGAAGTTCTGCAAGCCAGGGAGGTATTGATTTTTCAAGCTTGTCAGCCTCAGCCCGCAGATCGTTTACGCTGCCACCATAAAGATCGTAGGCTACCGCAGAGTCTACGGCCTCTTCTTGAACATAAATCGTCGTGCGAGGCGGAATCGAGAGAAAAGGGGTCTCAATCTCGGTGCTCGGTATCAACGCAGATACCAGCTCATGACCCGGATTAGCAGCAAGGAACTCATCATACTCATGACGGACCTTCTCAATGAATCCACTGAGATTCTGTTCATACACTTTCTCCTTGATCGAGGATTTGTCTGATCCTTCGACGACCTTTTCTTCCGGTTGTACTGGCGGCTTGCCAACTTCGGTTGACGTGCGTCCCAGTTTCTTAGGAAAATCCATTCGGAACTTTTTCCCAAATAAAGAACCTTTCCTCTTCTCTTCCTTGTCAGGCTCCGTAGGAGTTGCAGGCGCCTCCCCTCCAGGAGTTGCGGGACCTTTCTCTCCGTCCGCAGCTATGGGCTTCGAAGTGAAGTAATCGTTGACTTTGTCCGAAAAGGACGTCGTCGTCTGTTCGGGGGCCTGCAGGGACGATGACAACTCCGACTTCCCATCCTCGACGGTAACGGCGGACATACCGGTGTTAGTGTTCAACGAAGACCCCAGACCCCCGGGGGTGGCAAGCCCAATACCAAACCCTGGAGTGGTAGGGCTGTACGCGTCGAAACTTGGGCGAAGGGTCGCTCCAGAACGATTATGCGGCATTGGTATGGCCAAGCCTACCGGCCGTTCTGGCGCTGAGGACAGATTGTTCGACGACCAAAGATCAGAAAGAGTCAGCTTTGCCCCCTCCTGTTTGGCCATGGCTGATTTGCGATAGTCGAAATCGCGTTTCAGTTCCTCCTCCACTAAGGGAGCAAAAAGCCAACGGAGAATCCATTTCCCAAGGTTGACTGTTCGCATGCTGTCAGCAGGGTTCCCCCGAAGAGGCAGTAGGGAAGCAAACAGGAGCATCTTTCATACTTCTTTGATCTTCCCTAAATCGAGATTTGTCAGGTACATCCGTTTCGTCTACATATACTTCAGCGTCAAAGCAACGGTTAACTTCAAGAATGACGGAGAGTCTTCCTGTACGAATATCGATTCTACACCAGTGCGCGACGCTCTCCATAGTGTTGATCTCCGATGCGACATCGTCTATATGGCGCTTCCCAAACGACTTGACTGGAACACACTGATAGGACTGTCAGCGGGAGTTCCGAGACTTAGAGTTGTCACTTACTTTAAGAAGATCCCACAGAGCAACTTCACCAGCCGAGTCCTGCGTCAGTGTTCGTCGCCTGTCATTAAGCATCAGGCTCTTGACCAATCCATGTTGGCCTTCGACTGTCTCCTCAGGCGACGACTCGACAGGGACTGTAAGACCTAACTCATCATCATTATCCGTCCCAGGTGTATGTGGATGACCGTTGGTAACACGGCGTGATGCCGTGTTCTCCGCAGCGCGGGAGTTTGGAAAAGTGGCTGTGCTCAGTAACGGAAGCACAGAGTGGTATGGGATTTCCTTCTTCGAGGATTTGCGGGTCGATTCGGAGGGAGATGCATGACTCCGGGCATCTTTCTCGGAAGGCGACCCAATTGGAAGGGTGGTGTCAATATCACTCCAGCGGTTTATGCTGGACTTGGGGGTCGCCGTCCAGATATGGTTGCCAGCCGCTACCACCTTGAAGACACCTTCGTGTTCTTGGAGCGCCGCAACGGAGATCCCTTGCTCGATATCCGAACAGCGTCTCGTATCTGTCTTGGCGACAAGACCGGACCGATCACTAGAGTAAAAGACGGACAGCTGCGGGTGGTTCGAATAAAGAGACCAAACGCTGTCATTATGCATTGTCAACGTATGCATGCATCTTCCCGCCGTCAGGGACCAGATCTTAACTGTTTGGTCCGAAGATGCAGTCATGATCGTGTCCCCATCGCGATTTATTAGAATGTCCCGAATATTATCTGTATGACCGACAAACTTGGTGATAAGCTTCCCGGATTTCGGATCCCACACCCTTACCACGCTCTCTGGCCCGCCGCTAGCTAGGACCGACGAGACAGCACCCAAGGCGTAGATGGAACCCTTTTCTGTCCGTCCATCAGAACAGTTATTAATATTCAATATCTCCCCTCCGCCATTGATATCCCAGAGGCAGAGCTTGTGATCCAAACCACCCGACGCGACCCAATTGGAATGGTTACCAGGTGTCGCTAGTGTCTTGACATAGTCTGCATGTTTTCCGATAGAGGCTGGAACCTCCGCGGATTCAGAGTATGGCCTCCATAGTCTGACTGTAGTATCTGACGATGCCGAAACGAGGGCAGAGTTGTCCTGAGTGAGGACTATGTCGTTGACCCAATGACTGTGGGCTTGGATCTGAGATCGAAAGGTAGTCGGACTGGCCTTGTTCCAGGCGCTTGGGCCGCGCAGAGGTGCAGAGGAGAGATGGGGAAGATGCAGATTCCAAGAACACACGACTCCATCACGGCCAGCGGAATACCTTGTTGGGGGGATGATCACACGTTAGGAACAATGATAACGGAACGACGCGTCGCGCTCGGACATCGATGATTGAGCTCAAGAGGGTATGGACATAGAGGGAAGGGTAAGCTCACAGGACCGAGTTCTCTGAATCAACAGCTAGACTGTTCACACCTAGTCGATGACCGCCGGGGGCATCAGGGAGAGGGAGCACTAGGATAAGGACGGTCAGGTCAGCGAATGGAGGAAGTAAGAGTTGGGGGGCTATCGAACGATTCGACAGTAGAAAGACGGTCAAGACTCACCATAGCTGACCCTCTGATAGTTAGCCTTGCGTGCCATGCAGCGTTCTCGACCACGAAGCGACTGGCAGCAATGGGAATGGAAGGACGCCGGTGGAATTGCGGAGGGATCAGCGAGTTAGATATCGTGCGCTGCGGAGCTTCTCCGCTCCAATCAATGATCTGTCTCAGGGAGCGGCGATCCGTCGGCGACAACGGTAGTGGACCAGGAGGGCCATATGTAAGCTGTCAAGATTGAGTAGTGGGTGATCTGTGGATGCAGGTTGAAGAAGTGAGGGAGGAGAAGTGACCTCAGTTGGGGAAGATGAGGCAGAGAATACTACCCAAGAGGGGCAATAATAATAATACGAGGCTTTTTTTTGCCAGGGGAAAATACTCCATGGTGCAACAGGATAAACTGACTCTGAAGCTAATAGGAATAAGAGAAATATTAATAATATAGATAATCCTATAAAATGCACTTTGAAGTTCGAGCTCTGTAGAATAACAGTTAGTTAATACTATTATGTACAGAGTCATCAACGCTTGACAGAGCACGTGATATGTCAGCATCTTACAGAATCTCACTCTCTTAAAAGACTCCAACTTCAACTCCAAGATTCATCCATCCAAAAAACAGACCTCTCATACATACTAACCAGGCAAAAACCAGCCATGGCAACAGACATCCCCATCTCCCAAATAAAACCCATCTACCCCATCCCCGACAACTCCACTGCGCGGAAAGAAGCTCCCTCCATCCAGAAAACCATCCAAACCCTACACCTAATCCCGCACATCGAGGGAGGCTACTTCGTTGAAACAGACAGAGATCCCCTCCGGATACCCAATCCATTCCTGTCACAGGAAAACAACTACCCCACAACAGCTGCAGCTGCAGACAACACCACGAGATCAGCAAGTACATCCATATTCTACTACCTCACCCCGGGGTCGCCGTTGGGTGCCTTTCACCGCAACCGTGGGAGGACGGTACATACGCTCCACTGGGGCAGGGGGCGGTATGTCCTTATCCATGCCGATGAGGTGGTCTCTAGTGGTGATGGTGATGGGAAGGAGACCGTGACGGGAAAGGCGCGCATCGAGACCTTCCTAGTTGGTCCTAATATCGAGCGGGGGAGAAGTTGCAGTGGGTCGTGGAGGGGGGAAAGTTCAAGGGGACTTATCTTTTGCCTGACGAAGAGGGTGATCCGGAGAAGAAGTCGGAAGGGCTGTTGATTAGTGAGGTTTGTTTTCTTTCTTCTTCTGCGCTCTCTTGCTGATTCCTTCGCAGACTGTTGTTCCTGGTTTCGAGTACTCGGACCATGACTTCCTGCGTGTCGAGATGACAGAACAGCTTCTTACGCCAGAGCAGGTTGATGAGCTGAAATGGATGCTTAGGAAGGTAGATTAATGATCTGATCTATTTGCATGAGTCATGACATGATGTTGATGATAGGTACGGCAATCTATTCTATCTATAGTACAATCTCGGGAATATACTTCTAGTCTTCTACTGTACATGGCAGTCTCTCAATCCTCCTTCCTCCCTCTTCCCTCCAGTGTATTCCACGCCCACTGATAACTCCCCAAAAACACAGCCCCTCCAATCCCAATCCACGTAACCCGCGGTCCAACCCCCCTCCAAAACGCCCCAAATCCTTCCTTTGCAATATCCCTAACCACATCCCGAACCCGAATACCAGAGTCCCCTCCGCCCCCATCAACCCGTCTAGCCAGCATAACTCGCGTCTTAATGACGTCTAGGGGAGTCGTCAAACCCGCCGCAATAGCCCCAGCCACACTACCGAACATGGCGCTCGTCGTGGCAGGGATCTGAGCCGAGTCCGCGGAGACCTGTGAGTTTTCTCCAACAACACCCCGTAAACGCTTTGCATAAGTCTCCTTCATAGACTCCCACATCGTGAACTGGAGGACGGTAAACGGGATCTCGCGCGCAATAGTAATCCCCGCACCCCGATAGAGCTCACGGATGACAACCCCATATCCACGTCTTGCCGGAACACCTCCATCACGATGCCTTAAAGCCAGTATATCCTTCAAAGCAGCTAAACTCGATCCTCCGAACAAACCCGCCTGAGCGCGCTGCTTAACGACCTCCGTAGGAACCCGAACAGCGCACGCGGCAATCTCACCCATTGAAGAAGCCAAGGAATGCGTAAGGATAATACGTGCTCGTGATGGGGATGACGTCCCAGTCTGATCGAAAGAAGAAGAAGTTTCTAAAAGCGTGCGTTTAACGCCATCGTAGACAATGAAGAAGGATGCCGCTGAGGGTGCAGAACCGAATAGAACCGAGGGCAGGCCAGCATAGACGCCGCGGATGGTCTGCTGGAGGGATGGCTGAGAAGCAGCGGATGAAGGGAGGGAGGACGGGACATGGAGTCTGGCTTTTTGGAGTCGTGTTTTGATCGTGTCGAGGGGGTACAGAGAGAGGTCGACTGTGAGGCCGGCGATTGCGCCGGACTGGAGGGTTCACACAGAGAGAGAAAGCTGGGATCAGCAAGATAGTTCGGGGGGATAGAGACAAGTATTTGAGTGCAATGACATCGGATTGTGAGCTATGCGTACAATTAGAGATCTAGTCCACAGCGAGGAGACCAATGGCTCCGGCTCTGTTTCCTTGCTGCTCATTGCGGATGGGTTTGAGGTGGAGTGTTTGATGTGAAGCCTGGCTGAGAGAGAATGGGAACAATTGCACAAGGCAAGTCGTTCTGAGAATAATGAAACTTGTTATTGTAGACCCATGTCTCTTGCACAGGTTGGTGTCGGTGATTCTCTTCAAATGCTCAACTGCCGTTTTTCTGACAAGACTTACTCTGCTCCGATAATCGCAAGGCGTCTTAATCCCGCAATCTCCGGCTGCAGCTTGTTTTGCCGAATTTCTTGAAGAGACCGCAATCATCAATGGCTAAAGTGTATTTGTACGTTACCATTCTTAACTATTTACTTATCCAGTGTTTTTCTCAGTAGAAATAGAATGTCATAGTGAACGAACACGAAGAACGCAAGGGCCGGGCACACGCAATGGTACATGGAAATCTTGGAACGAGCAAAAAGGACAAGATAGAAAAACAGAAGCGAGAAAGAATAGAAGTCTAGTGGTAAGCTTCTATACTGTTATAATTGTAGCAGGGCATATCAATTTATCCTTCTTGGACCAGGTCGTATAGCTGACACTGGTACGAAGTCCTCTGCGATAGAGACCGAAAAACGCCCAAAAAATATATCAAAAAACCCCATCCCCCATGCCAAGAGTCATCTTTCCAATCTCAAGATAACGAACGAGAGTAAACACGAAATGATGGTGAGCTGGTATCGAGCTCATTAATATGTCTGGTCTGGTCTGGTCGGCAGAGCGGATAGCATTCCAACAGAAAGAAAAGGCATGAAAGAAAGCGTTGGTTGCCTGGAAGGAAAGAGAACAGAGAAAGAGGCAAAGGGAAGAAAATATATATATATCAGTATAAACAGATGCCTGGGATCAACCCTTCCCAGACGCTCTCCCTTTTCATTTCATGTCAAGACTCCGTACAAGACTATAAACAAGTGAGAGAGAGTACTTGTAATCGTACTTATAGCTTATTTGGCTTTGCTTGGCACTGGAACGCTCGATGACGGAGGTTCGAGTACATGCTCGTGATTGGGGGCATTGTAGACTTTGCCCGATACCTCTTGAGAGCAATGAGGAATGTTCTTGATCCAATCATCGGCAAGAATTTCATCGAGCGTTGCTCGCTCGCGGGGATCTACCTTGAGCATGAGACCAATAATATACCGGCTTTCCCGGGGTAGGATACGTAATAGTCGCCAGGGGCCCTTGATTACTTCCTGACGTTGCCCTGGGGGAGCAGACCCAGGTGGAAGCGGAGGCGCCTCTTTGCTCGTCGTTTCTCTCCGCTTCCTCTGAGGTTCCTTTGGCGTTTCAAGGGGCTTATTTCCCTCACTAGAAGGCGGCTGCTTCTTTTCGGGATCCCCGGTTTCTGGAGTAGACTGTTCTCCTGAACCACTGCGTTTGACTTCCTCGTGGGCCGCGGGGTCATGTTCGGCATCCTTGGGCTCATCCTTAGCAGGATCCTTATGTTCATCTGCTGCGGGCTTCTGTTCACTGCCTGCATCAGGAGTAGAGCTCGATTTAGGTCGGTTGCGTTTGGAATCATGATCCGGCACCGGTGTGCCCGGGGTAGGGGTTGAGACGAAGAGTCTATAGGAGTTGTCGCTGACTCGGGGCTGTTTCCACGGGAAACGTCGCAGAGTCATGCAGCAAAATATAATGGCCAAGGACCAGATGTCCGTAAAGCGAGGGTCATATCTTTTTTCGTCGTACACTTCGGGGGCCAGGTAGGGGTCGGAACCAACGATCCCTGCGCAGATTACAAAGATCAGTATTTTTCCCCGCGGGAGGGAACTTTGCCGTGACACAAGACGCTTACCTGAAGCCATAACGATGTCATTCTCAAAGGGATACCGGAAAACAACCGCACTTCCAAAATCAATAAGCTTCATTATACCATGCTCGTTGACCACCACGTTGTCCAACTTCAAGTCTCGGTGCGCCAAGCCCATTCCGTGAAGATAAGCCACACCATTAAGGATCTGTCGGAAACAGCATGCCACCTCGGGTTTTGTCATTCGGCCCGTCATCACAATTGCGAACAGGTCGAATGGAGCGTACTCCATAATCTCGTACCAGTGGCTTCCCTCCTGAACGATATCGAGGGTCCGGATGATATTGCCGTGGTGAAGAGTAGAACCGATGCAGAACTCCGCCGTGACCTTCTTGGAATACTCCTTCATCGTCTCCCAGCCGTGGCGGTCTCTGAACTGTTTGACGGCAAAGACGACACCGTCCGTGCTACGCTGCAGTAGGCGAACCGAACCTCCGGCTCCGGATCCCAAGACTCGACCGAGTTTCCCATACTTGGAGTTGAGGCCATGGTCCTCGCCGAACGGAATGGACTCCGTGACAGATTGGTTCGTGGGTCTCTTGGGAACGTAGTTCGGGGAGTGCTCCCTCTTATGCCTGCGGGGGACAATCTTGAAGAAGCGCTTGAGTTCAGCCATTGAGCCATGGTGTTTACCATCGCCGAGGGCTCTATCGTGGCGATGTTGATGCTCTTTCCGGCCTCCAAAGAAAGAACGTTTGTTATCAGTATTCTTCACTTCAGTGGCCGCGGTCTGGCGCGGTGCCGGACGTTGATATGAAGTCGAACGTTGTGGACGACGCCTCGAATTGACGCCACCGAAGATGAATCTCTCATCCAGGTTTGCGAGATTTTTTGCTGGAGGAGGACGTTTGCTGCGAGAGTAGGGATCGTCAGGTTCCCCAACCGGGGTGATGGCACCAGGTGGAGTATTGGACTCTGCATCCCCTTTGGGGGTCGACGGGGCACTCTCATCATCAACGGAACTGGCATCGGTAGTCGTGCCTACGAGAAACTTGGAAGCGTCAGATTTCGATTGGCCGTGCTGGTGACCGGAGCCGTCCGAGTTGCTGCTCTGCTTGCCAGCCAGTCGTTCGGTCGAAGAAGGTCTGGAAGTGGACGTGCTCTGCGGTGTGGAATTCTTATCTGTGGAGGAACCGGGAGGGGAGGTTTCAGGTGTTATCTCTGAATGTCGAACCGAGGCCCGATCAGCCGTAGAACTCGATTCGTCGCTCGACTTGACCTCGCGTGACTGCGATCCGGCCGGGGTTAGAGGGGGAGAATGGAGTCCAGGTTGCAAGCCACGGCGATGGAGCAGTCCAATGGATCCAGTGGCGTCCTTTCCGCTGTAAACGCTTGACGCACGGGAGGAGGCCTAGAGGGGGAGTAAGCTGGTTAGCCACAGCGATATCACCCGACAAGGAGATAGACAAGACGCATACCGTTTCAGGATTATCAGAGCCAGACGAGTTGGTGGAATTCGGCAACCTCGGTTCTTGTGTCTTGCCATCACGCATATGCGACGCCAATGAGCGTAATTCCTCTTGGGCCTCCGGCTTCACGCCTTCCAAGGCGGGAGACTGGTCATGGAGTTTGGATGAAGCAGCCGACGGAGCCAGCGACGTTGATGACTGGGATGGTTGGATCTCCTCGGTTCTGGAAGAAAAGCGGACCTGGGAGCCGTGTTGGTGATTGGGGTTGGATTCGGCATCACCGGACCCTTCGGGTTGCCGGATGGGAAGCTGTGTATTCTGCATTTCTGCCATTGACGACGGTTGGGATTAGAAGGCCACTCCTGAAAGGGAAACAAGGAGGAGAAGAGGTCAAGTGCGGTTGACGACGGGCTCAGAGGGTGTCCAGGAAAGTTCCAAAACGGAAATGGCTAGATCCAGACGTCATACAACTCCACAGGTGGAACGGAGGGGGCGTGGGACGCATGCCCTTGAAACCGAAACGAGGGATGCGGGATGGAGAAGGGGAACTGTTCGTGTTCTGGGGTAGAATCCGAGATGGAACGGGCTGTGTAGGGCGTGAGAGGTAGGAAATCGAAGACTGAACCGGTCCTCAAGGACCGAGCCCAGCGCGCGCGAGGCTGGCCTAGACTGGGTTTGAACGTTTGGGGTGTGGGGAGTCGAGACACGAAGGAGGCGACTTGAGGGAGAAAGAAAAGGAATGAGAGGAGAGGAGAAGAGAAGAGAAGAAAGGAAGAAAAAGAAAAGAAAAAGAAGATGAGATGAAGGGACAAGAGAACAGAAGACGGAGGGAGGAAGAGAAGAGGAAGTGAATGTAGAGTGGGCGTCTTTTTTGGCGGCAACCGCAGCGGCGAACGGGAGAGGGACGGGCTTCGGAGTTAGGATGGAAGGATCATTATTATTATTCTGATTATTGAGTATTATTCTGTCTACCTGGGCTCTGTCTAATTATTATTATGCCTTCTATCTATAAAGACAGACATGTAGATTGCCGTGCTGGGTAAACGCGGCCCTCCACACTTCTGCCATGGCCTGTGCTGCCATCATCATCACCATCACTATTAACTGCATCCTGACAGTGATGATAATAAGAATAAGAACAGACCGGTTCATCAAACAGGAAAAATAAAAAGAAACCATGTGATGTCGATCTGGCTTGCCACCAATGATGTCCCCAACGCTGTTCGGTGCGGTGCCGTACTTCCGTGGTGATAACTTGCGACATATTCAGAAACGAAACTGCGGTCTCCTGATGAAGCTTCAGTCAGATCTTGCTGGATCTAGAAGAATGCCAGAACTCTTCTTTTTACTCACCGTTTCTCTTGCCTGATGTTCCGTGGGCCCATGTGGTATTTATTCTGCATTTGGAATCATCATGCTACATTCTGTCTTGTACTTGTCTTCGTACTCGTACAAGCCATAATGTATTGAATGGATGTTCTCGGAATATCCCAGAAACTATTATAATTTATATAGTCTATATAGTCTGATCGGCATATCCCCGGATTCCTACAAAATGCTCGGCCTAGTTCAGATCTCCCAGCCTGCATAGAACAACATAGCCTCACCAGGCGGAGCATATATTCTAGGGTGTATGCCCTACTGACGTATTCTACCCCCTTGGCGATCGATCGACTCCATCCACTGTCATACTCAGTTAATGGGCTCCTTAGTACTGCGGCATGGTCTCTTGCTGTAAAAGCGGCAGATAACCATGAAACCAGGCATCGGTTCATCTGCCTCTGTCGGCACTCGACAGGAGGAAGCCGTTGGGAATATAGCATAGTAATCCATCATACTAGTGCAGGATCAAATTGGTATTCTTGTTTTCCCCTGTCCAGAACGCCAATACTGTATATAACTAGAATCAACCCAAACAGTTCTGAATAAACCACATCACGGTACGACCTCAATTCCAATCGACTTGGCCTGGGAAATAACGCTCTTGCACAACCCCTGCAGACTCAACCCGGACAGCCGCGTCTCCGACTGCTTGATCTTCGCAATCTCGTACACGTGTTTCAACGATATTTTGCCCACCGTTTCGTGGCCGGGGTTCATCGCCCCCCGAAGTCTACCCTTACGAGGTTCCACCTCTGCCGCCTGGAGGAGAAGCCAGCTGGTTGTCGGTGTGCGGAGGTCGAATGTGAAGGAACGGTCTGGTCGTACTGTGACCCGCGCGGGTACGGGGACACCGGTGTTGATGTGTGCGGTTCTGGCGTTGAATTCCTGTAGATAGTAAAAAAAGTCGATGGCTCGTTAGTCATAATACAATGGGCAATAAGGTAGACAAAAAGAGCTTGCCTTGCAAAAATCCATGCTCTTGACACCTTTGCTTCCCAGTGCTGGACCAACTGGTGGACTGGGACTGGCCTGACCGGCCCCCACAATCAGCTTGACGATTTGGTCTTTGGCCAAGGCTTTTTTCGCCATGATGGAAGATTTGTTGGGATTGCGAGGCGCGAAGAAAGGAGAGTGAAGGCGTTCAGCGATGAGGATTCTGCGACCGGACGGCGGATTTCCCGTTTCGGAGAGAGTCGGAGGTAGCTTAAATAGTAGCAATAATACTATAACTAATACTAATATATATAAAGTATTATTATATTATAAGTATTATACTAATTAAAAGGATCTATGCAGTCAAGCTGCAACTCGGCAAGCTGCAGTCTATGATCATATAGGGTTTAGAAGATATTATTCTCTGGATGCTCCAGGAGGCAATTATTTAATAGATTATCCCACTATACAGCGTAATAATAATTACTTTGCCCTGCGTTAGGCAGAGAAGGAGATCTTCACGACTCCCGTTAGTCAACTCTTCCAGCCCTTTTCCTCCTAAAAAAGTTTCGCCTGTCGATTCCGTCTATCCTTCCAGACTCCATCCTTGCTGTCCATCATGAACTGGCTCAAGTCAACGTGTGTTCCCTTCTCCCATCCTGCTCCTGCTCCCTTTGAACTGCTCCACCTTGCTAATGCTTCCCTGTTGCTTTTTCCAGCCTCGCAAGCGTCGCCGGCACGCAAGAACCCATCTATGGCCCCGACGCCATCCAGTCCGTCGCCAAACAGGCCGAGTCCACCCCCTACACCGAACTGACCAAGGACGATTTGAAATGGCGGGCATACCAGTATACCTGCGTCGAGACTCAGACCTTCTATGTCATGTCCGACCAGGGCACTTTTGCAATGGTCCAGATTATCTATAGCAACGTCGCGTGAGGCCTTCTTCCCCTCCCTCACTCCCCCCTTTCGCGCGTCGCTGCCTGGTTATGATACGATTTCCAATTGCTGACTGCTTTCTCTCGACAAACCAACAGAGGCATTCATGTCACCTGTCAATTGACCACCAAGATCTTCAATCTCAAAAGCGATGCGCCGCCTAAGTGGCATTCCGATACCTTGTACAACTACATGTTCGACGAGGGCATGTACTCCTTTGGCGCAGACAACCTGTCCGTGACCCTGAACGAGGAAGGCGACGCCTACACCTTCCGATCCTCCGTGAACGAGGACAATATTGTCAATCTCACGTTCAAGAGGACGGCCCCGGGCTTCGTCGTCGGAAAAGACGGAACTTCGTATTTTGGCACGGACCCCGAGAACCCGTGGGGTTCAATGCTGCACGCTTTCTGGCCTCGCTGTGACGTGGAGGGCACCATCCAAACCAAGGATGAGACTTTTGATTTCAAGGGTCGTGGCCAGTACATCCATGCCCTTCAGGGTATGAAGCCGCATCATGCTGGTATCTCTCCCTACTTCTTTTTTATTTTCATCTATTATTTTATTTCTTGTCTCTGACCGTTTTAGCTGCGCGATGGAACTTTATCAATTTTCAGACTCCGTCGTATTCCGCCGTGATGATGGAGTATACAACACCTCCTTCCTACGGCTCAACAACGGTGAACGTTGGTGGCATCACGAAAGACGGAGAGATCATCTACGCCGGGGCCACCAACAGCGCGACCCATACCGAATGCTCCCAAGACCAGGAGAGTGACTGGCCGGAACCGAAATCTATCAAATGGGTATGGGAAGGCAAGACAAGAGATGGGAAGGATGTCTACGCAGAAGTCGATGGGCCTCTAGGCGAGAGACTCGACCGGATTGACGTCATGGCCGAGGTACCGGGATTTGTCAAGGCCATTGCTGGTAGTGTTGCCGGAACACGACCATATATCTTTCAGGTAATGTTTTATCCCTCGACAAAAACATCGTGTAAACTCTCGTAACTAATGTTATCCAGTATTCTCCCAAGGAGAAGCTTCCTTTGAAGCTCAAGATCGGTGACACTGAAACCCAAGAGGAAGGGTGGATGTTCTCCGAGGCCACGTTCATTTCGTGAACCAATCCGCAGCATATGGGCAAATGCTGTTTGGGCCACTATCAATGGCGTTTTTTGAGGGTTGCTGGAATTCTTTTTCCTTACTTCTTCTTTCGCTCTTAATGTTGGCCAGAAAGCCAGAGCTTCTGGATAATAATCCGCACGCATTATAAAGAATATCTACCTAATGTTATCTATTCTATCTGACTTGGGTTTTTATTCTTTTTTATATATGTTTTTTTAATGCTGGTCTTCATATTTATACATTTGTTCTTCTTCTAAGCTGGCCAATTTTCTCTCCCGTTTTGCCTAACTTCACCTCCACGTTGTCTTCCCTATTAGACTCAGTCACTTCGAACAGAGTGAATTAACAAACATGAATCTTTTGCTCCCTATCTTTCTTTTCCTCTTAATTTTTCATTTCCCTACAGCTCATCACCATCTCTCCCTCTTCATTCCATAGACGTCCGAAATACTGTGCTCCGCCGTTCTAGTCAATCAACCACCATGGTCAGAGGATCGGACAAATGGGGCATCGCGGGGAATAATCCTTACTCGCGACGTACTCGGTAAGTTGACTGGTTCTCCAGCAATATATCTAACCGCATGCATAATATGGATTAATTAAATGAACTGAAAAACGCTCTAACCCGTTCACAGCAAACTACTCCGAGATAACATTCAGGGAATCAGTTCGTACACTCCTTTCTCTATCTATATATCACGCCTTTCTACTAACTGCTGTCTGTCGTCGTTTACTAGCTAAGCCTGCTATTCGGTATGCACTGGATCCATCCACACAGCTATTCTCTATCCACCTAACTATATAGTCGTCTCGCGCGCCGCGGAGGTGTCGTGCGCATGAAAAAGGACATATACGACGAGATAAGGAACGTGATCAAGGCGCGTCTTACTGAGGTAAGTATACTTAGTACACTCGTTGTCTCGTCTTGCGAGTTATTGTTTATATCTCAATTAGCGGGCTGATGATCTCATAATGTATAACAGGTGATTAGACAAGTCACTCTCATAATGGACTCGAGTCAGACTCCCAAAGTTTCTAGGACGGTAGGCAAAGAAATGATACGATACTACTTTTCCAACGTTGGAATCAATAATTACCTCTTGGAGCACTTGCTGACTACTTTTTCCCTTGGAAAACAGGTCGTGACCACGAGAGATGTACGTTATTTTTTGATCTACAGCTGGAAAAGAGTCAAATAGTTATTTACGTACATACCTGCTGACACTTATTTTTTTCTGATCTACCGCGAAAAGGTCGCCTACGCGTTGAAAAGGGTGAGTTACACACCCCATCATACATGTATGCATGCCATATCAAACCAACCAAACGTCCTCTTATAGATCGGAAACCCGATCTACGGTTTCACTAACGTCTGAGCTACATCATTCCACACGCTCTCTTCATCTTTCTCTCAATCAATCAACCAAGGCGGCGGTCATGCTCATGCTCGTCTTGATAACGAATCTCTTTTGTGTTCGGCCTTTATGTATGCGGTCGGGTGGAGTTACGGATGGGGTTACGGCTATGTTATTCATACTGTGCATTGTTCAGACAGGATAGGATACTTGGGTGATTGATGGGTACTGGTCTTTTTTTTCCTGGTTGGACCTGGGTCGTTTATGTTATCTCTTTCTGTCCCATTGGGCCCATGATGAGAAATCCATGTTGAATTCTAATTATGCATTAATTATGTCAAGCCATGCAAGTCATACAAGTACAGCCAAGAGCAAATACAAACAAGAGGTCTAGACAACTAAAAGAATACAGGACAGAAGGATAAATACATGACATGGAAAACGCGGAAAAGCATCCGCCAGCGGTCTTTCTCTCCCTTCAGTATACAAAAGACAAAAGCCCATCTTCTACTTTCATCTCAACAATACAGTGTGTTGGACAATAATACCCTAAACGTCAACCATCAATTGCTCTCCCTCATCCAAGAGGGTTGTCACCTTCACCAAATCTGATATCATCTTCTTCCCATGCCCAACAAGCAACAGCTTCTCTGCATTAGCTGGTAGTCCCAAATACGTAGGAGGCTCTCGTTCTGGAAGTCGGTTGACCCATTCCACAAAGTCTCGCACGTTCGTCTGCTCAGGGAGCGCCAGGCAGTCATCGTTTTCGACGCCGGTCACCATCTTGTGGTCACTTTCAAAAGCTTCTGGGGTGAGGAAGCTGTTGACTAGAGCCTCTAGCTGGTGGAAATCATCAGCATTGTCTATCTTCCCACCGTACATCTCGGTGACAAGGGTACGGATCATATCCCATGGAAGCTTCTGAGGCGCCACATTGGACCGACCCTGGGAGATAGAGTCGATCCAAACATCAATAATGTAAGCCGAACATTCGTACTATGTGCAGACTGAGTTAGTAACTTCTCATATAGCAATTCGTCTCAGGGCAAACTTACATCACTATCGTTAAATTCCCAGAAGCCTTTCCAACCAAGACTGGGAGCATAGCGCAGCCTCTCCTGTACAACGGCATGCAGGAAGCAAAGCAAGAGATAGACACGGGCCTTCTCAACGGGAGGTTTGCTGGCTCTCAGTGACAGGGATGATAACGAATCCTTCATGTTGGCACGAATGCCGGCTGGTTGCTCAAACATGAGCACGCGAGACGCCCGGAGGAGGTTAACGGGAATCTTCGGGCTAGACTCCATAGAAAGGAAGAGTCTGAAATCTTTGTGAGGCTTCAGCGAATCAAGCCTCTTCTCCAGACTCTGTAGCCACGAAGGTGCAAGGTGCACGTTCTTGACTAGTACCCATGTTCCTGTAGCAGCAGCGTTGCTGATCGCTTTATCTGCGCTCTGTAGACCCTCATTGGAACCCATTGCAATATTGGCACACGTCGCGTGCATACGCTCAACGAGCGCATCCACCTTGTAGCTGGCATCGAAACCAGGGCTTGAGCTGAGAGCAATGGGTGTAGTGGCAGTGACCTGCTCGACTACGTCCTTCAAGTCGCTGCTTCCTTCGAAGAACTCGTGACCAAAGACGGCTGTGATGAATCGCTCGGCTGCTGGCACAAACCTGTCCATCCTGCAGAGTTTCACAAGTAACAAGGAACGGAGCAGTTGGTCGACGTTCTCTGTGCCCTCTTCCCAGGCAGCGGGAACAGTATTTTCAGCAAGTTCCTCGCCGAAAAACCGCTCCCACTGTTCTACAGGTATGTTGGGGAAAACGGGCTTGAACAGAGACATGTTCGCGATTTGGTTCAAGACTTGCTCGCGGCGCTCGGGGCTTGTTGACAGATCTACGCCCTCTATAGTCCCGTCAAGTATGCTGTCAATGATGCCTTTTTCCATCTTGTACGGAGCGTTTTGTGCCAGAAGCATTGCGAGCGTAATGCGATCCTTCTGAATCAGACCCAAAGAGGTCCGCTGGTAGGTTGTAACAAAAAGATCACGCAGAATAATCTGGACGCGTGCAGCATGATCCCTCTCTTGAGCAAGGCGCTTGTTTTGATACAGAACGGAGTTGAAGATATCAACGAAGTACTGAAGTGAAAATTGATAGAAATGATTGATGTGGTGTAGTTGCTCCAGTACGGCAAAAACAGCGCTGCAGGACCTGGCGATGATGCCGTATTTGGTGGTGATGTTTTCGACCTCTGTCATAACACCCTCGGTTTCCTCCATCTTCTTCGAAATCTCACCAGCCTCCTTCTTAAGAGTCTCTAGAGTCTCGATGACGTTATCGTCATCGAGAATGTTGCCGCGTGACTCATTCAAGGCCTGCAAGAGGCGTTTCTCCAGCTGACGTAGGTGGATCTTGAATTCTCCCTGCAATTTAACGAGGTTGGTACGGCGCTCATCAACATCCGGGCGTTCAAACTTGAGCACCTCGTTCAGTGACTGGGTTCGCAAGCTGCTCTGGGTGACCGTAAAGTTGACAAACGTTGTTCTACTGCAAACATCAGGCGGGAACGATGCAGATGGGTCCCTTGTGGAGAGGAAGAGCCTGAATGAGGGAGAAAAGTCGATTTCTTGTTTCCCGAGCTGAATGAGGACACGCCCGCCTGTTTTCTGGTACTCTTTGTTGAGGACATGATTGAGAATCGGATCCAAGTGTTCCGCATCTTGGATGAGAATCGGATTTCCAAAACGCAGTGCACTCTCCAATTGCTTGACGAAGGAATCGTCCAAAAAGCTGGTAACAGTAAGCTTCCTTTCCTTGTTCTCCTTCTGCAGGAATTCCGTGACACGGCCAGATGGATCGATGATCAGAGGATATCTATTGAAGCGCTTCAATATGATAGCATTCTCGGTACAGAGATCATCGACCGGCAGCGAGTTACCTTGCCAGGCAAGGCGCTCGTCTGCATTGGATAAGTACTCTGTTACTGGGTTATGTGGCTTGAAACTGATTCCGGACTGTGATAAGTGGTTGACCCAATCATCAACCATAAGTTTCCGGAATTGTTGATCGTAGAAACCACCATATGCAAGGAATGCAGCTGCAATGAGCACATCGCCGACAAGGGTGTTGATCTGGATCTCAAACGACCTGCTGCCTTCCTCCCACCGCTCACGTTCAGATGAGAGGCTCTTGAGCAGTCTTAAACTCCTGTTGACCTTGAACTCGACTCTGGACATCTCCGTCTTGATCGCTTCAGTTTGACTGATGAGGGCCGCATATTCAGATTTATAGGTAGCAATGCTTGCTTCGAGACCGCGGATGGTGTTCTCAATAGCCTGGGCCTCTGCCTTTGTCTGTAGCAGTCGTTCTTCAAGTTGCGCAACTTCCTCTCGCAGTGGACCAACCCTGTCTAAGATATCCGAGTAGTTAACCTGAGCTTCAACCCATTGAACTAAGGGACCACAAGCTTTGCTAGCACGGTTGACTCTTTCGTATGTGAAATCCTCTTTCGACAAGTATTCGTTCTGCATCTTAAGCCGGTGATTCCTTGTCATCTGTCGTTCATTATCATAATTGACAATGCTACCAATGAAATCTTCCCTTCGAACAATGCCCTGGATCGTTTTCCAACTATCAACTTTGTGGCCAAGAAGAGTGCAGACGGCTTCCAGAGCAAGCCGGACACTAGCTGGTGGATTGCCCATAGAACGGACTTCAGTAAGGTGCTGACGTTTGATATTGCTCACACTCTTCTGCGCCTCCAAGACAGCAGGTTCGGCTCTGGAAAGATCATTCAGGACGACTTCCTTTCGTTCCGACACTTCACGTTCCTGTACCTCCAGTGCTTCTTGAATCTGGAGGGATGCAGCCTTCCGTTGCTCTGCCTCCTTCTGACCAGCAACCATACGTTCCAACTTTTCGTTCGCCTCCATTTCTTTTCTCTCCAGCTCTGCCTTCTTCTGTGCCAGACTGGCACGAAGATCCTCAACCTTGTCGACAGTGTCCCTCAGCTTTTCAAGACCAACATTCAAGTGCCTCTGCTGTTCCTCGAGATCCTCACGCTTTTCGTTGAAAAGCTTCACATATTGTGCAACAAAATCAAGATAATGACGAGGAGTCAGATAGGTAGTCCTTCCTTGTTGCTTCTGGAGACGCTGGTTGAACTTCTGCAAGGAATAGTGAATATACACCATCGAGTTCACAACTGCATCTCGATGGGACGGCGGAAGGCTAAGCTCACGGTACGCTACGGGGATACTATCGGGAGCGACGAAGTTTGGTTTATCAAGGTCGACTGAGTGAGTGAGTTCGGAGCCAACCTGGAACAGGGCCTGGTCGGACCAGTCGCCCATCCAATTGAGTACGCATCTGTTGAAAAGTGCAGGACTTGTTGCCGCTTTCGAGGACAGGCCTTCTTCTGGAGGATTCATTGTGAACACGACATGCAGGTTCCTGACAATCTGCTGCGTGAACCACTTGTAGAGCTCCTCCTGAGAATCTAGGAGTAGACCTTGTCGCTGTGCGCCCTCTTTGCACGCAGTCATCAATGAGGAATACTCGTCCCCTTCAAACAGGCCGGGTACCTCCGCATTAGCCAGGAGGGTGTTCATCCTTTCGAGGAAACCAGAGTCCAAGACGTTGGACTCATCCATGATGAAACAGATCTTCTCACCCTTGCATCCTGCTCGACGAAGGACGTTTCTCAAATCATCATCAAAATCCTCAGAAGTATATTTGCCGTGAACCTTGATCTGGAAGACTTTCAGACCGTTCATCCACGCCACAAAGCGCGATAACGTAGTCTTACCGCTGCCACTAACACCGATAAGAATAAGATGTCCTTGGGGTTGTCGGAATACCCGATCAATGCGCAAGGCATGTTCCAAAACGTCGTTGAACAGTACCAGAGGGACATCAACTTCTTCTTCACAGAATGTTCTCAAACGTGCCTTCACGAAATCGCGGAGTCGCTCCTGTTCTACAGGTACATAATTCTTTGACAACCAGTTGGAGAACAGAATTGGTCCCTTGAGAGCTTGCTCGTGATCGATAGCAGGGAAATTCTCCAACGCAATACGTCGAATAGCATCAGCTGTCCAATTTCTTTCCTCTTCAGCGACAAGTCGATCTTGGAAAAGTCGCAGAGCTTCATGGGCCCAGATACGAACCAGCCCTTCAATGGAGAGGCTTTCAAGGGGTTTAATAGCCTCGTAGACACCACGCACCCACCGGGTAAGCTCACGCGGTGAGTACACATAGTGCGGTTGGATCTTTGGTGTAAATCTAGACTGGGACTCCAAGTAGAATTGAACCATAGCCTTGGTAAGCGATTCAGAGTAGCCTCGCAACAAGGGAAGGATCTTGAGAATCGCAGAATTAAACGTGCCGTAGATCTGCGTGAGAGAAATCTCCCCGGGATAATCAACCATGATCAAAGGTGAGTGGCGCAAGAACCTCTCAGCCAAAGGTGTACGGCCAGCGTCTGTTGGAGGGTTGCATGCACCAACAAACTGGATGCGATCCAAAGTGACCCAGGTCTTATCTGATGTTCTCCAGAAACCGTTCTGTTCAACAAGCTGTCTCAAAAAGGATATTGCTCGTTGGGTACCGTAGCGATCAGGCGCCGGAAGATTGATTTCATCACAGAAAATTACTAACCAACGCCCAATTTGGTTCGGAGACATGACAATCCCGTTCAGCGTTTTCTTATACTCGCAGTACTGCTCAAAAGTCTTGATCAAAAGATCCGGAGTGGTGGCGCTAGAAAAATTGAGACCGACAACTTCCATGTTGGGTAGCTTCCGAAGCGCAGCAAACAAAGTCATTGTTTTACCGGAGCCAGGAGGACCGCAGAGAAGCAGAGGTTTGTGTTCTGCGAGCCACGAATAAAGGACATCTTCATGGCGAACGGTATCTACTGTCGGAATTACCACGTCGGTTTGGGTAATAGAGTGGGTGTTTATCTCAATTGATGGCACTTGCGATTGCCAGCTCGTCCATTCTGCTCTCGGAAGAGACACATCGAAATCAATGAGAGACGAATCAATTAGAGATGGAGTATCAATCGTAGACAGCCCTGAGACATATTCGCCGAAGGACTTGCGATCCCCGAGCTTGCAGTCACCCGTAAAGGACCAGACAAGCGCGACAAGGAACTTCTTAGAAATGTACGACTCCATCTGTTCCGTATCAAGAGGGAAATCCACGTGCTGGATGTTGTATTCAAGAACATTCCGGCAAGCCTTATTCAATAAGCTGAACAGAGTATTGAGTGCACGAATATCAGTAAATTCCATGATGTGGTTGTATTTATGTGCCTCCTCAAGCGCCTTCATAACGAGGTCGTCGCTTTGGAGGAGCTGCTTGAGAATGGTCGAAAGTGTATCTTGAGAATCCTGGGTTCTCACAGATGCCTGTCCAGCAGGGACGCTATCGTCATCAAGGTCTTCGAATGTTCTGGTTCTGAGCGACTCGACATAATTCTCGATCATCATGGAAGGAGTGACACTGTCTTCATTGAACCAAACCATGCCACAACGGCTGACAGTAGCCAGCGTGGCATATTTAAGGCTTTCCACTTCGAACATGATGCGGACATTCGGGGGGAGATTCAAACGCTCTCCGTTGGGAAGAGTCAATAGCTTGTTATCATCGAGGACACTGTTAAGATTCTCAACCCATTCAGGGTCGACATCTCCATCAAAAACAATCCAATGACGTTTGGAATCCTCTCCTCGAAGGTTATCAATGATCCTTCTCAATATTCCCGTGAAAAGACCGTCAGTCCATTCTCTAGTGGTGCTGTCGAGATTACCGTAAAGTGCTTCTTTAGACATAACCTTAGAGTCGATAATATGCGAAACGCCTTCGACTCCTTCAATTCGCTGCAAGGCTTGAAGCAATACCTTCCAGGCCGACGACTTGCCCGATCCGGATTTGCCCACCATCATAACACCATGGTGGATGCTCTGGATCTGGTGGACCTGTAGCGCCTTGGTAACCCACATCTCGCTGTCAACATGGTGCTGCTCACGGGCGATCTCACGAATAGCCTGCTCCAACTTCTCAAAATTTGCAGGTACATACTCCACACCGGGAAAGTTCTGTGCTTGTATTTCAAACAGCTTGTCCACATCTTCTCGTACCAGCTTAGGGGCAATTGTCTCCCGGAGACTCTGAACAATGATCTGAGGTTCGATAATCTCATCTGGGCCAAGTTCACCTTCCAAGTTGGCGAGACGAATGCGCTTGAGGCCACCAGAACTAACTAGAACGCTCTTAAGAGCACGTAAGCCGAAGTCGTAATGTGCTTGTTTCGATAACTGTGAAGAGCAATGATCGAAGAAAGGCACCGTCTGTTTCGACAATGGCTTTGCTTGCTTGAACCCTTGCGAGAAAAGCATAACTTCAGCAATGAGCTCCTTGTCTGGCTTTGACATTGCGACGCTTCTAAAGAGCTTCTTCAAGTTATCAGGCAGGTTCGAGCGTCCAGCATAGCCTGGATTCATGGTGATGAAAATCCCAGTGCTGGGATTCACAGACAATCGTCTTCCAACAAGCTCAATCTCAGCCTTTTCATCTTCTTCTCCCTTTTTCAAGCCAATTTGAATGTTCTGGATTTGTTGGGATACAGCCGACAGAATTCTCTCTTCTAAACGGTTAAATTCGTCGAAGCAACCCCAGGCACCAACCTGACAGATACCAAGGAAAATTCGACCCATAGCTTGGAAATCAAAACTGTCGTCACAACAAAAGACGAGAGTGAAGCGGCCAAGTTGCAGACCTAACGCTTTAACTGATTCTGTTTTCCCGGTACCGGCTGGACCGTAAGGAGAGCCACCAAGTCTTTGGCACAAAGCTTGTGTTAAAGTCAGGAAGCAACGATCAGTAAGAGGTGTGCGCACAAGGCGTTCGGGAACACCTAGGTACTCAAAACCATAGTTGAGCTTCGCATTTGCCATGTGGACATACAACCGCTGCAGGAAGTCCCCATTGTTCTGGTAGACATAACGCATCTGTAGGAGCCACATATAGTGAGTTGGGGCCGAAGCGTTCAATTTGATGAGCTTTGATATGACATCTCGTTGGTGAACAAACTCCGTAATCATATGTTCACATTTCTTTCTGGTAATTGCATCGAGCTCACCGAGGACGGTGGCGGCAAGAAGCTCCAGTATTCTAACTTGAGCATCATATAACACTGAAAGAGTAGTGCCACCATTTTCCAGAGACTTCTGGACGGCGCTAGTCCAGACAACCTGACTGGCAAGGACAACAATCTGGGCAGGGTAGTTGGCAAGGAAGTCGTTGAAAGCGGTTCTGTCAATCTCCGGAGCATTGTATATCGTATCAAATTGCTCCACTGCTTCCGCAAGGAGTTCCGCCAGCGTCAATTTCATGCTATTCTCGAGCGCGGCGAGCCACTCATTTATCTTTGGGGTCCTGACAAGGCTGACTTCCTTCTTTAATCGGACCTCCTCACCTTCTTTAGATGTAAACCCGACAATATTCGTGTCATCGTCAACTATTAGCCCAGACAACCCCGCAAACATCTTCTTGAAGTGTTTGGCAACCCGGAGGATGTCATTGCTGTTGCCGATAATTTCAAGCAGGTCCTCATCCCCAACAAAATAGAAGCGAGGGAAAGAGAGCCGCTCCCGTTCAAGGTATTCACCCAACGCTTTCTGGATCTTGTTGAGTAGATCTGCCAATCTTTCCAGAGACTTCTGCACTCCATTGATGGCAAGGACATCTAGGACGAAAGGAGATTTATAAACTTTCTTCATCACAGCGAAGAACTCCGAGTTAATATTCTGAAAGCGGCTCGATTCAAGAGGGAGTAGGTGCTTAATGTCAGCGTTTCCGGTGAAAACACCTTCGAGATAAACCCATTGTCTTTGAACATCGATCCATACATCGAAAAGAACGTGAACCCTGTTGAGTTTATCTTCCCAGGAAGAAGCCTCTTCTTCGAATTCCTTATAGTATGGAGAATGTCTCATCGCTTGCAGAGAGTTCAGATTCTCACTGCATTTCGCAAAAAGGTCATCAAACCCTCGAATAAGACGACACTTATTTTGGTAGTTGACGAGGTCAAGAGAATAGTTCTGCCAAGTTTCCCTGACAGACCTCAGGAATTCCTCCAGCGCCATCTCACCTTGAGCTTGCACGATAATGTCGCGAATTACAACCTCACTAGCGACGAGCTGCAGATCCCATACATCACCGAGAGTGAGTGAGACGAGAGAAAATCGCTGTCTGGGCTTGAGGGCTTTGTAGATCTTTTGCCAATGCCTTTCCCTGACAGCTTCAGACTTCATGTCAGAGAGAAGAGGATTCACCTTCAACAGTTGTCGAAGCACGTTTTGAATATGTTCAAATGCAGCATATTGGCGCATACGACTTGGCATCTCTTTCGTCATTTTGATCAAGCTATCGAGAGACTGACGAAGCTTTCTAGGCTGTACGCTCGTCCAAAGCATTTCGCGTAGATCATTAAGGCTCTTCCAAATGGTTGACAAAGCTGCCCAAACTGACATAAAATCTTGAACTTCCTCCAGAATAGCCGGTAAGGAGGATTGGGGACTTGGTGGAAGGTCAAGGGCCTCCTTCGCCTTGGATACCATTTCATATTCGGACCGAAGGGATTCAAGGCGAGACTGGAAAGAGCTGAGGATTCGGGATGCTTCATCAGGAGGAATGGTACCGGATACTGGCTTCTCTTCGTTCCACTGGTGGAGAACTTCATCAATTCTAGAGCCAATGACCTTATCCTCGGCGGAAATCTTGGCGCGCAATCCTTCTGTCTGGTCCTGGACAATCTTGCTCTTTCGAGCAAGAAGTTCATTCAACGCGGTCCACTCCCCATCAACATTCTCCACGTGTAGCCAGTCGTTAGGGAATGGGTAACGTTGACGAGAGAGTGTGGTCTGACCTTGCCGGAAGAGATCAACTTCTGGCTCCCATACCTTTGCTTTACGCTTGCACTGTTGAACGATTGTAATGAAAGACACTGCGTGCGCCGTCGAAGATGCCTCGAGACTCTGGCCCTCCAGATCACGCCGTGCAGAGGCAATTTCTGTATGGACCTCTCGCATGCGGCCCCCTAGTTTTGACCCAAACTTGAGGAGTATTTCATGTTGCCACTGGTCGTATTTGGCGTTGACCTTTGTCTGGACTTGCTCATAGTCGATCTTGACGTTACCAAATGATCGACTGACTTCAGAGGTATCGAAGGTTGCACGACTCTTCCGAATTTCCTGAAGGAGTTGAAGCCACTGAGACAGGTTATCACCCAGGATATCGTAGACCTGCTCAGACCGCAGATCCCAGAGAGACTGGAATTGCAGCCATTTGTCGACGTATTCAGAGACCTCTTTCAGTCTCGCTTCAACCACACTGTAAACCTCACCAAGGTCGCTGATGCAGTGCTGAGGGAGATTCGTAAAGCAAGCTTCCGATGGCTGGGTTGACTCAACATCAATCGAGATTTGGTACCGAGAAGACTTGATCTTCTCAAGGTTACACACAATACCCAGCCAATTGTCGAAATGCGAAAGCCAACTCGCTCGAGCAAATTGCAGGGGCGGGTCAAGATGTAGAACTTGGTTCCGCATCGAGATTTCATGTACCAGCTCAGGGAACTCAACCTTGTAGGTCGCAGTCTCTAACTCATCTCCGGAATTCAGGAGCTGGGCTGACACCTGGTCCCTTTCAGCAGCCTGAAACGAAGCAACCCATTCTCGAATGGCACGATGGAGTCGATCCCGAAGTATGGACTCGATCTTCGAGTTCAGCCCAGCGACCCAGAAGCCAAGGTTTACATAGTTCTCCAGGTTCAGCTTATCGACCGCAACTTGAATGGTGTCCAAGCATTGTTTGAACGCCGTCGCATCGTACGGGCACGTCTTCAATTCACCAATGGCTTTCTGGATATTTTCATTGATAGAAGCCAGTGTTGCCGTCTTGGACTGTAGCACAGAGGCAGATCCGGCGAATTCACGGACAAACTGAACGTGCTTGCTCTCGCCTCTGCTTGCAATGGCAGGCTCAATAGAGCTATTAACCAGGGTTGGCTGTTTTACATGAAGTTCGTATGTATGAACAAACGATTCCCACCTTAGAGGAATTCCCTTGGCTATCATGCCTTGCGCATCGTTGACATAGCCATTCAGTAAAATAGCGACTTCTGACATAGACAAAATGAAGCGGTTGGTCTGCAACAGTGTACGGACGCTTTCCATCAGGCTGATCGCGAAAGGGTAGACACGTTTTGCTTCCTTTGATATGCTGCTGACTGCATGGGGAACCTGGTAATTAAGCCAGACTAGGTTCCTGACCTCTTTGAATAGGGCTATGACCTGGGCATCGAAGTTCACGCTAAGTTCAAGTGTATTCCCAGCGGCTCGATTGCGCACAATGTTGAAAAGTCGCCCGGCTATGGTGATACGGCGCCTCTGGACATCATGAAGCCAGGATTCAAAAATTGGTCTGGTATCCAATTTCTTCCGAAATAGACTGCTCTCGGATTGCAATTTTTGACCCTCGGCATGTAGATGCCAGTCCTCCCCAAGAACATCCTCGACTTTTCGCATATAACCATCGAGTTGTCTTTCAATCTGACGGGCCCAAATGATAGCACCTGAGACAGGAGGCAGATCCCGCAATTGAGCCATCGCGTGTGCTTCGGAGTGGCCATACTGCTGTTTGAATCGTTCATGCAAGGCAGAAATATCCTGCTTGACATTCTTAAGGAGCTGCGACTGATATTTACTAATGGCTCCTCGAATTTTGGGCCGAATAAGGAGTGCGTTGAATTTGGAGAAAACACGGAACATCTCATTCGCATTTCTTGCAGTTGCTAGGCGGTCTCGGAGTCGAGCAATTATGGAATTTTCAACACGAGAAGTCCGCTCATTGTAGGCAATCTCCGCCTGCACCCACAACTGGGTTCCCTCGGGGGATACGTCTAGCACATCCACATTCTTGAGGGCTGCGAAAGCTTGCGCGACTTCTTCAACAGCGTCTACATCGCCGATCTCCTCGACAATTACCGCTCCATCGTTATTATTCCCGGCGTCTCCAGATAGAGACGTTTTAGGTCCCAAAACATTCACAATAGTCCGTTGAAGTTGCTCATGGTTGACTCTGAACGTGTTGATGTATTGGAGCCTTTCCTGGGTTTTATCGTGCCGTGGAATTACCTTGATCGGAATGAACTTCTCATTCCGGCGTCTTGTAGCCTCTCGAGCGACATTGGTAAACTCCTTGATGTTTTCGTCCCAGGTCCGAAATATCGCACCAGTGGTCTTCATTAACGGACGGAATTCTCGGTAATCCAAGTGCAAGATCGCCCGGCCATTGATCAGGGATCGGATCTGGGCATCGAGGTCCCCAGAGATAGCTTCAACAAGTGACAGAGCACGCTTGATCGGGTAGGGGGAGATCTTCAATTTCTTGTTGAGGTGATTGAAAATCAAGCCCAAAGACTCTTGCACCTTCTGCAATGTAGTGGCAGATAATAGTTCGTCAAGAGGGAAGTCACGCATCAACTGGTTGTACTTCTGGACCATATCTGTCGCCTCCCTCAGTCCAGTATCTGCAACAAAACTGAGAGTTGCTTGATAACGCTTTGCATGGCGGAGGATATCCATAGTCAACTGGACACCATCGCCGCGCAGCTGGTTCTCAATACCCTCAAGAGCACTCTCCATCTCCAGCCAGAAATGGATCTCCTGAGCTGCTGAACCGCTATCAGCATCACGAGACATCTTTGTGATAGTTTGAATCGATCTAATCCATCCGTTCACCGAATTTTGAATGCTATTGATGAAGTTGCTGCTTTCCAGGACAGAAGGTGGAATCAATTCCACTGAGGGTTTTATCCCTCGGGCTTCTGCTTCATTCAAGGCAGCCTGCACCACTTCGTGGGGCTGGAGATTTAAGACGGGAATCTCCACATTCTGCTGGAGATGAAGAAGGCTCGTTTCCAATTCCGCCCACTTCTTCTTGGTTCCTGGAACGCCTGTCTTTGCTTCTGTATCCGTCCTTGACTTGGAGCCATTTGTACTGTCTTGATTGCGGATGTAGGCTTCCAGGTAAGGACTTAGAGCATTGTGCATCGACGAGTGTAGGAATTCAAAAGGAGTCATAGAAGCACCCTGCTGGGCTTGTGCGTTGAAAGATGGCGATCCGGGGAGATTCATCACATGCAGCTGTAAGTACAGCGGACGGGATGGATCGATAGCTGTCGGACGTTTCGTAAAGGCCACCGACGCGACCGTTGTCGGAGAGAACGAGACATCGGCGGATAGATTATATGCATAACCAACTGAGGGAGCTAAGTTCTGTTAGCGATTTGCTTCACTGGACGCATTCAATGACATACATGAACCATCTTCCGTCCCATTTGTTTCCTCTGTAGGCACTATATCCTTCTGTACAAAGAGAGCTGTCTGCGGTTCGGAGGCGAACCGCGTCAACCGCTGTACGGTCTCATTGTACTTGGCTTTAGACAACAAGCTTCCAGTACTTTCTAGCTCACTTCTCAGAGCTCCCAAAGTTACTTGGAGCACCTCAACTAAGTAGTGTACGAGGACGTCGGGGTCCCAGGGGGATGGCTGATTGGGTGCAGAAACGCCGTTCGGCACCCCTGCGGAGGCAACCTCCATATTCTATGACCTTAAAGACGATCGTCCGCGAGGATCATCGAGAAAACGGGACACAGGAGATGGATGGTAGGTAGCTAGCACACGTCGGACTTTTTTGGCCGACGTGTTGATAGATCGCGTCGTGCTGCGGCTTTCTCGAATCGGGGATAGATGGGGATGGAAAAGGGGAAGGTAGAGATGGATCGGAAGGGTAGAGAGGATACTTCTGAACCAGGATGAAGGGAGAGTCGGAAAAGGACTAGAAATTCATTGCCTACTGAGTGTTGGTTTCCCTTCTCTGCAGCCAACCAGTCCGACCGAACACGGCAGACATGTTGTCCAGGGGTTCTGGCGCTAATCCTGTTTCGGTAAGCTCTTGTAGCCCAACCATGTGATGTCCATCTCCACTCGTCAGTGATCCGCAGGACAAGCATCGTTCCTGAACCAGTTCCAGACAGCAATGCACGACGGAATTGATCTCCTACGTATAGTCTTTGAGACACCTGAATTCAGCGTTAAACGACTTCTGGGAACGGAGCCAAGAACTATAAAAGTGCATTTAAAGGTAAAAGAAGGACATGACCGTAGATTCAATTGTATTGATTTATCTTTCTAGGGAATAGAATCCGTATGGGACAGAAGAAAAGGCAATCCTTGTTGGATCAAATGGCAGTCCCTATATCCGCCTCAGTAGATCCCTCTGCCCCTTGACAATTGCAATGATACTTCTGCCGGAATTCAAATGCTGGAAGTCCCTCCAACACAGCCAGCGCTTTCTCACTCGCCTTCACTTTGGCGTGGCGGCCGGATGATGCTGTCCCATCCGCAATGACGGAATCGTGCACAATAACGGCGGCCAGAATGGACGCGATGGAGCTGTCGCCGGTGGGTATCTCTCCTGCCTTCAGACAGTAGTTTGTACATCCATATTCATTCGTCAATTTATTATGCAGATATGTCTGAAATGGTTAGCTTCTGGAGACACATGCTCATACCGGACGATACGGGTCTTACAGTTGGATGTTTATTTGCAAAGGTGTCGTAAATGGACATGTCATGGAAGTACGGCTTGACATGACGTTTGAAAAATGCCTCAACGACTTCGAAATTGAAACCAGAGTCAACAAATACAGCTCCGAGGTAGGCCTCGACCATGTCGGGTAAACACTAAACCATGCAGTTTGGTCAATCTTACAAACCTGACCTGTCGAAGGGCTGTTCACAACATACCTTAGGCGGGTCTTTCGTCATAACCCAATAGTCGACTGCGCCCTCATTCTCAGTTTCCGCGGTTTGGATTTCTTCCGCGTAGTAGGTAATCTGCGCCTGCAAAGGGTTGCTAAAATGCTGCAGGTGAGTGTGCAATCTCAGTTTCACAGCTAAGGCACCGAGGAACTTGTTCGAGACCATCGACATCTGCAGAGCTAGAGTCAGCGCCATTTGATATTTCCCACCTGACAGCGAAACTTACTTTATGCTCTGTCAACCACTGTGGATCCCGATCTGGAAACCGTTGGAAGAGATCTTCGACACAAACCATATCGAGCAGTGAGTCACCCAAAAACTCAAGGCGCTGGTAGCACGGAACCTTGGCCCATGCCAGAGGATACGACGGGTGAGTAAAAGCTGAGCGTAGTAATCGGGGATGTTTGAAACGATAACCCAACTTCTCCTCAATCTTCCGAGAAAGGTCAAGGTCAAACCCATCAGCACCCTGAACTTGATACTTCGGCATTGTGTAGAGAGAGTAATATTCCTTCCAGCAAGAAACCATGTGATTTGGACTATCAACCAAGGCAGTGACTGCTTTGACAGCCATATCAAAACGATGTTCATTGCCACCTGATAAAAAGGAGGCTCCTATCAACGCTTCACAAACATCCGCAATGGTCTTCTCCCCAAGTGCATGCTTGCCTTCGGACGAGACCTTTTTGCTATGATCCTTTCCCTGTAGCAATGTGAGACCTTCAGGGTACCACGTATGTCTAGGAACAAATATTTCGTTAGTTCCCACGAGACTCCAGAAACCTGGAAACTGGCATACCTGGAGAAACCCCGGCTTCTGATGAACCGATACAATTGCTTCTTTTTGGCCGAGTTGAATAAATTTTTGTTGCAAATAAGACACATTCTATTCACATGATAGTCATATTCATCATCATCAGGTTTTTGAGCAAAGAGGGAAATTGACGTCGCCATTTTGAGAAAGCAGTCGCCTAAGAACTCCAAGCGTTCATAATTCTTGCCCATTCCTCTTTGGAGATGGATCTGCTGGCCTCGGTGCTCTTCAGTATTATCAGAGTCCTTTGTGAATGCTTCCAAGGCATATCTCAGTTGGACGTCCAGGTGTAGAGTTTTGCAAGCTTCACGAGCTATAAGATACGAATCCAACCTGCTAATAATAGCCGGGAAAGAAAGGCACGATGCAGCAATCGATGAAGGAATCTTGTCTTTACTGTCAGTATAATATAAACCGTAATTTTCTGGTTTGTCAAACTAACAGCAGATATCTTTAATGGCTCTGGACACAAGACAGTTCTGGTTTCAAATTTCTTTTCTGAATCGGTCATTTTGTCGAGCAGGTTCCTCCTGAGTCGAACCAGCTCTGCCCGAACTACCGGCTGATTCCAGTCACACGTTGCAAAAAATCTCGCCCTAGAATTTTTCGACAAACTCAGGCAGTAGTCTAAGATATTATCCATATGTCTGCGGCGTGGAACAAAGGGTGGTGGTGGATCAGAGGCACGTAATGTCTCCTCAATTCCTAGGGTGAAGTATCGATACCTCCCATCCCAGCTATCAAAGACGAAGCGATTTTTCAGAAAGTCAGGAGCCATTCCACTAATCCATTTGACTTCGTCGTTCTCCTGAACGAATTTCAGGGTTTTCCAGTCGACGACACTGCGCGAGTCTGGGCACTCTTCGAATATGGCATCTGTTGCGGCTGGAGCAAGCCAATATGGCATTTTTTCGGGTTCTCGATCATAAATTTTATGAAAAATATCTCGAAAGACACGGAGAGTAAATGCTGTAAAGCAGTCTAAATCTTCAGCGGTGATAGCGAGGGGATTGTCCACTGGCACGGAATGAACAGTCGTCTCAACGTTCTCCTCGAGAAAGATGGGAAAATCCGGAAATTTCGGCAGCTTTTCACGAGTCAGGAAAACTAGATTTCCATGTTCCCTTATGAGTGGTCTTGATGGAATAATCGATACCGATGTTGCATATAACATCGTCGGAGAAGCGCCCTGCTGGCTACTCCAATACGACGGCTTCGTTATCATATCATACTGGTTCGTCCGCTTTGATGTTATAGCCAATTTTGCATTTCTCATAGCAGGTAAGCGTTTGTGATATACGGAATTGAAATGGTCGTCTAGCAATTTATGCTTCCGGAGTAAGAGACAAGTGTCGAATGCAGCTGACTGTTTGGCAGTGGACCTCTTCATTGATGGGCTTCCAGTTAACCCTCGAATTGGAGACTTTTCCGGTAAGATGACCTCGCAAATAAAAGTATTATCCACAGGCAGGACAACATATGTGACGATAGCTGACGTTTCTTTCTCGTATTGCTATGTAGTTGTTTCAATTAGGGCCGAACAAGTATATCAAAGGAACATAGACTCACTAGAGAGCTGGCGTAGCGAGCAAGAATTACTATTGCGGAATGGTAAGTCAACTTCGCACCTGTACTTGTAACTGTGTACGTTCTTTTCCCTTCTTCTTTATCAATAATGGTATTGATGTCATGCTCATTTCCATGAAGCAGTCGATCTTCAGGTAGACATTCGCAAAACCTTCGCATAACGTCCTAGACCACAGTTAGATGTATTTTGACGGAATCCAAAACCAGACATACCTCAGCCTCTCGAACTCCCACTATCCGTGCTTCATGCCCTGCGTTTTCTTTTTCGACCATGCTTGCGTACTATAATGAAAGTTAGTAGGCTCATTTGATATTCGATCTGGACCCTAGAATACCGTTGAATTAAAATGCCTAGCCCTGCCACGACTCTGGATATACTGGATAAACGTATTGTATAAATCAAATCTTTGTAGTATTAGTATAGATACTGCAACATGTCGATTGAGGTCGGTATACCTTACTACTAAGTTGCAGTCAGGAATGTCGAGGCCCTCTTCGGCAACGGAAGTAGCAAACTTTGGCCGTCAGAGACGGGTGTGTAACCTACACTGGACGGGAGAGCATGTACTCACCAAGCAATTGATTTCTCCTTTCCTGAACTTCATCAGGGCAAGGAACTGCTGCCGAAAAGTGGTGTTCATACCGGCCACGTCACCGGATCGAACACCAACAATAACACCAGGGTGAAGATGGGGAATGTTTAGATTCAGAAAAAGCTCGCACAAAATTTTCGCTGTATAGCGTTTCTCCGTGAAGACAATACATTTCGTATCCGTCGGACCCTCAAAGTACTGGCTGAGTTCTTTGCGAAGAACTTGCACCTTATTGCTAAGTTCTCCGGGAGCATTTGGGTCATTGAATGGATAGTTTCGAACCAGATTGTTGGCTTCTTTTATCAGCGTTATATCCTTGTAAACATTTTCTGGTACTTCACTGTCCGACTCAGAATGGAGGGCTTTGTTGATCTTCCCTTCGAGTATTGGTAGCACATCATCTGCCAATGCATGCTTCCATGCCCTATCAGCACACCATTTTCCTAACTCAGAAGTAGCAGCCCACGAGAACCGAAAGACACCTTCTAAGCAAACGAGGTCACCAAATTGGTCTTTCAAGAGTTTGTAGAGGTTGGTTGCAAAAGGTGGCCCTGGTCTATTATATTCCCAGACCTTCTCGGCTGGACGTCTCACGACTTGCCGTAGTGAGTTCAGGTTGGAGGTTGTTGCGATCTTACTGTCAAGCAACGTCTCCAGTTTTCTGGTTCAATTTAGTTTCCAACTGTTGCCGAAGGATGGTCATAACCTACAAGGAGGCTTCCACGATATCCCCGTTTGCGTCGATTGGGGATGCCGTCATTCCGAATATTCTTGGACGCCTCGAAGGATCCTCGTCGAGATAAGAATTTTTGATGATCCTGGATAAAGTTAGAATTCGGTTATATGCTCAAGTAAGCTGATTCGAATTTGTACAGACCTTGCGTAAGGATGGTCCCTTTTGGTATGGTGAGCCTCATCGAAGATTAGCAGGTTTATCTGATCCATCCGAATGTGGGCATTCAAAAGACACTGGTTCAAAATTTCCGCTGTGCAAACTATCACCATGTTATTTTTGAAAATTTCAGCCCAGGTCTGCTTGTTCCATAGGTCTGTCCCCATGGCTCCAAAGAAACTTGCTATATTTTGATCCAGATTGTTGCGCAAAACCGCTGCCTGCTGGTAAACAAGAGTGACGCTGTTCACCTGATAATCGTTCAGCAAACTCTTGTATCGAATACTTGGCCTAGATTGTCTGCATACCAGGAAGAATGAGATACGAGGGGCCTTTCCCTTTCCACGATCCACCAACTCATTCTGAATAGTGTGCTTAAGTAAAAGCACCGCTATCAAAGTCTTACCGGAGCCTATGACATGAGTTAGAAGACATAATTCAGAGCCTGAAAGGAAGGGAGAATACCAGTATCAAGAACCGCAATGGTGTTACGCGACTTCGCCCTCTCGAAGAGTTCAATTTGGTATTCTCGAGGATCCAATATCTCTAATCCAAGGTCTTGTTTCGCTATCAGATGAGCCGTCGAAAGCTGGGTGTCAGGCAAGGTCTGAATGGCAGATTTGACAGTCTCGGCAGTAATCGAATGAGCATGTTTCGACAGACTAAAGAAAAGATCAGCTCCATGAGTTCAACGTAGGGGGGGTATTTAAAAAAAAGCAATGGAGACAGACAGTTCCTCAAATTTTGCATTCTGGCATCGTCGTTTCTTAGTAAATTCATTGTGGGCTGGCTCTTCGTTCTCGTCGGCCGATTCATCTGTGGTGGATGCTCTTCTGTCCCGGGCATTAGCATCAGCAGCTGTAACCTCTTCAGAATAAACTGAAGGCTTGTGATCTTCAATCAATCCAACTTTGAGGCGATCCTCTGTTATTGTGCTCTTCAAGGAGTCCATTTTGGTTCTGGAAGGCCCAGGCTGGTGTATGTTTGCAAACTTGGGGGTAAACGGATAGTCGAATCAGAGGGCGCTACTGTAAAAACTGTCTTTTAAGAATTTCTTGATCTCTTCTATCCGATGAATAAAACTGAACGCGAACAGAGGTTGAAGCAAGACCAGTGAATGAAAGTAGGGGATCCCTACAAACGAAGCGTTTGCTGCCCACCTGGCGCCTGGTATGTACATTAGACATGATGGGAATAAATGCTTGTAGGCATAATTGCTATAGATACAGTTTCTTTCCAAAAGTTCAATTTCAATTCATCCAACAATTAGATACTGAGCATGGCAATGGTCCATCCATCATTAACAACAAAAGCTTACATTCCAACTTTAATTGCGGGGAGATTTCGGTGCGTGGGGTTAGCTCGACCCAGCGAATATATTTTCGCCAGCTCAACCCAAAGCTATCCTTCGAGATCTCATTCTGCAGATCATCCCGAAAGATACATTATTATTTCCACTTTAACTGTGATGATGGACCAGCCACAAAGTCTCCGGACACTGTTCGCATCTGCAAAGACAGAGAAAGAATCGCTGGAATCACGTACCGACAGTAACTCGGACTCGTACCGCAGTGACGTGGATGCAACGATAGCTAAGTTCAAGGAGTGCCAGCGACTCGTCCAGTTTCTATCCTTGTTCAGTCAGAATGAATCATTAGAAGAAGTTGCTACAGGGGATATTCCGTACTTATTTCCTGTGTCATAAATGAGAGTGAAACTTGGCTGATTCACGCTACTCTTAGGTATCTCACCGTGGACTATCTTCTGGCCGACCTTCTCCAACGATCCCATAACCCAGATCGCGAAGCTTCCCTCCGAAGTGCACTGGGGCAATATGAACAATACCTTTCGCGACTGGACACATATGACTCGCTGTCGAACAGCGACAAGAAACTTTACGAGCGATACAGCGAGAACCCCTCTTCGTTTTCTCTGGCTCCGGTCAATGATGCCGCTACTCGACGAGATGTAAAAGTGGCCAGATTCAGGGAAGAGAAAGAGCTAAAGCAAAAGCTTGAGGTCTTCAATATAATTCCAATCCAGATAGTGTGACTAGCTCAGCGCTGATTCTGTCAAAAGTATCTCTCACAGAACCAGAACCGGCTGCAAAGCGACGACGAAGACGTCCGGAAACTGTACATTGCGGAAATCAATCTATATACCCACCAAGCTTTCCAGTCACTAGATTTAATAACGCAGGAACTATCTATGCTAACGGCCATTCGTCACGCACCCCAACCATCAGATAAGGACCAAGCGGGAGATGCAAGGGTGAGGGGTAGTACAGGCGAGAGCGGTTATTCAGAGCGATTAGATGCACCTCTCTCTCAACTGCTAAAGAACGGGAAATTTGGACCCTTGTTGAGCAAGGAGGGCAAGCCACTGCAACCATTTACACTGCTAGATCGCCGGTCGCAGCTTCAACAAGGAGTTTTCCGGCCCGGCCATAACCTGCCCACGATGACGATCGATGAATATCTCGAGGAAGAAAGGAAGAGAGGGGGTATTATCGAAGGCGGAGGACAATCGGATGTAAAACCAGAGATTGATGAGGACGACATGGAAAAGGCCGACGAGGAGACAATGAAAGCGAGGGCTTGGGATGAATTCAAAGAAGCAAATCCAAGGGGCTCCGGAAATACTCTGAATAGGGGTTGACCGTTGTCTATTTGTATGAGCTTTGCTATCATATCCAACCGGCCTTGCTCGCTTTGGCAAGAGGATTTCTTGTAACCTCCGCCTGTGACGTGGAATCGGCATGGAGCCCTTCCAGTTAACCTAGGCTTCTTGTTCTAGTCCTATACGTCTCTGGCGCTCTTCTGCTACGGGTGCGGATGACCACGATTCATCTGTTGCAAAGCTCGTGTACCATTACCATTAAATGGAAAAAGTAGAGGGGAGACTGCTCCAACCAAGGGTCCTACGAGGACCTTGCACAGTACACAAGTCGCGACATTCTGGCATGCATACGATGCCAGTAACGTCCCGAGCAATATGCCTTTCATACCATTGGCCATCTAAATGGCATGTGAATCCATGAAATCCGTGATAATAGAGAATCAGTCTTGCTCGCAGAGGTTCGTAATTCATGTTGCTTTTCTTTCTTTTTTTTTCTTTCAATGGGTATCTCCTAGATACATGGTCAACTTGGATACTCGGAGTCTATCTATCGACAATCGATCACTCAGAAGCATGTTCAAGCAGACTTCTTGCTCTCTTGAATAGCCTCAAGGATCTTCCCTGCACCATCCGCTACCAATGCCTTTGCCACAGTTTCACCGAAAGCCTCAGCGCTCTTAGGAGAATCCACGGCACCATCGATCTCGACCTCTGTACTCTCGGTACCATCCACACTGACGATAATGGCCTTAAAACGGAGTTTCTTCGACCCATCAGACGCCTGAACCCATTCCGTCTCCACACCTAACGGCGCACTGCAACCGCCCTCTAGAATGCGTAGAAGATTCCGCTCAGCAAGACACTCCAACGTAGTCTCCTCATCACCAATATTACTCAGCATGTCATACATGACCTTGTCATCCTTGCGGATTTCAATGCCCAGAGCACCTTGTCCGACAGCATAGAGCATCCCCCCATTCTCCGAATCGAGGTACTGGGAAATGCGATCCCCAAGATCCAACCGCAGAAGACCCGCTGCAGCTAGGATAATGCAGGTATACGGGCTATCCTCCGCGTCCAGCTTCGCAAGACGAGTGCCGATGTTACCGCGCATGTTGATCACTTTTAGATGGGAATATTGTCGGGCCAGTTGGGCAGTACGGCGTATCGAGGACGTTCCCACGACAGACCCGGGAGCTAGGTCGGCCAGGGTCTGGGCAGGTAGCCCTTTCTTCATAACGAGGACATCCCTCCTGTCTGCTCGCTTCATCATGGGACCCAGAGCACACTCGGCAGGTATGAGAGTGGGTACATCTAGTAGCAAAAAGAAAAAAAAAAAAACATTCAGCAACATGAGGAAATTAAGAAAAGACCAAGAGAAAAGGAGATATATACCCTTCAAAGAATGAACAATAAAATCCACCTTCCCAGCAATAAGAAGTTCTTCCAACTCCTCCGTCCAGAGGTTTTTCGTCGTGAACTCCCGGAAGGCGATGGTCGTGTTCTTGTCGCCAGCAGTCTCCTTGGAGAGTACCTCAAATTTATAGTCTGGATATGCCTTCCTCAGCTCATTCACGACCAGATCAGTCTGTAGGAGAGCGAGTTTCGACGAGCGCGTCCCAACCGTGAAGGTTTTCTGGGCGGGAGCAGATGCCATTGCGATAGATCGGTGGGTGAACGACAACACGATGCAACGAAACTCGAGGAATATACAGCAAGGAAGGAGTATGTAGTATCAAGTATGTGCAGATGGAGTCAGTCTTCCCAACAATATAGGTATCGTAGATTGGTTTCTTAATTCTATCTGCAATTACGTCGTACGCTGTACATCCCGATCTGCGCCCGCGCGGCTACCGTGGCGATTACATAATTCAACTGGAATATGAAGGTTGGAGGCATGGAGGTTAACATACAATCATGCCGAAAAGATCAAAGGGCACCACCATTATGATAGTTGGGCAGGAGGGAGAACATCTTGAATAAGGGAAAATAGGTAGAGGGATGCTTTCAAGTCCATCAAACAGATGTCTTCACGATAGAGACACCATGATATCTCTTATGAAGGCCCGCAGGGGACTGCAAGATGAATCCAACAAGGACGAGATATATAATCGAAGATAATACCTATAAAGGTAGATAGATCCACATACATTTGTATAAGGCTGGGTGAATATGCGGATATCCAGGTACTGATATCATCGATGGAGATGATTGTATGATCATCGATCAGAGGCATCAGATATGATTAGTTCGGAGGATACCACATGGTTGACAGGCAACGGTTAGATTGCCTGGAGAAATATGCAAAATAATAGATACATCATCTATGCAACTTCAGGTGGCCCTTCAATTGAGCAATTTTGGGCAGCCAGCTTGCTATGGATATGCTATCTTACTGTAAGACCAACCTCCAAAACCCCCCTTTCCAAAAAGGGGGAAAAGTATGGTGCGAAAGCCTGAAACGCATGCTATCCTTTCGACTGCTATGCAATAGTACTACCGTATCGTATTGCAGAAGGCTGAAACACAGCGTAGAAGCAGAATGAGAAGAATAATATAAGCTTTGATGCCATGCTGACAGCCTGACGATAAAATTATTATTTATTTATTATTTCCGTAAGATAGGGCTCTTTTTTAATATCCCAGTGGACAAAGATTATTATTACTTGATAATATCCATAGCCCTAGGAGGTCCGGACTCCGGGGCGTTTATTTTCCCTTTCGAGGCACTGCGGTGTACGGAGCACACATTCCTAAGATTGATCATAGCATGGAAAACTCTAACCATCTTCACGGGCATGGGTGCTCCGTAGCTCGTAGCTGCACATCCATGTTGGATGGGCCCGGCGAAATTACAGGAGTTGCGCAGTAAGTAGGTACTCATACCTGGTCCGTACAACCTCCATTCTTCTTCGGATCCGTTCCATCAATATCTCAAAAAGGTTGTTGTCGAGGAGACGGCTCTACTCGGCATTCTCCAACGGAGAATCAGGTCTCAGTCTGTTTCCGGAGTCCGTAGGTGGATTGAGACCTTTGGAACAGAGCTCCATCGAGATCAACTGGGAGAATTTTTTGCGATGGATCCGCAGCGGGGCGCAATGATTGCTGTGAGTCACCATGGTTGCTTGATAACTAGCGGGCAGCCGCAAGTCTAATTGAGTTTAAATTTTGGGTGCTGAATATGGCATCGGGATGATTGCGGCATTTTGGTTTTTTTTTTATTTTATTTTTATTTATTTTTTTTTGGTTGCTACCTAACCAGTACCATATCATACTACGAGGCAATTGCATGTGAAAGCCTTAAGTGGAACTGAATCCAGGTGCAGGTGAAGGGCCATTTAGTCTTGATGTATATACTGTACACACGACGAACCCTGCTGACCGGCCGGGCTAGATATCGGGTAAACTCAGCGGGAGACCCGAACCGGGACAATGTTGCCCGAGCAGCGGCGGCATGTGATCACTGCCGATGTCTCCGTGTCCCGATTCCCGTGATCAAAATATGAACATCCCCCTTATGTTGCCTTTTTGTTTCTGACTGAACGGTGAAAACAGGGAAAAAATGGGGACAGGCCAGGCACCATAATTAATCTAGGCAAATGTGCTGGCTGTGGGTCGATGGAATACTGTGCGCCGGAAGCACCTTGGTCATGGGCACAGGTGGATTCGTTTGAAACCAATAACTGTTTCCTCATTGTCCCCCATTCCGGTGTTGCATGATGGGTCCGGGTGACCAACATTTGGAGTCTTTGGAGATTCCAGAACGCCCTTTATTTTTATTTATATTTTTCTTCCCAGCTGCTGCATGACGTGTGACAAGTGAAATGATATGCATTGTCTCTGAATGATAAGAGATTATTGTGGCCGTTCTCGGGAATGCATTTCCCTCCCGTCAGTGTACGCAATCAAAATACGGAATAATAATCGCAGATAAATAATAAATAATAAAATAAAAATAGCCCAAAATATACAGATACCAACCATGTTCCCGACCCGCGATAGCCCGTGCAGATCGATCTTGATTCCGAGGTCCTAACAGATTGCTCCGTATGAGTATTATATTATTCTTTGAAATTTCTTCTCTTGCTTTTTATAAAGAGCAGATCCGCCATGATCCCACTCGGACCGATTGTGGAGGCTTGTAGAATGATCACTGTTGCTAGTTCTGTCTATCCAATCCATATTAATACCGAATACTGGATTCTAATACACTGTACTACTACCTAACTTAGTACTTTCTCCTTGCAATCACCTCATCGCATGTTCCGTTACCCATACTTGGCCATCCCAAGTATCCTGCCCGGCGTGCCCGTTCAAGTCCTCACTTGACACGCGTCGACCGACCCGCTGCATCTGACGTACGTCTGCTCCCTTCACCTTCGATCGGCACCTCATCTCATTCCTCCTGCATTTGCCGTCTTCACCCCTCTTTTTCTTTGCTTTTTTCTTCCCTCCTCTTCTCCGTCGTATCCAATCTCCCCATCTGTGTGCGTTGGCAGCAGAACACTGACGATTCTGTCCCCTGGGTTACTTCACGGTATTTACAGCCCACTTTTTACCCGACTGATACCCTCTCTTATTACCGCAGAAGGCGTCTAGCCCCGTCCGTACCCTTATCGTTATCACTATCGCTATCGCATCATCTCGCGGACCCTCCCTAAGACTAAAACGCTCACCCTTGCCACCCCAGCGAATCCAGAGACTGCCAGATTTTTTTCCTCTCAATAAATCCTGCTGGGTTCCACTCCTTCTATCTACATATTCTGACAGCAGATCTTTGCATCAGACGACCGTTAAGGTACCTTCAGCCAGACAATTAAGCTACAGGGCTGTGGCCATTGTCGTCACTCTGCCGTCCTGTCTGCTCTCTGGTCAGAAGCATCTTTCGCGCGCTCGTCTTACGCCCAACCTCCTTTTCTTCTTCCTCACAAACCATCCATCCCCTTCTGTTCTCTTGAGCACTTGGCAGCTGCCTGTCTGCAGCTGCTGGGTAAGTCGTCAATATGGCACTCAGCTTCTTTGGCGGTGGAGGCCATGCAAGCCGTGCGAAATATTTTGATATCCGGTGAGCTCTGACCCACCACCCCCGGTGGTATGTTCGCATGGTGTCAGATCATACTAATCGATTTTACCTCACCGAATAGACTCGATGATGATTACGTCGTATTCCGGGGAAGCGAAGATGAGGCGGCCAGTGCTTTGTTGAAGGGTAATGTGGTTCTCTGCCTGTCAGAGCCCCTCACGATCAAGAATATTAAATTGCATCTTACGGGGATGTCACGCGTTTGGTCCGTATCTCCTCGTGTTACCGTTTCTAAATATGGAGTACGCTTAATGGCTAACGCTTCCTTTGGTTTAGCTGGCACCTTCCTTCAACTACCGCTGGCGGAGGCAGGAGACATTGGAGAGAAAAAGTTTTCTACGAAAAGACCTGGAAGTTCAAAGATGCAGGTAAAGGGAAGACGGAGGTTTTGCCTGCCGGAAACTATGAGTTCCCCTTCGAAATCATCCTCGAAGGTTCCTTGTCGGAGACCGTCGAGGGACTACCTGACAACTGGGTCATCTACCGTTTCAAAGCGGAAATCGGAAGGAAATATGCCAAAGATATCATCGTCAGGAAGCCATTGCGTATCATTCGGACCTTGGAGTCCACGGCTCTTGAGCTCTCCCATGCTATGGTAAGAGAAACCCTGGGAATTCCCGAGCCCTCCCATGGATTGTCACTCACGATGGCCACCTTTATAGTCCGTGGAAAATATCTGGCCTGAGAAGATTGAATACGCGATCAACACCCCGACGAAAGCTGTCATATTCGGCACTACCATCCAGGTGGATTTCCGATTGATCCCACTGCTTAAAGGGCTCCGTATCGGACAGATCTTCTCGGAACTTATTGAATGCGACGAGCTTACTCTCAACCCTGAAGACCATGGCTCCCTCCGGAACACATATACGACGACAAGATCTATAGTGTCCGATGTATACGAATTGCCGGAGGACGCTCCTGTGGAGATCCTTAATGATGTAGCCGAAGGATATCAGCTGTCTCGGTATCTTAGTCTACCTAAATCTCTAACCAAGTGCCTTCAAGATACAGACACGAGAGGGATCAGAGTTAGGCACAAGTTGAAGTTCCGCATTCAGCTTCACAACCCAGATGGCCACGTTAGCGAGGTAAGTAGAGAAGCCGTGTGGACGCAATGGTGGTGGGCATGGGAGCTGATCTCTTTCGGTTTGCAGTTGCGAGCTACCCTTCCAGTCTCTATTTTTATTTCCCCCAGCCTTGCGATTGATGAGAACAATAATTTAATAGATCAGACACCCGAGTCCGCTGTCAGGGCGGTTGAAGAATATGCCCAGCAGGCTCCTCCTCTGTACGGCGAGCATCTTTTCGATCAGTTATACAGCGATGTGGATCTTACTGGCTATCGCACCCCGGGTTATCGCACCCCGGGCCCTCCAACGGGGCTTACCAGTTGGCCTGCAAGCCGGCCTCCAAGTGGACCGGGCACCCCTATGGGTTCTCTCAGCCGCAATCTTTCGTCGGAAAACATTTCATCAATGAACGCCGTTACTGACACAGATATCTCTGCCTCCGTACTACATAGCCGTTTGGCTCGTTTGCACGCGAGCAGGAACCGTAACCCCCCATCACCCGGTGAACACCCCGACGGCAGACCAGATGGGCGTTTGAACGTTACGCAGGACTATTTCACATACTCCGGCGCCAGTTCCCACGGTGCGACGAGCCCAGATCCATCCCGCCGGCCATCAGATGATCTTGACCATGATCCTGTTCTGTCAGGAATGGGAACCCCCTACTGGCCACAGTATGCTGAGGTTGAGACACTGAGCCGAGTGCCAAGTTACTCTACCGCCGTCCGTAGCTCAGTGAAACCGCGTGAGCCTGGTCTGCCGGACTACAATTCTGTAATTGCCAGCGATACGCCCCCTCTCCCAGAGTCACCGCAGCAAGTTCACCTTAGGAGCGGACATCGTTCCCCTTCACATTTCTCTCCAGTGGAGATGCATCAACGGTTGGACTCTCTCCACCCCCGTCGCTCTCATCGCTCTGCTGATGATGAAGAGCGCAGTTTACGTCTCCTCCAGGCCCGCGCCAGAGGCTAGTTCTCTGATGAGAGCATTGTCTTCTGCGTTATCCTATCCCCCCTCTCTTCGAACATCCGTTTAAGAGCGAATGCGACGACCTCGTTCTTTCCGGTTTTCTGTTTTTACCCCCTCCATCTTCTCACCATTCCCGCGGCGCGCGCACAGAAGTGAAAAAAGAAAGGGCCACATGCCGCCACTAGGATTGGCATGCCCTCGCGTCAACGCTGGTCGCAGAAATGCGCTGTTCTCCACATTCTCCTGATTCCCACGTCATCACCTTACTCTCCGAGTTGGAAGACGTGGTTTTAGGAAGGATCAAGAGAGTCTCGCTTTCTCCACATCATCCTTATTTCACGACACTGGTATACAATTCTAGCACATGCTTCTGGCGTTATTCTAGACGGAACGGATTCGATAAAAGGCAGCCGACTGAGGATTAGCCGGCATGAGTTACGCATAAGGTTTTTTTCGTACCAGGTTTCGTTTCACGTTTGGGTTGGTTGGGTGTTTTGTTTCGATTGTTTCCATGTTTTAAAAACCAGCTTGCGCAGGCCAGTTGAATAATTAGCCTATTTGGGGTAGACTAAGGTAATGAGACGATAAATAATAATAATGTACGACTGCTCTTCCCACTAATGTCAACCTCGGGAGATCGAGGATGCACAGCCTCCTGTGGCTAGTGTTGGAATACGAGGGCATAGCGGGGCATTTTGGCTATTGACAGAGTTGGTAGACAGACAACCCGCCGTCCAGACAGCGGTTCAGACGGTGTCAATGGACGAGAATCCACCGTCGATCCAGATAGAGTGATGTGTCCTCTGCAGACTGCGATGTACTGAGCGTATCACAGCGTGAGCCATGGTGGTGATGTGATGTAATGCCACCCACCCTTCCAAGCCTGCGATCGACGCCAGCTTTCGTGACGCTATGGAATAAATACCGCCGTGACAATAATAATGCCAATGCGGGCACTCCAAGATTGGCATCTCCTGACTCTCCCGAGAGTCGTGGTTACACGCGACCCATTAACAGACAGACAACGCATATCTGATTATCCATAACTACAACCATCGTCGCTGTTGGTTTTGTTCTGTTGCCTGTCCTTCGACACCTCGTGTCGCTTCCGCAGAGCCCCGAGACAATGTCCACGCCAACGAGTCCCGTCGACCTCCCCCATCGGTCGGGGACTTTGACCAGTTCCTTTACGCGGAGGAGCTCTCTGAGTGATGACGAGGCGATTCCGGACTCGGATGTCACTAAGGTAGGCTTTTTCATTATTTTTATTTATATATATATTTGCCTGCAATTCGAGTAGAAGAGGGGGCGTTACGCGTGTTTCCTTTTCCACACATCTTTATTTTTACCATTGGATGAGAGATCATGGCTAATTAAGTTGATCTTGAATCTGACAGCCAACCAACCTCTTGATTGAACGTCTTCGGGCATGGAAGCACCTATGTGCCTACCTCGAGGATTACGTGGCCGCGACGGCCAAGGTGCAAAAGTCGCAGTCGAAGGATTATGAGAAGGTTCTGAAGGTGTGTTTGACCGTCCAGCATCCGTACGAGTTGGGAGGGTGAGGAGCTTATACATTTCGGAATTTGGTCATTGTAGGCTATTGCCGAGCCCTTGAGGGAGGCGCATCATTTCAGTGACAGCCCTGGTGGTGTCTCTAGCTCTTTCGAGAACCTCCGTACGAATACTCAGGTATGGTATCTGTAGAAGCCTTCAACAATATATGACGGATTTGGCGGTCTCTAACCAAGGGCGTAGGGAATGGTGACTATGTTCCTTGAAACGGAGAGGAGCCTGAGGACTATCGTGCTACCGATCCTCGAGCGACTTCATAAAGAGATAAAGGCCAAGTCTAAAGAGCTGCATTCTGGAGCATCGAAGAGTGCCAAAGCGGTGGAGAAGGCTCGAGGCGTCACCCAGAAGCATATCGAGCTCCTGGCCCAGCAGGCGGCCGCCTTTGACGCAGCGGCCCACAGCAAGATCGAGCAGTCTCACGACCCTTACATCCTTCGTCGGGGCATCAATTACCGTCTGAACAAGCAGGTTATTGAGGAAAACAATAACCGCCAAGATGTCCTGGCCGTGCAGAACTCTTTCCAGCAGTTCGAGGCCCACGTTCTGCAGACCATCCAGGGCAGCCTCGATCAGTTCTTCCAGGTCGTTGGAAGTCAGCTGGACCGCCAGCGTGCCATGTACAGCGAGATCCTGGCAAACTTCCAGCGAATCCCTCCGGACTTTGAGTGGGTCAACTTCGCCGTGCGGAATGACCAGACTCTCGTCAACCCAGACTCACCCAAGAGGTCGCTGTCTAACATTAATTTCCCTAACCAAGATCACCGGTCTACCAAGCCGTTGATTGAGGGTACCTTGGAACGAAAATCCCGTGCCATGTTGAAAGGCTACAGCAGTGGATACTACGTAGTCACGCCAGCTCGATATCTCCACGAGTACAAGGACACTGATGACTTCCGTCGTGACCCTACTCCTGAGCTGTCTTTGTATCTTCCTGAATGCCTAGTCGGTGCTATTGACGGCACCAAGTTCACTATCAAGGGCAAGGACGTGTCGAGCGGCAAAGTGGGCAATGCCTTCCATACCAACACCGAGTTGAGCTTCAAGGCCTTTTCTCCCAATGAAGCAGAAAAGTGGTGGACGGCCATCAAAAACGCAAACCAGGGCACAGTCCACCTTCCTGCTGCCGCCGATGTTCATCCGCCGCCATATGCAGAAAAGGCCCATGAGGCAGAAACAAAGGGCGAAGCCGCAGCAGCTATCCCCGAGACCGGTGGTCAAAGTACGGGTACCACAGCGGTTGCTTCGGGCGCGGCAAACGCTGCTGCTACAACTGCTGTGGCCGGTGCGGCCGAGAAGGCCGAGAAGGCCGAAAAGGCATGATGTTGTCTGTGGTTCCCGTCGTTTCCACCTCTCTTGATCAGATTTACGATGCCAGCTACGCAATAATTTGGTGCCTTTGTTGTTGTTTTTTGCAAATCCCACGCTGCTGCCGTGGTAGCCATGATTGTCTATATCCCACATAGATTTCTTCAAAGTCATGGTATGTTATAGTACGAAACTAGATGCAATTTTTGTTTCTCAGCACCTCCGAGGCTGTAAGGCCGCGAACCATGTGTACTTAGCATTATATGAAGTGCATTATACGAAGTGACCGCTACGTTCCCTTTCCCATCGTACTTACATAGCAGTATCCATATATTGATTGCCTCTTCACGCTGTCACCGCCACCCACTTCTTGCATTTATTTAGTTAGGCTTCCTGAGTATAATATTGAAGATTGCCCTAATTACCAATATCAGCAAAGACAGGCCCCTTATCACCTAATTATGACATGTCCAGCTTATATAAGGGAAAGACCAGCTTCTATCCATACCTTAGGTACAAGAGGAAAGGTCCTTATCATATCTATTTACCTCTCAAGACGAGTTCAGACTGATGAGAGATGATCAGCTTGACCTATACGAACAAACAGCATCATCTTATTCGTGATCACCTAGGTCTGTGGCAACTTATAGCTTCATTGAAAAGATTTGTTTACCGTGGTCTTTGGGTCTATACAATTTGGCTTCAGATAAGTTGCCACTTAGGGCTCTTTGGATTTCCATCAGCTCTTTTCCTGCATCATTTTGGATGAACGGGCATGAGCAACCTGGAGTTTTTGTCGAACTATCCACGCAAAGTAGAAGATGTGTGAGTGCCAAAGCCGCATGACTGACCAGCGAACAGGCCCTGAGCACTCAGAGAAGAGGCAAGCCTTGGAGGCGGTAGAAAATCCGGTACGTATAGTGGCAGATATAATTTAAATCTACTCTTCATCTCTTTTCCAAACATAGACATGAATCGACCTCTTTCCTCCACCCCGATTCTGGGGGACATCAGCCCAGTCCTCCAGCGTACACTGACACTTGAACCCGTTCTTCTCGAATACGCGCGCACTGCCCTTATTCTCGACATAGGTGGTAGCCTTGATGGTCCGGGCATTCATATAGGGTACGGCAAAGTCATGGATAAGCGCGTGGACGACGGCTGTCATTATCCCTTTTCCATGATGAGAGGGGGAAAGTATATCTATCATCATTAGTATTGTAGGTGCATGCATGCATGTGTGTAGGTTATGTTATGTATGTAGATAGGTAGGGTAGGGATGCCAACCTCCAATCTCCCATATAATCCTCTCATCCCCAACATTCAACAGATTATTCTCCTCCTGAGCCTCTTTTGCCTCGGTGGAGGGGAGATCTGAAAATCTCCACCGGGAGATACGGAGGGTTCCAATTAGGATATCTTTTATTTCTGCTTCTTTTTGTATCATTCTGATACAGATGAACGGACAGCCGCCCACGAGCTTATTTCTTTTCCCACCGCTTTCCTTCTCAGGCACAGTCCCATCAACACCTCCATAACCATAACCCAAAAGAGGAAACAACTGCATCGACGCCGCCCACTCCTCCCGCAGAAACCTATCCGCATGCTCGGAAAGGTAAGGATACGGCGGCCCCACGAGGTTGGGGTACACGGCTGGATGATTCAGGGTGGAGACTAGGACTGCTTTGTCTCTTTCAAAGTTGTTGCTGTTGTCGCTGTCTCCAGTGCTGTCGCCATTGCTTGGGATCCGGGGCGGGGTAAGAATTATCTTGTCGTAAGGTGCGTGGAGGGGGATGTAGGGTTCTTTCGTGTCAGGGTTTTGGGGGAGCATTTTTTTTTTTTTCTCCCTTCTTCACTCTCTCTCTTCTCTTATGTCTTGTGGCATGGACATTTTAGGTGTTGTAAACATTATATAGTGTTGGGTGACTTATAAGGTAAGGACTGACTCTAGATTCATCTAAGCTATCTAAGATGATGATTGTGGATAAAAATAAGACGATGTAACCATATGCTTATCTACTATTTACCATTTAACTTTATTAGGAAGTCGATTCGATGTTCTTGACTGAGACGGGGATGGACTCTGATTACTCTCCTGTTGATCTCCAACGTCCGACACTACGCTGCTAGGTTTGAAGTACAGTGTACGAGACTACAGGCATTGATAAAGAGGAGTGAAGTGAATTAACTAGAGAACTCCAAGACTAGAAATCCTCGGGAAATTCCAAATCCTCCAACTTCTGCCCCAGAAACCTTCCTAGAGCCGCGGATTTGGATTCTAGCGCTAGCAGAATGGCCGGCGACGCTGACAGGTTTAAGGCTGCTAGACGAGCCAGGTCGGAGCTTCTGTCAATTGCATATTGCACTTCTAGCTCCGCATCTGGGTCGGGACAGTGGTGCCCGTTCTCGTTCTGCGTGTGCGTCTCGTGACTAGGACCTTCGACCTTCGGGGAGTGCTGTTGCATGCCGTTGGTCGTTGTCGTCATTTTGAGACCGCTGGGCGTTGACCCAACCGGGCCGTTACCCGTAAGGGTGGGTGGAGCAGGCTCCTCTTCTGGTATCTCTAGCTTCGATGGCCCAACAGCCCCAAGGAGAACCTTGTCTGCTATTTTCGTGACCACGGCGACCAGTCCGTCCAGCTCGAACACGATGGATCCTACATCGCCCAAGGAGGTCGATTGTGCCGTCACGTATGATGATGGATGGCTTGCAGGGTTTACCCCTGTTAGATTCCCGGTTGATGCATTCTTTGCATAGCTTGTATATGCGGCGCCGTAGGTCGCACTCAGGTTGCGCAACTGGCGGGTTGGGAGTGGAGAGGCGTATGCGAAGAGAGCTCCGTTCGTAGCGAACACTCTAGAGAACGGCCCCTTAGCTAAGTAAGTAAGTCCCCACGATTCGATCGCGAAAGAGGGTCATACAGAATAGAAGTGATCTCGGGCGGAGAGAGGTTATCCTCCAGCAGGTCGCTGAGGGCCTCCGAGTCCAGCATCTTCACATCAGGTAGACCGGGAATCATGGTGTCGTCTTCGGCGTTGTCGTATGCTGTTCCTCTTATCCTTCTCGCAGGACTCGCTGGTCTACTCTCGTCAATGGTCCAGCCCTTGGGAGGAGACCAGGTGCAATCTTCCGGGAAGAAGAAGCAGTTATCTTGATAGTCTTCGTCGTCGTAGTCGTACTCGATCGGCTCGTCTGAGCACTCCAGGAGGTTCTGCGCGTATTGGACCTCACTTCGCGCCCAAAGCGGTAGAAAGTCGTCGTAGAAGCTCGTCGCGGCTTTTTGGGTGAAGAAGGGAGCCTGCACTGGATGTTCGTATTCAGCCATCATCTTCAGACGTTCGACAGAGCGCAAATGTTACATGTTCAAACAGAAGAGGACAGAACAAGCACCATCAGGGAATGCACAAAATAAGAGGCCCCCTGACATCGCCTCGGAATAGGCAGAGAGGCCATTGGCGACACGGATTCTGCGTAACACGAATAGGGGGTTGCAGCGCTACATCTGGCCAAGGCACAGTTGGCGTGGGGAAAAGATCAGCCCAGCGGCTATGGCGGCGAGCGCAGGGCTCATTGCCAATTCATCCCATTGCGCAGAGAGATATATGGGGGATCTTCGCACAATCCCTGTCCAGATGAAGGACATGGAGTGCGTGTTGGAGGATCGCGGGGACTGGAAACGCCAAGACCTGGACCAGACAGACGACAATGGGGATTTGGGAAGATTACCTAGAGAGAGAATCCGATAAAAGGACACACCGGGAATCACGGTGTACGTAATTGTTGATTTGACTTGAAGCAGGCGTTCTCAGAAGGTTCAGTGGAGCGCCCGGTGTGGATGGAGCAGTGGTGATGCAGTAACTAACAGTGAAATAAGAACTGGAAGAGGAAGAGAGAGAGATCGTGAAGTATAAGAGCAAGCAAGCAAGTAAAGTAAGATTGCAGGAATCCTAGACTCTCTGCAGAACCATTGCATTCACTCTCATTATTATTATTATCGAGCTGGGACTCTTCTGAAGCTCGTATTCCGCATACATCATAACACTTGGCATCCCACGTGCCCCGCTGCTTAGAAACTCGCTTTTCTTGCTATCTCTCGCCCTTCAGTCGTGTTTCTCCTGTCTCCCTCCATGTACTCCAGCGGCTCAATTCGTCTGCTTCGTCGCCTATCCCCCAAGGTTCTCACCCCCAGACCGTTTATCATACCAGGTACGTCTCTAGATTGGCTTCGCAGGTCCCCAGTGGACAAGGACTGACGACACTGCAGGATTCCATAGAACCATAGCAACCATGGCCCATGCCACCGAGACATCCACGTATAAGCTGAATCGTGCGTGCCCGCCCCGCATGTTCTGTCTCAAAACTGATTGTTCCAGCGCCTGCATAGAATTGCTTACTGACCATGGTATGATTATTGCCGGGATGCAGATACCATGATTCGGGTGAAGGACCCGAAACGTTCCAGTCAGTGGCTCGAGAAATACCCCCCCTATTGTTGCTTTAAGACTGGTCGCCAACACCTAGGTGCTTATGAAAATAGTCGAGTTCTACAAATTTCTCGGCCTAAGCCAGATCCGCCAACTGGACTTCCCGGAAAACAAGTTCTCCCTTTACTTCCTTGCCTACGACGGTCCTGCGTCTCTCCAGGGCGACCGTCACTGGACGGACCGCAACGGCGTCCTGGAACTCACCCACAACTATGGCACTGAGAACGACCCCAATTATAGCATCGTCAACGGCAACACCGAACCCTATCGAGGCTTCGGGCACATCGCCGTCTCCGTTGACAACATTGAGGTCGCCTGCAAGAGACTCGAGGACGCTGGCTACCCCTTCCAGAAGAAACTCACCGAGGGTCGGATGAGAAATATTGCTTTTGTCAAGGATCCCGATGGCTACTGGGTGGAAATCATCCGTCGCTATGATGAGGATCAAGGAACGGCCACAGACCCATCCAGTTACCGGCTCAATCACACGATGCTTCGAGTCAAGTCGGCCGAAACGAGTCTGAAGTTCTACCAGGAAGTTCTTGGCATGAAATTGCTCCGAACCAGTGAAAACCCCAGTGGTGGCTTTAACTTGTACTTCCTGGGATACCCCAACTCCAACCCCAGCGTCAAAGAAGATGCACGGAACCCCGTTGCCGAATGGGAAGGTCTCCTGGAGCTGACCTGGAACTACGGTACTGAGAAGCAAGAGGGCAAGGTGTATCACGATGGCAACTCGCAGCCGCAAGGATTTGGCCACATCTGTGCGTGGACTTCTCTCTTCTTTCGTTCTTTACCTTTTTTGAGCAACTGTTCTGACCATGGTATAAATACCTATTACAGGCGTCTCTGTCGACAACCTGGACGCAGCCTGCGCTCGTTTCGAGTCCCTGAATGTCAACTGGAAGAAGCGTCTTACTGACGGTCGGATGAAGAATGTTGCCTTTGTTCTTGACCCCGACGGCTACTGGATTGAGGTGATCCAGAACGAATCCTTGAAGCGGACCAGCAATTGGTAACCTAGCCGATTAGACCGATGATTTGGAAGGGCTTTCAATGAGAAAATATATCCGTCAAGTGAACGACTTTCCATGGCGTTTTACTGTATATGGCTGTAGACTAGCAGTTGTAACACTATTGTATGGTTTGCTGTCCCTTCACCCCCACTGTTCCCAACAACCCTTCCTCCAAAAGCACAGCGCTGTACTTGGTAGAAATATCGGCTTTGATACGCATACCTGTGTTCCCCTACTGTCTACCCCTCAAGCGCGCACAGTCTCGTAGCAAAGCACGATCGGATAATAGGCGATGTTCCCCTCCCGAGTATGAGCAAAGCTGTCTGACGTGGGGAAAGAAGGCGGAGTTTCCCCGCGCGGCCTGAATTCGCCCAAAAAAAAAACCCCTGCTCTTATAAATGTCCTCTTTCTCTCTTGCTCTCGCGAAGATCTTCAGCGCTACGGCCTGATGTATTACTCCACACGCCCCAGGCTTACTCCGACCGTTCTCGCCAAGGTTCCTTCATTTGATGTAGGATGACTTAACGATTGTCATCTGTTCCTGTCTCGAGATCTGACCGGCCCAGACTCAGCAAGAACCATGCAGTCTGCCGCAGAAAAGCCCAAGAAGGCTCCTCGTAAGCACGTTACGACGGCTTGCGTCCCCTGCCGCGAGAGCAAAATACGGGTATGCCTGAGATTTCTAGTGGTTGTGAATGTACACCTTTCTAATATGCCCTCCCTCTTTATCTTCAAGTGTGACGGCGCCACTCCGAACTGTCACAATTGCCAGAAGAAAGGAAAGGAGTGCAAGTACCAGCATGGTGATGACAAGAGGAAGTATGTTTATAGCCATCCCCCAGTCTGTTCATTCCCGAGAAATTTTGAAATTCATGATCTCATGAACGATCACCAAAATGACAGAGAGCCACCTACCCGATTGATCCGTTATATTTGCATTTCCTCTAGCGCTTGCTGCGTGCCATGATATTTCGGTTAAGAAAGTACTGACCTGTATGGCCAGAGTGTCTCTTCGTGCTGCCACAGAGCTGTTCGCTGCAAGAATCGACCAGCTCTGTCAGTTTATCTATGATCATGGCCTGGAACCGCCTCTCATGGATCCCGGGGAGGAAGCAGCTTTGAATAGAGTCCTAGACACTCTCCGAATCCCATGGAGTTTGGCGAAGAAAAGGGACCCTGGGATGAAAGATGGACAGACCGTACAGTTACAAGGGCACGTTTTACCTTCCCCCGGTAGAAGCTTACGCGCCTCCCCTCTTGGTGGGCAATTAACTCAAGAGCGTGAACGGGCATCAGCAGCAAGCTCCCCTCAGAGTATGCTGGTTAATCCATCATCTAATGACTACAACTGTATACACTGGGACTTTGGCCTCCCGTCTACGGAGGGATTTAATACAACAAATGCCAAAACAGGAGAGACCTTGGAATTACCAGCTGACTCTGGGCCGAGTCCGGATGAGCTACAGTTGGATCCTGCGGTCATGCGGGGACTCGCCCTCAGGCTCGGGCAAGTGCGGGACGATGAGACCGATGATGAAACGGACAGTGATGAGGAAGACGAGGCAGAGAATAATGTTATCGAGCAGCTCTCGCATCGAATCGGCACTCTGAAAATTGCTGGAGATGGCCATCTACGATACTATGGTGCAACATCCAATCTCAACCTAGTGGATGTATCAGCGACGCAACAAAGACAACGTCCTGATGCGCGCACGGTCCGCCAGGATGGACAGGAAATTCTGAATTACCTAGGAATTGGGCAGCATGTTGAACAGGCCCTTGAAGACCATCTTGTGGAACTGTATTTCACTTGGCAGAACCCCAGCGCGTATGTAGTTGACAAAGAGATGTACATGCTTGCCCGCTCGAACTGGAGGGATGAACAAAATGACACTCCATTCTATTCGGAAGTCCTAACCAATGCCATGTACGACAGCTACCTTTGTCTTCTGCTGAAGGGGTGCATTGGGTGACTAACAAAACCAATTTCAGGTGTGCTGTTGGGAGTGCATTCGAGGCACGCTATCATCCTACATTCATAACATTTCCCAAATCCCTTGCCGAGTTTTTCGCCGACAAGGCCAAGGCTCTTCTTGAAATCGAGCTAGACTCCCCGTGCGTTGCCACGGTCCAGTCTCTTATCATCCTCAGTTGGCACGAGGGCGCCTCAAACCGTGATGCTCGCGGTTGGTTGTATAGCGGTAAGCCGGTTCTGAGACTGTCCCTGGACGATGTGTGAAGCTGATTAATGTTTCAAGGGATGTCAATGCGACTCGCATTTGACCTTGGACTGCATATTGACATGACTCCATATGTAGAAAAGGGCGACATGAGCATCTTTGAAGCCAACGTCCGGCGAGCAACGTTTTGGGGGAGTTATATTGCAGATCAGTAAGTGGACTTCCGATCCAATAGTTACGACGAACAAGTCCGAAATGCTAATAAAATCGTAGTTTCTGGGGTTTCTATTTAGGGCGGCCCTTTCGCATGAATGCGGGTGATATCACAGTGCCCAAGCCTGCAGACTACGACGGAGGGAAGGAAGGTGTCTGGCATCCTTACGGGATGGATACGCAGTCCGAAGTCCTGAATATGGGACTGAGGGACCCAGCTGAATTGATTAGCAGACAGTTTGCTATTTTGTGGGAGATCGTGTCGCCCGTTAGTCATATCCTGTAAGCGCTCCTGCAGCCTATTTTCTTTTCCCGCGATGCTGACACCCACCATAGCTATGGCTGCACTAATATCTCTCGCCATGAGCTACAGAGAATTACTCACAAGGTGACCGAAAATCTATTTGCTTGGAAGGCGAACCTTCCCCCAATTCTAGAGGTTGACCTGGATGACGCAACGACCCCAAAGCTGCCTCATCTTTTGATGCTACAGTATGTACTACCATGTCTGTGCCTTAATGCAAGCAAATGCTGAGTGTAGTACAGTATGCAATATCACCAGATTGTGATCTTCTTCCATCGGCCCTGGTTTTCTAAAAAGTACATCCAACCGCGTTATCCTCGGCAGGGGCCTGGATATCTTCATGCCCGGAGGATGTGCATCGAATCTGCTATTGCCATTGCGAAGCTTCTCAAACTGTACGAGAAGCACTATACATTCCGTCGCATGAACAATCAGGTTGTCGCCATTATATTTACTGCAGCATTGATTCTCCTCTTCATCACCATATCGAATTACCCGAAATCTCCCAAACGGGGCTCCAATGACGGCAACAGCAATGCAGACAAGGTGGCTTATTTAAACCTCTGCTTCCGCGCATTGGATGAACTAGGCCCGGCTTTTGAGAACGCGAAACGCACTCGCGATTTTCTCGTCAGCTTACAGAGGAGATGGCAATCACAAATGCGCAAGTCCGGCTCAGAAAAGAGACGCCAAACGAGTAGCAATGCTCCTGTCCAACGGCGGTCATCGCAGCAGCGACTCTTATCCAAGGGACCGGTTCGACAGCCAATCCCCGAATCTGACATTTCTAGAAAGAAGTCAAAACTGGAGACGGAAAATTCTGGAAATACCCTTTTCACGACACCCACTACTATCACCACTTCCCTTTCTTCCATTCCCGGTGTACCGCTCCACTCTCCCGGGCTCAATCTGCAGCAGCAACGGCAACAACAGCTCCCGACCCAGCCTGGAGATATAAATTGGATCTCTAGCGCGGACGTCAATTTATTATCAGACCCTCTTACGAATTACGGATTTCCTTTCCAGATGATGACAAATATTAATGAGAATAGCCCATCGTACGTTGAGGGCTCTGAGTTTCCATCTCTCTCGGATCTCGAGGCATGGTGGGAGTCTCCAGATACGACGTTCAGAACGGGAGCGGGTGATCCATCTGTTTAGAGCAGTGGTATTTGGAATTGCTGTTATTGATATTTTCAGCGTGGCCTCTGTTTTCGTCTTAAGGTTGATAGTTCGGTATGGTAGTGACCACATCCATTTATAGAGAATCAAGCATCAGCATCCATTTTCGTATCTGTAAGAATATCTCCCAGCCATTCCCCAGCCATTTCCTCGATAACAACAGATGCCATCCCGTTGTCAACGGGGATAAACTGCACCCTTTCCTCACCGAAACTCCTCTCTCGGTCCCAAAAACATGCCCGACGCATAACAGAGACCATCTCATCCGCCTGCTGCGCTAGGACAGTCGATCCCCCCTTCGATCTCAGAGTGTGAGAAGATGTCTGTCGGGCAGGCGTAATTATTGCGTTACTGTCTTGGGCATAAATGCGTACCCATGGCAGAGCCATTTGCAATCGGCCTATTCCCAATCGCGAAGAAGAGCGGTTGGAGCCGCTACCGCTGAGACCGTAGTCCAGACCAAATGGTGGCCATCGCGAGAGAGCCTTTCGACGGCGAACTACTTTCCCCTCATCGACGGAGTGGGCCATATCGCTTCCTTCTCCTTCATTCCCCTCTAGCCCCTCCTCCTCATCCTGCATATAGACGTCCCAAAGGGCAGCATGTTCATCCCTCCGCTCCGGTAAATCCGATATCTCCAGCACGGGAACCGGGTATTCAGGACCGGTGAGATATCTAGGGAATGTCTTAGGAACATCTCTTCCCGACGCGCGAAGGAAAAGAATAGGCGAAGCAAAGGCATCGAAGTACCGTTCCGGTCTGGTGAAGAACCTCTCCCTCGCTTCAAGGAGGGGAATGAGATCGGGCGGTGCGACGGTCCTCTTTTTTCTCCTGCGGGGGACCTGTATGCTCTGGACATCGCCATGTTTACCTATAAAGGAGACTGTGCAGTACTCGTCCAGACCGACCCAGTCGCAGATGGGTTCTAGAGCGGCGACGGCTCGTATGGACTGTGCTTCCGTGAGGGCTAGCATTAGAGCCAATGAGCCACCGATGTGCGTGCCGAAGATGCCCAGTTGGGCCGGTTGGAGGTTCTGCTGTATCCAGTCGAACCCGGCTAGGGTGTCATGGATTGGGAATGGGTATTTGTAGAATGATTGCGTGTCTGCTTCCTTGGGGTCGCCCAGACGGTAGTTGACGGTTACTACCGTCGAGGAAGTGATGGATGCCAGGAATTGCTGGGGCGTAAGAGCTCCATCGTCGCTTCCGATGTTCAGGGAGGAGCCATCCGCCTGGTTGCCGTCTTCGTTATTACGGGATGTTTTGGGGCCCTGGAACAGCGGCCCAGGAGGGAGGTAGAGAATCACATTCGGAGGTGAAGATGGGTCTGGGGACGACGGCTGGATCACACTGTTGAGATTACATTGTATTAGATCTCCGTTCTGAGCTGACACAATCAATTGAACCTACCTCAAAGAAACATGTCCATTGCTGCCCACAGGAACATCAACGGTTTCGGGAGCGCTTTGAAGGTACGGCGCGAATCGCGTGGACGAAAAGACGCGTACGAACGGACGTCTCACTGGGATAGAATATCCAGGTCGGGGAAATACAAGTGTGCGGAGAGATCTAAAGGTCAGGATGCGCATAGCGCCATGCTTTGATGGAATATCGGAATCCTGTGGTTGATTTATGTCTGTCTCCGTTGATGTTGAATTTAAATCCGGATCCCATCCCGGCACGTGCAGATATCATAGCTTAAATCCACAACAATTCTGCACTTCAAGTAGGTCCTCTTCTCTATTGGCAATTTATCAGGATATTTAGACCTTGCAAGGGTCTAATGCGAGATTCATCCACTTCCAGGCAGATTTCTCACACTTATTCACAGATCCAAGCCGATATGATATGTCTATACCTCTGTCTATATCTGCCGTTGCCCTAAATCGAAGACCTCGTAGGGGAAAAAAGAGGGGGGGACAAGAAAGTAGAAAGGGAGAAGAGAAATGCCTGTAAATAGGAAAAGAGAAGCAAGCAGAAGCCTCCTGAGGTATCCTTGAATTCTAGTAGGTATGGGTTCTTCTTCAACCGAGGGTTGAAGGAGTAAAAAGGGTGAATGAAACCAATTCCCTGAGCGAAATAGCCTGGGATATTATATAACATGAAAAGTCAATATGAAAGCCAATTCCACATCAAATTCAACGGAGACACCGGTTGTTATGTTTGTGTTCAACTTCGGGTATTCCATGTAGACGTATATTTCTTTGTATTCATTTTGAAGAGGCTCGGATGATTGCTCTTTGCCGACTTCAGGTTTGCAGCGCTGGTCTAGTGTAACCATTATCTCATCAGATCCCTTCGAAACATGGCCCAGCACTAAATAGCTCAGGCATGTGTATGTGCTGCAGCTCGGAGGACTTCCACCGTGACAGTCACCAAGATCTTGACAAGTGTTATTTTTCGTGTTCAGACTTGACCAGGTCTTTTTTTTTCGGCAGCCTCGGTTTGCTTTTCCTCGCTGGCCGCAGAAGAGGAGCTACCAAGGGACTTGTAAAATTCTAGATCAAAGGCATTAAATTTGGTTAGAGCTGTTGGAAGCTCTCAGGAGATAGTATCTCACAGTCACTCAGCGCTGCCTGTCTCTTACTGATAGACATTCCTGTACCCCCCGGCGTGAGGAGAATATCATAGTGCTGTGGATGTGTCTCCTGAGATTCTGAGTATGAATGTGCCCTGTTTATCCGTGGTTGGAGAGGTTGTAAGCTGGGCAGCCCTTGGCCCTGCAATAATGCTCGCCAATCATTAGACTGGTGTATCCTTGTCCCAATGGTCATAGCAATAGACGTGCTTCAGGGACCGGCTTGTTATTATTGGCAGCAAGACGCTTGAGGTAGTAGGATTGATTGTATCCAAAAGAACCCCCAGAAAAGGCAGAGATCCAACAGCTGCGTTTCATCCGCGGAGCTCCTGAAACTCAATGGGGAAGGCCTGGAAGCATCAACTGCATGTGAGGATCGAGTAGTTAACTAGGTAGTTGACTTTCTGGTATTTTTTGGTGACATCCCTTATTTCCCTGTGATATCAGCTCACATATTCTGACCAGCGCCAACGGAGACTACTGTCTGCAATGGCACCACCAACAATCGGCGCCGGGCGAGGACCTCCAACAACAGACATCTGGTAACTGACCATGGCAGCGACCTGATCGCGTGGCAGGTAGAAAGGTCAGCGAGCACGCCGCCCATGTTGGCCGTAGGGGCGGAGGAGAAGAAGCCTCTGAAAAAGCGGGTTAGCATCAAGGTCTGTAAGTCTTTGGCTACGGTCGAGCCGAAGGCCAGAAGAGAACGTGAAAGCTGCATATCTCATGCCTAAGCTGCTCACTGGTAATGAGCTAGCTTGTTTTTGAAACTGTTTGGCTGATATGTTCATACTATGTCAACAATTCTGGGAGCAATTTGCAGTAAATATCTCCTTGCTTAAGCCTAGTCCATAACTAGCGTTGGCTTTGTTGACAGTCGTCACACACTAGGCTCTTGATGGAAACCAGATGGCATGCTTAGAACTGATTTCAGCCAATATGGACAAATTATCTATTGGAATACTATCATCAGACTGAGGGGAGATCATGATCTCCAGACGCGACAAATATACCTACGTGCTTTTCCCTACAAGTTGCATACTATTGCCAAATAACCGACAGAGCCTTCAATTAAGGGAGAAAAAAAATATAGAACACCTTCCAGTCTAAAGTAACATCAATAAATATGTACAACTATACGAGTTTCTTTCCCTCTCTCCTTTTTTTCCTTGCTCCCCCATTCATAAATCATCGCACAACATCAGTATCCAACAGCCAATCTTGACAAATGAATAAAAAAGACTTTTGATCCTTGCCTCTAGGGTATCTAACTCATCCCGTCCGTAATGCATAGATCATCCTTCTTTCCGTGTTTTGATTTTCGATTTTCTTTCTTTTCAACCGACTGCAGTTACAGCTGCTCCGCCCAAGGGGCAACGCCAGGCTGCATTTGATTCAGCCATTTAACAAGCTCTGTGAGCTCTGCCCGACGCTCGTCCTCGAGCTGATCCTGGTCACCGCAGAGGACGGCTTGGAAGATAGGGATCAATCTCGGTGTGAGTTCGCGGATGGTTGGGTCTTCCCATTTGTCTGTGATAGTGGTCAGCATATGTCCCTTTGACAAACTTAGTTTCTTCTATGGATTGAATGACTGGCACATACACAATTGGCAGATCATGCGGTAGACAGGATCGTTCTCCTCGTAGTCGTTCTTGAGAGGAAGGATATTGATGAGGACGGGCAAGACTTCCTTCGTGGGAACATTCTCGTGGTGCTTGAGGATCATTCGGCTAAGGCAGCCGGATGCGTTGTCTTGGAGTCGGGAGACGTTCATCTCGACACAAGGCTCCAGGCGAGTGAGAATGATGGGATACTCCTTCACAATCGCTGAGTCCGCATTGGAATGCTCAATCAAACGGCCAATAGCATAGGCAGCGTTGGACTTGGTCTGTGGGTCCTCATCTGCCAGACGGTGAACCAGAAGTCTGAGGAAAGACTGCGTGAATTGAGTAACCGCCGCACCCATGCCATTGATGCACTCAGCCAGGACACCGACGGCAGTTGCACGTTCGAGCGATTCGCTGCTGGAGGCGTAGCGGAGGATGGTCTTCTCAAACACCTTCCAGAGCTCCGCGAAGCTCTGGCCAAGGGCGGCGGCCAGACCGGAAACAACGTCAAGGGCAGTATCGATAACGACCCAGTCAAACTCGGAAGTCTCTTCGGCGTCAAAGCCCTCATCACCATATTCCAACTGGCAGATGTGCTTCTTGGTGATAATGTCGGTGACTGTCTGGATGATATGGTGGAGGGTGGACTCGTCAGCGATGAGCGAAGGGCCACAGTAGCGCAGGTTCTCAGCCATGTTGCGGTTAATATCAGCAACAGTGGCCCTGGGTGTGGATGAAGTTAGCTTTTGCAACCCAAGTACCATAGAAACAAATGGGAAAATTATATTTTTCAGATAAAAAATCGTTGTTCACATCATTCACGCTCTTTTGGCGTATCTGAGTGAGCTGGGTTAAACGAGTGGTATCATCTTCAAAATGCAAGTGTTTACAGGGCAATCTCCAAGTTCCATTGGAAAGAGTGTCAAGAGACATGGAAACGAGAAAGCAAGAGGACAAAATGGGAGAGCAAGAGAAAAAAAAATATTACAAACTTACCTATCATCTTCTTCAGCCCACATCTTGATGGTGGCAGCCATGAGGATTTCACCAAACTTCTTGACTTCCTTAGCCGGCTGGACCTGCAAAGGCAGACCGGGTTGCCACTTAGCCATCTGGCCGGTCTCTTCTGCAATACAGAACAACATGGCATAAGACCGATGCAAGGTGCTGATAGTACTCTTGCGAACACCTTCATATGGGTGCTCAACAAGAGGCATGATAACCTCAATGGTCTTCTCGAAATAAGGCAGGTAGGCATTCTTAGTATGTGTAACCAGATCACCGATAACTTCGACAGCGATCTCCTTCTCCAGAGACAGGGGGGTGGTGGCGGTAATGTCGTCCCAGGCATCATCATCTTCAAGATCAATATCTTCGATTCCACCATCCTCATTGTCTTCAAAATCATCAGCAGTAGCGACCTTAACCTTACGGCCAGCGATGGTCACTTCCTGGCCGATTAGATCCTTAGCAGCCTCACCCAAGGAGACGTCAAGCTCCGACTCTTCTTGCTCGATGCAGTCAATCAGACCTTTGACTGCGCCTTCAAGGAAGGGGGAGAAGTGTTCAGCGTAAACTTTGGACATGGCACCCCAGAAGATGTAAGTGCTCTCTTTGAGTCGAGAATGACCAAGATGAAGAGCTTCCTCGGTAGCACGCATGAGAGGCTCAACGTAAGGCTGGTACCGCTCGGGACCAGCGGCAGCCGCCATTTCACCCATAGCATCGGTAACGCTGGCCCGCAGATCCAGTTCACTCTCGCTATCCTTGACAGTGGCGAACTCCTGAAGGAGGTGCATAGAGTCGTCAAAGAAAGGCAGGAAGGCCTCACCTGCAGAAGAAGCCAGAGAGCCAAGAGCACCGGCTGCCAAGGCCTTGACCTTGAAATCAGGGCACTTGAACAGCTTGTGCAGGATAGGGACCAGCTCGGCCTGGTAAGGGACAACGTCCTTCTCATCCAAGCCATCAACAACGGCGTCGATGGCGCTGATACCAGCCTTCATGATGTCAATGATTGGTCCCTCTTCCTCACCCTTGTACTCCTGCATCGCACTAGCAAGGTTCTGGAAGAGCAAGGGCATGAGTTTCTCATGTTCATAACTAAGGTCCTCTGCAAGGTCGTCTGCCAACCGGGCCACAGCGTGTAACGAGGCCTGACGCACTATCGGCGAAGGATCAGCCAGAAGCTGAAAGACCATAGGCAAGATCTCCTTCATCTGAGTGCTGATGAAGTCAGGGGCACCTTCAACACACATTCCCAGAGCCAAGATACCAGCACGACGGTAGTTGGGGTCGGTACTGTGGAAGTACTGTCCCAGAGACTGTAGCAACGGAACGACGACTTGACTAGGAGGAAGGCTTTGGGAGAGCATGTCGAGCAGGCCAAGGGCAGACCTGGCAGGTGTGATTTCATCATCGAGGGAAGGAGACTCGTCAAGCTCCGTAACTAGGTGCAGAGCGGTACGGGTAAGCTGCTCTCCGAGACGCATACCCTGAATCTTGAGTTTGCGGTACTGAAGGCACTGCATGAGGAAGCTGACAGCCTGGGTGCGGGTATCCTCATCTAAATCAGTGTTCGCGGCAATTTCGTTCATGAAGACGACCAGATCCTTCAGATGGACATTCATGAGCTGGGGGTCGTAGCCCAGAAGGCTCTGGAAAACTTCGAAAGCCTGCATAACACGTTCCTCATTCTTCTGGTCGATGGCATCCTTCAACACGGCAACCATGGCAGGAAGAATATCTTGGAAGGCCTTGACAGGGGCCATGTTCTCCTCCGAATCGAGGTTCATAGCGAGCTTACTCAAAGCAAGCAGAGTGTTTATACGAACTTCTTCGCTCTCTGGATCGCGAATTGTCTTATTGAATAGGTTGAAGAGGTCTTGGTATTTCTCCTCGAAGCCATCCCCCAGGGTCTCGAGGATAGTGAAGAGAATGTATACACCTACTGCACGCTCATCCTTGTTGCCGCTATTGGAGGCCCGTACGAGGAAGCTAGGGAGATCTGTCCACTCGCCATCGTTCAGGTCGATCTTTGCAATGGCAGAAATGACACGGGCAATGGAATGACGGACAAGCGAGGATGCCTCTCCCACAGTTGCACGCAAAAGCTGTTCGCGAATCTGTGGTTTCTGATCGGCAGGAAGAGACACCCAATGCTTGCTGACCAAGGATCGTGCTTCGACGGCTGCGAGTTGCCTCAGGTTGGGATCCTCATGGCCAGTTGCCACTTGAACAAGGAGAACGAGACATTGTGGCTGATTGTAGAACTCCCGTTGCAGGACACCGGTTGCTTCCTTGACGTTGCCCTGGGCAGCTACACAGCGATTTTTCACGGTCAGCTCTGTGCATCCACAAGACGATGAAACGGTCCAAACGAGAATACTCACGGTTCAGGACAATCTGCAATTGCTGCAGAAATTTCTGCTGATCCATGCTCTAGGGAAAATAGGATAAAAATGAAAGGCAAAATATTATGTACCCAGCAACACAGACTTCTTATCGCTGCGCACTGTCGACGGAGAACAGACAACTGAGCTGGCCAAACAGCTCAGGGGGTATCACGAAAAGAAAATCAAAACAAAGAATAAGAAAAGAAGTAAATAAAGATGAATTAATAATAGAGGAGAAGAAAAGAGAAAAATGCAGGGAGAAAAAAAGGGAGGGGAGTTTGATGGAGAACGATAAAAAGAAAAAAAAAAAAAAATTTACGAGTGGGCTGTTACCCTTTCGGGGTTAGCGGGGTTTCCACGTGTGGACGCATTTTTGGAGGAAAAGTCCAGCAGACGTGGCCATCAACTATTAATATTAATCTACATCTTTGCATAATAGAGTCAACAATATCCCAGTATTATCTTTCAGTAGATGCCACAAGTTGTTCAAGACATGCCCACAACTGGCCTCGCGGCCGTGCATTCACACATCTAAAAAAAGCCAGGTGATACAGTATGCATTTCCGCCAAACCCGCTTTTGTACAAAGAAAAGGAAGAAGCAAGAAAAGGAACTGCCATGTAAACTCCATTACGAACATGCAACCCTAGATCACTTTCGTAATATAATATCGTGGAGGAGCGGAGTCTTGGGGTCGTAGCTGTTGATGAAGATCTGGAACGGGAAACAGCGATGGAAATAAGTTCTGCGATAATGGCCAGAACCTGTTTAGAATTCGTCTGAGTCGTAATCTTCGTCAACCAGCAACGAACGGTAGCCGCGGGAAGCAAGATTCTCCTCCAGGCCTCCGACTGATCCCGGGTCGGAGTATCCTGTTTCTGGGGTTAGTTGACATGCCATGGCCCAGAACAGCGTCAATAAAAGAACATACCTTCTCCGCCAAAATAACTAAGTGCCACTGGAAAGAAAACGAGTGCGTGGGAAGCCGCGAACACGACCAGCGCCAACCAGACTCGGAAGTAATATATCTCGAAGATCTTGCTTCGTGTAAAGGCAAGCACGCATACACCCAGCAGCTTCGTCAAGGTGATACCGCTAAACACAGTGCCTCCCACGTTCACCAATGCGGTCCAAGCCCGAGCGTCCTTGCCCCGGAACTTTGTTGGTGCACTCTCCATGATGGGACGGGCAGGAAACATGAATGCCCGTGCTATGTGGGCGCAAAACTCCACGCCGATTCCGACACAAATTATCAGGTTGACAAGGGAGACGGCATTCAGCGATACCCCTGCCACTGCCATAGTGCCGATTATGTCCACCACGATCATCACAACAGTCACGGTGACAACGGCTCCCGTCGCGGTAGAGCCAAGGATGGCGGAGGTAATGACAAAGATGATACCCACGGCTGACCCAAGTAGAGCGCCGGTCAACTGCACAATAGATAGGTACTGGTCAAAGAAGATATAAAATTTCGAGTACGGGAACAGATCGATATTATATCTTGCCGAAACATCTCGGGCAATACGCCGAGCCGACTGGTATGCATTGATGAAGTCCTTCTGGCTTCTCAGCGGGGTATGGCTGGTCCTAAAATGGCTGGCATTGATCGTCAGGCGGTTCGAATCGATGACAACGGCATTGCTGTATGGTGCCTTCCCTCCAAGGGGACAAGATGCATCCGTGGGCGCATCGACCCACTTGTCCGCATAATAAACAAATTCAGATCCCTCAGGCATGCCGTATAGACTGAGGTTCCATGGCGGCTGTCTGTCTTCAAAGCAGATCTTCCCATTCTCTTTACAGCAGTCCTGCTGTGGGTTTAACCAGTAGAAGAAGTCATCTATCCAGCTGGCGGTGGATCCATAGATGTAAGACACGTCAGAACGCTTTGACTCCTGCTCCAGCACGAATGGTAGTGAGAATTCTTCGCAGGTCGTGAAACGTCCGCAGAGTTGCCTCTGATGGCTGCGCTCAGTTAGGTTCACATCTCGGGTCACGAAGTATGCGGGAGGACCGCTGTCGAAATAAGCATCCAGATCATTGAAATACTGTATCAAATAGGAATCACTTGGGAGAGCAATACGCTGGTCTAGGCCAAGAGCCACTTCAGGAACCAAGGCCAGGCCTGCAGTGAATAAACCCAGGAACGCGATGACCACGACAACCTTGACTCGGCGACCTAGCAGAAGCGGCGCATAGACTTTGCGAACAAACTTCTGGAGAAGACTCTCTACTTCTTGGTCGTCGTAGACATGATCATGAGACATACCGGAAGAGTTTGCTCTGCGTACGGTGAGACAAGGAATACAGTCTGCACGAAGACTTTCGACGCGTTTTTGATTTAGCGCAAGAACGGAGATAAACATGGTAACCTGCAGAACAGCATTGATAAGAACCGCACCGGCTGCATAGGCAGCAAAATTTTTGACAGCCGGCATTCCAACGAAGACACCCAAGGCGAAAGCGACAGTCTCTGTAATGGCAGAGAGGAAGATGCTGGGGCCAATTCTCCCAACAGCGCGAGCAACACGCTCATCAATCTCTTCGTCTGGGTAATTCAGATTAGTCCGCTCAAATTCATGGACAATCAAGAAGATGTTGTCCACGCCAACAGCCAACACAAGAAAAGGGATGACCTCTGCGATTATCAAAGTCACTTTGACTCCTGCCGCAGAGAACAACCCAACAGAAGCCGACACGGACATCAAAACAATGACAATCCCAACAATACCCAAAGTGAACTTGGACTGGACAAGAGCATTAGCAGGATTCGTCAACAAAGATCTCCAGGTGACCGTAACCGAGCCCAAGGCCAATGACACGTAGATGAACATGATGATATAGCTGATAACCACGATCTTCGCGTCGGTGTTGCTGGACTTATTCAGCTCTTGCTCAAGACTGACTTCAGTACTAAAAGAAACGTGCAGGCCACGCGCCTCAGCTTCTTCCTGAACGACTTCAAGTATAGGTCTCAAACTGTTTTCCCAGTCAATAGCCCTGGCCTCGCCCTCGGCACCTTGGGGGTAGTTATTCACCACCCACGTTGACACTAGGGCTTTGGCATCCAGCACGTTTCCAGTTTCTTCGTATCCACCAAGAATCATCTCCGGTCTGAGGGGTTGCTTGAAGTCTGGAAGACAGCTAATATCTCCTGGAGATTCCGTGCAATGCTTGAGCCTGTCTTGCCAGGTGTCAGGTCGTAGCCCAGCAACGGAGCCACCAAAATAGCCGGTCAGAGACTGGACAACGCAGGCATCATCAACTGGCTTGAAGCAAACGTCATCGAGGATCAACTCGTGATCTGAGGAAATGGTACGGCGGACCCGTGATTCAACGTCGAACCACCAGCTCAGAGTATCATAACTAAGAACAGGGCCACTATCATTGACGAGGAACGCCTGCTCAGCCCGGAAGAACGGACCAAAGTTTGCATCGAAGAATTCTTTTTCTAGAGCAGCTTCTGAGGTAGGGCTCACCCATAGACGCACAGGGTCTCTTTCGACGGTGAACCTGAGCCACCCTAGGCTCATTAGTCCGACAACAATCAAGCTTGATACGATTGTCAGGGCCGGAAACCGGGCACAGACACCACCAAGATGATTGAACATGGTGTCTAGAATGGAATTAAGTTTATAAATGCCATTAGGCTGCTCAAAATAACCTCCAGTACCAAGAATGTCGCCTTCATCCTCATCGTCGCTCGGCACCGGATCCTGAAGAAGACGGACGCGCTCGGGCTTGCGAAAGCGGCGCTCCTTATATGCAACATAGGTGGATAGAGCAACAATAAATAAGAGAAATACGGAGTAGATAATGATGACAGCAAACGACAGGCACGGGAGCAGCCCGACGTGGCAGTACCTCTCCGTAGTTAGGGGAGGCAACTCCGGACAGACATCCGGACAATCGACACAGGAGCAACGGAAAGCCGGATCGGAGTCATTGCAAGCCTTTGGCTCAATAGTCAATGGATGCATGCCGTGATAATCTTCACCACTAGGTTCTGTTTTGAAGTTCATCTGGAATGGGCTGCCCAAGAACTTCTTATCGCCAAGGAACTTGAGGAATTGAGTATAGTTCTTCGCACCGCCGCCGATAAAATCAATAGCCTTGCCTCCGGAGGCACCATTCTTGACATTCTTGCAGCTGTCGTAGAAACCACTCTGGTACTTCTCCGACCAAACGTTCTCCAACTCCGTCACCAGGTACTTTCCGGACTTACTCTTCGCCGTCTGGGTGACATTGACAAAGAGCGACTGGTCCGGAGAACATGTAAAGGTACAGAAGAGGTTGAAGAAATTTTCCTTGCATGCAGGACAAGACGAAATAATGCCTTCGGCAAGCTTCAGGTTACTTGCAAGCGCGTCGACCTATTAACGAGAGCAAGAAGTTAGAACCATAGCCTGGGTAGTGTGTCTCCTAGGACAGACACAATTCGCATATGGAATGATGACTCCACACCTGTTCATTAAGGCAGCAGACGGGTCCTTCCTCCCATTTGCTACCGCATAGGTCCACCAACTTCTTTCTGACCGATGGTTCGGGTTTCTCTGCGAGGCCATTGTCCGGACAAGGTAGCTCTCCGCCAAAAATCGACTGCTTCCCGCAGTGGCCTCTGATCGCGCAGCGACCTTCTTCGTGGATCTTGGTTTCTCCCTGTGCAGAAGCTATCGAAGAAGACAGTAAGAGGAGGTTCAGACTCGCGACCACGGGGAGGAAGCGGAGACCCCGCATCGTGGGGACGGCGCAGGATTACAGCTCTCGACAGGGAGAGGACGTCAATTAGTATCTGGGCGGCGAATTGTGTTCATACGTAACTGAGGAGAAGGGAACACAAGGGTAGTGCTGCCTAGGAGATAAGATCAGTGGAGATGTGGTGCGCAGTGACGTGGTTCGATGCAAGAGCTCTGCTGCGCCAAACAGTTACGCGCGTGCGGCACTAGAACGGGTAGGGTCGGAGAGGTAAGAGTAGCGAAGGGTGAGGAGCAATGAGGAAAAGCAATTCCGGAGATGATCAAGGCGTGGAGAGCTAGATGAAGGAGGTAGAAGGACGATGGAGTGTGGATGGGCAGCTGGGAAGATACGTAACTGGAGGCTGGAACTCCAAGCTCTGCCTGGGGCACAACACGCAACCTAATAGGGCCGATCCGGAAATACCGCGGTGGCTTGCCCAGGGGTCTCTGTCTGTCCTTCAACATCATGCTTTAATAGTCAGATATTTCTGGATTCTATTCACTGTCTATCCTATATCTGCAGTCTACTTCCCGTCCACCTTCCTCCGCTTGGCACTCTTAGGCCTGAATTCATCTTCATAAACCTTGAAGAAATCTGGCGGCTCTTGAGGCCGATCGCCAGTCACATCGTGGAATGAGGTGGTTGAGACGTAGTTTGTCTTTCCCTCCCGGACCAGGGAGTAGTATTCGAGAAGATACTGGATTTCGGAGTCGTCGTTGCTGGTTTTTCTTCGAAGGACTTTACGTGCTTCCTGTCTGTTCCCAGGGTCAGCGGCGAGTCTTGAGTTACTTTCCCTGCCAATTCCTGAACTAGCAGAGGCAACCAGGGAGGTCATACTCGGAAATGTCCTGGAATTTAATCTGAGTCCCTAGAGCTTCGCTGGCTGCTCTGGCGATTTCTTCGCCGCTGAGAAGCATTGGTCCTTTGACATTGTAAGTACGACGCAACAGCTAATAAATTGTCTGGGGCAGACGAAAAATCATACCAGTCAATGTTATCAATTGGCCTCTGTGCTTGTCACTGAAACCGTGTGGTCCTTTTGCTGACAAAATATGGCCAGCGAGCAAGGCTACATCCTGGAGTCAGGCAAGTTAGACATTTATTCCCTTTCATAAGGCTACAAGGTTATCACTCACTCCTAAAGCCACAGGAGGAAATTTATGATTCTGTCCAACAGGAATAGGAAGAACCCCTTTCTCCTTAGCTTGGGGAGAATAAAGGAGGAGATTCTCCGCATAGAATCCGGCTCTATTCATCACATTCATCAGCACCATACACCACCACCGCCACAACTGAAAAGTAGGAGGGGAACAATGAACAAAGAAAATACCTAATGACAACAGGTGAATATCCAGCCTGAGTACTAGGATCGCCTTTAGCCTCCAAAAACTTTGCTTCAAGATCAATAAACTCCCTCAACCGGGGCTGCTTGTCACGTTCAGCCAGATCACACCCGGCCGAACTGAGGAAGATAGCATTCGGCACATTGGCCTTCTTAGTCGCCTCGATAAGCTCCGTCGTGATATTGACCTTATCCCCATGCGCCGGCGGAATGATACAAATGGCATCGGCCTTCGTGTCCTTGATGGCGGCTGCAAGGCTATCAACGTCACCCGGTTGATGCGCGATAGTCTTCGCACCTAACTGGACCAGGTCTTTGCATTTCTCCGAGTCCGGGTTGAGAGCGAGACCCGTGACGGTTCCGATTTCCTTGGAGAAGTTCTCATCCGAGAGGAGTAGCTCGGCGACAACGAAGCCTGTGTTGCCGTCTACTGAGGTTATGCAGACATTGCGCGACATTTAGACAGAGGCGAAAATGGACAGAGCCGGCTGCTCAGTAGATCAATTTTATGGATGCAATCGCACAATGTCATGTATTGTGCAAATTCCTTAGATGTTGAGGGAATGAATCCCCCGTTCGATATCTTTTATATACTATAAAGCTGCGTCATTATACGTTAATGGGATATGAAATACACAAAGTAGACATTGACGAAGTAATGACAGATACTGCAATCAAAGCATTCTCTACAAGCAGACCGCATATTATACATCCGGTAAGGATGAGGCTAGTGAGGACTTCTAGCACCTAGTTTTATTTATACAATGAGTCTTGTCTACCTCTCCTTCGCGTCGAACATGGATAGACTGGGGAGTCAGGACTCTGTCTCAATTTCTGGACTTCTTGGTTGTGTCTAATTTGCTACTGGCACCCGTTGTAGATTTGTTCATCATTACTATGATCCTAGGGCCGTCATATGGACGAATGCCAAGCTTCACATTTTCCCATCCGTTATGCAGCCAGGGATCAGTTAGAGATAGCCGCTGATATCTGATTTTAAACTCGAAGGACAAAGCCGTCACACTAGCGCAAAAGACGCGAATTTATAAAATGGCGAAGTGACCTACCAGATCGGAGGGATGCCTTCACTACAGTTTATGGATCTACAGTTTCATCCTTTTGAATTTCAACCGTTTAGCCCAAATGGATGGCCCTTGAGAGTGTCTTTTCTGTAAATGTCCCCTTTTCATCTGAATTGGAAATCATAGACCGGGGCTTTGTCAGGTGATATGAAAAAACCAAAGAGACAATTTTCTGGATGGAGCTGCTGGGATTTGAGCCAGTGGATGATTCGGATGCCAATACACCCAGGACACCCTAAGGTGGAAAGCTTCTGATTAGATCAGAGTAGATAGAGCTGCTTCACATACAACGGTGGGAATAGAATGTTACCACATGTAACTCAAAGTCCGCTATTTTGTGCATGAAAGTGCTCCGAAGACCTTTTAAACAAAGTTGACCATATCTGCGCTACCATCACTTCAGTTAGCAGGGAGAACGATAATGCAAACTTGCAAAGAAACCAGACAAATATGAACGAGAAGAAGAATTTTAAGCCAAACTGGCAGGGGGTAACAAATGGCCTAGACGTAGTAGGAAGAAAAACAAAGCCATGGTTCAATAGCCATCTTCATCAGCCTGCTGATATACATGGCGCGTTCTTGTAGGATCCTTGCGCATTTGTCGGCCGGACCCCGTGAATCCCACTGTAGAATTGACAGTTAGTTATTATATTTAGAGCTGTATTTCGGATACATAGAATTACCTCTTGCATTCAATCCCTCACCAGTGCGGAACATACTGTCCTTGCGGCCAATCTTGCTCTTGTTGGCAAAGTCCTGCCATTTCATCTTCCCTGCCTCGAGCTCACGGGTAGCTTTGACCTTACGCGGCACCTTAGCGGGTCGATGGGGTCCATCGCTGATCTTGCTAGGTTCTTTGCGAACCTGACTGGCCAATGCTGGATTTATATCTGCGGCAGCAGAAATAACGCTCGAATGCGGGGACTGGATTACCGGCGATTGAGATCCGGACGTGCCTGGGGTGCCATCAGCCTTGCGCTTTCGCGAGTCACCGCTGGATATGGGTTTGAGGTCTTTCGTCGTCAAAGTCTCCACGGTTCCATAAGACTTGAAAGAGACAACATAGACGGGGTTACTAGAAGATCCGGTGATGGAAGTAATGCGAGCAGGGTAGAATGAGTTATCCCCGGATACCCAGCGTGCAAGAACATTTTCGTTCACTGAAAAGGAAACTGGAGGGGACGCATCGTCTACTGACGGCTGTTCGACAGTCGATTTACGATAACCAGTATGTCGAGCTGCTGGAACTTCCACGGTTATTCTTTCCTTGACTTGTGGCGGGGGCGATTTCGAAGGGCCTGCATGCGTCGTGGGGGGTTTAAGCTCGGCGATAGACGTTTCGGTGAGATTTATAAGTTCTTCCAGTTCAGCTTTGAGACTCTGAAGTTCCGTGTTATCTGGGTCTACCTGCAAGCTTGATTGGACTGTTTCAAGCTATTTGCTGTTAGCTATGGGGGTCGTCCTGTTTGCATCTCAATGTTCTCTATACCTGAAGCTTGAATTCTTTCACTTCCGCCTCCAGGCTCGCCACGTTCGCCATCGCGGATGGGCAGTCTTTTTTTATACGGGATCAGAGATATATCTCAAGCAGCGAGATGAATATTATAATGTCGAGGTGCAGAGAGATAGAATCAGGTGATAGCCTAAAGGATAGCGGAGTTGACGGTGGAGGAGATGAGATGGATGCAGGCCAAAATACGCGCGCCTCCTTTCGATCTTGGTCACGTGACTAAGCGATATGTTAGGCGCTCTGGCAGGACTATGACTACCCCCCCTAATTCTACTACGTAGCTCCATCTCACTTCTATGATCTTCTGAGAATGTCATATACTATTGCTTGCCTGTATTTGTTGATGATGGCCATTAAGGATATATTCGTGGTCCCTATATCAGTGCTGAAGCATCGACCTTGGCACCGATCAGCGGCGGCTGCACTTCAATTTGATAATCAAGAGCAAGTTGAAGAGGAGAAGACTCCATATTTGATCCAGCCCAACTAGGTGAAATCCTCAATGGCAGGTATCAACTTGCGACAAGGCTTGGCTATGGATCGAGCTTAAGTGTTTGGCTTGCCCTGGATTTTAACCAGTTAAGTCGGTCCCAATTTCATCCAAACTGGGCTAAACCGCTGCCAGCAAATAACACTAAATAGTGCTTGTTGAAAGGGAAGTATGCTAAGATCAAGATCAATACTAATATCCGTCCATTGCAAACTGCTCAAGCTGAACTAGATACCCTGAAGCTTCTCTCCAAGACAAACTGCCGCCATGAGGGCTGGGAGTTTGTGAGACATCTTCCTGGTTCTTTCACTCTTTAAGTCCCATTGTATGAAAGAGCATCTGAGTCTTGTTTTAAAGCCCTTGTGAGAGCGTCTGTGGAATTACCAACAGAGATTTGATTGAGGTAACATCCCCTCAGACAGACTGAAGATAACACTTCAAATGGTCCTTCATAGGCTTTGACTATCTCTATTAATGTGCCATATCATCCACACTGGTCTGTTTGCTACTGACAATGAGCCTTGTTTATGTGGAGACTTTCTTTAATTCTGAGCAAGTTTGAAACCTGACAATGCCATTGTTAAGATAGAGGATCTATCACTACTGCAGGAAGCAGTTAGGAGCGAATTTGAATATCATCTCCCACAAAAAGGTGTGCCCTGACAGTCACATAATATATCTCGCTTAGAACAATTATAGCCCTCCCAGGAGTGTCACTGGCATCATTCAAATCACAGACTATGGCCAGTCAATTTATAGTGATAAACTAAATAGTGGCTGTATCCAAGCAGAGGTTTATCGAGCCATGGAGGTGATACTGGATGCCGGTTATTCGAGGTGATGGTACGTTTAGAAGGGAGCCTATCATTTATAACCAGATTAATTGCTGACCCACATGCCACAAAAAGTTATGGGATATCCTTAAAGATAAGAAGCTGTTTTGGGATACATACTCAGTCGATCTGGACGATTATGACGAACTAGGCCATCTTGGCCACATAACTGCACTACTGGGTCCTCCTAAGCAAATCCTGGACAAGGGGAATAGGACACGCCTGTTCTATGAATCTGGAGGTCAGTAGCCCAACGTAATCAGGCTTTCTGGCCTGGTTGATTTCAATCTAAATGCCAAACTATTTCTCCAACACTTTCAATTTTGAGGATATGCTATGCCATATGGAGGGTGGGGACAAGAGGATGTTCATTGAGTTTGTCAAACGCATGACCAAATGGAATCCAGATGAACGCAGTACAGCGAAGGAATTACGCCGGGATCCTTGGCTTTACCGGAGTTTGATGAAGATTAGAATTACATCTGTGGTCTTTCATCTTATCTCAGTGACTAGCATAGGGAATTTCTCTGCACGTACACAAATTCCATTAATGAGATGAATTCTAGTTGGGTAGGCAGCCTCCTTCTGTCAAGAGGCGCTTATTGAAAGGGACCAGTACATTTTTGGATTCGCACAGACCGAAATCGGAATTATAGGGATTATGGTCTCTGACTCGAAATAAGTTTGCGATGGCAAGGCTCAGAGAATTCCCAAGAATCCAGTTTCGCAGGTGGCGGTTGCCATAAGCTCGTACGCGAGGGTCCTAAGCTTTGCATCCGATTAACTGTTATAGGCGGCACTTCAGGTCCTTTCAACAGCTTTCCTATTGTGGACCTAAGGCATGTTGACTTCTTGTATGTGCTTCCAGCATGACATCGATCCAACAATAGTGTACCGAGTTCGCCAAGAAGGAGCCTGGCGGAGTTAGCGGAGTTTTCGGAGCAAGCGCTGCATCTTCACGTCACTGAGATCGTCGTCCGCTCGTATTGTTGGTCAACGGCACCTGGGGGTGGAGAACCCGGGATTTGACTTATTTCCTGAAGGCAACTATGATCTACCTTATCCATTCCTTAAGAAATCCAGAACGGACAATCTGTCGTAGTACCAGCCACCGGCCTAGAATACGGATCGGATAGAGTTAATTCTCCATGCGGATGGCTGATCATGGCACGAGTAAGAAGGGATTAACGTGGCTGGGGGATGGAGAAGTCCAGACTGTTGTTAAGCACACTCAGACATATAGTAAAAAGGTAAAAAGAGAGAAGAGCAGAGAAGAAGTGGCGGCCTGAGGCAGCCGAAGTCACGCCGGCGTGGATTTATAAGCAAGCGGCTGCGGTTCTCGCGCTTTCTGCCCATCGCGGTTGCTGATTCGCTGGTAAGCGGGCTACAGGCCAATCACAGGGCCGCCCGGTTACCGGCTGTTGCTGCCTTGGGTTTGGGCGGTCTCGCGGCTGACATCGCATCTCTCGCTCTCCCCTCTCACTGCCAATTCTCCCCTCCCATCTGGCGCCACTGCTCTCCACGCACCTTGTGCATTTTCATCCTCACCGTGCGGATACCGTGCGCATTTCCTGATACCTACCCTTCTCCAGGGAAAGGTTCTACATTTCTCCGCCACCGACGCCGTACGATCGGAATCTTGACTTTCCTTTCCCATACTACGGAAACTTGCCATTCTATTCCCCGCTCAGTCTCCTCGACCCTTTGCCTAGAAACTCTCAAGGCGTCTGTGGCTCAACTTGACTCACGGCTTCTTCAATTTGCTCAAGCAGCTCACCTTTCTTTTCATTTTGCGTTACGACTTTAGTTTCCATTCACTACAAGGATATTCCGAATCTCCCTTAGAAGCCCTCCGCCCGGCTAATAGACGGGTATCAGCTTTGGCTAGCTGTACCTCTGACGACCACGAGTCCGGACGGTTTAAAAACGATACTACAGGCGGTTAACCCATTGATCGCTCTGTAACACCGACGTTCTTTAGCGGGTTCTAGAGTTGTGTGGAGATCAGCCCTACGTTCCAGTTATAGGGGCGGGAAGCCCATTGCCTATCTGTCAAGAGCTCACGAATGTGGTGATATTGGAGGAATTGGAGTCTTCACAATTTATTGATTCTTTCTAACGTGTCGTTACGATCGCCGATTTCCTCGGTCTTCCACGAAAGCATCGACCTTCAATCGCTCTCTACGATATATGATAGCGGGGCAACAATCGCCGACCAAAATCCCTTTTTTCAGCCCAATCTCTACTTATCCCCTGAGCAGCAGGATCTTCTCCTCACTGCCCTTTCTTCGAACCATCCATCACGAAACCAGGACAAAACTCCACCCCTATCCAAGGCCGAATCGGGCCACGCTTCCAGCTTTATGACTTCTCCTACGGGTGTTATGAACCCGTCTCATGAAGGCACGACTCCTTTTGGCTTTGCTGATGATGATGGGTCTTTCTTGGATTTCAACGCCGATGCTGATTTTGACTTTCGGGACGCGGAGAACTTTTTTGGAGATATTCCTGGGAGTGTGGCTCCTGAAGCGAACTCGGAGGAGCCGGAGATCGCAGAAAACTCGCCGGAATCTCGAGAGAAGAGAAAGGACTTGGTTGATGGCAAGTCGGAGGATAATAGCGAAGAGACGGGCAAGAAGCGAAAGGAAAGTGATGACAAGGGCGCCAGAAAGCCAGGTAGAAAGCCCCTGACCTCGGAGCCGACCTCGGTATGTCTCTTCCCGTGCTTATGTCTCTGCTCCCTTTGCTAACTCTCTCATCAGAAGCGCAAAGCGCAGAATCGTGCGGCGCAGCGAGCATTCCGTGAACGCAAGGAGAAGCATTTGAAGGACCTGGAGACAAAGGTGGAGGAACTCCAGAAGGCTTCTGATGCAGCAAATCAAGAGAATGGCTTGCTACGGGCTCAAATAGATCGTCTACGGGTTGAACTCAGGGAATACCGTAAACGTCTCTCTTGGATGGCTAGCGGAAGTGGCCTTTCCGCGATGAGTACCATTCCGAGTGCCCACTCAAAAGGCATGTATGGCCTGAACAATAGCGAATTTCTCTTCGATTTCCCTAAATTCGGGGGCCTGCCAGGCGCACAACCCCTCAGCAATGGCCAGGCGATCCAGACTAATTCGACTTTGGGCCTTGGAGCAGCGGGTCGTGATGGCAAGAACCAGGTACCTGGTATCCTCGGCCTAGACGGTCTTGGAAGCTCTGCTGCCCAAAGGCAAACCGCGTTGAGCCACAGCCCCAACAGCATCGGTCCCTCATCGTACCATAGAGATGCGACCGCCATTTCTTCGAGTTCTACCAGCACGGCAAAGGGTTATAGGCCATCGAATAACCTAACTGCTGGAACCAACCCGGTCTGCTCCAAGACACAACCTTCGAAACCATCCACCAAGGATACACCCAACTCCGATTCCCCATCTTCGTGTTCCGATTCCCACCAGAGCCAGGTGCTCTCGTCAAGTAGAACGTCCCCAGAACCAGACCTTAACTCTTCATCCGTTAGCAAGTCACATGATGCCAGCATTGGACACAGTTGTGGTCTGATCGACGGAGAAAAGTCATTCTGCGAACAGCTTGGCTTAGCGTGCGGCAATGTTAATAACCCAATTCCACCGATACGAAGACGGTCCAGCACCAACTCTCATGCAGCAAGTCAACCTCCAAGCGCAACGGAGCCACCGCTTGGACTTGATTGGTTTGCTCAGCAGAATGGGGGACAATTTGATCCAGTACTCTTTGGCGATTGGCGAGAGCCACAGGATGCTGTCCTGTCGCAGGACTTCGGCGACTTCTTCAACGATGCCTTCAATATCCCGGAACTAGACAATGAACCAGACCATCAGCAACCACCCAAGCATGATCTTATCGCGAAGATTGACAAGAAAATGGATGAGGATGAAGAAGTTGTCCCTGGGGAAGATAAGTCACAGTTGTGGACATGCACAAAGATATGGTATGGCTCTAGAGACATGCACAACTCGCTTTTACTTCGGGCCAGAGATGCTAATTTACTCCCAGGGACCGTCTACAATCTATGGAAAAGTTCCGCAACGGCGAGATCGATGTCGACTTGCTTTGCTCAGAGCTGCGTACCAAAGCGCAGTGTTCTGAGGGCGGCGTTGTCGTTAACCAAAAGGACGTGGACTCCATTATGGGTCGCGTTGGTGCTTGCGACAAAAGTAAAAATTGAAATAGGGGCTTTTCAAAATGTCAAGTTTGGAATATTACATGCCATCATACATTCCATAATGGGAAAAGCACAAAAAGGGAAAACTGTTCTGTTCATCAAACTGTATGATCTAAGATACTACCACTGATTGTCATGGTTATTGAGTCACTTATTTTCTCTTGCTTTTTCTTTCCCCGCTTTTCTTCTCCATTTCATTATTGTCATCTCCATAATTCCCCCACTCATTCCGTTATATTTCATCAGCTCGGTCCATGCTTCTGGCTTATCAGCTCTTGGCGGTTCCATTCCCCTATTCAATGATCTTCGGAGTACACAGGTTTAGCAGGCGTTGATGCCGTACAGGCTAGGGCTAGGCTATTACAGACTCAGGAGTATTAGGTATTGTATCTATCTATCCATTTTGTCTATCCGTCCTTCAGGGATAGAGGTAGTTGTTTTTGGATGAAGGAAAAACATCTGGGAGTTTACTACGAACATGGTGTATTGGGATTGAATCAGGAGGAACAATTTGATTATCGGATTTTTTCTACCATCAGCTGTGGACTTGTAGTGTAGTTTTGATATTGCCAGAACCAAGATTCATGATATATAAGTGAATGGGACGGCTGGGATGGAATTTTTCTCAATTATCACCTACATATTAATATTTACCGACCAAGTTCATTTAGATATATCGCACTCCGTAGGTGTCCAAACACAATGGAACAAAGAAATGAAGCTACTAGGGTATCCATATTGACGTGTTTGCAAAGATATTACTAAAATACAAAGCGCTGTTGTTTATGTTCTTTTTTTCTTTTCTTTTCTTGCATTTCTCTCTTTCTCTTCCATTCTCTCCCCTTCCTCGTCACTTAGACCATCTCCTAATGAAAACAAACCCTTCAGCATCCTGTCTCTGTATCGATACAAGCTTGCCAAAGCCATCCCGTTAACCGATTCGAAGGACGACGAAATCTCTCCCTCCAGGAGAGATGAGGACTTGAAGTCCATTCTTGCCTCCCCTAGGAAACAAAAATATGTCTCAAAGCTCGCGAGAAAGGAAGCTGGAAATGCTTGATAAGATGGATCGAATAAAAACAGAAAAAAAAAAAAAAAAAGAAAGAAATAAAAAGAAGAAATGGCCATGAAAAGAAAATGGGGAGAAGAAAAGGAAAGGAAAGAAAAGAAACATTAGTATTGAGAAGTAGGTCAAAAAACAAGAAACAGAAAACCCGCATCTTTTACTTAGGACTCCCCGCTAGTCGTTGCGGGTTTGTCTCCCACAGGTGTCGATGATGGAGCGGGTGAGTCTGAACTTGCAGTTCCCTTGTTGAAACCGCCGCGTCCGCGGCCACCTCGACCACGATCACTGCCACGGCCACGGCCTCGATAACCCCCACGACCACCCCGACCTGTGTCGCTGTCACTGGCACCTCCGCTTTGGTATCCGCCCCGAGCTACGTTGGCTCCACCTCGGCTGCTGGCTTGCCATGTACCAGCGTTGCCTTGGCCACGGTGGCCGCGGTCCTCGAAGAATTTCAAGTTGGGCTTGCGGGGCTGTCCAGGCGGGCTTTGCTTTTTGTGTTCTGCGGGTTGACGATCAAGAGCGGCCTTGGCCTCATCAGGAGAACCAAAGGTAACAACATGGTTATATTTGCCCCATTTCTCGACCTTTACAATCTTTGCCTTGTCTTCCTCTGGGAAGAGATCCCGAACGGCCTGCTCATTGTCCACATTCGATATGAAGAGTCCGTTACTCTGCTTCTTCTCCGTTTTCTGTGCACCGGCTTCCGGGGCTTTCTCCAGCTGTGCGGTGCCGTTTGCTGCTGCAGGGGCAGCCTTCTCTGGAGATTGCTGATCTGCAGGAGCAGGGGGCTGAGGAGTTGCGGGCTTAGGGATCACAGGAGCTGGGGTTTCGTTCGTGGGAGCAGCTGTCTGTCCTTTCGCTTGAGTTGGTTGCTGGGCGGGTACAGGAGTACGAGGTGCTTGACCTTGGCCAAATTGAGGAGCAACCGGGGCGCGATTAGGACCGCCTGCAACTGTGGAAGTGGTTGGAAGCCCGCCGGAAACAGGTACATTGGCCGGAGCGGCTACAGCAGGCTGAGGCTTTCCAGTCCGGTGAGAGAAGTTGAAACCTTGGGCACGCATTTCAGTAGCTATACGTCCACCCTCAATCTCAAGAACCAGATACCCAAAAGCGGCATCCGCAAGGTTGAAATTCCACATGTTTTTGAAGGCGCTTTCGTCAACCTGGCCAGCAGCAGCATTTCCTGCGGTGACCGGTCCACCGAACGGGTTACCACCATTGGCAACTGATGGCATCTTCTGCACCACATCGAGGGCATTCTCCAACAAGGTCTTTTGGGCATCATTGGAAGAAATTGCAGCCTCGACTTCACCCCGGACAGTCTCCCAGACATCATTGAAGGAAGCTTTAGAAGCAGCCAGCTTGCCACGATAGTGATCAAGAGTGGGATTGACAGAGAACTCGTTGTAGGACGACCCGTAACGGAAGTGAAGGCCGGCAGAAATGGAGAAGTCGGCTTTCAGGGTGACGGAAAGCTGGTTCAGCATTCCCTCGCGAGCAGGAGAAGCATGGGTGATGAATAAGCGTGTCTCGGATGGATCGTAGACACGGTTCGCTGTGTCGATCAATTCACCCATCTGGAGTAGGGTCGTCCACATGGTGCCCTGGCCACCAGCGATCGTAGTCTTCCCCTCTCCATTGTCAAAAAGCTTGTGCATCACCACCGCACCCCCCAGTCCTAGCAGACGGAGTTTGATACCGCCCACATCCAGTAATCTTGAGTTTGCCTCATCGATAATGTGCAGCTTGTCAACCTTGTACTCCCCAGAACGGAACTTTTCCAGCACCCGGACATCCTCACAGGCGCCCCAGACGGTATATACAGGAACGTCGAGGGTGAGGCGCTTATCGAGGAGGAGAGGGAGTTCCGAAAGCGGTAGCTGTTCGGGGGTAAATCGTTGTCTGATGGATTGCTGAGGAGGAACTTGGGCGATCGCTCGCTTGACATGATCCGGGAGAAGTGGCGAATATTGTGCTACATGCTTGAGGGTTCTGTTGTTTCCAGTCTCAGTTAGAAATGAACAGAATGATGGATATAAAGAAGAGTAAAAAGCATATAAAAAAGGCTGGTTCGGGAGCCCTTGTCACTCACTTGTCCGCAATGCGCTCCAGTGAGGTGTCGTCGTAGAACCCAAAATCACCGGTGTGGATGATATGATCTGCACGAGCCTGCTTGGCCAACTCATTCAGAGAACTAAGGTTTCCTGTAAATCACCCAACGCGACTCAGTCAGTTCCAATTCAAGTTCTTACTCTAAGCTCGCGGAGAGCTAGCTAGCTCCGGAGGGACTGGTGGCCTTACCTCTCACATCTGCAATGCACAGTATCCTGACGGGGCCGTTTTGGATAATTCTACCATTGTTAGGAAGGAGAGGTGCAGCTCCTGGAACAGGACCAGCCGGCGCAGCACCGTTAGGAAGAGGATAGCCTTGGGGAGCGAAGTTGTGTGGACGGGGCTAGATACAGCAGGTCGGGGAAAGCTTTAGTCAGCTCGCGTTGCTAGAGAACGGCACCAAAAAAAGCCGAACTTACAGAAGCCATGAGGAATAGATCAGTCTGGCTAGAAAAGGAGGTCGAAGGCGATGTAGTAACGGGAGGTAGGGGGGAAGGGGGATAGGGAGAATGGGATGCAGGAGACAGACAAGAAGGCGAGGCCAAAGTCTTGTCTCCGAACGGCAGACGCGCGGCTTAGGTAAGCAAAGCTGCCAACCTTCTTCGGACGCGCTTCACTCACCAGCTTCACTCTCTGTAGACAACGATGTCTTCCCACGCCTGCACGATGCCTGTCGCACTGATTACGATTCGTCTAGGCTGGAAATAGCTGGCAGTCAGAAGAGACCCATTCCAGCTTCTGCAGATATCCACGGTGCACGCGCCGTACAACATACTATTGACCACCGGACGTCGTCCCTTATTGCTATCTCCGAGACATGCTTAATTGAAGTGGAAAGTGTTTGGATCTGTCTGAAATTCTAGTCTTCTTGCTGGCGGTGAGCATGTCTCACTCAATGCAAGCTGTAAATACATATCTCACGGGTACATGCCTATACCTTGGTCATTATACACCTTCAGGCCTCATTCAGAGGGTCTGATACTACCTTCGCATTGTCTGGTTTCGTTCCGGCATTTTCAAAAAACTCCACAGTTTCTACATTGTTCTTGGAGTGCAAACGAGCCTGGTTGAGCATGGCTAGGCCCTCGTCCCCAAACATGTCTGCAATCTCTTCCAGCGGTTTGTTTCTCATGTCTGGGAACAGCAGATACACCTACACTGCAGCTATCGCGCTGATGATGGTGAAGAAGAGGAAGAAGAAGAGGTAGTATTACCAGCCGATCGAGTCGAACACCGATGGAACGGCCTGGAGCCATATGATAGTCGTCACTGCATTTGTCGTTTGGCCAATGGCGACGCCCTATGCGCGCAGATGAGCGGGAAACCTCACTGATGGATACGAATCCCGTTATGTCCAGGAAGCAGCTGAAGAACACCTGGAAAATGAAGATGAAAGCAACAGCGGCGTCCTCTCCCGGCCTATTTCTAGAGTTGAGGTGTCGGGCTTCCGTAGCAGTCTCACAGCGCATTACCACCGTAGCTCCTGCGAATCCTATGGTCGTGAACTTGTTTCGCAGAAAGTGTTCGACGAAGAAGGTGGGCAGGAGATTCATTGTAGTCCCTGTGAAGTAGAGGCTGGCAACCAGGAACAGCTGTTGGTGAGAGTCTTAACCCAGTTGTTCGTAAATTAGCGTCTCATAATCTATTGTGATGGTTAATCTCAGTATCACTGAACACACAGCAGTAGGGGTCGCAGGAAGTCAAAAATAAGACGCACTGCCAATAACGAGCTCCCCTGAACTCCAGAGACAGAAGGTCAGGCCGATTGCCATGAGCACCTGCTTGAGGTACGACTTGGTGGTCAACTCATCCAGAACGAGCTGTTGAGCTCTCGGTCATATTCCAATTGGCGCTTCATAAGGTCGAACTCGGCACCAGCGAAGTCGGCATACTGGCTGTTAGGGCCCGAATGGATGCCGAGGACGATGGCCTTGGCCTTCTCATCCTTTCTTTTCATGAGAAGAAAGCGTGGAGACTCAGGAAGCCAGCGGATGCCAGCGAGAAGGATGACGCAGGGAATGCAGACAAATGCAATGGGGGCTCGCCAGATCTGGTTGCTGCTGCCACTGTAGTATGAGAATCCCGCACCGATCAGGGCAGAGACCGAATAGCCAACGTTTCCAGCAAGAGGGGATCAACAGACAATACACCGCACGGTTTCTCGGTGGTACCAGCTCGACAACCTACCAGGCAGATTCAGGGTCGGTATGAATGTCCTACATATGGTCAGTTGAGCCCGACCTCCGCTGCAAACAGCCTTTCAGATCTTACCCCAAGCCACTGAGGAATCGGAAGGCAATGAACATGTCAACTCATATGTGAAATCAGCCAAGGGCTTGGGCTATTTAAAGTCGAGTTCATTCACATTTACTAAACCCGTCAAACAACAGTGCGCCTAAGGTTAGAACCATCGTTATTGCTACCACAACGGTGGCCAGTCTCAGATGCATGGAGCGATGAAATATTGACAAAACATACTCATGTAGTGAAGAAAGGTCGGTTGCCCTATCGTCGAGCTTATGATGCCACCTGCATATCCTTGAGCAAGGGTCCCCGAGCTCATCAGAAGGACCTTCCAGAAGGTTGCGGTATTGGAAGCACCCTGGTCTTGATCCAAGCTTTGAGACATGGTTGTCATGCATGTACTCGCGAGTCGTATTAACGCATGAGGGACAGAAGAGCCACATCAACTAACGGTTGATTCCAAGAGAAGAGCCTGGTTTGGGAGATATACAGAACAAGCAATATACGTCTGATACCTGTACGACGGCCGCCTGACGATAGCAACCCATGACGAATCCAATGAGCGATCCTGCTCCAGCTGTCGTTCCGTCTCCGCAAATTCAACCTCAGCATATTCATGTTCCACATCATCAGCTGTCGTGTGCTTGTCGGTGATAATCTGCCGAGCACGTTCTCGCTTCCCGACGGAGAGAAGATACCGGGGCGAATCCGGGACGAAAGGCATAGCCAGGAGAGTGATTATGGGCGGTACACAAGCGAGACAGAGTGGTCCTCGCCATCTATCCTTCGAGGGGACGTAGAAGAAGCCCACGCCCACCCAGGGAGGGTCGGGTTTTATTTAGAGGGAGGTCGTCGAAGGGGGGGACGTTTGGCCACTGTCATTGTGAAAGATGAAGTTGGTTCACCTACTACTTGCCTAGGTGCTGGGAAGATATCAAGCTGGAAGGATAGGCGAATCGAGTGGTTATAATATTTATGATCCGGGTATGATTTCATTGCTTTTCCGATTCCAGTGTTATTATGATTGAGGGGATTCCGAAGATGTCGTTCTCTCCACCAGACTGCAGAGTATGCTTTGTTATATCCGTGGATATTGGGCAGATCATTGAAGGAAAGAGAATCTGCAAGTGTCACTATATGGTCCGGTCGAAGGTATTCAGCTTCAGAACTTGCTGGTTACTACAGCCTACATTGTTCTACGCAGGGATTTTACTACGGGTATCCTGCAGATGATGCATTACAAGGCACTAAAAGAATATGTATCTAATGAGTTTTATCTGTTGTTCCAGACTACTCTGGCAATAGATGGCCGTTCTTTATATCGATATCACCGATGAAATCAACACCCGGCAAAAGCGCCATAGCCTTGTACCAGAACCTAATCGCCAGATCGATCCTCTTCCTCCATGGCTTCTAGATCAGCCCCCAGCAACCGAACCGTGGTAGGTTGAACCTTCTTCTCAAACCTGCTCTCCATCGGACCCTGACGTGGCTGACAGAATGCCGGCTGGGCTTGATGCTTATCCAGATGTTACTACCATCAGAAGCAAGCCCTAGATGGACTGGATGGAGTAAGCAGGGGCCTAAGTATACAGTATACATTCTAAAGAACCGGTTTCACAGCATGTGTCTGGAATTTTTCATTCATCCATGGAGGCATTACATCCTTTGAGTAGGACAGGCTGATCACAGGTTGGTCATGGAATGGTAGCTACAAGGTGGTTGTTTCACCATGTTCCCTAAAGAATAGGATAAATTTCCCCAACCACCAACAGGAGAAGCATTCACTGGCTGTCAGACACTGGGACAGCATGAGAGTGCTATTATTTACAGCTGGATGGATCCAATCTCATTTCGTAAGAGCAACTAAGGATCAATGCACGCCCAATTTATGTGCTGTGAAACTCATCGCATCGTCAGCCATGGCCATTGTATACTCCCCCTCCCTGGTTCAGGGCCGACACAAAAAAGAACCAATATGAAGGCCTGGCGACGATTTGTGCAATTAACTGAAAATCATGTTCAGGAGTGGAAATGCCTCAGCTGAGGGTACATTTGTGGAGTGACGATCGTCCTGGACGGACGACTCCTCCCTGCATGGCACACTCCAGCTTCAAACCGTCCATTTCTCCTTCACTGGCCAGCAAGGATGAGCAATCAACGGCTTTTCCCATCCCATTTTATGCTTACTGGATCATCGGAAAGTTAATTGATTAATTGATTGAACCATTCCCCCCAGCCGACGTTCCTCCCTGAGAAAGATGGCTCTAATAACAACCACTTTCCATCAAAATTTCCAATAGCCACTCCGTACCGCTAACTGTCTTCTTTGCTCTCTCCAAACCCAGGACATGATCCAAAATGCCTCTCCACCTCACAGAAATTCTCTATCCCCGTCGAAGACAACAGAGACGACGTCATCGCCAGGACGAAGTATACGTCAGCTTCCCGCCGTCGCATGCGGAAGGTTCCACTCCAACCAAGGCTACAGCATCCCCTTCGCAGTCGCAGGAAATATATGAAACAGATGCTGCAAGCCAGTATTCGACTTCTGCACCTGCTAATGCGAGTCAAGACCGTCGTCGATCCCTCAGCCAGGGCATCGCTAGCACTGTCCCGGGGTTGCGTCGAACCGACAGCAGCCGTCGACGAAGAGACGACAAACCTCAGAACTCTCCCAGAAGGCACGAAGACATAAACACAGACAGAGATTCACATCTGGACTCACATCCAAATCCACCGACGGGCTACGATATCCATCAAGAAACGAACCAACGACCCTCGCGATCGGAGGAAGAGGAAAACCAAGACCAGATCATGCATGTACAAGCCCCAGAATATACCAACAATACCGACGATAAAGAACCAACCTTACCCACTTACAACGACATCAGCGGCTCCGTGGTCGTGGACCACGATGGAACCATCCGTTTCCTCTCCCCACAGGAGGTGGAGGAGAGGCGTGAAACCCTCCAGCGCGCCGTGCATGAGAGGATGATGGGACTCCCGCGTCTAACGGAGTCACCATGGTCGCCGGTGCAGGTGCCAGTGCAAGATGATATTCCATTGCCGAGATATGAGCCTTGAATTAATTTCATCTATGACGATTGAGCTTGGCGGGTTGCATGGGCTTTCCTTTTTCATTGTTGCTATTCCAGAAAGATGTGTCCTTCACCATTATGGCGTTGTTGGTGTGATTGCTGTGGTTACTCAGGTTTGAGCATGGATGTTCTCCGGGTTGAAATTTCTTCATATGCATATTCGAATGGATACTGCATTGCTGCGGTGGATAAAACAGAATAATCAAGTGCAAATCAAACTTCCCATGATAGGAGTCTGAAAGGAAGCCTTTTATAATTACCCAATAGACGCCCCATTGAAAGCCAAGAGTAAATGCCACCTACATTGGAAAATTCAATTCCGGAACAGCCTCAATCCACCTTCTTCTTGATCCTCATCACTCTCCTCAGCAGCGCTGCTATCATCTTCCCGCAACAGCCCGCTAGCCGTCTTCCCAAGCAGCGAGGCAAAGAATTCATCTCGAGCACGCTTAGTCCACGTTCCCCGATCCTCAGGCGCCATGAAATTCTGCAGTTTCTCATGCACATGGTATCGCATTTTGCGACCCTTCGAAGCACGCGTGTCCACTGGTTTCTTGACCTTGTCGTTGCGCATACCGGTAACCGGATGGACGGACAGCCTTGACGACGGAAGGTTAAGGTGTAGCGTGTCAAGACCGTTGGTGATCGCATCCGATGAGGACATCCGTTGTTCGACTAAATCGCGGAGTAGAGATTGATAGAAGATTGTGTCTTCATAGACGGGTTCAACCTCATCATCATTCTGGCTCTGGCCAATGGTGCCATTGGACTTGGTTTCCTTTCGGGAACGCTTTGCGGCCCGTTCGCCGGTTTCCGTCGCGATCTGCGCATCCAGAACAGTAGTAATAGTCTGCTGGCCGCTGGCGCTGGATCCTAGAAGTTTTCCTCGTGCATTGGGCAGGCTAGCGGCCGTGCCTCGGACTTTGACAGACCACTTGTCCAGGATCGCGCGGCGGCGCGGAGCCGACTCCGACTCGAGGTCTGCCATTCGTTCCCAGAGTGAGGCTGTAGATGTAGTTTGTGAGATGGGGGAATGACGCTTGCGTTTCTTCGAGCCATCCTTTGTCTGCGCATCGGCTAGAGCAATTCGCAGGTCCTCAAGAGTAGACCAGAGGGCTAGAGCCGCTGACTCGGCGGATTTGATGGCTTCCTCGTCGACATCTTGAGCGTCTCCCGCTGCGACGGGGAGTTCGTTGATGGCTATCAGGCCTTTCTGCAGTTTGATTCGCGTGTTGAGCAAGGCATCAAATGTGGACCGTTGCTGCTTCACTGCTTTCCCCTTGGTGGCATCTGCCTTGGCGGCCTGAGAGATTGAGGCCGCAATAGTTTTCTGATCTGATGCCATCAATCTGCGGAGTTCTTCACGGTCATCGGATTTCGAACTCTTGGGCTTGGAGGGGCCGTCGTCGTCGTCGTCCTCTTCTTCTTCTTCCGAGGATTCCTCATCCACGTCATCGTCTTCATCTTCATCCTCATCTACGAGTTCATCTGAACCGTCAGATTCCATATCCTCATCGGACTCGTCTTCTTCATCGGACGCCGCATTCCGTCGGTGTGGCTGCTTCTTTGCATTCTTAGGCTTTGTAAAAGCATCCTCTTCATCCTCAAGACTACTATCGCTGTATATCTCTTGTTCACTTTCATCCTCGTGGTCTGTAGACTCCTGATCACTGTAGCCTTCGTCCTCGTCATCCTCCTCACTGGAATGCGCCTTGAAAGGATCGTCGTCACTCTCGGCCTCCAGCGCCTCTCTGCTAATACGGGACCCGGAGTATTGTTTTCCAAGATTAATGGGATCCTGTCTTCGGAGTTTACCCTTCCTACACGGAATTAGAACATGTACCTCAAGAACGGAAATAAAGAGGTGAAGAATACCCACCCTACAACTTCGTAATGCTCCCTTCCGGCATTCGCGTCCGCAGCCGGACTATGCTCATCATCGCTGTCTTGTCCGCCATGCTCCAAGTCTTCAGGGTCGAAATCTAATGTTCGAGAATGCTCTCATTAGCTTGAAACCCATTGAAAAGAAAAATATGGGAAATATAACCAACCTTTTGGAGTAGGATCGTCAAGATCTGCAATCTGTTCGGCCAGGGATTTGCCCTGTCTGACCTTGCCAGCTGCCATTGTAAACAAATGACTTCTCTTGACAGTTGTGGGAAGTGTTTTTGCAGGCTGTTTTCTATTATTTAAAAAATTAAAAAAAAAACTATTCCGTCCTTGGGCGGTGAGCATGTTCTGCCGGGCGGTGGGCGAAGCTTGAAATAGACCAATCATATAATGCCGTACCCGCAGCTATTCCCATTCAGTCATAGTTACATTTACCTAGGTACATTTATCGATAGAGCTTCAGAGCTTCATCGGAACGAAGAAGTTGCATCACTTGGAATCTCCGCAATACACATACATATATACAGTGAATCATGCAACGGAGCTTTTTCTCCACGGTCCGAGTGCTCCGTCATGAGAACCCACTAGTTTGTCCTTCCGAAGCTACCCAAAGAATGGTACTCCGACGCTAACATATCTCTTGAACAGGGTCTTCCGCGCTCTGGCACCCCGCCGTCTTTTCCCCGTCGTCGAGGTCTACCTGTAAAACGGAAGATCCGTGATGTGAATAAGATCGTGGCTGTTTCATCCGCAAAGGGAGGGGTTGGAAAGTCGACGATTGCGGGTGGGATACCCTCTCTTTTGCATGTTTCGGACTCGCAGCTGATAATTACTGCTCTTGGATAGTCAACATCGCTCTATCACTAGCCCGTCGTGGTGTCCGAACAGGCATTCTAGATACGGATATATTCGGACCGTCTATTCCGAGTTTGCTCGACCTCTCCGGCGAACCGCGATTAGACGAAAGTGAGACCCCGTCTTCGGATGGCAATCACGCAAGAAAAGTACTTGAGTGAACTAACATCAATCTAACTCAGACAATTGCCTCATTCCCCTCACAAACTATGGCCTAAAATCAATGTCAATGGGCTACCTCCTCCCCCAACCAGAACCTAATCCCTCCGACAACTCACCATCCTCACCCATTCCCATGGACACAACCCCCATCTCTTGGCGAGGGTTAATGGTGACAAAAGCTATGCAGCAACTCCTCCACTCAGTCTCCTGGGGTTCCCTTGATATCCTCATCCTCGACCTTCCACCTGGCACAGGCGACGTGCAATTAACTGTGGGCCAGGAACTCATCGTCGACGGCGCAGTCATCGTAACCACCCCGCAAGACATTGCCCTGCGGGATGCAGTAAGAGGCTGGGGCATGTTCCAGCGCATGGATATCCCCGTGCTGGGTATGGTGCGCAACATGGCATATTTCGCGTGTCCCCAATGTGGCCATCAGACGAAGATCTTCTCGCATGGCCATCACCACAATAATGGTACTTCCGGTAATGGTAATGGTGAGGGTGGCGTCCTTGCCGAGTGCAAGAGGCTCGGAATTGACTTTCTTGGTGATATCCCGCTAGATGCCAAGGTCTGCGAAGATGCAGATAGAGGCGTTCCGACGGTTGTGGCGGATGAGAATTTCGATACCAGTATTCGACTCAAGGCATTCCATGATATCACTGACAAGGTGGCTGAGAAAGTTGGTCTGCAATTACGGAAATAATTTATTTGTTCATTCATCGCTGCGTGAATTGGTTTCATTGTCTACTGTACGATTATGATTTTCGCCGGGAGGGGGGTATGTATATATAGTTGTTTAGTATATCTATAATGAGATATGTAATGAACAGAATGCGAGACATTGAAATAGTATACAGGAGTGTCTTGATGGATTAACATCTTTCTAGACAAGAAATGGGAAAGAAAGGCAAGAGAGAAAACGAAAGAACAATTAAGGTATCATGAATGATATGAATGATTAACAACAGATATTGCAACGACACATAGTGCTTCCTAACCCAATAGTGCTCCCCCGAAAAATAAATAAATAAGCAAGTGTCTAAATGCACCCAAATCTTACTGAGCAAACATTTCTATCTATCGCAGACAAAACCAGCACCCGAGAGAATGCAGAATATACCCAAAAAGCAACCAGCAAAAAGAAGTATGTGCAAAAAGAGTAGGTGGAAAAAAGAGACTGCAAAGTCTGGTGAATATCGACTGAACCAGCATAGATAGAACTTGCTTATTGGTATTAAAATACTTAATCAAGAAGTTGGATGATGGTCGGATTCAGAATCGGACGCTTGCCCAGAATCGCTAATGACCTCATCCTTTTCGGGCTCCTTCGAAGGATCTCGATCATGATTGTGCCTATTGACAAGGCGGTTCCACAGAAGTGTTCCGCCTTTTTTCCAAGTTGTTCGTTGAGGCATGATTCCGGGAACGGGTCTCCTCGCCACCAAGGCGGCAGGTGGAGGTGATTCACCTTCGAGAGTGTCATAACCGCGGACCAATTCGTCCAGTATCTCCTTTTCAACTCGACGCCTTGTTTTAGTGTATTTCTGGTCGAATGCTGCCTGTGCCGCTAGCCATTTCTTAACAAGTTTGGGGTTTAAGGTGCAGACTTTAGCGGGTGGTAGCTGTAAAATGGGTGAGACGGTCGAGTGGTCAAGAGGGAAGACACAGCAGTCTTGGTCGACTGTCTGACAGATCATGTAGTTGCGGAAAGGTGGGAGAGGATCTCCGGCCTTCCCGATGCGTTGGCCCTGACTACTGTGACGCTCATCAGGGGTGGTTGGATCGGGACCATTTCCTTCGCACTCGTCCAAGATATCGATGGGCAATTTCTGCGCCCTTGATAGCGTCCAGGCTCCAAATTGTGCAATGGCTTTGTACATGTGCTTTGCTGGGTGCGTCCAACTGAAAGTAGGGGCAGCATGGCAGAGACCTTCCCAGACTTGTAACTGTACATAGGTCGGGTTGTATTTATTCAGAATTTCTCGTGTTGGGTCATACACGTCGAGAATTGCGTCCTTCGGTGGGTAAGATGAAGGATTCGCAGCTTTGTGGGCTATGTAGATCTGCTCGTCACGTAGCATTTCGCCGCCACCGCAGAGAAAGAATAGAGGAGGCAAGCCGCCCAGAGACGGTTGCATGACCGGTGAAACGAGAGGATGCGTTAGCATACGGTTCGTCGCGTACATTTGTATTTGGCCTTTGACCTCGACCTGTTGACCATCGATGACGACGGATAGACTATCCTCCTTGGCCCTGACACTTGGAGCTTCTCCTAGGATGTCTGTCTCCGGATGGTTCTTGGAGGCCTCCCCTTTTTTAAGGGCATTTTGCCTGATAGTAAGCATTTCGTCTTCGCTGAGAGGAGGCCATGCTCTAGACGGTTTGTTTCTAAAACCCGTTGGAGGGAGGTAATCGAGGGCAGTGTTCTCGGCAACGCTAGGGAAGGAGTGCGTGAGATCTACCCACGCAGAGATCAGGATTCCTCCAGCAGGTAACGGCAACCCTCTGTCACGTAGGGTGCACAGCATCGACATTACCATGCCGCCTCCGGCCGAATCACCTGCCAAGATGATTTCACTGGACTTGTAAATGTCCAGGAGATATAGATAAGCGGCCAAACAGTCCTGAAGGCCACAAGGAAAGGGAAATTGCGGAGCCAGTCGATATTGCGGTGCAAAAACCTGCGCTTTAAGGGACCTAGCATGTCGTTCCAGCTGATACCGATGAGTATCCACGCTCCCGAAGAAGTATGCACCACCGTGCACGTAAAACATGACTCTGTTTCGTCCCTTTTCGCCATCTTGCAACCTCTCTTTTCGGTCTTTGCGCCATTCAATAAACTCGGCCCTGAGACTGCCCATCGGCCCGCGCCATTTCCACCATTCTTTCCCACCAATTAGTTCTATCCCCTTGGGACCTAGTTGATCAGTGACCATGTCGGCGGCAGATGATAAATATTTCTCTGGAACGAGAACGCTTTCTGAGAAGATCCATGACGGCACATGGACGGGTTTACTCGTGAAAGCCTGTATATCTTCGACAGTGAATTTGGAGGCATATCGCAAGAATTCACGGATGACATGCAAGGCTTTGTCATAAGAAAGACGCTTTGTGGGTTTTGCGCGACGGGATTTACGGTGTACATACTATAAATCAGACAGAGAGGTCAGTCAAAGGTACCCAGTCCATGAAGTACACTGGGCTCCGGGACAATAGGTAATAAAGAAGAGCAACCCACATGAGAGAAGCAGGTCGATACGACTACAGGGGTCAACGCTGCAAGGGTAGTGGCTGTATGCATGACTCGCCTGTAGACGGAAGAGTAATATATAGTAAAGAACGACGATCTATACGAATCTGCGCAAATGAAAACGCGATCTGGGACGATCAAGAGCGGAATCACGTGAGTTCCTGGAATCCTGACAGGCCGAAGAGCCTTTTTTAGACGCGGATATTCGATGCAAAAGGACGTGGCGCAAGGACTAGTGGACGAGAGGCATGAATACCAAGCCGCGCAGACAAGTCTAGGTTCCGTTGGCGTGAAGCTGGTTAAGGCTGAAGTATCCCTGCGTCTGAAAAGGACAAGAAAGCGATAACTATGGCTCAAGGAGGGTCAGATGGATGGATCCAGTGAAGATGAAGGCGAAGATAGAGAGAGAATAGGCAGCCTTACGGATCTGGAATGATATCACATCAACCCCTGGCAGGGCAATTCGGTTGATCGGGACTTAAACCAAGGATCCTCTTGGTATAATACTGTTTCTGGGTTCTTGCAGCACCATTTTCTCCTGCTTTGGTCAACCGGACCATGCATGGCCCAGATGGCAATGCTGGTGCCATTGGGAGAATCCCGGATGTTGCGAAAGCATGCAGTCTTGCGGTCTGTCTCTTCCTTCCTATTCCGGCATCCGGAAATGCCGGTACTATACCGCTTATTTAACCAATATGGCAGTTAGTTAACTAACAATCTTAATGACTTTTAATGAGTGTATTGAGTAGCTTTTTTTATTTTATTTATTTATTAATTTTTTTGAGCGCAGGAGCTCGGGGGTGGCAGCTAGCTAACTAAGTGTTGGAGAATAACTATGCTTGTCCATTGGGAATGCTACGTGGGCGACCTAAACGAGGGCGGTCTAAGCAGGCAGAACCCACTAAATCTGTTCAAGAAGACAGGAGAAGATGCTTAATGACTACCTAATCTACCTCTATCATATAGGTGCAGGGTTAGAAGCCATTGAGAACTCAACTTTAATGCCTGCAATAAAAACACAAGTTGGGGAATAGCTAAATAGCTAGCTTGATTCAAACGTCGGGTTCGTTGGACTCTTGGTTGACTCTGTTTCCCACCGTTGTTATCGAATTTGGAATAGAGATCCTCTGGCAACATTGCTCTTCCTTCTGCTGTAAAGACTGCTAACCGGTCACGCAGGTTATCGTATTTGACAGTAGCGGCGCTGCCATTTTCCCTCACCACTTTGATTATTTCCTTGATTACTGTGACCAGCTTTCTGAGATCCACTTGATATTCTTTTTTCCCATCTTTGAATTTCCAGGGTGAGATTTTCAACCAGTGGGTATTGAAATATACCACCTTTGTGGTAGGCTCGTACGAGATTTGGTGTTTGGGATACCCATAGCTGTGGGAGAACCTCTTCGATATGGATCGGTTTGTGAAAGACACACGTTTTAAGCTCAGGAGCCGATTCGATTGGTACCACTTTGCCGACTTCTTTGATAATCAACTTGAAATCGATGGGAACAGGGTAGGAGGGGCCAATATTTGAATCAAGAGACAAAGATTCTAGCATGCTAGATAAATCGTCATTTTCTGGCCCCTTGGCACGAGTCGATAGCTGCGAAGGGATATCAACGTACCCGTCTGTTTCATGACGCACGAGGAATTTCATGTCGCCGAATCTGTACGAGATGATTCGATGGTGTCCAGCACTACCGTCTAACTGGCTTGTCGTATATGCCTTCTCGAACGCGTGGCCAAAACCCCTGAAGTCGTGTGGCTCGAGAAACCTGACTGTCTCAGTCTCTGTGCGACTGAGTATGGCAGTATTTCTCGTCACTTCACCATTGATAGAAAATGGTTCAAGCCCACCTTTTTCCTAGGTTGGGATTAATGAACGACAGAAGCTCGCGAATATTGTTTCGATCAGTCACGAAATCCACTATATGGATATCGAACGAAGGGTCGGCGATATACAAGGCGCGAAAGAGGGGTTCCATGGGACTGTCCGGATGGCGAGCTGCATTTTGAGCCACGAAAATCAGGCCAGAGTCTTTTTCCAGCTTTTGAGGCTTCTTTGGAGGAGACCACAATGGTAGGCTACCGGGGTAAGCAATTGTTGGCGCCGAAACATCCATCCAGTTGTAAGAGGACAGATGCTTGACGTCAGTGATTGTTGCCGGAGCCGTCTCAGGACTCTTTGAGTCTGGACGGGAGACCTCTGCTAATTTGTGAGAACCATCGTGCGGGCTTAGAAGAGATATCTGCACAAATGTTTCCTGGATGTGGGGAATAAGGAATCATGAAAGGCCATAGCGACCATGTTAAGAGAACAGACACGTCGTGCCAAACCTTAAGCTTGCCAGGGTTCAAGCATACCATGGGCCAACTCGTGGATTAGCTGATATATGGCTCCAACAAGATGTTATTATTCTGCCTCTTTGATTTGCTTGAGTACTACTTGGAAGACAACGCATGCGTACATATGGAAAGGCAGTCTTTCCCGGGGGCCATCGGGCGCCTAGGGAACTGAGCACCAATAATGCATGTCACCCTACACCATAAGATAGCATGAAGGGTACAGTTTTGAAGACTAATTAGACCAGTTAAAAGACCAGAAGTCGGCATGTGTGTGCAGTTCACGTCTACTTCCAGCAGCTACGGAAAGTAACCAGCAGGGAAGTATCTAGCTAGCATGACAGCACGAAGCTCGAGAAAAGAACCATATTTGATGTACCATGAAATAAAACAGAAGGTTTTTACATATCTCAACAATTCCTACGTGTGCTAAGCCGATATATTAGATATTCTCTAATAAAGTATCTAGATTCGACCCCAACCCTGGCTATATAGGGTTGGCAAACCCTAGAGTTTCTCCCATCACGTGATGACCAAAATCGACGCTTGCGTGAGAGAAGCCGAGTTCTCCGTCCAGGGTATCTAACATCAACACCAACAACTTCTTCATCGTTACATTCCTCTACTTCAGCCCAGGCTAGCAGACCAAGCTTTCCGTGCTCTGTATTTTCGTACGGCCTCGTATGAGTGTTCAAACAAAACTCTCAAATGCGAAGATACTATCCTAGAAACTATCTAGCCTAACTGCACCATGTCAAACCCACCAACTACAATGAAAGCCTGGCTCTACTCCAGCACCTGGGGGGGCCTTGAGAAAAACCTCAATCTTGACCAATGTGCCCGTGTACCGCCACCGCTGCGGAAAGACCAGGTACTTACCCAGGTCATTTCCGCCTGTATAAACCCGGCCGACTACAAAGTACCCGAGATGGTACTAGTAGGCAAGTTGATTACCAGCATACCCGCGTCCCCAGGAATGGACTTCTGTGGCAGAGTTACGGCCGTTGGCGACGCTGTCTCCGAGTTTCACCCGGGTCAATTCGTCTACGGGTGTCTCGACATGCCCTCCCAATTTGGGTCACTCGGCGAGTATGTTGTGAGCAGAAAGGACCAGATAGCCCCGGTGCCCGCGGGGGTTGATCTTGATCAGATTGCAGCTGTGGGTATTGCTGGACAGACGGCGTACCAGTCTCTTGCGCCGTATGTCTCGGCGGGAGATAAGGTGTTTATCAATGCCGGCTCGGGGGGTTGCGGGATGTTCGCCATTCAAATAGCGAAGACACTTGGATGCCATGTTACGACTACCTGCTCCAAGAGGAACGTGCAGTTCTGCAAGGACCTGGGAGCGGATGAGGTGATTGACTATACATCCGAGGATGTTGTGAAAGCCCTTAAGAGTCATGGCCAAGTATACAGCCATGCTATTGATCATATCGGCTTTCCACGGAATCTGTACAGCGAATCCCATCATTATTTGCTCCCTGGGAAGACATTTGTCCAGGTTGGCGCGGATTGGATAGGGACTTTCGCTGGCAGATTGTTATGGCCCGGATTTCTTGGCGGGGGAAAGAGGAACTATAGCATCTTTTTCTATAAAAATACGCATGAACACCTTGTCCAGCTAGGGGAGTGGGTCCAACAAGGCAAAATCAAGGTGACTCTGGATAGTGTCTTTGAGTTTGAGGACGCGATCAAAGCTATTGAAAGACAGCGGTCGGGAAGGTCGCGAGGCAAGATTGTCGTTCATGTCTCCAAGAAACCTTGATCGTATATGTGGTTGGGAGCTATTTGATTTGAACTTGGGAAACAAATCTCTTTTCTAATTTTTGAAGTGCAATTCTGGATAATATACTTCTTTTGGTTTCCGGTTCACTGGGATGATGTTTTTCCCCACAGAAAAGTCAAGGCAGCGAGAGCCATTGCATCCACGCCAGTCCTAAGAGTGGGTTCGATGACTGGCGCAAAATATGGTGAGTGATTACTCGGTAACTTGTCCACCGTACCTTTAGCAACGGCATCATCCCATGTTTTGGCATCTGTGCCCCCGAAACCCCACATCACATATGGTGCTCCAACCTCTGTTGCAAGGAGAGAGAAGTCTTCACTAGCAGTCGCGGGTTCTGCCTCTACGAGATCCTCCTTGAAATAGGAACAAAAGGTAGCCCGGAGGATCTTCACCATGCCTTCGTCATTGACGGTGGCCGGGGCTGATGAGACCGTCTTGATAACTGGCTTCTCAACAGTTCCGGCAGCATCGCACTCCGCCTCAATGATCCGGTGGACAGCCGCTAGGACACGCTCACGGATGATCGGATTATAGGTTCGAATGCTCAGCTGGAGATCCAAATGGTCAGGTATGATATTCGCAGCATTCCCGGCATGGATACTACCGCAGGTGACGACAGCGAGCTGTCCCGGGGTAACTTCCCTGCTTACAATGCTCTGCAATCGAGTGACAATGGAAGCACCGATGAGAACAGGGTCGATGCACACATGAGGAGCAGAACCATGGCCTCCCTTTCCAAAGATTCGCACATCCAACGCATCCGACGCAGTGAGCATGGGTCCGGCACGAATCCCTACCGAGCCTGTCCTCATCTTCATGACGTGCTGCGCAAGTACGTAGTCTGGCTTGGGGACCTTTTCGTACAGACCATCGACGATCATAGCCTTGGCACCATCGAGATGTTCTTCAGCCGGCTGAAAAATGCAGACCAATGTCCCACTCCAGTGGCTGCGGGCGGAATGCAAGAGTGTCGCAGCCGCCGCAAGAGTGGTAACATGCGTATCATGCCCACAAGCATGCATTACGTGCTTTACCACACCATCACGGGCATCCTTTACCCTCTTCTTACTCGCATAAGGCAAACCCGTCTTCTCCTCCACAGGCAACCCATCCATATCAGCCCGTACAAGCACGGTAGGACCAGGCCCATTCCTCAAGACGCCTGCCACACCATATCCACCAATATGCGTGTGGACCTCGTAGCCTAGATCTGTGAGGAATTCCGCAGCAACCGCCGCAGTCTGCTCTTCCTGACCGGATAACTCGGGGGAGCTGTGCAAGCGACGATAAACATCTTCGAATGGTCTGAGATCCGGTCGGTACTTGTTCAGGATTTCCCCGTAAGCCATATCGGACGAACTTGACACTGTCCTGATGGTCAGCAACAGCCTATATTGTTTGGGGTGGGGATTTCTTACATTGCAGACGCATGGTGAATTCAACAACTGGCTCAACTAGGGTACAAACAATGGAACGTGGAACAAACTCCCCTTGTCCTGGAAGAATAATGGCGATAACAACAGCAATTGAGGGGAATCCCACGATAACGAGCGGCTCCCCCTTGGACGCGCAAATTAACTCTGCACCGTGCATCTGCCGAGACCGAATCAGAGCACTCCACAGCGTTTGATTATATCAAACATACAGAGAACTCAACCCTGACGGTATAAAAGCTGGGCAAGACTAGCTCGCAATATTGCTGATCCTTGTCTGGGAATTGCCGTTGATCTGAGATTACTTCCAGGGACATCCACCCATGGTCTGAGACAAGACACCCGGAAATGGACAATGCAGGTCCGCAGGCATCAAGACCAATGATGGAGACTAATGGAGACTCCCATTTCAGCATGTCCTATTCAGTGAATACAGAGTTCGGATGACCCTTGCTGCTATATTCACTGTAATAGTGGATCATAGGGGGTTCCCCATAAGGATGTCTGGTCGACTATGCTATATATATATGGCGACCTGATCTATGAAGTCTTCCTTCTCGTTTCCATTGTCATTCTAGATATTCAATCTCTGAAAAAGAACTCTTAAAAACACACAAGAGAACCTACACTCAGGACAGCCAGGTGGAACCCAAACCAAACAAGCAAACAAAATGAAGCTTTTCACTCTCGTCATCATAACGCTAACCACCATGGCCGCCTCTGTCGCTTCGGGACCCGTCGACCCTAGGACCCAGTCTTTCGCTGAGCGACGCAACCCGCTTCTCCAGGAACGCCACAATTTCTGTGGCCAGGCCTGCTGGGAAGACGCCGACTGTGATGGAAAGTGTTCGACGTGTGACATTAACAAGACTATGCTCTGCGTTGGTGAGTAGGATATTTTCCTTGGTCCTCTGGTCCTCTGGCTTCCTGTTTACAGTTTGGTTCTTGGGGTCTGTCCTAGACAACTGATATGTTGATAATATGGTCATATAGAACCGAAGAAGAAAGATAACAAGGCTGAACCGGGACTTGGAGAGTCATAAGATAATCGAAGCGCACTCGATATGCCTTAGGGGTTGAATGAATCATTCAGTCTGTTATTGATCCAGGGAGTAATCATTGTCAGTTTGCGAAAGTGGGATATGGCGTTTGGGAAATTGAATTATTTATAGGGTTGAATTTATGGATTATGGTATGCTATGGTGTCTGGTTCTTGTCAAAAGCTATGCTTCAACGGGATACCAGAATGGAGCACAATGAATGAACTAGGAGAAAGGTACTGGTTCTGGTTCTGTAAAAGTACAGTAGTACCTTGCAGAAGGTATATGTATACTCTTGTGGCTTGTATCTCTGAGCCAGATGGAATGCATCTATTAAACCTAGCACTATATTTCTACTATCAACCTACGTAGACTCATTTGTATTCATTGAATTTCATCTTTTATAACCATTTTAAAGTAGATACGGCTAGCTTCTCTAGCAGGAAGTGCCGTTAAATGATAATCCAGCTGACAAGCAGAAGTACGCGAAAGGATAGGACCGAGCTGCATGGAATGGTTGTACACCCTACTACACTACTCCATTGAAACAGCCCTGACTTAGAGAAATAGTTATACTTCAAATGTTCTGATCCTATTCCAGCATCACTTTCATTCCAATTCACTCATCCCCACCTGATGGACATGTGCATACCCTCAAACAATTCGCCTCTGCATTGCCGTCCAGTGTGGCCTGCACCGCAAATTAGTGCGTGGACACCACGAACACTCCAATCCAAACTGGACTAGCTCTGGCGTGGTCCATTATGCCTTAAAGAGGTCTGTTCCCGGGTGTTGGAGCACAGAGAGTGCACTATGTCAGGGCTGCACAACACACCAGACACCACCTTTAATGGCCCTAGCGAATTGCCATAGGACCAAATATCCCACGGCATAATTGCCTCTGAGCGTCTCAGCTGTAAGTAACTACGACTCTCAAAGTCGTATTAACTCTAGCATGTCCTTTCACAGACACGGAATAAGGTGTCTTGGAAGGGGGGATTAAGAAATACCGTGCTTGATGGGAACATCAGGTTCAGATTGACCAAAAGATGCCCAGGGCCACGCGACATCTTTAACAGCAGACTTTCTCGGCGTCCAGAAAAAGAAAAGCACCGAGGATGGCATCCCCATGAGGCCGTCGCCGATAAATCGACTTTGGGATGGATTGTTACGAATGCAAGAATCCAAGCCGTGAAGGTGACCCTGGGTAGCGAGGTGGGCGTTGCTGGATCTCGTGGTGATAATCGCGTTGATCCGTTCTGATGTAGATAGCAAGGACTTAGTTCGATTTATTCTTACTCGAGGTCATCATGATTTCTCGTACCTCTGGTTTCCCATCTGTCATACATAGCCCTCCATAACGAGGACAAGCTTAAGGGCCGCATCTCCTATGCTGGCAAGTCTCCTGTTACCATCACTATTGGTAACGCCCGCTGCTCGAAGCGCTTGGAGGAGCAAGGAGCGATTGCTGAATCGGAAGTTGATGGTCTCTTCGACAGCCTGAAGTGGTCGTGTTCGTGAGAGGGAATAGCAGCCATAGTCGAACAAAATGACTCCAATTCAGCGGAAATCAATCCAGTTATTGATGATATTGACGTTCAGAGATGCTAAGAGGATGAGAACAAGTGGAAACAGGAAGGGAGACATGATGAGTGAGGAGTAATGCTGATCATGTGGCTTGCCTGTACTCTGTCACGGTTGTCCTGGTATATAGCCTGGTATATAGGACGTTGCAACTTGGCCATTAAATCATATACAGCATATCCAACAGCCTTGCCGAGCGTATGTACTTTTTCCAGTACTTGTTTTCAGTCTGCTAATGAGGAAATTTAAACAAGATCGAAAGCTTGAGGCTGTTGAAGTGCAGGTGATGCTGCCAGATTGCCAGGCGTCAGCATCTTTTGATATATTTTCATGTATATCAAGATTGACTCAAGTAGTAGCATGTTACAGACCGCTGGTAGTATCATGGTGGTCCTTAGTCCAATACTTCACGCTTGCACTTTTCTCTATGTGTTCTTCATCATCAATACAGCGCCGAAATAGTCTACGTATGAAAGCAGAAGACTCAACAGAGCATTCATTTCAATTCTGTCATGTCCGGTCATTTTCACCTTTCATTCCATCCCACTTGATCCTTCCATCAAAGGGCTTGCTAAGTCCACCATGAAAGACAAGACAAAAGTCGAGTCAGGAATGCGCCCGTCCGTATCCCCACCATCTCCATCCTCCTTCAGAACAGTCACTGTGGAGCAGATTAATGTGCAGGCCGCGATATTGGCTTTCCTCATGTCGACCGTATCGTGCAGTATTCCTCAGAAATAGCCATCCAACTCCCGCAACGCCCATCCTCCCACGCCAGTCATCTCCATTTCGATCCGAGAAACACACAAATCATGTCCGTCCGTAAAACCGACCCCTTTCCTCCCCAGTCGTGACAGGGAAGAACCGAAGTTTGCGCGATACCAATCGTGGGAATTCACATTAAAGACAGTTCAACTCGATGTTGCAAACAGCATCAAACGGCACACCTCGAAGGTAAATTATTCGGCAAATGAGAAGTCAGCCCAGTTGAAACAGAGACCTGGGACTGGTTCGTCTGCGGGTAGCGACCACTATTAACATCGTTATTGTTGTTGTCGTTATTAATAGTATGGTTGACATTTTCATTGGTGTTATTCACGGCGCCATGATTGCTATGATTGGAACCATTGACATTGACATTGACATCAACCTGCAGATACTCATCCCGATCCTCCCTGGCAGTCACGATAGCCGCAGTAGGCACGACAAAGTCATGCGTGTAGTCGCAGTATTCACCCGCTGGAGTCTCGAAAGAAGTAGTAGCGGTAGTCGCGTTGCGAAGCTGCTCAATCTGGCCCATAGGTTCAAGCTGGGCGAGAGCAGAGGGGTCAAAAGGGGCAGGGACGTTGGCGAAGCGCTCTTCCATGGCCATGGAGATCTCGGGCAGGATGGTTAGGAGCGCGTGGAGGGCCTGGTCGAGCTTTTCAGGGGTGAGCTGGGTTGCTTTTAGGATTGCCGTGGTTTTGGGTTGGGTGGACATTTTGGTCTTGATGTCTGTGGTCTTTTTTGGATGGATTCTGATAATTCTTGAGAAGAGATGAGTTGTAGATGATGATAGTTTGGCCTTGTAGATGGATCAGAGAAGGTAGGAAGAGATGAGAAGAGACGAGAAGAGACGAGAAGAAGAGGATAGGAAGTGAGAGAAGAAGGCGTTTGTTGGCACCAAGTTCTCTGATATGGGAGAAGTTGGTTTCTATGGAGATGATCGAGAAGAAAAGGAAACAAAAGGATATCCGTCTCTTTCCCTTTTTCTTCTCGCTTTTCTTTTCCGTTTGTCCTTCTCTCCTTCTTTGTCACCCGTCCTCTGCTGCCTGCTAGAGTTCCCATCTTCACCGACTTCGAGTGAAGACACTGCTAGACGCGTACTCTACCCCTCACCGTCGAGTGGAGTGGGCTGGAACTGAGGCACCCATCCTCAGTAGATTTAATATGTGAATAAGAGGCCCAGAAGGGTCGACTTACGGATTGACGTGGAGCATTCCAGAGGAACCGCGTCTATCTATAGCCGTCTTTTCTCTTTGTATCCCATTTACTCTGGATGGCATGAAGCGAACTTGGACCTCACTGTGAACTATATTCTAACTAGGACATGGCATTCTCCAATAAAACGCAAATGCACCTCCAAGATAAGCTCAACGGGTGAATCATCCTGCATGCTTATTCCCGGTTTTGCGTGATGAGTCACCGCACCCTGCAGGACGCACTGGCCCAATGCATAACCTTGAGTGTCGGACGGACCTTGAATCGCTGCCAGGATCGGCAGGCCGCGGTGGACGTGTCTTTCTCTTTCCCATTTCTTCCCATAGGAGCCTTCCCTTGCGCAATTGGCTCCAGAATCAATGATGGGATAACACTGCTGACGAAATTGTATAACCAAGCCATACTAATCCATGCAGATCCGGAAGAAATGTGGTAAGAAGCACTGGTGTCCAGGTGCTGCCAAGAAGCTTAGTTCCTTGTTGGCAGTCTGGGACGGAAATGGGCCTTGTTCAGGTGAACCCCCCCCTCCTTTCCCAGCGCGTCATAGTAGCCCACCCAGCTACTGCGTATACCGATAATCGCGGGGAGAAGAAGAGTACTATCATGCGACCCTCAAAGCAGACGGCGGATGATGTTCCGTATTCGAAAAACCGTATAGTATATATATCCTTGCATACTGCAAACAGCCCTCAGCGGTGGTATTCGGTTGGTCGGTAAACGCGGGTGGACACGTATGTGCGCTCGACTCGCTCTACCGCATCCGAGTTGTACAAGGAGCCCCGAGTCCCTGTATAGACTGTGCGACGGCGTTTAAGGCTCCGTGGCTCCCTCTCGATCACCTGATGGTACTGCTCTGGCTCCGGTGAAGTGGACGGTCGAGAAGTCACAACATATAAGCGATCATGGCTGATGACGGGAGCAAGCCTCTGGTTCTTCTGGGGCAGACGCAAACCCCTCTCGATGGCAAGAAGGAGGCAACGGACCGCAATGCAGTCGCGGGGGATTTTGACTAGCATTAGCTGTCCCTGCTCACGGGCGATGACGGAGTGCGCCCTGCTGTTCTTGCTGTAGAGGTAACCGGCGACATCAATGGCATACTGCTGGCCACGGGCACAGAGGGAACGGCCCTTGCCAAGGGTCTGGAGGGGATCCGCGCATGTCTCGCAGTGCCCGGCATGACGCTCAAAGGCGTCCATGACATAGAGCTCGTCGTCATGGGGCTCGCGCACCAGCGCGACGGATTCGTGAATGTTGTTCACTAAAGCAGGCATAGTATAGGAGCGTCGGGGCCTTGCGGTCTCCCGGGAAGAGAACGGGGAGGTGTAGTAGGTAGTCGTGTCGAAAGGAAGACACGGTGGAAATAGGATATAGCACGACGATTTCGAGTCCAAGTCAATTGCAGAAGGAAGGAGGATCGGTCGTATAGAGTTTGAATTCCGTGGAGGGGAAAGAGGAAAAAGGACAGCAGCCTGGGGCCAGCCATGGGGATTATATAGGCATGGACGAAGACAACACTGCAGGTATAATTCGTGCTTCTGGAGGCCTCCACACACCCGAGAATTGAGATGCAGCCTGGGATCCTCATTTTCCCTTCCCCCCTGTCTTTGGGTTTCTGGAGTTTATTGTCTCTTCCTGTCGTGCAGATGCGCCAGCCAGTAACAGCCTGCCTGCACCGCCGCATGTGGCTTTCGAATAGAATATCCCCATCCCCTCCATTTTTCCTGCCTGCGCCGTTCCCAGACGGTGCCGTTTCTGGCTGGCCAAGCGTTGGATAGTGCATTTGCAGCGGTGTTGACTCATTGTGTTCATCCCGCGTTCCCTATTGCGGCTCTTCTGCCTAGAATCTCTCCGAGCCATGCCTTGAAAACATTCAATCCCTTGCTCGCCGATATGTTAGCAGCGCTTGTGCACCGTTCCGGGTGCAGTCGGCATGCGCAAAATACCCTGGCTCGTGATACCTGCAAATCGTCACGATGGTTGTTTCTTCCTTATTTGGAACTCTTGACGCTTTCCCTTTCTTACGTGCCGTAAGAAATAACGACGACAGAAATAATAATAGCAATGACTATTGAATCTTAATACCCCGTGTATACTTCGGACGCTTATCACTTGCCGCCGGTCGCATTGGCCAGGAACTGTTCAGAGTGCGCGCGGCACAGCCCCAGTGTAGGCGCAACCGTCCCGGCCATCATCACTTGCAGTTATTGGTGATATCATCAAGAGTGTCTGGACAGATTGACAGTTCCTAGAAAACAATGTTCTTGCTTTCCCTCAGGGTCCAAATCAGCCTCGCACCACCACGGCTATTGAAGTACAGACATCCACAAGTCGCTAGGATATGAGGATGACATGAAGTCACTCGCCAGAAGTCCGTAGTACAGTACTCTCTCTGTACTACTATTGTGGCTTGACTGTTACTCCATCTCCCGCTTGCGGAAGAGTCACTGTTGCTCTTCGTCCACCCAACCGCACACTAACCAGTGGCAACTTGACAGTCAGACAGAGAATCTATATCGGGTTGAAAGGAACAAGTCTTCGTCGGTGAAGGCTGCTCCTTCGATTGCCAAGGGACACTCCTGCATAGCCCATTGGAGTCGATTCTAGTCTGTGAGTGAGACCTCGACCTCCTTTTTGTCTGCCTGACGTTGGTACTACCCGGAATCCACGCATCTTCTTTTTCAAGAATTACAATGAAGCCCCCGAGTTCGTCCGATGGATGGTGTCACGAACTTTCGTCCTCAAAGGAGCGACAAGAAAAGAGGCTGCCTAGCATGACCCACTGCTGACGCTACGTCTCAGCTTGTAATTTGCAATGGCCGGCTGGCGGGCCTAGCTGGCTGAATTAGTTAGTGATGAGGCTCTTCCTCTCCCGCTGCATCTAAACTCTTTTTTTTTAATTCTGTTTACCTACCCTTCTTGGTTGTGTTATCTGGCATTTCCGAATGCCTGTGCTGGTTGTGAGGGGCCTCAAAAAAGTTTAGCCGCTGGGACTTGGCAAGGCCACCAATTTGCTGATCATTCCATCATATCCCTTGTTCTTTGATGGAGTGAAAAGTTTGTGGAATGGTGGGAATTGCAGCGTACCTGTACTTGATGGGATTTCAAAATGCCATAGTTTTAGCACGTCACTGTCTTTAGTCAAACCCAGCATGTAAATGTCTCTCTCCAAGAAGATCCCCAGATCAATGAGTAGAAGCCGCACTATTCCGTAGAAGGAAATTAATATCACGTGATACTATCGCGAACTTCATTCTCCGCAACGCCCGAACATTTCCATAAGAAAAGAATCCAATTGTCCCGTCCTGTCGCACTCCTTGTCCCAGATCGAATCAGTCAATTGCGGGTACGGTTCAATTCCGATTCTCATCCGCTCCCGCTGGCTGAATTCAATTCGATTCGATTTCTCCCGAGTCCGCCTGAGCTGGTGTCGGTTAACCCGATCCTCATCGCGATCTTACTCCGTTATTCAAAATGGCCAAGAAAGGTATGTCTCGATCCATATCTTTATCTATCTCGATCTACTATGGCAAAGACAATTGTCCAGCTTCCTATTTGGAGAGTTACCTCGAATCTATCTACGAACAGGTATGACTGACTCATTCTCCGCATAGCCAAGTCCCGTACCATTGCCGTTCGCCTCATCTCCATGGCCATGACCGGTTACTACAGAACAATGATCCGTCCTCGAACTCATCGCCCTCTCAGTATGCTTAAATATGATCCCGTCGTGAAGAAGAAGGTCCTATTTCTGGAGGCGACGAAGCGGGGGAAGGCTAAATGAACAACTCTCCTTGTCTTATCGCGGGCTATATTCTTACGTTGAATCATGGTTTTTGTGTTAATCGAGGGGCTTGGAAGGGATATAATACCATAAATCCTGCAGGGATTGTGTAGTATGATTTGCTCGAGTGTGGAATTGGGACCTCCACAGGATCAATCACTATGATTATGTATATTATCAGCAGCGTTGGCACTTTCTGGGCCTATATAGGTATGGTGTACTGGCCTTGCTGTCATCGCTAACTTGTACTTTCTGCATTTATGGCTGGCGTTTAGAGCTTAGAACCTATGTCAATTTGTCCTTCATGACCCCACTAACATATTCTGGTATAATAAACGAAAAGAAAAGCAGGAGTTTCTGCCAGCCCAGCAACATTTTCCTTCTTTATATCTCTTTTTTCAAGCCCCGATAGTGCTATTGTCCTTCCTAGACGCCTTTTAAATCAAATATCATATCAGTCCTTGACAGCGCGACTCGCGGTCTGGAAGATCAGATATCAATATCATAATTCGGTTTAAATCCATACCACCTTGGGGGAAAGACTTTTTTTTTCTTTTCTGCATTAGTGGGTTTCTTGAGTGAAGCGACCATTGTACCGTTCGCCTGCTAATTTCAGCACTCGCCTCCGTCTTTCTCAGAAGTAGTTGACAATCTTACCTCGAGACTTGCGTCCACGCCGTTGGCCTCTCACTATCCTCTTTTGACTAGAATAGTTCCCGGTCGTAGGGAGTCTGTTTGTCGAATCAGAACTTGCGGGACTTGTCCTTTGGTCAAAATATTCAGAAGCACTGGGAGTCTCTCGTGACTTCGAGCAAGATGCTGCTGATACTCTCGCCCTCTTAGTATTGCGATTACATGGACTCTCTGCAATAACTCTGTGATCTCCCTCGTCGAGAGCAGACCGATATTCATGCCTGCTATATGTGCGTTTGATTTGATGCCTTGCCCTCGCACCCCGAGTTTCAAGAGGCGTGTGAGTTCTAAACTTTCTACCGTCAGAGCGTTTTGGAGTTCCACCATGGTCTACACCAGTGTTTGCATTTGGTGCCTGGAAGGTGACCATCTTCTGTCTGGTTTTAGTCAGTTCGTCTTTGGAACCGGCCGCTCCTTCAGTTAGTGGTTCGGTTCCAGTAGAATCTGGATCTGGACATTGCATGCCATCAGTCAGTGTACAAGGTTCACGATTTGCAGAAGTCGACCACAAAATCTCCGTGAGCGTCTCTAAATCTTCATTTTGAGAACAGGTCTTTTTTGACGGCAGTCGCTTGTACATATCGCGAAATGGTACAATGTCCTTCGTGCCCTGCGTTTTCGGTGCCGGTTTGCTCGTTTTCTCAACAGCCACAGCTTGTGCAGGCGATTGGCGGCCTGGCGATGAGTAGGCTCCCGATGTGATGCTCTGAGTCCGATATATAAATTCAGTTCTCTGAAAAATGTGAGAGGGACTCATCGATTTCTGCAGTACCGGATCGGTAGAGTTGCCTTTGAGGGAATTAGGATCGAGAGGGCTAGGAAATCCAGTACTGGGTTGAGAGCTAGAAACTGGTCTCGGTGAGGGCTTACTAGTAGCCACCGTACGTAGCAGTGCTTCCAGTTTCTCCCATGTTTCTGAAAATGATTCTTTCGACGAAGGAATGCCAACTCTCTCTAGTGTACGCTTTATGCATTTCATCCAACGTTCTGACTCTTGCACCCTTCTCAGCAGCCCATGTATCTCAACTTTGGCTTTGACTTTACCAGTTTCGAGACTGGATTTTGCGGAATTAGCCGCAGATAGTTCCTTCTGTAGCAGCGAACATTCTTCTTCTTTCTTCCTAAGCTGCTCACGAAGTGATTCAACGGTTCTCTGTGGCTCTTCAGATGGGTCAGTGAGTTTCCTTTCATCTTTTAATATCTTAGTGCTGAGTTTCTCAATTCTTTCATTGGCTTGATCAAGTTTATCTTGAAACAAGATCTTTTGTTTTGAAATAGAATCCTCCAACGTTTTACATCGTATAATGTCCGTCTCCTGAGCCGCTAACCGCGCATATAATTCTGTCTGAGTATCCTTGAGGCATTGGATTTTGTTGTCTTTCTCAAGAATCTATTTGTTGTTAGCATCCATAAAGAGCAATAGCAAACTGAATTTACCAAAGACTGGTATTCATTACGCTTGTGCTTGATCCCAAGCTCACTTTCAGACTGTGTAGTATTAGTAGGGGGAGGAAGGAAGACCAGTTTTCAGAGAAGGTGGACATTACAAGCGACTTTTTGGCCTTTTCCAGCTGCTCCTTCACCTTCTCCATCTCATTTTCGATATCAGTCTTCTCCCTCATAATCTTATGGATTTGCTGTTCGAATTTGGCTTTTATCTGATCTCGCGCTATGACGCTTGCTCTATTCAGTTCCTCTCTGACTTTGGATTCAATGGACTGCAATTTTCCCTGCAGCTCAGACTTTTCAGTTGCTGCTTCGGCTATCTTGATCTCTGCATCCTGAGCTCGTGTCTTGACTTCAAGTAAGGCTTGTCTGATACTTTCATTTTCGACATCCTTGGCTTTCAGTCTCTGTTCCACCAATCTCAATTCACCGGATACCTCTTCGAGACGATGCTGAATTGCTGAATCCTCTATAGACTGGTTAAGTGTTTCAGGTGCCAATGATGAATCCTGCGTACGAAGTTGAACTTCGGATAGCTGTTTGGAAAATTCGTCAATCTGTCCGACAAGACCATCCTCCCTGGCTTCTGCCTTATTTATTAGGACCTCAAGTTCTCCAAATTTTGTCCGAATCGCGTCCAGCTTTTGGTGGAAACCGTCGCAAGTATTCTGCGTGGTGACAAGTTGTTTAAACAAAGCTGAATCAAGGTTTATACTCTCCTTAATAGCTTTGACTTCTTCCTTTAGATTAATGGACGCATCGACACTTATTTTGGTACTTTTAGCAACATCTTGTGTCATCTGCAGGGTAAATGAGTCAATGCTGATTGAAGGTTAGCTTTGCCTCCATCTCATCATATCTACCAAGTAGGCTTACCGTGTTAACAACAAAGAAATACTATTTGTAACTTGTTGGGTGTCCAGTTTTCCCGTTGAGCACTTCTCATTTAGATCCTTTGCCAACGGTAGTAGCTCATGCAAGACTGGGCCTAGCATTGATTGAATGGTGGTCTGAGAAGACTCTACACTTTTACCAATCGATTCGAAAGCATGGTCTAGCTTGCTTTGGAAGTTTCGTTGATCCTCCTGAATTAAACCAAGCTGCTTCGCTTGACTGCGGGAGCAATGTTGAATATAAGATTCCAAGACAGCCACTCGTCTTTTCTCATCGCAAAGCTGCTTTTTAGTTTGTACTGCTTTTTCTCCCGAGTTCACCAAGGCCTGCGTTAGTAAATTGACAATACGTTTTGATTCCGTCAGGTGTCCTTTATGGTCGGCAATGGATTGGGAAACTTTGGGTATTTCTTTTCTCACGTCTTCGATAGTGTTTAATATGTCTTGCTTTTCGTTATCCAGCGACACTTTCGCTTCTTTCAATTGGGAAGCTTCCTGGCGGAGGATATGATAGTCCTTGCCAAATTCACTGACGAAGCGTTTGAACTTGTTCAGCTTTGCCTTCCAGCGTTCTATTTGAATTTTGTAGCCCTTGATTTCAGAATTTCTTTCTTGCAGGCGACCAATGGACGACTCCAGTTGAGCTTTCAAAGTTCGGTTTTCCTCTTTTAGATCAAGGATATCAACCTCCATCTGCTGCTGTATATTAGCAGTAACAATCTCGTTCTCTTCTCGCTGTCTTATTCTGCTTATCAGAAGCTGAAATAGATCATCCTCAGAGAATTGAAAGCTATCATTCTCATTAGGAAAATTGGAAGACTTCCGAAATTCAGCGGCATTTCTACTGTTCTGCCTGCGACGGCACTTTGTAATCCTAAACTGTTCATTCGCAGGGCCAAGCCCTCGCGAAACGGAAAGATCCTCTGTTGTCGATGACCTAGTAGAACCTTCTGGGCGTCCAGGACAGTTGGCTTTGCGAGATTTTGTATTGCCGCGAAACAACGACACCTGACTCGTTTTGTATGTTTTCTCGTTCTTATCTCGATTGTCAGTGTCTGGAAAATCATAGATATCTGCCCTGAGTCGACTCTCAGAGGATAGCTTAATAAAGAATATACATACTTGAGAAGGTGGACTTGGTTGAAAGGAATTTACTACGAATATTTTAGCAATTTATTAAACTCACGGTAGGGTTTGCCTTACTGGAGCTGGCACTGTCTGGAAAACTGGGCTGCTTACTGGCGACAAGCTGTGACCCACAGTTTGCTGCTGAATTCTTCAGATCATTTCTCGTCATCTTTTCTGATGATAGATGCAACGTCTCGTATCTTGGAAACCTGTCGTTAGTTTCCAGTGCCAGATGATGATCTTCGAATTGGTTTTCAGGAAGTGAAGGAGCTCCCCTTCGAAGAGATTCTCAGAACTCAGTTCAAAATGTGATACGGAAACAGATGGTATTACCCTGTGTTATTCATATCTTGCTCAGTATTAGGGGATGCCACATTCTCATACAGGTTGTCAGTGGGAGTGCTATTTTGCGAAGTTTGTTTTGCAGAGGTTTGTTTAGCTGAAGCGAGAAAGGAGATATTCTTCCCATGTCGTAGAGGCTTCGTAAAAGAAAAGTCAGCCACGTTGATCCCAGAGCTTTTAGGCCTCTCCATAACCAACGGAGTTGTCGAGTATTTAGGACGCTCTGTGAAGCCGGATTCATTGCCTTTATTCATGACTGTTTTCAAAGTTGGGGAAACTGGTTCATCAGTGATTTCAGCCACACTCAGGAGTAGAAATTCCTCATTTTCATCCAGTTGTTGGAAGCCCGCATTTCCCTCAAGCTCCGGGAGAACGGATGCATGCCCAGGTAACGAAGGAAGGCACGCTTGACCGTCCATGGTTGTAGCCTATATAGATCCTGGCTATCTGTCAGCTCTGGAAAATGATAACTTGTAGCATGAGTGACTGGGCTTGAAATATAGGGGAGATATCCGGAGGCTTCTTACGCCAAGTCCCCTTCAGTGTGGGCTCGCACTGTAGCAGGATAGGAACATCACAATACCTTACATCATCGAAGCCCTGAGAGATCTAAGTGAGAAGAACTTGATGGTTAGACGTGATTGAGTAGATGAAGAAGATGAAGTATGGTCCACGGTAGATGGAGGGGGAAGTTTAGAAGAAGGAAGAACGCATTGAGAGTGTGGCCCCGTGACTGAGAAGGAGCTACCTCGAATGTTCATTCTGGATAGCAACCTCACTCTGCTTTAGACACCATCTCAAAGTACCCATAATGAAGTACTCACCGACTCTCATGGACTCTACAGTCTCTCAGAATCTATGCGAATGAGCAAGCAGTCTCCGAGGAAAGTTTTAATACTATTCTAATGTTGTTTGTGGTATGGTTGTTTACAAAACAATTCTCATACCCAATCCGCAAGGCTGATTGCTGACAGGAAAGGCCTAGTTATATTCTTGCCCTTCAAGTCTAATTCTGTTGCTCAAATGCCCATCTATCCATGTGTTTTGGGACTTTTACGGGGAACGTTTGAAACAGCTGTGCTGAACGGCAGGCCAAACTTCAACATCTCCCACCCATCATGAATTACAATGGCCTTCGCCAAGAGGATAGGCGTGCTGTGTCTTGTGAATTTCTTCAGATTCTGCATGATATGATATGTGATAAACTCGCCTGATTATTCTTATTGGGCTCGGTTGCCGATTGCCCTTACAGCATGCTGCCATCACGTCGCCCGGCGCTTAATCACTACATAATTCCTGCAGATGATTTGCCATCTGCTTCCTGTTTTTAAACTTAAAACTCCTGCATATCGACTGTTCTTGGAGACTCGACAAGTTTCTTCTGCCAAGATGTTTGAATCACAGATCTCAAATCAATCACACTCTGGGTAATGCATCTGGAAATCTTTTCTTGTGCATGGAGCCCCATTAACTGCTCCCTTATATCCATTGCCAATTCTCCCCCGAGATTAATTCCATTTTCATTTCTCTGATGTAGAAGGCTTCATTAATAGAATCTCAAAGCATTCAACGATTCTTCTGTATTTAGAAGGTATTTCCACCGAAATGAATATTCGCGCCAGTGCCTACCATCGTCCCTTGAACCTCGCTATTTATTACTACGCCGTCGTGGGCATTTTACCAGCACAATCCAATTGCCAGAGTACTCCTGAAGACATTGAAGCTGCGAACGATGCTGGCGCATCAGGGTCCTCCCCTGGGGACGTTGGAATTTCCACAACGGGCATCATAATATTGGGCACAGTAGCCGGAATTGTTGTGGTCATCGGGAGTTCGTCTTCCCAGCATCCCTGATCTAGGCAATACAACGGCCATAATATCCTGCCACAGCTTGCTAACCGTCTTCTGTTACAAATAGTCATCTCGACAGTCCTGTTCTATATTGCAAAAAGACAACAATGGGCCATCCGTGAGAAAATGCGCCGCTCCGCCAAACGCGTATCTCAGGCCGTCATGACACCCTTGACGCCAAGATTTCCCCAATCCCAGAAGCCATCAGATACAATACATTTGCAAAGCATCAGATATTCCACCAGGGAGACACCGGGACGGACTATACCCAAGCGTGGAAGGCTGTTCGATCTGGAGAAAGGGTCCATTACAAAGCTTTCAAGGCTCAGTATTGTCCAGGAGGACTTATCTGACAACACATCCATGCAGCAGTCGAATAAACGAACGTGGGGGTCGTTCATGTCATTTGGGCGGATTTAGATTCAAATTTGTAGGGTTTTGACGTGGTCTGCTCTATCGAAGGTGTATTTTCGGATTACTTTACTGAAAATTCCGAATTGGAGGCGCTTTATTACCTTGTGTATTGTTAATGCGTATCTCTTCCGCCGTGTTGACTTCATGGTATGCTGAATTCCCATGGGTTTCATCTAGGGCTTAGTTAGGGTTCGATGCTTAGTCATGTCCTTTCTTGCCCTAACTAGTTAACCAACGGCCTCTCTTGTTTCCACAGCATCTTCAGGTCTAGACCAGTTTGTGATAGAGCCTTCGGAAACTAGTCTTGCAACCTGAGGGTCCTGGTGGTCCCTTTGCAACCAACGTTACTGGTCAGGAATGCATAATAAGTTTAAGCAAACATTGGCATATGTGGGGATGACATTCCCAGACGTTCAGGACAGACGAATTAGTCTTCCTACCGGTTTTCAGGCTAAGGTCGAAATCATGGAATTCGGAACAAGTATCCACCAATCGCGCTGTCTATAGGACTTTGGTAAGGCTCAGAAACGGCGGGTTCAATAAGACAGCCGGAAGAGAATCCCGGAGCACAGAACCAGGTTGCCGGGCGAGGGACACTAGCATTTAAGCTTCCGTACCGGATCTTGCTCTTCATTTTTTAAGTGCGGTTAATCAGGACGCTGGGAATGGCGTGAACGTAATATAGGGCGGGCTACTGTTACATCACGCTGGCAACTGACGTTATGGGTCATAGGGAAATTCGATGGTATGGTGCAGAGAATCAGTGCAGCTCTCGGCTGGGTGATGCTGGGAGGAAAGGATGCGGTTATAACAAGCATCCAGCTCCAGGCCTGTTCCAATACAAAGAAGGTTCAGGAGAAGGATAAACTTCTCCGGTTCATCCGCAGAGATCGACATTCAGTGAAGTTTAGCAGAACAGGGCATCTAGAACAGCCTAAGACAGGAGCTAGACCTGGCTCACTGACGGAAGCTTAACTGCCATTCTCAACAGTTACCATTGGACATCATAGAAATGTCGGATATGAGTACCTGCGAGTTATCACAGTATCATAATCTTCTCATAGGGTGCCAAACTGGGATTCTTTCCTTGACAAACGGCAATGGAACTGGAACAGCTCTCAGGTTTGGAATAGGTGACCTGCAACGAAAAGATCAGGAGTCATCCATTTGCCTCCACATAGTTCACATTCGAGTCAGCGTAGATATTCGCCTGCCTCTTTCGGCCTTATTTTCATGTCCTAGGAGAAGGGCTGGATCCCGCAAAACCATGGAACTCTTGCCTGTTCCCCAGTGGAAAGGTGGCAGGCTTGCGCAAGCTGTTTCGGCGGTTGTCCCCTGGCGAAACGGACGCAGCAACCGACCACAAATCTAGCTTGAGTAGTTTAATTGCGCTATTGATCAATCAGAGACAATCCTTTCGGGTTCATCGATGGATGGCCGGGAGATTTCCTGTGGGCGGCGAGACAAGGGAACTGTGAGGCTCTCAGCGCTGTCCTCGCGGGGAACACGCCACTGCTATTGCTTCCTTCTTTGCATTTCTTGGTTGTCTTCAGCAATCTCTTGTCGTTTTCCTTTTCAGAGCATAGATTGCCCCTTTTTTTTTTTTTTTTTTTTTTTTTTGTTTTTGTTCTTGCCGGCATCATCTCCGCCGTTCGTATCAATCTGTCGTTCATGCCAAACTATACGGCCAAGCCCGGCCTCTAGATCCCTACAGCAGCTTACGGGTCTCGTTATTAGACTTCATCTTCTCGGTTTATCATTCGGTTTGATCTGTCTATTTATTCACTCTTATTGATGCCAAAAGACGCGGGTTCAAAACGACTCCTGGGAAAGCGAGTTCCTCTCCTTCTACCACGCTGCGTATCCGGTCGTTATTCGAATAGAACATCCAGTCGATTCAAACCCGGCAGTGTTCCTCCTGCTCAATGTCATATTTTCCTGATACGAATAACGATGGGAACTACACCGGCTTCTCCAGGAATCTACACTTGCAACATGACCAAGAACCACCGGCAAATGAGGTAGTGCCTATTCGAAGACAGCTCTCCATCTCCGAGTCGATGCACATCCTCGTGGGTACGGGACGTAAATTATCAGATCTTCCGAGTCCACTTTCACCAGAACTGAAACTACCTCAATTAAGCCCAGACACGACAGAAAGAGTCTTCCCCATTCGCTCTGTGGTCTCCCTCGATTCACCTGCGTCTTCCTCGGCCCCACAGTCTCCCTCAGCAGAGAGAGCAGCAAGTGGTCTGGGAGGAGAATACTGGGGTTGTCAGTTGACCGATAGCAAAGTATGGAGCAAGATTCCCGCGCCATTAGGAGGCGCAAATCCCATGTGCTTGCCTGAAGGGCTCGACATAACGATGCAGCAAGCAGGACGGACGGAAAATCCAGAGAATGAACGGACAGTGTTTCGAAGGAGGATGTCAAAATATGGCCTCAAGTTGTCCGGCATTACGCCGGTTGGGCCCCCCAGCGAGCAAGGATCGACTGGTACAACGAGCCCCGGGGACACCTTGGATCAACCGACATATACGCAAACTCTGCTGGCAGTCTCTGGAAGCAAAGAAGTCCAAGCCTTTGGAGCATTGGTCGTGCTGCGCGAATCGGCAGGCAAGGCACACGTCCGAATCGTGAGCAAGAACTCGGAAGAGATACTAGCATACGCCCCCGGAGAGCTGTTCCGTCTCGGCTCTTGGTGTGACATTCTACAGGAACAGCAAAGAGTCGATTTCCTGGAGCACTTGAGACATGTCAGAGACGATCGCCATGACATTGAGCAAACCGGACCCGATATCCTACACATAACTATAGTAGCACCGGATGGGACTGCGAAAGACTTTTGGTGCACAATGCATGCTACAGATGAGGACATAATATGCGAACTCGAGCCCCTGAAAAACGAGCCCAAAAACGACAAGGCTATGGGGAGAGACTCAGATGGCCAAGAAACCGCCGCGACAGCGACGCTGAGCAGATTCCAGCAGTACCAGACACAGATTGCATGTACCACAGAGGCGTTCAACTCAATGTCACGAATCGTACAGATGACCGCCGCTACACGCAGTGTAAACGAGTTAGTCGATCGTGCTGCCGACCTTGTGAGACACATTACCGGCTTCGATCGGGTTGTTGTCCATCAATTTGACGAAGACTGGAATAACGTCGCCGTGGCCGAGTCGATGGAGCCCGGCGTCGGGCAGGATATAGGCTCCTACAAAGGCGTGCATTTTCTCTCGTCGGCGGCTTTTTCAGAACAGATGCAAGATCTATATTCCAGAAACAAAGTGCACTTTTCGTATAGTCAGAACAGCTCGGGGGTCAGCCTGGCATACCGGACACCTGAAGATCAGAACGTACCGTTGGACATGACCTACTCCTCTCTGTGGACAGCGTCTCCAGCTGTGAGATATCCGGTTGAAATGCCGGTTCACCACACGATGTCCATCAGTATTACCGTATTCGGAAAGCTATGGGGACTGATATTCTGCCAGTCTCATGATGAACATACAAGAATTCCGCCCTTGATGCGGAAAATCTGCTGGTTTGTCAGTGATACAGTGTCAAGAAATCTTGAACGACTAGCATGTACGTCGTCCTTGCAAATGCAGAGTCTGACGAGCAATTGCACCGCAGACGGCACGCGGAATCCTGCATCTCCATATAGAGACATCCTCGGTCTCTTTGGGGCTAACTATGCTGCTTCTTCAATCTCCGGGGAAACCCAGATTCTGGGGAAACCGTCAGATATACAGGAGGTCCTGGCCTTGGTAGAATACTTGAGACTGAGGCAGGATTCGACGGTTCTATGGTCAATAGACATAGGCAGGGACTTTCCAGAGCTCAACTACCCACCCGGCTTCAAATGTATATCCGGTCTGCTCTACATACCCTTGCCCTCGGCCGATGGAGATTTTATTGTTTTCTTCAGAAACTGTCAGTGGAAGGAAGTTTCTTGGGCTGTGGCTTCTTCCAACGCAACCCACAGAATGGAGGAGGGCAGACCAGAACTAGCGGTGCAGAAAGAAGCCATGATGTGCAGACCGGATGGATGGTCAGCAACAGACCTGCAAAATGCCTCGATCCTGTCTCTCGTGTACAAGTCGTTTACGGAGATATGGCAGCAAAGAGAAGCAGCCATGCAAGGGACCCAGCTCATGAAATTGCTCCTTGCGAACTGTGCCCATGAATTCCGGACACCGTTGAACGCGATTATCAACTACTTGGAAATCGCACTGGACGCGTCATTGAGCCAGGAAACTCGGGAAAACCTCTCCAGGTCACATTCGGCGTCGAAATCACTCGTCTATATAATCAATGATCTGCTAGATCTCACCAACGCAGAAAACGGGCAGGACCTGATCAAAGATGAAGTCTTCGATCTTTCGGAGACGATACGAGAAGCGACGGAGATCTTTGGCGAAGAAGCCAAACAGAAGTACATCGACCTTCTCATCGTCCAACATTCAAAACTCCCTCCGGTCCTGGGGGACCAACGACGCGTACGCCAGGTGATCATGAATCTGATCAGCAATGGCGTACAACACACGTCGTCCGGAGCGGTTACGGTCGAGTCCTCCATCTTGTCTGAGCAAGATGACAGGGAACATATCGTCGTGGAAGTGGCGATTCACGACACTGGGTCCGGAATGTCACCGGAGACAGTCGAAGCACTCTTCTGCGAACTGGAACAGGTCTCCAATAAGGACTACCTCCAGAGCTCTCATCTACCGCGTAGTGATACGGCAAGCGGGACAGAATCTAAGAATATTCTTGGTCTGGGGCTGGCACTGGTCGCTCGCATTGTCCGCAACATGAATGGACAGCTTAGTGTGAAATCGGAAGAAGGCAAGGGCAGCTGCTTTAAGATCAGGCTCAGATTTCCGTTGCCAACGGATGGGATACACAGCCCGTCTACTCAGGATTCCAGTCTTCCTGAAGTGATCTCCATTTCAGACGCCATGCCTGGCGGGACCGATGAGGCAAAGGGCCATGTAAATATGTGCGAGGATACGGGTAAACCGAATGATACAACGCAGCCGATATTTCAAGATGGACAGGGCGGTTTTACTTCCACTGTCACTGCGGATACGAAAAGAATCACATTGGACACAACGCCTCAGCCTGATGGGTTGGGAACAGATGAATCATGGGGAAGACTGCCTCCCGCATCGCGGACACAACAGGAGGACTCCAGGGAGACGAAGCTAGAAGTACACGGACAGCAAACCAAACCAGCGAGGGAAGAGTCTAAGCCCGAAACCAGCACCAGCCTGCATGTTCTCGTTGCCGAGGATGACCCGATAAACAGCAAAATCCTGCGAAAACGACTCGAGAAGTTTGGGCACACGGTCTACATGACAGGGAATGGCAAAGAATGCGCATCTGTATACCAGAAGGATCCCGGGTCTTTTGATGCCGTTTTAATGGATATCCAGGTAAGCCATGATGCCTCTAACAATAAATCCAAATGCCAGATTCCCAGGAAAAGAACAGTCTACTGACCGGAAATAAACAAAAAGATGCCCATAGTCGACGGTGTAGGCTCGACAAAACTCATCCGTGACTCGGAACAATCCACTTCCTCGAATAACAGCAGCAGCATCAAGGGTGAACAAAAACAGATCATCGTCGGGAATGATTCGGGCAGAAACAACCCAAGTCAAAACCGCATCCCCATCTTCGCCGTCTCAGCCTCACTAATGGAGAAAGACCGTCAGTCGTACATCGATTCCGGGTTCGACGGGTGGATCATGAAACCCATCGATTTCCATCGAGTGAATTATCTGTTGAACAGCGTTTCGGAAGATGAAATGAGGAATAGCAGTGTTTATGAGCCGGGGATGTGGGAGAAGGGGGGTTGGTTTGAGAGGAAGCCTACGTAGAGAAGAGTAGAACGAGTGGGAGAGAGAGGTATAAATCTATACCCTGATATTTTCATGAAACTGAACTGTGAATGAAATATGATCTCTCTCTTATGTCCTTTTCTCCGCACCAGCTCTTCTGATCCCGGATAGCAGTCGTGTCCACGATGAATATCGATTACCCCGGGGGGCTGTTAAAAAACATGCCATAATCCCGTGTAGCAGTGGACATCTTGCGAACATCCACATAAACGTTCCATCAAGGCAGCTGCTAGGGCCTTCCCTATCGGAGATGTCAAATTGAGTGTATATGTTTCCGGTATTATGAGAAACTAGCTGGTAAATTAAAGAATTGGACACTGCTATTTGCTGTGGATTGACTGGAGTAAATAACTATTAGGGCTAAGGTGAATAGCCCCAACAGGCTGCCATACCCCCCCTTCTCTCTATAGCCTGGATAGTCCTCAATCTGAAAGCATGCACTAACAGTGTCCGCGTAGGCATTTCTAGCCAGTTCAACATCCGGCTCAGCAAGTTGACTCGGACTACCATTCCAGAACAGCTGGCTCCAGATGGTATTGCTTCCTTCTAATTGGGTATTATCATCAGGCTGTGTATCGTCCACGCTCAGGCCGTCATCTCCATTATCATTTTCAGAACCAGACTCTTCAGTCCGCGGGGGAGGCAGAGACCGACCCTTCTCGCTAAAACAAGATTTGATATCGCCGAATAAACCCTAACCAAGCATCTCTGACGTTTCAGCAAACGTTCGTGCCGACGGTTCACGAGTTTGCTGCAGGCTTCACGAAGGCTCCGCACTATCCCGACACTCCATTTCGCCAATTCGTCGGGAGACTGGAAGCACTCCAGCAGCTGATATGCTCTGAGAAGAGTCTCACCCAGTGGAAACAAGCGTTCCAGATCTGCGAAAAAGCCCGTACCCAGGACGAGGGCGGAGACGAAGACGGAATTCATGACAAAGGGGAGCCGCTTTGGAATCTCATCTGCGCGCAGCAGGCCCTGTAGCAGATTAATGTTGAGGACAGCGGAGTTCACCGAGGCATGCGCCAGGAGAGTACCATCCTCAGTAGCTGAGGTTGAGGTTAAAGTTAAGACTGTGGTTAGAGAAGGGACACGGTCAGCGGTGGTGATGTGTTTCTGGACAAGATCCATCAGATGCGGCCGGGTAACCAGCATGATAGTCTAGTAATACGCCTCTTTGAGCGTGACACAGACCGATATTGGGACTTTTAGGTCTACGCTCTCCGCCAAAATATTCCTCACAGGGGATGCGATCAACGCGAAGACCCTCGTGGAAATGGGCGGCCCATTCCCGGTGATGCTTGCTGACGTGCTGTAACACTCTCGGATCCACGTTCTGCTTGGAGTATATCTCAGACAGGATCTTCTCAAAGATGTAGCAGAGATCTGTGGAGACAGAGTACTCTTTCTGGGACAGCGTGTCGCGCGTTTCGGTGGTGGAAGATTGTTGTCCCAGGGACGTTCTCAGGAAAAGATCCAGCACACGCAAGACCTTCCAGACCCGTTTGCGATCAGAGTTCTCTGCGGTGAGAATAGGGATGAAAAGTTAGCCCGATGGATGCCCAGGAAGTATGCAGTGCAAATGGCCACGCCAGATGCATGCTGGCCGCGTTCGCCACTGGCCAATTCACCGGCATGGCGGGCTTTTCATCGACGAGGTCTTGCTCGACAGGCTCATCTGTAAAAGGACAGGATCCCAGCGCCTGATAGACAATCTGTCGAAGGCCCTGCAGGAATGACATGTTGGTGGAGGTCCCGAGGAAGACATACTCTCCATGGCGGTTACGAATCAACCGGGGAGCGAGGGATACTCTAGACCCTAGCCGGATTCATTTGAAAAGGTTTGCAGTTTCTTGACAATCATCTGGAAATCTGTGAGCACCGGCTGTATTGTTGTTGTTGCTGGTGCTGGTGCTGCTGGCCCCGTCACTCGCGTGGGAGTGGGAGCCCTTCTTCCCCTGTGGCTGCCAGGGGATCCTAGACATGAAGAACGCCGTGGAGAAGCATAAGCAGGGCAGATATAGAGACTCGTACAGAGGGAGGAGTGAAAGAGATGCACTGCGTCAACGAGGCAGTTTGTGGAGACAGCCGGACGCGGGGTAAATCCGGGGTAAATCCGGGGTAATCGTCAGTGTCTTGAGTCGGCATACAACGACCGTCGTGCAGAGGAGTGTCACTATTCTTGCAGCATAGCGTCTATTATTTCTCTTAATTACAGAGCCGACAACAGTCTGGTTTCATCCATGGCTCCGTTTCCCCTTCAGGCATTGGACAAGTCCATGGACGAGGACGAAATGGGGAGAAAGGACAACGGCTGGGATTAGGGCTTGGTCCTGACGATCAATCACTCCCGATTTCGATCCAGGCATTGGATAGGGGGTATCATAGCTGATTCCGAAGTTGTCGGCTACCGGCTTTCACTCTTCTGTTGAGTGTTATGTTGATTCTGCGGGGGAATCCTGGGGTACAACGGGCTCCCCGCAATGATATCCGATGGGCTTGGAGAGTCCTGATCAGCGATAAATAGGCATTGCCTGTTCGTACAGATCAGCAAAACATAAACTATGTTCCTTTGCTCTCCATTGGACTAAACTATCCCTACCGTTATTGTCTGGGATGGCTTCACCTAGAACAACCCATACCGATGTGCTCGTCGTCGGCGCTGGACCTGCGGGTCTGATGCTGGCTAACTGGCTGAGTCGCTGCGGCATCAAGACTCGCATTGTCGACAAGCGTGGTACCAAGGTACATACTATACCATGTCTACATCTATTTATCCCAACAGCGACAGTCCGGTTCTCTCTAACAAAGACGATAGGTCTTCATCGGCCAAGCAGACGGCCTACAATGCCGCACCCTAGAAATCTTCGACTCATTCGGCTTTGCCCGCCGCGCCTGGCGCGAATCAAACCACATGCTCGAGATATGTTTCTGAAATCCCGACGAGAACGGCACGATTCGACGCTCGGGGAGGATCCCGGATACTATTCCGGGTACCAGTCGGTTTCAGCAGGTCGTGCTGCATCAGGGGCGGATTGAGCGGTTTTTTCTAGATTCCATCAAGGAGCACAGCGGCGATGATATTACCGTTGAGCGGAGCGTGTTGCCTACGTCCTTTGATTTTGACGGTAGCAAAGCGGATGACTTTAGTGATTACCCTATTACTGTTACGCTGCGTACACTGTCTGAAGAAGAGGCCGCGCCTCAACAGCGGAGTCAGCATCTGAAGGCAGCCGGTGGCGAGAAAGCAGTCGTCAGCGATGGGTTGTTCCGAAGTAATCTCGCCGCAGACGACACAGATGATCTCTTTCAGACTGCAACTTCCAGCAACCGTACAGGTCAGGTTGAGACCGTCAAGGCCAAGTTCATGGTAGGCCCGGATTGGATAGCGTGCTGGTGACCATTTCTCGCTGCATGAGCGCGTCTTTTTGGCTGGGGATGCGGTCCATACGCACTCACCCAAGGCTGGACAGGGGATGAACGTGAGCATGCAGGACAGTAAGTGTTCTTCAGGTTCTTCCTCCTTCGGCATTATGCTTACGGTGAAGCAGCTTATAACCTGGGCTGGAAGCTCGCACACGTTGTAAAAGGATACAGCAATGGATCGATTCTCAAGACTTACCAGTCCGAGCGGAGACGAACCGCTCAAGATCTGATCGCATTCGATCATCGCTTCTCACGACTCTTCTCAGGCCGTCCTGCCAAGGACGTCATGGATGAAGAGGGTGTCAGCATGGAAGAATTCCAGAGGGCGTTTGAAAAAGGCAATGAGTTTGCAAGTGGGATCGGTAAGTCTAGCCACTGTTAGCCTCTGATTCCTATTCCTGGATACTCTTTACTGACCTTGATGCCAATTCCGCAGCGGTCAACTACGGCGCCAGTGTGATTATCGCCAAAGAAGGTGATCCCAAGGAACAAGGCGACGGCACAGACGTGGCAGGAAACTTGAAGCAACATCGAAGCACCAGCAAGCTACATCTAGCAGCATCCATCGACATTGGCAAACGCATGCCTAGTTTCAAAGTCCTGTATCCGTCTCTACACGACAGCGGACCAGCCAGTCGACAGCCTGATAGAGGTGCTGACGGTTCATGCCGGGCCGCGGGCGAGTCTTGAGCTGCTTGATCTGCCGGAGGCGTTTCATCCCTTCGACAGGAAGACGGGGTGGGATTATTGGAAGGTATTTGCTGACGATCAGTCGTACCATGAGGGACATGGGCAGGCGTATGCGAACTACGGCATCGATCCGAGTCGCGGTGCTAGTGTTATTGTTCGGCCGGATCAGTATGTGAGCTGGGTGGGGGAAATGGATGACTATGAAGAGATGGCAAGGTTCTTCTCTGGCTTCATGAAGCCACAAAAGCCAGGGACAATTGCGACTGTTCAGCTGTGATGAAGTCGCTAGTCTATGTCGATCTCAGCCAGTACACGATCCATAGAGATAGAAAGTTGATTGAATTATGTATGATACATTATACCTAAAAATATGCCATGAACATGGACATGTGAAAAAAAAAAAAAAGCTCTAATTCAAACATATGCATACATATATGCATGGTTCATCACTCGTAGATCCCCAAAACATCAATAATACTCAGGCAGAGACCCAAAATCAGGAACAGGATCCCCACACTTAAAGTCCCTCCGGTAAGCCTTAGCAGGCATAAACCCGTTCTTCCACGCAGTCTTGTAACTCCACTGCGCCGCCGACTCTGTCTGCCAGGTCCAGTAGAACCAGCCCTGGGCGGTTTCGAAGACGGACATCTGCGCCTCCGCGTATGTGAGAAGCCATTTCTTATAGTCGTCTGAGTAGGTGGACGGGTCGGCGTTCGCGTTTGTACAGCTGCATCGTCCGCCGAATTTCGAGTTTGCTACGGGGCAGTAGGGGGTCGTGTTGCTTAGGGTTCCCTCCCAGCGGGTTCCTTTGCCGACATCGTTGAGGTACTCGGTGCAGTCCGTGTCTGCTTGGGACCATTCGCCGCACATCGTGGGGCCCCATCTAGGTAGATCTTGATTAGTCGATTCATGACATACATAGGGAGGGGAATAACATACCCAGATGTCGTAGTGTTGATCTCCTGGATCATAGGATACCAGGCATTACATATTAACTCGATCTTGGCCGTATGGTTCAAAACAATCTCACCCGTGTTGAAAATGGTGTACTGGTGCGTATCCAACATCATATTCGGCGGCGCATCCTTCAGCATGCTATCCCATTTGTTCAAGGGGAGAAAACCATCATGAAACGCAATCCTGGCCGTGATACCATTCTTTTGCACTAGCTCCGCGACCTGTGTGGTCCAGTTGAGAACGGGCTCGACGGGCAGCGCGAGCATAAGCGGTTCGTTAACCAGTCCGTAGATGGTGATGACATTTTTGTATCGATCCTGGGCGAAGAACTTGGAGAGTTGGTCATGGATCTCCAAGGACCGCTGTCGATTCAGATCGCCGTCCGTACCATTCAACCAACCTATACGACCCTGGTGACCGCTGTGGTTCCATCCGTTCTGGCTTCCCGGAATGCCGTGGAGGTCTAATTTCACTCGAAGCCCGTACTTCCTGCAGTACTCGATAGCTCGAAGAAGATACCTCCACGAAGTCTTAGCCACGTAGGGATCGCCATCATAGGTCTTGACCGCCCAGTAGGAGTACTGTATACGCACATGGTCGAGGCCGGCATTCTGGATATCTGCAAAGTCTTCCTCCCTGATGAACGTTGCGTAGTGTTTCTCTATCGTCGAGGCAGCTGACGAACCGAGTTTTTGAGACAGTGTCCACTCATCAAGGACATTATCACTGGCCGAGTATTGATTGAACAGAGAAGGCACGATAAATGGCTCGATCGACAACCAACCCCCCAGGTTGACGCCCCGTATCGGCTGAGACCCGTATGGGAACTTTTCATTCAACGGTGGAACATTCTCATTTGGTCTAGCAGAGTCATCCCAAGTAGAGTTGAGACCCATGATTGAGAGACCACCAACCGTCTCGTTTGTGTAGGTGACATTGAAGTCTGTTGTGTCGTACCATGTCCATGGATCTAATATTGTCCCCCTTGCGGATTTCTAGACAGACATATCGAAAGAACAATCAGCCTCTGCAACGGGTAGTAGGGTTACCAGGAGAGAACATAAACATACCGGAATGCTGTCTGGATCCAAGCCATCCAAATTCGAATTGTAAGGGGTGCTGCCTGATGAACCAGAATCGCCGTCACCGTCTTTCGCAGTAGAATGTTTCTTCTTCGAGACAACAATGACAACGGGGATGATGATAGCCAGCAGCACGACCAACACACCTAGTCCAATCCACCACCACTTTTTCTTTTTCCAAAACGGCCTGTGATCTCCATCCCCGCTGCCACTGCCACTGCCATCGTCCCAGTCTCCTTCTTTCCACCCGAGATCCGTTTCAGAACCACCTCCTCCACGATGTCGGACTCTTGTGTTATCACTTCGGCCTTCTTCCAAAAAGGGGCCTGACACAACCCTGCCCCGAGCCGTCACCTTGGGCGAACTGTGCGAAAATTCGTCAAGCACGCGTGTCCTCTCTTCAATATCACCCTCTTCATCTTCACCTTCGCCGCCTCCTAAGAGAGCAGCTTCCTTCCGTTGCCGTCGTCGTCGTCTCCTATTTTCTCGACGTGCCATTTCCGCCTCTGTCTCTTCAGGCGCTGTCTCAAGCCCAACTCCCTCATCCTCATCGGCATACTGCGACTCCAGCCTAGCCAAGGAATCTGCACTTAACAAATGGGACCCAGAATCAGTCTTCGAGTGAGCATGAGCGTGCTTTCTTGATGTCCTTTCACGATCACGCTCCCGCTCGTGCCCCATCTCGCGTTCTCGTGCCCTCCTCCTCTCTCTGCGTCGCTGTCTCCGCGCTTCATCATCCTCATCCCGATGACGGTGCCCGTCGCGGTCACGACGATGTCTTCGCTCCCTCACGCCTGGAGCGGGACTTCCATCATCACCCGGACCACGCCTTCGGTCACGTCTCGTCTGCCCATCCCTATCTCTGTCGCGGTGGCTCCTCTTAATCGGTGACGTAGCTGGTGACTCTTTCGCCTTTGATCCATATCTCTCGCGTCGCCTGGTAGTATCGGGGCTATCGTAGTCGCCGCTTTCTTCTTCGTGATAACGTCGCGGCGATGCGCGGTCTTCGTAATACTTCTCCCGTCTGTACTGTCGGCGGTCAATCGTAGGATTGAATTCGATATCATCGTCGTCCGTGCCATGGTCGACACCGCGTCTGCGGTCTCGACTGCGCGAGTTGCTCGGCATCAAGGAGGAGTCAATCGTGGATCAATTGTTTGCAAATTAAGGCAGACAGCTCCGTTCACTCCGTCCACGACGCGTCTACCCTATTCCATCGAATAGAATCGAATCCTCGCAACTTCTTCCGTTTCGCGCAGGGGAGTACCATCGGCGTGATTCACCGAAAGCAAGGGGGTCAAAGAATGGAATGAACGTAAAGCAGCAAACAATAAGTAATAAGTAATAATAATAATGCCAGATGATGAAGACGTCCTTTTTGTTTTCTTTCTCAATTGAGGTCTTTTTGGCAAATAACCCTGTTACGTCAGTTACACGACCTCAAATCCTTCCAATCAATCACAAAATGTACTGTACTCCCCGCAATAATGGGACAGGAATCGCGGGTAAACAAAGTTGTACCTCCGCATGCGACAAAACAGGGTGACATACAAGAAAAACGTTTCACGCGAGCGGAACAATTATAGATCTAGACGCCTAATCCCGCATATTCAAGATGCGACGCATGAATCGGCCAATGACGCGATTGTACTTCGTATATTCTTGGACGATCGACTGTTTCCACTGGAGGTGAATGTGGAGGATTGGTGATGCTGCGGAGAATACTTCGTGTCCGTTGCGGGAGCAACAAGGGCGGTGAACCGTATCGAGAATCTCCGTGATATACATACAGTATACAGCCTACAGCAAAGAAATCTATACAAGTGGACAAAATAGTAATTATAAGCTATATAGAATAAGTCTATAACAGACGGCAAATCAGCGTCCTGTCTCGTACAGCCGGCCATGAGCAAAGAAATATGCATGCAAAACGCCTCCGAAGAATGACAGCAAATGAACCGCTTCAAACCGCGCCAGAAAACCTCATCCAATATGCTGATTATGCAATGTCGTATATAGGTATGTCAATGCCTGCCAGCCCCCTCTGTACAACTCCGTAGCAAAACCAGAATAATTATATGAGAACTTGCACTGAATCGAAAGGGGAAATAGAAAAGGGGGGAGCGGAATCTTCGACTGTTCCGCACTTTCGGAAGAATTCAAGGGATCAGTAGAACAAGCAAAATCAAATCGAGAGACGTGTTCAGCGCTGGGTCGAAAATACAGCGAGCCTTCATCTCTCAAGCGAAAAAGAATTGTAAAAGCATTTTGGTCCTTTTTTTTTTTTTTTTTTTTATCCATCCCAAGATGCAGCGGTGGTGATAGTCAGCAACTCCATAGAACCGCTGTCAAATGAGTCCGAACCGCGCAGATCAGAAGCATTCAAGGTGACAGTACTCCACCGAAACTAATTAATAATCTGCCTGGTTCCCTCCTTGCCCAAAACGCCTGGCTCTGTCGGTTTCGGACTCCGGTCCCGGCCCTTAGACCGCAGGAAGCCGAACACGCCACGGTTCTTGCGGCCACTTAGACTGTCATATCCATCACCTGAGAGGGTCGTAACATTGTGGTCGGCTAGCTCGCTCCAGCTACCTGTTTCCTCCAAAACCATCTGCACTCCGCCACCTTTACTTGGTTTGCGACCAGATACATGAGGTCGAGATGTCAATGGCTTGTGAAAGGACGGAATAGGCGGCGGAGGGGAAGATGGAGGAGCGGGGGCGTGGGGCGGCACGTCCTGATGTGCAAGGGACTCGTCCAGCAACACAACGGGTTCAGGCTCGTTCATTCGGTTGATCGGGTTATCGTGATGTGGGGGCGGCGATCCGTTGGAGCGCACCGTCTGAGAAACTTGCCTCGCGTGCGTTGAGGGTGTCGGTATCGCAGCAGCGGGAGGAAGTCCGTTTTCGGCGGACCTAGAGCAAGACGGTAAGTGAAAGTACAGCAGAGAATCCGGTCTGGTAGTACTCACTCTACTGCTGCGACGGCTTCGGCAGCGTTGCTAACAATCAGGTCAGTTCAGTTCCAAACTAGAGAGTGAAGAGTACGCCAAAACATACCCTCGATATCCAACTGTTGTATAGTCGAAGGGTTCAAACATGGTCTCGATGAGACGATGGAGTTCGTCCTCTCGAATTTCCTTGGCAGTTGCGTCTTCCCTCAACGTTGCTCTCGGTTTCTGTCGACGGGCTCGAGCTTCCAGTGGGGCCTCTTGGAGGAGTAACTCCTCCAGGTCGTATGTTGCGTCAAAGTTGGTTTTATCACTTGCTGGTTTAAAGATGGGCGGTACTTCTTTCCGCTCCAGGGCCTCAAAGTCCAGTTCCGCAAAGAAGGGATGCGTCGTGAAACTTTCCCAACTTATCGCCCCGATCCGCTTGGATCTATCCTTCTCCATCAGGGCGGCCATGGCCCGGAGACACGGAACGGACACCGCAGGGTTGGTGACGTAGTACTTCGGCTGGGCTTTTTGGATGCCTTCGCTCAGTGTATCCTGGCTACGGCCCTCAAAGGGTCGCTGGGAAGACCATCAGCGCTATGATCCCTGGCGGGAGTTATGCAGTTGGGACAAACCCTGCTGTAGATGCACTCGTAGAGTGTGACTCCCAGTGACCACCAATCCACCTCTGAGAGATACCCACGACCAGCGTATACCTCGGGAGCTAGATATGCTAGCGTGCCTGATTTGCTTGTAAGAAGCTTCCCCGGTCTGAAATCCGATGCCACGTTCTGGAGGAACAGTCAGTTTTGAAATCCGGCGACTTCGGTATCCTCGGGGTAACGAACAAAGTCGGCCAAGTGGACATGTCCATCCTCGTCCAGCAGCACATTATCAGGCTTAACGTCACGATGCACGATGCCCTGTGAGTGGATATATCGCAGGGCACAGCCAAGTTCCGCTATCCAAAATCGTACTGCTTCTTCAGTAAAGCATTTCCTCGAGATATGAAATCGAAGATCGCCGCCATTCATGAGATCAACCACGATGTAACTTCCGGTGGATCAGCGTGCGAGCGACGACGGCGGCGGTGTAGGAGGGGTTTCACCACGTACATGTACTCTATATCCTGAAAGCTGTATCGCAGATTGCACAAGAAAGGATGGTCAAGATGCTCGAGCATTCGCCGCTCGCGGATGATATTGCGTACACTCTCCGAACGAACCACTGGAGGGACAAGAAGTCCGAGTGTCAGCGTCTTCTGCAGGGTGTTTCCCAGGCCCGAGCGTATCGATCGACCAACCTTCCTCTTTGCGAATATACTTCAAAGCGAATGTCAACCCAGTATCCTTCCGTTCGACGATTCGAACCTTGCCGAAAGCGCCTTTGCCAACCACACGCAGGAGACGGAAATGGTTCAAGTTGACTAGCCACAGACAGAGACAGGAGGTCAGTCTATCGAAACGCTTGTTTCAAACAAAGTTGGAGTCCTGCGCTCCCATCCATGGAACTGGTCCTGAGATCCACGAACCTTGATCGGTGAAGCACACCGGTTTCCCTTGCGAGTTACCCATCCTAGACAGCACAAGCACAGGCAAGAGCAGAAGCAGTCCGAAACAAGACGCAGAATTCCAGCGTGGATCTTCCGGACAGCATCACACTACCAATGGCGGTTCCGGCAACAAGTCTGGGTATTCGTTCCCAGCAGAAAAGAAAATCGTCACGACCGGTGGAGCAAGGAGGTTAGGGTATCCGTATCCAGGGAGGCGGGGTTGAATCGTGCAGGAGTACGGCAGAGTGTGCCACGGAAGGAGTGAGAATAGACGAGACGGAATGCCGTCCAGCGGGCTTTATGGGGGAAGAAGATTTGCACAGAGGGAGTGAACTGGATGCGGTGAAGAGCGAACAATAATAATAATAATAATAATAACAAGAAGAATGGATGATCCAAGTACGCAGAGATTTAAGTTACGAAGAGAAAGCAGGGGGTGGAGACGGGGTGATAAAGAACAGGCGCAAGAGGGTCGAAAGAAGAAATAATCAGCCAGCGGAGAGCAAACAGTGCGATAACGACAGTTGTGGCTGCAGGAGACGGGCTCAGGCCGAGAGATTCTGGAACAGCACCCCCTGCTTCACAGTCTTATATGGTGGAATGGACAGTAAGTAATGTGGTGAATAGAAGCAAGTATGGATAACAGAGAGAATCCCCTGAAGCAAACATACGGCAGTGGAAATAATAAACGATATCCCCACGACATGGAGAGTATATTAATATTATCTGGCCATCTTGGTATTCTTTTCCCCGGTGATATTCTACATAATACGACGTATTATACTATACGATATTATATTAAACATAATTATCCTGGTCGACATCCATCCACACCAGAACCCATCTCGTGGCTGCCACGTTTTTCTCTCTTTTCTCTTCTGGGGCCTCTGCAAATTCCACACGTTGACACATGCCGGCGCAGCACATGCATTGGTCCATTCATGTCATGCAGAGTTCAGGAGAACCACAGCCTAGAAAATAAAATATTAAACACTCAGAATAGAATCGGGCACATTCTCGATCAAGTCTTCTGGAGAATAAATATACTTAATAGTGTTTCTGTGGAAATACGTGAAGTACAGCGCCCAAATAGGAAATTCCTCAGTTCCGAGAGGAATGGTATTTCTCCTTTTCTGCCTTTGGCTCCGGAGCTAATAATAATAATACAAACCAAAGTGATGCATGATGTGCATTGCATTTCCACTGGTTTGCCGGCAAGTATGCACATGGCCCGCTCGGTGGGCAGATCGGCGGCTGCTTTTCCCGGGCCACGCACCGGGCCTTCCTGCCACTGTCTACACACCTACAGAGCAATAATATCAAGGAAGACGCATTGTGATGTCCATCAAATATGCCGAATATGCCGAATCTAGAAACATGACCTCCCAGCCATTATACAATCCTCGAGTACCTCCTGTAACGCCCGTTCAACCAGTCATTTAACCATCCATGCGACTCTGCAAGGCTAGGCTCCTACCACCGTCGTCCGAATACAGAATCCTCCTCTCGGGGAACCCGCTTGGTTTGCTGCCCTCGGCTTCGCTCCCGTGATGAGACACCACCGCTATGGCCCAAGCTGGGGCTGCGCCCAGACTCTTCTGTAGACGTCAGAAGCTTCGCCTTCTGCTTGAGGTCGAGACTGCCGTGCTTCGACGCGTATCCCGACTCGGCATCCCGGCCAAACAGTGCCATCATGTCCTGCATCGTAAGCTTCCCGGCGGCCGTCTTGCCCTCGATCGTCATGTTGGCCAGCTCCCGCTTGCGGTTCTGGAGATCGACGATTCTCTCTTCCACGGAGTCCTTGATGATCAACTTGTAGATCTTGACGTCTAGCGTCTGGTTGAGCCGATGGACACGGTCAATCGCCTGCTCTTCAACAAACTAAACGGATATGTCAGCAACTTGTCCTAACTCCAATGAAACGGGTACGGGCAACGCACGGGATTCCAAAACGGCTCCAGGATGACCACTCGGCTCGCAGCGGTAAGATTAAGCCCCAATGCACCTGCACGCAAACTGCAGAGCAGCACCCGTGTCCCACTGTTATTTCTCAATCTGTTGAGGCTAGCTTCTCGGAGATCGTTTCGCATGCTGCCGTCATACCGTGCAAATCCGATTCCTGCCCGTTTCAGGAACGGCTCCACCTTGTCAAGCATGGATGTGAAAACCGAGAACACGATGAATTTGTAATCAGGCGCCTCGCGTTTCAGGATCTTCATGAGATGCTGGATTTTTGTTGAAGCGAGAACTTGAGAATCACTATCGTCGTCGTCCGAGTAGATGTCATCGTCCTCTGTGTCAGTCTCCGTTGAGGTAGGCGGTCTGATGGCAGCAGATCCTTCCTTCCGCTGAGATGGCGACTCTAACACGTCTTCATCTGTGTCGGAATCATCCGTATTAATCCATTCCCCTCCTCCCTCAGCATCCTCGTCATCTGTACCCCCAGCTTTGCCAAGGTTCAGTGCCATCCGCTGCCGTCCAGGAACAATCCATTCGCCTTCTTCTTCGTCATCGCTGTCGAGAACAATTCTCCGATTTCGTCGGGAACGGGCAGCCCGGACACCTGAAGCGCGAGACGGCGAATCCACTGAATCTGACCGTCGGTCCTTGCGAGAAGTCGACTTCTTCCGCTTTTCGCTAGTGCCAGCAAGACTATTCTTCAGGTCGGTCTCACACTCGTCACACCGACTGGAACCGGCTTTGGCCTCCTCTTTACTCAGCTTGGTTTGGCAAACATCACATTTCTTTGAAACCACACTGAGCGCCCCGAAGAGATCGGCAACACTATCCAAGTCATCCTGCTTTGCCGAAGAGCTCTGGCGATCAGAGGGCCCATTCTGCAAAAGGACATCTTTATCTTGAGCGAGGTCGCTTTTGACCAAGTCTGGATGGTTGCAAGCTTGGCGGAGACGGAGAAGCAAGACCAAAGCGCCAGCATAGTCAAGTTTGGAACCGCCCATCATTTTCTCCAAACTATTTTCCGTGCGCTGTTCAAGACGCTTGTAGAAATTGAACTCGCCCGGTGTGAACTCTGCATCGACTCGAATGACTTCGCGTTTTGTGATCTGGAAACCGGTAGATGAACTCTTCGCCTCCCCGCCAGCCTCGGTTTTGTCGGACTTGAAGTTGCCATTGAGTTTCAAAACATCCTTGGTCCGTCGCTTCATGAAAGCCTTCAGGTAGATCTGTAGGCGCTGAATAGCGAGACCCCCAAGACCGTTGGCCAGCGGCCTGCTAATTTGGTCCCGCCAAGCAGCTAAATCATTATAAGGCTTGATCCTCAGGAACTTGATCAAACTCTGAAGCTCATCGAGATTGTTCTGCAAAGGCGTACCCGTTAGGCACCATCGATATTGCGCGTCCAATGCACATGCAGACTGTGTGGCCTTTGCGTTGCGATTTTTAATTGTGTGAGCCTCGTCCAGAATTATACGATACCAGTAGATGGAGAAAAGGCCAGATTTTGCCTTGTCACTGTCATCAGCGCGGTATTCGGAGCTGAGGGTTCCATAGGTAGTGATGACCACGTCATAACTCCCAAGGTTATCGGCTGCCTTTGTACGAGCAGTGCCATGGTAGACGCATACACGGAGCCTGTGGGAATCCTCGATCTTCGTCAGGATTTCAGATTCCCACTGCTTAATTAGTGCTAATGGAGCAACAATTAGAGTGGACTTGCTTAGATCATCCGGCAACTTCTGCGTCTCTTCACCGTCCTCAGAAGCGTCGTCTTCCCTCGCTTTATCCGTCTCCGCGAGCTTCCGGTTAGAGAGAATTAAAGCGATGGATTGGACTGTCTTTCCAAGACCCATATCATCCGCAAGGATTCCACCTTTGGGGGGAGTTCCTTTGGCTTTCTTATGGCCGGTCTCTTTGCCACACATCCAGCGGACACCGTCCACCTGGTGAGGAAGTAATTGAACTTTCAAGCCTTCCACTGTGCCATCATCGTCATCATCTTCTTCTTCTTCTTCACTCTCGCTATCATTGTCCTCATCACCATTAATTTCATCTGTTTTGCTATCAGGCCTTTCCTCTTCTTCCTCTTTGTTCTTCTCCTCCCTCACAGATTCGTCTGTTCCATTGCTGTGGTCTTCCTTGTCATCTCTAGTATCAGCCACAGTAACTCCCTGTAACTGGGAAGCCAAGTCATCGATATCAAAATTCGAGTCTTTCTTGCTATTATCTCGCTCCTGGTCCTGTCTCTCTTTTTCCTTTGCCTTTTGCTTCTTCTTGTTCTTTCTCTTCTTCGTGTCCCTTTTTGAGTTTTTGCTCGGCTGATCGTTCTCGTCTTCGATTGTACCCTCTAAGAGAGCCTTGATATCCTCATTCGCTTTGGCAGAATCGACAAAAGCTCCTGTATCCAGAGATGCACTGTCTTTAGACCAGGAATTGTTACTGTCCCAATAGTCAGTTGTAGTAGACGTCAGGTCCATAAAATTCTTGAGATTCTTCGATGCGTTTGATATCTTGACAGGCCCTGGCTTCTTCGAAGAGTACAATTCCCTGGGAGCTTTTGGAGTCGACCATGTCACATTTTCGGGGCGTTGGATCCCAACGGCGTCTTTAGCGTACAGAGACAGACCACTGTTGTATGCCGCGGGCTTCACTGGCTTGAAAGGATTCCATGGTTGCGATTGCCTCACCGGCGTAGCGGTTACGGGCCCCCTAGTCTCATTAGTGACTGGACGGTAAGGACGAGGTGTCACTGGCGGTTGCGTGGAGCCCTGTTGCTGTGGTCGTTGTGGGGGCCTGTGGTGCTCCGGCCGTGCTTGATTCGGTTTAGGGATATTAAAAGGGAGATGGGATGACTGAGCGTGAATTGGACGGAGGGGTGAGGGTTTGCCGAATTCTGGATGAGCTAGAGGACGCTGAGACTGCTCGTTGGGGCGTCGAGGGGTAAAGGGGGCTCTGTCGCTTTCCTTCGCCATTTCGAAAAACCTGGGGAAGAATGTTCACTCCTCTTGCAGTCAACAGGCAGGTGTTTATTCACGTATAATCCAGGTGATTTCCGATGTCGTGATTGAGGGGTGTTAATATCCAGACACGCATTCGTAATTGCAGTGGATCAGTCGCACTACAAGCAGGTTGTCAGCAGCTACCACGCTGTCGACGACTGGCATCGGCAGATAACAAAGATATAAAGAAGATAACGAGGGCTTACCATAAAAGATCCCATGTCTGGCCATATACCAAATTGAGCGAAGTCGAGATGGCTTAAGTTGGTGATGGGAAGAGAAAAAGAAGGCCCGCATTCTTATTTATCGATAACGCCAATTCTTTGTTTCCGAAACCCCAGCAACCGTCTGATGCCTCAGGCTCCAACACTGGAATTGTCGCATGTAGCTGCTTATTTGCTTGTATGAAGAATGAATAGATCTATATTTGACAAAGTGTTCCCATGTATCTCAAAAAATAGCTCCCAGTAGATCGGACAGAGAAGAAGACAGCATGCTCCGTACATATATTCCCAACGGATTAAGAGCTCTGCCAACGGCAATCATGGTCCAAATTATATTTATACTCTAAAGCAATATCGTCTCCCCTGAAATGAATCATTAAATATCGCCAATGACGCTTTTCAAAATCTGTGGAACAATGACACCCGCATCACCATTGAAAAACCAACCGTTGGACCCTAGACTACCGGCACCACGAGGGACATCATTGGGATCCATGTTGACCACCGCAACTTTGGCACCGAATCTTCGAGCCACATCTACATACCCTGCAGCTGGATAGACCTTGGCGCTTGTACCGATGACCAATACTAGGTCAATTTTGGGTGCGGAATGTATCCATTTGTCCACAGCGCGGATTGTTTGGGATGGGAGAGGTTCCCCAAACCATACAACGCCCGGTCGGAGAAGGCCATCTTTGCATTTTGGGCATTGCGGGAGCTCGCTGCGACTTAGCGGAGCCAATGGCACGCGTTCATCAGAAATATCTGCTTCCTGTTCCGACTCCTTGTCATTTATCCCTAGTGCATTGTATAATGAATTTGTTGCTTGTTCTCCTGTATTATCTGTTGCTGAAGGTTTGGGCTCTGGGACGCCTCGAGGAATTGCCAATGCCGGTACTATTGGATCGGTAAAATCCTCTCGCGAGTAGTCGCAATCAAATGATGTACATTTGACATTGAAGAGCGAGCCGTGAAGCAGGTGGAGCTGGTTTGATGGATGGTTTGCGCGCTGTGAAAGACCTGTAGACAAAGGAGGGACCAAATTGTCAGTGATGTTATTGATATGAATATCAAAAAAGGAATAATAATAGTTCTCCAACAGCACCATCGACGTTCTGGCTCAGCGTGATAAAATCCTTGTTTCTTCTTGCAAGCTCTGCAAGCGCATAGTGTGCCCTGTTTGGCTTCGCTTTCAAAGCCATATGTCTCCGATAGCTGTAGAATTGCCATACTAGGTCTGGGTTCTCCTCGAAAGCTTCTGGTGTCGCCAAATCTTCAGCTTCGTGCGATCGCCAAAGGCCACCAACTCCCCGAAAAGTCGGAAGGCCAGAGGGTGCAGAGATCCCGGCTCCTAAGAGTGCAAGAATGCGATTACATCCCTTCAAGTACTCCGAGAAGGACTGAAGGTCCGCTGGGCGTATCGATGTCATCGTGCGCTGACGGTTACCACGATGTAATGAAGATGAAAATGGAAGGAGTGCGGAGAAAGCTACGTATGGCGCGGGGCAGATATAGATAAACAGTTCTCAATACTAGCAGGTTCTCTTGGCGGCTATAATCCGTCGCTATAATATAAACCCGGCTAGTTAACTATTCTAATATTATTGATCTAAACAGCTGTACTCGGATACTCCATAAATGCTTGAAAAACCACATGCGGAGTGGTTTCTCGCATCGCACATTCTTATTTTTTCGACCGGACAGCTGCATCCACCGCATAGGCCTGGTTGTGTTCATTCATACGGGAGACATGCGAGCTGATATGCTCTGGAACCTCAGCTACCTTGTTTTCAGGAGCCGCGATGGGTTGTCCAAGGGTCTCCCAAACAGGGACTACCCCCGTCCAGACACGATTTGACAACTCTTCATTGCTCTTGTCCACACGTTCGTCGGACGGGCCTCCGTCTCGAATCTTACCGCTGCCATCGACGACTTTGATCTTGAGGATAGAGGTGGAAGACATCTCGGCAGGGGTCGGTGGCACCCGTGTATTCTTCCAACGGTCTGGGACTACTGAGTTTGTTATCAGCTCCATCGCCCAGAGCCTTTCTTGCTCGTCAGTGACAAGGGTGGCGTATCCGTGCAGGATGGCAGAACGATAGTTATAACTGTGGGAGAACGGGGTCAATGATAGGACGAGCCCATCGATTTTGCTAGCTGCCACGCAGACAGGAAGTCCCTCTCCCTTAGACGCGCGTGCTAGGTTCACGATCCGTGAACTGACATAGCCATGGACGTAGCAGTCTAAAGGCTCGTCGATACCGGCTGATGGATAGTCGAATGAACCCATCTGTCCGATCATGGGTAAAGTTGCGGGAAAGGGCTCGGAGGGCCCTGGACTAAAAGACACATGGAGGACCGGGGAGGAGTTGATGATAGAATGAATCACACCCAGGTCATATGTCGCTAAGAACACAATGAGATTACTTCCTGGCTGATGGATGCAAGACAGTATACAGACGTCAGCTCATACCTCGCTGCTTTTCCCGATTAACAGTGTTCGCAGCATGCTTCGGATATACCAGGTTCCTTCCCATGTCGTACAGTATGCCAGTATGCGGTGACTTCCCACGAACAGATACTTATAATCCTTAACCAAATCCGGCCACGCCCTGGCCTTTTGTATTCATCTCGATCTCCCTCTCCCTGAGTATATCTATCTCGCGGAGATTATCATCGGTCATAGTAACCAATCGGCTGGACATGCCCAGTTAGCATAAGATATGCAGTTTCTGAGTTTAGGCGATTCGTCTTTTGAATGTTACTTAATGAGCCATCGTGCTACGCAAGCGCTAGAGTCATCATCCTCGTAATTAAAGATGTGTTGATTGGCGGGTGGATCAGACTTGACAGCCTCAGGCAGAGCCGTCGGCCGCCGCCTTGGAAGAAGCCCGAAGGGTGAAGCTACCAAAAAAGCCACCAACTTCCATGGCAACCTTGTCTTTGTTCTTATTCTGTAGATATTAGCGATCATGTCGACATGCATGACCTACCTCCTCCAGGGTTCCCGTCATCTGTGGTATCCTTCCAAGGCTTCCGTTAATGTGCGACGCGCTGTCCAGAGGAGTTATGCTTCGATCTCCGCCGCGGACTTGAAGTTCGGACAACCTCTGCACGAGACACATCCCCATATCCTGAATCCCGGAGAATGTGCGTGATTACGAATTGGTGCAAACGAAATGACGTGAACTGACACTATGATGAGTGACACCTGGGATTTCCGCTCTCGAATACGCACACCGTCGCTCCCGTCTCGCGAACCGGCTGCCCAAGAATTCAATCGCGGTCTTAGCAGCATCGGAAGTCAAATACCGTGCTGCAGGCATATTCTATGAGTACCGTCAGGACACGAACTTCTTTTATCTTACAGGTACGGCAAGTCTCGGGGATACAATGCCAAGTGTTATGTTGATGGAGGCTGATGTATCGCCTAAATGGATAGGATTCAATGAGCCTGGCGCATTGGCAGTCATCGGTAAGCTTACTGCCCATGGTCTGATTATATTGAGCAGCCGGAGCAGTGTTCTTATATGATTGCAGCAAATGATGGCTCCGGGAATAATCACATCTTTCACCTCTACGTTCGCGAGAAGGATGCAAGGGCTGAGCTTTGGGAGGGAGCTCGATCCGGCACGCGAGCTGCCATAGATGTCTTCAATGCTGATGAGGTGAGATTAATGCCTTGCTGTGTGTTCCCGAGCACAGCTAATCCGCCGATGGAATAGACTGGAGATATTACGCGAATTGGTGATATCCTGCCGGACATCATATCTGGAGCCACAGAAGTATACACAGATATCACGACCCTCGACCCGAAGTCGGTCCTATATCGAACCCTATACGGCTCCGGTGTGTCCGAGCGGATCAAGAACTTTGTGCGTGGTGGAAAAGTAAAGTCGCTGCGCCCAATTCTTAATGAGCTGAGGGCCGTGAAGAGCGAGGATGAAGTGGTGCAACTGCGTCGTGTTGGGCAGATGTCCGGAAGAGCATTCACTGAGTCTGTAAGACAAACATTTACCAAAGAAAAGGATCTTTGCTCGTTCCTTGAATATCAGTTCAAGGTCAATGGTTGCGATACAAGTGCTTTTGTTCCCGTGGTGGGGGGCGGTCCTGTATGCGATGCTACCCGGATTGATTATATGATAATCATGCTAACGAAACTAGAACGGCCTGAGCATTCATTATACAAGTAACAATGATATCTTGAGGTGCGCATTCTCGCCTAGCAATGCCCATTATTTGAGCTGACAGCGTTGAATAATAGGGACGGTGACCTAGTTCTGGTTGATGCAGGCGGGGTGAGTATTGAACCTATCGCAAACCAATCCACCCAATCCAGCGCTGACAGAGGAGTAGGAATCGGGGAGCTACATCTCCGATATTTCAAGGACGTGGCCAGTTAATGGAAAATTCACGGATGCCCAGCGCGATTTATATACTGCGGTACTGAATGTGCAACGCAGCTGTGTTTCTCTTTGCAGAGAGTCTGCTGGATATTCCCTGGACCAATTGCATGGGATCGCCGAGAATACGCTAAAAGACCAGCTTCAGCAACTTGGATTTGATGTTTCTGGAGACGTGAGTGTTCATATGCGTGGGTATTCATGTATATCTAATGTGGTCGCTGACAACGTGTTTTTAGGCCATGGGTATCCTATTCCCGCATCATTTAGGTCACCATGTAGGCCTGGACGTTCATGATTGCCCTGGCTACTCAAGAAGCCACAAGCTCAAAGCAGGCAATTGCATCACCATAGAACCGTATGTATACGGGACCTGTTCAGCTCAAACTCTAGCACACACACACAACTGACGTCTTCTTGTTTCCAGAGGCATATATGTTCCGGATAACAGACGGTGGCCTGACAAGTTCCGAGGAATCGGAATACGCATTGAAGACAGCGTGTGTGTTGGAGATGACAATCCCATTGTGTTGACGCCTGAAGCTGTCAAAGAGGTATGTTCTATACAATGCCCGGTCTAGTTTATTGCGGTTCATTGCATACTGACTCACTCGGGCTATTAGATCGATGACATTGAGGCTCTGCGTGGATAGGATAGGCCATCGAAATATAGGTGAAATATATATAGATACCCTGGACAAATGTACATTAGATCTGAAGCTTAACTCTTTAGCCATCCTGAAAATTCAATTTGATCAACTGGTCTTGGTCAAACTCCTTGGGCGATATTTGTCGTCTTCTGTATGCATTTGGTTTCAAAAGGCGTAAGAAAGAAGTATCCATGAGGATGGCACAAGAGAGATAATGGGAATATTGGCAAGAAATAAACTCAGCCACGGTGATGAAAAAGTCTTTCTTCGCAGGGTCGCGTTGTGGTTGTGGTTGTGGTTGTCCGGCAGAACCCCAAAACAAACCTGTCTCCGCCAAACAAAGACACAAGACACGCCTCTCCGCATCCTCCTCCCAACTTCTTCCACCACAATCCACGCCTTGCAGCATCTTCTCAGCAGCCAGAATCCTCTTTTTACACCTTCTCAGCACTACCTTATTGCTCAATTACGCGTTTTTTGTGCATAATGACCCCCTTCTAGCCCTCTGGGACGTGTACACACTGTACAGTACATGTCTTGTCGCGTGTTCAACCATTGGGCGTCCACCCCCTCGTTCACCAGCCCTTGTCACTCTCTGCTTTTTTAGTTCAGATCTGTATATCATTACCTTATGGCAGCAGTATTTGTACCTCCCTCACCACAAACATCTGTTAATATGTCGACTCGCCGACCACCCTTGGCCAATGTTCCTAATGCCACCAACTCCCCTCACAGACCAGGCCTCGTACCCACTAAACGATCCAGGGCCATCAGCTCTACCCAGATCGACGTCTCATATGGCCAGCCCTTGTCGAAGAAGCATGTTGTTGATGGGATGGACCAGGATTCACGCTCCCCGCCTCGTGCCAAGATGCTCGCCACCGGAACAGACGCGAAGGTCTTTTCGCGACGGTCCAACAATACGCAGCCTAGCGCTTTCGAGAGAAAACTGGTGGCTGTGAGGGATAAAGAGCGGCAATTGAGAACAACCCGGCCCGAGAAGACGCCCGCGGAGACCTTGGATACGATCCGACAATGGCAGAGGCATTATCGAAGGGCATTTCCACAGTTTGTCTTTTACTTTGATAGTATACCGGAGGATTCCCGCAGTAAATGCTCGAGGCAGGTTCTTGCTCTGGGAGCTGTAAGTTTGGATATTTCTTTTCTTCAAGTTACGAGCCTTGAGGCACTGCGGATGTTTCGCTTCATTTGGATTATATGCCAATGGACTGTGGCAATGCGTTCTTTTGATTGTAATTCCTTTTTTTTTTTCACTTTTCTCTCACTTTGTCCTTTGGCCTCATGCCTCAATTATACTGACGTTCCATATGCAGCGCGAGGAGAAATTTTTCTCCCGTTTAGTGACCCATGTAGTCACCACTCGCCCTATCCCTCCCGAAACCGATGCCGGAAGCGTTGCAGAGTCGGGTGTACAATGTACTGCCGACCAACAAGATAATACAGTGAATCCTTCTACACTGGAGAAGAACCCCGACGGCCGTGTCCATATGTCGTTGAAGAATGATGCACGACGTGATCAGAGCGCTGATGTCTTATATAGAGCCCGTCAAATGGGAATGAAGATCTGGGCCCTTGAGAAGCTCCAGAGGATGATTACAACCATCAATGACGAGGATATTGGGGGACACCATAACCACTACAGGTATCACAATGATAGTGTTTCTCAGAAAGCCAGGGGTGGTCCCGACCTTACGCAAGTTCTCAGAAACGAGCTTGTAAATGGACCTTCTGACCGTGATCCTTTGCTCTCGGTAAAAGAGATGGTTCTTTTTAGGGGGCCTTTCATCTTTATTCATGATATGGATGAAAAGACCAGGCCGGTCATGGTTCGTGAATACCCAAGGGTTGCAAGAAAAGAAGACGGTATTTGGCCGCAGTTCAAGAGTGCACCTGTGGGGAAATGCCCTTTCATCGAAGAACCATTATCGGAGAGGGAACTGCTGCGGATACGGGCATACCGACAAGAAAGGGAAAAGAAAGCAGCAGCGAAGATAACTCGTGAAGGTGAAGGGAAAAGCAAAAATCCTGACTCAACTCAGCACACAGTTGAAAGCAAGGCTTCACTTCAGGTCCAAGATAAAGTCAAAGAGGAAGACGACGGTGACCATGCCTTCCCTAGATTTCAACCTAGTATGCAGAGGATGGCTTCGGTAAAACAAGAATATCTGACAAAAAGCTCTGAGAGTTTCGTCCCTCCTCGATTTTCCCGTACAGGACCCTTCTATGCGGGCCGTGAACCCGCTGCATCTGGTGTGCAGCCATCGAATGTCACCTCCGCTATCCGCTCGCAGATGATTTCGTCAACTGCTGCAGCGCCTGGGGCAAAAGCAGGTATTAGCAAAGAAGTTCACGAGTTGAAGAGAAAGGTGCTTGAAAAGAACAATGGCGGCTTTTCTGCTCCGGGGATTCCCTCGTCTCATCGTGTTGCAGATGTATCTGCTGCGGCAAGGCCCACGCAGAGTCAGGGTAGTGCTCCCAGCAAGACAGTCCCGCAAGAGAACCTGGCGGACATGCGCGAGGACGATACTACTCTATCGGAAAGCAATAAAGCGACAGTGCAACCATCTGGTGATTTAAGCAAAAATGATCGGAAGAGGAAGCTGAGAGAAAGGGAGAGGGAGAGAGCGCAGCAGCAGAGAAGGAGGAATCCAAAGCCGGGATTCTGTGAAAATTGCAGGGATAAATTTGACGACTTTGATGTGGTAAGTTCACAACATCAGGTGCCCTGTTGAGGGGGACAAAATGCTGATGATCTCCGTAGCACATCCAATCGCGAAGACACCGCAAGTTCGCCCTGAACCCGGCCAACTGGAAGGAGCTTGATGCATTACTGTGTGAGCTTCACAGGCCCCTTAAGCCGGGCGCGTATAAATACGTTTAAACCACTGGAACCGCTCAATGCAGAGCTACAATCTGCAAATATCATCTGCATCCAGGTCCTATTTCATCAATGAGGCTCACGTTATTACCTCTTAACCCTGTTCTGTTGGAGTTCGTGCTGCATTCCCCCGGTGTTCTATTTTATTATACATTAAACAACCTGGTGTCCAGTGCATTCTTTCTTTTCTTTTCCTCTCTTTTTTGGAAGGATAATTACGAATAGCATCAATTCTCAGAGCGAGTACTCTCGTGGCGTTCCTTGTCCCCATAGCATTAGCAGTGGCATCTTTGCCGTCCGTTCATTTACCCTGGTCTTTGCACCCTTGCAGGCCTTCTCTTCGTTTCCGCTCGAGGTTTATGTTGCATGGACAGCATTTGATACTAAACTTTTGCATTATGACGCACCCCAGCTTCATCAGGTCTATTTCTCTACTTCCCTTTCTTCGGTCATTCCTTTCCGCAAATACATTGATACTCTCCTGGTAGAGAATATATTTAGACTGGGATGCCGGTGTCATCTAATATTAGACCCATACCCCATATCACTATTAAACCCCGCATGCTTATAAATTGGGCGACAAGTGCCAGGCATTGGTACGATCAGATCCTCATGATAGGTTTCTCCGGAGGCGGCCAGTTCACCCATCACTTCCTCTACCTGTATCCTGAGCGTCTTGTAGCCGCCAGCATCGGCGCACCGGGCAGGGTGACCCTGCTCGACGCGGAACAGCCATGGCCTGTCGGGATCGCTGATGTCCAGAGCCGATTTTGTCGGACAATTGACATACAGCGCATTCGTCACGTCGCTACTCAGTTGATTGTTGGCGCGGCGGATGATGAAATCCATGGCGGACCTGAGTTTATGAAATGGGTGAGCCGGTTCCGGAAGCAGGACAAAGACAAAGCGTTACAGCCGGAGTCCCATCTTCCCTTGATGAATCAGGACCGCGCGCAGTCCATGCAGAGTCTGCATAAATCATGGTAGGAGTATGGTATCAACCTCCAGTTCGTTGTTGTGGATGGCGTTGCCCATGCATCCCAACATGTGCGCAAGCATGTGTTCCAGTTTCTGGAGCCATTGATAAAGACAGCCTTTCGGGGGCAATATGGAGCATTATGATAAGAGATCCTAGAAAGAGCTCATGTCCTTAGTCAAACAGGTTGTCGGTTGCCAGTCAGTATACTGCTTTGGGCAGCCTGAGCTGTCCGCAGAATGCCGTAAATCGAACAATCGTGCAACCAAAACTACTCTGCTGGTGATTATCCGTTTCTGTTCTATTGGAATAGGAGAAGGGACAATAGCAGGTACTGGTATCCCTTCAGGAACATGAATCCCATGTACTATGTGAGCTGTTGTACCAGCCTAACTGGCTCGTTAACTCAATCTTGTCTCTTTGGTCCTCCCAACGTGGAAGGGAACGCCTAACATAGATGATGACTACCTGGGGAAGTCGACATCGTATGCGAGGAGACCATCCCGCGTGGGCGAAATATTGCTTATGACTCGCAGAAGCATTTGCCGTTGATGAATTTGATGGATTTGCTGACGTCTCAAGGGATAGCAGACAAGCTTCCGGAAGCGCGCCGGGCGCAAGGCTGACGGGCCAAGGAGTTACGCATTCCTGGCCACGCATGTCGCAGATCAAGATGGTGTTTGGCCAGGCACCGTGAGATGAAACAGATGCCGATCTGTAAGAAGCCAAGTCGGACCGTTGACTTTCGGGAGTTTGTGCGCGGTGTGTACGGAGTATAAATCAATGCATTTCCCTCTTCCTTCCCTTTTCAAGATTCGGAACCTCTGAACCACAAACCTCCCCGATAAAGATGCATACGATCCTTCCCTTCTTCCTCCTGGCCGCTGCCAGCCTCACAGATGCCGCTGCAACGGTCTATCTGATCCGGCATGGCGAAAAGCCCAGCAACCGGGGTAACGGTCTGAGCACCACGGGCCTGGGGCGCGCCCAGTGTCTGAAGAACGTCTTTGGTCCCAACTCCGGCTATGATATCGGGTATATTATGGCTCAGACTCCTAAGAGCAGTACGTGTGCACATTTTGACGAGAGAAGATGGATTCTGCTTCATCTCTTCGAACGAATCGACATGGCTAACCGACGCTCCCTGACCAAATAAAAGATGGCAAACGTGCCCGTCCTTATGATACCGTTGAACCACTCGCTGAACGACTCGGTCTGACCGTCGACACCTCCTGTGGCCGCGACGATTCGTCGTGCGTCAAGGACGTCGTCGACAGCTACAGTGGAAGCGGGAATATCCTGATCTGCTGGGAACATGATGCCTTGACGGATATCGTTCAGGCCTTGGGTGATGATAATGCGCCGACATACCCAGATGACAGGTATTTCCTTCGTTCGCTTCTGCTCTGGACTGGCACTGACCTGGATTTTGCGTGGTAATTAGATACGATATTATCTGGACGGATCCATCCCCGTACACGGCTGTCACCTCGGAGACCAGTGAGAACTGTCCTGGTTTGGATTCTTAATGCAGTGGGAGCGTGGATTATGTGGGAGATAATGACGACGATTATTATTATCTTAGAATCGAATACGACATGACAGGAATATGCCAAAAGCGTTCCGGTGCTGATTCTGCTGGTTTGGCATGTTATCCACCTGGACTCCCTAAAACTGGCTATCGTATCCATAGACCTATAAAAACAACAACCCGGACATAAATAATAAACCGGTATTTATAATTCAGCTAACATCTTCTAGCATTGCTTGCATAAAAGCATGCAGCCTTGCAGTAAAGAACACATGACACCAACCGCAGAATTCAACGTGACCCATTGATCTGATCTGCTGATTGATTAGATAATCGGTAAGATTGCAGAACCTCGGCTGATCATCTAAGCACGCATCCCGAAAGCGGTGAATGGCAGAAAATCCCAAGCGGATGTCCGGCAGAATCGCCCAAACGAGTAAGACATCGTGACGATGCTCCGGACTACGCAGCATATACCAGCACACTTTGTTCAGGCTGCCGTATTTAAGGAGGTAAAGTCAGTTTTTAATTTCTTTCCTTGCTGTCGTTGTGGTTACACTTTGATTTGTCTGGAAGGGACCGGTTTGGCTTCGCACAACGCCTGCATTGGATCAATTGGATTGGATTGTATCTATAGTGCCTTCGTCATTGTTTAGCTGCATAGTGCCTGGAAGGTTACTAGGGGAGCTATGGCTTCTGCTCGGTTAATACGTCCGCTACGGTTGAACTCCAGGAGGGTCGGGGCTGTTACTTTTGTACGACCGTTGTTGAATCCGTCCACCTCGAGTAATGTTACCTCGGCATTATTCAGATTCCCATCTCCTACCACACCGAGCCATGTTCGATATAGCTCGCATTCGCCAATGGGCACACAATCTGTCAGTCCCAGGAAGAAGGTGACTACGACGACGCTACGGAATCTCTACAAGAACGGGGAGCCCATCACCGTGCTCACGGCTCATGACTTTCCTAGCGGGCATGTTGCAGATGCCGCAGGAATGGATGTGATCTTTGTCGGCGACAGTTTGGCCATGGTTGCGCTTGGAATGGAGGATACCAGCGAGGTTTTATTGGAAGAAATGCTGTTGCATTGTCGAAGTGTGGCTCGAGCTGCAAGGAGCGCATTCACGGTAGGTCATTTTCTGACAGTATGCGCAGAAAAAAAAAAAAAAAAAAAAAGGCTAACAAATAATGTAAAAAGGTCGGGGATCTTCCCATGGGATCTTATGAGATTTCACCAGAACAGGCTCTGCAGTCGGCCATCCGCATCATAAAGGAGGGCCGCATGCAAGCAGTCAAGCTGGAAGGAGGCGAAGAGATGGCGCCGACAATCAAGCGTATTACGCAAGCTGGAATCCCGGTTGTCGCCCACATCGGTCTCACACCTCAGAGGCAAAATGCTCTGGGTGGATTCAGGGTCCAGGGCAAGTCGGCTTCTGCGGCGTTGAAGCTCATGCGGGACGCTTTGGCAGTCCAGGAAGCTGGGGCCTTCATGATGGTCGTCGAAGCGGTACCCGCTGAAATCGCCAGTATCATCACGAAGAAACTCCAGGTCCCGACGATCGGCATTGGCGCTGGGAATGGCTGCTCCGGCCAGGTGCTCGTTCAGGTTGACATGACTGGCAACTTCCCGCCGGGACGGTTCCTCCCCAAGTTTGTCAAGAAATATGCCGATGTTTGGGGTGAGGCAATCAAAGGTATTGAGCAGTATAGGGATGAAGTCAAGAGTCGTGCGTATCCGTCCCCCGAATACACCTATCCGATCTCGAAGGAGGCTCTTGCAGAGTTTGAGAAGATTGCCGAGGATATTGAGGGAAAATAAAATCTTTGGTTTGAAGAATACGTGTAATGTGTTTTGGCGTTCGTCCTTTTGTTTTTGTTTATTGTCCGCTGCATCTTCTCTTGCTGAATTTGAAGATTTGCGGTCCACGTCCGTCATGTTTAAAGGTGGATACTTTGATGTTTGATCGAAATGACCACATGGTAACTAATAAGGGAGCACCTACTAGTCATGGATCATCTAGCTCTGTATTGAATCATGACTAGTTTTGGACAACATATCAATTTGATTGTCCATATCTTCTTCAGCCAGGCCAAGCGGTCACCATCAACCAAAAGCAGGAGTCATCGAATATGCCACTATCAGCTGGTCATCCGATTTAAAGCACTGTCGATCAGTTAGCGTATGAGTGATTGGTCTGACAGAGGAAAGCTGCATCCTACTCTCCACAATCCTCCAACGCCTTCATCCAGTCCGGGGGCGAACACACTGTTTACATAGCAAAATACGGAGTCGGTATCTTTGCAGTTCAACTTCTTTCTGAGGAACTTGACTACCGTTTCAAACTTCTGGGAGGCGCTGATCTTAAAAACGCGATTTTTGAGAATGGGGGCTGAAGGCAGAGGATGGAAGCGAACTGTGACTGTTTGCTATATTAGAACATGCTCTAGCTGTATATTCCACATATAGTGATTGGAGAATAAAACGCCAGTTAAGCGTGCTGTACTTACCTTTGCCTTTATCAATAGCCTCCACATCAGCCAGAGCCTGGTGAGCATCGCGCGGAAGGCTAGTTAACACAACCGATGCGGACATGGTTAGCGGTAGATCGGCCCCTTGCTCCTCATCTGGAATAGGCGCACTATCGGTGTTACTGCTGCTTGGGGAGTCTGGATTTGGCGATCGATCGGCGGGCCGATGGGTCAGTCTCGAGGCCGTCGGAGCAGCCGAAGGGTTGCGAGAAGAGGAGTCTGAAGAGGATGATGGAGCCATCATATAGCAGAGGTGATATTAAACCGGTTGAGACGGAATATAATGGGACAAGAAGAAGCCTCCGACTGAAGGCGACGCCAAGTGCTGAGCTTGAATCGTCTTCAGTCCTACTGAATGCCCAACCACATGCAGTCCAGTGCACTCTAATACAGTCACCTTCCTTCAAATGACGGGAAAACTCGCCGGTATCAGCGTTGCTGCACCTCTTCTGAGGCGCAAATGAGGTGCTTTCCGGTACGCAATAGCGGAGAGAGCCTGGGTTAATATCGCTATCGGTCCCTGTCTGCTTATCAGGCCCATCCACAACGCGAGAAGTCGCAGCATCCAGGGCAAATAAGGCATCATGATGGAACTTACCAAAAATCGCGAGTGATCACCGATACGAAGATCAAAAGAACCACCGGTTCCGCATGGGAAGGATGAGATGATTATCGCTGCAGGTGGCCACGCCGTTGTTCATCCGGGCGGCGGGACCGGAGTGACCGCCTAATCGCTGCCATATCACCAGCGTCATCTCTCTCCTGCCACACTCTCCCTCTCCCCATACTGTACATCTGTACTCTGCACTTCTCTATACCGCTTGATATTACTTCTGTGCCCCTATCGACAGCCTTCTCAAGTCATCTCCTGTCCAAATCCCCTCCGAATCGTCTTCCGGCATTCACCTGCCTTTGAACACCGGCCCCGCCCATATTCTCCCCCGCTCGCCGTGAGGAGGGGAATAGTCTGAACGCTGAAGTCTCTCTTTGACTGCACTTATATTTTCTGATTCTTCTTCATATTCATTCAAGATGAGCAGTCCTAAACGGAGAATTGAGACAGATGTGAGTGGAGCCGGATGTGCTGGATGCCTTCTGAGATCGGGAACTGACTTGAGCCACTCCTCTTTCCTATCTACAGGTCATGAAGTAAGTGGTACATGTATTAGACTTCTCTAATGAAACCTTGCTGACCTTATTACAGGATGTATGCTTTTCCTCTGTTGATATACGAGCTTTGGCGGTCGCTGGCACCATGGGTGGACATTATGTTAATACTTTTACAGGTTGATGAGTGATTATGAGGTGACACTAGTCAACGATAATAGTGAGTTACATGGCTATTCCTTTCACAGTTATGGACACTGACAATGTATTAGTGTAAATTCTCATACAGATCCTTTTTTTTCCCAATGAAACGACACACAACAGGGTATTAACAACATTTATTGGATAGGCAAGAGTTCTACGTCCGCTTCAAGGGCCCGGATGAGAGTATGTGTTTTTTTTTCTGGCTATTTTAGCCATATGATTAACGTGGTGCAGCACCATTTGCCGGCGGACACTGGAAGATTCACGTGGAACTTCCGGATCAATATCCATATAAAAGCCCAAGTATCGGCTTTGTTAACAGAATATTTCACCCGAATATTGATGAGCTGTAAGAGGGTCTTCTCTTTTCCATTTATCTTTCTGTATCGATTGCTGATTTTATATTCTCTTTGCCTAGGTCCGGGTCCGTGTGTCTCGATGTCATCAACCAGACCTGGTCGCCTATGTATGATATGATCAACATTTTTGAAGTCTTCCTTCCCCAGCTCCTGCGGTACCCGAATCCGTCAGATCCTCTCAATGGCGAGGCTGCTGCCATGTTAATGAGGGAACCAAAGAGCTACGAGGCTAAGGTGAAGGGTACGTGACTGCTCCAACATTATTGGGAACAGGGTTGAATGAGAAACTGATCTCTTTTAGAGTACGTTGCCAAATACGCCAGCAGAGAGGCTGTCGACGAAGCCGGAGAAGATACCGAGTCTGAAGGTGAATTAAGTTCCGCTGGCAGTTACGAATCCGACGAGGAGGAACCTGCAGGTACAATGGACGACGTGTGATTGAATTGGTCTACCGAAACCATTCTCGACGTCGAATTGACCCTGTATCTGAACACACATGGACAACAGATATACTGCATTTATATCCGCACATTTGCTTTTCGTCCATCGGGATCAGGCTAGCGGGCGTTTTCTCTCATCTTCTCTTTCTTCTATTTTCGCGATGGAGTTCTGAGCTTTCTGGTACAGCATTGACTACGGCGGTCGGAGGGATGGAGTCTGGGATGGATCTCAATTGGGAGGGAACCGGTGCCGGCGGGTTTTCTTTTCCAAACACCAATATCAATTGCCGCTTCCCTTGTTATTAATTATAAATTCGACCGTCTAGTTGTTAATCCTTTGTCCATTCCTCTTGCCAGTTTTTTCGGCAGGGTATTTCTCAATCCCATGGAGTAGGCTCGCGATTTGTAAGGAAATGAATGATATGAGGAAAGATAATGATTGAAGGGATTTACATGAAGAAAAAAAGGAAGGAAGATGCTCATGACAGGAAAATGAGAGGCAAAAGAGTGAAAAAACAGAAAACAAAGAAATATGCATGCAGCGTGGAGGAATTATAAGAATTAAGGAAGAGAAAACAAACAGCCGACCGGCGACCGATAACGCGGAAGCGAAGAGGACAACGTACGTGACCCTGAGAGGATCAAGTAACCTTCAAAACACCAAAGACATCACGGCCATTACCCTCACTTGTATTCAAACCCGGTCGCGACCTCTTCTTGCGCGGATTGATAACCACTTCCCCCCAGTGTTTCGGGACAGTGCCCCCTTCATGCGGATGGGTAGACGATTCCGCTTCAGCATCTGCGGTTGCAGTGGTAGTTGTCGCAACATGGGCGTCCTGATCAACATCTTGCGAGTGGGAAGGCAGAGTCGCTTTCGGTTGAAGGTGCGGTTGGGGATGTAAGGACCAGATATCGACGACGGAGCTGAACCCATTTCCCATCAATATTTATTCCTTACATTCAATGGAGGGTAAAAAAGATAGAGAGAAACTTACTCGGACGTCCGCTGACAGATCGCATCAAGAGCCTCCCTTTCCCTCTTCAGGTATTCCGGGTCGGGCTGGTTGAGCTGGTTAGCTTGGCTCAGGGCGCCGTAGCCATAACCGGATTGGTAGAGGTCATCGTCGAGGAGACGGGATGATTCAGACTGGAGATTAACATTAGATCGATCGACTCGGTTGTTTGTTTGTTCGTTTGAGGTGGAGTGGAAGGAGGGTCTTGGGTCTTGGGTCTTACTTACATCGTGGTTATCCCGACGATTTAACCCGAGGCAGGAGGCGCAGATGCCCATTTATCGTATCTTCTCTGGAAGAAAGATGCATGAAATGGATAAAGCGCCGGTGATATGTGTGGACTGGACTGGGGAGGAGAGAGAGTGTGGAATTGGCAGCCAGCTGGTCTTCAGTGGTATGGATGATGTGGATACCGGAGGTACTCTGTAACTAACAGTCTAATGTCAGTGTAACAGTATTTATTACTAAGCGGCATTTCAGACTTACCAGTTATGGAAATGGAAATCGCAGCAATCCAGAATGAAACTATGCCCTATGCTCCAAGTAGATACCACTAGATCGGCAATATTCTACACCTCTTGCTGCCTATATCTATAAATCACTAAATCTAGAAAGAGATATGTTGGATAGGGCTGATATATCTGTATCAAACAAGACCAGCCGGAAAAGAGCATTTAAACTTCGGCTCCATGCATTAATATTAACACAAACAATATCTTCAGTCCTTTCATTGCAGAATAAAGGCCTGACCTGGGGAAAACCCCTTCTGAGGTATGGCCATGCCCTAATATCCGTTTGCCATGAGTACTGTGTACTTAGGGATCAGTGTGAGTGGTAATTTTCCTGTCTGAAGCCAACTGAGAGATCAAAATATCCACTGTATGCCTCCGTATGACCATTGCTGTGATCGTGGTTGTGATTGTGTGTTTTGTGCAAAAATGCATGCCAGTCTTCATTGTGCTTCTGGTCATGGTCACTGCTGTCCAGCTCCTTGTGTTGGGCCATGGTATTCTTCTTGTTTTCTGGCATAGGCACTGATCTGTGAAGCGTCTGCGTATGTGGAAATCCCTAGTATGTACAGCTGTACCTTGTGTCTGTTGGACGTGGCGCTTTGGAGTTGCGATTTCTCCTGCAGCCTAGTTTGCAACTCTCCACCTGCTGGCATGTCCAATTTTGTAAAATTTGCCATATTCGGCATGGATATAGACGGTTGAGGGTTGTTTGCAGTATACTGGATGATTTGGAGAGCCTGCCACATAAATGATATATGCACGGCACATAATTTCACCCGCCACACTGAGGGAGGGAGACAGATTGGCCAAAAGGAAAAGCGCCTCAAATCCTGCTAGATGCTCCAGCCTTGCAGCGGGGACTGTGCATGGATTGGAGTTGCCCCTCCTGTCGATTATTCGGGTCTTTGCGCCAATGGAGCCGATGTACATGTCGCCCACAACGTGATGCATTGGGTGAATAACTGGTCTCAACCCAGAGATGACCGGATATTCCCTGTCCAAGTGATAGGTTCTCATTTCTCTGAGGCTATTTGTCCCGGCAGCGCCATCACGCCTCGACAAAGCATATCCTTAGCATGCCTACCCTCCATTGTTCCTTCATGTCATGGGCTACGCCCAGGCGTATGGCAACTCAGGTCCAACAGCTGAGTACCCTGTTTGTCCTATTTGTACCATTTGTTCTGTCTGTCTCTTTTGCTTCATCTGTTTTGTTTGTTCTATTTGTTCTGTTTGTTGCTGGCATGCCGTTGTCTCTCTTCTTCCTCACAAGGAATCCTTCGTGTATCTAGTACGAAAATGAATTTTATATTCAAACCCCTACAGCCAGGGCTTTTGGACCAAACCTGTTGCACTTGTTAAGCGCCAAGCTTTGAGGATCAGCCCTGTAGGCTATAACCCTACCATACCGAATCAGGTATATTATCAATTATACTAATTAACTTTACCCTAGACGTCCCAGTGCACCAACCTCCATACATAATGGTTAAGGAGTCAGCCTATTACACTATGTAACCAGGGCAGTTGCAGGGATGCGTTTTTATTAACGCTGATGAAGGAGGGAGGGGAGACGATTCGGGCAAGATACATTGTAGCAATCAATGTACAATGTCAATCTGAATCCTCCCATTACTCGGCCGCTTCAGCAGTCCGTTCATTCTCGCGCGCATCTACTGCTCATCTCGATTATATATAGTCCCAGAATATTCTACTCAGTTCTTCTAACAACCAGCCCACTCTTTTCTAATTTCACCATCATCATAAAGAAACCACCTCCAAAGTTGCCGACCCCAGAGTAAATCAACTACACTCAAGAAAGCGCGGATTTCGCTCATCTCGGTCGAAATGAAGGTGAGATACTCGATGCCAAATATGTGCCAGAAAACGGCACATACTTGGGTTCATTCCACTCACAGCTACGTTGTTAGTTCCAAATCCATCTTCTCGCCATTCTGAGCATCCTGGGCCGCCCTGTTGTCTTCGCCACTATTCCAGAGGCTGACGTGGACATCGTCGAGACGGTGAGTGTAAACGGCTACTAGAGCTCTATGCAACTCGGGACGAATGGATGAAGCACATGACTGAAGATCATGAGAGATCCCAGTATTGATTATGTTTTGCGTGTGATAAGCCGAGCAAGCTTACTGACGAGCAACGCTTTTACCGTTCACCTAATGTCTTTGCATGGAGATACGATACTGCCGGACCAGATCCAGCTTTCCACTTCCAAATGCTCTTGCGTTGCGCCGCGAGTGTGCCTATAAAAAGCCGGGACGGATCTAGATGCAAGCGTCGATGCCGGAGCTCTGCTCGACCTGTGGCCCATCATGTCCATTCATTCTCTCTGAGCGCTTTACCCTGGCCAACCCCAGGATTAAAGGAGAGGGAGTATCTCGGATTGGAAGAACAGGACAGAGAATTATTCAATTGCTTTGTTCTCGGTTCAGAGAACGGGAGTCTGTGCCAGACCCAATCCACATTGTCAGAGGAATGTTGACAAGACTTCGAAGCAGAAAGCCTGCCAAAACTCGAATTTGAAGACGACATCTCTACTATCACTAAAATATGACTACCACGTTCTGCGCGAAATGGGAACGAGGGACTGGTGAAGGTTCTGCTTGCAACGGAACGGATCTAGAGACAAGAGACTGAACGTATGGTGCAACACCACTGTGGTAGGCTGTTGCAATGGGACATTTGAAGTAGCGAAGCAGCTACTTGAAAATGATTGCCACAGCAGGCTACCAAAAAAGGAAACAGTGAAATGGCAAGACTGCTACTTGAGAAAGGTAAAAGTTAAGAGTCAAGGGCAGAGACTGGCCAGTCAGCATTCTCATATGGCGCGAACAAAGTCATACAGAAGTGTTGAGGCTTTCCCATAGGCCATAGCTGGCGATTTGTATCATGGCTATGCTTTGGAATATTTTACGAGGATGGATATGATGACTGACTGGCATTATGAGGATGAGGTTTGTGCTCGGGACTGTATTGGCTGGGGAGAAGACACTCGTTCTGGGGGTCGAGAAGGGAAGGCTTGTGTTAACCTAGTTGATCGTGATATTGTAACAGCGAATAAATACTGCCGAATGCCGTTTCGCTTCTGGAATGAATGTCTTTGCCTGGCGTTTCCGACAGTATTGGAAGTTCCAAGAGTCAGACGAATATCCTATGCTTCAACAATCAGTCAGCATTGTCCATCCAGCGGACTGTTTCAACCCCGGAAAATGCACCGGCGACCGCGATCCTTCATTTCTCGGGAGATGCAGGAGTAGTTGAATTAAATATAACCGCTCAAAAAGAGCGGAAGTGGCTTGTCAATCAGACTACCAGGCTTTCTGTTCAAAACTCCCCGCATTGCAGATCCCCTCATCTGTACTTGGCAACCATCCCTTACTTGCAATCTTCCACTGTGGATCCCATCACTATGCCAGGCCGTCTAGAGGGCAAAGTCGCCATCGTAACAGGAGCGGGATCGGGGTATGGTCGAGGCATCGCGAAGAAATTCGTCGAAGAGGGGGGGAGAGTGATCATAGCTGAGCTGTCTGGGAAGAGCGGCGAGGAAGCAGCCGCAGAACTCAACTCTACCTTTGTCCTCACGGACGTAACCAAGAAGGCATCCTGGCGGAATCTTCTTCAGACCGTGTTGGACAAGCACGGACAGCTGGATATCGTTGTCAACAATGCCGGGGCTACATACCTCAACAAGCCAACGGTGGATGTCACCGAGGAGGATTTCGAGCTGTGCATGAACGTCAATGTCAAGTCGATTTACCTCTCCACCAACGTGATAGTCCCCTATTTCCTGGAGAATAAGCGTCCGGGATGCTTTATCCAGATCTCCTCCACGGCGGCGCTTCGACCTAGACCACGCCTGACATGGTACAATGCTTCCAAGGCAGCGGTATGTAATGCTTCGAAGACGATGGCTGTCGAGTATGGACCGGATAACATCCGATTCAACTGTATTTGTCCCGTAATCGGGATAACAGGAATGTAAGTAATCCTCTTACCGGACCGGTTAATCTTTTGCAGAAGAATTCTAACTGCGGATCGTCTGGTACAGGACACATCTGTTCCTTGGTAAGCCTGCTACGGAGGAGAACCGCGCTGGATTCGTCTCGACGGTGCCGCTGGGCCGTCCAAGCATGCCCGCAGACATTGCAAATGCATGTGCCTTCCTTGCGAGTGATGAGGCGGCATTCATAACCGGCGTGGATCTGGAGGTAGGCCGGAATATCTTCTTGATTCATTTGTCCAAGCATCGTCACTGACTCAACTCTGCTTTCTTTCCAGGTTGACGGTGGCCGATGTGTCTAGTGTAGTTTGGATGGTTGTGATTGTGAGTGGGAGTCCAACACGCCGGCGATGGATGCATATTCCAATTGATTGCCACCATTGCAACGAGGTAGTTTATTGTCCAGATACAGATTAACCCCATTCAATCTGGCAATGTTGGTGGAAGCTGAAGCCAGCAAAACAAAGACAAGAAATATACAACTGCTGCGTGGCCGCAGCAATAATCGCCGTGGAAATAGAGCCAACCACTTTTGCTTCGTAGACTCCGCAACAGGAAATTTCCGACTCGAACATAGAACGACGAGATCTCCCAGGATCCAGAATCATTATACAACCGCCCTCACAATCTTCTCATACTCAACATACTCAACTGAGTCACTATGTTTGATCTCCCAGACGCAAAACGGTATGTGGAGCGCATTGTTATGCTTGTCAGTCCAAGTTTAATCTCTTGAACTGCGCATCATACTCTTCCTACCTCTCTTCATACATATCCACGAAGCTAACTACCGGTCCAATGCAGCGTCCGTCGCGAAGAAATTCTCTCCGGAACCTCACTATCCCCTCCATCATCCCCCCCGCCTCAAGACTCCATCGAAGACGGATACGCCCGCCTAGGGAAACTACTTAATCTCGACGAGGACGCGTTCATCACTCCATCTGCACCATCTACTACCCATAATGAAGCACCCACCGAGACGCCAACCGCACAGAACGATGTTGAGGAGGAAGAGGAACAAGAATTCGAATTCCGCTTATTCAGTGCGCCTGTTCCCAGGAAGGAGGCAGCAGGGGATTCGGAGAAGGAAATGAACAAGGATGCAGATAATGCGGCAGCTGAAGTGCAGACGCAGAAGTTGCGTATCAGATTACGCTCCCCGACTCCTGCTCCTGCTGATGCGGGGGAAGGGAGATTTGTGAATCCGTCTCGGGGGTGGGAGTATTACTTTTCCACACCTGCATTGGTTTCGAAGGATAGAACTGTCGGTACAACTTCCCATTCCACAGCATGGAGTGGTGCTATTGATGAGAAGAGGAGGGAATTTGAGGCTGTTGCTGTTGATGGCGGGATGGTGCTAAAGTGGGCATCACAGAATTGGGTGAGTTTGTTTCCTTAATTTGTTTGTGTGTCGGGATTCTTTTCAGATACTGTTCTTCCGTTTCCTCTAAAGATTCTAATCCATCCTACAGCCTGGCTGCCATCTACCGTGGCGGATAATTCAACTAAAACGGCAAAATACAAAAATTCCTTCAAAAGACGTCTATATGGTAGACCAACCTGGAAGAACAACATCTCCAAAGACGCGTAAGAAGCCCGGCAAGAAGCGACGTATCCAGCTACGCAAGAAAGTTGCGGCTGCAAATGCGGCGAAGGAGACGGAAGCAGAGAAACGGAATCGGAAGAACCGTGAAAAGAAAATCAAACGGAGACAGAAAGCGAGAGAAATGAAGGCCGCAGCTGCGGCACAGGGTTTAAGCGTTGTATCCACTGGAGATGGTGATGATGTTTCATCACAGGGAGAAGAGAACTAGCCAAGTACGACGTGCTCCTCCGATGTTCTCTTAACTTCGATGTTGAGATATGAAACGTATGTTGGGAGAACTTGCTCCATGACTGTTTGATCATATCCGATGACAAAACTGGTTATATAAATATTCCTTCCAGTAGCTTTACAGCGGAGGAAAATGGGGTATTTTTTCAAACAACCATGGTATACTAGGACAGCAAATCCAGCCTCCGACCATTAGCGGACAGAAATGGGTCTGAGACAAATCGGAGCAACACATGAATCCCGAAAAGACGAATATTAAAAGGAATTCAATAAAGGAATGGGGCCAAATGTACCGGTTTACCACGCGGCATCGAGGAATCTGCGCTCCTTTTGCGTTCCACGAGTTTGTGAAAGGATCTTCGAGAACACACTCGACTCCATTCGATAAGCATGGGTCGGATCATTCCATGGCATATCCAATGGGGATGGTCCACTGTCTCCTTGAAGAAGATCCTGGGGTTTGGGGAACATTCTTCGCGGGTCTTGCTACTCCTGGGCTGGCAGCATGAACAGGGCTCGGGACCCTCCCAGCCCTTCGCTCCATGGCCGAGGCATTGTTTTTGATCCGTGTATTTGGCCCTTCCTTCCTATTCGTCATTCGGACGCCGGTAGACGTTGCAGGTCTTGGATGGATCGACCGCGAAGCTGCTTCCAGACGAAGGGTCATATGTCAGAAATTGCGAATGCGCTCTGTTGGCTGTAAATGGAATCCAACAAACTTACCACCAACATTCGGTGCGTCAAATGCAACAGATGGCCGAGCAGGCCGAGTTTCCGTTCTCACTTCTGGCCCGGGTCCTCTGTTCTCGGAGCGTCTCTCAGCTGATTTCCTTTTCCTCCGCAGGATTCTCTTGATCCTGCTCTTCAGCTTCTGGAATGTGCTTGGTGCTAGGTTATCGTCAATTTAGCGAGGCAGCAGGGGAAATTGACTTTTCACTTACAGTTACGCGGCATTTGCAACAGTGGAGAGGAGTTGAGTGAGGATGTAGTCCAGATCAATTATAGAAGCAGATCCTTGATGTACGATAGATGAAAACAACAATTGAAATATGGGAGAACCCTCACGAGACTTTTGAGAAGAACAGAAATAGCAGTCCTCCCGGCACGGTCAGCACAGAGTCCATGCAGTGTTCTTGTCTGTGTTACTCTTCACCCCTTGACTATTCTTATTCTCTTCAACATCGGCGACTCGGCTGGGTATCTTAAGATATTAATACAATTCTGTTGCAGGCCATATAGTACTACTAGTATTGCAGAAGACTTCCTGTAGGAGTCTTGGAGTGTTACAGAGTAGTCTATTTGAGTCCCAATGCTTTCAACGCATATGAGTTCTTCTGCGTCAACTCATACCTCTATCATGTCTCTATTTACCAGTCTTGTCTCGCAGATGCCTAAGGCTGCTGTGCTAGCTCCTACACCAAGGAGCCCAAAGGAGGAGAATATCCCTCCAAAGATGTATGTAGGCTACAGGTTCTCGTTGTATACAATGGAATTGCCTTTTGTTTTCATTTCATTTCTTCCTGCTACTTATCCAGCACCCCCTCGATCGATCAATTGATTCCCTGCTGCGTCTCTGCTGCCCAGCCCATGGTTATGGGGCTTAATGCTGCAACTGGGTTGGTCTTTGAGAATATACTATGTTTGGCTTCTTCTCTTGCTAGATTGACTTACCACCCTGTGATCCTGTGATGATGAATGCAGCAAGTCTTGCGTGTTCTCCGACGTCCCAGACCACTAGCATTGCCGTGCCGATTAACGTTGGAATGGACACTGCCAAAGACAATATATCAAAGCGTCCTGTCCTGTCAGCTACGACCCCAGCTACGACGGCACTGATGACTGAGACAGCTGTTGCAATGGTGGGCAACGTGTTGACGCGCGAGACAGAGTAGAGATCCGGTTTAGCAGATGGATAAGAATTGAACGGCATTCCCGATGCTTGCGCGTTTTGGTTCAACAGTGTCCATTGTGCAACAAAGATGTACCAGTGCCATCTGGCAAGGACGCGTTTGAAGATATCCCGGGAGATTTTCAGCTGACTGGGCGCAGTGAGACCGGTAAGGCGAGAATTCGCGAGGTCGTGCTCTGCAGTGGTGAGGAATCTCGGCTTGGAGCGATGTGGGACGTCAGGAAAGGCGATGAATCCACTCGTATATGTTAGTTTCGGGTTACTAAACGACAGACTCATACACACAGAATGCAAATCGGGATCGTGATGATAGTGCAGACGATAAATAGCCATCTATTCCCAGTCCAGGCAGTGTCAGTAAGGCCGTCTCCAATCTCTGATAAAGAGCGTACCGCCACCCAGCTAAACCATAGATGTGATTCAGATTCGTATACGCCGCAGACTGGAGATAGCCAGCAAACATTGTGCCCAGAGGTGCAGCAATATAAAACAGAGCAACCCGCCTCCCGATCTCTCCAGGCTTATACCAAGATCCAATAGCATAGATCACACCGGTAAAGGAGCAGGATTCACAAAGCCCCACGAAAAACCTCATTGCGTAGATAGTCTGGACATTCTGTGCCCAGGCACAGCCAAATGTGAACAAGCCCCAGCCTGCCTCCAGGGCAGGGAGGACGACGTTGATACGAGTCCGAGTCAAATAGTAGCATGCTGGAATCATCGAAGTGCAATATGATATCCAGAAGACGATGGTTGTGTAATTCAGCTGATTGCCATGTAAATGCAGATCGGCTTTCATTCCTCTGGATTCAAAGTAAGCATCCAACAAAGAGGTATTCGTATCACGGGCAACTAGACAAGACTAACGAGACATAGGCGTTGGTAATGGCCGACTGGTCGAGGTACTTGGTGAAGAACGAGAGACAACCGAAGACAAGGATTAGAAGGTCGAGCTTCAGCACGCAGTTTCTTTTCTGCATGGGGCATGTCCTTGGGATACCAGCGCAGTTTTGTAAGGGCAGACATCCACAACCCATCTTGAGATTCGTGTGGAACAAGGCCATGGTCCCCAACTTCCTCGACAACGGCGACCTTGTCTGCGTTCTTCTGCTGCATGCTAGAATTAGGTCCGTCATCTAAGCCGGGCGTTTAGACGGCACGAATCTCGCGGGATCCAACCCATGCAGCTCATACAATGCCATCTTTATAAAAAGCTTGACACTTCGCGATCATCTGTCAAGATGGCATCACTGAACTGCCAGCAGTTGTCCGAGATCTCGCAGAATCGGCAGAGAAGTCTGACCTGCGCGTTCAGGCAGATGGCTCGACTGAAACCGTGCCGCCTGTGAATTAGCAGCGCAGAGATCAACATTGACGCAAGACATAAGCCTGATAGCGTTGCAGCTTGACATGAGATATTCAAAGCAGATGTCAAAGCACAATTGTTGTTGGTGAGTAACAATGCTCAGATGGTTGAGCTGTATTCTTGCCACGAAGGGACAAAGTGAAGCTGTAGAAGATGTCCATCAGGAACGGGCCTTTTGTGCTGAAATCAATGCAGAATCCATCTCTTTCCAAGCAGTAGACAATGCACCAGCTGCATTCTAAATGTATATTATCAAAGCGACTATGCCGATGTTTGAAAGTAGGCAAGAGGAAGAGTAAGACGAACCCCCGCTCTGCCGAATTGCTTTCTCCTCCACCGCTGCACCCTTCTCCCTCGTCTTCCACTGTCTTGGAATACTAACAATCCCCGACCGTCCTTAGATCAGCCTCAGAGAATGCCCGAGGATCATTCCGCGGCAGCGTCAGCAAGCGATGGTGTCAGAGCGCCGGCGACGGAGCGCACGGCCTTGCTGGGCGATGCCCGCTCGACAGCCAGCTCCGACGACAGTGAGGCCCCAGACGATCCCGTGTTGAAAGAAGCCAGCACGAGGGAATTGATTCTGATTCTGGGGAGTATCTGGCTGGGTGTCTTTCTTGCTGCATTAGGTATGATCATTCCGTTGCTTCATGGACTGTCATAATAATATCCGTCTCCAGATACAACCGTTGTCGCGACGCTTACGGCTCCCATATCCTCTTCATTCCACTCGTTCTCGCTGCTTTCCTGGCTGGCGACCTCGTACCTCATCTCCAATGCGGCCGTTCAGCCGCTCAGCGGTCGACTGACCGATATCTTCTCCCGACGGGCAGGATTGCTCTTCTCCAACTTCTTCTTCGCCATCGGTAATCTCATCTGCGGGCTCGCGAACAGCGAATTGTCCATCGTCATCGGCCGGATCGTCGCTGGCATCGGCGGCGGTGGTTTAACGGTTATTTCAACCTTTGTCACATCGGACCTGGTCCCTCTTCGTCATCGTGGAGTCTGGCAGGGCATTGGTAATATTTTCTATGGCGCAGGAAGCGGGTTGGGCGGTGTCTTCGGAGGCTGGATCAACGATAACTTGGGCTGGAGATGGGCGTTTTTGATACAGGTGCCCTTTTTGGTTGTCTCGATGGTCCTGGTCGCATTCAAGGTGACCGTACCTGTTAAGGAGACGGACACGTCGAGAATCAAGCGTGTCGATTTCCTCGGTGCCATTACGCTGCTCGTCACGCTTGTTCTGTTCTTGCTCGGTCTCAACGCAGGCGGGAATCAGGTCCCCTGGACTCATCCTCTTGTTCTCACTTCATTGCCTCTGTCTGCATTGTTCCTGGGTATATTCATCTACGTCGAAGCAAACATAGCCGCGGAACCAGTCATCCCCGTCCGTCTCCTGCTGAACAGAACTGTCTTCTCCGCCTGTCTGACGAACTGGTTCGTCACCATGGCCGTCTTCGGCCTTCTCTTCTACCTCCCCCTTCTCTTCCAGATACAGGGCTACTCGACCACAGCAGCCGGTGCACGCCTCATTCCCCAGGCCATCGGAACCTCCCTCGGCTCACTGGGCTCGGGTATCCTCATGCGCACCACGGGCCGGTACATGCTGTTCAGCCATATCTCGATGATCCTCCAGATCCTCTCGACGGGCTTAATCTGCACTTTGAAGTTAACCTCCCCGCCTATTCTACCGTTCATCTATTTCTTTATCCTAGGGGCCGCATACGGGAGCATTCTCACCGTCACGCTGGTCGGACTCATCTCGGCCGTCAGCCATGATTTCCACGCCGTTGTTACCTCGGCTTCGTACGCATTCCGCAGCACGGGAAGCACGATCGGTATCACCGTTGCCTCGGCCGTTTTCCAGAATGTTCTCAAGGGGGGCCTGTGGTCGCGGTTCGGGGATCGGGAGGGTGCCGGCGATCTGATCTCTAGGATTAGGGATAGTCTCGACGAGATTAATAAGATCCCCGAGGATTGGAGACCGGGCGTGTTGGCGGCGTATACGGATTCGTTGAGGGCGGTGTTTCTGACGCTGCTTGGGTTGAGTGTGTTGGGAGCGTTGGCGAGTTTGGCCATGAGGGAACATGTGTTGCATACGAATTTGGCAAGGAAGTAAATATGGCCTAAGAAGTTTACATCTATAAAGATCTTCTGAGCATATATGAGAATAGATATATAGAGGGGAAGTATATAGTGAGGTTCAATTTCATTTCAATCCGATCGCTGTAGCCATGCCTATGCTTAATATCCAACGCCCTCCAGTCCCAGTTCTACATCCAGCACTGATGCAATGCAACATAGCATATATGAACAATCTCCAAATATAACCCGAGCAAGAAAAAACAGACTAGACTAGCCAGATGGGTATTATAAGCAAAACCAAACAATCTGAACAGTGATGATGATGGAACGCTTAATTTAGCAAATCATAAGACGAAATCAAGGCAGGAAACAGATATCTCTGCAGAGGAAAGAAGAAAAACAGTCGGGAAGACGAAGGCATCACAACACTTTCGTCTTCATCCACTCACTTGTGCCTACACCAAGATTAAGCCCATTTCGCGCCCACCATCTTCTAACACGGCCTTCAGCCCCCGAGACAGGATCAGCGTCTTCCAGCGCCTCCTCGATATCGCACGTCTTGAATTCAACGCGCAACCCGCTCCGTCGCCACCATTCAAGGACATTGTCGTGTCCGTTCTTGGTCGGACCGACCAGGACCTGGCTGTCAAAGATCATCTTCGGTCCTTTAAGACGGTGCCAGAATTCGAGGACGTGGACGTGGCCGTGCGTGGAGGCGATGCGGGCGACAGATTCGGCGTGGCTATATGGGATTCCGGAGGCATCCCACCAGGCCAGAGAGGCGGTTCGGCCGGACTGGGCGGCCAGGAGGACAGATTTGCCCACTTTCAGGGGGATGGGGTGTGAAGGGGGAGCGTTGGAGGAGGCGTGTTTCCACCAGTCGAGCACGGCAACGTGGCCTTCTGCGCTGGCGGATTCGAGGGCTCGTTCGGTATATTTCAGTTCGAGACCGGAGGTGCGCCACCATTCTAGAACGTTGACGAATCCAGCTCGGGAGGCGCCGTCCATGGCGTCCGCCTTATATTCCTTTGTTGGGAGGGAATGAGTATCGCGCCACCAGGTCAATATGGCTGGATTGCCATAGATGGCGGAGGCGCGGTAGGGGAGGTCCCTGAGACGGGGAGTCGTGAGAAGGTCCGGATGATTCTCTGTCAGATAGGATAGGATATCGGTGCGGGAGAACTTGAAGATGAGGTGGCAGGCTAGGTTGGAAAGGAGTTCCCAGCGGGGTAAGGAATTGAGACGTTTCCTTATCGAGGAAAAGGAACCACGGAGGATGGCATACTCCAGTGATGCCGGTGTGGACATCTTCAGAATATGGGACTGCCATTCCGTGGGAACAGGGAGACGGGTCGGGATGCCGACTGCCTTGGCTATTTCCCAGTCTCCAAGCTGGTCCTCGAAGATGTTCAACCATATCTCAAGAGGAAGCGCATGAGGGCCATGAGCAGGCCCGTTCGTGGATCGGGGTTGTAGAAGCCTGGATGTCGAAAGGACGATGGTGTTGGTAGACGTCTTATCTGCTGGCACGGTAGGCAGTGAACTGGACCCATTCAACACAAACTCCTTGGCAGCCGGACAATATTCCAAATGCAGGACATTTTGAATGGTCTTATTGAGCTCCTCCAGTCCACCCCAGGGTAACCGGACTAGCTCCTCGGGGCCATTCGACTTCCATAAAATGGGCGTAACAACATGGATCCAGGGCCAGAACTGCTCGATTTCCTTCAGCTGCCTTTTGCTCAGCGGATGCCTCCATTCCGGTATCGTCATCCCCGGGACAAGAACAACAGGCTTCGACGAGATCCAACACCGAAGAAGGGATTGTGTCAGGGTATTAGTGAGACCCGCCAGCATCGATCCCAACGTCCCAGCGTCTATAGGCGCCACCAAAAGCAGATCGGCCCATTCGCACAGCTCAGCCGCCTTTGCCTTCAGCCATCTTTGCGCCCCTGTTTTTTTATCGAATGTTTGATCATCAACGGTATCGGTGTAATGTGGGATCTTGTTCGCACCGGCAAGCGACGCGGACGGCTCGTCCGTTATAAGACGCAGTTCGACTTCGGGATCCCGGATGAGAGAAGGGAGAACCTGATCGGCGAAGGAGCTTTCGGTTGAAAAGAGCAAGCGTTTCGGCGGTCGCCCCCTTCGAGATGCGCTGTCGCATTCCGACGAGGACTTCAGTCCCTCCGCGTAGAAAATTGTGTAGCCATCATGGCCCCCTATCACCATTTCCTCGCCATCTCCCTCAACCTCCATCTCACTGGACAAGATGCCCTTCGATGGAATACTTCGAGAATCTCGGGGCGTCGTAGATGTATCTGGTCTAAAACCAACTGCCATACCAGAGGGGGTTCGTCACCAGAATCGGAGGAAGGGCGGCTGGGCAAGTTATCGTAGCGGTCGATATGGGTGTATTCAGAAGGATCTGGAGGAGAATCGAGGAAGAGGATATAGTTAATCAGAGCGAATGTTTGGGGGAAATCGAATAAAATAGTGGCATTGATGGTGTTCTATTCCCAACCGCAAGCTGATACTCTCCTTATTATACTCCACGAGAGAGCTCCGAAAGAACGCCGTTCCTGGTCGCCACGTTTCTCGTCACCGCAAAGTCGACGCCAGATCGACATCCAACACAGTCCAGACGCACGCAGTCGGGCAGCAGATGAGAAAGAGGGACAGGCGTGGATTAAGCACAGAAGCCCAAAAGACGTCTGATAAAGAGTCCGCGTCCTGGCCATCCATGTCAGGCCACGGCGCAGCCGCCAATCAGTCGGCCGTGCTGTCTTTGTCGGCCATCATCTTGACATCTTGCACTCCTTCCTCGTCCACCTCATCTATCGGCGAAACAGGTCAGTTATCGTTACTCTATCCGTTCTGCATGGCCGGTCATGGCTCTGTCCATGCTCGTTAGGTTCTCCGCAGCTTCGCCCCGACTGGTATGGTGGACAACACATTGAGTTTATGGGATTACTGATGCATAACGCGTAGAGGCTTGTACCCTGGAAATGGTATCTACGGGGTATTGATACTATCTTCTATTACTGACATGTCGGTCATTTATCATAAAACCATGCGGGATTCCGCGCAGGAGGGAAAGACAGTATCCGTACAGAACGTGGCTGGCTGCAAGGCCAATGCTGTACGTGGATCTGTGGGTACATACATGCCAGCCACTGCGAGAGAGGGAACAAGTGTGCAACACCGCCGAAAGGAATGGATGGAAAGCATCAATCACTTCAGAAATACGACAGAACACCAGTCTTGATAAAAATGTCAAGCTTCCCAATCAACAAAGAGTGTCAGTGCATATTCAATGCTCCAGCTAGACTAGTTCCTGTCAAGTTCCAGTGTTAGCATTTGTTCCCATAAAATAAACCCGGTTCTGAATATGACCAGGGACGTACCATGTGGGTTCCGATTTCTCTACGGCCGGCGTACGAATCGCGTTTCGATCTCCAAATGGGTTGTTCTCATCGTCGTCATCATTATCCGACTCTGACTCAGTGTCGCTGTGATATGTCCATTGGTTAGGCTTGGAGGATGCTGGAAGTGACAGGCTCGTGGGTCGAGCGGAACGGGGAGGACGGGGGGGTTTCGGAGGATTAATGGTAAGCCCGGAGAATCTCTCGTTCATGGTCTGATCTTCAAATCTGTGGCCGGGAGACCGCCTGCCCCCCAAGACATCCTCATCACTGTCACTGTCTTGGTCAAGACTCTTGTCTAGAACTTCAAAGGCCATGAGAGCTGTGACTAGTTCCTCATTCGCATGAATAAGGCTGCCTAGAAACTCCTCACTCTCCACGACCTGGATATAGCGGAGAATTTTGCGTCTGAGTTCCTTGCACAGATCAAATTGATGAACCGCTTCCGCGTCTTCGCTGACTCGGTGGCTCTCGCGGTTGACCAGTCTGACGGCATTCAACAGATTGGTGCTGGCAACAGAGGCAGCAGCAAGGGTATTAAGGATTTCTGGCCTCTCTTTCGCTATGCTAAAGCTTCTTTCATGGGATGGCTTCTTCTTTTCCTTCTTCTTCGATTTGTGACTCGCTGGCGCCTTAGGAGATGAGAGAAGGGTTGGCGGTCCATTGCCGGCGGAGATGGAAACGGAGTGCCCCAGTGGTGGTTCATTCGATGCGCTACTCTCTTGGAGAATTTTGGCCTTGGCCACTTTTGCAGGCTGATTACGCTTTGGAAGCTGTCGGTAAAGAGCAGTCACTTTCTCCATTCCCGGGGTGTCTTTGTACGATACTGCCCACTGCCCGAAAAGCTGCTTGCACTTCTCTTTAACATGCGGGTCGGAAACTGGGTCTGTAGCAGCGATTCGCAGTCGCTCAAGTAAAGGCTCGTCTGCGAACAGCCGCAGGAAGCGCTCACCAGCGTTCTGGATGAGAAAATCAAGAATGCTAAGGGCTCGTAATTGCCGATGGACATTTCCATACTTTCTGAGCGAGGATTAGAATCTGGTGGATGAGAAGAAAGCACGAGGTGTAATAGAAACTGACAGCTTCTTTCTCAAAGCACGACTAGCCTCGGTTGGACCAGTATGCTGTATGCGTATGGCCTCGATGAGGTCAACAATACCACTTGAGTCATCCACTTCATAATTTTCGCTTGTTAGTAGTTCGATCTGCACGGTGACGGCAGAATACGGCTTCTTCAATCAGATGTGAACAGTTAGTCAATGGAATCGTCGCTCTAGGTCTCCCAACCATGGAACTGGGTCATTGGGAACACCTATGACCACTTCGTAGACAAGTAAATAAACAAACTCACAGATGAAGAAAACATGATGGATGTTGGGTCTGATGTTCGAGGGGCTATTCCTAAGCTTATTAAAGTCAGGAATCTTTCGAGGTTTGTACGTCAATTGGCTTGTTCTTCAGGGCGTCAATATTCCCCTTGATGGTTAGAGCTTATCGCGTGGCAGATCCCCCTTCCGATAGAGAAGCCAGGAAACCAGCCAGCTGGGCACAAGTCTCAGAAATAGAAATCGATGATAGCAATGAAAAGGATGTATGGTACGGGCAGTCTTAAATGGTCCAAAACGTGACGTTGTATTATCGGCTGTCAGGACGATTGACTGCCTTGGCGATCGGGATTCGGCCTTGCGCCGGGATTAGTTAGATACAGAAATGCAAGGATTAAAGAGACAAAGACTGGGAGCGAGGGAGCGAGCGTACGACAGCTCGATCAAGGAGATGGCTCGAGAAGCAACGGCAGAGAAGAGATTCAGACTGTCCTGAACTCCTCAAGAGTCGAAACTGAAAGTTGCAACAGCCCGTGATTGCCTCTTTCGTACCAGGCCAGAAGCAGTTTAGCGCGGGGCTGACAGCCTGAGCTTGTTTGTCCGTTTTGTTCGATGCAACGCCGCAGATTGGTTTATTGCTCCTGCTTGGAAGTAGAAGAAAAGTACAGCTCGGAGGACAACTAGGAGCGTTATATAGACAGGAGGAGCAAGAGGGTGGTCAGAGACAAGACCTCTCCGTTCCAGATGTGTAGCGCAGTTACGGAGCACTCAGCTGTGCGACTCAGCAGACAGTCGAAACCTGCAGTCATCATTGAAGTCAAGGCCATGGCTATAGATTTATGCCGTCCTCAAGCGTCGCTCATGCTGCAGAGTCTCTATATGAAAGCTATAGATCAATCTATATATGTGGTGGACAATTCATGCCATAGAGATGAATGCAGGCTCCGTCGAGCTCCAGGTCCCTACTCAACCCAATGCCCAGTTTCAGATCAGGCCGCTCAGAAACTACGCAGATAGGCCAGTCAGAAAGCGTCGACAGTTTACCAGACAGTAGAGATAGGATTGACAGCGGAAGAGTAAATATCCTGCATGGCGCAGAGACTTAAGCTTGCGTTGTGCCGAGCTTCTGACCCACTCCAACCAGCCCAGGAATCAGCTCTTAATTCCAGATGGGCAGACTGAACATACAATTTCCTCTCAGTTCCTGCTTCTATAGTCCCAGACGCCTTTTGTCCCAACTTCTGCTCTGGTCCATCCTCATCCTGGCCTTCAGTGTCGTCATAAAAGTGCAGCCCCGCCTCGCGCATTTCATTCCCCGCACCACCCGCGCCGTTTCAACCTCCTCTCAATCCATCGTGCGACTTGCGTCTGCAGAGAAAAACATGTCGTACCAAGAGGAACGGTTCATTGCCGAGCTTGCTGTTCAAAGAGCCACGCTTTTCACGCAGAAGGTGTTCTTCGAAAAAGCTAAGGGAACAGTCTCCAAGGATGACAAGTCGCCCGTCACCATTGGCGATTTCGGTGCCCAGGCCTTGATCCTCCAGGCCATCCGCAAGAACTTCCCAGGCGATGAGATAGTCGCCGAAGAAGAAGCGAGTTCGTTGCGAGAGAATAAGGAATTGAGCGCTGAGATCTGGGAGCAGGTCAAGGATATTAAACTGCAGGATGTGGAAGGGGACAGCCTGCTAGGCGGGCCCATACCGAGCGAGCAGGCAATGTTGGATTTGATCGATCAGGGGAAGAGTGCCGGTGGGCCAAAGGGACGTATCTGGGCCTTGGACCCTATTGATGGCACCAAGGGTTTCCTCAGAGGTGGCCAGTACGCTGTTTGCCTGGCCTTGATTGAGGATGGGGACGTCAAGGTGGGAGCTATTGGCTGTCCTAATTTGCCGGTCGACGATTCAGCCACCCTTTCTGTCGGAATTGGTGCGCACCAGGCCGAGAGTTCGGGAAATGGCGTGCTCTTTTCAACCGTTAAGGGCACTGGCGCCTTCAGTCGGCCTTTGACAAATGGTTCTTTGGCTGCTAGCAAGCCCATTTCCATGCGCCCCGTGCCTGACATTACACACGCCGTCTTCTGTGAAGGTGTCGAGGCTGCTCATTCCTCTCAGAGTGACAATGCTGCCGTCGCTGAGCGCCTTGGAATTACAAACCCCAGCGTGCGGTTGGATTCCCAGGCCAAGTACTGTTCAATTGCCAGAGGTGCTGGCGATATTTACCTACGGTTACCGGTTAAAAAGAACTATCAGGAGAAGATCTGGGATCACGCTGCCGGAGACCTGCTCGTCCGCGAGGCTGGTGGGCAGGTAACCGACATTTATGGCCATAGGTTGGACTTCAGCAAAGGCAGGACCCTGGCTACCAACACAGGCGTCGTCGCGGCGCCCAAGGCCATACAGGACCAGGTTATTGATGCTGTGAAATTTGTCTTGAAGCTATAAGAGAAATCTCTTTTAGATGCATGCTCCTCAGACCATGGGGGTTACCAAAAAAGACCAGGTACATCTAGAGAGTACATTGGTACCAACTCAGCTGGTAGATATGACAAAATATATCTAAATATACAAGTAACAAAAGCAAAACTCGATCCAAATACCCATGTTCATTTGATCTTTTTGGCCTTCAATCTGATAGTCTCCCCGTTCACGAAAATACCCTTACCCTTATATGGTTCCGGCTTCCTCCATTGCTTGATCTCCGCCGCAAACTGCGTCACAACTTCCTTATCGATGCCCTCCAGCAAGATACGCGTCGGCTGGGGCGTGCTTGCTTTGACGCCCTGCGGAACTCCCAATTCAATTGGGTGCGAATATCCGACCTTAAGAGAAACGAATTGCTGTCCGGGGTATTCGGGTTCAACTGTGGTTGCGGACGACTCAACGCTAGCCCTGTAACCCACACCGACGAGACTCAGGATGCAGACGTGACCCTCCGACACTCCCAGAACGTAATTCTGTAAATGCGCCCGGGTTGTTCCTAATAAACGCATATACTGTTAGGTGAAAAATACAGACCAAAAAAGGTACATTCAACGGCGTACCCCACATAGCACGCTGGTGCGCGATAGTTGGATCCTGAACGGAAAGGTTTGCTTTCCGGAGAGCTTCGTCATGTGCGACATCAATAAACGGAGGTATTTTCAAGGTCAATTCGCCTATAATGAGAAGAATTGGTCATTAGTATCTCTTCCGGAGAGCGTAACTATTTACCCGGATAAAATTAGCACCCACCTAATGGGCCCTTGATTTCAATTGCGGTCTTGGGGATTTCTTTAGCTCTCCCTCGTGTCTTTGCCTGAGGTAGATCGATGAAGTTAAGTGAGACTTCGGGGGGGATTGATATCGAGGCGCCGCCGACACGAGACTGCGCCGAAGATGTGGTTGAGAAGCATTGTGCTCTGAGAGGATGAGAAAACGCAGGGGCTAGGAAAACAGGTAGTGAATTTCGTCCGAGGGAGTTCCGCACAAGCTGCCTTAAGCAGCTGTGCTGTATAGAGCATGACATGGTGGTTGTCTGCTGTGTCTGTTATTGTTAATCGTCCTTCGACTCCGATCTTCTCCAGGGATTTTGATCGGAGACGCTCAGGCCGAATGCGGTTAGTGTAACACGTGACCATATCACGGCTCTACATAGAAGACTGGCAACGCGTTTAGTTCTTCAACCGGGGCTTCTTGCTTTTATAAATCAGATATATGCTTATGATGGAGATTTGTGGCTCTGAGGATTATTGTCATATTTAATGGATGGATATCTAACACGTTTGGGGATGATATGATCCAACTCTGATCCCACGCTCCTCCGTCCTCAATCCTCTACGAAGTCCACCATCTTTACTCTGCTAATCCGTTCATTATCTTCTCGTGCTGTCTTCTTTTTTTTTTTCTTAACGCATCTATAATTTAACCAGGCAGTGCTGTCTCGGTAGTCCTTCTCTTCTTTCCATCTTGTTTCTACGAAAGTTGTCTTCAAGATGAAGGTCCATGCAAGATCTTCCTTGCTTTCAGTATCTTCCTATATTCTCCTCCTTTCTTTACTTCTCCACATTTCCAATGCTACAACAGATGGTAAGTCCCATTTGACGACTATTAATTATGGGGTTGAAGCGCTAATGCAAGCAGATCTGCTCATACCAGTTGGCAGCTCCTCCCAGGAGATTGACCTTGTGTCATTTCTAAATACAAAAAGTCAGCAGCATGACGCTATCTTCAATGAAGCTCTTAGCCTTTTAGAGTCCATGAAGTCGTCTCCGTCTTGCAACCGGATGGCAGCTACGAGACTCGTTACGTCTTGCCAGTCCATTGGAGGCAAGGCAGACCGAAATGAGGCTGATAACTACGTGACTCTAGACCATGTCAAGTCCCTATATGCGGCAAGACTTGCTATCTGTGAACTGAATGGAGCAGGAGCCTCTGTTCCTCCTCCATGTTTATCTGTGACTGTTCCTCCAGCGCAGAAGAAAGGTTTTTTCGGATTCTCCACCAAGGGCAAGTCTCAGACGACGATGGTAGACTCAATGCCGGCTGGTACGCTGGAGTCTTGCCTGAGATCATTGGAATCACGCCCCCAATGGTGGACATCTTATAGTAACAGCAGGCAGAATGCTGTGGTTATATGCCAGGCAGCAAGGGTCGAGATTGAAAAGGAGGAACTACTAGAACTTCACAGATCGACTGTTGAGAATACATTTGAGCTCAACAACAGGCTTCAGGAAGTTTTACGGAATGCAGCAGCGGAGTCTTTGCGACATAAAGACTTTTTACGTGAAGTTGACGCCATGAGGGCAAGAGTAAGTTATGAACTGGGAGAGACGGAATCATATATTAAACGAAAATTTTCCAATCTCCTAAATGACGTTGAATCTGCGGTTGGGTCGGTGGTTTCTGGTATGACCTCAGCGCTCGGGAGAGTACATATGGAGACTACAATCCTGGAGAAGGTATACGAACTCTTCTCTCATGAAAATCAATGCTTACATACGGTAGGACATCAAAAATGCTACCAGCAGAGTCGGCCATCTACAGATGGTGCTTCAGTCAGTGCATGAAGAGGCTTTAGCAAGGGGTGAAAAATTGCTAGATACGCATCAACGAAATGCGCAGGCAAATTTCGAGCTTGCCTCATCTCTACAATCATCCTTAGAATCGGTTCTAAAGAGTGACATAGTCAGTATCTCTCAAAAGGTCGAAAACTTCGATTCCGCACTGGTAAGTAGACACAGTACGCGCCCAAAGATTTTGAAATTTACTGATGATTGCAGGCATGGCTGATGGGAAGGATGGATCTTATACTGCAACAAGAAGTCAAGATATCAGAGGTTTGTGGCTGTGCTGTTGCGCATATTATAATCCATGAAACATTAACGTTTGTAGCATCTGCGAGACTTTGAGACAGCACTAGAAGAGTCTGAACTGAGAGCTGAGAGATTACGGGAATCACAATCGTTGCAATCTGAAGCCATCGCAGCACAGTTTCAGGCTCAAGAAACCCTCCAAGGGAATATGAAAGTCGCACAGACTTTACTCGACAAAGCAACTGCCACAGCTGCCAATCTGCAGTCGATGATTGATGAGACGGGAGGAAGACTCAGAGACTCTCCCACTCTGCGCAACGTGTTTAGCGCATTCGCTCCTGGGACTTTATGTGCTCTTCTTCTCAGTGTCATCGGGGCTCAGAATTATAGAGCTGGTATAACAGCGCTTTTTATTTATACCCGTAAGTAACTTCTTGGTGAAACTTGTATCCATGACTGACCCGGTTCAACAGTCCTTTCAATTGCCACGAAAGTCTTTTAGTTGATCATCTTTCATTTATGATGAGTTTACGCCTATTTCACTTTATTTTATTAAATATCATCGGTGTGGCGTCTTATCTAGCGTTCGGCTCTTGTTTTTACCTCTCATTTCACGTTGCTTGCATTTATTAAGGATCATGACGATGACACCGCCATATACAGCAGACTTGACGGTTTTCTGTCTTTATCGGCAGGACTAATACCCCCTTTTGCTTTGGGGATCGCTAAGGTGGATTTATAGAACTTACAATAATAGTAAATAGACTTTAATCGTTCCTGTCATAGATATATCTATGGCTACGTCCTACGTCGTTCCCAGTGCTTCTCCTGTTATCTGCCGTACAGATTCATCTGAATTAAGCCAATGCCTTGCAATAATAATTGGTCTGGCTGCCATGTAATTATTCACCATTATCTTGCCGTAATTAAGACATGGAATGAATAAATCTCAACAGCTCCAGCGAGCTACACCTACGTTCTTCAACCTTCTCCAACGTGCTCCATCTTGCTTTGCATGCCACAAATACCTGAAATAAACCCCAATAGTTCTACCAGGCAACTGCAAGGATCAATATCTACGGTCTTTGATAACCAAACTAACCAACTCCCTGCAGTCTGCGGAGTATTGAGGACATAACTCGGAGGTCCCCGTCTCGGGTGTTTGCGAGCAAGCCACAGAATATTACATGAACAGTAGATATTTTTCAGCTAGCCACTGTTCATTAATCTATGAGCTTTGTACCGTTCTGGGTTGTCAGCAACATAGACCGACGGGTGTGTGTATGCTGTATGTATACTCTACGCTGTAGACAGACTGGTAAATGGATACATGCAGTGATCGGCAGTGAGGATTATCCACTGCATGGCATGCGAAAAGAGCGGAACTGATGGTTTTATCAAACTGCAAGCTGAATATTGGATGCAGGCCAGCTGTAAGCACCAATATATGGAAATCCATAGTGAAACCCCTCGCTGTAGGTCCTAAAGAGGAAAATAATCCACAGGATCCTGCTTTTGCGCATGCACCCTCGTCTTTTCACCTCGCTCTTACTTCTTGAACCCGTCGTTGGTGGCAGCATTTTCGCAGTGCAAGGCCCGAGACTGGTACGGGGAACATTGAGCCAAACGGCCGTCCGGCCATCACGATCAGCTGTTGTCACAACAGCCAGAAAGATTCGCAAGAGGTGGGATCCCAGAGTGTTTGAGCGCTGGATCAAATAGGCGATTGCGATCAGCCAGTCGCCATATACTCCGAGGCACGAAAGAAGGGGACGCTGTCGATGCTTCATCGACGTCCAGAGAATCCGAATAGACAGTCACGACTATAAAAGCATCCATGATCGACACCTTCCCATGCCGGACTGTAACTGATCATCTGGAGGTTTGTTAATTAATTAGACGCCGACTGGTGCCTGACTATTATTAGCTGATTGATCAGCGTCCGTCATAATATGATAGAATAGACCGCAAGGGATGGAATCAACCCTTTGGCATCTGCCACTGAACATACCAGATGATAGACTCCATCCTCGACCATAGAGCTCTCCTCCAGCAGAGTTACACGACGGCGTGGAACTGGATCAGTACGGTTAACGCGACCAAACTGCTCCGTTTCCTACCCGTCGCGTCGCTAGGCACGGCGTTCCTCGGCAAACACCCAGCCGTTCAAAAAGACATCTTCAAGGCTCGATGCGAGAGCCTTATCGACAAGATTGACCTGGAAAATGTCACGGTCAATTTTGTCGATTATGTTCCTTCGGGAACGAAGTTATCTCTGGGAGATATCCCGGCCTCGTGCGGTGCGGCGTACCAAGTCGCCGCGGCGGATGTATGCCGCCTGAATATGGTCGTGGCGACGTCAAATGCAAGCGAAATCATGCTAGAGGCATGGCTCCCTCGAAGCTACAAGGGACGGTTCTTGAGTGCAGGGAACAGCGGTTTCTCGGGGTGTACGTGACTAGGTTCCAAGTCTCTTCTGAGCGGTCATGCGCGTTCTAAAGTCAAGGATGGAAAGAATAATAAAATAATCAAATGATGTGAGCATAGGCATCCCATATCTCGACCTTTCATACGGCTCCTGGATGGGGTTTGCTACGGTTGCGGCGAATAACGGCCACAACGGTGATACTGGCAAACCATTCTACCGGAACCCGCAGGTTCTGAAAGACTTTGTTTATCGCTCTCTGCACACGGGGGTTGTGGTCGGAAAGGAGGTCACCAGTCTGTTCTACGACGAGGGCTTCGACAAGTCGTACTACTTCGGTTGCTCCACGGGTGGCCGTCAAGGCCTCATGGCCGTGCAGCGGTTCCCGGATGACTTCGACGGCGTGGTAGCAGGTGCGCCGGTGTTCAACTGGGTCAACTGGATTTCTTGGATTGCAAATTTCTACCAGATTACCGGACCACCGACTGCTGATACATTCCTCCCCGTGTCGCTCTGGGAAATCGTTCGGAAAGAGGTCCTGAGACAATGCGACCAGATCGACGGAGCCAAAGACGGCATCATCGAGGATCCGGATCTTTGCCATCCAACCTTCGAGAGGTTGATATGCCGGCACGATGCGGAGGCGGATAACTGTCTAACGGGTGCACAAGCAAGAACCGTCCGCAAAGTTCTATCCCCTTTCTACGGCGTGAATGGGACACTGATATACTCCCGGATGCAACCCGGAGCAGAGATCTTCGCTGCGTACGCCTTGTGCAACGGAATCCCGTCGCACTACAGCGAGGAATGGTTCCGATACGTCGTCTACAATGACCCATCCTGGGACGTTCGAAACTTCACCATCCACGATGCGGCAGCAGCATTAGAACAGAACCCGTACAACATCCAAACCTGGGACACAGACCTCTCCGCCTTCCGAGACGCAGGTGGCAAGGTCCTTGTCTACCACGGCCTCCAGGACGGACTGATCAGTTCGGACAACTCCAAACTATACTATTCACTCGTTGCGGAAACGATGAATCTCCCGCCGGACGAACTGGATGACTTTTACCGCTTCTTCCCCATCAGCGGGATGGGACACTGCAGCTCCGGCGACGGCGCTAACGCTATTGGAAACGGCTATTTTGGATATGCCGGGAGTTCGCCGGAAGATAATGTGATCATGGCCGTGGTGCGATGGGTGGAGGAGGGTATTCCGCCGGATACCCTCCGCGGCACGAAATATGTCGATGGGATATGGTCGCCTGTTGTATATAAACGCAAGCATTGCAGGCATCCCCGGAGGAACGTATACAGGGGTCCTGGGAAGCATACGGATGAGAATGCGTGGGAATGCATCTGAACATAGAGGAACATGTTGCTTCCTACTGTAGGCATTGCGGATTAGTCGGCCTGAAAAGCTAGTTGGAGCAAGGATTTAGGGATATATACCTAGATAGATTCTCAATATTGAGGGTCGCAGTAAATGCTGACCCCAGTGAATTCCCTTGTCCTGGTCGCGAGCAAGCTACTCTACTTCAAGGATGTACTGTATCTCTCAACGCTGATGGGAGACAGGGCTGACTGTAGCAACTTCCTATTCTGGCTAGTGCACCATGTGACGTAACCCCACAGCACGAGGGCGGTGGGGACAGCGGTCTACGCGGGCAGAAAGAGGGCTGATTCCAAGCTCGGAAGGTCCAACGACGCTCAACCCTTTGCGACTTGTCTTGGAGCTGCTCTGAATCCTCCGTCACCACGATTGCTGTCTGCTATATAGTATATCCTGGGCTTAGCCATTCGATCTGCGCGTTGTCTCTCGGACGTGCACAGCTGCTTGCCCTGATCCTCCGCAACAGAGCCACCGCCTAGCACCTACCGGTTCTTATTGACCAGTGGTTTTGCTCAGCCTCTGCAGCCCACACTGCTCCCAGTCCATTGATGGTGTAGGCCCCGGAAAACAACAGCTATAGCTATCGGTTATATTATTGTCAGCTTGTCAGCACCAACTCCTTGCCCCCTGGAGACATTCGCGATTTCGCCTGTGCCGCTTGGCGACGCTAATTTACCCCGCAGAGATTATTTATTCTCTTTCTCACACGCCGAGTTTGTGAAGGTGCCGTCGCTTTGTGCTCGGATCCCGTACCTACGTACAGATCAAACAGAACCGCAGTTAGGTTTTAATATGGCCGACTCTATTACCGACTCTGGAGTCGTGGACGAGTTCGCGCAGACACGTGGCGCTGATGATCTGTTCGATGACGAGATTATCCCCGTTCCTGAAGAGCAACAGCAACAACCGCATCCGGTAACTGAACCGTCCAAGGAGGTGCACGATAAGCCAGAAATCGACACGCCTGCAATACGTGCAGATTCTCCGAGACATTCGCGTGCGAGTGAAAGAGGGAGGGGCCGCGGTAGAGGCAGAGGACGCGGAGGGAGGGGATCGCAACATTCTGGCCAGAGGCGCACGGAGAGTGATGCGAAAAATAGGCAAATAGAAAGCGGTGCTGAAGATGAAGGGAAGAACGCGAAGGATACGCCACGTGGTAAATCGGCTGAAGGAAAGGAATCGCCGAACGAAGTGGGTAGTACTACGTCGAACGGGCCTGACACTCCACGAGTGCCGGCTGTTCGGGGAGATAGGAGTGCCACCGGTGGTATTAAGAAGGTATATTCATTATGTGTTATGGCCTATTTACCAGGGTTGAAGGCTGACCTTCCTCTAGCCGAAACTTACGGAGGAAGAACTATCCCAGCGCATGGCTGCGGCTAAGCTGAATGCCGCCAAAGTCGCAGCGGCGCATGCTCGCGCTGAAGCAGACCAGGCGTCCTTTCTTGAACGAGAGAAAATTGCAGCGGAGAAAAGACGCAAGGAATTTCAGAATCGCCGTATAATGGATAATGAACGAGAGCGAAACCGACAACGGAAACTCGATGCCTTGAAAGGGCGTGAGTGGGATGTTGTCAAGCGAGAAGAGGATTATAATCCTCGTGGGGGTGGGAGCCAATTTCGAAGAGGCATGCACGGGGGAGTCTCTGGATATGCGCGTCGTGACTACGATGATAGTCGCTCAAATGATGAAACATCTCACAGCGACCATAGCTATCATCGAGGCCGAGGCCGTGGAGGAAGAGGTGGGAGAGGACGTCGAGGGCTTCGTGGGTCACGGGAAGATGCGTTACCCCCTAACGGCTCACCGAGGGATCCTGCGACGTCCTCACCCAAACCCGCACAACCCATCCCTGTTATTACCAACGAGAGCGAGTTTCCATCTTTACCAGGAGGTTCTAAGAAAGAAGAGAGTGCTGCTGCCCCGGCAGCAGAAACTGCGGATTCCCCATTGTCGCCAGCTACCGGTACATGGGCAGAACAGGTTGAGGCGAGCCGGGAATGATCTAGAATTGGGGGCGGCTATTCTGAAGAACGTACGATAATGCATTTTTGGATTCTTGTTGCTATGCTGACGCTCTGGCGGAAAGACTTGTTTTGTTTTGGACCGATGTGATATCCCATGCTATGCTTTATTGTGTATTCCTCACTGCTTACCCTTTCTTCTGGTATAGCGTCTATGCCATGCAATAATTATTATTGTTATTTTTTTTTTTTCTTTTCATAATGACTCTATGCCTCTAGCGAGTTGGATTTTATATTTCAGCCAGTCTGGCTATTCTATTTTATTTACATCGTCATGTCCTCTCTGGGATCTGCCCTAATTACCGTTTGGGGAAATTGGTGTGGTGCGATGTGCGCAGAGAAGGCGACGCAGGTATGCCATGATGATGTCATGTCTTTTCTTATTTGTTCTCATGGCGCACGACGAGCATCAAATCATCTTGGAATGGCGAGATCAAGGCCTGCGGATTGAATCCGTATGATGTATAAAGGCGACTTGCCCGCGTTGCATCTGAAGTCGAGTCATGCCAACTTGGTCCTTGTCCTTGTAAATACCGGAGTACATCTCTAGTCCACAATCAATAATCAAGTGAGTTGTGCGCTGTTTGTTACTATTTACTACTAAGCCAGTCAAGCTAGTCAAGCTTGTTCATGATCCTTCATTTATGTCATGGTTGAATGAACACAGTCTAACAACTTGGCCTCCAACTCCACAACAGAACCACATCAAACGCTCAAACTCCTTCATATATATCTCATAGACAAAATGGCTACTCCCTCTTCCCCGACTGTCTCAGACCGCGAATCTCCCACTCCCAACCACCAGCCCACAGCAACAATGGGCGGAGCCAGCTCCAGACCCACCCCCGCCAACAACGCCGGCGGCGGCTCTGGCATGGGCGACAAGGGCTTCATGAAGGGGAATAGAGGCGGACATGTTTCCGTACGTTATCCCTGCCTGGCAAAAGAAAATATCCTAATATAACACGATGTGATAAACATATAAAAATATATATCTGGGAGACAGACACCAAGCTAATTCAAGCAATGATGAATGAATGAAGGCCCAAACCCCCCAACAAACAATATACAGCTTCCTCAGTCTCAAAAGCCAAAAAGGAGAAGGCGAGAGGTACCTTGATCGACGCTATAGGGAGACCAACGGGGGTACGACCATGGGGCCGCCGACGTGCGAAACTGAGGATCATAGTTTTATGGAGCATACACCGGGTTGTCCGTCGACGTTGCCCGGGTGGGGGAAGTTGAAGCATGCTGGGGAGATGTGAGTTATCTCTTTTTCGCTCGTTTTTCTTTATATACGTATATTCTCGCTTTGTCATGTCATGGCCTTTTTTTGTGTGTTAGGGTTGCCGTTGATATATATCACCGACTATCTCAAAAGGCTGCATAATCAGGGTAGATAGGTTGGTTTCTTTCTCTGTGATATGCATCTGTTTTTACTATGGCACTTTATGTATGTATATTTTGGATTGGGAATCAGATTGAGATCTACCATATATCATTTTTAGCAGAATCTTACAAAAAGTAATGCGGAAGATAGTTGATGCTCATAGTAGGCTAATCTTTATACCATTAAATAAGCTATCCTATTCCACCTTTTCTGCTTTCCCACTAATCCGATCCCGAATAGCAACAATCCCGCCGAACACTCGGCCCTTGAGTGTCTGCCGTACGAGAACCTTGGCCTCATCCGCAGCTACAAACCGACGGACCAAAAGGTTGAAGATGCTTCCAAAGGCCAGAGCTATCACGGTACTCGTAAGGATGATCACGTTATATGGCATACTGAAATCTGGCGTGGGAAGCGGGAGGAGAAGACTGGTTGTGCGGATATACATCGGTGATCCCCCCTCACTGTTGTCTCCGGCAGGATGCAGGAGTTTAATCACCGCAGGTGCAACGTTGAATCCCCGGTTCGCGTCGGGTGGATATTCTGTGTATCGCAGAACGGCCTTCTCAAAGTCGTATATCAGAGTCACAGTAGATGCTGCCGGAACGGACAATGCTAACTCCAGTTGCGTGCCACGCTCTCGATCGATTGCTGGTCGGTAAAATGTTTCCTTGATAATTTCTGAAGCGGGAACTCGGCGATGCACTCCATCACGACCAGCTATGGTCGCCTGAAGCGTGTGAATATATGGCCGGATAAACCAGGGTAGAGTCTCGAAGTAAATGAAGTCAACAGAACTTGCGCTCGATGGGTTTCCAAATATGACGCGCATTCCACCACGTTCCTGGCCATGGCCAATAATCGTTCGCTCCGCATGCAGGATAGGTTCAACCAGGGGTACATGAGAATGAATTTCCTGCTCAGGAAGGACAAGATCGAACACACGCGGGGAATCTATTGAGAAGCAACGCGTGAATCCGTCCGGGTATTTTGTTTCGGAGCCCCCAGCGGTCACTAATACGTCTCTCTCATGTGGTACCCGGAGACAGACAGTCTTTGCGCCAGGAGACCCATCTTCCGTGATGGGGCAGGGGCCATTGATGCCTCGACCGAAGACCTGTGATAGGCTCCATTCATTTTCACTCGTCTTTTCCAGAGGATAGCAAGTGTCCTCGGAATTGTATGGCTTCGACGTGTCACATACGAGCTGATCGGCAGGCACTGGCCGCGGAATTGGGTTATCTAGTAATAGTTTATCAGGCACCCGTACGACACCTTGAAGAAGATGGGATCACCTACCTCGCGGACGTTTAGATCTCTCAATATCAAGGACCATGTCTACCGTCTGTTCAATCTGGACTAGGCCTTCGCTTCCTTGGGGAGAAAGAGGGCGCACATCAATAGACATGCTCTGCCATGATGCATCAAACAGTTTGTGCCCATCAAATAAGCTAGAAATACCAGCCTTCCCCTTACACGGAAGGAGCTTCAAAAACGGCGTGAGATTTTCAGTACAAACGACCTCTCCCGGAAGTGTTCCATGCAAAAGATGAAGCTGATTCGACGCTGGATGGTCTCCACCCGGTTTAAATGAAGCAACCGGGCGTGTGGTCCGAGTAGAATCAATGAAATTCAACGATGCGCAAAACAGGCCCGACAAGGACTGTGTCAAGGTGATCCACTTCGCAAATGCCCTGGCAACAATCAGCGCTTGATTCCCTATATACCCTGCCTGAGTAAGACAAACTCTTCATCATTTGCGGCGTCAATCCATGCCCACAGTTCTACTCCAGTTCCCCCTTCTTTGGTTCCATTCCATGGTAGTGCGCCCCAACTTTCCGCATCCCATCGTCCGGTCGTAAAGCGAAGATGTAGCTCTTTGGTGTGCGAATGTTGCAAGATCTGGCCCAAGGACCGTGGAAAGTACCGAAAGTGCTGTTGTTCAAACGACGCCTGGGAGGCATTGCTTCGGAAATTGAACGAGGCTAGGAGGGAAGACGGGGGCAATGGCTGAAGAATAAGCTGCTCATGGTAGTCCGATGCGATGCTTGGAGAGGATAGTGCCGCCAACAGGAGCAGTATAAAGGGGAAGAACAGGAGGACAGTCATGCCTTCATGCTTGTCGGAGGGAGCTAGAAATTGTTACTTAAACTCGGTGGTTGACCGTATTGACCAGCAATGAGATAGTCGGCCTGCTTCAGAACAGCGCAAAAGACATCTCCCGCTGAAGAGATGTGTAGCGACGGAATATACCGTGTAACTCGAGAGAAAAGCGACAAGATCGAAGCTACGTCCGCAGCGTTCTCCGAGAAGCTTACGGTCATCCAGTAAGCGCAGCCGCCTTTAGCGCCACTCCGCCCATCGAAAATGCACCGATAGCTCCAGCACTCCTTAACATCTCCCAGATCACTTTGGAGCACTCCATTTCTGCGCCAATTTCCGTCCATAATGGCTGCTGAACAGAGGAAGCTGCTTGAGCAGCTTATGGGAGGTACGCTTGCCGTTATTGCACCATCTGGAGACGCCTGCGATTTCCCAGCTAACTTGAAATCTTTCTTTCAGCGGACCAGCTTATAGGTACCGGAGCCCCGTCGCGCAATGCCCAACTCTCGATCACAGACCAGAAAGTCTGTCGCTCCTATCTGGTGGGCACATGTCCACACGATCTCTTCACGAACACAAAGCAGGATCTTGGTCCATGTCCCAAGATCCACAGCGAGGGTTTGAAGACAGAGTACGAGACAGCCTCCGCCGCGGAAAAGGCAAAATGGGGATTTGAATACGACTACATGCGCGATATGCAGAAATATATCGATGACTGCGATCGGAGGATTGATTCGGCGCAGCGACGACTGGAGAAGACGCCGGATGAGATTCGACAGACGAATAATCTTGTACGTTGGCTCCTCGAAATTTCATTATCTAGCCTGCTACAGGATATACTGATACTGACCATTTGCTTTGCCAGCTTAAACAAATCTCCGACCTATCCAAGACCATAAATACAGGCCTCCTCGAAATTTCCGTCCTCGGCGAAACAGGCTCCGTCGCTCTGGCGCTGAACGAATTACACAAAGTGCGCACCACCAAGCATCAGAAGGAGACCTGCGAGCGCGAACTGAAGAATCTTCAAGATACCTCCGGCCCATCAGGCCACCAGAAACTGCAAGTCTGCGACGTTTGCGGCGCCTACCTGAGCCGACTGGACAATGACCGCCGGTTAGCGGACCACTTTTTCGGAAAAATGCACATGGGCTATTCGGATATGCGCAAAACCTACAAGAAGCTCAGTGAGGAGCTCAAGGGGAGACCGCCACCTTCTCGGCACCATGATGATGAAGACAGCTGGGGCGGCCGCAGTGGTGGAGGACGTGGACCTCGATATGGTGGTGGCGGGTACAGAAAACGTGGTGGGAGATGGTAAGATGGTAATTAACGGGTTGGGTGTGTCTTTTATTGTCGAATTTTTCCCTGTCTTTATATTTGGTTTCTGTGAACTTGCATAGCGCTGGAGTTTTACGTTTCTGTCTAATTAGATGAATCCCTCTTGAGAGCTATGAGTAGTTTGACAAATGTCAATACGCAAACTGGGTTCAGTTATAATCTAGGCAGTAGGTCAAAAAAGAATGCGAGGACTGACAGATGGGTCATTTTTATATTGCGACCGAGATAACCATGAAGCACGATGCAGACTATGGAATACAAGAAACCCAATTTCCTTAATTTTAGCAAGGAGACGAATACCGACAATCCTGCCTTCATAATGCTCAGGGAAGGAATACAGTGTAAAAGAGAAGAAGAATAGAGAATAGAGAGGGAGAAAAAATCATTACTGAACAAACATATGAAAAGAAACGGGCAAGGGACAAATGTTGAAAAAATAAAAAGTCCCCATGACCAGCTCGTGAAACAACTGTTTTATACAAAAGCATAATGGTAAAAAACGAGAAGATAGAAACCGCATAAAGCGAAGTATTCAGGAAGCAAGTCCATTTTAGAAGGAATAGAAACTGAAAAGAAACAGAATGCTTCAAGTAAGTAGCTACATAACAACCGCCCTCCACGGAAAACTTCCACATGATCATTGCATTTTCTGTTGTTGGTTATTTGTAGCTTGGTATAGTGCTGCCACTAGGGTCTCATAGCTCGAAGCTGCGTTCGGCTGGTGGTATAAGATATCACGCAGAACACTCAATTGGGAAGCATCCGCATTTGGCGCCTGTTGTATGACCTGTCTGACGACAGGTGAATGGGCCTGGGGACCTATGATTTGCAAGGCCAACGATAGACCCTGGGGTGCCTGCTGTGCTTGCGAGGCGGGGTGCTGTTGATATTGAGGAGCAGCGTGAGGCGGGAAGGACGGGTGTTGCTGCTGTGTCTCAGATTGAAGACCAGGATTGCCGTAAGGGCCATTTACAGGGGAGGCAGCATATGCAGTGGGCGGCGTAGGTGATATGTGTGTTGATAGCGGAGCACTGGGTGTTAAGGGGTGACGGTGCTGGGGAGTACCTGCGGGAATGGTTACAGGACTTCCAGCTGTGCCGGGTTCCTGGCTTGGACGCAGTGATGGAGGTTGCTCTGAAGAAGGGGCAGACTCGCCGGTTCTCACGACAAAGACGACCAGAAGGATGCGCTCCGGCGTTGGATCTTCAAGGGTGGTATTATCCAAGAGCTCAATGAACTCCGGTTTAGTTGATCCGGCCTCGAGAGGAATAACATATGTATCCTTGACAGCGGGCAGAGAATGCTTCCCAATCACGCCGTATCTCTTGCGCTCCCAGAAGTAGCTGAAGAGCTTATCAAACCCAGCTCGCTCCACAGGAAACTCTGGACGTCTAACGGAGGTCACGGAGACATCGGTTGAGCCGCTGAAGCGCAGCCCACAGAGGTAGTTGCTAGCAAGCTGGATGTCGATTCGTCCATCAACCTGCAATACCGGAGGCATAAGCTGACTCCAGGGTATCTTTGCGCTCAAATCCGCACCCCCCACGTGCTTTGCAGAAGAAGAAAATTCTGAAATGGGGCTCAACGCAATTCTCCCACGCCAAATGGTCCCTTCCTCATTGTAGTCCTTGGGCGAATACGGAGGAGAGTCTGGCTCCTCCTCATCTCGCAGAAGATGGTCGATCTCTGCATCTGCTTGAACCCTTCCACTCGGAAGCGGTTCTCGAATATGCGTGGCAACCTCTGGAAAGAGGCTATCATGGTTGGATGCACCGGGTGAGTGTACGCTGGGCTGAAAAAGATTATCATGGGAGTTGAAGTCCCCAGCTTTCGTATCAATTGGAGGTGGTCTCGTAGCCTGCCGTGCGTTGGCCAATTCAGGCTGATGCTGGACATTTGGACTGCTAGGACTCCGGCCTGGAGGAGTGCCATCTGCATCAACGATGCTGCGGCGTGTCGGTGCCGTCGAGAAGATGGATTCGGTTGCGGCATTATAGCTTTCGTCTTCCACCAGCTCTTCTCCCTTATGAGTTCGTCTTATTCGTGGCCCTTGCTCCTGCACAATGATGTGTTGTCTTTCCGCCTCTCGTTTGATTTCGGCATCCTTCTGCTGCAGTTCCTCGCTCGCCATGTCCTGCGAATTCATCTTAGATAAGACATCAGCGGACAAACTACCTACGAGCAGTCGATCCCGCAGAGAACGATTCCTCTTTACGTTGAATAAAATCGTCCGCAGTTGTAGCTTATATGGTTCTGTTGGTTCTCCAGAGGCTCCACATAGATTCTGATACATAGCATTCTCAATGGAGAGACCAACATGCCGGGCCACATCCTCTGCTGATTGTCCATCTGGCAAGGAGAAAGATCCTTGCTTCCGGGCCTCAGCGACCAGATCTACAAATAGCTTGATTAGGGCAGTAGCAGCTCTTTTCCGAGCTGGATTCGAAATCTCCTCAGGAGTGCCAACAATCGCAGTCACCGGTTTCTCCGCTGATGCTACAGAACCTTGACGAGACGGCAATGAACTGGAATCGGCCTTCACCAAAGGCACTTTTGCATCTTCAACCGGCGTCACGTCCGTCTGAGGCGATACCTTTTGCTGCTTCAGTTTTGGACCCTGTACGGAGAAAAAGAGGTCAGCAGGTGATGTCGAAATATAAAGGAAGGACTGAGAAACTCACTGATTCCGTCTTTGCAGTTTCTTGGTGCTCATCAAATTTACGTTTCGCAACGCCATTTTTCTCTTCCAGTACTGGGGTTGCGGTAGGTGGAACCGAGTGTGATGGGGAGATCGAGCTCACAGCATTGGCTGGAGGAGTCTCTGTCGCTGCACCTGTTTTGGCTTCACTGGGCCTGCCTCTCCTCCCACCTCTCTTGCCCTTCCTGCGTCGTGCTGGCTTTTTCTCTTCAGCCTGCCGGCGTCTTATTTCTGCGGCCTCCTCCCACGGCTTTTCACCACGTGCCATCTTCTCCAAAAGTACCTTGTGATTCTCAGGCTTGCAGAGCTCACAAAAGTACTCGTCGGGTTCCTCGCCTTTTCCAAACGTCAGACCCATGCAGTCGTTGTGTTGCCATGCCGAGCATTTGTCGCAGCAGATCATGTCCCGTTCGACATCTTCTTCCTCTTCGTATTCTCCGCATATGCACCGGATAATCTCATCTTCTTCACTAGGAGCGGGTGTAGGCTCGGCAGAGGGTTTGGAAGGCTTCTCTTTGGGTAGAGCTTTAGCTCTCGGTTTCTTCGGTGGTTCAGTTATCATATCGAGATTCTTGTGCTGGCCCTTCGTCGAGCGACCGGATCGTCGGGGTTCGTCTGTATGTCTGTTAGCTTCTAATCAAGCTTAGATGTCGGCGCCTTTGCTAGAGACACGCATGCCAATGCATGCTTCGTCTCAGGCGCTTGAATGCGTGGTATACGATAGCAAGCTTACCAGCCATGATGGATGTAGATTGTGTCACTTGAAAATAGTCTACGACGCGTTGCAGGGGTATAAAATTGCTCTGTCAAAGCCAGTCGCGCGTCCGCAAACAAGAAGGGAACTCTCTTTCTACGGGATCAGGAGGCTAAAGTAATACACGAAGCAATATGCCGGACAGCGGCACTGTCGCCTGATCCAGGTCCACACAGGTATTACTGTATTTCTTTCTTTTCTTCCTTCTCTGTTTGCTTCCTTCCAGCGCTGCCTTGCGAGCTAAAACGCGTGATTCCTTCACGAGACTTGAGGGATGCGAATGAAGAAAAAGGCGCAGTCTCTCCCTGACCTATTTCTCGCGCACACTTTCCTTGGCTTGAGCGGAGCTGTGTGAGAAAAAGGTTGCTGAAGCACTGCTCACCACAGTGAGGATGGTGATGTGAATGAAATGCGATGAAGACGATCCAAATGCGATGGAAAGGTGATGCGCTGTCTCCTCGACAATACGAGGGCAGTGTGATGTTGAAGAGCAGAAGCGGACAAGGTCGTTGGGAAAGGGTGAATCAGAAGTGTGTCACGTGGGCGGTCAAAGCTCCGCGTGGCGGTTCTCCGTGCATCAGCCACCGTCGCGCTTCAACCTCTCCGTTCATGCATCTTAAGCTTGCGCTGTTGCTCTACTCTACTCATCTTTGCGGGCTGCACGGGCTGCATGATAGTCGGTAGACTTGCATATTCCTTACCTCTGACGACAGTTTATATTGTCCAACATACCATGGCAGACGTTCGATCGTTGCTGCGAAACGAGCTTGCTTCCCGCAAAGGTTCATCTTCGGCAGGGACGCGTTACACCAAGAAGCGCAAAGTAGACAATGATGATGACTTGATGCGCAAAAGACAGAGACCCACTGCTGTAAAGGCAGAACGATCAGCTATAAAACCTCCAAGTGCCCAAATTATAACCGAACAAGAGGAAGACTTGGAGGTCTCCGAGAAAGCAGTCACGGGTCCAGAACCCCCGTCCGAACCAGAAGAGGGTGCACAGAGAACAACTGAAGATGAGGCGGGGTCTCCAACCGTATCAACAGCGCCGGTAGAAGCGTCACAACCTCAAACCATAGATGAAGACGAATGGGCGGCCTTTGAACGTGAAGTGGCGGCACCGACTCGTGTTCCGCACGCACCTGCTGCCGTTGCTGCGCCGGCTACAATATCTGCCGCACCTATTTCTGCAGAAGAGCTTGCAGCACAACAACAAGGTGCAAATGAATCGGCGGCACGGTCTCGTGAAACTGAGGCTGAGGGTGAACGTGAAGATGCTGCCCGTTTTCTAGAAGACGAGTTCGATGAGATGGATCAGCTGGAAAAACGAGTACGACGATTAAAAGAAAAACGTGAAGAGCTGAGGAAGAGGCGGGCGACAGAGAATCCAGAGGCACATGACCGGGAGGATAAACCTGAGCCACCACCTACTGCGGAGAAGACCGAGCAACCTGCACCGGCCGAGGATGAGGAGAGTGAAGATGATGATCAGGATGATGACTGGGACGATTGGAGATTCAGGTAACAGGGCTACCTGAGAGAGTATTTTGAGGAGAAATAAAAGTTGGGCGTTTCCTATGAGTTTCGGGCGGCGATTCCCGTTCTGTTGATACCCTGATAAATTGAATAACGAGAGATGCATGATATTGCTGTTGGTTTTGTCTCCACACACTCGCTGTACAGTACAATCTTATGGACAACTTATTTCAATGAATTACAGACCAGAGTTAATACACAGTTTATGCAAATCTAATACCGCTTGCAACAAGAGACGTACATTTTGTTGCTATACCTGACATTGATCGAAGCTTGTTAATGAAATAAGGTCATATTTTGGTTAACATCAAGGGTAAATAGATGGATATATTTGCACCTTTCCGTTTATGTACTATATAGCTCATCTTGGGCGGCTTTGGAGAACACGGCGTAATCTCATATGATTCCAGTATCATTGCTCCTCCCCATCTCCCCGAGGACTATCATCTGTTTCCATGTAACTTCGAATCCCGTCCTTGCGGATCCTCATAGCTTCCTCTACTTCTGCCTCACCCTCCCTCAGGAGATGTTTGCTGCGTAAGAGGTCACCTCGTTGTCTCCGTTTGTCCTCCTGAACTCGCTTTTCGCGTTCCGCAAGAGCTTTTTCACGCTTCTTGCGCTCCGCCCTTTTCTTGTCAAGCTCTTCTTGCTGTTCCGCAGAGATATGCTCCTGCTCCGGAGCGGGAGGAAGAGTAGATATGTACGCCTCGATGAGGGGATCACGCACTTTGGGAGGAAGAGATATATACCGGATGTCGGTAAGGATTGTTGAAGGGAATGCTTCAATATTAGACGAGCGGTTCAATGCCTGTAATGGGATGGACTTGAGCAGAGCAGAAAGATCTGATTTCCTCGTGCTTTCCGGGAGTTTAAGTCGAGAGATATGTTCTCTATAGAACTTTTCACGGTCTTTATCGGAAAGGTGGGTATCCTTCATCTCAGGTGCCTTTCGGTACTTGCGTTTAAACTCTGGCCAGTAGAGTTTCGGAGTAGCATGTTCCTGAAGAAAAGATAGGTATTTGATACGGGGATCACTCTTTTCTTGTTTCTCCTTGCGTTCCTTAAGTTCTTGGATCCGGTCGCGACTCCAGTTAGACCACACTTCCCGTCTTGCTTTCATGGTTGGTAGCACGGTGTATCTGGTGTCTTCTATTATGCGGCCTTCCTCGATTATCTTTTCCCACATGGCGTATGGATTGATGTGAAAATCGTCAAGTAAATCACGGAAAAGAGCAGTCGCATCTTCGTCCGTCAAAGGTAGGCCTTCTGCACCCTCTTCCCAGCCCTCTTCGCCTGGATCACCATATTCACCGGGATCGAGACCATAGTCTTCACCCATTGCAGCAAGTTGATACTCAATATCCTCTTCCGTAAATTCAATAGGCTTATCGCCTTCACTTTCCGTTCTTGGCCGTTTCGATGGTTGGTCCTCGTCTTCTTCTTCATCGTCTGTGACTTCAACTTCTTCATACTCGTCACTCAATTCTCCCGTAGCAGCACCAGTACCCGCATCCTCGGGATGTGGATGTTCAGCCGTAGTAATTTCTTTTCCTTTCACCTCAGGTGTCTCCGGCTCTACACTTTCCTCGCCGCGCTCCTTTCTCTCGCGTTTTTCTCTTTCCAGGCGGTCATATTCCACAACACCCTTCAATACCTCCTGAGGAAACTTCCAAAAGCTTTCATTTGTGTCCGGGTTATGAACAAATCTTCTTCCGAGCTTGGTTTTCACGAGGACCCACGGCCCACAGCCAGGTATCGGGTGTTTTGTTTTCGGTCGATCTTCAGGTTCCCGGCGTCTGCGGTCTTGGTAACCCTTTCCCCCGCGGAATCCTCTACTACTCCCAGGAAATTTATTATTCACAGGTCCAAACCCCGTAGGACCATATGGCGCTGAAGAGAAAGGAGGTAGTGTTTCGGGTGAATAGAATGAGTTAGTTTGAGCAGCGTCTGTGACTGGTTGAGGGGGAGGAGTAGGCGCTTGTGGTCGTGTATAGGTTGACTGTTTGGTTTGTGAATTGTAGTAATACAGATGGCCTGCGAACTATGTTAGCTAGATTTCTAGGCGGCCAAAGAGACAACAAACCTGAGGGAGCTCTGTGTTCAGTCCATCCTGGCGGTAACGGAGGAGGCGGCGTATACGTCGATTTGAGCATTTTGTAGCCGCAAAAAGAGGGAAATACCGTGAAGTTAAATGTCTGCCTGGTATGAACGAGATCAAAGCAAAGCTATAACATGAAAATAAGAAAGATGCAACCAGAGAAATCTAGTCCTGCTGATGAGAGCTTCGTTACGGGGAAATTTGAGGTGGCCCGAGCTTGGCGGATGGTCAGCCCGGAGTGGACGCGCCAGAGCAAGTTGCCTGGTCATCCTGGAGCTCTCCCATTCCCATCTTCTAGCTTACACAAGCTCCCCCTCCTCCATCACCAAGACTTCTCCTCTATACCTTTCCTTCATAATCTTTGATCTTGCTTGCCTTTTTATCCAGTACAGGATGTCGCGGAGATATGATTCAAGGGTGTGATCCATTCGTTAAGTCCGTTTGGGCTGCTCCAGCTAACTCTTTGTTCCTCACCACTAGACCACCATCTTTTCACCCGAAGGGCGACTGTATCAGGTTGAATACGCACTTGAAGCTATCTCCCATGCCGGTACGGCTTTAGGAATACTGGCCAAAGATGGAATTGTCCTTGCTGCCGAGAAGAAGGTGACAAGCAAATTGCTGGAGCAGGATACGTCAGCGGAGAAGCTTTACATCTTGAACGAGTATGTGTTTTAATAAGAATAATAGCGGAGGCTGCATAGCGTGCCTTGTCCATGAGCTGATTTCTATTTTCAGTAATATGATCTGTGCCGTTGCCGGTATGACCGCAGATGCCAACATCCTCATTAACTACGCACGTCAAGCTGCGCAGCGTTATCTCCTCACATACAACGAAGACATTCCATGTGTGCAACTCGTCCGTCGGCTCTGTGATCTGAAGCAAGGATATACCCAACATGGTGGTCTTCGTCCGTTTGGTGTTTCTTTCATTTACGCAGGCTATGATCCGCTCCAGCAATTTCAGCTCTATCAAAGCAACCCAAGCGGGAATTACGGTGGCTGGAAGGCAACCAGTGTAGGAGCAAACAATGCAAGCGCACAGAGTTTGCTCAAGCAGGATTACAAGGAGGACTGCACTCTGAAGGAAGCATGTGCTATGGCCGTTAAGGTTCTGAGCAAGACCATGGATTCGACCAAGCTGAGCAGTGAAAAAAGTTTGTACCCTCATCCACTACTCATCTGAGTTTTTCCTGGAGATACTAACTGGAGCTTGTCGTGTAGTCGAGTTTGCAACAGTAGGAAAGACCAAGGATGGGAAGATTTACCACCACTTGTGGAATGCAGAAGAGATCGATGCGCTTCTGAGGGAACAAGGGCTGGCTAGGGTAGATGATGAGCCGGAGGCTGGGGAGATCAAATAAACGAGAGCGTGACCTTCAGATATTGGAAACAATGCACCCCATTCGATCTGGGTTGCCGGTTACCTGCCAATTGAAACTCACGTTTTTTTCATGTCAAATGTCGATCTTAGAGACGCATAATCCACGGACTAGAGAGTGTACGAAAAAAGATGCCATTGGAACTTAGCCCCGCAACCAATTGCCGTGAACATGAGGTCTGCATAAAGCTGCATCTGAAGGATAAGCTAGACCGTCCGCTGGTGACGTGGCGATTGGCGAGCAGGGAACTCAAGCTGAGTATTAAGATCTATTTTCTGTTAGTTAATACATATATGAAGAAACAGAACCCACGGAAATCTGCTATGTTCAGGAGAGAAGGGAATGTGAAGCGTTCATCACGCCCGATCCCAATCCAGCAGCACTATGATATCACAGTCAGCGCAGCAGATCGTGGAGCGTTAGACTCAAAATAGGACAGTTCCCATGCCCAGATAATTACCATAGACTTGATTGACGAAAAAGATGGCATTCAGGAAAAGTCTAGATTCAATATTCCGATTTCCCGTTGTTAGTACCTGGATCAAGAACGCGTGGAGGTTGTTCTGATACCAACTACATTTGCCGCACAAGTGTGTATACAGTATACACGTGACCAGACACGAGCTGCGCCGTACTCTCCGAACCTCACTTCAACTACCTCCCCGCACCGTTCCCAAGGCGAATCGAACAGAACATAGTCACTCTGATTTCTGAGAAGCATATGCTTCTTTATGCTTCATGGAACTGACAGGAAATGGGTATTTGTTCCGTATTCACATGTCTCAGAACCTGGAAATTGTGAGTCTCTTCCCCTTGTGACTGTAGTTGTCTCATCGAGCCGCTCTATAGGTATACAGGCGCTTATAGAGTGGAACTCCAGAAATCCCAGATGCATACTGTTGAGATTGCTTCAGAAAAGCTATTATTCATTGGATGTTCGATTATTTTCAGCAACAAATGATACGTCCTTTTCAGTCTGGCTTCCACCCAGAACCAATTGGCTTGTCCAATATTGATGAACAAACCAGCGTCTCGGGATGGTACAAGCGAAGACTCGAGCGACCTGGATGACCTATCTCTAAACTGCAGCAACCTTTGTGGCTGTGTGAAAGGCAAAAAAGAAAAAAGAATCAATGAATGACCAAAAAAGACATGACACCATAGAAAAACATTTAGCCGATTATGAAAACAACATGACTCGACGTGACCTGGCAACTTTAGCACAAGACTCTTCTTCGGTCTTCGCGCTCTTTTTGAAGCCGGTTGATTTCTATTTCGAGCTCCTTTATGAGCCTCTGTGATCGATCCATCGAAGCCACTAGAGTACCCCCTTCACGTCTCCACCGGCTCAAACGCTCAATCTCCGCACTGCGTCGCCGATACTTGGTATCGATCTTTTCACAGAGTCGACATTTGGTAGGTTCAAATTCGGTTATGTTAACGAGCCTCATGCCGCATGTCTCACCAGTACGGTACTCGTAGTTGCACCGGTGGGCGAAGCTGGTCCAGCTCCAGTCTCCGCAGGAAAATCGTTTCTGGTTGTAGAAGCACATATCTGCCAGACATGTTAGGGATGCCCTGTTCAGGGTTTTGGTTAAACTGACCTGATCTCGGTAAGGAGTCGTTTCAGCTTCTTCCTTATATTTTATTGGCCGGACTTTGTTATTCTACCGCTCAAGAACAGTTTGATAGGCTGAGCTTTGACGAGGTTGATTTAAGATAATTGACGACTAGAGATAACCTGAACGGTTGCGAAACAATCTGTGAAGACTTGATTTGTGTTAAGTGCTGATAATATAAGCTTGAAACTAGAACTGGTCGAAGAACCGCGATTCTGAGGAATTGGGGGCCTATTTATGTTTCATTGGCCTTTCACCTCATCTGTTCACCCTCTGTTCAGCTCTGCACTTGACTGTTGTCGATCAATGACCCCTCGATGCGTGACAACTTATTTTCTATGACACTCTGATGTTTGCATTCTTAGTTGGCTCTATCCGGTTGGCTGGTATTGGTTTTGCCAACTGTGGAGTTACTACATGATTTTCACGGAGTCCATAATCAGGCCTCCGTACTTATCGTTGCCTCATGGATGCAGCCATCCGGTTGCAGTGACAGGATCTGATCACCCGATCCGTGTTCAAATCCCAAAAATACCTCACTAGGAGCAAAATTCCATTGCCTTCTGCGACCGATCTACTGCAGTTCGTTTTACCACTTCTCTTCTCCACTTCGCCTCGTATCTTCGTTCTGTTCGAGTTTGGTCATCCTGACCCGGTCCCATCTTCTCTTGCATGCCGGGTTGCCGGATTATTTCCTGCGCATCGCTGAATGCCACCCAATTTGTGACAAATGAAACAACTTGTGACGTCTCTTCTCAGACGGGTTTCTTCATTCCCAGGATAGCCTTGTCTTTTGGCGGTGGAAGAAATGGGAAAACGAAGCTGCGTTTTGTATACCTTGTATGTGATATGCTGCATTTTCCATGCTGTGACAACGCCACTTTAGTATCTCAGGCCTTTTTTTTATTGTTGCCATTCATTTTCATCCAATGATTTTTTGATTGATCGTGCTGATCTTGACAGTTACTGCCAGACAATGGCCTTGAAAACTCAGCCTTGGACAAAAAAAAAAAAACCGTCTCGGATACATTTTACATTTTTGCCTTCGCCTTTTTGTGTCGAGCTCCTTGCGAAACATGTGGCAGACACACCCTGGTGACGACTTACAACCCGACCTTCTCACTCCATCCTTGGGCTTCTACTCCCCCGCAATTTCTATGATCTGAGTCTGTTTCATTTTTATTTTCCTTACCAGGAAAACGGGAGCCAACTATTCATACTGCTAGGTGGTAATGTGTACGTCAACCAGGCACTTACTGCCAATGGAATTTCCTACATACCACTACAAGTGATGTGCTAAACTTAAATCCTTCCAGGAAGTGGTTATTCAGATGACCTATACTACCTGCACCTGCACGAACGGTCCGGCTCGGACAAGTTGATAACCCATGGTTTCTGTACCGGCGTGTACGGGCACCCGTTGTGACAGGATACATCGATCATTTCATTATAGGCAAACACGTCCCTAGTCCTGGGATTCTATCTGACGTGGCCACATTCATTTGGTGCAGGCTGTTCCTTTAAGTTCCAAGAGTTGACCAGAAGGTTTCCAGGCGAAAGCCATCGAACCTGCGGAACCTGCGGGATGATGAGCATGCAAAGTTCAGGTATTCGGCTCGAGAATTGACGAATGAACGGATATCAATATAGCCCCCGCTTGGCTCAGCCCTCCTTGATAGATTCGGTGACTTTCCTCTAGGCCTAGCTGTTAAGGTCTGTTGGCATTGGTTGGTATTATGCAGGATCCTCGGGCTTTCCGATTCGGCTTCCTGCGCGCAGAAGATGAACAACAGAATCAGCCTTGATAGCGACTGCCAACTCAGCGTTATCTCGTGCGGCGTGAGCATATGGTGTGGTAAAAGGTAACAGCATTGAAATTCACTCAACCTGCGTAAGGCAGGGGAATGGATGTCCAAGCCGCTAGCCCGATTTGCCACCCCCGTAGCTCCTTGCACTCATCCAATTTGTCTCTGACCTCTCCATTATTGGCAATCCTTCATGGAAAATTGGGTAAGCAGTGAACGGGGCTCTCGGGGGTTGGCAATTTATACCCAATCGCTTACACATTGTTTCATGGTTGCCAGTCATTGTATATGCATATTTGGACTGCTAACATTTATGCTTCAATGCCTTTCCAATAACGACCTGGCTCCAGTCCTCCGGGTCCCTCGCAGGTCTCGTGATTTCATATTGAACGGGATTTTCCGCGCACGTCGCAAGGTTGACTTCCTTGATATCAATTTCAAAAGCCAAAGAACGCCTTTGGGCATTTCAAGATGCAGGATTTGCTGCAATTGCCTAGCCTGATGAGATTGATTGGATATTATTGCATAAGAATAAAAGTACTTCAAGGGCTCCATGCAGTAACATCAATGTGACCGTGGCCCGTTTATATGCGGCTAACTGACAGCCATGGCAATTATAATTCCTCCCGAACGCGTTTAGACTTCAGTGTTCGCATAAATGAATCCACTAACAGTTGCGTTGTGCGGGCCCTCGCAGCTTCCGGTCTCTGCATGCATGCATTCTGTGCCCTTTACTGTCTTGACACTACGAGGAGCATAGCCTTGTTGATTTCGTTGCGCCACTGTTATTCGTATGATTTGAATCTGCTCGACCTTGTGGCAATATCTGCTCCACCAAGCAGCATGTATACATTTTAGAAATGCCATCTCAGGGCTTTTTGAATGAATAATGGGTCGACATGGTTGGCGCCAATGAATATCGACTACACTTACGAAGTAACGAGAGCAGCGAAGTGCACGCCGTCGGTATTACGAAGCCTTGCCTGTATTTGGCAGGCAGACTTTTCAATAATCAGGCATCAACATGGCTTAACAAACAAAAATAGAGGAAGATCCCCACAACCTTCAGGTGCTGGATAAAAAACTTTGGGCTAACCCTCCAGTTGCCTCATCCCTCATCCCTTGTTGCCTTAAGAGACTAGCTGTTGGTCCGGGTGATCGAATCGGGAATTTCTCCTTTTTGGTCGAGTGTTCAGAGCCTGAATAACGGAGACTTTTGTGGTGTTCGATAGGACCAAATTCCGCATCTTCGTATGCAAGGCTTTTGGTTGTTCTGTCTCGATTCTTAATTCCTCCGTTGGCCCGTGATTCTATGGCTTTCCCTGGTTGCCTCTGTGTACGGAGTAGTATCTTGCAAGGATTACTCTCCTGAAGCATGTAAACTTCAAGATTACTGCACTCGTGTATGACCAAGGATACCCGGATTATAGCTCTTAATAGAGCCTGTTGGATGTCAGTTGCCCCCTGTAAAATGTGACGTTTCATGGTTCGTCGCCATTATCTATTTTAGGGCTATTGCTATCACGTGCAGGTTTAACTATCAACCGACGTCATAGTGAAGATATACACCTTGCAGCATTCTACTCGACCTCTTCCAGGCATTTCTTGTAAATAGTCAGTTGTCTGGAAATAGCGGACAAAGGAAACCGGTCTTGGGAGAAATTACGAGTTTGATTTATTGGGGATTCCTTTCATAGTGAAATCTCCTAATAGTTCCTTCCGAGCACCAGTCTAGGTACGTCACTTGTCACCCACCAAAACATCACAAAGCAGCCAAGCTGCAGATTAATCCTAACACAGCGACGAATAACACTCATTTGGCACAGTCGAAAAATGTGGACAAGTATCATCACTTCGATTTACCAAGCTGCCCGGACAGCCAAACCGAGACAACTTCTGCAAATCCCCAGGCAATATGTTGTACTGGGACCGCCGCTGCGAACCTTCCACTTCGCACCACCCCTGCAAACAACCAAAAGCCAAAAGGAAGGAGAATTGGATCGAAACGTCCTTAATCCTGAACGATCTGAAGCTGTCAAAACAGGAACGGATTCTGAAGTTGGCGCCGACAAAAACTCGTATGATCCTTCCAGGACGACACCCGACAGCGAGCTTCAGCAATCTGCAGAGGCAAGCCGGAGGGACAGCAAACTTGGCGATCCGCTAGATGTTAGCGGAGCGAATAAGGAGATTAGTCGAACTTGGGATCCGACGAATGGATCGGCGCGCGGTATTCCCAAGGCTGAGCCGAGTAGGAAGGGGCTGTCGAAGAAGAAAGGCGTCATTAAGACGGGTCCGAAGTAGACTGTAAAATCCTTTAGGTTGTGGTTCTCCGAGTAGTTATGTGTCAGGCCAGAAAGAAATGGGGTAATCGTGTGCGAAAACAAAGATTATTCCATGGGTATTGGAGACTTCAGTGGTGTTTCGGCGTTCTGGGTTGGTTTGTATATCGTTCTCAGATAGGTAACACATGTCTATGTGAATAAAACAGTGGATCATTTCATCTTGAAAACGATAGAAGAGAGAACTCGGAGTATGAGTATATAAGATCATCTCGCGTATAGAATGGGAGTACAACCTGGGTATATATATATTTAAACAAAGGCTCCACCCCAAACACAGATACTTAAGAAGACTCCTTCTGTCCCAACTGAAGAATGTCACTACCGTTTAAAACCCAGACCTTCTCACTACCAGCTGGAACATCGCCATTCAGCGATTTAAGACCTGCATTAACAGCAGCTCTCCCAATGACATCTGCATCCTGGGCCCAGGCGTTCTTGAGACTAGGATGCACTTTTCCAAGAAAACTAGCAAAGTAGCGGGCCCCGGCTTCAAAAGGCCTGCTCTCTTGTCTTGGTCCCGCAATCAATCCAGGACGAAGGATAACAGTCCTCTCAAACTCAAGTGCCTTGACCTCCTCTTCAACCTCCCCCTTCATGCGGCTATACGGGATAGAAGACGTGGCGCTTGCGCCACTGGATGAGATTAAAACGTACACCTTGGACCCTGCGTCGCGCGCGGCACGGGCCAGTTCAACGTTCAGATCATGATCTATCCTATACTGGTTCTCGAACCCACCGGCAGCAGCACGGGTTGTTCCGAGGGAGGAGAAGAATATAGCCGGGGGTGGGGTCAGGGAGGAGATCTGCTTGGGCCATTGAGAGGTATCTTCCGAGACGAATGTAGTGAGCTTCGCCTGGGGGGCGGAGCTGGCGGCATCAGGGGTACGACGAGAGATTGTATCAATACGAGATATGGAAGAGCTTGCAAGAGCGGTATTTAGGATATGGACTCCCTGGATATATGGTCAGAATAGAACTCCTGCTTCAGCATTACGGGATCTTGTCGAAGGGAATGCTCTTCTACTCACCACCATACCCGTGCATCCAACCAAGGCCACAGAAGCCATAATGCTAGCCTGGAATCGGGATGTTTTGACGAATTTCGGCAGATAGTGGGGGAAGGAGGAGTAGCAGTGATAGTTAAGGATCAAAGGAGTTGGTCAATGAGGCGAGACTCCTTTCACGATGCGTACAGGAGCGGTGCCTGGGGCAATATACATAATTAACACGTGATGCTTACTAATTAATTTCATTTGTGCCGCCTATGACCGCCTTAAATGCCTTATCGATAAGAAAATCCGAAAATGACGTGATTCGCACTAGCCGCATTAGGCAGGGTTCTCTTCTATACACCATTTTTCTCCCGACAGCAGTTCCATTTCTCCCTCTTTTCCCCCTCATCCCGCCTCTCTGCTGCCCGTCTACTCGCTGAAGGCATCAGACTGCTTCGTGTTGGTATCAGAAGGGTCCTCTCCCAAAATGGGCGCTTCTAATCCATCCCTGTCCGCTCTGGACGGCCCAACTTATGTCACTGCCCAAACCCTGATTCAGCAAGTCGCCTATGTCCTGAGCGACAAGATATTCTCCTATTCTCCGGATTCCTTCGATTTGGATGCCGCTTTTCGAGAATGGACCGCTGACCGGGAATTGAATGCCAATGGCGAGACTCCTGTTGTGAAGACCATGGAGACTCGTCAGGGTGCTGGCAACATTGCCCTGGGCTACCTATTCTCTCCGGATTTCAATCTGAAGAAGCGCCATGTTCCCCAAAGCATTGTCGCCTCGTCTGCCACACTCCCGTATATGCGGCCGGCTCTGGAACAATTGTCTCTTCTGTACTCAGTTGCCAGTCCGGTCGTAGCACATGTGGCGGCTGTGGACTATGTAGCTGACCGCGGCTTGGTTACCGACTATGCCTCTGCTCTCTCCCTCTCAGAAGAGCTTGGGCTTGGATTGGTCTCCAGCGCTTCCGTGCATGAGGCACAGCACATGGCTTTATTTGCCACTCTACTGTCATCTGTTCTTCCATCGGTCCATACCTTCGACGGCGTTCGCGTTGGGAGGGAAGCCACTCGAGTCATCGATGTCCTCAACAAGAACAGCCTCGCACATGCTTATGAGTCTGTTCGTAAAACGCTTGACGATTCCCGTAGCCGCCACCTTGATGTGCAGGGCAAGGCGCTGGAGATCCTCCAGTCCCTGAACGGCGAATTGGGCACAGAATACGGCTTCTTTGAATACCACGGCCATGAAGAACCCACCTCGGTCCTCGTCGTTTTTGGAACAGTCGAAGCATCTCTCGCTGCGCAGATTGCACGCTCCTTGGCCAAGGATGGTGTTCGCATCGGTGTCGTGAACGTTCGTGTTTACCGCCCATTTGTGGAGGAAGAGTTCTTGCGCATTCTCCCACACTCAACAAAGACCATTGGTATTCTTGGTCAGGTTGCCGACGATCAGGCTGTGCAAGAGGAAGGAATCCATTCTGCACTTTATGAGGATATCCTTGCTACCCTGACTTTCGCTTCGAACCGTGCTGAAACCCGGACTACCGTGGAAATAAAATATCCCCGTTCACAGTCCTGGTCTCCAGTCAACATGGCTGCAGTGTTTCAGCGCATTTTTGAAAAGCCACTCTTGCCCGTGGGTAATGCGAACAGCAAGTCTGTTCCCCTGCAGCTTATTGATCCTGAAACGGTGCAGCAGTACGTCTTCTGGGATGTTGACAACTCTGCTTCTGATGAAGCCACCTCTGTCCTCGCTCAGGGCTTGGCGGCTGATTCAGCGAGCAATATTTCTATTAGCAAGACTTATGACAACCTTATCCAAGGTGGAGTGGTCCGCGTTGACATCCGCAAGAGCTCCAAGATCTTGGATATTCCTTACCCCATCGTAACTGCCGATGTCGCATATATTGGAGATATCAAGCTTCTGGGTGAAATTGATGTTCTTGCCTCTGTGAAGGACGGCGGCAGTGTAATTGCGAACGCTCCTGGAATTAAGGATGATGAACTTGAAAAGAAGCTCCCCGCAGTTTTCAGGAAGGAAATTGCGCAGCGTGGCCTTGCATTCTATATCGTGGACCCGTCAGCTACCAGTGATGCTTCTCCGGAACCTCTTGTACTGCAAGCCGCTTTTCTGCGTGTAGCCTTGCCTTCTCAGGAGGGTCTGGTGTCGAGGAAGCTTTCTTCTGTCAACGGAAAAGGTGAAGCTCTGGACCTCGTCATTAAGGATCTCCAGAACATACTTCGCCGTGTCGAGATCCCAGAGGCATGGAAGACTCCCGAGGACGAGACTGGGGCTCCTCATCTTTCCAGGGATATTTCTCCCACCAGCTTTGTTCCGTTTGACAAGAAGGAAGCTGAGCCTCCTTCTCTTCTCAAGAACTGGCAAGTTGCCGCTAAGGGCCTGGCCTTTAAGGAGGCTTACGGTACAAGGACCGCTCTTCGACCGGATTTGGCTACCAAGACGTTTGCTGTTCATGTTAAGGAGAACAGGAGACTCACCCCTGTCACTTATGATAGGAACATTTTCCATATTGAATTCGACCTGGGTGACTCGGGACTTACCTATGAGATCGGTGAAGCGCTTGGTATTCACGCTGAAAATAACCACGAGGATGTCGTGGCGTTTATCGAGTTCTATGGCCTTAACCCCGATGCTATTGTTGAGATTCCAAGTCGCGAGGATCCTGCTGTACTGGAGAACCGCACTGTTTACCAGGCACTGGTACAGAACATTGACATCTTCGGTCGCCCGCCCAAGCGCTTCTATGAAGCGCTTGCTGAATTCGCTACCGACGAAAGGGAGAAGAAGGACCTGCTCGCCTTGGCTAGCCCCGAGGGAGCTGCGGAATTCAAGCGTCGCGCGGAGGTCGACACCGTGACTTACGCTGACATCCTCCTCGAGTTCCCGTCCGCGCATCCTGACTTCCACGACATCATCCGTATCGTGAGCCCCCTGAAACGCCGCGAATACTCGATTGCCTCCTGCCAGAAGGTCAATCCTACCACAGTGGCACTGATGATTGTTGCCGTGAATTGGACCGATCCTCGTGGCCGCGACCGCTTCGGCCTGGCCACTCGCTACCTCAGCAGTCTCCGCCCCGGCACTCCCATCACAGTCAGCGTTAAATCAAGTGTGATGAAGCTTCCACCGAAGTCTACGCAGCCCATCATCATGGCCGGACTTGGTACAGGTCTTGCTCCCTTCCGCGCCTTTGTGCAGCACCGAGCTCTGGAGAAAGCCCAAGGGAAGGAAATCGGGTCTGTGCTGCTGTACATGGGCTCTCGTCACCAACGCGAGGAGTACTGCTACGGTGAAGAATGGGAGGCTTATCAGGAGGCGGGCGTTATCACCCTCCTGGGCCGTGCGTTCTCCCGAGACCAGCCTCAGAAGATCTATATTCAGGACCGTATGCGTCAGACTCTGCCCGAAATTATGCAGGCGTACATCCGCGAAGAGGGTGCGTTCTACCTCTGTGGTCCCACATGGCCAGTGCCGGATGTGACGGCCGTGTTGGAGGAGGCGATTGCGACGGAAGGGAAGCGCCTCGGGAAGAAGGTCGACACTAGAAGGGAAATTGAGAAGCTGAAGGATGAGGAAAGATACGTTCTGGAAGTTTACTAGTCCACGATCTTGTTGTGGAAATGTGTCTATATATCTATATATCTATATAGACTTTTTATTCTATCATCATGGACTTCCCTTTCTGGAGGCCATCATAAGCTGCTCAACCTCTGTGTCACGGTGCATGCACTTGTGCCAGATAACCACCTGGGCTTTACGGCTTGAGGATAACCATCATAGGTGGGATTTCTGGCGATACGCCTAACTAGGAAGAGGCGGAAATCCCTGTTCATTTCTGCGTCTGTGCATCCAATTGGAGGTATCTAAATACCTAGATAGACGCTGAACTTTTGACGTTCCATTGCATTCATCGGCTGGATGACACACGAGGTGCAGTTTAGGTTAAACTTTCCTAGGGTTTCCTCGCCGGGCTTATCAGCATCGTGATGATCAGAATAGCCGTTTTTCATATTAACCCTTGTTTTCATGGGTTGAATTATGGTTTAAATATATAATAATGCTAAATAAAACACTATTATTTAGTTCTAAGAATTCAAGTCTTGTTTCATACAAATCAATGGATATGGCAGCTTTACACATTTCACATAGACTAAAAAGACATGTACCGACACTCGATTTCAGAAAACAAACAAACCAAAAAAAAAAAAGTGATTATAAAAACAACAGTGTCAGGCTCTCCCAATAGTCCCTAACTTAGTCTTGCCGTAGGCGCCGCCCTTTTCCTTCCTCATTTCCAACGCACGCCTATATGGCGGTGCCGTGGGAGGCTGCACGGGATCAAGACTGACGTGGTCAGGAGGCAGAGCGTAAGAAGCATCTGAATCCCAAGCCGACAGATCTCCGCACGCAATAAACGGTGGGATCCAGCGGTTCTCGTGAGCAAATCGCGTGTTCGAGAAACCAGCCGGAGAAACAGTAACGGTCTCCTTTGTGGCGGGTAACGACGATAAAGAGTCTGGGTGAAGAAGGTGAACTTCCTTGATGTGCGCATCGGTTGATTCTGCGGTACTGGTGGGATTCACAGTCAAACTCGGAATATCCGTGATCGTTTGGGATTGTTCATTATCTTCATCTGGCACCTCGACCGCCACGTTTCTGTCTTCGGGGATCGGTCTAGGAACCGCGGCGCCGCCAAAGATGGGGTTCTTCAGGGCATCTACCCCTGTCTGACTTGTAGGGGGAATGAATCCTTCGCAGACAACGAAGGACTCCAGACTACTTGCGCGACTGCTGCGGGGTTTCGCTACGCTCACTTTCTCGAATACGGTGCGGAGTTGCGCATAGATGATATCGACGTCTCGACCACGGAAGATCTTGGCGACAAATTTCCCTCCGGGTCGGAGGACGCCTAGGGCAAGATTCAACGCAGAGTAGAGTAGTTGGGATTGAATGTAGATGTCCAGGTCGTGTAGGCCTGTGACGTCGGGAGCGCCATCGGAAATGACAAGGTCGACCGGGTGCGGTTGTCTGATTGCTGCCGGGGTAGAAGTGGACGGCGAGTCCTTGTATGCTTCTGGGTCCAAGGCTCTGAGTAGGAGAGGAATTGTAGACGGATGTGTAATGTCTGCTCTGAGAGTAGTGATGCCCTCTAGAGGCGCCATGGGTTGAAGATCGATGGACACGATCTTCACATTCTTCCGGGGCTTCAAGTCCTGTTCCAGATTCCTTTCCTCTTTATCCAAGATGTCACTTGAAATGTCATCATTTGTGCTTTTCAATAATTCAAGCTTCTCTCTCCGCCTCTTCTGAACCCATGCCCGTCTACCGAAACTCTCTCCCTTGATCAACACCCGACTAAGAACTTGACTCCAGCTGCCGGGGGCGGCGCACAAATCGACGACCCGCGTCACGTTCTCCGGATTCTCATGGTCGAAGAGATCGAATTGCTCGTCGATCTGTATCAGTTTGAAGGCCGAACGGGCGCGCCAGTTCTGTTCCTTGGCCAGGCGGTAGTAGGCGTCGCGCTTGTCTTTGGACGATTTTCCCATTTCCGGTCTGGATTATTTGCTTCACTCTAGTAGTATAATAGTATAAATTGAACGTTGTGTAATAAAGGAATTGAGAAAGAGGGTTGACATTTCTTCGTGGACGTGGGGGAGTGCGATAAGATCTGCGGAAGGCGGGAATTTCTTGTCTTTTTTTTTCTGCCGCATTTCTGCATTCTTTCTGTCGGCAAGTCAAGAACAACAGTCTGCCTACTCCCAAGCACTGTTATCCTGCCTGCGTTCTGCCGCAAATTATGGGCCAGAAACGAGGACGTGATTCAAAAGGACTGGCCGTCCAGTCCAAAAAGAGAAAGAAGGTGGCAAAACCCCAAGATGCAGCCGATGAGTACCTCGTCGGAATTGACGATCTGAACTGGAAAGGAGTCGCTCTTCCTGATCGATTGGAGGATGCGGGAGGATTTTTCGGTCTGGAGGAGATCGAAGGGGTTGATATCGTGCGACCCCAAGGAAACGGGGAGATTCGCTTTAAGGTGCGTTGGATTCTCGTTCGGCCTATTTCGGAGTAAACCAGCTGATGAGATGCATCTAGGTGGCCGCAGGAAAACCAAAGAAATCTATTCTGAAGAAGACGATAGCAACTTCTGCGGATGAAGAGGTTACCTGTGACGATGAATGGTCCGGCTTCAGCGACAACGGGACGGAGGAAAAACCAAGTGGCGCCCCAGCAGACGACGAAGCAAAAGAACCCAGCAGCAGCAAAGAGCAGAATGGAAACAAACAGGCCGATAAGAAGGGGGGAGAGAAACAAAAAGAGAGAAAGGAACGCAAGGCCAAGGAATCAAAAGTTCAAAATGATCGCAGCATCAAACCTGGACTGTCATTCGCAGCCCTCGGAGAGCAAGAGGAGGATGATGGCGTGGATGTTTCAGCCTGGGATTCTCTTGGTCTATCCCCCGAGCTTCTGACGAGTATATCGAAGCTTAAGTTCTCTGTGCCCACGCCCGTCCAGAAAGCTTGCATTCCGAGCATCCTTGAGGGGCACGATGTCGTGGGGAAGGCATCTACGGGTTCAGGAAAAACTCTGGCATTTGCTATACCTATCCTGGAGCAGTATTTGGAACACAAGCGAGAACGTTCCAAGGGGCCAAGTAAATCCGGGTCTTTCCCCGTCGCACTTATCCTTTCTCCTACCAGAGAACTGGCGCATCAGCTGGCAAAACATATCGGAGATCTGACAACACATGCCCCTGGTGTCCATGCAAAAGTCGCACTCCTAACTGGTGGGCTTTCGATACAGAAGCAGCAGAGGCTACTGGCTGGAGCAGATATTGTCATTGGGACGCCCGGCAGGGTGTGGGAAGTCCTCAGCTCGGGTCATGGAATGATTAGGAAGATGCAGAAAATTAGATTCCTAGTTGTTGATGAGGCGGACAGACTTCTTAGTGAGGGCCACTTCAAAGAGGTGGAGGAGATATTAAACTCTCTTGATCGCACGGTGGATGGAGACTTTCCGGTCGAAGAGCAGGAGAACGACGAGAAAGATGAAGAGAAAGAGGACGACGACGAACCCACTCAGGCGAAAGATTCTGTTGCTGAAGGACATAGACAAACTCTAGTCTTCTCAGCCACTTTCCATCGTGGCCTACAGCAGAAACTAGCTGGCAAAAGCCGCTGGACTGGGGGCGACCTCATGGATAAGAAGGAATCCATGGAATATCTTCTCCGGAAGCTGAATTTCAGAGAGGAGAAGCCCAAGTTCATTGATGTAAATCCTGTTTCTCAGATGGCCGAAGGTCTCAAGGAAGGGATTGTGGAATGCGCCACAATGGAAAAGGTAAGATCATCATTAATTCCATATTCCCTACTGCCACATCTATCTAATGATATCAACATAACAGGATCTATACCTGTATACTCTCCTCCTCTATCACCCCAAGCATCGGACTATAGTCTTCACCAATTCTATCGCCGCCGTCAGACGACTCTCTCAATTCCTCCAAAACCTGCAGCTCCCGGCCCTTGCACTCCATTCTTCTATGGCACAGAAGGCTCGACTGCGTTCCGTGGAGCGTTTCTCATCTCCCACATCCAACCCCAGTTCCATCCTGGTAGCAACCGATGTCGCAGCCCGCGGTCTAGATATCAAGGGTATCGATTTCGTCATCCACTACCACTCCCCTCGCACGGCAGACACCTATGTCCACCGATCCGGCCGTACCGCTCGTGCTGGTGCAGCAGGGAAAAGCGTCATTATCTGTTCCCCGGAAGAAGTTGTCGGTGTGGCCCGCCTAACCGCCAAAGTCCACGCCAGCCAAGGCCCAAATACAAAACGGCTTCCACTAGAATCACTCGAGCTGGATCGCAGGGTTGTCGCGCGCGTACGACCACGTGTGGAACTTGCTAAACGCATCACTGATTCTACCATTGCCAAAGAAAAGATATCTGCAGAGGACAACTGGCTACGGGCCGCTGCGGAGGATCTTGGTGTCGACTATGACAGCGAGGAATTTGAATCTGCAAAGGGCAAGGGTCGTGGGCGCGGTGGTGGACGACACCAGCGTGAGAAGGAGGCTGGGAGTGTCACCAAGGCAGAAATGGCAGGTATGCGAGCAGAACTGAAAAGACTACTTTCGCAGAGGGTGAATATCGGCGTCAGTGAGCGATACCTGACTGCTGGAAGGGTAGATATCGAAGCCTTGCTGAGGGGAGAAGGCAACCAGACGTTCTTGGGACAGGTGGATCCGTTGAATTTTTGATTTATTGATCTCTTTAGCATAGTAGAAAGCGATATATTAATAATTTTTGTTCCTGTAGATAGTTTCCAGCTTTCCATCCTTCATAAAAGCCTGTTGAAGCAACATGACTACAATGGCACAAATCTCTACCATCCTCCAATCCAGCAAGTACACTTCAACGAGACGGGGGGGAAAAGCACAACTCTTCGGTCATAACACGGCCATTATCACCATCACCATCATCCCCAGTTATTAAATCCACGGACGATGAATCTTGCATCGTACACAAGCCCTTAGCCCACAACTAGGACATTCCAATTGATGGATAACGGCGGTCGAGAGATGGTCCATGTTTCCTTGTCATTAAGTTCCGACACTGGATTCGATGCATTAGGTGACTGACTGCTGAATGATCGAGGACATTATCTGGAGAGAGAAGAAAAGGGGACGAGAAGGATGGCAGCCCGTTGACATGGGATATTCTGAGTGAATACACATACGCAAATGAAAGCAAGCCAAACTGACTCTCTGTCTCTTTGCTCTCGAGCCACCGACATTGCGGTTTCTTCCATAGTGGTGAGGTCTATACAAAGATTAACACCAGTCATGCATGTACTTTGATTCCCCATCTAGAAACTATGACGGGCACAAGTGATCCTTTTGGCACCTTACCAACCTAGAAACAGAAGAGAACAAACAAAAACGGAAAAAAAAAAAAAAAAAAAGTTGAACAAACGATGACCGAATAGGGAGACCCTTGCCGATGGAAACTGGAAATCATAGCCCACTCGAAGTATCATTATAGCCTATCCCTCCCACCAGTTAAGGATATGATGCTAATCGCCGTACCAAGATGATGCTGCTCGTATTTGCCTAGCACAAACGAAAGGAGAAAGAACAGAAAAGAAACCAGATGTATGAGATGAGGAATATTAAACGTTCCGGAGAAAAGCGGCGGTAGCTGCAAACTCAACAAAAGGAAGGAAATCAGGACAAATGGAATGCGCCCTGACCCTCTTTGATCGCTACGGCTAACCGCTCGCGGAGGACATCGAGGCTGCTGTAGTCTGGCAGTTTGAGGTAATTCACGCAGGTCATAACACTAGGAAGATAATCATCTGGTGTATATGGCGGCTCGCTTGGACGGCACACAACCGTAAATATGGGCATCAGGCTCTTGAACCCTCCAATTGGGAGTTTCGGACTTCCAGTAACAAACTGAAGGAAATCCCGACGTTGTTGCACGTTCAACTCGCTCATCGTTTGGAGTAGGTTCCGTACGCTCCGACTATCCATATTGAAACCGTGATCGGCCTTGATTGAGTCCATCAGAGCTAGAAGCAGAGAAAATGTTAGCAAGCAGTTGGCATAAAAATTAGTAGATCGCACTTACTCTCAATAGACCAGTCCTCCTCAGCACGCCCAAATAGCATAACCAGTTCGTTGGGCGTGAAAGCCCGAAGAGCTGAGTAGGAAAACACTTGCGAGAATCCCTGTCGGAAGGCTTCGACTTGGCGTCGAACGCCGCTACCCAGAGTCAGATCAACGACGCGGTCGATATACAGATCCACATTCTCAATCGTCACGGGCACGTTCGAGCCATTTTCTGTCAGTTCGATGGCAGGGTAGCCGGGTAAAGTAAAGTCCAGACTCAAATCCTCTACCCTAACACCACCCACTTCAATATCACGAAGCGCTTGCCATTTCTGAGCAGGCGAAAGCGTCTTCTTGCCATCAGCGGCCTTCTTGGCATTTGCAAAGCGCTGCAAGAACAGGAGGGAGTTTGCGAGACCTTCATCCACTGACTTGACTGTACCGAGTGATGGAGTCACGGAAGATGAGCTATCTGCGATGCGGAAAAAGGTTGGATTGAAGGAGATATCAATGATTCGGGAATCCAGCATCGACCGTGCTACAAATTTGCCTAGGACCTTGAACAGTTGTAGCTGTTTTTTCCCAGATTCCTGAGCTGCTTGTGCATCGCTCATAGGAGCGGGGAACAAGCCACGCTTGCCGAAGGCAAACTCATTGCCAGCGTCTTCATTGCTTTCCCGCCAAATCTTGAGCTTCTTCTTTGAGAACTCTTTGGAGACCGTGGAATAAAACTCAAGTGTAGGTCCCAGACCCGTGCCAACTTCTTCAAAATACTCGACTTCAAGGATACTAGGTGAGGAACCGTACAATTCCATAACCTTCATAGCAGACTCCAAGATGCGTGTTCTGGAGATGCGCACCTTCTGCCTCTGGAGACGACCCAGGAATGGACGATCATCACGGCGTAGATCGCGACGATCGTCCCCATTTTGAGAGCTCTGCCACCTCATCATTGCACGTGAATAACCGAAAGCAGTCGAGCGTAGGAACAAATGCCGTGTTTCAAATGGGAACAAGAAGGGGAACAGTCGGGCAAGATCCTCACTCCAGCTAGGAAGGCAATTACTAGCAACAATCAGTGGCTCCTCCAGCTGACGGTTGAGTTTGGCCGTCAGTTTCGTATTGATGAATTGGGACAGCGGTTCTGGAGTAATCCCGGACAACTCCTTATTCTCCGCCAAAATATCGTCAATTGTCGCGTTCATTACGTGCAGGACTTTAAGCAGCCGGAGGATTGTAGCCGTTGCAGACTCCTTGCTTAACGACAATGGCATGTCCCCACTGTCACCTTCACAGGAGTTTGGAGAACCCGAGGCAGATATTGACGATTCCGGAGGCGGTGGCCCGGGGACACGTCTGAACTTCACAGTGTGTACAGATGACCATACGTCCTTGTCCACATGTTCACGATTATGATATACAGCACGGTAGACAGTCGTTTCGTTAGAAATTGGCTTGCCATCAATGCTGAACTCGATGTGCCAATCTTGCGAAGGTGACGCCATGGCAGCAGCATAGGAGAACGGGCGGCCGGCCATCGCCAATGAGCCACTACCAGTCGAATTTAATACTGAGTTCAGGGCCGATGATGACTTGGATACCGGTGTAGACTGAGACGGAGTAGCCACGCGAGTTCCATCTTCTTTCCGAGCCGTTACCTTGCCAGTGGAAGCGACCTCCATATTGACGGCGGTCGGATCTGGGGCATTGTCATCCGAAAGATCATCCTCCAAATCGTCCACAATAGCATTCAGTTCCTCGTCGTCGTCAGCGTCCTCGTTCTCATCCATGTTGTCATCCTCGCTTAAATGCCTTTCGTCAGCGCATTCTAGCGGCTCATCATCATTGCCACTTTCCTCTTCTTGGCGGTGGTGACGTCGCACGTATCTTCTGGGACGTGACTGATGGTTATGACCTTCAGCCGGAGACAAATTCTGCGAGAGTCGAGAGTCGTTAGCTCCACTAGGTCCCGTGTCACCCTGACGGGTAGACGTATTGGCGCTTGCAGGTGGTCGTGATTGGTTTGGCGTATCGCTGCTGAACAAGTCATTTCCAGCAGCCGAGTAATCCCGGAGGCGTGCGGCGTTTGCGATCTGAGAAAGTAGCGAGTCCCGATTGCGAGGGACTCTCGGACGGTCCGACAAGCTGATCCTCGGGTGAAGGAAGTCATCGAGAGACTTGAAAGTGGCGATGGCATGAATAGAAACTATGATATTTCTATAGGGACGAGGGATATCAGAATCGTCATCCGCTAAAAGTTTGAGTCTGAGTTGCTTTCCAAGCATGTGCGCGGCGTTGCTGCGTGTATTCTCCAGCGAGTTGTGGCTGACGGTTAGCACTTCGAAGTGTTCAGTCCGGCTGAGCAAGTCCTGCAGTTTTTGGATTAGGACACTGAAGGGGGTGGTTGCGGTACTCTGCCGCTGAGCTTTCTCCGATATGCCGGATCCCATGAATGCCTGCAAGAATGCGGTGCGAGCGTCCCGCATGGATGGGGCTGGAGGATATATGGATGATCAGCACAAAAAAGCCGGGGGAAGAGAAATCCGCAGGGAGATATGGAGGATAATTCTAAGGGACACTACTCACCCTTGAAGTCGCCGAACACCTCCAAAAGCACCCGAACGACACCTGAGTTTAGTAGCTCGGAGCTGGTAATACTTTCCAAAGCATCTCCATCGAAGTATGAAGCCAATTCTTTGACGAGTGCGAGGCCATCACCGCCCCCATCAGCCAAGTAACACGCATCAATATCCGCAGCGAGGGTCTGTAGTTTCGTAAGAATCCCCAGAGCCTTGCTTCGCATGTTCTTGCCATCACTCGTTTCATAAACTTTGAGGAAAGCACGAGCATCACGAATAGCCAGATCATTGATAGCATCGTTTATATTGGTCACAGCACGTTGATCAGAGAAAGACGATGAACTTTCCGATTCCGACATATCATCATTCTCGTCGGTTTCGTCGTCTTGGCCGTCCGCTTCATCCACCCCATCGAAGTCATCGGCGTCATCCTCGGCTTCTGGAGAGTCGCTACTCCTATTGTGAAAGCCGGAGTGGGTGGACTTAGGGCCACGGACTGCGTCACTCGAAGTGTCCATGGAATCGATGGATGGTTCGTTCGACAGGGGTTCTTCTGCCAATTTCATAATCTCGGAAATCACCCCCTCTCGATGGAATTGATATTGATAGACATTCTCAAGTCGTTGAAACAGCAGCTCTGCGCACCGTAGGGCCAAAGACACCAACGAAGGATGGTCTTTCTGAGAGAGAATCGCCGCGAGAAAAGACGCATATGGGACAGCACGGAGGGCATCCTCTATCACAGCCGGTTCGACATTGTGTAGCATCTTCAACTGCGCAATGAGAACTCTCTGTCGGACGTTTAAATTGACGGTACTAGAATAAGCGTCGGTGAGAGTAGGCAATAAAATCATGGCGAAACGCTTGAGCTCGGTCTTGCAACCCATCAATAGAGCGCGCCTGTTCTCAACCAGCTCTCTCGCCTTGCTAGACTTCGCGCCAAAGGCCAAGCCACTGTCGAGATAAGCACATAGCCCATTGGTCTCGGAATCCTCTCGGCCTGGGACACCCGGCAGGAGCTCACAGATCACATTCAGCGTTTCGAAAACCTGTTCCTTGGGGCGATGGATTAATGCTTGCATCACCAGGACACTGTCCATCTTAACGGTCGTGTGTTCCAGGTCCTCTGGAGGAGAAACTCCGGTCAAGATTTGATAGAGAGTATCAACTACATCCATTTTGAGCAGTTCAACTGATAAACGGGGGCTCGCTCTAGATACGATAGTGAGGACGCGAAGGAACTGGGTGTGGATATGCGGACCAATGAGATTCGTAGTGCCCGGTGACAGTAAACGGAGAATTGCCTTCAGCATTGCCGGTTCAATGAGCTCTTCAAGCTTCTCTGGCCGATGTTTGAAACTCTCAACTATCCTGGAAACGCACAAACAGCCCTGTTCAACGACTTTCGGGTCACTGCCGGAAAGAACATTAAGAAGGATCGGCATTACATCACGAACGACCGGAAAAGAGTCATGAGGGAGATTGCGACAGCAATTAGCGGCGGTAGTAACCGCAGTCCGCTGCGTACTGGTCGGGAAAAAGTCAAGATACGTTAAGCAAGCCGTCAGGCCGCCCTCTCGGACAATGGACGCTGGGAAATCCACCGAAATCTTCGCAAGCGTACTCAGTGCTTGTTCTGCCAAATCAATAAACTGAATATCGAGGAGCTTTTGGCACAGTATAGGCACAGCGCCTCCGTAGACGACATTGGCTACCGAGCCACGCAAGGCCTCCATTAAATTTGCCAAACAGCGACAGGCAAGAAGCATGATTTCGGGATTCTCTTCGCCTATGTCATCCGGTTGCATCAAAGCAACCAGCTCCTTCACGTATGGGTCAGGCGAGAACTGGCCGGACAAATTGTCCTCGTTCGATACCAGCAGGAGATCTGACAGCTCCTGCAGTGCTATCAGTTGGATGGACGGATCGTCTCTCATTCTCAAGTGATTGAGAATGTCTCGGAGCCGTGAAGACATTCCGGACATCATGCCACTGAGTGCACGGAGAGTGCTCTGAAGTCCCAGCGGGCTTCGTGACCCAAATAAGCTGTTCTGGAATGGGTCACCGTCATCTTCGTCCAGTGCAGAATGATTTGTGCCATCGTTGCTCTCGCTTGGTGGCGAGGAATGCCGCTCTTCACTATGATCTGGCTCCCCAAAGTCCTCTTCCGCTTCCTTCATCGCCAAGTCTCGATCAGCAGTCTTCACGGCTCGCTTCTTCTGTCTACGCGCAGGAGGGGATTGTGCTGTGGAAAGGCGTTCTGTTAAACCTGTGTAAGTTGGTTGTAATTATGAAACGCTGTTATTTCGTCTTCTCCTCCTAGAATCTTACCTTGGGTGGCCTTTCGATTCTTGCTAGTCTTCCGCCTTGACGGAGGCGAGGTGGCCGGAGCCCTCGAGGACTCCTCAAAGGGGCGAGAAGAGGGACTAGATAAAAAGCACATGTCAGATGGCATTCGTCCGGGTGGATAGAAATGGAGACTCACCCGGATTGAGACATTGACGGACGGTTTCGGGTGCTACTCCGAGGAGCAGCCGGTGGTACAACGGGTTGTTGAGGAGCCGCGAGTCGCTGTCTCTTGGTTCTCCTAAGGGGGGGGGGAGGGAGGCGTCGGCTGTTCCGGTTCTTCCAACGGACGATCACGTCGAGCAGATGCCTTACGCTTCCGGGTCGGGGCCGAGCCAGCGGCGGAGGTCAAGGGAGATGGACCGGAATTGGAGGGACGGGAAGAGTCTGCAGCAAGTCTCGCGGCTGAGCGAGTAATTCTGGAGGACATGAGAAGCTGAACTGCGGTAGACGGCGGAAGAACACACAATGGGGGAGTGGTGCTGGAGGGAACTTTTGGGAGAAGGGATAACGAGATGGATGAAGAGTGCAAGCAGGTCCTTCTGTAACGTTGAACAGTCGTGTCAGGGATTCAAGGGATAGAGGGGAAGAGGCTCAGCGGTGAAGAAATCTCCATCCACAAAGCCTTCTCGCCAAGGTCCTGGGATGGGGAGCCTGGCTACAGGCGATATCAATCAACAGGCGAGGAGACGGGCGGGAAAGTACCTCGAAGAAGGAGAGGCCGCAGCAGCGCGAGCTCCCGCAGCAGGAGTCGAAGCAGCCGTGGCTGTAGTATGAATAGATGATGCGGTGGAGGGGGTAGATACAGTCGTGGAATTGTCCTCGGGAGGTTCCTGGTGGCGACAGAAGGTGGCCTTTTGCCTGGCCATAAGTTAAAGGATAGCGAGAGCTCGACAGGGGAGGTGTGCTCGATCGTATGTCACTTTGCTAGCCCGCCATCCGTGAGTCAGAGATTGGTCGAGGTGGGTAGTGAGTTGATTGACGTGGGGTGGGAGTTGTTCGTTCCCGGCGGTTCGGGGATAAGGGGCGTAGGAGATAGCGTAGGAGAAAAGAAAGCAGGGTGGATGGGCAAGTACGAGAAATAGCAGGGAAATAGAAATAAGGATGAAAAGCAAAAGGAGAGTGACGGTGGAAGAGGCTAGGACAGAAACGACGAAGGGATGGGCAAGTTGAGAAGTTGACGTGGGAGGTTGGATGGATTGGTCGGTGACGCCCGAGTTGAAGAATGTCGTTCCGGCGAGCGTGAGATGGCGGAAGCGCAATGGGCATTGGCAGCTCCCAGGGACCCGCAGCAGAGCGTTTGCTGGCAATTCACGGGTGAACAACTCGCGGCAAAAGCCGAGCAGCTGCTGGTTTCCGAGACAGACTCGAAGAATACTCCGCTGTCTAAATCTACAGAGTGCAGTCGTAGTATCTATATAGTAGTAGCGGTGGTGGTATGCTATCAGCAACTGCAAGGCAATATTACCTGTTTGGGACTAGGGCAATCTGGTATCCATATGGTAATTACTGCGTATACAACCCGTATCTGACGGACGATACCGATACCGATACGGCAGTGATATTAATACGGGACATCCTCTGCGAACATCGAGGATGTATCACAGCAATCCATGCAATGCATATTCCTGCTGCCGCTCCTATACGGTGTACTCCTACTATTTATGTGCCATACCCAAAGAACCATCTGTACAATTCTCTTATTCTATCTAAGACACCCAAATGTAGTATTCGTATCCAGTCTGTCTACCGACAGAAGCCTGCTGGCCTGGAATTTCCGTTTACGGGATGACGGTGTAGAACCTTGCGAGATCATATGGAACGTCATATGGAGTGCTTGTTTAGTACTTAAATCTCAGTTATCCGCATGGGCTGGTGCGGATTCTGATATTGGATAATATTAACGGAGCACTGCAAGAGAACAATCTCTTCCAGGGCATCCAGCGCTCACTGGTCGCGTGCTCGAAGCCATTCGAACTTTAAACCCCGCCGATTTCTTCTCGACTTCGATTCCGTTCCTATTATTATTGCTAGGACTCGCGATTAATAATAATTCGCAGTCTCGTTGCGCTGGAAAGTGGCTCTTTTCCCCGGAATTTGGACTAGTCCAGCGCCCTTCAAAAGGCCTGCTAAATCCCGTCCTGGTGGTCCCTCTTCCAAAGTTCGCCCCTCACCACGCGCCGTCATCCGCCTCTCTCCTTGCTTCTACTCCCATTCTCCTCCCTTTCATACGGTCAATCTGCCAGCTACGCCAGAAACCATCTTCCTCCAGTTTTTTCTTTGACTAAAGAAGACTCCAAACGCCCTTCTTTCTTTACCCCGCATTACGAATCATGGCGGACGTGAATGATGACACCCACCAGAGGCCCTCCAACATCCCCCCACCACCGACGGAGGACTACACATTCCCCGAATACCGCCTGAAGCGGAAGTTGGACGATCCAGAGAAGACTCCGCTGCTTCTGGTAGCTTGTGGATCGTTTTCGCCCATCACCTACCTCCACCTGCGCATGTTCGAGATGGCGGCCGATTACGTCAAGTTCAGCACTGATTTCGAACTCATCGGCGGTTACCTCTCCCCCGTCTCCGACTCGTACCGCAAGGCGGGTCTGGCAAGTTCGGAAGACCGGTAAATACATTCAATCTTCGTTCCTCGAACGTTGAAGGATAAAGGCTGATCATGTACGTCCAGAGTCGCAATGTGTCAACTTGCCGTCGACCAGACCTCGGACTGGTTGATGGTCGACACTTGGGAACCCATGCAGAAGGAATACCAACCGACCGCCGTTGTCTTGGATCATTTCGACCACGAGATCAACACTGTACGAGAGGGCATTGATGCTGGGAACGGTTCTCGAAAGCCTGTCCGGGTTGCTCTGCTGGCGGGTGCTGATCTGATTCATACCATGTCCACTCCAGGCGTCTGGAGTGAGAAGGATTTAGACCACATCCTGGGGAAGTATGGGGTATGTCACGTCTACCGGGAATTCTACACTCGGGTGCGGTCCTGCTGACATTGCTCTTTGTCCAGTCCTTCATTGTCGAGAGACACGGAACAGACATCGATGAAGCGCTTGCGACCTTACAACCCTGGAAGGACAACATTTATGTGATCCAGCAGCTCATTCAAAATGACGTTAGCAGTACCAAGATCCGTCTCTTCCTGAGGCGCGAAATGAGTGTCCGCTATTTGATCCCACCCCCTGTCATCAAGTATATCGAACAGCACCATCTTTACGAAGAAGAGAACGCCTTGAGCTCCAGGTCCAACGATAAAGGAAAGAAGCCCGAGCAGACGACGATATCGAGCTGATGTTGCCATTCAATCCATAGTTCTCGTTCTTTCCTGCGTCGATGATCCAGCCCGCTACATGTTGCGTTGTAGCCATGGGTCACGATGTTGCGGAGGTTTCGTTACCGACCTTACGGATAAAGTGACTGTTCATATCCTTGCCGCAGAGGTCAGACGTGCTTCCACACTGGGGTGTATAATTCCCTGCAAGTCGCAGTAATCCGGGCTGGTTGGACGATTCCTTTACGTGTGATGACTGTTACGATGTGTCCATTGTTTTGGTACTAGAGAAGGAGTTCGCTGAGCACTACTCGGCTCACTACCTTTCTCCCTCTTACACCCCTGGGTAATGTCTGCAGACCGGGTCCAGTTCCATCCCATGGTGTAGCCAGTTGTCCAGTCTGCCGCAACCAGTCCCCAGACATAAAAAGCGCATATTATCCATTACACCGGCCCTTTTCTATGCCTTGAGTTACCGCGAGCAACATGTTCATAGACATGTTTGTTTTGATCTTGTTATCATATACCCTAGTCCTGTACATGTATGGTTATTCATATGATCGTTTCACTGTGTCTCTTTAGTTGTTAGAGCATAGTTAACTAGTTAGTTAACTAACTAGTAACTAAGTTATCATGGTGTCTAAGACCGACTCGACCACTAACTGGTGTAGGGTAGATTGTGAATGCGATGGCTGAGCATTTAACCTTAGGCCATGTAACGAACAATTGAAGGGGATTCTGGTTGCTCTATCTTCTGCTTATTGCAAGACAGGAAGCCAACATAGAAACACTGTATATGCAGCTTAATTAATCAAAGCCAAGATGGTTATTAGATAGTGGTCATGATGATGGGTGCAGTGATAACATGCTATGGCCAGAAGTATATCCTTGCTCTGTCAACTCCCTGAGACACAACCAGCTACGGTACAATTCTCACCTGAAATAGTCTTTCTTTGCCTTGGATAGCCATCTCAAAGGCAGCGCACACCTGAATGGCAAAGATCCTAGAAGAGGATAATAAATAGCCAGACTCTCCAAGAGAAGATAAGCGGCACATTGTTCTCATCTTCCCGCAGACCGGCCTAAGCAAATCTATCAACGCATATCATGTCCCAAGAAGTTTATCCGAAGGGATCTATTACGAAGACATCTCAAGCGCCATGAAAAGGGCATGTGGTTTCGAAACTCCGGGGGTGTCGTTGCAGCATCCACGCAAGATGCTGTGCAGCTTGATCCACAAGCTGAACATCGTGCCGCGGAGTCGGAATCAGCTCCTACAAGAAAACATCATCAGTTGGCACACATACACATATTCCATGGAGCCATCATAACTGTAGGTTCCCTTTCTATAACCCACCTGTTTTTTTTTTTTTTTTCAATAGCTAACGGTCGATACGAGCTGATGAAATGGAGTGTCTCATACACTTCCTCCCATGGAGTCATGCCCCTGGAGCAATCCTGGCACCAGTGGGTTGAAATCCAATCTTCTTCAGATCAAACAGCATTCTTTGGTTTTGTCATGGATATGCAACACAGCTTTATGTTTGGGCACACGATCGGACACACCTGTGTTCTGTCCCTGCAGGATGTTCACCTTCCGCTACCATCTACCATGTCCGGACTACCTGTGGGAATGCGGCAACGTTATGGAATGGGACCGCATGATGCACAAAGGCTCCAAGTCTCCTGGTTTCTCCCTGTCCCAAAAAGGCTGATAGCACGAACCCTGGTCCCTCGCTGCAATGCTTATGCGCGACTAATCCTCCACAGACTTTCGGCATGACTGCCCATCTGAAAGCACAAGACTGTCACACTTGGTGTTGGAGGGCTTCCGAATGGCATACGTGGCTATCTACACCGATATTCACGACATGCATATTCTAGCCAGTGCGCCCTCTGCTTGGGAATCTCCCTTCCGAGGCGGACTTGGTAGGAGCTACAACGCGAGTGCGAGCATGGAGTGTGAAGCGAGAGTCCAAGAGAGTTCTTTATCATTGCCTCCTGTGGATACAAGAGGTTCTCTTCACAGGAAAGCGGTATATCGCGCGTGTCAGGATAATTTTTCCCTTCGGCCCTGGTCATTGTACCATGCAGCGCTTATTCTGTGAGCGTACGGGTTGATGTCGGCGAAGACGGCGCCAGCCCGGGAACGGGGCGTCTCCTACACTGCAGAGGCGTACCCCATGCACATGCTCATGTTCCTCAGAAGCGACGAGGATATCCCCGCCGTGGCTCCGCAGACGCGGGAGTTACTGGAGCCGTCCGGGATAGTTTAGAAGGTTGCCGATGGGAATTGCTCCAGGCAGCGTATGATACACTAGGACGATTGATTGACAGGCCTGAAACATGATACCTATTATATGAAATACAACTGCTCTGTCTGGGCATTTCATCTGGCGTGTAATCCCCGGCTACAGCACTGCAATGCATTCAATCCTTGATATCCCCATCAACCAACTTCCCTGGAGAATGTCAGATAGTGAAAGTACCACCCCTCTTCCGGTATTTATCAGCTTAAGTCTACGGTCTATTTATCCCGCGTCGGATTCGAGCCGGATGTATGGAGCAGTTGACTATTAAATGAGCTGCAGCCATGGCTCTGTTGAATTGTAACTATGCAGCATCCCACGTAGCAGGTGGGAGGAGCAGTCGGAATGGAGATGCTTCAAAAAGCATCGTATCTTGCTCTTCATAACAACTGTTGAGACTACGTCCGTGATACTTCAACTATTACTTTCATTCCAAAAGCCAGCATCTCAACCAAAAGCGAGCCAACACATTGATAAAACAACCATCATGGCAATAACCCCGCAACCCCCATACCCCCTCCACTCCTCCGTCAAAGACAGACTGCACCCGGAATACGTCGCCTTCTACAACACCTACATCATCAACCAGCAACAAGTCCACTACCAGCCCGTCAGCGCCTCCCGGACCAGCGGCGTCCTGATCCCCGGCGGCGGCCCCGTCCTCGACGTGGACAAGGTAACGGACATCCACATCGACAGGATAGAGACGGAGGGACCCTCGGTTCCCGTGAGGGTGTTTGTTCCTGAGGGGGAGCATCCAGAGGGCGGGTGGCCTGTTTTCCTCTATATCCATGGCGGAGGATGGGTGTTGGGGAATATCGATACGGAGAATACGGTTTGTAGCAATATTTGTGCGAAGGGGAGGTGTGCTGTTGTTACGGTTGATTATAGGTATGTATTATTATATCTTTTCTTTTCGTTCCTTTAAAAACAAACAAACAAAAAAAAAAAAAACACTGATTGACTAGCTGATGATGCTATAGACTGGCCCCAGAACATCCCTTCCCAGCCGCAGTCCACGACAGCTGGGAAGCCCTACTCTGGCTCCTCTCCCCCAAGCCATATCAACACTCTCCATCAACTCGAGGAAGATCGTGGTCGGAGGCTCCTCAGCCGGCGGTAATCTAGCGGCAGTCCTAACGCACAAAGCCCTCGCGCGCAAAGAGCACGAAAGCAAACCCATCCAGATCCTGAAACAGTTTCTCGTCGTCCCCGTCACGGACAACATGGCCACCGTCGCGAATAACTGGTCCTGGAGAGAATTCGAACACACAGCCGCCCTTCCAGCAGCTAAGATGATGTGGTACCGGAACCATTACCTGCCAAATCAGTCGGACTGGGCGGATCCCGAGGCGAGCCCGTTGCTCTATGAGGATGACTGGAGTAAGCTGCCGCCTGCGACACTGCTTGTAGGGGAGCTGGATGTTCTTCGTGCCGAGGGGGAGGAGTATGCGGCGAAATTGAGGAAGGCTGGTGTTCCGGTTGAGGTGCATGTTATGGAGGGCATGCCTCATCCGTTTTTGGCTATGGATTCTGTCTTGGAGGCTGGGAAGAGGGCTCTTGGCTTGCTCTGTGACGGTGCCAGGGGTGTTTTTTATTCGTAGAGCAGTACATTGATTGCAAGATATAACCAGTTCACAGCCGAGTAGTGGTATATCCAAACCACTTCAACCCATTCCCTCAAAGCAGCGGATTTATAGGACGCATCCATAACCCTAAGAATCCTCATATTCATCTCCAAATCACAGAAACCCCCTCCAACTCGTTCACACCGCGCACCCTCGTATATAACCCTCCAAACTACCTCCGATCGCAACCGGGAGTATTCGACGTACCCCTTGGAAGCACGGTCTTCATCACCGTCTCACCGACCTCAAACCCACCCCTATACGCGTCAATCGCCCACTCATTACACCACTCTGTGCCTTCCAAGCCACCATATCCGGCACGACCGTCTTATCAGGGTACCCCATAACCCGTGACAGATAAGCCCTAGCCCTATGTCAGCTGGACGCTGCTAATGAGCAAAGGAAGGATAATCATGCTGCGTAAGACTGACTTGGCTCGCGCAGGGGATATTGTCATAGGGTATCTGTCCCTTGGAATATGGTCGTACAGAAGTACACTGCTGTTGGCGTTGGCCGGGGAATCGAAAATATGGAATAGAAGATGAAGCCCTATGCCCTATCTCCCCATATCTACTGCCCTGGTTAGACCAGGTACAAAGAAGAAATCAAGGCAATACAAGTGCTCGATGATATAAAGCAAGAACAAATATCGTAAAAAGGATATAATCATTCCTTCGTTCAATTCAAATCATCATGACTGTCCATCACTATCTGTTGAATTAGACCCGGTATCATATACCATCCACTCTAGGCCAGTAGACATATCCATAAGTCTTACGCCTCAGCTGCAAGCGCTTCCCTCCTCGACTTCGAGGCCGGGTCAAAGTATGGGATTTCACCCAGCGATACGGCGCGGTTTCCCTGACGTTTACCCTGGTAGTCACTATTCCACGTCAGTGATGTTCTCTCGCTCTCGCTGGCTCAGAGTAATACAACTTACAACGTTGCAGTATGGAAGACAGAGCGGCTGTGCAAATACCATCAGCTCTCATCCCTGTGTATCCGGGGTAAGTAGAAAGCAAACTCACTTATCCCAGATGGCCAGGTCATTCGTGTTCCATTTGAAGCGGACTTGCAGATCGTGGTTCTCTGCAATCAGCTGGAGGACTGGTTTGTTTTATCTTGTTAAGTGGTCATCACCTACAGGGTACTTAAAGGAAATCGATACTCACAGTAGTTCTTGAGAATCTCACTCTCCCTTTCAGTGACGCCTTCAATCCAGCCGGCATGGACTTGGTGTCCGACACCGAAGAGACTTTTCCATCCTGTCACTGGGTTGGTGCGGACGAGGGGACTTCCGGGAAGTTAGTAGCAGGGCCTATATCATGGTAGGATAGAGCCTTACTGGGTTGCCTTGAAGTCATATCCAGTATTCTCTGGAGCACCGCGATCTCCTTCGATCAACTCGATTCCTTGCTCCTTGGCGACTTGGTTGAATCGGGGCTAGGTCACATGTCAATAAAGAGCTCTGTTATAAACGCAGAGACGATTGTATCCTAATGCTTCATCAAAATGACATGCTTACCTGGTAGTGAATAGCCTTTAATCCATCAGCCAGTTTCTGAAGAGGTGGAGACAGCCTGTCATAGAGCTCATATCCTGAAGCCCAGAGGGTATCACCGCCACTCTTATCCTCGGGCAGGTGGGTGATTTTGAGGATGGCATAATCAGATGGAACGCGCTCAAAGGTAATACTATTTGATAGGATCTCAGCTTATTGTCTAGCGGTGATGGATGTAGAACATACTCGGCGTGCCACCCCTCGCTGGCGATGCGGCGCGATTCATAAATGTATCTGTCACGGTATAGCTTGCGGTTTACCTATACCTGTTGTTAGAAACATTGATATCATAGTCCTATATAACAGATACATACATCCGAGGAGATGACAGAGATCTCATCATCCAGTTTCCCGCTCTCATCGACAGCAATACCTCTCTTGCTATTGCTCACTGCGTGACGGTGGAGCTGCTAATGTCAGCGTTTGAACGTAGCCAGAAAGGAAGCAAACTCACTCACCTTGGAGGTGCTGGGCTTCCCGGTTAATTCTCCGAGTTTCTGAGCCAGGAGCTTCTGCTGATCAGAGTTGAGATTCTGACTGCGGAAGAAGACCACGCCCCTGCGAGAGACTAGACACAAGCAGTCAGCATACAAACTTGATCCACAACAAAAGAAACCCTCACCCGTTATAGCAAGATCCCTAATCTTAGCATCATCGTCGAGAATATCCGCCAACTGCAAGTCGGAAAACTCGGTTCCAATGACAGGAGTCGTCTCGAAATGGTGGTACTCGTCGAGAGTCCCCGAGTACTGCAAGGGCTGGCGGATGAGCTGTGGTTGTGAGGCATCGGCATCGACGCCTTTGGCCTTGATACGCTCCGTTGTTGCCGGGGAGGTTTGGACGTCAAACGTGGGAGCCATGGTATCAGACTGTGTATGGACTAGGGAGTCTTGGTGTCTGCAGTTGAGTGTTTCTGAATTGATTTGACGTCTCAGCTAGGGAGAGCGACCTTTATACCTCTCCGGGCTCAACATGGATATAGTCTTCATTCATACTCGCAGACATGAATGCCTCCTCTGATTCCACAACGCCACGCTTGCACCATTGCGTTTAAAATTCCATCTTGCATCTGACAATTGATATTACGGGACCAGATGGAATTGTTCGTCCTTCGTAGACAAGGTCTGGAGTTGCGGGGTTAGTCGCCATGAGATGCTGTATAGAGTACTCCGTGCACTTCTTGATATATGAAGGACGCAGCAAATAATGATATTCGCACTTATCGCCTGTGCATTTCTGTCCAGAGGATCAATTGGCCGCTGGTGACGTTTGCCCGGCGTCCCTGATGCCATTCAACATGATCGCGCCAGGGATTATACATCGCACGTCAACTGAACAGTGCAATCCGGAAGGCATCCTGCAATCCCGGGGGGCATTCCTGAGTGAAGGACATGAGAGGCTCGCATCTCCTGCCTGGGAGCCTGTGCTATATACACGCAGTCAGCCTTGCGAGGGATCATCGGATCCTGTAGAATCATACCAGCATGTATCTGGTTGTTCCACCAAAAGAGACAGTTGATCCGGATGCTCTATAACCGTATGACACCATAAAAAGGCAAATATCATGCCGGTAGCTGGTCTCCTTTATATAGGAAAGAGATATAATGCTTATAGGGATGAATCCAAGAGAACATCAGTGCCTGATTCCCAAGGCATCAACCGACGACATCACGTGGATGGTCAGATGCGTATACTTCACTTAAGCAATCCTTTATTCCTTGCTCCTGTCGTATTTCGAACTGTATTCTCTCATCCAGAGCAATTTTTCATAATCTCGACCATGTCATCGAAGATATTGACCTGAAAAGGTGTCACGACATCCAAGTAGTGTCCAGCATGTCAGATAGTCAACAGAAGAACCCAGCCTGCACCGTCGAATGTCGATTGCTGTACAAATGTCGACCAAGGCCGAGTTGTCATCGACTCTCTCTAAAACGAAGATGAAGGCAACCTTGAAGGACAATATCGGTACGAGGCTACCCCTACTCACAAGGAATTCGATTTCTCTGGCACTGACGTGACGCTACGTCCCGTTTATGTAAATAGCTACAATCTTGATGGCCGAACTCTGCTCATATATAAAACTACCAAGATCCACAACTGGCTGACAGATGGCTTTTCATAAACACCCTCTAATAACGCAGAAGCACGGGTTCATCACATTCTTTCAGTCTATGACACTGCAGTGAGTTATGTGATCACTCTCTTCTGTCCTTCAATATGCTAATTATTGGATATTAACTATATAATTTCAGGAGGTATACCCTGCACCTGTGAATGCAGCAGACGAAAATACTTTCACACTAACCAGTTGTTTTCGCATTTAACGTTGGTCTTTGCCGAGAGTTGATTGATCGGGCAGCGCAGCCCATACCTCTAATCCCTCTGTGATGATCCTTGGACCACTTGGACAACATAATCTCACTGCAATACTTGAAACAGGTGGCTATGGATTGGTCTGGGAACGGAGGAATAACCGTCTAATTTAGAAATGCATTTCTATTATGAGACTATCATCTCAGTTCTATAATCTTAGTTCTATACTTAACCTGTACAATACTTCTTTTCAATGTATGTTTCGTGAAGTTGCACGGAGATGAGATAGACAGGAAGCTTATCTCGCAATAAAGCAAAAAAAATATATAACCCACAAGCTTAACTTAAAACCCAACATTCGTAAAAACAAAAAAAAGCCCGTATATGACATGGGTATCATTAATCATTTTCAAATGCAACAGCATTATGTATCAACATCAACCGCAAGAAGAATCCCGCACATCATCCGCCTCAATAACGCCGAGACAGGTCTCATAGCTCAGCGCAAGCTCATCCTTAAGTTTACCCTTATCCCGGGCGTGGTACCCATCAGCCATAACCGCGATCACGGCAATAGAAGACCCAGACTCCGATTCAGATTCGGAATCAGGACGCAGCAGACTCCGCACATCGTCAACTGTGCTCGAGGCAGGAACGCAAAGCCAGTCCCGTTTATTGACGGAAAACGACGAGATGCGATCTGCCAGTTCAGCGACATGCGTATGCGTGCCGATGTGAGCAGCGTTGTCTGCATCTCTCGTTCTCTGCGAGAGCGAGCGGATACGTCGCGGGGGGATGATATCGGATTCAGATAAGAAGACCCATGATTTTGCGTTTGGGTGCTGGAGGGCCGTGAGGAGGATATCGAGAAGGCGAAGCGGGTCCGGGGAGGGCGAAGAAACGGTGGGGATATGTTGAAGGGGAACAAACGTAGCAGAATCCCTAAGCAGTTTCCCGTGATGGTCTGGAACCGAATGTGAAACCGGAGGCAACAGCGTCAGCTGGGGCTGGGGGACCGCCACCGGGGGCCGTGGGGGGATGGGACGGCTCTGGAGATAGTCTGATGGCGGCGTGGACGACCCGGACGATGGTGAGGAAATGGTCGAGATGCTGGACATGGAGGCCGACATGCTGTTCGGGGTTGACAGGGCGGATGCTGCGCCAATCGCGCCGCCAGGGTGGAAACCCTTGAACACCTCTGCGGGTCCTCGACCTGGTAGAGTGTGTAGCTTTCTTGCGACTGCGATGGCCAGGGCATCGCCTAGCGAGAGCGCGACGGTTGTCGACGAGGTGGGCGCGCAGACGCCAAAGGAGGATTCCTCGTCCTCGTGAATGGGAGCGGGGAGAAGAATCCCTAGCTCGGGAGGGTGGTACGACAACAAAGGACATGTCGATGGGTGACTGTGAGAGGTTATAGCAATCACCGACACAGTGGGAGGGATATGGGGCAGAAGCAGCAGAAGCTCTGGAGTCCGTCCGGAAAAGGAGATCAACAAAAGGGTATCATCCTGAGATGGGTCAGTTTAACGAACGTACATCAACCTGCAGTTACGAGCAGGGAATAGAACAGAACATACCGGGCGAACCATGCCCAGATCTCCATGGAGGGCCTCTGTGGGATGCAGAAAGGCACTGTGGATGCCCATGCTATTCATCGTGGCCTCTACCTTCCTCCCAATCTTGCCACTCTTGCCCACCCCACACACAACCAGCTTGCCTCCATTCTTCACACTGCTCGCGATCTGCGTCACAGCACGCGTCAAATTCTCCCGCGCCAGCTGGTCGGTTTGATAGATGCGCTCCAGATTGGACAGGGCAGCGCGCTCTGTCGAAATAACGTGGATGGCCGTGGCGACCAGCCCCGCGTCCGCGTCCGCGTCCTCGCTGGCCACATCGGTCGGACGCAGCAACGTGGCAGGGAGACGGGGGAAGTTCTCCTGAACGGGCGGCACCGAAGTCGACATGGAAGGCGACGAGAGATGAAGCGATTGTTGCTGCTTGGGCTGAACGATGAGTTTGAAGGCCATGCTGGGAGACAACTCCTGGGTTCCTAGACGGGTTCCTAGACGGGTTCCTGGGAAATTTCCGTCTGGGGACGCGCAGGACGAGCGGAATGTTGGAAGAGTCCAAGACCAGCCGAGGCTGGTTAAATATTATAAGATCCGATCATCTCGGAGATAATAAATTAATATTCTTCTTCTTCTTCTCCTGCACGGAAAGAAAACGGGATCCGTGCCTTGCATGCATCCTATCAAACTCCGTCCGCGGGGGAGCTGGAGCAGAGAGATAATTAATAAGCAGTGATTGCTGCAGCCCGTCGGAGGCGTTCCTGATTTCGCCGTTCGTCCTGGCCATCGCGTCAGGCTCGGCATTGTGTACGGAGAAGAGTCGTGGAGATAATGATACATTCTTATATACAGGTACAAGTAGATCAGGTCTACATACACGTTCTCAAGCTTCGTGGTATGAAAAAGTCATGTCCGGCAAGTTATGCCCTTGCAAGCGGCTTCACTCCCTTATGAATGGCCGCAATCCCCCCCGTGAGATTCTCATATCCCGTTCCCGGCGTCAGAAACCCAGCCTTCTGGATCATCGCACGGAACTCCTCCTGGCTAGGGAATTTCTCAATACTCTCGACCAGATACTGGTAGCTGTCCCGGTCACCCGCAACGATCTGGCCGATGAGGGGGATGGCACTGAAGCTCCAGCGTTTGTAGACCGCGTTGAAGAGACTGCTATCGACCTTGCTGAACTCCATACACGCAAACACCCCGCCGGGCTTCAACACGCGGAACGCCTCGTTCAACGCGGCCTGCTTGTCTGTAAAATTGCGGATGCCAAAGACAACCGTGTACAGGTCGACCGAGTTGTCCGGCACGGACGGCATGCTCTCCGCGTTGGCCTCCGTGAAGGAGAGCCGTTGCGTGTTGTAGTAAGGAGTCTGGACGCTCCGCTTCTTGCCCTCTGCAAGCATGTCGGCATTGATATCGGCGATCGTCACGCGGGTCTCGTAGTCGTTGTTAATGTTCGTCGCATGGTCGAGCATGCGAAAGGCAATGTCACCGGTCCCGCCGGCGATATCGAGGATATTCCAGCCTTTACCCGTCGTATCATTCTCGCGTCTCGGTAGGAGGGAGCCCGGGTTGAGGGTGCGAACGAAGTGGTCTTTCCAGAGTCGGTGGATGCCCAAGGACATCAGGTCGTTCATCGTGTCGTACGAGCTCGCGACCGAGCTGAACACGGCTCCCACTGTAGGAAATCACTGATTAGCAGTTCCTGCCTATCCGTCTTCAAAGCCACAAGTCACATACCAAGGGATTCCTTCTGCGACTCAGGCACATTGGTAAAACCAAAGTGTGTCATCCGCTCATCGCGGGCAGGATTGGAGCTCTGCTGCTCGTGAACACGCAGAGAACAGGAGAAGCAGCGGTAAGGCGCTCGAACCGCGCTTCTCGCCGCAAAACCGCTCTGCAGACTCCTCCATACTGGTCGAGAAGCCATGACTGGATGGCTAGTGCTTTTTCTGATGGATTCAGCGGTGCAATGGCAGGTGTTGGATGGATTCGCATGGAACGGCAAGCCGAAGATGGGAAGTTTCGTCGGTGTCGGAGCTGCACTGACGTCTTTTTCCGCCGATCCATCACGACGGAGGTCTTTAGGAAGCATGGTTTATTTACATATCCGCTTTAAGTTTTAAGGATAATCTAAGATACGCCTCAATTCTATCAGTGGATGTCTGCTTGCATTATGCTCATTATGTGTTCAAGTTCTTATACGAATGGCTCGATTGGTGATTGAGCAGAGGCATACGCACCCATGAACTCCGCCAAAGACTGAAACTATAGCATACATTAAACCACATTGCTATCGGGTTGCTAGGTTGCAAACACAATAGCAGGCTTTAAATTGACAGAAGACCGCATTATGCTCGAGTGCAGATTCAGAATCCCAATCCTCATCTTCCTCACCTTCAACTGCTGACTAATCACACGAACAACATGATTGTCTCTATGAATGTTTTTGTTAGAGGTCACGTGTATTCTGCCATATTAGACCGCCCTCGCTTGGCCTGACACACTAAAATAGCTAGACCAACCTAGATAGATACAATACAAGCAAGTTGATCCAACAGATTATCTAATAATCTAGTCACGGGATCCGGAATATATATTAATGGAGGTGTCTCGTTGGTTGGTTACTAGCTAGATAGGCCTACCTGGTGAAAAGGGTCAGCGAGGGCGGGCCTATGCGGCAGAATCCCACGTGATCTAACACATATCTGAAAGAGGGGGATTCTCTGTCCATTCTCTAGGCAGGCTGAAGCTCACGAGAGGAAAAGGGGCAAGCGAGGGCGGTCAGAACCAGCAGATCCTCACGTGATATAACAATATCAGCTATTCGAGGTGTGTCGTGTGTTGTATATTTTGGTCTCCTATCTAGGTGCCAGAAACCAGCTCTAGGTCAGGCGAGGGCGGTCTAACTGGGCAGAACCCACGTGACCTCCAACATCAGCACTTCCCGTGTAGGTGCGCCCCAGTTCAATGGCATTCCCAGCTCTATGACACTTTTGGAATTCAACACCTAGCTACACGTCTAAAGCAGTGATATCTTTAAAAATAGGTGGCTCGCCATCTGGACCTACCATGAAGCCTTCTAGAGCTTCTTTTTCTATTCTCAATCTTACCCAGCCCTAATAAGCTACATGACTAATCAGATAAACGATAAGCGGCTGCACACGGAGATGCATGACGTCCCACCCGACGCCAACCGCTCTCCTCCGCATTCCCCAGAAAGTGTCGATCCTAATCTATTCCTAGTGTCCTCTTCGGTGTTTCCTCTTCGATCAACAATCACCACGAAACAATGGCAATGGCCTCGATGCTCCTGAAGCGGTCCCGGCTCTCCAGGCTGTGCAAGGACAGCGTCAGAAAGTCCATTGATGTCTCCTCATCATCCCTAAGATGGAGTAGTACTACCAATCCTTCCATCTCACAACGCCCGGGGTCTGACCAGTGAGTTCTATTCGTTGGGTTTGAATGTGCTAGAATAAGGCTGAGTCAATACTAACTGGAAATCCCATCTAGTGTCCGTTTTCCCGGTGCGGTAAATAGCAAATTCACCACAGACATGTCTTTCGTCAAACCGGCTGATATGCCGGCTATTCCCACCTACAGAGTCATGGATTCGGACGGCGTTGTGGTGGATAAGAATCGGCTACCGCTGGATATCCCGGATCAGGAGGTGATTACCTGGTACAAGAACATGTTGACAGGTATTTGATTCTCCTCTGCAAGCTGATATTGGTACTAACTCATTAGAACTTCAGTCAGTATCATGGATGTGATCATGTTCGAAGCACAAAGACAGGGTCGTTTGAGTTTCTACATGGTATGGCAGATAACTCATTGTTAAAGTACCAAGTCACTGATCGTGAACAGGTCTCAGCAGGAGAAGAAGGCATCGCCGTCGGTTCAGCGGCAGCTCTATCCCCCGACGACGTCATCTTCGCCCAATACCGCGAAGCAGGAGTGTTCCAACAACGAGGATTCACGCTCAAGGACTTCATGAACCAGCTATTTGCCAACAAGAACGACAACGGCAGGGGACGAAACATGCCTGTTCACTACGGATCCAGGTACCCACGTGCAGTAAGTCTCCTTTCTATACACTTCCATACAGAAAGAAGCGAGGGGAGAGAAGAGAGAGAAAAAGAAAGACTATTAACTCCTGACGGAAAAGCACACCATCTCCTCCCCCCTCGCAACCCAAATCCCCCAAGCCACCGGCGCCGCCTATGCCCTAAAACTCAAATCCCTCCAAAACCCCAACATCCCCCCGGCGATAGTAGCCTGCTACTTTGGCGAAGGCGCCGCCAGCGAAGGCGACTTCCATGCCGCGCTGAATATAGCCGCCACCCGCTCCTGCCCGGCGGTCTTCATCTGCCGAAACAACGGGTACGCCATCTCGACGCCAACGCTGGAGCAGTACCGGGGGGACGGCATCGCAAGCCGAGGCATCGGTTACGGGATCGACACGATCCGCGTGGACGGGAACGACATCTTTGCCGTCCATGAGGTGATGAAAGAAGCGAGACGTCTTGCGTTGTCCGACGGTGGACGGCCGGTGCTGGTGGAGGCTATGAGTTATCGGGTATCGCATCATAGTACGAGTGATGATAGCTTTGCATATCGGGCGCGCGTCGAGGTGGAGGATTGGAAGCGAAGGGATAATCCCATTGTGCGGCTGAGAAAGTGGATGGAGAATGAAGGGTTGTGGAATGAGGATCTGGAGCAGGAGACTAGGGATGCGTTGCGGAAGACTGTGCTGAAAGAATTCGGGGATGCCGAGAGGGAGAAGAAGCCTCGTCTCCGTGAGGCGTTTACAGATGTCTATGAGAATTTGACTGAGGAGGCTGAGGAGCAGATTCAAGAGCTAAGGAGGATCTTGGAGACTTATCCTGACGAGTATGATCTTCGTCAGTATGAAGGTGGTATAAAGGGGTTATAGATATATATTGCTTGTTCGAATTCTACGAGACTGCAAGAGATAGATATTTTTGGGGCAGAACCATATGGATTGGTACCTGGAATCAACTACAGTTTCATCTAATACCATAAAAACCAGTGCCAACATTTTCTACTCATGACGTAGAACACAGAACTGAACGCCTTACACCCATGCTGACAGAAATTCGTAAAGTCAATCGAAATAATGCCTTATCCTTCAACCGTAGTGGCGAGTGCTTGTTGCACCAGCTTCTTGTTTCGCTTAACGAGCGCAGAGACCTTCTTGTCGACAAGTTCAATTTCTTTGCGCGAAACCTCGAGATCTTTCTGTGACTTGAGAGAGAACGATCGGAGTTCTTCATCAGTCATACCAACGACATCATCAAGATCGGGAAGAACACCCATAACTACACCTGCAGCCCCAAGCATATGTTTTGCCGTGGCTGCTGCGAATGAACGAACGGACGCTGCTGTTGCGTTGACCAATTCAGCCGTGTTGGCAATGGCCCAGTGGTGGCTGCGAGTACTATCCGCCTCCATGGCTGAGAGAACGTTTGGCGGGGCAGCTGCAATGGAAGACGCAGGCAGGTCTGCTGAAGGAAGAGTAGCGTTGGGAGAGGTAGACGCTGCAAGATTCAGCGAGGTTTCGTCTACCCAGCATATATTAAAATTCTCCGGCGTTGCAAAAAGCGCGTCCAGGCTGCCTCCTCGGTTGTTCAAGTCTGGCTCAGTGATAGATGTGACAGGATAATCCTGAAACAGGTCCATAGCTTTGCCGGTGCTCTTCTCTAGGGCAAGATATCTATCCTCTTCATCGGATGACAGATGTCGTAGAACGCACCCATGCGGACTAATCAGACATCTGTTCTTCTGCATCTTAGAGTCACCGTTAATCCTAATGGGTTCTCCACGCAGCAAGGTCTTGCGGTGCTCTTCGGTCAACTCGATAGGGCGTTTTAAAAACTCATAGTCCTCCGAAGTGCACTTCAAGTCAACGCGCAGACTGAGATTGGGAGGGTTGAACAGAGGGTGTTCGTTGAGGTTGATGCTCCCGGATTTGTGTAGCTGAGCAAGCAATGTCTGCAGTGAAGATGTTCTCTCGATAAAAAGGTCCTTGAGCGGCGTACCATTGGATTCAGAGTCCCTGATCATCTGCTCCACCGTATTGTTCGATCGCCAAGCCTCGGTAGATGCGGTCTGGTCAGAATGTTTCTGGTCCTCAGCAGGGATAGCCTTGATAGCTTTCGGAGACTCGTCCTTTGCCTTGGCCTTCTTGCCAGCTTCCCGTTTCTGGCCGTCTGCCTCTGATGCCACATTTCCAGACTTGGTAGGCTTTCCAGGTTCAGACTTGCTATCCTCAGCCGCGCTTAAAGGCTCTGCACTGCTTGATGGGGTCTTCTTCGTTTTCCGCTTCCTTCCGACAATTGGAGCTTGAACCGGCTCTTCTACAACTGTTGACGCAACCTCCTGTTTCTTAGCCTCCGCTTCTTTGGCTTTCTGTCTCCTTTCCTTCTTGGCCTGGCTTTTGGTCATAGTGCGGACAGGTGCAGAGCCAATCCTAGAAGGAGGAGGCGAGTTCGCACGGGAAACTGATGCCGAGGTGTAGGAGGGAGCACCTTCTGATCCAAAGTCACCTGGGGTATCTGGTCTGCTAAGCGACGATATGCTAGGCCGTCTTGATGGCTTCTTCATAAGAAGAGATGATACAGACTGACTAGCTGAAGGAGGTGGGGTTTCGGTTTTGGGAGTGTCTACTACGCGCAGAACTCGAGCTTGGCGTAGGGATGAATCAGAAACACGCGAAATGCCAGTCATGGGAGTATTTGGTCTAGAGCCACCACCACCAACGGGAGCTGAGCCGGTAGAATTTTGAACTGTCGTTTCGGTCTTGGTATGTGAGGCCACAGACGACTGTGATACATCTTCTGATCTGCCCGATTTAACGGGCTTAGTTTGCGTAGGTGTACTCGTTTTGCTTTGCGCGGAAGCTTCTCTGGACTTTAAAGAGTTGTTTTGGCTGTCTGTAGAAACCCTGAGTTCATCGTTCAATTGACTTCGCACCTTGCTAGCTGATTTCGGTATAGGCGAGCCCAAAGAAATATCAACTGGATTTTTGACTCTGTTATGCGGAGGTGCATTGTTTGAATTATTCTGGACTTCCTTTGTGGGCGGTCTAATAATATTTTCCTGAGCCTTTTGAACTGGGGTTCCGGGAGCCGGGCTGGATCTAGATACAGGAATTGAAACCGACAGTGACGGGCTAGATAGATCCTGCATATCCTTAAAGGATAGAGATGGCGGATGTCCATGCGGCAAAGGAAGTCCAGGAGGAAGAGTAGGCGTTCCGGACCGTATTGACGACGCGGGCGATGCGATGGGAAGCCGAGAGCGTAATGGAAAACCGAACCCATCTCCGGTTCGCTTGTCTTTAGGTTGCGTGCCCAAAGGAGGGAAATCTTCGTCCACTGTCCAGTCACCAGTTAGCTCTGCTTGCCACGGAGGTATGTAGAAGTTAAGACAGCATGCTGAAATGGCGGAGGAATAAAAAGGAAATAAGATAAATCAAAAATAAAAATAAAAATAACAGCGAGAGTGCGAAACAAAGAAATCATGCCAGGCTCGCCGGATTCTTAAACAGAAAGGTCCATAATCGAACGATACGAACACAGTAATTACATGAAGGGTCCACAGCCATCTTGACCGGTCACAATCAAGGGCTGGTCTCTATATGAATGGTAACTGTGAGAATTGGTTTCAAATAGGACCCTGCTGCGGAGAAGCCAGGGCAGGGAGGTTAACGTACATGTAAACCATTATCAGGCCAGCCGTAGTCACCAAGACGCTGGTATTGAACCAGATCCGGCTGCAAGAAAATAAAACAAGACTGGCTGCCAAAGTCAAGGAAAACCCGAGAGATATGGAATTCCCATAAAGCAGGCGGCGCCTTTTCATATCCCGTGCATGCGAACAGAAGAAAAAACTGAGAACCATCAAAAACGCCAATTGCTGACCCAGCCCTTATTTATGGTTGTTGTACAGACCCATCTGCTTAATGCTTCGTTGCAAATAGGAGAATGAACCAAATCAAAGGGAATCAATCCGAGATGAAGGAAGAAGCACAGCTCATACCACGAGTCCATCAAAATGAAAATGATATCATGTCGTTAAAAAGAAAAAAACAAAACAAAAAAAAAAATTAAAGGCTCAGGGATGATGGCAAAGGGTACAGAATGGCATAAAGCAATGCAGGCTAATATTCATAATATTGAAAGAAACAGAGGGGGGTACAATGACAATCACCAACGATTAAACCCGGCGCCGTACATCATGGAGTGATTGTACCCACCTTGCCCCTGACTCCCATACAGCGCTTGCCCAGCGGCAGCATTCGCACCAACTTGATGCATTCTCGCCTGCAAAATACTCGGGTCCGCAAGATCTACTACACCGCCTCCACCGGAGGAAGTGTTAGCATGTCTGTGCTTCTTCCCCTTCTTCTTCTGCTTCTGTGGCCCAGCTTCAGGGAAATTCCCTGCCTGGGAGCCATAGAAAGAGCTGAGAAGGCCATTGGCGGGAGCCAGGGGAGGTGTCTGGTGCTGTTGGAAGAAAGGAAAAAAGAACTCACGCTTAGTATTTTCTTGGCCCTGCAGACCACTGCGTCCACGCAGTAACTCGCGCATAAGATCAGGATTAGCATCTTGCTTCCCCATCGTGGCTCCTAAGCCGAGATTAACATTCGTGGTGAAGCCGTGTCCTTGTGCGAACATGCCACCTCCACTAACAGGAGGAGTACCAGCAGTCTTCAACCCAGGCGGTGGGCCTTGAACACCGCTCGTGTAGAAAGTATTTGTGAGTCCATGCTGCGGACTGGGTGCAGCGAGGGGATTTGGGGTCCCAGCTTGCAGCAATGATGCTTGTTGACCTAGCATCCTAGCACCAGCTATGTTTTTGGAGTTGGAATCGTTAACAAAGGAAAATCTAGAGGACTGGCGGTTGTCTGCCTGCAAGGCATTGAATTGGGCCATTTGGTTCTGCAGCAAACCCTGGCGGAGTTGAGCTGCTTGATCGAAGGCAGCAGAATTCAGACCTGCCTGGAGAGGGTCGACTAGGCCTGGCTGATTGCTGGCAGACTTCAGAAGCATTAGCTGCTGCTGTTGAAGAGGAGTAAGGCTCCTAGCGCCGATATTGAGACCCTGGAACTGGTGGCTGGCGGCCGATACTGGAGAGCCTATAGCGGAGCTGGTGGCAGTTCCCTGCTGGGATGGTGGCTGGATAGCCCCAATAGCTTCACGGCTGCCGTGCGATCTAGTAGGGTGAATATCGTCCGGTTCGCCGCCCAGTTGTAAACTTCCACTTTCTCGCGTTTCTTCCTCGGCTGCAGCTGACTGAAGCAACTCCTGTTCTCGATTTGCCCGTTCCTGCTCAGCCTTTTCGCGCATTGCCCTGCGCTTTACACCGCCGTACGGATCAATAAACGAGGGATGATTTTCAACCAATGTAATATCTTCTGTGGACAGACCCGAGGCCGAGAATACGAATCTGAAATCAGCAGAATTGACAGCTTTGAGGAGGTCATCGAGGAGTGGGTTTTCCGGTTGGGGTGCCGGCTTTATTGTTTTAGAGACAGGCTGCGACACTTCGGGCGGAGCTGGAGTCTGGCGACGAGAAGATGTCTGGTCGATATGTGGATGTTTCTCATTGCGTTTCGACTCATCGACACCAGACGCGACTGTGGCCACCTGCGGCCTGGGACTCTGAGAAGCCTGACTATTTGAAAGACTAACTCGTCTAGCACGATTGATTACAGCGTCTTTATTTGCCCAGCTTGCGGATGAAGGAAGGGCAGAACCATCTGCTTGGCCTCTACCCGGAGCTTCATCTTTACTGGGTTGGCGGCGCATCGCCGACGATATGGGTTGCGCCGGAAATCGAGTATGAGGTTGGTAGGAGTGAGAGCCGTGGTTTGGACCACCGGAGGCACCGTTAGGGTGACTGTGACGTTGATTGTTCGATGTATTCATAGACGAAAGGTCTTGTCGACTATAGCTGTCGCTATCTTCACCAGTCTCGTGTAAGAACGTGCAGTTTCGATTAGTGCACTGCTCATTGCGGAGGAATGAGGAGCAATATTTCGTCGTCCCAAACTGCGCTCTGCAGGAGCTAGTCAGCAACGTTCCAGTGGGAAAGGAAACAGGAAAAAGAGGCCCAGAAACGACAGGTAAGGGTAGATAGAATGACAAGAAACATACCTTAATACACGGTCGCCATTGACAGAACCATCAACAGCAGCGATACAAGTTGCAGCATCAGACCGCCTTGAATAGGTAACGTAGACACCAATGCCCTGATTGGGGTTGCCACCGGGCTTTGCCTTACTGACCACGATCTTTTCGATTTCTCCGTACTGGCCGAAGTAATCCTTGCCGCGAAGTGTCTGAAGGAGCTGATTTTCATCGCGTATCGTCGGGTTAAGACCAATCACATAGACTAGATTCTTCTGAACGACCCTGACACCAGCTAAATTCTTCCGACTGGAGGCTTCTATCTCGCGCTTCTCGGCTTCCTTTTTCTTTGCTGCTGCGGCTTTTCTATGTTTCAATGCTAGATCCGCTTTGAACCTAATTTGGGGATATGAAGTTAGTGGCACGAGCCCCGCATAAATAATAGCAATACTGTAAGACAAAAGACTTACTCATCTGCATCAGGGACCTTGTATTGTATGGTGCTCTCATCGTAAACGCGCCTGCAGTTAGGGCATCGACCCTCGTCGCTGTGGGTCTTGATATTGTTGTAACAAAATTGGCAGATCTAGGGACAATGTTATCAGTATTGATTTGTGCGCATGGAATATGATTGCAAACTGGAAGCAAGATGCAAGAGGGTTGAAGTGTATTATTTGTTACCTGATATCCACACGGACAAGGCCTGAAGTTCTTGTCGGAGAGGTCGAACTCTTCGATGCAAAGGGGGCTAAGAGGGGCTGTCAGTACGAAGCGCATAAGACTTCTATGAAGCAACGGAAGAACATACCAGAACTCATCATCGTCATCAATGACAGAGTCAATCTGCTGACGGCTAGACATATTTGCCGCTGAATCTGGACGTGTCGACTCGTGGAGACCTTAAAAGAGGTATTGTCCAGAAACACGGGGAACCGGAGAGAAAAAAGAGAATTGCAGAAAAGACAAAGATGCGACGGGAGGGTAGAAGGACACGAGGCGAAACGAAAGAAAGTCTTTTTCCCAGGAAGGGTTTGGAAGAGGATGTGTGATGGCAAGGATGAGAGACAGGGGAGTGAAGCGAAGAGAAGAAGCTGTCCGCATAGATGCTGCGTCTCGCTCTTTCTTTTCTTCCATTCTGCTGGGCGGCGTAGTCAGTCACGTGCGTCTTATTCATCCATATCACATGATAGATTATGTCATACACATCACGTGCCGTTACCACTCTCCAACTTCCAAGTCCAACCTCAACCGTCCCCCGGCCTTCCGCTCCCCTCGCTGCGCGTCTTCCTTCCATTGCCCTCCACAATGGCGTCTGCACGCTCCCTAATGCGGCTGGGGACCGGCCGTCCCTTGACTGTTGCCTCCCGAACCACTCGATCTAGCCGCGCTCTTTCTTCCACGCCTCTGCGGAATGCTCCCAAGGCATCGACGGCCCCAGAGCCGCAGAATATGCGACAGGCCCAGCGTCCCCGTACGTCCATGGAATTGGTTCTATCGCTATCGAAAGGCTTGATTGAAGATTATTGACTAACTGGCTGCTAGCTGAGGGCCCTCTCCGCGCACCGGTCGTCAACCCCGCGGACAAGTTTCAGGAACAGGCTGATAGCCTGCACAAGTATGGGCAATATGTGATGTCCTGCCTTCCCAAATTCGTCCAGCAGTTCTCCGTGTGGAAAAACGAACTCACCGTCTATGTTTCTCCTTCCGGTATTATTCCCCTCATGACCTTCCTGAAATACCATACCGCGGCGGAATTTACTCAGGTCTCCGACATTACTGCCGTCGATTACCCAACCCGCGAGAAGCGTTTCGAGGTTGTGTACAATCTGCTTAGCGTCCGATACAACTCCCGTATCCGCGTTAAGACCTACGCCGATGAGGCCAGCCCCGTGCCTAGTATTACTGGCCTGTACGACGGTGCCTTGTGGTATGAGCGTGAAGTCTACGACATGTTCGGCGTCTTTTTCGCCGGCCATCCTGACCTGCGCCGTATCATGACCGACTACGGTTTTGATGGTCACCCGCTGCGCAAAGACTTCCCTCTTACTGGCTACACCGAGCTTCGGTATGACGAGGAGAAGAAGCGTATCGTTGTCGAACCCCTAGAGCTCACACAGGCATTCCGCAACTTCGAGGGCGGTACTGCGGCATGGGAGCCTGTTGGACCCGGCGTTGACCGGAAGCCTGATACAGTGAGTTGTTCCTAAATGATTCCGATACAACAAACATTTTCTCATGTTTTCCGTCATGCAGTTCAAACTTCCCACACCTAAACCGGAGGAAAAGCCCGAGGAAAAGAAATAAGAAAGACAACACTGCACCGCCTTTTTATTTACCCTGTTCTTTTGTACATACCGCGTCTACGTTTCAAGCAGTTGCTATTCCAATTCAATTGAGCCATGGGTTAGATGCGAGAAACCGGGTCGTTGCACATGGAATAGGTGACAAAATTAGTAGCTCGTTGTATGTCGGTAAGCAGAACTGGAGTTATCAGAGACTAGATTTAACTACTTTCAATAATGTGCATGGGATGTGTTTTTCTTTAAAACGTAGAAATAATCTCTGATCTGTGTAACACCTGTTCAGCGCAGACCGAACTTCTTGGCTTGGCGGAGAAAACCAAAATCAAAACGATAAAAAAAAGCTTCCCATCCGATCAGATCACAGATAACCATCACACCACCTCATTTTCATAGAATTACAGAATATGACATTCTTCTCACGATCCAAACTATAGAACAAACCAAAACAAGTCCCTATCAGAAAATGCCAAAACGCAAGCTCTCCGAACTGAGCGATACAGCTCACGCAGAGCCGTCACACCAGAACCGCAAACTGCACATCCAAACAGAACGACTGACACAGAAATTCAACCATGGGGGTTTCACTCTGTTCCGCGCGCTGAAGACGGCTCGGGGCTTCGAGCGACAGAAATTGGGCAGGAGGCAGAAAACTGCCAAGGCGCAGGGGGATAATCAGGCTCTGGAACGGATAGAGAAGGAGATTGCGGCTTTGAAGGTATGCTTTGTTTTGCAGCTTTCGCATTATACATACATCCCCCTTTTTTTTTTTTTTGAAGATATCTGGCCTTTTCCTACACATGATGATGGCTAATATATTCCTTTTTCACCCGTGGATAGGAACTTGACCTTCACCGGACAGCCGAGAAGCATCTACTCAAACAGCTCATTAAAACGAAACGCATCGCCGAGTCCCCCGTTTTCGTGCAGTTCAAGGAAGGAGGAAAAGGAAGGAAGATCTCCACCGAAGGACCTAAGGATACAGCGGAAGCGAATGTTACGGCACGCTTGTTCAAATCGAATCCGATCAAGAATGTACTGCCTGACATCCTTGGAGAGATTAGAAAGCTGCTTGGGGTGGATGGTGTTGCTCCAGCCCGGGGAGGATCTGGAGATAATGACAATGAGCGTAATACATCTCAATCTCAAGGGGGGAAGAGCACAAAGGCAGAGAGCATTGGAAGCGAAAAGCGGGATGGCGGCGCGATAACTTCTACGAAAGACCACGATTCAGCGTCTCGGTCAGGAGAGGATGTCGATATGGATGACTCAGACGCAGACAGCGAGAGCGTGGACTACGCACAGTTCGATGCCCGACTCGCCTCCTCGGATGAAGAATCAGAAGGGGAAGAGGAAGAGGAAGACGCAAGAGCAGTATCAGAAGATGGCATTGCACTATCCGAAGCCGACGACCCATCAACACGCACATCTCAATCCCCATCACCAAAGAAATCAAAGATGAAATCCACCGAACTCCCCAAGTCAACCACATTCCTCCCCTCTCTGATGATGGGCGGCTACTGGTCCGGTTCGGAGTCGCCCTCGGAAGACGAAGAGCAACCGCGCCGCAAGAACCGAATGGGCCAACAAGCCCGTCGAGCCCTCTGGGAGAAGAAGTACGGATCTCGCGCAAATCATCTACAGAAGGAGAAGCAGAAACAGGCGAAATCAAGAAATAGTAGAGATAGCGGCTGGGATTTGAGGAAAGGTGCCACAGATCCTAGTGATGGGGATGGTAGAGGGAAATGGGAACGAGGGGGTGGTGGTAAACCCCAACGTCGTGATGTTGCAAGGGGTTCTGGGGCCGTTGATTCCAAGAGGAAAGACAAGGCCCAGACAGACAATAAGCCCCTGCATCCTTCTTGGGAGGCTGCGAGGAAAGCAAAGGAGCAGGCAACTCAGGCGTCGTTTCAGGGAAAGAAGATTACCTTTGATTAGTCTTATGATTTATGTCTCAAAATATGTCTATACATGCAACAGGGATTCTACCCAGGAGGAAGATGTCTTCCCAGAAGTCCTCACCTCTCCTCGCCTGTATAATAACGTCCAGCGTCATAGCAAGGATAGTGACAACGCATCTGTTAGCATTCACGTAGAGCAAACCCTAAAACCCATCAACATCCATCCCTAACCCCTTCTCCTGCGCAAGATCCAGCAACTTCTTCGCAATAACCAAATCCATAATCCCCATCCCCACACACTTAAAGACAACATTACACCCATCCGGAACATCAACAGTCCCCGATAGGCCCAAACGACCGAAAAGCCCCCCGATCTCAACCAACTGATCCTCCTTGACCTGTGCACTGATCAGCTCCCCGGACTCCTCCAAGCAAGCCTCCGCGGAGTCCACATAGATCTTCTTCCCCGCACCGGAAAGAAGGGTATCGGTATCGATCTCCTTCATATGCGGCTTATAGGAACCGATAAGAGAGATGAAGCGCCGCTTCTGCGCTCCTCCTTCTCCCCCGACGAGATAGGAATAAGGGAAATTCGGCTCCGTAGCGGGCGTGCAACTAAAGATGACATCGGAAGCGGCCAGTGCAGACTTGAGTCTCTCATCGTAATCGGACGTGCCCTCCTTCGCAAGCGCCTCAACGACCAAACCCGGGTACTTCGATCTCAGGTCCTGAAAGACTTCCTTCTCCATGCTTTCCAACCGTTTCCGGCCACGGTTGATGACCGTGATCCGTTTAATGCCGCCCGGAACAAGCAGCAACGCCAGCCGGGCGTGCCACTCCGCCTGTCGTCCCGAGCCGAAAATGACGATATTTTCTTTCTCCAGTGACTCGCACCGAACGAACAGCGTCATCACGGCCAACGCAGTCCGGAAAGCAGTGACTTCGGCGGCGCTCAGGAGGCCGAGGAGCCTGCCATCGGGAGAAAACACGTTGATTACCCCGATAATGCCATCGCGCGAGGCGGTTACGACCTTGATGCCCGTGCTGGACGTGTTGGCGACGGGCATAAAGAGGGACAGGTTCTTGTCTTTGGTTACGATGTGAGTTCTGAGGGGCTGCCGGATTTGTCTTTCTGGCTCGGGGAGTGTGGACTCGGCGGACAGTGTCACCAGAGATGAGGAGAGTGCCTCGAGGAAGTCATGGCTTAGTTCTGGTGTTAACTGGCGGAGAAGCCGGTAGAGCTCCGGTTCGGGGAGAAGATGCATGTTGCATGAATACGTATGAATATGGTCTGGCGATATCTCACGCTGTATGTATGCATGTATGTAGAGTGAAGCAACACAGCTTTATTTCGATAAGACGCGGGCGGTATTCAAAGTCGGGGGCGATGTCGGAGCTGCAGGGTCGGATGCCGGCCCGACATGATTTATGGCTTATGCCTGACTGCCCTGACAAGCACAACTATTTACGGGCAGAGGCCAGGACAATGTGCCGGATGGAGTCTCGTTGGAAGCGCAATGTGCCGACTCTGCACATCTCCTGCCTTGTGAGATAGGTCTTGGCAACTCCCAGCTGCACTATTGCGTTGGGGCTCAAGCAAGGAACCACTAGCCATAGATAGACAACAGCTCCATTGCTAAAGCTTCGGATTTCTCACGAGTCGCTTAAAGCAGCATGACTGTTACTAACTCGACAGTGACAGATTGCTCTGTCTTTTGCCGGCCCGCTACACATTATCCCCAATCGCCTTCTGCTCGTACGCAGCAGAGAACAGCGGGCGTATACCGAATAGTATATCAGAATATCTACGTCCTTGCCAGCAGATCGTATACGATGGCTATTTATTGGGTATCGACACAAGCTGTGTCCATTTGCGGATTCAAGGCCACAGCCCTAATGGGATATTGCCATGGGCTACGCCAGGCATATTGCAACTCAGGGCCAACGCCTGAATACCCTACCTGCCCTATTTGCTCTATTTGCTCTATTTGTTCCGTTTGTCCCATTTGTTGCATTTGTTGCATTTGTTCTGTTTGTTGCTGGCATGCCGCTGTCTCTCCTCTTCCTTCTCTCAAGGAATTCTTCGTGTATCTAGTACCAAGATGAATTCTATATTCAAGCCATTACAGTGAACGGCTCATGGTGGCATGTGGCTGATCATTGAGCAGACCCTGAGTACCCTCATGCAGGTAGGAAAGTCTCTGTGATGGTATAATAAGAGCCTATATAAGGACATACATAAGGATACTCAAGGCGTGCCTCTCCTGGGTAGTTTTCGAAGAAGCAAGCATACTTCACTAGTATCGTCGCTGTCGTGTAGTATGGAGCTCGGCTCATTCTCGTTGCCTTCTTCCTTTTCTTGTTTTGTTTCCTTGCTAAATCGTTCCACGCCGCGTTGTATTGCTGCATCGCTGCAATCCCTTCATCCCTGAGATCCCTCGCTCACAACCCGGTTCCTGTTGCAGGGAACATCGCACGTACGCCCCCTTTACACTGCAAGGAAACGATTTCAGGCAGGGTGACAGTGGTCGCTTAGATTACCGCAGGCTGTGCAGCACGAAGCCGAGCACCATACTCGGCACTTCTCTTCAAGCCAAAAGGCAGCAATAATCACACTGGCTATTCAAGATGCAGGATTCTTGCCCCGTCATTTCGTTTCTAAATTAGTTGGGTGACAAAAGGCACACAGTAGAACTTGGCACCGTTAGGGCTTACCGGCGCAGACTTCGAGCGAACTTTAGCCCTCGTAAAAGGCTAGAGAAGTAGGTCGAAAACCTGAAAAAGCCAAGCGCGACGACATCATCTCTCTCGCCAGGGCCCTCTGTCTGCTTTGGTTTGGTTTATAGACCAGAATGACATCGACCACAAGCCGTTTCCCCCTCTGCTTCTGGAAGGAAATGTGAGCCATGGCTGACCTCGGGAATCGCGTTAATGATCGGCAGTCCGCTTATGGTGTCGTGCCCTTTGAAGAAAGACGATGTGACTGTTAGCCGACGGTAATGATAAAACAGACAAAAAGCCCCTAACCTAGTAAGCCAGCAGCCAAGCCGAGATATTCGTATGGAACTGTCGCGCAACGGCACGCCCCCTCCGGCGCATCTGTTATGATTGGAGCAATGCACATATAAGTATTCCGTAGGTGGTAATAATAGGACAGTAATAGGCTCAGGCTCCCCTCCCAAGAGCGAGAGGAGCCTTGGCAGCGGGAGGAATTTACCCAAGCTCTCACGGGCATCCCAGAATGGACCCCCCTGCTCCCTAATTTCTTTCCCTGGACGGTCTCTGGACGGCCTCTAGTGACGGTAGGATGAAGGACAATCGGACGGAGCCTCGTATTCGTTCATGTTTGCTTTGACTGCGTGAGCTTACAGCGTTGTGGCTCTTCCGCAGATCAGCAGTGCCGCTCATGGCACGGGGAGTCAATATATGAGAGTAGAAATACGAGCCGCATGCAGGGCGTATTCCCCCAGTCGGGGTAAGATGACACCTTCATGGCCAATTCCGCCTCGTCGTGGATGCAGAAGATATTTATAATGTCCTTTGGTACTCTTGGACGCGATTATCTCGAGTCGTCATTCCCCTAGGGCAAGGTTACCAGCACTTGCTACGGTCTGCTGCTGCCCATAGTCCTGAGCACAGCATGGGCGGAGTTGATACTGTAGGCCTTATACCAGCTTTGACAACGAGAATATTTCAAGATGATGACGCTCAGCGACCTCACCGTTGCCAACGTATCGGGTATGATTGCTGCTGCTGTCACTGTGGTGCAGATCATCATCTCGTTGGCGATCCCACTCATCCTCTTAGGGCTTCTGCAAGAGAGGAACTCTGCTACTACAGCTTCTGCAGTAACCTGGTATGTGGCGACGGTCTATTATCCATTATCGACCGTGTTGGCTGACTGCAGGTGACGTGGATAGGTCTGTCGTCGGCCATGCCCTACAATCGTCATGGTGGCCTTCCATCCTCTCCACGGACAGCGCAGCAACCAGAGGAGTTCCCAGAAAGATCGTGATGATTACATGGAGCACAACGATCATCGCCCTCATCGTCTCGGTAGCCGGCATCGTCACTCCCCTGGGCCTATACCAGACCGTCATTGCGAACGACAACCCAACGCCCTCCGAATTCCACTACATCGCAGACAGGGGCGTCTTTCATTACGGGACGCCTCCGCGAGATAATCTCCAGTTCAGTCGTCTTTGCGGCTGGTCTGCTCCCAAGCCGTGCCCGAATTCGTTCACCAACATCACCTTCTTCAGCAATGAGACAGGGGACTACTACGACGTTCACAACTACGACTCGTCCATCCCGCAGTACGTCGTGGACGTCTTTCAGAGCGGCCTCGAAACCATGGATAGGTCTGTCTCCAGCATATTCGACATCCAGCCACGGTATTACTCCTGGTCGGAGATCAACGACCACGAAACCGCCGTGCAGCCGGACAACGGGACCACCCACCCCGTCAGCAGCTTCCGCCAGCTGGGGAGTCTTCTGATGGAGAACGACTACGTCCTCGTCGAAGGCCTAGTCGTCGACATGAAGAAGGGCGGCATAGGATTCCGCAACCACAGCGCGCCCCCCGTGCGTCCGTACGGCAGTACGTGGTCGGAAGACCTTCTCTTCGTCGAGCCCGAGTCGCACTGTGTCGATCTGAACCTAACGCTCGATTTCATGCTGCCCAAATACACCAGCCAGGGGTGGCAGGTCTACGGCCTCGTGCTGACGGACCGTGGCGGCTTTGTGAATCTCAACAGAACCTATCCGACATGGGACTTCGACGGCGATCGACAGAGCTTTCCCCAGCTGGAGGCCCGGGCATACAAGGCGGCCTGGCTCAATAATGCGTACTCCATGGCCTTTATGAATGTTACCAATGTGAGGAATCAGAGTGATCCCGACTCGGAGCCCTTTTCGTATGTGAACTCGGAGATGGGGAAGAGGTTTCCGCTGATGTACAACGACTCGACGGGCTCGTCGCCGATGGCCATGACGGTTCCCAGCAAGATGACTAGTTCGAGCTTGTTTGGATACTATCTCAACGGCTTGGACATGGGGACAGAATCATATAACACCTCTAGCGTGAGGGATCCTGACAATGACACCATGACCATCCCGGGGAAACCGCCATTATACTCGAATCCGTTTGATATTGACTCATCGCTGTGGTCTTCCATCGGTAGGTTCCCCCCCCTCTTCTCTCTCGATTCCTTCTCATCCCTGAACAGGAACCGTCTGTGAAGGAGCCGGTGGTGAGGACTATGCAAACATCACCAACTTCGCCACAGCCTGCGGGCTCATATACGGCGCTCCCCAGCGACAAGACGGCGTCGAATCCATCCTATTCAACCCCGGAAGCAACTGGTCCATCCCACTATATGCATGCAGCTCCGCAACCAGAGCATTGATCAAAAGCGTCTCCTTCCGCTTCAACGGCAGCGACGACCTATCCGGACTGACCGTCACGGACATCAAAGACAAAGTGTATCCGGACGAAGCATCCAAGCCTCTCTGGGGCGTCGAGCTCACGACACAGTATCTGAGGGACGTCCAGCCACTGTGGGGCCTCGTTTCGAGTGCGGATCAGGGCAACGTGAGTCTTTCGACGCTGCGCAGGGAATTCCTCTATCTGCCGGGGTTCTACGGGGGAGCTTCCGGCTTCTCGACGGTAGCCGATAATGAGAATCTGCCCGGGATCAAATTCCACGTTGACGCGCTGCAGACGGCTTTCTCGATCGGACTGGAGGGGGAGGGTGTCTCTGACTATACCGGCCAGTCTAACATTGCCATGTTCAGATATTGGCAGGAGCTGTCTCGGACCGCTGCGACGGTTGCCCGCATCCCTCAACTCGTCTGGACGGATGTGGCAGCGAATGCCGTCGTGGGGTCAAGAAGCTTGCAAAAGAAGACGGCACAGCCGCAGCCGCCGCGGCAGAAGAAGCGCAGTCTCTGGAAACGCGACGGTGGTGACGACGATGATGATGATTCGGACCTGGTCCCGGTGATTGTGCACGAACACCGTGTCCGGTACCGACTCGTCTACGGCATCCCGGCCTTCATCACGCTGGCATGCACTCTGGCCACCCTTTGCATACTGCTGCTGGTGCTGCTATCGGGGAACTCGGGAACGAGCAAGATGCGGAGCTTGCTCAACAAGACGTCTCAGGGTCGGATTCTCGCCTCGCGGATTTCCTCTGCGTCTGACTCCGGCGCGGACGAGGTGCGCCTGATCTCTGCTTCGACGAAGGACTGGATCGACTCTGTCGGGAAGAGGCATATTACCCTGACTGCTGTGCGGGAGGACGGTGAATCTCCCGTTGATGGGCCTCGGTCTGCATCGCAATCGGCGCCTTTGCTGCAGGATGCAGCTGCTCAGCCTAAGCCCGAGCCGAGCGTGCGAGTTGACGGTTGAATCGGTTAGGGCAAGTCCTGGCGCTTACTCACTCTATGTGCTACCTAGGTAGTCTTGCTCACCGCGCTTCGAAGCTGATGTATACATGCACTGGATCCTATCCATTTAGTAGTCCTAATCAGCGAGACTATCAGGATCAAGAAAAGATGGCCATCTTGGCCGGAAGCCCTCCCGATCCGATAGCGGCTGCAGGCCGCATACAAGCATCGAGCAGATATTAATACTGTCCACATCCCACTTCCACGACACATCCCACTTCAGAAACACCACCCGCAATCCTCACCGTCCGAGTAGACCAAGTAGAGCTGCAAGCAAGCAAGAGAGAAAGACAAAATGGACGTCCTTGCCCCGTTCCACGCACCAATAACGTGTATCGACATGCACACCACCGGCGAGCCAACGCGCATCGTCATCGCCGGCTTTCCAGCACTGAGCACGCCCTCCACGCTCCTCGAGCAACGCGCCGAAGCACGCTCGCAACACGACCACATCCGGAAACGGCTCATGCTCGAGCCCCGCGGGCATTACGACATGTACGGCGCCGTCCTGCGCCAGGACACGGAACTCGTGCGGAGCGGCCAAGCGCACATCGGCGTGCTCTTTACGCACAACCAGGGCTATTCGACGATGTGCGGACATGCCACTATTGCGCTGGGACGGTTTCTCGTCGACACGCATGATCCGGCCGTTTTTCCGAAGAGGGAGGAGCTGGTGTCTGACCCGGTTCGCCAGACGACGCGCGTGGACATCCATGCGCCGTGTGGTGTTGTGAATGTTTCCGTGCCGACCAGGCAAAACGAAAGGGGGGTGCTGGTTGCTGATTCTGAGCGGGATGTGTCATTTATTTCCACGCCTGCTTTCGCATCCGGCATTCGGGTCACCGTGTCCATTCCCGAGGCGAGGAGATGGCCTGAACTCGTCGCGCAGGGACGGCGCTCGGTCACGCTGGACGTGAGCTTTGGCGGGACCTTCTACGCTCTTGTTTCCGCCAGGGAACTCGGCTTCCCGACAGGCCTGGCAAGGGGGAGGATGGATCTGGACGCGCTCAGCCGGTGCGTGACGCTCCTGAAGGCCCATCTCGTCGAGGACGAGGGCTTCCGGAAGTACATCACCCACCCCGTGACGCCGGATTACTCGTTCCTGTACTCCGTCATGGTGGTGGACGAGGAGGTGGGCGTGGTCCCTGCCGGTGCGGACGGCGCGGAGACGGGACTGTGTTTCTTTGCGGACCATCAGATCGATCGGTCGCCCACGGGAAGCTGTGTGGTTGCCCGGATGGCGTTGGCGTACGCCAAGGGGATCAGGAAGATCGGAGAGCGATGGACGTATCATTCTGTCGTGTCGAATGCGTTTGGGGGCGAGGGGGGGTTTACGGCTTCCATTACGGAGGAGGCGGATGTTACCGATGCGCAGGGCAGAGTCGTGGCTAAGGGGGTCCGAGTCTGCGTCGAGGGTCGTGCATTCTATACGGGATCGAGTACGTTTGTTGCTGAGACTGGAGATGCTACTGCGGACAGTGGGTTTACCATGCAGAGCGTTACGCAGGGGTGACTGGCTTGAAGCGCTGAGGCTGTTGCTTTACATATGGAGGAGATGATGTGAACGATATTCCCATTACCAACGCCGTCTATGAATGCTTCGCTGAATCAACAAGAAAGATACCACCAGAACCAAATCTGTAGCACACGAATGCAGGGCATCGTCAGAACGCATATAAAAGGCCAACCCAGGGAAGAGAAGGATTCAGGCAAGCCCGAAAGCCTTCCGAACCCTCCGCTTCAACTCACTGGCCATCGCTTCCTGCGACTGCTTCGTCCTAGCAACCGCCTCGGTGTTTTCGATCGCCCGTCTCAACAGGAAGCCCATGCATTCCTTCACGGAGCCCCAGGTCAGGAGTTTGTAGACGTTGGGGTTCTCCTGCGACGGGGATGCTCCAGCGGCCGCACCGTTGATGCCCTGCAGCAGTTCGCAGCTGACCTCATCGGCCATACCCTGCAGCTGGGCATAGCTCAGTTCAACATGCGGGTTCTCTCCCTTGGCAGCCTGCTGCATGCGCAGGGCGTGGGCTTTCTGGACCGACTCCCGGTTGTGCGTAGCAACGATGACGTTCACGGGGGGAAGCTCCGTGGCGTGCTTCTCCGACGCAGGCTTCAGCATGCCGTTGTAGCGACGGGTAAGCAGAGCCTCGACGACACCGTCATAGCAGCGGTCCGTTTCCTCCTTCTCTGCCCAGATCAGGTGGCGAGGCTCGGTCTTCAGGTACGCACCGCGGACCAGCTTGACGCCAAGGGTGTAGCCCTCCTGGCGCGAAATCTCCAGATGCCTCGCGATGGTTGCCGGTGTGGAGCGCAGGTACGCCTGATACGTGCTGTAGAAGATGGCACGGTTGGGGGTCTGCGAGTTGCAGTACTTCTGGTATTTGGTGCACCACTCCTCGATGCCATGCTGAACCGCCTGCTCCTCTGCGTCGACCAGCAAACGCACCCGTCGGGAAAGAGCCAGGTCGCAGACTTTCTTAATGGCTGCATCCATGGCTTCCGAAGGGGGAGCCTGCCGCTGCAATCGGCCAAGGGCTTGCGCACCCATGCCAGTGAATCTAGACAAGTCGTCAGCCACCGTCCTAAATGCACTTGGACTCCCGGACGCCTAGGAGACAGCATACTTCAGAGCAACAAAGTCTCCTTCCTGGGCCATGTCCACCGTCTGAAGCGTAGGGTCCAGCCACTCTTTCACCTCGGCACGCTCGGCCTCCTCACCCAGAGGCGTGGCTTGTCCTTCGCCCACGAGAAGTTCACGGGCGTATCCCAAGAGAACGCCTCTGTAGCCCAGGCTCTTGATGTCACGGATGGACCGCTGCACTTCGAGCTTGTTCTCACCCGCGTTGAACTGCCGGTAGATGGTATGTTTGACCAGGGAATTCAAAAGAGGGTTCTTGGCCACGTCGAACAGGCTGGACCTGGGGTTCGCTAGCACGGACAGCGTATAGATGCATGGCTTCAGAAGGATTGGCGACGAGGAGACGGAGAGGATCAACAGGGACCGCAGAACCGAGGATAGAGGGAGCTTTGCCAAGGGCGAAGAGAAAGAAGACAGACCGGCTCCCGTCTTGCGAGCCAGAGAGACCTGAGCGGGATCTGCAGCTGGCCCTGTCGCGGCCGCAGCGGAGGCCTTTGTGTTGGAGGTGCGGCTCACGTATCTCCGTGCCAGATGGGTCGCCACCTGCACACGCAAGGGGTGAAGCGGATAGCGTGGGGTGTTCATTCCTGCTACTTCTGTGTCGAGGAAGTCGATGCGACAGACAGATAGCGAGTGGCACGGTGACCTGGAAGGAATGAGATGGCCAAAGCTGCGTTGCCCTGGATGAGGCGATGAAGATATCTATGTACTCTGATAAAGTTTGCAATCAGTCAGGCGATCCAGCAACCGGACGGCGACTGCCACGACCGGTACGGGCATGGTGATCCATGGATGCTGATGCTGATATCCAGAATCCTTCGTTGCTGTTGCCATCCGGTAGGGCTGCCGGTCTCCGGCCCGGTCTTGCAGGTTAGGGTTGGGTTGGCTCATGTGACCAGGGTTGTGCGTGCTTTGTCCCGTTTGGGAACGAACGCTCGTGTACCCTGTAGATAATAATATACAGTGCTGTGTATCATAAGATCGGGTAGATCCAGGATCCAGGATCTATAGAGTCGCCCGCTAACTGAATGACTACGCGGAGCGTACGGAACCGCTTTCCGCAAACAAAGACAGGCCGACCAACCCCGATGGACGAAGAAGGAATGAAGAATGGGAAGAAAAGAGAAAGAACAAGAACAAGAAAAAGAAAAGAAACTCCCTTTACGGGTTGCTTACGCTTTGATGGCACTAAATACCTTCCATCAGTTCCAAACCTCGTGCAAGGGACCTCTTAGAAAGCAGCTTAATTGTCGTCCTCACGGTACGCTTTTGGACAAAGAATAGCACAAACGCTGAGGTTCATTGCTGCTTGCAGCCATGGTCCCAGCAACTACAGCTATGCAGCACAAGACACCTTGTCAAAGGCTGCTTTGTGTCGGACAGTTATATAGTTGTCCGCCCTCGTATCTAAGGGGGGAATGAGTCTATGTGTTGTTCTGCAACTCGTACGGACCATGACCGACGAAGAAACCATCTCTAGCCCTTCTCGAAACGCCATCGGAGGCCGAGAAGGTCTAGAACTGTCCAACGCGTCCCAGGAGGCCCGTGGCTGCGCGTATCCCCTTCTGACTGTGGAGGAGATACGAGAAAGGCTGGAAGAAATGAGGGAAAAGCGGAGAAAGGAGCATGAAGAGCAGGGAGAGCAGGGAGAGCTGGGAGAGCTGGGAGAGCTGGGAGCGCCGCGAGAGGACTCGGACAGGCGGCACAAAGAGTGGAGGGAAACATTCGACAAGACCGCAAGGGAGGTGAGAGGGCTTAGCCTCCCTTCAGCAATCAGTAAGAAAACTGGCTAATCCTGCTAGCTCCGTTCTTTCCGATTGTCGTTGCGGCATGGCGTCCTAGAGAGCAGACGGGCTGCGAATGTGAAGAGAAACGACGCGCCCTTACCTCACGACGAGAACAAGACTCCCATGCCCGCTCGGAATTAGATCGTCTATCGCGGGAATATCACTGGCGATGTTGAGGCGAAGTCGAATAAGGGAAACTAAACCCTACTATGACACATAAGTTCCATAACATCTGCAGCTAACACCGACTCCCCAATACCCCGGACGAACTAGTTCATTTCCATTGGCGACTTTGCACGTGAAGGCAGTGCCCTAACGCGGATTCCATGTAATGACTTCTAGTAATAATAATGTACCCCGTAGACTGAGTGGGTTCCTGGTCTGCCCAATATCTCTGGAGCCCACGCCAAGTTTGTCTCGGTGAAGCATGTGGCGAATAATGGATACGGGCGTCTGGGCTGTGAACCCACCATGAAACGTGGAAATGATCCTCTTGGAGCAGACAGGCGATGCTAGACCATGCTAGATATTAGATACCCGGCGTTACGCCGGTGCCGAAGCTCTTGGCCAGAAAGTCAAAAGCGCGTTAGTTAATTATCTTCGACGAAGGATTGCTGCATCGCACGCTTGTGGATGGAGTCGAGTCCGACAGATCCCTCCAGGATAGTGGAGAAGTAGGGCATCATCCCAATGATTATCGCCATTATCATTCCCATTACTACCATTATCACAAGATATTATTACCGGCATTATTATTACCATTACTTTACTACTATCACGTCCATTATCTAGTATCTACGGCCGCAAGTTGGCTGGCATGGCGCCTGTCGATCACCCTCGCTTCCGTCTTGGTTCTCGAAGCCCTGGCATCCCTGGAAGCCAACTCTATTCCGCGCTCTTATAAACGGTTCCCATTTCTCCAGACATAATAATATTTGTCTTTCGTTCAAGACAGACTGACTGTCCTCCCCGTTTATACACTATCCATCATGGACCCATCACCGAAATCGCTCGAGGACGGGGTCGTCAAGCCCCCGCTTTACGAGGATGAAAAGTCCCTCCGGGGCTCGGTGCATTCGCTGCACCCGGAAGAAACTCAGCGTGGATTGAGCAGTCGTGCTCTTCAGTTTCTGGCTCTGGGAGGATGTATCGGGACCGGTCTCTTTGTAGGCTCTGGGAGCACGCTCTCCACCGTTGGACCTGGTAAGGGCCCGAATTTTTTTTTTTTTTTTTTTTTTCTCTTCCTCTTCTTCTGCAGTCTGTATTCGCTTATGCGTATCGTGCTCATGTGCGTACCGTCTAGCGCCTCTTTTCATGAGCTATGTTGCCATGTCGACGATCGTCTGGGTCGTCATGAACTGTCTCGGCGAGATGACGACCTACCTGCCGGTCAGGGGGGTCTCGGTGCCCTATTTTATCCATCGGTTTACGGAGCCTAGTCTGGGATTTGCAGCTGGTAGGTCGCCCTGGTTCGTTTTGCTTGGATGTGGTGCCGAATGTGTGCTGACGGGCCTAGGCTACAACTACTGGTACTCCTTTTCCATGCTCCTGGCCTCGGAAGTCACGGCTGCCAGCATGATCATCCAGTACTGGACCACCTCCATCAACGTCGCTGTGTGGATCACCATTATCCTCGTTGGTATGCGATGCTCCCTATCCCCCCTCTGCTGAACGTCCCCTTCGGTGCCGGACTAACGCCAGCCAGTCATCCTCATCCTCAATATCGTTGCTGTCTCCCTGTACGGTGAGGCCGAATTCTGGTTTTCCTCATTGAAGATCATCGCCATTGTCGGCTTGATCATCCTGGGCATCGTCCTGTTCTTCGGCGGCGGACCCAACCACGATCGTCTCGGTTTCCGCTACTGGCAGCACCCGGGCGCGTTCAAGCCCTACCTGGTCCACAGTAATGAAAGCACCGACCGGTTCCTCGCTTTCTGGACGGCGTTCATCAAGGCCGGTTTCTCCTTCATCTTCTCCCCGGAACTGATCACCACTGCCGCTGGTGAAGTCGAATCCCCCCGCCGCAACATCCCCAAGGCCACCAACCGGTTCATCTACCGTCTGTTTGTCTTCTACATCCTGGGGACCTTGGTGATCGGAGTGACGGTGGCGTACAATGACAAGAGCCTCTTGCAGGGGATTTCGAGCGGATCGTCCGGCGCTGGCGCCAGTCCGTTTGTCATCGGTATCCAGAACGCGGGCATCGGCGGGTTGAACCATGTCATCAATGCTGCCATCCTGATATCCGCCTGGTCTTCCGGCAACTCCTGGGTGTACGCCGGCTCGCGCACGCTGTATTCCCTGGCGCGCGACGGGCAGGCACCCAAGATCTTCGCGACGTGCAACCGAAAGGGTGTGCCGTATTGGGCTGTTCTCATTACCTGGGTCATTGGGCTCCTGGCCTACCTCAACGTGTCCAGCTCGGGAGCGAATGTCTTCTACTGGTTCACCAACATCACCACCGTGGGCGGCTTTATCTCGTGGATTCTCGTGATGATTGCGTATTTGGTAGGTACCGGATCCATCTTCCCGCGTGCCACTCCCACTGACACAGGACAGCGATTCCGAAGCGCCCTGCAGCTCCAGGGTCTATGGGACACGGTGACCTTCAAGACCGCTCTCCAGCCCTACGCCACGTACTACGCCTTGCTGATCGTGTCTCTCCTCGCCATCACGAACGGCTACGCCGTCTTCTTCCCCGGCCAATTCACCGCCTCTGGTTTCCTGGTCTCGTACATTGTGTTTGCCATCTTCTTCGTGCTGTACCTGGGCCATAAGATCTACTACCGGACGCCGTGGATGACCGGCCTGCATGACATCGACGTTCTTTCGGGCAAGGAGGAGATCGACCGGATGTGCGAGAACGAGACCGAGCGCATTCCCCGGAACTGGCTGCAGCGCTTCTGGTGGTGGCTGGTATAGAATCGGTGATCTATGGGCGTTTGGTTAGGGTCTTGCCATTATTCCGTGGGCCTGTTTGCATGCATGTATATAGCGCGTACATCGATGGAATGGACATATTATGGATTACTACCGAGTGCACGTGACGAGAGGACGGGATATGGAGGAATACCCCATACTCTTGTGACAATATTAATAGTAACCATAGTAATGACATCGGTAGGAGGAGATGCGAGTTCCACCCTGCTATGAGATAGTAATCATATCTCCAATCTCCGGATTACGATTATCTCCAAGAGATAACACGAAGAACGCCGCCTCCGGCCCGGCCGGCAGCTTGCCGGGTGCATCACCGGCTGGCATCCCGCCACCAGAAAGGAGCATGTCTCTCCGCGGACAGGGTTGCCGGAACCGGAATGGAATGAATGTTCCTGGTGGCGGCTGATTAAGAAGAGGAGCCTCAAAAGCTTCCCCGCACGTCGGCCTCTCTCTCTCTCTCTCTCTCTCTCCCTCCCTCCCCCCTTCCATCAGTCTTCCTTGATCAATTCATCCTCACTGCAGGACAGGTAGCCAGGAATACCTCAACATGCAGTCCGCTCGTTTCTTGAGTGCCCGAGGGCGTCCCTTGGCGAGGTTGCCATCCCTGCGTGGCTCCAGGGCCATGGGCTCTTATGCTACCTTCAAAGCCCCCCAGATCAACAATGAGCCTAATGTACGAATCCCAGTCAATCGCACGAGTCAAAGAATGTCTCACTGACCAGCAGCAGAAACACTATGCGCCCGGATCCCCCGATCGCAAGGCCCTCGAGGATGCCCTTGCCACCGTCAAGTCCAAGGCTCCCTTGAACATCCCTCTCACCATCGCGGGCAAGGATATCAAGAGCTCCCAGGTCCTGATGCAGTCGAGCCCCTCCACCCACTCTCCCATCGCCTCATACTCGAACGCCTCTGCTGCCGACGTCGAAGCGGCAATCAACGCAGCGCTTGCTGCGAGGGAATCCTGGGCGTCCGCCTCGTTCGCCGATCGTGCCAGCGTCTTCCTCAAGGCTGCGGATCTGATTTCGAGCAAGTACCGCTACGAGATTATGGCGCTGACCATGCACGGTCAGGGTAAGAATGCCTGGCAGGCGGAGATTGATGCTGCGGCCGAGCTGTGTGATTTCTTCCGGTTCGGGGTCAAGTATGCGGAGGAGCTGTATGCGCAGCAGCCTGCGCATAACTCCGCTGGGGTCTGGAAGTGAGTATCCCGGTTTCATCCCTGCATACGAGAGGAGAACATGGAAGTTGACGATCTTCAGCCGTCTCGAATACCGTCCTCTGGAAGGATTCGTCTATGCCATCAGCCCCTTCAACTTCACCGCTATCGGTGGCAACTTGGCCGGTGCCCCGGCCTTGATGGGCAATGTCGTTGTCTGGAAACCATCGCCTTCTGCAATCGCCTCGAACTGGCTGGTCCACCAGATCCTCCTGGAGGCAGGCTTGCCCAAGGATGTCATTCAGTTTGTGCCGGGTGACGCGGAAGTCGTCACCAACACTGTCCTGAACCGGGCTGAGTTTGCAGCTCTGCACTTCACCGGTAGCACCGGTGTCTTCCGCACACTCTATGGCAAGATCGCCAGCGGAGTGGCCGAGGGCAAATATCGCAGCTATCCCCGTATCGTCGGTGAAACCGGTGGGAAGAACTTCCATCTCATCCACAAGTCCGCCGATATCCGCAACGCTGCTGTCCAGACTGTCCGTGGCGCGTTTGAATTCCAAGGCCAGAAGTGCAGCGCTACATCCCGTGTGTACGTGGCCTCCTCCGTTGCCGATGCGTTCACCAGGGAGGTTGTCGACGAGGTCAAGAAGATCAAGATTGGCGAGCCATCCGACTTCACCAACTTCTGCGGTCCTGTCATCCACGAGGCATCTTTCAACAAGCTCGCTCGGGTCATCGAGGAAGCCAAGAAGGACCCGGAGCTTGAACTGCTGGTCGGTGGCACCTATGACTCCTCCAAGGGATGGTACATCCAGCCCACCGTCTACCGCACTACGAACCCGGACCACCCTCTTCTCTCCCGCGAGCTGTTCGGGCCCATCTTGGTGGTCCACGCCTACAATGACGGCACCGAGGCCGACTTTGCCGACGTCTGTCGGAAGATCGACAGCACCGGTGAATATGGCCTCACTGGTTCCGTGTTCGCTCAGGACCGCGACGCCGTGCGTGTGGCCGATGCTGCTCTCCGCAACACGGCTGGAAACTTCTACATCAACTGCAAGAGCACGGGTGCTGTTGTGGGCCAGCAGCCATTCGGAGGTGCCAGAGCTAGCGGAACGAACGACAAGGCTGGAAGTGGAAACCTGCTTTCGCGTTTTGTCAGTTTGAGATCCATCAAGGAGGAGTTTGTCCCTACGTATACGGTTGAGTATCCCAGCAATGCATAGGGGTATGGTATAAAAGTTTCCTTGCTCTCTTTTTTGTGTGTGTGTGTGTGTGTGTGTCTATAGATGAGTGGCATGGCGCTGGTCTGTTTTATTTGCATTTCTCTGTCTATACGGATTATGACTCACAGTATATTATCGAATGAAAGCAATAATGATGAATCTCTCCAACTACCATCTGCTTCTAATCCGAAGCGCAATTCTTCAACAACCGCTGCGTACTCTCCATCGCCTGCCTCGCATACTCATTCATATCATACTTCTTCCCCTTCCCCTCCGGCCCCCCGTCAAAAACCTCCACAGAAAACCAATCGCGAAACCCCGTTCTCAAAACAGCTTGTGTCACCTCCTCAACAGGCAAATAGCCCCCATTATACGGAAACGGCCGGAAATCATGACTCCATTGACCCCGCGGCCGCAATCCACCCTTGTCCTTCCTCTCAATCGGGGTAGTGGGCTTATATGCATCCGAGATCTGAAGCAGATATATCTTCTCCGGCGGGATGGTGCGAGAAAGCTCCTGCATGCTCGATGCAAAGTTCCGCTTGAGGACCTCGAAGGGTACGTCTTCGATTAGTCCCGAGGCCGTGGTGGGATCACCCCATTCCCCGCCCGCTGTCTGGAAGGTGTCTAAGCATAAACCGACATTGGGGCGGTCGACGGCTTTCACGATCTCCCAGACGTCTTTCCAGGTCGGGGCGTATGTGGCCCAGCACCAGTTTTCGTAGCAGAGGCGGAAGTTGCGCTTTGCTAGCATGTCGGCCAGTTCGCGGAGGTCCGAAACGAGTTGGGCTTTGTCGGAGGTTATTTTTGACGGGGGGGCGTCTGTTGATCCGACCTGTCATTACTATCAGACACGGCGAGGATAAAGAATAAGGAGAGAGAGAGAGAGGAGAGGAAAACCTGCAACATATCCGTCCCGACAACATTCATAATCTCAATCCACCCGTTCGCCCTCGTAACAGCATCCTGCCTCTCCGCTGAATCCTTCGGCCACCCCTCCCAATTCGCGAACGGCTGCAACATAAGTATCTTGAGCGAATTGGCCTCGCACAGTTTGCGGATCTCCCCCGCCGCCGTGATCAGCTCCGCGTAGTTCCCCGTCGCGACTTGATGGCCCAGTATGCGTGACGCGTAGTCCACGATGTCCGGGAAGCTGAGCTCGATGGCTTTGAAGCCCGCTGCGGAGATGGCTTCGAGCTTTTTGGGGAGGGTGTCGCTGGCGTCGCTGCCGATGCTGCAGGAGGCGTAGCAGAGGGGGATTTTTTGGAGGGAGGAGAAGGGGATTGGGTGGCTCATTTTCTTTGCTCTTTTCTCTTTTCTTCTTTCTTCTTTCGTCTCGTGTGTTTATCCTGTCGGTTATGGTTTGTGGTGTTGTCCTGTTGTTGGTTCTGGTCTGTCCGGTAGATATTATTATGTTGGAATGGAATTATCCACGACAATATGATATTCTGTACGTCGATACGGCTCGATGTCTAGATTTACTGGTGTATTTCTCGCAAATATTCCTAGCCTCTAATTATTCTCCTTGCAGACATTCGAGCATGGTGATGTAATGTAAAAGAAAGAACATAGGGTTAGTCCAATTAGTGGGCTAGTTAGGGCATCTTGTCGATTCGCCGCAAAACGTAAACTGGGCATCATCCCGGATTGAAGATTCTCAGGCAAATCTATGGATATCTACGCCTGGAATAAGAGAATGTTTAGCATGGGGAAGAAACGAACCCATGACGTTCGCCTTACAACCATGATGTAGTCGCTGCATCCGCCCGGATCATATCCCAGCTCGCCACAGAGGAAAAATACACTCGGATCTGCTTTGGATCATTCCTCAGCATCGTCTCTTCCTTTCTTTCTTCCAGTCAATGTTATCACCGTTGCAGGGGATAACTCAGAAGAAACTCCTAAGCACCCGACAAAAAGTATCAGCAGCAACAGCAACAGTGACCGCCACAACGACACAATGCCCTCCGCAGAACCCGACCCAGTCCAAAGATTCAAGGCCATCGGCGTCGTCGGCGCCGGCAACATGGGCTCGATGATGGCCTTCGCCTTCTCAGAACTAGGCCTGGACGTATCCATCTGGGACGTGCAAAAGTCCAACGTGGACCAGGTCATGCGATGGGCCAAGGAAGCCAAAACCAACCGCGGCACGATCAAGGGCTACTACAACGTGGACGAGTTCACCCGCAGCCTGGAAGGGAAAGGGGAGCGGAAGCTGTTCATGTTCTCCATCACGCATGGCCACCCTGCGGATTCCGTGCTGGGTATGATCAAGCACGATCTGAAGAAGGGGGACATCATTCTCGACGGGGGCAACGAGAACTACCGACGGACAGAGCGGCGGCAGCGTGAATGTGCGGAGATTGGGGTCAGCTGGATCGGTATGGGTGTTTCCGGGGGTTATCAGTCTGCGCGGCATGGTCCCAGCTTGTCCCCTGGCGGGAATCCCAAGGCGTTGGAGTTGGTGATGCCGCTGCTGCGGCTGTACGCGGCCAAGGATCCCAAGACGGGCAAGCCGTGCGTGACGAATGTTGGCCCCGGTGGTTCGGGGCACTACGTGAAGATGGTACACAATGGCATTGAAGGGGGGATGTTGTCGACCCTCGCCGAGGCCTGGTCGTACATGCATCATGGACTGGGGCTCACCTACGATGAGATCGGAGACATCTTCGCCAAGTGGAATGAGTCCGGCGAGCTGAAGCGCAACTACCTGGTCAAGATCGGTTCGGATGTCTGTCGCACCAAGAGAACGCCCAAGGGCGACTACAAGGGCGAAGGCGCGAGCAGGGACAACGGCTATGTGCTGGACGATGTGCTCGACAAGGTTGTCCAGGACGACGACGGGACCGAAGGCACGCCGTACTGGTCCATCATGGAGTCTGCCATGCGCCATGTCTCCTGTCCCACGCTGGCTGCAGGCCACTACATGCGCATCGCCAGCGGGAATCGCGACGAGAGGCTGCGCGTCGCCAAGAAGCTCGCCATGCCCATCCCCAAGCCGGTCGAGGGCATCAAGGACAAGACGCTCTTCATCGAGAACCTGCGCCGCGCCGTCTACTGCTGCTTCCTGGCCTCCTTCTGCCAGGGCCTCGAGCTGATCGCGCGCGCCTCAGAAGACGAAGGCTGGAACATCCACCTGGGCAACTGTCTCCAGATCTGGCGAGGCGGCTGCATCGTCCAGTCCGAGTACATCGCGGACCTGCTCGAGCCGGCCCTGTCCTCCGATATCTGTCTGTCGAACATCAAGTTCATCGACGAGGTCTCCCGCGAGCTGCACAGGAACTTCGAGCCGCTGAAGGAGATCATGATGCATGCCACAGCTGCCGACCAGTATGTGCCGGCCATGTCGGCCACGCTCGAATATCTCAAGTACATCGGAGGCACCATGATCCCGACCAAGTTCATGGAGGCTCAGATGGACTACTTTGGTGCCCATGCGTACAACAAGCCTAACATTCCCGGGGAAGACCCTGGTCCGGTCAAAAAGGGGCCGCATCATTATGAGTGGCTTCCGGCGTAGTGTAATCTGCATATAGTGCGTATGGTGCATATAGTTCAATAGAGAGTTGCAAAAGGTTCAAAGCATATAGCATAGATTCCTTGGTTGTCGTTCCTGAAGTGCGGCGTTCACTGCCCAATCGGGTAATTTCCGTGTTGCAAAGAAAAGAAGCAAAATCGCGAAGAGAAAAAATCTCCCCGCAGGACAGAAACATCGCTGCATGCGCTTCTCTCCTCTCCGCCAGCTGGCAACGCTCACGACTATACCCCTCAGGCGAATCGAGTCTCCAAAGCAACTGGCACGCAGAATGGCTGCTCTCCCGGACACCTACAACGGTGAGTTTATCCTCTACCCCTCCTACCCCTCCACCCCGCCAAGGTCCCGTTCTCCCAGGACAAAATCGTCTCCATCAACGCGTCGTTCCCATCTAATCCAGATCGAAAAGACCCCGTCCGCATCGCCGTGATCGGTGGTACCGGTCTTCGCGAACTCCCCGGCTTCACACAGGTCGCCTCGCTCTCCATCTCCACGCCCTGGGGCAAGCCGTCCTCCCCGATAACCATCCTCCACCACCAATGCTCGACGTCGAAGAAGGTCGTCGCAGTCGCCTTCCTCAGCCGTCACGGTCTGCATCACCAGCTCGCGCCTCACGAGGTTCCGTCGCGCGCCAACATCGCCGCTCTGCGCTCCATCGGCGTGCGCACCATAATTGCCTTCTCGGCCGTGGGAAGCTTGCAGGAGGAGATCAAGCCGCGTGATTTCGTTATCCCCGACCAGGTCATCGACCGCACCAAGGGTGTTAGGCCCTGGACGTTCTTCGAGGGAGGGGCTGTTGCTCATGTCCCCTTTGCGGATCCGTTCGATGAGGGCGTTGCTAAGGTCGTCAGGGCTTGCGGGCATAGCCTGGAGGGTGATGGTGTGAAGCTACATGATCGGGGCACTTTGATCTGCATGGGTACGGTTCTCCCCTTCTTTTTCTTTTGCGTTTTCCTGGTACTTGCCTCGGTGCTGATGGGCAATCACAGAGGGCCCCCAGTTCTCCACCCGCGCAGAGAGCAACCTTTACCGCTCCTGGGGCGGCAGCATCATCAACATGTCCTGCCTCCCCGAAGCAAAACTGGCGCGTGAAGCCGAAATCGCCTACCAGATGATCTGCATGTCCACGGACTATGACTGCTGGCACACGTCCACCGCCGACGTCACCGTGGAAATGGTCATGGGCAACATGAAGGCCAACTCGCTCAATGCGAGACGCTTCGTGACCGCCGTTCTCGATGCCATGGCTTCGGACGCGCATTCTGATCTCGTGCAGGCCAAGCATCTTGAGGGCTCGATCAAGTTTGGCGTTACTACCCCGCAGACTTATTGGTCTCCGGAGGTTAGGGAGAGGCTTCAGTTTTTGTTCCCCGAGTATTTCAACTGATTTTTTGGGGGCCTTTTATTTTCCAGAGATACGGGTTTTAGATCTACATGTAGACACTTTTATGATGAATATTACGAGGACTCCTTGTCATATAGATCTATGATTACATTTGTGACTTCCAATTCTTGTCTGGCTATTCCGGTTTCCCGGTAGACTTCCTGCATGGTCGGTCTCCTGGAAAATACTCGGTGTAGTCAACAGCATGAGCAGCATCATGCAGTTGGCGCAGAAGCTCGCCCTCCACTGCCCGGGGAATCAAAGGGAAATGACCGGAACCGTAGAAGACGTGGCGTGCATTCACGAGACCCCGAACCGCCCTCTCGAGAGATGCAAGACTCAGGCCAGTGAAGGGCGGTGCTGGATGGGGATACAGCTTTTGGTATCGCAGTTCAAGAAGCAGTTCCCCGGTCACAGTCGGTTCGCTTTCAAAGCTGTATTCCTCGCAGTGAATGATACTGTTTATCTGGTCGTAGAGGGACTTGATGATGTTGCCGATGAATATCTGTCTGGTGTGCTCGATTTTGACTACAACAACATCAGCACGGAATACCGGAGACAACATGATCTGGTGATCAGGTATGATAGATAAAAGCTCACACTGCAAAAGATCCGAATCCGGAAACCTCAACTCCATAATCCTGCCCGTACTCTGCATATACACCGCGTGAGCTGCCTTCTCAAACCCCCGTCTCCTCCGAAAAGCCCAGTAAATAAAGAGCCATGTCATCAAACGATCCATATCATCCGTCACAAATGTATAACTGACACTTTCTATCCAGCGACTAGCGAAGAAGTCGACCGCTTCAAGACAATCGAAATAGTCCGCCAGTTTGGCTAGTTCATACAGGAGCTCCAGGCTGACGTTCCCCGGCACATTTCTTGTCCGGGCATGGATGGCCTGCATGAGGATCAAGAGGGCCTCCGGGTCGCAGCCGTGGAGCGGGAGTTCGACGTATTTGTTTGCTTCCAGCGTCTGACCTTCTGGCCAAACAGGCTTAAGTCGTGCTTTGAAGTACCCCGAGGCAAGGGAAAGGTGTTTTGAGGATACTTGGATCTTCATTTGGATGGGATTTCTCCGTTTCTCTAGTTTTGTGTCTTCCTCGTCATCTTCTTCTGTCTTGCTCTGCTCATCCCCATCATCTTGGTTATGAGACAGCGCTTGGTCTTCGTCGGGTGTGAGATTTAATTCAGATGCAGACGAGTGACCGGCATCGATGTTGGCTTCTTCTTCCATGCTTGAAGGGGATAAGGGGGGGAGATGCACTGAGGAACATTCTGTCTCTGCGAAACTTGTTAGCATCATCTTTACAATAGACTACATTAGGACAGTTGAAACATTGCGGAGAGTAAGAATATACCCTTCTCATTCTCATGCTCATCGTCATCATCCCTCATGACCAGCAGCATCACGTCCCCCTCAGGATCGATTATGCTTATGTCCCCGTCAGGGTCAATTCTTTGCACGGCCATATCCACGATTCCTCCAAGCTGGGAAATCAAGCCTTCTGCATCCAGGTATAATGATGGACATGATCAAGAGATATGAGAGGCGTTATATAAGTTGGACATTTGCTATTCATCATTTCTTTATAGTAAGCACTGAAAAAGAACATACCATTTAGAAAGGAAGAATGTAGACAGGCAAACTTGTCTTTATGCAGTCGTCTTTGCTGGACTCATTTTATCATTTTATATTTCCTTGTTTTGCCTTCCTTCATAGCTTTTGTGTGAATGGGGGTGATCGGTAAAATGCATGAACTGCATGGGTGAACTAAGGAGTTGTAGGATAGGCAGTATCTATCAAATAAACACCAAAAATGATTGCTACTGAGACATGCAGTACCTCTCTTGTCAGGAAGCATATATATGCACTGTCTTTGGCCATCACTTCAACTGCAGCCAACAGAGCCAGTTGTCCTGTGTCTTATATCCTAGGTCTGGCTCCTTCAATGCATCCTCCGATGCTCCCTGCATCCCTAGCCTTTTGCTATCATCTTTCTGCAACACGCAAGGTAAATCTCTCCAGCTCAGACTCCAAAATGAGCCGTTCAAGCCCGTTCTCAATCAGGTTGATCTTGATTATGTCCAGTCTGACAGCTAACTTGGCCGCCCCTTTGAACTCTGAAGCACGAAATCGGTCGACAGGCGGCGGTAGACCATTAAGTAGCCGGCATCAGCTTGGCTGCGCAGTATACCGCAGCATCCATGCGGTTCTCATTGTCTTTTGTTCCGAATGGTGTGAGAGCTTTGTGAGATATTCGATGACCTGATGGTACTATATGTCATCTTAGCTGATTCTGATTGATTGTGATTGATTGATTGCATTATTTAACGTCTGAAAAAGGTAGGCACGTCAAAAAGATAGGCACGTGCTATGCAAAAAATTTGAATGCCTCCAACGAGAATCGAACTCGTGCTTGCGGATTGCCAATTCCTTTGGATGGGAATGGTCATAACTCAGTATGAGACCGCCGTCCTGACCACTAGACTATGGAGACCTTAGCCGATTCTGCGTTAATGGATTGCCTAATCGAGAAGTGATGTTTTCGACATAAAGTCACATGATTCATCACCACGTGATAATAGTCGCCCAATCCGGTATGGCCAGCATTGCGGCAAATGCACCGAGATGACGATCTTCAACACCTTCAAGGTTGCTTGTCCAGGAATTTTTCCTTCGAGGAGCTATTGCTCAATCCAGTGCACTCTGGCGGGAGGTGCAGTGCAATTATATAAGAACAAGTACACTACGTTTAATGTGAACTTTCCGTTTACATCCATCCATCCAAAATGCAGGGCTTCAGTAAGTGCATCGAACTCGCATCTCCAGCTGGTCAAAGCTAACATGGAATGATCTCAGACATGGGACGGTTCGTATAGTCCCCCATATTCATATTATTTTTGTATACCTAACAATACATCCCCAGCTATGTCCCTCCAGACCAGGAAGGTCTCACGACCGGAAACAAGCTCGCCGGGAAACATCCCCTAGGCGCCAGAGCGCGCCATCTCCGCACAACTGGCGCACTGATCGTACGCTTCGAAATGCCCTTCGCGGTTTGGTGCACGAACTGCAAACCCCATGACACCCTCATCGGCCAGGGAGTCCGGTTCAACGCCGAGAAAAAGAAAGTGGGCAACTATTACTCCACCCCCATTTATAGCTTTCGGATGAAACACACCGCGTGCGGAGGATGGATAGAGATCCGGACAGATCCTAAGAATACCGCTTATGTCGTTACAGAAGGTGGGAGGAAAAGAGATACCGGTGACGATCGCATACCTGGTGAAGGAGAGATTCGGATTCGACTTCCCGGGGTAGGAGCCGGGGAAGAGGGAAAAGAAGACCCCTTTGCTAGGCTTGAGGGGAAAATAGAGGATAAGAAACAAGCTGAGACAGCGACTAGTTGTATTCTCGAGCTGAAGAGGCATCAGGATCGATATTGGGAGGATCCGTACGAGAAGTCAAGGATGTTACGCAGGGCATTTCGCGTGGAGCGCAAATCGCTGGAACGCGCCGATGCTAATCGCGAAGCGTTGAAGGATAAGATGAGTTTGGGAATTGATCTAGTTGACGAGACGGAGGAGGACAGGTTAAGGGCGGGTATGGTGGATTTCGGCGGTGCCAGCGGCGGCACCTCTGATGCAGCAAAAACCGTCCGACTACGACCGATGTTCGAGTCAATGACTTCCTCATCGTCTTCATTGACGAAGAGAACAGCAACGGCGGCCTCAGGGAAGCTTGAAAAACGCAACAAACGTCCCAAGACCGCGAACCTCATTGCGGAGCGCAAGGCAGCCCTTCGGAATGAATTGACCGGGAATACGCGTGCGGTCGTTGACCCATTTCTGAACAATAACGATGGATCGGAATGGCAGCCGGGGATCAGACGACGGAAGCTCAACAGCAGCTTGCATCAAAATAAACCCGTTTCCGTTTCGGAAACAAGAGTCGTCGATGATAAAGGCGTTACAGATGCCAAGCATCAACCTGCACTTCCAGCAGCCGACGGACCAGCTATGCCTATAGCTCTGGTAAATTATGATTCGGACTCGGACTAATGCTTTCCGATTCGTTTAATGCGTTTTCTTCGTTTTTGTCCCAGAATTCTACGGTTTCGGGTTATGGCGTACATGTTTTGAAAGAACTAAAGTGCACGCATATGATACCCTGGTTGGATTTAGGAGTTAGAATTCTTTGGTTCCATTCTCATTACAAAAGAGACAAGGTGGTTTCTGCATGAATATGTCGTTCGTGATCGCATTACACATAGACGCCGAAAATGACGGCTACTGAGGCCAGAAACGGCCACCTTTCCACTCCTAACTTCCAGCATTTGTGTAGCACCACTATTCTACACCTGTCAAGCATTGTTTAGTCACCGGCCTGCAATGGTGCATGAAATAGTCACAGTCAAGGCCCTGAGTACCCTCATGAAAATGGCAACATCCAGAAGGGGAAAGTCTCTGTGATGGTAGTATAAAAAGCCAGCATAGCGGCATATTGGATTTTTATACTACCCATGTTGGAGTCATTCCCTTTCCGTTTTAGTGCTCACCTCCTGCTTACTGAGTATATCTGTGTGTGCCCTGAGCATACCCTGAGTGGCCTGAGCTGTTCCCTGACTATAGGGTGAGTGCCGGAGCGCAGCAGGTAAGATGTAGATGCTTTAAGCGTTAAGCATGTCAATTAAGAGCTTCACGATATACTAGAGACGGTAGTAAAGATTTCCTATGTAGTGGCATATATGATACTGGTAACTACTAGAATATAACTCAGAATAAACTGACGCCAGGGTATACATGCTACTGCAGCCTAGAGGGAAGAAAGAACCAAAAAACGACTAGAACGAAGAGGATGGACTCTCATATGCTCAAGAGCCACTGCCATGTCTGGAGCCCTTCCTCGGTCTGTAACTGATCTTGAATCTTCGGGGCATTGCTACTACGGATCTCTTGCGCCTTGGCTTGGAGCTCTTCAAGTGTGCGCCCTCGTAGATGATCACCAAAATGACGCACGATCTGAACATAGCGATCGGGGCCTGAAGAATCATTGTCAGTGAGTCTCCTAGAATCCATCTAAATCTTGCCCTCAAAAGACACGTAGTTTACCTTGATACATCCGTAGCCCTTCCGTTAGTGCAATCCCTTCATCGTCAGTCCATCTACGGCCGGATTCCACCTCGCAGACAGAATCAGAGGAATCGTCGAAGTCAACACGTCTCTGCATGCTTCTCTCGAAATCACCTCGTTCCAGTGCTTTGATAATCAATCTGAGTGGCCCACGGATCCGTCCACTGGCTGCTTTTGATCTCACATATTCTTCCTTTACCAGGTTGAAAATCTGATCGCACAGTTGGAGTATCACATTCAGCAGGTGGAGGAGGTGTGGATGGCGTATCGCGACTAGTCGAGAGTTGGTGTAGGAAATCTTAAAATAGGACACAGCCAAGCCAACCAGGTCCGGTAACACATGGGCTTCGAATTCGTCCACAAGATACCGTGCCTTGGCTTTCCTTGCAAGAGATGTATGGCGGCCAGTTGCAAGATGCCAGGCTTTGCGGAGGATACCAGACGCCTCCCCGGAAATACCATCCACGAGATTCCTACCTTCGTCCAAGAGGCTGAGAGGAGGATCTTCTGGTAAACTTTGACAAAGATGATGTAGTTCCGATGTTAGAGACTTGATTCCCTTGAAATTTTTTGCCATGTATGGATCAGCAGTTGCGGCCATCATCCTCGTCCTTCTGATGAGCGCTATCCAAGTTTCCTTCTCGACGTCAAGGTTGTTCTCGAACCACGCCACCACATCTTCCTCATATGCTTCATTGACAGTGAGATCGATGCTCTCCTCATTCCTCACGGTAATATGAACGACATCTGCCCCTTCGGACTGGTGGTTTGTCTCTGTATTGCCAGTCACTTCATTCTCCTCCCCATTCATGATATCAGCGTCTGCATTCCTTCCAGGTCTGGGACTTGACGGTAAATGAGCCTCTCCATTCGACTCTTCTTCAGCAGCAGATGGAGACCTAATCGATATCTCAGCAGTATGACGTTCACGAAGAGAATATCTCTCAGCAGCAGCAGAAGATCTAATCGATTTTTCAGCAGTACGACGTTCGCGGAGAGAATACCGCGAACCAGAGTTGGCCCTCGTAGATTGCATTTGATTTTGATTACTTTGAGCTTGTTTTCTCTTGCTATCCTCATGCACAGGCGAACCAGTTTGAGTACTTGCAGATCGGGTATGTTCTTGAATGTTAGAATGTTGGTTAGCTTTTTCCGCAGCACGAGTTCTGTGCCGAAAACTAGGGCTAGCACCGTGCATGTGTCCAGATTGTGGTTGGGGAAGAGTATGAGTCCTGACTCCTTCTGCGTCCTCATCATCATCCCCATTCATAGAACGGGACGGCCTAGGCACAGCGCTCCCGGATCGTTCTCTTTCCGGAGGACGAGAAAATAGCCTCGGAGATCGTGCTTCGTGTTCATCACGCACCCTAGAGATGGTGGGGGTATTTGCATGCTGAATCAAATTGGCATGCCGTCTAGAAGAAGTCAGATAGAAACGGGACCGGGAGGATTCGCTGCGACGCTGTCTGCTTGGAGGTGAAGCATGGAGATTCTCATCAGCACGACGCTTAGGCGTTTCATGTCCGATCGAAGAGCGTATTGATCTGTCCTGGTTCGAAGGGGAGTGATCACTCGCCGATGACTCCCGTTCTTTTGAAGCTGGCAATGCCTCCGACATTTGTACCTCGGACCTCTCCCTAGACCTCTCCCTAGCAATCTTACGAGTCGAGCCATTTATACGTAGTGTGTTTGCATTGGAAGCTCTGTTAGACCGCAAGCCTGAAGACATGTTTCGAGGAATAAAAATGAAAGAAGGCGACACGAAACTCTCGTCCTCGCCCTCGTTCTCGTTCTCTTCATCCACGAAAGACAAAGGCGATCCGGGGGAGTATCGGTCCTCGGGGTGGCTATCACTAGAAAACGATCGATTCTGGGAAATATAACTATTATCCCTGTCCTCTCCGTCTTCATTATCCGGTATTCCTTCACGCGCATCGGAATTCGACCTAAGAGGCCATCTGGGTTGGGATTTCGGGGTATTGTTATGAAGTTCTTTGAGACGCGTGGACCGTCTCGGGGTCAAAGGCTCGACGGTATTGTCCGCAGTTCCGTTTCCATTTTCAGCGTCTCGCATATCTCGTTCGGGAGACAATGGAATATCGAAGATGTCAGTGGCACGGCGCGTCCTACGCCTCTTGTTTGGCGATGGTCGTGTAGCTGGCCGCGGCTCGCTGTTGCGGCGGTTGCTGTTGACATTGTTCAGGAAGTCCAGTGCCTGCATCGTGGAGTTTCGTTTCCTTCGATCTCGCAAGAGAACCATTTTGAATGCTCCTCAAGATGCAGACTGGAGATCTATCCCGGGCATGAATGAAGCTTGTGCATGGTATGGTTCTATCCGCGGTTTCGAGCTGAACGACGATCGCCGGAGCTTATCCCGTTATCACCTGCCAGCAAACGGCCATCCTCTCTCTTCCATCGTACACTGCATGCTATAGCTTCCTGATTCAGCTTTTCCAGGTGCTACATTACTCTCCATTATTTGCAGTCGGTCGAATTAATCACGCCTGCATCATGGCAGTGGAGGGGCTTTCTCTTCGCGTTTTACCAACTCTCGACACCTCCGCGGGGCACACTTTCATGGAACCCACCAAGAAGATCCATGACCATGAGGATGTCTCGAAATTCCTAACCAGCAAAGCTTATACAGATATCATGACATTCCTCCTACAACTCAACAGATCAATGTTTCCTTCAGAACAGCCTGATGGTACCCTGCAAACCTGGCCTCTGAATTCGGAGGCAGTACAGTTCTCTGCACCCGTCCGAAATTTGCAGGAATTGCTATCAAAACTGGAGTCGATAATTCAGGAGGTACCTCCAGATACAGGTCCCCGACGCTTTGGAAATGTTAGTTTTCGGAAATGGTACAAGGTTGTGGAAAGTCGAGCTTCGGAGCTTTTGGACGAGTGTCTATCGCCTGACGTTCTACGGCAAAGATCTTCAGATTCAAGTGGATACACGGCCAAGGAGGAGCTCATGGCTTATTTCCTCGGGAGTTGGGGAAGCCCACAACGGCTGGATTACGGAACTGGGCATGAGCTGAGCTTCCTGGCTTTCCTGGCTGGTGTGTGGAAACTTAATGGATTCCCCAAAGCTGATTCTGGGGTGGAGGAGAGAGCTATCGTTCTGGGCATCATAGAACCGTGAGAGTCCTTTTACTTGCAATACCACACTTTGGTTTTGACTCTAATGTGAAATCTCTTTCCTCCTTAGCTATCTTGAACTCGTGCGAAGCTTGATCAGAACATATACCCTGGAACCCGCCGGTTCCCACGGTGTCTGGGGCCTTGATGATCATTCCTTCATACCTTATATCTTTGGCTCAGCTCAACTATCTCCTGCTATATCACAATATGACCGGGTGCCTGAAGAGGGCTCGTTGCCAGGAGCACCAGCTCCCAGCGCAGTCGTCAAAGCCAACATTGTCGAGAGACAGAGGAAGATGAATATGTATTTCTCCGCAATCGGCTTTATCTACGATGTGAAAAGAGGACCATTCTGGGAACATAGTCCAATGTTGTATGATATATCCGGTATCAGAGCAGGGTGGGCGAAGATTAACAAGGGCATGATCAAAATGTACAACGCCGAAGTGCTTTCCAAGTTTCCCGTCGTGCAGCATTTCCCGTTCGGCTCTCTATTCAGTTGGGATCATGATCCAAATGCCATCCCTCCACCATCGTCCATACATACCGCGTCGGGACCACGAACTGGCGGGAATGAACCCGCCGGCGGCACCCAGGCTCCCTGGGCGACCGCATCGGCAGGAATGCGAGGGGTACCTCCGATGGGGCCTTCAGGAACGGTTGCTCCATGGGCCACTGCAAGAGCCGAAGGTACCCAAGCTCCGATTGTATCAAGAGCACCTGCACCTTCTACTACACTGACAGATACCTCTCGACTTCCTCCTGGGCTAATGGCTCCTACCAGTGCTTCATGGGCGCAATACCGGCCCTCCAATAGGCCTGCTGCTGGCAGTTCAGGAGCGGATATTCAAACAAAGGCTCCTTGAGCGAAACGTTGATTTGAATTCCATTGGCAAGAAAGCTGGTTATAACGAAATGTACTTGCATATATGCTATTTGGCTGTTTTATTGTGTTTACGGAGTTTTAACAGAGATACCTAATCTCAGTATCATGAAAATGGCGCTTTGGGCATGTCTTATGAAAAAAGAAAAAAAAAAAAGAAAGAAAGATAACGTCATTCACCTGCGAACCATCCACATACAAAATATGATATTCCCAACCCTTATGTCTCAAGAGCCCTTGCATGTATTGGAGAAATTTGTCTGTATTAGGACTTTCCAATGTTAGGTATAGCCAGTAAACCTATTTTAAGGTACAGTGACACCTCCAAAGTTTCGACACCCCTAATGGATCCATCCCTACACCGCCTACATACCGCCTACCTTTCCTGCCTTTAGGTGGCCAGTATGCTGGATGTTTTGGAGAGCAACCCAAAATACTTTCTGGCCATGCTTCAGATTGTCATGTTCTCTAGGCCTTGGACGCTAAGACATACTGCAGTGGAGCGAAATGAAGCGCTGTTTCTACGCTGCCTACTTCTTCTGCGCCTATCTCTCTGAATTGTAGCATAGACAATCATGTTGACTTAGTAGTCACGTGATCTCCATTAGCTGGTGTTGGATCACGTGGATTCTGCCGCATAGGTCCGCCCTCGTAGGCCTATCTAGCTAGTTACCAACCAACGATACACCTCCATTAGCTAGTAACGTACGTGCGTTGTTCCCTGCGACAGGAACCGGGTTGTGATCGAGGGATCTCAGGGTTGGATATACCAAGGCGATGCCGCTATACCACGCGGCACCGAACGATCTTAGCAAGAAAACGATATAACGATAAAAGGAAACACAACGACGAAGGAGCCTCGCTCCGTTCTGTACAATGATAACGATACTAGTGAAGCAACCTAGAAACCAAAAGAATGCTCAATTTCTCGTAACTATCTGGGAGGGAACCCTCCATTAAGTACTCCGGCCGCGGGCTCCACCATACATTAGTATGTCGGAGACCGCGGTTCTACGGTGTTCCAAGATAGGAAATATGGGAGATCCGGGGTTTCGCAGTGCCCCCGGCACAATAGCATGCAGGCAGCCAAAGATTCAATTGAAAGATGACTGGTAGGTAACATAATCATTATCCTTTATATAGAGCTCTTTGAGCTCTATGGTAAGAGCCATTTGCTCTTTACTGGTGGATTTTCTAAAAAGTATGGCAGCTTGGTCCCAAAGACCATAGGTGGAGAGGTCATATATGGTGCTTAGTTTATCAGGGTTATCATACAGTATGGCAGAGCTCTATACATCATAATTATCCAGTGTCAGGATAATTACATGAAGGATTCGATGGAGAGGACAAAGGAAGGAAAGGGGCCTGCGGCCACACTAGTCATGCCATCCACACCGTATACATGCCACAGAACATGTGACTTGGTAGTGTGTGTTGTTGGTGCAAGCACCATGCACAGAGTAGATCCTTCTCCCTGCTTGAAGGTCTCGTCAATAGCTGGCTAGGTAGCTGCGTTGCATCCTATTTAGGTTCTCGATGAGCTCCGTGACACTAACCTAAAGCCTAACCCGCGGTTGGGCTCTCGCACAGAACCGGACTGTAGAGTTCACTTGGGCTCCTACGAAGCTTTGGGATTCGGATGGGGAAGCCAACTTCGATTGTTAGCAGTCCAAAATGGTGTTGATATCCAGCCCCCTCCCTGTGTCGAGATGAATTGGCCATGAATTGGTGCAATCCCCACGCAGGCAAAACGGGCAAACGGGCAAACGGGCAGTCTTGTTCCGCAGGAGGACCATGGTACACGATAGGCACGAACGCGCCTCTACCACGGTCGTGTATGTCTCTGCTCCAGGGATGATATCAGATAAATGCACTGAATAGTAAACACGCAGATGCCAGCATGGCAATGCGTCATGGCGCATTTAACAGTATAATAATAGCAATAACAGCAGCTGCTCAAGGGTCAAATAACTTAGTATGGGGCATATACGGCACATGAACCGAAGCACAGGCCAAGTGGTGTTGTCTCCCCGAGCTTCCTTGAGAATTACCGCTTTCTCTCTCTCCTTTCCTCCTCTCTCTCGTTTCTGCTGCCTTTGCCGGTTCCACTGCATCCCAATCTCGTATTACGCCCATCCTCCCCCTACTGTCTATCCGTCCTCCGTGTCTGCTGTCCTGGTGTCACCACTTGGCAGGATATCCAGTCCACAGTTTCTCCAGGAGGAACTTTCAACGCTCCCCCTGGATCTGTACTCGTACCTGCTGCCCTCCGTCCCCAATCCAGCACCTTGAAATCACGGCGGGATAATTCCCAGTCTGGGGAATCGGAGACCAAGTCGAGAATTGAATCATCAATTTGGGTGAGTCCATACTATTTAACACCTACACGCGATGCAACTGCACGGAGAACGCGAGGGAAGAAAACCTGCGGAAACATGCAGCTCCTCGAGGCATGGCACCACCACCTCTACTACTATTACTACTACTTCCGAAGGATTGCATCTCTGGCCTCTTTTCGATACTGTCGATCCTTGCACGTATCTCGATGGGCTTTCTTCCTGTTGCTTCACTCCATGATTTTGTGTTGCCTTCGGATAGGACTACACCTGTCATTCTACGCGCAGCTGCCTCCCGTCTTTCCCACTTCCTTCCTACACCTTTTTTCTTTTCTGTCCCCCTCCCCCTCCCCCTGGATTCAGGGTTGAACTGGCCAGTCACGGTCTCAAAATCGGTTTGCTCTCTATACTGATTTTCACGTTGACTCGGATAGCACCACCTAACCCCTTGCAGTTTCTCTCCCTTTCCTCTTTCTTCCCTTCCACTCGTCCTCGATCTTCCAACCCGGTCCCGGGCCTGACGGTCAGCTAGTCTACCATGGCCACAACAGAGGAACCTGTCCCTCGGGGCGAGACTGAAGTCGACGTGCCTCCCCCGGCTACCCCTGCGGAGTCTACCGTGCCTTCCGGAGCGGAGGAGCTAAAGTCGAGCCCAGAGGCGTCGAGGGATAAAGAGAACGTGCCGGAGGCTTCACCCAAAAAGGCCCATTCGGTAACCAGCCCTTCCAAACATGCTTCAGGAACCGCGACTGTAAAACGAACTCCCCCCTCGACGACGACAAAGCACCGATCGCACGAAGCTCACCCAACCCGTGGCGCGACCAATGGCAGCACACTCAGCAAGCCTCCAACTCGGCCAGCCACCACTTCTACTGTTCGCAAGAATCTGAGCACCTCTACTACTGCCTCCCACCGATCCCGTCCCTCGGTGAGTTCTGCGGACGAGAAGACAAAATCAGTGGCTAGCTCAGGGGATGAAAAGAAAGGCATCTCAGCGACGGCCAAGCGGATGTCTCTCGTTGGCAGCTCTTCGAGCAAACCTCACGTGAAACCAGCTACCTCCCACAATGATCGGAGGTCGACCATTGGCTCCTCTGCATCGGACAAAAAGCCTCCCAGTTACCTCTCCGGTACTGCGGCTTCCGCCAGACACACTGCGGCCAAGCCTACAACTACAACCCATGCTGCCCGACCGACCTCCTCTTCTACCTCGTCCCGTACAATCGCCAGGCCGGCACCTTCAACAACAGCTGCCGCTTCCAAGCATGCCACTGCCACATCCGGTGCAGAAGCAAGGAAGAGACTGAGCGCTGTCCATCATACCTCTTCCGCCGCGAAACATGCCCATGAAGACGCCGAAAAATTACGCTCACTTCAGGACCAGCTGTCGGAAAGCGAGGCGACCGTTGCCAGCCTGAGGACCGAGCTCGAGGCGGCAAATGAAAAGATCTCTCAAGCGTCGTTGCCGGCCGGGGAGCAGTCACCCACCGCAGAATCCGCAGATGCTATCCGAACGGAATACAGTGCCCAGATTGAAAAGCTGACTGCGGATCATGTGCAAGAGCTGCAGGGCCTACAAGCCCAGCTAAAAGAAGCAGATGCAAAATACAAGGAGCTGGAAGAGAGGCTATCCAAGGAGGTTAGCACGCCTGAGCAAGGCAATGCAGAGGCAGCGGCGGCACGAGCAGAACTGGAGGAGTCTCACAAGGCAGAACTGGAGAAGCTTGGAAAGGAACTGGCAGAACAAAAAGCCGCTGCCACTGCGTTCGCCGAGCAAATTGAAACTCTCAAGAAGGAGCTGCAAGAGCAGCAGGCTAGCTCGGAGGATGCCACAAGAGCCTTCCAGGAGCGGAATGCTGCAGCCCTGGACGGTTTGGAACGAGAACTCCAGGGACGGGATCAAGTTATTGCGAATCTCAATGTCGAGATGGAAAAACTCAACCGTTCAAAGCAGCAGGAGGTTCGCGACGCTGAAGAGTCTGCAAAACGAACCATCTCGGCTCTCGAGGACAAGATCTCTTCTTTGGAGACCGAAATCACCGAGGCAGCGTCGGAGGCTCAGCAAAGCAGCGAAAAATCAAGCGGCATTGTTTCCGAGAAGGACCGGGAGATTGCAGAACTGAAGCAAGCAATCGAGAAGTTGCAAGATGAGCTCAAGAAGGCGGGTGAATCCAGCCAGGAGGAGCTGAGCAGCAAGATAAAGGACATCGAAGCAACCCATGAAGACAAAATCGCTAAACTGAAGGCAGAGCATGCGGCAGCCTTGGCCTCTCTGTCGGACGCCCACGCGAAGGAAGTCTCGACTGCCAAGGAAGCGGCGGAATCTGCTGGTACCACTCACTCTAAGGAAATCGAGGAACTGCGCCAGGCCCTAGAAGCTTCGGAAGCCGCTGCAAAGAAGGCAGTAGATGAGAATACTACCGCCCTTACCTCTGCCCACGACTCGGAGGTGCAATCTCTCAAGGAAAAGCTAACTGCATCAGAGAAAGCCCTTAGCGAAGCTCAGAAGGCCCTTGACGAAGGCACCAACGCCGCTCGTGCAGATGCTGCCCAGGAGATCGATTCCCTGCGAGAGAAGGTTGAGTCTTTGGAATCACAGTTGTCAACGGGCAAGGATGAGATCAAGGCGCTCCAGACAGAGATCCAGGGCAAGCAACAGGAAGCTGTGGAATTGCACCAGAAATTTAGCACCTTTGAAGAACAGATTAAGTCCAAGGCGACTGAATATGAGAGCAAAGTAAAAGCTCTGGAGGAAAAGACCGATTCGGCTACGAAGGCCCTCGACGAGAAGGCCAAAGAAGCGGCCGCTGCTGCGGAGGAACACATACACGCTCTTGAAGTGTTGAAAGCTGAGCATGCCAAGAAGCTTGACGAAGTCAAGGCCGAGCATGCTGCCGAGTTGAAGAAGCTGGAAACCGAGCGTGCAGCGGAGTTCGAAGCGTTGAAGGCGGACCTTGAGAAGCGGAAGAGCGAACATGCCGCGGAGTTGGAGCAAACGAATGCCGGACACGCTGCAGAACTGGAGAAGGCGAAGGCTGAGGCGTCCGAATCCCATAAGAGTGCGCTAAGGGAACTGCAGGGGAAGCATGACGAGCTGCTCTCGGCGAAGCTGGAACTGGAATCGAGTCACGCCAAACACCTAGAGTCGCTTCAAACCGAATTGACGTCCTCTCTTGAACGCCATGCGAAGGAGCTTACCACTCAAAGCGAATCTCATGATAAGGAGATTGCCGATCTCCAGAAGCAGTTCGAGGAAACAGAAGCCAAACTGAAGGCAGAGCACAAGGCTACCCTAGATGCCAAGACTAGCCAGGCTGAGGCGGAGCACAGTAAAGCGATTGAAATGCTCCTCACCGCGCATGAAGAGAAAATCTCCAACCTTCGAGGAGATCTTGAAAAGTCGAAAGAGGATAGCATCACCGAGCTTCAAAAATCGCATGACAAAAAGGTAGCGGATCTTGAGGAGCAGTTAGCACAAGTCAAATCTTCTGCTGCGGAGGGTACATCTATTGCAGACCAGCTCAAGGCGAAGATTGGAGAACTGGAACAGAAATTAGCCGATAACGAAAAAGCCCGTGAGGAAGCAGAGAAGAAGGCTGCCGCTGCAGCCGAGGGACTTGCCGATAAACACAGCTCGGAACTATCGAATATCGAGACCGAAAAGGCCGAATTGGAGAAGAAATACCAGGCGGCAAGCGATCGGGTTGCAGATCTCCAGAAATCCCTGGCTGCTTCTGAAAATATCAAGTCCGAACTCGAGAGCGTCTTGGGCCAACTCTCTGCGTCCAAAGAGGAGCTGTCGAAGCTCAGGGAGCAACATGAAAAAGTGTGCCGTGAGATCGATGAAACCAGGTTGCAGAAGAAGGAGATGGAAGAAAAGCTTGCTGGCGGCGAGAGGACTCTGAACGATCAGATCGAAAGGAACATGTCCTTATTGAACAACCTCGGCGAACTTGAAAATTCCATTTCCACCAGTCGGAGGCGCGTTCGCGAACTGGAGGTGGAACTAGCTTCGCTGAAGGCTGAGAAAGATAGCTCCAAGTCCGCTGGTGTCGGCCTTGAGGGAAGCAGGTGGGCAAATGCGGATGATACTAAGGGTAACGATGTCGGCGGGGACAAAGCCGGTCCTGAAGCAGCGGAAGGTGAGGACCTTGGTCCATCTATTCAGGGAACGGTGGGACATCCTTGCTCTTCTTCAGATCTTGTTGTCTGTCTTGGTCCGTTCCCTCGCCAAGAATGATGCTGATTAATTTCTTCGCTTAGATGGCCAGCATTCAGGAACAGCTTAAACATATCCGAGCAGCCAGCGATGATTGGTACGATGAACATAAGCAGTAGGTTCAATCCAGCGCACAGTCTTCAGCAAGCAAGAAAGGAACTGACCGATTCTGCGCCAGAGTAATTGGAGAGCTGGGCCAACTCTCGACATCGACACCCCGAAGTCATTCCAGCACACCTCAACCGGAAAAATCATACAGTGACTCTGACGGCAGTCGTAACGGTGGGAAGTCATCGTAGGCGATGATCAACCCCCATCTGGCTTTGACTGTTTCTCTTCTCCTTGTACAGCTTATTTTGTATCAGTCAAGAGCTCAGGATACCCCTGTTCATACTTTCGCTCTGTTGTCAGAAGACTGTTTGTCTTGGTGTGTCGGGTTCTATTTTGAGGCTTCTTCATGTCTATTTGTAATTCACAATGGAACACGGCTTTACTCCTGTCTCTACTTAATGCCTAATTAATTTTATTGAAACAGTAGAACCTGATACCATGGATGATGCAGTATTCAGTAGGGATGGGATAATCCAAGCGATATATCAACGGAGCACATACTGACCTCCGGATATATTTTGTCTACAACTCGAGCTATCTAATCCAGTCTCTGCGCGTAGACGACATGACTATGCAAAGCCAACCATGATCAGTCTCATGTCGTTCAAACAGGGAGTAAGAGAAGGATGCGATGGGGAGAAGAACGTACAAGTCATGCATTATATGCGATCCTCTCTTCTTCGCATCATTCCGAACCTGGGAGAGGAACAGTTGAACTTCAGGAACACTCCAACCAAGAACATTGGTGAAGGTGGATATAGTGAAAGCTTCTAGACCATCCAGGAACTGGAGAAGATTAAAGGCCCCTATTTCTTTCTAGGTGCATTACCAGATCGTCAGCTAGATCCATCTAATATCATGCTTCCAGTGCTGGTCTCACTGAAATAACCAACAAGCATACTACAACATACATACCATAATAGGATCCATCGGCCACAGACCCAATGGCAACTTGAAGACCTCATGATGGATATTCTTGAACCCAGCCTCCTGCGCCCATTGCTTCAGATGCACACCGACGGTATTGGGACGGCCCATCTTCCGACATGCTTCCTCGAGGAGCTTGTAGAGGCGGATGACGCTGCTGTTTTCGTCGAGGGTGTTGTCTTCCGAGTAGTTGACTAGGTGGAAGTCTTGGAATTCGATCCAGCCGCCTTTTTTGGTTTGTCTGTACCTCCTTATATTAGCAAATACTAGATAGAGTGTACGTAAAGAAAAAGGGGCAGGTGTAGCCGGACTTATAGGCCTGTTTGAAGAGTCTTGGCCAGTCGACGATCGAACCGCACATGTACCGGGAATGGATGAAGTCGAAGGCCTTGCGAGAGGGCCAGTCGCTTTCGACGTCGTCAACTTCGAAGACTACATTTGGGGGGACCCTAATTGTTGTCCTGTTAATTAGATCTGTCGATGTAAACATTCGTCTGTGCATACTTACCATGTTGGCTGTATAGGACTGAGATCGTTCCCTAGAACCTATGCAAAGATTATTAGAGGCCTTGCATATCAATATACTTAATGTTAAACCGTCCTAGATCGTGACATACCAATTCCGCAGAAGGAAATTGGTCCGCTGCATTCCATATGAGACACCATCAGCAGGAGAGAGAGAGAGAAAAAAAAAAAAAAAAAAGAAGAGCAAAGGCAAGACCGAACTAACCCAAATCAATAGCCCAAATCCCCGTCCCAGTCCCTATATCCAAGACCCGAAGCGGACCAGGCTGAATCGGAGCCAGAAACAGCTTCCCACCCAGCACCAGCTTGAACATGTGGTGGACCATATTCATGCGTTCTTGCTCGCGTTCGTCGTTGGGGAATTTGTAGCCTGGTAGATTATAGGAAACGGTTAACAATGGCCACAAAGGGGGAGATGAGGAGAGTGGAGGTTAACAATAGACGTACTGCCCTCCCTGTAGGAGTGGAATCGCCTTCCATGCTCCCAGTTGTAATTCTGGATGCTGGAGCTGAGAGAGGTGGCGTAGCTTTGTCTGTTTTGTTCATTCTTAATTGATTTTTTTTATATATACATTCGGTCTGAGGACGTATTTGAGTAGACATACAGTTCAGAGCTGTAGGCCTCGTCCGTTTCCGATGCCGTCTCCTGATAGAATAGCCATGGAACGATCAGTTCATGTCACTGATGGATGATTAAAACCAGGAATTGCTGAGCTTACCGTCTGGTCAATGGCAACAGTCTGAACTGACCGTTTCTGTTGTTCTGTCATGATGGCTATATGTTTTGCTGCTTGTTCAGACCCCACAACAGACAATCTGTCCAAATGAGCAGGACAGAAGTGCTAATTACTGGTGATCCCATTGCTGCAGGCCGGACTAGTATTTTTGTCACTGCTGATCTTTTCATGCAATGATACTCTGTATGGTGGGCCTACCCTACAGGCCGCGAATTTCATGTGAACCTGGCGCTCCGGAGGAATCTCTCGGTTGGGTTTGCCATGTCTTGGAAACATGCCTGAAGAAATGAAGGATGAATCAAGCCTTGCCGGATGAAATATTAGAAGGACGACTAGACAGGTGTCTTGGTTTCTAGGGAACAGCCTCAAAAGTGAGACCTTGGGTATGTCTCAGCCTCTCTTTAGGTGTGAGTCGGCCGTTTTCCAGCAAGATACGAGAAGCTTTGAATGAGACCATCGCCAGTGTTCCAGTCAGGAATGAATGGACCGCATATTGAGAGTAATACGGTTCAAGAATCTGGACCAGGCAGTGATCCAATCATCCCGAGGATGAAATGTGTGTGTGGAATATGGAGGGAAGATGGGGAGAATGAAGAAAGCTCGAACAGCAAGATGGCGCTTTGTATGTGCAGCAAAGATAACCTGATCCGGTAGTTCGAAGATTATGAGATCGCTTTGTGAACTGCTGACACGGCCTGAGATTGGCAGCAGTTCTACGGGGTATATTATATGCTCGGCCGCTTCTTCCAGCAGCGACGCAACTCTATCAGAAAGACAGCCTGGTCTACAGTGTAGCATTGGGTGCATCCCTGAAAATGCCCTAATCAGATACTCCTTCTCTTCCTAGGCCCCATCGACCAACTTCACGCATCGCCTCGTCGCCACCTTCTGCTAATCTTCCGTTGGCATTAGACGGGTTGTTGCTCCCAAGCACGCCCGCCACACAGCCCCATCCGCTTCGGCCGCCTCCCCAACGGAGGACCTCGTTCTTGTATCGCTCTCCAGCCTCTCGGTCCACGGACGCCTTGCCCGATTTGAAGACATCCTGCCAGATCTTGTTCGCAATTGCCCGATCGAAGATGTAGCTGTAGTATGTTGCTCCGTAGCCGTAGAGGTGGCCGAAGAATCCCTGCCACGAGGTAGGAGGCTGAACATCCGCCGGGTCAGGGAGGCTGGAATACTGGGAAAAGACCCGATGATAGATTTCAGTGCTATTAATGGATGACACATCCGTCGGCAAAGAATGGTATGCTTGATCTACTAAGGCCATGAGAATCTGCGCTTCGTTTTCCACGGCGCCGTATATCGATCCGTGGGCAGCGAGATCCAAGTCCATGCTTTCAGGGAGGGGCTCATCCGTTTGCCAGTGGCGAGCGTACAGAGATAGAACTTTTGGTGCAGTGGCAAAGCTCTCCATCAACACCGAAGGTAGCTCGGCAAAATCAGTCGCACAACGCGTTCCCGAGATGGACTGTAGAGGTGTCTGACCCAATATCGAATGGACGGCATGCCCCATTTCATGAAACAGCGTACGCACACTGTGTACGCTGAGAAGGGTCGGGTGTCCCATTCCACTTGCTGGAGGTTCCGCGAAATCGCAAACAAGGGCAATTGTGGGCAATTGCCGGAGAGTCCTGGTTTCAGGGTCAATGGCAGTGGCCATGCCATCATTGGGATGGGACGGGTGATCGGGAGACGCACATTCTGCGATCTCTTCCGCAGAGATCTCACGCGAGCACCGCAGAGTAAAATGAGCCGGGTTCGGACTCTTGTCAGGCCGCGTAAATAGATCACAATATATAACCGCGATGTGCCGCTCCGATTCGTCAATCACGTCAAGTCGTCTGACGTCCGGATTCCAGGTCTCGCCAGGTGCAGTTTCCTGTGGGACAAGACGCACTCCATATAGTCGGTCAAACAGCCGTGACAGGCCCTGCATCACAGTACCCAGGGAGAAAAATTCCGGGACGACTCCAAGCAGTCGAGATCTACGAGCCTGTGAGTATTCCAGGACTCGCCGGTGAACATAATAGGCATGATCCCATGGTTGTAGCGGTGATGAACCTTTCATGCTTTGCAACTTCGAGAGCTCCTCCTGGACAGGTCCTCGGTTGCTGTCGACAAGAGAGGTGAGGAAATTGGATACGGCCTCCGGAGTCCTCGCCATCTTGTCACTGAGCGCCATATGACCGAAACTCGGATACCCCGTCAGCTTGGCCAGCTCCGCTCTTTTCATGAGAAGCTGTTCTAGCCGGTGTATCTGCTTTTTGCTCGACGTCTTCGTCGCGAGATATATTTCTCTTCTCGCATTCTCGTCATGCACAGCCCGCAGAGCAAGCCGTGGAACCATTCCCATGGTCGGCACCGACGCTGTCCGGTTCCATCTTTTAATCTGCTGGATCACAATCGGGTCCAGACCACGCAGACTATTTGCATTCAAAACTACATGGGACTTCGCGGGTTCGGCACTGTTGGCAAATACCGACCCCAGTTGACTGATATCGTTAGACAGGTTGACAAATCTCTGTCTTTCGTTCGGCGGCATGTGGATGGCAGAATTAGAAAAGTCCTTGATCAATATCTGCGCGACTATCTTCTCCTCCTCAGTCCAATGCGAAGTCACGTCCGGACTCGAGGCAGCCTTGGTCAACTGCTCATAAAGACCAGTCGTGGTATTGAGAACATTCATGTACTCAAACATTAGAGCGTAGGCCTGTGTAGATGCCTCCTGAACTCGTATATCGGGATGGATCGTCCTGATGAAGTCCGATAGATCTATTACGCGGCAAAGGAGATCACTGAGACGATCGAGATTCCGAGCCATAGCTCTGTATTCCTCCAATGTAGACGCCGCCAGAACCTTCGCCACTATCGACTGGCATTTCTGCAGCGATGCATTGGCGAATTCCCTGAAACCGTCGGGACTAGTCAGGTATTGATTCTGAACCAGACCAGAACGCTTAGGTAGGCCGGATCTCCGCTGAGAGAATTCCCTCCAAAACGGCCGCGAGTCGAAAACACGTCGCAGCGTGTCATCATCCACCTGCTTCTGAGTAGCTGTGCTCGTAGGTGTCGAGTCAAATTGGTTTGCATTCGGGACGGACGAGGTGGCAGTCTCGAAGGCTCTTTGCGACTGTAAGCGCCGTAGGCATTTCGGGTATGCCCATGGCCGGCGCCGTAAAGGCATCAACATCGTCTGGGAGAATGCTGCATACGTGTTTGGAATGCACCTTGGGAAGGCAATCAAACGTAGGAGGACGACAGAGAGAGTCGAAAAGTGAAGATGCCGAGATTTGATCAAAAGCGCTCCGGACGCCTGCGGTCATCCGTAGTGCCAGCCGAATTCTGCCGGCCGACTTCGAGAGCAACCGACGTCTCTCCCTCTCTCCATCTGCCTGTATCCCTTGCAACCACTGGCCATTGGCCTCTTCTCCGTAAAAATGTCATTCCGGCCAGTGTTCCAGAGGGTTCGTGCCTCCCAGAAGCTGAATTTCCTGCTGCATTATCCCCCGTTTGGTCATCACGAGGGCTAACCGGACTATGTCTAGCGGACTCTCGTTCCAGTTGCAAGCACTCTCCTCGCCGGAGGGATCGCGCTCTATCCTCGGCGTATTGCGTATGCAGAAGAGCCACGGGATATAGTATGAGCTCCTCCTATTGACCTGGCAGCTTAACGGGCCCCGACTGAGCTGAATTTCCGCGTTGTACAGAAAAAACCGATCTACGATGACTTCCCGATCGAAACCCCGAAAGCACCTACATCGACTCCTCCGGCTGTGACAACAGCTCCAGAAACCTCGTCCGAGGTCGTTCCTGCTACGTCAGCCCCTTCGCAGACTCCTACAGATATCTTGGCTGCTCAGATCCGACAAGCTCGACTCTTCCTCTACGCGCACGCTCTCGCCGCCGAGAACGGGTTCAATGACTTCCTTTCTCGCGTGTTGCACATTGAGAACGCATTCACCAACACCGTTGCCTCATTGGCTCCTTCCCCAGAGTCCGGGGAACGTCTGCTTCCTGGGGGTGTCTATGTGATTGTATCCGCCATGGCCGGTTCGATCGTCTCGCGGAACCGGGGTGTCTTCCTTCGAACTGCGTCACCACTTGCCTTCGGCACTGCTGCCGCTTGGTACCTCCTGCCTGTGACAATGCGTAATATCTCCGATCTTGTCTGGGAATATGAGAAGAAGGTGCCCGTCGTTGCAGAGCAGCACCTGAAGATCCGCGACCAAGCCGAGTATATTTGGACTACCGGTGTTGCACACAGTGGGATGGCGAGGCAGAGAATGGAAGATAAAATTGGTGATGCCAGGAGGAAACTGGAAGAGTTGGTTAGCAAGGGCCACTGAACCGACTGGAAAGCCATTTAGGCCATCGGGAATGCCAATTCCTTTGATACTGGAAAATGTGGGATAGGAGAACACAATTCCACGTATATGTATTCTCATCATTTAGAATCTAAGAAGCGAGGACTTTCAGCCAATACGTTAGCCGTTTGGAATTTCTATTTATTAAGTCGTGAAATCATCGACAGAAACCCGCCGCTAAAGAAATAAGCCATAACGCAGGGCCGTCCACAGCTGGTTATATACAATTGAAAAAGTCCGTTACTGGTCATCCAAGGAGCTATAATTCCTGGCTCTAACTCGTCGATTCGCTTGCTTTAGCTCCCGTTGCAGGGCTAGAGGAAGAGGGAGGTGACGTGATCTTCGGAGGCGGTGGTAAGGGTGTCCCTTTCCTTGAAGGAGCATAATCCTGCTCTCTACTCTTCTGTTCCCCTTCTGCAAAATACTCATCAAAGGCACTATTCGGTGACATAGCAGCGTGGTGACGTGTCCTTCCTCGACGAGCTGTGTGCTTTGTCTCCGAAGATGCAGCAGAGGGCTTCTTTTCCGGAGGTAATAACGGTGGAGGAGATGCCATGTTTGCCGGAACCAAAAAGTGTCCACCACCACCAAACGATCCTCTATATGTCTGATTCTGCTGCTCTGCAAGTGGCGTGAAACTCCCGTCTTCCTTAGTTTCGAAGACGACTTCCCCAGGCCCTTCCACTTCTTCGCCCAAACCGACAGGCAGTCTGTGTAATGCGCCGTATCCGAGTTCGGCACCCAAAGCTCCCTCCCCACCCCAGCCCCTCGTCGGGACAAGCTCAACCTCACGGACAACGTCAAACTCGCTATTATACACCCATAAAATAAGCGTCCGGTCGAGATGATCCTCAACTAGTTCACCCAAGGCAGACTCCCCTCGCAACGTCCCACTCGGTGATCCAATTATATAGTCCGAATGTGGTAATAGACCTGCTCTATAAGCTGGACTGAGGGGTGAAGGGACCGAAAGAACGTGCCATATATTTTGTGTGGTGGAGAGCGGAGCTAGCTGTAAAGCAAGGTTAAGGGAGGGATTTGCTGCGGGAACTGGCACTGAAAGTTTATGTATTCGTTGACCCTAGAAAATACATCAAGCAATCAGTAAATGATACCAATCTCCAGCATGAGGTTTTTCCTAAAGCACCTTTGCACTCCACACGTCAAATGAAACGCTTCCACCGGCGCAATTGCGAACTTCGGTAACGAAGAGGTTTGGGTCTGGATTCTCCTATATAATGAAAGACAAAAAATAAGTCAGTGAAATCAGGATATAATAATATATATTATCAGAGGATTTTACAATGAGGTGTCCATTTATTCCCACAATGAAGTCAAACCACGGTTCCAAGGGCAGTTCGGGGTCCTTGTTGCGCAGGACCTGGAAGCCAAACGAGTTATCCCCTGTGGCATTACGGGGTTGTTGAGGAGGCTCGGCATCTAGCCGCCCGATGAATCGATTTAGAGCACCAAACATTTCTGATAGAGTCCGCCAGGTTTCGTAGGAAGTAAAGGATATCGATGTAGTAGCCAGCTCAGATCGTATCGACATGGAGAAGCTGTTCAGAACTCGCTGCAAACAGTGCAAACAACGTTGCCGTATCTAATCAAATAATCAGAAAGATCGATCACAGAAGAATCGTTCGCGATCAACGCCATCATTAATCTGCTTCAAATCTCATGTCATGGACTGCTTGATGACCGGTCAATAAGCCAGGTCACAAGCGACCTCTGTGCTTTCCTGACATGACGGCGGATACCGAAGAAGCACCCCCCGAGGTCCATCACTACGAGCACATTGAGGACGTCCCTTGGGATATCCAAAAGTATTTCTTCCTATATTTCCTATATACAATATTTTAACCCATTGAATCTAACTTTGGTCCTATTTAGTTACTGGGCACAACGCTACAAGATTTTCTCCAAGTATGATGATGGGATATGGCTGACTGATGACGCCTGGTTTGGCGTAACCCCAGAACCAGTTGCCAAGTGTGTGAACTACAAATGAGTTTATATTTATGGTGCATCTATTTCAGATATATTTGCTGACAAATTGCTACAGTAAGATAGCAGAGCACATCGCCAATTCAGCTCCTGCTGGACGTAGTATCTTGATCGATGCATTTGGGGGAGCTGGTGGGAACACTATTGCATTTGCAAAGTCTGGGAAATGGAAACGCGTCTATGCCATCGAAAAAAACCATGCGGTTTTACAGTGCGCCAAGCATAACGCCAAAGTATATGGCGTTGAGAACAAAATTACCTGGTTTGAAGGGGATTGCTTCGAAATATTGAAGAACCAGCTCAAAGACTTGGCTCCATATGCTGTTCTTTTTGCAAGTCCTCCTTGGGGTGGTAAGTCGGCGCTTCTCATCTCTACGGCCTAGCATGATCCCAAAAAGGCTCTCTCTGACTCTTCTAAAGGACCAGGATATCGATCAGATCATATTTTTGATCTGCGTGCTATGGAACCTTACTCTTTGTCCAAGCTTTACAATGAATTTTCTGCTTTCACAGAGCACATGGTCCTGTATCTTCCAAGAACTTCAGATGTGAGACAACTAGCATTGCTGGTAAAAGATGACCAGAAGGCTACGGTGATGCACTATTGTATGGAAGGTGCTAGTAAGGCATTATGCATCTTCTATGGAGGATACAGCATGTCCTGATGGTCGAATTAATACTATTTGATATGACATCTTGCTCAATACGACCTGACGGGAACTTAGCGTCAAATGGCGTATGTATGTCTTCCACAATAGCTCTCAAGAGAATACTCAGTAGAACAAAAAAAAAAAAAAAATAGAAACGGTAAATGTTTCCAGCCTGAGTGAATGTAAGTCAACGTTCTCTTACTGCAGATTCACTATCCCACTGCTATTCAGGCCTATTGTTGCTCTCACTGAGCCTATTGCCTATTCCGGACTAGCTTACTTCCCGAGATAACTCCGCCCTCACTTGTTCCGCCAGCTCAAAGAGCTCTCACGTCTCTCACTTCCATCAAGACCATCTATCTGTCGTTGCTGCTTTTAATTTTGATAGATTGGCTCAATTTATTTGCCTCCAATATCTCAACCCGTCCATGAACAAAACCTAGTGCGTCTCTGCCTCTGCAGGCGCGTTTTCGACACCGAAGGACGGACTACAAAACGCCGACGCCGCAGATTTCCCTTTGATCAGACTCACTTCTCCTCGAACTCAAAATGCCTCACGCGACGGGACCGGGTGCATCTGAACCCGAAGATGCTGACTTCGACAATGTGATGAGACAGCTGAACGGCCCCTTTGGGGAAGGCGACGTGTCTTTTGATTTCATGACACGCGAGTTGGACCCCGGAGAGAAAGCGGACGACGCCGTTGACTACGAGGACTTTGATGACGACGAGCTTCCTGAGGAAGAAGAGGCTGCAACTACCCTTCCTGCGGAAGGTACAGCGGCTACAGTTCGGGAGGACGATGATATCCAAGGCCTATTCGATGAACCCGATGATCTGTTTGGGGAGCAGACAAAAGATGGACAGGCGGCAGATGATGGCCTGGATGATCTGTTTGGTGATGGCACAGCGGCAGAAGAACAGGAATATCAGATGAAGGATCTGTTTTTTGAAGAAGGGGGACCCTCGGCTGCTGGTACAGCCATCCCACCTCCTGCCGCAGAGACTCTCGAGACTGTGAGAATGGATGAGGAGGAAGAAATATCAGAAGAAGAAGACGCCATGTCCACAGCTGAAGAGGATATGGATCCAGCTACTCTACGAGCGTGGAAGCTTCAGCAGGCCCTGTTTGCGATGTCTGCCTACGGTCCAGATAACCCGCCCGCACCACCGGAGAATGCCGAAGAGCTTCTGCAGTCTCTGTTTCCTGGCTTCGATCCCAAGGTTCTACCCCGGTTTTTGGAACTCATCCCCCACAAGAAGGCCTTCTTCGTTGGCAAGCAACCTCTTAAACCCCCAAGGCCCGTTCTACCAACGAAAGTCAGTATCGAACTCGCACAGGATCAGGAGAAGTCATTCAAAATGGCAGGCAAAGTTCATAAACGCCCGTTCGAGTCCGAGCATTTCGGAACCGTGCATATAACTGACCATCGGGAAGAAGAAGAAGAAGATAATGACTTTAAGGCAGACTTCGATCACGATATGGATAATGACGAAATCCTTCCTGGAGGAATCAGCCTGGAAGATCTTCAGGTCGTATGCACAAATTGGGACGTCCAATCTGAATTGTCTGAGATGGAAGTTGATGAGGAGCCTTTTGTAAATGGGATGGAAGATGCAGTCGGTGAGGACGATTGGCTTGTTGAGACGACTCGTCCAGCGAAAAAGCGCAAGGTCGGGCCAGACCCTTCCGATGTTATCGCTTTGTCTCATATCGATATACCACTTCTTGACGACCCCGAACAAGTGACATCTAGAATTGCTCGGAAGGTTACGCTCGACATGAATGATCCTCACTTAGTCTTGGATGAACGGAACGCTGAATCCGTGGCACAGGTACCCAAAGCCTTGCGAGCTTTCAGCAGGGATGAAATGGATGCCAGCCTTACTCGACGCCTGAATCAGCGCTACAATATATCGAACGATCAGGCGTACGACATGTTGAAACAGAACCACCAGAACAAAGTCCGGAGCACCTTGGGCAATGTTAGTCTTGAACACAGTATGCCAGCATTGCGTTTACAGTGGCCATATTACAAGACAGAGCTAGCCAAAGCGGAAGCTCGATCATTTCATCGTCCAGCTTTGTCTTTTCGTCCAGGTCAAACTTGTTGGTTCAAGAACCCATCGCATGTCAAACGCAAGCACCAAAAGGGCAAGGATATCAAAACTCTTTACAATACGACAAAGGATCTCTCAATGGCAGATAACTCAAACGTCCTGCTACTTGAAAATTCAGAAGAAGTGCCAACCATGCTGTCGAACTTTGGAATGGCCAATCGTTTCATCAATTACTATCGAAAGAAGAGCATGGAGGACCCTACTCGTCCAAAAGCGGAAATTGGTGAAACAGCCGTCCTTCTTCCACAAGACAAGGGCCCATTCTCTATCTTTGGGCATGTGGACCCTGGTGAGGTCACGCCAACAATCTCAAATTCCATGTATCGGGCACCATTGTTCCAGCATAAGGCTAAAACAACCGATTTCCTTGTGGTGCGCAGCAGTACAGGCTCCAGCGGTAGCAACTATTATCTCAGAAATATTGAAAACCTGTATATTGTAGGGCAACAATTCCCGTCCGTCGATGTTCCTGGCCCGCATTCACGAAAGGTCACGACAGTTGCGAAGAATCGCATGAGAATGCTTGTTTATCGCCTTTTGAAGAAAAGTCCAGACTTGAGACTTTCAATAAGCGACGTCACGGCCCATATACCCGGCACCACTGATATGCAGAACCGCCAGAAAGTGAAAGACTTCCTTCAGCATGACAAGGATTCAAAGTATTGGGTACCGACGGAGCCGGTTCCTGACCAAGATACCATTCGGTCTTGGGTTCAGCCAGAAGACGTCTGCCTTCTGGAATCCATGCAAGTCGGTCAACAGCACCTTCACGATACTGGTTACGGGAACGATGCCGAAACTGGAGGTGATGACGACGAAGATGCAGAGGGGGAAAGTTTCGAACAATTGATGGCTCCTTGGAAGACTACCCGGAACTTCCTCCTGGCATCCCAGGGTAAGGCCATGCTTAAGCTCCATGGAGAAGGCGATCCCACCGGCCGTGGTGAAGGATTCAGCTTTATCAAGACATCTATGAAAGGGGGGTTCAAAGCTATTGGCGAAAGTGTGGAGGACAAGCTTGACGCGCAAAGGCTTAAAGAGCTCGGCGGGCATAGTTACAACGTTGCCAGACAGCAGAAATCATATGAGACGTCTATTCGACGAATCTGGGATGCCCAGATGGCTAGCTTATCTTCCACCGTCGAGCAATCTGATGAAGAGAGCGATATGGACCAGGAGGAGGAAGAGTTCGGTAAACCTACTCCGCGATCTGAAGCTCCTACACCTGCTCCGCTTCGTCGCGATGACGAGACTACCAGCCAGTTCAGTAAGATTAGCGCTACGAGCCAGAGGGGCAAAGTTCTGCGTATCATGCGTGACTTCAGGGATGAGAACGGTCAAATAGTCCGCAAAGAACAAGTTATCTGGGATCCCCGTGTTATTAGGAAATATATGCAACACCGACACCGATTTGAAACGTTGCATACGAAGTGAGTCTCCTCCTGACAGTACCTGGCTCAGTACGCTAACCCAGACCTCTACAGACTCGAATCACTTCAGCCAACGGGCGATCCGGAAGTGGACGCTCGCAACAAGAGACTGTATGTGCTTCTTTTCTTTCTACCTGTCTTCATTTCTGCCTATTGTCTAACGCCTTTCTCCCATCTTCCAGCATCGAGGCCGAGTTAAGCCGGCTCAACCGCAACAAAGAACGTCGCTTCGCCCGTGAGAAGCAGAAGGGAGTGGTTAGGGGGTCAACTGGAGAGTCCCCAGCCGATGGGCAAACACCATCCACACCCGCCAAAGCAGGAGGAACCCAGCGAAAGTGCGCCAACTGCGGTCAGGTCGGCCACATAAAAACGAACAAAAAGTCAGTGAGATTCCTTCTCCCCTCGGGCCCCAATCACCATGCACCAGAATCAGGATCAGGATCAGGCCCCTCCCCAGCATCTACTCAACTCCCGCACCAAAATAAAAATCAGAACGGGTCAGGACTGAGTGGTTCGTCCGATGCACCGGCGGACACGGACACGCCGTCTCAAAAATGACTCTTCCCTCGGAGCACCTTACCCTCTCATCCATTAATCCTCTTCCTGCCTTTTCTGTCTCTCCTTCAGGGGAGAGAATCATCCTTTGGATTCACCCCAAATCACCCCCATCATCAGTCACATCAAAACAGAACTCCCTCCTCTCCATCATCTCCCAACATCCAACGCTGTCAAATTAAATCAGAAGGCTAACATTGGCTCTCTCTTTATACGCAATTCTCAACAGACTCTGTCCCCTCCTCAACGGTACAATGCGCCCACCAGACCCCACCGCCGGATCCGCCTTCCCAATGGGCGCGCCGCCGATTGTTTAATAAAAAAAAGGTACATCCATATTTAGTACTTACCATCCTCAATATTATCATCTCCGTTTGCAATTGATACCCCGGGTCCCTCGTCTTTTTTAATCTCCTTTCTTTCTGCTGATTTTGTTCTTTGTTGGGTGGCTGTATTTCAATTCAATTCTACATTGTTTTCCCGGGTGGGGTTGCAGAAATATTGCAGATATGCTTATGTGGGCCAAGGGGCCATGGATGATTTCTCGATTCCCATGGCCAGCAGGAGTTCACCTATGGTGGTGTTGGTTGTTTTTATGTGAAACTTACATTTCTTTCATCTCGCTGAAGCATGTGCAGAATGTATAATTTGAATTTCCTTTTGATGAGCACTGCCGCTCCGAGGTCATTAAATCGAGAATACTATACGCTGGGCTTTTGAGGCAGCTGAACCTATCTAGCATGCAATGATAAGTCGAGTGTTGATTTTAAGGACTCTGAGCTGTCTTGCAGTCCATTCACAGAAAGATATCGATGGTATTGTTCTTTGGTAGTACACATTGTTACTATACATAAGAATATACAGTCCTCAGAGGACCTTGACTTAAGGGTCGTGCTATTATAGATACAAACGTTTTTCAAGATGCTCCTACGCCTCCGTAGGGTGCATGTTTTCCGTGTCAAGTGGCTGCCCACTGAATAGTGATGATGGTTGTAGAGAGCCGTCTGGGATGGTAGGTCGATCTGGCGAGCAATCCGCCCCCCAAAAGTGATGTGTAGTGATTATTCAATAACCAAACAATTCTTCCATTTGCCCTCTGGCAAGAAATGGACGCCCCCTTTCACTGCTGAGAGCCATGATGGCTGGTTTTGGCCTACGGTATGTGTAGCCAAGAAATGAGCCCCCTTTGCGCATCTCCAGCACAGCCTTGCCTACTCGCTCATCTCGTAATATCTTGTCCCGTGGTCTTTTTTTCTCCTTTGGCTTCTTTTGGACTTTTGCCGTAGATGCTTTCGCGGTGGATGTATCATTCCCACAGGGCTTTGTCGCTTCATCGGGCACCGGCTCTTCTAACGCCGTCTCAGCATCGGTCTCTTGGTCTGTATTTGTAGCAGCAGAATTCTCATCATCGGCTGCAAGGGCTTGCTCAGCGTCGAAATTATCGTCGAAATACCTGGTGTCTTCCCAACCCCTCACTTTCGGTATCCAAGGCGGCCTGCTCAGATGATGCCGACTCCATTTGATCCCTCTAAAAAAGGGATGAGATTTAATATCAGCTGCATCGTCAGCATATACGTAGTAGCCTTCATGGTGCCTGACAGGCTGGCAAGGCCAGTAAAATAGATTCCTCGCCGTTGACCTTGAGTTCGTATCATTGAGCCTATACTTGCTGGAACACAGGCGATACTCCTTCTCTTGAAGCAATTGACTAATGAGGTCAATCGCTTCAGCCGAGACGAGTCTATCAGATGTGCTTTCAGCGGGGAACCGCAATGTTTGAAGATGATGCTGCTCAGCAGTCAGTCAGCAGAGTTCGCTCAAATCCAAGCATGCAACTAACCATGATCTTGAACTTCGTTCCCTGCCGGTCATGATGAGCGAAAGGAGTAAATCCATATAAGCACTGGTCATCTCATATTAGTCTTTTTTTCCTTTTGCCAAGGACGTCCTCCTCGAAGCTGGAGAACGGAAATACCTCGTATAAAATGATGCCCACACTCCACCAGTCGCATCGACCATCGTACGAGCGCCCCTGTATAACCTCAGGGGCCATGTATTGACTGGTCCCGACAACACTCCTTGCGAACCTGCGACGTTCGTTCATGTCGCGCCATCCAAGAACGCCCGCTGTGGGTGGCTCGCATACAAGCTCGTCCTCGTCTCTTCTCTTCTTCTTTGTAAGTACCCTTTCAGCCGCCTCTTTTCGATCCAGCTCGTCACCATCCACCCGGATGCCAAGTTTCTTCATCAAAGACTGCCTGTGGTTTTCATAGTACGCTTGGTTGTGCGACCAATGGCCATCAAAGGCCAAGCCGAAGTCTGAAATCTTCAAATGGCCTGAGGCTGAAATGAGAAAATTGTCCGGTTTGATATCGCGATGAATCCACCCAAGCCGATGAGCTTCCTCGACGCAAAGTACAATCTCTGCGAGATACCATCTGGCCTCCTGCTCAAAGAGGATTTTCTTACGGAGTAACAGCCCAAGGAAATCTCCTCCAACCATGAAATCCATAATAAGGTACAGGTTATCCGTATCCTGAAAGCTCGCGACCAATGGAACTATCCAGCGAGAGTTTTCAGAAGCCACGAGAAAATCCCTTTCGGCTCGCAGGTGGCCTTCCTGAGCATTCCGTATCATATTGGATTTACGGATGACCTTCATTGCAAAGACTTCCTTGTTCGTGGAAGACAGTATCCTTCGACGGCAGCGCTTGGTGCTGTCGACAGCTGACCTCAGCGCATCAAGGGTGGTTGTTTTGACATTAGAAAGTTCGCCTCTTTGGATAGAGGGATCCTCCTTTTCCGATATTGCATTTTCCGATTCACTTCCTCTCTTCTCCTTCACCAAGCGCACAACACCAAAGCTGCCTTTTCCCAGGACCTTGACAACTTCATAGCCGGCAAGCGAAACAGCTGTGCCACGACGAACGCGGTTTGACCGGGTCTTGAGAATCCGGCATTGGCGAAGATAATCTCTCTCCTGAGTGAGCCAGTTATTCCTGGTTCGGATTTGTTCCTCCTCGGTGAGAGGTAATGAGTACATATGCGATTCCAGCGCACATTGGCGCTGGAAACGTGGGTCTTTGCTTGAGAAGAGAAGGTTGAAGTACGTCTCGAAGAATATCTTGGCTGCAGCAACGGTTTCAACCGTCACAATAGACGGTGACACATGCGATGTCCCCTCGACTAATCCGATATCCTCATTGGTTTCGTAGTTCCACCGAGATCGTTTAGTCCTTTCTTCAATATTGTTCTCAAGGTCTTTAGATCTGTCAGGAGAAACCGATGGTCCTTCAGAAGTGGGAAGAGTTGATGGCCTATTCACAGGAGAGCCGCCACTGCCGCTAGGAGTTGTGGATGGGTTAGAGCTACCGTTGGTACTATCACTTTGAGAATTACCAGGATTCAGAGCTGTTATGGAGTAGTCAACAACCGGAATATTAGGTCTTTTTTGTAGATTCGTTCGGCGGATGATGGTTGGATACCCAAAGGCCACTGACAGTTTGCGAGAAAAGAGATCGGCAAGACCTGGAGATGATTGACTCCGTGGGAAGCCTGGAATAACAGAGGGTCTCTTGTCTTCATGTGCAGTAATTCTTTGCGATTGTGATTTATGCTCCTGATTCCGTTGACTCCCTTGCTGTCTATGAGTTGGAGACGTTAAAGACTCTAGCAGACGGTCTGAACTTCGCCGCTGAGAATTTCCGGAACGAGATGCAACGGGGACATTCCCTTGCCGAATGGGACTAGTAGATTTACGAGCGGACCTGGCTGCTTTGGAGCCCGAGAAGAATTGATGGAAAGAATCATCGAATTCCTCCGGGTTTGAAGCATTTCCAGACTGAGTACCGAAGGCGTCGAGAGCTAGATCGTCAGTTAACATGCAGGAATATACAAAGGCTACTAGGGAGGACAGACCTGCGAAGGGTCGAAAACCAAGGAAGGACAACAGCTTTGAGCTACCCCGTCTCAGCCGTACCTTTATGCCCTCTTTGCCGGCTTTCTTCAGGGTAGCTATATCGGGAAATGAACCGTGGGCTGCAGTTGCATCGTTCGTCGACTGCGGTGAAGTGCCATCGATGCGTGCAGCCTTGTTGGACATAGAAAAGCTAATCGTGGTTTGTGGATTTCTGTCCGCAGTGGAATCGACGTTCATTTCGCAACCGCCGTGAAGGACTGTAAAGAAGTTGGACTGTAGATACACTCTGTATGGTGTTTCTCTTTAATGATAAACAGCAGCGCGAATCCAATGGACAACCCGGGCCCAATGTCGTGCCTGGGAGGAAGAGAAGACAGGGGAGAAAGAGTAGAAGGCTATCTTCAGGGCTGCTCAGCTGCTCAGAATGCAAAGGGGAAGCTGCGTTAAGACTCCGGACAAGAGGGCGAATGTGGAAGCCATGATGGAGGCTTTCCTCGTCAGCAGCAAATGAATGGACAATGCCCAGCAAACCTGAAGGGATGAGAGCAGATATGGAAGCAGAATTTGAGACAAAATACAATTTCTGACATTTTCATTTTATTGCTGGCGATATCCTCATTTCTACTAAATGCAACGCAAGACTGTGCAATATGAAACAGGTCGGATATCACAGAAACTATGAGACAATCTGAACTCCTCCGAACACCGTTGACAATGAACAAGGGAACAGGAATTGGAACATAAATATCGGTGGACGCCTCTAGTGTACAGATACGACTTTGGATGGAAGCCAAGGCTCTATTTGATCTCAAGGACCTTCAGGTCGAAGATCAGTTTAGAGTTGGCTGGGATACCAGGAAGAGCCTTCTTGCCGTATGCGAGATGAGGCGGGATAGTGATACGACGTTCAGCGCCAACAGCCATACCCTCGACGCCAATTTCCCAGCCCTTGATGACCTCTCCCTTACCGAGCTTGAAAGTAAAGGGTTTGCCCTTCTTGTTGGCTAGACGGAGCTATGTCAGAACAAAAATGAATTAATTGTTGGGGAGCGGGAGAAGTCATACCATCAAAGACCTTGCCATCCTCGAGTTTACCAATGTATCTCATAGAGACAGTGTTGCCGGGCTTTGCTGCAGGGCCCTTTCCGAGCTTCTTGTCATCAATCTTGACCCCCTTGACCTCCTTAACACCGAGGGTTCCAGTGGTTTTCTCTGCTGGCTTCTTGTCTTGGGACGAAGGAGTGGGCCCTTGTTCGAGGTTCTTGGCAAATTGAACCTTCTTGTCGGGCTTGGATGTCTCCTTGGTCTCCTTTGTCTGCTTAGGTTGCTCAACAGCAGCAGCGTCGCCATTGTTCTTCTTCAGCTTCTTCTGCTGCTTCTTGGTCAAAGCCGAATCGCCATTGGTCTCAGGCTTGGATTTACCACTATCCTTGGCCATGAGATCGTCGAGACCGACTTCCTCATCGGATTCCTCAGCGGCACGCTTCTTCTCGCCCTTGGCCTTGACGAGCTTCGGAGCTTCCTCCTCATCACTGTCAATTTCGGTAACCCTTGGGTTTTCCAGGCCATCAAGCTCATCGCTCTCTTCTCCTTCGTCAACGAGCATGTCCAGCTCATCTTCATCGGGGGAGAGATCATATTCATCCTCATCCTCATCTTCATCGTCATCCTCATCGAAATCCGCGGGAATAAGATAGTTTCCGGTCAGATACACAGTATTCGTGCCACTGACCTTGAAGAAAATGCGATCTTCCTCGGAGACGGTAAGGTCAAGGGGCTGCTGAAAGTTCTGTTGAGGAATTCACTGTCAGTTGAAAGTCACTATAAAGAACAACGCGAGTAGCAAACCTTTTCCAAGTCCAGAGTACAGATAACCGTCTCATTAAGTTCAAAGTCATCATCCGAGCCTTCTTCGTCGTCGTCGTCATCGTTAGCGGGAGCTTTACCCTTGATGAGCTTCGAGATTGCAGCTTTAAGGTCAAATCCCTCATCATCATCTTCATCGTCGTCATCTTCATCGTCATCATCCTCCATGTCCTTGAGGGCAGCGGCTTCCCTGAGCTTACGAGCCCTTTCCTTATCGCTGGGGCCACCATTGACTTCTTCATCGTCGGAATCCTCATCACTATCAATCTCTTCATCAGACTCCTCAAAGTCCACTCCCGGAGGAGGGCGAACGAGCTTCAGGGTGGCTCGAGGGGCTTTGCCGGTGTCATCTTGCTCGGGAGCCTCGTCAGGGTCAATGGCAGCCATGCTCACACGAAACTGTACGTAGTTGGGAAATAATGTCAGCCTTTACTCCAATTACTTGCAACACAAATTTATCCTCACCATTGCAGCCATCTTGGGGAGGGCAGGAATCAAAGCGCCTCCGGGAGGAACCCGAAGGGTATAGATCGCGACAGGCTGAGGTCCAGACATATTGGACTAATGAAATTGAAGCTTTTCTTGCCTGGAATGTTTTTCCTTTGGAAAAGAACAAGACAACGGGTCCCCTGGAAGAAGGAAAGAACAAGAAAGAGAGGAATGGATGTGAAAAAGAGAGAAGGGGAGAAATGCAGCAGAGTTTTGTTGACCAGTGCAACGCAGGGAAGAAAAAAAAAAAAGTTTCAGGGAAGCAACGGCCAATCACGTGTTGCGACCGAGTTTGCGGCGAGTGGTTCTGCCTCTAGACACCGCCCTGATGATATAATATTAACACGTGACTTCGCGAAGCGGCAGCGCGTCCGCCACTGCGAAGCGTGTTCCAAATTTCCCCAGATACTTCGCCCTCCTCCATCCTACGTCTGCCTATCCGGACTCGAAGTATGGGGGAATATGTCGCCGGATCTGACCCGTCATGGGATCCTTACAAGACCCCGCTTCGAGCGCAGTTCGCAAATGCATAGAAGACAGTAAGTCTAGTTTACGTTTGACTTGCACTGCCAAGCAGGTGTTCGTCTGATTGACTCTTTCTTAGACTCTTTCTACAATGAAGAAGGTGAAGAATATGGCGCGTCGAAATTTGGCGGCTTTGGCGAGTACATCCGACGCAAGAAGATCAAGTTGCAAAACCGCGATGCCGAAATACGTTCATCCTCCGTTGGTAATCCTCCGATCTTTCGCGGTGTGATAGCACATGTGAATGGCTACACTCAACCCTCTTTCCAAGACCTTCGTCAACTTATAGTGAGCTATGGCGGTTCATTTCTCCACTACCTGGATGGAAAGACCGTAGCTACACATATCATCGCTACTGCTTTGACTCCCAAGAAACGGGAAGAATTCAAAAGATACCGCATAGTGAAGCCAACATGGGTGATTGACAGTATCAAAGCTGGGCGGCTGCTTCCTTGGGACAACTACAAGGTGATAGATCAGGGCCAGACTCAGAAGGTTCTTAGTTTCCATAATGGCCATATGTCGAGCCAGGTGCACCATCAGTGGTCGCGTTACAAGGAAGAGGCCGGTTCTGGTCAGCATAACCCCCGTCCTGGAAACTCTGACGTAATAAGCCTTGAATCCAATAAACCCAACAAGTCCTCACTGTTATCATCCGGATATGACGACTGTGATGATGAGTCGCTGTCTGATTATGGCGAATTCCCCAGTTTTACCACTCAAGAGGAGAGAGCTTGTGATTCTTTGGCCGGGAATTCTTCGAAGGAAGATGCTGGCTTGGATCCAGCAGCGAGGAATGTTGAACCGTGCAACGGGATACTCAACGGATCTCTACAACCTGGAGCTGGCGTTGCGCAAGCACTACCCCTGACAGGAAATTCTTTTCCTCCTCCCAAAACGGTCATAAGCCCTGAAGCGTACAATGCACAGCTCTTGTCGGATTCTCGGATGCGGACCGCATCTGCGCTCAATCCTGACTTCCTTCAGCAGTTCTACAGGGAATCCCGTCTGCATCATCTCTCGATATGGAAGGCAGAGTTAAAAGCACAACTGCAGTCAGCGGCTAATGAGAAATCCAAACCTCAACTTGGCCGGAGAAAATTAACCCCCGGATCGAGGAGGTATATTCTCCACGTAGACTTTGATTGCTTTTTTGCGGCAGTCTCAACTCTCAAGCACCCTGAACTTGAAGGGAAACCGGTCGCCATTGCTCATGGCACTGGACCTAGTTCTGAAATAGCCAGCTGCAACTATGCAGCTCGGGCGTATGGTATCAAGAATGGAATGTGGATGAAAGGTGCCTTGGACGCGTGCCCCGAGCTTCAAGTTTTGCCCTACGATTTCCCCGCCTACGAAGATGCCAGCCGCAAGTTCTACAGTTCGATTCTCTCCATCGACGGGATTGTGCAAAGTGTGAGTATCGACGAGGCCCTCGTTGACATAAGTACTCTGTGCCTTGAAGCTGGTGGCTCCGACGGTAGAGGTGTAACCGAAGGATCCATATATCGGGAACAGGCAAAGGCAGATGAAATTGCCCAAGGCCTCAGAGCTTCTATAAAAGAGAAGACGGGATGCGCCGTCTCTGTTGGCATTGGTGGCAATGTCCTGCTTGCCAAAGTCGCTTTACGGAAAGCGAAGCCGGCTGGCCAGTTTCATCTGAAGCCAGACGCCGTCTTGGACTTTGTAGGCAACTTGACGGTTCAGGATCTTCCTGGTGTCGGGTACAGCCTCAGCGCAAAGCTCGAGGAGCTGGGTGTCAAATTCGTCAAGGACGTCAGGGACATTTCCCGAGAAAGACTAGCCTCCAGCTTAGGGCCCAAGACAGGTGGGAAGATTTGGGATTATGCTCGCGGAATTGACCGAACAGAAGTCGGCAACAGCGTGTTACGAAAGTCAGTTTCGGCTGAAGTCAACTGGGGAATTCGATTTGTCACTCAAGATCAAGCTGAGGATTTTATTAGATCCCTGTGCGGTGAACTTCACAAGCGTTTGCTTGAAAACCTGGTCAAAGGCAAGCAGCTAACGCTCAAAGTTATGCGGAGATCCCTGGACGCTCCATTGGAGCCTGTCAAGCACTTGGGGCATGGGAAGTGTGATGTATTCAATAAAAGCATCATACTTGGTGTCGCCTCCAATTCGAAGGACATCCTCGGGAAAGAAGCAGTCTCCATGCTTAGGAGCTTTTGCTTTTCCCCTGGGGACCTGAGAGGACTAGGTGTCCAGATGACAAAACTTGAACCCCTCAAGCCTGGGGTAACAGTGACCTCTGAGAGTAGTCAGCAACAGCTTGACTTTAAGAGATCTCCAGCTCATAATAGCATCCAGCGAGACCGTGATCCAGATGATCTAGATAGCCCCAGAAAGGGTAACGTGTCTAGTTGGGATGTTTCTGAATCTGTCAGGCTCGGTCCCTCCCTGAACGATAGCAGTCATAAGCCCTTGAACATATCTGGGACTCAGTTTGTTATGCCGACCCAGGCTGATCCGAAAGTTGTCGCTGAGCTCCCTAGTGACATCAGGTCGAAACTTGTATCTCAGGCTAAGCATGGAAACGATTCCCGTCCTACATCTCCCTCTCCGCCTTCTCGACGGCGGATACCAGTTGCAGCAGAACTCCCTCCCCAGTCACAGCTCGATCTTGAAACCCTATCGGCCTTGCCTGACGATGTACGGGCTGAAATCATGGCCTATTATGATCAGCCCCAAAGAAGTGCTACATCACAGCCATATATTACAGGGTCTGCTCCTTTTTCACGTCCTCGCTCCTCCGATTCTTCGAAGACCAAAAGACCGTCTACGCCTACCAAGAAACGTCGTGGTCGCCCCCCAGCCAAACCAGTCGGCAACAAGACACTCATGCAATCTGGTTTTGTACTTCCCCGACCCGCAACTCCCCAGAGCAACCCTGGTGAAGAAGAATTCTCAAGACAATCAACCCTTTCTTTGGAACAAACTGAGATATCAGAAGAGTTCCTCGAAGCCCTCCCGGATGACATTCGCCGCGAGATACTGGAAGAGCAAAAAAGAGCTCGCACTCTTCAACAACGCCCAAGGTTTCAAGCAGCCGCTTCATCCAGCCGAAACCCCATACCTCCAGCCCCCCAGACTACAAGACCAAGACGACTCACTCTCCCTCCTCGTCCCGAGAAACCCACGTTCACATCACAGAAATTATCTAGCCTACCAGAACTACGCAATGCCATTTCTTCATGGTACTCCGCCTTTGCGAGTGAAGGGCCCATTGACGAGGATGTAACAGCTTTAGCCGACTATCTACGATGTGTCGTCCTTGAAGAAAAGGATATGGACAAGGCTTCCTCCCTGGTTAAATGGCTATCCTGGCTAGTTGACGATGGACGGAACCAGAACCAGGATGCTATTCATATTGGCCAAGAATCCTCTAATGTTCCTGTCGGCGGGGCCTCCCAAGATGCGGCAGTGACATGGGATGAGGCCCTTCGGCTGTTGCGGGAGAGTGTGACAAATGCTGCAGATGAAAGGGGCTTGCCACCAGTCGAGCTTGATTGATGTTCTTATTTACCCTCTTGGCCTGGCTTGTGCTTGTTGTGCAATACATATATATAGGACACAAATGATGGCTATGGTTTGTAATGAACTTAACTTATGGAATGTTTTAAAACTCTTCCTCAACAGGAAGCCTGTTTAATTCTAGTCCGACCTTACAACACCCCGGCAGGTCAAACCAATAAACTACCTTGCACAGACAGGAGCAGGCTCTGATGGCATTCTTGACCGGAAACATGGAGTCTCACGTCCAGAAATAGAACAACCTATATCTTGTTAACCCCGATTCCACGCCTCGTCTTTTAGGAATCCGCGGGCTTGCCAACCAACATGGCATATATTTCGTATTCACGCGGTTAAAGAAGACCCCGTCCAACTCACAACCTGCGTGGCCACCGGCAAACGGCTCTAGCCAGAGAGTAGCTGACCGAGTGTGAAGACCACGACTGCCACGAGGCTGTCCCTCCAGATCAACCAGATGCAGCGGTCCATGACGCTCCGTTGATCTTGGTAGATGCCAAGGAGCAATGTCTATGCGAGGTCTCTATTGGACAACCCGGTACCTCACTCTCAGTTACGTATGGCCACGATTCAAGGTAATCCAACTCGAAAGGATAATAGGGAAAGTCTTTTCAGGCAGGCGGCATTACGAGCACTTGAAAACAGACTACCGAATGTGGTGCAGGATGCCATGGCCATCACAGCTGGCCTCGGGGAGCAATACATCTGGATCGGCTCGCGGTGTATTGTGCAAGACGACTAGGACGAAAGCCCGGCTGATCGGGAGGATGAACTGGATATACGGAGATGCCATCTTGAACATTGTAGTCGCCACGGCGAGGACTCCGGAGACAGATGGACGCTTTTGGGGGCATTGTGGTGGCTATTAGTCCCAATTTTGCGCACACGAGGATAATCCTCCGAGCTACCCTTCAGTCTCGAATATATTCATCCTTCCCTTCGTACGGAATTTTAACTGCCTTCCCCAAGCTACGACACGCAGCAATATGATGCCTTTCCCCAACTGTAACCAGTAAGAGCCAAATCTCCTGCTCGATGCAATACATCGAGGGTGTTATTTTCAGGGCCTCAGGAACTTGGAGATCCGCTACAGTAATGTGCGCAAATTTGGATTTGGATAACAGTAACTGAATTTCTATGGCCTAGAATATCCTCTGTGCAGATATCAAACTAAACAGTAATATGACAATAATCGGAGCAAAAAGATAGCTTTGCCATTGCCCCCTCATCAACTGACCATTCGACTAATTCCGGATACATAAAAGCGCAATCTGTCCGTCCATGGTCGAATGTTCCATGAGATCTTCAATAGAGATCTTGAACCCTTGGCTCTCATACAAGTCTCTGAGCAGATCGACCGTGAAAATATCCGCACCCAAGTCGAACATGCTCACATCCGTCGTCATTCCCGGTTTCAAACAAGAGGGGAAAACCGAACCCCAAACCCCGCGCACTGTGTTGGCAATCGTTGGATCAGGGGGGCCCGCCATGCCCGTCAAATTAGCATAGCCAGATGGAGGAGGTGGCGCCTTGAGTGGGAAAGGGGATGGTAGGCCAGTATCCGCAGTAGTAACTGGACTGTCTAACCTGTCGTAGAGGGTGGTCACACAAGCCACCACCCGCTCAAGCACGGATACTGCAAGATTGGTCGGTATGGTTCTGGAGCAGTAGCCAAGTTCGACCCGCACTTGATCCTTATACGGTCTACCGATAAGCGCCAGATCAGCCATATCCCAAGTTGGTTCCGTCCATGTAAGCTCGCATTCATCGTCGCCCAGTAAGATAGGCGTCTTCTCCAAGTAGTAGTCATTCATAGGTATATCCTGATACACGACGACCGAGCTGAACCGGGGCCAGCGACTCCAAGAAGTGCAGCCCTCCATCATGACATCAAACGGGGAAGATTCATAGGGAAGTCTTGAAAAACTTTGCTCCTTCAATTCAGTCATGATCTCACGGGGCTTCTGGCCATGATCCATCTTCACGCGGACGGGAACCATGTTAATACAAGAACCTAGTACCGCGCAGGCGTTATCCATGGGGACACGCCGATTCGCAATGACCTCGCCAAAAGTGACATCTGACTCGTTGACCAACTCCCCTAGAACAATGCCCCATGCACACTTGAGAACGCATGGAAAGGGGAAACCAATCCTCGTCCATTGTAAGCGGGGCATGTTGCGGAAGATGATGGAGTCCATGGAGTTACTATACGAAGGGCGCGGATGCAAAATCAGGCGGGACTCATTAGCACCGTCGAGTACGCCCTTCCAGTAATCGCGACAGGCTGTTTTGTCGACGCCCTCGACGGCATGAACAAACGTGCTGAAACTGGACGTAGAGGGCAGAACGTCATTGTTGTACGCCAACTGTAGATCACGCAGCAAAAGATGAAAGCTGCTGCCATCGAATTGTGCATGTGAAATGCGCATGACGAGTCGGCTATGTTGCTGCTGCTGGTTACGAAGCAGCATAAAACGAACAATTGGTTGATCCCACACCTGGAAGGTACTTTTATCGAGCGCAATAGCCTTAGCGCTGGCCTCTTGGGCGTTAGTTGTAACATCTTCAATATGGAACTTGATGTCGTAAGGTTTCAGCACAACCTGCTGAACATTGGCACCTTCCTTGACGAATACAGTGCGGAGAATATCATGACGCTGTACCAATTTAGTGCATGCAAGCATCAATCGAGTGACATCAACTGAAGATGGAATGTCTAGGCAGTAGTAGTACAGTAACCCTTTGCTGTTCAGGAGTGACGTGGAGAGCATGAGCCCCTGCGTAGAAAGACAAGGGAGCACCTCCTCTACATCAGAATCCTTCACACCAATTCGACCAAGAGCATCGGACCCCAGTTTCTTTGGAGTGGCTGGGCTTCCCTGGGTCCCTGCTTGCGTTGTCGGCGGAGAGAGAGGGGTGGCCAGCAATGCCATAGCCCGAAGAGTTGAATTGCGATATATGTCACGGACTGGTAGGGAGTACCCTGATTTGCGTGCGGTAGCCGTCAGACGCATTGCATTAAGTGAGTCACCTCCAATGAGGAAGAAATCGTCGTCTCGACCAATCTGCTCAAGTTCGATGTTCAACGCGGAAGCCCATAGGCGCGCCAGAACCAGCTCTTTGCCTGTCAACATGGAGGGCGAAGCTTCAATCTCCCTTGATTGCTTCTCAACCACCCCGTTTGTTGTTCCAGATTTCTGAGACGTCGAGGCAGCAGCCTCTTCCACAACGGAGTCCTGAAGCCGCCCAACGCAAGATATAGATCCATCGTCACGGTAGACCGCGAGAACACCAGTTCTCAGAACTTTTCCGACTTGGAGAGGAGGGGAATTGGTTTCCCAAAAAGGGTTTGGGGAAGTACTTAACCCTGGTTCCTCTGCAATGGGCTCAACACAGAGCTCCCCAGGCGTACCGATACCGACCAGTTGTCGTGGATTCCAGCGATTTGTTACCCACAGGCGGCCATGCTTCGAAGATGAGAGAGCGTGAGGGATGTTGGAGATAATCTCATCATCAAAGCGCCTGTATTCCTTGTTTAACTGCACAAGCTGCATAATGTCCTCAGGACTGGCAGAAGGAATGTCGCGGACACGCATCTCATCGCTTGGATCGACTAGATGCTGGAATATCAATTCGAAGCGGGTCAACATCTTTCGCACCTGTTGGCGGCCCAGGATATTTGAGTCGAAGTGAACATCGACCTTGATCAGACCTTTGTCGGAAAGTCGACATTCAACATTCAAAGGCTTCAAATAGAATCTGTCACTGCCGGTACTCATCTCTTTGGAAGTGAATGCCGTCGGCTGATGCTCGCTTTCTGCTGGATGCACAATAAATAAAGTATTACAGTCGCACGCAGCAGAAGCACTGTCACTAAGGCGACTAATCTGAGAGAGCCCCATGGTCTCAAAGGGAATCATTTCGACGGTCTGTTGTTGGAAGGCAACAAGCATGTCTTTCACTGTTTCATCTGCAATGATGACTGTCCTCATCGGCAAAACCGTGGCCATGGGCCCGATTACTTTGTCGACTCCAGATAGTTCAACGTTCCGGCCGCTTTGCACACTACCGAAGACAACGTCGCTTTCCCCGGAATAATGAGACAGGAGCACTGCCCACGCAGCCCGTAGTGTGGAGGCTACCGTAACGCAACCCATTGAAGGGCTTCTGGAGGGCATTTCGTAGGTCATTAAAGAATCAGCGCAGATTTTTGTCCCTTTCTTGACATTGGGAAATGGTGTCATCTTCGCTCCCCTGAGGTATGAAATCCAAAACCGCTCCGCAGCTGATCGATCCTGCTTCTGAATAAGCCCGACGTACTCGTTATACCCGGGAGGATGATCGATCTCGTGTCCCCAGAAATTCTGATTCAGTCGATTCATAATGAGCGGCAAGCTCATTCCATCATACAAAGCGTGGTGGATAGTTAAGACCAAGACCCTGTGGTTAGTGGTCTCGTCTTTCGCAACAGCTGACCGACATAGTGCCTCGCCAAAGGACATGCCCTTTGAGATGTCTTTCTCCAAGTATATGCTCAGGTATTCCTCAGCGCCCCAGGCCACTGGTGTGTTTGAAATCACTTGTAACGTTCCAATGTCGTCACAGTGTACGATACGAGTGCGAAGGGTGGGAGTTTGACTTAAAGTCTGCTCCCAAGCAAGCTTCAACTTCTCGATATCGCCATTCAATGGTGTTAGCACGAATTGCGCCGTGTACTTACCTGGATAAATGCTAGAGGCAAAGACAAGCTCAAACTGAAATGGCAACGCTGGGTAGATATCTTGCACGGTCCGGATATCGACGTCAGTTAATTTCGACTCGACGTCAGACTTCACTCGATTCACATCGGCATTGAGAAGTGAGAATTCCTTCAGAGATGATAGGTCCCCTAGAGTGGTTGCCTTCAATTTCTTGGCCATTTCCCCAAGCTTTGGTGAACCCATAATGTCCTTGACAGACAAAGCCAGCCCTTGTTTTCGTACGACCGAGACCAGACGCATGGCACTCAGCGAGTCGCCACCCAGAGAAAAGAAATCGTCATCTGGGCCTACTGTATCTTTGTCGATGCCCAATGCAATCTCCAAGCACTGTTGGAGAGCTGCCTCTTCCTTCGTGTGTAGCCATTTGGTCGCTGAAGCAGTAAGGACAACGATGCTCTTTAGTTCCCGAACAGACAGTGAGCCTCCGATTTCACGCAACCCCTTTCTGTAAGTTTTGCCGGAAAGTGTCATCGGGAAATGTTTTAATGGAATGAAAACCGTCGGGATCATATATTCTGGCACAGTTCCTTTCATCATGTCTGTGACCGTCTGAGCCAGTTTGTTCATGAGCTCCTGCATCTCCTGGCTCAGTGCTCTCAAGTCCTCTGGCCCCACGAAGCGTTCTCCCAGAGAAAAAAACGCCGCTAGGACAGCATTTTCCTTCGCCCCATGCCGTGGAATAATCAATTCAACGACAGGATCTGCAAAGTCTGGGACAGCACGCTTCACGTGGTATTCGATTTCGCCAAGTTCGATGCGTTGCCCATGGTACTTGATCTGCGTGTCCTTCCGACCGATATATTGAAGCATGCCATCAGAGGTACTGTAACAGCCTAGATCTCCAGTACGGTAAAATCGCGTCCCATTCGGCAGCGAGCCGAACTTCAACCGCCATGCCGGGGCAGAGATGAATGCAGCAGCAGTCTTTGCGGGCTCCTTCATGTAACCCCGGCCGACAACGCCTCCTTCAATCAAGATCTCTCCAATACAACCAACGGGCGACAATTTATCCACGTTTTCCGGCTCGACGAGCCAGATCCGTCCTGTATATGGTCTGCCGATGTCTTTCGTGCTTGAGTTCACATTTAGGCTGCCTGTGGAGACAACGCCACAACATTCTGCATTGCCATATCCTTGCTGCAAATCCACGCGATTCGCCCATTCAACAATTTGTGTCGCACGAATAGCTTCACCACCCATAGACAGACCCTTCAACGAGGGAACGGAATCGGGATCGAGGACACTGAGGAGAGAGGGAGTTAGGAAGGCCCAGTTTACCGATCTGGCTTGGATGGCCTCCGCGATACTGTTCATTCGTTCCTCTTCCGAGAGCACACAGACGCATCCACCATGCAACATAGTTGTCATGATTTCAATTATACATGCCGCAAAGCTGTAAGAAGAGAACTGCAGCGAACGCGTTGCGGGACTCATTCCGAATGCAAGACCCTGTCCCCATCCGCAAGTACAGAAGGAGCCGTGCTGTAATACGCATCCTTTAGGCTCACCCGTGCTACCCGACGTGAACATCATATATGCCGCGTTATCGGGTCCAACGGAGACGCTTTCAAGCATGACTTTGTCAAAAGCCATTTGATTGATCGTTGTCTCGTTCAAGATAATCGTGTTCTCAAAAGGACATTTCGGGGCTGTAGAAGAGCTGGCTACAACGATCTCAGCATCCACTTTACGTATGATCAACTGTAGACGCTCTCGAGGTAGGGCCATATCCAGCAGGACAAATGCGCCACCTGCTTGAAGCGCTGTATATAGCATGTGTGTAAGTACTTATGCTCTACATGTCATTGATAAATAAAAAAAGAAAAGAAAAATTAACTCACTTGCGAGCATGGCAATGATGGTCCATGCAGACTTTTCGAATGCTAATGGCACAATCTTTTCGGGGCCAACACCTCTCCGGATAAGTTCACAGGCCAAGCGTCCAGAGAGCTCCATCAAATGCCGGTACGTAAAACTCCCATCCCAGGAGTTGATAGCAGGAGCATCAGGCTGATTAACAAAGTGCTTGCCAATCATGTGATGAATGCAGTTGTTGATGGGCTCTGTAATGCCGGAATTCCACTGGCGAATATTCTTTTCGTCTTCAGGGCTAACAATGTATAGGTCGTCGACTCTCATGTCTTTTCCATGTGACATTTGCTCAACAATATGCCTCCATTGCTGCAGTATCCATCGTACATGATGGTCACTCACAACGTTTGGATCATAGCTCGCGAGAACACTCACCCCGAACTCAGTGAGGTCACAACTGAGAAGGAGGCCGTACGTGTGCGCACCCTGTAGGCCCTGGCTCGCAAAGCGGCCGGTAAAGACCCCGCTACTGTCTGCCGAAGAAGCTGGTTGGATGACAAGTAAGCTGAAGAAATTACACGCCTTGCGGATCTCTTCACTCAGTCCCTGGATATTCTGAAGGCCATAGTGTTGGTGAGGAATCACCATAAGATGGTATTGCTGCAAGTCAGCGAAAAGATCCTTCAGTCGGCGGCTGCTCCTCATTTGGCCTTCGTAATCACACAATCTCATCCTGATAGGCAAAGTTGTAATAGTAGGACCAGCCATATCTTCGACCCCAGGGAGATCCACTGTTCGCCCAGTCAAGGTTGACCCAAATACAGCCTCCTCTTCTTCACTCCATCTAGCTAAAAGAATAGCCCAGGCCACTTGAAGCAAGTTTGAAGGGGTGACACCCATAGACGCTGCGGCAGTGAGGTCTATTGACTGTCTTTGGTAGCTCGTGGGCTTTGGTATATAACCCGAGGGAATTGTGAATGGAAGATTAGTTTGTTTTGCACCGGCCATATACTGCCTCCAGAACTCGGCCATTGATTGCGAATCGAGAGACTTAATATACTGAATGAACGTTCGGAAGTTGTCTGTCTCCAGTGGTTGTCCAACGTATGCCCTGTGCAAACGATTTTTGAGCAATTCGATAGACCAACCATCGAAAATCGCGTGATGCATGGTGCAAATTATCTGTGAGGTGCCAGATCGCTTGTCTAAAACAACTTGATAACGACTCAATGGTTTTCCAGCACCCATGATGAGATTCTCTGGTCGGAGACACGAATGTAAATCGTCAACCGTTTCCCAGGTAATGTCTTCATTCACCACAGCCTGAAGCACAGTCCCGGACTCATCAATGAAAAACCGGGTTCGCAGAGTAGGCGTCGTTCGGTATACATCTTCCCACGCTCTCAGGAGTCTATCAGTCGAAGCACCCGCAGAGATATCAATGATATATTGGTCGATGTAAGTGCCAGGTTGCTGACCAGCAATAGCAAGTCTTCGGACTTCTTCTAGCTGCGGAGTAACATATTTGCCGAACAAGGTCAGGGCACTGGCGGTCAGGCGGGGCAGAAAGGTTATGGTGCCGCTGAAATCTGCAACATGAGGCCGGTGTATTACCAGATTCGGTAAATGCAATAATCTATCAGCTGCAACACCTGCAGAGGATCAGCAACTATTAATCGACGCTCTGCACGGATCGCGGATCGGATCGCGGATCGGATCGCAGTCAATAGTGCTGTTTCTTAATTATAGTTTGCTGTTGCCGTATCACGAGCCGTGGGAACATCATGATGGGTTTATATACCTAATTCCTTGCGGACACCGCGCCATTAGACGTACACCTTTTCTATTGTCTTTAACAGTGGGCGTTAACCTGTCTCACAATGTCAGGTAAGCATTGGGCCACCAGGACCACCAAGTTCCTGGAGATTCCCGGGCCTCTGCGAACGTCAATCCAGGCAACACGAGCAGAGTACAGACGGCTGGGGAACAGCGGTTTGCGGATTTCGAACCCCATCTTTGGCGGGCTCCAAGTGGGCAGCTCACAATGGTTTCCATGGGTTCTGGATGAAGACAAAGTAAGGTCTTCCTTGTGTGTGTCTTGCTCTGTTTGTGTGATGGTGGAGCTTACCAACCCTTTCGTAACTTAGGCTATTCCTCTACTCAAGGCCGCGTATGATAGGGGAATCAACACGGTAGGCTGTCTCTCAGCTTCTTATGCTGGATAGAATGCACGAGAAAAGAAGGCTTACGCGGCTGCTTCTAGTGGGATACGGCCAACACCTATTCGAATGGCGAGTCGGAACGGATAATGGGCAAGACGCTTCGAGTGCACAATATCCCTCGGAGGAAAGTAGTCCTCATGAGCAAGTGCTGTCGAGTTGTGTGTGATCAAGAGAATTTTGATCCTGGACTCGGTTTGACAATGTTGGGATCCCAAGCTGGACAGAGCAAGGACTATGTGAATTCATTTGGTGAGCCCCCTTTTCTGCTTCACCCCGATGCTTTCCCATCACAGACCAACTAGTCTAACAGAAAGCTGTCGCGCAGGCCTCTCCCGAAATGCCATATTCGGTGCAGTGGAGGCTTCACTGGAACGGCTAGGCACGACCTACCTCGACGTGCTCCAGATCCATCGATTTGACGACACGGTACCGCCAGAGGAGACGATGCAGGCCTTGCATGACTTGGTCAAGATGGGCAAAGTCCGGTATCTAGGAGCTAGTTCAATGTGGACCTACCAATTCGCCCTCTTGCAACACACGGCTGAGCGGTACGGACTCACCAAGTTTGTCTCGATGCAAAATCATTACAACCTCCTCTATCGAGAGGAGGAACGGGAAATGAACAGATATTGCCGGCAGACCGGTGTTGGCTTGATTCCGGTGCGTACTCTGAGCCATTTACCTTGTCTTTTTTATGAATCATAAATCACTTACCTGCTACAGTGGGCTCCCCTAGCATCCGGACAACTAGCACGCCCCTTGGACCAAAACGGATTGACGTTGAGATCAACCGTGAATAAAAATGGCGCATTCTACTACGATGACGATAATGCCGATTCAGAGCTCATCATTACGCGCGTGCAGGAAATCGCACAACGTCGAGGCTGGCCAATGAGCCATGTTGCACTGGCCTGGCTGAACCGGAGAGTCACAGCTCCAATCGTCGGTTTCAACTCGGTGGCGCGCTTGGACGACGTCCTAGATGCCCGTGGGAAAGTACTGACACTGGAAGAGGAAGAATACCTGGAAGAGCCGTACCGGCCAAAGTGGATCCAGGGACACAACTAAGGACATCGTTGATCCTCGAAGGATGGGTTCCTGATCAGACGGAGAGAGAGATACGGGTCATGAGCAGGAATAATAGTATAGAATGGCTGAAAATAGTGACTATAATGATGGATCCGTAGGTATGCCATGCCTGCTAAAGGTATTGTTTATAGTGATGAATATATATGTGAATATATATATGAATATGAAAGGTCCCCTAGATCTAATGTTTCTCTGGCAGTGAAAATAGCAACCTCCCGCGTAATAATATCTCCACGCATCGCCTTCAACCCTAACATTTAGCCCCAGAACCTTCAGAATACCAATCGATATTCATAGCTTACATCCTCCTATAATCCGCCATACGCAGTATGGCACTCGAGGGAAGGTCGAATGGTATTTAGCCACATGCTCTGTTTCGCAGATCTTGTTCATGAACATAATCTGCTTTGCCTTCTCCGCACCTTCTTTGTTGGTAGTCATAGTATCAAACTAGAGGCGTATTTTTGCACCGGTGGCACGCATGTACAATGACCTCTCAGACAGATTGGAATTGACGTAGTTAGCAGATATATGGATTTATACTTTCTTGTCAACTTCGCCTTCTACAATGAAAAGTAAACTTGCGAAATTAAGTTGACAGAGAGCAAAGTGGCCCAAAAAAGGAAGAGAAAAGCCATTAATCATTAGCAAGTAAGGTTCTGAACATGCGCAACGCCAAAAGAATAGTTATGAATCAACAATCCAATATATCGACAAGAAGCAGAACCTGGGAATGGTAACAAGAAAACAAAAAGGCTATCTAGCCTATCAAAAAATGGGCCGTCCTTCATCCCATCTGCGTGACTCTCGCGGGCTCGATGTCTGCCCTTCATCCACTACCCGGTGATCCTCTTGTCCCGAAGAAAGAGCGAACTGCACCTTGCTGCTCTCCCTTCTTCGTGCACTTCCCTCGATTTCACTGACGCCACCAATACCACCCATCCACTCCCATACCCGAGAGATGTCCCCACCACGGCCTTCTCGGACAGCCGCTCGGATGTTTGCATTCTCTTCAACGACACTGCGGACGCTTTTCCAGAGTTTCTCGCGCCTGCTGCCCTTGAGCTCGGAGCGAAGTACATCATCACGCAACTGGCCAATAGGAATATAGGGTTCACGAGCATCACCGCGAGAGTAAAGCGCGGCCTGCGTAGCCAGGCGATCTAGAGTGGTCGCTACCAATTCGGGAACACGTGCCATATCAGAACGGTAAGCAAGCACGCGCGAGCGAGCATAAAGAAGGAAACTGCTGGCAAGAACTAGAATCGAAATAGGGAATCGATACGCGAGGAGAGATAGTCGGAGGTAGCGGCGGAAGGCGCATGTGAGGGGGAGGCGTGCAACGGATGTTGACGTGAGAGTAAGGACAGAGGAGGGTCTGTAATTACATTGTCGTCTCTGTTAGTTCGGGTGCACCTGTCAGAAATAGAAACCAAAGACTAATTCCTATGTTGTAGATGTGCATGCCAGGATTAGGCATGTAGTGGAAGGGTGTCACCGGCGAAGCTTGAATGATGGGCAAACCTACTGTTGTGTTTTGCTAACAATTTCATCGTTTCCAAGAATCTCGCCAAGAGCTCCCTTCCACAGGTCGTCAAACTCAGCATCGCTCATACCCTTGCGTCGTTTCTTGCCAACTTCACTCTTCAAGTCTAGTTCGCTTATCTCCGGTGACTTTATTGCTTTGCGGCCGTCCTTGGTTGCACCACATTCCCATTTGGCCCTCCGATCACGAAGCTCTTCTATGGCTTTATCGGCGACCGCCTTCACCCGGCGCGCTTTCTCGCTGTCGGGTTCACATGTTGGGGGTAATGGAACCAACCCTCCCAGTGCTAAAGGATGCGGTTTCAGGATGAAATCATGTTCGCAGCGCGCCTCAAAATCGGGATAGCAGAATGCATGGGCTGGACAGGGTTCGCAGCGTGGCTCTAACACGTTGGCCCAATCAGGAACCTTTGTCTCCGCTAACGACCAAGTAGGCTTTCCGATACCACAATATCCAATCTCAATTTTCTCTTTACGCCACCAGAAGCCAAAAGCACTAAGAAGTGACAAAATAACCAGCCAAGAGGCCGTTTTGCTGGCTCTTCCCTGCTTTAGCTGGAGTCTGTTGACCTTACCTTGCAGCGGATACAATAACTCGGCATGCTCGCTTTCGAAAGCCAACTGCTCCTCAGGAGTGAATTCCTCGCCCGCAATAACATCACGTTCTTCGTTTTCAGGAGACCTTAGTGAAGAAAGTGAAAACTCGAAAGAAGATTGCGCAGGAACAGTGACCCCATCGCCCTGCTTCAAACGAACAGGCGTCTCTGGTTTTCGAGACCGCCGTTCGTCTCTAAGAGACGCTTCGATAGAAAGTGTGCTGCTCTTCCGCTTCCGCTCGCGGCTAGTGGTTCTTGTTTTGTGATGGCTCCAAGAGCTAGGGGATCCGCTTTGGAATGGATTATCATCTGAAAAAACATCATTATCCCTTGGCTCGGTCTTCACACGTGGAGTAAACGCTTCAGGTTCTGTTGACGGTATCGATTCGCTCTTCCGTAGCTTCCGAGCGGTAGACCTTCGGGATGTACCAGGAGTGGCGACAGTAGGGGTCGCAAGAGTATCATCACCTGTTTCCGTATCAGATGCGCGTGTATGCTTCCTCGCCGATCTTGCCACCGCCCTTGAAGTAGTTACAGGAGTAGATGGCGCATATCTTTCCTCTGTATCCGCTGTAGATGCCCTAGTGCTGCGTGCAGATCGTCCTCTCCTCGTCCCACTGGTCGTCGAGACTGTGGAAGGCGTTGGCGGCGGTGGCATAGATTCTCTATCAGCATCTCTCCTACTGTCGAAGTCACTGGCGACGGATGTTTCTCGGCTTCCCATATCCATTATACCTGCACTGGTTCTCCTGACCTGTTCACGCTCTCTAAGTAGTCTCCTAGCATGCGGCATAACCTCATCCTGCAAAATCTGGATAAGTTGCGCTTTCTTGGCTGAAGCCGGGTATGGAACATCGTGGCTGACAAGGATGGAGCGAAGACGAGGGATGGTGAGGGAGTTAAGATCAAAGTCAGGGGATAAGTAATCCAAATCCTCAAAGCCATTCCTTCCTCCAGAAAAATAAGCCATGGCGAAAAATGTGATGTTCTTCAGGTGTAAACAATCCAGAAATTCATTGAACGATAGCAAATTCTGTTAATCCCAGCGGACGACGTATCCGATGCCTGTAAATGTACATAAAAAGCACTTCGATAAAAACCGCTGGCGATATATAAGAGTATCGCGTGCACGCAGACGTGGTAGATAGGTAGGTAAGACTGAGGATTATTTGCTGCGAAGATTCTCTGTCCAAAATTGACCGCACTCCGTCAGCAGGTGGGGAGGAACGTTGGATGGTGTCGTATCCACGGCAACAAGGTGAGCTGCAGAAGAAAAGGAGCTAACAGCGACAGCGTCGTAGCCCTGGCTCAAGGGGGGGGATAAGAGGACCACAACAAGCACAGATGTGATGAACTAGTCTGATGAAGAGATAAATAGAGGATGCATAGACAAGAAGTGAAATGTGAGAAGCGGATCAAAGAATGGTGACGTGAAGCTGGAGAAGCGTCGATCCACAACAAACACTTGGCTCACGTGATATCTACGTCTGCACCGATTTCTGCATAGTAACAACGGTCATCTACACATTTTTGAGGGACTCGCAGGCAGACCAACGACTATACATTGTTTATCACTATTTATACCATCTATACTGATCGCTCTCCCCCTCTAGACATGGAGGTAGACGATCCTCCTGCGGACGAAGCTCGCCCAGGGACTCCGCGCCTGTTCGAAAACTCTGATCCGTTATCAGGACCTCCCACCCCTACCCCCCTCCCCCGCATCTCCCTGAAAAGGAGGGCGCCACCCTCCCCCTATAGGATGCCTACGGCGATAATAGCTCCTATATCCAACACGCAGGCTGCTGGATCAATTTGCCAGCAGGCTACCGCAGCTGCAAACGACCAGCTCCTGCTCCTAGGTGACTGGAAGCTGGCGCTAACCTCCCTTGCAGAGGCACTTGAGACAACTGTCTCCTCTCTACAGGGCCGTCCCAAGGAGCTCGCTCGAGGGCTTGTAGCTAGGTTTATTACCCTGGCAAACCTCAACACCCCACAGCAAGGGGCAAAGCCTGACATAGCACCCCCCCAGATGGCGCAGGCATATCAAGCTAAAAAGACCTTACAGACCTCAACCTGGGCCTCAGTTGCCGCCCTAAAAGCTAGCCAGGACAACTGGCAATCTGATACTCAAGAACATAGTGTGCAAGCCTCTCGGCAGCAGACACAAAAGCCAGCCCAGCAGCAACCCCAGCAGGAAAGCAAAACTGACTCCCGTATCTTTCTCCGGCTGCCAGTCTCCTCCAGCCTACGAGCTATTGGGCCGCATGGCATCCGGGTCACCCTAGCGGAAAAAAATTCCTGGTGGAATCGCACGAGTGCAGGCCGTGGCTACAGGATATGCAATCTCAGCCACTGAAGAAGGTAGGGCTTTCCTACTCTCCCCACAGGCAAGTGGGCTAGCAGGAGACGGCAACTTTGAGGCTGCAATGGGTTTCCATCAGGTAGTAGTCCCTAGGATCCCTCAGCAGCTCTGGACCCGAGAGGGATGGGCACCCACCACAATCAGGGATATCAGTACAGAAGCAGAGCGCATAACTGGTATGAAGCTGCTTATGACTAAGCTCTCTAAGCACCCTGTAGAGGAGGGCTCTATCACGGCAGTCATAGCCTTTCCAAAGAAGCCACAACGTGCCTTGCAACTCTTTGGCTCCTCTGGCCTATCACGGCCTACCCACCCTAAGAAAAGACCACTACAGTGTACCCGCTGCCACTGCTTCCATGATACACGAGCCTGCTGCTCTAGTGAGCGCTGCATCTCCTGTGGATCCTCTAAACAGGAGCATACCTGCCGCGTGCAGTGTGTGAACTGCTGCGGTCCACATGCAGCAGACTACCAAAAGTGCCCTGCTAGACCATATACACAAAAGGGTTCTATTATCCGCCTTGCAAAGGACACCTTGGCTGCTGTTTGTAAGGCTGGCCGACTTGCCTTTCAACAGCAACTAGCTAAGTCAGCCTCTAGCCACCAAGCTAGCAGTCCACACACCCCCCACCAGTCCTCAAGCCAGCTTGCCCAGGAGCTTGCAAATCAAACCCTCCCATCACCAGAACTATGAAGATATTGCAGGCTAATGTTGGAAGGGGCAGCCCTGCCCATGACCTACTGCTAACATTTGAGGCGGACATTATCCTAGTCCAGGAGCCCTGGACGGACATGGCAAAACAACTCACAAAAACACACCCACGATACCAGCTCTTCAGCCCTGCCACTCGGTGGGAAACTAGGCCTAGAGCTTTGATATATGTTCGCCGGGATCTTCCAGCATTCTCTCTCCCTCAGCCTATCTCACCAGATATCGCAGCTATCTGTACAGCTGGCCTAACCATCATAAACATCTACTGCCCCCCAAATGACCCCGTTGTGCCAGCGGGATCTGGTTCAACCCTATCTACCCTACACACCCTATTGCAATTCTCCCCTCCACAGAACACTATTATCGCGGGGGACTTTAATACCCACCACCCCCTCTGGCAACCAGGGACAGAACCGCACCAAGTAACAGCAGGCGCAACAGCACTTATAGAGTGGCTAGAAGCCCATGAACTAGTGCTCTGTATGGAGCCAGGCACTCCTACTCATGGGCCAAACACCCTTGACCTGGTCTTCTCCAACATGTTGATAGAGGCAGTAGTTGAAGACTACCTTAATACCTCAAGTGATCATGCAACCATTCTGATTACAACAGACTGGACAGAGCCTATCTCCCATCCAAGGATAGGCTCTACAGACTGGACAGAGCCTATCTCCCATCCAAGGATAGGCTCTACAGACTGGGAGAAGGCTATATCTCTGCTAACCCCCCCACCTGCGCACCTCCCCATCAACACCTTAGCAGAAGAACTAGTTGATAATGTACAGCTAGCCATCTGTGGTGCATCAAAACATAACTCTCGCAAGCTCCCACGCACCCCTTGGTGGACACCAGAGCTCACAGACCTACTCCACCAAACATGACAGCAGCAGGACCCAGACTACCTACCACTCTGGAAGACAATATCCTGTGCAAAGGCTAATTACTGGAAGAGGCGAATTGAGCAAGCAGTGTCTCCCACAGATGCCTTCCTACTTGCTAAATGGCATAAGCACTCAGATCAGCTCGCGGCACCCCCTCTAAACATCCAAGGAAATCAGGTTAGCACTCCACAAGATAAAGCGGATGCTTTTCTTTCACATTTACTGGAGAAGGGAGCCTCCCTTCCAGATCAACTAGAGGAGGGCCCTCCAGCAAAACCTCTGGATTCACTAGGGTTGCCAACTAAGGAGGACTGCTGGACTGCCCTTTGTGCCCCTGCCCCATCCGCCCCAGGTAGGGATGGGCTTGCTACCACAGTTTGGAGAGAGCTCTGGCCTGCTCTAGGCAACACAATCACGCTTCTTTATCGCCGCTGCTTAGAGGAAGGTCGCTTCCCACAGTGTTTTAAGTCTGCAAAGGTGGTAATGATACCAAAGCCAGGAAAAAGGGACCTCACACAGCTCAGCTCCTGGCGACCCATCAGCCTACTCTCCACCTTAGGAAAAGGCCTAGAGCGCTTTCTGGCGTGGCGCATAGCTGCACGAGCAATCCAGGTAGGGCTACTGGCCCCCTGCCATTTTGGCGCTCTTCCTGGCCGCTCTGCGATTGATCTTGTCCAGATCCTGGTCCACAGGATAGAGAAGGCCTTTGGAAGGAAGATGGTGGCTTCACTACTATTACTGGACGTAAAGGGGGCCTTTGATGCGGTAATCCATCAGCGGCTTCTCTCACACCTACGCCTGCAGGGATGGGACGAAGGCCTAATCCGGTTAATCCAAGATTGGCTGACCGGCCGCACTGCCTCAGTCCATATTAGAGAGGCTATTGCAACAGCCCTAATCAAAGGCAGTCTCCCCCAGGGGTCCCCTCTATCCCCAATTCTCTTCCTGCTGTACGCGGCAATGGTAGTTTCTACCCATAAGGGCTCTTTCTGCTATGCAGACGACCTGGGATTGCTATTCATTGGAAACAATCTGGAAGAGACCTCACGGCAACTATTGGAAGCCTATAAATCAATCATGGCACTTGGGGCTGCATCAGGCCTTCCATTCTCCTTTGAGAAGACAGAAATACAGCATTTCTCTAGGCAGCGGAAGCAGTCTATCCCCACAGTCTTTCTACTAGGTGTAGGCAAGATCAAACCATCTCCATATACCCGATGGTTAGGGGTCCTGCTTGACACTAAGCTCACCTTCAGGTCACATATTAATTGGACATTCAGCTGCGGCAAGCAGCTCGCTCAACATCTCCGGAGGCTTAGCAATACCCAGCGTGGGTGCCCAGTAGCCTCCATGCGTGCAGTGGTCATGCAGTGCGTCCTGCCAACAGCTCTCTATGGCGCAGAAGTCTTCTATACTGGCTACAGGCAACAAGGGGTTATCAGCTCCCTTCAATCCCTGCTCCGCCTGGCCGCCCTGGCCATTCTTCCTGCATATAAAACAACCCCTACTACAGTACTCCTCCGGGAGGCAGACCTACCTGACCCTGAAGCCCTGCTCAACGGTACCCTCCAGAAGGCGGCAATCAGATATGCAAGCCTTGACGCGAAGCACCTGATTGCTCACATAACTACCACTACAGCCCAGAGCTGTAAGAACAGGACCAGACTTACCAGGATCCTCCAACTTGTCCCTGGACCAGCGCCAGAACGCATGCATATAGAACCACCCCTCCCATCACTGCGCATGCTCCCCACTGACTGGGGTAAGCACCTTCCTTCCCCATTGGAAGTAACAGTCTATTCAGATGGCTCCCGTACAGACCAGGGTGCTGGGTACGGCTATGCAATATACTATGGCCCTATCCTGCTTACCCAGGGATTCGGCCCTGCTGGCGCGCAGACAGAGGTTTACGACGCAGAAATTATGGGTGCAGTAGAAGGGCTCCGTGCTGCAGTTAGCCAAGACTGCACCAAGTTCGCTACCCAAATCAACATCCTCCTTGATAATCTAGCCGCAGCTAGCCTGCTAGCAGATGGCAGGCCAGCCCCCCATAGATGAAGACTTACTGATACTTTCCACCAACTCTCCGCTCAGTGGGACAGCTTGCCTTCACTTTTATCTCTACCTCGCAAACCTGTAGGGGTCTGTTGGGTTCCAGGCCACTCTGGGGTCACAGGGAATGAGCTCGCAGATAAGCTGGCAAAGAAGGGAGCTTCATTAGCCAGTCCTGATATCCCCCCTTCTCCCTCATTCCTCAGACAGGAGGCAAAACAGCGGATCCACACAGATACACACGCGGCATATTTTAGAGGCGCACCTCAGGCCTACCGTGACCTGGGCATCAGACCTCATACAAAAAGCAGTCGTGACCAAGAACATAAGCTCCCCCGCTGGGTCCTGGGCAGGCTCATAGCCGCCTGTACAGGTCACGGGGATTTTGCAGCATATCATGAAAGATTTCAACATGTAGACTACCTAGCAACCTGCTCCTGCAAGAGACAGAAGTCCCCTGTCCATTTCTTCTTCTGCCCACCCACCAAGAAGCGCTGGAAGGATAGATGGAAATGCAAGAGAGGCAGCCCATCAAGTACAATTGACTGGCTACTAGGTACAGCTGCTGGGGCGGAAGAGTTCAGCCACATCGTGCAAGATTCATCCTTTTTCAAGGATATATGCCCAAATTGGGCCTGCTCAAGCACTGAATAGTGCAACAGTCTACGCTTCTACCTGGACGAACGGGAAAGGCACCCCTGCTCGACTGAAGGTAGCCAAAGCAGGTTCCTCACCTTTAGAAGTCCAGGCCAGGGTAGCGCCTGGTGCTTCTTCCACTCTTTTCCAACACATAGTGTCCAGCTTTGTTGCTTCAAGCATGTATTTATTTTAGTGAGTCTTTGCTTAGGTAGCACGTCCGGATGCCCCTTGGGAGGCCGCGGGTCACGTGTGCCACGTGATCCGCCGAGTGACGTTAAATAGTAATCAAATCAAATCAAATCAAATCAAATCAAATCAAATCAAAACGGTCATCTACACTGTAGAATTGACAGAAACAGTCACTTATTTCATCGCAGTTCCATTAGAAGCCCTAAAACATCTATTATCCCGTCTTGCTACCATGATATCCAGAGTCCGCTGGCCAACACAACTATGCAGATGAAAATGTGAAGCAACAAGACATTAGCTCCTTCCATAGACATGCCACGCCCATCCGATCTAACGCCAAAATGAAAACAAATAGATAAAACACTATTCAAGAGTAATGCAGTCCAATCATGTACTTTGCACTTTGCACATGTTAGAAGGGGGGGAAGAAAAGAAAAAGGGAAGAGTAGATGGTTACTGGCATTCATAGAACGCGAAGAGTGTCATGGGGCGGACGAGTATCCAAAATAGGACGATGACGAAGAGGAGCTAGAATTGTCGTAGCTAACATCCCTAAATTCTGGAGTGCTGGCAGACTGGCCAGCGCTGCTAGCAGCACTGGTGGCGAAAAGCTGCTTCAGGGTTCTGTATTCCGCAAGTTGCGCTTGCAATTCTTCTAGCACCTCGCCAATTGGCATTGCACGATCTTCTAACCGGTCTGTCTGCTTGAACGGGCGTGCCAATTGCCGCAACCAGAGCGTATTGATCGCCAACTATAATATTTCAGTAATGAGTTCAAGATCAAACAGAACAAGGGAAGAACTACTGACCTCGATACGGGTCACCTGCTGCTCGACCATGCTAATGACTGTCGAGTCAGCGAGTTCGCCTCCATGGTTCTTAACCATGTTAAAAAGTGCCATATTGGGCTCTTTGAGCCTTTTTTCACTACCCTTCGCTTCAAAGGCACCACAGAGTCTTTCCAAGCGCAGCGTGACTTCCCATAGTCGCCAGATAATGTCCGTTGGGATTTCCAATTGAGAATGCCTGCTAATAGTCGTTGGAGTGCCCGCATTTGACCCGTGTTCATCCAAGACAGAGAGCCGCCCCGCAAGTGAGTGTGGGTAAATCAGGTAGAGAGGCTCTGGATTTTCCAGGCCCTTCAGTTTTCTTTCGCCCTGGTCCTTGATCACAAAGCCTTGGCTGTTTAACTGCTGCAGTTCGCGGCGAATATTGTGTCCAAGGTTGTCAAGTGCGCCGTCGGTTGAACCAGTACTCGCTGCACGTTCACTATCGGCAAATACTTCCAAATTGCGCTGAATATCACTCATGAAATCAGATGACACAAAGATCTGACCCCCATCGGCGACGGCGGAGATTCGGGATGCACGATTTACCATCGGACCGAAATAATCCATACGATTAGTAACCGGGTCTTTTTCACAGACCGGCTCTCCCCAGTGCACGCCCATTCGAACAGACAATCCCCGAAATATCAGGTTATTGTCCATATCATATTGTATTTGGCACTGAGGTTGTTCAAGGATCTCAGTAGGCCACTCGGCTTCAAGCAGCTGGGTCTGACAATTGAAGCACCAGAGCAAGGCGGCGGTAGTAGTTGCAAATGCCACCATGAAAGCATCGCCTTCCGTCTTGACCTCATAACCCCCGATTATGCCAAGTTGGCGCCGTAGGATATCGTTGTGTATTTGGATGGCAGAGCGCATTGCATCGGGGCATGTTTCCCAAAGACCTGTTGATTTCTTGATATCTGTGAAGATGATGGCCAGCTCCCCAATCGGAGCGTCAACGTAGTCGAAGCGGGCAAGCCTGGAATCGCCAGGTCCATCACGTTGCTTCTTGGCACGCTTGGTGCTTGGGATGATCTGTTGTTCTTCGGTGAAGGGGGACGGGCCCATGGAAAGACTAGGGCCTCTGAATTTAAATCGTTCTCGCTTCTTTAATTCAGAGACGCCAAGGATCATCACCATGAGTTTGTTAGTAGCGCCGAAGGCAATAGCAAGATCTCGTATCCTTTGGGCGGCAAACATCACGTCTCTTCGTTCGGCCCGAGCAACATCAACGGCAAGATCCGGTGTCACAAAGTCCCACACTTCCTTAGACGCGATTATTATCATCTCATCTTGCTCTGTCAGAGTTACATGGGTGGTGTACGGAGCAGCAATAACTGCAGGCATGAGTTGAAAATAACCAAATGCTCTTGAAACTGGCAACACATCATTGAGTTTTCCATTGCGAGACACAAACCCACCCGCATTGCGGATCCTTGCTCTTTCATGGGTCTCCGCGGGATCATGGTTTTGAGTCAAACGTTTCGAAGAGCCGTCAGATTTGACAAGGAACGCCTGGGCATTACCCACGTTGGCGACATACAAATCCATATTATTGAGATACATGACAGTCGCAACGCCACCATTATGGATATCATCTTGGTTGAGAAGCTTTGCAGCTGCCGAACCACGGTTGTAATGCCAGAGTTCCCGATCATCAATGGATTTGTATGCAGCCGAAGCCATATTTTTATTCAACGATAAGAAAGTCCGCCTCAATGCATCGAGTGGGGTTTCTCCTTGCCCTACCTGCAATTTCTTGAGCTCCGTGGAAAAGGTTGATGTGAAGTTCTCATGCAAAAACTTCGAAATCTTGGAACCACCACTGGACTGAGTCTGCCCATCAAACATGCCCGCCAGCGTCTCCACGTTGTCTGGTTTCAAACGCGGCACAATCATATCAATGATAGAAAGATGCTCGGTCTTGCCTAGGAAATCTGCCATACCGTAGGCAAGTGAGCCTGCTAGCGTAGCAGATGTCCTCACGCGTCGGTCCTCGTTTTCTTCGGGAATAGTCGGTATAGTGAGGGTGACATCCATCAGCCCAAGGACTCGGAGATGTGTCAGAGAGTTAAAGTCAGTCAAGTCAGCGCCATGAGTTACCGCGGCTGCCCCAAGGGAAGGAATATTCGGTTTGATTTCCAGGCGTTTATTGCCCGAGAAGTTGAGGTATTTCAAGTTCCGATTCCAGTTCCAGTTCCAATCATACGGCCAGTTGGAGACGTTATATTTCAATGCATTGCTCCCGACATCAAGTATAGCAAGCTTGCTAACTTTGCAAAGTTCCGCGGGCAGCACTTGGAATCGATTTCGATTAATGTGAAGAACTTTGAGATTGCTTCCTTCTTCGAGATCATCGGATGGAAGCGCAATCAACTCGTTGCCCGACAGATAGAGTTCTGAGAGGAATGGCCAGCGTTTCAGAAGTCCGGGTGGCAGCTCGGTTATCTCGTTATACGAAAGGTTGACAATGCGCAATTCTGGAATCAGTGATAGTTCGCGGAAAATGTCGTCCTCCAACCTGTTATCTGCAAGATACAGGTTCCTGAGAGAACCAGCAAGCGTAGTTGCCACATGTTGAGAAAAGTTCGATTCTTTCCTATAGTATGAACCACCTTCCATGGCTGACCGAGAGGCTGACGACACCTTCCTTCCACTGCTACCCAATGTAGAAGCGATAGAAGGCTTCCTATACGAAGCCACAGGAGAGCTCCCAGAACTGACCTGGCTAGTCCGACGTACGTTTGACTCGTCATACGGTCCTAAATCATCATTGCATGGCGTGCCAGGACCTGGTGTAGTCCCAGGTGTGGTGCTCAACTCACTCGGGAGCTGTGGGGGCGGAGAACCATGTTTCGGGAAACTGTCGAGAACATTTGAGGAAACGTTCAAGGTTTCCAGTTTAACACAATACCATATCTCAGGAGGGAGTTTGTTTAGATTGCATTCTCTGATGTTGAGATATCTTAGTTCGGTGAGGCAGCCAATTGTTGCCGGGAGGGACGCGAGCGGGTTTTTGATCATGCTGAAGTGTTCCAATTTCCGAAGTTTACCAATATGCGGGGAAAGGGACACCAAGTGGTTCTTATCGAGAACCAGTTTCGTCAAGTTGGGCAGATTTTCAAACAGGGTGTGACGAAACTGGACAAGTTTCGCGGACGCTATGTTAAGAGATGTAAGAGTCGGGACTGGGGCGTCAATGTCGAACTGCGTTACAGGGCAATGGTCAAGTACCAGAGTCCGCAATTTTGGAAATGATCCCTTAAACTTCGAGACTGCGTTATGACCAAGTAAAAGCTGTTCTAAGCGTGGAAGTTGCGTGAGATTGTCCATGTTGTTTATTGAGTTAAAACGAGCATCGACCTCTTTCAGATTCACCAAGCCCTTGAACGTATCACAGAGCTTCCCACTGAGCATGTTGTTCGTCACCCATAATCGCTCTAGGGTAGTGATCAGTCCAATATTCGGGAGAGCCTCAATACTGTTGAAACTGATGTCGAGATCAACCAAGCTTTTCAAGTTGCAAAGAAAGGCAGGGAACACGCGGAAACTGTTCGACGACATGTTTAGATTTCTCAGGGACTGGAAATTCCCAAAGTAACTCGGTAGCCTTTTCAACCTGTTATTTGCCATCTTTATGCTGACGAGACCTTTTAACCTGTCAAGATGTGCATGATCCAATTCCTCTAGGCAGTTGTTAGAGATGTCCAGGTATGTCAAACGATTCGCAAGGCTAAAACTGGCTGGCAGATATGAAGCCTCATTGCCCATAAACTTGATTTCCCGCAAATTAATGCAGCTTTGGATGAAGTCCTTGGGAACATCCAGAGCTAGATTCTTTGACAAATTTAAAGAGATTATCTCAGGGGCTTTTTTGTAAAGTGTAATCGGAATGGTAGCAAGACTTCGACCTTGGAGATCCACATGACTGAACTTTTGCAGCCTATTGAATCCAGGATCGCCTTCAAGACTGGCATAACCGCTGAGTTTCGTTGGCATGAATATGAAACGGCAAAGATAAGTATGATCTTCGCGTCCGATATCTTCGATTCTGTCTTTCGAAGTATAGCCAACCTGTTCAAGTAGTCGCTTCTGCATTAATATCGGACGTTCAGTACGGTCAAGCTGTCTGGACAAATCGTTTTTGCGCAACACTATCTCATAGTTGTTAAGATGATCCTGCAAGAAGGATTTCCGGCCAAGCATGCGAAGGATATCAGCAACAGTCGCATTCAGACCAGCCGATAGTGTTGCGAAAGTGGAATCTATTCGAAACACTCGGATAAAATATTGAGTTCCTTCCTTTTCCAGTAAGCTAGTAGCAAGCTTCTCTTCTGCTTCTGACACCTGCGAAGCAAGATCATGTCTCTTAACTTGCCAGCTCTCTGGAGGGTCCCACTGACCAACAGACCACTCATCCTTCCACCGCCCATCCTCGCCATGCACTGAGCCAGCATCAGATCCTCGGACTCGATCAACAATGCCTTCCATGTGTTCGAGGTCAGTATCAAGCTGATAAACGCCATTTGGTGGTTCGGGCTGTCTATTGTCTCTTCCAGAGACAGCTTCAGCGCCAAAACCTCGTCGTGCGAGGAATTTGGAAGGACCAATGCCTAAGCCCTTTCCATCCCTCTTCCGGTCAGAATCCCCTGCCATATCCCTCGAAGTGGAGCTCCCTTCATGGCTTCCCCGCCTCACGCGAGTGGCTGGGGAAACGTCCCGCCGCGATGACTTGGAGCCTCTGGACGAATCCAGAGCAGATTTTGTAGAGCTTGGTATATGTTTCAGATGATGACCGTGCCCCTTGCGGAGTACCTTGTCCAGAAAAAAGCGCTTATTTGATGGCGTTCCTGGTGATATTTGATTTGGCTCCCTGAACATGGAACTTCGCAAACTTGGCGTAGGGCTGGTGGAACGAGCTCCAAGTGTGGCCGGAGGGTTCATCGTGCCGTCCCCAAAGGGGCCAAGTCCAACAGAGTGAGTATCACGGCCCGTTGCTGGACGTGGTAGGTGTCCTTCTATTTCACCAGCGGATGTTGACTTTTCTTCCTTGCTTCGAGAGTGTCTGTGGCCGTTGGAGAGCCTATGGTTTTGATGTCTCTGAGGGATACTATGTGCCGATGAGTTGGCTGTATTTTCACCCGCAAAGCGTTTGCCATCTAGTCCAGTAGGGACATGGCGCACAGGTGCCTGACCAAATTGAGGAATATCCTAATAAGCCTGTTAGCAATGATGGAACTAAAGGTCTACCCGTGAACACTTACATTGAAGCTTTGGTACAGCCATGGAGTAATCTCACTGGAAGGAAGAGGGGTATTAGGCCTGAACTGATCAGAGCGCCTTTCTGGCTTATTCTGTGATCCTTCAGAATCAGCCCTCTCGCGGAACCTGAAACGGTCGCTGGATTTCCGCCTGAAATTCTGGTTGTCTCCACAGTCTGAATCCGGTCTAGAATCTCCAGATATACGATATTCGTCACCAAAAAACCCCTGCAATCTTTTTCGGAATTTACCGCTGGCGCTTGACCTTGAACCTTGACTGCTCACAGTCGTCGCACTGGCAATGGATGGCCTCCTTTGGTTTGCATCGTAATCGGCTCGAATAGATTCGTTGGAGAAGACGGGCCCTTGCCCGGGACGGAGAGACGGGGAGGCTGGAGCCCCTCCGGGTTCTGAATGGTGGTTCAAAGAGGTACTAGAGCCATCGACGGATTTAAATTCAGCAGGTGAGGGCCGTTCATTAATCGACGCTTGTTGATTGGATTCAGGGCGAAATTCTGGAGCCGATAACCGAGAGCTCGAAGTAGATCCCATTCGCGACGCTGGATAATCGGCACCAAGGACGGCTAAAGCCTTTCTGTGACTGCTGAAACCAGAAGCCCTTCGACGATCTGTTGGGGAAATGTCAGGAGACGGGCCATTCAATGCTCCTCGATTAGGCCTTCGGCCTCTTGATTCAAATCTAATTCGAGTCAGCATACAGCTGGCCATATGATGATTCCAGCAAGAACAGGTCTGGTATAGGGGACATTGAAGGGGTGAATGCGGTCAAAGAAAGCGACAGCAGTTCCGGATAAATGGGCATGACATCATCATATGGGGTAGAATTCACTGTTTCACAGAGAGTACTAGACCAAGCCTAAACCGTGACCATCAAGAAACCTAGGCGTATTACACCCAAAGACATCAAGCGTCCCTGGTGTAAGTGCCCGAAAATATGCGCATGGGCCAAATGATAGATGGCTGGACTATCCGCACATTACTGAAAATGTGTTTCCGGTAGAACCTCATTTTATATGCTTGCGCATACAAGAGAATCCGGGCATTGGTCCATTGTCATATGCAAGGGTAACCTGAAGAATGAATGGAGATATTCTTACCCGTCCAACTTCGCGCTGCTGCGGCGAAAAAGGGATGAGCTACGCGTAACATCTGAAGTAGCTTGGTCGTAGCCCGGTCGATCACCCTGGTCTCCCTTCACGGTCTCTTGTGATAACCAACTTCCGGCACTCGAACTTCCCGAGCCGTTCCTTACGTTAGGTCGTTCATGCTCCAGCGAAGCCATGGTCGGTATGCTGCCGTATGTCAACACGGCTCATAATAAGGTCCCAGACGGCCGTGGCAGCAGTCGGTCAGCGCAGGAGTAGTTAAGCATCAATAAGTCTTGCGGTTGTTTCGTAAAGGTATTCGTCGGAGAGGTTTTCCTCTTGTCCAAATGCGAAGTAGTCAAGATCGGCGGAGACAGACTCGGTGGTGAAGGGACGATTCCAGCCTGGAGAAAGGGTACAGAGTCACCAAAAAGGTATAAATGAAAATATATATATATATATAAACCTGTTGAGAGGATGTCACAGTTCATGCAAGGATCAATAATGGATGCCGTAACAAAGTGAGGAAGCGAAGGTCCTGTACAGTATCTTAGCGTCAGGCGCAAGGTGGAAAGACATGCTTCAAGAGCGTGAGAATAAACGACAACCGTCAAACAAGGTCATCATCGCTGTTGAATATACACGAGTAAGCTGGAGGCAGGCAGAAAACCGCCGGTATGAAAATGGACAGGGATTAAGCAGCGAGGTAGAAAAGGAGGGGGAAGGGGAAGGTTAAGAGCGGCGGTGGAGTTTCGAAGATGAAACTGCGCGACAGCAGGTTGAGGCTCCCGATCACGGGCCGCCTTGGCTTCGCGCAATCTACGACAATACAAGACAACGCTGCTGGGTATTATCCTACTATTTCTTCGAAAACATATCCTTCAAGGCTCGACGGGAAGGGCCAACGGTGTGCCTATCTCATCTTCGTATCCCTTGTGGTCCAGCTGGCGGGCATATGGGTGTGGTCCGTGACGTCTGTGCTCGTGGCAAGTATTACAAGCATGAGGTCCATCCTCGTATCGCAACGGAGACTCTTGACTTGAAGGGGGATTTTCATGGATTTTCACAAATAACTCTCTCCAGGCCCAGTATCCATTCCTCCGAATGACCCTTTTTCGAGCCGAGCCCAACCTGAATTATCGACGATCTCCAAACTATCGGTCACTATGGCATTGACAAAGCTGTCTACTGCGTCAAAATTGCGCCGCTCACAGTACCAAGATCGACCATGACAATATGTTATTCCAAGGTCCTCCTGATTTTTTATTCTACGTGCAGCTCCCTGAGCGTAGCGGAAGAGGCAAGGAGAAGATGCGGGCCTACATCACCGTTGCTGGTACCGAGTTAGTACGTTTCGGGATGCCATCTGTGTTCACCATTGATTGGAGATGTGGTTTGGTATAACCGATGTTCTGTCTCACAGAAAGAGACTCCGGCACCGGCACCGCTGATACACTGAATGGAATGGTCTCTGTGGATCAAGCTTGCGTGAAGCAGAGTGAAACATTTGACTTGAGTGGTCAATACTGATTGTGTGACTAGGACTTACCTTTGCAATATGAGCATCTAGTATGATATGGACTCACCAGAAAAAGCAACACAGTATTCCAAGACTGTATTGATCTCCTGGACTTGAATCCGTGCTTCTCGAGCGGACGTGCGAGTGAGAAGGTCCACAATAAATAGCCTGTCATCAAGGCGTAACCGACCCCTACGGTAACCTTCGGGGTCGCGCGTATTGCGCGACCCTGACAACCACCCGAGCACCCCAGCCACCCGAGCACCGATTTTAGAACTTCGTAGAATTCCAACCCATCAACTTTATCATATAATTCAACCACCACCACCATGCCCAAATTCAATAAAAATTATGAAGATCGAATGCTCAAAGCTATTGACGCGTTAAGCACACAAAATCCCCCAAATATCGCCAAAACTGCACGTGAATATGGAGTTAAACGGCAAACCCTCTCCGCAAGGTGGAAGGGACGGTCCAATCTATGTGAACGACCACCAACCAACACCAGATTATCAGAAGAGCAAGAAAAGGCTCTGTGTCACTATGTTGATACTCTAGAGCAATTAAATATAAAGCCACTTGCACAAATGATCCAATCAAGTGCCAATTCTATTCTGAGATCAACCCATACCAGCCTAGACACCCCTCCACCTACTGTCAGCGAGAAATGGTTAAACTGATGGCTAGGAAGGCATCCTGAATATAAAAGACGTCGCTCTAGAGCTATAGAGCTTGACCGCAAGCGTGCAGAGGATCGTGAGGTTATTCAGGAGTGGTTTCAGAAGCTCCATCAGACCATCCAGAACCATGGGATATTAAAGGAGGATATCTACAATTTTGATGAGACTGGCTTCAATATCGGTGTTGGTCGTGATCAATGGATTATTACCAGGGACTTCAATATTAATAAGCCTCATATTGGGATGAATTCAAACCGTGAATATGTTACTGTGGTTGAAGCAGTCAATGCAGATGGCTGGACCTGCCCACCACTTATTCTCATGAGTGGTAGCTGTATACTTACAAATTGGTTTGAAGCTGCTGATATTCAACAAGACTATTCAATTGGAGTATCAGAAAATGGCTATATGACTGATACAATTGCCTTCCAATGGATTCAGTCATTCTATCGGCATACTAAAAGATATAGGAAGGGTCAATATACCCTTCTTATATGTGATGGATACGGCTCCCATTTAACACATGAATTTGTTGAATTCTGTGAGAAGACCAATATCATCACCTTCTTCTTACCTCCATATACAAGTCATTTCTTGCAGCCATTGGATGTTGGTGTTTTTCATGCATATAAGCACTGGCATTCAGAAGCAGTTGCAGATGCAACCTACTCAGAATACAGTAAATTTACTAAGGTTGAATTCCTTCATGCCTTAGGGGCAATTCGCAAGAAGACATTCAAAAAGCGTACTATTCGGCATGGATTCCAAAAGACTGGCATCATACCATTCAATCCATCAATTGTACTCAATCAAATGCCTCAACCACATCATCCATCCTCTTCATCCACCAATACCAATGATGTTGATTCCTGGGGCAGTACGCCAAAAAAAGCTGAATGATTTAGGGAGATTGGTGATAGGATATGGGAGATTCATGATATCAACAAGGATCAATTTAATGAGGGCCTAGAGCTGCTTATTCATGGTGGTAGTATGCTAGCATCATATTCAGCTGCTATCGAAGCTGAGCTTGACCGGTATATTAAAGCTGCTAGGGACCGCGCAGCTTGATCACAGGCCTCTAGGCGCAGGATTCGCAAGGGAGGCATAGTATCAAGCTCAGAGCTTGAAGCTATAAATCGAAATACTGCGAATATTAATGAGCAGGCTGAAATAAAGAGGTGGAGGACTAAGTATAAGCGTTGCCTACCAGAGCTGCTGGATGTATGCATTCGACGAGGAATTATTATACGAAGGCAACGACATGCTAGGGCCCAAGCTGAAGAGTAGAGCTTTAGTTTAAATATATTTTGAAGTTAAATACTATAGAATTCGTTGAGATATTGAAGCTAGAAGGGGGGTCTAAAATTGGTGCTCGGGTGGCTGGGGTGCTCGGGTGGTTGTCAGGGTCGCGCAATACGCGCGACCCCGAAGGTTACCGTAGGGGTCGGTTAATTATGAAAAAGATTGATCTACCAAAACGGTTGACCCCCATCTCTGCCAAATTACCTATGGTCATGTCAGATTCCATGTTCCCACAGCAGATGCGATTGGTTTAGCGTACAATGGACATAAATGCGACTAGGCCGCGAGACTTGAATTGTAGAGAACAAAGGATAGGAATGATGAATTGAACAATTGAGAAAACAAAAATATATCTATTCAGGCCGTTTTCAGTCTTTGCCCCACGAATAGCACAGTGCGCTACTTATTTTTGATTGATTATCTCGAAGTCCACAGCCCAGGGAGCAGTGAGGCTACAAGGTAAATAAATGGATTAGCACCGGACCTGCCTCGATAGGCTGTAGAGATGCCGATCCTAGCAACGACTCACAGTCCACATGTTCTCCTGATGGTAGTAGCTTCACTCCTCCACTGGGAAGACGGAGTAGGAAAGCTTGATCATCTTAAGCTGGTCTGATGACGCGACGATGTAGGGCAAAGTAGCAAACATGACACCAGAAATGCAGCCATGCGCTCTTGGGATTCAGGATAATACGTAGCTGTTCGCACAGAGCAGATCTACCAGGATCACCGGGATCTGCTCTTGTTCGGCAGATGGCAATTAATATGCAGTTACGCTAACCGGATCGGTCATAGTGCGGCGTAACTTCATACTGCAACAGAGATAATCCGTACAGCCTCACAGTGGCCTAAGAAAGGAGGCTGGGAGAATCAGCCATGGCTCTTTCCTGCCCTCTGCCCATAAAGCTTATCTTGTCGCTCCTTCTTCTCGCTGCTCTTTCTAAATGGCCTCGTACGACCCCTCCAAGTCCCCGTTTTCTCCCCCAGCCTCTCCCAATTTCTCTTCTCCCTCTCTTTCTCTCCCAACCCTTAACTGCATCAATCACATTGTCCCTCTACCCTCGCATCAAACACTGCCCGAACTGCATTTTACCCCCCGTATACCTATTCTGGCATCCAGATATTGTCCGACTAGATAGCTATTGGTGTATCTCTTTCTGCTCCATCCCACTCAGTCATCATGCGGCTTTCTGCCTTCGGCACGGCAGCCTGTCTCGTCACCTCTTCGGCCTACGTTGCTGCCCAGACGTTTACAGACTGCAACCCATTGAAGAAGTGTAAGTGTTCTGTGCCGTCAACTCCCGCTGCATATCGTGACTGATTCGTGTAGCATGCCCTCCTGATCCAGCGCTGGGGAGATCCGTTACCTACGATTTCACCCAAGGCCCGTCCTCAGACTGGAAAGCCATTGGTGGAACGCCAACCTATGGCAGCAATGGCGCTGCATTTTCTGTGGCTAAACAGGGCGACTCTCCATTGATCCAGTCAAATTGGTACATCATGTTCGGCCGGGTCGACTTGGTGATCAAAGCCGCCCCGGGACAGGGCATTGTCAGCAGTGCAGTGCTGGAATCTGATGATCTGGATGAGATTGACTGGGAGTGGATAGGAGGCAAAGATAATGAGGTTCAGAGTAATTACTTCGGGAAAGGAGACACTTCGTCGTACAGCCGCGGAGCCTTCCATGACGCTCCCGCGAATCACGATGAATTTCACACCTACACTGTTGAGTGGACCAGTGAACAGATGGTCTGGCAGATTGATGGTAAGACTGTTCGAGTTGTTACACCCGAATCCGCTCCTCCCAATCAATACCCCCAGTCGCCCATGATGGTTAGGGTTGGAATCTGGGCTGGAGGAGACCCCAACAATCAACAGGGAACTATTGGTAAGTGTGCCGTTTCAGTTCTTGCGCGCTACCTCGCTGACCTTATCTAGACTGGGCCGGTGGCTTGACGGACTATAGCAAGGGCCCCTACACCATGTATCTTAAATCCGCTTCCATAACCGACTATTCAACCGGCAAATCATACTCGTACGGCGACAACAGCGGTTCATGGCAATCCATCATATCTGACGGCGGCAAGATTAATGGAAACAGCGATGGTGCTCCTGATGCTATCGAGTCTGCACCACCAGTGACCGCAACAATTGAAGAGCCAGTCCCCTGGAGTGGAACACATCGTGAGACATCCAGTTTTGTCACCCCGAGCGTGTGGCCTTGGGTACCCAATGCGCCTTCTGCGTCGTCTGTTGCGAGGCCGACATCTGTACCCGCTGGCTGGACATCCGGCTCCGAGCAAGCCCAGCCGCCTAGCGCGGCTTCTGTGAGTGAGCACTCCCCGTCACTTTCTTATCCTTCTCCCCATATTACTAAAACCAATACTCTCTTTTCGCAGTCTACGGTCCACTCTACCTCGGCTTCGTTAGCTTCTGTCTCGGCTTCGCCTTCCTCTGGCCTTGAGGCAACGAAGTTGACGCCAACCTCCTCTGTTGCTCTGGCTTCTTCCCCCATTGCTAAGTCGGTTGATGGTCCCTCTGCCAGGGTTACGACATTGACTACATCAACCACAAAGAATTCATTTACCGCGGAACTGGCCGCCGCGACACCCTTTCAAGGTGCTGCGGGTAGCATCGTCAAGGCTCCAGTAATGAGTACTTTCTTTGCTTTTCTAGGCGTTATTTTTGCGGTTTTCTACTCTTGACGACTACACTATTATGGATACCAACTGCATTTTATACCCATAAACCATCCCACCAGAGTCATTAATGAGCATTCTCTGGGGGGGGTAGAGCTGTGGTGTTTACGGGAGTTTGGCTTTTTTCCTTCTGTTCTTTCTTCGTCAAAAGTTCACCATTATGTATTAATACGACGTCATGCGATAGACCCGGAATGATTCTTTGGGAAGCCAAGATGAGACGAGCCGGAGATTCTTTTTGGGCATTATGACTTATGGGTTCACACGAGGAATGCTGTTGTTAATCACTCTTTAGATCATGATAGATAGTTCAATCTCATTCTCTCAATCCCTTCATCGTCATAACAAATTTCAAAAAAGCTTATTGGTATGCATGGTCCGCAAATGTAAACTGTTGGATTTTAGTGCCAAAAATCTCCATGCCTTTGTGTTTACAGCAAGTAAATAAAAAATGCAGATATTGCAGATACTTCTATCTACAACTATTTGGCTTGGGTTGTTTCAAGCTACCTATAAAGCATTACCGGACAAGGGTCCGAATACAGTCTTTTGAGGCAACTAATTCAACGTTCTGGCGGAACTATAATTCCATGCACCGGAGCTTCTGGTGCTGCTATCAGATCTTTGATTTCCCACAGGGAGTGTGTCCTATTATCATTTTTATTGCTGCCCGGGAACTGCAATCCGACGGGTCATAGTCGGGGATTTGATTGCTTGGTTCCAATGATCCATGGCAAACTTGAGCATAACACAATAAATATGTCATCACAATGCTGTTCATACCCGGGCCACTGAAATGGCTCCTCCAAAATGATTCTGGTATTGGGTCCATGACGATCCTTTTGGAGCTCGTGTTCGGCCCTTACATTGATATTTGATTCGAAGTGCACACCTGTCTTTTTGCATGATACTCCTCAGTTCAAGCATCCACTGATAATACTGAACACGTTCAAGTTTCTCCTGGGTTTTGAAATCTCCTGAGAGCTAGCAAAACAACGATGTCTTCCCGTATCTACCTCGTCCGCCACGGCGCAACGGAATGGTCCAAAAATGGCAAACACACGAGCACATCAGACATTCCTCTAACAGCAGCGGGCGAAAAGGAAGTTTTGGAAACCAGGGACGCATTCGTTGGGCCAGGCAAGTTGATTGATCCAGACAAGATTGCCCGGATGTGAGAACAAACCACCAGCAAACATGGAATAATGTGACCAACGAATCTAAACAGCTACTGTTCACCTCGTGGTCGTGCTCGTCGTACGGCAGAACTCCTCAACCTAGGAATCCATGAGCACCAGCATTTCCAGCTCCGAGAGGGCGCGGATGGCATTACAACCACGGAGAAGGACGACCCGAGCGCGAAAACTATTCATGTAACCCCATTAATCCAGGAATGGGATTACGGTGACTATGAAGGCCTGACAATCGAAGAAGTCCACAAGCTCCGGAAGCAGAAAGGCCAACATAATGGTCGAAACTGGAGTATTTGGAAAGACAGCTGTCCTGGAGGGGAGTACGTCAATATCACCTATCCCACCCACCCATCTTGTTTTGCAATTGACACACTGTGAACATGATTCAATGGGAAAATTTTCTCTTTCCATACTCACGGAACTCTATCAGGACACCACAGCAAGTCTCAGATCGTCTGGACGAGCTCATTAAAGAGATCAAATCCGTTATTGCCGGCAAATCTGCGGAGTATCCGGGGGACACTAGAATAGCGCATCATGCCACGGCTCCAAAGGATATTGTCTGCGTGGCCCATGGACATATCCTGGCTGCTTTTGCTATTCGATGGGTGGATCAGCCACTGAAGAATGGAACGAGATTGCTGAATGAGCCTTGTGGAGTGGCTGTTTTAGGGTTTGTCATATTTGCCCCTCATCCCCATCCCACCCCGAGACGAACCTAAATGATTGACTTGGTGGACTTGTCTCATAGGTTTGAGCATGATGACTTGGAGGAACCTGCTATTATAATGGGACAGAGACCTGGTCATTAAAGTGGTTGGCATTGCCACTACCTGTGGCCAAGACCAGCAGTTGTGTATGTATGCTAGAATACATAAAAATATATATATACTGGTATATAGAAAAAGAGATATAGTTATCATTGCTTTTAGCATGACTAATCTAGGAAAACTTCTCGATCCCGGTAGGTCTAGAACATATCATCTTTCCGGTACTATGAAGGAGTCCATCAAGCCTCCATTATCCTTCCAGGACAAGAAGCATTAAGAGGCCAATCCGGGGAAAGAAAATAATACCTCTCAACCAGCCCCTTGTCAATATGGATATGATGAAGGTCCTCTTTCTGCTCGTGGTACAGTTGGCCTGCCAGCGTGTTCTCGCGGAGGCCGATGTCATCCCTGTTCAAACTCGATATTAGCCATCCCGGCGATGAAGGCGAGAGACTATGCCTTCCTCAAAACTCACATTGAAGCTTTCGTGTGCACGGATGGTTCAGGTTGGATGCTTTTCCAACTACGGTGATAGTGTTCGATCAGATTCAAGGCGAACCTAGACCAGAGTCAGTCAGAATAACTTCTTCCTCCACCTTCCGAAGAAAAAGGGGCATACTCTCTCCCTTTAATCTCCCCATTCAACGCAATATCATTCTTCTTCTTCCCATCAGGAACCTTATACACCCTGAACCACTCCTTCATCGTCCCCAAATACCCCGGCATCTGCCTTTCCACTTGGGAGATATCATTTATTTGCTCTGCAGCTGGGTTTTCCATGTCAATGACGACAATCTTCCAATCTGTCTCGCCTTCATCAATCACGGCAAATGCTCCGAGCACTTTGACTGCTTTGACTTGGCCCGTGAAGCCGATGTCGCCGGCGAGTTCACAGACGTCAAGGGGGTCGCCGTCTCCCGGGATGCTAGTGTTGGAGTCTTTCAATTGGGATCTTCCCATGTCTGTGTGATTCGGGTAGTTGAAATATGTCAGACACGGGAAAGTCAAATATATATGTGTATGTGTGTGTGTGTGTGTGTGTGTGTGTGTGTGTGTGATGAGTATGAATCATACCTGAGGAAGAGCCCCATAGTTCCACGGGTATCCCTTGTGAGGGAAGATGTTAGGGACGTATCTCAGTTTATCCTTTTTGATATCCTGACGGATTGGATTGAGAAATTCATCTTTGGTGATCTTTGTAAAACTCATTAGCATTATCATCACCATCATTTTATCCCCATCATTACTAGTATTATCAATCCGTTCAGTTTGTTTATTTATAGTTGTTATAGAGCGCTCATACCTCCATTTTAACGTTGCTCCACCTCGGTATCTCAACAATCATATTCACCAGTCCCTGTTTCTGATCCAGGTAGAGAGGAACATCGTGCCATGGCGAGACTAATCTGTCCGATTCGTGCAGATACACTCTGTAGTCTTTCGTACCAGGAAGCCCTGATTTGCAAACGCTGTAGTACTGAGGCTGCTGGGAGTCGGAATGGGAAGACATGATATGATTGGGCAGTGTAGATTGTATCAATTAGGTATGATGGTAGCTATTTCTCTTTTTTGTTTTTATTTTTATTTTCAGTCACAGTCTTCGCGTAGAAGGGCATTTGCAGTGCCTGTATTGGTATGAGAAGTTCATCGTGCGCTGGGAAACCATTCGTGATGTCATCATGAAGCTGCAACCATTTTGACATCATGGTATCCTTCTAACCATAGACGAATAAACACAAAATAGATAGAACGCGAGGGCTTCAGAATCAAGTCATATTAGTCTAAAGAACTGGCCTTGTGCAGATCTCTCTAAAAGCACATCCATGACTCTATACGAATATGCGCTTCCGATTGTTACAACAGTACCGAACATATAGCGCTTCCCAGTATATTCCATTCAGCAGGAAGATGAAATTGACTCATTTCCGAGTCCAGAGAACCTGCATATGTAACAGAAGCGGACCGTAGGCATGGGCATAACAAGACTGCATTGCGTTGTCCAAGTGGGCAGCAAGAGAAATCCACCGGTAAGCTCCAGAGCATGCACCCTTCCGAGGCGCATTTGGTAGTTTCCGGATAAGAACACTGCGATGATCTTGCTATATCCTGTAAATGTATCTTTCGGGTTACTCAAGCACAGTCACTGTGCATAGGAGATTGCTGTTGTACAGCTTCGTTCATTGCGGCCGTCGAGGACGGGACCGCACGTGCAAGCCGGCGGAGAAACGTAATGCCGACAATGCAACCGTTTAGGTGGTCAATACAGAGAGAGCTGTGCAGCAAGAATCACTGCAGCTGCGAATTATCCCGTCGACGTCTCTCTAATTGCTTCCAGAAGTCATCCGATCAGATCGCGTATCCTTTAATTTTCGAAAGAGTGACCGTTTCGTCCGAACTAGCATGCTACGGCGTTGATTGAACCCATCTATCCTCGACCACTCTCCCTATAGACTCCCCGCGCGGTTATGAAGCACCATGGCGGACAATACAATGTATCACGCCCTGGGCCAGGGAGTCGCACCCGGTGAAGACCCTTCGAACCAAAACATAATGGGTCAGCCTGCTCCTCATACCTATCCTCCTCCCCAATCGGGATCAGTCTACGGAACAACGCCAAATCAATGGCCTGGTTATGGCCCTGCACAACAAGCAGATTTCGCCCCCGGACCGGCCGCCGCTTATCACGCAGGACCGCAGGGGGGACTGGGAGTTCCAGGTGGTAATACCATGGCGGGATTGACGTCGCAGATGGGAGGTTTGGGGTTAACAGCAGATGGAAGTGCTGCTCGCACGCACAGGAAAAAACAGCATCGACATGCGTACCATGATATTGGAACCGCCCCTTCTCCGCCCCTGCAACCATCGGGTGAAGGTATCAATACAGGCGGTTTGCAGCCCCCATCACAATCCCTGAATCCAGCATCACATCCTGGTTCGCGTGCAGTAAGCCCCTCTCCGGGCATGATCCCTCAACCGGGTGTGCCTGGAACAGGAGTCGGAGGCTCTCATCAAGGAAGAGTTGATCCGGAACAGATTCCCAGCATCCCAAGGTCTCGCGATGCGCCGGCAGCGTATTACTTTAGCCATGTCTACCCGACGATGGAACGTCACTTGCCGCCTCCGGCTGGGATCCCCTTCGTGGCCTATGACCAAGGCAATTCGTCTCCCAAGTTCGCACGTCTCACTCTTAACAATATTCCGTCCACCGCCGAATTCCTATCCTCGACCGCCTTGCCCTTGGGGATGATCCTCCAACCCTTTGCACGTCTCGATCCCGGTGAACAACCGGTACCCGTGCTCGATTTTGGCGACGCAGGTCCTCCGAGATGCCGCAGATGCAGGACATACATAAATCCTTTCATGACGTTCAAATCGGGGGGCAACAAGTTCATCTGCAATATGTGCACGTTCCCCAACGATGTACCTCCAGAGTACTTTGCGCCTCTTGAACCCTCGGGGACGCGGGTTGACCGATTACAGCGGCCGGAGTTGATGATGGGAACCGTTGAATTTCTAGTCCCTAAGGAATACTGGAACAAAGAGCCTGTCGGTCTGCAATGGCTGTTCTTGATAGATGTCAGCCAGGAAGCCGTGAAAAAGCGATTCCTCCAGGGAGTATGCAAGGGGATTCTGAAAGCTCTGTACGGCAGCGAAGATGAAACCGCGGAAACTGCAGAGGGAGAAGCACCGGCACGAAAATTGCCGGAAGGGTCCAAAGTTGGCATCGTGACCTTTGACAAGGAAGTGCACTTTTACAATCTCAGCGTATGTTTTCTTCTGTCCGATCTTCTGCGAGTTCGTCCTTTCTGACGATATCCCAGGCGCAACTCGACCAGGCACAGATGATGGTGATGACCGATTTGGAAGAGCCATTTGTTCCTTTGAGTGAAGGTCTTTTCGTGGATCCTTATCAATCGAAGTATGCGGCAAAGAAAAGTTCAGATACTACTACGGTAATCGAATAAGCTAACCATTTTCTTAGGTCCGTAATCTCTTCCCTGCTAAGTGATATTCCCAAAATGTTCTCTCATATCAAGAACCCCGAGCCAGCCCTGCTCCCTGCGCTTGACGCAGCATTATCGGCTCTGCAGGCGACTGGTGGCAAGGTGGTTTGTACTCTGGCAAGCCTGCCAACATGGGGCCCTGGGAAATTGTTCATGAGGGAAGATCCAAAGATCCATGGGACAGATGCCGAGAGGAAGCTGTTCACAACCGAACATCCAGTATGGAAAAAGACAGCAAGCAAGTTCGCAGATGCTGGTATTGGTGTCGACATGTTCTTGGCCGCACCTGGAGGTGCCTACATAGACGTCGCAACCATTGGTGAGTAGCGGGGTCCCACGCTGTTTAGTTCTTTTCCCATAAACTGACGATCTACAGGTCACCTCTCTGAGGTCACCGGCGGGGAGACTTTCTTCTATCCCAATTTCCACTCACCACGTGATCTCTTGAAGCTCTCGCAGGAGTTGGCGCACACAGTTAACAGGGAGACTGGCTACCAAGCATTGATGAAAGTCCGATGCTCGAACGGTCTTCAAGTAGCTTCGTATCATGGAAACTTCCTGCATCATACGTTTGGTGCCGATCTTGAGATCGGCAGTATTGATGCGGACAAAGCGCTTGGGGTTCTTTTCAGTTACGACGGGAAGCTGGATCCCAGACTCGACGCCCACTTCCAGGCCGCTTTGCTGTACACATCGGCCGACGGTCAACGGCGGGTGAGATGTATCAACGTCGTGGCAGCGGTGAATGAGGGCGGTATGGAAACGATGAAGTTCGTGGATCAAGATGCTGTCGTTGCCATTATTGCAAAGGAGGGTAGGTTTTTTCTGCTGTCTCACCTCCAGTTCTTGACTGTCCATGCCGTTAACTTTGGGAAACTGTAGCTGCTTCCAAGACGTTGGATAAATCACTCAAGGACATCCGTGCCAGCATCACAGAGAAGACGGTTGACATCTTCAGCGGATACCGCAGGATCTTTTCCGGGTCACACCCTCCTGGGCAGCTTGTGTTGCCAGAAAACCTGAAGGAGTTTTCCATGTTCATGCTGAGCTTGATCAAGTCGAGAGCGTTCAAGGGTGGGTACACTGCCGATGCAGGCTATTTCTTGGCACGTAAGCAGCTAATCCCATGACAGGTGGCCACGAAACATCAGACCGGCGGATTCATGATATGCGCATGCTCAAGTCCATGGGGTGTACGGAACTGTCGATGTATCTCTACCCTCGAATCATCTCGATTCACAACATGCAGCCGGAGGACGCATTCCCGAACGAACAAGGCCAACTGCAGGTCCCACCGTCGCTCCGAGCGAGCTTCTCACGCGTGGAGGAGGGCGGTGCTTACCTCGTTGACAACGGACAAAGCTGTCTCCTCTGGCTGCACTCGCACGTGTCGCCCAACCTCCTGGAGGATCTGTTCGGACCGGGACACACATCGCTGCAGGAACTTAACCCCAGCATATCGTCGCTGCCGGTGCTGGAGACGCAACTTAACGCGCAGGTGCGCAATCTCTTGCAATACTTGTCTACGATCCACGGATCCAAGGCAACCACGATCCAACTGGCGCGGCAGGGGATGGATGGAGCGGAATATGAATTTGCTCGGTTGCTGTTCGAAGACCGGAACAACGAGGCGCAGAGCTATGTGGACTGGCTGGTGCATATTCACCGGCAAATCAACCTGGAATTGGCAGGGCACCGGAAGCGGGAGGACGCAGGGGGGGAGAGCACACTGGCGTCACTGACGGGGATGAGGACGCATTATTGGTGATGTCGCCCAGAGGGGGGGGTTGAAAAAAAATTTTTTTCTTTTTTCCTTGATGAGAAGACGGATTCTACCGGAGTAATGCGGCTTCGTCCAAGTCTATGCCAACTCAGTTATTACTTTATATTATCCATTTATTAACTATTCCTTTCTCCTCGGTATTACATCAGACGTGTACAATAATCAGCGGTAAATACATGCGATTGAATGGGAGGACAATCCGGCGATATTATATTATTCATACCCCACACAGTCTTTCGATCAATAATTTTTAATTTATATAATACGTCAACAATCGAATCCATCAAAGACGGAGCCAACGCCGCCGCATTTGCAACCGGACAAGCAAGAGATGACGCAGCAGGGAACAGGAAGGCATGTAGCAGCCCGACTGTCTAAACCGATGCTTTCAAGAGTAGACACCGAGACAACCGGATATCTGTCTAGGGACGCTGGCTCTGATCTGATTCTGGCTCAGAGTCTGGTCTGACTGACAGAATCTTGCAAAGCGTCTCTCCCACGTGGGTGCCGCCGGTAAACAGGCAGAATCCACAGTCCACAGCCTCAACCGTCGAAAATTCTCCTCGGGCATGAATAATCCTGATCCATCATCCAGGAACGCAGTGGATCGCGTTGCATGAGGCGAGTCGAATCAGATGCTGCGCCCAACCAGAGACTGACGTGGTGAAAGAAGTCGTCTGCAAAAGATGTGACTTGTACGCTGCACGGCGAGTTTGCCTCGCGCATCGCGACTTGTTCAACCAGACAGGCTTGAACGCTTGACTGCTTCCTTCCCCTCACCGTCTCGTCTCGCTTTGTCCTGTTCTGTTCTCTCCGGCAGGGAAAAATCTCGGAATGGCAACGCATCGCCCTGCGACCCACGGTTGACAGCGATCCTATGCAAATCCTTCATTCCATCGCCACCAACGCCACGGCTTACGTTTTGCCAATCGCGAGATCCCGCTCAGCCCGAATGCAAGGTACATCCAATGTATCCAATATCCATCCATGGAACCTCGTCAGCATCGCCGTACCTGGTCTAGAACCACGGCTGCCGCCAACTCCGTGGCGGTTGACAAAGCCAAGTTAGAACCTTATCCCCGAAGTACCCTTTGTGTACCTGACATCGGTCTGCTAATCATAATCCAGTGCTGCTCAGGTACCGGCCTATCCACGTTCGAACCGTTTCAATCAGGACCACAGCTGTGGGGAGGGGGGTTCCATCTTTTTCCCTTGTCTGGTTACTGGTACGGTTCTCACCTGTCCGTCTCGCTTCTCAGTGGCTGCTCACCATGCGCTGTTCGCTGGGGGGGTTGAAAGAAAGATATAAAAAGCCTGCTCGAGCAGGTCTTGATTCTCTCTTTGTTTCAATTCAGAACACAGTCATTCATTGAAAGATAAAGACGATTCTCTCCTTTCGTCGATTCATTATCTTCAATTTCTTTCTCTAGAGACTCGGATCTCAGATCACTCCTTTCTGAAAACAAAAAAGTCGTCTGTCGATCAGACTTTGAATTTCACCACCACTGCCCTTCCCTACGTCGAAAACAAAACACAACCAGACAAACAAAATGATGTTCAAGTCTTTCGGTCTTGCAGCTGCTTTCGCTGCCACTCTCTCTTCTGCCTTCCCGGCGATTGTCCCGCGCAACGCAAGCGGTAGCGACATCACCGGCGGCGTTCAGATCGTGAACAACCTGAACGTCCCCGTCTACGCCTGGTCCGTGGCCGACACGGTCGGTTCCATGCAGACCCTGGCTGCCAACGGCGGCTCCTACTCAGAGAACTGGCGCGTCAACTCCAACGGCGGCGGTGTCTCCATCAAACTCGCCACAACCCCCAGCCAGGACGACGTGCTACAGTTCGAGTACACCGAGGCCGGCTCTACTATCTTCTGGGATCTGTCCTGCATCAACATGGGCACCAACTCCGAATTCACCAAGTTCGGTTTCGCCGTGACCGCCAACAACCCCCAGTGCCCCTCGGCCGTCTGCAAGGCTGGCGACACCGCCTGCGCTGATGCCTACCTCCAGCCCGACGACAACGAGGCCACCCACGGCTGCCCCATCAACACGGGCTTCACTCTGGCCATCGGTCAGTAAACGGAAGTACTCCGTACGGTTCAAAAAACAACCACAGGGTGGTTCATCGGTATTTCTACGAAGATCAGTGATCTTTATAACCGGTTGAGCCGGTATTCAACTCTTTGAAAGTGTTGTTGAAAAGAACAAAAAAACCAAAAAAAAAGGGGAGATGAAAGAATTTACGAGTCACGAGAAACGGGGGCTTGGATTACGTGGAATGTTGGATAAAACGGATATGGTTATGGATAAATGATGGGTTAGGGTTTAGTTTCTATTTTTTGGATACCTCTTTATGCTTTTGGATTTTTCTATTTGATGGATACCTCTCACATCCTTATTTCATTTTGAAACAAATTAAAGAACCTTCTTTGAAAGAAAAATTTTTTTCCATCTCATTCAATATTGTACTCCGTAGCCCCGGGCCAGTATGTATTGCTGGTTCTGGTTCTGGCTCCACCAGTAGAAGATCTAGCCATGTTCCAAGGATTCTACGCGAAACTCTGTTAATATGTATTATTCAACCTTCATTGATAATTATGAAGATGTGGTTCTGGACTCGTTGCCACTGTGTTCTTTCGATTCTTTAAAGTAGGTCAGGGTATATCACGTGTGGATAAAGCCGGCAGCATATACTAATATTGGTGTTAGCGACAAGAGTATTAGGAATTTTACACTCGAATTCAAAACCGGTGCCCGGGTCTTGGATACTTTGAGAGTTTCCCAAACCCATGCCAAAAGAAACTGAACCTTTTTGGAGGCATTTCGATCACCATTCCTGGATGATGTATTCTATTACGGCAGCTGTGTTATATTGCATGTTTCGCTGTTACTGATGTGGATCAGGGGTGCGGCGTCCGGATATCAAATACTAACAGGATACCATAGGAGTCGTAGGGATCGTGGTGAGCGCTCTATACCGATATACTGCCGTCTTTAGTACATCGTGAAGCTCTAATTGATATGCCGTATCGCTTGCTTGAGCTCTCGTATACATACAGCATCCAGGATACTCGGGTATGATCATCTTTTCTCCCGGAACATATATACTCCGGATCCCGCCGCTGGATTATTAGATAATCCACCTGTCCGAAATAACTAGTATATCCTCATCAGATGTATATTCATTAGTACCATTTACACAGTTACTTCAATCATGAGGAACCCATAAGAATCAGGTTTATTAAAAGAGATATATCAGGCCATCATTATTGTGCGCAGCCACAGAACTGCTTGTGGCTGGAACAGTCCTGTCTTTATTCTGAATCGTGGTTTCATTGATTTATCACGTGCGAACTGGCGCAGTTAAGGAGTCTTTTGTTGGTGGTTGTAGTTAACTCCTAGCTAGAACAACCAACTCAGCGAGTGCGTTAGAGGATATATGCTTGTCTATTCGGAATGCTGGCTAGGGGAGAACTATCCAACTAATGTGGCCGACCTAAACGAGGGCAGGGTATTGAAAGGAACCGCGGATCTCTCATGATTCGTATGGACTCCTTTTCCCGGAGTGTGGATTGACAGCAACCGTCTCCTACTTCAGGCGAGACGACTGATACCCCTTTGCACTATTTCCAGCTGTTCTACTGCTGGACAATAAGCCCATTTGATTGGAGTGCAGGAAGTGCTCTCCCCATTGTCCACTTCGTGCACTTCACTAAAGGTCTCCTAGGTTCTCCCGGCTCGCAAAACGTCAATGGATCTTTTGTTTGTAAAGGCTCCGTTTACATTGTCAAAACCCGCTGCCATCCATTGGGATGCTTGAACTGCTTGAACATGGGGGTGACCCCCAACTTTTTGCTTGAATAGGACGTTTGCGAACGTTCCGGTGCTTCCCTGGGCGTTGGGACAGAGCTGCAGTCAGTCTAGATGGTGAAAAAATGTCACTACTTGGTCTGAAATCCCGGCTCTAAATATAATTCAAACCTGAAGGAGAGTTACTCGACTGGCTATATCCCGTACTTACTACGTAGATATTATGCAAGTAGATCTGTAGATGTCATCGTACATGTCCATACATCGCGGGCGAGATAACTAACCCGGAATACAATCAAAGAAGGCTTTGTTTCTGGTTACGTGGTTATTAACAGGCTAGAGTAGCAAACCAGTCAAGATAATAAACGGACATATGGCATATGTACAGTACTCCTATCAACTGAATAACTGAAATCAGCATGATCCTCCTTTTTCCCGATTCCGGTCCAGTCCGTGGCCGATTCATGCATAAAGAACGCCGATGATGACATACATGCATACATACAGTGGCTGAATAAAGATGGTTAAGAGTCAAACAAAGAAATGCAGTGCAAGGCCTTCAATGCAATCAGAAAAAGAAAATCACGTAATCAAAAAGTCCATGTCCATGTCGCTGATGATCTTCTCCCAGTCCCAGCTGTCCTCCACCTTGGTGTCCATCACCTCCCAGACCCGCTGCACCACCTTGTACGCGGGCTCGATGTTGCGCAGGTTCGAATACTCCTTGAGGCGGTCGAAGAAGATCTTGATCCGCTCGCGCTGCTCCGGCTGGAATGCCGAGCATCCCAGCAGGAACAGCGGCATCAGCACGATGCTGTACGCACCTGCGTCCTGCGGCAACTGGTCGAGGTAGGCGAGTCCGTCGTTGACGACCTGGATGATCTTCTCGCTGGGCCGTGACGGACGGATCGTGCGGAAGAGATAGACCCAGGTCGACTGTCGATACAGCTGCGCCAGGTACCAGTTGGGCGTCTGCGGCGTATGCGAGGTCTGCCAGGAGCGGATGGCGGAGTCGATGAAGACCGCCTCGCTCAGCGTTTGGTAGTCGACGGCCGGCTCGCATCCGTCGTTGACGCGCTGTCGGATCCGGTCGCGGATGCGCGTCACCTGCGAGATGTAGTTGAAGAGGCCGTCAAACACCCCGAGGAACATGCCCGCTTGCGGCTGCGGCACGAAATCCGGCAGTCGGATGTCGCCCTGCATGAGGGCCGGCCGTCGATCGAGCGAGGTGATGGAGTTGGAGACGTCGTGGTACTGGAAGAACTCGACGATGAACTGCCGGAACTTTTCGTTCCGAGGGCGTTGCGTGACCAGCAGGTATCGTGCGGCGTCCATGTGCGGGCGGTACTCGCCATTCGTCTCCCCTTCGCAGATGGTGTTCAGGCTCAGGGCGATGGTCGACGCGATGATCGGGTCCTCGACCAGCAGCTGCGGTTCGTACTCGGGACCCTTGGATGCGTTGTCGATGCTCTCCTGCAGATCCCGGATGGCGCGATGGAAGTGGTAGAACCTCCGTTCCTTCACCCGAGGTTCGGGATCCAGGCCCGACAGGTGCGATCCGGAAAGACACATGAGGGAGTGCATCAAGCCACGATGTTGGGTGGCCATGGGCAGGAGAATCTCCTTGAACGGGTTGGAGTCATCGTTGATCAGGGTGAGAACACGACTGAGACCGAAGACGAAATGATCGAGAAAACGCCGATCGATGTCTGTCTCGATGCCATCGATCAGGATGGGCAAGGCGCGAGGTACGAGAGCAGTGCAGAAATTGCGAGCGGCTGCCAGTGCGTCAGCAATGAGCATTGGGAGAGAGGGAGAGAGGGAGAGAGAGAGAGAGAGAGAGAGAGAGAGAAGGGGGGGATTGCCTTCTTCCATCTTTTGCCGGCCACTCTTCCACACCTCTTTCGGCGGGTAGCCCTCACAGACGACGGCATTCTTCTGGCAGTTCAAGCAGGACGGCTTCGTCTCGTCGCACTTCTTCTTTCTGCGTCGACAGGTGATGCAGCCGGTCTTGGAACGGCCCTTGGTGATTTTGACCTGGGTTCCGGGCAGCGGCAGCGGATTCTTGCGCGGTCGGCCGCGTTTCCGTGGAATGTGGACGGGCGGGTCCGCGGTGGAGTCGGTCGAGGGGGTGGCGGGTTTGATGGCCTGTAGACTGTCGGAGTCGTCCAGCTCTTCGATCTTTGGCGTTACATCGGCAGAGGAGTCGGAGGTGAGGACGGCAAAGTGGAAGGATTTGGCGGTGGTCGACGAGGAGGAGGATGGGGCGGTGGCGACGGCTGCGACCGGGGAAAACTCTGCCGGGACATCGTCGGCATCCCACGACTCGGGCGATGCATCAGAGACGGCAGCATCGTCGCCAGCAACGGTCGAAGAGACATGGTCCTCGTCGACGACGGGCAGGGCGGGGAGGCCCGTCAGGGATATGGGGCGGGGCGAGCCATGGCGCAGACGGGGATCCCAGCCGGGAGCGAAGATGAAGGCGGAGCGTGAGTCGTGCATGGACAGCATTCGAGAGCATTCGAGGGCACCGGGGAGGGGATACAGGAGCACGGAAGGGAGCCAGAGGAAGAAAAAGGCAGCAAGGAATATAGGAAGAGGAGGAGAAAGGAGAAGAGCAGTTTTAAGCGACGGTTGGCATGACGGTGGGTGGTATTCTGGCCGTTGCAGCGAGCGGGGGAGCCTAATAGGACTGAGTGCATGCTTTACTATATAATAATAATAATAAAATACATACTAATATTGGAATAATATCATAATAGAAACGAGTAATGGAATGCTCCCCGCATCCCGGGACGGCCTGAGCACCAAAAGCAACGTTCTATGGCTGGAATAGTAATCATATGCGGCAGATGTTATTGCTGCGTAGCACTTATTACTAGTATGCAATCAAGACCATTGCGTTGCTCTAATTACTATTACTCTATTACTAGTACGGTCATGCCACATCCCACTTACCCCTGGCTTTCCGTCGTGTATGGGGGCGTATGGGTATATTTCCTTATATGTGCATCCATATATCTTCATTTATACCGGAGCCCGTACAGATACGCTATATGGCATACCGACATGTCACTGCCGCGTCTCCTTTCTTTTCTTTTTCTCCCCTGCCAATCTGGGGAAGTGGACTCTACCCCACACATGCATGTCCGTCGCCCAGCATAGAAGGTTATATGTGTATAATACTAGCAGTTATTCCTTGCTAGCGTACTGCGAGCGCACTGCGAGCGTACTGCGAACTTCAATGAAATCGCTCAAATACAGTACAGCGATCCCGTTTTGGCCGCAGCACATGACTCTCTCCGCGTGACTGCCTTATCCCATGCCCTATCCATGCCCTATCCATGCCCTATTCCGTGCCCTATTCCGTGCCCTATTCCACGCCCTATTCCACGCCCTATGTATTCTAGTTGGGTAGACACCGCAGTAGGTAAGCAGTGCAGGTATGCTGCATAGCGTGCACGGCAGCCCTATATCAACATATCAACATATCAACATACACCGCAGTATAAGGGCATATATCACACAGTATAGGCAGTATGCGGCAACCACGGTTCACGCATCGTCATGCATCGTCATCCTCATCACCCCATCCGCATTATCCATCGTCAGCTCCGGGCATCCCGTAGCTCATTAATACCTGCTCTCGCCGCTGCTCTGCTCTCTTCTCCCTCTTCCATCTGCAACATGAGCCCCCGTTAAAGTTGTCGAAGGTTAACGGCCCGCGGTGGGTAAACCAAACACCACCGCCAATCGACGAGCCACGAATCTCCACTCGAATCAAGTATACTGGAGTCGGCAACATGCTCCTCCCCAGATCCCTCCGGGCCAACGCCTCAGACACCATCATCATCAACAGCATCCCCTTCAACCGCTCCGTCCTCTCCCACTACAACTACACCCTCTACCCAAACGGCACCCTCTCCAACGTCTCCGACTGCTACCTCGTCTTCGGCGACTACCGGCCCACCATGTCCAACCACTCCTCCCTCAACAGCACCATCTGGGACGGCACCATCCTCAACGGCACGACCTGCTACGCCCCCATCCGCAGGCTGGGCCCCCACGCCTCCCTCGGCATGGTTTTCGCCCTGCTCTTCGCAGTCACCTTCATCTTCACCATGGGCAATCTGCGGAAACACGGCCGTCGGCTGCTCTCGCCGCTGAACAGGCGGTATGCGTCTAGTGGCCCCGGAAGACGGTTCAAGTGGTTCTGGATGCTGCTCGTCGCGGTTTGCGGGGTTGTCGCTTGTTTCATGGGCATCGACGTTGACCGGGACTATCTGCAGACGACCCCGTTGATGTTGCAGGGGCTGTTTTATACGTCGTTGACACCGGCTCTGATGGCGGTTGTTTGGGAGGGGGGTCGTCATTGGTAATTCTCCCCCTTGCCCTACATACCATCTGCCGGGATATACTCTGAAGGCCAGTAGGCTAATTGATACAGGGCCTCAACACAAGAACGCCTCTCCAACGCCTCAAACCCCCGATACACCCCAAGCTCCCACCTCCCCACGAAACAGGCATTCTGGCTTCCATTCCTCTTCTACTTCCTCGCCCTGCTCACCTTCTTCCTCACCGTCCCCCGGGAATGGAGCCCCATTCTCCGCCAGAATAGTCCGCAGCAGCAAATACTGCTCTCCAAGCCCCTCGCCACGGATACCAGGTTCAAGGCGTCGGGTTTCACGGCTCTAGCGGGTGTATTGGTTATTTGCTATGGTCTGTTGAATAGTGTCTACCGACAGATTCCTGCTGCGGTGGTACCGGGAACCGAGACAGAACACTGGGAAGAAGAAAAACACCAACAACCCCCCGCAAAGAAACGATATAGATTTCCACCGTCCCAATTTCTCCTCGCCATCCTCCTCCTCACCGTGAAAATAGCCTACGCCATCGCTTCTGCGTTCAACTGGTCCATTTCACCCTTGCGCTACGGCGTACACCCAGCCTACCTCTTCGGCCTGGGCTACACACCCGCGCTACTCATCCTGATCCTATTCAACATCTGTGGCTGGTGCGAGGTGAATGAAGATAAACTCGTCCTTGCACGACGCAGGATCGATAATTACGGGTATGATCATCGGTCTAGTGGGAAGAAGAGGAGTTATTTTAGGGATAAGGGGGTTTCTGAGGATGCAGGTGTATACTACGGGGGTGGTCATCCGGTTGCTGGTGTTCACATGGATAGTCTTGGACACAGCCACAGTGGTACTACAGGCGCAAATACTGATCAGGAGGACCTGGATCGTTACGTCGAGATGGGCATTTTGTCTCATTCTCATTCGCATGCGAACGGAAATGGTCATCATGATGATGACCACCACCATGACCGTTCCCAAGGAGATGACCGCTCCCCAGAAAGTGAATGGGACACGCCCTACCCTCCCAACGATCAACATGGTCATCACGATCAGGAGGAATACTGGGATCATGCTTCCGGTTCTTCACATGGGAGCTGGTCGGAGACGTTGCAGGGTCATTCGTCTGACAGTACGGCGTGGTGATTTATTTCCTTATTTCCCCATCAACTTTCTACTTTCTAATTAATTAATTGGCGTTATTACTTACTACGGTTCACTGCTAGATCTCAGTTTAATAGTGTCTGATTTAATTGGTTACCTGTTTTGTTTCTCTCAACAACCGTCAATTTGTCTGCATTGTACACGTCTTATCCCTAGCCCAAAAATAGCAATAATAATGCATGGTAGAATATAGAAAATAGAATAAAACCCCACCCATGCAAAGCAACGCCATATCCATGATTCCTGAGATAATAAATCAAAAAGCAAAGGATCAAGGCCGTCATAAGGGGTCAGTCATGTTCATGCAGTCGTTCCAAAACAAAAGATACTCAGTAAACAGCATCAGCGGACTCAAATAAAAACCCGATCCAATTGGCGCAATGCCCTCATGTCTTCCCCTCCGAACCCGATCTTCTCGCTAGGAATATCCTTCGGCCCATCCGTCGTCCGACTCGTCGCCAGGGGACTCCCTCCCGTCCGCGGTAATGTTCCGAAACGCGGGGCCTCAAGTGGCATAGGTGCCGTCGTCGAGGGCGGCAACGAGGCGGGAGGTGGTGGAGGATGAGCGGATTGCGGCGTATTCATCAATGAGCCGATGCTGGGAACGGTCGTCGTAGGTCCTGCGGCCGACGTTGAAACGGGGATCTCTACCGGTTTGGCAAGTGAAGGTGGAGGAGGCGCGTGGGTGGAAACCGGTTTGAGGGAATGTGGACTGTACAGCGCCGGTGCAGTGCCATTCGGTGGTGGGACCGTAGTTGATGTCCGCGGGGAGGCAAGACGGTGGTCGTTCACGTACGTCTGAGGGCTTCTCGGATGCGGATCGTGGTATTCAGAAATATGCGGAGAACGAGACGCGAAGACAGGGAGTGCCGGGGCCGGTGCAGTGGATGGTTGAAGGGGAGGGGCCAAGGTGGTTTCTGCTTGCGGCGGTGGTCGATCGTAGGCTGACGGGATACCCGATTGCGCAGGCGGAGGCAAGGCTGCCGAGGACGGGGGTAATGGGGCAGGAGGCGGTGGTGGTGGCTGTTGTTGTTGTTGCTGTTGTTGATGATGTTGATGATGATGCGGATGCTGCCCGTATGCAACTTGGCCGCTGGCAGCGGTCAACGGAGGGAGATACGAAGGATAGGGGACCGTGACAGTAGGCGGAGTAGCCATAGGAGTCGGAGGCCAGCCATACGGCCCTGGATATGATTGTGGATGTGTGGCTCCCGAACGTGGATACGCAGTCATAGGATGAGGAGTGATCGAATATGTAGCACCCGCCATGGGGCCCCGAGTTACCACTGGGAGATTCTGTTGATCATTGACGGTGGATTCTGGATACAGGCCTTTCTGCGGTCGCACATGTCGCAGTGCCGGATCAGTCGATGGCTGTTGCAGGTTCGCCGCAGACGGATGCGACCTGGAGTAATAGCCGATAAGATGGAGATGTTGACCCGCGGACGTGGTGATACTGAAGGACTGCTTCATGAGGCCGTCCGGTTTATAGCGATACCCATCGGGGCCCTCATCGCCGCCATCGCCTCGACCGTCGTCGCTCCCACGCGTACTTTCTGGAGTCTTCCCGGCTCTGGACACGGAGGATTGAGACACGCCGTTCCCGCCCCGTTTGCCTTCCATCTCTCGATAGGTCAAGAAGCTGCCCGATACGCGACTGGCACTCCATGACTTGCCGTCTGTCCATCGCCGCATGCCTGCTTCCCGTTCATCCCACACGAACACCGAACCGGACCTGATGGATTGTCGTTCCTTTTCGGAGAGTCGTCTCTGTACGCGGGGGAGAAGGCCAATACGGCAGGCTTCGAAGAGAATTATCGCGTCCGCAGGTGTGCGGACGTGTCCGTGATATGTCTCCATCCACCTTGAGAACTGACTGAAAATCCTGCTGGATAGTTGCGTTGCTAGATGGGGTCGGGTTGGGGTGTTGGTTGACGGAGGATTGAGAAGGAAGGGAAAGCCAAGGATTTACAGGATGCAGGCACTATTATAATCTATAGTATTTTTTTTTGGTTGCTGCCTCCCGTGATCTTTGTTTGGACTGTGCAAGACAACTTTGTTGCAGAGAACCGTGGCTATATGAAACCTTGTTCGGACGGGATTCCTCCTTTCCAGAAGCAGTAATTCGAGACGAACCGTGGACCGGAGAGGGAAACCACGGTATGAGGGGATCTGATAGACTGGGACGCCCGGGGTGGCGTCGGATGAGAAACACAAGTGTCTATACGGAGCAGTATAGGATGGGAAGGACAGAAGAAGAGTGAGGAAGAAGGAAAGGAGGAGGAAAGGAGGAAGAAAGAAAGAAGAAAGAGGAAAAGAGGGAAAGGAGATGCAGGAAGAGGGGAGTGGGGAACGCCAGAGTCAGGACAAGAGATACCAGATTAATACAGCATGATGGAAGGAACCAGGTTAGGTTAATTAATATTAAATCAATAAAAATCGCTTGCATGTGGAGCCTGCTTATGATTAGAAGAATCAGATAGATAATACCTCTGGTTTACTGCGTTAGCAGACTGCGTGCATTATTATAGACAAGCCACAGCAGATAAACTTATTCCTAGCTTGCGGGACCGCCACTGCAAAGAATAACAACACTACCAACAGCATAATAAACGAAATTAACGAGGAAACAATGCTGGAAGGGGTAAATACTTATCAAGTGGAGTACGTAGCAAACCTCCAACTCTAAACCCCACAGGGTTTGGCCTGAATGTAACAAGATACCATAATATATTCTTGGCTATCTCCTGTCTCACTCCTGCCGACATCCATGACATCTCTGGCGGATGTTGTATTAGTTGTCGCTGTGCGAAGATGCGATGCTGTACACTCACAGGATAAGAATACACCGGCCTAGGCACTCGGCATCGCCACTCTCGGCATTACCTAGGTAAACTTCTCTTCTTCAATTTGGGAGGCAACTTGGCCTTTCTGGGGGTGGCTCATTTCGTGGGCTTAGTGCATAAACTTAATGCAAATTTAAGTCCGTTTTTTATTATTAACTATTATTTCCATGGCTCCGTACGTGCAGGCAGCCAAGAAAAAGGGCTGACAGTAAATAAAAATAAAAACGGGAAGGGATTGTGCATGAGTACGGTTATGCAGTGGCAATCGGATCGAATTGTGATCCGTAATCGCCTACAACGCGAGTAGATTACCTATTACAATAATATTCATTATATCATTATTCAAATACGGTCGCGACTGTTCCTCCTTCTGGCTAGTCCTGATCGAAGATGCTACGTAAGGCTCTACGTATGCCCCTACGTATGCGGGCGTGGTAGAGAAGGATATTAGCGGTCTGATTTTTAGAGTATAATCTTCAATACTTCTTTTTCTTATTCTTTATATCTCTAATCATCTTATTTATTATCTTTTTATTTCTAATATTATATCAGGGATATAGCAAATATATATACAATATAAATTCCCACCATATTTTGGACCCCGCTAGTGTGTGACCTTCTGAAGCTTAAGCTTAATCAACACGAGGCCAGGGCAAATTACGGGTGACTGTCGATACCAGGTGGGCCCCGGTGCCGCTAGAACCGTTTTTGAGTTTTAAGTCTTGGGCTTTATTTTAATTTTATGTATCACTGTTCCTTGGCCTGTGGGCCTTTCTTATTTCACCGGCTGAGATGTTTTCCTTCTTACGTAGTACTCCGTACGGCGACTATTAAATATCTAGATGGACATATGAATCCATGGTAGGTTCTGGCTCATGGATTGACCCAGATCCATTCAGGATTGTACGTGTGTAAACTTAATATATATAGGTATATAATAAAATATTATTATTATTTTCTAACCAAGGCTTATTTTTATCATCTCGGCAATTTATCCGGTCACTTCTCCTGCCCCATACTGGTTATCGATCTCCATCCTTAGACCCCCCTTTTCATCCTGGTTGAATTTTAGTAATATAAATGCAAACAGGAAGAGCATCATGCAAGTCCTGCCTATAAAAGGCACCAGTGATTGTTGCTAAGCACCCTGTGCCGCCCGTGGAGGTTCTTGGCAGAGTTAGAATAATGAATGAATCTGGCTGTATGCAAATCGGTGGGAACCGATTTATGCATAATTGACTTATTCATCGTCTGGCAACCTTCCGCAGGCTTCCATATTGCATCGTATACGCCCACCGATGATACAGCCTACGTACTCAGTAAATCCACATGAGAATAACGAATTATATTATTTTTTATTTTAATTATTATTTATTATTTTTTTTTTAAAAAAAATTCTTGTTCGTATCAGTACACCAACACCGGACTAGCGTCTTATCCACAAAATTAGTGCATAGAGTTTTCCCGCCGGGATAGCTTAAGGATAAGCATATATGCGAGGGTATGATATCACTAGTTTTACAGCCATGACCCAGTCCCACTCCAGCCACAATCCTGCAGGTGATTTAGCATAGTAATAATAATAAGAAGAAAATAATAACGAGGCCGATGAGCCTTGCGTTTTGACTTTAGGCAACACCATTGTTTGTTCTTCTTTTTGTTTTGTTTATTTGTTTTTTCTAAGGAAAGATAACAAAAATTCTCCTATTTTTAATATATATTTATGCTGATCCTGTTTCAACTCCTTTTGGGGAAGGTCTATCGGTCATATGATGACATGACTCGGAGGACGGGCTTAAGCGGTACTCCGTGCGAGTAAAGTAAATAATAATACCTAATCCATTAATAATAAATGTACTCCGTAACAAGGTTCGGTTCGAGAGGTCTCTTACCAGCAAAACTGACACCGGAAAGGCAATTTTAGGGCCTTTTTTTTGTACAGTGACCGTAATCCGTAACGATTGGCCTGGGTGTCGGAGGTAACGACATCCTCTAATCCGAGTTGCCCAGTTTGGGAATAAACGGAGCCCGAAGTGCCGGGGTTCCGGTTCTTATATTTTTTGGTTCTTTTCGTGTGTGTTTTTTTTTTTTTTTTTAAGTTTATGTTTTATGTTTTCGTGTAGTGTACCCCGTAAGCTGACTGCACTCGCTGTATTTCTGTCCTCAGGTCAAATGGTGCGGGATATTAGAGAACTACGGCGTATCGAATAATAATACTCCGGTCTCATTATGTTCATTACTGGTGTATACTTGTTACTACCAAGTACAGTAGTACGGAGAACTCTCCTAATTAGAGTTGAGATAGCCGACGCCACCACCTTCCCGTCAATGCCTGTCAGCCTGATAGTACGGATTTAGCAGTGAAACAAAAACCAGGTTCGTCATGGAGGATCGTCTTGGCCCATTCTTAACCTGACTTGTGTTCTCGCGCATCATACCCGAATCGTCGACTGTCGCTTTGATCCCCCCTTTGTCTATTATTAGCTGAGTCTGACCAGGCCTAAACGCCTGAACTAATGGCCTTAGCTGTACTATGGATAGTACAGTAGAGATTCTTGTAATGATAATAATAATAATGCCTGTTCAGCGCTTACTGCTCTCGCAACTGATACGAATCACGGCTGTTCGAGCCTAATCAGGAAGGTAGGTAAGTACACCTAAGTACGAGGTAGGTACTAATCAGACGGCACAACTTATCCGGCGCAAAAAAGTCCGAGATGCAAAAGCTTGGCTGTGCCTCCAGGATTCGGCAAATTGTGTGATTATGGGCGCTCGTTGATGACGTTTCTTTTTTTTTATTTTTTCGAATATTCATTATTAACCTGGCTAAGCCTTGGCTGTAAGCCTCGTTGGCGTACGGGTTATTTCAGATATCTAAGTAGGTGTATATCTATCTAAGAGCACGCGTTCATATCTTCATGTTTATATACATTATAATTTGATATAAGGAAAATCATCATCTCATCCCTCATCGCTTGGGCCTGTCCTATTCATACAAGAAAAGAGAAAACCCGAAAAAAAGCGGCCCGCCGTATCCGCTCCATCCGGCTCAGTGGTATATCCGTATATCCCATCATCACCAGCAGAAAGTAGAAGGTACGGAGTAACTCTGGGTGACGACGGGAAATGCCACAATTGTGCGTGGTATTTGGCTTAAAATTTGTGGCCTTTTCGCTCTGATGTTGCAGCCGAACTTGGCTATACTGAGTTTGTCCATAAAGAGAAATATAAAATGGCTATTGTTAGAGATATGAGACCCCTTAAATTTATCTAGGATCCTTGGTCAGTCTCCCAAATTTGTTGCATCAAATAGAAATCCTTTAGCCCCAGAATGTAATGTAGAGAAATTAAGAGCAAATGCAAAGGCCCAGAACCTACTTTTATTACTTGCGCCATTTGCAATCTTCACCATGAGAATATGTGTTACAAGAAGATTGGGAATATAGGCCACATATTTTGCATTCACGTGTAGCGTAGCAATCTCTGCAGCAGACCTTACTACCTATGTATCTAATCCACCAGTTCCAGGAGAGTTAGGAGATGTACAGTATAACACAGAGCTGCTTGTAAACCTGTTAACCAGCATGGTCTCCACGCTACCGCTTTCGTGTCCAGGTTGACGCGGACTCATTGCGGTCAGTCGTCCACGATGCCCCTGCACCGCCAGAATTCGACGCTACGGGCAAGGGATGGATGAAGCTGATTGGCAAGTCATGGTACCTTGGGAGAGGCGCACTCACCACTCGAGGCGATTGAAGGCGTTACGGAGGACGTCCGTTGGATGAAGGGATATACATGTTATGACTTCCTGCATAAAAGGAATTGGAAATAACCCAAAGACTTTTGTTTCTGGCTTTTATTGACGTTGTAAATGCCTACCGAATAGTTTGGTGAAAAGTGTGCATGTGCCGTCAGCCCTATCGATTTGTGGATGCCAATACTATCGCCATGTTTGCCCTATGGCATCGAGGAGGAAGGTCACTTAATGGCTTCTCATGTGATTCGAGACTCGAAACTTCACTGAATTGCCTGAACAAAGGCTTTGAGATAGGTTTCTGGAGGGGAGCGCAGGGCGAAGTGGACGAGGCGCAAGACACAACTAACTATACTACAACAGCCGGCAGGAACCCGCCATTCCCGAATAGGAAGGCTATACCGGATGCGGTAATTCACCGTCACCGCACAGTACATCGTATATCTCCAGCGGAAGACCAAAAACCCGAACCCTCCGAAACAGATACAAAGTGGGGGCCTCGAAAGTTCGAAACTTTTTTTTTCAGTAACGGAGACGAGGCAATTGGGTCGATCAATAGGAATCTTTTATTTCAATTTATTAATTTTTTTTGTTGGGAATTATTTTTTCTTCTTATGACCATTCGCTTAACTTAAGCTTTTGCCATTCAGCCACAGGGAATTTCACCGTAAATAGTAAATTGTTCTACAATAGATCAAGTACTTCGTATTAACGGCTATTATTCGGTAGATTTCTATTATAATTAATAATACAATAGTTAATAACGTAATCGGTAAGCGAACCGGCCACGTAAACGAACCGGCCACATCTCCCAAAAATAACTCTATATATTGATTTCAAATCCCAATTTCAAATCCACATACAAAATGTATACAAAAATCTAACTAGCATTACGATTAGGACATCTGTTAATTCGATGCCCAATAACTCCACAACCACTACACTGAAATTGGCGTCGTACAATTGTTTGAGAGGCTGGGAGCTCCGGCTCGGCCGGAGCAGTAGTAACAGCTTGAGATGCTTCAACCTGACCTTGTACGAGTGCTTGAGCTTCTTCTCTAGTAATCCCTTGCTCAGTAGATATCTGTTTCTTAGATCTTTGGCGTTTTTGCTTCTCTTTTTCATTCGCAGCTCGAAAATCATGGCTTTCTTTCCGTACGAGTAACAGATCATTCATTGTGATTTCATAGGCTTTTGACATCCGCGTAATTACTTGATCAATCACTTGATTTGGATTTCCTGTACATTCACTTATACGTCTCTTTAATGTAGTTGACTGGCGTAGGAATTGACGTATATTTTGAGGTGTCTGTAAACAGGATGATTGTGTATTGCTGGATTGACTTGGAGGGGGGGTTGGCGTTTTCAATTGAATATTAAGTTGTTGAATAACTCGATCCGGATTGAAAGGCACTAATCCAGTGGCTGTGAAGCTATTCCGGATAGTTTGAGCTTTATAGGCCATCGTACGAGCCTGTGGAAATGCTGTTAAAAAGTCAATTTTGTCAATATGGTTGAAGCCAAGCCTCATTCGCTGCTCAACAAGCTGCCCATAATGCCGTTTTAAAACAGCAAAACAGCCAACATCAAGAGGCTGTACGAGATGTGAAGAATGAGCTGGCATACAGACTGGAATAATACTATTCTCAGTACATGTACGGTCAAATTCTGGTGTTAAATGGCTTCCATGGCCATCAAGAATCAACATAGCATATGTTCCCAATGTATGAGCACGAACAAGAGGAATAAAATGGGTTTTAAGCCATTCTAATCCTATTTGATCTGTAGTCCAGCCATTTTCACTAATATTGATTCTCCAATCATCTGGGAGCTCATCAAACCAGCCTAATCGTACATTTTTTTTTGGCTTTGAAGATAATGTACGAAGGCAGGGCCCATCCAGTTGAATTTGTTGCTTCAATTGCAGTCACCCATTCTCGATTTCCAGGTTGTAAAAGCTTTGGCTGAGCGTATCAATCGCTTCCAGTAATAACCTTTGCAGTTGCGCAGAGTCCCATAGCAAAGCCAGTCTCATCAAAATTGTAGATATCTTCTGGTAGGATTCCGTACGTAGATATAGTAGTTTGTACGCGGTCAAAATATTCTTGAATAATCTTCGGATCTTCACATTTCGCACGTTCATAATTGTATCTTCATGAGAACTTCGAACTGATCTCTGGGCGACGTTTAACAAGATTATATACCCATTTTTCTCCAACCCGTTGATCTCCAGATTGTGAGAGAAGATAATTGGCCATTTCTCGTACGAGAGAGTGCCGGGGGGTAATCCACGTCGATCTAAATCGAGCACCCATTTGACAAGCGATTCCTCCTCAAATTGAGCTAATTTATGGTTGTTGGCGCGTATTAGCTGTCGATATTGTCTTCCCTTTAATCGATCCTGAAGAGTTGTACGAGGGATTGTATAGATTCGTGCAGCTTCACGAATACTGCGAATTTTTCCATTTTTCAAGTCGGAAATAGCTAATTCAATCTTTCCCTCTATTTGGGCTATTTGTAATGGATCTTTTTTGCGAATTTGTGGCATTTTGACGCGTTGAAATATAGTAAATCAATATATAGAGTTATTTTTGGGAGATGTGGCCGGTTCGTTTACGTGGCCGGTTCGCTTACCGATTACGTTAGTTAACTACGGAGTATGTATACATAATCCTGCTCTGTCAGTGCGTGTTCTGGTCGGCGTCACGTCACTAATGCATTGTACGTAGGGCTAGATGAGACTAGTCGAATCTCTGAGGTTATGTTGCAGTTGCAATTTCATCTCAGCTGCACCGTGCTATCAGATATTAGATAATAATGGGGGGGGCCTTTGGGGCATTTCGATCGTTGCATTTTACATTGTATATTATTGTCTGTTGGCTTGGCTAGCACGGTAATGACATAACCTTGTCCCGTAGGGCTATTAACTAATCGGTCTTTCAATCAGGCCAGCTGGCACTACGGACCTCCGGAGAACGCCTAGCCTAAGCCGTACAGCAGGAAATATACCGAGGCTGAATGCTACACGAACACCGACAAAACAATATCGATTACTTAGACCCCTTCCCATCTTTAAGCAAACTCCGAAGAATGTCCGTTTCACCCTCCAACTTGGAAACACGCAGCATCAACTCATCCCGTTCACGCTTCACCTTTTCTAGTTCAGCCTCCAGGTTCTTGACCTGATCGACACGCCTTTGTCGGTACCTGCGAGCAGCGAGTGTGTTGAGTCGACGCTTTGTCACGCGACTAGTGGACTCCTTCGACTGCTGTTCACCAGGCGTATCTTTCGCGGATTCCTCACTAGAAACAGTTTCAGAATGGGGTGAAGTCTGCGCTATCATTGATTCGCTTGGAATCCCTGATTGATGTCCTGTATTCATGCCAATAAGACTCAATTAATCCTTTTATTCAACGGAGAAAAAGACGAACCTATGATACCAGTTGCTTCCAAGGCCGAATCCAAGTAATTCGGTTGCCCCACAGACTCAACGTACGTATCAGGAAAGCCTTCAATAAAGGTCGGGTCACAAGAAGAAAACGGAAACAAATAATCTGAATCGAGTAAACCGGAATGACCAGCTTCCGGTCCAGCAACGAAGTCGCTCTGAGAAACGTTCACAAAGGGAGAAGAAAAGGGCGCAATGAATGACGATGATGACGGCGTAAATGTATTATTATGATGATCAAAATATGGCGACGGAACAGAAACAGGATAATAATCGTCGAAATCACCGCCGGGGAGCGAACTAATATGCCCCGTAGAAGAATCACGGTGGTTCGACCGATGGGATCTGACGACAGGCGTTGGCTGCGTTGGCGGTAGCTGCGACCATGGCTGTATAACGTAGGCCGGGCCTCAAGTGACCCGGTGAGAGATCAGGGGAGATATATGAGTGGTTTCTTTTTCCAGCGAGATTGACGCTGAAGAGAGTGTGATAAGGAGGAGAGGAGGAAAAGGGAGGGGATGATATAGAAACTTGGAGGCGGGGGGAAGACCATGGTCACGTATCCGTCTTAACCTGGAACGGTCTAGTCAGGTTGCTTAGCCGCAATGTAGTAATTTTCACTTCCTGTCCGTTTATTTCACATGCAAGTCAGCAACAGAACCCATACTCTATCTGTATAGTGTATACAGCGCTGTACACTGTAAAGGCAGACATGGAGTGATCGAAATCAGATGATGTCGGCCCAGTTCCCTTTAGAGATTCTTCCTATACATTTCTCCAAAGCGCCTCTTCTATGCCTCGTAACATAGTAGCATATCGGCATTGGGTTGGATTGTCTTCATACACTTTACATAGGGGTGATACTGAAAAAGGGACATACGTACCATACCAAGACTTCGACATCATACCCATTTCCCATCATTGTGAATATTTCCGAGACTCTCAAGCTCCATTGAAGAGCCACAACCTGCAGCTAAAGTATTCAGTACACTTATATCCTATTCCCTTCATCCCTAACTATTCGCATCTACAATATTCTTGCTCAGAGTAAGTCACTTTGCATGTATTATGAGTCGAGATGAGCGACTGTCTAGTATATGTCGTACTACTACTGGGCAAGCTCCCGTAGTATCTGTCATGAGGGCTAGAATGGTCATGTGTGGTACACTATCTATAAATGGCAGGTGGAGGAGCATGAGTCATTTCGACTCATGCAGTATTCGACAGCTGATTAGTGAAAAGGCAATTAAACTGTAGCCCACTTGCCGCTTGGGTGATCTAAAACATAAGCGTTTTTATTGAAAATTACCAACTGGTATTTTGCTGTCTGTGTTGGCTGTACTCCATAGCATCGCATTCGGAAGACAGGTCAGCCGACCTTGACTTCTTGTGGTATAGGTTGTCAAATATCAAAAACAAACTGTTGCCGCGGGTTATCAAGTTGTACATAGTATATATTTCCCTTACAATATTCGTGCCACAGATCAATGCATGCTCAAATATCTCCAATATAATAGAGTAATAATACAATACTGTACAGTCATCATTGAGAAGGTCAACTTCATAGAGTAAATCCTCAGCAGTCAGCCCGGCCAAAGTACCGCGGGAAAGCTACCACGTCCCGCACACTCGACACACCTGCCAGATAGCCCAGCAATCTGTCAAATCCTACACCGAATCCTCCATGTGGAGCTGTGCCCCAGCGCCGCAGATCGGCGTACCATCGGAGATGGCCAAGATCTTCGTTGGGGAGGAGACCTGGGTACAGCGGCTCTGATTCAGGATTGGAAAGAATCTCTTCGGGAGGTGCCGATGTTGAAGACTCCGACGACTCGGTAGAGGACGACAACGGACGTTCTTTAACCAGCCCGTTCTCACGCATATTGTTGATTAAATGCTCCAAGCGATGCTCGCGAAGCGATCCTCCGGCTACCTCGCTGACATCGGGTAGGAGGAGGTCAAAGCACGCAACCGTCTCCCCCTCTGTAGTTGGCATATGCGATGGGACCATGTAGAATGGTTTGACCTGCTTAGGATAGTCCGTAACAAAGACAGGTTTGTTCTTGCATAGCACTTCCACAATATACTTCTCGTGTTCTAGCTGCAGACCACCTGACCATGTTGGCGGGTGCTCAAACTTTGCACCATCATGTGCAACCGCGTTCTGTAGCATCTTGATCGCTTGTGTATAAGTGATGCGCTGCCAGTTGGGACCATCCATCAGGTCAAGCCATCTCTGCCGTAGATCTGGTAAACTTGCGTTCGGGCTGTCCTCCTGACCAGACTCGCCTGATCTCTTTGCAGTCAATATCTCCTGGCCAACAGGGGTATCGTATAATCGACGAACGAGATCACGCAGTAGGTATTCGACAAGATTAGTGAGATCGTCAAGTGTATACATGAAATTAACCTCAGCCTCCAGCATGTAGAATTCGCTGAGATGACGAGGCGTGTCGCTTTTCTCCGCCCTGAACACGGGCGTAAGAGTCCAAACACTACCCAGCTCCGCAGCGTACGCTTCAAGATGCAATTGCGACGATACAGTAAGATATTTTGGAGCTCGGAAGAAATGCTCCCCTTCAGCAGCGCTGGCAGACCCCATCGACTCACGCGGTACCACAGTAAAAGTCTCGCCAGCGCCCTCGCAATCAGAGGATGTGAGCAGTGGTGGTTGAACTTGGGTGAAAGGGCCACTGGGATGAAAGCGAAACACATTTCCCAACTGGTATAGGCATTCTGATCTGAAGCGCGACAGGAGGGAATGGAAAGGCGTTCGAAGGCGGAGGTGAGGAATTTGTCGAAGGAAATCGGGACTGTGGTATTTCTTTTGGATGGGATATGTCTGTGGCGCAATTATTGTCAATTGAACCGTCGTCTTCCATCAGGCTATTTCACTAGACGACGCACCTGGGGATCTGCCGCGCCAACAATGCTCACGTCCGTCGCCTGGAGTTCATGAGTCTGCTCTTTGCCTGGTGGGCAGGCTTTCCATACTCCGCGCACTTCAACGGCCGTTCCGGTAGATAGCCTAGAAGATAATAACCGGTCAGGACTATTCGAACCAAAAATGTACAGCCAACCGCCAAATTGGAGAAATAACATACTCAGCCGCCTGTGACGGGGTCAAAATAGCTTGCAATGGCACTACCGTTGATCCGTCTGATATCTCTGCAAACGCAAACCGCTTATGTTTTCTAACAGACCGAATGAACCCCTGAAGCTTAAGCTCCTGCTCCTCGAGACTGCTGCCGCCGTCTTTCCGGGTGGCTTGGAGGACCTGTGAACATCGGAGGATTCTGGGCTGTGTGACGACGGTGGGTTTAACACCAAGTCTTGCAGCGGACGTGACGAAGCCCCGCCGCCATACCTGCATCGCTTCTCGAAAGAATTGAAACCAAAGGGGATGTTGTTGCTGGGTGGTATTATGCTGCTGGATTTCCCGGACTATCGCCGCGAGCGGAAGAACATCCGGGAAATCTGCGCTAAGCCTAAAAAGGAAGACAGTACAGCATGAGTCTTATGGATGTGCAATGAGATAAGAGCTACAGTGCGACCAATTCAACATGAAGAACATAATATTCACCAAACTCCATGAGATACACGCTGCAATAAACTACTAGACGTGCTACCAGACACTTCCCATTCCATTCTGAATTGTAAGAGGGGAGAAGTAGAGGTTCAACAGGGAGGACAACATTCGATGAAATTCCAGAGCAGGAAAGAAATATGATTGAACTGAAACGTAGAGAAGATACGCAACACTCATACTCAGCTGTCACCTATTCCCTCTGCTCATATGCTTTCCTTTCTTCTTCGATCATGTCAATAGCATCTAACACCTTACCGTTCGCTGCAGCAGCGTACACAGCTATCCTCTGGCGTCCGCCATCCTGTGGACTTCCATATCCCAGCGATAGGAGGGTAGCTACACAGTTGTTAATGATAGCTTGCTGCTTTGGGTCCGCATGAATGGTGTCATTCGAATCAACCGAAGGAGCGTTTCTAACAGGCAGTTCCACTGATGGACTTTGCTGGTCAGTAGAAAAGGATCTCGGTTGTTCCCCCGTACTATTTACATCCTCGCTTCCAGTTCCACAGTGGCGGAATCCTCGCAAGCCGTTGTAGGCAGCAGAACGAAGGGCGTGACGTTCGGTCGCCCGCCGTCTCAGTGTTCGGTATGCAGTTTGGGAATCGCTAGGAGAAAACGGGTCAAAGGGAGCAGACAGTCTGGCCGATGGATTCGTGTGTATCGTGGTATTTGAGCGGCGAAGATGGGTTCCAATAGGCCGTTGATTGCGTGGCAACTCCTGTTCGAAGACTCGGCGATTTTCAGCAAAAGACGTTGGACGTTCACCACGAACACTGTGTTCCTCCTGAGATGTGCTCGATTTACGTGCTTCAGTGGAGTCTGTCTTCGATGTCGGCTGTGGTCTGTGACTTGATGCATTGGAAGATGTGGCGCGAGAAGCTTCGCGCTGGTTAGCCAAAAGGCGTGCCTCAAATTGAGAGACTGGAGGGAATCGTTTCATTTCCAGCTCCGGGCTTAGATGTGGAAGACGATCGGGGACACCGGTCTTTCGCGGCTTTTTGCCTGCTTTGGGCACAAGGGAAGGGTATCGCGCAGAGAACTCGGGATCTTCGTCCCCTTCATCTAAGATCGTAGGAGATTTGCTTTGACTTGAAGACGAGGGGTCGACAGCGTCCGAAGTAGAACCACTTTCCTGGGCCAAATCCATGTCCCCCTTTGAAGATGACTCTCCATTGAATATCGCTTTCAAATCCCGAGGCTTTTGCATGGTACCATGAATGTCTGTAAACTGCTGGCGCCATACTAGTTTGGGTTCTTGGGAATTGACAGCTGGGTCTCGTCGGTTCGATGGTGTCTGCCTATTCGGAGTGGGGGATTTTGCATCGTCTGTAGCATCTTGCGAGGTTGTTATTCTGCTGATAGGCGAACGGTCACTGAACTCAAGATTGATGGCGTGCCCATCAATATGAGCACCTTGAAAGGCTTCCAAGGCCGCCTTCGCGGCATAGACCGAAGCAAAATGCAAGTAGCCGAAACCAGCATGTTTTCCAGTTTCAAGATCTAACGGTAAATCCACATTGACAAGGAAGCCCTTTGAGGCAAAGACATCCCGAACCATCCGTTCAGTAACGTTGAAGCCAACATTGCCGATAAAAAGAGTTCTGTCAACAGGTTGGTCTAATTCCACAGCATCTTGGGGAGCCTGGTTGCCATTTGGTGTCTCACTGCCATTTTCCTTGGCATCGCGATATGCCGGGGTCGAGAAAGACCGGTAACTGCCAATGGGATGTCCCGCCTGGCAATGGTGCCCAGTTGCTATAGAGGGGGTTAGAGGATGGAAAGGGACTGGTTGAGGGAAATTATGGGGTTTCCAAAATGGTGGGGGTGTTGGAATTGGATTTGACCGGAAAGGATGCGATACTGGTGGATGAGGAGACAAATGAATAGGATTGTGATGGGCAGGATGACGATGCGGCGTAAAACGGCGGGACGCCTGTACAGGATAATGGCGACGCGCAGTAGAGTCAAAATGCTGTGTCTTCTCGTCCCGGTTTGAAGAGGGTCCAGCCGGTTTAGAAAAATCAACAGAGATACCCTCAGAAGGCTCGGTAGGTGAATTGTCAATTCTGTGATTTGGTGTCTCCTGCTCGTTCTCAGGCGAATCATTAGGGGGCCGGGAGGATTCCACGCCGGAAACCGTGCAGTCTGATGGATGTTCGTCGGCAGTACCAGATTCTTCCTCTTTCTCAGACGTAGATGCATTAAGAACGTCTTCCTTGTCATTCTGATCTCGATGAGCCGCTGTGCCGTGTCTAAATCCAGCACTAAATGCGTCAAACAGAGTTCGACCCATTTGACCGATTTCTGAAGCCATATTTCTCAAACCATCTACGGAGTCCTCCGCGGTAGGGTTGTCCCCTCTCGAGTCTCGCTCCGCTGCCCTTTGTCCCAGAGCCGCAGATGCGTTGTTGAGAGCGCTAGCGAAATTCTTCGCCTGAGATTCAAGGGCTGAGCAAGCAACCTGAAGACCTGTCCCAAGGTGTTCAGGGACCACTCGCTGAGCATCGTGCAGCCGCTGGTCAAATTCGGGCATCCTTGATCCCAGTTCAGAGTAAATTAATCCAGCTCCTTCCATCACACTTTGCAAAGTGTGCGCAAATATATCTGCTGGGTTTGGAGTCTTGTCGGAGTCTGTTGTTGTCCCAGACGCTACCCCAGAAGAGGACGACTCATCTGGTTGAACTGGCGTCTTTTCCTGTTGCTCCGAAGCTTCCATGATCTTTGCCATTTCGGCCTCGAACGCTTCAAGGAGCGACTGCGAGCCATCGGGTTGAGCATGGCCAGCAACGAGCCTTTCGGAATTAGATGAAGCCTCTTTCACTTCACCGTTGGATCCAGGATATATCACAGTTTCAGGCTGGTATTCGTATCTCTTCCAGAGTTCAGTCACGGAATTTGACCGACGGATGTCAAATATATGCATTGGGCGATTGTAATTATTCTGGTCCAGTTGCGATCTTAGATCTATAGGTTCTGAAAGCCGCTGCGAAAGCTCGATGGAAGATCCAACCTAGAGGAGGTCTGTTAGCGTTCACTAGGAAAGGAAAATACTAGGTTCTCATGGAGGACTCACGGTGATAACTTCACCATCATCTTCCTCGTCGATATAGGTCAGTAATGCACGGGGGTGATGTGAAGCTATATCATCGTAGTCAGATTCAGAGATTTGGACAACCGCATGGCGATTGCTCAAGTCCGATACATCGTGACGTTCTGCAGTGTCAACGATGTCCTGCGCTTGGTCGCCAGCAGAAGCATCACCTCCACGGCTGCTTCGTTGTTGCGATGGTCCATCGTGAAGATCCCTTATTCGGAACTGCTTTAATGAGCTCGATGACATGGTGCCCTAGACGAAATGAGAAAGGAGAGAGCTCCGATATATAGGCTGTCCGCCGAGGAGCAAGCAGGAAAAGTGACTAAACATTCAACAACTGCAGCAAGACGATCAAATAAGATCCGTATTAGAGAATGAGAGCATTGAAATAAGACAGATATATAGCTAATGCACAAGGACGATTATTAAGAAGTACAAGAGACAGTTCTGAGCGGCGGATTGAGCGGGCTCGACGTAATGCGGATGCCTACAAACTGAAGCTGATGAAATGATGAGAGAGGTCCCATCAGCTGCGCAGAAGAACAGGACCGAGGGATACCAACAAATCAGAGAAAAACAGTCTTCTGAAAACAACTATTAAATCATCCAACGTGGTACCAGACAGGAGTCCAGGCAACAGAATAAAAGCTGTAGAGAGATGCGATGGCGATGGAAATCAAGTGTCAGCGGCTCTCTGCACCCCGCGCTTCCATTGCCGACGGTCGCGCCCTGGAAAAATATTCCCCAGATTCTCGCGATGATTCTTCTGGTTACTATCAGCCTCCGCTCGTTTCTATCGTCTGTCGCTTAACCCTACGAGTCTGAAGTTCGCAAGGAATAGTGATATGCTGCTTCACTTGTCCTATTTCCCTAGCTGATGTGGTGAGTCCTCAAGGACCACCAGCCGTCCCTGCACAAAGCAGGCCTCGAATCATAGTAAGGCCGATGGCCTTTTCATTGGAACAACAAGCGCACGCCCCAGGGGGAAACTCTCATAAACACTGCCTTACCGATTGATCTCGAAAAAAAACATCTATTTCAATCGCAATGGCGCCCGGGAAACCCCCTACTCACTCGAAATCTCCGACCGGCAGCAACGTGAAGAATGTTGTTCTAGGCGATTTACTCTTCAAAACGTGGTACCAGTCTATTTATCCGGAAGATCTCGTGGCGAAAGACACGGATCGTCTTTACGTCTGTCGCTGGTGCTTTCGGTATTCATGCGATGTGGATGCCTACGTGAAGCATACGCGTGTTTGCGACAACAAAGCCTCACCTCCTGGTACCAAGGTCTACGAACATAGCGGATACTCAATCTGGGAGGTGGATGGCGAGGAACATAAGCTCTTTGCGCAGAACCTGTCTCTCTTCGCGAAACTTTTCCTCGACCATAAGTCCGTCTTCTTCGATGTTGCCTCCTTCCTCTTCTACCTCCTGACGTTTAGCGACCCGAATGACACTCAGAACCAGGACTGTCGCATTCTGGGATATTTCTCGAAAGAGAAGATGTCCTGGGATGCTAATAATCTGGCCTGCATTCTTATATTTCCTCCCTACCAGCATAAACAATTGGGGAAATTGCTGATGGGGGTAAGTTACAAGCTAAGCGGATGGGAAGGGGACGGGGGATTGATCGGCAGCCCGGAAAGACCGCTGAGCGAAATGGGCTGGAGAAGCTATTCTCGATTCTGGGAAGAGCGTGTGGCAAGATATCTATTGTTAGGCTCGCAAAGGCAGGATTCAGAAGAGACGCAGCTACAGCAACAAGACATTACATCCCACACAACCACCACTCCCGAAGGCTCCAAAAGAAGGCATAGCACTGAGAGTATGACGGTTCGAGAAATGGGACTGGCGGTGGGGATGCTGGCGGAAGATATAATCACTGCTTTGAAGAGCATGGGGGTTGTCGAGCCGGAGAAGTCGCAAAAAAAGCGGAAAGCTCACCAACCGCATTCTCCAGATACCAATACTGGGGCTGACCATGGAGTCCAGACCGTGAAAATGCGCAAGTCAACTGTGTTGGAATGGGCTAAGGCCCACCGCGTTGCTCTGCAAGACCCTGTGAGAGAAGATGGTTTTCTGGGCAAGTGGGCTCCAAAAAGTCCGCATGAAGGTCCATGATTTGACATCTGGGGCTAATTTCGTGGAATTGACTTGAAAAGTCTGAAATTTTTGAAGCCTTTGTTGTATCATGGAGTTCTGGCCGTTACATTCCCCTCCGGTAGAGCAGATTCAAGGGGCAGGACCTCAAAGGGGTCGAAAGGATTCATTTTGTTAATACAGGAAGGCAAAACCCAGTCCTTACATATTATCTAGATGCCTATTGAAAATTATTACATGTGCAAGATTATTTCGGTTTCCATGAAGTGGTTGTTCCCTTGTTTTAGTCCCTCAGCCTTTCAACCCTTTCAGCCTTCCGGTTGGAAATCTATGAAACACCTACTTCGAACTTAGAAGCGCAGTACGGAGCGGCTTATGGCAGTTGAATTGCTTCTACTCAGTACAACACTACTATATTCATAGGATAGCAAAAACGTTATCTAGATTAGATGTTAAAAAGTGATATTCTTTTATATTCCATGAGACACCATGCGGGAGGCAATCGTTACCGAACACATTTGAAACACGGTTTTTTAAACGAACTCCATATTCCCACGACTAGTAGAATGTTCAATTACTGTTCCATACCGCCAGGTCCACCCTGTCTACCCATTTGCCTGGCCTTCAGTAACTCATCACACAGGAGCAGGTTCGACGAGATCCCGCTGCTGGAAGCGATGCAATTCCGTAGGACGCGGAAGGAATCGAAGACACCTTCCTGGACAGGGTCCATGGGTTCTCCTGTCGCCAAGTCCAAACCGACGACGTTTCCTTGCGAACGCTCATACTCCAGAGCAGCAAGGGAATCCTGAATGTCGTGGCCTGAGTTGGCAGCGAGAGTCTTCGGGATGACAAGGAGTGCTTCAGCGAAAGCTTTAACACCCCATTTAGCTTTTCCCTTGACTGTCTTGGAGACTTTCGACTCAAGATAATCAGCGCAGCTAACTTGGAATGCTCCAGCGCCAGGCACGACACAGCTGTCGACAATGGTATTGTACACGGAACGCAGACCGTCGCGGACTGCATCTTTGACTTGAGTGATTGTGTGTCCGTTAGGTCCCTTGATCAGGATTGTGACAGACTTGGGATCCTTGACTTCCTCGACAAATGTGTACTTCTCCTCACCGAGTTGATGTTCGTATACAAGACCAGCCCACCCAAGAACATCGGGTGTGAGATCGTCCACGCTGTTCTGGGCAACACCACCGCAAACTAACTGCAAACGTTCCATGTTCCTACGCTTGGCCCTCCGGAGAGCAAATATGCCGTTCTTAACGAGAACGTCCAAGCTTAGAGGATCAATACCCTTCTGGTTAATGACAACGAAACCTTTCTTTGGGTCGTCCCCGCAGACTTGCTTCTTGAGCTCCACAATCTTCTGCAGCTTAGAATCCACAAATCTGCGCTCGCTCTCAACTAGCTTATCCCTCTGCTCGGCGCTGGAATAATAGAACCCTGAGTTGATCTCCGACTTTTCGTATTCGAGGCTGACATTCAACGTCAGAATGAAAGCATTTTCAACTCGCTTTGGCATGTCGGGATGTCTAGCTCCATGATCCAGGGCAAGGCCACGGATGAGCTGTGTATCAGATGCTGCTCGGTGTTGCATCGTCATGATCTCAATCATGTGCAGATCAGGCTTAGTGGGAGGTCTGTGGATAGCAAGGACGGCATCGACAATGTCGGGGGTGAGTTTCTCCGCGAGAGCACTATTCAGCTTTGTAGACAGAGAGGTACGAGCGACAGAAAGCAACAACTCGCGGTCAATCTTGCGTGTGATCTTGAACTGGTCAAGGAACTGTAGAGAAAGGAATTTTAGCCCCGCACTTCTGCAACTCTCACGGATGGAACAGGAAAAAACTGAATATGAACCTTCAGTGCTTCATTCTTTGCAATTTCGTAGCCGTCTGTTATGACTCGGGGGTGCAGCCCCTCAGAAATATATCGGTCTGCCTGCTTCAACAACTCTCCGACGAGCAGAACGACTGACGTTGTTCCATCACCAGTAATATCATCTTGCGCAGTTGCAGCGCGCGCGATCATGACCTTTCCAAATAATTAGCAACTGGTCAACGTCTTCGTAGGGAGGTTGGCTTACGGCCGTTGGATTTTGAATTTGCTATAAAAATTAGCCCTTGACCGAATAGTTTCCCGTGGAGGATATACTAACCATTTCTCGCAACAGCACGTTTCCATCCTTAGTCAATTTGATCTATTGCAATCAACGTTAGAAAGGCAAAGATGTATATTGAACATTCAAAAGGGGAAGCTCATACTCCGCCTGCTCCATCGACCAACCTGAGTATTTATCCTGGTTAGTTCACAGTACGGTCATAGGAGTATCGCGTGGATACGTACATCTTCAGGGTGCCCGAAGGCCCCAGATTAGATTTCAACACATCCTGAAGGCCCTCTCCGGCGCTGATGTTCACCCTGAGAGCTTCTGCTCTCCGCTATAGAATTGTCAGTGTGCGTACAGGCGCCGAGGGGCTACCACAATGGCGGGGCATCATACCCTGGACTCAGCCTTTGGGTTGAGTAGCTGCGTCGCAGACATCTCTGCAAATCAAGCAAATAGAATTAGAAAATAAAAGAACCCGGAGACAACTGTGAAACTGATGGGCTTGCTGGCGAAACCTCATTTCGAAAAGAGATCCTGGAAGAAGCTAGTAGCGTCCCCGACGAAGGCGGTGAGCACTGGTTGTGGCAGAAAACGCACAAAATTGTTCTTGGCGCCGCAGAAAAAAAAGAGTTTCGATGTCGAGAACTCTTCACGTCTTCCTCCACCAGCCGTTGAACTTCACGCGAGTCGCGCAGTCGCACATCTCGCAGCTGGAATAGCGGGCTTTGTCGCTCGCATCTAAAATACTTCATTTCCGGTTGGAAGTTATTGGTGCCGCAGTCCTTTTTTTAATCATGGCCGACTTCCTCTTGTTCGAGAGCCCCGTTGGCTACTCGATCTTTAAAGTAGTTCACCAGCCAGATACCGCTGGGAATCGCCTGAAGGAAGTTCAGGATGGCGTCAATGATCTTGCAAAGTTCGGCAAGATGGTCGAACTCTCTAGTTTTCTGCCTTTCGAGTATGCTTTTTATGCCCCAGTGTGGTTGTTGCAGTTTGCTAATTGGATAACAACAGAAACAACAAGCAGGCTCTGAGCGAAATCAACGATGTCTCTGAAGGAGTTGCATCTGAGACTCTTATTTCTTTTCTCGATCTAAACCTTCCGAAGACTAGCAAGAAGAAGAAGAAGGTCGTCCTGGGAGTCAGCGACAAGGCCCTCGCCACAAGTATTAAGTCGGCCTTCTCTTTCGTGGACTGTGAAACTGGCGATACGAGTGAGGTTGTTCAAGATATGCTTCGTGGTGTCCGTCTCCATGCGACCAAACTGTTGAAACAACTCCGAGAGGGAGACATGGACACTGCCCAGCTCGGTCTTGGTCATGCCTATTCGCGAGCCAAGGTCAAGTTCTCTGTGCAACGTGACGACAACCATATCATTCAGGCTATTGCTATTCTCGACCAGCTTGATAAGGCTATTAATACGTTCTCAATGAGAGTCAGGGAATGGTACTCATGGCATTTCCCTGAGCTCATCAAGATTGTTTCGGATAATCAACGCTACGCCCAAGTGGCCCTGTTGGTCAAGGATAAGAAGAGCTTGACCGATGAGAGCCTACATGATCTTGCCGCACTCGTGGAAGATGATGAAGCTGTTGCCCAAAGTATCATTGATGCTGCTAAGCATAGTATGGGTCAAGACATTTCGGAGACCGACATGGAAAACGTCATCTCTTTCGCCCAGCGAGTAGTCAGCCTCTCCAAGTATCGCAAGTCTCTCCATTCATATTTAGTATCCAAGATGAGCGTTGTGGCACCTAACCTTGCCGCACTGATTGGCGAGATTGTTGGAGCTCGCCTCATTTCGCACGCCGGAAGCTTGACGAATCTCTCCAAATATCCTGCATCGACTGTTCAAATTTTGGGTGCTGAGAAGGCACTTTTCAGGGCTTTGAAGACCAAGGGGAATACCCCGAAATATGGACTTCTGTATCACTCTTCTTTCATTGGAAGGGCTGGTCCCAAGAACAAGGGCAGAATCTCACGGTTCCTAGCCAACAAGTGCTCTATCGCATCCAGGATTGATAACTTCTCTGAGACTCCGACAACGAAGTTCGGTGAAGTTTTGAAGCAGCAAGTTGAGGAGCGTCTGGAGTTTTATGCTTCGGGCGCAGCGCCTACTAAGAATGAAGTCGCCATGGTACGTCTAGATTAGCTTCGATGCGATATTATCCACATATTGAATAAATACTAATTGTTTGCAGAGAAATGCGATGGATTCTCTTCTCGCTGATTTGGATGTTGACGATGCTCAGAGCGATGTAGAGATGGAGGAGGCCGATGCCAGCGAGGAGGAGACAAGCAAGAAGGAGAAGAAAGAGAAGAAGGACAAGAAGGAGAAAAAGGACAAGAAGGACAAGAAGGAGAAGAAGGAAAAGAAGGAGAAGGGCGACAAGGAAGAGAAAAAGAAGAAGAGAAAGTCAGATGTTGGCGAGGGTGAATCCGACAAGAAGAAGCGCAAGCGTGATGCTGATGCTGAGCCGTCCAAAAAGAAGGCAAAGGCCTAATTGCACCCGGTTTTTGGGACAGGTGGGAGTCTTTGTCGCGGCGTTGTTCGGTTGGTCTAGTTCGACATTCTGTTGCTTTTGCCTTCATGACTTGATGGGCTGGGTATTTGTAAATTATCCAATTGAAGTTTTCTATTTAGTTGTTTAAGATAATTTGGGTTCTTTCATTCCTTTGCCTTTTCCAACAACGGCAAGATTCCAGAAGTGATAAACATATATAGTCATTGCTAAAGATTGAGTATAAATTCAGATATTCCACAAGTTGGAAAAAGAAGTTTTTGCCCATGCATTTAAATATACACACATCAAGCTCATCCTGGCAATACCCTGTAAAGCGAGACTTGTCCCAATTAACTCCAAGACACCGCATGAAAAGCCACAAAATGCTACCAGAACTTATAGTTTGACGGGTTGGTCCAGCTTTTACGCTTCTTCTCTTCCTCCGCACGCATGGCCGCGACCTCCTCGCCCTTCTGTTCCTTCTCCCGCTGTCTCTTGAGATGAATTTCCCGCATCATTTCGACGGCTTGTTTCATTCCATCCAGCTCCTCACGGCGGCGTCGTTGGCAAAGTTCGAATGAAATAATGCAAGTGGCCGCAAATGAGTAGACTGCCCAGCTGCATGCAGGCCATACCGCGCGCAGACCTGCGGGAATAACAATCAGCGTATGAGTTCTCCCAGATCAAGGATTCCCAGAATTATGGATGATGGGGGAATAATATACCTCCGATAACAGCGCGCACTCCGCCAATTCCAAATCCAGCCCCCATTCCTAGCATTAATGAATCCCGCGCGCAGGGCGCTTTGTAGAACGACTTGATATCGCTAATCCCATTCCCAGACTTTACGATTTCCTTTATCGACAAATCGTGTTGCTTATTCAGTTCCGCCGAGTTGTTATACTTCGCTTGCGGTAGGATATTCGCTGGTTCTTCTGGGCTCCCGAATGCATCCCATAATTTTCCAACTTGTGACTTGGGGAATTCATGTTTGGGCTTCTTCCGTTGCGGCGTGGAATCTTCTTGCTGTCCACTAGGTTGCTCAATTGGTTTCATCTCCGGCCTATCTGGCTCTCGTGAGTCTTCTGTCATTATGGTATATATGTGTGTGCGCAACAGAGAGCGAAGAAGGGCAGCGTCCGAATTGAATTTCTGAAGCTCGGCTCCATCGGTCTTGATACTTCCCGAATCGGCAGAGCTAGGGAGGAAAATCTATATTCCTGACAGAAGGTACTAGTACCGATTAGTATAGTTTATCCAATTTCCAAAAACGGTTAAATCGATCTACGCGCATTTCGTTCCGCATACGCGAACGCGTCGTGCAGAATCCTAGATGCTCCATATGCTACCAATTGAACCCACTTTGCACCTCTTAGCTGTTCTTTCATTCATAGATTTTTAGGCGATAAGCATGCTTCACATTTGCCCCAAATATCGAGGCTAAACGCTCTGTGTTTCACGAGTCCCTCTTCTTTCGCGCTCTCTTGGTCGTTCCCTGGCCTGCGCAACAATGCCTTCACGAAAACCCAGCAAGTATGGGAACAAATTCAGATCAAGCACTGCGAAATTTCAGGCAAAGCGGACAAAAGCGGTTGAATTTTCCTCACTCCGTTCGACGGAAGCTACCTCCCAAGATGAGAAATTCGAAGCAATCCGACTCGCAGACGGCATCGATGAAAGCCTGGGCTTTCCACGGTTTGACTCCGGCGAGAAACGGGTCGGCTGGCTTATAAATATGCACAGCACGTCGATTAAGGATCCGAATATTCCAGGAGGTCGTGCGGGTGTGGATTATTATTTTCTGGAAGATGATGGAGGGAGTTTCAAGGCCACTGTCGAGTACGACCCTTATTTTCTCATCGCCGTTAAAATGGGTCATGAGGCAGAGGTCGAAGAGTGGTGCAGGAGGATGTTTGATGGATTGGTAAAGAATATCAGGCGCGTTGAGAAAGAGGATCTCCAGATGCCCAACCACCTGCTTGGATATCGAAGACAGTTCCTTGAACTGAGTTTTCCGAATGTAAGCACGTTGCTGGAAGTGCGCAAAACTATATTACCGCTTGCAGAAAAGAATAAAAAGAGTATGAGCGCCATGGATGCATATACTGAAATTGCCAGGTTTGACTTGACCATACCTTTTCACAGAAGAAAAATGCTGATCGTTTTGCGAAGTGCAAATGCTGGTTTCGATCTTTTTGATGACGAATTAATTTATGAGACACGACCTAATGGGAACTTGCATGCAAGTGATTTTATTATTGATATTCGAGAATACGATGTTCCTTACCACGTTAGAGTTGCAATTGACAAAGGTCTGTGTATCCATTCCTTACTGAGAGGCTTCTCTATCTCATAAGTCGCAGATATTCGTATAGGGAAATGGTACACTGTAGAAGCGAAGCACGGCGTTATTTCCTTGACATGCTTGGAAGAGCGACTTCAGCGAGCTGATCCCGTCATCCTCGCCTTCGATATTGAGACAACAAAGTTACCTCTTAAATTCCCAGATTCTGTGACTGACCAAATCATGATGATATCTTACATGATTGACGGTCAAGGGTTTTTAATCACAAACCGGGAAATAGTCTCTGAGGATATCGAAGATTTCGAGTACACACCAAAACCAGAATACAGTGGGCCGTTTGTGATCTTCAATGAGCCAGACGAAAGAAGCGTTCTTGAACGGTTCTTTGGCCATATTAAAGAAGCAAAACCAACGGTTATTGCCACATACAACGGTGACTTTTTCGATTGGCCATTTGTTGAAGCCAGAGCAAGTGTCTTGGGAATTGATATGTATACAGAAATTGGATTTCGGAAGAACAGCGAAGACATCTATCAAAGCGATCACTGTGTACACATGGACTGCTTTGCCTGGGTCAATCGTGACAGTTATCTCCCTCAAGGAAGTCGTGGTTTGAAAGCTGTCACAGTTGCGAAGCTTGGCTATGACCCCGATGAACTCGATCCTGAATTGATGACACCATATGCGAGCGAGCGTCCACAGACACTGGCTGAATATTCAGTTTCCGATGCTGTCGCTACATATTACCTATATATGAAATATGTGCACCCATTCATATTTTCGCTCTGCACAATTCTTCCCATAAACCCTGACGATACACTGCGTAAAGGAACGGGTACTCTGTGTGAGCTGTTGCTTATGGTGCAGGCCTATAAGCACGAAATTATACTACCGAACAAACACAAAGATCCTCCAGAGTCGTTCTACGAAGGCCATTTGCTTGAATCAGAGACCTATGTTGGTGGTCACGTCGAAAGTATAGAGGCCGGTGTATTTAGGAGCGACATTCCCTACACTTTTACTATTGATCCCACAGCTATTGACCAGCTTCTAAATGACCTTGATCATGCTTTGAAGTTCAGCATTGAAGTGGAAGAGAAAAAGTCTCTCGAAGATGTGGTAAACTACGACGAAGTAAGAGCCCAGATCGCAGAGCGATTGCTCGACTTGAAGAACAACCCACACAGAGACGAGGTGCCCTTCATATATCACTTGGATGTTGCTGCCATGTATCCCAACATTATGATTACAAATCGGCTGCAACCAGATTCGATGATTCAGGAATCCGACTGTGCTGCTTGCGACTTTAATCGTCCTGGTAAGAAGTGTGATAGACGATTGCCGTGGGCATGGCGAGGCGAGTTTCTTCCAGCCAAACGTGACGAATATAACATGATCCGGCATGCAGTTTCAAATGAGAAATTCCCTGGGAGAACCAGGAATGCTCCTATGAGGACATTTGAGGATTTGAGTATCGAGGAGCAAGCCTCTGCTGTGAAGAAGCGGCTTCAGGATTACAGCAAAAAGATTTACCATAAAATCCATGACAGCAAGACGATAGAGCGAGAGGCAATTATCTGTCAACGCGAAAACCCCTTCTACGTGGACACAGTCCGCAGCTTCCGAGACCGGAGATACGAATTCAAGGGAAAGCAGAAGGTGTGGAAGAACAAAACGGAGAGCCTTAAGTCTGGAGGTGCTTCTTCCTCAGAAATTGAGGAAGCGAAAAAGATGATCGTTCTCTTCGATTCCCTACAGCTTGCTCACAAGGTCATTTTGAACAGTTTCTATGGCTATGTGATGAGAAAGGGTTCTCGGTGGTATTCGATGGAGATGGCTGGAGTGACCTGTCTTACTGGTGCTCACATCATTCAGATGGCCCGGGAGCTCGTTGAACGGATCGGCCGACCTCTGGAGCTTGATACTGATGGTATTTGGTGTATGCTTCCCGGATCGTTTCCCGAGAACTTCTCGTTTACCCTGAAGAATGGCAAGAAATTGGGAGTCTCATACCCCTGTGTCATGTTGAACCATCTCGTTCATGGGAGATTCACGAACCACCAGTACCAAACACTCATCGATCCCGCGACATTCAAATACGAAACGCGCAGCGATAACTCTATTTTCTTTGAAGTCGATGGACCGTACAGGGCAATGATTTTACCTACTTCGAAGGAAGAAAACAAGAACCTGAAGAAGCGTTATGCCGTTTTCAACCATGACGGGTCTTTGGCGGAACTGAAAGGATTCGAAGTGAAACGGAGAGGAGAACTGAAGCTGATTAAAATCTTCCAAACGCAAATCTTTCGGTTCTTCTTGGAAGGGACCACACTTCCAGAGACGTACGCTGCCGTGGCCCGCGTGGCTGACAGGTGGTTAGACGTACTCTACGAGCACGGGTCGACGCTTGCAGATGAGGAACTCATCGACCTCATTTCTGAGAATAGGAGTATGACCAAGACTCTTGAAGAATACGGCAATCAGAAGTCTACATCTATCACGACCGCAAGGCGTCTGGCGGAGTTCTTGGGAGAGCAAATGGTCAAGGATAAAGGTCTCAACTGCAAATACATCATATCTGCAAAGCCACGAAATACACCTGTCACAGACCGCGCTATTCCCGTGACGATATTTTCAGCCGAGGAGCATGTCAAACGATTCTTCCTACGGAAATGGCTGAAGGATGATCCTGGTGACATGGACCCTCGGAGTGTAATCGACTGGGACTACTATTTGGAACGCTTGGGCTCCGTAGTGCAGAAGCTCATTACAATCCCAGCTGCTCTCCAGAAGATCCGCAATCCGGTTCCCAGGGTTTCGCATCCGGATTGGCTGCAGCGGCGAATCAACCTTAAGGATGACAAGTTTAAGCAGAAAAAGATGACTGATTTGTTTGAGAAAGGCGAGAAGGCCCCCCTATCTGATATATCGACAAATATCCTCGACCATCGTGTTCAACATTCAGGCGACCTGGAAGAAGTGACAGCGAGCTCGGGTGAGAAGCTGAAGTCGTCTCCCGATGGGGGAAAGGTCTCACAGAAAAGGAAGTACCCCGAGGGACTTTCTAAGACATCGCTCGATCCCTTCGCCAGTCTTCCTTCGACAATGCCTTTAATCACAGAGGATTATGTAGGATTCCTTAAATACCAGAAACAGAAATGGAAGATCCAGAAACAAGCTCGAATTCGCCGCCGTCAACTTTTCGGGGAGAGAACCAACGTCACTTCCGACAGCTTGAGCAATTTCTTCCGAAGTCAAGCTGAGCTGCTGTATGTTAAGACCTGGCAAATCCTGCAGCTCTGCGACACTGGCATGGCTGGCTTCGTTCGTGCCTTTGTTTTAATCGATCAGAAGGTCCACGCTCTCACTGTCAAGGTTCCACGGCAGCTCTTTGTTAACTTAAAGCGAGACTCACTGCCTGATGTCGACGTCCCGGACTGTGATGTAGAAAAAGTCAATTACACGTTGCCGAATGGACACCCGTCGGTTCACCTGTTCAAGATGACTTTGTCCGAGGAAACATACCTGAATCAAGCGGACAATATTGATCGTCTTCTGCAACATCCTAGCGTTGAGGGCGTCTATGAAAAGAACATTCCACTTAGTGAACGGGCTGTGTTGAAGCTGGGGAGTCTGTGCACCTTCGATGAAGAGCAATGCGGAGTCCTGGGAGAAGGGTTGGAGAAAGGATTTGACCTTTCCACGTTACTTCGTGCTTCATCCGATCAGAAATATCTGATGGACTCACCTTTGGCGTATTATTACCTGTATCATGTCGTCTCGGGCGACAGACAGGTATTTGCCATTTTCTCAACAACGAAGAACGAGGCACATATTGTGATTGCGAACCGCACGAGAGAAGTGCAGGGACTGCCCAACGTTGACAAGATCTATTCAGATCTTCTGGCACGGAAAATGAAAGCTACAGCTGGGGACCAGTCGCAGAATGCGTTCCAATACCAGGAGAAGATTCATTTTAAAACCATTCAGGTAACGACGAGAAGAAAGGCCTACCTGGAAGTTGGCGACCTGTTTAAGAAACTCCGAAGCGAGGAGAGCCAGCCAGTGGTGCTCGTTGTGCAATCCCAGCAGAAAAGCCGCCTATGCCACGATATCCCGATCTTGAAGGAGTACCCAATCCTGTCTGTTAAACCGGAAGTATCTGATATGGACCTTCCTCCGCTAGGTTGGCAGTCTTTCATTGCGAAACGGCTGGTCACTCACTATTTATATCTGGCCGCGTGGATCCAACACTTGACCCTGCTAGCAAGATACGGTGACGTGCCACTATGCAATCTTGACAGTGACGACCCCCGATATCTTATTGATATCTCCTACGCAAGACGACTACAGCAAAACAACGTTGTGCTGTGGTGGTCCTCCGGGCCATTGCCAGACCATGCAGGATATGAGAAAGATGACATTCAGGGTGCTACAGAGAGGGTAGATATGCCATCGATCAATACTCCAGGCGCATATTCGACCGTCTGTATTGAGTTGGACGTCCGCAACCTGGCGATCAACACCATTCTTACGTCATCCATCATCAATGAACTGGAAGGAAGTGATTCGTTCCTGGCATCTGGACCGTCAGCAGAGGGCGATGGATCCGGGGTGCTTTATTCGGAGAAGGCATTTGCCTCGGCAGGTGCACACGTTCTGCGCGAGATGGTAAAGCATTGGTGGACGGAAGCCTGTGAAGGGAACAGTATGGCAGACATCATGGTCCAGCACCTTATCCGATGGGTCGAGAGCCCTACCTCCTGCCTTTATGATCGATCACTGCATAACTATGTGCGTTTGATGTCGAAGAAGTCGTTCCAGCAGTTGATGGCTGAGTTCCGGCGCGTCGGTTCAAATGTCGTCTTCGCAAGTCCCACTCGTCTCCTGCTCCAGACGACGAAGACGGAAGTTGGCAATGCTTATGCATATAGTCAGTATATCCTTAAATCGATCCGGGGCAATCCCTCCTTCCATTTTATCGATCTCGAGATCAAGGAGTACTGGGATTACCTCGTATGGTACGATGAGTACAACTACGGGGGTAAGGGGTGTAGGGAAGTAATCGAGTCTGAGAATCAAGAGCTGGAGACAGTTATGCATTGGCAATTAAGCCGGTTCCTGCCGGGTCGTATGCAGACTATCTTCCATGACTGGGTTGTCGAGTACATCGAGCTGATGCATGGTCTCAAACGACCGGAGGTGGACGATTCATCCACCCCTCGACCGACACAGATCCCCATCGGACGCCCTGCTGACACAGACGGCGATGAGATCACGTCCATACTGACGGATCGGTTCTCAAAGCCACTGAAGAAGCAAATATTGGGTCTTATTCGCCGACAGCGCGACGAGCTCTTGCACCCGGAGCTGGCATCTGACTATGCTTTCCCGGAGCTCCCCGGTGTGCTGGTGGACCCGAATGACGACAAGCGCAATCCAACACTGGAACTTGTGAAGCTACTGATGCAGATTCTGAGTCTATCGAAGCTGACAACTCTCGAGACGCGGCTTCTCCGGCGCGAATTACTAGCGCTCTTCGAGGTCCGGGAGTTCAGCAAAGAAGGTCGATTCGAGAACCCGAGCGGGAGCCTGAAGCTTCCCGAACTGACATGCAGCAGCTGCTGTTTGATTCGGGACCTGGATCTCTGCAGGGATGAAGATGTCCTCCCAGACCTCGAGTCAGACGGCAACAAGACTGCGAAGCCCTGGCGTTGCTCCTTCTGCCATACCGAGTATGACCGGTTGGCGCAGGAAGAGATCCTGATCGGTCAGGTCCAAAGTCTAGTAGTCATGTGGCAGGTTCAAGACCTCAAGTGTTCCAAGTGTGGAAGTCTCAAGGTCAGCGACTTCATGGAGCACTGTTCGTGCAGCGGTGTTTGGGTGGAGACCATGAACAGGAAGGAGGTCGAGAAGAAGTTGCGTGTTCTGGCGAGCGTGGCGAAGTTCTACGGTTTGAAACTGCTGGAAGGAGTCGTTGACGAGGTGCTGGAAGGGATATAAGGCATTGATATACAGGCGTTGGAGCAACAGAGGCGTTACGGACTGATTTAAGACTGCAAATATCGTTAATAGCTATCATTGTTAGACTGTAAAGCGAGGGCCTGTGAATTTCCCTTCTTGAGTTAGTTTTGCCGTTTTCGGTTTTCGGATATTAATAAGCAACTTGGCGCCAAGACCCACTACAGGACCCCAAACTGTATCCTGGGCCGTTCGCGAGTATATAAGAACTGTCCTCGCCGTTCTGACCTTCATTTTCGCCCCCGATTTGGAGCAGATTTCATCTCGCCTGGTTTTCATCGTCGAGTAAATGATTCACAATCTTTTTAACTGACCCTGAAGGTTACCGTAGGGGTCAGTTAATAGATAAAATGTGTGAAACTATGTATATCCCATCTTCTATAACATTGGCATTAACCCAAAACGTTACAGGAAATGAAATTCCCACCCTGACGTCCCAGCATTCTTTTTCAAATTTAGGCTCTTAGACAACTCAATGGATCGCCTTATTATTCCATTAATCTTACGGCCAGATTATACCTGGCCACAGCGGATGCAGTCTGCAATCCAGCAGACTACCCCTCAAGTACCAGTTAGGCCCAGCAGATGCACCAGAATACTCTGGGGCATCATCCACAAGTTCCTTTACTACTTCTCTCAATGGTACTGCTCTTGGTTTGGTCTCCTATTCGATGCAAATATCATTCAATTACCATTTGGCCTTGTTATGAAATGGACAGACAGGACGAGTGTCGAGGAGGTGGTCTCAATGCAAATGGCAAGATCTGCCGGAATGCCTGTACCCAAAGTCATCAGCTGTGGTGAACACCTAGATGCTCCTTTCAACCGAAGATTTTCTATCTTGATGACAAGGCTACCTGGTGTACCTCTTGCGAACTCGAACGATAAACTACAAGTTGATGCCGATGAGCCTTGGCTGGAAGAGTTGAAATCCTGTATCACCTCCATGCGATTGTGGCATTCTCCAGGGTCAGAGACAATTTGCTCTCCCATTGGAACTCACTTACGGAGTTCACGAGTTCCTGGGCACATCATGGGTCCTTTTTCCAGCATAGAGGCTTTTTACAACTATCTTTTTGCTCCAGCTTCAGCTCATGCATTCAAATCCGATGCTGAATACCAAAAAACTCTGTCATGTGCAAGAAGGTTACGGAGTCATCGGCATAGAATTGTATTCACTCATGGAGATTTTAAAGCGCACAACATTCTTGTTGATGATGATGGACATTTATCTGGGTTTCTTGACTGGGAATCCGCAGGCTGGTATCCAGAATACTGGGAGTTTACTACAGCTATGCGCTTTGGGAAAGATAGCTGGTGGTTCCAAGTTGCCTCTTGGATGGGTGGAAGACAATATCGGGAGGAGTTGGACTCCGATGTGGCTCTAAATCTATTAACCGTCGACTCTTATATAGCCTTTTAGTGACTGAGGCTTCTAAACATTAAGTTGGTAATGTGAATGCTAAGAAACATACACGCATTGGATTTGGGTAACGATCACGTGTTATAAACGTGAAAGCAGAAAAACAATGGATATACGCAATTCTGCTCAACTCCATCCTCGTCCATCAGCAGCCGTCCTCTTTCTGAAATAAAATGATATTTATATTAATGCACCCACTGGGGAAGAGGCCCAGTGGCATAAGATCCGAAGGGATTTTCCAACTTCTCAACTAGATAACGTTATCGTCATCTAGAGCCCTGACTGTTGCCTCGCCGATTCGGCTCTGCGCGAAAGCGTAGCCATGTCCTCGGTAACCTGAATGCATCGTCATAAAAATTCTCCGCCTCAGGCCCGTCGAGACTTTCCACAAGGTGTACATGCTCAGGAAAGACGTATTCTGGACGGGAAATTAAATTCCCAATCTTCATCACCAGAGCTGTCGTCATTATCATGACCTAGTCCTCGAACCTGGTCTAACTATAACTAATTGGCTAGATCACGTGACGCGTAAAGGATAGCTCCGTTGATCTTCGTACTGGTTTTGCTCCCTTCTCCATGCTTGGTATTCTAGACGATAGCTAGCTAGATAGCCGAATAACATTCTCTATGCTGTCTAGATTGAGCTCCGTGACAGCGTCGTTTTGGCCGTGAGTGGAAACGGGGAGGAACTCGTTGAAGTCGAGCGCTAACAGCATCAGCTCAGGAGTGACTAAAATTCTTGGCAGGTGCAGAATAGTGGTGCTACACAGATGCTGCAAGTTAGGAGTGGAAAGGCGGCCGTTTCTAGCCCCAGTAGCCGTCATTTTCGGCGTCATTTTCACAGGTCCTATTTCTATACGTAAATAATAAACCTGGCATATCATATGAGAATCTCCAGGCCCGGGATTCGAGGCTGTTGGAACCACGGTAGCTCTCTTGATGGATAGCCGTTCCCTTCTTCTGTCTTCACAGTTCGACTCTCTCTTCCCTTCCTGCTGAAGCAAATCTTGTCCAGCAACAGTGTTGTATAGAATTAGCACCGTCAGCGTTGACCCCGCAGTCAATCTGGAAGAATCCCGACTCTCTTCGCTCGCTTTTCTCTTCCGCGACACGCGGGCAAGGGGCTGACAGCATTGAACGCCTCCTACCTGCAACGCTAACCCCGTTCTCTTTTGTTGTTAGCTCTATTCTATTATCGCTCGAGTCCGCGACGTCTATATTATCCTCGCTGTCCGCGAAACCGCGCCAGGTGAGTCCATTCCAAGCCGCGCCCCGAGTCATGTTATCATCTTCTGACAAGAGCCGCACGGCAACAGGTGCACACGCTGTACATCGATCATCCCAGCCTTCGCTAGCGATTGCCGAGACGACGCGGCTCTCATTATTACCATACCTCCATTGTCCTTGTCCATAGCTAGCTAGTACATATCTTTTCTCTCCGTCGCACCCGCGCACTCACCCCCCCGCGAAAATGGCTTCACAACCTGCGAAACCCAAGATCCAGCCTTGCCGGTACAAGACTGGGAAGACACTGGGAGCAGGCTCCTATTCTGTGGTCAAGGAATGCGTGCATACCGAGACGGGCCGATACTATGCTGCCAAGGTCATCAACAAGCGCCTAATGGCCGGACGAGAGCACATGGTATGGCAAAATTATCGGCAGTACACTCCTAGATAAATGGCAGAGCAAATGCTGATGAGTGTCGCCTGTCGATATAGGTCCGCAATGAAATCGCGATATTGAAAAGGGTCTCCATGGGCCACCGGAACATCCTCACTCTGGTCGACTACTTCGAGACTATGAACAATCTGTACCTGGTTACGGACCTTGCTCTGGGTGGAGAGCTCTTCGACCGTATCTGCCGTAAAGGTAGCTACTACGAGTCTGATGCTGCGGATCTCATCCGTGCGATCCTCTCTGCGGTGGCGTACTTGCATGACCATGGCATTGTCCATCGTGATTTGAAACCAGAGAATCTCCTCTTCCGCACACCGGAGGACAATGCGGACCTGTTGATCGCGGACTTTGGTCTGTCGAGGATCATGGACGAGGAGCAATTCCACGTTCTGACAACGACTTGCGGTACCCCGGGGTACATGGCTCCGGAAATCTTCAAAAAAAGTGGACACGGGAAGCCAGTGTAAGCCTTCTTCATGTCTTCATCCTTACCAATTCAGCCTTCTCACTCGTTATTGTAGAGATATTTGGGCCATCGGTGTCATCACCTACTTCCTACTATGCGGCTATACGCCCTTCGACCGCGACTCCAACCTGGAAGAGATGCAGGCCATCCTTGCAGCAGACTACTCTTTCGCCCCGGCCGAATACTGGCGTGGTATCTCCGAAACAGCTCGCGAGTTCATCCGTCGATGTCTCACCATCGACCCCAAGGAACGCATGACCGCCCACGAAGCCCTCCAGCACCCCTGGATCAATCCCCCCTACGATCCAGCCGATCCCGAGGGCTTCGCCGGCGTCGGCGAAGACCTGCTACCAACCGTCAAGAAGAACTTCAACGCCCGACGAACGCTGCACAAGGCTATCGATACTGTTCGTGCCATCAACAAACTTCGTGAAGGTGGCCATCTCATGATGGATGGTGTTATGAGCGTTGATCCCAAACCTTCAGCAGCGAACAACAGCCGTGTTAATCAGGCCCAATCACAACCGCAGGCTAGTAGACATCCCGGTGCAATGGAGATTGATAGTCGCGGTGACGCGCGAGGGCAGACACAGGAGCAGATCCGCGCCCAGGAACAAAGGGTAAAGGAAGTCGTGACTGGGCTTTGGAGCAAGTCTGTTAATCAGAAGCGATGATCTCGGGTATATAACTCGTTTTTCTTTTCTTTCTCCGTACAGTTTTTTTTCCTGTTCTTTATTGGAATATACTCTGCTGATTGGATTGGTTTCATTTTCGCTTCTATTTTGGACTCCGCCGTCTCAGGACTGACTGACTGACTTATTGGTTTCTGGTTTTGTCTTTTCTGCCTAGTTGTCTTGTCATATTTGTTGTGCTCTGTATATGTGCTCTATGAGTAGATGATTGTTGATAATAAATTTGAATACATTTATTTACATGTAGATGTAGCAATTGATATCTGAGACTGAATGCAGAATACAAGGAACACAGACCAAATTGTGAATCATCTCTTGTTACAAGTGTTTAAGTTAATTTGGTGATTTCGATTTCCCAGTTCCAGACTGGATACGGACACACCATCTATCCATTTAGAAGGAATGCTTCTTCTCGCGATGAATCAATTCATTCATTTCTTTCCTCTCCTTCACCCTCGAGATCTTCTCCTTCCTCCCCGTTCCCTAGTTCCGCTTCCGCTTCCGTCTGTTGTTGAAGTCGAAGCTGGTGTTGATTGTGTCTTTGCAACTCCCCTTGATCTACTACTCCCTCTATTAGTTGTAGTAGTAGTAGGTTTACTTCCTCTCGCGGTTTTCGGTTGTTTTGTGGCGGACTTGGAAGTAGTGCCACTTGAAGTGCCATCTCCGCTAGCTGTTTCGGAGGAGCACCCGCCAGAGGTTGTATCCTGTGTGTTCCTTGTTTCTGATCTGGCCCCTCTTCCTGTTGAGGTTGTTTTCGATACACGTGTGGTCTTACTTGCAGCAGTTAACGTTGACTTGCCCCTTGTCGCAGCCTTGGAAGGAGTGTTTTTTCGCTGCCGTCTTGGTTACACCACTGGCCTGTGACCTCGTTTTAGCCCCAGTTGTTGTTTTTGTTCCTGTGGTGGTCGAGATTTTTGTAGATTGCTTAGTAGCAGATTTTCGAGTGGTTTTCCCTCGCGCTGTTTTCGTTGCCCTGGCCGATGTATCTATGAAAAGGGACAAAAAAAAAAAAAGGTATATAGTTAGCAAAACTAATAAGAAAATAGGATCCCAACTCAACGAGAGTTGACAAACCGTTTGCCCATCTTGTTCCTTTCAAATGACCTTTAATAAGTACAGAAGGAGGCACACGACGAGTATGGCTAGGATTACCACTCCGCAGAGCAGGAAGTAATTGTACTCACCAGGATTCTTTCTCTGCTTGGACCTACTAGATCCGGTTCCAGTTCCAGTTCCGGTCGAATTGGTCGCCGGGGCTGGGCGCCTGAAGAGGTCTCCTTTCACCCGTTCTAGTAGCCTGACTATCAGAGGATGCATGGGGGTAGCATTAGGAGCGTACATATTTGGTCGCGCTGCAACTGGGGGTCGACAGGAGTCTGATAAATCATAGTGACGAGGGCTCTGTGCGGGTTGTCCAGTCGGCCCGTTAATCGTACTCTGCCTTGGGGAGACTCGCTGGGGGGTCTGTATGTCTGTTTCGGGTGGTGGAGGTGGTAATGGGTCCTCGGCTTGTGATGCCAGTTGCTGGACTGAACTGTCAACTCCGACGATGTAATCCCGGAGTCTCTCCCTCATGTATACATGGGACAGAACTTCTTCTAGAACCCCGTATGCGTAGTTACGCAATTGGTCTTCGGTTAATCCTCCCCATCTGTCCGGGGGACCTGCTTCGAACGACCATCTTAGCTGTTGCGGCGGCGGTTTCTCAATATCAGAACCAGCATTTGAGTTTGGACCATTACGCTGTCTCTGCTGAGCTTGTGGTTGCTGCCCATCTTTCGAACCGCCTGGTTGCTGGTTGCTACCTTGTCTGCCAGACGAGCCTGAATCATCCTTAGAATCACTTGAATCTGGGTCTGGTTTAATGGATTGTGCATGCTGTGATTGCAGTGGTGTCCGTTGCCTATTATTCGAATCACCAGGTTGCCAAGTGATAGCTTCGCTTTCAGAGCCCTCAACGACTACCCAACGAGGCAGTGGCGCATCTACTCCAAAGCCAATTTCAAGCCCTCCAGTGCTGCCCAACGTTATCGGTGAGCCGACAGGAAACGTGGGAGTAGATGGAGGTGATTGTTCGTCATCACCCTTGGGCGGGTTTCCAGTGCCCTGACTAGCATTCTGAACATTGGACGAAGGGTTTCCTGAGACTGAATGGGCGGTCCTTATTTGATTACCACCGAACGAGAATCTGACGGTAAGACCTATTCCTGGAGGTGTACTGGAAGACGTAGCATTCGCTGAAGAAGGGCTGGACCCGCTTTGAGAGCCGCCTCCATAGAGAGGAAATCTAACCATAAGAGGGCCATGGGGAGGAAAACGAGAAAAGGAAGTATGAGTCCAAGAGATAACTGTTGAAGGCGTACGTGAACCCAAACTCGAACAGGAACCCGCGGCAGACAAAGGTGTAGGCACAGAAGTACCAGACAGAGGAGCGGAGTATCTGGCAGTCAGCCGGTCTAATTCTTGTCTGGGAACGCTCAATCCTAACCCCGTTGGTCTCCCACTTGAGCCTTGAAATGGAAATGATGCACTCGTTCCTTCTTCCATTGTATTAGAAGCCCTTATTCGTTTGGGTACCGGTTCCGGAGTATCGGCATTAGCTGAAGCCGCAGCAACGAGCGTCTTGCGTCTCGTTGCCAATCTCGAAGTATCAAGATCAGAACCAGAATCAGCACTGCCGACATGGGCATTGGGAGGCCTGCTCCCATTCTGCACTGGGCCCATACCGGACGCAATGCTCTCTTCCGTCAAACGATGAGAAGATCGTAATCGCTTCGATACTCTCGGCATCATCTCAATCCACGGGATGCCACAACCATCAGATAGATTAGCAATCTTGACGGTTAGAATGGACCGGACAGCCGTCTTTGAGGTGGGAGACAAGCAGAGGGCACAAAATCGATACTCGCTCCTCAATTGTGACTTTCCTCTTGTCCCAGATTGTCCGTGCCTTTTATTTCAGTTGATCAGAAGCAAGCAGCTCCATATCCCATGAGATCCTCTTCCGGCGAGAAGATCGCGTCCATATTTCCGATTGCAGCCATGGCATCGACAGGACGAAAGTGCAGCAGGGTATTTCTTTATCACCTTGAACCATCTGGTAGGATAGCATAAACGGCTTTTTTGTTTCATTTTGTACCTGATTAATTTTAGCAAAATATTAGAAAGAGATGAAACCTGCATTGCAGCTCCTGAAACGCGCAGAGAGGGGATGTGACACTCACTGGCTATATTTGCGATGACGCCAAACAAAGAAGTCGCCGCGCATAAGGTACACCGAAACGTTCGGATGCATTTGGAACGCAGTGTTCGAAGGCTCAAAGCAGAGTCCGTATTTTGGTGCAAGAGTCCAATAGATGTCCAGAGATCCTCAACCTCCTGCGGTCAAGAGTGAGATTATCAGTCTGTTTTCTTTGCGCCATATTACTTAAAACCGTGGTTACCGTAATAGGACATCCCGGATGAAGGCTAGGATAAGCACTTATTCTTTGTGCTCTGAACCCAAATAGGGAACGGAAGGGAAAGAATTCCATTCCGAACAGTCAATGGGCGCCCCGGTAGCTGAACGAGATGCTGGCTCTTGAATTGAGAAAAAGGAACCTGCCAGATCTTGTAATGATAATTTTAGTAGAAAGATATAGACAGATGAAGCAAAGTATGGATGCATGCTCAGCACAAGAATTGCATCTTCAAGCGTAAGTATACTGTGGTTAGTAAAAGAGAGATGAATTGAAACGAACAAACTCTTCCATTTTGAATCTAGCCATGACGGAACAAAAAAAAAATCTTTATACACCGAAGAAGGTAAACTCCCTTTCAGCAGGAATCCATTCAGTTTGTGGAAAATGCGCTGGAGATGTAGGGCAATACCCGGGAAATTGTTAAGCGGAGGGTCATGTAACAGGGTGATCATGATAGCAATTATGCCAACATATTCATAATAGCAAGAGTAGATTGTAGAAGCAATCCAATCGAAAAACTGCCCTAAGATATTCAGGAGAGCAATGGACGCATAGGATATTTATTGCCAGTATCTTGGTTCATCAAAGACGTGGTATCTGTGACCACGGACGCCCTGGCCGCGGAACATGGAAGGGAACCGACGACCTTGGGGTACCATCTCTTCGGGAAGCCTGATTTCTTCCTCGGGCTCTGGCTCACCAATAACGAATTTGCCAACCTATTTGGGGTCATCCAGTTAGTAAGAAACGATCTCGTGGAAAATTGAGGTTGTGCTGAGAATCCCGAAAGGGCGGAGAGAAAAGGGGGGTAAAGCATAACACACCTGGATCTCTGTGTCTGTGATAGTGTCCCGGCTAACCCTGGCATATCCAGTCCGGTGCAGCTTCTTGTAAAGAATATACTCGCACCATCTGTCCCAATCGGTAGGATCAATATCCTTCATACCACTCCGCTCACTTACGTAGGTATTGTAATTGCCTTCAAGAGGTTTCGTGACCAGGTAACTCATCAAGACCAGCGGGCGTGGAGAAGATCCCATTAAGTCAGACAGGTATTCCGTCTGAAGACGACGGTCTTCAGGATCTTCCTCTTGACCGGAGTGGAAGACTACGACATCAACCATCTCACCGTACATATCGAGAGTTGCGTGGATTGCTGGTGCCAATTCACCAACAGGAGATGGAAGAAGATGGTGAGTGGAGTTCAGAATTGGGAATTTGGAAAGCAAAGCAGCGCCCCATGTGTGCTTGTTAGGGCCAGGGCCGAAATCTGCATACATGCCAAGCTCGTCGGCTAGAACTTGGGTTACGTCCCGATTACCCATGATGATACGCTGGTTGTCCGACTCTAGGAGACCGATCACATCAATCTCGAGTTCTTTGATAACATCACGCATGCGAAGCTCCGAAGACCACATGTCATTGTCAAGGCCGAAGTGGATGGTCCAAATTCCGAATGTTGCAACCTTGTCATCCTTGTGATATGGAGTGTAGTCGTTCGTTGGGAAGCGGAGATACGCTATTGAAACGGAGAGAAGCTGTAACGCCGCGAGAACATAGACATAATACGACCGTTGCCTTCTGCCGTTAGGATTGACGATAGGCTTGGCTTTGGAGCGGGGGGGCTTCGAGATTGAGGCAGAGAAGACTCCGGCTCCGATTGCGAGCATCATGGTGGCCATAATCCAATCCGTGTGTTCCCTGACAAGATGTCCGCCTGGGACAAAGGCGTAGGCAACCACCCACACGTGGAACAAGACCAGGAAAATGTATACGACAGACCCAATGCCGAAGGTAATGCCAGGGGGATGACGGACGGCTGAAGACAACAACACAGGTGTCACAGCGAAAAGATAAAAGGCAAGTGTGAGACCACCATAGAACCCCGTCCAGTGACTCTTGCAGGTGAGGAATGCAGCACCCAGTGAGCCGATTCCAAATGCAGTCCAGCTTTTAGCAACGGTAGGATGGAACAAGCCATAGACAAGACCAGCACCCATCATGAAAATCGTCAGCGCACCGTGGGGCACAGCAATTGGTCCTCTTACAGGATATCCTTCCCAAACCCAAGAGATCATAGTGCTCGAGTCGGACAGGAGAGAGTGCAGTGCGAAAATGAGGCCTCCAAGGCTAATTCCGGCCAGGACGGACGAGCCATTCTTACCTCCTGCGGGCAGATAATCCCCTCCACTGACTCTTGAGCTTCTCGTGGACCTAAGAACAGCCAATACTGCGAGGAAGAGGCCTAGTTTATTCCATCCTCCGTTCTCTGCATGCATGGTGGGCCAGATAGGATTGTTCGTTCTGAATGCAAACTTGGCAACGGTAGACATAATAAAGCCAATTGCCCATGCTGTGATACGAGACTCTAGTCGAGTCGTCTGCGCTCTCTCCGCGTAGAAAGTCGCTGACCATGCAAGGAAACCCCAGCCAACAGAGAAAGTGTTCACAAGAAGCCGGCCAACGGGCTCGTGAACTTTGTAAGCCAGGAGTCCGGACAGCGAGAGAAGATGGAGTAGGCGAAGGTTCTTGGTCGCTGCAGACCTCAAAGAGGGAACTAGTAGAAGGAACGGCGAGATGCAGACTAAGATGGTTGCTTCGTAGCCAGAGATGCCCATATGCCAAAGGGGGAAATCTATCAAAGATCAGCGCATATCCAAGTCCTGGTGACTGATGGATTACTTACACCAAATCAGCAGAGAAATGGAAGTAAGCATCGACCAGAAAACGAACTACAGGACGTCAGCCTGAAGATAATAAACGATTTGCGCCTAAGCTTACCGCATTGTAGACGTCAGCGGCTGCATCCATGACCTCCGTCCAGAAAAATCCCTCCCCAAACGTGTTCGCGACGGGGCTGCCCTTCCTAACTACGTTGTTAGCTCTTCGAGATGAAAAGCAGGGCATGCTACCATGTGATTGATACAAACTTTTTCTCAAGAACGGCATCGGTGGCTGTCTTTAGCTGCCTATTAATCTGAACTTAGAAATGCTCTTTTCACAATAAAACCATCTAGTCACAATGGCGATGTACATTTTCTTGTTATCACTTCGGAAGCCATTGTACATACCCTCTGCTGACTCCCTTAACATCCCTCACGACAAGTTCGAATCCCTCAAAATCAAGAGCTGTGACCGCATCGAAGGCCACATCAGTCAGGACCAGAGACCATTCAAAGAAGGCGTATATGGTGTAGGCTAAAATGAAGCCGACATTAGCGAAAGCCGGCGTATCCGACTCCGGTATGGCGATGTACTTACCACCAGCGATCTTGTGCACCTTGTGTTGAATGAAGAAGTAGACCAATGGCACCAATGTACCGAAAAAAGTGCCAGCTATGATCTTGCGGTATTTGACAGCACGGCGGTTGTTGGGGCTCAGTGCGATACACCCAACAGTCCACGGCAGAGTCGCAACGAGGTAAGAAATCATAAATATATCGTGCCAGTCGTGATCATCCGTCGACGTGACATATGTCCAACCACCACACATAAAGGTTCGAAGTAGACCGGTTCCCGCCACGAACTTGGGGAGCCTCGAGTGCGGACGCGCAGTGAGGAGATACCAGAGAAAAACGAGAGCAAATCGAGGACCAGAAGTGATTGCGATGAAAACTTGGAAGAAAGAACGTTCGGGGTAGCGATCGCCGATTGTCGCTGATACCGATGGGAACCATTCATCTGGGTAGCCGTAGTGTTCGTTTTGGACAATTTTTCTGAAGTGCAAGCTCATGCCGACTACCAGCGCACTCAGAAAGGCTGCATAGGCAAAGAACGTGTGAGCCCACGACACCCATTTTCCGTTCACCTGTCCATACGTTTAGTGACCATAACATCAAGAGTTGGATCTTATCAGCCTTACAATGGCGACGGCATCCCCATCTTTGTATCTGGGTGCCATGGTGGAACCAAAAGAAAGAAGTACGCAATCCCAATGCTACTTCGGGATATATAGCACACCAGATTTAAAAAATGATATAAACGAGTGTGAGAAGGTATCAGAAAAAAAAAATAAGAGTCTCAAGAATGGAATCGAGGGTATCAAGGAAACCCCCTGAGGGAAGAAGCTTAGGTGGTTGACGGTTCGCGGGCAGATGTCTCCTGCCGCGCTAGTCCATATATGGCTAGGGAGCCTCGGAACATCAGCGGGCAATAAAAGTTATGCGCAACTTTTCTGCCCGTGAACAATTTCTCAAGATAACTGCCTGTCCTTTGCTCCTTGCTTCCTCCGAAGAAAACGTCAGAGTCGTGATTGCCTCTGACTACGCGAGTGATTATGTCCAATGCTACAGACAAGGCCCGCTTCTACCTGGAACAGTCCGTTCCTGAACTGAAGGAATACGAGAAGAAAAAGATCTTCAGCAAGGTAGCTTCATACCGGACACCAGTTGCATTTAGTTTCGGGAAAGCTTATGGTCTTTTTCATGTCTCTAGGATGAAATCGCATCGATAATCAAGAGGCGATCGGACTTCGAACATAAACTCAATGCCCGTGGCGCACAACCTATCGACTTCGTGCGATACGCCCAGTATGAGATGAACCTCGACACTCTACGGCGAAAAAGAGTGAAAAGACTAGGTATCAGGTCTGCTGGACATACCGGGCAGAGACGAATTTTCTTCGTTTTGGATAGGGCCACTCGGAAATTCCACGGGGATATTAATCTATGGGTTCAGTATATCGAATACGCTAGGCAGCAGAAAGCGTATAGGAAGCTCACTCAGATATTCACGGATGCTTTGCGGATACACCCCGCGAGTGCAGATCTATGGATATATGCTGCCAAATATGCCCTGGATGACCATGCAGATATGATGCAGGCGAGAAGTTACATGCAACGTGGTCTAAGATTCTGCAAGAGCTCGAGGAAATTGTGGATCGACTACGCGAAGCTGGAATTGATCTATGTTGCGAAGCTTGTTGCTCGACAGCGGATTCTGGGCCTTGACAAAGCTATTGAGCCTGCCACAGACGAACCAGAAGGCTCTTTTGAAGACTCTGATGCTGATGTGATTAAGCTTCCAGAGTTGACTGGGGAGGACGTGTATCCGAATGAGAAAAAGAACGTCGAAACGGACCTAACAGCGATCCAAAATCTTGGTTCTTCTCCTGCCCTTAGCGGACAGATCCCGCTCGCCATTTTCGATTCCGCCATGAAGCATTTCAATAATGACGACCGATTCGGCCACGAGTTCTTTTCTATGGTCCTGGAGTTTGAGGATGCACCATGTCTGCACAAGATCCTCGAGCATATCGTTGAAGTGATGCAGGCGACTAAGCCTTCGAGCTCTCATACGCTAATATGCTACATACAGCTGCCAACTGCTGGAGTGAGAGTTACCTCCCCTGGTTTCCCGCGAGCGCTGGGTGCCTCGCTTGGACGCCTAAAAGACCACCGAAATGATAAGGGCGTTGCGCAGGAGGTCATCAATTGGTTGAAACCATTGGCAAAGACTGAGGGCATAGACCCTGCGTTACACAAGGTCATGGTAGCGACTATTCGCAGTGCTGAGCGGACACTAGAGCAAGCATAGCCATAGCAGTCATCTATCTTATCACTCAAAAGGCGTTTCTCGGATATGGAGGCAGTGGGAAAAGTCCGGTTTCTTGATGTAGTTAGCCCAGTATATGTTATTCATCGTACTTACTACTCCTTCGGCTACTCTTCTTGCTGCTATGTAGTTTCTTCTTCCTGATTCTTGCTTCATTCTCGGCTTTCTTCCTGTGATGTGTCAGACCACAATCCCGCTGAAGCAAAATGAACGAATGATGAAGTGCCGTACAAGTTTCGCACCCGATCCTTTTGTTCTTGGGACGTTTCTCCGGGGATAGAACTCTTTGCGGAGCTTTCCAACAACTGATAAAGCTTTTCAAAGCACGATTCTACATTGGTAGCCTGCTTCCGCGACTCCTCTGATTGTATGACTAGACTTTGGCTCTTGTCTGCAGCGTATCGGGAAGACAGCAACTGAGAATGAATAACCCGTGGGACGAGAGGTAAGAGAGAAGCCAGCGGCACTCTGAGCGTGGCCTTTGAGTTAACCCTGTAGAGAGTGGCTGTTAATTTTGAATCGAGCCTGCAAACAGCTTCAAAGGCGGTAAGAAAAGAAGAGTCAGAAGGATGTGGCTGACTTGTTCACATTCTGCCCTCCAGGCCCACCAGACCGGCTGAAGGAGAGCTGGCAGATGTGCCGTGGAATGGTTCTGGCGTTGAGGTTTGCAAGCCAGTCTCTTGCTGTTCGCAGTTCTTCATCATCGAATTCTTCTGTCAATGCCCGTTTCGAGGCAAAGGCTCTCACGAACGGGCCCTCCTTGCTGGCGAAGACGAGGGCAGTCGAGGTACGGGGTATACGAGGACGTAACAGATATGCTGTCATGGTTGCAGGAAACAGGACCAGAGAAATAGACTATTGAACAATAATGGCTGCGGCCAATTATAATAACAGCCACAGTGCGTTCAGACTCAGTAAAGGGCAGTGGGGGACAGTGGCATGGTGCCGTAGGAGTAGTAAGTTGTAACAGTACTACTATGGGCATGGACGGAGATACTAGCAGCAAAGGCTGGTCTGGCCACCGTCACGTGTGACATCTGAATGCGCAGTGTATGGAGGGCCAATCATCGAATGTGGAATGGTAGACGGCCTTCTAAGCATTCTAGGTACTAGTCCCGGACAGGATTAGTGCCGTACTCAACAGTACCGGCTAAATATACGCTGCCTTACTGAAGGTACTAGCAATACTTAGCAGTGCCCTCAGGTCTCGCCAAGTGTTGGTTGTGGCCGGGCCGGCAAAAAGCCTTTTTTGCCTCATGATTAATTATTCCTGTGTACTATTACAAGCTCTCCGTCTCCAGCATCTTCCATCCTCCTTCTCCTCCTCGACACATATCTTCCCCATCTGCTTTCCTTCCTCGATTCCATTAGCAGAATCTTCCTACTCTCTCTCTCTCTCTCATTCTTTCCGCCCTCCCTTCCCTTCAGCTTCCCTCCGTCTTGCATCCGTTACCGCCTGACTTCCCAAACGGTCCCGGTTCATTTCAATGATAGCCCCGCCCTAGGTGCTCAGCGCGCCAGGAGGACGCAGAAATTTCTGTTCTATCTCACGGAGTACTCTTGACCCCTTCGTATCTCCCCGTGTTGTAGATGAATCTTCAGTTTTCCTTCCTCTGTCTAGATGACGACCCATCCACCAGATGAAGCTCTTCACTTCCGCGGAAAGACCTTGACCCCAGAAAGCCCACGCCCGCTTCACGTCGCGGAACCTGCCAACATTCCAGTTCTTCAGAACCAGATGGATCCTGTCTTCAATGACACCTCTACATATGGGAAATCGGAATCCGGCCATGCAACGAGCCAGCATACGTATCATGGTGATGGCCGCATGTCCTACATGCCTTATGCAATATCTGCCGATAATGCGAGGGTAGAAACCGGAGGAGAAAACCCAGATTTTGCCCAGGGCCAGGAACCAGGTAGTCTGCACAGTGTCTCTCAGCAGGACAATGGATCACTGAACGGGAACAATGCAAATTTTTCAGATGCTAAGGCAGATCCCCTGTCAAATCAAGATGCGCCTGCTGTGGCCGGAACATCGGCTGTCCAGGGTGCAGGGAACAGCAGCAATACAGCTCTAACCGCTTCTCCTTCCGACCCTTACCACCACCATAGTGACGCTACCCATATGCCAAACCCCCTCCCCAATGATCCTCCCCAGACTGCTTCCGAGATACCCAGCTCCGCGCATACCCAGCCTCAGGGCGCCTCTGGTGCAAGCGAGGTAGATACTGCTGCGACCAGTTCGGCAACCCCCCCAGCGCCGCAGGATCAACTAGAGAGCCGCGAACAAGAAGATAATCCGTCGAACAACTCTGGTGAAGATGGAGTTGACTTTGACAATCTCCTCAATAATCTGTCCCGACCACCGCCGACCGCGTCCTTCCCGACGGCCAGTGTGACTACACTTTCAGCGGAAGACTCTCATATCCCTCAAACTCCAAGCGACAGGTCTCATCGTACCCCTTCGGGGCTCCCCCCTCGCCCACCTCCCCAAGAAAAGCCTTCTATAAACCCCAATTATTCTCCCACTAACGATATTCGCTCATATCATAACATTCCTCAGAGTTCCTCTAATGCAGCTGCACAATATACCAACCAGCAAAGTAATTTCCATGGAGGCCAGGGACTACCTCCGTTGGCTGCCGCGGGTGCGCCCGGCACGTCATCTGGCACAAGTTCCTTGCCCCCTCCCCCGGTCGCTAGTTTCCAACAATCACAGTCTCCTGCAGCAGATTCGCAAGAGGCCTCTGACCAGCTAGTCCAACGGAATGGTCGGATTGATAGGCAGCTTGGGCGGCACTCGAAATCCGACGAGGATACTCCTTGGGGTCCAGAGGTACAGAAGAAATACGATGAATTTCTTCACGACGAAAGAATCTATGTGACGGAAGGTCTCTGGGACCGGTTCCCTCCTGGTTCCAGACTGTTCGTTGGTCAGTACACCCTCAAAAACTATCCCCTAAAGATTTCTGACTCACTTCGCTGCAGGGAACTTACCCACTGAAAGAGTGACGAAGAGGGATCTGTTCCACATCTTCCATAAATACGGCAAATTAGCTCAAATATCTATTAAACAGGCGTATGGCTTCATTCAGTTCCTCGCTGCTAATTCTTGTCACCGAGCCCTTGAAGCCGAACAAGGCGCTGTGGTGCGAGGCAGGAAGATACGTAAGTATTTACCTTTTTACTCTACCAGAACTAGACGCTGATCTGTGCCTAATTCCCGGCCAGATCTTGAGATCTCAAAGCCACAAAGGAACACACGTCAAGGCCCTCCACCTGCAGATGCGCCAAGAGGTTCCCAGTTGAGGCGTTCAAGGTCGCCAGATTACGGACGGGGCGGTCCCAGCAGTCGCGGCTCACGCCCCTTAGGCGATCGTTACGATCGGTCCGACTCTGGAAGATTGCCATTTAGTGACTTCAGGGACGAGCACCCCCTTCGCAGGCGCGATGATTATCGACCACCACGTTCGCCATCTCCCCGAGGATTCCGTGGAAGGGACGAATACAGAGCTAGAGACAGGGATAGGACACCGCCAGAAAGATACGATCGACGTGAGAGAAGGCGCTCTCGGTCACCATACATCAGGGATCGAAGATATCGAAGTCCGAGCCCAAGACCTCGCAGCACGTACGACAGCGACTCAGACTTACCCGTACCCAGACGAGCTGCGAGGGATGTGCCAGATATACAGGTTCTTGTTCTTGAGGACGTTGACCGGTCAGTTACTTATCTTTGCGCAATTGTTTTCCTATCCTTGCCTTTACTTACTGACGCAATATCAGAAACTTCGTCTTTCATGTAGAGAATTCCTTCCGCAACCGTGGGCTGCGAGTGGACGTTTTGACTCTTGGCCCGCGCATTCCACTTTCTGCGGCTGTGCAACGCCAAGTCAATGAGGGTGTTCGTGCTATCGTCAAACTCTCACGTTCCAATCAGTTTTCGGGGAAGGTCTCCTTGCAACTAATTGATCGAACCGGCGGCCCCGGCAATATTCGTTTTAGCGGTGAGCGATTTCCCTTTCTTGTGTCCTATATTGTCGACTCAATCAACCTTGACTAATGCATTCCTCCTAAGATTATCCCGACCTTGATATTGGCATCGCGATCGAGGTGGTCTTCCATGCCCAGTCCCTACAACGCAGTGGTGCGCCTGCTTTCCCTGTGAATCCGGCTTTCGGTGTTCCACAAATTCCAACAGTACCCGTTTCCCAACCTGCGTTGTCGACACTGCCGGCACTGTCAACTCCTCCTAATGTTGCGAATCTAATCACTTCTTTGGATGCTCCTACGCTCCAGTCACTCTTGGCTACGCTTCAGCAGCAACAACAGCAGCAGCCTGTTCCTACTGCACAGCAGCCCTTCCCACAGGCGAATATACACCCCGGCGCTGATCTTGCTAGTCTTCTGAGTAGCGCTACGCGGCAGCCACAACCGGTGCAAACCATTCCACAACAACCTACTTTACCATCTCGGTCACTTCCCGTCCAACAACCAAATGCCCCTGTAATTCCCGATCCTAACCTGATGTCGCTCCTAGCTAAGGGCCTAGGGGGCCAACAACCGCAGGGCCGAGCCCCCGTTGGACCTAATGTTCAGAACATAGTGAACCAGCTGGCGAAGTGGAAACAATGATTTACGACTCACCTTTTTTTCTTATTTTAGAATCTTGAGTTCCGGCGTTGACTACTTCAGAGGTCGCAAGGATGATAGGACGGGTTTTAGTGGCCTCATAATGATCCAATGGATTGGTGAATTTACATCCAAAGTGAATGTATGCAACCAGGGGTGTACTTTTGTGGATTTATTCCGAGAATGGTAATATGGCGTTAAATTCTCTGACTGGTTTCCCGGTACAACGTTATATATCCTCCGGTTATTTATTGGGAGAATTGAAGATATTGATCACACTAATCCTAATATCTTCCCAGTTGTACATTGAGAAAAGGTCCTTGAAATATTTCGGTTATAGACATGGAATTGCTATTCTAATCTTGAACATTAAAGAATTGTATACATATTTGCATGCATCATGACGATATTCTAGTGGTACAGTGGAGTTAATCCTCAAAATAAATTATACAGATAGACGTTTTTAAGTCCCTGCCAAATGTGCCTTTATTCCTATCCTGGCAGTCTCCTCTCGCCGTATTCGCTTTTCCCCTCGCGACCTCGAGCACCGCGTCGTTGCACCGATTAATTAGACGCCCGCTGTGCCTTCAACTCCGCAACGGTTGCCGCATCCTCCTTCTTGATCCTCTCAATCGTTCGATCTCGGTTATATTCCATCACGCGCTTTTCTTTAAAGTATTTTACCTAATAGCCAGGTGAATTTTTCAGTCAAAAATTGGTTTTTTTATTGAGTCTGTAGATTCCTAGAACCCGGAATTCCTAACACATACCCAAGTCTTCGAGCAAGCATTCTCAAAAGCAGCAATCTCCTTCCCGCATTTCCGCCGTGCCTCCTTATCGTTTTTTAGGGAGTCAATGATGTTGCTATCGTCTAGACAGTTGAAAAAGAGATCCCGGCTTTCCCAGCAGCGCTGGCGGGATGTTCGGTCGGGAGCGATCTTGCCGCCGTCTGAGGTTTTGTCAGAGTTCGAGGACCAGAGCCAGCCCATCTTTCTGTTTTGCTCGATGCGTTTTTTCTTTCTTTTTGATGTAAGGAATGGTTAATTGGATGGTGTGCAGCTGTACTTTCTTTCCTTGACTTTGGACTTGACTGCTCCGCACACCGGGACAGGCACCGGAGATACGCACATGCGGGCGTGATAGATGCCTCAGGCTGTTGTTTGGGAGTGGCTTGGCACGTAGATGCGCTATTCTACTTTTGGAACTTCCAGCTGTGCACCTCTTCATCCAGAGCTCTGAGTTGTTATCCTTGCAGGAATACTCCCTCGTTGCATTCTGGGATGTTGAACATCTCATCCCAACTCTCCTTCAATACTGAGATGTGAGCTGTGAACACAGATACTGCTCATCTGTCATTGCTTGTTTGCTTGTTTGTTTGCTTGCTTCTTGCTTCCAAACTCTTATAGACTAGGCAGAGTCTACTGATGGTGCCCCGTGTACCTCTATCTCCTTGACTCAGTCTTTGAGAAACAGGGCGCAAGACATCCCTCTGACGTTCTGAATCGACATTTTTTAAAGTGACATCTCCGCCGCCACTCGCCGGTTCATGCCCCCGCGTCGCCGTCCCCCAGCGGGGACTGGGACAGATCTTCCGCCGCTGAAAATCCTCCGCAAGATCCTCCTGCTCCAGCTGGCCTACTATGCAGCTGCAACAGTGCTGATCTTATTCACGAGTCTCGTGTACGGGACGCCCTTTTCGTTGGGATTGATACTGGACTGGGATGCGCTGAGGGGTGATACCACTATTGGGTGGATATTAGGGTTGGTATGGCTGTTGAATGGTCTAATAAGGTGGGTCAATTCAGCATTACTGATGTGGTCTAATATACTGGATTGTTACTGCGGTCAGCATGTTCGGTACTATATATCTAACATTGAAAACTTCCAGCGTCATCTTTCTTCTCCTCCTTGTATCCCGCTCCAAACTCATACCCGATTTCGCTCTTACAATCCACTTCCTGCATCTGATCGCCTCATCCTTGTATTCCCACTCCATCCCCACGAACCTTCTCTGGTGGGGCCTGCAATGCGCCAGCGCTGCCCTCATGATCTTTCTCGGTATCTGGGCCTGTCAGTGGCGAGAGCTGAAACCGATCAGTTTCGGCGGTAAACGTCCCGCCGAGCAATCGGCTGCTTCCTCGCAGTCCACTCAGGGAGTCGAGGAACAGCAGCTTGAGGGTTCTTCGCGTGGACGCGGACGAGGTCGTAATCTTTCCGAGGAAAGTGACGGCTATGAGATGGTTCGTATGAAGAAGAGTGATGATGAAAGTGCATGAATTATTTTATTTTTATTTTTATTTTTATTTTTGGTTTTATTGTATCTTTTGATTTAATATTTGGCATTGGGACTCTTTGAATGTTGTTTCACGTTTCTGTTAGGTATACCCTGGCATCTATACAGAGAGCGTTTCGGAGTTGGAGTTGGAGCTACGGGCTAGACTGCTTCTTTCTTTATCTTTCGACATATTCTATATTCACCAAAATGCATTATAATAGTAATATTAACATGTAAATGTCTATGTTACCGAAGCCGCCTGTTCAACAGAGGGTAAACAGATAGGCTTCAATACTCCTCGAACCATGAAAAAAAAAAAAAAGTATCGGACGGCGTAAGCGACAGCATATTCTCCCTCTTGAACAATAAAACCCCAGGACTATTGGTAATAATGCTGCCGTGCACTGTAAAAGCGTCGTGCCTTATGAGACCATATGTCCGCAGAGGGCGCAACTGAGGTCACTCCACAGGAAAAATCACAGCACGGAGGAAAGGTCTTATGGGAAATCTAGATGGTCTTTCCGGTCTCAACTTTGTTTCCGACTCTAGTCCACAGGGTTGTTAATACATCTCTATCAGAGGTGGGGTTTTTGTTCGGACTCGCCGCCAACAGGCTTGTTCATGTTATGATACTGTGGATAGAGATAACGGGAGAGGGGAAGGTGATTCCGTCGCGGGGAATAACTTTCTGGTCTTGGGTGTTTTTATGTCGAATATATATAGGGTGTGAAAACTCCCCTGGCGAGAAAATATAAGACTCATATCCATATCTACTACAGAGTACGAAGAAAATTGATCTTCTCTTAATTATATAAGAATCTGCAACGAAAGGCCCATCATGTCGACCACCGTCACCGAAACCGTTACCCGACCTACTACCATCACCGTTGCTGCTGAGCAGCGACAGCAGCAGCAGGGGCAGAAGTATCCCGAGATGAAGGAGCCTACTCCTGCGGCCGATGATACGAAATTTCAAGCCGTCGCCCGTGGTAATCGTGCCGGGACCCTTAAGCTACGGGGTATCCCGACCTTTACTGATCCCTACGAGAAACGGAAGTGGATGAAGGAGCATATGGCTGCTTCGTTCCGGTTCTTTGGGAAGAGGGGGTATGGGGAGGGGATTTCGGGGCATATTTCTATGAGAGGTGTGTATCATCACTTTCCTGCATGATATAGATGATCAATAGCAATACCAAAACTAATACATTCCAGATCCCGTCCTGAAGGACCACTTCTGGATGAACCCGTTCGGCAAACACTTCTCTACCATTAAAGCATCCGACTTGGTCCTGGTGGATGGGGACGGATATGTCACTGAGGGAGGCAACCAGGCGCCCATCAACGAGGCGGGATTCTGGATCCATTCTGAGATCCACAAGGCTCGTCCGGATGTCATTGCCGCTGCGCATACGCATGGAGTCTATGGGAAGACTTGGAGTGCATTTGGGAAGCCAATCGAGATGCTCTCTCAGGGTGAGTTGACCACTCCTTGTTTCTGTTTGTCAACGCGGAATTGAATGCTGACTGACGGGCAATACAGATGCTTGCAACTTCCACGGCAAACTGAGCGTCTATGATGATCACGGAGGGATTGCGTTGGCGCAGGAAGAAGGCGCCAATATAGCCAAGGCTCTTGGGAAGGACAGCATTGGGTGCATCTTGCAGAATCACGGGTGAGCAGTGCATTGCGTTTTCAGTTTCAACTGTCCCACTGAGTGTCATCTTTCTAGCCTCTTGACCGTGGGTCAGACGGTCGACGAAGCCGCCTTTCTCTTCTTCAGTCTGGACCAGGCTTGCCACTCCCAGCTCATGGCAGATGCAGCCGCTGCCAATGGGGTTCCCAAGAAGATCATTTCCGACGAGGTGGCTCAATACACGGCTGATGCTGTTCAGAACCCTGTGAGTGATTGGACCCAGGACCGTTTCCCATTGTAGTATTTCCAGTCATCCTGACATGTCTGGTATAGCACAACTTCTATACTGAGTTCCAGCCGGAGTATGAACTGATTATCGAGGAGAGTAATGGACGAGTTCTGGAATGAGCTGAGGATGGAGCGATCTAGCAATCATGACTAAGCAAATAATCACGTGTCGCTCCATAAGAAGCCAACGTAACTTGGACGCTTCAAGTCCAACATTGAAATGCAGGAGATTTGACCTGCGACGGCCATAGAAGCTGTCCTTCCGCTCGTTTACATGAAAGCGCTTGCCTCGCCTTTATGATGCTTCTATTTCTCTCGATTCTAGAGCCATTGACATTATTCACGGTTCGCCCCAGGCCAGAAATCCATAGTACTTCATCAATTGGAGAAACACGCACGACATGCCTGTTCTTCTTTGCTTGAAACTGGCTACTATCTAATACGCAATTGTTCATCTCTAAGCGACGTTCCTTCTGTACAGACTTAAATTTCTTCTTCTATTATTTCTTGCTATTTCCTCCTGGATATACCCCGCCTCTGAGATTTTATTTTTAACGGGAAACGAAAGGCTTAAGTTAAAAGTGATGGCGGAAAGCGAGCCATCATATATAGATTATGAAGCCTTTCTGAATCCTAATTTCTCTCCGGCTGCATTTGCAAATTCTCTAGTACTAAGTACTAATAATGCGACGGACACATCGCTGGATCTCTCCACACCTTTGTCGCGGGTGCTTTTCGATCTGCAGGAGATCGATACGCATATTCACACGCTGACGACGAGATCTGCACTTCCCCTGCTTACGCATACTCAGGGCCAGGTCGGGTCGGCAGGACGCATCCTCAAAGAGGTCGAAGAGCAGACTGCTTCTGTGACGCAGGGATATGCGCGGTTGGAGGGGGAGGTTCTGCGCAAGTGGGAAGCCGCGGAGGAGGCAAGGGTTGCGGCTCAGAAGTCCCTGGAAACCATGCGGCTGACGAGGGCAGTTGCGCGCTGTCTTGCGCTGGGCCGGCAATTGGAGAACCAGCTTGCGGAAGCTTCTTCTAAGGGTCGGGGCGACGGAGGCGTGCCTCGGGATGACTTTCGAGCGTTGGAACGAGCCGCGTATACGATTGTGAACCTGCGGCGAATGCTCTCTTCCGACTCGGAGGGCGAGGAAGGTTACGGGCTGAATCGGGTGAGGATTATTCGGACGCTGAAGGGTGATTTGTTGTTCCCTGCAGAGAACGTGGTCAAGGCAAGAGCGCAGCAGGCATTGAACCGGTTCTCCGTGTCGGGTGTATCTGCGGGTGATGAGTCTGGGTCTGGGCCGGCGTCGATGTCCTCTGGTTACAAACAGGCTCGAGATGCGAGGACGCGATTAGTCTCCGCTGTAACGGCCTTGTACATACTGTCACCAGTGCCGAAACGGACGGTTCCCGTCTCGGATTATCGACCGGAACTTCTTCTTTCGTCGCTACAGGGCTACATGTATTCGGCCATCTCATCATCATTGACGGCGCTTACGAGAGGACTCTCCATGCTCCCTACACTGGAGCGAACGCTCTCGGACATCTCGGCAAGGTGCCAGGATATAGTCGCGCTGGAGGCTATCCTCAGTACACTCAGACCGCCAACCCACCCATTGTTGCCTTCGACCGCGACATCCAGTGACAGCGGCCATGATCCACACGCAAAGACCCAATCGCAATCGCAAACCGTACCGACCCAGCCGAGCAATCTCCTCCAGCCGCTACTACAGTCCCTCGACACCTCATCGTTACCATCTTACTTTTGGCGGTCGCTGGCATCGTCGCTCGCGTCGCGCGTGCAGGAGATCCTGCATCGCGGCGGTGTCTCGGCACGGGCACTTCGATCGAACCGGGAGCGACTGAAAGCGGATATCCGGGAGTGTGTCCTGCGGGGCTCGCGGCTCTCCGCAACGGCGGGACTAGGCGGGAAGGGACGAAGTGGTGAGGCTGTCACGACGGGGAACTGGGAGAGAGAAGCGGCAGTGATGGTGCACTCGGTAGTTGGAGTACTGGGTAGGTAGTTTCGATGGTTTAGAGCGTGTCTGTACAATTTACATACAATGTGTCCGTCACATGCAAGAAGTGCAGAGGAGCACGTGCACTACATAGCACGGGACGATAAAGCGCCCGTCTGTACAGAGTAGCGGAGTACAGAATGCCTGTCTGTGCTGAAAGAACACACCTACTCCATAGTCCATCCATCCGGAGCATTTCAAAGACGTCACACTGCCCTCAACTCTCTGCCGCCGATCCGGATCTAGGCTAACCATCACGTTATCGATACGAACGACGTAAATTAAAAAATATGGAGACTCTCCTGGCCTGAAGCCTGAAGGGAACCGGACGTGCTCAGACCATAATCCATGAACAGCATGTGGCAAGGGTTGAGTGATTAGCAACAAAACCGCACTGGCCCTGCCTTTCGTTATGGATATGCAGGCGGGAAACTCAAATAGCGATTAAGAAGAAAAGAAATAATAATCTGCCCGTCAGACATGTGGGTATCAAGGTCCCTGGGGCCTGCATGAGCTTGGATTGGCGCAGAACCTGTTTCAGGGAGTTGCTGCGAGTGGCTGGAAAGGGCAATTCGGGGTGTGCTGGAAGTATTGCCGCCGTGTGTATACTCCATCGTCCATGCTGGATTGCTTTGCTGGACGAGACAAGTGGACAGCGAGGTGAAGGTACCTGCGCCAGGGGAATGATTGTCCGGGCGAATCCTGTGCGGCGGACTGGAGAATGTCACGTACATTAGCCCCTCTATTATTATTATTATTATTATTCTCCTTCTGATAAGACTGGATAGAGAAAGAGAAATAGAATGGATGTGTCTCACTATAGACTACCACTATTCTTGCAATAAAGCTATGGGCTTCTCCAGATAATACTGCGTGCGTGGTGAGTGCAACTGATCGGAGTAAATTTCGCGCAACAGCCACACACGGCCAGTTGGCTCCTCTACCTCCCCGTCTATGATTCATAACCAGGGCCGATGGCAAAAGATCGAGCCTCGCAAACGTTCCTGGTGCCTCGCTGAGTGGTCGGGAGACGGTTGGGTGATGGATGGCCGGACCATGGATGCCAAACGCCTTACTTATCCAGACCGTCCGCCATCGTCCGGGCAAGACTCCCTCTCTCGCTCGCGCGCTCTCTTCTCTTTCTTTTGCAGTTTCGGCATGGGCCACGGCCATGGGCAATCGATAATGGGACAATAATGGGACCCGTTCCGACGAGAGCGCTTGGTCCGTCCGTGTGATTCGCGAGATGCGCAGGACTTGTGGTTCCTGTGGCACTCCTGCTTTTCTGTCCCTGTTTTTCTCAGTCTTTGGCCAAATGCAAATCAATCGGTGGTTTTTCCTTTCGAGCATAGCCTAGAAGCTGTTGCGATACCCACTCTCCATCCCCGTCTCTTTTATTTTCCATTTCGATTCTAGGTCTTTTATGGTTTTTTTTTGCCCCCCTCGTGCTGTTCTTGACTCCTTTGCCCTGGAATTTCCTTGGCCGGACTGGTTGGAGCCTTTCTTCTTTTCTTGATGAAACTGGGAGTGGAAAGGGACGAGACAAGGCCGAAACAGCAACAAGAGATGGATGGATGTAGGAGTAGCAGCAGCAGAGTAGTTGGAGATGATCGTGATATGATATGATATGATATGCTGTCACCATTATTATACCCCCCCTTCTGCCGTCATTAACTTCTTAGAACATTAATTACTATTAATTATAAGCCTCTATCAACCAGATATATTATTATCCCAAATCCTAATATATTCCTATCCGCTTCGTCTTCCCTTCTTCTCAACGTCACCTCTTTTGGCATTCCCTCGTCTCTGACTTCATCCCCCTCTTCTATCCCGGTCCTCCTCCCGGTCCTCCTCCCTCTTCTCGGGACGGCCCTCTCTGATTCTTCCCATCAACTATCCTTATTGCTCTCCCTAGGTATTTATAATTTTCTTTGCTATCTTGATTCTTTTGTATCGTCCTTCTTGCGTCGTTGCGCTTCCACTGCGACGGCCGGTCCAGCGCGGAATCCCGACACTAACCAGTTTCTTTCAATCCTTGACACTTTCATCACACACTCTGCTTCTCTTCCGTCCACTGCCTTCACTTTTTCTGCTGCTGTGTGCGTCTGCCTGCATCTCCGGCTGCTCGGCCCTTGGAGATGCCTGCCTGCCGCTGACTTCTGTCTGGATTTTCTTCCCTCGTATTCCACCTAGCCTGTCTTATCAGCAGTGCTCTTCTACTGCCCTTCCCACCCTTCTCTTCTTCCCCTCCTTCCTCGGGTCTGGACGCTGGAAGCAGTAGGCCGGAGCGCACACTGTCCTATTCTGTACGTTGGAACTTGAGCTGGCATTTTGCATCGAAGATATACTGCGCAGTCCATATACTGATCTTCTTTGAAAGTGGGTGCACAGTCCCCGTCCGAAACCCCCTCCCCGGTATAAACATAAACTGCGTTAGCCTCACTCGAGAGCCTCAGCATTCCTTCGCGCCGGGAATTGGTATACACGTCTTTCGACAAACACTTGACACGTCCCACCCGATTTTCCTGTTGGCGGGCTGACAGGGAACCCTCCAAAATATCCAACTGAAACCTCCCGTTCTAATTTTTTTTTTTTTTTTCTTTTCCGTCCCGCCCTCACCTCGCCATGTCTTCGTTTTCACCCGTCAACGACTCCTCTTCGCATGACCGAACCATGGGCGACGCCCCGACCCCTCGACCAGACTCGAAGAACTTGTCGCCTGTTCAGGACTCTCAGGCAATGGCCGTGGATCAGGACGAGCGCAATTCTCACCCTTCAACAGCAACAACAAATGCCAACGGCCACTCGTCACGGCCAATCGCCTCCAAAGCCAGCGGTTCCGAGGAAACAAGAGGTGCAGCGGCTGGTGAATCAGACGGGGATCATGGAGAGCGAGACGGTTCCGAGAATGATGCGGCGGCTGAGCCACGCAGTACTGCCGGTCCTCCGCCCTCGAAGAAGAAAAAGGGACAGCGGTTCTTCTGCACCGATTTTCCTCCTTGCACTTTGAGTTTCACGCGGAGTGAACACCTGGCACGCCATATTCGGAAACACACTGGCGAGCGGCCATTCCAATGTCATTGTTCCAGACGATTTTCTCGCCTAGACAACTTGCGACAGCATGCCCAGACAGTCCACGTAAATGAAGATATCCCTGGGGATTCGCTCGCAGCCACAGGAATCCGATTCCAGCGCCAGATACGCACCGACCGAGTTCGTCCGCAAGGCAGAGCCCGAGCTGGTACCGCTGGTACCGCTGGTAGCCAGGGGACTCACAGCAGGGGCCACAGCAGAAACCTATCGGGTTCTAGTATTACGTCGACCGCATCCTCCTTCAGTCAACCGGAGATCCGACGTCGCCCGCCTCCTCTGATCATGGCCAACGATGGCACCGCTAGGACACGACTGGCGGTGGACACAATGGCCGAACCTCCCAGTACTCCGCCTAGTCAGATTCACGGAATTCCTGGTCCATCCGCTGCAGGATCCCCCTACGCGACACCCATGTTTGTCGCTAACGGTGGTAGTCCCCATTATGCGTCTCCCATGTCCACAGTATCCTCGGCCTTTTGGGATGGAAGGACTCCCACACGCCGTTTGTCAGTTCCGTCCGGACCGAATCCTTTTCTACAACACCATGCTGGCACCTATCCTCCACCTTATGCCCATACATCGCCGTATTCAAACGCCGGGGTATATGCAAGTCCCACGAGCACCCACCATTCTGAAGCGGCCGGCCTCAGCGCTGCCGAGGCTGAATTGCGAAGGCGAACTTGGCACCCGTCTACTTATTCTACATTACCTAGACCGGTCTCCAACGGTGGTCTGGGTGGCTACCAGGCACCCGAGACCCTTCAGCCAGCATTTGGACTGAATGGGTCTGCGGAACCACCACCAAGGCTCCCCGGAATAGAGAGTTTTGACAAGGTCCTATCGCAGCAGCGGCCTTTGACTCCTCCTGCGCGGAAGCGGACGCCGATGGACATCGACAGCAGCAACAAACCACCGCCACCACTGCAGCCATCGTATCCGGCTTTCGGGGGAGGATTTATCTACTCACAGCCCTCTGTTCGGCCACCTCCCCCGATTTCCGGCCCTGGCCACAGGCGTGGCCATGTCTCCTGGGACGTGACTCTACACCGGAACCTAACTGGGTTGGAAATTGCGGATCGATCGCACAAGGATGCGTCGCACTGGGGCCAGCAGACCATTGCTGAAATTCAAAATGTCTCGTCTGGTCCATCTCCCTCGTACCAGCCATCGTCGGCCCAAAGCAAGCCGACTGGCTATTATGCTGGCTCTACTCCTGGCACTGCTCCTGGTCCTCTAGCGGCCACACGTACGTCACCGGAGGATTCGAGTAGCAGTGAGGGTGCTCCTACGCCATCCACTGCGTCTCTCGAGTACCATCCGGCCATTGTGCATAGTAGCGGATACGTCGAGCCACATCAACACGCAATCCCTCCTGAAGTTCCACAATCAGTATGTAATGCGCTTTTCAGGGGCACCAGATCCAAACGCTAATTATCTGACAAACACAGGTTTGCGCCACTCCCTCGGTATCTCATCCAGGTAATGATCATGCGAATCTTGGTCATTCCACACAGCCTGAGCTTTTCTCCAATTCCTCGACCGAGCGTTCAGGCATGGGAAGGTTGGAGGCTCTTGTGGCGGTTGCGACTCGCGAGAACCAGCATGCTACGAAGTTAGTCCTGTGAATTGGAATCACTTTCTATTTTCTTTTTACAAGACACAGACCCTTCCCATCGGAGCATGCCTCTTTGGGGTGGTTTCTCGAGTTTTATCACGTCGCCCAAAGTAAGAAACTGGGCTTTTCTTTTTCTTTTTCATATTCCTGATAATAGTCTATTCAAGATTCATGTGGTCTCATGGTATTCAGCTCTTGCATTATTGATGGCTCGTTGGGTATGGTATGGGGAGGACTCATCACGACGTGACGACTCATGATTGACGCAAAAAGATAATTGGCATTCCACTTCGACAGGGGGCTTCTGTTGCAGCAGGATCTTGCTAGGGAGCCCATCTTAGTTCTTCATTGGCATGTTCCGGTGTTGCTTCGGCCACATGCGCAGGGAATGAGCAATGGGCCAAGCTACATTCTCGCCTGTTGGGCGAGGTTACTATGCTGGACTGCGGTTTTGCCTTCATGCTATACGGTGGATGGGGTTGTCTTCATTACTCCGCCGCCACGCATTTCCGGGTTGTCCTGCTCTGGTTCTATATATTGGCTGTTGTTTCCAAATCGGTGTCTTTTTGAAGTCATTTTTTTCTGGTTTCGATTTTCCTGGTTTCGATTAATGTCTTAGTATCATGCTCTTTTTTTTTTTTTTGGTTTTATCCTTTCAACATATTATTACGGTGCACGTTCTGTTTGCATTTGGAGGCCAGCAAATTGCAGATTATGACTTAGGGAGGAATGGACAGGGGCGGCGGCGTTGGGCCTTGCTTTCATCTGGGGCATTTGGATTTGGCTTAGATTTCATTTCGGAATGACAGCGTCGAGTTGATTCATGTTTTCCTGGACTGCGTAGGTTGGTTCTGGATAATTCGGCATTGTGCACTGGCATTATATGAGCTCATGTGTACGTATAGCACCCTGGATATGTATGGAATAATGGACATGATGGATGGTTCTGGCTATGACTATTAGTGACGTCGACCTGGTCGCCTGCACTGGGGAAGGGAATGTGGAGGAAGCTTGCTTGCTTGCCTAGCCAGGGCAGAGTGCAGCTTCGGGTTGCTGAAAGCAGCTGTACTTACGACGTATTCATTTACTTGTAGGTATTCTATGAGGCTTTCTGTTCCCGGGGATAATTATAATTATGCAACTACACAGGAGTGAAGTTAGGTCTAGGTAGCCTTGGAGTTGGCAGAGCTTCTTCTTGCTTGCAGTTAAACACTCCTGGGGGATTCGTTTTCATATCAAATACCTACAAGTAATGGAGAGTAACAGCAGTAGCAATAGCATAACAAATGAATCAACATGCACCGTTACTCTTAATAATGGGTGTAGTTACATACGACTATAGAGTAAGAGTAACGGGCATAACGTCATTAAGGGTCAGGTCTCTCCTCCATATATTTATCATAAGGATTACCAGGTACGTAGTTAACTACCTCTTGCTCGCATATAGCTCGCTAGCTGCCCTCTCTTCATCAAAGCATACCAATATCAACCCAAGGCTTATTGTCGCAAGTACACATACACAGGTGCAATCAACATGTCGAACAGAACACTTCTCTACGCCGGACTCGCCGCTGCCGGGGCGGGAGGATACTATCTTTACCGGGCTGGAGGGAGTCCTCAGGCGGCCAAGGAGAATATCAAGGGTTAGTTTTTGTCATTCTATCGTGTCCTGCATATCCTGTCTTGTTGCGTTGCGTTGCATCCGTTCCATTCTGTCTTGGCCATTCAAGCCCGTCTATTCTTGTTCTTTTCTTCTCTGTTTGTGTCATTTACCATCCGATGAGCTTGTTTAAATCATGCCCATTTCATGTTAACTCATGCCATGTCATGGGTGACTTGACTGGTTCATCGAAACTCAACCTCTGTCTGCGCAATCAATGGCATGACATTGATTCAAACTTCGCCCCTACCAGACCAGAATCCAAGAACAAATATTGACGAGTTTGAATCAGAGGATGCCCGGAAAGCTCGCGAGGCAGTTCCCCGCGGCTCCAACGCTGCTCATGCCGGTGAGGTTGCGGGGGAGGGAGTATCTAATATCGACGAGGCGGTATGTTGTGTTATCCCTTTTCTTTTTTCGTTTTAAAAACCAAGTTGCTGACAGTTCACCCTGTCAAAAAGGTAAACAACGCACGTTCCCAAGGAAAACCCGACGAGATAATTCCTGAAGCTACAGAACGGGGTAGGAGCAGGATCGACCAGGCCCGTCGCGACATGGAGACGTCGGTTAATAGGTTCGATCGGAAGGTGGAGGATAAGACGGGTGAGGCGAAAGGGAAGTTGTCAGGGTTGTTTGGGAAGTGAATTTAGGTATTCTTTGAAGTTTGTATGGAATAATATCCTGAAGAGGGATTGGAAGGTGATTGAACTGTTGTCTGTTGTTGTACGAGTAGTCAACTACTACACATATAACCATTTCGGGCATACGCGTGCGTGTCGCGTCGCGTCGCGCTGTGCTGCAAAATTAAATTTTAGGGATGCGTGAGCTATCACAAGTAAATACACACCACCAGACCAACTTGTATTAAATCCTCAACTGGACCTTCCAATTCTTACAACCACAATTTAATTAATTGCATTATCCATCTTCCTTAATCTTCATAGACTATCTACCTATTGAATACTATAGAAGTAGCGACCATGGCCCGCACGTCGACACGAACACGCCTTCCTCGAGGCCAGGTCGGCATTCAGAACTTCGCAAGAGCCACGAAGCCCGGCGTCACCGCAGAATCAGAAGCAGGGGAATTGAAACCAAAGATTGGAATTGGAAAGAAGGAATCACATGCTCCAGCTGAAACTGCAACTGAAAGAGCAACTGAAGCTGAAGCACTCCCCCCGGCCACGCCTTCTAAGAAGCGGAAATTGAACCACGACGTTGATGAAGATGAGGAACACGAAGAAGAAACTGCAACGGAGACCCCGTCCAAGACACTCCGGATTGGTGAATTGTCCGTTTCAACGCCGAGGAGTCGTCGGAGCCGCAACCGGAACGAGAACAAGAACCAGGACCAAAACCAGGCTCACACCCATACACACACTCCGCACACACCTGTCCGTCCGACTGGATTCGACGATCTCCTGTCTCTCCATTCCTCCTTTCTGAAGGCGTTAGGCCTCCATTTTGCTCATAATGGCGTGAGGACGCCGGCGGATCTGAGGGAGTTTCTGCGCAATATGGAACGCATATGGAAGAGAAGAAAGGTGTCAGTCAAGGATCTGCAGCGGTTGGTTTGGGTTTGGGAGCAGGGTGCTACGTCTACGTCGGGATCGGACTCAATTGCAAAGCCAAAGCCAAAGTCTACCCCATGGCCCTCGTACCGAATTGCGAATTATGGTCTGGGTAAGGTGTGTCTTGAGACAAGTGGCGAACGTGTCTCGGAGTGTATCTGTGAGGATGAATTGCAGGTGGAATTTGAGCGGTTACTGGAGCGGCTCTGGGAGAAGTGTCTTGAATTAGATGAGGAAGAGAAGGGCGTGAACATTGATTTTATAGAGACCCTCGGCCTTGCGCCTATACACGAATCTCTCACTCCGCTTACGTCTTTCCGGGCGGGACAGCAGCGACTGCAGGATTTGAAGGGTGGGGTTATCAGGGTTAAGACGGAGGCTCTTCGTGCGCGGATGGATCATGCCTCAGTACCAGGGTCAATCATGAAGACGCCGGATACTACGACGGATCGTCGAAAGAGTCTTCTGGACCGAATCAAGAGCAAGCAGCTTCTACAGTCGAAGTTGCCTCCGCCGCCTTCGAAGGAGATGCTTCTCCGTCGCGCTGCCGCGGAGCGAGTAGAAGATGTTGCGCGAGTGTTGGCTTTGTTGAGACCGTCGACTGGTTCTGTGGATGCTTCTTCTGGCTTGAAACCCATAGCTCCGGTGCAGAGGAGGCCGTTTCGGTTCGACACTATCGTGCAGCACGTGCAGGACTCCATGCGAAATCCAATCTCGCACGAAGAGGTCGATGCCTGTCTTCAGATTCTATCCCAGACGGACGTCGCCGGTCACTGGGTCACTGTTGTAACCGTCAAGGGGATCAGATCGGTGGTGTTGAAGTCTTTTGGAGATGTCTCTCCCAAGGAGATTGGGGGGCGGGTTCGCCAGATGAAGATAGGTTGGGTGGATTCTCCATAGGTTTGGAAAACTCTGGAATACGGTCTTGAGGTTACTTGATAGAGTTGATATTTTCTTTTGGATGGAGCTGGACTCATTGCATACGGCATATTGCATTTTACGGAGTATCGATTTGGGGCATATTGTACATTAGCAGTTCCATTTTAGATCATGACCTGCCATTCTTTTGGATGAATCGATGCCAATATTGATATAGGCCTTTCATTCCATTCTATCTGCATCTCCATAGCATACCGAGTATATACTACGGATACATAACTAGTTAACTAGAAGTCATTAATGCTTTATCAGCGGCGCGCGACGCGTCTTCACGTGACCGTTTCGCCTGCAGCGCGTTCCCGAAGCTTTACAGAAAGAGATCCAGTCGGCAACAACCGTACGCTCGAGAAACAGGAGTTGGGTTTGTATCCAGGTCTCTACTCTGCTTACAGAGGTCTACCGACAAGATGTCATCTCGTCCTGACCTTAAGGTACGAATAAATTCCAGCCTTTGTTTGACATTCTGCTTCAGTAACTCACATACATTATCTGTCAGGTCGACGACGAAGTCGGTTTCATACGCTTCTACCGCACACTCCCCAAACCAGACAATGACGAAACAATCCGTGTGTTTGACCGTGGGGACTGGTACTCATCCCACGGCGAAGATGCCGAATTCATTGCCCGCACCGTCTACAAGACGACAGCCGTCTTGCGGAATCTCGGCCGCAGCGAAACCGGCGGCCTGCCATCCGTCACCATGAGCGTTACAGTATTCCGGAACTTCCTCCGGGAGGCGCTCTTCCGACTGAACAAGCGTATTGAGATCTGGGGCTCCGTGGGAACGGGCAAGGGCCACTGGAAACTGATCAAGCAGGCCAGTCCGGGCAACCTCCAGGATGTAGAGGATGAGCTAGGCAGTGTGGGTGGACTGGCGTCGATGGATTCGGCTCCTATCATTCTCGCTGTGAAGATATCCGCCAGGGCGGCTGAGGGAAGGAATGTCGGTGTGTGCTTTGCGGATGCTAGTGTGCGGGAGCTGGGTGTGAGCGAGTTCCTGGACAACGATGTCTATTCGAATTTCGAATCTCTCGTGATTCAGCTTGGGGTGAAGGAGTGTTTAGTGCAGGCTGACATTGGGCGGAAGGATGTGGAACTGGGCAAGATCCGGGCTATCGCTGATAGTTGCGGTATTGCCGTGTCGGAGAGACCCGTCGCTGATTTTGGGGTCAAGGATATCGAGCAGGATTTGACCCGGTTGCTGCGGGATGAGAGGGTGGCGGGAACGCTGCCGCAGACAGAACTCAAGTTGGCCATGAGCTCTGCGTCAGCTCTGATCAAGTACCTTGGTGTCATGTCGGATTCGACCAACTTCGGACAGTACCAGTTGTATCAGCATGATCTGTCGCAGTACATGAAGCTGGATGCTTCTGCACTGCGGGCCCTCAATTTGATGCCGGGTCCACGGGATGGGTCAAGGACTATGAGCGTGTTTGGGTTGTTGAATCACTGCAAGACGCCTGTCGGGAGCAGATTGCTAGCGCAGTGGCTGAAGCAGCCTCTCATGGATGTCAAAGAGATTGAGAAGAGACAGCAGCTCGTCGAGGCCTTTGTTACTGACACTGAGCTGAGACAGACGATGCAGGAGGAGCATCTACGTTCGATCCCTGACCTATATAGATTGGCCAAGCGGTTCCAACGGAGGCAGGCGAACCTAGAGGATGTGGTACGAGTTTATCAGGTTGCTATTCGCTTGCCTGGGTTTGTGAGCACGTTAGAGAATGTAATGGATGAACAGTACCAGACGCCTCTGGAGGCGGAGTATACGACAAAACTACGGCATCACTCGGACAGTTTGGCGAAGCTGGAGGAGATGGTTGAGACTACGGTCGATCTCGATGCACTGGAGAACCATGAATTCATTATCAAGCCGGAATTCGATGACAGCCTGCGAATCATCAAGAAGAAGCTTGACAAACTCAGACACGATATGGATGTCGAGCTTAGGAAGGTCGCCAAGGACCTCAATCAGGACATCGACAAGAAGCTCTTTCTCGAGAACCATCGCGTACATGGCTGGTGCTTCCGGTTGACGAGGACCGAGGCTAGTTGTATCCGGAACAATCGTGGCTATCAAGAGTGCTCGACCCAAAAGAACGGGGTGTACTTCACTACTTCAGCGATGCAGTCATTGCGCCGGGAGCATGACCAGCTGTCATTTAACTACAACCGTACACAGACCGGACTTGTGAATGAGGTCGTCAATGTTACCTCCTCTTACTGCCCCGTTCTTGAGCAACTGGCTAGTGTGCTGGCGCACCTTGATGTCATTGTCAGTTTTGCGCACGCCTCAGTGCATGCCCCGACACCATATATTCGCCCAAAGATGCATCCGCGAGGTACCGGCAATACCATCCTGAAAGAAGCGCGTCACCCCTGCATGGAGATGCAGGATGACATCTCCTTTATCACCAATGACGTCTCCCTGGTCCGAGACGAGTCGTCTTTCCTCATTATCACCGGGCCAAATATGGGCGGTAAATCAACATACATCCGACAGATCGGCGTGATTGCCCTCATGGCCCAGACGGGATGTTTCGTGCCCTGTTCTGAAGCTGAGCTAACCATCTTTGACTGCATCCTTGCTCGTGTAGGTGCAAGCGATTCCCAGCTTAAGGGCGTGTCGACTTTCATGGCCGAGATGCTGGAGACTTCCAATATTCTCAAATCTGCGACATCCGAGTCCCTCATCATCATTGACGAACTGGGCCGTGGAACGAGCACTTATGACGGCTTTGGCCTTGCCTGGGCCATTTCGGAGCACATCGTAACCGAAATTCGCTGTTTCGGACTTTTCGCTACGCATTTCCACGAACTAACGGCCCTCGCGGAGCGGTATCCCAAGTCTGTGAAGAACTTACACGTGGTTGCATTCATCGACAACACCGAGGACATCAAGGAAACCGAACATAAAAAGCGACAAGTCACACTACTTTACCGCGTCGAGCCTGGAATCTGTGATCAATCCTTCGGTATCCATGTCGCCGAGCTGGTCCGTTTCCCAGAGAAGGTCGTGAACATGGCGCGTCAAAAGGCGGAGGAGTTGGAAGATTTCTCTACCTCTTCAACTGCAGAGCAAGGGAAGCAGCAGTCCACTGCCGTGTCTTATTCTTCTTCCCCCCTTGATAGATATTCGCGCGAAGAAATTGAGGAAGGCAGCGCTCTTCTCAAGAACATGCTGCTGAAATGGAAAGCTCAGGTTGAGAGTGGAAACTTGTCTGCCGAGGAGAAACGGCAGATCATGCGGGATCTGGTTAATTCTGATGAGACGCTCAAGGCGAACCCGGTGTTTCAGGGCATTAGGGCTTTATGATCGGGGCCATATATGTCGCTGTAATGGTGTTATTGGCGTTATGTGTTAACAGTGTTAGGCATTACCATCTATCCCATGATGATTCCTCCAAGACTGACACGCGATATGTGTTACTAAATATCCAGATCTCCAGAGATCTTCGCGCTGTCGGAGGATCTGCGCTAATTAATTTTAAAAACTGCCGTTTTGGGAAATGCGCATCACAGCATCACGTGCAGAGGTCCAGGCCCGTTTGGGAAATTGACAACCGCCAATTCTATTTCTCGTACTCCGTAGAGCCAAAATAATAATCATCCTTAATAATAACAACATTGCCATCCTTCTCCTGAAGTTCTCTGCGCATTCTGGAATCACCAGCACCTCCATGCCACTGCCCAAACCTCCCTATCTGAAATCCTAGCTATGCGCCCAGTTGACGTCGGAACGCGGAAGCAACTCTAACTTCATGCACCCGTTCTCCATCTTGACCCTCGGTATTTTCGTGGCGGGCTACATCACCGCGAGGTGGGATCTCGTCACACGGTTATACGAACTGGCTATTTTCGCGTGGGACCACGGTGTTGTTGTATGTATCTATCTATTCCATCCATCCACGCTTTCTTACAGATCCCCCTCCCAGTGAACTTCACTTCTTACTGCGTCTCTCAGGCACGGACTGCGAAAGGCTTCATACTTCTTTCAATCTTCTATTTTCTCCTAGTCCTTCCTATTAATCACCTCGCGCAGAGAGAGAGCGAATTGGTACGTGGAAAACAACCAGCTCATCGCACAAGAGCAGCAGCTCCGCGATGGGGGAACCTCATAATAAGCTGCTTGGGTTGCTTTAAAACTTACCAACGCCCTTTTGTTTTGACGATCTATTAGCATCCTCGATTCGCAAACCAGGGAATATCCGCACGCGAACAACTGCGCCGTCGGGGCTCCTTCTGACGATGACAATATGCTCATGAGCGATGGACTGCTGCGCGTATTTTGGCCGTATGATCTTCCGCGCTCCTCGAATCCCGGTGTCATTGTTGGATGGCGGAACTCGGAGCTGGATTTGTTTGTGATTGCTATTTTGGAGGATGTAGAGGTGTGTGACTAGTTGGTTTGCCTTGTTTTCTTCGTTAGGGGCTGCTAAGGCTGAAATTACATTGGACACCGACGACAGCCTCGAAATGTGGACAATGCTCTACGTGCAGGGATCCTCTTTCGCAACAGTCCGCATCCCATTGCAAGATTATTTAACCTCTGCGGGAGGTCTGCTATGCATGTCCTGGGGTCGATAAATCCAAAATCGCCGCCGACAGCGTTTAACCCCTCTCACCTCTATGTCACCACGAACAACACAAGGAGGGTCCCGAGGATTTTCTGTCCACCCGAGGCCAATTTGTCTGTCCAGATCATCATGTTTCACCGCCCGCACCCTACGAAGATGGAGTACATGTCGCTGAACCCGATTTCTCTTGCCCTCACTGACAAGTCGTCGGCCGCCGGGAAAGGGGAAACTATAATGGATAGCATAGATACGGAAGAGGAGAGGGACAAGATCCGCGCCCGCAAACTGGTTGATAAGCTCAAGTTTCATACCGTTGTCAAACACATTCCGACGCAGAAGGAGCTTGTGCTACCCCTTATAATCAACCAGATCAATTGCGCCTATGAGATGGAGAGACTTATGGAGAAGAATAGCCATTTGATTGGGACTCGCGTCAAACGGAGTTTGAGTGTTGGGGAGAGAGTCGTTGAATCGGCGACGACAATATGGGACCTTTTCATCTTTGGAATATCCTACGTGCTTTGGCGCTGGATCTGGCCCGTCGTCACAAGAGTCTTTGTCATCGGACTCGTATGTCATCGTTCGATTGCCGAATTTGTCCTGCAGGTTTTGGAGTGGCGAGCACACCCTGATGCGGCTGCGTTAAAAGATATATCTGCGACGGCCCAACAGGTTGATATTCGTCTTCAGCAATTCTGCTATTGGCCTATTCAATATGCCAAGTTGCGACAACGGAAGGACAACTGGGAGAGTGTCACGACCAGTCATCCAGATTATATCCGATTTTATAACAGTCTGTGGCTGGTCGCCAATGATGTGATAATTGGCATCGCACTGGGATCGTACATCATCGACAACGCTAACTGGGTGGCATATCAGATCAACACTGCTCTCACTGGCTGGACTGTGGAAGGCCTGCAGCGTACGATCTCTTGGCTGATGGACTGGCCGGCTGGTCTCAAATTGAATAACGAACTCGCAGCTTTCTTGGGTGACCTCTTCTTATGGGTCATCGAGAACTGGGCAGGTATGGTGGCCTTAACATGGCAGAACATCGGTTGCACTTTTCCGCTAACTCACGTCAGCCTTGATTGCGAATCTCCAACCCTACCTCCAACAGATCATCTACGTCGTAGGATGTTCTAGCTTCGCAGGAGCAAGCATGCCGATTGCACTTTTCTCCGACCTCCTCTCCATCCTAACTGTACACATCTACTCCTTTTACATCGCATCCGCGCGCATATTCAATTGGCAGCTTAGTATCATCATCTCACTTTTCCATCTTTTTCATGGAAAGAAGCGCAACGTGCTTCGTAACCGAATTGACTCGTGCGATTATGACCTCGATCAACTGCTTCTCGGCACAATTCTGTTCACGCTTCTATTTTTCCTGCTTCCTACGGTCATCGTGTTCTACTTGACTTTCGCTATAGCCCGGATGTTGATCATATCGTTGAAGGCGACGTTTGATACCTGTCTGGCATTTTTAAACCATTTCCCGCTGTTTGCGCTAATGTTGCGAGCGAAGAACTCTCGACGGTTACCAGGTTTGTGCACTGCCACGTCGCCATGTTTCTTCTGGGATTCTGGATGCTCATTGCTGTCGTCGGATAGGTGGAATTATGTTCGAACTCCGGGAAGAGAGCGACGGGTTCTTTTATTCGAACGGCGATTCTCCTGAAACGACATCTTTCATACACCTGGAGGTGTGTAAATTATATCTGATATACTCTGCGGATGAACTGACAATCACCAGTCTATCCCACTCTCCCTCCGCGCAATGTTCGATCAATACTTCCAGCTAGCTCACCGTCTTCGAAAACACTACCTTTCCCCGCGCGTCATCTTCTGTCTTGTTACCGGCCAATTCGTTCCGCCCATCCACCGCCGCAACCTATACAGTTTGCAATATAGCATGCTGCCGGCCCATCGAGCGGGCATGGCAGAGGTATGGACACTTCTCACCAAACCTAAAAAGAGTGGTGGCGGTAGCAGTGGTTCTGGATCGATGGTCGGTGGGATTGGGGCAACCACTAATGGCCTGCTGAAGGTCCCTCCTGGATTCGCGCAGGGAGATCTTAGAAGGAGGGGACATCGATGATATTCGGTGAAATGCTTGTTTATAGATTTTAATTCAGTGTGTCTATGTTTCCATTAAGATGTATAATATTAGATTTAATCTGGCTGTATGCTGACCGTAGCCTTACAGGACTAATCTAGATTTCCTATCATGATACTAATCCCAATTGACTCCTAAGGTTCATATGAACTTCAGGTAGATTATATACCCTCATTTCTTAACATAAACACTCAACATATCCGTCCCCCTCCCCTGCTCATACGACCGCACAGGCTTCACATAAAGCTTCCTCGTAAAAGCTCCCTTTCCTTCTCCCTCTCCACCCCTAAAACCATAACCATCATCGTAAAATATGCCATCACCTCCCTCCGCAAGCAGATTCCAATGCACCCCGTTCAGTCCCCACGGCGGACCGGGCAGCTTCAGATCCTTCCACAGGGGAAACTCAAGACAAACCAAGAGACCAGTTGGGGTTAGAAGATCGGCCATACGGAATGCCCATTGTTGGCGCATTTTGGGGTGGAGGGCGCAGAGGAACTATCAAACACAGTTCAGTTCAGTTAACCATAGCCGTACCCCTGTGTGCTTCCTTGTCGATTATAGTCGATTATACTCGGTATAATTGACGGGGGAGACTCACGGTATAGTCATAGATAAGGTCAAACTTAACCCCGTTTTGTTTCTCCTTAAACTCCCAGTCCGATTTGAAAAAGTCTCCCTGGATGATGGTTACTTGCCCTCTTCCTCTTCCTCCCTGGATCTGGATCTTCTCCGGAGAGAAGGGTGATGAGTCTCCAAAGTTATATGCGTGTGGATGCTCAAGTTCGCTCTTGGCATACTCCCTAGCTACCGAGACGCCTGTCGCGGAGACGTCGAGCCCGTACGCGTCAAAACCGTGTAAGGCGAGCATGACGACATCGTAGCCTTTTCCGCAGCCCTGTTTCCGTCGGTTTACTTCTTAGTTTTCCTTTTAAAAAGAAAAAAGAAAAATTAGGTGAAGACTCGAATACCGGAACAAGAACCTTCTTCCTTCTCCCATCCGCAGTAAAGGGAGTGAAAAGGTCACGACGTTCCTGTTCCTGTTCCTCCAGGATATCAACCAGGGCAGGCGATGGCCTTCCCCTGTCCCAGAGATCACTACTATTCGTGTCCCAGAGGGAGGACCAGCCTGATATTTGGTCGTTAATGGAGCTGGCATTATATTAGTATAGCTAGTACATGAAAAAGGGAAGGACGGTATACTCCGTACCGTGTCTCGAAATGCTTGATTAGACGTGTCTTCGCCTCTGCGGGTTGGATGGTGGTACTACTACTAGTAGTAGTAGTATGGTCTGATGCCATTTTGTTTTTTCTCTTGCTTAATCGTTTTAGCCGGATACAATCCTATCTGGAATACAAGATGATGATGTTGATGAACTTGAGGACGGAAACGGAGCCGGAAGCAATCAATCAATCAGTGGACGCCTTTCTCATTTCCCTTTCTGGTAATACAATTAGGGTTTCCGGCTTCTTCCATGTCTATTATATATATACTTTGAACTTCTAGATTTACTGAAGTGAATGATTACTGGAAGAGTAATAAAGCAAAATGACATCATCATATCTAGGCCAACTGCTTAGCGAATCCGTCGCAGACCACATTGGTGCCACACCTCTCGTGCGATTGAACCGCCTCCCTGCCTCATACGGGATCAAAGCGAAGATATGCGCGAAGCTGGAATACTTCAATGCAGCCGGTTCGATAAAGGATCGCATTGCAAAGCGGATGGTCGAACAGGCTGAACGGGATGGATTGATTAAACCTGGTGATACCCTGATTGAGGCTTCTAGTGGGAATACGTACGGGCATTTCTTATGTACCAAGACCTATATATGTATTATTTATCGACTAACTTATGGTTAGAGGTATAGCTATAGCTCTCATAGCAACTATAAAAGGGTATGAATGTATCATTACGGTCCCCGGGAAGACATCGTTGGAAAAAGAACAGGTACTCCATGCGCTGGGAGCCAAAGTTGTCCGAACACCGGCCGGAGTACCGTCTGAGTCTCCGGATTCTAATATAAATGTCGCCAAGCGCTTGAATGAAGAGATACCGAATTCATGGTTCCTTAATCAGTACGATAACGAGGAGAACACGCATGCGCATGAGTATGGTACGTCAGAGGAGATCTGGTACCAGACCCAAGGGAAAGTCGATGTTGTGATTGCTGGTGTCGGGACAGGAGGCACCGTCACCGGTATAGCAAGAGGATTGAAGAAGAACGATCGAGATGTGTTTATCGTCGGTGTGGATCCGGTTGGATCTATCCTCGCGCAACCAGAAGCGCTTAACAGCAAGATCAGTGAATACAAAGTGGAAGGGATCGGGTATGACTTTGTGCCCGGTGTGCTGGACCAGTCTGCTCCAGATATCTGGGTCAAAACAACAGACGAGGGATCGTTCCAGAGTGCGAGGAGACTCGCGAGAGAGGAGGGTATACTCTGCGGTGGTTCATCTGGCGCTGCCTTTGCAGGTCTGGTCCAATTTCTCGAGCAGCACCCGAAGTTCAATTCGGAAGACAAGACTATTGTGTTGGTTTTCGCCGATGGCCTCAGGAATTACCTGGCCAAGTTCGCTGGTAACAAGGGATGGAACGCAACGGATTTGCCATAGACATAGGTAACAACTGAGCAAGACTGCTAGCGGCATATGTCGGAAGTGAATCAATAAATTGCTGCTGAATGGATCAACCACCCCCGACATCTGAATTTTGGATAAGGTGATCCGTCCTTTGGCACTGCTCCGTGTTGCCGTCTGCTAGATTTCCGAGTGGGCCGGTAGAACACGTTATCATCTTCTGCCGCCTGAACTCGGCGAGACACTCCGGACTGAGCCACGGCCAAGCCATACATGCTTTTATCATGTCAGTGGAATTCTGAGCCGCCGAGCTGATAGATGGGTCGAACGGTGTCCATCTATCGGCCGACCATGGAAGATAGAAGTTATAATTTTCATTACTATGGTGATCGGAAAAGTCATGTCGAGATGCGCTGGAATCTGTTAGTATTTCCATTCCCTCCTTGAACAGTTTCAACCATTCAAGGTTGTCTGCTGGTGTTTGGTTCCATGGGTCGTCATCCCCGTAAGCGATAAGACGGGCCTCTTTTTGTAACATTTCGTCCGTGATAACGCTCCCTGAGGTCTGAGATTTCCACACAAACTCACTCAGGCGAGTGGTAAGATGCTCAAAAGGCGTTGGCTCGGGCTTTTCTTTTGGGAGTTGGTTCGTAGTTTCTCCTAGGCAGACAGCCCCGGCATCTCCTCCAACCAACCGAGAAGCGCTGAAGGGCTCCATCGCTGTGGATTCAACCCCGATCAAATAAGGTGGCATGGCGTTCTCCACTGCTAAAGCGACCGATGGTTCAAGACCTCGACATCCTCGCCAATCTTTCATCAGAGCGCCCTCCCGAAAGTGTCGGGCAATATGACTATTTCTTTCGGACCATACCGTGAAGGTCTCGCCGCAAAATCCGCAGCGTGATTTAACGTGGGTAATCTGTGACTTCCAGGTCTCTATTAATGGAACTGGGTGGTTGATCCCATGCACTAGTCGTAAATGCTGAAGAAGATGATCTTTTCGATAAAACGTCCGAAACACTATAGGTTTTTGCTGACATATTCCAAACCGGTGGGACTCTACATGATCATCCGATGGATGGGGTTCGTCGCAGAAGGCACAGCGGCCGATGCCATTCAATGGGTCATTGTAGGTTGCGCCCAAAGGAGTGCAAGTGAATTTTTCAAGCGAGAGGTGTAGGGTCTTTTCATGTCGTGTCCAGTCATATTTCGTGCGAAACGTGTCGGTGCAAAAAGTACACTGATACGGTCTCTTCCGCGAAGTCTTGCTCTGGGGTCTAGAGAGAATAGAGACAGCCTTTGTCCGCCGGCGGCGCCGTCGAGGTGTTTCATTCAGATAAAACCGACCAAAAGAGCCGTGAGAATCTCTAGAATCAAAGCTAAAGGCAGACAATCCCGAACTGCTTGATAAAGCTGATCCTGATGCCTCTGAAGAGACCAGCGATTTGGCATCACTCGTAGGTAATGGTAGATGTTGCTGTGGGTATTCCGGCGCTGAAGTGGAGAGTCTACCGTTCCCATTCGATAGGCCATTCGATTCACTACCGGCAACTGCGTTAATAATAGCCCTTAGAGGCGCAGCTTCGGTTTCAGGAGGCGAATTCCTCCAGCGATCAAGCGGACTCAAGGAGTCCCATTGTACGGGTCGAGTCTGTCGGTTTCCGTTGAGGGAATCAAGTGACGTAGACGTGATAGACGTATTACAGACCTGTTTCTTACGTCTGCGGGCATTTGCAAACCAGGTAGACACCTGTATGACGCTGAGTCCCGTCTTCTCAGCCAGGGACGATTTCTCCTGCTTTGTTGGATATGGATGGTCGGGGTGACTGTTGAGCCATTCTTTCAGGAATTTTACTTCTGCCGAGTGGAATGATTTCCTTTTCCCTTCAGATTTCTCGGGCTTCTCCTGGTCTGGGCTAGAATCAGACAGACCATGCTGATGATGGAAGAATGTCTCGTTGTCATCCCAGGTGGGCCCTGTGGTCTGCGTTGACGCATCCTTAGACTGGGGAAACACAGAGTCAAAGCTGAAAGAGATGGAATCAGATGGATAGAGCAGACCAGGACCCATTGAACTCAGGATCTCGTTGAATTCAGTGTCTGATAGGAACGCATCTGCAGGTTGTAGTTCATCGCTGCTGGGAACGGGTTGCATGAATTCGAGTGGGTCGAAAGACATCGTTCTTGAAGGCCACCCAGTAGACACGAGAACATGGAGGTTTGAAGCCTTGTCTGCTGGCCATTCCTCGCGCAGAGGAATGTCCGAAGATTCTTCCTTGAAGTTCTTGACTTGTCGTTGAAGCGCGCCCTTGCGTTTACCGCATCGGGTTTAGCGCGGTCACCGTCTTCACTTTCGGAATTCCCAAGTTCTACGCAGTAAGCGTAACTAAATTCTAGTAACTATATCAATGGGAATACCCATTTTATCGACAATACAGCAAGAAATGGACTCTCCAGGACACTACAAGACTCAGTCAATCATCCTCAGTGTTTCCATGTCTGGATATGGCATGATTATCAGTCCATCCTATACCTGCAGCTGTCCGGTGAGAGTCCATGCACGGGAAAGCCTGGCTGACCTTTTATAATGAAACGCTAACAGATCTTTTGATTAGGTAGTTAATCAAACAGCGTCCATAATTGGCATATCCCAAACGTCATTTCTTGAAGAGGAATCGGTGGAGACGCAATCTACAGCAGGCGATAGCGATCAAATTCCAATAACTAGAATCAGCAGAATCAGTAAGCGTGATGCTATTATATATGACCCCATTTTTAGTTCCATACGATAATTAATTTACGTACACAACTTGACTTGCTTAGCTTCACCATTTGGCTACTGGTCCTAAGCACCATGTAAAGGTGCAATTCTTGCTTAGGTGTCAGACACAGGGCCTGTACAACTGGGTAGTGCAGGTGTAGTACAATGAGAAACTACTTTCATGACGCAGGTATACCCTCAAATGTCTACCAAAAACACTGAGGAGAATGCAGATGTTTATAATTGCTCCTTGAAGGTTACATCTGAGGGTACAATGTTCCTAAACCACATGCTGGCAGAGAGGGTTATGGCAATGGCATTGTTCTACTTTGCTAACTATGAATTCAATCAATCGCTTTTGCAGGGTGGTTATCTCATTAGATGACCTAAAAATACTAGAGAACACAACAGAATACATATAGCTGAAAGTAAAAATTTTGATGAATGATCACTATGGTGCAGTCCAATCTGGAACCAGAACTGGAGGCCAGCAGCTAGACATCAAATCTTGGAAAGGTATCTTGCCTGACAAAATATAGATTGGAATAATGCCCTTGTTCCTTATGGGAGTGTTTCCTTCCCACCTGTGACTGATTTGATGTCTTTGATCACATCACCAGTGGGCAAGACAAAAGACATCTCCACTCTGACTGACGCCAGGGGCTGTGAAAAACAATCCAACCCAACAACCTTGTGTATCAAGAATCCATGAGCCAGAATCCACCCTTGCACTTCTGTTGGAAAGTCCCAAACCTGTCACTAACCATGCACTGGTTACAACATTGGGGCTTTGTAGCTGCAAGCGAGGCTGTAACAAGTGGGCTGTTCCAGAAGTTAGGCCACTTGTCCTTCGGCATCATATTGGTATATCCTTCCCTGGGATCCCAACCACAACCTGGTTCCTGTCGCAGGGAACAACGCACGTATGCCCCCCTTTACACTATCATGTGGACAAATAACAGGGATATCTGTGAAAGGGTCAGTGCTGTTCAGTGACAACTATATGACAGCACACACACCTTGTTCCAATTTCTTAAGTGATACTACATGACAGTTCGTGACACCAAGGTCGTATTTCTCACTTCCGCAAGTGAGGATAATGCAGCCACCAAGAGTCCCACTGTGGATAAGATCATCTTGAATACCAACACTTGCTCCTATGTATAAAGATTTTGAGGTTGCATACAACATGGACTGTGGGATTGTCTCTGGATCAGTATCATTTCCAGCTGAGCAAAGATTGCGAACTTCAAGAAAGGCAACATTCACATCAGATAAGCCATTCTATCTAATTATTTGAATGATACAAGTTTTGTATTGTTCAAGTTGAGACACGTACTTGGAAGTTATGATAATTGTGACTGGGGCTGTTTGCATGATCCAATCCACATCTGACCCCAAATATGCTGGACAAAAGAGGACTATTGAGGTCTTCTATAATATCATTGACAAGTTTGCCCCAGATAGGGACTATTGGGTGGGACTCTTCGACAGGAAAATGGAAGGGTGTAATAAATAGGGACATATCGATGATCTCAACAGCCACTTGCCAGGGAATCTCCTTGGAGAGATAGTCGTGAATATCTCTCAGAGTGACATACCAAGAGTCATCATTTGGAACAGGTGCGTCAACCCACACTGTTGGGCACCTCTGACTTGTCTGTGCAGAGGCCTGTCAGGATATGAACAGCGTGTATCTATAGGTGAGGCCATGATGCTGCATCAACCGCCCAACTGTGGACAAAATCTCCTTTTGGATATCAAGGGGCACAGAGGTCTCATTCTCCTCGTCCGTGGCAGGACGCAGTGGCGGCAGGGGGGCAGGAAAGCCGAGTCGGCCGCGGACAGTGGCATCGATAATCGATTGTGCTGAGCCTGACAAGACACCTGATGAGACGCCTGACGTGACTGAGGACTCCTGCGATTCTTCAGAGAGGTTCGCCTTCCGGCAATCAAAAGAAGAAGATGAGGCCATCAGAAAGGAGGAGTCCTAACTAAGAGGAGAGAAGGTAGTTACTGAATCTCAGTCCCTAGCATATGAGGCTAGGTTGATTAGGCTACCGTCTCCAGCAAATCGGGCGCATTCCATGTAGGCTAGTGGACGGGTAGATCAGACGAGGGCGGTCTAACTGGGCAGAACACACGTGACCTATAACAGAGTCTTCTGCACCACCTGTTCTGCAATCTCAGACCGCCCTTGTTCACGTTAGATACATTCCAATAGACAAGTATATCCTCCAACACTTGGTTAGCTAGCTGCACCCCTGGGCTCTGCTCAACCAACTACTCAATACACTCATTTAAGTCATTACCACCACCGCCGTCATGGCCTAACGTTGAACGGGACCGTATAATGGTATGGTATTACCATCAGTGTTGAAGTGCTCCATGCAATATGCCCACTGAAAGAACGTCTGTATTAGACCATAATTTTATCAATGAATATCCTCAATACGCTCTTCATCACCGAATCAGAAGCACTAGTAGGAGGACCTAGCCGTGATGAGAGATGTCAGCCATCAAATTTAATTATTGGAATTTGATCGCTATCGCCTGCCGTACGCAGTCCCACGAAAACGGCCGGGAAACTCTAAACAATGACGGCGACAACGACAATTCGGCCATCGGAAGACCCGTTCCTGCATTGACCAGTGACGGCGATTGTCTGATTCTCGGCGAGCCATGCTCAGAATCGTCTATCAAAAAGAGCGCATGGGGTGAGCCAGGGGTAAGCCGGGCTTTGCATCTTTTAATAACGATGAGCCCCTCTGATCCGGATATCCTGATTGGCATTATCGTTCCCCTCCAGAATCTCTTGGTCGCGACCATTTCTGTCTGCGCTCCTCTTCGGCAATGTCGGTGAGCAATGGATGCGCACCGCGAAAATTCGAGTGGATTTTGGCGAATCAACTGTGCTGGCCGCTGGAGGAGAGGAGCCGTTCCATGCAATAATCTTGCCATAGTTGCCAGTAGCCGAATTCTGCCTTGGCGGATGCTCCGGATGTCTTCGTTTTAATCCCGAAACCTATAAAACAACCGTCGCTCGACTCGTTCCCTTGTTTACAGCTCCTACACATCCCGGGAAAAGGAACCTTCAGCGCAGCAGCTCCTGTCGAGGACCAATCCCGGTTCGCAGCAAACGATCCTTCTTGTGACACCCGACACGAATGATGCGGTTGCGTGGGCTCTATGGAGGTCTTCCTCTGTCCGTGTACGCATGGATTGCGCAGGAAGTCGCATTCCATGCCGCCGGCCTCGCGTTCGAATGGTGTGACCGCACCGGCGCAATGAGGCGCCTCAAAGTCCGCAGCTCCGGGCGCAAGCCGTACCTCCAGCTTCTACCCAAGGTCCTGCTCAACCAGTTCCTGATCCTTCTGCCCGCCATGGTCCTAGCAGAAGCGACAGGACTGTGTTTTACCGGGTCCGCGCGGCTGTCCCCACTGCACTTCCTCCTCTCCCTCCCTGCGATGGCTGTCGGCCACGACGTGGTCCAGTACATCGCCCACCGTCACCTGCTACACAATCCGGCCATATACCTCATGCGCACCCTAAAACACTCCGTGCATCATTCCACCAGCGCCAGTCGAGGCATCAGCGCCTGCTACATGTCCGGCGCAGACTTCTTCCTTGAGATCGTGCTACCGTACCTCATCCCTCTCATGCTAGTCGGAGGAGGCGGCGCTGATGTGCGCTTTCACCTTTTAATCGCGAGTCTCGGCGCCATCGGCGGTGTCTACGAACATTCGGGATACGATCTGGCTGTGTTGGTGCAGGGCGCGTCTCCTTCACCAACACCTAGCCTTTTCGCGCGCATTTTTGACGGCCTTGTCAACAACCGCGCGCACGGCGCTCACCATTCCCGATCGAACGTCTCCTTCTCCGATGGATTCGGCAGCCCTGGAATCTGTGATACACTCTTTGGGACACGATGGGACATAGTGGCAAAGCGGCGGGAACTAGCGGAGAAAGAGTGGAAAGCTCAGCGCGCGAAGCACGAGCAGAACGGCAACGGCAAGACTGCCTGAATGTACGATTTCGGAGGAAAAAAAGTCATGATTATTGAACGGCCGGCTTAAAAGTTTCACACATTCAATCGGGGGAGTTAATGTACTCTCAGCCCGTCATATCATATTCTTGCGGTGTACAGCGTCGGGACCCCGGTATTGGGATTCTTATTCTCTGGCATTGAATCCGGTTTTTTATTGTCTATATTTCTATTTTTATCCATTCTAACGATCGATAATGACCTCATTCTCCAAAAATATAATATCTTGATTCCCCTCGTGTCTGCGTGCTGATCTTTCTATATTAATAGCAACGGCTTGGAGAGAACGAACCTTAAGTTGACATCCTCGTTCCTACCTACGAGAATTTAGTAAGAAGCATCATCCTGATTGACTCACGTAGACCTCATTGTCGATGTGTTCTGCAAAGTAGGTGTTGGTCAAGGCGCGGATCAGAATCGACTGGTGGTAGAGCCGTAGGGTTATGGCAGATGTGACACCTACCGACAATTGTACCAGCAACTGTTGTTTGGTATGATCCTTCACACTGTCCTGCAGTCAGAGAATAGTATAAACGCTCATGTATACATTGCCTGTGCATAGTCATAGTGGAGCGTCTTCATGTGAATCTGAAGCTGCTGTTATCTGGACTCCGCTTGTTATCCGAATCGGCTATTCCTCCCTATTAAAGGCCTCCGGCTGGACATTTTGAGCTAGACAACCGTGATAGCAATTCAGGATCTCATACTCACTTTGAATGCCAACGAAGAAAAGAAATGACACCCGCATCACAGATCCCGGTCCCTGCGCTCCCTTCCCCGCAACTCGCAGAGGTTGGGACGGGACTGTCCCGTCTGCTTCCTCTGTCCCGCAAGGGAGTTGGACCGGGCATGATCATTCTGGTCCCGGACACAGATAAGAGCCTGGCCATTGAAAATGGAGTACCCTCGCCATTGATCAAATGGGGAGAGGAAGGATATACGGTCATCCAGGTCCAAGCCTCGGCACTGGCGGCTTACGATGCTAAGAGTCTCCTCGAGAAAGCGATTCAAGCTCTGACCGAATGTGATAAGTGCGAGCCTAAACGATCCATTGGACTCGTCGGTATGTCTACAACCACTCTGGCAGCTCAGATTTCGATGATACGGACATGCTTACCGTACGATTGAGCCAGCATACAATCCTGCTCTCTGGGATGCACTTGCTCCGTCACTGGACTCCTTCAAGGATGTCATGGCATCAGTAGCGGTATATGCTACCGCAGCGGATGCATCGATGTTGCAGTCCTGCTCCATTCCAACCATCCAGCATCTTGCCGGTAAAGCAGCAGAGAAGCCGACACGGACAGAACAATCCACTGTATTCGATTACCCCGGTGTCAGTGACTTTGCATTCGCGACACCATTTACCCCGGCATTCGATTACAGACTCGAGGGTCTTTCGCATACTCGGACCCTCACTTTCTTCAAGCCCAAAATGGGCGGTCCGTATTTCGACCTCGAAGCCATCTGGGAAGAGCACACATACTGGGAATTCGAAAACCGGTCTGTAGAACACACCATGAGTACTATGGCCCAGGAGCCTTATGTCAATCATATTCCAACAGTGAGACGGATCCGATTCATGTCATCTTGATCGAGGCATTTACTGAAGCAGACAGTTGACCGGCGGTGTTGGCCGCGACAAACTCACCAGTTTCTACCGGAACCATTTCATCTTCAGTAATCCTGATGATGCCGAGTTGGAGCTCGTCAGCCGGACGATTGGTATTGACCGTGTGGTCGACGAATTCATCTACAAAATCACCCATGATAGAGAAATAGACTGGCTGTACGGGTCCTTTCTTTTTGTCTCCGTGCCCATACCCAATCTGACGCTCATGTGTTATTGTACATGACAGACTACCGGGAATTCCCCCTACTGGCCGCAAACTGGAAATCCCGTTCATGGCGGTCGTGAACATTCGCGGAGACCGTCTCTACCATGAGCATATTACGTGGGATCAAGCAACCGCTTTGGTGCAATTGGGTTTGATGCCGGAGTATCTGCCATTCCCGTACCCTCTTGCTGACGGGAGGACTGCGGCGCCGAATAAGAAGCTCGAGGTGCGAGTACCGGCTGATGGGATGGATACTGCTGCAAAATTGAGGGATCGCAATGCGGTCGAGTCGAATGCGATGCTGAAGTTTAAAGTCCGGGAGGTTTAGCTCTCGATCAATGTCGTGACATGCTGCCTTCCAGTTAGGGTTATGATTCTAAATAATCGATGGAATCATCCGCGTTTACCATACAGATGTGGAATATCAAACTTCTAGCTATATACAATATAGAGATAATAGTCATGACCGCTGTCTCAGTTCATTCTTCTTCTTTCCCATCATCGTCACCATCATAATCCCCCCCTCCACCATGCGTCTCATCGCACAACTTCCCATACACCATGACAGCAGCTAAACCCTTCGAGTCCTTTTCCCAGTCGCCCTCCACATAAAACCTCCCCTCCACCCCCTTCTGTATATACCAAACCTCCATCTGTCTCAATGTCTCAAACCTCCCCCGCATCTTCTGCACATTCCTCACCACCCCCCTTCTTCCCCGGGCGAGAACGTCTCAACCCGTACAGCCACCCCGGGCGCCAAATATGTCGGAATCAACAATACCTCCGTATCAAACGTCTTCGTAAGCACCCGAATGTTATCCCTCTCCTCATCCGTACTATGCATCCGCGGGAAGGGCAACCCAAAAACATCCGAAGCCGGCGGGTGCAAATGCCCAGCATTATCATACATCCGATTCAGGAAATTCGACACGTCGTAGAAGAGATGGTTCCAGAGGTAATATATCTTATCGCGCCAGGGAGTGTGGATGGTCTCCGTGTCCGGGTTTACGGGAATATCCATTCTCTCCTCCCATTCTTCCATCGTCATGTCGGAGGAGTATTTCCTCATAAAGTCATTCTCGACATCGGCGCTGTCGGGTGTTGGTGGGAGGTGTTTCCAGGCTTGGCCGAGGAGCCAGGCTACTGTTCTCTGGGGGGCATCCTGCTCGAATTTTATTTTGCGGAGAGTGAGTTGCGTTATGTCGGTTTGGTCCCATTCGTTATTGAGAATGGTGTGCATTGTGCGGATGGCTAAAGCTTTACTTTACTCCCCGTTGCCTGTATGGATGGGATGGGTACGAAGGAGGATGGGAATTTAGACGGCTTGGATTGATTGAGATATTCTATGCTTTACGTCAAGTTAGCTATCTCTAAGGGAATGACTCATTCTCATAAGCACTAGGCATTTGTGAGGCTCCCACGCTGAGCCACTGCTTCATGCGGCTGTGATGCAGATCAGCCTGGCATGATTATCTCTGGAGTACTCCAATGGTATATGGCATATGCTGCGACAAATCTTGGTAGAGCTTATCCTGACTAGGTTCGGTTTCTCCTCACTCACAACGGCATGAAGATCGTCATCGTGGGCACAGGCATCTCCGGATGCGCCTCGTACCTACAACTAAAGAAGCATCTCCCCAAACCACCAGCGGCAGAACCAGACCACGAAATCACCGTATATGAAGCACACAACACGAACAAAGGCACGACCTTCGAGCAACGCACTTATCTACTCCAGTCGTCGGCGGGGCCTTGGGCGTTGGACCCGAACGGACTCCAGTCTTGAAACGGCTCGATGAAGATCTTCTGCACGATGTTGTCCGCGGGGGCTACGTCGTCCGGACATCCAACTTGAAGAATAAAAACGGACGACTGCTTCCGTGGACAGGTATCAGTTCAGCAGCTTCTGCGCCGACTGGCTCCACCGATGATGATGACGCCGCTCCCATGTATCCTACTTTGGTCCTGTTATTCGTTCTTCGGTATGGTATGCATTTGATCAAGAGTTTGAGGGCAATATTGCCAGGTGCTTTTCCCTTTGAAAAATCTGATATGGGCACAGTGGATTTGTCAGCTACGGTTCTGTAGTGTAATGGTCATCACTCTGGATTCTGATTCCAGCAATCCCGGTTCGATCCCGGGCAGGACCTCGTTAACTTTTTTGACTTTATTTTTTTTAATATTGTTTGTTATTTTTCAATAGTCTTTAAATAGTCCTCGACCTGTACATACTAACCAAGGACCATTATACCATGCCCAGTGAGCCCTGGATGAACTATGAGAGGAAAGACCAATATAACCCGAGGTTGGGCTCGATGAACGGCACCAGCAGAACCTGGCAGAACCTGGCGAGCTGGAAGATGTCATACACATCTGAAAAGCAGGCTGTAGCGGAAAGTGCATATTGTCATGTCCTCTATAATTCTCTTGGTTGTTCTGTCCACTCGCTCTCATAACGATTCATGGCATCTTGGGCATACCGGCCGTCGTGTAAAGAGTACCCATATCAAAGGATGTCACCGGTGATAGCACCCTTGTTGCGGACTTTGAATGAGAGCGCAGCGATGCGGGCATGTTTTTATGGGTAACTCGGCACGTCCTGGTAGTATCCATTAAGAAAATCCAGGATTCAGTCTTCCTTTTCCCTTCTTTCACTGCTCAGCAGCTTGTTCAACAGCAGGGTCTCTTCCAGTATCTTCACAATCCAGAATTATTCCATGCCTCCACACATATCCGACCACACATGTCCGATTCTGAGGTGGGCCTCTAGCCAGAATTGCACTGGGAGCATCGAAGCCCAGTAGTTACATTTTATGAAGCTTAATAAGTATGCCTGTTCGATTGTTTCCAGCTCCCGAGGACTCCCTACCAGGCACATACTCTCCATGGATCAACTAACGCCAGACAAAGTCCCATCAGAAGAAACACCTAGGTAGCGACGTCAATATAAAACAGAGTTCTCATATGTTAAAAGACAATAGAAGCTGGCGAACCCTTCATCTGGAGTCATTCCGCCATCTTGCTCATGCCGGTACTAGCAGCTCAAATTCAGGCGAGGAAGCAGGATACGGAAATCGACATCATGCAAATAAACAAGCCACAAGGTTAAGGTCTGGGCTAATCGACTGCAGCATATCCCGTCGGAATCATGAATTGTCTATACAGATAGGTAGCTGGCTCCAATAGAAGTCGTTTTGTCATTCTCGTCCCTAGCAATGCGGGTCCGAGAAAAGTACATCGACGTCACAGAGGGAAAACAGACGTGAAGTCAGAGATCGTGGAGCATCTATTTATTAACTGCATGAGAACTGCCGTCTCCAGTGAGTCCATGTCATTGGAAGGGCTACTTGGAACCCTGCGATGTCGTTGGTGTAGACTTTTGGCATTCCGGTTTTGCTTCCTGTGGTATGATTATGATCCGCTTATTTCTCCACGGTTTATGGAAGAAATCCGGGAGGTAAAATCTAGCTATATATATATATATGTATATATATATATATAGATGGATAGATAGAATTCAAGCCTTACTGTTCTGGTATGTGCAAGCATACAGCACTGTTGGTACCCAAAGCACATACCAAAAGAACCACCAACAATGCAGATCGTTATATTCAGCGCCGAGCCCTACGACCGGCTCGCTCTCGACGATGTCAACCGTTCTTTCGGCCACGAACTTGTTTACCACGAAGCAGCCCTATCCGAGAAGACAGCCGTGTTAGCTTCCGGCTTCCCGGCAATCTGCATCTTCGTCAACGACCAAGTGAACGCCAACGTCATCCAAACCCTAGCCCAAAACGGCACCAAGCTGATCGCTCTCCGCTGCGCTGGGTTTAACAACGTTGACCTCGCCGCCGCAGATGCGGCGGGTATCACCGTCGTCCGCGTCCCAGCATACTCCCCCAACACGGTTGCAGAATATACACTGGGCCTAATCCTCTGCCTAGAACGGAAGATCCACAAAGCCTACCTTCGCGTCCGCGAGGAGAACTTTGCGCTGAACGGCCTCCTCGGCTCCGAAATGCACGGCCGCGTAATGGGGATCGTGGGCACTGGCAAAATCGGAGGGTTAGTCGCTCGATATTTCACAGCCGGGCTTGGCTGTGAGGTCCTTGCGGAGGATGTCTACCATAATCCAGAGGTGATCGCCATGGGGGTCAAATACGTGAGCGTTGATGAATTGTTCCGGAGAGCGGATATCATCTGTCTACACCGTCCACTCACCCCGAACACTCGCCATATCATCAATGCGGACACGCTTCGTATCACCAAGCCCGGTGTGGCCATCATCAACACCGGGCGTGGGGGGCTGATTGACAGTGCTGCGCTCTTGGACTCCCTGGAAAGTGGCCATGTGGGCGGCGCAGCTCTTGATGTGTATGAGAATGAGAAGCAGCTGTTCTTCCGCAATCTTTCGGAGAAAGTCATCTCAGATCGCATCTTCCGGAGGCTGATCACATTGCCGAACGTCCTGATAACGGGCCATCAGGCATTCTTCTCTGCCGAGGCTATGAAATCCATCGCAAACACGACTCTCGAGAATGTGACCCAATTTCCAGCTGGCAAGGTGGATAAGGAAGTGATAGTATCTGCGAGATAATGATGAAGTGACTGCCCCCTTCTGCAGTGACACAGACACACGGTGTGGTGAGCACGTAAGGACTAGCAATCTGTACAAGTTCTACGGTGATTTCTCCTGTCCTAGATTTTAGGGTTACATGGCTAGCACACCGAGACTTGCATTGACGCAATTCAGTTACTTGAATCTCGAATGGGCAGAACCGGTATTAATAGCGTCGATAGTACACGATTTCATAAATAATTGCCGGGGATCCCTTGATGCCGAGCAGAAACCCCTGTAACCAAGCCGAACGTTGCCAAGTCAATGCTTGACACTAAGGATGCAGATTAACATCCGCCGTCGAATAGAACGAAGCCAGGTCGTAATCAGCAAAGAGTCCAGGCTCGAGAAAAACTCTAGATAAGCGTGCTTTGCATGTATTATTAGTGGTACTGGCTGATAAAAGAATGCCTCCTGAACTGTTTACGCCATTTCTTCCCCTCCTTATCCACTCCCCCTACCCCCGGCCCTTTTCTCAGTCCCACTATTATTGCGGAGGAACGTGGTTCCCCAGAAAGACGGCCTGAGAAGTTCGATACTATGCGAAAGATCTCGCCAGGGACCGCTAGTGAAGCGGAGGACAAACCTTCATGCAGCGATCATCCGTTCAGTCGACGACCAGCCAGCTGAAATCATCTGAAAACAAACATGCAGAAAAGAAAGATCACCCGGGTCAGGACCGGCTGTCTGACATGTCGAAGGAGGCATAAGAAATGCGATGAAGGGAAGCCGCAGTGCCAGAATTGCGTGCGAAATCAGTTTGCTTGTGAGGGCTACCAGGCGCTCGAGGAATGGCATTCATCTGCTGCACGATCAGGCAAACGCAGAAGAAGGAATGAATCGCCCGTAATGAATGACAACAGTTCGGCCAACTCGAGCTGTTTGAGCTTCCCAGTCTCTACGTTATCGAGTGTTCAAATTCCACCGATCTCCAATAGCGTTCAAACCCCAGAGAGCCAGCAGGGTGATACAGAAATAAACTGGCCAGAGTTAGCGCTTTCTCTTGCTGCTGAGAATCTACCAGCACTAAACCGCATGGATCAGCTTGATCTCGATAAACTCCTGAGCCCTGGCTCCTCTGCACAGCAGACGATGCGCTTTCCCCATACATTGGGACTGGAGGCGAATGAACCCTACTTGACCCAAGTCCAGGACTACAGCACGCGGATAATAAAGCCGTTGCCTTTCCTTGTCGATGGCATCCGTAGCCCGTCAGAGCGCAAGATGTTTTATCACTACCATGAAGTGCTGGCCAAGGTTCTGCTTCTCGAGACTACAATCAATCCTTTCGTATCCGAGTTGATTCCGAAAGCGCTGTCGGACAACCGGGGAAGCCATCTGCTCGCAGCAATCTTAAGTTTATCCGCGAGTCACTACCAACATCTGATGTCCATGTCCGGTGCCCAGATCAGAGAGATGGACCAGAGGAGTATTGAGAGTCTGAAATGGGGGAGTCATCGGAAAGCCGTACAGCAACATGCTCACATGCTGGACCGTGTTGATTCTGACAGCTCTGACCTACGAGAGCTTTTCATCCTGACGATGATTCTTCACCAGTTCAGTCTTTGCGAAGGTGGTGATTCCCCCCGATGGCAGAAGTTACTTGACATTGCCCGGGGGCTTGTTCGACAACTCTACTGTGATGGCCAGTATGACACCCGAGAACGGGAAAAGCTCGACTACTTTGTCCTAGACTGGTTCTACTTCCATGACGTCTGCTCGTCCCTGACTTCTCACGGGCAGCGGCCATGCATAGACATGTATTCTCAGAGCCTCCATTCTTCAGGGCTAACATCACCTGCCGTTTCTCTAGCCAGCGAATACGCTGCACTTCGACCATCAGGTCCGGGTATTTTCCTCATCGGCCCTCGTGATGGTCTCCTACCCATAATAACACGCATTATCAACCTCCGTAGGTCCTCCGCGGCAGACAGAAGACCTATATCGAACGCCGAGATGTACACATACGCGTTGAGGATAGAAGAAGATCTCCGAAACTGGAATTTCGACTATGATCGCCCTGAAATTGCTGCCGTTGCGGAAGCCTATCGACTATCCGCGTTTCTCCTGCTGTGGTTCACCATACACCCGCATGGCCCTCTCGAGCACGAAAAGGTCAAAGACATAGTCCGCGACGGACTTGGCCTTTTGGCTTCAGTCTCTCCTGAGGATAGTGCTCAGACTTGCTCTCTGTTACCTATTTTTGTGTTCGCGGTTAGCACTGAGTCCGTGGAGGACCATGACTTGGTGCGTCAGTTGATTCGAAGCTATGGCTCCTGGGCTTGTCTTGGTAATATAATGGAGGTAGAGACGTTCCTCCAGCAATGGTGGCTAGCTGCCGAGAAGATAAACAAGGACAAGAGGAGCTGGTGGGACTGGGAGTTGTATTTGAAGGAGAATGGGATTTCCATCGCCCTGGTCTAGCAAGGTCGTTGTTGACAGGGGGTTGGCTATTCATTCACAGTTCCAACATAGCTGGCGTTTCAGAGTCTCCTATAGCCCTGGTATCAGTAATGCAGACAGGGCTCTTGTGCATACTGATGTTAATATGCTAGAATAGCCCCGTTTCAGCCGATGATTATTATGGCCTTGCGATATGTTGGAAGACTTGAAAACGACCTCAGCCTGATTCCACCCTCCAGCGTCCAAGCCACAGAGACGACAGTAGCAGTCAGTCAACATGCAGCCGAGAAGCCGAGTGAAAAGGCCGTGAGCCGTTCCAAATTGGCGAGTAGCGATGCATACATCTTTGACCAGCAGCTACCTGCATGGTGTTCATGCCGTTCCAACGATACTATCAACATGCAGCTGGCTGTAGCAAAGCCTTTTCGCGAAGGGGCTGTGCATAAATATGTCAATTATGATACATAAGGAGGTTATAACTCGCATGAATCGGTTTGTCCGACGCCCCTTGGATCAAGCTCTACCTACGCGACATCCATCTCGACTTCGCTTCCCCATGTGTTTCAGATCGCACACTGTCCAAGTTGGATTTTACACCTCCAGTTATCAAAATCTATGGCTGGGGGCGGATATGGTCTTATCCCGCCAGGAACATTTAATGACAGCTTTTTTTTATCACTAGTGCTACATGCTATATATATAATACAATCAAGAGAACCACAATGCAGGAGAGGCGAGATTCAGTAGATTCCCAAACAGTGAAACCAATCAAGCAAAGTAATTCGCCTGGCTGGCTAGCTCTTCTTAAGGAATTCAGTATCTGTCTCTACACTCATCTTGCGAGCTTCATCGAGCATTGTGTCGATGCCCTTTTCCTTTAGTGCTTTCTATATACACTAGTCAGTAATGGGTTAACCGGTCTGGAATCCCTCTCCTAAGAGAAGAATAGGAGGATAGAGACATACGGTCAGACAGGTCCTGTACTTGACGAAGAGTTCTTCGCATTCGTTCGTTTGGTGGTGGCCGCGTAGGTACTCTGTTCTTTTTTGTCAGTCGAGGACGTTTCATCTTGCGGATCTGGCAGACTTTGAACTTCGTACTTTCGCTGTACCATTTGAGGAAGCATGTGTCATATTTTCTGTGCCAGGGTTATTCTCACGTACTTTGCCAATGGTTGTATGGTGCAGTGTATACGCACTCTTTGATTTCGTTACATTCCGGGGCTATAGAAGCTGACATTGTGAGATGGTGCCTTTCTTTCTTTTCTTTTTCTTCTTCTTTTTTTTTTTAATATTTGAACTGAGGAAGATTAAGCAGAATATGCAACTGCGAGAGCTGTATTCCTTTTTATTAGTCCGGCTTGCATATCTGATCCGCTGCTCTTGAAGCTGATCTGATCGACTCGACTTGCTGTGGATGCGGCTTCCGCGCGTTGTCGGCGTTTGATTTCTCCGGCTCCCGACCTTGTCACTTTTTCCTGCTGAAAGAATTCCGCAGCTCTTGATATTACTTCTCCAACGCCCAACGGCACAGACAGCGTCACTCTTTGACGGTTCTCTTTCGTCAACTAGCGACGAGGAACCCCGATGGATCCCGCAAAGGATTTTGTCTCGTTCCACGACCAGTTGACCTCAAAGCTGGTCCAAACTACGCGCACTGTCGGACAGCTCGCGTCGGAAGATCTCAATTTCTACCGCACGTCAAACTCGGAGATTTCCGAATCCCTCGATGAACAAAGCGGGAGGATCATTTCTCTGACTTCTTCCATCCTCAAAGCTGCCACCGCGCGTACGGATGTGAAAGCCCCGGTCTTGGAGAATGAAGAGTCTATCGAAGACAACTGGCGTGGTGTGGTCGATGTAATTGATGCGCTGTTGGAGAAGGCAGATGCCTGTCTAGATGAGTTTACAGGGATCATAAAGAGGCTGAGCCCGTCTCAGCAGGAACAGGCTGCTGCGCCTACGTCAAAGTTTGGGAAGAAGGCTGCGCAGACGAAGTTCCCGAGCATCTACGATTATGGGCCGTCGAAGATTCCGAAACCACAGCTGCAATTTGAGCGTGTTGCGGATAATACGGATGCATCTCCTTTCCGGCCTCTACTGCGGGCTAAGCCGCATGCGATTGTTTCGCTAGAGGAATCTTTAAAAGCTGTCGAGCCGGATGGGGGCTTCAGGAACCCGTATGAGACGGAAATTCGCGCCGCCAAGTACCCTGCGTCTACTTACACTATGTCACCTCCCGTCACATATCTACCGTTCGATACTACGACCGCCACTTTCGTCGACACTGTGGAGGGAGTGAAGGAGATGCTGGAGGAGCTCAAGTCTGCCAAGGAGATAGCGATTGATCTGGAACATCATGATGTGCACTCGTACCACGGTCTCGTGTCCCTGATGCAGATCAGCACACGTGATAAAGATTGGGTCGTTGATACGCTTAAGCCGTGGAGAGAAGAACTCCAGATTCTCAATGAGGTTTTCACCGATCCTTCAGTTCTCAAGGTCTTTCACGGTTCGTCCATGGACATCATCTGGCTCCAGCGTGACCTGGGGCTATACGTCGTTGGGATGTTTGACACCTATCACGCCGCTTGTGCTTTGAACTATCCGAGACGGAGTTTGAAATACCTGCTCCAAAAGTTTACCGGTTTCGAGGCAGACAAGAAATATCAGATGGCGGATTGGCGTATCCGTCCTCTACCGCCCGGTATGTTCGATTATGCTCGCTCGGATACTCACTATCTACTTAACGTCTACGATCATTTGCGCAACGAGCTTATTGAAAATTCCACCCCCGAGGAGAATCTTATCGATTATGTTCTTGAGCAGTCGAAGATTGAGGCTCTCCAGCGTTACGAACGTCCAGTCTACGATGCTGAGACGGGACAAGGACCAGGCGGCTGGTACGATTACCTGTCACGCAGCGGGACAATCTTGAGCAAGGAACAGTTTTCTGTCTTCAGGGCTGTTCATCAGTGGCGTGATGAGGTAGCGAGAGCCGAGGATGAGGGTGTGCAGTGTGTTTTCCCCAAGCATGTCCTATTCAAGGTTGCCCAGGTTATGCCGCTCGACCTAGGGACACTATTCAGGACGTTGTCTCCTATGACTACGATCACCAAGGACCGTGCCTCGGACCTTTTGGAGGTGATTAAGAAGGCAAAGGTTGCAGGTGCCATGGGGCCAGAATGGCGCGATATTATCAAACCGTTGAAGCTGTCTGGCAAAGCAGCTTTGATGGCTGTTGCAGAGAAGCCAGAGGATAGGGACTATCCCGTTGCTGAGCGCTGCACCATCTCCCAGTTTTGGGGTGATGTCCTGGACTGCCAAGAACCACCCGCTTCTCCTGAGTGTTCGGTAGTCGCTTCACGCGAGGCTCTTCGGCTCTCTCTCCCCCTGCCACCAATGCCGATGACAGTTTCTGAAGCGCGCGAGAAGCTTGCACCTAGTAACCCGACGTCAGCCCCCAAGCCTGCAGCCCCAACTCCTGCAGTGACAGTTGAAGAAACCGATAGCAACCAGATATTCACCGTTAAGGAATCATCGCGTAAGCGAAAGACTCCTTCCCCGGCTACGAACGAAGAAGCGGAAGATGTCAGAACAGACGCTAGATCCTCCCTGGATACCACCGACAATATCTCCAAGAAGGCACGTAAGAAGACCAAGAAGGAGAAGAAGTCCTTGTCTTCTCAACCAGAGGAAGCACCGTTCGACTACACCAAAGCAGAATCGGTCCTCAACGCTCAACGCGACCAAGCCGCCACGCAGCCGGCACGAACCTTTAATCCATATGCGAAGGCAATGGATGCACCTAAGGGCATGCGCAAGACAAAGATGGACAAAGCGGCGAGGTCTTTTACGTTTCGGAAATAGTTTTATCCGTGTGGGAACTTACATTTTCTTTCTTTTCTTCTTGGCTTTCATCCCGATGGGGGTATATATGTATGGGCAGGACATTCTGAGTTTCATAAGTAGCGTAGACTTGGGATATGGAGTACGGAGTATGTATGTGTGTATGGAGGCAAAAGCAACTCTTCGGATGGGTGGTATATAGAATAGGTAATTCATTACCATTACTTCCCTAGGGGTTTATTTGATGACACCATAGGCCTGAAGATTCTATGAACGTCGTTAGGAGGGAAATCCTTGCTTATCTTAGTGGGAATTGCCGAGGAAGGATACCATCTACAATCAGTAAGAGCCACTTCAATCGTAATAACTATTCTCCTGAATGGTAATTGCTTCCTTCTTTGGCTTCATGATGGATGGTTTATTATTGATTGGAATGGTCGTGTTCTGAGAAATCAAGGTCGTACAGGCACTCAGTAGGGCTGTACCTAATTAGGTCACAGAATGTAGCCCTAGGGACTCAGGCCCATGCAAGTTGGAATCTTTTTATCCACAGGACAGTCTCATGGCGCCCAGAAAGCAGAAAGCAGTGAATGCTCCATGGAGGGAATGAGCTCCAGGTCCTTCCTTCATTCCCTCTCTTTCTCTTACCCCCTCTCCCTGATCATAGTAATTTACTCATCTAGCACAACATGCTGGACACCACTTAGGTGTCGTAGCATCTTTCGAGATCAGTAACTGTGACCTCAAAAAGAATGTATGGTTTTCACTAAAGAAAGAAGATAAGTGGACAGCCCAGGATTCTGTGCAAACTTTGGCTGACTCGGCAGACTCGGCACTGTACAGGCAAAGGCGCACTTTTCTTCATGAAGGATGAAAGGGAATTTCTCCAAATGCCACTGCTACCATTACTGCAAAAAAGGACCATGCTTTCCAGTACTGGGCCAATGGAAGCTGTATTCATGGCGACAAGTGTTGGTATGGCCATGATCCCTCCCAGCAAGGAATCTCCCCTAGTTCAGATGATCAAGGTAAGTACAGTCATCAATATAATACTGTCTACGGCAATGTAATAAGAAAAATAATGACTAATTAGACCCAGTATTCACCTGTCCTGTCTGTCAGACTGAGGAACTGCTGACTTGAGTACATGTTACAAGGTATTAAAAGGCGCCATAGCGACCTTTAACACAATACAAGATCACTTTGTGGTACAGTCGACGCAGGAGCGTCTCCAGGAGATGTTTGAGGCTAGCCAAGGAGCCACAGTGAGGGGGATTATGATGAATACCGAGGAATGATGCAGTGGGTAATAACATTGTAACAAAAAAATACAGCCACTTCACCAAAAACCAACGCCGGCAATGGGAAGGCTTGTACACGAAATATGATCTCAGCAATAATGGACAACGGTCCTCTGCTATGAAAATGCTGTTGTAAGCGCAGTGGCTTACTTCCGAGATGCTCTGATTTCGCTCTGATCGTAGAGGTTGATGTATGAACCGAAACACCAGCCAGGTCCATTATACCACTACCTATATACTATAGCTAGGAAGTTCGATGGGTAAATGAGGATGATTTCCTCGCTGCTGAAGTGGGATAATTGAGGTATATCAAGGATGTACTCAGTGAAGTTTGGTCGAACTCCTGACCAGAGGTAGCGGATGGAAAAGACAGAAAAAATGGCTTCAGCTACTCAATGGTTGTAAGAGTTGGTTGATAGAAAGTTGAGCTTCTTCTCCACACTTCTCCAGCCTGTCAGATGCGGGGCCCTTGAAGCCGTACATAGTCCAGCTGCAGCATCATCGACGAACCCCCATTCTGTTATCTCATCACATCACCACAAACCAGCTCATTAAAACCACCTGGAGTCTGTTGCATTCAAGGATGGTACCAAAGGAATCTTCCCAATGTGGACTTCAGCCAACGAAGACAACATACCTTCTTTGCTACAACCTGCTCAGCGCCCTTCTATGGCTCTGCATCTTCCTGAGCGTCATGCTGCAACTGGACGTTTTCTTCTTATCTGAAGATCGACACAGATCGTCCAGACGCACGCAAACATACGCTTATCTAGAGGCGTGGACCAGATGGACTCCAAACGCTCGCTTTGGCGGAGATTATGCACGCTGCTGCTGGTGGGGACTTCAATAATTTCCTTTTTTTGATCTTCCCATCCATGCATGGATTGTCTTCCTGCAGCATTGACCACCGTCAACTTAACAGGCGTAATCAAATCCCCAGTCTTGACTACATCCACCTAGGTTTTTGCCCGTACGTTCCATGTCTGGGCCATTGGGTATGCCTTCCCGGGTGTCGTTGCGAGCAGTCCTGGATATGTAGCTATGCTTTTTGCATGGTCCTCTGCAGACGGGTTCGGTATGCCTACTTTGGGATGTTGTCGCTTACAGAAGGGTTGACATGGTGGCGTTGCAAGTGCTGAAGTGTTCGTACGAGGGTAATTTTTAATTTTTAAATTTTCATTATTTATTTATTTATTTTTTTTTTTCCAACTGCATGTTGCTATCTTGAACTCTTATGCTAGGCTGATGAGAGAGCAGGTACGCACTCTTCCTCCTTTATCCCATCGGAATCGGGAGCGAGTGGTGGCTTATCTGGAAGGCTGCGTCAGCATTATCGTCTGCAGAGATTACGGCTGGATTTTACTTTATTCTCGTACTGTATCTGCCAGGTACGGAGTTCGGGAGTATTAATTAATATCGGGTCTTATGGTTGCCTGGATATGACGGGGCTGACAAATTCCCAGAGCGTTCAGGATGTACGGATACATGGTACAGCAGCGCCGGAAGGGGTTGAGGGGATGCGCGCCAGCCTGCACTCTGCACTCTATATCGGGCGAATGGCGAGTCCAGCATCCGATATTAATATGCAGGATATTGAACGACATATTATGATTTGCCTTAGGTGGTGGGATGTCGTGCACTAACTTCGAGTGGCAAAAGGGGCAGGCCATGAAGACAGGGAAGGGACCCTGGATCCTCAATTCCTCATACATGGAGCGTCCTGAAACTGGGTCCACTGCATGGGGAGCACGGATATGATATCGCCTGGAACCAGGGGCATCAGAGCAATCACCAGGGACAGGCCATTGCACTTCCCGGATCGGTCGAGGTGCAGCAGACGTTAGAAGGGAGGCCGTGAATAAACTTTGCCAGCAGCGGCATCCATGCACCAACTGAACTTGTGCTGGATATCTCCTCGTTTGATGCTTGACAAGTGGTACGGATGCAGCCAAACCGAGTGAATCGATGGATCTACGGGCCACGATCGACGGGTCAGGAACGGCGGTCCTATACGCTGCCTGCTAGGAAATTAAACAATAATCATATCATGGCCGTAGGCTGTAGACAATGACAATAATCCTGCAATATCAGAAGGACAATAATACCTGCGAAACCCCGGCCAAGCCACCAGAAACGAACCGCCAATTTCCCGCTAAATTCTCCCTCTTCGCTGCTCCTCCACCTCCCTTCTGCATCCTCCAATCCCTCCTGTCCCTCCCCCTCCTTTCCTCTGTCCGTAATCCGTCCTGCGTCGGTCGGGGTTGCTGGTCCTGTCGACGGGTCCTTCTCCTGACCCCTCGTGGACGGCAGTTCGAATGTGACAGGTCTGTCCTCAAAACCTTTGCACGATTATTTCTTCTGCCGTCCCATCGGATCTGTCTTCTGTTTAACCTTCGCCTATTTTCTCTCTCATATCTGTCCTCCTGCCACCTGCACGACGCTGGAGGAACGTGTGTATTCGCTGCGCGCCTCCATGGTCCTGCTGCCTCCCAACCACATGCGATAACGAGGTACCTTCAGTGCGACTTCATTATTACCCCTGACACCTGTTCATTAAGAGATCCCGTCGTCTAATCCTCTGGTCTCTCTAGGTTCATTCCCCGCGTCGTCATTGCACGTCCCATCCCTATATCCTAATTTTTATTTTTTCCTCCCCCCCGCCTTCCTTTCTCTCTGGATCGCACGCGACAAGACGAATTATAGTCAACCAGTCAATTGAACAACTCACCTCATATCCTCGACTTACAATCATACAATGTCCGTCGCGACCATGCTTCAACCAGCCAGGGCGTCGACCTCGTCGACTTCGTCCTTGTCCTTTCAAACCGTCACTCGCCAGAATACCATATCTTCCCACGATACGAGATCGCTCCGCCAGTCGAAGCGGATGTCTGTCACGGCTTTCTATTTGTCCATGTCAGCAAAGGACAGGGATCTTGAAATTTCAGATGATCTCGCCAAAGGTAATGAAGTCTCCGTTTGCGCTTCGAGGCCCCATACTGATTATCTCGAACAGCGCAAAGACACCTCCGTGAGTTGAAGTCGAAGATCTCCACCCAGTCGAAGAAGAATTTCATCCTCGAGAAAGATGTACGGTACCTAGATTCGCGGATAGCTCTGCTCATTCAGAACCGAATGGCCCTGGAAGAGGTAACCCCCACCCCGTCATTGTTTAGTCTTGCTGCGTGTCCTCCTGCTCACACTCGAACGTCTAGCAAAATGAAATCGCCAACCACCTTACCGACACAGCGGATCCCCAGGAGGGATTCTTTCCCAACGACGAAAAGACTCAGACCTACGGCAACCTTCTCTTCCTCCTTCAGACCGAACCTCGTCACATTGCCCACCTCTGCCGCTTAGTTACCATGGCGGAAATCGACTCTCTCCTTCAGACGGTCATGTTCACCATCTACGGAAATCAGTATGAGAGCCGTGAAGAACATTTGCTGCTCACTATGTTCCAGTCCGTTTTGACATATCAATTCGATAATACCCCCGAATACTCGTCCCTTCTGCGTCAAAATACTCCGGTTTCGCGAATGATGACCACCTACACTCGACGTGGTCCTGGCCAGAGTTACTTGAAACATGTGCTGGCCGACCAGATCAATTCTCTAATAGAAATGCGCGATGTAGACCTGGAAATTAACCCGCTCAAGGTGTACGAGACTATGGTTCAGCAGATTCAGGAGGAGAAGGGCTCGCTACCCGAACATCTCGCGAGATCCGTCACGGCGGAGGACGCCGCGGAGAATCAGCAAGTGCAGGCTATCATTGCACCGCGCTTGAAGGCTCTGACGGATATTGCGAATGCATTCCTTACGACGATCATTGCCTCTGTTGAAGAAGCTCCGTACGGTATCAGGTGGATCTGCAAACAGATTCGGAGTCTGTCTCGACGAAAGTACCCTGAGGCGCAGGATCAAACCATATGCACTCTGATCGGCGGCTTCTTTTTCTTGAGATTTATCAATCCGGCCATAGTTACGCCCAGATCGTACATGCTCATCGAGTCCACTCCGACAGAGAAGCCACGGCGTACTCTGACTCTGGTTGCGAAGATGTTACAGAATCTCGCCAACAAACCCTCTTACGCGAAGGAACCGTACATGGCTGCTCTACAGCCGTTTATCGAAGAGAACAAGGAGCGCCTTAACAAGTTCCTCCTTGATTTGTGTGAGGTGCAGGACTTCTACGAGAGTTTGGAAATGGACAACTACATCGCGCTATCCAAGAAAGATGTTGAGCTGCAGATTACACTAAACGAGGTCTATGCCACTCACGCCCTATTAGAGAAGCACAGCGCCGAGCTCGCACAGGAGCAGAATTCGCATCTCCACGAGCTATTGCAGGAACTAGGACCGGCCCCGCCGCAGGTCCCTCGAAGGGAGAATCTGACTATCACGGTACCTCTGTTCAGTCGGTGGGAAACCGCGGTGGATGACCTGACTGCGGCGCTTGACATTACGCAGGAGGAAGTCTACTTCATGGAGGCCAAATCGACCTTTGTTCAGATCCTGCGGACTCTACCTCCCAATTCATCGGTTACTCGCCGACCTCTCCGCCTCGATAGAATCGCCGAAGCGGCAGCCACTCTGAAGAACGATGCAGTTATGGTCCGGAAGGGTATTCGCACTATGGAACTCCTGAGCCAACTGCAAGAAATGGGTGTCATCGACCGTTCTGACGAGTTTAGCCTGCTTCGAGATGAAGTGGAACAAGAATTGGTCCATCTCGGTTCCGTAAAGGAAAAGGTCTTGGAGGAAACCAAGAAGCTCGAGGAAGTGTTTCGAACTATCCGTGACCACAATGCATATCTTGTGGGTCAGCTGGAAACGTACAAATCATACCTACACAACGTTCGCAGCCATTCAGAGGGCAAGCAACGGAAAGCGCAGAAGCACCAGGAACTCGGACCTTACAAGTTCACGCACCAGCAACTGGAGAAAGAGGGTGTCATTCGAAAGAGCAACGTTCCTGAAAACCGGAGAGCCAACATATACTTCATGTTCAAGAGTCCTTTGCCTGGTACATTTGTAATCAGTCTTCATTACAAAGGTTAGTATTTATCTTTACGGCTTGGATGTTTGAGGTTTTATTGGTGACGTATACTGATCGTGTTTTAAAGGACGGGCTCGGGGCCTCTTGGAGCTAGATCTCAAACTTGATGATTTGCTGGAGATGCAAAAGGATAACATGGAAGATCTGGACCTTGAATATGTCCAATTCAACGTTTCCAAGGTGCTTGCGCTCTTGAATAAGCGGTTTGCACGAAAGAAGGCATGGTAAGACGTTCTTCCTCCGACACCCTTCGAAAATCCACGCCATGATGTACTTGGGACAACTCGTTGAACCGTTGACGGCACCATCTGTCTTCACTATGTAGTATTCCACGATCGATGGCGACACGCGTTCTAGGCACCAGTGATGCCCGTCGACGGGTTTTGCTACGCGCTTGACGATCTCGAAACGTATCCCTTGGCTCAATATTTATTCTGTTTCACGATGGGATGGGCGGTTTGCTCCTCATTTCTCCGTGTCCTTTCCTTTCTTCCTCCCTCTCACTCTTGGCCTGACACCGGTCAATCCCGAGAGTTCCAACGATATCTTATACGAAACGCACACCGTGTTGCTTTCAGTGTTGACTATGACAAACCTGCTGGCTCAGGGCAGTCATCACGCATCACGTATCAGGTCTTCGGCAGCTGGGTTCTGTTTTTTTACATGAGTTATATACCATTACAGATTGTTTGTCTTTATTTTTAAGTGGATGGCCACTTGTCTACTGGCTTGCAGTTCTGTTCCTTTGATGAGTTGAGTTGACTTCTGGCCTCGTTCATGTTCATGTTCTTCATTTTTTTTTTTTTTTTTTTTTTTTCGTCGGAGTATGGTTCTATCTGACTGCAGCTGCGTTAATCAGCTGCATCTGTAATATTTAGTTGGGGCTCCTGCGAGCCAAGGTACATATATAGTATAATCATATTTATCATGACTTCTTGCTTCCTCGGTCGTAGGGGATAGGAGGTCCATATTAGATTGATTCGTAGTCAGGGAGAAGCAGATATAGCACAAACTAGGAACAAAAGAGTGCAACGCCAAGCATTATCAACAGCGCATCAATGTAATAATATCTCCACTGACAATTCTGCGATGGACGTCTAGCGCCCTCGACGCCGACGGAATTATGCAGTCGTCAGTTAGCTGCATGGCAAGCGCCACAGCAGTTTCCATGGTATTCTCAATCATATGCGTATACTGGCATCCATTTGGTATATCTCTCGAGTGATGACGATGATGTCAGGAAGACGGAAAGAATCGAAATAAGTCCCAATCAGCAAACCGTTAACGACGGCACGGAGGCTTGTTAAAGTGATGAGAAAGTAAGAAGCAAGGCATGGCAGGGGGGTGTTTACGTCACTTTCTCTTCGAGCGGGGAGATCAGCAGCGGGTGGATGCCTGAGGAACGCAAACCTCCGTCCTAGTCTCTCGTCGACGGTGTAATTTCCCAGTCCTCCCCCCGGCCATCTTTTCGTGTTTTATCCTTTCGCACTGGCACCAAACTCTGTGGTGTTGTCTAAAAAAGGAATAGACGGCAATCTCGCATAGAAGAGCCGAGAAATAGAAAAAACCAGGGGAAAAAGGGAAAAAGTCCACAAAGAAAATTTGTTTCTCTTTCTGCTGCAACCCCTCTGCGCGCTCTTGCTTTGGTTCCCAATTCTCCAGGCAGCTACTTTCTGCCCCTTCACCGCCCACGACGGCTCTTCATCTCCTCATTCTACATACGGATACGTGGGCCACTATTTGCCTCGAGTCAGCACCTCGCAATCACCCACAAAAGCCCTCGTACGGCACAGGAGAGTAATTACTAGAGAAGAGCAAAGCTTACGGGGCAAAAAGAAGGGGGAAAAGAAGACATTTCTCATCATGGCGGCACCAACAGGGCAAACTTCTTTCGATCCCAAGTATGATCAGTACGATTTCCCGACCATTGCGCCAGTACCCCTACCGGGTCACCCTGGCCACACAACTCCCGAGCAGGATGCCAAGGTGTTCCAGCTTCGCTCTGAGTTGGAGAGGTTAGGGTACACTGAAAGATTGGATACGTTGACGCTGTTGCGGTTTTTGAGGGCGAGAAAGTTCGATGTTCAGGCTGCTAAGACTATGTGGGTTTCTTCTGCTACTTGTCCTTTTTTTTGCTTTTTGTTTGTCTATTTTGTTTGTCTACCTGCACGTACATGTATAAGTATAGTGTCCATGACTGACATACCTCTGTCAATAGGTTCATTGAAAGTGAGAAGTGGAGGAAAGAGTTCGGAACAGACGACCTCGCTCGCACTTTTGATTACACTGAGAAGGCTCAGGTCTTCAAATTCTACCCCCAGTACTACCATAAAACTGACAAAGTAGGCCACCCTTGTCTCTTTGAACCTTCAGATGCCCCTATACTTCGCATTGGATGCTGATTGCTGTGAATCTCTGGTTAGGATGGAAGACCCGTCTACATTGAGAAGTACGGCAAGATCGATCTTAGCGCCATGTACAAGATCACCACCGCCGAGCGTATGCTACAGAACCTCGTATGCGAGTACGAGAAACTCGCGGATCCCCGGCTCCCTGCGTGCTCGCGAAAGGCGGGGAAGCTCATGGAGACCTGCTGCACAATAATGGACTTGAAGGGAGTTGGTATCACGAGCATCCCGTCTGTCTACGGATATGTTCGCCAGGCATCTTCCATCTCGCAGAACTACTATCCAGAGAGACTGGGTAAGCTGTACCTGATCAACGCCCCTTGGGGCTTCAGCGGCGCTTTCAACATCATCAAGGGCTTCCTTGACCCTGTCACGGTTAACAAAATCCACGTCCTCGGAAGCAACTACAAGAAAGAGCTGTTGGGGCAGGTCCCTGCAGAGAACCTACCCGTCGAGTTCGGAGGTACCTGCAAGTGTCCGGGAGGCTGCGAGCTAAGTGACATGGGACCATGGCAAGAGCCCGAGTGGGCCAAGCCACCTAAGTGGGCTTTGCCTAAGGATGGTGAAAAGTCCGCTCAAGAAGAGGAGGCCGTTATCAAGAATGAGGACCCTGGCTTGGAAGGGAAAGTCGAAGAGGTGGTAGAGGTCTCCAAGCCCAGCGCATAAGCATATATTCCAACCCAATCAGCGTTTCACACATATTTTAACAGCTCAATCCATATCCCTTTTTAACCAATTCCTACTCAGTCCGCCTACTACTCGAGCGCATCAGCGTTTCCCCTTTTCCATTTGTGCTCTTTCTCCCCCTTTCTTTCTTTTGGATCAGCATGTGAAGATCTCCTATTGCACAACTGGATTATCTACTGAAAGCTTCATTTTTCTTTTCTTTTTCCTTTCTGTCTCTTTCCCTCTTTAGCTTTTCTTTTTTCTGTTCCATAGAGGAAAGGGTAAGTTATACATGATGGTGACCTGGTGTTCTCAGTGGTTTCTTTGTTTCTTTTTTCCTTCGGTCGACCTACGTTTACAAAAACAGCAAACTACAGCCTGTGCATAATAAATAAAACTCTCTCTATTGTTTTCTTTTTCTCTCCCTTTTTCCTCATCTGGCTGGGAACTGCCCCTGACCTGGTCGAGCCCTCACAATTGATCTAGATACATTTATAATTAGCGGTCTTCTACTGCTTTCATTTCATTAGATGGATGGGAATGGATCTGGTTGGTTTGAGTGATCGATATGGTTTCAGTCTATGTTGTGTTTCAAAATCTGTTTATGGTAGGAATCTAGATTGCTAGAACTGGCGTCTATTCTATGTTACCATATGCTGTTAAAGAGTCAATCTAATGAATCAATTGCTATTAAATCAACGCTGGTATCATCCAAGAACCGTACCCAACCAACCTGACGCCTCCCCCCAAAAAAAGAACCTCGTATAAGGGAAAACGCCTTCAAACACGTCTAGATATATTTACTTCATACCCTCCACAACCTCAGCAGCCTTTATCGCCCTCTCAGCTTTACCCACCGTCGTAGCCAAAGCACCATCCCCATCGGGACCATCACCCATTTCCTCTATCTCCTCCTCACCCTGCAACCGAAGTAAAGTCCGCAACGCATCCTCGTAAACCTGTGCAACTTCTCCGTCCTTCCAGCGTTGCGCCTCCTCCTCTGTGCCGAGGGGAATATGAAGATCCCAATCCATTTCCCCACCCCCGTTGACCGCTACTTCTTGTTCTTCTTCTTCCTGGTCATCTTCTAGTAATGCCTTTTTCAACTGATCACCATATTCCCTCGCCGCGCGCGCGGGCGTATCTCGTCGTAACTGTGCGACTGTCGTAGTTAGCGATTCGAGCTGGGCGTATAGCGACGTCACGCGGGCTGCGAGTCGGGCGTCGTAGGGTTCGTATTCGATCGTTTCCGGTGCGGAGAGGATTATTGATGGTGATGTTGAGTTTGGGTTCTGTTGGATGGGGAGGGCGGTTGTTGAGTCCATGCCATTTATGCTGATTGAGGGGGTGGCTGTTGTGAAGGTTTTTGTTATGAACTTTTAGTGTATTCATTGTTAGCAATCCATCACTCTGTTTCAACAGTTCTTCCGAGTGCTCCAACCTACCTCATCAACTAACTCTTTCACTCGCTCCCGCATTGGATCTGGTTCGTTTCCATCGTTCGTCGCGGAGGGGGGGAGGTGCAAGTCGAGTTTGCGACGCGACAGGGCTACCGCGTTGGTGTGGAGATATAGCAGGTCGGCGGGGGATTGGAGTTCTATTTTGCGGTGGTGGGGGGCTGTCATTTTTCTTCTTCTCCTTGCTTTGATGGTGGTTTTGTGGTTCTGTGGGAGTTTGTGGAGAGGGTGTTGTTTTCATCTCCTGTGGTGGACTACGGAGTATGCGGAGTTAGCTGTAGTAGATGTAGTAGATTCGAGGATTGATTACCATGCGCGACTCTGGCTTGCTTTCATGTCCACAGACATTATTATTGAGAAGTAGAAATAAGGTAAATGATGAAAATAAAAAGGAATATATAGATAATAACAGCAATAACAACAATACCCCATTTACTGCTGCCACAGTTAGCAGGCGGCTGAAAATGGCAGCACTTGACACTGTTTTGCAAGTCGCTCTAACCAACATCCATCTTGGCACCACATGTGGACAGAACAGGACCTCTGGTCTTGATACCACTGTTGTTTCCCTCCGGATGCCTCCGTTTCTTTGGAGTCTTCAGTGATATACTTTCATTCCTTTGCAGTTTTTCAGTTTCATTTTCGTTACTCAGAACCTTGTAAGTTGGCGTGTTGAACCTCCATGCTGGGGAATGCAACGACCAATTACCCCAGTATCCCGATGCCACCTATCATTCCCATATCCTGTCTTCAGATACTTCTCGGAAGTGCATTTTTGTTCGTCGGTGGCGGCGCATGCTCGAGGTCAGCTGGTGGTCAGAGTCTGTAGCCGTATCCTGATCTGCTCTGCTCCAGTGTACAGGAAGGGCCCGCCTGATCTTGTGCCACGGATTTGACCAAGTATTGAATAACTATGCATTACTATTCAAGCTAGAGTTTGTAAAGACAGGAGAAACGTTCTTGTAAGGGGTCATACAGCGCCAGGCAACGGGGCACTCCCGCCAGCTTAGTCTCCAGCCTGCGACACCTTAAAGACTATGAGCTTGCAGCTCTACTGTCAGCAATTTGGCCATGCTTTTCTCCAAATCCTCAGAATATTCTTAATCTCCTCCAGTACAAACGTTGTAGGCTTCGATCACCTGTAAATACCTTGTGACCCATTTGGCATGGAAATCCGCAAGCTTGGTCCCATGGGGAAGCCAAAACAATACGCGGGGGTCTCCACTAGAGCTTCTTTTCCTTCATCTGGATTGACAGTAAATTTCCGCAGCCCCTGCCCAACCCTCGAGGCTAGTTCCGAATCCAGCTCATCAAGAACCGGTATGGTGCTTAGGCGATTGATAATGGATGTCCAATCTGCGCAGGACCTGACGATAAGCGTTGCAAGCCATTGGACAGGTTGAATGAAATCAGTGCCACAAATCCTCTCCTCATAGTCCATGCATGACCGGAGGATCGTGTAACACTCGAGAGCTGCCATGACCGACGCCACTGATGGTGTTGCCTCCCAGAGATTCACAGGGGCGTAAATGGCATCCAACGACACCAAGCCCACTCGTATCAACTCCTCAGCTACGCAAAAGATACGCTCCTGTACCTTCCATCTGCACCACGTAATGTAAGCGATTTCGCCTAGGGATTCTGGTCTTTTCTCGGGAGGAAGCCGGGAGAGCGTGCACCATTCCGTCGTCACGGCTTCGTCTCCACGAGCGCACCAATCAAGGTTGATCAGGGCTATCTCGCTGCTGATCATACTGCTTGCTGCTTCATAGGATGGACTCGACGCTGCATTCTGAGCTGCAGCTCTTGCAGAAAATCCAAGGCCTCATTCTTTGGCGCAAGCACTCGGCGAGCACGGACGGGAGCATTAGAAAAGGAGATATCTAAGTAGTCACGGCACAGGACCTCCCGCAAAAGGCGAAAAACCGGTGAATCTGGGAAAAAGTCCGGGTAGACTGCGCAGTTGTAGGAATTTTAGGATCATCCAGTCTCTGATGGATGTAGGCCTTCTGTTTCTGCAGCGTCCAGTCTTCATCATCGTCTCTCATCAACCCAAGTGTTCGCACAAATTCCTGGCCAAACAGGGAATTTCGAGCTCGCCCACTAGCCGAACGGCGATTCTGAATAACTCCTTTGGCTGGCCTGGGCGGACGTGTGCACGTAGATATTCTGATTTGCCACACGAAATGCCCTTGCAAATGGACCGGAGTAGCAAGGTTTGACCACCACATTGACTTGGACATCAGGATGGAAGAAAGAACATGCAGCTGCGAGATCTGCTAGAGGGAAGTCGATTCCACCAAGTGTGATACCATGTTGATTGCCATGCCCGATGAGGATTATAGACTATATCTTTCGGTTTGGTATCGGCGGCCTGTTTGCGGACCCATTCAAGCACTTTCGAAGCCACGGAATTCAGCTGGATCCACCAAGGTGTCCGATGCTCCCAATCCCACCGGCTATAAATGGCGATATGATCACCACTCTCCCTGTCACCTTCTCCGACCTCTTCTCGCTTGCCAAATTTGATGTCCGTGAATTTTCCCTGTTCAAAGTATCCGTCCAGGTCGAAGCAGTTGATGAATATCTCATGGATGCCTTGATCTTTCAACGCGGTTATAAATCCAAGGAAATCACCAGACAACCAGGAGCAGCGAGTACCCGTCACCCCACATACTACTAGGTGTCTTGTAGTATTTGAAGATCTTCCGGCAGCCATATCTAAAAAGTGTCAAATTCTGCGGAAATAAAGAAGGTAGGTAGTACTGACGGTGATGGAGGGTGGAGCCTTGGGGTCCTGTTGTGGATTGTATGCATTACCTAGGCCCGGTTCAATGGTAGCCTAATTGTATATATAGGAGCAAGCGGTTGAGCGATTGAGCATGAAGTATGTCAATTAAGAGCTTCACGAAGTACTAGAGACGGCAGTATATCGGTATAGAGCGTTCACCACGAATCCTATGGTATCCTTTAAATTGCGATTCCATTAAGAGCTTGCGCGGAAACATATCCGATACGCCCGCGGGGGAGGGGTTCATCGATAGATAGGCCATATCGATTACTTGCGCCATGAGCAAGGAATACATCATGGAGTACATCATGGAGTACTCTGAGTAGCTCGTTCGAAAGGCGCGAGTCAGACGAAACCATGATGCTGCATAGTATTTATTCTCCGGTCGCGGAAGGCCTCTGAAGCCCCGCCATTATGGTTATGTATTAACACGGCCAATGACAAGAATGACAAGATCAGTCAGTTAGGATAAATCAAGGAACAGAAAGAGGATTGGCTTTGGTTTGTGGTTGTGGAAAAATCCCCTGCTTCCACTTTGGCTTCTCTCGGTCACGCCCCACAACGATGTCATCGTCCCGCGTCTCTAGATTCTCTCCAGCTGAACACTTACAGCACTCCCGTCCTCACTCTCATCCTTCCAACTATATATACTCGCTAATTCTATAATATATTTCTCGAGACCTTTTTGGATTCCAAAGCCGACTGTCTACTAGTGCACCTTCCCGATGACCTGATATCGTTGTTGTCGCGATGCACTAACAGCTGAAGACCTTGGCACTGTCTTCAACTACAGCATCGGAGATCCCATTCCCGTTGACCGGAAAGGACAATAATTATACTATTCCTAATGTCTAGTCGTCTACAATGGAAAGCCCGCCCACAATTACCCTCGTCGATAACACTATTCCGGCAGAACGGTCCGCGTCAGTGCAACGGCCCGGTCGCTCGACTGTCCCGTCGAAGAGGAGTCTTGTGAAGAGGATATACGTGAAACCAAAATATGATAAATCAGGTGTTACTGCAGATGCAAGAAGGGATTCAAATACCGATGAGTCTCCACAATGGGGACTGTCGTTGACGGATTCGAATACCGCCGGTGGTAGTGGATCGGGGACACGAGAAAGCGGCCGTGAAACAGACCAAGCACAGGAACAGGATCAAGGGCGCCTTGGGACTGGAGGGATGAATCTCTCACCTTCTCATGGAAAGCAGGATGAAGATGAAGCAGCTCAGCCAGAGCAAGCGAAATCAACCAGGGAGATCGATATCCTCTACGAAAACCAGCGGGGCTGGTTTCTCTGCGGTATCCCCCTCTACTCCCACCAATCACTCTTACCAATCGACCCATCTGCATGGGTCAACCGGCATTGGAAAGATAGTCCAGTCAATATCACGAATGCACAGGTCCCGGATCCCAGCTGGGAGTGGGCCTGGAAGACCTGGTACGTCGATATGACGGGGGACGTCGATGAGCAGGGCTGGGAGTATTCCTTCTCCTTTAGGTCCTCCTCCTGGCATGGGACTCATCCCTGGTTCCATTCTTTCGTGCGCCGGCGCCGATGGATCAGGCTTCGAGTTAAACAGACCCCGGGGAGAAGTGCGCGTGGGCGGTCGGGGTTCGAGAGAGCACATATGCTTAATGAAGATTATTTTACTATTCACTCTGCCAGTGCGAAAAGGAAAAAAGATGGGTTGAGTCTTGCCCCCGCGTCAACTGGGCCGTCAGCGTATTCTCGTGCTACCACCGATTTGGAAGGTCCCGATGAAGATATGGATTTGGAGGAAATCACTGATATTCCGTCGTTGATGCGCGCTTTGAAGCGTGGTATTGTGGATCGAGAGAAAATTGAATATCTCAAGAAGTTTGTCGAGAGGGGAGGTGAAGAGCTTTACTACTTGGATGACAATGTAATTGGCCTATCCTCCTTCATTCTCTCACGTCGTCAGGCTGATTATATTCCAACAGATACCCGAGATAATGTCTCTATTCATCTTTCAGAACTCGAGATGGCAATTTTTGGCCTATTTAACTGTTGCCATCGAGGAGCTTTCTGGGAATATTCCCCAAACTCAAGGCAAAGAGGCAGATGAAATGAAACGAAGATATGATAATCTCTCCAGGGCCGCGGACTCTATTAAGCGTCATATAACTGGCCCTAATATCTTCGATGATGGTAAAAATTCCTTGTTGAATTTGACTCCTGCTATAGGACAGGAATGCTCATCCGCCGGCCCAGCAAACGAGTCTGTTGGCCAACGGGGATCGATCAAGGGCATCCCGAAGCAGGCAGAGATTGAACGCGAGGGCCATCTTTATTGATCCATCGTGCCATGGAACAAAGTGGCATTGTATTCAGGGGATCTTTGGTCCTTGATGAGGTGAAACTTCTTGGATGCCGTGTCTTGGCAATTGGAGCATTGGTATTCTAAAACAGCAGGCTTCTGGAAATCTGCTCTTTATTATTATTAATTTTAGAACTATAGACCGCATTTTTTTTTTGGAAGTATAGATTAATACTTTTTCTCCAAGGATAAGACTATGTAGCATGTACTCCGTAGCAATGGATGCATGAAGCTCGGCCCGGCGTCACCGCCTGCCGAAAAGAATCTTTTGGCCATCAAGAAAATCCTCTGCTGCAAAACAACCATCAAGCTAGCTACCCAGGAGCTTCCGACGTCCATTTCCCCCCCCAGAAATCCCGTCCGCATTGCATTGACGCTTGTTCGGCGTCAGTCCCTATGTTCTCGCGCGGCCCTGCATGTCTGAGGAGCAGCCGTGGTCTAACTACCTTCCTCGACAACATCGCGATTGGCGCCGATGAACATCATGAACCCTTGCTCTTCCTCTACCCTCGCTGGTTTACATTCGCCTTACGACAGCACCGGAGATCGATTGCTTCGATAGCTGGCCCTACCACTACCTCTTCGGCCAAGGGGAATAGACAACCAAGCCGGCTGTTCGTCGGAAGATGTTACGCACGGAGACGATCCGTGGGAAGCTCCTTGTCGAGGAGATGGCTTTCGTCAAATACAGCTGTCGCGAAGGATAATGATAATAAAAATAGTGACGCTGTGGTTGAGGATGGCCTGCGAAACTCCGCCGAACATACTGCAGTCGCTGCTGGAACACGACGTTCTTCCGGCTCGAGTAACACCACATCAATTCCGCAACCCGAGCGGGGTGCTACAGATCTTATGGGCTCAGAGCTGACGGGAGATGTCGGAGAAAATTCTCGCGAGAGGTCGCTGGAATACATGGAGAGATTGCCTACGCGGGATAGAAGGAAATTGCGGTACCGTCTACACATAAACAAGGAAGTTCAGAAACTGGAGCCCTGGAAACAGCGGAGAAGGACGGTTCATTGGACGCAATTGCTGGATCAGCTCGAGGATTTGCAAGCACAGTCCGAGGATCGCATGCTCGATAAGCCGGGTACAAAGCACAGGGAGATGCTTATCCCCGAAGAGACTGTGGTGTATCTGGCTGGCATGACAGGGATGCGGGAGAATATTTGGTACGTTCCTATTCACAACGGGTGTCGGGTTCGTGTGCTGGATGCGATTGAAAGCGATGGTCCGTGCCGGAAAGTCGTTTTATCTGGATCCGAACGAGTGGTCGAGTTGGTTGCGAACGAAATATCACAGGCTCAAAATCTCCAGGCGACCGGTGACCCTTTGATTGATGTCAGGAAGCCACCTGTTCGGATCTATCCTTCTATAGAGGCGCTTCGGCTCAATAATTTGCCTGTACCGCTGATCCGAGGCGTGTGGGAGAGCCATGACGAGCTGTCCGAACGGCCGGTCTTCATGGATTCCATTCTGCCTTCTCATCCTACTTTAACGAACGTGAGGGAGTTCTCTGAGTATGTTGAAGATATCAGTAGGTCAAAGCGGTATCCTCGTTTCAGTCAAAAGTACGACAGCGCCCATCCCGAGCGACATCATCACCTGCAAAGGGCAGAGAAAGCACTCGTGGAACTCTTCCTGCAGGATGAGAACAAGAGACTCATCTCGACTGGGGCACTAAATATTGCGCTTTCCTTTCTATGCAAGCACGAATTTCTCTCTTCTGCTCGGGAGGTTTTTTCAAAGGCCGAGCATCTTGCAACGGCCGACACTTTTAATATTCTCTTGCGATCCGCAGCTCGGAGACAGGATCTGGCAAAGTTTCGCGATATTCTGACTGAGATGGCCGGATCGCATGTCCAGCCGAACGCAGATACCTGGCTTGCTTTCATCGATTGTGTCGTTTTCCCTCCAGCAAAGAAGTATTTGGTTGAGCGTCTCATATCGAGTGGGTATCTGAGCAGTATTAGAGGCCGCCGAACACTCTTTCTGTTGACGGTCGAGGACACTTTTCTCGAACATTTGGAAAGAGGCCAGAGCGTGGATTCCTTCTTTGACAAGATGGGTGCCTCAGAGGGCACTGATTGGGTCAATGGCGCGTTGCTTTACAAGATGTTTAGCGTAATCGTCAGACTAAAAAACTACGAAGCCCTGGACCGTTTGATCGATATCTCCCTGCACCATGGCTGGCCCATGGGAAACTCCACCCCCAGACTAGTCCTGGGCCTCTTCCGCAGTAATATCTTTTCGGCTCTCCACTTTGTTCTCCGGTGCATAGGAAGTCCCTCATTCCAGATGAATGACGACGCTTACGAAAAGCTTTTTCTGATTGCATTCAAAACCCGAAGCTACAACGTCTGCCGCGTCCTCTGGAGGTACGCGTGCATGGAAGGCCGCGTGAGCTATAAAATGAGGCAATCCGTCCTCACCTCCTTAGTCCGCAACGAACCGAAAAAGAGGAAAAACGTCATCGCTGACCTCTGGAGCGTCAGCGCCGGCAAAGTAATTGTCGGTATGGATCTGCATTTACCCGATATCAGACTACCACAGTCGATCCTCGAATACATTCCGTCTGAATATCATGAGTACCCGTTATCATATCTGCTCAGCGGTTATAAGCCGACGGGAAATGGGAGGGATACGCAATTGCGGTTCGGCTCTGATCTGGTCAGCAGGGATATCAAAGTAGGACCTCGATATGAGCCGCAGGAGAGTCTGGCGCTTATGCTGCATGCTGCCGCTTTTATAGACCATGAATGGAATAACACCCCCCGGCCCACGCATTGGATGATCCAGAACGCTATACAGGTGCCTGTGGTGAAGCGGTTGCGTTCTCGGTGGTGACTGATGTGAGGGTCTCTTCGGAACGCTTTTCTTTCATCTCCGTCTATTTTTGACCTACCTACCTAGCTATCTATAGTCGATCCGTGTTCTCTCTGAATTTGTATATATAACATTTCCTGTTTTCTTATATGTACACGAACCATTCCTGTGCAAATACCTCTGTTGGTGAAAATATAGGATAGAACATCTCAACAGAGAAGAATTAAAATAGAGGTGCGGATTATATAGGTATAAAGCAAATATTGCAGAAACTTTTTGAGAAGAGATTTCCTTGGGTAATAATAGTAATAATGAAAATCATGAGGGACATTGGCCATTCCAATGCAAAACAAACGGTCAGACAAGTTTTAGATATCTTGGTAAGAACAAGGGGGGAATAAAACAAAAGGTTGATTGCGGTCCTGGCCAGCAAACGCAGGTTTTATGAAGCAAAAGCATTGGTCTATTCTAGGTCCCGCCAAGCCAGTTCCTGCCTGCTCTTTAATAGAGAAGAGTCCAAAAATAAGGAGAAAACAAGGAAAAGGAGAGAGTATTAGCCCTGTCCCGGTCCAGAAAACGTCGGAGGCCCAGAGACAGGAGGAGGAGCAAGAGCATACGGATCGAATTCGGATCTCATGGATCGGACGCCTTCTTTGAGGTACAGCACGAGACGGTAGGCCGAGTTACCGTTGAGATAGTATCGATGAAGACGTTTACTGCGGAGGAAGCCCAGCCGTTCGTAGAGTTTTATGGCTGCTGTGTTTGTGATTTCCGTTTCAAGGACGATCTAATAGCAGGCATTCGTTATTTGTATTAGCAGAGAGTCAGAAAAGGAAGTAGAAAAGATCAATGGCCCAACCTCAGCAGCATCTCTCTCACTCATGGCATCGATAGCCATCCGAACCAGCTTCGACCCGATCCCCCGTCCCCTGTATGCCTCATTCACGGCCAGCATGGCAATATACCCTCTTAACGGACCTCCACGATGCGGTTCCAGTTTCGAAATCACCACGCCCACCAGCTGCCGTTCGAGATCTTTCTGCGCCGGATCCATGGCGAGGAAGCACAGATCCCCCCATTGGTAGAGAAAGTAGCGGTAGACATAGATGCTGTAGGGCTCCGACAGGTCTTTGGATATCAATTGTCTCATTGCCTGAACGTATTCGTTTTCCTTGGAGCTGTCGTAGCGGATGTAGCGGAGTTCACTTTCATTATGTACGGTTGCGGGCGTGGGCGCGGGCTCTCCTCCCTGCTGCTCAGCGGCGGAAGCATCTTGGCTCATTGCGATGGACGATACGGTGTCATTGGAAGGGGGAGGATAGGATGTAAGAAGAGACAAGACAATGGTGGTGAAGGAGAATTGAATTCGGTACCTTTTTATTTTTTGTTCAGTGTTTCAAGTTGAGGCATGACGTCTTTAGTTTGCATGCCATGTGATTTTCCTTATCGAGATCATTCCTTGCAGCTGCCTGCGTTCATCCGTTTGCGTATTTCACTCTCTTCCTGTTCCTATCCGGCACTCTTCATCTCTTTCACCTGCACTGGATCACTTCGCTGGTTTTCATACGTTATGCTCCGTCGTCGTCATGGTAAGGACGATGCCAATTCGTCCCCCGACGACCCTGCCTCTCCTACTACTACCACGACCACGACGACTGTCGACAAGGACACCATCCATCCCACTACAAATGAAGCCACCCAGACCCCAGAACTAGTCCACAAGCGCTCTCATGAGCGCCGGAATAAACGGCGCAATGGGTTCATCTTCTTGCTGGGTGGCCTTTTTGGCATCATTGTCGCCCTGTTCTTCGCCAACCAACAGGAAGTTATCAGTCTGGATTCGTTGACGGAATTGAATCTTGACTCCCTGGTAGATGTTCTTCCGCAGGGTGTCATGAAAGACGTAAAAGAGTTTTCAGTAACTATTTCCTTAACCACCTTTTGGGTTCTCCCTGTTGCATTGCCTTTGGTTCAACCCATCGGGACTAACCTGCGGCCTACAAGCAGCAGCACGAACGTGAAACCGTCAGCTACGATGCCTTCTCCGTCGGCCTGAATCTTCTGTCTCAGGGTATTGAGGCCAAACATCCTATTGTTATGGTTCCAGGAGTTATTTCGACCGGGCTCGAGAACTGGAGTACGGACCCCGATTTTCGCCAGTACTTCCGCAAAAGACTCTGGGGCAGTTGGAGTATGATGCGGGCCTTGGTGTTGGATAAGGCGGGGTGGAGAGAGAAAATAATGCTGGACAAGGAGACGGGCTTGGATCCTCCTGGTGCGAAACTGCGTGCCGCCCAAGGATTCGACGCTACGGATTTCTTCATCACGGGGTATTGGATCTGGAATAAGATCTTGGAGAATCTCGCCGCCATTGGATACGATCCTACCAATGCCTTTACTGCCGCGTATGACTGGAGACTGTCGTACCAGAATTTGGAGGTTCGGGATCAGTATTTCAGTCGATTGAAGTCTTATATCGAGACGGCCGTCCATGTTAAAGGGGATAAAGTGACTCTAGCTTCGCATAGTATGGGGTCACAAGTCGTACTACACTTTTTCAAGTGGGTTGAAAATGAAAATCACGGGAAAGGAGGGAAGGACTGGGTTAATAGGCATATCGGTTCGTGGATCAATATCAGCGGATGTATGCTAGGCGCTGCCAAGGGTCTCACGGCGGTCCTGTCTGGTGAGATGAGAGACACAGCCCAGTTGAATGCCTTTGCCGTGTATGGGCTTGACAAGTTCCTCTCCAAAGATGAAAGGGTCGAAATCTTCCGCGCAATGCCTGGCATCTCCAGCATGCTCCCCAAAGGCGGAGAGGCCGTGTGGGGAAACTCTACCTGGGCGCCAGATGACCAGCCGGATCAACCGATGACATTCGGCAACATGCTGAATTTCCGTGAAAGCAACTCCTCATGGACTAAGAAGAACTTGACTTCTGCGGAGAGTTTGGCGTACCTCCTCGATCAAAGCGAGCCGTGGTATCGCAATCAGATCTTGGGTAACTATTCCCACGGTGTGGCCCATACTACTAAAGAGGTGGAAGAGAACGAGGATGATCCGAGGAAGTGGCTGAATCCCTTGGAAACCCGACTCCCTTTGGCCCCTGACTTGAAGATCTACTGCTTCTACGGTGTTGGCAAGCCGACAGAGCGCGGTTACTTCTACCAGGAGGAGAGAGACCCAATGGTTAACTTGAACGTCAGTATTGATACCACCGTGACAAACAGCGGAGGCCTTGTGGATCACGGCGTCGTCATGGGAGAGGGTGACGGTACCGTCAACCTGCTGAGTACGGGTTACATGTGCGCCAAGGGATGGCGTATGAAGCGCTACAATCCCGCAGGGGTGAAGATCAAGGTGTTCGAAATGCTACACGAGCCCGATCGGTTCTCTCCTCGGGGTGGTCCTAATACGGGTGAGTCACGATTCTCCTTTGCTCCTTTGCTATCTCATGCGCTAATTTGATTCTTTAGGTGACCACGTCGACATCCTCGGTCGCGCGTCTCTTATAGATCTCGTCCTCCGCGTAGCAGCGGGAAAAGGAGACTTGATTGAGGAGACATATGTCTCGAAAATCAGAGAGTATGCTGATCGTGTAAAGATATATGATGATTGACGAACGGATAAATTAAGTTGCGTTTTTCCTTTTTCTGCCTTTATGGATCATACAATACCTGTTTTGTTTTCTTGCAAGCTGTTACATTCTGGGATTTCATATACATATGTACTTTTTATTCTACTAACGTTGACGGCCTTCCCTTTCCGTTTTGATGCTCACCCTGCTCACTGAGTAAAACTGAGCACGTGATCCCTGACGGGCTCTGGCACGTTACACTTGGATTTTCAGTCAACTGAGTAAACTGAACACTCTGTACATAGGGTTGCTGGATATATTTGGTCTTTCAATCTTGCTTTTGGCCTTGAGATCAAGACTTATCTAACACATCAACATTAGCTCATTTCACCAAGCCCCATGTCTGGTCCCGCAAAATGAAAAGGCTGCAGATCACCAAGACGGCTTGGCCCCTGGTGCAGCCGGCGGAAACCCCAGATTTCCTATGAACCATGGAAATCAAAAGCCTGGGTGGGACCGAGTTTCTTACATGGTCAAAACCACGAAACCACGCAGAATTGCAACTCCTTTGTATCATATCTTGTGATGAAGTGTAAGGCCGCAAAGGCAGCAGCCTCAGGCCACACAAGATCAGTTCTTACACAATAAGGACCCTATGTTTCCTCCCCTACTATCGTACCTAGCATTCTCCGTATATTGATTTCCTCTTCACGCCATCACTGCCATCCAGCCCTTACATGAAGGATAGCACTGCTGCGGTGTAGTATCTCCTACCGTATGGAATCGAGATGCTCTCCGTTGTAAAGGTATAAAGCACCGTAATTCCCTTCAGTGAAAATAACAGTACCACTCCATCAACATTCTTGTTTCCCTCACTTGAATCACAACGATGTCTCGTGAAATCTTTCTGCTCGTCTCTCCACAGTACAACATACCGAGACGGATTTTCTGGAAAGGTCTGTTTGTCTTCGTCGTGTCATAGTTGCGTTTGAACCCAAGCTTGTATCCAGTGAACGGAGAGCCAACAACATGGATAACTTCGCCTTTTACCGCGCTGCTGGCTTCTGGAATGAATATGGACCAATACGCTGGTCAAGTGAGCAACAGTCACATTCAGGATGTGATAGGAAAGGGCGTTTCATGATATCTTGGAGGTGCGGGCAAAATTGGTCCAACCCCCGGGAGTCAGCCCGTCACCATTGGACCCCAATGCGGTAAGGCTGGTACGGTACGATGAACAGGAGACTGTGAACTGATCAATTCTAGAGCAAGAACTGTCAACATTGGCTTCAGGACTATGTTGAAAGGTTAGGTGCGTACAGATAACCTGACCTCAAGCTAACCGCTTACTGCATACAGCAGATACGCTAGACTACACTAGGAAGGAGGTAACACCCCCAAACAGTGCTAATAGTAACTAGTAGTAAATACAAGTCAATGGCATATGCATCCCCATATAAGCCTCCACTAACAAAAGAATGAAAGGTGATTTAGATGAAGCTAGCGGGAAAAAGCTTTTCGGAGACCATTCAGTCCCACCTGCTGTTGACTTGAGTTACATCCTACAGCATGCCAGGGTGTCATGACACCTTTTTTGAGGTATATAGTACCTTGAGGGGCTGCTTTGCATGCGAGAGAAGCTCAACATAGTTCTTTTATCCTTTCTTTATGTCTACATTGCAGCAAGTAAGTCAGTCATATTATCTTCTAGGCCTGCTGTCTTCCATTTCTTCCCCAAACTGCCTACAGAATTGTGGCTGATGATCTGGCACCAATGTCTCCTACATCATGTCCATAAACTGGACATCCTTTTCAACATGGTGGTCTTTCACTCACCACACTATTACCTATGCGACCTTAGTGACTCTGCTTGGGCCAACAGATACCCACCACTTATCACTCAGGTTTGCCGTGAGTCGTGAGCTGTGGCCTTTGAGAGGTAGCCACTTTCCAGCAGACCCTTCTCCACCTAAGGCTCCTCACTGGTGGTCAGGTACGTCGCATCTTGTCTCCTGGCTGGACCCTATCTGAGATCAGGTGCACCTGAATTGGACGCCTGCCTGTGAGGCAGACTTTAGCATTGATGGGTCACGCCTAGATTTCCTTGCCTGGGAAGCAGCCCAGGTCATCCGCCATAATGGTTTCTTTATGACAGACTGGCTTAGTATCTCAGTCCACAGCCAACCCCCACATCTAGCCTTTTTAGAGATTCTGTCCTGCCTCCCCAAGTGAATGGTGGTCATGCAGGTGATTGTCATCTATGCTGACTGCCAAATTGGCACATAGTCTGGGTTATTTGGATTGCTCAGCAACACCCACATACAGATTGTTGATGTGGACAACTAAGACTGAATTGAGGCATGCTGAAAACTAGCTGAGGCCTAGAAACATTATGATCTGTACAAACAGGATCTACAGAGGGAATCTGCTGAGTATACTCACTGCAGGCTACAAGAGATTACAAGAATATATTCTTGTCTGAGAAGGTCCCATCAGTGCTGGTCCCAGCCATCATGTTTCAATTCTGCACGCAGATAAGCAGCCATGGAGGAGATCTCATGGGTTCAGATATCCTCAGGGAACAAGCAAGACTTAACCCACGGGCTTCACAGGCTCGACTAGCGCGTGGGCGGGGTAGGGGAAGGGGTAGAGGACGGGATTGAGAGTCTGAGGTCGGTCAGCAATGACAGAATGACAGGCGTGCTGATAGTTCGGATGACTTGGAGTACACCAGCTGACAGTTGGCTGGTTTCCCCCGGCATCCAAATATGTCTGTAGCGGGGGAAACGTCTACACCCGTTTCCCTTACCTAGAATTGGTTTGATTGTCGTTAACGTCCACTAAATCAGGAGGTCCCAGGCAGAGGGAAGGACCACTATCCATTTGACTGCAGTCATTAAGGCTTTCTCTTCAACACAACAATTCTCCTTCAAGATTGTTTCTCAACAGAAGACATCTGAGCATACATACCTCACTCTTCGAAGTGTTTCAGTTATGAAGGGCCACCCGCGTGATACCAGCCAGTATGTGGCAACGCATGAGGATGGAAATCAAATGCCTCTCCACCCGCGCAATGCCACTGAGGAAGAAATTCAGTCTCTCCCACATACTGTTGAGCATTCCCCGTGCTCTATGGATCATCACCATAGCTGGTACTGCTGAGAAATTTTCATACTATGCCGCGAGTTTGAGCAATCGATGAAAGTTTTCGATGGAAAGTCAAAGACGGGCATCCAAGATTGACAAAGATGGAGTTATCAACGGTGATATAAATGAATCCTTGTCTACTTCAAACTCTGCTGATATTTTCATGAGGTTTTACTTGGCCAAGGCAGTGATTGAGCAGTCTAGGTGTCACCAGTGAACTCTCAAATACAATTTGAACGCCGGAGAAAGGTGGAAAAGTGGCTGAATAGCAGACCAGAGGATATTCCACAAAGCTGGAAAAGACCTCAGCAGAAAGTTGAAGGAGGAGAAGGTGGCAGTGATGGTGGCTCTGATACTTCCACATATGAAGTAAATCTGAAGCAGGTTAAGCAGTTCATTCTGGGAACAGAAGCCTTCAAAATACTGAAGATCAGTCTTCGGTTGCTTATATATCCAAGTGATGACCTTGAATCAAGAGTCATGAAGACCTCACTTCACACAACACCTCCGAAAGTTTGGCTGAAAGGCCAAGAGTTGGAAAGATTACAGAACAGCCTGGAGCAGAGTTCAAGCTAAGTCCAGAAGAGGTGGCTCCAGCCGAGATTGCAATATCAGGTCGAATACAGCACTGGACCTGCAGCCTTCGCCATGCTGTGATCTGGCTGGTTACCTTTTTATCAGAAATCGTTGAGAGCTTGGTGCTATGCCACATGGCCACATGCAAGTCTCTTGGATCTGTGTAAGTGATGCCATTTCCACCCACTAAAAATATCTCCTGACTGAAGTAGAAATGTGGTAAGAGAGTGTGTGTCAACTCCCAAGAGGAATATTGAGCAGCAGCAGCAGTTCAATTTGCAAAAGGCAGCTGGCCCATCGAATGCAAGTACTGTTCCAACTAGCCATTCTATGAGAGATGTCTCAAAGTCATCATCTTCAGAATCTCTCGACTCGGGCTCCAGGGACATCCCATTATCAGCTGATGATATAAATTCCACTCCACTGTCTACAGTAGCTTCCAACGAGGATCAACTATCTGACCCTGTATGCCCTCTGGGAACAAAACCATCCACCTGACTGGTTTTGTGGTTCAGGAAGGTATCTTGATTTGCCTGGGAGGTGGATACAGCTCTGTCTTTGAGAGGAGGAACTACTCCCACGCCTGCAGTAGTAAGTTAGCAATTGGGAGCTCCCCTAAAGCTGTCACGACCTAGCTCCTAGGGTGCATTCTAAGGACTAAACCGCTACACTACCGGCAAAAGACCAGGATATCAGGTCTTACGACCTGATACTGCACTCACTTATATAATACTTGTTTTCCACGCCGTCACAAAAGCTTCCTGATTTATGTATAGGAATGTCGTTTGGCAGAAATGTGGTGAGGGGAGAAAATTAGTTATTTTATGTGAGAGTGCTACTCTATAGTGAGTATACTGTACCAACTACTAAGTCTTAATATTTCAATTGATTGGAAAAATAGCTGATAACCTTTGACAAAGTCCTGATGCCTTCTCCCTCCTCCTTCCTCTCAAGCTATCCAGCTGAATATGACTCCATGCTTTAGCAGAACCCAGTCATCTGTTAGCCAAGATTCATCTCCTTCACCTTAGTCTCAGCCACCATCCACTGCTTTCTCAGAGAATACAAAACTATAGGTTCAGAGTCTTGCCCATGATTTTTGCTGGGCCTGTGGGACTCATCCAGTGTAGAAGAACAGGTATTATATCACTTCTCCGTTGCATGTCCATGTGCAAAATAGGACCTCCATCTTCAGCATCCTGTTACTGTACTAACTACTATTCTACCAAAGATGTGATGAAAATGGTGTACAAGCATCCCGGTCATAAGAAATTATTTGCATTAACTGTTAAAAACCACTATGAAGTGGGTGGTGGTGGTGGTAACTCCCATGGTCTATGCATTAGATGGATAGATAGACCTTAATTTTTTTCTCTCTTCCTTCTAGTACGCAAATGAAAAAAGACAAAAATAAAAACAGACCTTCCACAAAAGAAATCGAAAGGGAGAAAAAAAAAAAAAGGAGAAAAAGGAGATATAAAAACTTCTCCTACCGCACGCGTACCCAACACCTGGAATGATTTCTGAAAACCCATCCCATCCCATCCCATTCCAACCTAGCCCAGCCCTGAAGTTTGTCTGGTAGTAGTAAGCAGTCTCATTCAACACCGTTTTTTCCAAGTCCTGATTAAAAACAGATGAAAGTCGTAAAAATCGTGAAATAGGTCCGTCCCCTTTCTTCCTTTTTTTTTTTTTCTTTTCTTTTCTTTTCTTTCCCTTTCCACTGAGTATGGAGAGAACAAGGAGACCAGAGACGAGTAAGCAGCAAGTAATTGGCAATGATCAACAGCAACAGGAACAACAATAACATGTCTAGAAAGATTGGACATGGGGGTATCAATCAATCGAAGAGATAGAATATCAACGATCTTTAGGAATACTTAGGAATCCCGATCCAATTTAATCTGGTTGGATCAACGAGCCTCATGGCGATTGCATCGAATTTAGCTGTGACGGGTGGAATAAAAGAGATGCCGCAGTAATCAATACTGCGGAATCATTCATTCATCTTTTAAACTCCCAACCAGATTCCTAAGAGCATCCAAAATAACAGCTTCATCTTTAGGTTCTCCGCCGGGGAAGGAACTCGCGGTTGCCTCTCCTAAAGCACGAGCACGAGCGCTTTTCAAGACTTCCCGGATGTAATTCTTGTCATCGTAGTCCTCCATGAGAACAGCCTCGAAGTCATCAATGGCTTTGTTGGCCCGGTCAATGAATGACATTTCCTGATTTTCAACGGGCCCAGGAACTCCAGAATTCATAAGAGGATTCTGTGGAGGAGGAGGTGGCGGCGGTGGATATGGAACACTAGAGTTCGGCGGGTGCATTTGGTGAGGCTGTTGATTTGTTGCAGACAGTGGCTGTATGTTCTGAGGAGGATATGAAGATCGTTGGGGATGAGGTTGGTGGTAGTGATGTTGTTGTTGTTGATGCTGTTGCTGCTGCTGCTGTTGATTCTGGTGTGATAAGGATTGGTGGTACTGAACGAGCTGCGGTGGAGGATCTGAGGCGTATGGAGAGGTGTAGGTAGTGGGTGTTGGGATGAAGGCTGGAGGAAGACTATTTTGCAACGAACTAGGCAGGGGAGGGATGTTTTGAGGGGGTGGGTATGGACTCGAGTGTTGCTGAACGGAGCCAGGTGCGGTGTATGGATTCAGAGGGACTGCGGGGAATTGGAAGTGCTGGTTGGCCATAGGCGCTGGCGGTGGATTTGCGTACATATGGCGGTCCGCCATCTGTGGCATAGGCTGGTGAGATGAAGCCGCTGCCGCTGACGGAGGAGGCTGAGAAGGTGGGGGGGATGGGCGTCTTTTCTTTTCCTTCTCAACAGAAGCACCGGGGCGAAGCTGCCAGGACCATCCCTTTCCATCCCGTTCGGCGTGCATGAAGAGGTGGCCGTTGCCATTGAGATTGTGACGAACACTTGATGTCCAGCCTTCGGTCTCGCACTTGAAGCGGAAGTACGGGTATTTCAGCTTCAACGCTCGATATATCTGCTTCAGAGTCATTGGAGTTCCAGCCTCCGTGAGAGCATCGAAGATCAGCACAGCATAGTTGTAAGGTGGCTTGGCAAGGTCCTCGGGAGTGTACGCGGACTCCGGGGGATAGTTTGGCGACGGCGAACGAGACGGTTTCCGCTTCTTCACTGGGGGTGGTGGTACCTCCGGATGCGGTTGAGTCACAATTGGGAATTGTCCGCCCTCTGTGGAAGGAATGGGGATATCCATCGACATCTCCTCGGGCCTCTTTCTCTTGGTATACTTCCGCTTCTCGGGTTTGGGCAATGGAGTTTCACCTTCAACAACGGGTTTGGCAACCTTTGGCTTAGACGACGGGGGCAGCAGAGGAGGCGGAGTCACACCTCCATTGGCCTCACGTCTAGCTGCAAGTTTCTGTTCCCTGGCAAGTTCGGCACGTTCACGTTTGGACATGATACCATCCTTAGGAGGTCGCCCAGGCCCGCGACGGCGAGCAGGTTGCTGTTCACCATTCTCTGATGGCCCTTCGACGGAGGGTCTTGGTTTATTCGGGTCTGGCTCCTTTGTTTTCAAAACAATCTTTGTAACCTTTGGCGGTGTGTCTGCAGTTTCCTTGTCTTCCCCCTCAGCTGGGACATTTTCGTCTTCGTTGAGACATGATTCCTCTAATCGATCGGCCCCCGTCTCACCGATTGGCACGTCTGGTAGTAAGAACCGTACCCGTACTCCGCCGATTTGAATGTAGTCCCCGCTGTGAAGAGGTCTGATCTGCCCAGGCTGGAGGAAATCAGCACCGATGAAAGCGCCATTTCGACCCAAGACTTCCATCTCAAAGAGGTTCTTGTCGAAATTGTATGCGATTTTGACATGTTTGCGGGAGATCCCCTTGTGTCCTGCGACACTACCCTCAAGTGTGGTGGGCGGGTGAATGGGAATCGTGGGACAGGCATCTGGAGATGGAAGTAGAGCTAATGTGTCAACAGGCTTGGGGTCACCGCCGCCATCCTCATTATTCAATGACTGCATAGCAAGAGCATTGTAGTCAGTGGCTTGAAGTTCAGCTGGAGTCGCGTGCAATGGCGCATTTGACCCTCCATAGGACGAGTTGGAGGATCTCCTACTGAATTCGGGAGGCAGATGCGGAGGAACATCGGGATCAAAGCCCATTATACCACCACGGTCACTGACGACACTCCCCATGATTGCGCTACCTTCATGCCTCGCCCGGTTTGGGGTGTGAGAAGTGTTCCCGCCACTTGAACTTTGCGCTCCGGAGCTTCTCATGGCCTGTCTGGCGCGGAGTTCCCGTTGATGGGCTGCACGAGCCGCGCGTACATCCCGACCCAGAATAAAGGAATATGTATTAACGTAGAAATGACCATCATCAAATTCCAGCTTTGCAAAAGCCTGGATACGAGGCTCCGGTCCATCAATCGATGAAGCGCCATTAGACAACCCGGCGGAGTAACCCAGGGCAGACAGGTCGGCACACTGCGACGACAAATATGCTGCCGTTAGAATGTCATGCTGCTTCAATGCCTCCAGGGCATTGCTCGGGGCCGCGGTGATGTCAAAGGGAAAAGATCCTGCTTGATCGGGGCTGGGTAGCGGGTCTGACAGACCTGCTGCCGGATCCGATATTTTCGGCAGAAAGAGAGCCGTCTGGTCATCATGGCCTCCGGGCTGCAGCAGCAAGGTAGGGTCTCCCACATGATCCTGTCCTTCATTTTGTTGAGACAGCTGCACATCCCCCAGGGACGGGATTTTTTCGGGAGACCCTCCGAGGCCCGACGGCGCAGAATCCTCAACCTTCACTTTTGGTGAACTTTCCCTTGCCACGTCACTAGTATTATTCTCATTCGCGCCTGTACCTCGGTTATCCTTCGCAGCAACGGTATCCAGAAACTGTCCGTCCGAGTTTGACTGAGCTGGGGGACCAGAAGGTGCTGTTCCTTGCGGGTTTGCGAGAAGTTGGGCCAAAAGCGCACCCGCAGCAGACTGCTTGTCTAGTTCTGCCGAGCTCGGGTTCGGATTGACCGCGGCTGCAGCCACAGCAGAACCGTTGTCGAATTCGGACTTTATCTTGACCGCAGCACTGGATGGCGGAGACAGCGACGGACGGCACTGGGGGATATCATCGGACTGATCGGGGGCAGAATCGTACAGAGGAGGGGCGCGGACAGCGGAGTCTTCGCTGGGCGGAGAGGTGCGGAGGGTATTTGAGTCGGAGCGGCGACAATGGGAGCCAGCATAGGCGTACATTGAAGAACCAGGCCCTGTATCTGGAGGGCGAGGATTCAATGCTGGCGCTGTCATGGTCTGTGAAGACATGACGGCCTCTGCGCTTTGCAGACTAGGAAAAGCGACAAGAACCAGTCGATGGTCAGTGAAGCGTGGCGGTGAAGGGAAATACGGGCGGTGTGCTCAGTCAGGATTTTGCCAGCAGTTATTATATCACGTGAAAGTTATTCACTACATTATTTAGTCATTAGTTATCATTAACTAGTTAGTTAACTAACTAACGTTTTCAACCATCAAGCAGTCCAAACCATTGAGCGGTCTGTTTTCTCTGCACCCCCCCCATCTAATTTGAAGCTTCACGACCACCAATGCCATTATAATTGATTAAATAAATATATTAAATGATAGCTATTTACTTTAAATTGTGTGTCCCACTAGTCCACAGCCACTGCAGTGTTGTGGAGCTCATTGATGAGGCACAGGAGTAGATTCCTTGGGTTGCTCATTAAGCTGCATATCAAGCTGCTGAATGTGTTTTTGGCCTTCCTGTACAGAAAGAAGGCAATTATTACCTAGTTCAGCATGCTTTCTTGCCTTTTTCTGACATTTTCACCTATTTTCAGCTCATAAAGCCTTGATTTCTTATTCTAAAAGGAGTTTAGTTTGCATCACCATTTGCACAGCTTTCTCAAGATGTTGAATATGAGTAATTGGACTGTTAGAAAGCTGTTATTTTGTGTTAAGACTATTCTGCAGGCTTTGGACCTTTGATCTAACTGGGGAGTATTCTGCGGAGTCTGAAAAGCAGAGGAAATCAAGCCTTCATCTAGTGGTGGTGTAGGCGTACGTAGTTGGAAGGTAAGCTTAGAGAGAACATGCTCTTGATCAAATAGCCTAAGGCCTGCCCTTGCAAAACCACTGCAGATATTTACTACTTTAAACTAGAAGACGGCAGATGGGCTGCCCAAAACGGCCGCAGTCGACGCCGTTTTTGGCCGTCAATCTGCCACGCCTTCCGCCACTCCCTCGTGCACTTATGTCCACGCACCGCCCAGCACTGAGGACAGACCCACCCAAACCTCATTTGTCCGCAGCGCAGTATACCTCTAGGCACACTGTTCTGGAGGCCAGCCAATGCTAACATCCCATACCCTTCGCTGCGGTCTACGAAACGCTCCAAAAATGGCCTCCTCTCGAAGGACCCTTATAAATGGTGGCCGCTCCTTCGGTCACCCTTATGTCCTACATCCATTTGCATCTTCCAACTCGCGCTTTGAATCTCCAATCCTCAGTGGGTCATTGAGTGCTACAGAGACCTTAAGTGAAAGAATTTTATGTTGAAAAGGCTTTTGCTGCCATCATATTCTTAGCCTGTCATCTGATGACAGTGACTCCTCTGAATGAGAGAGCACCGAAGACAGTCAACATGACACGGACCTGACAGAGCCTGAAGATGAGGGCTTGCAAGATTGTGATGTCAGTAATGCGGCACTCCTATTTGCAGATAATGAGCATCCACCAGAATACTATATCCAGCAGCTCAAGAACTTCGATGAGATGGAATACACAAAGGAGGATTATGGAAAGGGTACCATGCCCTGCTCAATCAGGTGGAAGAGAAGTGGTCACAGTATGGCCCATCCTCCAATCAATCATACCAAACCATGTAACATTGTAAAGGGGGGCGTACGTGCGTTGTTCCCTGCGACAGGAACCGGGTTGTGATCGAGGGATCTCAGGGATGGACACACTGAACGATCTAGTAAGAAAACGATATAACGATAAAAGGAAACACAACGATGAAGGAGCCTCGCTCCGCTCTGTACAACGATAACGATACTAGTGAAGCAACCTAGAAACCAAAAGAATGCTCAATTCCTTGTAACTATCTGGGAGGGAACCCTCCATTAAGTACTCTCCGGCCGCGGGCTCCACCATACATTAGTATGTCGGAGAGCGCGGCTCTACGGTGTTTTAAGATAGGAAATATGGGAGATCCGGGGTTTCGCAGTGCCCCCGGCACAATATCCTGGTCTTTTGCCTGTAGTGCAGCGGTTTAATCCTTAGAATGCACCCTAGGAGCTAGGTCGTGACACTATTCCACACAGAAGTCCAGGTCAAATTGGAAATCCTTACTTATCTGCATCTAATAATTGCTTTAAAAGCAATTCTTCTTCAAATTTGGACAGTTCATGGCTATTGGCGTGTGTTTCCAATTGTGATTTGATTCCGTTAAGCTGTTAAAGTAGAGTTGTTTTAGAAATACCAAATAGTTCTGCAGCATGTGTTTTTGATTAAAATTTTTTTTTTGATTTGGAGGCAGATACTGCTATCTGAATCCTATTCTCTTTTGAAAGAGGCATTTTCGATTACGGTGGTGAAATAAAGACACGTCGAACGATGAAGCTTCAAATTAGATGGGGGGTGCGGAGAAAACGGACCACTCGATGGTTTGGACTGCTCGATGGTTGAAAATTTTATTATGTGATGTCCCGAATGAACGCGTGAACACCTGGTGTCTTTTCAAGGAGTTTGTCCACAGCTTGGATATCACCAAACCAAATGTAAGATAAGGCTGTAACTAAGAACGCATTTGCCACTGCATCACAGATGTGAACTGGCCTGCAAGGCCGAGTTCATCTCCCACAACAAACTTCTCATCTTTTTGCAAACTGCTAGTGTGACATTTCCACTTAGATCAAGAGATCCGTGTGCCCATATGATATCCTTTTCGGAGTCTGGCCAAGATATAACATGCTTAAATTTATTCTATCATCGGATATAGAGGGCCCAGTTGTTCCCCAACATGAGCCAGGAAGAGGAGCCTTCCTGCAAGCAGGTCTCTGACAGGTTCCATGATGGAACTGGTGGCGAGGAATATACTAGACACTAGTTAGGTGTCATGTCATCTTTTTTGCTCAGTAGAAAAAGCAAGAGCAAAGTGAGGCGACTGTTTGAAAGACACAAGAGAGATGGGGAGGTTGAAAGCGAGAAGAAAGTGGATAGATAGTATTGATGTAGGTATGACTACGCTAAGACATCGTGATCGGTTGCTGCCTCGCTCAACCAACAACATTCAATATCCAGTTGTTCCAGTTGTAGTCCATTCGCTCACCTGTATTTTAATAAATCCTCTGCAAAAGACATGGGATCACAGCTACAGCTCACGCTGCTAACTCGAAATGATCTTCGAGGTATATACCGATTACCTAGTTAGGAAATAGGTGGTTGTACCAACGCGTCACGTGAGTAGACCCAAGGATCCCCTGCAGACAAGCATTGCACACTGGAGGAAGTTGAAGAAGCACCGTTGCTGTTAATCCCAACCGGATTATCTTGTGGACTGGATTTCGCAACGGAGTCTCCGCCCTAGGCGAGAATTCAATCGACTGAGACGGTATATACTACAAGCACTGAATTCGAGCAAGCCGAGACGGCAGAGCTAACCGGGAGGGAAGTCACGGGTCCAGGTGTTAATGCTGCAAGTCTTCCCCGAGAATACCCATAGCATGGAGGAACGGGCAATAGGGAAATTAAATGCAGCTGTAGGAAAGACGTCACCAGGGTTTATTTCTTGCTTGCTGGTGGCGTGTTCTCTCTAACCCGGAATTGGGTGACGCTCGGGTTCGCAGTCTGGATCCTAATAATATCGTCTCCATTGTTCCGTCCCGTGGAGCATTCCATATTTAAGTCTCCGGCAGGCTGTCACCTGGAATTGATGGCACGCACTCGTAGAAGTCTCTCCTTCCAAGTCTCTCCTTCAGTTCACTCACTCTCTCACTCTCTCTATCTCCGTCCTTCTTACCGCTGGATTCCCCATCAGTAATCTCACCCTGGTTGTAATAATCTTAATTACCGCAGACAGCAAAGAAGAACCGAAGGAGAAAGATAAAGAATTGCTCTATCACCGTCCAGACATGGGAACTGACGGCTGCTACACTTTTCGCTGGTTAGCATTCCCCAGTCCCCTCCAACTGGTCAATTCCATTCATATTAATATCAATCGGGACCATTATCTCTTATATTAGCTACTATTACTGACGGAACGCTTTGACCACAGGTCGCAACCGGCCGAAAAGGTATTCGTCACTGGCACCTTCAACAACTGGGCGCGCACGCTCAGGTTGGACCGCAAAGGCGACATTTTCGAGAAGGAAGTGCAGCTGCCGATTACAGACGACAAGATTGTCTACAAGGTATGTCGATATTCGACCTTTTTCTCTTCTTCGCGGTGGTGGTGAAATCAGGTTGATGCGCTGCCTTCGTTGACGTCATGTTATCTCTCCCCCCGCCCCCTTTCTCTTCCCTTTTGGCGCGCCCCCGCCACCAGGCTTACAGGCTCCCATATTCGCTTCACTTCCTTGCTCGTATCCTTCTCTTCCTCTTCTCACACGATATAAAGTTTATAGTGGACGGTACCTGGACAACGGACAAAGACGCTCGAGAAGAGGAAGACAGCGACCACAACGTTAATAACGTGCTCCTTCCCGAGGATATTGAGAGAGCTTCACCGTCTCTTATCAGACGTCTCTCTGCCGCACTCATGGCTGGTGTCACACCTGAGTCGACCACTGCTGCACTCGCAGCGCAGGTCCCCAAGGAATCCGACAACACTTCCCAAGGACAAGCCAACGGAAACCTGCCGGGCACTTTCCCCGAGACTCCTGCCAACGAGGCTGAACAGTTTAAAGTAAACCCGATACCCGCTTCTAGCGGTATCGGCAACCCAACCTCAGCTGAACCTGATCAAATCTCGAAGGATGCTGAACAGTTCAGCGTGAGTCCTATTCCTGCTTCGACTGGCGTTGGTAACCCAATCACACTTAATCCTGGGGAGAAAGTCCCCCAGGATGTCAGTGCAAATACGGTCGAGTCGACGGTCAGGACAGACAAGGAAGCATACGAAGGAGATGTTAGCTCTCCAGTTATTCCTGAGCTCAAAGAAGGGGAAGCTCGGCAGTTCAGCGTGAATCCTATTCCTGCTTCAACGGGTGTTGGAAATCCAATCACGCTTAAACCCGGGGAAAAGGTTCCTCTACCCGCGGATATAACTGCCAATACAGTTGAATCAACGGTCAGGACAGACAAGGAAGCATACGAAGGAGATGTTAGCTCTCCAGTTATTCCTGGGCCGAAAGAAGGGGAAGCTCGGCAGTTCAGCGTGAATCCTATTCCTGCTTCAACTGGCGTGGGCAACCCGATCACACTCAGACCTGGGGAGAAGGTTCCCCAGGATGTCAGTGCAAATACAGTGGAGTCGACGGTCAGGACAGACAAAGAAGCATACGAAGGCGACGTCAGTGCCCCAATTGCCCCAGGAGCTGCTCCGATCCGAAGCGAGAGTGACGAGGCTGGAGAAAAAATTCCTCCAGTATCTGCAGACTTGGAATCGATGGCAAACGACTCTGTGATCCCTCCCGTCTCAACTGGTTTGACTCCAGAGGCAAGTCTTCCTGAGGGAAGACGGCTCACTGATACTGGTGTCACTATCCAGTCAGCAGCGCCAACGGCTACCGCCACAGAACTAGCTGCGGCTGTTCCCCTGGAGAAGAATGCAAAGGATAAAGCCCCAGCATCTGAGACTGCCAGGACCCAAGGCGACACTGGCGTTACTATACAGTCAGCTGCACCAGCGGCCACCGCTACCGAACTCGCTGCGGCCGTTCCCTTAGAGAAACATGCACAAGATAAAACCTTGGCACCTGAGACTGCCGCAACTCCAAGCGATAACGACGTCACTATACAGTCAGCTGCACCTGCTGCGACTGCTACCGAACTTGCAGCAGCTGTTCCCCTGGAGAAGCATGCAAAGAATACGGAGACTGGGGCAACCCAAGGCTCTACAGACGTAGAGGTTCCTGGAATTGTGAAGAAGTCATTGAGGGAAGCGCACAAAGATCCCGAGGCGGCTGGCTACCCTGAAGTCGTCGAAGAAAAGAAGGAGCTCGAACAGGAAATCCTCCAGAAGGTTCCTCCAAGTGAATCGGCTGGAACTCCTGGCCACACTACGACCGCTGTCAACGTAGCAACTGCTCCAGCTCCAACCGGCGACGCTGCTAGTGTCAGAGATACGGAGTCAAAGCCCCAGACTACAGGACCTCAAGCTACCGGAGCTACTACTGGACCCTTAGTAACAACCGGTATCGCTGAAGCTAAGACGTCGGAAGTGTCTGAGGGTATCGCTGCTCCAGCTGCACAGGACCAAGCCAAGGAGACTGCAGCAAAGGGTCCCCCATCCACGGCGCCGGCGGCAGCAGCAGCTGCTGCTGCTGTCACTGCCTCGCAGACGCGGGACCCCCGTCCGGAAATCCCGTCAAGCAAAGCACAGGAAAACAAAGGAGATGAGCATGCAACCAATGGAAACCATGCTGAGACAAGGGAGAAGAAGAAGAAACACGGATTTTTCTCGAAGTTGAAGGAGAAATTCAAAGCATGAGTAATATAGGGTTCATACCATTTTGTGACAGGTTTGGCTAATCGGGATGGGTGGAATTGTTTATATGTTTTTTGAATATACCTTTTTGCGTATTTGTTTTGGGGGGTTATTTATTCTCTGTGGATAAGTTCGACTTTTGTCATTGTTGGGCCTCAGATTGGTATATGTTCATATGTTCATGCAGGGTGATTCTGCGCTCTTCCTGTATACAGATGAATATACATAATATCCATAACTAGCACAAAGTACACAGAATCCTTTGAAATCAGGGCCAAGGGCTAAGGCAGGCACAGTTCACTGTTCCGGCATGGATCTTCAGCATCGTGCGTCATCATGACTGAATGAGGGAACAACCCTCTGGGACGTCGGTTTCACCGTCCTCTCATGATGTTTGCAACTGACTCAAGCAAACAAGTCTCAATAAATATTATCCCTCGTCCTCTTTCATATCTTCAACTATTCTAAAAACAACCCTACTTGTACTGAGCACATTGTTGCAACACCCATACCAAGCCGAGTCGAGACACGTCAATTGAGCATCCGCATCTTCCTGCATCTGCAGTTCGGGACCGAATCACCAATAAGCAAATCATAACGGAGGTATATCAGTACTGCGGTTAGAGAATAATCATGTCCGGTGTCTTTATACCCATCTTCCCTATCTGCTTCCAGTTGGGAACGACGCAGAATCCATGTCGGTGCAAGGTTGTGGGGCCGACGCTGGGTATGTCTAGTCGTCTTCTCTCTCTAGGTAGATGTCAAGTTTCATGTTCCATGCTAATTATAGACGTGTTTTATCCAGGATTTGTGCTATTCATTGTCTCTGCTGTATGCCTCCCTTCGTCGCTCTTGTCCTGCATTGCATAGCCTTGTGATGGAAGTAATTCTAATGAATCAATAATGTACAACTCTATAGGTCGTATGTTGGCCTGCATCACTGTTCTGTGGATGCTGGGCTACCAAGACTGGAACTGAGTATGTGGCTTCTTTCTATCGTCTGCTCAAGTTATTCTGTTGCCTAGTGCATTTTATTCCCCACCTTTTTTAAGTTCTACTGCTTACTGGTGTTTATTTCAACAGTGTCCTGGGATATCCAGCGAAGCTGAACGGGGAGGTCAGCCAAGGCATTCCGTTTTAATTTCACCAGTTGTGTAGGGTGGCTTCCTCCAAACGGAAGCATAGTGTCAACAGCCACTGCCAGCGTTCTGCATCTGTTCCTTCTGCTTGTTGCGTGATATGTAGATTACTGGTCCAGCTGCAGTAGTTGCGTGGCTGAAGTGAGGTGCAGTGTGGAGATATCCATTATTCCAGGCTGGGAGACATGCAGCTTAGATAACGCAGTATTCGTTATTAGGTATATAATCTAGTTGCCTTCTTTCTTGGTCCAAAGCGGGGTTACACCTGGCGCTTGCCATGCATATTCTGAATTTCCTGGCCGCTAAGCATGGGGAAAATAGCGCATTTGGTTTATTAATGGAACATAATTTAGAGCTGAAGGCCCACCAGTTGCGCGTTCTCGTAGGGCTGTAGGCCGGGGGAACTAATAGCCCGTTGCACAATTCAATAATTCACCCCAACATTTCCCCGTGATTTCTGTCATGGGGGAATTCAAATGATAGTCTTATTTAAGAAGATCCCCATTTATGTGGTAGTATCCTTACTTATTCCACTTTCTTCTTCTCTCCTATCTCCTGACAGTACAGCCACAACACCCTCAGCCCTACCCGCCGTCTGTCCCGCGGATCGTCCTCGCCAAGCCTTACCCCACGGGCCAACCCTGGATCAGAGTATCTATACCATCGAAAGAAGAAGAAGAAGAAGAAGAAGAAGAAGAAGAAGAAGAAGAAGAAGAAGAAGAAGAAGAAGAAGAAGAAGAAGAAGAAGAAGAAGAAGAAGAAGAAGAAGAAGAAGAAGAAGAAGAAGAAGAAGAAGAAGAAGAAGAAGAATGATACTTGAAAAAGGAGAAGGGATAAAAACAACAATAACCCCCCGACTCATCCCGCTTCTTGTCGCCCTGATCCTCATCGGCGTGCTCTGGTTCATCCTATTCGTCACGTACGGGATCATGCGGGACGTCGTGCGGAAGACGGTGGATAATATGCGGGATCGGAATATTCTCTTTTCGAGGGATGGGTTGAGGGTTGGGGTTAGGGGGTTTGGGAGTGAGCAGGATTATAAGGATTTTGCGGAGAGGTTGGTTTCCCTCCCCCTGTATTGTATCCTGCAATTGCAGTGTATCTATGGTGGAATCCCCCAAACATTGCCTTCTATGCTATGATATATGACTATTCTAACGATGGAATAGTCTCCTAATGACTGTATGGAGTCGTACCTCGGAGTCGTTGCCGGTTCATCGTCGTACTAAGCATGGGTTGTTGCATGAGCGTAGTCACAAGCATATACGTATGTACATGCATATGCATATGCGTCTTGAGTCGCAGTACAAGGCTGTTATCGTGGATGCGGAGGAGGATATTCAGATTGAGAGTAATGACGGGGGGTACTAGGAGTGTGTATGTATATGGATTCTACGCTGTTAGTATGGAGTATATTGCTAACTGATCTTGCTAGGGTGGATGATGGCCATGCCAGTATGCAGGTTATCTAAACCAGAGCATTTCCCTTTCATGAGTTCTTTGTGTCTGCTGTACTTAATACTACTCTGGATTAGCGTTTTGGGGTCGGTTCTCTTCCTGTTGCATCAGCAGCCCTAAACTCACGTGACTATATGAAACCTATTACTTTACTCCAGTATAACCATGATTATTATTTTCCTTCCAGAAGCATCAGAAGCACGGAGAATTAAGATATACCAGGTCCACCGGGAATCTTGGAAAAGATTAGCTGCCGAAGACGCTTCCCGATCAGGAAAGTCCCTGCAAGCCGCAGAGCTAAGCATTCCTCCTGCGGTACCCTGGCCAATCAGAGGCCCACGTGCCCTGAACTCCCGCAGCACGTTCACTCCCTGGCTTTCTGGATAGGCTGTAGTAGTAGTAGTAGTAGTAGAAGTATGTAGGGGGTTATGCATCACCAATCCATCATCCTCGTGGGGGGTTATTTCTCTTAGTGGATTACTTTAGGATCTCTCCAATTGGCCTTTTGTCTCATGGCCGCTCAGGTGTGCTGCAAGCCAGCATTAGAAGTGTCCAGGTGTACCTACTTATTAGTATCACCGCTCATTTCTGCCCCTTCACACAGAATAATTCACGCGTGAAACACTATCCATTGTGACACTTCCCCCTCCCATCCTCTGACGCAAGTGTTTCTTGTCCTCCATTTCTCCAGCGCAGCAGTGAACAGCCATGTCGCTCAGCTCTCTCAAAGGCCTGCTGTCCAACTATTCTCCTGTTTCAACAGAGAAGGATGACGAGATCCCCCTCCAGAATGAATCAGACCTCGAGTCCGCCAACAGGTCTGACGCCGGGAATGGGAATTCTCAGGGACGGAAGAGCTCCAAGGTGATCGATGGACGGGTCGTGTCTGACGCCATCATCGGTCTTTCGGATGGGTTGACCGTGCCGTTTGCTCTCACGGCCGGTCTCTCTGCGTTGGGTAGTACCAGGGTCGTTGTCTTTGGCGGTTTGGCAGAACTCATTGCCGGGGCTATCTCCATGGGCCTGGGTGGTTATTTGGGTGCCAAGAGCGAAGTGTGAGTCTGCTTCAGCGTCCGTCTGCGTAGGTTTTCTTGGAGCTTTGGCTTATCCTCTTCTTCATAGGGAATCCTATCGTGCCACCTTGAAGGAAACCCAAAATGAGATCTTTTCAGACCCAGCCGCAGCCTCCAGTATCATCTCAGACGTCTTCGCTCAGTACGAACTGCCGCCTCAGCTCGTCTCAAACCTCACCAACCACCTGGCTACGTCGCCCAAGCTTCCCTCGTTCATCATGAACTTCCACCACACACTCCAGGAGCCTTCGGGAGCCCGTGCATTCGTCTGCGCCTTGACCATCGCCTTGGGCTACTTCATCGGCGGGTTCATTCCCCTGGTGCCGTACTTTTTCGTGGGACCGCACGGCGCTTTCATCGCCCTGCGCTGGTCCATCGCTATTATGGTCGTCGCACTTTTTGTGTTCGGTTACGGCAAAACATGCTTCGTGAACGGGTGGAAAGGATCCCGAAATGTTCGTCGCGGGTTCACGGGTGGCATGCAAATGGTTCTGGTGGGGGGCATCGCTGCGGGTTCAGCGATGGGCCTGGTGAAGGGATTCCAGATGCTGGCTGATTCCGGTTCTGCGGAGGAGCAAAAAGCCGAGAATATTTAACGGGTTTGGACTCGGTATTATTTCATTTTCGTTTTCTCTTTCAAATCTTCCCATTTCGCTTGATAGATGGATGATGGTCTGGCGTTGGCGTTATTTTCTCCAGTTTCCACCATTCCCGGCGCACTAGTGGATGGTCAGTTACGGGGTAAGTTGGGTTAAATGAAAAATTCCAGCGTTTTATTTATCATATAACGTTTTTTGATTTTTGTATCAAGCTCGTACCATGGCATGGCACTCGAATTTCAGTTTACCCGTCTACCGGTGATCGACGGCGGATCATCAGACTGCAGTTCAGGGGATTGTTGGATGGACTTGTAGTTAGTTGCTAACTACAAGTTAGCAACTGTTAGCAACTGCTAGTTAGCAGGCCAGGAACAAGGCAGAATAATTAATATTAATGACTAGGAAATAAATGGTATTAATTCAAATTGGCACCGGGCATGGCCATGGACATCTACTGGACAGAGCTGCATGGGGCAATGAATCGTCTGACGGCCGTCTTGTGATGATGCGTGATCGTGCATGTGTTCCTAACCAAGAGGATACTAGTTGACTGTTGGGCATTGACAGGATACTCGGTAGAGCGAGCGATAGGAGGTAGGGTACAGAAGTTATGCACGATGCTCATGTTCCCTGTATGTCATCTGTGCTGTGCAGCTGCCAGCTAGTCTACTATACAGATATGTATTATTCTGCATAGTTTTACAACATGCACCTGTGTACAGACTCTAGAGTATTTTATACGTAGCTGTAATAGCGGATAGAACGGTATACAAAACCAGGGTTGGTTTAATTGCGAACAACCGCCCAGAACGAGTAAGATCCCACGAAAGTAAAAGCCATTGTTTCATTTTATTATGTTCAATTTTTTCTTATTTATTTATTTTTTGATAATGAATTCTCCACTCGCACGGCGCGTATTTAAAGCTCCGTGTGTTCGCCGAATACGGTTGGATCGGTTGAATTATTAATTATTGTCTTCCACGGACTCAGACCTAGCCAAGTCGAGTCAAGTCAGGTACAGAGTTCTTTGTTTTCCAATTGATTATGGATCAGGTGACTTTTCATTCCTTGTAATGGAAGTGTATTGTTGGTTGGTTACTAGCTAGATAGGCCTACGTGGTGAAAAGGGTCAGCGAGGGCGGACCTATGCGGCAGAATCCCACGTGATCCAACACCCCCCCACGCACGAGCTGGCCTAAAGACTAATCTAAAGAATTTAAATACAAAAATCGGCCTCTATTCAGGCCTCCAAATGAGAGAGTAAAAGCAAAATTAAGCAGAGAAGTGAGAGGTTCCGCTTTGGCCAATCAGAAGCCGTAAATCAGAATAGAAAGTATAACCAAAATGGGGGAACAAGCGCCGCTTAATGTATGCCGGTGAGTTCCAGGAAATGATTGAATCGTTCAGTTTGGAGAGGTTTTGTCAGGCCATCTGCTGCCTGTTCTTTGGTAGGGCAGGTCTGAAGTTTAACAATGCCGTCTCGGACCTTCTCCCGAACGTAATGGTAGCGTATGTCAATGTGTTTGGATCTCTTGGTGGTGAGCTCGGCTTCAGCCATGGCGTGGGCACCTTGATTATCGATATGAAGAGATATTGGTGGGCATTCAGTTGGGAGCACATTAAGCTCGTTGATGAGATTCCGGAGCCAGAGGGCATCACGGCTGGCTTCGCTTAGAGCCATATACTCAGCTTCGTTGGAGCTAAGGGCAACGGATGTTTGCTTGCGGCTTTTCCAGGCAATTGGGGCTCCGGCAAGCAGAAAGATGTATCCAGAAACTGACCGGCGGTTGCCTGTCAGTTGGCCACCCCAATCAGAGTCGGTATAACATTTTGGCATGAGGAGGTCAGATGTAATGGACTCCGTGGGTTTATGATAGGTAATTTGCCGATTGATGGAGCCTTTAAGATAGCGTATGGCGTGTATAAGGGCACGCCATGCTTTTTGGGTGGGTTTGGCGTTATATTGGGATAGTATGCCAACCGTCTGGCTAAGATCTGGCCGGGTTTTGGTGGCTAGCCAGGTAAGGCAGCCTACACCACGTTGATATTCTTTGGTGTTGACTGTAGGGTCTGGTTCATCATCAATTATTAGGCTAGGATCCATTGGAATCCTAACAGGATGTGCTTGGGCTTGACCAAAAGAGGCAACAACATCTTCAGTGTAGTCGGCTTGAGATAAAGAAGATGAAGTCTCAGACTGGGAGATGGTCATGCCAAGGTATTTGGTAGAGTTTCCAACTTCTTTTATGTCAAATTTGGCGGAGAGAGTCTCCATAAACCAGATGGCATCATTTTCATGTTTAGCATAGACTTTGAAGTCATCCACATGGGTGGTCACATAGAGTTGGGTCCGGGTAGTGTGGATCCATAGACCAGAGTCATATTCAGAGCATTTGAAGCTGATTTGGCGTAGAAAAGCACCCAGAGTATCATACCAGATGCGGGCAGATGGGACCAATCCATAGAGGGATTGAAGGAGTTCACAGACAAGATCTCCAGAACCTTCTTTGAATCCCTGAACTTGGGTCATAAAGACACGTTTGTCCGTGGGCATTTTCCCATTTAGGAAAGCAAGGGTGGCATCAGCTTTTCGGGTATGCCAGCCAAGCAGGGTGGCCAGTGCCGTGAGGGTTCTGGTAGTATTTTCATTTACCACTGGTGCGTAGGATTCCATGAAGTCTTTATCAAGTAGATTGCCACGAATGACCCAGCGGGCTTTAGCCTGATAATCCTCTGAGATAGGTATGCCGGGGATTTCTTTCTTTTTGTATACCCACCGGCCAGGGATGACTTTGGCCCCTGGTGGTAGGTCAGAACGGCGAATGAGTTGCCAGCAGCCTTTCTCTTTGAGTTGGTTGACTTCCTTTTGCATGGCAGCTTGCCATTTAGCAGCATCAGGATGGGATATGGCCTGCTTATAAGAAGTAGGCGTGTTGTCTTCTGATGAAGGAATGGTTGAAGTGGCAAAGTAAGCTAGGGACATGCCTTTGGCAGGTCGGAGCCATATATCTTGGTCATTGAGAGGTTCATCTTCAACTAATTGAGTTGGGTTTTCTTCGGTAGGGGTGCTGGGACCTTTGGGAGTGGTAGTTGTAGGATCTTTGTAATCCTCATCAAATATAACATCATTGGTGACAAAGACGGTGTCAGTTTTAGGGTCCCAAACACGATATTGATGGCTACTAATTTGGCCAATGAGGAAACAGCAGTGAGAACGTGAATCAAGCTTATTTCCAGGTTTATCTGGTCCATGCCGATGGACCCAGGCTGGACACCCCCAACGGCGATATCCGGGGAGTGAAGAAATGGATGAATTAGTCCACGCTGCCAACGGAGCGCGATAAGGGCTGGGGTGTATGTCCTTGTTGATATTCACCCCCCAGGAATTTGGGAATTGTATAAGATGGTAGATGTAGGGAGCCGATTTGTAAGATCTGTGGCATATTGGGAGCATCTACCCAAAAGCGTTCTGGTATATATGGGGCATCAAGCATCATAGCTCGGGCCCGTTCAAAAGGATCCGGATGCCACGTTCACTAACGGCATTTTGCCATGGTGAATATGGCGAGCTTGGTTGCCATTCTATGCCTTCCTGACGGTAGGTTTCCATCCATTCAGTGGAGCGGAATTCATTATCAGAGACTAGGTAGGCAGGAGCAGTGAAGCCATGGTTCTTCATATTTTGAAGCCAGTTCTTGAAGGCGGTAATGGCTGCACTTTTTGTCTCAAGGAAGAGGATCCATCGATAATGTGTGGCATCGTCGGTAATAAGTAAGACATATTTTGCCCCAATTCGGCCAGTGACAACATCATTAGGGTTGTCAAAATCAAGAGTTTGTCCACCGCCGGCGATATCTAGATGGACTCGGGCAAGGGGTTTGGTAACTCTGGACCTAGGGACCTTGCTATAATAGCGTGTCTGTCTAGCCTGTATACAGACTTCACAAAATGGGAGTTCTTTAGAGCCTTTGATTTCGATGCAAGACTCAGGATCTCGGGCGAGGCGGAGGAGATCGGCTTGATTGAGATGGCATAGGCGTCGGTGCCAGGCCATGATAGGTAGGGATATCTTAGTAGTTCGCGGCTTCCCTAGAACCGGGGTCTCTTTTGGAGTAGGAGCCTCAGCTGGTGTCTTAATTGTGGGAGCCTTTGCAGGTGGCTCTTCTGGGCGGTTAACTTCTTTGCCAGACCGGGTGGTGACAAAGGCATAGGAATTTTCTTCTTCTCCAGGAGATAGACAGTCTTCAAGGAGGTAAACATTGTTTTTGAACAATTGGGCTTGGAATTCAGCTCCAGATGGTGTGGTAATCAGCTTGACTTCACAATCTAGTGTATATTGAAGCCTAAAGCCTTGTCGTACAAGCATGCCTTCTGAAATGAGGTTGGAAGTAAAGGAAGGAACATGGCGGACGTCTCTTAGGATCAGAGATCCGTAACCAATATCTATAATCACGGTGCCAATGCCTTGAGGCATAGAGATATGGCCTTGAGCACCTTCCATATAATCTGTCTCCACCAGATCATGCTTCTGCAAGGCCTTATAGGTTGCAAAAAGTGAACGGTCAGGTGTAGAATGGAAAGAGGCACAGCTGTCAACAAACCATTGATTGGAAAATGAGAGAGTCTTTGCAGACTTCACAATGGCAGATTTGGCATTGGAGAGTTTCTTATGCAAGACAAGTTCCTGTGAAGCAGGGTGATCCTGGTTTGATTGTGGGTTTGCTTCAGATTGTTGCTGAACACGGAGAGCATTAGCCATAGTAGTATAGAACTTGCGTCTATACTCTGGTGCTTTCTCAGGATGTTTAAAATAGCATATAAGTCCATGGCGATTTCCGCAGTGATCACAGTCTATAAGTGTATGACGAGATCTATCTTGGTTATTGGAACGTTGAGGAATTGTGTATTTGGTTCCAGATGCTTGTTTTGAATAACTGCGGTTCTGGGAGTTCTCTTTCTGTTGGTTTGACCGGTCTTGAGAATGAGTATCACGGAATTTAGTGCCGGTTCGAGTAGATAATTGGGTCTGGATAACCTTAAGATCCAGGTTGGTAACCGGAGCACGGCCAGTAGAGTAGACATCATCTAGTTTACTCTTGATAAAGGCGCGGTTCCAGTCCCGGAGACCTATAAAGAAGAGGTCATGTTTGAGATTTTCAAGAGATTCTTCTCCAATAGCGTGTAGGCGGTCAAAGATTCGATTAAAGGATGACTGGTAGGTGAGATAATCATTATCCTTTATATAGAGCTCTTTGAGCTCCATGGTAAGGGCCATTCGCTCTTCACCGGTGGATTTGCCAAAAAGTGTGGCAGCTCGGTCCCAAAGACCATGGGCAGAGAGGTCATATACGGTGCCTAGTTTATCGGAAGCAGGGGTTGTCATGGCATTGAGCATACGGGCTCTCATGACAATGGCTTTTCTGTGCCAAACTGCAGCATCAAGTGGAGATGATCCAGCAGGAGGAGAGTCCTGGTGAAGAGTTGTAATAGCATTGAGAATACCAGCTTCTTTTTGTATGGCAGAGCTCCATGCATCGTAATTATCCAGTGTCAAGATGACACGGCATCGGTCAGGCAGTAGCGTATCGACATCGGCTTGGACAAGGGCAATAGCATTGCTGATATTTGTGTCTGAGGCATCACGCAGAGGCGGTTGGATATCCATTGGTGTAGTATCTTGGGTTGTATTTGAAGGCAAGGAAGCTTGTGGAGTATTAGACTGGATGATAGATGCCAGTTTTAGCTCCATTCTAGCTTCACGGTCTCGCATATCTTGTTCCATCTGATTCTGGCGAGCAAGCATTTGTCGCATCATATCAGCAAGATCAGGGGTAAGTTCGTTTGTGGAAGCCATGTTGGCGGTATTGGTAGAGCTCAGATTGGCTCCGGAAGGCGTTGGGGTCTCTATCTCTTCAGAGACAACTGATGAGGAGGTCTCGTCTATATTCGAGGACCTGTTTTGGAGATTTCGGCGACGTGATCGTCGTATAGCAGTAGCGGGAGGCGTAGTAGGTTCTCCTGACATGCTCAGGTTCGGACCGTATCTGGGATCCTGGAATTTTTGGAATCTGGGGTATGGAATTTTGGTTCAGCCAATCAGAGGGCTTAAATTGACCACTTATACGGGCCTAAAATAGCTCATATTTCCGAGCAAGAAACGGGCTCATAACCTAATGGAAGTGTATTGTTGGTTGGTTACTAGCTAGATAGGCCTACGTGGTGAAAAGGGTCAGCGAGGGCGGACCTATGCGGCAGAATCCCACGTGATCCAACACCTTGAGGCAGAAGGGATTAATAAACAGTAGGTACTAAGCAGGCTATAAGGCTATATATTTACAGACAACTGTAGAGGCGGTGCTGGATGGAGTTTCTGTATGCGGTACCCGGGTATCGTGCGCAGCATCATGCCTCATTCAGCCTTGTAGTTGTTGTAGCTGTAGGACAGACTTCAGCTACACATGTACTGGGAATCGAAGTCTGGATAATCGGTACGGTATCAAGCATACTCCATAGGTAGCTCCATCCGAATGCCGACTGTGCTTTCGGGAGAAAAGTGAGCAAAAAAAAAAAAAAAAAAGAAAGAAAAAAAAAAAAGCTGAATAATCCTGCCGCAAATGAAATCAAATAAAAAATACCAGCCAAGACCATCATACTATGTAATTACAATACTGTCATACTGCAAGCATTATGCGCATTAATCAGACGGGGACCAATGGATCAGCCCATTATGGTCTTGGCGCTGGGTCGACGGGGCCCTGCTAGGATCGACGGAAATGAGATGTTGGATGATCGCTGACATTCAGTTGGTTACCGGGGGGAGGAGGAACTGCTGGTGGCTAAGCGTTTTACTTATGGTCTTATTTTGATGGACTCTAATGAAGTGAAATTTGGAAATTTGGAGCCTAAGTATCAAGAAATTGAGAACCATTGACCCGGAAGATCCATAGATACATATTTTATGTTGCTGAAGCCGAATGCATACAAATAGAGCTGAGTGTGGATCTCTTGCGTCTTTTTCTTTCTTTTCTTCCTTTTTCCGTTCTTCATCACATCTCTTTCTGGTCACACTGGGCCATCTTTGCCGCCTGCCGTCTGTGGTCTGTGTTGTAGCTTCCGCAGCATCCGAATCAATGCCTAAGGGTGTTCATGACGTCTCGGGCTTTCCGTCAGGAGTTCTTGGCGCATATACTGCCTCGAGGTGGTGACGACATACTGCGTCTTGCCGGATGTGGTTAACTCCGTGGTCCGTTGTACAGCAATACTAGTGTACTTCTCAGCACTGAGTGTATCTAAGAGGTTCTGGGCATGTATAATACCGTATTATCACCATCCATACATACGCACCCGTCATTTTCCGGCCCCTGTACCATTACGGTACGCCGTAACCTGTTCGCTGCTCTTGCCTAGTCTCTCTTAGCTCCGTCGTCTGAGCTTTCTCTTCTCCCAAAGCCTTCATTTCGCATCCGATCGCAGCGGCCTTCTTCTACTACCCTTATTCCTCCCTTCCCGCTCCTCCCTTTCTCTCTTCCCTCCTCGTGCGTCGTTCGTCTGACCTATCCAACACTCGACCTCGCATCTCTTCTCCCCTCGACGTTATTCCCTCGTGCAGCGCCTGTGCTTATCGATCCCCTTTCCCTGCCAATCCAGCGTCATATTAACCCCCCCCTGTCCATATCGGTCCAACGCCTCCGCATTCCCCGTCGCCGTGGACCGTTGGAAAGAAAACGCGGATTTGCGATCCCTGAAGTGCTGTCACTGCTTATTTTCTCGACGACACATTAGGACGCCCATCGGATTTGAGGTTGCCAGGCAGCAGTGTCCGTACGCGCCCAGGTAGAGACAAGACAGACAGTGGAACGGTTGTCCTTCCCTTGCGTTACCCTTTCGCGCCGCCAACTATTTCAGCATTCCAACCTCTGCTGTGACCGTCTCCTCTTGTCTCGTCACTATTGCTCCCGTCGAGGATTAAACCGACACCCCGTTGAGTCGTTATCCACTCTATCGGGGGGCTCAGTCAACACACGAAGATGAATTCCATCCTTCCTTCCTGGAAGGATCGTACACAGGACCAGCTGGGAAAGCTCCAGATCCAAGTACCATGGCGCTCCTTCCAACTCCTTGTCCCGCACCGCATGCGGCGGAAGATCCGGTCCAAGTTGAGGAGCCGCGTCGCCCCGGCGTCTTCTATCGCCGCGCTGCAGACATCCTTCTCCCCGTTGGATACGCTCAGAGCCCTACAGAAGCACCAGTGGACTTTGTATGATTTTCAGTACATGTTCCTGTTGATCATCGGCATTTTCTCCCTCAGCATTATCGCCGTCCCCGGTCCCCTGACCAAGACGGCCATGGCTACTCTGCTCCTCATCTCGCTCCTGATGCCTATTACCCGTCAATTCTTCCTGCCGTTCCTACCTATTGCTGCCTGGCTGACATTGTTCTATGCTTGCCAGTAAGTTCTTCGCTACAGAATGCTTCTGCATGTATTGGTAGTTCTTCTGTCACTAATACCTATTAGGTTCATTCCTAGCGACTGGCGCCCTGCCATTTGGGTCCGCATACTTCCCGCATTGGAGAATATTCTCTATGGAGCTAACATCAGTAACATCCTGTCTGCCAACTCGAACACTGTGCTCGATCTCCTGGCATGGCTCCCGTACGGAATATGCCACTATGGAGCACCGTTCGTCGTGTCTCTTATTCTCTTTATCTTCGGTCCTCCTGGAACGACCCCCCTGTTTGCCCAGACCTTCGGCTACATCAGTATAACTGCCGTTTTGATTCAGCTGGCGTTTCCGTGCTCCCCTCCATGGTATGAGAATCTCTATGGCCTGGCCCCTGCCGATTACTCGATGCAAGGGAACCCTGCAGGCCTTGCTCGTATCGACAAGCTCTTCGGAGTTGACCTGTACAGCTCCGGATTCAAGCAATCTCCGGTTGTTTTTGGTGCGTTTCCGTCGTTGCACGCGGCAGATTCGACCCTGGCAGCCCTTTTCATGAGTTACGTATTTCCTAAGTTAAAGCCTCTATTTGTCACCTACACACTTTGGATGTGGTGGGCGACTATGTATTTTTCACATCACTATGCCGTTGATCTTGTCTGCGGAGGTCTTCTGGCTGCTGTCGCATTCTATTTTGCCAAGACTAGATTCCTTCCGCGCTGCCAACCAGACAAGACCTTCCGCTGGGATTACGATTACATTGAAATCGGCAACTCAGCACCGGACTATGGCTATGACTTGGCGAGCCTCGATGGTGATTATAACTTGGATGATGAGTGGGCCCTAGGCTCATCATCTTCCGTTTCCTCCGGCTCCCTAAGCCCCGTCGAAGACCACTATACATGGGAAGGCGAGACCTTGACTTCAAATAGCGATCACGAGCCGTCACGGTAGACAGTGTTCACCGTGGCTCGCGGCTCTTCTAACGCCAACCTTTGCATATACGGTTTAATATCTTCCTCTTTCGGGTCTTTTCGCCTTCCTGTGCATCTATTTGTGAGACGGCGTTATTATGTTTTGACGACATCTTCGAATCATTTTTGCATGGAGCCCTTTCGACACTTATACTTTTTAATGAGAATATATTTTTTATTCTCCTCACCAGCATAGTCATGTGACCTCATTGACTTGCTTCTGAACGGGATACGCGTTGCTTTGATTGTACATGCGCTTTATTCATCCGGCGAGTCCACTCTGCGATTCGGTTTCGCTTCTTCAACTGCCACTCATCGGACCCTCCGTCAATAATGATAATGCCAGTGGCCTCTTTGATTTAGCACAGCTTCTTTTTTTACTTTTGCTGTCGACCTGGATGTCACTGGAGACACTCGCTTGTACGATGTTTTGGACTCTTAGTCCCCCGTTTGACTGGCCAAGCATCTTTATTATTTGACTTCTTTTTCTTCTGCTTGGTCAGGGACATCTTTTATATTCGTCCTTTATATTCGTGTCGATCGCTCACCCTTGGCGCCTGGGAATGTCAAGTGATGGGATAGGAGTTAAGAAGAAAAGTTCCGGCGCCTTTCCCGACACAGCGTTTACCGCGCGTTAAGGGATTTCTGACGTTTAATGATTCTATTTGCATTGGCATATAGAGTAAGTGACGAGGAGGGTTGTTTTGCTCTCTTTCGATTCAGCTTCTCCCTCGAACATGGCTTGGAGTACTTTATACGATTGATAGATTTATGTCAATCTCCCGCCTATGGGTCCTGAGGACACGTGTGGTGTTGTTGCTTATTTGCCTCGGAGGTTTGGAAAGGAGATGGAACTTGGACTGGCTTGTGGTATTATGTTTTAACGGTCATGAGTGGTTTGGTCAAGGACTCTTGACGGAAGCGGTCCTTGTTATGCACCAGGTCTTTTGATCTTGCATATTTGCTGTGGAATACACTGTCTCAACATTTTCCTGCGATGCTTTTGCTATCTGATGATGGCGACTTGGTGCGATCGTCTGGCTTCTCCCTTACTGGCTCTTCGTGTAGTTTCCCTGTCAAATTTGCAGGCGCGCGGTGTGAGCCCAAGGAAAGCTGTGCCTTGGCCACCAGTCGCCGTTGGGGCAGGTACGCGAAGGAGGATTTGTTGGCGTGTAGCAATACATTATACATAATGATAATTGTGATCCATGATATGACTTCCTATGGTTTGAAGTAAAGCTATGACCGTAGAGGCAATGGAGATCGCATGATATTCAAGGCCGTTTAGGGTTAGGGGTGGCAGGTTGTTAAAAGGTCACGTGTGTTCTGCCCAATTAGACCGCCCTCGCCTGACCTAGTAGAGCTGGTTCCAGCACCTAGATAGGCGACCAATACATGACACGACATACCTCCATTACAATACAGGTAGCTAACTAAGCATACTAGAAACACGTGATCGCTAACTCTACACTTCCCATTTTGGTAACTATACTGGCTTGCCTCCCAGGTACCTATTGTTGGTGGGGTCGAACTCGCTGAGTTGGTTATACTAGCGGAGTTAATTAGTTATCTACGCTATGCTAATTAGGAAGGAGTGAACCATGGGGACCACCAACACTGATTGTATATAGAAACCTCTTGGAAAAATGCTAGGATGAATGTGGTTATAGAAATATTTTGCTGGCAAACAGCATGAAGGAATCAGATGTTATCATTAGCAAGCAATAATCAACTTGCACCCGTAATAATTAACTAACTACTTTGTACGGTGCATAGAAGACTGTCCTTGTAAAGTCCAGTTACAAATAACTGTATGAAACATCCATCCGGGTATTGATGTTGGAAACCTGCAGATCGGTCAAGCACGCAGCCATGTTTACGGATAGATACAGGCTCAGCCACGAATCAAGCGCTTAATTTAGTCCCGGCTGGCTTACAAGTCTCAAGATGTAGCAGATGGAGATAAATTGATCCCCAAATTCCTACTGTCTTTTCGTATGAAACAGGACGATCATTTTCCCTTCATCGAGCTACAAGAGAATGTCATGAAGGCCTTTTGTCTCTCCCTTTTTTTTTTTGTGAATCCCTTTCGATATCTCCCCAACAGACCATGATATATATAAGACGATTTATTTGGCATTGCCTTTTGGCGTACTCAACGCTGACGGAAGCATGGCATCTGTCCTTGTTGAGATTGGCAGTTCAACTTGAAGTGCTCTGTGGCATTCTGGGGACACACCTTCAGCCATCTGCTATCACAATACGCAGCACTGCCCTAATCACATTATTATCAAATCCTCATCAAATCACATCTACAGTCCTTGAAAGTGGCTGCCAGGTGAGTACTATGCCCGTTAATAGAATCAAAATACATCTATGGAAGAAAAGAGACGCATATGGCCAAGGGTATACATGGACATCGTTCTAGGGCTCGTCTCCAGGAGGATTGTTTGTATGGTTCATCTGTCTCTAATCCAGCGAAAGCAGCAGCAGAGGAGCATGTTAGCACAGGCTCAGCCTTGGCTTCCGACAATTCCACTGCCAGCTGCACCAACTGGGATGCAAACCACCTCACAGCTGCTGGATAAGAAGCCATTCTCTTGGACAGCTCCAGCCAGCACCAAATGGTTAGCTTCAGCTGCTGCTGTCCTATTCCGGCTCTATCTGAGAGTTACACGTGAGATTCCACCAGTGATGAGGCCAATCATACAAACATTCTGGTATATCTACGTTCCAGTATCTCCCATCCATTAAAAAAAAGCTTGTGAACTATTTATTTCTAACTTGATGCTCTAGATAATTACTTTCCATACCGCATCACTTGGAACCCATCTTATCTCTTTCAGCAAATACACAGCAAAGACGACCACGTTCTTTGATTCTTTACCTCCGTAGCAATTTGGCCTCCGTAAGAGTCCAGCACTCAACAACAACCCTAGGGGTTTTCCGTTGGAATGGCACTGTAAAACAGTACCCTCAAAGGACTGCCAATGGAGTATGGATAAAAGCATTGGCCTGAAAAGATTCCATGACATCTAAGTAGTGTCTATGTCTAGTATGTTACTCAAGTCAACAAATGGGTAGACACTTTGGATCTCGGACATCCCAAAACTACTTGGAACGCTGGCAATCATGGAGGCGCTTAACCATCAGGAGCGAATAAATACATTTCCCCTCAGTATTGGTGGATCAGATGTATTTCATTTGGGTTGGATTTTATTGAGCTCGGGGGATATCGTGATATCTATCAGGGACAAAATGGTTCTCATGTTCCTAAGAGGAGGTTAGCTAGCGTCAATAATGGTATTACTGTATTTGGAAGATACAGAAGGTAATGTATTTTAGGTATCATTGGTCTAAGATTTTTACCGTCAACTGAGGCAAATAATATTCAACACTAGTATATGATCTAGCCTTTATTGGCCTAGTCTATACAATGTGATACGCACTCTGTACAGAGATCATTGTTCATAGTTTGGACAAGATTCCATCGGGCTGCAGGGTAGAGAGATGGTCCTTCGTGATCTCCTTGACAGATCGGCACCTAACAAAATAACATTATTTATCAGCATGCAAACTGGATGAGAACGGCCTCCATATATTCAGCCTACCCAGCAAGTGCCATGGTGATCCGGAACTCCTGCAACAGGATCTTGATTGCTAGTTCGACGCCTTCTTGTCCGGCATACTAGAGGATGGAGTTCTTTAGTCAATTCCCATTATATTCGAGGGAAGGATAGACGATGTAAAAATTGCCAAAGATGACAGGGTATGGAAGAAATACTCACCGCAAGACCCCAGATCGGAATTCTCCCAACAAAGCAATGTGTCGCACCCAAAGCCAACGCTTTGAAGATATCCGATCCTCGTCGAATACCGCCATCAAGAGCCAGTGGGATCCTTCCTGCTGCAACAGGTGCGCAGGCTCTCAAGGAATCCAGCGAAGCTGGAACACCGTCAAGTTGACGGCCTCCGTGGTTGGAGATTACGATGCCATCCACGCCATATTTGATGGCCAGTTCCACGTCTTCTGGGGAGTACACTTTATTTTTATCAATAATAAGCATGCATTGTATGATATTAGTATTTTAGACTTACCTCCTTTGAGCCAGATTTGAAGACTGGTGTGTTTCCGAAGCCATGGAATCGTGTTCTCCCAGTCGAGACTTGGGTCTTTCCCGTGTTAGAATGAGGTACACATATACACGTCCTATGGCTGCAGATTACTTACCATATTCCGTTCGATTGGATGTATCACTTCCATTGCTGAGAATATTAGGCCATTCCATGTCTTCTGGGAGAGTATAGTTGTTCCGATATTCATTCAGTCGCTTCCCTAGTACAGGTACATCGACAGAGAGGAAGAGTGCCTTGTATCCCGCCTCTATACGATTGAGGGCTCAGTACAGTATTCATGAATGGAAGGAAAACAGAGAGTCAGGGAATTCCATGGATGACACACTTTCAGCACGCTTCAAAAGCTGTAGCGTGATGGAACGATCCCGCAGAACGCACATCTGCATCACATAGGGATTTCCAGAACCTTGCTTGGCTACGTCTTCGAGAGAGAAGTTCGAATACGAAGACAATCCCATGCATAGACCGTATTTTGCGGCTGCGCGAGAAGCAGCGACCTCTCCTTCTGGGTGTGCTAGCTGCTGAGATGCTGCAGGACTGAATCCCAATGGGAGTGCGACCTGAGAGGTTCATTCCTTTAATCAGCGATGCCGTGGTAAAAGTCATCCACGTAAGGCTGTTCATACCTTGGTGCCGAAGATTTCTGTGCTCGTATCAATCTTGTCGACGTTGATCAGGATGCGTGGACGGATCTTGTAGCGGTCGAAGGCAACTTCGTTCTCACGGAGTCTAGTCCATTTAGAATATTGCTTAACAAAGAAAATATAGCAATATTGGTTTAGTAGCCAGGTTCGTACGTGATAAGATCCATTGCCCCTTCATTATAGTAGTCTTAAGGCAACAACAGTATAGTGAGCTTATGATCAGTATGCTCATCTTGCCTATGGCAGGATGTTCAGAGACGACTCTCCAGCACCATACCTCTGACAAACTTGGGGAGCTTTTCACTCCCTTTCTTCTTGAGATCGGCGATGCAGGATACATCCTTGTGGAATGTCTCTCCCCGGTGCGCCATGTTTGCATGCAGATGTCTGCTGCTATGATAGCATAGGCGAGAAATTCAAATACTCTAGGAGGACAGAAATGGAAAGGAGATTTAATATTCTTTGATGCACTCGCAGCCTTCGTATATACTGCATTTAAATAGCTGTTCGGTTCACGGCTCGAAGAACGAGGAGATCCGATCCCGAAGACAGCCTGAAGCCATGGCGATAACCATCATTCTCCTTCCCTCTCAAAAGGGCAATGAGAGGAGGGACATAACGGTCTTATCAGCCTGGTTTGAGTGGTAGACAGTGCATATCTTCGACTGTTGCCCCTCTTGGATGCTGAGCGCTGCAGATGCGCGGGGTGTGTATAGAGCAGGATTGCGTCTCCACGGAATCTCCTGCCTGTTTCGATCTCACCCCGCCATTTATCAATCAAGACGAGATCCTTCTGAATAATTAGCAAATGTAGTCTCGACGGTCATATTCTTCTGTGACAATCTGTTATGGTCAATCTTCATACTCGGGTTGCTTCACGACTCAATAGTATACTCTCAACTTTCCGATCTCGACAGAACCATAGCGAAATGACTCGAATCTTCTTGTGAGCCGAATAGAGCGTCTCCTATCTCAATTGTTTGGATATTTCGGTAGAGACAACGGAAGCTAACTGAAGCGTGCAACTAGGACTGGAGCATCGGGCTATGTAGGCGGCGATGTCCTGCATACGCTTCAGAAAACTCATCCTGAATATGCCATCACAATCCTTGTTCGAGATAGCCATAAGGGAGAAAAGATATCGCAGGCCTATCCCAATGTGAAAGTCATTTTGGGAGACCTTGACTCTGCATCCCTCCTCGAGGAAGAGGTGGGCAAGGCAGACATTGTCGTCCGTAAGTCTGTTAGCTGTTTTGCAGTCCAAGGGAGCGAACGCTTCATACGACTCACACTCATACAGATGCTGCCAGTGCCCAGCATATTAAAAGTGTAGAAACCATAGGACGCGCGCTGGAGAAGAGAAACAGCAGCAAACCCGGTAAATTCCCCTTACAATGACTATTGCGATCAATAGGAAGCTGAACCTGTTGCCGCCGCTAGCGTACTGGATCCAGATATCGGGCGCTTCTCTGCTTTCGGCCCTGGACATCGAGACCGGTTCATATGGAAAGCCATCAGAGACGAAATACAGCGATCTCGATGACATCCAAGGAATCAAGGAACTCATTCATCGCTACTCTGCCAAGCGTCTTGTCGATAAATTCATTCTGGACTTTGTCAACTCGAAGTCTGAACACAAGGTAGCCGCCGTATACCCTCCCATCATCTATGGCAGCGGCAGAGGCCCGGTCAATCAACGAAGCGTGCAGATCCCAGAGCTCGCACGGTTGACGTTACAGAGCAAAACTGGGGTCCAGATTGGACAAGGACTCAGCACCTGGAGTAACGTTCATATCTCCGATATCAGCCAGATCTTCCTTCGCTTAGTGGAGAATGCTGCCAACGGTACGGATGGTCCTTTCTGGAACGAGAATGGGATATACTTTGCGGAAAATGGAGCAATTGTGAGTCACAGATGCTCTTCACCTTTTCTTTCAAGAGCCTCCTGTCCCTTTCAACAAGCATCCTGACTTTGAATTTATTTAGAACTTCGCGCATATTTCCAAGCTAGTTACGCAAGAGGCACACAAGCTGGGATTGGTCGAATCAGCAACCGCCGTGAAGCAAATCAGTCATGAGGAGGCCGACTCTCTGTCTGGGCACGCCAGTGTTGTTCTAGGCACTAATGCGCAAGAAAAAGCCCAGCGAGCCCGCAGGTACTTAGGATGGAATCCTACGGGCATTTCACTGGAAGAAGAGATACCTAACACAGTGCATGCGGAGGCGTCCAGATTGGGCTTGTTGTGAAGACGCTGGAGACGGCCTTTAAGGAAATGGACATAGCTGGTACATAGTCCAATAGTCGAGAATATATAAAAATAGATATAATCTTTCCTTAACGTTGCTGCCAGAGTCATAGGAAAACAGGGCTCGACTGTCAGCCTCTTCCAGAGGTCAAGAGCCTGAACTGTGGCTGAGAGTGAGTGACAGCCCTGGTTCCCTGCTTTCCATAGATAGGAATATCCTGTGCGGAGTAGCCTTGAAGAAGTGAGGCTGTGCCGGAAAAAGCAAGCGATCCCGATCACGTGCCTTCTCTCGTGGAGAAACAGCATCAACTGCAGCTGCAAGAAGACAGCCCGAATACAGCTGGAATATCCACCATGAGCACAAAGGTTCTCGATGCCTCCAGCCCGGTACTCAAGGAGAAACACTCCTCGTCGCACACATCTTCTTGGTAGCTGCAAAACATGTCGCCGACGACATGTCAAGTGCGATCGAATGCAGCCAAGCTGCTTAACATGCCGGGCCATGGGCATACCTTGCGAGGGATTTTCAGCCGAGATTCGCTGGATGCCATCCAGGACGCGTCGGCATCAAGAAGCTGTCACTGAAGCTGACGAGAATGTGGAGAAATCTGCAAGTAGTGCCAATGATGGTGGCAGACGCCATCTATATACGGGTAAAGTCCAATATATCGTTCCAACCCGGTATTAGCACGGTGGCCTGACTATCTTCTAGAACAAGCAAGGGAATTAATGAGCACAGAATTGGCAACAAAACTCGCTTCTGGTTCAATTGATGCCTCGCTGGCTGAGGTTGATATCAGGTCCAGGGGCTCCGAATGGTCGGCCACAGGAGACATTGTTGTAGGGCCCTTTGGCGTCCTTAATTTCAATACTTCAAACACGACCACCGTGAACCCGAGGACTTCTCCTCCAGAGAGGATAGATAGCCCATCCGACTTTTCTAATTCCCCGGAAGGGGTTGCAGCGGGAGACCCATCCTCGCTGGAGGTTGGTTCGCTGTTCAACATCGAGGACTTCCTGCAATGGGATGACCTGCTTGGCCTCGAATCTGACCTCTTTGGTACAACGGTACAAGCTGCATTCGACCCTCTATCACCTAGAGACCTTTCTTCTGATGCGCCTATCTCCGAGGCTGGGATATCGGATATGGCGCAGCGGAGACACCGTCAGAGCAGAGTAGCACACGATGCTCACGATTGTGAATCTGATACCCAATTGGTGTCATCACGGCAAATTATGGCAGGTGTTTTGTCATCCTCAGTGGATGTATTAACAGACGCGCCCTTTCTTTTGAAACATTTTCGAGACCATCTTATTGCGGAGCTGATGCCTCTACCGACTGGCGAAAAGTCTCCGTGGACAATCTTAAACATCCCCGTCGCAATGCTCACACTCAGTGAACTAACATTTTTCAGTGAGCGGAGAGTCAACCACGCCCGGATGGCTAATTTTTATTCCATCCTGGCCTGTTCTGCGTATCACCTAAGTTCCAATCCGTCCAGAGATCTGAGCCATTCGGCAGAATATTGGAAACATATTGCCAATCAGACGTATCACGAGGCGAAGAACCATATCCAGCAGTCTCTAAAGACAGAATTATACGGCCCGCGGAAGGCTAAATACAAGGATCAGCTGATGGCAATCGAAGGAATGTCGGCTTTTGCGGTGAGGCCTGCTTTGCCCTCAGGTTCATGTCTTCCAGCTCGCTCGCTGATGGTATCTCTATGAAGGTACTTTCATGTCGTCAGAAAGACGCACGGTCTTACATGGTTGATGCTGAGCGTCTTCTACGCATTCGTGGATTGTCGAAACGTGAAATATCCCGCAAGGCACGCCTTCTACATCATATCTACACATGGAATCGCATCGTAGGCGAAAGCACTTATGTGCTTCACGATCACAGTCTCTCAGGATCATTTACCGAAACATTCAGTCATCATTTTCTCCCCCAATTGGACCAAACAGGCAATGACCGATGTCGGCAAGTCGATCACAATCCGCGGCTCGATGATTTCCTTCGTCTACGGCCTCGTCAATTGGATAGTGACCTCGATATTGACGAGCCGAAAGAACGTGAGACCGGTCTCTACGACATCCATCTGGAGGATTCGCGGCGGTTCTCAGAGACCCTCTATAGCCAGATATATGGCATCCCTGAAACGTGGCTCAGTCTGCTCTCGCAAACTACCAGGTTAGCCAATGTTATGGACGCGTTGGTCAGGTCTGGAAACACGAGGGATTCAACAAACTCCGAGGCATGGCAGGCACTTCAACGTCGCAGCAACCGTCTCGAGAACATGGTCTGCTCCCTTGCTTTAAGAGGCAATAGCGTCAGCCGTCTTGACTCTCCCGAGTCTGTGGGCAGGTCCCATATGCATATGATTCACGCGATGAACGTTGCTCTGGTAATCTTCTTTTACAGAAGGATTCGCAACGTTCATCCAATAATCCTCCAAGGACATGTTGATGATGTTATTACATCCCTGAACGAGTTTGATATTGCACTGGCCCAATCCGGCCTCCCTGGGCCGGGGACTGGGTGGCCCGCATTCATTGCTGGCTGTGAGGCAGTCACTACCTCACGGCGGGATGCATTGCTGCGGTGGATTGAAAAGGGAGGTGCACGGTCCGGATTTGCCGTCTTCGATGCTGCGAAGGAGGTGATCATGGAGGTTTGGAAGGAGCAAGATGAACACCGTTCCAGCAGCACACGTTGTGGAGATCCCCATCCAACGTGGGTCGAAGTGCTAAAACGGAGAAAGCTTTGGCCGATATTTTGCTAGATAATCTGTTTCCTACGCTGAAAATATAAATGAGGGTTTCAGACGTCATCAACGAAATCCGCTTTGGTACTGTTGGTTCATTTCATTCATATGTTGCCATTGTATCATGTCTATTTCATTCGATGATGACAATCCACACCCTTTTATCCTCTCTGGGCCTCTTCTAAAGCACAGTCTCAGAAAATCCAGATAGATTCAAACGGTTTTCACTCCGGCGCTTTGGAGGAGAGTGGCCAACTCGGTTTTATACTCTTCCGTCAACAGGGCAAACGGTTTCCGCACGCCACCCGTTGGATAACCCGTTAGCTCGACGCCAGTCTTTACAGCGGCAGCGTAATTGTGAGACTCGAGGAACTTGCAAATGGGCCAGGCTTTAGCCCACAACTCTCGACCACGCTTCAGGTCTCCCTTTACAGAAATAGCATTCCACAGCTCCGCTGCTAACTCAGGAATGATGTTTGCTGCGCCCCAAACCGACCCTGGACATCCAGCTGCCAAACCGTAGAAGGTCAGAGTATCCCACCCGTTAAAGGAGGTAATCTTATTCGACAAGCCGAAGATCAACTCGGTAAGAGCGGGTGCATTCCCAGACGTATCCTTGAGGTATTTGACTCCCACCTCCGACAGATCCGCTATCTGCTGCGGCGTCAGGGTTAACCCGCTCGCAGACGGGATATTGTAGTACACGATGGGCAGATTGGACGTTTCATGGATCTCAGCCATCAACTCTCTCAGTTGCTCGTAGTTGACGGGATCGTAGTACGGCGGGACGACCATCACGGCCGCAGCGCCGGCTTGAGCTGCATGTTTTGCGAGGTCAACCGCTTCGCGTGTCGAGGTGGCTCCCGTGCCGGCAACGACGGGTACACGTCCAGCAGCATACTTGACGCAGAGCTCTGTTAGTTGTTTGCGTTCGTCTAGCGTTAGGGCTGTGAATTCGCCCGTGCTGCCGCCTGGAACGAGCCCGTGCATGCCAGCTGCGATCAGGCGGTTGATGTGTGTCTCGAGTCGCTTTTCGTCGATCTTGGTCCCGTCGTCTGAGAAGGGTGTTATTAGGGCGACTAGAATGCCTTTGAGCTCTTGGGGTGTCGTGGTCATTTTTGTTTAGGTGTCGCTAGGTTTAGCGAGTGGGAAGATAAAATCGCCAATATTGCAATGTAGTAATTAAGACTGGATGAAGGATAACGATAATATCATGAGGAAGTAGTAAATTAATGGATTGATCGACTCTTATATCGTTCTCTATGGCGCTTTTGCTTATTCGGGATCGGTTTCCTTTAACGGAGAGGCGTTGAACCACATCTGATATGACACAGCTTCGATCAATGTCTTTGAGATATTTGTCGGAATTTCTTTCTAAGAGCTATTTCTTGGTATACAGGAGATATATTACCCCAGATCCAATCTTTTGTTCTCCGCGTGGAAGATATGGGATCTTGATCAATACAGTATGTGATCCCGAGAGCCCTAAGCGGGGTATTCTCGGTGATGCTGAATTGCCTTATTGTATTCCCGGGATATACTGGATACAACAGTCTGTACTCCACTGGCAATTCATTAACGGATATCTCGATCAGCCAAAGCAAATCCGCCTTTGCAAAGTATAACAAGACTCGGACATGTGCTGTCTATCTATGATTTGCCCCCTACCACACGCTCTCGAAGCCCTTGGCCTCTTGCTCCGCTCATACCTCCTCCAGCAAGGGGGTGGTAGTGTGTGAACATATGATATCGCGTCCGCTCATTCTGAACAGGGCAGAAATGCAGGATATTCCTGCTTAACGATCGATCTCCCAGCTCGCACCCGCAAAGAATAGCGGCAACAGCGGCCTGTCTGGAGACCATGCCTTCATCGCGACACGCAACCACGTGGTCCACAATGGCCCTTGCGCGATGCAGGATGTGCATCGGGATACTGCAACGGGACTCCCACCGGAATATTAGGTATATGTATAGAGACGTTGCGGCATGTTTGACACAGGGTTATGCTGACGTTTCCGCGTAAGCCTCGTGACAGGCGAGCTTTCATCCGAATCTTCAACAAGATCAGGCGAACGCACTTTACGTGAAGGCTGATCCGAATTTTTTGACACTCCTCCGCAACCCACTGGACTTGAAACTCTAATTGGACTCAGCAGAGAGCGATCAAATGAAGAAGACCGACCATGGGCTGAAGGCGACGTGTCTTGGGGAGCAGGGATATCACCACCACCAGTAAGAAATTTATTGTGCGGAGTCATAGCGCGAACTGGAGAACCTGAAATGGGTGCCTGAGCGACCGGAAGCTTGATATATCCAAATTCCCCTCGGGAGAGGCATAGAAAACTTCTCACTGGTTATTTACAAACCACAACATGGCATTCTTTCCTCCATTGTGCTGCACGACCAGAGCCTTCAATTGCACCCTGTCCAACCACCATTCCGGATTGGCATCGAGCAAGAGCCAAGAAAAGTGCAGGCGGATTTAGTTCACACGGCGTTGCAGTGAAGCCAGGCGCTCCTTGCAGTGCTCCATCAGCTTGAGTTTGTTTGAAGTAGCTTGCAGGCTGCTTCAACCCTATCAGCATGTCTTCAAGGACCTGATCTGCTTGCTTATGTACAGCATCGGTGGTGGTTATTGCCGCTCTTTGGCCTGCCTACAGCCTTGGTATCATTTGCCTCTTCACCCAGTCGATGTCACTGGCGGCATGCTCGTGTATGGACGGATCGCATACCCAACCACCCATTGGATCGCACCCACCATCGGCCTGGCCATGGTGGGTTTTGGGACGACTGCTGTCATTGTAGGCAATACCGACTATCTTGTTGATGCATACAGCAAGTATGCGGCGAGCACTCTTGGGGCTGTCAGTCTAGTCGAGGACAGCTTCGTTGCGTTTCTTCCTCCGGCTGCGTCTTCCATGTATAGGGCTCTTGTATTCCAATGGGCGAGCTCCCTTCTTGCATTCCTGTCGTTGGCGCTCGTTGCTACACCGTTTCTAGTCCTTGGGATGGACAAAGAGATTCGATCGTGCAGTCCGTTTATGAAAGAGGCCATTATTGATAGCCAATAAGACGTTGAAGCCAGTGCATGAGCCCGTCCTCACTTGGCAGCTCAAGGACCCCTCCTGAATAAAAGTTATCAATTTGGTATTCTACAAAATCCAATCTTTCTTGGTTCTGACAGAACAAATCACCCCTAGTCAGTTACAAAGCGGATATGATGCGCCCAAGGGTGAGTAAGACGCACTTCTCCACGTGTCGTTTGATGTATATCATTGCGAGGAGCCAAAGGTATGACCGGCTATCGTCGGACTCGTAGCTGGTATGATTTCTTGCAGCATTGAAACTGGAAATAACAGTGAGGCCTCTATGAAAGAGATGATGGGGGATAATATCTATATGGTATCAAGTCTTTCAACATATCGTTGGTTGTATAACATATAGGTATAGATATGATCCTTGCTGTGTTTGTGACTACTACATGCTCAGTACGTTAGTTCTATCTACAGCGTAGGACCCATATAGGACGCATAGTTCTATCCTGACCTGAGCATGCACTCACCTCTAGATGCACAGGTCTCAGCAGTTGTAACCATTCAAGCCCTGAATGAGTAGCCTGCTAGGCACGGGATGGTCAGCTGAGGCTGTCAGGGGTTTAGCAACCGCAGGACTCAGACCTCAGAGAATATGGGGACTACCAACAGTTGGAGAAGCTAGAGCAGTGCCGTTTCACATATTCCTCATGTGTCTCAGTGCCCGTGATACTCCCCATTGAGTTTGGGATGATCCCCGGTTTCTGGATGGGAACCTGATCCCGAAGAGTACTGTATAAAAAAAAGGGGAGAGGAGAGAGAGAAAGAGAGAAGATGACCTTCTAGGACCAATGGACCTGTAAGAACGTACAGTGGTGTAAACTAATACTGTCTCAAGGACATCAGCGGGCTTCTCCTGCGCATTGGCCGTGCAGTCAACTTATCGGGACAGGGATTAAAACATAGATCGATTGGGTCAGCTGCATGTATGAAAGTAACTCAGAACCAAGTATGAGGAGATAGCCGTCAGCATGAGTTGGGCAGCATAGTGTAATAGACTGCGCAGCGAGCAAAAGGGGAGGTTAGAATCGGGATCTCAAGACTCATACAGCAGGAACGAAAACCGGCTACTGTTGCCTAAGTTGATAGTGATATGCAAGGATGGCTGGAAGATTCCTAGAGCGGTGGATTAATAATATAGCAATCAATCAATCGAGTCTGACAGCTTTCGTCAAGATGGGTATTCTGCCTCATCATCGCCACGAGGATGGCTGGCCTGCATAGCGTCCTGCATGCGTGACATCATGTGGCTTGTCTTTGAATTGAAGAGTGAGTCAACGGGTAGACAATAAACTGCAAGTCTGCCTGATCGAGTGAGTTGATGGTGGGGGAAAAGAGTCTCATTTGGATGTGACCATGAGGTGAGGTTTCTTTCGTGGACGTGGGATATTATGATGCCTGCCGGGTATATCGGATGAAAGGCATGAGGCACGATCATTGTCGAATCCACGGCCATGGTCGTTATTATTATTATTATCATGCATTGAATCCTCAGTGCCTTCATTAGAAATCCAGTGAACGTTCCCCTCTCGGCTAATGCCCCGCGTAACACCAGTCTCGGAGGACTAGAAATGACTGCCTGAGCCAGTGGGAAATCGCCGATTTGGTTGGAAATTTAGCTTTTCATACGTTTTTTTTTTTTTTTTTTCTTTCTTCGATCTATGTAATATGTATGCAGTCGCTATAGCCCACTACCAAAAACGTATTCCTGCCTGGCGTCTAGGGTCCGAATAAGGGTTTGTTAGATCAGACTGCGAAGAAAAGATCCTAGATAGATCAGAATGACATGACACGGACTGGCCATCCAACAGGCAAAGCACCCAGCGTACTGAATCCTGACTGTAGCGACGATGATTCTGGGGGCGCAAATCGCGAATCTTGTGCCGCTTGGCCGCCTAGCCGCTTAGCGGTTAGATACAGCGTGTTATGGGGAGAGCACGATTAGAAATGATCCCTAAAGGTATAGGCGATGGCGACGGACGCCTGGGTACTGTAAGCGAACACCCGTTCCAGAACCGCGGGATCCACGGTCGCAGGAGCGAAGCGAGTCAACTCGCGAGTCGCAGGGTGTGTACCTATCCAAGGATTCAAGCAACGCATATCCACCAGGACAGAGAAGAGTCGACAGATCACGGGACCGCAGTCACGGGATGTCTCAGTTTGATTACTGCAAAGTTTGGCCGTACAAATCGTTGTCCCGTTGGCGTCCGATGATGCTGCGTGGACAACCCCCGTCCGACTTCTAGACTTGCCTTTCATTCCATCGCGTCACGCTACAGAAAACTTAGAAGGTTTCACGTCCCTTGATCATCATCATAATAATAAAGGGGAAGTGTTCTGCATCCGGCAGCGTGGCACTGGATGATTCTTTGGGTCGTGACGATGGCTGTACAAGGAAATTGCCATTGGTAATACAGAGTACAGACGAGTACCCTTCTGTACTCATCATAATAACTGCTGCAGGAAGGTCATGGAATTATCGCAATTACTAGGACAACAGGTGAACTGTTCGATGCACAGGCAGTGGCTGTACACCGGTTCTTTTCTTTCCTGGAGACCCTTTTTTTTAGAATTTTCTGAGACTTTCCGTCTTTGCCCCAGCCTCAACAAGTGTATTTTATTATTTTTTTACTTATATTTTAATAATAATATTATTATTACGGTACAGACGCTGTATTAGCGTGAAGATTATTATTATTATTATTCATTTCGCCTTCGCTCCCTTTTCTCCCCCATCCTCCCTGCCAGTAGCCAGGCGCTCTCCTGCTCTTTGCCAGCAAGAGTGAAGAGAAGAGTCTGCTCCTCCCACTCGCGGTACAGATCATCTGTTTTGTCCTGTTCTCAACAGTCTGATCTGTCCTCTTCCCTCTCCTTCCCACTCGCCTCGCTTGTTTTTACTCTTTTTACCTCTTTTTCTTTTTCCTCTATCGATCAGTCAATCCGCCTTCACCAGCACGTGTTCGTCCAACGAGCTTTTCACTAAGTGTCGTTGACAACTTGGACAGGCCTTTCCCTCGCCTTTCTACGCGAAGAAGCTCCGTTTCAGCTTGCGTTTCTTCTCTGACAGACCTCTTCTTGTCCTGTCCTGTCACCACTTGCCTCGTCTTTTTCCCTCCACCGCGCGTCACGTCTCCTGCCCCCCCGTGGTTGTTTAGGACTGCCGTAAGGGATATCGACACCGTTCACGGAATACCAGAGCTTTGCAGTCGCTACCAGCATTCACTCCTTTGTCTCCTCTTTACATCTGCTGGATTGTATTGTTATTGAATTTCTCTCTCGATGTCATTCAACTAGAGACATTCACCTTGTGAGAACATAAGAGCCGCGGCTCCTTGAGCAACGCTCTTCCCCCAGGATCAGGGCGTCGTGGACGTGTAGACGGTTTGTGTTCACCCTTGCTCCTCGCTCATCCCTGGACACTTAAAAGCTTCAGTGGCTGACGCGAAGCTCTTGAATTTGTTACAGTTTCCAACCGTCTACCCTCCCCGTCCTGAACTGGTTCTCCTTTTCTCTTCTCTAACCACCATGCCGTCCTTCTTCGCTTCCGGCCTTCACGGCCTTCCCCCAACTCCTCCCGATATCCACAGTGGCTCCAGCATGGAGGGTGAGCAGCCTTTCTACATGTTCGGCCCCGCTGCCTTCCCCCCTCGCTACTCCCAGACTGGTTGCGAATTCATCGAGCAGTACTCCCAGTCGGCGTGCTACACAAAGCCAGCCCCGATGAACCCTCATTCCCAGTCGGTACACCCTTTGCGCGGAGGCAGAGAGATCGCAACTGCTCACTCTATTCTCCCCCAGCAGGGTGCCGTTCGACCCATGTACGGTCCGCTGGCCACTGCTCCCGTGCTGCCCCCCATTCGGAACAATGTCCAGCTTCCTCCCATGGATAGCAACGCGATTCCTCAGTATCGCCGCCAAGACATCCTGATGCAACCCGAACAATCGCAGCACCGCAAGGAGGAGAAGACCACCGGGGGTGTGGCAGCCCATTTGGATTACGAGATGGACCAGATGTCGGATTTTGTGGCGGAGATGGCCCAGGGAATGTATGATTTGTACAGCACCAAAATCAACCTAGCAGATATTGACTTGGCGCGAAGCGTCTCCCCAGGATTGTCGGTACCCCCTCAGTTCCGGAAATACGTCTTCCAAATCCTGTCGTCGACCCGTCTCCCCAGTTCCACCATCCTCCTGAGTCTGTACTACTTGGCCAGCCGGATGCGGATGCTCTCGGCTGCCGGCGTCTATACCTCTGGCAGTGGCCAGGTCTATCGCATGCTGACGATTGCCCTTCTCCTGGGAAGCAAGTTCTTGGACGACAATACGTTCCAGAACAAGTCCTGGGCCGAGGTTAGCAACATTCCCGTTGCCGATCTGAATGCCATGGAACTCGAATGGCTTTTCGCCTTTGAGTGGAAGATCCATGACCGCATTTACGACAAGCAGGATGGATTCGCAACCTGGCGTGCTCACTGGAATACCTGGCGGAACAAGGCAACCCTGAAGTCCCGAGAGCAGCCTCGTCAGCGCCCAACTCCAACAATCGATACCCATGCCACGAGATCCCAGCCCATCTCCACGCCGCTCCTGTCTCCAGAAGGCCCGATCCCGCCACAATACCAGCGCAGATCTCAATATGAGAATTCCTGGTTGAACCCGGCAGCGTTGGAATATTCGCCTCCGTCTGCTCCCCAAAGCGGTCCAACTACGCCGGATTATTATCCGCTCGGTCCTTGGCCCTTTGCTGCAAATCCCGCACCGTCGTTTCCTCGTGCATGGGTTCCTCAACAGCCGTACATCCCGCGATCTGCGCCACGGCCTCAGCATCCCCCTTATCACCATACGCCATCATATGCGTTGCCGTTTGCGCAAAATATGTGGTCTGGCCATGGATCGTCTTGTGGCTGCTTGTATTGTGCCAAACAGCTTGAGCACTATATGTGTGGTAACACCTTTGGCGCCATGCCAACCATTGTCGCTGCCTGATTTTTCTTTTCGGGTTAGCAATGTTGTCGGCTAGAGAACCCTAGCTGGGTTCCATCTTTTTGCCGCCTTCTCTTTTTCTTCTTAATTGACTATCCGAAAATATGTTGGATTGGTCATTTTCGCATTTTTTTTTGATCATTGCAACGATACCATGTTTATATGTTTCGTTGTCTCTTTACCATTCGAACAGCACCACTATTCGATTGTCAAAATGTCTATTGCCCCAGCTAAAAGTGTCAATGTTCTTTTTCATCTTTGTTCATGCCACCACAAGAAAAGAAGCAAACCCGAAAAAAAAAAAAAGAAATGAAGGGGGAACGGAGGAATCATTGTTGGCTGTGGATGCTTACATCTACCGCACGAAGCTTGACTTTGCATCCGACATAGCCGATGCTCATATCGATGCAAACTTGTCACTTTTCGACAATGAGCCCTTGTTTATCAAGACGTCAGTCCGCTTCTGGATTCTGTCAAGGCTTTTGATCTTCTGAGTGGACCAGGTTACGACGATTACGCTTTTTCTTGCCGGTTCTATCTCCCGGTTATTCTTTGATTTTTTTTTTTTTTCTATTTTATTTCTTCTCCATTTCCGGTTCTGTTTCTGGTCTCAGGTTATTTTATTTTCACGAATGTTACCCATAGATTGTCCTGTTTGGGTTTTCCATCGAGTTGGCACATTGTTCTTCTCATTCTACAGTCAGTATCACGGCGTTAATATTTTTCATCTCATTTTCTTTATTTTCCCCCTCAACGATGTCTTGATGTCCAGCCTTGGAAGGGTCTCTTCCTTTGGGTCAATTGTCGGCATACGCACATTCGGTCGAGTTTCTGGCTAGTCTCTCGCCTTTCCCGGCTGAAGGATCCGATCCATATATGTGCTTGGAGCTACATGTTAAAACGAAGAAAATTCCGGCACTCAATGTCACGGGGCTGCATTTGGGGGAGTCTTGAAATTTTTTTCTTAAGTCTACAATTTTTTTTCTCATCATTCCGCCATGACTGTCTTTTGCAAAATCCCCATGTCTGTTTGTCTTCACATCTCATTGTCATATTTTGTTTTAAAAAGACGCTCATTTACCATGGGAAAGTGATACTCCTCTTAACTCCAAATACTCTTTTTTTATTATATCTCTCTCTTCTTCCTCTTTTGTTTGTTCCTCTGATCTGCCTCATCCATTGTCTTTCAGTTGACTCCTTGACGGTTTGGCCGAGGTCGAAATTGTTTCAGGGAATCCCTTTTATTCTTTTCTTTTTCGAATTTTCGAATCATTTCCCTCTTTGTAAGTTAGTCCTTTGCCTGCATGGAACTTACATCATTTGCGGGATGGATATTTATGTACCATACCCGACTTTGCGACAAAGAGCTGGAAGTAAATAACACTGTTCAATGTGAAAAACGAATCCAGAAAAAAAAACAAACAGTCCCGTTGTTTGTTCATCTCATCTTCGAATAGTACTAGATACCCCATACATAGTAAATCAAGGATGCTATGCTGTTTAATGGATTTTTTATTCTTTTATTTAGATATAATAATGCAAGTCTTGTTCTCTCATCTCTGTTCATCCCCAAGATAACATCCCTGATACTCTAATCTCAAGGTCGTACTGCTGCTTTCAAAGAAAGCCACTGATTCTCCGTGGCTAGGTCTTGTTCATTGGGGGACGCCAATTCCCTGAAAGAATAATGATAGTTTGAGGTTGGATCTATGCTTTGTCGTCACTATCCTCCGTTTCTCTGAAGATATATGGTGTGGCAACTCATTTCGTACAGCATTTCGACGATAACGGGATATTTCACTGGGATGATCTCACCCCTGTTCTGGTTGAGAGTTAAAGCTGGAATCGGAGAGGGTATTCGTATTGGCTGGAGACTAAAATAGGGTGAGGAAGAATGTCGGTTTCAACGACGACCCGTTCTAGCATATTTGTCGTCACTGTCTCCTTGTTCTAAGACGTAAGTGCGTTGCGGCTCTGGGGAGTCTGGCAAGCGATTTGCTTCTCCTAAGAAGCGATCCAGCTATAGTCAGCCGGTTCCGTCTTCAATTACCGTGCGTTGCTGGACAATAACGAAACCACCCATTCCAACTTACCGACATCCCCATCTGATGATACCTTAGAATCCGACCGCAGCCGCTTATTCTCGGAGGCCGAGGCGCCATGTTTACATCCGTCGGCACAACCACCCCATTTCCGTTTATGTGGTTCCTGCTGGTCTTCTGCTTGCGCTTCCTTCTCAGACCATTTCGCTAGAGTTGTCTCAAGATCGTATTTGCCGGTGTCCGGATTGAGTTTCATGATCACGAAGCCGCAGTGGTTAATGTTCATCAGGTCCTCAAAATACTCCACGCTCCAATGATACCACTTCATGAGGAAGACCCGCGTCATGAGTCCATGTGTGACAAGAACGCAGATGCTGGCAAAGTCATCCTCGCCAAATTGTCTCCAAAGAGACTCGTTGAAGCCGCTCACTCGGTCGTATGCGTCCGCTGCAGACTCCCCATTGGGAATTCGATAGAAAAAGTGGCCATAGTCCGCCCTTTCCTGCCAGATCCTTGCCATCTCCGCGGCGCATGGTTGGAAGTTGCCGAAGTCTTGCTCTCGTAGTCGCGGCTCCTCATATACTTTGATGGCGTTCCTCTTGTAAGGGGATGGGGAGGGTTCATCGGATGAAAGAGACTCAACAATGCCTTCTGTGGTCTGCCGTGCCCGACAGTAAGGGGATGTATAGATTAGTACCCGGTCATCGGGCCGGAGGAGAGAGCGCAGCTTGTACCCTGCCTCGCGCGCCTGTTTATGACCTTCCTCTGTTAGCTTCACCCGGTGGTCCGGGACCGTTTGATGGATTTCACGGTTCTTGTTTCCTTCTGACTGGGCATGGCGGATCAATATAATCATCTGCGTACAACGTCAGAAAACTAAATCCATTCACGATAGTAACGTAGCATTACCCGCGGCTTGCCCATGGTCCAGACGAGCCCTAGTAGAGCTCGGTTTTTATGTACGAGCGTGTCTATAAGAGTACTGGCGCTAAAGAAGGGTCCAAAGGAGAGGATTGTCCCTAGCTAGGGATCAGGAGAGAATAGATAGATAGAAGTTGCAAAGACAGTCTGAATGCCGCAGGGGGAAAGAAAGGACGGAGACGCTGCGCAAATGGCCGCCGCGGCTCCCGTACGGTTTTCTCCTGCGCGGCATCTTGTCTGCGTCCAGTCTGGCTTCTTCAGACTTCAGCACAGGGGGATATCCCAGAGGCTTCGATCTACGCGAGTCCATCATGGAAGACTCGCTGTACGAGCTGCTGGCTCCCCATTTGCAGCCCAGGATTACCAATCACGATGCCACAGATCCGACAACGATCCAGTATCTCAACCGCCTGTCCACCCTCTCCTTGCAGTCCCTGACGTCGACAGAACCTCAATCCCTCTCCCAATCTTCCCATTCGACCCTTCTCTCTCTCCAGGCCTTATCCAATCGATCCCATAAAGCATTTATTACCTCTGCGGACAGTCTCTCTGCCCTGCGCACATCCATCCCCCAACTCAGCCGCGAGACGCGAGAGCTTCGAGATGCCATTCCTAAGCTTGACGAGGAGGCTATGCGCTTCTCATCCAAGTACAGCAAGACTGCGGAGAACGTGGCTCTAGATCGACGGAAGAAGGCGATGCAGCTAGCGAGGAATGTCGATCGACTGTCGGATATCCTGGAACTGCCGGCCTTGCTCTCCACAGCTGTGTCCTCGGCGGCGGCAAATTCAGGTGTAGCGGGTGCTTCATCGTCTACTACATACTCGTCCGCTCTGGATCTATATGCGCACATTAAGAGATTACAGACGCTATACCCTGATTCCCCTCTGGTCGAAGACGTGGCTGCCCAGGCGGAAGATGTTATGAGGGACATGACGACAAATCTTATCTATGGGCTTCGGGCGCATAACCTTAGACTTGCGGCTGCTATGAGAATGGTTAGTTGGCTACGGCGAGTGGCACCGGAGTTGGAGACGCTTCACCGCGGGAGTACGCCTGGCAAAGGGGAAGGAGCATTTGGCGCTCTCTTTCTGGTATGCCGGTTGGCAAATCTGGTGTCTACACTGGAAGCATTAGATCCATTGCGGGAGCTGGCAGACCAGGAAACACAGAAACGGCTGGGCAATGTAGACAAGAGGGACGGCGTGTCGGCCCACGCCGGTCCCTGGTCCGAGGGTCACCAAACAGAGAAGTTCTTGAAAAGGTACATTGAAATATATCGTGAACAGAGCTTCGCCATTATTTCATTATACAAGAATATATTCTCGCCAGATATATCGGAGTCCGATTTGGCCATTGTTGGCCTACGAGGACTAGATTCTCGAAGCAAACCGTCATTGGCGCAGGCCACAGGCAAAGAGGACCTCTTGCAGTGTCTCCCTCCTGCTCTAGCGACTTTCCCCATGCACCTAGTACAGCTACTTACGGAAACCTTGCGCACATATCTTCCTAATGTCCAAGACAAGAGCTCGAGAGAGAGTCTGCTAACGCAGGTTCTGTACTGCGCAGCCAGTCTGGGACGACTGGGGGGAGACTTCAGTTTGATTGTCACAGAGTTGACTACTACAGAGGATGAAAGAGACGAGACCATGGCTTGCGAGTGGGAGGAGGTAATGAGGAAACATCGGACACTGGCCGGGCGCCTGGAGCAGCTCACCGTCGGGAATGCCACTCCGGGTTCCAGGAGCCCGTTGCGAGAGGCGTCTCCTGTTCACTGACATCCTGAGAGGAAATAGGACAATAAGAACGAACATAATCACGAAACTTCCGCTGTTGAATTGCTGTTTTCTCCAAGTAGTGTTTCGCTGTGCCTGCAAGGGGCAACTTCAGCCCTGCAAGCGATTGGCGTCCGGGCGCCAAGCAGAACGGATCGCCCCTCTCCGGCTGTTTCTCCCCATTTCATCTCCGTTTCTCTCTCTCTCCAGATCCCTTCCTTGTCACCGTTTCTTTCTCTCTTCCTTTTCTTATCGCCTCCGGAGGGCTTCTCTTTCCTCCTGGCTCCTCATTAGCCGTGCTCTCAGTATATATAGTGCGTCCGGAACCGTCTATGTTTCTCACCATTATTCCCTTGTCTGTTCTTGGCACTGTGATGTGACGCTCTCTTGCATGCTGCTGCTACCGTACAGCGATCCTACGGCCGCCATTCTCTTCTTGATTGAGTGTTCGGGTTTATTTCCTCGTTTGTAATAGCGAGCAAAAGAGCAGCTCAACAATCTAGACAATCTAGGTTTTCTGGCATTTCTTGACCGCTACTTCTCTGACCGCTGCGCCATGGCTGCAATCTCCGCCTCCGCTTCTCTGCCCGCCGGTGGTTTGATCGACCCTACGAAGCAGGCAGAATACCCAGTTGTCTTGGGAGAAAGGCTAGCAGCAAAGGACGGTACCACGCCAAACCGGTTAGTCAACATCCAGTACAATTACAAGAGCAAGTCTGCCACACCGCAGCAACGGTCGACCATCAGTCGTTCATCTCGGTCCCAAGATGCCTACACCCTTACCATCACAGACAAAGCACCTACGACGGAGCAAAATACGTTGACATATACATACGAGGGCAGTGTGGACCCAGAACAGCCCGTGTCGGGTTCGGAAGAGAAGAACTTGGTCTTGGTGTTTGATCCAAGTCGAAAGGTTTTCGTGTTGGAGCCGGTTGCAACACAGCTGAATTTCAATATTCGTTCAGCTCCTGCAAAAACAGCGAAACAGGTTCTCGAACAATATGATCAACTCAAGACACTCCTCGAGGACGACCAAGCATGCGGTGACGATCAATTGCAGGGCGGCGAGGATGAGGGCCTGGCGGATGATACCAACCCGTATGACTACCGTCACTTCCTCCCTAAGGATAATGCCGGAGACGAGAAGTCCGCGTCGGGTATTTCGACCCCGGAACCAAGCTACAGCACCGCAAAAATCACTACGCCAGTTGTTGAGCCTGTTACAAAGCCCGCAGCTGGAGGTCCTCTGCCGAGATCGAAACCGCCGGCCAAAGCCCAAAGCAGTCAACAAGCCAAGCCCGCTCGTCAGAATAAAAATGCAACCAATCAATCTATTAGGAAGACGGGCCCACCGACATTCAAACCAGACACAAGGGCTCCAGCCCGTGGAGAGTCAGAATCGTTGTCTTCGGATGCGGTGACTGGTGCGCCATCACACAAGTCGACCCCATCGCCGGGCTCAAACATTATCATTGACGGTGACTTGATTATCGACATGGGCTCACCGCCACCATCTCGTCCTATATTCAAGGTCAACCCTGCCCATTTCTCATCCAGCAACACTCCCTCGAATATTCCGGATGGTGATGGGAATAGGGAAGAAATGGAGGATTTGTGTCTGCCGTCTCCGGCTGGCCGTCCAGGTGCACCCGCGCTAGCTAGAAATGGGGAGGTAATGCCCTCAAATGAGGACGAAGCTGAAGACGATGACGCGTTGGCTGCGGAAATGGAAGCGGCCTTTGAAGAGAGTGCGCGAGAGGAAGAGGCACGAAGCCAGCAATATCAGCAACAACAGTCACAGTATCACATTCCTAGTGATGACGAAAGCGAGGTCAGCGAGGAGGAATGAGGTGTATCTAAGATATGCTTTCGTCCCAACGAGTGCATGATATTCTGTGAATGGAAAGGGGAAGATGGGGCTGCGAACACGAAGTGAAATGACCAGACATGATACCATGTGACTGAACTTTCCATCTTGTATTTATAGGAGAAAAATATTTACTGCATCATTTGTCATTGTAAAAACTCCTATACTAGTTATTATATTAATTGATAGTAGTAAATATCCACGGAAGGAATTTGGGGAACGCTGGGAATCATTCACGGAGAAACCAGAAGATCCGGTCCGCAAGCAGCGATCAAATTGACTGTCTCTCGGGAGTCAAGTCCTTGCCCGCAAAGGCTCCCAGCCAGTCCATTCAGCTTCATTTGGCTTTCATTACTCTTCTACGTCTCCTTCAGTGCTTCATTATAACTGACGAGGAATTCGTCATCTCCTGGGGCAGAGTTTGCGCCGTTCGTTGTGTTCTCACCAACCGTCATTTCGGCGCTCTAGCTCCGACTCATTTATCAAGCTCAGGTCGAATAGCAAATGATGCTATGAGGCGTTTCTGCGGCATGTCATTTTGCATCTTGTGAGCAATAAGGAAATCGGCTTTTTTGGCTGGAGGAGGACAGGGAAGCAGCGTCACTCATATCGCGCGCGAGCGCGTGTTGCTCTACTGTCCTCCGGGATCTCTGTTCCTTTGTTCATCCTTAACCACAGTAACAGGAGCAGAGATCTTGTTATTGCTGCTCTAGTTTGACCGATAACCATCTACCACCATACGGGACTCCTCGAAGGCTTCTCCAGGGTTTCTCCACATGGCGTCCCCATCGTCGAATCGCGCTGGCCAGCGACCGATCCCCTGCCCATCGAACCCTGTCCTTCTCGCGACGCAGTCTCAATGGCTCTTTACGGACGAGGAACTCACGAGGACACCATCGCAACTCGATGGCATGAAAATGGAAGCGGAACAGATCAGCCGCAGCAAGGGGGTCAATTTTATCACGCAAGTCGGAATCATGCTCAAGCTGCCACAACTCACCCTCGCGACGGCGGCCGTCTACCTACACCGGTTTTTCATGCGGTACAGTATGGTTGATCTCCCACAGAGGATGGGTATGCATCCATACCCGATTGCCGCCACGGCGCTGTTCCTATCAACCAAGGTGGAGGAGAATCCTCGAAGAATGAGGGAGTTCGTTGTCGCATGCTGTCGGGTGGCACAAAAGCAACCCAACCTGGTTGTGGATGAGCAATCTAAGGAGTTTTGGAAATGGAGAGATACCATTTTACATCATGAGGACTTGCTTCTTGAGGCTCTATGCTTCGATCTACAATTAGAACAGCCTTACCGGATCCTGTACGACTTTCTATGTTTCTTTGGCGTCAGCGAGAACAAGCCCATGCGTAATGCGTCATGGGCCTTTGTCAACGACTCCATGTATACAGTGCTTTGTCTTCAGTTTACCGCCCGCACCATTGCAGCAGCCGCGCTTTATGCCGCAGCCAGGCATTGCGATATGGGGTTTGAAGATGATGGCGCTGGCCAGCCCTGGTGGAAGCAGATCGATGTTGATTTGCCTACAGTACGCTGCGCCTGCATGCGCATGGCGGAGCTTTACGAAAATAATGCTATGCAGCGGCATAGTCAGCACTACCCGACCACGCCCATACCGTCTGAAGAAGGCGCCGAGAAGACCAGGATTCTGCGTGCCAACCCTGCAGAGTCCACACCAGAATCTACGCAGGAGCCTGAGCGGAAGCGGCCAAGGGAACCGGAAGACGTCATTAGGAATGGCTCAGACAGTAATAAGAAGCCTAGGATCCCCCAAGTGAGCGCGGAGAAACTCTTGAAGGAGACAGAAAAAGACTCTAGCGGCCAGCCTGAGAGTTCCGAAAAGATCAAGATTCCCCATTCCACCCATGGAACTGGTGGATCAGATTTGAACACACGCAAGAGATCGAGGGAACCCGAGGAAACGCGCCGTTGCGAATCCATAAAACCCCATGATCAACCAGAGGAAGCGTTGAACGGGGGACGGTCTCCTAAACGACCTCGCACTAGCAGAGAAGATGGCAGTGACAGCAAACCAGCAGGTTCTGAGACTTCACACCAACCATCGGTCTCCCACTCGCAAGGCTTGGCTCCGGATCAGACTTCAGATCGCCGTACTCCATCCCAGGATCGGGAAAGGAGAAATACGAATGGCCATGTATCGCGCAACAGCCATAGATCCCCTACTCCTTCCACAACGGCCAACCCGCGGCATCACCCACATCCTCCATCCTCTGCACGCCGTCCGTCACAACATTGGCTACCACAGAATCGTTACAGCGACCACTGGGACAAGGACAGGGATAGAGAAATAGAACGGGGTAGGGATAGGGAAAGAGATCGAAGGAGAGACCAAGACGACGTCGATCCCGTCCAGCAGCGAATCGATGAAATCGTCCAGAAAAACCTTTCCTCCCAAGAGCAACCCCCCCGCTCAAATCTGAATGACCACAATGACCGCTGGTCCGACAGACGGCCCTCGGATCGATATCATAGCCGGGACCGCGACTGGGATCGGGACCGCGATAACGATCGGTACCGTGACCGTGACCGTGGCCGTGACCTCGACCGTGATCGTGGTCATGGTCGTGGTCGCGGCCGCAGTCGTGGTTGGGATTACGATCGAGATCGGGACAGGGACAGGGACCGAGATAGGGAAAGGGTGCCACCGCCTCACCGGAACGAGCGAAGAAGATCCGCATCCTCCGATGGAGGAGGCTATCGGAACCGAAAACCAAGTCTTCCCAGTATTAATAATGACACCTATGAATATCAGCATTCCCATTACCATTACCCTCCTCCGCGTCACCAATCCCAATCCCAATCTCAATCTCAACATCAGTATCCACCATATCAACGCCAACCTCCGTATCTGCGAGAGAAGGAAACCTCCTCTCTGAGCCAGGAGCCGCCGGATCGTCGTGATCCTCCTCGCAAAGGCTCAGTGGTAGAGCCGGAAGAGGGTCATGGAAGCGAAGAAGGGGAGCTCTAAGTCTAGTCTGTCTAGTCTAAGCTTGCTTTCCTTTTGTCTTGTCTTTTTTCCTTCCTTTAATATTTTTTTTCTTTTTTTTGAACTACGCTTTATTTTACTTAGATACACTCTTGTTTCTTTCTCGTTAAAGGAGAGCTTCAGGTTGAGCTTGAACTTGGCTTTGACTTTTATCTGCATGGTGTGCATATGAATTGAGTGGATGAGACAATAACAAAAAAGACCGAAATTCACGACAGGAAGAAAAGAAACCTTTGAAACTGATCATGGAATATCCTTCTTCACAAATGCTGTAAAGGAACTAAATGTTCTCACTTTAGGATGGATGCATGCTGCATAATGTGAATGGATTACTTTACAGAGATGGAATCTCACAAAGTTAATAAATAAAAGCAAAAACAAAATAAACACATAGCGAAACGAAGAGAAGCAAGAAAATACTAATGCGAAGAAGTTATAATCCCAAGTCCATGATCAAGCAAACTGTTCGAAGCCACAAAGCTGAATCCCCCAAACGGGTCTGATTCGGCTCCTCCCCCCTTACCAGCAGACACGGAGATAGCCCCTTCAGCACCGATGCCAGACGGGCTCCCTGCATACCTCCCGCCGCCAAGATGGTCATCCATGAAGTTCGAGCTTACGACCGGGCTCAACGGCAAGTGCGTAAAGTCCATGGAAAAGTTCTCCGCGAGGGCGGGATCCGTGATAACAGGTGTGATGGGCGGACTGAGTTCGCGGCGCTCAAGAGCCTTCCAGTCGATTTTGCGGAAGAATCGGTGTTTCTTGATCGTCTGGAGGTCCTTGGGCATGTGGTATCCGAGGCGTTTGGAAGGCTCTTTGCGGAGGAGACGGGTCAGAAGATCCTTCGCATCCGGACCCAGGAAGTATGGGAGCGTGAGTTTCTGTTTGAGGATCCTTTCTTGGAGCTTGGCGTTGTTGTTCGCTTTGAATGGTGGCGATCCGGTAAGGAGATCGTAGCCTAACGCACCTAGTGACCACCAGTCGCAGGCCTTACCGTAGGGCTTGCCTTGAATGACTTCGGGGGCCATGTATTCGATTGTCCCCAGGGAAGAACTGCAGCGATCTTCGTCATCAACTGAAATTTTGCTGAGCCCGAAGTCGGTCAGAAGGAGATGGCCCTGGTCGTCTAGGAGGCAGTTCTCCGGTTTCAGGTCACGGTAGACCACGCCCACGTTCTGGTGCAGATGCTCAAGGGCCAGAACCATCTCCGCCATATAAAAGGCCGCCGCATCCTCATCGAACATGCGTTCCATGGCGAGGTGAGTGAAAAGCTCACCACCCTGCGCGTACTCCAGGATCAAGTATAGCTTCTCGTGGTCCTGAAAAGCATAAAACAGTTTAACTACGAAAGGATGACGATTGATGCTCTCCAAAATCATGCGCTCCGTCTTTGTCTGTTCGACCAGTTTCTTGTGCACTGTCAATGAGGCCTTCCGGAATTGCTTCTGCGCATACAATTTGCCCGTAACTGTGTGGCGCACCAGCAACACGGTGCCGAAAGCCCCCTTGCCGAGGCACAGCAATGGCTGGAAGTCATCCGTGGTCATTTTTCGGCGAAGCTGACTGCGCAGTTCTTCTTTTCCGCCAGATGAAATCTCCTGTCGATTCTCGTCGGCAGCTGCGTCCGGGCTGACGAAATCATTCTCCAGAGGTACCTCGTAACTGGTCAATACCTCTGTTTGGTCACTGTCCGAGCAGACACTGGCGTTGCTTGGAGTTCCAGAGCCCGGCCGCCGATTACCAGACAAGTTCAAGGCATCAAGCTGATGTGTCAAGGCACTGAGGCCAGGAGAAGAAGAGACTGGACGTACTGATGGGCTGTTCCCACCTGCTGCAATAGGAGCGAGCTGCGGGCTCCGTGCTTTAGAGCTAGTAGTCGAGAAATCCGACTCCTCATCTCCGGAAGCCATAGGCGTGAAGAAGCCACGAACCGTCGAAAGCGCAGGAGCAGCTTTAGTGGCCTGTTCCTTCTTCTTATTGTTCTTCTTCTTGCCACGCCGCGCTTTCTCTGTCAGCACATTGGCGTCCATCGCTAGTCCGTGTGGATCAGGTTCCCCATCCTGCCCGCCAAAAGGACTGCGATTATCCATCCTAAAGCCAGCAACCTGCTCCTCACGGATGCCTGAAGCTTTGAAAGACCGGGATAAATCAGCCTGGGGACTAAACACGTCCCCAACCGACAGGTCGTCATTGACGGGAACCGACCTGGAATCCATATCGCTTCAATGAAAGATAACAGAAGATACCGAACTATTCAACAACAGCTGCTCCACAATTCACAGCAGGCGAATGAAACCGGCAAGTTCGCGAATGTCAACCAAGGCATAGACAGAAAAACAAGCACCCGCCAAGCCCATCCAGTTACTGAGTAGTGACGAAAAGAAAACCAATCCCGACCACACTCGTGTTAAGGATAATTCTGAAAATTCAAGAGGCAAGAGACACAAGCTTCCTCTGAAAGTCGTCAAATAAACAATAACCGTTTTACCGTCCGCCCTTCTTCAGGACGGACGATGTACCCCTACCCAGACCACTTCGCTGAGAAATTGGTTCCCCGACACAGTGGAGGGGAAAGAGCCGGTCCTAGTCAACACTGGCAGATCCGAAGGGATACCGAGATTGAAGTTGGTCTCCAATGAGACGGGGCTCGAGATCGATCCAGCAAGGCAGCTACCGAAGAACACAGAAACGGACGACAGGGACGACTCAGACAAAGACTGACACATAGAGGAACAGAAAGGTTTTAATGTGTTGGATGTATATTCTAGTAAAATAGACGGTTGTAGGAGGAAATACAAAGGCTCCAGCCTAAGATAAAGGTAGTCTTAACAAAGAACTCGAGGTCAGAAGAAGAGAAATCGAGCTTGAACTTGGCAGCGGGCAGCCAATCGCAGGTAAGGTGACATAATCATAGTCACGTGTTGACATCACGGGACGGCAGATGTCCGTATTTGTTTCCTTGAATACGCTCCATATAATAGTTATGCTGCAGATATACAATTGCTTTATTCTCACGCAGAAAAGAACTCTTGGGTCCGGGTGATTTCCACGCCAGATGTCTCTACAAATGCCAACGCGCTGGGTTTCTCCACAGTGACCGTGACTCTCTCGTTGGCAAACTCCACAGTCACGATTCGTGCGACGAAGGTAGCCAGTGCCTCTACTGTCTGGAAAGTAGTTTCTTCGACTCTCTGGCAACGGCATGGTCAGTAAACAGAGGAAGAAGTGAACTAGGCGAGAGAGATAGCCTTACCTCAGCCACTGTTCTAGTCATCTCTTGATACGTATCAACGACAGTAGTTCCCCATGCCAATTGTCCCGGGCCCTTGAATTCCAACGTGATCATCACAGCCTGCTTCTCCAGTCTCTCATGAGAGTTCACTCCCAATATACAGTAGCATCGGATATCTTCAATACGAAACTCCTCTTCCAGCACCACAGAACGCCTGTCAGCATCTATAGCAGCCACAGTGGTTTCTGTTCCCGTCTCATCCGGCTGTTTGTAACCCCACAAAGTGACGCTGCGATACCTGAGGCCACCTTCAGCACGTAGCAATGCCTTGGGCAAATGGATCCAGATTTCACATTGCCCGTAGTCTCCAGAAATAGGGAATGCGGCCGCCGCGGAACTTGATCGTCGTCGCTGCTGCTGCTGCTGCTGCTCTTCATCCAGGGATCTAACCGGTAGAGCAGCGGAATTAATACTGTTCCTCGGGCTCTGATGAACATGAGACATCCTCCTAATACCCGCAGCCGTCTCATCGAGTAGGCCCAGTCCGCAGTTCGCGACAACGCCTCCGATGACCCTCACGTCCTGGCCCAGAGCATTGATAGCCTTCTCATCCTTCAGATTCCCATCCACAAAAACGGTCGGCTGGCCCAGGCCTTCCTGTTGGCCCATCTGCCGGATATCTTCCGCCAAGCGGCGGTAGAGCTTCCCGTAGTCGAGGGAGAGAGAAACGTCATCGGCTGCAGCGGCGGCGACGGCGGACGAATACGACAACTTGAGGGATGCAGTGCATGGTTGCGGTTTTCCTTGTCGATGCCACGGGTCTGGGGCTGCAGGGAGGGAGAGTTGGATATCGCGAAGTCTGACGCTGTCTAGGAGCGTTGGGCGAGGGGGGATGTGTACGTCGATTCGGTCCTCCGCCATGGTGATTTCGGGATCGCAAGAAGAGGGAGGGGCAGATAGGCGCAGAGGCGTTCGAAAAACAGCCTGATTCGGTACTGACTGCCAGGGGAACTAAGAAGTTAGACACGTAAATCTACAGTTGATGGGATCCAGCGTGTTCTCTCACAACTCTCGGGGAATTCGCCAACCTCTCGACCCTGGCTACGGGTGCGATGCAGTTCTGACGTAAATGGTAGAACCAGAATAGAGAGGTCAGGCTGATTGTTATTGTCCCTTCAGCAGGTGGTACTCCCACTGGCCTCAAACAGAGCCAGTTGCTGTTTCTTCTATTGTCATCATCATCATCGACCCGCGGATTGCGGTGGGCTTTTTAGGCTCTGGAGCAGTCATCGTGGTGCGGTGGGGGTTAACATTGTATCTGCTCGGGACGTCATCATGTCAACTGCTGCAAGAAATGAAGGGATGCATGAACTCGCATGAACTACTACAATTTATATAGTGCCAAGTACTGTTTGAATTCCATTGCAAGCTACGTGGCAGGTTGCTCGCGATACACACATCTCATCCACCAAGTCGCCATACACTGCTGCAGATTTCCACGCTATAATCCAGCGCCCTCATGTCACATCTTGGATTTCATAAATATTATTACTACGAGCATTTTCGAAACTGTACATGGATCGACGTCTACTGGGCAGACACAAAACAACAAGGTTGCGTTAGTCGAGCGAGGTCCACCAAGCACCCTGTAGATCGAAAGCTGCCAGGCGATAGACCTAGATAGACCTACGCTGTAGAATCCGGAGGTCCAGAGTAAGCCGAGCTGTCGGTCGCGGTTCATTAGCAGTTAGGCGGAACTCATACGGTCTCTGTATCTGAACTGCCTTCACCATTAATACCCGGAGAAGTCTCCTCCGCTGGAATTTTTACCATGGGTCCTTAACATGTCCGAGACCAGGTCAAAGCATGAGAAAGTCGTACGGCGGCGTTTCAAATGTCCCGATTTGTACATCCAGCCCAGAATAAGCTCCAGCATACGCGTCATCTCGGTTCTTAACTGAAGAATGCAGTAAACACATGCAAAACACAATGGGTATTTCACTACGCACGCCCAGTCATCAAGAGGTTATGAAAACCGCATTTACCAGTAACCACGGCGATCGTAACCAATAAAGTCCCCCCTAGGCGGTGTTCGGGGACGACCATAGGGCCTGTCAGCTAAGTATGGATCATCGTAACGGCGAGGCGGGGGGAATCGAGGTTCGTAGGGGTCATCATAGGGACGACGTGGAGGTGGGTAATCATCGATCCGAGGACGAGGAGGAGTTCGACGCCCATAACCATCACGGTCATAGTAGTCCCGGTGGAGAGGAATTGGAGAACGTTCACGGTAGTGCATGCGGGGACTATAGCCCCGAGGAGGTGGCCCTCTCTTGTCGTAATCATCCACTGGAAAGTACCCTCGGCGGGGCGACCGGGACCGGTACATGTCACGGTAGGGTCTCTCATCGTACGGTTGTTCCTGGCATCGTCAGGCCCTGTCCTTGTGACTGGCAAGATGTACAAGGCTCTTACATCGGCAACGCAAAGCACACTGGATCCTTTGAAGGTCCGTCCATTGAGCTTGGAGATGGCTGTGTTTAGGTCCTTGGCCGATTCAAATTCGACAAAGCTTCCTTGGAGTTAACAGAGTCCATGGGTTTGTAGTCATAGGTTCGGTTGACCCACCCTCTGCCAGGTTCTCGACCTGTCTCAGAATAAACTACATCAAGGCCAGATTCTCGGGCAAAGTCTTTGAGATCCTAGATAAGGCATATTGTGAGTTCATCTTCGGGCGAAGCATTCTGAAGCTGACAAACAGCTGCAGCCAAGAGAAGAAAAGAGATAATATATATAAAAAAAAGATAAACAAGGTGAAGGGAAACGAAACCAAAACGTCAAAGGTCAGGAAATGAAGATTGGTGTGGGTTCCAGAAGATCCTTTCTCGTTTGAATAAGGCCAGCGGGTTATCCTTGGAACAACTCCCGAGAAGAGCGAAAATCACGCAGATTATATTGGAGACAATTCAGGACTTGCAGTCCCGAAGTCTTTTCGCGTGATGAAAGACTACTCAAGAGCTTAAACCATGGTAGTTGATGAATCCTCGGAAACGAACGAGAACAAGAGAAGCTGAGTGACGGATGGTACCACAGGGCAAGGATAAATCAAACGCTGTTGAAGCTCCAGAATGAAAGGGAGGTCCCGGGGGTTCCATGTGGATTTGGGTTGCTAACCTGCCAACTGGTTTCTGGAAGGCCAGAAATTTGCATACGATATATTGTGCGACGCGAACGGGGTGGAAGAGACCGGTCCGGAGGGGAAGCGTAACTCTCCTTGCGTCGAGGTCCACGAGCAAACTGCACAGTAAGACGATTACCTTTGAAATCACTGCCGTCTATTGCAGGAGAAACGGTCAAACAAAAGCATCACTAAGTGGAGTTAAGTTGATACGTACGAAAGGCTGCACGAGAAGAACGGATCAGCGACGGTAAGAGAAGTGAGAATTCAAGGGGAAAATGGGCATACCCGGAACGACGTCCTTAGCATCCATCTCATCTTCATATTCGATAAATCCGAAACCGGTTTTCAACTTGATTTCTCTAATCTTTCCGGATCCATGGGTACTGAAATGATCCTCGATATCCTGCTTGGTAACTGGAAAAGACATCGGCGCCCAGTAGGGCGCGCTGCAACGTCAGTTCTTCATGACCATATCAATAATCCAGCAGATCCAGAGACATCCAGGTTCGATTCGTTTTCTGGGGGTGATTGATTGTGCTTTAGGAAAATCCTCTTCCCCAAACTCTCCAAGAGTAGATGGGAAAATGCAAGCCAATTTGCTATCCATGAAAGGATTATGATGAAAATGAAGAGTACAATCCCAAGGACATGGACTAATTCCCGTTCTCGAGAGGCGCGATGGTGGATGGCAGGGAGGAATCCAAAGTGAAGAGGGAAAGAAAAGAGCAGAAGTATGGTAGATACAACTGCACGAAGAAGGGAACTGTGAGAGCCTGCGTACCATTTCGGGGGAGGTTCCCAAGGTAGAGTCGGGTCGAAGAAACCTCAGTCATGGCTGAAAGGAAGCAAATGAGGTTGTTTATCTATTTCACGAAAAAGAAAAGAAAATCCAGGTACAGGATGAAATTAACCAGATGGATCAGACTGTAGCTCTTTCGATACCAGAAACGATGGAATGTGGCCAGAGGGGATCCGAATTGGACTGAGAGCTGGAGTGTAGAAGCAGATGGCTGATATCCTCAGGAGAAACTGGATACGGATAATTCCCGGTGTGGTTCTCACCACCTCTTCGCACAGAGAATGGGTATCCAAAGGGTCGACGAACTCAAGGAAACTCCAGATGCGAGGTTGAAGGATAACCGCAAGGCCTGAATAAAAGGAGTGGGAGGTCGCAGAAATGACAGGTGAAGCAGAAGCAGAAACAGAGAAAGAGGAGAGGAACGGCAGGCAGACAAAACAATCGAGGGGCCGCCTCGCCTCACTTTGAAAGCGCCGATCCACGTGGCCCCGGCGCATTTCTGCCAGCGACCGTTGGACAGCCTCACCTTGACTGTCGATGCCCCCGAATCATGCGAAGATTTCAACTGTCAGTCTGTCAGAATGCTGCAGGGTGCATGAATCCTTCCATCACGCGTCCTTCTGCAGGCCAGTCGACTGTCACCAAGTCGGAATGACAGGGATGTCGTGTCATCGCCAAAGCCATGCCGTTCCCATGGTTCCATGCCCGTCCCCATGGGGATAAGCAGTACGCGATGCTACTTATTACAACGTCCTACCATGGAGTAGTAATACAGCTTAAATGCGGTTATGTTCCCTTTCCATCTGGCTTTCGCTAGCCATGTTATTGCATGGTACACCCATGACCCAGTTTCACTTCTGTGGCATCCCTCTGCCGGCAGGGTGATACAAGTCTGGAACTCCATAACATGTTTTGAATGTGACCTTGGCCTAGCCATTGCAATCCAAGCCCATTTTTAACTATATCCGTCCGTTACACAGATCTATGGCTCTCATGGCATCATGCTATCAGCAAAACAAGCATAAATACTAACATTAAGCTCTTCAACGTGTTTACGCGGCCACTTGCCGGTATTCTTGAGGACAACTGCAAAAAGTATTGAACTTCTAGATGCTGAAAGCGCATTCATTGGACATCCATGAATAGGGTCTACAATAGCCGGTTGTCAGAAGCAGAATTAGTGGTGTTAATCCATAGAGCACTCCAAGCTTAGGTAGATGTTTATCAAGAATCAAGTCACCCTATGCTGTCTTTGAAGAGTACAAGTTCTCTTCAGGTAATATATATCTTTGGTGCTCTTTTCTCGTTGGTAAGAAGAATATTCTCCTGGGGCGCTTAGTACCGTGCCATTAGCGATCCTGCACGGCATTGGGATACTTGGATGTGGATGTAGTATATCTATGTCTTCGGGTACCTTGTTCTGCATGCCCCATGTATACTACATAAAGGTGCATGCAACTAAGCGCTCGCTGGAGTACTGTACTCTGTGGCCGTGAGTTGTCAAGGTGCCATCAATGCAATGTCCATTGTTGACAGGAATGTTGGGAGTCTCTAAGCGCCTATGTTTGAGCAAACTGCAGATACGTTCTATGGTAGAGAGAGCATCTTCCGTCTCGTATCTGATTTTAGAAGAAACAGAAGCAATGCGGGGTGCCTAAGCACCGCATATCGTGTAGACAGGATCCAATTAAAGTAATAACGCAGCATAGAGTATATATCAAAATCTCTTCGTATCCTAGTAGGAGTTGATTTCAACGTCATATCGCAACGGGTGATAAACCGCAGTCAGTTATAGGCAGAGAAGGACGACTGTGAACATCGATTCCAAGGATGATGTATATCTTGCCTTAATACCTGTCCTACGGGGGCGATGGCGATTGGCAAAGTCTACTCTCCACACGCGGTATGCAGCGCGCTGTATTTTGACGGCAGGGTTTGGATGTAATGTTCTCCTGGGGGCTGCTCATTTGATTAGAACCTCTGCTGCAAGTGACAGGAGACAAAAGAACCTGGTATCATGCAGGATTCACATGTTACGTGTTATATCTGCTGATGGGATGCTCCAGGAAGAGCGCAGCTGAAATTAAAAGATTTTCATTAAAAGTCTCTGGTAGGGGCTAAAAGCAGCAAGTGGATGGCGCGTCGCGAGCAGAGCAGCAGCACGTGATTGGACAGCGCGCAGAATGCGCAGCAGATCAATCACAGGACAGAAGCGGACTGGGCAGCAGTGAAGGCTGCGTCCATGGCGCTAAACTGCCACTAACTGGCACTAATCACACGCTAGTGAGAGGCCCATCCTCGATCTGGCAGGCACTAACGCCGATTGGCGATAGGTGGTGGGGTGACAGCGTTTCTCCGCCAATCGCATGGAGAGGAATAGTCCTCGCCGGAGGAGCCACAGAGGGCCAATGAGAAAGCGCGCAGGCAGCGTCGCCAACCAAGAAAACAGGGCTGCGTTTGCCGCCACCGCTGGGTCCAGCCACCCCCCTGATAGCAGCGGTTCCGGCCAAGCAGTTTGTCTCCGACTATTTAAAGGCCCAACCTCCCGCTCCCATTTGGACTTTGTTTTTCTGGTCTTGGCATCGCTCCCGGAACGCCGGTTTCTCCGTGTCGCCGTCTTTCCTCCCCGCCCTCTTCCCTCCATCCCTCTCTCACTCACGCTCTTCCCCGCCCCTTTCCCTTTCGGGGTTGACTGCTGCTAGTGCCATCTTCTGCAGAGAGTCGCTGCTTCAGCCCTCTGTCTCCATCTCCTACGCTCATCGCTCTTAGAGCTCTTCTGGGCACCAAGACACCATCCTACTCTCTTCCATCCTCACACACCCTCATCACACAACTCTTCTACCGTTGGTGGACTTTGCTGTGCTAAACCCCCTGGGAGTTTGCAACGTTTGCAGCTTCGCCACTCTTTATCCTCAATTCTACAGCAGATAGAAATCAAAAAAAAAACAAACCAGAAAAGAAAAAAGAAAAAAAATCTTCGTTGAGAGAATCTTGTTTCCTCACCATCCATTCCCTCCCCACGTCTTCTGTTATTCCTCGTGAATAGTTCAAAGTCGAGGAGCATTCCCCCGGAAACACTTCACTGTGTCCTTCCCGGCTTCTTGAGTATTTCCTGCTCCACCTTTCCTGGCTTCGGCTTCACCGTCATCTCTGGCTCTTCTCGAAATATCTCAACCCCGAAATTTCGAACAACCTCTTCTGGGATTCTATCTCGCCAGACAGGCAGCTAGTGTAGGGGAGACATTGAGTTGTTCATCTCCCGCAGAGGTATGTTTGATTTACATTTACCCTCTGGCTCCCTGTCCATCTCTGACAAACACTCGTCAGTCTGCCGTACCACATCTCCATCTTAATTGTCACTTTTCAGCATCGGCTGGCTTTCGGCTTCGAGTATGGCCGCGCACGTTACAATGGATTCGCTCACTACCCATCCGACCAACGCGCAGCAGGCGAGAGCCTTCACATCCCCAGCCTCTCTGTCCTTCCCTGGTGTTGCTGCCGATTTGACTCCTCCATCCTCGGAGAAAGGAGCCAATACAGCCGTCTATGGTCAGAGTGGGAATGGATCTGTGAATGGTCAGCCGCAAGGAGGAAATGCCGTCACAGGCAATGGGGTGATGCCCGCTACTCCGGCTGCGACCCCTGGCGCGAGCACTCCGGGGAGCGGCATTGTGCCTACGTTGCAGTGAGTATACTCGTTGCTGTTAATCCAGTTTACCAGTAAACTGAACAAATTGTTTTTCTCAAGAAACATTGTCGCAACTGTCAACCTTGACTGTCGCTTGGATTTGAAAACCATTGCCCTACACGCGAGGAATGCTGAATACAATCCAAAGGTACATTCCTCTCTAGTCCTCGCGCTTGAGTTCCAAACTTGAGACGGGAACAGTGTGGCTGAACTTTTCTTTTACCTTATCTTAGCGTTTCGCTGCCGTCATCATGCGTATTAGAGAACCAAAGACTACTGCCCTGATCTTCGCATCAGGCAAGATGGTCGTCACCGGTGCCAAATCGGAAGATGACTCCAAACTGGCGTCAAGGAAGTACGCTCGGATTATCCAGAAGCTTGGTTTCAATGCCAAGTTTACGGATTTCAAAATCCAGAACATCGTCGGCTCTTGTGACATCAAGTTCCCTATCCGCTTGGAGGGTCTTGCCAGTCGTCACCATAACTTCAGTTCTTACGAACCGGAGTTATTCCCCGGTCTTATCTATCGTATGATGAAACCCAAGATCGTTCTGTTGATCTTCGTCAGCGGAAAGATTGTCTTGACGGGTGCCAAAGTCCGTGAGGAAATATACCAGGCATTCGAATTGATTTACCCTGTACTTTCTGGTATGTTCTATCTGGACCGCATGGGTTGTAACTTACTAACAGGTCTGAAGATTTCCGCAAGGTCTAAAAATGCTTAGATTCTATGGTCTACGGGCTTTGAATCGGCTCAGTTTCACGCTATTGGGGACAGTGTTTACGCCCTCTGCGCTTCCACCACGTGTATTAACAGTTTCCTTTTGGCGATGTTCCGATAATGGGCTCTACACAACAAGTCTCACTGCTTTTCAGAGTCTATTGTCTTGAGACCCTGGATGCGCCTTCACGATTTCGTTTTCCCTACTAGCATTTTCACGGCGTTATAGCGATTTGGAACTTCTTCGGTTGTCCCTTTTCAGAGTTCATGTTTACAATTAGATAGTCGCACACACCGCATACGCGGGAGGCGGTACTGTGCGCTGGTCGAATGGCTGCCTCCTTTAATTATTTTTACGCTTCCTGTTTCGCTATCGGCATGGTGCGTTGCAGGTTAACGGAGAGCTCTCCATGTTATTGTCGCTGGAGCTTCTCGAATCCAACGCTAGCCTCGTTACCGCCATTTGGTGAGGACAAACCCGAAGCGAAAGAACCAAAAAAAAATTTTTTTTATCTCTTTTATGCGGTGTGCTTTTAGATTATGTCGTCGCCTCGTCTATCAGGAAGTGATAAGGGCTGGGAGATTGGACTGGACTTGTTTTATGATGAGCCAGGGCCATATAGGGTTTGCTCGGTGGGAATCGTAGTATTTGATTTCCTTTTTAGCTGTTACGGGCCTAAACGGCGCAATCATAAAAAAAATGGAATAAAATGCAGTACTTGGTATTGACAATTCTGAAATGGTGAAAACTCACAAGACACTGCTTCTGCTGGCCTTCTTCCCTTTGGCCAACTCGTCTAACAAGCGCAATCCTTTAACACCAGACCGACTCCCGTCCTCCGTTGCCAGGAAGTTCGGATCCACCTTTGACTCAGGCCAAGCCCACATCTTTTTCAGCTCGGGGTCGAGCTTCCCCTCCAGCGCATCGACGACTTTATCTCCGATTACGGGGAAGAACTTGAAGGCATGACCGCTGCCGCCCGTTGCGAGGAAGAGGTTCGGGTGATTTGGGTGGTAGGTTACTATGAAGTCGCCTTTTGGTCTATGTAGATAATTAGCATTAGCTTCATTGCCTTTTTATTTTCATTGTCAGATCCGAAGGAGAACAACTTACGTATCTGTATACCAACAAACCCTAGTCTCAACAAACGGCCTATCAGCGAAAGAAGGCAGCAATTCCTTCAAGGCAACTCGCATAGCCTCTTCACCCTCAGGTGGAATGGGTACCCCCGTCTCCGGGAGACTGACTTCCATCGTCGTTCCCTGTTGACTAGTAGGTCCCGGAACCGGCACGGTCTTGGGATTATGATAACCGTAAGCATGACGGGCGATTTTGAGTAGATTGTTCCGCGGCGGGATGATGAAGATGCCTGTCGCAAAATTGAGGATGGTAGGCATGTTCGCTAGACGATTCTGTTCCTCGTCCGAGATGCGGATGAAGGCAATTGCTTGGCCTGTTGAGACGGCTAGACCGCGCAGGTCGACGAGTTTCGGTGTCCAGGCGCCTGTAGCGAGGATGATCAGGTCGGCCGTGAGGGTTGTACCGTCTTTCAAGAGGACGCCGGTTGCTTTGGGCGACGACAACTGCTCGAACAGAATCTGTTCCACCTCACCGGTTTTGAAAACCACCTTGCCTTCCTCGTCGAGGCGTTTCTTTGCGTATCGCACGGATGCTTCTGCATTGGACCAGCCAGATGCCCAGTTCACGTAGCCGCCATCTACGCGGAGATCCTTGTCGAATGCGGGTGCAACGCGATGCACATCCGCCTTGGTGGGTAGGTACTCGACCTTATCGCCCAGTTTCTTGACGTTCTCGTAGCTCTTTCTTGCGTAATTTCTCGCGTTACTGTTGCCCTCGGGGAAAACGAGGAGGAGCCCATTCTGCGTGTACCGGCCATCACGGCCCCAGTCGGTGTTTCGCCAGCGATTAATGGCCGCAATGGCTAGTTTCGCGTAGGCTGCGTCGGCGTAATCGGCACGGACGATACGAGAGGCATCGACGGATGAGCCGTGCGGGTTGGGAATGGTGGGAGAGGCCTCCAGGAGGGTGATTTTTGAGCTGGGATGGCGGGAGGAGAGCGAGAGAGCGGTGGATACTGTGAGAAGTGTACATGTTAATCAAGCACTCCTTAGACGAGGGTGTTTCTATACGATAGTTTCCTTCACTAACGTCCGAAAACGCCTCCTCCCACGATGAGGATGTTCTGGGGAAGTGCCATTGTGCTGGATGACGAGCTATCCAGAGTCACAGAGTCTTGCAAGAACTTACAGGGTTGAATGGTGAATTGAGGGGGAATCACTCCATAAATAATCATCATGGCTTTATCTCCGACAACGGCCTTCGGCTTCGCATCCGATCTGTTCAACTTGCGGGCCGCATTCTGTTCCGACTTTCTATTTTTGAAGAGACCAAAACCAGGCGCACGGAGACAAGAAGAGCCTGTTCTTCGGTGCGTCATTGTCTATATGCTGGTCAATGTTAATGTGTTTAATGTGCCATGAGTTGATGTTTGCCATCTGACCATAGCTTCTCTCTGCTTTTTCGTGCCGCGGTTTCTCATGCGCGTTGAACCGCTACATCGACACCACGCGGAGTGAACGGCCTGGCGTTTGGTGAAGAATTCCTTTCTTGCCATCGCAATGTCTGCGTCAAGAGTCGGACGAGCATCCCTGGCAAAGGCCAAAGTGCCTGTTCCGAGGGCAGGGAGTAGGATCCCCGCGAAGAAACCAGGGTCAGTAGCAATTACCCAGCTGCTGCAGGTGTCCATCTGGGTCCCAGACTGACAATCATTTCAAGCTCGCAATCGCAACCGGCCCTTTTAAAACGCACAAATCCGCATCTTGTAAACCTCAAAACCGAACCCCCAGCCTCGACTTCCGCCTCATCCAGAGTATCACCCAAGTCGCTCGCCTTTTTCGGCGTTGGTGTTCTCCTCGTCGGCATCTACAGCGGTTCCCTCTACGCGACATACAAGCAAGAAGTGAAGGAGGCGCGAACCCTCCAGGTCCCCGACGACGTGTCAGACCGGTACAATGACACGGCAACTGTCTACGACTCGGAGGTGGACATGTCGGAAAGACTCATGCGCATGGGCAAGAGACGGAAGGAGCTCATAAAGCTAGCGCACGGAGACGTCCTCGAGATCAGCTGCGGCACAGGGCGCAACATGGAATACTACGAATTCGGACAGCGAAGAGGCATAGACGAGAAGGGCCGGGCCAAGATCTACGGATGTCGCACGGTGACGTTCATCGATCTCAGCCCACAGATGGTAGACATCGCGCGGCAGAAATTCGAACAGTTATATCCTAATTACGAGAAGAATGGCCGTTCCCTCGCGGCGGCTGTTTTGTTTAGGGTAGAGGACGCGAAGGACGTACAGCCCGTTGGTCTCTCTTCCGAGAAGAATGGGACAGCACCTATACCTCCTTCCAGGCCGTACTTTGATACGATCGTGCAGACGATGGGGATCTGCTCCATGCCTGACCCCATTGCTACGCTGCGCCACCTGGGTACCATTACGGAGCCGCAGAATGGGCGCATTTTACTTCTGGAACACGGACGGTCGTATTACGACTGGCTGAACCGGATCCTGGATAACCTGGCGCCCGCACATGCGGACAAGCATGGATGCTGGTGGAATCGGGATATCGGGGAGATTGTGCGACAGAGCGGGTTGGAAGTGGTCGAGGAGAAGCGGTGGCATTTGGGGACTACATGGCGGTACGTTTTGAGGGTGAAGGGGGAGGCTGAGGGGAAATAGGGGATTCTGCGGCATGGGTATGGAGTATGGTTTACTTGTATGTGTGTATATATATGTTAATCGAAGGCATCATGTAAAATATATTTTCTTCCTAAGGGGTTCCTTTGTTGTTATCCGAATCCGTGTGTGATGTATGCCTTCTGGAAGGAATGTATGTTTCCAACGCCTCACTCTTGGAGCATCTCGCGGTGGCTGGTACTTGTCCAGCCAAGTAGGTAGGCAAAGAGAGAGACAGCCTGCAAAAACAATGCTGAAGTGATGGAGTTACGGTGCACGAAGCGTGTATACTGGTAGCATGTCCAGCATAGTAGGGATGTGCCATGCTGTAGTGTTGTGGCTGGAACGTCTGATGCTGGATATCTAATCTGATCGATTCCATCATCAGACGAGTCCGGAATGGCAGTGGCTGGCAGGGAGAGTAGAGTAGATGAATAGCCGACTGAATCGGATATCTACATTCTACTCTAAAGCGGAAGCGCGAATAGATCTATTGTCGATGGATACCTCATCCATCCATCCATTGTGGCTGCGATGCAAGGGACGTGGCTGGAGATGAGATGTTTGCTCTGTCCAGCATGTCATGGATGTATACAGCTGCACAGCAGCGTACATACTGCTACAGAATACAAGGATAGATGACGTTTGTTTGTTGATGTTTCACGTAGCGGTGTACCATACCGCATTCTCCAACTCCATACACACGCAAACCGCATACGCATACAAACTGCATAGACTTTGCCGATCCGCAGAGGATCTCGATGGTATCCACCGTACCATACGCCTAGGCAATATCTACCTGTACCGCCCACAGTACCGCGTAATTCTGCAGGATTGGCATCGGGCCAACCGGAAGGCGTAGGCTGGAAACAGCGCGCTGTGAGTGGCGGTGATATATTACCGCTACCGTACGGCGCTAGTACACTAGGGCGGTGATCATGCAGGATGACCTCGTTTGCTCTCTTTGTTTTTTTTGCCTTTTTTTTGTTTTTTTTTGCTTTTTCTGCCTTCTTTGCCTTTCTTTCTTTCTTTCTCCCCTTGTCGAGAGCTCACATCAGATGCATCACAATCCTTGCATCGCCAGCTTTTTCAACGGCAAATGCAAACGGCGACATCTACTACGCGTACAGTATTATAGAGTAATCCTGGAAGCCCATAACTTAATAAGAGGATCTTCTTGCCACAGATAACCGTCTCCTGGCCAATCAGCCGCAGTGTCTTGTCAGAGAATTCGCGGGATTCCTGGACACAGGAAAGTTTTCAGTTTCAGTGCTTCAACCCGGTCGACCCCGTCAGCCCCATTTATTATATATTATTATTATTATTATTTTTATGAAATATTATTTTATTGTTATTGTTTCTCTCCTCTTCTGTTGCCCTCCCCGTCCCGACGTCTCCTATCCCTGTGCTTTTCCCCGTTTCTTGGTTTATTATTGTTGTTATTACTATAGTTATTCTTAATTATTATTTTATTCTTCTTACTCTTCATCCCTTTTGTTTTCCTCCCTCTCTCGTCTCCAGTCCATCATGCCGTACAACACCCGTCGCAAGTCGTTGTCCCTGCCGTCGCTGGGAATCCACCTCCCCAGCTCTTCCCGCCGGTCGCCCTCCATCTCCAAGTCCGCGCACCAGGCAGACGACGCCCAGCTTCCCCCCTCTAAGAGAGTCAAGACGGCGCACGCTTCCTCGCTGTCGCCGGAGCCTCCGTCTTCCGGCATCAGATACCCCTGGAAGCCTGTCCGGCCCGGTGCCCGGTCGAATCTCTACGAACACACGCCGCCACCCTCTCCCACCGACGCTCGCGTCGCACACAAGATCGACACCGAAGGGATCAACGATGACGTGGTTGTTGCCGTCATCGAGCAACTGGAGAAGACGGGGAACCGCCCTCATCTCGTCAAGGAACTGGCCGCCATCCTCATCACCTTCAACGAGAGTGTCGCCAAGTACGTGCTCCTTCTACCTTCCCTACGCGCGGTTTGCCGCCGTACTAACTTTCCCTCTCAACTACAGTTCCGCAAATCCAGCCGCCTTCCTCGCCTCGCGACTCACCACCTATCTGAGGCGTCCCTGGACCGCTCTGGCTCCTTGTCCGTTGGCCAAGGAACTGGTCCCTGTCCATCCGCGCAAGGTCTACTACTACCTGACTACAACCCCGCGCCAGCCCATCCCGGATGCCTCGGAGGATACGCTTATCCCCCCTGCAGTCGTTACGCCGAGCGCGTCGAGTGTGGACCAGGATGATGCCGACGCCTTGGCTCGGGAGCGCAGCCCCAGCCCCGAGGTAGACCTTTCGTCTCCCGATTTCGATGATGACAGCGCTAGTCAGGGAACCGCGTCGAAACACGCTCCCAGCTTCTCGGTCGATCATCGACATCATTCCCGTCTAATACGCTCTCACCAGCGCGCCAACTCCCCACCGCTCGAGCGTGACGAAAGGGAATTCACGCTGACCGCGAGTGCCGTTCGCGAACGCGCCTCGGAGGCCAAGTCAGTCCGACCAGAAGAACCGGAGAATGGCGGAAACACCATCTCCGACACTGCGATGGACGGAATTTCCTCTGGATCGATGGACGAGGATCCGCTTTCTTCCGCTAGCGGTGACCGTATAGTCGATGGCCAGTACGGCGACTACTTTGCGCACATGGATTCCCGGGGTGAGGATCAGGACCTGGATGAGGCTGCGGCGGTTGCGCTGTTTGGCACGTCACCGTCGCCATCGCTGTCTTCCACTGCGTCGTCAGCCTCGTCCAGTCCTAGCATGGCCCCGGACGCCGAGGACATTGCCACCCCTGTGGAGAACGGTCCCTCCAAGGGTGTCTCCACTGTCGCACGACCCATTGCTGTCCCTGGTATGGATGTGGACATGAAAATGTCCCACCCAAAATGGGGTGGCAAGCTTTCCTTCGCCTCCCGAGACATGGACCTCGACTTGGACATGATGACTGAATCCTGGATAGAGCTGCAAAGCCCGGAAACCGTAGAGGTTGACGAGCTGGACGCGATGTTCGGGGAAATCTGAGCATTTCCCACTGGCCAATCATGCTTCATGCTGATCCACCCTTTTTTTGTTTTTCTTGGAACCCCTTTTATTTTTTTGTTAATTTTCATTGGCTGGGGTATCTTGGTCCGGGTTTTTATTTATCCGGTATCCACAGCGGAGTCACGGGTTTGTTTTAGAGGAATTTTTCTTTCTGTTCGGCGTTCACGTGCCATCTGGCTTTCACCGCTCTCCTCTCCACGGCAACTTCTGTTCTCTTTCTCTTTTTTTTTTTTTTTTTTTTTTTGTATATTCTTGCCAAGCCCTCTTTATCCACCCACTGTACATGTCTTTTAATGCCTCCTTGATATGTTCTGCTGACTGATGCGCTCGATGTCCTTTTCTTCTCTGTGTATATATATATCCTCTTTTCTTTCTTAGCTGATGTACTATATACCTCTTCTTCGGTTGGTTATTATCGCTTTTGTTCGTTCTTTTTTAAAGAAAAAAAGTTTGAAAATCAGTATTAATGCAATTGTTCCGGAGTGCAAATGCGGAGGCTGTTGCTCTTGGTTATGTTAATTATGCTTTGATGCGAGTTATGGCTTTTAAGACTACAGAATGAAACGTTCAATGCAATTGATATACACTAGACATATGTAAAAAGGATATCTATAAAATAACATGTAATATACAGTAATAGAATGCAACAAGGACAAAGAAATATATAATATATATATATCTCTCTCAAAAATGCCAAGGGAGGAAACTCCCCACCCTTTACTATCTCTCAAGATATCCCCGCAATTCCCAATTGATATCATCATCAGGAAGTCCAAGATGGCGGAACCTCTCCACACAAAAGTCCAGCACGGCCTCCGCGTCAACTTTCTTCTTCAGACCAGCATTATACTCCCTCAAAGCAGCCTGCGCTATAATCCTCACTGTATCCAGATTCGGAATGATAGCTTTCTGCCGTGTATGCTGGAACCAGGCCGTGTCGAAATGCGGATCCCCGCGTTCTCGATCCCGTTCACGCTGGAAATACAGGCGCGGGATCCCGCCTTCTCGGAGCCGTTGATCGGATGGGAATGGCGGGTCCACGCACCACTGTTCCCAGAGGTTCTTGCCGGCTGTGCTGCCGTGCGTGTGGACCAGGGCTGTGAGGAAAGGGTGGAATGCCGCTGTTGGGATGATAGGGACTTGGTGCGGCGAGATCGAGGCACGGGTGAGGCATAGGGTTGCCTTTTGGGCGAGTTCGCGCAGGGGACCCGGGATGGACATGAAGAGGCGGCGGAAGCTGTAGAGGGTTTTCTGTTGGAAGCTTCGTTCGCTGCGGTCATATTTGTCGTTGAAGTCGCCATTGAAGAGTCGAAGTAGGATGTCGAGCGCTGCTTTCTTATTCTTACGGCCATTTTCAATGTCAATGGTGGCGCTGTCCGCTTCCAGGATCGCTGCGGCTAATGCGGCCACGTTGCTGTGGCCCCAGGACTTCAGTCGGTGGTCGCGGATGTATTCCAGGATTTGAACTACTCGATCCCATTCGCCCAGCGCGATTCGGACGTTGGCTAGGGATCTCAACGTGTTCAGGGAGATGGGTGACGATAGACTCTGCACCACTTGATCGCAGAGTACTCTGTCCTTGGAAGCTGCGGCGAACCGAAGTATTGAAGGCGCGAGAGCTTGGTCACCATATGCACTTCGCGGGATCGGAGGCCCGTCCATGTCATCGGAATGGAGCAGCCACTTTCCGAATGTAAATGCTCCTGCTGTCGCTGCCAGGTCAAGCAACCTTGCGAACGTGACATTCGACATCTGTGGAATAGAAGACTCGTAGGAGATCTGATGAGGGGTAAGGAAGGATCCATCAAAAAAACCTAGGTCTGAGCAATCCAGCTGGGAAACATGTTCGAGGAAATTGTGTATATGTTGCAATTTGCTCGAGTCAACGACTTCTTGCAACCAAGCGCACGTTTTCAAGGCGGACCCGGTTCGTTGTCGAGCAGCGTAGAATCTGATATTGTATTCGATCAGACCCGCCATGGCCGCGGTTTCATCATAGAGCCGTGATTTTTCTAACTCATCCAGGGCCTCTTCGGCAGTAGGACAGCTCTCATCCCAAGGAGGCACGACGTGAGGACTAAGCCTGAGGACTTGCTCGAGAGCATTCGGGTCAAGTTCAGCATTCAGCCCCCCGGATTCGAGAATACGGACAGTAAGCCAATTGAATGCCTTCGTAGTCGGCTGCAACTCCCCATCTCCCCCAGGAGCAATCATCGGCATGAAACGTGAGATATACTGTCGAATCTTGCTTAGCGGAAGTCCATGGTGACCGAATCCCAGATAAGCATTGTCTACGAGACCGCCTAACAGTGACTCAACAACTTCAGTGCTTATGGTTCGCTCTCCAAGTCCGTGGAAAACAGGATTGCGTTTCCTTGACGATCGGGTCGGCGTAGGACTATCCAGGTCATGCCAGAATTCTTCCGAATCGATCTTCGTTTTTCTCACCAATTCTGGGTACTCAAGAAGGGGCTTCCAGCTCTTCAGATGCCAGGCTAAGGTGCCTTCTCGTGCTTTCATCTTCTCTAACAGCCATGCGCCTTCCATGTAATGCGCATGATCCACACAGCACCAGAGAATAAGTTCAAACCAAACCTCAGGTCCTAATTCTCTGAACCCGAATTTGAACGGGAGAAATGGAGAGTCCTCGCCCGCAGCAGCAGCTTTGGCAGCAACTTCCGCTTCATGCACCCGCCATGCCGCGTCTGACAGAATACTCATTATATGCGTCGAAAGCAGATACAACCCAGGAGGCCTAAATCCCGCTTGCTCACTGTCCATGTGTGAATCTCTGTAGACATTTTCTGATATCGATCCTGAATGATGAAGGCGCGCAAGTATTTGAAACACACAAGACATTGCTAGCTTCGACTCATTCGGTGGAAGATCAGCAGCGAAGAGGACAATGGAACCCAGATTTGACCAGACCTCTCCCATAAGTCGTCGACTGAGTTCATCCGCAAAAGGCCGATTTGACAACTCCTCGAGACTATTTCGAATGATGCGAGGATTGGTGGTGGAGTTCAATTGGACTTGGGACGACCATCGTGTTCCATCGCTAGAAGCTCCACCACTACTCAACTGCTCAAGTGATATACCAGCGCTAAGCCCCCAGTCGAGACTCGATATGGGTTGTCGAGGAATCGACGCCTGTTGGAGTGCCTGAGAGAAATCGACCAGCTTACTCAAAAGCGCATGCACCGCGGGCCATCTATTCAGTTGAAAACCGAGATGGCCCAACACATCGACACCCTCGGACAGCCTCGCCTGCGACAAGAGAGCCGCTAGAGAATAGGCTTGTTGGTATATGTTATCCTTAGACTCCAGCTCTTCCGGACCATCTCGCAGCGATGGAGGGAGGTATTCCTCAACCAACGGGATCCATGCGCTAGGATCCCCCGGGGTATTTGCCGGAATTGCAATCCTTGGAAGTCTTCCCCGGGCACGTTCTCGCAGCCATGCTCGGTCTAGAGAGGGCAGGGCGTCATCGAGTCGAGCGGAGTTGGCAGAGAACTCGCGACTCCATTGTCGGTTCGTCCGGCATGAAGTAACCTTCCCAGTAGAACAGCGAGTGCGGTACGAAACAGCGCGCAAAAAGGAGAGAAAAGGGCTGCGACCCAGATACGACAGTCGACCACGACACAGACACGCTCTCATGACCCGGCTGAGAATGAGGTGAAGAAGGGAGCCGGTGGAAGAGGAATCGAGAGCTCGGAGTATTGCGAGAGACGCCTGTGACGCATATCTAGTCTTCTTCCGATGCGAGAGGAGTCATTGATATCCAGCTGGACTGCGCCGTTTGGATCGGAGTTGTTGTCGTCGTTCATCTTGAACGGCCAAAAAAAGTTGGAGCTTCACTCACTGGCTTAGTCAGCGCCACAGGAATGACCTCAGCCTGAAAAGCATTTAACTAACTACTAGTTATTTATTGGAATCACCACGGGACTCATTAAAAGAAGTGATATTCGTGTCTATCATGTCATCTGCAGAAAAAAACTCAACATCGTCACTATGCCAGAGGTACAAAGAAGACTATAATCGACTCAAATGGCAGATTGATCGGACAATCCCAGCCCGCTCGTACTTTATACTAGGTCAAAAATAGCATAGAAATACAAGGTCACCGTCAACCATGAGAACTGTGTCGACAAGAAACTATACAGAATCACTCTTCATCCATCGGAATATCCTCTGCGAGTTGTGCTTCACCTCCCAGTTCCTGTTCCACTTCGTCGACGACAAAATTCTCGTAATCCTCGAGGCCCTTCTGGACATGTACTTTGAAGCGAATCACATCATTCAACATGCTTTCGACACTGGTGTGTAGCTCCTCCCGGAGTGTATTAGCACGGAGAGTGAGCTGCTCGTATTCTATATTTGTGTTCATCTCGCGCTGTTCCATTAACTGAACACTTTCGGATAAGGAGGCTCGCATCTTGGCCAATTCCTTTTCCATCTTCTCAATCTGCGCGTCAGAGGCTAGTTTCTGCGCCACCGTAATCTCTTTGGTACGTTCGAATTCCTCCTCTGCAGCGCGTCGCTTGTGTTCAAGAGCTTCAACCTCGCTTCTCTTTTCATCCATCGCTTCCTTAATGTTGTCCAGAAGGTTACGGCGTTCTAGGTCATCATCAATGGCCCGTTTTCTTCGCTCATTGATCTCTTTCCGCAGAGACTGCAGGCTGCTACGGATCGCGCCGCGTAGATCGAGGTTGAGCAGATATGCGGGGTGATAGCCAGTAAAAGGCTCTGCTAGGAGGCGGTCTCCCTCTGGAGAGACCACACCCCGAGTGCCACCGATTTGAGATGCGGGGAAATTGGTCTCGTTGACATTGAGCCGAAGTTCGTAATCCTGGCCTTTGGCATTTACTGCGGATGAAGGAATCAAACTATTCTGATAGCCAAGTGTATTGTAGGTCTTGACGATCTGTTCCAGATCCTCCAGTTTTCTGCTTGCTTCCGCTTCCTTCTCCATGACTCGTGCATGCGCTTCTTCGAGTCGCACCATTGTGTCTTCAAGGCTTTTCTGTAACCGCTCTCGCTCTGAATTCATCCGGTCGATGTCTTGGATAGTAATTCCCTGGCTGTCAACGCTGGCTTGAAGACCTGTTCGCTCTTCTTCTGCCGCTTGAAGATCCGCCTCGGTCTTCTTGATCTCGTCATCAAGGAACCTGATGCGGTTGTCATATTTCTCGATCTTTCCCTGGACGTTCTGGTTGTAGTCCTCGAATTTCCTCTTATCATCCTCCAAAATCCTAAAGTGCTTGTCCAATTTCGCCATATCCGGAGCGTTTTTCTGCATTTCTTCAAGTTGATCGCGAAGTGCCCTATTCTCCGCTTCCAAAGCTTCCATTTCCTGAATATATTTCTCGTTTCCCTTTTCAAACTCGTAAGCCATGGCTTCAATGTGCGGACCAAGCCTTTTCGCCGCTGTTTCATCATCTTCATCCTCACCACCCTGAAGCCAATCATGGTAAGCACCAGTCAAGAAACGGAATATGATACGATCTCCAGAAACGTCTACTCCAGCATCTGCACAGGCATCGTCGTACTCCCCTAAAGCAAATCCTTCCAGGGACTTTGCCAACTGCATAATCCAATGAAGCATACCAAGAAAAGTCGGCCAGTTTTGACCCCCAACCGCCATGATCTGTGATTTTGTGATGCCCCTTTCGTAAGGATACCGCAGCTGTTTCAAGATCGGAGGTACTTCTGCATCCATACCCTTTTGAAATTTATACCCAGGATCGATCCGGTGATACAGCCACTGGAAGACGTAATTGAAATCTTTCTGGGTTGGAGATCTTAATGTATTTTGACTCAAGGGGTGCTTCATTTCGAGCTCAAAATTGTTTTGTGTGAGGTATTCCAAAAGCTCCTGCGCGATACGGGCTTGAAAGGAGCGATCCCTGAGAGGTCGCGGGTCCTTGGGCACACCGGCTGGTGGAGGAGCCTGAGTGAAGAAAGACTGGTGGCCCATCGGCCCCATGGATGGCCGTGAAAACACACTACTTCTTCTTTGAAAGCTTTGCGATGCAGCGCTGGAAGACATCGACCCAGGCGCAAAGCTTGGCCGCCCCACACCAACGCCATGGAAGATATTGCTCGAAACCGAGCGCCTGACCGAAGATAGACCAGCATCTGCGCCAAAAGCGCCTCCAGACGAGGAACGTTTAAAATTCGGCTGTTGTGGCCTGCTGGCTGAGTTCAGTAGTGATGCGCGGGTATTCTGCGCATGGAAGGCGCCGATCGAGCTAGTGCGCTTTAAGGCCGACGAAGGTTGTGGTATTGAAGTGAAGTTCTGAACACTCCCAAGTGTCTGTAAATTGACTTTCGTTAGCACTGATCAATACAGCGAATACGAATAGAGAATAGCACCACTGATTCCATACATCTCGAGGGCGCCTGATGCTGAATAGCCCCGTATCCTGGGACATGTCGGAAATGACCCCGCGCGCGGGGCAGCAGGCGCTGGCTTGAAGAAATAAAAGGATTGGGATCGGAGTCGCAAAGAAAGATGCCTGAGAGCACACACCAGCTGACCACAATGCCAGTGAGTTGACGCCAGGACGAAGGGACGAAAGGGCGAAGCGGGCTGATCAACATCCTCGAAACCCAACAATGTAAACAAGAAAACGCCCAATGTCACGCTAGTCCTCTATAAGAAGGCGGTCTGATATAGCGAAATAAAGATGATCCGAGCCCGCAACGGCCGAATCACAAGACCGGGGTGTCACGGGACCGGGGAGAGCTGCCTCCTTCCGAGGTTCATCGTCACCTCCGCAGGCACTCGCTGTCGTCGCCCTTTCTCCCCTTTTCTTCGTTTGCCCAGTTTGGTATATGTGAACAGCTACTTTCCTGTCTATCAGAGTCATCAGACTCCATACACATTATGGCTCGCGAGGAGCTTATCTCCTCCGCTGTACGTTCCCAGCTCTCATTCCCCCCTCCAATTGCAATGCTACCGAACATTCATGCTGACGATGGTCTCTAGGTTTCCTGTAGGTAGCTGATTAACATTCCCGAGCCCTGCCACTTGTCATGGCGTCTAATATACTAGGCAGTTCTTTCAGATCCGTCGGTGGCATCGTCACCTATCGAGAAGAGAATCGCATTCCTCCAGTCCAAGAACTTGACACAAGATGAAATCAACATTGCCCTCTCACGGGTAGGCGAAGACCCATCACCATCAATAGCTCCATCTCAAGGGCCCTCCTCTCAACAACAATCCATTTATCGACCTCCCCCACAAGCATATGGCGGATACGGATACCCCCCATATGGACAATGGCAACCTCCACCAGAGTGCGTTCTATCTGTAACTTTCTGTGACACTTGGAAGCTAATAGTAGTTTTAAAGGCTCCCAAAGAGGGACTGGAGAGATTGGTTTATCATGGCTACAGTGGTGGGTGGTGTGGGCTATGGTCTCTATTTCATCGCAAAGGTATATATAGGGTTCCCGACAATCGTCGTTTTTTACTCCGCCAGCCTAACAAGTTTTATCTTGACTAGCGCTATATTACCCCTCTTATCGCACCTCCTACTCCTCCACAACTGGAGCAGGATAAGGCGCACATTGATGAAGAATTCTCTCGAGCCTTTGCCCTGATTGATCAACTTTCTACCGATACGTCAGCGCTGAAATCAGCGGAAGAGGCACGCACGGAGCGTCTAGATGCTACACTGAAGGAGGTCGAAAATGTTATTGCAGATCTGAAGACCGCATCGCGCCGGCGGGACGATGATGTTCGTAGAATGAATGATGAAGTCAAGTCATTGAAAGACGCAATTCCCAAGGCGTTGCAAGGTGCCCGGGAAGGCAATGAGAACAGACTGAGAGAACTTGGCTCCGAGCTAAGGAGCCTAAAGCTTTTGCTCGGTAACAGACTTGGTGGCAGTGCTGGTACTACCTCTCCTGGCCCTGGAAGACCAGTTGGATCGATGTTACCTGGAACATCTCGACCAGCCGATGAATCCTCCACCGCTTCCATCACTGCTACTAATGGCACGACAGCAGCTCCTACGGAACAAGGTTCGCAGGCACCGACCACCACGACCCAAAGCACACCCTCTGCGGTAAAGACCCCCCTTTCACAGCTTGGAAGATCAGCTACCATCCCCGCCTGGCAGATGGCAGCGGCAAACAGGTCTAAGAATGAGTCATCACCAACGTCTACTCCCAGCGCCACGGTCAGCACGAGCACGTCAGGCGAGACAAATGAGCAACAGCAGAGCGGTTCTTCCAGCTGATAGATTGCGAAGTGTCTTCTGTATTCTGTGCAACTAGTCTTTGGCATTGTACATTCTTCTGATCCGCCTTTTCTTTCATTCTATTATTGTATTTACAACCGAAAAGACCTGGCTCTTAGGCAGTCTCTCCTAGGGAACGAGTTTGATGAAAAGTGAAAAGACTATGCAATTAAGTAACAAGCCGTAAGACCTACATGACCTTACCGCCGAATAAAGTGTACTTTAGACCAATCTCATGGAGAATCTTATACCCAAATTCCAGCAGGAGTGAAGAGGATGGAAGAAGAATGACGCCATGAGATTAAGCTCCGAAACAGTGCGGCCTCAGGCAGGGATCCAGTCGATCACCGATTAGCCTTTAACTCCGTATATCCAACTCATTTTGGTCAACAACAATCAACCGAAAAGCCATCAACAAAGTGAGGAGGTAAAGAGGTGGGAATTCACGCTCTACTGGATTTTTATACCTGATAGCCATTCCCACGCTACACCAACCCAACCCATCATTATCCATGGAGCGCCACTATCGGCATCGAGATAGCATTTCGCGCCCATCGGAGTCGAAATCAAGAACACGGTCGCGCTCACGTTCTCGTTCACCTGACAGAAGCGATAGACGAAAACACCATCACCATCACCATCATCGCCTTCACAGAGACCATCACGACAGCCACAAGCATAGACACAGACATGGGAAGGCGGGCGCTCCCGCATCGTCGGCCCCCATCATCCTCCCTTTTAATGCGCAGGAGATTTCCAAGCATGATCTGCGGTTCTATGAGCCCATGTTTGCCATGTACTTGGATATTCAGAAGGAGATTCTGTTGGAGGATCTAAGTCCCGAAGAAGTTAAAGGGAGGTGGAAGAGTTTTGTAAGGAAATGGTAAGGCTACTCGCTCTCTTGCTTGAAAAGGGAAGGGATACTACCTACGGAATTGGGCTTCCTTTGAAACGAAACTGACATATCAGGAACCGTGGAGAACTTGCTGAAGGATGGTACGATCCCGAGACACTGCGAAAGGCGCGCAAAAGTGCAAAAGAGGGCGAAAGTTACTTTGCTGGACCGTCAAGACGGTCATCGCCGGACTATGAACATGGTCGTGAGGAAGAGGACGAAGGCGAAGGCAGCCGGGTTGATAGAGTCTCGAGGCATCCTGAAGAAGATAGACTCCGAAGGGCTGACCGCGAAGACCGCAACGAGGAAGAAGACGAAGAAGAGGACTACGGACCCGTGCTTCCAGAAACACAGGGTCAACAACTAAAACATTCTTCCGGTCCAACAATTCCAAAACTGCAAGACTTGGAGCTTCGAAAGGGTAAGTCATTACTTATAACAATCTAGGTCTCCTGTATCAATCAATCATCACTAATAAGCAATATTACTATTGACATCAGAAATGGCAATTGAAGATGCCGAATTTGCCCATGAACAGTCCAAACTATATCACCGCGCGGCGGCGCGCTCTCATCGTGATGAAATGAAGGAAATGCAAGACTTTGTTGCTCCTCGCGCAGAACCAGGCACCCATGAACGTCGTCTTGAGAAACGTCGGGAAGCGGCAGCCGCTAACCGGGCCTTTGCAGAATCCTCGAGAAGGGGTGGATCACCAGAGGCCGCGCCGGATGAGGAATTGATGGGCTCTGGCGAGAACGATTTGGAGGTGTTGAAGAAAGCACAGGAGAAAGAGAAGCGGAAGAAGAACGAGAGGGAGATTCGCCGAGAAGAGATTCTGCGGGCGAGAGCCGCGGAGAGGGAGGAAAGAGTGAAGAGGTATAGGCAGAAGGAGGAGGAAACAATTGGGTGGCTTAAGACTTTGGCGAAGCAGAGGTTTGGCTGAGGTTCAGCTTTCCTACTTGGTGGTGACATTAACCTTGACATATAAACAAGGCGGCTTGGATCATTGTGAATGGATAATAATGCTCACTTTTGATTTTTATTCTATCAAGATTCCCAGCCCTGAACTAAAACAACAAAGACGAAAACGAACAAAAGGCCAGCGGCCTGCTATCATCACATCATGAAGTCCCCCAATTCTAAACTCTCAACCGTTGGTTCCTATCTATCAGAATTCCCAACCCTGAATCAGAATGATAAAGATAACACAAACAAAACGATAACAACTAGTATGAGAGGCCCACATAGCATGTCCGCCATCCTCGGATGCAGAGAATGCGGTCGATCTGTTCATATTCAGTGTTGATGGAAGCAACCTCGTAGCCAATTCCAGAGTAAAAAGCACAGAAACTTCAAAGTCGACCTTCGTATTTCATATATTTTTTATGTCCATTCTCAGCTCAACAGATCCAACTCCCCTCCATGACGCAGACGGACCAAGAGCCCTAGATCCATCAAGTACAGAAAGCAGCATCTCATGCTCACATTGGGGTCACACCCATATCAGTAGGCTCGCTTTTTGTAAGCTCCCTGCGCAGATTATGCCGTATCTTGGGCTTCTTCGCTTTTGCAGAGTGCGATTTCAAACTCGGAGCCGACAAGTTATCCGAGCGGCTTGTGTCAGTGTACAGCTCAAACGTAGAGAAAATTTTCTTGCTATTGTCATGTGAAGTCGTAGTACTCGGGCGAATATTTTCGTTACTCCCGGTAGATCTCATAGTACCCCGCCATGAAGTGCCGACACCTTGATCACAAGTAGGTCTATGTGCCTGAGAATCCGTGGTCAAGGTTAGTTTAGAAGATGGAATGAAGTCTGGTACATCTGGTTTCCAGACACTTTTCTTCGAGTGAGCGTCGTGAGCTTCTGTCGACTTCCCTCCGATGTTCGAATTGGAAGAACGAACTTCCTGGAGACTGGGACCTTCACCAGGAGATTCCACCAGTTTATAAGTCTTCTTAAGAGGTCCTGTTGCAGACTCCCTTGTTACAGTTCCCAGAAGGCTATCATAATCTGGCAATGATGACTCTCCATCTAGATATGACTCTCCGTTTAAACTTCCGACGACCTTTCGTTGGGCTCCAGTGAGAGTTCCAGAGATCACAGCAGTGTAAAGATCCACCGTTTGCTGATGAGCCCAAAGCCGAGAATAATAACCGTTCGCTTGTAACAACGAGTTGTGAGACCCTTGTTCGAGTATCTTCCCATCATGGACAACAAGGATTTTATCTGCATTAACAATGGTGGAGAGTCGATGTCTACGACATGAGCCCAATCATGTTAGTGAACCGAAAAAAAAAAAAAAAGACGAGAGGTGTATGAACTTACGCAACAACCAACGTAGTTCGTCCTCGACAGAGCTTTTGTAGACCCTGTTGGATCTGAGTCTCGGTGTTGCTATCCAAAATACCACTGGTCTCATCCAAAAGGACAATTTTGGGGTTCTTGATTATTACCCGGGCAATGGCGATCTGTCGGAGTTCTCCAGCAGACAGCTTCACACCATTTTCACCAACTAGAGTTTGATAGCCAGCCGAAAATACACTGATTTTCCCGTGAAGGCCAACCGATTTGGATGCCTCATATATCTGATGGTCTGATGCAGAAGGGTTCGCATATTTAATATTATTCAGGATAGTGTCGTTGAACAAGACCGGATTCTGAGGAATAATGCCGATATTTGCGCGCAGACTCTGCAGTGTGGCCTTGGAGATATTTTGGCCGTCGATGGTGATAGTGCCTTGGAGTGGATCATATAGACGCAAAATGAGGTTGAGGATCGTGGTCTTGCCCTCTCCAGTTTCACCGACAAGAGCCACTGTTTGACCGGGTAGGACTTGAAAGCTGATTTTCTTCAACACGTGTTTGAAACTGTCGTATGCGAAGTCCACCCCTTTGACTTGAATCATTCCTCTGCTAATAGCTAATGGTCTTGCCCCATCTTGGTCGACGACAGCGGCCTTTATCTTCAAAAGTTTAACCAACTCTCTAGCGTTTACAACGTGTAAGGCAATATCACAGATCCCACTTGCGAAGAACAGTAGAGGACTAGACAACTGAGCCCAGTAGCCGAGTAACGTCACAAAGCTGCCAACAGATTTCGTCCCTGAAGTAACCTGATAGGCCGCTAACAGACAGGCGCATAAGAGGCCAAACATGAGCAAGAATGACTGTGCAGCCAACTCAAAGTTGGACCATAGAAGAACACGGAAAGAAGATGATAGGCGACGTGTGACTGCAGAGTGGTATCGTGCCATTTCGCAAGGAATGCGGTTGAAATATGTTGCGGTTTTCCATTTAGAAGTGGATTCGCAGAGGATTCTTTGCTCCATATCTATGTCGGCGATGAACTGACTTCTTTTGTCTTGTTGTTTGACCTGAAACCTGCTGGACGACCATAGGAAAAAGAGGACAACGCTCGCAACTATCAATGTCATATAGACATCAAACATGTAGTATAATACGCCGAAAGCCACAATGAGATCGATGATCATCGGGATGATCTTGAAGAGCATTGTACGGAACGAATATCTGATAGAAAGCCCTCGGTTGACCGACTCCCATAAATGTGTTGAGTCCCTACTGTCGTGAAAATCACTCGACAGGCCCATGATCTTGTCAAACGCAGCAGTGCTTATCCGGAAATAGGAGTAATTCTCAAGTGGAAGCCAGAAGTGTTTACGGATCGCCGTCACGCCGCCACTCGAGTCGAGATACCGAAGGAGAACAAGTATGACGATATCTTTCCACGGCATTTTACCTGTAGAGAAGTCAATTTATAACCAGCAACTTGCAGCCATCGATCTTCTATTGATGACGAACCGGAATTGTTACTCAGATTATTTACTACTTGTCCAAGCTGCAGAGGGACGAGAACAGTCACAATACGTCCAACCAAGAAGCAGAAGCCCACTCCACCGTATAGGAGCTGTAGTTTCAGTTTATTTCTAGGCCAAAAGAAAGGGAGAAGAAACTATAATTAAATTAGCTTTAGGCTTCAGAAATCGTGTAGTATGAAGGTAAAGCTCACAGTGAGTATGCCGAAGTCACCCCAGTAATACGAGTCTTCTTCTTCTAATTCGGACTCCGGGCCTTCGTATTCATCATAGGCCATTGTCCCATAACTAGGGTAATTGTTGTTCCCTCGGCAACGATTTCTATTATGTGAGCCACGGTCACCGAGAAGAGGTGTCTCTTCGTCAGACTGCCTATGCCTTCCGGATAAAATCCGAGACCAGAAAGCGAAGACGAGGAGGAAAACTAGGACGAACAAGCGAAATATCTGGACATTATCGAGTACAGCGAGCAAAGGCTTTTCAGGCTTCTGGCAAGGTTGAACAACTACAAAGAATGTCTCCGCGAGCAAGTACATCACTGAGCATCCGGCAAGAGAATGCCACGAGGAAGTCTGTGGCTCAGCATATGCTAGAAGCAGGGCGAACCAGAGTAAAGCAGAACTCGGAGAAAAGACCTATGAGTACAGGACAATAATCAGTTTGACTCAATTCTGGAGCTAAATATCCAGATGGTACTCTTAGGGAGGGATATTACGAGACTATCCTGGGGGATAACCGCTTCCCCGGAGAAAGAGAGGTGGAGCAGTAAAGTAGAATCGATAACCTACGAACGATCAGTACCATGAATAATCCGCGTAGGATTCACCGATGATAATAGGGAATTAGAAGGTGAAAGAAATCCGCGGTCTTACATAGGTGATCAGAATGGACGTTACCAACCACAGCTTGACGGTCATCAGGCCCCTGACCTGAGTGTCCCTACTTGTCTTTTGGAGTTTGTCACAGAAGACACCGATGGAGGCAGAGAGAATGTAATAGAGGATGGCCAGAAGGGGAAGCATGCAATGAAGTACTCCGACTGCATGCAGAGCCGGTCCTCCACCCACGGTGTGGATGGAGGTGGTCATTTTGGACGGCCAGCTATAAGAGGAACAGCCCAAGCTGGGCATAAAAAAGCGTATATTTCTAGTTGAACGAGAAACGAAATGCAGAAATGAAGACACAGGATAAGCAGGAACTAGCGAGCAGAATGGTATGATGGATTCGACGAAGGAAGGATGTGAGGAATGAGAGAGAGGAGGGAAAGAAGAAGGAGACTGGGAGGCGGACGACGAGGTATGATGCTGACCTCATACCCTAACACGCATGATAACGAGCCGGTTCTTCCTCTTCTCCTTGGCTAGGAAAGGAAGGAGCACCCAGGCTGGCGGATCTTCCGTTTCGGGAAGGAGCGATGGGCAGCCCTGAGGCGCTTAGCCCTAGGAGCCAGAAACCGGGAGGAGCAGCAGAGGCAGGGTGATATGTGTAGGAGCATGGTGTCCATGCATTTGACTCCGATAGACCCATATGAAAGGCTGTGGTAGCAGCTGCCGAAAGAATAGCTGCTTGTCCTCTTGTCATCTTCCTTAAGGTCGCAGCAGAGCCCCAACTGCTGCCGAAGAAACCCATTTGAACGGCAAAGGACATAGGAGTCCCCTTACTTTCTTTGAGCTATCCCCTATTAATTCCAGCAGCAATAGACAGCTCCTGTTGCATCTCATATCCCGAAGAGGAAGGTTGACTTGAATGCAGAACCTAGGCGCTTCGACCAAGATTGATATCGGCAACGAGTCTCATATCCTCGCTGCCCCCGACTTTCCCATCCATGCCGAAGAACGGTTTAACTGCAACATCAACTGATTCCTCAAACAACTTTCCGATAACGACCTCCTTAAGCTCCTCTCCCGTTTGTGCAAAGTCCGGGAACGCGTTAACCTCAAGAAGCCACGCTGTTCCAGACTTGTCTACCAAGAAGTCCAACCCGAAGAGCTCAAATACGTTGGGAATTGCCTGGAAATGAACCATCATACCTCGAGAGGCGGCCTCGAAGACTTCCCCCGTCACGGCACAGATCTGATCAAAGATGTTTTCTTTCCAGTCTGGTTTCAGGCCAGGGACATGGTGGTCCAGCTTCCAAAAACGCCTGACACTGCCTTCGTTGGCGCTCCCACCTTCCTGAAAACAGGTATTGGTGAGGTGCCTGGCGAGATCTTTTACATCGTCATCTTCCTCTGATGGTGGACAATAGGGTTTTGCAGCAAAAAGGGCCAGCATTTCTTTGAAAACATATACCTTCAAAGCGCCGACGGCAAGAACGTACGTCCGGATGTGAAACTTTCGGCCGTTCGAAGACGGAAGAACAAGAGGGGGATCGATATACGGTTGGGCAATGAAGTGGCGTAACTGGGAGACGATTACCCCATGTTTATTATCCACAGCAGCGTCATCATCAACCCGTTCAGACCCGCTCTCGTCATCAGGCTCGTCCATCTCCCATTCCTCGAATATTTCACGCAGCTGGTCCTCACTGCTGAAGAGGCGTATGCCTTGACCCCGATCACTCATTCCCGGTTTGAGAATCCACCACTCCTTTTCAGAGTCGGACCTTTCTTCATTCTTTTCCAAGCTTTCGCGCAGTTCGTACGCCTCCAACAGTGCGTCGTCGAGGAATTCAGCATAGTCCAGTTCAAAGTCAACCGCGGGTTTAAAATGGCTCCGCAGAACGCTGTCTGGGTGCTTCGAAACCCAACTGGCTACTGTATTAGAGAGATAATGTTTCCGAATAAGAGCTTTGCGGATAATATAAGCATTTGCAAGAGACGTCGAAGGATGAGAGAGGATATGTTCGAAATCCAGGCGTTCGTATTCGCGATATTGGAAAACTGGCAGTGAAGAATCCGGGAGTTCTGACAAAGCAAGTATTGGCTTATAATGGATCCCTTCGAGGCGACGCTTCAGTGCCTGCTCGACTACACCCTGAACATAGGGGGTGTCGCAGTCGACAATTGAATATAATGCAGGTTCACTACCCGATCTACAGTCAAACCAACCATCAGAATCTCCATCCAAAGAAAGAAGGGAAGTCAAAAAAGCATGTGACAGGGGAATTTAGCAAAAGGGAAAGAAGATATAGCTCTTAGTCTAGAGATCTATGGTCTTGTATTCTAGACAACATTGACACAAGCTTCACTCCTAGAGCACCACTCACAGCTTAATCTCCCCTTGGATACCGGGTGTGTGCATAAAGTTGGTCTTGAGAGGAGTAACACTAAAACGTGAGAGGGATGTTAGTTCGAATTATGCATGGGAAGTTCTGGGGTTTGAATAAAAGCAGATACGAACCTGGTCATTCCCTCCTTAACGACCCAACCATCATTCCCGGGCTCACTCTCTTCGACACTTCGATATACATCAGCGAATTTAGGAGCCCACTTAAAGTGTTTATGCTGGAACCTGGATTTCGTAACTCCATTCTTCTCAGCTAATGATGACTCTGTGCCTAGCGTCTCACCCTGATCCCGCAGCATCTGTTCCTGCATATTAGGGGACTCCCCAGACAACGCAGCATCAACAGCCTCAAAACAACTACCAGACCGCCACCGATTCTCAAGCATGTCCGTATATAGCACTCTGTTATTGCTGACACCAGGCTCCAGAGGCACGTTGATACTGTAGAGGCCCACACCTTCCGCCCAGTTCTTGTAAAGGTATTCAATCAATCGGACTGAATGTTGCGATGCCTCCGCGATAATCACCGGATCATGATTTCGCGAGCTGAAGGCATATGAAAGCGCAATCGAGCGTTTCCCGCATATGGCACCCTCCATAGCGGCACCGATAGTGCCGCTGGATAATGCAAACAGCGCAGTTGTGTTGCGACCGTAGTTGGGGCCCGAGACGACCAGGTCAACTGGCCCACGGTCCTGAAAGTAGTGGTAGAGTCCAATCTGGACACAACTGGCCGGGGTAGAATCGATAAGAATCCACTCGTCGCCATCTTCGTCGTCCGCCTCCCCGTTGCTCCCTCGTGGAAGAGAGTGTATCGAGCCGTCATCTTTGTGGAGGGTTCCGGGTCGGAAGTAACTTGGTTTCACGGATGCGCCGACGATGTGCGCTTTACCGATCCATGATCGCTGCTTATGAGGAAGAACAACCGAAACCGTATGTCCAGCGGACTGTAGGGAGTGGATGAGGGAATGGACATAGGGCGACGACTGGTTCGACGGAGGACCGTCGTCGTTGACAACCTGGAAACCAGTGGAAGTAAGTACAAGGAAGACACGACGTAAGTTCACAAAATCAAGTCCAAAGATAGCTAGAGTAAAAAGAGGCGACTTACTAGGATATGCATCGCGGATCGTATTATCTATCAAGGCGTACGAAGAGAAGAAGTGGATATTTCGAGGTTTTCTTTTAAGTTGACTGCCCCCGCCTTTCCATGGCGCAATTTATCGGAGTTGCTCCACCACCGTCAATCAAGATCTACGTTTAGTAATGATAGTAGAGTAGTTAACAAGATGGGTATTCTAAGTAAGATAGCAAGTGCCTATATATGCCTATTGAAAAGACAAAAATAAGCCAACACACCTATGAGAGTACTTCTTGGAAATGACTTCTTCGTCGTTGAAGTCTTCTAGCACCAGGGCTCTCGAATCCGGTTCCAGCACCGGACTCACTATGGACGTCGGTACTCTGGCCCTCTCCTGCACTATCATATTCATCATCTGCCTCGCTTGTTTGGGGACTGGCACTCGGTTGTTCCGCTAGATCGTCCTCCTCCTTGATTGTAGGCCCGACGGAATGCGGATTGACTGCTTCATCATCCGTTTCTTCTTTGATAGGGGACTCAGACTTATCACGATCTCGTCTTTTGTCATATTTCGTATGCCTTTCCGTCCTGCTGCCAAAAATGAAAGCAAGAAAGGCCCAGGCAGCGCCTGTTGATAACACCGAAATGCTCCAGAAAAGGGTGCTGAAAATGGCAAAAGATGAGAGCCTCCAGTTATACATAACCCATCTAGTTATGTTAGTATGGTACGATTGTAAGAAATAGACGCATATATGGTACCTCAGACCCGTGAATCTCGCCTTAAACTCCACCTTTGCACTGTATATCTGCATCCGCTCATCACTTTCCACCCGAAGATGCAGACTACCGGGCAAATTACTCCACCCACGGGCAAATTCAACTTGCTCCATCATCTGCACGTCCAAAATCTCTTCTTCACGATGCCAACCGACCACATACAGGGGAAGATAAGAGAGTCTGTTCGCCGTGTCCACCAGGGGAGAGGCGTAGGTAAGAATAGCAGGACGGCGAGATCGCACCATAGGAACTGTAGAGACATTCACCCCTTTCCCCGTGGAAATATCCAAAGGATGTGATAAGAGAGCCAAGTCCAGCATGAAGTTTCCAGCTGCAAAGTTCGAAGGAGTACGAGGCAATTGTAATCTTACACTCACGTCATATGGCTGGAGAGAGACCAGCTCTGAGCCGATCAGTGCAGTTCCCCAAGGATGACCATCACTGTTTACAGAAGCGCGTAAAAGTTTTATATTAGCCAGGACTTAATTTCATTTGTTTGGATAGGGGCTGGTAATCATCAAGGAAATACCCATGCCTACCCAAACTGCAAATGCACGACGCGCTCAAGTCCGATTTGTGGGATGTATCTGGTGTAGAACACCCAATATGCAATAGCAGAGACACATAGTAAGAGGGTAGAAGTACTGATAAAAAGAAAGGTCCTTAGGTACACCCTCCATGCTTCTTTCGAGAAAAGGCCGCCCTATTTGCATCCGTTAAACCCGCAGCTCAAAATGTACGGAACCGCAACACTTACCACGGCTCTAAGGAGGGAGGACCCCTTCCTGCTTGTACCATCATTTTCTGTGTATTGTGATTTTGTCATTTTGAATTGTCAGTGTTTGAATGGAGGAAACTGCACGGAGCACAGCAGCACCCATAGACGCGTTGGATGTACAAATGTATTGCTGTCCAAGGCAAAGCCCCTGACGTCAGGGACTGGCATATTATTAGGGCTTAGGGTACAGGGCTTAGGGCAATTTTCACAGGGCAAGTTATCGACTACCAAGTACCTGTCTTGTTTCCCAAGCGACCGTCCAACGTCCCCTTTGGTCTTGAAGAAACACCGTGCTGATTTCACAAATCCAAGGTTATCTCATCGCTGCTATCCAATCGAAAGAGTAGCAAGCCTCAGAGCGCTTCAACCAGCCCCTGACGAGTCTAAAATGCCTAACTATAAGAGGTCCGCAACTTAATCCAAGTCACATTCGCCCATAGGCTGACATTTTTTTTAGCATAATCATGTCTCATCAATTTAACTTTCTTGTAGGGCCTGACCGTACTTGCTTGTCAATCCACGCGGGTCTGGTTAGTGGCCTGTCAAGACCCCTGGACGCCTTGATGAACAACGGCCAGATGGAAGAGTCTACGTCCCGCTGCGCCGTCCTTGAAGACACTGAGGTCGACACTTTCATATCGTTCTGCGAGTACGCATACACTGGTCAATACGTCACACCGGGTTATGTGGATGGCGAGAACAAGGAAAGCGCGTTGAAAGGTTTGCCTGTGTTTACTTTCAAAGGCAAGGACATCAAGAAGCCAAGCAAACGTGAACCAAATAGCCCGAGGAAGACACTTGAGGTCGCGCTAGAGGATATACTTGATCAGAATACTGATCTTGATGAGGATTCTCCAAAACCCAGGATCCTACATCCCTACAATGGCCTCTGGAATGACTTCGTATCAAGACGAGGGTTCGCCTTCGCGAAATTAGCAACAGTATCTCCCAACCCAGACTTTTTGGCCCATGCTAAAATATATGTATTTGCCACGCGATATCTCATCGACAAATTGCAAATGCAAGCCCTCGGATCGTTGCACCGCGATCTCAGAAACTTCAAACTGAGTAACAAGAATGCAAAGCGTATTATTGATCTTCTCGAGTATACATACAAGAGTGCTGGGAGGGAAGAGCCTGGTGGAAAATCCCAACTGAGGGATTTAGTGATCCATTACATTGCCTGCGAGTCGCGACTGTTAGCTAATAATGAGAATTTCAGGCATCTGTTGGATGAGAATGGCGAGATCGGTTCGGATTTGGTGGTGAAGATGGTGAATCAAAAGCCTCTCCGGCACTCTGTTTTATTATCTTGAATCGTCTACGGAGAGACAGGTGGTGTTGGAATGAGTATGTTGAATCTATACGAGCGGAGTCGACAACTTATCGAGAAGAGCTATCTACGAGTAATCTAACCGCCTTATAGTTAACATAGCCCTGTAGTTGTCAATCAGTCAGTCCTTACTGTCTCAATATTGTGCTTTATCTAGCCTAGTAGCTACGGTCTGGTCTTGGCACCGTATAGCTTCAACAGAGTGAAGCAGATGATTGAGTTGGGCTGTGTATGGTTGACAATTGAGACAAACTGTTTGTAGATCAAGCAACTGTACAGGTTGATATTAATTGCATTGTGATTTTACAATCTTATTGTCCATGCAAGTAGACGAAGCTTGAGTTGACAATCCCTGATACTCGTAACACTCCCATGACCCAACCGAGGAAGGACAAAGAAAGAACCGACACGAAATTGAAGAATAAGAACGACATAAATACCCATCATATGAACACGCTGATAAAGCACCCGTACGACATGTGCCCCACAAAATGCAAAGAGTCATCACGCAAATATATTGTCCTGTATCACTGGTGGAATGATGAAAAGAAGCGGGTAGAAAAAGACAACTTTTGGTTCGGGTGCCTAAGTTAACGCTCTTGGGCTTTGCTGTTGGATATGTTGAAGAAGGGCATCAAATAGACGACCAATCTTCAAAGAAAAAAGAATAGGAGTCAGCAGCTTGTAAGAACATTATACTATGTATGTGGAAAGGACTAACCTCAGGAGCAGCTTGGATGAATGGTAGGTGGAAGAAAGTGTAATTTCGGTTCTGAAGTAGTTCCTGCAGAGTGATAATTAAGCCCCATGGATGGGGGCGGTGGACAATAAGTCGCTCCAAAAGCACTCGAATGATCTGCTGGCGGATGCCAGACTCATCTTGTTCGGAGAACTCCATCCCAAACAGACGAAGGATCGCAAAACTGAAGAAGTACGTATGGTTATTTGGGTATCGCAGCTGGTTTGCCATAGCACTTAGCAAATAATACCGTCCCTCAGGTCGAAGGGCTTTTGCTAGCTTCTCCAACAGGGCTGAGTGAGGTGAGTTGTCGAAAACGGCGCGAGTATTACCCTTCGAGGCATTGGCAGACACAGCACCTTGTCCGACGTATAAAACGAGAGCATTGAGGAGCACGACATTCACATTGATCGGAGTATAGAAGAGGCCGGTCTCCTTTGTAACAGGATTGTATACGGCCTCACAAATATGGTGAATCGATGCTTCCGACGCATTGCTGCCCTGAAGCAAGGCGTCAACGGCGTTCTTGACATTCGCCGCTTGCAGAGGAGCGACGACATCGCCAGCGATCTTTGGTGCCTCCCGCATCTCCTCGAGGCGTTCAAAATTTAGACCCTCTCTGAAAGGGTCTGGGAGTTTGTGGAACGACGACGGATAGGCGCTGAGCACTAGGTTTCGAAGCTGGGCGCAATGCGCAGGGATGACGTTGCAGAATTGGAAATGATTTTCGGCAACAAATTCAGGGAAATCATGATGTAGAATCAGCAGTATCCGAAGGACCCCCTTATACAAATCTTTTGCAACGTATGTGATCGCTGCGGGCTTGAGCTGCTCGCCAATGTAGGAAAGGAGAGCCTGCATGATCTCGCAGTAAGGGCCCCAGCCAGCCCTTTCCGGCATGTTAAGCATCCCGGACATAAAAATCCTATGGGATACCAAGGAGAACCAACCGTAGACGAACGCTGGAGCATACTTAGGCTGCAGAGATAAGAATTTGTTGGCAAATGCTAACATCATTTCCTGGTGGTTTTTGCTATGCTGCAACCCATTGATCGAATATTCGCAAAGAATGCTTGAGAACATCCTGAAGAACACTCGCTGATTGAACGCCTCGCCTCTCATGACTTGGTGGTGATTTAAAACTAGCACAAGAAGTGACAGAATTGAATTGAGATATGAAGATTTGCTGGCTTTAACAGCGCCCGTGCTATCACCCTGGAATTTGACCAGCAGGACAACCAGTTTCGCGAGAGCATCGATGTAAAGGAACGCCTCGTCAAGACTACCACTGGGGTTCTGCGACTCGTGCTCAAACATAGCAACTGAGATATCAATACTCAGTCGGAAGAACAAGGCAGAATCTTCTTGGTTGTTCATGACCTGTCTTTGGTGGATATCTTTGAGAAAAGAATAGTAGGTACGTTCCGTTGCACCAGGAGACTTGTAAATACCGATCCACTCACTGAAGACGTATTCCATCTGATCTCGCTTCGACCGCGCCTTGTCACTGAGAAGAGGGTTGACTACCTCGGGGATACCAGACTCGTGGAGCTTGCGTATGATTTCCTGGGCTGTAGTAAGACTCGAGTCCTCGGAGAACCATTGACTCATCGCCTCCAAGCTACCGGAAAAGTCAGATCTGAGAGCAGTTGGTTCATCGACGAACAAGACACGATCCATCAGGCTGGCGAGAACTTCCAATGCACCGGTGTTCTTTTGAAGGATAAGTCTAGTGAGAATCATGTCCACGCGACGAATGTCTAGAAGTCCAGCGTCCAGGAGGGCGACCGTAACAGGGACATTGAACATTTGCTCATCATCAACTTCCGAGAGGATAGCCCATGTGTACCTAGCGACAAGGGTAGACATGTCGCACAATTTGGCCAGAAAATGCACAAGGACTTCAATTTCAAGCGAACCAGGCGTCTGCGAATACAAACTTGTACATATTTTCAGAGATGTCAGGCGGGCCAATTCTTCGCCATTTGGAGAAGAGAGGATGGTGCGTAAGGCCTGATTATACACCTGGAGGATGGCACTGTCTCTGCCGAGGTCTCTAACATGCTCCTCAGAAGAGGCCCGGGCCGCCTGTTGAATTTCGGAAACGATGCCTTCCACTTTGTCCCTTGGGCCTTGTGCGTCAAGGAGTCCGTTCAACTGAGGCTGTCCGCCAACGACGGCCGACTGTGGCAAACGGGCATCCTGGACTGGAGCAGTCCGATGCGGAACAGCAGGCTGTTCGGCAGGGGTAGAAAGGTTAGGGATCGCGGGATAGGATTCTTGGAGAAGATCAGGAACCTGCCGACCAGAGTCCGTGGAAACATTTGGTACGTGAGCGGCTGCTGCACCCCGGGATTGACGAGCAAAGTCTTCATAAATCGCCAACTGTTCTTTGCTTAAACCTCCAGGAGCTGGTCGATACGGTTCTGGAATAAAGAAAGACCAACGATTGATAGATGCATCCATGAATGGTTCATTAGGTCGAGAAGCTCGGTGGCGCCGGCGTGCTTCTAGCTGGGGTTCAATGACCTTCTCGATCTCAGGGAACGATTTCTCTTCCGCTGCCTTTTCGACAATCCCACAAGCGGCATCAAGGTTATCGTTAACGCACATTAGGATCAGGCCTTCGGGCATGGGCTGGTCAGAATATTCCTGCTGGATCATCCGAATATAATTTGTCATGCTGACTTTCAAAGGCTCTTTGCAAGTTACGAGAGCTAAACTACCAGCAAGTTGCCTAACCATGATACCGGCCGCATGGCGCACTTTTTCTTCGTCAGGCTCCATTGCGAAGTCTTTCGATATGAGCTGAGCCGTCGATATCGACGCAATAGTAACTGAACGCTCAACGACAGGAGTAATGATTTCCGCAATAGCACGTTCCACGGCAGTATGGACAATCTGTCTAAGGATATTGGGATCAATCAGGCTGCCTGTCGACGATGGTAGAACAAGAATTTTATCCAGGCTCGGAAGCGTTGACAGAATGGCCGCCGGAGATAATCTTTCATTCCGAACAGTCTGGTTGATGCTCGTAATAGCCATATCGTCAAACGCTTCAAGTCCCTCGGGAATGTTTGCCGTCACTAATGCCTCTTCGGCATGGGCTGAACGATCTCTCACTATGATAGACGGTTCAATTTCTTTATGGTCAAGATCGAGGTCCTTACACAGGACCTCTATCTCAAATTTCAAGTTCAATTTCAACTCCGCGAAATGATACAGTTCCATCAGGAGGGACAGGATATCCATTAACCAAGGATTCGGAGGGTTGAACACAGTGGACTTGCTAGCTTGGACTAGGACTTTGCATGTGAACGGGATGACAACCATAAGTCGCTGGGTGTCAAACCCTTCCAAAAGAAGACCCTTGAAATAGATATCCTTATGTTTGATAGGTTTATCTTTGGCAATTGTCAAGGATCCAAGCCAAGCGCCGAGATTTTTAAGGTGCCCACGGTCAGTTGAAGAGGTCAAAGTCGCTTCTGCATTCAGCAGCCTGACAACGCTGAAATAGGTTTCCCTGAGAACTTCAGCCCAAAGGACTTTGTCGCCGATGCGCTCTAGGAGGTCGAGATAGAGCTGCTGGAAGTTTGGCTGTAGTTTTGCTCGTTCTTCCACTAAATAAGAAGCGAACCACTGGTGATGCTGATCACGAAGTACATCCGTGAGGTCCCGCAGCTTCTCTTCGATGTTCTGCTCCGATACATTGTTTAACACGAAAAGAATCTTATCCTGTACGTCTTCATCGGGATCCTCGTAGACCTCCGGTCTGAGAGGAGGGCCAACGTGAACCGAGCGGAACCTGCGCACTGTGCCATCTGCCGCAGAATCATCGACACTACCGTTAATCTGCGCGCCAAGATCGCCCGGCCTTGTGCCCTCAGGATCTCCGATCTGAGTGCCTTGCTCACGAAGAACTTCCTCGGCTTTCTGAAAGATCGGAGAGCCCTGTAGGCTTGAAATTTGCAGAAGAAGGTGACAGAAGCCCGCCCACTCAGGAAGGCGATTGATCAGCTGTTCGATGGCTTCAACACCAAACTTGTACATCGGATCATGCGGTTCGTGCTCACGCACAGCCTCCAATATCATACCCAAGCCGACCTTCAGAGTGATACCATCAACAAGCCGAAAATTGATAATACCACCAAACATGACTGCTGTTTTTGTCAAAGCTTCTAGTGGATACTCGTGATAACAGTGGTACTCGTCGATGAGGCCATGGACCATGCACGCAAACAGATCCTGTTCAGCAGGATCGTTTGAAGTCTTGTATCGTCTCATAAGCTCCAACATTTCTCTCAATGACAATTCCTCATGGTACATCTTGCCGAATAGCTCCTGCATCTGTTTGTCAATAGCTTCCGGCAATGCGTTTCCGTTTTCACCATTAGCATCGATGATTTCGTCGAAGCCTTCGTCATAATTAATCAGCCGGGGGTATGTCTGAATGCAGATTCGCTGTACCGGGGTGAGATTTTCACGGTCCCCCACGTACTCCTCCAGCACAGAAAGCAGAGTATACACTGTCTTCACGGACAGGCTGACCATTTGCGGAGCGGGCTGCTCCTTCCTCTGGACATGGACTTCGTCTTCCGCTTTGATTCTTAAGAATTTTGAGAGTAAGCTGCCCATATCCATGGGCCCTTTCTGCGCAGCGTTTCGAACCCATCCTTCAAGATCAAATGGGCCCTTGCGATGGGCTAAGCAAGCGAGATCCATAGCAAGTCCATTCGTGAATCCGAGCAGATAATCCAGCCAGCCAAACTCGGTGGCGTGTTCATATATGGCGGCTGTGGAAGTAGGATCCTGGGTAAATGTAGTAAAGAGTTGTTCTGCTACCCACTGCTTGTCTTGCATCCATGCTCCATAAAGCGCTAGCTGATAGCCCTCCTCTTGCTTCAAAGTGAAAACAATGAGGGTCCGTAGAAGAAAGCTCTGCTGGACAGTCGTCCAGGGTTGGGGGAGAGCAAGTGCGGAGCATAGGAAAACAGGGAGATCATATTGAACAACTGCTTTAATAAGAAGCTGGCTTTCTGTGGCAGCCCACGCAGCTTGGGAGAACAGTGCAAGATCAAATATGGCTTTCACGGCATCTAGCGACCTCAAAGGTGACTTGAGAGCACGCTCTCCTTGCTCTCGCACAACCTCCGGACCATCGGCAAAGAAGTCGTCAGGAAATGTTGCGCGAAGGTTGGGAATTTGGGATACGTCAGTTCTCGAAACGATGAAAGCTGTCAAGAAAGACATCTGAGTATCACGATGTTCCCAGTCCCCACCCCAAAGTCTTTGGATATCTAAGCTCGAATCCTCCTTCGCTGTCGCTAAGAAAACAGCATACAGTTTTGAAAACTGCTTAGGATCTATCCTTAAGCCCTCGCGATCAAACTGTCGAAACAGCAGCGACCAATTGGGTCGTTTACCAGCATAATGAGACTGGACGGTGGTAAGAAAAGTCTCCAGCGAGTACTGTTGCCAATTTTGCGAGAGGACCATGAAAAGGAGTGCATTCGCAATGTGTTCTTCACTCCAGCTGTCTGGGCCAGCTGAATTCATAATCTCGCTCACCGCGTCCGGGTTCGCGGTTGCCTTGGGGCCCTTCGAGTGCAGCTGGCGAACTAGAGTATACCTTGGACTGATGAAGTTGAACATCTGTAAGGAAGAAGATATCTCGAAGGGCATCTCTACACCCAATTTCTGGTAGCGCAAATTGGCCGCATATACCAACTTGGCCTTCACATCGTCGGTAAAATTACGAGGTGGATACAATATGAAGCGCTCGATAGTCATTCCAATGAAGGATGGCTTGTAATCCTTGTTCGTTTCGATAGGGGTGGCTAGGCTCTGCAGAAAAGGCGTAATAGAATTCGAAATAATGGCATCGGCTACGTTAATCAGCATCAAGTGACAAAACCTGGGTTAGCGAGGACGACTTACCTTTCGCACGCAGGTCCGATTTGTTGGCTGTTTTGAAGGCAAGTGCGAGTGCAATTTTTGCGACAGGGTCAAGCTTGAAGTGATCCAAGAAAGTCGACAGATCGAAATCGCGGAAAATGTCGCCCTCAGAGGCATCAATGGTCTCGGCAATTTTCTGGGCTTGGTCTATATCTTGAGAAATCTTCTGCATCTCTTGCGCCAAGAGAGGATAATTGCCCGCATTCTCTACGATTTTGTTGGTCCCTGGAAAGATCTGGCCGGCATTGCCAGTAAGAAGACGGCGAAAATATTTGGAAAAGACCTCCATTCCGTTTGACTCAACGAGCTACATGACGGTCAGAAATGGGAATCAGGAAAAATAATAATAATAAATTCCTCTTGGGAAATTCAGAACTTACCTTGTGGATCTGGGCGGCTTTAGTTTCCCACTTTTCTTTGCCCTCCTTGTCGGTGATGGAATCTAAAAGGAGGAAGACCTGAGCGACCGATATTTTAGTAAGAGACGACTGGCTAGCGTGGGATTTATCGGAAGGAATTCCTGTGGGAGAGTTAACAGTTCTGCCGGACGATAGCGGAGAGAAGGCGACGCCTCTGGAAGAACCCGTCCCACCACCACCTCCCCCGGTACCTCCACCACCCGTGACTGAGCTCGTTGTGGAAGCCAAGTTAGGCCCCGACGACGGAGTGTGGGCCCTCAATTTAGGGGATGAGACGGATTGCCCGGGTTGCTGGTGTAGTTGCAAGCTAGAATGTAGAGAGGCAAATGGCGCGGGTGTGTTGGCGGGAGAAGGTGCGTTCCGGCCACCAGGGAAGTTCCTTGATGAGCTCAGAACGGCAGAGAAAGTGGATGTCAAAGGAGACAAGGTCGAGATACCAGGACCAGGGCTGCTCGACTGCGGCGGGCCTCGCGAAGAGACAGAGGAGAATGAGGAAAGGTTAGATGTCGCAAGCGGCGTCAAACCCCGACGGACGTTCGACTGAGATGCGGAAGAGCCCCAAGTAGATTGCTGAGATCTTGCAGATCTTGTCGAAGAAGACTTATCGGTGCCAGGAGCAATCGACGATTGGGAAGAAGGGGGAGGAGGGAAGTTCATCTAGGAGACGCGATCATTTGACCGAACCTCAGACAGAATTTTATGGGGAGGTAGGGGATTCCGGGCGGGAACGGATAAATATTTAGACAGCAAGTGGCAGTTATTGCGAGCGACCGAGGATCGAGCGATGAGTAAGTAGAGCAACGGTGCAGAGAATGGGCGAAGAAGGATGAGGGATGTCTGTAGGCTGAGATGAGAGTCTGATGGGGAAGAAGTGAGGATCAGTGGAAGGTGGCCAGCGAGGCCCAAGGCTAGCTTGGCTTAGCTAAGTTGAGAGAGTAGTTAACTAACGTAATCCACCACCGAGCCGCTCATTTTCCCACCGAATCCACCACCCATCAGAATTAATGCTTTTGCAACCACCAACACCATTAAATTAGACTATCTAGAGGATCAAGCAGGTTGGAATTTGGTAGGATAATTCCTTATTGTATGACCAATGGTCCCACAGCCACTACAGCGTTGTGGAGCACGCTGGTGAAGCCTAGAGATAGATCCTAAGCCTGCATTTCAACCTCTCTATTCAGCTGTTGAATATGCCCCTGACCTTCTTGTATAGATAGGATAGTATCTGTACCAAGGCTTGTATGCTTTTACACTCTTTTCTTTACCTGTCACTCATTTTCTGCCTGTAGAGATTTGATTTCTTAGTGGAGAAGAGTATTCATATTCATTGCTGTATATGCAGCCTTCTTAAGATGTTGGAGGTGAGATATAGGACTGCTAGATAGCTGCCTCTTTTTATTTAGACTTCTTTGTAGCTTGCCAATCTTATAATTTAGCTGGCAAGAGTTCTGAGGTGTCTGAAAAGTAGAGGAGCTTAAGTCTTCCTGAGATGATGGTGGAGGTGTATGTCAGGGCCCTTGCCATGTAGATGTTAGTACACGTGAGGTTCTGCCGTCCTAGACCGCCCTCGCTACCTATCTCACGGCACAGGCAGGCCTACCTAGTAATACGACCATACATGCGCCTATCCATTAGGTTATGAGCCCGTTTTAGCTCTACGATATTGAGCTTAAAAAAGCCTTTCAGATAGGCTAAATTGTGACCTCTCATTGGTCAAACCAGAAATCGAGCGCTTCTAAGCGACTCTGAACACCAGGACCGCCAACAATCGGCCCCTGAACCCCAGGATCCTTCGATCGATCCCATCCAAAATGGTGGTGCCTCGAACGCCCCCTACCACCGCTAGACGTCACCGTCGTCAGCCAGAATCCACAGATCCTTCATCAGATATAGGCTCCTCCGCCTCCTCAGTAATCTCTGAAGAAATGGACACCCCAACTGCCCCTAGAGCTCAAAGCTCTACTACAGCCAACACCATGGCATCCACACCAGACATCACAGCTCTGTTCCAGCAGATGCAGGAACAAATGCAGGAACAAATGCAGAAGCAGATGGACCAGTTCATGACTCGTTTTAATGCCCTTGAACACCATCAATCCCAATCCTCCACTCCTACAGTCCGGCATAACGCTACTCCCTACAATCATATTCAAAATAATACGGCTATTCCAGCCTCAAATCCAGTACAAAAAGATCCTTTTGATCATGTACAAGCTCAAGTTAAAGCGCTCCTACCAGACCGATGCCGAATCACACTGTCTCATGATAATTACGACCTCTGGAGTTCAGCCATTCAAAGAGAAGCCAATGTCCTGAACGCTAGTACAGTCTTGCATCAGGATATACCTCCAGTAGGATACTCAGCTTATGATGCTGAAGTATGGCATTGCAAAGCCACTGTCATGAGAGCCCGAATGCTTCATGCTATGACTGCCCAAGCCATTGACAAATTGGGCAACACATATGACCTATCAGCCCATGGTTTATGGGACCGAACTGCTACCTTTTTCGGACGTTCTACTGGTGAAGAACGAATGCTTCTCATAAAAGAGCTCAAGGAGCTCTATATAAAAGACAATGACTACCTATCCTACCAATCTGCGTTTACTAGGATAGTAGACCGCCTTCATGCTATAAAAGAAGCATCATTTGACAACCTTATTCACGACCTATTTTTTATAGGCCTCCGCGAATGGAACAAAGCATTCATTAAGAGTAAACTTGATGAAGTATACTCAACTGGACAAGGCCCTGTCATCAATCTGGACCTACCTACCATTCAAGCTCAACTCTCTATCCGTATGGGCACCCAAGCCCGTGAATCCTGCTCCCAACACGGAGGACGACGAGAGAATCTATCCGGACGAAGCTATTCCAAACAAGCATCTAACCCCATTGCTAGCTCTTCCGCCTCAAGTTCCAACACTAAATATAAACCTCAGGACCAGGATTCACGCAAACCAAAGACCCGTTGTGATTGGTGTGGTCATTTCCACCCAATGCCTTGCCTCTACAAGAACCCTGAGAAAGCCTCTGAGCATTGGCGCCGAGCCAATAAAAATACTATTGAAGCTATTCGTGCTTTACACACTGCTAAAGAATCTTCCACTGCTTCATTCTCTGAAGCAGAAACCAATGAACTGGTACCATGGACTTCTTCAGCTGCAAAAACAGCCATTGCTAAATCAGCCCAATCTCTCCAAGCTTCATGGTATCTTGATAGCTGTGCTTCATTCCATGTTACACCCCATCAAGCTTTCTTCACGTCCTATAAAACATTGAGAAAGGAGGACCTTACTCCAGCGGATTATATTGAAGATGCTCAAGGGAAGATTTCCAAACCTCATGGTATTGGCACCGTCGTCATTGATATTGGAACCGGATCCTTGATCCTTAGGGATGTACGACATGTTCCATCCTTCAATTCCAACTTAATCTCCATGGGAATGCTTCTCAAACAAGGTTTTCGTATCGAATTCCCTTCCAGCTCTCAAGTAGCACAAATCACAACCTCTTCTGGTGCAGAATTTGAAGCCATTTTGAATACCAACAATGTATTCATCCTATCAGATTGCATTTCTCCCGACGAGAGCTCCTATGCCTTTGTCACCACCCGGTCTGGCAAAGAGGCCAACCGACCAGGGGACCCTCCCAGAAAGAAACCTACAACATCCCCAAAGACTAAGAGCTCCAAAACAGCTCTACCAATTATGACATGGCATCGCCGTCTATGCCATTTAAACCAGCAGGATCTTTTACGCCTTGCCGCAGATCCTACATCAGACATTGAAATCAAAGGTTCCAAAGAACTACCACTTTGTGAAGCCTGCATCCAGGGCAAGCAAACTCGCCAATACAGCAAAACACCAAGATCCCGTATGACTGCACCACTAGCCCGAGTCCACATAGACCTTGCTGGTGGCGGCCGAACACTAGATATAGAGAAGCTAGATATGCCTCTACCTTCACGTACAGGAGCCAAATATGTGATGCTTATTACTGATGACGCTACACGTTACCGTTGGGTCCACTACCTAACTGAAAGATCTGCTGCAATTGATGCATTTCGGGGTTGGCTACAACAGATGAAGAATCACCATTTCCCTGCCCCAGCCTATATTGTCTCTGACAATGAATTCTGTTCAGCTGAATGGCAGAAAACCTACCGTCAGGAAGGCATTGAATGGCAACCAAGTTCTCCATATTCCCCTTGGCAAAACGGTGTCAGTGAGCGCAGCATACGCATACTCTTTGACCGTGCTCGGACATTAATGCTTGACGCTCCCCATATACCACAGCGATTTTGGGTTGATGCTTTAAAATATGCATCAGATATAACAAACCGCCTCCCAACATCCACAGTCCTATTCAATTCACCTATCCCTGGGGGTCAATACCAACACCAAAATCAGCCCAAGCCCATATAAATCGCCTCTGGCTGCCTGGACCAACTCACCAACTAGTATCAACAAATACCGACGTTGGGGCTGCCCTGTCTGGGTTCATCGACATGGCTCAGATAAGCCTATAAACAAGTTCGATTCCCATTCTAAATGCTGCTTCATGATCGGCCAAATCAGTAGCCAACAATACAGAGTGTGGGACCCTAAAACAGACGCCATTTTTTCAACCAATGACACTATATTTGATGAAGAATATGAGGATCCCACAACTACACCTCCACAAGCTACTGTTCCTGAAGATCCAAGTACTCCTAATAAAGAAGATACAAACCAACCCGTTGAAGATGAAGACCAGGAAATATGGCTTCGACCCGCCAAAGGCATGTCCCTAGCCTATCTCACCGCTTCAACCACTCCTTCATCTGAAGATGACACGCCTACTTCCTATAAGCAGGCTATATCTCATCCTGATGCCACCAAGTGGCAAGCAGCCATGCAAAAAGAAGTCAACCAACTCAAAGAAAAAGGCTGCTGGCAACTTATCCGCCGCTCTGACCTACCACCAGGGACCAAGGTCATCCCTGGCCGGTGGGTATACAAAAAGAAAGAAATCCCTGGTACCCCTATTACAAGGGACTACCAAGCTAAAGCTCGCTGGGTGATCCGTGGAAATCTACTTGACAAGGACTTCATGGAATCATACGCCCCAGTGGTAGATGAAAATACCACTAGAACCCTTACGGCACTGGCCACTCTACTTGGCTGGCATACTCGAAAGGCAGATGCCATCCTTGCTTTCCTAAATGGAAAAATGCCCACAGATAAACGTGTCTTTATGACCCAAGTTCAGGGATTCAAAGAAGGCTCTGGAGACCTGGTTTGTGAACTCCGCCAGTCCCTCTATGGACTAATCCCATCTGCCCGTATCTGGTATGATACACTAAATGCTTTCTTACGACAAATTGGCTTCAAAAGCTCCGAATACGACTCTGGTCTCTGGATCCATACCACCCGGACCCAACTCTATGTGACTACCCATGTGGATGACTTCAAAGTCTATGCTAAGCATGAGAACGATGCCACTTGGTTTATGGAGTCTCTTTCTGCTAAATTTGACATAAAAGAAGTTGGAAACTCTACCAAATACCTTGGCATGGCCACCTCTCAATCCAAGACCACATATACTCTCTCCCAGGCCAATTATGCTGAAGACGTGGTTGCCTCTTTTGGCCAAGCACAAGCACACCCTGTTGGGATCCCCATGGATCCTAGTTTAATAATTGATGATGACCCAGACCCTACAGTGAACATCAAAGAATATCAACGTGGTGTAGGCTGCCTTACTTGGCTAGCCACCAAAACCCGACCTGATCTTAGCCGGACAGTTGGCGTACTATCCCAATATCACGCCAAACCTACCCAAAAGGCATGGCGTGCCCTTATACACGCTATACGCTACCTTAAAGGCTCCATTAACCGACAAATTACCTACCATAAGGCCACGGAACCCATTACATCTGACCTCCTCATGCCCAGATGTTATACTGATTCTGATTGGGGTGGTCAACTGACAGGCAATCGCCGGTCAGTATCTGGATATATATTTCTGCTTGCCGGGGCCCCAATTGCCTGGAAAAGCCGCAAGCAAACGTCCGTTGCACTTAGCTCCAACGAAGCTGAGTATATGGCTCTAAGTGAAGCCAGCCGAGATGCCCTTTGGCTCCGGAACCTCATCAACGAGCTCAACGTGCTCCCTACTGAATGCCCGCCAATTACTCTCTATATCGATAATCAAGGTGCACACGCCATGGCTGAAGCTGAGCTCACCACCAAGAGATCCAAACACATCGATATACGTTACCATTACGTTCGGGAGAAGATCCAAGACGGTATTGTTAAACTCCAGGCCTGCCCTACCAAAGAACAAGCAGCAGACGGCCTGACCAAACCTCTCCGAACTGAACAATTTGATCATTTCCTACAACTCACTGGCATAAGCTAAGCCGCGTATATCTCCCCCATTTTGGATATATTTTCTATTTTGATATACGGCATTCGATTGGCTAAAGCAGAACCTTCATTCCTCTGTTTATTTTTGCATATATTCACTCATTTGAAGGCCCGAATAGAGGCCGATTTCTGTATTTAGATTGATTCCATAGTTTGTAGGCTGCTCGTGCGTGGGGGGGTGTTAGTACACGTGAGGTTCTGCCGTCCTAGACCGCCCTCGCTACCTATCTCACGGCACAGGCAGGCCTACCTAGTAATACGACCATACATGCGCCTATCCATTAGTAGACCAGGACGAGCACGTGAGTTTCCTTATTTGGATTAGCATGGTGCGTGGATAGGAATACGTCGTCCAGCTTCACATAGATCTCTTCCTTTTTCCCTCCTCTCCATGCTTGAAGTTCTCGTCGATAGCTGCCTAGATAGTTGAATAGCATCCTATTCATCATCTAGTTGAGTTCCGTGACAGTGTATCCAATTGGAAAGTTATCTTTTTAAGAGCTCTCTTTTTATCTAGTTGCTTTAGGCCAGCTCTAGCAAAGCCACTATATATATTCTCTTGAATAAGGACCCTTTGGCGTGCAGGTGGATAGAGGCATAAGAAGTCTTCCTTAATCAATATAGTTGTTGCCAGCAATCATCATCTCCTCAAGAAACTTTCCATATGCACGCTTTAGGAGCCCAAAGAGGCCAACATCCAGTGGCTGAAAAAGGTGAGATGTATATATAGGCATGCAAAAACAGATAATTGCATTCTCCTTGCAGAAGATATCAAAATCTATAGATAAATGACTGCTATGGCTATCAAGAATAAGAAGCTGTGCCGGGGGCACTGCGAAATCCCGGATCTCCCATATTTCCTATCTTAGAACGCCTTCGAGCCGCGGTCTCCGACATACTAATGTATGATGGAGCCCGCTGCCGGAGGGTACTTAATGGAGGGTTTCCTCCCAGATAGTTACGAGAAATTGAGCATTCTTTTGGTTTCTAGGTTGCTTCGCTAGTATCGTCATCATCGTATAGAACGGAGCGAGGCTCCTTCGTCGTTGTGTTTCCTTTTATCGTTATATCGTTTTCTTGCTAGATCGTTCGGTGCCATGTGGTATAGTGGCATCATCTTGGTACATCCATCCCTGAGACCCCTCGATCACAACCCAGTTCCTGTCGCAGGGAACAACGCACGTACGCCCCCCTTTACACCATACTCTTGAATAGCTGCTTGTACAGTATCCAATCATAATATTATAATATTTGGATTCTCCTGCTTTGCCCTTTTATATGATATCGCTGACTATATTTTGTTTGAATTTCAGAATGGCATTTGACAAACTTAGATGTCCAATTGATACCAATAAGAGGTGCAGAAGGATTTTATTCTTAGAGTAGAATTTGTGCCATTCTTTGCAGGAACTCTGGCCAAATCAGAAATCCTGATTTATCTGCCTCTAAAAGATGTTTGATAAGAACCTATTCTTCAAAATCTGATAATTTATGGCCATTTGCACGTATTTCTGTACATGGTTTGACCCCATGAAGCTGATCTTGAAGGGTTGCTTTTGAGACATTAAAAACCTCAGCAGCAGCAGCAAGTGATTTGAACTGTTTCTTTTTATATGCTGATATGGCAATTTGCAATTTATTTTCTTGAGATAAAGGCATGATAAAATTTAATGATGTTGGTGGTTGCAAAAGCATTAATTCTGATGGGTGGTGGATTCGGTGGGAAAATGAGCGGCTCGGTGGTGGATTACGTTAACTAGTAACTAGTTAAGTAACTATGCTGCTGTGCAGCAGCACCGACGCAGTAGACGCCGCAGAACTGTTACATACAGTCTCAAGTGGATGGCACTGTTATTATGGTCTATTTCTACCCTGCTACGGTTCGACAATCGTGCTTCCAACTCTCCCAGGCGAAACAGCAGCAACGAGTCTGCTGCACGACCATGTTCCAGTTAGTCACGTGACATATAATGGTCCCTTTGTGTCTGCTTTTCGAGGCCTCGAAACAACGAGCCTGCGCCTATGAGATTTCTGATGAAGCCCCTGAGTAGTTACTTTGCTGGATTAGAAGGGGCTGGCTTTTTGCACGTCCACCGTCAGTTGACTTGCCGGGCATCTGCGAAGGTCTACAGCGCTGTATATCCACGGACAAGCCAATCCACCAATTCCAATCCGACTTCTCCATATTATCAACCAAATAGGACATCGGGACAAAGGTTGTAAACAGCAGTTAGATCATGCTATCAAATTTAATATTGATGCCCAACATGAGAATGTTCTGTGGCGAGTCGTCGCGCCCTGACTGGTGACCTAATGGTCGTTCCGGTTGCTGTGATACCTTAGTATGGAGATGTACAGTGCCATCCACGGTCTGCTGCATCATAGCAATCCTCATGTGTTAATGGGACTTGACAGTGCAACTGTATCCTTGGCTGGCAGCCAACGAAAGCAAGCTGGAGATAATTGGACGTGTCAAGATGCGAAGCGCCCGCAGAGCTGAAGCGGACGTGCGCGGATCGCCGTGGTTGCCCCGAGTGACGCCCAGCGATAAACATCCTGGCCGCTGTCAACCAGCCTCTCCAGCAATATGCTTCTTCCAACCACCCCCGGACTGCCTTTCTGCTCTCATTGATCAGTATTACCCGGCCCATTGTTTATGCTATTATCCCTCTTTGTTGAGTTTCAAGTACAGAGATAGATCTAGCACTCGTTTAATTGTTTATCTTCGTTCTCTCTCTTCCACACTTTATTCTTTGCTGGTTCTCGTTTCCTGTAGCTGAACTACCGTTGGAGCATACGCTGGCGAAAGCTCGACGGCATTATTCTATCCTCAGTGGGAAACAATGCCTGGCACAGTTGCAGAGGGGCCAGGGGCCTCTTTGTCCTGTATGTCTTGCCGGCTTTGCTCCATTAAATACGTACCAAGGATTCGAACAAACTAACGTTTTCTTCAATACAGTTGCCAATAACTTCTGGGGTAAAGATGATGCAGGTGTTATACCGATGCTAGAGCGTATGCACAATTCAAAAGTGACTTGTGATGAGCTGAAATCGTTCTACAGCAGTGAGTTCCTTTCCCATTTGTTTTCCTTGGTGCAATACAATCTGGTCTTCTTACAAGTATATCATGTTAGCTCGAGCTGCTATCGAAGATGAATATTCCCGAAAACTTTTGGCGCTCTGTCGGAAACCCTTCGGGTCATGCGAATCTGGATCCCTTCGCGCATCCCTCGATGTCGTCCGTGGTGAAACAGAATCCATGGCCAAGGCACACGCTGCGATTGCATCGCAAATGAAACGAGAACTAGAAGAACCCCTAGTCGCTTTTGCCGGTGGGTTAAAAGAGCGAAGGAAGATTGTGCAAGGGGGTATTGAGCGCCTCTTGAAGACAAAGATACAGCAAACACAGGCAGTAAATAAGGTAGGCTCGATGTCTTTCTGTTTGCTGGGTCAAGGTGGGATTGCTAAAATGTCACAGACTCGAGATCGGTATGAGCAAGATTGTTTGAGAATCAAGGGATATCTTGCACAAGGGCACATGGTTATGGGCCAGGAGGAGCGTAAAAATAAAGCGAAACTTGAGAAAACACAGATTCAACTTGCTTCTAACAGTCATGAATACGAGACGGCCGTGAAAATCCTCGAAGAAACAACCGGACGATGGAACAGGGAATGGAAAGCCGCATGCGACGTATGTCTCCACTGAACCCAATTTTGTCTGGAGACGGCTAATGGAAACTGTAGAAATTCCAAGATCTCGAAGAGGAGAGACTGGACTTTACGAAAAGCAGCCTCTGGACGTATGCAAACATTTCGTCTACTGTTTGTGTTAGCGATGATGCTGTGCGTACATTCTTTGTCCAACGGAGGCGACGCTGCTAACTCGAGTCTAGTCTTGCGAGAAGATCCGTCTTTCTCTTGAAGACTGTGAAGTCGAAAAGGACATTGCTTACTTCATCAAAGAAAGGGGAACGGGCAGTGACATTCCAGATCCGCCAAAATTTATAGATTTCACCCGAGGCGATGTGACCGATTCAAGTTCGGAGATATCTGAAGAAGATGGGCCATTCTCTGCAGCCCAGTTCCAACGGGCCATCAACTCAGGGCTTCGCAGCTCCTCCCCACAGCCATCGACGTACGAATCTCATCATGATCCGCAGTCTGAGCTTGCGGCCAGAATGGGCCATGGTAGCCCCTCAACTGCGCCTTCTAGCAGAGAAGCTACCGTCACTCCACAAAAGCCTGCCAAGCAGCCTCTCCCGCCGCCTAGCTATGAAAATGAGATACGAACTGCACCCCATCCCTCTGTGTCAGGCAGAGAAAATGTAGCCACTTCGCAAAAGCAAAGCAAACAGCCGCCTCTCGATGTCCATGGAGCTGCCCAACATACTCAGAGTCAGCCTCCTGACCAAGCAGCCGAGGTTGGAATGGTGTCTCGCTCTGCAGCCCCAGTCAAGGAAGCTCCAATTGCTGCCCCAAAGACAACCACGAGACAGCCTCCTCCTTTGGACCTCCGGCGGGGTGGACAACTGCCTCCGAATTACGATCCAAGCCAACACGGTGAAATTGCAGCCATACCCCATAATGCATATCCAGCAGATGGTATGACAATGTTCTGTCGCACTGGGCCTCCGTCTGAGCGAAGCTCAGCTACTAGCGCGTACCGGCCTTCGAGCCGAGATTCCCAGAGCGCATGTTCAAATAGAACGTCTCTTTCTAGCCAGGAACCAGTCAGTGCAAGGCACTCCCCGACGAAAACTACGAACGTTGCACCTCAGCCGGACGCAGGTACTGAAAAGCAGGTCCAGAAGAGAAGAAGCGCTTTTTTCAGCAACAGTCCTTTCCGCCGTAAAAGTCGGCATGAGAAAGACCGACAGCCGGCGACATCACGGGCGCCATCTCGCAATACTTGGGATTCCTCTTCGAAACAAACCACCCCCATAAAGGCCCCACGTCCTCGACGACCGACTGTAAATGATGATGCAGCCAGTGGAACCGTGGAGCCGGCGGATCCTCGGGCAAACTTTCAGTTAAATGTTGGTAATAACGTCTTCGACGTTGCGTCCCCAGATGCAGAAACAACGAAGAAAGCCTCACAATCGACCAAGAGCGCTAACGACGAACTCGACCCCATTGCACGTGCACTGGCTGATTTGAAAGGTGCCGGAAAGCAATCAAGCACTCGAGTCTCTGCTGACCGATATCATGGAATTGCTACGCCGGTACCACCACCCGTTGCGTCTAGTACTGCTGCAGCAACTCCACCCCCAGCCTACAATGATTCCTCAATTAAGCGTCTTGATGCACCTCAACCCGCGTTCACCGCCGCACAGATGCAGAAGACAACGCAGAAATACATCGGTCAGGCACAGAGTATGTTTAGGAGCGCCAATGACGGCTCCACTTCGCGGCTAGCCACCAGAAATAATGGTCCAACCCAGGAAGTTCCTCGTTCCAGATCACCTATCCCTAGACGAAGTGCCAGTCCTCAGGTAGCTCCTCGCTCAGAAACTCGAATGAGCCAGTATAGTGGAGCCGCTAGCCCAACCCAAGGCTCATACCAGTCAAACAGTGTTAGGAGCCGTTACAGTCAACCGCCCAGTCCAGCCATTGCCCCACAACGGACCAGTGATGTGGCATATTCCTCTCACGATTACTCTCGGAGAAACTCACCCAAAGTTGCCTCACGGGCTGTGTCACCTCAACCACAATTTAGACAGCAAGCCCGACCGTCCAGTGCAGGAGGGATGGAGCTTCAGCTGTCAAATCAAGTCGACATGTATGGTGGTAGTTTTGATGGATATGCTGCCAGAGGAAGGCAGTCAAGTGGTAGACCTATGTCTTCATACTATGGTGCAGATGGGGTGGCCCAGGGTACAAGGGCAAGGAGCAGGACTCTTGCCGTAGCCGATCCTGGGAGACAATATAGTCGTGATGGACGTCCGATTCTTCACTTTGGTAAGTTCCTTTGCCTTGTTTTCTTTATCCGATGGCCAAATGAAGCCGCTGTTCACTTTCTTCTGACTTGAACGTTTATAGCCCGTGCAATGTACAGCTACACTGCCGCTATACCCGAAGAGCTGGGGTTCTCCAAGGGAGACACGCTGGCGGTTATCAGACTCCAGGACGATGGATGGTGGGAGGCGGAAGTCGTGGGTGTCCGCGGCCGTCCGGGCTTGGTGCCTAGTAACTATCTGCAGGTTATGTAGGTGACCTACTTACTCCTTCTATCACTTTCAACCTAAAATCATGAGTGCATGAGCCATGATCCCAGGATGGAGAACCTTGCGTTATTTTCTTGCAAATACCCTTTTATATTCCTTCATTATTTCCCCTCCTTATTCATTACCGCAATGGTTCTACTTGTCTCTGGCAATACCAACGTGTTTTACGATTTACGCCTTGGCATCTTGGTCTGCTTAATGTTCGCATTAATTGTCTTGGGCTTCAATTTGATGTTTCTATCTGCCTGGAGAGTTTTGTTCATGTACGCTTGGGTCAGGAGAGAGTATACCCTTTCTCTTGAGTTTTCTTTGTCTGTATGAGTCCTTCACAGCCGCTGGTTTTTATTCTCCTATTTTTTTCTCGGTAGTTAGTCGAGTGGCAGCTAGCTGTGTAATCTGTTTAGTTCTGTCCCTACAGTATTTCCTAAATTGTAAGACTGCAGCTTGTAGATGTTCCTCAGCGCCGGCTCTCTTTTCCCTTTCCCGCCAGATCTGGAGAAATCATTGAACTAATACTGACTCTCTCGAAGACGGCCCATGTACGATTCCAAAACACGTAGCCCCAATCTCTCAAGCCTTTTTTGTTGTGCTCTGCATTGTATAGTACTTGAGGGCGACAATGCCCTCACCAGAGCCAGTCATCCGGATTATTTGGATTATCTGTAAAATCTTAAATGTAAACTGGATTCTGAAGCACGAAATTCCCGGCAATTATTGTTATTATGGTCGGAAGCATGGTGCCCGATTCTCCGTCTCATCTCAGAGTCAGCAATGCACAGCCTTGTTTTGCGCGAAGAATGCACCTCCAGCAAGACCAAAACTAGCAATATCGGACATGGCATTGGGCACAGATCGGAATAATGAAGAAGCCTCTACTAATGCTTCTTCTAGCGAGCATTCCAGAGAAGCTGATGCGCCAGAACTCAGCCACTTAGCTGAGAGTTCTCCCATCAACCCCCCAGTTGCTATATCCTCTACATGCTCAGGCGCCTCGGTCTTCCTGACAATAACATCGCTATGCTTTTCCTGTACTCTATCAGCTCTGGACCTCACAATTGTGACAACCGCTGTGCCCACTATCGTGAGCTCTTTCCAGTCAGTAGCCGGGTATATCTGGATTGGCAGCGCCTATATCCTCACATACACGGCCGTCACCCCCATCTGGGGCTCAGTGGCTAATATCTGGGGCCGAAAGCCGACTATACTTATCTCCCTGGAGATATTCCTAGCGGGGAGCCTGCTCTGTGCCCTGGCTCCGCGTATGGAGGCTCTGATTGCCGGCCGTGCCATTCAGGGTCTGGGTGGCTCGGGCATGGGGATCATGGCGAACATCATCATCAGCGATATGTTCTCTCTGAGAGAGCGGGGGTTGTATCTTGCTATCGTGTCGATTGTTTGGGCTGTTGGGAGCGCCGCTGGACCTGTCTTGGGTGGTGTTTTTACTACTCGTTTGTCGTGAGTGTGTACTTACATTCGTAGGTCAAGTTCCCAGATCTAATATTGTATACAGCTGGAGATGGTGTTTCTGGATCAACTGCAAGTGGTCAATTGTTTTAATTAATCCCATTTGGCAACTGCTAACCAAGGTATATGTAGTTCCGGTTGGCGCTATAGTGTTTATCGTCTTACTGTTCTGCTTGGAGGTTCCAACAACCAACACTCCAGTTTTGGCTGGCCTAAAAGCCATTGACTGGGTTGGAAGTGCCCTCGTCGTTGGCGGCGCATTAATCCTTCTTCTTGGCCTGGAATTTGGGAATGTCGTGGTTCCCTGGTCGTCCGCTACAGTCCTATGTCTGACCATATTTGGCATTGCGGCCATCGCCATATTCTTGGTTAGCGAATGGAAATTCGCTCGCAACCCTATTATTCCATTACGGTTGTTCTCCAAGCCATCCTCGGCCGCTGCTTACAGCGTCTTTGCCTGTAACGCCTACGTCTTTATCGGAGTTGCCTATTATTTGCCTCTCTACACTCAGTCTGTGTTGAACGCGAATGCTCTCATCTCAGGTGTCTACCTGCTACCTCTGATTGTCTCATGCTCTCTGGCAGCAGCCTTTGCAGGGATTTTCATGCAGCAGACTGGAAAATATCTGCCCGTTATGTACGCCGCTCAAGTGGTTCTCACTCTTGGTATTGGCTTGTTTATTGATCTGGACCTGGAGGAAAACCTGACTAAGTTGTTCATCTTTGAAATTCTCCTGGGTATCGGCGTCGGTATGAACATAGAGGCACCGATTATTGCGGCCCAAGCTGCGACGACAGTCCGAGATACGGCCGTCGTCACTGCGACAATGGGGTTTCTGCGGTCCATCGCGACGTCGATCTCCATCGTTGTTGGAGGCGTGATCTTTCAGAATGAGATGGACGCGAGGAATTCTAGCCTCGTGGCTCAGATCGGACAGAGACTCGCCAATCGATTCACCGGTGATAATTCAATGGTTAATGTGAACTTGATCGGAACCATGCCGACGAGTAAACAGATTTTCGTCAGACAGGCATATTTTGAATCACTGAGAAAGGTGTGGATAATGGTATGTTTCTTCCAGATTCCCATGTCACTGTCTCAATGGGACAACAACTCTCGCATGCACCGCTGTAAATAAAATCGCTAATTTTGCCATGTCCCCTATTCTCTTTATAGTACGTCGCATTTGCTGGCATGGCTTTGATATTGAACATTTTCGTCCGTTCCCATCGTCTAAGAAAGGAGCGTGAAGGAGTCGTACTCGGCGTCGACCGAGAAAAAGTCGATTCATCACAAATAGAGAACAGACCGGATTCAGAGGCCATCAGGCTCGCTGAGATCAATGATCATCCACCTCAGGTGTGAGATGCATGTTCATGTCATTTCATTGACCCTTGGATCAGTAAGGGACCATACTATTATCCCATATCCCTTGTTATTCATCCCTTTGGCCTTGTTCTGATTGTATGCATAGTTTGATAAGTTTTCGATTACAAATTCAGGGAAGCATTTCCTGGTCTTTTTATCCGGTAGTTAAATTATATTTCATCTGCCTTGAATCTATCTTGGTTTTGTGTCGTCTTGTCCTAGTGTTATCACGGGTTTTGGCAGCAGCAATACATATCAACCACGAGAAAGAGCAGGAGGCCGAAATGTTATAGACATGAAAAGAGGGAAAAGGTACTATGCACATATGGCCTATGGAACTAATGTTCCTTTCTGTGTCGGATTTGCTGTAGGGAAGTTCTGCAGTTAACGTTGACGACTTGTTACGCTTTGGCTTGAGGTGTCTTACATACACAAAACCTACTGTACGTTCTCGACCAAGGAATATATGAATTTGACTCCCTTGCAGCTGCATATGGTTAAGATCAATCCGCCGTGAAACATCCAGGAACCATACACTTGAATCCCTTGGGCGAATCCAAGATATGAATAATAGCGTTGGCGCAGTACGGCTCCGTACGAGCATCGAAGCCATTACTGTTGCTGGCAGCAGCAGAGTCATTGCTGTCATTATGTGGAGACGTGCTATGACTCAATTCGACCGCGGGAACGGGCGCAATCAACTGATCGGGATCTTCACCGGGGACTATGGGGTCTACATTATTCTCGAGAAGAAATGACCGCCTTTTTTCGGTGTGGCAAGTGAGTAGGACGTGGTCATTGCGGTGGCCGCAGCTATTAATGACGCGCTGGACCTGGCACATTTCGTTTCTTCTTCTCCCTTCTTGTATCTTGTACGATTATGGCTTTGGCATTGATAGGGCCCTGTCGGCGGTCTGCGGACAATAGTACTCCTCGGTCAATATCAAGTGATGTATAGACAATAATGCAGAACTCCGGCTAAGAAGCAGAAAGGAGTGAGAAAGACGGCTTCGAAACAGGTACGCGGTGACCTTGTTTCGAATAGACGTCAAATAATACAACTGTTTGCCCAGAACAATTGTAAAACAAGTTATGACTGTCTGGAAGATCAGCACAACAGATCAAGAAACAGAAATAGAGGTATTGGTTAAAGGGGATGAGAGAATGAACTCAGGTTTATGTTCTATCCTGTGGCAAATCCAAATACAGGTAAATGCACATGACAAACAGCAGAGAATGCAGCCCTTGCTTCAGTGAACGAAGGTTCCGCTTGTGAATTCATCACCATGATCAACAATGGTATGATCCATCAGATCCAACATCTGCCTGGTCCTGGGTCATGGAATCGTTCATTAGATGGACTTTATCCGAGAAAAGTACGAAGGGCTTCACGGACAAATGGAAAGAATAATGGAAGTATATGTCAGTCGTGCATCAAAACAATGGATTAGAATGTGGAGACATTGCAATTCTCCTACAGGAAAATAAAAAGCAGCATTGATATAAAGTAGACATATTACAAGAGTCACCGTCGTGATTCCCAAAGAGAAAGGAGAAGAAGAAGAAGAACCTTGAAGTCGATCATATGCTCCAAAATCTATAGGGAAGAAGTACAACTATCGTGACAAAAGGTCAGCAAGGCCACAAGACACAGATCAAATGGAAGAGACAGCAGAAACAGACAGACAAGTACACTGGGGAAGGATGAATCCACAGGAAACGCATCTCAAAGTATCGATTGGCAGGCTTATCAATGGCATGAGGGTATCTGAGCATGGCGAGAGTTGCGCTGATCCAAACGCGGGCAGAAAGCAGGTTCTTATTCATCATCGACAAATGAATTCGCAAGGCGACCAAAGAATGGGGCTTCATAGTGATCAAGAGTATCGACTAGTTTGGTTAGAACGCAACTGCTCGTCTGAGGTGAAGCTGTCTCGGCCGGCCAGAGACTCACCATCTCGGTAAGCATGCAGGCTCAGAAAAGCGATGAGGCCGATATCAAAGACAAATAGAAGCCAGGAAAGAAAGCTTGACCACGAAAGTATAAGGTGAATTATCTAAGACAAAATATACAATGTCAATTATACGTTGTGGAGACGAGAGAACGAGTACAGTGTACGTACAAAAAGGGTCGTAAAGACCATGCTTGATTGCCAGGCATGAAAGCTGCAACAGACCACCATTAGCCATCTCAGTCGATCCTGAAACGGTTCGAGCAGCATATAATGAATGATATCCTTCACATACCGTACATAATCGCTCTTATGTTCCACCAGGAGAAGGAAGACACTCCCAGCCGGTGGAAGAAGTAGGTATGCCAGCATAGCTTCAACGTCCACTCGAATGGGGAGGCTTGTGTCGAAAGCTTCCAAGTTCAACCTTCCACCTTCTACATCTCTCCTGAAATGTGTATTTCCAAATCCGGTGGTTCTACCACCATTTGTTCCAGTGAAATGGCTGGGATATTGGACAGGAGGTGAGCCGCGCGGGGAACGGAGATTCGCAGCAGGAGGTGACAAGGCGCGTTCGATCTCAGGGGACTCATCTTGGTAGGGAGCAAAGTTCATTTCGTCTAGCCAGCTCTCCGAGGGTGATATTGACTGTCATGTTATGTTAAAAGCAGAGGTAGATGGAGTGTCGCGGTGGGACGAAGGATAACCTATGATATCGTCGCGTGTCTTGAGGCTTGGCGCGACAGTCCTTCCATTATTATCTTTTCAGAAAGCGTCTAATTGCAGCTTCATATTTTTTTTGACCTATCCCAAGTCTATAGATATCATGTATGCAAGGATATTCCATCAAGTCATTAGGTTATGCTTCCTACACCCTGCCCCGACCGCGTGCAATCCCAGTGCCCCTTGCGATGCCGCTCCCACTAACCGGCCTCCGTGTAGTCGTAGAAGTTGTGGACCCTCGTGTCGCTGTTCTCGTTGTGCTAGTGCTTGTGCTTGAGTGCGAAACACCCGATGTTTTCCCCAAGCCCGTGGTGCGGACTCTCCCTCTGGTGGTTCCCAATCTCCCTCTGGATGTTGTTCCTGTTGCCTGTGTCCTCTTCCTCTCTGCTTCTTCGGCCTTTCTAGCCGCCGCCTCCCTCTGCTGTTGAAGTTCCCATTCACGGCGCTCAGCTTCCTGTTTTCTCAGCGCCTCCTCATGCTCCATATCGATGACATCTTGTGAGGCGCCTTGCCAATTGCGGTCGAGGATCAGCCGCTGGTTATGCTCGGTTTGTGAGAGGATTCGGGTCCAAGTATTGAGTAGAGTCGAGGCAGAGTCAACTGTTCGAGACACGGTCTAATGGCATAAATTAGCAGCTGTCTGCCATAACCATAAACTTTTGAAGCACAATGTACCTGCATATTGCCTTTCGCACGATCTAGGCTATCGAGGAGCCCTTCAATAACCTCATTTATCTTCTGTATAGCCCGTAGCTCATCACGCAAGGCAGCCTCTCGTGCTTCTTCACGGTCAAACAGAGTTTCGCTGTCGTGAGGGCGACTGGATCCCGATGTGGATTTGTCCTTGTCAGAGACCTTCTGGTTAAATGCCTTGCCATGCTGTCCGGGTGGAGAGCCCTGCAGATCGTCTGTGTCTGAATCCGAAAGTCTAAGATTTTCCATTTCCTCTGCCGTGCTGCGAACAGCTATGGGTGGTGGTGGTAGTAGTTCAGTGGCTGGAAACGCTAGAACTGAGGTACGCGTGTCGGAGAGTCGGACGCGTCGCCAACCTGGATTCTGGAAGGTGACTTTCGTTTTGTCTCCAGCAAAATAGAGAAACTAATACGAGACGAATGTTTATTTTATTTTATCATCGGTGAGGATCTCCCGAGTTCTGCAGGATGAATGACTAACTGAGCAGTGTTAACTAGTTAATTAACACGAGAGCGAATTGAGTTCTTCCGGGAAGCGGTCAATTTTGGTGGCTGGTTGTTCTGGCTCCTCCCGCTTGTCTCCATCATTGACAATTTTACCTCACTCCCTCCGTCATCATACTTCTCTCATTTCGACTAGGAGGTTCATCCCTATTTTATCTCATCCCAGCTCTCCTTGGTTGTTGCCTTGGTCCCTGAACCACCTGAAACGTTGGCATACTGTTGCTGGCGTCCCACACAAAGTCGCGGTCGGATACAGGCGTCTTCGTTCCACAGCGTCGATTTCTCCAATAACTCTTATTCTTGTCGTACCCCTGAGACTACGAATCGCTCTTCCTGACCCAAATTGCACTACCTATCTGTTAGATTCGAGAATTGCACACGTTAGACGAGAGGAAAGTGGGATATTCTGGCTGAAGAGGGGGTATCGAATCCCAACAGACATAATGGCGACGACACCGCCGCCGTCAGAACTCAGAATCCCTCCTACTCCTCGACATGGGCCGGGTTACGATTCATATGAACCATATGCCCCTCGTCACTCTGCTAGATTAGCCAGTCAGCGTTCAAGAGAACGACGTTCGACTCCACCCCCCAGTCTTCCTAATGAACAAGTCCGAGAGTTTCGCAAGGGCACAAGGAAGCAGGGAGACACTGAGGCTGGAGCATTGTCTCCTTCTGAGTCAATTCACGGTTCTCCGCGGAAGGACCAATTAGGTCGACTAGGTGGCTGCGTCCCGACGAATTCACTCGACAACGCACCCAGTCCGGTGAATGATAATAATAACCCTTCAGATCCTTTCGACTCAGAATCTACACACTTCAAACAGCCTTCTCTTCACGAATTCCGTACTACTATCACGAACGGAATGTTGCCAACACCCGCCAAAACTCCTAGGAAAAAGGCAGTCGGTGATGTTTCAGCCGCGTCGCGGACTCTCTTCCCATCTAGCTCCACGACTGGGCGCAACAAGAAGGGCAAGAAGCCTTCTGCCTTCTCCTTGGACAGCTTCGGTGATGAGCCAAGTGGAAGTCAGACCAAGATTGAAATATACACCGATTCCCGTGATCGAATCCCTGAAGTACATGAACACGAAGGGAACCCATTCTACAAGAAACCTGACGAGAAGACTGCAGCTGCAGCAACCCGGAATTCTGCAGTTCGCCCTTCCAGGCGACATATGGTTGAAGAAGTGAAGCGCGACAAGGAAGTCGAAGAGGCTTTTGAACGGGATGACGGCATGATCTACGTGTTGTAAGCTTTTTTCTATCTGCTTCACCACTCTCTTGGCAACTTTCTAACAGAAGTTCCTTTCAGTCGAGGTAGAAAAGTCTTTCGCAAGTTTCAAGATGATGCATTTAATGGCCAGAGTGACGATGATGACGACGACCTGGGCCTTCTAGCAGCTCATCCCGATCTTATTGACCCGTCTATCCCTACCAACGTTCGACCGTTGACCCGTTCATCTATCAAACCGCGCGTGCTCTTCCCTAGCGCCCGCAGCCGGGAATCTAAGAACAACCACGCAAGTGATGCCGACGAAGAGGCAGCTACCGACATCGAGGATCATGTGCTCCCTCAGGAAGACTCAAGTGAGAATATTCATCAAGAGGACGCCGAGGCTCCAGAGCAATACGTGACGCCCCATGCCAGATCCACAGTAGCGACACCCGCATCACCTGGGGCGACAACCCGCTCTTTACGCCCCCGACAGAAACACGAAGGCAGCAGCCATCATGAGACTCCTACGACTTCGCAGCCAAAGCGGAAGCATGCCAGTCCATTTGATGGCTGGCTCAGAAAGAAGCAGGCTCCTACTGGTGCAGTATCCAAGTCTAAAAAGAGGGATGCAGGGACGGTGAGTAGCCCTGGTGGTCCTGCCACGAAGAAATCTCGAGGAACTAGAGCCTCGGCCACATCTGTCTTGGCTTGAGTTACCTTTCATTTCATCATGACTGAGATGAGCAATGTCCGCACTACTTTCACACAGATCTTTCCCTCAAAACCGCTGATTGTTTAAACATGGTTCTTAATTCCAAGGCCTTTTGTGAATCACTGACACTAAACTTCCAATTCTACAAGTGCTATTGCCTTGTCATTCCCCTACTTTTCTTATTATCCATCATTTCATGATTGATGAGTTTTTGCTATAACCTTTCCTTCCAGAGTGTTTCCTTTCATTAATCTCTCTGTCCTGCTGATTTAGTGCCTTTGATACTGTTTTCCTTTCTTTTCCTTCCCTTTGTTGCAATGGGCCTATCATGTTTCTATGTGGATCTGGGACTGAGTTTATGGGTATGGATGGGCAATTGGAGGATTATGGGCGTGTTTAACATGGGGTTGGCTGTTTCCAGAACTTGTTTCTTTTCTTTCTTTGTTAAGCCACTCTCTCAGCCTTTCCATGGCCCTGATAGATAGGTCTTAGTCTAGATATCCCGTGTGAAAATTGAAATTGAAATTGAAATTGAAATTGAAGCAAAAGACATACTTTCATCATTCTTAGCCGTAGGTTTAAGAGTGTCCAGGCTTAAGATAAAGGAAACGGAGTGTAGGTAGTACGTAGCCCTTGGGAACTATATGGTCTACTGGAATACCTCCTACAAGGCCACCAAGGATAATATATCCTACGTTGGATCCATTTCAATGCAGACATCATACTGTACAGTAAAAGAGGATAATAAACGAGAACATGATATACCCCATAGACCAGCTAGGAAAGGTACAGGTCGTCCCTCAGGTAATATTAGCTTTTATTCAAATTCGTAGCACTCGTGTATATAATCCGTTCAGGACCAGTTGAGGCTTGCAGGGTAAATAAAAGGAAGAAAAAAGAAAAGAAGGAAAGGGCAAAGCCACAAAAAAGGCAGATAAAAGTAGTGAATGATGTGAGAATGAATAATATGCAAAGCATTTCATGTCGTGACATCGTGATAATAGAGCTGGTCCTGTTGCATTTTCCTTGAGGGGAAACAAAACAAAACAAAACAAAACAAAAAAAAAAAAAAAAAAAAAAGAATGACAGAAATGAAAATCCAGTTTTCTTTTGATGGAGCAGGTTGAGATCATCCATTACTTTTAATATTTCCTTCTCTTAATTGTATGTTCAACACGTCCACGCGCACATTTGCGATGTCGAGCTTTGACAATCGAGGAGAAAAATAACAGCCAACCTAGATAATATCTAGATCGTCATCATCGTCATCATCATATGTAGCTTGCATATCCTTCTTGATTACTGAATCTCTTCCCCCAAGACTGTCACGTCCAGCTTCCCTAATCCCGTTGGCAGTGATGAATCGCGTCTTCTTCACAACATTGCTGCCTCTGTCACCTTTGTGTGCCCGCTTTAACGGACTTAGCCGAATAGCCGCAGCCTTGCGCAAATTGGTAAGTCCCAGACTGCTGGCTGAGTGTGACTTCTTCACCTCTTGCGCTGCAGGTCGGACTGACGGTGTTGAAGGGGAAGTAGAAGATGCGTCTCCGCCAACTTGAACTCGTAAATACTCTGCACCTACGCCCCCGCCTCGGGAACGAGAGAGTTTCTTGGTGATCTCACGCTCTCGCTGCTGTTCAGCGAGACGCCTTCGGAGACGTTCTTCCTTGTTTTCCATGCCCCGACCATTCATCCCCGCAGGGAGGAACAGGTTATCATCATCAGCATCAATGAGGCTGACTGCTGATCGGCCGAATGCAGCAGGATGAGGGCTATAGGGGCCTCCATTATGATTCCTGGACGGGGCCGGCGCCACATAATATACAGACTGTGTTGTACGATCGTATTGCGCGCCGTCTGGTTTCAGTCCGCTTTGTCCACCTTTATGCCCGTTCCCTCCAAAGAAACCAGTCCGCGGAGCTGAACGTCCTCCAGGACCAAACATTCCAGTACCGTTATTCACACCCATTCGCTTCGATTGGGTTCGGCGGACTTGGATGTCGATGTGGAAGTCACAGAATTCGGTTTTCCGGGCATCAACCCATGACTGACAGGTTTTACCATCCTTCCTGACAGCCTTGCAGAACCCGATGTCTCTTGCGAAACCGACTTCGAGGATCTTGTCGTCGGATGATGAAATTGCCAGACTAAACCGGTTAGTATCTAGCTTGTGTTTAGGTGGTGGCATTATTGTAGGGTTTAAAATAGCGATGAGAACACCTTCGGAGAGCTTGTAATAGCGTGGGAAAGCGGTGTCGAAGAGGAATAGATCAACAGTCCACTTGAGGTCAGTAAGGGTGATAGCCATGTACTTGTCTGTATTTTGCAGGCCGTCATCATATGGATCAACCTCCTTTGTGGTGCGGTTTTTGGGTTGCTGGATATCTTTGGGAGATGACTTGGAAGCGACAATCCCGAACACAACGAAATCTCCATCTACGTCGGGGAGATCAAAGTCGGGCGCCTTGACCATCCTGAGGAGATCAGGAATCTTTAAAACTTTCTTGCCACTGAGAGTTCTGTTCAGGAAGGAATGGGGAAGGATGCGGTTCGAAAGATGCAGCGAGGAATAACCCTCGAACTTGGACGAGTCAGGCGCCCTTCCTGGAGCGTTTTCCTTTTCGCTTTGCGCTTCACTGCTGAAAGAAGAGTGTGCGCTTGTAGGCTGCGAAGACCACACGTCAGATTCGGACTTGTGGTTCCGTCTGTGCAGATGAGATTTGTTCTCTTGGGACATGCCCACGCCGTGTTTACTGGGAGATGTGTTCCTTCTTTTGACACCAGACGAATTCGAGTGATATGACCGCAAAACATCCTCACGGCTGAAGGCTTCTTGGTTTTGCGCTCTGACAGGAGACTTTGGGCGAGAGTCTAATCCAGCCTTAGCAGCTGCCGTCTTGAAGGATTCCATCTCTGCTTTGTCCAATTGAAAGGCCGAACTTCGACTCTGGCGTAGCTTCTCTGCTCGTTCCAGGCGGGATCTCTCTATTTTCTCCATGGATCGACTCTCGGCCATCCTCTCGCTAAAGCTCTTGATTCGTCTAATACCGTCGTCTCCAGGAAAAGAATGAGCCTGAGACACGAGTGAGTCGCTGGTGCCAGGCCTTCGAGCCCCTGAGCTACTCGCCGACGAAAGTCCCGATCTCAAGCTGGGCGGACGCTTCAGGGACACATCGTGGCCTTTGAGACCTTTATCGATACCGAGCATGAATCGTCTTGGTGACTCGGGTTCGGCGATAGGCGCAGGCCTCTTCATCGGGGACAATGGGACCTGAACTTCCTCGGGCTGCGTTCGTCCTCTTGGACTCCAGGCAGCAGGAGCGTGCTCGGAAGACCGAGATGATGACGGCCGTGGAAACTGGCCACTACCATCATCATCATCACCCCCCTTGGCCGCACGGCTCTTTTGCAGCTGCTTCAATTTCAATTTGGCTTCGATGGCGGCAAGTTTCAGCTGGAGAGTCTCTTCGTCATCGTCGTCATCGTTGTCTTCGTCCTCTATGTGTCCGTCAATTCCGTCGTTCAACAGTCGGTTCGCTTTTATTCGCAGATTCGGTGTTGTCACTGCTTGTTTGAGGGGGGAGCTGAAGTTTTCCCGACGACTCTGCATCTCTTGCAGCCTCTTTCGGCCGCCTGGAGAGCTCAAGAGAGCGTCTCGCGGTGACTTTGGGGGCCACGAAATCTCGACCATCTTTGATGAGAGGGGTATGTGTCAGTAAAGCATTCTGTTTGGTGGTTTTTACCTAGCTCAGCGGAGGAGACGCTACTCACTGCGGGACTGTCACATAGGGTGCTTTTGTGCAACTATCGAGTGTGACACAACGTAAAATGCGGAGTAGACACAGCAAAAGAACGGCCCTCTTTTTGCAGCGCTATCTGAATCCTCCCATGCTAATAATAAACTGTAAACAAGCGGATGTACACAGGATTGACGAAGGGTCGACCGGTGAGACAGACAAACTGAGATGTCGGGAACCGCCGTCGGAATGGAAAGATGCTTCCCAGGGGCATAACCTTTTCGGAAGAAATCGTATTAGACTTCAGACGAGCTGATGCAAGGCGGTTTTCACCGACATGCGGCTACAGTTAATTAGATCCATGGAATCCTGGTCGATATATCATTTGTGACGGGGGCGCTATTGGCTGCGAAAGGCGATGGATCAGTGTCGCGTCGCGTTTTCCTTGGATGTGCTACGACGCGTCGAACTCTTAACCCGAGTCTCTAAGAGAGATGCGCAACTGATGTCAAATCACTCTTCTACGACAATTTAGCATCACGGGAAAGGAGGAGGAAAGGATAATTTCGAAAGAAAAATATTCAGTTGGTCACAATGCGTACTCGCACAACACGCACATCGGAGTCTGCATCAAAGCCAACTGCGACGACCGAGTTCTCTACGAAACCAAGCAAGACATTCATTCTACCAACCGCAGCAAGCAATGACGCCGATTCCAGATTCATTACGCTCCCTAACCCGCGAACGGGATCCCTAAATCGCTACCTCTTCTCCCCCAAACTCGGCCTGTACGAGTTCACAGTCGTCGCGCCTCCTCCCCGCCAACCCCCAAGAAGCATTCTCTTCGCCCCAAGACCAACGGATGCAGCATCAGAAGAAGAAAACAAAAAGGGAAGTCCAGGGGCAATTTCAAGGAGAGCAGAATTATGGGTCGCAACACCGGTCGATTTCCTTTTCTTCATGATACCATTATTAGTCCCCTCAGAGCCGACGAGGAACAGTGACAATGCCAAGGGACTGTTTCAGCCATTGGATGATATAATTGATTCCCAAGATGACCTTCATGCGCATCTGCGGTATGTCCTCTACGTTGAGACTTTCCGAGATGTCTACCGGCAGCGAGTGGAGGCAGTCTGTGATACCGTGGAGGCAGGAGACGAGAAGATGTTCCGGTTCAACGAGAAGAAGTTGCTCCAGGAGCTAATCCGGAAGGCTGAGCAGATGGCTGCGCAGGGACTTCCCGCCAGCTTGGAGGAGAAATTTGTCCGGCAGGCGCTAGTTACGCCGTTGATGGCCGTCAAACGAGAGGATCTCGTCACGGACAAGAATGGCCATGGCCAATCTCATTCTAATGAGAGCGAAAAAGGAGAATCACAGGCAGAAAAACTGGAGTCTCAATCAAGTACGGCCACGGCTACGACTACGCCATCTCTATCAACACTCTCAGGACAGTCTACACCTGCAACAGAACCATCGGTAACAGACTCTCCAGACACGGATGATACGAAACCAGAATCCACCCAGACGAACAGAGGAGAAAACACAGGCGCCCCCGAACCCATAGTCCGCCTCCTCCGCCTCTCTACCGCCCTTTCATTCATCAAACAATCCTACCTCCCCCCATCCCTATCCATTAGGATCGATGAAATCCTCTCTTCGCCAGAAAGCCCAATAGATTTCACCCCCATGAACGAGCATCTGAAACGCGTAGCCACGCTTCGTGCGGAGGCTCTCGCAGCTCGCTCCCTGGCAGACTTCAGCCGCAAGCGTACTGCAGAGGACGAAGAAGAAGCCGAGTCCCGCGCGGACAAGAAACGGCGGAAAGAGGAAGAGGAGAAGAAGAAGAAAGCTGGGGAGTCTCGCGCGGCCCGAGAATTAAAGAAAGTGGATACGAGCGGGATGAAGAAGATGAGCGATTTCTTTGGAAAGGCGGCATCCAAGAAGAAGACCTAGGGTTCTTCTCTTCTCCATCTGCTACGTCCGAGATTTATACTCCACATGGTATGGAGAGAAGGAAAAAAGGCAGCGTCCTCTGTGGGAAGATTAGTCTCCCGGATACGAGGCGAACGCCAGCATCAACCCGAATTCCTATTTATCGGAAGCTTCGCCTAGGTCTTCCCATTCAATGCAGGTCCTATGAAGGTATGGACGCCGCTCTGCCAATTTCCGGAATCCTTGAGATACAGGTTTACCTTGGTGCCAGGGGCAGGGAATGCCTAAATTGGCTCTTGGAGATGCTGCATAACCAGCATTTGTAACTACCCAAAAACATTGGGATCATGAAATTAATTGGACCGCAGAAACAAGAAGTGCAGTTCACAACAAGGTTTTTGTATTATATGGTATGTAAAAGTAGCTTTCTTTCAAGTGCATAGCATATAGTATATTATGGTAAACATATTAAGTGCATATATCACATATGCAAACAGTTACAGGAGGCAAATGAGTAAATTTGAGGTCGTTATTGCATGCTGAATAGTAGTCATTTAGATCTCAACCTGCGAAATTGCAGCTCCCGTAATCCTATAAATTGTGAAGAATTATTAGTTCCTGTCTCTTTACCCAGGAAAAGATACATCAGAATTTCCAGATATAACTTACATAAAGGAACCGTTGGACGGCTTGCTGATGACCATCGCATGTGCCATCTTCTCATCGCTGATATCAGGGAATTTCTTATAGTAGTATTCCTCCTTGAGGGCCTTGATGACAGCATCGACCTTCGTTTGCGGGAGCATATGGACAGTGCAGCCTCCCCACCCAGCTCCAGTCAGTCGGCTGCCCCAGGTGCCTGCGCGGCGGGCTATGGCGCAAATGTCATCGACTTCCGGACAGCTACACTCATACAGCGTGCGGCACGACTCTTGAGATTCATTGAGCAGTTGGCCCAAGTAGAGGATATGGTGCTCATCAAGTGTGTTTGTCTTGGAAAGGCAGGCTTTGAAGTCCAAAACACGACGGGCTTCCTTGAAGCAGTGCAGGGCGCGCTGGCGAAGAAGGAAGCGCTCAGCTTGGACAGGGAACGAGGACAGAAATTGGGCCTCGAGTTCTGGTACGGTTATCTCCAAAAGCTTGGCTATCTCTTCTCGTGTGTAACCTTCCTCCTGGGTAAGCTGCTCCATGGCGGCTTGAATGACGGAGTCAACTTGGTATTCGAGAGGATCCCCAAGCCGCCCTTCTTTTCGCATGAACTCGTTATGGAAGTTACGAAGGCTGTACCCAAGAGAGCTGTTATCCTTGGGTAGGGTCACATCGTTCAGTTTGGCTAGCACCACAGCGGCGAGAGTGCATTCAGCTACACGCAAGTTATACCGGCGTGGAGCAGTGTCAGCCTTATTAGATGTGACGAAGCTCTGCGCGACTAGGAAGGTAATCTCATGCTCGGCCTTCGGGATAGGAACATGCTGCACGGCGAAGTTGGGGAAGAATTGGGTGTAGAGTAAATATCCTCGAGCAGAGAAGATGGAAGCTGCTTGGTCCATGCTATGAGGTACGTCAGCAGGAGAGCGCACAGATCCTCAACAAAGCCTATCTTTGACCTACCCCCCAGAGTAGACTCCAACTGCACGTTCAGAGACGACTGCCAGGTCCAAAAGGTCCTGTTTGGAGACATTGTGGTTGTTTGCTTTCAGAACCGCCAATGCACTGGAACAGACAAATGCCGCACTACTAGAGATACCACCACCAGGTGGAACGTTGCCGTCCAACAGAACCTCTATACTAGCAGGCGCAAACGATGGATCCGGGTATCTTTCACGCAAAAATTTCAGGGCACCCCGAATGCCAGACTTGAAGTAATTCACCCATTCATGCTTTTTCGGATCGATTTCAATGTCGGTAGTCCGGGGGACGCTGAACTCCCGGGTCGGGAACTTCTCCGGGTTCACATTGGAGATCTTAACGAAAGGCTCGCCATCTGAGGGGACGACCTTGACGGCAATAAGCACATCCACGCTAACAGCGGTAGGCAATACGTCGTACAGCGAGTAGTCGATATGCTCACCGATGATGTTGACGCGACCGGGGCTGCGAGATACGAAATCGGGGCGGTGTCCGTACAGCTTGGTAAAGCCAGAGATCAAACCATTCCAGCGCGCCTGAACTTCTGGTGAGACTCCTGAAGACTCGTCTGAAGCGTAGACGTCGGCAATGGATTCGGTCTCGGGGACGAGTTCCTTGGGTGTTGCTGCCATAATCAGTGGGTTAAGCTGTGTGTATAGCGTGCGTAAGTCTAAGGATTTGGGCTGAGAACGAGAAGAAGTTGGCAAGAACCAGGAGTAGAGGGCAATTGAAGCGCGTTAAAACGGAAAATAAGTGGATTCCCCTGATGGGTGGTGAGACAGAAATCGTAAGACCGTGACCTGTGAGGGTTTCCCTTTCTGGCCATCCCTCCCGCATGAAGGGTCAGTCGCCCCGCCGGGGTAGCAGTGACTGACTAAGCCCCCACCAGGAAAAGCCAGCCCCATGCGCGGATGCTACCCTGCGACATGACGATCAATGGTGGTGGTATTTGGTTGGGTTCTGGAGACGTTTGTTGGGCTAGATCACTGTGGATTTCAGCTTGTCTCCTGCTGCCCTGCTCCATGTACAATTCCATATGGAGTGTCAGAGTTGCAACAAGCTAAGCAGCATTGGATATGCCACGTGATGATAACAGAAACAGGGCTTGCTGTAAATAACTCCGTGGTTATACCCGAGTGTCTTCCGTGGTGTCAGAACGAAATCGGTATGGAATTGTCCTCGAGATGTTCTCGCATGATGGATGCATCAATATTCAAGCACTATCGCGGCTGATCAACGTTGGAATGATCAAATGGGCCCAGGGTAGGAAATTTAGGTGGTAGTAGTTTCAACAGATGGCTTCAGTGCACGCTGCGTCATAGCAGGGACATCAATGTCCTCGGGAACGGAACGGCTATATCGATCATGTGATCCACCGAGAGAAGACCGGCTCGGGTAATTGTCACAATTATCACTGCTATGGACGGTCTGAATGCCGAGTTCTGGACGCAGTGGACGGGTTATTCATGACTTGAGTCGAAGTAGTACGCGGCAGTAGGAAGCGAAGTAACCGTGCCTGGGGAACTCCAGCAGAATTAGTATGGTACCTTAGTACCTAACCTGCAGAGATATATATAGCGTGGCCACCCCGTGCAATCCACACCGGGCTATCTAATCGTACTCACCGGTGCCTCCAGCATCAGTCGACCAGAAACTGATGAATACGGTGTACAGACAACTTGCTGCACAGCGTACATATTACCTGTCGAATGCATTGCTGAGTCATCCGTATGATCGTAAGCACGGGCGCCGATGATCGGAGGCGGCGGGCGACGACGGGCGACGACGGGCCAATAATGGCGCAGCAGATTGAGTTAAAAAAGGTCGAAAAATTAAAGCCAAAATGGAGGTCGATTCTCTTCTCCCCGGCCTCTTTTGACTCATTTCGCCCTCTCTTTCTCTCTCTTCCTCATCCTGTCCTTACTCTTCACCCCTTCATCCCACCCTCCCCCCAGGCCTGGCTGTCGTCTGTCACGATGATGATGCCTTTAAGACCGTCAAAAGGCGCCATGCGCGCCCTCCAGTGCCGGAGATCCTTCGTCTCTGCGCGCTGTCATGTATCATCCGTCACTGCAACCGCCATCGCACCACTCCGCTCATCCCTCCAAACATCAAAGCGATCCCAGAGCACAGCAACTGCTACCCCGTGAGTCGTTTCCTGGCAATGCATTCTCATGGCTGCAGCTGTCCTTTCTGACTGACTTGGTGCAGAGGTTCAAGACCCGTTCCGAGCCCTGCCTTCAATCGGGAACCCCAGCGCAATGAGGTTTCACCCCTGCAGAACCGGCAGGCCCCCGACCTCGATGACTCGTACGTTCCACGGATCCGGTTCTATATGGGGTTTCCGTTTGCCAATCCGAGGACTAATCTGGTGTTGCAATAGATTCGTCGGTCTTAGTGGTGGAGAAATCTTCCATGAGATGATGCTACGCCTCGATGTAAAGCATGTTTGTGAGTCACATCACCACCTCTGTTCGGTCAGGAGTTGAATTGAACTCTAACCTGTAGAAACAGTCGGCTACCCCGGCGGTGCCATTCTTCCTGTCTTCGATGCTATCTACAACTCAAAACACTTCGATTTTATCCTCCCGAAACATGAACAGGGTGCTGGTCACATGGCAGAGGGCTACGCTCGCGCTTCTGGAAAGCCTGGCGTCGTCCTTGTCACCTCGGGTCCTGGAGCCACTAATATAATCACCCCCCTGCAAGACGCCCTCTCTGATGGTGTTCCCATGATCGTCTTTTGCGGTCAGGTCCCCACCACCTCTATTGGTACTGATTCATTCCAAGAAGCCGATGTTGTCGGCATCTCGAGGGCCTGCACCAAGTGGAATGTCATGGTGAAGAGCGTTGCTGAGATGCCTCGTCGCATCCAAGAAGCCTTTGAGATTGCAACGACTGGCCGCCCCGGCCCTGTTTTGGTCGACCTTCCCAAGGATATCACCGCCGGCATTCTCCGCAGACCTATCCCCATGAGCAGCACTCGGCCCTCTCTCCCCAGTGCCGCGGCATTGGCGGCTCGTGAGCTAAGCAGCCAACATCTCCAGGGCACCATCGACCGTGTGGCTCGCCTGGTTAATGTTGCCAAGAAGCCCGTTCTGTACGTTGGCAACGGTATTCTTGCCGACCCAGATGGTCCGAAACTCCTGAAAGAATTTGCCGACAAAGCATGCATCCCTGTTACCACCACTCTGCAAGGTTTGGGTGGATTTGATGAGATGGATCCCAAGTCGCTTCACATGCTGGGAATGCACGGCTCTGCATATGCCAACCTGGCCATGCAGGAGGCCGATTTGATTATTGCCATTGGCGCTCGTTTTGATGACCGTGTAACTGGGAATATCAGCAAGTTTGCACCACAGGCGAAGCTCGCTGCTTCAGAGGGTCGTGGTGGCATTGTCCACTTTGAGATCATGCCCAAGAACATAAACAAGGTGGTCCAAGCAACCGAGGCCGTTGAGGGTGATTGCACGGAGAACATTCGCCTCCTCATTCCTCATGTCACCCGAGTTTCTGAGCGGAAAGAATGGTTCGATCAGATCAACTATTGGAAGTCCCGTTTCCCGCTTTCTCTCTACGAGCGCCAAACTGAGGGCGGCGCGATTAAACCGCAATCCGTCATTGAGAAGCTCAATGAGCTCACAGAGCCCATCAAGGATCGTACTATCATCACTACGGGTGTCGGCCAACATCAAATGTGGACCGCACAGCATTTCCGTTGGCGTTATCCGCGTACCATGATCACGTCAGGTGGCCTGGGTACTATGGGATTCGGCCTCCCGTCAGCAATCGGTGCTAAAGTGGCTCGACCTGATGCTGTCGTTATCGACATTGATGGTGATGCTTCATTCAACATGACCCTTACTGAACTTTCGACTGCAAATCAGTTTGACATTGGCGTCAAGGTCATTCTGATGAATAACGAGGAACAGGGTATGGTGACACAGTGGCAGAATCTGTTCTACGAGGACCGGTACTCGCATACCCATCAGAAGAATCCCGACTTCGTGGCACTCGCCCACGCTATGGGAGTTTCTGCTCGCCGCGTCTCCAGCCCTGCTAAACTCGAGGAGGAGTTGAAATGGCTTTTGGAAACTGATGGCCCGGTTCTGCTGGAGGTTATGACAGATAAGAAGGTTCCTGTTCTTCCAATGGTGCCTGCTGGCAGTCCTCTGCATGATTTCCTCGTTTATGATGAAGGTCAGCTCCCTCCCCTCTGATGAGTCATGAAAACCCGCTGATATCATTTTCTTATAGAGAAAGAAAAGCAAAGGAAAGCCCTGATGAAGAAGAGAGGAGTTAAGTTTTAATCAATAATCCGAAGAAAACATATGCATAAGTCTGAAAACTAGGTTGATCGACCTTCTTGTCATATTCTTGATATCCACGGCGTTCCTGGTGATTGCAAAGGCACACTACTGGAAGGGGTGACATAAAAGCAGAAGGAAAAGTGGACAAAAGTTGGATTTATTTTCCTCTATTTCAAAAAATTCTTTACTTGCTTCTCGTCCTTTTCCTCCCCCAAAATGTGTCTCCTCGGCGAAATCTCAATCGGCTTTCTGTCTATTCTCAAGTGATTTACAGTTGGCGGAATCTGCCATGTACCCACGTATCATCTGTGCATGTACATACTTTTGAATTTCCTTTTAATATTCTCATTGGAATATATTATCCTGGACAGCATTTCAAATGAAGCGAAGAACTCGAGAGTCGAGTCTCAGTATAACTATGGTTGTGATCACGTGGCGTTCCCTTCTCTGCAAAAGCCGCGGCTGGCAATTACTTATCGGCGATGTATTGCCATCGGTCCATCCTTCCAGAGCACGCTATCATCCTACCATCCTCTCCCCTCGGAATGTCGAATCTAGCTCTCTTCTCGTAGCATTTTTATCTCTTATTTTTATATCCCCTGATCCTGCCTTGTAAAATGGCATCTATTCCAGGATTCTCAGCCGGCCGGAGGGCCAGGCCGTCAGATACCGCAGCGTCTAGGAACTGCGAGCTAGCGAGAGCACCCGGCCACGATTCAACTGGCTCTTTTTCTGCAGGGTCCCTGGAGGACAGTGAGACCGTTCTTCTTAATAGGGAATCGTCGTCAGATGGACAACCGCCGACAGAAATTTCAGCAAGAGTGTCCAACAAATCCCCCTACTCGGTCTCGAACACCTCAGACACCATCGATTCGTCTGACACCGAACCGCGAAAGTGCTGGATCTGTTATACCGACGAGACAGAAGATTCGCCACTCAACTCAGAATGGCGCTCGCCTTGCCCTTGCGCTTTGACTGCTCATGAAGCTTGTCTCCTGGACTGGTTGGCCGACATGGAGAACCCTCGGACACGCAATCTCAACGGTCGCACAACTAAGATGCTCTGCCCGCAGTGTAAGTCCGAAATAATGGTAGCGCGACCGCGCAACTTCGTTGTGGATGCTGTTCGCATGGTTGAAAGACTTGCGGGCCGCTTGGTTTTGCCTGGGGTGGTGTTCACTTTGGCGGGGACGGTTTGGGCCGGTTGCTGCGCACATGGGATGTATTCTATGTACTTTGTCTTTGGAAAAGAGGAGGCAAGACGGATATTTGAGGAGAATGTAGACGGACCCTGGCCGTTCATACCGTTGGCATTGATCTTTGCGCGCACCCGTTATGCCGAGGCCCTTCTCCCTACCGTTCCGGTGCTGTTCTTTGCATCCCATGGATCCACACAGGAATCAGACCTGGATCTTTGGCCTCCAAGTGCAGCCATGACCTTTGCCGCCCTTCCTTATGTGAAGAGTTTCTACACCACTCTCTACGAGAGGTTTTTCGGAAAATTGGAGCGGAAGTGGGTGGCGGAGATCCAGCCGAGAGCAGGGGAAAATGAAGCAGGGCAACAAGACGCTGCTGGAGCTATGGACGAACGGGGAAATGACGGACAGATCTTGATGGAGATCGATCTCGAATTGCAGGTCGGACTTGGTGGTGATGAAGACGCACAGGAGGCTCCCGCGGGACAAAACCAAGGAGCAGGTCCAATGCCTGGAGTCGGGCGCGCACACAATGAACTCATAACAGATGGCAGCAGCCTTGCGGGGACTGTCCTCGGGGCCCTTCTATTTCCGGCAATATCCGCGAGTATGGGTGGGTTACTAAAGCTTATCCTCCCAAAGTCGTGGACTACCCCTTCATCCATGGTGTTAGAGCGAGGTCGAGCTGGACTCTTCCAAACCCGCTGGGGAAGAAGCGTCGTTGGCGGTTGCGTCTTCGTCTTGTTGAAGGATGCGTTGATTCTCTATTGTCGGTGGAAGCTGGCGCAGACACACCGAAAACGACGGATATTAAACTACGATCGGAAAAAGAAGCAGGTTGCGGGAAAGGGAAATGATAAATAGATTGCTGGACTGATTCCTGGTTTAATTGCTTCTTGGATTTTCCTCTTGTCTGTTCAACCTGACGATCATAACACGGTTTAATGCATTTCTAGCGGCGTTGGCATGATTCAACTTGGCATCGATAATGACGCTCAAAATTTCCTTTCTCTCTCTACGTTGTATAATACAACCAGGGTATTTTCATTCTTAGCAAAAAAAGAGAATTTGCATATATCAAACATTTCGAGTTCCTGACTGTCTGCATTCACGCCTGGAATCCAAGGCGGCAGTCCGATAGTGGCTCAACGCGCTTAGCCTGCGGAGCGTATAACCGCGCGCTTATTTTTGAACTCCGGGATCTCCTCGCGTTCTGCGGACAACCATCCACCCCATTATCATCACCATTGGAAAACGAACCAATTGATACCGCGAGTTCCCTCGAATGAAGAAAACATAAATAAAAAATGCGTCCTCTTTCCCCCATCCTCGCCTCACTGGCGAATGCCTTCAAAATCCCCGTCTCCTCCCCATCTCGCCCGGCAATCCGTCTCAGCAACAATGTCGCAAACGAAGTAACAGGAAGAGCAAGACAATTCTCCTCCACTACACCCGTTCTAGCGAAGAAAAGGGGCGGAAAAGGCGGTGATAGAAGAATCAGTTCGACTCCCCTCCCATGTACTTTCTTCTTTTTTCCATCAGAAAAAGAAAGAAGATAGGTAGGCTAACAATATATCCTATTATTTTTTCACCAGAATTAATAAGATACTTCCTCTATCACCCCCTAACACCCCGCCCCCTACGATTCTCACGAACCCGCTACCTCCGCCACTGGACCATCCACCGTGCCTGGCAACTATACCAGGCCTCCCTCCGACGAGCGCAGGAGCTCGAACTCCAGCGCCAATGGCAGGCGATGCGGGCCGCGTGCGAGGAACTCCGAACCGGCGCGGGTGATGGCGGGAAACTGTTTCGTGTGTCGATGAACAAGAAGGGTGTTTTTACGGATTTGATTCCGATTGAGTATGGACGGTTGCAAACTGAGGGACCTGCCACGAGTGGGTGGAATTATGATTGGAAGAGGGTTGAGAAGCATGGACATTGACATTAACATTCATTCACATGGGTCTTAGGTTAGGTCATTTCATTTCTTTCTTTTTGTCTTTCTATAAAAAGGGGATAATTCATGTTTGTTTTGTTTCTTGGTTCTTCCTTGTATCTTGAAAAGAATGCTTTGAATAGGAGAATTGTATTTATATTTGTACATTGACTTACGAGTTTGGGGGTAAGGTTAATATCCTCAAATAGTGCACCTGCTGCTTTAGACCGGGTAATGTTGATCATAGATTGACTACAAGTCCTAACCCGAAAAGACTAGGAAAGAAAGGAAAGAAATCAGCCATGAAAGTAGGAAAACAAAAATCCATCCATTCCAATTAGCTAACTGGGATATCCAACTTGCATCAATTGCACGATGTAAAGAATTGTACGACAATGGAAGAACTCGCTAGAGATCAAAATCAATCAAAAGAAAGTTAAACAAGAACAAGAAAAAAGAAAATAAAAGAGCGTACAGCCGAAATGAAGAACCATGGTACATTGGGAATCCCGCTCAAGAGAGCATAACATCAGGGTGCGCCTAAACTGAAGGGAGAGTGGCTAAACCTTTACATGTATGTGCAAAGAGAACATAAAAGAAACGAATCCCGGGACAATAAATATAGGACACCATGGGCAAGAGATATATAACGAAAATGGCAGAAGTGAAGGAAAGAGGACATCGTGCGCGCGAGTCGTTGCAAGTCAAGAAGGTATTAAACAAAGGATCAAGTCGAAATAAATATGAATCAGGGGACACCCAGAACGCCGGTAAATGCGAAGATAGTTTATCCCCCCAAGTTCGGTCAACCAGATAATTCAACCAAAAACGGAGAAAGCAGTCGCTATGCGGCTGTACGGGAACAGCGTGGGTTTCGGAAGAGAAAGGCTTCATTGCTGGTGATCGGTATCGTGAACGTATGCAAAAATCCCAAAAGAAACTTCGTGGGTATCGCTGAAGCATGGTGCAGGACTAGTTCGTTCATAGCACAATGCAGCATGAGCTTTTGCGCTTGTCGAACGTGAGAAGGGCAGCTCGAGTAGCTGCCTCAAACACATCGTCAACCCCTTCTCCAGTCAACGAGGAACATTCGAGGTATTTCCTAGCTCCAATCTCTGCGGCCGCTTCATTCCCTTCTCGAGGCGTCACGAAGCGCAACGATTTCTTTCTCATTTCTTCGATAGCTAGAGGGTCCTCGCGGAGATCCTTTTTCAGTCCGACCAGTATAACGGGGACGCCGGGGCATCGTTCATTTGCCTCCACAATCCACTGCAGTCCATGGTTAGTTACTCCAGCAGATTGTTGGTAGAAAACACGATAACAATCCAATTAGGAGAAAAGAAGAAGAAAAACGGTGCGAACCTTATGCTTTACGTTCTCTAATGAATCCGGTGTATCCACGGCGAAACCAATCAGGAGCACATGAGCTTTCGAATACGCCAACGGTCGCAATCGTTCGTAGTCTTCCTGACCAGCGGTATCCCACAACGCCAACTGAACCGATCGCCCGTCTACTCTGCAATCCGTCACGTAGTTTTCAAAAACGGTGGGAACCTATCAGCGGCGAAAGTCAGATTCGAATGTCTTGTATAGCAGGTGGAAAGAAGCCCGAAGACGGAAGGGATCGATCACTAACATAATGCTGGCAGTCGGATGCTCTGTTAGCTTCCTTTCTTGTATGTTTAGATGGTGGAATACACTCACAGTTGGGAAGTATCCAAGAGTGAATACGCTGAGAAGACTGGTTTTCCCACAAGCTCCATCGCCGATGATTACCAGCTTCCTGCATGTCGTCTTAAGTCAGCACTGTTTGTCCGCAAGAGGTGCGATTCCGTCCTCATTTCAGGCATACAAAGGAAATGGAGACTGGACGCTGGGCTGGACTCCCCAAGCCCGCTGTCTCGATGGACCCGTTTCGCCGTGGTAGGTCTTCACTCAAGCCGCCCAGGGGGTGGGTAGTAGAGATGGAGTATGGTCGATGACGAACCCTCATCGGTAGCGGAAAGCACGTACCTTCGCATCACATTGTCATTCTGCTGCTGGGCCATGTTCGCGGAGCGGTCTGGCGACAGAAACAAAAAGGAGTCGACGCGCGAAAAAAACACAGGTTTCAATTGAATCAGGGCAAATGCCGGAATTAGGCAGAAAGGGGCCTGATTCTCTCCCTAGACCCCACCCGTGAAACGGTCAATGACGATCCTGACAACAGTGAAGGGGGCACAGGAATCGATAAAAGCCGGGGCCCCTCTCCCCTTAAATAGGATGGGATCTGAGCGTAGTGCGGCCTAGAAGGTCAATCGACGAGGCCTGCGGCTAATTAGCGGGAAGCCAGAGATCGACCGGTCAGCCACGAAGGAGGCTGTGCTGGATTGGCTGTCGACGGTGAGATGGACTCTGTACGAGGAGGAGATGTCTGCAGTGGTGTTGTTGAAGAGTTGGAATTATGGCAGCGGTAGGGAGAAGGGACGGGAGAGGCGACGAGGATAGAACAGCACAGAAGAAGGGGGAATCGGTAATGGCACGATGGAGAAGGGAGGTTCAGAGCGAACAGAAGAAAAACAGAGGAAAACAAGGAGCAAAAAAAAAAAAAAAAAAAAAAAAAGATTAGAGAAAAGAAAGAAGGGGAAGGACGAGAGGAGCTGGAAGATGACGAATTGGACGGGCGGATACGGGGTACTTTTGTCGTTGACAGTCAACAGCTCGCCGTCAGCGACGCAGAAGAGGTTTCTTGGACTTGTCTCACTCTGAGTTTGCAGCACAGCGAAGATCCGAGTGGACGGGGAGGTGGTGCATTGGGACGAGAAGACAACAGGTCAGCGCAGGGATGCGGCTTCACGATGTGTCAGATCATCGTGGTGTATTATTGTAGTTCAGCTGTCTTGTCCCTGAATGCATGCCATACTATCGTAGTATACTATACTTTAAGCAAGCAAGGAATCCTGAGCATACTAACCGCCCTCGCTTGCGGCGGCTATGGCTGGGGACGGGCCATCCAATCTTCAGATCCACCACCTTCGTCAGTCCAGCAGCCACCTTCGTCGGCTTTTCGACTGCATCTTCTTCGCTTCTCCGCTGCTGGTCGCCCTCCTTCGCGTCCGGCTGCCCTGTCCTTTTACATCATCCGTCAAGGTACCGTGCTGCTCCATCTGCCTCGCCTGCGCGACTCCCGCGAACCTCACCCCCCTCCACCGTCACAGTCTCTTCCGTCGTTTGTGAGGGGCCAGCCTTATCTTTTGCCTTTTTTCTGGCATTTTCCTACGGGTCCGTTTCTTTGTTTGTCCATTTTCTTTGGTTACTCCCCTCCTCTCGTGATCCGCTGCGGTTGTTGGTATGTTTCTCCGCTCACCAATGCCCAGTCAAGTTTTTTTTTTTTTTTTTTTTTTTTTTTTTTCTCCCTCTTTTTGGGTCCTTGTTTCTAACTATCCCTCGTGTCTTCATTTTACAGCAGTATGCCCGCCAGGCCTGGACAGCAGGCTATGCCTTCCAGAAATCGATCCCCGCTGTCACCGGCGAAAGCTAGCACACCTACTAAAGCTCCCCCACAACCCTCGAAGTCAACCGCAAAATCAACAACATCTGACGACGCATCAACCACAGCTGTAGCTCCTCTGGCAAATGGTCTATCTGGCAATAGACAATCTGCAGAAAATATGCCCGTGTCAGTTAACCGGAAAAAACAGAAACGAAGGCAGAAACAAGCTGCCCGGTTGGCGGCAGAGGAACACGTCCGGAACGGCTACACTTCTACAAATATCGCGCAAGGGAATGGGCATATCGCTTCTGGAGATGTGCTAGAAGCGGAGGATACACGTTCCTACGATGGACGCGATTTCTCTGCGAAGGGAGACGAGGACGACGAACAAGACCATGACACGCTAGACGCGCGCTACGACCTACAGGAACCGACAGGGAACAGTGAACGAAATGGACATCCACCGAGTGTGGCGTATAGTAAATCGAAGAAGACTAAGGGGAAAAAAGGTCGTTCTGACCCTCAAGCGCTCCTCGACAGAACCTCGATCTCCACAGCGTCCGTCTCCATGCCGCAACCTCTTTCTTCCCGCCTTGCGTCTCAGGTGGTGCGCCTACCCACCCGGAAGCTGACCAAGGGCCGCAGTATATGGAACACAACCACGCAGGAAGAACGGGAGAATATCAAGACTTTCTGGCTAGAATTGGGCGAGGACGAGCGACGGCAGCTGGTCAAAGTGGAGAAAGACGCGGTTTTGAAAAAGATGAAGGAGCAGCAGAAGCATTCCTGCAGCTGCACTGTATGTGGTCGAAAGCGGACGGCCATCGAAGAGGAGCTAGAGGTTCTTTACGATGCGTACTACGAAGAACTCGAACAGTATGCAAACAACAACCAAGGCGCCCCCGACAAGACCTCTCCTGTACCCCCTCTGTTAACCCGACAATCTCCACGGCAGTCCAGTCAGCAGCTGCACAATCATGGCCAAATCCATCCTTCCCGAGGACGCATTCGAGAATTGCCAGAGGGGAGCGACGGACTGAATGGCGAATATGATGAAGATGATAATGGCGATGGGTCATTCGTCAGCGAAGACGATCTACAGGATGACGCCACTCGTGCAGCCCGTGCCGATTTCTTCGCGTTTGGGAATAGTCTAACTGTAAAAGGTAGGGCGAGGTTCCACTTGGAGCCATTTCTACCTGCTTTGGCTGACCTCTCTTCTTTCTTTGCAGATGGCATTCTCACGGTTGCGGACGATCTACTGAAGAACGACGGGAAGCATTTCATCGACATGATGGAGCAGTTGGCGGAGCGCAGGATGCAGCGTGAAGAAGATACACAGTACGGCATGGCTGCGGCACATCAGTCTCTTCACGGTCACAACCACGGCCCCCTCGACGACGACGAGGATTACGACGATGAAGAAGAGGAAGAAGAAGACGAGGAGGAGGAAGAGTACGATAGTCAGGAGGAAGACGACTATGAAGAGGACGAGATGGTTAGCTTTGATGATTTTCGTGGCGTCTTGTCTAGTTTCGACTATGCTGACAGCAATCAGGATGCCATGACCGAGGAGCAGCGCATGGAAGAAGGACGTCGAATGTTCCAAATATTTGCGGCTAGGATGTTCGAGCAACGAGTATTGACGGCATATCGAGAAAAGGTTGCACTGCAACGACAGCAGAAACTTATTGAAGAGCTAATGGAAGAGCAAACTCGGAATGAACAACGAACGGCCAAAAAAGCACGAGATGCACAAAAGAAGAAGGACAAGAAGAGGCTCCAGAAACAAGCAAGGGAGGAAGAAAGGGCTCGACGGGAGGCGGAGAAGGCTGCGGAGGAAGCAGCTTTGCGCGCCGAACAGGAGAAGAAACTCGAAGAGCAAAGACGCAAGAGAGAGGAACAACGGAAAAAGAAGGAATCTGAGAAAAGGGCACAGGAGGAAGAGCGCGCTCGCAAGGAGGCTGAGAAACAACGGCGTCTTAGGGAAGAGAGGGAGCGACATGTGGAAGCAGAGCGGAAGCAGCGCGAGTTGAAGGAGCAAGAGAAGAGGCGGCGTGAAGAGTCCAAGCGCAAAGAAAAAGAGGAACGAGAGGCGCGAGAAAAGGAACTTCGGGAGAAGAAGGCGAAAGAGGAGCGCGAACGTAAAGCTCGCGAGGAACAGGCCAGGCTGGAAAAGACCGAACAGGAACGCGAGAAGCGCGAAGCCCATCCTGCTACGCAACAAGCCCAAAGAAAACGAACATCACAGTCAGGCCCGGTTCCAATTCCATCCTCTTTGCAACATCCGCCCCATTCTCCCCATTTCCAGGTTGCAACGCCCGTTGTTCCCAAAGCCGCAACTCCAGTCAGGCCCCGGCAGCCGTCTCAGCATGGTTCCCATACGTCTTCGCCACGGTCTCAGCCAGCTAGTGCCGCCCAGTCTCAATTGTCGATCTCCCCACGATCTGTTCCATTGTCACAGACGTCGGGTACCTCGAGCATAGCCTCTATGAAGGGTCCAGTGCAGCAGCCAGTCCTTCATCATCCCCAGCCTTCCGCACCGCTGTCACCTCTTGGGGACCCAGGCAGGGCTCCTCCCCCCGGATTCCCGGCTCTCAGCGGATTACCTTCCCATCCCCCTGGCATATCCGGCATGGCTCCGCGTCCACCAATTGGCCATGAACTGCCCATGTATCCACCGCACTCTGGACCTATGGCAGGCCAGTTCAGGGGATTTCCACCGCCAAATGGTATCCCAATACCCCCGGGAATCAATGGAGCTAGGCCCATCCCTCCCGGATGGGGATATCCACTCGAGCCAGGGCATGGCCTTCCATTCCATGGACAACAACCGCTGACAAGCACATTTGGCTTGCCACAGACCGGCATCTCGCAGGCGCACTCGAGACAGGCATCAAATTCGTTTGAACGATCTCCTCTTGACACACAGCCTCAGCCGCTACCCGTGTCCCGTCCGAGCCCTATCAAGAGACCTTCTAGCACGGCGCAGCAGGACCAACAGAGAGAAAATGGCAGCACTACTGGAGAAGATGTGGACGACTTGAGTGCTCATCTAGGCAGTAGTGCGCTTCTTGATGACAATGCTGTTCCATATACGTCCAATTTATCTCAGTCGTTACCAGGTGCATCAGCTCCGGGACCTTTACCAGGGCCAACGCGTGCCAGCATTAGCATTGGGACATCTCCATTCTTCCCGGACCCCCTGGCTTCGAAACATGGCAATTTTCCCGTCGGTCCTGGTGTTGGGGGCACCTGGGGAACGCAGATCCCGTTTGGGCCGTCTGCTTTCCCAGGGGCTCCCACATGGGGAACTGTATCTGGTGAGTACTACTCCCTATCCCGATTAGATCTCTTCTTGTACTAACATGGTTTAGGGAATGGTTGGTCCAACAATGCTTTCAGCGCTGGAAGTCATCACCGTGCTCATGCTTCTCGACCTGTTACAATTCGGCTACTGGTTATCCAAGCTTGCAAACAACTCAACGCGCTGGGTCCTGGCAAAGATACTGGAGGGTTTCATGACGTAAATCTCGTGCTTCGCCAAGTCGAACAGCTACGCCCTGCCAATGAGCAACCTATTACGTTGGATGAGATGCTGGACATCTGTGATACAGAGGGCAATCCGCAAAATGGGGGCGGTTCATTCCTTATCAAGGACAGCGAAGGACACGGCAAATCTGTCAAGTTCGAGCCAGACAACAACAGTTCCGTCCCGGGTCATCGAGCTAGTATTGTTCCGGGCGAGATAGGAAGCCCTGTCCCGAGTAGCAGCGTCCCGGTGCTCGGCGGAATTGGAAACCCATCATCGTCGGTACTGCGACAGTTTTCTTCTCCCACGAGCTTCTGAGACGTTTTCCTTTTCTTTTTTCATTCCCCCTCCCTTTCATGTTGATTCTCGGATGGGTTGGGCTTGTCATTGTTTCGGTGTTTGTAGAAAAAAAAAACACTGTAAAACAGGTCTGGCTTGGCTGTCTGTCTAGGTCGATTTCTCTGGGTTTTATTATGCTTTTCAGGTTGGACGATTGCATTGTGGAATGGATTGTCTAGCACACCCTTCAGGGCTGCGCTTTATTTTCATGTCAAACTCTTCATGTGTCAGTGTTTCTTTTCTTTTCCTTCTTCTTTCTCGTTTTATGTTGGATGTATTCCACCAAGGGCATTATTATGAGTGTTTGTGTCTATTATACAGTGCCCAATACCGTGTAGCGATGTCTTTTTTTTTTTTTTTTTTTTGTTCGTTGTTTCCCTTAAGACACTATGGAGAGTAATAGGTAACCTCTCCGTGCCCAAACTACAATTGCATGAAACTGGGTTTCTTCTCTTTCTTTCTTATTTTTCTTTTTTCAACCACTTCTTCTATCGTAGTCTATATTATCAGCGTCTAAAAGAGATGATCGGTGTGCCTGTCTCTGTCTCGCTCAGCCGTCCGTATTTACTATTGATTGATCGCTACTCCGAAGGAATCGCCATGATGAATCGACCACTTTCTTGCCCTTCTCTTACCATGTCCCTTCTGTCATGCAACATTGCTGTGCAGAGGCCCGAATATAGTGTCTCTCAACTCTAAAGGGATGGCCGTGGCTGCTATCATGGTCACGCCTCATAAATTGCGGTCTAATCCAGTGTTAATAGGAACAGTTTTCTGTTACTCGTAGATGCTCGATCATATCCCTTCTAATGGTTTCTGTTAAGTGTTTGGATTTTCTTCTTTTGTGTCATATCTCTTCTCCCTTTCCCTACCATCGAAGAGAAATAGGGATCTCTAGAAAAAGAGAATCTGACAGTGATGTGTGTTTATAGACATCGACGTATTCTTGGTTTCACTTCTTCCCACAATAACATAGCAATGTATATATACCTGCTAAGTACAATCGATAATAAATCAGATCAATGACTACCTATCTACGAAAACAGGGTATGATGATACTAAAACTATAACACACGAAGGGTAATCTGCAGTTACACACGTACTTATGTGATAAAAGAGAGGATGACACATTAAAAAGAGAAAAAGAAACCAGAAGGAATGACTTTGACGACCTTCGATCTATCCCAGGTCAACATATGATCCCTTGTTATGTATGTATATAGGGCGATATGGAGACAGGTAGGGGAAGAGAGAGAAAAGTGAGAGAAATGAACGTGACAGGAAGGAATCCTATTGCCTAGGCTCCGTCACAACACCCTCAAACTCCCTAGACCGAATATATTCGAGCGTCCGCTGAAAATGTCGCTTTGGCCCCTCAAGATTTGGATTTGGTTCGTCTTCGTTTGTTTGCAGATTGGAGTGTATGAGTTCGATGAGGCCATTCAGGTACTTAACCGTAACGGTTTCGTTTTGTTGGTCAAAGTAATAGACATAGCGATTAAGGATTTCGACAAACAATTCCACGGATACGGCCGCATCCATGCAGGCATCTGCAACGCGAAGGGCGCGTTGGAGACATTCTAAAACGCGCTTACCATCCCGATAAAGCTGTGAATATGAATGTTAGACCTATTACATAGAACGCCCATATAAGTATATGATGGTGTGATTTGACGTACATTCTTCGGGTCTTCTTCTCCCCGTTGTGGGTTTTCGACAACCCACCACAGGTGACTGGCAAGGTACACAGCTCGGCATTGGTCTGGTTTCTTGAGCAGTTTACTACCGTGTAACGCGGCCTTCGTGATGAGCGTGTCGTAGTTTTCTTTGGAAAATCCCCGTGTACTGTGCAGGGCACCTGCAATAATGCATACAGCCTGGAACTGGGCACGGGAGTCGCTGATTGCATCCTCATAGATTGTAAATGCTTGGGCAAAGAATTCATAACTGAACTCCTCAAATCCTGTCTGGTCGGCAACTTCGCCACACATCACGAATAAACGCAAGGAAAGATCTGCACATGAGGGGTTTGCTCGCTGGTAGAGGTTGCTGACACATTGGTGCATGAACCGATAAAGTGATGATGATTGTGATTGCCAATTATCATCATAGTGCTCGCGTGACTTCAATTTCCGGGCTAACTTAATGGAAGCTGTAATTATTGCTGGGGTTGTGTAGCGGATTCGTTCGTTGCCTTCAGCATATGCCTTGCGGGTTGTTTGTAGAAGCTGTCGATAGTCAGCGATTGGGAAATACAAAACAAACCCATCCTATTTTGCCAACAGACCTTGAGCTGCGTATCATTGTCCGGAGCTTGAACCAGATGGACCAATCTTGCAAGCCATCCTTGCTCTTCTATTGTCTCATCGGTTTCTCCCCCGCGTCGCTGAGCCTGGAGCCCAGGGTACCCAGCCCCTTGCTGCGTGCCATCTCGGATCAAGACTCTGATGGTTTGGAGAACACGGTCAAGATTCTCTGATGTCGCTATTGGAGTCTTGTTTTTCAGTAAACTACGAGCAACCTCTCCAGCGACAGATCTCCGGGTGGGATATGACTGAGAAGACAGGAGCGGAATGTAGTGGGGTAAGGCCATAGCTGTGAAAATGGAGACATAAGAACGGATGGGCGCCAGAAGGAGACTCAGAAGATTCTGTTGCGCTGGAGTGGAGTGAAGATCTGCGTGGTCAGCATACTCTGCGGTCTTCTTTGTAGCAAATTCAAGAACCTGATCGACATATTCTGTAGTCCCGTTAGCGCAGATTATCCCAGGAAAGGAGATCGGGTGATTTTGCGCACCTAGTCGATCCGGATAGATGTTCCTATTAAGGTCAGCCTATGTCGCTGCGGAATGAAGGAAAAGAAGGGGGCAAAGTCATACAGGGCAAGATTGACAAGGGATACTAATAGCGCCATAGTATCCTGGATTGGCAAGGCACGAGTTTTGATCAAATTAACAACCTGCTCATAGAAGACATCATATAGCTTAACGTCTTCTGGGATTCCAGTTTTCGTCTTGGAGTTCCCATTCGTCGCGGGTTCTTCAGGCTGTTCAGTAGACTCGCTAGCTTCTTTTGTGGCGGGTGCAGCCCCATTCTCGACAGCGGCAGAGGCTTCTGCATCCTCTGGCGGTTGTTCTTGATCTGTCTCCCCGGAAAGCTCAAGTTTCCGAAGCAGCTTCGTTACAGCTTCTTCCTCATCCAGCTTTCTTCTCTCAGAGTCCACGCTTTCCGCTTCTCGGGCCGCATATGATGATAGCCGGTCCATAAGACCTATTACGATCTTTTTCAAATCGACGTGTGGATTGAGCCGGGCGATTGCGGAGAGTAGGAGATCTAGCGTGTGGAGATGGAATTCATCCGGGAAGACATTAGTGATAACTATGCAGGAAGTTAGCAACAGCGCCGGAGAAGCAGATAATAGAAAGAGAGATCTTCCGACCTTCAAGCAGATACTCCTGTGCCAGGACGTCACGGCACTGAACGACCTGCTCCAGCAGTGCCTGCAGGATACCCGATTTATAAGCCTCCAGGTCCACCAGCTGGCTGAGACGGACAATATTGCTGCCCACAAGTAGCTCTAACTCGCGTCTCTCCTGCACCCTTTTCTCCTTTTCCCTCGAGGGACCCTGGTGCTGGAGTCTAACCCATAGTTTATTCATCTCGACGAAGTTGGTCAGCACAAAGTTAATCGAGTCTTGCAGGTTGCCTTCCGGCCCATCGCCACTTCCAGTGGGCAAGTAGTCCCTTGCCTGACCAGACAAGTAGTATCTCAAAAACAGGCCGCGGATCGGGTGTTGTACGCCTCTGCTCATCTCCATCATGTCCTTCATAATCTCCTTGACCGGAGCATCCTCCACCGACATATACACGGTTCCCACCGTGATCATGAGATAGAGTCGCGGGATGATGTTGCCGGCATATTGTACCAACTCGTAGAGATCAGCCAAGTGATTAACTGGGTGGTTTTCCTTCAGGTAGATGGAAAGGTGTCGCAACGCATCAAACACAGCCATGTACAACTCGTAGTACTGCTTCGGACTCAAGCTCGGCGTTCGAAGTTCAGAGACAAAGGTGGACCTAAGCAATTGGTATCGAGGGGTTGTTAGAAAAGGGTGCTGTAGATAAAATAATTGATCGCATTGGGAAGGGAGAAGAGGATGGGCTGGAGCATCAGCTCACCCGCACTTGAGCGCATCCATGAGCTTTCCTGGAGTCTCGAGACATTTTCGCATCATCTGCGACTGCTGTCGAACCACACCTAAGGCCTCTTCGAGAAGGCGAATCTGGTCTTCGGTGGTCGACGTCATGCTGGGAACGTTGGATTGAGATGGGGGAAACGGGAAGCGGACGGGGGAAGTTGAGCGCAGGCAGCAACGAGGAGTGCTTCAATGGGCTGTGGTCGAGCTAGCGAAGCACTCAGAAACGCGTAGTCAAATAATTATCGATCCATAGACAGACGCAAATCAATAAGACGGAACCTGCGCGGTGCAGAAGACAGGCAGCGACAGAAGCAACTGTGGCTTTGGGAGTTCGTCCGCTGCTTCAGCGGGTCGTACATACTCCTGCTTGTTCGGGTTTAGCGCCACAAACCTCTCTTCTCCCTTGATTTCCCTCCAACTCTTCGGCAAAAACCAATGCAACAGCCCTGAAGAAGGATTTTATATGAATGAGTTATGAGTTCAGGTGCTTGATCAAACTTGTATATTCATTCTATCGGTCTATATTCCCTGCTACACCCGGAGCTAATCTATAAGAAATACAACTCAAGATACAAGTACAGTGGCATGTCTTTTTAGTATACATCCATCCAATGTGAAGTTCAGAAAACGAAAATTGCATCCAGCCGAAGGCTCTTCTTTTTTTTCTTCCGCCCCATTTACTGGACCAAATTGGACATTGTGGTCCAATACAGTCTCCTATGTCTCATCCAGCTCGTGCGGGGATTGCAACTTTGACGTTTCTTCTCTTGCCTAGAAAGTCTCCGCCGGGGCTGTCATCCGTGGCCGCCCATTTCATGCGTCTCTTAGGGAGGACAAAATGCTCCGCAGGACCACTAGTCACGGTTGAAACGTTGAGAGGACAGGATGTAATGTTGGGAAAGAATGAATGTGTGACTGTGACCGTAGCCGGAGCAGCACTCTCAGTTATCGTCACCGTCCTTGTTATCTCTGCTGCAGCTGTTTCTGAGGTAGTAGCCGGTGGAGTGCTAGCTACACGTTCAGTAGCCGGTGGAGTGCTAGCTACACGTTCAGCAGCCGGTGGAGTGCTAGCTACACGTTCAGCAGCCGTTATGACAGGAGCTGGCGCAGAGCTGGGAGGAGATGCGGCAACTGTCTCGGGAGGCGCCAGTGGGGTGCTGATTAGACGTATAGCTGCTGCTGGCGAAAAGCTCACCGGAAGTGCAGAAACCGACTCCACAGCAGGTGGTGCAGAGCCGAGAGGACGTGCGATTAACTCAGCAGCTGCTAATGGAGTGCTGACTAGAGGTATAGCAGTAGTCTCGGCAGCAGCCACTGGTGAAGAGGTAGCCGGAGGCGCAATAATAGGAAATGTCTGGCTCTGCCTCCGCCCTAAGGCATGGCTTACCCCCGGAAGATGGGTGAAGGGCACCGCGTGAGAAATACTGAGGGATGAAAGAACGTAACCGACAACCGCTAAGGAGAAGCGCATGGTCCTAAGTAGGCAGGGATAAGCAGAGGGAGTGACAGTAATACTGATAAAAGGGAACTTGACTTTCCAAGGCAAGTGATTTCCAAGATATAGGCAGGTAAGTTTGCCGTAGAACTGATGAGCAGAGCAGGAGGCTCTCAAGAGACTGATTCAGATGAAGGGAAAGGCCTAACGTGAATAGAACAGAGAAAGCAGTAGCATTATGCTATTAAATTAGGAACAAAGTAACAGGATGGTAATAAACATCATTCCTTCATTGCTGCGTGAGAACCGAGAGCAGCACGCTGGAACGAGCATCATCCCGATCAGCCTCATTCGGCCGGGAATGATCGCCGATGGAAATTCGACGGTCAGCATTGAAGCTGGTTCAGTCCAGCAGTTGGCATGCATGCACCTAGATGAATCCTTTTGATATAATAATGATTCATGAGAATGAGTACGGGATTCGTTGCCCAAAACAAAAAGAAAGTCTCAAAGTCCATCTCTGAGTAGGCGGATGATAACTTTGTTTCTCTGTGGCTTGTACGATGTTGGGTGGCTGAGCACATCCGCCGAGTGACGTTTGTTAACGGCACCATCTGTTGATTCACGCCAGACGTAGATACGTACGTAGATTTTGCTTGCAAATTGCTGCTGGTTTCGCCTGTCTTCTTTTTATAAAGCCAAGTCCTCCACTCGGATAATACCGCATCCCATCCCGGCACTCGCCCAGCCAGCGCAAAGCTGGTTCGGATTCCACGCAAGAGCAGTAACATGTGTGCCGTCTTCGAAAATAGTGATCAATGGAATACTGTTAACCAGTTTTCGGTCACCCATCAGATTCCGCAGAAGATTGGCAGGCTCCGCTACAAACCCGTCTTGGAACCGGCTGGCTCCCGAATCTCCGGCTTCTCGGCCCCGAGCCCATTCGTGGGTGAACCAAGTCTGTTGATACTGTTTCTCTTTTGAGTACAATTGCCTGCGAACAGGATTCGTCGCGATTACTGTACCATCTGCAGATCCAATCAGCGCCGATGGGTGCCAGGTACTGCAGGGTGCCATTGCCGATATCGTATTTTGGATTTTTGCCACCGCAGTAGACGTAAAGAACCGTCGTACGGCGAGGAGTCGGGCAAAGTCATTTTCATCGCTGGATAAGAAAGCCTGCAGAAAAGGAGAATATGAGATATACGGTGAGGCTATTCGCATGCGATTTGTCTCCACTGTATCCATTTGGGGGTCAAGAAGAGATATCAAACGGGTCTCTCCGTCCATAGCAGTAGTGGCTAGCAAGTGGGGATGTGTTGGATAAGCAGACGCGAGATTCAGGACGTAAGTTGAATGAATCTGCTGGTAGATGTAGGGAAGAGGCGGTATGGATGGCTCTGAAGATAGGATACTCCAAACAGCAACATACCCATTGGCACAGCCAACGGCAATATCACTTGGAGATAGCCAAGTTACGCTCGTACACACTGTTGAGGGCGGCCTGGCCTCAAAAATGGGAGAACGGACTTCGTCTGCGTTGAACTTGTTAGCGGAAGCGATTTGTATACTTGTCTGATTTCCTTACAAAACTCAGTTGCATCAGGATCCCTGCTAATCTTGATATCAAGCACCCTTACCTTCCCGTCTCCCCATACACCAGCTAGAAGGCCAGTATTCTTCAGTGCATCTTTGTCATCCTCCTCACGCGAATCCCGTGCCACTGGACACCAGGCAATACGCCTCAAATCACCCCAGTTAGTGCATAGAGCCAGTTGTAACCTAGGTCTAAAGTCCGTGTCAAGAGTCTTTGTGGGCCTATCCTCTTGCCTGGCTTTAAATGTCCATATCTGTAGGGCACTGGGATATGGTTGTGACGGACTAAATGCAGGAGCTTCTTTAGGTTCTTCTGTATTGAAAGCTTTCTTTTGCTCATCGGAGATTGGAGCAACCACGGCCAGATGCTGGATGAGGCCTCCTTGATTCGGAGCCCAGGCTAGGCACTGGACTTTGCTTCCGATGTTGAGGATCCATCCTTCTCGCACCCTTCTCTTTCCTTCGGCAGAAGTTGCTGCTTGGCCTGATTTATCATGGGAGGGCTTACATCCCTTCCTTTCCTGGGAATTCAACTCGCTCCAAGCTTCACCAAAGTTGACGGATTCATTCTGGCCCAGATGGAACACTGCTTGATCATCGATTGGTCCAATGATAACTGTATGTTTTCCCTTAGGCAGTGGCATATAAGTTCTGCGAGCACTCTCCTCCTTCATCTTTTCAACTCGCTGCTGTTCCCTCAGTTTTCCACCAATGCTTGGGATGTAGTACCAGTCCCAAGCCTGCGTGCGTTCTCTCCTCACTTCCTCTGGTTCCACGCCAAATGTCTGCCCATATTTGTAATCGTGCGCGCTATGGACCTTGTCTAATGAAGTGCGAGTGGGAAGCGTCGAGTCAATACCCCTGCACCATCGGTCCCGCGAATATATCATAGCTAATACATCCCTCTCATCGGTCCCGAAAGTAAGCTTTAGGTGAAGCGCCTTCCCGGAATACTCCCCTAAGTTCCAAGTGCCCCGGGAATGGGTATCGTCGCGAGGAAGCGCAACAGTGCCATCGGGCCGTCGTTTCTTGATGTGCCCTGTACCCATTCCCCGACGTTTCCCAGCGGTTTTATCCCAATTGGGTTCTTCAAGTGCTTCTTCACCATCTTCCGGCACATCGATTTGGTCATGGTCATCCTCATCGACACTATCATCCGCGTGAGCATCGACGAACTCCTCATCTGTTGAATCTGTCGCGTCCCGCGCGGTCCTCTTCCCTTTCCTCTCTGTCTTATTGGCTGCCTCCTCCGAGTCAGAGTCCTCACTAACGCCGGCCACCTTAAAGGGGTCATCTATGTATTTTCTCCTGCTGCCTGTATGGCGTGTGGACCTGCGTGCTGGTGCCATGTCACGTCACATTTATTAAAAAAGCATATGAAGGTGTCTTCTCCGTGCATTAAAACTTCATCGATTGCAACAGCACGACTCGGCTGTAGCACCGTCACTGTCAGGACAGTGCTGTCTATCTGATTAGTGGGCAGACTGTTTTGGGAATCAGCATAAGTGAACATAGAAAGACATGTTTGAGCCTCATGTGGTTCGTTGTCAACCGCTGAGCTTCGGCGCTGCTGGTGCGACGACCCGCAGAAGTGTTTTGAGCTGATCTCGCGTTTCTGTCGCCGAGGTGTATGTAATTTTACACACCAGTACTAGATTGAGGTCAAATTTTGATGCCAGCAAGCTTTGGAGATACCTCCGAAGTGATCAGGGTATCCTTGCATGCACTTGCAGTTCGAACTAGAAGAGAAAACAAGGCGCATTCCAGTAAGAGATGCAGGCGTTGGCTGTTGAGCTGTACCATCTAGGCTGTATTGTTACTGTATTTCCGTGACGCCGTGCTCCTCCGTGGATACGCAGCCCCTCCTAACGTCAGCCCATAACATTAACATTAACAACTCCCAGTCTCCTCCATAGGGAATCCTGGTCTGCCTCTTCTGATGATATTCTCGGCTCATTACACTCTTTACTTATCTTATTAATACCCTGGACTCTTTCTAAGAGAAAGAAAACGAGAACGGACGTGCAATACCCTATTGCCAAGCTTCTCATATCCAGATCCCCTGTGACGTAAAGATGGCCGGCGCCAAGGAACAGTCGTATCTCGGAGTCTTGCACCAATATGTATGGAAGCCCCCGTCCTCATGATGCATTGGTGGAAAGTCGAAGCGTACGGAGGGAGAAGAAGAAGAGAAAAAGAAGGCGATGTCTGATTCGGTTCTCAACTGATCGAGAGTGATGCTTTTCCAATGTAGGCTCCTGGGCTTGTTGCGTATGAATTCAAGTCGGCTGCAGATGTCACTAAACCCAACAGCATCATCTTTGTCGGAGGATTGACAGATGGGCTTCTCACGGTTCCCTACGTGGCCGAACTTGCCAAAGCTCTGGAGCCAACTGACTGGTCTGTGTTCAATATCCTGCTATCCTCTTCGTATGGCGGGTTCGGGGTGGGGAGCTTAGACAGGGACGTCGTGGAGATTGCACAGTGTGTGAATTTCGTGCGCAACTACAAGTCCTCCAAGCTCTCTCAGCCAGGGAAGGTTGTTGTCATGGGGCATTCCACCGGTAGCCAGGATGTTTTGCATTATCTGCATTCCCCGAATCCTCTGCCACCGAATGAGCTCTTTGAACCGGATCTCGAGCACATCGTCCGTCCAGCCCTCGATGGAGCCATTCTCCAGGCACCTGTATCCGATAGAGAACACCTCCTCAATACACTGGCGACCGGGACGGCGCAGTATACTCCAAGCCAGCTCGTCATGTGCCACGACCAGCTTGTCGAGTTCGCTAGAAGACAGCCGTACACCCACCATGACAACGTCGAAGCCATCTTGCCGCTGTCCATGACGGCGAAATTGGGATTCCCTTCCAATGTTCCAATCTGTGGTCGGAGATTCCTTAGTTTGGCCAGTCCAGATAGCCCGGCAAAGCCCTCGGATGATGACCTTTTCAGTTCAGATCTAACTGACAAGCGTCTGCATGAAACTTTCGGCGCAATCGCGTCAAGGAAGTTGTTGCGTACTCAGCTTATGGTCCTGTATTCTGGTAATGATGAGTATGCTCCGCAGTGGGTTGACAAGGATAAACTGCTGCAGAGATGGAGAGATGCGACAAATGCCGTGGAGGAGAAGTGGTATGAACCTGGCAGCGGAGTTGTTCCTGGAGCTAGCCATAATGTAAAAGGCGTTGGCGAAGCGCCCCAGCGCGACCTGATTTACAGGGTTACCCGCTACTTGAGCAGCATCTAATTGGCCTTGCGACTCGTCGGTTTTGTTGAACAGGGAGTTTTGCCTTCTTTGAATGACACGATAATATGACAGTTCTCGGACCTGCTGCAGTTCAATATTGTACAGAAGAATAAATAAAAGATCCCAATTCGCCCACCTAAACCGTGCCTCTGAAATAAAATAAAGAAAAGAAGAAAGTTTGCAGGAGCAAGGTGGGTATATACATGCCATAAGCGATCAAAAAACCATCTCTGTCAACGATAGAAGTTCGGTGCATTGTTTCGGGAGCAGATCAGCCAGATTTAGACCTTCAGCCATAGTGTAAACACGCCTTTAAGGTACTCGACAATCTCATGTCCTCCAAGCTTGCTTTCCCCATACAAACGATCCACAAAAGTGATCGGACACTCCTCCACCTTGAATCCCATTGCCTTGGCCCTAACCATCATCTCCATCTGGAAGCTGTAACCCTTGCTTTGCGTGCTGCTAATAACCTTCTTCAACACGTTCGTCTTGTACAGTCGGAAACTGCCGGTCAAATCGCTAACTCCCGGCATCAACATAACGTCGGCGATCAGGTTCGCAGTACGCGACGTGAACTTCCGAAACAGGTCCCAGCCGTATACTCCACCCTTAATGTCTCCACGGCTGGCATACCGGGTTCCGGTCACGATATCGGCGTTGGTCTCCTTCTGAATCCTGACCATCTCGGGTATGAACTTGGGGTGGTGGCTGAAGTCGGCGTCCATTATTATGACGAAGTTGCCCGTCACGAATTCTAACCCATGAACGTAAGCAGTCCCGAGACCAAGCTTTCCGGCGCGAGGTTTGAGGACAATGTGCTCGGGGCCCCATAGTTTTTGTAGCTGTTTCGCGACCTCGAGTGTGCCATCAGGGGATCCATCGTCGACGATGATTACTTCCCAATTTAGCTTGCTAGAGAGAAGAATTGTCAGCCAGCTTTCTTTCTTTCCATATGCATATACATATAAGCAGCGAAAACTAGCAAAAGGAAAAGTATGCCTTACTTTTCTCTGAAAGTCCTCTCTAGCAGCCAGCAGATGATAGGGAGGTTCTTCCGCTCGTTGTAGGTCGGAAGGATGACGGAGTACTTGTCCCCTCCGGCAGCCATTTTGATAAAGAATCCACTCAAGCGATGGCAATTACCTGTGACCCTTCCGTCTAGTAATGTCAGGAGGAACGAATTATGATGACCGAATTGTTGTTGGACCGTGTCGTGCAGCCAAAATGACAGCTCGCCGCATCCCTATCAACACCGCCTTTGGCAGAATCAGGGCGACGATATGCCCTTGCTCGCAACATCTACGCATGAATGACTTACTTCCCATGCAAGCAGTAACGACAGTTGATCCGAGATTGAGGGCGTATAACCACCAAACATCTCCAGTGGATGCTTCTAGCTGCTACAGAAATGGAAACCGCGGAATCCAAACACCGACGCATGCACTCCAAATGTCAGTGAGCTGCTAGCACTGGAGGACAACTCACCTCGTTCCAATTGTTTCTACAGTGGTTACTAACTTGAATTTAGCATCGCGTCCTCGTAGCTCAACTAAAGGACCTTTAGATGCTCCTGACGAGTAAGCGCTTGACGAATGTTGTTTTCTCTTTGTCTTTGGGAGATGGATTTTGACCTGTCGGCCAGCCTCCAAGGGATAGAGGGTACAACCTCACCTTCTGGATTGCGGGTTCCATCTCCGCTTAACCAGGGCGATTTCTCTGGCGAGACTTTCAATGCTTTAGATCCTCTTTTTCTGGATGATCTTCCAGAAACTATGGGGAAAGACCTATCCTTCCTTCTCCGAAAGGACATTTACCATCCTCTTTCGCAGATTAGCATTCCGCCGGCACTGCGATCTGAATTTCTTAACCCGGTTATAGACGAACCTTTATCGTCATTGTTAAGCAAATTGGAGAAGCTACTGGCAGAGGGTCACTTCCTGCTCGCAGCACATCTATGTGGAACAATTCTGACGTCTATAATCTCGCCCACTAGTTGTAGGTTGATCTTTGCTCTCTTTTATACACGACTAGCATGCTTGGAGCTGTCCGGGAATGTCGTCTTTGCAGCGCAGGAATCCAAGGCGTTGGAGGACCTGAGTTCCGCGTTCTATTACATTACCCCAGAACTCGAAGCATCAGATTCAAAAAGCAATTCGAGCCATGTATCCTCACCCCGCCATATCGCGCCGTGGCCGCTGCGAGTCCTTGCTGTGAGACTCCAATGTATCGGATTTGGAGACTCACGCAGAGGCATCGGCGGTCTCTACGAAATCGGTATGGAGGCGCGAAGGGAGATACTGAGACCAGATATAAAAGAAGCAGAAATGGATATATGGAAAGAAAGATTGGCAGACCTTGGAATTAGGAGCGTGAACATGCTTATAGAGATGGGGGATCTGGACACCGCTAGGCGATCGCTTGATAACCTCAAGGGCTCAAACAACGTTGTGCATAACATGAGAAGGGCACTTCTCTTCCTCAAAATCGGTGACCTCGATGCAGCAAAGCAAATCACTGACGAATTCAGCGATCCCGGGGCTGCTATGCTAAAGCCTCTTCTCAAGATGACTGAAGGCCGTTACGGCGATGCTGTAGTTGAATGGCGGGCCCTTTTGGAAAGCGGTCCCAAGAGGTCCGATGAGGTCATTGTTTCACAGAACTTAGCTGTGTGTCTGCTTTATACCGGACAGCTGAATGAGGTATCTTTGCCAACCACTCCTCCCCAACATTTTTCTTTCTGTTTTCTTCCCTGCCAAGGAGCTTACTGGGTTACAGGCGCGTGTGCTCTTGGAGTCCTTGATTTCCGCGAATCATTCGTTCGCGAGTTTGACGTTTAACTTATCAACCATCTACGAACTCTGTTCTGATAAGTCCACAGGCCTGAAGAGCCAGCTTTCAGATGCAGTAGCTAGGCAGCCTGTTTCTGGAGACATGAACCTGGACAGGCCCAATGCGGATTTCAAACTGTGAACGAAAATCATGCGATATCATTCAGCCGACTAACTTTGGTTCAAATATCTAACTATAGTTGTGTCAAAAGGAATTTGTACTTTTCGTAAACCGAGTTCACTCGATAAAGATGACCAATGCTATGTACACCAACGCCGGCTAACCGTCTAGAATGCTACTCCTTTTTCCTCCTGATAGGTGCTAAATTCAATGAAGCCTCCCAAAAAAGAAAACACCAAACAACAAAAGAACGTCCGAGATTGATAGCCTGGCCTTATGCAGATTCCTTGATTGGATCGAGTTTCTTTTCAGGCCGCCGCCTCGGCCTTCTAATGATAATCTTATCGTCTTCCTTCTGCCAGCCGAGCCTTTCCACTTCTACCAGCTTCTCCCATGACCAGCTATCCCTATCTCCAGTGCAGCCCTCGATAACCCATGCCACGTCGACGTTGAGATATGCACTACCAACTGCCTTCAGGGCATGTCTCCTGACCCGATCTGCTGCCCAGTTCATAACAGCTCGGATATATGAATCAACGCCCTTCCGGACGCGCCAGAACACGACCCAGTTATCATGCATGAGAGCGGCTAGTACGCTGTCAATTGTCTGTGATCTAATAGCATATTTGCTCCGGGCACGGGAACGCAGTTCGAACGCAGCAACCATGTCGCTCTGTCGACAAGCATAATCAAGAATCAAGTACAAGAAGAACTCCTTTAGTTCAGACTCGGGTAGTGGATGGGAGGGCGAGTGCAATTTATCAAGAAGGTAGCGAAGGGAAGGGAAATATGACGGCGGGTGCTGAGCGAGAATAGAGATTCGGATGGAGAACATATGGACCCGCTGGGAGAAGGAAACGGGAGTGGTGGAAGCTGTCGCTAAAAGGGCTTCTCTCAGCTTGCGAAGGGAGAGGAGGATGGTGGACAGCTCAACAGATGGTGGGGGGATTTGACCCTTTACCTGCTTCGCTTTGGGGTAGGGACGAGATGCTGCAGGCGGGTTTCTTGTAGGGTCACCGGAGGGGGTGGTGGGGAGAGAGGCAAAAGCCGCGTCAAGGTCCTTGGCATGATGAGCGCAGAAACGCATGTACCGTTCTACAATCTTGTTGTAGTAATCCTCCTGGGCTTTGAGATCCAGAAGCCTGGGAAAAGAATGTTAGCACTGCGCGGGTGGCAGCAGATGCAACGATGCATTGTCGACATACTTCCTGTCCCCCTTGGATACGAACCCCACGCTTTCCAGAGAGTCTGACACTGGCTTCAGGCGGCTACCAGCCGACTTGCCCGACTGCACTGGACCAGCCATGCTGGGACAGGTGCTGAGCAGAGATGAGGTCTGCTCCACTGCGTCACTGTATCGTGTGGGAATAAACGGCGGGAGATGTGGATGCGGCAAGTACCCGTGTGTTTGCACTGTTTGTCTGTACCACGTGGTTGACGCTGCCCCTAATGGAGGAATCGGGCTCCAGCTCGGAAATTTACCATAGATAGGATCCTTCTTTCCCCTATTTCTTAGCTTGAGATACTTACTGGGTGCACTCAGCCCCTGTGACATGCTTGGAGGTTGGATCACCATGATCCTGGTGAAGAATCCTGGCTACGGATTCTGGTTCGGCCAATCAGAAGGCTAATATGGACTACCTAGGGGTCAGGTTCTCTTTTCATAGAGCTATATGGACTCATAACCTAATGGAGGAATGTATATCATTGGTAACTAGCTAGGCTGAAGTGGTGAAAAGGGGCAGCGAGGGCGGACCTAAGCGGCAGAACCTCGCGTGATCTAACAGCCCCAACGGGATCCCGTGACCGAGGCATTACTGTTCAACGTTTCTCGTCCCAACCTCTGCGCGCTTTCAATGCCTGCATCACTCCGATATTTGGTTTCATGAGTAGCTGCCATTTGTCGTGACCATGTCTCGCCGCCGTCGACCCTCCGTGGCAGAACAGCTCATTGACAAGCCGCAGAAGGCCGTGAAGAGACTCCTCCATTGGGACGACCTTCCGCCTTGGCAGCGCGACAACCACCATATCCATACGGGATACCGACCAGCATCCTTTTCGTTCCTCATCTCCTTTCATTCGCTGACCTACATTCATAATGAGACTGTCAACATCTACAGCCATCTATTACCGGGTCTTTTGGCGCTTCCGGCAGCAATTCAACTTCACCGTGTCCTTGCTCCCCGCTATGAAACGGCGGCTGAGTCCGACATCATTGCGTTTGGGTGCTTCTTCGGAGGCGCTGCCTTTTGTCTTGGGATGTCTGCAACTTATCATACAATCTCAAATCACTCACCGGCTGTTGCCCGCATAGGCAATGCCCTCGACTACATCGGTATTGTGGGTCTCATCGTGGGCAGCTTTATTCCATGCGTCTATTATGGGTTTCACTGCATGCCGGACTTGCAGCGGCTCTACTGGGGCATGATCATTTCCATTGGCATCGGTTGCATCTGTGTCTCCATCATGCCCAAATTCCGAACTCCGGAATGGCGGCCTTTCCGCGCTACCATGTTCGTTGGCATGGGTCTGTCAGCGATATTCCCTGTCTTCCATGGCCTGTTACTCTACGGTGCCGAACAGATGATGCGGCAAATAGGCTTAGGCTGGGTCTTGCTTCAGGGATTCTTGTACATCCTGGGAGCTGTGATCTACGCTGCTCGAGTTCCGGAACGCCTGATGCCGGGCCAATTCGACATCCTGGGGAGCTCGCACCAGATTTTTCACGTGCTAGTGGTGTGCGCTGCTTTGGCTCATCTGACCGGTCTTCTGAGTGCCTTCGACTACAGGCATAGCGGGTTTGCGGAAACGTGTCCCATGAGGTGACAGGGCAGTTTGATTTTGATCCGGATTACCCGAAGCGAATACGTCCTGCATTGGATGACATGTGGCAACATTAATAGATTATGTGCTCCACGATGGAAGTTGGCTGAATACTGGCTAACGGGTTGACTATCGCAGACGCAACAATATGTGTTCTTCTATAATTAGCCAGCAGATAAATATCCCTTTGGCCTCGCCTTTCTTCTTTGTTGATGATCACGAACTCGAGTATGTGCAACGTAGTTGACTAAGGTGAACAGCGTGCAGCGAGTGGGAAACAATGGACTCCAGTAAAGGAATTTCCCCTCGTATCATTCGATAAAGCCAGACCGTTTGGCTATCGCCTACGCTGAGAGCATCTACGAATTCCGGGCAAATGAACTATCGTCATCACTGCCGGTGGAATCGGAAGAGCTGCACTCACCTGCATCTCGCAGGGCGTGCATACTCTTTACCCTGGGCAGCCTTGACATAGAAATACCCTACTGGGTATTCCGTCAGGCGAGTCGACGCATTGCCCTTGCTCGATATTCAGGGTATCTAAAGGTCAGGCATTGAGATTTCGAATGCAACTGGGCTTGGAACCTTGTTTGTCTACAGGGTCCTCCTATATGTGCAACTTAGCAACCGGATCATCGGCTCCGGGTTCCTTTTTTGGGTGAGCCTATTATAGAAACAAGGATGTTTCATTATTTGCATTCAGCAGCTCCATGAAGCGATCCTGCGTCTCTGAAGGGTTTATTCGTCAATTCTGCTCCTCAGATCTGCCTTGGGCTTCTGTAACTGCATATCTGGTGACCGTATTGGTCATGTCTAATCGGCGCGCCTGCTCTCACTTCAGACTACTCTCACCTCAGACGAAGTTGATCAGATGAATGTCCTCAGGTTTCACAGCGGCTGACTCGACATACGGATGCCGCCAATACCAAAATTGAAATACGAGACCAATTACTATTTTGTACCTGCGGTCTGTTTTATTTATAAGATGGTTATATGGCTGGAAGTTCCTGCCTGTTTCTTATAGGTGTGTTGAAAGCATCGTGGCTTTATTTCATTCCCAGAAGTTTAACAGCAACAACAATATCACATTCTTCGGGTGCCAGTTGAACAGAGTTGGGAGTGTCCTGTCTATGTTAGACTCTTCTGTCAACAAGGGGCCGTCTCGCCAGATGTTTGCAGAACAGGCCAAAGAAGTCAGCAAGAATGGAACCACAACGCCGAAACTCAGGACTGCTTGTGAAAACTGCAGACAGTCCAAGGTGAAATGCAACTTGTCTGGCAAAAGCACCTGCACTCGTTGTCTGCGTCATGGACTACAATGCCGATATGGGTACGCAAATCGGTCGGGTAAACCCAAGGGGATCAAGAACAGAGCCACGCTGAAGAAAATGGGGCGGCTACACGAAGGGAAGAGACCTATTGACAGGATATTTGGAGAAGGGAGTTGTGGGCTCTTCATGGTCGAGATGACTCCTGCTATCACTGAACAGCGCATCAACCAGGTGAACCATGGTGCGAAGAGTATAGATGAGAATGTTAGACACTGGTCCCAAGTCGTGATTGTGCAAGAGGGACTGGGCGCATGCTAATCTTGAGTTTATATAGGGGTCGTTGGATACAAGACCGTCACAGAGTCCAAGCAGTACAACCATTGAAACACCTTTAATTTCGAATACCTCTACATCAGGCACGCCAATGATGTTGAACGGGTTCGGCGGCCCGTATCCAGGACACATATTCGACTTGGATCCTATCGGGCAGTTGCCGGTCGGGCTAGGATGTCACGCTTCACCGTCGATACAGTCTCTGCAAAGTGATCCTGCCGCCGAAGACATGACCAACTATCATTACCACGCTCTTCCAATCCCCCACGACTTACAACCGACGTGCAAATGCTTTGAAAGTCAAGTATCTTACATGAGCCAGCTAAGCCAGGTGGTCTCTGAGACAATCGAACCGCGCTCCGATGATAGCCTTGGGAAGATTAAATCCGCACTGCAGGCCTGTCGGATCTTCCTCCAATGCACCAGCTGTCGCAAGGACAGCACGAACGTGCTTCTTTCTCTTTCGATAATAGAACTAGCCCTGCAACTCTTTGAGCGTTGGATGTCCCACAAAACCCAACATACTGGATCAGTCCGGGACGAAAGTATCCTGGGGATCCACTACGGTCATTACGAAGTCAGCCAGGAGGAGAGCCGAAGGATCCGCAACTTCCTCATCGGAGGTCTCCTCGTACGCTGTAAGGAGATCTTGGCCATGCTCAGAGAGGCGATCGATACGTGCATCATCCCGCAGCAGAAAATAACGGCCGGGGTTGGTGCGGATGCTTTGTTCTTCGCGCAATCTATGTTTGGCGAGGCAACTGATCAACCTCTTACTAGCGGTGTTTCATGGTCTCCGATGCCGGGACAGATGAGCCCGTGCATGGATGACGGCAATGCGAATGGACTGCGGCAAATGGTAACGCATTATGATGGTACGGTGGACGGGCTCCTGCGGTTGGCATCTTTGGATTTCATGCAGTTAGGTGTGAGCTGACCTGGTGTTTGTTTGTTGCTTACGCTGTTCTGGGGTATCATGGACTGTATCGTGTCACACGGAGTTCAGGTTGTTGGAATGGATATATAATCAGACAGTTATGTATTTGGGGAATTTCAATGTCCTATAGCTAGAATAATGTAGTAGGTAGGATAATAGTAAATGATAATAAAGCCGACGGAATCACAACCTCGGCATAATTTCCGGGTAACCTTTATAACACACTTCTCCATTCCACCAACTTCACTGTTCCTATTCTCTTTCCTAACTGCAGGTATCCCTACAAAGGATCTACAAAAGAACCAGAATGGGAAAAAACATGGCCCAAAGCCGCCTCACCCAAATAAACAACCACCTCAACTACCCCCAAGGCCTACTGGCGGGCCAAGTAGCCATCATCACAGGATCAGGCCAGGGCATCGGGGCAGAGACGGCGAAACTATTCGCGAATGAGGGGGCGAAGGTTATTGTTTCTGATATTGACGGGGGTAAGTTCTTTCTTCTATCCCTGACCCTGGTGGCTGGCTATATATTGTGTCTGCAAGTCCACATCATATGTAGTACAGATTATATGCGTATGTATCATGATCTATAATCAGGACTGTATTAATCTGACATAATATAAAAAAAAAAAAAGAAAAAGCAAATGCAGTAACCGATTCCATCAACGCCATCTCCCCCAACCGCGCCATCGCCGTGGTCGGTGACCTGCTCGACGACGGCTACATCGAGAATTTAGTGAAGCAAGCCGCCGAGTTCGGTGGAGGCAAGATCCATATTATTGTTAACAATGCGGGGTTTACCTGGGATGGGGTTATTCATAAGGTTCTCTCTCTTCCCTTATACATAAGGTTTATATGGTTTGTTCTATACTATATACTCCGTATGAGGCTAACAATTATTATTACGGGGATAAGATGACAGACAAACAATGGACAACAATGCTAGCAATGCACAACACAGCCCCCTTCAAACTCGTTCGTGCGGCAGCCCCATACTTCCGGCTCAGGGACGGCGAGGCGCGTATTATTATTAATATTAGTAGTACGTCTGGTGTTCATGGGAATGCGTACGTTTCTCTTTCCACATACTACTTCACTTCTAAGGGATAAGCCATTACTAACGGGGAAGTTGAGGGAAGCGGCCAAATAAACTACTCCGTCGCCAAAGCAGGCGTAGTAGGCCTCACCAAAACCATCGCCAAAGAATGGGGTCCTCAGTTCGGTGTCCGCGCGAACACGGTCGCATTCGGGTTCATCACGACGCGGCTCACGGCGCCCAAGGAGGGCGGTGCGTCGATTACTATGCCTGATGGGACGAGGGTGGCGTTGGGGATTCCGGGGAAACAACTCCAAAGTCGATCGGGTCAGACTCAGCATAACCAGAGCGGCAAGGAGAATGGGGAGGGGAGGAAGAAGAGTGAGGCGTATGCAGACATCCCGCTAAGAAGACCCGGAAGCCCTGCGGAGGCGGCCAGAGCTGTTTTGGCGGTTGCCAGTCCGCTGTTTTCGTATGTTAGTGGGGAGACGATTAGGGTTACTGGGGGGAGGAATATGTAGTATGTAAGTAACCATTGGCCTTGATTACAGCAGTTGAATACGGAGGACTCGGAATTAATATTAGACATGCAATTGTTCCTGAAATGATACATGCCAGCCACACCGTATTAAATCGCGGAATGCTGCATACTGAGCCTTATTCAGGCAGCAACAGCAACATCCCCACTGACATGACATGTGTCCTGCTGTAGTTCCCCGACAAGAACAAACCTTGCAGCTTGGTTCGGCGCTTATTTATTTGCGGCTGGGGCAGGACTCACTGGACAGTGGACAGGATCGAAGGATCCTGGTCGAGACTCTGACTCTCCTCTCGAACCATGCAGAAGATGCAGATCATGCAGCTGCTTAGAATAGAACACGCCCAAGATACTGTAATACACGCATTCTAGACCGTCTTCATGCCCATGATCGTGAGAGAAATGTGGAAAAGTGCCAGCACTTGAATTGGATTGAGCACTCCGTATGTCGCATGACTTGCTCGTATTTCAAGTATTAACTTGAGTAGAAAAATGTAAGGCTGGAGAGGTAGAACGTACATAGCCTCTCCCGGCGTCAAGCCAATTGAGAAGAGACAAGGTAAAACAGCAAACCATCTTCCCAGTGTATGATATGAAACAGGTAGCCAGGTCGTCTCCCTGGTTCAACATCTTCCGTAAAAGAAAAGGGCGGAGACGCGCAAAAAAAAAAAAAAAAAAAAAAAAAAAAGGCCTTCAAAGAATTAAAAAATCATCCCGCATACAAGATAACCCAAGACCCGAAACTCCGTGCAATTCCATCTTCTTCCAAGGGGTATTTGTCGAAATTTTGTTTTAACAATTAGAATGTCCACGGTCAAAACCATCAACGCCCATCCAGAAATAACCGAAACAATGTGCCGCCAGAACGGCAACAAACCAATCATCCAAAAAGTTAAAATAATAATAATTCAATAATAAAACAAAGCAAACCGGTCGCTGATCCAGCAACCGATGACTCAAAATCCCCCAAAAGGTTATGGACAGTAGAAACCCGGCAGCAGTCCATGCCACTAGTCAAATCGTCCCTTGGAAATATCATCCGGGAAAAACACGGTATATCCAAAACGGAAAATCCAGACTTCTTTTGAAAGAAAATGATTACACAGCTCCTCTCGCTTTGGAGGGGGGAGGATAAATCGAAAGGTGTTGAAATAAGGGACCAGAATGTTTCTGTTTGTGAAAGGAGCAATTCATGGTCCAGTAGAAGAATGTGACCAGAAAAAAATATATCGACGTAAATCATAACTTAGCGTGACAAGGCGCCAAAAAGGGGGTATTAGGACACCTGGAAAGAGCCAGCCTTAAGAAACAGCGTATGGCGAGCCGTAAAAATGATTTGGAACCAGAGATAGACCCGGGTAGTTTCCGGGGTTGTATGGGTTGCAAACAGTGGGGTCCACTTGCGGGAAAACGTATTCATCACCTTTGTGGTATACTCCGGGCAGGATCTCCGCTGAAGACGAGATACTGTCCAGGTCAGAGTAATCCTCCGTGAGGGAAGACGCATCCGAGACAGCGGAGTTGGAGAAGTTGGAGTAGTATGAAGAGGCGTCCGAAGAAGATGCGGAAGGCTGTGCATCGAGAGGCTCCACTGGGGTGGACACAATGTGAGGGTTGGGGATGAAGTTGACAGGCTGTGGCCTGTTGTTGGACACCCAGGGGGTCATGGAAGTAGTGGTAAACCTAGGGCATTCCAGGACCAATTTACGAAGCTCCCGGATGGTAATCCTCTTGGCAGGGTCGCACTCGAAGATGCGGCTGAGGATGTAGACCATCTCGTCCGTCAAGGGCAGGATAGACTTGAGAAAAAAGGGATCCTTCAGATAAGCACGGAAACTGGAGTCCTCAACGGATGCACGCTTCCACGGGTTGCGGCCACAGGTCAGGTTGACGAGGATGACGCCCAGGCTCCAGACGTCGTTGGGAGCGGCTGCGTAGCAGGACATTGGACGGGGATTCGACTGTTGACATTCTGGGGATTTGACATCATGTTAGATGGATAGAGGGGAGTGGAAAGGCGAGAAGGATGAACGTACCTGGAGACATGTAGAATGTCGATCCGCAGCCAAAATCCGAGGTGAAGTAGTCCGTGGACGCAAGCCCAAAATCAGCCAGCTTGACCGACCTGCCCTGATCGGAGACCAGGATGTTCTCCGGCTTGAGATCTCTGTGGTAGATACCCATATCATGGCAGAACTGAACGGCACTCAGGATCTGCAGGAACACACTCCTGACCAGAGCGTCATTGCCGACGTAATTGCCCTTTTCCGTGATGCTGGAGAAGAGGTCACCTTCGCGGCAGTATTCCATGACGACATAGATACATTCGGGCGAATCCATGATCCGGAGCAGGGAAACCACACTGGGATGTTGACTGGCCATGTAGTGCAGCTTGATCTCGCGCTGCTGGCACTTGAGCTGGCGGGGGTCGAGGCCAGTCTTGTTGAAGGCCTTGACGGCGTACATGATGTTGGTATGGATGTCAACGGCGGTGTAGACGACGCCATAAGCACCCACGCCCAGGATGCTGGTTAATTCCAGGCGGTTGGCCAAAAGGAAACCCAAACGGTCTTCGGGAGCATAGCAACGGGTGACGGGAGGGGGTAGAGGGGGAAGCATTGTGGGAGGATACATATTATGTGTATTAAAGAGTGTTTGTTTTCTTTTCGGTTGTTTTGGGAGGATTGTAGGACGGGTGACGGGAAAAGACCCAGGCCAGGCAAGAAAGATCCAAGGAACCGGAACGGGAACGAGAAGACCGAGAGAAGGAAGGGAATCCTAGGGAAATCCAAATCCAGAGGCGAGTCGGGACATCCAGGGAACAACAATCCTCAGGGAGAAGCCATCGAAGGAGAGATGATTATTATGTAGATAGAGAGACCAGGTGGGAGATAAGGATCCGGAGCGGTTAGGTGGTGGCGGGAGAGTGATAGGAAGACTAGGAAGAGGGAGAGGGAGAGGAAGAGAAGAACGAGAAGAATAGGAATGGGAGAGGAATAGAGGAGGATGGAGGATGGAGGATGGAAGGATGAAGAGCGACTAGATACAGCGGCCTAATGTATTATGTATGCAGGCAGAGCAGCAGGGAAGGGAGGAGGGCAAATCGAAGGCGAGGCAAGGCGAGACTCCACCACATCATTCTAGTAGTATTATTTTACAGAATAAAATAATAAAATAATACAGCTGACGTGCGTGGAGACAAGCAGCCAACTGCCGATCCCAGCTCCAGGAGGCGGTGTCTCCAGAACCTTCGGCCAGTCCGGTGACCCAGCGACCATGTTCCGGGGCGTGGCTGTAACAGGCAGCTTAGCCCCCACCGGCCAAAAGGCACAGACGTGCCGGGATTGGCCCTGCGGCCTTCCAATTTTGGCAGCTGGCTTCGACGGGGCAAAAGTGGGTCTCTGACCACACTAGCGTGACCTTAGCCTGGAGTGATACCGTAATTTTCGCGGTCAACTTGTATCAGAGGTAGTCCTGTGAGTCCTAGTCCACGCCACCGCCAGGAAGCCTAGAATCGCTTGATTCGGGGGCAACAGTCCTTGTCTCCAGGACTGGTGACTTCATCAGCCCACTGCCCTCCAGACGATCGGTTGATTAGTCGTTCCAATGTCTTATGGTAGGTACTATGTAATAATGTATGCTATGTATGCATGTAGCTATGTACTTTATCCTCCGGAGTACTCCGCTGGAGTGAGGCTGGTTGTTGCACTATTATTGTTATTATTGTTATTATTATTATTATTATTATCATCATTATTATCATTGTCATTCCAGGCTGACCCACTGTAAATAACTAACAATGCTGCAGTTACAATTTACGAGGCAAGATAAACAGTTCCATCCCTCCTTCATCCCCTGAGGCAGCAATCTTAAACGCTGATCGCCTGTAATGAAGGTCAGACTCGAGACTCGAGACTCAGAACTCCTGGCTGGATGAAATGAAGTGGAGGCGGCAAATCCAAAACATTGTCTTGTCTTTTCCCCAGTGCATATGCAGATGCATTCATTGTCTGCTTTCCAGCGTATCGTCCGACTGCATACAGAGCACATTGTACTACACAGGATGCGCTCAGACCGCCCTCCGATCCTTGCTGAATCCTCCCGTTGGCTTTTCTTGTAGCCACCTCCATATTCGAGAATCCAACCTGCCTGATTCTCCCATCAGACAACGCCCCGCCTCGTTGGGCGCACGGTGCGTCGTTATCCTTCAAATCAAATCCTCGACACTTGGCCTCCTGGACCTTGACGCCTTCTCGTATCTCGTAGATTAGCCTCTGCTAGTAAACCTACCGCTCACTCAAAAAAAAAAGGAATTCTTCCGTAAAAAAGGTTAAGAAAAATGTCAAAAAAAAGTAGAAAAATATCGTCTATATACATCCACACTACGCCTTGGGTCTGGCGATGAACGGATGTCGTAGCGCCTCCGCCGGCGTACACCGCTTCTCTGGATTAACGTTCAAGCATCGATCCAGCAGATCTACAAAGAGCGTCAACTCCTTCGCCTCCCCATCGGACATCCCTCGTACCCCCTGCCCCATCAGTCGCGTCTTCAGGTCGCGCGTCGGCTTCTTGAAGTCCAGAACCCGCGTGACCAGCCGCCCGGTCACCTTGTCTTCTTCCGTGCTCTGGAAGTTGAGCATCTCGTCAAAGTGCATCGGCACCAGCGACCCGCGCCGTAGCAGTTTCGGCGGGAACTTGCCACGGCATTCCATGATCGACCGCAGCATCTGGTTGTTGTTGCGCCCCGTAAACAGGATCTTCCCCGTGTACAGCTCGAACAGCGTGCACCCGACCGACCACACGTCAATTGCGTAGTCGTAGGGTATGCCCAGTATCACTTCCGGTGCACGGTAGAATCGACTCACCAGGTACGGTGTAATCTCGTTCTCCGACGCCGGCGACGCCGAGCCCAGGTCGCACACCTTCAGCACGTTGCGCTGCTCGTTCACGAGCAGGTTGTCCGGCTTCAGATCCGCGTGCAGGATGTTGCACTTGCGCAGTAGACTCAGCCCCAGGAAGATCTGATGCGCATACGCTCGGATGGCTCTCAGGTTCAATCCGACATCCCGCCCGAACTTCTTCAGTACTTCCCGCAGATTCATGCTCAGGTTCTCAAAGACCATGCACAGATGGCCCTTGTGCTCAAAATACCGCTCAAACTTGATAATGTGTTTCTTATCCTCGGGGTCTGCCTCGTGTAGTTGTTCCAGGATACCAATCTCCTTCATCCCAGCCTTCCTCATAGTATCGTTATGTCGGATGATCTTGATCGCAACCAGTTTCCTTGTCTTCGAGTCTGTCGCGCGCACTACAGATGAAAACATCCCCTTGCCTAGATTCTGCTGCACATGATACCGCCCGTTGATCAACTCACCAAGCCGGACGTTGTAATACCCTTCAGGGTCGTCCCAATTGTCCATCATGCTGATGTCAAGCTCTTGCGGCTGGGGTGCTACAGACTTCGCTGAGGCACGCAATGGCGGCGCGGTTTCTGGGCTACCATCAGCAAACATATCATCATCGTCTTCGGCAAACATGTCATAAGGATCCTTCGTCGTCGGCGGTGGCTGTTGGAGGCCGGCATCGGGAAGCAAGAGATCCTGTTTTGCGGTCTGCGTCTCGTCATACGCCGTCGATGGAACATTCCCGTTCATGGTTCTGTCACTATGCTTCTGTCTATCCTCCTTCATGTCAAGAGTGGGGTCATAATCCGCCGCAGAAGGCTCATCCTTTTCAACACCATCTGTAGGGAAGTTGGAATTAACCAGATCAGCATCCTGGCCAACCTTGAAATCGGGAATTGAGTCCCCTTGATGTTCACTAGGCGTAGGGAGGGGCGATATTCGAGGAGATTCTAGTATGAGAAACAAAATTAGCTTTAAAAATCCTATTCAAAACCACAATCCAGTAGGCATGAAAGACGGTAAAAGTCGGCCTACCTGATGATGAAATATTACCTGCTACGTTTTCGTCGGTACCTGGAGTAGAAGAGTCTGTTTCACCTCGAATATGCAATGCCTGGAGACGTAAAGGAGTAGCCTGACCGCGATATTTAGCCTTAATAGCTTCTCGTCGCTTGCGACGAGCTTCAAGACGTGCCGCTTCATCAAGCAGTTCAGCAGGTTCCTCCTGATTCTCTTGAGGGGCCGGAGCAGTCAGGCTGATAGAGGGCGGCGGGTTAGCAGCTGTCCGTCGGAAAGGATCTCCAGTGACATACTTATTCACTGCACGGGTACCGGCATCAGACAAGGCATCAAGCACCTGATTCTCTCTCATTTCAGCATCATGCTTAAAATTCTGAGCGACGACTGGAGTAGTTCCTCGTTCGCTCACTAACTGTTCAGTAGTTGACGACCTTCGCCGTCCGACGTTGTCCCGAGCGGAACCAGCTCCAGGACCTTCGTCTCTCTTCGACTCTAATTCGTCACTCGAGTACTGCTTGGGCTTTCGGATCTCTGGCTGAGGCGATCGACTTTGAGTCCGTCGTCGTTTATCTCGACGACGGTAATCGTAGTCGTCGCTGTACCGGATGGCACCGGTGCCATGGGCGTGGCCATAGTAATCCTCTCTATCGTAATCGTAGTATGATCTTTGTCGCCGATAGGGCCCGCTCCCATCGTAATACCTGTCATCATCGTACCTGTGGTTGAAACGTCGCGACGGTGGACGATGCGAGGATCCGTGTCGAGACCGTCTCTCGTCATAGAAGTCATAGTCGTAATCATCGTCGCGTCTTCGTTTATGCCTTCTACTGTAGTTGTCTCGATGGGGGGAGCGGGAGCGCGTTATCGATCTCGATCGCGACCTGGTGGACCTAGTCCTTGATCTCCGCCGGCGTGGCGACCTACTACTCCGTGACGTGGGAGATCTCGGCGCAGAGGATGTACTAGCTCTGGTCTGACGGTCAACGCTGATGCCATTAAGAGGAGCTTGCGACGTAGTTGCCTTCATCTCTGATCCTGATTCGATGATCTCACCCTCAGAAGGGGTCGACGGAGACATCGACCTGTGGGATGCCATGATTTCCTCTCCTTCGCCTTCTTTGCTTTCAACACCGCAGGAGAGTCAATATGTGAAAGCTCACTTTCAATCCGACTAGAGAGCTTTCAGAGCCGGCAAGCGCATGAGACGGTTCAGGTCAGCAAAGGTCTTTTCCTTTCAGTATGATGACGGGACTTAGGCTGTGCTGGAACGGGGGATAGGTGTATTGAGAAAGTCCAACCGGCTAGAAGAATAGACAGATTTGCTGTCTTTTGCTCCGCGGAGTCCTTTTCTAGTGATTCCCACAATCATAGAAGACAAGTGAACGAACGGATAGTTGAATGTATGTGATGTTCAAGGGAAGGGGGAGGCGAGGTCCACGATGCTCTGTTAGTACGTGAGTCGCAGCGAAGATTCTGTGCCTAACCTAAATGGGACTAGCCTGTATAACCCGTGACATGGAACGATGGATGCTTTTCCCTCACTCCCCGCAGGTCGACAAGAAGGGAGGCTTTTGTTTAATTTTTCTTCCCCCTTCCTTCTTTTCGCCTCTTCAGACTGATCTCAAACCACCACGTCCAGATATAAAATATATTGGAAGAAACGAAGAGACATAAAGACCGAATAATTCTCACCGCCAAACCCGTACCTATCAACCAACCACAGAATGGGCGGTCAAAGCAGAGAAGGTGAGCAGATGCGACCCGCCTTTTTTCTTCTTGCAGTGTTACCATGCAGAAACCAGACATTTACAATCAGATCTCTCCTAGGCGGCAAAGCAAAGCCTCTCAAGGTACCCAAGAAAGGAAAGAAGGAACTCGACGAAGACGAAATTGCGTTCAGGGAGAAGCAAAAAGCTGGTACGTTTTGCCTTTTCCCTCCTCCCTTCACTCAGTATTCATCCAGCAATATCTCCTGTCTGACAAGTTCCGCCAAAATTCTACAGATGCCAAGGCTAAAAAGGAATTGATGGAAAAGGCCAAAGGCAAGGGTCCTCTGAATACCGGCAATCAGGGCATTAAGAAATCCGGGAAGAAATAAATGTGGGACAGCCGACTATTGACGGATGGCCAGGCATAAGTCACCCCCTGTACGGTGCTGTACACGCGACATGAGATAGTGGGCCGTAAGGGGTTCAAGAGAGATCTTGCCATCCTCCGCACGAGTCCCAGGGTCTTTTACGATGCAACGAGCTACGGGAGATGGGCACACAATACATGGAGTTCTTAACTTTTAAGCCGGTGTTGATTACCATATATATATTGGTTTCAACGGTATGCATATGATAGATAATATTCGAACGCTAGACCGTTTTCAACAATATATTAGAGCTATATCTCACAGCTAGACCTAACAAGTTGCCGTATCCGAAATTAATCATGTATGCATAATTAGTCAAGGAACCGAGAATGGCCGACATCCGACAAAGGAGAAAGGGTATATCAACCCCAGAAGATCGCACATGATAAATTAGTGAAAAGCAAGAGAGCACCGTATATGAAGACCAGAATGCACCAAACAGCCTAGCTGAAAGAGTACGACAATAGAGATAGAAAAGAAACATGAGAAAGAATGGACATCCGACGTTCTATCACATAGCATGGATCGACCAATAACACCAAGAGACAGACGTCAGGGTAAAAAAATTGGAAATCAGCGAGCTCGTGGAAATAGATAGGCTTCCCTTAATTGGTAACCCGTCTAACCCACAGACTGGACTCGCCGCCGTTGAGATCACGTTCATCGCGTCGTCTCCAGGCTCGGATTAATTGCAGGCCAATATCGTGCTCCTCTTTTTGGATTTCGGCCAATTCATCGTTAAGAGTCGCCACGGTCTTTTTGACCTCGTCTCTAACAGCGAGGTCGTAAGCAACAGAGCTCGGCTGGACGACCTCTGTTAACTCGTGAATCACCGCAACAACGTTCGCCTTGCGCGATGCGAGGCCTTCCCTGCGCGCCTCCAGATCTTTGATGCGTTTCTCTGTCTGATTTTCACGCGAATTTCGTGATGAAATGCTCAATGCTTTGTTAGCCTCCATGGGAACAGGCTTGCGGGGTGGTATCTTCGTAGACGCAAGTGTCTTGGCTTTAGGGATTAACTGTTCCCTGACCATAGCCGGAGAGAGATTCTCTGTGGACGTGGTATCGATTTCCGTGGTGCTGACGCTCGCGCTGTTTATCAAGCTATCTGCTTCGGAATATCCATCTGTGGTCGCGCTGAAACGGCTTACAGGTCGGTCGCCAGTTTCCAGATCAACTGGCTCTGCGTTCAAGTGGCCAAGCCTTGGTAAATCGATTCGCGGGGGAAGAGGGTTGGCCAAAGCTGGACGAGCAGGCTTATGAGCTTCCTTGTGTGCGGTGCGCTTTTTGGGTAAGGGTGCGTATTTCTTCTCCTTGCCCGCCGTAATTGTAGTAACAACTGAGGGGACAAACGGCGGACATGGCACGTCATGTTCCATTCTTAACCGGTCGTGGCTTTTCGACTTGCGTAGCGAAAACTTCCTCCCTATGGTCTGCTCCACTGTAGGGCGTTCACTTGGCCAAGCCCAGGGATCATGATCCGCAGGTGATTCCCCGTTGGAGCCTATTGTCTTCCTTTTCGCAGTGAGGTTCTTGAAGAACCCACCTGCCTTGGGGACCCGCCCCTGCCAGGTGGTACTCTTAGCGGCCGTGAGTCCAACATTGTCATAGCGGTTGGCTGTCTGCGCATTGGCAGACCTTTTTAAGTTGCCTAGACTCGGAGATTTGTGGAAACTATGTCCAGAGGGTATGTTGCTGGACTTCAAGGTCAATACGTCGTTAGAATGAGGTGCCATATCTGTATCATCAAATAACTGCGGAGGTTGCTCGTCCGTCGGAGATACGTCGTAAGGGTGCTCATGAACACAACCTGAGGAGACGGGAGTGCTGGGGGGTGATATATCTGAGATTCTGTCGGGCGAGCGACCTCCTCGACTCAAGTGGCTCCTGCGGCCTAAGGAAACCCGCTTTAGGGAACTTTGACGCTGCTCTTTGTCGTTCCTCGAGGCGGAGTGGAGCCTGAGATTGAGTGGTCTGGCCGTTAAGGGGGAACTGGAAGGATCCCTTCAAAAAAAAGCCGAGCAAAAAGAACTAGTAGTTAGACCATAGGGACTTTGCATATACGCGCACAAACTATTTGGTTTGGCATGATGAGAGCCACGGTACTTACCGAGGCAGCGCAGGGAGATCCTTATTAAGAGCGGCATTGGTGTTGTTGACGGGTTTCCGCGCGATAGAGGGGTACACGCTCTCGTCCAAGGTCTTCTCAACCAGTGTGGGGTGCCCAATAACTACAGGGTTCCGAGACCAATGGTTCATTTGTCTTTTTTTGTCCAACATGTTGAGTTTTGAACTATTGCTGATCTAAAAAAGGGGGTCCAGTATGCGATCGTGACCAGGCGTTAATATATTAAGGAGAGGATGATCTTCGAACCGTCAGGAGATCGGGCTAGTTCAAGGCTCCTGGGATCCCGCGAATTTTAGGAGATCTAAGATAAATGCGACTAAAGAAACAGAGAGAGAGAGATGGTGAAAGATGGAGAAGAGCTCAAAGGTTTCCAAGACAAGGAAAGGACATAGAAATGATCAACATGCACAAAGGACGCCAGTGGCAGTGGCATTGGGTACCACAGAGCGGCCCAGACGTCACCAGAGGAGGATAATAATAACAGCAGCAGAATCCCAGGCGGAAATCGAAAGCCACGACGGGGCTGACGCCTCGTCGAGTCGTCAATAATATCCGTACAAGATGGAGGACAACACAAGGAGCGGTTCCCGTACTTTTGGGCCCTATGGGTCCGTGGGTACTGATAGCTAGGACTGAGTTAATCGGAGTCCAGCCCACGGCGATCTGCCGTAGACCAACACCGGGATATTAATCTGGAAGAAGCAAATAATGGAAGAAGTAAATGTCAGCTCTGATGCTTCTGCACAGCAGGCTGACAGTCGACAATTAATCGTTTGAAGTAAGATGGGAAGTGTCTAATAATAACGATGAAACGTGGAGTGTTTGCCTAGGCGTACTAACCCGACCCGGCTAGTGCTATAATTACATCACGGGCTGCATCACGTGGGGAGCGGGGAAGGCGGAAGCTCCATGACATCTTCAACGTCCGCTTTCTCTTCCTCAATTGTCGACTGTTGAACGCTTGTCAGAATGGCTTTGACAGGTGGGTACGCCGTCATTATGGAAGAAGCAGTATCCATACTAACGCATCCTGCATCCAGAAGACGCTGTCCCACCCGCTGAAGTGTCAGTCTGTTGCTCTATACGATGTAGCACACGAACACACCAATACTAACATTGACAACTACTCATTCTAGCATGTCAATTGCCACCCCAATCAACCTCGCCCTCCTGTCTCTCTTCTCCGTTCTAGTCTATCTGCACTTCCGTCCCAAGGCTCCAGTCAAGCTCCCGCAACCTCCGCCTCCAATCGTCTTCCGCACATTCACACCGGCAACTCTCCTGCCCTTCAACGGTGAAGATGGCAAACCCGTCTACCTCGCCGTGCGAGGCCGTGTCTTTGACGTAACACCAGGCAGGAACTTCTACGGGCCCGTACGTGATCAAATGTCAATCCTTGTTAAGATAACACAAGACACAGCACAGGTTTTGCTTACTGTCATTGGAAAATGGTGATACAGGGTGGTCCATACGAGAATTTTGCCGGTCGAGATGCCTCGCGTGGTCTGGCATGCCAGAGTTTCGATGAGGAGATGTTAACGAAGGATCTCAAGGGTCCCTTGGACGAACTCAAGGATCTCGACGCCGAGCAGTGGGAGAACCTCGGCAGTTGGGAGGAGAGATTCTTGGAGAAATACCTTGTTGTTGGCAAGTTAGTGGCAGAGGGTGATCCGGAAGCGCTCAAATCGGAAGCCGAGTAGGTGTTGGTCTGTCACACACAAAATTGTGCAATTTAAGTGCAGCCCAGCAACACCAATTAGCTTACGGGCAGGTGGGATTTCCGTTTGCAAGAAGGAAAAATAAACAGTAACAAAAGTTGTAGGATATGGGTCCAGGGTTGAAAAAAAGACAAAGGTAACTTCATGGCTACTAACTGGTTTCCATTATTGTGTGAGTTTCATTTCGTGTTTGTATATGTTGAGATTGGAGTATTTGATTACATATTTACATTCATGGTTCAAGGATAGCCAGTAAGCCATGGGGGAAATGCCATTGAGTTAAGCTATATAACATACTGAATGTACGCTCCTATGTATTTTTACACATCCCAAGCCATCAAACAACCACATCCACCAATGTAAGAACAAGAATCGAAAGCACCCTTCATAAGCTCTTGAGGAGTAATAAGAGAAATAAGTGCAGATGACACGAGTTCAGAAAGAACAGCTCCTCACAACTCAGAATGTGCAAAGTGTTCCGTCCCCTGCCTCACCCGTTCCGCAGTATCATACCCCTTCTCCCTCCCAGTGAGGGCACCAAGTCTTAACCGGTCCAGAACCCACTGGATAGTATCCATGAAACTCGCATAAATAGTGCTCGGCGGAGTCATAGTCCCGTATTTGAAATAGTAGGCATTGCGTCTCGCGGCAGCGCGTAGTTCATTAACATTTGACCCCTGGTAGACCGGAATCCCAAAAGAGTCCAGATAAGCCTTGAGTTCGGAGCGGGACCATTTGTCAAAGGTAACGTCCTTGGCACTTCCGGTTGCCTGTGCCATGTAGGAAGTGGCTGATGCGTAGCTTGAACCGCCGACTTTGGAGGCTTTGACGTATGTGTCTTGGGCTTGTCGCATGAGTTCTTCGCGGGTCACATCTGCGCGACGGGCGGTGGCAGTACTCATTGAAGAGAGGTATTTTCTATGCAATCACGTTAGAACAGGGGAAAGGATTATGGTCTGAGGGGCCATCTCACTTGAGGTGTTCTGCGTCCCAGGTATCGAAAGTCCAGGGATTCCATTCGTTAGCGGCCTTGAACTTGCTTGCTCTTACTTTAGCTAGGAGCTCATCGCGTCTCCCCCCCTGGGGAACAGGGATGCTTCGCGCATCCAGATATGCCTTGAGACGAGAGTCGGACCAGACAGCGACGGCGGTGTCGAAGGCATCGTATCCCGCCAGCCTGATATCATCAGTGGCCCTTGCGTACTCATTACCAGCCTTAGATGTGGCGGCTCCGAAAAAGTCTGAAACCGACGACACGGCCGCCTCGGATGCAGAAGATGCACGACTGAGCAACATGGCACGGTGCTTCCTTGCCAGGGCGATTAGCTCATTGCGCCTAGACCCTTGCGGTACTTTCACGCCATGCTCGTCAAGGAATTTCTTCAACTCCGAGTCGGACCAGGCATGGAACAGAGCATCACTCAAAGTATCCTGTGCCGCTTGTGCCGAGGCCGAAGCAGATGAGGCAAGACTCTGTGCCCTCAGAGAAGCGAGACGCGAATTGCGACGTACGGACGCAATAAGCCTGTCCCTGTCAGTGGGCTCCGGTACGGGCCACCCGTGCTCCTCCAGCCAGGCTTTAAGGTCAGATTCGCTCCATTGTTCGTAGAGCCAATTGCCAGGATAGGCGGCTGTCTCTCCAAGTTTCTTTGCAATGGCTTCATAATTCTCACGGGCTGCCCCTAAGAGCACTTCACGTCTACTCGGTTGAGGAGGAGGAATACCGTGCGCGTCAAGGAATGCCTTGAGCTGTGATTCTGACCAGCTGCTCAAACTGTCAGCAGATGCTAGCGAGGATTCGTGCATTTCCATTACACGTACGTCTCGAAGACCCATTCTCTCGCATGATGAATCTGGTCGGAAGTATAACCGGTAAAACGGCCCAAGGGCTGCTGCACTTTCGAGTCCCAATTTGCCTTTACCAGATTCTCGAGATCTTTGCGGTCTGCCGGCGTGGGATACGGGATGCCTAGGTATTCAGTTAATCATTCTGCGATCAAGAAAAGACAAAACACGACGCACTGTGGTCGGAGAGCCACCGTTCCAGTTCGGTTTCGTGCCATCTGTTGTATACTATGCCATAAGTTGTCAATATCACAGGACAGCAAGCAAGAGATCAGCCGCAGACATACCCGTTCTGGTGAACCAGTTGGAGGCCCCAACAGCCTCGGTAGTTACCAGCACCCATAGGAGGCTGGTCAGTAAATTGAGCTTCATCCTGACCTTTTACTTCGTGTGTCTAGGGAAGTTTTGGTGTTCTAATCAGATTCTGGAGCACTATGCAGTATTTACTAGCAGGGTTCATCAGTGAAGCTCAACGACTGACAAAAGGCTTAACACTTACCAATTTTCCCGACTACTGGAAAATCAGACATAGTCTTTTGCAAAAGAAAAGGGATACCACAGGATGAATGGCCATTTTAAACGAGAGGGGCAAAAGCTGGAGGTTTCCCATTGAACATGCATGATAGTCCTGTGACGTATGCGATGCGGCGGATTTTCCAACAATTCAGACATCTCTCTGGATTGGCCTCCATCATTCTTCCACTGCCAAGGGCTGTTTGTCTCATATCTCTTGCCATTGGCGCCACTGGTCGAGATCATCATGGCGATTGCGTTGTCGAATGGACGTCGTAGCTTCACCTCTCCTGGCTTAGCTACTAGTAGGACAATGTGTGGTATATGTGCACGTAAGCTCCAGCAATAAGACAGAACTCCCTCCATGTATGCATGCTGGTGTTTTCTAGCCACTGTGACTTCCTCGTGGCACTCGCAGCGCCTTGCAGAGCGAGTGCTTTCCAACTGGCTTTGTTGGTGATGCAAAATGCCTGGATTCCTGAGGCCACATCATCTGTTCTGCTACTAAGCAATAACAGCTGCCTCAGGCGATAATATATGCCTGATATTACTTGTATGTGGAGCTGTTCTTGCAGTCTACTCTCTTGTTTTGATGATAATACGGAAAGGGAAGAGATAATATTCAATTAACTCAGCCACATCTATAGAATACATATGCCTGGTTTGGCTATACTGGCAGACACTCGACTGTTCAGGTGGTTATATGTCGGCGCCCAACAGCGAATTATTCCACCACGACATTTCCCCGGGCCACTATTGGGGCAGCATATCCGGGGACGACGGCCGTATTCGCTGGTTTCATCGGTTTGAAGAAGAAATACGCCCCTCGGCCATTGCGCAAGTCACCGTCCTTACGCCACCCGGACGAGTTGGCTGATAGATACTTCTCCACGGCGACCGCTTTAGTGACATAAACGACATTGTTTCCCTCAAACTGCACGATGCAGTTATGCCAGGGGGTTGGGATGTGCAAGAGGTCGTGCATGCTGCCCGCTTCATGCTGCCGATCAAGCGAGTCGACAACGCGCGTGGTGCTAGGGTCGAAGAGCCGGATGGCAAACTTGGGGCCGGTGTTAGAGTGCGCATGGATCGATAGACGGACGGAGCTGGGGAACATCAGCTCGACCAGATTGGAATATGCCTGGTTGCGCAGCATCATCTCAAAGGCCACCTTGGAAGACAGCTTCTTTTGCTTGGAGCGAGACAGTGACTGGGTCGCCGGGTGCATTGCCAAATCCTCCAGCATGAACCGCGAAAATCCCCTATATAAGGCCAGTAATGCTGGATCCGACCCAGTCAATTGGCTTCGGAGGCCCTCATGACTGGGTTGACAGGCTGTGATAAGCATTCGCCGGCAAAGCTCAGCCTCTTCCGTGAAGGTGGTCGCCAAGTAATGCGGCAGCGCAGATAATGCTCTATCCTTCAAGTCCTGCATGTCACTGTCCCCATTATAATCCTTCAGGTTGAAGAGATCCACCAGAGATTGGAACTGAACTCGGTCTGCCGATCCGCTGATGCTCTTCGAAATGGCGGCATTGAGTTCCTTGAGCTTCGTCCCATAAGTGTCAACGGCGTCGTCGTCCACGCCGACTTCATCACTCACAGAGTCATTAGTGTCATGATCTTATTTGGCCAGAAATGGTCCGGGAATGGGATCATACTGCAATCGCTGAAAACGTGTCCATCGCTAACGATCAGAACTCTAGCCCCTGGATCATATATTTCTCTAACCAACTGCACAAACTCATGCAGACGCCTGAGCGCTAGCTCTTCTCCTTTGTCGGGGACTACCCCCAGCACCTTTCTCGAATTCGATGATTTGCATGGGAAGGCAGGAAGACACAGTTCCAGCCTGAGGTTTCGCGACACGAAGAATTCCACCTTGGACTGGAAACGGCTTCTACCGACATCGAACCATCGATCGTTGGGAGAACGGTAAAGAAGAGTTCTTTCAAAGAGGTCTATAATCCTCTGGACTAGCGGCCCTCTATCTTCAACGGCGCAGCTCATGGAGTCGATGTTGGATCGGATCCTGGGCAGTAGGATTCTGAGAAAAGCCTCGTCGAACAGAGGTGCACCCGGCAGTTCTTCTGCATGCCCTCCCTTCAAAATCAATCCGACAACAGTTCCCAGCCTGGTGCCGTTGATCTCCCACGCAACCAGGCTGCCGGGCACATTGGGAATGCCGCTCGTCTCCTCGATACGTAAGCCCTTCGCGAGCCCGGAATTCGACGCAATATTCTCGTTTATCGATGCCATATGGGACCATATCTCAGGCCAGGCGGCTCGGATCAAGTCTGCCTTCTTCCCGAAGCAGTCTCCTAGATGGCCATCTGTGCTTCGAGAATATGCAGCCAGGGTCCGGTGGTAGACAGACGTACCTTCATTCGTGATATCCATGACTAGACTGATCGGTTCCAAGGGTAGCTAGGCGAAGTTACCATGATCAATATCGAGCCTGCGCACCTCGCTTCAAGCGAACAAGATATATATACTTCTCTTGAGTTAGTCTTGTTGCTTGATAGGCGTGTTAATCTTCTCTCTCACGCATCAGATGAACTAAGAATTTCTCTCTTTCTAGTCTGGCAAACCGGCTGCACCATACTCCCAACCTGCATTCTTGAGCCTGCCTTAATATCCGAGTTCCTCCGAGTCTCATCATCTACAGCAGGCACTATTGTCGTGTTGATTGCTACCCTAGATTGCAAGTTCCTTAGTGAATCCTTCAGCAAAGGAGGGTAATAATAATGGGCGCAAATGTGCTCCTTTACACTAACACTTATAGCTGTTCTATCTTGGACTAATGGCATAGATTCGCTGATACACAGTTTCCAAGATATACAGCGCTACAGAAGCCGAAGAATTATTTTGAGACCGTGGAAGGTTCTCTGGTAACTCGGAAATACTGTGCCGCCTCTGAAGATACACGCAACCACGGTCTTTTTCGAGTCAAATCGCGCTTGTTACAATATAAAGCACTGTATTCGTTCTGAGCAAGCGAGGTACCATCAGGATAGAGAATGTTCCCCTTATTCGACTCCGTGGTGGTTCTAGTCAAGATACTTGGTGCCGCAGGTGTGGCCCTTGTAGTCATATCATGCTGGATCTTCTGTCCACCCTATCACCCAAGAAACATTCCTGCCGTGCCTCTTTGGGTGACTCTACTGCCGTTTATCTACGACGTTGACCAGGAATGTATGTACAAGAAATACATACAGAAACCACTGCTTGAGCATGGTGCTGTGAAGATCTTCTTTGGCGGCCAGTGGAACGTCCTGGTGCAACGGTCAACGTATCTAGCGGAAGTATTTAGGAATGAAGAAACATACCAGAAAAGCGGAAACCAGAAGAAGATACCACACAGCATTCTTGCTGAATATCTCGGTACGTCTTTCGTCCACCTCACCTGATACCAAGGGGCTATTTTTTTGACGCGAAGAGTGCAGGAGACAACATCATCTCTTCCCGTGGAGACGACTGGAGGGTCTATAGAGAAGTCATCAAGCCAGCACTTCAAGCAAGGTTTGATGGTGAATCGATTGCCAAGAACGCCCGTCAGCTGTGCGCGCTCCTTAGACAGTCCCAGGTGGAAAATGGGCAAAGGGGATGTCTTGTACAAGACATTCTGCAACGCTACTCGATTGCAAACATCGCCACGGTCATATTCCGGACGGACCTCGGAGTATGTAACACCTCCGTCTCTTGGTTCCAATTGTGATAAATGTTGCTGACATTGTAGATATGGAATTAAGATTATGCAAAATCCACATGTTCATCTGCACGTACTGCTGCAGCAGGTAAAACGAGAAATATTCCAGCCTATCTTCCTCAACTTTCCGGTCCTCGACCAGCTTGGGAGTCTTTTTCCGAGCCGCGTGCGGGCCCGGCAGCTCGTGGTACGATTCTCAGAGGAACTGCAGCGGATCCTCTACGAAAGTCGCGGGAAATCGTCTCTACCTTCCGGGGAACCGAAAACTCTTGGGGACCGGCTGGTCTCCGCACGGGAGCGCAACGTTCTGACCCAGAAGCAGTTTCGCGATAACTTGAACGTGGTCTTTGTAGCCGGGCAAGAGAATCCTCAGTTGGCCATGATTTCAACCTTATATCTCCTGGGAAAGTATCCGGTATGTGATTCAAGACAATACCAAAGTTTTCAATGACATGGCATGAAAGGTAGACTCATGTAGTTAACCGCTGTCACAGGAGGCCCAATCTCGCCTAAGGAGAGAAGTAGATGAGTGTGGTTCAGGTCGCCCAATAGAGGCCATATGTAATGAACTCCCATATCTCACGGCTGTCGTCTACGAGAGCATCCGTCTATTCCCACCGATTTCACAACTTATCAATCGGCGTGTATCCCAATCGGGAACGCTAGGCTCACGCATCTACCTGCCGCAAGGGACATACGTGGGCTATAACTCGTATTCGACAAACCGCGATCCTGCCACATGGGGTCTGACGGCAGACCAATTCCTTCCTGGGCGCTGGGGAAGCACGAACGAGCAGATCTCCAGACGGCTGCGCGTGGCGAAAGCCCGTGCCGAATTCATTTCCTTTCACGGCGGTGGCCGCGCTTGTCTCGGTGAAAAATTCGCAGTGATGGAGATTAAGGTGGCTCTTGCTACGCTGGTCCGGGAACTCAGCTGGACGCTTGATCCGGAGTGGACGGACAGGATGACACCGGTAAGCAGGCAGAAGAAGAAAAAGCCCTAGGAGATTAGGAATCCTATGGGTCTGTCCCTAGTGTTGAACTAACGATCTCCAGGCCGGACCTTTATTCCCTCGTGCACTCCGACTGGTCTTTACTGATCGGACATGTTTGACGCCGTGATACTAGACTGGAGACGCTGCATAGAGTGATACTGGGGCGGAAGTTAACATGCTCACATTTGCGCAGTTTTGACCATGTTGATCAGAGAGGGCCAAGACATCGGGCTTGTCCGAACCGAACCCTAAATTAATTTAGCCGTCGACGGGGATTCAGATTCAGTCCTACTGGTGTCTATTCAGTTTATTCTTCTGTGCTAATGGCACGAACATGATTAGTTGAGCATTGATTGAATGCACTTTGTAGTAGTGTGGTACTTTGCTTGCAGCTCATACCTGTGACATTGCACAGTCCCATGGCAACAGCAGAATCGAGAAATCTTTGTTCATAGGAGATTTCTAACACCCTTTTCCGCTTTTACAACATACACAGATAGATCTGTATATACCATGCCCAAGCACAGCTGCTGGCAGGGAGAGGAGATATCAAACAAGAGGAACCTTAGCCTCCTCCACCCCCTTAGGAATATCAACCCAGATATAAAGCAGCGACGCAACAAACATAAGCAGCAGATTCGGGATCATCGGGAACCGCAAATTATGTGTATGATCCTGTATGACCCCCTGGACAAGCGGATTAATCCACCCTGTCGCGAGATCAAGCGTGATCTCCAACCCGAAGAACTGCGCTTCAGAGCCCCGGGGCACCAACGAGCCATACACAGCACGATTATAACACCGCAAGGCACTCCCAGAACTCATAAAAAGCACCTGCTGCACCCAAAACTCCGCCTGGTGCTTGTACCCGACCGTGACACGGTTGCTGATCCCGATACACCCCCAGAAGACGCAGAGCATGTTGACGAACAGAAGCACGTACGCCCACGCCTTAACGGGGATGCTGGTTTTGATGCGGCCGAAGGCGAAGAGGAAGCTCAAGCTGCCCATTATGGCAAAGATCACGTTCGTGAATGTCCAGACTTGGTACACGCCGCCGGATCGGTTGATGCCTGTTACTTCGAGGAATAGGGAGCCAATCAGGCCCAGGTAGTTACTGTAGCCTGTATTCCAGAGGATCCAGCCAATGCAGAATTTGAAGGTCTCTGGGTACCGGTTTATGGAGGTTAAGAGGCGGAGCCAGCCTTTCATTGGGAGGAGGAGGATGCTTTGGTCTTTGGGTTTTTCTCGGCCTGGGATGGATGGGAGGAGCCAGAGGCCGAGTAGGGCGAATACGACTGTTTCCCCCTGTTAGCAGTAGTCTTCCCAGATACATAGATAGCTTGCTGTCTCCTTACTCGTAATACATCCCGCGATGGTAATAGCGAGTAGATAGTTGAAATATCCCGTCTTTACGTACGAGCCTCGTCCGTAGACGAGGATGACGCCGATTATCAGAGCTACCAGGCCACCGACGTTACTTGCTACCATAGCAAGCACACTGACGGAGAAGCCCTTCTTCCATGTTCGCCTCTGCTGGCCCGAGACTTGGTTATCGTCGTCGTTCAGGCGTACGGACGAGCGATGCCATCCCGCCGAACGCATGAAGATGGGTATGTACGATCCCTCGATGACCGTGTAGACGCCCTGGGTTGTCGTCAATAAGATGTATAACGCAGCCAGTGCATTGAGGTGGCTGTAGTCTTGCTTGGTGAGGCCGGCGAATGGTAGAGCAAAAGCCCCGAAGAGCATGATGGATACCAGCATCATATATTTGCGGTAGTCTAAAGAAACGTCAGTTCAAGCAGATGCAAAGGGGAGCATAACCCCTTACTCGAATAATCTGCAATTCCCCCAGTGGTAATGGTAATCACCCCTTCTAATGCACGTCCAATGGCCCTGAGATAGAGTCTGTAGCGAACAAACATATGTATAAGCAAACCGCATCGACCTTCCATCAAGGATAAAGGGGAACAGACACGTAGCTCATGTAATCGATCTCGCCAGCGCCAAACTTAACAAGACACGAGATGTTGCGTCCACGTCGCGAGCACGCCCTGTCAGATCCAGGTTGGTGTCCGAGCAGATTAGCAGCCGACTGTATAGCGGCAGACACGTAGTTGAACGCCATTGAAGCCGTCGGGCCGGTCTATGTGCAGACAAGGTGGTCAGCTATGAAGAAGGAAAAGAAGAGACGGCAAAGGCCTTACCGAAAAGCAAAGAATCAGATACGCCCAAAGAGCCTTTCTTGACCCCAGTGAGGATGGTTGTCCATCAGCCGGATTCTCCTCGTCTGCTGGGGCTTCATTCTGTCTCGAGAGGCTGTCGTCGTGATGATCATGTTTGCTGCCGACGACTACAGCTGCCTTGTCATCCTGCGGCGGAGGCTGCTGATAACTGGGCTCTGCCATTCTGGCTTTGGAGAAGTTTGAGCTGAAAAAGAGCTGTGGAAGTGTTGGATTGTACGGTGATACTACGCAGTATGCTCTAGCAAACAAGATCGGCATGATATAATATAAGGACAGTTGAAGTGCTTAAGGCTGTTTGAAGCAGCAATAACTTCCTAGGTAATAATTATTTGGCTATTGATTCATTATCTGGCATGATCAAGTCCCAGAACAGGGCTTTTGCCTTGTCTGATGCTACTGCGTCCGATTGAGCGCATTTCTACGCGCCAGACTGTCTCGTTCTTGCAATACGAACGAAACATAGAATAATGGAAATCAAGCCGAGTAAGAGTAGCTGTTTATTCAAAAGAATTGTTGCATTGAACTGATCCTTTCTCCGTTGCCAAGACAGCCTAAGCGTTGAGTGCATTTGAGTCCATTACTAGCAGTTTTAGTTAGGGCTTCGGATCCTTCGAGTAGAGACACGATGGATGACAGTCAGTCCACCATAGTCCGACTGTTCGTATTATTGTTCGGCAATGGTTCAGCGATAAAAGCCCCAGCGAGGATGGCTTTGGTGCCATGTTGACTGCTGTTCTGCATCTTGACAGTCAACTCCTCCCGAGTCCACTGCCATGTCCTCTTCTCCCTCCGTTCCCTGCAATGCCAACGACGGCCATGGCATCGCATTGCAACCGGATGAAAAAGTAGCTGCCAGTATATCAACGCCTTCTCCACCTCCTCCGAAGCGTCCCTATACCTCTTTGCCCCGGTCTCGCCAAATATGCATTCTCAGCCTCGTCACAGTTGCTGGTTTCTTTGGCCCTCTGGCAGGTAATATCTACCTTCCAGCGCTTCCAGCTCTATCCCGCGCTTTTGGAGTGAGCACAGATGCCATTAACGTGACTGTTTCGGTCTTCATGGTGGTTTTTGCATTCGGGGTGAGTCGTCGAATTGATCCGCCAGGGGAAATCCATATCATCTAACGAAAATAGCCCCTGTTCTGGGCCCGCTTTGCAGACCGGCGAGGCCGCAGACCGCTGTATGTGATATCAATTTCCATCTACATAGTGGTAAACATCCTGCTCGCCGCCTTGCCAGCAAACTTCGGTGCTCTCGTCTTTTTGCGAATTGTGCAGGCTTTTGGATCATCCGCAGTAGTGTCTCTGGGAGCCGGTACAGTGTCAGATGTATGTAAACACGATGCAAAGATCAGAACCCGTTTGTTTGTGAAATGCAGAGGAACTGAGCAACTTCCATTGGAAATACGAATAGATCGTAGAGCCCAAGAAGCGGGCAAGGGCCATGTCATATTTCCTGTTTGGTCCTCAGTGTGGCCCGATTCTAGGGCCAGTGTTAGGAGGCGCCTTTGCTGGCAGCACATCGTGGAGGTGGATTTTTGGTTTCCTCGGTATTTTCGATTGAATCCTTGAACTGGGGTTATTGAGTTCCTCTTCATCTTTTTGTGTGTCCCCGGAGACTGATGTTGAACCTCTTTTTCCGTCTACCAGCTATCGCCGGATTTGCTCTCTGGGTGACGATCATCTTCTGTCTACCAGAAACCCTCCGCGCTCGCGTAGGATCTGGAGAGATCTACCGGGGCAAGAGCCGCAGCTGGATAATATGGCCGCCTCGACTTATCGCAGAGCCCGTTCCTGAGGAGAAGAGAGGACCACCTCCACCAAAGCCGACATTGCTGGGATACTGGCGTCTTTTCAAGTACCCGCCGATCGGAATCGTCTCGTGCGACACAGCCATTCTATATTCGTCATACTTTTGTATAGCAGTTGAGCTTCCCACTGCACTAGAAAATACATACCATTGGTCATCTGCGGAGGTTGGGGCGGGATACCTGGTGGTGGGATTTGCCATGGTCATCGGTTCTATACTCGGAGGTCGCTTTTCGGACTGGAGGCGCAAAATGCTGGTGAAAGAGACCGGTGAAGAGGAGGTCGCTCCTGAAAACAGATTAAACGACCAGGTCTGGGGCATCTTTCTCATCGCTGGAGGTCTTGTGATGTTTGGATGGTTCGTCGACAAGAAGATCCATCCAGTGGCAACGCTGATATCGACATTTCTGAGTCCGTCATCTCCCCTCATCTAGTTTCTGGACGACGATGGAATTAAAACTAATGAAGTGATATTCATGTAACCGAACAGCCGGCTTCGGGATGTCGTGGATCTTCGTGATCTCCAATGCCTTCCTGACAGAATGTATCGCCAAACAGGCAGCTGGTGCCTTTGCGCTGGGGAATATGCTTCGAAACCCTGCAGCTGCCGTGGCTGCCATCATTATACACCCACTTGTCAAATGTATGGGCTGGGGATGGTGCTTCACCGGCCTTGCGCTCTTGAATTTCGTCGTTGTCGGCGCAGCGCTCATGGTTCTGCGTACCCAGTCTCCACGCTGGAGAAAGAAGAGGGCAGAACGGATGGCTGCTGCTGTGCCTGCAAAGAGCAGTTCTGCTTAAGGTCTGAAATGTTGCAGGTTCTAGCTGTATATCGCAGGAATATCCCCGTATGAAGAACCATGTAGAATAGAAGAATAAAAAAGCATCCGCGTACATGAATTAGGGCAGGGAGATCCGTGCCCTGTATTGTACTTGTAATACAGTACGAGTGACGTAATTACCAGACAACGAGCGTCACCCCTGATCGATCATCTTCAACAACTCATCAACGTCCGCGCTCTGCACTACCACAATAACCATGGCAGCTAGCCTGCCGTATCCAGATTCTCTGCTGAAGATGCATCCCTCAGATTCCCATTGCAGGGAGTTGGCTTTTCCTGGCTTATTCAACTTTGTGCTTTCCATGTACGGATAACCAACCTTCCCGGACAACCTCGTCCCCCTCGCTGCCCAACAACCATTCTGTACCCTTATTCTAGAAAGATTCCTATTCCATAGCTAACTTGGCTACACGAAATTAGTTTCATCCTATTTGCCATCCTCGCATCTTACGTCCCCCAACATGCCCGGATAATCTCCCTGAAGAGCTCCTTCGGGATCTCCCCCTACTTCATCCTGCTGGGGACGACATCAAGCGCATCCTCGTTTGCCAATATCATAACCCTCCCACGGAGCGCACGCGATATCTCCTGCTGCAAGGAAATCAATGGCGTGGCATGTTTCTCAACGATGTTGGGCATGTTCCAGGTTGGGGCGCAGTGGCTGGGATTCTCCATCATGTAGGGATTTCAATTCTTAGAAGAAGGCAATCGTTTAACTGACTCTGCTTCCATCGTCCAGCCTCCTACTCTTCGTCATCTACTTTCCTAGAGCCACCTCCCCAACCTCCCCGATAACCTCCGAAGCAGAACCCTCGCCCTCACCCGAAACCAACGGCCCAAGGCCAACCTACAAAACCGCACTAGCAGTGGCAGCCCTCTCCCTTATCTACACCCTAATACTCGCCCTCGTCTCCTTCATTGTCGCCCTACGACACCCCGCCTCCCTCCAGACATGGGCTAACTTCCTCGGTATAATGGCCGCCGTCCTCGCATCCATCCAATACTTCCCGCAGATCTACACCACGTTGCGTCTCCGCTGCGTCGGCAGCTTGAGTATCCCCATGATGTGCTTCCAGACGCCTGGTGGGCTCGTCTGGGCCGCTAGCTTAGCTGCCCGTGTCGGGAAGGAAGGGTGGAGTACGTGGGGGGTGTTCTTTCTCACGGCTTGTTTGCAGGGTGTGCTGCTTGTTATGGCATTGTATTTTGAGTATTTTGGCCCGAAGATGGAGCATCGGCATGGCGAGGATCAGGCGGGGAAGATTGTTAGACGTGGATATGAGCATGAGGATGAAGGGGGGCGTGAGTATGTGGAACGAGAGAATGGCCATCCCTCTGAGGAGACGCCGCTTCTACAGAGTCCTTGATTGAGATCCTCTTTAGTGTTCTCATTTTATAGATGAATATATGCATGCACGTTTTCTCCTTTCTGTTATGCAGAGGTCTATTTCATTGAGACTTTTAATAGGCCGCTGTCTTAACTATAAATAATTGGTTGACGTCACAGGGCTGAATAGTATGATGCACGGACATAGAAGTGAACGCAAACGCAACTTGTCTACAGCACCTTCGAATTAGGTATCGTTTCCAACTATTGACCGTCAATTCTGTTTGAGCTCCTTGTATATATTATACATTTACATCCCATCCCCCTTAGTATCCCACGTAGTCAGCCCATCTTTACCTCAAAAAGTCTCATTCAAGTCGACCCCGACCGAAACCCCTGAATGACATCTCCCCTATCCGAAATCCTATTATAACTCTGATCATGCCTCTCCTTGATCTCAGCATTATGCCTCTGCACATCCTCCGGGATATTGTGGGCCCTGTTGCCCCTTACGTCAACGTTGGGGGACTGTCGTCCGTCACTGAGCGTAGGGTGGGCTTTGTTGGAGGGAATCGAGGGATGCGTGGGTTTTTCGGCGGCTTCGCAGCAGCCGGGGGCATGCTCGGCGGCATTTGAGGTGGCAGCGGGTGGGGATTTGAAGGTAAATGAATCCTTGATTGCGTTGGGAGACGGGTTGGGGCCTTTTTTTCATTCCGTTGTCAGCTTTGTTTTAAGAGTGCCCTTTTAGGTGAATGAATGCTTACCTGGGTGCTCCATCCGCCTCGTAGGGCTATCCCTCGGCAACTTGGCTTGTCTGCGACGAGTCTGGTCTTCGCCGCCATAGTCACTGTATGAGTATTGTCGGCGTGTTAAGGCTGTGATACTTGTGCTTGCTCGAGAGAGTAGTGAAATTGTAATAGTGCTCGTTCGCAATGGAGTATATGTGCGGAGAATAGCGCTCATCTTCCTGTGACAACGTCGGGGAGAGAAGGGAAAATAGTTTCAGAAGACTGGCAAATAAGGTTTCAACTGTCTTTGCATCCACGCTTGAGCAATAGACGAGGCCATATGTGTTAAAACCTCCTGTGGCGCCTTCGGTGGATGGTCTACTGCGACACACAATGACGTCGGAAAGCTGTCATAATTCACACAAAGTCCGTCCCAATCAGGTCTTCGATTTGAGGAAAATCCGAGCAATTTAACCACCTGGTTTTGACTATTCTGCGGGTGAATATTGTAAAGGAGACCTTCATGGTTTTGTAATCGCCTTTGTATTGATAAGACGCCAAAACTGTGTCTCGTCCAACCAAGAAAAATGTAAGATACATAACAAAAGAAAAATAAAATATAAATGTCAATTGAACTGCACTTGGCGATTTCACCTGTGCACCTTGCAAATCCTAACGTCAAAACACCGAAATTAAACACCGGTAACGTGCTGAAAGAGAATCGACAGACGTCAAGCCACATCGTCATAGTAACCAAGAAAGGGACATCCTTCGTGTAAGAGCTTTGGCCTTAAGATAGTCGCTCCGAAGGGGGATAAGTCTGTAGAACTTGGTGAGAGAACAAAAAGAAATTCATAAGATTAACCAAGCATATTCCGATAAAACCTCATTTTTGATAACGCCAGCGCCATAGTCCGAAGGCGACAGCTTTGCAATAGATACTGCTGCCCTCCACAACAGTTATTAAATTAAGTGAGAAATGCACAGTAACATGAGCTCCCATAGAGGGGCCTGTAAGTTTGCCCACCTTGGCTACCAGAGCCACCGATTACCGTCGTCGCGGATGATGGTTCAACCTCACTGATACTGATTGTGTTAGACAGGGCTACGATGTACCCTCCGTCCATGACGCGCATTTGTTGGCAATAGGGTTCCTTAGCGCCAGGAAGGTTTCGCTTTTCTTCGATCTTGATTCTGCGGGGATAGTGGGCAACTGAATCCGTGGACGAGTCGCCATCCTTGCCGGACATGCTGGAGCTGTCGCTTTCAAACGACTCTGTCGTTGTTTGATTGACGTACAGGAAAAACTCCATGATCGTGCTGTTCCACCAACAAAACCATGGCTGATCGCCCACCTGTGCAACTTGATTGCTCTGCGATGTATGCTGGAGAATATCGCTTGAGGAGACGATTTGTTTCGATACTGCATCTGCAGACAGCTTATCCTCTGGCAAGATAACGAGTTTATCCATTACATCGTAGAAAGACAATGCGGGACCGAAGCCATAGTCATTTTTGTCGAGCACCATATTCAACTTCTTCGTATCGGAGTGAAAATAGGGCATCTGGGCGCCGTACTTGAAAAACCCAGGAACAGATTGGTTCTGGAAGGTCACGGTATTTTGTGTGCCTGACCCTTCAACATCAATGAGTAAACTTTCCTGCAAGCAAGACCATGTAACCAACGAAGCCTGGTTGACCAAACATAATTTCGATGAGTTCTGCAAACTGGGCGGAATGATGAACTGGCCTGTAGGCAGGGGTGGAACGTTTGTAGGTTGCGTCGCCAAGGGTGTCGCATCAAATCCGGGTGTAGTCGTTACCGTGACGATTGTCTGGGTCGTATGGTTTTTATTGCCTTCATCTGTAGCTCTCTTGGCTCCTAAAAGACCGCCAATGACACCTCCAATAACCGCACATATAACCATAACAACCGCTATAAGGACGAACGTCCAAATCGGCAACCCACAACAGACCCGCCTAGGCCCTCTCCCTTCAGCCTTTTCATTAAGAACTGTCTGGCCAGCAGCAGCAGCTGATGCAGTCGGTGGCTGGCTATTTCTAGCCGGGGAGCGCTCGGATACCAACGTCCTCGACGATGTTCCCGAGGCCGGTGGTCCATCGAAGTTATAGAGGTGATCCTCGTCTGTGGTGGTGTCGGGATTATTGTTGTGTGGCTCTGGTACTGGCTCGACCGCCGGAACGACGCCGTCCGGGTAACGCGAGTAGGGTGGAAGCTGCTCAGTATGCCCGTCTGGCCCGACAATGTCTGCAATGTCATCGTCGGCACGGCCGGGAGGTCGCCTATAGGGCTGATTATGTCCGGGGAATCCAACCGGGATTACGGGGCCGTCCATTCCCTCCTCCACAACAACATTTTGCGGGTACATGGCGTAGGGATGCTGCGGGGTAGTAGAATCCCCTAGGGGTCGGTCAGGAGGCCGTACTGACGAAGTTGTCGTGACGCTCGGGGAGCGACCGACGCCAACCTGAGGGTACATAGCATAGGGATGGCTGGGTCCGGTCGCGCCCCTGTAGGGACTGAGGGCTCGAGGGGGAATCGAAAAACGGGAAGAACTGCTCTGACTCCGCTGGGCGATAGAAGGTGCCGTGTTGACCGAAGAAGTCAAAGAATCGCGGTTCCCCCCCTTCTGCGGTAGACTCGACCGATGAGGGGTATCATTGAGGGTATCGCGGGATGTCTCGTCGAACGAAACCCGAGCAGCATCTCCAAAAGGATTCTCGATGGAGTCACGTGGACTGGTGCGGACTGCGCTCTCGTGGGTCAAACGGTTGGAGTACAGGGTCGTCGACGTGCCGACGGAGGAGACGGAGGGGTTTCGATAGGATTGGGAGGCTTCGGAGTCGATGCGGTCGAGGGAGTAGTCGTCGGAGAAGACATCAGGATTGGGACAGCAGCCCGATGAAGAGTGGCGAGGTAACGGTTCATTCTGCTGCCCCAGAGAGGAACGTCGGGATTGAGAAGACAGCGACACAGCGCGAGCAAGATCGGCTGACGGACGCGCAGACATGGCGCGGATAGCCCTGGTCGGGCTCTTTTATTCCGTGTCGCTCAGCCCCTAATACGTAGTAGTTGCAGCGGAAGTAAAGATCGTGATGGCCAGCCAGAAGACGGAAGGGAAGGAACGGGAGGGGGGGAACAAGGAAACAAAGGAGCGGAGGGTGGTAGGCAGGCTGAAGGGCGGGCGAGGATAACGAAAGGAAGGGCAGAGACGAGTTGCGAGAGACAGGGAAGATGGGAGATGGAGGAGTGAGGGAGAGGGAGATGAAGGAGAGGAAGTGAGTGGTTTGGTGGTGAGACGGAGTTCAGCGTTCAGACGGTTAAGACGGCTGCACGGCCACAATCCTCATGCGGTATTATTAGCATTCAATAGGACATCCACGCTGCTCTTCTCTACAACGATCATTACTGTCTCGTCCAGCAGGATCGTCTGCATCTTCGCCCTCCACGGCAGCGATTTGTGCCTCGAGGCTTACCAAAAACCTCCCCACCAAGACGCCCTGTCCGGCAGATGCGGTTTCTTCGGCAATCTGGCACCAGGTCCCGGCGAATAAACCTCCAGAAAAGCGCTGATTGCAACCCTATATTCAATCGCCTGATATCATGTCAAATCAGGTTTTGTCTGGTTGTCAATCGACGCCGCTGTTGTCCTCATGTGTCATTTGGGAACCAATATCCCATGTAGGAACCCCGTCCATCATCAACATATCCCAATTAAAAGAGCTCAAGAGCATTTTGTCTCTCAGAAGGATCCATTTGATGATAGCCGTGAAACCTTAAAAGCCCCGAGAGAATTCCTCGAAGGATGTTTGTCTTGCCTCATTACAGTCCTATCTCTACAACTCTATTGACGGCCTTGCTCGATCAGGCCAATCCTGCACCTGCACGCCTACTATTACTCTCATGTCGAATTCATCACCGGTAACGCATTGAATGATCATGGAATTATCGGAAAGTCTCGATTCTACTGACCTTGCTCCAACCTTGTTGCGCAGCACACCGGATATGGCAATGAAGAATACGAAGAATGTCTTAACCACTGAATACAAGGACCTGCAAACGGCCGATCGTTGGTTCCTACGATAACGGCTTGTGTTCCTACTTGAGTGTGCTTAGATGGCATGAGTCCCCCACAGTGCTCTTGGCAAGCCTCCTGGTCTTCGATCATTCTATATTTCAATGAATGCTTCGTCAGTGCCTTGGAAATGTGCCGGATGGTCCACAGACCTGAGATTGGTGATTCTGCAGTATCAGAAACTCATGAGACAGTCCTGTCTGTATCCCAGTGGTTATATCCATGATTCTATATGCGTTTTAGAAAGTTCCCTGGTAGTGATCTTTGCGAATCCCCGAAATTTCCCATTATATGATGAATTTATCCCAGGGACCTATCGATACGAATGGCATAAACCGTTAGCAGTAGACGCGAGCCAAATATCTCTAGAAAATAAATGGTTGAAGTTTACACTAAGAAGATCTAAATAGATGGTAGCATGCGTGCCGCAGAAACCAAATCGGATCCAAGCCAAGATCTGCCGTGAAAGACCAACTCCTCCCCACCGATAACCATCACTACTACCAAGCTCACTCAATATAACCACCCACAATAATGCCTGACGACCCAAAAGTTAAGGGCTTCCCCGACATATCGGCCAAACTGTCCGCGCCCGCCAAAAAGTCCCTCTTCGAACGGCAAAAAGCCGAGGCGGAGGCAAAACGCGCCCGAGAACGCGCGGAAACAGCTGCCGTCTATGAGGACTTCGTCAAGTCGTTCGAGGATGATTCCTCCCATCATAGCAACAGAGATTCTTCTCGAAATTTTTCAGATGGACGAATGAATGCATTTGGTGGCGGTAATCGGGGCGTTGCTGGAGGTCCTCCGAGACGACATTTCACGAACTCTTCTGCACTGCGCAATAGCGGTCCTGGGACGCTGGGACCGGCCCCGTCGTTGCTTTCAAGGAAACGAACTCATGATGGATTTCCGCCATCGCATAATAGGGCTGGAGATTCCTTTGGACACGGGGTTTTGGGGTTTGAGAGCTCGGGTTCGGGACCGTTGAATAATACTGCGTCCGCTTTTCAGGAGTCAGACGATGAGGATGAGAAAACTGCGAGTGCGGCGAAGGAAGCGGAGAGAGCTGCTGCTAAACCGACATTATATCTCGCAACGCTGCCTCCGGGGATGTCGCCAGCGGCTATTAAGTCCCTGATTCCGTCAACTTTGACCGTCGACAATGTGAAGATACTGCCTCGATCTCCAGAACAACCGAATTCGACCGAGAGAAAGTCCATATCTGCCATAGTTACGCTTGCCAATGAATCCGCGGCCTCAGACATAGACAGCGCTGTTAGCGCGCTACAAAATAAATATCTGGGATGGGGCTACTATCTCTCGATCTCTCGTCATCTCTCTTCAGCAGCTATTGGTTCCACGATGCCCGTGACCGTTGGCTTGTCATCGATATCTTCACGTCCTTTTGGTGCCAAGCCTGTCCAGCAGAACTTTGGAGGGGGTTTGAGGCGTGCTCCACCGCCTGGGTCTCATCGTGGAGCATTCGCTCCCCCCAGTTCGTATGGACCAGGATACGGGAGAAGTGGACCGACGTTGCTGGTTGAGGTTCAGGCTCCGTCTGATCTTAAGCAGCTGAAACTGATACACAAGACACTGGAGAATCTACTAAATTACGGCCCGGAGTTCGAGGCTCTTCTCATGAGCAGGCCTGAGGTACAGAAAGATGAGAAGTGGGCTTGGCTGTGGGATCCCAGGAGCACTGGCGGCGTATACTACCGATGGAAACTGTGGGATATCGTTACGAACTCTCGTTCCCGGGCAGACCGAGGACGGAGGAGAACAGGTCGAAATCCTACACTCATCTTCGAGGGCGGCGCTGGCTGGCTAGCACCTGACGCACATATCAAATTTGAATACACTACACGGATGGATGAATTCGTCTCGGATGAGGATTACAACTCTTCTGATGAGGAACAGTCCGATGGGGAGGATGATAGGCGATTACAAGCCGGAGGTCCACCGAAGGATGGTTTGGGTGCCAACAATGATGGATTAGGCTACATGAACCCTCTCCAAAAGGCCAAACTAACCCATCTTCTGTCTCGGCTCCCGACGACCATAGGAAGACTACGAAAAGGCGACATCGCGCGTGTCACCGCTTTTGCTATTGAGCACGCAGGTGCGGGTGCCGATGAGGTTGTAGAAATGATAGTTTCCAACATCATTAACCCGTTCGCTTATACCGGAGCGAATCCAGAAAGAGCGGCCGCAAGGCGGGAGATTTCAGAGGAAGCAATTATTAATAATGAAAACAATTCCACTCAGGGGTCGCGGTTGACGAAGGATAATCCGGACCTTTCTTCTTCCAAGCTCGTCGGTCTCTACGTCGTTTCAGACATTCTATCTTCTTCTGCGACAAGTGGCGTACGGCACGCATGGCGCTATCGACAGCTCTTTGAGTCAGCACTCAGATCTCACCACGTCTTCGAACATCTCGGGCGACTGGAGAAGGATCTCAGCTGGGGCCGGCTAAAGGCCGAGAAATGGAAACGGAGTATCGGGTCCCTTTTGCATTTGTGGGAGGGTTGGTGTGTCTTCCCTCAGTCGAGCCAGGAACATTTCGTGCAAGTCTTCGAGAAGCCACCCCTTACGGAGAAAGAACTACAGGAGGAAAGGGAGAGAGCAGAAGCAGAGCGGGCTGCTGCCACCGTCGCAAAGGGAAAGAGCCGATGGAAAGCCGTGGATGATGATGCGAATACAGGGAAATTTGACCCTAACCGGCCTCCCGAGGCGGACCAAAACAAGATGGATATCGACCCTGCCGCTGGAAATGACCTGGCCGCCGAACCCATGAGTGACATCGACGGTGTTCCCATGGAAGACAGTGATTTGGAAGGACTGGATGGGGAGCCGTTAGATGAAGGATCACCAATGGAAGACGTGGAGCAGCAAGGTGAAGAGGAGGAAACTAGAACTGGAACTGGAACAGTGCCTGAGAAATCAGTCCAGGAGCCAGTTCAGTCTGAACGGCCACCTCCAGTTCGGAAGCCACGTCCAAAAGCAGAGGACATGTTTGCCGATTCTGACTCTGAGTGAACTTCTCTACATTATACAAATGTATCAGTCATGTAGAATAGTGGCACATTAGTGAGATTGACGACATATTAACAGTCCCATGTCCAGCGTAGAATGGTGGTGGGTAGGTAGTAAAGGGTATATGACAAGTTCCATCTTGCGATTCTTGTCGCAAAAGAATACAGTAGACGCCAGGAAGGTCTCAACGGCAAGCTCATACTGTTGCAGATGAGGCTGAGATGTTAATTTGATGGAGAATGGCAGTTTCAAGGTAGGAGAGAGTGAAAGACAAACCGAAGATTGGGCAAGACAGCGAAATGCCGACTGTCGGGCAAACAAACCGTGAGGCCCTGCCTATTTAAGGGAAGTTGACCCCTCCCCACAATATCAGTCAATCTCCTCCCAGATTCCAGAGTTCATCCTCACTCCACTTCTTGAAGACATCCTACGTATCCCTACTTCCGCTTCCTTGTGCTGTGTACTAGACGCGCTCCTTCAAAATGGCCGGTAAGTACGATATTTTAGTTGCAGATTGCCATTTTCTCGTTTTGTATCTTCAACTTTGGGTTCTGATGCGCTTTTTTACCCCTCCATAAACACCCCTCCTTCACCATCCAATACAGGAAATGGCGGCGCATACGGACAATTCAGTGGAAGGAGACAGCATTGAAGCTAATTGATTTCTTATTTACTAGACTTCACCAGTGTCGCTCGTACGTGGTACCATTTTCTTCATGCTTCTCGTGTCGCTACAGCGCGACAGTCCTGATGACAACTCAGAGATTTGGGGGATTTTCTGACCTAGTCGGCGGTCACAGAGCAGTTCGTTCAGTTTTACTATCAGACCTTCGACTCGAATCGCGCGGGACTTGCAGGACTTTACGTGAGCTATGACTTGCCTCGTACACTTTGAGCAATTACAGGGAACTGACGAGAACGGATTGTTGGTTGGAACAGCGCGATCAGTCTATGCTCACTTTTGAGACTTCATCAGTTCAGGGCGTTGCTGGTATCGTTGAGAAGCTGACGGTTAGTTGAGATGGATACCCTGGATTTCCATGGGGGTTGATTTTGATGGGATGCTTACCATAAGCTTTTGGCAGAACCTTCCCTTCCAGAAGGTTGTACATCAGGTTGCGACCTTTGATGCCCAGCCTTCTAGCGATGCAGGTGGTATCCTTGTCATGGTCACTGGTGCTCTTCTGGTAAGCTATTTCCGTCAATATTTCATTCATATTGCCTCTTGTTGTTTTTTTCTCTTTTCTCTTTAGAGAGAGCCTGGTTTTCGTTAACACGATGGTTTTTAGGTTGATGATGAGCAAAAGCCCATGAGCTACACTCAGTCCTTCCAACTCCTCCCCGATGGTCAGGGAAGCTACTTCGTCTTCAACGACATCTTCCGGTTGATTTACTCTGCAGCATGAGCTTGCAAGGGCAACGAGATTGTTGGCTATTCGAGGTAGGGGGATAACGGGCCACTTTGGATCAACAGGGTCGGTGTCGGGGAGAATACACGGACGTCTGCTGCACCGAGGGAACTTTCCCGCTATGGATACCTGGTCTGCCCGCGCGAGCGTGGCTTTGTTGATTCAGTGGATATAACTAATACTATATTTCACGGTTCTTCTCTGAGTCTAGAAGGCTTAGGTGGGAAAATGTGGACGTCTTCGATAGCAGCCGCGCGTCTTCTAGGCCGGTAGTGCTGTACGATCGTGCTGCCCGAAGCTCGTCATGATCGCTGAAACCAGTGCAATGTAAGAATAACAAGGCGTCTGTGTTGATATTAAGTAGCTCCACCTTCAGGCGCCAGAATTATCATAGAACAGCCCCGGAGTAGCCTGCCGTTGTTTATAGATGCAACACGCGTTTAAGCCACCTTCGCCGTTTCAAGTTTACCTAGGTAGTATTGGACCATCTCAATTCGACAACTCTCTGTCCAGCTCCTTTCTCTTTCTTTTCTCCCAGTTCATCGTTCTGTACCAGATACACACCGGCAGATCGGACTGGCAGCGCAGTGCTGTAGACTTCGTTGTGGCTACCGCCTAACTAGCGGAAGAACCTGTTTATTATTATTGCCTTTTTACCAAGAACGGAGCGACAGTAAGCACACCTTCCCTGCTTCCTTCTTTCCCCTTTCACATACAGGTGTAACTTCTCTCTCATCGCGATGTCTAATTGGCTTCTTTGTGTCTTTGGATAAAAAGAAACGTCCACGAGTTCTTCAGAGACCTTGCAATCGACAGCCCGCCAGGAAAGCTCCACCAGTGCCACTCGACTCCTTTCTTGTACAACTGTACGGACCTGTCTGCCTCACGAACTCGATCGAAACTCCATCTAATTTGCCCAAGTTAAGGGTCTCTGAATCGTCTTTTACTTGATTCTGTTTTGTCTGGTCTTAAAAAAAGAAAAACAACAATGACTTTCGCAGAGGAATTTCGTTCGAGGAATTTCAGTATGCGGTTTTTCCCTATTTGGCTTGGTCTTTCTTTGCAGTGCTCTGCCGATCAATGCGTTCTATGAATCTATGACTGGGCTGAGGTGCTAACTAGGTTGATAATCTTCGTCTAGGTATCTACGGACAATGGTGTGTGATATAACTCTTTTTATCCCCCATCCGTTTCGCATGTTATCCCGCTTCTTGAGCTCGCGCGATCGAGTGACGATTGTTACACATTTCCCCCCTTCGCATAATCCGAGGTGGAAGTGAAGCTTAGCGGAGGCCATTGAAGCTGGCATCTATTGTTCAGACTTGTGCTGTCTGTAAGTGGTGTACTGACGCCGCTTCTTGCGCCTAGGTCCGGCGTTATTTGCATCATCCTATGTTTGGCGTTTGGCATTGCCAACATCATCACGCTTCATGCCCTTCACCTCATTCTTGCGATAATATGCCTGTAAGTTATGGCGGGTGTTTGTCACGTGCCGCTGAAGGCTTGGGAGACTGACGGGTGATTGCAATTGCAGGGTCTCAGCGTTCATCATTGTCTTTGTCGAGGTGCCTTTCCTCCTCAGAATATGCCCCACGTCACCGAAGTTTGATGAGTTCATCCGACGCTTCACTACCAACTGGATGCGTGCGGCCATCTACACCGTCATGAGCGTATTGCAGTGGCTCAGTCTGATCTCCGGCCCGTGCAGTCTTCTCGTCCCGGCTATTGTCCTCCTGATTCCGGCCATATGCTACGCTCTTGCTGGATTGAAGAGTCAGGACTTCGTTGGCAGCAAGGCCTTGGGCGGGCAGGGTCTTGCACAGATGATCGTTTGATCTGGAAGTTCCTGTGAAGTTGGGATTTGAGGCAGTGGAAAGGCGAAAAAGGCGCCCACGCAAGGACAGAAATAAAGAGGGATGTTGATGTTGAATCTTTTTTGCATTGGACGTGCCATGACCATGGATTGATTCTCTGATTTTTTCGGGTGTTCTTTATGACGTTGCCTACTAGTTCTTGTACTTTACTTTACATATTATGTTGTCAGGCATATTGCTGGCGTAAGACCGGCAAATTTTCATGGGATGTGTCTCGACGCTATTCGCGTTCGTGTTTCCAAGCGAGTGTTAGTGTTTTATTCTATTTTCAATATCTTTCCTCGACCTATATTTACTACACGTGTCTGCATGTCTGAAAATTTGCCTTGATGCACCCAATGCTAGCATGTTGTCGTCTATGGTATGACGAGTCCGGCTCGAAGGCCGTGTTTGAACTTCATGAAAATATACTGGGTCCTGCAGGACTTACCGGCCGACTGACAGCGTCACGATAACCCTGGCGTTTGCTGCTGATCGCATACGTATACGTGTTGCTGAAGATTGGTTTCTAGCATGTGCACTAGTGCTGCATGTTCTAAGACGGGCCTGGAGCATGTTCTAAGACGGCATTCTCAATGGGCCATTCGTACCCTTATGCAAAGAGACCAAAATGTCCCAATATTGTCAATCTTGAAACCACGCATCTCCTGGACGTTACTGCCTAATGTATACATCATGGACCGCCGGAGAAGGGGGAGGCAAGGTTGGTGCCTGGTTGTCAGGGCTGAATTCAGGCTCAAGAAGCAAGCAGCGCCAGGAACGATCGCATGCTTTTACCCCGCATTCCAGGGAGACTGATATTTAACTAACGGTCTATGCAGAGTGCTCTGGCAGGATGTACCGAGTACTGTTGGGAGGTTACTTAGGTACATCCTATCTTGTATGGACTGCTCTGTAGGTATATGCGCTTAATGCACGGGGATCATCAGTGTGGTATGATATGATAGTATTTACAGTACGTATGAGATCAGAGTTACCCCTCTCTTGTCATGATTTTCTTTTTATTCTCTGTACGCTGGGGGTTCCTGTACGTTAGGTATACATCCTCAAAAGGACTCACAGAGCACTGTGCATGATGCAATGCGGTGGGACCTTTCCGACTGCCACTGCAGGAATCTGCACTCTACAGCTGCATGGCCAGGTTCAGGCCTCCTGCTGGGTCCTGTTCCAGGCTTGCTTTGGTTGCGTTTAAAAGCCTCGAGAGGGACTTTTCGATTTCGGGTTCAGCCAATGGCGGCTGCGAGTGAAGCAGAAAAATGGAGTGATCTGATAGTCCAGACTCGGGCCAGCTATCTACGAGTACATTACTACCTCATAATAATACTAAACGATTAAGAGATAAGAATAGAAACGAGCGAACCGGCCACTGGCAGCGCCGATGATACTAATAAATAACTGTAGTTACTATTATCATCATGGCTATCGATAGCCGTAACACCACGCACTGTCATCGTTGGTCCACCGCCGCACGACCCATCAATACCGTCACGGCCCCGTTTCCTTACAGATGAGCCACACTAGAGTCCCGCAGGAAGAGTCAGCTGGTCATTTACGGCGGTGGCGGTACGTGTTTTAGTAAGATACCCGGCAGTCACGAGGCGGTGGGTCCTTACGCCCACGGCCTGCGGGAAAAGCCCAAGCATCACATCATTTCTTCCTCTTCTTTTCCTCCCGTCGTTATCATTGCTGCTTGCTGCCTTTCTCTCTCTCTCTCCCTGCTTCCTCAGAGTTGCCCCCTTTCTCAGCTTCCTCCCGTTCAATTGATCCTCGATCTTATCTCTTTTAGTTGCACCTGCTCTCTCCATCAGCAACTCGAAGAATCCCAATATCATATCATATTTGTCGGTAAGTCCTTGCGTCTCGTTGATGCCAGTGTTTTCCCTCCACGCAGTGGTTCCGCTTCCTTGGAGACTCTCGCAAAGCTTCGGACTCTTTTCCATTGCTGCGGTTTCAGGAGAAGGAGCTGTCCATCATAGACAATGACCAATTGCTTCTCCCCTGGCCTCCAAACCCAAGTCGGAGTCATAGTTGACTTTTCCGGATCGTTGCGTCGATATCTGTCTGCTCTGCAGAACAGCCTGTCCAGAGGCACTAAGCTAACGTCCCATATTATCATTATCTCTAGAACTTTGTGTCTTCTTTTCTTCAACTTACTAAATCTGATCGTCACAACACACCTGCTTGTGACTATACATACAAATACACACTCCCACATCATGACCGCACAGACAGCTCCCGTGATTCCTCCTCGACCGTCCAGATCCCCTAACCCTGCCAGAGACACACCCAAAATCCCTCCGCGTCCTGCCAGTCGGCGTAACGAGAGGTCTACCTCTCCGCTACGCGACAGCTATGCACCTTCGCCTCTAAACGAGTTGCCCAATGACTCGAGCCCCAAACTTAGAGTCTCCCATGAACAGCCTCAACGCCCTCCCAGCGTGGTAATACCCTCTCTTGGAGAGGAGGGCCGAGAGTACGAGGATCTGCATATTGGCAATATACCGGACCAGCAAGGCTCGGACCCCAGGGAGACGCGCACCGTCGCCAGTGACCTCAAACTGCACGCGCCGAGACCTTCTCTGCCGCAATCTAGCGCCACTACGAAGATCCAGGCTGTCACCCGTACCGATTCAACGCAGGCCGCGGCTGCCGGCTTTGGCAAGCGAAGCTCTCCCACTCCTGCTGAACAGGAACGTTCCAGCCGCTCGTTGCACTCCAGGAATACTAGCTCACGGACCGAGTCATCCGCCACGTCTTCGGAACGTCGGAAATCACTACAGCCGGATGGCATCCCGGAAATAGGCCAGCGAGTCCCCATGTATCCCAACGCTGGTGATGTGCAGGCGCCATCCGTAAGTCCGTATACCTCCGAGAATGATGCTTCTCGCCATGGACGCCGTCATCACCATCGGTCTCGCAGTGGCCGTGAGCTCTCGCTTCCCCCGGGGAGCTACGGTCTCCACGGGCACGGTATCAACTCCAATGATAAGTTCGAAAAGGCCTGGTATGAGAAACATCCCGATGAATACGCCAAGGAAGAGGGTCAATACGGCCCGGGAGTCGGCACTCCCAGACCAGACTGGGCCTTGAGCAGAGACGACCTGAACAAGATCGTTCGGAGTTCCGCTACTACTGGTTCCGGTCTTGGTAAGTTAATATTGTCCTTTCAAGTTTTACCCGATGCCTGGATTGTCTCTTATTTGTCCAAGGTACATCGCCTGCTGTAACGGGCACACCGGAGGAAGAGATTGGTTATATTGCGTCGGAGGAGTACGCCTCTCGTTTGGCAACACCGGCACTCGAATCCCGTACGGTCGATTCACCACTACGCAATGTGAGCGTTCCCGCTTCCGATGCGAAGTGCGAACAAGAGAGCGCTTCACACAAGGAGTCTGGGCGTGATACTTCAGAGAAGACTGATGTTATTCACGTCGACGACCCATACCATCCGTTACATCACCCGGATGGATTTGCTCCCACTCCAGCTAGTGAGGATCTGCCGGGCAGTAGCGCAGAGGGCGATCTAGCGGCGGATGAACCCATCCTGGCGCCCGACGAAGTGCGTCCGGAGTCTGCTTTCCTCCACCCTGCCATCTCTCCGACGTTCGATAGAAGGCCCAGTGCAGATTACGAGGGTCGAAGTCGGACCTCGAGTGCGCCCCACAGTCGATCCAGCAGCAGACCAACAAGTACGCACGGTGCCTTGCCTCGGACTACCTCACACGAAGGATGTGAAACTACCTCCACGCCTCTTGATGACGTCGAGGAGTATGAGCCTCTTTTCCCGGAGGATTCCAGGAAAGTTCTCTCTCCTGCGGAACGCTTCAAGCAACGCCCCGACGGTCTCAAACAGAAGTTCCCTAGCGAAGATATCTGGGAGGATTCTCCGAACAGCTTTCACCTGCAGACTACTGTGAGCACGCCGGAGATACAGGCTGAGTTGGCCGACGACAAACCCGAGTCCCCGTATAAGGAGGTCACCTGGAAGGAACTGGCTGCGAGCCAAGCTGAGTCTCATGGCACTCCGTCGGACCATGACCAACCCCAGAAACCGACGCGTCCAGATCATATCAAGCAGCGATTCCCCAGTCGAGATATTTGGGAAGATGCCCCTGAAAGCCAAACTCTTGTCACTACGATTGTGCCGTCAGAAGAGGAAATTAAAAGTCCGGAAGTGCCATCCAAACCGAGTATTCCACCCCGGCCTCAAAAGCGTCCGCAACAGCCTTCTTCCGTAGAAGCTGCTGGTAAACAGGCAACCTCTCCGACTGAAGAACGAAAACCACCTGTTGTACCGGGCAGGCCAAAGCCATTAATTCCCGCTAGACCGTCAAACCCAGTGTCACGTGGCTCATCCGAAGGCCTCACAAAAGTCCCGTCAGCTGGTTCGACAGGGAGTGTTGAGGAGTCAAAAGAGGCCCCAGCACCTAAGCCGAAACCAGCGGTGCCTGCTCGTCCCATCGGCGGTAAGATTGCAGCATTGAGGGCAGGATTCTTGTCAGACTTGAATTCACGCCTGCAAACGGGTCCTCAAGCACCTCCCAAGCCACAAGAAAAGAAAGAGGAGAGTACAGCGCCGCCCGCCGAAAAGGGCCCTCTCAATGATGCCCGCAAGGGAAGAGCCCGGGGACCGGCGCGGAGGAAACCCGCCAGTGAAGCTACAGCAGCCAAGCTGCCGACCATCCCCGAGATCCAGATCACATCCACGTGGAATGTGTGGCAAATTGATGAAGACGGCCGCCTGGTTGTTGGTGACGGTGATAGAGCCGACAAGGAGACTACCGTGGCTCCGAATGTGCAAGTTTATCCGAGCCTGGAGAGCACAATGGCTCCCAAGTTGGCAAGGAACATGGCTGGCGAACCCGTCGACCCAAGTCCCCAGGTAGAGCATGTTCCAGCCATCTCTACTGAAATGGCCGAAACTACACCACACGAGGCTACGAAACCGACTTCCCCTCCTCCAGCCGAGCATCGTAGTCCGTCTCCGGTACTAGATGACACAGTTACTCCGGCTTCTGACCGTTCGCATGAGTCAGCTGCCGTGGAGTTGACTGCCAAGGAAGACCTGCCCAAAATAACATCTCCTGACGCGGACTCAGATATTGAGATTGAGACGAAACAATCGCCTGAATTGTTTTCTGAAGCCGTGGAGAATGTCGAGCCATTTACTGGGAAGAGGGTATCAGAAGAGGATGTGCATGTCGAGGAGTCAAGTTGAGGGATTCAGTTGATGGTGTTGACTTGTGCTGTAGCTATAATTTTACAGCGTCCCTCTTTTATTCTTTTTAACTTCATTATTGTTTATTTCTCCTTTCTAGAAGCTCTGAATTGGAATTTTTCAAGGCGGGATTTTGCTTTAGCCGAAGTGGTATGCAATTTCTTCCTTTGTAAAACTAGTTGATCAATCAATCAATGAGACTAAACTATTATTGAAGTTTTTTGAGTACAGAGTGCACTGTACCTAGGCGTCTATATGCTCTACAGACACTATCGTGAAGATCCATTGAAGTCTCAGGGCCCTACCTAGAAGGTGGCTTGTTAAGGCTAGTCCTATCATATCCCTGCTGTTTCCCTGATGGAGACTAAACACCCAAGGTGTCACGGAACTCAACTAGACGATGAATAGGATGCTATTCAGCTATCTAGGCAGCTATCGACGAGAACTTCAAGCATGGAGAGGAAGGAAAAAAGGAAGAGATCTACGTGAAGCTGGACGACGTACTCCTATCCACGCGCCACGCTAATCCAAGTAAGGAAGCTCACGTGCTCGTCCTGGTCTACATGGCAAGGGCCCTGATACAAGGGATACTGTAAAAAGAAAATGAAAACAACAGATACTAGGTAAAAGAATAAATATTCCAGGAGGAATCAGTTAAAATACTATGTGTGACCCAGCACTCATGTCCAGATGTGTTAGTTACTATCTAGAATAGCTGTACAGAAGCTGTGAAGGGGCAGAACAGTAAAGATTAGTCCTGTGAGCCAGCTTGTGAAATGATCATTAGGATATATTCACAAAAAACACATAATGATGATTAAAAGTAGAGTTACATGTATAGGTGAAATAAAGAAAATAATAATCAGAAAGGCAAAAAATAAAAACAATGATTGGTACTGACTCTTCAACACAAAACAATGACCCTAACGCACAATGCAATGCAATACTGAACTTGTGAAAAAAAAAAAAAAAAAGCCATACGCCTTCCTGATCAATATGTCCAGACGAAAGACAACCCATAACTTGGCTTTCCAACCAATCCTGTGACGTGACAGAGAATTTAGGGTAGGAAGGTGAAAGGGGAAAGGGGGGAGAAAGATAATAAGTATATAATATGCCTTGATGCGACAGACCTTCGTTTCACCCTCTCCTCAGTCTCCAATAGATCTGCGGGGAGAGGACGAGTCCTCTTCGCATCTCCATCCCTCTTTTCTCGAAGGGTAAGCGACACAGGTTACGCCCAGCGTACATCCCGGAAAAAGCAAGTACAGAATTGGATCGAATCACCGGCCCTGTCTGCGTTCATTTCCTGAAACTCTCCACGCCCAGCATTGGGGTCTCGACCAACTCATCAGATGGAACGCCTTCGTCTCGTCGTCTGGAAAAGAAGCTGTCACATTCAGAGACAACCTGAGCCCATTCGGCAAGAGCACGACCAGCATATTTACTAGCCGCAAATTTGCTGATTGTCACTGCTTCTGGACCTTGGCGTCTGGCTTCCTTCTCCGGCATGGAGACAAGATCCCTCGTTTTCGCCTGCACAGTCCCGTCCGTGTCCGACTTCTCCTGGCTGTCGCCAGAACTTTTGGTTGATTTTTCAGAATTTCCATCTGATCCATATTCTGATGTAGTCTCATAACCGTCCAATCCCGTTGTAGACTGACGATGCTCTATGTGTGTTTGAGTAGCAGAAGGAAGACAAGGGTTGAAAAGGCGCTTGTTCTTGCTGGGCCACTGCGGACGGTCCATCCACTCCAAAGAAAACCTGAAACTAAAGGACTGATAAGACTTCAACCGCAAGCTCTCATTTGAGCTATTTGTAGATCCGTCATGGTCTTGTGCAGTCTTTTCAGATGGAGTCCCCTTAAGCCCATCGGTATTTTCATCTGGGCCGTTTCCGGGTGTTCGATGATCAGATTGCTTCGAGTTTGCAGATACACCAAAAACAGACTTCAATAGATTCCATCTTCGTTTTGTGGTCGGCTGAGATTCCGAGGCATGCGACTCAATCTTCGAAAAGCCCTGGTTCTTCGACGCCACAATCTGTTCGGGAAGGACGCGAGGCACGAGGCGGTCAAACGAGTCAAAAAGACTTGGGACAGGAGAGGGCTGGTTGTCGCAGCGAATAATTATGATTCTTCGTCCTGGGGCGGGAGTACAGGGCGCAGATGACTGCGGAGCTGTAAGCTCCTCCTCAGCCTTCGACTGAAATGCAACGTAGTATCCGAAAATCTGCTGAAGTCGATCCGAAAGAGTTTCGTATATTTTCCTGGAATCATGGTTAGATCATCATCTCGCACCAAGGGCTCCATGAATGTCGACTTACGAGTCAAGCGGTGTCGGATCGTCATTGAACCGAGCCACTCTCCAACACAGAAGACGTTGAAAATACGCACGGACCATCGGACTCCAGTGGCTGAAGTAGGAGTAAAGTAGGCCCTCGTGTAGCAAGAAACCCAAGCAAAGTTCGGCCTTCCGCTCTTCAACAGCAACCCAGGTGTTCCAGATGCAAAAAAGAAATGAGAAGACGCGGATCTCGGTCAGAGAATTATGGCTTTGCACCATCTTCTTGCAGGCTTCAAGCCAGAAATTCCAGTCGACGAGCTCAAGCTTGGAGGTTTGAGAGTACCGCACGAAAATGGGAATGACCTCCTCGAGAAAATCGCAAAGCATAAAGCATGCACTGTGATCAAATAGGGACGTTCTGCGGGCCGCAGCCTTCATTGTAGTACAAAATGATTCCGCATATAACGAGCGTGCCGAGTCCGGTTCTGGAGATGACGCGGAGAGAAAATCCCTAAGAAGAACGACCAGACGATTTTCCGCCATAGAACGCTGTCCATTAGGCGCTCCCAAAGGGAGTGCTGATACGGAAGCATCAGCGCCTTCAATGAAATCGTCAAAAGTGACGGCCGCTGCCACATGTGAGTTGTCAGGCACTTGTGGCATTGACTGCTTGTACAGCGTATCCTCTAGAATGACGAGGAGCTGTCCATAAATTGGCAACAAACCCGGGGCAAAGATTCTCTTTGACTTCTCCAGCCCTGATGGAAGACAATCGGCGTACAATAAGTGGATGTACTTGACAAAGACGAAGAAGAGATCCGTATCTCGACCACACCAACGTGAGATCCATGGGCTCTGCCAAGGTATTTTCGTCGCGCTAAGGGGCACATCAGGGCTTCGCCGTAGATACCTAACAAAAGATGCATACGACTGAACTGATAGTGTCCGTAGGCCTACCGGGAAGTTCAGAGACAGGTCCTGGGTAAAGGAACGCACATTTGCATTTCTGTACACGCCGGACTCCTCAAGGACGCGTCGGAGAACGTCAGCAGGGATGTTCCAAAGCCGAGTGAGAATATCCGCCACGCCTGGGCAGAAGAAGAATGCATAGGCGCAAGCCTTTCCGCAAAATGCGACCAAGCTTGCCGGAGCGTTCCTCATAGACATCCTCCCGACTACAAAAGCCATCTGTGACAGCAGATTCTGGACAAATATGTTTCGAATGTTGTGGTAAATAGATGCAACTAGAAACTCAGTGCCCGAGGAAGATGCATCTGAGCTGTCTGAAATCGAGGTTGAGCCCTCCTGTGGGTCTGGCACACAGTTGTTCGACTGCCATGCCGGAAAAGGAACTCTCCATTCTGGTCGATTCATTATGCCCACAACTGCGTCTAGGTACGCCGGTCGATCCGTACCGGAGATAGATTGGTTGTTCTTGCCATTAAGCATTTCCAACAAGCCCGTCCACCATTTGTTGAGGGTAGCCACCCGCCGATCAAGGTCTTCCGGTCTCACGTCGCCACAGGACGCTTGATGATGATTGTTGAGAAACGGTAGGAGCGAGGACCGAATGACATTGGCCTTGAGGGCACTCGATTTCGATTGGAATCTGGATGCAGTCAGTAATTGCAGCGGTCCCAACGCTCAAATTTTGACACTTTACTTTTGATAGTCGGCATCCAGGGAACGGAAGACACCCCATAGCTCATCTTTCTTCCGAGGAGATTCAGGGGTGCTAGAGCCGGTAACGGCGGCGGCTACTGAAGCAATCTTGGGCATTGGCGGAAGTAAAGGAGTGGAAATATTGGGGGATGAGGTCAACCTCGAAAATGAGCTCTTGGTGCGTAGGGAGGGTGCCGGACTGGTTGGTGTGCCCGGATTGTCGCCGCCGTCCGTCACGACCGCGAGTGTAGGAAGTCTTGGGCGCTTGTAGAAAACAGTGCGCTTTTTCGATTCTGCTGCTGTATCGGCGACAGACTCGGACGTGGCATTACTTGGTAAGGGAGTCTTCGTGGGCTGCGCTTGCGGCCCCTCCGCGCGAACTGACGGGGGTTGAGAACGGTAGTTCGACGACCAGGGTTTTCGTGCAAGACTAACTAGCCTGCCAGAAACGGAACGTCCCTTCGCAGGACGAGCCGCAGGCTCAGGGGGTTTGGTTTCCGGGACAGGGACAGCATCATTTCGAGGTTCTGCACTTCCGGTGTTCACCAAATCCTCAGCCGAGATACTAAACTTTGATACGCCAATGGTCGGCCGGTCTTTGGATCGTTGGGACGTCCGCCGTAATATGTCTTTTCCAGCATCCACGCTCTCCTTCGTAGGCGGATCGGCATGTCTCGGGATGGAAAGATCGGAGAAGGTCCGTCTAAGACCGGGGGAGCTAGATTCGGCCGGTGCAACAGCAGGAAGATAGGTAAAGCTTGCAGATCGGGGCAAGGAGGGGTTGTCAGAGGCGTGATTGTTCACAGTTTCGGTCGCGGAAGAAGGCATGATCTAGACTATATGCGAAAAAGGGCGTAGTATAGCCTGCAAGCGCTACACATCTCCTGGGACGGTCTGGATAGATATTCTCGTTGGGGAGGCCAGCTCCTCCATGCACAGAACACTATCGACGTTGGAATCAACACATATGCAGTCCTTCTCCTTCCCGTTTTTTTCTTCTTCTCTTCTGTCTTGGAATCTCTTCCTCTCAGCGATGTGGTTGCCAGGAGACGAGCGGAGATATCGCGGGCGCCCCGGAATGAGGCTTAAATTCCGAGAATACCGGTTTTTGGAGGCTGACAAATGATCTCCTGGCCGGATGGTAGGCAAATAAATCGATCCAGAAAGCAGCGTCTGAACGAACGGAGACCGTTGATGATGGAATTGTATCTATTTAGAGAGGTAGGAGGGAAAGCCCATGAAGCGTCCAGAGGGTTGGGAACGACAGACAGCGGAAAGGTCAACGAGAGGCGGGATTCGACCTTGGAAACGAGGGGGAGTCCAGAGCTGGAAGAGAAGGAAGAGAGGACGGAGGGGGAAGGAGGAACGAGGGAAGAAAGGAGGCGAAAGGGGGAGAAGGAAGAAGGGACGCGAAGGAAGCGAAGGGTGGAGTGGATGGAGTGAGCTCCTAGTCTGGTGGAGGAGGCTCCCCGATAATATTATGATGGCTTTCTACGCTGTCGACAGTCGAAACAGCCAGCCGGCCTGGATACGAGAGAAAAAGACTCCAGGCTGAATATCTCTGCTGCGATCTGCTCTGCAGCGACTTGCGGCACTCCTGCTTCTGGAAGCCATGGAGAGATACCTCTGTCTCTGTCTAGTTCTACAGTCTTATTTATGCGCATATCGCGTGCACACCACTATTCACTCTCTTGCAGCGTCCTCCCTGCACCTCCACCATCCGCTGTACGCTATGCGTCCTCAATCAGCGGAAACCCCGAGTTTGCACGCTTACTCCATTCCAGCAGCTACAGGGCAGGGTTAATTAATAAATACCATACTTTACATCAGACATCAGGTCGATCATCGACGGGTTCTCGGGATGCGTGCGAACCGAACCCACGGACCCTGTCGGCACGCTTCTGCATCGGGGACAACCAGCTGCACAACGCGGAATCGTCCAAGGAATATTTTTTTCCTTTGCAAGAAGGATCATCTCCGTACAACTGCATCGACATCAGCATCAGCGTCAGCGTCACTGCCACAGCCGTGGCAGCCTTGCCGACCGCAGGCGCGCAGCAACCAATTGAAGCACAAGATCGCCGCTAAAATTAGATGCCCAGCAACTCTGCAATATGGCCGGTCCACGGTATGTACTTCAGAAATCGGCGGCGGAAATAATAATAAATAAACGAAGGGCTAGCAGAACGCCTACGACTCACCAGTGTACCCTGATGACTACTACTATTACTGACTGCCGTCCGTTCCGCGACTGGGACTGGGATTCCCTCTCCTCCTGCAGCAGGTTCATTTTCCTGCCAGAAGTATGATCTATCAGATCCTATCAAGCCAGCTGCATCTGATTTGCTAAGCTTATTTGAACAGTCTTGACTCTCAGGATGTAATAAGCCCACAGGCCGTCAGGCCATCCCAAGTCACTACGCCCGCATTGGTTGTCGATCAAGTCTCTCTGGTGCGCGGATTCCAAAATCATTTGTGACAGGTTGCAATAATGCAGCCAGCCCCCCCTTGGTCAAAACTTGTACGCTGCAGATCTTGGCGCATCAGGGACAAAACGCCTATAGTCACAGAACTTGCCATACTCCGTCTCCATGGGTTACCTTACTGTTGTTGATTTTGTCTATGAAAAGACACAATGTGCCATTGTAACATGATCAAGCCTGCTGTGACTGGCAAGATGGCCTTCCCTCGCCATCTGGAAATGTCGGATAGTTGCTTGCTGGACATCTGAATTAAGGGTGAATGACGTAGAAACGAAACTTGGTTGCTGATATTTCAACGAGACTACAAATAGAACATTCCAAGCGTTGTGTTACATATCAGTATGGATGGATTGCGTTTCCAGCCTAATGTATAACACAGAAGCCAAGACAACGCTTTCAGTGTTCCATGTAGTCCTAATTTACAAACTCCTTCCGGGAACGGATAAGCAATGGTGCCTTGGTAGCCACAACGCTCACCAAAGCCCGATTCCCACGACTTTGGTGAAATCTAGTGAGCCTCAGCAGCCTCTTCTTCCAGGTCCTCCTCAAACCAGTTCTCCTCGACAGGGGCGGGTTCTCCAGCGGCGGCCTGGCCCTCAACCTCAACCTGCTGGGTCTCGTACGCCTGCAGTTCGCTAGCAAGGTTGGCCTCCTCAGGGGACGGGGGAGGCTTGGGGATGCTGAATTTCTGGACGTGTGCCTCGGCGTCGCTGGGCTTGACGGGCGTAGGCTTGAATGCACGGAGCTCCTTGAGGTACAGGTCCTGAACAAGGTCTGCTGTAGGATGTCAGAAGACGCAAACTAGCAATTGATCGAAACCAAAAAAAAATTGTGCACTCGGCTTAGACGATTGTAAAAGCCAGTGGCTGAAGAGTGTTAAATACATACCCTGGCGAACACCGGAAGTCATGAAGGTCCGGCGGGCCACAGAAACCTGTTGCCGAGAAGCGCGGGAAAGCACGGAGCGCTGAGGAAGGTCAGCAAAACAATCAATGGTACCAGTCGGAACAACAGAAGACGCTCACAGATGCTCTGAGAGCCTGGGACATCATCGCGGCGAGATTGTGGGAGAGGAGAGCTGGGTGGTTTCTGGGAGGGTGAGTGGGCTTTGCTTCCGCGAGGTTGTTCGGATTCGACTCGGGCAATCCAGTCTTGGCATTGCTGAGTCATCGGGAATTCAGCTGATGACTCAGAAATGATGACTCAGCCGGTTGCGGCTCCTTTCGTAACTTCGAGATCTTGCGACGAATCCATCCTTTCTCTCCTTTTTCCATCCCTCCTCCAGCCCTTTCCAACAAAGAACCTCCCAAGCCCTCGTTTCGCCTGTCTTCGAACAGCCTCTTGTCCTGGAACTGGGCGCTTCGTCCTTGCTCTGCTCGTCCCGATCGTTTGATCTCGCTTGCAGCGGCTCTCTATCAGGTTCCGCGACCCTTTTCGTGAGATCCCTCTTACGGAGACCTTGACTGGTTCATCGCGGTCGGACAAGTCTGGCTTCGAGACTCTCTAGATTTTGACTGCAAAGAAAGATTCTGCGAGAACTCTTTGCTTTCCGAGGTGCTGTTTGTGGAGCGGGATCCTCCAAACTTTGGAAAGGTAATAAAGCATCAGTTCACGTAGTCCCCCCTTGGAGTTCATGAGAGTTCTCGGTGGCGGACTGTTGTGAGATGATGCTACTGCTCTTATACCAACTCCTATGAGTTCTCGCAATGGGGAACTCACAGTGTCGACTACTGTGCATATTTACTTTTGTTACAGTATCGGGCTAACATGATTATGGAGAGAAGGCGGCACCGGATTAGCTTTCCAGAACCATCGGGCTTGAAACTGGAGCTACTTTGCTCTTAACTGTCCTGACTTCGCTGGACGACTCTTTTGCCTTGGCCATATAACACCTGCGAAACTATTTTTCGCCACATTTCGCTCGTTAACGGTGTCTGTGGAACATATCCACGTCAGACTCATCGAAACCGTCTGGAATAATCCCTCGTTATATTAAGAACATAATCAATATGGCGGCTGTCGCTCTACCTAAGCAAGAGACGGGCCCGTGGCGGAAGAACCTCTCGGCACATGTGCTGTGTCCCGAATGCAAGGAGGACCCCCCAAACCTGGAGTTTCCTGATTCCCATGAGACTGTGTGCGGCTCCTGTGGACTGGTTCTAGCAGACCGGGAGATTGACATGCACTCAGAATGGCGAACATTCTCCAACGACGATCAGAACAACGACGACCCTTCCCGTGTCGGAGATGCTTCGAACCCGCTGCTGAATGGCGATCAGCTCGAGACACAAATCGCGACTGGGGGTTCGGGTCGGGTTCGCGAGCTATACCGCGCTCAGAACAAAATCTCTAGTGAAAAGGCGAACAAGTCGCTACTTGCAGCATACAAGGAGATTGGTGCATTATGCGACGGCTTTAACATTCAGAAGAATGTGGCTGACACGGCCAAGTATCTGTTTAAGATCGTCGACGATGCTAAGGCATTTAAGGGCAAGTCGCAAGATGTGATAATTGCGGGGTGCATTTTTATTGCTTGCCGTCAATGCAAGGTGCCTCGTACCTTTACTGAGATTTTTGCGGTAACCAAGGTCTCGAGGAAGGAAATTGGTCGCATCTACAAGGCGCTGGAGAAATTCTTTACCGCTCAAAATGTGGAAAGGCATAATGCAGTTGTGTCGAATGGAGGCGTCCCAGATCCAAACGATACATACACCGCAACGACATCTACCAAGCCCAGCGACCTTTGCAATCGTTTCTGCAACCTCCTCGATTTGCCATTTCAAGTCACCAGTGTCTCTGCTGCGTTGTCAGACCGTGTTACTACGATGGGTGATCTTGCTGGGCGATCCCCATTGTCGATTGTGGCAGCCTGTATATATATGGCATCATATCTGATGGGCCACGGCAAAACAGCCAAGGAGATCTCGCAAGTAGCACACGTCAGCGATGGGACGATTCGTGGCGCCTACAAGCAACTCTATGCTGAGAGAGAACGCCTGATTGATCCGGAATGGATCAAGGATGGCAAGGGTGACATGAAAAAGCTGCCAGCTAGCTGAATGGTTCTTTGCCTTGTTCTTATGCTTTTCGTCGGTTCGACAAAATACCCAAGATCTGTTCAAAACATGCCCATGTGGTAATCTCCCATTCTCTTCACAATAGAAGTGGCTTGAATGATGTGAGACCCTGGGTTTCACCAACATTGCTATATTCCTTTGGTTGATAGCTTAGCGCTACACTTATGTCTTGGTATAGTAACAGATTTAACCCCAGTCCTAAGGGAAATGAAACAAGAAAAAAAGAAGGAAAGAAAGTGACCCCGTTTCTCTGTTTTGATGGTCTTTGTTATTGTCTTTTTGTCATGCATAAGGTGAGCCCTTTCTTACGTGCTATGCTTCGCAGTGGATGGAGACTCTACTTATAGATTGAAATAATGGCATTCCTGCACCAAACAGATTGTACATATGCAGAATCTGAATAATAATGGAGTTCGGGGCTCCGTATGATCTCCAGCTCAAGTTGCAGCAGCTACATACGTAGAGAACAAGTTATTCTGGATATGGTTCCTCGTATGGTGGTTATCATTCTGCAAATGTAGGGTTGGGTTTCCCAAGTTGAGCTATATTTCTGTCGCAGGGATCCTTTGGTTGAATGCTTGGAACAGCTACAGATTGTAAGAATATGCAGGCTGTTGGTCCTTGTTGGATAAATTTCCACTGGCTTCCTGGGATTTGATTTATTTAGGGGTGCAAAGTGAAGTGATTTGAGAGTGTTATCCTATCTATGTTTTTCCTTCGTTAGACGCTGGATGAGACAGGCAGGCATTATAATGCGAGAAATGTATATTTTTTTTGCCCCTTGAGACTGCAATGTATTAATTACTCTTTCTTACAGGATTGCTTTATTAAATAAACAGTGTACGTACACTCTTGTCAAGCACCAAGTTGCGACGAACTCATATTCATCTGCCTTGCTTTTTCCTCTTACCCTGTACCTCCCTCCTCCACTGTTTGTTGGTGCGCTAACCGCGTCATTATTCAATCTTCATATACTACTATACTATACTACTCAAGACCAAACAGCAGAGCATTCCCCCCTTTCCTTGTCAACAGTCCATAAAAAGCGGAGCGGTCTGCAGATACATTTGCGGCTACCGTCCAAGTGATAGCACCATGGACACCGAGATGACGACGCGACAAAAGCTCGATGATTCCGCAGACAGCCCTCAATATCTCTCTGTTCCCCAAATTTCCACGGATAAAGATGAGGGAGGAGCCTTCTGATATGGAAGAAACAATGGGTCAAGAAACATCGAATGATGAACACGGGGCTTCTTCAGGGGAAGACACTGGTCATGAACACCACACCCTGCAAACTGATGACTTGGTTCCTGTTGAAGATAACCCCATCGAAGACGAGGATTATGACACCGAGTGTGGGGTCAACCATGATGCCGAGAATCACTAAGACCATTTCTACAAATCCGTTGAGCCTGTAGTTGCAGCCTCGGAATCCTAGCGCAATCTGGCTCAATTTCCACGGAGGATGCTCGTGCCTGGTCGTCCTTCAACGCGAGGATGCGCAAAAAAGTCGAGTCTTTGTTCTAGGTTGCCAAAAGAACAACCCTCCAAGAGTTATTTAATTCGGCAGCATTCGTGGATGTATTTACCATTCCGCTTTTGTCTCCGGGAATTTTCGTCGGATGCGATCTTTAGCATATTACAGCTGGCTAGCGTATCTTCTCAAAAACAGTATTGACACTGCTGCTGGATGTCTACCTTCCACCACAAGCAACCTCATACCGCCGCAAGCGGGATGTTGGCGGGGGGGAGTATCTCCATGCTTTGTCCGTATGCAGAATCCAAGTGGCCATGTTTCTTTCATTGAACAAGGCACGGCTGATGAAACAAAATGTGAAGGATGCTGGTCCACGTATGCGCAACAACTGCTCTGGAAAGAGGAGTCCGTCTTGGTATTACCGGCATGGCTTCCTGCAACGCGGAAAACTGAATACCTTTGCCGCATGTGTGATTGTTATAGCTTTAGAAGGTGATGCAGTTGTTCATCATGGCTCTTGGAAGGCACCAAAACGAGGACCATGCTCTCTAACTGCCCTGCGTCAGAAACATCAAGATGTAGGTGGCACCCAGCTGAGAAAGACTGTGTGTCCTGTGCGGTGCGTGCTTGCTATGCGTGCTTTTGGCTGCATAAGAAAGACTGGCCCAAGGAACCCCGGCTTAAAGGCTGAAAACATCACAGATATATAGTAAGTAAGCAACAGGCTGAAGCGGACAAAAAAATTTATTCAAAAAGAAAAACTAAGTCTAACATGCCTCCACGCGGGATTGAACCGCGGACCTTTTCATGTACAAGGTATTGGAAATACAAGTGAAACGCTCTACCACTGAGCTATAGAGGCAATTTCCGCTAGTGCACTTTTCCGAAGGATTTTTCTTTATAAATTACCTTATTTTCTGTAATATCACGTGCCAACTGTTGCGATGAGGTAGGTTTATCCCGTTTGCCGGCGACGAAACACTGCGTTTTAAAAAAATCCTGCTACCTCAGTAAAAGACGATATTTGCGGTCAAATAAGCCAGCATATGTATGTACTCCGTACACAGTTAGTGTTTTGAAGGATATGTTCAAATTTATGGTAGACGATCCGCTTGGCCACCTCCTAACAAAGGGTCCATCCATGCTACCCAAACCTTTCCTAGCCTGCTGCGCCCATGGACGGGCTAAAACAGTGGGTATTTTATGTGGTCTGCAACTGGAAGAATGGTTATGCAAAAAAACATTGCCTCCACGCGGGATCGAACCGCGGACCTTCTCATATGCATTATTGAAAATACGAGTGAGACGCTCTACCACTGAGCCACAAAGGCTGTTCAATGTTTTAATGTAAACAAAGGTTTCTCACTAGATCAGTTATTTTCTTTCCAACTTGTTCTTGTTCTGTGCAGAAGAACATTTACTATGTATTCTTGTCAGCCAGTTGAGTAATTAACTCTTTCTAGCATTATCAAGCATACAGAGTATAATAGGATCATGTGAATATCCATATTGTTGCATTTTTTGACAAGGCCACATTTGCTCATGTTGGTGTCTATTCATGCAGGAGTGGGGGCATTTTTGCTATCGTTTCACATTGTTTGGCATCATGGTGGTAGATGGATAATGGCCACAGGCTAGTGGCTGGAACTTCGGATGGGCAATCATGGAGGTGAAGGAGTAGAAGAGAATGGAAGGGCGGGAAAGGGGTAGTGTTTACAAGGGGATTTAGGGAGGCAACGAATCGTTCACTCACTTGAGCGGCGAAACGTGATGGGCGAGTTGTCAACTGGATAATGCCATGACCGAAGAGGGAAATCCTATCAAATGACTCTTTGATTGCTCATGGCAAAGTGTGGGCATGTATAGACATAAATAGTATCGTTTTCTTTCCAGCTTCTACCAACACTTTCTTGTTGGCATCAGAGCCTTAATTGGATTTCTTACCCAACAGAAAGGAGGATGAAAGCAAGGAACAACCCTAGGATCATCTGCTAGTTGATGCGTGAATTCAAATCCTGTCCCTCTAAACACATGCAAATGGGATGTGGAAGGTGATGCCTACGCAGCATCATTGAAGCGAATATCACCACAAGCTTCAGTTTTCCGACTGGTAAGGAGGTCAAATTAAAGCGAAGCTGGTGCCAGCGGGTAGTTGCATATCAGGAACTTAATGTCTACATAGGCCAATTCAGCTTTCACCTGCATAAGTGGTTGGTTCGTCAGTGCAACCTCAACCCGAAGCAAGGCGATACTGAGCCAACGAAGACGCGGAATCCCAAATACCGTGCTCTGTTGTCCTACCAACAGATCCAGTGAGCCGATTGGGGGTTTCGATCACAGGCTCTGACGAAGCAGGGCCGTTTCAGTGCTGGTTTCTTTCCAACGGCGAAGATGATGTTCTAAGAAAGAATGCCCTTGCCGATATCCGCTGAAGGAATGCCACGTTGAGGAGCCAAGGACATTCAGCAGGCGGTCGGTTGTGACGAGAATAAAAGGGCCGGATGGTAGACTGAAGAAGATCACAGAAATGATGTGAGGTGCGGTAGATGCGGTTGTGAGCAGCTTCTTTTCTTTTCTTTCTAATTGATCAGGGATAATTCGAGAGCAGCGCTACAAAATGGTTATAGAATAGTAAGTTAATGGACAGCACAATTAATGCATAAGTACAGACCTACTTTATAAATTGATCTGATCATCTTTGCTATCTGGTCTGATCTGAAACTAGATGGCAGAGAATTGGGCCACAGAAGAAAGGAAAGGAAGTCATTGAAAGATACTGAGAGGCTCCCTTAATTAAGGGAACGTGTGATAAACAAGAGAGGTCCCTCACCCATGACATATCTTCTGGCTTGTTACTACAATTACCTCAGACCAATATATGATACTGGTTGCAGGAGGTTGATTATAGTCATAGATAAAGGATGCGCATGTACTCTATGGAGGATAAAAAGCGAAACAACAAAAGGAAGTTCCTGACGGATCTGGAATGGCATGTACAGCCAGCGTCCATTGAAGAGAAATAAAGAAAAAAAAGAAAAAGGAACAAACGACGAGATACATAGCGTAGTATCAGTACTATATCCGGTGATGTACCTGGTAACTCAGACAAATGAACGGTGACATTTATTGATGCAGATGAAATGATCCACGACAAAAAAAAAAAAAAAAAAAAAAGAAAAAGAACGTCAATTAGACGTATATGACAGGCTATGGCTCCCAAGAAGAATAACCAACAGACAAAATCGAAAACACTAAAATGGATGCTTGGCCTATATACCACTGGCACTGGTAAGGAGATGATAAGGGAAGAGATGATGGAGATGATGAACAAAGGCAGGACGATCGCCTCGGATGAGAGAGCCAAGCTTATCAGGTATATTATAACTTGCTAACGGCGTCATTGAGAATGTCGGCAACCCGGTCAACCCATTCTTGCGTTTGAGTCCAGTTGCCAGAATCAATGGAGTCCCGAATGGCAGGGAAAAAAGCTTCGTCATAGCCCGACCAGGTTTGGGGGCCGAAAATGACATGTTTGAACTGGGTACGATTGGGAACCTGGTAGAAAAAAACATCAGTCTGCACGGTTTCCTGGAAGCTAAAGGCCGGAAAGATCCACTTACGCCTCCGCCTTCTCTGAGGTCTAAAAGATTTGTCTCAAACTCGGCTATGCGATTGTTATGGGTTATCCGCTGGACGCCCATAATATTATTCTCGAATCCACCGGCGTTCCATACAGCGTCGTGCCATAGCTTGTCAAAGGAAGAGAACTGCTCTGCGGCGTCCTTGAATTGCGCTGCTGCATCGAACAGCGGCTGAATATTCACACTGTCCGCGGAAGACGGCTCATGGACGACGGGGACATTCTTTGTCTTCGCGTAAGTTTCCAAATCGGCAACATAGTTTGATAGGTAGTTGGCATAAGATTCCAAGTCAAAAGGTAAAATTGGAGTGTCTGCCAGTCCGACAAGAAGTAAACCCCAGAACTCGCCCAGCATCCTGTGAAATTGAAAGCCGGGGTCCCCAAATTTGACCATCCAGTCGAAATTCTCGTGGCAGCTGTGGTATGGGTAAGGTGAACCGCCAAATCCAAAGTCGATGCTGGAGGTTCCCGCAATGTCCTGGAAGGCAACATAGTCACTGCCAGCGCCAAGGCCGGCCAGTTTCTTTCCCTTACTTTGCCAAATATCCTTGAGAGTCTGATTTGCTACCGGATCGGAAACACGGCCCAGTATTTGCACGACAATGCGCTCGAAAAGCGGAGAAGCCGCCACTTCAAATTCCGTACCGCTTACGCCGACATCAACGTTGAGATAAGCGTACGCATCCGATCGGAGCGCATCAAGGTCATTTTCGACATGTTCCGTGGAGCCAATGAGGTTGTATTCCTCTCCGTCCCAGCTAGCGAACTCTATGGTGCGAAGCGGGCGCCAGCCGTAGGTAAGCAGTTCACCGAAAACTCGAATGACTTCGAGAAAGACTGCAGTACCGCTGCCCGGATCGGCGCCTCCTAAACACCATGAATCCCGATGGTTACCGACAATGATCTTCTTCTCGGGCTGTTCCAGTCCGGTAATCTGGCCCAGAACGTTGTATATGGGTTGTCTTTCCACCTCATCTTGTATATTGGCAAGGTTCACACGGGGTGAAGTTGTATCTCCGGTCCACCATCCATCCACGTCTGGGACACCACCAACCCATTCCGGGGGCACAGTCGAACCATGGCCCTTGAGAGCCTGTAAGAGTTTTTGGGCATCGCGCCAGGCGATGGGAAGACTCGGAATGCTGTTCAAGCCAGCGCTATCTTCCGGCTTTAGTCTCCTTTTCTCTTCCGGAGTTGAGGCGAATCCAGGTGACAGAACATCTCCCACAACCCAAGACATCAAGCTCACTCCACCTCTTTGCACCCCATCCGCAGGCATGTAACGACCTTTCGGATAGGCGGGACCCTGAAGGAAACCATCTTCTGCGGGATCGGAGTAAATAATACAGCCCGCCGCACCAGCTAGCTCCGCAGCTTTGATTTTGAGCGCCCTATCGGTCTCAGTTCCGTAATAACGAACCAGCACTATAGACCCATTCAGTGAGATGCCTCTATCCGCTAGAAGTTTGAAATCATCTCGCGACCCATAGTTTGCGTAGACCAGAGGCCCAGTAACATTGCCAGCTTTAGAATGCCCGTGGAAGACTGGAACTTGCTCATCATCCTCCTCAAGGGTAGCTTCCCAAGCCAAAGCTGGTGGATCGACAATGGCAACCCGTCTCCCATCCGGTCTGGGATAATTCAGATATACCTCAAACTTTTCCATCTGAACGTGGTCCAGGCCGGCACTCTTGAATTCCTCCTGCATCCACTCGGCCAGTACGTAACTCCCTTCAGTTCCGGCTACATGTGGAAATTTGGTCAACCTCTCCAAATTCTCGGCAATCTTGGATTCATTAATATGGCCCTGTATGAAATTCTCAACAGATGCTGCGCTGTAGGATTGACCGCCGGAAGCACGGTTGCTGATAGAAAAGATGTCGGATACGAAGAATATATAGACGATGGTGAGAACGAGGATGACGGCCGTAAGACGCAGCATGATCATGCATCCATTATTCCGGATATGTGTTCGGGTGCCATCTAGGTCGATGGTGAATCTGAATCTGAAATTGGGCAGATATTTCCGAAGGGGAAAGCGGATGGAGGAGAGAGTCCGGGTGAGGCTATTGAATTGTTTCGAGAATCGGCCCCCGAGGCGCGAATGTTCCGATGGTTGCGGACCATCCTCTACGTCCATCCGGTCGATCTCCTGCCGTAGATTCTCCAGTGACCCTCTTTCCGAATTTGCAGGCGATGATGCGAGAGAATCCAGACTTGTACGGGCGGACTCGACGGTGGGAGGTTGATATCCATGGTGGTGACGGGGGGTAGGGCGTGCGGTGCCACTGGGATCCCCCTCGCGGAGTAGGCCCTGTCTCTCCGCATCACTGCTGCTTACATCTGCCAAATCGATATGAGATCTGGAGGAATTTGGATGGGAGACAGCTTCTTCGTAGGTCGGGATGGGGAGGGGATCGTATGGTTCATATTCGAACTTATCGTCGCCCATGGTGGCAGATAGCGCAGAGCTCCGGGGAGCGTAGGGAAATCGGCAGTGTCAGCGACAACAGTAGATATCGAATCATGTTCTGGACGAGAAAAGAGCGACAGGGTCAGACATGGTCTGGGCTGGAACGAATGGAGAGAACAAAAAGCAGAAGGGTTTGGCCGTGAGAGTCGTTGCGTGTGAGGGATCTTGGCTCTCCTGGCTTGCCCCCGGAAGACGTGGCGCAGCCGCTCCGGCTGGCTTCGTCGGAGTACTGTGTATGGAGGAGAGAGATAATGGCTTCAAGTATTACTCTATTCTCATTCTCCGTGGTCAAAGAGAGCAATGGGGACTCTCCTTGACTCTCTTGAAAGAGGGTGCTGGGATTTGTATTCTACGTTGGACTGTCCAAGGAGGCTTTATGCTGTCGTATTACTCCGTAGTCCTCCGTACTAATACCGTACTCTACAGTGACGGTGAATTACTGGAAGCGGTTTAGCGTTCCTATTCGGGAATGGTACGTACTTAAGTTAATGCTTCCTCCATCAGTAGTCTGCTTGCTTCTCTTCTTCTGCTTCCTTTCCCTCCCCCAAACGCCCCAGTTCTGTCAATATGCTGTCTCTGTCATTATTCGCAGATTCCTCTCCCCTAGCTGCAAGGATGTCGACATGGCGAAGTCTCTCGACAGGTCCGATCCAGAAGTCGCGTCTCGGACCAACCAGGTTGAGGAAGGGGAGGTCTGTTATTCGCAACTTCCATTCAAAATCCCAGGTGCTGTGGTGCTGTCTGCCATTTCGATCCTTCGACAACCCTCAAATGACGTATATCGACAAATCAACTCTGATACGTTGTATTCAAACCAGTTTATTGTCGTGTCAAACATATCCCAGCATGTATGGGAGCTGTTGGCTGAACATCAAAATGTTGAAGTTCCCTACAGGTTGACACTCGACACACAGTGCTAGAAAGGGGTTATTTGAATAATGCCCTGAAAAGCTTATGAGCGGGTAACGCGGTCATTTGCAAATGAACTTGTGAAATTACTCAACATGGAAATTTCTCCAAGAGATTACACTATGAACTCAGCCTCCAGGTACAATGGAAGAACATGTGCTAAAGAAGCTGACGAATCTCTCACTCCACTGAGGAATCCTGATTGTGATGACATAGAGGAATGGCCTTCACTTCTTCCTGGTGTCTTTGTTCCTGTCCCAGGCGTCGCTGCGTTTCCCGTAACTGACTTCTTAATTCTGTAATCTCATCCATAATCTTAACTGAAAGTATTGGCGCGAGAAAGTGTAGAATCAACTAGTTCCAGGAGTGTTTGTTGTCTTCCGCACAGGTTGGTATGGTCAATTTGGAATCCTGAGGCAGAGACTCACAGCGCGAAAAGGCTACAGGTTTGGTCCACACTACACACAAACCGTGGCCTTTCCGCCGTCACCGACAGTTATACCGTACTAGTAGCATCCAGGAGACAACCTTAGGCAACGACTTTCTTGCAGCCACAGAGACGGGGTATTCAACCATGAGGCTCACGAGGAAAGGGAAATGTATGTCTGATAATTCATCTCTCAGAATAATACGTGAAAAGGGAGATGATACAGACAATTTAAGGCCTTGCATTATGCCCTTCTTCTAATGGCCCACATTCAGCCACATCTCGGCTTCTTTGACTGGCTTAATGAATAAACAATGCATGCTCCTTGCAACATCGACAGAACTGTCTACCATATTATGCCTGTATCTCTTAGAGATATCTCCTACTCTGTACTCGTAGTGCTGTGAATAGGATCTCGTCAACTGAATCGAGTAATTCACGTGACTTCATGGTGCCTGGCGGAGATTTAGGTTTGAACTTCTGCAGAGTCCAGAACGGAAATGAGAGCACAGAGAGTAATAATGTTAAGTCTGTGCCACCTCACAGTCTAGAGTCGGTGTAGTCAAGGTGACAGCAGGGGTTGTCGGGACATCAGACGATCCTGGCGGCAGCGATCAGACTGCAGTTTGTTGGGGCAAATTAATGTTAATCTTACTGTCTACAACAGCAGCAGCTCCATGGATGGACTCGCAACAATAGCAAGAATGGAAGAATAGAATGACTGAATAATGAAAAGACAAGAGAAAATATCCGATACAGGAAAAGCACAAGAAACGCGAATCGGCACTGATTTGATTGATATGATCAAGACTGCCTATTATTATCGGGTCCAGCAGCACCGCAGAGCCACTGGGAGAGGGCAGACCCATCCCTGCTCTTTGTCGTCGCCATTTTTTTGCCTTTTCGCCCCTCCGATGTTGAGATGATCGTTGCTGCTAATGATAATATTGTCCTCAATACCCTCAGAATCGTCCTACATTTGGAGGACCCTCTGCCATTAATATTAATACCCAGCAGGGCCTTTGCAGCTGCCCAGTCCTAGTCCCAGCTCGCCTTTCTCTGCCCCTCCCCAGTTGCCCCTAATCTCCCGCCGTTTCTCAACTTTTTCTTCCTTCGCCTTCCTGGTCCCTTCTTCCCTCCTGACACAATCCTCATTCTCTCAGAAACATACCGTTCACCGCTTCAACATGTCTTCTCGTCCTCAGAACATCGGCATCAAGGCCATTGAGGTCTATTTCCCCAGTCAGGTACGCGTTCTTCCTCTTCTCCTTCCTCCACCATACTGTAGCTGCTAACAACTTCGCAGTGCGTCGACCAAGCGGAACTGGAGAAATTCGATGGCGTGAGTGAAGGGAAATACACAATCGGTCTGGGACAGACCAAGATGAGCTTCTGTGATGATCGTGAGGGTATGCTTTTCTTTCAAACAGCCACCGTCCCCCCCCCATTTCCCCTGAAGTGTTGGCTAAGCCAGGCCTTTCTTTCCCTTGCAGATATCTATTCCATGGCCCTGACCACCCTCTCCTCCCTTCTCCGCAAGTACAACATCGACCCCAAGTCCATTGGCCGTCTGGAGGTCGGCACCGAGACCCTTCTGGACAAGTCTAAGTCTGTGAAGTCGGTCCTGATGCAGCTCTTCGTGCCGCATGGGAATACAAACATCGAGGGCATTGATACGGTCAACGCTTGCTACGGTGGCACCAACGCCGTGTTCAACAGCATCAATTGGCTCGAGTCTTCCGCCTGGGATGGCCGGGACGCCATTGTTGTGTGCGGTGACATTGCCCTTTATGCCAAGGGTGCCGCTCGCCCTACCGGTGGTGCGGGCTGTGTGGCTATGCTAATCGGCCCTGATGCCCCTATCGTGTTTGAGCCTGGTCTCCGTGGCACCTACATTACCCACGCTTATGACTTCTACAAGCCCGATCTCACAAGCGAATACCCTGTCGTTGATGGCCAGTTCTCCCTCAAGTGTTATACCGAAGCCGTTGACGCTTGCTATAAGGCTTACGGGTCCCGTGAACAGGCCTTGAAGGCCAAGGTCCAGAATGGCACCAACGGTGTCGAGCATGCTGATGAGACAAAGACACCTTTGGACCGCTTCGACTACATTCTCTACCATGCGCCGACCTGCAAGTTGGTACAGAAATCGTACGGTCGTATGCTGTACAACGATTACCTTGCGAACCCAAGCCATCCGGCCTTCGCTGATGTTCCTCCCGAGCTACGTGACTTGGATTATGAAAAGTCTCTCACCGATAAGACTGTCGAGAAGACCTTCATGGGTCTGACCAAGAAGCGTTTCAACGAGCGTGTGAAGCCCGGCCTTGAAGTCGCTACCATGTGTGGTAACATGTACACTGCGACTGTCTACGCTTCCATTGCCAGTTTAATCAGCAACGTCACCTTCGATCCTAGCCAACCGAAGCGGCTTGGATTTTTCAGCTATGGTAGCGGCCTTGCCAGCTCCATGTTCAGCGCAAAGGTTGTCGGTGATGTATCATACATGGTTGAGAAGCTCGATCTCCACAACCGCCTCAACGCCAGGAATACTTTGGCCCCCCAGGCCTACGATGAGGTAAGATCTTGAGTCCTCTCCCGGCTCCTTTCTTCCAGTCCTGATTAACTGACTTCCCCCCCTGGTAGATGTGCGTCTTGCGCGAACATGCACACCTGAAAAAGAACTTCAAGCCAGTTGGCAACCCGGATACCCTTTCCCCTGGCACTTACTACCTTACTGAAATCGATGACATGTTCCGGAGGAAGTATGACATCAAAGCATGAAGACCTGCAAGTGATTGTAGGGATTTTACCTCTTCTTCGTTCACCTCCGTTTTTTTTGGTCATGACGGGTTTCTAGACGGGCTATAGACTCTCGAGTTGTATTTCATATATCTTCTCGGTTTTATAGACCAATGGGTGCAGCGCGTGATGCCAGTTTGGTGCTTTATCCTAGATTCCAGGAAAGGTGAATTTTTCTCCTACCCGTGCGTGGACGGAAAAGCACCTTGCTTTTTATGAACAGAGCTGCCTTTTTCTCTGTTTACTGACCCGATTTCGCTATTTTGTTATTAACCTCTTTAATCTCCTGTGTCACATATGACAGTTAATAATTCTGTATACTTATAGAGTCAAATTATTTTGAGTCTTGTCCATTTCCGGTTGTTCATCATCTGCCAGATTTTCTCGGAGACATTGAATGTCTACTATCTACCTAGATAGTAGCTCCTACAGTGCACCTAGTAGGGATACTGGATGTTTTCCGGCACAGCCGCCGATAGCTGTCAATCAGTCGTCTGTAACAGTATCAAGCGTGCTTCGAAAATAACCCATAATATTGCTATTAATTGTAGAAAACTGCTGTACGCCTCCAAAATACCAAATGGCCCAATGAACGACTCGAGAAACACGAAACAGTGGCCAGTGAAGTACCTAGACTAGACTACTTGAGGGTGAGTTGAGTGCACAGGGTTCCCCTCCATCACGCCTCCGCTTCTCTTCTTTTCCCTTCCACTTTCGTCCTACTCCGCATATCCAACGCATTATACTGCCATTGTTTCCCCCCCAATACCTCCCTTATATTTGATTGGTGTTTGATACCTTTTACTGTGTTGCGAAGTAGACGCCGTGTCTCGACGCCGGCGCTTACTGAGACTTCAGATCCTCCTTGGACGTTCCCCTCGGAGAATCTCAATATCCTCTTGAATCCGGACGATCATCTAATTACACAGAGCGAGTCTGAAACAATGAGTCGCTTCTATTCAGGCGTTTTCAGTTCCACCACACCTCATCAGAGCTCTTTTGCTCTAGTCAGAGCTGCAGTTCTCCTGGGCGCTTCCGGTTGATCCACCCAAGGGACGACGACCCTGCAGACATTTAACTGATTCGCGATATTGCTGCTCTCTACAGTTGCATATGGAGCTATTGGGACAGATTTGCCGCCTGCCAGACCTGAAATCTGGCTACTGACCCTCGATCTTGCCGCTTGGTGGATGTAAAACATATCAGGCGCGTCGCTTGTCAGACCTTTACTCGGCGTATCGATGCCTCTTATGGATCTGCCGATGTTGACCAGGAACAGTTCATAAGATTGTTGCTGAATATAGATTCTTGCTAATATCTATGAACTCCTGGCCCCCTCCCTTCCTCCCACACAGAGGGGAGAAGAGGAAGGCTCTTGAAACGAGAATTGAAGAGTCGGATGCTGAATTTAGAAACTCTGGTGACGCGCAGCTCTTTGGTGAAACTAGGGAGCCCTATTGTTATTGCTCTGACCCTCGGAATGAGCTTTATGTGCATTGCTCTTGATCGCCAGATCAAGACGCTCTCGGCCTTTGAGCATCTCCCCCGGGGGTTCCAGCGAGGTCATTGCATCAGGAGTTCCCTCGGCCTGTCGCAGAATCCAAGAAAAAGACAGCCCGGTGGGTTTGGGGGTATAAGGGAGCTTGTCTGGTGTTTCATGTTATCCACGTCCTGCCCGTCGCTTCGATTTACCTCTTCGTTTATTTTCTGCTCGGTTGTTTTGTCCGCTCGTCTGGGGAGCATTTAATATCCAACTCCTGTCCGTTTGGACCATCATTCTGTTTGTCTCCTTTCCTTGTTTACAGGGGAAAAGTCTTTCGTTTGCTTCTATATTGGATATTACTGCTCACTTTGATGGTGAGCCAGTATCTTTTCGTTGTTTCATTCTAATTTCGACTACTTCCACCTTCATCCATACACATTGCTGGAGGCTGGATCTCCCAACTGCATATCTATTTCATTATTTTGTTCTCAATATCTGATTTGCCTATTTTCACTGGTATCTTGTTCTCCTGTGGGTTCGGCTTCATACCCAGGGCTATTCTACAGATTTCATCCGACTTCCAAGAACCCCGCCAAATAATGTCTCTGGGCTATCCATATTACCGACCAACGACACCCCCCCCGGTACGGTTGGGGGACTTGATAGGGATGGGCCACAATTGCACCACGCCAGACTCATCAGGATACTCTAATGAGTCGTCCCCGTGGTCTGTTACGACCTCCACTACCAGTCCGAGCACAACCTCCCCTCGGTATCATCATGGATCTGTTCTGCTACCGAAAATTAGACCGCAGGATATCGTGATCGAGCCAGCATCCGCGGGTGGTCCTCTGCGTCGTCATCGAATGTTGTCCAATACGCGAAATCCTCCAGGCTACTTTATGCCCTATCCGTGCAGTCGTCCACCAGTTCGACGGAGTATCCTCGAGTCAGTGGACTGCTTAAACAACCTAAGCCCCCATGTCTCGATGTCGCCCATCTTCGCATCTTCCAGTGCCTCCGTCTTGTCTTCGCCAGTAAATGTCACACCGCCGTCCAAACGCAAGACTTCTGGAGGTCATTCCAGATCGGTCTCGGCACCTGTTATTGATGAGGCGATACTGCGTCGATATGGATATCCGACATATCGGCAATTCCCCAAGTATATACCTCAAACGCAAAGGTCGCCTGTAAGGACCTCCAACGCGTACACGGGTGTGTTGCAGCAGTCGACCAGTAGCCCATCTCAAGGCTTCCAGATTCATTCTCCAACCCAGGCGACAGCAGCCATTCCGGCCTCTCCTTGTGCTTATCCCCAAACCCCAAGTGCGCACCTCTCAACGGTTTCTGGTGCTGAACAAAGCAAGGGGATGGCCTCATCCTCGACCTCTTTGATTTCCTATCTGACCGCACCAACTCAAGCGATTAACGTCGTCCGCAATGTCAGTGTCATTCCGACAAGAGGACTCCACGACTACTTCTGGTGGGATATCCGGAATCTACGCAGCTGGAATTCATTCTCCCTGTCAACTTTCGACTCAATCAATGGGCTCACCAAGCTCCTCAAGACCGAGATACCTTCTCAACTCACACCACTTGCCATTGTCCCGTCATCCGGCCTTTCTCCAGAGTCTGAGACTGCACTAATCAGTCTCATCCGCGACATCTACGCGCCTCGCGTGAATGCCGCCCTGGCAGTTTCCCAGGGCTCAGACCACCTTCAATTATACGCCGCTCCCGAAGTACGGGTTTCAGGTAACAAGAACTGCGGTGCACCGCATTTTCTTGCCAACTATGCCTCCAACACTGAACGCACCAGCTCGGACCAACCCCGCGGCCGTCTGGTGGGCGTGGTCAAGAGCTTCGACCGCTGGAACACGGGGATGCGCAACGAGGGCCCCAACCGACGAGTCGAGTATCTCAATGGACTAGCGCATCTTCAACGCTGCATGCGCGAACACTCATGCCGATACGGGTTCATAATGACTGAGATTGAACTCGTTTGCGTCCGCGCGGGCTGCGACGAAGGCGACGACGTGCCGTACTTTGGATTCTTGGAACTCTCGGCACCGATTCCCACCAATGTCTCGGACACTACAGCGTCAGCAGCAGCATCGTATTCCTTCCCCACTCCATCTCCTACAGGCTATTCCCCTCCATACTTCCCCCAAGAACCCAGATTGGAAGAATTAGAATCAGAAGAAGGCCTCCCCATTCCCATGACAGCCAGTCTGGCGCTGTACTTCCTCCTCATGCTCTCGAAATCAGTCCCATTACCATCCCAGCCATCCGGGCATCTGAACGTCGGCGGGCCCGGCGCACTCACCAGACAGCGTATCCTCCCTGAGGGAAAGGATAAGTGGATCCCGCAGCCGCAGATTGGGGAGCGGAGGGATGCGAAACGAGTGAGAGGGTGGGTGTGGCCCCAGGATCCGTGGCATCGGAGGGAAGGGGGAGTCCATCGGGGTAAGGTTGATAGGAAACGGCATAAATGAGGTTTTTTTATTGGAGTAATTAATAGTCAAGCTTTATTGTCTTTCTTTCTTTCTTTCTCCTGTGTCATTGCTGTCTTTTGGATTTAGAATAATAATATTCTATACTCCACTCAGTCCTGTATCATTAATCTAATCACCTGGGTCTTATGTATTCCACTCTTTCTGGCAATCTGAACTGTATGGGAAACAAGCAAGAGTTGACAGGAAGAATGGTGTACCAAAGAGTACAAAAAAGAGGAGCATATATCATAACATCTCAACATATCTCACACTTGATCCCGGGAACCTCTAAAAACCAAACCCAGGACAATGATACTCCAACTTCCTCAAAGTCTCCATGGCAGCTGCCACATACGCCTGCGGATCAAAACGTCCCCTCCCTCCCTCTCTCTCTCTCTCTCTCTCTCTCTGCATCACTGGTTGGGGTAGAGGTAAAAGTATGAGAGACGAGCAGTGGAGAACCAGCCGAAGAGGAGGAAGAGTAGTAGTAGTAGTAGTAGTAGTATATCTTGGGGAGGGCGATGTCGATGTGCAGATGGATCTCTTTGTATGGGATAGTGAAGAAGGAGTTGTGAAGAGTAACAATCCAGTTAAAACGTTTTTATTCAAAGGATATATAGAGAGCTGACGGGGCTGTTGGAAATGCTCAAGTTGTATACATACATGGAGCCATTAACCCATTGTGATTTGTCCGGTGGTGCAACGACAGATATCTTTCTGTATCTGTCAGGGACCGATGACACAGGCAGCAAGGGACAGATATAGATGGCACCCGTTTCTTCAGAGATAATCAATAAGGAAACAAGAATGAGAAGCAGAAGAAGCAGAAGCAAAGAAACGTGTGTTGGTTAACTGTCACGGGACATCATGTGACTTGAGTGAAGGCGCGACCCGACAATGAATTGCTGCTCATTCACTCTTCTTCCTCAACAGAGAAGGGTGCAAGTCCACCTCTGTTTTGCTGAACACTTCTTCCAAAGACAAGGCTCACACTTGATTGTGAACCAGCAAATCTACTCCAGTTCCTCGCAGTGAGTTTCCCCAGACAGAACTAGCCATCTATGGTTATCAACTCCGCTGATATCGGGGAATCTCCGTCTTCCAGACACCCAATCACGGCTACTCTCTACCAAGCAGAGGGGAGGGGTTGCCGTGTTGCTATCATCATTTAGATAGATCTTGCAGATGGTACGTACTTGTCTATGCTTGGTGTTCTCTGTAAAAGCGTCGTTCTAACCTTCGACCAGTTTCTCCATCCAAGAAAATAGTCCTACACTACTATTGAAACCAATCAACATGAAAGAACCTGCACCGGCAGTGGTGTCGAGCAACGGCGCTTCCAAGTCGAAACAGTTACGCTTCCTCGTCATCGGTGCTGGTGCTCGTGGCACTGCGTATGCTGAAGCCGTAACCAAATCAACTGGAGCTGTCATCCACGCCGTAGCCGACCCGCATGAATTTAAGCGTGACCACTTCGGAAAGGCCTTCATCTGGGGAAAAGAGGGAAAACCCAGTGAGGGCCAGGACTTCAGTGGCTGGAAGGAGTGGCTGGACTGGGAGCTTAATAGAAGACGCCAGCTTGAAGCTGATCCCCAATCCGTCTCCGGCTCTGCTGCTGTAGGAGTCGACGGCGTCTTCATCTGCACTCTCGATGAGACCCATATCGGAATCATCCGGGCCATCGCTCCTCTCCAGCTGCATATTCTCTGCGAGAAGCCATTGGCGCTGTCACTAGATGATTGTCTCTCCGCTCTCCATGTTCTTCAGAGCCAGTCGACTCCTAAGATATTCTCCATCGGCCATGTTCTCCGGTACAGTCCACACAACATTCTCCTCCGAGACCTCATCCTGTCTCGGAAGGTTATCGGCGACGTCGTCTCCCTTGAGCACTGCGAACCCGTCGGTTGGTGGCATTTCACCCACAGCTACGTGAGAGGAAACTGGCGCCGTGCCACCAGCAACGGAGACGGGAGCCTTCTGACCAAATCATGTCACGACATCGATTTTATCCTGTGGCTCCTGTGCTCCCCTCCCCCGTCTACTGCAGCTTCGTCGGCAAAGACAGCCCGCACTGCCCACCACCCCCGGACCATCACGTCAACAGGCTCACTGACACAATTCCGTCGAGCCAGGAAGCCCGCCGCGGCTGGAAACGCGATTAATTGTCTCTCCTGCCTTGCGGAGCCGGACTGCATTTACAGCGCCGTCAAAATCTACCGCGACATGCATCTCGCCGAGAACCGGCTCGACTGGCCCCTGAATATCCTCTGTCCGGATATTGAGGACATCTTCCGCACCGAGGGCTCGGACGCCGCCACGCGTCGTCTCATGAGTGCGCTGGCGCCACACTACGACAAATACATTACGTCGAGTGACCCGAACACTCCCAGCCCCTGGTACGGAAAATGCGTCTTCGAAACTGATAATGACGTCTGCGACGACCAGGTCGTTACGATCTCATGGGAAGACGAGGAAATAACCCAAGAGCAGAAGGATGAAGGCATCGAACCGCGCACGGCCAAGATAGCAACCTTCCACATGATCGCTCCCACGGAGAGACAGTGTGAACGCCGTGGCCGGATCTACGGAACGCACGGCGAGCTCACGTACGACAGTCGCAATATCACCATTTACAACTTCGAGACTTGCTCGACTACCGCTGTTCCTGTTCCGCGCCAGCCGCCTGAGGAAGAGAAGTCACATGGTGGCGGCGACTATGGCCTTGCTCGTAGCTTTGTCGGGGCTGTGGATGCAGTCGAGAACCGTGGCTGGGACGTCGCGAAGGCTCAGGAGCATTTCGTCGGCTGTACCCTTGAAGAGGCCGTGAGGAGCCATGCTGTTGTGTTTGCGGCTGAGGAGGCTAGAAGGGAGGAGAAGGTGGTTAAGTGGAAGACTTGGTGGGAAGAGAAGCTTCAAGCTTCGGCTGCGGCGGCGAATGAGGCTTCTTAGAAGCCAAGAAAGGCAAGGGGCCGGTCTGGGATAACCTTACGACGTTATGAGACACTTATCACTTGCATTCTTTCGAATGGCAGGCTCCATTTGTAATGTAATGCTTAATACCTATCGTCAATGAAGCCCGACAGATCAAGAATCCACGAGTTAATCAGCTTCTGGAACTGCATGTGCATGAACCCGTTTCGCCGGTGTACACTAACTAACGATGCTGGCTACCTACAACATGATTTACTGTGTAGCCATGTATTCATATAATTATGCCCCTTTCCCTCCTATGCTTGCTCACGTAACTGTCATAACAATTAACTGTTGGCTAATCTTATGGAAACGATGCCAAAGCCAACAACATTAAAGTTACCCTATGTCCAACGGGCAGGAAGCAAGGAAAATCCTCTTTAAGTCTTCACATCAGGTTCCTCCCTTCCAACGAACTCCTTAAACTTGAGAAGTGACAATGCCAGAGCCACATTATCCTTCAGGTAATCCTGAGCACTCAGACCAAACTTGGACGGATCACTCTCATACTTCTCAATGTAGAGACGGATGGTAGCTCCACTGCTTCCCGTGCCAGACAGACGAGTGACAATGCGGCTGCCGTCAGCGAACTTGATGTAGAGTCCCTGGTTCTTAGTGACGCTGCCGTCAAGGTCGGTGTAAGAGAAGTTGCCCGCATCGGCGACCTCGTAGCCGGAGACGCTCGAGCCAACAAAGGTAGGGCTTGAGATCAACTCGGAAAGGTGAGCAATGAGCTTGTTTGCTCCCTCGCTCTCACAGCCCTCAAAATCATAACGGGTGAAGAAAGTGCGGCCATAAGTCTTCCAGAATTCACTCTGGATAGAGCCGATGCTAGGTGTTTCATTAGGCTTCTGCTTGGCAACACCTGCAATGATGTTCAACCAGGCAACGATGGCCCAGACACCATCCTTCTCACGGATGTGATTGCTTCCAGTTCCGAAGCTCTCTTCACCGCAGATGGAGATCTTCTTGTTATCGAATAGGTTGCAGAAGAATTTCCAACCAGTGGGGACTTCATAGCTCTGCAGGCCCTTCGCCTTGGCAACCCGGTCTACAGCACCAGAGGTGGGCATGGACCGTGCCAAGCCGTATACACCCTGCTTCTTGAACCACGGAATGAGGTCTGCGTGGTGTGCAATAATAGCCAAGCTGTCACCTGGAGAGACAAAGCTCTTGGCACCATAGATCATGTTGCGGTCACCATCGCCATCGCTGGCAGCGCCAAAGTGAATACCATTCTTGTCAACGGTTTCAACGAGCTCATGGGCGTAAACCAAGTTGGGGTCTGGGTGGCCGCCATTGAAGTCAGGCTTGGGCACACAGTTCATGGTGCTACTGGCAGGCAAACCCAGCTCCTTGACAAAGATGTCTACACCATAGGGGCCCGTGACACCGTGCATTCCATCAAAAAGGATCTTGAAGTCCTTGTGGGAGCTCAAGAATTCCTTGATCAGGTCAAAATCAAAGATCTCCTTCAGCAGAGTGACATAGTCGGCGGTCGAGTGGACGACTTCGACCTCGAGAGGGCCATAGGACTTGGTGCCAACGACCGAGGTGTCGACATCGGGGATCTCAGCGTACTTGTACGAAGTCAAGGACTTGGAGGTCTCGAAGATCTTGTTGGTAACCGTTTCAGGAGCCGGAGCGCCATTGGAAAGGTTATACTTGATTCCAAAATCGGCATTGGGCCCTGTCAAGAATCAACAACTCATACTTTTCCAATGTCTTGTTTGCGTCTGTGCATCTGTGCCCTTTCCAAGGGAAACTTACCACCGGGATTGTGACTGGCAGTCAAGAGAATACCACCGGTTGCCTTTCTCTGACGGATAAGATTGCTAGCAGCAGGAGTACTCAGGATGCCATTCTGGCCAACGAGCAACTTCTTGACACCGTAGGCAGCGCTGATCTTGGCGATCTTCTGGACAACCTCCGGGTTGAAATAGCGACCATCACCACCGATGACGAGGAAAGCACCCTCAGCACCTTCCGGGATGGAGAGAAGCACACTAGTGATGAAGGATTCGGAGTAGTTGGGCTGCTGGAAGATGGAGACCTTCTTACGAAGACCTGAACTGCAAGAAGACAAGGTGGGTTGTTAGCTACTTGAGGGCGATGGTGGGGTAATTGCGGTGAGGTTATGTTGGGCAAACTTACGTGCCAGGCTTCTGGTCTGTGAAGGACTGGAAGGAGACGGTCTTAATTGACATTTTTCAATTGGCCAGGGGAAACTGGAACAAATGAAGCTTGCAGGGTAGATGAGATTGCTCAGGGAGTGAAGAGAGCTTGTATACACGAGAGAAAGAGGATGGGAGAGAGGGAAGATAAGGAGAAGGGGCAGTCACTGTGGAAACGAACAATTGGTTAGCGGGGCATGAAGGACACGAGCTAGGAGACACTCACCGACAATTGGACTGACGGACTGATGGACAAGAGAATATACAGAGAAGAAGAAGAGAGGAAGGGAGAGAGAGAGATAGAGAGAGATAGAGAGAGAAAGAGAGAGAAGAGAGGCAAGGGAGCTTGTAGTGCCACCTTCCGTCATTATTATTCTCTCGATGAATCCATTTAGCCGCATCCACTGACCTTACGACGATGCCAGGATAATATCAGTAACATCTATCTTCATAATAATTGAACCAGTCTGCAATTGACAACCCAGCTCATCCCTCTCTCCCATAGCCATTGTGGTTGTTGGACCTGGCAGCTCTGTCCTTGCGACAACCCCGCTGTCGAGAGTTTCCACTTTCATCGCCAGATCATGCCGTGTCGAGGAGGTGTTGGCTCATGGAGCTTCATCTCCCAAGGAGAAGTCTTCAAGAGATCCAATCCACACCATCAACGTGGCTACTCGATGATCCCACAAGTCGTATCTCCATCATCACCAGCAAGATGGCGGAACCATTTCCCGCAGAGCAACACTCCATAGTGTACTCCGTATCTAGCTAGCTACGAGCTATCCACAGCTTCATCAACTCCGACTACCCAAGAATAACCAACTCCTACTTCCCAAACAACCTGTCCCGATAAAACCTCATCTCCTCAATACTCTCTAAAATATCATCCCGAGCTAAATGCACCAATTTCTTCCCGGGAACATCCTCCAGCAGCCCCGCTCCACCCCACCGTCTTGCCCCCTCCTTGAAACTACTCACGTCCAGAATCCGGTAATGCAGCCACTCCAACACCCTCGCATACGGCTCCCGCGCCAGAAACGCCTTATCCGCATGCACGCTGTTCCCGGCCAGTAATGCCCTGCGTGGCTCCGGCACGTATTTCTGGATGTACGCCAGTAGTTCTCTCGAGGCTTCTTCAGGAGTTGTCATCGATGCGAGCACGGATGCTGTGAGTCCCGTGCGACCGTGCGTGTCGATGCACCATTGCGACATGGCAGCAAGGGTCGACTGTGGATGGTGGATAACGGCTTCGAAGCCGTGAGGATCGAGGAGGTTGAGGTTACTGTCTGTGATGAAGCAGCATATCTGGAGGATCTCGTCTTTCTGCGGATCTAGGCCAGTCATCTAGATACGCAGGAATTCTCGCTCCGTAGATTTTTTTTTATCAGCAACGTTGATATTTGATATTAGCCGTAGGAGCTGGTGGTAGTGCTGGGGGAACACGCACCTCGCAATCAATCCATACCAGTGGATCATGCGACCGTTCTAGAGGCATTATGGCGATTCCTCGACGGCAGGTATTACTGGTATATGTATGAGTAGTCTTCAATGGCAATGCAGACAGCGTACGCAGGCTGTTGAACGGGGAGCCGAGAAAGACCCCAGTGCGTCCGGTGGAGAAATCGTGGTTGTGCCGATACAAGGTCCGGGACCTGAACGACGTCAGAGAGCAGAGCCGTTTCATTCAATACCCATTTCATCAAGGCTCATCAGCTGTGAATTGAATACACCCAGCTTTTACAAAGATTGAAGGCGAGGGAAAGATAAGCAAATTTCATATGCGGGAAGCGGAGCAAGCCAAGGCATATTAATTAATACCAAGAATGCCGTCTGCATTGTGAAACTCCCTGTCAAGGGCCTTTCATTCCATTAAATCTATGTAAATTAGTTTCATAAAAGTTGCCCGACTCTTCACTGGGAAGATCAAAAACTATAAGCAAAAAATAATAAAAAAGGGGACCAAGGAAACTATATCTAGACACCTGAGGTATGACGCGGGAATCTCCAAGTTGATTGCAAATGCAGAGATATTGAAAAAAAAAGGAGAGGACAGCGAGCGAGATAAAGATAGAAAAGAGCAAATAGCTGCCATCTCATAGTAGTTGAGGTGATGATGAATAGAATTGAAGCCGTTCACGACAACTCTAAACAGTACCGTAGCGTAGAATTCAGATTATGCCAATTGTCTCAAGAAATCCAAGAGATCAGCAAGTATATCTTGCTTGCAGTAATCGTGTTCAAATACACAACCAGTAGATGCAACCCTTCGATCTATCACAATTCCTCATCCTCGTTATTTGCTTGCTGCGCAGGTTCCTTAGACTTGAGTTCTCCCCCGAAACTGTTCGATGTGCTCATAGCCGATTTTGTGCTGGTGACCCCTAGGGCTTCACTGAGGCTACTGGACGGCCCGGCTTCCATTCTTTGTCGCAAGAGATTTTCGTCAGCACCGGAAACGCTGGCCCTCTGTTTCTTTAGGGGACTTCCAATGAAAGCGTCGTTATTCACCGGCTCAGCAAGCAACTTAGATGTCTCGGGGAATCCAGCCGTATTAAAGGGCGCAGTTGGTGATGTAGAGGTGTTCGACAACGCTGGAGGAGTCACGCCGGAGCCCGGTGACTCTTTCTTCTCAGGGGCAATATCGTCCGAGGAATGTTGACGTTTTAGCTGTTCCGTACATCAGTACCACTACACCACATCTCCGGATCAAATAGTTCTTACCCTGATTTTACGAACACCCTCTGCGAGTTCACCTTGGTGTCGGATATCGTCAGCAGTCAGATTCACATCACCATCCTTGTCTTCATCATCATCGGCCTTTCCGAGTATCGAATCGTCATCGTCATCGTCACTATCCATCTCATCACTACCTCCTTTCTTGTTCTTTTTATCCTTCGGTCTGCTGTCTCCGCCATCTCGGAAATTTAGAAAGCCGACAGTACCACCAGGCTTGAGGGGACCGAGATTGGAGAAGTCTGGTTGCAATGATCTCCTCTTCGCCGAACCAGGTGTATCTTGTGTCTTTGAGTTCTTCAAGATACCCATCTTTTGCAATTGCCCTGTGAGATTTCAAGTGTTTAGTAAAGCAGTAAGTACGGAAAATGTAAAAAAAATTCGTATGAGACTTTCACTCACGTTCTCCTCGGTACATAAATGTGAAAATCGCATACGGTTTATCCGTCGAGTCAATTCCAGTAACAGTCTGAGTGCTGATAGACTTAGGGTCGAGGGTTTTTGGCTTCGCAAAACTCGTTGTGTGGTCAATATCCGCATCAGCTGCACCACCAGTATTGCCCTGCCCATCCGGCCCGTCATCATCATCGTGCGCATCGAACTGCGGAGAGTATTCGCCCTTTTTGATCTCTCCCGATGCGAGCACTCGGAAAAGTGCCACTTTGATCTGCCCAGTAGATTCAGGTATAGGATCGTCGTCGGAATCAGAGAAAGATACGTCGTCATCCGACACATCCTCGAGCGGCGATTTGGCATTAGCGCCATACCGCATAATTCCCCTTGCACCTTTCGAGGGCTTTGCATCCATTGCTGCATTACCATTCTCACCACCCGACTGCTGGCGATGCAGTCGACGCTTCTCCATCTTCTGCCGCCGCCGCTCAATCTTGTCTGCCGCATCCTTGCCTTCCAAATCCAGGCCGTTTAACCATCGCTCCAATCCAACTTCACGGAACAGAAATTCTCGTTCGGCCAAGCCACCGCCCTCAGATTCAGGAACGCTGACCCATCTCGAATTTACCCAGGTCTCCTCCCCCCTTCGGAGTAGCGTTGCAACTTCTTCCTTCTGTCTTCCATCAAAGTAAATGTAAGCGGCTACCGTTTCGTTTGGGGAATTAGTCAAGGGCTGGTAAGGAGCGACCATGCTGGTGTACTGGCCCCGTTCTCCAGTCTGCCCAGGGAGACCACCGACAACTTTCGGCTTCGGTGGGGGGGCGCCAGGTGTCGGTTTCGGGGTGGAGTAGGGAACATCTTGACCGGGCGTTAGGAGGGTAATCGAGATAGCAAAGGTAGATTGCTCCAGCTTGCCAGACGCTGAATCAGGTATCTTCGGGGGAGGTACAGGGATAAAACAAGCTATGCGCGATGCTCTGGATTGGCGTTGAATGGAGTACTCAGGGATCGGTCCATCGGGGGTATGTATGCTGACAGCAAGTCCTTTGAAGCACGGCATGATGATAGTATAATTAGAAAGGATACGATATGCGAAGTCGAGAAGGTAAGAGGCAAGGTTTATCTATCGATTCCCGGGTTTAAGTTGATGTAGTGTCGTGTGCAAACTGCAGCAACACCTCCCCGCAAGGGAGTTAAGAGTGTCCGACACGAGTTATCCTGTTGAGGCTCTGTAGGGGAAGAGTCGATGTAATACTCGATACAAATACCGTTTCTGTTTAAAAATATGGAATAGAAAAGCTGCAAACCGTCCAATTCCCCGTCAGTTGGGCTCCAAAAAGCAGCTGGGCTTGTGCGTCGAAAGTCCCCAAGTGCAGTAGATCAGCACAGACCAAGGACCATCATATCATGAGGTATGAATAGACATCAGTAGCATTATAAGATATGGAAGTTCAGATAAAAGAGTGAGGAATCAGTAGGATGCTTTACAGTATAAACAAGGAATGGCGGGGTTGCTGTTGCAAGGACAGGGTGAGGCTGAAGCCTAGCAATCCACCGCTATGGATGTACTTGACGCCAGCGCAATGGTCACGTGATACACTTTAATCTACATAAGCGATTTTGCTGTTAAGGTACATGGCAGCGCAAATAGACATCGTTCCTTCTCGCAATACAGTCCGTTGTCAGTTTCGAGTAGGCCTTATCCCAAACAATAAAAACATCAGGTATCTTAATCAAAGTCTCTGCACATGTGGACAAGAGGCAGAATGCATAGAATGAGAAGTCTAAGCCTCGAGTCTGCTAACCGAGTTAACTGCCCCTGAGATACTAAGATTTACTTCTGCATCACGTTCTAACGACTGTCAAACCTGTAAAGTGGGTGGAGCTGGACATCCTTCCGGAGATATAATGGCGAACCCACCATGGTAACACTTTGAAAACTTGGCAATGCATGTGCACGTGGGTGGGGACAGCGAAGATATAGTCGAGTTCTTCAAAAGTACGCTGCTTCGTCTCCGGGGGAAAAAAAGGAAGATCATAACAAATGCAGTGACATTCAAACTCCTAAGAGGATGTGTAAGAACACCTGAAAAGCATGGAGATGGGGAATTCTGGGAGATTCCTCACGCATAGAAGCCAAATGCACCGGTTGGGGTTATAATTGCAAGCATTCTTGGGAAGGGTATGGAAAGAATGGCCACCCAGAAGTGGCAGGTTGTCACAGCCCAAGACATGCCAACCTCTGAAGTCGAATCAGTGTTATGCGCATATGTGTGAATACCATAGATGGCAAAGAACAAGCACTTACCGCGATGAGAAAGAGGAAATACTTCGATGGAGTAAGTATAAGACAGAGGCTCTTCACCCGGAGAGTAGAATGCCTCAAACAAGAAGACGAACAGAGTAATGAGACCCAAATACACTTTGGATTGCTCGGGAATAAAGAAGCAGAAACTGGCGGTTAATAGAGTCCATGCCATCTGAGGGAAGGTAAAAGGAGCAGGGACCGTCGGCCATAGGCGTCAATCGTGAATACGGCCGGGAATGCAAACAGGAAGTTAATCAGTCCAAAGCCCCAGGAGGCAAGGAGAGCGTCTGTCGTACTTGTGCCGGCCTGCTGGAAAATAGTTGAGGAATAGGTTGATCCCACACATCTGCTGAGCAATCATAACTGTGAACAAAGCTAGCATGGCGCTCCTAATACACGGAACGGTAAACTATTCCAAGAAGACGAGTCACGAATAACTGAGGCCAATTCTGCGTCACGGCAGAGCCGATAGGAGAGATGACGCAGAAATCGCAGAGACAAAGATGGCACCTCGACGGCCGAGATATTTGTTGCATGGGTCGGACGACCAACAGCCAAGAAACGCACTGGCAAGATAGGGAGCCCTTTATTTTTCATGTCTACGTTAGCCAATACCATAAAGTTACAATTATTAGGAACTGGGAAGCTGGGAACTAACGCGTTCATGACACCGACAATCCATTAATTACACTTGGCACTTTCAGGAATGCCAAATGTGTCGGGGAACGACAAGTTCGCTCCGTTGGAGCCGGTCTGGTCCCAGCCCCTGTAACGACAAGATCAGTGGAACTTCACGGCTCTTAGAGCACGATTACTTACTGAACGGTGGCACCAATAGGGCAAATAACAATGGTGAAATAGAGAGCTGCTGGCTGACGCCACTTGTGACGTACCTCATCATGAATAGCATCTAGTCCCTGTTCTGTCAAGTCTGGCACAGAATCAAAATTCCCAGGATCCTTAGCTTTGAGAGCCACCTTTTGAAGTTCCAGAAGGATGTCAGATAACTTGATAAAATGAAATATAATGAGGGGGGAGCCTACTCACTTAATAGAGGTGTCTTCATTAAGATCCTACTCGAACATTCCATTTTCAGAGCTGTTCTGCCAGAGGGCCTAAATGCTGAATTCCCATTGGCATTTAGCTACACTAGGTGTAGAATCTCCAGACCCAAGGCCATCGAGTAGATTCATTTGCCCTTGGATCAATTTCATAGCGATAGGTCTTTAAGTCTTTGACATGTTTGGCATGGCTTCTTCAGGATACTGGCCATCCAATACGGACGAATATGGACTTGAACCCTGAATTGAGCATGGGCGTGATTTCAGACCTAATGGAGTTAATTCCTAAAACCAAGACACGTAAGTTGTTCTCTCTGTTCTTCCCACAATGAAGGTTGTGAAAATATGATGAAAAGAAGGAGACGTGCCAACGTGATTGTCGTTGGAACAAAGTGTGATGCTAAGACGAAGCCACTCCGTAGAGACCCATGCCAAGAACCGATGCCTACCATGTCATCAAACCCTCAACACTACCGCTCAATCACAGATTTAGTTGTCCCATCTGGTTATGTTGTGGGTCAAATAATCGGTGGATATTTTATTTCGATAAGTTTGGTTAGTGTAACTATATATATATATACATATTAAGAGGTTGTCTCAATCGCGAATGGCAAATGCTCTCGGTTCAAGAACCCTGCTGCCCGAGCATCAGAGACTTGTATCATATTTAACATAGCAAACTCATTAGTATCTCATGTAAACTGATTGGATTCAAATCGATGCGGCCCTATAACTTCTCCAGGTTTGGAAGCCCACCTTCTCGTACCAGCCGTTCAAACTAACCCAATCGACAAATATTCCCTCGATACCTCTTTGTTTCATATTCACAATGGCGTGACAGAGCAGTGCAAGACCAATCCCTTGGCTTCGGTGCGCAGAATCGGTGCCAACACACCCGATCAGGCCGGTTTTGGGACCACATAATGGTGGAAGGGCCCAATCCCGTTGAAGGATGGGTGAAGACGGAGATAGCATTAGTGTCCAGCCAACCTGTTTCCCCCGGGAGTCAAATGCAACCATGATACTGGATGGGTGGTCACGAGGATGGAGCTCAACATATTGTTCAACCCAGCCCTAGCAAAATATGAAGTATTAGTATACCTAAAAAAGTTCGGTTAAAACTCTTCCGTGGTTGTAGGTGCTCACTCCGTATGTAGAGAAGTTCCTTTTCTGGGCCAGGATGCACTCTTCATAATGCTCTGACTGGAGAGGACTGAAAGTATAGCCCCGTTCTTTAGCGCGAGTGACATAGTCCTCGGGGGCTTCATAGTTTCGGATGTCTTGATACAAATCAACCGCACGATCATCTGGAGCGCCGAGTCGAAAGCCTCGGTGTAGAAAAAACTCCTGCACCTTATAGGGCAAGTCCTTGGGTATCCCGGGCCAAAATCGAGGAAATACACTGCTCAGAGCGAGACTGTTAAGGTTAAAATTGGTCCGAAAGAACGACCTGGTTTTCGCCAGCAAGGTAGTCCCAACACCTTTACCCTGATGCGAAGGATTCACAACAAGCGCTGCAAGTTGCCCAGAAATATTTCCCATGTTTAGCGTTGTATAGGCGATACAGAAGCCTGCCATGGTGGAGCCAATGCGGGCAACGAAGTGGTGCCCATTGGGCCTGACCAGCAGTCTTTGTAAATTCTCCTTGGGAAGCGCGTAGGTAGGCAGGGCCGCATTCCAGATAGCAGCTAGCTGGTCTAGGTCATTTTGGGGATCAAATGGCATCACAGTAATTGAAGACTTGGTCGCAGTTCTTGATCCAACTGGCAAGGCTCCCTTCGCCCGTGATTTTCCAAAGATAATTTCCGCTGCTGCTGCGAATGCTTCTACCGTTGGCTCATAAGTGGTGATGTATGTTCCGATATCTGGATCCTCCAGAAAGTCGTAAGGACTGCTGGCTGCGATGGAAACTACTTTCCGCGCACGCTTAGCTAGCTCTAGGCCAAGGGATTTTTGATATAGAGATTCGGCTGCGTTCATCGTAGTGAGAATGACCACATCAGCGGCAGTAACCACATCCCATTGTTCAGCAGACAGGCCAGCAGCACCATGGCGAATTTCAACAGTGGCCGGGTTATAGGATTGGAGTATGTTAATGTAATGAGTGGCCTTGTAGGATCCCTGTTTTCCCAGTCCTTCCCCATCCACAGCCCCACCCGCAGGGATCTCTGCTCCTGGAAGGATGAGAGCAATCGTGCCAGTTTCAGACAAGGGCAGAACTTCCGGTTTACTACGGACCAGGGTGGTAGAACGAGAGTAAGCCTCTCTGGCAAGAGCGGAATTCTTTGCATTAATAGAGACAAGGGCCTCTGTACCTTGGTGCTGCAGCGCTGTATCCCAGTTCAAAAAGGCCCTCTTCAACTTGTCAACGCGGCTGGAAGCCTCTTCCAAACGAGAAATGGGAACAACATTAGATTTGATAGCCTCACAGACTTTTCCGATCGAAGCCACTTGCGCTTCATACGTGTGGCAGATCATGATACTATCGCATCCGGCATTCAATGCGAGAACGGAGCCCTGTTCCGTGCCATAAGTGGCGCGGATACCATCCATCTCAAGACAGTCTGAGATCACCATACCATCATACTTCATGTCCTTCCGTAAGATGTTCAAGGCATCGGCAGAAAGGGTAGCAGGCAACTTTTCATCACCAAGACCAGGCAACGCAATATGTGCAGTCATGACAGCTTCAATACCCTCCGCAACGCAGCGACGAAAAGGCACCAATTCACAGAGTTCCAGCTGATCTCTGTCCTTGGGAATGACGGGGAGGCCGTAATGAGAGTCCACAGCGGTGTCCCCATGGCCCGGAAAATGTTTGATGCAGGGCACAATTTTACATTCTCTGAGCCCTTGGGCGGCAGCACTTGCTAATCGGCCAACAAACTCCGGGTCATCGCCGGGACTACGCACGCCGATGACGGGATTCAAAGGCTCAGAGTTAATATCACAGACAGGAGCATAATTCATGTTGATGCCAAAGTGTCCTAGGGTCTCTCCCGTTCCCTTGGCGACACGGTAAGCAAGTTCTGGGGAATGGGTTGCTCCCAATGCCATCGATCCCGGGAGCTGAGCTGCAATTGGTGGAGAAATCCTGGTGACCAGGCCATTTTCCTGGTCTATGCCTATGAAAAGAGGATGTTCATGACCAGCGTCCTTGGCTTCCTGTTGCAGGGCGAGAGTCAAAGACTTCACGGTAGTAATAGTAGCAAAAGATCAGCCATTGGGTCTTGGTGACAGCCAGGTCAGAGAAACATCTCGTACCTGAAGCTGCGCAGCATCGCGAATGTTCCGTTTAAAGAGAACGATCCCACCTAGGTTATAATCTCGAATCAGGATTTTTATTTCGGGGCTGGGAACCAGACCATGAAAGCCGACCGCGAAGAGCTGGCGACACGACAGGGATCAGTTCCGGGGTCTCAACACAGCAGCACAAGGATGGGTGAGACTAACCTGGCCGACCTTCCTGCGCAGATCTGGCGATGACATATCAGAGGCAGTTCTGATAGTTAACTCCAACTCGCGTTGATGGTCCGTTGCGAAGGATTGAGGGTGTGAGGGGAAGGGAAGGGAGGTGAGGTGGAGTGTCTTGCAGCCTCTCCTCCTAGCAGAAATGCTACTCACGTAACATCATCACATCGCGCAGTCTCTTGCTCTTTCTGCAACTATTCCCCCGGTTATCACGCTTTATCGCTGGGATCTGCACCTCGGATGTTACCCTGCAGGTCCCTTGCCATGCTCTTCCGTGTCTAGATATGCAACTCCGTGCTGGTGATTGGTGGAGTCGTGCCTCCGCAGCTGTTTTACCCTGCAAGGACTCCAATGCTTGAGTATCTATCTCCTCGTATTGCTCTTGCTTATCAAGTTCCTCAGTCCCTGCTGGAGTCCTTCTTCCTCCTCAGCAGACTCGGGGTCAGGCACGGTCGCAGGTGCCTTCAACCATGGCAGCCAGCTCTGATGCCATTCCTTCTGGCTCAGGACCCTCCAGCGCGAAAACCGGTAATGATATCCCCAAAGCGACAACGGTCCAGGTGCAACCCGTCCAACCCGGGTTTTCTGAGGCTCAGGACCAGAACCGTTCGAATGTGGAAGAATTCGAGCGTCTGTTCGGAGTAGATGAAGATGCCTTCGAGCAACCGACCACGACGCGAAAAGAACTATGGTCGTACTACTTGTACTACAATGGTTTGTGTTAAAGGGATTGCTTTTGAAGCATTCAATCCTCACCATCTCCATGGTAGATCATCCATTATGTACTGATCATCGCTACCCTTTATCTAGGTGACAACGGGGTTGGCCCTGGCTCATACACGACCGCTTTGTTCCAATGGGCCCTGAACGGTGCTGGCTGGCAACCTGGAACAGAGCCTCGCCAGCCCTGCACGGATTCGTCCCCATGTGTCGTACCCTGGGCAGGTGGCACACGCACTGTGTCCTCAGTTGTGCTCGTAGCGAATGGGCTTTGTTTCACATTTATGACGATCATTTTCGTCTGGCTGGGCAGTGCTGCCGACTATGGCACCTTCGGGCGCTGGCTGCTATTGGTGTTGACCGTCGTATGCTGGGCCTTACAGTACGGTATGATGGCCATCAAACATCCCAGTCAGTGGCCTGCAGCTATGGGATTGTACGTGGTGTCATATATTGCGTATGGCGCGACCCTCGTGTTCTATGCCGCTGTTTTCCCCAGGTTGGCTCGATATACACCCCATGTGCGCAAAGCCCGCGAAGAGGACCTGAAGGAGGGCAAGATAAGCCAGCAGGAGTACGATGCTATTGAATCACTGGAGAGAAATCACATTAGGTATTTCCATAACCCTACCCCTTTCCATTCCGCTGCAGCTAAACGTCTGTATCTTGGCATGTTGACATGTTCCATTCAGCAATATATCGACCGCTCACAGCAATATCGGTTACCTGCTGACCCTATTGATAAACTTGAGTGTGCTCCTTCCACTACAGAACAATCAATATTCGAATAATCTGGCGCTGTGCCTAACCAATTCATGTCGGTTCCTGGCAAGCTTCCCGCGAGGATATCTAAGTTCTAATGGTCGTCGCAGACTGGGTCATTCTCGGTGTATGGTGGTTCTTCTTCCAGCAGAACCGGCCAGGACCTAAACTCCCCAAAGGCTCCAACTATGCGACTATTGGATTCAAGCAGATCTGGCTTGCCATTCGCGAAATACGAGCCCTGCCACAGACATTCCTCTACTTCATGGCCTATTTCTTGTTAGCGGATGGGCTGAATACGACCGGTGAGAAGTCATTAGCCCCAGAATGGGAGAAAGGGGCGAAGACGAAACTGGTGGGAGCATCTTGCTAAGTGATAAAATTTCTACTACAGGAAGTCTGGTTTCAATCATCCAAAACGACTTTGTCTCCTTCTCATTCCTCCAGCTAACCTACCTCGGAATTGCCCAAGCTTGCTGCTCAATCGCCTCTACACTTGGCTTCTGGTATTTCCAGAAGTACTTTAAGATCCGCACCAAATACATGTTCCTAGTAACCAATTTCTTCAGCGTCCTCATTCCCTTTTGGGGTATGCTAGGGCTTTGGACGAGGAGGATTGGATATCACCACAAGGTGAGATATATGTTAAGCTTCTTTGTATATGATCTTTCAATCCTCCCAACTAACAGAAGTTTGCTCATTGGCAGTGGGAGTTTTATTTCTACAACGTCATATTCGGACTGTTCCAAGCTCCCTACTATGCGGTGAGTATACACGAAAGCATTTCCACCATCTAATGATATATTCATGTCTGATGATAGTCTACTTGATTTAGTATTCCCAAACCATGATAAGCGACCTCATGCCACGTGGATACGATAATATGTTTTTTGCTCTCTTTGGAATAACCAACCGTGCTGTAAGTACTATCATCGTATCCACATAACCAACTCCCCACCTGATGCAAGAAACTCTGAATGAACGACAAAGACTAAAAATTAAGACGTACAGTCCTCCATAATAGGCCCAAATGTCGTCCAAGCAATCATAAACAACACCCAAAACAACTGGATGGGATTCCCCTTCCTCTTCGCCATCTGCGCAGCAGCCATGATCGGGATTGCGTTTGTGAATATCGAGAAAGGCCGCGAGGACAGCCAGCGGTTTGTCGAGGCGAGAAAGCTAGCTCGTGTTGAGGTGGAAACTGGGATGACGGCGGATGGGCTCTTCAAGGCGACGACTAATGGCAATGACGGTGATGGGAGTCCAGCTTAGGATAGTATTATGCAGTATCCTTAGGCCATCTGTTTCACTTGTCTCTTTTAGTATTACCTTCCCTCCAGTATAATAATATTTAAGAGTCTAGAGCAATGATGAATGAGAACGGTATGCATCATGCACAGCAATAATACTAAATAATCCCTATCCAAATAAACTACAGCTCAATGGGATACCTAATCCTCACCCTCTCCCCATACAAATATAGCAAGACCAAGGCAGGGGTAAACGCCAACGTAAGAAACCCAAGTAAAGAATTCCCCCACCCAAAATGCAGACTATGATACATCTTCTTTCCAGCAAGAGGTAATAGACCACCCCCAACAGACCGAAGCATAGTATTCGCCGCCAACGCACTAGCAGCATACTTGGTAAAAGCGTCAACAAGGTATCCCATAACGCTCATAAAGCAAAGATTAATCCCCAGCCCGACGAAGGTGGACCCGACAATCGGAACAGCCCAGTGGACTTTCTCCTGGGCCGCCCAGCCATACCAGAACAATCCCACGGCAAACAGCGGGCCGGAGATAAGCAGAGGCGGGAGACGATCTTCAGGCCGCATTTTGTTTCTCGAGAGACGGTACTGGATGTACCTATCGCTTGTAAGGGAGAAGATCAGGAGGCCTAGAGAATTGCCCACACCGATACCGGTGTAGCTGAGACCCGTGATGCCGACGGAGAAGCCGTACTGTGTTTGGAAGACGAGAGGGAAGGTCGTTAGGACGAGGTAGTAGATGCCGTACATGTAGGCTGAGACAACGGAGAGGAGGATGCTGATGGGGGAAAAGAGGGACATTTTCGTCGGACGCACGATGGCTTGGACCAGCACAGTACGAGGAGGGATGTCTGTGTCTAGTCTTGATCGGAGTTTATGTTGCTTGTTTCTTTCTGTAGTCGGCGCGTTTTCCGGGATAGAATGGTCACCGCGTAGGATTCTTTCAGGAAGATTATCTGGACTATGCCTACTGCTCCGGCCTGTGAATTACGGCCAATGTGGGTGGTTAAAAATAATAAATTCCAGCATCAAACAGGGGAGTATAAAACTTACCATGATGGCCAACAACCAAAATATCCATCTCCAGCCTTTGTATTGGGTCAGAAATCCTCCCATGATGGGCCCAACTGCCGGCCCAGACACAGAGCCAAGGATATAAATAGACAATGCCCGTCCACGCTGCTGTAAAGGGAACATATCTGCAATGGTACCACCTCCAATGGACATAGGAGCAGATCCTACACAGCCAGCCAGGAAGCGCCAGACTATCAACATGCTCATGCTGCTAGACACAGCGCAGGCAATGGTGAAGATCACATATAGAACATTGGAAATTGAGTATATAATCTTGCGGCCATAGACCTCTGAGAGAGGTGCCAGGATCAGCGGACCAAACGCCAGTCCTAGGACGTAGGTCGAGACAACGAGACTTCCCAATAGATCATTTGTGACATGGAACTCTGCCACCACCTGTTCGACGCCGGGTGCGAGCATAGAGGAAGCCAGAGGTCTGTCGTAGAGTCAGAAATGCAAACCGAAATGTATGCTTCTTAAGGGCAACAGATCTTCCATACATGATAAAAGTGATTATCGAAATGATGCCGAGGTTGGCCCATTTATTCGCAGAGGACCAGTTCATCGGGTTTTCAGGGTCATCATCACTATCCCACCAGATGGTATTGCTGTCTTGGTCTTGACGGCTCTCGTTTTCCACGGCTGTGCGAGGGTCCTCTGCCTCTTTGAGGTCTTTCTTGCTCTCATCGTATAGAGTGGACACACTTTCATGGTAGTTGTCCTTTTCCAATTGCTTCTTTTCGATGCCTGGGTCTACCTCAGGCGTGTTTCTAAGGAGATACAACCGTTTGAGTCATATAGTTTCTACTTAATACTTAGTAAGGCAAGGGAGAGAAAGCCAGCACTTACTGAACATCCAATTCCAAGCTCTTGGTAAGGAATAAAGACAGCATCTCGCGAGTCTTGGATCGCTGGAACAGCAGTAGAACCGGCAATACTCAAGAAGCAAGAACCACACACCAGACGATCCATGCTATACAACAGGTGAAGCGCAATCGACAGTCACGATTTTCTACCATGGCTCTTGGCAGCTCTAATAGATGGACTGGTTGCAGCCCGGCAATAGATAGTCACTCAGCAGCAACCGAACTGGGACCGCAAAAAGGGCCTCAACGGGGTCTGGTTGGGCACCTTTGCCTGCAAGTCCATGTTTTCCCAAGACGTTCGCCATTCTGCGCGAGAAGAGGATTCTGGAGGATCAGCCATCCAGTTATTACAGAGCATATGTCTGGATGCTCTAATTGGGCCTGAGGCCGAGTTGTATCCAGACCAGGCTTCCAGACTCCCAAATCGCAGCAATATGACATCGTTTCGTTCCTGCTACCGACATCGCTATGGAGAGAGTCGCGGATACAAGAGAGCCAGAGACAATAAGCATGCCCATGACATAGCGAATCAGTCGCCTGCTTGATGTGACCGCTGTTGCATAGTTCGGCAAACCGGCACAGCTCTCAGCAGCAGATGCAGTTATTGGGCTGGGAAGCAGAAGTGTCCCCGCCGTCAATGCGTTAGGGCTGGGAGGAAGTGATGAGACGAGAATTGCCAGGTCTTCTATCATGACTTATGTGCGAGGCGCCGTGGATGACGTTGCAGAATCTCCATGCTTACCCGTATTAATTCCCGCTTCGGCTTTCTCTCCGGCAGTCCATATATTTACTTCTTGCAGGATGGGTTCTGACTCATGGATATATGCGATCCAGGTCTAGAAGCATTCAAAAGAGAAAAGGACCAGAAAATACCAATAATGGAGTCTATTCCAATCTAGTGATTTCCTTATCAATCATTACATATGTGGATAATAGGCGATTAGATGCTGTGAGTCATGAGAGAGGCAAGGGATGAAGAGAAGGATTGAAATGCACATCATGAGGACACTGTGTTTTCTCACACAGTCTCTTTTCCATCAGGGCGCACTGTGTCGTGTACTTCTCTCTTAGGGTTGTCGGTTTGCTGCTCTTCATTGCCAGCTTGCCGCGAGGTCTTTCGCTGCCTTTTCTCATCCACCAGGTCTCGCCATCGTGGTCCAAAAATAGTTGTCAACCACACCAAGACCCCTGCGACAATCAAGAAGAATGCACTGATGGTACTGAACCATCCAACTCCGATGGCCTGTATGGCTGGGAGTACAACACCGGAGCCAACAGCTGCAAAGACATATCGGAACATGTAGTTCCCGGCAACTACTTCAGCGCTGCGGCCTTTGGATTGCATAACGTCCAGGCAGTAGGTGTTCAGACTCGGGAAGCAGAACAGCTGGGCAACCCCCTGTAGGAACATTGCAATCACCGGCACGGGAATCCCACCCACGGCCTTCTCCACGGTCCATCCGTAGACGAGGATGCAGCCGGGGATGATAACGCAGATGAACGCCAAACACGACTTGAGGCGATCTTCAGGTACTCGTACCCCATTCCGCTTGCGGATCCACTTCCTTACGGTATAGTCTGCCCAACGACCGCCGACCAGAGTGCCCGTTACGTACCCGGCGCCAGGGGCTATGTAAAACAGACCAGATTGAATCGGGCTTGTTAGATGGAAGCGCGGGTTTAGGACATATCGAATTGGGGTCAGAAGAGAGTACTGGTTCCAAACGAGAGCCCCAGCGGCCAAGCCCGCGAAGAAGAGATTCGGATACGAAAAGAGGAGGATACCCACGCGGATAGGCGAAATGCGATGGCAAAGCAATTTGGCTTTATCCAGGATAGGCTTCTTAGCAAGCTCGGCGTTGGCCTTGTAGGGTATTGTCTCTGGGAAGAAAAAGAAGACTAGCAACGTGGCAGATCCACTGAGTGCGGTCTGAAGCCAGAAGATAACTCTCCACGACCGAAATGTTACGATGACGCCCTGCATCAAGGCGTGTCAGCGACCCATTCGAGATAATTACTTGGCCATGGATTCTAGCATACTCCGATAAACGGTCCCAGGGCCGGTCCGATCAGCGTTCCCGACAAGAACCAGCCCAATGCCGTCGCTCTCTTTCGGGGCTCGTGGATATCACCGATCGCAGAACTTCCGACTACGAGGAAGCTCGTTCCCTGGAAGGCCGTGAGGACTCGGAAAATGAAGTACGCTGCTATATTCGGAGCTAGCGAAGAGCCGATGCTAAAGGCGCAAAACAGAAAAGCGCTCCAAAGGAAGATCTACATTGCGTCATAGTTGTCTTGGTTAGCAAGAGAATCTGGACAGGGCTGTTCCCTCATGGATTTGACAGGCGTTCGAACTTACAGGACGACGGCCCCAAACCTGGCTAAACGGACCCCAGAAAGGAGCAGCGATCCCCATGAATGCCAAATACAACGCGTTGCTCGCATTGACAACGCTCCCGCTTGTGTCATAAGTGCTAGCAACCTCAGGAATCGCAGACAGAATTGAGGTGGAAGAAACGGGAGCAAGAAATGAGCAGTACGAAAGAATCGCGACCATACAAGCTTTACGGGCGGGGGAAAACCGCAAGTATTGCTCTGCGTCGGGTTCTCTAAACTTCTCAGCCGCTGCAGGTAGGTCACGGTGATCCTGAGCTGGGTCAAGCGTTTTCGGTTCTGCTTGCAACTGTCCAGAAGAAGGCCTTTCAACCTGCTTATCTGCTTTCGCATCTGGATCCTGGGGTAGCGCCATAATAGCCAGATCGGTAAAGCGCCTGCAATTCAGGATTGTTCGCGAGCAATAGAGCAGACAATTATCGACACATGAAACGTATCATGAAAAGGTATACGTTAGCCTGACTTGCGAGTAACAGTGATGCCCTGAACAATATAGTAATAGTAGAACGGGTCGAACCATGACATGCTACTCGAAATGAGCGCCCTAATGAGTCATGAAATAATGAAACTGACACTGAAAAAACCCTGCGACGAGAGCCAAAGCCGACTTTGCTTCCCAATAGTCGTCTTATTTGCGGAGCACCGAAGATCGGCGAGGTAACAGGGTCGGTAAACTATTGACAGTCTAGATTGGAGAGAAAGGACCGCACGGTGAAGATGTTCCCAGGTTAGTTTCTTGGAAGACCCAATAGATAGTTGAAGATCAGAGACAACAGATAGCAGTGGCCACTCGGTGTCATAAGACAGAGGGTGGATGGGGCACATCTCTAGGTTGCAGGAAACACTGTAGGAATTCGGCCAATTGATCCGAGCAATTCGCTGCTGTCGGTGAGTCTCCCGATTGCATCTAGCAAACCCCGAGCGGCGGATTGATGGTGAGATTAATATTCTCTGACATATGATAAGAATGCTTGCGCTTCGAGTCATTGTCTTAGCTATATGTCAGTGCATACCTCACGAATAGTCAGTCTTCCATCAACCCCAGCGATGTGAGGGCCGAGATTTGCATCGTGCACAGAGCTCCGTTGGCGTAGAAAAACACCCTTTTAACGCTTTCCTCCTGTTGTCGTTGGTTGTCGGTTTTCCGTCGGAACATCTTGCTCCAAGTACGCACAGTCTGCTTTTGGCCTGTCAGCGTGGAAGAAAGTGCGGTAGATCCCCGCCATGTCTATCGCAAGAGAGGTTATCGAGTGTGGCACCGATGATCGAAAGAAAACGATGATCAGGGTGGGCCATGAGTCTCTTGATGGCAAGGGATGCTGTATAGGATCGACTGCTAGGCATCACAGATCTGTCGCCTTGGCCATGTTTCCAGTTGACGACTTCTCTGCTTCGCTCTGACGATCTGATGATTCTTTCGAAAATTTCCCGAGCTTAGGCAGTAGCATTTCGAGGTTTCAGCGTGAAGACAGCTGAGCTGGCAGCGGACGCGGCCATGCCTAAGGGACTCTGTCATCCCTCCAGTTGGCAGTCGTCAGCCCTAGTAGGCGCGTCAACTGCTCTCTGGTAGATAGAAACCCAAGCGATCTTGATCTTCTTCATTTTTTTGAAGCGAGAATGACGTCGAAAAGTGGCTGTGCTGAAGCTGCAGAACACGATCTGCGGGCGGAGGTTTATTACGGCGCAGAGGAATGTCATGGGTTGCTCAGAGCCCACTAGAGATGGATACATCACTCTCAAGTACCACCATGTTGTCTTAATCTCCCTCCTCCCTCCCCTCTCCAGCCCGACAGCATCGCTAGCATCCAACTATTATTCTTACCCTCCTGTATTCACCTCCAGGTCTTGTGTCCCCGAGGAAGCGAAATGACCTCTAGCAAAGATCAACAGAGCGCTATCCCCCCCCAGAGCAGAAGCTCATGGGGCAGTTTCATCAAGGTAATCAATTCATTACCTTCGTTGCCTACCTTCCCATCCGATGCTGCAATTTTATGATGGCTAACGTACATGCATTATGCTTTCTAGTCCATCGCTTCCTTCAATGGAGATCTCTCGTCCATGACCGCCCCCCCCTTTATCCTCTCTTCCACCTCCCTGGTCGAATATTCCGCCTACTGGGCGGAGCATCCGGCATTGTTCGTGGCTCCTGCAAAGGAGCCAGACCCGGAAAGGAGGGCGCTGCTTGTGCTGAAATGGTTCCTCAGCACGCTTCACCAGCAGTATTGCACTCGCAGCGAGAAGTTGGGCAGTGAGAAGAAGCCTCTGAACCCTTTCCTGGGAGAGCTATTTATTGGGAAATGGCCAGAAGATGGCGAGACTGGAGAGACAACGCTGATCAGTGAGCAAGTCAGGTATGGGACAACTTTCGTGACATAACTATGCATTTCTGCTGACTGTGCCGACCCTTCAGTCATCATCCACCAGCTACTGCCTATGCCATCCAGAACGAAAAACATGGAGTCGAAGTATGTTGCTCGTTCCCAGTCGCTCCTCGCTCTCAAATTTTAGACACCGCTCTCCTGGGTTCTTGAAGGGCCACTACTGACTAGCGTGTCCTTCAGTTGCAAGGATATAATGCCCAGAAAGCTTCATTCTCGAGCACTATCTATATAAAACAGATCGGACACGCGCTTCTCTCTATCACCCCGCCATCCGCCGACAAAAATGACCCCGCTCAGAAAGAAACGTATCTGATAACCCTTCCTAGCCTCCATATCGAGGGACTGATCTACGGCTCGCCGTTCGTCGAACTGGAGAAGACAACGCGCATCGTCAGCACCTCGGGCTACACTGCAAAGATTGACTATTCCGGCAAGGGCTGGTTAAGTGGCAAGAAGAATACATTCTCTGCCATTTTATACAAAGAGAGCGAAGGCGAGAAGAAGCCCCTGTACACAGCCGACGGACAGTGGTCAGATACCTTTGTGATCAAGAACACTCGGACAAAAGAGACAGAGACATATATGGCCAAACACACGAAGACGACGCCGCTCATGTTAGCCCCTCTCGATGAGCAAGATCTATATGAGAGTCGTCGGGCATGGCGCGACGTAGCCGCTGCCATTGAACGCGGCGACATGGATGCTGTGTCGGTGGCAAAATCGAAGATCGAAAATGCTCAACGACAATTACGCAAGACCGAGAAAGAGAAGGGCGAGGAGTGGGAGAGACGATTCTTCAAGCGGATAAACGAAGGGGAAGATGAAGTTTTCATGAAGCTTGCAAAGTCGCAGGGCTATCTGACAGCTCTTGAAAGCGATAAATCAGGCGGCGTTTGGCGATTCCAGCCTGAGCGAGCTGTGGGCGCCAAACCACCCTACCACAAAGTAGGGGGCGAGGGATTGGGGCTCTCCCAGTGAAGGGAGCAGCAATGCCGGCTTTGAGGGTGCTTGTATGCAGTTTCGATCGCTCGCATGCCTTTTCCCAGGGGGCTGCTCTCTTTCATTCCCTTTGGACTCGCGCCGTTATAAATAATGGTCCTCACGTATCGTTAGTTTGACTCTCTAATATCATCTTCGCCCCCAATCTACCGCTCTCCTTGCATTCATTCCGTCTTTGTCAGTGGTGGAGTTATCAGGGCCGTGTTTTTGCGCTTAACCCTTGTACAGTATACGGGCATGCCAACATCATGATGATTATATTATTCCAGACCAAGGCAATTATTGAACTGATAGAAGAATAGATGGTTTGGGTAGACATACTACAGGGAATGGAATGCAAAACGATCGTCATGTATGATCTCATAGTTCCAAATTAGGAAATGAGGCATGTGAGCCCTCGCAATGGAGTACATGTACATAGGTACCTCTACGTACGGGATTTCCTATGCCTGGTGGGGCTTTCCCAGCCCAGCTGGCACCACTCTTATGAGGGTGCTCAGTGGATATGTTCTGAATGCTAACAGCTTGGCTGAAAAGGCGCTGACGCGGTCACATTTGTCTCTGTAAGATACAGCTGTGTTGATAGCTAGTGGTAGGCGTTCCAGTCAATGATGGTATTTGGGGATTAAAATTTCATCTCATGTTCCTGATCCCGTTACGTAGAGATCAAGAGCCCGCATGGCCGAATATACCGCGCAGTAGCCCTCAATTTCCATAAAGAATGTGGCATACCGCAAGGTTCAGCGCCCTGGAGAAAGGACGGTCGCATGGTAGTTTTATTTTGCAAAATGTGGCTTACTGTGGGGGTTCAGTGCCTGGAGCATAAGAGGCCCTCTACGGTAACTTCAATTCCATCAGAGATTGCGGCATACTGCCTCTGCGAGAATCAAGAGCCCGCAGGCTGAATACTCCGCACAGTAACCTTTGACAGATGATGTTTGCTCTGATGTGCAGATAGCCACAACTGCAGGGCACAGGAAGCCCCGCGCATGGAGAGCACTTGAACCCATGGCATCCTCACCTGTAGGACAGCACCAGTCCCACTCGTAGAGCGCCAAAGTGCTGAAAATGTTAGATGGAATATGGTCCTATGGACCCTTCTTGGTATCCCTTTGCTTTTCTGCTGGCTTCCACTATTCAAATATCTTACTATCCCTCAGACAGGATAAAGTTTGCGATCTGCGCATTGACTGATAATGAAATAATTCAGTACATCTGCAGTTGTACGATTTCTGACGCACACTGAGCTGCACTGGGCGAGATGAGTTACCACCTTGGCAGGAACAAATAATCGATGGGTAATTAGAAGCAAACTGCGAAACTGATTGCATCATTTGTGACAAATATGGTTCAGGCTTGGGATCCCAAACATGATATTAATGGCCACTATTTTGACCAATGAGGAAACAGCAATGAGAACGCGAATTAAGCTTATTCTCAGATTTATCTGGTCCATGCCAATGGATCCAAGCAGGACATCCCCAACAACGGTACCTGGGGAGTGAAGAGATGGTGAGTTGGTCTATGCTGAAAATGGAGCTCCGTAAGGGCTGGGGTGTATATCTTTATTAATATTCACTTCCAGGAATTTAGGAATTGTATAAGATAGTAGATGTAAAGAGCCAATTTGTAAGATCTATAGCATATTAGAGAGTATTTCCTAAAAATATTGTGGTATATATGAGTGATTAAGTATCAGAGCTTAAATTTATTTAAAAAAGATTTAAATACTATGTTTTACTGACAATATTTGCTAAGATGTTCGGGCCTTACCAGAATGGTTACGTGACACAATCAATCAACATGGCGTGGTTGAGACCCCTTTGAGCTGGGTGCATTTTATTGAGGCTACATACTACTCAGCACTCAGGTGAGCACCAAAACGGGAAGGCATAGGAAATCCTGTACATAGGTCCTAGGTAGGTACCTACGGTCCAGTAGCAACAGAATGCTTGATCGTAAATCAGGCCAAGCACTTGGATACTATACTATGGTTATCAGTAGACGGTCCAAACATTGCTGGTAACAGGACTATGTATTTATTCATCGCTACGGAACATCAGTACCCTTACGAGAAGGAAAGAAAATAAGAAAAAAGAAGTACCGAGGAAGAAAGAAAAGAGCATAATCAACGCCATTCCATATTCCCGAATCTCTCCATTTTCTCGTTTTTTTAATTTCCACTCCATGTCCGAGGCTTTGATCCTAATCTCATCCGAATGATTCCCAATCAATCAATGAACGAAACCAAGCCATACAATGAAAACATTGAAGGAATTTGAAAAGTGCATACACATGTAGGTAAGGAAAAAAGACGAATAGAGACAGCATTGGAAAAGACATGGAGAAAAGGTGAGGAAAAAAGCAAAAATAGAAAATAACACAAGTGCGGAGTTTGGAGGGTGAAAGATGTAACAGAGAAGTAAAAATATAAAAACACAAGAGTCGATCAATAGACCCATGGAGACAGAGCACAAGGCTGGTTATTCCACTCCACTCCTTTTTCTTTTTTTTTTTTTTTTCCTTTTTTCTTTTCCCCCTCATCCTTGGTCAGTACAGGCACTGCAATAGAAAACCCTGGGTAAGAAAGTCCAATTGAAAAAGAAAGAAAAAAATCAAATAAAAATAAGCCCAGCCAAACTTTCATCAAGAGTAGAGATTATACAATTGAGAGACACATGAACGATTCTCCTTTTGTTTGTCAGGTATGCTGGCCCCTCTCAATAAATAATAATTCACTACCCGCAATGTAACCGCCATGGTCTCTCAGTGTCCATAGTTGCCTCCCCAGCCTCCGCGGCCAGAGTTCCCGTAGTAGGTGCCAAAGCCTGCAGCACCGTAGTTGCCATAACCAGTTCCGTGATGGGTTTGAGTGGCCGCAGCCTGATGACCACTAAGGCTGCCCAGACCACCATACTGGGGGTTCAGGTGTGGATAGACACCAAACGCCTGCTGGCCCTGGGACTGCAATGGGGGAAGACCAGTCTGAGCCTGAGGCTGCCCAGGGGCGCTGTTCGTCGCAGATCCGGGACGGTTAGCTTGGGCAAGCGAGGGGCTCGGTCCACCTGGCTTGGGTGCGTCGAAACTCTTGGTTGCTTCCTCGGTTGTCGCGGGTTGCTGTTGACTGATGGGTTGGTTCTGAGAGAAGCCAGCCGGGGTGCGACCAAAGACGTCCGTCATTCCGGAACCGAAGGCGCTTGTGCCCGTGGTTGCAGTTTGCTGGTTCTCAGACGGCTGTGCGGATCCGGTTCGGCCGTAAACAGAATCGCGGCCAGGCACGCCTTGGTTAAACCCGGCAGCATTGGCAGGAGAAGAGTGCTCATAAGAAAAGGCGTGCTGGGGTTGTCCGTACATTCCTGCTTTGCCGTACGGTCCGTAGCCATTGCCATAACCATACTGGCTGGTGTGCGGCATGTAGTGGTCGTCGTATCTCCGAGCATCATCATACATAGGGCGGTTCCTGCCATACTGATGCTGAGTCATTTGGCTCATGTAAGAAGCATAGTGAGGGTTGGAATAGTATGGGTAGCCATATCCATAAGCACCATGTGCCTGGCCAGGGATATGTTGTGCAGTGGGAGTCTGGGTCACTGCAGGCAGAGTCGGGTTAGGAGTAACGTGTCCACTGTTCGGCGTGTCAACTTGGCCGTAACGAGTCGGCGGTTGAGTGGTAGGGATATGAGGTTGCACTTCGGCACCGGAGATCCCAAATCCGGTGGCAGCTCTCTGGGCAGCAGTGGCATCTTGGGCCTGGCCGTAAGTACCGTAATAGTTGTACGGGAGGCGTTGTTGGTCGATCGCGTAGAATGGAGAAAATTCACTGCTAGTAGTGACAGTGGGCTGGATAGGCGCTTGGTTTGCGAATGGTTCCTGGGCCTGCGGCTGGGGCTGCGTAACCTGGTGAGCGAATAGGTCGTAAGGTTTATGGCTGTCAGCGTACTGGCCAAAATCGTTCAAAGTTTCTGCAGCAGTAGCCTGCGGAACTGGAGGAAGTCCGGGAGCAGGGCGGGAAACAGCTGGCGTCTCCGTGGGAACCGGTGCCTGGGTCGAAGGGGGCAACGATGCACGTGGAGCAACAGGCGAGTGTTGCGGGGGCTGAGCACGAGTTTCTGCTTGTTCTCTGTTCTCATCGATATCAACATCGGTGGGGTCGCCATTCAGACCCATGCTACCAAACTGCACAGCAGCACGGTCAACTGCATGATTTGCAGGCATAACAACCGCTTCCTGTTGCTCCATGACACGACGTTGCAATCCGGAAGCTCTGAAACTCTGCTTCAGCGTGCTTGAGGGGTAGGTTGAAGGAGGCTGACGGGTAGGAGTAGTTGCAGAGGCGGCCGCATCCTGTGCTGTGCTGCCAATTGTGCTAGCCGCAGTAGCTGTAGGAGCCGGTGCAGACGCATCAGGAACTCGCTCGAGGTTTGTCTCCGTCAAGTCATCCGCCGGTTGTTTAGTTTCCTCTGATGGCTGCGCTTCGGTGGCATCCTCAGCAGGAGGAGGAACGGGCTGCTCAGGGGTCTTCTCCGCTGGTTCAGGAGCGGGCGCAGGTACAGGCACAGGTGCAGGTGCAGGCTCGGGGGCCTTCTGTTCCACTGCCGGCTCCGCCGCTTTTTCTGGGGCCGGTGCAGGCGTAGCAGTAGGCGGCTTCTTCTGGGGAGGGGGCGTAGGCTTTGCAAACAAACTAGTCCACTTCTTGGGGGCTTCGGGAGCGACGCTAGTCCTTGGGGGTTCCTTCGAGGCATCGCCAGCGCCGGATACTCCCGCAGTTTCGCGGTCTGTGTGTTTCTCTTCCTGTGTGGTTGCTCCGGATTCAGGAGTAGCTTCTGCTGGAGTCTCTGGGACGCCAACGGTGGGAGTGGCAGCCACTTTCACGGGACGAGTTCCATTGACATGAGCCCCAGCACGGCCACCGCGACCGCCGCGGCCTCCACGAGCGCGCCCACGGCCCTCGAATCCACCGCGTCCACGTCCTCCACGAACAGAAGCAGTGGTTGTCTCGGTCGGGGTGCTCTGAGCCTCCTTGGTTTTGGAGCGACTCCGGTCTGTGGTTTTCTTCTTTACCTCGCCCCACTGAGATACATTACCTGCGGAAGGAAAAACAAACTGTCAGAGAAGCTGATGGATTGAAAAGGATAGTAACGTATTCGCAAGGGGTTATACCTTCGGTTATACGCTCAATTGCGCTCTCGAGATCGCCGCCTGCGTCCTCCAATGCAAAGACGAGATCGTCTTCGGTCCAGTCAGGGAAAAGCTCTTTGAGAGCCGGCAGAGAACTGGAATATTTCTTTTTCATCTGGCCGATTTCACCCTCTTCTTCATATGTTGTAGATGCGATCTTCTCTGAGCCATCGGCGTTTGCAGATCTACTGCCGCCTCGACCACCTCTGGAGCTGTAACCGCCTCTGCCACCGCGAGCGGACGCTCTGCCACGGGAGGCAGAGGACCTCGATTGTACTTCAGACATGACTCTGAATGGAATATGATGATACCTGAAGAGAAGGAGGGTAAACGAGACGGAAGATGGTCGTCGGAAGAGGAATTAAAGGAGGATGGATGGAGGTGTGGTTGTAAGGTTTCTAGGTTGGCTCGTGAGCACGAATAAGCGTTGTGAGGTGAAAAGTATTATTGTTGAAGATGCACCCTCGAAGAGAGGTTGGCACCCAAACCACAGGCGCAAGAACCAGCAGAACGAAGAAACACAAGCAGGTGGAGGGGAGGGGAGGGAAGAAAGAAGGGAAAGACGCAAGAAAGCAAGATCAGAGCCGTCAGGACTGAGGCGTGTTCAAGGGAGAGTTGCAGCTTTAGCGAGCAGCGCTAAAAAGAAGGCTGGGCAGTACCAACAACACTAAGCGGCTGCTCCATCGGCGATCGACGCTTTGTTTTGCAGTCTTCCAGCACCCATCTTGAGGCCAGCTATGCTGGCTTGCAGCTGCAGATTCAACTGTCTGCTTCTGCTTGCTACGTTTGATGTTTGCTATTCATCATCAGCACCTGGTCGTCGTCGTTGTTGCTGCTGCTACAATGACAAATCTTCAAGCCTCTCAACATAGCGACAATGGGCATCTATAATCCATCTCTTGGGAAGAATAAATCCCTACTAATTGGAAACCCAGAGCAGTTTTCTAATAAATCAGAACCTGATGATCGATGCGCATGCGTCCACAACGTACAGGGCTGTCTAATGATATACAGCGGCCACTGTGCTCTCTTCACTTCAGTCTCTTTCCCCCCCCACCTCTTCAACTTCTCTCTTACCTCATCCCATACTAGTAAGTTCTGTCTCCGCTATTGAGGTCCTTTATCCAACAACAGATTCTTCTTGTAGGCCCCAAAATCATGGTGCCCACAGCTCAGTCAGAAACAAGGCCGTGGCGGCGATCGGCTTAAGAGAGACGACTGGTGGAAGTGGCGAAGAGATTGCAGACAAACCAGATGACCATCCTAGCACTAGCCTTAACCTGTTCGCGTGACGACAATTCAAAATGAGAAGGAATACGTTGGCAATATGGGATCACTCTAAAAGAAGCATTCGTGATATTTTGATGCTCAACGCATGGAGTACGGCTCTTAACTACAGTTCCAACACCCTCTCATACATCCAAGGCACTTGGCTGAGACTCAGAAGACATAAAAGTGGTGGGATGGTCTGCCTGAGGTCCGAACAGCATGGCCCTGTGGGGTTGATCTGGAATCGGATACTGGGATAAAGGAACTACCTTGGAAGGGTCATTAAAGTTGCTCATACTGCTTGCTACTTCTATCCTTGTGGTTTACAATAAGCGTCGTAATAATAATAATGCTGTTTATTCGAACAGTTAGCCATCAAGATCAGCTTTAACATGGTAGCCTACTACGTAGCCTCGCATAACAATAGTACTTGTTTCCCTCACCGCCTTACACAGTCGAGTAGCCGGAGATCAGATCACCTCATGATTCATGATCCAATTCATTGCTTCTTCTCAGATTGCACAACAACGATGAAAGGCTCTTCGATTCTCAGTCTCAGGGCATGGTCGAAGCTAAATCCACCACTTCCTCGCACTCCCCGTGAATCGCAACAACTCCTAAACGCCCTGACGTCGTCCTTCCGCCGCCAACTCGACCAGGAGTATCCTCTGCCCTCGTCCTCTGAGAATACCGAAAATGGCGACAAACCCGTAAATCCAGACTCATCAGCACATGCCACCGACAGGCATCTCAATACCATCTTGGATAATCCACTCTTCAAGGTGGTTCCATCAAGGGGGACTATTTCCCATGATCCATCTGGCGCGGCAGCTCTCGAGCAGCAGCGGAGGATGGTGGAAACGCCAATGGCAGTATTTGACGACTTAGTTGCGTCAGGGTCGGTGAATTCGACGGCACTTGCCAATTGCCTGAAATCTCAGCTTCTCCTCGCATCCACACCCAGCGGTACTGATGTGAGCACTGCCATGAAAGCGTCCGGGGCCGGTTCAAAAGTCGTATCATGGTTCTGGGCCTCCGATTCTGCTGCCAGGAAAATGCTGCTAAGCTCCCGCTCATTGACTGGTTCTTTACTGAAATTCATGGCTGCTGAAGGAATGCAAGATACTGTCATTACCTGGTTGGGTATGCTACTCAAGCATGACGTTGGGGGCCGTGATGGCAGGCTTACGGAGTCCTCCGCACGGCAATCCTTTTGCCATCTTCTCATCGATTTCATGGCGGCCGAGATACAATATGGGAACAGGCTGGCCTCGGCAATGAAATATTACCTTCAGGCGTACAAAATGCATTCTTTACTGGCCGACCAGTCATCCCCTGAATTCAAAAAGCCGTTGCTGTTGTCTCCAGGTGGCCGCCTTTGCCAGTGGACAATGGAGCACGCTCATGGCCAAGCAAGGGATATTCCCGCTCCTATATACGAAGAATTCAGGGAAAGGATCTACGCAATGTCACCCGGATCGCTGTTATCTGCCTCTGTGCCGCTTTACCACCCTACAGCCCCCGACACCGGGCTATTGCTTAAATTCGTGGAAGGCCATCCTCCTGAAAAATGTCGGGCCTGGAGCAACGTTAAACAGGAGACTCTCCTGAGAGTCAGTTTTGATGCCCTTCGAATCTTGGTCGACAGAGATGAATCTCGGAAAGCCTCGAGACTCGCACAATATATTCAGCAACTGCTACCGAACGAAACTGATCTGGAGACAACGCCAAAGAAGTATCACACTTCACCGGAAGAGGAATATCTGCTCAGTCGGCTAGATGTGGCATTCGCCCTTTGATACAGGTGACTTGGTGTAGGAGAGGATAACGCGTGAACAAAGATTGCGGATACCCGCAGTCTGTCCAATCTGGCATAGAGAAGTAGAATTGTCACAAGCGCTGCGGCATCTACAGTGCTCTACTTCGCCAACTATCGTATGGTGTCTCTGGCCATCGCCTCCTCCAGTCTTCACGATTATCTTGTGATTGCGCCTATCAACAGGCACGAGACATAAAATACTTCAAGGCATATGAAGATGAGTAGGCCATGCGGCGTGTCTAGTTCATGGAGGGAAGCATAGAGCCTCCCAGGCCTTAATCTCGAATCTCGGGTCTCATGTCGTCCGAACATCATCGGCCATCTCCAGATAGAGGAGTGAATATGAACCAAACAGATGGGTTGTATACAGCAGGCAACCCCATCGACCTTTCAAGACGACATTAAATCAAATGAATATTATGATCCACGCGAAGCGGATATTGGGAAATGGCGTTTGCAACGCACTGCGAGCTTATTATACCCTTAATTGACATCCAATTGACTAAATATGAAATCCTACCATCTCGAATCCTTTAAATTTCTGATTTAGATAGCAATCATGGCATACCGATCTTGCACTTCAAAATCCACTGCGTAGAAGCTGAAACAAACCCCTTGTCGGCGGTGAGTCACGACCACGGTTCGGAACAACGTGACTGCACCCGCTATCGGAGGGGCCAAGTCTTGAGTCAGATCTCATGTTAACTAGATATTCCCCAAGCAGCTGCGTTGAAATTTTCTCCTTGTATACTCTGCTAAAAGAATCAATTTACTGTCACAATGTCGGGTACTAAGATCTGGCTCCGCGCTGAAACCAAGCCTGCTGAGGCGCGATCTGCCCGTGAGTATAACTGAAGCGTCTATCAATGGCGAATTATGCGGGATGAGTTTTTTACCCTTCTGACTCTGGAATCAATTGGCAGTCACGCCCACAACTTGCAAGGCGCTCTTAGATGCTGGATATCAGGTGACTATTGAACGTTCCAAGCAGCGTATTTTTGAAGGTACAATGTGATTTGAACTATGCTCTGCTTCCTTCGCAATGTATGACTGACTTGGACCCCACCCTTGTAGACGAGGAATTCTCCGCGGTATGTTTTCTGTGAAATCGCAATCCTAGCTTTTATCTTCGAACAGGGTAATAACGGTTTGCCTTTTTTTGACAAAAGGTCGGAGCGCCATTGGTTGAGGAAGGCTCCTGGGCGAAGGATGCTCCCAAGGATGCCTACGTTTTGGGTCTGAAAGAGTTGCCGGAGGATGACTTTCCCCTTGAGCACGTTCATATAACGTTCGCGCACTGTTATAAGCAGCAAGGTGGCTGGGAGAAGGTTCTTAGCCGCTGGCCCCGCGGAGGTGGTACTCTTCTGGATCTTGAGTTCCTTACTGATGATACTGGGCGGAGAGTGGCCGGTGAGTGACTCCCATTTTTCAACATCTTTTTTAACCGATAAGGATGCTAATGCTAATGCCTTCTTTTTGATTACAGCTTTTGGCTTTTCTGCTGGATATGCAGGTATTTCCGTCCCTTCGTAATACGCTATCTTGTTTCAATACTGAATATGAAGCGCAGGATCCGCTTTGGCTGTCAAGAACTGGGCGTGGCAGTTAACCCATCCTGAAGGCGAGCTGCTACATGCCGAGACACCTTACGCCAATCAGGATCTCTTGATCGAGTCCGTCAAGGAATCTTTGGAGGCTGGGAAGAAGAAGGCTGGCCGGTCACCCAAGATCCTTGTCATCGGAGCTGTGAGTGGCCATTGATTAAATTCAGGTAGAAGTTTACTGATGTGGAGTAGCTTGGACGGTGTGGCAAGGGAGCTGTGCAACTGGCCAAGGATGTCGGGATCCCAGAATCGGATATTATTCAGTGGGATATCGAGGAGACTAAGAAAGGTTTGGTCGACTGATGCTCCTTATTACGGTATGGGCATATTCTAATATATCTTCTGCAGGAGGTCCCTTCAGGGAGATCGTCGAAGATGCAGATATCTTTGTGAACTGCATTTACCTCTCTGCCAAGATCCCTCCTTTCGTGAATGACGAGATACTTTCTTCCCCCAAGAGACGTCTCACTGTCATCTGTGATGTCAGCGCTGACACGTAAGTCATTTTCTTCCATTCGCTGCAATATCATCTATTTATGATCGCTGACCTTTCGTTGCTACCCGAAGTACGAATCCTCACAATCCCATTCCTGTGTACGCCATTACCACAACCTTCGACAAGCCGACAGTGCCAGTCAAGTTGCCTGCCTCGAGCACTAAGGATCCCTTGAGCGTAATCAGCATTGACCATCTCCCATCTCTTCTTCCCCGGGAAAGCTCGGAGATGTTCAGCACGGCGTTGCTACCCAGCCTTTTACAGTTGAAGGACCGATCCAACGCTCGTGTGTGGACGCAAGCGGAGGAGCTGTTCAAGGAGAAGGTTGCTACGTTGCCGGAATCACTGCGTACCTGATTTGGCTTTCTGGAAGGGCGTGAACGCGGATGTGTTCTCATCGGGGATATCCAAGATCATCGAACGCATTCAGTCTCATAATGTCGACTCAAAAATAGTAAAGTAAATTTTCTCTTTGGCTTGAAACTGTCTCCCTGCAAGCTTCGTATGTGGGCTTAGCTTCAAACTGGCCCCTTTTTCCATGACTTTTGCTGGAACCTGCTATGGGTAGAAGTGATGTAACGACGGAATAGCCAGGATGACTGCACCTGTGTAACCGTATCGCCGAATATTAATTTTAGTGGATATGATACACTGTATCTCCCCCATATCTGTCCCAATACTATTAATTTCGTGTCCTGGACGTAGGCTGGTTTAGCTAATGAAGCGTTTCGTTTAGCACGATCGATAGTTAACAATCTGGAAGCACGTGTAGCTGAGCTAAGAAGAAAAAAGCACTAGACCTAATTCAGCGTAGGCCGGGCCTCCCCTGGTTGTTCTTTTCTCTCGCTCTCGCTATAGTTATTATCACCGTCCCTTTTCCGCGGTCAACAAGGCAGGGCTGTCTCTCCTTTCTATTGAATCCGCCAGTGCCTTGGGGAGTTGAAGGCTACCTGCTTCAGGTGAGGGAGGCAATTCCAAATTTCCCCAGATTTCGCCCTCGGTTTCCCCCCCATTATCATTACAGCAGGGTTACTCCGCACCAGTGACTGGCTAACGGGTATTTCGGCTGTAGCCGCTGAAGGCAGAACGATTATTCAAGAGGCGAAGGCCTCCTCGGCCAGCTTTACATCAGAACAGGTCGATTATTGTTGCCCCGGAATCGTTCTCGTATCAGCTAGCTAGTCCCCCATGACTAGACCACGGAAACCGACATTGACCGCCCTTGATATCCTACATCCATATAGTATATAGCGACATTGACTGCACTTCTCCCCTACACGGTGCGGTAACCCGAGGAGGCACGGTTTGATGCCAGAAAAACCGACAACTGTGGCCGCTTATGCGGCTGGAGCTTCTCTCGCCGCTATTGCCTTGTTCTATGTCTTTGGACCCAACTACACTATCGATGGCGAGGAATCGAGTGACAACAACCGCAAGAGAAGCATTGTTGGCCTGTCGAACCCGGCCAATGACTGCTTCATCAACTCCGTACTGCAGGCCCTTGCGGGCCTGTTAGATCTTCGACTATACTTGATCCGAGAACTGCATCGGCGCGAATTGGATGGGCCACAGGTTTACGATCTTCTTCCGATTCAGGAGGATATGCCTCGCGGACAAAGACCCGAAAGGACCAGGGAGCTACAGCAAGGGATAATTACGCGGGCGCTCAAGGAAATGCTGGATAGGTTGAACGAGCGGCCCATCTACAAGAAGACAATTTCCGCACGGGGGTTTATCCAGGCGCTCGAGTATGCGTACCGCACGCGCATCAACCGCAGCCAACAGGACGCGCAGGAATTCTTACAGGTTGTCGCCGAGCGACTCTGTGACGAGTACCATGCTGGTGTCCAAGCACGGCAGAGATGGCAAAGTATTACCATCGATGCGCCGGCCGGTCCGGGCACGGTGGAGGCGACACAGGATGCCGATGCTCGGGTTCCAACTACTTCAGGGGATCCCGGGGTGGCCGTCAGAGTCGACGACGGGACCAAGAACGGGGTTCCCGCAACCATCAATACTCAATTAGAAAATCTGGATGGTGACGACTATGGATTTCCGTTTGAGGGCCAGCTAGAGTCCCAGATTGAATGCCAGACTTGTCATTATCAGTATAAACCGAACCAAACAAATTTCGTCAACTTGACGCTGCAGGTACCCCAGAAGAGCTCGACCACGCTCAGCTCGTGCTTTGATGGTTTACTGAAGACCGAGTATATCGACGACTTCCGATGCGATAAGTGCAGCCTGCAACATGCGCTAGAATCGAAGATGCAGGAGAAGGCAAGTACCAGATCGGAGAAAGATCGAGCACGTCTTGAGGCTGAGATTGAGCGGATCCAAAATGCCCTCGACACAGACCCGGAGCAGATATTGGAGGGCGTGACGCTTCCACCAGTCGAGGAGGCGCCGAAGCGCAGAATCGCAAGACACATGCGCATTACAGTGTTCCCAAAGGTTATTGCGATCCATCTGTCGCGGTCGATCTTTGACCGAAGTAGCTCAACTAAAAATGCAGCCAAAGTTTCCTTTCCGGAGCGACTCTCACTGGGAGGAATTCTTAACCGCAAGTGGTTTAACTTGCTAGCGATTGTCTGCCATAAGGGCAGCCATAATAGTGGGCACTACGAGTCATTCCGGCGCAACCACCTTCACATGCCTTTCTCGACACCCGATGCGTTTAGATCATATTCGCAGAGCCGGGCTGCAAGCGGGAATGTGTCGGAAGTTCCGAGTCCTAGCCTTGCCGCTCAAAAGTTACCAGATGAGCTGACGGGTGTCGGTATCTCAACTACGACGTCATCCCCGTCACTATCAGGAAAGTCGACCGCCAGCGCATCGTCAATGTCACCATTGCGATTGAGATCCCAGACATCGCACTCTCCGCAGTTGAACGCGTCCAGTTCTCAGGGTTCCGTCCGAAGTGATCAGTCCAAGCAGAAGTCTTCCACAGCCGACCGCTCCTCGGCGGCCGATGGCGCACCCAACCCGGTACGAGTGAAGAAGTCAACATCTAGCCTTTCTTCAACTGCCAGTAAGTTCATGCCGCAGACGTCCCTTGGGGGCGCTTCTGGATCGAACGGGCGGTTCCGGCGCCGGCACAAGGCAAACGATCGGTGGTGGCGCATATCGGACGAGAAGGTCAAAGAATGCAAGACATCGGACGTTCTCAGCATGCAGAAGGAAGTGTATCTTCTGTTCTATGAGATGGAGAAGATGCCACCCAACGGGCCGCATGGTGCCGATCGCTGAATGAGACGATGGGTGAGCAAATGGCTATTCAGTAGAGAAAATATGAGGAAGACAGAGTATGGGTTTTTGGGATTCGAGGGGGAAAGCATATATTATATTATATTATATTATATAGGGTGTCTATTTTGGAATGCATATATAGGACTGGGGGAGCGAGGTCTGGATGGGGCCAGTGCATCTAGACTCGCGTCTCGGTATTTCAACTCATATATATACGGCTGTATAGTCGGACGGCTTATAAGCACATTGCACGTGAAGCATCCATCTTTGCGATTTAATTTCCGTCGAGAATGGAAGCGTCAGACGTCTGCGACACTTTGTACGTACAGCGTACTACGTGGACAGAATTGAGGCCTGAATCAGGCCGAAAATGCCCGAAACAGGTGGGAAGGAAGCCATTACAATTTACGACGGTGGTGACTTGCATGCATGATGTCCCAGAATCCATAATTATTTGTTATCGGATTGTTGGATGTTTCTCGGCGGAGATCGATCCTCCGACCAGGAATTGTTTATCCACACAATGTGACTGGAGCACGAAAGAAACACGGACAGGAGACAGACGATGCTTCGGCAGACGTGGCGTACATCCATGTACCGGTCCCGTCGACATCACCGAGTTCCCGCAAACGCCTGCTCGGTGAGCTTGAGGGGGTTTATGATTATCTGTGGGCTTTTATTTTTTATTATTTTTGCCCCTGAGATCATCCAATCTGATGTGGTGGCATGATATGACAGTGGCAGGATGGATGAATTGCTATCAGATCTCAAGAGTTTCTAAGAAGCAGAGCAGAAGAACCCCTGCTGGACCATCGATTTCCGGATGTAGGACCGCGGTTAATATGCATCGACGACGCTCTTCGGATCCTTGGGACACAGCGAACGCGGGGAATTCCGGGAAAAGGGCTATGACGCTGAAGACTGCCGGGGGAAGCCCAGCGACGATGCACGAAGCAGCAGAGAAGGGGCAGACCAGGGCAACTCATCTGAGCATGGGCAATCAGGTTGTTCTTGAGGCGCTGCATGTTGCCTGTGAGCGTGGACCGACCAGCCAAGGCGAGCTCTGAAATCATACTGACGCTGGCTCTTTTTTTCGCTGCTGGTGTTGTCTGTCGCCTTTTCCCAGCTTCCCCACCGGCAGCCGGTGAGTTTGCCTCGCTGGAAATGCCTATGACACAACCTGCCCACTTTGGTGCCTCCCTTGGCGCTGGTGCCCCTCTCTGCCTCCGTCTGCTCGAGAACCTCGACGAAGCCCAGAGCATTAATAAATATCACTTCCCCTCCTTCCCACCTGCTTCTCTTCTTCCTCTCTCTCTCCCTCCCCTTTCCAGTGAATCATCGGAACTTGTTTTCTGACCACTATCCCGCTTCACGCTTCTTCCCACTTCTGCTCTTATCGACTTTTTATCCCCTCCATCTGTATCCAGCATGGGTGTTCTAGAGAAGCTCTCCCGCAAGTCCGGCGTCATCGTCGGTGATGACGTCCTCCGCCTCTTCGAGTACGCCCAGGAGAAGGTCTTTGCCATCCCCGCCATCGTAAGTTACTTCCGCTCTCGAGTTCCCCGCCCCCCGGGCGCTGCCCTCATTGGTGAGCGGCTTTGCTGATGATGTCTTCCACTAGAACGTCACCTCTTCCTCCACCGCTATCTCTGCCCTCGAGGCCGCCCGGGATCAGAACTGCCCCATCGTCCTGCAGGTCTCCCAGGGTGGTGCCGCTTTCTTCGCTGGCAAGGTAGGCTTGGAACAATCCTTGGAGAAAAAAAGGGAAAGCAAACAATTGGACTAATCCACCTTCGTGATAGGGAGTCAGCAATGATGGCCAGAAGGCTTCCATTGCCGGTGCTGTCGCCGCCGCTCACTTCATCCGCAGCATTGCCCCTACCTACGGCATCCCCGTTGTTCTCCACTCCGACCACTGCGCCAAGAAGCTGCTGCCCTGGCTCGACGGCATGCTCGATGCTGACGAGCAATACTACAAGATCCACGGCGAGCCCCTCTTCTCCAGCCACATGATCGATCTGTCCGAGGAGCCTGTCGACTGGAACATCGCTACCACCGCCAAGTACCTCAAGCGTGCAGCTCCTATGAAGCAATGGCTCGAGATGGTGAGTGCCCCAATGGAGATAATTAGTCTTGCAGTATTTTCACGTGACATGGCATCCTGACACCCTAATCACAGGAAATCGGTATCACGGGTGGTGAGGAAGATGGTGTCAACAACGAGAACGTTGACAACGCCGCCATGTACACTCAGCCTCAAGATATCCTGGCCATCCACAACGCCCTTGCATCCATCAGCCCCTACTTCTCCATTGCCGCTGGTTTCGGTAACGTTCATGGTGTCTACAAGCCGGGCAATGTCCGTCTGCACCCCGAGCTTCTGAAGAAGCACCAGGCCTACGTCAAGGAACAGACTGGCTCGTCCAAAGACAAGCCTGTCTTCTTCGTCTTCCACGGTGGCTCTGGCTCCTCCAAGGAGGAGTACAAAGAAGCCATTGGCTATGGTGTCGTTAAGGTCAACCTCGACACTGACATGCAGTACGCCTACCTGACCGGTGTGCGCGACTACGTCCTCAACAAGCAGGACTACCTCAAGTCTCCTGTTGGTAACCCTGACGGTGAGGACAAGCCCAACAAGAAGTTCTTCGACCCCCGTGTCTGGATCCGCGAGGGTGAGAAGACCATGAGCAAGCGTGTCCAGGTTGCTCTTGAGGACTTCAACACTGCTGGTCAGCTATAAGAGATTCATTTCATCCTGGAATTTTTATCTTAACTAGCCGGGGAAACAATGGAGAATAGAAAAAGGGTGATGTATATCTTTTGGTGAGCGTGAAGAGGTTTTTTTTAAGTTCTTTTCCCCCTATTCGGTTTAATATTCAAATGATTGTGGGGCTTGGATGGCATTGTTATCCCCCAGGCGATGAACGAGAGAAAAGCCATGTGGTTTGAGATGTATCAGAAACGCATTAATGAGATATCTGTCAATACAAATGCTTGACTTGAAGAAAAACTACGTGGGATATTACCGTATTTTAAGTTACCTAGGTACGGAGTGTGGAGGGTAATTTTGAGTACCGTCTTCCATAGCCACGGACTGTTGTCGAAGTCCGTATCATTTACCTTTCCAGGGTTGTTGCCAGTCTAGAACGCTCCCGACCAGGTTTATACCCTATTTTTCAGTCGAGATGAAACAGTTTGACAGCCAGTATTGCGTATGCTACCTAGAGATGCATATACGCGTCTTCAACATTATTTTTAGCATACTGGTCTGAGTATGTTGTAGCTACGTGTCTGCAGGGCATTGTAGATTCCTCTGCGAAATACGTATCCTCGAAGGATTCAGATGAGAAAAAGGGTTCAGCTTTCTTCTGTGCTTCTCGGAGACAGGCATCATGTAGGATAGGATATATCTCACCCATCCAGGGCAATGGCATGTTTGTTAGTACACGTGAGGTTCTGCCGTCCTAGACCGCCCTCGCTACCTATCTCACGGCACAGGCAGGCCTACCTAGTAATACGACCATACATGCGCCTATCCATTAGGTTATGAGCCCGTTTTAGCTCTACGATATTGAGCTTAAAAAAAAAGCCTTTCAGATAGGCTAAATTGTGACCTCTCATTGGTCAAACCAGAAATCGAGCGCTTCTAAGCGACTCTGAACACCAGGACCGCCAACAATCGGCCCCTGAACCCCAGGATCCTTCGATCGATCCCATCCAAAATGGTGGTGCCTCGAACGCCCCCTACCACCGCTAGACGTCACCGTCGTCAGCCAGAATCCACAGATCCTTCATCAGATATAGGCTCCTCCGCCTCCTCAGTAATCTCTGAAGAAATGGACACCCCAACTGCCCCTAGAGCTCAAAGCTCTACTACAGCCAACACCATGGCATCCACACCAGACATCACAGCTCTGTTCCAGCAGATGCAGGAACAGATGCAGGAACAAATGCAGAAGCAGATGCAGGAACAAATGCAGAAGCAGATGCAGGAGCAAATGCAGAAGCAGATGGACCAGTTCATGACTCGTTTTAATGCCCTTGAACGCCATCAATCCCAATCCTCCACTCCTACAGTCCGGCATAACGCTACTCCCTACAATCATATTCAAAATAATACAGCTATTCCAGCCTCAAATCCAGTACAAAAAGATCCTTTTGATCATGTACAAGCTCAAGTTAAAGCGCTCTTACCAGACCGATGCCGAATCACACTGTCTCATGATAATTACGACCCCTGGAGTTCAGCCATTCAAAGAGAAGCCAATGTCCTGAACGCTAGTACAGTCTTGCATCAGGATATACCTCCAGCAGGATACTCAGCTTATGATGCTGAAGTATGGCATTGCAAAGCCACTGTCATGAGAGCCCGAATGCTTCATGCTATGACTGCCCAAGCCATTGACAAATTGGGCAACACATATGACCTATCAGCCCATGGTTTATGGGACCGAACTGCTACCTTTTTCGGACGTTCTACTGGTGAAGAACGAATGCTTCTCATAAAAGAGCTCAAGGAGCTCTATATAAAAGACAATGACTACCTATCCTACCAATCTGCGTTTACTAGGATAGTAGACCGCCTTCATGCTATAAAAGAAGCATCATTTGACAACCTTATTCACGACCTATTTTTTATAGGCCTCCGCGAATGGAACAAAGCATTCATTAAGAGTAAACTTGATGAAGTATACTCAACTGGACAAGGCCCTGTCATCAATCTGGACCTACCTACCATTCAAGCTCAACTCTCTATCCGTATGGGCACCCAAGCCCGTGAATCCCGCTCCCAACACGGAGGACGACGAGAGAATCTATCCGGACGAAGCTATTCCAAACAAGCATCTAACCCCATTGCTAGCTCTTCCGCCTCAAGTTCCAACACTAAATATAAACCTCAGGACCAGGATTCACGCAAACCAAAGACCCGTTGTGATTGGTGTGGTCATTTCCACCCAATGCCTTGCCTCTACAAGAACCCTGAGAAAGCCTCTGAGCATTGGCGCCGAGCCAATAAAAATACTATTGAAGCTATTCGTGCTTTACACACTGCTAAAGAATCTTCCACTGCTTCATTCTCTGAAGCAGAAACCAATGAACTGGTACCATGGACTTCTTCAGCTGCAAAAACAGCCATTGCTAAATCAGCCCAATCTCTCCAAGCTTCATGGTATCTTGATAGCTGTGCTTCATTCCATGTTACACCCCATCAAGCTTTCTTCACGTCCTATAAAACATTGAGAAAGGAGGACCTTACTCCAGCGGATTATATTGAAGATGCTCAAGGGAAGATTTCCAAACCTCATGGTATTGGCACCGTCGTCATTGATATTGGAACCAGATCCTTGATCCTTAGGGATGTACGACATGTTCCATCCTTCAATTCCAACTTAATCTCCATGGGAATGCTTCTCAAACAAGGTTTTCGTATCGAATTCCCTTCCAGCTCTCAAGTAGCACAAATCACAACCTCTTCTGGTGCAGAATTTGAAGCCATTTTGAATACCAACAATGTATTCATCCTATCAGATTGCATTTCTCCCGACGAGAGCTCCTATGCCTTTGTCACCACCCGGTCTGGCAAAGAGGCCAACCGACCAGGGGACCCTCCCAGAAAGAAACCTACAACATCCCCAAAGACTAAGAGCTCCAAAACAGCTCTACCAATTATGACATGGCATCGCCGTCTATGCCATTTAAACCAGCAGGATCTTTTACGCCTTGCCGCAGATCCTACATCAGACATTGAAATCAAAGGTTCCAAAGAACTACCACTTTGTGAAGCCTGCATCCAGGGCAAGCAAACTCGCCAATACAGCAAAACACCAAGATCCCGTATGACTGCACCACTAGCCCGAGTCCACATAGACCTTGCTGGTGGCGGCCGAACACTAGATATAGAGAAGCTAGATATGCCTCTACCTTCACGTACAGGAGCCAAATATGTGATGCTTATTACTGATGACGCTACACGTTACCGTTGGGTCCACTACCTAACTGAAAGATCTGCTGCAATTGATGCATTTCGGGGTTGGCTACAACAGATGAAGAATCACCATTTCCCTGCCCCAGCCTATATTGTCTCTGACAATGAATTCTGTTCAGCTGAATGGCAGAAAACCTACCGTCAGGAAGGCATTGAATGGCAACCAAGTTCTCCATATTCCCCTTGGCAAAACGGTGTCAGTGAGCGCAGCATACGCATACTCTTTGACCGTGCTCGGACATTAATGCTTGACGCTCCCCATATACCACAGCGATTTTGGGTTGATGCTTTAAAATATGCATCAGATATAACAAACCGCCTCCCAACATCCACAATCCTATTCAATTCACCTATCCCTGGGGGTCAATACCAACACAAAAATCAGCCCAAGCCCATATAAATCGCCTCTGGCTGCCTGGACCAACTCACCAACTAGTATCAACAAATACCGACGTTGGGGCTGCCCTGTCTGGGTTCATCGACATGGCTCAGATAAGCCTATAAACAAGTTCGATTCCCATTCTAAATGCTGCTTCATGATCGGCCAAATCAGTAGCCAACAATACAGAGTGTGGGACCTAAAACAGACGCCATTTTTTCAACCAATGACACTATATTTGATGAAGAATATGAGGATCCCACAACTACACCTCCACAAGCTACTGTTCCTGAAGATCCAAGTACTCCTAATAAAGAAGATACAAACCAACCTGTTGAAGATGAAGACCAGGAAATATGGCTTCGACCCGCCAAAGGCATGTCCCTAGCCTATCTCACCACTTCAACTACTCCTTCGTCTGAAGATGACACGCCTACTTCCTATAAGCAGGCTATATCTCATCCTGATGCCACCAAGTGGCAAGCAGCCATGCAAAAAGAAGTCAACCAACTCAAAGAAAAAGGCTGCTGGCAACTTATCCGCCGCTCTGACCTACCACCAGGGACCAAGGTCATCCCTGGCCGGTGGGTATACAAAAAGAAAGAAATCCCTGGTACCCCTATTACAAGGGACTACCAAGCTAAAGCTCGCTGGGTGATCCGTGGAAATCTACTTGACAAGGACTTCATGGAATCATACGCCCCAGTGGTAGATGAAAATACCACTAGAACCCTTACGGCACTGGCCACTCTACTTGGCTGGCATACTCGAAAGGCAGATGCCATCCTTGCTTTCCTAAATGGAAAAATGCCCACAGATAAACGTGTCTTTATGACCCAAGTTCAGGGATTCAAAGAAGGCTCTGGAGACCTGGTTTGTGAACTCCGCCAGTCCCTCTATGGACTAATCCCATCTGCCCGTATCTGGTATGATACACTAAATGCTTTCTTACGACAAATTGGCTTCAAAAGCTCCGAATACGACTCTGGTCTCTGGATCCATACCACCCGGACCCAACTCTATGTGACTACCCATGTGGATGACTTCAAAGTCTATGCTAAGCATGAGAACGATGCCACTTGGTTTATGGAGTCTCTTTCTGCTAAATTTGACATAAAAGAAGTTGGAAACTCTACCAAATACCTTGGCATGGCCACCTCTCAATCCAAGACCACATATACTCTCTCCCAGGCCAATTATGCTGAAGACGTGGTTGCCTCTTTTGGCCAAGCACAAGCACACCCTGTTGGGATCCCCATGGATCCTAGTTTAATAATTGATGATGACCCAGACCCTACAGTGAACATCAAAGAATATCAACGTGGTGTAGGCTGCCTTACTTGGCTAGCCACCAAAACCCGACCTGATCTTAGCCGGACAGTTGGCGTACTATCCCAATATCACGCCAAACCTACCCAAAAGGCATGGCGTGCCCTTATACACGCTATACGCTACCTTAAAGGCTCCATTAACCGACAAATTACCTACCATAAGGCCACGGAACCCATTACATCTGACCTCCTCATGCCCAGATGTTATACTGATTCTGATTGGGGTGGTCAACTGACAGGCAATCGCCGGTCAGTATCTGGATATATATTTCTGCTTGCCGGGGCCCCAATTGCCTGGAAAAGCCGCAAGCAAACGTCCGTTGCACTTAGCTCCAACGAAGCTGAGTATATGGCTCTAAGTGAAGCCAGCCGAGATGCCCTTTGGCTCCGGAACCTCATCAACGAGCTCAACGTGCTCCCTACTGAATGCCCGCCAATTACTCTCTATATCGATAATCAAGGTGCACACGCCATGGCTGAAGCTGAGCTCACCACCAAGAGATCCAAACACATCGATATACGTTACCATTACGTTCGGGAGAAGATCCAAGACGGTATTGTTAAACTCCAGGCCTGCCCTACCAAAGAACAAGCAGCAGACGGCCTGACCAAACCTCTCCGAACTGAACAATTTGATCATTTCCTACAACTCACTGGCATAAGCTAAGCCGCGTATATCTCCCCCATTTTGGATATATTTTCTATTTTGATATACGGCATTCGATTGGCTAAAGCAGAACCTTCATTCCTCTGTTTATTTTTGCATATATTCACTCATTTGAAGGCCCGAATAGAGGCCGATTTCTGTATTTAGATTGATTCCATAGTTTGTAGGCTGCTCGTGCGTGGGGGGTGTTAGTACACGTGAGGTTCTGCCGTCCTAGACCGCCCTCGCTACCTATCTCACGGCACAGGCAGGCCTACCTAGTAATACGACCAGACATGCGCCTATCCATTATTATACTCCACTATATCTGCTAACTATACAAACTATTTCTACTTCCGCGGGCCTTAACTCCGTGCTTCCCAAGGGGCCTCTTTCGTTCTTTTTTTTTCGCCCATGGTCTGTCCATACTGGAGACGCCTTTCTCTCCTTCCCTGAAAAGAAAGGCTTCTGGGCATTGGGCAATGGGTTCCCCTGGAGGAATGGCTCTTGATAGAGCTTGGGCCGCTCTAACTCGAAGGAACGTGGACGAGGACTCGCCGGTAAATGAGTTTGTTAAACTCATCTCTAGTCCATTTCAATCAGCTGTACGTTGCGTGTCATGTCCTGCTGTTCTTTAAATGGTTGTTTGTCGTGTGTTATGACTGTGCTGACTGTGCTTGTCCTTTTGCCATAGTTCCAAATCAACGCTGTCTGGCTTTCCTTCGGTACTTCCATCGGTTTCGCCGTCTTCCTCACCCTTCTCTTCTCCCTCGTTCGTCCTCATCACACGGTTGTCTATGCACCCAAGGTCAAACATGCGGATCGCAGGCATGCGCCTCCGCCTGCCGGCAAGGGTATTTTCTCTTGGGTTAAACCCGTCCTGCGCGCCAAGGAGAGCGAGCTCGTCGATTCCATCGGCCTCGATGCGATCGTCTTCTTGCGATTTACAAAAATGTGTCGGAATATGTTTCTTGTCATGAGCATCGTCGGCTGCGCCGTTATGATCCCAATCAATATTATCCTAAGCCGCTCAAATAGCTATACCAAGGGCCTGTCGGTATTCGCGACAATGACACCTCAATACGTCTCGACCAACGGGATTTGGAGCCAGGTGATCTGTGCTTGGATCTTTGATATAATCGTTGCTTTCTTTCTGTGGTGGAATTACAAGGCGGTCCTCGCGCTACGGAGAAGGTATTTCCAAAGCTCTGACTACCAGCGTAGTTTACATGCCAGGACATTAATGATCACCGATATTCCGCCAACGGCGCGGTCCGATGAAGGCCTCATGCTCCTCACGGACAAGGTCAATCCCACGGCTGCCATCCCGCGAACTGCTATAGGTCGCAATGTCAAGGGCCTCCCCCGTTTGATTAAGGAACATGAGGAAGCTGTGCGGCGTCTCGAGTCAGTCCTCGCCAAGTATTTGAAGCGGCCGGATCGATTGCCTGCGAAGCGGCCCACAATACGCCCTCCTCGAAAAGAAGGTACTCGGGGCAGGGTGGACGCTATCGACTACTTAACCACCCGGATTAGGCTGTTAGAGGATGAGATCAGCCATGTGCGAGCATCCATTGACAAGCGGAACGTCATGCCATTCGGATTCGCGAGTTGGGAAATGATAGAGCATGCCCACGCTGTGGCGTATATGTCTCGAAACACGCACCCTCAGGGGACGACTATTCGTCTTGCCCCTCGGCCGAGCGACATCATCTGGGAAAACTTACCCTTGTCAAAAGCGACTCGAGGATGGAAGCGATTTATAAATGTCATCTGGGTGATCGCACTGACGATAGTGTGGGTTGCGCCTAACGCTCTAATTGCCGTATTTCTATCTAATCTCAACAATTTGGGTCTTGTTTGGCCGGCTTTCTCGACATCCCTCGAGGCACATCCCAAGCTGTGGGCTGCAGTTCAGGGTATTGCCTCTCCTGCGCTGACGTCTCTGGTATACCTGATATTGCCGATCATCTTCCGCCGGCTTGCCATCCACGCGGGCAATGTGACCAAGACTGCACGCGAGAACAGAGTTCTTAGCCATCTATATTCCTTTTTCGTTTTCAACAATCTCATCGTTTTCTCCCTATTTTCGGCCGCCTGGACATTTGTCACTGCTGTGATTGATGCTAGAAAGCACAACAAGGGTGCCTGGGAAGCTGTCAAGGAAGGCCACTTATTTGCAACAGCGTTCAAATCTCTTTGCCAAGTGTCTCCGTTCTTTGTAGTATGGCTGTTGCAACGGAGTCTTGGAGCTACCATTGACCTGGTACAGCTGGTCAATCTCACCTGGGTTTGGTTTTCCAAGACCTTCCTCGCACCGACTCCCCGACAGGCCATTGAGTGGACCGCTCCGCCGCCCTTTGACTATGCAAGCTATTGCAACTACTTTCTCTATTATGCCACGGTGGCTCTGTGCTTTGCAACGCTGCAGCCGATCGTCCTGCCCGTAACCGCATTCTACTTTGGGTTGGATGCGGTTCTCAAGAAATACCTTTTGATGTACGTGTTCGTGACAAAGAACGAATCGGGTGGCCGTTTCTGGCGCCTCCTATTCAACCGGATGATATTCGCAACTATTCTGGCCAATTTCATAGTGGCCCTTGCTGCCAGGGCCAATGGTACATGGACCATGGTATATTCCATGGTGCCCCTGCCATTTTTGATGCTTGGCTTCAAGCTCTACTGCATGAGGACTTTTGACCACGACATTGATTATTACAACCGGAATATATTGACTGATACCGAAGCACTAGCTGCCGTTAAACTGGCGAGAAAGGCATCGGAAGGGTTGAGCACCAAATTCGGTCACCCAGCCTTGTACAAGCCTTTGATTACGCCTATGGTGCATGCGAGGGCCGTAGACGCGCTGAAGAGTATTTATCAGGGCCGACTAGATCCCACAGACCACACCGGGGAGTACTCGGACATTGTGATGGACCGCATGGCAACAGGTCAGCCAGGGAAGTCTATGTATTCGACGACCGACCTTGGGCCGTTTGAATTCGTCCCTGAGAATCATCTTGACTTTTCGTATTTCAAGGATCGTCCCGACTTCCGCGACGAGTTTGGTGGTGGCATATACGGTCGCCCAGAAGATCTAATCTCGGAGCGATCTCAGACGCCACGTACGTTCAAGACCGCCGGCGATTCACGGTCCTCATCGCCAGCACCCTCATTCCGATCTGGTTCTGGAATCAGAATGCACGACGGCTTCGACCTGGCCGACATGCGGACAAGAGATCAGGAATACACAGCATTCTCTTCTCCTCTGGCTCGGTATGACAGCGGGTCTGTCCCAACCAGCGGAGGTCTATACTATCAGTCCAATGAAAGTGAGACTGAACTTCTGAGCCATGCCCAACCGCCTTCGCATAGCGCTGCGCCTTTGGGACGATGGCGGACGGGTGGGTATGGACGAGTTCAGCAAGATGACTCTAGCTTTGTCCCTGATTACACGTATCATATGCGATGATGATATTCTTTTTGGCCGTTTTGGAGTGGTTTACTTATCTCTTTGTGTGTAATATAGATGTGGGCATGGTCAGGTGTGTGGATTATGGGACTGGTTTTCTCTGGGTACAATGGTTGGTTATTTATGCACCACAAACAACTATTTCTTTGTCATTTTTCCTCTGTGAATTTTACGGATTGGGATAATACTGCATATGTGTATATACACCTAGAACATAACATAAGAAAAGAAACGAAACGAAGCCATGAACATTAAAAGATCACTTCCCCGCAATCCCAGCAAAGCGGATACTTTCCGGCGATGACCTTTCTCTCTTCCGAGGGATCGTCATCGCATAGATAGAGCCAGTTATACAGTACACTCTCAGCCACGCGGAGAATTCGGATCATTCAATTGCTTCTTGTTGTTTATATGTCTACCTCTGAGCCAGTTTTTTCTTGTCTTGTTACTTCCTTATATTGGTATATTGTACCGACTCTTCTGTCAGAATCCGCTGGAATGAGACTGACGTTGACATCAGCATTCGTCACTACGTGTCTGTATCTGTACTCCGCTACAGCTACTTGATGCTTACTTTTTTTTATTTATATTGATTGATCGATCCACCTGAGACATACTCCATTGATCACAGCCGTTGAAAACTCGACACGAGCACAAAGATAAAGAAAAATGCCGTGGTACTCCATCCTCCCACCGGAACTGGTCTACCTGGAAGTATGGGCAGCTAAGCTATTCGTGCGTTTTCCCATTTCTTTCTTTCTTTCTTCCCTCATTGTCATGTTTATTTTTATTTTGCCAAAGCAACATGGAACTAAGACATAACAGTCCGCCCTCGCTCTCCTTAGCATAACGCCCTGCCTCGCTCTAATCATCTTCGATATCGTCTTGTACACGTACCGGGTTATTCTGTACGAGATTCCTGTTGTCGGGGGGAGGTCGAGGGGGACGCGCAGGCTGCGCGCACCGAGTTTATCGGAGAGGCCGGATGGGAGGAGGGCGTTTAGTTTTACGGGTTTTGGTGGTGGATCTGGATCTGGATGTCAGCCTCGGTCTACATCTGGTGGATCAGGGCTTGATCAGAAGGGAGAGTGAGTTTGGATTGTTCAGCCTGTTAAGTTGGTATCTTGGGTGATTCTTATTTTACTTTTTGCTTGGATGAGTTGGGTAGTTGCATTTACTCTGTACTCTGTGCTATATTGATACCCTTTTCTTCTGTGTCTCTCCTTCTTTCTTGACCAGCTGGTACGACTCATATAGTAAACAATATAGGCAATGGAGCAGCAGTGTACAAGTGTACATATACATTACCACATTCGGTTAAAAGACACGCGCTATCAGTTACCCCATTGGGCAAGTCATGTCCCTCCGCTGCTCTATTTCTTATCATCTCCGCAGATGAATCAGCAAGCAGTCCGTGGTTAACTAATAACTAGTCCTCGCTATGGCTTGACCTCATCGGATTGCCCGTAGAGTCTCATGTGGAGTGTTCAAAGTATCTCAGGTCTTACAATGGCTGAGGAACACACCTCCATCTTACTGTTCTTGAATCAAGACAACAGGACCTCGACAATATCTTGGGATGCACTCAAGTCATGGATTGCCGGGCTAGATACCCTCGCTCCTGTTTTGTGGGGACTATGTCTGTTGTTCTTGAGTATTGGGTGTTGGATAGTATGTTGCGATCTTTCCTTCTGATATCGTGCGTGTATGAATACTCCGTACTCACTTGGATCAGATATACTCGAGGAATAATAAATCCAAGGCTCAGATACTCGATGCTCCGGGATTCCCCCCAGTCGAACCTCTGAAGAATTTCGACTGGGAGACAGCAGAGCCTGTGAAGATTCGCCCGTTCAAGCCGAAATATCATCTAACTATGGCGCTCGAGAAGCTGAACCCCTCTGAACTCATCCTTATGGACAAAACGTATAGGGATCGCTTAGCTCTCCGGAAGTCTCTGCTCGGGGAACAACATGACATTGTCGTTGCTGTTAACAATGATTCAGATCCTCGTGTCCGAGAGGCCGTGTGGGAGCTCTACACATTTCTCCTGGGTACGTATTTGCCCGGTCGATATCCGACGATGTTCAAGCTACATCACCAGACACGGCGTCTGGAGAATCTCGTAACCGGGGAGATGTGGCCGGTGGTACCGGCTGATACTGATCCTACCATTCTGCCCCTGGAGACACTGGTCAAAATCGTCGACGAGGATTTTCTATTCCTCCTACCGGAGGAACAGAACCAGAAAGACGATAAAAAGAAAGAGCCAAAATACATCCTAGAAGCATACAGCACTTGCTTCCCGTCCGGATTCAACCCGCGCAAGAAGCTGGGACTGCTATTGGCGAATATCCACGGACCCGTCCCTCATTACCGGGAGAAACTAGAGCGGAGCATGGACAAGTTCTTTGCAAAGGTCGAGGTGGGCAAGTATGTTAGGCGAGTTAACTGGACCGTCACGACGAATGCGGAGTTATTCGCTGCATTTGGGGGCACGCATGCCGCTGTGGATGAGGAGTTGGAGAAGATCCAGCCGGGGGAGTTAGATGTGGATCAGGTTCGTCTGGATATAACACGTTCTACAGTGGTATTTATATACCAATATATGTGTGTGTATACCTGACTCAACAGACCATTCTACGCTGCGAACGTCAAACCCTCCACCGACTCCCGAAGAGCAAGGCACTCGTCTTCGCCTTCCACACGTACGTGTATCCGATTCAGAGCATCAAGGACGAAGGTCTGGGAGAGGAGCTGGCACGGGCCATTGACGGGCTGAAGGAGGGTAGTGCGCCGCGGATGCACATTTACAAGAGAGGGGCTGTATGGGGAGAGGCCGTCAAGGCGTTTTTGAGGAGTTGAGCTGTATACCTCGGGTATACAGTCAATAAGTTTGGAAATTGGCTCACACCCAGATGTCCGTTGGTTCAGGTAAATGCTGTTGACTACCAGGCAACAAGGCAGGGCAAAATGAGCTTGCGCACACTCTGGCTCACTCTGCCTAGAACCCAAGGATTTGCCCAATGAGTCACTTGTCTTTTCCCTTGTGCTCAGCCACCTTTCCTTGGGGCGATGTACATGCGCAGTGTACATACACGTATCGAGGTATCTGCAGTGTAACATCTAAATATAATCAACGGGCCAAGAGGCCCGATCCACGGTGCGGGACGGGAAGGAGATCTGTGCAGGGTGTCTGTGGAAGGAGAGTTTATGCAAGGAACACTATAGAAGATGATGAAGAGAATAGATCAGTTAGCTGAAGGGCCCTTGTCGGTGTTATTTATATCCCTGGCTGTTTGATTTACTCCAGACTGACACTGACCCTCTCCATCTTCTCTGCTCCACCATCGGCAGTGTCAACTTATCAACTTCAGCTTTAACTTCAGTCTCAAGTGAACCTCTTCACCCATGGCCAAATGGCATCCCTATTTCATTCTTTCTCCCTTTCCCCTTGAATCCAGATGACTGTGACAGTAACAGTAATTTTGCATTCACCTGACCTGAAACGGGCACCCGCGGTTGACCTGCTTTCCTCTTCTGGTCGCGACAATGAAGAGTCATCTGCTCCCCCTCCGCTCCCTCCTCTTCTCCCTCCTCCTCTCCCTCTTCCTCTCCTGCGCTCTCTTCTTCTCTCCTCCTCCTCTCTCTGCCTATAAGAGACTCTGTCTTTGTCCTATCGTCTCTTCTACACTCCCTCCCTCCCTCTCACCCTCTTTCTCTATCTCTCACCAAGTCTCCGACCCGCTTGTATGTCCACGAAACCATGCCAGGAAGGGAAGTCAAGCGTTTTGGCCTGACTCAGATCTGGTGCTCTGAAGAGCCGCTGGTCGAGTACGTGAGCCAGCGAGATCCGTATATCTTAGACACTCCTGTTAATGCTGATCTAGCATCGTCTTAGTGCATGGCTTGAATGGTCACCCAAACGACACCTGGACCAGCGAGTCTGGCGTCTTTTGGCCCGCTGACCTCCTTCCTCAACTTGGCCCGAAGTATGTCCGCGTCCTGACTTACGGGTATAACGCCTCCATTGCCTCTTTCACTGACAGCGTCTCGCACGATGGCATCCTCCAGCATGCCGAGACTCTGTCGGGGGATCTCTCTGCCAATCGAAACGTAAGCTCCTCAAGCTATCCATCCTTTCCATCTGAGATAACCCCCAGACAACAGGCTAACTTTCACTGCTGCAGCTGCGTAATTGCACTGATCGCCCCATCATCTTTGTCTGCCATTCGCTGGGAGGTCTGGTGGTGAAGCGCGCCCTTCTCTACTGCAGAAGCATTGCGCACGAGAACATAGAGCATCTACGCTCGATCTATGTGTCCACTTATGGTATCCTCTTTCTTGGAACCCCCCATAATGGCTCCGACATGGCGAAATGGGGTCACCTGCTGCAGAGCATCTGCGGCGCAGTTTTCCCCAAGAAATTCATGGACTCCTCTCCCAACCTTATCAAGGCGCTCAAGACCAACAATGAGCTCCTGCAGAATATCAACTCCGAGTTCGCAGATGTAGCAAGTCGCTTCCATATCTACTTCTTCCACGAAACTCGCGCAACTCGCGTCGGTACCACTCGTGAAATGATCGTGGACGAACACTCGGCCGCACCCTACATCGAGGGCGTTGAGCGCATGGGCATTGAAGCTGATCATGGCCGCATGTGCAAATTCGACAGCGAATCTGCTCCCGGGTACGAAGCCGTTGCGGAGGCTCTTCTCCGCTATTCCCGTGATGCTCCTTCTAGGATCGCCGATCGATGGATCGAAGAAAAGAAAAGGCGCCTGCTGGAGAGACAGACCAGAGCCAACGAGATCTTCAATAGTAAGTTCTTGTTCCCAACCAGACTTGGTTACATTGAGCTAACTGTTTGTAGGCCCAAATTTGTCCTCCTCGAACATGGGTGGTGGTCTTAGTGTGAGCGTGCCGGATATGAACAATATTGGTAGGCTCGCTCTCCTTCCTGCACCAAATGTTGTCTTGCCAGAGAATCGTGCCATAGGGTTTCAAGACGCTAGTCCCCACTACGGGCATAAAAGCGAAGAATGGAGAGAAGAAGAGGCCAGGCATTCGTTTCTCTGACATGACAGACTTAGGAATTCCTGTACCTACTTAGTTACTCTGTCGGAATTGTCTGGCTTATGCTGAATTTCGATTCGACTTCAAATGAACATGCAATCCACTCCACAGTAGGATTATACTGACTTCCAGTTGCTTTCTTAGGTAGTTCCACTGTTTCTTTGTCACTCTCCCCCATTGATGGGAGAAGATCTTCGGGGCAAGATCTTACACGTAGTGTAGATCTCAGCCTAATAGCGTATCAGAAGAAGCCCTTCTTTGTGGCCCCCCCAGGATTCCACCCAAATGCAATCTTCGTTGGAATGCGAAGAGAACTTGAGATCTTACATGTGAGACTTTTCAAGGCTAAGAAGCGCCCGCTGCGTCTCATGGCTGTCCTGATTACTGGTGTGACCGGTTCTGGAAAATCGCATCTTGCGCGCCAGTACGTCTGGACGCATCTCAACGACTATCCGGGCGGCATCTTTTGGGTGGATGCCAAAACGTTTCAATCCACCTGCACCTGCTTCTGGGACATCGCAGTAGAAGTCGGTCTCATAGACGGTAAAACAGAACTCGGCGGTTCTGAAAGCAAGGCGAGCGCAAAACACGTCGACGCTGTTCGCCACTGGTTTCAGGCTAGAGAAGAGTGGCTGCTCATCTTTGACGGCCTATGCTTTGATAAAGACGAGGACATCAGTCGTCTGAAACAGTTCCTTCCCAACAACAAGAATTGCGCGATTATCTATACCTCCATCGACAAGACTCTTGCAAGGAAACAGCGACTGTTCGAGCCGTATTGTCTCACCGTTCCCCCATTACGCGAGGAAGATGGCTGCAAGCTTCTCTTCAAGGACATGTCCATCAAGAGGCCGACGCCTCAGCAGCTGCAAAAAGCCAAAGAGCTGGTCCGACACTTTGAAGGTCTCCCTCTGGCGATTCATGCCATCAGTCATCGGCTCAGTGCTGCGTCAAAGCCTATAGAGAAATACCGCGTCAATTCACATCTGACCGACCAGAAGCTTGCGGAGCCATTTCTTGGGATCATGAATGATCTCTACCGCATGCGCCGCTTCGAGGCTTTGTATCTGATCAATCTCTTGTCATATCTTGGACACCGAATCCCCGTTGGCCTCATTGTCCTCGGCCGACATGCTTTGGAGGATTGGGACGTTCAGATTTTAACAAGCAGCAGACCGGGAGAGAGACCAGACTTAGACACGACCCTGCAGACCCTCATAAAGTATGGACTCATAGAGAGAACCACTCATCCTTACGATTTTTGGCATCCGAAACACAGTCCCCAGCAATCCAGCGAAAGCGTGGATCTGAAGAGAGTAGTTATCGCTGCAGACTCATCGGAATCCCCGACTGAAAGCAGCAGCCAGGATGGGTTTTTTGCTGCTTATCAGAACGTCTCCGTCATAGATATAATCAAGATCCATAGCGTTGTGCAGAGATTTTGCCGCGATGAGCTGAAGATAATGGACGAAGAAACAAAGGCAATGGGCACCCGCGATCGCAGCACTGCCGGATTCTACGACTCATGGTTAGTTGTTGCAACCAGGGTTTTCTGCAAGGCGTACGAGAAGGCCAAGAGCAAAATGGACATGCAAGATGTCGGGCTGTCCAAAGATTACCGAGAATTCTCAACCCATGGATGTGTGCTTCTCGAGCTCTATCCTAAGAAGCTAACATCCAAGTCACCGCAACTTGTCTATGAGGCACGAAGTGACCTGGAGAACACAATGAGCAGCATCGAACGTCAGATCGATGCCATTCCCCCTCATACATCCCAGGAGGAGATTCGCAATAACAGGTCAGTTTTTGACCGATACAGTAGCCCATCTTCCTCCATTCCTGACTCCGACGAGGGCCCTTCACGCCAGACAACATGGGACTCTCGGGTATTTGAACCTTTAGCTGCAGAAGCTCTGAATAAGGACCGCCCTCGCCCGCCGAAAAGCGTTAATCTAGGCCCCTTCCCGCCCCATATCTATAGGTATACGGCTGGTGAGGCGGGATACGAGACCGACACAGAAGGGTTCAACGCTACGGTTCGCTCTTCCCCGGCAATCTCGCAAATCAGCGAGGACACTGAACGGCCGAGATCATCCCAGGCTTCGACTCCCACCAATCTCGTGGATGATTTTGAATGGAATGTGGTCAACGCGTCCAGATTTGTGAGACCCGAGTCGAAGACTAAGCCAATTCTTCCAATTCTCACGAAATCTTCGGCACACCGGATTCCAGAGCCTCCTGGCAGCCACTCGCCAGCGCAGAGAGCATTGGAGACCTTACAGAGGGGCAGGGCCCGTCTAGAAGAGCCGCCGACGTTGAGTCTGAAAGAAAACAGCCGAAATTACGCGAATGTGGCAGTCGAACATTCTGAGGGAATGACGATACCAGGCAAAGAGCTGTCGTTATCCAAGAACTCCTTTGCTTCGCGTTTGCAGGGACAGCCTTCTTATGAGTCGTTGTATAGCGATGGGAGCTACACCCAGCGGCAATCATGGATACGGCCAACCGATAAGGGTGCCCTAGATCGCTGTCGACGGCCAGCTCAGAATGAGCAAAGTCATCTTGAGGCTCGCATCACCCGCAAACTGAAGGCGTTGGATCTAAACTCCGCCCCTGTTTCACGCTACCATTCCCGCCATTCTACTGCCGCAATACCAGCAGATCTCTCCGCCAGTTCTCCCTCTATATCGCCCTCATCCCACGTCGGTCAGATAGTTGGCAACCTTGGGACAGGGGATGAAGGGGGAGTAGGAAACCAAAGGGTGTCAACATCTAAACCTGGTAGCAACTTAAGCCCACTTGCGCACCCATCGGCGATAATGCCCGGGACGTCTCCTCCTTCGATAATTACCGATCTGCCCTCTGGCTACCTGACTGAACCGGTACAGCAGGAGTCTGTATCACACGCAGAAACCATGCCAGGCGAAAAACCGCAGCATTCACAGCCTGCCGATTCCATTGTCTCGGGAACCGGCAGTTGGATGGACGGTGTCTCTGCAATATTCAGGAAGCATGGAAGATAGATCGCTGTGTCTGATTCTAAGATTCCATTGCATATTTATCTCTGTACTATAGTTTCGTATCACATGGAGAAAAAGAAAAGAAAATGGAAAACGGGGCCCAAAAAAAGGAGAACCCATCAAACTTTTTTACCTCAATCTCTCCAGGGCCTTGAGCAGATCTGCCGTAACGCCCATAGCAGTAACGTCACCACCTGCACCGGCGCCTTGGACGATAAGCGGATTGGCACCATAACGCTTCGTGTAAAAGCTGATGATGTTATCGCTCCCCTTGAGACCCGCAATGGCCGAGTCCTTGTCGAACAGCTGCAGACCAACTTTGACCTCCTTCTTTGGCACATCAATGCTGCCGACGTAGCGGACGACCTTGCCATTCTTCTCGGCATCCTCCTTGATCCGAGTCATCTGGGAGTCGAACCCAGGCAGCCTGGTCATGAACTGCTGAATGCCGTCCGGCGTGGACGGAAGCGACGCCAATTCCGACGGAATGAGCGACTCAATCGGGAATGATTCGGGGCTCTGCACATCCAACCCCGCAATGCGAGCAAGAATGGTCAGTTTCCGCGCGACGTCCATACCATTCAGGTCATCCCGGGGATCGGGTTCGGTATATCCGAGCTCCTTGGCTTGGGCGACGACCTGGCTCCATGGAGCAGAAGAACCGGAACTCGAAACGGGAGCAAAGATATTGAACAGAAAGGATAGGGTGCCTGAGAAGACACCCTCGATGCGCGTGACTTCGTCACCCGTCGCGACGAGATCCTTCAAAGTGGAGATAACAGGGAGACCTGCACCGACGGTACTCTCGTGGTAAACGAGAGAAGAGCCCTGTGCAGCAGAGGCAAAAATGTCTTTCCACAATGACAGGTCTGAGGAGAACCCCTTCTTGTTTGGAGTGACGATGGAGATGCCCTTCTTGAGGAAAGTCGGGTATGCGCTGGCTAGGGCTGGGTCGGAGGTGTTGTCGACCAAGACAGAGCGACCGGGAGCCGAGGAGAGATATGAGGCGATCTCATCAACGGACAGGGCGCCAGCCTTGGTAATTGATGGTGTGGATTGGGCAGTGGCCCAGTCGCCCGGTGCAATGGAAGGAGTGTAGGCTGGGGCTGGGGAGAGGAGGGTTTGTGTGGATCGGGCCAGAAGAATGAGCTGTGGTGGACTAGGAAGTCGGGAGAGTTGGTTCAGGAAGGCCGTGCCAACACCACCGACGCCTGTGAAGGGATGAATTAACTCTTCTTTCTCTGGTGGTCACTCGTGGTATTTGCATCTGCTTGGTGTCGGTCGGAGCAGTAGATGCGGTTGCGACTCACCGATGACGCCGAGATAGACGGGCTTTGCAGACATTATGTGATCCGGAGGACAACAAAGCAATTGAGGATGAAACTGGAAGAAAGAGAGAAAAGAAAGGAAGAAAAGATCGGATGAGTCGAGAGAGAGAAGAAGAGAAGAGGGGCGTCGCGGGGAACTGCGAAGTCGGAGATTAGTCAACATCAACTCCATCACAGCATCTTCAAGTTCATCATCTTCAACATCGTCACATCACATCTACACCGGTTTCCCTTTGGGATCACCCTCAAAATGACCTCCAGATCCACCGCAGACTCTCTCTACGGAAGATCACGTCCCAAATTAACCCCCTCTACCTCAAACCCCCTTCATCCTCCACCGTCGCCTTCACCACTCATCTCGCCTCTCTAATATCCAAAGAGACCGACCCGTCAACGACGACACGCGGTCGCCCCCGTCCATCAAAGACTCCCAAATCTGATATCTTCATAAAGCACAATAAAGGCGCTGAGAAACGCGCCGCGAAAGATGAAATCGAAACAGATCTCCGCCAGGTACACCAGCGTACCGCGGATGTGGGCGCCGTCGACGCGGCTACCCTGCACCGCTCTAAGAGGCGCATGGAGGAGAAAGTGCAGATATACGAGGATCTGAAGAGCGGGCTGTATCTCGCTGCTGAAAGTGATGATGACGATGACGATGATGAGATCGGCCCTCGCCTGAAGCAGGAAGATTACCTAGCTCGACTCCGGAGGAAGGAGAGGGAGGGCTTAGTTGATTTCGATCGGAAATGGGCTGATGAGGAGAGAGCGAAACGACGAACTTCTACCTCGGATGAAGATGAAAATGAACCTGAAGACGAGGAAGAAGACGACGACGATGACAACGCCTCCATAATCTCCTACGAAGACGAACTCGGCCGCTCCAGACGCGGAACCAGAAAACAAGCTGCCCACGCAGCCCGTCTCAAGCAGCGTCAAAAACGGGAAAATGAACATGGACCCGGAGTCGATGATCATCCAACTTGGAAGCCCGCTCGTCCAGAGAACCTCATATACGGCCCCGCGATCCAGTCAGAGGCATTCAACCCTGCCGCGCCCGTTGCGGAGCAAATGTCCTACCTCGCTTCTCGTCGGGATCGGTCCCCTACGCCCGAGCAGATGCATTACGATGCAGACGCCGAGGTGCGCACCCGCGGAACAGGTTTCTACGCATTTTCCAAGGATGAAGAGACGCGGAAGAAGCAGATGGAGGAGCTGATGAATGCTCGTGTAGAGACGCAGCGGGAGAGGGAGGCGCGGCAGACGAGACGAGCAGAGAGGGAGCGGCTGAAGGATGAGCGGAGGAAGAAGATTGAGGAGTTGAGGGTGAAGAGACGCGCTGAGACATTTCTTGCTGGGTTGGGAGATATACAATCTCTGCGTGCTGGGTGATGGACTGTTACTGTGATTCTGATTGCTTTGCTTTTCTTTTCAAAAGTTTTAGATACCCCCTTGTCATTATTGTCTATGTTTAGAGAGAATGGGATTGCATATATCTTGAAATTTCTAGATGCATTGAAGGCCTTCCCTTTCCGTTTCAGTGCTCACCCCCTGCTCGCTGAGAAGACCAAGGCAATAAAGATGTTGACGAAGTACAAATAGAGCAATCAGATGGAAGGCTTGGTAGGATCTTAAAGCCCCAATGTGCAGCCTTCAAAAAAGGGAGAGGCATACTTATATTTATAGCCCCATCAAAATTGATTGTTCATTTGCTTATGTGCTACCAGGTCCATATGTGTGGATTCTTGTGTCAGTTTGTGATGGCATCCAGAAAGGGAAAGTCAATGTCATTTTATAGTGGCATATAGTTATAGAGATGTCTGCATATTTCCAATAAGCCAACCAAACCATACAGATATATGTCTACAATGTATCATTGAGGCGGTAGTTAAGTGTAAACTACCAGGAATAAATATGAAAATGAAATAGAAAACAACGGATCAAGTCCATCCACTGCCACTCGAACATCGCCAAAACATGAACATGAAATCCATTGGGGTATATACTATCTTTACAGAGAGCCATAGCTTGTAACCAAGTAATCAAAATAATCAAAACATAAGTCCTATTTCAGGGAAGGGACCGGCTATCATTCAAGACATCTTCGGATATTTATCAAGGTCGTTTCAGGCATTATTCATAACGGTTAGAGGAAATGAAAGCAAGTCAGAGAGCGGAGATGTAGAGAGGATCATCAAGGTTCGTATGCGATCAGTTTTGTCGATATTTTTGGCATGGCAAAAAGAAGGGAAAATGTGGAACCGCGGTAATCTCAGTGGAAACCAAGACTCATCGGCCATGGGCGATTTCTTTGATGGTTCTCACGAAGCTATCGGCATCTGTATATAACGCCAGCCATACGTGTCATGTCAGTTGCTGGTAGCAGATCACCGAGACAGGGGGGCTAGCTGGGTTTCCACTGACCAAAAGCAGAAGTAAAGTTTAGAATATAATCACCTCCAGATAGCTGTGGAGGATGATAGTCAGAGAAGTCGAAGATGGACAAATGAAGTTTGCGAAGGACAACGACAGTTGCGCTGGTGCGTCGCATCCAATCACGCGATTTAATGTAAGATGTTATGAATGCCGTCCAGACAGGGGCTCTGAAAAGGACAGTCAGTGGAGGGTTTGACAAGACGTAGATTGTTGAGCCCTGCGTACCGTTTCATTTCCCCATTATGAACTGATGATTGCAGTCTTACGGCACCAGATACTGCATCCCGGTATACACGCAGAGCATGTAGAAATCCATCGTCATTGATTTGCCTACCAGCGTCGCTTTATTACAGTACCAGATTCTAACGCGGGGCAGGGTTTGCTGTGGATAGCCTTACCCTCCAAAAAGTTCCTCCTCCATCTCGAGTTCGTAATCTCGAATGTTCTCCACCGGACGGCCAGAGTCTTGTGCACGGAGGGCTATAAAAGTGCAGAAGAAGAGAACCATTCCTGTTTTCCAAAGATATTAGCATTCGCATTCGCATGAGCGTTTGAGAAAGAGAAACGAAACACATACGTTCGATGGTGTTGAATTTAAGACTGGCCCACAGCACAAGTTCCTGTCCCCCACGCCGTCTACGGCAAATCTGGAGGCATGAACCCACACGCCCGATCTCTAGCAGATTGAGAGGCATGCAGAAATAATCGCTTGGTCGATTAGAATGGGGAACCTTGCATACAATCCGGGCTCGAAAGTCGCTTTCTCGCACGTAGAATGAGACTCGAAGTTCCGTCGAGCGGTCACTGAAAGCCCTGCAATGGATTTCAATCAGCTAGGCCGATCCTGTGAGAGACATATTCCGGCCACTCGAGATGCAGGACTTACAGTTGGAAGAGTTCTTCAAAGCCTTCGTCGTGAAGCCATTGCTTCAGGCCCAAGATTGGATCGCCGAGACATTTGGGTCTGGATACACGTATTAGTATGTTTCACCCTGCGGTTGTGCTTCCCCGTGATAGTTGTCATATCCCCCTACCTTTCACCCACAAAAGGAATGGGCGTCGGCTGTGGGTCGTTCGGGTTGTCCGAGAATACTTCTCGAGCCCAATGGTTCTCCAGACCATACAGAGCTGGTGACAGGTTTGAGTCGGCAAGAGAGTCAGGAGCAGAGGGTGCAGAAGGTGGGACATCGGAGGAGGTTGCTGAGGAGGAAGAAGTGGAAGATGCGAGTCGTGACGGCCGGGGACGTTCATACGACCGGCGACTGCATGGCTTGCGCTCCGCGCCCGGATTTCCTTGCTCAGCAGCATTACTTGGTGCACCATAAACAAAGGGAAGCAGCCGCTTCTCCTGCTTTGGAAGCAGAGCTTTGATATTGTCTCGAAGTCCTGAAATAAGGGTCGCATCGGGACGTGCACTAGAGGGGGAAATAGTTGGCAAGCGTAAGCATCAGGTGCATAGCATAACAGATACACGCATTCTCTGCTTCGCATTGTGGACCAGACATACTCTCTCATCAAATCCTCCAACTCTTTGAGAAGTGCCTTGTACTTTTGTAGACGAATGGCAAGGGAATAATGCGCCTCTTTACGGAAGTGTTGGAGCAATTCGGTCCATGTATTTCTGTAGATCTCTTGTGGAGGGTCCTTCCAAGATTCGACGCTACCGAAGAAGTGGATAATGTCGTCAAGAGTGTAGTTCAAGCTTACGCGAACCAACTCCAAATCGCCACTGGCCAGACGTAGGTTATGGTGATGACGGTGGTCATTCGCCAAGTCATCCAAAGACTTGAGGGAAGAGCTGATGGCGTAGAGTTCTGCAATTAGGCCGGTGATCTCGGTCGCAAATTGGGGCAGAGGCTCGCGGAAGACTCGAAAGCCCGCCGCGACGTCTTCTGCATCGTCGGCGGTTTCGCGCAAATGCATGATAGGCAATCAGGCCATAAGAAGGGGGGTTGTCCCTCTTTTCTTCCACTTTCGTTTCTTTGAGTACCCTTTTCTTTGTTCTTTGTTGGGTCTTTCTCTCTTTCAAAGGACACAGTCACAAATGTCAAATGACACTGAAGAAATGGACAGGGAGAAGGGAGAAGGTGCTGGGTGGTAACAGACAGAGGTTGGGCGACAAGGCGAATTCCGCCAGATACAAAGACCAAGGGAGAGCAGACACAGCGCCAACAGACACGCAATTTAAACTATTATTTTCCTAGGAGAAGTACAGAATGATCCTGAGCCAATGTAAAAAGGACGGCCAGGCATAGTGATCGCATTGAGCCAAAGACGACAAAAAAGGGAGTAATACATATAATATTCCCCAGAACATTATTAACTGTCGACAACGCTTCTTCGAGCCCAAGTGGGGCTTCATCAAGGAGAATAATACCTAAATAACCAAAGCAAACGACGTGGCTTACGGCTCTTGAGAAAAAGTGGCTGTTGCCATCGCCGCTGCATTCATTGTCTCCTCCCGACACTAGAAGAATCCCCGAGTTTTCTCAGGAATAATAAACGGCCTGCAGCGTCCGGACAGGTCGACTGGACAGTTGGCGCCTATTGACGTGTTCATCTCAGCGATTGGATGCCGAATTGGCCAATGATGAAGGGAGGCATTCTGCGCAATGTGAGTTGTGGAGGAAATGATAACTTTGGAGAAGAAGAGCCTGTATCAGATTGAACTGGACCAGATGGAGTGATGGAGGGCCTGTGTTGAAAGATGAGTATCGCACATGCAGCTATGTCCTTGCTGGATGAGGATGTATGTAGTAAGTACAGTCGTACAGTAGAGGAAGTACTACAATGTCGACGATATCAACTGGCAGCCTCAGGCATCACATCGGAAAAAGTCAACGGCCGACGCGTCCATCCGGAGTAAACAAACAAACAAAACAAAACACCAAACACCTCCCCGCGTCATCGCAGGAGCTTGGGCCAAGGCACAGCAGCAATGGGCAGCAGAGATCCAAGCTGCAGGGATATCGATCCCAGATTAGCAACACATACGGCGTTTACGTTCATAAACAAATGCAAAGGCGAAGGAAGAAACGATGCAGTGGATTAGGCTAGTATACAGCAGCCTTGCTCGCCTCAACAACTCTCATATGGCTTCATACAGATCATGGGGCTTTTTTTGACCTGCATCTAATAGCCTGTCCCTAAGTCGAGATCGTCCAAAGGCTGCCCGTGCATACAGGACAACTGTACTAGTGAATACTCCCACATTTATAACCCTTTATGAGACAAACAAGAAACAGAGAAAGAGGAAAAGAAAAAAAAAAGGAATAAATGAAACAAAAGCAAGCAAGTAGAGAAACCGCCCGCGTCCCAGCCCAGAAAGCCCCTTAGCGAAGAAAGCGACGAGAACAAGCCACAGAACTAGCAGAAACCAACGACACAGTAACGCCCATCTGTCAAGACATGGTAGACTAGTGAGGTTTTGACATTTAGGACGATTCTTCCTCCTCATCGGCATCGCCAGCCTGATGTAGAAAGGTCAGTGCACCGTTTATCATCCGGGGTGAGAAGGGGTAGTCACGAACCAGGTAGCTCTTTTTCTCTTCGTCGTATCGCTTCTTATCTGCGGCGGCTTTCTCTACATATGGGCGGCGTTCATCGTCGCTCAGGGCCTTCCACTTCTCTCCAAGCATCTTGCCAACCTGGCCTGCAGCGGGCGTTAGAGATATCCATGTGGCAAAACGCGAGTATAATGAGAGTGAAACAGGTCTTACCGAAACTAATGCCAGGGTTCTCTTCGCGGACCTTCTCGCGCTGCTCGTTGGCAAAGAACATGTATGCAGAGAGACCGCGCTTAGGTGCGTTGGGGTCTAAGATGCGATCATGGTAAGCAAGCTGCCATAGGCAAAACAGACAATTGACGCGAAACTGGACATACCCTTCTTCTTCTTTTCCACACGGGTCTTGGTCTTACGGGTGGTGGTCTTCTCCTTGGGCATTTTGAGTGGTCTGCTATACAGGAATGTTAGATCGATAGCTGTCTGGTTGTAGGAGCAAGAGCAATTGCGACTTCAGGTCAAGAGACGGAACGACGAAAGGATAAGCGCAACCAGTAGGAATATGAAGGATATGAAAAGGAAGCGCGGAAGAAGAAGAAGGGAAATAATGATGATGAAAGCGCAGTGAAGTGTAACAGAGTTGTCGGCATAAAATGTGTGGTGCAAATAGAGAGGGAAGCGCGCAGCCCGAGCAGTGGTTCGCGGCCGGTCGCAATCAACGCAACATAACAGAGGCGGCCACGCAGGGGTACTTACATGAAAACTGGTGTAGGAGAAGTCGCAAGAAGAGGAATTAGTCAATGAAAAATTGACTTCAAGAGAAACACAAAGAGAGAAGGTCAGTTTACAGCTCAGGACATATAGGCGTGCAGTGGTGGATGCGCGACAGTGAGGTCGCGTCAACCATGGAAGAGGAAAGAAAAAAAAGAAGATGCGGATGGCATGATGAAAGCCAGATTGCAGCGTGAAGCAAAGAAATGAATAGGAAGAGTGGGAAATTTGGGGTTGTGAAAAAAACGGGTATGTGATGCTGGGTGTTTACTATGGGACTCACCGATGCGGAAGGGCTCTTTTTTTGTATGGGAGGTTTTTGTATGGGGGGCCAGCAGGAGAGAGTCAGGAGTGAGGTGGGAGAGAGAGAGTAGTAGTAGTAATAGCAGGAGAGGGAGAGCAGTGAGGACGGACAGCGTAATGCGGCAAACACTCAGTCAGCAGGTGGACTGCTATGATTACCATTACCTGGCAGGTATTGCTGTTACCTACGGAGCAGGTTACCGCGAATACTGGTACTCCCAGCGAAACCGGTCAGGTACAGCACTATACGCAGTGTGCGGGCTACTGGCGCCTGCTGCGCGTTTCAATACACAGCAAAACCCGCTTGTCTGAGCACTGCGTACCATACCAATACGCCATTACACACAGTGGACGCATCACCACTGCCCCACGTACGGGTGTTTATTATTTACCAATACACCAGCCTTACAAACAAGGAATATCAACAGCTCATCCTCCTGCCGGCCCAAACTGTTATTACGAGAGATATTATTTATTATTATTCTCATTATTATTATGATCTCGGATGTCGGATTTCCTTCTATTCGGATTTTCCTGACACAAGAATAACACTAGTTCTTACTATGCTGAGATCGACCTAGGCGCCTGTCAAGGAACCCAGGCGTACCCATGTTCGTTCGCTCTGTACAGCGCTGTACACTGCACCTACTCCGTCCGCTCATTTACACGGACGATACAGACAGAGGCTATGAGATAGATCAGGTCGTGTTGATTGCCTATGCGGCATCCTGCTCATTTTCAAACCGACCGCCAATCGTTGGAGGTGTTGAGCGCCTGAGGTGCCTACCACTACCTAGGTAGGTACTCCGGTAAAGAAGCCTGTACATTACTAACTGCCTAACCTACATACGAGATTCCAGTCCTGTACACCATACCCTGCCCTCCACACTCGCCCGCTGTACGCGTTGGTCGGTATATTAGGTAGCCGTGTCAAATGCGAACCCACAGCATAATACAGAGTAGTAATAGTATCCAGGAAATTAAATGATTTCCTGACGCTAGAAAGAACAGACTGTTCACCTAGCTTGCCGTTAGGTAACTAGGTAACTAAACCGATCATATTTATATCACGTGAATTGGTCTTTCTCCAGGTGAGAAATAGTCTTGCGAAGCTATCCAGTGTATGTAGTACGGCTCGTCGGTACAATAATAGGCTCGTCTTAGCTTCTTCCACCTTCTGCAACAACCAAGCCTGGTCTGGAATGTGAAGGCATTGCATTAGCATCTGCAGGTATCCATTGTTTGCTTGGTCCTGTCTGCTAGCACTTACACAGCGCTGTATGGACTGCTCTACGCATTACCGGCGCCCTCAAAGAACCATATTTACCGACTCGAGACTTTCCACGGAGTCGGGGTGTTGCATAATTCCTAGGCCATTGCCAGGAAGAATGGGACAATTCTGTTTGTTATTGAGCAAATCTTGGAGATTTACAAATACATGGGTTGCCTTCTGATTTGCTATATACAGACCACTTGAAACTCAGTCGTCGACTAGTATAATGCGACGCCATACCCTCCTGGAATTATATGAACCAATCGGAAAGCAGCATTGTAAATCATAACTGCGCAGGCTATGGAATGTCATAGGATCACGGCTTTTCAAAGCTGTATCTTCCAGGTCTCTTTGATCATGATGTCTGTCTTCGCAGTGATTTCAGCACTTCTATCATGGTAGTCATTTGTGAGGAAGCAGGACCTGATCAAACAAGAATGACAGATCTCAGTCATCCGAATCGTCCAGAACAAGGGCTCGGAGTGTATCATCTTCTGCCCAGTCCACTCCACTAGCAACGATGACAGCGCTTGCAATGCTCTTCATAGTTTCCCATTTTGCTTTTCTCTTCTTGTATTCAGCTTCCAGCTCGCTCAACTGTGCCCTGAGGACCTCGTCATCGATGTCCTCTTTCCACGACGGATCACGATCAACAAGCCCTAGCAGCTCACGGACCAACTTCTTATTCTTCTCATTAATTGCAAGATTCTCTGTCTCACGATCAGATAGTGTCTTGAGAGTCGAACTGTGTGCAGAGGCGAGATTTTCATGAACGAGAGATAGTACGTCTCGGCGATTAATGAGACGGAGGAGAGATCTGGGGACAATTAACCGTCAGCAACCATTTCACATGAGAAGGGTGTGTGCGGAAGAACCTACCTCTCTGCGGGTGATGTAGCTCTCAAATACACGGTCTTGAGAGTAGGGTCAGCCATTAGAGTAGTTGTGATGGCCTTCTTCCTGACAGTGTATGTAGCTCGCGCCTCTAGGAGTTCGCGCTCTGCGATCGCGAGTTGCTCCTCGACATTCTCTCCGGAAAACTGTTCCGGTTCTATAGAACGAATTGGTGGTTAGAAAGCCGTATGCGTGGTGAAAAGACCGTTGTGAGGGCTGCAGACCTTGTTCAAGGATCGCCTTCTCGAGCTCCTGCTCTTGGGTCTGGTTGTAGAGCTGAAGTATCAAAGCCTCCTTATCGGCAAAAGACATGACATCTCGCGGGTCATCGGCAGCGAGAGCCAGGAGGGCGATCTCACCCTCTTCCAGACAAGGCAGGGATGCCATGGAACGCGAGGAGGCATCGGGAGAGTTCCAAGTTCTGGTATTAGGCGGTGGGGGATGATGCATCCATCCCGACTGCCGAGACATTTAAGCTAGGCTGAGCTAGAAACGCACGCCCGCCCCCCGAGGCGAAGCTTAAGTCTGGACCTTATCCAAGGCTGGGTTCCAGCAACCCTCGTCTTCCTCTTATCCTGGCTCACTTACGAAGCCTCCTGAACAGCTCTGGAAGGCGAGGAGGGGATGTCTCTGAATATATACATCGCTCACACGGGTGAGCATCTGCTTACTGATCCCGTATCGTTTGCCTCGTAGGCTCCCTATTTTCCTTTGTTATGATCTATCTAAACGTCGACTGACGTCGTTTGCTCTTAGTCCGGATGCGCTTCGATCATGGATCGCTCGCAGCACCTCGATCCCCCCACCGCGGCAGATCTTAATGACTTCTCGCGGAAGAAATGTCAAGATTCAGACACTAGCCACTGAGGTACGGTTTCTCTCTTAAAACTCCTGTCGTCATTGTGCAGAGGTTGACAACCCTGGCCAGAATGAGATCTTTGTGTACGACCGGCTGTATGTCAGTGAACCTGGCCATGCTGAGCTCCCGGAAATTCCTCCTCCTGAACCACTTAATCCCGAAGATCCTCCCGATACACTCGCAGACCAGAATGACCTGCAGGCTTGGCGGAACCTTTACATGGCGAGAAGGTCATGGGCATTGAACCTGTCGGAACGGTGCCAACAGATTGATCGGATTATTCATGAACATTACGAAGGAACCGATATTATCAATCGAGCAGTTGGTGTCGCTCTGGAGAACCTCAAGTCTCACGTTGGTAATCTGGAGCATCGATTCCAAGAGGCTCAGTCCTGGGCAAATGATTTGCTAAAGGAGCAGAAATCAGCTCTTGATGGCTGGCAACAAGCTTTGACAACACTGGAAACTATCCCTGCCCGGGACGATATCTCTTTCCTGGGCCGACCGTCGACGCCCAAGAAGGACAGAAATCGGTCAACGGGAACACTGCGTGATTTTGTGGATTCCAGTGAAGTTGAGAGGGCCGGTTCCGAAGCAGCGGCCTTGTTCCCTAGTTTTACTCGCCAAGTCGATGATATCGAGAAATCTGTCAGTGAAATCGCTGCCGATACTCAACGTATCCTCGATCGTCCTCCCCCGTCGAGCGGTAATGGAGTTGACGGACTTCTCGAAGAGGTGGAAACGATTGCCAGGAAAATCAGTTCCGACTACGAACATGTCCTGGGTCTCCCTAACAATCAGAAGACTTTGGCAAATATCTCTAGACTTGCATTGAGCCATACTCAAGACCTCTTACCATCACTGCTAGAAATATGCATTGAACTTCAAACCGGACTTGAAGAAGCGGTCATGCGACGCAATGAAGCAGGGAAAGAAAGTATCAGACACATGCGAACCATTTCCACCATAGAATCACGTCTTGCAGACGTTCAATCTCGGATAGTAAACCTCGATCTCAGGAGCGACGCATTCGATATCATCTTCTCTGTCTTCCACATGCCTATGGTCTACGGGTCCGTCTTGGTTGAGGCCGTGCGGAGGCGTGAATGGAGCGATAAGATGAAGTCAGATTCGTTGACTCTGGCAGAAGAAATGGCTGTCTTCAGAGATGAAGAACAGCGACGGCGCAAAAAGTGGATGAAAAATATGGGCGACTTCATTACCATTCCCGACACCGCAACTCCAGGAATTGAGGTAAACTTACAAGGCCGAGAGTATGAATGGCCCGAGGTTTCCCGAAAGGAGATTGAAGTCTACATTGAAGAACTGAAGAGCAAGCCTTTCATGTCTGCTTTAGTCCAAGATCTACTCCAATTATACAAGGAGTTGGATGCTCCCACGCGTCACCAGAGGCGCCGAGCAAAAGCATTCAAACATGGCAGCGTGGTTGACATGGGCCGAAGCTCACTTCTTCTCCGCGGCGACGACATGGTGCAAAGCTTGAGAGATGAAAAGAGCAAGCTAGAAGAAAAGCTGAAAGGTTCGGAAAGCCGCATCCGTAAGTTAGAGGATTTACTTCATCGCCAAACCCATTTGAGTCGGCCTGCGAGCGGTAATTTCGGTCTTGATTTCCCTATGTCTCCAGCTTCACCGCATCCCGACCAGTTATCAAGAAGGTCGTCTGTGTCTTCAAGGCGAATGTCATCGAACCAATCTTCAGAGGAGAAGGCTCTTATGCAACGCATAGCAACTCTTGAGACAGAGTTGAACACAGAAAGAGAAACCGTGCAACGGCTACTCAAGGAAAGTAACGCAGAACGCCAGTCCAACTCTAATAAATTCCAAGAAGCTCAATCTACGAAGCAGGATCTTCTGAAGAATCTTGCGACTCAGCAGCGAGAATTCCAAGATGAGATCAAGTTCTTGCAAACCGAACTGAAAAATTCTAGGCTCCGGGCAGAAGAACTAGAAGAAGAACTAGATCGGGTCATAGACAACCGAGAGCAGGAAAAACAAGATGTAGATAAGTGGATTCAGAAACTCGAAGCAGAGCTTCAAAGTGCCCATGAAGAAACGGAGAGAACAAGGGAATTGAACGAACAGCTGCAGACCCAAAGAGAAGAACTAGAAAAGCAACGCAAGGAAACCGAGAAGAGAGACCAAGAAAATTACAATGCCCTGCATGCTGCTTTTATGACCCTATCTCCTGGGAGCTCTGTGCCTGTCGACACTGCCGGTATTATCAAGGCTGTGGAGGTGCTAACTGAGGGCCTATCAATACATGTCAGAAGTGCAGAAGACAATGCTGCTAAAGTCACGGCGGAATGCAAGGAACTCGAAGAGCGCCTGAGTCAGATTCAATCCGAGTCGGAGGAGGCGAGGAATAATTTGGGAGCACGCGAGTCTGAGCTTTCCCGACTTACAGAAGATCTTGCGGGAGAACGGTCAAAGCTAACGGCTGTGACTGCTGAATTGGAGGAGGAGCGGTCAAAACTCAACGCTTTACAAACCAAGGTTGCTGCCGGGGAGACTGGCTCAGACGCCCTCAGAGAGCGTATTGTTGGAGAAGAGCAGAAGCTGGAAGACTTGTCTCAGAAGTTAACTGATATGGAGGCCCAAGCTCGCCGTTCCGAGGATGAAGCTTCGGAATGGAAAAAGAAGTTCGAATCCGCATCAGAGTCGGAACGTCACGCTGTAGCTCTGATTGAACTCCGTGATGAACGGTCTTCTGAGCTTTCAAAGAAACTCTTCTCGCAGGTCGAGAAGTTGGGCCGCATGTTGGAGCAGCTTGGATTTACCTTCATCAGGCAGGATGGGAAGATGATTGTTCAACGGGCTTCGAAGGTAAACGCTTCCTCTATGCATGGTGACGCATCTAGTCAACCGGACATCGTCCCCGTGAAGCCTGACGCAGGACTTCTGTACTGGATGCTGGCCAGTACTCCCGAGGAAGAGACATCTCGCTTCACAGCGTTCTTGGACTCTCTGGCTCAATTTGACGTCGAGATCTTTGGGGACGCGGTTGTTAAACGCGTCAAGGACATCGAGCTCCTTGCGCGGAAATGGCAGAAGGAAGCCAGGGGTTACCGGGACAAGTATCACCGTGCCCAGAGCGAAGCTCATGAAAAGATTGCATATCGGTCTTTCAAGGAGGGAGACCTTGCCCTGTTTCTACCGACGCGCAATCAAGCCATCCGTTCTTGGGCCGCATTCAATGTCGGAGCCCCGCACTATTTCTTGCGGGAACAGGATGTCCATAAGCTCTACACCCGAGATTGGCTACTGGCCCGTATCACAAAAATCGAAGAGCGAGTGGTGGATCTTTCGAAGTCGATGAATGGCATACATCCAGACCGTCGGTCTATAGGTGAAACCAGCGATGGCACGTCTTTCGACGACGAAAATCCCTTTGAGCTCTCTGATGGGCTCCGCTGGTATCTTGTTGACGCCACTGAAGAGAAGCCTGGGGCGCCGGCGACCCCCGGTTTAGGTAAAAGCACTGTTGCATCGGCCCATGTAGATGCCAAAGGCAGCATTCGCCTGCAACGCGCCTCCAACAGTGGAAATGTTGCCAAGAAATTGACCAGGAGTCTGGACAGCCGTCGGAATAGTTCTACGTCCAAAAAAGAGATTCCCGTTATTTCATCACCACAACACGCTTCTGAGTCCTCGAATGTAGGCTCTGGGCAGATGGCTGGGGCAGTTGGAACGGATCCTAGTTCGCCGCCACAGGGAACCGCTGCTGTTTCTGATGAGACACGTTGAAACCTGCACCGCGGCCCATGATGGATAACAAGGATCCAGGATGTCCCATTCTGCAATCGCAGACAGGGCTAATAGACCGCTTATTGTCTGGGATAGACATGTGTGTCTACACGATAGTCATAGCGGATGCCGGACCGCAGGGTATTTATTTACATCATCACCCTTGCGGACTGTATGCGACAGCCCGTCCAGCCTTCCATCCAAGTTCACTGAAGATTTCTACTAGGAAGTCCCGCCATGGGAGAAATCCAGGCTCTTGATTACCGACTAGAGAATGGTAATCGTCGTTTGATGATGGTAGAATGGTATTTGTTATTGCTCTTCTTTTCTTTCCTTAAACCCGTCCTACACAAACTGGGGCTTTTGCAAGTACGACCATGATACCCATTCTTGCGAAATGAGATTGCTTTTTCTGTCATATGGAATAGTTACGGTTCTTATTGGTGCTCTTGTTTCTCTTCTCCTTTCCTCGTCTATAAGTACTCTTTTAAAGCCGGTGCTTTTATTGGAATCATACACCAGAGGTGTGTTCTATTGCAAAATGTCAGACTGAGATAACTTATGCTACACCCTTATTATACTGTAGCTTTAGAGAGCGGGTTTAAAGGTCGCTAATTTTCATAACCAAAGTGATGATAATGTAGTATATAGGATGTAAAGGTGAAAAGAAGCTGTTAATTCAATGCATCAGACCAGCAAATTAAATACTTTCTATTCTTCAAAACCAGGAAGGCCATTCATCCCGCCTACCTCTCGCCAAAAGCGGGAAAAGTCCACATCGTTATCCTCAAAGAGCTTCTTTGCCTGATTCATGGCAGCATACTGCCTTTCAGGCGTGAACCCACCCGGCCGAGTACTCTCGTACTGAATGATTTCGACCCACCGAAAGAATAAATCCTCCTTACCCATCTCGGTGAGCTTGTCCTTAAACGCCAAGATTTGCTCCCGTTGGGAATTCGCACCGAAACCATCACGGATGTGCCAGATCAGCCAGCCATTGGTATCCGTGTTGACGAGGATGGCCGTGCGGAACTCGTCCAGCGGAACCCCTTGTCCTTTCCGTGTACGGTCAACCATCTCATGGGCACGTATCATAGCATCATAATCCAGGTCCCAGTCTGCGTCGACGAGCAGATACCCGGTCTTCTGGATGCGATCCGGTGTCATTGCCGCGACGACCTTGTTGCGCGCCTCCTCATCATCGCGGATCCAGCTATTGCGCACGAGATTCTGGCTCCAGCCACCCTGGCTCCTGCGGACGATTATCTCGCGGTCGCGGAAGCCAACCGCACGACGCCACTTGACGGGACCCAGGACGAATCGAACAGGCCAGGCGAGGAAGATCGTCACGAGGAGATAGTCGAAGAGTAGGTTGGCTGTTCGTTGAACGATGATATTCACCGTCTGTCCCATAGATGTTACTGATGGATCAACTGCAGTGGAGGTAGACAATCCGAGCAATGTTGCTAGCATGGGAGGGTAGATGTAGAAGCCCATGTAGGCTCGTAGAGCGATGACAGCGGTGATGAGAACATTGATCACGACAGGTACAATGAAGGTCTTCGTCTTGAGGTCTACCGTATTGCTATCTATGTGGATCAGATATATTTCTTCCGTTGACAGCGGCTCGAGGAAGGACTGGAGGGAATCAGAGGCTTTGGTGAATGGAGGAGGACCAGATTTCGGTCTTGAGGCTGTAGTCGTTGAGCTCTTTTTGCCTGCTGACTTTTTTGCTGACTTGGCCATCCTGATAGTCTTGGTATTGTTTACCAATTCCTTCCGTCTCTCTAGCAGTGTACTTCGGACTGATTCAATCGGCCATGCGGAGGAAGAGAGGCACGCGACGGGGACACACGTCAATGGATACAGGGACGGAAGGATGTACGGAGTACCGATATATGAGAGACAGCATGCACATCCAGCAGACCTCAAAAATAGAGAAATGGCAAGTGATGATTGTAGCAACAAAAATTAAGCAAGAGTGTCCTTTTTGCTTGGAGCTTCTCGAGTTGAAGCTCGACAATGTAACATGCAACATCAAGACAAGACTAGTCCCAGAACGGCATAGTCAAGTTACAGGTATTTATGCAGCTGCATAAGTATGCTAGAGGTCACGTGGGCTCTGTCCAGACACAGAAAAGCGTAAGCCAAGCGGTCATAGGTGACCAATAAACTGTGTGTAATGGGAGCCAGAAGCGGCGCCCCCTTTTCCACCCATTAAAACTTGATGCTTTTTCAACCGCCAACACCATTAATATTCATTGAAAATGGCTTTATCTCATGAATCGAAGTTGCATATGGCTGTTTCAACTTATAAAAAGGGACAGTTTGAATCAATAGCAGCAGCATCAGAGGTGTTTTGAGGTCCCAAGAGAAACCCTTCATGATCGGCTTGATGGAATTAAACCACGTACAGAAAAGCGAGCAAATGGCCATAAATTATCAATTTATGAAGAGGAAGTCCTTGCAAAGCGCCTGATAGAAGCAGATAAATGAGGTTTTTCAATCTGACCAGAATTCCTACGCGGAATGGCTCAAATTCTACTCCCAAGAGCGTACGCACAAACCAACCACAACACTTGATGTCAACTGGGCATACAAATTCATTAAACGCCATCCAGCACTGAAAACAAGATATAATCGAAGAATCTCATATCAGCATGCAAAACAGGAGGATTCAAGAGTGATCAGGCTATGGTTTGAGACTGTTTATGAGGCTATTCAGGAACTTGAAGATGATATTTGGAATTTTGATGAAACTGGCTTTGCAATGGGACTCTGTGTCACGGAACCCAACTAGACGATGAATAGGATGCTATTCGACTATCTAGGCAGCTATTGACGAGAACTTCAAGCATGGAGAGGAGGGAAAAGGGAAGAGATCTACGTGAAGCTGGACGACGTATTCCTATCCACGCGCCACGCTAATCCAAATAAGGAAACTCACGTGCTCGTCCTGGTCTACATGGCAAGGGCCCTGACATCAAGTGGTTGGAGAAGATGGGATGAATAAGGAGGATACAAAGGCAAATAATAGCATGCTCCTTACAGAATTTATCAAATTCTGCAGTCAAATGGCTACTATGGCCATAAAGAATAAGTGTGACAGCGTGGAAAACAAGTACTATATAAGTGAGTGCAGTATCAGGTCTTACGACCTGATATCCTGGTCTTTTGCCGGTAGTGCGGCGGTTTAGTCCTTAGAATGCATCCTAGGAGCTAGGTAGTGACAATAAGTAGCCACTTTGAACCAACTGAATAGTGTTTAACTGAATAGTGTTTAGAATATGGTTCAAACACCTTGTAAGGGGGGGCATTCGTGCGTTGTTCCCTGCGACAGGAATCGGGTTGTGATCTGAGGGATCTCAGGGATGGACACACTGAACGATCTAGTAAGAAAATGATATAACGATAAAAGGAAACACAACAATGAAGGAGCCTCGCTCCGTTCTATACGATGATGACAATACTAGCGAAGCAACCTAGAAATTAGTATGTCGGAGACCGCGGCTCTACGGTGTTCTAAGATAGGAAATATGGGAGATCCGGGGTTTCGCAGTGCCCCCAGCACAACCTCTTTAAGCCAGCGTAGGCCTATTATATCAGTGGTCCAGCCATTCTGACTTGTTGCTATTCTCTAATCTTGAGAGAGAGCTGGTTCTTGATACCAGGAAGCTTGATGCTCATTGCCTTTCAGTATCACCACTGGAGGAATAAAACATTCATTTGATCCCACACATTCAATAATTGTGACCTATTTTTGATTTCCCTGAATAATTGTACATGGTATCTCACTGTGTTCAACTGCAGTAATAACTTCAGATGTTGTACAAAGACCTATAGCAAAGCCAGTCTCATCAAAATTCCAGATATTATCTTCATGGATACTATGCTCTTGAATAGCCTCCAATACCATATTAAACCATTGTTTTATAATCTTTGGATCCTTCTGCTTAGCCTACTGGTATGTGATTCGCTGATTAAACCATGTATGTAGTTGTGGGTGGCATTTAACAAAGGTAGATGCCCGGTCGACTCCTATATTTGGAGGAGAGGTAGAGCTCTGTTTTTGGAGTGGTATTTGAGCCATTTGACTTAGGAATTCTGGGCGAATTGAAAAGCCTCATTTATCTGCATTTAGGAGCTTCTTAACAAGAACTTCTTCTTGAATGGCTGATAATATATGATTATTTGGGCACGTTTCTGAGCGTGGCTTTCTTCCTTTTGAGGCGTTCACAGAGGGTAGTTTCAGATACACCGAAAACCTTGGCAGCTTGCCTTTTAGATGTAATCTTTTTTTGATTTATATGCAGATATAGCCATCTGAATACCAGATTCTCGAGATGCAGGCATTTTGAATTGAAATGGTGAAGATATAATGTGTTGAAGGATGGGGTGGTTGAATATTTGATGGTTGCCGAGAAAACGCGCCGCCCGCCCGTGGAATACGTTAGTTAACTAGTTAACTAAGGTATGCTTAGTCATATCGTGCTTAGTTAGCAGCAAGCTTCTGCGAACTAGCCCGTTCTGGGCATTGCGATTGGGCCATCGGCCGCAACAGCTTCACTCGCGAATTCAACACGCCGCGGTATTGTTGTCCTGTCTTGCCCATTGAATATATAGCAGGTCTTGCAGTGAATGAAACTCATTCCCCGAACCCTTGAAGGGTTTTATTTTCGCCATGCCCGCCTCCGACCGCTTCCACCGTGCAGCAAGGCTCTTGTCCCCGTCGCGTCACAGTCCCGAGCCAGAGCAGGACCACCGGTCCCCTTTCCGTCGAGCACGTCGCGGTACTCGCGTTTCTGACCATATCAATTTGCCTCGGGCACCTAGCCCTTCGTACACATACCCTCGGTCTCCCCGAAGGAGTACCAGCCACTCGAGGACGTCGAGAAGAACAACGGAAGCCACATACAACGAAGACGCGCTCGCGTCCAATCCCTTCACTACCACTACCACACCAAGCCCACGAAGGAGGCGACGGGGGCTTTTCCCAGAGATGCTTCCAGGATCGCGACCTCCGATCCCTCCTGAAGAGTTGTCTGAAGTCTACGGAAGAATCGACGACGAGACCAGTCTGGTCGACGAAGTGGATGGTGAGGAATTCGACGAGCCGCTGGACGGTGATGTGGATGAGCCTAATCATATATCGAATTACTTGGACAATTATACGGATGAGTTGCATCGTAGGAGACTCAGTGATTATGCTAGGGACGAGCAACGACTGAAAAGCGTTACTGCCAGGGATGCTCCCGTCTTCAGCAAAGCCAAAGTCGGTATTAGAGGAGGCTTAAGTGCGGGAAATCTACAACGGCGTGACAGGGAATCCCAGCCTCTAAGTGAAGAGGGAGAAGATGGCGGATTTGAACCTCCGGTCAACATCCCGTCTAATTGGAGTTCTCGATCCAATAACCTTCACCGTTGGAATAGGGAGAACGGAATTGGATCCCAGGATGAAGAGTCCGAATACGATCCACTCCGAGAAACGAGACGTGAAATTAATTTGAATACAAAAACACGGCGGATATCCGACCACCTTCATAGACAGGACAAAACAAATGGTCTAGTGACTGGTACTCACGGCGAACCAGAAAATGATCTGGGGGGCGATGATGTATCCAAGGATCTATTCTCTATACAGGACCAGAAATTAACAGAAGAAACTCCAGTCTTTGACGTCCCAGTCACCATTTACAAGAGTTCTACGTTTAACAAACCCAGCCCAAGGAAAAGAGACTCCCAAGATCTACTCCGCAGGTTGGCACGGGCGGAAAGTCCAGGTCAATTGAAGACGCCAGAGCCACAGAAGCCCCCGGGCCCGCGAATCTATGATAAAACACCCGTTGTAACGGGTGCATACATAGACACCCCGATGACCGAGCGGGCAGCAGAACCTCCAGAAGATTTGTCGAAGGCTGTTATCAAATCGGATGAGGAGCCTCAAGAGCTGTCTCAGCGGTCGGAATCCCAGGTCGACCTGAAGCCCATACTAGAAGTGCAATCGTATAAGGATAGAGCGAAGCCACCTTTAAAAAGACCAAAATTACCGAAGAGCGGCCTAGAAGCGATTATCGAGGATTCCAAATCTGGCGGTCTTTCCGACCCCTTGGGCGACAGTACAATCGAGTCCCTGGAGGGACTTAAAGAGTCGAATCAACATAAAACAGGCGAAGGTGAGGAAGAGAGTTCAGATGATGCATATCTGAAGGCTGTTGAGGAAGATCTAGCACGGGAAGCTAAGCAACCAGAGCGCGAACCAAACGCAGAACTCGAGGAACTGAAAGCGCAGCGCCAGGCTTTGTTGGACAGGATCGCTCAAATAGAAAAGGATCCCAGCAGTCTGGAAAAGCGACCTCTTCTGAATGAAAAGGAACCAAGCCATTCATCCGATGAAGCTGGGGGAAAAGAGCACATACAGACGAAGCCTACCTGCTACCCTGGTCAGCGCTGTGAGAAATGCGGCGCGTACAATGACGGCCGTATATACATTGCTGTTCCTCTTCCAAGATTGTGGAGGCGCGATCCACTATCTCGACGCATCCGACTTACTCCCCTGGGCTGGTGCACCCTGCTTTTCATCTTCTGGTTCTGTTCCGAGTCGACTATGTGTGACTATTACTGCCATCCCCTGATCGCGGAAGTCTGTGAGGGTAACTGCCTAATGTCAAACGCGCCAAAATTTCCCTTTGTGATTCCGACAATGTTATGGCGCTGGCTGCACCTCGAGGCAATCTTCACTCCGATCTTGGCCATTACCGTTGCGTTCTTCCGCTTGATACTACAAGTCCTGGGATTCTGGGATGGTTTCGTAGACGAACCACATTCTACACATTTGAATCTACCAACAGACTTGAAAACGGCTATCCATGGCAGCAGTGTGACCGATATCCCTGTCCCCGGGATTTCCACTACACCCAAGGTGGTGGTCTCTCAAACCGCAACTTCTCAGGAACCATGGCCTGGATACGACGAATTCGCATTTAAACTCCAAGAAAGCCGGGACTTTCAACGCGGCAACATGAGATGGGATGATTCTATGGAAGATGATGAATATATCTAGCAAATGAGCCAAGCTGCCTCCCTAGGTATGTACATATTTAAGAGGGGTTTGCACAGTCCTTCCCTGACACTTTTATTTCTCAATGATTACTTTCCCCCCATTTTTCATCTATTATTCCCCCCTGTCCAACGTCTTCGTTCTTCTTTCGATGCATGCATTGTCCTGGAGTTTGCAGGTTACGGTTCGGGGGATAACAGGAGGAGATAAATGGGTTTGAAATGTCTGGATTCACATACTACATGCCTCATGAATGGTGAAATTAGCTAGGCGTTGCGTTTTCAATTCATTTTTGTGTCTTTTATTTTCCGCCTTCATCCCCATTATTCTTCGATACTCCCAAAAGTCTGTTTAACCTTATGTCCTTTCAACCTCAGTGAAAATGAAATCAGAAGAACATGTCATGTGTTACTGTAACATATCACTTATGTTCGTTCAATTTAATAATAATAATTCTAGTCAAGACTGACAAGCATATCTATCTATATACTATGAATGTATATGAAAGCACAGTATGTATTTCCCAGGACACAAAAAGAAAGGGTATCAAGTTCAAGAAAAGCAGCATCATAGGTATCATTACAGCCTCGCTCTCTCCTTCCACTCACTCAGCAACTGTCTCTCAGCCTCTACCCTCCATCGCTGACTTTTCCTCAGTCGCTCATCGACTTCCTCATCACTCAACAGATCAAGACTGTCCAAGGGCACTTCCTGGACCGACTGTATCATGGGACCAAGCCGTGTAAGGTTTCCCGTACTCCCGACACGACCGGCGACGGCATCGCGACAGAATCCGGTCAGGCCTTTAAAGAAGCGGCGGCCGGCGTGAGTGTTGATCATCATGAGTCCGTGACAGTGCGGCATGCCCTCGAACTGTTCGACCACAACGGGGGCTCCGGCTTGATACATTTTCCGCGCGAGGATCAGATCTTCGTCTGCGAGAGCCTCCTCGCCCAGACTGATGAAGACGGGAGGCGCGTTTTTCCAGAGTTCCTTGCGGGCGGCGAGCGGCGATACGAGGGGATGTAGGGTGGTGCTGGCGTTGATGAACAAGTCGACACGGGGAGGATTGGCGGGCCAAACATCGTCTGGAGGGAATGGCATCGGGTGGAATTCAGTCACCGGAGGAGCGGTTGGGGGATCGAGGTAGTCGTATTGCGCGTTGTTGAAGTGGGAGGGCATCGATCGGGTGAGGTCACACCAGGGCGAGATGGCCGCAATGCCGGCGGGTAATTCGATTGGCATTTCCCGTCCGTGGAAGCGAACCATCGGGGATACGCGCCGCAGTGTGAGAATGGTCTGCAGGAGCGCTAGGGAGAGGTTCCCTCCTGCAGAGTCGCCGGCGATGATGATCTTGTCCGCAGACACAGGCTGATGGAAGGACCCCGGCGGTGGGGATATGAGAGAAAGATATGCTACCAGCGCATCAATGAGCGCAGCCGGGAAAGGATTTTGCGGAGCCAGACGGTATCGGACAGAAAGCACAGGTGCCCCTGTCTTCTTCGACAGGTGAGAGACAGGGACACGATGGGTGCAAGGGTCCATCAGACTGTTTGAAGAGGTCAGATTTCTGTACTCCAACCAGATGCCAGATACATGCTTGGGGTTCACTTACAAGTACGCTCCTCCATGAAGATACAGGATGACCATATCCGCTGGTGCCTCCTTTCGCAGCTCTCTGTATTTCTCCTCTTCTGAAATATCGGGAAGCGGCGCATCCTTGTTAACGCCGCTTCGGTAGCCGGTCCATTCGGCCTCGACGGGGACAACATCCGGGATACTATACGTTTCGCCGTCTGTTTTCAAATCCTCGATCGCTTTAAGAACAGCCTCTCGGACATCGTCCTCGGGTCTAGGCAGTGTGACATTGGAAATCCACATGGGACCCTTGACGCCGGGATCGCGAATGGTCTTCTTCTGCGCTGTGCCGACGCCTAAGTTGAAAGTCATGAAGGAACGAACGATGGCGACTGTCAATTCAGTGCGCATATCTTGCTTCCCAGCAACAGACGACATGCCGAGGCCCCGCAGAATGACTCTCTTCAGAATAAGAGGCGCCCTCGAGAAGAGCAGCCGTAGAAGTCCTAGAGACACCATGGTGGCAGATCGCACTTGGTGAGATACAAGGCCCAGAAGAGCGCTCTGAAAGAAGGGAAGAAGGAAAAGCTTTTAAGAATATATAAATACCCCTTGTGAAAAAGAAGATTAAAAGCCGAGGCAGATCCGATCCATGGAACGCGGGGATTTTTGGCTGGCGCCAACCTTAACTTGCAGAATAATCGGCGATGCGCCACCGTTCTGGAATTTCTATGAACAAGGGAGCAATAGTAATGGGAGAAGCCTTGGCTGAGGCATAGACAGGGGATCGCAGGAGAGCTACATATGGCCGATTCCTAAGATGAACGAGTAACTTCTGACTCCTGAACAACCATTGTATTCGGCGTGTTAATCCTGCGCTGCATTTACAGCCGGCGCAGAGGTCCTATAATCAATTATTAATATCATGGATTTTATCAGTACCGAGCTTTCCTGCATCGGTCGCTTCAGCGCCATTCATAGTATCATGGGTTTTCGCAACAGGCGCAGAGCCGCTTTGGAGCATTTCTCTATATACTTCCTGCTCGTCTTCTTTCAAACCAAAGCCGGAAGGATCCCGACGGATCAGAAATTGTTTTACTCGGGCCTCGGACGAACCGGGCTGGTCCACGGTCTCCCCTCGTCGGCGAGTGAGGAATCGGGCAGACTTCTCGTTAACATCCCGAATCCTCTGCTCGTATCCAGTATTGTACCGGCCAATCATGCTCAACTGAATAGCGCCCCCGAATAGCGCAAGAAGAATAATCAACTTTGCAAAGGTCCTGTGGTCGACAACAGTCTGCTGTTTTCCATTATGCCTGTTACGGAATCTCTCCGAGTCCTCCCAGGTTGCATTAGTATATACCGGATTCGACCGCATCCAAGAGGGCGGGGTATTCGCGTGGACTGCGCCAGTGCGATAATTCCATCCAGCACCGAATCGATCGTACGCTGCCCGCTTCGCTGGGTCGGAAAGGATTTCATGGGCGGCCACGATCAAGCGGTAACGATGCAGCCTCACTTCCGGTGAGATATCCTTGCATAACGGATGACCGTTACATGGCCGATCCGGATGGTAGATCTTGACGAGGTCGTAGAAGCGAGCCTTTGAATATGGCGCATCCGGTTTCTGTTTGAAGATATCGTAGGGGGTGAAAGGCGTAGTCGCCGGCCAGGAGAGATCATCATTGAAGTTATTCTGGGCCGTGGCATAGGGTCGGCATGGCTGCGAGGAAAATGGATGTGGAAGCAGAATGCCCCGGTTCGCTGCGGAGGGCGGGAATGACGGTGGTGAGGGAATCAGCAGCTGGAGTCCGCCACAACAGAAGATATTGAATTTCTTAAGCATGGTGGCATGATTTTGGAGAGGATGGCATTGCGTTGCACCACATGCTCCTCTCAGAATGTATGGAAGTTGGGACAGCAAGAATTGAATGAGAGACGACGAGGTGATCTCGCTCTCTCCAACTCCGACAGACCATCACGATCGGTCACGTGACTAGGAGCACCAGTTCCGATGCTGAAAACATTTTGGGGCACTCGAGTTGGAGCTTCTCCTGAGCCACGCCCACAATGGCTGACTCCGATTACAGCGGTCGCCGTCATCGACGTCGATCACTCTCAGCATCCTCTGGTTCTGACCGTGACCGAAAGCGGGTTTCCCGAGAAAAGGTCTACAGCAGTAGTTCCAGACGTCGAGACGATTACCGAAGCTCCCACGGGAGGAAGCGCTTGTCCCCTAGCTCATCTAGCAGAGACAGTCATAGAAGAGATGGCGATTATCGTCCCCTTGAGCACAGAGGCCATGAAGAAAAGAGAGAGAGGCCAGAGGACGATCGAAGACGCAGTGAAGGTCATCGCTCTCGACGACATCGCGAGCGTGACTCGCGCAACGACAGAGACAGACCGTCAAGAACACGTCGAAGCATTTCCCGTTCTCGCTCCCCCATTTCACGCGCCCGAAACTCATCACCGCGGGGCGTTCAACGGTCAAAGGGCCCCCTTCCATCTCAGTTAGAAGCGTTCACGTCGAACGAGGTGTCTAGAACAGGGAGGACTTCACCACCTCCACCTGAGAAGGAAAAGCCCAATTTCGCGCCTACGGGTCGGTTGGCTGCAGAGAGTAACACAGTGACTGTGAACGGAAGTGCAGTCGTTCTCAAGTACCATGAACCACCTGAAGCACGAAAGCCACCCGCTAAAGAACCTTGGCGTCTCTACGTGTTCAAGGGGGATGACCTGCTTGAAGTAGTCGAACTGAGTGAGCGCAGCTGTTGGCTGGTCGGGAGAGAAAGGCTTGTGGTGGATTTCCCTCTTGATCATCCGAGCTGCTCCAAGCAGCATGCGGCGATCCAGTTTCGCTTTGTGGAGAAGAGGAACGAGTTTGGGGACAAAATAGGACGGGTTAGGCCGTATCTAATAGATCTAGACAGTGCAAACGGGTCGAGTGTGAACGGCGATCCAATCCCCCCAAGTCGCTACGTGGAGTTAAGGGACAAAGACGTTGTACGATTCGGACATAGTTCTCGAGAATATGTTCTCATGCTGCCTCCACCGGAATAATCAGTTGACTTGAATGAGACTTCGTCTCGTGCATACGATATCAGTCTATTTAAACTTGCGACGAGCGACTTCTAACAGTGGAGGAATTATCCATTTGTTATATACACAGCAGAAATGGGAAACACATGAAACAGTTGACAATCGCCACATCCTATTCTCTCTTCATTTGGATACTATCATAGCGGCAAATGATACCCGATTCAACCGGTTTTGCCTGCTAGACCTCTAGCTGTGGACCTTGACTCGTCGAGAGCTTCTTCAGCCTTGCGTCCACCTTGGCCTGCCACTTCAGCAACGTCTCCCTTCATTCTTTCGGTCCTGAACTTGGCCTCCTTATTCGTGATCTGGACGGCATCCTTGAGTTTGTCTCGGGCTTGTTCTGCACATAACAGACGATATCAGTCTTCCGAATTTGGGAAATGGGAAGTTGCGATTTTCGGGAGAAACAATAATGATCCAAAAGAAGTCTTGTCTTTTGACATACCTCCCTTCTCAATACCCTTCACAGCGGCACCGGAAACTGTTCTATCCGCCTTCCTAAGTGTGTCTCTGGCTACGCCGACAGGACCCCTGTTCAGTCGAGCCGTTGAGGACATAGACCTAGCCGCAGTCACGGACAAGGCAGGGGAGATTCTGGCCGTAGCATGCACCGTATTGACCCGAGCAAGGAACGACATTTTCAGCGAAATCCAGTTGAGCTATAGACAAAAAAATATATCTCCGTTGAAGGATAAGATGAACTAGAAACAAACTGTCATATTATTAGTCCTATATATCAGTTCTCAGTATTGCTCTCTTCGCCTCTTATACCCTTGCCTCCCAACTATTTCTTCCCCCTTTGTGCTGTCACAAATTGACGTCATCCTACAAGACGGTTCGCCAGCACTGAAGCCAATCTTACGTCGATGCATTGTAAGAGCCATCCGTCTATATGGGCTCATAGCTCATAGTAAGGCTGTGAGTTTTGAAATTGGCATGGATCGCTGGACTCCATTGATGGGGGGATGCAGTCATAATCTGGGGTATGTGTCAGTCTCGACGATCAGAGCCCCGTAAATTATGTTACTTAATGTTACTCATGAGTTCTAGTATAGCCCAAATTATAAACTCCATGTTCTCCCTACTGGATCACCGTTGACGAAAATGTTATTTCCGTAGGTGTGTCGCGTTTCTCATGGATTGGGGACTATATTACCTACAGTTTCACTTATGGTAAATGCTTATGACCGGCATTTCTTCGCAGGTTTGATTGAATAGAAACAGTGAGTCCTGTTCCAGGCGAGAAGTAATCAAGTTAACCGTTCGGCGTTTGTAGATCACAGGGCGGCTATATTGCTTAGGAGTAACGGAGTATATATAGAATCTATCAGTTCTTTTCAATATCGAACTCAGTTTCCTTCGTCATAGAGAGATCCGAACTCTCTTGTTGTCCCACTGCAACGCTGCCCTGAAAGGCATCACTTGAATCACTGGAAGGGAGTGTCCTTCTTTTGCTAGCTCCAAGCATGAAGACTAAGAGAACAATAGAGCCTATAAATAAGACAGGCATAAGACCCATGACTATATCTACAAGCTTGTCTCCAAATAGATCGTTGAGAAAGATAGAAGTTGGAGCAAGGACACTGATGATCGCAACGCGGATAGGATACGTGTAGGAAGGAGACATGGACTCTGACGACTCGGGAACGGTAGCAGCAAGAGTCGACAGATCATCGCTGCTCGTCTGAATCTGGAGCAAAGACGATGATCTCAAGGTCCGGACTTCCATGGTCTGTTCACTCTCAGTCGCTGTCCACTGTATCTTAACTGGGAGTTCGATAGGGTTGCGTTCGATAATCGAGGACAGAAGAATGGCGTCTGCGAATGGGAACCATGGGAGGTTAGCACCATCCGCAAATCCTCTTCGTGCAGTCACGTTGACGATCTGCGTTTTGTCTTCATTGCCATGCACGTCGGCAAATGGCTGTCGAACAGGCAATGGTTCTGCTCCAGAAATTGAGAGTCTCGAGTCTTCGAGGTTCAGTTGATAATCCAACGCAAAGCCGTCATAGTCCTCCGCGAGGCCGAAGCTTTCGAACCTAGATTCAGGAACTATCAGCATTCAAATTCAAGGACCAGAGGAAGTGATTGCCTACTGGTAGACTCTTGTGAGTTCGTTGCCTGACCGTAGGGTATGGGCAACGTAATTACACTTGTCGCTATAGCCGTGTTCACGAGAAGGAAACGGAAGCACAACCCATAGAAAAGCAAGAGTAAGCCATGACAGAACGGCCCCTAAAAGAAGCCGCAATACAACGCGGCGTACCAGGCTGCATACATACATCTTTTAAAAAGGAGTATGCAAATAACAGTCTAAGGTGATGACGGAAATCAGGAGGAAGCAGAAGTAGCGAAGACAGATGCAAGATGATGCACATGACAATTGCTTATATCATCATGCCATGGGTTAGTTTAGTTTTAACCATACCACTGCTCACAGTGTAGTGGAGGTAGAGGTAGTAAATACCAACGCTGGTTATCGACTGGGCATACAAGTACAGTCGATCATAAGCATACGAAAGGCTCCTCTCACTTCCCCCGGAAAGCCGGCTTTCTTCTCTCGATGAACGCCCTGAGAGCCTCGACCCGGTCATCCGTTCCCAACACACCCTCATACGCCTCATTCTCGGCCTCTTCGCCCCTCTCAAACCCTTCTACAGCCTTCAGTGCCTGCTTGATAGCAATGGGACCTCCCTCTGAAATTTCCAGGGCAAGATTGATCGCTTCTTTCAGAACCTTCGCTCTCGCAACGCCCTCCTTTTCCAACTCCTCTGGCAGCACCTCGACGAGGCGATCACAAAGTCCAATGAAATAGGCCTCGGGTCCTGAGACGCGACGGCCTGTCAGGATCATGTCTCTCGCGCGGTTCACTCCTATCAACCTGGGGAGGCGGTAGGTGCCGCCGGCTCCCGGGATGATGGCCAGCCTGGTCTCAGGGAGGCCGACAATGCTGGATGACCCAAAGACGCGTAGATGTGTGCATAGTGCGAGTTCCAGACCACCCCCGAGCGCCGTAGAATCAATAGCAGATATCGTGGGAATCTGTAATGCTGATAGATCACGAAACGTGGCTCGGAGTTTTGATAAGAATTCCTGGGTTCTGTAGATGAAGGAAAGAAAGTGACATTAAGTTTCAGTCTTTAACAAACAAAGAGACAATCGAGGAACCGGGGGGGAATGTTTCCTACGCACTCTTGACTTGTCATGTTCGCTCGCTCCTTCAGGTCTGCTCCCGCACAGAATGCCGAGTCGACATTACTAGCAAGCACCAAGGCTCTGGTTGGGCCATTTCCTTGTTCGGATGATATTGAGCGGATGTGTTCGGACAGGCTGTCTACCAATTGTCTTGAGAGGGCATTTCTGGCCTTGGGTCTATTCAGCTGAAGCACCCTGATATGTCCCGAGCCCGGTGCGGGGATCTGTTGAGGTTTGATCACGGCATCTTCGGAGGCAGTACTAAATCTGGAAACAGTAACTCGAATTTGCAAGGCAGATCGCCAGCCAAATGGTAGCGACGAGTAACAAGCGAGTCGCGGAGTCATGTTGCAGTTGTCAATGGCAGCTCTGATCGTTGAAACTGGAGCTTGAAGCTGGATGTGGAGAAGCTGCAAGGATTCATTTAGCTCGGCAATGCTAAGAAGTGTGGGGAAATGGAAGATGGAACACGCATGGATTTCAATCAGGGTATCTACCAAGTACAAATCGTCTATAGCAAACAAAACAGAAAAATATCTACTGCCTTCGGCTACGCCTCGTCTCCTCCATGTCCGGATATATACTCCTGCACCTCCTCGTCGGTTGGCCATGATCCCCACTCAGGAGTCGCTTCGATGATATCATGCGCTTCTTGGACGACTGGATCCGAGAAGACAAGTGAATCATTATGACATCCTCCATTGCAAACCATACTCTCACTCATAAAGCCATGATTGAATGGGAAAGACCACGTCCGGTTGATTGCTGATACCGACCACTTCCTTTGGTTCCAGGAGCCTTCAAGGAATACACGAATCGCTACCAAGCAGCGTCGTGTCATCCTTTCACCGTTTGAAAGTTCATCGGAGACTTCTTTCAGGGAGGCTGCAGATTGACTCATCCAACGAAGGAGATTCAACAGACCATCGGAATCTTCAGCGACCCCCAGAGCTCTGATGAATGCATGGAGAGCAGCTGGAAAGGGGACATGAAGCATCGGAAGAGGCTCAATTTCGGGTCTAGGACCATTGTTCGGGGCAAACAAACGGGTCCTGGGATTCGGAAGGACAAGCTGATCAAAATGGTCCTTAAGGATACGGAGTCCGCCATTGACCATATCCTCAAACGTCTCGTAGACACGTTTGGGATGCGCCGTTTTTCTGTTCCAAGTAGCTCCTCTCACCATCGCCAGACCTCTTGCCGCAGAATCCGAACGTACAACACCAGCCACCACTGCTCCTAAGAACCCCTGACAAAGATACATAAACCCCCGGAAGCCAGAGTTAACCTGAAGATCTTCCATCCAGTCAAAGACCTCTGAAATTTCATGCCAAGCAAGAATGCGCTGAACACTCCGACTAAACTTCAAACTGGTCCGATCGTGGGCGAGACATGATAGGAGGCTGATCCATGCCGGGCTATACTCTGTTTTCCGCAGCCGCAATAGCTGAACAGCCTTCCGTAGCGCTTGTGGGTGAGGTATATCTTCAGCCGCCGCTGACGTCTCAGCATGCTGAAATAGTGTTGTCGCCTTGGACGCAGCCACCCTGTCCTCGCCCATAGCTATCGGGAAAACATCGGCAGTAGAGACATCATGCCCAGCTTTGTACAGGGGATCAAAATTCGAAGATTTGCACAGGAACTCTATGAAGGCCGCAAAAATATAGACTGGCAACTCATGCAGGGCCCGGGCATCCCGAACGGTGTAGTCCGAGAGTTTACAGGGAATACTGCACAGGACTTCAATCTGGCTTGCGGGAAGGTCACTGCGACGGAGATAATGCAGGCCTGAATTGAAAGTAGGAGCAAAGCGCAATAGCAATGCCAGAAATCTTCCGCTGGGTCGTATCCCTTGCGCAAACATCTGCTGAAGGAAATCCTCCAATGTTGGCGGTTCTGTACGGACGTATATCACATCCCGAGCAGAGGCAGGTTCTGGAAATACCTCTAGGCAGTCACCAGGTAGAGCGAGTGTTGTTTTCTCGAATCCGTTCTCAATCGCCTTTTTTCGGTAGATAAGCTTTTCTGCCATTGCAGCATAGATACCCGCGCGCAGAGGAAACCCTTGATCTTGGTAAGACAAAAAGCATGCCCAGGCTTCCCGTACTGTGCGTGTGGCGCGTATTCGAGCTATCCAAATAACTTCTTGGTCTGGTGCACCCGGGTGTCGTCCACGCAAAGAGCGGGACCGAGGCATCAGGGCTCTAGTCTGAATTGTTGGACTTCTGTCAGTGTCCCAGCCAGCTAAAATAGACGCGACTTCTTCCCAACGAGTGCGAGAATAACCAGCCCCTGTCATTTGAGCCATGACTTGTATTGCACGGCTCTCCATACCCTCAATGCCCCTTTCAGAGTCGATTCCCAGCTTGTCTTCCTTCCATGGCGGCCAGGAGGGAGCTTTCAATTCCGCGGACTGCCTCTCTGCTGGCGTCTTTTTATGGGCAAGCTGGACGGCAATTATACCCTGATAGCCTCGTCGCTCGACGGGAAGGATGGGCTTATGTGAGGCCATTATCTTTAGGATCTCGAACTGCGCTCGTTGCTGGATAGGGATCGACACGAATGGGTTTTGTTTGGAGGGTAACGAAAGAAGCCAGAGAAGTCGGTTGAATTTCTCTGTTTTGAACTGATTCAACTCGAACTCTACCTCCGCTAGGGACTTCCTCTTGCTTGTATTCGACTCGTCAATGCTCAAATCACTCAGATACTGTGCAAATGCACGCGCTATGAGGAGCTGTGCCTGCGGCCAAACCTGACGAGCGTGGCGAAGCAGGCGAATAACGAGGCTCATACATGTAGGAGGTTCCATTGAGGACTTCATCTGCCGACGTGACTCAGATTGGACACCAGATTCTGAGTCTTCAGACCCTACTCTATAACGAGGACTTGGAGGCGGTTGGCCGCTGATGAGATGCAAACAATAGATAAGTAGCAGACGAAACGTCCTAGCATCCGAGACCGATCGTCGTAACAGAAAGAGCGGAATGAAAAGTGGAACGCCCCTACTAGAAGGCCCATGTTTCATTCTAAGGTCTTCTTCCAGAACAAGGATACGCAGAATTGCCTCGTGGTTGTTCTTACTCCGGAGTATCCACGCCCAAGCTACCACGTCCATAGGATGATAACCCCTGTTTTTTAGATACTTGACGTTCTCAGCAGAGAACGCTATTTTCAAAGCATCGTTCAACCGAGAAGAACCGGATGTCCATTTCCCATCCCGCAAGTCAAATGTCCGGGTCAAGAGAGGCTCAACGAATCGTATGTAATCTGCGACAACTGTCTGAAGAGACAGCCTGCATCCTCTCGATTGTTTCTTATGTCCACCATATTTCTGTTTTTGCATAGTTTCCGGATGCAGAGTATAGGGTAGCGTTGGCTCAGCCTCCGAATGAGGCGCACTGTCGGACTCATGCCTAGCATGCCGAAGAGCAGACAACAGGTACTTGGTAGGTCCTGCTGGTTTCAGGGATGCCTTTCGCCTCTGGTGGGGATTCAGAGACTGGCCCTCCTGCGTTGAATGGCGTGCAACCCAATCATCGATCTGGGAGTGAGATCGCAGCCCATTCCACATATCATAGGAAGTATCCTCATTTTGCTGGCTCCCTCGCACCTCCGTTCGCAGAATAGCTGGGTCGGTACAGGTTGAGAATTCCTGTGACCGTACATGGCAGCAAGCAACAACGTTCGCCAAATAGGAAAAATTAACGCCCTAGAATGGAAAAGAATCAGCAAAGGAGCAAACCCCATCAAAGAAACACTGCAGGAAACCGCTACCTTCCGGCAGTTGAGCAATTGAGCCACTCTTAACGACAGAACCCCCGAATAGCTCGGAACATGATTCAAAGCCACTGACATCCATGTAGAGAATCATGTGGAAGCCGCTGCAGAGTGTAGACCGGACGCGCTGGGGAGATAATCGAGGCCGGTCAAAGTGCTTTCGCAGCGAAATTAAAACCAATGTCACGTGTTACATCACGTGCGTGCCGTCGCGGGAGGAGAAACGATCTCCCTCGCAGTTCCGGCCACTGCTCCAGCTCGACAGGCATAGGATCTCCCTCAGGCTTTTCTCAGTCGTATTTCTTTTTCATTTTATTAACTCTTCGACTGAAGTCTGTCCAGTGACCTTCCTATTTCCTTCTGGACTTCCGCGTTGTGGTGGCGTTGGCGTTCAACGGTATTGAATCCTCTCTGGTCGCGAACGCATCCTCTTAAATCGTACTGGGCCGTCGCCCTCGCATTGGTGCACCCGCTCGTAGATCGAGGACCCTAGCACGCAAGCTCCCCTGTGGATGGGAATCTCGTGTACACACACTTTCCAGTCGTCTTGGACTGGTTTGCGTATTTCTCTTTGAGTGTGGTGTTCTAACCGCCGTGGGATTCCTTAACGATTAACGGGCGTCGCCAGTGTTTTCGCGTCACAGAAACATCGCAGACCCGGCCGATCTAAAAGTCATGAGCGCCGACGAAGGCGGAGACGCCAGCTCGATGCCCACCATAAACGGTGAACCCAATCCCATCACTTCCGATCTACCGGCGCCGTCGACAACGGGAAAGCGAAAGCGCGTGCAGAGTCATGATGAGAAGTCTGCTCAAGATCACAATTCGCCTGCCGCCCAGTCGCAGGAAAAGACAAAACTCGCGGAGACTTTGCGAAATGTCGTCAAGATATTGACTAAGTACGCGTTCCGTTTTGATTTTAGTAATAGTTCTGCATTATTTGACACTAACAAACAAAAATTTTTCTACTAGGGACGACGAGGATCTCCAACTCCTGACGTGTCCGTTACCTTCATCATCTTCTAAACCGCGATCGAAGCGAGCAAAGGTGTCTGAAGACAAGGACGATTCTACCAACGCTACCATACAGTCTCGAGTTGATTCGGGCCGTTATGGCACTGTTCAAGAGTTCTTGAGCGATATTGAGAAGGCGTCTTCCTCGGTTATTGAAAGAAAACAATCTCAAGGAGTCACCACAAATGGTGGTTCGGCCGAAGGTGCACCCTTGACAGAGGTGGTTAACCGCATAGCAGCGTTCAAGAAGACTTTGAATACCCTCTTCCGTCAGGCATCGCATGAGAACAGATCCGATGTCAAAATGGAACATTCAGAAGATGATGCGGAGGCTCCAGCGAAATTTCCTAGCTCGAATGTGGGTGTTCGAGAAGAGAAAGTGGCATTAACCTTTTTTGGGAACCCTTCGAACCCGAAGCAACTATTCTCAAGTCTACAGAAATCCGTGAAGGTTCCGCTACCTTCCTTGGAGGATGGGCTGCAGAAATCTGTGGAGGTGCAGACACCACTGCGAGATAGTGCATTACCAAACGGTATCACCGCTACCAAAGTTGTTCCTTTTAATCCGAGTACCACACAGAGAAAGTTTGGTGAGGTATTCGCTCCACGCCTGACATTACCTCAGTTGGAACCACCACGCAAGACCAGGCCCCCTTCCAAGAACTGGATCGACCCTTTTGATGCGGCAACGGATATAACAGCTTTCCCGGGGGAATGGAACAATTACTCTTTGGCATATCTTCCGTCGGGTCTTTGGCTGCAATACGGCGGGATTACTTCGTCCCCTTCTTTTTGGGACCGTAAACAAAAACAGCAGCCTTTAGAGCAACGTGACAGTGGAGATGTTGCCAAGGAGAAGCCTGAAGACTCAACTTTGTGGACAGAAGATGACCCGACTGCTTTGCAGGGTGTTTATTCGTCGTTCGCACCTTCGTTTGACAGCTCTGGTGCTATTTTACAAGTGGACTCGAAAGACCTAGTGTGGTGGAATTCACGAGGGTCGAAGCGCCTGCAACAGCTACTCTCAATACAACAATCTGAAGGCTCTGGGGAACAGCAGCCTGACACAGTCGGCGAACTTGATGAAAGTTCTCTCGAAGAGTGTATCAAGGCTTTTGAACCTGATGAATCTGCAGGCGAGATTGCGCGTATTGATGCACACAAAGACCAAAAATTAAATGAAATGGATGAGGTCCTGGGCGAAGTCTCGGAGCTGCTAGAAACCCTCAGCTCCTACCAGAGAATCCGCAACTTGGACGCGCCAACTGCAAGTGGTCAGACTTCGAAAGGCGAGGAGAAATCTCCAGACCTCGGCACCCCCAGCACGCCGTCTGAAGCGGAACAGTGTGTCTTTGAGACATTGAAGTCCAGCCTGGTTGCTATTGTCTCTAACCTGCCACCTTATGCCGTTGCAAAATTGAATGGTGACCAATTAGCAGAACTCAACATTAGCCAGAGGCTAGTAGTTGACAACCCGGATTATTGCGGTACCATGGAAAAGGATGATTTCACATTACAGCAGGAGCGCGCAGCAGCTGTGGGCCATGGAAACATTCCGACCGGCCGGGCTTCTATAACTTCCTCTTCGCGTTCTAGAAGTTACCAGGGGTCGCAATCAGCGTATAACCAACGCGTGTATGCCGGCAATACGCGCGTTCAGCAAACAGCGCAGTACTACGGAAGGCAGCCAGCCTCAGGCGCTTATTCTCCGGGGCAATTTTCGGGGCCTGTTGCACCGGCCACTCCATCCCAGCGCTCCTATATTGCGCCGTATTCAACTCCTCAATACAATCTCCAGCGACAAGCACAAAATGGTTATAATCCCTATTCGGGGCAGCCGGGTACACCGTCAGCGCAGGTGTCCCCGCAGCAATACACAACACGGGGTCCTCAGCCCTACAACGCCGCGTTCGGTGGAGCGCGGAGTGCGTCTCCCCAGAAGCAGCCTACCTATGGCGCTCAACAGCGAACGCCTTATGCAGCCACAGGCGCCAACACCCCACAGCAGCGATATCTGGCTCAGCAACAACACCCCAACTACGCCAATTATCCATCGAACCAAGCCCCGCCATCCTCGACTCCTTACCAAGCTTCCACAGTCCCGGCGTCGTATGCAAGAACTGCCTCTGAGCAAGCTACTCTGATGGATCGTAACAAGACACAGCTAGCAGCAAGCCAGAGTCGGCGAGGGTCTGCAACACCACAGCCAGGTTTCTCACGGCAGCAATCGCAAAGCAGCGAACAGGGAAGAAGTGCCACCCCACGGAAGCAGACCAACACCCCTGTTCCTGCATGAAGTGAATAGAGTAATGGTGAGGATTATACGAGTCCCTCATGATTCTTTTGACTTTTTTTCTTTTCTTTCTTTTCAATCTCTTAGACGCGGGACTTGGGTAGCGGACAATGTTATGGAGTTGTCACATTTCGTGTTGATTGACAGTTATTATTATCTGTTCTTTCTCGCCTCTTCATCGGAACTGCTCCGTACTTGAGATATTATTAGACCTTGTTGCCCTGCGAAGAACAAAAAAGGCTCAGTTTATTGAAGCTCGCATTGACTCGTGTTGTATTAATTCCGACGATTATGGACCTTGTTTTTAGAAGAGGAAGGCGACTTTACCTGTTTGATCTGATATCAAACTATTCGTATCCAGCTTTTATTATTGATTGTTCTGATAGAGAACTCAATCTTTTCTTTCCTATTTTTTCTTCCTGCAGGTTCGAAAGTTAGTTATCTTTAACTGCAGGGATGAATTACGTCAGCTAGAAAGTACTTCTATGGAGACGTAAGGTAGCAAGCAGTTCACTCACTCGAAGAATACAATCAACCCGCTAGAAGCTACTGAACAGCAGACGATAACAGATTGAAAACAGAAGAGAGATAGAGGCGATTGTCAGAAGACTGAATCTGGCTAGTCAAGAGAGCAGTTCACTCCGAGAGCATCGTCTGCAGCCCGAAACAACCATACACAGCGTGTTGTTTCTCCGGACGCTGAAGACTCCTGCAGAACGTCTAATTAATCTCCCCCTTGATCGACACAAAAATGCCACATTGATGGGTCCAAGGCATGTACATCGCTCAACCAGGACCAAGGAAACTTATCACGTTTTGCTGCTCCGAAGGTCTACGGAGTAAAGCAAGAGCCAGAGGGTGTCCGCTATATTTAAATCCGCCATATTTCCCGAGGATCAAAATGGATGAAGAAAAACCAAACCCCTTGCTTGTTCTCTTATTTCTTCAGGATGAAGTCGACTGCTTCGATTGCGTTCTTATTGACATTGCTACCGGGTCTACCGGTGGCCTTTCGACTGGAGGATCTGAAGGTGCAGGCTGCCTACCATGTCATCTACTCGTATACGGGAGCAACGCCGCCGACAGAGCTATCGACTTACATCGAGCAAGGATTAGTGGGAGGTGTGATCCTATTCGGTGACAATGTCAATGACGACCTCCCCGCGGCAGTCGAGGGCTGGCAATCTGCCTATGCGAAGAGTCCAGCCTACAACGGGACGCCCCTTCTGATCATGACGGACCAAGAGGGTGGCGAGGTACGTCGACTACCAGGAGGCCCAGTTTCGTCAGAGAAGGAGATTGGACAAGCATCAGACCCCCAGCAAGCAGCAACACAGGCAGGTTCGGACGCTGCCTCCGCCCTCGCGGCATACAACATGAATGCCAACCTCGCGCCTGTCCTGGACATCTTTCGGACACCCGGCGACTTTGATGACCAGTACGGCCGGTCGTACAGCCAGAACGCCACGCTGGCTGGCATCTGCGGTGCGGCATTCACCACCGCGCAGCAAGGGAAGGGAGTACTTGCCACGGCAAAGCATTTCCCGGGCTTGGGCTCTGCTTCGTCAGACGAGAACACGGACGAAGTGCCCGTCCAGCTGAACGTCTCCCTTCATGATATCCGCTTCATCGACGAAGTGCCATACAAAGCAGCCATCGCTGCTGGTCTGGACATGGTCATGCCGTCGTGGGCGCTCTACCCGGCCTTTGACACAGAGTATCCGGCCGGTCTGAGCGAGAAATGGATTCAGCATGAACTGAGGGGTAGGTTGGGTTTCAAGGGTGTCACGATCAGCGATGCGATTGAGGCCGGTGCCCTTGAGGCGTTTGGGAATGATACAAATAGAGCTATCCTCGCCAGTCGCGCGGGCATGGATATCATTCTGGCTGCTGCAAAAAACGTCACGCAGGGCCAGGAGATTGTCACGGCGCTAGCTAAGGCATTGAGTGTAGGGACGCTGGATAGGAAGGCGTTTGATGAGGCCACGAGCAGAATTTTGAATATGCGGAAGAAGTTGGCAAAGTCAGCCTGAACATTATTTGCAGCGGTGGTTTGTTAGAGGGGTCTATGAAAAGGTAGGGATGTGGATATAGCAGAATGAACTCATGTACGTAGCTTTTGTTTAACCTCCATCATTGTTACTTGAATTATGTTGATGTATACTCATTTGTGCCGTATGCTAAACTTGACATGAAGAAAGTACAAAAGAAGTGCATTTGTACAGATACATACAAAGATACAGACATCTCAAAAGAAAATAATCACATACAGCCCATTTCCGCTTGCTGACTGAATTCCAAATGAACTCCAAAAGAGGGTATCAAGGCCCGTCAAGCTCGAATCCATCCGTTTCTCTCTTCGTTATTTCCTCCATAAATCTCTGGTATGAAGCATCAAGGGACCAACAAGGCAGCGCTTGTCATAATACAGAAATATCTGGAGAAAAAAGAGGGAAAATGAGTATAGATCAGACAATAATGAGGGTTGCATCAACTGTGAGAGGAAGGGGAAGCCCTACATAGCAACATACTTCCACCCATCTCGCGAATTAGTAAAACGCTCCAGATCTGTTAGGCAATTCGCAGCGACGGCGCCGCCGACAACGACCACCACAGCCAGACGTCCGGTGAACTCTGACACCATTCCGAATAATATCAAAGGCAATAGGATCGCCACGGCTGCGATGACACCGGGCGGATAGGTGGTGGTCCGATTAGGAGTGCGAGGAGTCTCCAACTCCGGTGCTGGCGCTGGCGGTGCAGCAAGAGATACGAGGTCTTTGTTGTATTCCAGGAAGTGAGCTTCCACGCTTGCAATCGGACGTCTCGCCTTCATCCAGGCACGGTAGGCGTTGATGTCCTTCTCCGAAGCAGGGTGGAGGGTCTGAAGGACTTTGCTGTAAGCACTGAGAGCATTGTCTATGTGAGAAGAAGAGAAGTTCTAATCAGTCTCCTCTTCCTCATCACTAAGTTCCCGAAGTAGAAAATACTCACTGTACTGCTCCGTCTTATGGATCAATGTGTCCATGAGTTCCAGGCGCCTGTAATGCAGCGATGAATGGAATTGGGATTGAACATCCATACGCCGCGAAGCTGGCATGACTCTTGTGCCTTCCTTCTCTGCTATAGCAATACGCTGCATCTCTTCGTACTCATCGAGTGCCCGAAGATCTTCTTCCATCTGCGCAATTTCATCTTGGAGGTGAAGAAGCACACGGTGGTTGACATTCTCAAACCTTCGGTAGAGCGGGGGTAATCGGGGGCCACTGTTGTCTGGAGACAGAGCCAGATGAGAGGCGAGAAACCCATACCCAGATTTCACGGGCTGTCGTTTGGGCCTCTTTGCCAGCTTTCGGCTACTCCGGTGGAGAGGATATTCACCCGGGCTTCTTGAACGGGACGGAGGAGTATCCAGTCTACGCACAGGGCCATTGTCCTGTGGTAGAGGAGCATAGTAGCCTTCCGGCATAGAGAAGTTCCAGGATGCGCTGTTTTCTGCAGGAATATAAGCGTCACTCTGGGGCGCCGGATAACCGTACATCCCCGTTGCTGGTGGCATTTGCGCTGGAGGGAGTTTTTTGCTCAATTGTAACGGATTAGCCACTGGTGATACATCTGGTGGAGTTGGGGGTTGCTGCGAGTTGGCTGACGTCTTAGACACCAATGAGGACACCAGACTAGGGCTGGTTGCTGTCTGTGATACAGAAGTATCACAGCGACGGCTGCTAGCTGCGGGTTTGACAGGGGGCCTCCGCCCTGTACGAAGGGCGTCGGGTCGGCGTCCTACGAGACGACGAGCCTGATTTAGTGGAATGGGGACTTTTGCTCTATCCTGAGACAGAGGTTTATCACTGGAAATATGGGAGTCATCGGAATCATGGGAATCGTGAGGATCATTGGCATTGTCAGAACTGCTAGAATCACCAGAGCTGTTGGAATCATCAGAGTCATGGGCATCGACGGAGTCATGGGAGTCATTAGAATTATCCGCCTTGCCAGAATTATCAGAGTCATCAGAGTCATCAGAGTCATCCGAATCGTCAGAGTCGTCAGAATCGTTGGAATCCTTAGAATCATCAGTATCGTCGGAGTCATCTTTGTCGAGGAAGTCGAAAACGTTGGGCTTCTGTTTTGCCGGTTCATTTAACTTGGCCGGCTGCGGCTGGGACTGCAGCTGAGGAGAGACTGGTGCCTTCTTGGAGAGATCTTTCTGCGAGGGCTCTTTCTGAAGAGCATCATGGCCAGGCGCGTCATCAGGCACACGAATGGATGCCGATGCCTGAGGGGCCTCCTTTCTAGGAATCGGCGGGTTATCCGGAACCTTAGGCGCTGATGGAGGATTTGCGGGCGCCAGGGGAACTCTCTTGCCCACGTCTCTTCGAAGTCTCCTACCACGAATAGAACCGACAGAGACATTTTTATGACGCCGCATTTCGATCGAAACGGTTCGAGATCAATGAGTCGTAGTTGGAACGTTGCAGAGCCGCGGGTTTCCGGTGCGCGTGCAAACGGAAATAGTTCAATTTTGTATGGATATCCGATCCAGTAGATTCTATCTGTATAGAAACGAGACCGTCAATGTCCTAACGTAGGAGATACATTGGGGAATAGGCGTTGGACGGTCGCTCGAGTGGAAGTTGGAGGTTCTTTGTTTCTGGCAGGCAGAGAGCAGCAAAACGAGTACCTCAACGAGATCTCGAACAATGAGGCTCGACGCCAGCTGCAGAGCACTGCAGAGCAGTAGACAGCAATAGTAGAAGCGCTGAGAGAAAGAGAATAGCTGGGGAGCAAAGGATGAAAAGGATGGAAGAAGCAGCCATGCGCTGCTCAGACCATGTCGCGACCTGTGATGCTGGCACCCTAGGAGGAACTGGAATAGCTAACTCGCCAACCGATTATTGCAGCGCGAAACCTGCAGCGTGCATACTCTGACCATGCTGTGATCCGAAGAAGTTGTCGTGACGCTGCAGTGCATTTTTCTCCTGTTAATGCCGTAGGCGCCCAACGCATCCTTCGGCGACTTGGAGCCCCTCGAGCCAATCCCGATAATAGCAAGACGAACGGACGACCGACGCTGTCTTCTCCCTGCCTTCTTCTTCCCCAGTGCCGTCAGCAGAGCATTCGGGGCAGGGAGAGATCTTGTCAACATTCAATTCCTTGTATCCATTACGGATATCAACGGTCCTACGCTGGCGACCCGATTGTTCCGCGTCCGAAATTACCAAGTCAGCACCGCGTCCACCTTGTCCCACCGAAGCAATCGGCAGCATCACTGAGAAATTAAAATAAATACAGATCTCGACTTCTTTTGTTGAATTGCAGACACATGCTCCGGCAATGGCTTTGCAGAAGCAGCGGAGCAGCCCGCTCCCTCGTTTGCTCCCGGTGCTGCAAATGCTACAACCGGCCGCTTCGACTTTCAGCACATAGTCCCCCACTCCAATGCTCCCTTTCCTTCTCCATTCGTCATCTACAGACCGCGGTTGAAAGCTCTTCAGATCGCATTCCGCTGCGGAAACAGCTCAAGCAGGAAGCTAAGGCATTGAAGGCTCGCAAGAAGAAAAGGAGGGAGAATGAAGAGGCCTCGCGCGAAAAGTGGGAATTGACGGTGGGAATAGAGATACATGCACAATTGGATACAGAGTCCAAGTTGTTTTCCAGTGTGTGGATAATTGTGTTGCGTTGGTGGAGTTACATGGGCTCACTCTGTGGAACGAACAGGAGCAGCAACTTCGACAAGCGATATCCCCAATTCCAATGTGGCCCTGTTCGACCTGGCGTTTCCAGGCAGCCAACCTGTTTGTACTCTGGGGAAGACCATTGTGGCTTGGAGATGCGCTGATCGATCAATAGGAATTCCAAATTGCAACATTATTACCTGCCCTCCGCGCCGCGGTTGCGCTGAACTGCGATATCCAGCCTGTCAGCCGATTCGACCGAAAGCATTATTTTTATCACGATCAACCTGCAGGATATCAGATTACACAGTACTACGGTAAACGCCCCGGATCCCTGGATACTGATATGGTGTTGCCTTCTCTAACACGCTTGTAGAACCCTTTGCTAGGAACGGCTACGTCGACCTGTTTGACTACGATGGCATCGCTCCGGAGGACGGAGACAAGGTCCGGGTGGACATCAAGCAGATTCAACTCGAGCAGGACACGGCAAAGTCGCAAGAATATCCCCCATCCCTGCAGCTCCTCGACTTCAACCGCGTGTCGCATCCGCTCATTGAGATCATTACTCTACCGCAAATTCACACTCCCGCTACCGCGGCAGCTTGTGTTAGGAAAATACAGGCTATCTTGCAAGCATGCGGTGCCGTCACGACTGGAATGGAACTGGGAGGACTCCGTGCTGACGTGAACGTGTCCATCCGGAGACGGGACGAAACACCGGGGCTCCATGAGTACCACGGGGTCGGCGGACTCGGCCAGCGCACAGAGATCAAGAACCTCAGCAGCTTCAAGGCCGTGGAGGATGCCATCATCGCGGAAAAAAACCGACAGATAGCGGTCCTTGAGAGCGGCGGGGTCGTGGAAGGTGAAACGCGTGGTTGGACAATAGGGAGTACTGAGACTCGGCGACTTCGAGGCAAAGAAGGTGCCGTCGACTATCGCTACATGCCGGATCCAGACATTCCACCCTTGTTCATCGACAGGGATCTAGTTACCCACCTGAGGGAAAACCTTCCGACTCCGCCAGACGAGCTGGTGGAACTCCTAGTCGGGCCCGAATACGGGCTTTCTGTTGATGATGCGAAACCGCTGATTGAGCTGGACGGCGGGGCGAGGCTCGAGTACTATCAGGATGTAGTGGATGAGTTGCGTGTCCTCCAGCAAGATCAGGCTGCAGAGACCAGCGACAAGCTCGGCCGGATCGCCGGGAATTGGGTGCTGCATGAACTGGGAGGACTGCTGACCAAAGCAGACGCCGCGTGGGATGCAGAACGCGTGCCGGCAGGAACGCTGGCAGCGATAGTGGACCAACTGCAGCGGAAACATATTACGGGACCGACCGCGAAGCTCGTGCTGGCCATGGTTTTCGACGGGGATAGACGGCCCATCGCACAGCTACTGGATGAGGAGAACCTGCTGCTCCGGCCGCTCTCGCGGGAAGAGTACGTTGCACTGGCAGAATCGGTCATCAGCAGGAACCCGCAGATGGTGGAGCAGATCCGCAGCAAGAACCAGCTGGGCAAGCTGGGCTGGTTTGTGGGACAGATGATGCGCACCGGTGAGAAAGGCCGCGTGGAGGCGCCCAAAGCAGAGGAAGTTCTACGCGAAGTGATTCTGGGGCCAACACGAGGATGAAGATACCTGTACGTACAATGACAGCGCACATGCGAGCGATAGTAAATAATAGGCATCTGAGGCATTTTCATCTTCCATCAGTTCCTGCGCCCACCCACCGGACAATTATCTGATGCCCCTAAGAGCAAGAGTTAGCGACACTAAAAGCCTGCGTAACTCTGGGCGACCCACCAGGCTATCTAGAGACGCTCCACTGTTTTCTTCTTTTGCCTTAATTTTTCTTTTTCCGTTGGAACTTTGGAATGCGCTTCTGCGTTTCTGCGGAGACAATGGCCGCCGCCCCTCCGCCGTTATAAAGCGCGGCTTTCCGCTTATCGACTTCTTCCCCTCCACGACTGCTTCTGCTTGTCCCTGTTCTCGTCCCTGTTCTTGACCCAACGCAACCCCCAGATTTGCCTCAAGACTTTCAGGAACAATGACGCAGCTATCGACCATTCCCCAGAGGTTCCTCTCAAAGCCCAACCAGCTGGGCCTGGTGGCCGTGGGGTTCAGCGGGGGGCAGGTAAGCATGCACCGAATGAATACTCCAGTAGAGATAGATATCAGAGACTAACCCCCCAAAGGGCAAGCCAGGCGTCGAATCGGCCCCGCTGGCCCTTATCGAAGCCGGACTTATCGACCAGCTTCGTGACGACCTGGGCTATGAGATCTACCATGACGAAAAGGTTCACTTCTACGAATCCATCCTGCCCGCCTCCGACCCGGACCATCGAGGGATGAAGAAGCCCCGCACCGTGAGCGCCGTCACGCGCCAGCTGAGCCAGCAGGTGTACGACCACGCCAAGGAGGGTCGGCTCGCTCTCACCCTCGGTGGTGACCACTCGATCGCCATCGGGTCCATTTCTGGGTCTGCCAAGGCTATCCGCGAGAGACTGGGTCGCGAGATCGCTGTGATCTGGGTCGATGCGCACGCCGATATCAACACGCCCGAGCTGAGTCCGAGTGGGAACATTCACGGCATGCCGATGGCCTTTTTGACCAGACTTGCCCATGAGGAGAAGGAGGATATTTTCGGCTGGTTGCAGGATGATCAGATCGTTAACACCCGGAAACTGGTGTATATTGGTCTGCGCGACGTCGATCGTGGTGAGAAGAAACTGCTCCGGGATAACGGGATCAAGGCGTTTAGCATGCACGATATTGACAGGTGAGTTCTTCCATCACTCTCCACTAGTAGGGTCCTTTTCTAACGATATATAGGTATGGTATCGGGCGGGTTGTCGAAATGGCCCTTGCCCACATTGGAAACGATACTCCCATCCACCTGTCCTTCGACGTCGATGCGCTGGACCCACAGTGGGCTCCCAGTACTGGAACCCCAGTCCGTGGAGGGTTAACTCTTCGTGAGGGTGACTTCATCTGTGAATGCGTCCACGAGACGGGCAATCTGGTCGCCATGGACCTTGTCGAAGTCAACCCCAGCTTGGCAGCACCGGGAGCCGCGGAGACCATCCGCACCGGCTGCTCGTTGGTGCGCAGTGCATTGGGAGATACGCTTCTATGAAGATGACGACGTCAAGGCGTTAAAGGGCATTGGGCTGTATGACTATGGTAATTGTGGAGATGATTGATTTTAAGTCTTCATGTTATAGACCAATAATGCTGGACTTCAGACCAGTATGTAGAATTAAGGATCGATGATTGATTTTGACATGCACGTTTAGATATTCCATGTAGGCAAGGCAACGAATGCACGTCGTGGAAAAGATTCTTAGATAAAGCTTGTACACTGTTTACTTCACATGTTTTATATGCAATATCTCACTAAACGATATTATAGACATGGATCGTAATGGCATTCTCCAGCAGATAAGAAAGTAAGATCTTCTCCACCATATCCTCACTAAACCACCTACTCAGCCTAGATAGCACAACACCTTAATATACTCCTTGTACTCCAGAAAGAACCCCACCATTTCCCAATCAATAATGCCACAACCATACCACCCTGAACCAAATCTGGTGTGTCATAACAATCTTATGCCATGGCAGCACCCACACAAACCCCACTGTTTGATAAACTCATGGACCCCCTCTGCAATCCCCATTGCCTGAATGATCTCTCATGAAACTCAACTTCATCCGCATACAGCCCAAATGAGTCCAATTCACTCATGAATGGTGGATCCTTGCATGACAATTTGCCAATAGATCCAATGAAGTCCCCTTTAACAGAGTGTAACTCTTCCCTGTATCTGTGAAGCTGGGAGATGATCTCCTCCTGCTCTTCTTCAGCCATATCCTCCCATATGTCCTGAAGGACATTGTAAGGCTCCTCCTCCGCCATATGGGGGACTTGGATTAGACATGGAAAACTGAGTGTGGATTGACCTACTTGCTGTTCCCCTGAAAATAGCGAGACGAGGCCTCCAGACGCACTTATAGGCTAATGTGTGGCACCTGCGGCACAGTATGAAGCTGAAGAAGCCGATTGTGCCAGCAATGTTATCAACAAGGAACACTGGATATGCACTGGCAGGAGTAAGTTCACTGGCGCATGAAAGTTATACACATCCTAACCAGCAGGATTACATAGAAACACCGTTGCAGAATGATCAAATACTAGAAGTCTCAAACTACTGATTAAATAAATAATGGACATGTTTTGTATAGCAAGCCATAGAACAATAATAATAAAATATGGAATAGCTTCACCATGCCAGTGCTTATACTGCAGGGTGTGGCTTGTATGAGGAATAAGGAAGAAGATAATGATCTTATTTCTCTCGCAAAATTCATTGAATTCAGAGGTCATATGGGTTCCATATCCATCACATAGTATCTGAAGTTGCCCAAGTGAAGTGGTGCTTGGCACTTAGTCCTAGTTCACCAGCCTCCTGGCAGCTATTTAGGGTGTACACAGCTCACATGAGCTCATGGAACTTCTCACGAATATGAAAAATGCGATTGATCCATTGATTGCATTATTTGACGTCTGAGAACGCATGCAAAAAGTGTGGTGCGAGCTGAAATCAATTTCATGGTGGTACAATGCCAAGAAATAGTCACATGATCGAATGTTACTTATGTAAGCAACTTCAACTCGCGCGATCTAAAAACCAACCGCAACCCATCGTTGAGTTACCTGCACAAAATAGAGGTGAGCTGCTCATAGTGACATGTGACTGATCACTGAGTAGACAGAGTGCCCAGGGGAGTATTCACTCATGATGAGAAATACGCACTGAACATCCCCCAAGGAAAGTCCGTCATGATAGAATAAAAAGTCTATATAGCAACATATATGAAGTACATACATCGTGTATCCCATCCCCTCCAGCCACCCCATTTTCCCAACGAACAGCACAAACCCAATACAACGAGATCCGTTTTTCTTCCTTCTTGTTCACTTATCCCTTTTTACTCCTTGCAGGCTGCTAGGCTTTTTTCTCCCCCTTTTTTTGCTATAGTCCTCAATTGATACAATCAATGTCTTATCGGTTCGTTCGCTTTGGTTGATTGTTGGAGATATCATACCATACTATACTATACATACTGCTCCATTTGTCTCTCCTCTCTGGATTTGAATTTCTATTCCTCCTGCAGAAACAAGCCTGACTTCTCTATCGAAGAGTGGACGATTCTACACCGGATTAGCTGTCGGGCAGCTTTGCCTTATACAGTTAGCTGTCCGTTCTATCCATCTTTCCAACTTGGGGGGTCAATTCAACTGAATTCATCTGGAGGATATATGTTGGCAGTGTACCCTTAGAAGAAGCCAGGCTACATTGGATCGAGGGTGAGTGGGTTGACGTTGAGACGCGTTGGTCTGGTCTACTGCCCTTGCGGCCCTCGAATACCTATCCAACAAATACAGCTCTCAACCATTTGCGGTGATGCGCACTGATTGAGCGGTCAAGTAACCAAGTGGAAGAGAATCCCAAAGTCACGATGCCCTACAGACGAAGATACTACTGGCCCGAATTCCAGTTAAGCATCTGGATCATCCTCAGCCTAGCAGCCTCAGCAACATGCCTGGGCGTCTTTGCATGGTTTCTGACTGTTCAATCACAGATGGGATTGGGGACGCCATGGTACTCCTTTTTTCTTTTCTTTTCTTTCCTTTCTTTTCTCTTGAATGAGGACGGAATACTAATAAGCAAAGGATAATGCCCTTCATGGTAACGACAGGCAGCTTAGGCGTCTGCTTCATAATCTTCATCCAGATCCTGGCAGCACAACGCTCGCTTCTCCCTGGTGTCATCATGACGGGCAGCTTCATCCTCTTTGTGTTGTGGTTGACGGGCCTAATCGATACGGCGATCCAGCTCTTCAGCACCTCGGGCAATATCAATGCTAATTGTCAGACATATGTTGTGCAGAATGAGTCAAGGGGGAATAGTTTGGCGACGTTGGCATGGTTGACGCAGAATACTATTTGTAAGTTATCTTTCCTTCTAATTTTTTTTTTTTTTTTTTTAAAAAAAAATCCAAAGAAAGGGGGGAAGCTGATGAATATAGGTAACTGCTGGAAAGCCTCATTCGCATGGGAACTGGTCAATGTGATTCTCTACCTCTGGTTGATGATTATGTGCTATCAAGTGAACATAGATTTCTTTACTTGACGTTGTTTCTGTTTATTTTATTTTTATTTTTTGACATGATTTATGAAAACGTGATGGATGGATATTATATTACGTATGATTAACTGACCTACATGGGAGAGCAGGAGTTCCAGGGTTCTCGGGCTATACGTTTTACTATATATTTGTTCCTGTCGATTGGCATGTTCATGTTTATACTAGTGTTCATCGTAAAATAATGCCATGAGAATATCCACAAGTCCGGGGAAGAACAAGATGCGGGGAAGACATTCAACACCCCACAGAATCATATTTTGTGGAGATAGTCTATATTTCACTAAATCAACTGGGATAATTTGAGAAACATACTGAGATTTGGATAGCTTCTTCAGGAGTATCCGGGCTGAATCAAGGACAAGGACAGTAACAACTTATTTAACCAGATGGCTTATATCACAATACCACACCAAATGCAAGACTTCACATCAATTTGCTTATTGTGAGCTTCGCCTTGGAACACCTATGTTTGCTGACTCCGAGGCAGAAAAGAAAACAAAACAGATCCTTGGAAAGCAACATGTATGAAAAATAAACCGGACCGAGGAAAGACGGACATTAATCCAAACGCCGTCGCTATGCTGTACATATACCTGCATGGCGTCGAAACGGAAAGTTGCATCCGGAGAGATGAGAAAAGAATAGGGATGAGGCACACACTGCTCTTCGGAAGGAAGTTGATTAACAGGAAATCTCCAAGAAGCATTGGCAAGTTAGACCTGGCACTTCACGGACCCCGGCCATCGAGATACCCCTGGATCTACCCATTTTCTGCTGCAGTATTCTCTTCAGCCTTCTCGTCATAGCCACCATCTTCAAATGCGGCCAACATCTCCCGCTCGAGCTCATCCGCATCATCCTCCGGGTCCACCGAAAAAGATACTTCTTGACCCTTATCTGCAGGCTCCTCCTTATCTCTCACGTCTTCAATTTTATTGCCTTCTCCTGCAGCGTCGCTTTCGGCTGTCCCCAATGGGCCCTTAGAAGATTCACCGGTATCGCCGCTCACGGTTGCCACCTCCCTGAGCCCTGTACTTCGCTCATAGGAACGTTTGATACGCTGCGACAACCGCGAACCTTGCACGCCTTCTTCGTCACCCTCGCCAGCCTGTGAGCTCTCTCCTTCTGTCACACTGCCCTCTTCGGCCTCCTCATCGCGTTTTCGTTTCTTGCCAACAGGAGTCGACTCGCGGGACGGTGTTGGCGTTTCATTCTCACTTTCACTCTCATCATCACTCCCGAGGAACTCTTTCAGTTCTTCGTGCACAGCCTCCCGGTCATCAAAGTCGAGACCGATAGGCGACAGGTTTGTAAGTCCCGATGATCTGAAGCCTTCTTCAGTGGACTCAAATAAAGCACTCTCATCATCCTCGTCACCAGTCCAAAACTCCCCTGTCCCCTCCGACGATGAAACCCAAGAACTATCCGCCTCCTCTTTCGATAGAATGGGCTCTCCTCTGTCTTCCGGGTGAACGTGGAGCAGATACGGCGCCTCATCCAGCCGTTTCCATTGGGTTAATGTGTCTAAGAGCCATTGAGTAGTGACAATCTTGATTCTCGGATACCGCGTAGCTTCCCTGACCTTGGCTGTTCGATTACGGCCTGCCACAAGATGTGTCGTCTTCGGTGTAATCTTATGTGCAATCACGGCCCCAAAGCTCTTTGCCCACAGGGAGATGTCCGCGTTTTGTGTATCTGTTCCAAGAGGAAGAACTCCAGAAAAAACTATGACTACCCCCTCCAGAACTGGGCGTTTAATCTGCGGCATGATATCCTTAACATCCGGAACCAATTTCAGGTCAATATCTTTATCTTTAGTCGGTGCCTTTTCGCCTCTAAGAGCTGCAACTCTACCTCCGAGTGCCCGTGTACGTCGCCTATCATATTCTTTGAAGAATTTCCGGTGTACTTCGTTCAGCCGATCTCGAAGCTGATAGAGCTCCCTGTCGCTATCCTCGAACAGATGATGGCGGGCTCTGATTAACTCCTGAGACTCATCCAAGCTGCTAGAAGAATCGCTGCTCTCCGCTACATCTTCCTCTGCGTCCAGCTCCTTCTGTTTCTGCAAAAGCGGTCGGTCCTCGACTTGGTGCATAATAGTTTCTTCCTGCGCACTGGTCTGTTTCTGTAATAGTCTTGGATCGTCCCCGCCGCCCATGCTGACCAATTGCTCCAGCGTTGAAACTTCCGGGCCCCCTTCTACTTTCGGTGCCGTGCCATTGACATGCTGGTTGCTAGGGAGATCTTTCTCTGTCACGGTTTTGGCGGCGGCCGTGGTCGTCAGGTCTTGTTTTTGAGGAAGAAAGCTTGAGTTTATATCCCCAATACCGACGAAAAAATCGTAAGGTGCTACCTTGATGAGATTGGGACTCCATCGCCAGACATCGCCGCGGTCGTCGATGATCACCACCATCCTGGTGTCAACCGGAAAGAGCCGCTGAAGGTTCTTGACGGTCAAGCTTCCGCTCTCGTCACGACTTAAGATTCTATCTCCAAAAAGCTTACCTGCAGGATCGACAATTTCGGCAATATGCTTCGCATAGGCTCTAGTACCCATAGTATAGATATGTAGCTCAAAGTGGACGGAAATTTCCTGCAAAAATTGTTCCAGTCCCGGCCGTAATTTGATATAGTACCAGCAGCCACGCATGCCAGGGCCATCATCGATCAACTGAAACGAGCGGACATCACTTAGAGCCTCGTAGTTCGGATTATCCTTATCGCGCATCCATTCTCCAACGGTCGGGTCAACAGTGGCATGGATAATCGTCTGGTCGAGATCAACCACAAGCGAAAGTCGCCTGGATGAGAGTAAGCGGCGTTTCGTGTCCTCCTCAACGCGGGTGGCCTCTCTTTGACTGACGGTCAAGTCAGCATTATCGTGCGCCATGTGAATTGTCGCACGCATCGAGTCCATAACCTCCGTGTTATATGTAGATCTGTATGGAGAAGAAAACCGGAGTCAGCCTGTTACCGGAAATACCATACAAAGGCGGAAAAATCAAATCATACGTACTCGGTCATATCCTTACCACATTCTGCACATAGGCCACCGAACTGAACCTCGTGAGCGCACGGTTCATCGATTTCGACGATATCGGTCCTACATGGCAATGCTCGTCAGCCGAGTCTCATCCGTAAAAAAGGAGTTGCCCTGTCGAGCAAGGCTACCAATGAAAAGGGCAAAGAAAAACGTACGGGTAATTAATAATATCTCCCTGTTTAATCTTCCATTGCACAATCTCACCGTCGACGGTCGATTCAAACTTAGCCGGAAAGTCGCGTTTAACCTCAATTTTGTTTCCAAGGCCATCTCCCTCGGTGACAGTAGTCCGGTAAACGTACCAGAACAAAGCCTCATCCCGTTTCACCAAGTCACCGGGCTGCTTGAGCAGCGCTGTCACGGTGATGGGATAATGGAGACTAGCTGACAGACGGAGGAGCATGCTCTCCCTTTGAGGTGTACTTTTCTCGTCTTCTCTTGACTCGTTCTCTCTCTTCCCCCCTCCCTAAACCGCCAATTGATCGGTCGACTTTGGCGATATAAAAAGTGGAAAAAAGGGGGAAAAGAAAGGGAAGGGCTCAAAGAAAGGTGGCTTCAAAGGGATTATGAAGCCATTCCTCAAAGCGCTTGATCGGATGAAGTGGCGGTCTATAGCTCTATCGAGGGTATGGGTATAAGTAGTGAAGTAAAGAGGACTATTGACCGTAATAGAGGGATGACGGGCGGCGAGTGAATGAGCAGCGTGTCTATAGCCGCGAGGGCTTCTGCGAATGACACAATGGGGGTTTGCGCTAGGATAAGGATAAAGAGAGAGCGGCGAAATCGGCTCAATGCGCGACCTGCGCTTGAAGGTATAAAAGGGGGACAAATAAATGGGAAAGGGTTGGTTAGAAAACAGTGAGATGGATGAATCAATGTCAGAAGCAAGAAGCGAAGCCTTGGCCGTGAAGGGAAAGGAAGGAAAGCCTTAGGCACGTCGGTGTGTTATGTGTTGGTGCGGATGAAGCGCAGCCTGCGGGGGCAATATACACCGCGCTATTCCGTATCCGTCCAAGTGCTCCCGTGCTGCGGCTTATAGTCACGTGCCTATCGCTGGCATTGCAGTTAGGTGGGATGAAGATATTGTCAGTCGACCGTGCCACATAACCATGGGATAAGACACTTCGCTAGCAAAGAAGGGGTCGAGTACAGCCTAATTAATGTCACATGACTTTTCCACACGTCAATTGTTGGTGGTCCCATGGTTCAGCTCCTTCCTCCTAGTTAGGTTTAGCTCACATTAATCAACATAGTGCCTGCCCGAACTATGTTTGAGGTCACGTGGGTTCTGCCCAGTTAGACCGCCCTCGCCTGACCTAGTAGAGATGGTTCTGGCACCTAGATAGATGACCAATACAATATACGACATACCTCCATTAAGACTCTCCATCAGCTCACGCAAGCTGTGTATACCCTGGAGTCGGGCAAACTATCTACTGTTAGATCAACTTGCTTTTATTGTATTTATCTAGGTTGGTCTAGCTATTTTAGTGTGTCAGGCCAATCGAGGGCGGTCTACTATGGCATAGCTCACGTGATCTCTAACATCTACATTTATGCTGACTAACGTGGGCTAATCCTAACTAGGAAGGAGCTGAACCATGGGAGCCACCAACACTACCTTCTGGATGCTTCCTCATAAGTATCAGTTGTGCTGAATTGTAGGTTATTGTTTGTGAAACAGGGGAGCCCCATTCTACTGGCAGTAAAGCAGCATGAGGGGCCAGCTACTCCTGAGAATTTCGTTTTGCTGTTTCATTACCGTTTTTGGCCGCACATGACGCTGAAAACAGCAGCCTTTCAGCAACTATCATCTGCCACACTCCCACACTTTTCGCCCACGCACTACCACCACAATCCTCAGGCAGTATCATGGATTTTGTTATCTGCAACACCATTTCCTTCCCATTGAGTTTCACAAGGGCATTGAAAAATGGCCTCCTCAGCACCCCACCAGCTGGGGGCTAGCTGGCACCTAGCCGCCATGGTTAAAAGCCCAGTCACTCCCAACGCCTCAACCTTTGTTTCCATCTGGTTGACACCCAAGTCATCAGGATCAGCTCTTCCTTTATTCTTCACTGCTCTTTTCTATTTTGCTGGAGTCTGTCACTACCTTAGATCTCTCAACAGCTTTGCCCTACAGTCAGCATAAGTCTTCAGTCACACCTTGTCAAAGAAAGATCAATATGAACCCCCCTCCAGTGAAACCACCAGTATATCTACCAACATCAATGATGACCAAATATTCAAACCCAACTCAGTCACAAGCTTGATAGAAGCAGAATGCCCTCCTCCGGGGTGTAAAACAGTCAAAAGGAGAAAAGCAAACACAAAATGTGGGACCCTCAGTGAAAACAAAAATATCTCATCTGTGGAGCTTCTCTATCGGACCTATTATGAAGACCCAGCTGATAATATAGATGAGGATCTCTCCAAGGTGCTGGAGGATTATGGCAAATTAGGACATCCCAAAAAACTCCAACTCTGTCTGACGGATTTCTGGGCATGGTAAGTGATAGGATGCACCAGCTGGGTTTCAGCCCGAGTGGGATAATATGGCAGATCATTAACTTACAGACTTGCTGCTAGTTACTGTCAGGCCCAAGCAATTGAGCCATCAGCAGAGCTGAAGTGGGAAGATCCAAAAGAAGTGCTACAGCAAGCAACTCTCCGACTCCCAATCCATTGACTTGTTGACCATTTTCATATCGTACATCCAAATTGGGCGGGCGAGAATGAGATTGATCTCCATATAAGTCACGCTGCTCGGTTCGTCGATTAGTGACTTATCTTTGGGGATGAAAAAAGAAGTAATCGATGCTCCCTGCGAGAAGGTGGCGGCCATCAACTTGCGGCCTAAACAAGCTCGAGTGCCCAGAGAAAACGACTGACTGGCTTCCTTGATATCAACACAGGCTGGGCCGATCCACCGCTCCAATTTGAAAGTGTGGGGGTCATGGAAGTTGGCCTCATCGTGGGTCACAGTCCACGCACTTGTGTAGAGTTCAGCCTGTAGAGCGCATGAATTAATCAGTGTTTTGTGGTCTTGTCGTCAAGGGGGGGGGGGCGAAAGACTACCCCCAGCAGGGACCCAGATCCCATCAATAGCGGCCCCAGGAGAAATCTGAGGAAACCCCTGTGAGCCAGGAGGATAGATACAAAGTCCCTCACTGATGACAGCTTGCAGGTAGGGCAGGATTTGCACTGTAGCGCAGGTAATCTCCACATAGGTCTTGAACTGCCCACAGATCTCTGCTTTCAACTTCTGGTACACGGCATCATTTCAAAGGAGATAAAATGTGGTTGCAGTAAGGAAGGTAGCCACTGTCTCTCCACCAGTAATTCTATTTCCAGGAATTAGCAAAGTCAGGATACAGAGAAAGGGATATGATATGCTCACATTAGCGTAGACGTGTGGGCAGTGAGCTCTTCCCAATCCATTTCATTGGACTCTACCTTGCCAATGAGATTCGCCGTGAAGTCCTTGCGGGCTGAGGATGAACCAATGCGCCTAGCCAGGATGGTTAATTGACCACCCTCCTGATTTTAGCATTGGATAGGAAGATTCACCAAGCCACCTTGTGTCTTGTGTATCCAGTATACGTTTTGTGGATGCTATTCAGAAACAGGGAGAGCAGCTTGGCTATCAACACAACCACAAGGAAATGTTGGAGCTATCTGCCACAGTAATAAAATACAAGTGATCTTCAACCAATGATAACCAGAAGTGTGGTTTTCCTATAAGATTCAACATGATGCATGCGAAGGACAACAGTGGGGGAGTGCTCTAGGGGGAATGCTGACATCATACCATCTTCAATAGAGTAGAAGGATTCACCAAGAGCTGTTGAAAACAAAACTAGGTGATTAGACCACATAAATAACCCTTTCAGAAGAGCAGTGAAACAGCAGTGGGGTTTACCTAGTTCTCCAAAGATATCAAATGCCACCATTTCATACCACTTGGTCATGTTCAGCCCTTCAGAATTCAGCTCAGGCTCACCCACCCTGTATACAAAGTGATCAACGCATTGGCTAACAATGACCCCCTGGTCTTTCAAAGAACGGGGAGAAAAGGCTGGCGAGAGACTTTCATTCGCGTGTGCCTATTTGGGTCACGCTCACATCTGATGCACAGGGAGCCAAACCCTGCGCTGTAAATTTTGTAGAACTGACTCTTAATCAAGGAAAGTTGCCTGCTGGCATGATGAACGTAGATGTCTTTCCAAGACGTGACGCTGGCAAAGGACAGCTCGTTCAGTGACACGCGGAAACAGGACCTTATCATTTCAGAACGTATGGGCAAGAAGAGAATTGTGAAGAAGGCCCACAGCCGTATCGGCGGTGTTGCTTGTCAATTGCTCGGTGAAAACGACCACCCATGGAATGGTAGATTCTCTATGCCTGTTGGAATCTTGGTATAAATATCAAATAGAACATGGGGGCCATTGATGAATGGAGGAAACTTACCAGTGACGCGCAAGCTAGCAAGGGACCCGAAAAACCTGCTAGAGGATGAAAATAAATGTTATACAGACTTCGCGTGCTGGCATAGACCAGTGTCTGGAGTTCCCTACCATTAGCGGGCCGCTTGTTTCTTTAGGTAGTGTCAGGTTATCTGTACGCACGTAGTATACTCCTATATAGTCACATACATTCCGTCCAGGGTGCTATTGCATATTTAAGGTCCAGTACATACAGATGGAACAGCCTAGGTGCAGAAAACAGCAAAGGTGCTACTGAGGACAACAGAAGCAAGTGAGATAAGAACATTTAGAGCAAAATTAGGTTCGTGCTAAAAACCCTCCGAGATTCAATCTGTGGAAACATGTGTGGTGGTGCCACAGTTGCGGAATTAACTGGATACGATGGACAACGCAGACAACCAGACATAGGAAACACCTTTCGACCACTGTTCCTCCTGGTCCCCCATGATCAGCATCCACAAACCGAAGCTACGTTCATTTACCCGATTACTTCGATTTTGCGAGACCGACAGCGCTGTTGCCAAGGTCATACACGCTGTACCATTGCCTCAGGAAAGCATCTCCCAGGATGGCCAAGGGGCCGACAGGCTCAGGGAAGTCCATGCCCATAAACGCGCTAATGCAGGAGCCCTGGACTTCGAGGATGTAGTCATAGGGGCCAATGGTGAAGTTGTGGCCAGACAGGGCGAAAGTGAGGTCAGGCAGGGAGTCGCGCTTCTCACACTCGACTGTATACTGACCGGTGAAAGACTTCTTGGCACCAATTTCCTTGTTCCTGCAAGGGCAGTTAGCGCATAGAATTGGGGGAATTGTAGGTGGTGCCTAACTCACAGGAGCTCAGCAAGAGTAGAAGGCAAGGCGATAAGGGAAGTGCCAGTGTCCAAAATGGCACCGGTTTTGTCAAGCTCTGCGACGTTATCGCCAAAGGCAATAGAGTCAAGGTCAACCTCCCAGTACGCCTTCCGGCGAAGAGGGATCTTGATCAGATCACCAGTGAAGTGATCAGTGTCGACACCACCGAAGGTGGCCACAGAGTCATCACCTTCGGTGTTGGAATCTCCAAGATAGAAGGCAAAAACCGGCTCATCAAGCAGTTTCTGGTTCAGCATGTTGTAGAAAGGGGGAATGATCTTGTTGACCGAGATGGTGTCATATCCCAGTCCCAGAATGCCATCGAATCTGCCGAAAGCAAAGGCAAGACCGGGCTCACTGGTCGCTTCCGCAAAATCTTGATTCTCGATTTTCAAATCGCCAATCTGAAGAACATCTTGAGAGACAAAGCCACTCAAGCTACCGGATCCATAGCGGATGGCGAACTCGGTGCCGTTCTTCTTGTAGGTACTCGAGGAAGAGGAGTCATACTTGCTGTGCAGGTAGCATGCGATGGATCCACACTCCGAAGAAGGCACCCAGAGGTTGGAGCTGCCGGTGTCGAGCACGACCTTGAAGCTTTGAGGGGGGGTACCCAGGGTGATTTCGGAGAAGTCTGCGAAGTCGGTGTGTGAGTAAATAAGACCATTAATTCCCAGATAATGACATTAGCAATAAACCATACATTGCGCATTCAGGAAGTTATCGACGAGGACGTCATGGCTGCCTTGGCGCTTGGGGATAGAATCGGGGAACAATCCGTCATAGATCCCCATGTACTTCTGACCCAGAGCACGCACACGGGAGTCCATGTTGTGTGAATTCTACCATTCCAGTTAGCATACGAGTCCACTGAATGATGTATAAGACAGTATTCGATAAGGATGGGTAGCTTACAAGCTGCTCTGACAAGGGGACTTTGTTGAGTTTCAGCTTGTGTACCTCAGCGGTGACACCGCCCAGCAGCACGGCAGCTGCGAGCAAGGAGGTGGACTTCATCGTGGATGTCTTGGGGCTTGAAGAAAGAGAGGTTTATGCCCGAGGAAAGGATGAAAGAGTGTCGTATATAAAGAATACAGTCGTGCAGGGGTCAGAAAAGGATGGAGGGAGGATGGAAGGGGAGAGAGGTTGGAGGTAGGACGTGCCAGGTGATGCAGGTGAGCTGTGGAGCAAGAGCATGGCCCGGGACCAGTGACCGTGGCACAGCAGGCGGGCAGCGCTGTAGGCGGCCGGCTAGTGACCTTGGAACAGGCGTGGCGTCATCATCGATAAGGAACAAGCAGGATGGAGAAGGGAGTCATGGAGCTCCTAGCATTCGCTGGAGGGGTGGACGCATCATGAAACTATTATCCTGTTGTGGCCTCCATACTATATTCCACATACTACTTACTAGTATTGTACGCTACACATGATTCTCTATCCGCTACTGGAATAATACTCAGTTCTTGCCGGTCAATGATGATGATGCAACAGCCGCGATATCGCTGGTGCCTGATCTCCGCTGCTTAGCTAATTGCCAGCTCGCATATCATATCAGGCTTCACAGCCAACCACCGCATTATTCTCTGGTTGCATTAAATTACAGTGCTGTACATCCTCTATAGACAACTACACTGGCTGGCAGCCGTATTACATACCATGCGACAATGAATAATTTCCCTGGATTAGTCGTGCTACATGAAAGTAGATATTGCCTATAGAAGCCAACGCTATAAGTCGCCGCATGCAAACATCAGTCTGCAACCCCACGAGCGTTTGCTTTACCGGTAGAAGTCGAGCCTGCAGATGATTGTCAGTGGTAATGAGACAGCGAGTGTTTTAGAGGGGGTCGTACCTGTCCGATTCCTGTCCACTCTTCACCTGGGCCGAATATGCGTCTTCCAAGTCAGACTGGATGATGTTATACCGGTTCTTCCGTATCGCACGGAGGCCAGCATCCTGCATAATGGCGGCGATGACTGCACCAGAAAGAGGCTCATTGCGCACAATCAGAGAGTCCAGATCAACTTCGGGTGAAAGCGACATCTTGGAGGCGATCGTGGTGAAGATCAGCCGTCGTTCACGTCTGTCACGCAGCGACGGGAATTCAATCTTTCTGTCAAGACGACCAGGACGCAGCAGAGCAGGATCCAGTGTGTCAGCTCTGTTAGTAGCCATGATGACCTTGACGTTGCTGGTCTGTTCAAAGCCATCCATCTGGTTCAGGAGCTCCAGCAGAATACGCTGGACCTCGCGATCTGCACCTGTTTGAGCATCGAAACGCTTCGTGGCAATGGCGTCGATTTCATCAATGAAGATGATAGCCGGCGAATTCTCGCGTGCCATTCTGAAGACGTCACGGACCATACGAGGGCCTTCACCAAGGTATTTCTGGACAAATTCAGACCCGTTGACTCGGATAAAGCTTGCTGTTGTGCCGTTGGCCACTGCCTTAACTAACATGGTCTTGCCGGTTCCGGGGGGGCCGTAAAGGAGAACACCGCGAGGGGGGTCGATACCTTGGAAATCGTAAGCATCCCATCAAGCTTCGATATTGAAAAATTCCCATACCAATCTGTTTGTAGAGATCAAAATGGGTCAAAGGTAACTCCACAGCCTCTCTGATTTCCTGCTTCTGCATGTCAAGCCCTCCAACGTCGGCATATGTTACATCCGGCTTCTCGCTTTCACCAAGCATAGCAATCGAAGAGTCTGCCTCGGGAGGAAGGATGTCAACCAAGGCGTTGGAATGACGGTGAAGAGCAACGGAAGATGACGGCTTTAGCTTCTCGCGATCGAGGGTGGACAGGATACGGACGACGTAATTCGAGCCCGTCGAAGACTGCACAATTCCCGTGCTAGAGCAAACCATTAGCCACGGGCTTCATATTTGTCATGTAAACACGTACTTTTGGTCTATAGCTTCCATAAATTGCCCGATCACCAGCGGAACGCTCTGTATCCGCTTGATCTCCTCTTGTGCGCGGATCAGCTCTCTCTTCAGGCTCCTGTTGTCAGACCTGGTTAGTTTACCTGAAAAATATACCCAGAACAAATGGAGAACAACTTGCCTCTGCTCATCCTTGATGTATTCTTCTTGAAGTTGGATGTATCTGTTGCCAGATCAGTACGGTCAGCTCCGTAGTCAAAGCTCCCGGCATAGCAAGCACACGTACTCGAGGTGTCTCTGTAATCTCTTTAATGTGGCATATTCGTCACCTCCATCCGTTCCAGGTCCTTCCAGTGAGTCGATGTTCAAGATGTTGTCTGTTGGAACAGGTCGTTTCGGAGACGCAACGTTGGCCAAAGGATTCTCCACTGCAACGTCCGCCATGGCACAAAAACTCCCTTTTTGAAAGTTGAGATAGGGGATTCGGTGTCTGAATATCTAAAGGACAAGCTGGGTAGGTATTTTGTTCAGATGAAGGAGTCGTGCAGTAAGAACGAGGGCAGGTCTGTCGTTGGAGCTTTCGCCAACAGCTTCGCCGTAGCTTGGACGTATATCACGTGATATAAATACATGGCACTAATGGATAGGCGCATGTATGGTCGTATTACTAGGTAGGCCTGCCTGTGCCGTGAGATAGGTAGCGAGGGCGGTCTAGGACGGCAGAACCTCACGTGTACTAACACCCCCCCACGCACGAGCAGCCTACAAACTATGGAATCAATCTAAATACAGAAATCGGCCTCTATTCGGGCCTTCAAATGAGTGAATATATGCAAAAATAAACAGAGGAATGAAGGTTCTGCTTTAGCCAATCGAATGCCGTATATCAAAATAGAAAATATATCCAAAATGGGGGAGATATACGCGGCTTAGCTTATGCCAGTGAGTTGTAGGAAATGATCAAATTGTTCAGTTCGGAGAGGTTTGGTCAGGCCGTCTGCTGCTTGTTCTTTGGTAGGGCAGGCCTGGAGTTTAACAATACCGTCTTGGATCTTCTCCCGAACGTAATGGTAACGTATATCGATGTGTTTGGATCTCTTGGTGGTGAGCTCAGCTTCAGCCATGGCGTGTGCACCTTGATTATCGATATAGAGAGTAATTGGCGGGCATTCAGTAGGGAGCACGTTGAGCTCGTTGATGAGGTTCCGGAGCCAAAGGGCATCTCGGCTGGCTTCACTTAGAGCCATATACTCAGCTTCGTTGGAGCTAAGTGCAACGGACGTTTGCTTGCGGCTTTTCCAGGCAATTGGGGCCCCGGCAAGCAGAAATATATATCCAGATACTGACCGGCGATTGCCTGTCAGTTGACCACCCCAATCAGAATCAGTATAACATCTGGGCATGAGGAGGTCAGATGTAATGGGTTCCGTGGCCTTATGGTAGGTAATTTGTCGGTTAATGGAGCCTTTAAGGTAGCGTATAGCGTGTATAAGGGCACGCCATGCCTTTTGGGTAGGTTTGGCGTGATATTGGGATAGTACGCCAACTGTCCGGCTAAGATCAGGTCGGGTTTTGGTGGCTAGCCAAGTAAGGCAGCCTACACCACGTTGATATTCTTTGATGTTCACTGTAGGGTCTGGGTCATCATCAATTATTAAACTAGGATCCATGGGGATCCCAACAGGGTGTGCTTGTGCTTGGCCAAAAGAGGCAACCACGTCTTCAGCATAATTGGCCTGGGAGAGAGTATATGTGGTCTTGGATTGAGAGGTGGCCATGCCAAGGTATTTGGTAGAGTTTCCAACTTCTTTTATGTCAAATTTAGCAGAAAGAGACTCCATAAACCAAGTGGCATCGTTCTCATGCTTAGCATAGACTTTGAAGTCATCCACATGGGTAGTCACATAGAGTTGGGTCCGGGTGGTATGGATCCAGAGACCAGAGTCGTATTCGGAGCTTTTGAAGCCAATTTGTCGTAAGAAAGCATTTAGTGTATCATACCAGATACGGGCAGATGGGATTAGTCCATAGAGGGACTGGCGGAGTTCACAAACCAGGTCTCCAGAGCCTTCTTTGAATCCCTGAACTTGGGTCATAAAGACACGTTTATCTGTGGGCATTTTTCCATTTAGGAAAGCAAGGATGGCATCTGCCTTTCGAGTATGCCAGCCAAGTAGAGTGGCCAGTGCCGTAAGGGTTCTAGTGGTATTTTCATCTACCACTGGGGCGTATGATTCCATGAAGTCCTTGTCAAGTAGATTTCCACGGATCACCCAGCGAGCTTTAGCTTGGTAGTCCCTTGTAATAGGGGTACCAGGGATTTCTTTCTTTTTGTATACCCACCGGCCAGGGATGACCTTGGTCCCTGGTGGTAGGTCAGAGCGGCGGATAAGTTGCCAGCAGCCTTTTTCTTTGAGTTGGTTGACTTCTTTTTGCATGGCTGCTTGCCACTTGGTGGCATCAGGATGAGATATAGCCTGCTTATAGGAAGTAGGCGTGTCATCTTCAGACGAAGGAGTAGTTGAAGTGGTGAGATAGGCTAGGGACATGCCTTTGGCGGGTCGAAGCCATATTTCCTGGTCTTCATCTTCAACAGGTTGGTTTGTATCTTCTTTATTAGGAGTACTTGGATCTTCAGGAACAGTAGCTTGTGGAGGTGTAGTTGTGGGATCCTCATATTCTTCATCAAATATAGTGTCATTGGTTGAAAAAAATGGCGTCTGTTTTAGGGTCCCACACTCTGTATTGTTGGCTACTGATTTGGCCGATCATGAAGCAGCATTTAGAGTGGGAATCGAACTTGTTTATAGGCTTATCTGAGCCATGTCGATGAACCCAGACAGGGCAGCCCCAACGTCGGTATTTGTTGATACTAGTTGGTGAGTTGGTCCAGGCAGCCAGAGGCGATTTATATGGGCTTGGGCTGATTTTTGTGTTGGTATTGACCCCCCCAGGGATAGGTGAATTGAATAGGATTGTGGATGTTGGGAGGCGGTTTGTTATATCTGATGCATATTTTAAAGCATCAACCCAAAATCGCTGTGGTATATGGGGAGCGTCAAGCATTAATGTCCGAGCACGGTCAAAGAGTATGCGTATGCTGCGCTCACTGACACCGTTTTGCCAAGGGGAATATGGAGAACTTGGTTGCCATTCAATGCCTTCCTGACGGTAGGTTTTCTGCCATTCAGCTGAACAGAATTCATTGTCAGAGACAATATAGGCTGGGGCAGGGAAATGGTGATTCTTCATCTGTTGTAGCCAACCCCGAAATGCATCAATTGCAGCAGATCTTTCAGTTAGGTAGTGGACCCAACGGTAACGTGTAGCGTCATCAGTAATAAGCATCACATATTTGGCTCCTGTACGTGAAGGTAGAGGCATATCTAGCTTCTCTATATCTAGTGTTCGGCCGCCACCAGCAAGGTCTATGTGGACTCGGGCTAGTGGTGCAGTCATACGGGATCTTGGTGTTTTGCTGTATTGGCGAGTTTGCTTGCCCTGGATGCAGGCTTCACAAAGTGGTAGTTCTTTGGAACCTTTGATTTCAATGTCTGATGTAGGATCTGCGGCAAGGCGTAAAAGATCCTGCTGGTTTAAATGGCATAGACGGCGATGCCATGTCATAATTGGTAGAGCTGTTTTGGAGCTCTTAGTCTTTGGGGATGTTGTAGGTTTCTTTCTGGGAGGGTCCCCTGGTCAGTTGGCCTCTTTGCCAGACCGGGTGGTGACAAAGGCATAGGAGCTCTCGTCGGGAGAAATGCAATCTGATAGGATGAATACATTGTTGGTATTCAAAATGGCTTCAAATTCTGCACCAGAAGAGGTTGTGATTTGTGCTACTTGAGAGCTGGAAGGGAATTCGATACGAAAACCTTGTTTGAGAAGCATTCCCATGGAGATTAAGTTGGAATTGAAGGATGGAACATGTCGTACATCCCTAAGGATCAAGGATCTGGTTCCAATATCAATGACGACGGTGCCAATACCATGAGGTTTGGAAATCTTCCCTTGAGCATCTTCAATATAATCCGCTGGAGTAAGGTCCTCCTTTCTCAATGTTTTATAGGACGTGAAGAAAGCTTGATGGGGTGTAACATGGAATGAAGCACAGCTATCAAGATACCATGAAGCTTGGAGAGATTGGGCTGATTTAGCAATGGCTGTTTTTGCAGCTGAAGAAGTCCATGGTACCAGTTCATTGGTTTCTGCTTCAGAGAATGAAGCAGTGGAAGATTCTTTAGCAGTGTGTAAAGCACGAATAGCTTCAATAGTATTTTTATTGGCTCGGCGCCAATGCTCAGAGGCTTTCTCAGGGTTCTTGTAGAGGCAAGGCATTGGGTGGAAATGACCACACCAATCACAACGGGTCTTTGGTTTGCGTGAATCCTGGTCCTGAGGTTTATATTTAGTGTTGGAACTTGAGGCGGAAGAGCTAGCAATGGGGTTAGATGCTTGTTTGGAATAGCTTCGTCCGGATAGATTCTCTCGTCGTCCTCCGTGTTGGGAGCGGGATTCACGGGCTTGGGTGCCCATACGGATAGAGAGTTGAGCTTGAATGGTAGGTAGGTCCAGATTGATGACAGGGCCTTGTCCAGTTGAGTATACTTCATCAAGTTTACTCTTAATGAATGCTTTGTTCCATTCGCGGAGGCCTATAAAAAATAGGTCGTGAATAAGGTTGTCAAATGATGCTTCTTTTATAGCATGAAGGCGGTCTACTATCCTAGTAAACGCAGATTGGTAGGATAGGTAGTCATTGTCTTTTATATAGAGCTCCTTGAGCTCTTTTATGAGAAGCATTCATTCTTCACCAGTAGAACGTCCGAAAAAGGTAGCAGTTCGGTCCCATAAACCATGGGCTGATAGGTCATATGTGTTGCCCAATTTGTCAATGGCTTGGGCAGTCATAGCATGAAGCATTCGGGCTCTCATGACAGTGGCTTTGCAATGCCATACTTCAGCATCATAAGCTGAGTATCCTACTGGAGGTATATCCTGATGCAAGACTGTACTAGCGTTCAGGACATTGGCTTCTCTTTGAATGGCTGAACTCCAGAGGTCGTAATTATCATGAGACAGTGTGATTCGGCATCGGTCTGGTAGGAGCGCTTTAACTTGAGCTTGTACATGATCAAAAGGATCTTTTTGTACTGGATTTGAGGCTGGAATAGCCGTATTATTTTGAATATGATTGTAGGGAGTAGCGTTATGCCGGACTGTAGGAGTGGAGGATTGGGATTGATGGTGTTCAAGGGCATTAAAACGAGTCATGAACTGGTCCATCTGCTTCTGCATTTGTTCCTGCATTTGTTCCTGCATCTGCTGGAACAGAGCTGTGATGTCTGGTGTGGATGCCATGGTGTTGGCTGTAGTAGAGCTTTGAGCTCTAGGGGCAGTTGGGGTGTCCATTTCTTCAGAGATTACTGAGGAGGCGGAGGAGCCTATATCCGATGAAGGATCTGTGGATTCTGGCTGACGACGGTGACGTCTAGCGGTGGTAGGGGGCGTTCGAGGCACCACCATTTTGGATGGGATCGATCGAAGGATCCTGGGGTTCAGGGGCCGATTGTTGGCGGTCCTGGTGTTCAGAGTCGCTTAGAAGCGCTCGATTTCTGGTTTGACCAATGAGAGGTCACAATTTAGCCTATCTGAAAGGCTTTTTTAAGCTCAATATCGTAGAGCTAAAACGGGCTCATAACCTAATGGATAGGCGCATGTATGGTCGTATTACTAGGTAGGCCTGCCTGTGCCGTGAGATAGGTAGCGAGGGCGGTCTAGGACGGCAGAACCTCACGTGTACTAACAGGCACTACTGTTAGAGGTCACGTGTATTCTGCCATAGTAGACCGCCCTAGCTTGGCCTGACACACTAAAATAGCTAGACCAACCTAGATAGATACAATACAAGCAAGTTGATCCAACAGGTTATGAGCCCTCGCGCTCGCTACGATCGAGAGCTTCTAAAAAGAAGATATTAAGTCATTTGGGATGAGCCAAATCAGCTCTCCTGATTGGCAGAACCAGAAGTCTTCTAACGAATCTATCACTTGGATGATAGATACGGGGATCGTGTCTTCAAAACACTAAACACCAGCTAAGGATGGAGTCAACTGAGCCATCTACACCTCCAAATACAGCTAGATAAGCTTCTACTCTTGATACTGAAGCCTTCAACATGGCTGATACCCCTACTCCCCTCCCATGGTCCCAGAACGGTCAGCAGGAACAGAATCAACAAAATCAACTGACAGCTCCTTTAGACATGAATCAAGCCTTCTTGATGATGTTACAGAGGATGCAAGCAATGGATGAATGCCAACAACTCATGCAAGAGCAGGTTCTTGAGCTTCATCAACAACAGCAAAATGCTGCACCACCCTAGGGTGCTGGAACGCACAAAGATAATGCCACAACAGACCTCTACAACTCTCTACAGCTCAAAATCAAACAGCTTACCAAAGAGTTTAAAGAGATATGGACAGATTGATGCAAAGTTACCCTGAATGGTGATAATTATGATGACTGACAAATAGCCATCACTAGTGATGCTGAATTAATAGATGCAGTCAAAATCCTTTATCAAATAGCTCCACCAGAAGCTTATGATATTCATCTTTCTACAATTTGGACCAAGAAATCAAAACTGCTACATGCTTATATAGTGAATTTAATGGCACCAAAAGCTTATGAACAGATTGGTATGCTACCAGATAATACAGCCACGCATATCTGGGCTAAAGCTACCCAACTTTGGGGTCAATCTTGTGCTGAAGAACGCCTGATGATCTGCACACAGCTCTTTGATCTTCAGATTAAAGATAATAACTATTTCACATACCAGGAGCATTTCAAAAAACTCTGGACCTATCTATCCCACATTCAATGCCCCCTATCAGATGATGTCTATCACGATCTATTCATCCGCGGACTTGGTGATTGGAATCGTCATTTTGTTAAATCAAAACTTGATGAGTTCTATAGCACCAGCCAGGGAGCAATTAAGGACCTTGACCTCAATGATTTCATGAAGCAGCTAACCCTTCATACTGGCACCAGAAATTGAGAAAAGAAGGACCCAAAATCAACCAAAGAAACCTACACTGCTAAGCAAGCCGCTAGCAACCAAGGATCTAACAAACCCAACAATGAAAAAACAAAGAACCCAGACACTCCATCTTGCAATTGGTGTCACCGTCGCTATCCTGGCAATCAATGTTACTATGCCTGCTTTCGGAGCAAGGCATGGTCTGAATCCTCAGCAGCCCTGCTTGGAAGTTTCCAACAAACCTAGAATCTAGCCTATTTCGGTTAGATTGTTTACAGACAGCTAGGCCAGCAGCTTCCAAAGATAGAACTTGGATGGAGAGATCATCAGGCTGGGCCTGTCTTATTTCTCGATTCTATATCCTGTAGCTGGATCCAAACTTTTCAGACATCCCCATGGGATTAGCCAGTGTCAAATGCACAACCAGCCGAGGATTCGAACTCTTATGGGCTACTGTACTTGAGACGAACAAGAAACAAGTTTTCTTCTACTACACGATATCTATTGTACAAGACTTAGTATAGGCAAATAGTGGTAAGCATTCAGCACTGGAATAACCTATTCATATTGGGTTGTTATGCTGTGCCTAGAGCCCTGTCTTTCTAACTATTTCACACTTCAGATGCAACCACAATCTAGCTTGGAAAAGCGGCCACTATATAAATGGAAAGCTCATTCCCTTTCTCTCTCCAGTCTGAATACTATTGCTCTTCTAGTTTCTCTTGGATTTTCGTACCTATCGATCAGCTCAATAACCATAGATATTATCACAGTCTACGCTATTGCCGCCAGCAGCCTTTTCTCAGTTGCCATCCTCACAAGGTCCCTTTACTATCTCGCTCCACTGAAGAACGTTGTCTCGATTCTCTTTTCAAAGCACCTTATCTATCCCTATTTCATTGCTCGTCACCATTTCATCAGCCCCTGGAGCCGTCTCAGTGTCTTAACAAGCGCCATTTATCTTGTCGCAAATCTGCTTTGTCTCCTTTTCAATGCTTCTTCCACTTCAGATATTGGTCACTGAGCAGGGGATTTGTCGCTTGTCAACATGGTCTTTGTGTTTTTGTCACCGCATTTGAGTCTACTTGCTGATCTGATAGGTCTGTCCCTCTAGAGGTGCTGGAAGATTCACCATGGAACAGGCTGGATAAGTGTACTTCTCCTCATTATACATACTGCAGTCGTGATACTGGTTAAGCGCATTTGATTTTCTTTAAGGATTGTTGATAATCTTTTTGCTGCTAATTGTGAGTGCTCCCTTTGAAGAGAAGGCTTGAGGCTAACTTGTCTCCAGGGCTCTGCCTCAGTGGCAATAATCATGCTTCTTTCTTTCCCATTCATTCGCAATTTAGTGTATAAGTGCTTCCTTTGAACTCCCAAGGATTAGCTGCTCTTCTCTTTTATGCAACCTGGCATCATCTGCCAGAAGGCCAGTTGATGCCATAGATCTGCATGTACGTGTCTATTGGATCCTTTTCACTAACCACCCTCTTTCAATTGCTGGCCCTCTGTTACTGCAATGGTGTCTTTGGGTAGCACGGTTATCCGCGGGCATATATCAATTATGATGGCGCAGATTGTGAAAGAGAGCAGCAGTGGCAATTCTGAGAAGGCAGTCATGGTTCAAATTAAAGTGCCTCATCCAATGAAGCTAGATGCTGACCAGTATGTGAATCTGTGGCTGCCTACAGTTGCATGGCCATCTTGGATGCTAACCATACGGCAGATCCTGACAATTTCCATCTTTGTCAAGTCTGGAGAGATCATGGCATATAGAAAACACCAGCGTGCTTTTGTCTACTAGGGTCATGCTAACTACCATGACATCATGCAGGCGGAGGTATCTGGCGACTTCATCAGGAAGGTTCCAAATGCCGAGGAAGAACGTGGCGAGATACTGGTAATGGGTGAGTGCTTTGGCGGAAAGAAAAGGAAGGGCTCATTAGCTGACTTTTCCAGTGTTGGCTTCAGATAGTACACGCGACCAGGTGCGGGATATTGTTCAGGGTTATCTGCACAACCAGGTGAGGATGTCAGTGTTGGACTTTCAACCAGCGTAAGGGGAAATTGGCCTGATGGTAGGGATCTTGAGATTGGATCGATAGTGTTAGGAATAAATCACATAGTGAGGACATCAAAGTTTAGTTTCTCAATGCTACGTTCGAACTCCATGAGTAGAGTGGGGCATTTGTGTTAGTAGCTAAACACTCACCCAAACTCCTCTATGTAGGTGAGTTGCGCGCAGGCAGCATTCCTGAAAAGCTCACCAACAGCTGTTGGCCAATTTTTACCAGGACAAAAAGATATGCCTGTCAATAAGTGCCTCTCATAATGCTGCACATAATTGATGTCATCCAACAGAATTATCCCTCAATTTGATTGCTGTTGAACCTATTTAAGGGCACCCTGGCATTCAATTTTGCCCAGTCATTCTCCTTGGTATCCATGACCTTTGCTCTTGACAGCTACCTCTTTATTTTCTCTGCAGACTCTGGTTCCTCACCTGTGGTTGTGCACGTGGACAAGTTGCTCACCCCAGACAGCGAATTTGACTACAGCAGCTGTATCATGGCTCAGATGGGCAATTTTGCCCATTCCTCTATTTTTAGCAGGGCCAAATTTGGCGCACCACAGGAAATGGTTCAAAGGTCTCTCTGAAGGAGAGGAAGGCGCCTATAAATAGAGCTGTCACTGAGTCTTGATCCTTTCTGCTGTCCTTTTTTGTGTGTGTGTTTTGGCAACTGCTGATCCGCTGTGTTCTTTTTCTATGCATCTCTGGATGGCTTTTTGTTCTCGTCTTTATTTTGGACAGACCCTCTGGAAGGGCCTTTCTTTGTTTTCCTGATAATATGACTGCTTTCACTATTACGATCCAAGTGAGTTGGCAGGCCTTCATCGGACGTTCTTTGCTCACCTTGGCTGGATAGAAAAATGGTAGCGAGCAACGACAAGTATCGGCAACTCAACTAGACAAGGTAGGTTATGCGTTCTCACCATGACCAACATGCTGACCGTCAGGTCTATACACGTGTTTCTACTGTCCTTCAGGATCTTGACTGACTGGGTCCGTTTAGGGCAGCAGAGCTCTTTGATTATATGAGAAGCAATGGATCGTTCCCACCTTCGGTTGCCTTCCAGATTCATGATGGCGAATGAGCATGGGCAGACGACGAGCCGCCCGTGCAATCGTCTGAGATTACGAGCTCCAGCAGCCGTTCCATTGCTGATTTGAGGGATACAGAGGGCACAGGCAATTCAGGTTACTTGCAGTCTCATCTTTTTTTTTTTTTTTTTTTTGTGGTTTATTCGAGTCTGCTAACGTGTTGAAGGGCTTCACTTCATGACTTTGACCTTATGTCATTCCACTGACAATACAATTGACCCCACTCTGTTGAGTGCCCCAGTAGAGGACTGGGATGATATAATACCGAATGCTGCCTGGGAACGGGATAATAGATCCGGGTGTTCTAGGGAGGAATCTGAATCGGACTTCGACAACAACCCTTTGTTGGTGTCTGGGATGGATGACGCCCTGGCGGAGCTGCAAGCATCAGGTCCACAGACACCTCAAACTGAGAAATCTGAATCTTATGTAACTAATTGAAACACCTCCTGTTCTGGGACACCACTTCTTGGTGACAGTACAGACCTGGCCATGGGCCTTCTCACGCCACAATCAGATCATTCCTCCCCAGCCATACAGTCTACAAGGAAAGCTAATCATTCTCCATGCACCTGGCCAAAGGAATTCAAGGTGCGAGAGCCAAGGAACTCTAGACAGAAGACACAGAATCGGGCGTCTTCAAGCGAGGAATGTCATACAAAGTACGTGTGAGGAAATCGTGGAAAGGTCCAGGATGCGTCTCTTCCAGTCTCGACCGCCTTCCAAAGGTAGATAGATATTCATGCTCTAGAGCATGGTAGTGGCCTTACTTATGATAGCTCCAATGGATCTCTTAAACAGAAAGCATCCATTTGGGAAGAGAAAGGCTTTTGGTTCGAAGATGCTGTCCATCTCCTTATCTCAAAAGAGTTTTCAGCAGAGGAAAGAGTATGCTGAGTCTTTCAATATGCTAATATGATTACAAGGCGTGAATCTGACCAGAGACTGCGACTTCGCATGTCACAGGTCCTGCTGCACCTTGAGTTCGAGTCTTTGACATGGAATAAGCAGAGCAGCCTCAATAAAGGCACACTGAAGAATCCCAGTCAATACCACACCGCGACGCTGTCTACTGATGATCTCCTTAAACTTGCCTATCCACGTGAATGGAACTCGAATGAAGGCCAGATTCAGAAGAGAATCTGTACTGAATTCCACAAACAGAAGAGAGAAGGCAGTCGTTGGTGGCAGGCAGCTGGCATCTTAGGACCAGGTGTCCTTCTCACAGGTGGCGATACATTGTCAAAGGTGATGTCTGTCTCTCACAGGATTCCCTCTTTATCTTCCCCCACACCCACAACCAAACCTCCATGGCAAGGATACTGTCTGTGGTTACTAACTACTCCTGCACAGCAAATATCATAGTCCTTATACCTTCTCAAAACTCAATACCGTTATTAATTATATTGTAAATGTACATCCCAGTGTGGTAGCTTATTACCATGAATTCGACAAGCTGGTAGAGCAGATTCTACTTGGCGCGACTCACAATGCCTCCCACAAGACCGAGAATCGGGGGCAGAGACTGTCGGGTCTCAAGTTTTCGAGCTAATGCTTGGGCATATCGCAGCAAACAGAATCCGTTGCCGCTTGTTGCGAATCAACAGAAAAGCGGTTCGCGGGTAGCGTATAATTTAAACTAGGAACCACAAGGCTGCAGGCGGCTTGATTGCATTTCTTTAAGGGCCAGATAAAACTGAAGAATTTATTTTTTCGGCAGACTCCGACCATTTGTCTCCATTTTATTTCATACATTGTATGAGGACTTTACGCAAGAGCAGCATTTTCTGATGGTTGGCTGGGCTCCTTGGTAACTTCCAACAAGGCTCGGCCAGATACTGTTGGATCACGTGGGATTCTGCCGCATAGGTCCGCCCTCGCTGACCCTTTTCACCACGTAGGCCTATCTAACCGACCCCTACGGTAACCTTCGGGGTCGCGCAATACGCGCGACCCCGAAGGTTACCGTAGGGGTCGGTTAGCTAGTTACCAACCAACGATACACCTCCATTACTAACAGTTCACAGTTGCAAGTCAGTCGATTAATAAGCAATAATGTTCTTCAGATTTGCTTTCACTATCTCTGACAAAAGTAAACTACCTAGCCAATCAGACAACGGCAGGAGAAACAAATAAGCCATACACACCACTTACTCACTTTGCATAGGAGCAGAATGTAAAAGACAAACGGGAGGCAAACGACACCAGACCCAGAAGATAGCCCTTACTCCACCGCGTCTCTGTGAACAGCGCATGCTGGCCAGAACTTAGCAAGACGAACATCGCGAATTATCAATTGGACTCACCTCTCAGAGCTTTGCTAGAGAAACCGCTGCTGCAATAGAGGACAAGAATCCGGCTGCATGGGAGTCGCATGGCCATCATTCAATATCATCGACGCCGGTCTTATTGCCCTCCTTTTCATATTTCTGCATCAGCTCCATAGTGATTACCCCCAATGGCTTGCAGTACTGAGGATTATGGGCCTCCTGCAGTGGCACACAATCTTCTAGGCAAGCTACGAGACCAGTCAGCAGTTGATTCAAACGGATGAGGATTCTCCCTACCGATTTTAACTTCTCCTTGTCCGGTTAGAAGAATGTTAGAGGAGTTCAAAGACGGGTGCTCTGATTTGTGAGGTATAGGAGGCCATCGAGAATCTTCAGGGAACGGTTAGTATTGTTCTTGATCCTGGGCAATACACTCACCTGAGCGAGAATTGCTGCGAACTCGACTTCGTCTAGATAGGCCTCGCAGGCAACTATATGTTCCAAAGAGACCGAAATATCATCGTGAAGCGTAAAGAGTAGTCCCCCATCCACGAAGCAGCCCCTCAAAGAGAGAATGTTGGGATGCTGAACCTCCCTGAATCGTTGAAGCATTTCATCAATATTCTTCCCTTGGATCACCCTAACAGCCATGAGGTGCTGAGGTTGTACACGAAGGACAGCGATACTGAAAAGCCCAGCCAATTCACATTCATAGACTTTGAGGAAGGTCTCCCACAGCAACTCATGGCGGACTGGGAAAGAGTCCTCCACTCACTGGTGAGGTTGGGATGCTGTTCCCAGGATGAGATCTTTCAGAGGGCCATCCAACCGCTTCCTATATTTTTCTACTTCAGGAACTGGCATTTACCTTTTGATTTGGATGGGCTGGCCTGAAGGAGCTGTATCCTCTGTATGTGAGATCCTATTAGTCTTAGCAAAAGGATCCATTGGCTGACTGGAAGATCCTCTGATAGTCTTCATTGTAGGTTGTGTTGGTGGATGGGATAACATATTGAGTAGTGTACAGTGTTACAACTCTAGATGTTTAGCTGAGAGGAACAAGTCTTATATAGCATGCGTTTAAATACAGAAAATGATAGGCAGATGCTCAAATTGGCGCCTGGTGGCACCTCAGGAGGATAGTGTCTAAAAAGGTGACCACACCTAGATATAAAGCTCCTGTCCATCCTGCCCTGGTTATCATCTCTCTGACTTTTTGGCCACATATGTACATCCTATCATGATGGAGATTCCCCAGTTCACCCCAAGAGAGACTCAGCTGGCAGCAGAGAAACGCCTCAAATTTCAGGGTACTACAAAAGTTGACCTCCATCAGATTCATTTTGATCCTCATTCACACTGGCAGCTGGATCAGAGGAATGTTGATTGCCTCTGGATGATCTTTCAAGAGGAACAGTGCCAGAATCTGACTCTCAAACACCATATACCAGCTATGTCTCCAGACCACATTTGGAGTCAGCTCTCTGAGCAGCCAATGTCAGTGCATGTGCATTGCTCACTAACCCAGAATCAGAAATGCCCTATCTTTCATTCCCTCCAGGGCAACTACAGGGACTTCACAGTCAATACCAGATTGCAGCTGGGTTGGAGGTGCTATCACCAGCATTTCATTGGTGGGCCATCAACATCTACTCAGATGGTAATCACAACTCCAAGATCAATGGAAGTGTAATGCACTGAAACTAACTGGGCTAATCACTATAGACATTGGAGATGATTTGCAGACAACTCTGATTGAAGAATACTCCAATGAGAAGCCCCCTAGTGATGGAGAGATATACCATAAGATTCGTCAGTATGCGAGCGATGGAAATCCTCATGGGGAGTTGCGATGGCGAGCACGACTGTGTTCCAGCCATCAAACGCGCCTTGACTCTCTACTGAAGAACACACGCCTCCAACACGCCTTTGACGGTGTATGAGTGATCCTGGGGCATCGGAATGCCATGCGAATCAGCATGCTCCATCGAATACTAGTGTCACGGAACTCAACTAGACGATGAATAGGATGCTATCCAGCTATCTAGGCAGCTATCGACGAGAACTTCAAGCATGAAGAGGAAGGAAAAGGGAAGAGATCTACGTGAAGCTGGACGACGTACTCCTATCCACGCGCCACGCTAATCCAAGTAAGGAAGCTCACGTGCTCGTCCTGGTCTACATGGCAAGGGCCCTGACAGATACATTCTAATACTTGCTGGTGCACCAATTGCCTGGTGCAGTCAATGCCAAACCTCTGTTGCTTTGTCTAGCAATGAGGCTGAATACATAGCTGCTAGTGAAGCTACTAGAGATGCTGTTTGGATACAAAATATCATTAAAGAACTTGAAGTTATCTCCCCTGATGAAGAACAGCCATTTCCACCAGTTCCTCTACTAGTGTCACGGAACTCAACTAGACGATGAATAGGATGCTATTCAACTACCTAGGCAGCTATCGACGAGAACTTCAAGCATGGAGAGGAAGGAAAAAAGGGAGAGATCTACGTGAAGCTGGACGACGTATTCCTATACACGCACCACGCTAATCCAAATAAGGAAGCTCACGTGCTCGTCCTGGTCTACATGGTAAGGGTAATGGAGGTGTATTGTTGGTTGGTAACTAGCTACGTGGTGAAAAGGGTCAGCGAGGGCGGACCTATGCGGCAGAATCCCACGTGATCCAACAAAGGGCCCTGACAACTAGTTGACAATCAAGGGGCGTCACAACTAATTGCTTCTGACCTCACTACCAAATGCTCCAAGCATATCAATATCCGTTTTCACTACGTACGTGAAAAGCTCCATGAAGGCATCATTGAAATAAAAGCTTGCTATACAAGTGAAATGGCAGCTGATGGTTTAACTAAGCCTCTGCGCAATGACTGGTTCACTACTTTTCTTAAGCTAATTGGGATGAAGGGACGTTTGCTACCTTGCAACACCGAGAATTCTGATTCAACGCCTCTCATTGGCTGAAGAACCGGATCTTATTAAAGCGCATTTCAACGATCATCTTTTACTATGTAATTTAGCCCTATTTTTTTGCTGTCAGGCTAGCTCGTGCGTGGGGAGGTGTTAGAGGTCACGTGTATTCTGCCATATTAGACCGCCCTCGCTTGGCCTGACAGACTAAAATAGCTAGACCAACCTAGATAGGATACAATAGAAGCAAGTTGATCCGACAGGTTTTGTGCCGGCTGAGTAAGCAGTGCCGTCAGTATCCGTCCAGGCAGCAGAGTCCCCCTGAACAGCTGCACGCAAAAAGAAGGGAACAGAGAGCCACCACAAACATTATTATTATTATCTAGTTGTTCGTGTAGGTACTATTCTCCTCTTGTCTCCTCCACCGCGTCCATTATTGTTCCTGCTCCCCTCCCGGGCCTCCACTTCTCTGTCGCCTTTCCCCGTCCCAAAGGGCGCTGCGGTAGTCGCGGTATTCTTTTGTCAAGGTACGCCTGTCTTGTCCGTTATTATCGTTATTATTACCCCTCCCTCTGCCTTCCTGATGCTTTTGTTTTCCCTTTTCCTTTATAGGCGCTTTTATTACTTGCCCGCGGTCTCTCTATACGCCTCAGATGCTGTGGCCACGCACTACTAGCATCTACCGTTCTTCGGGATGACACGCGTGCTGCCAGCGTTTCCTTTCCTAGTATTACCCTTGTTACGTCCTATACTTTGTTTACCATTATAATTATTGTGACTGCTGCCAGTACATACCCGGTCTGGTTGGTTCTCTTCCTGCGGATGCCTCTTCTAATTCTCTGTCGTCCTAGCGCAGTCTTCTTGCTTGCCTCACCGCCGTCCACGTGACTGCTCGCCCTCCAGTCTTCACTTCTCCCGCGACGATTATTTCGGGGCAGCGCCTCCATAATCTTCCACTCGCAAGTCGGCATTTTAATCAACCAGCCTTGTGGTATGTATCCGTCTCTTTATCATTTCCCCAGATCTCCCCATTCCTTTCTCTAGCGGTCTTGCATTTTATATCGGGGTAGACCCTTCCCACCTCCCCCCAGAAGTCGTAAGTGTGCCTGTTGCTTTGCATGCCCGTGTCGCAACCACAGCGCGCATTGCAGCCACATCAGACGCGTTTGGGACTTCTCCTCTTTGTGCTATATCGTCTTTTGGATAAGATTCGCGATGGTAGCCACGGTGATCGCGATGATCCCACCTACCGTGGTCGCATTGTTCATTGCTTCCTTTCTGACCAACATTATCGCTTCACAGATGGGTTGGTAAAACCGCACGACATGAACGCCTGGCTAGCCGACGCCTCGACTCTCCCGAGCCATGAAAATGGTGCCTTCAATCCGACAACTATCGATCCCTCAACCACCTTTCTCCATAACTCATCCACTCCCGACCCCAGCCAATTTCAGCGCATGTTCAATGGTGCATCGCGCAACGTGTCTCCTGGCTTTCACAATCCAACTCAAGTGATTCCGTCCAAGCGGCCGCGACCCGAAGATGGTCTTTCCATGTCCCCCAGACAGGCACCTACTGGCCTTCCCATTTCACGGTCTCAGACACCTCTCCAAGTTCCGTTTCCCGGGTACCAGGGCCCGGCCAATGGTACGCCGCAGTTTCCTTCTCATGCGAATCCATACCAGCATCTCCAACAAGGAACTGCCAGCGGTATGACACAGTCTCCAATTATGCAGGATTTTGATCATGGTGTTCAACGGCTTGGCACAGCGTCTCCCAGTCCGTTTTCCCCAGCTGGCCCCCATGTTGGTCAACGCATGTCGCCAGCGCAGTCCGATCACGGGAGTCGGGTGAACACACCACAAAACAACACATTTACCCCAAGCCAACAGTTCCCTCAGGCCGTGGCGCCGCAGTTCTCGCCAGCTCCCGCAATGACATCTGCTGCTGTACAGCCTCCAATGCAGGCACAGTTCAGTGGCATGCCTCAAGGGTATCAGCAAGCTATGGCTGCCCAGCAACAACGCTTGTACGCCCTGCAGATGCAGAATCAAGGCCGCGCAGTGAACCCCGGCAATACTGCGATGGCTGGAAGACCAGTCGGCGCGGGCATGAATACCGTGGCTAACCCTCAGCAAATGGCTGCAATAAGACAAATGCAACAGAATATGACGAAGCCAAACAACCCGGAAGCGTTCTTGAGATCACTTCAGAAGTTCATGATGTCGCGGAATTTACCTTTGGATCCTAATCCCATAGTCAGTGGTCGTCCTGTCACTCTAGTGCATCTGTATGCTACCGTAATGAAATTGGGTGGCTCGAAGAAAGTCACCGCTACAAATATGTGGCCCGTGGTGGCCCAACAGCTTCAATTTCCACCTATGCAGTTTCCTATGGCCGTCCAGGAGATTCGGGAGCACTACCAAAGAAATCTCTTTGCCTACGAACAAGCCTTCCTGACTTCACAGCAAAAGCAATTCGCCGAACAGATGCAACAAAATCTACCGCGACAAACAGGCGATGCCGCCAACTTACAATTTCAGTCGCCTACCGTTAAATCGGTTCAGCATTTTGAACCCTCTCAACAGCTTCCCCACTCTCCCCAGGATGGTGCGTCGCTAGGTAATAGCGTCCAACATAATCCTCCAAATGGCTTCCCAGCTTCAGTACAGATGAAAAGCCACAGTAAACAACCGCAACGTCCGAATCGGATGAGTATCTCTCGCCAGTCTCAACCGCCAGCGCTATCGCAGGAGTCTCCAGGACAACTAGCAGGGCAACAGCCAGGCAAAAGAGCATCTCCAATGTCAGGAACGCAACCAGAAGGTATCGAACAGCAGTCCAGCCAACCGCTCAAGCGTCCGATCGAGGATCCCTTCAAACCTATGGTCTTACCCGAGAGCAATTCACATGGGCCCATAGTTGTGGACGAGATGTATCAGCTTGGAGAGGATATCTCAAGACTAAAGCCCAACGTGCCAAGCTTCGCCGAATTAGGTGTCATAGATATCCATGCCCTCACAATGAGTATTAAATCGGGGATCCATGCCGAAATGCGCATGGCGTTGGATACCTTAGCAACTATATCTTGCGAGCCGGCGGTCCAGATTTCATTGGAGAATTGTGAAGACCTGGTTGAAAGCTTGGTTGAATGTGCTGAGGATCAAGCCGATCTACTAGCTGAAAATACGGCTGAAGTGTCAGACGTCATGCTCCTGCCGTCATACGAAGAAGTAACTCGTGGTTGTCAAGCTGAATTGACGGCTCTTGCAGAAGTTCCGGAATTCGGGAGTCTTGACTATGAATTGGACCGGGCTGCGGATAGATTAATCTGCATTACTACCATTCTCAGGAATTTCTCGTTTTCCGAGTCAAACTTTGGAATCCTGGGAATTCCTCCTGTGGTGGTTTTTATGTCCACAATTATCCGCTACTTAGGAACCCGAAACATGTTCTTGCGGACACATCAGAACACCCTGGACCTCATGAAGGACATCGTTATCTATTTGAGCAATTTGGCTCATACAATTCAGCTTCCAGGAAAGGAGGAAGCTCTATGTTTATTGCATTTTCTGTTATCTTTTTCACCATCTCCGGTCCCCACAGTCACCCCGGAGGGCGTCATGTTTTCAGCCTACAGTCCATCTATTCACAAGTACACGCCAGCAGCAGTGGATAGTCTAGCTAAATTATTGGCAAGGGATGAGCCAAACCGAACCTTTTTCAAGGCGATTTTCACTGGTGATGGTGCACAACAAGATTTGCTCACCCGCGCATTTGGTCTTGCCATATGCCCCATTCCCGACCAACCTCGAAAGCCTCTTGCTGCAGCAGACGCACGAAAAGTGTTTCTCTTGCAGGGGCTGCTGGCGGCCGATGTCTTGGCTACGTTCGCAGATAGTCAACTAGCTAAGACATGGCTCGAGTCTGTTGATGGCTTCGCAATTCATCTCCTCAAACTTGCCTGTATGCTGAGCACGGAACGAATACCTCCAACTAGCCAGCGTCAATCTCAAGCAGCAAGAGGACAGGCCGAGGCTGATGCCTACGCTTATAGCTCGATTATCAACCGTAGTTTAGCGATCCTACGTCGGTTGACCGAGAAGTCAAAACATATTGATCAGGCTTCAGCATCGAGACTCCCATCCGGGATAGTCCCAAGGAAGGAGAACCTACTAGGAGCGTTGTTAATGCCTAGCGTGGACTCGGGCGTCGTACGGCAGCTGCTTTCATATGCTCAGCTTGCAGAATGATTTGGGGCAGCTAGGCCTGAACTGTTATTTATCAAGGACTTATACCTTTCTATGTTGCCCAACGCTGTCATGTTTTCGAACGATATAAAGGATGCCGTTTTCTTCGTTTTTCCCGAGTTTCTTTTCCCGATTCATTTTGGCGTGGGCGCCGGTAGGAGGTTGCTGGGTGTGATTGTACTGTACCTGTCGTCCATTTACTGCCACTGTACAACGCTCGATACAATACCCACGGGAAGTCCGAAAAGCGTCCGTACATGATGTCTAAACGGGTACTTCCCTTATTCTTTTCATGGCTTACCTTTCTATTTACCCTCTTGTTTTACATCCTATAACTCTTTTTGACCCTGAGCGTGCCTTTATTGCTTGTGGTGCTAAGCGGTTGTCGTATTTGGTAGTAAACCGGGGTTTGGGTAGGATAAAAGGAAGATGTTATATAAATGTTTATGCTTGGTTACTGTTATTATTTTCTGAGGATCTCGTACGCGAATCCCGAACTTTGTGTCCTTAGAATGGTGCCCTAGACATACGCTTGGAATAGATATCCAGATCTCCTTGAGAAAATAAATATAAATTCTAATACTAAAATCCCATTGCTTCCTACCCCATTCAAATCAAGTTCACCCATGACAGTAACTACAGGAACATGAGAGAAGCAAGAAAGCAACGGTTACCATGAAGCCATCCGGCACCCATGTACAACCGCGAGGGGAAAATGTTATGTCGTGTGTTTTCGTTGGAGAGAGGAGAGAAGAAAAGAGACATGAAAAGAAAAGAAGCAAACACCGACAGAAACGACATTGGCAATGAGAAAATTATATGGGACTAACGCTTTGGACAAACTATACCAGAAGAAATAGCAGTGCATATAAAAAGAAATGAAAAGAGAAAATGGGACAAAAAAGAAGATAATATTGAAACGTAATGGGAGCGGTTCATCTCAGTAGGGATTTGTGGTATCCTCCACTTTTTCAATACCTCAATATCTGGGTTTCTTCCTGCCTTTTTTTCAGCAGTCATTCATGGTGTCAATATTCTCTTCTTGAAACACAGTTATACTACAGAAATTCAGTTGTCCATTGCAACGACGTGATTGGGTTGTTCAGTGTCAAAATAGAATTCGAGGAAGTCATGGGTAGAAAGATGATCAGGGTGGTGGGAGGAAAAAGGAGTTTAGGAGAAAGGCAACTGGCTTTTTTTTCTTCCCCTTTTTGCATTTTTTGCTTCAAAAATTCCGTTCCAGGAGAAACTTTTGGATCTCGGGTTTCCGCCAGCCCTGTATGAAAGATCAACCATTAGCCTCGCCTATAAAATCCATATTTTCGGTGCTCTACGATAGACGCACCTTCACAATTATGTGGCCATTGAGCCGGTTTATTGTCACATCCGGTGACTTCTTTCCTCGTGAATCTCCCGATTCTAGCCCCAATGCCCTTGATAGATCAGTCCGTAATGCTTCCAGATCTCCCTCGGTCTTCTGTATCTTAGTCTGCTGCTTGGTGCCGCCGGCTTTCGTAACGAGGTACACGGGTAGTTGGTTCGACGGCGTACGGCGGACAAAGTAAGGGAGGTTAGTCAATTGCAGAGGAGTCTCCTTTGAAGAAGTTGATTCGGCATTCTCTGCATTTTCCGACGTCAAAGACGCTTTGGTCTCTTTTTGTTTGGTTCCTTGTTGCTTAAGTTGAGAGAGGAAAGTCCGAGACTGCTGAGTGATAAATTTTGAGCCGGCACATGTTGGATTTTGACAGGACCGCAAACGATATTCTGTAAGTTGAATGGCTTTAGTCCTAGTTCTTTATTTTTATTTTTTTTTTTTTTTCTCGGGCAGTCCTTTTTTTTTTTTTTAACCCCTTCTCTAGCGAGGGAAAGTGGAAAGGACGGAAACGGTCACAACTTACGCAATTGAGGCGATCTACTGCGGGAACATAGCGTTGAAAAGGTATTATACGCTCTGGAGGGAGCAACAAAATGCGATGAGCCGAGAAGCAGAGGCAAAGAAGCAGATCGCTTGCCAGCGGCTGACGAGAACGACACGGACTGTACGAGGGAGGCCATCAGGTGCGAAGACGGGACTGATGGATCCGGAGCGATGCAGAACCCCCAGAGAGAAGCGAATCGGCACAACCGACAGCACAGCAGAAGAGCAGCTGGGACGGGAGCAAGCAGCAGCAGCGTGAGCCTTCTTGGAGCTTATCAACTGCTGCGAAGAAGAACTTCGCGGTTCTCACTTTCTGCGCGGAGCTGCCGGCCTAGTCCCGATTCAGTCTAGCGCGGCCGCCAGCCCTCCCACAAGTCAAACCGCCGCAAAATTGTCAAACTCGACCAGAGACAGAGACAGCACAGCGTCCTGCCCTTCCTCCCCCCCACTTCCTCCCCCTACAGCCTCCTGTTGCTACTGCTGCTGTCATCTCTCCATCATGGCAAGCAACACCCCCGCATCTTCAGAAAAGTTGGCCAGCGGTGCCGCCCAGGCTCCCAAGAGCGCCGAGGAGATCGCGAATCAGTATGACCTTCTGTCCAAGATGATCCCCTACCTCGACCGCCACCTCATATTTCCGCTGCTTGAATTCAGCTCCGGCCAGGATGAGGAGTCTGACGAAATTGTCCGTGCAAAATATGAGCTACTTAAACACACCAACATGACCGATTATGTCGCCAACCTGTGGAAGGAGATCCACCACAAGGACGAGATCCCCGAAGAGTTCGTGAAGAAGAGGGAGGAGGTCCTCGCAAAGTTGCAGCAATACCAGGACCAGAGCTCCAAAATCACTGAGCTGCTTCAGGATGAAAGTGTGGTGGCCAACCTGCGAAGCGACAAGGTGGCCAATTTGAAGTTCCTCGAGGAGGAGCACGGTGTCACAATCGAGATGGTGAACAGTCTTTACGAGTACGGCCGTTTCCAGTACAGCTGCGGTAGCTACGGTAATGCGGCAGAGCTTCTGTATCAGTTCCGTGTTCTGTCCACCGATAACGACAAGGTTGCCTCAGCCACATGGGGTAAGTTGGCGTCGGAGATCCTAACCACCAACTGGGAGGCAGCGATGGAGGAAGTCCAGAAGGTGAAAGATTCGTTGGAGACTCGGCTGTTCAACAACCCTCTCGGACAGCTACAGAACCGGTCCTGGCTGATCCACTGGTCTCTTTTCCCTTTCTTCAACCATGATCCGGCTCGGGACGTCCTGACGGACCTCTTCTTCTCTCCGGCGTATATCAACACCATCCAGACAAGCTGCCCGTGGATCCTGCGATACCTCGCTGCTGCGGTCATCACAAACCGCAGCCGTGCTCATAAGAACAGCAGCGTATACCAGAGACAATTAAAGGACTTGATCCGGGTCGTGCGTCAGGAAGGCTACGAATACTCCGACCCCATCACCGACTTCATCAAGGCGCTGTATATCGACTTTGACTTTGAGGAGGCACAGAGGAAGCTGGGAGAGGCCGAGGATGTGTTGCGGAGCGACTTTTTCCTGGTCTCCACTGCCGATGTGTTTGTCGAGGCTGCTCGACACCTCATTTCTGAGAGCTATTGCAAAATCCACCAGCGGATCGATATCAAGTAGGTTTATCTCAGCTAGGTATTCATTTTTCGGATGGTAACTAATAATGATCTAGGGACCTGTCTACCCGTCTCGGCTTGAACCAAGATGAGGGTGAGAAGTGGATTGTTAACCTGATCCGAGATACCAGGGTCGATGCCAAGATCGACTACAAGGAAGGAACTGTGATAATGAACCACCCTCCGCAATCAGTATACCAGCAGGTCATTGAGAAGACAAAGGGTGCCTTCTTCCGGACACAGGTTTTGAGGTCAGTCTTTGTCCTTTCTTTTTCACATCAGAATACTGACTTTCTCCAGTGCGGCTGTTGCGAAATAAACGCCTTTAGTAAATGACATTTTCTTTCCTTTCTCCCTCTTTTCCCTTCTCTATCTTCTTCTTTACTTTCCGTTCTGCCCGTGTTAGTACCATCCGTGAATCACGGGCTTGTTAAGTCATGGGACGAAGCAGGCATCAGGCTGGCGTTCGGGCGGTCCACCTTTTCCATGTTGTTGTTATTGGCTTTCGTTTTCGCAAAATATCTTATTCTTTGGCCTCGCCTGATGGACGTACGAAGACGCTTGAATGAGGCTGTTGATTCCCAAATCTGGAAAAGCGGAAGATCATACGGATATACTCTGAACGCTGTTGTGAAGTGAACCGATGTGTTTATTTACTGCAGAGAAGAGAAAAGCTTTGTGGTTTTACTATGCTGTTACGAATGGTCTATAGAAATGAGATGACAACTTATTCAGGAGGATTTTGTGTATCTTATAGTAGTAGACTACTCTACAGGGATCTCTAGAATGTCGATGGCTTTAGCCTCAATCCATGGATACTAAATTGTTAACGCCTCGAACAGCTAATATCGTGTTCTTTTATATTCAGTAGTCTGTCACAGTTCTCATTTTAAACCAATGACACGCTGGTCTGCGTATCACTGAGTTGGATAGAGCCAGAGAACATCCAAAAGAGCAGCAATAGTGCGTGTGAAGTATATATTCGAATAGTTATGCAGAATATCATATCTGGAAGAAGAACCAAAAGCCGCCCAAAGAGAATTAAATTTAAAGAAAAAAACACGCCATAGATTAAACAACGTCTGAACAGAATAATGAATAATATCTCCATATCCGAGTAAGGACTCATTCATCGGCCGCGTAGTGACTCTCTCGGCTCTACGGACCGCCTGCGAGAGCGCGTATGAACCGGTATTATCTCATTGATATAGGGTTCTGATCGTGAATCAAAATTGCCATTATTTCCGGCCATCCTGACAGTCTCCTGGCGCTCGTATTCTCGAGACATGGCGGCTAAATCGTCGATTTGTTCCTGTCTTGTGTTAGGGTTAAAGTCATCTGGGATAACAACAACAGCAGGGGTGAGTGAGCTTGTAAGATAGCTAAATACTAACCCGTGTAAGTGGCACGCCGATAATAAGGTAACCCTCACGTCCCTTTATTTAATATAAAACAAAAACATCCTTGATTAGGATCGTCTTTCTAGGAATCTGGCGAGTCAACAATTGGTCGGTACCTGGTAGGTGTATGGCCGGACTGAGGCAGAGGGTCCCAGGAAATATTGTATCTGGCCCAGGACGATGTGCCGGGACAGTCCATATCCTGGTAGCCAGTACTCTTTGACACGAGTCATATTTGATGGTTCTTCCTTGGTGAATGGAACCAGGCGAGGTAGATGCTTCGTCTTCTTTCTCGGTGGACGGAAGGAGAAGTGGTTAAAACTCGTTCAACTTACACTTCAATATATATGAATGCAATAATATAACAGGCAGGTAGAGTTTCACCCCTCATACAGAGACAGAAGACATATTCCAGTTTTAAGTATGCAGAGGGATCGGGTCGGCCCATCCAGGGCCCAGTCAGGAGTAGAAGAAAAACGAAGGGAAAAAAGTAGCAAATAGTCGGCAATCGGGCGTGTCTACGAATGATTATTGGCAATTAAATATAAAAACAAACAGTCACAGAACCAGTGGCTACCGAGTAATCGGGGAGAAAGAAAAGGCTGGGCGACACTGACATACTGCGCATTGCATTGATCTCCTTGCCTTCGGACCCGGAAGGGTTTCGCCTCACTCTTTCAGAAGACGAGGTCCAACCCTTCGAAATAAAACAAAACAATAAAAGTGAGGCGTACGGCTGGGTGATGAAGGATGTAACTTGACTGATCATACCCTGGTGCTTCTGATGGTTGTTTGATAGGGAATTCTACGTATCCTGTACCTAGATAATATTATTGTGGTGTCTGTTGTTGGTGGTGCCGGCTGGCTGATTGGATGCATCTCAGCAAATTTCGTTGTTCTCGTTTGCTTCATGTGATATGTAAATGCCGTCCTAATATGTAAGTCTTGAAACTATTTCCTGCAGTGTTGGTCGAGAGGGAGGGGTGTTGATGGTGGATGAGGTATACACATACTCCTGGTATACTTCGTTGGTAGATATATAATAACCCACGGCATAATGCATACCAATCTTTTCATTCTCCAATCCCTGCTACTCCAGACGTGATCTGGTAATACTAGATACTGCACGAAACGCCTCTACTCCCAATAAGCCGGACTATTGCTCGAATGCCGGTAATTATCGACGTGGCTACTCTCTGAAGTGGGAGGGAGAACCACAGTGCCCTAATCCTTGGTGAGGACTGATTATATAGAAATGGATATTCTTCCAAGTTCACTGAATATGATATACCAGGATTCCCGTTTGCACGGATGACAGCTCACACCTCTCACAAGTTCAACATAGATCATCTAAGCAGCATCAACCAACCTACTAACTATCTATGTATAGCACAATATCTGTAAACTCCCACCGAAAACTAATAGTAATCGCTCATTCAGCCCGGTCGAGTTTAAAATATACCATGACTATTAGAATGTCTAATTACTAGGTAAATAGATAAAGGGGGAACGCATGCGGGAAACTATATCATCTCTGACTTTTTCTATGCCACGAGACCTGCTTACTTGCCTACTGAAATGATCATAACGGTAATTATTTGCCGAGTCCATCTCGTGGCTGTGTTGAAACCCCATGTAGCGCCCGGGGGGGTTGAAGGCCCCGAGGGCTGAATAGCTCTGTCTGCTGTCTGTCTGGTGTGGATGCATGCATACATACATATATGCCTGGTAAGATAAAAAGGTGTAAGCTGCATTAGATCAATGTGGATTCCATGTCGCGGTATTTCTATGCCTGGTATACAGCACCACAGATAGAAGATGCATGAAAAAAGGGACAATGAATAGCTCGTCCGGTCTTGCAGTTCAACAACTGAATTATTCCCTATCTCTTTCATAACTCATTCGATAATACGCTTAATATACTTTTACTGCAACCATTGCTCCATGGCCTTCACTCCGGGGGAACGTATGGATGCACAAGCATATCGCTGAATCTGTAAGAAGCAGTCAGTTTTCAAATCGTTCTCCATTTCAGTGGTTCCATGGCAAAGAAAGAAAAACATACTTTTCCAATTTCTCCTTCCCCCTGACTTCTTCCGTCAACAGTGGCATCCTGACCACGTTGAAATCTTCATATAGCTCTTCGATCTGGTCGAGGTATTTCTTCTGCATTTTCCTTCGTGCGTTGCACTGTTCACAGTCACTGCCTTTCTTCGGGAATAGAAGCTGGTTGACGACGATGGCGTGCGTGTCGATGGAGTAGCTCGTGAGCTCTTGAATCATGCGCTCCGTCTCGTAGAGGGACAAGAATTCGGCGATGCAGACGCACACAAAGGTAGTCAAGTCCGCATTCTTGAATTGCGTATTAACTTCGCTGATCGTCTGCCGAAGGGACTCCATCTTCTGGAGAAGCTCGTCCATATTCTGTCCACCTGGAAGACCACCGCGGGATCCCAAGATGGAGTTCAACATCGGTCCGAACTGAGATGACAGCTGAGACAGCTTTGCGAGGGCCTTCTCCAGGACGGTAGGGAACTGAAGGAAACGGAGCGTGTGGCCTGTAGGGGCCGTGTCGAAAATGATCACTTCGTAGGATAAGGACTTGACTTGCTTCAAAACTTCGGCAAAAGACATGGCTTCATCGACACCGGGAATCTAATGACAATAGTATCAATCAGTATGTGATATACATAGAAGAGGGATGGCAAAGACATACGCTGAATGCAAGATCCTGCATCATATTCCCAACACCCAATCCGGCCATAGGGTCGTCATTCTGCCCCTCGCCACCAGCCAATAGATCCTGGATACTCCCATTCGGGTCAATCTCCATAGCGCTGAGGTTGGAAAAGCCATCGACTAGCCGCGCCTCCTTTCCGAACTTCTGCCCAAATGCATCGCTCAGGTTATGTGCGGGGTCCGTCGAGATCAGCAAGACAGACTTGCGGACTTTAGCGACCTGAATAGCGAGCGAGCACGAGGTCGTAGTCTTGCCCACACCTCCTTTACCTCCCACAAAAATCCAACGGAGAGTCTTCTGGTTGACGATGGACTGGAGCGTAGGCTCCATGTCAAGCTCGTCACCATGCACGACCGCGGTGGAAGACATTCTGAAATACGGTGAGGCTCAAAAAAATGTCGTCTCTATCAGAATGTACTTTGTAGATCCCCACGAGATAAAGAAGGGCTTTTCAGAATGGAAACAGGACACGGACGTAGGTGATGATCTGTCAACGACTCTCCCCGCAAATGCCAGCTTTAGGTCTGCGCGAAAATCGAAGTTTCGGGAAGGTTGTTCAATCGGTCTGCAACTTAGAATGGTCTGAAAGTACGGTGGGAAGTCGAGCAGCCAATACCACTTTTGTAGAATGTAGACTCAATGGGTCCACCAAGCTCTTTGAACACCTTGAATTTAACAGAAATCAGTTACTCTTCTACACGTGCTTTGATTTTTTGCCTGAGGCCATCACAAGCACGTGGCTTGACATAATCGTGGCTGGTGTAAGTGGCGCATTAATTTGCATCACGTGATGTGAATTAAATCATTCTCAAATACTTATTGAGGTTGACTTCAAAGACTGATGTATACTTTGTAAAGCAGCATATAATATCACTCGGACAAGCACGCACTGTTTTTATTTCTTGGGACTAAGGACAGACTGAAGTACAGACATAGGGCCCACAAGGTCTACTCCGTCACCCGTATAGCTGTCGGTATTCTCCGATGCGCAAAGGGCGGGGATAAATACTAGCACAGCAGCCCGTCGGCAGCTGTTAAAACTTACGAGGGATATTCAATTCATTTCCCTCAGTCTTGTTGTCTCGTAGGCTTTTCATCTTGGATGGACGCCGAAAGCAAAACAAGTGGCCAATTGAACAGGGTCGCCGACCGTCTATCTCTCTACCAGCACCAGCTTGCTCATCCATCATTGCCATCCCCGCATCCAACACGAAACTCGACAGAAACAGGGCAGACAGCTCGAGAACCAACACCAATGGCCCGCGATCCTATCACCTGTCACGTTCTCAATACCCTGACGGGCACACCCGCCGCCAATTTGCCGGTCACATTGACCCTTCTTTCGCCTGTTTCCGGCAGTCAAAACCAGAGCCAAAGCCCCATCAGCTTCCACGCGACAACCGATTCAGACGGACGAGTGAAAACCTGGACAGCTACAGCGACGACATCTGCAGCCTCTGTTCCGGCGGTGCTAGCATCACTACCGGGCGCCGATAGCAGGACGAACTGGTCGGTACGCTTTGAGGTGGGGCCGTGGTATGAGGCACAAGGCGTCGAGAGTTTCTGGCCTGAGGTCGAGGTTAAATTTACGGTGAAGGGACGCGGGAGAGAGGGCGAGGAGGGATGGAGGCATTATCATGTTCCGGTGCTGCTGGGGCCTTGGAACTATTCGACTTATCGGGGCTCATGAACAGCGTGCAGGGATTTTTTAGGTTTTAATATCTGATTAATTGTTGCTTCTGCGATATGTCGTCATATCTATTATCTACATTGATATTAGATACTAATGCAAGGCTTGTCAATCTGCCTTCGAACAGCGAACGCATGTTCGCGGACCGTTTAAAGAACAGGGAACAAGGTCTAGAAATGGATCTTAATTAGTTGAAGCCATTATGAAGGAAAAAGCAATGAGGATCATTGATAATCGCCATCTTTTGAGTTTGCGGCTACGGCCGTTCCTGTGCCGTTGTACAATGACGAGGAAACCAGCCGCGACGACGCGATAAGGGCTAGTTCTAGAATCTCGGGCCGTTGATGAAATTTCACTGTAGACGCGCGTTGATCAACAACAACAACAACAACAACAACAACAACAACAACAACAACAACAACAACAACAACAACAACAACAACAACAACAACAACAACAACAACAACAACGACAACAATCTCTTGGGTTCATATTATTTATTCTAGAATAACACTGTAGTATAATACTAAGCATGATCTGAAAAAGACCTGAAACGCCGACTCGAAAGTGGCGAATCCCATTAGCCATCAGCCATCACGTGATGAGAACCACGGGAGAGCAGGATTGCGTCATCCTGTAAGCGGACCAATAAGAGCCGGCTGGAGGGCTCGACGACCCCTGTAGCACGGCATGCAATTGGTCCGCTGCTAAACCAGGATCCACTACAGGCTAACCTAAAACAGAGGCAACGCTCGCGAATGGCCGGCGGATCCGACCAGACGCGCACTTCTTCCCTGTCATCGTCACCGTGATCTCATCAGGCAATTCGACTGCTTCTGCTTGTTTGCTCGCATTGCAATTTGTCATGGCTCAAGGATAACTCCTGGTGTCCTGCAGTAGAGACATGATTGACCGGACTGCTGGCGCTCTCTTGGAGTGTAAGCACTGTAAGGTTATTCGTAAATAAGTAATAATAATAATGCTGGTTAAAACGAATCGTACGGTGACCTTATTTCTTATCGAATGTTCCCCCGCTGCCGAATCCACCAGCTCACTTCTGTGGAGCGTTCTACCTTCCAGTCGGCACCGCTTCAATGAAACGTGCAGTGTACGGCGTAGAATGCAATGTGTGGATAGAAGAGAGCCTACAGTATCCCGTTTGATATTCCATAGAAACTCTGATTGCAACCACGGTTGATGTTGCAGTCAGCGAATGTCCAGTTACTAGCCAGTTACTAGCAAGAATGGACGCCAGCCGAAGCGCACTAGCCCGATCGGGCGCGGCAAGTCACGACACCGACCGCCTCCCCTCTTTTTCCCTTCCGAGTTCCCCCCTAAAAACTAAAAAATCTCCCCCGAAGCCTGACTACGTCACTTCTTCTTCCCCTTCTCTTCTTCCCTTGTATCATACCCGTTCGCAGTACCACCAGCATCACCGGCCCTGCACGCCTCCACTCTTCACGGATATACGCCCTCCTCGACGCTCGAGTCCTCGCGCCTGCTACCTGTCGATATCCGTCCTGTCCTTCGTCCATTGCCACCCAATCCTCTCGTTCCCACCCTCCACCGGTCGCCTGCGGCCCCCTTTGATCCCGTCGTGCCCTGCGTTATTATTATTATGTCTACGGCTGTCGACCGTACCGGCGTCATCGATTTTAACTGATCTCCGTTTCTTGTAGCTTTTTCACCGATGGACTTGAAAAAGGTCCCTGTCAAGCAGGAAGGTTTGTATTTTATTACCCGATTCGCGCTTCTCATCCTTTTTCTTGGGAAAATTTTTCTCTTCTTTTTTGCCCTGCCTTCCTTCGTCAACCCTTTTTTTCTAGCTCGTGTGTCCTTTTTTTTTGCCTGGTATAGCACTCCCTCCATTATCCCCAGGTCGTTCTCTAGTTTCCCTCACCCCCATCGCCATGGTTCATCGACGTGAACGTGTCCATATCTAGTCGCTGTAGACGACGCGACGAGAGAAAAATGACTTCGTCGTCCCACACGTGCTTGTACCGCGTTGCTGTCGCGTTCCCAAATCAGGCCCAGACCCAGCATTTTAGTTCACTAACTCGAGCATCGTGCTTTCCGCAGACTCGAAGGCACCGCCCTCGGAGACCAAAGAGAGCAAAACCGATGTGGACGCGCAGAACTCGCTGGCACCTCCTCCCCGTCCTGTTATAACTACCGCCGGCGATACTCCGGACTACTTCAGCTCTGTTCACAATCCCTTCGCCCTCGAGCCCAATCCCTTCGAGCAGTCGTTTGGCGGTGGTGGCACATCGGCCGAAACCCCAGGGAAGTCGCTGCTCCCCCCTGTCGCGGCCCTTACCTCTCCCGCTTTACCTGGCACGAGCTCTGCTGGTGGTTACAACTGGTCCAATTCCTTGCGCTCCGGCCCCTTAAGTCCTGCCATGCTGGCGGGCCCGACCGGCTCCAGCGACTACTTTGACAGCATAGGCAGAGGCTTTCCTACCCCTAACGAGTCATCCCTGCGCACAGGGCTGACGCCTGGTGGAGGCGGTTCGATGTTCCCAGCGCAAAGCCCCAATACGCAATCCATTTTGCAGCAACTGCAGAGTGGCGGGGCTACTCCATCGACGATCGACTTCCATCGCACGGCACTGAACGCCGCGAAAAAGAGCGGCATTAATGCGCCAACATCTAATCCGATGAACGAGTCGGATCAAACTGGCCAAGTCACTACTATGGAGGGGAAGGGTAACCAGACAACCATGGTCGACCCATTTACTCACCACGATGCTGCTGATGCTGCCAATGGGCTCTTCATGTTGGCCAAAGGCGGCCAGGCCAACCATCAACTCGCTGTGCCAACCCAATCCTCGATACCACCGCACAGCATTGAAAACCATGATGGGCTACGTGACACGGGTGCCATCACGCGATCGCAAAGTATGAACGGTGCGCTAAATGGTCGGGATATGAGTGGGGAAGGCTCAGATACGCAGACTGAACAGGCCAAGCCGGCACCAAGGGGCAAAATAAGGAGAAATACTACGACCAAGGCGACAAGCGCATCTAACAACAGGCGCAAAGCTGAAGAACCTACCAAGGGCTCAAATAAGAAAGCGAGGGTTAATCATGGATCCGTCAGCACAGACCCTGCTTCAGAGCCAGCAGAATCCGAAGAAGAGCAGAAGAGGAAGCCTCAAAATGACCCCAAGAAGATGACTGATGAGGAGAAGAGGAAGAACTTCCTAGAAAGAAACAGGTGAGTTTGCCGGATGTGGCTTCAAAGAGAAGGAATGTCTTTTGTCACTAACAGAGGCGGTTCTTGCAGGGTTGCTGCTCTTAAATGTCGCCAACGGAAAAAACAATGGCTTGCAAACCTCCAAGCTAAGGTCGACATTTTCACCACGGAGAATGATGCTCTTACTGCCACTGTCACTCAGCTACGGGAGGAAATCGTCAATCTCAAGACCCTTCTGCTGGCCCACAAGGACTGTCCTGTGTCGCAGGCCCAAGGACTTGGTTCACTGATGATGAACGGGTTATCTACCGGATTCGACCCTCATCCGTACAATATCCCTAATAACATGGCGATGCAACCTGGAGCACAGATTCCGACTCAAGGTGTACGACGATAAAAGGGCGGACAGCAGAACTGTCTGTCTCGATCACTGGCTCATGCACGCCCGATGATCTTCCGGGAAAAATCTGTCTGAAATTGACGCGTACTTCTTAGTTGCTCTTCCCTTCAATGGCGTGCGGAGTCATCTGTTGCTTAAAAGACTCGATAGCTATTAGTTATCCAGGGCTTTTATGTTTCAATATGTTTCAGCTGCAAAAATTTACACACGCCTCTGGCAATGGTGGGTGTTCATGATGTATACGAACCGTGAAAAAAAAAAAGGACAGGCTGAATGCAGTTGGTGTGGTATGGGTCTCATTTTACACTGGAGGGAGTGTAAATCTGGCGCACAAGATTCCTGGCTGCTTTTGTCTTGTTTTTGACACTTTTCTTTCTTTCTCCTCGCCCTGTTTAATCAGCCCTTCCCCCTGGACTGACTTCCCTACGCTCAGGGTCCAGGCCCCAGGGTGTGGTGTCTGTACTTTCGTTGTCTTAGTACTTTTGCTTGGCTCAGCTACTCTGGGGATTCTGTTCACATGTCTGATATTTCAAGGCACTGGCACTGCCCTTTCTTTCCTTTTCTCCCCCTTGTTTTGCGATACTTACGCGACTATTGGGTGGCGTATCGGCGGCTTGTTCCATTATTCGAACCGATTTATATTTGTTCTTTTCTCCCAATGCCCAAACCAGGCTTTCCTGCTATTTGTAGGTGTCTCAGCAGAGAGTAGAGACTGGAGCAGAGTACTTCAGCGGATGCAATTAGCCTTGGGTGACTCGTAGAAGACGCAGTGAAGCCAAACTCTCTCCGAGTGTGGAGATGCAGTCTTGGCAGGCACCGCTCCAAACAGGACAAACACGAGAGGTCAATATTCTCCGGGCAAAGGACGCGCTGCGGGATTCAGATTCATCACCAGCACAACAATAATACTGCTGTCAGGGCCACCTCGATCGAGTGTGAGCTGGTGTTGGAAGTGGAACTGAGACGAGATGCTCCACGTCACTCCGCCACGTCCAGCTTTGTTTTCGCGTCAACGACCGCGGTGAATACTCTTCGACTCCGTATTTTACATAACGTTGTCCTTGACCCCGTACGAGATCATTAACGGATTACTACCTATCCTTGAGCGATTAATCCAGTGGCTCCCCAGCAAAATACTTACTTCTTGCAAGAAGGGACGGAGGTCGCAAACCTCACACGGCTTTTAGGCTTCAACCAGACATAACAATGTCAACGAGCCAAAACCCCCGCCCGCGTCGCATTGACGATGCCCTCTCCCAGCTTGTCGATTCCCTTCTTCCCCCCTTCCCGGTTCCAGACGACATCTCCACCGAAGCTGAGGAAGCCATTGTCGAGGCTGAGGAGGAGCGACACGACAGATACCTCTCCCGTGTCTGGCGCATGCTCGACACGCACACCAAGTCAGCAGCCAGCGACCCGTCTGCGGAGAATATAAATAATGCGTCTGACTTGATCAAGCGGAAGCTGCTTCGCGAAAACGCCAGCCCCGACAAAGCCGTTCGGTTCTCGAATCTCTACTCCCGTCTGTTGACCCAGCCTGTGTTGTCGCAGAAATGGGCAATTCTATACCTGCTCTACCAGCTATCGAACTCGGATGAGGATAGGGATAATGACGTGGATGACCGTGAGAGGAGTAGGAGTCCGTTGATGGAGGAGGGGAATCTGCAGAACATGACATCTTGGGGACAGAGGGCAAGACGATTGACAGGAACGAGATTGGGGGAGAGCTCAGACGATGAGGGACCGGCTATCAATTCCTCGGCATCACAGATGCCTGCTCGAGCGGGTAGAAGGGATTCCTTCAGAGTGGATATTAAAGAAAAAGAAAATGAGAAGGAGCTTGCACCGCCGTTTATTACTCAAAGGGCCAGGGGGAAGTCATGGAGCTATTCTCATACCCCCGAGCCTGGGGTGAAGGAGAAAAATGTGAACGAGCTGAAAGAATCTATTGTGGATGATAGCGAAACCCCAGCTGAGCCTTTGGAGCATGCGCTTCTGCGCGACCTTCCCTATAATCTGCAGGGCATATCTTCCTTGAACTTGAAGTTTTCATCGCCGTCAGTCTTGACATTACCCCCATCTATCCCGATTCCAATGGTTTCACTCTTAAACACTCTTTCCGAGCCGTGCCTGCTGTACAAAGGTCTATCAAGTTTTGTCGAAAAGTCGGACGGGGGCCTAGTCATACAGAGCTTGCGCGCCGCGATTGCGAGTGAGCTTCGTTCTTACTTGGGCTTGGTTGCTACACTGGAGGGTGAGACTCGACGGGCGCTGGCCGCAGCTGGAGAGTCGGGTGAGCTAAAGAGTATGCTTAAAGGCGGAGTTACATTGCGACGGTTTGTGGTGTGGACTAGGGATGCCACGATGGCATTGCGATTAATGTGTCTAATCGTCGAAGAAGCTCAAGGTATGTGGCCGTGCCTGTATTTGTTATGTTTTTCTTGTTCAGTTGTTAATTATACTTTGCAGACAAAAAGGGAGGCCAGTTGATCTCTTTAATTCACGGCTTCTCAAGCTCTCATGGGGATCCGTTTGTCTGCGCCTTTGCTGAGAAGCTCCTTACTCATATCACCCGGCCATTCTACGATATGCTGCGGCTGTGGATATACGATGGCGAGCTGTCAGATCCGTATCGCGAGTTCTTCGTTGTGGAGCCGGAGTTCAGACCGAGTACAGATCCGCGCCGCATTGCGTCCAGTGTCTGGGAAGACAAGTACAAGCTGGACGACGATATGGTGCCGTCGATAATTACCCAAGAGTTCGCCAAGAAGATATTTCTCATTGGGAAGTCGTTGAACTTCATCCGGTACGGCTGCGGCGACTCTGCGTGGGTTGAAGCCTACTCGAAAGAAGCGTCCAAAGAATTGCGATACGGCGACACGGCTAGCTTGGAGATATCTATTGATGAAGCTTACAAAACTACCATGGCACGACTCATCCATTTAATGGACGACAAGTTCAAACTGTTCGATCATCTCAGGGCGCTGAAGAAGTATTTGCTGCTAGGGCAGGGTGACTTTATTGCCGTGTTGATGGAATCGCTGGCCTCGAACCTTGATCGTCCGGCAAACTCTCAATACAGGCATACTCTGACTGCACAGTTGGAGCATGCAATTCGGTCATCAAATGCTCAGTATGACTCCCCAGACGTCCTCCGTCGCCTTGATGCGCGCATGCTGGAACTCAGCCATGGTGAGATTGGCTGGGACTGTTTCACCCTTGAGTATAAGATAGACGCTCCCGTCGATGTGGTGATTACCCCGTGGGGCTCTACGCAGTATCTGAAGGTCTTCAATTTCCTCTGGAGGGTGAAGCGCGTCGAGTTCGCCCTAGCTAGTACCTGGCGGCGATTCATGACTGGGGCCAGAGGGGTACTAGGCAGTGTTGACGATAAAGTTGGTCCAGACTGGAAGCGGGCACGATGCGCTGTCGCGGAAATGATCCACTTCATCTGTCAGCTACAGAACTATATTTTGTTCGAAGTCATTGAATCCAGCTGGGATCAGTTACAAGCTGCCGTCTCAAAACCGGGGTGTACCCTCGACGATCTTATCGAGGCGCATACCAAGTATCTTAACTCTATTACACACAAGGGTCTTCTGGGAACATCCTCCTCGTCGAGAAGCTCGTCATCATCGAAGCACCAGGAAGAAAGCTTCCTGTCGCAGCTGCACCAGATTTTGAAAACCATGCTTTCCTACAAAGACGCTGTTGATGGACTGTATTCCTTCTCCGTTGCAGAATTTACCCGAAGGCAAGAGGTCAATGCGAAGATTGAAACGCGCACTGCCCAGGGACGATGGGGTATCACAGAACGTGATTTATTCCCTCCTGGCCGGCGCATGCACACGCGGCAGAGCTCACTGTCTTCACCTTCTTCTCTTATCGCCACACCGATCCTCTCCAATGCGCAAGATGATGTCGACACGCCGTCTTCCCTCGCCAATCCTGACATGTCCGCAGACGACCGGATGCTTGCTTCTTTACGTATTCGACTCCGGGATCTCTCGGCGGAGTTCCGTGCACGATTGAACGTTCTCCTAGGAGATCTCGCGTATCAACCGGATGTCGATATGCGGTTCCTCGGCGTCGTCATGAATTTTAATGATGTGTACCAGCCGGTCCGACGGAAGAGAGCACCAGCCTCGAGTTCAAGAGATAAGGATAAAGATCGGGCAAGACGGAAGCTCGCTGCGTCTGGATCTGGGTCTGGGTCTGGTGGAAGTGTGGCAGATGGCAGGGGGATGAAGAAAGAGAGCACGAACACAAAGGATACTGGTGTTACTGGGAAGGGGAGTCCAGCTGGAGCAGGTTCTTAAACTTCAGCTTTCAAAGGAATATTTTTATAATTGCTCACTTTCTAGATGGGTGCTGATGGGATATAGTGATGATTTCATGATGTTCATTCCATATCCAAGGGGGGTTGGAGGCGTTCTGTTCTGCCCTGTTCTTCTTTTCTTCTGCTTTGCCCTTAATTTCTGATTCTATCTATTGTATTATTTGTGCATATATCAATAGAGTTGAGGAGAATTATTAGATTCTTGATATTTAGCTGGATTCTGATGTGTTGATACTGTAGACCCACTGCGGATAAGATAAAAGTGACAAGCTCTGGAAATTTTTTCTAACACAGCGCAAGTCATTTATCGCTTCTCATCACTTTACAGATTGATCTTTTTTCTTTTCTTTTCTTTCTTTCTTTCTTTTTCTTTTTAAGGCAAAAACAAAAATATCAGTCTTTTGATTCAATTCTATAACCAACCTACCAACGAACAAATTGAAACATTCTCCTGTCCTCCCTCGCCGATCACGGGTCAAGTCGTCTGATCTAGCCTCTAACAAAAACAACAACAATAATGCCAGACGACAAAACAACCCCTGACAAACAGCGTACCCCCGCATGGAAAAAACTGGGCCTTAAGTTGAAAAGCACACAAGAGAATGGTGATGGCGAACGCGAACGCGAACACGAACGCGGACATAAACACAAGCACAATCCCGATGGCGACGAACAGCGAGACGCAGATCCAGCAACAGGAGGAGACGGCAATGACGAGGGAAAGAAGCGATCGAGTAAGAAGCGGAGACTCGATGCTAAGGAGGGTGAGGGGGATTTTAAGAAGAAGAAGAAGGCGAAGAAAGAGGATTCTGTTGTTGATCACGATGGTGTTGGTGTATCTTCAGATTCGGGGGCGAAGGAGGTAGTAGATGCTGATGGCTCTTCGGCTGTATTGGATGGGAAACAGGGCCAGGAGGAGGGGTATATTGTGAATGGGAGCGGGAAGAAAGAGCAGACGAAGAAGAAAGAAAAGGAGAAGAAGAAAAAGAAAGATTCGAAAGATGCGAAAGATGTGAATGTGACAGTGGAAAAAACAAAGACGATCCACGAAACTCCCGTCCTCTCCTACCTGAGCCGATACCACAACAATCGAGCAGAGTGGAAGTTCCAGAAGAGCCGCGAGGTTCATCTTTTCAAGCACATTCTGTCGCTTGAACATGTGCCTGCACGGTACAATGCGGCGCTTCTGGCATACCTTAAGGGATTGAGGAGTGAAGGTGCTAAACAGCGGTTAAGTGAAGCTGCGGCAGGGGTCATCAAGGCTGATATTGAAGGAAAGGCCACACTGGATGGGAACACGGATACGGACGCCGACAAAGAGAAGGACAATACGGCAGCGGAGGAGTCTGCTAATGATGTATCTCGCTCGAGTCTGGTCTACTCTGCCACCATCGAAGCATTCAGGAAATGGTTGCCGGATGCCAGAGAAGATTTCGATAATACCGACATCTCGGGTTCCGCAGAGATGGACGACGGTCTACGACAACGGCTTGAGAAGAGAAAACGTGCGGAACTTATTTGGTTTGCTGTCAATGGCGAAAAGCTGTATGAGATTAGCAAGCCGATGACGAAGAAAGCGAATCGTAATGGCGCGCAGAACCAGCCTGGTAAGAAGAAGAGGAAGAATCGGACGGTTATTGTGGAGATTTCGAGCAGCAGTGAGAGTGAGAGTGAGAGTGAGAGTGAGAGCAGTAGCAACTCTAGCTCCAGTGACTCTTCTAGTGAGAGTGATGATTCGTCTTCATCGTCGTCTTGAATTGCAGTGCAGCATGATACGGATGGCAATTTGTTTACTTTTGTCTTGCTACTAGTTCTTGCTGCTGCGTTATATTATAGGACTAAGTCTGTCTTTATCCGGTGAATTACTATATACCCGAATGGCATAAGCATCTAGAATAATAGCATAGGAACTCCCAAGAAAAGAGGAAGCGTAGATACTTAGGTACCTACAAGTAGAGAGAACGAAGAACCCGTGACCAAGGCGGTGAGTGAAAGCTTACCCAAACGGGGACACAGCTTGAAGCTCCAGGTCGGCCAGGCACCGCGTCAGTCGTCTTCTACTCCCAGTTTATCCCCAGCTCCATCATCCGGCTTTCCTCTCTCTCCATCACTTATTCCCTGCGCTTGCTCCCTTTATTGTATTTTCTGGTATTTCCTTCAGGGCACACACGCAAGCATGTCCGGTAGGCTTCTCGACGGTCCCCAGCTTCGAAACATCCCATGACTTCATCAACGGCTGACACATGATCCCATTCTCGTGGACAGGAAGCGCAGGCTACGATAGACATATCACAGTCTTCTCTGATCAGGGTCGTCTGTATCAAGTCGGTACGTTTACTCATTCGCTGACGGCATAGCTTTATCAACGTTGGGTTGTGTTGTTTGCCCTGCGAAGCGCCCTGGACGCCCATCAAACAGAAACTGACAGCAACAAAACCATCTCGCATGTAGAATATGCATTCAAGGCTATTACATCCGCAAACATTACCTCCGTCGGAGTGAGGGGGAAGAACTGCGCCGTGGTATTGACTCAGAAGAAAGTCGCGGTAAGCTCTATTCCAACGTCGTCGATACATAGGTTTACTACGGGGAATAAGGCTGATATTGTTTTCTTGCTTCTTTTTTTTGTTTTGTTTCTTTCTAGGATAAACTAATTGATCCGTCCTCCGTTACACATGTCTTCAAAATCTCTCCCTCAGTCGGATGTGTCATGACAGGTTCCATTGCAGATGCTAGGGCATCCGTGGACCGCGCTCGCGGAGAGGCCGCTGAGTTCCGGTATAAATTCGGTTATGAAATGCCTGCTGATGTGCTTGCGAAGCGACTGTCCAATATCAACCAAGTTTATACTCAAAGAGTTGGTTTCCTTTCTCGTTGATCTCTCTTTTGTTTCGTGGGACGTGGATGAACTAACTGAATATGTTGCGTAGGCTTACATGAGACCTCTCGGAGTGGACATCACACTCGTCTCAGTTGATTCTGAAAAGGGGCCGCAGCTCTTCAAGTGCGATCCCGCTGGATACTACGCCGGGTACAAGGCGACGGCATCCGGGCCGAAGCAGCAGGAGGCTCTCAACTACTTTGAGAAGAAGTTGAAGAACAAGGATTACGCGGATGGTAGCTGGGAGGATGTTGTCGAGCTGGCCATTACGGCGTTGAGTAATGTGCTGAGCGTTGATTTCAAGAAGCATGAACTGGAGGTTGGAATTGCCGGTGGACCCCATCGTGATGGGAAGGAAGGGACCGACCCGGAATTCCGAGCATTGACGGAGGACGAAATTGACGAGCGGCTGCAGGCTATCAGCGAAAAGGATTGATTGATTGATGGTAGGTAGAGAAGGAGTAGAAACAGACAGAAGGGGAGTTTAAACTATATGAATGCCAGATGTCTAGTGTTTTGAACTTGGGTTCCGGGAAGTGGCTCCACGGCTCCATACTGTAAGATATGCCAAATGCAATGACCTGAGGAGTTGAGTTCTGGATACTACAAAGTACTCCGTAGTACGTATAGATAGTAATAGTATAGTGCCTTGATCGTTAGTTCAGCTATCTTGGTCCAGATGGGTGGCGACTTGAGAAGCGGTGGTGGACCTGACAATCAATCTGGACGTCTTCCGCGAAGGTCTTGGTCTTGGCTTTGCAGGTTCAGGAAAGGACAGGTACGTACTACTGTCAAAGCCTCGGGATGATGCAGATATGCAGAGACATGCTGCATGCTTGCCACCATCACACGTGCACGTGCCATGCGGCATGGATGAGGAAGGAAATGGAGAAGTTTGCCACAACAGGTGGAGCAGCCACATCCTTCAGCTTGGGCTGTACCGCTGGAGAGGGCAGGTGGGGCTGTGGCTTTGCTTTTCCTTCTTTCTTTATTTTTTTTTTCTTTATTTGTTTCATTTACTTTATTATAGTTTTGTTTATTTTCTTTTATTTTAATTTTAATTTATTGTTAAATTGTTTCTTTGAATGAGGCACCTAAACATACACAGGTAATACCTATCTTTGAGATCTTTGCGGGCATCCGAGGAACGTGGCTGACCCATGGTACTGACGTGTGGCTGACCGCCACACACAGGGGCTTACAGAGTTACAGAGCAACCCTGGCTAGCTGCTCTTGATTGCAGGTACCGAAAGGCCTGTGGACCAGCTAGCACGCGCTACTGAAACCTCAGGCCAAGCTATACTGCACGATCCGGAGCGATCGCAATGGATCTGAGAGCAGATCGCCGAGTGTCCATTTTCCACTGGGTCCAATCATGCTAAACAAGCCTCGACAAGTGCTTTTCCCGATCCGCTGGCGTCATTGGCCCCGACAGCAAATTCCTGTACCCTCACAATGCATAATAGTCACATCCCAGTGGTTAAGCGTATTCTGCTTCCTCCGCGTCTCTGGCACGCCAGCCCGAGATCCACTCCCCTGCAACAATGCCCTTCCCAGCTGTGCTGTTTCTTGCAATGCTCCTCCTGGCAATCAATGCTCTCCCTAGCTGACCATGATATGCTTTTTCCTTTTTTTTTATTATTATTATTCTCGGACCTCCTCCCCCTCCTGATAATAGTCTCCTCCAATTTTACCTAGATGCAGCCAGCCACGGGAGATGTCAACACTGGTTCGCAACGGCTGACTTCCGGCTCCTCTGCTCGGCTCTCCTAGTCCACCACGACAGCTAGCTATGGGAACGACTGATCTCTACTTTAAAGTCTATGCTTCTGCTCCTTTTTTTCCACTCTCAATCCTCAGTCGTGTAGGAAAAGCCAAAAACCATCAGATGGGACTATCATCTTGCCGTTGTTGTCGTTGCTGTTGCTACTGTCATTCGTCTTCCTTCCGTGAATCCATTCCCTTGGGTCAATTGACTTGCGCCTTGTCCGAACGAATCCTTCAATCCTGCCGCAGACGATCGAACGAAAGCAAAAATGGCCGACGGACGTAAGCGACTTTGAGCCTGCCTCCTTTCTTGTCCTGAATGAACCCGGCTAACGTGGACCGATCGATGGCATGATTGCAGTGAACCAAGCTCGGGCCTTACGAGTCGCAGAGATCATCAATGATTACCGCACACTCCTCGTACACATCTCACAGCAGAGCACTCCCGTCCCACAGGAAGAATACTATGAAGAAGGCTATGTCGTGATGCGCGAATGTCTCGCCGCCGCACAGTCTCTGATGTCATCGAATTACAACCCTCACCCTATGCCAGGCAACGGAGACGAGGAATCAGAAAAGATGCAATTACAGAGGGTCATCCTGGATAGTAGCGCTCGCCGGTTCCAGGCACACAAGATCTATCTTCGTATTGCGGCCGCGAAGCGATGGGCTATGAACCGGGCTGTTGTCCTCCGCGGCCACAGACCTACGGGTCATCATTCCTCGCAGTTGAAGGCGGTGGATAGAACGTTCCGGGAGGTTCGTTAACTACTTAGTTGGATTGGGAAATACTTTGATTGGGAAATGTTTTTTAACGATGTTTGTTTTCTAGGAACTCGCCCAGATCACGGATCAACATGTCCTGGCTGACCTGCGGGCAGCTGACATGCGAGCTGGATACTGGGTGAATGAGGACCCCTCGCTCAATTCGATCATTCGCTGGATACGATCAAGTTCATGAGATGATGATTTCATGATGATTTTGTTTCGTTCTTCTGTATTTTTCCACATTGCATTTCCGGGCAAATGATTAACGTCTACAATGAGATTCGGATTTAGCGCGTGGTGGAAATATCCCGGCATTGCGCGGGACGCTTTGTTGCCCGGTTTCTTCGTTTCTTTTCTTTCTTTTTCTCTGCGTTTCTTCTTTTTTCTTGTTTCCTTTTTCTTTGGTGAAAGCTTTCGGGGTCCGGTATATCCTGTTGAACGGTGTTACCTTTTTTTTTCTGTCTGTCTAGGGCTATATTGGATATTAGTTTCGGTGCTGGGCACGAATAAAAATGCAACGGATCTTGATTATACGATTTCCGCATCTTCGTTGGCCTGGCTGCTGGCATCCATAATATATTAATTATATTAATTATTAACTATTAACTATTATTATTATTCCAACCTGAAGCGCAACGTATTCCCTTGCCACCGCCGAAAAAGGCCGCACTAGAGCCTTAAACCCGCAGGCCTTGGCAGGGGAAAATGCCTTTCCGACACTGGTAAATGCCCCAATAGTAATATACAGCCATACTGGGATACTTCCGTCGGATAACTTCTCCTGTGTGTTCCCGTTTTATACTAACCCTATTCAGTAGTTCCCAGGTTCGTGCTCTTATCACTATATTATTACACTACCAAGGTACCACCTACCTTAGTAGGATATGACCGTGTAAATACTTAGTAGATACTTTCAATTCAAGATTCAGCCGCACTGACCTGTTCCCCACAGTCTGATTGGCACATGACTAGTTCCAGATCTACTAATTCTATGCAGGGTCATGCCGCCGCTAGTCTGCTTCGGTATTTATTTCTAGGGCTGGGCCCTGCTGTCAGCACACAAATCCCGTCATGTTATTTCCATTTCCAGTGTGAAAGATATACTCTGTCATACGATACGGAGTGCATCCCGTCCATGATTTTAATCAATGCAGTATTATTATTATGATGATGAAAAATCATGATCTGTGGAGCCAGTGTTAATGATCATGCCAATATTCAATTTTTATCCTTCAATTGAAGCCAGACATGGGTAAACCAAGGTAGCATCCTAGTAGTAAATAGTAAAGGCCAGACTCAGTGGGTATTGACAACTTGCATGTTTTCAGCTGCCATTGCCACCCAATGACGGCTGGAAAACGAGCGCCTGAGGCCGTCAGTCCCACGGGGATGGTGAGTGACAGTACTAACCTGCCGCGCTGCATGCATGGACTTGTACATTGCTAGAGCCTAAGTGCCAGATACCTAACTAGGTAGGTAATTAGTCGTGCTTTACCTTAACGGTGGGTAGGTTCGTTGACAGGGGCAGCTGTATGTCTAGGTACTATGGAAAGGTTTTGCTGCAGCTTTGTTTCCACGTTCTTTCCTTTTTTTTTCCTTTCAAAAAAAAAAAAAAAAACCGAGACGGCGGATTCTGGTCGGAGGATTACACTTCAGTAACTATGTACCTTACAGTATACCCTGTACAATGTCGCTTATGCGATGCTTTCCTTTTCTTCTTTTTTTTTTTTTTTTTTTGAACTATTGACTTCTCGTCCCGCCTGCAAATATCCCATGTGTCACATTCCGCAACTAGGCGCCCAAGCTAAAACTCACCTAAATTGCAGCTGTTGCTATCTCCATCACAGCTTCAGGCAAGCCACATCTTGCACAGCCAGCACAGCCAGCACAGCCACTTAGAAGATTTGCCCGTCCTGATCAGGAAACTTCTGCCCCGCGTGGCCGTTGCTATTTTTGGTCTGTCAGAAGCTACCGCGGACCTCCGCGCTTACAGAATATCATACGCCCGTCTGCCACTGTCTTTGACCTTTCTCCGTTACCTCACGAGAGCTGAGGTTCTTTCAGCACGTACCTCGCACGTACGTATTGTTCTCCCGTCTTTGCTGCTCTGGCTGTGGTGTGGCAAGTCTCAAAGTCAATTCGACCTTCGATACGATCCGGGAAGTTAAATACCAATCACCATGTCTGGAATCAAGACGGTTGCATATTTCGTGAACTGGGTACGGATCGACCCATCGTCCAGCTTGTGTCAATTTCAATGGAGCCCAATGGGTTATCATGTCATCAGAAGTTCTCCATGTGCACTGCAGTTCGCATGGCTGGCTAGCTGGCTAATGGGTTGCATGAATATGAAACAATCTTCGAGTAGGCGATCTACGGCCGCAATCACAACCCCCAAGACCTACCAGCAGACAAACTAACTCACATTCTGTACTCGTTTGCGAATGTTCGACCGGAAAGTGGCGAAGTGTGGGGTTTTCCTTTCCTTCTCCTTTTTTCTTTCTGCAGTTGTTTCGTTTCATATCCATCCATCCATTACCCGTTTTCTTGTTCGGATTCGTCTCTTTTCCTGATCGCAGCGTATGCAAATTAAATGACAAGAACATAGGTACCTTACGGACTCGTGGTCTGATGTGGAGAAACACTACCCGACCGACTCGTGGAATGATACCGGCACCAATGTCTACGGCTGCGTCAAGCAGCTGTTCCTGCTGAAGAAGCAGAATAGGAAGCTGAAGGTCCTCCTCTCCATCGGCGGCTGGACGTACTCTTCCAATTTTGCTCAGCCGGCGAGCTCACATGCTGGTCGTCTCAGGTTTGCCGAGTCGGCCACACGGCTGGTCTTGGATTTGGGGTTTGATGGTTGTCTTCCCTTTGTGGCAGAGGAGTTTCATAACTTGGCTAATGTTAATAAAAGGAATTGATATTGATTGGGAATATCCTAAGGGTTCGTATTTTTCCTAAGGACGCATCGTATAGACCCCATACTGATATTCTCATTTCAGACGATCACGAAGCATACAACTTCGTCTTACTCCTTTATGAATGCCGAGTGGTAGGTTCTGGCCATGACCCTTTCTTTGGGATTCCATTTTTCAGTCCTGAAAGTTGAATAGGCACTTGACAGGGCGGCTGGCCCGAACCGCAGGTTCTTGTTAACGATTGCCTGTCCTGCCGGTACGTTATGGCGGACTATTAGCTATCTGATATATATCTAACGGCAGCAGGTCCCAGCAATTACACTAAACTCAGACTCACCCAAATGACCCCGTACCTGGACTTCTACAACCTGATGGGCTACGACTATGCGGGCAGCTGGGACTCCACCGCTGGCCACCAAGCAAACATTGCTCCGTCACGATCAAACCCGGCCTCAACTCCTTTTTCTACGCTCGCGGCCGTGCAACACTATACCCAAGTTGGTGGGGTGCCACCCTCAAAGATTGTTCTGGGAATGCCCCTTTACGGACGCGCATTTACAGACACCAAGGGTCCAGGAAAACCCTTCAGTGGCACCGGGGAAGGAAGTTGGGAGCAAGGCGTGTGGGACTACAAGGCCCTCCCAAAGCCTGGTGCAACAGAGATTTTTGATTCGGAGTCCGGATCATCGTGGTCGTATGACAAGAAGTCGCGCACGATGATATCCTACGATACTGTGCGGATGGTGGAAGTCAAAGCACATTTCGTTCGGAGCAATCATCTGGGCGGGGGTATGTGGTGGGAGAGTAGTGGTGATAAAGGCGGAAGGGGTGCGAACAAAGCAGATGGGAGTCTCATTGGAACATTCGTCGAAGGGGTAGGCGGAGTATCTGCTCTGGATCAATCGTGGAATAATCTTTCGTTCCCGGAGAGCAAGTATGATAATCTGCGAGCCGGCATGCCTTGAGTATTCATATGTACTTTTTTTTTTTCTACGCAGGTTGAAGGTTTTCCCTTTCCGTTTTGGTGCTCACCCCGCTCCCTGAGCATGGGATAAGTGCTGACCTGGCAAGTAAGTAATATGTAGCCTCAATAAAATGAGCCTATCCCTATGGGTCTCAACCACAATATTTGTTTCAGTTCCCACCTGAATGAAAGACCAGTTGAGTGTTGGGTATTGGTTATGTTGATCAATTGCATCAGCTCATTTCCACACATCACAACCTAGGCAAAACATGACTGGATTGCATTCTTTTTTTGAGCCCGTTGTCTTTGTTCATGCAGCTATGCATTTTTGGTCCCAAGTGATCTCAGTCTATCAATCTTCGCCATATAATACCTGAAGTATCTCGGTGCTGGTCGAACTCGCTGAGGTTCTAGTTAGGCCGCAAACTAACCAAGCAGCGCTAATCCTCAATAGGAATGAGCTGAACCATGGGAACCACCAACCCGCCGCCCACTATTATAATTCTACAGAAAACAATTAGATGGCAATAGCATGATTTGCAGATATGTCAACATCAACGCTTCAACTAGGACGGCGTCTAGTCCCAGATACTTCTAATTGCACAATGCTCTTCCACGCACTCAATAGCACCAGCATCCTTTAACCCTTCAAATTCCTCCATGCCTGTTAATGTGGTCGGATCCACGCCCCAGTAGTAGGCACGGCTTGATGCAACATTTGCCTTCCAATTAAGCTCTCTATCCACACTTTTCCACGGATGCAACCATATCATGACTTGCACCTTCTGGCCATGTAGGAATTCGATCCACAGAATAACGTTTCCTGGTTCATAAAGGCGTGTCGATAATGGCCTGGATCTAGTGGTAGCTTGCATGTTGGGATGTAGTCTTCTTGTTGGCAATGGTTCAAGAGCGCCTAGTGAATTGCATGGATGTTAAATGCTCATATTTAAGTCTACTCTATGTAACTTTCTGATCCTGTTTCCCCATCCGAAGTGGGGCATGGTTGCGAACTTCGTCCTTGACAATATCAAGGACGCGCCGGTAACACCGCACACAGAACAGGTGCCCCACCCTCACTGAACTGGTACCTACAGAGGGAAGCTCACACGAGAAGGAGGTGGGGGAGCAACGAGAATCTGACGAGCAGAACTTGGGAGAAAAGAAAGGAGAGTTCGTCCTCAGCGAGAGAAATTGTCCCCTTCATATCCTAGGCGGAGCCCTGTCAACTACGCTAATTCTAAGCGACGAATCTGCTTGCAATTAAGGGTATAATCACCGCAGAGCCCTGATTGATGAATTTCTTTATCTTTGGGGAGTTCTATGACTTCAAACCATAGCTTTCTATGTGATTTTGTACGCAGAGCTATGATCGTTCCGTCCTTTTGATATTGCCAAGGAAATGTGGGTTTATATCGGTTCGGCCCGTGCAACCGAGCCCAATGGCGTCGTTCGCAATGACTCACCGTACTTTATACATGTTATACGGCATTATACTGTCATTTTACCAACAATCCACCACCCTCGACGTACTCTTAAGACTCTGGTAAGCCAGCCTTCCACATGTGAGACGTCAAATTACTGGGAAAATCTCAACGGGATTACTACAACGGCTCTACCATGGCTGAACTGATCTGTTTCGCCTCTTCTGTCACAGCAACTGTGACCCTGGCCATTCAAGCAACCACGAAGCTCCATCAGAGTCGAGGGAAAGGCCCATTCGTGAACTTCAGGGTGAATTGCATGATTTAGAGGGACTCCTGCGGACCCTTAAAAATTTGACTGGCAACTCGAACGGTTGCCTAACAGCTCTCGAGCGACCTGTGCAGAATTCAATGCGTTTATTGAACTCTGCACGCCGTCTTCTTCTGATAGGCAGAGCATCAAGAGGGATTGGCTTAACTTACAGTATATTGGAGAAGACATCATCATCGAGAATATTCGAACAAGGCTGCAGCCCTTTGTTATTCAAGGCGAGACAGCCACAGAAATCGATACAGGCGGGCTCCGAAGGGCGGAAGAGAAAGATATCGTCCAAAAGAGCCTGGGAATATGTGAGCGGTTTCTTACCATCATAATCAGTTGCGGTCTAGCCTGTTTGGAGACTCAGGGAGTAAATACCTGGAAAGGTTTCGACAAGGGGCAGACTGTGCATTCAAGCAAATATCATTTGCTGGACCCTGCCCCTTCTGATATTCAAAATATCAAGGAAATTAACCGATCCGATGCCTCTTCCGCACTTGAGGTAGAACTTAATGGAGAGAAATGTGCCATGAAGCTTGTAAGTAAATGATCTTTTTACCACTGATTGTTTCTTGCTCATATTCCAGTTTCACAACAATGGGGACTCAGGATTCGCAGAGAATGGTCGAGACCTAGATCGGTTCCGCTATGAGTTGAACGCCTACATGAACCTCAAGAAATACAACGTTTTGCGAGAACGGGTTTGTTCCACGCTTTTATGGTCATATTGATCGACTTGATCCTGCTGCATTCCAGCCAGCCCTTCAACATTTCATTCATGACAAGTTTTATCCCAGTGCAATACTGCTCGAATATCTTCCGAATGCTGAAAGTCTAAACTGGATCTTAATCCTTGTCTATTTGCTTGGGATCTAGACCATTCATTAATGCAATTTCACATGCTTTTTCACTGTTGTCCTCATAAGTCTGCGAGTCCGCTTATGATAGCTACCAGTCGCTATACTCCCTCACTGCCGTACCCAGCAGAAGGTCTGGGATCATAATGCCATTGATAGGAACAGAACCTGAATAGGGCAACATGGGCGGGGGATAGGCTGGTGAATTCATCATAGATACCAAGGAGCCTGGGGAGATCTTCTGGAAATAAATTTGTAAGTAATTTTGGTAATAGCTACTGTGAGTTCACTAGCTACTTCTGGTTGTGGAATTCTGTGCTACCTACGAATCGCTCATAAGTACAGCCTTTCACCCTCAGACTGACGGTCAGACAGAGCATCAGAACCAGGACTTAGAGACATTACTGGCGAACGTTCTCCAATCATTTGCAGGATGACTGGGCTATACTGCTTACAGCGCCGAATTCACTTGTAATAATGCTAAGCACTTGCCTACAAGCCCCTCGCCTTTCTATGCCCTGGCTATCACCCGGACCTACCCCAACATACTGATCCATCGTTCCAGCTGCTCTTACATACGAACACCCCGGCCCACTAAGTTGAACCAGCGCTATATCGGTTCTCTTCTCTATCACTACTCTATGTAGAGAACAGGCACATCCTCTGCAGCTACCAAAGATGCACAGCCGATCTTTCATGCCTCCTTACCGAAGAATTTCGACAACGACCTGGAGAGGAGCCAGAGACACCTCCACCCATACAAGTGACTGGAGAAGACATGTAGTAGAGGCCATCCTTGACTAAGGGCTCGCGGATTTGGCAGTACTATGCGGCACAGAATGGGTATGGGCATACGTTATATTATCCCTTTCATATGCTTCATCCTTGGAAGATATCTACAGCACAATAAAGACGAAGGATACAGTTCTTGTCATTGGCTATACCTATAGTATCCTACTCCAGACATTCTCAAGGAAAAGTACCCAATCCCGAACGCATGGCCGTCTATTTAGACTCGTCGAAAACGTAGGTAAGATGGCACTTTCCGCAGTACTGACGGTTGTGCATAGCAGCCATGAAGACACCAGCACCGCACTAAGAAAGTCAGCTTTTGAAATATGAAGCACTAGAGGGGAATCAAACGTACCTCAGGGGAAGGACACTCCCTCCTCAAGCGCTCAATCTTGCCATCACCATCGACCTTGTAGTACTTAAGGACAGCGAGCTTGGTCTTCTTGCGCTTGTGCTTGATCTTCTTGGGGGTGGTGTAGACCTTCTTCTTGCGCTTCTTACCACCACCACGCAGACGGAGCACAAGGTGCAGAGTAGACTCCTTCTGGATGTTGTAGTCGGAAAGGGTGCGGCCGTCCTCGAGCTGCTTGCCCGCGAAGATCAGGCGCTGCTGGTCGGGGGGGATACCCTCCTTGTCTGCATGGTATTAATATGTTAGCGAATACAGTTTCACCCACCAGGCAGGCCAGCGTAAAAGAGAGCCAGCTTACCCTGAATCTTCGTCTTGACATTGTCGATAGTGTCCGAAGACTCCACCTCAAGGGTGATAGTCTTGCCCGTCAGGGTCTTCACGAAGATCTGCATGGTGAAGGCCTGAGTTGAATTGTGTTAGTTTCAATTCATAATGGTTGGAGTGGAATGTCCAGGGAAGTGATCAAATTTGTAAATGGCTTGGGTTATGTCTTGGGGACATGGCATGTTCAGGGTTTGATGGTGTGATAACTCACCTCGACAGAGTTGTCTTCCTCAACCTTCGTTGCAAGACTGAAAAGATAGATAAAGCAGGTTTTCGGAGGAATTAAAATCATTGTGTGGTCACGTGATAACTACTCGGTCAATTACCACGTGACCAACAGTAATATCACGTGGCTTATGGAGAGGATATTTCCTTTTGGAGGAAAACAACGACTGGGTCCTTCATGAGTCGACTATCACAATAATGACGAGATAGGAACATGATACATCAGAGGTTGTCCAAAATGGAATTGCCACCGAAGTACTATTCAACACTCGATCTCTATGCTCATCTGCGAGTACCTACCGCACCGAAGGATTGTTAAACAATGTTCTATGCCTTCATGCTTCACTCTGCAACGACAGAGCCGAGGATGTTGTTCTCAGACAAAGCTAAAATCCATCCTAATCTTAGGATCTCAGCCTTAATTGTCCGGCGTCATCCTGAAACCAGGGTCAAACAAAGCATTCGATCCACCTGCCGATGTATGCAAGGTGGATTTGGTTGCCCGAGCCGTCTGGGTTGCTGGGCCAACGCCCCTATTGTTGATCGGATCCTTGGTATAGATCGACCTAGCCCCGAACTGAGTTCATCATCCCCATCGTCCACTCCAAGCTTCTATATCTAGAGCTTCTTGTCGCTTTTGTTTTCTTTGTTTCTCTCTCTATTAACAGTCTTATTCTAGAGAGTACCACTAATTGCACGTGGAATCTCTGCATTGCCGACTTAAAAAAGAAACTTAGGGAAAGGCCTCGGAGCAAGCGCAAAAAGCACTTGAGCTCCTAGCTTTCGCTTTCCTCTCCCTCCAGCTTTTTCTTTGGTTTGTGATTTCCCTGGCAGGAACCACTGGCTGACACAAGTCATAGGCTTCTTTTGCGGTTGTCGACCCGGCCGAACGGCTAGCGGTGCGTTGTGAAAAAAAAAAAAAAAAATCCTGGCTACCCCGACGATATCAGTACCAACGATGCTGTCCCACCCGCGCAGCAGTCTGCAGGACAGACACCGGCGTCATCGACGGCAGATTTCAACCCCGACGTTGCTCGAAGCCGGTAAGGTCCCGAACCTTCCTACGCCTGCACTGCAGCGATTCCAGACACATCGCCGTGGCCAAAGTCTAGATCAACGTTCGCCGTGCGCCAAACAATTCCAAGCCGCACGGAATGGGGTCGATTCGGCAACCCGAATCGCTACTAACGGAACAGTGTACCACCATCCTCAGATGTTTCAAGAGTTGCAACAACAACATCAACAGCAAGTCCCAGATAGCCAATTGCCCGTTCTGCAACATTCGACACGAATGGCTCTGATCGCGGAATCCCAGGCATTTTCACAGGAGGATTTGCAGGCTCTGGCCCACCGAAGTGACAAAAATGCCTGTATGAGTCCCCATATCGTCCAGGTTGGGAGCAACTTTTCGGAAGTTCAATCTTTGAAACTAGCCCTGGATCGCATCCAACAACAACAATTTTCTTGTGGGAACGTTGTAGACAGACAATCTCTCGACAATGGGTCCTGGAGCTACTATCAACAAAACAACCTAGCTGCACTTCAACAGCAAGCAAGCGACATTTCCAAAGTTCAGCAACCGCGTACGCCTGCTCTCCAGACGAATGACCGTAAGATATTCGATAAGTGTAACTCCCCCAAGTTAGGTCAGTGGCTGATGAATTCAGACTACCGCCCAATTACCCCTGCCACGACTCCGTTCAGACTGTCGGTTGATCTTTCTCAATGCAGCGAGGCCATAAAGAGCCAGCCCGTTAAGGATCAATACCTATCTATCCCGGGCCAGACACACCCACTGTACATGCAACGAGCCAAGTCCCTGGAAGGGGTAACGGGCACAACTTTTACCCAGCAGAGCATAGAGATACCTTCTCCCCCCAACACGGCTTCATTTGATATTGATACTTTTGATATTTTTGACTACCAGCAGGCATCCAGCGTCGACAATTCCGAACCCCATAGTCAGAACAGTGCATCGTCGTCATCGACAGCGCCCACCTTTCCTTCCATGTCGGAACCCTCCAATACCCAGTCGGCGGAAGAATCTAACAAGGCGCAAAAGCTCCCAATCCTTCCTATCTCGTCGCGTCGTGGGAGCTCCCAGAAGACTTCTAACACACCATCCGGCACCATGTCGCCTACAAAGCCAAAACTTTCACCCCGCGTGGCTTCCATTGGCAGCCTGAATTTGGATTCCAGAGTCCAGGCCTCTATCAAGGAAACGGGCATTACAATTGATGAGATCGCCTCCTTCATTCATGGACCGGACCCCGAAGATGGTAAATGGGTTTGCCTTCATACGGGATGTGGGAGGAGATTTGGCAGGAAGGAAAACATAAAATCTCACGTCCAGACTCACCTAGGCGATCGCCAGTACAAATGCGATCACTGCAATAAATGTTTTGTTCGTGGGCACGATTTGAAGCGGCATGCCAAAATCCATACCGGAGATAAGCCATATGAATGCCTCTGTGGAAACGTATTTGCAAGGCATGATGCTTTGACCCGGCACAGGCAGCGAGGAATGTGCATTGGCGGATACAAAGGGATTGTTCGAAAGACAACGAAACGTGGCCGACCTAGGAAGCACAGACCGGAGATGGGCGAGAGACAGAACAAGGCAGCTAAAACGCATGAGAAGGTAGCCGCGAAGTCATCGTCCGTCTCAGGGTCAGACACCTCTCGCAACTCTCCACCATCCGATACCTTCAAGGATATGCACATCCGCGGTTCAAGCCCTCCACAACAGACTGCGCCAGTCTTTCAGATGCCCGACTACTCTCTACCGCCAGCCGGCTTGGACATTACGCCGCCGGCATCGCCAGGCTATAACACTGGAAGCGAACTGTCGTCCGACTGGAGCTACAGATCTCTCTCGCCTACCACCGAAGATGAGAAAGTGTCCCAGCCTCTATCGGACAAGATTCTTGCAGGAAGTGGACTTCCATTTGGTACCGGGGTTCATCCTAACAATGATACTACGAACTCCGATGCTCTACTATCTCCACGCAATGCGCCTACGTTGACTGATTCGTCTACGGTGTCCGACCTTGACATCTTCATCAGCCAAGACCCGACGACTCTAACCAAGGATGGTTTACAATATTTCAATGACCCTGACATGGTTGAGTTCCCCAATTACTCTGCGACGTCGACATTCGGAGAGGGAATTGATCTCTTCCCTGGAAAGGGTATCTCTACGAGCCTGAGCCTGAATGATGATGATTTCTTTTCCCTTCAATTCCATGCAGACGAACAACCATCGGATGTCTTTACGAGGGACTTTTCATGGATTGATTGAAAGTGGTATGCGCCAACACGACGAAATGATTATGCACTGACGACTAATGTGGGGGAAAGAATTTGATGACGATTTGGAATGCAGATATGGTGCATGTTTTCTTTTTGTTTCCTTTGTTTTCTTTTCCCTTTGTTTTCCCCTTTCTTTTGTACGGACGACTTGACACGAAGCTATGTACAATTCAACGACAAATGATTTGGGGAGGATGATGAACGTTATGCGAGTGAGGAACTGTACCAAAACCGTGATGTGCTTTTTTATATGTATTCCTTATATCTGACAGGTATCTCTGCTGCACCATCTTTCCTTATCTCCTTCTAGGAGACCATGTACCAATGGATATGTTCTGGCGTGTGGACTTTCTTCTTATTTTGACCTTTGATTATTCTGCATTGGTGAAGGTGGTTGGCAAGTCGTTCAGCCCTACATTAACGTAGGAGCGGTGGTGATAGTGTTACTAGGTAGTTTATCAAGATGTCCTGAGAATAAGATAAATGATTATGACTCCCGTCTCTTGAATTTAGGTTTTTCAATTAACGTAACGCTTTCCGGAAGCTCCATAATCTAAGTGAAAAAAACATCAAATTACCCAATTCCAATACATATTTGTAATTTCTGGTATAGCCTGACTCCGAGAGGTTGTAGACCCACACATATACATTGTAACCCACAAAGACCGGGGGGCGATGGAACCAAGAGAGATAACCCCGAGACTTAAATCGCATGCCAAGACATACTGATTTCGATCGGATGATCCTCTTGCGTAGCGAAGACTTTGCTCTTGGCGTACCCCTTTGGAGCCTTGTCTGCGAAGAATGTCGTGTTACCGCGGTATTGCAGGAGGCCGTCTTGGAACTAGTTTAAGTTGAGGAAAAATATAAGTTTCGGGTTTACAAGAAAAAAAAGGGGGGAAGACGGGGGTAGATCTAGTAGATTTACCGTGAACAGATCTGGGGTGGTGATGTGTGGGCCGCAGCCGAAGACGTCTCGTTCGAATGTGCAAGGGCCCTTGCTGGAGTGTAGGGTGAATGTGCCCTCTGTGTGAGCAGTAATTTCGTTAGTCGTAATATCCAAGAGGGTCCTAGCAATGAAGTCTAGTTCCCTGGAGAGAAAGAGAGCTTACCAGAGACAGCTCGGGTCTTGAACACGGCACATGTCCCTGAAGAGAACCATGCGCCACGACTGATGATACAACCACGTTTACGGTTCTCTTCTGAGACCTGCAGGTGGCCCCTTCCTGTGAATGGGATGTCGGTTCCCGTCGGAGCGGGCGTGGTGGTCGCCTTGGTGGGCTTGTGATCAGATGGTCGTTTGGGTAGGTAGCGGATGCCCCTTGCAGGGCAATTAGATTTGAGGCCGTCTATAAGTTATTCTGGGTCAGTTCCTGTTTTGATTTTAAATTTCAATTGAATAATTAGGAAGATCAAACGAACCTGGAGTCGATGGGATGAATTTTCCAGCCTGCAGGCTTCCGGCTACGTTGAAATGGTACCATATCTCATTCAATGAATGGTAGTGGCATCGAACGGTAACCTCGGCTCCGTGAGCTTTTTTCAACGCTTCCTTGATGTCATCAAGAGAGTAAGTCTGCGTATAAGAAGGCACAATGCCGGCATTGGCGAGGGTCTAATTAGAATGTTAGCTAGAGCTATCCCTTTCACTTTCCCACTCTTTTGGGAAATCCATGAACAGACTTGATAGGAAGGGAGTTTCTGGAATATCTCCACAGTCTTGTCAAAATAGTCTACTACTTCCTGCTGAGGATAGTAATCCATATAGCATTTAGTCTCCAGTGTACTAATGCAGGTACCGTGCTTATTCCACTCGTGTTCCCACAGGTCCGGGTCATCGCCCCGAAAGTCCTTCCAGTACGCAGTCATATAGTCGAGAAGGTCTCCTCGACCAACATCAATGAGAATAAGTGATATGTTGCTGTATTTTCTCTTCGAGTCACAGTACTGGTCAAATCCGCCATCACAGTGATCCGGCCTAGAGTAAGGAAACAGTCAAATTGAGGACTATGTTCTTTTTTCTTGATGGAGCTCACCAGAGTCCATGGATAGTCCACGAGTCATCAGGACCAATAGCAGGATCGGCGTCCCAGAATTGAGTCAAGAGCATTTGCCCGCCTGGATAGTTGAAGCAGCAGGTATCTTGGCCGCTGTATTTTGCCTGGCAACTTAGTTCCGGATTTGAGCATGATGATAGTCCATGTTCAGGGCCTCGAGACTGCCAATCAAGTCCTGCAAGAGGTAAGGCCCCTAGAGAACTGGTTAAGGCCTTTAGAATCTTCTGAGGGCCTGGTGCCTCTTGGGGAAGCAGTTGCTTCATTCCGGATATGATGGCGGACGTGGTCAACATGGCCGCCTTCTCCGGTTCCAATACAGAATTGGGATGAGTTGATTTAAGAAGGGAGTTTTAGCAGGTTATATAGATAAATTAAGTGCCAGATAACAAAGGAGAGAAGTGCTGGAGGACGTTTGAACATTCGATGAGAGGCTGGTAATCGTCGTCGTTGTTATTGTTGTTGTTGTCTGAACTAGTTATGAGACATGGCCGATGACTAATCCGCGAGTCACAGGTGACGTAACTAGCTACTTTTGGGTCCCATGGTTTTGTTGGATCAACTTGCTTGATTGTCTCTATCTATGTTGGTCTAACTATTTTAGTGTGTCAGGCCAAGCGAGGGCGGTCAACCGAGGCAAACCCCACGTGACCTATAACAGGTTTAGCTCCTTCCCAGTTAGGTTTAGCTCTCTTAGTCATCATAACATAAATGTTAGAGGTCACGTGTATTCTGCCATATTAGACCGCCCTCGCTTGGCCTGACACACTAAAATAGTTAGACCAACATAGATAGAGACAATCAAGCAAGTCCAACAATAAATTGTTGGAGGTCACGTGTGTTATGCCCGGTTAGACCGCCCTCGGCTGTCTAGCACAGCCAGTTTAGGAAGTGATCTCATCACTCGAGTTCCCCTCAATCCGCGAGGGGCCCTTTATCCGCGTAATGCGCGACCAAATCCCGACTAGATAATACAAGACAATCATCGACTTCCAATAGATAGTTAGTTAACTCCTAGCTAGAATAATCAACCCAGCGAGTTTGACTCCCATCAACAGTTAACTAATTAACTTAGTTCCGCCCAAACCGGACCTTCCTATCTAGTCAACAAACTCAGCGAGTGCACCTCCCCATCATATATCCACGTCAAGCTCATTCTTTGTTTCGTCACTGTAAGTCCCACCAAAAAACTCGAACTGGGTTCTGACTGCTGACCTTGCCTATTAAATGATGCCAAAGATCATCATACACTATACAAAGCTCACAGATGTTCTTCCAAGGCATATATATACTCTTGTCAGCATTCATCGTCATTGAACCTCCTTGGAGTTGTTCGCATTCCAAAAGAAAGGAGCAACCGCGCATGATAACTGTAAAACATTTCTGCCTCCACAGCATCCTTCCGCAGCCGGCGGGGAGTTGAGGATCCAATGGAGGAGCTGAAGAGCGTAATGCCGGCTATTATTTGTTTGCTCAGGCCCTAAGCCTGGCCCAGCATGCGCGGCACCCCGGCGCTTTTGTCGATATCTAGAACGCCAACGCTACCGGGGTATACAGGTCTATTACCCTCTGTCCCAGCTTAGCAGGCGACAAGACTTTCTCCAGACAGCGCTAATCAAAAATATAGCGGTATTTCCGTCTCAGGCAACAATGCCGCTGACGGAAGGGACTCGACCTACCTTCGTGGTATCCAGGTAACAGACAGCGATGGCGTCGTGTCCTTCCATAGCATTTTCCCAGGCCACTGCGACAGCCGTGCAACTCACACCCATATCCTGACCCACCTGAATTCCTCGGTGAACGAGAACAATGGCACGCTGGTCGTGGGGACGGGCAGCGTTGCGCACATTGGCCAACTGTTCTGGAACGAAGTGCTTCGCTCGGCTGTCGTGGGCACCTTTCCCTACATGACTAATACCCAGGCCATCACTAGCAACGCCGATGACATGTGGTCTATCGAACAAGCCTCCGGTGCCTATGACCCCTTCCCCGACTACATATACCTCGGACACGATTTGACTGGCGGCTTGTTTGCCTGGAAACAAATTGGAGTCAATACCTCGGCTGATTGCACCAACAACTCTTATTACAGCATTGCAGCCTACTATGAAGCTGACAGTGGCCATCAAAACGAGGACAGCTCTGCGTTTGGTGGCTCCGGCGGCAACGGTGTACCTTCAAGGACTCCTCCCTCTAGTGCCGTACCGACAAGCATGGCTGCATAATAATTCTTAAGCTGTGGGGATCGGCGAAACCCGGCGCCTCCTAGAGCGAGGTTCACTACCATCGTCTTTTTCATTTACCCTCAATACCTGTATTCATTATGCCGATTTGAAGCTACAGTGGTAGGAAATCAAGTCTGTATAGTGACATATATACACGAAATCTAAATGCGTCCCTGTGATGCTATTTCCAAGAATAGTCTTCATGCAGAAGAACACTTTTCTTTTTCCAATTCCTGTTCATGCACACGTTCCTTCCAGAGCCTCATCACTTCAAAGCAGACCTCCACAGCAATAAGAAGGATGATGATCCATTCCAGCCGGAGGCCATGTTTCTCGCTGAGTCTTTCTCGGAGCACACTGGCTATTTCTTGTGCATAGTCCATTTTCTCGTTCAAAAGTTTGATACGAATTCCCACGTCCAATGCTCTTCCCACCTGTTCGTAGTATCCTTCAAGTCCAAGCTCATGTCGACTATCCCAGAATATGTCCGGTAAGGAATCTGTGAGCTCTGAGTAGAGATTTAGTTGCGCACGTACACTGAGTAATTGACCCGTCTTTCGAAGAATGAAATCCCGCGTAAAAGGTAGACGCGAGCCTTGCGACAGGAGAGTCGGGATTGCGCGAGTGGATTCGAAATAATTCGACAGAAGACTCTCAAGAACTGCAAGTTTCGTGCTTCGGGCTAGCCCCGATGAGAACGCCACCTTCGTGAAGACAGTTTCTACCGACTGTCTAGCAGGAGGTTGTGATCCAGATTCATTCTCGCCGGGTTTTGTGCCAAGAATTATGATTTCACCCTTGATGAAGCTGCTATCGCGTTGCGGATCCTCAACGTATTCGAGATCTTCCGTTTCCAAGTTATCAATATGAGGCCCCTCAGCCGCGGGGAGTAGTGTCTTTGTCGCTAGAAAGGACACAAATCCTTCAGGAAGGGCCCAGGCTACGACAGTGCCAGACGGGAACACGAAAACGTCACCGACGTCGTCTGCTGGCAAATCTGCCGCCGCCGGATTGCTTGCGTTGCGTGCGGAATCCAGAGGAACTTGGATGTGAACAACTTGAGGATATAAGCCCGTATCAAAGGGATCCGTCTCGTACCCTTTCTCCTGTAATATATCTCTGACTTTCCGGATGTTAAATTGTTCAGCCACAGCGTAGGCTGTTACTATCTTCTCTGAATATCAGCAAGGAAAATGATTTTGACAAAATTCTCGATTGTTAGACCTTAGTCTGATGTATTCCTTGCTCTTTCAATTGAGCTTTGGACAAAAACCCGTCCCTCGATCTTTGTGCTTCCACGGCTACTCTCCGCAGTGAAGTTGTCGCTGCCGGGGATCTACCACTTCTCCGCCGTTGTTTCTGGGACTCAGGATTCATTTCTGCGGGAGAGTCACCATTCCTTGATTGTCTCTGTTGTAAATAAGCATTGGATGAGAAGAAATCTTTTCGTCGAGGAAGACCTAGTGATGAGGACCTATGGAGATACTGATTCTGCGGCCGAGCCACCAGTCTCAACACGGACGGCTTTTTAAACGCGGAATGAACATATGGTCTGGAAAACATCTCGAGGAAAGCTGCCGACGCCCTGCTGTAAATCAATTCAGAAACTCATTACCGGACATATATGTACACATCTGTCGTATTGTTGAAGCAGAGAAAAGAAGCAGAGCTCCAGGCGTTGCCGAAATACGTCCATCGATCTCCGACGGCCCGGCCGAGCTTCTACCGCTTAGTCAGCCGCGCATCCCAACCCGCCCAGCATGACCAGCACAGCTTCATATCGCCCACTGAAGGTATAGCTTCAGGTACAGCAACCTCTCGCCATGGACGCGCCTGGCGCGACAGAGGCTGAAGAGAGCGCTCGCAAGAACTACTTGGGATGGGAGGTATCTGCCTCTCAGAGCTCTACTTCCAATGCTGACACGGACGAGCACCATGAGCGCAATCAACCAACGCAGAGCGATAAAGACGACGATGGAAGAGATGGTAATGAGGGGAAAGATGACGAGGAATGTGATTATTATGAGGAGGATGATACTGAGGATGAGGAGCCACGGTTCAAATACGCGAATTTGACGAAGAAGCTGAGTCCAGTGTACCGCAATGGAGACGCAACTAGCTCAGTTCTCACCACAGCAGACAAGATGGTACGCAGTTCGAGAACCTCCAAAGATAGTTCCAAGCTGAAATAGCTAAATTTCAATTCATCTAGATAATTGGAACACATAACGGAAAGATCGTATGTCATCCTCTCAATTCCCCAGCTAGACCGCTCAGGAGTTGACCTCTCATAGCATGTCCTATCGATTCCTCTATTACAACCCCTCCGCGTATACCATGCACACTCAGCGAGCATCACGTCCATTTCTGTATCACCATTTTATTCTGCCCCCAAACCGGATGTCCTGGGCTTGTTCTCTTCAGAGGAGCATAGTGATACGCTCAGGTCTAGTTCTGTCAGTATTCGAAGCCAAGCGAGACCAAGGCACCAAGTACCGCATGCCGCGGCGCCCTCCAACTCAATTTATATTGCAACTTCCTCTATTGATGGAAAAGTATGTGTTGCATCTCTGGTGGACCCAAAAGACGTTATCTTGCGGAACTTTGGCAGACCGGTTCAAGCGGTTGCGCTATCCCCAGAATACAAGCATGACAGGACCTTCTTGTCCGGCGGACGAGCAGGGGATCTGATTCTCACAACGGGTGGTCGTGTGGGTGCAAGCTCAAATGCGACAACACTGGGAGGTGCTGCTACTACGGCTTCCAGCTGGCTTGGTTCTATAGGGTTGGGGACAAACAATGGGAAGGAGACCATATTGCATAGTGGAGAAGGTGCTATCAGCACAATAAAATGGTCATGGTCTGGAAAATACGTTGTGTGGGTCAACGAAGAAGGCATCAAGATCATGCGCTCAAATCTGCATTTGGATTCCTCCGATCCGGAACTTGCGTGGAAACGAATTAGTCATATCGATCGTCCTAACCGGCCAGGATGGGAGGAAATGGCCAGCGTTTGGAAAGCTCGTGCAGAGTGGATAGACGAAGGGCTCCTAGAGGATGAAGCCGAGTCCACTCCGTCCCAATCAGTGGTAGCCAGCGAAGCCGTGGAAAAACTCGTTGTTGGCTGGGGAGGTACCGTCTGGATCGTCAGCGTCTATCCAGACCGGCCCAACCCAAGGGCTGGAGACCATAAGATAGGCACTGCGGAAGTTGTTACAATGTAAGACCGCTTTACTATCACACAAATCGCTTACTGACCTGATCCCAGATTGCGGACCGATTGTGTTATATCTGGGATATCATTATATACACCTACTCTGCTTGTCATTCTTGCATATATCGAGGCGGAGGAAGATTCTTCAGCGGAGCAGGGTGGCACCCGAGCCGGAACACGACGTCGACGGAAAGCTCTCGAGCCGGAGCTACGTATTATTAATGTGGAGACCAAAGAGGAAATCAGTGCTGATACTCTCTCCATTAGTCGTTATGAAAGTCTCTCTTCGTCGGACTATCATATGAGCATGGTTCGTCCCTCGAAGGCCCCCGTGACTGTTTCCCGGCGTGGGACGTTTGGGGTCCTCGGTAGTGGTCTCTGGGACGCAACTATGTACCCTGCGCGGTTATTCAGTTCTGCTGCGAGTATTCGCAGCAGCACCAGTGGCGGTGATAGAAACTCCAGTAGAGTTCCAAGCTCTTTTGCCTCGCGGCAAATTCCCAACGAGGAATCTACGTCCAAAGAAGTACAGATTGTCGCGGAAGCCGTGGGCACGAAAGTTTTTATTCATGGCCCGTACGATTGTGTGGTCTCCGTAAAGAGAGATCTTACAGACCGTCTTGCATGGTTGGAGTCACGCCACATGTATGAGGACGCGTGGAAACTTGTTGACGAGCATCCAGAAGCGGCGGGAGTCGGCGGGGAAGCCAACGATTCCATTTCTGATACTGGAACGAGGTCTCGGGGTAGCTGTGGTGAAATTGATGACAGAGCGTCTATCGTGACGGCGACAACCACGACGGGTGGGGCAGGCTTCTCTATTGCTGAGCAGGAGAAACGTCGGATTGGCGAGCTGTGGATTGGGCAACTTGTCGAGGAGAACAAATGGGCCGAGGCCGCGGAGGTCTGCGGTAAAGTTTTGCATACCGCGACAGGATGGGAGCATTGGGCTTGGGCTTTTATCAAGAGCAACAAGTTGCCTGAGATCACTTCATACATCCCGACCCATATGCACCCGCCCCTTCCCTCGACAATCTACGAGGTCATTCTCGAGTATTACGTATCCGAAGACAGGCGGAGGCTCAAAGAAATTCTCGACCATTGGCCGTTCGATCTGTTTGACTCCAACAAGATTACGGATTACATTCAAGAGAAGCTCAGGTTGGAACCTCCAGTGGCCGAATCTGAAGATTGGAATATTCTCATGGAGAGTCTTGCGAAACTCCTTCTGGCTGGAGGTCATTATAGTGAAGCATTACACTGTTATATTCGCCTCCACGATGCGGATACCACCATGTTTTTAATAAGAGAACACCGCTTACTGGACGCGGTCTCTGATGACATCCCAGCGTTTATCCAGATTCGCGTGTCCAAGGAGCAAATGAAGTCGGCGCCGATTTCCGAGCTGGATGAGATAACTGCAGAGCCAATCCAACTCCTCGTTAGTGAAGCATACACCGGCATAGTTCGTCCGGAGACAGTGGTTTCCCAGCTGCAAAGCGCGAACCGACATCTTTTTCTCTTCTTCTACCTGCGTGCACTATGGCACGGTGAGGCTCTTCCACATGAAGCTGCAAAGCCTCGGCGGGGACGAGGTGCCCGCATAAGGGATGCCGCAAGCAAGCTAGCAGCGGACGAGGGCAAAGTACTGGTCGACAACTTTGCTGACACAGCGGTAGAGCTCTTTGCAGATTACGACCGGCCCCTTCTTATGGAGTTTCTGCAGACGAGCACCGCATACTCGTTCGACGTGGCGACGGCGGTGTGCGAAACGCGCCAATTTACATCTGAACTCATCTACCTACTCTCGAAAATGGGTCAAACAAAACGAGCCTTAAATCTGATACTCTCCGAGCTGAAGGATGTCTCTCAGGCCATATCCTTTGCCAAAACACAGGACGATCCGGATCTTTGGGAAGACCTCCTGGATTACTCTATGGACAAGCCCCGTTTCATTCATGGATTGCTTGTAGAAGCGGGGACATCGGTTGACCCGATCAAACTAGTCAGGCGCATCCCCAGCGGACTGGAGATTGAGGGTCTCCGTGAGGGACTGACTCGCTTGATACGAGAGCACGATCTCCAGGCCAGTATAAGCCAGGGGGCGGCTAAGGTTCTCCAGAGCGAAGTAGCCCTTGGCATGGACAGTCTACGCCGGGGCCAACGAAGGGGGATTAAATTCGATGTTATCCAACCGAAGAAATCAAGGCGAGAGTTCGACGACTCGGACGTACAGTCACAAAGAAATGGGAAGTTGGACTCTAATAGCGATGCAGACACTGTTACAGAGCAAGCGGTGACGACTGGACCACTTTCACCTCAACCTGGGAGATGTGCAGGCTGTCACGCGCCATTTCATACTAACGGTGAGTTTCTATATGGCATCTCTACAACGTCCAACTAACATGTTATTTCAACTCACTATAGAAAAAGAGATCCTTGTTGGCTTTGCCTGCGGCCATGTCTACCACCTCTCCCATGTTGAACCAGAACGCACCAATGAAGAGGAGAATGAAGCTGGCGATCGAACACCTAGATCTTCATCTCCCCTCCAACCGTCTAATTCTTTACGCAACCAGGCCGGAGATGATCTATCGTTGTCGACGCCTAGGACCGTTGGGCCGAAAGTGACGACCGCTCGACTCCTCCGGGATAGGATCGGGGTTGGCTGTCGTATTTGTGCGCATGGGAAGGAGATTGAGGACATGGTTTAAATGCATTGAGCCAGGAGGGATAAAGAGAAGGGAAGTCAAGTTTCACGACAGCACTTGTTATTTTATCTTTTTTTTTTGGCGGAAGGTGGAACTTATTTGTGCATCAATCATTGTCTGTTTTGGGAGGTGGTACTGCATACATTGCCCTAACTGGATGGGATGATGTATATTTGCTTCTTAGATACCCAATCTAGCCGGAGTTACAGAAATTGACACCATTGCAGTGTTCTCGACCATATGAGGAGAGTGGTCTTTTCTGCAGAGCGTTTCTTCCAAAACGGGCAAGCCCTAATGCCAGTGGTAGCATTGGGAAGTACGCCACGTGAGCGCTGGAAAGCCGAAATTTCATACTGGCAATCAATTACTACCTAGTACTTACTACCTACATACCAATACTACATAGTACTTTCCAGAGTCGAAATGCTCCAGTGGCAATTGCACCAGATGAATGTTCAGAGTACATATGCCTGTCCCCTGTCATACAAGTGGCAAAAGCCACTATATGCATGCATCCTCCACAGCAAGAACAAAAACCTAATCTGGGGTAGCACATTACTAGAAGGTCAAGCCGGAACTCCTCCGTTGCATTGATGAAGATCATCCATCCATCAGTAAACCGACGCTAGTGGACAGACAGAATCTACTCCTACTGCTACTACTACTAGTAGTTCTCTGGATCATGCATTATCATACATTATCACGCATCCATCATGCATTGAAGTGGAGATGATGATTACAATATAATATCATGGTGTTCATTAGGTTCAATCGGCTAGGCTAGTTTAATGGAAAAGCACTAATTACGTATTATATAGTACTAGGCGGCCTGGATAACGCAGAATATCTCTGAAGATCCAAAGGACGAAGTGGACGGAACTAGACTAATTGACGTATCTTTGAAACATGAGGATGGGATTTTTGTTTCCCTTCATCTACTTGCTTTCTTTCGGGGGGTATCTCCGAAGCCAAGATTGTTAGTTAATAGTTATGGCATTCGACTAAAGTACGCGTAGTGGGTCAGGTTTCATTCATTCATGAAGGATAGATAGGTAGATAGAGAAAGAAAGAGAGAAAGAAAGAGAGGAAAAGAAAGTACAAAGTACGACTCGTCTGAATTGCCACCAAGGGAAAGAGAGGAAGAAGTACATTCGCAATGATCATGATCATATCATCATATCGTGTCATGTCATGTCACAGCATATCATGGACTGACTGCACTGATTCGGCGTTGAAAAAGCTACTGACCCGTTCGAAGAAAAAAACAGCCGGAAATAGTTTTAAAAAACGCGTGCCGAAAGCCCGCCCTATCCGACACAAACCCTATCTCAACTCAACCATGGCCTACATCACCATGAAGGTAAGCAGAGTCACCACGGCTGCAATGAGGCAAACGTCGATACGCTGCTTCCCCATGCTAGCATGGAGGGACCATGAATTATTCGAATTATTCTTGGTGGGGGAACTGGTAACTGCTGATAAACCGCCAGTTCCAGTTGCAGTAGTGATTCCTGCTTCTGTTTCTCTGGAGCTAGAAGAACTAGAACTAGAACCAGTACCAGTGGTAATCGAAGAAGTAACCGTTCCCGACGCAACGGTAGTAGAAGTGCTACTACCGCTCGTCACGGCAGGGATGCCAACGCTAGATGTCGTGGTGATAGGCTCCTTACTAGATGTCGTGGTCAAGATAGGGCTCGATGAAACAGTCGAAGAGCCACCATGATCCGAAGGACAAGGGATAGAAGTAGACTTTGACGTGGTCCAGCTGGTGTGAGGGGCTTGCGTTGTCACGGTAGATGTACTGGTAACAATCGTAGATGTGGACGTGGTCCTAGTCGTGAATGTAGTCCTAGTCGTGAACGTAGTTGTGATTGTTGTCGTGAACACAGTCGTAGTGGCGATAGGGACAGGGACAGGGACAGCAGTAGAGGTAAAAGTAGAGGCAGAGGACACAGAGTCTGATGGGCAGTCCGCCGGCAAGGTGCGGGTGACGGTGGTAAAAACGTGATTCTCTGAGTTGGGACAGTTAGCATGGCTTGTTCGTGGTGATTTTCAACCTGTCTGGTGAAAGTGCCCTCTAAAGAGACACGAGAGAAGTCCAGACAAACAGACAAGACAAGACATACCCATATCACTCGCAAGACCTAGAACAGCAAACACCCAGACTACCCAGAAAATGGCCATCTTGGTGCGAGCCATGAATATTACCATTTCCAACTATCCTTCGTTTCTCCCAGGACAGAAAGCGGATGATATCGATAAAGAACGAGTCAAGACGTGACGCGACGCGGCGAGATGAGATTTGGCGAGAAGAGCAGACTGGCTCTACTTGATTGAAAATGATGGACAAGAAATAATATCTCAGCTAGATAAACGATCGATATCGAGAAGACAGACAGTAAAGAATGAATAGTCGAGAACAAGCGAGACAGAGGTATCGAAAACGATTGTGGGAGCGTAACCCAAACAAGAAACAAAAGGAAGAAGAAAAAAAAAAAGAAGAAAACTACCTGGCGAGAAGAAGACCTAACCTAACCTAACCCTCATTCCAAGTGAATTCCAATTCATTTCAACCCAACCCGCACCATCAAATCAAGCTGTGTGTAACCATTTCACGGGGATCCCTGGAACTAAAGTGTATCAAATGAAACTGCATGTTTTCAATTGACTGTTACAAGGAAGCATGCATGCATGGGCTATCCCTGGTGTGACTCTACGCTTTCATATTGCTGCTGCTGTTGCTGTTGAAGACTGGTGGATGTTGATGTTGGTTGCATCTCCAGTCATGCACAGAGACGATTGAAATAATTGAGATGAGAAAGGACACTGTCTATTCTACCCGGTATCAAGTTTATTCTATGACAAATAAATTAGAAGTACAGACTGGTGGTACAAAGTACAACAAGCCTTGTTTCGATCCAGTCCATCAACAACAGTTCCACCACTGCAGAGACACTCAGAAAACTAATAATTAAGTTTTATTATCCATCTATATTGATCAAAAGTATTATCCAAACGCCATTGGTACATGGGTTAAATAGAAACAGAAGTTTTTTAGAACAGATCCTAACATCAAGAGTCCATGTACCCAAGAAAAAACCCTTCGACAGACATTGTGCTGCACGCAAAACCGTATACTCGAAGCCCATCAGATCACCTCACTTCACCAATTACAAGTCGAGAAGAAATAAGAGATGTTTAGAAAATGAAAACAAAAATAACAAAACCGTCACGGAACAAAACAGACAGCAACAAGGATTCCCTCCAAGACCAGTTCCGTTTCTTGTCGCCATGTTTAAAATAACGCCCGTGTTTTGAAGTCACAAAATGGAAATTAAACTGCCAACCGGTAGCTGCATCAATGATAGATAGATAAGAAAGGTAAAGAAATGGTTCAATGTGGTTTGGAGGGTGATCGAGGGGAGGGCACCGAACGTTGGTCTTTTCCAGAACTGTTTGTGAAAGATGCTTAGACCACCGACGCCCGCGAGGTGGAGAGGAAAAGGAGGAAAGGGAAGAAACAATAGGGATACACGAGGACAGTGGGCACAGGAGGGGGAAGAAGGAGACAGATAGGAACCAAAAGGGTAAACAAAAGACAACACCAAGACAGTAGTAACACAGGATCCAAATACAAACAAGATTAGAAAACAAAAAAAAAAAAATACATGCCCACATATATTCTGCAATACAGTAAGGCGTCAGTTAATACTTCAACAAAACTTCAACAGCGTCACCCATCGTCGACGGGGAGACATGGCAAAACTCAACAATCATATCCTGGCCATCAGTGAGTTCGCGGATCATGTCATCGTCCACCATAACTTTCAGGCCGTTACGGCTAATATGAACGACCCGGATGATTTGACCGGGGTCCATTTCTTGCTTTTCTGAGATCTTCTTCGTAAGATCATCAACTGTTCTCTCGTTCAGGTAGACCGCACGGTAGTAGGGGTCGCTCTGTTGGCATCCATCTCGGTCAAAACGGGCATAGAAGCAGGCAACTATGTGGCAAGCACCTGTCAGTTTTTCTGGCTATTCATAAGTACTGTCAGTTCCAAGACAAACTTACCAGGTCGAGGAAGGCGTTCTGCTGGTGGCTGATAGGTCGGGTCAACATCAACCGCTTCAATACATCCCATTGGCATCCCACCGAGTCCAGTCTGGAGCTTAGGAACCTTTACAGGATGGTCCAACAGGCGTTTCTCAGAACCCGACGCCGAAGGATCCCTTGAACTGTGGTAACCCGAATCCGACCGGACGAAGGAAGTATGACGTGGCGAGCTGAGCGATACGGTACTGTTGGTTGGCGATAAAGTGACCATGGATGGAGGTGCGTCGATGCTGTTGAGGGATTCGTTTGTCCTCTGGTGTCTGAGTGTGTGTACCTTCACGATGGGTTCATGCAGGTCGGTGGAGAGCTGGACGGGGAAAAGATCTGGGTCGTCCTGCTCATCGCCGCGCAGGCTCAGGACACTAACTGGCCGAGTTGAGGAGAACATGTCCTGCATCATGACCAGTCTCGTGTGCAGATCGTCTTCGACGGACAGTTTCTCCCCATCGGCGTTCTGAGGATCAATCGACCATGAGCGACTGTGCTTCAAGAACTTGGCCGGGCGGGCGGCAGACATACTACCACGCTTCCGCTTTCCGAAGCTGCCAGCTCCCAGCTCAGCCTGAGCAATCTGCTGCTTGAGCTTTTCGATGGCTTTCTTCACATGTGCAACGTCATTGGACAGTTTCCGTTCAGCGCCATGATCGCGGAACAGCTTGACTTTGCAGTAACTGACTTCCGCCTTGTGACCGGTGCTGCCATCAACACCCTCCTCGGGGGAGATCATTTGCGTCTTGGCACAAAGTCGGACAGGTACGCCCTTGACACCCTTGGAGTGGCTGAAGTCTGTCGACAGGAAGTTGAAGCGCACGGAAATGGCACAGTATGAGACACCAGTTGTCAGGTCTGCAGTCCACGTGACGCAGAAGCCGTCGAAAGAAGCACTTTCAAGCTGTACCTGACGATCATTTTGGCTGTCATCGGCAACCTGGATGGGATCAGCGCACTCGACGGCCAATAGTTTGCCGCCACGCTGGTGAGCTTCGTTCAACCCGCGACCTTCCTTCCATAGCTGCCAGCAAGCGGCAACTTTGGATCTTTGCTCTTCCTCTTCGAAGGACACCCGCACGTAGGTTCGATACCTAACCAAATTGGTGCCGACAGGTGGCGGATTTGAATCAACGACAGACAGAGTGTAAGTTTGACCCTTGTTGAGGTAAGTGACAGGGATCTCCTTGGGATGTTTGATCATAGCCGTGGGAGCTCGCAGGGTGACATTGTAGCGAAATCTAATCTATCATTAGATTTCTGATCCATAAAAAGAAAGAATACCGGCGTAATTCCATACTTTTCATTGTTTTCTGACTGGCTCTCCAGTCGACTGGCAGTGTCCGTTGGGGCGGTAGTGCTCACGTGATAAGGCGGATTTAACTGCATGTCCACGTCATGCGGCGACCTCTCTCCCATTCTATTATCCACCGACCCATAACCGGAGTTGTGATGGACAAAGGTGCTGGGTGCATACGACCCTTGCTGTCCAAATGAAAAATCCTGAAATTGACCGGGAAAATACTGCGGGTTGAAATGATCCAGGCCCATAGCTGAGCTGCTCCTGCGGCTGCTGCCGCTGCTACAGCTGCTGCTGTGACTGTGATGCGGAGCAACGATATGGCTAGATAGGGGGACAGCAGTGGTCATACCCAAGCCGATAGGTGATGGCTGCAGATTTCCAGGCTGGCCATGGAACATATTATCCATGCCACCGAGCCGAGGAGGGGCACAGTATCCATGGGTCTGATTTGCCAGCGGCATGGGATAGTCGAAGGAATTGGGATCCATGAATGGCCACGTGAATCGGAGATCCTGCATGGCTCCCGGAGCCGTGTCGTCGGCATCGAAAGCATCCCTGTGCATAGTGCTAGGGCTTGCTTAAGAATCAGCTTGACTTGCTTTTCTACAATGAACGATACAACAATATCGTAACGCTTGCATCATTTGGGGGGAACATTCCAAGGAAGAAGTACCTGGTTGGAGAGTGCAATGATTCCAGTGCGGCTGGACCTAGGACTGCAGCTTCGGAGGCGTCCATGGGCAAAGAAGTGGTGGAAACGACGTGAGGGAATGCCTTGCGGAATTTGGTGATAAACTCGTCATCCGGCTTTTGAGAAGCCCTCCTGGATTGACGAGAAGCAAGTGATTAGCACCGATGGATATGAAGGGCACCAGGGACGAGAGCGCGAGCATACCTGCTGCCGAACATGGGTGGCAAATTAATAGCAGCTGACAACGATGATTATGATATTATGGAGGCGGACAAATGGAATGAGTAAACGAGAGGAAAATGAAAAGAAAGGGGGGAAAGAAAGAGAGAGAGAGATGGAGGGAAGGAGGGAGAGAACGAGAGAGGATAACGAGAGAGAAAGAAGTGTAAGTGAACGAAAGAGAGTGTGGATGAGGAGAGAAAGAGAGGAGAGATACTAATGATACAGCAACATCCACGGAGAAAGAAAAAAAAAGAAGACCAGAGGAAAACACTGGTCGACGTGCAGGAGGGCGATTTTAATAATAAGGAACCGCGCAATGCATACGCAGGTAACTCGGGATGCAAGAGGGCGGGGTGGCAGGGGAGGAAGGGATGGAGTGAGGCCGGAGCGGCTGCAGTCGATCACCTAAGAAAATAATAAGATGATTGACGGGTGGGCAAAAAGTGACGGGGATGGAGACCTGAGTAAGAGAAGAGAAACATGCACCAGATGGAGTCGAGTCGAGTCAGGGCAAGTTGTTGGAAGTATACAGTTCCAAAACTGGCGCAGGGATGATAGGTCGACGATGATGAAGAAGGAGGAAAGGGAGGCTAATTAACCCAAAAAGGCGCAGGGACACATGGGCATGAGATGATAGATAATAATCCCTGGCGTTGCCTACGTCAACCGGAGGTAAAGCAGCAGCATGTAGCATGATGGGCTCGACTGTCGAAGCAGAAAATGAGGGGAGTGGAAGGAAATAGAGTTGGCGCAACTGGAGACAGACAGTTACTTTCCCGAACGGGCGGTGGTGCGTGCGCCATCTAGCTGGACCTGCCTAGTTCAGCGGTGGGTCCTGCGCGAACCCCACTCACCGCCGACTGGATGCGCGGACCCAGCGCTGTGGGGCCGGTTCTGACAGGGTCCCTCCGAATACGGCTTAGCCGTATTTTACATTTCCTGGTCCGCACCATATGGTGGGGTACTGCTGGCCACGCTGCTATTGGCCAGTTGGAGGCCGGGCTATCTGCCCATCGCGCAGATCATTTTTTGCTCACTTGATTTGGTTACTAGACCAGGATATCGGCTGCTGCTTGTTGCTGCCTGAGGCATAGAAATTCCGTATCTACGCGTCTGGAGAACTCGGGGAGTCTGGGGGAAAGTCTGATTGAAAGACATTCATTACTATGAAGAATATCATCGTCATCACCACTAGAACAATCATAACATATGACCAGTACGTACGTATACTCCATGAGTCTGACTGATTGCCAGCTCCACCCCAATCGACAGCTCTTCTAACCCTCATCGATGATATCACAATCTCCCAATATGTCCAGGACATTTGCCTCCTTCAAAAAAGGCCGTATACTATATTAACTGCAATTAAAAAACACCGCCACCATCCGCATCATCTTTATTTGATTACTATGGGAACTGTGGCTATTATTAATTGTGGCTTGACAGTGTTGACTAATTAGGTATCATCAACGCCGTATAGTTATCCAGATTGGGATGTCTTATCCTCACTGGTAGTCCCTTGCATGCACATGGGCGGTTTAACTTTCGAGACATCGATATGCGAATGGAAGAATCGAATAGAGCACTGTGAGCGTACCTAGAGTGTGGTATACAGATAGAATAAATTATTCTGGGCTAGCCTTGGCACTTGCAGGGATTCAATGCAACTTAAAAAGGATAGAGAACTGTTATCCGCAAGGAGGCGTGCTGAAGAAGAACTGGGCCACTGAAGAATTGAAGATAAATAATAATAATAATAATAATAATGACTATATTGATTGTTTAATATTAGCAATAAGTGGTAGGAGTGTACATGTCAGGTAAGACAACAGGCCCATCGACAGACCTATCAAACAACAACAATGCGATCATAACAACACGTCCTGATTAGGCAATTCCACATACACTGCCAGATCTCTCTTTAGTAATAGCTGCATTGTCTATTTTATCAAAGCTCTGGTGCAAAAGTGCCGATGAATGAATGAACGAACGATGAACGATGGGCAATGACTGCCGATGTCCCTCGAGAAGACGGAAGCTCAGCGGATCTACTCGAGATCTCCAATACCTACGCATTGACATTATCTACATAAGCAGAGTGGCAATGCTGTTCCTCCGTTAACCTGTTCCATCGCCATACATCGTGTCAGTTGTGGCCTTATCACGGCATCCAGACAGTCCAGGATACTAGTTCCACAACAGTGGCCACTTTTTTTCACGATTCAGTTTCCATGATCGACTAACTGACGGTAGGAAGAGAGCAAAGGAGGGATGGGAAATTCGCGGATTTGATTTGAGTCAATTGCGCTAGTGGAGTATAATGGCTCGTTTCGACGAGAATCAAAAGGATTAATATACTCTACGTCATTTGCTGGGGTTTTGTCTTCAGACATCAGCGGTTAAGTTTCTTGGTTTCCATGGATTAGAATGGTAGGCTGGGGCTGGTGAAGAATCCATGATTTGAGCGTTTCGGTTGGGTTTTATTTTCTATTTTTTATTTTTTATGTTTTTTCTCTTATTCTGGGTCCGGAGGTTAGTCAACCCAATCTCCTCACCCATTCATTCGGTATTTCTGGCATCCCATTCGAGGAGGGTTATCGAGGGGAGAGATCCGAGCTGAGCTGAACCGGGGTTGGATTATGATTGCGTGGCGAATGTAGTGGTGTAGTGTAGTAAGAAAGAACTGTTACAATTCACAACAGAAATGAACAATCGGACCGAGGGCAGACTGATTAATCAACATCCTTGGCATGGAGAAATGATGAATTGAAGAGCGTCGACGATAATAATAAGAACAAGCATTCAACGACGTGGAAATGGATTCCGCCGCGACAAGGGCTGAGGCTAGTATCGTTAGTGTAAAGTCCGAGTCCTGATAGGGTTAGTTTTGCTCTTTTCTTTTTCTTATAATGATATATATAATCTTCTTAAGTTCTTATATTAATACCATATTAATACTATGGAATACTCTCGACGGTGAACCTTATCTCCAGCCGATCCTTTCATCGTCGGTCGGAGATTTTCCAACGAAAGCCCGCTGCGAAACCATTGTCTTGATTAATTTGGGAAGGGAAATCTATGATCGGCCTGCGCGTCCTTCCATCAGTCATCGGAAATTTGTTTAGTTTACGGCGCTGTAGAGTACTCCGTTGATTAAAGATAAACACCAGGAATAGAGTTCCGTCAAAGTAATCATTATCAAATATAATGGAAGACAGTCCTTCAGTCCAGACCGTCAATGCAAGTTCCAACGTGCGGGGCGCCGGGAACAGGATTCCAAGGTTCACGACCGGATCAACCGAGTCAATATGCGAGATCTTCAGCATTGCAAGGATGCAAGAATGCATTAGATGGAATTAATACATGCAGATTGATTGATTCATATAAGTTGATCAGTACGCCATTAGTAGTAGTATTATTATTATTATTTTTTTTTTTTTTTTTTTTTTTTTTTTTTTTCATGAAGGTCTCTTCCAGGAGCCCGAGCACCAGTTGCCGCTTCCCCAGTCTTATTCTCCCGTTCCTTTTGACTCCCAATGGATCTAGATGGAGCCGATACGAAGCGAGCACCCGGAATAGGCTTTTTCCATGTTTTTGCAGGCCTGTCACTGGCTCCGTGAGGAGGTGATCAGTGGCCCGGATTTGATTTCCACGGAACGCGAGCGCACAGTCCGAATGGCGGCCCCTCTGTGCCCATCAACGTTGATCAACGTGTATGCCTAAGGATCCATTAGGACAATAGTCGATGGATTGAATCATCCTTATGTATTCTAACGCTAGCTAGACGGATATCTTACAGTAGACATCATTATATTAAATCGAACCTCCGAGGCTGGCTGAGGGCTCCTTATGTTCAAGCTCCATTGGGCTATCGATCCGATATCCTAGCCTGGATCTGTGCGCCTGCCCATGCCCAATGCTTGCAGCATGTGCCGAGTACCTACCCTCGTATGCGGAATAGCATTCCACGGGACGACAGCGTCAGTGCACAGTGCCTCATCTCCCGTGCGGCATTGCCACGGCACAGAACTTCTGAGATCCATTTCCGTGTTCCTACAGGGTTAGTGCAGCAGTCGTTCGTACAATGGCTGGATCTAACTTCCAGCCAATGCTTTGACGACAATCGGGAAGGACCTCTGAGCGACAGCAGTAGCAAGCAACAGGCCGTGCCGCTAGTACAGGTAAGCATGAGGTACAGAGTAAAAAATATGGAACGGAGGTGAGGGAAGCTTGCCGAATGTCCTCCTGCATAGAACAGTTCCCCCAACAGCCGTTTGTTCCGGCCAGCGGGGTATGTATGCGTTGCGGATACGGTGGATATTCATCGTCAATACTATATATAGTGGATGTCTCCGTACCTTGCATTGATCGTTGCATAGTCTAGGAACACAATATTTGAAATATGCCGATACTCGGTACAAGAGAGAAAGGGCGGTTCTTCCAGACGGTCAGCTGAGATGTGAAGGCTTTTCAAAAGACTGACTCGGGATGGCATCCATACGACAACCGGATCGGACTACCCGGTGAGACCAGAGTAAGTAAGTTAGTATAACAGTGAGCACCAAGCAGAAGATCAAAGCAATTGTCTGAATCCAGTCGAGATCAATGCAATTCATTCTGCAGTCTAGACCGGCACCCCTCCCGGCATCCCTTGCCGACATCCACGAGGACGACAAGAAATGCACAAGTGGCGCTCACTGCACGATGGCAAAAACAAGACAGAAAAAGAAAATACTTCAAGAATCCTTCAAGCCCTATATTTGATTTCACTTAGTCAATGAAACCAACCTTTCTGCGACAGTGACACCCGCATCGCAAGAATAATTATCTGCATGAGAGCACCACTAGAAGTGTCCCGCTGTCACCACGGAATTCCCCATTTCAATCCCCACAGCCCTTTTTTCTTCTTCCCCCGAGATGATCGGACCGGTTCAGGAGACAATAATATATACCGTGAAGAGGAAAGGACACTAACTTAAACCGGTCAATGCCTACGGAACAAGGGGCAAAAACAGATGGCAAAAAAGGAAAATAATAGAATAATAAAATAATAAAAAAATAAAAAAATAAACTATACATAACCGGTAAAGGTTAAATCTTACTCATCATTACCCGATCGAGCAAACAGTGATACCGCAAGGGGAAAGATAGTGGGGGGAATCCGTTCCAAGGTTTGAGAGGGAAAGGCAAATGCGGTTCTCGTCGCAGTTGGAAGGGGGTTTGTTGCGTAAGTTAGACGTAGAGTAAGCATAGCATAGTATGTCGGTAAGACGCCCGTATAAGCAGGCACTGAGCAGCGCATCTCATTGCCGGAGGGGAAAAGCCAGTTGGCGAATACAGCCAGGCCACCCGAGTACGACTCCCTAAGGGTACTTACATACTGACATTGACGTCAATGCAATGCCAATGCGCATCGATTCTTCCGTGGACTTCTGTGCATTATTTTATTCTATTTATTTTTAAATCAATACGTAATGCCACGCATGAACGTCATGAATGATATGTCAACGTCTTAAACTTCAATAATTTCCCAGACCGAAGGAGCTTAGATAGGGCAGATACATACATATCTAGACAGATAGATAAATACAAAGAGTAGTCATATCGATACCTATTCGTCTTGTTCCTGGCTGTTCCTGTTTTATTTATCCTCGAGGGCGAGAAAGCCATACATGACAGCTCACCCTTCATGCCAAGGAATTTTCACGACGCGGAGAGTCGTGTTCATTCTTAGATGAGATGCGTCGGAGGAAAATCAAGGGAGGGCTTTGAAACATTGAACTCTGCCTCTTCTTTTTTTTATCGTGGACATCTAGACTGTAGACACTACTAGGCAGAATGGAGTTACCCTGTTACCCTGTTACCCTGTAGAGAGCGTATGCGCGTGGCGCTAATGCCACGCCACCATGCATGCCATAATACGTATTAATTGATTACTGCCATAAGAAGAAGAAGAAAATAAAGAAAGTAGTCTGCACTGACCAGCCAGTGGGGATTCTAAATATTAACCGTGCAGAAATACTGTCGGGTATGTACGTCCATGCAATGTACATGTCAGGGCAGTAAGCCACATACATGCATACATTGATCTTATAGCTATATCCAGTATCTAGTACTACTACCACTGGACTCATATGAACCCATGCAAGGGATGGAATGCATCCTGGTTCCCATCTTACCATAACCGGCAAGACTACCTAATCGACACCGGCTAAACCCCCGATCTTCCTAATAAGGATACTGCGAGTCTCAATCCCCTGTCAATGCCTGTCCATCGCCGACAAATCTCCGGACAAACAGCCCTGCGCTCCAAAGGATCTGCGGCCGTCGATATGTCATATAATATAGTAATAACAATAATAATAAAAGCTGAATTCGGTCCGAGAGCAAAGAAAAAGAAGGCATTCTGCCTACTCCGTACTCTCGCAAGATCGCACAAGGCGGTGGTTACCTTGCGGGCTCCGGCCGGAATCAGACCATGGTTGAACAGTGGCATGGACGGACTCGGGACATCCCTCGAATGCTGATCGCTCCCATCGCTACCGTTCGCCCGTCATCCATGGATCTCCAGCATCCTCCTGTCTCGCCACCCAGAATGGGTGCACCAGGAGATTATCACTCGTACCGCATGCAACCGCATACAACGCCCAACGTCTAGCGTGTCACAGCACTTTCTCGTATGTGGTGAGTCTAGATCCAAACTACCACGGAATATCTACCAGTTATCAACTGCAACAGAGAGGTCAAAGAGCCAAATGCACCACCATCATGATGGGGATTTCCATTTCCATGCTGATTTCTCGCTTCAGACCCAAAATCAATGACGACGCAACTGCAGAATCCACCACACTCCCCTTATTGATGAACCAGCCATCATGCAAAAACAACCAACCAATATCAACCCTATTTCCCACTTAATCTATAACCTCTGGCCAATTGAATGGAATGTTTTTGCCGCAATATCATCCTCATCTACAAACGCCTGCTGCCATGAAAGAAAGACGGAAGACCAGGCGATATCAAATACCATTGAGTCATATTCCTCCGCCCAAAGCCTGTCCACCGTCGTACCGTACCAATCCTATGAAAAAAGAGAAAAAGCCACCATCGAACATGACAGATGCACCGCCAGGGGGCATGCGTAACGCGTAGCAAAGGAATGCCGTCGCTTGGGAGCGTTCCCAGAGGGCAATTAGAAAATTCGTATTCCCAGGCTCCGCAGCAGCGGCCTAAAACCCAAAATGTGAAGCCACCACTTCTTCAATAGGTGACCATGCAAAGGGAACCCGGACCAAGGGCCGTGCTATTATCAATTAGAATTAAAAAGAGACCGCTCCAGGGCCGATTAAATCAGATGAAGGATTAATGAGAAATTATCACCGAGAATCCATCTATCCACGATGCATAGGAGCCTGAAATACCGGCAATTTTGTAGCCCAGGGGCGGGATCAAAGTGTGCCTAGAAATAGTCACTAAGGTCAGTCGGACATGTTGAAATCTTCGCACGGGATTCCGTTGGAAAGCGCGAGAAACAGATCGCTTGCGGAAACGTACCCAGACCCTCCATTCGCATTGCCGAACACGCCGGACTTTCTGCCCAAACTCGTGAGAATTTCAATGCCGTCAATCCAAGCGCCTGCTCGGACGTAAAACCCTAGGAGAATCTCACCACGTCGCGTGTCTTGCCAAGTCTGTCAGATCCGCCGGCCTGGAAAGGATCTTCACTCCCCGGGGACTTACCAAGAACAAATTCATCGCCTCCTGGCTTCCCACCGCGGCGCCCAAAAAGCTGGCTAGTGGAATCTTCATAGAAGAACTCCAGACCGTCCAGCGCAGCACCGTGGTAGACCTTGATGGAAGTCATAAGTTTGGTCTGTATGAAGGCAGACTCTAGCAGCAGCTGTTCCGGTTTGCTATCCTGTAACTGCGAGAAGCCCAATTTTCCGCCCCTAAAGCCAGCTTGCCCATTCGGTAGCTTGACTGAACAAAGCTTCGACTTCAACTGGCTCACATTCTCGATCGTACGATAACCAAGGGCGCCGGAGAACACGACCAATCGAATATTCTTCTTCTTCTCTCTCTCGCTACCGAAGAGCTTTTGTCGTAATTCGTTCTCTGTCACCGTGATCTGTCTCGGAAGCCCATTGTTAGTCGAGTCGTTACCGAGATACTCAATGCAGCTGTGACAGAGGTCATCTGCAGGGCCGTAAAGTTCGATGAATGCAATACCAGCCGACGCGGTGAACAAGATTTTTCCATTCTCAACAGGCCAAACTTGGACACTGTCATCTGAACTCAGAGGCGCATCACTAGGCAACCGGAAACATGGGTGAAACCTGAAACGTAAAGCATCCAATCGATGCCAGCCACATTCATCACTAGGCAAGCACGGTTTCAGGCCTTGGGACTTCGTGCGTGTTGAAAACGGCTCGCGAGTCGTGAAAGTTCTATTCAGCCGAACGTAATCACGGAGCATGATCCCGGACTCCTGATGCGGGCAACCAAAGAGATGGCCGACTTCGTGCAGATGAGCCCCGATAGAAATGTTGGCGGACTCCCAGTTGGAGCCCGCTTCGCCGCAGTCATTCGCAATGTAGGCAGTATCGGTCCGTGTGCAGTCAGAGAACGCGTCTACCACCTCCTCTAAGCTGGACGGACAGCTCTGGAGGCCATGTGATCCGAATACAGCCAGCTTGATGTTGTCCCCACCGGAACCCAGGGCAGCGTGGCCCGTGATAACCTGCGCGTCTGTGTCCCAATGGGAATCCAGAAGCAAGACCGACACATACTGTTTCTGTGATGGCATCGGCTGGAAATAATTCTGTACAGCTTCCTTGGCGATGTCGAACAAGGCGCCTTTGTTGGTGGCAGAGTCATTCTGTTGAGCAATGTCTAGGTCCCTAAGTTCTGCCACCGTCCTGTCGGTGCGGACAACATGGATCTTGATCTCGTTTCTCATCTGACCAGTGGCCGCATCCCGACGACTCAAGGTGCCTGTCTGCCACTCCTCTTCGAAACGGAAGCAGCGCCGGCCGAAGTTATTGCGGAACATCTGTTCCCCGGTAAACGCCTGCCACAGATGGGCAATCATTCGGTACTTTCGGATGGCAGTTTCAAGTCCATTTCCTTCCCGTTGTATCCGTTCCGGCACGGCATCAAACGTTCCATCGGAATCTTTCCCGAGCAGGATTACCAGCTGGAGGGGCGGGGTGTTGACTAGCGGAAGATAGTTGATGCTCAGCCATGAAGAATGAACAACGGGGTTGGCGCTTCCCGACGACAGCTTGGATGAGGTGAAGTCAAATCGCAGGCGATTCGGACCTGGAGTGAGATGCACAAGAGCTTTGAAATGTGAAGCCGTCACAGGCCAGCTGAGCGGCGGAAAGGTATCCTGATGGTGATAGGCCGTGATCGTTCCGTCCAGCGGGTGCAGTCTCGGGTCTCCAATCTGACCGTAGAGGAGCAGCACCTTCTGGTGTACCTATTGATAGAGAGAGAGACGTCAACATGCATTATAGGTCAACCTAAAAAGGAACTGGGATGCACGAGCATACCCATGAATTGTCCGAAATAGATACGACACGTGGCGTGTATGGGGAGGATGGAGTTGGTGTCCGACTTCGATGTCCTCCATTGACGGATGAGCCGCGTGAGCTCCCACCCTGTGGAGAAAACGATCAGTACGCGGTCTTCTTCTTGCTGTTTGGTGGTGTTGGTGGCAGTGGCTGGTGTGGATGATCCCTCGGGGTAGCCATTCCGCGTTATGCATATGTATCACATACGATGGTACTAACACTCCGTTTAGGATGGAGCACAGAGGGAGCAGGTCGGGGCTGAGGGACAGCTAAGGAGGTGGAGGACCCTGTTCCATTGATGGTGCCGCTGGGGTCGCTCAACGAGCGGAGATTGGAGGAAGACGCATTGGGCCTGATCGACGAAGGTGGAGTAATGGAGGTGTAGGACGAAGCGTCTGGGGAAAGAGAAGACTTCGCCGATGCCATCTCCCCATTCGATTGCGATTCACTGGATTTTTCTGTAGTCGAACTCGAGCTGGCCTTCGACCGGCGACGCAGTTCTCGAAAGAAGGTCATGTTTTCAGGATGTAGGGATGTCGACCACCAGCAGCTTGGAAGAGGAGAAAGGAGACGACGATGACGAAGAGAGAGAGAGAGAGAGGAAGAGAGGGAGAGAGAGAGAGCGAGAACGAAAAAAAAGCAGCGAAAAACGAAGGATGGTCAGAGCTGGACAAAGAGAAGGGGCGTCCTAGCTGTTGGAGCGGCGACGGCAGCAGCAGCAGAGATGACGAGGCGACCGTGTAGGAGGCAGCTGCGGTTGAGTAGCAGGACAGGACGCGATTAATTAAACCATGGGATCCTTGCGTGCTAGAAGCGACAGACAGGAAGGAAGACGACGATGAAACACGGCAGAAGGAGATGTAAACGAAGGTTGAGGGGCGAGGTTGGGGAAGCGAGAGGGAAATCGATTAATTAGTGCGCGATAAATTGCAGATAGTAGCAGCAATAACAGCAGCGAGAGTAATTTAAGAGTATTCGCAGAGTACTGGAGTAGCACCGACTCTGGCGACGATGAGCACGGCGTGTAAGGAGATCACCAGCTTCAGATCATCCAGATTCGGATTTAGATCCAGCATATCACTTTGCACCTCATCCTGCCAGATCAGCATCGCTAGCTGCACGGAGCGGAGGCGATGGGGATAGAGACAGATCGCTTATCAAGGATTCATGAATTGCCTCTGGATAGATAAATAATATTAAAAGCAGACATGCAGCAGGGGCTAGTTTCAGATGCAAAAGAGCGGGAGCTGTCGACGGCCACACAGCCGCCGTCGTCAGCCAAGGATCGGCCTTGTGCATCGCTTGCAGCAGCACCATATTATTTCCACTTATTATTATCCTATCTGTTCTTGTTCTATGCTTCCAACCCCTGTTTCGATCCGTCCGTGGGCATCGTTTCCCGGTCTCGGATCAAGGTCCTTCCTGTCTACGCCCGGTCTAAATCTAGGGCTTACGTATACAACGTATAGTCGTCCGTTTGCTTTGCTTTGTGCTCGAGTTCATAGTCTTCACCACACCTCCGCAGCGCGCATCCCCGGCTTCTTTACAGTCACCCCCAGTCTCATCGTCGTTCAGCACCAGGGATGAAGTTTGCAGAGAGAATACCTTGGGGACGAAGCGTCGGGGAGTGCCCCAGGTATTCGATGCTTCGTCCCCAAGGACTCCATGCTAACCAAACGCAAGGCCGACATGCCTCGGGTTTACACAGAGGTGTTTGGGTTACAGTAAACAATCCCTGCTGCGTTCCACTGCCTTGAAAATTGGACTGCAATGTGGTCCGCCTCGTGACATCCTGCAAGTCGTGGCAGTGTGGATAGTCTGGTAGCACAGTGACTTCAGGATAAGGCCCATGGCAGCCAACGAACTTTACCACATAGTTTGGCTCTTTCTTCAGGTGGCTTGGCCAAGGAAGAATAGCCACCGCCCGGGGACATAGCAGCGTAGTGGACTGGCGAAGCCTCCATGCTTGGGTCCAACTGATACTGCATAATGCTTGTAGATCCTTTCTTCTGTTTCAGACTGCAATGCTCCGTGCCAGCGTTGTGCTTCGAATCCACTATGCTTGAAGGGAAAAGGCGAGTAGCATCAACGGGGATATATCAACTGAATGACGTATGCACATTTTAGCACATTTTAGCATTGCTTGTCTCTGCATTCGAGTATCGACCATCTCATGGCACTTGTGGACTGGCTATATAGACTGTCTCCTCGTCAGAGCCGGCATACTCCCAAGTGCAATGCCCTGGCAAGTGTTGGATTCCAGGTATGCCCGCCCAGGATCGATCTGAGGCCCCATGAGGGTAGTACGCTATGCTGCTGAAAAGGGACATCTGTGGTGGCAGCGTTAGCCATCTTGGAACCTCTTTCCTGAGCACTATGATGACTGAGAAGAAGATCGTTTCCGTGTCTAGGCCTCAAGCCAAATTCTCTACCTAAACGGTGGCTCCGTGGATGTCCTCGGAGAAGGTGAAGGAGATCGTAGCAGTCTTCGAGTCATGATGAGATCTCGACAGCTGCCAATGAAGGTATCTCGAGGAAATGAAGGCATTTCCCGAAGGAGGACGTGCATACGCATAAATCGATAGTGTTGTCGATGCGTGGGTGTGTTTGGCGGGTATCAACGCCGGTAGCGATTAGTTAGACAGACAGATCTCATCCAGATTGACACAATTAGTATGGCCAGCGACGGGCCCTGCTATTTAAGGCAAATCCCCCGGACAGGCGTTTTTCGCTTTGCTTCTACGCCGTGGTCCAATTTCAACTCCCCTGGTCGCCCGTTGTCGTTGTCCATCTGCAGCTGGAAGAATCCGTCTTTCTTCTCTACCCGCCAGCCAGCCAGCCACCGTCATCTCCCTCTCCCACTGCTTCAACTCCCTTTGGCCATTGACCTCCCACACTCCGGTGGGTGTTAACGTCACATTTTTTTATTCCCTACTTCTCGTTGTATTATCTTCCTTGCTGTCCCCAGAGTCCAACCATGGTCCTCACTTCACCCCGTTCCTCTGGCGCTGAGAGGACGATCCGCAAAATTGACATTGCCCAGGTCAGACACCCAAAAGTCCCTCCTTGGATGTGCCATACGGAAAAATTGAGCCTTCCCACTTTTCTCTTATCTTTCAGCTCACTGAGAAGTGGCATAACCTACATTCAATCAAGGCTGTCGTTGTGTTGGCAACGCTGACAGAGAATTATTTTACCTAGGTGTCTCTCAGTCTACAAGATCGCTTGGGCCTTGCCAAGGTCAAATACCAAAACGGTCGTCTGCATTCTTTGGAGCCAGCTCAACAGTTCAATGGGACACGCACTTTTCTCGGTGGTGATAGGCCTTTCGATTCATCCTCCGAACTCTCGCGAAGTCGTTACGAGACACCCTTGACCTCTCCTCCTCTCCGCACATCGAACATTTCGAAGGAACTTCCCAGATCCGCACACAACAGGCATGCCGCAACCTTCAACTCAAGGGCCATGCAGCCTATGCTATCTGTGAATAAGAAGCGTGTTCGAACGGACTGCATATCGGACCGCCCGGCCAAGGCGTCTCGAGTCTCCTGGAAAAGCTCGCATCGTCTGCCGGAATCGTCCCCGGGATTCAACCGACACAGACACACTCATCTCTCCTTTGTGTCCGAGATTGGCACCATTCCTGAGATGTCGTCCCCGCTATACCACGGCCAATCTGATGGTGAGAATGACCCGGACCTCCCCGTGCACAGTTTCCAGAATGTCGGCACCATGATCAGATCATCACCTCCCCGCACTCCTCCCCCGAAACATGCTCGCCTGCCTCGAACCGAAAAGGCTCTGCAGAATGAAGACGGCGCGGATCTCCTCTTGTACCTGGCGAACTCGCCAACACCTGCTCGAGTCGCGGGTAGAGGCCAGACGAGCGAGTTTCCTCCGTCGACTCCACCCAGCCAACATGCCGTTCTACCTTCGCTGACGCCCACTCCTGGGGGTGGTGTTTTTCCAAATTTTGGTACGCCTAGTCAGCCCTTCAACTTTGCCGATTTTGTGAATGTGACTCCAAGCCCTGCGCAGCCGCCCTGGGGAGGCCGTACCCCCGGAGGCCCTTCTAGAACGCCTCTTGCAGCTAAAAGCACTAGAAAGATGTTGAACTTTGACAATCTGGTTCCCCCAGGCATTGAAAACCCCAAGCATCGCGACAAAGAGTCCGGTCTCGCTTTGCAGCTTGGAGAAGAGCTGCGGCCGTGACCTTGGGTGATAATTTTCCATTGCGCCTCCCTCTAACTGATCCTTTTCATGACTGTTAATGATTCACGCTTCTATTTTTTGTCATATGTAATTCGGCATCCGCTCATCAGACCAGCTTTCCGCCTTTTTCTTTAACGCCTTGCCTCGTATCTACTCTACTTACTCTCTCTTTGAGTAAAAAGGGGTTCTTTTGGCATGACCCCATGCGTGGCTTTTCTTTCTTCCCTGTCAGTGTCTGACTGATGCTTTCCTTTTTTATTAACTAGTGTATTCGTTTCCTTTGTCTAGTAACCAGGGCTCTTAGTGATACTATTATCCTTTGTCAGTATGGCATGAAAGTGTTGAATATGATGTTAGAATACATTTTCCTTGATTTCATTCCGGGTAAATTCACTACAATTTACATATAGAAATATGAGGACCTGTGAAAATGAAGCCAGAAATGGCTCTCCGCAGCCAAATCCAGCTCCCCTCCCTTTTTACCTGGCCTCGTTGCTCGCGTACAAAATGCCACCTCTCCCCCCCATTTCCCTTCATGCCCTCACACCCTCTGATCCTCACCTCGTCTCAACATGTCTCTTCCTAGTCCTCAAGCTGATATCTGCGTCGTCTCCTCCCAGAATACAGCCTCAATCATCTGCTTCTCAGGTTGTCTCAATGGTACCCCCCTACCTTGCCCTTTGCTCAGCCTGACGAGCATCAATGCTGGACTTACCTTACCTCACTCTCTGTGAGCAGACTGGAGCATTTTCGCAGCCTTGGATGGTTCTCTCCAAACTTCAAGTCAAAGACTGCAAGGCATAGCTGTCGTTGAATAATATTGGCAGAAGTAAGCATTATCCTTGAGTCAGAAAAGTCCAGTGTTTAGGAGTAACACATTGTCAAGGGCCGTAACCTAACCAACCTACAAGTAGGTTTTTGATTAGAAGAACTAGCCGGGAAACTATGCAAGTTGGCAAGGCTGCGCAGGTGGTTTGTGTTGGCGTTTAGCTCCTTCCTAGTTAAGTTAGGATTAGCGCTGCTTACTTAGCATGGCGTACCTAGAACAACCAACTCAACAAGCGAGTTCGACTCTTGAAAACACTATAGGTTCTCGGGGCTATTCCCCTCGAGGACTAGCGCCTCATACGAAGAACATGCTCTCTTTTCGTTTACGCGCACCCCTTTCCCCCTTTTCTTCCTCTCCATCGAATCCTTCGTATAAATAGGCAACCTGGATAGCGAATTAGCACAGCCATCCTTGACATTAGGATATGATCACCATCCCTTCTCCCAAGCGTGAGGCGCTTGTAAAATATACCTGTCTTAAAGGACTACTGGTTTGAGCGAAGCGCTCATAGGTTTCAAGAGAGAAAGGTTATTAGTCCAGGCGAAGTGTCTGAAGGAATTAACAGAATGGAACAGTTTACTGAGCAGAAATGCTCTGAATACAACAGGAACAACAGCAGCGGAATGATATAGCAGCTTAAATATAATGAGTACAACGAGCAACCCCTGAAGTTAGCAACCATGATACCCCTAGATCAACAGCCTCAATAATATCAGGACAGCTGTACAAACATGAGAAACCTCAGATGAAGATTAAGCTCAAATACAACTATTCAGGTCAGGCTATGGTACAGGCAGATAGACAAGACGTCGCTCGAAGAGCTACACAGGATCAAAACAGAAGAAGTTAGTGGCAGTATGGTTTAGATTGGGCAGCTGTTTGGAATTACCATACCTACATAGGCCACAGATCATCACTATCATCATTATTCTTTTGCTGGTTCCCTTGAAACTGAACTTCTAACAGGATCATCTTTCTCCAAATCAATCAACTGGACCTGGAGAGTAGAAGCGACCTTGCTCGTCTTTCGGATATCAAGCAGCTGCTTGTTTTCGTCTTGCAACTCATCCACATTGACATGCAACCTATGAAATGCCACGGGTAGGATTGATGACTTCCACGGGTTCCGTGGGTAAGAGTGACGACATGCCATGACTGACCGTTGAATAACCCACACGGAAAACGTGATGGCCAAAGAAAGCATTGCAAAGGCCACCGACAACCAGTTCCAAGAGATATGGATACAGGTCTGTAAATGCCACATGGTGCCTTTTGCAGGGGCACTGTTGGAAGCATCGCCTTGCTGCCTCATAGTGATAGTCATGGCACTAGCAAGACTCTCAATATATGTCTTTGCGGAGGACAAATTCACTGCACCCCCCGCATAAAGCCTCTGGAGCCACAAATCACCCTCGGTGATATTGGGGCTTGCGTAAGGAGAACTCAAATTTCGGCCCCAGAAGAAGTTTGGCAGATGTTGGGAGATGGCCTTATAGGACGCACGGGAGAAAAACCAGACACATTCAGGAGGATAGTAATAGATTGTGCTGTTTACTGCCCCACCCACCATGGCCATTTGAGTTTGTGAGTAGTAGACATCAATTCCATCGTACTCAAATGTCGGGATGCTATTGTTGCCTTCGTGTTGGAGGGAGCGAGTGCATTTTGTCGATGGAGTTGACGGGTAATTTCCCGCGAGTGAATAACTTTGGTCTAACGTGTTGAAGGCTAGCGGTTTAGACGACAGAACAGATTCATTAAGAATGTTGTTGGAAATGTCGGCACTGTAGAACTGGATGCACGGGAACAGGGAGAAGTGGACTGCCCAGGGATTGCCGGCGCATGCGAAGTTGGGATCGGGGCAACCACGCGTGGTGAACATCAAGGCGTCAAAGTCAAGGCTGTACACGCCACCGCCGGACGTTGATAGCATTGTCGTCTGTCCTATTTGCGCTCCACTTGGGATTGACCAGAAGACATTTGTGAAGCGTGAACTGTATGTCTGGTGGGTTGAAGGATCCGTTTGGTTGTAAACCTCTGTTTCATTGTGAAACTGGATTGATGAGGAGATGTCCTGGGCAGTGGCACACATTGCAAGAGATGCAAAACTAACATCTGGTATGGCTTGTGTGAATGTGCAATTGCCTGTCGTGCAGGTGAAGGGAATACTACTGGTGCTGTCGATTCGGCTTGGGTTGATAAGTCCCTGGTACATGGCAGCAGCCATCGGTGCATCCAACGCTACATCAAGTGGGCCAAGATGCGTTCCTGCTGCTGTGTAGTTGTTGGTGCGAGGAATCAGGCCCACTTCTCCAGGAACAATGTGCTTGCAGTTATGGTATTGGACAATCTCCTGTGTGATCGGGTCAATGGCCAGTAAAGCCACGATGATGCATGCACCAGCTATGGCGGGCGGACTGTTCAGAGTCAGTAGTTGCTGACTGAATGGCTGTGGGGGTTGAAAGCCAAACCTTCTTGGCCCAGCAAAAAGGAGCTTCAGAGACCCAATGGCTCCTCGACTTGCTTCTTCTAGCCGGTCCAGATCCCTCAGGCTGTTTGGGCGATGAAACCACATCCACTTCACTTCCCCAAGTGCTGTTCAGTGTCTCCGGTTAGCTGTGGGGTATTTGTTTGCTGATAGATACTAAGGCTCACCTTCTACCACTGGAAATAGGACTAGAGTGTGGAAAATTGACAAGAAGATGGACAAGAGAGTGTTGACAGAAATGAAATGTGGCCACTGTGACAATGGCTTGTCTTGATAGACCATGACAACAGTGATGATAGCCATCAGAGTGATTGCTGCCACTGCGTAGCTGAGGAACTCCAGCCACCAGTAGCTTATCATTCGGAGAGGCGAAAGTTTAAGAGAGCTGTCGAAGGCAGGATTCGAACTTTTACCTGGTGTCTTGTGAACTTCATCTTCACTCGTCGAGTCAGTCCGGCGGGACTGCGTGCGTTCCAAGGGGATACTAGTACCCTGCGGCGTGTAGGAGTATTCCATTTTTGCGTGACTGCTTGCCATTCTCTCCTGTCAGGATACTGCAGTTCGTCATCAGTATGAATAAAGAAGGGGGGTAGTTGGATGAAAGCCACGCCAAAGAACATGGGGAGAGAGGGCCTTAAGTGCCAGATCGACTCATCCTAAGAATCCGTCATGACCGAATTTATTGCAGTCTTAGGGGATATCTCCCGATTATTTGCCGCTGCTGGTGAATTGGCAGCGGCTATTATAGTGTTTGAAGCCAATCGTTTTACAAGCAGCTGGCGCCGTGTTTGGACTTGCTTCAGGGTTGCATAGGGGCTTGCACCCTGACTTGCAAAATTATGTATAGACTGCTATAGAAATAATTGGCATGCATGCTATGGAAGGTCAGTAATTGTTGACACGGGTTCACCAATAGACAAGTGCACTAGTGTTCGAGTTTCATCCTCGAACTAGTCCGCGGGAGCTCGATTTGCTTTCTATAGCAAAGAGCAAATCCCATCCATTCCGCACGGCTCGCAGCTACCAGAACGCCCTTCCTGGAATTGTGATTGGTAAGAGCGCAAGGTGCCTTGAATCCGCCAGGCAATACGCCCGCAGCCAGCCGTGTTGGTGTTGGTGTCACAGCATGCGACGGGAAGCAGTTGCTTCTCCCGGAAGAATTCCACAGCAGACAATTTTCCTGAGAAGGGCCTGATTATTATAGGAGGTATAGTCAAGTTCCAGAAACCGTGGGCGTTCTTGCGAATGGTGTGGATATTTCTGAGGAGCAGAATGGCGCTCACAGTCAAATAAATAAATCCTTCACAAGATACTAAGAAACAAATGTCACCGATCGAGCTCTATGTCTGTGACTGTCACGGCAGCAAATAGCCGGCGAGACCCGGCGAGACTCTGTGAGACTCTAAGCGCTGAGCATATTAGATATTCCCATAGCTAAAATGGTCAGACTTAGGAGATGCACCCTGGGATTGCTAATAGCAGCCATCCACAAAATTAAAACGACGAGCCCCACACCAGTACATATGCTGCGCCGTCCAAGCATGAACTTCAACAGCTGCGGTGCTGTACATCTCCAAGACAACTAGTACATCGGCCAATTAGAGCCTTTCTGATACTCAGCGGGTGCTCGTTTTACAGCTTTAATCTCACCACATATTGCATAAACGGTTGTATGCACGACGGAGTACCTAGCCTTGTATCTACTTCTGACGCGTCAACTTTTCTTCCGTATTGTTTTCGCGTCATTTTCGCGTTCCGTACGCGTCATAATTAGACCTAAAGTAGACTGGCGCGGCTGTCATTTTCCGGGTCGAGCCACAGTGGCTTTGCTGATATAGCCACTTTCCTGATTTATATAGCCATAAATACAAGGCAGTTTTATACAAAATTCTAACAACCGTCAGTTAGGCTAAATGGTGTTATCTACCTGATCCATTTCACTTTCCGGCCGCTGTTCATCTGAATGGGGCTGTTTAACGCGGGACCGCTCGACCTGCTTCCTCCAGAGCAAAGAGAGGTAATCCGACGTGCTCGCCTCATCGATCGATTTATCATCTCGAACCCGCAGAAACCGAGGAAACCGCAAACTGAGCCCTCGTTCGTCACTGACCAGTCCGATAGCAGCGGTGTAGGTTGGGCTGAGCGTGATATCCGCAAAGGCCGTCTCCCAGACCTCCTGCGGCTCGAACCAGACGTCGGGTTTCTCGCCGTAGTATTCGATGTAGCTCGGTCGGGATACGACGTTGGGCGTTCCCGGGGAGTATTTCTCTCGCAGTGATTGGTAGAATTTGTCTGTGAATCCGGACATGCATTTTGTGACGGCTTCCAAGGCGCCGCTTTCCGGGTTTCGGACCGCGAGGAGGATCGGGGACCACCATTTTGCTTTGCGGCCCTGGCCGTGCCAGCCTGCGATTGGGATGAGGTCTAGTGTTTCTGATGAGGAGGTGCTGTAGTCCTTCTTGACCTTAAGCCAGGACTCGAGACGCTTGTCGGGTTCGTATGTTGATAGCAGGGCTCTGCGACGAGTGGTCTTTTCTTTCACTTCCGCTTGTTGTAGCTGGGGAAGGATTGGCTCGTCATGAGTAACAGTCTTTTCTTCTGCATTGGCTGCTGGTTTTATGGGGTTATCCAACACCTTGACCATGAGACCCTCGCATTTAGCACCAGTGGCACTCTTGAAGAACTCAGAAACGGCCTCATAATCGGCTGATGTGGCATCCAGGCTTTTGACCCAGGTGAATCGATTAGGTATCTCGACAAATAAGCCCCGTAGGAGTTCCCGGCGTTCACGAAATGGCCGGTCAAGCAAAGGTTCACCGTTAAGATACATCAGATCGAAAGCGAAAAGGCAGACATTGACTTTGATCGCCCCGATTTCGACATTTTTCTTCGCCCGATTGGTGAGCGTCTGGAAAGTTTGTAGTTCACCGGTTTCTTGTTCAACGGCGACTACCTCTCCTTCTAGGATGAAGCTTGAAACGTCCTCGCCCCTGATTTGCGGGACAAGAGACACAAGATCCGGGTACTTTTCAGTCATCAGTTCAAGATGGCGAGAAAATATTGATACCTGCCCCTTTGCATCGCAGTGCACTTGTGCGCGCTGTCCATCATATTTGTATTCGCAGCTGAAATCCCTCCCTTGCAGCTTTGTTAGCATCTCCGAAAGATCACGAGTGATACTGCCGAGCATCGGCCTCAGCGGGACGTGCAGCTCGAGACCACACCGTAAAAGGAGCTCTTCTGAAATCCCGACCTCAAGCAGACAGGGAACAAGATCACCGTAGTTAGGGTGCCTGGCATATGAAGCCTTCACTATTTCCTCGGCATTGCTGTAGATTTCTGCCAGGTCTTCCTTACTAAGGCTTGCAAATTCTTGTTGAGGACGAACCGTGAAATCAGCCCCCTTCGGCTTCGAGAAGAGAAAAGCTCGTGCAAGAGCGATAAGCATCGTCGTTTTGACTGCCCCAATTCGGAGGTTTTGAACGAGAGTTCTCACAACGTATCGACTCTCTTCGGCACCTCGAGTGTCTTGTAGCAACTTCTCGATAATCCGCTGTTTGATCTCTTGGCTTCCGGTCCCTTTGCTGGTAGCAATTTTCATTAGTGACTGGTAGACACCTTTGATCGTGAGAGGCTTTGGCTTTACAAGGGTAAAGCTCTGCCTCTTCTTGGCCTCGAAGGCTACATCCCCGGGATCCCCATGTTTATTGTAGAGTGACTTGAGCCCTTGGCTATTTAACCCATATACTTTTTTCAAGGCCTTTGATATAGAGGAGCCTCCTAGGCCTAGTTCCAGCTCAACATATGGTGGAGCAATGGAACTGGTCGCTAGCCACACTGAAGGAAGAAGGCTCGAGGGATCTCCTTCAATGAGAACACGAAGAAAATTAACCAATGTGTCGACTATTTTGATGCGGCTAGTTGTGCTATTTGCAAGAGCGAAAGCCCTTGTCAACAAGGCGTACGACGCATCTCCATCTTGAGTGGCCCAATGCTTCTGTAGCTCTTCCGCATATTTAGCCGGGTGGAAGGCCAGAGGACTCTGATCAAGCGGAATTTCAAGGGAGGCAGTATCATGTGTCCCCGAAGATGATTGTAATGACAAAATATGCTTTTTCAGAGAGGGCTCTGTTGGCCCTGAACCCTTTGGCGCTGAAGTAGAGGGCCCGGTCAAGACTTCGGGTTCAGCGACTGCTGAAGACCTGGTGGCATTGTCCTCCTGATCCCACTGCGCTTGAAGCTTGCGAGCAAGGGCTTCATCTGAAAGAATTTCCGGTTCATCCCCAGCCGTATTGCTCGGACTTCCTTCTGCCTTCTGAGCTCGCTTGGCAGCTTGACCTTTGAAGAAAGACTCTATGCTCCGCGTAGTCTGGGCGGGAGGCTCTGGGTTATTTCTCTTGCGTTTTTTAGCTGGGCTGGACATATTTGCCGTACGCGTGTCAACTATATCTGCTGTAATAGTCCCGTGGAGACATGAAAGCGTTCATGGTGGCTCGCGTTTGATGTTTGTTGTCGGAGCTGCATCTCCGCAAGAAAGTTGACGATGCGGAGCTGCTGATCTCTCTCGGACACCGTTGCGCCTCGTCATATCCCACCTTGCCAGCCATGGCGACCCCCGCGCCCTTTCTATCGTCGCATGAGAGAATCCGGGTGGAGGATTATCTGAATGATAAGATACAGGTTTCTTCAGATCTAGAAAATCTCGATTCGTTGCTTTCTAGCTTGTGCGCTCAGCAGGAGCTTCAACGAAGACAGGTAATTCATTCTCCCAGCTGTTCCTTCAACGCTTCACATCTCCTACTTCTCTGGCATCTTCTTTTGCAGTTTTTGACCAGTAATTATTCAGTTAGCAGAAGCTCAGGAAGCCCTCTCTAATGCCACCAAAGCCTCCAACGATCATGCCGAAGCCACTCGAAAGCGAGCCGAAGCGTTCAACGAACAACAAGTAGACATTGACCGGCGGTTGAAAGCAATCACACAGTCAGATGTTAGTGATGAAGCTGTACGGCGATTTGAGCGGAACATGGAGAAACTCCGGCGGCTGGAGATCTCAAAAGGCTACGTTGGTCTCCTGAAGGAAGTCGATGCGTTGAGGTATTTTGGAATGGGTGCCTTCCCTTGAAGAACGTTCACTAAATTACAGAGATAGCAAAGATGTCCAACAGAATATTTCTTCGGCGCCGAGTCTGGCTTTAAAGCCGTATTCACGATTGCGAAATATTGTCTTTTCGTTGAAAGATGCCCAACCTGCCGCAGAGGGGGCAGCTCCTCACTTGGTCGACCACACTGCGAAGCTGGCATCTGTACTGCGAGAAGAGATGAAGGCAAATTTCATCAAGAGACTCCAGAAGACGCTTGAGCAAATGAAGTGGCCAGTTAAGGATTTACATCTTACGGATAGCCTGGTCTCACAATGGAAGAGCGACGTTGAATTGCTTCTCGGCTTGCAGATACCGTAAGAATCACCAGTTCGACTGTCTTTTTTTGAAGTTACCACACTGCCCAGGGCTGACATATTAACTCAGGGAACTTGAGGAATTTAGCATAATCTCTGGTGACCAGAATGTTGAACCGCCTATTCTGTTTCCAATGGAGGTGATGGTTCACCCGCTAGAACTCAGATTCAAGTACCATTTCAGCAGTGATAAACCAACAAATAAGCTTGACAAGGTATTGCTTCTACTCTCGAGCTTAGTTTGAATGAAAGGACACATCCCTGACTAAATTATAGCCTGAATATTTCTTGTTCCATATTACGGACTTGATTACTGCCCATGGTAGTTTCTTCGCCAAATACCTCCAGCCAATTTTTGATGAGAAGACGCAAACAGTGGAACCCGGCCTGAAATGGCATTTCTACAGTGCACCGCATGCTTTCATCACAGCTCTTTTTCCGATGCTGAGGGAGAAAATAAGCACTTGTCTCCCCCAAGTTTCAAGCCGCCCACAATTGCTCAGTCATTTTATACACCAACTAATGACCTTTGATAATGAGATCCGTGAGATGTCGAACTATACACCTTATCCATCCTCTAACGAAAACTGGAAAGGAATGTCATGGGAAGTTCTGACCAAGCAGGGCTGGTTTGATCGCTGGCTTCAAGTCGAGAAGGATTTCGCACTCGCACGATACAAGGAGATCATTGACGCACCGGACAGCGGAGAACTGGATTATGACGGCGTCGAGCCCTTCGCTACGAAGCCAACAAAAGCCTCGATACGGGTCAATGACCTTCTTGAAACCATCACGGAACGTTACCAACCCCTGTCATCGTTTAGCCAAAAGCTGCGATTTCTTATAGACGTCCAGATTACAATTTTCGACCAATTTCATGCACGTCTGCGTTCAGCCCTGGAAGCGTATCTCGCCATGACATCTGCTATCGGACGTACCGTACAGGGGTCGGATGCACAAAGCGTTGAAGGTGTTGCCGGGTTAGAGCGGCTCTGCAGGGTCTTCGGAAGCGCGGAATATCTAGAAAAGAAGATGGAAGATTGGAGCAACGACGTGTTTTTCGTGGAGCTCTGGATTGAGCTGCAAGAACGGGTTCAACGTAACAAATACGGCGGGAAAAATGTCGCAGGACCCATGTCTGTGGCAGACGTGGCCACGCGTACTTCTTCGGCTGTTGTGAATAACTACGGCCAAGAAGCCACCTCAGACGGTGCCCTCTTTGACGAAACCGCCTCTGTATATCGCCATCTACGCCTTCGATCTGAGACTGTCCTCACTTCCACGCTTTGCTCCGACACGATCTCCGCTCTCAAACCCTACTCCCGCACATCAACGTGGGCAACCCTTTCTTCCGCCGCTGCTGTTCCAGCAGCAGCTCCTTTTTCTCCCTCTTCAGATCTCGCTCCAGCCACACGCACTCTCTCCGCTAGCATTTCTTTCCTCTCTCGTGCCCTCGGAGTTGCGCCTTTGCGACGCATAGTCCGCCAGCTTCTCCAGTCTATTCAAGCTTACATCTGGGACAATGTACTTATGCGACATAATTTCTCAGCGGCCGGTGCTGCCCAGTTTTCAGGTGACGTCGGTCACCTTTGCAGCGTGGTAGACGTTGCACTCGGCGTCGCCAGCAGCCAAGGCGACTCGGAGCGAGTCATCAAGAAGCTCAACGAGGCCCTCTTACTTCTCTGTCTGGATGCGAGCGCTTCATCGGAGGCGTCCATTGACAATAACTCTACTGTACCTCTGGGCGGTAATAACTTAGCTGAGTCCGAACCACGTGCGCTTCCGGGATTATGGGAGGTAGAGAAGAGGCTCTTTAAGGATAACAAGAGCGCTAGAGAAGTTCTTTCTGAGCTTGGAATGGAAATTTTAACCGAAAGCGAGGCTAGGATGGTATTGGAAAGAAGGGTAGAGATTGGTAGCTAGATATTTCCTTTTTTTTTTTCTTTTGACGAACTACAATTTTCTACTTCTTTCTTGAATGGCAGTGATTAGGAAGTTCACTCTAATAAAATCATGTACAAGATTCTATTTCTATCTTTATATATAAGCGAGATGTACTCCGTAAGCACGTTGGCTTCATGGAAAAGCTATCCAAGCTGTCTGTCGTGTATAAGGGAATTTTATGAATGCATAACTCATGTCCAACCGTAAGACTGAAACCTCCAAGACGGCGCGAAATTCAAAATCTCTGTACACAAATGTGAAAATGTCAGTGCATAAATTTCACCCTGGAGAACCGGGAGAAGACCCGGTTGGTTATAATAAAAACCGCAAAATGAGGTGAGACAGTTGAACTATCATGGCACATGGACTTCTTTGATCAAGTCACTATGTTCTTTTCTCGTTCTCACTTTCAAGATGAGCTTGTCTTTTTCAAGTTCTGGACGATGCCCGGACCGAGTTCTTCAATGGCCCGCACGAGGCCTTCAGCCGTATCCTTGGTTGTCAGGATATTAACCACGCAACGGAAGAATTTACCGTTTCCAACTGCATCTTCGTCACCACTGGGAGGAGCAAAATCAATCATGAATCCCTTATTCACGAGAGCGTGCGTGATTTGCTCTGTAACCTTGCTGTTCTGTCTTCCACGTTCGGGCTCGTCTAACGTGGTGCCGCCGCGCGGGTAGAGGAACTCCTTCCCCGGAGCGTAATAGAAACAGACCTGTAAGCAAGGGGGGGGGTTCTCGCTGAGGAGAATGAAATCGGGGTTTTCACCGACTATCGTGGCCAGATGCGCAGCTACTTCGCAGGCAGAGTCGATCTGTCTCTGGTATCCTTCGGAGCCGTAGTAAGTCCAACTCAGGAAAAGTTTCAGGGAATCTGCCCGACGACCGCATTGCAGAGTCAAATCTGCTAGGTCCCAGACTTCAGGCGAATCTACGGCCAGTTCAGCTTCGGGGATGGATGAATCTCCATTTTTGGACGATGATGGTTCGGGGTCCTCGTTGTGGAAAAGATAACCTGCTGGAAGGGTGTTGGCACGATGGAACTGGCGGATATCTGCGGCCAGCAGGAAAGAACATGTCACTGGCACACCAAGCATTTTGTGTGGGTTGATTCCAATGCTATTTGCTTTCTCTGCACCTGCGAGCTTATGCTGCTGACGATCAGAGAAAACGAACGAGCCACCCCATGATCCGTCGACATGGAGCCAGAGCTTGTGCTTTTTGCATATCGCAGCGATTTTATCAAAGGGGTCAAATGAACCCATAACCGTCGTACCAGCTGTGGCATTGACGTAGAAAGGTGTTCTCCCTTCATTTTTGGCTTTCTGAACGAGCTTCTCCAATTCCTCTGGAAGCATTGTGCCTGTCTTGTCAACAGGAACAGACCAGACGGATCGACTGCCCAACCCCAGCATCTGTGCAGCCTTTTCAATGCTGTAATGGCCATGGGCACTGGTGAAAAGGACAAACCGATAGCCACCATTTCCATCTTCCTTGGTCGCCGGGAACAAAGTGTTTCGTGCGATGACAATGGAAGTCGTATTGGAGGCAGATCCGCCTTGAACGGAAATGCCACCCGCATAGCGACCATTGAGACCGAACAGCGAAGCCAGCTTCTTCCCAGTGTACTTCTCAATAACCGTTAGAGCTGGCGAGACTTGATAGACATGCACGTTTGTGTTCAAGGCCGCCAGAATAAGCTCCGCCGCAACGCCCGGAGCGTTCGTCGACGCATACAGCTTATCGAGAAAGCCTTGGTGCCATGTATTGACGGAGTATCGCAGGACGCTTCGAAGAACCTCAATCAGACCCTCTTGCCGCGCACCTTTCACCGGTAGATTCAGCTGCAGAATCTCCTGCAGCTCCTGGGGCTTTTTGAAATCCACCAATGATGTGCCCGGCCGTTGAAGACATCCATTGACGCCGTTGGTATACTGTTTCGAACTGGGAAAGGGATTCTCGTCTGCGGACCGGATGAAGGGGATGAGGAGACCCTCAACTGCTCTCAGAAGCTAATCATGAGTGGAGAAAGACACTGTCAGTGACAATAATTCCGCCGACCAAATAGATTGATAAACTAGGAGGATGTAACATCACAAAGATAAGATGCAGAGCTTAATCAGTTCACTCACACTTTGTACTTCATCAGCCCGGCTGACTGGAGCTTGGCCCTGTCCATTCTGTACAGGAGAATCTGACATCTATGACGGATTGCTGCGGAATGTGGAAAGGCAAGAACTCCTTTTTGGAAGCAGAGGAATTGTTATTGTCCTGGAGAGAGACAGTCCTAATATTCTTCCTGGCCCACCAGGATCGATTCAGCACGCAATAAATCTTAAAAACGCCTCAGGCACTAAGGCTCTACATAGCCAAAGCCGGTTAGTTTGGCTTACCATGGCACGTGACATATACGGCCAATACGAGGCCAATACGAGCCGTATTCACACTGTAGGACACCACCACCCTTGGTGTACCCAACTTCTTGAATCGACGTTTCTAGATACCCGTAGAATGTGCCTATAAATGAAATCGGCGAGGATGCGGCCAGTTGACTCCGTGGACGATACCAACGTCGCCCAACTACAACGTTTAAGGATTCTCAGTGTTTCAGCAAATGGAGTCAGCTCCCTTCACAGAAACGGTTCGCGCACAAGCAGAGCTACAGCTACAGCGACCCAAAGGGATCAGTCCAGGCAGCAGAAGAACCTTGCCTCTAACGTGCCGCCATATGAGGCCACCGCCCGTGCTGTTCGAGGACGGCGGCCTATTTGTGAAATGGAGAACCGCGGTGAAAATATCGGAGGTTCAGTCTCTATACTGTTGGTCGATTTCTTCAAGGAAAGGTTCCGTTCCTCAGGTATACCGGTTCCAACACTAGCTGAGTGCTGACTGAGTTGCTGACCCGTGGCAAGAAATACTCACTGAGCGAGACCTTGAGTGCCCTTACTAAAGCGGTGGCATCTCGAGAAAATCAACGATGTTGGGTTCCAAACAAAAACATGTGCTTGATAAGGAACCTTAAAATTCGGGTCCGGAATTCCTACCGAACGGTCTTAATATGATATAAAACGATACGAATAGACCTTATCAAGAGAGACTTCCCCGAAAATCATACCGATTCAAACAAGAGCCCGGCATGAACTCCAACGGCCCCAGAACACCGCGGATACGACAATATCGGTCAAGAAGACAGAGGCCGTAGGTTTTTGAATGGACTTCAATCCGGTCGAGATCTTGCTGATTCTTTGGAAGGTGTGATAATTGTCGTCGTCGCAGAGTATGCTGTCTGCGCAATGAGAATGAGCCGTGTTCTCTATGCCAGAGCCGTGGCCTGGATTGCACATTTCTATCTTTACCAAATCCCAAGATTCGTGGATCATCATCAACATCAGTTGCAGCTGCGAGGAAGCAAGCTAGCAGTGACAGTGGCCTTGTCCATGCCAATGGCACACCGTCGAGACCATCTCCAACACAGATCCAACCTGAAGAATGCCCGTCCATGGTTGAGAAGGAAGTGCCTGTGGAGAAATCGAAACAAGACGAAAATCCCGCGATTAGTCCCGCGGAGACTCTGCAGTTCGTAGGCCTGAGTGGGGATCAGGATCCCTTCATCCTGCAATATTGCCGGACAAAGCGTATTCGAGATGTCGACGGCATCCAATGGACGTGTCATCGCTTCGGTAATGACCCCCGATTCCCAGCGAGCTTCACAGCCGTGCCCGATCAGCATCTCGATGCGCATCCCAGTTATTACCCTCTGGCTCGTAGACTCGAGATCGCGTCCCCCCACACCGATCAATTAGTCAGAAGCTTCTTCGAAGTGGTTCATCCCTCCGTACCAATCCTCGATCCGCAGTCATTTAGCCCATCGACGGCTTTTTTGCCGCTGCTGGCTGCCGTCTTTGCTCTCGCCCACCCATACTGCCATGGCGCCCAAGCGATCAACCCTTGGCTGTTCATGGATTTCAACAGCCAGGCATTACCAATCGAAGCTCGCAATGCGAAGCTTGAGACCGTCGAGGCAGCGCTACTGCACGCACAGCGCCATACGTACATCTTTCGAGCCCCGACCATGCCAGGACTGTGGGCTGAAGTCGGCACAATCGTCGGTATGAGCCAGGATGTCGGCCTGAATATCGACGCCTCGGACTGGGACATTCCTGAGGGCGAGAAGAAGAGGAGAAAGCGGCTGTGGTGGGCCGTGTATATGCAAGATAAATGGGCAGCTCTGACCCTGGGTCGACCTTCGTACATCCACGATGACCAGTATGACGTGGAAGATCTTGAGGTTGCTGATGTGATCCCCGACCAGAACGTCAGTGAAGACCTCCGAGATCTTCCAGCCAGGGTGTTCGTTGCGGCTGTCAGATTGACGGTTATCCTTTCGGATATCCTGTCTCAGCTGTATACAGTTAAAGGAGTGAAAAGGCTCCATGCCCTAGCGACTGGTGAATGTTATAACATTGCTCACGGCTTCATAGAACGCTTAGATAGCTGGAAAGAGGAATATCTCACGCCTCTACTTCGCTATGATACGATACATGATCCTACTGGTGAGAAGAAATGCCGCCCAAGCTCAACTCTTACTTGACTTTCAGTTCGCTAACACCCTTCAAGGGAGCTTACAGCTCGCTTACTACACGGTCGAAATCACATTATGTCGCGCCATCCTCCGTACTCCTGCTGGTGTTGAGTTCCGGCAACGCTCTGCATCGCTTGTTTCCAGCGTCATTGACTGGCTGAAAAACCTTCAAGTGAACCGAGTGTCGGCATTTTGGTGGTCGGGTAAGATGGTTTGAATATATTTGACTTCTAACTTCTAACTATCATGTTGCTTTAGCTTCTAAGATCAACTTCGCCATCGCTGGCGGTTTTATGATCGGCATGTTTCTCTCTGCCACCAAGGACGAGGAAGTGAACTACTGGATCAAAGAGATCACTACATATCGCAACCTGCTCAGAGCACACTCACCCAACTTTAACGTCACCAAGCTGGCGTCCATTCGCATGGATCTTCTCCTCCAACGAGACATTTCGGATAATACATCAGTTAACGACGAAGACGAGGTAGATTCAAGTGCAGCACAGCGACCTTCAGCACTAGGGCAAGGGTTGGATGACCAAGATCAGCAAGGAATCAAAGACTCCGGAATGGATGCCGGTAATTTATTTTCGACTGAGACTTTACGAGAGGACTTTGCGGTTGAACCAGCAGTGGCGTTTGGTAACACGTACGGACTTGAGTGGGATGCTGATCTCGATCAACTGCTTTCTGGCTTTGATTATCGATTTTAATAAATACAATTGCCTTTATTCTTTTTTTTTTTTTTCCTTTTGCCTTTTTCCCTTTTGGCTATTTCATTTCGCAGCACCACCGACCGCATATAGTCTTGCCTCCCATTGTCTCAATGTACTGTTATCCTCAGCGGTGTTGTAGTTCCCCAGCACCAACTCCCCCTTGAAGTCAGCCGGGATCAACGAGGAACCCAACTGCACCGATTTGTCCGAGAAGTTCATTACCACCACAGCGTCCTGGCTTCCCGTATGAGACCGCCTATAAGCGAAGATCTGTTCGTCCAGTGGCTCCAGCAGCTCGAAATCCCCATATACCAGCGTGGGCCACTTTTTCCTCAGCTGCAACATCGTCTTCCAGAAAGCAAGCACACTGTCCGAATGCTTCATCGCGCTCTCCACATTACAGACAGGGAAGTCCGGGTTAAGTTTCCTCCACGGCGTGCCAGTCGTGAACCCTGCATTCGGCAGCGTAGCAGACCAAGGCATTGGCGTCCTCCCATGATCTCTGGCTCTCCTGTGAAGATCGTTCATCACATCATCCATATCTGGCTCTGCAACCCCGGTTTCTCTTTGCTTCTTCTCCTTCTCCTGTTTATAGTGCATCTGCGATACCACATCGCTGTATTCCTCGATCCCCCACTTAGGCAGGTTGCTCATCCCAATCTCCTGGCCCTGGAAGATATATAATGTACCACTCAGAGTGGCCAAAAACATTGCCAGCAGCTTTCCAGATAGCCAGCGGAACTCTGGCTTATCGGACGCGTACCGGGGGATTGATCTCCCCTGGTCGTGATTCTCCATGTACAGACTGTTCCACCCGCCGCGCTCCTGCATGGTGGTCTGCCATTTATTGATGATGCTCTTCAGGGTGGACAGCTTAAAGGGTCGCCATCCAAGAAGGGTGTCCGGGACACGATCAACGTCCATGTGCTCCCAGGGGAAGATCATGCAGAATTCATCCCGGTCCGGATGCACAAATTGCAGAGCCATATCTGGCTCTTCGACGTGCGGGGTCTCACCGACAGTCATGATGTCGTAGTTATGGAGGACGGTATGGGAGAGCTCCTGTAGGAATTTGTGGCATTTGGGCCGGTTCAGGTAGAGGTGCATGGCTGGTTGATGGGGGGATAAGGGCTCCACCACTTCTGCATCAGGGAAGCCGGGGGCTTTGGCTATGTAGTTTATTGCGTCGACCTAAATGTAATTAGATAGGTCGAACTATCGCATAGGGAGTCTGCCTTACACGGAAGCCGTCGATTCCTTCTTCTAACCAGAATGTCATGATGTCTTGGACGGCCTTTCGGACTTTAGGATTCTCCCCTATGCATAATTGTGTTAGTTTAATGTAGTTCAACGTGAGGTTGGGATTTCAACAGTAGTGTCATCTTACAGTTGAGGTCAGGCTGATTCTTGGTAAAGAGACGGAGAAAATACTCGTCCGTCGTCTCGTCGTATTCCCACGCGGACTCGGCTCCAAAGAAGGATCTCCAGTTGTTCGGCGGTTGCCTTCTTCCCTGCTCATCGTACTTGGGTGGCTGCCAGATATACCAGGAGCGTTTCTCGCTGGTCTTATTCTTCTTCGACTCGAGAAACCACTCATGCTCGTCCGAGGTATGGTTCACTACCAAGTCCATGATGATCCTGATCCCGGCCTTCTTCAGTTCCGCCTTGAGCTCCCTCCAGTCGTCCAGCGTGCCATACGGGGGATGGATTTCACGGTAATCGGAGATATCGTAGCCCATATCCTTCTGGGGGGATTTGTAGATGGGACATAACCAGACTATGTCGACGCCCAGAGACGCGAGATAGGGCACCTTGGACTTTATTCCCTGGAGATCACCGATGCCGTCGCCATTTGAGTCACAGAAGGAAGCTGGATAGATCTGATAAACGCTCGCTTCCTTCCACCATGTTCGTTGCTTGTGAAGCTCCGGGCCAGAAAGCTGCTTGTGCTCCGACTTGCTGTGAGGCTCGGGGGCGTCGTGGGAGAGACCCATGTTTGGGGATTTCAGTGACCTGGCACCGATACGATAAACACAGTTTGATCGATTAATTGATCGTTTACAGCTCTTCGATGCAGTGGTCAGATGTTTTGTGGTTTTATCACGTCGCCCATTCGGCGTTGGGCAGTCCTGCGCAACGCGCAACGCGCATCGCCCTGCAAATTCCTAGCATCTGCGATAACATTAACCTCGATGGACTTTTCGGTGTCGAATCTGGAGTTATCCACATCTGGATCCTGAATATTATTCCCTCCGAGTCTGAAATATCCAGAATGTCCGGTTCCTCTTATCGCCTCCACACGATTTGCCCAACGCGCAACCGTCCCCCCAACGCGCAGTTCGGCAAGGGTAATTGCTTCAAGTCATGGTGGAGTGACCGATAAGCTGGCTCGCTTCAGGATGACAAGATGAAGCTACATAAGGAAGAGTTATCGAAGCTCTTCAGGGCTATTTGGGAGGGAAGAAAGAAACCAGGATCAAGCGTTGTAGCTGGAAAGCTGATTCTTGAGTCACCATGGGCATCAACTTCCACTTCCGCAAGCCAGAGCTCATGTCGCAGTTGACGTGGCGGGTGCTTGCAATATACATGTTTGTTTCTGTGAGTTCGTCCATCGATCTATATCTATGGCGCTGGTTTTCTTGTAAGTGTTGAGACTAACATCTATATCCTCCAGTTTGGCTCTTTTGTGGGTTCCTGGACAATCCCCCAAAAAAATCACAGTTGCTCTGTCTAACGGATAACCATCGTTCAGAACTTCGGGTTCGATCTTGCATGGTGGTCCTCGTGTCTTGGCCTCCAGCAGTTTGCAGATGACTATGGCGTCTCCGATGGCCCCGGGCAAAAGAAGTACATCCCGTCGAACTGGCAGTCTGCTGGCACCGGTACCCCCAACGCGGGCATGGCCATCGGATGCATTTTCGGTGGGTTTTGTTGTCAATATCTAGGAAGGAAGATGACTATCGTTGTATTGGCCATCGTTTCCATTGTCGGTGTGGTCATTCAGTGTGCTGTTCCTGTCAGTATCCATTTCTGTTGACTTCTTGATGCACTTCAAGATGGAAACATGGCTAACGTTGCTAACGTTGAACTGTCTCTAGTCTTACTGGGGTGTCCTTGTTGGTCGCACCATCAACGGTATCTCCATGGGCATGGAAAGCAATGTCATCCCGACTTACAGTGCAGAATTAGCTCCTCCTGCCATTCGTGGCTCTCTCGTCAATTTCTACCAGTGGTGGCAGATTGTCGGAAACATTGTCACTGCTAGCTTTATCTACGGCACTTCTATACACTTGAAGGGACAATGGCAGTATAAGCCCGTCATGATCACCCAGGTCTTTGTTCCAGTCGTGCTTCTGACCGGCGTCTGGTTTATGCCCGAATCGCCCAGGTATGTGCATATATTCCGGCCCTAGCAAGTAAACAGCAAGCTACACGGTTCACTAATGAAAACAATTCAGATGGCTGCTCATGAAGAATCGTCGCGCCGATGCTGAGAGGGCCCTTGCATCCATCCGCAAAGGATTATCGGGCCCCGAAGAAGTTGCGGCCGAACTTGCCCTCACTGAAAGTGCGCTGCAGGAGCAGATGGAGCTCGCTGCCCACATAACCTATCTCGATTGTTTCAAGGGATCCAACCTCCGCCGCACTCTCATCGCAGTCATCATTCAGATCATGCAACAGATCCAGGGCAATTCCTTCATGAACAACTACCTCGTCGTATTCCTTCAGCGTATCGGCATCAAGAACTCCCTGCAGATTTACATCGCTGAAAACGCCACCCAGCTGGGCGGCATCACCCTTGCGTTTTACTTCACGGACAAGATTGGCAGGCGGCCCATTCTCATTGTCTCCGCATTCTTCATGGGTGCCCTCATGTGGATTGTCGCCGGCCTAGGCGCTTACACGAATGTTCAGGGTTCATCGGCGCAGGGCTGTGTTGCCGCCATTCTGATCTACCAGGCCATTGCGGGCGGCTGCTGGGGCAGCTGCACGTGGATTACCACATCAGAGGCCGCTGCTGCTGCAGTCAGAGAGAAGACTATCATGACGGCAACATTTATGAGCTTCTGTATGGTGCTGATCATCACCTATGTGAACCCGTACGTGCAGAACGAAGGATACGGCAATCTCGGTGCCCGTGTTGGATTCGTATACGGAGGCTGTTCGTTCCTGGCCCTGCTGTGGACGTTTTTCTTCTTGCCCGAGCTCAAGGGGAGGAGCTTGGAGGAGCTGGATGAGATGTTTACCGCCAGAGTTCCCACGAGGAAGTTTAAGGACTACGTTTGTAGCGGTCTTGGAGCTGAGCTTACAAAACTGCAGGCCAGTGGCTATGAGGGTACGATTGAAATTAAGGCCAAGGATGCCGTGGACGGGCTGGATGAGGATGTTGTCAGTACAGATGCAGAGAAGCGCGTGTAAACTATTTGATTAGTACTCTTAGAATATGTAATATCCCAGTGTAAATCTGCATGATGCCCTTTTTTTAATCTCTTGCATTGAATACTAACATTTAAACCCTTTCCCCCAACTGCTGTACAAGTGACATGTTGAGATTATATTTCACGTGTAAGCCCTGTCTTCCGTAGCCCATCTGGGTGTTGAGGTTATTTGACATAGTTAAAAATCAAAGCTGTATCTTGGGCATTAACAGAAACCGATCAACAACTCTTTGAAGTACTACTACTATCTTTGGCGTATTTGATACCGGTTTTCCTGGATTATTTCTAAACCAAAGTTAGGTACAAACTGATCTTGTGTGTTTTAAGGCCCTTCGAGACTAGTACTACTTCCATGCAAATATGCAATCAGGAACAAGCCAAGATGGTTGAAAGCACAAGCAACAAGAAACCAGAAAGATCAGTACGATGAAGTGGATTCCACAGCTGCCCTCTGATCATCGTACGACTCGCGAGAACAAAAGATGACTTCTGCACCAAGACCACACTCACCTTGATTGGATCCACAATGAATGTCTAGGGAACTATTCTATCCTTGTGTTTGATATAACAAGGCTCCCAAGAGTTACTGAAGGTGACAAAAGGCTTCTCTGGTGATAGCCACTCGATGGCCAATCTGTATGCGAACACCTCGTCTTTGCGCGGCCGCGTTGGGGACTCTTGTACTCGGCTTTTATGAAGCGCTCGCGCAGCTGTTAGGGTACCTTGCATTTCCCCCGTTGCGGCTCCTTATTTATATGCTGTAAGTGGAAGTTTGTCTCTCAACGAACGCAAGACTATGCCAGGATCAAAGAAGTATGGATTGTGGGCAGTATTTTCTGAATATATCTCATCGGTAGGAGGCCGAAAGGCATTGCAATCAATGCTAACAGGTATATTGCATGCGATTATTTGGCCATTGGATAATCTGTCTGTCTCAGTCAGACAGATTTCATCAAAGCACTCTGTGATTTAGGCCAATGGTGCCGGAAGAAGGACCGCCTCCTGCCCTACCTTTCAAAACGAAGTTTTATCCCTAGTCGTACTCTGTTTTATTTATGATGATAGGCGGGTATGGAAGCCCTGTGGTATCCAGTACCTCAGCATCTGGAATGTTGCTCTCAGTTCAAGTTGTTGAAGGCTGGAGTTCAACGTGGGAGATGAAAGAGACTAACAGCAATTAGCCTGCTTAACTAACTGAATGCCTCTCCCCAATTTAATATGGAAGCGAAAAGTCATGATTGACAATCCCTTAACCTTCGATATTCTTAAGATACCTAGCTAGTAGCCCGACGAATGCTAAGGTACAAAAGTGAGATCCTAGCCTACGAACGTCACGTTCATTCAGATCTGTAAAACTCATAAATAAGAGTTGATAGTTCACGATTGAGGCTGTCTTTACAGATCCGAATCTCAACAAGAACTGCTAGAGTCAAAACCCAGGGCAGTTGATTCAACGTAATGCCAGGAACCCATCATTCTAAAACAGACCCTTTCTGTTAAGTTCTTTTTTGAGCAGTTTCCGGAAAGATAAAGTGAAAAGGAAACAACATTCATGTGCCCCTATGAAACCAAGCATGTGCAATAGAAAGATGGTCCCTTGTTTCGATTTATGTGATAGTTCAGGCCAGAAGTCTGCATCGTACTTCAAGAAAAAGGAAGCCGCAAAGACCTAGATAAACCACATTTGGAAGGGCAATCTGTTCGAAGTGCCGTAAATCGGCAGAAGACGGGGATCAATCGGTCGCTTTTCAGGTTTCGGATTGGTAATCTTCACCTGTGGAGCACTCCGAGGACCCGAGCTAGCAGGAATATCTTCATGATGACGAGCCCTATTAGCGATCAAGTGGGCGTAGTAGACGGCCGGGACTGTGACAACATTAGCAAGATAGCCTAGCAAGTGGATGCCAGGAAAAGAAATCACATACAGAGTGAGACAGAAGTCGTCGATCTCATATACTGATAGCAATGGTCGTAGATCATATTCTCGAGTTCCTGAGGCTTGTGCTTGATCTGGTCCAAGATCACATGGTAGTGTACTGGACGAGACGTGCCCTGGAGCGCGATATGGGAGTACAGAAGGAAATCCCAATCAAAAGGACTAGTGACATCGCGAGATATCAAAGTTCCCGGCAAGGGGTTACCATTGCGATCAGCCGCATTGCGGTCGTTCGGCTTAGGGAAAGCCCGAATATGGTGCCTTTTGTTAGCAATGACAACGGTAAACTTACCTTTCCACTGTTGCCCAGTCAATTCCATAAAGATCGCTCTCATGTCGAGGACCTCCCTTTCCAAGACCTGGGCGAATTGACCGGTCGAGACACCATCACGGAAATAGTAGACGTGGTCCGGGGCGCGACCCCCTCCGACAGTTGACATCCATTCTCGGATCAGAGGTGTCAACATAATCTCGATGTTGGAACGATTTATGAGCTCAACCCGTTCACCATTGGCCTCACAGGCGCCCCAATAACGACATCCGTACTGGTCCATGCAAACAGATATCGCTGCCATCGACGGCGCCCAGACACCAAGGCTAGGGTGAGTCACATCTGCGCCAATAATCATCGTCTGAGGCCTGAGAGTCGCTTCGGTCACCTTGGGAACTGCACGAGCTGTGGTACCGCCAAGTTTCGCGTTGACCTTCATCAATACATTGGATAAGTATTGTGGCTGTGCCTTAGAAGCATGGCCGGCTTGGAGGACTTGGGATGGAACTCCCCAACGGCAGTCGCAAGACTTTTTAATTCGCAGATAAGTAAAGGAATTTTTGTCAGGAACAATGATCAAAAGCAACTGGGGATCCTTCTGAAATTTATGTCCAACCGTACTATAGAGCCTCTTGATGGCTTGTCCGATGTCCTCTTTAAGCTCAAGAAGGAGAGGATACCTGGGGACATCTCCACCATGGTTCCTGTAAGCTTTCACAAAGGCGTCGGTAAAATTAGTAACCTGTGCCTGGTTGATCGAGCCGCGCTTGCCGGTGAAATATCCAATACCCCAGCAATCGAGGGGTCGCTTATTAGGTTGAAAAAACTTCTTCCCTCGAAGATCCCAGCGGCCACTCGTACCAGCATTGATGCGCTGGTTACCACCGAACTGAATATCGGGGCTTGGGAGCAGGCGGGCCTTCGTACGTAGCATGTTGTTATCAACTTGAAGACCGAACGATTTCAGCACGGGGTCATTGGCATGGTCAAGCATTTTTTTCGATTTTGTGATCGAATCCAGTCTCTCAGCAGGACGATTAGCAGCGTACTTAATCATAGCTGCAGTTTGGTACTCAGTGAGCTTGAAGGGGTATTTTTGAAGACCATGGAGGGTCAAGACTTCCATGGGATAAACGACGCCTTTTTTGGTCATTTCAACCATGGGAAGTTCCCAGTACCTAAGGTACACGTCGTATTTCTTGTGGAAATATTCTTCAACAGACATCTTGTTGATTTTCCCGGTAGCCGGATCCTTGACGTCAATCAGGTACTGGCGGGCACTTCCATTGATGAGTCCCTTCACTTGGAAGTTTTTGCCGAGCACGGGGCAACCACCGTAATGAGCCTGGACAATCAATTTTTTCAAACGGCGATGGCACTCATAAAACCCATCCGACTCCGTAGTACCTCCGAAGCCGTCTTTAACGGGCCGGAGAAGGTGGATGAGGTGCTGCGCATCTCTGGCATCGAAGAGGGCTATGGCAGCACCGACAAGAGAGATACGAGCCCAGAAGCAAGTGTTCGAAACGTCGATGTTTATTACCAGGCGACGAGGCTGTTGTCTACATTAGCTCATAGTGACTAGCATAAAGACCAAGAAACTTACAATAGTGGGCCGAATGGCCTGGTAGACGCCTTTGAATGCAAGAACACCATTGCCCAAATCGAAGTTATCACCGTGCTCGTCGAAGAAGGAGCGCTTAATGGAATGGAATTTGCTGCTAGGGTATTCCCTCAGGAGGTGATCCAGGAAATCTGCAGAACATGATCAGTCGAGGTTCTCCAAATTTCGAGAAAATAGTCACTTACTCATAGCTTCGAGAACAGGTTCTCCGAAAGGAGCCTGGCCCTGCAGCCAAGAGGTGAGAACGGAAATGTTGACAGCCTTCGTACGACGCACAACAAGGCGGAAAACATTTGGAACTTTGCCAACGGGACGGTTATTTTCTCCATCGAGGTCGACCAAGACGTTTAGACCGTCCTGGTAATTGTTGAGGGACCTACCTACGGTCAGTTACTGTTACAGGAGGCATTGCTGCGGCATTAACTTACCAGGCTAACTTGCTTCCGTCAAAGATAATCTGGCGAAGGACGTTCTTTCTGGCCTGCGAGTTCCAGACCTTTTTGATCAGGGCAGGTGACTCCTTGCCATTTCCGATATTAACCTGTTCTATTCGTCAGCACGACTGTCCACCAGTGATGTTTCTCCGAACGGAATGGACACTGGGAAAGCAAGCATGCTGGAGATATATATCACTTACATCATACTGATGAACGGTCTTGTTGGGGAATTTTAGAATGGGATAGGCATTGAGGGAGAGTTCGATCTCCTTGCCAGTGGTATTGAATCCCGGGCGAGGAACGGTATCCACGGGAACGCGGTACTTTTCATACTCGTCAGTAGTGCGAAGCTGCAGGTGACGAAGACCATTCGGAAGGGAGTCGTTGTGGTAAAGATTCTCCATTTCGATGGATACTTGGAGCAGGTAACCGTGCAAGAAGAAGTGTAGAGTCAAGTAGAGAAGGCAAGGTTCGAAGGGTAGAAGATGCTTAAAGTGGCAGAAAGATGAAGAGCGAACGAGAAGGGACAGTAGCAGTACAAGGCAATGGCGAGAAGAGAAGAGGAGAGGATGGAGGAAGGGGGAGTAGAAGGGGGAATAGAAAGAAGTTAAATATTCGCCATGGGCAGGAAGAGGGCATCTAGGAAATCTGTGAATGTCTGCTTGGTGATGCATGCAGCAGGGAATATTATATAAAGGGAATGAGACAGATGAATGGTGGGTTTCTGTGTTCAGAGCAGTCTGTAGTGGTGAATGCTGGCTGACATGCACTGGCGTTTGGGCTGACAAACGGGGAATGCTGGGCAATGAAGGCAGGACGGGAAGTTACAGCAGGACGGCAGGGCCAAAACTAAACGGTAACGAGTAAAGGGAAGATGGGGAAGAAAAAAGCGAGTGGATCACAGGGAAAAAAGAATGGCTGTCCTCAAAGGCCACAGAAGAAGTGGTCTAATTTCCCATCATCTCGCATGTTCAAAGCACTTTCCAGGATGATATACGCAGAAGACAGAAGACAGAAGAGTTACTCACCAGATGGTCTAGATTGAACGCCGACATAGGGAGGTCAACATTCCGGCACATGTCAGTGATGAGATGTGGGCGATTCCTCGCAGGATCACCATGAACAGCGTCGTGTTTTTTCTCCATGGCTTTCCTCGAAAGTACCAACCAGGTCAGAGAGAAGCTGGGAACCGTTAGTCAGGTCAACTCCTGGCAGCCTAAGACACACAGAGTATGACCTGCTGGCGCGAATGCAGAAAAGCGGGGAGTCTCTGAGACAGACGTCCTTCGAGAGAATAAACGGGGGCAGGGCTATGCTCGCGAAACACTCGAGATGAACCCACGAGAGGGACGCGTGGAAGTCAAGTCGCTTACCTGTACGCGTTGCAGGTGTCTTGAAGCTGGAGGAACGAAAAGAGGATAAATTTGCCCAACCGCTGTGGAAACACGCGAGTGACGCCTGGAGAGTATGAGGAAATAGGAGGAAGGTACTAGATGAAGGGAAGAAGAGATGGTAGAGGAAGAGGGGGGAGATGCCTTAACACGAGGAAGGAAGGAAGAAAGAAAGAAAGAAAGAGATGAGAGAGGATGCCCCTCTGAGATGAGCTGGAAGCAAGAGCCCTCGCCTTCCCTTCTCGTGCGCTGAGCGTGTTTAAGCCCTAAGGAGCATGACCAGCAGAACAGGTGATTCAGGCCCTGCTCAGTTTGTGCTACGAGACGGCCACGATTTGGTGTTCGTCTTCGAGGGTTCGGCATGAGAGATCCGAATCAGCGTGAGGAGATAAATTCAAGATCTGGGGTGTGAGGTGATCCTGGTGAGTGGTATTCTGAAGGGCCTAGAGATCTGGCTCCGGTGTGATGGTGAGCTTGTCTTCGCTCCATGGCAGGTCCATCTAACTGTAGTATGCAGATAGGATATGAGGGCTTTATATTCAAGCTCAATGTCTCTGAAAAGAATGTGCGATATCGCACACGTCCCAGATGCTCACACCTCGTAAAGCGAAACCTGACGGAAACTGGAGCTTACGGAGACGATGTATCGTGCTTCGTTTCGAACGACTTTGGTATATCGTCAATTATTCCATCCTCGTCATACTTGGTAGAAATGTCTGGGTGCAATCTCATATGTTGCCCCTTTTCACCGTTGGCACCGAAGGGATAAAGTGTTTGGAATTGAAACCAATGATTCGATTTCTCCACAGGGCTGGGTCCTACAAGTTGAATGGGACGAGAACTAGGTACGTTTGGTTGCTAGGATTACTCTCCGAGAACTCTGGCTTGTATATCCCGGGCAGCCCTGGTCGAGGGTTAGCGAATCCCAGCATACGAAGAGCTCTTACATTACGAAAAGAGGAACGGCAAAAAGGAACAGTCAATTGAAAAGGACAGCCTGGGATAAATGAGAGGCAGCAACCATACCAAACAGAGCTTGATAGCTGTCGGCTGACCTGGGGTCACTACCACGTCTATCCTGGCTCGGCGTGCTGTAAAAGTGTTACATTCCCATGACATAAGATATCTCAACGTTCCACAGGGAAAATATCCAAGCAAAAAGATCCTTCGTTGCTATCAATTTTCATGGCCGAATTATCATGCCTAATCAGAACGCCATTCCGTGAAATGCAAGCGACTATACATCTTTGAACCATTCTAACCGACCGAAAACGCTTCCAGAAGACCACGTGTTTAACCGGTAATATAAATCCTGTGCAGCAATGACTTCGAAGTGTTTAAGCATGATGTAAATAGCAAGGTTAGAATATTAGATCAAGGACCCGAACGATAGACACCTATCAAGAGACATGAGCATTAGCATACAAGTCGGAGATCATAGAGCCAAGTCACTTCATCAGAAGAAGCCCGGAGTGGTATAGCAGATCATAGATAAGAATCTCCGACTTACCACTGTATGTCGGCATCCCTATAATCGAAGCTTGGCCTGTCCCTAATCCACCCATTGGCTGTGGCAGTGGAATTTGCGAGACAGAAGATGGTATCTCTATCCTGCGTATAAGATCGACCAGTTTCTCGGGAGAGAACCTGCCCGCGTTGTACGCAGATGCCGGGGGAATGATGCTTAGCAATTGTACGATATCACGAGGAAGTGGTGCAGATGAGCCCTGAGGCTTCAACTGAGCCCCAGCCTGGCTCCCATTCGCTAGCTGAGAACGTTTCTGTTGTTCCAACCGACGCGCCTGAACAGTCTTCAGCGGTGATTCCGCTCGGACGAACTTGCGCGGCCGACCAACATCGTCGTCGAACTCTTCCAAGGCCCTCTTTGGAGAGTTTGTCGAAGACGTATCCAAATACCTTGGACCGGGGCTATCATGGCGTGATTCAGACGGCTCCCTGGGGAATGCCATTTTGGGTCGTGTCTGGGAGGGAGAAAGGATTGGTCGCACGGCAGTCGGGTCGAAGGATGGCGCAGAATATCGATGCGAGAACTGTTCCAGTGTCGGATTCTCCGGGAATAGTTCACGCATACGGTTTTCGAGGCTTATCACCTGCACCAGGTCACCGTAACGGGATTCATATTCGTGGAGGAACGCAAAAATGGGCTTGGCTCTATGGACGTTGTTTGGATTAGACGCCAATTTTCTGACAGTCATTTCAAATACTGCTCTTGCGTCTAAAGAGGTCATCAGCGGGGTCAAACTTTCCACGCATAGCACAAGGATTCCTATACTTACTGGTTATGTCATTGATGTCAATCAAATGCTTCAAGTATTCAAGTGCGAAATTCTCGTCGTCTGGAAATAGTTTCGCTCCGCGCTCAAAGATCTTGGTAGCAGCAGGGTCTTTATAACAATGATATTCGATCAGAGCACTGGCAATGTAGACGTCGCTGGTAATACGGCCCCTCTTACGGGCGTCTGCGAATATTTGCCTTGAGCCGGGCATCTCCCCAGGCTTGCCTTTCCCCTGTATGCGTCGCATAGCACGCATGAGAGCAATCCAAGCAAAGGATATGGTCTTGGAAAGAATCCCGATCTGTATAGCATGGGCATTTCGAACCGCTTGAATCTGAGCATTCTTGATGGATTCTTTCGCCTTCGATCCGCTTTGATCGTCATCCTCCTCCTGTTCCTGCAATGTCTGCTTATCCGGGTTCATGCTGGCAAAAGTCTCCTCGATACGTGCCACATCCTGAGATTCGCGAGTGCGAGCTTTTGCAATCAGGTCATACAATGCATCAAGCAGCCGGTCATAGGGCTCCCTGACCTTAGAGCCTCGCTTTATGGGGTCTTGTTCAGACTCGGAGGAAATTTCCAGTCTGTCAGCACGCTTGAATGCAAGTAGGCAACTTTCTGGATTAGCATCTATTCCTTGTTTCAGAAATTCGTTCCCTTCAGTCTCCATGTCATTCTGGAAACAGAATTCAGCCGCCTCAAACCATATCTCCGGAAGGAACCTTAGAGCCATAAGCGCCTGCTTGTAAACGTATACCACGCGGGCTTTGAACGCAGTCGGATCATCTTCTTTCAAGACCAACGGGTCCCCCTTCTCCCACGCAATCCACCGTTTCCAAATGTCAACCTGCTGGCTGAATTCAACGTCACCTTCAGAACCTGGGACTGGGGGTAGCCGCGGAAGCGTTGTGCGACTTAAATCTCTCGTGATATTCTGCAATTCTGTGAATGAGCTTCGAGCCGTCATATATGCTGGAGATTGCTCTTGAAGGAATTTTCGGCCCTAAAAGCAAGACAGATCAGTACATAATGCTTTCGCAATAGTGATAAGGGGTGACAGAAATTACCGTAAGTTTATTCAAACCCATCTCAAATTGATCATACTCTTTCCACATTGTATTAACCACTTGAGTAGGAACATTTATAGCTCTCTGGTAGGCTTTCCGCAGTAAGTCCATTTTCTGTTGGTCTTGCCAACCAGAACCTCCCACATTACCCGGACCAGAACGTATGAATTGGATATAATCCGACCAGATCGAACCGGAATCTTTGTCAATCCCTATATATTGAAGGGCCAAATCATAGGCAGATGAAATAATCCTCCTTGCTTGTCCAGTCGTGTCTGTCGTTAACGGGTTACGGCGACGGACATAGTCGAGATACACGGACCACAGTTGGACATTAGGAATAGACAGAAGAGTTCTGTTAAATATTTGCTCAAGACGAAATAGTTCGTTATTTTCGGACTCCATATTCGCGTATGCGACCCACTGTTCGGCCTGTAATCGGTGAGATTTCCTTATTGATCGAAGATAGGCAAAGAAGAAATACTTACAGCTGAAGGGAACACCTTGAGAAATCTCTCATAGACATCACGAGCACTATCGATCCTATTGCGACTCCTGTGTTCGCTAATAAGCTCGAGCCAGGCGGGGATGTCACCCCGAGGGTCTTCTTGGATTCTATCTTCCAAGATACCAACCCGGTCGTGGGGCAATCGGCCTCTGGAAGCAGAAGGCGGAGCAGAGGCAGGAGTAGATGCAGGGCTGCCGGGGACATTTCCAGACTGTAACGCCGGTGAGTTGTACGAAACTTGGCCAGGGAGAGAAGACACATCATTCTTAGAGACAGCAGCAACAGAATATGAGCTATTGGGAACATTTTGGGAGCTGACAGGGTTCTGCTCAGCATCCTGGAGTGATACATCAGGGGTAGAAGTAGATTGATTTGCATTTCCTGAAAAGGTCTGAGGCAGGTTCACAGCAGTAGTATTCATGTCCTCGACGCCAAGTACAGCTGGCGGTTCATAGTCCGCATCTCTCTGGTCATCCTCATCCTCATCCTCGACCACAAAACCTCCTATAGTTCTAGTCTTCGACTGCATAGGAGCACCGGATGGAGGCACAGAGGCGGACGCTTGAGATTCAGCCTGCGGGGATATCTGGGACGTGTAGGCACCACTTGCCTGTTGACTAGGACCAGTTTCTGAGAGAAAGGACGTTTGATTGGAAGGGCTTGGATCCGACGGCGCAGGAATTGGAGAAATATTTTCACTTGGCTTGGAGTTTGTCAAAGAAGCAGAATATTCATCTTGCAGTGTTTTTGAAGGATCATAATCATCTGAATCTGAACTATCTGCACCTTGTACCTCAGTCGCATTATACTCCCCAGAACCTGCATTCATTGCCTGAGCCTGAAAGAAGGCCTTCTCCGCCTCGTCCTCTGCCATGACAATGGCGTATTATTCTCCCACTCGCCACAAAGAGTGTCGCCAATAAAGTAACGCTGAAAATTTCAGGACGGATCAGTACTTAGTTGGTCCAAATACTCGAAAGAATAGTATAATATCGCAATTAGATACGCACCGCTAGAATATGATATCCGTGGAGCTCTGACGGATGGAAGACGAGAAGAAGCTGATGGCGATGAGTGTGACGGGGAAAAAGCCACCGCAGCGTCGAAGCTGCAACACTGGCTCTTGACACGTGACATAGGCGGTAGGCGCGTGTGGAAACGCGACTAACCGCGTCAGGTCGCTCATGTCTGATGGATGGCGTTCCCTACCAGAAACAATTTTAATCTTCTTCATCCCCTTCCCTTGTATTGGCCTCCTTCAGTCTGTTTTGTTCTCCTATCTGCTGCCTATGAATTACTCTACAAATCTTGCATGAAAACTTTATACACAACCACATTCTACGTGTAGTCTTTTTTTCCCACCATGTCTGTCGTCTCTTTGCTCGGTGTGAAGATCCTGAACAACCCCGCCCCTTTTCTTGCTCCGTACGAATTTGAAATCACTTTTGAATGTCTTGAGCAGCTTCAAAAAGGTAGACCAACTGGCCAGCTTGTCTATATAATTCCTTGACACTGATGGATTTCAGATTTGGAATGGAAGCTCACTTACGTCGGATCTGCGACTTCGTAAGCACAACTCTCGCTGGGACGATAAATATTCAACGGTGACTAACTTGATATGAACAGCTCTGCGTATGATCAAGAACTTGACTCCCTCCTCGTTGGACCTATTCCCGTTGGCGTCAACAAGTTCATCTTCGAGGCTGATCCACCGGATCTCAAACGGATACCGACTTCTGAGATTCTGGGAGTGACTGTCATCCTGCTTACGTGCAGCTACGATGGCAGAGAATTCGTTCGTGTGGGGTACTATGTAAACAACGAATATGATTCCGAGGAGCTCAACGCAGACCCTCCAGCGAAGCCAATTATCGAACGAATTCGGCGCAATGTTCTAGCTGAGAAACCAAGAGTGACACGGTTTGCGATTAAATGGTTAGTCGCTCTTTATATACGCTGATTTTGTATCTGAAATAACATTCAAATCCTAGGGATTCGGAGGAATCTGCTCCAGCCGAATACCCTCCCGACCAGCCAGAGGCCGATAATCTGGATGATGATGGTGCTGCATATGGCATTGAGGAGACCGAACTTGAGGCTGCACTTATGAAGGAGCTTGCGGAGTCCGAAAAGCCGCCCGGTGAGGATCAGTACATGGAAGGCGTCGAAGGTAATGCAGGCAGAGAAGACGATGAAGAGGAAATTTCCGATGCAGAGAGTGAAGACCTCGAGGCCGAAAGTGATTACGATGAGGAGGACATTGATGAAGATGAGACTGGCGACGCAGATGAGGATGTTGAGATGGGTGATGATTCGGAACAAAAAGACGAAGCGGCAAAGCAAGACCAGCATCAACAACATCAACACTCTGAAGTCATGGTCCATTAAGTGCTATTGATCTACCGTTCTTGAGTACTGTCGGGGAAGGTGTGGCTTTGAGATGTTTATGATTTGCAGCGTTTTATGACATGATTACTTTCGGCGTTTAATCCTTCTCTCACTTCAACTGTACCCTTTGACTTATCATATATTGGATAGTTATTTTAGTTGACCCTTATGATATAGAACTAGTCTAGCATTATTTGAGAAATATTCCCATAGATGCATTCCGATACTTTCTCTCGCTTAGCTTTAGAATACTACTGGCCTATGTTATAAGCAGACATGGAAGCTATGGTATCCCACCACCCAAATCAGTCAGAAGTTCAAATAAAAGCGAAGTGAAAGCAACAAAATCCTTCCATGCTACCCATTGCTACAGGTTTAGCATTCAACATCCAGCATTTCACAGAGACTTATGGGCGTATACATGCGAGGAGAGATGGCATTGTCCCTGCCAACATCGAGTCGAACTCATCTCCATTCCTTTAGTCTACCTATGTGCTACCTACTCTCGGCGCTATCATCTCACTCATATCTACCCCCAACGTATTGAACCGCCGGTGAATAATAAAGAAGGCATGGCTAGCTAGTATGTTTGTAAACCAAATCTAACCTTACCTGCTTGAATTACCTTCACTAGATATAGCAAATCACAGGACTTTGAGATGGGATATATCCAGCGAGAGCATCGCCATTCAAGCATTCGATAAGAGAAAGCAAAGGGGTACCTCCCTCCCATACATTACGAGCAACGAGAAGAGAGGCTGGAAAGCTCCGTATGGGGTTGCATCGACGGAGGTATCCTGCATACAGCAAGGCTCAGTCAGTAAGTACTTACTGCATCTATTAATATTCCGGTATCTGGTCATTCACTGCCAACCGCAACATGTCAACCAGCCAACCCATGACATGACATGACTCTTCTTATTTCCATCCATGTCCATCACTATAGTTGCAACCATAGCCATAGCTATACTTGCATCCGTCAAGCGTTGAGATCCTGAGTCTGTCAACTCCTCCCAAAGCCATCGTCCTGTTCATCGTCCTATTGCGGTTCCAGTCAAGAAGACAAACCCAACAAGGAGAAAGGGGAAGAAAAAAGAAAGCATGCGGAGAAGAGCACATACATAAACATATCTCTGTGAACATCGTTTTCGACCCGACAGGAAAATACCCCGCAATATTAATATCTATCTCGCATATCCTCTACGGGTACCATGCATCGGCGAGACCTGCCATAGGAGGGACAGTATGCGGCAGACTCGCAAGCATTTCCATCAGCTTCAGTCTCTTCTCAAGCGGTACGACAAGATTATCGATAAAGCAGAGGCGAACCGTGAGCGGACTTAGCTGGCGTCGCTGTTCCGGGAGATTCATGAGTTGCATGGATCGAGATAGAAGGCGAAGGATAGATACAAGGCTTTGTTCAGAGAAATCTGGAGCGAATATAGCGCGAGATGGGCAACTTCATTCACTCCTAACGAATACAAGATTTCCTGAGGATTGAATGAGCGCCTTTCTCTTGATCAAGAAGCACGGCCAGTCGGCTGGACGTCAAATGGAAGGAGGTTGGTCTTTTCCCGACACTGATCTCGCGGGGCGTTGATGGTCAAGAAGCAAGCTCGTATGTATCTAACAGAAGATGCCATCTCCATGAAATACTAGACATATATTGATGAGTTGACCATAATAAGTTCCATTTCATAAGTAGGTAGGGTCTGCTACTATACACGCCAAGAAACAACAACGACAGTATTGAAATGTTCCTCGTTAAAATCCTAACTTCGATCCGATCACTATATTTTGGTCAGCAACACTCGAAGAAGGTAAATTACAGACTAGGGACTACTTACAGCCAAGAGCCATTTTCCTCTTTTGAGCTGAAATAAATTTGTCGACATCATTGGCAAAGTTGCTGCTGTTTTCCTCCAATCTGTCCATAGTGTCACCTGTAAAACCAAGCCGCTCTGTACGCTCCTGTACTTGGCGTTGAAGGCCAGCCCAGTATCCTTCATCAGCTCGACTCGAGGATTGGCCGGGTATTTGCCGTTGTTCCCTGGAAGCTTTCCGTCTTTCTTGTTCTTCAAGTCGCATTTGTTCTACCATGCGCTTTGACGGCGGTCGGTCGGGTCCTCCGACTATGCTCAGTTGTTAGATGATGGGCCATATTGTAAACATAGAAGGAAACTCGGGTCTTGGATACTCACTAAGAATGTCCATATCAGCAGGAGACACATATTGGGTCCCTGAAATCCATTCAACGTTGGAAATGGTAGGCCGTGGAGGAGCCACAGCCTGCTCATTGAAGAGTTTATCTTCAGAAGATGGCCTATTTAAATAGTTAGTCTTCCTTTTTGTTACAAGATTAATGTAACTCAAGTCCTCCCGTACAGTTCAATACCAGCTCCCCACACGTTGAACAATCCGACCTCAGAAGGGCCAAGCCAGGATAAAACGATACCAGCAGGCGAAATAATAGAGCTGGAAAGCCGCCTCATGTCGAAAATGTGACTGATTTTGCTGCAGCCGATCTCTTTCAGACTGGGTATGGAGAATGCTCGGATATTGCCGTCCCCAAAAAGTCCAACAAGGCTACAACCCTTGTCATCGGGTTTCACTACCGATGCAGCATCGCACAGATAATCATCCCAAGTCTTGGAAGCACCCTTGGCTGTTGCGGGCTTAAATATCCTGCAACCAGATATCGTTACAGCGACGATAACGCCGTTGAACTTGAGGCCTTCTCTTAGACCTCCAACAGTATTTGGAGTAGCTAGAGCGAGATTACCAGTGTCCGTATTTATAGGGCAAATGCTTACGACCTTGTCATCGACCGAGACAGCCCCGGCAAAGGAGGCCGTATACGCTCCGTTGCCCGAAGGTAGAATTTCGAACGTTGCAAGATTCCCGCGGTTTGTACCGACGAAGCAGCAAATGCTCGAATAGCCTAGTGAACAGAGTCAGTCCGGTCATGGCGGATATTGGCTGAAGAAAGGGTCCTAAAAAGTTCTGCTTACTTTTCCCTTCTAAAGTTAAAACACCGAACTCAATGCTAGTAGGCCACTCTGAACGAGATTCCTCAGATTGGCGAGAACGTCGGAAACTGCCCCGTTTCGTTGACTTGATGAAGTCAGATATGTGAGTTGTGTAAATGATTGCTGGGCCGCGCAAATCAATGATCGCAAGACTGCCACCTTCAAATCCAGCAGCGACGAACCCAACATCGCTGTTTTTTATTGCGGTCACTGGGCCACTTTGCATCTCCAGAAGGGTAAGTGGAATTAGCCCTTGTTTCAGGCCTGGGTCAGCCCTGTGCAAAATTTTGGTCAACGTCCCGGGTCCGCCGTTCTCTCCCGGAGATTCATCATGACCAAAGCTCCCATTGGTTCCCCATCTAAAGATTACAACCTCCCCTGTGCGAAGGCCAACTGACAATTCACCCGTTGCCCCAGACATTGACATCTCGGTGACTTCAATGTGTCCCGCGCGACCAACGGCTCGGGCTAGATCAACTTGGATTACGTCTGGGTTCTCAATCTCATCGTTATGGCCCGCATCCCAAAGACGTATGGTTCCATCCCCATGCGCAGTACCCACGATGTTCCTGTCCTCAAAACGTTTTGGGAGCTTCTTTGCAGATATACCCCCTTCCAAAAACTTGGGACCCTGCGCTCTCCGTTCTTTCAGACCCAGCCAAGCGCCACGCTCGACTGGTGTCAATGTAACTTTGTTCACAAAAGGGTGGACAAAGGAAAGAGAGACATGGAGCATGTTGGTAGGGCTTATTGGGTAGCCACTGGGAAAGCTCAATGTGGCCAATTCGCCTGATGACAGTAAGGCAAGAACGGCGATTGGATCGTGCGCACCGGCGTAGTAAGGTGAAGAACGCGGAATGAGGCAGAAGTCCACAACATCAGCGCCTGGTGGTGTTTGAAGACATATTTGCTGTTTTGGAACCTCGAAGTATCTTGAGAGCATTTGCCAAGAGGACGTTTGATAGTTCGGAGTTGATCCCCAGTCCAAAAAAGTAAGAGCCTTCTTCCCCATTTTCGCCGAATTGCCACCGGCAATCAATAAACCAGTGTCGTCCGTGTTTGCTTTGACGCACCAAGCAGCCTGTATTATAGGATTTTTAATGTCGGTAGAGCTTAGGGAGCTAGGCCTCTCAGGGCCTGTGCTTAGCTGGTCAACGTTAGCAGCCTCGATGGTCCTAGCCATGATTTTGCGACCATCTTTGCCATCCCATAAAACCAGGCTGGTATCATCATGGACTGTCAATATGAAGATTCCATTCGGATGCCATAATGCCTTTGTGAGTTTCGGTCTGCGTAATTCCGCAGAAGGCGAGGTCGAGTTGCCGCCCAAAGCACCCGGTGGAACTTCGTAGACGAAATATTTCTGTGCTATATTCTGCTTGAAAGAAAATACCACGGCTCCTTCTGGGTATCCTACCACAAGTTTGCCAATATCACGCGGAGAGAAGGCCAGAGAAACAACAGGGGACTGCCGTGCTCGCGGATTGCGTTCGGTCCAAAGATTAGGTATTCTGAATGGCGTTACAGATTCGCGGTCAAGATCGAACGCAATGATATCACCTGCAAAAAAAAAAAAAAAAAAAAAAAACAAAATACAGTCAGCACTCTGAACCCAACGCTAGATCATCCCAACTAGAGCACACCCACCATTCTGCAGGCCAATGAAGGCGTAGTCAAGGCTCGGGTCGGTCGTAAAGGAAGTGACAAAGTTGTGAGGGGCATGAGACAACAACAGTTTATTGGTTTCGAGGGAGAAGATATTGATATCATGCTTGGAGTCAATGCAGACGAGTTTGGAAGCGGAAAATGCCAAAAACCTCGCAGATGTTTTCCGAGGGAAGTTGAGCGTCACACACACCCGTCGCTGTCCAAAAACGTATATCTGACCATTTCCGTATTGCGTATCGCTGGTACCGACAGCCAGGAGCGACTGAACCGGATCGTATGCGATCGCGCTGATCTGAGAATTTATACCATATCGAGCCAACTGCAAAAAGATAACGATTGATTCATTAGCATTCCCACACGAGATCGATAAGGGGGATGAGACTGCCAAGACCTACGCCGTCCAGGATGAACTGGTCCGATGACAGGCCTTCTGACAGGTCGTTTGCGACGCCAGCCTGTTTACCCCTTAAGAAATGGGCCATACTGACGGGATAAACGGTGTTTCTTTAGACAGAGAAGAGATGTGGTTGGAAAAAGAGTGGGAAGGGAGCGGAGACTCAAATGATGGAAGACCGCGGAAGGCGATTCCCAGGTTTTGATAGAAGTCGATAAGGCAGGGCTGAAGAAGACCCCGCATGCACAATTGTTATTTATTTATGGTGCCCAGCACGGTCCAAGGCAACATATCTACGTAAGCCTACATTGGCAACTGGAATCATGTTTGCTGTATTATCAGCCTGGCCACGATCATTTCCACTACAGTCAGACGCTCATATTGCTGTGCCATGAATGGTAATGTACCTTGTAACATATGGCTAGTACCTGGCAATATCCGGTACCTCCGACAGCAATATTAATAATATGGCCAAGACTGGAGAGCCACTTATATACGCACTAACAATTGTCAAGAAAAGCATCGGCCTTATATTCATATAGCTCTATCTGTGTATACTGTTGCCTAGCCAAGATGACAAGCTGCAGAGTTACAGCGCAGGTTCTGTGACAGCCAATTAATGGCTACAATAACAGCATGCATCCGTCTCCTGACACTATATTGCTAAGGACGATATGATCATCAATCACTGTCATTGCGGATAACGCGCGTCGTATTGATATTTGCAAGGCTTCGGCTCGGGAAACGAATCGACAATTCATCAGACATTAACCGTAGCCTTGTTAATATGGCAGACACATTGACCTGACGTATTCCCCGTAATGCAGAACGAATTCATTTTGGCCCGATGTACATTTGGGTATTGGCCATTATGCTTTGGAATCCGAACTTTTCGTCGCTGGAGGCTTCGGAGTAGGATCGTATAGTTCAGCCAAGTTAAACCGTTTCAGTTTATCATAGTCGCTGCCTACAACGCTCATGCCGATGACGTTCTGAATAGGAACGAATATATTAGTTCAATATTATTTGAAACGCTTCTACCTTCCATTGTTCTTTGGGGAGCTGTGAGCTTACCTGAACCACATCGACCAGGATGATCAGGTCATAGTTTTTCAGGTCGACCTTGTGCTCAGGACCAACAGCGCTCGCCACGGTGTTGATGACAATGTCCCTGTTGAATTTATTATTGTTTCTAACAGTGGGCCTAATAGCGTACTGTGGATACAGGTAAGTTAGCGATTATCCCACTGCAGCGTGTCGCGTTTCTTCGCTCAGAAGCAAGCAAGGAAGGAGCATAAAGAAACGTGAAAACAAACCTTCTTTGGCGGTCCACCAGAGTGGAAGTGAGGCTGGAGAATCTCCCTTGCAAAGGCTTCAAAATCAACACTGAGCGTCTTCCGGATCGAGCTGATAGGAGTCATTCGCTTGACCCATCGACTTCGTTTCCTCTCAGGGTTGGCATGTGCTTCAACACACAGGTCATGAACCAGCTTTATTGGATCTATAGATTTATCCAGTCGTATAAATGTCACTGTGAGGGGGGGGGAAAGGCATCAGTCAGAGCCAGCGCGACAAGAGGCGTCTCGACATACCGCATGGAATTTCCATTCTAATAGCTCGAAAGCGCTGAGGTCTCGCGGCATTCGGCTTTAAACCTTCAACTTCTTTCTTAATCTGCGCCTCGATATCATCTTCAGCAGCGTCTGACTCTTGGTCATTCTCATGCTCATCCTCATCATCTGCACCGACACACTAGTAAACGAACCAGGTCAGCTGACATGGATTGCCTGACTTCATGCATAGGATAGGAGTGAACTCTGACCTGGGAGAAGAGATCCAATGCTTCCGCGATGCATTTGCCCTCTTTGCCCATATCGCAGGTCACGAAAATACCCGAATCGCCTGCCTCGATTCCCGCTCTTCCACCAAGCGATTTCCGCCATTTCTCGCCTCCCTGCAGACATGTCAGTAAACACAACAGTGAGCAGCGCAGCATAGCAAGACGAGGCAGTCGAAAAAGCTGGAACTGCAAGCGGAAAACATGGCATTTGCTACCCATCTTTTTCAGAAAGCAATACTGACCTTTCGCCTCTTGGAGGCACGATCGGAGTTGCTATCAGGCATAGTCCTCTTTTCCATGGATACACTCCTTGCATACAGCTAAAATTTCTGCCGCGCTCAGGACTGCATGTACAACGCAGTGGCGCGGCTTCGCAGGTAATCTCCAGTGGAACCTCGTTGTTATTATCATTGGCGAGGGGCGGCTAATCCTACCCCACTAGCACGGTATCCGGAGTTTATTCCAGATACCCCAGTCCCGCATTGTGAAATATCATTCAACTTTCAAGTTGCTGCAATGGACAAAACAAGCATTTGCTGCGCCGATCGATTATTGCGACCGTGCCCTGAAGCGCTCGTGCTTCCAAAGGACTACGACATGCAGGTTGGAATACCACCTAAGCATCTATCTCGAGAGGCCTATTTTTACGCATCAGTTACGGTTTCAGGCGATGAACTCTAAAATATCAATTGAATTGTCTCCCAGGCATCGACTGCCATCTGTGAGAGTCCGCATGCAGGTTTGCGAATCCGTGTCCAATTGAATGTACATTCTAGAGCACTGCACCACTTGGCACAGGCCGAGTAGCCGTGTCTATTCGGCGTACGTTCTAGCCAGATCGATGTGCGCCGTTTTGGCCAAGTTTAAAACAGTATAGGCAGCATGCAAGTATCGTACGGGACAATAAAGCCGCGAGAGATAGATATTCCGTATGCGGGGGATTGGCTGCCAACGGTTGAATTATAATAATGTACGACATCATCATGACGTGGGCAATTCTGCCCCGATTCAACTCCGCCGCAATAGTATTAAGGCACCTTTTCCCCGCCAGCAGTTGTGATAATAATAGCTATAACAAACCTGGAGCCGAGCAAAAAATTTTCTAAAGTTTCTACGAGATCAGACCTTCTCCTACATCGCAGGTGGATTCGAAGACGCTCCCCATAATGGCTACGGACATTGCTACAAGGGAACTCCGTGAACCTATTGACGTCGCTGAATACCTCTTCAGACGGCTACGGGAAGTTGGGATTCGCTCTGTGCATGGAGTTCCTGGTGAGAATTGTCCGGTTGCAAACGGGGCTAAATGCGTCTGCTTACGAGATACCTCCCAGGTGACTACAACCTCGTTGCTCTGGATTACCTCCCCAAGTGCGACCTCCATTGGGTGGGCAACTGCAATGAATTGAATGCTGGTACGTACAACTGTAGGAAGTGCTAATACTGCGAATGGAACGTCTATTCCAGGTCGCTTTTTACAAACAGCGCTGTTGACGGTAACACCCACGCAGGATATGCTGCCGACGGATACGCTCGTGTCAATGGAATCGCTGCCTTGGTTACTACTTTCGGTGTAGGAGAGCTGTCAGCAGTGAACGCCATTGCGGGCGCCTACTCAGAGTATGTACCCATCGTTCACATTGTTGGCCAACCCAATACAAGGTCACAGAGAGATGGAATGCTATTGCATCATACGTTGGGCAACGGCGACTTTGATGTCTTTACCAAGATGAGCGCTTCCATTTCGTGCGCTGTTGCAAAGTTGAACGACCCCCATGAAGCTGCAACGCTCATCGACCACGCTATTCGGGAATGCTGGATTCGCAGCAGACCGGTGTACATCACCCTCCCTACAGACATCGTCACGAAGAAAGTCGAAGGTGAAAGGCTGAAAACCCCAATTGACCTGACACTGCCGGAGAATGAAGCAGAAAGGGAGGATTACGTGGTGGATGTTGTTTTGAAATATCTGCAAGCTGCGAAAAACCCAGTCATTCTAGTTGACGCATGCGCAATTCGTCACAGGGTCCTGGACGAGGTACATGACCTTGTTAAGGCTTCTGGCTTGCCAACCTTTGTGACCCCAATGGGCAAAGGAGCAGTGGATGAGACTCATCCAAATTATGGTGGTGTGTATGCTGGAGATGGGTCTAATACCGGCGTCCGTGAAGTTGTTGAAGCTTCCGACCTTATTCTGAGCATTGGCGCCATTAAATCCGATTTCAATACTGCCGGCTTCACATACCGCATCGGCCAACTGAACACGATCGACTTCCATAGTACCTTCGTGCGAGTGAGGTATTCGGAGTACCCGAACACAAACATGAAGGGTGTTCTAAGGAAGATCATCCAGAAAATGGGCCCCCTCAACAAGACGCCTATTCCAAAGACTGTCAACAAGGTTCCAGAACATATCAAAGCTTCTGGTGACACGCGGATTACTCATGCTTGGTTGTGGCCGACAGTCGGACAGTGGCTGCAGCCGGAGGATGTCATCGTCACTGAGACTGGAACTGCAAACTTTGGAATCTGGGAAACCAGGTTCCCACACGGTGTCACGGCTATAAGCCAAGTCCTCTGGGGAAGCATTGGGTACACGGTTGGAGCATGTCAAGGCGCCGCACTGGCCGCAAAGGAGATAGGCAACCGTCGCACCATACTTTTCGTTGGCGATGGCAGTTTCCAGCTTACTGCGCAGGAAGTGAGCACCATGCTCAGAAATAAGCTGAACCCGATCATGTAAGTCTACTCCATGAATCTGTGGATATCTCCGTGTCGGGATTGCATCTGATATCATGGGGGATGATAGTTTTGTGATATGTAACGAAGGGTATACGATCGAAAGGTACATCCACGGATGGGAGGCAACCTATAACGACATCCAGGAATGGAAATTCACAAACATTCCCGACACCTTCGGAGGGACAGACTATAAGACATATAAAGTGAAGACCAGAGACGAACTAACAAAGCTTTTTGCGAACAAAGAATTCTCTTCAGCCCCATGCCTGCAAGTAAGTTTCAAGCCACGGGGAATCTTCTCTTCTGCGCGATTTGCTGATATTTCATCGTAGTTGGTCGAACTGCATATGCCTCGTGAGGATGCTCCCGCGCCGTTGAGGATGACTGCGGAGGCGGCAGCCAGGACGAATAGCAGGGTCTAAACCCGCCTTCATTGCCAGTGTGCATTGATATGAGCTTGCTCCTTTCAGTATGAACCATTTATCTAAGTGCTGACTTTCGCTTTCTCCGTACGGATCTTCGAAATTCGGCGTAGATGATTTCTAAGTCCTGATCTTCAACTTCATTCTGAAATACCTGTACAAGCCCATCGTCGTTAAATAATGATCCAAATATGAGCTGTTAGAGACAAATTTCGTTTTATCCTCTGCGAACGTATACCCGTTGTGTATCTGCAAGTGCCTGTAACTAGCGTATTCCAGAAACATACACACGCTCTTCAATCAACACAATTGTGCGACTGCAGAGTAGCCCTCGCATAAATCTCCTTTGCCGCAAGGGAATTAGATTAATTGAGGACTGAGGGTACGACATGAGAATAATAAATTATGATACTCGGCAGCCATTCAAGGTTTATCCTCCGACAAGTTGCACGGGCGCGCCACGTGACCTTCTCCGGCCAACGCATCAAAGCTCCTCAGGCCGAAACCGTTAGACCTGATTACCATCCGCGATTGCAAGCAGCTGAAAAGTTCCTCTTCAAAAAACCCCCCTTTGGTGCTTTTGCTATCTGAGCCTGACTGCTGTCTTCGTCTTGCTTGACGGTCCTATTTCGGTGGCCATCTCCTACTGTCTGGTAAATTGATTTCTATATCTATTCCCCTCAATTTTCCCCGCAAAACCAAAGTTCCCCCGGCATCTCCTGATCAGGCACTGCGAAGCTGTTAAGGCGAACATTGCAATTCATACTAATTATGGAATTTTGAGCCTTCTAGGTGTGCTTTTTTTTCAGTAGCGATCTCGCTCATCTAGAATTTGATTCTCGGGCTTGTTAGCCCGCCGACTGGCCCGGAGAACAGAAACCACTGTCTTCATACCGACAGTTATAACTATTATCCCGGTGTTCCTTTGACCATCCTTCCTTGTGCGAAGGCATCTTGGGTATCCGGATCACGGCGCCATTCTTCGGCGCGCGACCATGTCCAGCTATCGCTCTCTACCGTCGGCATAATTTCAGGGTCCAAACAGCAGCGCAGTTGAAGTGGGCGAAGTGACTCTGTCTTCCGAAGAGTACATCGGTATTCGGAGACGAGTAGGCGTCCTTTTTGATATGTTCGACGATGCGGTGATTGTTGAGATATCTCGGAACCTGGAGACTTACACGTTCAGGGTCTGGGACAGAACTTAAACTACGCCCTAAATCTCCGAGAGTTCAAATATTTCTGGAAAGGAAGGTCGGTACTTTGCTGAATAGCCTGTCATCCCTGGGTGTTCAGCAATGATGGAGGGCCAGCGACACCAATATATTCCGGCCGCCTCGCTACCAGTGGGCTTACCACCTCCTCCCCCTCGACACCCTCCGACGCAACCTCAAAGTATGGTCCCTCCTCCGCCTCCGGGGCCGCCTCCTGGAACGGGATATGGGTTCTCATCACAGCAGAGCTGGGACAGACACCCATTGTCTCAGGGCCTTCCCCCACCGCCGCCTCTACCTCCTTCCTTGGCTGCGGCGAATCAAAACCAACATTTGACGTATAATCGTCAATCAACCCCTCTATCTGTACCCTTAATACCCCCCTCGAGTGAGAGTCATCCTTTGACTGCTGCAACCTATATCCCTGGACCCGATACTTTTGGGGTTGGTATCCCTCCATTGGATTCCCACCGGCATTCCACGTACGATAACGCCAATCAGTCATACGTGCAGAGTAATGCAAACCAGTCTACACACAGAAAAGAAGCGGCGATTCCACCTCAGTCAGCTCGCTACGTCTCTGCGCCCCTCATCCTGCACGATGACGTTCATGAACTGGTCTCGTCTAGCCTACCAACGACAATTCCACAAAACGCCCAGACTCATGCTGCGGGCCGAGGTCCTGATTCGTCTGAGCTATATCCTCACAATTCTACGCTGGGTGGTGTGTCGCCAAATGAGGCGGCTGCTATATGGCCACTTGATCGGGTATTGTTATGGCTTGCTCAGAACGGATTTTCAAATGACTGGCAGGAGACATTCAAGTCTTTGGAGCTTCAGGGAGCAGATTTCTTGGAACTGGGTCATGGCTCAAACGGTAGACCGAACTACGGCAAATTACATAAAGTTGTATACCCTCAACTGGCCAAAGAGTGTGAGAAGAGTGGAACAGGGTGGGACCAAGCTCGTGAGCGAGAGGAAGGAAAGCGCTTGCGTAGGCTGATCCGTCGGATTCATGATGATGGCAATCTAGATTCTGGAATTCCCATTCCAAGACGACAAGAACATCAACAACCACAATCCGCAAGCGTACCCTCTGATGCTGGGTCTGAGATATCCCCAATCCATGTTCATGAGCCGGTCTCTGCTCATCCGGGTTTTGGAACTGCTGAGAACAGTCCCGGACAAACCTCCGGTCTCCAGGCATTACATGCCGGTTATCAGCGACAGAGTGCCGGGCAAATGCGTTCTGTAACTTTGCCTATTTCGACTAGTCGCGAGTCATCAGCACTTGAGCCCAAAGTTTCAGAAGCAACCCCATGGACCCGACTAGGCGCCACACGAACGGCATCGGCTTCCATCGGGTCTGATCATCAAAGGCAAAGCCTTTCACTATCCAGTGACGGTGGTGGTCTCCCAGCTATTCCCTTTCGACCGCATGAGGATAGTCCTCAGAGTGGCAGCCCTGCGGCACAGCATGCTTCACTGGCCTTTTCGGGAACGACTGCCTCATCTATTGGGGACCCATTCTCCAGATATGAACACTCTCGAGGCAACAGCTCGGATTCAATCAACGGTGGGAGCCGAGTCGCCCCTTCCGCAGGTAGCCGTTATTACGAAAGTCGCAAACAAGGGCAGACATCTGCTCGTCCGTCACCACAAGAGCCGGGTCCCCGTCAGTTCGGCAATGAAAACTATTCTTCTTACTCAAAGGAGCCGAGCAAGGGGTTTCTCACAAGCTTTTTCAAGCGTAAGCCTCCCAAAGGCAGTGATTCAGGACATCCATCACCAGACGAGCATGGATCAGAATCTCCTACCAGCCCAATGTACATACGCCAACAGAATGGCTCTTATCTTCCATTCACCAAATCCGATTACAATGCTAGCGATACGTCGTTAGCGGATCGCCTACCTACAGCGCCATCATCGGAAAGTGCTTCGACACGGGCAAAATCAGGTCAAAAGACGAAGAAGTGGATATTTGTGACATCGGATCTTTTGAACTACCGTCTAGTAGATATAACGGACATAGACACTGTCGATACGCTGCGCACTGTAATTTGCTCGAAACTGGGGATCTTTGACTGGCCTAGTGCTCAAATTTTCTTGACGGAACCTGGACAGACAGAGCACGAGGAGCCCATGAATGATACTGCGCTGTGGGTTTGTCAAGGAAGAAAGGCAGATCCTGTGGCCTCCCTAAAATTCTACGTGCGTGGGCCGCAAATTAGCATCGGCAACCCTCCACAAATTGTACATGGCCTTGGTATCCCGATCCCTGAGAAGAATGCCGTGTCTCCAACGACTGGACAGCAGGTACACAGAAAACCTCTTGACGACGAAGCTATCAGTAGGATTTCACAGCAAAACCAGAACCCATCACCATCCTCGCCACTGAGTTCTCGACAGCCGGCGTCTTCTGTACATCCAACTGAGCGTGGTGAATCACAACTCCAGACCGGAGGGTCGGCGGGAGATGGAACTCCAGAACCTGCCCAGCTTTTGGGCTCAGACAAGGCAGACTTACTTGCCCGCTATGAAGAACATCAACGGGAGGTTGAGAGAAAACAAAAGGCATACCGTATTTCCAAGCTGCCACCTGTACAACCAAGAAAGGATATGTACGGTGAAACTGGATACCGACGTGAAGGAGTAATAGACTTTGATACTCCACGCATTTCTCCTTACGATAACAGCGAGAAGAAAAATGAGACACTTATTCCTCGGCGCAAGCCCCCATTCCCACCCCCTGAATCCAGCACCCTTACCAAGGTCAATTCCCTGAGCAAGAGAAATGTGGATCGCGTGCATCCACCGGCACCTAACCAGAGCCGTGGCCTTGCGGCGGCTATTGCAAGCGTGGGCAAAATGTCAAGCTCCATTGGGACACCTTCGCCTTCGGCGCCTCCAGTGCCAGTCCCTCAGGCTTTGGCCCCAGGTGTCGATGGCTTGAATGCAGATTCTGCCTCGGTTTACCCTGCCCAGAGAAGCCCAGGTATTTTTTTTTTTTTTTCGTGGAGATATTCTATTCCCCCTATTTCACCTATTTGCTGACAATTTGTAATAGACGATAAAAGAGTCATTGCGAAACCCGTCGCAGAACAGAATGCAAACGTATCAACTCGCAATGCTGAGCAACCTCCTCCGGCAGATTCCTCTGTCCAGGAACGCCCACAATTGCAGTCTCGCAAGTCATATGGACCCGAGTTTGACTTCGAAGAGGCGAAAGTTTCCTTCGAAAGCTCACCACAGCCACAAGAAGAGTCTGACGAAGAGTCCGATGATGGTCTTTTTGCAATACCATTGACAACTAGCAAAAAACAGGATAAAGCACAAAAGGCCGCCCCTTCAACCCCGAGTGTCAGTAAAGAGCCCAAGAAACCGACCCTTAAATTAGAGACGGATAAAAGGAAAAGCAAGGCTTCAGTGGCCTTCAAGTCACCGACTATTGGAACATTCATGCATAGCCCTAATGAGCCAGGAGACGTCAAAGAGAGCTTTTATTCACCTAGTTCACCCCAGCCCGAGGGACTCTCAAGAAGGCGTTCATTCGCTGGTGGTGATGTGTGGGCAGACAGACCTCCAGTGGAAGGAGTCATCGAGAACCTGGATGAATTCTTCCCTGATATTGACCTGGATGCACCGTATCTAGAAGGTAATCCAGCCTCTCCTCCCCCGTCCCCTGCGGCCAAAGGTCCTTCTGGAAGCGATCCGAATTTGAAGGGAAGAGATGACCCTCCCCCTTATACTGCGCTGCCTGGTGGTAGTGGCTCGGACACTCTCGGTTCGGATGAATCTACCCTGAGACCAGGAGATACCAATGTAGTGGCCCGGCGTAACGTGGGCCGCTCCGGTGGACTTACCCGAATGAAGTCAATTCGAGAGGTTGCGAAGGGCGCCAATCAAACCCACAGAAATCGAAGTATCCATACATCCGGAAACCAAAAATCTGGCGATATTCTGCGTCGCAAGAGTACGAAGATGTTTGGAGCAAGAATCATGCAAATCAGCCCGAAGCCCGGCAAACGGCTGGATTACCTTGAGCCTCTTCCACAAAATAATTCATCCCAAGGAAGTCAACTACAGAGACAGCCAACTTTCCGTATTATTCGCGGTCAGCTTATTGGTAAGGGAACATATGGTAGGGTCTATCTGGGCATGAATGCGGACAATGGTGAAGTCTTAGCTGTTAAGCAAGTGGAGATCAATCCGAGACTCGTTGGACAAGATACAGACCGAGTCAAAGAGATGGTTGCTGCTATGGACCACGAAATAGATACAATGCAGCATCTCGAACACCCCAACATTGTGCAATATCTGGGATGTGAGCGAGGCGAATTTTCCATTTCTATCTACCTCGAATATATCTCTGGTGGCTCTATTGGTAGCTGCCTCCGCAAACATGGCAAGTTCGAGGAGAGTGTCGTGAAGTCTCTCACGCGTCAAACCTTGAGCGGGCTGGCGTATCTGCATGATAAAGGTATCCTGCATCGTGATATGAAAGCGGATAATATCCTTCTTGATCTTGATGGAACCTGCAAGATCTCGGATTTCGGCATTTCGAAGAAATCCGACAATATCTACGGGAATGATTCGTCGAATTCAATGCAAGGGTCGGTTTTCTGGATGGCCCCCGAGGTTATCCAATCTCAAGGACAGGGATACAGCGCCAAAGTTGACATTTGGTCTCTCGGGTGCGTGGTACTAGAGATGTTTGCTGGCCGTCGCCCATGGAGCAAGGAAGAAGCCATCGGCGCCATATTCAAACTTGGAAGCCTGAACCAAGCTCCTCCGATCCCAGATGACGTCTCCATGAACATCAGCCCTGAAGCGCTCGCTTTCATGTATGATTGCTTCACGATGTGCGTATATTCCTCTTTTCCTTCCATGTTACTAGCAGTTCTTGATACTAACAAGTCCTTTCAGAGACACATACGAGCGTCCAACCGCGGAGACACTTCTCACGCAACACCCGTTCTGTATACCCGATCCGAGTTATAATTTCCTCGATACGGAACTTTACGCCAAAATCAGACATGTTCTCTGAAAGGAAATGAACACTCTTCTGTTGGAATTTTTGAATGGAAAAAAGGGGAGGTGTCATTTAATTCAGCCTGTCTTCTTCCTCTCTCTCTCTCTTTTTAAGCGCAGTGCATGTACCCTCTGGAGGGTTTGTTTGGCATTAAGCCTATACCCTATGCTTTTAATGATGTATGCAATGGTTTACTCCGTACAGCTACTATTAATACAAAGTATAAGAGAGTTTGATATCATTTCCAGTAGAGGCCTTCTGATTTACAGCTATTTACATGATCTGTTGACATTGAATTAACGACACCAACCTAGGACTTCAGAACCACCGGATTCTGCGTCCGGGGTTTGCTCGTTTTCCCCTTCACGTCGTTCCCTGCAGCATTCGCCGCAAACCTCTCCCTAGCCAGATCAATCCGTGACTTTGGTCGTTGACCCACATTACCGCTATTGTTGGTATTATTGTTTAAGTCCCTATCATTACTAGGCAGCTGATTAAGGCCCTTCGCTCTCGCAGCCCACTCCCCACGTCGTCTCTTGTAGAGATCCATAGACCAATTCCTCCACACGGCTCTGCCGACGAAAGAATCTCGAAGGGTCAGCTCGTCCTGGACGAGTTCTTGAGCCATTCTCTCTTTCACGAAGAAGATATCCTTTGTTGCGGGCCATAATGCGTCGACGACGTGGGAGCCACTAGAGTCCAGTGCGAGTTCCTTCAGATGACCTAGGAAGCGAGAGGTAAATTGACGCCGGAATTGGAGGGTTGAGGTCGGCAGTGTCAAGGCTTGCTGCAGGACGTGGGATGCGGTGGGATCCTTGGAGATTGAGAGCAGGGAGTCCACGGGTTGAGCGAGAAGACTTGTGAAAATGAGCTCGCTGATTGGGCCCGGGACCGTGAGCATTGTTTGGACGAGTAGAGAGGCATGAAGTTTTTCGGCGTTGTTTGAGGATGGCTTGGTGGAGGTTTGCTGATCGCCCTGTTCGGGACTTTCTTTTTCTTTGTCCATGGATCGGCTGTTGTCGAGTTTCAGCATCTGAGCCAGTCGCTTAGCCGGGTCTTTGTCGTGAGCAGCCTCCAATGCCTTGGCTAAGGGACGTGTGTCGACATCACGGACCATGCAGCGTTCGATGAGCACCTTGGGGATGATTAATCTTGATCGCTCGACAAGGGAAGGGAGTTCGGGGAGAATGAGTTCCATGGCATTCTGAAGGTCATCCTTTCCAAGTCTCTCCAAGACTCGGACAACGACGTAGCCAGCAGTTAGATTCCGCGCAAAGGATCTGATATTGCCGTGAATGAAGTTTTTGTAGAGATTCTTGAACAGCTTCCCCGGGCACCATCGTACAATGGTTTCCAGCAAGTGCGAGCCGACTGGGTCGTAGAACAAGCCTCGAACGAAGATTGCGCTGCTGGACCCTTCTTCTAAAGAGTCGTCGGGCAATAGCCTCTTTGTGATTGAATTCGACTCCTTCGCGCTAGATTTGCCGAAGTGGTGAAGCTCCAGATAGAGAAGTACCTGCAAAACGGGATTGCCAACTGGATGAGTGGCCAATGCCCGAAGATACGTATCATCCAGCACGCAAACCATATCCTTAATAATCTTTTTCAAAGTGGCCTCAAACGACTGAGGTACATCTCTTTTTTGTGTGATAGCATTCTCACTCTGAGCCTCCAAATCTGGAAGACCCAATTTTTCCTTCTTTCTACTCGCGACCACCGAGTCTGCGGACGACAAGTCAACTGGTTCCCCTGCAAGGACAAGCAGAAGAACCCGAATAGTGTGCGATGCAAACCGTTCTGTCAACAAGTAGCCCCAATTCTCTTGAAGTTCCTCTACAACCTTGATGAACATTTCCTCGAGGGACAGCTCCGGCTCTGGTTCCGCTTCTTCTTCTTCATAACCATCCGATTGTGGTTTCTTCTTCCCTTTCGACTTTGATGTTTTCTGGTTTACCAGAGGCGCCGCATGAATAAACAACGTCTCACAACAATGGCTGGCAAACCGATGCTGCACAAGATGCAGGAAATGACCGATGAATTTGTCGAATAGCCTTCGAATCTGGTGAACATTGGACATGGAGATCAACTTCTCCATCAACCTTGAGCATGACTGACTACATGCAATTTTCAGCTCCTTGCCACTCGCCTCCTTATACACGCTGTCGACAAATAGCCGCCTCTCTTCGACGTCACCGAACTGGTTTAATTCCAGCAACTCGTTGGCTCGCGAGAAGTATTCCTGCTCTTCGGTGTCGAGGAGTCCGTAGAAGGGTGTGTCTGTCGACTGCTCATTTCTATTATCATTAATGTCGCCTTCTCCCGCGTCTAGAGGGATGTAGTCTGCATTTTCATTGAAATCGTTGGTCTCATCTGTCGAGTACTTCTGGCGTTTCGCAGCGGGGGCTTCTGTGCCTTCGTCTCGTTTTCGTTTGGCTTCTTCCTTTTTGGCTTTGTCCTCCGCTCGACGGCCCCTTTTCTGCTTTTCACGAGGCATTGCGATGGCAGATTCTAGGTAGTGTGGAGAATATCCGCGTTTTTTAGAATCTTGTCAGTATTCTTCCAAATTTGTTTTTAATTTTCTCCAGAAATTTTGCGATAAGCAACGGTCCGAGCAATCTCCGGTTGTAGAATATTTGCACTGTTTGCATATGTGTGCATTTCCGAATTCGGAATAGAGCTTCATTATTATCCTAGCAATAACATCTGTAAAGAGGAAGGGAATAGGGTGCTTTTAATAATCCCAAACTTTTGTTAACAGAGAAAGGAATTCATAATACATCAAAAGAAGTGGGAAAGAAAAATCATCTAGAAGATAGATTACAAGGCCGAATAGATCGCGGACACTCCTTTTCCACATTCCACACGCTGCTCTATACTCACTTTACGGCCATTCACCTTACAAGTATGACGAGGAGTTATCTGCAAGCGCGCCTCCGGCTTGTTGTCCTTTGCTGCGAGGTCCGATGGCACGTTGATGTATGTCGGCTTGGGAAGATTGTTTTTCTTGCCAGTGCCTAGCTGGAAGGATTCATTTCCTCCCCACCAGACTGCATCCAAGCCAGGACTGTTTGCGCTATCTGATGAAGTATCGGTAGCTTTAATGGAGGAGGCATTGTCTAGGACAGCAGAAGCATGAGTCGTGCCGACGGATATTTCACGTAGACGGATCGGAGTTAGCTTCTTCGCACGCTCGTCAAATTCGACCAGGCCACTTAAAGCCTTCACTTTTGTTGGATCATCTTGCAAGTGAGCCCATCTGCCGTTGCCGAGAATCCCCGTAATTCCTTTCCCGCAAGCCCACGTATCAGCCGTTATACGAGCCTGGTTCTGCAGAGAACTGTCACTTGCACCCGAAATGGGTTTTGCGTCCACTGTAAGGAAGCTGCTCAAGCCACCAGCTGCAATTAGAGTTGCTGTTGTCTGCCATTCTTTGCTTCGATAAAGCCGCCCTAGAAGTAATTCGGTCGGGGTATCTTTGTATGACGATTGGGCATCGAAGCCCGTTCCCAATTGCCCGAAAGAGTTGTCACCGAAGGAGAATATGCGACCATCACTGCTGAGTGCCATAGAGTGATAATCACCGGAAGCAACTTGAGTTATCTTGGAGTTCTTGAGCGCTGTGATCTCATGACAAGCGTCGGCGGGACCCTTAGGCCGAGTTTTCCAGGTAAGGCCTGGAATACCAAGCTGGCCACGAGACGGGAAACTCTCTGTTGAAGATGCCGCAGAGAAGACTCGGCCATAGTTAGTCAATAATAGAACGTGTTCCAAGCCACCACTGAGAGAGGTAACCTTCTCGCCCAGCTTTAAGGCTGGCTTAAGAAGACGGTAGCTTATGTTTGCGGTCCCTGACCAGAAAGGAACCCAAGAAGTTTCCCGGGATTTGCGGCCAGACTGTTGCTCACTCTTGGAGATTGGAAGTGAATAGACACTCCCATCAGAAGCCAGGGCAATTATCCGATCCTGAGACATGCAAAGTGAGGCCAAGCCCTTGCCAGTTAAGGTCTTCGTAGGCTTAAAATCGGTTTCCGAGAACCCTTTACCCCACTGAACTAAATCGCCTTTCTCAGTGATTGCTGCGCCAGACTTCTCGCCAAGTTTAAGATCTCTTAGCAGTTGGCCTTCAAAGTAGGAGAACTCCCGTGGTCTCTTGACAATAGGTTCAGTTGATTCCGGATCAACGACGCCATACGCGTTTGATCCCCACAAATAGACACCGGGACTTCCCAAGCTTCTCTTTTCCACAACATATTGAGAACCCAGGTCTTCGATGCTGATTGTGTTTATACTTTTCGCCTTCGGTTCCGTAGGAGTAGCCGCCTGCTTGCTGTAATTTGTCGCAAAAGTGTAGGTCACGAATGCTGCACCTGCCGTTCCCGCCAACCCAATGGACTTGCGCAGCCAGTGGGAAGAAGAAGGGCGTTGTTTTAACGACTGTCTGCTACCCTTGCTCGAATAACACCGCCATTGGGGAACGGGAGGACGAACACTAGCAACACGAAAAGGGTAAGTGACGGTATTAGTCACTGGCCGCTTCACCCTAGTCGCGAGCATGGCGTCACTGATCGATGAGTCCTTGAAAAGCGTTAAATCCCAGGCTGGGCCGCTGAGACCATGCCGAACGACAATAAAAGAGAGCTTGAGCTTCTTGGAGCTCGAGGACGCATAAGCGCAGGCGGAGGGCGGCGGCAGAATAGCGCATCCCTAACGGCCACGAGTGTCATCAAGGAGAGCTCGATCTGGGGTTCCAGGAGCTCTCACCCTTTTGTCGCTCGTTTTCTTGATATATAGCCTTGATGAATCCAGTATCCCCAAGTTGATCCTTCTCGCAAACGTCGTATTAGGTGCCCATTATTTACACAATGCCTCGGCGAGGGCGGCGAGCGCGAGGACAGTCCGAAGCGTCCAGTCTTCTCCCCGGTTTCAAAAGCAAGAAGATTGTCGAGGAATTTGGAACAGCTGCAAGAAAGCCAAATTCCATTGTTGATATTCACAATGAACTCGAATTTTCTCAGTGGTACAACGAAGTGGGAGATAGCCTGCTCGAAACCAGCTACGATGAATACCAGTGAGTGCGCTAGTAGTCTCCATGGCTCATTCGTGTTCCATCGGACCATAACCTGACTGACTTCCCTGGCTGTTTTTAGGTCCTGTCTCGATGAGCTTCAAGTATCAAAGACCCACCTTGATTCGCTTCTGTCCGACACCACTTCCACCCTCGACCTTTTGACCAGTTTATCCGAATCCTTCAAAGCCGTTGAATTGCAGACATCTAATTTCCAGAAACAATGCGAGGGCCTCCTGTCAGCCCAGAAACGCGATTCGGATTTTGCAGATGCTATTCAGTACAATCTGCAGTATTACGACTTCCTAGACCCTGCCTCGAAGAAACTCAACGCCCCTCGTGCCGGAAATTCTGTCCGTGACAGGGAGTTCTCGGATATGCTACGGCGCCTGGATGAATGTCTGGATTATATGGAAACACATGTCAGGGCGGTCTCTTGTCTTAATTTTATCATCTCAACTAATGATTTGTCCAGACCGAACAAAAGGAAGCTGAGGTTTATCGCTCCCGGTACAGACTTCTTTTGACTCGAGCCCTGACACTCATCCGCGGACATTTTGTGACAGCGCTGAGAGATATTTATCATGACGTCTCGAAACGAATTGCAGACCAACAACTTAATGACACCACAATGTCCGCTCTCTTGTATGCCAAGTTCCGAGTCGGGGCCCCCGAGTTGAAACAAATTGGCCTCGAGATTCAAAAACGGGCAGTGCCCCCATTGGATCCTGAACAAGGGAATGAAGCAGAATACCAGAGCCTTCTTAACGAACTACATACGAATTTTGCTGCTGTTCGAGGGAAACTGATTGTCCCTTTGGTTCATAAGAAGCTCAATGAGATCGCTCTTGCGCCGAGCTCGTCCAAAGATCTAGTCACTTTTGCTCGTGCCAGCATTAGCTACGTCCGCGGAATTTGTCTGGATGAGTTCGATCTTTGGGGTGAATGGTTTCATGGCCAGGGAGGTTTGTATGACTTCCTAGAGACGATCTGCGAGCCTTTATACGACCATCTTCGACCTAGAATAATCCACGAAGACAAAATTGTCAGGCTTTGTCAACTGTGTACCCTCCTGCAAACCCGCTATCTACTCGACCCAGATGAGGAGTTGGAGAATATAGATATGACCCAACTTGACTTTCCCGTTCTGATTCAACCTGCTCTGGAAGATGCCCAAACCCGGCTGGTCTTCCGCGCACAAGCATTCCTGCGTGATGAAATCGAGCGTTACAAACCTCGGCCTGAAGATCTTGACTATCCAGTACGCGTCAGAGGGGCTTCTGTGTCAGCAACGGATGGCCAGATCTCTGGCAAGAAAGTCTTATCTGCTGACATGTTGGTGGGTCTGCCTCAATCTACCAAGACAGAAGATAATACAGATTCGGCATTTGAACAAGATGCCAAGTGGGACTTAGAAATGCAAGCTGGTTGCTATCCAACCTTACGGAAGGCCATTTGGCTACTCAGCAGAATATATCGACTTGTGAATGTATGAACAAAGGCCCCATCCATTAGAATTTTTTTCAAACTCAGGCTAACTCTGTGAAACAAGTCTACTGTATTTGATGACCTGGCTCACCAAATCGTACACCAAACGAACCTATCTCTTCACCAAGCGAGCATTCTAATTACCAACAAAACAACTCCTTTTGACGGACAGCTATTTCTACTGAGCCATTTACTTCTCTTGAAACAACAGATCGTTGCCTTTGACATAGAATACGTGACACCAGAGGTATCCTTTGACTTTTCAGGAATTACAAACACCTTCTGGGAACTTCGGGAAAGAGGTGGTCTGTTTAATCCACGCAACCTTATGCGTCTGGTTGGTCACGGTTTACTCCCGCGAGTGGTGGAGAACATGCTGGACGCCAAGGCAGAGCTTGACGGGAGGCTGAGAACTGTGATCAATGATTTCATCAATGGATTTGCGACCAAAATGACGGCATCTCTACCGTCAAGATTTGTTGACAAACGAAACTTACAGCGTGGGGAAGTGATGGTCCCTACCTGTCGAAACATTGAGAAGGAGGTCCCGAACCTACGACGCGTCCTGGATGACTACCTAGATGATCCTCGGATGAAGGAGACCCTGGTCGGAGCCGTGCAGGATCGGGTCATCCAGATCTACGAAGATTTCTTCGAGGTATACCGGTCCGCAGAGAAAACGAAGGGGAACCCCGTGAGCAAGAAGGGCAAGGGCCGTGAAGACACGGTCTGGGATGTCGACACTTTTGCCGAATGGTGCGATGAAATCTTCATGGTTGGGTCGACGGCCGTGGAAGCCTCGGACGACGATCATAGCAGAAGCGGGAGTGTTAGCCACAGTTTTGTTTCATGATATGTTATGATTTTTATGATACCAAAGCTATTTCTTGAATGTGGATACAATTCCCTGAGACCTGATAATAGTATCGACTGACGTGGCACGACGGGACGACCCGGCGTGCGCTAATTCCTCCGTAGCGTTGCATCCGGTGCAGCTAAATATGTGATGGAACGTGCATAGCTTCCTGTTTCCAGTTGGACTCGCAAATCATTGCCGTTGCTAATAGTCAGTACTTCAAGGACTATGTGAGTTCAAAAGTACCATGCAGTTCAAGAGGGGTTTAAAGTCGCATTCCCGTTTTTATAAGGATCTCCAAAAATCCCTTCTCCCTTCATCATTTGTCCCTCGTCCACATTGATCGCTTGGGCAAGATGGCTGAGACTACTGCCAATACGCGTACTGACATCCTTGCTGAGGATGCTCCTCTGGATGTTGATGTGAGAATTCCAGAATGACCATTACCTCTCCCATAATACTAAACTGGTTGACCTACAGGAGAACAATGACAGTGATTCCACTTATGCTGGCTCGTGCGTGTCCTCTCGCTCATCCATTGCTTGTTGCTGACTACCATTTACGCTATATAGGGTAGGCGACGCGAGTTACACAAGCTCAATAACATCGAGTATCCTCAATTACAAGTACGTGACTATCTTAGTGCTACTGAAGAATGTTGGGGTTAATTTGTCACCACTATCCAGATATGAGAATGGCCGTCGATACCACGCATTCCACGAAGGCGAATATATTTTGGTAAATGGGCTCCTTGAGAACGTGATCTTTTCTTTATTCGTGTTCAATGGCTAACCCATTACAAAGCCGAATGATGAGCGAGAACAGGATCGACTGGATTTGGTATGTACTTCAAGGGTTGCATACTCCAGAGCACAGGGTTGACGACAGATACTGAACAGAGCCATCATATTTATCGCCTGCTCCTTGGTGGTGACCTACACCTTGCTCCTATCAAGGATCCCAAGAGGGTATTAGATATTGGAACTGGTACCGGTATTTGGGCTATTGATTTCGCGGAGTAAGCCTACTTTTTGTTGGTCGTGTTGATTCTGCTTGTCTAGTTGCTAACCATGTATGCACAGTGAACATCCTGATGCAGAAGTCATTGGTAATAACTGTTTCCCTTGCATATAAGTTTGAATGCAATCGACGTTGCATAGGAAATGACTTGAGTGCTATCCAACCATCCTGGTACTTCCCATGTGTCTTTCTGTGTTTGAGCTCGGCTTTCTAACGGGGCACAGGCTACCATCAAACTGCCGGTTTGAAATCGATGACTTCGAACAGCCTTGGGAATATTCTCGTCCATTTGATTATATCCATGGCCGGGAACTAGAAGGATTCGTCCGAGACTACGATAAACTCTTCCAGCAGGCATTGAAGAATCTGAAACCTGGTGGCTATTTTGAGATTGCATCAATAGAAGTAACCACCCTCTCAGATGATGGCACACACCTGAATGCCAAAAACTGTCTGGAAGGCTTCAGGCTTGCATATGAAGCTTCTAAAACGTTTGGGAAATCAATGAGAACTGTATCAACATGGAAAGAGAAAATGATTAAGGCTGGATTTGAGGATGTCCATGAGAAAGTTTTCAAGGTAACCAACCTCCTTCAATTCCCTGTTCTTCTTTTTTTTTTTTTTTTTTTTTTTTTTTTTTTTTTCGGACGTCTCTTGCATGACACTATCTACAATTAAGCTAAGAGGTCATATAGCTCCCCCAGAGCCCTTGGCCCAAGGACCCAAGGCTGAAAGAATTGGGTCGCTACCATCAAGTCAACGTGCTGGAGGGCCTGGGGCCATACACTTACGCTCTCTATACTCGTGTTCTGGGCTGGGAAAGGTCACAAATCGAAGTGTTCCTTGCAGCTATACGGAATGAGATCAAAGACTTGTCACATCATTTATATACGAGAGTTTGGATTATATATGGACGGAAACCGACGGAATCATCTTAGCCATGGGTCTTTTTCAACTCATTGGCTTGTCTTGTCGAATCACATATGTACTTTTTTTTATCCACGTTGAAGGCACTAGCACTAGGGCTTTTGACCGCGTCATTGTTTCAGTTTCTCTCCCACAAAATAAAGCCCGGTATTTGCCCAGTTTGCTGTATGATCAATTGTGTCAACTCATCTCCATACAACCATGGGCAAAAAAATTTTTGCAAGCTATTCAGGGACCCTGCTTGTAGCTGATGAGCTACGTCATTGCACAGCAACCCTTGAGGTCATTCTGTGGAGTTTGCCCTGTGCAACAGCCATTGTCTCCTTTTCTTCTAGGTCTGGGGAGCAATATTCTAGGCTCTCAGGAACAGACTGGCTCTTAAGAAGGTTCCCAGGCCTTCTAGACAGTGATGCTAATCGAGACATCAGCAGCACTTTGGATCCAATGCTACGATGGCCGCCGCTTTCAAATAATTGGCATTTCTAGCGACATCTGGCGCCAATTGAATCTCAAATCCTCACTGAGTATGTGAAGGGTTTCCAGAATCTCCCGGTAATTTATAGGGAGTTTGACCTAGACTACTACAGAGCAGCCGCTTGGCTGACCAGAGAGTGGATTGACAAACCAGCCGATGATGATTGCCTTGCGTCTTTCAACTTCAAGTGCTCCAAACGCTGCTACAGTAATGTAAACTGTAGAAATCCTGAGAACTCATCTTGATAATATTGTTGCTCCGCCACTCAAGAAGCTCAAGTAGTGTGGTTATCTGAATAGATCAGTGAAAGAGGGGTGACTGAATGAAAAACCAGTGTAATTTTATTAACAAAGTACTGATTGATAGATATCTTGTATACCCTTGCGAGCCACCTATTCCAGCAGGTCTGGTCAGTCTCTGTTTTCCACTGGAAATGATCATCTTTTACTCATACCATGTAATCAAATGCTGACAGTAAAGGCACCTGACAAAAGGTATGTTGCTTCCCTTGTTGATGGAATTTTCTTCTCTTTAATAGCAGAGGTAGGTAAGAAGACGTAGCTGGTGGTGAAACGGAGAAATATCGGCGGCTCCAGCTGTGCAATCGCAGTGATCTTGGAGCAGGGTTTTGAGACCCTGTTATCTATTCTGAGAGATCCAAGCAGGGGCCAACATGTCCGTCATCGAGAGGCATTGGGACTGGGTTAATTGGACATGACACCATGTTTTGTTTCGATAATTCCCCAGCACCAGCAGAAGCCAAGCACCTGGGACCAAGCGATCTTACACGGTTGAAGCAGGCCATTGGAGGGCCGGGTTCAGGGAGGGAAAGGAGCCACAGAGAGTGCTGGATACCCTGCTACAAGATCCTACAGCAAGGGAGCTGTATGTGTAATTCTCTATTCCCTTTCCCTTTTCATGGTAAAAATCATTAACATCTGGCCAACGGGCCTACTAGACGTTTGTCCTCCTACATAGACACCCTTGCAATGCTATTGATCACTGTCTCACCACAACTGGACTCCCTTGCTCTCTACACTTTTGCACAATTTGACCAAGAGACAGAGGACCGTGGTCTCCTAGCATTGCTACGTTGGGTGTATCAAAATCCAACTTCAGTACCTTACCTGCAGAACCTGCGCAAAGTGATATTCCTCCCTGATGAGAATGATCTGGTTAATGATGGATTCCACTATATTGAAGCGTCTTATTATCACCGACTCAATTTTATCCGACGACTCCCTGCACTTCAGTCTGTCTCTTTTGTGCTGGCCACATGGAACAACGAGGCTGGTATGCCTCCCCCACCCAAGTCAGCTAATTACAGTGATATCAGCTTCACCCACTCAAACATTGTCAGAAGCGGACTTATGCTATATTATTGATTCTGCAAAGATACCGCGCAAGTTTACATGTACTATTGGTGGTCGTGCAATAAGAGGAGGGGAGAAATATATCATGAGTATTTCCATGCTCATTCGATGTTCATGGAGGCATCGCCATACCTTGGAGGAACTTGACCTTGATATGGAAGATAATGTTGCCTGGGGTGAGCTCTATGGTGAGGCTGGCTTGGAGGTATTCCCACCACCAAGCTATGCAGAATTTCATGATAGTGAAAATGAGGCAGAGATGGAATACAAAGAGGAATGGGAGATACAATAGACACATGAGCTGAAGGAGCTGGATACCACACGTGAAGCACCGCCAACTGAGGTTTCCCTGAATGACTTCCCTAAGCTCAAAAGCTTGGGTCTTGGTATCAACATCCTCTGTTTCCTAGCAAGGGGAATAGGGCAGGGCCGTGTTGGTGCAAAGTCATTCTCCCTTGTGGATTGCCCCCATCCCTGGAGAACCTACAGCTTTATGGAAGGAGTGAAGAAGCCGATATATACATGATGTCTCGTAATAAGCTGCAGCCAGACCTGGATGTTGACGCACAGTTGAGGGCACTGATGGCTGAAAAGGATGGGAAACTGCCCAAGCCAACAATGGTCGAAGGGTTTGATCCTGTTATTCTGCGTGGAAAGGATGCACCTGATTATGGCTATGATCGGATGGAAGACAAACATCCGCTTCTCTGGGAGCAGCCTAAGGGGTGGTGGGTTGATTGAACAGCATGCTTGTGGTGTGTAGGAACAGCAGTGACAAGTCAATGGCAAATTTTAAAAACTTCCATTTCATAGACTTTTTTATAGTCTGAGACTATGCGTGGTCTACCCTATAAGCGGTGGTGTGTGGCAGCGTGCAGAAACATGGAGATTGCCACGTATGAGAACAGTTTGCTGAGGATCATACAGTGCAGTGTGTATGTAATCCTTACCTATGATATTATTGCTAGATACACGAGACTTGGATGCCTTCATAGCCTTACAAAACCCGAGACGCAGAGGATATAGCCCAGTGATCATACTTCCGAAATCTTCATTCAGTGATGGTTTTCATGGTAATTGTCTACTTAGTGTAGGATGCAGAGTCTAACAACTGCATTGTCGCATACGTTACCAGGCATATAACCAGACATAGTGGTGGCCGTCTCATTCAATCAGGGATTATAATCCACCACGAACAACCGTATCCTCCAACCCAACAGCATAGAGAACGCGAATGCTGAATGCTGAATATATAGGGCCCTACCTCATGCTCGATAAGCCATAGCTCCTCCGTGCTAATCTTTGCATCGCCGAAAAACGTCCCACCATGGCCGACCAGAGCCTTGAATTTGCGGCCCAGCGGATTCCCCTGCATCAGGCTTTCGCAAGTAGACGATTGATATCAGGCCCACTCGCTCCAGGCGATGACTTAGGATAATTCTGAATGTAGTAGTAGACACGCAAGCATTGCAGGATATCTAAAAATTGAAGAAAGAAATGTGATTCAATGTCAATCAAAGCGTAGATGAGAAATTAAATTCAGTGGCAGCATTTACAGCTCAGTTGCAAGATCTCCCTTGTGGTTTATATTGTTCCACTGTAAACGTAGTAACATTCTTGGGATGCCCTACACACTCTGTTAGAAAGATATACACACAACATCTAAAACGGGTGCATAGAATACCAGACCACAGGTGTTTAACCCAGCTGATCCTTCGCTTGCTTTGCCATGCCCTCTCAAAACTTCCGCGCAGCTTCCTCCTGCGACTCAACGGGGGGATATTCTCGTCGATGGAGCCAGAGGCCAAATTCGCATGGGTTTTTTCTTCTTGAATGCTACAAGTGCGTCGTTTTTGGCTTGGGAGTTTGACTTGCAAATAGACATTCTTTTCCCATCTTTGGACTCGCCGGCGTCTAGGCGAGTTGGTATATGGAGTCATTGTCCTTGGCCTGCACCGGTATGATAGCTTTTTGTAAAGCCCTCCCTTGAAAATCGCGTCTTCGAATTACTTCAGGACCTTGGACATCTTGATTGACACAGCCCTCAGTGAGGATGAATACAAAAGGATGAAAATGCGCGCCATCTAAAACGGAAATAACAGTGACGTTAGTGTAAATGTTTTCAAAAAAAAAGGGTTGGGCAAGTGAGTTACGAACTTGGATAGGCTCTAAGTTAGTCAGGTTCATCTGCCTATAAAGCTCCCAGCACAGCCAAGGCGCCCCTTTAAGAAGACTCCAGGCTAGCCAGAAGATATGCTACAACTGGCGTTTGGCATGGCGCTCTGTGAAACAGGAAATAAGACGATGATTCATCAGTACGTTCTAACTTAGAACACTCGTCATTATTCACTGCGCGGCGAAAATAGGGTACGTATCTGGTAGTGTGACTGGCTGCAGATGCCTTCTCTTGCTTCACAGCAGACCAAGTTGAACTGCATTTTCAACACTTCCAATGGTCTCTGATGTGCTGATTCCATGGGTTTTGTAGATGATCCATTTCATGGCCCTTCCATTTTGTAACCTTTTAATCCTCCTCGGGGAGGCCTACTACAGCGGGATGTATGAGCCCTCTTGGCTGTGCCATTTCATGATTGGGGAAGCTCCTTATATCCTAATTAGGCAATTGTGAAGCTATAGAAGGGGTCATTTCTTTATAGATAGCTCTTCTTGACCAAGTTGTCGTCTCCCGTGTTGAATTCAACATATAACAAGATACACTCTTAGAACCGACACAAAGACACCCTTCCCTCTGTTCCGGTAAGATGCCCTTTTCCTCTATTTCTGTATACTTTTATTTCCAGAATTCAGTTGCGTAGGAAGGCCAATACTTTGAAAAGCGATAATGGATGCTCTGGGAGATACCTTCAAAGTAAGCTTCAGTCCGCGGAGCTGTTAACAGAAACCTCTCTTTTTGCTTTCTTTCTCCCATCATCTTCCCTGTTTACTCAGATATCCCAATCTTGAACTGACGGATCATGCCCAAGAACTACATAGAGTTGTAAGTACATGGCAAAGATCCCCGTACGATTTTAGTGATGATTGATGAAAATAAGCATGAGATCAAACTAGCATTGCCTTTTTGTTTTTTCATATTGTATACAGTACAGTCCATATGTAATCAGGGAAACTCCGTCCAGAGCTGTCCCATCATATGGAAGAAGGAGGGGGGAAGCAGCCTAACGCGATGGGAAAATAATAATAACAATAAAGAGGGGCCCGTTCAAGGCCCGGTCAGAAATATAGGGATAGAAAGACAACTTCAACAAAAAAAAAAAAAAAAAAAAAAAAAAAAAAAGAAAAGAATATGTAGGGAACTCGCCGCACAATCACAGGAGTTTGGAAAGAAAAACAAAAGGGAACATGAACGGGGGAGAAATAGAAAATAAAAATGCAACGTAGAAAAAAAAGAACAAAGGCCGCCAGAATCCAGTCATTGTTTCGAAGGAAGCCTCAATTCATCGATGCTATAACCACTTTTGCATACATGAGGACCAGTGTATCAAAGGTTAGTTAATGATATTCGACGGAGAAGAAAACCGCACCACCAAGCGTGCGCTTCGCAGGGGCCCCAGTGAGATCAATATGAATCCCGTAGGTGGTAAAAGATGATAAATGACGGGTCGCGAGATCAATGAGAAATAGGAAAAGGGGAAAATCGAGGGGAAGAAGAATTAAAACAAAGATTAACCGTAAAATGAGGACGAGGTATTCGAAAAAAAAAAAAAATAGAGTAATAATACCATGGAAAACTATTTTATTAGCATCATGCGTAAATACAGCAAGTACAAAGAACGCTTTGTTTATACATCATGAGATGTCACCAACAGTCCCGTTGGTCATAGCTGCTGCACTGCTATTGACGCCATTCTCGTGTTCTGCGTTCACACCGACAGAGACGCCATTTTCTACACCACCAGCATCTGACAGCGCAGACATGTCGGCTCCACCTTTTGCACTGTTGATTTCTGTTGCAGAGCCTGGAGGGATGTCATCCAAGGAAGCGTCATTGTTCTTCGAGGTCGTTGATGTTGGATTTGCGGATAGAGTTTTCGCACCATCTGCGACTGCCGTTTCATCGCCGCCGGTGGAGATTTAAACATCCAGAGCTAATCCGCTGTTTTTCTTGGCCTTTTTCTTACTAGGTTCTGCGGTCCCAGGCTTCGCCGTTGCTAATTGTCCAGGACCAGGTGGTGGAGGCGGCCGTTTCTGTGGGCTCGAAGTTGGCCCTGCAGACCCTAAAGGCGGAATTTTCCCAGACGCTGGAAGACGGGGGCGAGCAGCCATTGGCCGCTGCTTAGGCGGCAGTTCAAGATCCTCGACCAGAGGTTCGCCATTGTTTGCCTGCAACTTAGCGCGAAAGAAGTCTTGCACAAGCCCAATTTGCGATAATACAGTATCTGACGTAATGCGCGGATATGCAGGAGGCGGCGGGAAGAGGGTTACCGTTTGTGCAGCGCTGGAAGTGATTAGTATGAGTTCAACCCTATAAATAGTGTGGAAAGTTAAATACCTCGTGCTTTGAGCCTGAGCGGCATTGTACATCCTGTTTTGGAGCAGATGGAGTGGAACACTGAGAGTCGCAAGACCGAATTCCTTATCTAAGCCCAGTTCCTTGAATCCAAAGAAGTCTTCATCGATATCCTCGGCGAAATCACCGGCAACAAATTGCTCACTGCCATCGGCAAAGGCATTCGAACCATCCTCACCACCGTCTGCAAGGGCCGGCCGAAGAAGCTCGGCAAATAAGGACCTTAAACGCTCGTGGACAGTAGCAAGCTTTGTTCCAAGCCGTTCCACATCATCTCTAATATATGATTCGAGAGCTTCCACGTCAGTACCTACTGAGGACAAGGTATGAAGAATCATCTCTGGTTGGCTGTAAGCCAGCTTCCACTGAGAAGATGACGATGTGTGCTCTTCCTTGGTCGAAGCTGGAAGTTTAGGAGTTTCCATATATGATTTTAATGTCTCGCTAATCTTCTGAAAGAAATCCGAAGCGATATCGGTAATTGTCTGAAGGGCAGACGGTTGATACTCCTCGAATCCAGCATGGTAAAAGATTTTGGCAACAGAGCGTTGCAGCGCAGCCTTACAAACCCAAGGTGCAACCACTGGACCCTCATCATTCAAAACATGTGGTGAGATATCCTGTTCCACGAAAGGTTCGGGCTGATACTTTTGAAATTGGTTTTGATACATCTGCAAACAAGTTAGAAAGCAGGCATCGAAAGGGAGTACAGGAATATAAAAGTCAAGCGGTAGCGCATACTTGGGACTGCAGTTGCATCTGCTTCACTATGCCGATCTTCGAGCAGATTTTCCGAGTTTCCTGCATTTGCCGCATATTTGCATCCATCTTCCGGGAGAGTTTACTGTCAGGCTGAACAAATGAATCCTTGGGAAGAATTCTCAAGAATTCTTCAGAAGCATCCACAACATTGCCTTCTGCATCCTCTCTCCAAACAAGTCGCTCAGGTAGGTCGGGAATGCCGGACATTACATCGTAGTAATCGGGAATCATCCTGTCTTCCTCCACCTCTATGCCTTCCGCAAGAGTTTCGCGGGGAGCGTCGTGCTCTACCGATTGCGAGCCCAGTTCGTCCGCTTTGTCGACTTCAGGGGCGATTTGCTTTTGATTTCTCAGCCATTTTCTCATGCCAGCCTTGGTCCTCAGCAATGCCGGCTCGTCAGGGTTTAATTTATCCCCTTTGAGAAGGCGGTGCCTTTCAGCAGCGATGAGGGCACGGTCTTTCTTCGTGACTTGCTTCCAGACTTTGTACTCTGGGTCTTCGAGCTCTATCCCGGGCACAGACAATGCGCTAAGGGCGTTGTTCGAAGGTATCAAGCCATCAATTTCCATAGAATCACCAGGGATCCCAGACGAACCAGCCCCATTAGGATCAGATGGCGTCTGTACCCCTGGGGGCGGTGTCGTCGAGGATCCGTTTCGAATTCCGTCCACCACTACATCAGAGTCAGCGCGTACGGGGGCAGGGGTCTGATTGACAGAAGCCCCAGGTGGCCCTTCCGAAACTCTGGAAGTATTCCGAGTAGGAGCAGTCCCCTTCTTAGGGGCTTTCCTGCCTCTGGAGGACATGATAGGTTCATCGTCACTCTCTTCACCCCCCTCAAGCTCTGCAAGCTGAAGCCTACGTTCTTCCGCTTCCACTTCTGCACGGTCTCTGATAACAATTTCGGGAATAAGAGGAACAAGCTTCTCCGTCTCTTTCCTCATGTACAAGGCGTGTTTGCGCAGAAAGTGATCAGGGTTTGTGTTATACTTCAAGCAATTCGACCATATAAGGTTGAGGTCATCAACGAATTCCTTTTTCGATCTATACTGTAAAGCTTTGAGCTTCTTTGTCATCGTCCCCAGATCCATAGGATGCTTGATGACTGTTAGGGATTAGCGTAATGTAAACGACTTCGTGTTCTGCAGGTAAAGGATGGGCTTATCCTCACTGGTATAGTAATCAGGTGCGTCGCGCTTGTTCACCCTAGTTAAAAAAGCAGTTGAATGTTCAGTCATCGCTTTAAGCTCACTAAGAACCTTTTCCGCTGCTTCGTAGAGTTCTTCCTGCCCGATTTTATCCTCGCTAGCCCACTTGCTCCGGTTCTTGCGGACTTCACTCATCAAACTTCGCAGTTCCGCATCAGATGCCTGGACCATGGTCCGCTTCATATCAATCCTAGCAATCAAGTTCTTCAAAGTCAGACTCGAGGCTCCGAGGTTCGCGTTACTCAACGAGCCATAACCATTCGATTCGGCGTTCCCGTTGGTACTGCCAGCATTCGCTTGGCCGGACATCTCAGCTTCAACCTGTCTCTCCGACTCGTCGAGCCGTTGCTGATCCAGCATGGCATCCCTGTCACTTTCCAGTGTATAGAAGAGTGTGTGGAAGCTCCTTTTCGCAGCTTCCTCAGTTGCCTTCTTGTCTTCCTCGAGTTTCTTCCGAATCTCTTCAAGCGTTTCCTTCTTTGATTCTTTTGCACTATCATTGATAACCGATAGCGCAACACTGGAACGGTGGCCCGGCGACGGAATACCGCTGGAATCCAGCGGAGGCGCGGCAGACTTAGTCTTGAGCGGCGAGACGGCGGTATCCGCGACTTCCGTCTCATCATTGTCGTCATCGTCGTACTCGTCGTAATCGTCCTCATCCAATTTTCGAGCGGGATTCTTAGAGGGAAGTGGAAGTGGCGCCGGATCATCAGTGGGAGCAACAGCACCGGTGGGTTCAGGCTGATGGTCAAGATCCGGGACAGCATCGACATGAGCCTGATCCTTGCTGAACAAGATATCGATACTCGCCTCACTCCGCCTGTAAAGATCACGAAAGATAGCGATGCGCGGGTCATCCTCCGCGGCGGTATCAGCCTCCGATATCAAATTACCTGTCTGAGACCCGTCGGCACTGGCACAAACGCGAGTTTGCGGCGTCCGGGAACCGGCAGAGAAATTCGAGTAACCATTGACAGGCCGCGAATCGTGATGATCATCGGGAGGTCGAAGATGCCCTGGTGGCAGCCAGGTGTGGTTGTGACCAGGCGACATGCTCGCCTCCAAAACCCCAGTTCTGGGGCCCGCCGAGGGGGCGTTTCTCCACGGTTAAGAGCAGGGGCGGAAAGGGCTCAACAGGGCGTCTAGGGCTCCGGAAAAAGGCATAGAATAAAAAGCCGTGGAGAAGGGGATGGAGGGCGATGCTCGCAGGGCCAAAGTGATGGCGGAGTCCGGGAGATCTGATGGCGAAAACCAGCGACTCGGGAGGTTCCTGCGCGAGTCGACTTTGAGATGAGGTTGGAGCGTGGAAGGCGGAGCGTCCGCCGCAGTCACTGACCAAAACCGCAGTTCGTCCCAGTCCGGCAATGCAAATAGCTTCATCTGCGCTGTACGTACTGCTGTTTTGTTGCCCGCGCATTGTACGCTCTTTCATTGTGCTGACTTTCTATATACGCTCCAGTCGCCCTATTCTGGTCCACAACAACCTATTTCCCAGTTGCTATTGTCCTTGTTCAGACAGCCCTACTACTACTATTGACTGATCTGCATTCTCAGAAATAACCATGCGTATCCGCTACCAATTTGCGGGTGCGTTCGCCTTCATTTGAAGCTTTGTCACAGCTGTCGTCTTGCATTACCTTTCCCTTCAGTGCTCCCTCCAGCTAACACCTTCCCCAACTTCTCATCCAGGCGCCTTCATCTTCCTCCTCATCCTAGCCGGTTATGTCGGCCTCCTCCCACACAGCGCATCCTCTTCTATTCCTCCACAACTCCAGCCAAGTGACAAATTCCTCCATGTCGTCACTTTCTTCACCCTCTCCCTCACCTTCTACTGGGTCATCGATACTTCCCGCCGGCGTGTACTACATCTAAGCCTCCTGGTTTGCACGCTCATCCTCGGCATCGGCTCTGAAATTCTGCAGGGCATTCTCCCCAATGACCGGGAATTCGACCCATTCGATATTCTCGCGAATGTTGTTGGGAGTCTCGGCGCCATTGGCCTGTGCAGCTGGTATCACCGGCGCATGTTGGAGAGGCGCCGTCTGGCCCGATTCGGTGCGTTAGCCGGCGACGACCACGGCAATAATAACGATATCGAGCTTGGAATCGGCGCGGATGCCCATGGCCAAGGTGATAGCCATGAGAGTTCGGGGCTTGGTCCCCAAGAGACAGGTGTCTTGACTCTGGAGCAGCAAGTTGATCGGTGGGATGAAAATACCGTCGACAAGTACGACATGGAGGAAGACGCTGAAGACGCTGGTGCTTTGAGAAATACGATTCCGGATCGGGATCAGGGCTCTTCTCCCGCTGTTGCACATCCTGATGGGATCAATGATGGTGGTCGAAAGAAACGGAGCGATTAACCTCTCTTAATTCATATGGTGCACCATTCGCCGGTTCAAAGTCTCTCTCTCTTCGCTGTATACTGCCTTCCTCCCCATTGTTGCTGGCGATACGAACAGGAAGGGGATCATCGTTGAATGCTTGACGTATCATGACCGATTCTTTGCATACTGCCTCTTTTACTGCAATCGTCCTACCTTCCTTCTTCCTGTCTACAACCGATCCGAGTACTCCGGTTTCGCTGGATCGTTGATGGTCTTTTGCATGCGCTTATCATGATTCTATGTAGCATATATCTGTGGCCGTATTTACGTTCGCTTTTATGCCACTTCTTTTCACCGTTGTCTGGTATTTTTCTGTTCCAGGCCACTTTTTATATCATATTCATTCCCAAAGTATTGTATCTTAACCATCGGGGATAATTTGCATTACATGATACCTACGATCTGCCTTTGTGCTGAGTATACACAGAAATCGGAGACAGTAAAGTACCACGCTCCAGTTTGGAGAGGAGAAAGGTGAAATGTGGAAATATCCATTAGCTATGTCTTCATGTCATAGTTGGAGCTCGCTGATTGTATACCACGCTCTAAGGTTATAATAGTATAATAGGAAACGGGCAGACTAGCCGCTTCGATGAGAACTGGGACAGGGTATCCTTTAAGCAAGAAAGCTTTGTCAAAAGAATAAGGAGAAACGAATCAAGAATCCAAGACTCCTAGAACAACCCAGTCTGAAGCGATGCTAAATAAGCGAAGACGCATTGACAAACATTTAGGAAGTCATACCAGTCATAATATACAGAACAGGAAAATAATATTTGAAGGTGAGAAGGATGATGAAATTTCTCCTTGGGATGTGGTAGGCAGGTCTGCTAACACAAGAGAGGTAATGCCAAGGGGCTGTAAGGCAGACTTTCTCTTATTCCTGCATCATTCTTAACTGGAACCTACTCATTGTCCGATACGTCTGGCGTGCCGGACCAGCTTCTCGTTGGCGTCGGAATGCGGTCAGAAACGGGCTCGAATTCAGCTTTTGAAGGAGGCACATAATCAGGCCCAGACAGCTTGGCAATTTTTGCAGACTTTCTGTTCAGAGTTTGTCCATCGGAAACACCGCGGATATCTTCCTCTGTGATATTCCCGAGCTTAAGGTCGGCTTGCTCCCGTAAGACCTCGTAGATGAACTGTAGCTGCATTTCATTGTATACCATCATCATTCGTTGCTCGCGCAATTGATTAACGGTTTCAAAAACTGGATCGGTTTCCGGATCGGTCACCTTCAATAACTCTCCTGACTCGAGTTCATTCAGGAGATGGTCAAGAGCGATGAAGGTGCCAGTGCGACCAACACCTGCGCTACAGTGTACGACACGGGGGTTGTCCGGGGTACATTTGGAGGCCGATAGCTTAATCAACTGAAGAAGGGCGGCGCGACCACTGGCTTCTGGTTTAGAATAATCCGGCCAGGAAACATAGAGGAAATGCCAAACAATTTTCGACTCCGAACCCATTGTCAACTCAAGTTTACGGACCTCTGATCCAGACTTCTCGTTGAAGGTGGATTCTAAGAGTGTAACTTTCCCTAAAACTTCACCATTCGGCTCCACGTGCTTGTCTTGGGACGCATTTGGCTCTACTGCCCGCAGAATCATCGGCGAGTTTTCAGCGTTTAGAGGAAAGTACTGCGCACATTTCTCGCGGCCGGCCTCATAAGTCTGTGTAAGCATAACAATGACAGCGACCTCATTTGTTTCGTGAAATAACATATGCCAGAAGTGCGTGATGTGCCCCAATTTCGGACCCTGAGCCATGATTAGCCTCATGGAAACGCTACCTTATATCATGAACTGTCGATACTAACCTGAGTTGCGATATATCTCCGCTCCTTATAGGTAACCGAATCTCTTAGCGTGATTGGAGAGGCGTTGATGAAGTCGCACTCGCCATCCGGGACCTTAAGATGGATCCGGGAGTTGGCCCACGCCTGCACGTTCAGATACCGGTTTCTGGCCTTCACTTCTGGGTCCGCCTCCAATGCCCAGCGGTGTGACGGATCGTCTGCCAATAGTCCTTCCGCTAACCGTGATCTTTGCAGCCATTCTAGTTCTTCGAATTTCTTATGGATGTCTGCAAATGCGTCCGCGACGATAGGTCAGCCAACTAGCCATATACTCACTTCGATAGTTCGTAGCCAACTAACCTAGGTAAGACTGGCAAAGAAATGGGGGAACATTGTTATGACTGCGAGCCTCCAGTCCAGGCGCCGATATCTCTTGTTCAACATCACCTGCAACTCCTGGCCCCTCTAGCCCCTCCTCGTTATCCTCGGGAAGCCCGCGCTTGATTGTCTGCACGCTCGTGTCGAGCTTAATTGACTGCGACATTTTGGCCGCAGCAATCCGATGGAAGGCCCGAACCTTGCCAAGGACGCCGCGTGCCTTTCTAGAGACCCGCTTTCCTGTCGAGGTACGCTTCCGCTGCCCGTCGCGATGGTCGAGAGAATGTGTAGATGTAGAATTGTAGTCACTGGACGTTAATTCGCTCGCGATAATTTCCGATGCGGCGCGCGAACTGAATCGAGACTGGGGCAAGGATATCTGAAGTGTGGACAGATCGGGATCGGGACAGCTAAGGAAGCTGCCCCTCGGTGACGGTTGCTTAGCCAGATTTCTAGATATCACGGGAACGATTCGCCATCTAAAGGTCTGCGCTCCTGCAACGCTAGGGAAGCGGGAAGAGCCGCGTAGGGACCACGAGGCGAAAATGGAAGCAAGGGGAGATTCAGGTAGGATGATATATACGACAGTTTAAACCATTGAAAGGTGCACGGAGAGAGACGACGTTTTTATACAGGGAAAAGATAAGAGAGGAAGAGGCGAGGGAGAAAAAAAAGAAGGGAGAGTCCCTCAATGACAGTCGAGAACGGTCCCCGCACACTCAAAGTGGAATTTAGACATAGTTAGCGATCTGCAGCAGAAGTGTAGAAAACATATGGACTCGAGAGTTAAAAGAAAGTTAGGAAACGATGAAAATGGAAGAAATTGGAAGAAGAAGTGATGCCTGTGATGTAATGAAATGGGATACTGTTGAAGGAGCTGAGACTAGATTCATCGTGGATCAATATGGAGAAGACATTCTGCTTCTAACGCCTTTTACACTCATCGTCGTCATCGCCATTGAATTCATTATTATTCTTCCACAGCAAGTATCAGATCAAGCTTGGTCGATCTCTGACTCGCAGGACTGCATAACCTTCGATCAGCCACTGCAAGCTTGTCGCTCTCCGCCTTCTTCCCTCCCGAACATTCCACTTCTCATCGCTTCTTGTTCAAATCATATCTGCTCATCCCAGCACTGAGACTGCAAGTATCTCGCTGCGGAACGTCATTTATGGAGTCCATGCTCTAATTGACACACGCAAAAATGTTTCGATCTTTTTGGTTTCGGGCATTTGAGGTAGGTGTTTAGCTAGATTCGGGCAGTTAGTTAACTTATCGACATGCTGCCTTTGGTCATGACTGAGTCTGACGGCCCTTCCACCAGGTCTGGCTTGTTGGCAAGGTATGTACATTTGACCCATCGTCATAACTGAAGCTTTGATGCATCTCATCCTGATTTGCTTGGCTTCTCTTCTACTGTCCAGCTGCTGTCGAGTCCAACGTTCCACAGGATGGTTGGCAGAGTTCACCAAAAAGTCCACCATCTCAAATACGGCGTGCCTCCAGAAGAAATGGGAGGCACGAAGCTTGATAATAACGGTATATCTCTTCCCCATTTTGGAATGGGCCTCTTTCTTATGGAGAAGTGGTACTGAGATGCTTTTTCTTTGTTAGGTCGTGGTTTACAGCGGTTCCTGGAGTATTTTAAGGAAGAGATCAAGGATCAAATGAAGGGGAAACCGCCGAATAAATCATGATGAGAGAGATAACAGGCGTACATGGGCGTTCTGCTGCTTTTTCCGCTGGCATTGTTGGTTGAAACATGTATGGCTTGCGATACCCATCAACGTGGTTCTTGGATTGTTTCACTGCCCTCCCTTCCTCGGATCTATGTTCGGGATTTGCCATCCCAGGAAAACTATCTACAGCGTACATTCCATGACTCAAATACCGGATGAAGATGGGGTTGCTCCTATGTCTGCGCTTTTGAGCATCCCTTATTTCTTTCCATCCGAAGAAGGATCTTCCATGCTTCTTTCCGCTTTGTCCCATCACTTAGTTGCCATTTGATTGGACATTGAAACTTGAAGCATACACGGCCTTTTGCAGAAAGGGCAGCCGTCGGTCTGGGCGGACGGGTTTCGTTCTGGTCCTGGACCGGGATGGGGATGGAACTACGGCTAGACCAGGAACACACGGCACGGATTCCAACGGATGCCTGAAAAGGGGAATATTCGGGCTCCCAAAGAGTGGTTCGCCACTGTGTGCACCATGGAATCTTTTTTTTTTTTTTTTTTTTTTTTTCAGAAGACGGCGTTTGATTCTTCCGTATTGCCGAGATGCTCCGTAGAATGATGAGGTCAGTTATAAATGCAGTGTATTCCTGTAATAATGCTACTTGTCAATTGCAGCAGTATAGTACATCGCTGTACTCGGTGAGACGCAGAGAGCATATGATGACTGATACGGGATCAAAAATAGAACGACTAAAACGGATGGATGGACGTAACCAACCAGTTATCCAAAGTCAGGAACAGGAGTCATCAACTCGCCGGGGGATAACAGGTCAGGAGCGGCAGTGCCCAAGTTAGGATAGGCCCATCATCATCCACAGGGGGTTCCTGGCAATCGTTGGATGCCAAGGACGATCCTGAATGAAGTGTCATACAATATCCCAGTATCGTTACGCTGTCCGGTGTCTACGGCACAACAGACCATCGTAGAAAGCTCTCTCTACTACGTGATAGATTACCTCCAGAGCACTTCAATCTTGCCATCAGTCCAACACCAAAGCCACTGATGCTTGCAGAGTCAAAAAACGGTCACGGGACGGGCTATTAATAGAACGGCCAGGGCGGATGAGCAAACTGTAATCGTAACTGTAACGCTGTATTACGCTGCCGGCACGCCTTTGCCGCTCCTGTGGGTGGCCAGTACACGCACTGATTGGTTATGGTTGCCCCGCTTAGTGGGGAGACCAGTACGCTAGATCAAACTCGGACGGCTAGCGCCTCGCACTAGGGCCAAACCTTGGAAGCGGATGCGAGTTGCCCCTGTCAGCCTCTCCGTCTCACTTTTCTCCCTCTTCTCTCTTCCAGGTCATTCTCCGTATTGCCTGCTGTCAGTCGTTCAGTCAGTCTATCTTTATCTTATTTTTTCTTTTCTGCGTGATCCGACCAAGGGTCCCATTACGCTCGCTTACCCCTCAACAAAGAAAAAAGAAAACACGCATTTCCTCTTTCTTTCGTCTTTCTACACCATTTCCATCTCATCTCACCCATCCCATCTTCCTTCCATCTCAGTTGAGATAGACAATAGGTGATAGTTGATTCATCCGATTCTTCTACTGCATCGCAGTACCCTTTATATTCCTAACACTGCGGCTGCGGGAGCCCTCCGCTTGAGATCTATTTGGTGTACGCCTCTCGCCAACATGCGGGTTTCCCGTCTTTCATTCTTCCTCTTCTGCCTGGCGTTCCTGTTTGCCGCCGTCGTCTCAGGAGACAGCAGTGTAGAACCGTCGAGCCTTCCAACGGCAGCAGCACCTACTACTGCGGACCAACCTACTTCTGAAGCACCAGCGCCGACTTCAACCTCGTCTTCGTCGTCATCCTCTTCGACCGAGTCAACGTCATCTACGTCCTCGTCTACGTCCACGTCCTCGACGTCCTCGTCATCATCGTCTTCAACGAGTACTACTGAAGCGCCTGTGACTACTTCCTCCGCTGAGCCAACCACTACCTCATCGTCCGACGATGTCACGTCCACGACGATGCCTACGGCTGCACAGACAACGGCACAGGCTACGTCAACTTCAAAAGGCGACTCTTCCGCCCATACCACCACGACCGTTCCTACTACTACGGCAAGCCCGGTAGTCTCCGTGATAACCACTGTTAAGACCATCAGTGGAAGCACCGTTCCTATGACCATGACTACAACCCATCCTGCAGCTGCCGCAACCGATGCTCCTGGCTTGAACTCCGACGGGTCCAAGAAGTCCAGCTCCGGTCTCTCTTCCTCTGACAAGAAGATCATTATTGGTGTTGTCGTCGGTGTTGGAGGTGCCATCCTGATTGCTGCAGTTGCGATCGTCGTATGGAGGGTCTCTGCCAAGAGACGCAACGCTATGAACAGTGATGAGGCCGACGACCTCATGAGTGGTACTGCCCTCGGTTCTAACCCTCGCGAAAAGGCCCCAAGTCCTGGAAGCGGTAGCACTCCCTTCCAGCATACCTTGGACCAATACCATAACCCGGGCCCTGTCAATGCCGCGTCAAATTTCTAGTCACGCGTTGTCCTATCGGCTAACCAACATTTGATGTGTGTGATCGATATCTGCTTGTATACATATTTGAAAGCGGAAGGTCACATCGGGCTCCTGGTTGAGTTGTTGAACTTCACCTGAGGTTTTCACGCCTTTTTCGGGGCTGGGAAATACGTACGATCATGACGCAATTCTTACTGGCGCATATGGGTAGAAAACATTTAATGATTGTTTTGTTTCTGGCATTCTAAACGTTCCGGTTGCTTGTTGACGGCAACCTGTCTCTCCTTCACTAAACTCGGCATACTCTTCCTTCTATGGGTACCCATACCACCCAATTCATTCCTTACAGCGTCGCCTATTTCCCGATTGTCGTGGGATATCATCATCTGTCCACAACAAGAGCCACCAAAGTTGCTTTTCATTGATTTATCACTGATCATCTACGCTCGCGACACAACCTTATACGTCATTGAGCATTTTGTTCGACATTTTAATTATTTTCTGTTGATTCCTGGTGATTGCATCATCGGACTTGGCCTTGTGATACCTGATCCTGTTTGTTTTTTTTTTTTTTTTCCTGTCTTTTCTGTTTGTTTGGAATTGATACGGCTTGGGGTAGGGCCTCTATTCCATAGTCTTAAGCCAGAAAAGAAAAGCTTTTCCGCGATATATACGTAATTTTGTGGTAGATAATAATCCCAGTTAAATACTCCGTACTCTACCCCATATTAAGGGTTCATGAAAACTTGTCGCCTATACCTGTATGTGTATGTCCATGTCATGTTGCCCCTTCTCGCAATCGCGTGACCTCGTGTTGCAAAACGGGAACACGTTCCGCCCCTATTTAGGTTAGCGTCATGTAAGTCGCGACTCGCGACGAACATTCATCCAAATATCTACATCCATATTCATCATCCATGACACCTTACTTTTGAGGGATCATCTGAACAGGAAGACGTGAATAATAAAAACAGAAGCCCAGAAAATACAGTCAAGGATTATCCCGAAAGCCCCAAAACGAAAAAGAGAAACCATCAAATCAACCATGTTCGCTACCATGCCTCCATATAATTTCGACTTCGATTTCCAGCAACTAGATACGAGCGCGCATATGCAATCGAAACCTCACTATTACTCTTCAGTTCACTCCTCACCATTGACGCCGCGCAAGCACAACACCATCTTCAACCCATCGCAGACGATACGATCATCACCGCCCCGCAACCACTACGATGGCAATGACCAAGTACCTACCCAATTCACGCATAACACCGCTGTTTTCTCCTCTCCGACCCTTCCCACAACAACAACAACTACTACTACAACCCCTCCAGCCTCCCGATCTCATCAATCCCCATATGCGCAGCGCTACATGACTAAAATCTCAAACCCGCTCTCCCACGCCTCCGGTTCATACAAGACGTCGTCTTCCCCGTCCGCCAGGGAGAGAAGGAGAGATATCTACCTCAGTCGAATTAAGCGGGACCGACAAGATGGGAGATTCGAGGAAAGAGGGGAACAGTTGATGAGGATGGAACATGTCGCTGAACGGGGGAGATGGGGTGAGTGGATGGAAAGGGATGCTGAAGGGGTCTTTGCTGGGGTGATCGAGGCTGAGGATGACAACGAGGTAGATGTGGATACAGATATCAGAGCTTTGGATGAGTATATCTCTGAGGAACAGGCGATGGAGATGGCTATTCTTGAGAATATGGGCTCGCGGCCAAGTGGAATGCAGGATCAATACCCAGGACAGAGCCATGTGAGGTCTACCGATGACGGCGCCTTGTATAGCGATGATGAGTATGAGGGTATTTTCATGGATCTGGCCGATCCGGATCAAGGCATGGATATGTCGAGTGGATAACCACGGTTGCTTTGTCCTGTCCTTTTTTACTTTTTTTTTTTTTTTTCTCCTTTTGGAAATACAGGTCATGCATTATCGGGTTGGCGTTTGAGGAATGTTGCACATCTACCGTATGGCTGCTGTTCTTTATTGGGAACTACCTGTATTTATGGAACATCTAACGGACTGGAGATTTTCATATTCTGTCGCATCCATCTCTCATGTTCAATACCAATTTTGTCAGTTCATTGACAAGGGTATCTGAAGACTCACGGTACATGTCTTTGGCCCGGAGACTGCCAGATAATTCAACTCTACTAGATTTTTACTTATGAGAAGATCTTCATAATCTGGTTCATCCAGCGCCAACTGGCTATTGTGAGGAGCTTCTGACCAAGAAAAAGATCCTGTCAATTTGAAGCAGAAAACAAGAGAATCTAAACACGATATTCCCTGCAATGTATCCCTCAAGCTACTGGCTGGGCTTTCCAAGAACGACTTCAGTTTCGAAGATACTGCGGTATAGTATCTATCGAGTCATGAGGTTGACTCGCTAGCTCTGAGGTAAAGTGCGTCGATCGGTAAATGCAGAATAAGAAAACACGAGCGTCAGACTTGCTTCCCAATGTGGAAGTGTGTCTGAACTGAGCCCAGCAGGTTCACAAGGAATGGAAGTAAATTCACAGTGACGCTCCCCAAAGCTTCATACACGGGATACAAGCCAACTGTTTGACCGTTTAGTGTGTAGCTAGCTGAGACTTCCTTGTCATGGCCAGTTGGATTGCCGTTGGACCTGTAGAATTGGAGTTGAGAGAGGCAGCACATTTGGCAGCAGACTCTCATTTGAGGTAAGAAATCACATCAAGGACGAAAAACCTGCTCAGCAGGTTGGGAATGTAGTTCAGCCATTTGAACTGAACGCTCAACGGCGTTTTTGGATCCTCTGCGAATGCACTACGAACATAGGCCGCCGCCAAATGCCTCGAGGTTGTCTCGGGCCCCGTATAATTTGACAAAGTACACGCCGGGAGCGCCGGAGAAGCCAAATACGTTCATGCAGTAGTTGAAGGATGAAGTGCAGGATTTCTTCTAACTCCAACTGTTAGTATTATCCTACTGTGGGCACTGCAACCATGTCGCTGCATAGAGTAGCCTCAGCAGCAAGCAAGTCACCAGGTACCAATAGTATTGCCCACTTACAAAAGGAACAAGCCATGATCTTCGTTCATGCATAGCGAACACCAGACAGGCACTGAACTGGGTACCTAGACAGCTGGTTACATGCCCTGTATCCCATTCCGTGGGAAAATGCGGGAGATTGTGCCCAGAACATGACTATATTAGGTATACATTAGTATTTTTGTCCCGGTCCCATGCTGGTATACATCTAGACTAGCTGTTGGATAGATGTTGACATGGACGTAAACAGTGTACACTGTTGTTAGTAAAGTAGTTACCTACTAAGTGACCTCTGTTGCTCGCCTCATAAAGTTCTCTATGGCGTGTGTCAATATCTGCTATCAAGTCTACGAAGTTTAATAGAGTAAGCTTATCACAGCCCTAGATCAAATGCCTATCTATCTAGAAGGCCCTGCTGTACTAGTAATAAGGACTAGCAGTTAGGGCGGGGGCTTGGCTACTAGTCAATTGTTTGCGATTCTCTATATGCTTCGTTATTCAGTGGTGAAGGATGGACAGATGACTGATACTCATTGAGCAATCCGTGGAAAGCCTCGGGTTCCAGGAAATCAAGTCTGTATAAGGCACATACATACATACACATGCCATGCATAAGACATTGCAAGGGATTAAATGAATGGGGGGGAATAAAAATAAAAATAAATAAATAAACAAGGGATATCTAAAAAGTAATGACATGAAATGGTAGTGAGAAGGGGAAAAGCGTTTTCTGGATAAGCAATAAATAAACGAAATGGAAGTATCAACCCGGTCAATCAAGTCGATGAAATTCATTCAAACATATCCACGCCCATCGAATGCGAAGAATGAAGATTATACTCTAGTTGCATTGCAAATTTGGCAATCGTAAACGTAAGAGATGATGTATCAGCGACTGCTTATTGCTGAGGACAGTCGGGCATTCCCCCTGCTGAACCGCCAGATAAAGCATCGTCCAGGAGAGGATTCCAGGGGTTCGCAACTAGTTCCTCGGGAGGGCTGCCAGCAGCTTGCATCTGTATGAAGACACGATTAGCGAGTTAGAGCGACATGGAGTTAATATATATATACACACCGCTTGCATCCTCTCCCAGACATACTCCCTGCATTTGGGGTCTTCGTCTGTATAGCCCGGTTCTTCGAATTTGGCCACAATCTCCGACACATACTTCGCTTGCGTTGCATATCGAGACATTTCATCTGCAGAAACTTTGTCTTTGTTGGCGGAAATCCATGGCCCGAACTTAGTATCCAGTTCCTTCATGGGCTCATAGAGCATCTCCTTGTTGGATAGCTGTTCCATCATCCCCGAGATGAGTTTCGTCAGATCACCCTCGCTATTTTCACCCGCCTCGACTGCCTTGAGGAGCTGAGCTAATAGATCATCCGAGAGGTCGTCTTCTGTAGCCGCGGCTGTGGCCTTATCGCCCGACTCCTTCATGCGGTTGATCGTCCGCTGGATCGCATCGTTGAATGTATCGGGCGATGCAGCTGCATCCCCCTTTGTCGCGGCTGCAGCAGAGTCGGGAGCTGGTGCGGTCCCTCCAGACTCCGCCATCACATCATTGAGGAGCTGCTTGAGAAATTCACCCGGCTCAATCCCCGACTCCTCTAGCTTCTTTGCGAATGCCTCCGCTCCCGGATCGATTGCAGATTCAAAACCCTTGCCGTCTGTGGCGCCGGTCTCATTAGCTGCCTGCGACATCATATTGGCCATGTCTTGCTCGAGCTGTTTCATAAAGGCCGACTCATCGAAGTCCTCTGCGGATGGCGGTTGTGATGCGGTAGTGTCTGGTTTAGCAGGCGCGGTTGGCGCACGAGCAGGTTTGGAGAAGTCGTCCAGGACCTCTTTCAAAATAACATAAAGTCAGTTGATTTATTGTCTTTTCTTTATACATCCTGGGGGCTAAGTTACCATCGAGCTCATCAAAGTCGGAATCCTCATCATCACCCACTTCAACTGGTGTCTTTTGCTTCAAATCCTGGTCTTTCTCCTGCTCTACAGCTGGAGCTGGAGCTGATGATGCAGCAACCCCTGAGTCGCCAGGTACCTTGGCCGTGCCATCATCTTTGGCCACTGTCACCGGTGCTGCTGCGCTGGGTTCGTCATGCTTCTTAATACCGCCCGCGTTGACGGGCGGTTGGGTGTCCATAGCTCCTTAGACTAGACTAACGAAACAAAGAAAAGGAATATAATATAGTACAAGAGAAGGGAAAGAAAGAAGAGTAATAGTCGGATAAGTTCTCTTCAGGGACAAAGCATGGGCGCTGAACAGCAAGTTGGAGTATTCATGTGTCGCGCGGGGAGCCGAATGCCGATGCGCCGCGGTTGGCTGACCGGATCTGGAAGAGCTGGCGGCAGTTGCTGTAAGTAGTATTATTAGGGCTCCTACGCTCCCGTGCTCTGCTATGCCCTAAGGCCCAAGGATTGTATTAACCTTTGTATGTAGCATTGAGTATTGTCTTGGTACCATTTGCTCTCTAAGCTCAAACTGTTTAACAGCACAGAGCTGCCCATGTACGTCCTTGAGCACTATTGGCATACCTAATTGGGCCATTTGATAGACTATGTGAGCGGCCAGTTGATTCTAATTCATTGATCAAGCGAAAAATTACTGCGCGGGAACTCTCTTCTTGCCTCCAGCCGTGATCCTGTGTTCTCTCGTATAGATATTTATGATTGCCAGCGCAGGCTACAGTCTGGGCTTTGCTTCCAGAGAGGATCTTCATGACCGAGCCGGTGTTGGTGGCGTATACGTCGAAGTCGTCGTCAGCAGAGCCAGTTGTGCCGACACGAGTCCCCGTCTGATTCAGGCTGCAGTAGCTGTAGACATGGAACTCTCCAGTTGGCCAGTAGCCAGTCTCAAGAGGGCGAGATAGGTGTGCTATCCGATTGTACATGATTACCCGACGGAAGCAAACTGGCATGGGAAAACTTTTTCGGCCGCTCCGACTCTGACGGAGCTGGCGTATCCCCTATTCGGTCCATAGACGACACACCGTCATGATAATATGCCGTAGAGAGCAATGGATGCATCAGACAGGCCCATAGGATACTATATCGTAGTCTGGGTTCTCTCCCCGCGAAATGCCCGTGGGAGATCCTCGGCAATTTTCAGGTCGAACATCTTAGTAGCCTGGCTCCTCGGGCTACTATTAGCACAACATAGGGATATGGTAGAATAATATGCTAGTTAATAATGAATGGGATGTGGCAGCAACGTAGGTGAATGACAGCAATTCTCTAAACCCCGTCACCTAGAGACATTCCTATCTTCATGATAGCGAGCAGGCCGCTCGTGGTTATCGCCCCGACAGTCCCAAGAGACTTGCAGCATTCCTCAATGTGTAAAGCGTCAGTCTAGCGCGTCTACTTTGTTCACGAGCAAGCCGCTAATATCTTCCCTGACCTCCTGTAGCCATGTTCTTGTCTCTCAATAGGATTGCAATCGCGAGTCCGCCTCCGGGACCTGCAGACACTGCTCCTCACGCAGCATACGTCTCTCAACCCAGGCGTGGCCAACTTCTGGCTGCTCTTCGGACTGCACGGGGAGCTCCCCGGCCACCCTCAATCTCCTTCCAGGAGCGAGACATGCATCGCCGTATGTTCATAAGAGATGGAGAGGGACAGCCTCTGATCCGGGGGAAGATCCTCCTTAGTGCAGCCCCAGTTAGCAGCTACGGCCCCGGCACGTTTCTCAATGTGATGCCGCCTGGATTGGAGGGAAGAGTTCTAACTTCGATTTGTTGAGACAAGGTCGTTTGTGGCTGTTCTCTAGCTAGTGTAGTTTTCCCGTCGGCCTGTTTTTTGTGTTTCCTTTTTTTTCTTTTTTCTTTTTTTTTTTTTTTTTTTTTTTTTTTTTTGGCACGCAACACAGTGATAGTTAGAGAACAACTTGAAAAACATAAATCAGGCCCTTTGGCAATCTTTGCCTAGAGATTATAGAGCCAAATTGGTTCCAAGAGCAGCAATCACGTTCCTGAGTGGGGATGTCGGCAGAAGGTAAGGATACTAACAGAATCAGCTGGACTGGGCTACGAGTATGCATAATACTGAAGGATGCTGTTGCTGGATATTATTTTACTAGCCGTAAATGAACAATAATACCGAGTCTTAATAATGGGCATCAGCTCCAGAAAATATGCGAAACATACGAATCATCCGACATTCCGAGAAGATTCCGAAGGCCTAAATTCGGCGGTTCTCGACTAAGACTAGACCTAAATAGGAAGGTGCAAATAGCCATGCTCCGAGATCGGATGTTGTATGTATGTTGTATGTGGTATTACCGCGTACAGTAGGCCCCGCATCCAATGCCACTGTTTCAGCAGACAGCCTGAGGCCATTTGCTGCGACTCGCTGACTCGGCCGACCTGGATGACTTGGCAGCAAGACTGCCAGTCGTTCTGTCCCTGAACCAGGCCTCTCTCAATGCGGTAAACCGCGTGAGAAAAAGAGTTTGGATTCTGGAACCTACTCGGACCGTTTGGGTTCCACGGCCCACAATCAGAGAATTGAGCAATTTTGCAGCAGTCGGACGAAAACAAGTTCCAATAGCACCACCCATGGTCTGGAGACAGACGGCTGACTATTCTGATGGCTAGGTTGCAGACTGGGGCGCGCCCTGCTGTCCAGTTACAACTTACCATCGACGATCGTCTTTTCTGGAACATCGCATATGCGGGTTCGAAGGGCGCTAGATCGACCATCCGTGGAGACTGCCGGATTAAGTCCACATATCCCGGCATCGTAACTTCATCAGATAATAATCCTACTCTGGGTACTACGAGCGAAATTGAAATTACACCTGCCGGCTCCATCCGTGGCGCCAGATCACCCCATATCCTTCCAGAAGCCCCAGAGTTTGAAACAGCCAGCGTGTACGAGAATACTGTGGCTATGCTGTTTTACAGTATAGCCCTTTTCATCCGTACTCTGATCATGATTATTCTCGTTGACTGTCGACATGCGGCCATGTGTGACTGGATGGACGCAGCAAGCCACATCCAAAAGTATACGAAAAGAAGGCTGATGAGTAATGAATCATGATCGACCTGAGCCTGTCAAAGTTTTTCTTTTGCATGACTTACAGCGAACCGAGGACGGAGGACGGACTGCCGCCGCGTACATTTACCATGTACGGCGTCAGGGTAAAGCACGGGCACATCATTCCTCCGGGCTGCGCGTCCCCAAGAAATTGCTGCCATCCACCACGGTGATGATCCAAGGGGAACTGGCCATTCACCGGGATCTCTACCACTTCTCAAGACTGACCGCGGCCCGTGGAAAAGAAATAACCTTTGACCAAGACAAAAGCAAAGGGAGGTGCCTGGAAGAGAGGAGGTTGGTGCCCGGGATCGGGGACCTGATCTTGTGTGCTCGTCCCTGCGCCTCACCTTCGGTAGCGAGTCAAAACTAAATTTCAGGGTTAAGATGATCGGATGGATCTACGGGGTACGAAGAGAGTAATTAGAACGACAGTGCCTAGCAGGCACTAGGTAGATAGTTCCCAGCCTGGGTTGTTTGGAGGTTGGATGTCTGCGAACTGTTGGTGCGCAAGTCACCTGTTCGGTAATAATGCTGGTAATCAGAATACTGTAAGTGCAGGTATTCCGCGGAGAAAAGCCTTCCAGGGCGAATGACGTTTCCCAACGTTGGCAGTGTGAGCCGTCATCCTTCTTCCCCTCGCGGCCTGCAATGTGTGACTGCGAGTGGGCTGCTGCTGGCAGTTGACTCGCAATACAATCACACTGAGCATGACCTCTGATCTCACAGGGGCCTCCCCTCAATAAAACTGCTGAGGCCACGCATGTTGGAAGTGGGCCATTTCAGTCGTGCCGAGAAAAAGGCGCCTGTCGCTGCCATTGCCTGAGCCAGATACTTTAGCTGACAACAGGGGTGAAAAGAGAGAGAAAAAAGAAACGTGAAGAAAAAAATTTTAAAAATAAGGTACGAGCAAAAACACGAGCATCATCGTCACTTTCCATCACCGGTTGGGTCGGGCCCCCTCTTCTCCATGAGCCACCTCGTCTTAAGGTCAGGTTGACCCAGAAGAAATTTTTCTCTTCCAGCAGAACGATTCGACCTGGGGGATCTCCTTGCTTTTTATTCTTCTCTTCCTCTATATTATTACATACGCTGCCTTTCCTCTTAGTAAATACTTTTACCTCACATCTTCTGTCGCTCGCCTTCTTCCCTGCAAATTATCCCACCTCGCTTTTCAATAACGCAATATCTTTTATGTCAACGGTGGACGCTACTGTGGACGCTGCTGCACATCATCTTTCTCTCACGTCTCTTGCAACCGCACAGCCGCGCGTTTCTCGCGTCTGACACCGCTGCCCGCCTGTTCCAGAAACCTTCCTTCTTCGGTGCGGCGTTGATTCTCGCCTGCCCTACCAGGCCCAACCTGTCTCTGCCCGCATACCGCAAAAGCATTACTAAGAGCAAGCGGTCTCCATGGTTGAGGCCAGCCATTCCCTCAATCATGACATGGCCATGGACTCGGTGGTGCCCAAGTCGGAATCATTGCGAGATGTCTCCATCAGTTCATCCGTGTCGACCCCAGAAGCCGATGCGGAGGCTGTAAACCGGGATATGGCCCAGACTCACAAGAGGAAAGGAGGAAGAAAACCTGTACGTTACATCAATTGGTCGTTTGACAATGCGGTCATGAGAAGGATGTGTCTTCTCCAGCCTAGACGACCATTTCCATACATGGAGTTCTTGTCATATGGTCTTGGATCTGGAGGGGCAATCCCGGCTTGTCCGTCTGTCCTACTATCTTGTTGACTTAGTTACTGATGATCAGCTATTTTTGGGCCCTCTCTTGAAATAGATCTATGCCACGTCCGAGGAACGAAAACAGCGGAACAGACAGGCACAGGCTGCCTTCCGTGAACGGCGAACAGAATACATACGCCATCTTGAAGCTACCATCAAGCGCAATGAAGAGAGTCTGCAGTCTCTACAGCAGAGTCACCGTACTGCCGCCGATGAATGTCTGATGTTACGATACAAGAATTCATTGCTCGAACGGATCCTCCTCGAGAAAGGTTTGTTTACTTCCTGGAAGTCCTCTGCCTGCATTCGTGACTCACATGTTCGTCTTTTCCAGGCATCGATGTGCAGGCTGAGCTGCGACTGAAGACGGGCAGTCCTGGTGGGGAGCAGGCGAAGTCACACTTTGTGCCCCCCAAAGCACCCTCTGCTTTTGATTCGAGCCGCAATCCATCCCAGAGACTTCCGGCAAACATTGCCGCCAAACCAGAACAATTTGGCATGTCCCAGCAACGAGAAGCTCCCTATGGCATCCCATCGCCCCAGTTCCAGGCGACTCCCTCTTCACATGCTTCCTCCCCATCGCATATTAAATCGCCAAGGTTTCCATTCCAGGGAGTGATGTCGCCTGTCGGTATGGAGCCGCGTTCTCAGATCCTCCCGCAGCCTAGAAACTTTGCCCAAACATCGCCTCAAATGAGAATGCATCATCCTGACACCCCAGACTCCAAGTCCATGCTTCCTGCTGGCTCTGCTTCCATGGTTCCCCGTGCACCGACGGCTTATTATCCGTCGCCGTTCCAGAAACATTATGATCAGCTGGGTATGTGGCCTTCACTTGTTGTTCTCGCAATTTTGCTAACAGGCTGCAGAACAGGAATATGATGCGCAAGCGGACATGGTTGACGAGCCTGAAAATGATGATCCATCTTCCTACACACCTGGATTCAATGGCCCTCAAGGCTCTCAGTCAATGCCCCACGGCCTTCCAAACTTCGCTGCACACCCTGCTGGTGCCGCTAACGGGATATACGGGAATTCGAACGGTCTTATGGGCCAATATGAACCAATGTTAGACGCGGATCCATTTGGGCTAAGTGCGAGCATGCACTTTCAGACCCCCTTCAGCTATGAGCAGAGCAATGCACGGCATTGACTCGCCACGAGCCACTCCACAACACTGCGATTGTATTTGTACAATCTGATCCTTCTGAAAAGAAAGGAATGAGATGAGAAAAGAACGAGAAAATTATACAGGCTAATGTCTTGACTGGTAACGTCACTCGACCATGGGAACGGAAGACAAAAGTTAAGCATTGCCAGGCGTTTTTTAAGGTCGCGGTTGATACCACGGTTTTTTTTTTTTTTTTTCGTTCTTCCGGGTTTTCCTCTTCTTCTTTTTCTTCCACAAAAAGGGGTTTCTTTTGGGGGGAGGGCTTTCTTTATGTCTATGAAACTATATGGGTTTCACATTCCTGCCGGGAAATACTGCCGAGCAGAATTTCCGGGTTTCCAGTGCTCGAATTCCCTGCTACTGGGCTGATTATATTCTTTCGTGTTATTTTTGTATTCATATATATTTTTTCTATCCATTTTTTCTTTTCTCCTCTCGGCGTTCTGTTCACTGGCATCTACTCTGTTAAACACGCACTTCATGGGAAGGCTGGTGCATAAGGGAACTGGTATGTGGGAATATGGGGAATGAATGGAGCAGGTGCATAATCACGTGATGTCTAACAGGGATTCGAGACCGGAAACAAAAAAAAAGAATAATAAAAAGAAACAAACGGAGAAATTAAGAAACCAGGATGTATTATTATCAGCTACGATAGTGTGTCATGATGAGCTTTCGCAGGAGATGATACTGTGCAGCGCAACAAGGCACGACGGGATGATGACATCGGCCGCTTCGAGTGACGCCAGTTACCCTAAGCCCTAGTCCTCAGCGCCCAATCACGGGACGCATTACCCGGATTTTGCTTTCGCTTAGCATCATTTCCCACCTTTCCCGGTTCGTTCAGCACTGCAGCGCCCACGGGCCACAACCTTCGCCTCCCCAGCAGCTGCCGTCTGTTCAACCTCACCTCTAACCCCCCTCTTCTTCTTCTTCCTCCATCTCCTTCTCATCGAGAAGCTGCTCAGCTGCAGGCCGAATACCTACCGCTCTAGGGTTCAGCCTCGCCATTCCGTCTCTCCCCCTTCTTTCCCGAATTGCTGCGATAACAGACAGCCTTCCCAGGAAGGCCACCTTAAAGCCAGACGTCATGGCGGACGTCCGGTCCAAGGTATGAGCGCTCGCGTTGTTCAATTTGTTCCCAGTTCGATGCCGTATGGGAGTCATCTGTTCTGGTTCATATCTCTTCTTTTCTTTCAAAAAGAACAAAGAGCAGAAGAAAAATAAAGAAACAATACTGCCCTTTTCCTGTTTCCCCTTGATCAATGGATTTATTATTCGTTCCCTTCGAAAAAATAACTCCAGGCGGAAAATTGATGCGATATTGGGAAATTCAAACTTGCTGACTTGCTATGGTTCTTTGGGCAAAAATAGAATCTCTACGAGCTTCTTGGTAATTGCTTTCCTTTCTTCCTCTCCTCCACCAATTCTTCTCTACGCAATCAAAAGTTTCCAAATATCCATAATTTTATATTTACCCGTTCCTTTTTTTCTGACATTGGCATTTTTCAACCTTTTCTTCGGTCACAGGCAATGACCCTGAATTGGACCCCGATAGGGAACCTGCTCCTCCCACAAAGGCTGTAGACAGGCCGGCACCTCGACATGGCAAGCGGGAAGTTCCCAAGGAGGCTCCCAGCCAGCCTAACCTTTCTGAGAACAACGCTCGTCGTCCTGGACGTTTCAGCGGTAACGAGGCAGGTATGTTGTGTTGTCCTTTGAGGATATCTCGCAATGATTAATGCATTTGAAACTAACCTGGGGTAATATTCTGTCAGCTTTCCGTGATCGCGCCGCCGGTAGCCACAGGAACCGCGAGAGACCTGTAGATGAGAACAAGGAATCGCAAAGGCGTGGAATCCATGCTCGGGATGACCGTGGTGGACGCGTGAAGAACGACCGTCAGTCCCGCAGCGGCACTGCGTAAGCGACTCTGATTCTCAGATCTTAATACCGTGAACTTGGTCTGGGGAAAGCACTAACTTCTGAACTAGCGACACCCGCAAGCAGGTTGACCAGGGCTGGGGTGCCAGGAGCGGTGAAAAGACCTGGGATGATGAACGGGCTGGTGAAGATGTAGCCAAGGTCGACGAGAACGAGCCCCAGACTCCCCAGGGCGAGGAACCCAAGGAGCCCGCCGACAAGGCCAAGTCGTATGCCGATTACCTCGCCGAACTGGCTGAAAAGCGTGGTGCTCTGAGCGCCAAGGCTGCTCGTGCCCCCAACGAGGGCAACGATGACAAGAAATGGGCTGGTGCTAAGGAATTGAAGCGTGATGATGAAGAGAGCGACTATATCAAGGGCAAGGAAGAGAAGTCCAAGCGCGAGAAGCAGCGCAAGGAGAAGACTTACCTGGATGTCGATATGCGCTTCGTTGAGCAGCCCCGTGGCAATGGCCCTCGTGGCCGTGGCCGCGGTGGACGCGGCGGTCGCGGTGGCCGTGGTGGCGGTCGCGGCGGCGAGCGTAAGGCTGCTGGCCCTACCGTTGATGAGCAGAACTTCCCCAGCCTTGGCTCTAAATAAGCCGAGTTACCGGGAAATGTTGTGTGATCCGCCCCTTGGTCGTACCGCACCTCCATCATCTGACGCGAAGTGGTCATGTTTTTTAAAAGGACAAAACCACCACTTTTACCGCCCGAACAGTGATTGGGCTATGTAACTTGATTCGAACCTCAGGAGATAAAAAAAATGAAAACGGTGAAAAGGACTTTTTTTAATTAAAGCGTGTGAAAGATGAGAACAGACCAAAAATTTAAAATTCTTTTTTCCTTCAAAATGGATACTACCCAGCCATTTACACTTTCATAGCTCTTTTCCATCTCTTCTACTGGTATCTTCATTGAGGCGTGTACTGCTATATGAGTATGGTTTCATTTGTAGGGAGGAGGCACCACTTTTAACTTCTCTTAACTTGACACGATGTCTCCATCTGATGTAGCAGTATTAATGACAGAAGGTAAAGTTGTTTTCATTTTTCGCCCTCTCATATTCGTAGTCCTCCCCAGGAACCTGAAATGTGAAGTTTATTTGTATCATTGCTTTTTAATTTTGATTGTTCTGGGCTCTATTTTTAATGATCGCTTTCTTGTAGAAAAATATATTCTGACAGTAGCATCAATTAATGATCACATCAGCCCAGGTAGTTAGTTATAACGTCAACTATCGACAACAATTTGCCCATTACATAATCATAAAAGATCGCGCTTTCCTACTAACGGACTACTATGTTACTAGCTACATCTCAAAACATTTCCAACTACGCTCAATATACAGAGCTAGGTCTTGGTTGGCTTCAGTTTCATTGAGATGAATTCCAAAAGGTGCATGAGGCTAACGATGTGCAGTATAGCGATGCCAAAAGAATGGCAACAATAACAATGATGAGCTGATATAGTTTCCAGCCAGGTCACGTCCATGCTTAATACTAATATCTGCTGCCTAGGCCAGCTTCAAAGTTCTTCATAAGAGTCCTGCCGACGACCTGATGCCAACGACTTCGCGGCCTTGGCTGCTGCAATCCAATACTCACTGTCCTCATCCTCATCATCGGACAAGTCATCGAGGAATTCCAATCCGTTCATGGCACGGCCCTCACATGCCCGTTCAAGAGCCAAGAAGGCGAAGTGCCCACCTATCACGGGGCGAGCAAAGAAATTTGGTCCTGGGAATCCACCAGCGCCTTCCGTTTCGTGGAGGTCAGTAAAGGGACGATCGGTGTCCGTCTCATTGACCCATTTCGCAACAGACTCAAGGATCTCACTGCGGACATCTTTGCTGGCAACAGCCATGGCAAAAAATTCCCAATCGGTCTTGGTATAGAAATGACGGCTGTCCAGAGGCACTCCGTACTTCTGGCGAACATAGTGGTACCAAATCGACTGCTTCTCGTAGATATGTCTTGGGACGAATCCTACCGTTCGGTCATGCATAGGCTTCTGGGTCTTATGTGCCAGCATGCTAACTTCATTGTCTGTCCCATCCAAGTGGAAGCAAAGTAGGGCATCCGCGTAGAGATTGTAAATGGTAGTCCATGACCCATACCAATCATAGGCAAGTTTTGCGTGTGTGTTGTCACGAGACATGCCGAGTTCTTCCCATTTTGCAATATAAGTGTACGATATGTTCTGTAAAGTATCAGTGGCGCCTGGAGTCGTGGTGTTTCCAGAGAAGTCACTACGAACCTTATAGAATGAATAATCCGTATAGTAACCAACTACCTCAGCCAACTTGCTCATAGCATTGATGCCGATAATTCCCTTGAGCGCTAGATTTGTCTGAAGCGCGAGCCAGCCGGCAAAATCGTCCGTTGAGACTGTCTGCGTCAGTACCATTTTGAGCCATGTAGAACAACGGGAGTCTCACGTTGATTAGCAGGTTCTAACGAGAAATCAACCAAATAGCCAGTCCACTGCGTCCAGAGAGGGTAGCTCCTCTCAACCCATTCCCGGGCCAATGCTTCGCCTTCTGTGCCGCCACCCCATTTCCCGTCTTGCCCACTGATCCCATCCCATTCCTGAAGAGTGTCAAGAGGAAACAGTCCTTGGGTGTCACTCGGAGCTTGGGATGGCGAGCCGACTGTTGACCAGACAGACGATGCATAGCTGTCGGCGGGGTAGCGAAGGGAGTTGACAACCGCCAACCCCATGATGAGGATGTTGCCACATTCTTCCACTGGCATGTACTCGTCATTCCCATCGGGATGGCCAGTCACATTAGGGAAGTGGGTTCCCAGGTCATGGATCGCGTAGGTATTAGGGTACTGCCCACTAAGCATGTACTCGATCAGAGGCTCTAAGAGATATGCCAGCCAACGGGGGCTGGTATACAAGAAAAAAGGGAAAGCAGGGAAAATGACGTCGATCGTTTGGGAATTTCCATCTGAAGAGATTTCCTTGAGAAATAAGATCGGTTTCTCCGGAGTCCCAGAAAACGAAGTTGCTCCCATGACCTGCCTCGCAGATAGCGCTACGATGTCAACATAATCGTCTGCTCCAGACACATAGGCATCCTTTGCTAGCTGCTGGGAGTAGTTGCTGGCTAGCGCGTTGGCGTTTGCGAAGTCCTTATAGTGGAACGCGAGGAGTTTCTCGGTAGTCGGAAACCACGATCTCCACAGAGGTCGCATAAATGTCAGTCCACGAGAAGACGCATACCGAACGACAGGGTCTTGAGTTTGAGCAACAGTGAACAAGACGCTGCCGGTACAGGCATCGGAACGGAGTCTGAAGGATTTAGAAAATGCGAAGACTGGCTGTCGGTCGCCAACAGCACGGAAGGTCCTATCAATCACATTGCCCACAGCTCCTTCTTTCGCAAACCTGCCTCTTACAATGGTAGCATCTCCCGACTCATAGCGGACATCCTGAGTGAAGAATCAGCCACTGGTCCCTCCTGGAACCAACCAGTATAAGATAATGCTTACAGCAGGGCCGGCAAAGTGAAGAGTGCCCCATTCCGCGCGGTCACGAATTTCAGAAAATAGAAGCTCAGTCTCCCTCTGGACTTGCCATCTCCTAAGATTGGTTTTGTTGTCTTCGAGCTTCAGATCGTCAAATTGCCAGGTGATCCGGCTCGCTAGGTCGCTAGTCACCCAACGCCCATCAACATCCATATAGATATTGACGTCGACATGGCCATAAACCTCGACTGATATGTATGAGGCTGGGATTGACTGCCGTAGGGTAGAAGTTGGTGTGATGGGGGATAAGAAAGACACGGTAATCTCCAGAGACTGCGTCGCTGGCAGGTCGATACGGTAGGTCAGGTTTGTCGTTGAAGCGTCATAGTATGACCCAAGATAGGTTGCATATTCGATATGAGACCTAGACTGTGCATTAGTCCCGTGGTTAAATATCCTCCCCGGGGATATAATTTGATTTCCTGGCAGAAGATTGGACGCCCATACCCGAGATCTGGAGATAGAACCTCATGAGGCTTGCCAACCAAGGGATAAATGGTTCCCGTGTGGGGGACCTGGACCATCAAGGAGAGCCCAATTTCCTCTCCGGTGTAGAACATGGGCCATTTTGACCATGGGACATCTCGAGCATTCCCCAGCCAGGTACTGAGGTATGGGTTTCGTACAATCAATGGAAGGACTGGAGGAGTAAGAACAGAAGCTGTGGTGACCTGCAGCAGGGCCGCCACAAGTAATGATAGAAGCAGCTGCATCGTGTCTGTTTAATGAATGACCATGGGTTGGTGCACACAGCACTCCTGGATCAAGGCAAGGAGCAGGATGAAAGATGTGTAAACTGTTGATGAAAATATAAACAAGAATTGGGTTCTGGATGAGCAGGAATCCTTGTACTAATGACGCAGAACGACGATCCCAGTCGGGGCGACAATGCCTCCGGTCGGGGAAGAGCTGACCAACGAATACAACTGTTGGTACAAAGCGAGTAAGAATGGTATGAGCCCTTGCAGGGTAGTCCTCAGAGTATAGATAGGCTCATGTGTATATATAGCGTATGGCTGAGCTGCACAGATGGCAGAGAAGAGCGTTGAAGAGAAAGAGAGAGTTCATTCTTGCCTCTCGCGGTTGCTCAAAATGCGGAGAAGGCGCCCATCAGGTGATACCCGCTGGTAATCCCATTACGCGGCCTGCGGGAATACAGTATTGATACTCAGTTGATACTCACAGAACAAAGGTAAATCGGTAATATATCACAGTTGTTGCAGTACTAAAACCGTACTGACGTGACCAGGATACAGTCAGGTGACGTCATGCGGGGAGTGTGCCTGACAGGCACATTCCATAAGACATCAAGACATTCAGATTTTTCCTTCTGAACAACTCGATCATCTGTACAGGATGCTAGATAACCGTTTCAATGCGAGGTCCGGTCTGACTCTCCTATTACCTTAACAAGAATCCATTGGTGTGGGGACAACACCGATTTGTACGGGTACGATCCTTTCGACCCTTTCAAGAGTGGCTCTGGTGCAAAATGACATTGTTCATAGCCATGATGATATCGAGGATGCTACGCACCAGGGCGGAGCTGATGACGCAGGAACAGATCACGGACAACAGTCACAACACCAGATGGTCTATGGTGTGAAACAAGAAGACCACGGCGGGTGGTACCAAAAATGAAAAAAAAAAAAAAACTCGCAGCGGGCATTCGCGGTCTAGCCTTATCTGCTGCGGAGATGAGACCCTACTCGCGCCTTTCCGCATGAGAATGAACCGATGTGGAAGGAGAAGCAGGTAGGCCATTCGGAATCAGACCGGTCTTTTAACCCGGGAGCCGGGGGTGTCAGAGAGCTATATGTGAGCCAAGTATGAGAAAAACCTCTTTAGGGTCCGAAGGATCCCAATTTTGGTCATGTTGACGGGACTAAGAACCGTGGGCGACACCAGGGTAGTCCGTGGGTGGCTGCCGACCCGAAGTTTACCTGTGTTCTGCACTCAGTATTGGCCTAGCCTTCCTTCTATTATGAACTGTCAGTCGGCCAGAGAGCTCGAAGTCCAGATAATGGGCTGGTGGCTGGGTGAAATTTCGCAACAGGATGAGTTAGTGTTTAGTAGCATCAGAGGTAGTTGCAGTGTCTTTGCATTCCACAGTATGGGAGAAGGCGGGTGCACGGTCAGAAATAGAACGAGCATGCAACAACCCCACGGTTCAGGAGAATGCCCTTCAGTCAGCAGAGCATTGCTTTGTTGCTGGAGAGAGTGCGGACGCGTGTTGACCAGGAGAGCTGGAGTAAATTGGAATTGCGGGCAACACGTGCCGGTGGGTTCCATACAGTTACATCCCAATATTACCAAAAACAACGCCAGCTTCACGCGAGTTGGCATCAACGCGTAAACCTCCTCGTGGACTGTTGCCTTCGCCTTTGATTCTTTCCTCTTCCTCGTCTCGTCTCCCGCACACTAGTTCTGCAACAATTGGGCCAGGGAACTGCGTCTACCGCGCGTCCTTGATTTACTATTATCTACCTATTCTGCCTGCAGCTCCCCCGCCAACCTCCAACGAAAGAGTCCCGAATTTCCTCTCACTCTCCCTCGTCCAACTACAATAACAAATATCACATCCTGTGATACTACGGATTCGGGGGATGCACTCAATAAAATCCCAATCTACCCCCGTCAAAGACGGAAGACGTGTTCTCGGTGAGAAGACCGTTAACGCGTGCCAATCGCCTACAAGTCGGAACGTGGACGCTCTCTTGAAGACGGGATCGCCTGTCAAACGAAGTCTCTTTAAAGGATTGTCTCACAGGAAATTATCATCATCTTTCTGTGCTGGGCAAAAAAGGACAATAGACGATGTGGAAGGAAACGAAGTAACCAAACCCGGCTCGCGAGGCATCGTGCAGCTGGTTCCGTCATTGAACAAGGAACAAGCACAAGGAAGCGAACAGTCCGCAGCTGAGGATGGAATACAGGTAAGCTTTGATCAAGGCCATACAGCGAAGGGGGGAGGGGGTAGATGAGATGATACTGATTCGTTGTGATATTGGCAGCAAAACACCCAACTAGACGCGACTGAATCAGACCAACAAACAGGCCACCACAACGCGTCGTCACTTCCAGACAAACATAGCTATCCAGGCAAAGAAACCAGGTCAACGACAACTATTCCAGGAGACTCCGAGGCGAGAAGACGATTCATCCAGAATGTAAGGAAGGCCATGGAATCCTAAACGCAGTGGAACTTTAAGGTCTGACCATCAATAGAAAGCACACTTGCTTCGCAGCCGGATCCAGAGCGCTATGCATCACGTCAGAGACCACGAATTTGATCGCAGGCTATCAGAACTGGAAGCCCACAGCCGCAAGATCCCAAGATTATCACTTCCCTCAACTCCTATATCACACATTGTCAGAAGAGCAACGACGCCTCCTTCAGAAGAGACTCCAAAACTCCAGCATGCACCAGAACTGAAATTGGCTTCCCGAACATCGTCTAACCCATCCGGCCTGTCTTCCCCGCCATTGTCAGCTGGCGATTCCGGTGACGAAGAGACGATAACCCCCAGGCAGAGTACAACGCGCTCTCGCTTGGGCTCTCCGCTGCAACTGAGTAGCCCTCCCGCGACGGTACTGCGAGGGGGGTGTGCGAGAACCCAAACAGAAGAAAACAGCCCCAGGACAGTGCGCGGGCGCTCCTACACAGCCGACGAACATACAATGCCGTCACAAAAGGGGGATGCTGTTGACGGCCTGCTTAAACTCATGAAAGTGGAAACCCCTGAAACCTTAGACGACTGGACTGGTTGACATGATATCGAATACATTGTCTTAAGCACACGGGAGGTCCCACTCCGTCACATCAGACCGGGTCACAACTCATCACTGGGGTAGCGGAAGAAATAACGCCTTTTTTGCAAACCAATAGCAACGAAGAGGTTGGTTTGGTGGCTTTGAAGGTTTCTCTTCTCAAGGAAGGAGAAAATGATCATAAGCGTCGGGTGTGGTTCTGGTTCCCCCTTTTTTGCATGCATACCACACGTGACCATATCCATGACTTTTGATGCCGGCGTCGAAAATACCAGATTTCTTTCGCAGTTACCGTTGTCATATGTGGAGTCTGTGTTCTGATTGTATATTGTGCATTGCTACTGCATGGCGCATCATTGTTATATTCCTTGCATCCTCAAAGATGAGCCGAAATGAAATAGAGTAATGAATGAGAAGCTCAACCTGGAATTAGTTCTATGTCAAAGATAGATTCATGAACAATGGATATATATATATATATACAAGATGCTAAATATCTAATCAAAACCCCTCAACGGACCTTCTTCAATTTATTCCGCTTCCGCCCAAGTACATCCCTACCCTCTTCAATCTCGCCCATAGCCTCTCTCTTCGCCTCACCGACCTCCTTCAAAATGGTCCCTCTCACGACTCTCCCTTCAACGCTGACTCCTTCCTCCTCCCACTCGACCATCTGCCGACCCACCCGTTGCTCGATAGCCAAGACCAGCTGTACATCCCTCTGTCCTACAAGGGTTACCGCTTCACCACTCCGACCAGCACGAGCCGTACGACCTACACGGTGCACATAGTCGTCTGGGTTGCGGGGAACATCGAAATTGATCACCAGACTGACGGAGGGGATATCAAGACCTCTCGACGCGACGTCGGTGGCGACGAGAAGCCGGGCAGCGGCGGCTCTGAAGCGAGCGAGATTCGCCGTCCGCTCTGACTGCGGTAGCAAGCTGTGGAGAGAAGTGACTCTGTGCGAGAGTCGGCGGAGAGTACGCTCTAGCAGGTCTGCGGTCTTGGTGCGATTGCAGAAAATTATTGCCGGTTTGGAGGCATTGTTCTCTGTCGATAAGAGGACGTGGAGAAATGCTTCACGGTGCGTCATGGGGACTTTGAGATAGGTCTGTTTAAGTGTTGGGGGGATGCTGCCTTGGTTTTCGGTTGAGATTTCAGTCACGAAGATTGGGGGGCGGTCGGCGGGTCGGGGCATGGATTTCAGCGCCCGGACTTCCGGCGTGACTGTTGCTGTGAAAAGGAGGGTTTGGCGCTCGCTAGAGGGGGGGAGGGCGGAGAGACATGTCTCCACGTCGGGGAGCATACTTCCTGAACCGCTCGCGAGAAGTCGGTCTGCTTCGTCGAGAACTACCATTCGGACTCTGTTCAGTCCGGAGACTGTGTCTTGTCCAGATGTCTTGATATGATCCGCTAGACGTCCGGGCGTCGCAATGACAACATGAGGTTTCTGTGAAAGGGCGATGGCTTGAGGGCGCATTTCAGTTCCTCCAGTGATTAGAATGGGTTTCATACCCTGTGGCGCCGAGATGGCCTTGAACTGCTCGTAGATCTGCAGCGCAAGTTCTCTTCAAAGAGAGAAAACAAATCAGCATATACGAATTCCATGTAACTTGAAAGACGAAAAGAGATCAAATACCTTGTCGGCGTCAAAACAACCGCAAAAATCCCAAACGGATCAACCGCCCACTTCTGCAAAATCGGAACCGCAAAAGCAACCGTCTTTCCAGAACCAGTTCTACTCCCACCAATACAATCCCTCCCCTTCAGGATCTCCGGGATACAGGCCTTCTGAATCGCGGTAGGCCTCCTAATTGCCATAGTCGATAACGAACCCACCAGCCACGGCGTGACATTTATCTCTGCAAACGTCGACGCCTCGCTCTGTAGCCCAATCTCCAGCGCATCGCGAATCAGTACTGGGTTTTCTTCGGAGGTCGGTACTGGATTTTGACCGTTTTTGGTATCGTCCTTTTTCTTTATACGGGAGAGGGACGGAAGTGGAGCTGGAGCAGCGACGTACGAGTCCGTCGAAGACTCGGAGAGACGTCGTCGTTTTGGGGCTCTGGTTTGGATATCGGGTTGCTCAATGTCTGAATTTTCTTCTGAAGAATCAAGGATATTGCCCTGTAATTGTTCTGCTGTTTCAGATGGTGCCATGGCTGCTGCGGTGGTTATTGTCTTCGGTCTTCAGTATTTTTTTTTCTTTTTCAATGAATTTATTCGGCAGAAAATGTGATGCGGCAAGGGGCGGTGAGATAAAACCACATGACCATCCTTATCGGGTCTCGATATGGATGTCTCGAATAGGAAATTCGTCAATATTTCCAATGCGGAAGAAAGAGAAAGAGAAGATTATATACATCCAAGAATTCTTTTATTTTTTGCCAAACTATACTACTTGGTATTAATTATACCTCATCAGGTATCTCCAAAACATTTAATCCAACCAGAAATCACGAATTCTTACTCGTCATACTCCTTCTCCGGAAAGAGTACCTCGATTGAAGCTGATAACTCTCTCCCCTTTCCAATTCATCATCAACCGGAAAGTCTGAGTGATCATATCGGCTGGCGATCAGGGTGTCTCCCCCGAAAACACCATGGCCAGATCTCTGATCTGCATTATCTTGCGAAATGTGGCCGGATGAATTTTCCGGATTATGACCGTAAGTACCTCCAACGCTTTCCATCGTGAGCGGGCTAGAGGTAGGACCATCCAGGGCCGAGAGTTCCTCTCGGGTGAAAAGTTGCGGTAAGAGAAATGCGCGGACCGGAATGAGAAGCAGGATTATCACGGGGAACCCAATTGCTGCGATGGTCTGAGTGATTGCGAAGGTGCCTCCGAAGCCGATTAACTCCAAGATGACAAAGGCCCATAGGGCAAGGCGGCGATCGAGCCTCTTAAGAGGGTTGGATGCTGGGGTGAGCTTCTTGTCTTGGGCTAAAAAGATAAGCTTTTGAGTAATTCCATTCCCCTGCAATGCCTGGACTCCCATTATGAAGAAGAGACCAGCCAAAACGCCCTGTGGTATAAGGTGCAGGACAACGAGAAGCGGACGGGTCATGGTTCCGAGGGTCAGAAGACCCTGGGCTAAGTTGCTGACTCGTTGCTCCACGACGTGGTCAGTAACACGGATCGTCTTGCCTTTGTTCGTATCGTCTTCATCAGCAACATCGCGTGTGACGCAGAGAGCAGACGTGTGGAACGGCGCTTGTGGAATGAGCCCATTGGGAAATGGAACGCCCAATATTCCAGCAACGAACGTAGTTAGACCCAATAAAAATAAATCCCAGTGGAAACCGGCTGGCTTTCGGAGCGGAAACTCAGTCCCTTGGGCGATTAGGGACGACACTATAATGAACGATTTCTGTCAGTTATGGATGGTGAATTGGACATAACCAGACGGATCAAGGAATTAAATCACCATTGTGGTCAAAGTAGAAAAGAATAGTCAGTAGAAGAGCAAAGGGAATAGCAAGAAAAACATCCCCGACGTTGATGTCCCAAAAACGTACCAACCACCCACGGTCAGCAGTTGGAAAGAATGACTTGCTGATCGGCAGCGTGGCAACATGAACATCCCTCATATGACCAATATGGATGAAGCCCGTGAAGAAGACAATAGTTAGGGGTGTACCGTAATCCTCCAAGAACTTCCGGACGACTCTGAAAAAGAGGGTGCTCTGACCAAGTTCTGAGCAAACGTAGCCACTCATGAGGACAAGAAGAGCGACCATAATGCTCAAGTAGGCAGATGTCTCTCCGTCAGCTCCCCATTGTCTAGTGAGGACTTGAATACCCTTCTGGAGATAGATAAAGGCAACGTAGAATCCGAATATATCGCACGAAAAGCGGGTGACATAAGTCAACCCATTGCAAGCATTGGTAATCGCAAGGAACCAATGCATGATCAACGACCAACTTTTCAGAAAGAATAACAAAAGTCAGGTTGCGTGTCCATCTAAGTCACTCGAATGGAGGAAGGCTTACATCCCAATCCAAGCCATAAAAGCAAGGTAATTGGTGCCCCGGGGTGCAATGATATCGTAGACTGTGTAGTTGAAGACAGTGATGGGACCTTGCACACTCTTGTCAACGACGAACTCGACAAACACGAAATTCTCATTTCAGTTGGTCTACGAGAAAGAAAAACTCACCGGTAACCCCGACAATCACCAACGGCTGTGCTGCAAAGAGAGAGAACACCACAGACCCCAGAACGGATGCCAAGAGGACTTCATTGACGCCGTAGCTCTGATGAGTCTTCTCGAACATATCCAGGGAGAAGGCCAGGGCAGGCAAGATACTACATTGCATAACACGAGTGAGTATTGATCCAATGCCAAAAAAATCTTTTATCGAGTGGGTAATGGTCTTTTGATATAAAAAACAGGCGTGATATCAGCAGACAAGACATACTTTGCAAAATACATATAAACAGTAGCAGGAACGACTCGATAATCCCACGCATCAGTCCAATCGCTCCAGTAGAAAGGAGCTCTCCTCTTGATATCGTTGATCATGCCCCGGAACAGACGTATATGCCACCATTTCCTACCAGAAGGAGATGGGTCGGAGTCCGGAGAAAGGGGAGAAGCAGGAGATCTCATACTCTGCTCTCTGGAGACCGACTGATGAGCAGCATCACCGCTAGCACCAGAGAGGACGGCGTGCTGTGATACATGGCCTGATTTCCCGGACCGGGTGGACGATTTGCGCACTGGGGACTGCCAAGGTCTCCGCTGTGAAGAACCGTGGAGGAAATCTGGTCCCGACGGGAGGGAGAAGTCACTCTGTGACGACTGGGGGAGCCCGGCCTGCATCGTCGTCGTTGCACGAAGCTCCCACTTGTCTCATTGGTTGCTCCCCGATGTATAAATACGGTGCAGAGTGTGGTCAAAATTCTAGAAAGAAATGAAGAAGGGCAGAAAGCGGGCAGAGAACATTGAACCCCGCGAAGGTGGCAATGGCGATGATGGATCGTTTCCAGGAATGAGGCGAAGGTCCGACGAGAGGTCAAATCCCGCCTTCGACGCTAAACAACCGGAGCTTACTTATATAAGTTACCTATTATATACCAATAACCTAGGGACTCGGGCGTCTCTCCGTTATCAAAATCGCCAGGAGAATAAAATTTATGAAGATGACAGTTCTCTGCCGTTCCTGTGACGAATTTTCGCATCTACTAGTTGGCCATCGCAGGCTTTCTGCAACAGATACCCACTAGGAGACCGATAGGAATAATAATATGGATTCCCATTGGAATGTCAAGTCACTAACTACGTCCAGTGATGAAGATTAAGGCCCCCGCAATCCAAGGAGAACAAATTAACCACGTCAAGTTTCCCCAATCCATTTATCAGCGTTAACAACAGCAGAAATTAACACACGACAGTCGATTGCGTTCAGGCAGGCGGGGGAGGTGGGGGTTGCTCACTCGGCGGCTATACTAGTGGTTAGTAGATAGTCACTCTCAAGTATCTAATTGATTTCAAATACATACCGGAGGCGGAGGTCCATCGGCAGGAGGCGGGGGAGGAGGCGGACTGCCCGCTCCATAAAATGTTGAGCCCATGCCTGGAGGCGGAGGAACACCCACGCCCGGAGGCGCGCCAAAGCTTCCCATACCTCCAGGGGCAGGGGGAGCGTATGACGGGTACGCTTCATATCCATAACCTGATCCACCAGGAGGCGGCGGTGGAGGTGCCTGTTGATGCCAAGGTGCAGCCCCAGCCACAGTACCTGGAGCGGAATATCCACCTGCATGCGAACCATAACCATGATCACGGTTCTGGGCCCACGGCGGCAGGGATCCATGGTCTCGGGGTCCATATTCGTCACGGGGGCGGTGTTCGCGTCCTCTCTGCTGCCAAGGAGCGACATCGCTCGGCGGAGGGGGACGATGCCATGGTTTCACGTCGCGGTCATCATATCCATTGTCCGGTCCGCCCTCGATACGGCGAGGAACATGGCCGTTTTCACCTGGTGCACCGCCAGAAAGTTCTTGCATAAGTTGCTAGTAGAAGTGTTAGTATTGTCCAGTGACAGTCACCTCAACGATGTGTGCAAACTAGACTTACCTCCATTTCACGATCGACGGCATCGCCTGCACCAATAGCTCTAGGTGCACGGCCGTAGCCGCCGTTGTTACGCCAATCAGTGCCTCTCTGCCGATCGGGACAGTCGCGGGCCATATGTCCCGCATTTCCACAAACGCGGCAAATGATGTTGGCAGTGAAATTACGCTGCTCAGGGCAGTCGTATTTCCGATGTCCAATTTGACCACCTATCAAAAGTTGGTTATTAGAAATGGCCAGCAATCTGACGAGGAGAAGGGGAAACATACAATTCTGGCAAGCCTGGTTTTCATCGTCACGAAGAGTACCGTTGAGGGCGGCGAGTTCTCGGAGTTGATTCCTCTTGAGCTCGTTCTGGCCTTCAGGAATGGACGCAGCCTGGTAGCTTGTTAACAACTGTCTCGATTTCATTTTTTTTTTTTCTTTTAAAGGGAAACATACAGTCTCGATGACGTTGTGCACCAGCTTCTTAGCTTTGTTGACTTTTTCTTCAGTATCTGCCATGATAAGACAATGGAGATCTTCTTCCTGGTTGCTAGCGTGAGCGGCGTCAGATCGACCTTTTCCTTCCTTGACTGAGCCTTTGCCTCTGATGGCAATCTTGGCTCCAGACTCAGACTCCATCTTTTTTAAGGTGTTCCCACGAGGACCTATGAGTAAGCCAACTTTAAGATAGCAAGAAGCTAAGTGTTAGTAGTCATGTCGGTATTAACCAGAAGCAGAGCAAAATAAAATTAGAAAACATGCGACATAAAGCAGTAGGGTTAGCAAGAAGCGAGCTGGAAACATCGTGCAGTCGATGTCTCACCAAGCTCGACTCGAGCAAGAGCGAACCAATACGAGACAATAGCACAATGGAGGAACGGTTAGGAGTCAGAGGGTTAGTTATCATACTGAAGTTAATCTCTGGATAGTCGTTCACTGGAACATAGACCTTCTCCTGAGTCTTTGTTGGACGCCTGTAGTCAGAAGGCGGGTGGTAGTTAGGGATAGTCTTCATGGCTTTTTCGACCAGCTTATGGCGCTCATCTTCGAGGCGCTTCCGATAACGGTATTCCCTTGTGTTTACACGTCTGCCAAAGTTATCGTACTGAGGCGGGGGTGACGGAGACCTGTTAATCTTGTTAGCGATACTGAGACGTCGGAAGCGGCAAAGTAAGGGGGAAACGAACCTGTCACCATCCGCCGGGACAACATCGTTGATACGAAGCTTTTGGCTGATTTCCTCAATACGAAGATGGAGAGTATATGCTTCAAGCTGCTCGTTGGTAAAGTTCGCCATGATCATCGTGGGAAGTCCCATGAGACCAGCAGCTTTGTTCTCCTGCGCGTCACCCCAACGGTTACGCTTCTTGCGCTTCTTTACTCCATCAGGTGGAAGGTCCGCTAAGAGAGAGTTAGCATCAGACATTGGTCTTTCGAGTATAAACAGAAGCTCAAAAAAAAAAAAAAAAAAAGGAATACGAACCTCTCACAGGACTCCTTCCTCGTTTGATCCCATTGTCCCCAACGGAGGCAGGGGTCGCGGTACGACTTTCATCGTCCGCAACGTCGTCGCCACCAAAACGACGACGACCCAGTGGGATATTGTTGGAGCCGGTAATGCCCTGATTGCGCCAGGCCATGGCTGCTGGCAGAGAAGTAGAGATATTGCTGGTTAGTTTCCTTTGTGGCTAGTATCAAAGCGAGATTTGAACTCGACAGTAATAATAATGCGGGAGTTGAGTTGGGTATTATTAAGTACTCGCGAAGTGGCGAGGACCCAGGCACGTGATTTGGATGACTAACGGATTCCGTTTTTTCTTGGCCTCATCCATGGATCAAATTCTACGCTGCGTTTACAAGGTGCAACTTTGAAATTCGTTCTTTATATTTACTATTTAGATCATAGCATGCAGCATGAATATATTCCGCGTTGCCCTCAGATTTTATCACGCTTAGCAGCCTCATCCGTCATTCCCTTCTGAATCCACGCTTTAGCCTCAGCAGCCACTTTCTCCGCCGCCGCCTTATCCTTGGCTAAGTCCTTGATAGTATTCCGAGTAGGAACATGCTGGCCCTTGTCCACGCCGGGTCTCTTCGCCATCTTCTCCTCCCACTCTTTCAAGTGCGGAAACTCGTCGATATCCACACCCGCCCATCCGGCAGCAGCAATCCACCCATAATGTGAAATGTCTGCGATGGACACATGGTCACCGACAAGATAGCCGGATTTGGAAGTCGAGAGATGCTTGTCCAGCACGGAGTAGAGACGCCGGGTCTCATTACTATACCGCTTTACACCATACTCGATGCGCTCGGGAGCGTAACGATTGAAGTGGTTTGCTTGGCCCTGCATCGGACCCACGCCTGCGTTCTGGAAGAATAGCCAGTTGTTCGTCTCGTAGTATTCTCTTGTCCCTCGGGGATAGGAGATCTTGTAATCCTTGTCATACTGCTCTGCAAGGTATTGAAGGATGCTGCCAGACTCGAAGAGTCGGATCTTTTGGCCGTCCATGAAGGTGTCCGTGATGGCAGGGATGCGGCCGTTGGGGTTAATTTCGAGGAACCAACTAGGCATTGTAAGCTCGTGGATTCATTACCGGGCTTTTTCTCGTGGGACATACTCTTCTTTCTGGACATTCTTGGCCAGGTTGATATGCTCGACCTTGTATGGAAGTCTAGTTTGAAGTGAGAACAGTCAGTATACCCGGATGCCATAGACATAGGTACGTATGTAGAAAGAAACACACCCGAGCTCCTCGAGAGCAATTGAAATCTTTATTCCATTAGGAGTCTGCGCCGTGTAGAGCGTAATGTCCGGTCGATTCACCGCGCTCATTTTGCCCGTTAAATAGCCGGTGTACACAGATCTTGGAATAATCGAAGAAACAGATAAAAACGGTGACTGTTGGAAGTAGCGAGCCTTTGTTCCAAGTCGACTTGCGAGACCTCTCATGTGTATTCTCAGGAGACAAGACGGCCCTTATATACCGGGGCGATCTACCATATTTACACTGCTGTTCACTTGTCTGACATCACCCGTATTAATAATGGTGATGGAGTCCCCGCACTTGGAGTGCAATTGGTTCATGGATTCATAATAATCGGAGCTATTCAGCACAGTTGCACTGTTATCGGAGTAATCAACTGTCAAGGTTGGATTCAGAGAGATGACAGATCGCTGTCAAAAAGTCTCCGTGTCGTTCAGCAGCTTCCAAGGGGAACAATCATGCCGGTTTCGGTACTTCATTACACCGTTGCTCATCAAACCCATTATGCCAGAAAGTGGTATTTTGGGAGGATAAGGCGTTTGTGCCAAAGATACATGATGGAACTTGATCTGAGCGATAGGCCAAGTGCGCGGGCTCTTTTAGAGCATTGATGGTTCCAGCAAGCAGTCCTTCAACCTGCCCTACCTATCTCCAAGCTGGTGGTGTTCTTACATGGAGTGGGCATTTGTACAGGCTGTTCCGTTCTTGAATAGCTACCTAGGTATTCTACAAAGTTCTCAGACAAGGTTATCCAACACCCATAAATATTCTAGTACGTACAAAGAAAGCCATGAAACAAAAATATCTAATCAGAAGCCCCCCTAGAAGAAGAAGAAAATATGGCCGTAACACCATGACAACTGAGTTGCACAGCACACGCAGAATCAAAACTTGGAAAAAAAAAAAAAAAAAAGGGGGCAATCTCTCCACTTCTTAGTCTTGTCTTTCCCTCTCACCAGGAGAAGCTCTCTTCGACATAATCGATATTAGTCCTATCTTGTCTCTTACGGCAGACACGACGGACATCATCACTCAGACTACCGTTCCCACAGACCAGGACGCCCATGGTACCAATCTGGTTATCAATCTCCATGTCGACCAGGGTGCCAATGTTCGGCCGTCCAGGATACATCTGAACTGTGGTGCTGGGGCTCTGGATTTCCTTCGTATTCCGCGGACGGGTGACGAAGAGCAAAATGCGCAGGACTTCTCGACGACGCTTCATGTTCAGAATGCTGGTCATCCATGGTCGGATCCACTCGAGATGTTCTGGAGACTGGATGATCCAGACCAATGTGACTCGGCGAGCGGCGACGGTACCCTCTGCGTATCCATCGACCAAATGGCGGACGAAGGGGACGTGGTGGGTGATACCTACACCGCCTGCAAAAAGCAGGACGGTACCGTATGAGTCCATGGAGTGAATGCTGCCGTACGGTCCCTCAGCGAAGGCCCTGAAAGTCACCGTGGATCCGGCTGCATTTTGAGCACGCTGGAACAGCTTATCGGTGAATCCCGTGCGGCGGCGAGCGAGAAGTGATAGAGTCGTCTTCCGGGTGGTCGCAATGTCTTGGTAAGTCATTGGGATTCCTTTTTCATCGGTGACGACTTCTTCGGCTTCGCTCCAGGCCACAGAGAGCGGATGTGAGGTCCACCATCCGATCGCCGGAATGTACAGGTAAAGGTGCTGGCCGGGTGTCAAGGTCCAAGGTCGAGGCATGTTGAGGACCATTCGTACAGCGTCACCTGGCATGGCCTCGACAGTAACTGTTGTCCCTGTCCTACCGCAGTTGCGATACAAGAGGATGGCAAATCGTGCGAATCGCTACCACGGGAGTTAATTCCACCTTCAAAGCCCATTTCTTGATGAGAATGAAGAAAAGATCACATACCTCCAGCCCCCAGAAGATCACTGCGACGAGAAGATACGTCTGCGCTACAAGCCCGCTAAGGTGGATCCAGAGTAAGCCAAATCCCACGGCTATCATGACGATGTGTATATGCAAGAATGTCTCGTAGAAGGCATGGCGAAGTGGAGATGGAGAGTGCAGCGCAAGCACAACAAATGCGATGGCGGCCTGTCGAGAATCTATTAGCCTTCCGCAAGTTTTCTTTAATTGAATAGGGCATTGCTTACAATCAGTCCACTCCACATGAAACGACTTTCTCTAAACGCCATCCCAACGGCATCCCAACTATCTAAACGACAATATCATCAGTCTACACAAGCATTAATAAAATTAGGATGCTGCTAGAACAACATACAATCCTGCACCTTGGGTATCAACCATGCCAGTACATGAGCAATGGACTCCAAAACAACAATACGGGCCAACCAGCGGTGGATAAGGTTGAACGTATCAAACGAGACGCGAAGAAGCGGGATCAAGGGATTATTCCGTCCAGCTACGAGCACGAGGGGAATCAAGTTGACTGTGGCCATTGTACCCGTCCTGTTCCGGATGACACCTGCAATAGTGTTCTCCTTGGTCCCATAGGGAGCGGTCACCACGCAAAGTACAATGTTCATGGCGATGATGCCGATTAAAACGAGTGTATGGAAACGACTGGGTAGATTACCCATGTTGATGGCACGCGATAACTGGAACTCGTTGTTATGCCTGGTCCGGAACAGTGGAGCATAGATCAAGTGATTCTTGAGTCTCGCGAACCATCTGTCGGATGAGACGAAATAGCGCTGTCGTTCATTGCCCAGACTCGCTAACAATCTGATGTAGCCATAGAAGCGCTGGTGCAATTGCCAGAGGAAGACGAACGCAGCTATGCAGCCCATTATCAAAAGGGAGAGACGTGCAAGGTCATCATCGATCATCTCGTAGAACTTCTCCATTGGGCTCTCTTTCTTAGTGTATCGTTTCTCGACGTCCGTCGCGAAGGCGAGTCCAACCAGGGACAAAGGGATGAAAAGGAAAGCCATTGCTTATGGGAAAATCGTCTAGATAAGAAGAGAAGAGAAGGAAACAAAAGTAGTACCAGTCGAACTTCAAGTTCGAGAACAACAGTGTTGAATGAATAGAAGTTTTCTGGATGAGACCAGCTCGGTACCGGGGAAACCAAGTGAATGACAACAGGCCTCAAAATAAGGAGAGATCTTCGTGTTGTCTCCTTAAAAAGGGAAGAGCAAAGAATGGTAGAAATTGACAGATATTCGATCGAAACGGGGTGAAACCTGTTGTGGCAGTGACTGCGTCGCGGAGGTGATCCAACACCGGGCGGGATTGAAATGACAGCAAAGCGTGTGGTCCGAAATAAATAGGACAATTGAAGACAATCAAAATGAAGACAATAGGATGGCATCCAAGGATGAGAATAGGGACAAGGACAGTGGCAATGATGATTGTAATGTGTCTAAGCCAGGCCCTGCCTTTGTTGAAGATTGATCCGAAAGGAGCGTCGTGACACAGTCACTGGAAAAGAAAGACGAATGAAAAGAACAAAGCCTGTTTGAAAGAAAATGACAGCTAGAACGAACGAGTCCAGGAGAAATAAAAGAAAAGAGGAAGAGAGGAGGCAGAATGATGAGGGTCTTCTACCTGAGACGAAGCACACAGCCCGAAACGGACAAGGGGGCACGAGACCGGCTCCTAGAGGGGCTGGGGCTGGTCATTGGGCTCGCCTGAAACAAAGTGCTCACTCCCCAAACGCGCGCAGAGTCAATCATCACCACTGTCCGATCTCCATCGGGGATCGTCGCCAAGAACCAAGCCTTGACGATTTACCTCGCCCCACCATGTTCGCCTGAAGCGCTCAGCACTCGTTGCTCTGCAGTCTCAGTGGCTGACGGTGAAACAGGTAAGCTTTTCCATTGAGCCACCCCGTGTTATCCCTTACAGCTTGCATCTGCTCACACCACACAACTCACTTGCCAGCTGGTACCTATTATCTATCGATCTTCCAGGAACCGTCTGATGCATCAGAGTATCGGCGTAGCGCATATGATGCAGCCGATTTCATAACAGCACAAGCCGCTTCTCCGAGGAAAGAGACTAATAAAATAAATTGACTACTCACTGTTCTCGTCAATACATTCATTCGGAGGAACCGATTTATCTCCGTCTCTGGTGAGCAAAACGTCCGGAGCTCCGGGGAAGGGACAGTTCGTGTGGTTTCAACGGTGGAGCGAGCAGTCTTAGGTGTATACTCTACCACGGTACGGTCGGTAGTTAAATTGGGCCTAGAACCATACAGTCTGACAATGTCCGGGAAAAGATACCCGACAGAACGAAAAAGGGGAAAAAACGTGAAAACATGTAGCCCCAGAACACCAAGAAAAAAAAAGGTAAAAATTTGCCCTTCAACTCCAATGGGTATCACTGTCGTGCAGATAGCAGATAATCAAAAAAAGGAAGCCAAAATGCACCGACCCAATGCTAGAAGGAAAGCCGTAAGTGGTTGGAGGGAGGATTCGAATGCAGAGGCAGGGGTGTAGCGATCAATCGAAATCCAAAATATCGTCGCACTGAGTGTCGATAGTTCACAACTGTAGCCAAGGAATAATAAAAGCGAAATTGCGCGGCTATCACTATACCAAGAAACTGAGTTCGTCCTCACTCTCACCATCGCTCGAGCAGGGGATAACGGATTTTATCCGCGTCATTGGTGGAACGGACATGGTAGCATGTCTCCTTGTCCGTAAACCTGTCCTCTGGCATGATGACGACACTGGTTTGACATTATCATGGATGAAGCAGAGCTCGTCGATAGGCTCTTCGGAATCACTGTCTGTCTCATCCGACAAGGCCGGATCTGTCTTGTTGATGATAACCACTTCAACTTTGGTATGTGGTTTCATCGTATCTGTCCCTTCAGCGCCCACTTTCTGGTTCGAATCTCGACCGCAATGCATGGTATCACCGAAAGCGCTTGGTCGCACACGATAACTGGTCGCTGTCCGGGGGATAACGTTGGATGCTTGGGACTTGCTAAGGTCAAGCCAATCGGTTGACCTTGTGGAATGGGTTCTGATATGGGCAGACCGAAGCCTTTTGCTTGGCCGTCGACGAACTTCCTCGTCCTCGACTCCCCTTTTGATTGAGAGTGAAGGGGTTGACGGTGCAGATGATGTGAAGCTCGAGGCAGAGCTCCCAGACGGAGAATCGGTAGGCGCACTGCTGCCCGTTGAGGGAGTTGCTTGTCTCTGGCGGACAGCCCTTGACCCCGAAGCTGACTGCATTGCGGTCTTTTTCATTTTAGGCACTGGTGTACGCTCAACCCACTCGCCGATACCCTCCTCCCATCGATATAGACCCTTATTTTCGCTCTTATAGATATGCTGATGATCGCTTGGATGGTCCCTTTTTAGTTCCTGGTGAAGCTGAGAAGATAGGAATCTCTCTTGAATATCAGCTGCCCAAAGATGATCGTCGGGGTCCAACGTCGCTTCTGCTAGGCTCATCGCAGTTTCAACTGCTACCTTACCAAGGAGAGTTGAAAGGCCTTGTGTATCACCCATTTTCAGAAGTCCGGCAATCTGCATGCGAATTTCTTCAGAAACATGGGTCCGATCACACTTGGTCGCGCGCTCATAGCAACAGATCACTTGCCGGACCAAAACTGCCAGTTCTTTGACCACGTCCTGCTTACTGGCTAGCAAAACACAGAAAGACTCAAGGCTGTGCACAGAAACCGAATTAAACTGACTGACACTCCTAGCGAGGGACTCCCCAACGCATTGCAATACACAGCTGCCCAGCAGGACGTAGCCACGTCGTAGTAATTGAGATGCCGAAACATTAGCTTGACTGGATGCCGGCCTCAATTCAATATCTCGCTGTACTGCTAAAGCTAGACAACAAACTAGGTCTCTCATCCTTGTACTGGCAATTCCTTTCTCACTAGCTGGTGCGTAGAAACGCGCAATATGCATTCCGCATAAAGCAGCGATAAGACTCAAGACAAGATTGTTAAGAGCCTCTTGTATGGAAACAGGACACGATGGCTCATATCCCTGGGAATGGCCGGCGCTCTTTGCAAGGGCACGACGCCCCCTTCGACTAAGTGGGGGTATCACGCGAGTGTTTGCCCTGGACGCGGACATGTCCGTCGTGTAGGTGCCGCTTGCTGAAAGTATGACAGCTTCAATGAAGGATATTGCTGCAACAGAGGAATCGTCTTCTGCCGCCAATGACTGGATTGCTTCATCCACGCAAGGCTTCCACGAAGTGGTCACCATCCACTCAGGAGAGATAGCTCCGCGAACAAGGAGCTTTGCCACCTCGTCAAAAACGAAAGACCGACATCCGGATGGCGATGCATGGTATACCTTCAATAATCGAACCGGGCTATCGTAGCCATTTGACCACGAAGATGAATCAAACGTTGTTGGATGATCGTCGGTATGGATTGTTTGCAAATACCTTGACAGCAGCGTTTCAAAGGCATCAAGGTGTTCATGATGCATACATGCCTCGAGAAGCCGACGGGCGACCATTTTCGTGACCCATTTCTTCCGTATCATCTCTGAGACCAAGTAGATACCCTGTGCCCGCACAGCGCCCCGAAGTGGCTTCCACCCATTGCCGCTGGGCGCATAGTGAGCCTCCAACTCGGTGAAATATACATTGCACATATCCACTTCGAGTTCTTCTTCCTCATGATCCTGCGCATCTTGGATTTTCTGCTCTTCCTCAATAAATTCCGGAAGCCGACGTGCAGCCATGGACAACAGCGAACGAGCCCCGCGATCCTTGACCGACGCATCAACGGAAAACTTAGTGTTATCCAAGAACTTAATAAGTATGCGGTCGAGAAATCGTGCAATGTCGATAAAACCAGTATCCCCCGACATATCAAGGGCCTCTTTCCAAGAGCCTTTGTAAGTAGGATAGGTACTTTCCTTCGTTCGCGTCGCCTTTCTCCCCAGGCCCGACTCATAATTGTCTAAAGAAGGCGATTCACCCCTAGAAGACCCTCCCCCCCCTGAATCAGACCCGAGGCTCCTTCGCAGTGTCTTTCCGGTAATCAAAGGCGTGGCAATTTCAATGGCACCGGGCAGCGTCCTCTGCAACTCCGGGCTGTGAATAGATAATCGATTGCGCCTTCTGCCACGCTTTCCTTCACAACGCTTCGAGTACTTGTGTCTAATCCGACGCTTGTCTGACTTTCCAGGAATCCAAGAAGGATCATTACCATCGTATTCCGAGTAAGAGCCGCTATCCTCAACACCGGCGACTTTAGGCGTCCTGACTTGATACTCTCCATCGCATTGTTTGAGCCCGGACTTGTCCCTCTCTCTCAAATCCATGTCAACCAAGGATAGAGTCTCCTGATGCTTTTCCAGTCTGCGATAGACCGAAGTCAGCGGGCGTAACATGCGATTCGCCCATTTCGCCGTCGGTCGGATATCTTCCATGTCGAGAGAACCGAAATCGTGGACCAGTAATATGTTCTGGCAATAGAAGATGCAGATATTAGCATGATTTTACACATAGTAAAGAAAAGGACAGCATGGAATTTATCCCACTATTTATCTTCTATGTTAAGCATTGACGCTCGCACCAAAGTCACTTGCGGTTCATCTTTGTTTTCCAGCGAGACCTAGGGCAATGCTTCTAAATGCATAAATCTGGGTCTTGATAGGAAAAGGTGTTATTTCTGCGTCCGATATAATGCAAAAATAGAGGTATAAGTAAATATTTGAAGGCGATAATGCGATGCTGGGAGTAGAATGTGGTACTGGTAGAACTGATCAGAGAGAGGCGCATATTGTAAACAAAGCTCCGGAAGCGGACCGATTACCGGATACGGTAAAGCGCCATCATCCGCATCTTCGTCGATTTACGACTCTGGGATGCAAGAAGAATCGCAAAAGGTAATGCAGAAAACGTTTACAGTAATGATAGAACTGACCGCTGCCTATATGAAAATGAAAACCTCATCACATGGATCCTCACTCAAGAGAAACAAATAATACTGAAAGTTCAAACGCGTGCCAAGTATTCATCAATGTCATCACTATCTGTGGAAATGTTTTTGAGGCAAGGAATCGACTATAATCCATTACCTAGACTCCCTCAACTCCTTCGATCCAACCGTATGTCAACCCAATAATCAATATTGCAAAACTCCAGACAGCGCCCCATCCTACAGCACCCTCGTAGCCGGCCCCCTTGACGGTTACGGGTATCTGTATGGCGCTATCAGCAGCAGCAGCTACTGCAAGAAGAACCGTTCGCTTTACGAGGACCTTCGTCTTGGTTGAAAGGACACCCCACGTGCGACGATACACGGTTGTGATCAGGTATTCGCCTTGACGGCCCGCCGACGGCTGGAGCTTGGTATCCGCCGGTGCTCCCGTCGAGCTCACAAACAGGAAGTCGCGCACCAGCCAGCCAGGAAGGAGGAACGTGGCAAAAAGAGTCGGCAGAGTGGCGGGGCCGGCATGGACTGCCGCGATGCTCGGGATACCTTCAAAGTGCACGACAAGGTACGCAGGAAGCCAGGTCCTGTAGCTGATATACAGAACCAGGGAAAAGACAGCTGACGGTACAAGGGTAGTATAAATCGACGTGAGGCGATCCTGAAGGATGGAGCGATTCGGCACTATACCTGGCAGAGCGCGAGACCGATTGTGCACCGAAGAGAATGACCGCATGAAGATAATTGGGAGCGAGGGGCAGACCACAGAGCTCGTGTACCACAGCAACATTGTCGTTGGTCGAACTGCATAAAAAGAGGACAGCAGGGAGAATATCGGAACGTGTGAGATGGCGTAGAAAGATGCCATATCTCGCGCTGTTGATGTAACCATAGTCAGCATCATTTGTGTGTTTGCTTCCTCAAGTTTAATTCCCCAAGCCTAAGTCTCACCATCAAACCCCATGCGCCAAGCGAGTTCCATTTCAGCCATCTTCCACACAACCAAGCTGCACACCTCCCAGGACGCGTCGATCTTTCCCAGATCGTTGAGAGTCAGATTGCCGAGTTCAGTTCCAGAGGCGAGAATAAGAACAATAGCGGTTAGCACGATGCATGTGATAGTAGCCAGAATCCATCTTCCTAGAGTCGGGGTTGTTGAAGCTGGGCGTTTCCGCCGCTTAGATCTGGCCGAGTCGTGGTCGGGTCGTGGACTCTCCGCCACAGGGAGCTTGGTGTCGTTGCCAGAGGACATGGTTAGAGTGACACGCGAAATATACTCTGCTTCTGTTTCGATAGAGAGATGAGAGCAAGATGTATTCGATGGAGGGGTGGGTGTAGGCGTAGTGGGATGTCCGGCAGAAGACAATAGCGGAATCTGGTTGTGTTTGTTTTGGTGACGACGGCCAGGTGGTGATGTCACCGTCACGACCAGCACCTGTCTCCGCAGACAGCAATGCCGTCGAATTCATTGAATGCAGCATCGCTTTGAACATTGGAATGCAGAGCTGGTCAAGGAAGGCGACTGATACATAGCACAGTGGTTTGCTAAGGTAGCATTCTTCTTGGATGGCACATTAACGGCCAGGCAAGATCAATGCAAACAGTCTGGTGGAGCAAGTATGCTGCAAATAAGTTAAGACTGTTTGCAGCCTCAGCTCAGCTGGCATATATCATGAAATGCCCTGAGACGTGTCATCTTCAGCCTTGGAGGACAGTAAGCCTCAGCCACGCGACTCTAGCAATGCAACCGGACTCTCTTGATGCTCGTCCCCGGCGGGGTCGCCACGTCTCCTGCAACATCTCATCCCCAACCATACTAACATAAGACATGCCAGGCGTTCCCTCAGGTCGGGCTTGTGATTCCTGCCGTCAGCGAAAGAAAAAGGTATGTACGACTCCACTAATTTCCTGGGATTGAATTTGGTTGTTAATGATACAAGTGTGATGAGAAACAACCTGTCTGTTCGCGGTGCATTCGCCTGAACCTGGTCTGCGTGGGTTCGGGCCAGCAGCGATACAAATTCAAACAACATCATCAACATCAATTTTCTCCAAATCGCTCCAGCAAAGATGCCCAGATCATGCCTCGTAGTAGGATAAGACCTACGAAAGAAGGGAATGGCGCACTTGCTAGGTCTCCGCCTGCTATGCCACCCAGCAGTGAACTCACCTTGTTGCTGAATGCGTTCATGACTACCATTAAACCATCAACGGATTTCAGATATAATCTTCGGTGGTCCTATGGGTTGTTCCTGACGGATATCCCGCAGCGCCTCGGTTCGAATGAAGCACTCGACTGCTCTGTCGATGCGGTGACAACTGCTCATGCAAGTTTCTGTACTCACCGGATCGCCTCCGTGGAAGCGCTCGCGAAATACTCCCGCGCCCTACAAGTTCTCCGAGTCTGCTTGGATGACCCCGTCAAAGCTCACTCCTCTAATACGCTTTGCGCTGTGATGATGCTCTTGATCTGTCAGGCCTTCCTTGGGCCAAGAGATGGTTACTGGTCGGGCCATGCCGAAGGTGCAGCACGTATTCTCCGGGCGCGAAAGAGCTTCAGTCCCAGAGATGATTTTGAAAGAAAGTTGTTGCATTCTTTACGTGCATGTGTGGTATACGCTGACCCATTCCCAATATCATACTTCATCGGTTGGTACTGATGATGCCATTCAAGCTGGTTGAGGGTCTCTTCAATGATAAAATTGTACTGAGCCCCAACGAATGGGAGAGACTCGTTGGGAACGACTTCGATTACAACTATCCTGAAAGTCAAATGATGCGATTGCTAGCATGGGCTCCAGACCTGATGCAACGCGCAAGATATGCCCTACACACCGGAAATGATCTGACGGCATTGCGAAACGAGACATGGTCAATTTACGAGAAATGCAAACGAAATCTGAGCACTCAGCAGGCCCTATTATCTGCTATCGAAGCCTCTGATACAACTAAGTCTTCTCCGTCAGAGACATTTATGACCCAGATCTTGAACGCGCACTACCAACGCACCTATGGATTTGGTTTAGCGGTTGCTGCCCTCTTCAATTGTATGCTCAGTACATTGGATCCTGAAAACAGTGTCATTGTGTTAGATTCAACATTTATCGCACAGGAAATTCTCTCTCTGGCTCCGCGTGCCACCGTATACAGACCGATTGGGGCGAGTTACTTTACTTTGTGTCTGTCAGCCGCGTGGGCTGTTACGACGGATCCGCTGTTGCGGTCATTGATTGAAGTCTCTCTGGTCGACTACCTAATGGATTTCAAACTGCAGAATGAGGCTGATTTGCAGGACGCTCTGGAATGGACAGCTCGATGTATGTGGCTTGGTGTGCCTGCTGGGGTAGATGCTTGTGTTGCGGAGGTGTCACCGGTAACAATGTAGAGTGAGATCAAGTAGGGCAGTCTTGTATTATTATCCCCTTGTAGAGACTTTCCCCTTCTGGATACTACCACCTTCATGAAGGTGCTCAGTGTGATTATCAGTGCGTATTTCACATCATGGGTGAGCGCTCAAGGTTTATTTTGCGCGGGCTGACTTGACATGGGTGCCTAGTTAGCCATTTTCAAATTACCCAGACTGTGACGACCATACCTGAGGTATGATCGTCAGCATGTGGCCCTGGCACGTCTTAGAAGGTGCCAGCAGATTGAGCAAGTAGGGCACAGGGCTAGGGCTGAGGGCAGGCAGCTGCCCTCGCCTCCTATTTCCTCCCCACCATGTCTTTCACTTTTTCCTTTCGTTCTTCTTCTCCTCATGTACGATATTCCTAGACAGTATGACCAAATAGCGGGTTGCTTTCCTCTTCTCATCCTATTATAGCTGATCGTCACAGGTAGATACACTGGTAGTTTCACTGGAGGAGGGATGGGTTCATATTGATCTGTTGTCACGGAACTCAACTAGACGATGAATAGGATGCTATTCAGCTATCTAGGCAGCTATCGACGAGAACTTCAAGCATGGAGAGGAAGGAAAAAGGGAAGAGATCTACGTGAAGCTAGACGACGTATTCCTATCCACGCGCCACGCTAATCCAAATAAGGAAGCTCACGTGCTCGTCCTGGTCTACTAATGGAGGTGTATCGTTGGTTGGTAACTAGCTAGATAGGCCTACGTGGTGAAAAGGGTCAGCGAGGGCGGACCTATGCGGCAGAATCCCACGTGATCCAACATCTACATGGCAAGGGCCCTGACAGGCACTGGTTAGCACATTTTGTCTCAGAAGGCCAGGATTATTGTGGAAAAAGAGTTGGCAGAGATTGTCTGAAAGCTCTCCCCTGATGAGGGATATTGTCACAGAGTGCAATGAGTGAAAGAGGTGAACAGTGCCTGGATGAATGTGCAGGGCAAAAGCAATGAAAACATCAACTTGATCATTGGTAAACCTAAGGATGCACAGAGCTGAGGAGGCCATTTTCAACACCCTTGTGGAACTCAATAGAAAGCAAATGATGTTGCAGATGACAAAAGCCATGATACTGCCTGGGGATTGTGTTGGTGGTGTGTGGGCAAAAAGTGTGGGAGTGTGGCAGGTGATAGTTGCTGTTTTCGCTGTCGTTTTCGGCGTTATGTGCGGTTAAAAATAACAGTGAAACAGTAAAATGAAATTCTATGTGGGAATAAAAAATTATATATGTAGACTCCTCCCCGTTAATCTTACTAGGCTTTCGAGACACATGTTCTTTCATGGTATTCCAAACCGGACAGATTGTCCATATACAATAATTTCACATTCAATCATCCTCATCCTCACTGGCACGCTCCACAGTTGAGAATTCAACGGTACCGGTTTCCCGACCTTTGGTATCACGAACCACAATCTTATATTTGCCCTGGTCCCAAAGGTCCTTGATGGTGAGTTCACGCGTCCGACCCAAGCTTTCAATGTCGCCGATACGTTCCAGAGTACGTTCTAGATGCTTTTCAAAGCCGGGCTCTGAGCAGATCTCCCGAAACGCGATCTGCATGGGAACTGAATCGGCTCGCACCATGGCTCGCGAATCGATCGTGAAGATGTTGTCATGGTCATAGCTCTGAATAAAGTCGGCTCTTGTCATAATATACCGGGCTTCGTGAAGAGGGATCTCCGGGAGAATATGGCCGTTCTCGGGGTCGTACGTCTTATCCATAGCTTTCTCTTTCTCAACCAAGGCCTTTGCTAGGACCAAGGCAGCGGACTAATTTTTGGCGTCTCAGGTTAGCAAGATTGCTCGGAGTGGCTGGTAAACAAAACGGGAAGTACAATACTCACGGAATATTTTTGCTCGTCCATCACATCGTCATCCATTTCCATTCCTAGAATCCAGCATTTGTTGAGAAGCCATGTCTTTTCTGTCTCGCAAATGGCGCGACAGGTTTTCAATATATCGTCTGACCGCGCAACGCGATTCAAGAAGGATAAGCGACCGCCGACTTGATTGTAGACCTCTTCGAGGATCTCGGAAGGGAGATCTTCGCCAAAATATTGTCTACGGTAATTCTTCAGGGCCATCATCGCCCTTTTTTTAGGGAGATCTGTGACGGGAATGACCTCCATTCGAGACGCGTACCGCTTTAGGCGTTCATATACCCAGTAGTCATCGCTATTTAACACTTTTTACCACTGATATTAGTATGCATCATGAGAGGGGTCAGAATTGGGGATAGACCAGAACCTGCCTGTGACAACTAGGTTGCTGGCCGCCCACTGTTCGGCCCGCTGCTGGATCACCTCGAGGAGATCCTGACCGTCATGGTCATCTCTCACCAAGTGCATACTGTTGATGACCAGCACCAAGGGCGTCTTGCCCGTGCGCCGTCTCGTAACTGCAACTTTCTCCAATTTATTGAATGCACGTTCGATATCTAGGAGAGCCGTAGTGTCGCGAGGGCCACGGATACTGAAGAGACTACCTATGTAGCTGGAGTTGGTCATTAGCTGCACTGTCTAGCAGAAAAAGGCGACTTGGGGAAACAGGAAGCGGCGTACTCTTCATGAAACTCGTAGTCCAATGCTTTCCCCAGTCGTAACCGGAAAATCTCCTGGTCACCATGCGCCTCGAACATGGCCACGCCGTCCCCATTAATCTTGCGCATTGCTTCCAAAATCATTGATGTCTTCCCGGTGCCTTTCTCGCCGACAAGTAAATAGTAGTGACCGTTTGCTTGCCCAGAAATGATCCTATCTATTTTCTCCTGCTCGTCGCGGACAACCCAGTGTTCCTCATGATTGTACTGTTGCTTTCCTTCCTCGACCCCGGCGACTACTAGCGCCGGATCTCCGGGCTGAAACGCGTTGTCCATCTTCTGCAGCACCAGGTATTTGTAGTATTTGTGGTAGGAGTATCCAGCGGCACTACGGGGACGGTCAGTCAGAAGAACGAGGACCAGGGAAGGGGCAGGCTGGTTGTCCGTCAACACACCCCAGGATAAGAAGTGAAGCAAATGTGGTAGCAGCTGTCTCGAATATTCTCAAGAAAACAGACTTGATATTGGGTTCGGAGTCTTGCCCGTTGGTTTTACCTGTCGCGTCGTCCGCATTGTGGTCGAGAAAGCCCGAGGATTGACCGGCATTCTGCGAGTTTAATCGTCTTGGAATGTAAGGAAAGGTCCGATTCAAGGGTATCCTGCGCTGTCTGAAAAGTCCCAGGCGCGCATGGGCGACGATCGATGGGGTAAAGCGCATTCTCGTCTCGGTTCGATCGGGGTATCAAATCTATCAAAATCTAGATGAATATCGTGTAAAAAAAAAAAAAAAAGGAAACACAATAATGTAACGATTGGAGTAATTGTAAATTTCTATGCATAAGATTCAGATAATGAGTGACCCGAAGTAGAAGACAAGACAAAAGAGCGTGTTTCAACCGATTTCTCAGTATGTATGCGCATCGCAGGAGACAACTCGCGACGAAAACAGCCACGTATGTATCTTGATTTCCTACTTGGCTGTTAACTTTTGAAATGCTGTCAACCAGGCATCTAGGATGGGGATTTGTCTCATTCCTTTAACTTCAACCTATCATTATTGAATTAGAAAAGTACAAAAACAAATGCTGTACGCCTATGATATCTGGTTAGATTTTGATTTAGCCATGTGCTTCGTCATCGCACGTCAAATGCGGATAAACATTGATCCGTTGTGAGGAAGACAAGGACACCTCTTTTCTAGACACCAGCATCATAATCAATTTTCAGTCTTCACAAAACCGTCAAGGTACATTCTTATTTTTGTATGGAGGGTCTCACTTTCCCGGTCTGACGGTAAGCTGGTGGCAGCAGTAATCCGACTGGCCGGAATGTCAGACACGATGGAGCTGGCTACTGGTCCACCCTCTCTCCCTGCGGGACGGTGAGCCATTCAGCGGTTGCAATTATTCGCCAGTTGAACATCTAGTAAACAGGACGTGCTGTATGAAAGGTGTACAGGAAAGTTTATGAGGCTACACTTTAAACATTATGGAATGTGTACTCCGCGATATCTGTAAAACCTTGGTGTACCTGAGCTTCTCACAATCTTTGGACAAAGTAGAATGTCACAGGTCATCTTTCTTTTCTCTTCTTCTATTCATTCTGCTCTTGCTCATTTATTCAACCTAAAGAGAAGAAAGAGAGGATTTCTTGGCTATCTATGTCCTTTACCGTCTGGTTTGTGTGCCGCAATTCTGATGTTTCATCATCCAGAGATATTTTGTTCCTGCAGACGACTGGAAGGGTGGATAGAAGGAGATGCAAGGCCAGGAATTTTATCTTCCTGTCGAGTCAAATTGCAAACCTGACAGATGACAACTTGTTGGCGGTGGAGATCTTCCGATGCTTGAAGCTGACACAGGTTTCCCCTACTTGGTTACCAAAATCTTACCAGATGGGAAAGTTGACTATCGCTGGAGAGAAGCTGTTGAGGGAATTGCTAGGGCCGATCTGTTATGTCTTGAAGGGGAAGAAGCCGTATATTGGGACGATGGAACAGAGGATGATTTGAGAGATTTATCAAAAGTGCTTAATAAACATTACTGGAATCAAAAAAAATTGTTTAGTATTTGACTGTTCCCAGAGTACGTACTGGTCTACGAATGCCACCGTCTCAACAGTGATCTACAAAACCTCAAGCGCTTATCTTGCGCGTACACGTGTCCCTGATCAAAGCAACTAGATGCTGATGACAAGCCGCACAAGACTGGATTTGCGGAAGAGCTAAACCGAGCTGTTCGCGATATAAAGTTTCTGGATGTATGAGCAGCCTTTCTGAAAAAATTAGTCAAGCATTGCAATCTTGAGACTTCTCCATATTGAATCATTGAATCATGAGGTGTTAGGCCATTTTATAGATTCTCCCATCTGTGTGGGGCTTCCGTTTTTCATACCCTTAAATCAAGGAATTCTTTAGTTCATCGTCAAATATCTGACGCCAATCTCAACTGCCGGCTTCTGAGTTCTAGGCAGGATAATGTGGGAGGTGGAACACTACCATCCAGCCATAGGCTTACTGTCGACTGGAGGTCATGGGAAGGACATTTTTTATCCCTGTCTTGGACGGTGACATCCATTAAGGCCCCATAGTTGATCTGGTGGAAATGATATCAGAGTAGGTAACGTAAAAGAATAAGTCGACAGGACTATTTGCGAATTGGCGGCGTAGTCCAGTGATTTAGTAAGGTCTTGTTGGGAGATGTCAACAACGCTCCTTCTGGAAAAGCATCCTTAGCCGCTCTAAGTTCTTGTCATCTGGGGTTTGAGGCAGTGGTGGGTCAAAGTGGATTTGACCAAGGCTGACCTTGATACTTCAGGTTACACGACAGCCTATGGGTAAAAACATCCTGTTGGATCAACTTGCTTGATTGTCTCTATCTATGTTGGTCTAAGGACGCGCGCATGCAAGCGCGATCACGTTTATATCACGTGATATAACTGGCCGAGAGGTTGTGGAACAAACGTTGCTTCTATGAATGTTGAGGAGACCTCGTGGCGATGCAATTTGTTGACTCAGGGGACAGAACAGCAAACTGCTCTTCATGTCAAATTGAATGGAATATTCAACGTCCGCAGACGCTCTTCTATCGGCCTTATATAAGCGTCAATATTCTGTGTTTCTGGAGGTCGAAGCTGGCCTCCTTTCTTCATCTTAACATAAAGCTGGTGGTGGAATTTGAAAGCCCTATCACTGTCTCTCTTCTGGTCATACACCAGGTATTTGCCGTCCAGCCCACTCACGGAATGGTTCAGCAAGATCGTCCAGCTGAAGATTGACTCCATCTTCTAGGACATAGCTAATCAGGTAATTTAGCTCAATTTTCCAGTGGCCCAGTGTTCTTTGCCCCGCAAGATCTCGGAGATAGAGCAGAAACATGGCCTTAATGTACCGGGCAGGGGTAGGCATCTTGATAGGGTAGTAGCCCTCATAAGCTGGCTGGCGACTGTGGGTGAGGATGTTCATATCCTGAATGCGTGAGTCCAAGGTGAGCATGTAGTACGGATCATCTGCAGCTGGGCACCCGATTGGAGGGTCAGGAATGTCCAGAAAAGCCGTGACTTGCGGTAGAGATAGGTGCCATATGTCAAAAGTCAGGAAACTCAGTTGGGTAGTTGAGGTCAGTGTGGAAGTGATGGTTAGGGTATGGATGTGGTCTGAGATCCCAGAAGATTGTACACTTGCTGCCCTGGGTACATGGGGGGAATTTGGCCTTGTTGAGGGTGTGTGCTGCCTTTTCAATGTGCTCATCTGGGATCACCCATCCAGAAAACTAGCCCAGTTAGCTTGGTGGTCTTGTTGCCCAGCAGGGGAGAAGGCTATATACAAAGGTCACTGTAGGGACACCGTAAATAGACAGGACTGGCTCTCCCCAGATGAAGTTTGGGACTCCAGCCTCATCCAGAAGCCGTGCCACATAAGATTCTAGCTTGGGATTTACATCCTTGACAGGAAACTCGACAGCGGCCATTGTTGCTGTTCAGACTGGAATACCTCAATGAAGAGGCGTTTATATATACTTCTGCCTCTCTGAAGTTTTGGATCTTTTGAGGACTTACTCATGCAGAATAATGCAAGGGAAGTATCTAATTGCAGACATGCAAACGGTATCTTGCGTACAAAGGAAGCCGAGTCAGAGCCCTAAATCAGTCCAAAGCACTCGAGGCGGAAACGCGTTTAGTTTAGAAGATCAGCAGTGAGTTATAAATAGCGGATGTGATGAACAAGGAGACAAGACAACCCGGGTTGGTCATGTCAACCAATTCGCTGCAGTTCTCAGTGCCGTCATATTGCTTTGTGGGCGGTTCTTGTGGTGTTGGAAAATTGAGCCTCGTCCATAAATGTCTCATTCAAAAGCTGTTGAAATACTGCAGGTCCATTTGCCAACCCAAAAGGAAGTATGGTACTTGTACGTACCATATATTGTCTGGTCTGAAAAGTGGTTAGATCCGTGTCCTAAAGCTCCAGTCGTAAACGGTGAAATCCCTGTCAGATGTCCAATTTGGTGAAGGTCTTAGCTCCATTTAAGTGGTCCATAAGCTCGTCAATCAATGGTAAGGAGTATCGGTCTTTTCGTGGAATGGCGTTCAGCTTCCTGTAGTCAACGCAGAAGCGGAGGCCTGCCCCAGCTCAGCACCGCCATCTCATGGGTCGGTCTGTGAACCCAGCGAGCATCGGAGCATCAGATCTGGGGGACTGCGGAGAGAGTATGGTGCTCACAACCACATGCAGGTGAACAGCAGCTCAGACAGCCATCGATGAATATTTTACACCACCAGAATTCCCTCAGCAAGAACAAGAAAAGAGAATAAAGCCCCGGGTAACTGGATATGTCGGCCTCCTCGGCGAGACGTCATGTGGAGAATCGCCTCTTCCCCGAGCCAGTAGCCGCCCGAGCGCTTCCGAGCGTCTTCCGCGGCCGCGAAATAATTTTTCTCCCAGGAAACCAAGCAAAAAGACAGAAAAACCTTCTCCTCTCTGGAAGATCTCCGTCGTTCCATCTCTTCCGCATCTTCCTGTTCTGTTCGTTGTTTTGGAGGTCTTCGGGGCTGTCTTCCTTCCCAATTACCCTCGTGCTCGTGTATTATTATTCTTCCTTTCCTTGCATCATCGGCCATAGCAGCAGCAGCTTCTGCAGCTTCTGGGCCCAGTTCTTCGCAGCTCTAAGCTAGTTCTCGGTCACCAATTTCTTCTCAACGGTTATCCTTTCTGTTTCTTCAGCCCTTCCTTCAACTCGATCAATTCCCCAATGGCTCAACAAACCGAGGAAGTTGCACACTCGAAAGGTGGGTCTGTTCTGCTCTGAATTTCTCTCGCAAAATGAGGTCCAAGCATCCAGGCAGGACTGCAACGCCAAAAGTGATCCTCTTAGAAGAATCGAGAGGAGGATACACGATTACAGGGAGAAAGGGGGAAAAAGTAGTATAATCAAAGAACGAGAAGCTAACTCGACATCTGAAGAGTCCGCTCAGCCCAAGCCGACCGAACCCACCACTAATGGAGATCATGTAGAAGGAAAAGAAGGGGAAGAACCCAATGGTGGAGGTGTGTAGAGTCATGCTTCCTTTACTTATTCCTTTTATTTTTAAAATTTCTTTTTGGCAGTGGAGCTGATAATAGATGGCCAGGCCTTTTCCAGATCTCCGTCAAGCTTCCCCATGACCCGTACAAAATCCAAGTTATGGTGGGTATTAGAAAAGCTCCCGAAACGCAATTCGAAAAGGGCTTATTTTTCGCTAATCGGTCTGTCACTAGGTGTCCACCCAAGAGCAAGTGCAAGATGTTCGCCAATCTATTGTCGAGCTGCCTGGCACTTTCCAGTATACCTGCTTCCACTTGGAGTGCAATGGAAAACGCATAAATGACTTCGTGGAACTGTCCGAGGTGGAGGATTTGAAGCCAGATTCAGAGGTCATTTTGGTGGAAGATCCATACACCGAGAAGGAGGCCCGTATGCACGTCGTCAGAATTCGGGAGCTGGTCGGTGCCGCAGGTGACCGCATCGATACCCTCCACGGCATCAACGCTGGCTTGTCTCTGCACGACTCCGTCACTGCAGAAGGCGAGGCATCGGACAAGGAACACGCTCTGTCCAAGTATGATCCTGCTGTCCCTTCTTCTCTGGACACGATCCTCCCAAGGCCCGAGCCTCCTCTTCCAAAGACTGTCAAGGCCATTTCTTTGTCCACATGGAACCCTCCTCCATATCACCTCCGTCAGAAGGGCCATCTGCTATATCTCCAGGTCACCACAAACGAAGGCGAGCAGTTTCAGATTACCTCGCATGTGTCGGGCTTCTACGTGAACAAGTGTTCCAACAGCAAGTTCGACCCATCTCCGAAACCCACACCTAATAAGAAGTCCAAGGCGCATTCATTGCTTACTTTGATTTCTCACCTGTCACCAACTTTCAACTCCGCCTTCGAGGCCCTACAGGAGTCGAACAACAAGAAAGACCTCTTGACGACCTTCCCCTTCCAGAATGCCATTCCTAATAACCCATGGCTTGTTCCCCCAATCTCATCCAGCGTGAATGCTCACCAACCAGATATTACGCGGTCCCAGGAGAATTACCTGCTTTCGGGAGCTGACAATGCGGAGACCTTGCGGGACTGGAACGAGGAGTTCCAGACTACAAGGGAGCTCCCCCGCGAAACCGTCCAGGACAGGGTATTCAGGGAACGCCTGACTTCTAAGCTATTTGCTGACTACAACGAGGCTGCCGCCCGCGGTGCTGTCCTGGTGGCGAGGGGCGAAGTTGCACCCTTGAACCCCACTGAGGGTCGTGACGCTCAGATTTTTGTTTACAATAACATCTTCTATTCCTTCGGTGCTGATGGTGTTGGCACTTTTGCTTCTGAGGGCGGCGATGAAGCTGCTCGTGTGGCGGTTGGCAAGGACGTCCTGGGGATCAAAGCCGTGAACCAGCTGGATATTCCTGGCCTGTTTACACCGGGGACCGTTGTTGTTGATTATCTTGGCAAACGTATTGTTGGCCAGAGTATCGTGCCTGGCATCTTCAAGCAGCGGGAGCCTGGTGAGCATCAGATCGACTATGGTGGTGTAGAAGGCAAGGAGGTCGTTGCTACGCACCCGGATTTCATACCCGTCTTTGAAAAGCTATCTAAGGCTCTCCGTATCAAGAAGCACCCTGTATGGGATAAGGATAACAAGCGACACGATCTGGAAGGCAGCGTCGAGACCAAGGGCCTTCTAGGTACTGATGGAAGGAAGTATGTGCTTGATCTGTACCGCATCTCCCCCTTGGACGTTCTGTGGCAAGAGGAGGAGGGTAAGGATACCTATCCTCATCATATGTCTATTCTGAGACTGGAGCTTGTTGAAACGTTCTGGCGCCACAAGATGAGCCAGTACGTGAGAGAAGAGGTTGAGAAGCGCCGCAGTGTGAAGGCTCAAGAGGACAAGAAGGCCAAAGAGGATACCCCTGAAAAGGCTGAGTCTAAAGAAGCAGAGGAGAAGGAGAAGACCGAGGAGCCTGTGGAGCAGGAAAGAGTGGATATTTCCGGCTTTGAGTTCGCTCTCAACCCAGACGTTTGCAGCGGTCAGATCCCCCAGACAGCAGAAGAAAAGGAGCAATGGGCTCGCGATGAGAAAGAGGTTCGCGATGCTTGCGACTTCTTGCGATCCAAGGTCTTGCCGGAACTTGTCCAGGATCTGCACGACGGAGAAGTGGGCTTCCCTATGGACGGACAGTCTCTGAGCCAACTCTTGCACAAGCGCGGTATCAATGTGCGGTATCTGGGCAAGTTGGCTCGGTTGTCCAAGGAGAAAGGCTCTCGTTTACGGGCTCTTACAACTCTCGCGGTTCAGGAGATGATTGTCCGTGCATTCAAGCACATTGCTAACTCTTATCTTCGCGACGTACCCGGACCATTTGCTGCCTCTTGTGTTGCCCATCTGCTGAACTGTCTGTTGGGTACTGACTTGAACCCTGAACCTCGCCCGGAGATTGATCAAGAGCTTCGCGAGGCCTTCCCAGAGGGTGACTTCTCGTTTGAGAAAGTCACACCGGCGACTCTCAGGGCTGAGATCGAGAAGCAGGTAACGATCCGTTACCGTTTCACCCTGGAGCCTGAATGGTTCAAGTCTTTGAGACACCTGCAGCTTCTTCGTGACGTCTCCATCAAGCTCGGTCTTCAACTGGGTGCCCGCAAGTTCGTCTTCACCAAGTCTGAAGTTCCAAGTAAGGAGCAGCCGGCCATCACTAATGGTGTCAATGGTGCCACCGCCGATGAGGGCAAGAAGAAAAAGAAGAAGAGTGGTGATTCCACCTCTCCGAACCGAGCTTCTGCAGATGCAAAGGCCACTGTTTCGTTTGTTCCGGATGATATCCTTAACATTGTGCCTCTTGTCAAGGATGCCTCACCAAGGAGCTCCCTAGCTGAGGAGGCCTTGGAAGCCGGGCGAATCTCCCTCATGCAAAACCAGAAGCAGCTGGGCCAGGAGCTCATCTTAGAATCTCTGTCTTTGCATGAGCAGATATATGGTATCCTTCACCCAGAGGTTGCCAAACTCTACCATCAACTGTCCATGCTGTATTACCAGACAGATGAGAAGGATGCTGCAGTCGAACTGGCACGCAAAGCTGTGATCGTCACTGAGCGCACCTTGGGAGTTGACTCGGCTGACACCATCCTGAGCTACCTCAATCTCAGTTTGTTCGAGCATGCCAATGGAAATACCAAGACCGCTTTGGTTTATATCAAGCACGCCATGGACCTCTGGAAGGTCATCTACGGTGCTAGCCACCCCGATTCTATTACGACGATGAACAATGCTGCAGTGATGTTGCAGCATCTCAAGCAGTACTCGGACTCTCGGAAATGGTTCGAGTCATCACTTGCCGTGTGCGAGGAGCTCTTTGGCAAGCAGTCCATCAACACGGCAACCATCCTGTTCCAGCTGGCGCAAGCATTGGCCCTGGACCAGGACTCCAAGGCTGCCGTCAAGAAGATGCGTGACGCCTACTCCATTTTCCTCAACCAGCTCGGACCCGATGACCGTAACACGAAGGAAGCCGAGACATGGCTCGAACAGCTTACGCAGAACGCCGTGTCGATCGCCAAGCATGCCAAGGATATCCAAGCTCGTCGCCTTCGCCGCATCAATATGGCCACCCGCTCCCTTGGAACCCGCGTCCAGCCTCAGGTCGGCCAATCGGCGCCGGAGACAGCTGGAACAGCTGCGGCTCAACAACCTAAACTGGACACCCGCAATATCGATGAGTTGCTGAAATTCATTGAAGGCGGTGATTCGAGCTCTCAGTCTAAGCAGAAGAAGAGGACTACCGCCAACCCCAAGCTGAGAGGGTCTAAGAGATCCTCCGCTAAGGCATAGGGGATCTTGAAAAGCAAGGCTATTTCTTCTTTCTGTTATTTATATTTGGCCCCCTTTTTGTTTGTGTTTCCTTTTTTATTAATGGCAGCTTGTTCTTGGAACGCTGGAGCAGCAAGCACTTGTTCTGTCCAGTCTCAAAATATCTGATCAAAATCCAGAAGGGATTTGAAATAAAATTCTTTTTTTATTGTTTTCTTTTTTGGGTACTCTGTATTATACTTCCGGATGGGCATCTCTCTACTCCACTCCTGCCATTTGGCGCGCGTCTTTTATTCATGTCGAGTGTATTTTCATGCCACTTTTACCCTCTGTGGACAAATTATTGCAAAAACTGAGTCAGGGGAACGGGATGATGATGAACCCCTGACTTGAGCATCACAAGCTGCTCTATATGATATATAGTATGTCGTATATAATATATGCTCTACATCATAAGCTATGACTGCCCCCTGCCAAGGGCAGGTATGTTGAGATTATATTTATGTGTAGGCCCAGTCTATATAACCCGCGTTGATTTTGGTGTAGTGGCTATATTTTGTTTCAACATAGTATCAGTATTACCAATACATGTACAGGGCTATCTGTTATTAACTATTCTCTATGGTATTGTCCAATAATGTTGACAAGAAAAGTAGGGTATCAGCCATGATGCTTTGCCAATTGGACCAACCGATATCGTTGATGCTAGATGCAAGATAGAAAGGAAATATATATCAGTAGAGCATGGTGGAAAGGAAAGAGACACGAACTGTGAGTGTGTTGCGCTTCTCAGAAAGGGAAATAAAGTACGAAGACTAAAACTCCGACTGAGGACGCTTATCATCATATTCATCCCCGTGAATCCCATCCGAAGACCCAAGGCCCGAATCTTCATGATCGAAATCCGATGACTCGGGAAGACTACTGGGTAACAGCCACCCAGGATGGAAAAAATTAAAGACACCCACAGCAGGAGCCATCATAGCACCATCCATGGCAATAAAAAACCTCTCGTGGGTGATCAGGAAACCAGACCAACCCTGCGCCAGCTCGATGGTCCGATAGATACAACGGACATAGACGCATAGGATGGAAAAGATCATAGCAGCGAATAATAAAGTAGGACCGCGGCCTTTACCGAGGGTCTGAAGAAGACCACGACGGAGGGAGCGACGGATGAAATCTGCAGCACAGGCGACGAAGACGGAGATGGAGAAGAGTTGAAAGACGATTCCGGCGACCATGATGTCTGTGCCTGGTTTGGTGTTGCCGTCTACTTTGTCTGCTTCGGTAGCTGCCATACCGCCTCCAATGGCTTGGATGACGAGGGAGGCGACATCGCAAGTGCAGAAGATCCAGAGGTAGAGATTTGGTGTTAGGATGGAGCAGTTGCGGCCTAGAAGCTTGATGTAGTTTCCTAGGATGACGTAGATGCCTGCTGTGAAGAACGTGGGAGCTTCAATGGGGTCTTATTAGTACAATTCATGCCTTGAAGGTAGTCAATGGTATCTGTACTCACCGATAATGAGGGTGGTGATCTGCATTAAGAAAGCGTTCATGTTATACGGGCACTTATAAGACCAAACGCGACCAGCCCAGCCTAATATTTCGGCTGTTTTTTTTTTTTCATATAATATCAATAAGAGCAATTGAGACCGACATAAGGGGGAAAAGAGCAAACATACTGATACATCCAACGGTGAAAACCATGGACCACCAGGTCCTTTTCCAAACCGATTGCACCGCATGGGCAATCATTGACAGACCAAAGAGAACCAAGAAGACGATTCCGGCTGCCAGAGACGGCCGATAGCCGTAGGAGTTACCTATGCCGGGAATAAGAGGATAGCAGCTGTTCGAGAGATCTATCTGCAGCTGGGAGACCTGTTCCGGGTCGTTTGGATTGAATCCCGGGGGTAAAGACATTTTTGCGACGTTGGAGTTGGGAAAGAAAAGAAGCAATGAGCAAGCGATAATTTAGAAGTCAAGCTGATTAACCAATATGTAAGAATATAGAATATACGCTGTCAATATGGCTATAGCCCGATATATCATGCCAAGACGGTTGTTGGGGGGTGCAATAGTAGAATTTTTTCGGCTGCGGACAACGGAATCAACGCGGTATTCGATGGAGAAAGAATGGGCACTTTCTAGAAAAGAGAACGGCAGAAGGCAGAGACAACCAGAAACGAGAAAAGTGAAGCGAAAGTGGGAGCAGCGAAAAGGGAGAAGTTTGTACTTGAGTACAGAGTAAGAACTAGGTAGATTATATAATAATACTCCGCCACGGTTAACTATCTCCGATGCCGACGGTTCCGCTCGCAAGCTCTTCCTGTTTGGGACTAGCGCGAGAACCTGCAAGATTCAGCCTTACCGTATTAGTCAGCTCTGTGGTCGTCTCGCAACTTCTGCCAGAAGAGAGGAAAAGATGCAAAGAAAATAGAACAAAAAATGGGGAATGGAGAAGGAACCCTGGAAAGAATCCGGGTTCCTGTCCAATCACGCCGGTGAAATCCCGGTTCGTATAATTATTGCCGCTTCCGGCAGATCCGCTCCTTTCCAAGTCACTGACTTTCATCTGCCCTTGCCCTTGCCCTAACCATGGAACAGCGTAAATACCGAGATGATTCGGAGATTTTATAGCATAGTATTCTGGGGATGTTAGGCGTTGGAAGCATTCAGATTGCCTACATCACACACCAGACCATCATGGCTGATTGCTTCGATCACTAACGGGAATCGCTGAGACGTTGACCTCGTACGACTAAAAGCTTAGTTCATGGCAGTTCCCCGCTTATCCCCAGTCCAGAGACGCCAGTGGATCCCAATCTGGTGCTGCAACTTGCGAGTCCTGAGTCGAACAGAGAGTGTGTCAACCAGGAATACAATGGCTCTTTCTCACGCAATGGGATTCAGCTTTTACCTTCATATACCCCGTCTCGCTTCCACTACACCACTGGTATTGGCCACAATCTGTAGAAATCACATCACGTCTACCACACTCCGAGGGGACTCTTTCATGCTTTCTCTGCAAGTCTTCATCCCTCTCTTTCCCAATTCCAGGTTAGCTGCTGCCATACCCATTAGCATAGATGGACTGAACTACCTCGCCCTAGTGACGTGGTATATCATCGACACCCAGACCCGTAAGCGGTTCATCGATAATACGCATTGAGCTCTGAAATCCTTCCACGGAAATGGACAGGATACCCTGAATGAAACCTCTGGATTCTCATACCAGGCTCTGGTCTTTGTTCGGGTTTGCGTTCCTGCATGGGATTCCGTGATGTTGGTAAGGATATATATATATATAACTGATCAATTTAGTATCAAGTACTGGATACTATACCTGTCAGGCCAACGTCTATTGATAGTAAATGATTTTATGTAGACATCGGCTGCAGTATACTCAGTCCAGCATATTGACCGAGAAACAAACACTGGAGCCGGTCCTTAGTAGAGGCCGGTTGTCTATTGCAAGACTTGCATCGGAAATGTTTGGTTGTCAGCCTGGGAGATGAGCAAACTGGTAAGGCGACGATCGCTTTGTATCTGGAATGGAAAACAGAGGCCGCGGATCGAAACCATTGAAACGAGATAGCAGTCTGTCAGCGCCAGGTTTGAAGGGTTCAATCAACGGAAGGGAAACCGTGGTTAGTAGGCAAAGAAATGCAAACTAACTCAGTTTGTTCCCATATGCAGTTGGCAGTTGCAAACAGTTTCCAGTGTGGGGATTGAATTGACTCGGATGTGGACGGGATTGAGGTTGATTCCTTTGTCTGGGTTACCTCGCATTGTGCTGATTGCAACTCCATCCAGAGACCAGCGCAATGTATCATCATAGAAACAAAGGTGATTATTCGCCTTGCTCCTGCCGGTGAGATCGTATACCGTCTGACAAAATTTTCTCTCGAAGGATTCAGATGGAAATAAAAAGTGAAGCTTAGAGTGCTTGCACATGCATCAGATCTCACAAGACACGTAAGACGAAGGTAGGATCATGAATAGCTGAGCTAGACAGTCATCATCACTGAAAGTCATAACACAGCCACAGAGAATTCCAATTAGATGTACCGAGTAGGGAACAGGGATAAATAAGACCATTGAAATAGAGTGTATGTGATGAATCTCATTCAGCCCTGTGGCTTTGAACTGGCACACTGGTTCAACTTTCGCGCTTATTAATCGATGATATATTCCTTCTTTAGGCAGCGTACTCTTCTGGTTTCGGAAAAGGCAGCGGAAGATAGAAGTATAGACTGAATAGGAAGTAGGATCATTTAGGAGAAATACATGGCATATACATGTGTTAGTTAGAGATAGTTAGCCTGCCCAAATCACCCCGGTGATGTATCGTCTTTTAAGATATTTTCCCGAGCTGGGCGCCATCAGTGGAAACCCTCTAAATTACCAAGTCACAAAAACACCAAATGAATGGTTCGGGGGGAAGCCGGGCCGCCACGCGGGAAGACGGAATCAAACGTGGTAGTCTATCAATGATACTGAGCGTTCCCATATGCATCATCATGCAGTTGATGCGTCATTCAGAGGAGTGCATGAAAACTCCGTCGAATAGAAATCCACGGCACGGATGGCAAAAGGAAGAGTAACTGATTGACTTTGGGTCCATACGGCATTCCGGAATAGTGGGTAACTCCCGTGCATGCATGATATGATGCATGTATCTGGAAGAAGCAAGCAGCAGCAGAGCAGCAATGCAATCGGGGCCACGATCGATCCAGGGCGTGGACTATTATCGTTCAGCCTAATGATCCTGCAGTGGGACTCCACTTGATAGTATTTGATATACTTGATATTAGGGAACAGTACTCCGTACCTTATTCTTTTTCCATATCCGGATATTTCCTCGAGCTGTGTAGATAAGGTTGCTGTGCTATATTCCTGCATTCATCCTGCAAATTGATCCATGGATTTGCTTTTCTTTGCCTCTTGTTTACTTTTTTTTGTTTTCTTTTTCTCTTAACATAAGACAAGGGGAGGACATTTCTCCATGGATGTATGTTGTCATAAATCCAAAACGGGATAGAACGTATTAATTTAGAGATAAGGAGGAGTCACCCCTTTTCGAACGTCATGCGAGGTTCATTTCCACGGCGGCTATTAATTATCCTTCAAAATCCAAAAATCCGGGACTGGCATTACGTATTCTCTCCCACTGTTGGGAAGTACCACGGAAATGGCGTAGTATTCATCTGCTATCGTGTCTATCTAGGCAACGAGGATTTCTCTCCATGATATCAAGACCTCCCCAAATAGTATCAGTGCTAGATCGCCCGGTTCCACAGGGGCGGGTAATATTATCATCGTGCATTGCAGATTTCCCACGCGGTCCGGAGTGCTACCCGTGTGACAACAGGACGAGAGAAGGTGCATGGCCATGCAATGCAGCGCAGGATGCCATGCGGCATATGTAACCGTATTCAATTTCCGATTCTCTAAAACCTTGATTTAGGGACATGCAAGCTAATGCATCCAGCCGCAGTTTGCTGCCGATATCATGAGCCCTGTGGCTGGATAGGGTATCTATTTACCAATTGCCATGCTTCTGGGCTTTGCATGCTAGTGCTGTGGACTAACTACAGGGCTCAATTCCATTTCCAGAGATCGATACGCGTTCAGACTTAGTTCGAGTTATCGCCAGATGGTCCACCAAAAGAAAAAAAAAAGGAAAATGCGACAAAAAATTGTTTACTATTTCGGGAGTGAGCATGATTTTTGTTTTGAATAATAAAACCTGACATCGAACGTTTCTAGAACGATGCTACGGAGTCGCTAGGCAGAAAAATTAGCTAACTCCTATCCATCCAGCCGGATACTCATTATCATTATATCGAGGTGACGCCATGGGGGATTTCCATGCGGCGATCGTTCGTTTCAGCCTGTTTGGGTTATTGGGAGACCTCCAGATATGTAGTACTCCGTACCTAGTTGTTTGATCGTGGATCTGACTCCTGTCCGAGCCCACGTGTCCTGCTCGTATTTTTGTCTGATCGTCTCGACGTGCGGTTAGAAGAAAAACCAGAAAATAGGGATGGAGATCTGCCCGCAGCAGATCGATCCCCTTTTGGCCTGGAATCGATATTGTATACTATATAATCGGACCCAACGGTGTATCTCCGGAAATCCCGTACCTGCGTTGCTCATCCACTGGAGCCAATAACACGGTTCGGATCGCATCCGCCCCGTCCATTAAATTTACAGTTTGCTCCTTCGGGTTGGAGACTGTTCCTGATCCTGATCCTGATCCTGATCCCCGAAATCCTGTTCCAAGTTCCCAGTTTGCAGGTCCCAACAGTCTCCCCGCGATCGATGCAGGAGCATGGCATGGCTTTATTACCCCTGTGCCACGGGTTAATTAGTGAGGAGTGATTGCTCCAGGAGTATGCCTGTCGTATCGACCTAGGCAAATATAGTTTACAAAAATACCGCGGACAAAAGAACGGTCTCAAACCGTCCAACATACCATGTGCAAAATGCAAAATACCAGGACGGTGGGTACAATGCATCGCCCATCATCCACGCATCGTTCCCTACCGTAACCTTTCCCTTGGGACAGTCGAACGGGAGAGCCGCGTTGATTTGGATGACAATAAGCTGATTGTTATCATTATTATTTATTTGGTTTTGTTTTCTTTTTTTATGACCAGCGAGTCATACAAAGGAACGCTGTTCTATTATTATTATCATGGCCTGGGGTTTCTTTTCCCTTTTTTTTATTATCCTGGGATTAATATTATTATTATTTTTGCTCACATTATTTCGCATTTTCCCTTTTTTTTTTTCTTTGTAACCTGTCAGGCCACCGAATAAAAATAAAATAAATCACTGAAAATGAATATATTCATCAAGCTACTGACACCCCAAGCAATCTGGCCACAATCTTATTCCATCTCCCCATCCTCATCTATACAATCCTTTTACGGTATTTAAGTAAGCGCCTCTGCCCTCTTCTCCCTACTCCCCCTATCTCTCTCTTCCCTCTCTTCATTGCTACCTACCTCCCCTGCCATACATCAAATCCTTCTCCCAAACAAACCAGTCGATCTGCGTCACCTTGTTTACGATTCCATGAACTCGCAGAACACGCCTTTCCGATTTGCAATTTGCTGGTCTTGACATCCGAAAGCCAATATTCATTGACAACAACAACAACAATAAGGAAAAGAGAAGATCAAAAGACGGGGATATTAAATCAAGTTAGGACAAAGACGATCTCTCCGAAGCCTATCATCTATCCCGCTCCTTATTGCTCCCAATTGTCCTTTCCCCTCCAGCACCCAATTTTTGAGATCGTTCGGCGTCACATTCCTGCTCTATTTTCATCTGCCGTCCGCCGCGGCTGTTGCAGTGCGGTCTGCACCACCCACGATACACTGCGCTCCCTCTTCATAAGGGCATCCCTTCGTCCGATCTCTCCTTCAGCTCGACGTTCCGCTTGCATTACCCTGTCCTTGTTTGTGGGATCTCTCGGAACCCTGTCGGACTGCCAGCTCGTTGCGCTATAGTTCACTTCTAATTTTCGACTTTCTTCTGTGTATTATTACTCCTTATTTAATCATTTAATCTTCCCGTGAGTCTCGTGGCCCTTTTTGCCTTCTGAATTATCTTCCCGCTCAATACTTTCTTGTATCTTGTCACCGTTTCCAAACCGTACTTCCTAAGTGACTGAGACTAACCATGGCTTTCGTGCAGAATTCACACAATGATGACCCGAGATTTCTCAGCTTGCAACATGGGCCGTGGGGCATACGACACAACTGGCATCAAGAAGCCGGGGGCACCTCCACCACCGCCCAAGTAAGGATGCCCGACTCGTTACTTGCTGGCCCCCCCTTCGTCCCCCGGAATTGTTTGTCGAGCGCCAAAGCAACTCCTACGGTTCCCAGTCCAGGAGCTGCGGCATCTGACGAGTATTCGCCATCGGGCCGACCTTTACGCTGTATGTGGCTGTCTTGTCCATTCTGACCAGGTGCACCGGCTAACCCACCGCTCAGTTTCATGTAATTACTCTCCTGAATCTTCGGGTTTATATACGCTTTCACCTATTTTAATACGTACGCTTTTGAGCACTGTTGCGGCATGGACACCCTTCTCGAACCTCAAAATTACTTTTTTCTCGCATTTTTTTCCCACACCCTTCCCTTCTCCTTTTGATCTCGGTGACGGACCGGATTATCCAACAACTTATATCTTTTAATCAAACTGACACGACCTGACCCTGATCGATTCGGGCTTCGAAAAGTACTTGACTCGAATTTGCCTTATTTCATATTTTCAATTATTGGCGTTTGGTATAGACGGAAGGGGAAATAACATGGGAATGCATGGTTTGACACCAGAAGGAGCTTAGAGAACTTGGACCTCGCGGTCAAACATGGTTTTGGTTTGCTTTCTTTTCTTTTGTTCTGTTTGACTATGTCCTTTGTTGGACACTGGCGGTTACCAGTGTGCGTTAGTGTGTGTGTAATATTAGAGTACTGGAGAATGATATGATTGCGATATCAGGGCAATCATAACCCAGTATGAGATCATGGACTTCTGAAACAATTCGTCCCAGCACATGATTGTGATTCCTCAAAGGGCGGGCCGTTCTAAGCATGGATTAGGCTCTGTCCTTTGTTTGCCTAGCGTGTGCCCCGATACGATTGCAGATTGCATGCAACATCGGCTGTGCGACGGGGGTCTGGTGTATCTCCACAAACCGATAAGACTACCAGTTGCATTTCCCTGATGAGGCTGGTCCTCTTGATCGATTAGATAGTAAACCACAATAATAATAATACTTATTACAAGGTAACGGATGTTTGAAAAAAAAAAGATCCAAGTTTTCTTTTCTTTTTCTTCTCTCCACCTTTGATTGGATGCTAAATGCTTCTCGATGCAGACACCCTTGCGACAAACAGCGCGCTTAGCGACAACTTTGACTTTCTTGAGACCTCTTAGGTTCCAGTACGCCGTGCATCATGCAGCCCCCGGAAAGGGCGAAACGGGGGTCTGCCAGGCTGCCAGCAGCCACAGCGTAGCATTGGATGTATTCGTCCATGCATCTCGTGCTTTCAAATGGAAATGGAAGGCCACGCGGAACGCCCCGTGACTGAAACCAACACTAAACCAGTTGCGGAAGCCGCCCGTCACCTGCCCCGAGTGGGCCTTTCCATCCCTCATTATTCATTATTCATTATTCATTGCTTCCCAAAGCTCCCTCTGACCTCAGCTGCGCCGCTCTCCGAACGGAATCCTACCATTCTCGGTGCATTGTGCAAGTGTGTCACCGTCTACAGCGTCTTTTCGTCTTCGGTTTATTTCATTTCATCAGACACCATTAGGGTGGTGTGCATACCCTGGTAATAATTCCAAGTTCGACGAACCTCTCAGCTAATTACTGCCGATATTGCCCGCCTAAACCGCTCACGGGGTACGAGCTACATACAACGTACAACGTCTTCCAGCTTCGGCTTTTCCCCTATCGAACGCCCTTCCCGTTACGTATGACCATTACTTGATTCTTCACTGCAGCAATCCGGCCAATCCTTGTTCTTTTGATTCCAGCCTTCAACACACACACACACATAACTATGTCCGAGTCAGCAAATACCTCCAAACCGAGTAGTAGTGTCAAGCTTGTGCTCCTAGGAGAGGCAGCTGTTGGGAAGGTGGGGTCATTATTTTTTATCGTTTGCTTTGCTCTTATCAACTAATATGTCTCTCTAGTCGTCGCTCGTTCTTCGATTTGTCAATAATGACTTTCAAGAAAATAAAGAGCCGACTATAGGAGGTAAGACTCTCTCTCCTGGGCTTTCGAGAATGTTGCGTTGAGAAAGGCTAATACCGCCTTCCCAGCTGCTTTCCTAACCCAAAAATGCTCCCTCCCTACACGCACGATCAAGTTCGAGATCTGGGATACTGCCGGCCAGGAACGATTTGCGTCACTTGCTCCTATGTACTATCGCAATGCCCAAGCTGCGCTCGTTGTCTACGACATCACAAAACCGTCATCTCTACTCAAAGCAAAACATTGGGTCGCTGAACTCCAGCGACAAGCAAGTCCTGGGATAGTCATCGCACTCGTCGGTAATAAGCTGGACTTGGCCAACGACAGCAAGGATTCCACTGGCGAATCACCTGCAGATGGTGAGGGCGAGTCAGCAGGATCTGATGGAGGAGAGGCTGCCGGCGAGGGCACAGAGGAGCAAGACACCGCCACTCCTGATGCCCGGAAAGTAACAACCGCGGAGGCGAGCGCATATGCGGAGGAAGAGAGCCTTCTGTTTTACGAAACCAGTGCCAAGACCGGTGTTAATGTCGCCGAGGTGTTCACCGCCATCGCCAACGCGATCCCAGAGAGCAGCTTGAAGAGTGGCCGAGCCGGTGCAGGGACGGGCCAAACTGGTCTAGGCGGACGACCGGGAGAGGATTCGAGGGTCAATCTTGGAGACCGAACCAATGCCGAAGCCAAAGAGGGCTGTGCTTGTTAATAGTCTGGCCGAGCCTAGAACTTGTTACGGATTGATACAGTGTTTCTAGACGGATTGCCGTCATCAGCTTGCCACGCCCACATACAATGTCGGGGATTGCGTCGCCATCTGGAGCAGTGGCATATGTGAGCTTCTTGTAATTCTTTCAGTTCGTTCAAGGCGTCTTGCGAATTTCTGATTTCTGTCTTAATCCTTTCCAATGAAACTTCCAAGTTATGAATTGTCTGTTCTTGTTTTTTCCCCCCCTTCTGTTTCCAGGGTGACCCTTCGCGATTTGGTTTCGAGGATATATTGAGTCGGAGAGAGATAGGAGCTAGTGAAGACATTAATAGAAAAGGACCTCAAGGTAGCAGCAGCAGCAATGTAGCCAATTTGTCCGCTGTCCAGAGTACATACTGCAGGGCGAATGGACACACGTGACCAGCAGTCCCCTAGACAAATGCACTAGCCGGATGCGGCCAAGCGCGAGACCACTAAGCGAGCCAACCGCTCCGATCCCACAGCAGGCGAGCCTCGCGTCAAACAAATTATTATCGTCGAATTTGGGATCGCAGGCCGCCTTTCAAAAGCTCGACTTTCTCCCTCCCCCTCGACGACCCGCCTTTCGCACAACCCCTTCCTTTCCCCCCCGACAAAAGGAAGCAGAAGCAGCTCCGACCACCCAGGCATCTGCAATCATGGCTGCTCTCAACAAGATCGCGTACAACTCGCCGTCGAGGCAGAACCCGTCCGAGCTGGAGACCACGATCGCCGGTGCTCTCTTCGACTTGGAGAACAACACGACCGATCTGAAGGCCTCTCTTCGGCCCCTGCAGTTTGCCTCTGCTCGTGAGGTAAGAGTTTCTTTTTTGGACAATTCTTTTGATTACCTGTTCCTTTGTCTGTGTTTTGAGATCAATTGGGTGATAAGGGTTTTGATATGGTCTGTATATGAAATCTACAGAGGAAAGAGAGGGGACTTTTGATAGAAATTATTTTTGCAAGTTCTACGGGGATATGATAAATTGGGGGCGAAGAAAAGAACCACAACAATTTTGGACAGTTCGCTGTTGATAAACTGGGGAAATTGCCATGTCCAGATCTGACAATTTTCTTTCGCCATAATTATAGGTCGAGGTCGGTCACGGAAAGAAGGCGATCATCATCTTCGTCCCCGTCCCTCTTCTCCAGGGCTTCCACAAGGTCCAGCAGCGGTACGAGCATATGCCATTCATCATCCCCCAATTGAGCCCGATCGATTTGCAAAGCAATCGCGAATTTGGAAACAACGAATGAAGACAAAGAAAAAGATGATAGCACGAAAGCTAACATGAATTGGATTCTCTCTCGCAGCCTGACCCGTGAGCTCGAGAAGAAGTTCTCCGACCGCCACGTCCTCTTCGTGGCCCAGCGCCGTATCCTCCCCCGCCCCAAGCGCTCCGTCAACAGCCGCACCTCCCTGAAGCAGAAGCGCCCCCGTTCCCGCACTCTGACGGCCGTCCACGACGCCATCCTCACCGACCTCGTCTACCCCGTCGAGATCGTCGGCAAGCGCACCCGCACCAAGGAAGACGGCAGCAAGACCATCAAGGTCATTCTGGATGAGAAGGAGCGTGGTGGTGTCGACCACCGTCTCGATGCCTACGGTGAGGTCTACCGCCGCTTAACCGGCCGATCCGTCGTCTTCGAGTTCCCCCAGAGCAGTCTGTCTGAGTACTAGATTCGGAAAATCGGAATCGAAATGCCAATTTTCTTTTTTCTGATGTCTTTTATTACTTTTTCTTCTCTTTTTATTTAATTGCCAAGAGAGAGACAGAAGGGGGACTGACTTTTTGTCTTGTCGGGTGACAAAAACCGCCATGGGGCGAAGGGCGTGGGAATATTGAAAGAGAAAAATAAAAAAAGAAAATTACCTGTCCATGGAGTTTATACTTTTTTTATTTGTTCTTCTCTTTCAAAGTTTCAAATATTGTGCAATATTTGATTCGATTCGACCTGGTCGGGAACGGTCTTACTTTCTCTGATGTGCCAATGTGACGAGGAACTGAACCCAAAAACACAAATACCGAGAAAAATGCCAAAACAAATTTAAAATCATGACCCTGGTCTGGTCTGGCTTGTCTTGTCTTCTCGTTTTATTCTGTTTTGAAGTATCTGTGTTCTGCGCGCATTGGAAATTCAAAAGTACGGCATTAAGAAAAGTTCTTCATCCATGCGTGAGTCCCCGCGGCAAAGTATTGTATAGTCAGTCACCTATCGATATGCATATCCGTGTTTAGGTATGCCTTTCACCCGTAGATGACTTTCCTATCCCCATCTAGGTCGGATGTAACATGCTATATTTACTCCGTACTCCGTAGAAAAGAAGGGTATCTAATTCTCATCCGATCAACTAAATATAGTAAAAATAAAACCTATCTATGAAAAACTATAGGTATGGAAGAAAGGCAATTGCCATGCTAAGGATATTATATCAACCTGGTCCTCCGACCCTGAGACTTAGATCAACAATCCGCCTTGATCCTCCCAACCCCCAGAACCATCCAATACGCCAACTCCCGCTTGACGGTATCAGGCTTTTGTCCCTTCCCAACAACAGGCTGTTCGATCTGGTTCTCCGAATCCCATTCCATTCGTACGAAGACAGGGATTTCAAGGACATCTTCGTCCTCTTGCATTCCGTATCGGTGGTCTGTATCGTTTCGAGATTGATGACGCGTCAAGTCAAGTTTCGGGAGACCATCATCGCCATCATCATTACTTTCATCGTCACTGTTGGCTGTCGGAGCAGAATGGCCTTTCTCTGGCCCTTCCGGTAAGGTTCCCGGTACTACTTCCAGGGCAACTGTTGTCCAGTTCCGGCCCTTGTCCCAGACTTTGCCTGCTTCTGCGACTTTCTCATGGCCGGGCATGCCAGGGCGGTTTGGCCGGATATCTCCCGAAGCTTGCTGGAGGGCCTCATCCCAGACATCGCTGTTCGCGCCAATGTCGAATTGAGGGCAGAGGATGGTGACTTTCGTAGCTATTCTTCCCGGTGTGGTGGAGGGTGTGGCGAGGGTGACTCGGACGGGATCGAACATATGATTTTTCAGGGTGAGGAGGAGTTGGATTGGTTTTAAAGGAGGGAGTGCGTCCAGATTTGGGGTGGACGCCACCGTTGAAGAAGGGATAAGAGGATTGGGGTTAGGCCCAAGGGTGAGAGGTCGTAGAGTCGGTAGAGGGATGTAGCTGAGAGCGATGAGACGGATACGGAAGCGTGTCGACTGCGGCTTGGACTCTGGTTTTACGAGAATATGCTTGCATGATTTGCACCGCTTGGAGCGTTTTGTCCGCAGGAGCATGGGAAGGGGGAGCAGATCGTCCACGAAGCGTGCATCTGGTGGCTGAAATTTGCGCTGTTCGATCGACGCAAGGCAATCCCAGGCACGGTTATCGGATGCCATCTTCTGGATAATATGGTCTTCGGCATCGGCCGCAGGGATTTTGAGGCCTTCACTAGCATTCAGAGCTTCCCTCATCACTGGTGGCTTGGATTTGGGCTTCTTGCTGCCCCCGTAGAGGCCACCAAGTGTCGAAGTGTAGATAGACATGATGCGGTTCAGTGCTCCAGGTGAAGAAAACCCAAGACCGAAATCACTCCCAAGGGGGTCAGTCGGCGAAGCAGACGTTTCTGAGATCTGATTACGGTAGAACAATTTCAAGGCAGCAAACCTTGCCTCTGGAGCAAGAGCCGGTTGATCGTCTAGCAGGGTCTCCTCGTTCTCCGTTGGGTTTTCTGACGCGGGGGTACTAGGCTCATCGATAGACGAATACCTGGACAAGGGGGATTTCAGTTCACCAAAGGATTTAGAAGAAGCCGGCTTCCCTTGTGTGGAGTCGATCATTTTAGAGAGCTGAATTCGAAGATTCGTGGGCTTGTCGAATTTGATGCCGATATCTAGAGTCGTCCACATGCAATATGCACAAGCTAATACCCAGGGGCCCTGCTGATTCTGACTCCCACTATCAATAGGACTGACCGTGAGTGGAGCGGTACATATGGGGCAACTGAAACAGTTTCTCGCACAGCTATAGGAGGCTCGATATCAGAATTATCCAGAGGCAAACGAAATGGCAAGTCAAAAAGTCAAAAGGGGGTAGAACCACATACCGATTACCTTCACTCCGAACCATACTGCTGGGAGTCTCGAACAAGCAGTTAGGGCAATACCAACTTACGATCTCCTCCGTTATACAACGCGGGCATTTAATCTGATGGCAATCTTCGCAGTAGAGTAGCTGCTCCGGTGGGTATAGAGAAAAGTTCGCACGCGGCGATCGAGGATCAAACGTGCCTTCTTCTTCTTCCACCTCCTCCACTTCATTCTCCTTACCATCCCCCGAACCGGACTGCTCGAAATTTGCCTTGCGAGGGCTATCTCTCGATCTCCGCTTCTTCCTTAAATGGTCGGGAACCGGTGTGTCGGCGCAGGGACACGAAATAAAGGTGTAGGGGAAGGGACGCGCCATATTTCGGAAAATTATGAACAGTGCATATATCAAAACGAAGCAATTTCTATCATTCTCCTTTGGAAACGAGGTCCATGAGATGTTCCGAGTTGCGTGGTGACAATTGTCGCGTTCTCGAGGAACCAAACTCTAAGACCTGCTGCTATCTTGAATTAGGACGATTTCCACCAGAAAGATATAACAATAGCAATTTAATCCAAGAGTTGTTCATAGTAAAGTACTCACCTGTCCCAGAAGCGTTGTTGGCGAGTTGAATGAAAGTGGTTGGGGTTGACCCCTTCTTTGTTTTTGATCCATGCGGAGGTTATAATGATTCCGCTGGAGAAAGAAAAGTCGACGTCAGACTTGTCTTTTCTCTTGTCCAACAGCAGGAATCCCCACGCATTGAATTCGAAACAAAATGTTACACTTCGTTCAAGATTAATTATCTGATAAATTCAAATCACTTTGGCAACACAAGACTGAAAACCATGTCTCTGTTTTGTCCCTTCATCCACAGAGCTCGTCCTCAATGGATACATGCGCCAGCAGCAGCAACAGCAGTACTAAGAACCTATGCCACTCAACCGCCAGGCAACCCGACCCTGGAAGTCTTCAACAGAAAGGTGAAGCATCTCCAGAAAGATCGTGCAGGGCTCAAGGTTGAAGAGAGCCGGAAAGTAGACTACCTCAAGGACGAGGTAGCTATGCGATTATGTGAACGATTACTGGCAAGTCCACCCGTTGTTGCTCCAGATATCAATTCAAAATAATAAACATCACTAATTCCCGAGTAAAAAAGAACAGGATATAAAACGAACATTCCCCCATGTCCTAGACCTGGGAGCCAATAGTTGCAACATCGCCCGAGCATTGACAGCACCGAACCCTGACCCTGTCTCCCCAACGGGGAAGTCAGAACCACTAGCAACACGCATATCAAAGCTGACCTGCATCGATACCTCGCACGCCCTGTTATATCGAGATGAGGACCTCCCATTCAATGAACAACTCTCTATCGAGCGGGATGTGGTCGCGGACCTGGAAATGCTACCCTACGAGCCCTCTACATTCGACGCGGTGCTATCCTCCCTCTCGATTCACTGGATTAATGATCTCCCATCGCTGCTAGCGCAGGTCAACACAATTCTGAAGCCAGATTGTCCTTTCATAGCAGCCATGTTTGGCGGGGATACGCTGTTTGAGCTGCGCACGTCGCTGCAGCTCGCGGATCTGGAGAGGCGCGGCGGAGTGAGCCCGCACGTCTCTCCGCTGGCTGATGTGAGGGACGTGGGTAATCTACTCAATCGGGCCGGGTTCAAGATGCTCACGGTTGACGTGGAAGATATCGTGGTCGAGTTCCCCGATACGTTTGCGTTGATGGAGGATCTACAAGCTATGGGGGAAGGGAATGCCGTCCTTCATCGTGAAATGGGACCCCTCTCGCGAGACGTGTTACTTGCCAACGAGGCTATTTATCGGGAATTGCATAAGGAGGAGGGGTCCAGGGGGATCCCCGCGACGTTCAGGATCATTTTCATGATAGGCTGGAAGGAAGGAAAGGGTCAGGCAGAGCCATTGCAAAGAGGGAGTGGTGAAGTAAATCTGAAGGATATACTCGGTGGAGGAAGTTTCTGATGGAAATTATCTGTATCTGTGTAGAAAAAGGGAAGGTATAATCCATTCATGAACATAAAACGAGAAATCCGACCTTCACATTGTATTTCATATGCAACCAGCCCCTTTCGCCCAATGATCCTAATAAATGAAGCAGATTTCCATGATAAAAGAGATGGAAAAGGGAAGCCCTACTTCTTTTCCCCCTTCGGTATCAAAGGTAGGCCACAATTTTCAATAATCCAGATGTAAGAGAAAAAGGGAAAACCACCCTAATGCTTGATATCAACTCCCCCTATCTAACGAATAAACTCTTATACAGTCCTTCGATCAGTCATGACTCGAACAATGGACCCGGTACCCGTAAGCTCAACCAACTTCTCATGCCAGCTAAGAAGCACACTCATCTGCTGTCCGCCACCGCCCTCACCGAAATTCCGAGCCTGAATCTGCGAAAACCCGGTACTCTGCGGCGAAATCGATTTGCGAGGGGACTGGGCACCGCTAGAAGGAGCCGGAGCAGCCATTCCTTTGTAACTGAAAAGCGAGATATCTGTAAGCAGGGAACAAATTTGAAAACGGAACTACCACACATATAGAGGTAAGGAGTAAGAGAACTCACAGGTACTTCATCAAACAATCAGCCCTCTCTGAACCCCCCTCTCCGGTACAAACACCCTCCAAAACCCTCAGCATCTCCCCCTGCCGAATCCCCTGTAGAACCTCAATAACAGTAGCGAGATGCACCTCCTTCGCGCGGTCATCGCCTCCTAACGGCGCCGTATCGAGTACGGCCCTTAGCGCTCCCTCAGGATCCCCTCCGCGCAGCATCTGACGTACCTGTGTCGCAGCAGCTGCGGCCTCACTTGATGTCGCGGGGGCCGGGAGATTAGGTGGAAGGAGGGTATCCATAGGGAAGTTTATGGAGGAGTCCGGATCGTAGACATCGATGTTGATCGTGCGGTAGTTGATTTGCGACATTTTGAGTTAACGTGTTTTTTTTTTCTTTTCCTTGAAATTGATAATATTCTATACGGTTGGACTATAGGTTCAATTCGGGTTGAGCTTGCTTCTCCCTTGTTTAATGTCCGTTTAAGCTGGTTGAGGATTGGTTTAATCTCGTCGACTAGAACCGGTTCTTTAGGGAGGCGGTCTTGTTGCGTTTCGCTTCCAATGGATGAACTATACTAACATCAATTCTGAATGGGGCCGTATATGTCAGACCATATAGTCACTTTGGAACAACAGACTCGAAAACAGGAAGTTGCGTACGCAGTCGGATATTGAGGGACGAAGCGCGGGGCGGAGCAGGAGACACTTCGTGATACGGCACCAGGGATGAGCGGGCAAATACCTGCCGGGCAGGAACGAAGTCAAGGAGCAGTATGACTCCCCAGCTGCAGCATGAACAGAAATGTAAAGAATTAGAAAATGAAAGAGGAAGATCGGCTTTCGATACGGAGAAGAGTTGCTTTGGGAAGTGAAACCGATAACTATTAGTTAGCTAGCTTGGGATGCTGACGTTGCAGCCTGGGGCCTTTTGCAGCCTGAGGCATAAAAGTTGGCTGCAGTTGATGCCCAGAAATACTTCATCTACGGAGTAACACCGCACAGGATTAAAATCACGACACTTTATTCTAATCTACCAGGAATGGGAATCTATTCACAGAGTGGATACACCCATACACACGTTCAGTCCAAAGAGATCTCTATATGTCTGCATCATACAAGAAAAAGACGAAATATAGCCGCCAACCGCCATACGCCATACTACACCAAAAAAAGAGCCAGTTCTGGAGATTCAACGGCCGCTAAGAAGTCGTAATGGTGATTGGTGGCACAGTACTGCCATTATCAGATGTCACAGTGCCTTGAAAGGGTTGTAGCTGCAGACTCATTTGCGAAGCTGCTGCTTCTTCATCCGACGCAGGAGTCGTATTCGGCCTTCGGCGGAATGGCCGCAGAATGAAACGTTTGAACGGCTGTATAACAGTCCGAATACTCTTCGAACCCCGGGTAACGGGTTTCAAAAGGAATCTCACGCATCCAGCCACGGAATTGAATATAAGTCCAAAATACTTATCGGGAATCATTCGCAAGACGACAGCCCAAGGAAGACAGGCAACGGCACAGACGAGACAGACAACCCATTGAAGACCGTCAATCCGGATGACGCTGAACGCACTGCCGCCGACGAAAATGATCATGATTTGCCCAGCGACCATGATGCAGTTGATCCCCATAAACCAGAAGTTTCTCAATACACCTTCGAAGACGTTGAGCTTATTATCAAGTCTTCGGTTGTTGTACTGGTTAAAAATCTGCATCCATACAAATGTGTTGAAAACGATAGTGTTAAGCTGACGTTCACGCTTCTCCTGGTCAGCATGGAGGATAGATGCAAGGATGCGGTCACCGGCGAAAAATAACATGAATGTAACGGCCAATTGGTAGGCTGCCTGTCCCAAAATCATCTTCCACATGGTCATTGTGAATAAAGAAGCACTTTTTGGCACGGGTTTCCGGTTAAGGATTTTATCTGTAGGTGCATCAGTTGCCCTGAGATGGCAAAGGTCAGCATATCTCATGGTCAAACAAGAAGAGATCAATAGGGACACTAACAGTGCAAGAGCAGCGAAGGTATCCATAATCAGGTTGACCCACAACAGTTGCACCGCACTCAAAACGCTCTCATTGGAACTGCTGTATAGAGCTGACACAAATGTGAGAGCAACGGCGGTAATGTTGACCGTTATTTGGAACTGGCAGAACAATTAGACCTATGGTATTGAGTCCTTAGACCAGAAAGCTTACCTGAAGAAACTTAGAAACAGCATCGTTAACGGCTCTTCCCCATGCAATCGCAGTGACGATAGACTTAAAGTTATCATCCAGGAGAATGATAGAACTAGCCTCCTTGGCAACTTCGGTTCCAGAGATACCCATAGAGAAGCCCACGTCGGCAGTCTTAAGGGCTGGTCCATCGTTAGTCCCATCTCCCGTTACCGCGACGGTTTCTCCTAACTTCTTAAGTCTCTCTACCAAAATTCGCTTGTCCTCTGGCGACGAACGAGCTAGCACCTGAAGACGCGGGATGACTTGGTCCATTTCGCTGTCGGACAGTTGGCGGAACTTAGGACCTTCCAGAACAAATCCATCATCAGTCTTGATGCCACAGGAAGACCCAATTGCGGTAGCCGTCGCTACGTTATCACCTGCGAGACTCGAGACTCGTCAGTCGCGCTGTCAAGATTCGTTTTAAAAAGGATAGAAAGAGACGAACCTGTGACCATTTTTACTTGCACACCGGCATCATGGCACTTGCGGATTGCTGCAGGAACTTCAGGCCGTAAAGGATCTTGAATACCCACGACCCCGATCCATGTCATGTCATGGAAGACATCTTCAAACCGAGCTGCTGACTGGTCGTCCTCCATAGTATGTGCATCCTTGGGAGGCCAGCTTTCAAAGTCCCGATATACCAGTCCGATTGTCCTAAGAGACCTCACCGCGTACGAGTTGATAACATCAAAAATTTTCTGGTTATCCTTTTCAGCGAATTTCTCAATGGTGATGTGGTCCAGAGAGACGTCTGCAATCTTGGTAGTGCACGACTTAGCCATCAATTCGGCCGCTCCCTTAACAAGGAGACGATAGCCAGCATTGGGTTCCCGGTATACTATCCCCATGCACTTGCGAGAGGAATCGAACGGGATCAGCTGGACGATTTCCTCCGAAGCACGTTCCATGGCCACGTCCATACCAAAATAGTCCTTTGCGAGCTGCAACAAGGCAACCTCGGTTTTACTGCCGACAAATTCTTTCTGGCCATCCTTGTCCTCTTCAAAGGCCGTAGAATTGAGAGCAATACTCTTGATGATTAAGTTTCTTACTGTTGCTGAGAGCTGCTTAGCCATCTCAGACACAGTCACCGAAGGTCTGTCACCATCAGTCGGAGTCTGGTCGAAGCTGCTAGCAGAACCCCATGTTCCAGAGACAACCGTCATTTTATTTTGTGTTAGAGTTCCTGTCTTGTCCGAGCAGATAACGGTGGCATTTCCCATCGTCTCACACGCACGAAGGACGCGGACGAGGTTATTCTCCTTGACCATTCGTGTTGTTGCAAATGCTAAGGCAAGCGTTACAGCTAGCGGGAGACCCTCTGTACGAGAAACAATCACCAGTCAGCTTGGAGGGAATGTTTCGATTTTAAAATGGACCTATAACTTACCAGGAATAGCAACAACAATCACAGTAACGGCGACGATAAGAATATCCACAAATTCTTGCCCCTTGACTGCAGGACTGGCAGGGTTATCTGATAGTTGGACGAGGAATCTAATTAACAAGGCGAAGAACAAGATAATTGCGGCACTGGAAGACATGATCAGTCGACTCCGTTAAGGACAACTACCAAAAGAAAGGAAAAGAAAGCACAGAGACTTCAGCTTCTTACCCTGAACCGAGCCATCCAATCCAATTTGCCAACCTTCCCAGTTTAACTTGAAGGGGAGTGGGATCATTTGAGTCTTGCAGTGACATTAGAATTCGGCCATACGTGGAGTAAGGTCCGACACTTGTCACCAAGTATGTTCCCACTCCCTCGAGCACTTTGCTACCAGATAGCAGGAACGGGTCAAGTTTCTTGGTGGCAGTGCCGTCCATGATCCGCTGCCAGACCTCATGGCCATTTGTCTTCTTCATCTGGTCCGATTCTCCAGTGGCCGAAGATTCGTCACATTTAACGCCATGGCCCGAAATGAGCACGCCATCTGCCGGTATAGAGTCACCAGGCTCAAGGTGAAGGACATCGCCAACAGTAATATCGAAGACGGATATCATGACCGGCTTCCCCGAACGAGTTGCCTTGACTTCCCTGTCATCGTTCTATAGCACAATCAACGCGTATTCCTCCAATGATAAGGGTAATGGGGATATAGGTAAATACCCTTTTATTTAGCTTGGCAAATTGCCTCTCCTTCTGCCAGTCATTCGCCGCGGTGACAATAGTGACGATCAAAATGGCCACACATATAGCGAGCCCTTCTATCCAATCGACACCTGACCCACCACTTAACGCTTCATAGATACCCAAGGACAAGGAGACGACGGCAGCTATTGTCAAAAGAATGATTATCTTGTCATTATATGCAAGCCAGAACAGTTTTAAAAAGCCAGTAGACTTCCGCGCAGGCAGTCGATTCTGACCGAAAATACGTATGCGATCTTCAAATTGCGAACCAGTGTCGTGGACGGTGGTCGTGACGGTCGCGCTTTTATCGTCTGTTTCTGTTCGCCGCTCGCCATCTTGAAGAGATAATGCCACATCTGCATAGCTGACGGATCTCTCCAGGCGGCCCTCATCGACTGACAAACCACTTACCAGATCCGTGCGCAGCCCACGTTCCATTCCAGATAAGCCTCCGAGGACGCGGAAAGCAGCAAGGGATTTAGGGTTGAGCATCTTGTTCAGCTGTCCGGGAGAGAACGCGAACTTGTTATCGACCACATTGAAATCCTGCTCGTTTCGAGGATCCGGCTTCAGAGCCTCGGACAGGGGGACATCGTCGTAGGACACCGGAAACGTCTCCGAGTACGCATCTGAATTTGCTCTTGATCTTACGGCGGTATTCACGGATGAATTGAAGGAGCCCGACCGCATCCGCAAAGTCTCGCCATCGAACGACTGCGATGTGTGAGACGGTATCCGCTGAACCGTTAGCCTGCTCGTATCTATCGAATCTGTCTGGCCTGGCATGATCTCTATCTGCCTTTGACCCTGCTGTTTTCATCACTTAGCCCTTTAGCCTAGTTTCGGGAGATCAGCGCTAGCATGGAATTTGCTTACCTCTCTACCAGGAACATCCAGGGAAGGATTCACAAATCCATTATTATTATGAGAATTCCTGTTATGACTCTGGCCCGAATTCTCCATATCTGTAATATGGGAAAAGGTCAAAAGAGAAAACAAGAAGCAAGGACAGGATAGAAGAGAGCTAAAAGAAAAGAAAGAGACATGAAAAATTCCTGATTGCCTACCACAGAACCTCGTACAAACCGCGCAGAGGGTAATAATAAACGTGTAGAGTATATATACTTATGACAAGGGAGGCTGTGCAAAGTATCGTATCAATCAGTGTGACCCTTCTTCCCAGACAAGGAAGACAGCCAAGCATTGAGCGTGCATCCATCTTGCTTCCAAGGATATCGGTGTGTACCTCCTAGGTAGTATCCATCCATTAAAGACTGGAAGGAGAGGGTGAAGGAAGGCGCCATGGAATGGACACTACATCGCCTTATGAGTGGGTTATTTCCCCCATTTTTTCATCCAACCCAACCATGACTTTCGACTTGTGATTGCCAACTTGCAACTGGGAGTATCCATCGGATACCTTTAGGCGAGGCAGATCTGCAGGCGTGGTTATCAATCAACCTTCATACGAAGTTAAACCCTAATTGAACATGTACCGCACTTTTTCACTTCATCCGGTTTCAGGTTTAGCCTCGCATTAGCATTAGATATAAAGTAACCCCAAAGGAATTCCCTGAAGTCCAATTTAGACTTCTAACTGGGCAAGTCGCGCGACATAAGACGCCTATTGCAGCAATCCGCAGAGACAAAAGAGAAAAGGACGACAATTTGGCCTAACCGCCCAAGCGATGCACTCATGGGGGGGTAACGATGGAGGATTGAATATGGGGTGACACCTAGGTAGGTATAGAATGATAGGCGCCAAAACAGTCGCTTGGCGAAGTTAGATGAGCGGCTGCGCCTCCGAACGGTCTCGAATTAGGCGGTAACGAGAGCTTTCTCTCTCGCTGGGTTGGTCTTGGTTGGAGGGGCTTTGGTGAAATGACGCGTACAATGAGGGATGATTGAGATGGAGAAGACGAAGCTGATGATGATGATGAGCTGGTGGTGGATGGCTAAGAAGGCGGCTTGTATAGGAGTCGCAGCACATGACGAGGCGGGGAATGTCGCATACGTTTCCTGATGATGAACGAAGGCGAATTTAAATTACTCGGAGCTGAAGAGTATTGCCTCCAGGAATCAGCATCAATCAGCACGAGGGAGAAACGTGGCTTAGGGTGTCTTAAGTCTAAAATCTACTTGAAAAGTAGCAATCTCACCGGACAGTGGCGAGCCTGGAGACATACCTAAATCAACCTTGCTTTGAGCCTCAAGCTAAGCAGCTTCTTAAATCTACCCAGGAATAAGCCTGCGGATATTTATCCCTGTTCATTTCCAGGCTGCAGCCGCTCGTATATACTTTGTAACCAGAAGGGATACAAATACTATACATATAGGTACATTCATCCATGCATACATACGCACATAGAACCAGTCCGCCGCCAACTCGAGGTTCCCCTCCATCCATTGCCTAACTTTGACAAGAAATGACCCCCAAAAAGGGATTCCTTGTTTCTCCGCTGAAGCCCTCCTAGCCACTTATAGAAACGAAATCAAGAAATTTCAAAACAAATAGCCAATTAATGGTGGGCATTTAACAACAAAATGAACCAAGGGGTATCCATAAAAAGAAAGAGACTCAGCTCAATAAGAACACCAATACAAAGAAATAAAATACTTGGAACCCCATATACGCAAATGAAGATGGCCAAAACCTATATTGTCTCCTATGCGGTCTCTTCAATGCAGGCACGTAGCGAGCAAGCCAGACCAAAAATGGAAACATGGATCAACCGAACATCAGAGTCGGGAAGCTCTAGGTGAGAGCGGAGGATAAGTCTCGGGATGAAGTAACCCGAGTGGGATGGCTTCATGGCAAATAAGAAAGAAGGAAGAAGAAGAAGAAGAAGAAGAAGAAGAAAACAGCATATATCTGCTGTGGAAACCAGAAAGGGGCAATAGAGAGACAGGGTATATAATGAGATTTAGAAAAGGTGACGAATGACTGTCCCAGTGATTGTCGTGGAGAAAAAGGGCTCCCTCCATGGGGAGAGGTTAAATGCCTTCGGTAAAGCGGCTGCTTCGACTCCCGTCGAGGCTTGGACGACTTCGACCAAGTAGGTCTGGCCTTTGTGATGAAGGGCGAGCAGGAGACATATGTTCAGGCGATACGACACTCACAGTGCTAGAAAGAGGCGTTCGAGCGGGCGAGGGACGAATGACAACAACCGCATTGGATTCAGCGCTGCTTTCCCGAGTAAAGCTCGTGTCTAATGGTACACCAAAAGGGCGCGTGGGAGGAGGCTGAGAGGGAGGAGATTGCGGAGGAGACTGAGGAGGACGTACTGACCGACTCGAACTTGGATCCCCTGACATTGGAGAGATGGTTGGCGATATCCCTTCCAGACCACCGCCGTAGCCATCCCCGCCGGACTGCAACACAGAGGGGATTTTCCGACCAGAGATTTTCTGAAATCCACGCTCGCTTGTTTCTGACAATTGACTACTGTCCGTCATAGCAGAATTCCTCCAACGTCTCATAAAGGCCGGGGCTAGGTATGCTGCAGTGAAAAGAGACTGGCTAGACCGTTGAGAGGACATTTCTGCAGATCTGGTGGTGGACGGCCGTTCCGCCAGTGGTGCATCCCTGGAACCTCCATCAGACGGAAGACCGGACGGGGTTCCACGGATGGACCTTTTTCGTCGGTAGAGGAACAGGAGACCAGCCAGGAGAGCCAAGACAAAAAGTCCAGCAACACCTCCAACAACGCCTCCGACTATCTTAGGCGTGGTGTTGTTGGGGGTTGTCGCACCATGAAGGCTTTGCGTACTCGTTGCTGAAGCTGGAGGCTCGCTAGTGATCGTAGAACCTCCTAAGCCGCCCCCAGCACCAATAATATTCCCCGAACTGCCTCCTGTACTACCAGAGCTGGGAAAGCCATAATATGTAGAGGATGATGTCGTTAGAGAGGTGGAACTGCTAGTGCTGGATATAGAACTTGACGCTATAGTCGAGGAAGAGGTAACTGTTGTACTAGAAGGGGTCGTCGAGCTTGAGGTGGATGTAGAGCTGGTTGGAGTGGGAGAGGCTCGTGAGGGAGAGATGAGAGGAGTTGAAGGGCTGGGGGACATCAGGGTGTGAGATTCCCGCGTTAGTGACGGAGTCTCAGCAGCAGGGGAACTGTAGGCGGGAGATGCGGAGACAGATGGCTCCGGGGGAAAAGAAGAAGAAGACGAAGCAGCATCAGGAGGAAGGCTCTTAGGAGCAGAGATTGTCAAGGAGCCATAGACAGAGTTCGACAATGTGAACGGCAAAGTCACGCCGGTATACTCTCCAATAGTTTCGGAATCACCACCAATAACTTGGACCACCGTAGCCGTTGTCAAGGGCTCCTGGGTTCGGGCCTCTAGAAGTACCGTTGGCTCATGAGACACGATTTCAGCCTGCGTGTTATCATCCTTCGATCCACGCCCTTCCAGCTCTTCTCTGGCGGACGACCACGACACAACCGTGGCTTGGAGAATTTTCGAAACGGGGGGGTCTCTTTGGTTTTCTTCGTCTCCTGCTGTATTCCCTGCCTGGCCTGCTTCCTCGCGACGTTTCCTCTTCAAGGACCTGCTTATCCGGTGGTGTCTCAGATTATCATGATACGCCATCCTGATTACACCCCCCTTGCTTTGCAGTCCCAAACTCCCTCACGTCAGCGTTTTAGCAAAATGCAGTGAAAATAGAACAATTGAGTGCGATAGAAAAGCCGAGTAATAAAAGGCGGAGGCATGCGTCGCAAAGAGTCAGCGGTGTGCCAAAGAAAAGGATTACTGAAGGCGCTTCCAACAATGAAAATACCCGAATTGAAGCCGTCAAGGTTAAGTTCTGGTAGTTATAAAGTTCGAGAAAATAGAGAATTTTCGGCTGGATATAAATAGAAAAGCGAAGGAGTGTATATGCCTGCCTGGACGGCACCTGCGAAGGGGCTGTCTGCGAAAGAAGTGAACGACGGAAAGGAACGACTGAACCGGTAGGGAGTGTCTCGAAAGAAGAGAAAGACGGATTCGATGCGATATTTGGAAAGGAGAGATGAGTGATTTTTTTGGGGGGGACGCAGTTTTCACTCTGCGAACTAGCAGCGAAAGCACAATAATGTACGATGGCAACGAAAAGAGCGGATGTCAACCGTTATTGAGCTGTTGACCAATAGCGATGAAAAGAATGACGAAATAAACACATCAACAGACAAGAAAAGAGAAGAATAGCCTGTGAGCGGCGGCGACGAGAAGAGTTAGTTAATCAAAGGATCTTGAAACTGCAGCGAATTCCATTTTCGTTGTGCCATCGATACCGTAGCATTAGGCAAAAAGGACACAGGGGGATGGGGGGGAGAGAGTAATTAGAGTGTAACGGCGTACCTGTCGATCAGGAAAACCAAGAAGAAAGGGAAGAGGAAATGCCTGCTCAATTCTCCATGTCTTCCAGCACTGCCAGGAGACAGAGGGGCAGGGAGGTGAGGGACGTCGACCTCAAGACAGCACAACAGGAAGACCTAGCTAATAATAAAATAATAATAGAAGCGAAGAATAATAATAAGACGTGACTCTGTATGATACGGCTTCGTATTGATTATTGCTCCACCGTCGTAACGCACTTGCGACCCGAAGCAGATCCAGAGAGGAAAATGCTGCAACTGGAGGAAGGCCCAGAACAGCAGATCTCACGCAGACGATCAGCGTCAATCACCTTCCGATGATTTTGACACCTCTCTCTATCTCCGTGAAAGGAGGAGATGGCGGCGTGGAGCGAGTATTGTGCGGTATAGGGGACAGCCAGACACGGCCCAGATGCAAAATGAGTTGATGAAGCCAAGACAGACGGGCGTCCGAGCTCAGGAACGGCGTGAGGCGACTCAGCAAATATGGAGACCTAGTTAATTATTATAATCCTTGAGTCGAGACTCTCCGCGTTCTTTCTACGCCAGAATTGGCCAGCATGGCTGTGTTCTTGTAACACCAAGAACGTGAACACCAGCCCCATGTCCAGGCACAAAAATTATCATGATCCTCCATCACATCTCCTGCAGCCACAGTTAACTATTTTCAGCTCCTGGAGTGTTTGCTCAACTGTTGCACATGGTGAGAATCTCACCTGCAGCGGGTGGAGACGTCACTTGTTTAATTGCATTTGACTGCCGGAAGTATAAATAGAATGCGATGGACCGGATGCAGAATATGATATGGCCCTTTTCTGCGCACGTAGCCCGTACTATTGATGCAGCAATATTAAATATAACCATCCCACAACCAAAAAGGCTCAACTTCATCTGTTGTTTGATTCCATGTTTTTGGAGTTGCAAATTTCTTTCCTCTTTTTTTTTTTTTTTTTTTTTTGCTTGTGTGTGTGTGGTTTAATCAACAGTATTTCACCAACTTGAGACTTCCACAAGATAGTCCCAAGCACCATAACGAAAGCTTCTTAGACATACATGCAAGAAAATGCTAGTATGGAGTACCCCAAAACTAGTAGAACCTAATACAGGTACCATACCCCAATTCATACAACCCCAGCATCTACGCATAATGGGAGAGGCTAAAAGGAAAACGAGAGAAAGAATACAGGGCGTAAGGAACGAAAACAATGGGGCAATGCCGCTGATGTGGGTATTAATAAGGAACAGCCTTGTTGTTGTCGGCTCTGCAAGAGCTTAAAAGGTCTCCAGTTCATCTGCTGCTGCCTCCCCCTCTGCTTCCGCTGGAATCTCGAATCCTTCCTATATGCGCGTCAGTCCGGCTCGTTCCCTCAAACCACACAAAGCAACGTACCTCTGTCGAATACAAAATGCCCTGGATATGCTTTGCCAGTGAATCCTCGTCCTTCTCCAGCTCTGGATCGGCCTCGATCGCCGCCTGGAGCAGCAATTCAATATCCCGGAGTTTGGCGAAATAGAAGTCTCTCTCCTTTTCTAGACCAGCGATAGCTTCCTTTTGGGCCGCGTTCTCCTGCTGCAGGGCGGCTAAGCCTGCCGAAGTCACCCCGCCAGGTGCCCGCGCACGCACACTACCGGTCGTTGGAGTAGTCCCTCGTCGCGTAGTGGAACTTGTACCGGGACGAGACCCGCCTGCGACCGCGGGAGGAGCACCAGAGCCTTTCCGACGACCAGCGGCATCGTAATCACCGCCTGGATAGTGCTGGTCCCAGAATTTTTTAGTCCACTGGAGGAATTCAAGATTATCCTGCATCCGGCATTTCGTAAGCTGTTGGACAGGGATGGGTTTGTCAACCTGATGGCGTGTAAAGGTATCTGGCAGCAAAACGACTCAACGTGTCAAACAGAACGCATTGCAGTGGATTTATCCGGTAAGAACCAAACGTACTCTGTAGGATTTTGAAGTTCTGAAGGTAGGCATATTCGGTGTTGACGTTGAACTTGACACGCGACATGGGAACGTCCACTAAATGGGAGAGAAGAGCTCTGGTCAGCATTCCATTACCCGCAGACTTCAAATAAAGAACAAAAAGTCCCATAGACGGTCAAAAAGCAATCCCACTTACTAAATATCGAATCGAAAACCTGACACAAAGCCGCCCTAAATCACGGAGTCAGGACGCACTGTCCCTATTTAGGTATTTGAAACCAAATAACCAGAACCCTCCTTCCGCAAGCCCCCCTTAAGATCTGAAATGGATATTTTCTCCTTTCCTCCGTGGTAATAGGCGGGGAGAGGGTGTCCACGTACCCAGTTCCGCATTGTTCGATCTTCGTCAAATTCAGCTGCAGCAGGTTGTTAAGCCATGCTAGCAATTCTTGCCTATAAAAGGGGAGGGGGAAAAATGAATGTCAGTAAATAATGTTTCAGCCGAGACAGAAAGCAAGATCAGGAACTCCTCTCTGGACTGCTTAAACTTTCGTACCTGGATTCGCCCATGGTGGGGTAGGAGAGCGCAGTCACGGCTTCTCAAAGACACGTTGGTACTGATACAGAAATATGAGAAAAGTGATAGATAGAGTAAGGCCTGCAGAAGCGGATAAAATGTGGGAGGGAAATGCGCGAGATGGTCTTTGGCTGCGAGGGTTTCGTGCTGTTTTTCAAGACAGTGCGAGGGGGATCCATTCGATTCTAGGTTGCGGCAGAGACAACCGCCAACCACGACTGCCGTTGTTTTTCCGCACCGATCGCCTCCCAAAGTTTACGGATTTCCAAGAAAGGAAGCGTCATACTGAATGACAGTGCTGTGAACAGCTTATTACTGATCGTATGACGCATCATATCATGGAGTCAAGAGGAACCAAGAAATAATTAAGTTGTATTTGCAGCACTGCCGATGACGACCAGTAGGCCGGAGAAATGCAAAGAAATCTATCGCCTGTAGAAGGATATCCAACATCTATTCCGTCTTAGGGAACAGTTCTCAAGAGACCATGAACTCCAGTACCAGACAGGTTTCGCTCTATAAAATCGCACTCAAGAAAACAAAATTAGCAGGGGCGCTTGATTACTCTTCGAGCAATTCAATGCCATCTAAGCCATATCCAAAATCCACAATGACAGCCCGGGAGTCTTGGCTGGTGGCTACGATCCGTCGATAGTCCGACTTGACACTCAGCATCCAGCTGGTGGTCCATCCGGGCAAATCGACGGAGAGTTCACCAGTGTCAGTATTGAACACCTTGACACTCATGTCATAGCTGCCAGTGACAAGGCGTCTGTTCGCGCTGTCCAGGTGAAGTGACCTGACCAAGTCGCTGTGGCCTTTCAATTCTCCTACCATCTCACCAGTGTTAGCATCGAACCGGTGGATTATCTGCTCGTTTCCGCCAGTAAAGATGGTACGAGCATCATCGCTAAACTCGATGCACGCCAGTACCCGGTCCTTGCCCCGGAACTCCTTGACGCATTGGCCCGATGTAATGTTCCACAGTTTAGCAGTTCCGTCTCCACCCGCAGAAACAAGCAGGTCTCCACGAAGTTGTACCGCATTTACGGGTTCCCGATGACCGAGCAGCTTTTTCAAGAGTGCACCGGTATGCCGATCCCAAACACAGATGGCCTTGTCCTTGGAGCACGAAACGATGTATTTATTGTTCATGCAAACGTCCAGCACGCCCGCTCTGTGGCCCTCGAGACGACGAATGGGCTTGTAGTCGTTCTTTATATCCCACACAATGCAAGTATAGTCCGACGAACCAGTGACCATGATGTCGTCATCGAATTGAAGACAGAGGATAGAAGCACTATGGTAGTTCGAGATGTCGTCCATGGGAGCAACAATATCAGCTGATGGTGCCGAAGGAGGGCAGATAGTGAGAAAAGGTGACTTCCCAGTTGACAACTGGGCAAGATTATTGAATGGACCAGATCGCGCTGTGTCTCCCGACGGTGGCCCGATGACTTTCAGACAAGGCCACGGGTAGCGAGCATCCCACACTCGAATAGTCCGATCACGCGAGCCGGTGATGATTTTATCCCTGAAAACACAGTTAGAAAGCAACCGACGAAGCAAATTGAAAGAACTTACTCGTCGAATTGAACGCAGTACACGCTATCTTTGTGTCCCTGCAAATAGATGGCAGCTGCCTTGCCTTTCTTCCACCGGTGATCTAAAGCACGGCGAACAAGGAACATTCTTTTCCAGTCTTGATTGGGAATTGTTTTTCCTAGGCCTGCAGATGGTTTCTTTCTTGTATCTGAGGGACTAGACAGGCGACAGCCATAAGCCCGGCGGAAAACATGCCTCCAAACATGACGAGAGGAAGCCTGCTCACGCCAGGAACGGGCGACCAGCTCGCAGTTCATCAACGTCTGTGGGTCCAGAAACGTCAGAAAGTGTGCCACAATTTCGGAAGGCAGATAGGTGACAGGATCTAGGCGCGAGTTAGCAGTCATAATCAAGCAAGAATTCCTTTTGATCTGGAAATCCTCACCAATGCGAAGGACAGATGATTCGATGTCCGAAAGCTCAGGGCGATCACGCAGATCAATTCCAATGCCGCTTTCCGAGTCCTGATGGTATCTCATTTCAAATAGCCTAGCTGCTTCCCGCTCGGCCTTCGTTTCATTGTAAGCAGCTGCCGCAGCGCGGGCCGCCGCACCGGCACAGGCGTCATCCGGGATAATCGGTGGCTCCAGTCCGTTTCCAGGAACTGGGGTAGTGACCGATTCAGCCGGGGCATAGAAGCCGTGAAGCACAGTCGGACTATGGAGCGAGGGTCGACGGTTGATACTATAGCCTTTCGCGCGGGCATCCCAGCTGCCCCCGCGGACATGGCGTCCACGAGATTGAGTATAGGTCTTGTGATGATCAGCATAAGCGTGGTCGTGTGGGATGTGATTGGTGTGCCTGCGAATGGAGACCGACAGGCGACGACCCAGTGCCAGAAGCCCATCCACAGGGTGGCGCAGGTTTGAGAAATTCTGGACACCATGGGGTCTTGGGACCGAGTCCGGGAAATGGTTTGTCTCTTCAAGGACTTGATCGTTATCATCACCACCAAATTCTAGGGAGGAGTCCCACGTCTCACGCTCTGGCTCCATGTTCCCCTTGTGTCTTCTATCCGGAAAATGGTGGAGCGAACCCGTTTGCAACGCTGCCGGGAGATGAAGAGAATGAGACGAAGCGATGCGGGATCGCGTTCTGAGCGACAGGGATGGGCGTTGACGAGGAGCGGGGAAAGGATTCGAGTCTCGAGGAGACATAGTTGATCACTGGCTGTATCCTGAATAAACTGACTGAAACTGGACAATTAATAGGGAGAGAAGGATCTGAAGTTCGGTATTGCTTTTCAGCAGATCGGGAGCGAAAAACGATGCCCAAAGACCAGATAAAAAAAGGAAATGTATCAATGAATGCACAAACGAAAGCACAATAAAAAGATGAGACGCCCAGAGAACGCTAGCTCTCTTAATATTCAGGAAGACGAGAAATTAATATAGTATTATAGATCGAAGGAAACCAACACGAAGACAAGGGGGAATCTAAGTAACAAAGGCCAGAGAACTTCAGGATGAGAAGAGAGACAGGATACCCAACAAACATGAAAAGAACACACGAACTGAATCAAAACCGAACTTGAGCAAAGAAAAGAAAAAGGAGAGGGAATGGAGGAGGAAAATACTTCCGATAAAAGACCGGCCTTGATAATTTTTTTGCCCTTCCCTGCAGGGGGGCGAAAAGACCAGCAAGAATAATCCCGCAGTGGCCTTTTGCCGCTGAGCCTGCCATGCTTTGCACAGTGGAGGACGCCACTGTTGCCTGCCGTACCCTCCACCTCCAGTATTCAGATCTTATTTAATCATAAATTAAACATCAGTTAAGCCAAACCTTATGGGCCCTCACGAACATTAACAGAACACTGTTTATATTGACTCCATTACAGTCATCTTGGCCACTTCTCCCGGCATAGAAATGCTTAACTGGTTCCTGCACGTCTTATGCCTATGGCTTTCTCTGCAAACCATGCTGTTTGAGAGTGCTATAATTAAGACCGGCGCCCCGTAATCGGACACGGCGTAAAATCTTCAATTTCCAAAACATCTCATACCTACACCAACCATGCTGCCAATATGAGCTCAAAAAAGGATGAAGCTATTCAAATAGCTTTTAAAGATTATCATTCTGATAAATTTGCCCCCGTATCACAACAAAGGTATACAATGTCCCTTTATCCACACTAACCAATGGCAAGCTTACACACCATCTTGCCCACCAAAAGGAGCAGAGCAACCGTTATGCAGATACTGCTAAGTATGAGAGTATGAGGGTTCTTGTTGTGATAGAACTAATCGCTAATTTCGTACAATGCCAGGTGCACGTGATCTTGTCTGACAGCTGACACCGAATAGCTCCCCACTTCACCCTGCAGAGTCAGACATCCCTTCTAAAAAAACTCGCACTTCATTCTGCCTGAGTCAGACGAAGGCTGAGTCTATGTCCTCATTCATGGATTTTTCTCAGCCACCATATATATATATATAAAGAGGTTTTTTTTTTTTTTTTTTTCATGGAAAAAGAATGTGGAAGAATTTAACAGGCGACCCGGCAGGAAGAAAGGGCCCTCATTTTCTCTTGGGAATTAGGGGGCCAATGTTCTTGCAGTTTGTTCCTTGGCAGATGGGCTTTTTCTTGGGAAAGTCTAATCATCTTTAACTACTCTGTAGTTTGTGTAAGCATTACTGCATATGAAGTGCTGCTGCAAAGGTAACTAGACTAGGTACTATACTTTGCTGTATGTACTCCACACTTTGTTCACTGTAAGCTGTCAGGGCCCTTACCATGTAGACCAGGACGAGCACGTGAGCTTCCTTATTTGGATTAGCGTGGCGCGTGGATAGGAATACGTCGTCCAGCTTCACGTAGATCTCTCCCTTTTTCCTTCCCCTCCATGCTTGAAGTTCTCATCGATAGCTGCCTAGATAGTTGAATAGCATCCTATTCATCGTCTAGTTGAGTTCCGTGACATAAGCTTGTGGTAGTTAGACTAGCAGAGTCAGCTGTGCAGGTCATGTTTATATCTTAGTATGTCATATATAAATAGAGCCTTGAAACCTTGTCATTTTTCATATTATTTCATTCAGCTGATCTAGTAGTTTACACAGTGACTTAAGGCCACTTCTGAAAAAAATATAAATTGGGTATGCAATGAAGCCAACTAGTAGCAGTATGTCCGGTTTGTAATAACAATCAAAAGGAGACAATAGGAAACCCATGGCACATGAAAACAAGTAGGATATGTCATAACAGGTGAAGTTAGAAAAATAAAGGGATATTTGTACTGCAAACCCTTTGTTGTCACTTAGACCTCACTGCCATCAACATTGTGGAAATTTAGACACAGAAAGCCAGTTGGTACTATTTTAGAAGTCCTAAAATGTAACCATAACAGACATGATTAAGACATAAAAAGAAGATGTGAAAATAACAGTGCAGTACTGGATGTCAAGAACAAGCCACATGTGAAACTGTGAAGTAGGACATTTCCATTCAACATAATTCCCTTTCAGATTAAATTAGTAACAATCAGTGATGAAGTCAGAGAAATTGAAAGTTTCTGCAGTAGTCTGATGATTCACAGAACCAAATTGCTGAGACAGCATGGCTTTTTCCTGGTCATTATGGATTTGCTGGATCAAAACGTTAAAGGCATCAGAATCGAAGTCGAGAGTCATGTCTCCCATAGCTTCATTTTGACTGATAGCAAGATCCATATGTGCCAATTCAGCCATGCTTTCGTTCATTTCAACAGTTCTGAGTCTTTCAGCGACGGCAGGATGAAGAGGAATCGGTGTGGTCACGTTGGATGAGGTTGCAGTCGTATTGGACGTGGGGGAGTCGGGCAATGCCCTAACAATAGGCTTTCGATCATTTTGGAACTGACGCGATGAAATTCGACGCTTCTTCTCTGATGGTTTGCGAGGTGCGTACTGGTATCCTGGATGTTCTTTGGCATGTTTGCGTTTGATGTCGTCCGCAAGTACCTTATAATGGGCTTTGACTTCCTCTGACTCGGCATTCCATTGCTTTCCAAGCATTTTGGCTGTCTCTGTTAGTGATGCGTACTTCTTATTTATGAGGAGTATTAGATAAACGCACAAATATCGTTGTTATGAAATTCCGGATATGCGGCCCTAATTTTCGGGTGGTGATGTTGACGATATAAAATGAAAGCATTTGGAGGTCGTCGAACTTTCGAAACTTTCGTCCTCACAGATCTTCTATGAGGATTATTCCCGTCCACAGTGGCTTCGCCTTGCAAATTCGATATCATACTATGGGATGCGACAGAAACCACAGAGCCCACAAATGCAGGAGTACGCATGATACGAAGAGCATTGATCGAGTTGTCAACGAAGGCCACAACTGGAGCATCAATGAGGGCACTGTCTACCTGTCAACTTGTCAACTCTTCCAAATGAAAGCTGATGTCTTACCTTAGACGAGATTTGATTTTGTCAACATTACCCTGGCCAATCATTTCAGTGATATTTGTTGGCAGAAGCACTTCATTGTTTGTAGATTCAAGGTGACGCAAGGCATCCTGCCAGATCAGTTCCATAACTTGATCTGTAGGTTCAACAGCTGCTTTTATAGCAATAGGTACTGCAGCCATTTTAAATTTCAGAAGTCAGATGTTGAAATTCAGAGTATGGTTACTAGTTTCCTAAGGCGATGGATCCTAAGGTGATAGACTGCAAGGCGAGTGATAGATCTTAAGACAAATCCCAAATGCTGTGAATCCCAGGTGCTTTAAAGTTAGCCTTGGAACATTAAAAGGGGAATGCGAGTCTATACCTTAAAGAAGGTGTTGAGGGATACTATTGAAAAGAGGAAAAACATCAAAAAACAAGGAAGATATAAGAAGTGAGGTTTTATTCTAGTTTGGATTGGGAGGCTGATCAGTTTCTTTGTTCTTACAGAGCCCGAGTGAATGCTTAGGAACCCTTCACTCCACCAGTAGTTAATCTAGGGCATAAGAAGTCTACTAATAGGTCTAATTTGAGTTCTTCTTTCTTACCCCTCCAGCTTAGTATCTGACAAATCCTCCTGTCTCTTCTCTTCGGTCAACCATCTACCCTGAGCCTTACCTATCGCTTGTTGACAGCCTTTATCGACTTGCCTTTCAGCTAATATTTTAACCTCACATTCATTCTCATTTACTTTTATTTCATTATGGAAATGTACATCAATGCTCTCTTAAAGTTACTAGGTGCAATGGCTCAGGATGCAACTCTGCCCTTTGAACAGAGGCAGCAAGCTACATATGCCTATGTCTTATTCTTCACCCATCGCAACCCCTTTAGGCTTATGGTTCACATTGCCGCTATCTATGATGGAAAGTTTCTGATCCATCCTTCCCATCAAGCCAAAATTATAGCTGAGGATAGGGAAACCCCAGTTAACCGCTTTGGAAGATTCATCAATGCTATTGTGGTGGATTTCAAAGTCGTCCCAACTGTTGGCGATTTCGAAGGCCATCCAATCGAATTAGTTACCAGTCTCGATCCTGCTATTGAAAATGCATTGGATGGGGTTGAGAGACTTCGAGTCCATAGCGCTCTTCTGTCAGCTGAGAAAAAAGCCAACGAAGACCTCGTCAAAAGTACTAGAAAGTACGGCTATCACTACATATTCAGGTTCGGTCTGCGGCAGTACTACATGACGTAAGTTCAGTTAACAGTCAAGAATTTCAAAGTCTTACACTTTATTAGGAGGACTGTCGCGTCAATTATCAATTTCTGGGGACAGGATGCTCGTGGCAATGAGTATAGAGTCCGTGCCCAGAAGGTTTGCTATGAAGTCATGGAGGCAGGGGTGAAGTTAAATGCTGCAGAAAAACGAGCTGTGATACAAGCTCTTCATTGTGCACCAGAAGATGCATATGCATTCTGTAAGTGCCTTCAGATTGTATTTGTTGAACCTGCTAATGCTGGTAATCAGGGAATTGGATGGAAAGGAACCGCAGTGCTTACTTTGCGATGAAAGCTTGCATTTCCTTATTGGAAGCCCATAACTGTAAGGATACCATGCAAATACATATACAGGGAACCTTGCTAATCCCATTACAGAGACATTCATGATATCCGCTTTATCTAAAGACAGCAACAAATTCTCGATCTTCCTTTGTCTTCTTTCCAACACATGCTACCTACCCCCCCTCGCACACCTTATGTTTACATGGTTAAACCGAACCTGCAGCAGCTGAATCATTATATGAGTGATATAATGTTTCTGTGTTTTACAACCACCTAAGATGCAAAACATGGAGATAGAAAGTGTTTTACTTGGCAACACATGCGACTGGAGCAAGGAAGAGTGATTAATACTATACATGCCAGTGTGCAGGATCACAGGCATTTCATTGTTGCTTTGTCTTCTTCTTCTTCTTCTTCTTTTTTTTTACATTGCCGCATCTCATCTTGTTTCCCTTTTTCTCCCTGTCTTTGACTTTCTTACAGGACAGGCGTTTTACTTGACGTGTGTATCATCAGATATTGTTATTTTCTTTCCTCCTTCCTTCCTTCCTTCCTTTCTTTCTTCTTTTTTCCCCTTAGAGTCTCCTAACTTGTGACTTTGTGACTGTAATTCTATGGACGGAACTTTGTTATTTTAGGAGGACCTGTTTATGGGCTGGAGGATGCTTTAACGCGGACGGACAGGGATCTTAATAGTGTATTTAGGTAGATGATACTATACAAATTGTGCCATTCGTGGATACTACAGTAGGATGTACATGGTAGTGAAACTCTACGCTCAAGTATGGGACAACAAGAAAGGGAAAGAAACAGGGATCATCCTGTAGGGTCTGTAGGCAGTCCAAACAAGAAAACAAAATTACCACAGAAGATCCCTTTCACTGCTAGCTATCAACAGAAACAGATAGAAATCATGATTCACATATACAGATTTTTTCTACATTATACAGAGTAAGATTCACTAGGCAGAATTGATTAATTTATTACATAAAAATTGTAGAAATACATAGTTCTACTATGTTCGCAAGGATGAGATGAGCTCAGGAACAGATCCTGGTCTCACAGGTATAGCTCTTCCAAAACAGACTCTGCTACCACCTAGATAGTACATTATACATACTAGACCTGACTTATACTCATACATGGCAGCTACTAACTAGTAGCTGCAGGTAGTAAATATAATTGCAGTTTCATCCCAGCTAGCACAGACATTTTTGGGCATAGGCTAAGGAAAGTGGCGCTTCGCACTGCCGGTAGATCCAACGGAACATGCAGCCCTCGGCTTGCATGGCACACACTTAAACTCCACGTTATCATCTGGAACAAAGACCCTCAAGCGCCGAGTCTGGCGGCTAAGAATAGCAGTTCAAGAAGAGCGCCCAGACATGCCATCCTTGCCAATTTGACCCTGCTTACTACATCTGCTACTACTGCATACCTCGTGGTAGACACCACGACATGCTTCCCGGCCACGCCATGCCCAAGAAAAGAAACCAATATACAGGCATGTATATGCATGGCTCACACAATAAACAACAGAGAACCCCAGTCCAGCCTCGACTTCGATAACCAATCCCATCATCACACTCAGTCTTCCTGGTACGAAGTCTGGAGTCTTGCGCATCTCTCCCAACCGTTGCCGCACACGCGCCAGGCCATTCTCCGACTGCAGCATCTCGACCTATAAAATACATAAAAAAATCCAATTAACATTGTAGACAAGACGGAATAGGGGGGAAAAAGCCAAGGCGCTCCAATCACGCTCACCTCAGCTTCCTCTCATCCCAGTTGCACCCCGCAATAATGTGCTACACTTGCTGCACAAGCACCCAACATGCCGCCCTGACTACCATGCTGGCTGCCTCTATTTAATCTTGCATCTTGCTCATGAAGAACACCTTAGCTGGCCACCACCAGCTGTGCTGAACGTATCTTCTTCAAGCAGGTGGGCTTGGATCCTTCACTTGAAGGAAATCATGGCAAAGTATGTCTCACGATAATTCTACGTTGCATGTGTTCACTTCCGGGAGTCTTTCATGCATCTTTGATATATTTGGGCTTGCTTCCAATGCATATACCAGACATCACGCGAATGCATGGACTTTGAGAAATTTACCATATTCAGGATTCTTGCTTTAGCCTCTGATGAAGCTTAGGGATAGCAAAGAATACCAAAATATGCAGGGCTTCAATAGCCCACAAAGAGTACTCCAGACTGCCCTTCATTTCTCTACTAGATTTCGCGAGCATCCACACGATCACCAGGTCTTCAAGCTGTCGTACCGATGACAGGCTGGATGCTCAACTCTCCCTCCTGCAGCCACAGTAACGACATGTGGCGTCTTACATGATACACAATATCGATTGCTCTGGAGTTGGGCCTCCATTTGCACAATCCGTCGTGGAATTCTAGTCCCGAAGAAGTCGAACTCAGAGCTCACGCATGATGGACTGTATACAGATTAGAGAGGCATGTGGCTGACTTTCAATGATGCAAGAATGTGTGGGCATTCCCTAAAGTGAGATGCCCATTATAGCCCTTAGTACTGGCTGGGTTCTATCAGTGTGTGATCAAGCCATAGATATACCAACCCCATCCTTCAGTGGCCTTGACAAACTCATAGACCATGAAACCAAAGCTGCGCCTCTCCACTCCAAATCCACCTGGGCATCCATATGGGCATTCACCCACATGATTGAAACATGAAAAATTTGCTGATCATGCATTGGATTCAATACATATAGCTTGTGGCCTAAACAGACAATATTCATCACTCACACCAGAATATAATCACAGCGTGCTCTCATGAATCCTTGAACACCTTGCAACAATTGCCTGTCATTACTGCAGAAGAGGGAATAGCAGTTATTTGTTAGTGTCATTTCCAGTTCTATGATATTTTGATGGCAGGACTAGTTTGTTTATCTTTACTGCAATTGGTAAAATCATAACAATCCTCTACCATCCACTATTTTCAACAGCCATGGTGTAACAAAGCTAACAGAAGATTCCTTAGCTAGGCATGCACAGAAAATCACACAGATAACTACCCTGTTCACCACACTTCCACTCTATCATGGAGATGCTTCAATCTGCCAACTTCTACATCGTCAAAGTTTGGAGAACTATTTTCCGTTCTACAGGTGAGGGTATGCTCTTCCGCGGTCTTTTTTGAAGATGCCCACCGCACGATTCGACCGTCTTAGGCTGCCGACTCATCTTCCCCTCCCAATTTGTCTGAGGCAATGGAAGGCGTGGACTTTGATCTTGGCAACCTTGACAGTATGATTCTTTCAGTTTCGACATTCTTTGACAATGGGATGAAGAATATTGACGGTACGTTAACAGCATGGTACGGGTCTGTTCTGGACGACATCGGCGACACCGAACATATCAGGGCAGGCCATACTTGAAATTAATAGCCTACTATATCGTATATAACTGGATTTTCGAGATCTAAAGTCCACAGACTGTTGCCTTTAGTGACGTGATACATCTACTATGTTGTGCCGTCCACGCCTTCTCGGACCAACCGAAGAGATAGGATGATCCGTATTAGCATAACTAAGGACGACCCCCTCTCCAGAAACGCCCACAAAGGTATCATGCCAAAAAGCCATCCGCTGGGATGTTCGTCCCTTCTATACCATCGCATATTAACAAGCAACAAACCAACAAAGAAGCATGTTGGAGTCGAAGGATCGCTCCAACTCTAGCGGAACACGGAGTCCGGACCAGGACTTTGGGTCTTTGGCCATTCGTGTACTAGCCGTGCATGGTGCGATGAATTGCAGTCTGGTCCCGTGGACATATCAGGCAGTCCGACACCTCTACCAACATGGTGGGCGGTAGTAGCTGGCAGACATTCAATAGGGTCACAACACCACAGTACGGCCCGTTTTTCCAGGCAATGCTTTTAGAAGAACCCAGTCGCCGCTGATGCGTTGCTTGATCCAAGCAATGGCACATACCTACCGCATCCTGATGGCGCAGATTCTAAACTCTCACGTCCGCCGCGGCATCTTAGAATCCATTACCTCTTTTAGTCAATGGTACGATGACAAACTTAAGTCAAACCCAGCTCCAGCAGAGTGAGGTATCGACCCGGTTGCTTGATGGGCTCTTGGCTATCCTCATCATCTGTACCGTAACCGCATACCTTGCAATGGACTACTGCATTGCGTTCTCGAGATTAAGACCAGCTTAGCGAGAACTTGGAACCTGTCAATTTGATCTTATAATAGAGCAGATAGACTGGGCAGTAGATGGGATTTTACATCTATTTCTATACCCAAGTTACTTCAACTTGGAAAATACGCCATAACATTCTCTGCTGTTAAAATAGTATGCCATTTGCTGCGTAAAACTAAGCGATCCATCTCAATCCCAACAAAAAACTCAAGAAATATCAGGCAAGGTTTTCTCGACCTCAAACGCTTCCTTGATCCCATCTGCTACAGCCTTTGCCTGGGACTCGGTAAAACGTGCCAATGGCCGGCGCGCATACCCGCCATAGCCAAAGTAGCTCTGAATAGCACTCTTGGTACCGGGAATGGCAGACTTGGTGAGAACCCAGTCGGCATCGCTGAGCAGTTTCTGGACCTCGATGGCTTCCGCGAGACGGCCGGCGGCCCAGAGGTTGAAGATATGCACGCAGAGACGGGGGATGACGTTTGCGGTACCCACGAGCATGGCCGAACCACCCGAGACAAGCGCCTGGAGAGTAAAGTCCGCGACTCCGCCAAAGGCAACGTAGGGATGATTCTCGACTTTCTTTGTCGATGCGGTGGTCTTGACAGTTGGCACCAAGGGAGAAGGAGGTGTGATTGCATTCAAGGCACGAGCAACACGTGTCAATTTCCCTGTATTGGCACAAGTGAATTTTGTGCCGACAATATTGGGATGTTGAGAGATGCGGATGATGAGGTCTGAATCCATATCGATTCCCGCCACGGCACCGGGATAGTTGTACAGAATCACAGGCAATGGGGACCCATCTGCGACGGCTGTGAAGAACTCGTAGAGCGTCTCATCGTTACCCACAGCAACTCGGTAGTAGCTCGGGGGTATAACAAGGACATACTCGCCGCCAGCCTCCGCGGCGTCCCTGCACAGATCCAACGTGCCCCGGATGCTCTGTTCACTTGCCCCGACGATGACGGGCACATTGTGGAAACCAGCCTCGTCCAAAGCGGATCTTGTCTCGCGGGTTACCGTCTTACGCTCTTCGCGCGTGAGATGGACCGCTTCGCCGTTGGATCCCATGGCGACTATGCCAACCAGACCCGCCTTTGCAAGACGAACGGCATGTTTGCGGATGGATGGAATATCGAGGTCTTCAGATTCAGGTTTGAAAAATGTGGTCGTGGGGCAGTAGACGCCCGGACGGAGGGGAGCACGCTGTTTGGTAGTAGCCATTGCTGGTGTTGAGCTTCGTAGATCCGAGCTCAAGTCAGTCTGTGTTTCCTTTCTTTCTCTGGACTGTGGTTTACCTAGGATGCTTGCTCAATCAATTGCAAGGATGAAGCAGCCTTGTGAGAGCACAGAGGCGTGGCCGAGGCCACGCGCTCGGCATGTTAAATACCGAGAGTCTTGCCATCAGATATTATCATACAACTGCAAGTGACTGCGGAGGGTGAGCGTTCCTTCCCCACTAGCCCCATGCACCACTGCAATTATCCACCAATCCGACTAAGTATATGCATGTCCCACTTGACGTGGGGGTCTTCATCCGAGTGGAGGGACAGATTGCTTACGTAACATGCAGTGGTTGGAACACACGCGGGGTCTCTCCAGATCAGTCTAATAGTAAACACTCGGTTAATTATTACTACATGAAACAGGCATTTGAAGGACATCATGTCATGCACATCTTGGGATAAAAAGTCTCTTCTCCCCACTGCGGTGGGAAGCTACATCTGGTCGAAAGTATCACCTGTATTGAAGCAGCTATGGCCCCCCCAAGCGTCTTGATGGTAGGTCCCAATTTTCACGATCTATAGATCTGCTATATATTGCATTGCCAGTTGCGCGGACAAATTTCTTACTGGAGAAACAGGTAGGCACCGGCGAGTACACTACCGGCTATGTTGGCGGTACTGCGTCGGGATCTGACAAGAAGGTCGGAGTGGTGGGATTGACCCTCTTCGACCTCCGCAGACGAGGCAAGGTTGGGAAGTTAAGCATGGCCGGAGTGTCTGGTTCCAAATTCCCTGGAATCCGTACGTTCTTTGTTGCATAGCAAGAGAGGATGAAAGAAGGAAAGAAAGAGTGATTGACACTCCGCTGTATCTTTGCAGGAGAACATCTCCACAAGAACATCCACGACGTCTACAACGGACTTGACGTCTCCTTCGACTCATTCCCCGCAGACAACAAAACCGACCCAGAAGCCTACAAGACGGCCATCGATGCCCTCGAGCCCGGTTCCGCCATCACCATCTTCACCCCAGACACCACCCACTTCCCCATCGCCCTGTACGCCGTCCAGCGCGGCATCCACGTCCTCATTACTAAGCCCGCAACCAAGCTCCTCGCCCACCACCTCACCCTACTCGAGGAATCCCGGAAACACAACGTACTTGTGTACGTCGAGCACCACAAACGGTTCGACCCAGCCTACTCCGATGCACGCGCCAAGGCTCGCAACCTCGGCGACTTCAACTACTTCTACAGCTACATGAGCCAGCCGAAGAGTCAGCTCGAAACCTTCAAGGCATGGGCAGGCAAGGACAGTGATATCTCCTACTATCTTAACTCCCACCATGTTGATATCTGCGAGAGCATGGTCCCCGATTACAAACCAGTCAAGGTCACCGCATCCGCTTCAAAGGGCACCGCTGTTGAACTGGGCTGTGTGCCGCAGACGGAAGATACCATTACTCTGCTAGTCGAGTGGAGGAAGAAGGACGACCACTCCAAGATCGCCACGGGCGTGTACACGGCTTCCTGGACCGCGCCGCAGCCAGCTGGGGTGCACTCGAACCAGTACTTCCATTGTAAGTCTCATGAAGCACACAGTTACACACAAAAACAATGAAAAGACTGAACAATCCAGACATGGCCTCCAAGGGCGAAATCCGCATCAACCAAGCCAAACGAGGCTACGATATAACAGACGACAACCAAGGCCAACTTACCTGGATAAACCCGTAAGTTCATCCCTGTAGGAAAGGAAGCAAGCAAACTAAGGTGAATTTTTCTTTTCTTTTTTTTTTCAAGCTTCTACATGCGCTACGCCCCAGATGAAGAAGGTAATTTCGGCGGCCAAACAGGCTACGGATACATCAGTTTCGAGAAATTCATCGATGCCGTGACGGCTTTGAATAAAGGGACAATAACACTGGAGCAGCTGGATGCCAGGTCGTTGCCGACGCTCGGGAATACCATTGCCACGACGGCTATCTTGCATGCTGGACGGATCTCGCTGGATGAGGGGCGATCTGTGGAAATTATTAGTGGGGCTGGGAGGTGGGAGTTGCAGTAATTATTATCTCCATACTTATATATAAGGATATAACCTTATATTATTTCTATAAAGGAAACAGGAAAAACAAACTCCATATCCGCGCCGAAGTAACTTCGTGGTATCATAACTAAAGAACAAAGTTGCAGCATGGTCAATCCTTCACTTCCGTGCTCCAGCCCTGACAATCCCATCATACCCCTTGCCGAATTTGACGCGACATTCTGGACAGTACCATTTAGCCGTTCGGCTGGGAACCTCGGAGAGACCGACGCAGTCTAGATGGAACCATTCCCTGTCGCACTGTTTAGTAGTTTTCAAATGCGTTAGCATCTGCCATGCTTGGAGTACTGGTGTGGATATCCACAAGGCAAATCTTACATCGGGATTCTCACAACAAATCATCGTCCCAAAGCTAACATCCCCACAAATGCAGTATCTGGGTTCATTCGGGTCAATTTCCTCCAAAATCCCATCTTCATCAACCCGAATATCCTGATTTTGGGCAATGGAGCCGCTACCTTCTTCACGCGCTTCGACTCCGATATGTTTCTTGGTTGGCTTGGCTTTACGACGACCATAGCTCACTGCAGCCCCGCCATCTTGGCCAGATGACACTGGACCTGGAGCGGGACGTTTTCGGCGGCGATTGGCGGCCCCCCCCGGTGCAGAGATGCCGGGAGCATGATATGGTTCGTGCGCAGCAGCTCGCCCGGCTGGGGTGGCACTTTTGCGGCGAAGGGCCCTTCCCCCCGCAACGGTGCTGGCAGGCTCCGCAGATGCGGCGGCAGATCGAAGCCGAGAGGATGGATGGGTATCGGACGGAGTCGGTGTATTCCTTGCTGGAGCTCCTGGTATCGCTATGGGTCGTTTTGACTCGACTGGGCTCGGAGGCCGCACCGGTTGCCTTGTATCGCTAGATGTTGTCGTCGATATGCTTGTCCTCGCCTCACCAGCTATGCCATTCCTTTCCTTACTGGCTCTGCGCTTCCTCGCAGTGCTACGCAGAGAGCTGGCAGCCGTTTGGGCATCCGGCTGGGAAACTTCGGGGGCTGTTTCTTCCAGTTTTCTCTTCCTGGATGGCCGGCCTTTATCATTTGACGGATTTGTTTCCGGAGAAATACCCTGCCTCTGATCAGCAGAGCCACGGAGTGAGATTTTCAAAGTCGAACCAGGATCACCAAGGCGCTTAGCTGCCAGTTCTGATTCAGCAGCGGCGGCAGCTGCTTGTTCCCTTGCCTGGTGCTCACGCTTGAGTCTTTTTGCTTCATTCAGCTTCATACCACGATTGCTTAGCTTTGTTTCTGTCATCGTGGCCGTAGCGTCCTTGGCAACGTCACTCTTTCGAGTCAACTTGCCCAAGACGTAGGTGTTCATAACATCATCACAGTCGATGAATTCAGCTCCAGTTGCCTCGGCTTCTGCCTTCGCAGCTCTGTAAGCGTCCCACCCGCGGCCACGAAGGGCAAGTTCACGGTGGATCATCACTTCGCTTGGTTGCCATATTGCGTTCTTTTTCATTTTCTTCCGCAGCTTGGTCATCTCCCACTCTGTGAGACGTAACCACGGCAGGTCTTCGCTTCCAGGCTTAGCATCCTCTGGAGGAGGCTTCAGTAATGCCAAAGCACTGCTAGTAGATATGCCAGCTACGGGTCGGTGCCTCGCACCCGGACGTGACCGTCCAGCCTCCTTCTCCACTTTGGGTTTCTGGGGTCGGGCAACAGCCCTCGACTCACGCACCGGTTTTGATTCTGCCTCCACGTCGGATTGCTCAGTGCTAGCGATTGGGGAGTCTGGGTGTAGCCCAGCGAGATGTTCTGCGGCAATTGCTGACCGCCGACTTCTTGACTTTTGCGTCGTGCTTGCGGAAGGATCTCTATTATCCAGGCGCAAGGTAATGCGCGTTGTCGGTGCAGCTTCGCCTTTTCTTCCGATACGAATGCGCTTGTTATCAGGAGGGCCTTGATCGTGGGCAGGAGTGGGTTCGCGTGACGCTGGCTGCGGTAGCGCACGCAGCTTCTGCTTTATGCAATCCAGGCGGTCAAAATGGCGATCCACAACATCATATATACGACATGCTTCGCCATAGGCAGATTCACGAGCGTTGATTGCGCGGTCGAGTTGTATCGAGATCTCTTTCCGGAGGGCTTGCGCGTCGGGTCTCTCGTATGGGGGTATGTCCGGGAGGCGGCCATAGGTCTTGGTGAGCTCGTGTACGGCCTGTGAGGCTTTAATATAGCGTTCGTCCAGGCCGCGAATGAGAGATAAGGAGCGAACTATGTCGGCAGGAAGGTATTCGGTGTAGTCAATGTAATCGGTCACTGTGGCCTGGGCATCTGGATCGAACGGACCATCCAGGATAACGCCTCCGCTGTCGTCATCCGTTGAATCGGCCATGGTGGACTGAAGAAAGTACAAAAGTAAAGGAGCGGCAGATATGTTCCACTTCAACGCCGTGGTGAAATAAGTGTCGTTGAAACGCGCTAGGCGGTTGATAACATCCGCGCGCCCATGAAGATCGGAGAGTCAGAGGCGACGCATGGGTGGCTACGGTCGAGAAGCAGCTTTGATATAGGTATGCAAATCAAGAAAATGGATAAATAGTAATGGAAATCACAATGGCCTGGGTGATTGAGGAATGAAGGAGGAATGTGAGGTCCTGCTGGTGACAGCAGATGGCGTTCTTCCGCTGTCGGAGCATTCTTAATCCGGGATGTCTCTTATTCTCAATAGTAGATACACTCCATAGTATCAAATTCCAAGACAATGCACTCACTCAACTTCACCAACTATCCTGCTTATCTAGGTAGACGACTATCATTACATAGGCATTTTATTGACTCATTAGGAACTTCGTCATTGAGCTTCCAACGCTGCCAAACCCTGGTACATTATCAGGGAAAAATATTCAGGCGACGCCAAAGCCAGAACCACTGCCCACTGTGAAACAGTTTAAAGCGCTGATCCAACCTGGTGCTGGGTATCACCAACTAATCCCATATCCTTATGGACATTGTGTGAACTAAAATCGAGGGCTTACCAGCTTGTTTGCTCTCTGAGCGTTGGCATACTCTTCTTGTTCAAAGCAGGAAGGTCGTTTCCCTTGCGCTTCTTAACCTCGTTGCATATTACAGTGATATACCCAGAAAGATCGATGTCTGTTTTGAAGTCATCCCTGGCGACCGCCGTTCACTTGCAAAAAGACCTTGACAACCGCTACTAAATCTCCAGAAACCATAGCCGTTGCTGACATGAAGAATGGCGTGGATATATCCTCAAATAGGGCAAGGCCACTGATACAGTCATCCGTGTCACTTCATTCCTGTGAAGTAATTGATTTTTCTGTCTGCAGTATGTGCAATTATAGTTGGCTGGTCCATAAACCACATGCATGGCTTCAGAGCAGAATCACCCTTTTGTTTTGCAATGGAAATGTGCACTTTCGACAATCTATTCACATCTCCAATTCTAGAAACGAGCTTCTCATACAGATGATATTCTGATCCGGACGTTCCAAGCAGCTCTTTGGGAAACACAGTACTGGAGCATCCTGCAACGTCGAGATCCGGTTCCCATTTGTCGCCATTCTTCCACCAGCTCTTGTCCTTATGACGATCCGCATAGGGCTCGTTGAGTCGACATGTTGTTCTTACTGTGACAAATTTGTGTTTCTCACTGGCGTTTGCTTTTACGAAAAGACCAATCCATTTAACTGTCATGTATTCCCCATCGGGAGCACTCACAGTAATAAAGAGCGACAACCACCCAATCCAGTGCTGGGAGTTCAAACTTGCTGATATACTCGACGTCTTACTCTGCCTTTACTCAGGCTGGGAAGATGCAAGATTGGGTTGGGCCATCTTGACGGCGGTATAGCCGGGAGTATCACCAGAGAATAGAAACAGGACACTTGAACCTATGTTGAAGTATATCACGACGATGTGAGGAGAGAGGGTACATTGAGAGTATTTAACTGCTTTTTTGACGAGTTTGATCCCCTCGTTGGCATGATATATCTAACAAATCGTCACGTAGGGCATCGGATTTGTCTCAAGAAGCTAGGGTCAGGCTAAGGCATCTATTGACTCGAATGCTCAGCCCACATCTAGTGTCAGTTCTGTCACTAATTCTCACGGCTCTGTAGCCCAATCTGCATGATGAAAGCTAGAGTTCGGGCAATCATGGAAAGCCGAGCTAGAAGGGGTAGTACTCACTCATACTGCATACATAGCAGACCAAGACAAGGCTGCAACAAGTACAATCTTCGCAGGATTTGTCATGCAGAGTCAGTGGGAAGTGGAACAGCCGCAGTTGGAGGGAAGAAAATGCCACAACGGCGTAGATATCAGCTCGCAAAGCAGAGAACGAGCATGATTACATCAAAAAGTTTCTCTCTCTTTTCTTAAAAGCCCTAGACTTGCTAGAGACTGAATATGGCTGGCTGTACTGTGTTCATTTCCAATCTGAGGTCAGATGTTTTCAGGCATCTTAGGCACTGCCGTGTAGCAGTTGCTCTAAAGACGCTCTTGAGGTCCTGGGTGAAGATGCTTGAGCATACTTGTTTCACTGCCCAAGTCATTCATTCATGGGATGTGGAATAATGTCAGTGAGCAAAAGGAGCTTAGAAGACATCCCCTGCGAGTTGGTTAGAGTGTCTAAGAGCGTCCACTCGTTTGTCTCCCCGTTTGACTGGATTATCGATTCCCATTCTCGCTTGTTTTCCTATTTTCTCCTCGTAGAAACGTCCAGTTTTTCTCCTTCATCCTTCCCCTTCTGTTCAATCTACTCCAATCTCATCTATCCATTTTCATTCTCTGCTTTGTCTCCCGCTCGACTAAACGAATGGACAGGAAAAAGCTCTTGGAGTTGCTCTTTGAGCATGACGAGTCCCTTCTGCAGACGGACACGCATCTAAACAAGAGCTGTCTTATCGAACCCTCCGTCCCAGAAGCAGTAGATCCACGTGTTCCAAATACCCAGGGAGAGGAAAAGGCTATATCTAGTGAACAGATAGTGGAGGATGTCTCTTTGTCTGATCTCCTGTCCAACGGGAAGGATGAAGTCGACAAAGGACTCCACGACGATCCTTCAGATGGCAAGGCTACTGGAGAAACCTTCGTTGATCAGTCTCCAGTGGACTGGAAACCAACTGTCCAGGTAGAGAGTGAGCTGGTTAGCTTTGTCTCCCACAACAGCCTCAACGCAATCGAGACACGCCATGCATCTCCTGGACAGCCCTTCTGTCCCCTCATGGCCGTGGCACGGTTTCCATACAAATATATCCAAGGTGGGCTGTCTCAAACCGTCGCTAGTCGGTTTTTCGACAGGGGAAAAATTTGGGAGAGAAGCTGGGATCTGTGAGTGTTCTGTTTCGTCACAGCTCTGCTCGACTTGACTAACAACCTGAAAGGTATTACATCCATGTGCCTTCTCACATGGGCTCTCGTCCGCTTCTCCTGTTGTCTACGGCTCAGGTCGAAAAGCTCATCCAGGAAATCAACGATACATTGGACTGCACCTTGTCCCTTCCGACTGAGAGCCATCTTGGGTTTGTGCTCACATTCGACGAGCGTGCTCCCCAGCCTAGATTTAAAGGCCAGTTCAGTAGTCGAAATATGAAAGAGTATCTGGAATCGACTATTCCTCTGGACGACTATGTTGACTACGACCCGATGGACCCGTTGTTTGTGGAGTTCGAAAAAAAGATTGAAGCAGGATTGGCTGCCTCCAAAAACAAGAAAAAAGCATTCAAAGCCAAGAAGCAGCAGACTAGAATCCAGAATCAGTGTGATCTGGTTCGTTGTCTGAGAAGAACTCAGTGCTACTTCGGTTTGCGTTCGCGCTCCACTTGTCATGAGGTCTGTTCTGAGGTCAATGGGGAAGCGCCTTGGACGGAGAGGCAGATTGAAGAACAGGATTACGGAGTCGCAGTTGATCCTGTTCTTCCACCTCTCGAATCGAATGAACCTGCGCCGTATTCTTTTTGGAATGAGCCCGTGTTCGTCAGCGTAGACGTTGAATCTAATGAACGTTGCCATTCGCAAGTCACCGAGGTTGGGATCTCCACACTTGACACTCTCGACCTTATTGGTATCCCTCCTGGTGATGGTGGGGGGAACTGGACATCTCGAATTCAATCACGGCACTTGCGTGTTCGGGAATACGCTCACGTCGTCAATAAGGATTTTGTCTCCGGATGTCCAGACAAGTTCGAGTTCGGAAAAAGTGAATGGATATCAATGGAAAACATGGTCACCACCGTGGACGGATTCTTTCAATCACCTTATTCACACCAGGTTAACGATCCAACGGCATCGAACGGGCAGCATAATCCCGTGAACACGACTGACGAAATCCCGCCTCATAAGAAACTATCCCGCAATATAGTGTTTGTGGGCCACAATAATAGAGCTGACATGGCCTATCTTCGAGATCTTGGGGTTGCTGCGTTTGACAAGGCAAGTAATGGACCATTCCTGGATGCACTGGACACAGCCGAGCTTTTCCGTACTCTCCAAGGCGAGGATAATCCGCGCTCACTGGGTGGTATACTTGGGGAATTTGGAATTACGGGCTGGCACCTGCATAACGCTGGAAATGACGCGCGATACACGATGGAAGCGTTGGTTCAGATTGCGTTGCACTCTCTTGCGGGAAGCCATCGAGTCAAGGGAGCAGAGGAGAACGGTAAGTGTGCCGACTGAATACCCACGTCGGGTTGACGATATCGACGGCGGAAAGCCATGAGTTGATACAGAGATTGTGTCTATGCCATACAGTCTATTCCATTCAAGTAATGCCAGGTTATTTTTGTCCTTACCTCTCACCAGCTTTGACACAAGGCCAGAACTCTTGCTCTAACCGCAAAACCTGCCTCCACCACTCCATACACTTTCCCCGTACATATTCCCCCTCCTCAGCACCCTTAACCCGCCCAGCCAACTCATTCACAACATCCCCAATGCGATCAACAAACTCCTCAAACTCAGCATTGGTCCAGTTAGGAATGAACTTTGCTCTTAGAGCACCACCATCAGCATCATTCGAAAAATCCCCCGACCCCGAAGCGGCCCCAATCCCATCCCCGGAAACAGACTTCGCATACTTCCAAGCCCTTAAATAACAAACCTCGCTCGCCCAAAGCACCACCATGCCCTCGAGAAGCGTAACCCCAGAACTACCCGCACTCATGAACATATCTATATAGCCCTTCGTAACCATATTCGGTCCGAAAAAAGTCGTACACCCCCTTTCCTTCGCACTCTCCCTCCACTTTTCCTCACGCTCACACCCTTCACTCCCGCTCCCACCGTCACAGCGGCATTCCACTTTCTTCTCCGTCCCTTCGGATGGCATAGCAGTTAAATCAAGTCCATACTCAAGCGCAACCTCCTCGAAGAAGTTCAGCTCGCGACGGATATTCACCAATGCGTCGATGAGGACGTCCATGGCGCGGTGCTCGGCGGTCGGGGCCTTGGGGACTGCCGAGTTGGGATTATGCGAGGGCAGGCGGATCTTGGAGAGTAACTGGCCCGCGAAGCGGATATAGGACTGCGCGTAGAGGCGGTCTTGGGAGAGCCATTGCGATAGGGCGGGGGCGGGGAGTTGGCCGCATCCGGCGGCGCGGAGGAAGGGGGTTATTGTTGCTGCTTCGAGGGAGTGGGGGCAAGAGGTTAGGAGGTAGGTTGTTAGGGGGTGTTGGTTGGCCATTTTTCTTTGTTTTTCTTTCTTTTTCTTTGGTTTTCTTGTGGTTTTTTGGACTTGTTCTGGGTGATATGTTTTATGTGTTTCATGTGTTCTATGTTCGTGGGTCTATTTTGTTGGGATGTTGGGATATTACATCATATGATATTTAGCTCTGTAGTTATTGATAGTAGATGATTACTCTCATCAATGACACTTGATTATTAGATGCCGTAGTGTTCCTTTCTTATAGACAATGAAGATAGATAATAATAACATTAACTGTCATTGGAATTGTCTGGCTGAGCGCTGGTAGTAGAGGTGTTCTATTTCAAGGTAACCCAAGTATCACCGTCTACTCTGTACTATCAATTAGCCTAGATCTCTATTCCCATTCTTCTTACTCTCGTATCAGCATTCATGTAATCAGATGAGGTTGAGTCTGCCAGACTTGGCCGGTCTGTCGTATGCCATTTCGTACATCTCATCCTATCCCATCCCGCGCCAGGAATCAAATTGCAAAAAAATAGAAAAAATATAAATTCAAATTTAAACTCCATTCTCCTTTCATTTCCTTTCATGCTTTCGTAGAACACGTCAGTAGAGGGAGAAAGAAACAGCGAATCACATCTGTCAATATCAACTCGACATCTCGACACCTCCATGTAAAACTGGCGATAAGCCTGGTGGATAGATGTTGTTGTAGGTCGATCAACGCCCGACTCACCATAATGATATTTTTTTTTAAAAAAATAAGAAAAGAAAACTAAGGGCTGTGTTACAATTTATAATAATTAGCAGTCTCGGCTTTTGTAGTATGTTTGTCATAGATCTTGTCGTTGGCGGCGTGGCTAGTATGGTGTGTAATCCATGTACTCCAGGATATCATGGTGAGTCGACCTCTTTATGAAGTGGCGGCACTGGCTCTAGCTGCATTGCTCAGCTGTCGATGATATGAGCCTATCGGTTGAAACCCTCTATTTGAAATAGACGTCAGCAATCATCCAATCTCTCTTAGGTAGACAGAGACGGGCACAAACCTTGCAAGATCAAATCCCCCCTCCTCGTCGTCATCGTCATCATCGCCCGGACCGGGATTATGGCCTGGCTGACGCACTTCTATACCGTTCGCGCTGTTCGATCCTTCTGCTTCCTCCGCCTCATCCTGCAACGGAGCCAGACTCCGCCCATATCCAAGTGCGGTCCCTGACTTGCTTGGGCTCACAAGATTCGGTGGTGGAGGGCTGCTACTTAGCATACTGCCGATGTCCCGCGGTTCTCCCTTGATCGGGCTCGTGTCCTGCGTGGGCCGTGCAGGGGTGCTGCCGATGTCGGCAAATTTCCAGAACTGCGCTGGAGAACTCATTGGCATGAATTTCGAAGGGACCTGTGCCGTGCTGGGTGGTGGGAGTCGTGGTTGCTGACGCTGTGGGGCCGGGGTGATCATGTTCGGGCCATCATCGTAGTACGAAGAAGACAGGATAGGTGGGGAGTTGACAACGTTGTCGGAAAGGCCGTAGGCGCGGCCAGTCGTGGTGTCGTTGTTATTCGCGCTGCTGCTACGGTTGGCATTTGCAGCACTACGTGTTGGTAGCGGAGATGGCTCTTCATAGTCTAGCCGAGAACTGCGCAGAGGATGACCTGCACGAGAGCCCCGCTCCGGAGTATACGCCTCGATGGGGGCTACAGGGAACGAGCTGAAGCCGGGCGACGACACCTGTGGGGACTTCTTGCCAGCCGAAAAGACCGCCTCGAAGCCATTTGCTCCGCGTGACGATGATACCTCCTTGGTGGCCGGTGACGAAGGAGCCGATGACTGGTTTCCCTTGCGCAATTGCTTCTTCCAGTACTCCTCTCGATATTCCGGCGCGATCTGCCACTTCATTCCCTTGCCCGGTTCGTCTGTCCGACGAGGAACTTTTTGAAAAGCCTTGTTAAGTGACAGATTATGGCGGATCGAATTCTGGAAATGGAACCAGTTAGCATGTGGACAAGTGCCACCCGCAAATGACGAAAAGACTCACCTGCCAGCCACTCTGCGAATGACGATAGAAGGCATATTTATCCATAATCCAGTTATATATATTATTCAATGTAAGCTTTTCTTCCTCGCTCGAAAAAATTGCCTGTGCAATCAACGTGGCATAGCTGTATGGCGGCTTCAGATCTTTGGCCGAATCCTTGCCGTAGTCTATCTCCTCTGTGCTCTCCATCATCATACCCCGGTTATAGAGAGGCGATTGCTTCGCTGTGCGAGCGCCACTTGTATCCGGGGAGCGCGGAGGTGGGGTGACCTGACGCTTAAGAAACTGAGGTGCGGGTGCGAGAGATGGATGGCCACTGGAACCAGCAGGAATCGTCGAATTCGCCGGATCATTGGAGATAATAGCGGATGACTGCGACAGGTAGGGATGTGCGTGTTGAGAGGCATCCCAATCCAGGGGTTCCTCGCCGTTAGCAACGCGCTGTGCGCGCTCGACAAAGCTGGCGTGGATATTGGCCTTGTCACCTGGCGTGACGAACATCATTTGCGTATTGGCGATTTCGATGATATCGCCACAGGAAAGAATGGCATCGGTGCCTCTTTTGAGAATAACATTGTTCAGACGAGCACCATTACGGCCGTTGACCCGGATATGCCACGCGGCAGTCTGCTCCCCATCGTAGAAGATCTCAGCGTGGAGGCGGGACACGAACTTTCCCGGACCCAAATCGACATGCACTTCGGGAAGCGCTCGCGCTGCGATAGTAACGGGACTGGACTGTTCATCGAGTTTCTGATCCCTGTCTGGCTCGCGACCGATGTTGACATGGAGTGTTTTCACGTAGTATGTCCAGTCGCGCCCGGCAATCTTTGCATATGCTCGGATACTCTGTTTATTCTCGGTCTTGCTGTTCGAATGATCCCGCATGACGCGCACCTCTTCGCGGGCGAGAGTGAGACAGGAGATGACCATGTCCATGAGGTCTTGGTTTTCCGAGAGTTCGTTTTCCGGGGACGAGTCGTCGGCTTCGCCCGCGGATTCTTCCGCCTTGACCTGTCGAGGTGGAGGGGAGGGAGGACGACGGTCGACCTTTTTTCCATGAAGAAGAATTCGTATAAGTCCAGAGTATCCATAGTCGCCGTCAGGAGCCCCCCCGAAGAGAAAGCGTAGTGGCACAACTTACCTTGCGCTTCTTGTTTGCCGGCCGGCTGGGCGACGAGTCCGGAGCCTCCGCGTCAGATGTTTCCTGCAGTTGGATTTCCTTGCGGCGCGCGCGGCGCCTATTTGAAAGAGGCATGATTTCAAGCGGGTTGTCTAATCCAAATTCTTCCTCGAGATAGTAGTATAATGATATTTCCCCCCTCCCTTCGCACGGCGATCACTTCTTCGGTCGGTCGAGGTGGGCTGGGAGATATCGCCGAGCAACGAGGCACAGTCAAGACTAGGAAAGATAAGCGCGGAAGAAAAGAAGAAGATAAAACAGAATAAAAAATAAATAAAATAGAAAGAGCAATAGAAGCTGTGGCCACGAAAACACTTGGGACGAAAGGGAAGAAGAGGATCCAGAGCCAGCCAATCTCGGGGTTCGTTGCCACCGCGTAGGAAAAAAGTTTGTGTCCAGAAGCGTTCCAGATGAGACGCGCCCGCGAAACCAGAAGTAGGGTCGAGTTGTCCTGCGAGACCAGGCAGGATAGGGAGAAGAAGAAAGGGAGGGCGAGCAGCAGAGGCAAGGGAGGAGAGCGGCAGAGAGGACGAAGAGCGACTTGATGCGGTTCGAGTTGGCGTCGGAACGCGAAGATGTGGGGATTTCCCGCACAACGCGATAAGGAGTAAATAATGCGATAGTAAATTAGAATTAATGTAGAGTTCTGGAGCTACGATGACGATGATGGTGATGAATACATGAATACTATTCCACCATGCGCTCAACTGGGTGCCAATGCAGGTGCAGGTGCAGATGCAGCCACCCCTGCAGCATCAGAAAACAGAAACAGGACATACACAGTACTCTTCATCCCAGTTGACGTCACAGTCCATGCCATCAGATTCAAGGATGCCTGCTAGTCTCAAACTCAGTTTGCGCCTGCAAACCATTAACATTGCCGTGCTGTCGTTCTGGCCGCCACCGACCGATCCTCGACTTCCCGGTTCCAGGGCATGGACCAGCTGCAGACTCAATCAGGCATTCATGCCAGAGGGGAATTCAATTCAATTCAATTCAGATATACTAGTTGCACTTCCCAATCCTTCCAGCAGTGCATACATTAGACAAATGTAGCAGACAAAATAATCAAGCAAACCCAACAACAATGTCACAGAAAATGATGAAAACGGGATGGCCGGCCATTTTAGTACGTAGAGGATGTTGGTAGTCACTGCAAAAAAAAAAAAAAAAAGAATGAATAAAAAGACAAAACAGACACCGTAATTCCAATAGAAGAAAGTCCACCGCCCACTGGAGGTGGGCAGTTTCTGGAAAAGGAGGATAGAATATAATAAGGAGCGAAAAGGTAGTGTAACAGAATGGAAATGTCGTGACAACCATCAGGGAATCAAGAAGCTCAAATCAAAACAAGGGATATGCATGGATGCCACTTAAGCGGCATCCTCGACTTTCGAGTCGCCGTCCTCATCCACGCGAAGCACGGGATACAAGCTGGCCACACTCTTGACGGGCTCCTCGACATGCTTGCTATGGAAGATGTGGCCGGACTCAACTTCTTCCATATGCTCATCATGTCCAAATCCCGATGCGCTAGCTTCCTTGTGGCCTTCATTGTCGTCCTCAAATTCTCCCCGTTCAAGTCGAGAGCCGATGTAGTTACGCAGGTATTCAATGAGGCGCACCTTCTCCACCCACTGCACGTCGGCTCGATCAGCCACTTCAGCTGCCGCTTGAGCGGTCCGCTGGGTGACCTCAGGATCCGGAGACGTGCTGGAGTGCAGAGCTGGGTCAATGAGGCTGGTAGAGAAGTGTACCGGTGAACCCGAATCTTCGGAGCGCGGCTTCGCAGGAGGGGTGCGCTCCCCGGCGCCCTTTCCATCCTCGGAAATGTCCATTTCGTGCTCGAGAGGCCGCCGGGTATCCGGCCGCGCTCGCTGCAACGTGCCACCGGTGTACCTCCGACGCTCATCATGGTCATAAACACCACTGAGTGTCGAAGGGGTTGCAGCACTCGACACAGCCGGATAACCGGACGGCATGCTCTCCGACACGGTGGTAGATGGAAGTCTGGGATACATGCCAGAGCTGCTGTCATGCTGCGGAGACAGACGATGGCCCGTCTGTAGCGAGGTCGGCGGAGAACGGCCTGAGGTGTACGACTGAGCACTCGATGGCGGGGTGAGGGCTGGAGTTGCACTGCTCGCCGGCGAGTGGGCAGATGAAGCCTTGGGAAGGACAGGTGCTCCCGGGTTCGCAATGGCATGGCTGGGGGGCAGTTGAGTTGGCGGCGAGTTGGTAGTGCGGTAGCTCGCGCTACCCTGTACATAGTGGGCTCCAGGCTGCGCAACGCCGGAGGCAGCAACATGGTCATCGCTTTCATAGATTGTGTTCTGCATTTGCTCTAAGAACTGATCGATATTGATCAAGTCGCTCTTGGTCCTGACGTTACTCATTGGAGGGAGATGGTATGCTGGTGCCGGCCCACCTGGGCTGTAGCCACCGCCCCCAACACTAACAGCAGCAGGCATCGGCTGATACTCAGGAACAGGTCCATTGGCCATGGGAAGCTGGAGACTCTGAAGGCCGAGAAGGCGCTGGCCTACTGCGGCATATGAGTTGAGATCAAACTGGCGTCTCTTCAAGTCGCCAAAGAACTCGTTAAGCGCGTCATAGCCGCGCTTCTTCGATTCATACGAAGCACTGCCTGTATCAGTTCCCAGGGCATAGTAAACATTGCCATAGGATGGATTGGCCGGCTGGGCTGGGTGAGACTGGTAATACTGCGGAGCACCTGGGTAGCCTTGTGAGGGAATTGGGTTCAATGCAGGTTCAAAATAGTGGGTTGCAGGTGGATAGCCTGAGCCAACTATAGTTAGTATCCCTTGAAATCCTCGACGAAAGCAGTAGTGTAGCACACTCACCCTTGGCACCTCCACCATACAGCATATCTGGGTGTCTCGCAGCGGGTTCTGGAGATCGCGCTAGAACCGAGTCGTCGGCATGGGTCTTCACATGCTTCTTCAGATCCTGTGGACGCTTGAACGCCTTCCCACAAAAGTCGCACTTATGAGGCTTGAGCGGGACATGGACTCGGATATGAGAAGTAATATGATCGCGCTTGACGGTTGTCGTGCGACAGCTCCCCCACTGACATGTCAGGTTGAGATTATTGGTACTCTTCCGACCGACATGGCGCTCGCAGATGTGTTCCTATAGAAGAATCGCCTGGTTAGTCTTGGTACTACTGAAGCGAGTGTGTATCGGAAACGAACAGTGACAGCAGTGCAAAGCCGGAAGCAAGTACAACACTTACATAAAGGGCTTCAGGGCTAGGGCATTTCTCAGAACAGCCTTGCCACATGCACGCCAGCTCATCGCCCGGTCGGGAGGTGCCGTTAGTGTTACTGTTCATCGTAGAGGCGGCGGCAGCAGCAGCAGTGGCAGCAGCGGCGGTCGCAGTGACCGATGCGGAGGGCGATGCCGTCGACGTTTGCTGCGTGGGCGACAGCTGGGTCGAAGACTGTTCCTGCATGGCCGGCGCCGAGACAGGAGCGGCAACAGGGGCAGACGGAACAGCCACGGTGGAGGAGTTGTTGTCCTGGTGTTCCGACATTGCCAAGAAAAACTCTTGTCTTGTCCTTTCTTGGGTGCGGCGGAATATGGGAAGACTGGGCAAAAATGAGTCTCTTGAGGACAGTGGAGGGACAAGAGACACAAAAACACCAAAGAAGAAGGATCAGATAGGGGATTCAACGATGATAAAAGGCATGAAGCAGTGATGAAGTTGGACAACGTTCAGCCAATCCTTCGTCCGACCGGTACAGATTGACCCGAATGGAGTCAGACTGGAGAAAGAGCCAAAGAGGGGGTGGAAACGGGGTTGAGAGAGGATGACAAGTGGCAGCTTGGGGGAGGAGGAGATGAGAAAGAGAGAAAAGCCGGGGTTCTTGACCTCTTTTCCTGGGGAGAAGAGGAGATGGAGAGGAAGATAAGGGGAGAGCCGAGCCTTTGCCCAGAAAAAGCGAGACTCAGCTGGGCGGAGGGACCTCCAAGACAGGGACAAGACCGGGCCAAGACGTTACGAGCCCAGGCTGCGTGGCGCAGTCCGTTGCCAACGCATTATTAGCGTTGCGAGAAACTGATCGGCCGCGGCCAATGGACCAGAATGAGGATCAGTCCGATTCCTGTATCCTCGCACTGAGATGTCTATGCAGGTATTCTACTCTGTATATACTTGTAAAGACTATATATCCATGCTGTACACTCTACGACTACGGAGTATATCTAATGCTGTACGTGTCATGAGTGCAACTTTTGCTTCCGTGTCATCTGGACATATTACCCACCGCTTTCTACAACCAGACTCACCCCGGCAGTAAAGGTAGAGTGGTACCACCTCGGTAATATAAAATACCGGAGGCTGCATTCTCCGGGCTCCGCCGGTCCTTGTCTAATCCGGAAAACGTCCTCCAAGGTCAGGCATAAGTTCAACGCTCTATTCAATAATTATACACGGTTGTTCGAGCCTACTCTACAGTATTCATAGTATTACATAGAAATAATACAGTGCAGTGATAAATCACCTCCCTTTCCTCCAGCGAGGCGGCTGATACCAACTCCAGATGTTCAGCCCTATCTTCGTCCCCGACGTGACGGGGAACGCTGCGTGCCAAGTCTCCGGATACCCCGTCCCGTCAGCGCGCAGATTCTCCCAGAAGATGGCATTTCCCTTGATAGGCTTAAAGGTGATGCCCTTGCGCGGCTGATGCGGTGTCTGCCGCCTCTGCCGCTCGTCGTTGTGGTCCTTGCCCTTGCCCTTGCCATTGTTTTCAATACCCTCTGCATCCTTGACGTCCCCCGCATCCTCGTCGCATTCCACGAAGCGGCACCACTTATCTTGCCCTCTTGGCATGCTCATCCGTGGGAAGTTTGTGCCACCGCCCGTGCAGTTATCGCCAAGATATACCATGAACGTGCTTATCCGGTCGCCGCCCAGGGCTGAGGATCCGGACCAATCGTAATGGTATTGGTAATGGCCTGACGTATTGTACCGTTGTGTCCACATGCGTTCAATGTAGAGGTGTGGCTTCCAGCCTTGGAACGAGCGGGCCCGGTCCTCAATGCAGCGGACCACGTTGTCGCGCTGGAGGAGAGCGCGGTCGGACAGCCGGACTGTCGGGTCGAATCTCTCCGTATGACCGCTGTAGATGACCGAGGGCGTATATTGATCCATACTTGAACGCAGGGGAATCAATTGGTCAGTTTTCTTCTTTCGTTCTTATGATGAGTTGAGTCCAGACGAACCTAACATCGACTAGATGGTCCACCTCCCAGTCCTTCAGAAACCCCTCGATATAGATCACTAATGGATCCCGACGTAGTAGATGTACCCTATAGTCATCCTGCTGGGGACAATCAAAGGGTACGCCATCCTCGAGACTGAGGAGACTGTCGTTCAACGCCGATGTCGCCGATAAGTCCCCGTCAGCGTCGTATTCGCTATGCTCGTCGCCAACCGCGCCATTCTCGGCCGGGGGAAAGAACTGGCTAACCAGAGGTGCAAGGACAAATATATAGATTGGAATGAAGTAAATGATCCAGGAAAAGATCGTGGATGGTTTGGGGAGAGATGGCAATGGCATGCTTTTAGGCGATCGATCGCCGATAAGACGGGAACTGTTTACCTCTTCCGTGTCCCTATCTTAATTAATGTGGATTTTTTTGTTTTTCAAGGTGAGAGAGAACAGAGCATGAGGGAACAAAGACTCCATGGAATTGAATGGCTGGTGAAACGCAGGAGAATTGGGGCTCTGCGTTCAATGGGAATTGCAGACACACACCCGGCGGAGCCGTGTCATTTTTGTTCTTATTGCTTGAGAAAGGGGCGGGTCCAGTTGTGTAGAAGAATGTTGGTGGCTCTCCTATAGTCAGCTCCTTCCAAGTTAACGTAATCGGACACCAAGTTGGCCATCTGTGTATTCCATATAAAATGATACTTTAAGACCTTAATATCTCAACAATAAAGCTCCAGAAGCATAGGATTTGAGATAGAGGTAAGCTGAAACTATATTTATATACATAAAGCAAAGAGATCTTTATGGTACATATTTCTTTAGGTAAGATAGATTACAGCTGTATTTTTAATTATTCTAATGTTCAATGCTAAACAAATTATTTAAAAACTTAGAAAATCACAGGAATACTTTTAGAATTGACATATATTTTATCTTACTGGTATGCTTCTACATCCATTGGCGGTGATGACATTAAGGTTTCAAAGAGTGCCATTTATTATGCAATACAGAGATGGCCAGCCAACTCGGTGTCCGATTACGTTATCTGTGCTATGCTAACCCCAACAAAGCATGTCAATGCATAGATGGATATAGATGCCAACTTGCTGATAATAAGTAAATACTATATATCTTCTATAATCTCTTAGCAATTGTCTTGCGGACAATGCTACTGCTGTTCGAGATGTGGTCCTTGACTCATCTTATCTCAGCAACGATATCCGGCCGCACCAAGTGAACATGATGGCCACAGTCAGGGACATACACCAGCCGACTGTTTGAAGGCTGCCTGCACTGCTCCTCCTTAATATCTCGATCAATCTCTTCCCACCGGTCTAGTAGATCCTGGAATGCTCCCCGATTCTCCTGCATCCCATTCCCAGCCCGCATACCCTCATAAATCCGTTAAAAATCCCTAGTGCTATTGAGCCAAATCATGCTGAGAGCCTTATTGCCCACTGCCTACTGTTGATACTGCCCCTTTACCTTCAACATCTATGAAAACCCCCACTTCAGCTTGTGCTGTATTCGCCCCCTTGTTAATGTCACTTGCCCTTGCTCACCACTTCTCATGTGAGAGCTTTATCAGCCCTGAGTCCTGTTACCTGTGTGTAGTTCAGGCCACCTATCACAGCAATAATATTCAGATCAGAGATCTAGAAGTAATTGCTCTGTCATTCTATGGTGCTCTCAGCAAGAATCATCCCTATGACTTCATCAAGATACAAGTTGAGGTATTCCTGGGCGATAATCACTCCATAGTAATGGCCCACGAATAATAGAGGAGAAGGGATCTGAATGGTCTGTAGAAGTGCATGTAGTTCCTGGGCGGCTGTAACGGCTGTAGGTCGATTGGGACCATCTTCACTGCGCCCTAGTTCTGAGTGGTCGTAGAGCATGGTACGTCTGAAGGGGCCGGTAAGGCGATAAGGACTATGTACAATGAGGCAACATCACCCGCACCAGCAAGGATAACCACAATAGGATCATGAGGGTGACGGACAATGCCGGTAACAGCCATGTAGAGACTGTGCGTGCCGATTGGAATCATTGCGCTACCAGTTCCAGTCGAGCAGTTGGGTTGGGATGAGGTGTGCTCCATGATCGCAGTGAATTTAAGGGAGGCTCAAGGATCTTCTTTCAAATACCAAATCGCAGGCTTGAAGTTGTCAATATCATTCGATGTCTGCACATGTTGGCTGCCATTGATCAGTTATGCGTTAGCGCTCTATACTAGTAGATACCTAGATATTTCAAATATGTCATTGTACAAGTCTCAAGCAATATGATCTTTGATGCGCACAAGATGAAAGTTGAGACCCGTGTTACTAAGCATAGGAAAGTGAATACGTGTGTATGTATGGCGGAATGGAAACTTGGAATAGCTGTCAAGTATAGCTCTACAGTCCGAGGACCTTTTTGTTTGCGGCACTGATAGCTTCCGAGGGTCGAAACAAAAAGAGACAGAAAGGAAAAAAAAGGAACATTCACTTTTTCTTTTCTTTTATTTTTATTTATTTCTAGACCGTAACCAAGTTTGCTTTCCATAGCCCATTTCCAGTCGTGGTCGGATATCATGTTAATAACAGTGTACGCCGTGCATCAAATGTTCTAAAAACCAAATGCTATAATGATCAAAGGGGAATCAAGAAGGGCAACAATGTGAATAAAAGAATTAACAAGAGAGGGTGGACGAAAACTCCGGGTGTATTAAACTCCCATACTGAAAAATTAAACCATCCATTGGATCCATTCGTCCGCTGCCAGAGAGCCCGTGGGTCTACCGGTTGCGTTGCCGAAAATGTCATCCAGAGGAACATTGCCCATGTCCATGTCGATCCCAGTCCCTATAGGCCTGGTTCCGTCCATGTTCATGCCGAAGTTTTGTGACCCGCTTCCAGCAGGGACCTGATGCTGCTGTTGCTGGGAGCCTTGGCCGGCACTCATGAGCTGTGGTGGAAAGCTGAAGCTTTGGAAAATAAAATTCTGGTCTGGGATGGAGACGAGATCTGGACTCTCGCCTTCACCATTGACTGGTGTCGCGGCATGGCTTCGCGAATGGCTATGCGAATGGCTGTGGCTTGGCTGTCGGAAATGACTCGATACGACTGGATTCATACCTGTTGCATTTCCGTTGGGGAATGCAGGTATATTGAAGTTCTCAAACCCAGTCGTAGGTAAGCCTATTGGTCCCGATGCGGTCTGCGGCTGGGACGTTGGGTTAAATGCTAACTGCGTCGAAGTAGCCCCATTGCCATGCTTGAAATGGTCATCTTCGAGAGTAGACATAGGCTGCGTGGGATAAGCAAATGGATCTTCTGACGGGAACATAATCGGCATGAGGTCGGGAAGGTTCGAATTTGAAGACTGTTGAGTGAATGACAATCCAGATGGCTCATGTGAGGGCATAGAAGAGTTATAAGAAGATGTGGTCGGCGAGGGATCGATACGATCCGTCATGAACGCATCTGACGCGATCGAAAACGCCTCTGTTGTAGGATCCGATGTCGGTGGAACGTATGACCGTGGCGTACTATTGTACGAATGGACCTCTTCTATATTTCTGGGTGTATTGCTTATGGATTCTGGTCTTGATGGGCGGGAGATTGCTGGTGTCGAGGACGTGTTCACTCGCTTCAACGGTGGTCCAGGCTCTAGAGGCGCTTGGGCACTTCTGACTTGGTCCGAAGGAGCTGGCCGTTTGAGGTTGGCACGATTCCTTGTACTCTGTCGGTTTTTGAGCAATTCAGGAAGATGCTTGAAAAGGCACTATGTTCGCAGTTAGTTTTCTGCCTGAGCTTCATACGGAGTAGGGTAAGGTTGAAAATGGGTGATGTACAGTGAGACTCTGCGAGCACCGATCAGCCGCCATGCTCTTCTTAGCCAGTCCAGCAAGGGTGGCTTTTCCTTCCATTGCATCTTTTAGGACACCGTCCTTGGCCGTAGGTGAATCGGGATTCTCAAGGACAAAGAAAATGAGGGACAAAATTGCGAAGTAAGTGGTATACATCGTGAACCAAAATGAACCACTCAGCAGTCCCCTCTTGTGCATTCCTGTAGTGATGTGGACAATATTGCGGGAGACACTAACACAGGCAGCGGCACAAGCATAGGAGCGTTTATCCACGCCGCGAGCTTGGGAGCCACCAGAGACGTAGTGTAAAAATGGTCGGTACATGATCATCTGTACATGAGCATAGCCGATTCGCAGCAGTTGTCGGACGCTAGTACTTAGTTAGACAAGGTGCTTTGATGGTAAACTGCCATTCGACGGACACTTACCGTTCAAGTTGAGGGGAAACTTCGGTTCCAGGTCGAAGAGAAGAGGGTAATTCCTCCATCCAGGTCTGCAGATCCTGTTCAATTTCCCGGATTTTGGAGTGACTCACCATATAGCTATTATCAGATTTCGATCGAAACTTTGGGTTTTTGACAGGGTATATGTATCGCACCACCTTCATGATGATATCGGTGAGACGAGCATGCGCATTCGCGCCAGCCATCAGTGGGGTTCGGTCCGGCGGTGAAGGCAATATGCCCTCAGGAGTGATGAACTCGTCATCGATCGCCAGAGGATATTCTTGGTCAATATCGTCGTCGCTAAGCATCAGCGGTAGACCCAAAAGAGTGCTTGCGTAAACATCCATTTTCCTGATTACCCAAAATATACGCTTGCGTAGCTCCTGCTCTACTGGGTTAAATTTGGCGGTGAACTTGCGGTGGAGACCTAGTCGCAAGGCCGAGCGAAGCGCAATGCCAACGTAGGAATAACAAGTGCTCAGTTTGGCGGAGGATTGAAGGAAGATCACCATAAAACAGATTGCCTGCAGTGAGCTTAGATCGCGGCAGTCCGTGATGTCCAGAAGTTGTCGCCCGGCTTTGAAAAAGTGAAACCTTTCGCGACAACCGTCAGTACTTTCTTCAACGAACACTCTTTTTTTATAAGCAAGGGAAAGGGAGACTGCAATGTCCCAACTGGGTATCCAAACGTACCCTTGGCCGATAGCACTCTCGTACCCTGACAGATCCAAAGTGTCCTCTCCGTTCCCTGAGAACAAGCAGCCAACTCCCAGTACAATATAGAGAAATGGCAGGAAGGAATTCTCTTGGTTGGTGTACTGCTCGGGTGGCGTATCATAGATGCGATCAAACATTGCATAAAACGATGGCTCATGCACGAATCGCATTAAGGCGCAGCCAACTTCCAAAGCATTACGGCATAGTCTCCGAGCAACCGCTCTAGACGGTAAGTCATGCGTCGGAGCGACGTTTGAGTCCGGTGATTCCAACGTTGACTTAGGGCTTTCGAGCATCTGAGGCGGAGGGCGGAAGTTAGGTAACGCGCTCTGAGCGTCACTGTTGCTGAGCTGATTCCTGAGCCGCCGGATGAAGATCAGGCCGGACGAGTGGCCATGATAGTCCCAGTTGCCCTGATCATCCAAGTCCAGAGCGCCCGAGTTATCGACCATTGATTCGAGTAATGACTCTTCCAGTGGGTCAGCACCGGATTCAGGTTTTGTCCCCGCAGGCGGTTTCGCAACCGAAGGCGCCACCTTGTCCTTCTTGATGGCAGCAAGTAATTGTTCGGTGGCATGAACGTCAAATCGCGGGTCGTCAAGGTTAAGGTCCGGAAGGACTACACGGAGGAGGGCTTCTGCCTTATGGAGGCGGGATTCGAGGGCTTCGATGTATTGCGGTGCAGGATTACGGCGATTCGACGGTTGATCGTACGTACACTCTATGCGGTAGTTAGCTCGGGCACATGGAAGAGGAAATAGCACAGCAAAATAGGGCAAATCACCGTAGCTATACACGGAGCAATGGGTGCACGGCTGTTTGCCGTCGCACTTGATCTTCTTGCGTCTGCATTCGTCGCAAGCTCGCGTCACCCGTCGCCTTTTCTGCATAGGATTATGCCCCTTGATCTGTTTCAGATCCAGCGCAGGGGCGCCATCTCTGACCAAGACATCCTGACTCTGTGAGGCATCGGCGTCATCGTGCAGATACTGTGAATCTGATGCCGCTGTCGGATCATCTTCGGTATTCTCGGTCGGGGTAGACTGCAAGGGGCTAGATTGAGCGGGCATGACGTGATGTGGTTGGAAAGGAGGAAGCTATATTAGGCCTGATTTGCGCGCGGGAGTGGCTTACCCCAGCGATCGTAGGGATATACTCGATCGCTGGAAGAAAGCAGTAAAGATAAGAGTAAATAGAAAGGAAGATAGAATGGTACTCGATGCGCGTCGAATAGCAAGAAAGAAAAGGTGAAATAGAGGTAACCTGGAGCGATAGAAAAAAATTGTATAGAACAAGGAAGAAGTAATATGAAAAGTCAGCTTAACTCAAATCCAGTGGGACGTGTGTGATTTGCGGTATCTCCGAGCGCAAGCCTCTCCTGTCGCTGCTGGGAGCCCTGCACGACGAAGAAGCAGGTATTAACTTTGCGGACAGAAGGGGAGCCGAGCTAGGTTCTGGGTTCCACGAGTGAGTCAGACACAGGCATCTGATCAGCAGCAGTCGAGGGCGTCGTGCGGACAGAGTTTGGCTGTTGACCCCATGGCAGGACGCCAGATGAGATAATGATTATTATTGCCGAGCGCAGACCCCGAGGGCGGTGTGGAGGGCCGCGCCAGGCTGAAGGCGAAACAGCGAGTGCGCGCTGCGGCTGTCCGGTCCTCGGTGCAAGGGAGCTGGCTGCAACTGGAGCCTCTGGGGTGCGTGGAAGTGGGCGTTGTGTAGGTTTTGACGACGGAGACTGCCGTGTGGGTTGGTTGGCTGTGGAGGGCGGAGGTTGGAGAGGAGAAAAGAGGAGAAGAGAGGAGATGGGAGGAAATGTGTGGGAGAAGCTGGCAGAAGCCATGCAGTCGCCGTCGCCGCCAGAAAGAGATTAGGCCCGTCCTCCTCCAGAGTGGATTTTTTTTACGGCTAAGTTGCAGCGATATGATACGCCTGCGTCACTTGGTCGCTTTGACTTGCCATCGGCGAGAACGCCGCATCATTGATCGACGATTATCGATCCGGACAAAAATCCATGACAGATCCGGGCTTCTCAGCGACGGGTACGCTACGCAGCGTACGAACACGATGCTGGCTGTTCGCTTCACTGAATCAGCGCAGATACATGGTGTTCCGATTGAAGACAATCACCCCATACCTCCTGATGGATCGATCCATCTGCCAATGGTACAGAAGTATCATAGGCTCTAACAGTAGCATTGGTAAGAACCCAGACCGGTATATTTCCCCACAAGGCACAACCAGTGCAGCGAAAACCGTGCATAAATTGTCTCGCACCTCCCGCAGCCTCCTGGCCAGGCCAAGGCTTGGCTAGAAACAAGCACAAGACCATAACACCACTGGCGCCCTCCTTGACTGGTGGGCCCTTCCCGATCCCTGGTCCAAATCACAGTTCACAGTTGCTTTTGGTCTGAAAGCATCTCGACGGCGTCTTTCTTTCTGTTGATTGGTTGGCCGGGCTCAACCTCGGTGTGCAGTTCCAATATACGCTGTGCGATAATATTTATTAACGGCGTTGATATCATATGAGTTGTGTATTCACCGTCGATTCCATCCCTCAGCTGATTCTGATCTCCTTTTCATCATCGTTCTATTAATTAGCTGTGTTAAAGATCTCTCGAAAAGCCGTCTTCAAATGTGGAAAGTGTGGAAAGTAGTAGCTACTACCCGTAAAAGAATGTGATCTCCTCTTATCTAAGGAGATGGTCAATTGAGAAATGAAGATGCGCATTACCCTGCGATCCAGATAAACCTCGATCCTTATTCAGATAAGGAGTACTCTGCAGTGACCTTGACTTGACGAATGGACGTGATGGTGATGGTGATGGCGATGGAACGAAGGACAGCCGGCGATAACGCTGACCGCCCAGATTAACCCCGACTTCGCTCGTCCAAGCCAAAAACAACCAAATCTTCCTTTTCTCCCGTCGCCGCAGAAGCTGCTCAGACGTCGCGATTCCAAGTAACACCGGTCCTTCTGAAGACGCTTCTGGTGTTAGTCTCTTCTCTTTTCTCCTCAGGCTTGCTTCTCCTATTACTGCCAAATTTGCCTTTCCTTTGCCAGCGGTATCACTGCGACACTATTACTATTGGACGCGCTTCTCTCTGGCGGGCTACGTCGGTTCAGGACAAAAACTTGCTTGACTGCATGCTTGGATTCTGTTCTTCTGGATAAGACAGTTCCTTTGCTGATTTATAACATCTTTTTTTTTTTTTTTTTTTTTTTTTGAAAACTCATCTTCGAATGGAGCTTCCATAATGACACCTCCGCTGACCTAGCTTCCACCCTTCAAACCCTTCTCCTTGCTACCTTCTATTTCCTGGAGATTTGCTCCTTCGTTTTCTGCAATCGAATGCCACCGCCAAGAGCTTGCAGAAAGTTATCTTTGCACACGCAGTTTTGACGTTCGAAGAATACTCCGGCTGGGTGATACGGATGTCCATTCCAATCGCGACGAGTTAAACAGCGCAGCTCCGGAAATTTATTATAATATAACAATCAACATGAGTCCCTACGAAACGGATCCAGAATTGGTACCTACGGAAGATCCTTATCTTTCCCGGAGCGTACACTACGGCCGATATACGCCGCATGACGCCGATTTCAGACCCTCCTATGACCATTGGTGTGAAACGGACCCAGACCCAACGTACTGGGAAGGTGTCGTGAGGAAATTCTGTACCCCGGAGAATTCGCTGAATGTTCCTGGGACCAGGGAAGCTTTTGCTGCTGGCAGCGTAATAATCAGGGTTGACCGTAATAGTATCGAGAGCGCAACATCAGAAAAGTACAGATTTGCCAATTTAAATGAGCTGCGGGCGGCCAGGAAGGCGGAGGACGCGCTCAAGGAACTTGGGGTGGCTGTGCCGGTGATATACTTCTGTGGACCTGTTGAGGGGAAAAATGTCACAGTCGAGTCTAGGATCCCTGGTGTCTCTCTTGAGGTCGCCTGGAGATACCTTACCGCTGAACAGGTGAATGGTTTCAAGGAGCAATGTCACCGCATTTTGCAGCGTCTAGGCGCTCTTGGATCGTCAGATAATGGGCCGTCTTACGTCTGTCATGAACTCAACGGACAGTCACACCCAGATTCTGGAGAAAGCGAAAGAGATATACTATTCGAGCAAGGAGATGGAGAACACGACCTGTATTTCACCCACAATGACATGGCCAGGTCTAATATCATCGTCAAGGACGATCGAGTTGTGGGACTTCTTGGTTGGCGACAGAGCGGGTTCTTTGGTCTCGAGAAGGCCAGGAAGATCCATCAGCAGCTCAGAGTTCCTGAGCCAACATTTATCAGCAGCTCCGGTGGTCAGGAAACGCTGAACTGGGATGATCTGTATGATGGCATTTCTACTAACGCCCAAAACGGTATCGCTTTAAATGGTGAGGATACCTTTACCACAAAGGTCAAGACCGAACCCACAAGCATCAACCTAGACAAACTTCCTATGAATGGCCAGATGGAAATTCATAGGCCAGTTTTGACTCAGCTCGACGGTACAGAAGCTTCAGACGAATACTTGACTCCGAAGAAAATAACAGATCTCAAACAAGGTGTCAAATCAAGGGCATCATCATCAGAGAGATCATCCCCCGCCATCTCAACAAAAGTTACAGCTTCGAGCAAGAAGACTGCGCCAACTTCTAAAAAGAAAGGAACGGCCGCAAAGAAACCAGCCACGAAGAAACGTAAACGTGCCGATCAAGATGGCGACAGCGTTGACAGCCGCTCAAATACGCCTCTCTCAACACGTACCAGCAAAACCCCTGCGTCAAAGAAACAATCCTCCGTGTCTGTAGCCGGCTCCCCTGCTCCCGAAAGCAAGAAAAAAGGATCCAGGAATGCTGCCGCGGACGAAGGAGATGAAGATGATGACTTTTCAGATGCTAACGAGGTCTTCTGCATCTGTCGTAAACCTGACAATCATACCTGGATGATTGCATGTGATGGTGTATGTGAGGATTGGTTCCACGGAAAATGTGTAAACATCGATTCCAAAGATGCAGATCTGATTGACAGGTATATCTGTAAGTCTATCCGGCGACGCTTACCAATGGTGGAAGGAACTCTTACCGTCATGACGTAGTTGTGGCTGACACTGAATTACCAGGTCCGAACTGCAGCGAACTAGGACATGGATTTACTACCTGGAAACCGATGTGTCGGTTACCTGGATGTCGCAAGCCAGCTCGTGTTTCTCGATCAGATCCGAGTAAATACTGCTCCGATGAGCATGGTCGAGAATTCATGCGTCGGAAGACACTGCACCTTAACTTAAGTTTTAATCCTACGCCCCGAAAGTCCATCCCTGCCAACCGGGTTTCAATGTTATCCAAAGATCGCTTTGGAGATGGCAATAATATTGATGGCGATCCTGATGAATCGCATGCGGAGGATGGACCTGGCTCTATATATGGTGGAGAGGAAGATGGGGAACACGAACAAAGAGCTCTGGAGGAATTCAGCAGCAGAGGAGGCGTGCTGACGGCTGGTGAGCTGAAGGCCGCTATCATGGGCGTCTCTTCGATAGAAGAATTCCGCAAACTTGGTGAGCGCATTATATCACCACCCCCTGATGAAGAAGAGGAAGGGAAGGCAAACAAGGACGGGAATGTCAATGGACACGAGAGAACTACAGGAGATGGCCAAGAAGCAGGTAAACCCCGAAGCAATAAAAAGCTCGGTCTGGATATCGACGCCCCAGGCCTCACATACACGCTGGATGAGGCATCGAAGATTGAAAAACTACGCAAAAAGCGCGACGAACTCCTCAGTCGCAAGGAGATGCTCGACGCCCGCAGTGTGTTCCTGACAGCTGTCCGCCAGCGAGCTAAGTACGTGCTCGAACATCTGAAGAAAATAGACCCGAAAGGCGGCTGGAAAGACATTTGCGGTTTCGACTCCCGGTTTGCATGGTCTGACGAGGAATTTGATGAATGGAGACTATCGCCAATGGGCGCGGAGGCGCTAAAGGATGGAACCCCGGATGCCCTAGCTGCGAGTTACCCTGTGCCTGCGACCGATGCAGACGGTGACACAGCCATGGGCAGGGATGCCAACACGACAGAAAATAGCAACTCTGACACATTGGCCCGTGGCGTCTGTACGAAGAAACGATGCGAACGGCACAAGCAATGGGTCAAAGTCCAGCAACAAGATATTCTATTCGAGCAAAGCATGGTCCACCAGGATCTTACCGAATGCGAGCAGGAGGCGCAAGCCGTGGTGGAGAGGGCCGTCCTGCGGATGTGGGCTGAGAAGGATAATTATCTAGCTGGTGGCGAGTGAAGTTTTCATGTCGCTTCTGGTTGCTTTTTTTGTCTCTATCTTTCTTCGATTGGTCAATTTTCCTTCCTTGTTTCTGACTATATTCGCTGATACCCACTGGGATGAAAGAAGAAGCGATTTTGGACTGGCGTTGGCATCTAGATCAATCTGGGCCTCGTGGGAATGAATGGCCCATATGGATTCTCTGATATATTTATTTGCATAACAGGTGGAAACAAGGAACGTCGCATTTCCGTTCATTTAAAATTAGGATTGGATGCATCGCGGTACCTTGATCATCTTTTTTTATTTTATTGTCAAGTACAAGTCACACATCCCAAACACACCACTTCCCAGTCCCACCACCTCCCCGATCCTTAATGACCTCGACAACCCGCACATTCTGCACCGTCGACATCAAAAGATGCGTATCAACCCCCTGATCCAACGTCCTCAGCAAAAGACTAGGAAACAGCGCCATCCCAGGATGAAACATGGACTGAACACCACAATCACTGCTAGAAGCAGCAGCAGCACCAGCAGCAGCAGCACCAGCAGCAGCAGTAGTCCCCCTATCTTTCGCTATCTGCAAAGTAGAAGAATAAGAAACCCCCACACCCCCAACCCCAGAAACATTAACAAGCAACACCGAAAGAAACGAAGAATGAACCCTCGTCAACCTCGTCAAACTACGCAGCACGGCAGCAAGCATAGCCGTACCCTTGACGGGATTCGAGGACCGAATGACTGCCTCAGTCAGGGAATCGAGGCCTGCTATGATCAGCAGAACGGGATAGACTTCCTTTTTTGGGGGGTTTCTTTGGGCTTTGATTTCGTCTAGTGTCGTGGAGACCTTTGTAATAGATTGTGCGGCTGTGGTGAGGTCGAAGACGGGGAGTAACCGGACCGAGTCGAGGTGGCGGATTGCCTTTTCTCGGGATAGGATTGGGGTTGTGGTGGTGGAGAGAAGGGAGGCGAGGAGGACTTCGGGGGTGAAGGTGGGGAAGTTTATGGGATGAATGATGAAGGCTGTTGGGATGTTGATGCTAGTACTTGGTGAGGGTTGTTGTTGGAGATGTTTGCATAGTAGATCTCGAGCAAGCTGGAACATTAATTAGATACTCAATTAATTTACTACACGAGAAGAGAATGGAAAGTAATTGCAGTCTTACCTGTCCGATAGATTCACTGTAATCGTCTCTATTTCTCGTTCGAACTCTCGATAGACCGATGACCGTCCCGGTGCGAACGACGGAATCCGTAGAGCACTCAATGCCTTTCTCGAGATCAGATCGTAAGTTCCAGCTATTCGCACTGTCGTGGCTTGGCTGTGATTGATTTCCCGTGCTCGTGCTTGGAGGAGACGGGGAGAGCATGGAATGAGCAAGAACAGGGGATGCAGGTTCTGAGCGATAGACGCCGGTTGATGAGGACATGGCGTTGGGATTATCTCGACAAAGGATGTGCAATTGTAGATGTATTAGATGTATATCAGTGGTAAGATCTTTCCATGCTTCATGGTAAAGATTAGTAGAACTATCCGCATCTTAAGATCCGTCCCATTACATCCCCTACTCCATACATTTAAATCCGGGATCAACTCTAACTACGGAGTCGAGCATACAATTCCATAAGAACAGACCATCTATTCTCTATTCCCCCACGCTTATATATACATATACAAGAAACATTCAAATCCAAAGTCCCACCCCACTGGCATTCTAATCCTCCGCGGGACCAAGGATGTTAGCTTCTTTGATAGCGGACTTCTTGTGGGTGTGTCTGTTCTCAATCTACATTGAGAAAGGCAGTTAGTTTAAATGAAACAAATATAATCCCACGCTCATGCTCTGAGAACTAACCTCGTAGCGCGGCTCGTCAGAGGACGCTTCAACGTTGCGGCCTGTGAGCATCGTTGGCTGGGTGCTGACCTCACGAATAATGCCGACGCTCTCGGAGGTCTTGGACTCGGGGCCTTTTATAGCGTTAGCTGTTGGGATCTTTTCAGATGTCCGAGATTTACACACCTCCAACAGGCTTATAGCGAACGCAGTCTCCCTTGCGGTATTCAGGCATGTTATAGATTGGTTTCTTGTTTTGCTATGCAAAGCAAAAGGGTTAGAATTTCAAGAGATATGTATATACGTCTCCAGAAAATAGACAAAAATATAGGATCCAGAATGAGCATCAAGCAAGGGGGTTCTGGGAAATCCGGGAAATCCATGCCTCTATTTATGCTCGCAGATTCAAGATCTCAGATCTAGGAGGCGAAAACTGCTATCGTCAGAGTTACATGTTTATTTCGTCCTCTTCTTTCTTTTTTTGCCTTCCTGGACTTGAATTGGATTGACATGTGTGTGTGTGTGTGTGTGTGTGTCTATTGCCTGTTATTTCATCGTCGTGGGAGGCGACAAGAGAAAGGGCGGAAGTGACATGTCTCCCCTCGTGGCAAGGTGTAATGTCGGTTGCCATGAGGTTAGGTCTCTCCTAGAGAATGGGATTTGGGGATAGGAATGGGGTTCCGATGGTGACGTTATCCAGCATACATCATCGTGAGGGCATCCTGTGGCCCCAATATTCTAGGTCTAATCTACAAGGGTTGCTCTAATCAATTGCCATATGACACCCTATATTATCATTGTTATACACGGGTTCTGAATAAACACCCAGATGAGAAAGAGGTTGAAGTCGCGGCAGAGAATCGGCAGTTGAGTATGAGTGAGCTGTCCATTCACACTTTTGAGATGACAAAAAAAGGGGAGTGAGAAGCTATTATGGATTAATTAAAATGGTACTCATAACTGACCAGGCGGGATATCATATAGAGGTAAAATGGAAACTCAAAAAAGAAAATATAAGGGAGAAAAAAGGAACAAAAACCATAATCGCGAGTCGCAAACAGAAATTCAATGCTGCGTCGTCTGTCATTCAAAACGGACATGAAGCGAGAGTGGGTGGCTGCTCGAAAGTGATATACAGGAGGCCTGGCTTCACTGAAAATCGAGGGGCTAATGGATTCGATGCGGCTACTTCTGAGGCTGAGTCTTGACATTGTTTGATAGCCAAGCCTAAGCGAAGATAGTTAGATGATCAATACTAGAAAGTGAGGGGGGAATGAATGACTTACAAGACCCTCGAAAATACCAGTGCCCTCGGTAGCAATGCTAGGCACGACATACCACAACTTGTCTTTCAGCTTCGTAAGCTGGAGCGCATTGGTAATCTCTTCTGGGCTTAGGTCTGAAGGGGTAATCCGGTCAACCAACGCATCTAGATACAAGGAAGATCTTGACACTTACGGCCTGTGATATCCTGCTTGTTGGCAAACACCAGCAGAAGAGCATCTTTCATTTCGCGGTCATTTATGATTTTGTGGAGCTCGGAGCGTGCCTCGTCAAGGCGAGCAGTGTCGCTGGAATCGACGACGAAGATCAAGCCTTGTGTTCCTGTAGTGAAAAGCCCACGGGGTCAGCTTGGCCCTCAGTCCTGTCCGAATGTGGCCTACCAGAATAGTAATGTCTCCACAGCGGTCTAATCTTGTCTTGCCCACCGACGTCCCAGACATTGAATTTCACATTCTTGTATGTCACACTCTCCACGTTGAAGCCGACCGTGGGGATGGTAGTGACGTCTTGGTTGGTGAGTTTCAATTTGTAGAGAATTGCTGCATAGGGGTTGATGGTCAGTAATCCATGTCCGGGCAATCAGAACGAGCGTGCCGCGTACTAGTCTTTCCAGCAGCATCCAAACCCAGCATAAGAATACGCATTTCCTTCGTCCCGAAGATCTTCGCCATCATCTTGGACACTTGGCCACCCATCTTGATCAACTGGTTGTTCGCGACTGATAGTTAAAAGAGGTATGTAATCGATGCGCGTCGATGGGTCAATGAATGAATTGAGATTCGATTATAACAGCGAACGCAGGGGAATGGGGAACGCTCGAATTTTAAATCGCTACTTAAATGAGGCCCGTGTCAACAGGGAAGTGGAACGGGTAATATGCCAAAAGGGAGTTAACTCACAGGGAAATCCAGGACGTGGAGCACGACAGGTATTATTAAAGGGCAGACAGGTAAAGGAAGGTGGAAAAGGAGAGACAGCTCAGCTGCCAGCAGCAGTGTTTGACTAGGAGACAATTGAGCGACAGGTACGATTCTACACGTACCTAGTGCAGACCATCAGTTTCCTATCGCAAAAGGTCTCTCCCTTGCTTGACGCCGAGGGGAAAAGGGGCTGTGGATGACTAAGCCACCGTCGTGCCTTCGTTAGTTAACTGTTAACTAGCTTGTTTCAAAGCGCTAATAAATAACGGCTGCACTCCATTGAAGAGCGGAGATAGATAAGCCGTCTCTTGAACGAGAACAGTGTCAATTGGAGACAGCAGTCGCAAGCATAAGCCTGAAGGACTCCCATCCCATCCCATTCCATCAACATTCCAAATTCCTCATCCACAGCGCAGACACGTGATGTACTGGTTCGCGGCGGAATGAAGTTAAGAGCAACTGAAAAACCAGGCAACAGGAGTTAAGGCCATTTATTAATCTATGAATACAAATCCATGAAGGTATGCAGTACGAGTGAAATCAAGATGAAGCTACAGCAAGAGAATGATGATACTAGATACACCTTTTTCACCCAGACGCAAGCAAGTAGCAAGGCACCCAACCCTTCGAAGCCTCCCATTTTGAAGCCAATGCTGATGTGTCAAAGGTGTGTTCTGTAATGGCTGGACGTAGCTGAATCCTGGAAATATTCTGGGCCGAAGATTTGAGCGTTGACCGCTGCAGGTAATCCTAGAACTTCTGGCGGCTCTCCACCGTAGACGTAAATTCAGAGTTCCCCGACCGCTTGGCGTGGAGATAGATAATGGGGAAATGGAAGTATAAGTATCGACATCACGGTCGGTTCACTATCTGGAAATTTAGTTCTCACCCGTCTAGATCCTGCATCAATGCTAGAAATGCCCCAAGACTGGGAAATAAGGAAAAGAAGACACCTACTTTCCGCAAGATGCGCTCTGTACCGTACCTACAAGCAACCTGATTCAGGATGCTCTGGTCCACGACCACGTATTTCCATGTGCACGCAGCATAATCCGCGGTAGGCAAGGAAACCGCTGTCAAGAGCATGTCGATTTTTTGGTGTGGAGAGAGAGGCCTTTTTTTGGATCCTCCAGTTCCAATGTCCTGAAGCCAAACAGGAAAGTGAATTCATCACCAGTGATGAGCTTGGGCACGATGCATGCCACTATATAAAATGGAATTTCTAGAACCACATTGGCTTTCCTCTTCTGGATGCCCGTCGTCAAATGCCCCCTGTTCTCTTTCTCTCAAGGAATTCTTCGTGTATCTAGTATGCCAATGAATTCTATATTCAAACCATTACACCAGGTGGCTACTACTTCGTGTTTTCTTTTTGGCACAGTGGCTTAGTGTTAGGGCTCAAGACATCTTAGAGCTGGGTGCATTTTATCGAGGCTCCGTATTACTCGCTCATGCTCAGGGCGTGCTCAGATCTACCCAGTGAGCAGGGGGTGAGCACCAAAACGGAAAGGGAAGGCCTTCGACGCATCCAGAAATTCCAAGATATACTATGCAGCTTTTCACATTTTAGACTACTGGACTTAGGCAGCATTCAGTAACCTCCAACAATGAATCTCTGGAACAACCTCCAAGTAATCAATACATTTTGCACAAGCATGTGTACACCACCCAGGCAACAGATTGTGCCATGCACACATGGCTTCTTGGTCAAATTTGACCTGAGGAAATGACGTTCAGTTATGGCCCGAGGCATGTATGTTAATCATCTTATTGTTGGATCACGTGGGATTCTGCCGCATAGGTCCGCCCTCGCTGACCTATGCGGCAGAATCCCACGTGATCCAACACCCCCCACGCACGAGCTGGCCTAAGAACTAATCTAAAGAATTTAAATACAAAAATCGGCTCATATTCGGGCCATGGAATATATGAATAAAGCCCAAACAAGTAGGAGGACAAGAGGGCAACTTTAGACCAATTAGAGGCCGTGAAGCAGAATAGAATATAACCAAATCCAGCTCATGCCAATGAGCTTCAGAAAGAGAAGAGATCAAATGATCAGAAGCGGCTTGGTCATGCCATTGGCAGGCAGCCAGGTTGTCGGTATAGTGGAGTCTATGGCAAAAGGATCAAAAGCTGACTGGCTCGCGTCCTTCTCCGGTGAAAGAGTCCATATTATCCAAATTGACGTAGAGGCGGCATCGGCGTTGTAAACTGGCAGCGAAGTCGCGGTAATGTACTGTGCCAAGTAAGGCAGGAAATCATAGTAGGTGTGTTCGGAACGGCCACCTAACCCTGGTGTTTGGAATTTTGAATGAGCCAATCCGAGGGCTCAGTTTGACCACTCGAAAGAGTGTTGATATCTTGCTCCAGTTAATCCTGACAAGCAAGGGTTTGCCGTATCATAGCGGCGATATTGGAGCTGGAATGGGCTCCGGAAAGTGTCAGGGTCTCTATCACTGGAGAACAGCTGACAAAGAGTGTGTGGAATCCAGTCACTGCCACATTTGGGATTCCGATATTGGAGCTGGAATGGGCTCCGGAAAGTGTCAGGGTCTCTATCACTGGAGAACAGCTGACAAAGAGTTTGTGGAATCCAGTCACTGCCACATTTGGGATTCCGATATTGGAGCTGGAATGGGCTCCGGAAAGTGTTGATCCTTGCTCCGCTTACGCCAGACGAGCAAAGGATTTGCCGTATCATAGCGGCGATATTGGAGCTGAAATGGGCTCCGGAATGTGTCAGGATCTCTATCTCTTCAGAGACAACTGACGAAGAGGTCTCGTCTATATTCGAGGACTCATTTTGGGGATTTCGGCGACGTGATCGTCGTATAGCAGTAGCAGGAGGCGTAGTAGGTTCTCCTGACATGCTCAGGTTCAGACCATATCTGGGATCCTGGAATTTTTGGAATCTGGGGTATGGAATTTTGGTTCAGCCAATCAGAGGGCTTAAATTGACCACTTATACGGGCCTAAAAATAGCTCATATTTCCGAGCAGGAAACGGGCTCATGACCTAATGGAGGTGGACGAGCAGTTCAGGGGTAATCGAGGGGATTTCGATTCGTTGTCGATCCGGTCTTTCGGTATGTCGTAGGACAATCCGGACTGCTAGTATTGCTAGGCCATATGGCCAGCACTAGCACTGATGCTGTTAAGCTCACATTTTGATGGAGTGAGACAGAGGGCTCATAACCTAATGGAGGTGTATTGTTGGTTGGTTACTAGCTAGATAGGCCTACGTGGTGAAAAGGGTCAGCGAGGGCGGACCTATGCGGCAGAATCCCACGTGATCCAACACTTATTAGTGTTAGTACACGTGAGGTTCTGCCGTCCTAGACCGCCCTCGCTACCTATCTCACGGCACAGGCAGGCCTACCTAGTAATACGACCATACATGCGCCTATCCATTAGGTTATGAGCCCGTTTTAGCTCTACGATATTGAGCTTAAAAAAGCCTTTCAGATAGGCTAAATTGTGACCTCTCATTGGTCAAACCAGAAATCGAGCGCTTCTAAGCGACTCTGAACACCAGGACCGCCAACAATCGGCCCCTGAACCCCAGGATCCTTCGATCGATCCCATCCAAAATGGTGGTGCCTCGAACGCCCCCTACCACCGCTAGACGTCACCGTCGTCAGCCAGAATCCACAGATCCTTCATCAGATATAGGCTCCTCCGCCTCCTCAGTAATCTCTGAAGAAATGGACACCCCAACTGCCCCTAGAGCTCAAAGCTCTACTACAGCCAACACCATGGCATCCACACCAGACATCACAGCTCTGTTCCAGCAGATGCAGGAACAAATGCAGGAACAAATGCAGAAGCAGATGGACCAGTTCATGACTCGTTTTAATGCCCTTGAACACCATCAATCCCAATCCTCCACTCCTACAGTCCGGCATAACGCTACTCCCTACAATCATATTCAAAATAATACGGCTATTCCAGCCTCAAATCCAGTACAAAAAGATCCTTTTGATCATGTACAAGCTCAAGTTAAAGCGCTCCTACCAGACCGATGCCGAATCACACTGTCTCATGATAATTACGACCTCTGGAGTTCAGCCATTCAAAGAGAAGCCAATGTCCTGAACGCTAGTACAGTCTTGCATCAGGATATACCTCCAGTAGGATACTCAGCTTATGATGCTGAAGTATGGCATTGCAAAGCCACTGTCATGAGAGCCCGAATGCTTCATGCTATGACTGCCCAAGCCATTGACAAATTGGGCAACACATATGACCTATCAGCCCATGGTTTATGGGACCGAACTGCTACCTTTTTCGGACGTTCTACTGGTGAAGAACGAATGCTTCTCATAAAAGAGCTCAAGGAGCTCTATATAAAAGACAATGACTACCTATCCTACCAATCTGCGTTTACTAGGATAGTAGACCGCCTTCATGCTATAAAAGAAGCATCATTTGACAACCTTATTCACGACCTATTTTTTTATAGGCCTCCGCGAATGGAACAAAGCATTCATTAAGAGTAAACTTGATGAAGTATACTCAACTGGACAAGGCCCTGTCATCAATCTGGACCTACCTACCATTCAAGCTCAACTCTCTATCCGTATGGGCACCCAAGCCCGTGAATCCCGCTCCCAACACGGAGGACGACGAGAGAATCTATCCGGACGAAGCTATTCCAAACAAGCATCTAACCCCATTGCTAGCTCTTCCGCCTCAAGTTCCAACACTAAATATAAACCTCAGGACCAGGATTCACGCAAACCAAAGACCCGTTGTGATTGGTGTGGTCATTTCCACCCAATGCCTTGCCTCTACAAGAACCCTGAGAAAGCCTCTGAGCATTGGCGCCGAGCCAATAAAAATACTATTGAAGCTATTCGTGCTTTACACACTGCTAAAGAATCTTCCACTGCTTCATTCTCTGAAGCAGAAACCAATGAACTGGTACCATGGACTTCTTCAGCTGCAAAAACAGCCATTGCTAAATCAGCCCAATCTCTCCAAGCTTCATGGTATCTTGATAGCTGTGCTTCATTCCATGTTACACCCCATCAAGCTTTCTTCACGTCCTATAAAACATTGAGAAAGGAGGACCTTACTCCAGCGGATTATATTGAAGATGCTCAAGGGAAGATTTCCAAACCTCATGGTATTGGCACCGTCGTCATTGATATTGGAACCGGATCCTTGATCCTTAGGGATGTACGACATGTTCCATCCTTCAATTCCAACTTAATCTCCATGGGAATGCTTCTCAAACAAGGTTTTCGTATCGAATTCCCTTCCAGCTCTCAAGTAGCACAAATCACAACCTCTTCTGGTGCAGAATTTGAAGCCATTTTGAATACCAACAATGTATTCATCCTATCAGATTGCATTTCTCCCGACGAGAGCTCCTATGCCTTTGTCACCACCCGGTCTGGCAAAGAGGCCAACCGACCAGGGGACCCTCCCAGAAAGAAACCTACAACATCCCCAAAGACTAAGAGCTCCAAAACAGCTCTACCAATTATGACATGGCATCGCCGTCTATGCCATTTAAACCAGCAGGATCTTTTACGCCTTGCCGCAGATCCTACATCAGACATTGAAATCAAAGGTTCCAAAGAACTACCACTTTGTGAAACCTGCATCCAGGGCAAGCAAACTCGCCAATACAGCAAAACACCAAGATCCCATATGACTGCACCACTAGCCCGAGTCCACATAGACCTTGCTGGTGGCGGCCGAACACTAGATATAGAGAAGCTAGATATGCCTCTACCTTCACGTACAGGAGCCAAATATGTGATGCTTATTACTGATGACGCTACACGTTACCGTTGGGTCCACTACCTAACTGAAAGATCTGCTGCAATTGATGCATTTCGGGGTTGGCTACAACAGATGAAGAATCACCATTTCCCTGCCCCAGCCTATATTGTCTCTGACAATGAATTCTGTTCAGCTGAATGGCAGAAAACCTACCGTCAGGAAGGCATTGAATGGCAACCAAGTTCTCCATATTCCCCTTGGCAAAACGGTGTCAGTGAGCGCAGCATACGCATACTCTTTGACCGTGCTCGGACATTAATGCTTGACGCTCCCCATATACCACAGCGATTTTGGGTTGATGCTTTAAAATATGCATCAGATATAACAAACCGCCTCCCAACATCCACAATCCTATTCAATTCACCTATCCCTGGGGGTCAATACCAACACAAAAATCAGCCCAAGCCCATATAAATCGCCTCTGGCTGCCTGGACCAACTCACCAACTAGTATCAACAAATACCGACGTTGGGGCTGCCCTGTCTGGGTTCATCGACATGGCTCAGATAAGCCTATAAACAAGTTCGATTCCCATTCTAAATGCTGCTTCATGATCGGCCAAATCAGTAGCCAACAATACAGAGTGTGGGACCCTAAAACAGACGCCATTTTTTTCAACCAATGACACTATATTTGATGAAGAATATGAGGATCCCACAACTACACCTCCACAAGCTACTGTTCCTGAAGATCCAAGTACTCCTAATAAAGAAGATACAAACCAACCCGTTGAAGATGAAGACCAGGAAATATGGCTTCGACCCGCCAAAGGCATGTCCCTAGCCTATCTCACCGCTTCAACCACTCCTTCATCTGAAGATGACACGCCTACTTCCTATAAGCAGGCTATATCTCATCCTGATGCCACCAAGTGGCAAGCAGCCATGCAAAAAGAAGTCAACCAACTCAAAGAAAAAGGCTGCTGGCAACTTATCCGCCGCTCTGACCTACCACCAGGGACCAAGGTCATCCCTGGCCGGTGGGTATACAAAAAGAAAGAAATCCCTGGTACCCCTATTACAAGGGACTACCAAGCTAAAGCTCGCTGGGTGATCCGTGGAAATCTACTTGACAAGGACTTCATGGAATCATACGCCCCAGTGGTAGATGAAAATACCACTAGAACCCTTACAGCACTGGCCACTCTACTTGGCTGGCATACTCAAAAGGCAGATGCCATCCTTGCTTTCCTAAATGGAAAAATGCCCACAGATAAACGTGTCTTTATGACCCAAGTTCAGGGATTCAAAGAAGGCTCTGGAGACCTGGTTTGTGAACTCCGCCAGTCCCTCTATGGACTAATCCCATCTGCCCGTATCTGGTATGATACACTAAATGCTTTCTTACGACAAATTGGCTTCAAAAGCTCCGAATACGACTCTGGTCTCTGGATCCATACCACCCAGACCCAACTCTATGTGACTACCCATGTGGATGACTTCAAAGTCTATGCTAAGCATGAGAACGATGCCACTTGGTTTATGGAGTCTCTTTCTGCTAAATTTGACATAAAAGAAGTTGGAAACTCTACCAAATACCTTGGCATGGCCACCTCTCAATCCAAGACCACATATACTCTCTCCCAGGCCAATTATGCTGAAGACGTGGTTGCCTCTTTTGGCCAAGCACAAGCACACCCTGTTGGGATCCCCATGGATCCTAGTTTAATAATTGATGATGACCCAGACCCTACAGTGAACATCAAAGAATATCAACGTGGTGTAGGCTGCCTTACTTGGCTAGCCACCAAAACCCGACCTGATCTTAGCCGGACAGTTGGCGTACTATCCCAATATCACGCCAAACCTACCCAAAAGGCATGGCGTGCCCTTATACACGCTATACGCTACCTTAAAGGCTCCATTAACCGACAAATTACCTACCATAAGGCCACGGAACCCATTACATCTGACCTCCTCATGCCCAGATGTTATACTGATTCTGATTGGGGTGGTCAACTGACAGGCAATCGCCGGTCAGTATCTGGATATATATTTCTGCTTGCCGGGGCCCCAATTGCCTGGAAAAGCCGCAAGCAAACGTCCGTTGCACTTAGCTCCAACGAAGCTGAGTATATGGCTCTAAGTGAAGCCAGCCGAGATGCCCTTTGGCTCCGGAACCTCATCAACGAGCTCAACGTGCTCCCTACTGAATGCCCGCCAATTACTCTCTATATCGATAATCAAGGTGCACACGCCATGGCTGAAGCTGAGCTCACCACCAAGAGATCCAAACACATCGATATACGTTACCATTACGTTCGGGAGAAGATCCAAGACGGTATTGTTAAACTCCAGGCCTGCCCTACCAAAGAACAAGCAGCAGACGGCCTGACCAAACCTCTCCGAACTGAACAATTTGATCATTTCCTACAACTCACTGGCATAAGCTAAGCCGCGTATATCTCCCCCATTTTGGATATATTTTCTATTTTGATATACGGCATTCGATTGGCTAAAGCAGAACCTTCATTCCTCTGTTTATTTTTGCATATATTCACTCATTTGAAGGCCCGAATAGAGGCCGATTTCTGTATTTAGATTGATTCCATAGTTTGTAGGCTGCTCGTGCGTGGGGGGGTGTTAGTACACGTGAGGTTCTGCCGTCCTAGACCGCCCTCGCTACCTATCTCACGGCACAGGCAGGCCTACCTAGTAATACGACCATACATGCGCCTATCCATTAATTAGGCAAGGGCACGTGATGTACTGGAATGAAGTTAGGGCAAACCGGTCAGGGCATCGTGGCTGTCCTGTCAGGTGAGATATCATACCAGCGGCAAAAACATCGTCCAGACCAGAACTGAACTGAACCAAAAGTGCGAACTAAGTACCATATACTGCTGTCTGTCTCCGAACTCCCTCCGTGGTCACAACGGTTCGTCTTGCGTGGATCACCATCAACCCTATGTCGCGGGGCAGTGTCAACTCAACCGCTTCAAGCAGGTCGTCTCCAATCCAACTACTGGCCCATACGGCGTACTCTCTTTCAGACGCAGTCCATTCAAGTTTCAAAAGCAGCCGAGCTCTTGCCCACTCGAGATACTTGACTTGACCTCACTGATATACGTCATCCCTAATGATGATGTCACCAACAAAGTGTAGTGACTTCCATTTCCTTGGTCCACGGACATCTCCCCTTCATTTCTTAATCCATATGTCTATCTTCAGATGCAATATTGTTTGGCTGCTTCAAATCCTCCCGTTTACTTTGGCCGTGACGGGTGGAGGCATGCACTACTACGATGAGCGGTCCCTGGAAGTTCGAGCGGCGGCCTTTCGACCGACGTGCTGCTCTTGAGTCGACTCCTAATTCATGGGTTGGGGCTCCTCCTGATGTATGTTTCTTGCTTTACTGAGTGGTGGCCTTCTCTTTTGTTTCCTACATCTCTCTTCTTCTAACGCTTCCCGAGTAGATTATCTATGGCGGTCTCTCGGGTGTATTCCCTGACGGAAGCGAGGAGTCGGCAAGGATCAGTGTGTCAGTCAGGGATACTACGTACCTTCTAGATTTTTGCGAGTATGAATTCTCAGAAGAAGATGCTCGGCCTGGTTCTCCCCTTGTTGTCGATCGTATTCTATCGGAGTTTCGGTCATACAGCGATCAACACCTGGAAAAAGTGATGGGGGTAGCGATGCCATCTTTTGTCGCAGAAAGATACCCTCGACTCTGTCCCCGTCTATGGTCAGAGCTTGATATTGTTCCAGTGGTGCTACCAGAGGAGAAAAGATTCAACGAATTATACACATTACCGGATGCATTTCATGGATGGGATTCGAGAACTCTCGACGAACAATCAGATTCTATGGGACGAAAATGCGTTAGGTTTGACTGCGAGTGCTTCAGCATTTAATCTATTGGCAACTAATGTTGGTAGGGTCTTTGGTCCGGACAATGCTCCTATAGTCCAAGTCGGGTACCTAGGTCTTGTGGAAGTTGATGCTGCTTTCCGTATAACTCCTTCTCGATTGGATGATTATGAGAGAACGGCGACAGCCGGTGTGATTTCTCAGATATATCAGCTTGCGTCTGACATCAAGAAGAGAGGCGTCAAGATTGCTATTTTCAGTTCTACGCCTCAAGGAGGCGGCGTTGCTCTTATGAGGCACGCTTTGATTAGACATAACCACTATCTGGGAGTTGATATGAAGTGGTGAGTTAGTCTAAATGTTCTCCTCGAGAAAATAAAATGTTTGAAAAAGGCTAATCATACACCGACGAACAGGTATGTACCCAAGCCGCGGCCCGGCGTCTTTAATGTCACCAAGACCTCTCACAATATCCTTCAAGGGATATCAAGGCCCGGCCAGCGGCTGACGGCCAATGACCATGCATTAGTGGTGCATTGGATGCAGGAGAATGCGAAACGGTACTGGCTGCGTCCAGGAGGTCCGATGCGAAAACCCTCTGAAGGAGGTGCAGACTTTATCATCATTGATGACCCGCAGATGCCCGCGTTGATTCAAATTGCAAAGCAAATCGCTCCCAACAGACCTGTCATCTACCGAAGCCATATTCAGATGCGAAGTGACTTGATCGATATTCCAGGTTCTCCGCAGGAGGATGTGTGGAACTGGATTTGGCAGTACATCCAGAAAGCGGATATTTTCATTAGCCACCCAGTAAGCTCGTTTGTCCCGAGCTGTATTCCTCGTGAGAAGGTGGGCTATATGCCTGCCACGACCGATTGGTAGGAAGCCTATGCTGCATTTAGCCGACTTCCCAGTTGACACGTATTCCAGGCTGGATGGCTTGAATAAGCCTCTACGTGACTGGGATATTGCTTTCTATGGCCGGAACTTTAATTCCTGGTGCAGGAGTATTGACATGCCAACAATCGATTACCCAGACGGTAAGTGGCCCCTTTAACCATTCCGATACAGTCTTGTTGATGAAAAGCAGACGAATATGTCATCCAGGTCGCGCGATTTGATCCGTCCAAAGGAATTCCTGACCTTTTGGAGGCATACGAGAAATTCCACGAGCGCTTAACGAACACGTTCCCCGACATGCAGCCTCCCAAACTGCTTATCTGCGGGCATAGCTCCATTGACGATCCAGAGGGGACAAAGGTCTACGACTCTGCGGTAGCTCATATTGAACATGACATTCCCCACATCCGCGATTTTGTCTGCGTCATGCGAGTTCGTCCGTCGGACCAGGTCCTCAACGCCCTCATCTCCAAGGCGAAGATCGCCTTGCAGCTGTCAACCCGCGAGGGGTTTGAAGTCAAAGTTTCAGAGGCCTTGCATAAGGGAAAGCCGGTTATTGCTACGAAAGCAGGTGGCATTCCATTGCAGATCCAACACGAGAAAAATGGATTTTTGGTAGAAGTTGGAGACACCGATGCTGTGGCTCGGCATCTCTTTGAACTGTGGACGGATCAGGATCTCTATAACCGGATGAGCGAGTACGCTTTCAACAACATCTCTGATGAAGTCAGCACGGCCGGTGGTACCCTCGACTGGCTCTACCTGGCGTCCAAGATGACCAAAGGTGAAGATGTCAAGCCCAATGGTCGGTGGATCCACGATGTAGCTCGTGAAGAGGCGCTAGATGGCCAGACTGATGACGAAATTAAGTTGAAGAGGGACCTTTAGTGGCACGACTGCTGATCGTGCATGTCGTACTTGCCTTTCTGGAAAGGATTGTATTTAGTTGGTGCATATGGGTGGAATTCATAGAACGCTTCATGACTTCCCATTTCCTTTGCTCACTGAATAGATCTGAGCGTATTCTAAGCATGGGGTAAGTACTTGAAGTGAACGACAACCTCTTCACGAAGTCCACCCAGTGCTGTCGATGTACCAATCTGTCTTCGAGGATGGCTTGTTTAATCCGTACATGACGTAGTTGCTGTCGGACCACTCCTCGATAGGGTTGATGGAACATGCACGCCGAAAACCTGTGATATGCCTGGAGACAATGAGCTCATGATGTTCTATACAACAGATAGCACATACGTCTTTCCGGTAGATCTATCAAAAATGATATTCGACGAGGAGGCAATACGTGGCTGGTAACCGCACCGCACTGACTTGCTAAGGCTGTTTCTATATGTCAGCTCTAGATACACCAAACTAAGGGGCCTCGGCAAAATTCAACTCATAGACATTGTGGAATTGGGTGTAGATTGCCTGACGCGAGGGAAAGCCTAGATTCCAGAACGTCTGCATATCCAGAGACTCCACAGGAACTTTATCCCAGACAACATACTGTCATGGGCTACGCCCAGGCATATGCAAACTCAGGGCTAATGCCTGAGTATTCTGTCTGTCCCCTTTGTTCTGTTTGTTACCAGCTCGCCTATTTCCTTGTACACAAAGCCTTCATATCTTGAAAATACCTCCTTGTTCTCTTCCCTCTCTCAAGGAATTCTTCGTTATCTAGCATACAATGAATTCTATATTCAAACCCCTACACATACATACCCCCCCGGAGGAACAATGCCGACTTGGTCTCGCACTCCCTCTTTGTAACAAAGAAGATCAAGGACAACAGCACAGTTCATCCTCTTGAGTGCTTTCAATGCTGACAACTAAGCATGCATGTGTGATGGAGCAGCTATTTGGCTCAAATTTTGGAAGCTTGGAACTTACTGGCAATAGGAACTTGAAGATGAATCTGCATAAATACTATCTTGGTTGAGTTGTCAGCACAGTGGCAGAGCTTGGCAGCAGTGAATGAAAGACTGATGATGTCCTTCTATGTAGCTGGGGTAGGTATCCTGAGCTTCTTTATGTTAATTTAGGTCTGAAGGGAAAGTCAGAGGATGAGGGAAAGGTGGCCTTGGTGCCTTCAAGGCTGGATAAGAACTCCAAAGAAGTGGAACTGGCCATATTGGGTCAGTGATTGCCTGGACAAAGGTAGAAGATTGGTTTGTGTAGAAAGAAAGTGACGAATTGTTAGAAAAGAAAAACAAGAATAGCATCATTCTTACCATCACAACCGACAGACTCTTTTCAACAAGCCTACCAATAGCTATACATAACACTTATGATTCAGTATCTGGATATTCTCCACATAACTGCTCACTGAGCAGTTCCTGAGGACCCTCACTAAAGCACAGTTATCCTAGAAATTCTGTATAGACACATATATTGAATAAATCCATTTATTATTTCAGTCATGTTATTATATACAGGGGGTATATTTTATATTAATCATTATCATGAGCGTCAGACCATTATACAGAGAGCCAACATTCCATCTCAGAAGTTCCCAGGCACTATTCACTTCCCAACCAATCGATACCTCTCCCTAGCCAAGCCTCCCTCAGCTCCCTCCACGCCATATCCTTCTCCAACCTCACCGACAATCCGAGCGGGTCTCCCACCTACAACGCACCAGCTCGGCACGACCATCCCAGGCGGCACAACCGCACCATCCAAGACATAGGCAAAATCCTTCAAGATAGCCATACTCCCAATCACCGCCTCCTTGCCGATATGCACATGATTTCCGATGGTGGCAGCCTCGACAACGGCCCTCTCACCCACGAAGACATGGTCGCCTATCTTGAGCGGGAAGAAAGAATGCACCCCTCGATGTAACCGTGACGGAGGACGGAGAATGGCCTGTTTGGATATATAGCTGTAGCGGCCGATGTTGATGGCTATCGAAGGTGTGTTTATATGCTGTTGCTGTTGCTGGGGATCGGATGAGGGTGCTTGCAGTCGATATAAGTCCCCTCTTATCACGGCGTCGGATTGGATGACGGTCTTTCCGCCAAGCATGATATGTTGGGTCCCATGGATAATGGACCGGCGAGAGATTTTATTTCCCGTGTCCTAGAGTTTGGAGAATTGGATTGATTAGTTTGGCGGAGCGTATGCTTTTGTATGGTATACGTACGGTTTCAATGTACTCGCCCTTGGGGGCTCTGGGAGGCATTATAACGGTGGCTGAAATAGGGGCCGGGACTGGACTTGGTTACTGGAGCAGAGCATGGACGAGAGGAATGAGTTGAGGCTGTATCTCGTAGTGTTCTGTCGACTTGGAGGGATCGCGATACATGTAGGAAGTGATGCTTTATCAGTGGATACGGCGCTAGTCTACAAGAAGCAGGCGGTGGCTATTTTCCTCCAGAGGGCTTTTTGTTTGTCCACGACTTTACATTGTACAATGTACGGAATATACACTACACTGTACGGCTGAAGATATGCTGAAGATGTACCCGATCAGGACTCTTCCAAGGCCAGGTGGTTGAGCAGTGTACGCATGTTTCCTGGGATCTACCATCTCTCCCAAGGCTGTATGACGCGGAAGGCATGGCTCCATATCCGTCAAGAGGATCAAAATTCGGAAATCAGGCTGTAGCAAATTGCTGTGACCATTTGTTCCAAGTTACGTATAATGCCATGGTAATGGCCCTTTGATCCTATTCCTGAGATGACACTGCATCCTTGTAGCTGCAATCAATCTGCACTCGGCACGTGTATGACACCGGGATGAAACATGTCTGTCGCCCTCGTCAGACCGGACGTGGACGGTCATAGACAGATATCCCCTGTCCCACGCGATATGTAAGCTAGCTGTATCCTCGATTCCATGCGTGGTCCCGCTGTTCTGCAACAAAGTTGCGGGAAAGTCCGTGTTGATGCCCCAGATGCGTGTCTCCAGCATGTAACGGATGCGAGATCTTCATTTTGTGTGTCCAGGCAATTAGATTATGCCAAAGAACGCAACCAAGATCTCATGCAGAAGGCGTGTTGTTAGACGCTTCGGTATCCTCCAGCGATCATTTTCACACACTCGTGTCATTCATTTCAACCCTGTGCTACTTGGATCCTCCTAAGCCAAGCCACGCTTACATAGAGGTGTGAGCACTGAAATGAAATATCCGACAGTTGAGTGTCCTCATCATATCATATCATGCTCTGATGCATAATAATCCACATTCTATGCATCATCCTTCCACCGTAAGCATGAATATGGCGTAAAGACGGGTGAAAGCAACTTCTTCGACAGTCAGCAACAAAGATCAGCAGCACAGACTGAGGGAGTCCTCGATGCCTGGATAATATAATATAGGGTATGCCTGCAAGTCGCCACTTTCTTTATGACTGCTGATCGCATAAAGAAGACGTGTCTTGGCTCGCATCCTGTCAGAGGCATCAGCCAGTCAGGCTCGACTGCGCAACGTGGCAGTCGATAGCTCCCTCCGCAGCGACAGCCTCCATGCAGCCCGGAGAAGGGCTGGGTCGGACCAGAACTGCAGGATCAGGAGCTGATCCACTCGAATCCAGGAACCCGGTTCTCTGGAGGTTCCACTGGGCGCGTCACTGAAGGGGCTGCTGATGATTGTCGTTGTCGTTGTCATTGAGATTTCTCAGCACTGGCCAGTGCTGAGAAATTTCTGTCCCTCAGATTCCGGTTCGATGAAGGAAATAGAAATAAATGTCCCTTTTTCGGGGCTTCCAAGAAAAAGAGTGAAAAAAATTTCTTGCGTGGTTTCAAATGGGCGTCGGCGAACGGGACAACCTCGGACTTTGCGTTTATCTCTCCCCTTCTTCTTCCATCGGTTCGCTTCTCTCCTCCTTTCTCCTCCAACCCACCCGCGTCCTCTTCCGTTTGTCGCTGTCGTGGATCCCCAGGCCTTTGGGAGGTGTTAAATCAGAGACTTCTCGTCTCAGGAAGTTGGAATAATTCTCCTTTCTTCCTCCTTCTCCCTTTGCAGCCCAACGGTCAAGACTCGGGTCGGCAGCGCGCCTGAACTCCTCTTCCCGGGCTTCGAGTATGCAGTCGGACTTGCTCGGCAGTCATCTAGAGTTCTACTTGCGGGCACGACGTTAAACCCACAGGCAATCTCAGATCAGAATCATGCATTCCCCCAGGCCAACTGACTTGACTGGCTCGGAAAACCTACGACGAGGTACGGAAAAGGCAGATCGGTCCGAAGACGTCATGGTAGCCTTGTCCCTCTCTCGCGACCGGACGGGCCCTCCGCGAAACAACTCGCCTGTCTTGCGCTCTCACATTCGTTCGCGATCGCTGGCAGAACTTCCGAGTACCCCTATGACCCGGGCGCACTCCTCCCCGTGGCTGGACTCACGGGATCGCTACCTCTTCGTCAACGGTCATGGGGTTACATCCGATCTCAACCTTGCTGACAATCCTGCCAGGCGCTACATGCCCATGCCGGTGATGGCCGAAGATAACTTGCACGGCAAGATGGCGTCTTTGAATGTGTCGCAGCCCATCGCAGAACATGCAGAACTTGACATCGCTACGAGGTCGTCTTCTCCGCAGGCGGAGCTACGCGCATCCTCACCGGTTCTGGCATCTCATGCGTACTCGCGCATAAACCGTCGACGTCCATCGTCTCCCCTTCATTTCCACGTTGTCACTAGCGGAAACAACCAATATCCCAGCAGTCCTTCTTCAACTCATTCATCGCCGCTGACTCTCAACACCAAATACAACGAATCCTTTCCTAGTTATGCGACCTCTTCCACGTCGTCTTTGCCGTCGACTCCGACGAGCTTACGATCTCGCAGTCCAAGTATATCATCCTTGGAGACCATTCCTGATACCCCAGATGCTGAAGCCGCAGCTATTGAGGCAGACCGTGCAGCGGCTCTGAAGGCTGCAGCCGATAAGCCGGGAGTAGAGGAGGAGGACAATAGTGTGGACAGACGACGCTGGCCGTCGGACTTTTGGAGCCCATCTGGTGTGTCTCCGACTATGCGGACTGGGCTGGGAACGTATGGTACCAGAACCGATAAACGGAAACGATGGAGTGTCTGTGGGGCCGAACGTCGTCAGGATCTGGATTTGGAAACAATCTGGGAGGATTGACTGCGAAACCCAGATACCCGTACTCCTCGAAACACTATGTGTTTGTTATGCAAGGACAAACATTCTGGTTTCGTTGATCATTGGCCCAGCCAACACAGCTTTGTCGCTTCGCGCAGGAAAGGAGGGGTAACTCCTATCCATAAATGCCAATAGCTTTACTCGAGCTGTTGGTATTGCAATCTGCACGAATTTGACCGATTGCTTTTTTTGGCAAGGGTGGCAGCCCTCGATCGTCCATCTGCAGTGGAGAAGCTTCAATATTCATTGGATCCAACTGTTATGCGGTAAGGTTCTCGCTTGAAGCAAACATGGACTGTACCATATTCCAGGGAGAGGAGAAGAGAACTCTCTTGGAGGCATTTCTTTTTTTTTTTTTTTTTTTTTTTTTTCTGTCTCTCAATTAAGATGTGGATACCCAGACTGTCGTCAAGCGTGTTCTTTAGTTCATGATTTTTGTCTTCTGCAATTTCGGAGTTTTCGGCTCACGCATCCTTCGAGTGACACTTCATCAATCAGGTGCAAGGGGCGTTATTCCATTAGTTTGCTATTGCATGCTTGTCCAGGTATTGCTTCGTTATGTCTTTTCATTGCCCGTCCTTCTTTTCTTTACTGCTATTGGGTTGACTTCCTGACTTCCGGTTCTCTTGTTCTTTCCTTTGTTTGATTAGACTCGTCCAGTTCTGTATCTTTTTCGTATGTTTGGCTTGCTTCCTTTCTTTCCTGTGGCATCTGCATCGAATCACTAGTTGAACCAACTATTCATTGAGATTCAGCCAGATAGCCTAGCATTCATTCATCGCTTTCTTTTGCATTTAGGGTTACGCGAGGAGGTCACTGGGGTTTGATTTTCGTTTCCATTGAATCGTCCACTGTCTTGTACAATAATACTGTACCAATAGCAATAGGACAAGTATACGAAATTTCAAACTTCATCAACATAGACATACTGTAGGCGGATAGTTCAGTTCTCAATCTTTATAACGATGTTTAGATTGGATGCGAAGGTCACTGCAGCATACAACCAGGATCCTCTCCCCCTTCTCTATGCTAAACGAATTCGAAAAAGGAGAAAATTAAATTATCTTAGCCAACAACCAAATTGCGAAAGTCCAAATGATGAATAGATAGATAGATAGACCAAATAAGGATCATCACCCAAACATAGCTCACTCCACCATAGCCGGCACAGCAGAATCAAGATGAACCTTCTTCCCAGTCGCAGAAGGCAAAGAGTCATCTCTCCCGGACCCGATGCCCTCCCTTGTCAAACTATACAAGTCGCAAATCTGGCCCGCGGCGCGCTCACCACTCCAATACGCACCCGTCGTGGTACCCAGCGCCACGAACGGGGCCGTATGTTCACCGGCAAACCAGATGCCGCGTTCCATGCCCAATCCGCGTCGAAGAGTTTCTATATCCTTGTCTCCCTGTTTGAGGCCGATCTGGAAATTGCAGTACGACCCATTTCCTGCGTAGGGGTCGTTCTGCCACTGTGTTGCCAAGAAGGCGGTTGGTTTGCATGCCGGTGAGGATGGTGAGAAGCCTTTCAGACGGGAGTAGAAGGGGTAGAGGAAGTCGTTTAGGACGCTGTAGTACTCGTCCGATGAAGGGGGGAGGTTGGCGATCTTGGAGACTATGTGGGTTGCGCAGGGCCCGTAGGTGTAGAAGAGGAGTGTTGGGTGGGCGCATGTATCCGGCAGTGAGGCGAGGGAAAGACACTCTTGGTTCCAGCTTATACCTTCTGGATGCTGAACGTAGGTTGGATCTAGGAATTGTGCCATTGTGGGAGCTGCATTAGTAGGTTTTCCTCCATTCACGGCGGCGGTGGTGGCGATAGGGTTCGATTCTTCTGGTACTGTATGCCAAAATGGCTTTGGGAAGGTAACGTATACCTTCTCAAGACGGCCGTAGGAGATGTTGTCGATGGCTTGATGGAGATGCGGTGAGAGTTCCGGGTAGAATGCAGATTTATTCCGTTTCAGCCATCCCAATGGGCAGGTCACTACTACTTCATCTAGCCGGTAGCTCTTCCCAGTCGCTGTGGACAATGTTATTTGATTGCGCTGACCAGAGCCCCGGGGATGCGCCTCAACTCGTACGACAGGTTCATTCAGATGTAGGTCGGCACCTTGTAATGCCGTTTTTGATGCGTGCTCCAGGATATTCTTGTAAGTAGATGCGACAAAGAGATTGTCTGTAAATGGCGGGTGTCAGAATGCAATCTCTCTTCGGAAAGAGGAAAACGAAGACAGTTACTTACTGCCGTCTATGCATTCTTCCAGACAAAAGAACTTCAAACTCTGTCTCTCGACCGATTCACCAACATACGCGCCCCATAGCTTGCAATATTCCATACATGCCGCTTTTTCGACAGGCATGAAACCACTATCTTCAACCCGCTCTCGGAAAAAGTCCAAGAGACTCCGGTCTGGAGAGATAGTATCTTTGTGCTCATTGCTATACTGGAAAGCTTCACCTATAGTCGTCCACAGAAATTCAGAAATCTTTGTGACGAATTTATTGTCTAAAAGCTTTCCGTCGGAGGAATAGACAGACTGTAGCCCATCCCAATCAACTGTGGTTGTCGACGTCAATTGAGCAATGTCAGTAATAGGGTTCCCCCGAGTGCCATGGATCCAATTAGGTCCGCTTTCGAAATATCAGCCAAGGCTGTTGGAAAAAGAAAGCAAGTTGAGAGAGGGAAGAAAGTAGATGTGAAGAAGCCATAATAGGACTCACAGGTCTACAGAATGGCCATCAATCTCCTCCTGACAGACCTGTTTAATAGTTAATTGGGTTATTTTAAGAGACGCTACCATTCACATTCAAAGTAACATACCCGTCCTCCAACCCTATTCCTTGCTTCAAAAAGAGTAACTTTTACGCCATTCTGGATGAGAATATCTGCACATCTCAAACCCGCCATACCAGCCCCAATAACTGCCACATGGGGTTTTCTGTCCATCATGGTGAAGTTATGCAGAGCAGTGGAAAATGCCGATTGATGGTGCAATAATAGGTTTGCAAAGACAGTACCTGTCTGAGCAAATTGAATGTGTTTGAAGTATTTCTGCCTCTCCAGTCAGTCCAATTGAATCTCATGGCTGAGGGTGAAGTCTGGCCAGGAAAAAAAAGCCAATATGACGATTGTTCCACGGAAATATAGTCAATGTTACCCAGGGATGGCCACTGTTCCACAATGGATAGGTCTAAAACCAAGGCATATAGCAGACCCGGCATGCAGGAAGCAGGCATGCATGAGCCAAACACAAATGAGAACATTGAAGTCAGTGCCATCAACCCTCTTTACAAAACAGAGCATGCCGTATATTATGTCCTATACGAGAAGCAAAAGACAGAAAAAAAGAAAGAAACCGCAATAATTTCCAGATAAAACAGCAAAATCAGAAGAGCAGCAAGAGGAGAATTAGGCACCTATACACCAGTATATTGAATCCCCTGGAACCAACTATCGTCCATACGATAGATAGCCGCGAAAACAGGGCGACGATGAAAGAGCTGTGTAAAAAGATCAAGGCATGGTAAAAACAAGACATACTCACGCAAGATTGAACACGTAGTGGCTTCCCACGGATATTCACGCACGAAAACAAAGAGAACATGCGAGCTGAGGGAGGAGAAGCAAGTAAGTCGAAACAGAGAGAAGGCCTCTACTGGTTGAAGATACGAAGGCAATGAGCGCAATGACTAAGCCGCATCAGGTTTCTTGTCACGTGATTTATGTCTGCAGGCACCTGATCACAATTAGGGTTAGATGTGGAATCCCTTATTTGAAAGAGTCTTGCATTGCAATACTGAAAAGTTCTCCCTCCACAGTTAGAATCATCATGTTATTTATATTTTCCAGCATACACTTGTATTTATAAGCAGTCAAATACTGCAAGTAGCAACTTCATGTAGTATGTATGCGATATTCCAACTTCCTTCCACCACTTCCTCCTCGTGACTAGGCCAGTCGGGCCGAGCCGAGTTAGGAAGTGGATCCATTTACCTACTCGGGTAAAGTTCGAGATATGTATTATATAATCAATATACGAGGACAGAAAGCCTCCTTCCAACATTATTCTTCCCATTGCATAATGCGAGACCATAATACAGAGGCCGAAAACGGCTCCAATCGATCCAAACTCAATGTCACATTTTTCTTGATATCATATTTGGGTATCTCTTTCTGTCGGGTCTTCCAAAACCGAAAGTTCTCATTTTCGACCCAGCTCAAACATCATCTTGGAAGTACTCGAGTTAGACGCAGATATCCAGGGGAAAATCGGCTTGAACCAGGAAATGGTCAGTTGGAGCAAAAAAAAGCGTGAGAACAGGACTATTCGAACATTGTTAAATGAGCGTCTACTCGCAATGTATACGCGGAAATCGCTTGTTTCAACAAGACTCTCAACATATCAGGAAAAAGACAAAGGAAAATTAGTCAACAAAGGAAATGGGGTATTTAAAAAGAAAAAAATAGGCAAGAGCAGACTGTCCTATCTCCAAGCACCTTGACTCAATGACAGCAACCCTTGGATACAATCGAGATCTTCCTCTTGACTTGGGCCGCTGCCACCGGCCATAAATGCAGAGACGTCCGCATTAAGTTCTGGCATTAATTTGCTTTCTTGTCCATTGGATTTATGCCACTGTCCCTGAAAGTTTCGAGTGGCCCTGTTGTTGGACATCGAACCCAAGTTCATGTTACCTTTACCAGCCCGAGAACCTGGGTCTTTCAACACAGCGCGTCGAGAGCTATTAGCAGCTATGCGTCGACGGACATGCGATGTTCGAGTTCCCGGTATCCAGTTTTCCTTGTCTGAATCACCAAGGTGCTTCTCATAGTCATCCAGGTCTTTCTTAGCATCTTCGAGGACTTTTGACGCTTTCATTGGGTAAACAGATGCCTTGCCATTTGGAGCGCCGAGTGCGGACTCGAGCCTACCCAAAGATGAAACAGTGCGGGAGAGCTTCCGTTTCTTAAGCGCAGTTTGAGAACTCGCTGTGTTAGATGTTTCCGCGCTAGTCGCCAGAATGTCGTGTCTCCCCGAGAAACTTCGGCTCAGAGAACGCTGGCTTCGGGAACGGAAAAGGCTGGGCGAATCAATCCTTGACTTTGTTTGGGAGCAAGCCGGGGTTGACAAGGCGCTTCGTGCGTCGGTGTCGAAAAAGGATTCCCAATTGCGGGGATCGCGTGATCTTCCAAAAGCTGCACCGGTCCGCGGTGTTCCAAGGATAACCGCGCTGCTGCTTCTTCGAATGCCCGCCAATCTGGGGGTCCTGGTCGAAAACATAGACACCCTGTTTTTGGATGGGGATGGTTCACCACCGGCGCGAATGACTGCTTTCCCATCCGAAGACATGGCAATTCTCAGCGCATTTCGTCCTTTGTGAGAAGACGGAGATAGTTCGTCTTCCTTTCGAAGCATTGCCTCCCCATCAAATGACAGGGATAGTCGCAGTGATGGTGGTGATTTCACCTCCAGCAACCTATCTCCCCTCAACAGTAATTGACCGTCCAGTTCATGGCTATGAATATCAGAAAAGGCACGCTTCCTCGAGCTGGATTGGTCGGTCGGCATGTTTTGCTGATTATCCACTGTTCCAGACCCGGAATTGTTTTCCTGTGCATACTGTTGACTATTTCCCACATACTCTGTTGTTAGGCTGGTCTGTGTGCTTAGCTGCCCAGGCTCCTCTTGATCCCCAGACGAAGCATCCGACTCTAAGGACGACGGCTCATCTTGGTCATCCAAAGATTTTCCTGCACAGTCTTCGTTGACAGCACATTTTTCATGATAAATAAATTGCCCTTTCATGTCTGCAGATGTACTGTCGCCGTCATCGGCAATTCGTTCAGAAGGATCGGTCACAGTCATACCGGACTTAGGACCGACAAGTTCATGAGGCTCCAAGGGCTTCGATCTCCGACGGTCATTCTGACGGCGGTTCTGAAACCAAACCTAAACGGTGGACGGAAATCAGGGATCGTTAGAACCAACTGGTCGTTTTCGCTAAACAAGAAAAGGGGGACTTGGTTTCCAGAACGAAAAGAGAGCATACCTGAACCTCCTTCTCGCCCAAAGAGACGCGTTTGGTAATAACTGCACGGGTAGCCTTGTCCGGTTTCGGGTTCCGCTGATACTCCTCCTCGAGAACTTTGTGGTCCTGTGGGCTGTACAGCAGTTACGCGTCAGTTGAATAACGCCTACACATTCTGAAGACAGCAAACGTACCTGGTCCTCCGACGCTTCTGGCGTGCTAATAATTTGTTATCGACACGCGGAGGTAAGTTTTGTGTCAATGTCCTCTGCGAATGGACAAGAAACGCGTAATTCTGGGTAGCATTCTCGGAGACACCCGCTGATTCCGGAGACAGTGGACTTGCCGCAGCAGCTCCAGCAGATTCTGGATCAGACATGCTTATGATAGGAAGAGGGCCGCGTCATTCCAATTGCCGGCGAGGTAAATGCTTCATAAACAGAAACGCAATGACCAAAAAGGAACTTAACTAAGGAGAAATAATAAGAGAAATATCAAATGGGGTAGACTAGCAGTTCGAGAGAGCACTGGGACGATCCATAAAAGATGGTTAAGAAAGAAGAGAAAAGGATCGAGGGGAGAAGGGCGAGAGAAAAACGTCAATTCATCGCGTCGCGATGTGGACGCGGAGAACGCTAATACCGTGCACTCGACGGGATCGGTATCCGCTCTCGCTGCCTTAGTCCGAAACGGACACCGTTAATAATAATAACCCTGTGAGACACAGACAGACCGAAGACGAATCCTGTTTCAGTTACAATAATTCTGGGTACATCACCTACTTATTGGCTGAATCCAATGGTGAAGCAATACTACCTGTATTACTAAGGGCATCATTTGTTCCAATACGGTCTCGCGCATCGCGTTCGCAGCTGTTGCAAGGGCGCCCATAATACTACGCTGTATTCCTTACATCCCTCTATGCCGTAACACATTGATCGGAACACTCTATATGGTATCCCTGGAGGATCAATCCTTGCGTGTATGCGAGGGCGTGAGAAGCCTTGATTCCGCCGACGCCACGATGCGACGCGAGAAGCGCGTGCTCACGTGATATATTGGTGTCACGTGTACGCGTACGAGGTGCATTGCTCCCAATTCCTCTTCAAGGTTCCCTTGACTGTTCTCTTTTGAGCTTTCAATGACTCCGGTGGATCTTGTGATTGACTCCTCCACTTGTCTAGCTAGGCGCTGGACTGATTTCGTATGCTGGGATACCCCTAGTGGATACACCTCTTTGCCATACTCAGGTACAGAATCTGGTTTCTGACGATACCGACCTGAGACGAGGCAGTCGGTCTGGAACTGCGGCGTCGCCTTGTACATACTCCCCCCCAAAAACCAGCAGAAAGGCGCTTTTAAAACGATGAGTGCTCATATGCCGCCTTGCAGCTTTTCCGTCCCACTGAAGAGTGGCACCAGTCATCCCCGCGGGCCACTAGGCCCTTTCTTCCTGGTTTGAGTCCAAAGAACCGGATAAACTTCCACCTTCTTTTCAGTTGATCCGGAGCACCGGTATGGCTGTCAATGTTCTGACGTTCATTTTGACTGCCAGTCCAAAGGTTACCGTGGTTGAAGCGATGACCGAGTGATGACAATGAGTGATTTAAGCTGTTTTATTGCATGACTTGTTTTGGCTTTTCCCTGGTGGCCAGTGCTTCCGGGATCGCTCATCTCCCTGCTCTGCGGGGTATTCTTGCCGTGTCTCGTGTGGTCTGTGTGTGTTGGACAGGCATATACTGCGCAGGAGATTGCCAATCATTAATTTACAGACTGCCGCGATTATGCTCATAGTCAAAAAAGACGAGGTGGACAGCAATCAGATGCAATCATAATTATACGAACAAAATGGACCAGTAAAAAGGGCGATTCGGGTCTAGCTAAGGCGTCCCAACCTTAAAGAAACCGAGTCAAGCGACCTCGATGACGAAGGCTGCTTAAATATGGCCTGATGATTGCCAGTGGTTCTGAATCCCCCCTCCAATGTCCATGGGAGAACAAAACGTGGGAAAAGCAAAGATAAGAACAGACCATGCTTTCCGTGAGATGCGTGCTGTTGCCATCACTGGAAGACTGCGTAGCGATTGTCAGGCCAAGATAGCACTGACTTGCCTTGCTATTATAATAATATAATCCGATATATCGCCCTACCTGGATTTCCCTCAGTTCATTCATCCATCATCATCATTACCATCACATGATCCTCGTGGAACTGGGATTCGCATTGATCGTCTCTTAATCGACGCATATATAAGTTGGGAACGCCCATCGTGTCGGTTTATTTACAATTCATTCTTCCTTCCTACTCAAAAGGCTTCCAAGATATCCCAGGTATAAACAAATTATGATACCGAATATATATACGTGCATGAAAGATGTAATACGGGATTTCACCAGCATGACCCTCTTCTTCAACCGCCATCAACGTCGCCGAGAACCCAACAAGGGAACGGTAGAACGACTACGCAAACTGGACGCTGTCTCGCCCACTCGCACGCTGGAGGAGTGGTGGACACGCATCAAAAACCAGGTCGATCGATTTGCAGCTGATGCTGATGCTGGATCAATCGACAGTCAATTTACATGGTAACTAATTATCAGTACCTTTTTTATACACTTACTTTCGTCCCTTTTTTTTAATTCTTCAAATCCATAAACTTATTTTCTTTCATTCCAGCGCCGTCTGTCTCGATCCCGTCCTGGGATCCCAAGAAATCCACGAACTCAAATGTTTGCATGTGTTCCACAAGGAATGTCTCGAGAAATGGTTCTTGCAGCACCATTTCAACTGCCCCCTCTGTCACAGAGCGTATTACTTCCGTGAGCAACGTCCGGCTACTAGTGACTGGTTATGGATGGTATGAATGTTTTTGTTTGTTATTCGGGTTTATCGGCTTCATTTTTATGAGATGGTGGAGTTCAATATTTTGGGTTTGGCGTGGGGCTTTTTTTCTTTTTTTTTGTTTTTTATACGACGGAATTATTGTTATGATTGATGAGATATATGCCTCTCAATGGATTCTGGAATGCCTATGAACGGACTATTTTTCGGAGGTAATTGAAGTTGGATATTGATTGGTATGACAATGCCAACCTGGAATGGAGAGATGAGGACGGCAAGGTACTACTACACTAGTTCACGGAAAACTGAAATGGGAGACACTAAGGCCTTCAGCATGGAATGCGGTTTATTTCCAGGGTCCATTAACGTGGTTCTACAGTGCTTTACCTGCATCTCCAAGTCTTCAGGTCAATCATATACAGCACACATCGAAATAAAACACCGCCGCTATCACAGCCATGAAATCCAAACAAGAGTAGATAGGGCCACGAACATCTTGAGAGACTGATGATGTCCTATCTAATGCTAGCCTTCGAATCATCCAACCATAAGAATATTGCAACCGTACGCCGTATCTCCAAGCCATCGGCCATTTCGCCAACGGGAATAATAACCTCGCGAAGAAAACATGAGAGAGACCAAAAAGCAATTCCATGACCAGCAAAACAAATAAAGCCCTGTGTCAGACAAACTAAGGTAAACATTCCCGCAATGGCATGGATATGCAATACTGTTCCCCCAGTCTCGCTGAAACACGGGGAAGGGATCGGGAAGAATAGACCACAAGAATAAAAATGTAATGGAGAAAAAAGATATCGACCAGAAACAATGACTGTCCGGAAGTAAAGAATAGAAGAAGAGGGAGAGGCCAAAGACGCAGGAGTCTACTTCACCCGTGTAGGGCTCCCGGTGCTGCCAATCCGGCTACTGACTTTGCGGATTCCTCTAGATTCGCTCCTGCTATCTGTGACCCTTCGGGGACTTGACCGTACTTTGGAAACAGAGATCGAGCCAGAACCACATTTTGAGCTAATGGGGGTCTTAGGAGCTCCATACCCAGATTCCCCCCAGTTCTCTCTGTCTTCTGCTTCATCCGTCAAAGTATAGCTAGCGGTCACACATGCAGCAGAGTAGCTGACGGATCGCTGACCAAGGGATGCCACTGGTGATCTAGATGGTCGTTTCGCAAGCATGCGAAGTTGGATTTCCTCTTCACTCTCGCTGCAGTCATTCGTTGATCGATGGTTCTTGTGGTTGATCTGATCTCCGGTTCTGCCCATTTCCCTGTCTACAGTAAGACTGCCAGACACCGTGCGAGAGTAAGGATGGTGCCGAGAGTCCTTCCTGTGAGACTTTCGAGGCTGGCCAGGAGTGGGCGCTGGGAGATTGTCTTCCACATAAGATCCCGCTCCCTCATTGTGGTCAATTTCCCCAAGCGCAGCACGCTTTGTGTGATGGTTGTTCGGTGGCGTGGCGACTGGGCCGTTGGCAGAACGCTTGGAGGCAGAAGGTCTGCCGGGGGTGACAGGAGGAGCAGCCAAAGCCAACTTCTCCCTCATTGTGTCCTCAAACCACCACTCTCGGAAAGAACCCTGGTTGAGATGCAACCAGTGCTGCTGTGGGCCAACTACCATGCCAGGCCGCATGAATCTCATAAATGCAATGATCTCGTTCGCTGTGAATCCATATCTATAGATCAGATAGGCGCCAATCAGGCAACCCGTACGACCCAAACCTGCTTTGCAGTGTACAGCAATTGCTTTGTTTTTGACGGTAATCATCTCGTGAGCCATTTTTATGAATCGACGAACCAATGGTAAGGGAGGGCAAGTCCCATCTTCAAATATCATGTCGACATGGGTAATTCCCAAGGCTGTAAAGTAAGAAGGCGAATAGAGCTCCGAATTCAATCGCACAACTAGACCAACGTTTCGAGATGCAAAGTGCGCCAGCACATTTTTGAATGGAACAGGAAGTTTTGATGCAAGCACTTCAGGAATAGTAGATGGCAATGCATTATATTCGGGGGTGTTGCGGGGAATGACCGCTACCGGTTGATGCTGTGGCGAGGCAAATGCTAGGAACTTCGACGTAATCCAGTTGAAGTCGCCCATGTCGACTCGTTCATATTTCTCGTACCTGCAAGTACTGTCAGCGCAAAACGTTACATTTCAGTGCTGTGTTGAAGGTACATACTCCTCAAGGTTAAAGTCTCTGAGGCCGCAGAGGGACTGTTCTTTGGCCTTCCACACTCCGTACACAACGTCCTGGATACTCAATATAAAATCTGCCTGGCTATATCCCGCGTCCCGGAATGGCATGTATGGAGGGTCAGCCTGAGCTATAGGGGCAAGGGCGAGATGTGGTGGCCAGGATTGGATTAGCACCATGTAACAAGCGACTAAGCAGGCAGCATTCGCACGGCTCCGTGCGTCAGTCCTGCTATACAGGACCACCGGCCGATCACTGTTTGCAGGATCGCCGAGGATTTCATGGAAATAAACGGCGAACCGATACAGATGCCCAATATGAAGAGGGCCAAAATCTGCATGGAAGGAATTGTAAAGCAGTGTATCATCAATCGTGAAGTACACAGGACCCCGTGCCTTTGCAGACTTTCCTGGCCGTTTGCTAGGCGATTTCGGCTGCTCCAGAGGATATGGAAACGGAGTCGCCGCAGTTGGTGTAAAGTCATAAGATGCGAGGTATAGGCGATCTGTTTTTTTTTTTTGTGTTTTGAATTGTCAGTCGGGAGGTCACACAGTAAATAAACAACAGGCACCCGTAGGTGGGGTGGCACGCGCAGCAAGAAAAACACAACAAACCTTGAATGTACTCGATCACCTGCCCGCTGTTACCAGAATTCATAGACATGTTGTCGGAGTTGCGTGACTAAGACAAATTCTGAGGGCTGGGAATGCAATGACAGACAAGTATGCGATGGGAATAGACAAATGCAATATTTTGCTAAAAAAAAAATATGGCCAGAATTGGAATTGAATAGCCACGTCCGAACAGCAGGTGGCAGTAGAGATCCAGGCAGAACTATACGGTCATTGTCTGGAGGATTTAATAGCGGACAATCTGGATATGGACTGGAGCACGGACGGAGCAGTGCGTAGAGATGGTTGACGCGAAATGCTAAGGATAGAAAGGACGTGCAGACTGAGGGGGAGGTTTCAGTCAGAGCAAAGAGAGACGAAGGACAGCAGAAAGAGAGTCGACGGGAGCATGAGAGAGGCGAGAGAAGGAGGAAAAGAAAGCTGCTCGAGGAGAGAGGAGGATAATAATACCAGGACGGGCCGAGAGGTGTCTGTCGTCGCAGCCTATTTGGGCAACTGCGATGCACGCTAAGTGGCTGTTGTGTTGTGGTGCACTAAAAGAGGATTAGCTCCGTCTGTTGACACGACAACCAGAGCTCTCAGGCACTATTAAGGCAGACTTCAGGCATCAACAACGGTCGGAGCGGCACATTTCTCCTCCCCCACACAAACAATACGGCTGCGCCATAGTAACCACCCGGCAATAACAACAATAACAATAACAAACAAAGCACCATCGCCATTGGAGCTCCTATGGACATCCAGCCGCCAGCCTTTGTTTTTATAGGGCTTCCTAGAGAGGAATGCTATATCAACAGACATGGTCATTCTGGCCAAAGAGCAATCGAGTGCTTCTTGCTCTTTACTAACAGTCGAAATCCAAACTACATTCTTAGCTGGAACTGTTCTATTGGACTGCACCGATTCAGTCATCAGACATGTCCAGGAAATCCTTGGGGCCAAACTCGCTCTACATGGTCCTCTACATATGCCAGGATTTTCACTGGGCACTATACTTCCACCGCAACGATGCCCTGGGTGGAACAAAATATCCATATCATTAACGAGGGAAACGGTTGGATAGCCACCCACGGCACCATCGCGGAAATCTTCAAGGAATTCCTTTTCCTGGAACTATTGCCAATTGTCACTGTTCCTGTCGGGAAGGAGGATGAACTGGACAGTATACTAAGAGTATACGATGGCAAGCTCAACCATTACGAGGTGATTACATGCCGGGTTTGGCTCTGGATGGTTCTTCGGCGCTTACAATATAAGCCGGAGAACACTGTGCAGACTCTGAAATGCTCGAAGTTGGAGAAGCTTACAAAGGAGGCTGTCAAATTGGAAAATTTTCACCCTCGAGGCATTGCAATGAATGAGCAACGTAGGCCTTTAGGGTCTTGTGTGTGGACTGTAGGTAATCTAGAAGTATAAATATATCCAAGTACTGGATTGCTCTGATACCCCACGGTTTGACAAGATGACTTCTCTTTTCCATCTTTTTGTCTCTGCTTTACTTTCTCATTTTCTTTATTATATAACGACTCCTCATTTCTGTTCCTCCTTTACATTGTTTCAGTTCGTTCGTCGGTCTTCATGGAAGAACAGCTAATGTTAGTTAACTGGACGTACACTGATGACTCATCAATGGTCAACCCCACCATCAAAATACTGCAGTTTCCGACAGACAACGACAACCCCCGATCAATACGAAACCAGTTACTCATCTGCACAGTTCACATTTTCATTCATTTGTACATCCCTATTTTGATTTTGTACAAAGAGGGGAAAAAATATCGACTATGGAAACTGAATTTCCCTACTCATTGTATGTAACTTTAGAATCCAACTCATAGACTGCAAAATTGCAGCAGCTCTTCAGGTTATTCTCTGTTTAACTCACCGTCCTGGATAGAACCCTCTTTCTGCCACTTCCAGATCACCGCCTCGCTTCATCTGCCCTCCGTGCACTGGAAGTAGATGCCGAGCTCTCCCCGTTCGTCAGGCGCACACTCACCCTAGTCACACCTGCAACCGACTCTTCATCACAGCCAGGGAAACAGGAACAGAACGAAGAAGCGAAAACGGTCCTGGAAGTTGTGTACCGTGCTACCACGAACCGGATGCTGCGTGTCTCGGTGAACGGGTTTATGGAGAGTATGGCCGTTGTCCTTGGTGTGATGCAGGAATTGGATGTGGATGTTATAAAAGAGGAGATGGGCAAATGAAATATTTAGGGGCAGAAGAGCTGGCCATCCCTGGTTGTTATCGACAGCACCCAAGGCACGCAAACCGGGTCTGTTCCGTTGTGCTCATGAAACGGAATCTGAACCTACTCTGGTGCCGCATACGCTGTAAAGACTGGGCGACTGATTCTATATCCGTGGGGATTCGTTGTGACTGGAGATCCAGGGTATGAAACGGCAACGAGTGCCGGCATATGGACCCTGCAGCTGGCATCCCTCCGCTGCGACCATGAGTTCGTCAGGAAGGTGAAAGGAACGCGCCTGGCTGGAGCACATGAGGTTTACAGCTTAGATATGAGTGCGCAGTACACACAGGATAGCAACTATTGGAGAGAAGTGGGAAGTTTGCATAGGTATACTTCCTATCTATGCATAAAGCTAAGCCACACGGGCATATACCTAATGAAGCAGCGTTCGTCCAGATGATCCCTGCATGGATTCTATAGTTACAGTTGACTGGTCTAATTAATAAACATCTTTCCCTCGACACTGCACTAGTAGATCAGGCCATGGCTCTATCTTGCTTCGAAAGTCGAGACCTCGCATTATTAGTAATTACCAGACACTGACTCAGGGGCATGCCGACGTATTTATTTGCAGCTTTGTCTTCGTGTTGTGTATCGCATTACGACGCATTAAAGCGTGAGTAATCCATCAGAAATAGTTATTTAAAGTAATACATCGCTGATTGACTATGCATGAATAACCAGCCAATTGACATGCTTACTAGCAGGCTGTTTTACATCACCGCGCAACCCCACCACAGCAACACCTTGAGACTCTCCATCAGTTCAAGTTTTCTCTCTCGCATCCAACGATACCACCACTCAGCTTCAAGAATGGCATCCGCAACTACGTTCTACAGCTTCGACCCTCTCGACAGTAAGTGTCTCTATTTTGCGTTGTTCTTCCCCCAACGAACCCCGCGCGAAATACTTTGATCAACGAACAAATATGAAATGAACCCATCTAACCAACGGTCAAACAGAAAAGGGAGAGCCCTTCCCCCTTTCCTCTCTGAAGGGCAAAGTCGTCCTTGTCGTCAACACCGCCTCTAAATGCGGCTTTACCCCGCAATTCAAGGGCCTTGAAACCCTCTACCAGTCCGTCAAAGCCAAGCATCCCGAGGACTTCCTCATCCTCGGCTTCCCTTGCAACCAGTTCGGCAGTCAGGATCCCGGTTCCAACGATGAGATCCAGACATTCTGCCAGGTCAACTACGGCGTGACTTTCCCCGTTCTGGGCAAGCTGGACGTGAACGGTGACCATGCCGCGCCGCTTTTCACCTGGTTGAAGGAGAAGCAGCCCGGGTTACTGGGTCTGAAGAGAGTCAAGTGGAATTTCGAGAAGTTCCTGGTCTCCGCGGAGGGGGACGTCGTCGGCAGATGGGCTAGTACTACCAAGCCGGAGGGCTTGGAGAAGACGATTCTTGAAGAGATTGAGAAGGGTTCCAAGAAGGGGATTTTGGCGTCTCAGACTAAGGCCAAGGAACAGTCTTCTGAGACGGAGCAGGCTAAGCTCTCGTAGTTGTTTTATGGTGATGACATTTCATATCCCGGGGTTGGACTTATGTCTTCTTTTTTATTTTCCTAGCCTTTCTTTCCCGATGCTCCTCTCCCGTATGATCCATAATTCATGTTGCGATATCCTTCAAATGACCAAATCTGCTGTTCAAAATACCACTACAAGCCCCGGTTTCATCAATCAGACCCTGTAGTACCCTTTGGGATCAAGTTTCTCAAGGACAGGTCGTACACGACGTCCTCGACTTTCTTCACCTGTATGCAAACACGGAGTAATCAGTCTCTATCTTAGCTCATTTCGGGAAACGGAGGGTAACGCACACTGTATTTAATCCCATCACTCCTCTTACGCAGAATGTCATTCTTCAGATTCAATAGCTGAAACCCAGAGAAGAGATCCTTGATAAAGTTGCCAATCTGCACAGGACGCTCATAATCACCCAGTGTAACAGAGTTGACAGCAAGACGGGACTAGGAAAAAAATCAGTATTATCCAATATGAAGGTAACACGGAAGAACCCACCAATTCCTCGACCATTGAAATCAGTGAAAGAAGATACTCCTCAATCGTAAGATGAAAGGCATCTTGTTCTTTGAGGTTGACGGGAACTAAACAACAATATAAGCATGATTTGAACATAATACCAGCGAAGAGAATTTTGGGAAACAGAATTCACGTACTGTCCAGGAATGTCCCGACTTCTTCTATAGTCATGAAAGGACCCGCGCTGGAGCTCTTGTACTCTCCTAATCCACCAAGCCATGCGCATAGCTCGATTGAAGTTACCTAAAAACCAGAAGAAACAAAAAATTAAAAACAGAACCCTCCACCACGAAGAGGAAAAAAGTATTCAACTAACGAGATTCTGCAATTCTCGCGTCCAGCACCCGTTATATTTATAGAAAGGATGCTTGTCCGCTACAGCCTTCAGATTGGAGACTTGTTCCTTCTGGGCCAAGATCTCCTTCGTTGCTTCATCGAGAACCGGTTTTACTTGATTCCAAGCTTAGCAATCAGATCAGATTATTCTCTAAGAGGGATATATCGGATACTCACACTGATCTGAAGGTGTAGAATGGGCTCTCGCAAGTATAGCTTGTGTAGATCTCCCTGTAAAAATCATAAAATCAGCCAGGAAGTTCCTTGGGGAAAAACACAACCGTTTGTGTCATTTTGAGACAGCTCAGTTGCGTTATGATGCGGTCAAGAGAGGGTGAAAAACCTTTTCTGGCAAGTGTCTGGACAATTTCATGGAGCTCCTATCACGACAAGTGAGCTTATTGACCGTGCGATGCAGTGGACAGGTAATTCGTCTTCAAATCATCATCTTACTTACATCACGAACAGCAGACTCCTCGTCAATCTTGGTTTGCAGGTCCTCAAAGATGGCGCGGTCAATCATTTTCCCTTTATTTGTGTTTGATCTGTGGTGACGGTTTGGGAATTGTGATGTGACGTTGGTTTCGTCGAGCGGTCCGATCGTGGTTAACTAACTTGCTACCCGCGCTTTTTTGACGTGACGGCATTTCTGTACGCGATATCCAGAGTAGGGTGCTTACAATATAGGAAAGTTATAAACAGGTCGAAACATCAGAATTAAAGAATTGTACTATTAACTAGTATACGAAGTCAGGTCATTTTCTACGTGAATAGCAATATGCCTGGCCCGCCTAGCACAGAATGTACGAGCTATCCCGACGGTATTGATATTCTTCCAGAACTTCATATAAGGTCCGCATGACGTTTTGGGGACTCTTTAAGGTGGAGGAACGTGGATGTCCCAAGCGGAATCTATGATCACGAGTCTGCATACTGCCAGATGAACTACCAAAGCTATTCCACAAGCTTCAGACGAGGGCCAGAATAGTGACAAGTCCCCTCTCATCAGAAGCTGGTTAGTATATGGGTGGCTTACTGGGAGCTGCGAAGGGTTAGATGTTAGAAGGGAACGTTCGGACAGTACCTGACCTGCAACACGCAAATTTCCTTGATTAATAAAACCTATAGAACGACCATTAATTCCAGAATGACAAGCTTGCCTTTGAATCCGAACTCCTGTCTATCATAAATCTCGTATCACGAATGTAATATGTTCCACCCTAGTTTCCGAGAAAAGTCTCCAGATATAAGTAGGGACAGAGAAAAACTGCTCAGTACCTGTATCTGGTAGAGTAATCTATGCTACCGTTAGCATCCTGATCGAAGGTATTATCCCAGGTTGCAAGGGACTCTACACCTACCCTTTGGACTGACGACGAGACCCCGGCCTTTCTTCGCTCCTTTGTAGATAGTTTCGATGATGTCGATCAACTCCTGCTTATCTTCAAGCACCCAATTGAGCTTGTTGTTGTTACCAGTCCCGAAATCGCACATCATGTGTTTGTTGCGGTAGAAGAACATGATTGTCATCGGGTCGTAAAGTTCGTACATCGTATTGAACTCGGGGACCTCGTCGATATCGCATAGGTAGATGACTGCGAAGTCTAGAAAAAGGAAAAGTCAGCAAGCGATGTGGCGACTCTAGCTCTCTGGTGATAACTTACTCTTCACCTTCTGCGCTATCTTGTATAGAACTTCGTCTTGACGCATGCCTATTACAGTTAATTAGTGAATCTGATGAAATATGTGAACGGCGGAAAAGGGCCTTACAATCCACGTCATGATCACGGCCAAACCTGATGACCACAAGCCTCTCATCCTCACTGAGGATTGCTTGATCTACGTGCCATGCGGTTCGAAGATGGGGGAGTACGACGGAACCCATGGCTAGAGTTGAAGGTGGTGGACAAGTTGCAAAGGCGATAAGTTGGTAGAATGAGGATGGAGAGAAATGAAGTAATCAGAATGATTTGAGTCTCGAGTATTATAAACGCCGCTGGCTTGAAGACTACACGTGATTAGAGCCTTACCGTCGCGTCGCAAGAACGCCTCGTTCTAACTAGCAAATGTTTCTTTCTACTTAACCCCTTTGCCACTTCACATACTACCGAAGGATAACCACTACATCATAAGCTAGCCTAAATAGCATTTACCTTTCTTCTCCAAGCAGCCGGACAAGCCGACCGAATTGATGAAAAAAAGTTGTTCGCGTCAATCGAGGGTAGTGTAAGCTCGATGACACTGTGCGGCAGAGTATGCGCAAGCGCAGAGGCTCCGCCACCGAGTCCAAAAATGAGATTAATCAATGTTGTGTTCCTTAGAACACTTTCAGAGATTAAACTGAAAAGAACAGATACTACACTTGATCTAAGCCAAATGGCAAAGAGAGCTGGAGAAGAAAAGAAAAAAAAAATCAAATTGGGGAGGGGTTCAATGGATATTTATACACAGGTGACGTTGGCCCGTGCGACGCTAGAGATAAGCGAAGTTTGGCCATATCCTTTGATTGGAGGAATCTTGGGTCTTCGTTATATGCCCTAGACCCTAATGATTTACTAAAACAGTAAAGCCGCACACAAAACGATCTAGGGCTACTTGGTGACTCCACCACGCGCTTTGCATTTTTCGATCCTCTCTCGACGACCTCACAGAAAGAAGGCGCAGGATACTCATCTCTTTGCGACCGGATCTTATCATTTCCAAGACCAACACCCTCAACCCGTCGAAATGGCTCCCGCTACTGTATGTTTTCTCGGTATTCCATGCATCTGAACCGCTTTGCTGTTCCCCCAAGGGCTTTGTTTCTCCTGCTTCTTCTCCCGACATTGAAATTCCTTGAGATATATGTATTCCGGGAGAAGGACAGCAAGAAGAAACACACCATTGGGATCCGACATTATGGAGCAGTAGGCTAATCTTCAATTTTATCGCGGTACAATAGGCTCGTGGTCGCAAGGCCCAGAAGGTCACCAAGAAGGTATGTTCACTATTCCAGGTTGCAGTGAATTCGTGACTCTGCGCGACAGGATAGGAGGAACTCACGAACTCGTATTGACTTGATTTCTTTTTTATAGTACATCATCAATGCTTCTCAGCCCGCCAGCGACAAGATCTTCGATGTCTCCGCCTTCGAGAAGTTCCTCCACGACCGCATCAAGGTTGAGGGCCGTGTTGGCAACCTCGGTGACAGCATTGTCATTTCCCAGTCCGGTGATGGCAAGGTCGAGGTCGTCGCTCACATTCCTTTCTCTGGTCGCTACCTCAAGTACCTGTATGTTTTTGTGATTATTGACTCTGCTCCTAGTTCAACGCTCAAGACTTCCAAATATAACTAACCATTATTTACCTTTTAGGACCAAGAAGTACCTCAAGAAGCAGCAGCTCCGTGACTGGCTCCGTGTCGTCTCTACCTCCAAGGGTGTCTACGAGCTCCGCTTCTACAACGTCGTCAGCGATGAGGCTGAGGAAGAAGAGGAGTAAGCGATTTCTTGGGGTTAAATCCAAGCTGCGCTTTTCCGTCGGAGGTTCGAAAATTCTACGGGAGTAAAATATTTTAGCCTGGATTACTTGGGAAGGTGGGAGTGCTCTTTTCAACCTCGCGTTAACTTCGGGTATTAAGACTGAGGGAAATGGGTTGGTCTGAAACGGCTGAACCGCATATCTTGCAGTCTGCTCAAGTCCGCTTGCGTGTTGTGTATTATATATGTATACCGGTTCTACTCATGACGTTATGAATGGTAGATGTGAATCGAGCTTCCCCATGAGCCAAAAAAAAAAAAAAAAAAAAAAGAGAAAAAGTTCAATTGCAGTTGTTTCATTGACTGAAGTAACCATTTCATTCAAAATGTAGACCGAGTTCAATTCTCTCCAATGTTCCACTATGGTCACCTTAAAACGCAAATAGTGTGCCATGTTTTCTCATTCCAACACTCCAATCTGAGCAAGAACCATGATTTAATGTTATTCCCCCTTCAACTCTTTCTCCTTAGGCCTTGTTCAGCTTGGTTTCGGCACAAGAAAGAAAAACACGGGAGAACGCATCCTAGACTAACATCCGGACAAGGGATATATGTAGAGGTGAGAGGAGAAAATAGTATAAATTGCGGGAAATGGAAGCAAGACCTAGCTTGCATATATTCAAGGTTATTTTGGGATTCGCATAAAATCTGTATATCTACACCCTAATAAATTCAATAAATAGTTGCCGCTTAAACCCACTTGTTGCAGTGAACATAAAAGGCCAGCTAGGGACCTGTACACAGTTGGTCTACGTGGATATATATCACCAATCGATACCAGGTAATGGAGGGATCTTGACTTTTCATCCACAGCAAGTGACGTAGCAAATATTTATTAATTTTCTTCAAAGAAAGCCAGTCCTATTTGGCATCCCAATACGCTCCAGTTATCTGTCTACCTACAAAGGCAGTTGGAGACCGATATCTGAAGCTGTATTCGGGATCAACGCCAGCATCAGGTTTCATATCAAAAACCCCAAAGTCAATTCAAAAGAGGTGCCTCTATTTGCATTCAAGTATCAACCGAATTGCAGATCACGGCCAACTGAGTTCATTGCCGACAGAACCGGTTTCGGGGTGCCTTGATAAAGCGGCCGTCCACGCGATCAATTGCCTTCTTATCTGCTCCGAATTATTTTCACTGGATGGAAGATCAATCATGGTGCCTGGCAAAGAGATAACATGCAGGATGTTCACCCCTGAGGCCAGCCAGCCAAGCTGGAAAGAGTGTTGCGGTGTAGCCAAGAACGGAGCGGCCTAGTCTCAGAATCGGGCAGTTATAAAGACCAAACTCAGACCCCTCTCAGCACCCCATATTCTAATATTCTGTTATTTTCTCAAGTGCATCTAGACAAGTAGTTTTTGCGATTATTTCATTTGACGATCTGGACTAAGCGGGTGGCTGACACGGTCACTTGCTCACCCTCGAAGCCTGTAATTAGAGACCATCATCAGGCATCCAAGAAAGAAAAGGAGAGAGAGAGCTCTCATCTCAGTGCAGCACATACCAGAGAGTAGTTCTTGAGCTGGAGTAGATGACGAGAGGAGTTGAAGGAGGTCAAATCACCTTCATCGATCGCCAAGCCGATAGAACAGATAAAGCTACCACCTATCGTCCAGATCCAACTGTTTTTTTCGAACCATGGGTCTAACTATCCAACAGTCCGTTCCTGGCTATCATCTCTGCGTCCTGGTCCACGGGTAAGTACTAGTAATTCAATGCGTCTGCTCCTTATGATGATGACTAACCCCTGGCGATCAAAAAACCGACAGACTCTGGGGTAATCCGTCACACCTGGACTATGTGGCCGCGGCGTTGAGAGAGAGATACCCCGATGACAAGCTTCATATCCTCGCTGCAAAACGAAATGCCGGAAGGTACACCTATGATGGGATCGAACTCGGGGGAGAACGGGTGGCTTACGAGATCGAAGAGACACTAAAAGCACTGGCAGAAACGGGCTCTGAAGTCCAGAAGCTGAGTATCGTGGGATACTCCTTGGGCGGCCTTGTGGCTAGATATGCACTGGGATTGCTTGAGGCTCGAGGGTGGCTTGACAAGCTGGAGCCTGTCAACTTCACCACCTTCGCGACACCGCATGTCGGCGTGAGGACCCCCAACCCGGGCATTCATTGTCATATCTGGAACGTGTTAGGCGCACGAACCATCTCCATGTCTGGGCGGCAGCTCTTCATGATCGACTCGTTCAGGGAGACGGGGAGGCCTCTGCTTAGTGTCCTGGCGGACCCGGAGAGTATCTTTATTCGGGCGTTGACTAGATTCAAGAACCGAAGTGTCTATGCGAACGTTGTGAACGATCGCTCTGCCGTATTTTATACCACTTGCATCTCAGCCACTGATCCTTTCCAAGACCTTGGGAATAGCGAAATGGAGTTGAACTACGTCAAAGGCTACGAGCCCGTCGTCATAGATCCGGACGTTTATACCTTGCCTCCTACGGATAGAGAGCATGCCTCTTTTGCCTTGAGCACCAAGGCAAGACTTACGAGAGCAATCTCCAACCTTCCTTTCTTGCTGACCATTTCGTTTGTCGTGCCAATCGCCATGACGTTGTTCCTGCTAAATTCAGTCGTGCAGAACTTCCTCAGTCGGCGACGAATACGTCTTCACGAGGAGGGAAAGACGGGCGTCCTCTTTGGAGACTACAGAGTGCCTCTTATTATCCAGGATATGCGCAACGCCGTCGAAGACGCGTTCCAGGACGTCAACCCCGGCCAGGATTTGAATTATCACCCTGCTTGTGATAGTGGCGAGTTCGAAGCTGAATTTGGAAGAGAGCAAATGCCTGCACAAAGTTCCGCTGTAGCAAATGAGAATTTGGATGACCGAGCAGAGCTGCCACTTCTCCAAAAGCCTAGCGAGACAGAGGACAGTTCGCAGCGAAACCAAGAGGATAACATCGCCTCCGAGAATGATACCAGAAGCGGCCCACCGAAGCTGGCGCTGACACCAGCACAGTTTGCCATCATCGACTCTCTCAATGCAGTGAGATTCCGTAAGTACCCGGTCTACATCCACAATCACCGGCATAGCCACGCTGCCATTATCGTGAGGATGCCCAAAAAGGGATTCGAGGAGGGAAAGATCGTCGTCAAGCATTGGCTGGATAACGAGTTTAAGGTCTGATCTCATGCGGGGGGTGGGCCATTCACTTGACCGGCTATTGAACCCGGGGGACCCTACGCGGTGCGAGAAGTCTGGAGAGAACAGTGAGCGCAACGATGTCGGTATCGGGGGGAGCCCGTTAAAAAGCCGTTTCCATGGAGATTTTCGATAGGATATTCGAGTCTAGGCAACGCTTGACGGCAGCTAACTCTTCAAAACTCCCCGAATATCCCCGGACTTTCCCGCCGGATCAATCGAGTTCGAGTGGCTCACTTACCACGCGGGGTAGTATTATTATATTTATGACGATTATGATCTATCTCGTCCAGTCATGCAGTTGGCCCTTTTGGCCTAGAACAGTCCTCTCGGCTCCCGAGTTCTGCCGTATAGAACCAGGAAAGAACGAAAGAACGAGAAGAAAATGAATAAGATTTCTTAACGGACCATGATCGATTATCGAGCTTCCCTGCTTCTTATTTTCCTTCACTTAACTCATACCCTTCCTTATGGATGACGATAAACGAGAATAATTGGCTGGAATGATGTTTGTTATGACGTCGGCGAATCCACTCATGACCGTTGTTTAAGATTCGTTACTGAAGTCTGTGTCTGTTGTCCATGATGGAGTTGATTGGTTTCTGTTTTGTTTCCTTTCCTTCTTTTCTGTTAATGGATGGATCAGCATGTGTCAAGGGCCATCTCATCTATCTGACCTCAAGCATTTTCAAAGAATTTCATTCTTTCTTTTCGAACAGCCTAGAGGAATGATGGGACCGGCTACGCCACTGTCTGGACTTTATTTTGGATTGGTTCCATGGACCCGAACCCTCGACATACTACTAACTATACCATGCACATCATATTAAATTGAAACCCATCTGTGCTGTGTTAATAAATTGAACCTGAAACCTATATACAACATAAAGCAAAGCTGTACTGTTTGGATGATTATGATTATGGTAATGTAAAATGAATATGTGAAAAATTTTTTCATCTAGCACAAGGGACACCTCATAACTTCAGGAAATCTGCTAAAAAGGCCCACAAACAACACCGGCATGGGAATCATGAACATCATCATGAACATCGAAGGAACCAGAAAAGTTAGGCCCAACGGAGCTCATCTCTGTAAAGTAGGATAGGTAAGAAGACCAAAAGAAATCTTAGATGTCGGGAAGGAACATCTATGAAATGGTAGTTTTCCAAGAGTCATAATCAAATCAAATCAAATCCAAATCAAAAGATGGGAGAGAAAAGCATGATAGCGCCAGATCACATAGACAAAGAACCAGATAAAATCACTTATTTGAAACAGACTCAGGTTCTTCAGATGCGACTGGCTTGTCAGCGTCCCTAGCCGCCTCCGCGATTTTCTTGCTGAGCTCGCGCTCGAGTGCAAATTTTACCGCATCCAGAACATCTTCACATGTTTTCTTTGGCGGATACCGTGGAATTGTTCCTTCCTGGTATACACCGGTCTTGACGAGGATCGAAAACCAGGTTACGTCGCTGCTGAAGTGCGACTCATTGAATTCATTGGTGCCCCTCACATCTGATTCTGGAGTATCACCGACGAAGTAGACGGTGCGAGGAGGGGTCTTGATGCCATGGCAATCCTCGCGCCACTGGCCGAGGAGGCGGGTCGCAAATTCGAAGGTGCTCAACTGGGGCTTGCCGAAGGAATGGGCTGTCGTAAGTTCTTTGCCTGTGACGCATTTGAACAGCGCTTCAAGCGATGCGCGAAGGGCACCCATTCCGATGCGCGAGTGTTCATGCGAAGTAGACCAGACAATGTCATTGTGCGAGAAATACACGGGCGGGCCTTCATCAAATGTCTTGGAACGAGTTCCCAAACGGCCATTCTTGGACATGAGCAAATCTAGGATGATCTGTTGGTCGCCAGCCCAGTCTCTGCTGTCTGCGAAGACGAAGATAGCTTCGATATTGATCTTGCTAAAATCCCGATCGCGTGAATTGCGATATTCATCCTCTGTCAGTTTCCGAAACGGGGTGGTATCATGTTTGGCCTTGATGATATCCCCGGGCGTGATTACGTCCTTGAATCCGTAGCCCTCCGCGACAATTCGACATTTCTCTCCTTCACCGCCCACGACAAGGACAGTATGGTATTTCTCGGTCATTTCTCGCATAGGCGTATGGCCGCATATGAATTGGCCGGGAGATACGTCTAGTTCCAGCTGCCGGGAAAGGTCCGCACATCGCTCTTCTTCGGGTTTGCCTCCACCATTCGTCACGAAGATGTATGGGCTGGATAAAGAGAACAGCCAGTTAGCCGAGGATGCAGAGGGTGTCGTAAAACTAATTCGCGGAGGGGGGACTGAGGTAGAGACCAAGCGACAAGACTCACATCTTAACGCCATACGGATTTTCACCGTTGATGTACCTCATCGCTTGGATGGCAGCTGGGATAGGGTGCCCACCTCGAATAAGCACACCGTCAATATCAAACGCGAGAGCAAATTCGTCTGTAGTTGTAATAGGAGGTTTCTGGGCCGGAGTTGCCACTCGTGTCGATGCCTCGTCGGAAGACAACTCTTCCTCAAGACGCTGCCTGGCTGCTTCCATGGCGGATGCAATTTCATGGGAATCAACCGAAGCCATCAGGTGCTTAGGGGGCATAACCACATTGGGACCGCCGTATACCTCTGCGGGGGCCCCGTCTCTGGAAATTCGACGGGACCTTCCATCCCCAAACGTGTCGGTAGTCGTAGCCATCGTGTCTGGGATGTGTAGTCTAACAGAAATAACAGGTTGTATCAAAGCGAAGTGTACCAAATTAAACAACGGGATAGTTTGGGGTTTTTATTCCGTGCTACCTGCTGAACGGATTGTAACCAGATCAGATCAGGGCAAGAACACGGAGGATAAGGGGAGATATAAAGTACGCAAGTGTCTGATAAGGCAGACTCCCCAGTAGCACCGTCTTTTTATAGAACAATGTGGGGAGGGGAGGGGAGGGGCGAGTAGTCGTGCCGATATATCATCGACAGACATATCTTATTCGCAGACATCGGCGCGTTCATGTTGGAATGTATCCACACTGAGGCAATACAGATTAGTGAATCCAATCATGCATGAGACTGCAGCGAAGAGAGTCTGTTTCCAGCGGGCTTACAGTGAGTCCCCAGGGATAGGGTTTGAAGCTTCAGCGCTCTGTTTTGCCAGCAAAAGGCGAAGCTCGGGAGAAAGTATGCAAGCCACTGGGCCGGACTGTAGGCCTAGCGGGACAGTCCCCGGTCATGATGCCAAATGAGGATGGGCTTTCTCAGTCCAGAGACGTTTGACGGCGCGCCGGAAGAAAATAGAGAAGGGCGATGTCTTCCAATTCTCCAGCGGCGTGCTGTTGCGGCTGATGCCATTGGGGCCCTCGTGACATCACACGTGATTCCGCTGTGTTTCCTACTCTCGGCTAACTTCTTACTTCTTAATCCATTTATTTCGAATTTCACATCTCCTCTGCAGCGCCGGTCTGGGCAGTGGAAGTACAGGGTGCTGCTTGCTGTACAATGTACGCACTCGGCCATGATCCGCCAAGAATACCCACAAGCTCTGAGCACACCAGGTCCGTGTTGATAGAGAGACCGTTCGTGACATCACAGAAACAGGCCCTGAGGCATCACGACTCCACGCCAGTACTGACGTCCAGAATCATCATCGTTATTATCGTGCCGCACTCGGTTATGCATACAGATGGTGCTGATCATACCCAGCCAATGTACATCATTCCCGTGCAGGCATTAGCAATATGCAGTGGATATGCAGGACGAGACCCATCAACCTCGGCACGTCATTACCACTCACGCAATGCTAGCAGGTAGCGAGTCACGACAATAACAATAATACCGGTTTACTCACGGTTAGTGAAGGCCTATTATTATCCATGGGCGTTTTCGTGGAGATTTCCTGTCATGCGCTTAGCCGTTATGCGCCATGTCAGATCACCTCGAAAAGAGCGCACTCCCTTTTACGGAGTTTACTATTTCCAGGCAGCCATGGAGGCAATCTTACGTGGTCCTTGCATGGAGTAACTAATCAGAATCTCTTTGAGTGGCCTCACAAAGGAATCTGCTGGTTATTCCTACAATCCTACTGACGTTACATCACTTGCTTAAGGCTAGACTTGTAGGATAATCATCAAGCTAGATACGTTCCATAGTAGTATGCTAGAATATATACACACGTATGGATCTCGAGGAGAGGGTAACCTTGGACGGCCACAACATGGTCATAGTTCCAGGCAGTAACTTATTAACTTGTTAGACTGTTTGGCTTGCCGCACCAGTACTCCGTACCTAGCATTCTGCATTAGCTCTCTAGCCATCAAGGAAATCATCAAATTAAGTCGCTTCATCATCCATCACTTCTTTGATTGTTGCTCGTTTCATTGCTAGCTGTGGCACTGTGAGATGTCGTCTTCTCAAACTTCAGCGGAGGTTATCGTGGTATCCCTGGGAAAACCAGCAATATTGTATGGTAATCCGTCTTCATCAATCCAGCGAAAAGCCACTCCATCTTCAGAACAGTCAATACCAAATAAAATCATCGTCATTGCACCTGCTGGGCTATTCCCAGAAGGCTTCCAATATCTTGAGCTGAGTGACTTGTCGGGCTTTTCAACTTCCGAACAACTTTTTCCTACATATAGGGCAATCATAGGTTGACCTGGTCTTGCAAATTGTGGCAGAAGATTAATTGTTTGAATTACCGCTGGTTTAGAATCACGCTTTTTTCCCCTTCAGCTCCCCACGCGCATCCAGAACCACCACCATAGAGAGAGCAGTCAAGTTTACCATCAGCTCGAAATATCATCTTCCCATTTTACCTAAGTAGAGATCTAGAGCCATTTCTTGAGGGAGAAGATAGTAAGCTGCTGGCCGCAGCTTCTCCACCACTAAGATGCTCAATTTTGATGACCGCATTTTGATATATCATCTCTCAAGTCTTCCAGCCAAGCCATGGCCAAAGAGAATTGCTGGCGTTCCCTGCGACTTGACTATTGACAAGAATGATATGGGCCACAGCTGCGCATCCGTCGCCCCAGCCGATCCCAGATTGTGCTTTGTGTTGAATACAATTTCAGAAACAATGAGAAGATGAAAGATCGGGTCTTTGAAATCTTACCGCCTTTTTTTTTTTTTTTTTCAAGAAATCGCAATTTCAATCACTGAAATTCAGTATTGGAAAAGTGTTATTATTATTGTCCTTGGGTGCAAGGATATGAGCCTATTGACTCGCGTGCCAAAGCCAGTTGCACACTGTCCATGTTTCTATCTTTTTGAATGTGAGATGGGCAGCCTCAAGAGCTTCCAGCCTCCTAGATCTCCCAGATACTGTCTATAATGCTATAGTATACCTGTAGCCATTCTGTAGTACTGAAAAGGAAAATGTCGCAGCTAAACTACACGATAATCGAAGCAGCAGCAATATAAACACCGAAGATTTTATACTCAATTAGTCGATAATGCCTATTGAGTAGTGCTGGACTTTGAACATGCATGATTGTACAGACATCACTGTTTAGATAAAAATTAACATTACCAGAAACACCATGCTCCACCCCATTAATGCAGTAGGAACAACTACTCAAAACAGTGCAGTGTGACAAAACCAAATCAATGGGCGAGGGAAAAAACGCTCTAGGGATTATGCAGGGACGGTGCATGCTTGGGGTTGCCAGCACTGATGGTCTCCACTGAGTAGTGAAGCTCTTGTTGATATATAGTATAGAGAGAAGCAAGCGTGCGTGTGGGTCTGAGAGAGAGCGGAAATACTTGATAAATCAACTAGCAATCTTAGTCTACCGCGATGATCATGTCTGACCCTCTCCAAATGGGAGTTAGATTGCGCGACAGTCGTGATGATGGTGATTCTCTTGTTGCTTCTTGACTTTGCAGGCCGCTCAGCGTAGGAGTTCTACTCCTCGCCCTCGGTCCACGGTCAGAAGGTCCGTCAAACGGCAATCTATAGTCATTCTGATGATCATTAGCGGGTTGGGCATAGTCGTAGTCTTTTAAGGCTCTCACTGTTAGGAGCCCGAGCCCAGACTGACGATGCTCTGCCTGGTGATTAGCTAAATGACCACCATCCGAGACCCCGACCGGCGTATTTGAAGAAGATAGAGGAAAGGGGAGTATGGCTTGCATCTCAACGTTCCGCTGTGGAGGCTGGTCGCGTGATATTCTCCAGAAATCATCTGGTGAAAAAGGTGTTATTCTTTCGTTCGGCTGTTGCTGGCCTTGCCCAACCCGAACTCTCATGATTTTGTCATCTTGTATACTCCGAGTCTGTGAAATGGCATTCGGAGACGGATTGATAGAGTCGGGATGATATGGCCTGAAACGCATGCGAGTGGTAGAATGAAAATGGTCTCCTATCTCTTGCATTCCAGTTGGTGCTGCAACCTTCCCAGGGCTAAGCCGCTCCCTGGGAATAGACTCAAAATCCTGACGAGACCTCTGTCCTTCGTTTAGATCACCCAGCTCAGACCTGGTTGCTGGACCGGAATTTCTATCTAGCTCCGGGACTCTTGGCAGAGGCTTCTCCCCACTATCAGCTTCAGAAGTTACCCTAGCAACTTGAGGCTTCCCTCCAGGGCCCGGGTGCACCGGTTTTGCTTGCTGGCTAGGGCCTTGAACGCCCAATCCTCGTACAGCCCTCCCTTGGTCCTTCGTAGCACGGGGATGCGCGGGCAGTCCGACCGCTGAGGATCGATTGATTTCGAGCAAACCTGCGTGCCCATTTAACCCGTTCGGGGCCATGCTCAGGCGCCCTTGCATGTCCTCTTCAAATACGGTCAATTCGCTTTCAGGTCTAGGATGTCTTTGACGACTAATCCTCAAAGGTCTTGGGCGCAGTTCATTCATTGGTGGATCGGAAAGTGATTTAGACGCTTCTGTTTCAGGACCAGAGCGAGCTGGGAAGGCTGAATGTGTTGCTTCCTCTATTTTCATAAATCTATCCGCAGCCTGTCCGGTCAGGATTGCAAATGAATCATGGGCACTCGCCCGGAAAGGTGGTCTCTTTGAGTTCAACGTCTCTTGACTTGCGCCATTCGAACTCGCTGGCAGTTTGTGGAATGAGAATGGACGTCTAGGAGGCGGTCGAGTAGAACCATGGGGTCCCGATGCGGCTCCCTCAGTTTCAGAGAAACCCTGGTCCATAACTCTCTGACTTTCCCCTCTTTTCCCTCTCTTCCTGATATAATAAACCACAGCGATCACAATTACGACGCAAGCAAAGACTCCTGTAGTCACCGAAACACCAGCCACTGCACCTGAACTAAGGGAGTGCGAATGCGAGATCCCAGCACTAGGTGTGGAACTAGACGAAGAGGTGACACTGGGGAGCATTGACTGGTCGCCATCGGTACTTGGGGATGCTGTCATGGTAGCGGGTATATCCGCCGTCGTTATCATTGTCATTTTCATCGTTGATGGTACTGATAGGAGCAGTGGAGAGCTGGTAGGTACATATCCGGCAGGAAAGTCGGTAGAAGTGGAATAGAAGGTCAAGCTAGGGCTAGACACTCCGGTACTCATGACTGGAATTGTAGTACCTCCAGCGAGATATGCCGTAGCCGTTATGACAGAATGCGTCCTTGGAAGAGCCCCAGGAACCGATTCACAAATGTTGTACACGATCGAACCCGAATCTGATGTCACTTCACTTGGGCAGTAGGAGATTGTACATTGCAAAGCCGCTTCCGCGAAGGTGAACCCGCTTGTGGTATTTGTTGTGCAAAGGCAGTTCAAATCCGATAGCTCAGAACATATGTTGGTTCTATATTGCGATTTAACAAATGCATCAACGCAAGTTAATGCACATGATGGAATAACTTGAGACATGGCTACCCGGGGACCTAGGTGTTGTATCGCAGTTGACCCATACACGAGACACGAGTATGCTAGGAAGAGGAAAATTGTATGCATGCATCGAGCCGGGGAGAAAGACATGTTGAAACTCTGCAAATACAGTCAGCAGCATACATTAACAAAGCGAGGGACAAAGTATCTTTCCAACTGACAGACATCAGAGATTAAAATGCCACGGCCTTACCAGATCCGGACACGCTGACAAGAGAAATCACCTCTGGAGGTCGATGTAGCTGGATGGAATCATTATTGCTCGCAAATATGGCGTTCAGAAGAAAGGGCAAGATAGTGACTTGGTTTTGGACAGACAAAAAGGCGGCGGCCATGTACCAGAACAATATTAAGTCAAGACACAAAGAAAATCAAAGGAAATGGATTAGAAAGAAAGCATCCAACACGGCCCTGCGCACCTAGGGCGACAGGTAAAAAGGAACTGGCTTCCATGGTGCTGGCACACTCTAGGGAGTCAGACCTGGATCTGCCACGGGGAAGCATTTCATACGCGCCTGGATGAGACATAAAGAGATTGGGGTTACCTGAGCAGAGTCTGAATAGCAACTGCGGCGCTTGTACAATGTCTGGGATGATGGATGGGGCCGAATGGATGATATACGCGCCGTGTCGGCGCTTGCGCTGGACGATGAGCAGTGTGAAATCACGTGCTGTGATGCTAAAGCTGCAGCAACAGAGTACAGCGTACAGGTCCAGCGCCAATATCATCTCCGGATGGTGACTGGTCAATACTCAAGAAGCGTCAATTTCTCTATTTGCCAAAAGGGACGACTGTATTGCCATCAATCATTAAACCGACGAATAAATCCGATATTAAGGTACACAACTGACTGGTATCCTTTGGAACTAAGCAAAAAAAAAGACGGAATAAACAACCAAATGATATCAGATAGCAAAACGCCCAGCCGCTCCGAGACCCAGTGTAGCAAATACCACGGGCGACGGCGCTGTCGAAAGGGAAACTCTAATATGGTCGCTTCCAAACAAATAGACGGCTCCAGTCTATGCGAGACTGCCAAAATCAACAGTATCTAGAGACAACGCGGAGAGGCGTTTGTGAACCGCGAGTTTCCCCTGAAGATCAACTTTAAAATCGTTACCAGGCGAGATAACAGCGGTCGGATTGATTGGTAAGATGTGTTAGAGTTTTCTTTTTTTTTTTTTTTTTCAACCAAGTCGATCACGACTGGACGCGTTTATACGAGGCATGGTGTTAAACAATCTAATATTTGAGGATAATGTAACTGAACATGGGCCGTTAGTTGTTTTACCAGGAACATTGTGGAGCAAAGAGGAAGCATACAGAGCATGGATAATGCCCGGAATGTAACCCAGAATTGTCAAACAGATGTTGATCAAAAGATCAGCACCACATCCTCGTTCAAGGAAGACACCGAGGGGAGGTAAGATGATCGCAAGAATAATCTTGCAGATGTCACTGCATAAGGTCAAGGAGAAAAAAAAGTTAGCTTTTGTTCTGGGCAGGATTCACGCTGACGATTCAATTGCAAGTGATGGAAAGGCACAATCGATGAAGAGAAGTCCAACACGACCGCGGTGGTTTCCGGGAGATGGATGGCATCGAAGACGGATGGGAGCACTCACGAAGCTTCAAGAGGCATTTTGATAGGGCTGGTCTGGTTTGGACTGAATCTGTTGCAGGTCTGCCACTTCAGAAAGGGGATGGACAGATGGGTATGACAAAGTGGGAGAAGAGAGAAGTGAGAGGAAAGGGGAGCCGGTGGTCGCGGCAGTTAAGGAGAGAACGGCTTAAATAAGAGGACAGAGCAGCACGGCAAGCCGGGGCCCTCCACAGCCAGGCATTCCTGCTGTGACCGTATCCGTATTACTCTATCATGCCTGCTATACGTACGTCATGGCTGTGGCTCATCCAGAGTGCTCGATTGGCCCACTCCAGGGCTCTTTTCCTTGCCAAGGCTGCGCCTGTTGCAGCCGTATTTTCGCTGAGATCGCCGCAGCCTGGTGCTGTTGCTTCTGGTGACGTTGCGGCCGACGATGCCCAGGTCGCTCCCTTATAAGCTGCATGCACGCCATGCCAGGATCGGCAAGGCATATTCGACTATAAAAGACGCCGCCGATAATCTGTCTTTTCATTCTCAGTTTGCCCATCCTGTCTCATCCAAGGTTGCAGAATTCTTGGCAGCTCGACGCTGCCACTAATAGGAATTACCGGATGCATACGTTGCACAGCAATGGTACACTGTATAGCCATGGTGCAGCCACATTATTAGAACAGACATTGGGTATTAATATCGTTATTACACCAGGGAACTTCCGGTCTCCCCATTCATGGTTATTCTGTACCGCTGAGCGTTGTTCTCGTCACTGCATAGGCACTTACTTCCTGCATATGGTCCAACAAGTGGATCAAATCGTGGCTGGTACCCCCAGGTCTTGAAAACCAGCCCTACGGCGCCCCTGGTGGCCAGTAAGACCAGATATATTAACCTACATTTGCTCACGGGTTGTGCCATTCAAAGCATGAACGGATGCTGAAGCGTTCACGTGACTCAACTGCAATAGTGTACACCAGGAGCTGCCTGTCATCGACCATTCTAGCACGATTCTTTCCTTTCAACCGGTTGCTTACTCCGCCATACGCCAAAAGTCGATTATATGTAGCGGTATCCCAGCGTATTCCGCTCTCGGAACAAGTGAAACCTGCCGTTGCGTCGGTCGGCAACACTCGGATCGCGTCTGGCATTGAGGAGGCGAAATGCTTCATCCGTGGTGGATGGGTAAAAGAGGCACCATAGACCACCAGCACAAGTCAATGTTGGCGGCCGCACGTTCTTTTGCACAGTTGGATCGCAGCAATACCAGATCGATCGAGAATGGCTGCGCCTGATTGTCCTGTTTTAGCATATGCCAATGATCCGATGGTATTCTTTCAACCCTCCCTATCCCAATTCCCATCTGGTCAGTCATGGAATGTCGTCCTTGCTGCCGTGAGCTTCATTCCATGGATTGATCCGGCCAGCGGTCTTTTTCTTGAACATACATGAACGGACAATATAGTTTCCCCCGAGATCTCACTCTCTATATTATCGTGGCAATTGACCATAGGAAGGGCAGTAGGTCCCACAGATATCTTCCTTTTCACCTGGAATAGGCGGATGTGTTAGGAAAGGCGCCTCACCAACACGACCATGTAACTGGATGTACCGCGTAGGCTCTCTCTGCCACCCGTCGAAGGTCAGCATGCCATGCCTGGCTCTTGGGTAGAATTAGTGTTTGTACAGGCCTCTACTTTCGACGCCTAAGTTCATATGTGTATGAAAGCCAACACCTATCTCCCTCATAGTGATGCCGTCTCTAAAAAGAAACAAAACCAGACGGTGCAGTCTGCAGTCTGTTCCGTCCAACCAGGACGGGTTGCGCCAAGACTAATCACGTGATCAGAGCTCGCAGTGGAAGCAACCAGCGTGTTGTTCGCTTCCCATCCTCTTCATCTGCCTCCAGCCTCCATCTTTCGTGTCGTCGCAACGGTCATCTACGACTTCCAACTGTCACTTCTCGCCGCCCGTTGGTAATCAATATTTCATTTTTCCAGTTCTCGAATCGTCCGGTACCGGCTTAGATTTCCACAATGAGTTCCGAACTTTGGTAAGATACCTTCTACCAGGCTTCTCTCTGGCGTGGGCTACTATGAGTCCATAGCCTGCTGGACATTTTGAGCCTCTTGCTGATAATTCTTCCCATATAGTCCAGTATATGCGGTAAGTTTCCTCGTCCTTCCGCCGTACAAATCGTGGCATTGGAGCTACGTTCAACGAAACCCTTTCGACTTCAATTTCCCCTACGACCTCCTTGCCGCATCACTCTTCTCCTTTTCGAATACATCCCTTACATAGTTGGGCTTGTAACTGATTTTGAACCATGTAGCCCTTCTTCGGTGCCCTGGGTTGCGCTTCAGCTATCGTTTTCACCTGCTTTGGAGCTGCCTATGGAACCGCTAAGGCTGGTGTCGGTATCTGCGGAATGGGTGTCTTGAGACCAGACTTGATCGTTAAAAGTATGTAAAACGATTCAGTCTAGATATGCACCTTCTCCAAAGGGGAAATTCTACTGTCCGAGTGATCGTGAGCAGCTGCCCGCTGACTATGTTATGATTGCAGACATTGTCCCCGTTGTTATGGCCGGTATCATTGGTATCTATGGGCTGGTCGTCTCAGTTTTGGTCGCGAACAACTTGAAACAGGAGCTGGCGCTATTTACAGGATTCATCCAGTTGGGTGCGGGTCTCTCTGTCGGTCTTGCCGGTTTGGCTGCTGGGTATGTTCTGCGGTTACTCGAGTCTATTGACAGCCATAAGGACTAATTTTGCATGTAGTTTTGCTATCGGTATTGTCGGTGATGCTGGTGTTCGTGGTTCAGCCCAGCAACCTAGACTCTATGTTGGAATGATTTTGATTCTCATTTTCGCAGAAGTTTTGGGTGAGTTACCAGGCATTTGGAGCCATTCGTAATTACTTGTCTCATGGACGTACACCATACTCATACCGTTTTCTTATCGCGCAGGTCTCTATGGTTTGATTGTTGCTCTCCTCATGAACTCTCAGGCCACAACCTATAAGTGCTAGACGCAACTCGCGTCGTTGCTCTCAGCCGCACGGGTCTTTGAGCAGCTGCAACGAAGACTCCAATGTCTTCCAAATTTCAGTGACAGACTGAAATTCCATACTGCTCAACCTTCAGCCCACGGCGCATTTATTAGCTGGAAGCATGATGATGCGTATGACCCGTCTCGCTTAAGAACCTCGATACGAACGATTCGAGATGTGGGATCCCTCTTTCCTTTTCTCGTTTATTTTGAATAATCTTTATAAATGGACAATGTTTATAATTCCCAAACGTGGCGAATTGTGGCTGTAGACTGGATGATGGAACGGGAATGTTGCCCTTATATCTACGTTGCATGGTCGACTCAAGATCTGGAGAAGTTTGAATGCACTGTACTTTATCAGCGTCTCTAATCTATGACTAGATTAGATTGTCACATTGCAATGCTGGAATGTTTGCTTTTCTTCTCTTCCCCCTGACTAACTCTATTTACTTGCTTCCTCTTCAAACCAAATTTGGCCGAATATTTGACGGGAGACATGCTCAGATCTAGCGGGGTTTCTTTTTTGTTTTTGTTATTTTCCGTTTTGCTTCTATACTTTTGCTTTGCTTTGCTCTTTTTCTTTTCTCGGTCTGAGTACTATGTATCGACTTCTGTACCACTATGTGCTATTTATATTTGGTATGGAGTAAGTATATCGTCAATACATGAAATGTACCAATTAAATGAATTTCACCCTAAAGAGAGAGGCGGATGTCAGCTACCTAATACCTAGACAATGTAGGGATGTGCACGTTGTACGGTGTAGTGCCTGCCTGTCCGTCTGTCCGTCGGGTGTAACCTGTATATCAAATGCAACACATGTGTAATAAAAAAACATAGTAATTAAATGATTATTTGGGTACCACAACTCCGTAAGGATTGACCTATTTCATCCGATAAATATATACATGAAGTCGACGGTATTCCTGAAGATCAGTAACTAGGTTAGGTTAGAAAGCCTGAATGTTATTGGGATTGGTTTATCTATCAGGGAACTACCTAAAGTGCCCAGTGCATGCATGCCATGAAGAGTTAGGATATAAGATATCTGGACAAAAGGACGAAGAGCACAAAAGGACTACGACATCATAAAGCAGAAAAGGAGAAACCTGGCAGGGAAATGGACAGACTGCGAAAGATGTGAAAAAGAAAAGAAACCTATGGATTCTTGCGGGATGTCCCGAACTGATGGGAAATTGGAGAGGAAATAAGCAAAAGAAACTTGCAAAGAGGAATAATAATATGGGGAAAAAGCACGATCAACCAGGTTCATCTATGCCTTGTCGAGTTTCCGTCGCAACGTTCTCGTCCTCCGCAATAGCTTCTTGTACTTATGTTTCTTCATCTTTAATCTCCGTCTCCTCTTCGTACTGATGGCATGCATGGTGCTATTCTCTTCCGGACTCTCGATGTAGTTGATTCCGGACGCGGGCATATCGATGACAGCCTCGGTATCAAAAGATGCGGGGTCGTTCATCTCTTCTGTACGAGAAATCGGAGCGGTGCGAGCCTCGTACGTCTTGCGGCCGTCGGCATGCGTAGATTCGCGAATTGTCAGAATAACAGAATAGCTAGCAGTCTGCTTGGATACTTCATCCGTGGGTTCGACTCCGCTTACATTTTTGTACTCGTCCAGGGGGACAGGAGGAGGTGGGGGATGGAATGGACGCAGCCGCTTCGTGAATTCTTCAATTGAAATATCCAAGTCCGCCATGTTGAATGCGTCAAGTTGATTGCCGTCTGCATCCATGTGGCTGAGAGAACCGCCGCCATTCAACATGTTCTGGAAATCATCTTGCTGTGCCGCGTTCTCCATGGAGTTGACTGCGGAAGACAGAGTGAAGATCACATCCCCCGGTTCGATTTTCGGCGATCGTCTCGAGGAGAAAAGAGCATTGAATGCTTCGGCGCTCGAGGTCGGAGGTACGCTGGCCGTGACAGAAATCGGCCTGTAAATGGAGAAGAACGACGCCACATGTACATCTGCAGCTGGGAAGGGGGAAAGGGAGAGAAAACAAACCAGATTAGCTATGGGATCTCAGAGCTAGCAGTCAATTCACAAAGCTTTATACTCACCATGTGGTTGGAGATGCTGGGTTGAGGGGACGCTAGGAGGATTGGAGAAGGCAGCATGTCGGTTCGACTTGGAGCCGTGATGCCGGCTATGATCTCTTCCCCTCCGCCTGGTTGCCCGCTTCTCTCCAGAAGCACCAACACCCTTTGCAGGAGCTTGTGAGGAAGCATCGATTCCATTAGAGCCATTGCTAGGAGGTACGGGAGGTTTCGAAGAAGAATATCGGCGCTGGTGCATAGGCCGAGTTGCGTTGAGAAGGCCGTTTGAGGAAGCCGCAAAAGCCTGACCGGAGGAACGCGAAATCGAGGGTAAGGACGAGATGGGCGCCCAGGCCGCCCGTCGTAAAGAGGACGACAACATCCTGGCGTCTGTTAAGCCCCCAAAGCCGGAAAAACAGGGCTATTGAAGTGGTTGTAGTCGAGTGCTGCCGGAAGTCGCCAACAGAGAGCAAATCCAAGTCGGGTTGTCACTTGACCACATCGCTTATGTAAGCAAACTTGTCCCGTGCTTCTCCGCCCTGCCCTGAGGATTGATTTATCTTCGGATCTACTGGTATGTTCTAGGATAAAATCCCAAAAATGGGACTTTAACTGTCCAAGTTTCTCTCCTATACATACAGTACACACACAATGGCTCGAATGAGACAAGAGATTGCAGAGAAGGCTGTTATTACCTCAAGAGCAAAGGGAAAAGCAAGGAAAGCAAAAGAGAATGTATATTGAGAATGCAAGAGAAGTTATAAGAACAGAGTTAAGCGAGAAAAATAATATAGACACAAGTAAACCCAGAGGCTAAAAAGAAACATGCGACGAGAGTCATAAGAAGCAGCCTCACAGAAGAGGAACGGAAAGAAAATGATACAAAAGAAAGATTAGTGGTATGACATCGCAACAAACACCGCCCTTGAAACCCAGAAAAGTATCGTAAAACAAACAATGTGTGTCGAATAGTTGATCACGAAACGCTGGAAGCTAACAACTATTTTGCCCCATCAATATGTCTCAGGAGAATGAAGGAAAAGAAAAGTAGTTATATAAAATGGGTATGGTCATCCCAGCCGATACGCAGCGGAAGATGTTTATTCGCTGGAACGGATTATATTCTGTCTCGCGGTTGGCGCAAATTCCAATTAAAAAGGAGACAGTCCAATCCTGAAATAGAGCGACCTACAGGATAAGAGTGTGAAGATTCTTCTGAATAATCATGTCTTGTACCGAGTCCATCGTAGCCTTCAGCAGTGTTGTGTCGGTAGCATTGGTGTAGTGGATATAGATTTCGCGGTCTGGAACCCGATTAAGGCCACGGAAACGATCGGCAAAGTATCTGGCTGCGGAATCGAAGTCGGTGTTCGACCCGGCGTAATCTGGAAAGTGTTTGGATACGGGAGATATGGGTAGCTTCTGCTTGAAAAGATCGATCTTGTTCAAGAAGAGGATGATGGGTTTCCGTTTGAACCACTCGCCATTGACCAGGGACTCGAAGAGCATCATCGCTTCGTGCATTTGATTCTATTCTCGGGTGCGGTAAGCATTTTGACCTATTCCGACACGCAATGCTTTCATAAAAATGAGACTTACTGCGTTCTGATCTTCCACGAGACATTGGTCGTAGCCTGAAAGTGCAACCATGAAAAGGAGGCATTGAACGCCTTCAAAGCAATGAATCCACTTCTTTCGCTCCGATCGTTGTCCGCCAACGTCCATCATCCTGAAGTTCAACTGACCCATCTCAAACAGGGTTTCCGTGATTCCAGTCGTTCGTAAACGAGCTTGCAGCATATCTTGGTTGTTGGGGAGCCATCCTGGCTCAAACATGCGGTCAAGCGAGTTGAAAAAACTGGAGAAACATTAGATCGATCAGGGTGTATGGTCCATCCATGAACATACTATTGTAGATTGTCATGAAGTGCAAACTCGTGCCCCCGAGAAACTGCTTTCTGAACGCCTGCGTCCCGCCACATCTCTTTCATGGCCTCGCGGACTTCGAGGTCTGAAAACGCTTGATCCAACTCCACATCAGCTTCTGTGCTTTCCAGGAATGCTGCGAAAGGCTGGAATGAAAAAGACACGAATGGTCAGCCTGGGATGAAATAACAATGGCGTAGTGACTGTCACCGGGTAAACCGAACGTTGGCCCAAGCTCGGGGGGGAGTTACCCTTGTGTTCTCATGTTCATATTCGATATTCTCTGCATTCATGATGTCCAGCAATACCTTGAAGGCAACAACAAGGTTAGAGTAGATGACTGCTCGTGTCTGGTAACGCTCATCTTCGGGGAACCCTCTTTTGTGTATGATTCGCATCTGCTTTATAATAGTGGATTTTCCAGATTCTCCAGCGCCTATTGAACTAGCCTCAGCACTAGCACCCGATCAAGTAAGGATGCCTCAAATACGTACCGAGCAGGAGGATCTTGATTGTTCTATCCATCGCCTTCTTGTCACTTTTCAGGATTTTGTCTATCTTGGCATTCCGCTGCAGGGCTTCCTTGTCCCCCGGATCGGAGGGCTTTGAACCTACGCAACCCATTGTAGCGTTCGCGTATGTACTCGGCGAGCGGAAAGGAGCTGTAGGATATCGCAGTTGTTAGTCGACACGAATATCCAAAATGCGAATTCTAACTGTGTCCTGAATTGACATGCGACACCTATGCTCCGTGCCAGATAGTCGGGAAGGTCATCACCAACCGAAATACAATGGCAAATTGTCTGTCTTGTATAACGCGGATTAAAGAAGGTTCTCCAAATAGGCGCACTCGCAAGGATGATTTCGTGGAAAACCCACGTGGTAGTTGGGCCTAATATCGCTCTCCCCAAAGGTATTTGTCCGGGATTATTGCTTTGGAAAACCAGTCGCCCTGAACCCTTATATATAACCCTTATGGGGTAGGAGAATCGAGTCAACGGACTCGTAGATCGCAGGTGGGCAGATCGCAAAGGGAGGGAAGATGAGAAACTGGCGGTGGTGTTGCTGTCGGCGCTGAGATCGACTCATAAACTCATACGGCAGAGGAGTTCCTAAGCCAAAGGCCAGTTAAGAACTCGGAACATCCGCAATCCGACAGAACGACCGGCGGAGAAGAAACGTAATGGCCCGTCTGGAAGAGACGGGGGATATATCGAAGGGACGAACGATGTGGGGATTAGAGGTTGGGAAAGGAGCGCATCTCCCCGTCGCACGGGCAGGACGATGAAACCGAAAGGATAGGAACCAGAGTCGCCAGACAAGAAAGAAACAACCCGACTCTGGAAAAGAAACGCGAGAAAGGAAAAAGAAAAGAACGCAGGATAATAACCTCAAGGGAAACGGATGGAGACAGGCTGGCAACAGGGCGATCGAGGGAGACGGCAGCAGCGACGAGATGGGAGGAAAAACCGACAGCAACCAGGGACAAGGGGAGAGAGATGATACCTGGAGTAAATTATTACACTCGGCAGCGGCTGACGATTATTATTAATAATGTATAAAACAGTTTTCCAAGGTTGTGAAAATTAACACTGCACCGTATACAGCTTCATCAAATACTCCCACTGCAACTCGTAACTGTCCTAGTTGTCCCGTCTTCTCCTGGATAGATGCAGCCGAGAGGGACCGTCCGATTGGCGTCGTGATTATTCTGATAATATTATTGATTGCTCCTGGAAAACACTGATATTGACACTAACAATGCAGCTGCAGATGCTGCTCCAACCGGACGAGCCGCCGGAGATTCCCGTCCGTCCCGTGTCGACTCTTCCCTGACACTGTTTGCCCGGTGCTGTTCATGTCCATTTTCTATTCCCACGCGATTCGAATTCATGGGCCGCAGAGGGGCCTAGCATGCCAATTACGGTGTTGCATTGGAGGGAGGAATGCTCACTGCCTTCGAGAACGTCGATCGCAAACCTAGCCACAATTTGCATGCAGTCGGCCATGTGGTACGGCCAGCAACGCCACGAAAGTTGAGTAGCTGCTGCGGAGGCCCGCCGTACTGCGATTGCAGCTCGCCTGCACCATGCATCAAAACAGGCAGTGGATGGGACACCCATATCCATGCGGGGTTTGTTTCGAGTGAAAGGTAACCTGTCCAGCGACAGATATCTCCTGTCTCTCTCTGCTGTAGCTCATTTAACTTGCAAGTTGCGAGTCATCGGCGGCACGGCCTTTCGACCTTGCTTCGGCTTCGGTGAGACTATCCGTGTCCGTTGACTTTATTGCATGCTGATCAGCATGCACGGCACCTGCTTGGAACTAGTCGTCAGTAGTAGTGTTGAGGCCTGTGCTTCCATTCCATCGGAAAACAAACAATGCACAGCGTTCTCTGTGCAACTTGGTGCCGAACTCAGCCTTCATTGAAATAATCAATTATCGTTATTGTCCCTATTGTCATTGTGATAGCAATTCAGCATTTTAACACACACAAGCAGTTTCTTACCAATCTGCGTTGTTTCTCAAGACATCATTTCTCATCCAAGATAATTCACCGTTGGGAAACCCTGCAGATCATAGCGAGACGGTTGAGTCCGGCATGTGTAGTATGCATGCGTGTATTCTAAGTCATTACCTACAACCGCCATAGTCTACATGCCATTCTACTTCCATATCGAGCTGCTGTTGCAATGATGGCGAGTAATGGCCTCTGCCAAATATGCATGCATATGCAGATACTGTACATTATCCCTCTTAAGCTAGTACGAGTATTCTGGCGGTTATCGATCGCCTCTATCTCGTCTATTATGCTGCTGCAAATGCGGCCTCATACACGGGGGGACATACTGCCTTGTATATGCTGTAGATGTTTGTATACAAGATTTCATAACAAGGAGTCCTAAGATCTGGGAAGAAACTTGAATGGCCATGGCAGAGTAGTCTTAGGCTCCCGTGACGGAATCAAGCCATGTCAGGAGCTTTGTACTCGGTATTTTCAACATATCTAATGAATTATATTAATACACTCTAACTACAAAAGCGCTGATTCATGCGGCGCTTCCCAAAATTGACTTCATTTCTTTTCCTACTGGGTAACTCTTGCTTTGGAGGATTTTCCACTTGAGAGCCATTTGACCACCATCAGCTTTTTGCTTGCATCATTTTTCTGGTGGGTAAATTGACAGGCCTGAGTCATTTGAAATGGTTAACCTGGCGCCAGTGTCAAGCTAACCTACACAAATAGAGGTGAGAAGCTCATGGTGACATGTGGCTGATCACTGAGTAGACACTGAGTCTCACCCATGACAAGAAATACTCACTGATCATAACCCTGAGTACCCTCATGAAGGTGGTGGTATCCGGAAAGGGAAAGTTTTCCTGATGGTAGTATAAAATCCTATATAGTGGCATACGCATGCTTCAGCCTGCCTCAAGACCGTTCTCCTCGTCTTCATATATTGTCCCTTTTCTTCCCTTCTCTCCTGTTGTCTTGGATCACCTATATGTATTATCCTTATTCTATATATTCCCTTCTCAGTCTTGTCTAATAATGAATTAACACTCCCATTCACTGATTATATATTTTCCTATACGTCCTTCCGATCATTCGTTTATATGCCAGAATCACGATTCATAACTGAGATACTTGCTCTCCTACAAGAGCCCTGGGGTTCGTCGTACAGCATCAATCTTACTGAAACACTCGCAGTACGGTTCTCACCGGAGCTGTTGGCGGAAACAATCCGCGACAGAATCAAGTCCGAGGGAAATTGAGGTAAGTTGTACCCCGGATACAGATAGTTCAAGAAAGGCGAGGAGTCTAAACGGCTGACGGAATATACAATACAAGCTCGCTGCAGAACCCGTGCTTTCGTGAAATGCTCCAGGGAGATCTCTCGTGGCGGATCAAATTGAGGTCATCAGCGACAGGTCAGAACTGACTAAATCTTTTGAGTGCTATATCGCCCGTGTGTTGGAACAAGTGGCTATTTGCCGTCGGATAGGAGTCGCTCCCTTGGCATTTTGGGACTTACAAGTCCTAGAAAGGTTCGAAACATCCAATCTGCTGGAGTATATCTGCAAGTGACAGAACCGGGGTACATATCTATCTACTTGCGAGAATTTCGAGACAAACTGCCGATCAACCGTGGGTACTTACAGAATCTTGGGGGTGTCAATGGCCGCGCAGAGCCCTTTATGAGTGTCCAAACTTACGGACCTAATAATGCAGGGTATGTTTATCGGAAGATACGCTGAATACCTCACTACGCTGCCCGGATTCAATGCAGGAATCCGTCGAACTTGTTGGCTAGATTAAGAGCCACAGAGAGCAAGGGAACATTTTCAACGAACAGCAAGTGGGTACTCTGTGATCGATCATTGTCTGGGGCTGCATCATGAACTGACTTGATAGAGCTGGCTGGCTCATTTTATCGCAGGATGCGAATGAGGCCTTTGTCTCATTCGCAAGGACAGACGACGCGTACCTTCTTCAATACCTAAGAAATGTGTGAACGGTCAGACAGACAAACCCGTTCACTCCATTTGCGATTGAACCTGGCCATATTTCCTGCGACACAGGATTTGTCCTGTGTTCTACATGTACCCTTGTCTCGTCACCTAGCGGAAATAAACCTCAACATCCCAAAGAGAGAACATATATTCAGCCGAGAATCGATCCTATAGCAGATGCCTATGGGAGATGGATGCCGGTCTGTCGGTCCGTATTGAGGTTCCAAAATGCATGATAATTATGGCTTTGCTAATTCCATCAGTTCAGTAGGCAGGTTCGGCATTACATATTGGAGAATGTCACAACAGCCAGATTGATGAGAGCATAGATCAAGATTGACCACATGTTACCTCTAGAGTTGAATGTGGAGATCATTTTCATTATGAATGTTCCCCATTGACCTAAGCCCTCCAGCCCTCCCGGACATTGTACAGTCCCTGATCTGCTTAACATCAAAATCATGCTAGTGCAACTTGTCTAACATATCAAAGCTTAAGTCTTCAGCAGACTGCATGGGCAACTGCCGGAAAAAGTAAAAATGTTGCGGTGCTGGTGTCGAGGAGTTCGTCTGAAAGGTAGATAATGAAGGATAAAAGAGTCTTAAAGGAATTGATAAATTTAATCGGTTGAATCGACTAATCCAATAGTTCTTGATTCCCTTTAGGATGCTGTTTTGAGGAGGAAGGAAAGGATACGTAGGAAAAGAAAAGATACCGACCACCCTTGACACCCTACTTTCTTGATTGACTGAGAAACACTTTCTGTAATCAAAGCACCCTAAGAGCGTAAGCTGTAACGCGTAATCGGGTTTGGAGCGTCAGTCTCTTTCTCATGGAAGAGTCATACTGGCTGGATGAATGCCAGGCAGCTTATATAAAGAACGCTAGATAAAAACAAAAGGATCACAGCCTTGCAACCTCCGACTCAGTACCCATCTACCAAGTCTTTCATCAGTTTGTTGCCGTCATTCGGTTCTTTCTGGCTCGGCCACGCTGAAATTCCAAAGAGATACAGTACAGATCATACAAAATGTTCATGTTAATGAACGGAAGAAAATTCGTGCAAGATTTTACCTACAGACTTGAGTGTAATTTTGCTTCTCCCTCTGGGGAGCCTGCAACCTGGGCTCCAGGCCATCCAAAACAATGGGGCCAGGAGAGAGCGAAGATTCGGCTGGATGGAACAGCAACAACTCCCACTCTCAGTCCCGATGATAGGCTTGTTGCAGTCGGGGTCGATGAAGAATTACACGTCTTTGATGTTGCTACGCAGAAGCATCTCGAAGTGTTGACAGATGGAGAGCTGATTGAGACTGTTAAGTTTGCGCCAGGTTTTGTTGAGAGCAGCGATGGCCAAGACACCCACTATGTTTTGGCATCACAAAGTAGTGATGAGAAGACTGTGGTTATTCTATGGGAGCTGGATGAGAATGGGAAACTCGCAGCAAAGACAATACATAAGCAAGAAGACAGACTCCGCTTTGAAGGTGAGCTAGGCTCTTTCAGTCCTGTTGAGCATTCATTCGCTTTACCTCCACAGAGTTAAAAGTATTCAAGTGGCGGAACATGGACTGCAGGCTGTGTGCATCAGTCCACAGGCACCAAGGATTCGAAGCATGACACTAGGTAACTATGGCTGCGTGCTGATGTTGATCGTGTAGCAATCTCCACAATTAATCGTTGATGAATCAATACGAGAGAAATATGTGACTTCAACTTGATCCATTAAATCACACTAACCAATTCTGGTATAATGGATGCCTTGATATATAAGGCTGCAATTGTGACGCCATCCCCCGAATCCTGGGGATCGAGCATCGTCAACTTCCCATTGACCCATCCTCACCAGCTGTACTCCAGTACACTGGAGATCGCAGCCAACATTGTATTTGGTTTATATGTATCTTGATCATTCTGTTCATCAGTACCTGCTATAGGGTGCTATTTCTCCCCCCCGTCCCGTTGATTGATGAGACAAGCGCTTAGCACAGAGCAACATGGCTGGGCCACCCGTGAGAAGGTCGACTCGCAAATCGGGATATTATCTTGAGATGTTACTGATGTGTATGTGTAGTGATGTGGAGAGGCCTGGACAAGGATATTCTTCACTCGAATCTTCTGTTTCCAAGTCCAACGAAGGTCTGTTTCTGGACGCATACAAGGATCGCCACGACCACCATGTGGATAGCCATGGCGTTTGCAAGAATCCCTTGAGAAACCTGTGGCATAAGTATAGGGACATCCCAAAGAAGATGAAGTTTGCTGGCTTTTTAATGTTGGCAATAACCTCCACTCTTTACTACATCGTTGCACTGGGGCAAAGTGCGTACTCATAATCTACAACATCGCCATATCTGTTTCCTCAGCTTTCTACTCACCAAAATCGGAATACATAGATATTGCATCCGATGACCCTCCCGTGCAAGTCGCTGCCCCCACCATCTGCGAGTCGCCAGAATGTGTACATGCGGCTTCCGAGATTCTCTACAACTTGGATCCGAACTACACGGAGATCGATCCCTGCACTGACTTCGATAGATATGTTTGTGGGGGATGGAGAGAACGACATGATATGCGTCCTGACCAGGGGTCTATATTTGCTGGAACCATTATGGCAGAGAATGCCCAAGCCCGACTCCGTCATATCTTAGAGTCAGAGGTATTCAAACATCCTGAAGAGTCGTCACCCGACTCGGATAACTTTAAGAAACTGATGATGGCGTACGATGCTTGCATGGATGAATATACTGTCAAGCAAAGAGGCACAACGCCCCTAGAAGATGTTTTGGCTCGTCTAGAAGAGACCTACTCTATAGGCTCCGCGTTTGCTGAAGACCCCAAGGACAACTTGACAAATGCAATATCGTACCTTGCGGGAATTGGCGTTAGAGCACTCGTTGGTTTTGATATTGGGGTAAGAGAGGCCCTCTTCTGAATACCTAAGCTCATCACTAACCTCAGAAGCCTGATGATCGTAACCCAGACTCAGTTGTAATCTTCCTCACTCCACTCAATGCGATTGGACTTCCAGCAAGAGAGTACTATAACAACTCGGAAATTGTGACAGACTATACCGAAGTAGCCAAGAAGGTCCTCCAAGACTTCAGCGATACCAAATTCCATCATCTGATTAAGGATGTTGTTTCCTTTGAGGGAAAACTTGCAAATGTCACCCCAAACACGGAAACTCAGGAAGATGTCACAAAATACTATAATCCATTGACTATAAAGGAGACCCAGAAGTTGGTCCCACAAATTTCTTTTGCTGATATTATATCATCACTGGCACCGTCTGGTTATGAAGATGATCGTGTGATAGTAGGCTCGCCCTCCTACATGAAATCGTTGTCGAATATTCTGAGCGAGACATCCAGAGAGACAATCCAGTTATTTTTCAAGTGGAAGGCAATTCAAAGATATGCATATGCTATCGAAGATCCCAAAGTCGAGCCGATACAAAAGTTCCTCAATCGCCTTGCAGGAAAGGATCCGCAAGCGTCCGAAGAGCGATGGAGAAAATGCATCAAGTCGTTGGATCGAGGTCTCGGTTGGAGCCTGAGTCGGTTCTATATTCTCGACTCTTTTTCGGAAGATTCTAAAAAACTCGGGGATCAAATTGTGTCTGACATCAAGGAGCGATTCATCTTCACCTTGGACCAGACATTTTGGATGTCTCCAGAAGTACGGAAGCTAGCCAAAGAAAAGGTTGCGAATATCGTTCAGAAGATAGGGTATCCTACCAAGAGCCCCAACGTGGGCGATCCCGAAGACGTGAAACAATATTACGAAGATCTGAAGATATCAAACGAAACATTCTTCGAAAACGAGTTAGCCAGCACGAGATTTAATATCCACAGGGAGTGGTCAAAGTTGGGAAAGCCAACAGACCGTGACGAGTGGGAGATGACCACGCCAACCGTTAATGCCTACTACAAGGGCCCCGGAAACGAGATCGCTTTCCTTGCTGGAATCATGCAGCCGCCGGTATTTTACGGGCGCCGTGCTCCCTTGTATATGTCTTACGGACCTTTTGGTTCAGTGAGCGGACATGAGCTTTCCCACGGTAAGTCAATTGAAATAAGGATTTGTTACCAAGAGTTTTGACTTACCATTACACATTGCTTCCAGCATTCGATTCAACCGGCAGGCATTATGACCAAACGGGGAATTATACGAACTGGTGGGATGACAAGACAGTCGAAGCCTTTAAAGAGCGGGCACAATGCTTCGTCGATCAATACTCAAACTTTACTGTAAACGGAACTAAACCAGAACCTCTCCATGTAAGCGGACGTCTCACCCTGGGCGAGAATATTGCGGACGCAGGTGGAATCTCGGCCGCATTCCACGCTTGGAAGAAGCACGATGAGGCCTCCCCAGACCCTCACCTTCCAGGACTTACATCCTTTAGCAAGGAACAGCTCTTTTTCATTGCGTACGGAAATTGGTGGTGCAGTAAGACGACCAGAGAGGCGGCAGAAGAGGCTATTTATAATGACCCTCATGCTCCTAAGCCTGCGAGGAACAATGTGAGTAACAGTAACCAGCAGTTTTTTTATCGCCCAGTCTATGCCATTCTTCACAATGCTCGACTGTTTACTGATATCAACTTTTAATGTCTTCAAATGTTTTGGGCTAATGCAGTTAATGCCAGGGTACCATGGAAAACTCGAGAGAGTTTAAGGAGGCTTTCAAGTGCCCCATCGTGGAACCCGTCTGCAAACTTTGGTAGCAGGAATTTGTCGTGAATTTGGATCAATGCAGCTTGGGGGTAGACTTTTTGGAAAAGAAAGGACGTTTGTGTGTTTGTGTTGATATGCAAGGGTATGCCTGGTTTGGCCTAAAATGGAGTATTTTCTTTTTCAAAGATTAGGTTACTAGTAGTATACCGTCCGCCCCTTGGTACCTGTTAGGCGCTTTAACCCAGCAATCATGCATGATACTGAAGACAGCTATGTCATGACGTATATAAAGCTTTCATATGGTTCAAATACCCGCTTTCTTTCTTTCGTCCAAGAGACAGAGGAACTTCTCGAGTACCGGAGTTGTCTGAGTATGTAAAGACATAGAGATGAATTGCGGTAGGAAACGGCACTGCAGTGGCAGAGAAGACTGCTACAGATAACAGGGCTCTATTGAGCATAGACACTGCGTATTGACAGTGGATTCATTGTCTTAGACTTGGTGCATGTGCATCTTGCAACTCCCTTGAGATAGATGATATGATGTTAATGTTTAGCTTACTAAGATCAGAACCAGAGCCTTGCTAAGGAACTGATATCTATGGAGGCCATTGCTGCCTGTCCATGAGGTTGAAAGTGCTTTCAAGGCAGTCATGCTCTTCATTCTGGTGAGATATGTGACAATTAGATGGAGGATGCATATCCTATCCTCTCCAAGTCAGCAAACTTATCTTCAGTTAGGTGTTCAACCCACAGTTAACACGCGCAGTGTAAAAGCAAATAGGGCATTCACCTAATCAATACCAGAATGTTCAGCAGTTGTTTATTTATACTTGCTGGACACGATTAGAGGCTAATCTAACTAAAACTCTAACTTGATCCAACACAATTTTTAAGGGTCTGTCGCAGAGGACTGCTTCTCTATTTGCACTGATATCCTATGAGGTTCTGGATATTGAATTGGCAGCCCGACTAGAACCCTATTTACAGGTCCCATAGGTTTGAGATTTCTGTAATGGATATCAAATTGCGCAGCACGCATGTCCTCATATGCTCATCAACATGGAAAAAAAAATTACAGTATGATGGACTTGGTTATTCTCTATTTGGATCGAGTTTCATGAAAGACACGAATCGATCTAGGCCCTGGCATGGAGCAGATTCTTCAGCGGTGAATCGCCAGTGGTGCATTATGCATCTGATGAATCAGTTCTGTCCGTCGAGGTGTCTTACAAATTACGAAAACTCCAGGCGCCACTGATACTGCCTCTAAAGATAGCTACTTTTTCTTTTTTTTTTTTTTTTTTTTTTTTTTTTTTTTTTTTTGCGTAATGACCAAAGCTCAGGATGGAGGCTATGTTGAAATTGAAATTGAAATACCGTGCACGATACTCCTAAATATGTCTGAAACAGCTGGATGTGGATGCAATAACCACCACCACTCCATTTTTTTGTGAAATTGAATATCAGTATTATCGTAGAGACCACTCCGCCCCAAGTAAATACAGTGCAGGATAACAATAGACAAGAGGAAATCAGCTGATCGAAACAGTCCCGACTTGTTGGGCGTCGTTTCCGTAGTTTCGGATGTAATAAAAGAGCCTAGATAGGGCTCTGAGGCCATTTTTAAATTAACATACAGAAGCATGCATATTCCAAAGCCGGTCGAGCCGAAGCCACTAGCCATCGGGCCTTTACGTTTTCTTTTCTTTCTTTATATAATTTAAACCGCCTTTGTGTCTAGACTATATTCTGGAGGACCAGGAATGGAAAAGTAAGCTACTAAAGCAATCAGATGCGGATCTTCCATTGAAAACGGAAGAGAGTGGTGTCTCTAATCATAAATAGCATAATTTCATGTAGAGAAAATTCGGTGAATAGCAACACAAGTTTGATGCAGCTGGCTGCAATGCGGACCGTTTTGTGTTCAGGCCGTGGACAGTAGATACATCAACAAGCTGCAATGCGAGGTAATACATAGATGCTGGACCCCGTGGGGCCCAGAAAAATTGTTAACGCAGCTTGCGTTTTTGGCTCCATTTATGTTCTATTCTTGTGGAAGAGCTGGATTGAGGCCATTCAGAAGACAAGAGACTTGTATGCGTCGTCCAAAAAGCTATCTGAATCAAGAAGAAGCGGCATATTAATATATAACATCCTTATGTCGATTTCAATTTAATGTACGATGCTTAACAGAGGTACCATATCACATCTCACATTAAATGGGGACAGGATCTAGGGTTCACCCTTAGTGATTTCCTCATGTTTTGATCGTCGAACTGGGTACTTCCTATTGGGCTGTAGGGCTCAAAGACAGTCTCCAGTGGGCGCTGCTCACCTCGGCTTCACGCGCCAGTCGATGCTAAAGGTGATGGTTGCCATACTAGTAATGTAACTATCCAGGTAGCCAGCGCAAAAGTACGGAGCCGGACATTACACCGCTGAACTGTGCTCGGGAAATTAAAGCGTTTCGGCGTTAATTTCCACTGTATTTTACTGTGCAGCACTGCCGCTATGAGGTCATCGTGCATGTTGACTCGCTTTTCAGATGTCGAGACTTTCGTTCTCCCTCCCAGTAACTGCTAGCGATGCCGCCTAGCATGCATGATGGATGCCTCTGACCATTGCTTCAGCGTAAACACGGGAATTGGACTGGGGATATGCATAGTACTCTAGCGTATGTACCGAGGTTTTCAACAGTGTTCTAACATCCCAGCATACGGAGTAGTAACAACAACAATAATGTTAACATCCGAGAGTGCTACAGCATTTAACTCAAGAATAGGGGATCTCTCACCATGGTACTGGAGACGAAGCTAAGGTTAGACAATTACAGAACCATGGGGCCCGGTCTGTATTGTACCGCTGAAATACACGTAGATTACCGTCGTTTTCAGCTCCTGCTGCCAATCTACCAATGGGATCTTAGCCGCTTACCGCAACAGTACCGTTGTACCGGGCTGTTGGGAAGGGCCGGACCCGAACTATACCAGTTAGTACTAGCCATGGTAAGCCTTACAAAGTCCCTAGTTCTGGTTAGAACCGCGCCTTCCCCAATTGCAGGTGACACCCTTCCTCTCCCCGTCTGCGTCCCTACTTCCTCTCTCCATCTCGATTCTATCGATACACCATGTCAACCATGGACATCCTCTACCAGTTGTCCTCCTACTAGAACCGGGACGCCCCAATACCCGACCGTTCTACTCGAGTCTGGCCATGTCGTGTTGCAAAAATTCTGCGAACGTTCCCTGCTTGGGTTGCTCGTGTTTGTTTTCGCCGTTTGGTCAATTTGACTCGTATTTGGATTGCTCCCCGTTACTACTCCACGCTTCTAGCTTTGACCTTTCACAGCTGAATAGATCTCACTGCTTCTTTGGATTGAGTGATCAATAGGTCTGCGACGGGTAAGGAGCTGCTTTCTCCTTGAGAGTTCTCCTGCACCTCAACTATGGATTTCCGCCCGACCACCCCCCACCACGCCCCTACCATGTCAGATCCAGTTAATAGTGGCTTATTTCGGATCCAAGATGAACGCAACATTGATCCGAATACTCGTGATGGCGCCGAAGCCGGGTACGTCATGTCAAATTTGCGACGTGCCCACACCGTGGCGCAGGACAGAAATGTGAGCAAACGGAAAGTCGGGGCCAGAAGAACAAGGCAACAACTCGCAGGGGCATTGCTTCGTGCTAAGGACAGTCATGACTTGCTACAACGGCGCTCCTTGAAACGCTATAATACCAATGGAACACCGCGTGATGCATTTGCGGCTGCGAGGGAAGCGAAGAATTTCACGGTAGGGAAAGTCGGTCACAATGGAAGAATGTACCTTAGGTATGTGCCGTCTGTGATATATGAGTGCGTGCGTGCGTGTGTGATGCATGCATGTATGCGACGAACCTCGAATAAGGATCTAACACATCCCCCTCTCAGACCGGTTGTGAGCGTATCCCCCAAGGACCCCGGCTCGCCTCCTGTTGTGTCTCCCTTGTCTGGTCAGCGTAAAGATGAACAACTAAGCCAGAAACCATGCGAACCAATTGAAGATGGCTCGATGAGCTCATCGAGCTCTCAGTTCTCCGAATCCTTAAGAAGGCTTGAAGTCGAAGAAAGCTGTGATGATAACGAGTCTGTCACATCCAATTCCACCCGGTCAGGTCGCGTACATAGTCGCCTTCTCAAAGCACGTTCCTATGCTACTATTCCAGAGCGTCGACCGACATCACATCTGAAGCATCGGGAGGAGCTCCGGATTGTCATCAATCGGCCGGAGGACAGACCAAAGACGGCTGATGGGAACATCCCCTTGTTCCTTGAGGTCCCAATCCCTCATCATAGGCTGGGCACAATCGAATTCAATAGTGAGGGGGACACCGTTCTGCACGATTCTGTTTACACGAGAACATCGGGCTCGGACAATCCTATGCTGTCGACGCCCCTGGGGGAAAACTCGGTAAGCCGACCTTCAGTCTCTCTTAGGGTAAACGCTAGCAGTTCACTGCTGCCGGACCGGCCCTCCTTCATTGAGTCGATGTTCTCTGGTGTGGCTGCTTTGGATCCGAACAGGGGTTCTTCTGGGACTCCAAAACCAGTCTTCTACAAGATGAATGAACCAGTAGTGCCGTCAATATTTGATTCCCTGCTACGAGGCATGAACGAACCGTCCGTCGTTCGATACATCCCGGGAACAAAAAATATCAGTGCTGCCACTCCTGCCCGTATTGTTGCGGAGATCTCGTCGGATTCTTTCATGGACTATGAGCTGGTCTCTGACTTTTTCCTCACTTTTCGCTCCTACCTCTCTCCAAGCGATCTCCTGTCTCTTCTACTTGCCCGTTTACAGTGGGCCATCAACCGCTTGCAAAGCGATGGGAGAATTATCCGTATTCGCACTTTTGCCGCCATCAGACATTGGATATTGAACTACTTTGTGGACGACTTTGTCCCGAACTATGATCTTCAGGTTCAGTTCTGTGACGCCATCAATTCAATGTACGATGACGTTAAGAACCGGGAAGATATGAATACAAGCGATCTCAAAATACTACTTGATCTCAAGCGATGTTGGCACGGCAGATGCGCCGTATACTGGGATATTCCAAACGCATTTCTCTATGATGATCCAGATACTGCCATTATCCCCGGTGGTCCAGTAGACGGGCAAGCCGATGATAATGATATCGATGGAATGCATCACGAATCCTTCGTTTATCCCGACATACCAACTACAGCTCCTAGTTTTCTACCAACAGTTCCTGGGAATGATGAAACTGGCGAACACTTCCGAAAACCCTCTTCAGCAACAGCAAGAAGTATACCTATTTCGATAAGCAGCGACCAAAGCATACATGCAGCCTCCTGTTCATTGCCCCCCAAATCCGCTAGACGTTGGTCTGGGCTCAACCGAGGCAGGGCACCCCATCTGGTGCCTCTTGTACCTCCGAGGTTTACATCTGGCACAAAAGACCATCCTCCTTGTTCGCCCGTCACCCCACGGAGCCGTCCAACCTATGGCCATGCACACAAGCGCAGTGGAAGCTTTTCCGATTCCGCACGAGTCGATTGGGTGCCCCAGGACCAGCAGTATCTTGCCTCAGCGTTGGAGCTACCGAATCTCGGGAGCCTAATACGTGGGGATCTATACCCACCAGCGGAGTCCTACGCGACGTTAATGGCACCACCTTCACCCTCTGTGCCTGTGGATGCTGCTACCGGCCGGCAACGTGACTCGAATGAGAATTCCAAGCCTGCCTCCTTCTCATCCCTCGGTGTGAAGACAATAATAGGGTCTATCCGTCGAGTTCTTCAAAGTAAAAATGGCGGTCAGAATCCCGAGTCGCGGGGCGGAAGTGCGTCGCTACGGCCGTCAATGAGAGGCAAGACGTCCGCTTTGCCTGCGAATCTTGCCTTCGGATCCCGGCTCTATCGAGATAGAAAGGCATCGCTGCCATCACAGAAGGGAGTCAAAATCGATATCCTCTGTGATCAAGTACTCAGGCAATATCGTCTTGCCGTAGCGGGCCAACGGGATGGTGAGAACACTTGGCCAAACGCGGGTGTAAATACCCAATTTCGATTATCACTGTTTGAACCCGAACGAGATGTCGGCCTTGCGACTCAGGTCTCCGGGTTCCGTCAGCCAAGGTTAGACAGCCGGTTGACTGCAGGAAGTGAGTCCATTCTCATAATGGACGACACAGGCATGGGCGCTCCTTACATGTCCGGAGCTCACGCTGCTCCCGGACCTAAAAACGAGACGAACTCTTCCAGAGGTGTATCTTTGGGCCTCGGAGTCTCGATACGACCGGAAGATAGCCGTACCTCTTTCCCAATCTACTACGATAATACCCCCCCTAGGCAACTAGTTCCCGCTCTCTCCGAACCTGATTCCACAGTTCAAAGGCGATCGTATTCCGTTGGATGGAGGTCCGGATTTCGCAAAAGCGTATCTCCCTCAGTTCGCCTACGGAAGTATGCTTCTTTTCAAAGTGGTGTTTCAAAGCAACAACGCCACACTCTGCACAGTGAGATAGTGTCATCTGAGGTCGAAAGGGTGGATCCCGGTCAAGAAGATCCAGGCAAGCCTTTCAGCCGGATGCTCCGTCGGCGGCCTGGCGGTGATTTAAGAAGAATGCGAGACAATGGATCATACAATTCCGGTGTCTCGCATCGCAGTTTCACTACCACTACTACACAGAGTAGACATGGTTCCATGTCCGAGGCGTCCATCCACCCTACTCCTAACCGATTTTCACTCATAGAGACAGGCTCGTCTCAGAATATGCGGCCCTCGTTTGAGGAGGCCATTGCGCAGTTTGCCCAGATCCCCGACGATGAAGACGGCGGCATCGAATCGACGTTGCTCAAGCTCGAAGGCAAATGGAAACGTCAATCCGATGATCACTCTGGAAACACCAGAGACCCTGAAAATGACGATTTACAGTCTCATGTCAACGGGAATGAGCGCTTGTGGGAGCAGCGGCAATCGTTCCATAGTGGCCATCGCTTTTATGGCCGGAGTACATATAGCAGCTGGGATGACGGCTCTGTGCGTCGCGAAACGGTTGTTGGTAATCATGGCGTGTACTCACAAATTGGGGGAATGTTAGCACCTCCTCGGCCGTACTCTGAATCCATTATGGGGTCAGAAGATTCGTATTGTCCTATACCACTTCTTGAGCGAGGCTTGAGCGATGACTCTATGAAGAAGCCCAATTTCAGCCGGCTATTCTCCAATGCTCCAGCAATGTCACCCCCTCGGCAAAGCGAAGATATGCACCGAGGTGCATCCGAACTGGAATCACCTCATGCATCTTTTGACCTGGTCAGGGTTACCGACAGTCTAAAAGCCATTCCTCGAGGATCCACGTTTCCTTCCAACCCTTCTGGAAATTCGAAGCGGTCGTCGGATGCTTCGGTCGATGTTATAGATCCGTGCGAGGCTGTGGGCGAAGGACGGTCAACAGCAGACTTGAGCCTTAGCGAGTTGAATTTTGAGATCCCATCTCACCCACTTGCGCACCCACCTTCTCCCCCATTGACCATTCAAAACTCCACAACTCCACGTAACACGACTCTGAATCCGGTCGCATTCCAGGCGCCGCCGCTCACCCCTGACCCCTCTCCACATTATGGTGGTAAACAAGAAGGCGACGATGAGCGGTCTCGAGACATCCAGCATGTCTCCAGCGACGTCCTTATGAGGTCTGAGACGGATAATGGACAGAGGTACTTTCTGGCAGCACCAGAAGTTGAACATGTGCCCTTTGTTCTCGCTTGTGAATCAACCGTCCTTGCTCAGCAACTGACATTGGTGGAGATGGCCGCACTGAGTGAGATTGACTGGAGGGACTTGGTTGATCTGAAATGGAGCAGCGGGACCCCATGCACGTCGAGCTGGGTCCAATTTCTTTCTGAGGAGCGCAGGGGTATCGACCTGGTGGTGGGACGCTTTAACCTTATGGTGAAGTGGGTGCAGTCGCAAGTTGTCCTTACCGAGGACATCGACGAACGGGCACGGACAATTGTCAAATTCATCCACACTGCAGCACATGCAAGGAGCATCTGCAATTACGCAACGACGCTGCAGATCTGCATCGCTTTGTCCTCGACCGATTGTTCCAGGCTTCAGAAAACGTGGGCGCTCGTGCCAGCCAAAGACAAACGCCTTCTCAGGGATATGGAGGCTTTAATCCAGCCTGTTCGTAATTTCCATGATCTCCGTGTGGAAATGGAAACGGCCAATTTGCAGGAGGGCTGCATACCCTTCGTTGGTAAGCTTTGTGAAACTCATCCCCCTATTTGGTTCGCCTGCGCAGTTTTGACTAACCGGTTATTTCATATAGGCCTTTACGTACACGATCTCACGTACAATGCGCAGAAACCTGTGCAGATTGCGACCACCCGTGACGCAGAGCCTTTGGTAAATTTCGAACGATATCGTCGAACAGCCAGAATCGTCAAGAGCCTCCTTCGACTGATTGATGCCAGCAACAAATATAATTTTGAGCCGGTACCGGGAATTATCGAGCGGTGTCTTTGGATTGCTTCCCTCTCCGATGCGGAGATCCGCGCTCGAAGCAAGAAGTTGGCATGAGATTCTGGTTGCTATCGCCCTCCTGCTGATCATGGTGAGCGAGGGCTGTCCATAACCACGATCCTGGGAACAGCTCCCGCCGCAGTGCTATGCTGTTCCTTCACATGTAAATATCGTTGTATTTGTTTTTGGTTTGGTTCCTGGTGCTTCTTTTTTTACAAACGATGTATAGTGGTGCTATGCATAGCGAGCGAGTATATAACCTTGATACCTGATATATCACACATTGCGTCATGCATTTGTCTGCAGCGGGGTCTTTATTGAATTTAACTGGAGTGATTTATTCATGCGAACAGAATGCAAATTAATTTTCGGTAGAAAAGAAAAGAGAGAAGGGAGACACTGGAAGCAAAAAAGGCGTCACCAAAGAATCGGAACCTGCATGATTAGGCGGCCTTGATAGACGTACAGGCCAAGCCAACCATCCCAGGCATTAATTAACTGTCTCCATATCCCACTCCATATCCACCCATACGGACACGCCTACAATCTCATTCTTGTCCAACGGGGGAAATAAAGGAAGGAAAGCCGAAGCAGAGACTCCAAGGAATCAGTCACCTTCTTTTAGATATCTCAAATAGTCTCCCCTCATGGAGCTTCTGATGCGCCGTTCTCTCGTCAACTTCTGATGTCCCTCCTTTCACTGGTCTTCCATACCACCCTGCAATCGTCGCACGTCAGATTACTCCCATCTACCCTATTCCTACCACACCTGGCATGATGGATGGAGGAGATAGTACCCATGCAAGAAACTCAGAGGAGATGGGCCACAATGGCACCGCAGAAGCCGCAGCTGAATCTCCTGGGATGAACAACTCAACAGCTCCCGCGAGAGAGCTTCCAGACGACTTGCCAAAGTCTCTGGACGATCGTCGATCAATACCGGCTTTTCAACCAGAAACTGAGATGTATGATGCATGGCAAGGTTCGGATTTCTATCCCTTTTTCTCCTTCCCTGTCCGACGCAGAATTAAGGAGGACAGAAACAAAAGAATCCAATGCTGATAGACAAGTGTGATGCCCTTTATTCTATAGGCCAATCTCAATTCCTCACCACTCCCTTGACTGCGAAACCCTTAAGTTTCAATCTAGCGCTTGACGAACACTCGCACGACTATGAAAACTACTCCTCCCGCGCCTTTCCCGGCGACGATAATGAATCTACAACCACTGCTCGGATCGAGGATAGCGATGCTCGGCTAATGGAGATGCTGGCTGCGCAAGCTGCTCACCGAGAAGTGGACTCTTTAGCTGCAGATGAAGACAGTATTGCTACTGATGAGAAGTTGACGGATGCCGAGAAGAGGGATATCCTGCAGAGAAGTCTAAATATGGCTGCTAGCAATGGTGATATGGCACGTGTGCAGAAGTTGCTTGGGGGTAAAGCAAAGGAATATGTTGATGTGAATATGCCAGATGAGGAGGGCACAGTGCCATTGATCTATGCTAGTTGCTTTGTGCGTATTTGCCTTTCTCTTTGATCAACCAACAGAACCCCATTTCTAACCTCTAACTAGGGCCATCAAGATGTTGTATCCGCCCTTCTGGATGCCGGGGCTTTTGTTGATAAACAGGACCGCAATCAATGGAGTGCCCTTATGTGGGCGATGACAAACCGGCACAAAGCGATCGCGAAGATTCTTCTGGACCATGGAGCCTCTCCGGATATCAAGTCATCGTCTGGTGGTACGGCGTTTGACTTTGCTCAACCGGGGAGCGAGATTTCCGAATACCTTCATCAAAACGGCTATCATCTTGGGCCCAGTACTATTGAAGATGACTTCTACGACAATGGATTTGGACCCGGTCGTTTCGAAGAGGAAATAGCGGAGAACGAGATGAAACGGCGGATGATGATGGAAGAAAGTGCGATTAACTTGGAGGTTGACTTGTCGAGTCTTGGGCTTGATGAGAAATTGGACGTAAGTCGGCTACTTTTGCCTCTTTCCCCCGACAAGGTGGGCGGCTTTCGCTTACATCTATGTTTTTGAAATAGTTAGATGAGGAAGAATTTGAAGAAGAGCAACAAGAATTTGTTTGGGATCGATGCTTGAACGACCAGATGTTTGTCTTTCAGGAAAACGAGCTCGGTCGGATATTGGATATCATCATCACTAATATGACACCGCAGCGATCGCCATCTCAAAAGCCAGTACCCGCCAACCTTCTTTTCCTTAGTGCACGCTATGCACATTATCATGCGAGTCCTGAGTTACTTGAGAAGCTCCTGATCACTGCAGCTGATAAGATCAACGATGTCGTCGAACGGCATCAGTGGGACATGACTATATTAGCATTCTGGATGTCGAACGCAACCCTGCTACTCCACTACCTCAAGAAGGATCCCGGATTGCTGGAGGCGACGGTGGAATTTCAATTGCACCTTGCGGAATTGATTCAGGAAATTTTCATTCTTATTATCCGAGATGCTGAGCGAAGGATTAACAAGGTCCTAGATGAAGCGATGCTGGACCATGAGACAATTCCCGGTCTCGAAGATGTTCACTTCCAGAACGAGTGGAAGATCTTCCGGTCAAAGTCGAAGGCAAAGCCCCCGGAGCCGGCAGAGAAGCGTTTTCGGCCGCCATCACCGAGACGCAGAGCTCAAATTTCACCCCGAAATGTTACCTCTTTACTATCATCAACGCTCTTCGTGCTAGACCTTTATGACGTGCACTCAGTCATCACAACGCAGATTCTTTCACAGCTCTTCTACTGGCTTGGCGCAGAGCTTTTCAATCGGATCATGACCAACAAACGATACCTTGCGCGGACTAAGGCGATGCAGATTCGAATGAACGTGTCGACATTGGAGGACTGGGCACGGGCAAATAACCGCCAACCGGAACACTATGAAAACGGATCCACCACATGCACAGGAGAGGGCATCATGGATACAGCCCGTAGACATCTTGCCCCTGTGATCCAGCTGCTCCAGTGGCTGCAGTGCTTCTCATCACTCGGAGATGACTTCGAATCTCTCGTTACTACTTTGTTACAGCTACAGCAGCTGACTCCAGCGCAACTTCTACACGCCGTAAAGTCATATCGACCGGAGGTGGGAGAGAAGGGTCTCACAAAGGCAGCAACGAAATTTCTCATTGACCTCCAGCGGGATCCCAACCTCCTATATCAGGCGCAGTGGAAATTGGACATGGAAGAACAGAAGAAGAAGGGTGTATCGGAAACCGAAGTACCCAACTCGCCGACGGAAACGCAACAGCAACAGCCGACATCACCAGTACAACAAAAACACATACCACCCACACCCGAAACTCCGCGAACGCCGAATCCCCCCACCACCAACCCCCTCTCACCTGCATCCGTATCATCGACACGCCCAGCCTCATGGACGAAACTCGACATGGACTCCACGAGCGTGTATCTAGACCCGTCTCTCACACTGCCCTTCTCCCTACCGACTAGCACAGACATGCTGATCAGCTACGGCGCTGGATGGGGCGGCACTAACCGGGAACGAGCCCGAAAATACATCCCTACTGTTCCACCGGAGGTGCTGAGCAGATTTGATCGGTGAAAAGAACCGATCAGGGGTGATTACAGGACGGAGTAAGGGGGCTTCGTAATTCATTTACCGAGGTTGAGCGATACCCTTGTCTGTTGAACTAGTTGCATTGAATTGACTTGACTTGAATTGCATTGCATTGGTTCGGGTTGGATCTAGATGGGAGGAGATGATTTGCTACATTTGCATGGTTTGTACATATGAATCTGCGTGGATCTTAATGGTGGTCTTTTCCCACATGCACGTGAATAAATAGCGGAGGTCGTCTAGAAGAACGCCCAGCTATGCAGGAAGAGTGTATCTTGCATACCCTCTTTTACTCTGGAAGGGAAGCGAAAGCGCCGACTGCTGCAGGGAATCGATAATTAACATAGTACATGATAGATGGAATGTGGGAAGGACCCCCTCTGTACGAATCAGGCAAGCTAAGCGAAGTCCAGCACCTGGGTGCCCTTTTTGGAGACTGCACGGCTCCACTTGCAGCACTACTAGTGACGATGAAAGAAAGAAAGAATAAACCGTGTCGGAGGAGTAACATGTACTCCGTACGCAGATATGACATAGAACAAGCCGATTATTGCTTCTGTTTTAAAGTTTCTGCGGGTCCTTCCCGATCAGGGCTAGCGCGCGGGCTCCCGACCTGCCGTTTTGGGGAAATTGTCCTTGTGGTTTTTGTCAACGGATTTCCTGTTTGGGCGATGCTCCTGTCCTGGGTTTTGCGGCGTAGTAGTAGTACGCTGGAGATATTATTATTATTATTATTGTTGTTGTTGTTTTTTATTATACAGAGGGCGCACTGCATTAATTCTAATTACTTGTTCGCTTCTGATTGCTGCCCTTGTTGTTTTGTTTTCCATTGGCCGTCCTGCGGTTGCGGTTGCGGATGATCAGCCTTGCATCCGTCAGTATCATAATATTATATGAATCCAATTCCAGACTCATACCATACCATACTACTCCTGAGGAACCCAATACTGTACTTCCCCACTGCCTCCTCCCTGGTTAAGAGGCTGTCAGGGACTTCTTCCTTCACTGCCTTGACATCCCCTGCTGGTTAGTGCTTTCCCTACGATGCTGCTCACCTTGAAGCCCTTCGTCCAGAACGGTGTGAAAAGCCTCTATGAATATTCCGCTATTCGACCATCCATGCCAACTCCACAGTCTTCCCCGCGACAGGGCCCCCCTGATCGCTCCTCCACTATTGCAAGTGCAACACCTTCCCAGCCGTCATCAGATTCTTCCGTGAGCTCATCCGACAAGCCATGCCCTCAGACGCCATCAATGATTCTCCCGCCACTTGATGCTGGCCGTCCCACCTCGGCCACAACTGCTCCAGGCAGCCAGCTTCCCCCACCCCCGCTTCAATGGCAAAACGCGGATGAGACAATGCGACTGTGGCTTCAGGCAAAATCAGAGGAGGATCGGAGAAGACAGGAAGAGGAGAAGACGCGGCAAGAGTCACTGCGGTTGGAACGTCGTAAGATCGAATGCAGCATGCTCCAGAGATCCCTCGAAGCCGGAGTTCCATTGCATATCATCCCGCTGATCTTCACGGAGACTTGCGGAGGACCCAATGGCAATAATAGCCTGTTGCAATTGATCCCGGAGTTTTCACCCGCCAGTGGTCGGGCTCCGAATCGTGCCCCGTCGTTTTCAATACCGCGGAGCCGACAAGATTCGTGGCCTAACACGTCGCCCCCTTCATATGCGACACCACCACCACTGACACAGCAGCAGCAACAGTTACCACCATTGCGATCGCACAGAGCTTCTGAACTTGCTCCGCCTGTACCTATTGAACCGTTCGGATGCTTTTCATCAGGCGACCCTACAAACCCTTCAACACATAATCCATCTCGGAGTGAAATCGTTGGAGTCCCCGGGCAAGATATGCCTATGAACTCAGACACTGCCCAGCACCCTCTGAGATCCTCATTACCACTTCCACAGCCACAATCGGTTTCCATGAAGTCGGAAATCAAAACCCCGAAAATCTCACCAGCCATCCATTTCCAGCACTGGGTTCCGCCTGATCGAGTGCCTTCCAATGGTAGGCAACGAAAGGAGGCCTCTTCTCACTTTCATTCGCGTCGGACATCGCTTGGACAGAAAAGGAAGTCTGAAGAGCCTCATCAACCCGTTCCTCCGCCGTCATCCTTTTCATGAAGCATTCAGAACCAAATCAGGAGTACCGTCTACTAGAATAGCAATAACAGTAGTGACAGCAACTAGTCGAAGCTAGTTGGCTATCTCATCTCGTCAGTGATGCCAGTGCCATCTTTCATGCCGCCCCACTCGAGAAGTGCATTGGACAAGCCTGGTGCAATTGACTCCGACGGAAGACAGACGTGAATACCAAGAGACTGGCTTGTGAACGGCCCAAGAGGGAGAAGGAAATATGGTTCCATGAAAACCAAGGAATATGATCCTACCTTACCGGGTCCTCTACCCAATCAAACCTGTGAAAAACCACATTTTATTGATAGGTACATCCATTGAAAACTTATTGCCGCCTCCAGTATTCCTGGAAATGAGACCACTGAAATATAACGATGCTCATGCGCACATATGCAGTCATTACAGTGCAACCCCTTGATTTAGAACATGGAGTCAAGAGGACCCGTCTATTCAGTGAACCTGGAAAAAGACCAGGCAGATGGAGAATAAATACCGATTCCCCACAAGGACCTCATGTATGCCACTATGCAGCCTGTTTATCCCATCATCACAGAGATTTTCCCCTTCTGGATGACACCACTTTCATGAGGGTACTCAGGGTGATGCTCAGTGCGTATTTCTCATCAGGGTCTGCTTAGTGTTCAATCACGTGACAGCATGAGCTGCGGGTAACTGGATCGGGTATCAGCTCGGCGCAGGCCGGAGAAACCTCGCCCCAGGTAGAGAATTTCTGACTAAGCTCTCCACCTGGGCTGAGCTTTCGCTTAACTTATGCTAGGCTTATTCTCCCACCATTACTATGCTCCGAATACCATACCCAATCCCGACCCTTTCAACGGCGAATATCTCCACAACAAACATGATTTTACGGTCGGACTTTTGATAAAATTAGAGCTTATATATTTATATAGCTAGCGTCTTTATTTTTTAGCAAAATATAGAGAATTGGTGGCTGCTAATGAGTTGGATAGTAGCAGGGGTCAAGGGTTGAGCAGGGAGATGTCGCCATTCTGTCACGCATAGGTTCGCGTATGTTCTGTGTATGCAACACGATGTAACACAGAAAATACGTGTATATGTGCGTGACAGAATGGTGACCGCGTAGCTAGGTAAGTACCTATGCTGTGAACCTGAAAATTTATGCATGGACTCTTATTGGTGCATACTTTACATAAAAGTTCAGCCCAGGTAGAGAATTTGCACTGCATAGGCTTGGCATAGGTAGAAAATCTCTACCTGTGCCGAGCATTTCTTCCGTTCCGGGCTCTACCTGGGGCGAGGTTTCTCCGACCTGCGCCGAGCTGCTAACCCTAATTGGATTAACCATCGCCCATTGAATTCAAAGTATCTTCGCCGACTGTCAGGCGCAGTCGGAGCCCGTGTATGACATGTATGTAAGCTTGAATGTCGATGAGCAAGATCTGTTGATTAAGGATGAGGAATTCCGGAGCTGGTTTGACATCCTTTGACTGCTCTAGAGTATTATTTATTGTGGTTCATATTGGAATATCATCCCAGGCTGCCAGGTTGTGTATCAATCCCTATACATATATCTGTGCTCCAAGGTTTAGAGCATAGGCGTAGGCCATACATAAGACAAGAAAAAGAGAGAAAAAAAAACATGCAACAGCCGGGATTCGCTGGTGGTCACCCACCCAACTACTAACCGGCCGGCGTGTGGCTTAAGTACGGCTGAGCGGACGGGAAGCCCTGTTTTCCACACCCTGTGGTCGCATGTACCTGTCCTTTAATTGAAATGGACTATATGGGACTAACTTCCTATGTAAAAGAAGTAAATATCATTTTTAGACGCCTATATCAGTGGGCGTGTTAATGGCCCTCCAGCAGGGGCGGAGGTGACCGTCGCGATGAATGAGATCGTGTGGGAAAGGCGAGGAGCACACCCAGGGAAGAATGGTGCCGTACCCGTAGGCTACATCATGGGCCTGGCAAATGCGCCATGGTCGCCTTTCTGCAGGCTGCGTAAGACCAGGTTCTCCCGGAACATATATACTCCGTATCCCGTATCCCGGAGCTGGATTATTAGATAATCCACCTGTCCGAAATAACTTTACTATATCCTCATCAGAAGAGAAGTATCCTGGATATCTTAGGAAAGAGGAATTAATTGCTTGGTAGAGAAGAAGCATGCTGCGTGTTCGATACGACAATGTACTCCATGCATGATTACTTGGAAACGGGATGACTTGTCCTTTGCCAGCTTTATGACGTCCTGCCAGCTGTTGCAGTCGTCTTCTCGTACACAGTACAATGGCCAAGTGTTCCGACCCACGTAAAAGCCAAAGTCACAATGTTACAATTAATTAGATCAAATAAAATATAAGTAGTATAAAGTACACGTTGACAAATTCATGCATAGGATCAAGTTCTTCTGAGGCGATTTGTCGATCTGAGATGGTATGGTATGGATGGATGGATGGAATGGGTGGGAATGTTCAAGAGGATATAAAAGGGATTAGGTATGAACTCGCGAATGGATAATAACAATAAAATAATAAAATAATAGCAACAATGATATGTAATAAGGAGGTGTATACGTTAAGGCTGCTGATATGCTTTTTCAACTCGATTCGGCTAAAATGTCCAGGTAATGAAGGGCGATGGTGAGAACACGAAGGAGAAGAAAAAGCAACATACACATTGATAGATAATAAAAATTTCCGGCCTATCGAGGCTGGTTGTGGGGTATCACTGGTTTGTAGGTGGATCGAAAACAATCCAGCATGAGAAAGAGACAAAAGAGAAAAATTAGGAGAAAAAGGAAAAAGAGAAAAGAAGGAAGGAGGAAGAAAAGGGTGGAGGGAAAAAAAAAGGGGGGGGAAGAAAAGGCGATATCAATGACTTCAAAGAGTACGGAACTGCTCATACCAAACCTGCTTTTTTCCGGTGATGGACTTTCCATTCCGCTCTAGCGACTCGCATGAACAACTCCACGTCCTTGATAGGCACCCAGCTAGTCAGGACCTTCATGGCGTTCTCAAAGTCCGATTCGAGAATGATATCCCGCATGCCATCGATGAGAGCAGCAGAGGTAGCATGAAGAACGTCCAAACCAACACCGAACGTGCTTGTCTTCGAATGATGTGACGTAGACTTGGGCTTCGAGTGCTTGTGGTGCATTCGCGACGTGACAGGATCTTCAGCATCTCCGAGGAGCATGAACACGTCCCATACACGAAGTTGCGCCGGGAACGGAATTGAATAATTGAAGAGGGTTAGATACCAACGGGTCCCATACGAAGTGGGTGGGATACCGAGTTCATTCTGGCCACGCAACGCCACCAAGTCAGCAATTTCGTCCAGTTGAATATAAATTTGAACGAGGCCGGGGAAAAGGCAAAGTAGAACTCCTACTTACCAACTTGGCGGCAACCTCTCCCTTTTCCAACCACTCTCTTTCAAAGTCATCCAAAGCTTCCATGAGACCCGCAAAGCCGGACTTGTATAGCTGTTCCAGCCCTCTTAGCTGCCACAACCGAACGAGCATGATGAAGGTATGTTCCTCATCGTAATAAGCCAGAAGCGTGGCTGCTAAGGCTGCCATTCCTTGAACATATCCGGTGTCTGGAAAATACAGGGACATGGCATGCAGCACGCGGAAGAGCAATCGCTGGCCTCCCCTGTAACGTCTGCGAAACATAATGTGACTGGTGATAGTCCGAGGGACATCAAGGTCGATCTGTACGTCGTCCGGCGACGAAATGTACTGAAATTCGTGAAACGCTTCAATGAGCTCTGCCTCCGTAGGGGAGTTCTGCCGTCGTTTAGCACTAGCCTCCAGGAAGGCATACCAGGCAGTGGCCCGCCACCGATCCGGGATGCCTTTCCATGTCCGTTCAACTAGCTTAGAGCTCTGCGTGTCAAACTCATATGTCGTCCCTCCGCCATCACCGTTTTTCTTCGTGGGTTTGGCCATTTTTGTCCATTTGTCTTCCCTACGCCATTCTTTCTTCCTCATCGAGCGTGTGATCGGCGTATCCTGTGCGTCTTCATCATTGATGACATCAACAGGGGGAGTGAGCATGTCGCTTGCTTCATCTTTGAATTTGCGAGTGCGATTATGCGGCAGATAGTTTGCAGCGAAGCGTAATCGAGACGTAGTGCGCCGCAGCGGAGGACTGTATCCGCTTTGCGACGATGTTGGGCGGACGGCTGTGTCTGATGTCTTTCGTGTTGGGGACAGTCCTGTGAATGGGCGATTGCCCGACGGGGCCGTCGGCGGACGAAGAGAGCGTTTCCGCCGCGGTGTTTGCGAAGCAAGAAGGAGGCTCGTAGAAACTCGCTGAAGTGGATTTGCATCCACGCCATCACTAGAATTCGCTGTTTGTTGGCGGATAAACCCGTATCTGTCCACATCTCCAGCCCTGATATCCTGCCAATATTCTATTCCCCCAGCCAGCTCATAGGCCTCTTTCGGAATAGATACCGGATTGTATTTGATCGAGGATGAGTTGACGCTTTTGGTTTCAGTCTCGCCAGTGCTAGTATCAGCCTCTGCGTTCAGACTGGCCACCTCAGGACCCTCTTCCCACAGCACGCCATTCTCCAGGGCCACAGCCCTCGCCACTTCCTCATCACTCACGTCTTCTATCCCTTTCTCATACATCAACCTGACACGGCGTGACAGCATGTCTTCATCTGCAGAAATAGCTCTCGGAATCAAGCTTGTTCGTCTTGCACAGAGTGAACCTGGCTTGCTGCATGCGGTGTCGGTTCGGCGAACGCCAGTCGCAGCGTCTTTCTGCTCCACCGGCTCAGCAGGTTGTTGTTTAGGCTTTTGTATGAAACTCCCACGATGGGGAAATTCCATAGACTGCATTCCATCAAGAGTAGGCGGTGGTAAGTTGAGTGCGATCGGGTCGAGCTTTTCGTCTTCTGCTTCAGGTGGTGGAGGCGAAACCGCCTTGCGGTCAAAATCACCAGACCGTTTACCCTGTAGACTGCCCCGTATGCGCTCCGACCATCGAGAACTAGGGCGGGACTCTGCGTCGCTGACAACGATACTGGGGATGCTGAGGAGCGATTTCAAACTGAGCGTGGGGTGGTGGCCCTCTGGCAGCGGAGGTTTAACGTCAGTCCCGGTTGAAACGGCCGGCGTTTCACTGGAATGTACTTTTGCATCCACTTGCGATTCGGACGCAGTTTTTGACAACGGACTGTCGGTAGAACAGTCATTGGATGAGCTACATCCATCGGTCGATATGCATTCGGGCATCGTAGGGAACGATGCGACAAGTCGGAGCGGCGAAGGGGCTGTGGCAGCCACCGTTGCCTCGTGAGGATCTGTTTGTGTCGTTGGGCTAGACTCCGACATCGTGACGAGTAGTAGCAACTACGCGGAAATCTTGACAACCATCTAGGATTGTGCGAACATCACCTTCTGGCGCAACGTGCTGTCCTTGTACACTGTGATAGCCGTTGCTCGGAGAAAGGAGGGAGGAGAGGCAAGACGAAGGAGAGATGACGGGTCACTTTGCCGACAGACGAGGACGACTGGTCAAGCGGGCGACTTCAGGCGGCAAATCGAACGTGGCAACGACCAGATGAAGGATAACGGCGAGGAGAGACGAGGAGGAATGGATACCTGGGTCCTGGGTGGGAATTATGGTGGACGACAGCTGTGGACAGGGGCTTGGCAGAAGGCCCAGACATGGATTGTCCATGATATTATCACCGTTACTTCTGCGATCCCAGTGCTAATTATAGTCGGTCTAGCGACGAGAAAACCCAGCACTATTGTCCCTGATCAACACGCGAGAACTCGCTTTAATCCATAGTGGGAAATTCTGACTTCTCCGCAGAACAGACGCCATGCTGCATTGGCCCGTCCATTCGCACCTCAGAGCACGGCTTATTTGGAGGTGGACCTGCCAAGTAGACTTTGTTTATTCTTGGTTACAGGCTGCCGATAGTCTATATTCATTAGGTCTCACTCTTGTTCTCGTTCAGCGGAGACAGTGACGGTGTTGCTGGCGTCACCTTGATTTCTGGGATAATACATGCCAATCTCCTTTGCATCTTCTTCAGCAGCATCCATGAGGAGGCCGTTTCATGACTGATTGCACCGGTAGAAACTGGGAAAAGAAAAGTTTAAATGGCGATCGTCAGTAATTTCCACTTTTTTATTTTAATTTTTCCTCCCTGCCCAACTGGACGCAACAATGCAACGCGGTCTCGGCCCACAAATTAATAAATAAAACAAAGAACCGACGGAAACGTAGCATCTCAATTCTTTCTATCGTATGTAGCGGTTCATGGTGGACCGAGGTAATTGAGCGTAGTGCTTCGTACATGACAGAGACTCCTTAATTGACCAATGCAAACCCTCAAAATGAACAGGGAAGAAACTCCGCAAACCTTTCGCCAACAAACCATCAATAATGCAGCCAACAAAGAGGCACAGGCAAAAGTCCAGCTGGCGCCAAAGAGAAACACAAGGAGAGAAAAGCAAAAAAGAGAGGTGACCGTCAAGTGTCGTCAACGTCAAGAATAGTAGTATCACGTTTCAGCCCGGTAACACAATCTGCTTAGGCCACTGCTGCCGTGTTTATGCCCGACCGGGACGGCTGGCGGGTAGCTCGCCCCGGTTGAACAGGTTCGTCAGGCAGCATCTCGATCTGACGCAGCAAGAAACTTTTCTCGTCTGAGAACTGATCATCATCCGTGCGGTCCTCAAGGAACTTGGGAAGGAATCTCAGGAGTCGGTCTCGATTGTTAATGAGAATCCGCTGCACCGCCACCGACTTGTTCGGATTGGCAACAAAGACCTTTGTTGCCGTCTTTGTCAGCCTGTCGTCCTTGGGCCCTTATACAAAGAAGAGAGATGGGAAACACATACCTTAAAGACATGGAATGCCTCGTATTGCACCATCTTTCGTTCGTCTCTTAGCAGTCTCATGCATAGTTTCAGATTTTCTCCGCTTTCAACGTATGCCATCATTACATTGTAGTTAGCCCGATCCAACAGGATTTCCCCGAGCAATTTGATACTCTGGCGTTTGGTGACATATGAGTCCGACTGGATAAGGACCTGGTTGAAAGTTGCAAAAAAGCGATCGAAGTTGGCTGCTAGGTAGCCGGTAATGACTGATTTATGACGAGTCAGGATATCCTGTCAAGGAGTCAGCTCATGCCAACGATAAACAATGCAGGCATGGCTTGGGACATGCTCACTCTGAAGGTCGCGAACGCGTCGGCGCTCACTTCAAAATTGCCCCGGTCTATCCATTCGAAGAATTTCCAGAAGACGCCTCTTCCATTCTGAGGGACGCCTGGTTGGAGACTCGTAAGTCTGACGGCGGACTCTCCTTCCTTGGATTGGTCATATAGAATGACGGCCGCGATCACGTCAAATTTCAATGCTTCCCGAAGGATGGCACCACAGGGCATCGCGCTATGGCTCACCCCGTATCCTCGGCACAGTTCAACAATAATCTCAGGTCGGCTGCGAACAATGTAAGTGATGACAGGCGGATCCACGCCCGGCGAATTTCCCGATCTAAAACGGAGAACATGCGAGAAGATGGTCTGTGTATCTTTTCTTGACTCGAATGTGAGAAGGTGAATGCTCCGTGAAAGCTCAAAAAGTAAGTCTTCGTTGATCATGGCCTGAATCAGTGTCTGGATTTGATCCGGTGACGACTCAACCTCTGTGCAAAGGCTGCTTGTCAGCGATACTCGAGGCACGTCTACCCGTCTGTTTGTCTGGACGACTGACCCTGTGTTCCCTGCACGATCAATTTCACCTGAGCAATCTGCTTTGAGAGTTCATCTCCAGCCTGCCCATCCACAACCCAAATTTTAGCAAAGCCTCTTTACTGCTGATCGGGTAGGTGATGTCTGCACTGACCTTCGCAGTACCGGGGAATTCTCGCAACCTTAGTAACTGTTCCTTGAGGGATCTGACTGTCTCGGAGGGATGTCGCGAGCGGCCTCGATTAAAGAAGAAGGCCATCCCTGTAGATACTGACGACGCCACGGTGAAGAGTATTGAGACCCAGAAGCCTTAAGACTGGCAGTAGTAGAGCATATGAGAGCTGTGTAGTGGAGCGAAAGAAGGTTTGACACAGGTCGACTACGGTACAATCAGCATAGAGATTGGAAGAAGATGGAGTCGGATAAATAATGAATTACTCTTCTCCTGCAACAGAGTCACTGCAGAGAGAGAGGGAAGCCATGGAGCAGAGGAGAGTTGGCGATGTCCATGTCTGACGATAAGACAGTGGATAAACAAACCACGGGCGGGGCAACCAGAGAGCGGGCCAGAACCCGAACTGGAAATTATCGATCTTTTCCCTCTGGTTCTTCCTCTGCACTCTGTCCATCTTTTCTTGATTTCCACTTCTTTTTTCTTCCTATTATTATCGTCTACGGTTCAAGATACTGAGGAGCCCAATTTGTATTTATCAGAATGCCTCCCTCTTCCGATCATCGTCCTCTAGATGATGTCGCCGATTCGCACTCAACGGCATCTTCAGAAGACTCGCAGGTCAGCAGCGAAGAAGGATGGGAAGATGTGGAGCCAGAAGACGACTCACAGCCTGTCGTGGGCTTGTTTACGGACAAGGTTTACCCTGACGTGCGCTCAATGTTGAGGGAGACTCTTGACAAATTCAGCTTTGATCTTCGCGGGATTCGAAAGGAGCTCGGTGTGTAGTCAAACTTGTCCATTACGTTGTCTTTTATACCTGCGCACTGTCTGTGGAGCGATCTATATATCTCCTGCGTGCAGTTTTATTGTCCTGCGGTGTCATCCAACTAACCGGTTCCTTTCTTGCTGTACTCTATCAGACTTAGATTTCATGGGAACCGTCAAGCTGGTCAACTACATTCGATCTCAGGTCAAGGCTGGAAACATGTCCCCCGATGTATCGTCCAAGGAGGTTTTTGAAGATGATGTCTACCTGAAGCCTGTGCTTGAAGATGACGCTCTTCTATATAGCCTGGATGATGTTGACAGTGAGGGCGATGCGGAAGCAAAGCCATCGGAAACGTCTGGCGCTGCAGGTGCAGAACATCGCATACTGGAACTGCAGGAGGAGCTGGAGCGCCTGCAGGATCAATTCTCCCAGTACAAGATTGCTGTGCAGAGGTCCATGGAGGAGCAATTGTCTAAGGAAGATGAGAAACTGGCATCAGCAGGTCCATCGGCTAAAACTCTAAAGAAGATCGAGGACGCAGACTCCGATTATTTCTCATCTTATTCTTTCAATGGTATGTAATCCTCAGGGGACTACTTTCCTTGGTCGCTACTAACACATTCTCCTTTCGCAGCTATTCATGAGACCATGCTTAAGGACACCGTCCGCACTGATGCCTACCGAGACTTCATCTACGACAACAAGCATCTTTTCAAGGACAAAGTTGTCCTAGATGTAGGATGTGGTACCGGTATCCTTTCGATGTTTTGCGCAAAGGCGGGCGCGAAAATGGTTATCTCTGTCGACAATTCGAATATTATCGATAGGGCTCGGGAGAATGTTTATGAAAATGGCCTTGGCGACGTGATAACGTAAGTATTCAACGCGATTAAGAGCAAGCATCGTTTTCAGACATTGACCTTTCAACTCCAGGTGTATTCGCGGGAAGATAGAGGAGGTCTCTCTTCCCGTGTCGCAAGTCGATATCATCGTCTCCGAGTGGATGGGCTATTGCCTACTCTTCGAGGCAATGTTTGATTCTGTCATTTACGCCAGAGATCGCTACCTAGCTCCTGGTGGCCTGATGGTACCTTCGCATGCTACCCTTCGTATTGCTCCTTTCGCCGACCCCGACTTCATCGCCTCCCACATTTCATTCTGGAACAGTGTCTACGGCTTTAACATGTCGAGCATGCTCACGAATATCTATGATGAGGCGCTCGTCCGTGATATTCCGGCCTCGTCAATTGCTGCTGACTCTGCCGTCTTTGTGCAACTACCATTGCATACCGTCACGGTTGATCAACTATCCTTTTTGACAGACTTCAAAGTTACTCTTAGGCAGGATATTGACTCCCTTGACGGCTGGGCTATCTGGTTTGATATATTCTTCATGCCGTCATGTGAGTCCACAATTCCCGACGATGCTGTTCCCTCTCAAATGAAAAACAAAGGCTTTGTTGCCTTCACCACAGGACCGGATGGTCCCGAGACGCATTGGCAGCAAGGCCTTTTCCTCATTGACCATGGGAAGAACAAGGCTAGTCAATTGAAGAATGGACAAGTGATAACTGGGAGGGTTGGGTACCAGAAGAAGGGAGAGAAATCCCGATCATTGGATATCACAATACAGTGGGATGCACAAACGCGCGAGAAAGGGTCCCAGCATTGGTATCTCCAGTAAGAGGCTCATCAGGAATCTTCTCAAAAGTTCTTCGTTTCTGTTTTTCTTCGTTAAAGCTTTTGGACCACCTCCAAAGTGTTGGGGTTCTGTTTTGCGCGGTAGATAGTTCATAGAGATAGAACTTAGATCGTTGAGCTCAGAATAGGCAATTCGGGTCTCAGACAATAAGAAAGAAGTTTCAGTGTACAGGTCACTTATCAGACTTTTGCTCGCATTTGGGATAGGTTTCAGATTTGCGACGACGCTTAAGATCATCGTGCTGGTCAAGCTTCCGATGATGACGGTGCCGGTGCGGGTGAGAGTGAGAATGATACTTTGAGTGAGGGCGATCGCGACTTCTCTCGCAGCGATGTTGATGAGATCTTTTCTTACGGTCGTTGCCTGCCCGACGTCTATCCGGCGAAGAATCCAGTTTGAATCCTTCGAGGCTATCCATGGACCCGTGTCTCCTGGACCTTGACCGTTTCCGTTCCCTGTGGCTCGACTGCTGACTCTCATTCATCTTCAACGCCTCCAATTCTTTGCTCCTCTCTTCCCTCCATTCTTTTCTTTGTTGCTCGACAGCCTTCAACTGTCGAACACCCCTCTTCATGGCCGCAAGTGGGTCATTGGCATCAAGACGAGCCTTCTCCCTCTCGCGCCTCATAGGATCCTCATTGCCCCAGACATCTTTCTCAGGCATAGGTTCCGGGGCTGTTACTTCAAGTGCAGAAGATGAGTACCACGGTCTCTTGCCCACGGATTGATTGAAACCCGCAGCATTGGAGAATCGCATGGCGTATTGAGCTTCATACTTGCGTTTGTTCCTTTCGGATTCAGCCTCCGCTTCCTCATTCTTTTCTACTGGTTTCCGAGTTGCTTCTGATGGAAAGAGATTGATATGACCTGAGCTATCCACAAGTGGCGCATCGTTTCCGTGGGAGAGAACCAGCTCTCCCCTTTTGGCTAGGGCCTGTGCTGCATCCTCCTTGGCAAACCTGATATCGCGATCCGTGTCATCTTCACCAGCAAGCCGTCTCCGTTTCCTATATCCTGCAGCTTCATCCCTTTCTCTTCTGGTATGTTGATCGACCGGCGGCTGGGATGGTTGCGGGGGTGGTGGGGTGGGAGCTCGTTGGCCGCGTAGGATCTGTATTCGTCGTTCAGCATCCACCTCCTGCATACGACGTTCTTCTTCTTCCTCGCGCGCTTTGGCCTGTGCCTCGTCGCGTCGAACGCGGGCAATGTTCTCTGGATTGTAGACGTTCCATGATTTCTTGCCGAGAAGGTGGCTTGATGGAGATGTCAGCGATGTAGACAAGCATTTTGGGTGGTATATTTACAGTGGCATTTTTTAGCTTGTCCAAGGAATCTCGATTTTGGACCTGCAGAGACATCATACTACCCAGGTAATCGCTCAAGGAGATACTCAAACTGTTCTGCCTGAGCGCCACAGAAGATCCGCGGTCCAGAGCGGAAACTCGGTGGCGGCCCCCCACAAGCGGGCTATGTATGTAAGCTCCAGCTGCCTCCAACTGTCCTCAACACTTCGAACGCTTTCCATCACTCTTTTGTCTCTCAGTACTGACTGCTACCTGACTTGGACTGACCAGTCGACCGTCTCTGACGCTGTAATTGTTCAAAGTCCTGGAATAGTCCATCATTCCAAGTGGCAAGGGTCGACTTTGATCTACTTGACGTTGACTAAGAGCTACCGTTGCCCGCTTTGCGACAGCCATTTTCACTCAGTATTTGCCATTTATCACGGAGGACCATATTTCACAGCCGCGTCTCATCATATACCTGTCCATGAACCACCATGTTTAATCGCGGCAATTTCTCCGTCCCGAACCCCTTTAGCGCTAGACCGGAAAGACGAGATGGCTATTCGAATCCTGGACAGGGACATCCAGTGTACCCTACAAGAGATGCATATGGCAGTTCTGTGACCGGCTCAGGGTATAGCACTTTTCCACATGGCTCTGTAATACTTGGATGACTGACGCTTATTATCTGTCTACTCTAGCGGTTATGGAGCTCCCCAACCACCCCCGCGACCGATGGCCCCTGCTAGAGCCCCTGTTGGAGGAAGACCAGATGGAGGCCAAGTTTGGACGCTGCGCCCTGCCAAAAGCCCGGACAATACCTATACCTTTGGGAATCTGTAAGTGGGTTGATTTGGTGGGTTATTATTTTCGGATGCTGACGGGTTCTAGGGTTGCGGTTTCGACACAGGACTTCCCCCCCACAAGGGACGGTCTCGACATTTTGCTCCTTATAAATGATCTATATGTCTTATCGGCACGGCCTCTTGATGGCTTCCCACCTGGGCACATTAGCATGTCAGACCCCCAGCGGACGTGGGCAGGCGTGGCGTTCACGGATACCGTCAAGGTACAGATCTATGATCCTTTCAGCCAAGGCGGACAAGCCTATCTCGGTTCCACAGATATAGAAGTTGGATTTGCCGGGAAGAAGAGGGTTGAAACCCCGTATGACCAAGATGATCTTGCAAATGTCGTTATTAAGGTTTGTCTCAGGTTTCTATGCCAGGTTACGGCGGCCATGCTAATTTCTAAACAGAACTTTGAAAACCAAATATTTGCCCCCGGACAGAAGATTCTGATGGACCACAGAAGCATTCCGCTTTTGCTGACGGTCAAGACGGTCCAACGGGTCGACTTGACCTCTGAAAAAGCCGATCTTGCGACAGGACGGGTAGAAACAGACCCTGTTGCTCGTGGCATTTTAACACGGCACACTCAGATCAATTTCTTCAAAGATGCAAAAACTGGCATTAACGTGAAAGCCTCGAATCGTCGACCAGCGGCCAATTCCATCATCCAACCAAACTTCAAATTCGAAGATATGGGGATAGGTGGTTTGGATGCGGAATTCAGTACAATCTTCCGCCGTGCTTTTGCATCCCGCATCTTCCCTCCTGGACTAGTCGAAAAGCTGGGTATTGCACACGTGAAGGGTATCCTGCTTTATGGACCTCCTGGAACGGGTAAGACCTTGATTGCTCGGCAGATTGGGAAGATGTTGAATGCACGGGAGCCAAAGATCATCAACGGTCCTGAGGTACTCAACAAGTACGTGGGACAGTCGGAAGAGAACATTAGAAAGCTCTTCGCAGACGCCGAAAAGGAATACAAGGAAAAGGGCGAGGAGAGCGGCCTTCATATCATTATCTTCGATGAACTGGATGCCGTGTGCAAGCAGCGTGGCAGTGGCGCTGCTGGCGGGACGGGTGTGGGCGACAGCGTAGTGAATCAGCTTCTCTCGAAGCTTGATGGTGTGGACCAGCTCAATAACATCCTGCTCATTGGTATGACCAACCGAAAGGACATGATTGATGAAGCTTTACTGCGACCTGGGCGTCTTGAGGTACACATGGAAATCTCGCTTCCAGACGAGAAAGGCAGAGCGCAGATCTTGAAAATTCACACTCAAAAGATGAGGGACAATAACGTTATGGATCGAGATGTTGACCTTGGCGAGCTAGCCGTATTAACGAAGAACTTCTCGGGTGCAGAAATTGCTGGCCTTGTGAAATCGGCGTCGTCTTTCGCATTTACGCGGCACGTCAAGGTTGGCACGATGGCTGGGATCAGCGATGATGTTGTCAATATGAAGGTTAATCGGGCGGATTTCCACCACGCGTTGGAAGAGGTACAGCCCGCATTTGGTGTATCCGAGGAGGAACTTTCAAGCCGTATCCAGTACGGCATCATTCACTACTCCTCTGCGATCAAGGACATCCTCAGGGAAGGAGAGCTATTCGTGAAACAAGTGGCTGATTCGACCCCACTGTTCTCCGTCCTGCTACATGGACCAACTGGCAGCGGCAAGACGGCCCTAGCGGCCCGAATTGCCATTGACTCCGGCTTCCCGTTCATCAAGCTGGTGAGTCCGGAAGACATGGTGGGCTACACCGAAATCGCCAAGGTCCAGCACATCAGCAAGATCTTCGACGATGCGTACAAGAGCCGTACGAGTGTTGTCGTAGTCGATAACATTGAACGCATCATCGATTGGGTCCCGATTGGCCCTCGATTTAGCAACGCCGTTCTACAAACCCTAATGGTCTTCCTTAGAAAACAACCTTCAAAGGGACGCCGACTTTTGATCCTGGCCACTACGACCGAGCGTGCTATCCTGAAACAGCTCGATGTGTACAACTCATTTAATGCGGATCTCATGGTCCCCAACGTCAACACGTATGATGAGCTGAGGCACATATTACAGCAGTCTGGCGCCTTCAATGCCAGTGAGATTTCGGCAGCTCTTGAAGGAATCGGCAGCTTTTTAGATAATAACGCGACGATCGGTGTTGGTGTCAAGAAAGTTTTGCTGGGCATTGAGACAGCGAAGCAAGACCCGGACAAGGTCGGACGGTTTGTTCGTGTTATCAATCGTGCCATTGATGAGGAACGTACCTTTGCATAGAAATACAGTAGTTGTGTATATAGAATGATACTTGGGTCTGGGAGGAATCAATCTATGCTTGTATGATGTTATCTATATTGTTACGACTGCGCAGTTGGGTATGGACATGGTGTCTTAGGTTTGTTTATTGATTGATTATTCATTTGGCATTATCTCCTATCCTCCAATTTAGATCATATCCTCGGTGGAAATATGCAGGAGCGCTTTTCTCAATATTTAGCAATCTTGCCAAATATAAAAGGGTATAATAGCAACTCAGCTTGATACTCAAGTCCTGCAACTTGAAAGTTTCCCGAGTCTGTTCGGCGAATTCACATAAAATCTATTGCCAGAGAGAGAATTCAAGACTCTAATGTAGAATAAACACCCATCTGCCTTCTTTTGAGAGGGTATGTTTTAAGTGCACAGTCAACGCAACAGTTACAGGCCCGCAACAGTTACAGGCCTACAACATGACCCTCATCGCACTGTTGAACTGCAAGCCAGCGAATACTGGGTTGGTCAAGGGTCAAAAGTGTAGTGAATCCTACGCTTGGTCAGGGGAATTGACACAGAATAGAGAGAACTAAGTAGTTAACTTGACTGAGCGAGCGAACTCATTGACTTAGTTAGGGGACAAAACCATGATAGATACATGCGACTTATAACTAGGCAAGCCCCTGACTAATGGAATATCATTATTCCATACCGAGCATCCTAACCATATTCATATCATATATCAAAAAGAAATAACTATAGCTCGAACAGGTAAGTCATCCCCTTCAAGTAGCATCGCATCCACGACTGGGTTTAGATCATAGCCGAGAACTGCAGCAGCATCAGGCCCCAGATTTGTTTGCTTCTGGGTTCTGAAAGAGCTATCTTTATCTCACGACTGCAAGGAGGTGTTGTAAAGGTTCTCCAAAGAGAAAAGAGCATCTCTCCGTAGAATATCATTTCTTCAAGATTCCCGCGCTTTAGCACTTTCTTCCATTCTGTCGTCAGCTCCACAGAGAGGAGCCAGACGTGCTGAAATTCCTGCAGCAGAATTGACCAGTAATCAGTGTCACGAGTAACTCGAGCTACCGCATCAGGTACATAGTGCGGCCCGGTCTCTATCTTCGGCAAAATAGCAGGTATTGGGTTGTTCGTAAAACCTGAGCTATCTCAAATCAAGCACTTTGTTTCTTTGGTTCGTTAATTGGTCGGGATGATTGCATAGTTCACATCCCCATCCTGATAGAGTCCTACAGACCCCATTTCGATATACGCTGTAGGAAGATTTGAGAGGTCAGCCTTGTCGACCGGGTTTACATCCCCCAGGAGGCAATTCCAGCGGCAGATATTGCTCGACCGGGACCGCTGCACATCGTCTGCAATTTTGTGGCTAGAAAGTGTCGACTCCTTTTAACCGACCTAAGGTCAGTAGGGGTAAGGGTCGGTTACTTTGTATAGCTTCGCGATTGCCTAATTAGGGAATATACGTATACGGTCTTAGCATCATATAACGCTGTACATCGCATTTATCCAACAAGCTTGACACCAGCGCGCTGCGCGAAGTAGTTCCGTCGATGTCATCCGGAAGCATGAGGACCCGATCCGGATAGGAATCAAAGTATATCATGAATCTCGAGTCGTCGCGAGTGTACCAGGACACTCGGCTTGCATGCATAAACCTGACCCCCAGCGTGTTGATCAACCTCGACAAGCCCGTCACGCATACTTATCCATTAGGGAGAACTCCAGAGGCGCTAGAGATTGATGCAGATTCCAGCAGAGGAAGAATCAAAGTACAAATTCTCCACGAGTGTTTTATATTCTTCAAATCCAGATATTGAACGGAGAGCGCTCTTTGAACGTAAAGTACTACTAGTATAGAGTTAGAGTTGGCAAGTCCAGGACATACCGTGTCTGCGAAATGTACCTGCCAATTAATCCAGTCTTCTCTATTCCTGGCATCATCGCTCTCATGGAGACAGACTTGTCCATGACAGAAATTCTCTATGGAGGGGCATGGAGTCAAGCAGTGAAGGCCATAAAGTAAATTGCAACCCTTCACTGCGAAGGAAAACTCTTCTGATGCCAGCCCCCCGACTACTTCCTCTCTCGTTCTCTCTCCCCGCCTGTCTCTATCCTCTTCTCCAACTTCTCCCTGTCTTTCTTTCCCTCCTTTACCACTCTCTCGTCTCTACGATCGCTGTATTATTTCTTGTTTCAGACAGAAGAACGATTCTCAATCCCTACTACTCTCATAAGACAAGCCAGGCTTCCGAAGAAAACGAAGCAGATAACACAGAAATGCCTCAGACGCAGCCTCTCAAGGACAAGCCTCTCCATTCCCACCCTGAACCGCTCAAAGACCGATCCAATGTGAGCAATGACACCCTCAAGAGCAGCAGATACGATGGCTTTGTCAAGGGATCTCCCCCAAGGATGCATCGTGGAGCGAAGAAACCGAACGGCAATGGTACTGGTGCTGCAGTTTCCACAGAAACCTTGAGAGGGGCATATGCTGCGACCCGTCTTACTACTGGTGCTGCTAGCAGTATCCCTATTAAGCCGATTTCTGCGGCCAACCCACTTACTACGATTTCTGCTACTACTAGTAGTCCTGCAGCTACGACTGCGAATAGCCCAACTTCTGGTAATATCATTGGAGGACATAGACGACGCCGTTCCTCGTTCTTTGAAGAATGGTCTTCTCCTTTGAGTTCTGTTCGGGGCCCATCTCCCGAGAAGGGTAGACAGAGGAATGCCTCCTCTACTACTAGCCCTTCTCGCAGTTCCGTGGCTTCTGCTGGGGCTCCTGTTGCAGCAGCTTCCAAGACCATTCGTGGCCCTATTTCGAAAGAATTGATCACTGGTATGGCTCCTTTGCCCGCGCCTTCTACGGTTGTTGCGAAGGCTCCTGCTTCTGCTACTTCTGCACCCGGAGCTGCCTCCACTACTCTCAAGACTGTGCCTGCAAAAGCCGCCTCCGTTACTACTAGTACTACTGCTCCCAATACGGCCCGAGGTGCTGCACCCACCGCGGTCTCTTCAGCAGCTCCTGCTGTCCGCTCTTCTCCGGCTCCCAAGCCTAATTGCGCTCCTGATCGAAACATTACATCAGCTACTAGTCCTTCTAGGATCCCGATGTCGAAAACTGCTCCCGTCCCGACCAAAGCTACTGTTACTGCCCCAGCCAGTGCTCTTGATCGTAAGGACGGGGATACCAAAAACTCCTCTCTTCCTCCCAAAGATAGGAAACCTTCCGTGTCAGGGACTACTCGAGGTAAGAGGAATTTCCTTGTATACAACCACCGTTGATAGAAATCTCTAAAACATCTCGATTCTGATACTAACCTTGTCAAAACCAAGGTCGTACAACCGAACCTACTAAGACACCCTCCCCGCCAGCATCTACTGCCAACACGCTGACGAAGAAAGAGCTCAGTCCCGAAAGTAACGAAACTCGCTCGAAACCCGGCATCCCCGAAGGGAGCTACAGAACGCCGAGAGGCTTCATCATAAACAAGATCGAATTGAACCGTCTATCTGGTGGAGTGAAGAATGCGCGCAGAGATACCATTTATTTTCGGGTCAGCTTCCTGGAAGACCCTTGGCAGGGATTGAAGCCTGTCAAGACTGCCTGCTTGGAGCGTTGGTGGTAAGTTTTCAAAGTTTTTCGCCTAGAATGGCACTGACGTTAGTTGCACAGATCTGAGAACATATCGAACTGAACAGATGCGGAAAGATATTATTATTATTATTATTATCATTACGAGGTAAAATGCATGTCTTCCTTTACTTTTGAAAGATATGGCAAATGATTCTTCTGTTGTGTTTCCGTCTTAATGCCGGCGAGCATTCGAAGAAAGGGTACTATAGTCAGTCCATGAACGGCACTGCTTTATCACGATTGATGTCATAAACAGTCGCTGTAACAATAAAAAGCCAATTGAAACTAGCATGGTGGATTGACATCGTCAAATTCATTGGCAAACTGCCGTTAATACGAGTAAATAGTAGTACGGAGAAGATCCACGGTTAATCAAACATCCCTTACTAATTCAAATCTGGTTAAATTAGGGCTTAGGCTTCATGAATCCTGAAACTTGAAATGATCAATAACAATCCTGACAGGAAGGGAATTCCCCTCATCCTGATGGAGTACTAGAGAACATCCTGCATCCTCCTTTATTTAGGCAGACTTACATGCATTGGTTTTGAAAGCCATGATTGTGGGCACGGCACTAACTACTCACCACTGAATGACTCTCTCATACCAGTTATATTACTCTCATGGAGCTATATACTATACAGAAAAGACAAACGCATATACAAAGCTCTAAAGCGAGAAAGAAAAAAAATCGTGAACCGTGTGGCATGGTCCCGCCTAGTTATAGCTAGTCCGGGGGCAACGGCAACAGGAAAGCACTGACTACCTAGGTAGAGCATAACATGACTCTTGAGGGCTCGGGGCACCCACAGAACTGTGCAGGATTAATGAAATGAAATAAAATGCACGTGGGCCTATTTTGGATCAAGGGGGGGAAGACATGCATTGCATACTATACATAGCATCTGGGTCAGCCAGCCGCTTGATCCGATGCCTCAGGGAACAAACATACAATAAGTGCACTACAATTACGCCTTGAATCATATTATGGAAGAAATCTACGTGTATTACGAGCATGAAAGGACAATGGTATTGCTAACAAGACACAGTACAGAAAAGGTCGACAGAAGAAAAGGGGGAAGGAGAAGAAAAAAAGATAATCCACACATCCAAGAATAACGCCTACCCGTCACGGAAATAAGGATACAAGCCTAACCTACCCAGACGATAAACTCAGTCTGTACTGCCGGATATACATATATATAAAATCGTCATCATCGTCATCATGATTACAAACGGTTATGTCACGGTCCCCGGTGGGACGGGAAGTCGAAATTCGGTTTCCTCAGCGTGAGGATCAATAGTCATCGACATACGCGTATTTCTTCGTCGCACGTCGGTACTCGTCAGGGTACGCTTTCTCAGCCTTGGCCTTTAAAGCACTGCAAAAGAACGAAAAATCCCCTAGTCAGTCATAATAATCCTCCGATCGGATTTCCGAGGAGATAGGGAGAAAACCATGGAATCTGGATGAGGGCTCTGGTCACAAGACTGCCAAGAATGCCGGTTTGCCAGCGGAGCGCGGCGGAAGCCCTATTTCCGCTCCGCTGGGCGGAGCCCAGTCCAGACGTCGGCCCTATCATTTGACCCTGGGAGGAACGGAGAACGGGGGAAATCTTACCTCACACGGTTTTGACTCCATTCGAGATCACGTTTAGTCTCTCTTGCGGTCTTGATTCCTTCGTTGAAGCTGGCACGAACGCCTTTCAAGCGTCGTTGGGCCAGAGCTTGCAGTTCCATGAGTTCTCTTTGCTTTGCGTTCAGCTGCCCGGAACTGTTCATAATTCTGGTGAGTACTTTTTGGGGAGGAATTAATTTTAAAAACAAAAAAAGAAAATATCAAAACCGCCAGATATGAAGAAAATGCTTCTTCGAAGAAACTGGATAGGATTGACGTACGCTTGCGCCTGCATTGCTAGGCCCCTGTCCAATGGCGTTGGATCAAAAACATTCTGCATGCGGTCACTCAGAACGTCAACAACGTCGACTCCGGAATACATGGAACTGGACTCGTAATCTCCGCTGGCACTTCCGGAGGAAAAGCTTAAACCAGACGTCCGGCTCCCTCCGGCAGTGCTGCTGTCAGAGATCTCAGGTGGCGAACCAGCTACCCGGGAGATGGGGTAGAGGTTGGCGATTGCAGGAGCCTTGGATGGAACGTTGAGAGGAAGAGTGGCGGGCTGGTAGTACTGATGGTGAGCTGCCATTGCGGTTGTATCTCGGAGACAATGAAGTGGAGGATGATCGAGGAAATGAGACAACGACAGTCAACAACGAGAGTCGGCGGGAGGTCAGATGTCCAGCAAGGATATAAAAGGAGTAAAGAACAATGTGACGAGTCAAGAGGCTTTGTGAAGAAGAGGGTCCGGTATTATGTGTTGAGGACTGAAGAGGGCTGTTGAGGACTGAAGAGGGCGGCCGAGGTCTGTCCGGAGGGCTTGCACGAAGCTGCAGAGAGAAATAAAAAGAGAAGAAGGAGGAAAAGAGTCCCCGGAAGAAGAGAAGGGGCTTTTTATAGCCATGATCGGAGAGTCTTCCATCCGGCGGAAGGGCAATTGAATTGACTTTTGCATCTGTGAGCAGCGTGAGGGCGAGCGGAGGGAGGAGGAGAGGGTGGGAAGCAAAAGCCCTCATCCTCCCTCCTATATCCCCCAATCCCAACCCCCGTATCTGGCTCTGCTGCTTTTCCTCAACCGCAATTCGCTCCCTCCTACGTCCGACCCCGCTCTGCTCGGGAAGAAATGAAAATGAAAAGGAAAAGGAGTGTTATCATCGCTCATCCTCCACTCACACTCCGTTCCGCTTTCCGTACCGCGCGGCCCCGTTTCTCGGTGGCAGAGAGGGAACTTGGATCCCAACTCTCGACCGCGTTTTGGGCACAAAACAATATCCAAAAATTCATTAAAAATAGAAATCGACAGAATGAGATGGGAGGAAGGGGAAACTTGGTCTCAGTCAATTTTTTTGACGCGATTGTGATCCATAGTTCAATACCAGCCGCAGTGGACGCCAAAGGGCCCGTTTCCCTTACTTCGAAGCCCTCTGCATCTAATTATCTTAGACTGCTTCTTTCCGTTTCTCTCCCCATTGCCTCCATGGATGCCTTCTGGAAGCTGGATCTTGCTAATATTTGGGCATTGGGGCAGGAATTGCAACTTATCAACCTTTCACAATGCTGGGGAAAGAGAAAGGAGAGAGGCAAGATGGAACTACAATGAACAACACCATTTCCGGGAATATGACTTGGGATCAGCCGGTGCTGGTATCAAGCTCGCTACTGAATCCCCCCTGCTGCTCTGTTTGCGTCCCTAAACGGCGTGTGCTGTCAGTCAATGGCTGGCACGTTCTCTTCTGTCCCTGGGGGCATAATCTCTGTTGGTTGCACAGCCCTTCTTCACTGCCTAGGCCAGACCGGTTAGTCCGTCTAGTCTGTTCAATTTTCTATTCGGATGACTCCCAGAGAACAATGGACCCATTGGGGCTGACAAGATAACAGGACCTAAAACAGACAAAGGACCCAGGAGTCGGAGGCATTGGACGTCAGCCGACTGAGGGCCAGGTGCGAGGCGATTCCTACGTCTCCATCAGTTTGCCTTGGACTTTTCGAGGTCAGCAAATAGATGGGCCCCGGCACTTCCAGGCTGGCACACAGTCGGCGAGCCAATCCGGAAGGAAAGGGGAAGAACCTCAGCAAAATGGCCACGGCATTGTACGTGGCAAAAAGGATATTTGAGACCGTTTTCTTCCTTTTTTCCTTCTGCTCTTTCCCCGCATAAAGGGAGGTCTAGGAGAAGGGTAAACGCCGATACGCTGAGAAGCGAAATGCCGGCAGACGCGGATGAACCTGGAAGAAATTCATTCGGATAACGGGTATGGAACAAGAATATAGGATAGCCGCTGCACGCAATTCGTCGTGGCAAGCCGCACCATATTCGAGGCGCTGGTGATTTCAACAAAGACTGTTTCATCTCGTTAAACTCCTGCACGGAGGGAACCCGCAGGAGAAAGTGACTACGTGATGATACATACGATCGACTCGAGATCGTTTGGGCAAAAATGAATGATGCTTGGTTGCACATCGCTCGACCTGCACTGGGGTGGCTCGGACTGGAGAAGGCCAAGCGTCCTGCTGCTTACAGGCCGACATTCAGTCCTTGCGTTGGTCTAATGCAAGCATGATCGTTACGATTACGGCCTTACTGATTCCAGTGCCCTGTTGCTGCCATATGAGTTCGGGCCCTTCGTCACACAATGCTCTCTCGACAAATACAATCCTGTTATTGCTTTTTAATTGCATCTAGACCGATGCTATTTCTTGCGCGGTGGCACACTGTCCAATACACGATAATCGCGGAGATTGCTTCTGGCAAAGAAACTTTTCGTTCTTGTACCCGAATTGCTCGTCCAGAGAGATTCGGCCCTTCTGGCGAACGAAATGGCCCATGTGCAATCCTGCCCAGCCTCATCCTTTCCTTTCCCTGCTGTACCGTTCGCATTGCATCACTGGAATCCTGCGAGACCCACGCTGGCTGCTTGTTGCCTGCGGTCTCCCCCGTGCAGGTTGCAACACCAGCATGGCTGCTTGAATGGTTGACTGCAGCCTTATTCAATGATCGCCGTCGTTTTCTTTCTTTCCTCTGGTTTCCATTCCCAGTCGATCGACTTCCAACCCGACGGCAGTAATCCGTTGCGATTCATTCCCACTGGCTCTGCAAAGTTCAGTGTTGCCACGCCCCACGACCGTCGCATGCAGCACCGCGGTGTACAGCAAGGGAGGAATACTTACTACATAGACATCCCTTCTCCCTGTCGATCCGGATCTGTGCGGTTGAAGGGGGATTGGTGAAAACCTCGCCTATTATTGCGCACTGCACCTTATGCACCTTTCTTCACCGCCACAACACTCGCACTTACGAGTCGCAGCAGCAGACGCAGTGCTGCAGAGCCAGATATATTAATTTCCGGGTTCGAACTTTGCAGACCCTGGATGCGCAGACCCTGATGCAGCCAATACGGGGTGTATCGTGTCGATTGCTAAATAAATAAATTATACCGTTCGAGGCCAGCCAACGATCCTTCCTTCCTTTCTTTCTCTTCAGTACAGCTGCTAATTAATCTGTCGCTCCCGTTATCTATCAAGCTTCCTCGTCCCGTACCAGTTTACCTGGACAGCTAGATGGGTGTATGCCATTGGGGGAGTTCCTTCCATCATGATGTCTCTCTACCTCTCCAAGGTTTAATCAAGGTTCTACTACTACGTGTCTCTAATCTTATGGCATTATGATATTCCCTTTCCCCTGCAAAGAAAGAAAGGAGGATGGCGATGGCACTGTCCTGTCCCCAGCGGTAAATAGATTGGCCCAGGAGCCCGGTTTAAACGATCCATAAAGATCAGGACACGTGCATAGCTACTTTTTTTTTGCTTTTTTGCTTTTCTACATCAGTTTCTGTCAAATGAAGCGTTGGATATAAGTCAATCAACTTAGCATGGGCGAAGTGAAGTGGCAAGATGTACACTATAACTAGCTGCAGATATAAGACTGCTTTTAAAACTGTTCGAACCCTGCAATCCCATTTTCTCCTATTTATTTCTCTTGAATCTGAAGCCTATAATTAATGCCAAAATATATATTGCACAGAAACGTCTGATTGGAAACATATATCCATAGCTATATATACAATATAACGCAAAGAAACGCAAAGAAAAGAAAGATATATACGCATTACAGGAGGTACGATACACCATACAGTTGAATTCTGCAACTATCACTCGTCCAAGCCTGCTGGAAAGGCTAGTTTGCTTTTCCTTCCTTTTAACAGCCCCAACTCCTCTTCCCAATGCTCCTTGTTATATACCCCGTAGATGTAGAAGAAACAGAAAAGAAAAAGGACACTGACAGGTCTACCCCAAATTGTCTTAGTAGGTGTCGAGCACAAACAAGGATTGGACCAGTCAGACCTATCATGTCATCAGGAACAGAAGGAAATAAAAAGAAAACAAAGAAAACAAAGAAAACAAAAAAAAAAAAAAAAAAAAAGAATACAACGTCAGAATCGAAATACTGAAAACTGCTGAAGACATGTATTTGATCTCTGGAAACCGCCAATCCTATAAGACTGGTTATCCGAGACAAAGATTATATAGAAGAGAGAAACGGGGATAAGGAAGACGAAGGTAAAAATAAAAAGAAGCAATCAGCCAGATATTCCTTCGCCGCAATGCTGGTAAAAAAAAGGTATCACCACAATTGAACACCGAGTGAAATGCAATGGGAACCCTTTCCCACCTTGCCTGTGAATAATGGCCCAAAACCAAGAAAAACCTCGAAAGACGCAAATAAGAGGATCAAGGCTAAAACAATCCCAAAGGCGCCTTGTGCCCCATAAATTTCCACTTGCACCGTGACAAGAACGAAAAAGGTAATTAACAAGAACCGGGTGTCCTTAATCCAGTTAATGACGCGGAAAGCAAAAGGCGAAAAATTGAGCTAAAAGAAAGAGGCGATGGTGGTCGACCTCGTATAAATAAGCCAAATTGTATAAGAGGAATCATTCGTATGTTATGACCGACGGCCGGGGCTGTTGACATTGAAGCGGTCCCGAAGAAGAACTAGAGGCCGATTGGAATCGAGCATCCCCATTATCATTCTTCCAAGTTCATTATGTTTAATGGGCTTTGTCACGTAGTCATCAAAGCCAGCGCGTGCAGCGTCCTCGATTTGATCAGTCATCGCGTTGGCAGAAAGAGCCATGATAGGGATTTGAGGGTAGCGATTCTTTTTCTCCCATTCGCGAATTTCACGGCAGGTTTCGTATCCATTCTTTATCGGCATTTGGATATCGCACTATGGTTCAAAAATCAGCCACCGCGTATTACGGCAGCAGTCGGTGGTCAGATTGTTCACTTACAATAATGAGAGAGTAATATCCCGGCTCCTTGGAGAAGACCATCTCCGTACATTCTTGTCCATTCGAGGCAGTCTCGGAGATTACTTTGATCTTATCGAGATATTTCAACATGACCTATTGTCATGTCAGCAAAGTACAGGTGGATAAATAGAAAATCGATTAAAGATGGGCACCTACCATGCGATTCGTTGCTTCGTCTTCAACAAGCAGTACCCGATAACCCTTGTTGCCAACAACTGCCTTCACCATCTTCGTCACTGTTTTGAAGTTATCGTTAATTTCCCGAGCCATGTCTTGGTTTCGATCCTTGCTCAGATCGCGTCGGTTATAAGGGTCGAATATCGGCGAGAATGCAGATGGCTTCAACGGCTTAGGCACAGTATATATCCGCTTCCCATCCGAAGATAGCTCGGTGATCTTCGAGCGAATTTGACGTTTCTGGTAAAGATCGGAAATGACAACGAGAGTGGGAGCATTACCGGGTTCGCACCATGCAACATACTGCATGACATCCAAAACATCTTCAACAGGCAGATTAACAACTAAATGGGTCACGTTCGACGAGGAATCATTCTCGCTATTCACCAAGTCCTTCCATTCCTCTACGTCGGCCTGCGATTTGATCGTGAACGGAACCTCGTGTGGGACCACCTGTTCAATGTGCTGTTTGATGGCTTCTCGCGTATGGTCAAGCGGGGCTAGTATGAGAATGGAGAATGGTCCTTGATGGGCCCCGGGGAGTTGATCTGCTGAAGATGCTGGGTGACATTGTGGGGTAGATGGGTGCGAAGAGTCAGCAGACTCCTCATGACGGAGTCCGAGAGGCTGAGCCGTGGCATGGAGATTCGGCGACGTCTGGAAAGGAGAGCGTACTGCTGGAGCCGAGCTGGCGAGCTGGTAGGACAGTCCATGTTGAAATCCACGGAAATCGCTGGACACATCCGGGCCCCTAGACGAACCATCAAGGCTCATGATGAGCGATGGTTGTAGTTTCTGGTATGAGGCTGATCTGGACAAGTATCCGCCACTCTCTGATGATCTTGATGCCTGTCTAGCGAGTTCCAGTTGTTCGGGTTCCGGAGAAGGGGGGACATCCACTACCACATAGAACGAAAACCGTGCTCCCTGCCCTTCCTTGCCGCTGGGAGTCAACATGCCACCATGCATTTCAACGAGTTGCCTCGACAAGAACAGTCCCAGGCCACTGCCAGCATGTTGCTGCGAGCCATTTGCTTCAAGCTGGCTAAATCTCTGCATCAGCCGTTCAGAGTCTCCGGCACTAAAGCCCCTTCCGGTGTCCACCACATCGAAATTCAACAGCATCTCTGTAGACTTTAGATGAATAGAAGAATCGCGACGGATAGAGCAAGCGGCATATATTTCTCCCCGTGATGTAAACTTCACTGCGTTACCCATAAGATTAATGAGTACTTGTCTAATCCTGAACCTGTCCCCGATCACCATTGGAGGCACATCTGGATCCATCAGGTAATTAATTTCGAGGCCCTTATCTAAGGCCCTGGATGCAATGGTATCGATGACATCTTCGATCACAGACCGTACATGAAACCAGGAATTGACAAGGGTCATCTTCCCCGCTTCAACTCGGGAAACGTCCAGGATATTGTCAACTAACTCGCGCAGGTTGGTTGAACTGTTCTGGATGGTGTCAAGCATGCGCCTTTGATCGGTGTCGAGATGCGTATCGAGGATAAATGGAATGGTACCTAGGATCCCGTTCAATGGCGTTCTGATTTCATGAGACATGTTACTGAAGAACTTTGTCTTAGACTCCATCTCCCTGTTCAGCTGCTGCATTGCCTTATTGAGCTCTTTCTCCAGAAGCTTTCGGTCATTGATGTCCGTGCATGTTCCATACCACGAAGCTTCCCCGTTACCGAAACTGATTGTTTCCGCTCGGACAAGTCGAACCAGGTGCCAGCGATAATCACCTCCCTTGGAGCGGAGTCGAATCTCGGTAGAATAGAAAACTCGTCCATTCTCATCCCTTTGAACAGAGAACACCCCACGTTTAAGAAGTTCACCCAACGCTGGTGTAACACCATTAGGAACTTGCCGCTCCATGGGGTCAGACGCGGGTAATATGCTTGCCGGCCCATGGGAAGGAAGAGAGAACAAACTGCACTTCCCGAGATCGTCCGGATGTACATGCTTTGCAAATCCTAGGTTCAACGCCTCGTCGATAGGCTGACCGCTATACAAACGCCATTGGTCATTTGCAAATATGAGTCCACGATATTCTGCAGCTTCAAACACCACCTGCGGGATTGAGTTAGAGAACGCTCGGTATTTGGCATCTATCGCAAATTTTTCTCGCTCTTTTGCGGCTTTCATCTCAGCAACATGCTGTTCATGGACGTCAAGGAAAGAGCCAATCCAATAAAGGACCTCACCCGTACCAGACAGGAGAGGGTTTGCCCGGAAGATGAACCACCGATAGGATGACTCATCGTTGAAACGTTTGACTCGTACTCTTTCGGTAAACTGTGAACCTGTTCGCAAAGCGTTCTCCCACTTCGCCGAGATAGACTCAAGTTCGCTGCTGTGTATATTTTGCCAAGGATCCCGCGACCTCTGTTCTTGAGGCTGACTTCGCCTATATGCATCAAATTTTGCATTTGTCCATATGACTTCCCCACTTTGAGGTTTCGCTAGAAACAGATGCAAAGGTACTGAATTCAGCATCAACTGAGCTATCGTATCTGGAAGTGGGCGTTGCTGCAGTTCGCGGTGCAGCTGAGAATAAAAGGAATTCACCGACGTGTGGCGAGATGACCCACGTGCTGAAGATAGGACGGGAGTAGCTGGAGTGCTTTCTTGAATTGGAAGTGTCGCACCAGAGTCGGGACCCTGTGTTACGGCATCTTCACCTAGATTTTTTGAGGTGTTTCCTGGTGAAGAAGGCGGGGATGATCCTATGCTTTGCTTCATCTTTGATACTCTGTTACGGGATGAGCCAGCCGTATCACGAAGACTTCTGGACCGCTTGACATTAAAATAGCTGTCCACTGCGTCATTACCGTGCTTCGTTGCCACACCCGGTGATAAAGCAAGGTTGTTAGAGCTTCCGGAAACCACATTGTTCAAACCGGTCCCCGGGCTATTAAGTTGAGACAGATAAGGGCTGAATTTAGTAGAAGACGACCTGTCACCAGGACTGGGAAACCCTACTTGAGGGGACGCATCGTCCGACAACGTGTTGCTGACGTGGCCACTAAGGCCAGCAACCAGCTCCAGCTCGCTGTTTTCGCTTGAAAAGGTCCCACCGAGTCCTAGGAGTTGTGAATAGCGAGAAGACTCTACTCGAGAGGCGACCTGTCGTTCCAGCTGACTGTACTGCTGAGCCAAACAAAAAGAAGTCGCCAGATGCGGCATGAGATGTGAGAGTGACTGTCGTAGATTGGCAGGATATGGGACCACTGGAGATAGTATTGACAATATAGCTACTGGAAACCTCAGTGTTGACGGCGAACTTTCCTTGGAGGCGCTAATATGGAGGAGAGGTATATGAACCACTGACTTTGCCTTGTCGACACCGATGGCTTCCAGTGGTTCTAGTTTGGAGTAATCATGCTCTGGAGGATTCCGGGAGAAGGCGGCCTCATCGACGGCAAGAGTAGTAAAGAACGGATTCTGTTCCGCATGCGCACGAGGCGCTGGTGATGGAGCTGGTGATTGAGACCAAGGGGACGGAGGGATTTGCTCGTATTCCTCGTAGGCCTCCATAGACATCGAAAGGCCCCTCTGAGGTTGATAAATGAGCGCGCTTGGATTGGAGGCAGACCTGGTGCGTGTTGTATCTGGGGGAAAGGCCCGCTTTTCTGGTACTTCTGGCTCAGCACCGGGAGTAACTTGAACCTTTTCGTCCGGGGTTTGGATAGCCCCACTGCCATGAAACCGCGAAGTCCCAACTTGGTCTGTTGAATATTCTCGGGTTAAAACAACAGGTTTCGTTCGCCCGAACAGTTTAACGACACCAGTTCTCTTTATTAACGGGTCTGTTTCGATTTCCAATGGCCTTGGTATTGGGAAGATGGCCTGGCGGACATCAGGTTGGGTGCTGCCCACTGAGTCAGAGGGTGGCTTCTCCAGCCTCCGGCTCCCCCTACTCTCGAAAGACGGTTCTTTGGTTGACTTGGAATCAGTGCCTGCACTGTTCTCAGCAGAGATGCGTGCACCTTTCGGCCTAGTAAGGTTCTGCAGCCGGGATGTGTCACGGTCAGATTTGGATCCGAACCCAGCAAAGGAGTGTCGAGAAAAGAGCATAGGCCGCTTAGAAGGCGTGGTAGGTTCTAAACGTGACGTGTTCACGCTTTCATTCCGTCCCATATTGCCGATATCTTCCAGCGAAGTGCCGTTCGCGGCAGATGCTTGCCCGCGCGACATAGGGTCGTCGGAATCGTTACTCCGCGCACAGATGTTTTGATTGAAAACAGCCTTTTGCCCCCACGGCACATTTTCCAGATCCGTCGCGTCTCCGGGGATAGCTATCGACGCTCGCTCTGCGAAATAGTGCGTCTGCAAAATATCCACTAAGTTCGAGAACCACGCATCAAGACCCGGATCGGCAGTGAGTTGCAAAGTCAGATCGTACAGATTCGGACTGGGGTAATTGGGATCTTCAATCGCATTCTTGATTTCCGGAGGTAGAAAGATGTTGTGTGAAAATGGGGTCCTTGCTGGAAGTTGGTATTCCTCTGGAGCCCGCGAGGAAAGCTTTGCATCTTTGAGCTTTTCGGACGGAAACCTCAATTTGAAATGCGTGTTGTGGGGTAGGCGCTCTCTGGACGTATTGGAACCCTGAAACGGTTGCATTCTGGGAAAAGGGAACGCCGGAGTCTGCCCATCGGATTGCCCCGTTGTCTCAGCCGGATTGCCGGTAACAGTGGCGTCGGATCCGGTTGAGTCTGCAGCGGATGGCAAGGGTCCAGCATCCACGAAGGCTGAAGGAGGAGCAGCAGTGGGGATGCGGATCTTCCTGGCAACGTCATCGGGGAACACGGGCCTCGCATCCTTCTGGGAAGGACGCTCATGGCCAGTTGGTCGGGAAGACTGTCGTTGGCCTTGCAGGATCTGTTGATGGGCGATGATTCCCTCCATCTGCTTCCGTAGCTCGCTGACAATCTGCAGGCTTCTGGCATGATCTTCATTCTGCGCCTCCTCCGAGGATACGGCATGGTTCTCGGACAAAGTTGCCAGCGTGTTGACTGCGGAACGACCTAGCCCGTGCGACTGGGATGACCGACGAGCATCCACCGACCAGCGACTATACTCGGGGCTCGAGGCCGGACCCAAGCTGCCACGGCGGTCAACACGCGTCGGGGTCGACTGGGAGGAAGGGGGATTAGAAGGGAGGAAAGCGATGGGTTCCATCGCCGGGCGAGGCGATGGAAGCGGAGTCGTCTTCATAACGTGGACTTCGACCGTCGCTTCTCCCTTCCACCGCCGGTTGACAAATCAGACTTCCTGAGTGAATCCAACTCGTCGGCAGTGAAAACAAATGGTCATGTCTTGATGAAACCGGCTCCGTGTCGCGACAAGACGGAATGGAGGGAGGGGGAAAGGCAGGGTGCGGAAGAGTCAGATGAGGAAGAAGTTTTTGATGAAAGGGCGCCAAGAAACGGTTAGGCAGGGGAGCGGTGTGTGTGTCAATTAAACGGCAAGGCACGGCGGATGGAGGTTTTACGCAGCGGCAGACAGGTTGAGACTGATGAGAAACGGGGAATCTGGGATGGACGGAAGCAGTCGGGAGGAGAAGCGATACGGAATGGGGAGAGGGAGAGGTCGAAGGGATGATACGAGACGGGCAGGAGTTGCAGAGTTCAGTTCGAAGTGGAAATGGAAGCGGTCCACCGCTTCTGGGGGTCCAGCCTATGACGTGGCCGCTGCACGGGAGGCACGGTTCGTCTGAAAAGTTACAACTGGTAGAAAAAGAAGGGAGAAAAGGGAAAAGGATATTATTAATGGGATAGTACTACTACCTATATTATTATATGCTGATTATGATTTTATTACTGCTTGTTGTTATTATTATTATTCCTGCGACTATTCGTATGATGAGTGATGGGTGGGACCCGGTAATACATAATAACCTCCTGGCTGAGTATGCGATGGAGATGCATGTTCAGCATGGCCACCTTGTCTGCAGACAGACTGGGATTACTTGACAGCTTCCTCCAGAAGTGAGTCAGACTCATAACACAAGCATCTGTTCCTCCTGTCGCGCACCGCTGATGTAGAGCCAGACGACAGACAACCCACGATGGGAAACCCAGGGAAATCCCCTGGTGGGTCAGCAGCCCTTCTGGCGTCTGTTCTGGAATACCGTCTCATATTAATCTGAATCCCTACCGCGTACATATCTGTAGTAACTATGTATGGATTATTATTAACCGCGAACATCCCCAATTAATGCTAGCTGACATCATCGTGCGTGGCTCCTCGCTTCCGACAGGACGGCCAAACTCTTTCCGGGTGCGGTTTAGCGTGGGATACCAGCATGTACGCTGCAATGCTGCATCCGATAGAGTCATGGATTGTCAGTGAGAACGAGAACAGTCTTAGTGTGCATGCAGAGATTGTCGAGATTCAGTTCTTATTTTATTTTAGTTTATTTCTCCATGCAACCGTCTGTCCTACATCCTGATACTACTAGTGGTGGGACGACTGTTTGCCATGTTTGCGGAGTTCGTTTTCAGTCACAACTTCAAAGGTAGGTATAATAATAATACATATAATAATACGTCCATGATGTAGGCTGAACAGAGTCAGGTCAGCTAAAATACCGGTCGTTACTACGGAGCATTAAACAACTATTAGCAATCATAATGGCTGCATCCCTTGGATTCGCTGTGAGAGTGACCCTGCTTGGTCATTGGCCTGGTCTGAGGGTGCTATCCATGGATGCTGAGAGAATCAAGGCAACCTTACAGAAGACCCAAGACCATTTCCAGCCGATTAGCTTCATGCTGGAGGCAAAAGAACTCTACTGTATTAATTTTCCCCAAAGGTGCCACTCAGCCTTTCAAGTTTCTTCCTCCCGCGTGGCTGCATGGCCAAACTCCAAAACTCAAGCCATTGCATCGGAGGCCGCGCTTATTATTTTCTAATTTCTTTTTTTTTCGTCTGTCATTAATTAATGATCTCTAGCCCGTTATTTTTACCCACCATCGAATTTCCGGCGGCAGTTGCGTCACCCTGGATATGATATTTAATATTATTCCAACCTGTGCTTCGTTAATTATTATTCCTCTGCCGTTATGCGTGGCGTCTCTGCTTTTGATCCCAGGCAGCCATACACCCTTCCGCAAACTGCCACCTCGAGTCAAGGCTCAGGCCTCTCTGTAAAATCTCTGGATCTCTCCACTCCTCGTCCCAAGGATGTAAGCTGAACCTCACGACGTCGATTGGTTTCCAGTAGGTTGCCGGTCCCGCACTCCTTGCTTCGAACACTGCCGGATGTAGATGGTGTTATTATTCCCGAATCCGTCGAAATAACTAAGGCCCACGGAGGCCTGGGCCTGCTTGTCTAAAGCTCATCTCATCAATGCCGAGAGTTCTCTGTACAGCATACAATATTATTATTGTTGAGTCGGATGTCTTTGGAGTAGAATGAGCCGTACAAAAGGCATAGGCCGATGCCCTTTCTCCTTCAAGATCTTCTCATGACGGTGACGGGTATAGATGACCTGGAAAATTTAGACTCTTCTGGATAGCACGCTCCTCCAGTTTCAACAGGACAAGAAAACCATAGTATGTCCTCAATAGTAATCGTAACCGAGGATAGATACACAGAATGGACGAGGTGAAGGACCGCAGAAGGGAGAGCGAGAGCTTATTTTAAATCCTTAATTCCTGTTTCTCGAGGTTGCAGACAGTCGATGACTAATCAGACGAGCCCGTGAGAGAACTTCGAACAATTGAATTTCCTCGAGTATGTCCTCCTGCCCATCAGAATATCTGGCCCTGCACGCCCACCGATACCGCGGTCTTCTCCAGCATAATCCGAATCTCCAATTATTCGGCCATTCTTGATGCCGTCGTCCTGTGCCTGAAAATATCCCTTCAACCTCTCCTCCCACTGTCGCCCACCGTCGTGCTTCCATCCTTTTTGCTTGCAATTCACTCCCCAGATGGGAGTCCGACGACTTCCGTTTCGAGCTTTCTCTCAACCCCGTATATTAGCCATTTCTCTCCCATCTCATTCCTTTGAATCTATGGCCATTCGTTGTTTCGGCTCTGTGCGGTTTTCCTAGTACCTACCTGCGATGCCTTACACGCATATCCTTGGCGAGGACCTACCGGTCCCTCCCGCACGACTCTTTGAAAGATTAGCCCAGCTGCCCGGGTATACATGGGATCACTCGATCGATCCATTCCATTCCTCTTACAATAGCTGGCATGTCTCCGGTCTTTGTCACTCTATCGATTCCGATGTCTCTACACCCGCTGCAACGTCTTCCGGCCCGTCCAGCTCGGCCAGGAAGTCTCCCCGCGTTGAGACACGACCCAGCTTTCGCCATCATTGGAGGAGCAGCTTGAGCGAGTTAAGCAGTGACCTCTCATTCTCCCGCGCAGATAATGAATACACCTTGATGCCCGTGATAGCTCGGGTTTCATCGCAGGTCGTGAGGCTGGAACGGGAATTTCACATGCTGAGATCTATCGTGCAGACGTCTGATCCAGATTGTAATCATACGCTAAAGCCCATCGATCTCATGCGCCTACCGTCGGACTCTGGCGATCCTGGTCCCATCTTGGTTGCTATCTATGAGTCGCCTGGTCGTAATATGCTACGGGACTTGGTCGCTTTCGGGCCTGCTTGGTTCACATTCGGCGACACGGGCGATAGCAGCAGTAGCGTAAGTCCCGGTGAGCAGGTTTCTCTTCCAGAGTTTCTTGACTTTGCAGTCGGTGCTTGCGATTGCTTGGAGCTTTTACATTACGGCCTAAAAACCGTCCACGGTGAAATCCGGGGAGATGCGTTCCACTTCAATCGAGAAAACGGGTCTGTGAAGCTCACTAATGCTGGCAATGGCGCAAGGTCGTTTGACAATATACTTAGCGATGGGTGGTCTTCTGTCTCCCGTGAGCTTGGCGTGAAAAACAAGTTGCAGTACATTGCCCCCGAACAGACGGGAAGAACTCCTACAGAACCAGATAGCCGAACAGACATTTATGCCCTGGGGGTGCTATTCTGGACCATGCTGGTGGGGAAGCCTGCGTTCAACGGGAATGACCCTTTTGAGGTCGTACAGAATGTCCTAGGGAAGAAGCTGCCCCCTGTGACAACATCAAGAATGGATATTCCCGACGCAGTTTCAGCTGTCATTCAGAAGATGACCCGCAAGTCCGTTGATGAACGGTATCATACGATCTCGTCGGTAAAGAGAGATTTAATTCAGATATCAGAACTCTTGGGTAACGGAGAGAGCGAGGCGCTGAGGAACTTCCAGATCGCCCAGCACGACGTGTCATCTTTCTTTACACTCCCAACGCGGATGTTTGGGAGGAAAGATGAATATGATAGAATCATAGGTATTGTGGAAAAGGTAAAGAAACACCAGCAATGTACGCTTGCAAAAGTAGCCGCGCAGGGCTACAGTGGCCTCTATGGTGTCGGTTCCCATTCCTCCTTATCCGAGAGTCGTCCAGATAGTTTCGAGATTGCGTCCGGGTCGAGTGATTCCTCAATACTTCTCGCTAAAACAAACTCCAACTGCGGGCCCTATCCACTGGGGCGTGCTGTTACACATGAGTCTATGCAGAGTAATGAATCATCCGTTTCTACTCAACGCCCAATCCAGAGCCCCAGCAAGGCAAAGAGCTCAGTTGATTCTCGTTCATCCTTGGATAACACCGATCGAGATGGTCACCTGTCCCCGAATTCTAATGTCCAGGGTCATATGGAGCCCGTGAATCCTTTGGGCAGACACAAAGCATTACCTAAACTTCGTCTAAGCAGCCGAACCGAGATAATCACAATTAGTGGCGTCGCTGGACTAGGGAAAACGGATCTTCTGAATCGCGTTCAACCAGCCATCCGCAAATTAGGATACATTGCAATTGCCCGTTTGGACCGAGCTCAGAGTGTGCCGTACGAGCCCTTTGCGAAGGCTTTGGCCAGCCTCCTTCGTCAAATTTTCTCCGAGCGTGATGTCAACACGGACTATCATAATAGTGTCCGCACAGCATTGCGGCCGATATGGCCATCCCTTCATAAGGTTTTGGGGCTCCCAGAACAGCTCATGTCCCCGGGAGGGAAAGACAAGCAGTTGTCGCCAAATTTGTCGGCTGCCCAGCACCTTTTGAAGGCGACCTCGACGAAAGGCGAGCCTTCTAAGCGAGTTGGCATCCCCGTCTTGACCCGGGGCCAGAGCTCGACAGATTTTTTCCTCTCGAATGCTGCATCAAAGAATATGCGATTGATGGAGACCTTCCTGGAAATTATGAGAACATTATCCCAATCTAAGTTGATCTGCATTTGCTTGGATGATGTGCACTATGCTGATGACGAGACGCTGGAATTGATATCGAGTATCGTGAAGGCAAAGTTGCCGTGCGTCCTTATCCTCACAAGCAATGAGGCGGAACTCAAGTCAGATTGCATGGAGTCACTTTTCGAGGCAGATGGTCCCAATGTTACAAACATCGTCCTCCGTCCACTTGGGGAGGAGGAGGTCATGCATTTTGTAGCGGCCACGATGCACTGTGACCCAGATCCAAATTTGACGCCCCTCACGGCTGTTGTCTTAGAGAAGAGCGAAGGGAATCCCTTCTACGTGCGGATGATGCTTGAGACTTGCTATAGTAAAAATTGTATTTGGTATTCATGGAAGAATTCAAGGTGGGAATTTGACCTTGACCGGATATTCAGTGAATTTGTCTCGCCCAAGTACGGACAAGGGCTTGGGCTATCCTTCATCGCAAGACGACTCCAGGAGATTCCGCCTGCGTCTAGGTCAATCTTGGTTTGGGGTTCATTATTGGGGAATCCATTCTCATTTTCCTTGGTTCAGAAGCTACTCACAAGCGAATTTCTGTACGACAGCGAAGAAGACGATGAGGTCGACCTTACCTGTCCAGGCAATGTAGACCTCATTAGGCTGTCGGAAGCCGCGATAGTCGTTGGCCTGCAGTATCTCGTCCAAATATATCTTATCACACCAGGGGAAACAGACGACGAGTTTAGGTTCGACTTGCCTTTGTCCCCTGTAATGTTACAAACCATGTTCTCTGACTTCTCTTGACAGGTTCGGCAATGATCGAATTTCACAAGCTGCTGCGACCTTGAGAGAAGGTCGTAATGTGGAGAAGATGCACTTCATCATTTCGCAAACGATGATGAAATACTATCACGACCATCGAAGTCGCTATGCGATAGCTCGTCATATAGCGCTTGCCTCTCGCCTCATTAAATCACGCGTTGAACAAAGACGAGATTACAGGAAGATCCTTTGGGATGCTGCGCAGACCCTTGCCCAGTCGGGTGCGCGGCCAACGGCTCTTTCGTACTTTCGTCATTGCATAGATCTTCTTCAGGATGATCCCTGGGATGATCGCCGTATTGATGTCGATTATGATGAAACATTACGTCTGTACGTCGCGACTGCTGAAATGGTATGGCTACAAAGCCATAACGACGAGGTCATGGAGTTACTAGATGCGGTATTTGCACATGGTCGAACTGCTGTGTGCAGGTCAAAAGCTTGGGTTACGAAGGCCAGAATATATGGCCATCGGAATGACCATGCTAGTGCATTGGATTGCCTGATCACATGTTTGGAAGAGTTGGGTGTAGAGCTCCGGACGGCTACAACGTACGAAGAGTGCGATGCTGCTTACAAGAGACTAAAGGCGCATATTGAGACAACTGACCTAGAACAAATTGCCCAAGCACCCATTTGCAAGGACGTCAACATGGTCACTATTGGTGCAGTCATCGCAGAGGCGATGGCAGTTACTTTTTGGGATGAATCATTGACCTTTTACAGAATGGCTATTGAGATGTTGAATCTGTACCTTTTCAAAGGTGCCTTTATACAGATCGCCATAGGCTGCTCGCATCTATCCATGATTGCTTTAGGCCGATTCAGGGATTTAGAGCTAGCGATGAGACTAAGCGACTATGCTCTATCGTTGATAGAGCGCTGTCCCGAACCACTTACCCAGACCAGAGCTTCTATCACCCAAAACCTCTACGTCAATCATTTGCGAATTCCGGTATCGTCGACACTCCCGGCGCTGGAGGCTGCCCTGGAGACGTCGTTTGCGTTGGGTGATCCGTATCTAACCTTGACAAGCATCTGGGCAATGGCGATGACCCGTCTTTATTTGGGTCATGATATGGCACAGTTGGAAACTTTCTGCAACGATAGCCCTGAAGACCACCAAAGTTGGATGAATAATACAGGGGCAGGAGTTTGTATCCTTGCAACAAGGCAAGCAACTGCAAATCGCATCTCTTGCACTGACTGCTATGCTGACACAACTACAGACAAGTTGCGCGTGCCCTACAAGGGAAAACATTCTATACATCTCCCACTGGTATCATGTCCGATGAGCAGCACCACACCTTCGACTTCATCGAGGCTCTCAGCAAACATGGGAGCTATCCCGATTGTCCTCGTGACCTTTATTGGGGTCTCTCCATGATACCTCTATTCATTTTTGGGCATAAAGAAAAGGTAATTGAATTGGGCAACCGAATGATAGATAGTCTCCATAGACTTTGGTCTGTCCGAGTCACGTATTCCGTGTATTTCTATCAGGCATTAGCCTATCTTACACTCCATGCCGAGAATCCTGCCGCTGGTTATCTCGAGGGAGAAATGGAAACCGTCTTGACTTGCAAAGAAATGGTCGACTTCGCGCGGACTGCTTGTGATGCGAATTATGGAATGTGGTCGCTATTGCTAGAGGCGTTATTTTACGAGGCTGAACAGGACTATCCCTCCGCTATCCAGGCTTTCGAGGTAAGCTACGCTGATATTTATAGAAGTGAGAACGCATAGAATCTCGCTAACATTGTTAGGCTGCAATTGACCACTGTCAAGTGAATGGATGGCCTTTGGAAGAGGCTCTTGCTCTTGAACTTCAAGGTATGTACATATCTCGTCGCTCCTCTCTCGCAGCTTCTTCTTCCATCCCTTACCTTCTACCTTCGTCTTTTCTCCATCTGTCCCGTGCCTGACGGGACAAACCAGGTGAATTCTTCATGCGGCGTGGTGCCAAGAGAGCGGCGCGCTCTTTGATTCAAGAGGCCACCACTGCGTGGGCCTCCATAAGTGCAGTCGGCAAGGTCGCACAACTTACAGCGAAACATGAATGGTTGCTGAAGGCAGCAGCTACGTCAAGAACTGTTGATACTGGCTGTCAAACTGTTGATAGTGTTCTCGAAGTTAGTCGCGACCATGACCAAGACCTCCACCAACACCATCAACACGTGCCGCCTCGTACGAATGTGGAAAAAGATAAGAGGAAATGGATCCAACAAAACGAGTCTGTCTCAGGTTCACACTCCTTCGATATCTCCAGTGTTGGGCTTGGTAAGTTAATGAGCCACACCCTCTATCTCTTGATCTTGCTATCTTTTTGCCACTTCTAACATTGGCGCAGATATCATCGATTTGTCTAGCATACTTGAATCCAGCCAGGTTATGTCATCTGAGCTTCAAATAGACAAGCTCTTTACCAAGATGATTGAAATTATCATGGAATCTTGCAATGGGTCTGACTTTGCAATTATTGCCACTGACTCAGATTCCAATAATTTAACAATCGCGGCCATAGGAGACTCCGAAATGGGTATCCAATCATTCGCTGTTGGCCTTCCATTTTCCCGAATAGAGGACAAGATAGCTCAACAGATCACCGAATACGTGTATCGTACCAGAGAGGGCGTTTTGATTCACAATGTCATTGAGGACGAACGCTTTGCTAATTTCAGTGAGGCCTACCAGGCAAGATATCCGCTTGGCAGGTCGGTCATTGCCCTGCCGATAGTACAGGCGGAAAATCTTCTTGGGGTGATCCATCTTGAGGGCAAGCCTAATTCGTTTACCCAGCGCAATGTCGTTGTGCTCCATTTACTCTGCAACCAAATTGGCATCTCTTTGTCTAATGCGCTGCTGTTCCGTGAAATCCGCAAAGTTAGTGCTACCAATGCGTCTATGGTCGAGGCCCAAAAGCGCGCTCTTGCACTAGCTCGAGAGGCAGAAGCAAAGGCTAAAGTGGCGGAGGCGGAAGCCAATCATAATGTGAAACTACGGGATGATGCGGCCAAAGCAAAGTCAATCTTCCTTGCCAATATATCCCATGATTTACGTACCCCAATGAATGGGGTCATCGGGCTCTCCGAATTACTCAAGAACACCCACTTAACCAAGGAGCAGGACGACTATGTTGAATCAGTTCGCGTTTGTGCGGACACTTTGCTTACGCTTATCAATGACATACTGGATTTCTCGAAACTGGAGGCTGGGAAAATGAAGATTTCCACAGTTCCTCTTAGCCTCAGAGAAACCATCTCCGAGGTCGTTCGAGCTCTTCGGTTCACGCACCGTGACAGAGGCTTGGAGACCATTGAGGACCTGGATGGGGTGCCACCTGAGCTTGTAGTCATGGGCGACCCTGTTCGTTTGCACCAAATATTTATGAATCTTCTTAGCAATAGCTACAAGTTCACGCCCAAGGGATCTATCACAGTCAGGGCTAATGTCTACCGTGAGGGAAAGGGCCGTGTCCGTTTAGAATGCTCAGTATCTGATACTGGAATCGGGATTTCGGAGGAGCAGAAATTGCGACTTTTCCGGCCCTTTTCGCAGGCGGATAGTTCTACTGCTAGATCTTACGGCGGAAGTGGACTTGGCCTGAGCATCTGTAGGGCGATCATTGAGGACGTTTTGGGCGGTGCGATTTGGCTCGAGTCGGCTCCCGGACGTGGCACCACGGTGACATTCCACTTAGTTTTCAACAAGGCGCCCAAAGAGAGCACAGTGAGCGCTCCATGGTCACAGGATTTGCAGCAGATTGAGAGCAAGGACCCTCCCAAGCCCACAGTTCGTGATCTTACCATGATCTCTCGGGATCAAATACGTGTCTGCATTGCTGAGGACAATCTAATCAACCAGAAGATCGCCGTCAAGTTTGTCACTGGCCTCGGTCTGCAATGCGAAGCTTATAGCGACGGGCGGCAAGCTGTTGAAGCCTTACGCACACGCTCAAAGGAAGGGAACCCATTCCATATCGTTCTGATGGATGTGCAGATGCCGGTTCTGGATGGATACAATGCAACGCGCGAGCTTCGCAATGACCCAGATCCCAATGTGAACGAGGTTCTCGTAATTGCTATGACAGCAAGCGCTATCGAAGGAGACCGGGAGAAGTGCCTCCAGGCAGGAATGAACAACTACTTGCCGAAGCCGGTGAGATCACCGATCTTGAGTGACATGTTAGATAAATATCTCGCACCGGCACCTGCGTTTCCAAAATCCAGATTAGCGATGCGAGAGAAGCGCACGGGTAGTAACGGTCAAGATATCAGCATGTCTAACAGTTTTTCGTCTGGATCCTCGGGTCTATCGAGCTCGCCGAAGTAGATGGCAATTCAGGTGCCAACGTCAGCTGAGGACAAATGGCGCCTTTCGAACTCGGGGATGCCATGCTGATTTGTTTCTTTCCTTGTTTTTTTGATATTTTCCCCTAACGACGCATGATAAGCGGTGTCCTGGGATAGACAGCATACTGCTTTATTACTGCTTTCCCTTCTCTGCTTTTTTAGACTGTTTTTTCTCTTATATTTTCTCTTCTTCTACTCTCAAGACTATATATAATTCGTGACGTCTGTACGATCTTGCCATCAGATATCCCTACCTGTTTCTGTCTTTCTTTGTTTTTTGAATTACTTTTTGTCCCCTTTTCTATATCATCATGAGCATGATGATGACATTTGCTGTTGGGCCGGGAGAGTTCCATCCAGCAAACGTAATACATCTGGAGTCAGGTAAATGTTTGGACATTCTGAGCTGTGATGATATTGTCAACTTCAGTGGCCATATAGCATTGTGTTAAACATATTGGGAACAGTGCTCGACCTCATCTATCGATGTATCTACGTACCAGTTTAATTTGCTAGTGTCTATAACTGAAATTCCTCTCTTTTAGTTGCTTCGCTCCATGCAACTATATCCCTTGGATGACCCATATAGAAGAAAATAAGAAAGGAGCTTGTGCAACGTCCTCCACACATATAATTACGGAGTAATCGTTGACTGTGTAGCTTGCTGAGACCATCTTACGGTTGAAGCACATTGTCTCTGCAGGTATGCTGCAGATGCCCGTCGTCAACATGGCAACGCCATGTGGGAGAGGCTCTAGGTCTGTTAAGTAGTACTAACTACCTTTCTTTCCATAAACTCGTAGATGTACATCTATATTACCTTGTCCTACATTTACTGGAGCCTCGCTTTATCCTCTTCTCCATCATGCCATGTTTAATTAATTTAATCACCCGTGGTATTCTTGATGGTTGAATAATCCCCATGCACGTACAATTTAATCAGGCTTAGTATGAATGATTGCTATTTAAGTAGCGATCACAGAGGGTCTAGGTCGGCATGCTTCAAGCTCATGGGTACATGCAGAAAAAGAATATTCTCTCTTATTTCCTATTCCGGGTATTTTGGTACGGGCTGATTGAGGACGAGCTGTTTGGGAGTAACCAAAAGGCCCCGTAGAGGGACAGGGATGCTCCCTGTTTTACCTAAATAAAGTCTTTCTATCTAAGCTTTTGAACGAGAGCATTAATTATTTATTTATTATTGTGCAAACAATGATGTTCTTGGTTTTGGTGGTTTGTTTGCTTGTCCGTTGATTTGACGCAGGGTCTTGACAACTTGCATGACGATCCAGCAAAACAAAAGTCCTAATGTAGACCAGTTAATGAATTGAGACTGTTCATGTCTATCTAACCATGGAGATGGAATATGTATTTATGTCCTACCCTCTATATCCAGGCAGTGTTACAGAATCCTGTCCAGCCTCCTCCTTCTTAAGGAACTCCTACTCTTTACTCTCTCCCGGGAGATCTTTACGGAACAAACAAGAGCAAGAAGGAAAAGAAAAAAAAAAAAGGAGACAGGAAAGAAGGACAAACACTCTGCCCACGTAGGTGAAACAAATAAGTCCATGTTCATCCAGTTTTTCAGTGACTGACTGCCATTTACCTCTTCACCGTCTCCTTATTGTGTGCAATTTCCCGTATCACCTTTTCCTGCTTGCTTGCTTGAGCGTCTGTCTTTTATTTTTTTTTGTCCCTCTGTCTGTCGGGTTGATTGATTGATTGCCCTAGTTTCATTGACTGATTTCGTCAGGCAATGGGATATAATAAGTGAATGAATTTCTCTTCTACCTTCCTCCCTTTCCCTCCGTATTTACTGTCTTCTTCTACGTGAGAATTGATCCGATTTTGTCTTTCGGGTTTATTTGCCATTGAGAGCATACTGTACAATCTTCGGTTTTCCTGCGTCGATTATCCAATTGCATAGAACAGCAGCAACAACGCGAACTACCTATTCCAGTCGCAGGTTGTTAGGAAAAGAAGAGAGAAAGGAGCCCACAGTCACAGTCAGTCGCAAAAACAGTTACCACGCAAATATGCCGTCCCAAAAGCAAACCCACTACGACACCTCGCTTCCCGAAGTCCACGGGCTCGTGTACGACGAGTCGGAAATGGCCCTGTTTCATGCAAAACTATCCTACCACTCCACTGTCGACGAGCGGATGGCCTCGCAAGATACCAACCTCGCGTCCATCTGCGAGCACCAGGCCCGAATCCTCAAACGCTGGGAGATGCTGAAGCAAGTAGAGAAGGAAATGGCCGATAAGGGGAAGAATCTGTCGCCTGCCGAGAAGAAACAGTTGGCGCAGTACGAGTGGCGGTATAAGAGGTTAGAAGAACTGGCTACACAGACGACCGGTGGCTGAACCAGGTTGTCTTTCTGCTGTCCGTCTGCTCATCATTACCTACCTATCCTGGAAAAAGCATTGACGTCGCGGTGTTTTTCGAGTTTTCTCATTCTGTCGGCATTTTTAGATTAGACGTCGGGCAGATCGGGGATGCCTCTAATGTATACTCTGGATTCGCTTCCGGGTGGCATCTCCGGCGTTGCTGGTGGTTTTGTCTGTTCTTCATCTCTTTACTTTTCTTCTGCTGTGACTCCCCTCTTGTACAATCACTGTTAATCGAATAAATTCTGCCGTTTAGATCACACAGCCCAACACAACACAAAGGAATTACTCTCATAATTCACCTCTCCAAGTTTAGTTTTTTTTTTTTTTTTTTCTTTTTCGTATCATTTCCATTTGGGGTAAGAAGCGCTAAATCTAACTAGGAAGCTGATCTAAGTGGCAGAATCCCACGTGATCTAACAAAGGTGACGTGGATCAGGGGTGCGGCGTCTGGATACCAGATACTAAAAGGATAGCGTAGGATTCGTAGGGATCGTGGCGAACGCTCTATATCGATATACTGCCGTCTCTAGTACATCGTGAAGCTCTAAACCATGCGCTTAATCGCTCAGCTCATGCGCTCGCTTCCTTGAGCTCGCTCTTCTTGTATATACAGGATCCGGGATACTCGGGTATGGTCATCTTTCCTCGCGGAATATATATACTCCGTATCCTGGGACCGGATTATTAGATAATCCACCTGTTCGAAATACTATAATAGTCACGTGTCAAAGCTAGCTGACTAACATCCATGTGAGTTCTGACAGTGGGATTGTATAATAGACTTACAAAAAACACATGCAGCTTCATGAAACGAGTTCACCCCTCTGTTCCTGATGGCTGATATTGCAAGTAAGACTCCTTCTTTCTCATCTGAATTACTTGAGCTCGTATATACCTTTGGTTACATGGTGGATAGTTGAATTGCCTTAATTTTTTGGGCATAACCAAAACGCGTGAGTGCCTCTTGATTATTCGCCTCTATGGCATTATAGTAACCTGATATCAGCATCTCATCTTCACCCTTGTTCCCCATTTCCTCCAATATTTTTTATTGGTCTCCTGATGCCTTAGTTTGTGTTATTTCCAATTTGAAATAATTGATTATTGCTGTAGGTTTCAGAAAATATGGGAAATGCAAGCATGATAGCAGTCCATTCCTTCCTCGCCAGTCTTCCTGTCAATGAGGATTCAAACGAATCTTCTGACCAGAATGAACTTTCCACAAACTGCGACGCCAACGAAAACCGGTGTCAAATTGAGCTTCAAAATGTATCAAGTCTGACGCGAGATAAGCTGTCTTATTCTGATAACTCTTTCAACCACGACTATGGCAAGCATACTACCTCATTAACAATGTCTGCAAAAACGTCGAAGACAATCAACTATACAGATGCGGACTTTGTTATTGAACTGGAGATGAGAAATGTGGTTTAAACTCAGAGTTATTACCACGTAACTGGGAGCAAATGCTCCAACAGATCAATACACCTGTTGTTGATGTGCCCACTAGAGTGCCTGCTGAAGCGCTTGCTATGATGCCAACTCCTCCCCAGCTTAAAAATGCAAAGCAAATACTATTGGCAGCACCAAATAAGGTAACAATAACATGGGCAGTATTACCAGTGCTTATTTCAATTAATTAGCTCATTCTGTCATCAGCATATGACGCAGTACCTGATGCAAATTAGAAGTGTCCACCTCTGCTGCCTATTGATGACACCAACAGCAAGTTAATAACACCAAAGCCTAATCTCACAGTTGGCTACAGGCATACCAATATCAAGGCATACAAAGCTGTTGCTGAACTCAAACCTCTTTCTACACCTGTTATCTGTCAGCCAGGATTGATTTTCCCATCCTTGACTCTTGAGAACAAGAGCTTATAGAGCACCTATTATTCTATGCTCCAGAATCACCTGAATGCTGCTTATATGCTCTGAAACTTCTATATATTGAGATCTTGTGCTGGTGATCCAAACTGAGAATCGCAATTTTATGACAGAATCACTGTCATAACTGCCTCGTTATCAAAAGAGAAAATTGGTGTCTATGGCCATTGGATTGGACAGGATCACAAATATGATTCACACACACTTAGAACCTGGCCCACTGAACATGATAATTACACTAAGATCTGGTGTTCAGTAATAATCGCTATCTATATGATATTGAAGAACAATGAAGCTTGGATACCAGTGATCTTCAAAGAATTCCAGAATCTTTGCAGTTAAAGAAAAGGGCCAGAACATCTGACACTGAATCTCGAATAATCAAAAAATCAAAACAATAATAACAGTTGGGACCTTATCATTCAGCATTAAATGTCTACAGAATGTTGAGGATTGCCTGCATGGCTGGGCTCACATGCAGAGATCGAGCTGCTGCCCAGGGTGATAGCAAAGTTCTGGTGAAACTGGAAGATTTCTTTGCTTGTCTAGGGTCACAGGATAGACAGCTGGATGATGCCGGTTTGTGCGACGATTCTATGAGATCTTATACAGTATGTATCCTTATTGCGCATTACTTAGCTGAGTGTTGGATGTATGGCCCCCCTAGACCAGCTCCAAATCCAGAGCTTCTGTGTTCGAGTGAGGGGTGTACCGCGGTGATCACTAGCTTTGTTGTATGAGGCACTCAATGGCTTCGTGGGTTAAGTTTTATACCCCTCTAGTAGTCCCTGTGTAGCAGAAACCGAAGGGGGCCGGCGGTGCCATTTCTAGCATTGTCTGCCGCCGAAAATGGCAGCTCAGGACCAAATGGAAATTCACATTTCGGAAGATTGCGACGTCGGAGACCTCCGAGAGGGGCTGGTTGCTGGAGATACTCAGGGTTGAGGGAGCACAGAGGACCCGTCGACAATTGCACAGGAGATCGGGTGTCAGCAGAGGACGGCGAGTGAAGAGGGAATGGATCAGTGCATGGATTCATTGTCCGTGGTCTGCAGCATGCACTGGGTATCCTGAAGAGAAGATAATTCAATCGAGTAACTTGAAGACAGACTATCTTATCGATTGCGTACTCGGCGGGGTTAATCCATTTAAGTGTATAAGAATCCGCAATGACTTCATCCATCAACTTCCTCTTCAACTCAATTCAATTTCTCTCCTCTCTTCATCACCAGAATCACATCTCCAACCATGGCAGCCTCCCAGCCCTCCCTCATCCCCTCCGACGAAATCGATCGCGTCTTCGCACACACCACCAACCTCGCCTCCTCGGCTCTCAATAGCAGAATTGTCGCCCGCTCCAACGATTACTTCGCTGCTGCAGAGAACCTCCTTACTCCCACTGCTCCAATTCACCGTCCCGGAGTCTTCGTCCACACCGGCGCCTGGTATGACGGGTGGGAGACGAGACGGCACAACCCCAATCCCTACGACTGGGTCGTGATCAAACTGGGCGTGGCCAGCGGCACCATCCAAGGCGTCGAGGTCGATACGGCTTATTTCGTGGGCAACTACGGCGAGAAGGCCGAGCTGCAGGCGACCTTCGCCCCCGCCCTCACGGACGAGGAGATTGGAGATCCCAACTACCCCGACTGGAAGACGATCCTTCCGGCTCAACCATGCGGTCCCTCGCAAAGACGTGCATGGAAGCTGAACGACTATGATCCTGCAAATCCCACCCCTTACACCCATGTGAGGTTGCTGATGTACCCCGATGGTGGATTTGCCCGCTTGCGGCTGTACGGACAGGCTATCCCGCCGGCTCTCCCACCGCAAGGCGGCCCAGATGGCAACAAGGGCCTTCTACCGCTCGTGGAAGAGGAACTGTCATCTGCGTTGCTAGGTGGGCTGGCCCTGGGTGCATCGGACCAGCACTACACTCCATGCTCGAACCTGCTTCTTCCAGGACGAGGCAAGGATATGGGTGACGGCTGGGAGACTGCACGCTCGCGTGCCCCAAACCACGTCGACTGGGCCATTATCAAACTGGGCCTGCCTGGATCCATCAGCAAGGTGGTTGTCGATACGAAAGATTTCCGCGGCAACTTCCCGCGAGCTGTGCGGGTGCATGGATTGCTGGCGAGCACCAAGGCGGAGAATCCGGGACACGATCACCCTGGATGGGTGGAGATTGTGAAGGGTGACAAGCCCTGCACGGCTGATACGGAGCATGTCTTTGAGGGGGCTGATTTGGTTGCTGGTCATGAGGATACGCATGTCTTCTCGCATGTTAAGCTGACTCTTGTGCCTGATGGAGGAGTGAAGCGGTTCCGGATCTTCGGTAGGAGGGTCGTTGGCTGAGGGTATGGATCACTGTTGAAAAGGGAAAGCAAGGAAGGAAAAGTATTATTGAATACTATACATATATGCTGTGTTATTACAAAATGATACTGTTTGAAGTATGTCGAGGTAAATTAGGATTGTTCCATTTCTCCGATATTGGCATAGAACTTCAACCATCTGCACGTTCTACTCGGTTCATTGCACATACCAGAAATAGTTTCGATCAAATAATACAGCAGGATCCAGGATCTCCTAGCCTTCTCATCTTCAAAAAAAGAGATAGAGGCAAGTTAGCCTTGAAAATCCACGCCAGTTGGCTAAGAAAAGTAGATAAAGTACATGTCTCATACAGTTTTGAACACAGAGAACCATCTCATCTCTTCACATCTCCCTCGTTCATGCAGGTAAACATGCAAATCAGTACAGAAAAAGCTAACCCTGCCCCACATAGTTCAACATTTCCCCATGCAAGAAGAGAAAAGAAAAAGAAGACAGAAGCTAATGATAGTCTGTGGTTGTTCATCATCCACAAGAAGGACATCTTTAGGCCTAACAAACACCCATTCATCCTCCACTCCAAAGCCCTAGACTGATGGCCTGCAATGTTGAGGTGTGTATGCGGAAGCAGAAGACGAAACAAAATCGTGGGGTTCTGTAGATTTGAAGCCAGTCCCAGAGACCGAACCAGTCGATTAGTCGCTCACAGGTGAGGTGGATTTATAGACCCATCTGCTGCGGCCTGGGCAGGGGTGATTGGAACCTGACATGTCTGCCCGGGAGGGGGACAGACGCAGTCGCTGAGGGGGACGCGGAGGAGTTCGACTGCTGATTCTGTCTGCAGCACTCGCCGCCCGCAGTACCGTTCATATGAATAGAATCAGCAGCAACAACAGCGTTAAGAGCCGCAGAAGTCGGGTGATGAGGATGTCTGAGAGCCGCGCCGGGGTAGGGACTGCCAGAGCGACGGGATGGCTTGGACGCACGCATTCTGGGGCCGAATTCTTCGAGAAACAGTTCCCACATATCCACGTGGGCAATCTCGCCCTCCCTGGTTATGCCGCGGAGAATAAGGAGACGATTCATGTCTTGTTGGAACTGGGCGTTATCCTGGCCCGAGGGCCGACAGGGGAAGACGCGTCCTGGGAGCGTATGGCGGATATAGACGTCTGTGAGTCTTGCTAGGATTTGCTGGATTTCACTTTGGACTCTGGCCATTCTGCATAACCTTTTTTTCGAGAAAGATTCGTATCAATTCATTAATGTGAAGGAGAAAGGAGGGTAGAGGTAATCGAACAATTTGGAGAAGTGAGGCTTTGTGAGGGTTAACGCGAGGAAAGGGAAGAAGTATAGACAAAAGAGAAAAGACAATATATAACATCACAAACTGCCAAAGCAAACAAGAGCGAAAAGCTCACTCAGTGGATCTGCTGGAAAGACCTACAATTTCACTGTCTTGTCTCCTTCTTTACTTCTAGATATCAGGAAGTGAATGCTGCTTTGGACAGCAAAGGCTTCTTCTTTCTGGGAAGGATAGGATGGCAGGCACTATTTCCTCTCAACATCCAGCCCACAGCATGCCATGATACCTCCAGACATTTACTTGGTAATAGTAGAGGTATCTGCAGCAATTCCTTCGGTCTTCTCCTGGGTGCTCGTCTCGAAGCTGGTATTGCAGCTGTGGTATGGCATCGCCGTTGAAATTGGAAGCCCCGCCAACAAACGAATCCTCCCCTGTGGGTTTCGGGGCGGAAAACGCAGTATTGTAGGCCAGCGGTATATTTATATGGTATATCTCATCAACAATTTTCAGCATAGAAAAACACACGTGTGTTGTGCCCTGGCATTGCAGTGAATTTATATTGAGTTAATTATACTCGGCATAACTAGGGCCTGGGGCTGGGGCTAGGGCTACGTCACGCGCCGGTCCGTGTTCTTCGCGGTTATCGCCGCGTCCTCGTCTTCTTCTCTCTTCTCTTTCTCTTCAATCTTCATCATATCTTCGAATTATGACTCAATTCCCCCCGCACGGCCTTGACTCGGAAGCCATGCCGTTCCGATTAGGAGATTCGGAGTAAGCCCGTCGCCAAGTGAGGGGCTGGGTCTTCTCAAATGTCCTGCCTGATAAGACGGGCTTGTCCTCATAATAATAATGTCGCCGGACGAGTCTTCGTCACTGTTTCTTCTCGGAATCAATCATTCCGCTCTGGCTCTGTACATTCATTCTTGGCCCGTGTCAGTGTGGTGAACCCGTGACACATCAATATGTCGTCCATTGGTCCAAGAAAGCTCGCTCTCAAGGGCACGCCCAGAGAAGTACGTACAACTCTTACCAAGTTACCAACCGGCATCTCTGAGTCCTAACTCGGCCACTGCCTAGATTGGTCTCGAACATGGCCGTTCCCTGCAGGCTCAAATCAAATCCCAGATCGCCATCTACACGGATATGTTCGCCTACACGTCCAAACTCAACTGGGAAGGCGTCCGGACGGCGGCCGAAGATTTTCGTTCCACGATTGAGAAGTTGACCCCATCCATCTATGAGGAAATCGTGGGTATCGCCGAGGGTGCAGGGTTGGATGTCTTGGATATTGTGGCGTTGAATAGTCGTAGTGAGACTGCTCTGGGTCTGTTTTCGGACGGGTGCACCAGTTTCTCATGGAAGAATGACGATGATGGTCATGGACGCGTTTTGGCTCAGAATTGGGACTGGGTGGGCACCATTAAAGAGAATCTTGCTATGGTCTCTATCGAGCAGGAGGGGAAGCCTAAGATCTATATGGTTACGGAAGTGAGATTCTTTTCACCGTTCTCGTTCTTTCGTCCTTCGTCCTGTAAAAGACATAGTTTAAATGAAAAGAGGTTTGCTAATTCATGTGTGTATATATAGGCAGGTATTGTTGGGAAAATCGGCTTCAATACCGCAGGCGTGGGAACCTGTCTCAATGCCATCCGTGCAAAACCGGTCATAAACTCCAAATTACCCATCCACGTTGCCCTACGGCTGTTTCTCGACAGTACGTCTGTGGCAAGTGCGATTAATACTCTGTCTTCTCTTGGGGGTGTTGCTTCTAGTCAACATGTTCTTGCCGCAGACCCTACAACTTCACTAGGGCTTGAACTTTCACCATTGGGAGACGTCCATCTTAAAGAAAACGAATCCGGCATTATAACTCACACGAACCACTTCATCGAAAACCGATACGTAAACGAGCCTCCATGGCTATCGGGGTCTCCGATCCGGTTGGAACGGATCAAACAGCTATCCCATGAGCTGGTTGTTCAGGGGGAGAAATTCACCCCAGCTTTGCTTAGGCAGAAGATATTCTCTGACACTTACAATGCACCACAGTCAATCTGTTGTCTTGGCGATCCATCCAGGGACGAGGCTGTGAGATCCAAGACCCTGTTTAACATCATCATGAATCTCGACCCAAAGGATCTTTGGGCTGAAGTTGTCTGGGGACAGCCAGGGATTGGAGAAGAGGGGACTACCGTTTTCAAGATGCCCTGGCTTTGATTTTCTATACAAAGCATTGTGATGGCTGAATGACAGAAACAATGGACCTGTTACTGAGACATATACATCGACTGCCATATTGTATCCCAGGCGAGACACCGAGATGATTCAGATTTCAACCAGAATTGATGGACAAGGACATATCCAGTTTCTTATGCAAGCTCTTTGTTATGCCGACAATATATAAACACCCCTGAGCGAAGCGGAAATAGATGTTCTCATTTTCTCTCATCACATTCTTTTCCTCCTTAACTCCTGAATATACATCAATACTCTCTCTATCTTCAATTGAAATTCCTCGAAACCCAGGACATCATCCTCTCCCATCATTCCTTTGAGGAATACGAAAAAACACCTACACCTAACCTAAGCACCCCATTCCCAAAAGCAAGCAACGATAAAATACACAAGCTAACTATTAGACAAAATGGTCATCTTCAAGAAGAATAAGAAGAAGGGCACGACAACCACTACAGCCAAACCCAAACCCAAGCCCGAACCCAAGTTCAAGCCCATTAAAATCGACCTACAGCGTGCCCTAGAAGCATACAAGACCAAGCTGAAATCCAAGTTTGCGTCTGCCGGGAATAGCAGCAGCAACGACAGCGTCTCGGTAGCTCGTGCTCGCAGCGATCTGTCGAGCATGAACTCACACTTGCCGGAGCTTATTTGCAATTGCTCCAAGGCATCGAAGCGTTCTAGGCGTTTCAAGCGCTGTAGACGTGATCATCGCCGTGATAGGTATGCGGATGAGGAGGAGTGTCGGTTGTGTTCTGATTGAGTTGGGCTTTTTATTTTTAGTATTGTGCAGGATTACAGTTCCCTTATGTTCTATGCATGGCTGGTTTCTTTTCTCCGGTTCTTATGCTTATCATCGATTGCTTTAGGATATATATGGTGTCAATATACCATTTCTGAAAGAGTCCCATTGGTTGGGTTGCCATCATTTCTTCTCCTACACAAGCCTCAGCGACTCACTGACCTGAGTCACATCTCTAGCACCAGTCCTTGACATCCTCTCAGAGCCTTAGCCACCAGTAGTGTGCTTGAACCTTTTGATAAGTACTCTCCCTGCCGTGGTGTCTGGTGTTGTGCCGGGGGCACTGCAAGCCCGTAGGTAGGACCCTCTTCCTCTTCCGCTTCCTTATCTTGAAATACTGTTGGGCCGCAGTCCACCATACTTAGGTATGGGGGAGTCCGTGGCGGAAGGGGTACTTAAGGCGAGCCTCTTCCCTAGATAGTTTCGAAGAATGAGCATACTTTTCGTTTTCAAGTTGCTTCACTAGTATCGTTATCGTCAGCGTCGGCGTCGTATAGTACGGAGTTCAGCTCCGTTCTCGTTGTATTCTTCCCTTTGTTATATCGTTTGTTTTCTTTACTAAATCGTATCGCGCCGTGTTGTATCGCAGCATCGTCTCGGTATATCCATTCCCAAGATCTCTTGACCGCAACTCGGTTCCTTTCGCAGGGAACAACGCACGTACGCCCCCCTTTACAGTAATCCTTGACATTATCTCTCTTTTGGCTGATCCTTTGGGTGAGTAAATGTCCATTCATGTCACGACCTAGCTCCTAGGGTGCATTCTAAGGACTAAACCGCTGCACTACCGGCAAAAGACCAGGATATCAGGTCGTAAGACCTGATACTGCACTCACTTATATAGTACTTGTTTTCCACGCCGTCACAGTCTGGATAATTAACGAGGTGAAGCAACTCAGTGGATATTATAATTTATAACATCAGATAGAAAAGCATAGCCAATGAGGCATGATGAATACCTAATTATTAGAAAGAAATGCAACTTTCGGTTAATAATTATTGATGCTTGTTGATTTGCAATCTGCAACGCTGTTCGCGTTATTATCTGATGCTGCGGGGAAACGCCACATATTTTCCGTTCTCTTATCTATATAGCTTTCAAGTTTCCATCTCTCTTTTCATCTACCCATCTTATATTCCCCCAGGCGGGATCCTCGTGTTGATCTTGATTGATTATTTTGGAGAAGTATCCCATTTGTCGTGACATCATGGCCTCACCAGAACAGCGACAGCAGCATCGGCAAGATCCAACACAATACGAGCCATTGCTGGGACAGACAGGAGATGTTGGCCATCTTAAAGAAGACGGAATCTATCGGAATCTATTTACTGGTGGGTTCTTTTCTTTTCTCTTTTCCCTGGGCAGTAGATGAACATATACTGACGACTTGTACAGGAACGGCAGCTATTGCTCAGGCTGGAGTGCTGATTGTAAGCTCCAAATCACTTCATTCTCTTCTAATATAAGAAACAATACCTGGAAGCGCAATGGGAATATGTGATCCGAAGAATGGCGTCTGACTCTCCCAGCTTGTCGCTCTCGTTTGGTCCGGCATCCTCTCAAATCAATTGATTTTCTTCTCTCCTCACCCTGTAAGAGATGGATTGAATCCTCCCAGATATGCGAGACAAACACTGTTCTCGGCTAGTGGTTAACAATGAAAGCTCCTGAATTCCTCCGCCCTCCTCCTCCAGGTCCAAGCTGCGCTCATCCTCCAACCAACCACCACCTCAACACCAAGAACCAAGCTCCTTGGAACCAAGGTCCACTACGTCCTCCAGTCAATCAGCATCCTCGCTTTCCTCTCCGGCCTGATCATCATCGAGATCAACAAAGGTGATCACCCTCGCTTCACCTCCTTCCACGGTGTGGTCGGTCTGATCACCTACATCAGCATCGTTCTACAAGCCCTCGTAGGAGTGATTCAGTACTTCTTCCCGGCCCAGATCCTCGGCAGTGTGGGGAGAGGGAAGCAGATCTACAAATACCACCGCTTGTCGGGTTATGCGTTGCTGGTGTTGGAGCTGGTTGCTGTTTTGGCTGCTACGCAGACGACGTATAATGTTAATATTTTGAAGATTCCGTTCTACCCTGTTGCTGGGGCTGGTTTGTTGCTTCTTGTTGGGGTGGGGAGTAGGGTGCAGAGACAGAAATTGGGTCTCTAGGTGTGCGGACTCGATATTTCGAGACTGCAATGATGGAGATAGTACACAGTGGCTCGGGTAACGAGAGTCGGTATCTAGTGTATAGCTGACTTCTGCCTAGCTAGAATAGCTGCTGTGGACTGATTTGGGATCGTCAGGATTAGCATTCTAATACCAACGGCTGTTCTTCTAAAACGGGCATATGTACCTTTTATTCCATATGCTTTACACCACTATATTCAAGGGGCACTCTTGCAGGGTAGATACATGCATCTAAGTTAGTAGCAATTTCCGGCTTAGATAATTGATTTTCTTTGTCCTCTATTCCACACTTAATGATTTTGCACTTCTGCTCCTCAGCAAGTATAAATGGGAACCACAGCGAATTTCCTGGGTAAGGTAGCCTTGTTGGTTGATATTTAAATTGAATATAAGGAAAACCACCTAGTGTCCTGACTTCTTATCGAGAGGATTGTGTTACTGAGCATTGTCAAAAGCGAGCCCTCTTCTTGCTCCCCTCTTTCCTTTTGTTTCCCATTCACTCTCATTTTCAGGGCAGTCATACTAGAAGCATCTTGTACATGCTATATTCTCAACTACTTTGTAATCTCTCCTCCAGAGCAAAAAGTTATTCTGCAAGTCTTCCCATTTCCGTCATCCATGGAGTCAACAGCAAGTAACCATGACGTCCAAACCCATGGGACCACCATTGGCCCTAGCTTCAAAGGCCCCAGCTTCAAAGAGACAAAGAATGAGCTTGATGAAAAATCATAAGGATCTGGATGTTTAGTGAAGCAGTGAAATATGAGGTCAAGCAAGTAACAGGGGTTAACTGCTTCGCATGTGATACTGCATCAGTCCAGATTGCACATGTTACCAGCAAAGAAGATACCCCAGTAAGTGCTGCTATTGACAGACATCTTGCAAATTTGACTATTGAAATAGATACCTCTGCTGTGTGAACAAAATCTCATTAACTTCGATATATGTGGTGCCCAGAATGGTGTACCTTTGTGTCCAACTTGCCATGTAATGGAACTGTCAAACTCCATGGAATATTCAGGATGGAGAGAGTTCTTCTGATACTGCACTTTCGGACATAGGCTCTGGAACCTCCTCGTCATGTGATGAATTGGATAACCCCATGCTAAGATACCATGGGATCCTCGAAATGGGGTTTGTCAGATGACTTACAACATTTGGGCAGGGGGCTATTTGCATAGCCCATAGCAGCGGCATCGCCGAAACCATGTCCATTTGCCCTATGCATATCCCAGGTTACGTGCATCCTGGCATATGTCTTGGTTAGTAACTAACTAGATAGGCCGACGTGGTGGGAAAGGTCAGCGAGGGAGGACCTAAGCGGCAGAATCCCACGTGATCTAACATTGAGAGGTCCGGGCATAGACGAGGACCGCAGTCTGCGGGCGTATCTAGCGGAGCACGAATACGAATTGTAACTACTAGTGTGTATATACAATATGCAATATAGATCCATTCATCCATTCATTCCATTAATAGTGTGAATAGCATCCAGAACAACCCCCACAAACTCTTCTCCAACTCCAACATCGCTCTGCTGCCAATCCCCCTGCGCCTCCCCTGAAACACAAAAGTACCTATGTCCCATCTGCCGCGCCAGGTTGCGGAATCCCCGGTGCTCCAGTCCACCAGGCAAGATCTCGACCATCGCCGACCCCGGCCGTAGAAACATGCCATGAGTGAGACCGGCGCCGTGCACGCCAACCAGCACGTCCGTTTCGCGAACAACACGCAGCTGCTCTTCAAAGGATAAAGCAGCAAAGTCGACCACTTTTATCCCCGCAGTAGTAGTAGTGGTGGTGGTGGTGTTGAACAGCGCATCCCTGAGCGACGCGAGGTGCTGCTCTTGGTTTATGAGTCTCCGTTTCTCCCGGCGGTCGATGAAGGTTACTACTGTCTTTCTTTTGCTTCCGCTGTCTGCACTTTCACTTTCATTTTCAATAATATCCAGCCGGTAGAAGACAAGAACCCGCTCCACAAACACCCGCAGCAGCTCCGAGCGCTGACAGGGTAAATCCTCCCAGTCGCCCTGCCAGAACGGATTACTTCCGCCGGGCAGGGGCAGGACGATGTTCATCGTCTCCGTGGGCTTGGTCATCTCGTTCAGTCGGATAGGTTTTGTGGAGGAGGGATGCAGAGACCACAGATCAAAGACGGGACCATCGTGCAGCTCGTCCAGGATGATGACTTTGGCGTTGATATCTTCTTTTTCTTGTTCTTCTCCTGTGAACATCCGCAACACGTCCATCGACATCTGCACGGAGAATATCTCCAGCAGCGAATGCCAAAGGTTGTAATTGCTCGCTTCGCGCTTCACGAGGATCGCATACTTGCGTTTCTGCTTCTGCTTCTGCTTCTGTGTCTGTCCCTGCTGCACATCCAAAGCAGAAAACTTCACATACTCCCTCAGCACATACTCCGGCCTCGTCTGATACCAATACGCCGGAAACCGCCGGCTGCGTCAGTTCGTATCCTGCCTCCAGCCCTGCACGGCCGTCCTCGCCAGATCCGGAAACACAGAACTTGGATCCACCACCATCAGCGGGCATTTGACCATGGGTGCAGGCAATCACTGTTGCATACGAGCAGAAAGACATGTCGCTGTTCACAACGTCAGCGGCAACAATAATAGTGAGCTCGACAGGCGCAGGGCCATCAACTATATCCATGCCCGTAATACCGACAGCAACAGCAACATCATCATCATTATCGTTGTCGTCATCGTTGTCGTCGTCGTCGAGCCCAGACAAGTCCAATAACAGCACAGGCCTCTCCCCTGGCGCAAAAGCAGGCATTGGAGTCGGCGTCTCCATCGGAGGACTCATCATTCTCGCCCTAATCTCCTTCCTGCTCGTATCCCGTCGACGCCGTCGACAGCATCAGCTAGCACGGGAAGCAGATTACACCATTCCAAGTAACGGCGTGCTCGCAGAGGCAGATGCAGATGCCACAGCTCGACGGAAGTATGTGGCGGAGATGGAACAAAGGGATAACCCCGTTCCTGTTGCTGAGATGGATGCCGCGAAGCATGTTTCTTCTTCTCTGCCGGTGAGGTATGAGCTTCAAGGGTGATTGGTTTTTTATTTTTATTTTTATTTTTCATTTGATACCCCCCCCTTCCTTCTTTGTTTATATCTAGATATAGACATAGGCCTGATCGGTTTGCCGCCCGGGTACCCCAATGCACAAAAAATATTTTGCGGATGTAAGTACCATCACTCTGATCATCTGTTCAATCTTGATTATTGTAGTCTCATGGTGTTAGTTCAAACCAGTCAAAAGCTGGTTCTGCAAGGTATGTTGATGCAAATAGTACCTTAACAGCTTTGGTGTCAAGCCTTTCTCATTCAATTGAATTTATTGGTTGATCTTTGTCAAGAATTCTCCTGTCAAAGGGTTCAGGTGGTCAGATCTTGATGCTTTAGGATGCTAGCTTGGGGGTTATGTCAAACAAAGGGAAGTGATGAGGATATAGTAACCTGACTATTTCGGACAGGTGGATTATCTAATAATCCAGCTCCGGTATCCGGAGTATATATGTTCCGAGAGGAAAGGTGCCTATACCCTGGTTCCCCGAATCCAGCATATATGAGAGTGATTAAGCATTAAGGCATGTCAATTAAGAGCTTCACGATGTCCTAGATACGGCGGTATGTTGATATAGAGTGTTCACCACGAATCCTACGAATCCTATGGCATATATTGGGTAAACACCTGAGTGTTAATTGTGCATAGTTGTAGTTGTTACTATCACAGCGAGTCACGTCACATTGCCCAAAATGGCAAACGGCTAGCAATTTCCCCCCCAAAAAAACAGACGACTTCATTTCGACCTTGAACTCTTCCCAGCACTTCAACAAGTACTGCAATCCCCATCACACATGGCTACCGCTCAAACTTCCTATGTATGTCTCAATTGCAGAATCTCCAGCGGACTACGACTACCTCGTTCTCTCCGTCGCGGTTTTACCACCTCCCTCCGTCGCTCGGATAACCTTCGACCCGCAACAGCACCCAAGCAGACTCCGGATATCAGACACATCCGAGACAATGCGGAGCTATACGCGAAGAACTGCATCGAGCGCAATTACGCGTCTCATGCAGAATTTCCAAAGAGGATACAGGATCTAGCCGAGGAGGCCCGACGACTGGACCACGACCTCAAAGCTCCGCGGACTCGAATGAAGCAGTTGCAAAAGTCCATTACAAAATTGGTCTCTGAGAAAGGAGAAAATGGTGCTACAGCTGCTCTTACGGAGGACAGTAATGTGGATGAAAAAGGTCTAGCGTCTCTCCGACAAGAAGCACAGCGATTGAAAGACGAATCCTACCAGATGACCACGCGAAGAGAAGAATGCGCGGAAGAAATCCACCGTCTGGCTCTGTCTCTGCCGAATCTGTCATCGCCCGAGACGCCCATTGGTAATGACCCGAGATTAGTCGGATACGTTAATTTCGATCCGAATTCGCCTCCCGCGTGGACGTCGAATATTGACGCGGCACGACGACGCTCGCACGTCGCCATCGGCGCGTCTCTGGGACTCATTGATTTTGCGTCGTCCGCTACAACGACCGGGTGGGGCTGGTATTTTCTCACGAATGAGGGCGCGTTGCTGGAACAGGCTCTCATCCAGTATGCGCTGAGCGTCGCACGTCGGCGCGGGTGGAAGGTCGTGTCCCCGCCGTCTGTCGTATACTCGTACATCGCCGAGGCGTGTGGGTTTCAGCCCCGTGACCAGAATAACGAGCAGCAGGTTTGGTCCATCGAGCAGAGCGAGAAGGATAAAGCAAAGCCCCAGCGGTCGCTGACGGGGACCGCTGAAATTCCACTGGCCGCTATGTACGCTGGCAGGGATATCGACGCGTCTGAGCTTCCTGTTAAACTCGTAGCGTCGAGTCGGTGCTATCGCGCTGAGGCTGGAGCTCGTGGCGTGGATACAAAGGGCCTCTATCGCGTTCACGAATTTACCAAAGTGGAACTGTTTGGCTGGGCGGATAACCTTCCTTTGACCCAGGAAGAGCAACAGCAAGGACAGACGACATCAGACACCCTCTTCTCAGAACTGCTGGAGATCCAAACCGAAATCCTCACCTCGCTCAATCTCCCCTGCCGAATCCTCGAAATGCCCACCACGGATCTCGGTGCCTCCGCAGCCCGGAAACGCGACATCGAAGCCTTATTCCCCTCTCGCCTTCACGCGGGCAACAACCCCACCACCACGGATCTAGAAATGGCATGGGGTGAAGTCACCTCCGCGTCTATCTGCACGGACTACCAGACCCGCCGTCTGGGTACTAGGGCCCGTGGAGGTGCGGTGAAAGGGTCCCGGTTCCCTCACACCGTCAACGGAACCGCCATTGCCGTTCCGAGAGTTCTGGCCGCTATCCTGGAGAATGGCTGGGATGAGAATCGGGGTCTTGTTGTCGTCCCTGAGGTGCTGAGAACCTGGATGGGTATGGATGTTATTGGGGATGGGCGACGTTCGTAGATTCGGAACAACTTCTTGGTATAACTGGATTTTGCTGTACTATATGTGGCCATGTTGTACTATAGCCATATTTCGTATTGTATTTTTCTCAACCCACTTAGATGTTGTATTGAATGTGTTCAAGAGATCAACTATCAGAGAACCAGATTAACCGAACCAGAAAAGAGCATCATTATTCATATTACATGTCATAAATCATGGGCGCATGGCAGAAACATCAGGACAAACAACAGTCATCAGAGTAGAAAAGAAAAAAAAAAGAGAAATCGGACTAGAAATTCAACCACTCGCCATAGTCATCGAAAGTAATTGAGCAGTGAAAAGGATCATATAACATAACCATATGTTAGGGTATCAAAAATTTCGGCATAAAGAAGCATTAAAATGAAACGGCAAAAAAAAAAAAAAAAAAAAAAAACACCAGAAACAGAATAAAAAAGTGAAAAAGAAAGATCATCAATCCCAAGGGAGATCCTCATCTTCGACTCTTGTGCAAGTCAAATACGGCGGACCGTTGATTACGGCATCGCCTATTCGGTAGCTACCAAGCTCGCCGCCTTTCAGATCCAATTCAAGGAAGTTTCTCAAGAGCGGTTTGACGATCTCGCGTGCCAGCCGTTTGATTTCGTCCATTTTTCGTTCGAACCGTTTCAACACGTCTCGCGTATATAGACAATCTGACGATGACGTGGGGTGTACTTTGAGGAATCTTTTCAGTTCGTCGTGAGGTAGATACGCTTGTGTTGAAGGCGAGCCGATGAGGCGGTAGATCGACGCAGGTGGTACTGGTACAGAGGAGCTGACGGTGGTGGGAGGCGTTCCCAATGTCGAAGACCCGGAGGCTTGAGAACGTTGACTTGGAGCACGTGGGGAACGGCCGCTATGGGATGCGGAGTTTGTATTGTTAGACGTCTTGAGAATTGGGGCCGGTGGAGGTGTGGTGCTGTCGACCAGCCACTGCCGGAATAAGGAGACAGCTAGCCAGTCAAGGTATGCATTGTTAGGATTGACGCGCTCCCCACGGGATGTGGTAAGTGTCAGGCGAAAGAGCTTTGATTCCACGCGCGCTTTGAGGTCTTCCAAGTCCTCAACCTTGTCTTCGATGAGATCAAGCACTGACGTGGGGACCGGAGTGTATGATCCATTCCGTAGGTGAGGCAATGCTGCAGGCCATTGTCCAACTACATGGATAAGAGCCTCGGTAAAAATGACCCGACTCCGTGCTAAATATCCTAATTTGAGGTAGCTTGGAGGGTATTTAGCTATCTGTTTGAAGAGTCGAGATCCAAAACCCAGCAGATGGTGGTCGACTCGCGGCCCAGTCACCGATAACGCATCATACATGTCAGCCAACGCCAGAAGGGACTTGCATTCTGTATACGCAGAAGCAATGTTGACACTGTTCAAAACGGGAGGGTAGTTGTAGAACAAACGGAAGAGGTTATCGTAGTCACGAATTAGAGGATCCATATCGACCCTCTCGCTGTCGGTTGCGCTCGGCAGGTTTAATGCCGATTGCATTCCCGCAAGATGCGATATTGAACGGAAGAAACCTGCTTGCGGAGCAGAAGGTTTTGTCATCGATGAAGGAGAAGGGATATCGTTGCCAAGCACAATGGGAGAGCTGGGTGGCTAGACAGATGTCAAAAGATGAGAAATCAGTTCACTTGAAGAGCTGAGGCTTCATAGACTAACCCTCTGAACCAGTATTGGCTCTTCGTCCTCTGCCTTGTTCTCCCAATCCAGTTCAAATCGCCATCTCTTCTTCACGGGCGTTTGAAAGACGCTTCCATTCTCCGACTGTACTAGGGTAGACCCGCCTGAAAGAGAATCATCTTCGCTAATTCGCCACAACACGCCATCTGGCTTCGAAGGGCCAGCAACGGGGCCCCGCGACCACTCTTCGCTCATACTCGCTTGGAAGAATCCTGAACATTGCGCCAGTATCAGGCGGTGTAAGAGATATCGATTCTCCTGTCCATTGGCGTGAATGACAATCTCCACATCCCCTGTCTGTGTGAAGATTGGAAAATCATTCTGCGCTTGGTACGAAGAGCCACCGTGGTGCGAGCGGCCTGGACGATGCCGACGGCCATGAGAGTGGCGCGACGAGACCGACTGAGCAGTCGGAGGTGGTCCGGAGCGCTCGAGAACTTGGGTTTGGGAGACCATTTGGGGAGTATCAATTGTATTATTCAGTAGGTCAATTCTCAGTAGACGTAAAGAGCGAGGCTGGGGACGCGCGACAGCAAGGGAGTTTTGCGGCAGAAGGCGACTGATACGAGCTGGGCGCGTTTTCAATTTTCATCCACCCAGGAGCAATCCATGCAGGCTAACAAGGAAATAAGACTCGGACAGACGGCAATTGGCGTGTTGATGCCGACGTGATGGAGCACATAATAATGTAGCAACTTAACGAGAGACTTGACGATAATGATCGCGATACGGAGAAGGGTTCAGCTTGAGACGTGCTTCAGACTTCGCTCTCTTCCAGTCGCCATCCGCAAATCCAAACGCGGTAGAAACAAGACAGCTGAAACAAGGAAAACAGGGAGCTGGTCAGCACAGGAAAAGACATTCTTCAGAGTGCGCGCTCGACGATCGAAGCTCTCCTGCGATGCTCTTCAGCAGCATCACGTGCTTATGACTCAGCAATGCTTATCTCTCTCTCGTATTTGTCTTCCTCTTTCTCTTCCTCCCCATTCCTCCGCCAGTGTAGCGTCTTAGTGTCTTTCGTATCCTCTGCTCTCGCTCATTCTTGCTCGCATCGCTATTTGCCTTTGTTTGCTCGATGAGCGGCTCGTCTGATCAGCTTTCTCTTATCATACATCCCATTAACTCCTTGACCCTCGTTGGGGATGGCGATTATGATGCTTAGACTCTCACTATACTCAACTGGCCTATTCCGAATACACTGGATATATCGATAGATACGGAAGCTTTGACTTCGAACCACCGTTATGACCGTAAAAGGTTGCTATACCTGTCGCCGTCGGCGCATTGTCTGCGACAATGGCCTCCCTACTTGCCGGAAATGTCGAAATGCTGGGAAGGAATGTTTAGGTTATCAAAAGCCATTGGTCTGGGTAAAGGGTGTGGCGAGCCGGGGGAAAATGATGGGTCGGAGCATTAACGATGTCGTGGGCTCTGGGGCCAGAGAAGGCTCCAGCGATTCGAAGAACGAGCGCGATAGCGCCGGACTTACGCCTACCTTAGAAAACAGTGTTGTCCAGATGGGATCAAGCAGCTTGGGAGTGTTGATCCCGAATTATGAAGTATCTAGGTCGGTTGCGCCTCTGGGGAGTAACGGGGCTGGCATTCCCGGGGACTATGGTCCTAGTTATGTCCCCATGCCTTGGGGCTTGGTTGACCCTTTATTTAAAGACTTCAGCCGGATTGCAAGGTCCTACATGTTTCATTGTGAGCAATCATACCATAATCGTCTAGGTGATCACTTTCATAAGTTAACTATCTTGCTCTCCGCAGTCAGTCAACATATGGCGACCATCCTCGCGCTGTATCCTAATGTTAAAAATCCATATCGTGACCTAACATTGTTGGTCGGAGACTCTCCTGTTCTTGCGCAGGCCCTCTCTGCCGTAGGCGCTTTGCATTATGCCCTCCTTGCAAACGGAGACTTCTCATCCATTCCGTGGGCTTCGAATGAGACCGGGATGGCCGGGACGCTTCCGTCAGCCAATGCCAAAGGGAGGTTGGTGATAAACTCTACATCTAACAGACCAATTCCAAAGGCATACGAGCACTTTCTGTGGTTCAAACAGCGAGCTCTCCGTCAGCTATCACTGGATCTCAGCGATCCAGTAAAGCAAAATGATGACAGGACTATTGCTGCCACCATCGCCCTTGCTCTCCTAGATGCCGTTGAATCTGGGAGCGGAGCATGGAAATATCATTTGGAAGGCGCAAAGAATCTTTTAAAGAGTCGGCAAAATGAATACAGGAACGGTGCAAGGCCTAGAGGCCTCATAATGGACGAACTGGATAATTTCGTCATTGAGGGCTGTCTTCTCTTTGAGATTATGGGTTCAACACTCGCAAGACCGGGCTCTCTATCCAAACCTTTCTATACCGCATCCATGGGACGCCCAGCGGTTTTGAAGCGTCTTGAACAGACCTCCTTTGTAGGTTGTCCTGCTTATCTCCTCGAGGTGATTTTCTTTGTCCATGCTCAATGGTACTCCGAATCCCAAAACCTCGATTCCAGCTCTTCTCAACCGACCACCGCCGAATGCGCCCCTCTATTTCTTGCGGAGGGATCAAAACCCATCCAGACGCCTTCTGCCCTATTACAGCATATTCAAGCATTTGACCCTTCCGCCTGGGCCGAGGAAATGCAGTCCTTCCACTTCCTCCCAGACCTGTCTGCACGTATTGGTCTCGCAGCGGCATACAAAGCTGCTGTTTACCTGTACGTCAGTCGGGTCCTGTCTCGCCCAAGATCGAGCTCTGCAACTGCATCTTTCCCGGCCCGCTCCAGCCTTGCACTGCCAGCAGACCACAAAGCTGTCTCGGATGGGCTCGTCCATCAGCTCTCCCTCGTCCCGAGAGCAGACCCGCACTTTAAATGTCTTCTATGGCCGACTTTCATCGCCGGCGCAGAGACGAGGTATCCTTCCAAACGCGGCACAATCCTGAAATTACTCAGCCGTATCTACCAGGCCATTCTCAGCGTGAATGTCCGGAATGCCGCCTGGGTTTTGACTGTCATGTGGCAGAAAAAGGACCTCAATCGCCAGGAAAGACGCAATAGACAACGAGCGGATGATGAAAACCATCAACAACACCTGGTCGTCGGTTCTTGTAGTAATTATCCTACTGCCGACATGGGTGATGGTTCTGATGATGATGATGATAATGATAATAATGACCTTGACGAGGAGTTTGATTGGATTCAGGAACTGGATAATTCCCAGATTGATTGGCTTTTTATATAAATACATAGGTATATACATAATGCAAAGATGGCACCTAATTATCCTTCCTACACATCCACTGTTCTGTTTACGGCTTTCCATCCACTCCGTTTCATTGTGCGAGGGCTCTACTAGATAATGTATATAACTCCATATACTGATATGACTGTTAACAGGCGGCCGAAAATGGCAACACTTGAGGCTGTTTTGTGAGTTGCTAATCAAGCACTGGTCTTGGCCTCATGTGAGCCAATTCTCACAGCCATAGTTTTTGGTACCTGATGCTAGTGCACAACTTAATTACTCATCCTTAGTATGCTCAAGTCTTCCTTCTTAGTCCATCAACACAATTCCGAAATAGCAATCTGATTCAGCACACTACTACAAACCACAACCATGGGTAAAAAAATATGATGATGAAGAGAGTTGAATCCTTGAGGCTGTCAGCACATACAAGGGCGGTGAAAAATATGAAAATCTCAAAGAATTGGCAGCAAAAATGTGGAGCACCTTACCAGCAGTTTTTACAGCAGATTAACAGAGGAAAGTCTCAAAAAGACCACAAAATCAATTACCAGTGGCTTCAAGATTATCAAGAAGAAGCTATTCGGCTTTGGATAAAGAATCGAGATGAGAATGGGATTCACTAACTGCAGAGATGAGTTGAAATCATGCAAATTCTATGTTGCAATAAGACAATCCCACAACCAACCCACCACTGGAGGTTGGTAAAATGTGAGTTTACTGGTTATTAAATGACTCCCTACTCAGTATCAGCTTGTTATACAGAATGGTGACCAATTGGCTTATTTCAGAGGATTTGGGCATCATTGAGACGTGGTCCATAGGATCGATCCCACCTTCCAACATCTACAATTTAGATGGGGCGCACCTACAGATGTAGGTGCGCCTCAAGCATCTGGGTCCGCTTGATTTGAACAGAAAGCGGGGGGAAACAGTGAGGGAGAATTGAGAGCGAAGAAGACAGTTTATTTTATTTTACATTGTGTTTCAAACATACAGCCCACCATGGACCGCAGTACTCTCGAGGAGTATAGAATCACCTATGTCGAGGAAATCCTTCCTTTCCAAAATGAAACTGCCGATGGAAAGGAGGCGCCTGTGAAATTGCCAGCTCACGTTGAGTCTTTAAGGGAGGCGCTTTTATACTTTGGCCCTCTTCTTCCTGAGAATCGCAAGGCATTCTTCGAAAAAGAAGGCAAGCAGTATGCGAGTACATCCCCAGGCTGGATGGAAAGCGGTTACAGCCTAGACCACCCCGGGCAGCTTATTTTCCGATGCCTCAACCTGGCTCAAAAACTCTAGACAAGCAGAAGCACATTGCACTAACAAAGATTAACAAGGCACGTGAAAATCAGCAAGAGCCAGGGAGTCCACGGCCGTGAGAGTGTCTAAGGCGACATGGCAGACTTTTCTGGAGACCAATATTTTCAAAGCGTGGGAAGATGTAATTTCTCCCAATGCGTATGAGTGAGTATTATGCTGTCCTCCAAATTATCAATCGCCATGCATTCGATACGTCTTTATCCGGTTCCTGACACAATGTTAAAAACAGCTCTCTTTTCAGTCAATGGTCCTTGTATGTGATCCATCTGGCATGTTCTCTAAGTTTCAATCGGTCTAAGATGGTGGTTTAGGGAGAGTAATATTCGGTGGACGGACGTTCGAGAGCACAGTGATAAAGATTCGTCCAAAAAATCACGATTGACAGACTCCACACCAGATCTCACATATGGACTCCCATCAGGAGCAAGCGCGATGAGAATCGGCTTCCACAAGGCTTTCGTGATTTTGAACTCACCTTAAACTTCTCCGTTGATGTTCTCGGATCACTGCGCTCCACTGGTCTTGTTTCCTCTCCGCTACCCGGTATTCACGAATGGATCAAGGATGACAATTACCGGCTGATCCGGAGTCATTTGCTCTGTTTTTCTTTTGCAGTAGTTCAACTAAAACCTGTTGAGGAGCAGCAGGATGCGGATGAGGTGTACATTTGTGAAGCAGCAAATGCAGCATCAGCAGCTCTAACCTTACTTGATAGCCTCTATGAGTGATCTGGGCGGGCAGCCGTGGAAGAAACTCCTCCTGTTGTTGCATTTACTTTTGCCGATCCGGAAATCAAGGTCTGGCTAGCATATTCATATCGTGGGAAAGACAAAAGCGTTCATCATGTAAGAGCTACTCTTTGATCTTTCAGTTGTTTGCTTGTGAAACCGTTGTGTACCTTGGGGGACTAACAAGTCGAGACTGATACAGAAAATGGCTTGCATTTAGGCCAGTGCACTAGACCTTACATGGGGCTTAATTGCGATGCAGCAAATTTTGAGAAACATGGTTTTCTGGGCGACGCGAGTTTTACGTCCTCAGATATCCGTCTGCATTAGCCAGATCCAATATTCGCTGAAGAATCCAGTTCCTCAGATGCCAGTCGAAAGTTTGGAACAATGGCAAGACAAGGATATTATTCGGCGTCGAAGACCTAATTTACACATTGTCTTAGTATATATCGATCAAGCTTTGGAATTGGACAGCCCCGATTCAATTACAGTGAAGGATATGAAGGACGGGTTACGGTGGGATGAAATCGACAAGGCGCTACGAATCCTGCGGAAGTCCAACGAGGAAAACCTCAGGCATATTTTAACAGATGCCATGAAATGTTTAGATGCTGATGCCTGTCTGGAGGTTCTTGAACCGGAAACTTCTGCTTTATCAAAGGAGAAGATGCTGGAAATGGGAAGACGGGCATTATAAATCATTGAAAAGGAGGCGGATGATGTTCTCAAGTATATGGATTAAAGAAGGCCTTTCTCTGCCATGACAGAGACTACCTATCAGGCTAACAACAAGTACGAGAACGACCAAGATGGAGAGTCAATAGCAGGATATGCGCGCCGCACATCCATTCGAGATTCGATGGATCTATCCTCGGCAGCGGATAAGAAGGATCGGATATGGTACAGGACAGCACAGATCTGGCATTCGAAGAGGAGATTAGTCAGTTGACGGTTTAGTTAAGTTATCTTACTGCTGGAAGTTGGTGGAGGCCATTCTACAATACGTATAGCCGGGACTGTGCTTTTGCACTGAAAGAGGCTAGACTAGTGAGATATTCAGTTCTTGTTGATTTTACTCGCCATGGTTTATACAGTGACCAGTTTCTCAGCGTAAAAGCAACAGATCCTAGTGACCATGACCGAGAACTAGTTTCTATGTATGCGACAAGAAGCCAAGATCTATCGTAAAGTGATAAGCTACATATGCTGGGCCAGGGTCTTATCCGCGTTAGCAGATAATATTGGCCTTTTTGGTGCTTGTATGGGAGCACAGGAGACCCAGTTGTCCCCTTACATTGACGGAGAGAGGCCAGGCTTATGTAGATGCAGCAGATGGGGGTTGGGGCAGTAGGAGAAGCCGGCAGAAGTGGTGAAAGAGCAATGCTATACCACAAAGAGGCAATGGGATACCTGGTGATGGCAGATGGAGCGGTTCAACGCTAACCATCACATCCAATACTGTATTGTTTATTTCTCTTGATAGTTGTCGCTTTAGCATACCATGCTATAATAGTCAGTTTCAACGTAATTACTGCTCTGTGAGACCTAGAATATGCAAAGCAATGATATTCCTTATGGTTCCATATTATTCAAACTCCTAAAAATCACCTTCCATCTAGGCCAAACAGGAGAAATGAAAATGAAAATGCTGAGGTTTATATGGCATATGTAAGATATTTCAAGTAGTTAGGAGGCGACGTCAACAGCGATAACAATTGGTTATGTTTGATGAAAGCCCGCCATACGCATTAAAAGGTAGTATCCTCATAAGATAGACAAAAAAAGAGAATTTAAAAGAGATAAAGAAAGCTATGATTGAAGCTTTGGGGGTGAGCAAATTGCACAGCTAAAGCCGGCGTGGGCCCTCCGTTCAGAAAAGAAAAGAGCATGCATGGTATATACGACAGAGACAAAGTGAAGGAAAACGTTGACCAGGGAAAAAAAATATTAAAAAGCGTCATTGATTAAAGGCAAAACTGCGGTCTCTGCATAATGAGATCCAAGCATACAAGGCACCGGTCAACTAAGCCTTAACGTGGCTTTCGATTCCAGGTCCAGATAAACCAAGAGAGCAATATATACCCAGAGAAAATAAAGGGTTAGAGAGGTAGAGGTGTGATAGGAAAAGGTCGAAAGTGTAAAAGGAATAGGAACTAGCCGTACGAACCGTTCTTCCAAATCTAGATGCAGCGACTTCTTTGGGAAAGTAAAGTAAAACAGCCAAAAAAAGAGGGGGAAACACGCTCATTCTTGCAAAATGCAACCCAAAGGAGGAGAATGAAGACGCCGTATGAGCCTGCTATGAGAAGGAACAGATAATAGAGCAAAGAACGAAAACGGCTATAGATCCCTCAAGGCTTCAAGAGCAAGTTTCACCCATATCAAACCGCACCAGAGGTGAAAAAGGATATATGATGAAAGGAAAACATCGTTAGAAGGAGATAGTATCATGCCAGGACGCAAGATGATGCAATGCAACAAGATATAATGAGAGTAGCAGTAAGAAGCTGTACCAGTTCGTAGAACCTTAGTCAACCGCACCAAAGCAACAAAGCAAAGAAGATAAAGGGGAGAGTATTCGGAGCGTAAAGAGTGTATAACTTTCAACTTGGATATCAGAAAACTGCTGACAGCCCATTTTTCGAATGGCGCCTGCTAAACCTCTTCTTTCCCTTGATGGAATCCGAGTCCGTGGGTTGCGGCTTTACCAAAGTGGCTCTCCCAGTATGCGAACCCTCTTGTTTGGGGTCCGGGCCTTGGTTTAGCGTGCTGGCATGGCTAGACAAACCGGAGGGTAGATCCCGGTACGAGTCCTCAGTAGATGACGATGGACCAATTTGTTGTGCCATGGCTATTTCCCGTGCGCGGTCCAGCACATCTAACCATTCTCGGGACGACAATGCTGTTGTACCAGGTATAGTGGACGACGACTTGGGGTCTTCGAAGACGAAGTGTTTCTCCTTCTATACAGGGAATTAATACAAAACTTCCAAGTCCATATCGCGAGGGAAGTGTCGCCTTACCGTATCCACAATCCAAGAAGTAATGCCCTTCGAGTCAGTCACGCTTCGATACTGAGTTCCGGGCGCAAGGAGCGAGATATCAAACTTGGCCTTTTTCTCGTCGCCCCCGGCTGCAGCCACAATTATACGGGCATGACTAGTGACCATCACTAGCCGTTGTCTCCTTTTGGTGGTTCCCGCTCCAAAGAATCGGGAGAATTTCTTTGTCGGTTCATACTCTCCACCATTCTTGGAGGCATGATGAGGTGCTGAGGATATCGAAACGGACATATTACCTAGCTTCAGTATTCTTTCATTGGACTTGGCTAAAACAGGGGACCACTCAATATCGAGTTGACTCGGAGGGGGCAACTCCGTCACAACTCTGGGAAGCGCTCTTGGGTTGGCATTGTTATTATTCGAACTCGCAGTTGGGACGTTCGGAGGGAAACTGCCACCATCGCCTGCACCACCGTTGAGTTTGATAGGCTCGCGGGGAGGCGGGACGTATGCTTTTAATCGGGGAGCCTTTCGCTTCCACAGCTCCGGCCCCCATACCATGCCTCTAAAGAACTCGTGGTTCTTGATATGTTCGATTGGGAGACGAGTTGCCGGATCAAGAACAAGGAGACGTTCCACCAGATCACGAGCAACAGAAGGAAAGCCCACGGGGAATTCATAGTCGAGTGCGACAATCTTTTGGAAGGTCAGATACTCATTTGCTGCTTTGAAGGGAGGTCGACCTGCAAGGAGCTGGTAGATGATACACCCAAATGCCCACAGGTCACTAGCTTTGCAAGCGTTCTTCTCGGTCAGGAGTTCCGGGCTGACATATTCTGCTGTGCCAACAAACGAGCTTGCCCTCTCTTCCTCGGCGGATTCCGCAGGATCTAGAGGCGGTGTCTTGGAAGGATTTTCATCTGGTCGCTTTTGAGAGTTCAGGATCTTCGCCGTCCCGAAATCGGTTATTTTAACATGCATCTGGCTGTCAAGGAGAACGTTCTCAGGTTTGAGATCACGATGTATAACACCGCGCTTATGCATGTAATCTATAGCGTCAAGGATTTGTCCACCGTAAAATCTCGTGCACTCCTCATCGAAGGTGGTCATCCGTTTTAACACACCTAATAATTCGCCTCCCTTGCACAAGTCGAGCACGAAATAGAGCGACCGTTCATCTTGGAAAGTATAATATAGCCGGACGATACCGGGATGCTCCGTAAGCCGGTTTAAAGTATCCTTTTCTATGTTCACATATTTCACCTTCTTTTCCTTGATTATATGTCGTTTATCCAGTATCTTGATCGCGTATTCTTTTAGGGTTTGGCGATCCGTTGCAAACACGACGGTACTGTAGGAGCCCTCTCCGAGGGTTTGGCCGAATGAAAAATCCCGAACGCCCTTTTTGATATACCGCATCACGGGCTTCCCGTTCGTGTCGAGTTCTTGCCGCACAGTGACGGCCGCGCCACGCTCTTGCCATTGTTCACTGCTTGAAGGGGGCCCATTTTCCAACCCATAAGGCGAACCGTGTTGAGAGACTCCCGGGACTCCCATGCCGCGAGGACGAGCCTTGGAGGGCTGGCGCATTACGGGTGGACCGCCCTTTGTAGAGTATTGTACGGGGCCATACGACCGATCACTATGACTGTCGTCTCGCGACGGAGCGCTGGCCTGCAACGCTGAGACACCTCGAGAATCCGCACGAGCCTTACTCTCGGTCGACGCTGTGGAATCCGTGCGAATGGGATATGTAGGGTCATGAGTAAGTGTTGAGGTAGAACCGTTCAGGTAGAGCGAGCGGGAGGAATTGGGATAAGAAGCGTAAGATTGCGATGGGTGGGTAGGATATTGCTGGTACTGGTCCTGGTATGCATTGGGGGCCGACGGTCTCGACTCCACGGAAGAAGAGTGAGGATCCTCGATAGATGCAAGAATCGATGAAGTTGAAGGCGCAGAGGCTGATCCTGGTTGTAAGTAGGTCGACTCGCTCCTCGAATCGGGCGCCGCAACAGTAGTTTCCGCAGTCGTCAGAGTCACATCTTCAGGCGCATCATCTGGATTGGCAATCCGTAGGCCACCGAAAGATTGTGACAGACTAAGATCACCATCCATGGTGGGCAAGCAGATACCAATCTGAAAACGGGGCGATAAGAAAACCAGCACACGAAGGACGGTAGCCGTGTAAAGTGGGAAGGGGTATCAGCGCAGAGAGCGATGGGTAAGTTCACCCGGTAGGCGCCTACAATGGTCATCGATCGCTAGAGAAGAATCGAAATCGAGAGCAGGCCGACGGACTATGGCGGCGATCGGAGGTGCTGAGGATGCATGGTACGAAGACAGATATGGTTAGAGAGACAGCGGGGGGCGGATTCGAGAAAGAGAGATTCCGAAGCCGAGGTAAAGGAGGTGAAAGAGAGACGACCTTTATTTAATTTTTTTTCCTTTATAAAAACAACGAGATTATTATACGCCTGTCGACAGCAGAGAAGCCCAGGCGAGCGAGAGACGAGGAGTTGGAAGTCGAAGTTGAAACGGAGCTGGCCTGACCGCCTTGTGGTTACTTACCGTATTGCCGCTTGTCCCAAAAGCAGATATCCAGGTATATTCTTCTCTTCTACCTGCTATCTCGATGAGATATTAATTATATACTCGAATATTCTCTATCCCTTCTCTACTATCTCTTCGATCGCACATGGCCCGGGATTTCGCCTGGTGTGCTGTGCTACGTTGAACGGCTGGTTCCGTCCCATACTTCCATAAATAGTAACTAGACCTCAGCAACGACTTCAAGTTGCTGCTGCAAGCTATGGAGGCTTCCTTGACTTGAATCTCCCTTCCAATTTAAAACAGAGGACGCTTAGTGGAATGGATCTCAAACATGTATATAAATAGATCTTTCCTGTTTGGTTCTTTCCTGTCAATGCCTATCCCCGCAACGCATGCTCGCGTTCGCATTCTACAGTATCCGCTACTCGTTTAGCATTGCAATTTGTTTCTAAAATCAAGCAGCAACAGGTAACAGAAGGCAGAGGCATAAATTATCTCGGTCAATTTTTTTTTATCTTTTTTTCATTAAATAAAAAAAAAGTGGGAACATGATTCGATTGCCACCGTCAGGCATCTCTATTAGTGAAGACGATCTTCAGTGTCACCTCCAACGGATTCTGCTCCGCCACACACTGGTCGCTTCGTTCAGCAGGCTATGTATAGACTGTGAGGATTGCTTTCAAGAAGATGCCAGAGTGTCCAGTGCACTTCGAAGTGCCTGTTCTTCTGCTGATGGTTCGGATGCAAGCTGTCGAGCTGATTCCGACCCTGCGTTCGCCAATGGATCTTCACGCCCACATCGTAGAGCTCATGCCAGTGACAACGGCACCAGATCCTTCACAGGCCTGGGAGCATATCTCCCTGGCTTCCCGCAAAGTACGGGAGAGGTTGCCATCACCGAGGCTGGCCTTAAAGAAGTAACGGGACCATCCATGTCCAATGCTGGCCCTAGCTGGTCTGCTTCATTCACACCCAACAGGGTCAACACAGTGACTTGCCAGTGGAAACAAGCTCATTCACCAGATGGGTTGGCTCTCCCCATAAGTGGCAACGCTGAAAGAGCTCCAAATCATTGCTTGTCGCCCTGGAATCTTGAAGCAAACCACTCCGTCCCGTGGAAAGATCACCGACCTCCAGCGGACTTCCCAGAAGACCCAGCTCTGATCGTCCGCACAACACCTCAGTGGGCATCACACAAAGACACTTATTTCGTAGAGCTACCTCTGCTTCGAATCTTCAAAGGTGTCTCTGGTGAAACTGACAGTGTCCCGGTCAGTGAAGTACCTGTCAGCTGCCTTCTCGGTCAAGACAAGGGCAAGGAAACCGGTATGTACTGCGTGCACCTTTATCTGTCCGAACAACTACTCATTGCCCTGGGCCAGAAGACTCAAACAAACTCCGTTTAGAGACGAGAAATTACCTGGATCTTTCAGTCAACCGAGATACAGAATCCGCGATGGTCACCAGCGTCCCTTCACAACTCGCGTGCCCAGCAGGTTCTGTGCCAGATAATATTGAAAACAACAAAAAACCACAAAGTCCTAGATCTCCAGAGATAACAAGTGGGTTTGAACTTGGATATCATCGTACAATCGTCGGCAACTCTCTACTACGTCGAGATTGCCGCTCGGTCTCCTCCGCGACAACATACACCGGTGCGGGGCCTTCCAACGATTCTCATGTGCGCCCTGAGAGCAACATGGATGGAAAGATCCACAGATCTACCAGAGTTAATATTAGTGCTGACGATCCACCCAAGCCGGAGAATGCGTCAACTTTGGCTCCCGCTGCTGACGTTGACCAAGCCCCAGGCGGAATGGAACTCCGTCACAACCAGACTCCAGAGCCCCGAGGAGCGGTTCAGGAGGGTCGAAACAGCACAACATACGGCACCCACGTGCATTTCGGATTGGATGGTGCAACTGATGATGGAATCTTCTCCTGGGCCTGTACCACAAATGACAGAGTGAGCCATGACGTTTCTGCGAGACCTGCCCGGAATACTGATAGGCAGGAGGAACCTCCAGCATCGGTGAATCGACGTGAAACGAGGGATGACCCGCAAGGTGGGAGTGGGAATGGGAATGGGGGTACCGCAATTCCAGATGATGTTGCACCTGTACGCGTCGATCTTGTCCAACTTGATATGCCGCTGGATCAAACTAACATGCATCTGTCTGCGTTGTAGCACCAGCATGCAGGAAGACGTCAGGTCGATGCCTTGCCCAATCAGGAAAATGCGACCACTCGTCACACTCAGTGGAACAGCCAACAAGCGACTGCGACCGCGTCTAACAGCAGCGGCGGATTGGAGCTTGATGAACGGGCTCACGGCCAAACTCCATTTGTAAGTTCTCCCATGCCGATCAGCCGTCTCGCGTATATTAATAAAGCATTGAATCGCAAAATAGGACGCACATGAACTCCGCGAAATTGCGGAGGAATCGGTGATTTTTCAACACTATTTCAACAATATGGTTGCGCAACTAGACAGGGAGAGCGAGGCGGAGGCCGAAATTTTCGGCATGGCACAGCTCAGGCGCCAGCCGTTCGGTTCGTGGTACAACCGGCCATGATTTGAAGTCGATATGTCTGTCGCAAAATCTGGTGTCAGCACTGCAGCCAACGCTCTGGTGTTTGGTGTGCTGGGAACCGGGGACTGCACAGCCTTCCTTGATCCAAAAATAAAGCTTTAGTATCTGCAGGATTACATAGGTGTCTACGAAGTATGATATTATGAATATGATATTTGCGCAGTGATTTACACTGTACAGCCATGACGTTCAATCCGCTCGTGTCCTTGTAGCATCGATAGACAGTATCTATTAATGCTTGTGGAATAATAATAAGCAGCGTTTACTATAAAACGTAAATAAATAGTAGATTTTCTGTCTGCATTCATCAGCTGGTATCATGTGTCTATGAATTCCATCCCATGGCAAGCATAAATAAACATCCGGCTTGATTTGATGACCCCTTTGAAAAATCATATAATCTATTGGGCATTGTATAATGCTACCTATCCAATCCATGCTATGCAATATTCCGAACTGATAATGTTGAAGCTGATGTCATACGGAAAGTGACGTCCTTTTCTTTTCTTTTCTTTCTTTCTTACATGGGAACAAGGAAAGGTTAAAACCAATATAATGCAATATATACCGTAATAAAGTACAGAGTACATGGATGCAATGAGAGAGAAACAGAAACAGAAACCAATCCAATCCAGCCTGTGGATGAGATGCATGTGGTCGACTCGAGTATTAAAGACAAGACAAGATTTTCAATATGCAAAACTGATGGGATAGATGGTGTGATGCATGCATTGTTCAACGACTGTCCAGAAGAGATATCCAAAAACAAAGGACACAGATGGAAAAAGAACTGCTAAATATCAAAATATCAAATCAATCAAAACAGTGAAATAAGCAACATGACAATCGCCGCTGCAAGGGACGATGCCGGGACAAATGATCCAGAGAGGCGAATAGCAGCATTCTTAGCTCCGTCGGTGCCGGTGGCGCCGGCCGATGAAGTGGCGCCGGCCGATGAGGTGGCGGAGCCCGTTCCCTTGGTACCAGTGATTTTGGCACCCTTAGACTCGAAGGGGACGACGTGTGAGGACGACGTGTCGAAGTTAGCCTGCGCCAGACCGATCTGGTTATTGGCGAGGTCGTAGACGGCGTAGACGGAGCGAAGGAAGGTGTCACCCAGCGTGTACGAGTCGTCGGTGGTATAGTCGAAGCCGAGGATGCACATGGTGCGGCTGCTTTGGATGAGGAATTGCGACAGGTCCACCGTGATGGTTGCGGTGGAGGAGTTGCCGAATTCGAAGGTGAAGGATCTGTCACCCGAGTTGCCTGCGGAGCAAGGGAGGTAGTAGTTGCCCTGGGACTCGGTGACGGCAATGTCGCCGAAGGACTCGAGGATGTTGGAGAAGACATCTTTCGGCACGATGGTGAAGGAGGTGCCCGAGTCCAGGATGGCAAGGGCGCTGCCCGAGCTAACTTCGGTTGTGGATCCGGAGTCGTTGAAGGAGACGCTGTTTAGAACGACGTTGAAGATGGCGTATACATTCCTAATGGGCTGGACATCCAGGATCTGGAGTTCACCCTTGAATTTGGCCGTGTCGATACCGCCGAAAAGGATGCTACCGGTGTTCGAGTCTAAAAGTTGTTGGTAAAGGCAAATTAAAAGGAAGAGGAGGGAGAGACATACCTAGATCGTCCAGATACAAGCTATATGCAGGGGTCTTAATCGCACCTTGGGCGACCAGCTCTTGTGGGAAGTTTGGGTAGTGGTTGCTCACGCTGGACTCATCTGCGACGTAGGAAATTCCCAGAACTCCAGAGATCTGGCCCTCAGCTTGGTTGGTAAGATTCGTTCCCAGAGCCATAGTGAAGTTCTTTAGGGTCGCCGAAGCAACCTTGAGCACATCGGAGAAATAATCGCCCTGCGCACCAGACTGGTCGGCATATTGAATCTCGAAGTCCCCGGCTGCGAGTTCTTCATATGTGGAAGATTTCCCAGAGTCAACTGCAATGTGAAGTCAGTCAGAGAGCAAGAAGGGAAAAGAAGGCAGTAGAGTTCACATACAGGAACCATACGGGCATTCATTGGTGTTAGGACAGACGGAAGACGACGGGAACCACAGGTCACTGCTCCCCGTATCCAGGATCACCTGCAACTCCTGGGAAGGGGTGCCAACGGAGATGTTGACCATGTACGAAACCAGTTGATTCGAGAGGACAACATTGACGGTGTCGTCGGTGCTCCGTCGCGCCAGGATGTGGTCGACGGCGTTGGACTTTTTCACTGGCAGTTTGAGGACTCCATCTTGAGCCACAGCAGCTGTGATGGGGAGCAGTAAAGCGGCTAGCTGGCCGAGACGCAGTTTCATCTTGCCGGACAACGTGCGGGAGTGAACGCGAAACGAAGGAGAATAATGCTTTTATTCAGTACAGGGAAGAAGGGAAAGAAAAAGACAAAGGGGTTGATGGTTGATCCGGGGGGAATGAGGGAAATTATGCCAGGATTGACAAGCGACGACAAAAGGAACCGGCGCCAATCTGCAAGGAATGCTCCGTATAAACGGTAAAATGAGAAATTATCAACAGAGATCTATGATGCAGCAGTAAGTATATACCCTGGTCGGAGCCAGCGGAAGCGCAGCGAGTACACTATTTATGATTAACGATGGATCCTTGATTCTTTCATTGCCACAGAATGAACAGTCATCCCTATTAATATTGGTTTGTAATAATAATAATACCAATTTAGATGCTGGAATCCGGAGAGCGAACGCCAACTAGCGCTGGGAACGACTGGGAACGACCCAGCTGGGCGTGAAACGCCGCGTTCCATTGGACCCTGCCCAGCATGTTCCGGGTGTACAGGGACAACCCAAGACAACTCCCAGCAGATTCACGCCGCAAATGCGAATAACCATATGCACAATCTGCCACAACTGATATGCCTGAACGAAAAAGGAACCCTGTCTGCATAAGCATACGTTGGCAGACACGCAACACCGCAAGGACAGGACGCGTAGGCACTTGAGGCATTATCAGCGCTATTCCGTTTACGGTCTAGCGTCCGTCAGTGACCAAGCAGCGTGTGGCTTGACCCGTGGTTCGCAGACTTTCCCTATTGGAGGTATGTCTCATATTGTTGGATTCCTATTCAGGTGCCGAACCAGCTCTACTAGGTCAGGCGGGCACAAACCACGTGATCTCGAACATTCCCCTGTTCGGCTTAGTTCGGTCACGAGGGCAGCCGACACTTGTCCATCCGAGATACTCAGCCACTGCCATGCAATCTGCAATTACGTCGACGCTTCTACCTGCCCAGAGCCCTTCCAGGTCCAGCTGCCACTTGGCGCCGGTGTTATTAACATTAGGCGCAGAAAATGTGAGTAAGAGACGGAAAACAGACTGAAGGAAGAAAAACAGGGGAAAAAGAAGTATGAAGTCTAATAACAGCGGAATCAGAATGACTGCTATTCGCAAAAAAAAGGAAAAAATTCAAGTCCCTTGAAAACCCTCTTCCGTTTATCGCCTCAGAATGATTTCACATGATTAGAAATGTAGAGTTCCGTGTCCTCAGGATTCATTGCGTTATGTCGATGCTTCCTATCACGCCTATTGCACAGCCTTCTTCTTGGCAAACGCTTGCGCTCCGTCGACCAGTCGTCGCTCGGTGTTCTGTCGTCCGTTGACGAAGTCGGGGTAGTTGAGGGTCAGCTCGACCGCTCCGTTGACAATATTGTCGACCGCTTCCACGCCCAGCATGAAAGAGTGGTCCTGATTGCCGACCTCGTAGCGCCAGCTGCCGAAGCGACCACGCGACCAGATGTTCTTCTCCTGCAACTTGGGCAGGATCTTCGTAAGAGCTCCCTCGCGCTCCAAGGATGGAGTGGGGTAACCGTGGTCGAAGCGGCGGTGGTACGTGGAGACAATCTCGTCCGTGGGCTTCAGCATCTCGGTGTTGACGAGGCCCTGGATGGACTCGGCCAGGAGTGTCTCGTAGTTCACAGGCTTCATCGAGGACTCAGAAACCTCCAGCATGATGGACCAGTACGGGCCATTCTGGGGCTCCGTGTTCTGAGGTTTGGAGCCATCGGCCAGCTGCAGGGTGGGTAGCTTCTTGGACGCAGCAGGCTGGTTGTAGGGGGAGTAGTTGGAGAAGATGGTGGCCCGGTAGAAGGGGCAGTTATCCTCGGGGAAGTAGAGCTGTAGATAACAACCGGTTGGTTAGCGTAGAACATGGCCGAACTGATTGGCTTGCCCAGTAGACTTACCCAACACTTGTCACCAATCCGTTCAGGGCGCTCTCCACGAATACCGACACCAACGACATGGGTGGAGGAGTAGAAGAGGTCTTTGCTCAGATCGACGAGCTCCTTATCGCCCATCTTCTCAGCCAGGAAATCGACCGCCATGGTGGAGACAAGCTTCTCGTAGCCGATGGTGGTACCGTCCTTCAGGACGACGGTGCGGTTGTTAGCATTGACCTTGACGACATTTCCCTTATCACCGAAACGGGTCTTCTCCTTGGGCAGAGTGTCTGCGACGGCGGTCCAGATACCACCAGTGCCTCCGTGGGCAGGGAAGCGGAAAGTGGCGTTAGGACCCCAGTTACCGGCGGTCTTCTGCAGGATGACGTTCGTGGTGACGGCCTTCACGTTCGGTGCGGCAACACGCTCACCAAGCCAGGCGCATTGCATCTGGAGGCGGGAAGTCTCAGCATACTGATTCGGAAAAGCCAACGCTGGAGACAATAGCGCCTGGGGTATCCACATAAGAGACCCACCTTAGTTGTCGGTACAGCCCAGACCTTGAAGTTGTAAGGTCTCATGAAGAGGTCAGCCAGGCCAGTGCCCATCTGACGGAGAATCCACTCATCGAAGGTCTTGGGCTTAGAGTTGGACACGCGAGCTTCGAGAGCGGCGTCAATCAAGCCATCGATGCACTTAACCTGATCTTCTTTGGGGAGCATGGAGACGTTGTTCTGGAAAGGATAGGGAACCCATTGGCCCTTGCAACGGACGTAGGAGATACGCTGATGCTGGTACCAATCGCTCTCCTTGGGCAATGCCTCGTCTAGACAGTCATCGAAGTATTTGTAGTGGGAGAAAATAACGTGGCCACCAACATCGAAGAGCTGCAATTGAAGTCAGCTTGATTGAATGATGCAAGCGTTCCGTCGTACGGGGACCGTAGCAGACATACGAAGCCTTCGGGGGTAACGTCGGTAGAAGCCAGACCACCAGGGGTCTCATTGGCATCGACAATCAACCAAGAGGGGCCATCCTGTTACAAAAAAACGATAAGGTGTCAATTCCATCAGATTCCGAGACACGGGCTCGTTCGTGTTGGGTCGCGTACGATCTGGTTCAGTCGCTTCGCAGCACCCAACCCAGTTGGGCCTGCACCGATGACAAGAACATCGACGGAACTGGTGAGAAAAGAGATCAAGTGTCAGCATGGATGCGAAGGTGAAGAAGACACATTGAGCAGAAAAGGTCAATCTTACATGTCTGGATGGGTCATCCTGCCTTGTAGGATATCCTGAAAACTGGGAACGCGGTTCAGGGTCTTGCGGGCGGCGCTCAACATAGAAACCGGAGGGAGGCTAGGAAGTTTTGTAGAATTCAAGAAAGAAAAAGGAAGCTGATGACGATGGTTAAAGAAAGGGGAAAAGGGTAGAGGCAAAAAAAGGACAGGTAAGTCGGTACTTGGGGTGGACGGTTCCAGATAATCCCTAAGCGTGTCTCGTCGACTGGCAGCTAAAGTACAGCCAACCTAAGCATGTCAACTCCAGCAGATAGTTGATGTGGGGAACGGGGCGTGTTTCAAGTTTGACCAGCCGTCGCGATTTATATTTCTTAATTTTGCAGTTCCATCTCTGGTGCTCCCTAGCGGCGCAGAAAAAGGGGTCATAAAATTATAATAATATTAAACGCCAATAGATCATAATAGCCTAATTAGCGGATACGGTGCAACACAACGCCATCAACATCTGTACTCCATACGGATGCACATCAAGCAGACTGCTGCAGCAGGTACAGCATGGATACTCTATTTTGCCTTTCTCCTGCAGGCATGTCGAATAAGGCATGAGGAACGCATCTTGGCGCAAAGCCTGTCGTCTGATTATAGTATTTGATGTTAGATCTACGCCGTCCGGACAATGGGATGGATGTGATAGGTAGCTTCGTCAACTCAGAAAGGGACTAATAATAATATCAAACTAAATAATATGGAGGTTGGCGACATGACGCGTCTCCAAGAACGCTGAACACATGACGGAACTGTAGTAGTACATTGTAGACAACTAGAATTGGGGATAATAATATCAAACTCCAAGACAAACAGTTCTATAGATATCGACCAGACATTTAAAGTGCCTCGTGCTCTATTTATGCCTGTCAGCCATAAGTCAGATGCAAGACACAGACTCAGTGGGAGGTGCCAGAAGGCTTGGTTCTCAATTCTGTGGCAGATGCAGCCACTCCAGAAGGAAATGAGGATCTTCACGCACTGCTCAGTCGCAGTGAGGATCCCTGTTCCCGACAGGGATAATGGGTGGGATTGGCAAATATTCTTGCCTGTGATTCACCCTCCCTTCCCACGAAACCCTTCTTTTCTGTATCCAGGGAACACGGAGCCTGGACTGGGATTTAAGCAAGGAAGTCTAGAGAGACGCCCTGGCCACACAGATCCCAGATTGAGATTCGGATTCAGAAAAAAGAGTGACTGTGGGAGTGTCTCAGCTCCGTCCGGAGAACCGAGTTTCAGACCGGACGACCTCCATAATCATCCATTCTCGATCTGATCGCCAGCCGTCCCACTGCTTAAGCATATTCGGGCTTCTTGGCGCCCGTTGGCTTGCGTAATGCACTGATCCGTTTGCGGGTTTTTTCCAGCCTCCCTGTTCTGCAGCACGAGGAGTGAGACAGGCGTACACTGTACAGGACTGTAGAGGCTATGGCACAGCATCGCATCAGCATCAGTAGTATCCATCTATACCGTGCCTTGTTGAACAGGGCTGATTGCTTGACTGCTGACAATACGTACCAGTGCTGACCGTCCCATAAGCGCGGAGTTAGGGGGTGAGTTTATCAGGAGGGGGGTTGGCCCATAGGGGTACGTGTACTTTACAGTGTCGCCACGAGTTACCTACCTATTAGCTATTGCATCCGCTGCAGCTGTTCTATTATAATCTGCTTCAACGCTGTGGGTACGCTTCTTCTCGCCTTCGAGATTGCCTCTTTTTTCTCTTCTCGACCTGGTCTGTCCGTCCCCCTGGCTTTGCGCACCGGATATCAACTCTCTGCTGGCCCACTGCTTATCACGCCTTCCTGCCCCCCGGGCTTATTGGTGTAGTCATTTGCGGCCCCTGCTTCGCTGTCACTGTCATCACCTTGTCTTCAAAAAAGGAAAACCTGCAGCGCAATTTAATTTAATTTCTTTTTAAAAATTATTTTCGCACTTCCTTTCTGCTTCCTCCCTCCAGCGCGTCCAAGAGGCTTTTTCTTTTTTTTTTTTTTAAAAAAAAAAAGAAGGATAAGAAAAGAAATAATCTCCCGGCATCCGTGCTACCTACTTGTATTGCGGAATACAACTAAACTAGCCCTCCTCCGTCCTCCCTGTTTTCCTGCTGCTTTCTCCTTCTTTCCTTGGACCACGACAACCACCCACTCCTTTCTTCGTGCATGTTCACTCTAGCCTTGTTTTAATCTACCTTTCTCATTCTTTCGTTCAATAATACCTTCTCTCTCTCTCTTTTTTTTTTTCTCCAAGCCAACTAGTCACTTCCACACTCTTTCACCTCTCTTCTGAGCTTCTCTTTCCTCTTCGCCCTTCCTCGTGGCAACCGCAGCTTTTGGCCAGACTAGCCTGCTAAGGCAGCGACCCTTCGACTTTCAAAGCTTTTTGGCTGCACAGTCCCGCAAACTCACAATGAGTGACGAAAAGGTCAGATCCTCCGGCGAGGTCTCTCGTCCGGAGCCAGTCTTGCCCACCGTCAATCCCGCCGCTGAGAGGCCGGCTCCCAAGTCTTCTATCCATCCAGCTGTCTACGTCAGGTAAGTCTGTGGTGAGACCATTGATGCATCGCTCATGGCTAATCGAATCGGTTCAGTGTCTGGATTACTCTGAGTTCCAGCGTCATCTTGTTCCAGAAATACCTCCTGGATCCTAACCGTTTCCGTAAGTTGTTACCCCTAGAACAAACAACTAAAGAGACATGGACGACTAGTGACTGACAGTTTTTTTCCCTCTGTAGCTTACCGTATGCTCCTCTATCCATCCCACCAAGTAGTTATCGTTTTAACAACCTCATAGCGATTGTCCTCACGACATGGCATCTGTCCTTTGCAACCCTGATGACACAAATTCTTGCCCGCACTACCACCCTGCTCGATGGTCGCAAAAATGTCAAAATGACTGGCCGCGTATATCTCCGTGCTATCGTCCCAATTGGTCTGTTCTTCAGTTTGAGCTTGATCTGTGGCAATGTGGCCTATCTATATCTAAGTGTTGCCTTCATCCAGATGCTCAAGGTAGGATTCCCTTTCACTTCCACGTGGCGTGCCCACTGGTGTACAGTGTGTGCTTACAACTCACGTAGGCTACTACTCCCGTCGCCGTCCTTTTCGCTACTTGGGGTATGGGAATGGCTCCCGTCAACTACAAGGTCCTGTTGAACGTCATCGTCATCGTCATCGGTGTTATCATTGCCTCGTTCGGCGAGATCAAGTTTGTCCTCATCGGTGTTATCTACCAGGTCGCCGGCCTTACTTTCGAGGCCACCCGCCTGGTCATGGTGCAGCGTCTGCTCAGCTCCGCCGAGTACAAGATGGACCCCCTTGTTTCACTCTACTACTATGCTCCGGTTTGCGCGGTCATGAACGCTATTCCTGCTCTTTTCCTCGAGGTCCCGAAAGTCACCATGGACCAGGTCTATGGCGTGGGTATCTGGACGCTGATCGCTAATGCTGGTGTTGCCTTCCTCCTGAACGTCTCCGTTGTCTTCCTGGTAAGCACTTCTCACAGTCTGCATTTCTCATGTGCTCGGTGACTAACTGTTCGCTGCAGATTGGCAAGACTTCATCCTTGGTCATGACCCTGTGCGGTGTCTTGAAGGATATCCTTCTGATCGTTGCGTCGATGGTTATCTGGGGCACCCAGGTCACCAAGCTCCAGTTCTTCGGTTACTCCCTCGCTCTTATGGGTCTTGTCTACTACAAGCTCGGCGGTGAGAAGATTAAAGAGTATACTGGTCAGGCCAGCCGTTCATGGGCTGAATATGGCGCCAACCGTCCGGTCCAGCGTAAGCTTGTCGTTATCGGTGGCTTTGTCCTAGTGTGTTTCTTGTTCATGGGCTCCGTGACCCCTGGGTATACCCCAGAAGCTGTCAAGAGCGTCCTTGGGGGCGCTACCCCTGGCACTCGCTAAACGTAGCTGCAGGGTTCATCCTGGTGCCCTTCTCCCGGTTGATCTACGGAATGACTGAAGACGGGTCGCTATCTCATTCTCCCCCTTCTATCTAGCACACGTCCCGTCAGGATTCGGACGTGCCCTGTCTACTTTCTCTGCTAGCCTTCTATCTTCTTTTATTTTCTTTCTTTATTCCCATCTTCTTTCAGGCAGTTTGTGCCTTCTCATAATGATGATCCGCAAAGATGTTTCTTACGGGGGTTGTTTGCTTTCAATTCTTTTAACGGCCTGGAACGTTCACCTAGCGCGGAAAGTGTCTGTTCCGCTGTAGGCTACAAGGACTGCGGGTCGGTTATTTTCCCTGCCGAGTCCGGACTTGCATTTGCTCTTTTGATTCGTACTGCGGCATGGTGTTACCTATCAAGTCATCCATTTATGAACAGTTCCTTTTGAGTGTGATATATTAGACTGGAGTGGGTATCGGATCAAGGTGTCTGTTGTACTTTCCGTTTCTTGCGTTTCTTGAAGCCAAAATAGAATTTATTTATATGTATTTACTCCCCTGGCAAGTTGTTCTATTCTACTTTCTGTGTATGAACGATGATGCCTGATCTTCTGCCGACACTGGTTATCCCTGAAAATCTCCCGTCATGGTGATGCCTCTGCGCCGTGCTCGCAGCGCTAGGCGCGCAGACATGTCACGCAGCAACCTTCTGGCGGAGCCGCGTTACGGCCAATCAGACAAGTCAAAATCGAGGCTAACCAAACGGAGGCCACCAATCCCAGAAACCAGAATGTCGATGCAGCGGGTCCGATTTCCACCACAACAATCCAATGAGGATAGATTAATAAGATGGGTAGACCCACATCGTTGTGCGGCCGAAACATTGGACCAATAAAGGAGTTAGCATTGCGAGCTTGTTACGGACTCCACAAGGTGATCCTCTCTGGTTGGATAAGCCCGTCGATGGTACTGTAACTTACAGTAAGGCGTTCCGGGGCAGGTACTTTGGGGCGTGCTGTGCGTATTACTGGCTGTACGTGGATCCACAGGTTCCTTGCATGGTTTTATTCGCTTTATCTTTGTGTAATAATACATATATTACACACAGCGCACAGCGTGCATCTGGGCAAACCTCCCAGCGTTGCCCATTCCGTCATCGACTGCATCCAGTTCTGGACGCGCTCAGCCGAGAATCCCGTGTTGTTTCTCCTCTCCAGCCTCTTGGCTTCTCTTCTCTCGTGTTTTCCCCGTCTCACTTCCTCTCCTCTCTTTATCCTCTTCCCTCTCCCCCTTCCTGCTCGCCAATTCCGCTTCTCTACCTACTTCCTCTCCCATCCCATCCTCGTTGGAGACGACCATCCTCACAACCCTAATTCGTATAGGCTTCACGCGGTGGATTATCTTTTCTTTTCCCCTTGTCTTCCTCGCAGCGCGCTCCCTTCTTAGCTATCACGTTTCGTCTCCTTGTCTCATCCTACCTCGTTGCGTTGACGCTCTTGCTACTCCTCGTCGAACACTCTCGGAATTCCTCCGTCGACAGGGCGCTTTTTTTTTTTTTTTTTTCGGCAGTCGTAACAGGATACTGATATCGTCTTCTTCTTTCTGTTTCACTCTTTTTTCCTTTTCTTCTCCTCAGCTCACCTCACCTGACAGGACAGATCGAAAAACCTTCCACGAACCCCCTTCGAAATTTTTCTTCCGTAGCCGTCATGTGTCCAATGCTCCTCAGCAGACTCTCCGATGGTCCTGCCCTGGTCCTCTCCCATCCCCAGGAACATGCCTTCGTTCAATTTCCTTCCTATCAGCCTAGGCTTGACACTGCCTCGGGGGGTGTCCACGGCAATCACAGCTCTTTCGCCAATGGCTTTTCCTCCTCTCTTGCTTCCTCATCCTGGAGACAAGCATCGCCGTCATTCCCAATTGGCGCAAATCCATCAAAGAAGAGATCCCGTGCTGAAGCAGGATTTGACGTAACAGATGCGCCTGCTTTTCCCGTGCCACCACCCATGTCCCATACAAATGGACAAGCTGTTCATGGTGATGAAATGGTCGTTGAGGACGCTCCTACTGGATTTGCTGCCTCCGTGAGCCGTCAGGTCAAGAATACCAATGCCTCATCTCCTTGGACTGGCTTGCCTTGCCAGAAGTCCCAGCGCCTTAATACCCCGGTATTGGATGACAATTCACCTTCGTCAACTCGCCCTAGACTTCAGCCGGATTCCACCGATAACGAACACCTCGCCTCTGGAAACCGTTCAGGTCCTCTTTCGCCTCAGGAGCCTCTCGTCGACGATGCCACTCGTCTCCTCGGTATAAGCTGGCAGAGAGTTGAAAGTGGCGGTGACAGAGCGGCTGCCATGCGAGGCTGGAAGAAGTATATCGACAACCAGTTCTCGTCGTACCTCTGGGATTCTCAGATATTGATGAAGAATCGAGCCTTGGACACATATTTGGTCGCTGCCCATCCCATGGTGGCTGGTACATCTGCGTCGTCACTCTCGTTTTACTTATTCAGTGAAGATCTCTCGCAGGCCCGGCTAGTCGGCTCCACCTGGGGGGACAGTTTGAAGAACCTCACGTCAGTTCCCATCGTCTTTGAAGGGACAGAAGTCCTAAGGGCCGCGGGCAAGTCCTCCGACCATGAAAGCAAGAATGCAAGCGTCCTCTACTCGAATCCAATGGACAATACACTCCCGCTGCTGCGGACTCACTCTGTACAGCCTGTCAGCTGTGGCGGGGATGCTGGATTGAACGGAGGCATAGCAATGGGGATGGGGATGGAAATCGACTCGTAAACTTTCGTCCTAATCGTCGTCAACAATCGATTCGACTTTTTCATGGGCATCCGCAAGGCGTCGATATGTAATTCATGGAGTTTGTAGTTTTTTTCTCTCTCTCTTTTTTTTTTTTTTTTTTTTTCTTCTTCTTCCTTCCGCTTCTTCTATTGAGTTTAAAAAGAGCTCATACTGCTGCTGTTGATTGTTTCTTTTCACAGTCGTCTGCTTTTCTTACTCTTTCCAAGGTTGATTCTTTTTGCTGCCTCTTTTATTCTTCACATTGCTACCTGATGGGCGGTCAGGTATCCATTTCCCTGAGTCACATGACATATTTTCAGAAGAGCAAAATATTCAAAAATATCAAAAAATGAAAGAATAAAAAAATAAAGGAGATTATTCAAGAAGTGTTATTGTCTGTACGGTGAATGCTGAAAATCAAAAGACTTAGTTAGGGGGTCTCTTATTTACTCTAAACTGATGAGTTGTTCGAAAGAGGGGCAATATAAATTTATCTGTTGTTTGCGGAGTACGGAATAACTCAGGATACTAGGCTCCATAATGAATTCATGGAGAGGAAAAGGGGAAGGAGGGAGCATTAGGTGAATAGATAGATAGATAAATGGATTTGGATATTCAGAATTGATTTATAGATTACAGGTAGGAATGGGGCATGCACAAGTAGGTAGTGTTTACTGATGTAAACTGAATAAAAAACGTCCCCTATTGTATTATTAATTACTACCAAGTCTTCTGGCGTTGAAAACTTCCTTCTCGTATGCCGTAAAGAATATGGGATGAATATTAATATCTACAGGAGAAGCAAAATGCGGCTGAACCGGCCCAGCAGTCGACTTAATCACTCCCATAATCACTACCCTCATCGTAATAATCGCCGTAAGTACCCGCAAAGGCCGCATCGACGCCATCATCTTCATCATCTTCGTCGTCCTCATCGTCGTAGTCGTCATCCTCGTCATTGTAGTCGTCTCCATCTCCTCCTTGTTCGGCAGGTGGTTTGCTTTCGCCGATTTGCTCTGTTGTTGGACGTTGTTGAGATGCTGATGCTGGTTCATCCCCTGTTGTTGTAGCCGGGGCGATAGAGGTAGATGGACTAGCAGCCGTGAGGACAGGTTTCGCCGGCGAGATGTTGCTGAGTAGCCTTGCACGTTTGGCGGGACCCTCGTTCGCGCTGCAGTTGGAGACGACGCTGAGACTTCGACTGCGACTGCGACTAGATCTCCCTGGGGTGGTTGCCATATCCGTCCTGGTTTTCGCGGTATTATTTTTCACCATCAGTTTCGTCTCTCCTTCATCTTCTTTTTCTTCCTCGCCGTATAACGATTCCAGAAGACGGTAATTGATTTTCTTGCTGAAGCCCCGTCGCTCAAGCATTCGGCGCGTCGCTTCGGCGGGGGTTGCGGCTCGCGTACTCCTTCCTTCGCCATCTTCACCGTCGCCTTCTAGATAGGCGACATCTCCTAGTCGGCCTCTGCGGCGCTTTCGCGGTTTGTGCGCTGCTCCTGCTGGCCTATCAGCTTCGAGAAGGGCGCGTTTGAGTGCTTTCGCCTGTTGCGTGCGAAGGTAGTCTCTGTTCTCATGGACCCAGATGCGTTCTTTCAGCTCGACCTCTGCGGGGGAGAGGAGGCAATTGGCAACTTCTGGATCCGATTCGAACTCGGAGGCATCGATCTCCGTAGTTTCAGAGACGGAGTTTTTCGGTTGTTGTTGCTGTTGTTCTGGAAGTTGAGTCTGACCTGTGCGGTCGGGGCCGAACATACTGTTGACCATGTTGGAGTCCTTGGATAGCAAGGCCGTCATCTCGTCTTCCAGTGCTTCCTCAGACGCTAGTTGTTCTGCAGTCGGTTCTGGGAGTGGCTTTCTCTTTGAGCCTTTTGGTCGGCCGTCTTTAGAGGATGACAAAATAGATGATGAAGCTTCTTCTGCGACCTCAGCGATTACTTCATTGATAGCTGTTGAGATCGATGGTTTTTGATGGTTATCATCCGCTGTCGTCAATGCAGGATCAATAGGAAGGTCGGGAATAGCAAAGCCATCGGCATCCAGGCGCCTTGATTGTGGTGGTGTAGGCTGTGCATCTGTGTCACCTTCGATCTCTGCAGCTGTTTCAGGTTTCTTTCTCTTCACCCCTCGAGATGGTTTCCTTCCCTCCCTGGCTCGAGTGAATGAAGGTGGGTCGTGGGCATTTTCCAGCTGCACCGAGCGGAACTGATCGACAGTGAGGTCTCCGCTCTCGGTCGAGCTGAACTCGTTCAGACGCTGATTTATAGTAATTTCGGTGACCTTCACAACGTAGACAACCTCACGAACTGTCCGGCGGAAATTATTCATCCGTGCTGCGAGAATCAGGGCAGCTCCGCAGACACCCGCGGGACGGCGACCGGTGGTCATCCAGTCTCGGTTCATCCGTTGGACGATGCGCACGGCCTCGCTGGCCACTTGCATTGTTGAGGGTCCGAACTCGAGCTGCTTGGCGAATCTGTAGATTAAGCTCTCTGGGTCTATCGGGTTCATTAAGAAGACGTTGCCACCTAAGCGCAACTCGTCTAGCAACGCTTTATACGTTCGACCCAATTTGAAGACATTGATCTGGATAGAGAGTTAAGAGTTAATTTTGGAGAACCACAAAGCATAAAGACCCTCGAACATACCATCAATACGTCAGCAAAATCTATTAGCATGACGGTGTTTCCATTCTGTCGTCTACATGCAATGTAGAGGCACACGGCAGCGACGGTCTTGGTCCGACGACCTTGAATAAAGTTGAGACCAACAGCAAGTTTGAAAACTTGACCGGCAGCCTTGCTAGCACTTTCAGGAATGTTCAAAGCACGGGAAAGCTGGTTGATATATCGGTTCCCTGTCGTCCAACTGTCAATTAACCATTCAAGAGAGAATAAGGAAGAGAAGCATATACCATTCTGTTCAGTAATCTCTCGGCTTTCCACTCCTCTCTGGAAGCCAGGTCCATAGCTGCGGGTGTGGGATTGACCCTCTCCAACAAAGGTACCTTGCACAACGGCCGCACCAGACGCTGTCTCGCCGAAGGTAACTTCAGAGACGATATTCGACTCACTGATAACAGTACCACATCCTGAGCAAACCTTCTGGCCATCATCCTCAACGATATGAGGAGCGGGGCAGCCTGGATTAGGGCATGTAGTAGTTTTGGGGTGAGTAGTGGGCCTAGCAGGCTGGTGTACCGCGTGTTGCTGAGGGCGTCTTATGGGGGTATGAATGGGGGCTTTGAGACTGGCCAGCCGGCCCCTGGGAGGAGGAATCCTAGGCCCAACCTTGGAGGGAATAGAAGGCCGTACGACAGGCTTAGAGGTAGACATGGTTCCGATGTCGATGTGGATCAGTCATGAGTATGATCATGGGATGAATGAAACGTATGGTATAGGCGATGACTTAGAAACGGGCAAGAGATCTGACGATCAGATGAAGCATGTCCCTAGCATATCACCGACTGCTCTTGCGATATGCTTCCCTGTAAGACAGCGAGACAGGGCGTCACAGAAGATTGCCTATTCGAGCAAGTCCAGGCAGGCAACGGTGGTGAAGCGCGCGAGGATGGCGGGGAAAGCAAGGAGAGATTTTCGCGACGCGAACTCGACGTGGCGCAGCGGGGTTCGGCCTGGCCCTGGTCATGTGATTCACCGCTCATCTCGTCGGGCTCTGTTGCGCTCATCGCCGGCTGTTCGATTCCGGGAAAGCCCTGTTTTATCCCTATTTTTCGTTTTTGTTGAAATATCCGACGTTGCCAAATATCGATTCTGTAGTTAGTTATTATGCAAAGTGGTTAATAATATGGTCATTAGTTGGCCAATTTCCAAACTGTTATTGTGTTGGCGTCGCACAGCAGTGGCATGAGTTAATCCCTGAAATCCTATTGATGAGGACGCATCTTGAATTAAAGCATTATCTGAGGTTCTCAAATGTCAGGACCAATGCAGGATCAGATCGTCTATCCCCTCGAGGCCATAAACCTGGTTGAAAGAGTGGTCTTTGCCACGAGACCTGAACCACCATCGTTAACACACTGTACGAAGATGGCACAGTGTGACCACTTTGAGGATGATCTCGCGCTCAACCGCCAATACGGGTCATTTACCTGATCCTGACACGTCAGTCATGACCTGAATTTCAAAAATCTGTGTATACAGTTGGACTATATGATGGATTAATCGTGTTCTCCTGGTGCAGGAAGACCAGCCGTCCTTGCGATGCGGCATTTGTGCGTAGTTTAGCTCCAAAGTCTACCACCATGCTGTACCTCAAGGCGTTGACTTCTTTGCACAACGCACAAAAGGCGCATTTCTTTAAAGATCCTTCTCTTTCATCCGCCATGTCATCTGTATTCGTTGAATCGAAGTTTCCTCGGTCTTTCTTGCCACTTTGCACTGCTCTGTCCATCAGTTCCTTGTCGGACTTCCAGGTCAGGAGTAATCTTTGTCGGCTTCTCAAAGGATTCTGCTATCCAGACTTCTGACTTTTCTATTTAATATTCCTGAATGCCCCTTTGTGACTGAGTTTCATTTCAGACCGCAAATGACCTCGATGTCCACGATGCCTTCTGTGGCGGACATCCAAAGACCTCGAACCCCCGGTGGACACTCCTACTGTCATAGAAGCATCTTTTTAGTCAACAATATTCACTGCGCATCATGCGTCGCTTACATTGAAGAGGTTCTATCGCGAATACCCGACGTCGGGGATGTAGACGTCTCCATTCTGACACATCAAGTGTGCGTCTATCATGGAGAAGGGGCAACCTCTGCAGCCTTAGCCAAGGCTTTGATCCAGGCTGCCTTCGAGGTTCATCATGTCACTGCCTATAATAATGAAGGAAGTGTGATATCAGACATCGATACGACGCCGTGGCTCCATCGCAACTCTTCATCTTATTCCAGTCCACGAGTTTTGCATATCCCCACCACGCCTGACAAGAGGGACGGACTTGGCACCGGAAGGACTCTACATATTGCAAATTGCGACGCTTGCAGAAAGGAAGAGCTTGAGAAACTTTCTTCATCATGTCCGTCGGAATATGTGGCCTCACAGGAGAAAAGCCACCAGGGTACATTCTGGCACCCTTCCGGTGGCTTGTCACATAGTCCCAGTCTTAAACGGAGAGCGTCCGATACAGAACAGCTTGTGTCTCATTTTCTTTCGACGGATATCTCAGAAACTGACATACTTCCCCCGGATTCACCAAATGAATTGTCGAGGCCGGCATCAGCTCGCCCTCAACAGACGCAGACCGAGAAGTTCAACGCTGTCTTGAGCATTGGAGGGATGAGCTGTGCGTCATGTGCCAATAGCATTACGAGTCAAGTCGAACAGTTGGAGTTTGTCCAAGACATCACGGTCAATCTTCTTACAAACAGTGCGGCAGTCAGCTATGACGGCCCCCAGTCAAATATCGATAAAGTTGTTGAGCAGATCGAGGAGATCGGCTTCGAAGCCTCGGTCGGCGAAGTTACTCCTGCCTCAACATCTAAACAAGTGACAAAGAGTTATATCACCGAAATTTCCATCGATGGCATGACTTGCGGCTCATGCGTTGGAGCTGTTACGCGCGGAGTCGAAGAGCTTCCTTTCGTTGTCAGGGTGTCTGTCAATCTCCTGTCACACAGCGGGCAGGTTGAGTTCCATGGCCGGGAAAACTTGGATAGCATTGTGCAAAAGATTGAAGATTTGGGCTATGACGCGTCTGTAACTAGCGTCCATGCTGTGGCTGCCAACGACGATAGCGATGAGTCTACGGCGAGAAATACGAGAACAGTATTTATCAGAGTGAATGGAATGTTCTGCCATCATTGCCCTGACAAGGTTTTGGGATCTTTGCGTGACTTGCCCGATCCCTCGCTGGTAATCGAGAAGCCTCTATCCGTCAAAGATCCCGTTCTGAAAATCACCTACGTTCCTCATCCACCGGCAGTCACTATTCGCAGGATCCTCTCTACTATCGAGGATGCGAATAATGCTTTCAAAGCCACTGTTTATCATCCACCAAGCATTGAGGATCGTTCTCGTGCAATGCAGTTGCATGAAAGACGTCGTCTTCTTTCCCGCCTGCTCTTTGTTTTCGTCGTGACAATTCCGACCTTCCTAATCGGCATAGTGTTTATGAGCCTGGTACCGTCATATAATAGGATTCGTATGTACCTGGAGCATCCTATCTGGGCTGGGAACGTCACTCGCATAGAGTGGGCACTTTTCATCATGGCGACGCCGGTCATGTTTTATGGGACGGATGTATTTCATGTTCGAGCTGCAAAAGAGATTTACGCTTTGTGGCGCCCGGGTAGTCGCGTCCCAATTCTGAGAAGGTTTTACCGATTTGGCAGTATGAACCTTCTAATATCTGCGGGAACCATGGTGGCTTACATCGCGTCATTGGCCGTACTCGTCATTGATGCTGTTGAGGCTACACCGACAAGCACCCACAGCTCGACCTATTTTGACACAGTGGTCTTCCTGACCCTTTTCATTCTCGCTGGACGCTTCATGGAGGCCTACAGCAAAGCCAAGACTGGCGATGCGGTTACGTCGCTTGGAAAGCTAAGACCATCAGAAGCCCTGCTAATTGGCAGTTCACACCCCTCGTATCAAAACATCTCGGTCGATTTTAGGGCAGACGGGATCCAAAAGATTCCTCTCGATCTGTTAGAGGTAGGCGACGTTGTTCGCGTTCTCCATGGCACTTCACCCCCAGCGGACGGCATAGTCATGGGTGATGGTTCCTACCAGTTTGATGAGAGCTCGTTGACTGGAGAGTCCCGACCTGTTAAGAAGACGACTGGCGACCAAGTCTACGCTGGGTCTGTCAACATCGCTCAGCCAGTTCATGTACGGATCACCGAGATTAGCGGCTCGTCGATGCTGGACAAAATCATAGCGGTGGTTCGTGAAGGCCAGACTAAACGCGCCCCTCTGGAAAGGGTTGCAGATACAATCACTGCTCATTTCGTCCCCACGATTACTCTAATTGCCATAGTCACCTTTGTTCTTTGGCTCTCTCTTGGTGAGTCAGGGGTGCTACCTGCTGATTACCTTGATATCGCCCGTGGAGGCTGGGCCTTTTGGAGCTTGGAATTTGCTATTTCCGTTTTTGTAGTTGCCTGTCCCTGCGGCCTGGCTCTTGCTGCCCCAACGGCGTTGTTTGTGGGTGCAGGGTTGGCCGCTAAGTCTGGGATTCTGGTGAAAGGCGGCGGAGAAGCCTTTCAAGAAGCCAGTCGTCTCAACGCCATCGTTTTCGATAAAACTGGCACTCTTACAGAGGGAGGCAGTTTGAAGGTCTCGGACCATGAAGTTATGTCTACGGACCCGGAGGAATCACAAATTGCATGGCTCCTTGCTCGGAAGCTTGAAGAGAATAGCAATCACCCGATTGCTAAAGCCGTACTGGAGTTCTGTTGCAGCGTTGAGACGTCGTATATGTCTGTGGCCTCCGCAGAGATGCACGAGATTGCTGGGCAAGGGATGAAAGGTGTCTTTACAGTATCGAGTGATGGCCAGAAACAAACGGTTAGGTATGAAGCTGCTATCGGGAATGAGCGCCTTCTCAAGGGCCTTGCATCACCAGACTTGGACACTTACTATCTCTCCACGTTGCTTTCCAAATACCAGTCGTCAGGGAAATCTACTGCGATTCTCTCGCTGCGGAGGATTGACGACCAGTCTCACAATTTCCTTCCGTCAATTGTCTTCGCGACGTCAGATCTGATCCGCCCTGAGTCTGCGCATGTCGTGTCTCAACTACAAGAACGGCATGTGGAGGTCTTCATGTGTACGGGAGATAACCAGAACACCGCATATGCCGTGGCAGATATGTTGAAGATTCCGCGCTCCAACGTGAAGGCCAACGCCCTACCTGCCGACAAGGCCGATTTTATCCATCAGATCCAAGACGGTGGGACTTCATCTTCGTCTGTGGACCAGTCACTAGCGGAACATTCTCAGGGCCAGGGCGAGAAGCAACGAAATGGACCATTACGTCCAATTGTCGCATTTGTGGGTGATGGCGTCAACGACGCTCCCGCCCTTGCGGCAGCAGATGTCAGCATTGCCATGGCATCTGGCTCGGATGTGGCTATCAATTCGGCAAGCTTTATTCTCCTGAACTCAAACCTCAGCACTATTTTGCAGCTCGTCATTCTCAGTCGCCGCGTCTTCAATCGTGTCCGCATGAATTTTGGGTGGGCAATCGTGTATAATCTTTGCCTGGTGCCGATTGCGGCGGGCGTCTTCTATCCTATTGTGTCCGGACAGCAACATGGCAATAACTTCAATGATTCCATGATGGTCAACAAACATTGGAGGTTAGGTCCCGTGTGGGCTGCACTTGCGATGGCACTTAGCAGTGTCTCGGTTATCAGCAGCAGTTTGGCTTTAAGAATTGAGATGAGAGGTCTATTAGGAAAGATATTTAAATGGAAACAGAAGTGAGTCATGATATGGTGCTTTTTTTGGTATAAATAGTCTACATCTGATGGTTTACTATGTCTGGTGGAATAAGTGACGGTTAGTCTGAGCAGTGTCACCATGTAACCCCAGTGATCAAGGTGAGATTGCGAACAACAAAGCCGGTTCCAAGGCTCCCATTTATCTTTGCTCTGGTCAATATAATGGCATTCCAACTATTTTTAAACTATACTTCCAAGACAATTTCTGCTTCTACTCAGAGCTTGAAAAGTTGAAACTCCATTCTCGAAACCGCCGTAATATCTGTATTTCATATATTTATACTAGACTCAATGCCTTGCCTCCCACCTGATTCGAATAATTACTACCTGCTCTAAATTTAAAAGAAGCTGGGCTGCTTTGTCCTCTTCTCTCTAAATTAGAAGATTGGAAGTTCGCTTGTTGACTTCAACCAACCGCAGCAGTTGGCTCAAACGACAGAAATGGCAGACGAAGACGGACAAAAGGGTTAGACAGATGCAAACTAAGCTGTTGCAACTGGGAGGATTATTTTTTTTTTTGCAAACTTATTTATGTCCTTTGATCCCTTTGCAATGGACAGACCTGTGCTACTGTTGTTGGTTGTTGGGGAAATCCACTGGCATGGCGTGAGCAGAGGTTCCTTCAGAATAATGACAAAGGAAAATGTCTATGAAGGAATATGAATGGAGAGAAAGAGATATATAGACTGTTGTATAAAGTGAGACCGTCTCTGTATTTGAATTATTGACTTGTGTTTCCTTCATACTCAGCTTTTTTTCTCTAGGTAAAGGCTTTGTCCTTGATCAAGCGTTCTGTTGGCATCCCTATAATAATGCCACTTCTTCAACTCCCTCTCGAAATCCGCTATATAATATACGAGTTCGCCCTGTATGTCTTTCAGCCACTACCGGAGAGCCCAGCTTGCGCGGGAAAGCGGGTGCGACTCTCACACTGTTCACACGAGTACCACGAATGCCGCTGTCAGACAGGGGATATATTTGTCAACTTTGAATTTAGGGCCGTTAAAGATGCCCAATGCCTATTCCAAGTGAATCACCAGATTTACAGGGAAGTTAGGTCTCTTCTTGGTCAGAGGGGATTCCTGTATGTGGTGGATGTCATGGTTGTGAATGAGCGTGAGCTATGGCCTACATGGATTGCTGCACCTGTGTGTTTTTACAGAGTTGATCATGCACAAGTCTCATTCCGATTTTTTGGGAAGTACGACAGCAATAATGGTGCCAGTCGGCTCCTGGATATGCTTCCTCATTTTCTGGTCTACATTACTCTGTGCTGGCCGGAGTGGTTTCAAAGATACAACCCGCTGAAAATAAATAAGCTGACGCTGGATTTCCGCACGCCTAATGATGATCCTGAAAGACTCGCACCGCGCACATTGGAAGCTTCTGATTGGATTTGGGGTCGAATGGGCGCTGGATCAGGGCCATCTGTTGAAGCAGAAACTGGCCTAACCGGTCTCATGCGGCCTGAATGGCTTGCGAGAGAGATGAGTCGGGTTGTTGAACAGGGGCTGCAGATGACATATCTCGATGGGACGTTGGGGAACACTATGCACAGGCGACTGGGCACTGTGGATATCCGCGTGGATGGAGACCTTCAAAATACCTTCAGTGCTGCTGATATTCTGCAGCGCATGCGCTATGCGGATGCAATATGTACGCCGCTGTACATCCTTCCAGGTGATCGATTCATGGCTTATCTGAGATGGAAGAAGTCAGTGTTGGAAGATCGAGGAGCGAATGGACTCCAAGTGCTCTATCCGGATGAGCCCGAGCTATACAGCGGATTAAGCTGGCAGAAGCTTCCGTCTTCGGTGTCCAGAAGACTAGGTTGATATAGTTGCTTTTCCTTGTGTCGTTCTACATGGGAATGTGATACACGTGACGTTACGGACGGAACCAGATCGGCCCGATTTCAATTGCGCGTAGCTTTATGCAAACAACCCAAACACAAATCACGTGCGCAATTCGCTTGACGGCTTTTTCTGTGGGATCTCAGTACTTTTCACCATCTCACTACACTTACTACTCTTCGAGTCTTCTCGACAGCTTCAGCCTCGATGGCTGTATGATCCAGGTAAGAGGATTTTTTTCTCTACTTTTGCACACTCTCGAGTGATGATCACCATATCCAAAAGCATAGTTCACCTGAGATCTTCGGATCGCTGAACGACAACCATATACCATCTTTCACCTTTATCTGAGTCTGCTGTATACCATTCTGCTATTACTGTCGCATCTACAATGAACGGAGTTTGCTGACTTTGAGAAATTAAAGGGCATTCAAATCGATTTCTTCGCTGTACACTTACAGTGCAGTGTACACCGCTGCTCTCTGCCTCAGGCTTCTTCCCCTGTTCGACTAGCGATCTCTGTTATTATTATGATTTCTATTATTCTACTTGATGCATTGCTGCCCAACCGGATCCACTTACTACCGGAGGAATAAATTATTTTCACACACCTTGCTAGATAAACCGGCGTTTTCCTCGGAAATGAATTACTTTTTTTTCTCTTCCCCTCTTTCTCCCTGCTCGAGGCTCCGTAAGTGTTTGATTCGCTTTCCAGCGCTGTACATCCGTTTCATGAAGGAAGTGACTACATGGATGGACTACGTCTGCTGCAGACAGCAGACAGTACGTGTCGTGCTCTCACCCAACGACTCGATGACTGGGGATCCTCGAGCAGTGAATCCCGTAATTATTATGCAGCCATCATCACCGTAATCTCATGCCAAAGCCAATCATGCCCTGTGTGGAATGCTTTGTCTCCATCCGGCGCTGGACACTTCAACATCCTCGTTCTCCGTCGAATCACCCTGCCCAGCAATGCCAATCTTGCTGCAAGGCGCGACGCCGGCCGTGATGGTCTGCCCCTCATTATCCGAGCGTCCCACCGGTGCGTCTCCTGGCGTGCTGCTGCGCCGCTCCTAAAAGCCCGGCGCTCCCCCCCCTCCAGCCCCTGCACTCTTCCTTTTTCCTTCCATCTATTTCGCCTCTTCTCCTCCTCGCTAGTCACCAAGAAAGTGATCTCCAACACTGCAGACGACCCTGGGATTTCATACCTTTCTTCATTACAGTTGCGTTGACTCTTGCCGTCGATCAGCTCCCCTACATTCGCCCCTGAGGTTGCCATCTTCTGTATCTCAATTGCCTGAATTTACTTCCCCACGGATCTGTTCTGGCTTCATAACGACCCTTGTGTTGCCATTGGGACCACATCCATTGCCCGGACAGGATTTTGCTTGATTTCTTTTCTGTCTTCTATTTCTGTTGATCTCTCTTGCTACGGCCTTCCCCTGGCCTTGCTCTTCTTGCCTGAGGTCTTAACCACAGCTTTTCTCCGCTACTCTGAGCGGCAGACAACAGGTAGTCCCCTACATTTTCTTTTTCTTTTTCTTTTCTTTTTTTTTTTTTGTCAGTGCACTCCACGACACCGGATTCCTGTCAGGTTTTGTGCACGACCTCGCAAGAGGATTACTTTTCCCGGACATCTTGCGTCTATGCGCACTGCTCCATGGGACCCTTGCTGCTATCAGCCACTAGAAACCCCCAAGATCCTCACTTTTATGGATGACACTCGTCCACGGCAGCCGCTGTGTGACATTGGATATTAGAGTGATGTTAATGTTGCACACTCAATGCTTCTCCCGGGCTTACTTCAACTGCTATCCTTTCCGTGGATTCTCCGAGTTGAACCCTGGATGGCATCTCCATGTCGGACCTTGACCCTACTGTGTACCTGGACTAGACCTTTGGAAAACACCCCATGGAGACTCAACTGACTTCCTAATTGACAATGTCTTACCAACTTTGGCTTCCTTTCGAGTTTGGCCTCCGGAGAACACGGCCTGGACTGGATCATTGGGCATCTTCATGGATACCGTCGACACACTGGACTTGCCCTGCATCGTTTGCTATCTGGCGTATATAGACTACTGACGCGCTCCGAATATGACTGGATTTACCACCTGGACTTTTTCTCTGGATACTGAGGATTATCATAATGCTCGCCGTGTGTAGCTCTTAGACAATGCTTTCAACGATGAACGATGTTACCGCCAACGTCTAGTCATTGACGTCTTCCACGCAAAGCCTTCAACTTTACCAGGACTGTTAATTTTACTCGGACTTACGTGCTAGCAGGCTACGTCTGCGGACGAAACATCTCTCGGATGCTCTCGTGCTTTCTGCGTTCTCTACTGGCCGGCCGAGTTACTAATCACAGCATGCTGGACAACTGGATGGCTGTACCAACATATTCATTTTTCTCTTCTGCGTAGAAAGCGTGGATTGCTAACGTTATCCGTCATGCGTCTAGGTTCCTCCTGCCGACTCCTACATTCCACCGCAATGTCCCATAGATTAGAGGATACAACATCCAGGCCCTCACCATCCCACCCCCTGATGCAGAAAATGGACCAGATGCCCTACCAGAGACAGAACTCCTTAATGTCGGGAGTTTCCAATATGACTTCCGGGTCAATCCAGGACAATGAATTCTCAACCCAAGGAGACTTGCCTTTGCGTCCAAACTCGCACTGCGGCCATGGAACCCCCAATGACTTCACTCACTACTGGGCTTTACAAGAGGCAGCTGTGCTTGATAATGGCTCTGTCTCATCCCAACAGTTTGTGCCCTCCACTGCAGGCCAAGGTGATCTGTTATATCATAATGTTTCTGAGTTCCCTGCTGCCCAGGATGTGACACCCCAAAATGACTTTGACTTCGCCCATGCCCATCAGGATTTCCATACTTATTCGCCCCTTGCGGACCTGGTTTTTGACACAGATGTGTGTCCCCAAAATGGATCCCAAAGCTACGATGATACCCTTTCCGTTGGACAAACTTCTCAGGCGGACGACAAGCAAATGATCAGTGCCCAGGATGCCTGGAACTCCCTACAAGGATCACCAATGGACCAACTCTCCTCCAATGTTTTCCCGGCTCTTCCCGTGTCCCCTCCTTTGTCTGAAGCTAGCAGTGACATATGCGTCACGTCCTCCTGCTCTAGCTCTGGTTACACGTCCTTCATAGCAAATGATGATGCTTTGTTCGCCGACATCACAACGCCCGTTGGCAGCCAAGGAATCAGTCTAGGAGATCCCCTGTTCCCAATCTCGCCGCCGCTCACAGAGCATGACCCCAATAGGTTAGAACCTACCTTCCACCTTGTAATTCGCCGAATGTATCAATTCCTAACCTACCAAACAGGACCATCAGACCTTCCAAACAATCCCGTAGGCCAAACTTGGCAACGGCCATCTCTCAGTCCGATGTCAAAACAAACCCAGAAGATCATCAGTCGATGCCAATTCGGGGGCCTCTTAGGCAGAGGCCCAAGGACTCTGCTGAACTTAAGAACCCCCGGGATCATCCTTATTATTCTATGCCAACTCACAGTGACGGGAAATACTATTGCCCTTTCGCTACTGGCGAGAAACCTTGCAATCACCCTCCAACGACACAGAAATGCGCCTATCAGTAAATACCATCTCCTCCCCCTTATCGTGGTCTTGTGGTTGATACTGATTGTTGTGTGCAGTAAATACCTGGACTCTCACCTCAAGCCATATCGGTGTAAGGTACCTGCCTGTATGGATGCCCAGTTACAGTTTTCTTCTAATGCGTGCCTTTTCCGCCACGAGCGGGAGGCGCATGGATTCCACGGACATGGAGACAATCCTCACCTTTGCCTTTTCGAAGGTTGCGAAAGGTCTATTCCAGGATACGGGTTTCCCCGCAGGTGGAATCTTTTTGACCATATGAGGAGAGTCCACGACTTCGCTTCCGTAGAGCAACTTAGTTCTCCGGAGAACTCCCCCGCCATTGGAAAAGCTGCTAAGCGAAAGGAGACGTCGGCACGCAAGCGACGCGTCAATGGAGTGACTGGAGCTCAAGTGATGAAGCGGACTCGCTCCAACCAGTCCCAAGCAAGTTCCGGGAAGTCTGCTCACTCTTCTCATAATGGACAGAGACTCCTGGACGCAGAGCGCAATTATTTTAACTGTCGCGCCCGACTGCTTGAAGAGCTTAGCCACATCACGCCACAGGATTCTGCTATGCATGAAAAGGTCAATGCTAGCCTCCAAGAACTGATCACGCTTGGATTGAACTACCGCCATATCGAAGCCAGCCAGATGGCATCTCAAGTATGAACCATGGATTGCTTGTTTCGTTCTTTTTTTGAAAACCAACCGTGTGACATGCTTCTCCCAAGGATTCCACCGTTTTCTTCTTCATGGATATAGACCGGATGGATTTTTTTAATCTCTCTTTTACCTTTTTTACCTTTTTATTTGTTTTGCCCATGATACCAGGCATGGGGAGCACCTTTTGTTAATACGCTACGGATAAGTCACGGAAACAGACCGTGCAAAGAAGTCCACAGGCCAGCGATTGGATATACCTTCTGCCCATGGAAAATTCTCCAGTCCAGTCCTCCAAGGAAACTCCAGTTGGAAACTGATCATGTCCCTCTTTCATGGAATTGATCTTTCGGGCGAATTTCTGCGCCCCGGACCAGAGGACCTCTACTGCTTGTGACATTCATATTTGAGCACGGCATTGCAGCGCTCAAACCTTTGGTCCAGAAGGTGGAAACCACACGCGCTTGCCGTCGTGCTCTCAGCTACCCACGAGCATAAGTGGGTGTGCTGTGCCTGGGGTATGATTCTTTGTGGACATATATATATATTATATGCGTGTATACTTGCTGCCGGCGGATTTCTTGCCTTTGTTTTTGTTTTTGGGAATTGGAAAAGGATAGAGGGGGGAAAGAAAAACAAGAGGGGGAGAACACAGTGGGACAATGGGCATTTTTTGGCTGGATTTTTTTGTTTTTGGATTGTTCTTGTTTAGACATTGGACTGACTTCTCAGTCACATCAAGCGGGTTGTTTTGACATAACTGGGTTTGAGGATCATGGATCATTTTGCAGCGACTTTCTGCATCGGTTTCTGGCTGGGATATTCTGTTGTTGCTGCGTTGTTTCTTTTTGTCGTTTATATTTTGGTCTGGATGTTTTGATATTCATTTTTATTGTCATTTTTTGTGTTGTGCATTACCTTGGTCCGTTGGATGTCTGCAAATATACCATCTGCAACTTGTTTATTTGATTGCGCTGTCATGGTGCTCGTGCTCAAGTTTCGGAGGCAGAAGTCCGAAGAAAACGAAAGGAAGAAGAAAAGAGAACGCTCGGATCGAAGGTAGAAAAAAAAAACACCTCTCTTGCTTTTATTTATAACGGCCGTTATGAGTTATGATGTTGATGATTAAATTGACTATTTTTTGTTTCTTATTTCTTGTTGCTTGGTTGCCTTGTTATCCAACTTGGCAGTTGGTGATAGTCAACCATTAACTACCAGTATTAGGTATATAGCCTTTTCTACTTCTTTGGTATCTTTCAATCTTCGAACTCGTTTTCTTAACCCCGATAATAGTTCTGTCTTTATTCGTAATTGCTGGTAGAAGCAAAGGGAGTAGGTAGCTGTCATTTACACGTGACGAGGTTGCCCTACAAGATGAATTGTTATAGTTCATTTGTTCCCGTTACAACAGGAGCAGTTATTTATTATTAGCGTGTGCACGGCTGTTTAAATTCTGATTTCTAATTTTTGTGGATGATGAATAAATACCATGATCAATTTTTAGAACCAGGTGACAATATTCCTCATCTAACAGTTTGCCACTAGAATCTTACGCTTTTATTTGCATACCTACGAGAGATCAGGTTCAAATACCAGTATTCATAACCAAGTGAAGGAAGGATAAAGTAACCAAATGATACTAATATTGAATATGCCCTGAAAATCAGAGTAATTGTCACAGACAAAAATGAAACTGTTGAACCAAGGTATCGTGCCACGCACCCTATGCTGATGGGATTAGCAGAGGCAAAGCCAAGCTGAATGGCCCCTCGATAGTATAAATAACCGTGAGACACTATATATATGCTTCCTGGTGTCGCTTGACCTTGACGCCGTATTCAAGGTCTGTCCCACATAACCTCTCCAGTATTTGTTGTTTTGTTCATCCAGGACGTACAAGATTGGGGAGACCCGGCACCGCACCGGGTCTCTCCTAGAACGGACAAAAGAAAAGCGAAGGGAGGGCCATGGTTTCCAAGGATAAAGGGCATGTATGAGCGGATTTCTGGTATCCTTAGAATAAGATGTGTTGTTAGGATGCACTATATAGGCATGTTTTGTCAGGGTCTGCTGTGTCAACTGCTAGCAAAGGCATACTATGACAGGTCGACGTGTCTTCGTAGCGATACGTAGATGAATAGTATATAGATCAAGCTCTGTAGTTATACATAGTCAATATCTTTGATTAAGAAGAGCAGAGAGAGGATGGTTCATCGACAGCAAACGCATACTCAGACAAGAACCAACAAACAGGCAACACAACCCAATGTAATAATCGTGATCCTTGGAGAGCAGGAGAGTATACCAGACATGAAAGAGAACAACAGAAAAGAAACCTAATTATCCTCCTGCCATCTATCAAATACCATCAGCATCGAACTCGAAGAATAAGAGTGGTGACAGATAAAATACCTATGCCCACCGCCGAAAACAAGTGTAAAAATTGGTACTCCCCTCATCAGCACCCCAACTGCACCTGCGCATAGCTGACCAGTCTATACGGACACTTGACGCAATATCCATCTCGATCAGAGGGTTGGAATTAATCTTCTCCCGCGTCACCTGCGTGTACGATTTGACCTTGTTCCTGGGTCTGGAGGGGAAGTTTTCTGATGTGGATGTTTCGGTGTAGGGGAGCATTTTATCTGGTTTTATCAACACAAAGGAAACACAGAGAGAGAGAGAGAGAGAAGTATACATTCTGTAGCCTTGCCGCATAACTGGCACTTCAGGGTATCCTCAGGCAAATCGCCGAGGAGATCGTGGCAGAATCGTACGACCATGGTTAGTTGTATGAGAGGAGACTTCGATTGGAATAACTATGAAACCAACGGATAACGCTCCTCTCATCTCAGTCGTAGATGTCAGGCTTCGGTTATAAAAGCAAGCGGTCGTAGGGGGGAAAGAGGAAAGAAACGAGCTTAAAGTAGCCTTCAAGTTGATTGTCGAAGGGCATTAATGGGGTATCTGCTGGCTTCCTAGGGCATGCATGCCCAGCAAAACCAAACCGACAAACACCATGAGAAAATTCAGAGCACTTATGCTATGCTATTATTATATTTGTATCATGCGATCCATCCACAATAATATTGGCCTTGAAAAACAGGAACAGGAACAAAGCAACAGAACAGAACAGACCAAATGATCTATACCAACTAACCACGAAACGCCATGCTAAATGCAAATCCACTATCAGTGATCGAAAGGATGGTCTAAACCCTAGCTGAGAGCATGCAATTCAATCCTGAGCAATCAAGAAGAGATATTTATCAGAAGAACAGGAGAAAAAAAAATAGAAGTGACGCTTTTCAAAAATTGTTCGACGATCCGATCAGATTTGGCTGCGAAATACTCGTAATCCCCTGCGAACGAATGCTCTTCTTCCTCGCGGAGCCGAGACTCAGAATCGACAGTCTCCTCACGAATCTCCCTCTTCTGGGCGGAGACGGCGAATCCTTGCGGTTGTCGCTGCTGACAGTGTTGTTGGTGTTGTTAAACGTCGCCATGGGTGCTGGTGCTGCCTGTGATAGCGGTGTTGGACTCGGACCCGTCCTCACTGACGCCGCGTCGAGGGGGCTCGTGGGAGACACCAACATCGATTCCCTCCGTCGTCTGAGCTTCTGCGTTGTGTTCCGTGGGTCCAGCTGAAGCGGGAGATCTTCCCTGATATCGTCCAGGGCGTGGGAGAAGCGGTTCAAGAACTTGGGTCGTTCGGTGATCGAGGGTTCTCGTTGTTCAAGGCCGTAGAGCTCTACTGGGGTATATTGGCATTCATTATTCAGTGGGGAGGAGTAGTAGCGGCGGCAGTTCTTGGTGGCCGTCACCGGCATAACGTGTAGACGGGGTCTCTTCATGTCCGTGGCCTGCTGGAAGGGGGAAATAGGAGGGGACAGGTTTCGATCATGCTGATACCCCTGTGAGAGAAGAGGGTTGTAAGAATTCTTGCTGCCAGTGATGCCATGATCGCCGTTTATATTGTCGTATTGGGCATCATCGGTTTCCGGGAACCCGAGATGGGAATGGGGAGGTGATGGGGCCGGTGACCGCGATGCCCACGCTGGTGCTGCTTCGGTTGGAATTGGCTTGGGGTAATAGGTCCGGCATTGATTGACGGTGCCATTATGATTCTTCAATGTGCCGTTCTCGAAAGACAGTCTCATCTTGGCATCGGGTGTTTCTTTTCTTTTCTTTTTTCTTTTTTTTTTTTTTTCCTTTTCGTTTTCTCTTGGTTTTCCCCTTTGAATGTGTTTCTTCGGCCCTTTTTTATGTGCTTCAATCCCGCAACATCAATGAGCAATATCCCTCGCAGCGATCCACAGGCAGAAAACAATAGCGTGGTTTGACGACAATAGGGGGGGGAACGATTATTAAAACAAAATTCAAATAATAAAAAAGATAGCAACGGTAGTGAGAGAAACAAAAACGGGGCTTAAGCAAAGCCGATGAAACGAGCAAAGGTGGATTCCAGTGGAGAAGTAAGACCAGAAGACATGAAATGATCTCTGTTATTATTTCAGCAGCCAACAGCCTCGAGTCCGCGGCGAACCGTGTACCATGGATAGAAACTCGAATCCTCCGAGTGGAAATCATGCTATCCAGGACCGATCCCGATATATATGTCCCAACGTTGCAATATGTATCCCCGTACATCTCCCATCCTCAAATCAAAAAGGCCATGCCCTGCTCCTTGTCTCGGAAAAGGGAACGTCAACAGTAGCTGTCCAGTCCTTGTCAGATGAGCGCCGCACGAAATTCTCAAACAAGCCGCCAATGACGCGACCGGCAGTCGCCTGCTACTGGTGTGTATTTTAGGGACATGGGCAACCTCGATGCAATGGGGGTGGTTGAACGCGCCATGAACCACGCAAACTCAGTCGTCAGCCAATCTTCCTTTGCTCTCGAGGTCGGGTAATCCATGAGGCGCATAAATCGACGGCCAGTGTTGGATCGTTTGCCTGCCGTGCGGAGCAGGGTCCTTATGCTGCGGCGGATCCTCCGGCAAAGGAATCGTCGATGACGCTGGATGTGTCAGATTGTGTGGATGACAGTGGATGTGTCAAGGTGGATATTGATAATAATAATATCCGTAAGAAACATTAATCTGCAGCCTGACGATCCGGGAAAAGAATTTAGCAATGGATAATAATGGAAATGGATATAGTTAGTTGACTAACCATGGCGCGCGGTAATCTAGCGCTTACTAAGAGTTGTTTGCTCTTTCGATTTAATCCCAAGAACCCTAATTTATATATGGTACGGTACTGTGCAGGCCAAATAATGGTTTCTTTTATTTTACACATGCACGGCTGGATGGCATAAAAAAGAACACAACAAAACACAGATATACTACTCGTCTCACTGCGCATAAGTCGTCAAACGTGTCTACATTCAAGCTCACATTACAAAAAGCAAATTGACATCTACAAGAGACTTCCAGTCAGCTTCCATGCGCCTCTAAAACAAAAAGAACAGACTTACCCAGGGGGTGGCTGCAGCTCAGCTGCGGCTTCTGAGAATATTTCCCTTCGAGCTCTGCTCGAATACTATTCAACAACTGCAGATAGCTCTGGTTTGGTCGCTGATTCAATGACTTGATGAACGCCCAGCTCAAAGCGCCTCTTGCCTCGCCACCTTGGAAAGTATCCGCCCTGGGAGGAAAAAAGGGGAAATTGTTAACCAATTGCCGTCCACTGACTGGAACAGACATACAAAGGTCGAGACTACTCACGATGTCTGCGTATCCTTTGACCCCGAGAACATGACCACATCTGCCGGAGATGTCTTGGTTCGTACGGTCTTCTCTCGCGCCGAGTTTCCGATCGCGGCCTTTTTGAACAGGCCCACTGCTGTCGAAGCGATGCTGGAGAGATCACCCCTTTCGTAAGAAAGGAACACATCTAAAAGGCCTTGTGCAGCATCCTTGGCCAAATTCGGCTCCTTCAGGACTCCCTGGGTCGAGTACACATATGGAAGATCCAGAGCGGTTCCGGAGTGACATGAGTCAAAGATAGCTGTCAGCCGAACGCCTGGCTGCAGCGGCTTGACCCTTAATGGGGGAGACAGTTTTCAGTACATGAAGAAAAGCTAATGTCCAAAAGAGAAAACGTACATTATGTCATGCATTTCATCATCTACGATGTGTCCAGAATTCCTGTAATCAACAGGATAGATGACATCATCAAAGCCTGACCGAGTGTCAGCCACATGAAAGATATGTATATATAATAAGAAAAGAAACTTACCATCGTCTTCGTCGCCATCGAGATCCGGAGTCCGACCACCGTGCCCTAGAGAACGTCAGCCGCCAGCAGAGACGGGAATTATGAATTCTTTGGGGATTACCAGAATAGTGGATAAAGAGCGAGTCATTGGGCTGTGCGCCTTTGACCAGCCATTGCATGGCCCTCAACATGTTTGCCTTTGTGGGAATGCTCATCGGATTCTGCTGATCGTCGGTGAGGATGACCATGTACTCCCTCCGGTAGCCGTATCGCTTGTTGAGGAAAATGGACATTTCCTTGACATCGTTAATGCAGCCCTTCAGCTGATTGGGCTGTCCGAAGTAGTTGATGCCGATAAGAAGGGCTTTGCGACGTCCGGTACAGTTAGAGTAACGGAATCGGTAACTAGACGGGGCGCCATTGCCAAAGCTCTGTGCCTCCTGCGGTGGGCGGGGAGGGAGGTTCGGAGAGGAAGACCATGACCCTATAGTGTTTTGTTCAGAGAAGGACATATAGGAAAAATGGTTTAGGTCCATAGATGCTTACTTCGATGCGGAAGAGGTGATGATTGGGGAGGGGGAGATTAGGAGGATACGGGGACGGAGCTGGTGAGGGGTATTGATACTGGCCGTATGTCTGTGGAGGGGGGTAGTTGGGAGGCTGCGACGGGGGAGGACCCGGACGAGGAGGTAATTGAGGATACTGAGGATACCTGGGGAGGAATCAGGTTAGAACAGAAGACAGAGAGAACTTGGCAGCTGTTGTGTCATTGTCATACTGGTACGCCTGTGGAGGGGGCTGACCCCACTGCGGCGGGGGATAGTAGCCAGATCCTGGCGGTGGATAGGCCCCGTTATACATGGAAGCGCAGGGTCAAAGAGATGCTGAGGCTTGAGAAACACAGAGATGAATAGATGAGCAAGGATGAAGAAGTGGGAGAAATATAGAAAAGAAAAAAAAATGAGAGAGAGAGAGAGGACGGGGCTGGCTGGTTAATATGTATCTGACAGTCGCGACGCAGCACCGCCAAAGTCAAACCGCAACGCGCAAAAGGCTTGGGTTCGCTGCAGGCCAATCACGCGGCCGTGATGCCCAGGGCTGATCAGAGAAAAAGGCCATAGGGAAACGCGTCATGGCGACAGGGCTGGGAAGTGCCGAGCAGCGCCCCGCAGTTGGGATACAAGAACAAGTGTCAACTTTCAAGGTTACAATCATACAAGAACAGTGGGCATGATGACTCGGAACTCGGGGCTTTCCAGGCATCACCAGCACCCAATGGATCGGCCAGGGCAGCCGTGTTTCCCGCGAAGAACTGCTTCAGCCCTGTGGAAAATACATGCAACAGTGCAATAAACAGAGGAAGCAAAGTAAATTAAACAACCTGAAATGACAAGAGATACGTAACCGGTCATCTGACTCGACGCTTACGGCAGTCTTCGCGAAAATTCCACGCGTGACTCACTTGTGCATATGCAGGTATCATATCTGCAGCATACTTATGCAAGCCGGGTAGGGCTCAGTCGGATTTTAGTCTGTAGTCACATGTGAGCTCCATTCTGACTCCATATTGGTATCAATAGTAATAACACCTGTCCCGTCCAAAGCCCATCTCAAAACCTCTCAGCTCTCCGTAGCATGCTGCTTATCCCTCCCCTGATCTCTCATCTCACTATATCGCTTCTGATGCTCCGTATCACCCTTCACCGCAGCCCCAACACTCCCCAGCGCACCCATAACCCGACTGGCGACGCCTTCACCCCAGTCCGATACCATATTCTCGGCCTCCTGCGCCTTTCCCGTCGCGTTCTGCTCTTGGCCGGATTTCCGCAGGTTTTCGTGGCCCAGCAGGTTGCCGAGGGATTCCTTGGAGGAGCCGATGGTTTGGTCCCATGTTCCGCTGGGTTTGTTCTGCAGGTGTCGTTAGTTAGGTGTCTTTGGTTATCTTCTTTTAAGACTTAGGGATTATTATGCATGGATTGCGCACCCCGGAGGACATTTTAGATTGCTTTGCTTTGCGCGGATTTCTTCTTGTTCCTTGTTCTTGTAGTTGTAGTATGATAGAGGATTGACTTGTTCAGTTATTGATGCTGCTGCTGACGCTCGACCATTATATATACTTATCCCAACGTCTTCCTCTCACATCATCGCGATGATGCACTCTTCCATTCTTTCTCTGCTGAATCTGGTACATCCTTGCCGTGTCCAAGGCACGGCAACTGGAAGATGACGTCACAATCTCCGAAGATCATTATGTCAATGAGTCACGTGAAAGCCTTATCTCTGGTACAGACTCCAAAAGATGCTGCCCTGCCGAGTCAATACACTGCTTGCGTGAATCTATACGACGTTGTCGTTGCGTCACTTTCATTGCTTTTGGACACTCATGTAGACATCAAGACGCCACCATAATCATGACTTCGTTCTGCAAATCCGGGGGTAGATCGTCCCCTTGCTATGTACAATGCGCTTGCGTCATAAAGGTATGGAGTAGGAGAATCTAAACGCCCAACCCCAACAGAGAACAATCGAGGCCCGAGGTTAAGTCCATCGGACCTATTATTATCGTACACTCTGCAACTACCAATGGCAGATGCCACCCTCAGTTTGATCTGCGCTCCATGTCCCTGCCAGCCCAACCACTTCCAGGTGGCCGTCCGCATGCTCTCCCACCTTGCTCAGCGTAGCAGACCGTGGCTCCGCCGGTCCATCTCTAAGTAACCGGTGAGCCCAGGCGTTGATGGCTGGCTCTTCCGTCTCATCGCGCGCTTGCTTCAGGAATGGAATCAGTGCCGTCCCGCCGGTTCCTCGGAGCTTCTTATTATTAGAGGGCTTGTCCTGGCGCACAATGGCCAGGTTCAATGCAGCTGGGCCATGCTGAGTGCCTGTGGGAGAGTTGATACGTGCTTCCCTGGATTTGACAATGATGTACCGCGATACCATCTGGATGTGTTTATCGCGCAGGGCTCGGAGCATGGCAAGACAGGCATCGTATGCACATGAAAGTGCCTTGTCAGACTTTCGACTCTCGACAAACTCCCGGATATTAGCTACCCTGTCAACATGCTCCAGAAATCGGCGATGAGAGCCCGGCATATAGTCTCGCATCTCACGAATGAAACCGTGGCCAGACTTCGACGCGGCTCCCGAAGTGCCGTCATTGCGTCCCACTCCAGTCGGTCGATGTTCGATGCCAAGGACGATGTCAAAGAATTGAATGAGCGAGCTCTGCGCATTGCTTCCACCGCTGTATTGCCGATATTCCTGGCCAGCTCCGTCATCATACATCACACCCCGAGGTAATCCAGCATCGCCCATATTCTTGCTACCAGCTAGATAAGGGCGGATTCTGTGATAGAATATGTGGGGATCACAATGCTCATACATCTTCTGCAGGACTGCCCCCACTTTATCTAGGATCTCTGCAAAATGCTGCAGGCATTCAGTTACCACCCTGCTGTCTCCAGAACGTGCAGCAGAAATAGCTTGCAACATGAGGGGAATAGACGGGGCTCCCTGAGCTTCAATGGCCACTGAAACCAGGTAAAACCACTGTTCATCCATAGATCCAGTAAAGGTATTGATGCAGGCTAGGTTGCTCAGATTATCGGTTGGTTCATCAGGAAAGATGGGCTTGTAGTTCCAAAGACAGACAGCCGCATATGTGGCGACAGGTGGTATATCCAAGTGTTCACAGACTTGGAACAGAGGAACAGTGATCTGGGGAGGGATTCTCTGTTCACTTGTTAGGAAATCATGCATCTCATGGGCGGTGTGAAGCCTACCTCTTGTGGTTGATTGCCACCCCATACATAGCCATGTAGCATGAACACCAAAACGACATACGCCCGTCGCCACTCTCTTTCGGTATGAAGATGTCTCGCAGAGAGCACAGGGAGACTATCAATAACCTCATGCAACCTCCTGCTCAGCAGAAGTGGCTGCAACTTGGAAACTATTGCTTCCCATTTGATGTAGTACGGGTTAGACAGCATCTCAAGAGGTTCTTCATCTGGGAGAAAGCCGTGGACAGGCGATATGCCATAGTCTGCTAGGTCTGGAAGAGGTGGAAGCATATCGATGTCGGAGCACAAAGTGATCGAAGTAGAAAGTGAATATGGCAAAAATAAAATAAAAAAAAATTAAAAAAATGAAATAGAACTTGATGAAGGATAATAGCGGAAGACTAAAAAGATTAGCAATCTGCAAAGGGCAAGCAGATCAAAGAGGCACCGTGGCTCTAGAGGCGAATCTTGGGCAAATATAAGGTTAGTCTTTTCCCTCCGGACTTGACAGCCGTTCAAGGATAGAGTGGTGGCCAATGGGGGCAATGCAATGATAATTGTTATAGAATTCTGCGAAGGATTGAAAACATGTTCTCTCTGAGCTTTTTTAAACAGAGGGCTTAAAAAATGGGTTGTAAACCGTGTAAGTCTAGACGCGATCGAAGAGGCAACATAGACCTGGGGCAACAGGATTAAGGATTCCAAGAGGCATAGGAGGCAAGAGAAAGATAAAAAGTAACGCGAAAGAAAACAAAAGAAAGAGTGTAAGGGAAACAAGTGAATATCCAAAGGATTAATAAGAATAGGGAACGAACCACGATGGCAAGCAGACAACTGAGCATGAAGCCAGCACCGGAACCAGGCGGGTTGGAGAAAGAGAGTGAACCTTGGTGGACAGCACCCGTCGAACACGAGGTTATAATTTCTAGGTAACCCGAGGAGAAAAGATGCAACCGTTTTAGATAGGAATGGCGGGGATGAAGAGACGGCTATGTTCCTTTGGGGATTTAAGAATAGAGAGCAGGCGAAGGAGTCTACAGGACAGAAGAAACCGGAAGGGAAGAAGGAAGCAACCAGGGGAGGTCCAGCGTTGTATATTATAAATCATGACCAGGACCCCAGGATGCAGAAATTGATCAGCGAAGATGTCGCGTGGTTGATCGAATTCCCTTCCGTTCCCAAAGGTAGTAGTACGGAACAGACAGAAAAAGGACACCCGGTCAAGGCCTAAGCAACTGCGCATCGTCGAAGTATCCTGGCATGGTGACTAGAGCATGATTGGGCGATTATGGTGAGAGAAGTGGGTGAGCGGAAATAAAAAAAAGGAAAGGACAAAAGGGAAAAAATAGAAAAAATTGCGAGCAATTGAGCCGTTAGAGTTTCGCGAGAGTCGCAATAAAAGAGAGCGAGTCTAGAGAGCGTCGAGTCAATCAGCAGAGCGAATCCGGTGGGCCAGCCTCTGACCGGAGGAGCGAGGGAAAGGCTGCTGCTCTGTGCAGGGAGCAAAGAGAGGCCTGGGGTACCTGGACATGACGGGTGCAGAGGAACGAGGGAATGAGCACAAGAATCAGGATATAGAAGAGAGGTGAAGTCGAGATAGAATGAAGCTGATACCGTCTACGGTCTTGTATAGATTGCCGGCAACGAAGCCAAAGAGGCACTGGGTGGAAGCGAGAGGGGGTGGTTTAAGCGAGGCCTAGCGTGGGTGCTAGAGAATGAGCCGGAACCGCCTGCTTCCGCGTGGCCGGGTGCGGAATAGCTGGGCCAGCCTAAGCGAGACTGTAGCTCGGTGTGCCCCTCCATTCGCCTACACCCACGCCACCCCAAACTGCATAACCTTGAATAATAATAATAATAACCAGAGCAACATCAGCATAAACATGGATCAATGGGTGGAGGCAATATCATCATTTCATACAGTTGTTACTCCATAGTACTCCTACATAAGTCACAATAATAGTCCATAGGCACTGAAGTAATCTGTTCATTTATCCTATTCCTGTTCTGTACATTCAACGCCGTCCCATAAGACCGCTATAGCTGTCCATTCTAATATAACCCAAGTCGCCCAGGGGAATAATACATGCAAACTGCGCTTGACGGAAACAAAAAAGTCGCTCTCGTGTCGGGAATACAAACAATTAAAATAATAAGGATAAAAAAAAAAAAAAAAAAAAACAGAGAAAGGAAATCACTACGGCCAGTCTAATGCTGACTCCACTGGATCGTGTTCAGATCAATACCCTCCTGCACCAGCTCCCACAGCGGACTCAGCTCCCGCAGGAAGTGCACTCGGTCGCGCACCGCATTCAGCACATAGTCGATCTCTGCTTCAGTCGTGAACCGTCCGATGCCGAACCGGATGCTGCTGTGGGCACTCTCGTCGCTGGCTCCAAGAGCGCGGAGCACGTAGCTGGGTTCCAGAGATGCCGAGGTACATGCGCTACCCGATGACAAAGCAATATCCTTCAGCGCCATCAGCAGCGACTCACCCTCGACGTACGCAAAGGAGACATTGACACAGCCCGGATAATGGCGGTCTGGATCTCCGTTGAGCGTTGTGTGTTCCATGGACAGGAGTCCGTCCAGCAACCGCTTAGACAGTCGCGCGATATGCTTGCTGTCGTACTGCTCAAGTCGTCAGCGATCATCCGTGAAGTTCTGCAGACTTGACAACAGAGAACACTTCAGAGCTCATTGCCCCTGCTATGGACGTCATGGAGTCTGACAACACACCAGATGGCGTGCAGCTACCGCCAGAGCACCTCGGAAAGCCATGCATATTTAAAGCATTTAATCATCGCCAGACGGGAGAAGAAAAGTGGAAAAGAAACGACAGAACTGTCAACGTACCTCCATGTCTTGTTTGGCGAGGCGTGCGGCCTCGCCAAAACCGACTACCTGGTGGGGTGCAAGAGTACCGCTGCGCAAGCCTCTCTCCTGTCCACCACCAGAAATAATAGGGTCAAGTCGAACCCTGGGCCTGCGTCGGACATAGCAGGCACCGATGCCCTTTGGGCCATAGATCTTGTGGCTTGAAATCGACATAAGGTCGATGTTGAGTTTGTTGACATCCAATGGGATCTTGCCGAATGCCTGAGCGCCATCAGTGTGGAAGAAAACCTTCTTGGACCGGCATAGCCTTCCAATCTCCTCCAGCGGTTGAATTACGCCAATCTCATTGTTGACAGCCATGATCGACACCAAAGCGGTTTCTGGACGAATGGCGGCTTCGAGATCCTCCATCCGGACCAACCCGTTATGCTGCACAGGGAGATACGTCACCTCATAACCCTCATCCTGAAGATGACGGCAGCTGTCAAGAACACACTTGTGTTCCGTCTGACTTGTGATGATGTGCTTCTTCTTGCCGGACCGGCCGAAGAATCTGGCCACGCCCTTGATACTCATGTTGTTGCTCTCGGTAGCGCCGCTGGTAAGGATGATCTCTTTTGGATCAGCCCCAATCAGACTGGCGATGTGTTCCCTCGCTTCATCAATAGCCTTCTCCGATTCCCATCCATATGCATGTGTTCTCGAATGGGGGTTTCCATAGATCCCAGTGAGAAACGGCAACATGGCGTCGAGAACACGGGGATCAAGCGGAGTTGTTGCTTGCATATCAAGATAGATGGGGCGAGTGCCCTGGTCCAGCAGGGTCGCCTGCTTCAGAATGCCGGCCGTCTGGCCCATGGACGCGTCTCCGGTAACGGAGGCTGGGAGCTGGACTTTCTGAGGCTGCACGCCAGTGCGATCCAAAAAGGATTTCCGTTCCTCCTCAACAGTAGTACCTACGCCGACCTGAGCGTTCCCAGACTTTGTCTCAGACACGTAGGATCGCTGTGAGATAGCAGGCCGTCCCGCGGTGGCGAGCGGGTGCCTGGAAAAGGACCACGTCAGGGATCCATGTTGTGAGAGGCGTCGGGCGTAGGCTCGAGACGTCTGTCTTAAAGTAGATGGTACAACAATGTGAGACATCGTCAAGAGGACTGTCTACAAGAGGATATAGGATAAAGAGAGACGGCCAGTGTGACAGAAGGGAAAAAACAACGCGAGAAGAGAGCGAGAGAGTTTTTGTGGGGACGAAGAAAATCTGATTATGTCACTCTGCGCGTTTTTTGCCAAGTTTGTTTGCCGGTCGGACTTATCTGATCCTCTTTCCCGAACAGGTAAGTCCGACCGAACGGCAGTCCTTCTGGAGGATAACACGGCAATAGCAGACTATTGGTAGTATCCTTGCCCTGCGAGGCCAGTTTGAAGGCTTTCGGAATTGAAGCGATAGATAGTATTAGACAGGGTTCTGAAGGCCTAGATCTCCTCCGCCAGCAGTTCAACCGCAACGATAGTTAATTCATGCAGGATTCGCACTCAATCCTCAATGGAGCCTGCAGCCTGCGTAGCAGCAAGTTCGTCCCAGCATACCAGATAGATGTTAATAGATATTTACTTCCGGAGCATCATAATGCATATTTGCTGCATAAATTCCAGCGGAAATCCGGCACCCGGTTGGCGTCGTCCGGCATCCGTTCATGCGCCACATCTAAATGACGATCGACAGATGCGATGGATAGAGAGCGTCAGAGTCGATCGTGGTGGCTAGACGACAAAAAGAGCACAACGTTGGATTCAAACAGCAGGGGAACGATTGAGATTGAGCATTCATCTTACATCCCACTCAGAGTCTCAGCATCCTCAGCCAGCTGACATCAGCCTGCGTTTCCTTGGCCATAGCACAGCCACAGCCCCGTCTCACAGGTTCGTCCCGTCGAACCACAAAGACAATCGACTCTGTCGAAGGTTCTCCCGGATACCCCGCCAGCCAGTTCTTGTCCTACAGGCCTCTCTCTCACTCAGACTGTTCTTCCTTCTTCCTCCTCACTGCGCCCATCTCCACGAACAAGGCTGTTTCCTGCCTTTCCAGCTCTTCCGAATACCAAACACCCGTCCTACAGCATCCTCTGAACACGGTGCGGGGGGAACCCGGAAGCGGATATGAGTTTCAAAGGGTTCCAGAAGACCCTCGCTCGCGCTCCCCAGAGCTTCAGAGCCAAGTTCAATATTGGCGAGAACACTAAAGATCCAGTCTACCAGGATGCGGAACGGCGTTTTCAGGAACTTGAAAAGGAAACGAAGGCCCTTCACGCAGAGTCGAAAAAGTACTTCGATGCTGTCAATGGTAAGGCGTTCTTCTTCGCGGATTACGTCTCACGGTAACAAAAATGTTGCTGACGACTACACGATCAAAAGGCATGTTGAACCACCAGATCGAGTTCTCAAAGGCCATTGCCGAATTATACAAACCCATATCCGGCCGTGCTTCCGACCCTAGTAGCTACACCATCGAGGGTAACCCAGAAGGTATCAAGGCTTGCGAGGAATACGAGGCGATCGTTCGGGATCTCCAAGAAACTCTCGCACCCGAACTGGAGACCATCGAAAGCCGTATCATCAGTCCTGCGGACCAGCTGCTCGAGATCATCAAGGGCATTCGCAAAATTGCGGTGAAGCGAGACCACAAGAGACTGGACTACGATCGACACCGGAACTCCCTGAAGAAACTGCAGGACAAGAAGGACAAGTCCATAAAGGATGAAAAGGCGCTCTATAAAGCGGAGAACGAGGTGGAGAAATCGACGCAGGAATACAATTACTTCAACGACCTGCTCAAGGACGAGCTCCCCAAGCTCTTCGCTCTCGAGGCGGAATTCATCAAGCCTCTCTTCCAGTCGTTCTATTACATGCAGCTCAATGTTTTCTACACTCTGCATGAGAAAATGCAGGGACTGAATATTTCCTACTTTGACATGACCACGGATGTTGAGGATGGTTTCGAGAAGAAGCGGGGCGATGTCCAAGAACGAGCAGAGGAGCTTGTCATCGTCCACTTTAAGACGAAGGGGCTCCGATCTAATGCGAGACCGACGAGTCACATCGGCAGAACCAGCCACGACACGAAGAGCTCGTATAGTTCTCAGCATAACGCAGCCGATATTGTCGACAGTCCTCCGCCTCCGTACTCTTCCACGTCGGACGACGGTGCTCACTATGCAGCTCACGGCAAGGCACATCCGCCTCCACCTCCTAAGCCCAAGCCGGAGAGATTGAGTCGTCCGGGGGTCGAAACCGTTACCGCTCTCTACGACTATGAAGCCCAGGCGCATGGTGATCTCAGTTTCTCTGCGGGCGATGTAATTGAGATCGTACATCGAACTGATAACCAAAATGAATGGTGGACTGGTAAAGTTGATGGAAGGGAAGGGCAATTTCCAGGTAAAGTTTAAGCCGGTTTCTCCCTCCCTCTCTCTCTAGCCTCCTAACAATTGACTAACTGTTTGTCGCGTTGTATTATAGCAAACTACGTTGAACTGAACAAATAGATTGTTCAATGTTCATCTTTCTTCACCCATCTCATATTAATACTCGAGGTCTTCTGTCCTACAGGTGTTCAAGGGACGCTGTGCTGCGCATTGATGCTCCCTTGGTCGTTCTCGACCCTTATCCATTGTCTGCTCATTTCTCACAAGCAGGGGGGGGCTACTCTATCTCACAGGTCCATGGTCTATTTGCTTACCCCGTACATAGCTTCGGTTGTCATTCTTTATCCCAATCACCTGGTTGAATAAAAGATGATAACTCAAACTTCCCCCGGAGCCCTATTGCCCCGGCAGACTATGCTCCCTTGCGCCCCGTTGATTAGAATCTTCTCAAGTTCATCCTGAACATATGTGTTAATGCTCATATTTCAATTCAAAAGACATACCATGCTTCTATACGACCACTGAGCTCGTGGTGGCTGCACATGCCTAGAGTAATAAGTGAAAGTAGCGAAAATCAACCACCGCAGTAATCTAATCAAGCGAATAGGTTCTAGTTATCTCGTATCTTGATTATTAACGCCTCCAAGTAACTAACTAACTATCAATGATACCAAACTGACTAAAACCTGCCTATGATCTCATAGGCGAGTTATGAGCATTCACCGGCATTTTCCATTATTCGGAGCTCTTCCATCCCCAATTTTCATCTTCCTATGGTTCCAACCGCATGCCTAGTCTTGTTCCTAGACAGCCCGTTGTTTCGTCTATCTTCACGGCAATTGTCAAGCAGCGGCATTATTACACGTCGATCATGCCTCAATTAAACATTCATACGAAGTACAAGATGAACTCGGGGTTTGAGATCCCCGCCCTTGGATTCGGTGTGAGTAACACCCACCATATTACTGTAGTAGTTAACTACTAGTATTAGTTATTGGCTTAAGCTGATATCAATGCTGTCCTCCAGGTCTACATGATGTGCGTGTGAACCACAGGCTGTATATCCCCTAAGACAACGGGGAATAAAGAATAGTACTGACGTGGACTGTACATTGTACTGTTACCAGCCCTCCATCGGCTACAGAGAAGGCCGTCCTAGAGGCGTTCAAGAATGGTTACCGTCATGTTAGTATTATTATCTCTTTCTTTTTGGATGAGTCTTTATTGATTGATCCAGGTCGACTCTGCCATGATGTATCGAAACGAAAAACAATGCGGCCGTGCCATTTTGAACTCGGGCATTGACCGAGGCCAATTGTTCTTCACTACTAAAATTACTCCTACCTATATGGGATACGAGAATGCGAAGAAAGCGATTAATTTGAGTCTACGGGAATCAGGACTCGATTATATTGACCTGTCAGTTCACCTTCTTTCCTCCCGGCGTGAAATGTTATATAATGGTATAAACTAAACTAGATTCGAACAGAATCCTCATCCACGCACCGTATGGTGGAAAGGAGGCACGAACCGGTACATGGCGTGCTCTAGTCGAAGCCCAGAAGGCCGGGAAGGTCCGTTCAATCGGTATCTCCAACTACGGCGTGCACCATTTGAATGAGCTGGAGGAATACATCAAGGGTGGCGGCGGTGGAGAGATCTCCGTAGGACAGTACGAATTGCATCCATGGCTGGATAGGAGTGATATTGTCAAGTGGCTCCGAGAACGGAATGTTGTAATTGAAGCCTACGCTCCTCTGGCACGGGGTACCAGATTCAGAGATCCATTGGCGTTGTCCATGGCGAAGAAGTATGGAAAATCGCCAGCTCAGATCCTTGCCCGATGGGGTTTGCAGAATGTGAGTTGGACCTCGTTCCTGCGTACGGAAATTGAAATTGATGGAACTGACTTATATTGATGTTACGCCAACAGGGCTTTGTTCCACTTCCTAAATCGGTCACTCCCCAGCGGATCAAGGAGAATGCGGACGTTTTCGACTTTGCGTTATCAGAGGACGATGTACAGAAGATGCATACAGGCGAGTATTCTCCCACGGACTGGGATCCCACGGTCGACTTTGATTAGATATTGTGCAAGACATAGGATTCTATGCTTTGACGGGCGTGTTCCGAGACCTGTGTCGAGTAATTACCTCGTACTCTGCCAAGGGCGCATGAGACGCAGGGTCTGCGTAATTAAGATCCAGCGATAGCAATACATAGTTCTCATTGCAAAGGCAAAATATATCATGATATGGTGTAGATGGTGTAGAATCCTCGAGTTGATAAGTACCCCGCGGCATCGCGGGGTTAACCAAGTCAATTGCAACATTGGTCAGCAGATACAACATCTTTCCTCGACTCGGAAAAGCTTCTCGCTTTCTTTGTGTCTGTCCAATCCTCATTTACATTCACCCTGCAGCAGACATAAATAGGGGAAACGAAAACTGCACGTCGTCCTACGACTCTCCCTACACATACCTATTCCAACGACTTTGGTTTCAACAGTTTGGCCCGTCATGAAGCTGATACTCTCCACATCGTAAGTTGAGTTACTCCAAGGCAAAACATCTGTTGATCATTCTTTAACGATTCCTCTGGAATCTCACAGAAATATCATGAAAGGGGACGGATCATCCGTCATCCGTCATCCAACCACCGACAAATCCAACGTTGAGCTGATTAACTCGTTACGTTCGAATTTCGTGGCCGCACAGCAAGCAGTCAGCGACTCCTCGACAGCGGCATTCCATACCTCTGAAGGAGCCGAAACAGGCAGACCATGCCCGTCCTGGATATCAGAGCAGGATGGTGCTCATTACATTCCCGCGATAGATTTCTCGCAGCCCGGGCTGGTGGAGGAGAGGGACCAATACGATATTACGGTGAAATTATTCTATCTCCCTGGGATCCCGGTATCGAGACGATGTGCACACACAAGACAGGCTATTGATCTGGTATTGAAGGAGCTACATGTCGATTCTATCGATCTTCTTATTGTCTCGTTCCCCGGCGTGTCGTTTGACGCGGACGATGACGGCGAGGAGGAAATCTCAGACAGTGGAAGTGAGCAACAACCCGGTGACATTGACAATATAATCCAAACATGGAAGACGCTGGAGAGCCTTCAGGAAAAGGGAATGATTGCGCAACTTGGAGTGGCAGAATTCAGTGGCGAAAGACTTGCCAAATTCCTACCCCATACCAAAGTCAGACCGTCCGTGGACCAGATCAATGTCCGGGACTGCTGTGTTGTGCCCAAATCCCTGATCCTCTATGCGAAGCAGGAAAATATTCAGCTTCTGACCCATAATGATTGTACAAATATCCTCCCTGTTGGCACGACGAGGGAGCTGCTCGGCCCTGGTGAAAACGGCGCGGGGATGCTGGCTTCGGCCCCAGATGCAGATGATGGCATAAAGGGTCACCTCGAACCGCAGTGGGTAGTCAAGTATACAGCTGTCATTAAAGACCGCGGAGTCGTGGAGAACAAGGGATACTTCGCACTAGCTGATATAGGAAATTGCGTTGAACAGCGGCCATAAGTTCAATTGCGATGGGAAAGAAGTTCTCTTGTGCGGAGTCCAGATTATCCTCCTCTCTCCGGGTACGAAGGCAAGCATCATGGCGTTTTGGGGGCCCCCTTTTGTTTCTTCTTTCCATGTTGAAAATGTATGCATATAGTCGATAGGATGTATAGAAAGATAGCCTGTTTCCCTGCTTCTTCATGGAGTATCATGGCAATAACTTAGCCAACCATGCTCCTCTTGCGACCTCTCATCCTGACATCCTCTAATCTCCTCAGAACAGCATTAGCACCCTTGTAGCTCTCCCGGTACCCCTGTAGAACCTCGTCGAAGAACGCCTCAGTCCGAGGATGCGTGCTCCCAATCGCCCTCTCCAAAACATACAGGTCAACCGCCTGGTCTTCATCCTGCACACTCTGACTCGCAAGCCCGAAATCAATAAGAACCACCTCCCCCTCCATAGACGGATTCCCGTCATCCTCCCGGGCATCTTCTCCAGCAGACGGTGGCCTCAACACAAGATTACTCGTCGTCAAATCCCCATGCACAACACCGGCCTTATGCAACCGTCCCACGACACGTCCAATCCTCCTCAATAAATCTCTCGCCCGCGCCTCTTCCTGCAAACGCACAGTCGCATCCGCATCCAGGTTTCGCTTCATCCAACCCTCCCACCTCTCCAAGACAACCCGCAAAACAAGCCCTTCAATCCATTCCATAAGCAGCCACGCGCCTCCAATCCCACTCTCGCCACCCTGACCCTCCCAATCCAACGCTAGCACGGCAGGCACACTGACGCCCTCTCGGGTCAGTTTCGCTAGACATCGCGCTTCTTGTAGGATGCGCTGGCGTGTGAGTCTCCGGTCCAGGATTGGGTGGCGGTATGGTTTGGAGGGTCGGACTTTCAGCGCTGCGGGGGTGGAGGGGGTGAGGAAGACGGTTTTGTAGAGACGGGCTTCGGCGCCTTGGGCGAGGAGCGTTGGTGGTGGGGTTGTGTTGGTGAATGGGGAGGGGAGGGGAGGGGGCGTGTAGGTTTCTGGGTGTGTTGTCGAGGTCATGGTTTTGGGGTTTGGAGATGTAAGATAGTTGATGAGGTGTGAATAAGTTCAATGGTAGGGTTGTGTTGATAATTTCCCTGGTTTATTGTAAGTCGGAAAGTAAGTAGGTCAAAGGCTGCTTATGACTTTTTTTAAGCATTTGCTCAGAGCCCTCTTGAGTAAAGACCCCGCCCACAGTGAAAGCTGTTTAGCAAAAACATGCACAAATCCCACCACAAAGTTAATAGCTCTTCAAATTGCGAGTTATGTGTATATCATTACGAATATTCAGATAATATTTCGATATCGAATTTCAAATAAATACTAAAAGAGAGCCATGATCGAGATTATTCCCGATCACGTGATAAATACAGTCCTGCTATTCTTCCACACGATGCTGACCGCCTCATCAACCGCCTTTGGCATCTACAGCTATATATCATACTACGACATCTACTGCTGCAAGTATTTCAATTTCTCCTGTCTGGAAGACTTCCTAATCGTGTTCGTTTATTTAGTATGCGCAGAGTATAAAATACAAACGCCTCCAAGCAAAAGAGAAAAAAAAGGTATTATAGTTTTAATCAAACCATACTCCGTATGGTAAATCACAACCACCCCGAGGCCTCTCAACTCTCTTTGCCCAACTTGGCCAGCGCATCAGCAAGGAACTCATTCGCATTCATCAATTCAGTGCTGCCATAGACTACCCTCCGTCTTGTCCCGGCAAGAGATCCGCCTACCACACGACCACCAGCACCCGCACCGTCGGCGCCGGTCTGACCACTGGTGCGGCTTACCCAGTCCTGCAAATTGCCGTATTCGTCCATGCTGCCGCCACCAACGGTAAATACGATGGCCTCGTTGAAGGCCTGCCGGCGTTGGCCGAAACTGGCGCCGGTTCCGGGTCCACTACTGCCAAGACCGCCCGGCATCTGTGCATTTCTGGACGCGGAAGCCGGGGGCATAGCTCCTCTGGCGGTAGCACTTCGAGGATCGAAGTAGAGGTAATTCTCGGTCTTTGCGATTGCGGAACTGGATGCGGAAGAGGGATCCATGATAGACTCCGTAATTTTGGTAAGAGTCAGGTCTTTGTTGGCAGGGAGGAAGTTCTTGACACCTGAGATTAGGGAATCAAAATTGGCGCCCAAAGCTCCGGAAGTGATGCGGTCTGTCAGTCGGTTTGAAAGGGAAGAGAAACCACGGAAAAGATCCGAAGATGATTGCTGCTGTGGCGCAGATGTTGTCATCATAGTCATGCGAGTGATTTCTCGGACTTGCCTGACGTACGCCAGGGAACTGACGTCTTGAACGCCGGCTCTGGTCAGCGCTTCCTCGAACTGGGATAGCTCCGAACGGGAAAGCTCAGTCTCGGTGCTCAGAAACCAGATAATAAAAAGTCGAAGCTTGTCCGATGGGTCGCTACCCTTCCCTGAATCATTGATCAACTCCAGGATCTGAGCCCTGGACTGTTTCGTGATGGTCTCCTCGAGCTCGAAGAAATTATCAAGCTGACGGTCTTTAATACCCTTGAGCAATGAAGTCGCAATATTCATGTGCATATCCAGAATGGCTTTGCGCTCCCGCAGTTCCGGAAGTAGCGTGATGGCGGCCTTGAGATGCTGCGCAGATGCGCTGGTGTCATTCTGGAGATCTTCGAGCGAGGAAGCGCCCGTCTTCTTCGTGACCTCGTTCGCATCCTCCTTGTACCGCGTTAACTCTGCATCGATGTCTTCTGCAACCTGAGGAAACGGGGCCCCCGCATTGCGCTTCCAGAAAAAGTCGTTGGTATTGAGATCATAGGCTTTCTTCGTCATCCCTTTAGCGGGATCCGACTCGTCAACCGGTGTCTCAACAGTGATTCGATTCAAACGCATGCGGAGGACATCCTGCACGAGCGATTGGTAAGTCCATGAATGCGACAGCATTGGCACTAGATCCACATTGCGATCGACGATGATCAGAACGGGCCGCGAGGAAGGCACTCCCGGTATTGCCTTCTTGTTGGCCGAGAATAGATTGTCTTTCGAATTCAAGATATGGTCGCGCAACTTCCGGTCAAGTTTCGTTGCTATTAATTCCGCTGCTCCCCCCTTGGGACATCGTATGATTGGGATTGTACCTACGCGTTTGCCCGACTTATCAGCGAAACGAAAACATCTTCTCATATACAGTTGCACGTACCCATGGTCACGCTCACGCTGAACAACCCGCTCACGACCTTGTCCACAATTGCATCCAAATCCTCATCACTAGTGTGGGGGCTATTGATTTTCCAGTAGGCATCGGTCCCCAATCCCAGACTGAAGAGGTCAGGTTCGGCCACTATAAAATTCAGGTATTGATCGTAGACCTGCGCGACATGCTCCGCCGTGCCAGATGCAGCTACCAAGGAGGCGAAGTCTTCAAGGAGCGGCCGTGGTACGGAGGATAAGAAGTTAACGTAGGCTGGTGTGTAGAGGCCTTGCGAGAGATCGTTTGTTATTAGTTTGATGTTGGCAGGGGTAGGCTCGACGAGATACACAACGGGAACGTCAGGTATAGGATATCGGGCAGAGTTGATGTTTCTGGACGCGGTTTCATCCAGGGCCTGTTAGCAAGAAATGGATGAGACCTTAAAAAACAGGGGGAGGGGATTCTTTTCAAACCGTACAGATGAATCGTTACCCCCCAAGCTCTGAGATCATTGACTCTAAGCACGCTGCTGATAACATCTCTACCCATATTATCGAAGACCAGAACCTTCCAGATAGGGTCCCCATCTTCATTCAGAATCGGAGTAGGATGGGAACCAAGGACGGAGGTAGAGGAATCTAGGGCATCTTCTGTGGGCGGTGGATCACGATTTAGGTTCAATAACTTTTGAATTGAAGCTGTGCGCAGCAATTAATTAGCAGTGTTCAGATTACACTCATGAGCCGATTGCCCGGGGAGGAGCCCTCTCCAACCTACCGACCTGGCGGTCCCGAAGAGACACTGGATGCGACGCCATAGAAGGTTGGCTCGCACCGCGCGCGGGGGTCTTTTCTTCACGACAGATTCTCAACTGTTACGATATTCATGACACGATAGAACTGTCCTGTGGGAAATATATGAAACGCAGGAAAGGAGAGAACAGCGAAACTGTCACCACAGCCGTTGGTGATGTAGGTCCATGGTCCATCTCTCCCGAAGAGGCCACGATATGTCACGGGATCTCGCGGGTCTGGATACGGCGGGCGACGCGCTCGAAACCGTAAAAGTCGGAGAAGTACCAAACGGGTATAGTGCGTCCCTGGTATTCCCCTCCAGGATACAGAGGTCAGGTTATCTGTACACACCCCTTACCTCTCAACAGGAATATCTACTTGGACAATGAGAAGAAACATATCCTGATAGTACAGAAGAACTACCAATGCTAATCCCACAGAATGGACCACTCCAGCATTTCGCTCCTCTTCTCATGACCCTGCCACTTTGGCCGCAGGCCCAAGTTCCTATAAGAAGCCCTGATCTGGTTTCTCGCCCTTTCATCTGCAGTCTGCGAGTCCGAATCCGAGTCTGAGTCTGAGTCATAACACCGGTTCCATTTCTTCGTACAAATGACAATATCGGTGTCCATTTTGATCTTCCCATGTCGCTCAAGCTCACTCCAACTGTGGCGGAGTGAAGGAGGCACATGTCCCTGCCAGACAATCCGATTGACATCTATATCGAGATGCTCGTTGAAGAGAAGCACTTCGAACAGCATGTCCATGCGTATACCGTCTTTCATGTCTCTCGGGTCTCTCTTTTCCCCCAGATTGCAATCAGCATCAGTATCCTTCCCTATTGGATAGGGTCACTGATATGTTATTGTTGATCAGGGCGCTTACCGGGATCTCATAGTACCTGTATCCGATTGACATGCCGTAGAACACCTGAAATATCGCTATCTTGGGTATTGGAGGTTGTTGGACCAGCATGCGACGCCAACTTGCTCCTGGTCGTAGATACGCTTCTTTCTTCTCAGGGTTTAGGATCAAATCAAAGCTCGTTAATGTAAACACGTCATGTTCTTCCTCCTCGTAGGCGCTGATAGTATTTGTATTTTGGAAAATAGAAGGGAAAGCTTCGGCCAAGAGTGGATTACGCACTTTGTTGACAGCGACGGTGTTGGTATTATTATCCCTCACAGGTGTCAGAAAGAGAGCTTCCTGGATGTATGGAGATTTTTTGGTCAGGTCGGCCCAGAGACGGCAGACTCGTTGGGCAGAAGTGAGAAGCGTGCGCATATCAAGTTGCAGCAGGATCAATTCGAGTATCTCGGGGGTTGAGAGGGCTTGGAATTGAGCTGATTGAGAGGCATACATCTTTTTTTCTCTCGAAGAACTGGTTCTTGCAAAGATTACTTATAAACTTGGTAGTTCAAACTGACACACCTGAGGCTTTATTTAAATATGGATGCAGAGACGACGAGTTCTTATCTGGCCAAGCAATGCCATGCGCTGTACAGCTGCAGCCGAGGCTACCAATAAACCCAATCTGTGGCGTGTAGAAAGCTTGAAATTGCTCTCATTCCAAGTCGATGATGATACACGGTATTTTGAGAGAAAGGGCTTTGTAGCACATGTCGGTCTAGCCCTAAGAGTAATCCTAGGTACTAGCATCACCTATGTTGAATTACGTAGTTGAACAATTCCTAAGATACTTCTGTTTAAATTAGAGCTAGTCTGCTAGTACGACATATGTACTGTATAGGATACAGGAGAGCGCTGGATCGTCGAGGGTGTCGCTCATAACTTTTCCACCCTTTCAAACGAGAAAAGATTCTTCCCTCCCTGGTCCTTAGCATACTTCACAAACCCCCTTCTTCCAATCGGCTCTTCTGATCCACTAGCGAGTTGCAGGAGGGTCGCTTCGTCGGCATGATTCGCAACGAAGCGGTGGCCGTTCCTCTTCAAGCGGCCAACGACATATCCACGGTGTGGCTTCCCTTCTCGGTTGTAGTCAACGGTATAAGTCTAATAGGGTGTGGTTCGGGTTAGATCCGTATACAGCAGTTTAGGGTTTCTCCGAGAATAAAGATACTGGGCCAATTTGCTTACCTCGATCATGGCTTCACCCTCAGCCACATCGTCTACTGCAGTAGTTGGCTCGTCAGTCAGAACCGGGGGAAGGGGGTTCTCCTTTGGATAGGATGATCCATCTTTCCGGGGTTGGTTCGAGAGCAGCACAACATGCTGATAAGTGAGGATCCCGCCATTTGCCAATACTAGTCCATTGATACGACGGCCAGTTTGGGTTCTAAGTTGTCGGACCATTGCTGTGATAGCCTATACCCTTTATTAATATACGCCTTTGATGCCTCTTCGTATAGCGTTTCGGGGATTTTGGATATATTTTTTGGACTTACATGGGAGGAGTAATTGTTGCCAGCGCCACCGAAGGATGTCAACCCTCCCAGAAGGGTTATGGGCTTTGGCGAACCGACAATGGGCAGGCCCAGATGAGCGCTTGCAAGCTTGGGAACAATCGGGAAGCAGCTAAGGTGGTTTTACGCGCGTTAATGTCACTGTGCTCTTGTAGAATGTCTCATTGAAGGGGATTCCTCACGAGTAAAAGTCGTAAAAGTCGATCTCTTCTTTCTGAAGACCCGATACCTGAAATGCCGCATCCAGTGACCGCGAAATGGAGGGAGCCGAGTAGAAATTCGGACGTTCCCAAACTGAGAGGCGATTAGAAGGAAGAGGATTAAAATTCAAAAGGGACGACCATACAGTTGTTGCTATCAGATGTACCTGCACCTCCCAGTGGGTAGACCCATTTGAGCTCTGGGATACCAAGGTGCCTGGCGAATTCAGTGTTTGTCAGGATACACGCTGCCGACATGTTGACGTTGTTGAAAGCATTCATCAGGAGGGTGTCTGTTGTTAAGTTGGATCCATCAGTTAGTCAAGGGCGCCGTGATATCAATGGAAGCGAGACCAGGCCATACAGGGGAACGAGATGATGCGATTCTTCTTGGACGGCGTCCCGATTGATTCTGCCGTTTCTGCCTGCTTTCCATGTTGCCATGCATATGGATTTTTCACGGCAACGTTCGAGAACTCGGCGTACAGCTTGGCTGACTCGCTGTTATTTTCGGCAATTGACTGTCCCCGGTGGGCTCGAAATCCGTTCTCATACAACGGGTACACCTGGGTAGGAAGACCGATAGAGTGTGTAGCTCCCAGACCTGTAGACGAGCAGCATTATAAAGAGTCCATTGAAACGGTCACTGGACGGATGGGACTGTGCTCACTTGGTTCGAGCTTGACGTTCTTCACAGACGCGATATTTGGGACATTCGGGTCCGGTTCTGTCCAGTTTGGAGCCTTGCGGGCACGACCGAACGCTTCCACTTTGATTGCGACAAGGCTGGTGAGTAATCCATCCCTTTCATTTCTTTCGTGCAGATGTAGAAAAAGAGGTTCTCTCACGTGAAGCGAGGGATTCGGCGCCCACAACCACCGCAACCTTGCTATCACCGCGGGAGATCCGGCGGGCAGCTTCATCGAGCATCAGACCAGGTGAATTTCCTCCATGTCCGCTGATTGCTCTGTGTTGAGCTTGCGTCCCAAGCCTCTGTTCAAGGATACTCGGTAGGTCTTTGTAGGACCATGTCCAGGTTGCGACAACGCTTATGCTGTCGATGCTTGACTTGAATTCCGAGACAGCATTTTCTGGTGCGCCTGAATCCTTAATGGCCGTTTGGATGGCCTCGATCATAAGGCCTAGGGGTTCAACGGCATCTTCCAATTGTCTCGACCTGTTGACGATGTCGCCGACTCCAACAATAATCGGGGTCGCAGCACTCTGGGCCATTCCCAGGGATATCGTCTGCTATCTGTCTTATCGTACGGTGTGAAGAGGAAAGCTGCGTCCACCACAATAGCGTTCGAGTGCACTCTGGCAATTTTTAATGATCTAAGCTGCGAGTTGGAGTTAGAGAAAATACCGAGGCATGCAGCTGTGCCGGATTTCATCTGACTGGGAGGTTTCTTACTGCGCTTTCTCCGACCGCACAACAAAACAACAAGAAGAAGAAAAAGAAGAAGAATTATGATGATACCAATAATGATAATGATAATGATAATGGTCTATTAGGTTTCACATTATTAGCGTCTGCCAAATTGCGGGGTCCCTGTCTCCATCCTACCATTAATATATGAATCCACCTGGACTGTCCATAGCCAATTCATTGTCATTCTATGCGCAACAGGACAACCATGGATGCTTCCTATGCTTTCTATGTACTCCTAGAGCTAGGGCCTATCTAGCCCTGAATAGATCCCCCATACCGCTGGAAAATAACCGTTGAATGCATCCTCAGTTGGTCAATATCAACCGAGGCCGAGCCTTCCCCTCAATTAATTCCGGTCGAAATTCCGGAGGGGCTCTAACGCAAAGCTTACAATCATAATCAATAGGGATCATCAAGGCGACTCCGCAGAATCATAATAATAGAACAGCAATGGACTCTGGAGTTATGCGGGGAAAGCTCCCGGAATTTCGACCTGCTCGATCTGGTACTCTCCAGACAAACGCCGGGCTCCATTGTAAAAAGAGGATCTGTGAATTCCTTTCTAGTTGGTTTTGCCTCTTTCGTTTAGCATTCCCAGTGCGCGGTCTGGTAATGATACTCCGCCAGCTGTCTCCTTGCACGCGTGGAAAGGCGGCCGTTTTTGGCCTCAGAAGCGGTCATTTTCGGTGTCAATTTCACAGGTCCTCAAGGGCGATCTTGGCTTCAACACTAGTCTTGCTCCTGGTCCCGAGTCGCTCATGATGTAGGCGTTGGCTTTTATCGGGTTTATGGTTTATACTGTGGTCCTTTTCAGCGATGGGGTTTCAATGGTCTGGTCTTTTGGGTTAAGGTTGTATGATATTATCATGGATATTGCTGTCTGTTTCGGTCTCTTCTGCTTAGCTTCACAAGAAGTCTCATGTCTCACTTGTATATATCTTGGTTTCGATGTTAAATCCGTATGTTTCACAGCAGAACAATCCAAGATATCTGTACCCTCTCACAACAGCCAGTTGCCTTAAGTCTCCAAGCTATTAATCATAGCTTAGCATTGGGCTGAGCAGCCTGAGCTTTAGCTTTCTTTGCCAGCTCCCTCAACCGTTTCGTAAGCCGTTCCTCCTGGTTAATAGCCAGATCGGTGATAATCTCCTCGCTACCACCGCCGACAACCATGACCCCGTAGATCGCGACTGAGCTGTTCCACATCACCGCCAACTCCCCCACGCTGATATCCGGCTCCCCCAAGAACTGCTGGACCTCACGGCACGCGAGTTCCAGCATATGACCGCCCTGCACCTTTGCCAGGGCAATATGAGATGCAACATCATCGGTCCATCCGCGGACTTTGACATGGTAGTCAATCTGCTCTATCCAGGCCCAATGCGATTTGATGTACCGCGCCATAGTTGCGAATTTGTGTCTGATTATCTGGTTCGACATGAGCAGTTTACCGAATGTGACTCGGTCTTGGGCATAGTTGAAGGCTGTTGTAAGACATGTTCGGGCGCTGCGGTTCATCGAGGCGCAGATTACGAAGTTATATCAATGATTGCATACTTGCCAATCGAGATAAAGAAAAAGAAAAAGACATGGAACTAGCTCGGACCCTCTTCCGGAATACCAGCGGGCAAAGTAGTGCCCGGTCTATACTTTGCAGGAATATCCTGGAAGCTCAAGCCTGCGCGCATACCTGATAGTTTCCTATTTATCAAAGGGAACCGTAAGCTCCATTCTATGAAATAAAATCACAGAAGACCATTACTGACCTCCTTGGGCACTGCCCCGGCTTCTTCCCACTCCTCTTGGTAAGGTATAACGTTCTTGTCAATGTAGTCGCGCACATATGCGCGTGACTTCCTATGGCTTTCATTGTAGTAAGGGGATGCCAGAACGTTATACCACGACGGTTCAGCAAAGGGACCCAGATCCCCGAAGGAATCCCTCTGCGCTTTCACGTTATTGATAGGTATGCTTTGAGCAGGATTTCACCTCATAGAAGATGTGTGGGGAATAGATTGGTAAGACTCGGGCGCTTTTCAGAAGTTAAAGCTTTCTTTTAAGAATAATTAAGATGGCATCCGGCTTAAGATGATCGCATTGCATGTTATAGCTCCAGAAGCGGAGGTGGGCTGGCTACTCCTTATCCGGGCAGGCATTGGACATTAGCCACCGAGGTATTATTATCTGCCTCTATTTGCCGTAGACAGAGGGAGGATTAGGAGGATTGGAATGTGTCAGATCGTTCTGACTGTGTTCCTTCGAGAAAGAATTAAGTAATAATTAAAATCCGGGGTTTTGTGGGGAACCGAGGTCTATGTTAACCTTTAAAGCAGTATGGAATGATTATTTGCGACACTAGCTTGCGTCAAGTATATGCCACTACCGGATTGTTGCACAGTCAGATTGGATACGGGAAACCCCCCGCATGCTTGGAATATCCAGATAAGACTCCAGATGAGTCTATTTCTAGCAACTTAGAAGAGGAGCTTATACCCCAGATTTATGTATAAACAATTTACATATTGCAGTGTTTATTCAATTGCGCCGACTGCAGACCAGTAAATAAACCAGACCAAGCAAGCAACAAGAGCCATGGCTACTACAACACGTAAGTGTCTACATCCTCCTATACTCCTGCCGTTGGGAAGCACTTTTAACAAGTCCGATATGAAGAACGGATCAGAACACCGGTGACGGATCTGCTTGGGATCAAGCATCCGGTGCTGCTGGCCGGGATATTTGCCGTCTCATCACCCAGAATGGCCGCAGCTGTAAGCAATGCTGGCGGTCTAGGGTTATCGGAGGAGCATATACACCAGATCAATTGCGAGAAGCGCTAGTTGAACTGAAGAGCTATTTGGTGGATAAGAATGCACCGTTCGGGGTAGACCTTCTAATACCCAGAGTGGGCGGTAACGCGAGAAAATCCAAGTGATTCCAGTGCTTGCTACTCTTCCTTTGGATATTCTTGTTAGGTGCTAACCAAGTTTGTTTCCTTTCCAGCTATGATTACACCGACAGCAAGCTGGACGAACTCATCCAAAAAATCGTGGAAAGCGGCGTCAGATTGTTCGTTTCCGCCGTAGGACTTCCCCCGAAAGGTGTTGTGGATGCACTACATAAAGGTGGTATGCTATACATGAATATGGTCGGACATCCCAGCCATGCGCAGAAGGCTATTGAGAACGGGGCCGATCTTCTGTGTGCACAAGGAGGCGAGGCCGGGGGTCATACCGGGGAAATCCCCATTGTGATCCTCGTTCCGGCAGTTTCGAAGATAATAAACCACCAGAAGAGCACCATCACGGGTAAGGAGGTGCAGCTGGTTGCCGCAGATGGTCTCTTCAACGGACAGTCTCTCGCCGCTACACTGATGCTGGGAGCATCCGCCGTATGGATCGGGACCCAGTTTACTCTTGTCGATGAATCTGGAGCACCACCATACCTCCAGGAAGCGCTTCGCAAGGCGAGCTTTGGAGACATCATTCGCACGACTATCTTCACTGGTCGACCTCTCCATGCACGCAGCAGTCCTTATATCCGTCGATGGGAAGAGGGCCGAAGACAGGAGAAATTGGACCTTCAGTCCAAAGACATCATTCCTATTCAGCATGAATTAAAAACGAAGCCGGATGATAAAGAAGTCAATGAGAATGCGCATCCAGTGCTAATGGGGAAAGTGGCTGGAATGGTAAGTGAAAAGTCGCCGGCGAAGAAGATTATTGACGACATGGTGGATGAAGCGTCGGCACTGCTCATCAAGGGTCAGAAGCTGGTGTTAACACCTAAGCTGTGAGCTTTTGAAAATATTCAGTGACGGTTGTCTCTTGTTATCGACGCAGCAAAGTTGTAGCAATAATAATAGCACTCAGTTTGATCGTATATCACGTGATGTGACCGACAATTAGAACTCGTCAATTTCTCCACACTTTCCATTAGTTTTAAATGACAAAAAGGAGCCGAGATGCGCATCCATGATGGTCTCTTGAGAGTCACATAATGAAATCCTTATCCAGAGGAACCGAGGTTCATCGGGTGCGCCAGACAGCTTGTTGACGATTCTAGATTCAAATGAAGATCCAAGGCAGAATACGACATACAGCGTACTCCTGCAAAGGCAGCCACTGCTGTAGTCAATCGACGTCCAGTCAGACTGGTCTTACTCTGGTGGAATGATGCCCGTGCATCAAAATAATATTGGCTTTCCCCGCAACTTTAAAAGGCCTCGGCACGGAGTTTAGTCCCGTATCTCTTTGTCCAAACTGAGCCGTTATATTAGAAACAAACAGGTTGCGTTGTTAACATCACAGTAAGTTTGAATTTGATACCACAAGCGTCACGGACATCAATTTCCAACCTACAGCCCCTGTCTGGAGGAATCATTGGAAAAAAGATCTAGCATCATCAGCACGAGCCGTTTTGGACACAGTTGACTCCTGAACCATCCATGTCGAGCGAACTAGTTACCAAGCCTCCGCAGACCAAGGTCTTCGATCTTTCATTTCCCGCACCTCATGTCCTGTTAGTTACTATCAACCGTGAAAAGGCGAGGAACTCTATTCCTATGGAAGGACACTGGGAGGGGGATGCAGTCTTCACGTGGTTCGATCAGGAGCCGTCGCTGCGGGTAGCAGTCATTACCGGCGCAGGGGACAAAGCATTCTGCGCCGGCCAGGATTTGATCCAACAGAACACCAGAGCATCGGGCGGCGATGGGGGCTCCGAGCGACAAACCCTCCCAGTATCTGGTTTCGCAGGTTTATCGCGACGGGTGGGCAAGAAGCCGGTCATCGCAGCTGTCAACGGATTCGCGTTGGGTGGTGGTTTTGAGATCTGTCTTAACCTGTACGGTGCCTTTCTTCTCGCTTCTCGCGTCGCACGCTTTCTTTGTTATTTTCTCTTCTTTTCTTTTTTTACATGATTTACGATATTCATTGCTGATATTGTCGTTTCTTAATTGATGTACTAGTGACATCGTTGTTGCTGCCCCGAATGCCAAGTTCGGACTGCCTGAAGTGAATGTTGGTCTCTATGCGGGCGCAGGAGGCCTTTCGCGGATTGCTCGTAGCGCTGGTTTGCAGGTCGCGTCAGAGGTAGCTCTCACGGGTCGTCACATTACCGCAGAGGAGGCAAAACTGTGGGGTCTGGTAAATCGGATTTCCAAAACGCAAGCGTCCGTGGTACCCGAAGCCCTTGAGGTTGCGGCCCTGATCACGAGCAAGTCCCCCGATGCAATCATTGTCAGTCGTGCAGGTATACGGCAGAGCTTCGAAACCGGTAGCGTGGAGCGAGCCACTCAAATAACGGAGCAGCAATATGGGCCGCAACTGTTGAAAGGAGAGAATTTCAAGATTGGCGTGAGGGCGTTTGCAGAGAAGAAGAAACCGCAGTGGGTCGCTCCTCGACTGTAGAATTGGAAAGCGGGCTATTATATGTATTATCAGTTGGGAGTTAATTGACCTGATGCACAAATCATATAGAACAGCACTTGATTCTTTTCGCCGTGAAGTGTCTGTTTGTCTGAAAGGCGAGACCGGAGTGTACGGGGTGGTACAACGCTGTACAATCGGAAGCAGCTTAGGACAACAAATCGTGTCTGATCTGATATTAATCAAATTAGTTCAATGTCGACAACTAATCTATATTTGAGTCAGTAGACATGCAGATGAATTGGAACTATGATTGTAGGAAACAGCAATGCCGCATGCTTTTGAACAAAGTCGATCGATAGCGGAGATGGGAGCATCTGTTTCCCCGATTGCAACCGCAAACAAAGCAAACATAGAAACTCACGTGAGGACCAGCGAAGAACTCCGCGCGAGCTGCCGGCAGCAACTTCTCCTATATCCATCTCCTCGCCACCAACAGCACGGCAAACCAACCTCGTAAAGCGAATCAGTTATGCTGCCAAATTGCAGTTCATAGGGTTCTTTGTATGAGAGCCAATTTGTCTACTCGATTAAGGCAAGTCTAAAGCAGAAACAAAGAGTCAAGGGCAGGACGTACTGAGCTTTGTCGTCCGCCTGAGAGGGAAAGGCAGGAAGAAAAAGGCTAGAGGAAAGAGAGAAGGGATACTATTGTGAAGGACCAAAAAGAGCAATTCTCCACTTATCTACTATATTTGATCGGCGTATTCGAGACACAGAGTTCGTGTGCATCAGGAGCAGTCTTTTTTGTTGTTTTCTGTTTTAAAAGGGGGCGGCACGACGCAAGAAGGACGTGAGAAGAAACACAAGGAGTCTTAAAACAGTCCCTGTCATTGATGCCTGAGGCCAATAACTGATCGGCGCCAACGGAACAGAGACTTCACACTACAAACGGAGTACTCTGCAACGGATTAAGGAAGAAGCTGCCGGCATTTCTCGTTTTCTCCAGGACGAGGCCTCCTGTACAGCAGAATTGGGGCCGTCCCTTCCCCACGCTCGACCATAGGGCTTGGAATATCGACGCTTTTTGATAGGCAGCTCCACCCACAACCTAAACACGTGAGATCATCAACACGTGACACTTCCTTCCTATCCGCTGCTCACTCACAATCTCTGCAAGCCGGCTTTTTCAAGTGGAGTCCGGAAGATATACATGGAAAGGACGAGATAGCGGGATGGAGCAGGCACCTCAGAATTCAATTCCCGACATACAGCAGGGTACGGTGACTCCTGGTGCTATGCCCACGGAGTACTGGGGCAATGTCGATGCGCTGTACGCGGAACCTAACCACCAGCACCCCCAACCACAGTCACAGCCCCAGCACCCAGATCAGCCACTGGGCATTGGCTGGGACCATCCAGTCTTTCATCAACCACATCAGCAGCCTAGACATGCCCCACAGGACACAGTGGATCATGGCATATATTCCCAGACGCCTCAGCATTGGAACCAAAATCCCCTACAGCAACCGTTAATGCCTTCGGCCCAGGACTTTCCCATGCCTTCTCAGTATCGCCAAATTCATACTTATCCTCAAGCACGCGTTTCATATGAATCGCCGTATTCATTTCCCCAAAACTATTACCCTTCTCAGCAGCTTCCCGTGTCGGATACATTCTCCCGACAACCTACCCTGCAAGATATTCAACCACGTTCCCAGTCCGCCTCCTACCAACCAGCTACACATCAGACATCTATCACCCAGTACACTGTCCCCGCTGGCTATTCCGAAAGTCTAACGGTAGGGATTGAAGACTGTTACTCTTCTTCACGAAACATAGCTGATATGCAGTAGCATACTCCGATTGATTTTCGTAATGGATACCATGAACCTGCTCCAAGGGTGACGGACCAACAGACCATAAATCCTCGATTTCTTGATGTTCCGCAGCAATCCGCTTCCTCCCACCAACACCCGTCTCTACAGAATAATTTTCTTTATTTGAGCCCGGCGGACTTTGAGCGGAAAAATAATGCAAAGTGAGTCTCCACGTCGTTAATATACTTTTTCTTCTGGTTGGATAGTCACTTACCTCGCATGTCAGTGTGTTGAGCGGCTTTTACCATGAGGGATTGCATACATCATCAGCTCCAGGTCAGAGTGCTGTCAACCAGCCTGTTAATTTCCACGACGGCATTGCTGTTGTCATCGAAAGTGCGTAGTAACAGGATCCTGCGGACTGCCATAGCACTTTGAGCTAACCAGAGTAGACAAAGGCCTTCCGGTAACTACGAAGCCTTTGAGTGTGGCAGAGCCAAAAAAGAAGAAATCCGCTGCAAAGAGCACGAAGAAAATCGTTAAGAAAATATCTGACAAAAAGCAAGCCTCACTGAGTTCTGAAAGCGAGAGTTCTGACGATTCCGACCTGGAGGTGCTCCCTGAAGAACCGTCTCCAATTCCATCCACTCGCCCCAGTGACCCTGTTGCTGCTGCACAATATGATGCTCTCAAAGCAGTCTGGTTTCCACGTAACAGGCGGCCAGACGTTGATAAGATCAAGAGCGCGCTGGTCGCGTTTAAAGATGTTGTCAAAGCGGTACGAGACGTGTGGAAAGAAAAGAGCCAAGCAATGAAAGTGTCGGAAAACAAAGGCGAAAACGACAAAGCAGCTGAACTCAAGAAAGACGTGGTCCTTCAACGGCACCTCATGGAAGTGGTGGTCAATACCACTTTGGACAGGGGCCATCCGATCATTGTTGAGAAGTATGTCCTTTCTTTTTCTCCTTATCCTACCTTCCTGGCAGATCGTTGTCATGGCCATAGAAGTCAGAAACGAATTGAGAGCCTCTCCCAAGTAATTCTGCTATCGTGTTCTGCACGTACAGCATGCCTATTTTTAATTAATGGCTTATAAGTAATGGGCTGCTTTCTGCGCGTCCATAACCAGTACCTGGGCATATGGGCTAGAAAATAGGAGAGGGACGGGGACCCCATGGGGATTCCCGGTTCTATTTCCTCCAGCCCAGGTACTGATTACACAAGCCAGTCATTTTCTGAATGCGTCGGATGCTTCCCTCGCTTCCCATCTCCTTCCATCACATTTGTCACTTAATTGGGCTGCTTCATGGTTGCCTGGCTCTCCAAAATTCTGCCGTAATGGCTTCAAGGGCTATTCTTAATATAACCTTAAAAAGTCAACAAGTTACTAATACATGTATACAGGCTGGGTGAACATCCCATGGCAATAGCAGCCATGTACTCTTTTCTGCTGGACCGACACCATGCGTCCGATATTGACGGCGCGCTCACAACAAGCATACTAAAGGTGATAATATGCCTAATTCTCCTATTACATGCAGTGAACTGACTGAATAACCAAATCTAGTTGCTTGCCCGGTTCGTCACAGTGGATGAGGAGACACTCAGCAAGACAAATGTTGCAAAATTACTGCCTAGGTTCATGAAAAAGGGCGGGCAAACAGTCAAAGAGCTTTCTCAGAAAATTTTAGATAATGCCTCTGCATCCACTAAAAGGAAACAGGAAGTGACAAAGTCAGCCTCAAAAGAAGGATCACCTAACAAGAACCACGCATCCGATGCTGCGAATGGTGTTGGTACGGAGATTGTTGGGACTAAACGTTTGAGGGAAGGTGAGAACAACAACTTGCCAGCTACGAAACGTGTTGTGGTTGCATCGCACACCAAGAATGGCATGAAGCCTAGTGGCGCTGGCAGTGGTATTCCCGCCAAGCGCCCGCAAGAGGATGCGAAGGCGGGGCATACAGGCAATCCTCGTCCAAAGGCCAACATCATTGCCCCCAAGCCCACGAACCTCTTTGGCAGCTTGAGTTCAGCATCAAAGCGGCCTGGTACTTCCAATGCAGAAAGGGCTGCAGCTGCAGCGGCTGCGAAAGCAAAGTAAGCACTATCCTTTCTTTTCCCCTCTCCCCTTCTATACTGACGCCCAGAATAGTGCATCCGGGGAGAAGAAAGAAGCTCCAAAGCAGCCTTCCTTCTCGTTTGGCGAGCTTATGGCAGATCTCAACAAGCCGAAGGAAACTGTTCCCGCTAAGCCTGTCGAGGATAGACCACCAGAGACTGAGGAAGAGCGGAAGAAGAGACTCCGTAAAGAGGAACGTCGAAAGTTGCGTGTCACCTGGAAACCCGACCACTTCTTGACGGAGGTTCGTCTGTTTACACATGATCCCGACGAGGAGCTTGGCCCAGGTGACGGATCCCATCGTGAGGCTGGTGATGTAAAGGGAGAAGGTAGTTTCCTCAAACTTCACAGAGACTTGGATGAGGAAGATGATGAGGATGATGGTGGTATTGGAGAGAACGAGTTACTCCCTTACCACGAACCATCGGGTATGTTCCCAACCTCAGAATTGATTATTTTCTCTTGCTAACTTTCTTCCCAGAAACCGACTTTGGCGAGATACCGGACGATGAGCGATCCAGGAATTTCATCAAATGCGGCGGTACTCAGCTACCTGATAGCCCGGAGAAACTTGCCCAAGAGCACCGTGAAGCCACCACACTCATGGTGTTCCACACCTCTCCCGCCGATATACCACCTTCCCCCAAGGAGCCGCCTCCACCTAGCGAAGGCGAACCAGTATCTGAGGAACTACATTTTGGCGAGCCGCCAGATCATATCAAGGTGAGACTACCCTTGTCTTCTTGTGTCTTCTTTCCAGGCCCGTTTGTACCTAACAGCAGCCCATTGTAGGCCCGGCAAGAACGTTATTACTCAACCATCAAGCAGAATCCAACGGCTTCTTCGAAACCAAGTGCTTCTAACGGCCAGGATATTTCAAACTTGCTCAAAATTATTCAAAATGTGCCTCAACAGCAACCGCCGCAGCCGCCAACCGTCTCCCCCCAGCCTGCGGCGCCCTTGTCTGGCCTTGAGCGGACGGTCAACCTGTTCCGGCAGCAACAGGTGCAGCCACAGCTACCCCAGATACCCCAGATTCCAGCGGCTCAGCCTTCCGCCATGCAAGGCATTGATTTCCAGCAGATCCTTGCCATCCTAAATACCCAAAAACAGATGCAGCAATTCACCCAGCCTCCGCAATCCCAGCCAGCGGTTGCTCCAAATCTTGCAGCTGTCATCTCGCAGCTCGCCAATCAGAATCAACCAGCCGCCCAGGGTCAGTCTCAATGGCAAGGCTCAGTTTACGAAGACCCCGAGCGCAAACGCAGGCGCGAAGCCGGTGGTGGATACGATGGTGCGAGCGATGATGCCTACTCCAAGCGGACTAAGATGAATGGAGATTCAAAGGCAAAGAAGGTGGGTTCTGGCAGAGACAGCTATTCTGCGTTGCAATTCAATTGCTAACTGCTCGATATTTAGCCAAAACCGGTTGGCGTGGTTCCTTGCAGGTTTTGGGCACAGGGGAACTGCGTAAAGGGCGATGCTTGCACATTTCGTCATGACCCTCTCGACTGAACGGAAGTTTCTTCTCACTATTCTCCTTTCCTAATACTCGGTCATCTCGCTTTTTCCTGACGCCTTACCTTTTCTGCATCGAGTCCGAGTCTTCCCTATGTCGCCCGGTCGGTTAGACGGCCCAATAATTCTTTTTCTTTTTACACTTGGGAAAGGTTCGGTTCACCATACGCTTTTAATATCGGTTTGCTTCCATGCACGTCCCACATAAAGCTACTATGCTCCAACGTTTCTTCTCCCCTTTTTCCTCTCCGCCAGAAACGAAGTCGTATGGACAGTGTACTGGAGAATTTTCATGGCGCTCTAGTGGACCCCTCATTTATACTTTCTCCGTTTTGAACGATTCGCTTAGCATCAGGGATACTGCTTCTACACTGTTTCTATTTGGCAATGGTCGCATTTTCCATGGTCGTCATATATCATCAGGCTAGGCGTTGTTCTCACCCGCGGGATTGGGAGTTTCCATTTTACAGGTAGTATCTATTGCAAGAAGCAATGGTATTGTATGGAATTTACTTGCGGTTACTTCCAGTTCTTCGTACGCGTACTGTTTGCCTGTTAGTTATCTAGTTAAATAACGTAACTGGGAAGCGAGCCGGCCACCTCTATATTCCATATAAAATTGCAGTTTTTGCGGCCTCAATATCTCAACAACGAAGCATCTAGAGAGCATAAATTTCAAGATTTGGCATAATATACTGTACTCTTCTATACCTACCAGTGGTTGAGAGATTGAGGTCTTAAAAAGTGTCATTTTATATGGGATACAAGGGCAGGCCACTCGGTGGATTATATTAACTCTGTATAAATGCTGACTAAGCCAGGCTGGACCGGGGAACTACATGTATCTTCGACGCTTTTTCCAACTCCTTCGCAGTTTTGTCATTGCCAGCAGTCGGTTTGCGCACTGGATAACCACTCTATCTTGCATCTACAATCTTCTGGGCTATAAAAAACGCACCGGAAATAATTAAACAGATAAATATAGAAGAGTTACTCCACCATGCCGTGCACAAAGACCCCTGCTACTGGATACGTCCAAAGCCTAGGTGAATTCTCTCAGAGGACCAGACAAACCCCATCAGGAATTATAAACAGACTAGCTTTGATCTGAAATGGCTGACTGTTGATTCAAGTAAGATCCGTGTCATAGCAGCCGCCTCTGAGTCGGAGTCGGATCCCTTGGTTCTCCACTTCTAGTATTGTTCTTTGCCGTTGTCCTTAGTATTGTCTGTCTGGCTGTGTCTTCACTGGCGCCGGAACACGACAAAGCAGAAGAATGACCTGTCAGCCATGATCTGCTCTATATGCAAGTATGCGTTTGACCTTCACTTTCGGCTCTTCATATTGTTCGGGTCTCCAACATGTCCCGCGGGGGATATTGTTTGTCTCGGGTGCTTCATTGTCGTGTCAGAAGACCGAACCAATATTCCCTTTTGAGGATCTGCCATGCTTGGAGCTACTCCACGGGGTTATTTTGACTTCCTTGCTGTATCTTGTCCTCTCTTCCTTCAGCAATTGCTTCCAAGTACTGCTTTAGAGAAACCCGCCCCTGCCCACCGATAACTCGCCTCGTGAGAGTTCGTTTTCAATCCCAGCAGTCAAGCAGATCATGTCGTCGCCATCATTTGATCCCTTTACCCAGAACATCACCTTCCACGATGAGAATGGGTCTCCGTTCGACGTGCCATTGACCTTTCTGGACTCGTTCTGCCAGTTCAATCTGCGGATGTCCATTAACTATGCGGCTCAGCTTGGCGCCTCTATCGTTTTCCTTGTTATTCTTTTCATTATGACCAGGCCAGAGAAACGCAGATGCGTAATCTTTTGGCTGAACATCTCTGCTCTTGTCTTCAATGTGGGCCGGTTGTTTTGTCAAGTCCTCTACTACACGGGTCCCTGGAGCGAAATGTATGCCAATTTAGCAAATGATTATTCAAGGGTTCCTAGCAGCGCCTACGCCAACTCGATTATCACCGTCATCATTAGCACCATCCTTCTGATATGCATCGAGTTCTCTCTGGTTTTTCAGGTCCATGTCCTCTGTACAACGCTCCGACGTCGCTATCGCTTGCCACTCCTCGTTGTGTCGTATCTTCTTGTCCTTGTTGTTATTGCCTTTCGGATTTGGCTTGCTGTCGGCAATCTCATTAATATCATGGGTTCAACATATTCGTGGTCGCTCATACCGTTGCAGAAAGTGAACACCATCCTTATTACGTCTACCATCTGCTTTTTCTCCGCAGTTTTCGTTCTCAAACTAGGCTACGCGATTAGGATTCGCAAAAAATTGGGCATAACGGACCTAGGGCCGATGAAGGTTCTTTTCATTATGGGATTTCAGACTATGCTCATTCCAGGTAAGAAATTACAACTCGTTTTCCGAGGGTCTGTGGATCTCCTACTAACTACAATTCGCAACCAGTGATCTTTGTGACCGTACAATATGGCGTTAACGATATACCAGAAATATCTGCCAATAGCTTAACGATCATCGCGATCTCCCTCCCTCTTTCCTCCCTCTGGGCCAAGCACAGATTGGATAGTAAACTCGGGAAAAAAAGCACATTGATTCCTTCGACCTCGGGTGGCTCTTCTTATACCTTCGAAACCACATGCTTTGCTGCGAGGGGTGCTGCGCGACCGAGTGATCTGGAGATTGGCCGGGGGATTGCTGTTGCGCGAGATGTTACAGTCCTCAGTTACAAGCATAATAATGGTAGTGGCAGTACTGCTAGGAATAGTGGGATGGCTGCGCGGGAGTTCATTTGAGTGGCCGACAATCAGATGAACAACTACTTTTTTGTTTTTCACCGCTGGTGGGTTCGTACGGGTGTCTTTTCCCGCCCTGATTCTATCTTCGTTTCTTGTTCTAAATGGGTCGTGGGCGTTGCCTACCGGTCCTTTCCTTGAGTCAGTGGCGCTATATTTGCCTCCGTCGTGGGACTTGGATGTTCTGTTGAGCAAATAAGAATGAAATTGTAATACTCAATCTGTACTTTGTAGCTCTATTTATGAGAGATCATATGCATGGGGAGCGAAGAGGGAAGGAGGGAAGGGAAGGATGCCTGGGAAGTTACGAAGTAGATCTTTACAGTATATTCACTTTTCAGGCACCAAATACATCTCGTCTACAAAGCCTGGAATTCTGTTTTACCAAGCAGTGGAAACAAAACAAATGGTGATTGTACACTTGAATATAATATCATGACCACATCAATGACAAGACATACAATACATTGTGAACAGACAAGAGACCCCAACACCACTAGCAATGCTTTGTCTATGCCACAAGGAATCAGAACAACACGTAAGAGAAAGAAAGGGGAAAAGGGCTGCCGCTGTCCAAGAACACCACAACTCATTGATTTACTTAAAACTTGGTCGCCGTAGTCTTCTTCTTCTTCATCCGAGGCCGTTCATAGAGTTCTGTCCAAGCGTCCTCGAAGACAGTCTTCTGAGGGCCGATCTGGCCTTCATAGAAATTCAACTTGCGGACGACTTCCATAGCGCCCGTGCCGAGAGAGACGGTCTTTCCCATGATGATACACTCAGAGACACCCTCGACCAGGTCTGTACGACCCGCTCCACCTGCGTCGAAGAGGTGGTCGGCCGTCTTCTCAAAGGAGGCGAGCTGCAGGACGGAGTCACGCATCTTCGCCAGGCCGAAACGTGTGATACCCAGTACTTCGCCCTTGTAGGTCATGACATCTGCAAGGAGCTGCATGTGGCGGGGATCGATGCCCATGTCCTTCATGACTTCACTGATTTCCTGGACGATGGTGAATCGGGCGGCTTCAATGCCTAGGACCTCCCGCATCTCCATCACGTTGTTTGTAAAGGTTTTACGGCCGTCAACACCTAGGGTGGTCATGCAGTCTTTCAACCCGTAGCCTTCCACAAGGAGAGTGTTGGTGGTGGACGTCTCGTCAGTCCGGATAATGGCGCGGGACGCTTGCGGATGTCCGAGAACCTGAATGTCAGGGAGGATGCGTTTGAGATGCTTCAGACGGAGGAAAGGGTCTGAACTTGTTGCAGCTATCTCTGTCTTTGAGAGAGATAGCTTGCTGGAAGGGTCCAGGTCCATTTCGATGTGAATGTGGGATCCAGAGCATCTGAACTTCAGATCGTCGGCCTTGAAGCGCCTGTGGGACTTGATCGCGTGAAGGATATCCCCGATTTTCAGCTCCAACTGCAGGTCACTGATTGTCTGCCAGTTGATCTTAACGCTGATGTAGGCCTCACTGCCCGTCCACATTTCCCGAATGTAGTGTATAATATCCCGAAGATATGTTTTTTCAATTCTACCTTTGACAATTCTAGCTGCAATGATATTGGTTTTGTTGACAAGCTCACAGGAGATGACCGGAGTACTAATCTCCTTGGAAGCGTTGATGATTTCCTTAATACGAGGAACACCCTGGGTGATACTCATACCAGCGACACCCGCAAAGTGGAAAGTCTTCAGTGTCATTTGGGTTCCAGGTTCACCGATAGACTGCGCACCGACTGCACCGACTGCATGACCCGGTTCAACTTGGGCTCTCTTATACTTCGTCAAGCAAGATGTGATGAAGGCTCTAAGAGTCCTCTCAGAGAGCTTGCCTGTGTGATTCAGACCCTTCAGACTCCGCTCATCAGCTCCACCGGAGTCACCTCCGCGAGAGACCAACTTGTCCGCTTTGGATTGAACGTAGCTCTCAATCGAATCGAGAAAGTCACGAGCGCTCTCAAACTGGTCGACACCGCGATCACTTCGATCCATATAGCCGAGTTCATTGCCAAGTAGGTCTGTCCGTTTAAGTTTTGCACGTTCTTTAGAAAGCATTTCTTCACAGACTTCCATGATTTCAGCAGGCAGTAAGCTCCGATCCTTGTTGCTATAGGTTGTGGATTCCGCATGGATAAAAGTTCGGTCGAAGTGAACCGGTTTGGCTTTACCTTCCATATCCACCGGATCCAGCTTGTCGTCACCATATTGAAACTGGACAATTGCAGCGGAAGAATTCCGTACCGTATCATCGTAATTACTGGAGAGATCTTCGAGTGATTTCATCAGGCGACGGGACATGTAGCCAGTCTCGGCAGTTTTGACAGCCGTGTCGACCAGACCCTCACGACCTGACATGGCGTGGAAAATAAATTCATACGGAAGTAGACCCGAGAAGAAACTATTGCGGACGAAACCCTTCGACGGAGGTTGCCGAGCGTTCTTTGGGAAATGGGGTAGAGTTCTGTCCTGGAAACCATCCTGAACTCGTTGGCCGCCAATAATCTGCTGACCCACCAGGGCAACCATCTGAGACACGTTGATGCTAGAGCCTTTCGAACCAGAAGTAGCCATAATTAGGGGTGAGTTGTGTTTGCTGAGCTGGGCGATACACTCATCTCCTGCTTGCTGGCGGACCTTGCTGAGAATACCGGAGATTTGATTCTCCATTGTCTGCAGCTCATCGCAACCAGGATACTTCTCCAACGTTCCAGCTTTGTATTTGGCAATGACTTCATCACACTGCGCGTAAGCAGTTTCAACTAGGTGGTCCTTTGACTTCAAGAGATTCTCACTGGGATAGACATCAGTAATACCAATGGAGAAACCCATGTTGGTAAACCAGCGGGCAGACAATCTTGCAAGACGGTTCATGCCTTCCGCTGCTGCTGCAGGGCCAAAGTCTCTCAGCATGATGTAGTACACATTGTCTTTCTTTCCGGAACCAATAGTGGCCTTGTCCATGACACCACACATTACCTCCGAGTTACGAATGACAAGCCATCCGTCGTTGGGGTCCAAGTCTTTAGGACGTCCATCCTTTGGCGGCTTGTATTCTCGGCAAGCAGCGTCCAGGTTGACCATCACAGGATCATCTTTGTTGGGACGCATGAGGATGTTAAAAACCTGCTTCCCAGTCCACAGCATCTGAGGCTTGATGATGGCAGGCGGGGGAAGGTCAAATCGGGTCTTGGAATCAAGCATGTACAGGCATATTTGTGTGAAAGACTTTCGATCAAAGAAATTCTCCTTGCTGCTCAGAAGGTAGGCAGCGCTGATGAAATCTTGGATGGCCGAAATGATGGGTTCTCCATTCTTCGGAGTGGCCAGGTTATTCTTGACACCCATTAGCTCCATAGCCTCTGCCCTCGCTTCCTCTGTCTGGGGAACATGCAAGTTCATTTCATCACCATCAAAATCGGCGTTGTATGGATTGCACACACACTCATTCAAACGAAAGGTCCTATAAGGCCGGACCTTCGCAAAGTGGGAAAGAATACTGAGTTTGTGGAGAGAGGGTTGACGATTGAAAAGCACAATATCACCGTCTTCGATATGACGCTCGACCACGTCCCCCTCAACCAGTTGATCGGCCATCCGATTGAGATCACCGTACTTGAGGAAGGACTTGAGAGGCGAACCCTTCTTCATGATATAGTTAGCGCCAGGCCATTTTTTCGTCCCATTTCTGACTCTCTGCTGCAATTTTTCTTTGTTATATCTTGTAACAACCTCCGGATAGGTCATGTTTTTCGCTACCAGGATAGGAACAGCAACCTCATCAACTCGCAGATTAGGGTCTGGAGAAATGACAGTTCTGCCTGAGAAATCCACACGCTTTCCGGACAAGTTACCACGGAATCGTCCTTGTTTTCCCTTCAGTCGCTGGACAAATCCTCTTATTGGCTTTCCAAGATCCGCTTTGTTGAGGCCAGGAACATCACTATTGATATAAACAGCGATTTGAAGTTGCATGTAGTCCCAGCACTCCATGATTGTCTGGACGGGAGCTCCCTTTAACAGTGAATTTTTCAGATTAATATTGCTCTGAACAATATCACCTAGCTTGGCAGTCAAGTCATCCTCCGTCGACGCAGCATCTTGGCCCACCGATGGGCGAATGGTGACTGGAGGTGCCGGGATATACTGCCAAAGGAACATTTCCGGACGGGCTTCCTGGGGATCGAGTCCCAATAATTCACAGTCTGTATCGGAAATCCTCTTAAATAGATTCAAGACCCGAAGAGCATTCAAGTCATCCTGAGCCTTTTTGAAGTTCTTCTCGACATCCGTATTTGAACGTCTGGCTTCATCAAAAGACTGATCAAAGACGATCTTGCTGAGAGGTGGAACCTTTTTAACCGACGCTGAGGTATTGAAAGCCCGGAATTTGTCGTGGATGATTTTGAGCGAGCTCGTCCCAGCTTTCTTCACCACACCGTTGACGGCGCCACATACCTCGCACGATCGCGTCTTCTTACACCTTTCACTGACCCTTTTCGCAATCTGTAGTCGCCGCAAATTATCAAGCCCGGGGCGACGCATCTCTCGGAGATACATACGACGCTCCGACTCAGGCAGGAGAATGCGGGAGCACTCCTTGCAGATCTCCTGCAAAATAGTGATGACGCGCTTGAAATAGCCGACATGAAATACAGGAAGAATGAGTTTGACATGACCGAAGTGACCGTTACAGGTTTGCAAAGCGCCTCCACATGTTTTGCATTCTCCGTTCTTGCTCGAAGTTCCCATGCGCGAGTCGAGAGGACCATGAGGAACGACTTCTCTGCCACGATCGAGATCGAAGAATTTGCGATCGGAAACTTCTACAACGCCTTGGCTAACGATATCATCATTGGACCTAGAATTGGCATATGCACGCAAGTCAGCAACATCAACCTTTTGCAAGAGATGGGTCAAAGGAGTGACATCGGACAGAACGGGTCATTAAATGCCTTACATCACACCGAATTTCAACTCCTTGATAACTTTTGGCACACGGTCGATGACCTGGGCCTTGCCCAGATCGACCTGCACACCTTCTGGAGGCTGCATTGTCGTCGTCAGGAGCAGAGCATCGCCAGTGGAGGAGGGCTAGACTCGGCTCTTAATTGGAGCCACAATCGAAGAGAAGTGCAAACAGCAATCGACGCGTAGGAAAATGATGATCGCGATGAGAATCCTGATGACTTGTTATTGGAGCGAAACACAGAAAGCTCAGAAAGATGTTCCGTTGATGATGATTATTTTCCCGGTCGACAGCGGGGTCGGCCACGAACTTTTTTTTTGCTTTGTTTCTGCGAGGCAAAAAGGGCTGGAGCTCCGCCCCCGCCAAAATGACTCAGCTTACGTTTATATCAACAGTGGAAGACGTCCTTGAATACAGAGTATTTATATGCATTCGAGAGATGCTGCAGATGGTATTATACATGTACTTTTTTTTCTATCAACGTTGAAGGCCTTCCCTTTCTGTTTTAGTGATCAGGTCTTGCACCTTCTGCTCACTGAGTAGATCTGAGCATACCCTGAGCATGGGTTTCATGGGCTACGCCCAGGCATATTGCGAACTCAGGCGTTGGCCCTATATGTTCCATCTGTTCTGTTTGTTGCCAGCTCGCCTATTTCCTTCCTTGTGCCCAAAGCCGCTGCCTGTCGAAAAGACCTCTTGTTCTCTTCCTTCTCTCAAGGAATTCTTCGTGTATCTAGCACAAATGAATTCTATATTCAACCCTTTACGGCGGATAAGTGCCAGAGTGAGCAGTAAGATGTAGCCCCAATAAAATGCACCCAGCTCTAGAGCTTTTGACCATGTCATTGTTTCAGTTTCTCTTCCAAAAAAAGTCCAGTATTTGCCTGTTTTACCCATATGATCAAGGACATCAACTCATTTCCATTCAGGGGCCCAACTTGTAGCCGATGAGCTATGTCATCGCACAGCAACCTTGTGGTTGTTCTGTGGAGATTGCCCTGCTTGTATGCTGAGCCCCCCTGTGCAATAGCCATTGTCTCCCTTTCCTCTAGATCTGGGGAGTAAGCTTCTAGGCTCTCAGGAACAGACTTGCTCCTAAGAAGGTTTCTGGGCCTTTCAGAATGGCCTAAAGGCTATTCCTGGTATCCAATAATCAATTCTGTTTTGGATTTCACGATGATCATAGTACAGTATAGTACCTGGTCATAGTTCATTGTCACAGACTCAGCTAGATAGGAATACAATACAAGTTACACCTCCAATATAATTAGTTTCAGGAACTCAACTCATCGCCCACCTTCACAAATTTGCATAATTTGTTTACCCAGGGGAATAAGTATCAGCCGTTTTCCCACCCTGAGCTCCTTCGCTCAACCAACTACTCAATACACTCGTTAGGTCATCAAATTCCTGTTCAAAATCTCGGAGAATCTGCTCTATATATATACTAGCGCAGTATTGATGAGAAATACGCACTGAGTATCACCCTGAGCAACCCTCATGAAGGTGGTGGCATTCCAAAAGGGAGTCTCCGTGATGATAGAATAAAAAGTCTATAGTGACATATATAGGGAGAGTCTTGCGTGTGCTAGACGGAGAGGCGCTTCCAATCCTACTTCGCCAGAAAAGCCTGGAAAGCCTTATGTTCAATCACCACATTTCCTACTGCCTTCAGCTTCTTCCGACCCTCCTTCTGCTTCTCCAACAGCTTCCTCCGTCGGGAGACGTCGCTGGCATGGAGCTTTGCCAGTACATCTTTCCGGTATGGCTTGATAGTTTCTCGCGCTACGACGTTGCGACCAACGGCAGCTTGAATGATTACTTCGAAAAGCTGTCGATCGACATGCTCCTTGAATTTGGTCACCCATTGTCTTCCAAGCCGGTTCACTTGGCTCCAGTGCACAAGTCGTGAGACTGCATCAACGGGGGCCTTGTTCACAAGAAGCTGTAGCTTCACGATACGGCTTGCTCGCCACCCGGCCTCCTCGTAGTCTAGACTGGCGTAACCCTTTGTATATCCTTTCAGCTTCCCAAAGAAGTCATCAACCAACTGTGCTAGTGGTAGCTCGTATTTGAGAATGACCTGAGTCGGTGTGAAGTATTCGAGGCTCTTCTGCTCGCCTCGGTTTGCTTCGCACAATTCAATCGCCTTGCCCAAGTACTCGTCGGGGAACGTTAGGGTCGCCAGGACATAAGGTTCTTGGACCTCGGCGATCTTCAGGCGCACATCATCTTCGTTGGGAAAGCGCGCGGGATTTGTGATGATCTCTTCCTTCCCATCCTTCCAAATCACTTTAACTGGCACTGTCGGAGGGGTGATGATGATGCTGGCACCATGCTCCTGTCGAAGACGGTCCTCAAAAACAGAACAATGTAGAGTGCCTAAGAATCCAAGCCGGAAACCGGCACCGAGAGCCTCCGAAGATTCCTTCTGGACGGTTATACTCCTGTCGTTGAGCATGAGCTGGTTGATACTGTCTTCCAGGTGCTCAAAGTGGTCGGCATCCACCGGATATGCAGCGACGAAGACCATTGACTTTGGTTCTTCGAAGCCAGGAAGCGGTTCCACTTGCTTCTGGGAACCGACTTTCGTGTAGGTGTCCCCGACCTTGGCCTCCTGGCTACGTTTCATACCAGGATTGAAGTACAGATAGCCCACCTGTCCAGCACGGAGAATGGTCGCAGGAGTCTCATTCGGGTACATAAGTCCGACTTCGCCGACGAAGTATTTGATCCCAGTTGCAAATGATATGAGCTGGTCTCCGGCTTTGACTTCACCGTCGAATATACGCACCAGGAGAACGACACCCTTGTAGTTATCATACCAGGAATCGACAAGTAACATACGCAGAGGCTTATTCCGATCACCAACCGGTCTGTTGCACGTGTCAGCGAAGAGCTTTTTTTAGGGAACAAGGTCACTAGGGACGCACGCTGGGATCCTCTCAATCACTGCAGGGAGCAGCTGTTCGACATTCAACCCAGTCTTGGCAGAAACCATCACCGCATTACTAGTATCAATCTCAAAGGAGCTTCTCATCTGCTCAAGAGCCCGCTCTGGGTCAGCCGAAGGCAGATCTACCTTATTGATCACAGGTATCAACTCCAGTCCCTGGGCAAATGCCAGATAGAAATTCGCAACTGTTTGAGCCTGAACACCCTGGCTCGCATCGACGAGGAGCAATGCGCCTCCGCAACTGGCATAACTGCGCGAAACTTCGGCACGAAAATCCACATGTCCTGGAGTATCGACCAGATGTAGCAGATAATCTTCCCCCTTGTAGTTATAGATCATCGAGCATGTCTGCGCCTTCACGGTAATACCCCGTTCACGTTCAACATCAAGCTTGTCTAAAACCTGCTTGTTCTGCCCGGGCTCGATGGTGCCCGTCAGTTCAAGTAACCTGTCGGAGAGGGTACTCTTGCCATGGTCGACATGAGCGACGATGCAGAAATTGCGGAATCGTTCAATCGGAATCTCCGCAATCCGTTTCTCGAGGTCAGAGACAGGCTTCTTCGGTGGGGACGCGTTCCTTGCGACGGAGCTGGAGAAGAACCGCGCGGCATTATTATAGAAGCTGGAATGCAGTCTGAGCCGGGTTGTAGCTGGGCAATTCGGCGCTGCGCTCAGCCATCTGGCTAACTGCAGACATCCTCGCATCGGGATTTTCGCAGTGGCATGGGAATCTTTGCCTTTCAGCGACGGGAGATTCGCGTTATCGGCAGGAATCGAGGAAAAGAAGTAGAGAGTCTTTTTGCGGGGAGTGAAAAATTGGGAACAAGGGGCTCGGCCCGCCGATTGCTGCGGTGACTATCGCTGTAAACAGTTGATCCTTCTCCCTTTCGACTCTCTCCATCGAGAATATACGGCTTTCCCAGGATCAACGAATTCCCTCATTTGCATCTATTTATTTTCGATATACCTGTCCATCATGTCTGCACAGAAAACACAGAAAGACAAGTCCAAAGTCCACAAGCTGTCCTTGAAGGGTGAGTGGCCAGTACAGACCCGTGTTTATTTTATTTTTTTTTCTTCCGCAACGCTCACAGCAATCAGGATCGGCAAAGCTCGTGGCAGAATTTGTGAGTATCTGGGCACTATTCTTTAGGTCTTTGGAGATTCGAAATGCTCATGACTATCTAGTTTGAATACTCTATCAACTCGATCCTGTACGTCGAGACTCTGGGCGAATGGAGTGGGCATGTCTGATTAACGTTTGTTTTGCAGCTTCCAGCGAGGAGTTTACCCTCCAGAAGATTTCACGACGTGAGTCTCGATTCCTGTGTGGACATGACAAATCGATCACTGACATTTTTCTAGTGTGAAGAAATATGGCCTCAATATGCTCGGTCTGCCTGTTCCCTTCCTCCCCACCACTGGAATTCGTACTGACCAATCCCAGTGACGGCCGACGATCAGGTTAAGGCTTATATTAAGAAAATCATGTCACAATTGAACAAATGGATGATCGGTGGTAAAATCTCAAAATTAGTTGTGGTTATCACCAGCAAGGAGACTGGGGAACACGTGGAGAGATGGCAGTTCGATGTACGAGAGACCACCACCAAAACGCAGTACAGGAATGCAATAGCTGATGGGAGCTTCATGAACACAGGTTCAGATATTCGGGAAACATGCGAAGGCCTACTCTTCGCGGAAGTCTGCAGATAAGGAGAACGCCAATCCAGAGTACGTTCGACCCGGTCTGCCTTCGTTTTTCCTTTCTTCGGTGGAAAAGAAACTAATTAGTGCTTGTCTACTATAGAGACACGGAATCTCAGACAAAGCCCACTGTCGAGAAAACAGAAAAGGAAATTCAAGACGAAATCCAGGCAATCTTCCGCCAGATCACTGCCTCAGTTACTTTCCTCCCGGTCCTGGACGGAGATTGCACATTTAATGTTCTCGTATACGCAGACGCAGACTCTGAGGTGCCGGTCGAATGGGGCGATAGTGATGCGAAGGAGATCAAGAACGCAGAGAAGGTACAGCTAAGAAGCTTTAGCACGAACAACCATCGTGTGGAGACTTTGGTGAGCTATCGGCTTGCCGATTGATCGAGGTTCGGAATCAGTTGGAACTGTTTTTAAGGGCGTTTTGGAGTTTGAGAGAAGGACTTTTGGGACTCCATGAGACAATGTTTTTCAAACTCTTAATGGCTTTGCGTCTCTTATGAGACAATGTACTAGGATATCTAGCGCTCTCACAGAATGCGTCCATAGTGACGGGTATGAACTACAATAATTTGACGCAGTGCTATATCGAAGGGTATCGTTTACTTCAAGACTCTGGATGTCATGCATTACTATACCAAGGCAACTCCTTCATCCTTGGAAACCAGTCATTACCGGTCTCTCCTCCATTCCAGCAAATTAATTCCCTCACCACAGGTTCCAAATCAACAGTAACAAAAAGCTCCTCCTCCATCCCCGAATGCCACCCTCTTTTGGCCCTTTTCCCTGCCAACCTCGTTCCGACTCCGTATAGATCTTCTCTCCAGAGCCCGATCCCGCTTCTTTCCTCACCTATACTCAAGTACTCCTTGGATGTTACATCTTCAGGCGGATTGATCCCGATCACAGCTATTCTCTGATCGGAAACAGATATGCGGCCCTCACCCTCCCTCTTGGACAGTGGGATTAGCCCCACGGCGGGGAAGTGGCATTCCATGAACCGTTTCCTTTTGAACTCATGCGTGACGACTGTTACCTTCTTGGGGTAAGAGCCTGTGTGTTCTTTGAAGCGAACCAGGGAGAAGAGCACATTTTGATAGGAATCAGTAGCGTGCGTTTCAGCAATGAGTCGATCCGGACTGATGCTGGATGAGTGTGAAAAGAGATTGTTATCCTTGGCGAGGTTCTAGTTGAAATTGTTTCAGTTAATCATTGTAACTCTCCACTTCAGAAGCGTCGTCTTCTCCTTACTAGGTATGATTCGCCCTCTCTGAGATTCGTTTTCTGTTTCTTTGTTGGGCCTCTGCAGCAAATTCGGTTAGACGAGAATCGCACAAAGATGGAACGCATTGCATTACATACCCTGAAAACACGAGGATTGCCAATGGATCCTCTGCGAGCTTAGCAACGCCGCTTTTAACATGTTGGATGAACGTGGGTGTTTCGCCATCTTGGAATGGCTCTATTAGCCTGTGTAGAGAAAAAGCAAAGATCAGCTTCTGCCCGTAGCTCCAACCGAAGCTTCTGCCGCAAAAGAAAAGAAACGACAACACTGACCATTCGTCCTCCGAGGCGCCGTGGGTTGGTCCGCCCAGGTATATAGCATGGCAACAGACGATAACGAGATGATTGCAGTGCGCAAGGGAAGTCATTGTGTCTGGCCCGCAGGTGAGGAGCTTCTCCCGGGATTGAACGATGCTGGATACACCACAATTATACAGCCTATGTGCTCTGGCCGATCTCTCCGTCTTCAGGGGAAAAAGAAGGACCCAAGGCGTCGGTGACAGTTCATCTATCAAGGTTTGGGGGCCGGCAATTACACTTTGCGCCTACCAGTTCACGTTCCTTCATAATGGCTCACCGTCGTGCCATCCGAGCATTAATGGGCATTGATTTGCAGATAGTGTTTTCCTATGTTTAGCAACTGCCACTCGAAACGTGCGGCTCTCTCCGACCAGCTGGTTTTCGCGTTTACTATGGCCGGTGGCGTCTTTAAACATCGCGCTCATCAATGTCTCGGCCGCGAAGCACATCTCTATATCACGCTGTGTCATATGTTTGTCTTATATTTCATCTGGATGGTGGCGTGAATTCCTGCGCTGACCATCGATTGCGTAAGCAATGCCGTGTTATGCTTTTGGAGTAGGCCCCTTGTTGCTAACATCCTTCTATCTCCGCTGTGAAGCAAGCATCTTCCCAACCAAGCGCTGCCACGCTGTGCAGGAACAAGGGTCGTCGTAGCGTCCCTGGGCTGATCTCGAATGGCTTTTTACTTGGCATTCATTCGTTGCTTGTGCTTGATGGCAATAGCACACTCCATTGCGAAATCAATAGCTCGTTTCAGGATCATGCAGAGCACCCTTCACAACGCTCCCATCCTCCCTTACTCGTTGAGAAAGCCTTGTGGGCAACCACCATGAGCACACTGATGCTTCCAGCTTAATGCTTCCACCTGGTGAGAACCAAGTGGATTGTACCGACCCGATCCCCTCGATGGGCATTTCCCTGTTTCTTTGTGCAGCTCAGAGGTGTACTTAGAAATATCCAGCTTTGAATGGCCTCCTTGAAGTATTATATTATTATAGTATGCTTAATATCCGGTTGCAATGATCGTTCGTAGTGGGCTACAGGGATCGTGTGGGTGGGTGTACGGCTAACCAGCCGGTCGGCTGCCAGAGATCAAGAGACAGATATCCTTGGATGCAGGCTAGCCGACTAGGTTATGGGAGTGCAGGATGATGCAGCTGCAATGGTTGGGCTCGGTCAGCTCTACCGAGACAGCGGGGGAAGGTATCGGCGGAGCCACGAGCCATTCCGCAGTGTAGCTGGAGACGTCGGGGATAGGGTAGAAGAAAGCTCAATGATGATATCCGAATTTGTCTAATAGCGACGAGGTTCCAGGACGCAGTCCGCGAGCAATTCGGAGGGCGCTGCTAATTGTGAACGGCGCCTTGGCGGTATAGTGCGATGAGAGCGGGGTCTGGGCGTTGAAGCTGTAGAGCGTCTGTCCATCGCATCAGTATCAATCATGGGTCAGAGTGGCCTTGGAGGGCTGTATCCTGAAGGCACCGAGTGAAAGGAACGCAGAAAAGGTAGACTTCTTTCAAGACTGTGCAGGACTGCAGGTCCAAGACGCCCTTTGCCCGCCAAGACGCCGCTGCGGAGAAGCAACTCCAACATCTTAGGCCGACCTGCGTGTCTTCTTCCCCGCAACAGCGCTGGCGAAATGGCGGCAGTGCCCCAGAGGATGCTGGGCTGGCTTTACAGCGTACTGACGAAGGTAAGAGGCAATGCATGCCTGTCTCTGTCTTGACTTTTGGCACAACCGCTGACCGTCGCAGGACCACTATGATCCCCGACAGACGTATCATGACCCCAACCGCACCTACTACGATGTTGCCAGCGCCCTTGCTCAATATCCGTCTCTGTTGCCTCGCACTGATGTCTACAGTGGGTTTCAATAATTATCGCGTGGGTATCGTATTGGATCGTGTCTAATTCCCTGTCTCCTAGCTTTCGAGAATGGGTTCTCTGCCCTCCTGCTGCGCCTAGTCGGGACACTTCCTGTTGCCTTTCGCGGTACCGTCTACAATTTCCCTGTGTCGCTCTGGATTCCAAACGTCTATCCTCTCGAGCCACCCATTGTCTACGTGACCCCTGCTCAGGATATGGTGGTCAGAGTCGGGCAACATGTGACGTTGGAAGGGAGGGTGTACCATCACTATCTAGCCCACTGGGCTGAAGCCTGGGATGTCGGTTCCCTTTTTCTTTCCTTGTGGAGTCAACAACGATAAGAGTGATGCCATTTATAAGTCTGTGCATGTGCTGATAATAAATATGTCCAGAAATCGTCAATAACTGACTTCCTGTCCATACTTCGTGAAGTATTTGCAAAAGAACCACCGGTTAGGTACAAGCAGTCACAGATACAAAGACCTCAACAGCCAGTACAGGTGCAGGCACCACCACCCTTACCTCCTTTACCGCCAGAACTCAGCTCGACAAATCCAACGCTCTCTCCAAGGGCCTCGCAGACGCCGCCCCGATCACCTCAACCACCCCCACCACCTCCGAAACCAGGACAAGAGCTATCTGTCGAACAGCCTCGCCCAACTGTTCGAGGCCCTGACAAATCGCCTCCTCCGTTACCACCTCTGCCTCCTAAGAAGCAGGCTTATGGACAGCCATCCCTTCAGCATCATGCAACCCCAGATATGTCTGGTAACAGAATGTCGCAATATCTTCCCGAGAGGACGAGCAATATGAGCGGGACCATGAGTCCGCCGCATTGGCCGCCCCAGCAACAGCAGCCGGCGGTCCATCCTGCACCGGCTTATTCACAAGGACCGGTCTATCGTGGTCGAGGGCCCGCAGCACCTGCCAGCCCTGTAGCAAACTCCCCGAGTGGCCCCTCTACTGCAGCTTACGGGCCTGAACAAGCCCTCCAAAGCTCTCTAGTACAACAGTTTCCTGGTTCCTACCAGAAGTTTCAGCAGACACATGCGCAATACCAGCAGTCACAACCTCAGCAAACCCCTCAACCGTTACAAAATGAACAACGACTCCTTGCTCAACAACCAGCGGCAACGCACAGAGCAGAGACTCCGGATCTTCTCACTTCACCATTCGAACTTGAACTCCCTTCGTTCGCTCCATCCGGCCCAGTTCCGCCAATTCCACCTAACCCAGAGAAAGACGCGCTCCTGCATGCAATTTCAAAGACCTTGGCAGAAACGCTACAGTCCAATGCCTCACAATCAAAATCTGCCGCCCAATCTCTACTCTCACAATCCCAATCTCTTCAAGCGGCGGCGGTTACCTTGCAAGGCGAAATCGCGACCATGGACAATCTGAAGTCTACTCTCCAATCAAACACAGCCATATTGCAAGAGTCCCTTCGCCGTGCGGACACCGTGATTGCAGATGCGCAGGTTCGGATCTCCTCTCCCATCCCTCTAACCGCTGGTGCAGAGTCATCAGCCGCAGCCACCGATGGCCGACGAGGCGGCCTTCCCCCGATCGACGATGTCCTAGTCGCACCCACCGTGGTAGGCAAGCAGCTCTATGACCTTGTCGCGGAAGAATATGGTATCGAACAGGCTATTTACGCCCTACAATCAGCTCTCGTGAAAGGTGTGATCGGGGTGGACACCTGGTCGCGTCATACAAGGGGCCTTGCACGAGAGGCGTTCCTCAAACGTGCACTTATTCGGAAGATTGGGAAGGGAATGGGTCTGGAGGAGAGTAGCTAAGACATATATACGAGAGAACATGCAGCTAGTTATGAGGTAGTATGTCTTGCTGTTGTAAAAAGAGGACCCGTGAATTACCGTATGAGGTTAGTTTTGCCTTTCTGGGTTTGGCATCTAATACGCCAGCCTCCCCTCAGTCGCGCCGACATGAAAGACCCGACCTCGCCCTGCTTGACCTCCCATTCTCTTTTCTTCCTCCTTCCCCTTCATTCTGTGGAAGGACCGGATGGCGGTGACGGCGTGAAGAGGCCATCGATATACGGCTGAAGCTAAATACGTAGTGAGAGGGAATGTACGGTCCTTATTGACCAAGAACTAATCGCTGGCCCCGTTACGGTGTTACGATGTGTCAATGATGGTCGGAGGGAGGGCCTAGATTGGTTGACCTCTCCATGCTAGGAGCGACCTAGCTAGAGACAATACAAGCATAGATCGACTCCAATATATATAGCTTAGCATAGGCTGATTTAGCCGTTCACTGTATCTCAAGCAAACAAGAGGGCCAGCCAGCAATGCCATGCTTTCTATAAAAACATGATAGAATGAAGGGGTACAATTCTGAGCTTTTCAATTGCTCTCATACACACACTAATAATCACTTGGAGATGAAGAACCCAAATTGAGATAATGGACACATTGCCCCCCGTCTATAAGGCTCTCTGGAAATAAGGAAAAGAAAGAGACAACCCAACTAATCCTCCCCAAAATCATCATAACCTTCCTCCCCAGGAAGGAGAATTTCATGCCCGGACCCCTCATAAACAAAGATAGCAGCCAGACATCCCAAAACCGAGACCAAAGCAACAAGCCACCATGCAATACCGACGACCCCAATCTCCAGCCCAAGACCGTACCACGCGCCCGAAAAGATAGGCCCGATAGTCCGGAAGGCTGACGAGACGGATTGACCGATGCCATGGATGGTGCCGAGCACGGACGGATGCGGAGAGCAGTTATTCAAGAGGATGATGGAGGTGGGGAGAGTGAAGGTTCTAGCCGTAACTTGGAGGAAGAGGACAATGGCGATGGATAGCCAGATGGCGAAGCCGGTTGCTTGGGATGGAGGGGGCGATGAGGAGGGGGCGAGGGAGATGTATGGTGCGAATGCGTATGCGAGGGGGAATAAGGTGAGGAAGTACTGGTAGGATTTTGTGGTGCCGAGTTTTCCGTGGATGGTTGGGTAGATGGTGAATTGGAGGGCCATGCCGATTATGCCTAGGATGGATGTTGCGAGGCCGACTGTTTGAGGGGGCATGCCTAGGCCGCCTGTGAAGATGAAGGGGAGGGATTGAGGGGGGGCGGAGGGGTCGTCTGGGTTGTGTCGAGGGGTGGAGAGGAAGAGGAGCCAGAGGTTGTTGAAGGCGCTGCATCTGTCAGTTTTTGTGTGGCTTCATTGGTATAGTATAGATAGCCCTGACTCACCCCATTTGGAAGTCAAAAAAGGCTTGCGCAAGCAGTGTGCACAGAACATTCTTCGTCCATATTCTCCGGAATGGTAACACACGGCTTCCACGTGTGGATCTGGTTGCCTTCTCTTCAAGCTCGTAGCTGTCCGTCGAGCCCAGCTGCGGGTCCAGCAGGGATAGTCCCTCCTCATTGTAGTCCTGCAGTGGGAGTTTCGAGTATAAAGACGAGGAAGGGATGACGGCCTTCAAACCGCGAGTGAGGAATCTTAGCGCAATGGTCCCCGGACCAGGCCTGTCTTTGCAAGCTTCTAGCGTCTGAAGTTGATTATCAGTACCACTTGACGACCCAAATAAAGTAAAGAATCTGCAAGCATCGCCGTACCTCTTCCAGACCAACAGTGACCAGAACAGCACAGAATACCATGAAGAAGAAATTGGCTAGCATGGGCAATGCATATGGATACTTTATCAACCACCGCACGCCCTGCGCGCCTCCGAAGAATGAATCAGGACCGAATAAACGGGGATAACTCTTGACTGGATCTGAAAGCATCCCTCCCATGACTTGGTACCAGAAAAGGTCAGAATTGTCAGAAATGACCGGAAAAGTAAGAGAAGGCTCACCTGGTCCAAAAAGAGCAGCGATATTAAACCCGATTGGTAAGATCAGAAAAGCCCTAGAATGATACTTCTTCTCCTTGACGTTCTCCGCGATCATAGTCCGTATAATCCCCACTGTCCCATTGATGCCACCCCCAAACGATCTCCAGAGCATAGCCTGCACAAATGATGTCGCAAAAGCCACGCCCAGGCACGAAATGGCAGTCCCGATCAACCCCACAAGCAAGACAAACTTGCGTCCTCCCCAAGAAGCATCCGCTACCCGGCCCCAAGGAATAGCGGTTGCGAACTGTGCGGCAGTGAACGCACCCTGCAGGAGTCCTGCTTGCGTCGAAATCTCCGAGTCAGACAGATTCTTGTCGAAAGATTTGAGCTGGTAGAACATGTAGGCTTGCAGAGAGGCGATCTGCAAGAAGTCAAACACGCGACAGAGACCTAAGAGAGCCAGCTGACCCTTTCGAGGAAGAGTAAGCCATGTTACAGGCGGCGATGCAGAGGGCACTGTGGGTATCGATGAGGTATCTTCTTCCAGAATCTCCTGCCGGGATTGTGCCAGCAGACTTGCATCCAAGGAGAAATTCTGTGAACGATTGCGGGCATGCTGCCGCCGCCAGTCTATCGAAGTAGTTCTATTTGACATTCTCGATGATTGTCCATTATCATCGATATTGACGGATTCCGATCCAGAGTCCCGATATCTCCGTTGAGAGGGAACACGGAAGTTCGAAGACTCGCTCTGGAGCATAGAGAGAGAAGTCATGCGTGCATGCCCAGAAGGACCATTTTCGTTCCCTTTCTTTCTATCATTAGCCTTCCTATTGTTCTTATATGATAAAAATAACACTTGCGGGTGCAATTACTGCTGAGATTATGGTTCTTCTTGCGGCTAAACTGGGTCATAGACATTGGGGATGCAACTCATATGTCGGACGCCCGGCGGATCGATTCACTCCAATTAAAGACGATAACAGCAGTCAGATAAAGAAAGAGAAAACGTGAAATGTGAATAAATCGAGGAAGCCCCGTTTGAAGGATGCGAGAAATGGATAATTCATGCGCAATAGTGGAGGGCTGGCGCCTCAAGAGCATGCCCAGAGCCAGCATTACGCCACACATATACGTATGTAGGCACTCGGGCTGGAGCCCATCTTGCATAATCAGGCTAGGCGGTGCTCCATGTATGGAGTAGATTGGATGTTAAATCATGAATGAGATGCTTCAATTTATTTCCGGTCCACTGCGGGTTGCAGAGTACATTGGCAGCCCATGAAGCAGGGGTTGTGCCGTATCGTATCGTATGTATGATACCGGTTTGTACCATACGGGGTACATCCATCCTGACTGAACTCCTAGGCGGCTGATACAGACACCCCGGAATCGTTTCGCCCTGAAACAGTTTCCGCTCTTGGCTGCTGCAGGGGAAGGGACTGGTAACATCCTATGAAGACATTCTTGATTCTACCCTCTTTTTCTCTTTCTTTAATCTTCCCTCTATTCAAGCTGTAAATGGTTCACACCTGGGCCAGAAAATCAAAGCGTCTAGTGGCGTTGTCCTCCACGACCGTCGAAGCTTCACTTCGAAACGCGCGTCATTGCAGCTGGCATACAATCATGGGGAACTTTATTTCTTGGCAATCTTGGCATATATCCCGGGATATCTGAGCCCAATACATACGTATACTCCGTATGGTGTTAGGAGACGCAGTCATAGACCAGAAAATTGGCCCCAGTGTCGTGCTCTGACGCGTACGCACTAATGTGGCTCCGGTTGTGAACACGTCGCCTATTCGGCCGGATTTGCATTCGCTTGCGTGAACTGGATATTTGTTGTGGCTCAAGAGCTAGCAACCCGTTGTCACCGGCATAACCGGTCATGGTTGACGAGGCTGGATAAACATTCATGCGCCTGTTTGAGCCTTGAGGCCATTTCTCGTGTTACCGGAATGCGACGGGACAGCTTGAGTGGGATCCTGGAGGAGAATGGATTTATGTGGGAATCGGAGCGATTCAAGTCATCGAATGCCACGCGTACAGCGTACATACTCTGTACATGGGCAATGCGGACCGTCCACTAGACAGTAGCACCCCAGGATGTGGGAATGTTGAAACCATGAGTCCTTGTCAAGGCTCAAGAGGATGAAAGGTGTTGATGGTGTTGGATCAAGCTTTGCGAGGCTTCCAGATCTTCTCAATGACGCCATTGATGGCAGCTGTGATGCCATGGACGGTAGACAACTAGACACTGCAGAATGCGGGGAAGTCAGATCTGATGTCTACATTTATGTCAATGAAAAACATATATCATGATGCAGTACGAAGGGTGGTATTATCTCTCGTAGTTGATGCAGATACAACTTGTCATACACCAGAGACAAAACTATTCCAACCCCTGCCAAGGACGGTAGCAGGATAATCATGGCAGGTCACGAATGGGATGACGCATCTGCAGCAGTCCCCTGTCCAGCCATATCTCATGGAATAATTGTAACGCGACAATCATCTGGTCGGAAATTGGACATTGTTTTTGGAAGATAAGTCAAGCCACGAACCATTTTAGGTTCTGACTGTTGCGGGTCATTATTGTTAGGTGCATATGTAGTAGTACTTCAGAATACATATGCACACATACAAATACAGTGTGGTACAGGAGTAGCAAATTGTATTCTCATGAGCCTCCTACTGACGGCCAGAGGATAATGATAGCATGGTATCAGAAATTATTGACAATAAGACATAAAATGGACCACCAGAAATACTACCCAAACCAAAAAAAAAAAAGAAGTATATACTCAATTCACTTCACAAACCGCTTAAACACCATCATCCCTGCATATCCCGTAGCCAACAAGGTCCCCCCGACAGTAAAAGCGTTCAAAAGAGCATTCAGCATCTGTCGTCGATTGCGCTTTTGACACCGAGCGTAGAAATCCGCCATGTCATTCCCCCGCGGGAAGGGCGTATCGGGGATCTCTTCGCCCAGGAACTCGCAGAGCGGGCCCCATCCCTCGCTGATCTTGTATTCCAGCAGCTGTTCGGAGGGTACGAGACTGCGCACTTCAGCCACATGGTCCAGGTAAACCTGTTTGCCCTTGTTGGGGAAATCGCCGCGGAAGAATGTTTCAAAGAATTTGTTCAGCATGGGGAAGTACATGCTGGCGGCCCAGCTGAAGTGGGATACCAGGCGATGTTCGGGGTCGGTAACTCGCCACCAGACGGTTCTGAGGACGGATCTATACGTGAGGGATTAGAGGAGGAAGATTCGGTGGGGGGATTTCAGGTTTCAGGGAGCATACGCATGCCATGAGTCAACATCACGAGTGGTCAGGATGACTTTTGCATTAGGGTACGCTTCGATCAACTCCCTTGCGAAGGCACAAGCTGGCCAGTCACAGACTGCCTGTGGGAGTCGAAGACTTCAGCGTACAGCTTCACTTACTGCCTAGTCTAGGTTTAATGGAGAACATATCCTCTTCTTACCTGACAATCTCCCAACAGCTGATCCCATTCTTTCCTCCCAAACTGACCCACGCCGTCGTACTTGGCTAGAAGAGCATCGTGCCACATCAGACAATCCGGGGGATTCTCGACACTCGCGGACATCATGTGGTATGTCTTGACATATCCAAGTCTTTCAAGTGCTTTTCGGAGGGCTAGATCAAGATCTCAGTATTATACTTCCATTCCCACGTAAAGAAAGACATACATGCGGTTCCTGTTCTTCCCACTCCAAGCGCAAGAACCTTCATGGGCACAGTACGGTGGCACTTTCGTCGGTCAATGCAGGTGTCATCGGTGAAAATATCCGTCCATGGTTGGGGGGGCAGGTTATCTGCGTGAACCAAAGACATGTTTCGTTAGGGAAGTAGGATGACTCTTCCAATAAAGAAAAAAACAAATGAAGAATAAGACTGAATCAGAACAATGTCAATATGGACAGTCAAAACGAGTGGATATATGCAGCAAGTAAATATAGACAAGGGAAGAAAAGAAGGACACCCTCAAAGGAGACCTACACGGCCGGAGAAGTATTTAAGGGTGATAACATATACAGAAAGCCGGCGTATGCTCGCCCCATATAGCAGCACGCTGTATATAAATAACAGGTCGACACCACGACTAGACATTGGATACTATCAAATCCTCACTGTAGCGTACACGTAATGTAATTGAAATCTGCATACGGCGTAGATCCATAAACAACACGGACATGATTGCCACTGTCCAGGGGGCCTTGCAGTATTAGGCGAGATTGCTGCGAGTATGCTTGTTATACCTTAAGCAAGGCCCATACGCAGCATATGGCGGACGGATACATACCCGCTGAAGACCAGAACCGACTGCTTACGTGCCAAGAACGCAGATCAAAGTCAATCAACTTCTGCCAGTATTTTCATAATTGGTGGTGCCGGAAGAAGCCTGAAACAAGCTGGCGGCGAGTGGATAACTTTCCGACGGAGTTCCACACGTCCATATCTATCGAGTTGGATCGATACTGAATTACCATCCGGACTCCGAGTATCTATAGATGAGCCTTGCCAGCGGAAAGTTTGTTCGGTTACCAGCACAGGATCCCATTGTTTTCAGAAAGACCGAGGTGTAGAAGCGCAATTGCAATTTGTGAGGCTTCTCGAGATGAAATCAGGTACCATTTAATGAGATAATGGCGACCGGAATGTAATCAATGTAACCTCTAGGGCTGAGGCAGTTAGATCTTCTCACAACACATCCCTGGGCACATTCAGACAAGCTTACACATTGCTGGGTCGGGTCCCTCCCAGTTGCAGAAGACCTTCGAAACGGTAGCCGCATGTATGACATTTGTATAATACAAAAAGACTGACGGTACACATATATATATAAACCACACCATCCCAACCGAACTAGCAACGAAATGGGTAGAAGTCAGGGTACGCCCAAAGAAAGAATTGAATCAAAGAGTCCACAGCAAGGAAACAGTCAAAGCCGCACCGATAAAACACCCCAAACTCCACCCATGGCAGTTTATCCATGTTGTGTCCATGCAAGAGAACGGCAGAACTATGAACTCCCAGCAAGAAAGGAAAAGCAGCGTTTGTTCCAGTGTTTAATCTTTCACTCTAGTTTGTCCAAGTGTTCCAGTCTCGTAAGGACAACTTGCTTGCTTGTTTCCTCGATCTCACCCGCAAGGAACACCTCGTCTAGAATTGCGTACACCTAGACAACTGTTAGCCACAATGGTCCCCTTACCTCCCCCTACCTCCTCCAAGCCCCTTGATCGAAACTCCTCATGCCGACTGGAACAGTACGCACCTTGTAGAAATTAAAGACCAAATCCAGCTCGCACACATTGCCGAAAAATTGATCCAGAACCTCAACAAAGAAGTGTATAGCCTCGAGGTACGCTAGTTCGTTGTCGTTGGCGTCCACGCAAACGCAAAAGAAGAGCCCGGCATATCTCCGATACACAATCTTTGTACTTCTTTTGAACTCGACAAAGTTGGATTGATATTTTTGGTCTCGAGGGGCGACCAGGCGGTGGACCTGAACAAGTTGTTTCATTTCTCGTTAACCATGTCTGTCTCTTTGTCGAAAGAACCCAGGTAATCAAGGAGCACAAACCTCGCCTTTTAGTTTCACCTTTTCCTCATCCTTCCAAAGAGAATATCAGTAAATATGACGGAACATGGCATCTCGAGCTGGGTGACTTACGCTGTACGGCGCATACCATTTCGCGAGCCGTGTCTTACCCCTGCCAACAGATCAGCATGGTGATTGAAGGAGGCATCGTACAACAGCCCACATACTGTCGGTTCTGCACTATGATAAATGAGAGAACCATTCCGGCACAATTCAAGGGTAATTACTGTAAAGACAATCTGTCGGACGATGAAAGACCAAATGCTACGACTGCAATACTTCCGACCAAGAAGTTGCTCCCCGCGTCGGCCGATACTGCCGTGCCTCACCGCTGTAAGTCAGGCCGAGCACGTTGATGATGCTCATTGTCAAATAATCTTCAAATCCTACGAGCGCTGGACGCTCACATTTATCTATACTACACTGCTAGTATACAGTTATTGCGGATGCCTTCTGCGGAAGAAACGGCTCAAACTCAACTGTGACACTGTGTTCGATTTGGCCTAGGATTTCAAGGCTCAACGTTAGCACATCATAAAAATGTTGGAAATAATAACATAATTCCTTGAATGTGTTTAATGTGTAGATAAAGAAAAGGGAGAACACTGTTATGAACCTGGGAGTTTGGACTTACCCTCGATCTTCCACGACTACTGGCATCATCGGCCAGGGCAGTATTATCAGCGCCGCTCATGTCACTAGTAGTACTCACCATCCTCTCATGGTAGACGCCACTATTACCGTCACCATCTTCGCTTTCAAAGTCCATGTAGCTGGTGTCATAGTCGTCGTCATAGTCGTCGTCGTAATCATCCTCGTCTTCACTCTCAGGATACCCTCTCTCTGGATCTCCGTTGTAGACCATCCACCACCCTACCTTCTCTTCAGGAGCCAGTTTATCCCGTAAATCCGTAATCGCCGCTGCGTACCCTTGCTCCTGATGACGCTTGAGCGTCTCTTCAATATTGATGCTTAGATCCGCCGCGTTGTCTGCGGCTGCCTCGTCGGGTATCGTAATTACTTTATCGGCCACATAAGCGAACGGCTGGCTCACCGCGTTTTCGCCGGCGGTGTCTTCGGGATCGTACTGCTCTATGAATCGCAGCCCAGGGAGTCGAGCCATGATGTCGGGTTCTGTGCGATGCAGGGTTTCAAGCAAAAGTTGCGATGTGGTTTGTTGTTGGATGTATTCTGCAGCCGCATCTTCGAGGTCGTGGATAACAATGTAGACGCGGATTCCTGTGAAGCCCGCGCGTGGCCAGCGGAAGCCGTGAAGCAAGTAGACTGGCATCTGTTGGTTGGTAGAGAGAGCGCGACGACGGGCTGGTAAATTGGCGTGGCGGTACTTATTATGATTAGAGTTGAAAGGTCTAATGAGGAGAGGAAGTATGCATGCTCTAAATCATATCCACATGCATGCATGCAACAGGTGCGTAGGGGCTAATCTGATACCTACTTAAGCAGTATACCTTAACGTCACACATCGTTGAGGATATGGAACCACTAGCAACACAGCATGTCTATCCTACTCTGTACCTAGGTAGGTAGGTTGCAGATAACCCCTCTACAGGTGGTTATTCGATGGATGCTTCATGTGGGATACAGGTATACCACTGTCTACTGTAGGACAAAAAAGTAGCTACAGAAAACGTATCATAACCGTTCATGAAGTCGCTCCGTAGCTTTTCTGCCAGCTCGCATCAAACGTCGCTTTATCCACCGCAAACTCCCGGATATAGTCCCTCTCCAGATCATGCGTCTTCCTTCCCAATAGGACCAGGCTATGCAGTGGTCTTCCCATGTCGACCCCCGTCAATTCTTTCAGTGTACCCGCTACCAATTTCTGGTCCGCAGCACCGACTCTTGCAGCACCAACGGCAAGACTATCAGGCCCGTAGACACCCTCCTTTCGCTCCTCCTCGGTTTCCAGCATCTGGCTGGCGCATTGTGCGACAGTCATATATCTTGGCGGCTCGTAAATCATTCGCCCCCTGGCGAGGTTCTCGAGCGATGGCTCCTTGACTTTGATATCCAGCAGCACCAGCGTATGGAATCCCAGCTGCACGTTCTCTTTAATGCGGTCGTAGAAAGACGAGGGTCTCCAGTTTTCCGTGAAAAATACCATGCTCACCGTTTGGCCAAAATTATACAGTTGTAACCCTGTGCAGCCAATTCCGGACATGATCGATGCGTTGGGGATGACCTTGGTTTCAATGCCCATTTCGCGCGCCCGAAGGACTAGATCCGTATGCGTGGTCGCGCTGTTGCACGCATTGTAAGGAATAATTCATTTCCCACGTGTAGGGGTTCGAAATATGTCGGGAACCTACCCAAAAGGATCGCCAACGACAAGGAATGCGACATCTGTTTTGTCTGCGCCTGCGAGGATCTCATCGCTACCGCTTTCAACTAGTTCTCTGTCTGCTTCGATCACAGGGCGTCCATAGAACGCTTCCTACTGATGAGTCAATTGACCTTTAGCGGCAGAAACAATAACCATGACAATAAACAAGAAAACAATGGGGATTGTCCTTCCACTTACTAGCTTTCCTCTGTCTACCAGCAGAATACTGGTGTATGCTTCGAGGTAGACTCTTTCGGCCTTTTTGACAACTTCAAGACCCTTGACCGTGATATCGGTCTCATCAGCAAGTCCAAGACCCACGAGATACAACATTTTGAGAAGAAATATGCGAGATAAGTATTGTCTATTCACAACGTTGCTAGTCGAGTTTCCAGGATCTTTCATTTTTTGTCCTGGAGGGCATCCGGCGGCGGCGAAATAGAATGTCCGGCCTATCTGATACCTTCATCTACTGCATACAATCCCATTTATCTCCATCTCTACTCGCATTTGCTACGAAGTAGCTATCGATATAATCTATGATTGATATTCTTATTGGGACATATTTGCTGTCTGACGTGGCGTTTCAATATACTAATAAACTGGTAAACTGGGAGTGATATACTCGCTATCATGGCGACTGATCGCACGCCGAAATATCGGCAGGAGATCCAGCAGGTACGTCTTCTTCATTTTACTTTGATTATATCACGCTGTTTTCCCGGGAAGCTTTTGGTTGTCTTTCTTTTCTTTTTTAAATGCGTCTTGGTGCTAGAAAGCAGCTAGCATGAAGAATGTAAACGTCGGACAACCTATTCATCTATATCGATGTTGGAGTCATTCCCAGCATCAGGGACTCATTCGGAACGAACTCGCTATGATATTTGACTTATCCTTATGCCTATGATGATGTAGAAAAATTGGTTTCAGCTCTTCAAATACCCGGGAACGCAACGGACTTTAATGAGACATTGAGAGAGTGACAAGGATCCCATCTTACTAACCTCAGCCACTAGATGATGTTTGTCTCTGGAGAGACTGCTGAGCCATCTGTTGAAACAACAACTCTCATTGAAGAGATAGTGCGACAGCAGGTTATTGAAATAGTCAGTAACTTCATGTCCGTTGCGGCTACTACCCAGACCACGCTAATATTCAACACAGCTCGCCCGAAGCACATCGTTGGCAACCCGTCGAGGAGTCCGGTCTATTTCAACTGACGATTTGATCTTCCTCATCCGTCACGATAAAGCAAAGGTATCACGTCTCAGGACGTTCCTTTCATGGAAAGACGTCCGCAAGAACGTAAAGGACTCCGACGACAAAGGCGGTGCCGATGCGGCCGACTTCGCTGGAGCTGACGATCCACTTGCTGGTGGAGTTGTGGCTGGACCACAAGATGTCGCGTCGAAACCCAAGACTAAAAGAGCCAAGGTTGGACTAGCTTGGGATGTGAACAGTTTCTATTCCGTTCAAGTTCCGGAGCGAGAAGACGAGGAAGATGAAGAGGAGGAAGAGCAGAATTATGCCACTCTACAACGTCTTGCGACGGCAGATGAGCGAACAAAGAACATGACCAAAGAGGAGTATGTGTTCTGGTCAGAGTGTCGCCAGGCATCCTTTACGTACCGTAAAGCCAAACGTTTCCGCGAGTGGGCTGGATTCGGCATCGTGACTGAGTCGAAACCTAATGACGACATTGTTGACATTCTCGGTTTTCTTACATTTGAAATAGTGCAGACTTTGACGGAAGAAGCACTTAAGGTCAAGGAACGCGAAGACCACGAAAAGAAGGGCCGAGGAGGCGCTGAGAACGGAACCAGTGAAGCCACCAAAAAGCGCAAGCGGGAGACTGGTCTCTTTGATCCTCCCGAAGAAGGGCGTACTCCAATTGAGCCCCGGCACATTCGTGAGGCATATCGTAAACTACAGGCGACTCCAAACAAGGCTGTCGCGATGCTTCTCCATAATGGGCGTATACCCGCACGTACGCCGCTGAGGCTGGTATAAACCCGATTCAGTTACCTTTCATTCTTCGGCATTGGGCTAATATGGCATAGATTTAAAATTTCCGTATGCATTCCCATTTGAGGGATTTGGTTAGCCACTACACCTAGACATGTTCCGAACATGCAAGTATCGGGAGTTTTGGGCGAAAGATCAATGATACCCAGGAACAGATGAACAAAATTGTTGGATATATAACTTTCTTTTTTGCTGGCATGGCAAATGCATGTGCTCACTATTTGACTATTTCGAGGTCGACCTTTATTCGCTGGTGAATAGTACAGCACTCTTCTCATTCATTCAGCCTCTCTGAGCTATCACTATTAAAACAGGTAGACTCCATCCTTGTCCGAACTTCGATATGAACCAGAGCCCTCTGCAGAAAAAACAAGGAATTCTGGGACTTTAATACTCATATGAGCAGATACATAACCGCGTTCAATCCTTATGCGTCCGACGCCCTAAAACCGAGTTAGCACCCTGAAAAATATAGCAAGGAAAAAAGACTCGAACTTACACTTCTCCAGCTCCTCCCCCGACAATTCGCGAATAGAAATAATATCCGGAACTTTTCCCTGAACGGCACTCTTGACCGTCTCAGTCACTCTCCCGACAATGCCATGCTTGGAGAGCATATACGTCGACAGTTTCGCTTCGAGTTTGATCAACCCGATCCTGGGGTCGGAGGGTCCACCATCATGCACACCATCACCCAGGTCACCCAGCCAGGTCCTCAAACCGGGCGAGTAATACTTCTGGATGGCTTCCTGGTTGGCGATGATAGAGGCAGTTCCGGAAATGGAAGCCCAGGAGCCACTTACGGGGTCGAGGAAGGACATGTTTGTTTCTGTCGGGTGGACGGATAGATCCATTGTTTTGCCGGAGAAGAGGTTTGTGTGGAAGATGAGGTCGACGCCCCCGTTTTCCTGTTCACGTCTTCTTGTCAGCTGGAGCCCTTCTCTTCTCTCCTGCCCATTCCATATGACTTACCATCCCCGCTATGGCCATACAGCGCGACGTGAGCAGATCCGAATCAGAAGACAGCTTGGTTGTTAACATGCCATATTTGAGATCGTCGATGAAATGGACCAGATCCTGAATCTTCTCTTCGAGGGTGGGCTGTTGGAAGCCCCTGGCCTTGTACGGGTCAACAGGTTGGGTTCCTTTGCTTGTCTTGATCTCAGTAGACATTGTTCTTTTTTCTATTTTCTGTTTCGTTTCGATCCGGCAGTATGCCAATGTATTTGTCAACTAGCGGAGTGTGGTAGTTTGATATAGTTGGGTGTTGTTGCTCAGAAAAGTCCAGAGAGAACCGGCTTAATGTAAATGCACAAGTCTATCCAACACTCTGGATCAAGAAAACAAACAGAGTAGTAACTGGTCACAATAGAGATGTTGATTGATCCTTGTTACTGGATACTCCAGAAGCATTGAAGATTGTGTCTATCCCCGGCATGCTGTGAACTGGCGTAGCTGTGACGTCAAACTTAGGCTGGTGCAATGGTGCATAAGGAGTGCAAACTTGTTCACACAGGTAGAGCTAAGGTCATTTTGCCCTCATGTTTCAGTTGCAAGAGGTCGTAGCTAGCCCATCTATGTATATATAATCTTCGAACATTAAGGCTGATAATATTATCCAAGACGGATCTGTTGTTGAAGCATTTGCTTAGACTGCCACTGTTAGATATGATCAGTTGTGGAAAATGGAGCCTGGAATTTTTTTTTACTGAAGATAATAGAAACGATTTCTAATTTTTTTGTCTTTATTTTTATTTTATTTTATTTATTTATTTATTTTTATTATTGGTAAAGCAAGGGCCTGTGATTGCCGTTTGAGGCTGGCATAGCACCCACATACTATGTACTGTAGCCATCTCTGCTGTCTCAGAGCTAGAATCAACCTCATCCTGTTTGTACATCTTCCCTCTCTTACCTCTGTATCCTCCCCATCTGCTGCCCTTATTATTCTGCACCTGCTCACATACATCTGCCAACCACTCTGGCTCACCTCCTTTTTGATCTCCACCTCCCCTTGCTCCCCTTTCTTTCTGTACCACAAATGGTGGCTGAGCCAGCCCTGATGGTCTGCACCAAAGGCCATTTGTTACAGAACCTACCAATGGGAACCTAACAGCCTACGGGTAAGAACAGAAAGAGATGCACATTGTCAACACAGGACAGGCTGATGCCAATATCACCTGACAGCAAGGGATGGTATACTCAGTATACACTGTATACTCAACAAAGAAAGGTTATTTCTAACATTTAGTGTGAGTGACTAGTGAGCTTCCAGCATCTTAGGCTTAAAGTTTAAGGGGAGCTATCTAAGGCTATAGAAATACTTGAGCCTAGCGAGTCTCCTTATAAAAAATAGAATTAGCCCAGTACTACTAGTGTTATCTAAATTTGTAGGGGGAAGGAGAGGAGTCATTTTTAGCGTCGATTCACAGGGTTATAACTAACGTACGTAGGACACTGGAGGCTGATGTAAAATACTCCAGGGTACAAGCCTCGAAAAGGGAAGTCACTGGAGGGCAAAATAAGGAGATGCTCTTGGCTTGCATGAGAAAAAATACTTCAATGGAGACCAGAAGATAGAAAGATGGCAAAGGAGCTGCTTGAGGATCCATGGCTAGATGATCAAGTTGGAGTAGAATTATCTTCATTATTATTCGAATTATGCAGTAGATAAAGATTGATCATTATTAATCAAGGGCTATAAGCTGAGCCCTACTCTATACGAGGGTAAATGTACTAGATCTTCGTAAGGGAGACCGTGGAGAACATACATAAATGGCCAACGCTTGCAGGTCATGGAACAACAGTAAGAGATTGTAGTGTCAGCTGGGATGAATCCTCTCCTACCCATAACTGTTATTCGGGGCTTTCATGCTCCTGTGAGGTGCGCAACGGATCCGGTTTGGCATTAAAAAGGCCATATGGAGACATCCCATATGAAAAACAACGAAATATAACTTCAAACAAAGCAGCTTGCAAAATGCATGCGGGTTTGAGACCTCCATCAGCAGTTGTCATAGCTAGGACAGACTACTGATAAATACGTGGCCATTTGTGAAGTTGACTGGTCCAGCTTTGCAGAAAACCTGCTGCAATGCAAATAGTGTGAGATGGTTCTCTGCCAACTGTATGGGCAGCAGGATATCATGCATCTCCCTAATCAAGGAGCAAACAAATGTCTATTCAAGGTGTTAAAATGGACCGGATATCGTTTAAAATAGATGCACCAGTTCTCACCTTGAAACAGACTCCCACAGAAGACTAAGAATGAGGCACAATAGGCCTATAACTAGGGCTAAATGAATATTGAAAATAAGTCAGTACCATGAGCCACTTCTGGGAAACAGCGTCCGGAAAGTAAAATAAACAAATAAGAAGCTCACCTTCATCTCCCCAAGACGCAAGGCCCGCAAGTCCGCCCTTCCTCTTCAACCATATCGGGACCAAGTCCATCTGACAAGTATTCCCTTCAACAACCATGCACCCTCCCTTCACACGCCGACATTCCAGATGCCGCCGTCTTCTCTCCATAAGCTTCCTCATCCTGGCATTACAAAACGCTTCATCTGTCCGAAAGGAGCACTGTTCCATAGGACATTCGAGCTTGCGTTCGAAACGCTCTACCAGCCAGTCCACCTTCTTATGAACTCCCGTATCAACAATACGGTAAAAATGGCGACAGGTATGCTTCAAGGCCAGAGCGTCGGGATAAGGAAGATAAGAAGATATGCTGAAATGAAGCTCCGTCGGTAAGCCCATGAGATTCAGTCTGGAGAATAATAGTAGTCCTTGGGAGGTTTCTTTCCCGGCTAGCCCGGAAGGATGCTCCATGATTTGTACTTCTTTCAAGCGAGCTGGTTGAAATGTTCGGATTGGAATAGTAGTGGTTATTTTAAAACACGATTAGATCAAGTCCAAGCTTTTTTCTTTTTGGAAAAAGGTTTCTGTGTAGCTTTGCTTCCGTCTATAAGGTGCGTTCATGGGAACCTGGATATCTATTTATAGCTTCAACGGGAAACCAACAAGAAGGCTGCCTAGACATTCCTAGAGTCATACAGTAGCGTGACTAGCTGATAACCTGGAAGGATAAGCTTAAACGGGTTAACTCTCAAAGATCGACCTGTTGCTGCCACGCTGGCAATTAGATATGAGGCTGAGAGATGAGGCACTTCGAAGAAGGCAATGCAACGGCATAACATGGTACATGTACTTGGGCTGCAAAATGCACCAGGCACATTTATGAAATAGCTCGACACATGAAAGATAAAACAAATACGTAGTACAAGTAGACCATGCAAAAAAGAGTGATAGACGATGAACGTTCTGAGTTCGTGGAGAAGGACGAAGTTCATCTTCGAGGAGCCGCACACGTGATCAGCCACAAATAAAGCCACAGTATACATCCAGTGCACAGCCACGCATTATATACAGCTTCATCTTCATTATCGATATCGATCAAGATCAAAAGGCTGTTACCATACTCCGTGCTCCATCCAAACCACTCCAACAGAAACCAGAGAAGTCCAGAATCAACGCTTACATTCCAGTTCAGCCTTATAATTGAGCCGAATACCCATATACCCACCAGCCTAACCCAAAGACTGTTTCTGTATATCTCGCCACAACAACCACGATGTCCCAAAAACCCACCGCCGCGACCTCAGACACGTCCTTCAGAAAAACATGGGACAGAGAAGAATACGCCAAAAAGGCCAAGGAAGAAGAAGAAAAGCGCAAAGCCGAATCGAAAGCCCGCTACGAGGCAAAGCTTCTCGGGAAGAAATACCATGCGCCGGTCGACTACAGTTCCCTGGAGGCAACGTCATCGCGCAGAGAGCGACTCGATGTAGCGTCGATGGTGGGAAAGACGACGATTGTTGCAGCGGGCGCGGCTGTGGGGAAGAGAGGGAAGGGTGCTGGGTTCTACTGTTCCGACTGTGATCTTACGTTCAAGGATAATCTACAGTTCGTGGAGCATCTGAACAGCAAACAACATTTGATTGCGACGGGGCAAAGTGGGGAGGTGGTGAAGGCGAGTCTGGAAGATGTGAGAATGCGTTTGAGAATGTTGGCGCATCAAAAGCGGGTTAATGAGGAAGAGGAGAGGAGGGCGTGGCAGCTCGATCTTGGTCAGAGACTGAAGGAAAGGGAGGAAATAGAGGCCAAAGAACGGGAGGAGAAGAGGAGGAAGCGCAACGAGAAACGGCGCAAGGGTGGCCAGGATGGGATTAAGAAGGAAGAAGATGGCTGGGAAGGACGACTGGGAATCATCGCATGACCTTGACGCTTTGCACATTGTTTTCATCTTTTTGGTTCGGCTGGATGGAAAAGAAAGGAGCTATGTCATTATACCCTGGCGTTTCGGTAAACTTTTTTTTTTTTTTTTTTCATTTGGAACAGGAAAAAAGCATCATATATTGCTATGCTGTCGGCCAGCTTGCCTCTCAGATACCATATTGATAATTATCGAGGAATATCTTATCCAGTGCAACGCAACGCCATTCCCAATGCGCCCTTACGCCAACAAAATCAGATCAATCAATGCATTCAATCCCTTCTAGTGCCCGTAGAGCTCGTCCCCCCTCTCTTTCAAAGTGGCTTACTAGCCTCTCGCATTCTCGTCTGAGTCGCTCTTCGCCATTTTTTGCATTCCAGGTAATCCACTCTTCAACTGTCATCCTCTTTTCAGGGCTTGAGAGACTCCCTTTCACGCTTAGCATTCCGTCTATATCTTCATTTTCCTTGTCACTGGCGCCTGCGAAAAGCATCTCGTCGATATCAATTGGTTTCCACGGATATGACGTTTGCAAATGACCGGGATTGGCAATGCGTTTCGATGGCGATGGTGTACCTGCAGCCACTGGAATCCATACTTTCTGCTGCTCAGGAGATGATAGAAAGGGAGTCCGTGACACAGAGGCCTTTGAAAACGTTACAGATGGTGGATGATTTTCTGCATCAGATGATTGAGACGGAGACTTTGTGGTTGCAGAACCTGGAGGAAGTGGTGATACGGTACTCAGTCTGTCGGCGAAGATGCTGGTCTCCCCAACTCTATCGTTGGTATTCGAGACGCGGCTTCTTGCAATAGAGTCCGCGAAATGTTGTTCCTGAGGAAGGTCACTGTACCTCTCTGCAGTCTTCGGTGGAACTTTTGATGATCGACGATGCCGATATTGCTTCACGACGTTTTCTTCCTCTGGCTCTTGAGCCCCTTGTTCAGGCTTGGGTACATTATCCTTCTTTTCTTCAGACATCTGCTTCTTTATACTGCCTCTCGACTCACGTTTTCCAGTGTCACCTGGCACTGAAGATTCCCGAGTCCATTCGCCCTCTTCAGTCGGCCTCTTTGCCTGTTTTCCTTTGCCGGCTGAAGACCTCTTCTTCTGGGTCTCCTCTGTAGTATCCTCGTGGATGGATTCCGCAGTCGGCTCGCGCAGCGGGTCTCTTGAAATTATTTCAACGGATACGAAGGAGTCGTGACGATCATAATTAGTTCCTGCGTTATCTGCATCTGGTCGAGGTGATGTTCCCGCCTCGGATGCTTCTCTGTTCGAACCCGTCTGTTCCTTTGGCTTCTTTGCGGCTTTCTGCTTGCTATTTCCTTTATTCGATTTCGTCTTCTTAGGAGGCAATTCAGTTTTCTCCACTTCAATTTCGTCATGCCCTCCTTTGCTAGTTTGTTCATCATCAGCTGCAGCATCTGTGACTGATGCAGATTCTTCTATAGCCGTTTTCGATACCTTGTTGGATTTTGATTTGCTGGGTTTATTCACGGTGTATTCGGATTGTTCTTCGGCATGGGAATTTTCAAGTTCTAGGTCAGCTTCAAGCTCCCTGTCAAGTTCAGAATCCCCAAGAAAACGCGGGCGAGAAGCTGGCTTGTTGGAAAGCGAAGTTTCCGATGCCTTTTTAGTCTTAGAAGACGAATCCTTCTTTGTTGTCTTCCGGTTCTTTTTAGGCTTTTCCTCCGCTAGAGGCTCACCCTGTACTTCCGTCATTCTAGAGTTATCCATATTCTCGTCAATACTGTATTGTTGTTGGATAGCACTGCTGCGGCTCCTTGTTGCCCTCCTCTTCAGAGGGGGCTCTGGATGACTGAGGTTCTCCGAATTAACTCCATCCAACTCATCTTTTTCTACCTCATCGCTTGGTCTCTTCTTTCCTTTTGTTGTGCGTTTTGTTCGAGGACCTTCTGGCCTGGGATCCGTAGATTCCATAGATATATGACTGTCAGCGTCTACTGTGTCGGTTTTATTCGTCTTCTTCCCTCTGGGCTTGGAGGGCTTCTTCGAAGCCTTTGGTTTAGTGCTCGATTGGGACATTATGCTCTGGTCCATCCCATCATCCAGATCTACAGTAGGTGCTTCGGAGACAACGCTGCTGACCGACTGACTCGAGAGCCGAGAGGTCTTGGAGCCACGAGTTTTCTTAGACCGTGAACCCTTCGTCTTCTTGCCTTGGGGTCGAGCAAATGCAAAGAAGGCACAATTTGGAGAACGTCGATAGTGTTCATCACTAGAAAGGTTAGTCGCACTCAGTGTCCTAGGAAAGAGCGAGCAGCGTGGACTGAACCCACTAAGGAACATCTTTGGGCTCCCAACCGTCAAGAGAGAGATTACAGTAGGCGCAAGTAGCCAAATCATCACCCTCTTCGCTGGGACAAAAGTACCATCCTCCTTCAACCATCTGTTACCGATTGCGAGTGTTAGAAACCTCGTTGCATTCCCAGATTGGAGTAAAGCTAACGCAGAACGGCCAACGCACCTTCTCCGATTGGCACACCCATCCTCGCTTTCCCTCATGTGGCCACCCCGTGGCAAAGGTTGACCGCCGCGCTTCCACAATCCTATCACTTGTTGGATCTTCTATCTCATCTGGATCATTACTGCGCCGAAGGATGTCCATCATAATGGCCCATCCGCAGTCGCCTGCGTGTTTAAGGTGCTCCGTCGTCGGATCATCGTCTTCTTCCCATCCATCGAGAGCTCTGTTGCAGAGGAAGCAGGTTGTATTGTCGGGATTTGTCGTATAAGGGTTATAGTAAAACCCGGCTTTCGCCAACTGTCAACCAGTCAACAACCACACCAATTGGTGCGTAGGAGTGAAGGACAATACCTCAGTGGGAGAAGGCCTGTCATATGGCCAACTTATTGACTGAGCATGCTTTGCGCCAGACGTCCTTCCCTCAGGATATATAACAGTATCGAAACTGGCGAGGCGGGCCGCGAAGGTCTCCATGTCTTCAGTTGCTGTCTGGTCCAAACAATATCATTGGAAATAAATCTGCACGAAATTTGGGCTGAGCATGAGAGTCGATCTCAAGACGCCGGACGATACGACAGTACTTGGACTGGCAGGACTGCGCTTGTTTACGTCGGTTGTTGATGTCCAAAGCGCGCCGCGCGAACCAAGAGCACGTGACATTACCAATAATGTTTCACGCTAACTAGAAAAGGTATAGTATTAGTAATCATTATGGTTCCCAATTGGGCAAGTCTGTTGCCGAATACGTCACAGTCCCAACAACATCGTCCAGGCCTTAAAAAAGACACAATCACCGATCCAGTTGCCGCGATCAGCCGCAACGCCGTCCTGGTATACTTGTGCACCTTACCAGCGCACGATAATTGGTGCTCGCCCTTCCATTGCTAGTCCTATACTTTCCTTACTCCCCTGAAATTATGGAGTGAAATATTTGTCTTCTCAAACTTCGTTGATATTTTGCAACGGTCAGCAGGCACACATCCTTTCCTTCTACAGCCATGCGTGAGATTCCGGTGAGTATTCCTTGTTATCCTAGTATGTTTCAGACAACCATGCTCACAATGGCCTTCTCATACTCCAGGGTTTTCTTGTAAATGCTGGTACGGGGTCATATGTGCGTCTACGCTCAGTGGCCCCTTTTCCCCGACAGCGCTCCCAAACCCCAGCCTGCATACGCTCATTCTCCATCGAGTCTCTCTCGAAACCTAAAAATTCTCTGCAGCAATCGAAACAAACCAACCCTAAACGTGGAACTGGTGATTCTCGTTGGACGTCTATCAACAATGGTTCTGAGCTACCATCATCAGCTGCTCCATTCTCTACTTCCTCGGAATGTCTTGAACAGAGTTGGGATCAGAACCCGAACCTAGATATATCTAAATTTTCGGAGCTTCCCTCGAAGGATTTTGGAGTTAACCAACACATGCTCATAAATCATGAGTTCAGGGAGGAATTGCGTCGAATTCTCTGGCAATTCCGAGCCCCTATTCGGTATGCATTTGCCTATGGTTCGGGAGTCTTTCCACAAGCGGGTGCGTCCTCATCCAGTACTGGTGTGAGCCATCCGTCGGCTCCCGCGGCGATTCAGACAATGCAACAAGGGTCGGGCAAGATGATTGATTTCATATTCGGGGTATCATATACGCAGCATTGGCACTCGCTGAATCTCCATCAGCATCGGGACCATTACTCCGGCTTGGGCTCTCTTGGGTCCTATGTCGTGAGCCAGGTGCAAGACAGGTTTGGAGCTGGTGTATATTTTAATCCATATGTTACCGTGAACGGAACATTGATTAAATATGGTGTCGTGAATCTGGACACCCTATGCAGAGACCTCAGTCAGTGGGATACGTTGTATCTGGCTGGCCGGTTGCAGAAACCGGTAAAAATCCTACGAGACCACCCAAGCGTGCGATTGGCAAATCAGATTAACCTGCTGTCTGCCGTACGGGTAGCCTTGTTGTTGTTGCCCGCCGAGTTTACCGAGTTTGAGCTTTACAGGACCATCACAGGGATCAGTTACCAGGGAGACCTGCGCATGTCATTCCGAGCGGAGAACCCTGAGAAAATTAACAACATCGTCGCAGCACAGATCGCCCACTTCCGACGGCTATATGCTCCTTTAATCGCAAACCTACCCAATGTCACGTTTACGGATCCACGGTGCAGCCATGCGGATTGGATTGACGATCCCACGGCGAATATGCGGATGTCGCAGGACATGGATCCCGTGAGGCGTGGGAACATGGTTCGTCGATTGCCCAAGTCGTTCCGGGAGAAGCTCTACTTCCAATACCAAGGCCGGTATGGGATTCCGCGGGCCGAGTTTAACAAGATGATGGAGGAGAGCAGCATTTCGGATCCCAGCATGGCTCGTCGCCAGGAGGGTGGCCGATTTGAGCAACGAGTTGCAGGGGACTCGCACCTCAAGGAGGAAGTACAAACAGCGATCAGCAAGACCGTCCGCTGGCCAAGTACCGTGCAGAGCATCAAGGGGCCGTTGACCGCGGGACTGGCCAGATCATGGCGATACATGCAAGAAAAGCGTGCAAAATTCAAGGATTCTAAAGAATCCGCTTCAAAATCTGGATAGAAGTTCATAGAGCAATATTTGCTTTGCTCTCACTTTGATGTTTTGTTTTGTCTTATTCGCATTTGGCTTGGCTGAGGTGCCCGAGGATAGGTTGCAGCATAAGAGAAGCAAGCAGGCCAACCCTGGACATGTGAAGTACATACATATAGAGGCGTTCATGATCATTACGGTATCTGGTAGTGGCTAGCAATAGAAATATGTACAATATTTGAGGCACTTTCCAGAATCCACAGATATGTATATGTATTCGTTGAGCCAGATGAGAAAAACGATGATTCTTATTGCAGTGGCGGCATTCCGACATCGCTTTTCCCTTTTCCGCCCTTAAATATTAATTTCTTCTGACTCAGGTAATTTATCATCTCCCCGCCCACCACTGTACCCAGGAAAGACAAGGGACAAATTACAGAACTGAGTCAACAATGGCACCGAAAACATCGCCGTTCGATTTATCGAAATGCGCACGTCACAATATTCTGCAGTTAGAGCCTTATCGCTGTGCCAGAGAGTGAGTTGGTGCCGCATTGCCCTTTTTCCCATCCGTTCCCATCCCCAAGGATTTTGACCACCCCAAGGATTAGTTGGAGAAAATCCAGAACTAATGAATTAGTGACTACAAAGATGATGGCACGAACGTTTTGCTCGATGCTAATGAGAATGCCTACGGGCCGGGACTGTCGTTGAATGCCGCCGGGGCTCTTGAGGAATCTATGGTGACTGGACATGCGACTGAGTCGGCGCAGCCGGAAATTGATCTTCTAGGGCTGAATAGATACCCTGACCCGTAAGTGACTTTTTTGTGGGGAGGGGGATGTTGGCTATTACTGGAGTTGTCTGGAATGGGTGCTAATATGTTGTTCCAGACACCAGGTAGATCTTAAACAACTCTTTTGCAATCTTCGCAACAACAACGTCCACACGCGCAAAGAACTACGTCCGGAAAACCTATTTGTCGGAGTCGGATCCGACGAAGCTATCGATGCCCTGCTGCGATGCTTTTGTTATCCTGGAAAGGACAAGATCCTTACCTGTCCTCCGACGTATGGCATGTATGGAGTGAGCGCGCAAGTGAACGACCTGGAGATTGTGAAAGTGCCGCTGGACGTGAACAATGGGTTCCAGCTGCAGCCGGACAAGGTCAACAAGGCACTCGCTGCGGACCCGTCCATAAAGATCGCCTATATCTGCTCTCCGGGGAACCCGACGGCAAACCTGATTCGCAAGGAAGACATACAGAAGGTTCTGGAGCACCCGACGTGGAATGGCGTGGTCGTGGTGGATGAGGCATATATCGACTTTGCCCCCGAAGGCTCCAGTCTCGCACAATGGGTCACCGAGTGGCCGAATCTGGTTGTCATGCAGACCTTGAGCAAGGCCTTTGGCCTAGCCGGTATCCGCCTCGGAGTTGCGTTCACCAGTGCCCCAATTGCTAGGCTTCTGAACAGTCTGAAAGCGCCCTACAACATTTCCAGTCCGACAAGCGCCCTTGCCAAGGCTGCTCTCACACCCAAGAACATGGCGGTGATGCACAAGTACCGGGAGCAGATCATTACGCAGCGGAACCGTCTCGTCGCTGAGCTTCCCCAGATCCCGGGGGTCGGCCGGTTCCTTGGCGGAAAGGACGCCAACTTCCTTCTGGTGGAGATCTTGGACCGGCCAGCGAGTGAAGGGGGGAAGCCTAGCAACATCACGGCTCTGGCTGCGTACGAGGCGATGGCAGGGAAACGCGGAGTTGTGGTACGGTTCCGAGGTAAAGAGCTGGGGTGCGAGGGGTGCCTGCGGATTACCGTGGGAACGGAAGAAGAGGTGACGCGGTTCTTGCAGGAGCTGCAGCGGGTGCTGAGCAGTCTTCACTCGGGGATTGCGATACGGAGTGTGAAGGAGGAAGAGGAGAAGGAGCAGGCGGCGAGTAAGGTTGTTGACTAGACGCAAGAGCCCTTCATTTTGCTGTGATTGAAAAGGGGTTCCAAATAGACATTGGCACAAAACATAGTTAGTCGACAGGGTTGGAGACCTCCGTAAATTGGGCTGAGCCATTAACAGGCCCACACTGCGTGGGTGTGACAACGCAATTCTTCGCAGGAAATGGCTAATTGCCATGTGCCTTGCGGTACTGTTGGATCACGTGGGATTCTGCCGTAGGGGTCGGTTAGCACCCATAGTGACATCGCAGGGACGAGAAGTACATGGTTACATTTGGACCTTTGAATTGACATTTTTGTTACCTAACTGCGAGACTGTATGTATGCGCGACCCCGACGGTTACCGTAGGGGTCGGTTAGCACCCATAGTGACATCGCAGGGACGAGAAGTACATGGTTACATTTGGACCTTTGAATTGACATTTTTGTTACCTAACTGCGAGACTGTATGTATGCATGCATGTGTTAGCGAGGCACAGACCGCGCTGCACATAAAAAGGCACTATTTTGCTCTCGAACCCATGGACTGAACAAACCCATTTAACCGGGTGCTTACGCCACGACTATAGCTGTATGATTGACACAAAACCGACTGATATCGTCTCGAAAATGGTGAAGATCAGCATAAATCCCATCTTGAAACGGACATTCCCTCTATCAGTGCTGCTGGCGCCGCTCCTCGCAGCCTGTCTTGGGGCTTCAAACCTAGCTCAGATCGCTGTTGCCGCTGCAACATCGGCGGAGTCAAGTGCTGCGTCTGATTCCTTAGATTCATGGCTGGCCAGAGAGACTCCATATGCCCTTGATGGAATTTTAAATAACATCGGCCCAGACGGCGCGAAGGCTGTGGGTGCAGTCTCTGGCGTGGTGGTTGCGAGTCCGAGCAAGAGTAATCCGGATTGTGAGTATTCTCGTATTTCCAGCCCCCAACGTCAAGTGCATCTATAGCAAAGAAAGAAAAAGCTCATGCTAATGGATGTATCTGTATATATTTCTACACTTGGACTCGTGACGCTGCTCTGACTGTTAAATGTCTGACCGACCTCTTCCTGGTCAATGGTGACGTGAATCTGCAGTCGCAGATCCAGAACTACATCAGCCGCCAGGCATATTTGCAGACCGTATCCAATCCATCTGGTGACCTGTCGACTGGGGGACTTGGTGAGCCCAAATTCGAGGTTGATGGCGCTGCATTTACCGGTTCCTGGGGCCGTCCTCAACGAGATGGGCCTGCGTTGAGGGCTACGGCTCTGATTGCTTATGCCAATTGGCTCATTGTAGGTGTTTGCATGTTGGATTTTCTTTTCTTTCTAATATAATCTTCTCTTGTTGTTACTTGCTAACTTCCATCTACAGAGCAATGGACAGACCTCGACGGCGGAGTCCATTGTTTGGCCGGTTGTCCAGAATGACCTTTCATATGTGATGCAGTATTGGAATTCATCTACCTTTGGTTTGTCGAGGCCTCTAAAATGGGACAAGCATTCTCAGCTAACGTATGGAAACTTCATGCAGACCTCTGGGAGGAAGTCTACGGCTCATCGTTTTTTACCACGGCCGTGCAGCATCGTGCCCTAGTCGAAGGTGCGGCTTTCGCCAAAAAGCTTGGCCACTCTTGTCCCGACTGTCTCTCCCAGGCATCGCAGATCCTCTGCTTTTTGCAGTCGTACTGGACCGGTGCTTACGTGCTCTCTAACTTTGGTGGTGGCCGCTCAGGGAAGGACGCCAACTCGATCCTCGGAGTTCTGCATACTTTCGACCCCGATGCAGACTGCGATGATACCACTTTCCAGCCTTGTTCTGCCCGGGCGCTTGCGAACCATAAAGTAGTTACGGACTCTTTCCGGTCCATCTACTCTCTCAACTCGGGTATTGCCCAGGGTCAAGCCGTGGCTGTGGGACGGTATCCCGAGGACGTCTACCAGGGAGGCAATCCATGGTATCTCTGTACTTTGGCTGCGGCGGAGCAGCTCTACGACGCGCTGTATCAATGGGATCGAATCGGGTCCTTGTCTATAACGGACGTCAGTCTGGGATTCTTCCAGGACCTGTACCCGTCCGCTGCAGTAGGTGACTATGCGTCTTCCACGGAGACATACAGAGATCTCATGGCAGCTGTGAAGGCCTATGCGAATGGATATATGGATATTGCTGTAAGGAGAGCTCCTTTCCATCTTTTCCTTGTCCCATGCTGAAATAGTGCTACAGAGAAAGTACACACCTGCCAACGGCGCTCTAGCAGAGCAGTTTTCTAGAGACGATGGTTCCCCAGTCTCAGCGGTCGATCTGACCTGGTCGTATGCCTCTCTTCTCACGGCAGCAGCCAGACGAGGCTCCCAGATGCCGCCATCGTGGAACGAATCTTCTTCCAACAAGCCTCCATCGACTTGCTCAGCATCCTCTGCGACGGGGGCCTATGCCTCGGCTACCAACACCGTCTGGCCCACAGCGTCGTGTGCGGCGACGCCGACAGCCGTGCCTGTGCGTTTCAACGAACTGGTCACGACTTCAGTCGGGGATAAGGTAGCCCTCGTGGGGTCCACCCCTGCTCTGGGGTCATGGAATGTCTCTGCGGCCGTCGCACTGAGTGCAGACGAATACAGCAGCGTCACGCCCCTATGGCACGGGACGGTGAGTCTCCCGACCAAAACGAGCTTCGAGTATAAGTATGTGGTGCAGAAGGAGTCTGGGGAAGTGGACTGGGAGGGCGGAGAGAATCGGTCGTACACAGTGCCAGAGGGATGCGAGGGCTCTTCAGTGACCGTCAACGACAGCTGGAAGTAGATAGTAGACGGTAGGCATAGGCGTACGTGCAGATTCCTGCCATGCCACTTGGAAGCCAGGGAGAAGGCCAAGAGCACCTCATCCTATGCAACCATCACTCGCATCGCGCAGGACGCATTAGCACGGTTTGAACAGACGAGCAATTAGCAGTGTATCACATAGAGTATCTTTGAATAACATGCATATACGCGGACGATACGTGCAGTGCCAGCTGGAAGCCTCTCCGGTCCTTCATTTCCAATGGCTGCTTGCGACCTCAGCATCCACACCCACAACCACGAGGCCAGCTCGTGCGTGGGGGGGTGTTGGATCACGTGGGATTCTGCCGCATAGGTCCGCCCTCGCTGACCCTTTTCACCACGTAGGCCTATCTAGCTAGTAACCAACCAACAATACACCTCCATTAGGTTATGAGCCCGTTTCTTGCTCGGAAATATGAGCTATTTTAGGCCCGTATAAGTGGTCAATTTAAGCCCTCTGATTGGCTGAACCAAAATTCCATACCCCAGATTCCAAAAAAAAATTCCAGGATCCCAGATACGGTCCGAACCTGAGCATGTCAGGAGAACCTACTACGCCTCCCGCTACTGCTATACGACGATCACGTCGCCGAAATCTCCAAAACAAGTCCTCGAATATAGACGAGACCTCTTCATCAGTTGTCTCTGAAGAGATAGAGACCCCAACGCCTTCCAGAGCCAATCTGAGCTCTACCAATACCGCCAACATGGCTTCCACAAACGAACTTACCCCTGATCTTGCTGATATGATGCGACAAATGCTTGCTCGCCAGGATCAGATGGAACAAGATATGCGAGACCGTGAAGCTAGAATGGAGCTAAAACTGGCATCTATCATCCAGTCTAATACTCCACAAGCTTCCTTGCCTTCAAATACAACCCAAGATACTACACCAATGGATATCCAACCGCCTCTGCGAGATACCTCAGACACAAATATCAGCAATGCTATTGCCCTTGTCCAAGCCGATGTCGATACGCTACTGCCTGACCGATGCCGTGTCATCTTGACACTGGATAATTACGATGCATGGAGCTCTGCCATACAAAAAGAAGCTGGTATTCTCAATGCTATTACAACTCTTCACCAGGACTCTCCTCCTGCTGGATCATCTCCACTTGATGCTGCAGTTTGGCACAGAAAAGCCATTGTCATGAGAGCCCGTATGCTCAATGCCATGACAACCCCTGCTTCTGATAAACTAGGCACCGTATATGACCTCTCTACCCATGGTCTTTGGGACCGAGCTGCCACACTTTTTGGCAAATCCACCGGTGAAGAGCGAATGGCTCTTACCATGGAGCTCAAAGAGCTCTATATAAAGGATAATGATTATCTCACCTACCAGTCATCCTTCAATCGAATCTTTGACCGCCTACACGCTATTGGAGAAGAATCTTTTGAAAATCTCAAACATGACCTCTTCTTTATAGGTCTCCGGGACTGGAACCGCGCCTTTATCAAGAGTAAGCTAGATGATGTCTACTCTACTGGCCGTGCTCCGGTTACCAACCTGGATCTTAATGTTATCCAGACCCAATTATCTACTCGAACCGGCACTAAATTCCGTGATACTCATTCTCAAGACCGGTCAAACCAACAGAAAGAGAACTCCCAGAACCGCAGTTATTCAAAACAAGCATCTGGAACCAAATACACAATTCCTCAACGTTCCAACAACCAAGATAGATCTCGTCATACACTTATAGACTGTGATCACTGTGGAAATCGCCATGGACTTATATGCTATTTTAAACATCCTGAGAAAGCACCAGAGTATAGACGCAAGTTCTATACTACTATGGCTAATGCTCTCCGTGTTCAGCAACAATCTGAAGCAAACCCACAATCAAACCAGGATCACCCTGCTTCACAGGAACTTGTCTTGCATAAGAAACTCTCCAATGCCAAATCTGCCATTGTAAAGTCTGCAAAGACTCTCTCATTTTCCAATCAATGGTTTGTTGACAGCTGTGCCTCTTTCCATTCTACACCTGACCGTTCACTTTTTGCAACCTATAAGGCCTTGCAGAAGCATGATCTGGTGGAGACAGATTATATGGAAGGTGCTCAAGGCCATATCTCTATGCCTCAAGGCATTGGCACCGTGATTATAGATATTGGTTACGGATCTCTGATCCTAAGAGATGTCCGCCATGTTCCTTCCTTTACTTCCAACCTCATTTCAGAAGGCATGCTTGTACGACAAGGCTTTAGGCTTCAATATACACTAGATTGTGAAGTCAAGCTGATTACCACACCATCTGGAGCTGAATTCCAAGCCCGATTGTTCAAAAACAATGTTTACCTCCTTGAAGACTGTCTATCTCCTGGAGAAGAAGAAAATTCCTATGCCTTTGTCACCACCCGGTCTGGCAAAGAAGTTAACCGCCCAGAAGAGCCACCTGCAAAGGCTCCCACAATTAAGACACCAGCTGAGGCTCCTACTCCAAAAGAGACCCCGGTTCTAGGGAAGCCGCGAACTACTAAGATATCCCTACCTATCATGGCCTGGCACCGACGCCTATGCCATCTCAATCAAGCCGATCTCCTCCGCCTCGCCCGAGATCCTGAGTCTTGCATCGAAATCAAAGGCTCTAAAGAACTCCCATTTTGTGAAGTCTGTATACAGGCTAGACAGACACGCTATTATAGCAAGGTCCCTAGGTCCAGAGTTACCAAACCCCTTGCCCGAGTCCATCTAGATATCGCCGGCGGTGGACAAACTCTTGATTTTGACAACCCTAACGATGTTGTCCCTGGCCGAATTGGGGCAAAATATGTCCTACTTATTACCGACGATGCCACACATTATCGATGGATTCTCTTCCTTGAGACAAAAAGTGCAGCCATTACCGCTTTCAAGAACTGGCTTCAAAATATGAAGAACCATGGCTTCACTGCCCCTGCCTACCTAGTCTCTGATAATGAATTCCGCTCCACTGAATGGATGGAAACCTACCGTCAGGAAGGCATAGAATGGCAACCAAGCTCACCATATTCACCATGGCAAAATGCCGTTAGTGAACGTGGCATCCGCATCCTTTTGAACGGGCCCGAGCTATGATGCTTGATGCCCCATATATACCAGAACGCTTTTGGGTAGATGCTCTCCAATATGCCACAGATCTTACAAATCGACTCCCTACATCTACCATCTTATACAATTCCCAAATTCCTGGGGGGTGAATATCAACAAGGACATACACCCCAGCCCTTATCGCGCTCCGTTGGCAGCGTGGACTAATTCATCCATTTCTTCACTCCCCGGATATCGCCGTTGGGGGTGTCCAGCCTGGGTCCATCGGCATGGACCAGATAAACCTGGAAATAAGCTTGATTCGCGTTCTCACTGCTGTTTCCTCATTGGCCAAATTAGTAACCATCAATATCGTGTTTGGGACCCTAAAACTGACACCGTCTTTGTCACCAATGATGTTATATTTGATGAGGATTACAAAGATCCTACAACTACCTCTCCCAAAGGTCCCAGCACCCCTACCGAAGAAAATCCAACTCAATTAGTTGAAGATGAACCTCTCAATGACCAAGATATATGGCTCCGACCTGCCAAAGGCATGTCCCTAGCTTACTTTGCCACTTCAACCATTCCTTCATCAGAAGACAACACGCCTACTTCTTATAAGCAGGCCATATCCCATCCTGATGCTGCTAAATGGCAAGCTGCCATGCAAAAGGAAGTCAACCAACTTAAAGAGAAAGGCTGCTGGCAACTCATTCGCCGTTCTGACCTACCACCAGGGACCAAAGTCATCCCTGGCCGGTGGGTATACAAAAAGAAAGAAATCCCCGGCATACCTATCTCAGAGGATTATCAGGCTAAAGCCCGCTGGGTCATCCGTGGCAACCTACTTGATAAGGACTTCATGGAATCCTACGCACCAGTGGTAAATGAAAATACTACCAGAACCCTCACGGCACTGGCCACCCTGCTTGGCTGGCATACCCGAAAAGCTGATGCCACCCTGGCTTTCCTAAATGGGAAAATGCCCACGGACAAACGTGTCTTTATGACCCAAGTTCAGGGATTCAAAGAAGGTTCTGGAGATCTTGTCTGTGAACTCCTTCAATCCCTCTATGGATTAGTCCCATCTGCCCGCATCTGGTATGATACTCTGGGTGCTTTTCTACGCCAAATCAGCTTCAAATGCTCTGAATATGACTCTGGTCTATGGATCCACACTACCCGGACCCAACTCTATGTGACCACCCATGTGGATGACTTCAAAGTCTATGCTAAACATGAAAATGATGCCATCTGGTTTATGGAGACTCTCTCCGCCAAATTTGACATAAAAGAAGTTGGAAACTCTACCAAATACCTTGGCATGACCATCTCCCAGTCTGAGACTTCATCTTCTTTATCTCAAGCCGACTACGCTGAAGATGTTGTTGCCTCTTTTGGTCAAGCCCAAGCACATCCTGTTAGGATTCCAATGGATCCTAGCCTAATAATTGATGATGAACCAGACCCTACAGTCAACACCAAAGAATATCAACGTGGTGTAGGCTGCCTTACCTGGCTAGCCACCAAAACCCGGCCAGATCTTAGCCAGACGGTTGGCATACTATCCCAATATAACGCCAAACCCACCCAAAAAGCATGGCGTGCCCTTATACACGCCATACGCTATCTTAAAGGCTCCATCAATCGGCAAATTACCTATCATAAACCCACGGAGTCCATTACATCTGACCTCCTCATGCCAAAATGTTATACCGACTCTGATTGGGGTGGTCAACTGACAGGCAACCGCCGGTCAGTTTCTGGATACATCTTTCTGCTTGCCGGAGCCCCAATTGCCTGGAAAAGCCGCAAGCAAACATCCGTTGCCCTTAGCTCCAACGAAGCTGAGTATATGGCTCTAAGCGAAGCCAGCCGTGATGCCCTCTGGCTCCGGAATCTCATCAACGAGCTTAATGTGCTCCCAACTGAATGCCCACCAATATCTCTTCATATCGATAATCAAGGTGCTCACGCCATGGCTGAAGCCGAGCTCACCACCAAGAGATCCAAACACATTGACATACGCTACCATTACGTTCGGGAGAAGGTCCGAGACGGCATTGTTAAACTTCAGACCTGCCCTACCAAAGAACAGGCAGCAGATGGCCTGACAAAACCTCTCCAAACTGAACGATTCAATCATTTCCTGGAACTCACCGGCATACATTAAGCGGCGCTTGCTCCCCCATTTTGGTTATACTTTCTATTCTGATTTACGGCTTCTGATTGGCCAAAGCAGAACCTCTCATTTCTCTGCTTAATTTTGCTTTTATTCTCTCATTTGAAGGCCTGCATAGAGGCCGATTTTTGTATTTAAATTCTTTAGATTAGTCTTTAGGCCAGCTCGTGCGTGGGGGGGTGTTGGATCACGTGGGATTCTGCCGCATAGGTCCGCCCTCGCTGACCCTTTTCACCACGTAGGCCTATCTAGCTAGTGACCAACCAACGATACACCTCCATTAGGTACACTACGGCACACTACGGCGATGTCTATAGCGCAGACACGCTAGCGCAGCCGTGGCAGCAGATTAGGGACGTCACTGGTCAGACACTAGTTGTCCGTGCATACCGGCGAGGCCAAGGCGTCTAAAGACACCGGGCGAAGCGCAACTAGATCCCTGGCGCGGGTGGGAAATAGAGTCAAGCATCTGATGCCGGCAGCTGATAACGAGGTTACACTGGCTTGATTCTTGCTGGAATCGCAACCAACGCGTTAATTAACCCAAACCTCTGCGAACTCGAGGGTCGAAGCAGCAGCTCGAAGGGTCGAGATTCCGGTTGAACGCTGGAACTACCCCTGCCTCAGGCCCAGCAGCAACGACAGAGCACAGCGTTATCTCGAGACATGTGGTGCCCCGTATAGCACAGCGCCACCGGTTGCATTTCGGCCATTTCGTCCGTGGCGGCGCTTGACAAGGTGCTCTCCACGTTACATCCACCCGGATGGATTGCCAATCAGCAGTGTAGCTCGGACGTATCTGAGTTTCCCTGGCTATCTGGTTCTGTTCCTGCGGTATCGATTGGCAGTGCGGCTTCAAATGGGCCGATTATGCGCATCGGCAAAGCAGCTGTCAAGCTCGAATCGTCTCGCCCTCGTTCGTTGGGCTGTGATCACACGCTTTGCAGCAGCCAGTGCCCGGTCGTTTGTTATCTTGTTGACTCTTGAGGTTGTTTTGCGGTGTCTGTTGCTCTGCATGGATGTGTGTGTGCGTGTGTGCGTGCATGCAATAAGAGAAGAATGCCATTATATTCATTATCATTATTATAATGGCAGTTGATAATATATTGTCTTTTTCTGCTTTTATATCGTTTTTGCAGATTATCCGCGCTGAGCGCGAACCCAAGCCAAAGCCCGTATTTGCATGGAAATGATAATGTGCCTCTAATAATCCCAGAGCAGCTTATCTCGACCGACGATTCCAATTCTAACTCTGATTCTATTCCTACAATCGATTAATTAACTGATCGCTATCTCCCTTTCTCTCCATCCCTCTTCTCCCTTCCTCCCCTTCCGTTCTGATCATCCTAGATCCGCTGCGATCGACAGCTGTCTCTACTTAGACTCCTAATTACTCCATCTCCATACTCACCATACTCGACCCTCCTCCAGCGTCCTCCAGATCCATTCGCGCACGTGCCCTCCTTCCTCAAGCATGAACTTCCGACATTGAAGGAGCCTCGCTGTCGCACGGTCTGCCATCTTGACCAGATACTCTACCGTCCCTCGTCTTCTACGACCGCTCCCCTGTCCTTTCTGTCGCCTGCACCCTGACCCTCCTTCGGAGGTGGCTCAGCGGCTGTGAACCATGGTGCTTTTGCAGTCGATGTTGGTTCTGCGTAGCATCTACTCCGATGTCCCGCCAAATTACCAGTCCAGAGAGGATGTCAATCCCACCCTGCTCATCTGCTGGTGGGCGACCATCTTCTCTCTCGTCATCATTCTTGTCCGCGTCTGCGGTCGCTATGTTCGCGTCGAGCGCTTCTTCCGTGAAGACAAGTTGATGATGGCCAGCGCCATTCCTCTGCTCATCCGCATGGGTTTTGTTCATGTCGTTTTGCTCTGGGGCACTAACAATACGGAAACTGCCGGATTATCACCTGACGAGATTCGACATCGTGAGATTGGCAGTCGGCTCGTCCTGGCTGCTCGTATATTCTATGCAGTCTTGTAAGAAAATTTTTATTTCTTTTTATTTTATTTTTTTTTTTTCTGAACACGAATTTTGAAGACATCTACTGATATACAATTCCCTTGTTCAAGTATCTGGACTGTCAAACTCACCGTATGTGAATTTCTCAAACGTGTCTCCGGAATGATCTGGAGACGATCCGTCATCATCTTTCTCCGACTCATCTACATCTTCCTGGCTTCGACTCTAGTGGCAATCGTCATTGCAACCCTGGCCGAATGCCATCCATTCACGCACTACTGGCAAGTCGTTCCTGACCCGGGCCCTCAATGTCGCTCGGGATATGCGAACCTGATTGCCATGGGGGCTTGCGATGCCGTGTCCGATCTCCTCCTGGTCGCCTTTCCGGTCCCCATTATCCTGACGGCAAGGATGTCTTGGAAACGCAAGCTCCTACTCGCAATTCTCTTCTCCTTCTCCCTTGTTCTCGTCGCCATTACTTGCTATCGGGTTCCCATGATTATCTTCCGTAACGGTTCCCAGCAGTTCCGTTCGCTGTGGGCATCTATGGAAATTCTGGCTGCCACTGCCGTCTCTAACGCCGTTGTCATTGGCTCGTTTGTCAAAGACCGGGGTGTAAAGAAACCCAAGTACAAAAGAGCCATGGGCACCGCCTCGGTCAGCGAAAGCCTGGACCACAGCTCCCTTGCACGCGCAACTCTGACCTATCATCAATGGGGAAGTGACTCGGACCTGGCTGCCGACCTGGGAATCCGCCTTCATCCTAACCTGCATTTCACCGACCCTGTTACACCGCGTCCCGCTCCAATCGCATATCCCATCCGTCCCTTTTCAGCGCGCTCTGGAGCGTTGAAACCAAACTGGAACTTCACGCAGCCGCCCTCGGACGACACCGGAACGTCTGCATCGGTGAGCTCTGACATGAGGATCGACCCTCATGAATATATCGAAACCAACGAAACGTCGCGCCAAGGTTCGCAGGATCGAGCCGCGCGCTGCGACCGCAAGGTTTCCATTCTCGACGTAAAAGAAACTTTAGACCCGAGTTCAAGCTCCAGCACCGACTCTCCTCTCAGCCCCACACAGTCCGACCCGGAACCGACTAGTCGTGGCACCCGGCGTTCCTGGAGAGGAAGCAGAGCTTTCCTGCAGGATATCGGTGGTCTTCTTGGTTCCGGGGAATATCGTCTTCGGACTCTGAGATCGCCGCAACCCGCAAGCTCTTCTCTTCTCGAAACTCACAACGACGAGAGAAGGTCGGGGTCCCACTCTACGCAGAATAGCGATTTTCCAACCCAGGATATACTTCCTGACACTATTGGACCGGTCACCCATGGGGTTTTTGAAAAGTCTCATGGAGTTGGCGAGCCTTGATGGGTGTATAATTACCACTGCTATTCCGCTACAACTTACGACTTACGTGTGCTGGGTGTTCTCTTGGGTCTATTCTCTGGTTTGTATTTTTCCTTTTTTCTGGATCATCCCTTTTTAATTTTCTTTTCTTTTTTTTTTTTTTTTCTTGGACTGGTATTTCAGCGACGGCGTTGGTGTGTCAATATAGCATTACCGAGGAAAGGTATTGCTTGCTGCCTTTATGATAAGGAACTATTCTCTGGAGATGTCTGTCATGATTAGAGTGTGACGATGTTCTTTTAATACCTCCCCTTTTTCCCTTTCCTCTGCCCTGGAATGGACATTGTCCATGTTCTCTTGGACTATACTATGATTTTTCCCCCTATGATTGGATTGGATGATACCATCGACATTTAATTGAGCTGGTCTAATTTTGTGCGTGGTTGGATCCAGGCCTGGCTGATATCTTTTCTATTTTTCTTCCTCGAGGTCAGATGGCACACTGATATTTTATATCTCGCTGCATTTTTCATTGTATCTATATCCATCAATGACTATGTCTATATCCAACAGCCTTTATTTTCTGTCTATTAGCTGAACAGTGCACTGACATGTAATCATTAATCATTCCTGCATGGCCGGCATGGGCTTATTTCGGCTCGTGCGCTGCATACAACATCGACACCGAGTCAATATGCACCACAGTCAGATGACAAATACAATAGACAAATACAATCAATCCATCGATGCCTTTCTCCGTTTCAGCGCTCAGGCCTTGCCACTTTTTGGCCTGCTGAGCACTGGAGTGAATAGTAATATGTAGCCTGAAAAAAGTACACCAGCCCTAGGGGTTTTGATTTTGATTATATTCAACTATGTTCATTAATTTAGTTCCCCTTCAATAAAAGACTTGGCTCATGACTCCAGATACAGCAACTTTGAAAGTGCCCGTCTGGCCTGCTGTCTAGTAAGTCGTGCAGGCCGTTTAACCAGGCAAATAAGCCTCGGCTGAGTGGTCCGCTAATACTCTCATCAGAATTGTCCCTTTCGCTGGATACTAGCAATTTCCGCTTCTCGATGTTGTTTAACATCAAGAGCAGTAGCTTGACGGCGAGGGACGCAGACAGGAACGCCGGGTACGCCCAACTTTCAGGTACCAACCAGGAGGTACGCACACGTGCAAGGTCTAGAAGCAGCGTAACAATCAAATAGGCAGAAACGAGGAAAGATGGCCGTAGGGACTGGAGATGCTCCAAGTCAACAAGTACTATAATGACGAGCGCCACTACGAGATCGAGAAAGACACCCGCAAGCAAGGCACGCCATCCAACGGTGTGCTGCGCCGCAACAAGCGCAAGGATCGTGATTTGGAGGGCTGCAAAAGTTACAGAGACAGCCTGTGCGAAGAATTTGTTCAAGGTCCACGTACTTCTTTCTGGTCAGATGGATTCCGGGGGAGAGGAAAAGAAACACTCACTAGTGTCGCCGCACGGATCGCGGACGAGAGAACTTTGGGTCACTGTCTGGATAACCGGAACAGACGGACAAATACCAGCAAAAGGAAACAAGCAGCTGGTATGATGTTCAAGATCTTGATTCGAAAACTATGGTGAAGTCGAAGCCTCCGCGACAGACTGCTGTGGCTACGATGGGGCCGAACCACCCATCCCCACACCTGCTGGTCGCCGGAATCGATGCCATGGTCGCACCAGCACGGGTTCTATATGCAGAGAAGACAAGTTCAAGAGCTGAACCGGGAAGGTCAATTCAAGAGGAACGAGGATAGGAGGTGAGAGAAAGAGAGTGGGCTAGAAGCGTGAGGTTGTTGTTGTGGCCTGGACGGGTTTCATTGTTGGCCCTGGTTTCGCGCTGGCCTATGATGAGGTGAGCTCTTACCATGCCGTTGTAACCGCTGGTTCTATCATAATCCAGAATATAGAAGAAACTACATCCTCCCAAAGCTAGAGTGCTAATACTGGACCAGGAAATAGCTGATGGCGTGGATCTTCGCGGTGGTGAGGCGGACACAATACGAGGCACGACCTACGAGAAACCCGGAGGGTGGTCGACGATGGTTTTCATCGGTTGCACTGCCTTGTAAGCTTATTTCAAGGCATTTGAAATGTCGAGACCAATTGTTATACTGATTAATTTGCGATAGAATATGCTCTGTAAAGGCTTGCGACCGGATGACTATACAAGCATGACCCAGAGCCAGCCTACACACTACACATCAGTGAGACAAACCCCCGACGCATATGCCTCATAAGCTCGCAGACATACTGAGATCATTGCCTTGATTATCTCCGACAAGCCGTCATGTGCAACTCGGACGTGACGCCGTACCCCGTTTCACGGAACGAGAAAGAAAGTCGACCGGTGCCCGACTTCGAGACTGAGCACACATGCCGGAACTTTTGGAAAGTGAGAGACTGGGCTCTAGAGCGCAATGGTCTACAGCACGAATGCAAGGATCACTGGCCTGTTTAGATCTGATTGTCGTGGAACCTGGCTTGGTGGGGCAAGCTCGGGACTTTCCGATTGCTTAGCATTGCTTATTATGTCTGAAGACTTTGGTTGAGCACTGGTGACACGTCAAATATGCGTTGCGTATGCACCGCATCGCTTTAATACCTTAATCACAATAAAAGAGATAATTTGAACGGCTCAACAAGCCAATGGAACAGGTACAAAAGCTCAGCATTGCTTATCTCTGCAGCTTCCTGCCGAGCACCAGTGATGAAAGATGTGATTGATTCTTGAATGTGCATACGCGTCATCATCATCATCATCATCATCGTTCAGCGCGGAGTATCTGAAGGGTTTTGGGGTGAGTGGATTATCCACTTGACCCGCCAGAAGCACGATGGACTTCGATCTCTTCCGCCGGGGTATATGTATGAAGAGCGACCAAAGTAGGGGGCCCATGCCCTCCAGCCTTCCCGGCAAGAGATCCGGTTATTCATTCTCTTACCCAGCAGTGCTAGCTATTAGATAGACAGCCTTGGTAAACCAGAATAAAGAGAGAAAAGCCCTGTACCCGGAGTACTATCAGCTTGCGCAGTTGGCTGGAACTGAAAAGCCTCATGTTGGTTAGTAGAACAGGACAAGCTTTGCTGTCCAAACTGCATCTGCGTATGCTAACCATTCTTCATGATAGAACAGTCTTGATTATATACGACAAGCTGTCATGTGCAATGCAGATATATCGCCCGTCACTCTCACCTGATATGAAAGTGCGCAGACATTTGGCCCGGACTTTCGCACCGTCCGCCTCGGGAGCATGAACAAAAAGGAGCGCGACAAAGCAAGACACGAGTTCTGCTGCCAGTCCAATATAAGGAAGCCCAAGCCATGCTCCCTTGAGCTTCATACCAGTCGCAAATAGCCACGCAATTGAAGGACCTGCAAATATTGACCCCGTTATGCCCACTATGCCAATCAGCGTATTGAGATTCGCGATATTCGACGAAGGAAAATAACTAGTGACGAGTGATCGAGACAATGGTACCAGGCCAGCTCCCAGGATATTTAGCCCTAGACCAACACTTACGAATCTCATTTGTGATGCAGGCATGAGAAGCACTCCAGCGGTAGCGAACAAGGTTGACCAGCGGGCGAGCCTGAGGTCTTTGATAGCCGGGTGTTCCCGTCGTAGCAACAACTAGAAACTAGCAGAAGTACTACTAAAAGGATGACCATGTGAATGATTGAATAACCAGTGAGTCGATACCCTGCCTTGGTGAGAGACCAGCCAAAGCGCTTGCTCACGTACTGTGCGAAGAATTGTGAGGTGATCATGGTTTCAGGCATGCAAACAAGGAAAGTTAGCAAGGTCAGGACAATTGAGTCTTTTAGGAGGTGGAAAGACTGCAACAGATGCAAGTTGAAGGTGGAATGTTGTGCATTTTCATGGTTAGAGCTTCGCCTTGGGGGTGAGAGTGCTTCCGGAATAAAGACCAGGAAAATCAGCCCAATGAGTACCCCAATAGAGCCAAGAAGCACTGGGGCCCAAGGTGAAAAAGATTCCATAAGCCTAGAGGCCATGGCTGGGCCAGCTGAAGCGCCAAGAAAGGCTGCAAATTCCATGAAAAGAAAGCTGACGTTCTGCATACACACGTCAGCAGGTCTGCTCATCAAGGATATTGTATCCATTTAAAGAAAGATACTCCTGATCCAAAACATACCTTTCTGCCGGGGCCACCACATCCGATAGAATAGAATATAAATTGGCCACTAAGACGGTACTTCCACCACCCAAGACAGTAAAGAGTGGACCAGCTAGGATGAATTCCACTGGGACAGCCCGGGGAAAATGAATTACTGCTAGAATAAAGGCCAAAGAAAGCGATGAGCCGATTGTTGAGAGGAACATGACGGGTTTGCGACCGATACTGTAAGGAATACGCCTTAGTCCCGGGAGTGTTGATTAACAGTTGTATAGGACTCACACGTCGGCCAGTATACCAAAAGGGAATACCGATGTAATACCTGGAATTCCCGGTCAACGTATGGTTATATAGTGAAAGGAATACAGACACTCACCAACCATTGCTTCTACTAGGGCGAGTAAGTCGTTAAGATATGCCAGCTGAGACCGGATTTTGTCGGTTTGCAGAGCCGCTCATCAATTGGGAATCTTTGTCCAAAGACCTCATTATATTCCCGGCGACACAGGATGTCTTCGATGAGTTGTATCAGGGGAACATTCAGACAGGAGGAAATCGTTGATGGAAAGCACAATAAGAGCACGAGGTTTTCGTGGTTGGTGGAATACTCGGGAGGATCTTGCGCTCAGCAATAAAGATGTCTCATATTGTGGTTTCCCATCCATTTTGATTGTAAGACATCTAAGAAAAAAATAAAAAATAAAAAATAAAAAAAAAATAAAAATAATAAATTTGCATGGAGCTCTGAAACCGACTGAAACGCGAGAAAGAGTAAGACACAATACCAACATAGTGATGGCTGCTGAAGGGATTGAACTTCATGCCCAGGTGGGTTACTTATTTGGAAAACAGCAGAAGCAAGTCTAAACATTTAAAAGTAATATGAACGCAATCGGGGTTTCGGCCTTGCTAGAATGAACCATTTTAGCAGGGATTGCCCCTGCCTGATAGTAACTAGGCAACAGTCCATAGTTACATGCACAGTATGCACGTTGAGGAGATTGAATTCCTGGAGGATAACTATCCTTTTATCTTACAAGTCCAGGATAAGCATCTTGATGGTTGCCACTGAGGTAGAAATAGATATCTAAGCCTAGAGGAAATTAAATTACTCAACACCCCCAGGTATGCGAACGATTCACCTGCTAATAACAATAAAAAATGCTGTGATTTCGAAATCTTGAACTTGGACCACTGGGTTACTCGTGCTTGCTTCGAAAGATTTCAACGATGCATCACGGCCGGCGAAGAGACGCCAGAGGCCCATCCAGAAAAATGGGCAATATTTCGTGACTGCTCCCATATAGGCATGTCCCATAGCTATTATTCATGTCTTCTTCCGCTGCAGACGGACGGTTTTGGGGGTATAAATAGTTGTTTTGTCCCTTGCTGCGGTCTATAAGGAAAACCGACAAGTGGTGCTAATCCGCTCCCTTTCCTAAGCCTGGAGGAAAAATTCCTCGCGGTCTCAGTCTCAGCCTGCAAATATCTTTAGCTTGCAGTCCCAGCCTCCAGTGGCGATAACACAGCGAATCCCAACTTCACTATTTTCACCGGCCGAGTTCTTCGATTCATTCCCCTCAGACGCTGTGCCTTCTGGGCCGCGCGCATTCTTAACAATTCCCGGAGCCCATCGCAGACAGGTGACAAAGCTGTCGTGAGCCTCCCGGATCGTCTTCACGCACTTTCCCTGCTGGCTCAAGTCCCAGCACTTCAACGTCTTGTCGTCTGACACCGATAGAAGATATTGTCCCCCGGGATGGAACATGATCGCCTGTACCCAGTTATCGTGGCCCACTAGTGTCATGAGACAGGCCCCACGGGTATCCCATATCTTAATAGTCTTGTCTCGAGACCCAGTCGCCATGAAGTCCGTACTGTTTGCGGACCGCTGTTTCCCTAGGCCAGCCAAGGGTGCAAGAAACCGGTATGACGCAGGCGGAGCAAGCGCACAGCATTCATTGAAGTTCTCATGACCAATCATCGTACATTTATGTTCTGGATTCGACACAGCAGAGATATCCCATAACCGAGCAGTCATGTCATCTCCAGTAGAGAAAAGAAATTTCCCATCAAATGAAACACAAATATCTCGCACCCAGCCACTATGACCGCTTACTGTCTTCACACAGTATCCAGTTGTGACGTCCCAAATCCTCAGGTCCGTGTCTCTGCTTGCGCTGACAAGGTAGTTCCCAGACGGCAGGAAACGAACAGCGCTAACAATGTGATCGTGGCCTAATAAAGTCCGAATATTCTTGTAGCCGTCTGCTGGGTTCCACAACTTGATGGAGAGATCGGAGCTGCAAGATGCCAGAAGAACATCGCCCCGCGGGCCGCCATAGTCAACGTCTCGCACTGCTCTCGTGTGGCCTTTCAGAGTCATTTCCAGTTCCCCAAGTTCCCAGTCCCATATTTTGATCGTGCAATCATCGGAACCAGAGGCAATAGAGGAGAATTTTGGGTGGAATGCAATGCAATTTATCTTATCTCGGTGCGATTCCAGTGAATAACGCGGGGTACTGGGCAGCCAAGAAGTGGGATCGTGCTTGCGTTTCAAAATTGAAGATGGAGTCGCGTTATCGAGTTCGGACTGGAGCATTGCATTTCTGGACTCGAGGTCCATAATCTATAACAGATCGCTGATTAGATGCCACTGTGATGTCACTGTGTAAATGTGGCGAGCAAAACAGAGGATCCGAAGTGCAGACATGCCTTTCTCTGTAAGCGGGCAATGCTTGTCCATTTTTTCTCCAACAAGCCTTCATACCTTTTGGCTGTAGTTGCATCATAGAGATCTTCCCCAAGATTCAACTCTTCCCTGAGCGCAGCGGCGGTATTCGGTAGGTCATTCGCCGCTAGGTATGCTATGATTGACTTGTGCCTTTTTGAAAAGAGAAAAAAAAAAAATTTAGCTCGGCCATGGTTCAGCTAGCATAGGCTATACCCACAGCTCCTCGGCTTGTCTATCCGTCAGTAAACGAGACATGATGAAGTGTGAGCGCGTTATCCCTTAAAGGGTGGAATGCAGTGGTCTCGCAATGACTGCGGCGACCTGCAGAAACGAAAGGACTCGCCAATGAGCGTATGATATCCTGAGGAGTTCCAACAGATAGTGATGAGATTGAGAGGATGATGAAAAAGGAAGAGCAATAATTAATTGGCATTCAACGGCTGACAACGGCCGTCGAGGGCGACGCGCCGTGTCCTGGTGTCCCAAAGCAGATCCGGTCGGGTCGGATTTACCTCATTCCCGACGAGGGTCGATCGATGCCCGAATTCACTGGACTTTGGATTCCTAATATTAAATATCATTAACTTGGGAAATGGCACGGAAAAGACACAGGGCACAGATTCTCAATTGACCCTGTTTCTGTTATATCTATCGTATATGTTCTCCCCGATGGAACAACCCTGATGTGACTAAATCAGACATAACAACCTCAGGCCAACGGTATCGAATGTCCACACCTCTTTCTATATCGATTTGGTGGATTTCTACCCTCTTCGCCAACAATTCTCCCAATAGTCGATGGGCAAAAGAGGCTCAATTCTTGACTACTTTGGATTCTGATCCTGTCGGTACAGCTGCTGATTATATGCCCTGCAGCGTACAGGGCGCGTTCTCTGTCTGTCTGGCCTACGTCACTGTCCATTTCACAATGACTAAGCTAGCAGCACGTGAAGCCAGGGAATCTGCGCCAATTATTGGTGGAGAATTTAAACTACTTGCAGTTCCCCTTCGGGAAACCCATGCGGCCATCCATACTATATAGACCTGGCTGCAAAGCTGCAATGGCACAGGGCCTGCATGATCATCGCCTGGATGTCTTACCCGTGGGGTGATTCGAAGATTGCATGACGAACTTGAGGTCCCAATCAGCATATATCTCCTCAACCAAAATGCCCTGCACGGTCCTTTCCCGCATCTTATGAAGACTCGCTGAATCGCTGGGATTCATCCGAGGTCCTCCACACACCCCTCTGGAGAATTACCCTTTTCATATATGGAGATGACAAGATAATGCTTGTGAGCCATCATATATATAAGCAAATGCCCTTCCTTCTGGCTAGGAGCCACATTGAGTCGCACAGATGTGCCTGGATAGCTCCTTTCCTGCTGGACGTTATGCAACGAGTCTCGTTTTTGTGTCTCTTATCTAATACATCATGAGGCTCTTTCTTGTTTCCTACCTAATAGCGCAGATGGCCTGTGCTGCTATTAGCCACACTTTCAATGGCTTCACTATTACAGAGCATCCGGATCCAGTCCGGCGTGCCGAAACGCAGAAATACGTATGCACATTAGCATGCATGCTCCAATGGCGATGCTAATGACTGCAGGTTACATGGGATGAACATTCCTTGTTTATAGATGGGGAGAGAATCATGCTATTCAGTGGTGAATTTCATCCATACAGGTACGACTCGCGTCTTTTCAGGCAATTCCTGCCATCGGTTGTTCGTCTAACCTTCTGCCCAGGCTCCCCGTACCCAGCTTGTGGCTCGATGTTTTCCAGAAAATTAAAGCCCTAGGATTCAATTGTGTCTCATTCTACGTGGACTGGGCCTTGGTTGAAGGTAAACCGGGGGAGTATAGAGCCGAGGGCATTTTTGCTCTCGAACCCTTCTTCGAAGCAGCGGCTCAGGCTGGTATCTATCTTCTTGCTCGTCCTGGCCCTTATATCAATGCCGAAGTCTCTGGTGGTGGTTTTCCTGGATGGTTACAGAGGGTGAATGCCACTCTGCGGACAAGTGATCCAGCCTACTTGGCTGCCACTGATAAGTATGACTTGACTTCTCGTGTGGAATGGACCCTGAAAACTGGGGACTCGATGCTAATTCCGCCGTGCTAGCTATATTGCTAACGTCGCGGCTACCATTTCCAAAGCCCAAATTACGAACGGTGGTCCAGTTATTCTCTACCAGCCTGAAAATGAGTATACCAATGCCTGCTGCGGTGCAGACTTCCCGGATGGAAGCTACATGCAGTACGTGATAGACCAAGCTAGGAAAGCCGGAATCGTTGTACCTATGATTAGCAATGATGCCTCGCCCAGTGGACACAATGTCCCAGAATCTGGTATTGGCGCAGTCGATGTCTACGGACATGATAGTTATCCGTACGTGTCTCTCCTACCATCCTTTGCTGTTAGGAATTAGTCTACTAACTGTTGCGTTTCCAGTCTTGGATTCGACTGTGTATGAGTAATATTTCCAGAAACTAAGATTCGGTTTTACTGACGCAAAGAAGGCAAACCCAACTGTGTGGCCGGCTGGTAACTTACCTACAAATTTCCGCGAACTGCATCTACAGCAAAGCCCGTCAACCCCGTATTCGATAGTTGAGGTAGGTCCGTTCTTCCTGCATGAATTTCACAGCAGGTTAACAAATGTGGAAATGAAAGTTCCAAGCCGGGGCCTTTGACCCATGGGGAGGACCAGGGTTTGATAAATGCGCGGCGCTCCTTAATCACGAGTTTGAGAGGGTCTTCTATAAGAATGACTTTAGCTTTGGAGTTTCATTTCTCAACTTGTACATGGTATGGATCTATCATGTCTTGGACTCCTTAACCCAGTTTAACATTTTACAGATATTCGGCGGCACAAATTGGGGAAACCTCGGCCACCCTGGAGGATATACCTCTTATGACTACGGCTCAGCGATTACCGAGTCTCGCAATGTTACTCGCGAGAAATATAGCGAACTCAAACTTATAGGCAATTTTGCCAAAGTTTCGCCGTCATACCTTACTGCCACTCCTGGGAACGCATCCACGTCCATCTATGCGGATACTCCTAACCTAACTGTGACTCCTCTGATTGGAAATGGGAATGGCTCCGCCTCCTATTTCGTGGTCAGACACTCGGACTATGCTAGCCAGGCATCGACCAACTACAAGCTCACAATTCCCACTAGTGCTGGCAACCTAACAGTCCCGCAAATTGAAGAAAAGCAGTTAACTCTCAATGGCCGCGACTCGAAAATACACGTTGTTGACTACAAAGTGTTCGGGACTAATATCCTCTACTCTACCGCAGAAGTCTTCACCTGGAAAAACTTCGCAGGAGGCAAGGTTCTCGTCCTGTATGGTGGAAACGGCGAGTATCATGAACTAGCAGTGTCATCTGGGTCAGATATCTCGGTCATTGAAGGATCAACGTCGGATATTGCCCAACAGTCTACGGGTGATGCTATCATTATTGGTTGGGATGTCTCTTCTACTCGTCGCATCGTCCAGGTAGACGACCTGAGAATATTCCTTCTCAGTAAGTTAAAACTTTTTCAAGGGTTGCTGATCCATGAAACTGACGAAGCAACCAGGTAAGAATGCTGCATATGACTACTGGGTCCCAGAACTCCCTGCCGCGGGAACGTTACCGGGCTTCAGCACTCAGGAGAAGACCGCCTCGTCTATCATCGTCAAAGCTGGATATCTTGTGCGTACGGCATATCTACAAGGCAGCAATCTTCACATCACGGCAGATTTCAACGCGACGACACCTATTGAAGTGATCGGGGCGCCTGAAAACGCTAAGAATTTATGTATAAATGGCCAAAAGGTCCGGCATTCAGTTGACCACAACGGAATCTGGGTGAGCAATGTTGATTTCTCTCCACCAGAAATCAACCTTCCCAGATTGCAAGACCTGGACTGGAAGTATTTGGATACGCTACCTGAAATCCAGCCGACGTACGATGACTCCACCTGGACTGCTGCAGACCGCAAGACAACGAATAACACCGATCATCCTCTCAGCACTCCGACATCGCTTTATTCGTCAGACTATGGGTTTCATACAGGCTACCTGATCTACCGTGGCCATTTTATAGCGGGTGATCAATTGCCAGTCTTTTATATTCAGACACAAGGTGGCACAGCCTTTGGAAGCTCAGTGTGGTTAGACGATGGGTGGATTGGATCCATGGGAGATGATGGGTCCAGTAATAGTAACGGGACCTACCGGCTGCCCACTCTCACTGACGGGAAGCCGCACGTTTTTACTGTTGTCATTGATAATATGGGTCTCGATGAGGACTGGACCGTCGGCTCTGAAACCATGAAAAACCCTCGTGGCATTCTGAATTATGAGCTCCCAGAGGGGAAATCATACAACGCTACGCCAATCTCGTGGAAGCTTACTGGTAATCTTGGGGGCGAGGATTACATCGACAAGGTCCGAGGACCCCTTAACGAAGGAGGACTTTACGCAGAACGCCAAGGCTTCCACCAGCCTGAACCCCCAAGCAGCAACTGGCAGTCATCAAGCCCCTTTCAGGGACTGTCGACGCCAGGTATTGGGTTCTACAGCACCAGCTTCGATCTTGACATCCCCTCCGGTTGGGACGTGCCACTATATTTCACCTTCATGAATGCCAGTTCTTCACCTGCGTACCGTGTGCAGCTCTATGTGAACGGGTACCAATTTGGCAAGTATGTAAACAATATTGGTCCGCAGACAAGCTTCCCTGTTCCTGAGGGCATCTTGAATTACCGCGGGAAGAATTGGGTTGCGTTGACTCTTTGGGCAATGCAAGACGGGGGTGCGAAGTTGGATGGTTTTGAATTGGTATATGGGACGCCGGTGAAGACTGCCCTTACTGGCATCGAGCCCGTTGAGCAGCCAAAGTATGTGCTGCGAGAGGGAGCATATTGATCGATGTTCGGGCTCAGAAGCTTGATGGTTGTGATGGCTCTTGCGTTGGGGTCGGGGCATAGGCCGTTGATGCACAGATACCCCATCAAAGAACATTTGGATTAATCTAATCAATGCAAGACAAGTGGGACATGCAGATCCCGTCAGGAACACTAATTAACTATGATGCTGACGTAGAGTCGATTGTAGGCGCTTGAGCATGCACGATGTCCCAGCCTCCGCAATTTCCACTCCGTAATGAGTATAGAATTGCCAAGTGCTAGTTGCTTTCTGATGCATTTCATTTAATGGAATAGATTTAAAATAAAGCTGAAAATAAAAGCATCGTGGGCAGCCAGATTCTTTCCCAGCCACCAATTTTTGAAGTATTTCGTCCACTTTAGCGCATCATGCATGCAGGCCATCCGTATCCCTTTTCTTCTTTTCTTTCATCTGCGCGGAGTACTCTTTATTTTATCTTCATTTTCTTTTCTTGTTTGGGTCTTTGTCTTGATTGATTATATATATGCATGCGTACTCCACTTTCCTTTCGACGGAGTACTTTCTATAGAGAAACATCTTCTCAATCTATCCTCCATGTTGTCCATCCTTAATTGACCAAATTTCTCCTATTATCCATCACCTATCTGAGATCTCCGAGAAAATCAAGTCCTGTTGCATCTCGCGCATTAAATCGACAACACAATGGCGCCTATATCCCGCACCCAACGAATACCAACGACACCAGAAGACAGCAACGACGACGATGACCCCCTCTTTTCCTCCATCCGCTCAGAAACAGAACATCCATCACCACTCCTCCGCCGAGACACAAAATCAGCCCGCCTCGATACTCAATACCAATATCAATACCAAACCATCTCAATCCCCGCCACATACGCAGACCTAAACAACTCCCTCGCACCGGGAACAGTAGCAGGCATTATCCTAGGCAGCGTAGCGGGCTTCATCGTCATTGCTTACTTCCTCTATGTTGCATTCGGGGGCACCGAACTCCCCATCTACCGCATCGAGGTCGGTGCCACTAGACGTCGAAGCGCGAGAGTACGGGGGGATGCGGATAGACGGCGCGAGGTTGCGGAGTTTGTGCGTCCTATTGCTGCAAGACGGGGTCGGGGACAGAGGCATCGGGCTCCTCCTCCTCCGCCACGGGATACGATTATTGTTGATGAGTCTGTGACGTCGCGTTCTAGGACGGATGATGGGGGGGATATTGTGGAGGTTATTGAGGAGCATTCTTCGCCGCCTAGGAGGTCAAGTAGGGGTTCCCGTCGGTGATGTATTCTGATGGGATATGGCTGTTTGCTTGCTTTATATCGAGTGATGGAGTTATTCGGATTCGATTATTATATTTATATTTCTACTGTTCGATCAGAGAAGGCTGAGTCTCGGGATACACTTGAAGAACCGTGGGGTGGATGCAAGGCGAGTTTGCTACGGTTCGTGCCTATTATGGATGTGCTACGGATGCCGCTTGCTGTAGGGCATTGCTTTCGAGTTGCCCGCGTCTACGCCAATTATATACTTAATTATCCTCATGGTCATGTTTATGATGGTTATGCTATTATCCTACCCACTCCACGTTGTGATTTATTCTACAGGTATACATTTGGTGGCTGTTTGTCTATTCTACTGCTGTATTTAGTCCTGCATTTACTAGTATCAACAGGTTTACAAAGGTTGTGTATCGAATTCAAACTGATCATGCTGGTATTAAAAGGGATACAATTCAATCTAATGATAATAGGCAACCAAACTTCAATCCAGGAAAGACAACGTCCAAACCAAAGAATAACGTAGAGATAAAGAGGAAAAGGCACCAGTCTCCCGATTTCCAACACCCAATGCTCCGAATTTGCGCCGTGAGGATGAGGCAGAGATAAAGGAGGTAGAAAAAAAAAGACGGCAAAGCAATGTACAATCAAATAAAAATGAACCAAAAAGGGTAAGGAGTCTGCGACTCCAACCGGAGGGAATCCAGTGGGTGATCGACGCAAACCCTCTCCAAGATGGATGAATCCCATCCCTATACATGAGGATGTATCTCTCTCTTCATTGAAGATGGGGATTTCCGTTTGTTTAAAACAACAGATCCAGGCAACAACAGCATGCTAGTGTGGCCATGAATGCAGCGCAGCAACCCTCCCCAGCTCCGGAGCTATATGCCTGCCGCGGATATGGTTGTTGTTGATAGTACATCGGACCCTGCGGCGGTGGAGGGCCGTAGCCTTGGTATGGAGATGGGGGGTATTGTTGTGGATAGCCTCCTTGGTAGTATTGTTGTTGAGCGGCGGGAGGGGGTTGCATAGGATATTGGGGACCACCACCTGGGTAGGCGGGAGGGGGACCATCCTAGAATATCAAGATGGTGAATATTTAGCAAATGAGACATGTAGCGCACGGTAGACAGCCCGAGCTGAAGAAGTTGGGATGGACATACTGGCTTGTTATGTGCATATGACATCGTCGATGGGAGGAGGTTCAAATTCAAATGAAGAGACTGCTCAGAGAAGCGAAGACTTTCGCGAAAAGCGTTCAAGATCGATATTTCAAAAATCTAAGCTGTCGATTCGTCTAGTGGAGACGATCGTGGAAAGCTGATGCTTTGCAGTATGTAGGAAGGCTGGAATATGTACGACTCGATAATGAGGTATAGCGCTCAACAAATAACCCACAGGGCTTGGATTCCCATAGCCCAAAGAACTGACGAGATAATTCCTTGGAGAATCCAGGCACGAGGAACCAAGGACGAAAAGTGCCGTATATCAGGAAATGAAGCTTTGGCGGGCTGTGCCGGATTTCCGCGTAGGTGCCCCACGGATGCAAGGAAGTGGACAGAAGGACGATGACGATGAGCAAATCAAGGCGATCTGCCGATTCCGAGGCCGATATTAATACTATCGAGACGGTGGCGATGCTAGGCAGCCAATTTGCATTCTCGACGCTGATGAGGCGCAAGCAGACTGACGTGCGTAATCCAGAAATCAAGAGGCGCAGCCGTCTGCCACGTGACAGACTACTTACTAATTACTACTTCCAGTTAACTAACTACGCCAGAAGGAATCATCTCTGCTACACCATCCTTTTATTGTATTTTTTCATGCGCACTTTTATCGAGGGGTAGGAGGGGGGAAGACAAATTAACAAGCCAGTCTTGGGATGCCTCGCCAACCCATGCTCTTGCAACAGAAAGAGGCAAAAAGAAAAAGATGAACAAACGCTGAAGGGGTTTGGGACGATGAAAAAAAAAGCAATGACTGAGAGAAAAGGGCAGAAGGTGTCCCCAAGAAAGAAATAGGGGACACTATCTGTTTGACAAATCAACGCTTCATAAATGATGCACAGAGAAGTGGAACATTATGGGGGAGATGCGGATGATAATCTGAAGACTCCACGGGTCAGACCTCAAATGCAAAAACTGGGGCGGCAGAGATAGAGAAATGGTAGTCTACATTTGAGGATTGAGTAATGGCCTCTATGCCTCAACTGGAGCATCGGCAGCCACCTTCTTTTCAGTCACAGGAGCAGCGCCGTTGACAGCGTTAGCCTCCTTTGCGCTACCATTTGTCTTGGTAGCAGCGGCAGTCGCTTCCTCGTCCAAACGGGCAATCTCCTCCTTTGCCTTCCTGATGTTCTGTAGATTGAAAGTTAGCAACGTACAGAATTTCCATTCGTATCAGCTGAAGCTTACCTCTTCTGTCTTCGTTGCCTGGTTTTTCTTCCATTCCGTAATCTTGGCGGCAAGTTTTTCAATCACCCCAGGAACATCAGATTGGGTCATAGGAGGATCAACCTTGAGATCGGCAAAGTCCTGGATCACACCGAAGCTGAGGTTGAATTTGGCATCGGAAGCTGCCGCAGCAGTTTGGGTACCCTTCTTTCCCTTCTTGCCCTTCTTGCCTCCGGTGCCAACGAAGTAGTCTTCTTCGCGATCCTCCTTCTTCAAGATCTTCATGCCCTTGATGTTCGAACCGTCGACGGTGCGTCCAACCTGGGCACGGAAATCACTGCCGTCGTCCTTCTTTTCATCGAGGCCTAGGGCAGAAAAGTCGTAGGCTGCATCAAAGTGGCGGATAAGACCCTGGGCAGTAAGAATCTCGTCGGTATAAGCAAGACGCGATGCTTCCTCCAACTTCTTGTCGGCCAGCTTCTTCTTCTTCTCACGCTCAATCGCCTCACGCTGGGCCTTTTGGCGCTCACGGCGAATCCTCCAGGCTTCGTCCTCGTACTCCTTGTACGCCTTACGAGCCTTGTAATGAGCGTCCTTGAGCTCGCGAATGGCAGTATACTTCTTTTGCTGTTCAGCGTGGAGCTTGGTGCGCTCATCCCTCAAGGCATTGAGGTTCTTAAAGGCACTGTCTTGCTCGGCCTTGATAGCGTCGAGCTCCTTCTGGATCTCGGAGTACCTCTCGCTAAGTGCTTTGGACTCGGGGTTGTCAAGGGTCTTCTTAAGCTCCGCGATTTGAGACTTCAGGTCGCTGATAACCTTCTGAGCATCGTCGAAGCCGGCAAAGTTCTTACGCTGCTTGCGCAGGTTGGAAATGTCGCTTAGTGCCTTCCGCTCGTCCACTAGTCGCAGCGTACCAGAGTCGACCTGCTTCTCCAGACGCGCAATTTCGCGGTCAATCTCTTCAACATTCTTGAAAGACATGCGACTCCGGGAGTTATTCTGTTCCGCAATACGAGCCTTCAGAGTTGCATCCAGAGCGTTGATTTTCTCCTGGGTGCTGGTCCTGGAGGCCTTGAATCCCTGCTGCTTCTGGCGGATGGAGGAGAGCTCAGAACGAAGTTCTCGCTGTCTCTTTGCAGCTGGGGAATCCTGATTGTTAGGGCGGGCACTTTCAATCTTTGCCTTTATTTGAGTCTGTGAAAAAAAAAAAAAAAAAAACCAGTGTTAGATATTTTCTCTCTTGCGCGCATGAGACAGGAAGGTCAGGCGACCAGGAGAGAATGGGCTCAATCCCAGAAAGGAACATTTTAAAATAGTAAACATACCAATTTCTCTTGAACAGCAGCATGTTCTTTCTCAGCAATTTCAAGGGAAGCCTTGTAAGCCTCTTCATCGGGCTTGGGAGGCTTCACCTTGGGCTCACTGACAGGAGCAGGCTCGGCGGTGGTGGCCATGTTCACGAGAACAGAGAACAATCAACAGATAACAAGTATTAATGCAGAATAGCTCAATCCTCTGAGCTGCAACTAGGCAAGCAAAGAAAGAACGAGATAATTGGTGAGGGGGAAGATGCTTGTGGCTTTCCTAAAGTTTTTGGGAGTCATTCACTTTTTTACCGGAACTGGCCATTCTGTTCTCCTGCCGCGCTTAGTGCATTCACTGGACTGCCGCTTTTAGCGCCTCTGATTTTTTGACAACTTCTTTGCGGCTCTCTCTTTTGCCAGTTCAAGTCAACCGTTCCTCCCATCTCTGGGCACACTCCGCCTAGCTGATTCAAATCCTCTGATTTGTATCTGACTGTGCCAGCTTTTATTGTTGCTGTCTTTTTTTTCCCCCTTTTTCCCCTACCGGAGACTGCGCACTTTCCACCATGGACGAGGACCACTCTACTTCCCCAGAGGCCGACAAAGAGACGACCAGACTCTGGCGTACTTGGAGGACGGTTTTTGAGATGCTACAGGATCGGGTATGCAGTTAGACTCGGGGCATCTATCCTGGCAACCCGCGCGCTGACGTGTGATTTCTTCGTCGACACAGGGCTACGAGGTGACGGAAGACGAAGTTCAAATCTCTCTGGATGCGTTCAGGGCGAAATATTGCAACCAACTGGGCTATCCTGAGTATGTCAACTTACCGCAGGGAATAAAGTTGTCACTTCGACTTCCAATAATCAGACCTAACATCAATGCCTAGTCGCGATAAGATGAAAATCAGCGCTCGTCCAACGGAAGCTATGCTGGCCAAATACACTGTACCGTCCAAACCCGGCTCATCTCCAGCAGCACCAGACTGCGGCACCGTGTACGTCGAATTTTGTCCCGAGACGTCGGGAGTAGGAACGAAGCATGTTCGCGCCTTCAACCACTTCGTCGACGAGCAGAACTTCCACACGGGCATTTTCATCACCCAGACGCCTATCTCCCCGTCGGCCGTGCGCCTTCTAACCAGCATTCCTGGTCGCATCGGTGAACATTTCCAGGAGCAGGACTTGCTGGTAAACATCACGCGCCACGAACTGGTCCCAAAACACGTCCTGTTGAGTCCCGAGGAAAAGATTCAACTACTGAAACGATATCGTTTGAAGGAGACTCAGTTGCCGCGTATTCAGGTTTCCGATCCTGTAGCCAGATACTTGGGCTTGCGGAGGGGGCAGGTCGTGAAGATCATCAGAAAAAGTGAAACGGCTGGTCGGTACGCGAGTTACCGGTGGGTGATTTGATGGGAAAAGTTTCTTTTTAGAACCTTTGGATTTCTACGGCTTACCTTCCTTGCATGGGATGGAATGGATTGGCTATGGCTTTCTTTTTCTCTCGAAGAGTTTGTTGTTGAGACCCCAAGGACGGCAACAATGGGCATGTGTGTCGGTGAGCAAACGGCTATTATATCTATCTGAGGTTCGGACTTAGTTCAGGATTTGAGAAGAGCCTGAGCAGATGCCCAAGGACCATGTCGACAGCCGATGAACAGAGCAGGGCATTTGGAACAAAAGAAAGCGAAACGATATAACACAACACGGAAATGGGGCAGACGCAAAAAGGAAAGGGAGTGTGCTATTACTGTACTTGGATCTACCGGCAGCATGGCGTATAGGCGTGAGAAAAGAAATTCCTTTTTTTTTTCTTTTTTCAGGTGTGGCATATAGTCAATAAATAGACAAGACGAGAAACTAATTCTTTGTGATTGAACTTGGATTTAAAACCACTTATATCGTGTGAAGTTGTAGATATTTTTGTTCTTTTCTTACATACAAAAATCACAAGCCAGATATGCCACTGCCAGAAAGAATATCTATAGATTTTGCTTATTTTTATAATGAAAACCCACATCTTCCCACCGGGAACTACTCCATACGTAGAGCTAGCCAAACTGAACATCAAGATGTCAAACAGTCGTATTAACCCGATCAACCTCATCACCATCCTTCGTCCACGTTTCTCGGGCATCCGTCTGCTCCTGCTGATCCTCCCCCAGATCAAGATTCTCTGCCATGAGCGCTTTATCTTCTGCTTCGGGCGGTGCATGGTATTCTCCCACGTCCTCGGTAGGAGCGTCTAGCGGCATTGATAGATCATCAGTCTCTGGAGATGGGGTCGATGTTTCGATTCTCTGACGTTTATTTGTAGTGTTGACGAGAGGGGTTTCGTCATTGAAGAAGCGGAGGAGCATGGCGCGGCGTTCTTCCTTGGGGAGCATAAGGTTTAGGGAGTGCAAAGAGCGCCAGAGTGGGAGAACCATTCTTTCACTGTTTTCATAGGAAAGGGAAGTCTGTTAGCAAACCTAAACAAGAAAGTGGTTTTCCTGGAAGGGAATATCAAGGAACGTACTTTATACCATCTTCACTGTCACTCGGCTCAATCCGCAATATGCTACAGCCCATAGGAATGTCCCTAACGCGCTCTCCGATTTCTCCCAGTTCTTTCCACCCGTTATCGTTCACTTTGGGGAACATTTCCACGAGAAGCTTGTGTAGTGTTTCTTTCTTGTTGAGATAGACAGACCGCTTGGGGCCCAGCCACGGGTCGAGAATTCGTAAGCCGTCCGTCTGAATACGCCATCTACATACATCTTCTCGCTGGACGTCTTGCTTGACGAACATCTTAACACCGCAGTGGACGAACTTCATGCCCTGCCTCTCATTTTCGGAAAGGATATCTCGTGCGAGAGTACTCGTGTAATACACCGTGCGAGTTGGGAGGGCCTCCGCATTGCGGACCATGAAACGGTCTCGTGGGAAGCGGTCAGAGATCTGGTAGAATTCGAAGATCGGGATAAGTTCTTCCTGGTCAGGTTTCAGATATTTGAAGGGCTCCTCAAAATATTGTTTAGATTTCTTCTGCTTTTGAGGGGGCTGAGATTGAGGCTTCGACTGAACCGATGATTCGGCCGGTTGAGGTGTGCTATCCGTGGGAATGGGAGTAACACCATCGGTATCTGAGGTAGAAAATGCAGCCTCTCCCTCAATTGAAGTAGAGGGGCGATGCACAGGACGATCCCCGATGATGGCTTCCGCGCCGTTGTCCAGCTTGGCCTTCTTGGAAGGGACTCCATCCATCAGGTCTTCAGCATTTCTCTTCGACAGTGGCTCCGAGGATCCGAGAGTGACAGAGTAAGGAAGTTCATTAGAAGTTTCTGCAACTGACTTGTTCTTATCAATCTCTTCCTGTATCTCCTTACCAGGGACAACTAGGTCATCAAGAGCATTGATTTTTTCCAACGGTTGCGTTGGTCCGTTCTTCTGCTTGTGTTCAAGCTCCTCCACAAGCGCAGCCACGGAAGACTTGGGGATGACCTTTGAAGAGTCTTCTGGCTTCGCACGAATCTCAGAAGTCTTTTCAATCACTGTGATAAAGAAGCCACCAGTGTCTTGCATATGAGGGTAAATACGCATACACCTCTCCAGCGGCAGATTTGCATACTCTCCAAGGGGCGGAAACATGCCCGCTGCAAGTCTGCCAAGCCCATCAATGCCTTCCTGTTCCCTCTGTTTTTCTACATCTTCCCAGCTATTCCACAGGCGACCTTGGCGGTCCATAACCTTCCAAGACCGCAGCCCAGGAGCCCTCTTCAAGCCTGAAAGTTGGTCGCTACAATCGACGATTTGAACTTTGTCGGTACCACCACAGCGTTCGATAGCACAGGCAACGACAGCTTCGTTTTCAATGGGGTTCATACTGCAAGTCGAGTAAACGACACGCCCTCCAACCTTGAGCATCTGTAGTGCACGGACAAGAATTCGAACCTGCGTGACATGCAGTCCCAAAGCGTTCGCAGGGGTCCAATCCTTCCAAATGTTAATATTTTTCCTGGGAGTTCCGTCTCCGGTGCAGGGTACATCTGCCAGGATACGGTCGAACTTCAGGTATCTGGGCTTCGGGCGCTCTCCGTTAGCCGTCGGCAACGGAGGGAGCTTAATGGAAGGATACATGGTCGCATCATGATTGGTGACAATCAGGTTTGGCGAGTTCAATCGTTTCATCTGATGGATGAGCAGGTGTGCGCGCTTGTTGTCACTGTCATTGGCAACCAAAAGACCTGTGCTCCTTCCGTCGTCGTCTAAGCCCTCCGGCCCTAAGGGAGCTTGCTCTGTATTACCACTTTTGAGCTGCTCAAAGACTTTCTGCATGGCTTCCTCCTCTCCTGCATGAAGCATCTCCATAATCTGCGCTGATTTACTCCCTGGCGCAGCGCACATGTCCAACACCGTCATGCCCGGTCTGACGTCCATCACGAGTGGGGGAATCATGCTCACTACCTCCTGGCGGGTGATATTGCCAACGCTAGCTTCAGCAACGAGGAACTTCTGGAAGGAAGCGAACGGGGCGAATCGTCTGATGACTTTCTTGGGAGTCGTCATCGACCAGGCCAGTTGGTCGGGATACCAAGGAACGGGACGCGGGGGCTCGACGAAGTTCCCTTCATACTGAATCGATGTAATATGGGGAATGTAGAAGTCCTTGAGTCGTTGCTGAACTGCAAGCGCATGCCTTTAGTCAATGCAACCGCGAGAGTCAGCAATCACCTTACGAAGCTGCTGCGAGCGACATGACGTACGATTTCGACCCAGTGAAGCGGAAGCTGTTCGGCAGATCCCTCCGGAGAGCTTCCCAGAACGCCTCTCTTTCCTCCTCTGGAACAATTCCTAGCTCATTGTAGTATCTCTCAAATCTCTCGTTGTTTCTGGGAAGTTCTTCCCGGCTTTGGCGCACGCCGCCGCCTCGACCAGACTACCAGCTGCGGGTTAGCAACGATCTGAGCCGGAATTTAGCAGGGGGTTCTCACTTTCTTTCCCGCGCGCTTACCCATAGCGAATAGCAGCACGGACAACAATTATGCGGAGCTATACTCCGTCAGCTTGTCTGGTATTGCTTCCGCCCAAAAAAAGAAGGCCGAAATTATTATTTCACCAGATTTCGGATCATCATCGGACCGACTGGTTTACGTAATGTATGACCGTTTCATGCATTAGTTAACTAACTAGTTAATGTATTGTATATTAGTCATTAATGCTCGTGTGCATAGGGTTGTAGATTGCCGAGGCATTCAAGCCGTCGGCGGCGTACGCTCGCCTTCGCAAAGACACTTTGTCCACATCCCCAACCAAATCGTCGAATTACTCGATGGAATTACTTACGATCAGACTGCTGACAGTAGTTTAATTCCACGCAAGGCTGACACGAGAAGACGCCTCCAGTACCTATTAGATTTGCGCCAAGGAACGCTGAGCCTTAAATGAGCCAGACGGAGCGAACCTTAGCCAATTCAAAGCTCCTGGGACGGCGACAAGATTCGTCTCCGCTCTTCAACCCGTCATTCAGCCGCATTGCAAATATAAGCTGATTGGGTCTTGTCCGGCATAAGCCAGCGAGGCTGAGATGCTCGACGGTTCATTTTAAAGGTCGGATGATGGTGATGCCAACCTATATATATTCATCTAGCCCGCGACTCTTCCGGACTGCTTTATTATTCTTATCCCTGTTGTTTCTCCCTTCTGGTTTGATCTAGTGGTCTTCTGGACGCTCCCGGATCTCATTTCCCCTGTGAATTGACTTGCCCTTGCACGCCTCAAAATCATGGCTTCCTATGAACCTCAGCCACCGCCGGTTCAAACGGTCGATGGCACTGACCGTGGAGGATGGTCCAATGGATTCTGCGATTGCTGCTCTCCAATGGGAACTTGTGTGTGATCACTTTTTCTGCCTCAGGGCACACCGTTTTCTTATGCACATACCACAGGTTGCTGCGCTTTCTGGGGGCCATGCTGTCTGTACGGCAAGACTGATTCGAGGCTACGAGACCCTCAGCTGAAAGATGGACGTTACTGTAGCAGTGGCGTATGTGTCCTTTGCCATTGACAGTATTCCTGGTAATCGCAGCAATGGAAGCTGACTCCATTTGTCCTCTGGCCAGTGCGCCTTGTATACCTTCATTTCGATTCTCGGTTTCCACTGGATTCCCCTCATGATGAAACGAACTGAGATCCGCGATCGGTTTCACATCCGGGGTTCGTGCTGTGGTGATTACTGCGCAGCGCTCTGCTGCTCGTGTTGTGTGTTGGTTCAGAACGAAAAAGAGGTCGATGCTCGTTCGAATGCAATGGCGACCAGTAGTAGGGGTTACCAGCAGACCACAGGCATGGTATACTATCCGCAGTATTAACTGGAGTTTTCTTCGGGTTCACCCTCCGCTTTCTACAGCCATCTTTTCTCTGCTTCTTTGCTTGTTTTCGTGTCTGGTTGATCTTTGGCCTCCAGGGTTGCCACAAGGAACTCTGGAATGATTGTATAATGGCCGCATGGCTATGTAATTTTAAGATATCCCGCTTCTTTCAAATGGAATAATCACAGAAAAGTGAAATAGAACGTGGAAGCAGCAGAGCATACTGCGTGTCCTACTATTAAGTAGGCGCAAGACGCGGGAGAAATAGTCGTCGGCCGAACTGGGAATTTTGCCGTATCGCCGCTCCGTCCAAATTTTCCTCCCGTCGTTCCCCGTCGCTGTCTTTCCTCTTTTCTCTGTTCGTACTCTTCTCTTTCCTGGTTCTTTATTTTATTTTCGACCCATCTCCCCCCATCTTCCATCCTACGACCTCTTCCTCTTACATTCAGTGTCGCAATGCTGGGTGCCGTTCGCCGATATGGCGTCGTCCAGGCTCTCCGAGCATCTGCTCCCCGTGCTCTTTGCTCCAGGTCAATCACTCGTCCTCTGAAATGGCAAAGGCCCTCGCAGACAGTCGTTCCGGGAGTCCTTCGTTTTCTGCATAATACGCCCACTCTTTTCAGTTCTGCCGCTACTGCGCAGGCGCAGGCGCAGGCAGAGCTCGCCGAAAATGAGCTGGAGATTACCAAATTTGCAGAATTGGCAAAGCAAGGGATAATTGATCCCAGTATTATATATAATGTTACTAATAAAATGAAACTCACGACTATGACGCCCGTTCAGAGTATGACTATTCCCAAGATCGTGGAGGGGACTGACACGTACGCTCTTTTTTTTTCTTCTCCCCCAACCTATACTGAGAAAATCAGAAGTTGACTTCTCTCTCAGCTTGGCTCAAGCAAAGACAGGGACCGGCAAAACCCTTGCCTTTCTCGCTCCTGTTCTACAAAATGTCATGAATGACCCTGTATTTGGAACAACCAAACGCGTGAAGCCTACCGATATTCGTGCGATCATCATTTCCCCTACCCGCGAGCTTGCAGAGCAGATCAAAGTGGAAGCAGACAAACTCGCCCGAGATACGGGTGTCGTCGTGCAGTGTGCTGTTGGCGGAACGCGGAAATGGGAGGGATTGCAGCGTATCGTAAAACAAGGCTGCCACGTACTTATCGGCACTCCGGGGCGTCTCAAGGACATTCTTTCAGACCCGCGGAGTGGTGTCAAGGCACCCGAATTGAGGATGTTTGTTTTGGACGAGGCGGATCGCCTGCTCGATGACGGATTTGCGCCAGATATCGACGAGCTCCAGCGTTATCTTCCCGACCCTTTGAAGGTCGACCGACAGACGCTCATGTTTTCTGCGACCGTCCCGAAGGGGGTGATGTCAATGGTCCGCCGGACTATGAAGCCGGACTTTCAAACTTTGAAAACAGTCCGCGATGATGAGGTTCCCACTCATCTCACAGTACCGCAGAAGGTCGTCTGGTTGAATGGGTACGAAAATGCACTGCCTGCAGTTATGGAGATCGCGAAGAACTACATTTCCAAGCAGAAGCAGGACCGTAGCCTACGGCCATTTAAAGCCATTGTCTTTTTCAACTCAACAGCGGAAGTGCGAATGGCGGCGTCAATTTTCTCCGACTTCAGAAGGAAACCTCAACCTTTTGGTCCCGCCGTGGGGATTTTTGAGTTGCACTCGCGATTCACTCAGAATTACAGGACACGAAACTCTGAAGCATTCCGGAAAGCAACCTCCGGTATTCTTCTTTCATCAGACGTGAGCGCTCGGGGAATGGACTTTCCGAATGTCACCCATGTCATTCAGATTCGTACCCCACGCGACGTAGATACCTACGTCCATCGCTTGGGGCGTACCGCTCGTGCGAACAAGACTGGCGAAGGGTGGATTCTGGTCCACGAGGGAGAGCTCGCCTCATTCAAGAACAAACTTGAGCACATCCCGATTCACGAAGATACTAGCTCGCTTCAAACGGCTGCGGTAAAAATGAGCCATCCAAATCCGCAAGCAACAGAGTCCGCCTTAGCAACGATTGATCAGTTCAGAGATGCTGTATCAAAGGTCAACAATGACAAACTCAAAGAAGAGGCCTACAAGGGAATGTTCAGTGCGTTGCTTGGGGATTACAATGACCGCCAGCAGGCTTTACTTGTTATGAAGAACATGGCTGTCCACGGTTATCAGATGAACGAGCTTCCTCAGCTAGCGGCGAATCACGTTCGTGCAATAGCTAAGTCGAGGCACGGTCTGCCGCATAGAGACCGATCCTATCCACCAAGAGACCGATCCTACCGTTCCAGAGGATACGACAACTACCGTTCCCCTAGGACAAACTCGTATAAGAACTCCTATAAGACAAACCGGCGCAACGAAGACGAGGATTACCCACGGCGCTTCTATGATTGAAATAAACTGATCAGACAAAGCATAAGACCTGGATCTCTCATCTGTCACCATTGACTCTTTAGAAGTCTCATTTTTCTTTTCTCCCTTGTGTTTTCATATTCAAATTGATTGGGTACGGGCTATCAAACTCGGACAAAGTACATGTGATTTCACTGATATCAAAAAAGGTAATAATTGTGGGATCCGGACCTCAGGTTTTTCAGAAAGGAATAGGAGAAAGAGGATGTTTTATTTTCTTTTATATCATCATTGTCGTTGGATTTTTTGGAGAGTATACATGCTTGCTTCAGGTGTTATTTGAATGTGCAGGTTAGTTAGATGATTATCATTCCATATGATACCCGCCATTGCTACGGATACCTTATGCTATGAGTTTTCTATTAAACCGCATTGCGTCTTTTCGTGCGCGTGTGGATTTGTCTGATGATCTCCTCTCTTTTTCTTCATTTCTAATCCTGTATTATAGAGATTTCAGAGTGATTCTTAAAAGTGTTTCTATTTCTATTTTGATAAAATCAATGGCTCAGTCTCATCCAGGCCTTGGTAAAGGTGTGTTTTGTACAATGTTGTGCTATGGAGCACAAGAAGACCGAATTAATCTAACCCTTTTGTAACGGGTCAGGGATCACATGCATCCATGTACCCAGAACTTTGTTTACGCACGCGACTCAGGTTGCAAGTCTCTTCCTCTCTAAGCTTTTGGTAGATTGTATCTGGCCTTGTCAGATTGAATCAAATCTCACTTTAGCCCTTCACACCATTAACAATTACTCAGAAACACATATCCGCGCAAGTAATATACAGATATGGGCAGTGCTTGTTGTATGGGGTCCATATACTCCCACAATTCCTAAGAAAGAGGTATCGACAACGCCAACCCAAAAGGACCACCTAACTCAATAGTTCCACTCCATCTATCCCAATGGAAGATTAGAAAATAAGAAGAAAAAGAGTAAAGTGTTAAACAGGCAGAACATGAATTAACTCCTAAACCAATCTCCCCCCGGCCTGTATCCAGTCTCGAAGCCTTCCCAGCTCCAAAATACACTCCTTGTGCATCTCACAAGCGACCTCCCAATGTTTGCGGACTTGTTCGTCCTCATCTAGTCCGCGTAAGTAAGCGCGATATCCCCCTTTCCTCGTACCAGGAACAAGAGTCTCGTAGTTTTCGCTCCCCCGGTCGCCTCGGCCGTCACCCTCGTTGTCCTCCCCGTCTGGGTTGATTTGGAGACGGCTCGAGTCGCCAACGGCGCTGATCCAGCCTGGTGCGAGGCCAGTTTCCATGGCTTCTTGCCGGGCGCAGAAGTGGTGGAGAATTCGTCGGTTGAAGTTTTTCCATTCGCGCATGTAGGTATTCATTTCGGCTACATAGCGGTTCCATCCTTGAAGGGGGAGGACGAGTTGTTTAGATCCTGCACTGGCGGGGATGAAGGCGGGTGGGCGTGGCCGTTTGGGTGGGTTTGGACAGTTAAGTTGGCGAGCGCGGACGGTTTGTGTGGATGTTCTTTGGTCTTTGGGTCTGGATTGGAATGGGAGTGCTGTGCCGATATCTTGTAGATTGTCTATGCCGCCGTTGTTCGTACCAGATAAGGGTGTCACGTCGTATAGGTCTTTCAGATTGAAGATAGGATCCCTTTTAGAGGTGCCATTTTGCTGTTTCTCAGTATTACTGTTTAAAGACGGCGTTGACCTCGCCCGAGATATACCGTTTCTTTGCGGAGGTGGTGATTGTGGTGCCGTGTAAGCGTTTGCAGGTCCATTCGCTGGTCCGGCAGGCACGTCGTCATCGAGGTCCATTGCCTCCACATCCTCATCAGAGCTCTTGGGGGACTCATTACCATTTCCATTTGGATCAGCAAAAGTCGTCTTCGCTTCTTCTGCTTCCGTCGACACGCTGGCTGGTCGAGGCGCTGTCCGAACCTTGATAGCTGGCCTCGACTGCTTCCTGGGGCTTCTTGCGGCGCTAGAATCCGCTTGCTGTGGTTTTTGGGATTCGCCGTTTGCCGTCGGTGCGGCCCACGACAGGTTCTTGAAATACTCCGCCCAGCTGTCGGCGGAAAACTTCGACTTCGCGAATGGGGTTGACTGTGGCCGAGACTTCTGCGAGTCTGGTTGTGTAAAATCGAATCCCTTGTTAGACGCGCCAGGCCATCTATCCTCGGAAAACTTCTCGTGAAGCGCATCATGACTATTGCTTTTAAAGGCACCGGGTACGTCTTTGCTCCTCGTCGCCGGTTCACTATTGTCCGTGGCAGAATTGTCAGCCTTGGAGCTTCCACCGGTAAAATTATAAGGACCCAGGCGGGACCCCTGTTGGGAAAATTTAAAAGAAACTCGATCATACGGATAAAACGAATTTCGCGATTCGTGTGCTTCATCAGTTCCTCGATATCCGTCCGTAGCGGAGGTCGTAGGCTCGGTAGGAGAAGTACGGAACGGAGGTTTAGTAAATGTAGCACTGTCTGAATTATGTCCTTTTAAATAGTCACCTTCGTTAGCACTAGAATCCTTATATCGACAGAACCTCTGTTGTTGTCTCCCGCCACCGACGCGGCTTGTTCTCAGTCGACGCGAAGGCCGAGAATCGTTGGCGTGAGGCTTTTTTGGGGAGTAATGCTGATGCTCACCAGTCCCTTTGCTCCAGTCTTGTGGAGTGTGAAAGTCGGAGAACTTCTGATCTGGGCGGAGTCTACTCTTGGGAACCGCTTTCGGACGCTCAGCAGTTTCGGTATCACTGGAACTCGTTGATGAAGACTGTTTATGGGTCCAGTCGGTCCTGTACTTGGGGCTGGCGCTACGATTCCTCCCAGCTTGTGAATTTGGCACGGCACCGGAGCCATTGAGAGGGTCGCGAACACTTGTCGAGCGTCCCAGCCCAGGGCTGGAAAGACTGATCTTCTCACCACCCGTGGTGAAATACTTGGTACTTGTCCGTTCCAGTCCGGGAACAGGAGTGGAACGACCACTAGATTCGCTTTGATATCGCGAGTCTGTCGATGTCTTCTTCGCGGTGGGTGAAGGCACAGACTCAAAGTAACTATTCGATCGGTCATGACGATGAGCTCTGTTGTAGGCCTCCGTATTACGAGCCGGGGGCTCATCACCCCCTGCTGTTCTCGGCGCAAACCCGTGCTTTTTCTTGGGCTCCGGCGTTGGAGGGTTGGATGCTGTTTTGAAGTATTCATACGCGGATTTTGCCCTCGTTGACTGCGCCGTTGGAACGGGTTTGGGCCTGGGAGGAGTGGCCGATGCCCTGTAGCTGTTGGCAGTCGGCTGGGTACCAGTTTTCGGGTCAAAAGAGGACCATCCACGCCCATTATATCCGCCCTTCATTTCCTGGAAGCCCCGAAATGCATCGGCTTTGGTTTGTGTATCATCCTGCCACTTTCCCCAAGGCGGTGCCCGCGCATAGCTAGCATACCGCTGGGCACCTGTGGACGTCGCGCTAGCCTGGAAAGTAGTGGAAGGTTGCGGTTTCGTCGAAGTCGTAGGCTTGCGAGCTGTATTCGCTCTTTGAGAAGAAGCGGCGTACAACTTCCCGTGCCCGGCACGTAACCTTTCTGTGTCGTACTTCAATCGCAGTTGGGGGTCACAGAGAATCTCATGAGCAGCTTGAATGGCCTGGAACTTGGAAATGAACTCGACTTCTCTCCCGGGGTTTCTGTCAGGATGATATTTGAGAGCTTTTGCGCGTGCAAGAACAGGTCAGCCTCCATCCGCAGTTTGGAATTCCCCATATTCCTTAAAACCAGTATGATTCTCACAGCTCTTCGCTCACCTAATCTCTTAAATTGCTTCTTTATCTCGTCCGTGCCGGCATTAGGCGAGACGCCCAGATCGGCATAGTAATCCTTCCGCGCGTCCACCTTGACCATCGTGTCCAGCTAAAGCCTTATCCCGTCGTAAGTCGGTATGGGTATGGGAGGAGGGAGGCCCGATGAAGAATGCCGACTGTGCGTATTATGATTCTTGACGTGACTCGACAAATCGATCGACGTTATGCATGCATGACCTAGCCGACGAACTTGGTATAGACAAGCTAAGGAATGGGTGAGGGAAGAGTGGACTGCAGCGCGTGACGTCCTGCTCAGGCAGCAACAGTAAGAAGAAAAAATAAGATTTATCCCCGACGAAGCAGCTTGCAGACTGAAGAACAGTTGTAGGAACCGGATGAGAAAGATCGATTAGCTGCTGCTTTCCTGTCTGTCTGCCTGTCTGTCAGCAGCAGAGAGAATCCGTCCCAATTCCAATACAACCGAATATAGACCTTCACCTTAGCGATAGGTGAATTTTTTTGTAAATGCAAATAGCATTATCTTTCTGTTCGCTTTGGTCCCCTTTTCCCTTTTTTTGCGTCTTTGTTTATGTGGATAGGAAACAAACGGTGGGGCGTGTCCGTCGACTGGTCGACGATCTAAAATAGAGAAAAAGAATGATGAAGTCAAAAGAGATCGTCGGTTTCAACAGAACCAGATAATAGTCAATACGACTAGATGGACAATGCGAAACGAGAGTGATCGAGAAATAAGGATACTCCGTGCAGGAAGCAGAAGCTGACGGGACGATGACAGAAGAGAAGACGAAAAAAATGAATCCGGCGATTCCACAAGAGACGGACGTTGCTGCCACGCAAAAGTGCTGCGTTGTCTCTCTCTCTTCTCGGACAGGAAGACCGGCAATCTTGGACTTGTTCATTTCTTCAGTAAAATGGTCGCCATTGTCCAGCTCACACAGCTCGATCAGCCACTCAAAGAGCTCGTCTCGACCCAAGACCTGCATGGATCTTTGCTGCCCGACTTGCTCTCCTGCAGATGCATCTGTACCACGGAATACCAGTCCAATCCAATCCATTCGTTCGACTGCAGACTACCCAGGAGATAATTAGAGCTGGCACGATTTATTCATTTATTGTATGTCCGCCGTATGTACAGTGCGCCATGGCAATGAACAAGGTACGGTATGAAAAATAAAAAACAACGCTATACACAGTATATAGCAGCCAGAGCTGTTCGTAGATCGCATCATACACATCATGTCTATCAGTCCGTTTTATCCCTTGTTCCCGGTACCATCCCGCCCTTGATGAACCGACGTGGTGTGTAAAGGAAAGGAAGATTGAAGGAAGACCCTTGAACCCTATTCAATGATGAAAAATCAGAGACACAAACCCCGGGATGAGTGTCATAAGTTATTTCTCAAGGCCGTCAAACACATGAAGGGGTCATCTGAGACAAGAATATCCCCCAAGAAAGGAAAAACAGAGAAAAGGGAAACCAAGAAATTACGCGTCTCCAGCTCCATACCCCGGGCCACCACCTCCAGACCCGCCAAAGAAAAACCCTTCGAGGAGATCATAGTTCGCTCCCTCACTCCAGTCATGTTGAAAGTCCACTGAGAGTCCAAACCCGAGGTCAATTCCCGTTTCCTGCCCAGCCCCTGCCCCCGATTGCGGGAAATTTGACATGAAATTTCCATAATCGGGATTCCCGTCTGGTCCGACAGGCCGAGAATCGAAGTTTGCAAAATCCAAAGCCATCGAGCCATGACTCTCTTGCTGTAGTTGTTGGTCTGTCGTTCGAAACTGAGCCTGACCGTTTACATAACCAGAAGCGGCTATGCTCGCTGGGGATGCGCTCTGCGGAGAGTTTCCATAGTAATATGCTTGCTGTGCTTGAGGTGAGGCAGGGTTCGAGTAGTATTCCACTGATTGTGCGCGTTGAGGGTACGTTCGGGAAGTCTGGTCCAGTGGGACAACTAGGGTAGACCGTTCGGTGTTCCCGTATTCCGGTCGAACGTAGGATGAAGGTTGTAAAGGTTGCGCCCCCGCGCTGTTGGGACGTTTTTCATTGGGTGGGCTATTGGAGTCGTTGAACAAGTCTCCCAGGTTCATGTCAAACTTCGGGAGAGGGCGAGGCTGGCGAGACTGGGTCGTGCGCCGCGTGGAAGCACGCCCTGGTTGCTGCCGTTGCTCTGGCTGTCGATCATGAGACCTTGACCCACCAGCATACGGGGGGTTCATCTGGCGGGGAGCCGACGTGATCGCACTGGAAGATTCCACTGGGTTTCCAAATCCAGTTGTAGACAGGCACATTTGGACAGTAGCTTTACTCATCCGTTCGAAAGCATCTCGGCAGGCTTCTGCCGGCGGACATTTATGCATAAGATCTCCTAGCAAAGACATGGCAGCAAGAACCGTAAAGTCAACATCGTCAAGTGTCTAAAGTATCGTTAGCATTCCCGGAAGCACCATAGACAACGTAGAGAAACGTACCAGGCGACTCCGCACCGCTGGCGAATGCCATATTGCATACAAGAATGAGATTCCTGGATGTGCGTGAGTAACAGCCGTGACGTACTTAAATAAACATGACGATACCAAGTCATACCTGCCATGAACAGATGGTGCGTAGCCAGGTAGGTATAGTTTACCAACCGGAGATGGTGCATTTGACGGTATATCCTCAAAACCTTTTGCCCCGCCTCGGCAACGTTAATGTAGATCTCATCTTCATCATCTGCATCTTCCATGTTGGAAAATGGACTGGAAACATCCTCTGCGGGTGTGAGCTCGCTAGCCAATTCCGGGGGAACAGTCAGACACTGTCGATATAGCATTATGAGAGTCTGCCAGTAATTCAGTTCGAGGAAGTCGACGGGGAGCCGCACGCCTATGTCATGGCGTGAGGGTGAAGAATGTTTCCACTCGTCCAGTCGACGATGGATGTCCTTCCTCCACGAACGGAAGGAGTCGAAGTCCTGAAGGAAGGGCGAGGGCAGATCTGAATTCATGTAGACGCTCGCGGTGTTGCCTGCCCTTTTCCTCGCAAAGCGGGCCTGCTGGCTTAGGAGGACATCCTGGATCTCCGACTGGAGCAATCGCAACTTGAAGTAGTGGTGTGCAACATATTTGTAGCTTGGTGACCCCGCGGGGGCGGCGATAAATCCTGCCTTGGTTATATACTTATCATCCAGCAAGGATGGGAAGTCCGTGGTAACTGCCTGATCAGCTATCCCAAACGGTCGGCCCACGCAGGTAGCCACCAGACGATCGAGACTGTAAGCGCACCACCATAGCCGCCGACGAAGGTCGCGCACCCACTCTCTCCGGCCTCGTTCGCGGCTGTCAATGCGCAACTTGCCCTTCTCTTCTTCGCTCACAGCTGTGGCATGATCAAGGCTCACATCTCCAACGTAGTCTATGCCTGTCCCGTCTTCATAATGAAGCCCCAGGTCGACAGCCAGTCGCATCGCAACCCCAACAATATACCAGAGACCCGGTGCGACGGGCCGAAGGAGAGCAAAACTGGCTAGAAGAAGTACTGCCTGCAGTTCCTCCAAGCCGCCAAAACTGTCTCCAGACGAAGAGCTAAGAAAGGACTCCAAGTGAACGATCGCAGATGCATGGTACTCCTCCGGTTGATACTGGTGGCTGGAGAGTCTCGCTCTCTTAGACGCACCTGTTGATACGGATGCATCACCATCGTGTTTATCGCCCTCCAATGCTGGATTCTTCTCTTCAAGTATTATACCCGCACCGATAGCGAAAACAATGTTGAGCGTATAGAGGCAGCGCGGGGATCGGTCTTTCTCATCCGTCGCATATGTACTGTCAAGTAATTCAACAAACTCCCCACGATGAAGGATGGGTACTTGGGGATTCGCATGTTCAAAGTAGAGGTCAACCAACTTGTCGGCGAGTTCTCGATCGGGAAACGATGCACATTTCATCATCGGTCTCTTCTGAAGCCCGAAGAATGAATCTCGCATGTTACCCCCTGCCATTCCCGTTGCACTATTCGGTAGACGTTCATTGGGGCGGATTGGACCACGCTCGGTGCTATTCCCGGAGACGGTGCTCTTGACCGCGGCAAAGACGATACGTGAGAAAGAAATCCCTGACGTGGACCCGAGATATCGGGGGTCTGACGTACCCTGCACCGATACCATTCCAATGTTTGAGACGAGATTATGTATCCTCTGATTGTCATCCTTCTCGTGCTGATCTGCATTCTGTCCACTGGATCCCGTATCGCTGCGCGGCCCTTCCGTGAAACCATCTTTGTCCCGTTTCACCTTCAACATCTTACCGCTGTCGGCCGTTGTCACATCCACTTCAGATGCGTCAGCCTGATGTGCTTGGGACTGCGCATCGCCATCGGACGCCGTCTCCACCTTAACTGCCTCGTCTTCATCGAAGGCCACGGCCTCTTTGAATCCAATCCCATTGTCTACCAGCAGTTTCTCCAAGTACGCAACTCTCGCCTCAAGGAAATAGACGTAACTGCGCGGAATCTCCCGCTTCGTGATTGGATCATAGCCCACGCAATGAACGCCCGCCTTTTCACAGGATTGGCATCGGGGAAGACGCTGGTCGCAGCGATTTTTCCGAAGACGGCAGCGATTACAAGCGGAGACGTTGCGAAAGGAGGAATAAGTGGTTGAGAGATTTGGGGCACGCTGATGGGACTGCGGTAGCGAAACGTTTTGCTGCTGTTGCTGAATTTCCGTAGTGGAGGAGTGCGGCCTTTTCCTCCCCAAGGAGGATGGCAGTGCTGATGACGAGGAATTCAGCATTCCGAACGACAAGCATCAACGAAGGGTCTACTAGCGAGCATCTCTCGACGACAACGGGAACCTGCAGAGTGGAGAGGAAGTACACGAAATCGGATTGGAAAGAGGCAAACTCTGGGGCGAGGATTTGGATGGTAGGAGTGAAGAGTGATTCCAAAGGAAAGCAGTATTCATATTCCTGCACCGAGGGAGGCCCGAGGGGAGTAAATCGCGAGTATAGATGATCCTTTTCTTTCCGGGCACGGAAGACAGGTAACGTCCACCTCCTCCTTCCAGAACTTGTAATGACAGCTGTCTCTCCACGGTCTACCTCCGCAAAAGTAATGGAATTGCCTGAAATGATTTGCCGGAACCAGCGGGGAGCCAGAAACGGGATTATTGACAATCGAAAGACTGCATAACACGCAGAATCAGGTCCCCCGAGAATAGCGCCTTTGCCGATGGGGCAAACGCGCGCTAACCGCTTCGAGCCAACCGCCGCAGATCTGTGTGATTAGTCATCTACAGAGTCTGGTCAAGGCGAGGAAGGAGCGGACGTCAGCCAGCCCAGTGTTTCTGACGACACGTAATGCAGGAGAGTTGAGGCAATAAGAATGATGGGATTCCGCAGCTGATGCTGAACATTCTTCTGTACTGTAAGCTGGAACAAGGAGGCTGTCCATTGAGCAGCTTCATCGGTGCCGCCATTGGCTGCTGATAAGAAGCTGCTGCATGGTTGGTTCTTGTTCTGCATCCCATCACCGCCCTCGCTAATATTATGCAAATAGTGCAAATAGTGCAAACAAGGTCGGAGATGGGGTCCTAGCTACCTAGAGGGCCGGAACGGAGAAACTGTCGGCACACTTAAAGAATTCCTAGGTATGGCAAGCCATGCATCGGTATATACTCATAAGTACGCTGAACTTTCGCTTAGCCTATGCATGTTTCCTGACCTTCCTGAACTCAACCTGACATAGACCAAATGTATGCTAAAGCTATGCAGGACATGATCTCAGAGCATGAAGCTATTATCAATTCAAATTGCTGATCAAAGAGTATCATAAATGAGGTATTTGACCATTTGATGTCGCTGGTTTGTCATGGTGCTGGGCCACCATACCAGTGGTATGGTGGAATCGCGGCCTGGATGCCATGGTGCTTAGGCTGTATGGCTCGACCATTGGAGGATGACCTCTTGAGAAATGTCCGGGGGCCACGCCCCCGGCATTTCAACCAATCATGGATTACTGTTCCGCCTGTACTGACCAACCACGTGACCCACAAGAAAGACATCTCTAACTCCTGTTCGGATTCTGTTTGTAGCTCTTCGAGCTACGTCTTGTCTATCTACCTGTACATAGCCTGACCCGTAGCCTGCTTGCGTGTCCAATCCAATCAATACCTGTTACCCGAGCCTGCACCTTGACATGGTTGGTCTATCAATCTTTCTCTTCTCTTCTTGATACAGCTTCTTCAGCCCCCTTCAATCCTGAACCTGCGTGTGCACATTGTCTACCTGCCCCCCAGGCTCACTGCCGCCGGGACCGGTCTTACGAGCTCACTAGTCCCCATATGCTAATAAATACCAGGGATTGATTATTCCCAGGGCTCTGGCAAGCTTCGCAATCTATGTGTTCAGCCAGTTTTGATCTATTTACTCCATTAAATTGGAATATATTTTCTTTCCAGATCTTAATTATAAGAGGAAATCATGGCCATCACGCTCCTTATCCAACAAAACTACCTGCACAAATAGCAGATGAAGTGTTAGAATGATAAGGAATCAGGAAACCCTTTGCATATGGATAGCTTATCATTAAAATACATTTATAGGCCGCTTCACCTGTTATGTACAGGCTAGGGAATTTTCAAAAGTCCAGTGCATTGAAAGGATCTATCCTTTAAGATGGTTGCTGGGAAGGTGAATGTCTTTTCTATTGCAGGCTGGAATGAAGATACTAAGCATATATCTAACATTGACCTAGAGGTTTTAGCGCGAAAATTTCTAGGCGGAGTTAATTTCAAGGTCGTCCGAGCTAAAACCCGGATTACAGCGTAAGGAGGTCTTAGGCGGAGATTAGTCGGATTAACGCCGTGTTGATGTAATATCGATAATGATCGTTGCGGAATCAATCCTAGGAGATAAATAGAGAGAAATCGCAATGGCTTGCTCAACAAAAAAAAAAAAAAAGGAAAAGGAAACAAGCTCTCAGGATGTCTCGATTGTTCACTCCAGCTCCCGCACCACCCACCCAGTTGGGCCAGTACCGCATCCTCTCCTCGTCAGCCGGGGTGCGTGTCTCCCCGCTGCAGCTAGGAGCCATGTCCATTGGCGACGCCTGGTCCAATTTCTTGGGCGGAATGGACAAGGAACGATCCTTTGCGCTGCTGGACGCCTTCTATGAGAAAGGAGGCAACTTCATCGACACAGCCAACAACTACCAGGACGAACAGTCGGAGACATGGCTGGGCGAGTGGATGGCCTCGCGAGGCATTCGTGACCGCATCGTGCTCGCTACCAAGTTCACCACGCACTACAGGTCCTACGAAATCGGGAAGGGCAATGCTGGGATTAATTATTCCGGAAACCATCGGCGCAGTCTGCACGTCAGCGTCCGCGATTCTCTGCGGAAGCTGCGGACGGACTATATCGATATCCTGTACCTGCACTGGTGGGACTACACGACCTCCATCAAGGAGATTATGGACAGTCTCCATATCCTCGTGGAGCAGGGGAAGGTGTTGTATCTGGGTATTTCGGATTCCCCAGCGTGGATTGTCGCAGCGGCGAACACCTATGCGATCGAGAACGGTAAGACACCGTTCAGCATCTACCAGGGTCTGTGGAATCTTCTCGAGAGATCATTCGAGCGTGACATAATCCCTATGGCTCGTCATTTTGGCATGGCATTAGCACCGTGGGGAGTGCTGGGTCAGGGGAAGTTCCAGACGAAAAAGGCACTGGAGGAGCGCAAGAAGGCCGGCGAGATCCTGAGGAGCACGCGAAACTCTAATTAGACCGAGGATGAAATCCGGGCCAGTGAGGCCCTTGCCAAGGTCGCAGCGGAGCACGGCATCGAGTCTGTGACTGCTATTGCGCTGGCGTACGTACTGTCCAAGGCACCGAATGTGTTCCCGATAGTGGGAGGCAGGAAGGTCGAGCATCTCGATGAGAATATTCAGGCGTTGAGCATCAAGTTGACGTCCGAGCAAGTCGAGTACTTGGAAAGCGTCGTGCCGTTCAACATTGGCTTCCCTAGTTCGTTCATCGGCGAGGACCCCAAGGTGACCAAGAAAAGTGCCTCGATTTTAGCTTCCACCGGCAATCTGGCTTTTTAGGTTCCTGATGGGTGTATCATACTGTCAATTTCTAATATATCCCGATAAATCATAATACTAAATAACTTTCGAATTTTTCTGATCTCAAAGCCCTAGGATCAACTCTAAATTCCGCGATAATAAAAGCTAGACAACTGAACTGTTCTGAAAACACAGAGACCTCCCTGAAAATTCATATGCCCATCGCTTATGCCCTCCTTCTATCAATTCGATATAAAATGATGAACAATGCAACTATACAAACGGAACAATAGCAAAGAAAAGAAAAAACAACTAAATGAGGCTGACAACAGACAGATGGCCACCCAGTAAGAACAAAAAAAACAACCATGATAGAAACAGATAGCCTCCCAATGCGTATGATTTTACCTGATATTATTGATGAATGTCCTGTTTCCCTAAAATTCCGTTCCCTTTAAATGTGCGATTCTTGTCCAATGGCGTGTATCCAGAAGAATTACAATCCAGATTCAGATGGTAGGCGTTGGATGGTCTGGACTTCAACGAAATGCAAATGATTAAAATAAGAGGCGAATGGAGACCCAGAGCTTCCCTGATGGACATAACGAAGCAAACATGAAAAGGGGGTATAAAAGAAAGTCAGTAAAGCGTGAAAAAGAATTGAATGATGTTTGCCCTCTCCCAGTCGGTTGGAAACAAAGAGGAAGAAGGGTTTCCAGGGGACTCAGGCCTCCTCATGGGACGACCTCCTGGTCGCACCCTCATCGGTGGCGGAAAGATCCAAGTCGTCGATGCCAAGTTCATCATCCATGCTTGATTGTGTCGGCGAAAGCAGTCTTCGTTCTTCCTCGGATATACACTCTCTCGGACGGCCCGCCGTCGAAAACGACCTGCGATGTTGATCTCTTCCGGTAGTCAATTCGTCATCTCCTAGTTTCTCTCCGCTGCTAGGTCTCTTTGCATCTGTCTCTTCCATCCAGAAGCTCTCGATGGCACCGATCAGGCAAACGAGTGCACATGCCCACCACGCAAGAACGGAATACCCACTCTGGAGGCCTTTGGAGTGCAAGAACCCGGTGACGGTTGGTCCGAAGGCGCGACTCAGGCTGGCTGTCGAGGCAGCAGCTCCGTTGATAGAGCCTAGGACTTTAGACGACGGGGCCGCGTTGGCAAGGAGGATGGCAGTCGCGGGAAAGCTGATCACGTGTAATGTGATCTTGCCGATCAATACAGCGTAGGCAGCTGGTATCTGAAGCGACGCTGGGAGAAGAATAAGATAGGGCACCGCGATGTAGAGTGGTGGCCAGATTAGAAGCACAAAGCGAAAGGTCCGGAGTGTGCCAAAGACTCGGACGACGAAGGGGAAGAGCCAGAGTTGGGCGACCATGGAATACACCCCCTGCACGGCCAACATGAAGCCAACCGTCTTGGTCTGCAACCCAAGGCCTCCGGTGAATTTAAATGGGAGAACAGCCTCACTATTTGATTTGGGGGTGCTCAGGAAGACGGGCATGAGCTGGTCGAAGGAGACACTATGACTGGAAGTGGGTGGTCAGCTAGATTACGGATACCTGGGAAGAAAACAAAAACTTACTAGGCAAGGATCCCATATGCAATGATGTTAAAGACCACTTGCTTTGTGAAGGCCTTTTGCAGACCGCATCCCCTACTCCTTATTTGTCCCTCGAGATCATCCTCATCGGAGACTGTGTCTGAATCTTTGGCTGGGTAGAGAACGGGAGATGACTCGACTCTTTCGTACTCCGGAGACGGCGACAGATCGCGCGGTTGTTTCTTTTCGACGCCATCGACCAGCCGGACCCGAGAGGGACCGAATTTTCCAACCAGCCAATTCCCCAACTCCAGACCAGGGTCACGACGGTGTTTCTTGTCGGGATGCGTCTCTTCAAGGAACAGAAGACCCACTACAACTCCCGCTAGCAGAACGACTACGCAGACCAGGTTGGGTAATAAGAAGGGGAAGCAATCGAAGATGGTGCCCTTCGGGAACAGGGAGGGATAGCTCTGGCACGGTTGGGCCAAAGCACCTCCCATGGCTGGTCCCAGAATCGATCCCAAACACCAGACGAACGGCATGATGGAATAAGCGCGAGGCTGGTGCTCCTTGACGGTGACGATCTCAGCTACGGTGGTCTGCAAGACACCGATATTCCCATTCAACAGACCCCCCAAGGCGCGGGCGATCATGGCCGTGGGCAGGTTGGGGGAAAAGCCGAAGACGATCATGCTGATGGCAGTTCCAATGAGACCCATGATGAGAACGGGCTTCCTGCCCATCCTATCGCTCATGCGGCCCCAGAACATGCCTGCAGAGAACTCTGCAAAAGTGAAGGAGGAGGTGATCATGCCAGCATACAAGGCGATCTTATCATCACTGTCCGCCACATGGAAGTCTTCCACCATGTGGTAGACATAGGGAAATATGGACATGAAAGCAATTGGCTCGCAGATTCGACAGAGAGCTAGTGACCGTCAGTACATGGTGAGCTTCATTTCTGTGCGGTGTCAACGTACCCAAGACGAAGAGCTGACGGACCGGAAAGGCAGCTAAGTCATTGGAGACATCACGACGCCGATGACGCCGAAAGCAGGACAGCAGAGTAGGCATATTGACGCGGTTGACAGGTCAAGCCACAGCTCAGAAGGTACGGTGATTGAAAGAAGTCGTAAGAGGCCAGGAGGGAGGGAGAATTAAGTTTCTAATGAAGCTGGATCAGCATATCTGCCTGGTAGGCAAAAGGGATGACGTCCCCGACTGTGCAGAGAGAATGAGAGGGGAAGCAGAGAGGTTAAGTAGAGCGAGAGAAGAGGAGGTGGTGAATGTCGAGGGATTCCTCCATCAGTCAGTCTCCGCGAGTGGGTATGCACAAATGGATGTGAGATAAAACACAGCACAGGACTGTCAATAATAATTAAATTGAAGCATGTTCTGTTGGATTTTTCAATTTATTTTCAATTTATTTTATTTATATTTTATTTTATTTTTCGTTTGTTTTATATATATATATATATATATTTTTTTTTTTTTTTTTTTTTTTAGTCTATTTCACAACGGCCCCTGCTTGCGTCCAGGACTCCAGCCCAACCTCATCCTCATTTCCAGAAGACCACAAGCAGCAAACGCAAACGGCACAGCAGCAGGAGCTCGAAACTCTCTCCGGCCAGGCGAGTTGAGTCAATCAAACAGCACGATGGATTAATTAAATGGCGCCAGAAAGTGCAAAGAATGGATCCAGGGATTCGGGGCATCGGAAGGGCGATTCCAACCAACAAGGGGGAGAATGAATGCCAGCCCACGATATCTGCTGGCTGACTACCGAACGCAGAGGCCAATGGGAGCAGCGCCACGGCAAAGAATCCGGGGACGTTTGAAGTTCCAGGATTGTGGTTCAGCAGACCGATCCTGGCGATCTCTCTGGAAGCGTATAAGCGAGTGCCCATCGCCCCGGCGAGATTGGCTGCTCCACAGCCCAGTAAGCACAAAACGAGGAAATGCGGTGTGCACGCCGCCAGACAAACGCGCTGAGGCTGAGGCTTCATCAGGCATCATCAGTTGACCAGCAGTTGTCTTCTCCATCGCTGCCAACGACCATGACGACATCGCGGTGACTGGTAAGGTTGCCAGGAAACCGGCCTGCTCCGGCTCAGCAATCACCAATCCGCGTGGTTCCTTGCGGGTTCCGGGTCGAGTCTGTATCCCTGTATCCTGCTCTGCCATCGTCCGGAAGTCTAAGTGTCTACGAGCCCACCGACGGGACCAGCGCGGTGCTTCTCCGGACGCGTCCAGCGACCTTCCTGCACGTCCGGGCACAATTACAATAACAACAGCGACAACCTTTCGATAACCTTGTGACATGGGACATGGGCTTTGTTCGGCTTCAGGCTGTGGAATCGGTGCAACCTATGTGCTATGCCACATCCACATCCACAAATACACTCAAACGCATTCTCGCTCCTGCATGGAACAATATGCAACCTGCAGCTTTGCCATCTGGCATATGCCAGGCTGGTGGTCGAGCCAAACTGTCGGGACTTGCGGTCAGCTATGACGTCTATCCTGGTGTAGACCTGAGGGAGGATGGGACCGCCCCATCGAGTGGCCCAATGTCAGTATTTGACCCGCAAATCCGATTGATGCGCTCTGTGTCTAATTTTGCTCGAGTACCAATTAATACGCCCCAGCTGGCCAATGAATGTGAGGTATCGCGCTCTGCACATGGATCGGAGATCCCCCGAGCAATGCAGAAAAATTACGGAAGAAAAGGGGAAAGCAGAGCAGAAACAAAGGACCTGTCTCCCCTCCCGCTTCCCCGGACAAATGAAGTTATCCACATCCCCAAGCTGAGAAGGATCTTGAAACATTACACGACCCTTCAGATCCATCATCTGCATTCCATATTCAGGTTAAGCACTGCTCTGTATGGAGTACATGGGAGGCACTATGGGCCCCTAGTCTGTGATCCTGGGCCCGTACTTTGTCATCGCCCGTACTTTTGTCCCTTGCAACTTGCAACCCGTGAATCACTGCATAATAACATGGCGTCTGCGCCACACGGGCTGACTTGTATACAGCGCTACAGAAATCCGGTACCTGCCGAGCCCGGAATCATGACCCGGAGCCGCGGATTCATCGCAACCACGGTTCGCCCTATTAAGAGACAACACTAGTGCGGTGTGTTTTTGAACCAGCGATGTATGATTATTATTTATTTATTATTGCCAGCGTTGGGGAGAGATCCGGCACATGATCATCTCTGGATCCATTGGGTTATTGAACTCAGTTGGGCCTCTTTTTCTGTGTTTCCAGTGCCGATCAGCCATGGAATGCTTGCTTGATATCTGCTCGTCCGCCGAATAAATGGGTCAAATTCTCCTGTCCCGGCTGGCAAGGGGAGCGTTCCCGTTTGTTCACTACGGCATCGGAGTTGCAGTAAAATATCGGTATGATCCGCGGAGTTGTCCCCTGTTACTAACCATCAATAATCATTCGTCCTTTATGCGTATCCTTCAATCTCGAGCGTTTGCATGTCGGTGACGTTACTGTTAATTTGTTTCTTACAAAGCATCCCGTGCTTTTTATCCCTTGAAATATCTAGGAGCAGTTAATTATAATCGATTGTATCATTGATTATTCATACACCATGTCAGTGAAAGGAAACTTTGAAAGACGGGAATTAAGAAATTAAGCTGTTGCAAGGTTGTCCCAACCTTTGGGTACACCCAAAGGGGAACGTAGGCGCAACGCTTTAGCTTTATCGTTATTATTATCTACTGTTGGCTGTCGGTTGCGGTGTCCATACTGCAGCGTACTTTGTATGACTATGACATGCTCTCATGTTGGGCATGCCCGATTACTTCCAGGCTGAATGTTCAACGCAATCGTGCCGACAAAGCTGTCGTCTGCTTCCTTCACCCAACAGATGCAGGGTTTATGACATAGTCTGCTGGGCCATTATTCAGGCTGGCATTGGATTGTTGGCACTCCCAACAAGCATGGACGGCTAGCTATCCGGGTGACTGTTCGATTCAAGACTGGAAGAATGAAGTCCAATTAGTTAGGCATGCTGCGATTGAACTCGTCTCTGCCTAGGCATTTTCTATTGTCTCTCGATGCAACGGGGGGCTGCCGAAACCAACATGGACGCACAATGGTATAACCGCCCGCGCCAACCGATGCTAACAAAGAGATTGCGAGTCTCTCTAACGGACAAAGATACGTACGAATGGCCTTCCATGTACATCGCCATAAGTACCATGCATGTTCCAACCTTGCCGATAACGTGGGGGTTTGAAATTCATATCAATCAGCGCTTATCAGAACCGCCGGACATGAATCTCACGAAAAATGTAAACCCGTGCAGTCTGCCTCCGCAAATAAAATCGCCAACGTAGCGCAGTCTAAATGACTCCGCACTGTCCTCGTGACAACCGCCGAGAGGATTGCATATGCATGGACAGACGGTATTGCGGTACTCCTCTTTACGACAGAGTAGATGTCTTATTCCACGCTTGCCTACAGACAATGACATTAGACATCATTCTTTCTTGCTTGCATACAGACCCTGGTCTTCCATGCAGTGGAGTATCACGAGGTGCATAGCTAGCGCGGAAAAAGAAATGATGACGTGCCGCTGTTATCAGAATGACTGTTCATGCAATCATTGCTTGTTGACGGCCAAATCTTCTTCTGGAATGAGCACGATCCTTTTGGTCACCGAATATAATAACCCGGGCTCAGGGACCGTTTTTACAGCGAGTTTGGGTCACGCCGTGCACGCACGTTCATTGCAATGCCACTCTTGCATTGGCCATGCATGAGGGAGGGTTCGGGGTTTCGGGGATGTCGTGGACGGAATGTGCCCGAGGTTGCTGAATCCCTACACCGCTATAGTCATTTCACTCAAAGGGGCCATGTCGGAGCTGGAGGGGGATTCCAGACATAGAGCCAGAGTAGATAGAGAGGAGCAGCAGTTGTTTCTCGGAAGTTCAAAAGTCGAAAACTCGAGCACTTGTGTTGTTATCTCCATGTGACTTTTATCATCACGTGCTAATCTGGATGCTCAATTTCGATTCAGCTTCCTAAAGCTTCCCTCAAGAGCTGCAGCTCCTCAGTTGCTTGGTCGTGGCTATCACTGAATCGTTCTATCTGGAAATGAAATGAGTCGCAGCGTACAGTTAACTTGTTCTTGACAGACAGGTCCATCAGAACGTGCTCATTCCATAATGCACCTTGTGTACTAACTGCACCCAGAATGTCGAAGCGACACGCGGATCTGCTGTTTTCATTCCGTCCACTCCTCAGGCGGGCCATTCACGTACAAGAGTACAGAGTGCACGTATCTGGCATACCTAGGATATGCCATCGATGCCTCAGTACCGACGCTAAGCCTACACCATCGGGCCGCAATAGTAATCCAGCGGTCCCGAAACCGTCACCAGATCTCTCGCATTTAAATCCCCCGCCTGATGACTATTCTCGGTTCATATTCCAGGACAAATGTCGATCCGTTATTTATGCCGGATCCGGCGGTAACGGGTGCGTGTCCTTCTTGCGGGAGAAATATATCGAGGAAGGTCCTCCGAATGGCGGTGACGGGGGCAGTGGCGGGAGTGTCTATATCCAGGCAGTTGAAGGTCTTACCAGTCTACACAAACTCGCCCGCAGAGGTGTCATCAGAGCTGGTCGGGGGAAGCATGGTCAGGGCAAGAGCAAGGGCGGCAAACGAGGGACCGATGTTCTAATACAGGTTCCCGTCGGTACCGTCGTGCGGGAAATAGACCGATATGACCCTGTCGCGGAGGTGGAGAACCGCTTGCGGGAAGTCTCTATTGAACTGGACGAGGATGGCGAACTTGAGATGCCCTCCATCGATCGTAATCGCTGGGTGCTCTATCCCGGGTCGAAGCCTTCCGATTTCTTGACCACGAAATTTCCGAAGCCCGTCCCTCGGAGGCAAAACATCGCCGCCATGGAACCCAAGGCTCCCATCTATCTAGACCTCTCGCAACATATGGACAAACCCATCCTACTGGCTGCTGGCGGTGTTGGAGGACTGGGCAATCCGCACTTTGTCTCCCGATCGATGACTCGGCCGAAATTTGCTTCCAAGGGAGAAGGGGGTGTGAGACTAGAACTTGACTTTGAGCTCAAGTTACTGGCGGATGTCGGGTTGGTAGGGAAGCCTAACGCCGGGAAGAGTACACTACTCCGGTCCTTGACCAACAGCCGCACACGCATTGGGAATTGGGAATTCACTACTCTATCCCCTAGTATCGGCACCGTTGTCATTGATAACCATACGGGAAGGCCTCTCGTCGAATCCAAGGGGAAAATTCCCCGAACAAACTTCACCATCGCAGATATCCCCGGTCTCATTGAGGATGCCCATCTTGACCGTGGACTTGGCCTAGGATTTCTGCGTCATATTGAGCGCGCTCGCACGTTGGCCTTTGTTGTTGATCTGAGTACTGATGATCCAGTAGAAGGGCTTAAGATATTATGGAACGAACTCGGCCAATACCAACGGTTGCGCGACTTGGAGGTTCCCCCAGAAAGCGATGAAACCAATGACGTCCGTGGTCTTCCAGAATTGAACGTCCAGCATGGTGATGATGTCGGGGTTGATATTACGCCGCTTCGACTGAAACCACTTCCTCCCCTCACGCTCCCATCTATTCATACAAAGCCATGGTTTGTTGTTGCTACAAAGGCAGATCTTCCGGAGACGCGGACCAAATTCGAGTACTTGCAAGAATATCTTTCCCTCGTCGAGCGGGGTCTCGTTGAGCTTCCAGGATCCCTGAACCAGAAGAGATGGAATAAGAAAATTCATGCGGTTCCAGTAAGCGCTATCAGGGGAGAGGGTGTCAGTCGTATTCCGAAACTGGTCATGGAGTTTCTGGACGAGTGATTGATCCATAGGGGAGGCTTTGTTTGTAGCGCACACATGCAACTTTTGGCATCAATTGGGCATAAAACGGGAGGCGTTCATTGCTTTGATGCTATACATTGTGACTCTGTCATATTCCTTCATGCAGTCATGGTTCTTGGGATATCCATGTAAAATAGCTGGCTTCGTCTTTATCGCCGCAGTAGCATAGGCATCTATACGCACATAGTTGATCGCAGATATTTTTGATCAAAGACCAGGTAACGGCAGTAAAAGCATTTATAAACTGGCAAAAGGGTAGTTTTTATTAATTTACACTTGAACCCCTTCTACTACTGCCAGAATCCACTTTTCTCCCCGGCGTTTACTATTCGCGTTGATGACGTGAATTGGAAAGGAAATATTATCCCTGAACAGCAACACTTCTACTACGAAAACAACAACGCACAGAAAGAAGAGCACTTGGATAGGTAATAGATCAGAACCTATCACCCACACATAAATCAACTCTGAGTATCAGCTTGACCAAGGCTCATGCATGCCTCTCACACCAGAGCAGCTGGATAATGCGCCTCCAAGCTCAGCTAGCAGACGCGCTATCCGCAGTCACAGACCCAACGCCCAACGACCCGATCCTGGAATGTCTTAGCGACAGCCCTACAGGTAACTATCATGACCTTGTCCTGGGTAGTTCCGAACAGGCTCTACAAATTGCAGACGCGAAACTACACGTTTACCCATTCAAAGACGTGAAAACGTGCTGGAGACGGCTATACACAGACGCGAGCCTTGTCAAAGCCTGCCTTGCTATATGCAACGGCTGCGGACTGCAAACCTCGAACCCGCAAGGGACACACACCAAAGATGTCTACACAGGTCTCATAAAATCACTCCGTGAAGATGGCGGGGAGTGGAAGATTAGTCCCCACGCTCCATGGCTCTCGCCTACCGTGCACATCCTGGACAAGGCGCTGATCATGACCGGTGCTCCGATGCGGGAGGCTCTCATTGAGAATCTGCTCTCAGCTCTTCAGGATGCGACAGACAGCGGGACTAATAATCCTGATTACGACGACGATGTCGACATGGAAGGCCAGCGTGCTTCGAAGAAGAGGAAGATCTCCCCGCCTCTCTTCCCGCCCGAGAGTGTTCGGGAGCCTCTGTTGAAATATCCCGTTCGTCGACTGTCGGCGCCTTCTTTCGACTCGATCGAGAATCATATTCAAAATGTTCGCACTCCGCTTGTTATTACTGATGCAGTGAATCACTGGCCCGCTCTTTCGTCCCAGCCGTGGGCGTCGAGAGATTACTGGCTCCAGCGCACTTTTGGTGGACGGAGGCTTGTGCCCGTGGAAATTGGTAGATCGTACACGGACGAAGGCTGGGGGCAGCAGATCATGGAGTTCAAGGAGTTTATGGACAAGTATATCTGGAGAGCGCATTGGGGGGCGTCGCACTCTCATGGTAATACGGAAGACGACGACGATGGTGACCAGACAGGATACATGGCACAGCATGATCTACTGGCTCAGATTCCAGCTCTGCGAAAGGACATCTGCATCCCTGACTGCTGTTACATTACTCCTCCGGCACCGGAGCCTGGCAATCCGGTCTACATGAAGAGGCAGCGTGAAAAGGAAGAGGCGCAGCGATCCAAAGCATCCCTCGAACACGCAGCACACGGCTCTAGCCCCGAATCATCGTTGCAATCTCACGAACAGACCCACAGGGGAAAGGATCCAGTTGATCACGAATCCGATACAGACTCAGAACTCGGTGTTCCGAGCGACCCCATCATCAACACCTGGATCGGCCCGTCATGGACTATCTCCCCCCTTCACCATGACCCTTACCATAACATCCTAGTCCAGGTTGTCGGGGCCAAGTACATCCGTCTCTACTCCCCCCACACTCCTGCTTCCCGGGTGCACCCACGAGGAATGGAAGTGGTCGGTTCATCCACGGAGAGGGGTGGATCATTGTCAGAAGTTTTCCAGGATGGTGGTCAACGACTCATCGACATGTCGAATACCTCTCAGGTCGACGTGGCCGCCATCGAACTCTCTCCCGCCGAGTCCGAACAGTGGGAGTCAATGTGGCCCGGATTCTCGCAGGCCGAGTACGTCGAGACTGTCCTTAAGGAGGGTGAATGTCTGTATATCCCCGTTGGATGGTGGCATTATGTGCGCGGCTTGAAGGCCGGGATCAGCGTTAGCTTTTGGTGGGAGTAGACTACTACGTTGTTGCAACTGAGAGCACTGTTGGGTTTTATTCTGGCAGTGAGTTGGGAATTTTTCATTCCGGCGATGGGTTGAGGATTGAATATGCGAGGGGACTTGGTCTGTACAACAAATCACCAGTATACAATTAGATAAGTACCTAGACGTTGAAAATTGAGGAAGATACAAGGAACTACACCGGAACTGAACCGTCTATCATTTCTTACGAATACTGTAGAATCCTGCAGGACAATTTAAGATCGATCGGCAAACCACCGATACGATATCACATCTTCGTCTTCATGCATGCATACGCCACAGTTCCTGTCCCACCTTTACATGGATGGATCTCTCTCTAGAATAATTAAAGCCTGAAGCATTATTCGTGTCTATCAGGCTATGCTAGATCCATAGTATGGGGAAATAATAAGATGGGCCAATGCATGTGCACACTGCGTACAGTAGTTAGGTATTCTTCAAGAAATAGAATACATGCATGACACTGTGGGATGCTGCATATGGAGTCAGTCATGTCTATGATCCCACAGCATGGATGCATCCTGCCATCCTACTCGAGGGAATATCATGGTTCATTCAGCATGGAGTATATTGGATATATACAAACTCATTCCAGATTCGCATGAAATAGACCTATCCCTCCTTCAAGATGTACCTGCTTTCTTCCGCACCAGAATCATACTCTTCCCAGCCTCCACCACATCATTCGGTTTAATCAATACCTTCTCCACCGTGGCACCCTCCACGGCCGGGTCGGCACGAACAGCAATCTCAAGCTTCATGGCTTCGAGGACCGTAAGTATTTGTTCCGTCTTGATTACATCTCCAGGTTTAACTTGGACTTTCCAGACGTTGGCACTTAGGGGCGACTCGATGCTGTGGATTTGTGGATCTACCCGGGGGTTTCGAAATCAGCAGGCTGGATATTATACGCAGCCGTCTGTTGTAGGGTGGTGTGAATGCTTACCTTTCAACAACTCCTCAATCTCATCCATAGGAACCTCCCTCCCCTGCTTCTCCTCATGCCACTTCTTCAATAATTCATCCTCGAGCTTATCCATCTCCGCCTGTGCACTCCGCTGCCGCGTTCGAATGCTCGAAACTTCATCGCGCGTGTTTCGAAGGAGTTTATTATGTTCAGCCATGTCAAAGAGGACGTTCTCGTACTGATATTCGTATCGACCGCTATTGAATAGGGCGAGTTCCTTTTCGTATTCTTCTTCCGTGACGCGGTAGAAGGTTATTTGGTCGAAGTCTTCGAAGAGCCAGGGTTTTGTGGAGCTGTACCCGGTTTTTGAGCCCAGTATGTCGACGCCGGGGATGGTCATGCCGGTTAGTTGGTAGCCGCCTGGGGAGTCGACGTTGTATAGGCTTTTTTTTTTTTTTGCGTTAATAATGTATTTTCGCGCATTGGGTGATTGTTTAGGGTTTTGGGTATTTAGGATGCTGGATTGGGGAGATAAGAAGTAAAAAGTACTCACGCCATACAGCTTCCACCCCACGACACAGATCCTGCAGGCGTGTAGATCCTGCTAGGATTCGTCTTGGGGCAATTCATACGTTGCCGTGGATCAACAGGGAGCGAAAGCGGGAGGGCCATGAAGAACCCGACAGCAACAACCATGAACTGGGCAGTGAGGAAGACGTTCTCGAATTCTTCGATCGTGAAGGCGTTGTTCTTCGCTACAAACGTCATGTTATCCGGTAGATAGGACGCATAAGGCCGTTGGGTTTCCATGTAGCGCTGCACTGCTTCTTCTTGCCTCTTGCTTTTGAAGGTGAGAGGGAGTTTGAATATGCGGCTAGGCATTTTGGCTGCGCTCAGGTCTCCAAGGGCCGTTTCCATGTTGCAGAGGTGGTTGAGTAGGTCCTTCTGTGTGATTTTTCCGCCGTCGTAGTAGATCATCAGGGCTATAAGACATGGGTGAGAAGAGATCTAATCTTGATTCTTGACGAGACTTACAATTTCCACAGCCTACAGTTCCTATTAGCCCCGATGAAAAGGTAATGGCTCCAGTTGCTTCGGCTAAGCGTTTCTTCAAGGCCATGGCCCTGCAGCGGTGATTTAGGTCGAATGCACCATGACCATAGTCAACGAGGAGATAGTCGTCGCCTCCCTGGAGGTTTGTTTAGCTATGCTAGGCCGTTTAGCAGGAAGGAAAAGCATCATGCTCACTTGTCTATAAGAAACAAGGGGCTGGTTCCCACTCTCTTCTATTTGTAGAATGACACCGCTACCACGATCTTCACTCTTCAGTCCGGAAGGACGAACCGTCTCCAAAGGGAGGACGTCAGTGAACCCGCCTTCAGCGCAGCATTTAACAACCTCATTGACAAACTTCTCCGTGTCCATGCGAGCAGAATATGCGTCCTCCCAGGAGACAGCCTTATATCTGATAAAATCCCCGGCCTTAACCTGCCCTAATTTCCACAGGTCTGCCTTCACGATCGTATGGCTTGACACGAAGCCTCCTAAATCAGGACAATCAACTGGCAACATAACAGGGTCGTCACCTGTCCAATTAAGTGTACCTATTGGATATCCGTATTCGATGACATTGCTAGGATGTGCGCCGCCCTCTCCACCATCGGAGCGTGCCCAGATGGGTTTTGGCCCAATGAGCCGGATTCCGCCTCTTGCTGCGTTGTGGGAAACCTTCCAGTCGGTTTTATATAACATATCAATGCTTGCCGAGGCAATGTAACCTTTGTCATACGGTCCAGGCATAGCCAGCAGCTCCCAGCGATCAAGATATTTGGGGATGAGATTCTCTGGCAAGAATAGATCACCTTCGATGTCTGGAATCGTACTCGTAATGGATAGGAGATCACCAGATGCCAGCTGTCGTCCCTGGTAGCCTCCAACGCCGACCATAGGAGATGTTGCTTTTGACCCAAACCACTTGGCGATGTTCGGGAAACCTCCAAATACAGCAAGGTAGGCCCTACAGCCACCTGCGGTAGTTTTGCCAATAGTCAATCGTTGACCGGCTGATATCTTGATGCGAGACCACATTGAAATGGGAACACCGTCGAGCTTCGCTTCCATTGGTGCTCCGCAGAGGGAAACAATAGCTGGTCCCAGAAAGTGCAAATCTGGCCCGCTTAGAGTAATCTCCAAGGCCTCGAGACCGACCGGATTACCAACAAGGGCATTTGCAATTTGGAACGATACCGGATCCATTGGCCCAGAATGACAGAATCCTTTCCCAAGGGTCGGGCGTCCAGGCCAGTCCTCAATGAGCGTATAAGAACCACTAGAAATGACATCAATCGCAGCAGGACTGAATTGGAAGTCATTTAGAAACCTTGTCAAGGTATTTCCGGTAACAAAACTATCGTCTGAAAGTATTTTCGCTAGAAACTCCAGGTTCGTTGGCGGGCCACAGATACATGACTCTGTCAAGAGAGTTCGCATTCCTTGTATTGTCTGTGCCCTTGTTGGGGAGTGGTACATAACCTTTGCAAGCAGAGGATCTGAATCTTCGATCAGTTTCCCTCAGAAAGTGGCATATTCTTTCTTGGGACGTACCGTAGTTCGCCGATACCTTAATGCCTCTATAGACCCAGGTATCAATCCTCGATCCTGGGAGTTCTTTCCACTCCACGCTTTGTAGAGTTCCAGGACATGGGACAAAATTCTTAACAGGGTTCTCTGCATATACTCTGGCTTCAATAGCAGCACCAGACGGGGTTATTTGCGACAGCTTTGCCAGGCGAGACGGTTCCAGACCGCCCTTTCCTGACAGCTGAGCATCAGCTTGCTCCAGCATGAGCTGCACCAAGTCAACCCCGTAGCAAAGTTCAGTAATGCCATGCTCAACCTGCAGGCGTGTGTTCATTTCCAGGAAGAAGAATGCACCCGTCTCATCGTCAACCAGATACTCAATTGTCCCAGCAGAACCATACTTTGTCGACTCGGCTAGTCGGACGGCAGCTTCTCCCAATTTCTGACGTAGACCAGGATTTCTCGTCACAAAGGGACTTGGGCATTCCTCTATTACCTTCTGATGTCTGCGCTGGATGGAACATTCACGCTCACCGAAAGAAATAGCCTTCCCCTGTCCATTGCCGAAAACTTGTACCTCGATGTGATGGCTTGACGGGTAGTAACGTTCAATAAACATCCCAGCGTTCTTGAACAGAGACTCGCCTCTGGATTTCACAGTCTCAAACGACTGTCGTACCTCTGAATCTGAATGGCATGTAAGTAAGCCCATCCCACCGCCACCGGCGGTAGCTTTGAGCATGACCTATCGCCAATATCTGTTAGCCTTTGCGCTTCTTTTTTCTTCTTGCAGCACTCGATAGATAAATACCGGGAAGCCCAATTTGGTAGCTACCTCAGCAGCTTCCTCCTCGCTTGTAACCAGGCCAGAACCTGGTACTATGGGAACTCCAGCGGCTGTGGCTAGTTCTCTGGCAGTATGCTTCAGTCCGAAAGCTTCGATGCTCTCGGGAGAAGGTCCTACAAAGACAAGGCCCGCACGAGCGACCTCCCTTCCAAATTCCGCATTCTCGGAAAGAAATCCATAACCAGGGATGATGGCGTCTGCGTGGTAACTTTTGGCTATTTCAATAATTTGATCCCTTGACTAAGTCAGAGATATATGCTACTAAGCAGGTTTACAATAGGCCTTCCACTCACCCATCGAGATATGCCCTTGAGGGAGGACCAGATAGTAACACCGCTTGATCGGCCAGACGGACGTGGGTCGAGGCAGCATCAGGCTCTGTGTACACGGCAATGGTTCGGATGTTTAGTTTCCTAGACATGATAATGGATAAGCTAGTGACTTCTTCATATGTGTCAGAGTCAGTACTTGGCTGTCTTCAGGATTCTCACTGCAATCTCGCCACGATTGGCGACCAACAACGTCTTCAGCGACTCCATTGCTAGGTATGGGCAGTATGGATACAGGACATGCACGGCGTTTGGAGGGAGTTATGCTGCTGAAGAATAAGAGCTGGTGGAATAGTATTTTTTCTGATCGGCCAACTTCGACAAATTATAGCACATCGATCGACAACCATTTATCATTCATACTATTTGAAGTCAAAAATCGTTGTTCTCTCCTTGTTGTCAACAACCGCGGAAGCTGCAGCTACCCCTCAAACCCCTCACTGTTTATTATCAGGGATCCACTCGGACGGTCCGAAACAATTAATAAGATGGAGGGGTGATAATAATAATGGACTGTTCGCTATAAGCATGGAACCAAACTGTACTAATTCCATGTCTTTGCAGCTGTGCGAACCAGTACTACAGTGAACGAGGGTGCATAACAATTGCCCGCCATCATGGCTCCGATACAACAAAAGGCGTTGATCAACTGCGACATGGGAGAGGCGGTATGTAACTCCATCTGGACTCATTTGCAAAGACAAAAAGCGGGGAAGGTGGCATTGACTGTATTCAGTACGGCAACTGGGTGTGCGGCCCAGATCTCGAACTACTCCCAATGATCGATATAGCCAACGTCGCTTGCGGCTTCCATGGTGGCGATCCCCTGATCATGATGGAAACGGTCAGAAACTGTAAAGCGCACAATGTCAAGATCGGAGCGCATCCTGGCCTGCCCGATCTCCAAGGTTTCGGTCGACGCGAGATGAAGCTTAGCCCGGACGAGCTGACTGCCATGACCATTTATCAGGTCGGGGCACTGAAGGCCTTCCTGGACCGCGAGGGCGTACCTCTCAACCACGTCAAGCCGCATGGGGTGCTGTATGGGATGATGGCTCGGGATTATGAGGTGGCCAAAGCAGTCATGCTTGGTATCCCAGAGGGCGTTCCCGTGTTTGGACTGGCGGGAACATGCATGGAACAGGCTGCTAATGATCTGGGGATTGAGTTCTGGGCTGAGCTGTACGGTGATGTCAAGTATGACTCGAAGGGGATGCTGGTCATTGACCGTAAGAAGAAACCGTGGGATCTGAAGGACGTGGAGAGGCACGTCCGGCAGCAGCTGGAGGAGCAGTCGGTTACTGCGACTGACGGCTCCATCGTATCGCTGCCATTAAAAAATTATCCGCTGTCAATCTGTTGCCATTCCGATTCCCCTGGCTGTGTCGACATCATTACGACGACGAGGAAGGTGGCGGATGATTTCAATCGGAAGTATGGGAAATAGATGATTGTCACGATGATTGTCATACCGTGCTGTATTTATATATCCGCGGGGGTGTGAAATTGATTTTCTAATTTTCTACAGTAGATATCATATGTTCTACCTTTTGTATCCCGAATTACAGCAAATCAATATAGAATCCGGTATGGTGTAGTGGCTAACATCGCCGTCTCTCACACGGCAGCCGGGGGTTCGATTCCCCCTACCGGAGTTGTTGTTTCTTTTTCTCTTTTTTCTTTTTTGGCCCCTGGTATTAAATCATCCGGCATACGGGAGGGTATTTATTTGGGCTATTGTTTTATTTAGTATTGCCAGTGATGTCGGCAAGAGCACCCAAGTCAGGAGCTTGGACACGACGTCCTTTTTGGATTGCTGGGTTACAGTTGCTCTTCTCTAACAAAGCCCAATGTATATATAAATAACTAGTTATATATCTCTCAGCTTAACTATCTATCTGAATGACTAATTATTGTCCTGCTTTTTCAACCACAGCCACTCTCTGGATACCTTGTTGTCTCTCTGCAATCGCTCGCATTCTGTTGTCGGATTGAAAAATGGTCGAAAACATGCGCTGGGAGACGGCTTGAAGTGATTCCCATTCAGCTTGGCGTGGTGTTGTGTTTCGCCCTGTAAAGGCACAGTCCAAGCAGCGCCTATCTCTGAAGCCGTGCTCGCTTGATTTGAGGGCAAAAAGGAAATGGAATCCCGTGAAGGAACAGGAACTGCGCTTTGGTTCCTTGAATCAATCAGTACAACAGGACTCGAGGCCAAACGTGGATTGGAAGGCGTGGCATCCATTGCTGAATTGCCATCCACCAAGCATCCATATTTGAAATTAGTTCAGGGCATACTCAAAGAAATCCACTACCTAGCTGCCTTCGCCGCTTTGGTCTATAGAAGTCCTCGATCTCCAAACAGGCGGGCTTGTTGGGAGGGGCGGGCTGGTGGCTAGAGCAGAAAGCAGAGGCAGGGTCCAAGATGCTAGAAATTGGTGGAAGAGAAACTGGATACAGATTGTCTCCTGCCATATCTCAGCAAAGCACGTATCAAGCGTCTTAAGTGAATAGGATGCCTACCGTCAGGTTCTGTCAGGACTGATTGTTGACAATGCCCTGAATGTGGTTCTCTTCCACAATGACTAGCAGCTGGGTTGTATTGCTTATAATACTTCGCAAGATCATCTCCCGCAGCCCTGAGATCACAGTGCAGGTGTTTACACACCTTTTCAAGTCTACTATGGTCAGCTCATTACTCCATGGAATTGTAAGCATGAATTACACATACGGTACCAATCCTTGGGAGTAGCAGAAGGTGATACAAGGCACAGATAACTGCATACAATAAAGCCCCTTGCTATTGGCGTATATTTTCGATTGCAGCTCTTTCTGGAAGACATGGGATGTTTCTTTACCATACTTGCTCCACTGTGCCAGAGAAGCCAAATCCGGAGCAACTGAAGAATATCAGTACATACACAAAATTTTGAAAGGGGGATCTGACAGTGATATGGTATGGCACCGCTTCTTATATCCCATTCGCCATGTACACGCAATTGATCAATGTCTTGCGTTAACCAAACAGCTCCTGACCGAAGCGATGCAAGGTATTGATCATAGTAGGGATGGCAGATTAGCATTAGATTGTTTCCGGGCCTGGAGTCGTTCTCGCATTATCGTATTGGCCTTGTTGTGAGCCCCTTCCTTGATAGCAATATGACTGAAAACAGCAAAGAGATAGACCAGATACTTGGAAAGACCTTTGGTAAATGGAACATTTTGCAGGACGTTGGCAACTGTAGTCACGGGACGTTGGGATTGCAGCAATTTATCTAAAACTGCCTCAGCCTGCTTTAATTGATGCCAGTCCTTTGCTCGTAATATTCTTCGAAGAAAACCATCGAGACTCTTCAAGTGGGTTGGAGTCGATTCCAGCAAAGGAGGCGGAAGAAGATCAGGGGCTATAGTGGACCTGATATGCTCAAGTACAGTTGATGGAACCTTGTGCCAGTGATCACTTAGGACATTGAGAAGTCCATCAAGCCAGTCTGCTTTTCTGTTGCAACAAAGCAATATCTTGAGGCATATCCTCATTCATCATCATCCTCAATCGCTGGGGGCGGCGATTGCGGTAGGAATCTGGGGTGGGGGATTTTGGGTAAGACGGATTCCCCAAGGTCAGTTGGAATGTCACATGTACACTTTTAAGTGCTAGGAGGGCGAAACTGATATTTAACGTCAGAACCCGTGCATGTACACGCTTATTTTGGGTGTTCAGAGGGTGGCACGTAGTTGCCTAGGTGGTATTAGTTTTTACTGTTGTATTTTTACAGTAGTAGTCATCTACCAACTTTACTCTCCTTGTGCCTAAGCATGTCAAAACCCCAGGGCAGTCCAGCGAGTGAGATCATCCTGCATCCTTCATATCAAAGTGGGGGGTTCTCAAATTTCTCATGCGTCAAGGCTAGAATTTTCTGTGCAATTACTGCAAATACACGCGGAAATTGCGGAGCGGACGCTCAGATTGTATTGGGATGTCCGAGATGCAAGGATCATGAAGGAGCATTGCCATGGAGAGGATGTACTGAATGGGGGTAAGATTGTCATGCTGTTGTAACAGTTGGCGATCAACTCCATTGCTGCAAACCGTCTCTCTGAGTAACCCTTTGGCACTGGGGGTGTCGGTCATGGTTGAACATAGCTCTCTCGTTAAGAAGCAATAGTCGGCATGGTGTGGTAGATCTGTGTATACTAGCTCCGCAATCCTTGCTGGCATCTTGATATTGCCGCCAACCTAGGCCTATCATTATTATTTGTAAAGTGATTTCTGCACGAGCATTTGCTAACTTCACTAGCTAGGGCTCAGGTGTCAGAGCCGGGAATAAGAGATGTATCCTCGATGGAACCTTATTCAGCCGTTTAACTATCAATCAGCACTCTACGGAGTAAAATGTTTATAATGGATTCGTAGTGCCCCCGGCACACTACGAAAACCCCCTGAGCCATTTGGACCAATCCCCAGCCCAAATTGGGGCAGACAGCCCTACGGATGAAGAATTATGAGAAAGCCCTAACTACCTGAAATCCAATTCCTTCAAAATAATGTTGGTAGGAACCAAAACAATATGCTTGGCTGCCTAGAATTAAGCCTGGAGAACAAAAGCCTGTATGCAGTCCTATATTACTGCCCATGGAGATTGTAATGACTTTAATGAGCGTATTGAGTAGTTGGTTGGGCGCAGGAGCTCAGCTAGCCAACTAATGATTTTGACGCACGGTGGGTGGTTGCAGCTCGGCTGGACTCGGTTTTTACCTCCGCGAGCCGTTCCTGCTTATTAAGATAAATTACCGTGTACACAGGTCACGCGAGCTTTCCCGAAAGGTCAAGTGAGCTATCTCCACCCTCACGTGCTGCCAAGACTATTATTAATCAATTTCAGCTCGCACGAGCTCTATAAATTCTTTACAATACTAATTGAATTTCATATTGCTGAAGTAAGGTCGAAGTAAGAGGAAGTATGAAAGGGTAAAGTAAAAGAAAAAGGAAAGGCTCACGAATAACCAAGCACTTGTTCATTGCTTGATATTCCAGCAGTGAGGCAGAAGTAAAAGGAAATGAAATAGCTAAGCAGTTGTGAAGTACTTATAAAGTGCTTATTGAACCTCAAAGTCAGGTTCAAGTAAGGTAGACTTACGACTTTGTAGTCAGGCAAAGTAAGATTACCCTTAGCCCCTTCGCGAAGGTACCATTGGTACCATTTCTAGATTAGCCAATTAGATTTCTCCTTTAAATGACCTTTTTATCAGTTTAAAATTGATAAAACTTACATTGCTTTTAAGCGTAGCCATTTTTCGTGAGTGAAATGGTTGGTAAGTAATTGGTAAGAGGTTGAGCGAGGTGAAAATGTTTTTTTGGTGTTGTATCAGCTCCAGCGAGATTATATAAGCGCCAAGAATCTTAGTAATCAATTTCAACTCGCGGCACCTAATTTTGTTGGATCAACTTGCTTGTATTGTCTCTATCTAGGTTGGTCTAGCTATTTTAGTGTGTCAGGCCAAGCGAGGGCGGTCTAATATGGCAGAATACACGTGACCTCTAACACCTCCCCACGCACGAGCTAGCCTGACAGCAAAAAAATAGTGCTAAATTACATAGTAAAAGATGATCGTTGAAATGCGCTTCAATAGGATCCGGTTCCTTCAGCCAATGAGAGGCGTTGAATCAGAATTCTCAGTGTTGCAAGGTAGCAAACGTCCCTTCATCCCAATTAGCTTGAGAAAAGTAGTGAACCGGTCATTGCGCAGAGGCTTAGTTAAACCATCAGCTGCCATTTCATTCGTATGGCAAGCTTTTATTTCAATGACGCCCTCATGGATCTTTTCGCGTACGTAGTGAAAGCGGATATCGATGTGCTTGGAGCGTTTGGTAGTGAGGTTAGAAGCAATTAGTTGTAACGCCCCTTGATTGTCAACTAGTAGAGGAACTGGTGGAAAAGGCTGTTCTTCATCAGGGGAGATAACTTCGAGTTCTTTAATGATGTTTCGTATCCAAACAGCATCTCTAGTAGCTTCACTAGCAGCCATGTTTTCAGCTTCATTGCTAGACAAGGCAACAGAGGTTTGGCATTGACTGCGCCAGGCAATTGGTGCACCAGCAAGTATTAGGATGTATCCAGATACAGAGCGTCGATTTCCAGTAAGGGGACCACCCCAATCAGAATCAGAGTAGAGCACTGGCATCAGGTCTTGATTGGTGATAGGGTCAACAGAACCGCGGTAGGTGATCTGTTGATTAATGGTTCCTTTGAGATATCGTAGGGCGTGTTTCAGAGCTGCCCAAGCCTTCTTTGTTGGTTTAGAGTTCCACTGTGATAGAACACCAACTGTACGACTAAGGTCAGGATGAGTTTTAGTTGCCAACCAGGCAAGGCATCCAACACCACGTTGGTATTCCTTAACGTTGATAGTGGGATCAGGGTCATCATCAATAATCAAGCCTGGATCCATTGGGAGCTGTACCGGATGGGCATCAGATAATCCAAAAGAGGTAACAAGGTCCTCAGCATACTCAGATTGGCTGAGACTTAGTGTTTTGGCTTGTTGGTTTTATTTAACGTTGACACTAAGATATCTCTTCATTTCTCCAAGGTCCTTGATATCAAAGTGTTTAGCAAGGGTATCCATAAACCAATCAGCATCGTCGGCTGTGGCTGCAATGACTTTGAAATCATCAACATAGGTGGTAACGTAGAGATTTTTTCGAGTTTGGTGTATCCATAAGCCAGAGTCATAATTGGAGCATTTGAAACCAAATTCCTTCAATGAAACAGATAGAGTATCATACCATATTCGGGCTGAAGGGGTGAGGCCATAGAGAGCTTGGATGAGCTCACAAACATACTGGCCCTTTTGACCAGTTTCATAGCCAAGTGGTTGAGTCATGTAGACAGGCTTGTCAGGGGGTAATTTACCATTTAGATAGGCAAGTACAGCATCTCCTTGACAGATGTGCCAACCATGAATGGCAGTAAGTGCAAATAGTAGTTTTGAAGTTGATTCAGTGATGACTGGGGCATAGCGTTCCATATAATCTTTGTCAAGAAGGTTTCCGCGTATAACCCAGCGTGCTTTGGCGAGATAGCCATTGCTGTCTGGTAGTTCCTTCTTTTTATACACCCATTGACCAGGTGTGATTTTTGTAGAAGGAGGAAGATCAGCACATTTAACCAAACGCCAGCAGCCTTTTTCATGAAGCTGGTTAATCTCTTGATCCATTGCAGCTTGCCATCTATCTCTATCTTTATGATTCATTGCCTCTCGGTATGAAGTTGGTGTGTCATCAGGTAGGTAGGGATTTTTGGATCGTATGGCAGCAGCAAAACTGAAATTGCTAGTTGGAATCATCCAGTCATCAGACATAGATATTGGTTCGCAATTGGATTGTATCAGGTCTGGAGGATCAACTGTAGTTGGGAGATTATCTGGATGAATGGTATCAACAACTAGAGGAGTTGAAGAATGATTATTAGCTTCAGTATCATAATTTTCATCAAAAGTTACATCTGAGCTGTTGAAGATAGTATCTTTTTCAGGATCCCAAATCTGGTAAATGTTATGGGCAACATAACCAATCAGGTAGCAACGTTTAGCATGAGAATCAAGCTTATGAGTTGGTTTCTCAGTGCCATGAAGGTGAACCCAAACTGGGCAGCCCCAACGGCGATAAGATGTAAAATCAGCTGGGGCGTTGAACCAAGCTCCTAAGGGATGACGGTGAGGGGAAGGTTTGATCATAGTATTTGTATCAACTCCCCCAGGGACATTTGAATTGTATAGTGGCGTTGAAGTTGGTAAAAGATTGGTAAGCCATGTAGCTGCATTGATAGCATCACTCCAAAAACAGTGAGGGATATGAGGAGCATCTAGCATTAAAGCACAGCTTCTTTCAAAGATAATTCGAATAGCTCGTTCACTGACACCATCTTGCCAAGGGGAATAAGGATTAGCTGGCTGCCAATCTATACCCTCAGTTTGGTACAGCTTTTGCCATTCGTTGGAATTAAATTCATTGTCAGATATTAGGAAAGCAGGTGAGGTGAATCCCATGTTTTTAATGAGCTGCAACCAGGTCTTGAATGCTTGAATTGCATTACTTTTGGCTTCAAGGAAATAGACCCATCTGTAATGTGTAGCGTCATCTGTGATTATCATCACATATCTGGCTCCTATACGGGAAGGAGTGATTTCATCATTCATTGAGTCTGGATCTAGTGTATGACCGCCACCAGCAATATCAATGTGAACACGCGATAATGGCTTGGTGTAGCGTACATGAGGCTTTTTGCTGTAGGACCGAGTTTGTTTAGCTTGACAGCAGGTGTTGCAAAAAGGTAGCTCTTTAGAGCCTTGTATGGCAACGCAGGAGTAGGGATCTCATGCTAGCTGAAGAAGGTCAGCTTGGTTAAGGTGACAAAGACGCCGATGCCATTCCATCATGGTTAATGGTATCTTTTTGGGTTGATGGGTAGTAACGGGGGTGTCTTCTTTATCATGAGATATAGAAGCAAAAGCATATGCTGTTTTGGGAGCAGGTTCAGCATTTGGGTTGTAATCTAGCAAATAGCATTGTGGGAATGTGTAGATGCTAGTTTTTGAGCATAGGGGGGCTTCAAATTCAGTGCCATCTGGAGAGATGATGATCATTGCATCAGAAGGGGCAAATTGAAGCTGATATCCTTGTTTTCTCAGGGTTCCCAATGATATGATGTTGGATGAGAATGAAGGATTGTATCTCACGTCTCTCAATACCAATGGTTGGTCATTTATTTCAATGACAACGGTGCCGATTCCAGTATGAAAGGATTGGCCACCGGTGGCATTCTCAACGATGTCCTTGGGTTTGATTTCTGCTCTAGAAACGGGTGTAAATTCAATAAAGGCATCACGATTGGGGGTAGTATGGTAGGATGCGCAACTGTCAAGTAGCCATGGTGCTCCAATTGAAACAGGCATAGCTGTTTTGGCATGGGCTGATTTTGAGCTTGAAGCACCAAATAGTATAAGATCCTTGTTCTGGGTATCAATGGTTTTGTTGATGTGTGGACTCCTTTGATAGAGCTTTAGTATATGCTGATTCTTTTCTTTCCACCACTCTGGGGCTTTATCTGGATCAGCATAGTAGCATTGATTGCTAGGATGGTGACGGTGACACCAATTGCAAAGGGGGGTGTCTGGGGTTTTTGTTTTGTCATTTTTGGGTTTGTTGGTTGGTTTATAAGATCCGTGGTTGCTAGTGGCTTGCTTAGCAGTGTAGGTTTCCTTGGTTGATTTTTGGTCCTTCTTTTCTCGATTTCTGGTGCCAGCACGAAGGGTTAACTGCTTCATGAAATCATTGAGGTCAAGATCCTTAATTGCTCCCTGACCGGTGCTATAGAATTCATCAAGTTTTGATTTAACAAAATGACGATTCCAATCACCAAGTCCGCGGATGAATAGATCATGATAGACATCATCTGGTAGGGGGCATTGAATGTGGGATAGACGGGTCTGGAGCTTTTTGAAATGCTCCTGGTACGTAAAATAGTCATTATCTTTAATCTGAAGATCAAAGAGCTGTGTGCGGATCGTCAGGCGTTCTTCAGCACGAGATCGACCCCAAAGTTGGGTGGCTTCAGCCCAGATATGCGCGGCCGTATTATCTGGTAGCATACCAATCTGTTCATGAGCTTTTGGTGTCATTGAATTCACCATATGAGCACATAGCAGTTTTGATTTCTTGGTCCAAATTATAGAAAGACAAATATCATAAGCTTCTGGTGGAGCTGTTTGATAAAGGATTTTGACTGCATCTATCAATTCAGCATCACTAGTGATGGCTGTTCGCCAGTCATCATAATTATCACCATTCAGGGTAACTTTGCACCGATCTGTCCATATCTCTTTAATCTCTTTGGTAAGCTGTTTGATTTCGAGCTGTAGAGAGTTGTAGAGGTCTGTTGTGGTATCCTGAGGTGGTGCAGCATTTTGCTGTTGTTGATGAAGCTCAAGAACTTGCTCTTGCATGAGTTGTTGGCGTTCATCCATTGCTTGCATCCTCTGTAGCATCATCAAGAAGGCTTGATTCATGTCCAAAGGAGCTGCTGGTTGATTTTGTTGGTTCTGTTCCTGCTGACCGTTCTGGGACCGCGGGAGGGGGGTAGGGGTATCCGCCATGTTGAAGGCTTCAGTATCGAGAGTAGAAGCTCGTCTAGCTGTATTTGGAGGCGTAGATGGTTCAGTTGATTCCATCCTTAGTTGGGGTTTAATGTTTCAAAGACACGATCCCCGTATCTATCATCCAAGTGATAGATTCGTTAGAAAGGTTGGTGTATCTATCATCCAAGTGACAGATTCTTTAGAAGATTTCTGGTTCTGCCAATCAGGAGAGCGGATTTGGCTCGTCCTAAACGACTTAATATCTTCTTTTTTGGAAGCTCTCGATCGTAGCGAGCGCGAGGGCTCATAACCTGTTGGATCAACTTGCTTGTATTGTCTCTATCTAGGTTGGTCTAGCTATTTTAGTGTGTCAGGCCAAGCGAGGGCGGTCTAATATGGCAGAATACACGTGACCTCTAACAAATTTTCGGGGCCAGCTGACCTGCAACCACATAAATTATAATTACCATACGTGATGCACGTGAGAATTTACCCACCAAAAATTAAATTTCAACTCGCACCAACTATTTCAACTCCTTACCACTTAGTAACCACCTAAACCAATGTATGGTCTTAGACTGAAAAATGGTCTCTAAAATGGAAGTCATCATCATCACCACTGTAAAGGGGGGGCGTACGTGCGTTGTTCCCTGCGACAGGAACCGGGTTGTGATCGAGGGATCTCAGGAATGGACACACTGAACAATCTAGCAAAACGATATAACGATAAACGAAAACACAACGACGAAGGAGCCTCGCTCCGCTCTATACGACGATAACGATACTAGTGAAGCAACCTAGAAACCAAAGAATGCTCTATTTCTTGTAACTATCTGGGAGGGAACCCTCCATTAAGTACTCCGGCCGTGGGCTCCACCATACATTAGTATGTCGGAGTCGGCGGTTCTACGGTGTTCCAAGATAGGAAATATGGGAGATCCGGGGTTTCGCAGTGCCCCCGGCACAGCAGGAATATGGAGGCGGTGACTTGGTGGTGAAATACGTTGACTAACTATGATTTTTAATTACTTAGTAAGTAGTTACCAAGTACTTAGCATTAATATGGCTATCAAGCAATATATATAAAGTATTCTGACGGACGGCAAGCGGGGCGCCAGAAACGGCTCCCATTGCTCGGCGTCCTGCCACCGCTGACCGCTTGCCGCCCACGGTCATCCCATTATCCGGAACGGCATAGCGCTTACCACGTTCGGCCTAGCTCCCTCTTCGCTCCCGTCATGCCGCTTTTGCCCGTGCGCTCGCTGCCCCAACACCATCTATATAACCCCGACCCTTCGCCCTCGACCGGACACGCACTTTCTCTTCTCAATTTTCCCCTCCCGTCCCGCCCCAGCTGGTGCATTGCCCCCTTGCCCCCTTTTCCTGCATGCCGCGTTATCCGACGATTGCCTACATTGGGTAAGGCACCCTGCCTGGCGTCCTCCTTTCATTTCCCGTAGCCTGGACCTGGACGGAGTCGCTGACAGGCCAACGGGCTCTTTCGGTGGGCTCAGTCTCCCAGTCTTACGCCATTCTCCGCTGACGTTGAATCCATGGTGTGCAGCTTTCGGGAATGGTCTTGCTTTTCCTCTTTTACCCGTCGGCGAGCCCGAGTCTTTCATCTTCACTTCGGGATGCGGTTGCCTGAGCTCTCGTGGGGGTAGACTCTTTCAGCCTTCTTTGCTTTCTCCGAATACTTGCTCAACCTTCTGCTTCATGAGGGCTGCCACAGATGCACGCCCAGAAATGCCTTGTCTGCCTTGGTTTGCCTCTCGCGACGGCCGCGAAGCGTGGCGCCCGGTCTCCACTCCCTGATTAGGAAGGACTTGACCACTTGCATCAGTCACCGGCTCGACTTCCGCAGCGTATTTCCATGTGCTTCGGGTCTGCTGAGTACGTCAGCCCGTGGATAACAGCAACACTCGAGAAAAATCGAGGAAAGGGATGCCATGGTTACCCGAAGAGGAGGACCTTTTGATAGATTTGAAAGATACTCGAGGACTCCCTTGGTCTGAGGTAATAAAGCTGTTGTCAGATCAATATCCCGGACGGAGTCCGGGATCTATTCAGGTACATTGGTGTACAAAGCTCAAGAAGAGAAGCTCATGATTGTCCTTACATACCCTCTGAATGGATTGAGGTAATGATGTATGCTCAGCCCAGCGGATCTTTTGGCCGACAAGCTACTCCTCGGTATGGATACGTTCCAATAATGTCTGTAGGACTGTAAATCTCGTTCCCATTCGCTATTTAGGCCTAACACCTCTCAATCATTTGGGACCAGGGCATAATTTCGCTTCAGGTGACATACGCTCGCCAGTCTCATGCCGCCCACCTTGCTCGAGATGCACAACAATTCTTCTTAGTAAGTGGTGGCTACCGTCGCATTTTTGGGTAAGAATCGTCAAATAAGGGATGTCGAGCGAAACCCCCAGATTTCTTGTATCTCATGTCCAACCAGCCACCCTAGAGCTGTTGCAGCAGTACTAACGCCCTCTATAATTTGATGCCAAGGATGTTACTCCAGCCTCTCAGGATCCAGAGAACGTAGTTCGGTGAAAACGCTTGCTTGGGGAGCATTTATGGTTGTATCTTCTATGGCGGGAGTCCCTTTGGGCCAGGGGATAAGGTTGACACTACTTTTGATTGTTTAACCAAGGGTCTGTTAAAAGTTCACGGGCGCTCTGTCTCTCCTCCGGGTCCCATCGAAGCATCTTCCTAACGAACTGCATAAACATTTGCTTGTTCGATCCCTCCAGATACTCTTCAGAATCCTCCAGTGAGATAGGTGGGATTACTTCAGAGGCTTTCCATTGGCCTAGTTGTGGAGTTAGTTGGGAGAATGAACTCAAACGTTAGAACATCGAGTAATAGACCCACCTGAGATGTCCCAGTAATTTTGACTGAGGGATGATTTGCGCAGAAATTCAGCAGGTGGAGGGCCGAGCATTGCTATCATTTCGGCGAGGAGTTGGGCATCAGAATGACGACCATCTGGTCCCCTACCATCAAATAGATGGTGGTCCTCGAAGAGATCCCAGATCTGAATCTCTGCGTTAGCCCACATATCAATGGATACATCGGAAAAAGTTTGTGTTTCGTAGCATACCAGCACTCCAACGTTCCATATATCGACTTTTGCTGTCCAACTCATTCCGAGAATCACTTCGGGAGCGCGGTAGATGTCGGGCTGCACCAATCCATTGTGTACCTCCCCGATGCGAGCTTCTCCAAAGTCTGAAAGCAGTGGCATCCCAAAACCACTCCATCCCTTCTTACGACGAAACGGTCGAGACAAATAAATAGTGTAGTCGTCTTTGACCTTCCGAGGGCTCAGGTCAGCAGCCTCGCTGGCATCCGTTTCTGAGCAAGAATTAGCAAAGGGCCTCCTAAGATTTCAACAACTTACCTGTACAGCACCGTTCTCTACGTAGCGCTCGGCGGCCTCTTTGAACACGGGAGGAAGTAGTTCCTTGTTGTACCCCAGCCATCTTGCAAGGGTCTGACGTGCGGTAGAGAAGGCTCTAGACATGGCAGCTGTGCTTTGATGTGCTGGGATTGAATCAAGTTCGTAATAAAGGAAGCTGGGTGAAAGTCTGTATGAACGAGAATGACAAAACAATTTTATTGATGCATGCTAAACACGGATGATCGTGAGGGTTTATATGTTGTTAGAAACTCATGACTGGATCTGTCGTCTGCCCTATTCATCCAGCACGGGGGGCTCGTGGCCATAGGTTGGCGGCTAAGATAGGTGCGGTAATTGGTTACCTCTGGGTTCTGCGTGAGGGGGACAGTCCCCAAGGATTCTAACGGTTAGGAAGAGCGCCTACCTCCAGAAAATGGAGAATGACGCTCACCATGCATGGGAGTCGAGTATGTTGCCGCCGACGAGACAATCCAACTGGTGCGCTACAACCAATAGCCTCCAATAATGCCACTGTAGGTCATAGTGATATATGACAGGAGGCCCTTGGGCACTGGTTTGGAGGCTAAACTTAGCTAGCATCCCGTGTGAATCGTCAAATTCTATGGAACGTACTTAGTAGTTTACATATAGAAAAGGCAGGGTTCATCCACCAAGCACGCGGTCACTCAAATCAGACCCTCCAAGGACTTGGCTTCCTCAAGGAGATACTCATCACGTGATTATATGATAGATGTCCCCCTCAGCATGCAGTTGGATGTTCCTGCTTTTTGTATTCTCACCTTCCACATCAGCTTCACCAGCACACGGTATAGGGTTGTTCTCGTTCCTTTTCTATTTCAAGGAGCTTTATACGATCAGCCTTTTCCCATCGCTTCCGATAATGCTAGCATCGCTGCTACGATCTCTACCGCCGCTTGGTAGGGCATGGAAACCCCTCAACTTCTCCAATCCGAGCTTCGTCCGGATACCTCTAAGTCAGAAAATTGAGGAAGAAACGATGCCAGATTATATTGCTTCCCGGTATTATCCAGCTCGAATAGGAGAAATATTCAAAGATCGCTATCAGATTGTAGGAAAACTGGGATTTGGAGCCAGCTCCACGGTGTGGCTTGCGAGGGACATGAAGTGAGGATCCTATAGGAAATCCCCGTCCTGAATTGACTCGCTCATACGTTAGAATCACAGCTACCGTCGTTACGTTACCCTCAAGATCTTTATCAAGTCTGTATCCATGGGACAGCAATTGGATGACGAGCTCCAGATGTACAAACGCATGGAGAGAGGCCCAAAGAACCATCCAGGTCGCAGTGCTGTTAGGTCATTACTGGACTCCTTTGATGTCAACGGGCCCGAGGACAAACATCGGTGCCTCGTGCATCCTCCATTATGGGACAGTGTGTTGACCTTCCTGCACCGCAACCCGGAGCAGAGACTACCTGCTCCGGTCCTGGCATTTGTGCTTAAGCGCCTGTTTCTGGCGCTGGACTACCTGCATACAGAATGCCAGATTATACATACCGGTATATACTCTGACTCTGTACTCCTTTTTCTCCACTTCTTTTACTTACTAGTGTGTCCCATCAGACATCAAGGCCGACAATATTATGTTCGGCATCGCCGATGATTCAGTTTTCAGTGAATTTGAGGAAAATGAGCTTCAGTCCCCTTGTCCAAGGAAAGAGTTAGACGGAAGAACAATCTACGTGTCTCGGGAACTGAGGATGCCTAGAAATTGGGGTGCCCCGGTCCTATGTGACTTTGGCTCTGCCATCCCTGGTGGCGAAGAGCACACAGAAGATATTCAGCCTAATATTTATCGAGCCCCAGAGGTGATTCTGGAGGCTCCGTGGACGTACAGCGTTGATATTTGGAATGTGGGATGCATGGTATGACAGCAAGCGTGATAACCCTGGTTGCAAAGTTCTGAAAGATTGCCTCGCAGATTTGGAACATTTTTGAGGGCGAGTCCCTATTTACTGGCTATGATCCAGAATCTCAGACTTATCGAAGTCGAGCCCACCTCGCTGAGATCATAAAGCTGCTTGGACCTCCCCCGCCCAGTCTCCTTGCCCGGGGGAAGCTAAGCCATAAGTTCTTTTCTGGTGAAGGTAAGCCAATGCCCCTACCCTTCCATTAGCCGCTCAATATGCCCGACTTTATAGATGACTTGCGGGCCAAAGTTCCGTCAGAAGGTCGGATTCCACTTGAGAGGAGGGAAACAACGCTCCAAGGACAAGACAAGGCGAACTTTTTGCGCCTAATGGAGAAGATGTTACAGTGGGAACCAGCCAACCGTAGCTCTGCTAGGGAACTGCAAGAGGATGAGTGGATTTGTAAGACTTTAGAGTAGGCATTGAAAATTCACTACATCAAGCTGTATATGATTCGACCCACGCATGGCTTTTATACATTGGAAAGAAAGCTGGAAGCCATTAACTTTGGCTGTGGAACTTCAAGTGTCGAAGAGGGTATTAGTGGAATGGTTTCGATGACCTTTGAATTTCTATGTACCATTGACCTCTGCCCGAGTTCAAGCGGTCAATGGGCAATTCGTCTTCATATCCACATATATCAATCTGTCTTCGATATAGCTACGGAGAAAACAATCTTGAACTCACATATCCTTCAGCTGGTGAAGTACGCTGGCTAGGTTCTGGCCAGTAGCGTTTGCCTTCTCCGCAGAATTTGCTAAATGCATGTCATAAATCAGCCTCCGTGCGGCGGGACGGATTGGTAAGTGTGTTATACCATCGACAGTCCCATCTAGGACTATCTCGTGCATCTTTCCGCTTAAGAGTAAGGTTGCAGGGCTTGTATTTGACTCTGCTTGGCGAGGCATTTGGCTCGGGACGTAGAGGCGGGGATAGCTCGATGATTCTGGCATCAACAAACTGTAGGCCGGCCAGACGACCACCACGGACTAGTGACTTACCAAAACCAAAGTGTTGCGAATCATGGAAGAAGGTAAGTTTGCATCTGTCTTCAGCGCTAGCTGCAGAAGCTGGGGCCCTTCCTCGGAGCGGATAAATGTATCAACAGGGCATCCCGTGACAAACCAGTGAACACACGCAAGCCATTGGGTGACCTCGGTATGTACCCACAAACGCAGGCGCTTACTACAATTGTTATTTGCCTCTGAGCGCACATGATGATATGACCGAATACTCTCGGTCAAGTACCAGGAACGGTTGGCTGCGGTGCCCTGGGGTTGCACTGCGGTGGGGATCTGGCCTCCCGCAGTCGCTTTACTTCAAATGTACTAGTCTGGGCCATAATGAAATCGAACCCCACTCGCTGCCTCCAGCACGGGAGAGGTTATATTTAAAGGCTGATCTAGGATAAGGGCAGTACTAGTTCTATCAAAATAAGCTTTATATCCACATCGAGCGGAAGATGACCTTTTCGAATGAAGGCACGGCATCCAGGAACTTCTGAAATTCGGCATCATGCATCAGAACCTCCACATTCCACGCCGCATAGTCACACAAGAGCTTCTGAATATCCCTCATTTGTTCACTTTCCACAAAGACAAATCTCAATAGACTCACAATATCTCCAGTGCGGTCCTCAGATAGAGTGAAATTTTCCAACAACTGAGTGAGCCGGTGCAGGGACAGAACGCGTAGTACGGTCCAGTCCGTTCGATAAGCAATACGATGTATCCTAGCATGAGCCAAAAGGACCTCCCTGTAATCCTCCGTAGGGTCAGTTGGCTTATTTTTTTCGTTGCTGTCCCAGGTCGCCCAGCCAAGTTCTTCAACCAAGTGAGATTTGTAATCATCAATTGACATCGGATGGAAAATACTTCTGGCCAGATTTGTAGGGTTCCAACGTCTCATTGGGGACCAGATGGGTCCGTCGTCATCCGTTTGATGGAGTTCCGAAGTTGGCAATGGCACCGAGTAATCACCGGTATATACGAATTCACAGCAACGACCAAAGTCGACCTCTTCTATTTCGTCATTGACAGGGGGATTGAATATCTGCTTCGGAAAATGGCTTGTCAACGCATTGTGGATCCAGAACTGCTTTCGGTTTCTGCCGACAATGAACTCAACAGTCCCGGATTGCATAATACTAGGTGTGCGTCAGTTATAGAAGCGTTTGCTCTTCGTGGCACTTGACTTACTCATGATAATTGGGTCGCATTGTGATCTGTGATGGTAAAAGAGATTCGCAATGATCAGACAAATGACAAAGGCATCCACGTAGATTTACACAGACCATGGTACGAAGATTGGAAGGAGAACGAGAGGTAAGGGGGTACCTTTATATGCTCTACCAAGACAACGGAACCCGTAACTGAACACGGGTCAGACCTTGCGAAGAGACGAGTGGCTGCGGCACAGTGGAACCCGTATCCACAATCCGCAGTTACTTGTCCGAGATATATCATGGTAGACTATGGATCCTCCCGCAGCTGGAAAGTCTTAACTCTGATAGAGATTCTATTCGTCAACTACTGCTCCAGATTGCGGGATATAAAACGTTCCAACTTGGCCAAGCACCCGTGGCCTTTGGCAAGGTATGAGCAAGACGGAACATCCTCAGCATGCTGATAAAGGGCTGAGAGTTTTGAGAGTTCTGTCACGCAGTGTGGGCAGGTATAAAGCCAACCTCCATCCTCGAGCTCATCATTGATATATATCCTACTTTGGTAACATTCGCGGGCCAAGTCGTCAAGATCATCCTCAGTAATATTCGATGAGCAGCCTCCAGACTCGAGATGGATCAGAACTCCGGAGAAGGACTTGAAGGTCTTGTAGCAACCACAGCATTCCATCGTTCGAGGTTGATGTTTCTGTTGATGCTGAAAAGTCAGGTCAGCATCGAATGCAAAATGTTGATCGGGTACCTTATACCATTTCGAAGTTGTTCTTGTTCACAAAATACCTCTCACACTTGATACACAAGTTGTGCACGTCAATATCGTGCTCTCTAAGTTCCTCAGCGGACTGATGATAAAGGTTGCAGTCTGAGCAGAAGTGATGATATTCAGTTAAGTGGGTTTCAAGCTCGTCAAGGGTTTCGAAATCTCGTGACGGCGAACACCATAGGCAAAAGTTATGTCTGCTAGACATTTTAAGATGCGCATCTTTCGATGCTGTTGAAATAAAGACTCGACAGCACCTCTTGCACCACTCATGTCGGGATGTGTTCCTGCAGTGTGCATAGAGTGCGCCTTTTGAAGCAAAATTCCTCTCACAGAGAGTACATTGATACTCCATTCCATCGAAGATGAGATATGGGCCAAGTTCCATCCTCTGGGTTAATAGTGAAGCGGCTAAATGGAGCTGGGTGAGAAGAAAAGTGGGATCCTCCAACTGACTGGCAACCCAGGTGATACCAACCTTTTGACTTCGGCACTAACCACAATTCATTGGCTTGTTGAGTGCCCCCTCTGAGGAGGCGATGCCGCAGGCGCCACGATATGAGCCAATGAAGGCTGCCTAGGTGCGTAGCTGACAGCTCACCTGGTAGAATGTACCATAACCCTTTGCAATAAACGAGGCGCGGCAAAGATTGCCATACTGCTCCTTGCCATCTATTGTACGTGTACTCTGGCCTGTGGCCAAAAGAAAATGACGACTTGTTATACTACGATGACCGAAAGCAATGGAGATTGGAGATAACTGTTACCTTTCCTGTCCCGGATCATCAATGGCTGCGGTGCACTGCGGCGCACTGCGGTCCGCGGAAACTAACTTCGATTGGCCGCTTAGGCCCCGTCCACAAGTCCACCCCTGTGATGTGAGTTGATGAAGGCTGTCTTATGGAAGTTAGCAAGTATCACCTTCTTCGAAAAGGGCATAAGCAGCTACGGCATCAATTGCTTCCGTCCGTCTGGCCACTTCCTCGAGTGTGGGGCGAGGTAGGGTGAGGAGACTCTCAATAAGTCGCTTCTGAGGAAGTGGTACTGTTTCTGAACACTTGAGAGGTTTTTCTTCCTCGGCTAGGTCAAATCCAGAAAGCTGACGCCTGATTTCCAGCATCGGTTGCTCGCGGTCGTACTTTGCTTGAATCTGAGCGAGCAATGCGTTCCGTGCTCGCTGCCTAGCACCTGCGATCTCTTGGTTCAGCTTCTTGTACAGTGCGTATTGTTCTGTCCCATGGTGGTTCGACAATGGGCGCCCCATTTGGCGACTAAGCTCGTCACACCGGCGAATCAGGTCAGCGATTTCGGGATCTTGATTGACGGAGGACGATTGTGCGGTAGTCAATTCTTGAGGGCGATTGGGATCGATCGACCGGCTCATCCGGCATGCGGCCCGCATGATGTCGTCTTCAGGGTTAAGGCCGCGAATGATGGCAAGGAGGTTTTTATTAATCCTTCTGCTGAGATAATAGCGCAAGAACGTACGGGTGTCGGCATGATGCATGATGAGATTGCGCAGTGAATCACAAACAGATCCTGGGACGCGTCAGTTGGTGTGAATTGAAGGCCTATATACTGGAGCAACGTACCGCTGCTGTCTAATGCTGTCCTGGCCCCGTATCGCAAGCTGTATGGACGTGTGACTTGCGGAAAGCCGGTAATCGCCCCCATTTTCTTTACCCAAGGTTCGATCGTTGTATAAGGAAGCGGCTTATAGGGAGATATGGAGATGCCTTGCAGAGTCCGTTCTGACATTCGGAATATGGGGACGTCGTCCAGTGCAGGGTCAATTCGCAGCGGGAGCTCGTTGCATCCATCGCGGATCCGAAGCCTTGGAATTTGGCTTGCGGAAACAAGAACTTCCTCGCCTTCAACACGGTCAAAAGCACGGTCCGCAAAAATCAAGCCTAGAAGGAAAACATGAGGACTGAGGACAAGAGAAGGGTCGAAGATAATCTCGGGTAGAATGTATGTGTTGCTGGACAGGTTAGAGACGAAAATAGAATAGCCACTGAGAACTTACGCATCCTTCGCACCGAGCCATTCCTTGGTAAACTCAAACGTAAACTCGATAACAATGCGATGGAGCCCACCTTGAGGGTCACGTAGCAGGCTGACTTGAATGTGTCGATACCGTAGGTTCAGAATGGCTTGAGGACGGTTGGTTGTTAGGCCGGCAAGCTGCAGGAAGAGCGCCAGTTCGATACGGTGGCGGCCATGGCCAAACTTCTTTTTTGTCGTGCTAATCGTGGTCTCTACAACCTTGGTCAAGTCCTTGACATCCATCGGAGGCTTATCGCGCCCCTTCGTAGACAGTTTATGTTTTTTGGCTAGCCGTCGGATCACCTAGACATCATGGTGTATTAGCTCTAGGCCTGGTACTAGACAACGAAATATTATCTGCATTATAGCTCTGTGCTTCTCGAAGGGCTCATCTGAACGTACACGGCGCATCTGGCGGTTCATTTGTTTCGTGATCTTGTTCGAAGTTTCTCTTTCATACACCAGGCGAAACACCTTCCAGAAAGTGTCAAGTGAACTCTTACACTTTGTACCTGGGAGACGCCTTCCATCTTTTCCACGCCGAAGATTGAGGACCCAATCCAGGAAGATATACATGATCGAAATGGACAAGCGTGCGAATTCCTCTCGGGGGTCTTTTCGAAGAAAGGAGCAGAATCTGCGGCGGCCAGAGTCAGGAAAACATGTATTAGCGATGGAAAGGATATACCATACTGTGACCACTTCTCTTCCACCCGGTTGAGTAGGGCAGTGGTACCCCGTCCATAGTCCTCCTTGGCGTAGTCGGTCTCGTCGAAGTTCGCAAGCTGCTGGATATAATACTCTGGTGGATGCTCGTTATCCGCGAAAAGAAGTGCCGCATCGCTAACATCCTTGTCTTGGGAGCCCTCGTCTTCAGGCTCCGTCAGGTCCGTGTCATATTGACTGTCTTCAATGTTTTCCCGTTCAGAGTCGCTGTCGTCGGACGACAGGCCAAGATTGCGATGGCGGCGAGTCATAATGCGAAGATGCAACGCAGTCAGCAGAGAAAGCCTTTCGGGCGTAAAACGTTTTCGCTGAAGGCCTCTGTAGCACTTGATAACACTGGATGGCCCGCCGAGGATTGGGATTCAAAGAGCGAGTTGGGAGATGCAATTGGGATGTAGGACATAAGGGTAGCCAAGGGAGCGGCCACCGTTTATAAGAGTCCTCCAAGAGGAGGCCATTGTTGGAGCGTTTCGGAGACCGCAGCGAAGGACATGGGATGCTAGCATTGGCTGGCCTTCAGAACAGTGTGCTCATAGGTATACTGCGCTGCGGACAAATGAGGTTTGGGTGGGTCGGCGATCGGTGCTTGGCGGTGCGTGGGCATAAGTGCTCGAGGGAGTGGCGGAAGACGTGGCAGATGGACGGCCAAAAACGGCGTCGACTGCGGCCGTTTTGGGCAGGCTTTCTGCCGTCTTCTAGTTTAAACGAGTATAAAATGGTAAAAAGTTCAACTAGGAAAAGATCTATAATACCAGTATAAGTACTTGCCAAGCGGTTGTAAAGTACTTGCTAATCAGTTCCCTGCATTTCCTGTATTCGAATTCGTCGCTCCATCAGATCAAGCTCTAACCTCTCATTTTCAAGTTGTTTAAATCGAACCTCTTCTTCCTGCCTTTTAATATCTGCTTCAAGCTTTCGAAGCTCAAGCTCTTGACGGCGCTGCTCTAAACTTATAGCATTAGAAGAAGCAATACGGCGAAGGTTTAATGAGGATTGAGTCGACCTAAGTATTTCATGAGTACTTGTTAACTGCTTAGCAAGCACTTAGTGTACTTACTCATTATTGCCATCTTCTAAAGAGGGTTGAGATGCTGATACTGATCGTGCACCTTGACAGGAAGATCTCTCTCTCTGACTCTCAGTACTACTAGATAAAGCAGATCTTTGACGTTTTTGACTTTCTATATAACTAGTTAGTAGGTGGTTGATAGCTGCTTGCCAAGTACTTACACTCTCAACTCATATGACGGAGGTAATTCGCTTCCATGTTTGAAGTTTGATAGGAATGATGAATATTAAAGTCCTTAAACTGTTTATATTGCAAGATATTATCCTTGTCAAGTTTAGCAGAGCTAAGTTTAATAAGAAAAAAAAGGTTAACTTAACTAGTTATTGTCACGGAACTCAACTAGACGATGAATAGGATGCTATTCAGCTATCTAGGCAGCTATCGACGAGAACTTCAAGCATGGAGAGGAAGGAAAAAGGGAAGAGATCTACGTGAAGCTGGACGACGTACTCCTATCCACGCGCCACGCTAATCCAAGTAAGGAAGTTCACGTGCTCGTCCTGGTCTACATGGCAAGGGCCCTGACAAATGGCTATAAAGATGACTTGTTGGATACTCAGGTAGATCATCAATATATTTAGTTTTAAGTGTAGTAAGGCCGTTGGGCCCTTTGGCCCTAGTAAGTGGAATAGGAATTGCATGTTCCTAAACTAAGTGATTAGCACGTGGTTGGCTAGCAGTCAGTAAGTGATTATAATACCTCATAATCTGCTGGTAGTTCAATGGGTTCCAATCCCTCATTAATAGGTGCTTCCCCGTTCCCATGGTTCAGTTACTTCCTAGTTAGGCTTAGTTCAAGTTAGTTAGCATAAGTGTAGATTGTCCGCCCGACCTCGGCCATGACCCAAATAACGACCTCAAGTCATCTGCAACCACCGACTTCGGGCCTCCCTAGCTAGATTAACCAACTCAGCGAGTTCGACCCTCGCCAATATTATATAGGAGAGTGAGCTCGAGCAGTGAAGCATGTCAATTAAGAGCTTTACAATGTACTAGATACGGCAGGATGTTGATATAGAGCGTTCACCACGAATCTTACGAATCCTACGGTATCCTTTTAGTATTTGATATCCGGACGCCCTGCTTCAACTAAGTAATGGAGGTGTATTGTTGGTTGGTTACTAGCTAGATAGGCCTACGTGGTGAAAAGGGTCAGCGAGGGCGGACCTATGCGGCAGAATCCCACGTGATCCAACACCCCCCCACGCACGAGCTGGCCTAAAGACTAATCTAAAGAATTTAAATACAAAAATCGGCCTCTATTCAGGCCTCCAAATGAGAGAGTAAAAGCAAAATTAAGCAGAGAAGTGAGAGGTTCCGCTTTGGCCAATCAGAAGCCGTAAATCAGAATAGAAAGTATAACCAAAATGGGGGAACAAGCGCCGCTTAATGTATGCCGGTGAGTTCCAGGAAATGATTGAATCGTTCAGTTTGGAGAGGTTTTGTCAGGCCATCTGCTGCCTGTTCTTTGGTAGGGCAGGTCTGAAGTTTAACAATGCCGTCTCGGACCTTCTCCCGAACGTAATGGTAGCGTATGTCAATGTGTTTGGATCTCTTGGTGGTGAGCTCGGCTTCAGCCATGGCGTGGGCACCTTGATTATCGATATGAAGAGATATTGGTGGGCATTCAGTTGGGAGCACATTAAGCTCGTTGATGAGATTCCGGAGCCAGAGGGCATCACGGCTGGCTTCGCTTAGAGCCATATACTCAGCTTCGTTGGAGCTAAGGGCAACGGATGTTTGCTTGCGGCTTTTCCAGGCAATTGGGGCTCCGGCAAGCAGAAAGATGTATCCAGAAACTGACCGGCGGTTGCCTGTCAGTTGGCCACCCCAATCAGAGTCGGTATAACATTTTGGCATGAGGAGGTCAGATGTAATGGACTCCGTGGGTTTTATGATAGGTAATTTGCCGATTGATGGAGCCTTTAAGATAGCGTATGGCGTGTATAAGGGCACGCCATGCTTTTTGGGTGGGTTTGGCGTTATATTGGGATAGTATGCCAACCGTCTGGCTAAGATCTGGCCGGGTTTTGGTGGCTAGCCAGGTAAGGCAGCCTACACCACGTTGATATTCTTTGGTGTTGACTGTAGGGTCTGGTTCATCATCAATTATTAGGCTAGGATCCATTGGAATCCTAACAGGATGTGCTTGGGCTTGACCAAAAGAGGCAACAACATCTTCAGTGTAGTCGGCTTGAGATAAAGAAGATGAAGTCTCAGACTGGGAGATGGTCATGCCAAGGTATTTGGTAGAGTTTCCAACTTCTTTTATGTCAAATTTGGCGGAGAGAGTCTCCATAAACCAGATGGCATCATTTTCATGTTTAGCATAGACTTTGAAGTCATCCACATGGGTGGTCACATAGAGTTGGGTCCGGGTAGTGTGGATCCATAGACCAGAGTCATATTCAGAGCATTTGAAGCTGATTTGGCGTAGAAAAGCACCCAGAGTATCATACCAGATGCGGGCAGATGGGACCAATCCATAGAGGGATTGAAGGAGTTCACAGACAAGATCTCCAGAACCTTCTTTGAATCCCTGAACTTGGGTCATAAAGACACGTTTGTCCGTGGGCATTTTCCCATTTAGGAAAGCAAGGGTGGCATCAGCTTTTCGGGTATGCCAGCCAAGCAGGGTGGCCAGTGCCGTGAGGGTTCTGGTAGTATTTTCATTTACCACTGGTGCGTAGGATTCCATGAAGTCTTTATCAAGTAGATTGCCACGAATGACCCAGCGGGCTTTAGCCTGATAATCCTCTGAGATAGGTATGCCGGGGATTTCTTTCTTTTTGTATACCCACCGGCCAGGGATGACTTTGGCCCCTGGTGGTAGGTCAGAACGGCGAATGAGTTGCCAGCAGCCTTTCTCTTTGAGTTGGTTGACTTCCTTTTGCATGGCAGCTTGCCATTTAGCAGCATCAGGATGGGATATGGCCTGCTTATAAGAAGTAGGCGTGTTGTCTTCTGATGAAGGAATGGTTGAAGTGGCAAAGTAAGCTAGGGACATGCCTTTGGCAGGTCGGAGCCATATATCTTGGTCATTGAGAGGTTCATCTTCAACTAATTGAGTTGGGTTTTCTTCGGTAGGGGTGCTGGGACCTTTGGGAGTGGTAGTTGTAGGATCTTTGTAATCCTCATCAAATATAACATCATTGGTGACAAAGACGGTGTCAGTTTTAGGGTCCCAAACACGATATTGATGGCTACTAATTTGGCCAATGAGGAAACAGCAGTGAGAACGTGAATCAAGCTTATTTCCAGGTTTATCTGGTCCATGCCGATGGACCCAGGCTGGACACCCCCAACGGCGATATCCGGGGAGTGAAGAAATGGATGAATTAGTCCACGCTGCCAACGGAGCGCGATAAGGGCTGGGGTGTATGTCCTTGTTGATATTCACCCCCCCAGGAATTTGGGAATTGTATAAGATGGTAGATGTAGGGAGCCGATTTGTAAGATCTGTGGCATATTGGAGAGCATCTACCCAAAAGCGTTCTGGTATATATGGGGCATCAAGCATCATAGCTCGGGCCCGTTCAAAAAGGATCCGGATGCCACGTTCACTAACGGCATTTTGCCATGGTGAATATGGCGAGCTTGGTTGCCATTCTATGCCTTCCTGACGGTAGGTTTCCATCCATTCAGTGGAGCGGAATTCATTATCAGAGACTAGGTAGGCAGGAGCAGTGAAGCCATGGTTCTTCATATTTTGAAGCCAGTTCTTGAAGGCGGTAATGGCTGCACTTTTTGTCTCAAGGAAGAGGATCCATCGATAATGTGTGGCATCGTCGGTAATAAGTAAGACATATTTTGCCCCAATTCGGCCAGTGACAACATCATTAGGGTTGTCAAAATCAAGAGTTTGTCCACCGCCGGCGATATCTAGATGGACTCGGGCAAGGGGTTTGGTAACTCTGGACCTAGGGACCTTGCTATAATAGCGTGTCTGTCTAGCCTGTATACAGACTTCACAAAATGGGAGTTCTTTAGAGCCTTTGATTTCGATGCAAGACTCAGGATCTCGGGCGAGGCGGAGGAGATCGGCTTGATTGAGATGGCATAGGCGTCGGTGCCAGGCCATGATAGGTAGGGATATCTTAGTAGTTCGCGGCTTCCCTAGAACCGGGGTCTCTTTTGGAGTAGGAGCCTCAGCTGGTGTCTTAATTGTGGGAGCCTTTGCAGGTGGCTCTTCTGGGCGGTTAACTTCTTTGCCAGACCGGGTGGTGACAAAGGCATAGGAATTTTCTTCTTCTCCAGGAGATAGACAGTCTTCAAGGAGGTAAACATTGTTTTTGAACAATCGGGCTTGGAATTCAGCTCCAGATGGTGTGGTAATCAGCTTGACTTCACAATCTAGTGTATATTGAAGCCTAAAGCCTTGTCGTACAAGCATGCCTTCTGAAATGAGGTTGGAAGTAAAGGAAGGAACATGGCGGACATCTCTTAGGATCAGAGATCCGTAACCAATATCTATAATCACGGTGCCAATGCCTTGAGGCATAGAGATATGGCCTTGAGCACCTTCCATATAATCTGTCTCCACCAGATCATGCTTCTGCAAGGCCTTATAGGTTGCAAAAAGTGAACGGTCAGGTGTAGAATGGAAAGAGGCACAGCTGTCAACAAACCATTGATTGGAAAATGAGAGAGTCTTTGCAGACTTCACAATGGCAGATTTGGCATTGGAGAGTTTCTTATGCAAGACAAGTTCCTGTGAAGCAGGGTGATCCTGGTTTGATTGTGGGTTTGCTTCAGATTGTTGCTGAACACGGAGAGCATTAGCCATAGTAGTATAGAACTTGCGTCTATACTCTGGTGCTTTCTCAGGATGTTTAAAATAGCATATAAGTCCATGGCGATTTCCGCAGTGATCACAGTCTATAAGTGTATGACGAGATCTATCTTGGTTATTGGAACGTTGAGGAATTGTGTATTTGGTTCCAGATGCTTGTTTTGAATAACTGCGGTTCTGGGAGTTCTCTTTCTGTTGGTTTGACCGGTCTTGAGAATGAGTATCACGGAATTTAGTGCCGGTTCGAGTAGATAATTGGGTCTGGATAACCTTAAGATCCAGGTTGGTAACCGGAGCACGGCCAGTAGAGTAGACATCATCTAGTTTACTCTTGATAAAGGCGCGGTTCCAGTCCCGGAGACCTATAAAGAAGAGGTCATGTTTGAGATTTTCAAGAGATTCTTCTCCAATAGCGTGTAGGCGGTCAAAGATTCGATTAAAGGATGACTGGTAGGTGAGATAATCGTTATCCTTTATATAGAGCTCTTTGAGCTCCATGGTAAGGGCCATTCGCTCTTCACCGGTGGATTTGCCAAAAAGTGTGGCAGCTCGGTCCCAAAGACCATGGGCAGAGAGGTCATATACGGTGCCTAGTTTATCGGAAGCAGGGGTTGTCATGGCATTGAGCATACGGGCTCTCATGACAATGGCTTTTCTGTGCCAAACTGCAGCATCAAGTGGAGATGATCCAGCAGGAGGAGAGTCCTGGTGAAGAGTTGTAATAGCATTGAGAATACCAGCTTCTTTTTGTATGGCAGAGCTCCATGCATCGTAATTATCCAGTGTCAAGATGACACGGCATCGGTCAGGCAGTAGCGTATCGACATCGGCTTGGACAAGGGCAATAGCATTGCTGATATTTGTGTCTGAGGCATCACGCAGAGGCGGTTGGATATCCATTGGTGTAGTATCTTGGGTTGTATTTGAAGGCAAGGAAGCTTGTGGAGTATTAGACTGGATGATAGATGCCAGTTTTAGCTCCATTCTAGCTTCACGGTCTCGCATATCTTGTTCCATCTGATTCTGGCGAGCAAGCATTTGTCGCATCATATCAGCAAGATCAGGGGTAAGTTCGTTTGTGGAAGCCATGTTGGCGGTATTGGTAGAGCTCAGATTGGCTCCGGAAGGCGTTGGGGTCTCTATCTCTTCAGAGACAACTGATGAGGAGGTCTCGTCTATATTCGAGGACTTGTTTTGGAGATTTCGGCGACGTGATCGTCGTATAGCAGTAGCGGGAGGCGTAGTAGGTTCTCCTGACATGCTCAGGTTCGGACCGTATCTGGGATCCTGGAATTTTTTGGAATCTGGGGTATGGAATTTTGGTTCAGCCAATCAGAGGGCTTAAATTGACCACTTATACGGGCCTAAAATAGCTCATATTTCCGAGCAAGAAACGGGCTCATAACCTAATGGAGGTGTATTGTTGGTTGGTTACTAGCTAGATAGGCCTACGTGGTGAAAAGGGTCAGCGAGGGCGGACCTATGCGGCAGAATCCCACGTGATCCAACACTAAGCGTATTAAGAGCACGTGACCTCTAAGTAATCAGATTGACTCATTCTCACTGTGCCTAGGTTCTTCGCTGCGCTATTACTGCCTCGTTTTCTTGGCCAGGAATTAGCTTATTCCGGAATGCGAGTGGAAGACACTCCCCCTCCTCGTTGATCTGGGTTTTCCCCTTCATCGACACCGTCTCTCTTCTTGCTTCCTCGTACGTCCTTCCCTCTCTGCATATCCTAAGCCATACATACAATTGAGGGAGCATTGCTGAAGTTTCCTTCAGATACGAGGAACATCGTTAAGTCTTCGAGTTCCCCATTAAGGCGACCCTGAAATGGAGTACTTCGACTTCGAAGCCGCTTCTCATGGTTCCCAGACCTACTATGATGATGTCGCTTCTGACTGCATTGAGGCTGATGAAAGCGAATTCGCTGCCAATCTCGACTCTGTTCGTGATCAGTCCTTGGACATGCCTGACGACCCACTACCACCACCACCGCCGCCAGCAGTCCGCTGCTCTCCCAGACAGCAGCAGGTGGAAGATGTCGCGCCTGACCTGTCTCCTGGAAGGGACACCGTCACCCCTATGGCAATTATCCCTGCCAGTGAACCCTGTGACTTTTGCAGACACATGCGGTTGGACTGCTTCGTTGCGAAGTCGGGAGTGATGCAGAAGAGCTGCTCCTGCTGCACCTCTCTCTACCGCCAATGCAGCTTCTCACATGCCAAACCGCCGGGCAAGTTTCTGGACACCCTGCATTCTCTGACCGAAGATGTGGATATTCCAACAGGCAGCCTGACCGGGAAGAGAGCCCTTAAATCTCTGACAGGCAAAGCAAACCCAAGTGATCCGGACACACGGCGCAAGAAGAGTGCCGCTCGATTTTCACGCGAGGTGGTGCGCACCTTGAAGAATTGGCTCCGTGAACACAGCCAACATCCTTATCCAACGGAGCAGGAGAAGGATGAGTTAGAGCAGCACACTGGTTTGAACAGGGTCCAAATCTGCAATTGGCTTGCGAACGCCAGACGGCGTGGAAAACAACGCGATGACTATTTCAGTCAGGGAGCCTCGGAATCAGACATATCCCTCATGACTCCCCTCGAACGTTGGAAGCATTTGCCACCAGAAAACGAACCCGTTTCAAGATCCGATATTCTTCGAGCTTTGGAGAATACATCGATCGATGGGACCTCCGCGCCAGGGGATCCCGCGCGTTCACTTTCTCACAGGTCCAGCAATGACTCAGGCTTCAATAACTATACGAAGCCAAGCATGCTAAATACCCCGTCGGTCAGCAGTTTTGAGACTAGCCAGTCTTCTGATATATCATTTGCGCTTTCCCATCGGTCGTCGTTGAAGTCGTCCAGCTCCGCCGACAGGAGAGAACGTCGCCGTCGTCATCGTAAGAATACACTGCCTCTCAATCACTTCAACCAGCAGAAGTCTCGGGGCGATCGTATTTTCCAATGCACTTTCTGCGTCGATTCGTTTCATTCAAAGTATGATTGGCAGCGCCATGAAAAGTCTCTGCACCTGCCGCTGGATAGGTGGACCTGCGCTCCCGAAGGGGGAGCCACACTTGTGAATGGTACATATCTCTGCGTGTTTTGCAAGGCGCCCAATCCGGATAGCGACCATCTAGAATCGCACAACTATAGTGCCTGCCAGGAGAAGAGACCACAGGAGAGGACGTTCTATCGTAAAGACCATCTGAATCAACACCTGAGATTAGTGCACAACGTCAAGTATGATTCCTCCATGGAGAAATGGCGTAAAACTATAACTGAGTTGAGATCTCGATGCGGGATTTGTGGAACTTGGTTCTCGACCTGGAATGAACGAATCGAGCATCTAGCTACACATTTCAGGAATGGGGACGACATGAGCAAATGGGAAGGAGATTGGGGGTTTGAGCCTTGGGTCCGGAGCCTGGTGGACAATGCCATGCCTCCGTACCTCATTGGCCAGGACAAGAAGTCAATGCATCCATTTTCGGCCTCGGACCGTCTTCAACAGATCAGTGACCCGGCCAGCACGGCGCCTCCAATACTTAGAGTGCCGGAAGATTCAAATTGTTTTGCTCGTCTGGAACGCGAACTCAAAGCATTTATACATGATCAGCTTGCAGCGGGAGTTGTCCCGACAGACCTGATGATACAGGATCAGGGCCGAAGGATCATATACGGCTGTGATGACCGTTGGAACCAGACATGTGCTGACAATCCAGTTTGGTTGAGTATTCTCAAGCGCGACTCGGGACTCGACGTCATCCCAAATTCCGACCATATTCGGTTGACGAGCCTGGCAATGCAACCGCCTTTTGCGAGGGACGGTGGCTTACGGTCGGCCCCTGTTGAGACAAATCCTGTGGCGAGAACCTTAGGGGAGCCGTGGCCTAACAGTCCTGGCCATTCTGGTTTCCATTTTCAGGGTCCTGCAGCCCAGCAACGCTCCGGGCGGCCAAGTTTTCCCTCCAGCATGGCGAGCAGTTACATCGACAACGCTGGAGCGGTTTCTGCTAGTACATCAGCAGGCTTTTCAAACAATTGGCGAAACAGCTACTCTGCTGCGACTTCCTCCTCTTCCATTAATGTAGGTGGGCCTGCGGGGATGGACTTTGACCCGGGATTTTTGCAGGAACTGAACGGCAGCTATGAAAAGCTCCGGGGGAACGACGCCGATGTAATGGACGGAGAACATTTCAACACGGTCAATCGATAGTACGATATTCCAAACCAAGCATCAATTTTATGTTTTTTCTTTCTTTTTCTTTTTTTTTTTTTTTTTTTTTTGCCGAGTATCTCGATCCATTTGGGACTATCATGACCTTATACGGCTAACAGGCCCTTTCGCAATCATGAAAAGCCCTGATATATACACAAGACGTGGTAATGAGTTGGATCATTTTATTTATTTATCACTTGGTCTTTTTTGGGTCTGTCTAACATTGTACCATGCTGTTTTTAGAGCTTGTCAACTAGAAATCTATATGCTATTCTTGGACATTGGTGTAGGACGTGCTCAACTGGACTTTTGCAGCTGCAACATCACGATTCAACAAAGGCGATACCATACAGGTCCATGGAATTCATGTATTTACCCAGACGGGTGGGGCTTGCATGTGAAGGCGATTCTTCCATTGCCCCAACCGCAGATTATTATGCCTGCACGTCTCAACCTTATCGCAATCCATCCTTGTCTGCATTCTTGTTGGAAGAGAAAGCTCCCAACTCTTCTGACGCTGGGAAAAATATCTCTGTAGACGATGGCCTAGCAACTCTCTGGTCTTTCCGACTCTACAGTTCCATCCTCAACCCGATCCTTCCACTGCATTGTTCACCCGATCTTTTTGCAGGCTGGAAGGACTCGATTTGCCATCAGTCCGCAGATTTCCTGTCAATTCCCGCAATTCACACAGTACAGATAGTACTCTCACTTCAGACATGGGCGCCCCAGCACCACCAGACCCCGAAAACACTGTGATATATTCTACTACCCTCCCGGTCTTCTATACTGTCATCCCGGCTTCGATCAGGCGGCGGATCCCACGGCTCTACCATTCCCTGCATAGGTCGTTCGGCAGCAGTGGTGAGAATGGCAACGAGAACGAGAAACGTCATGTTGGGAATGAAAGCGAGCTCTGTGCAAGGGGGCTAACATCTGCGTCGGAGCCGCAGTTGGCGTATTCCACTGGATCAATTGTCGCGGGGTTTGCGGACGGAGACGCTGCTGCTATTGCCGCATCTGCATCTGCTGCATGTGCTACTCGTCCGGGATCATCTGGGAGCAGTAGCGAGAGGTCGTTGCATTCAGTGGATACTTCGACTTGGAATGCGTCCGAAGGAAGAGAGGGCGCTAACGTCATGACGAAGTATGAGATCGACTCTGGGTTGAAGTGGAATCGAATCGTTCCCGGTCAGTCCATAACCATCCTCCTTTTGCCCATGGACTGTTAACAGTCCTGCTAACATGTCATGAATACGTGACCAGCATTCAACCTCCTCCGAAGCGCAGGCTACGAAGCCCAACAGAACAACCCAGACACTCCCCTAATCAGATCCCTCTACGTCAACGCAGTGGGATACCTCCTTTCCGCGCTTCCCGACAGCCTCACCACGAAAGAAGTAGCCCTCCTCCAAGAAAAACTTCCCGAAGCCGTCAGACCGCGCAGTGCCTCACAACCCCCAGCAGCAGTAGAAGAAGAAACCAGCGTGACCTTCACTGGCCTGGAAGGAACCCACAAATCTAAATCAAAACCCCAGGTCATATCCAAATACACGCAGCCAGAACGCTCATGCCTCCATCGCCTCCTCGCATCCGGAATAATTCAATTCTTCCTTCTCCTCCAATTCCTCATCCCTTACATCAAAGTCCTCTTGTACCATCTCTACCGGTACGAACGATCTCACCACATCACGGAGCGGGTCGTCGCGACGACGCTGGACGTGGCTGATAGTCTCGGGAAAGGGGGCGTGAGCTTGGGGTCTGCCATACTCCGGTTGAATGAGGGGAAGGTCGGTGCTGCGGTGTCGGATCTTGCCGGGTGGTGGGTGGAGGGGGTCGCGGGGGGTGTCTATGAGGGTGTCGGAGAGGGGATGATGATTTTAGGGGTTTTGAAGTCGAATGGTAATAGTACCGGGGGTGGGAATGGTCGTTCGGAGGTGGATGGTGTCTCTAGGTGTTGATAGAGGGGCTGCTTTTTTTTGGGCTTTTTGGGTGGTTTAGTTCAATGGGCTTTTTTATACATGGTTTGGCGTATGTGATGGGATGATGACGACTTGTTACTATTCTTGTTATCTAGATCTAGACTTGATATACTATATTCTCTTTATGATTCAATTGATCTGAAGTAATTTAGCCGTTCACTCCACTGAATCATGAGATCGCCGAGATTCCTCCGAGCGATCGGCGTCGCTGCAACGTCTCCAAGAACGACAGGAAAAGTGACAGTCGAGCTGCAGACAGGTCATTTCTCCGCAACATGTCGAGTTGCAATCTGCCAAACGTCCCTTCTTTTCGCAAACAACAGCTTTTCCTCGAATTGTAAGTATAGCTCTCCAAGCACTCGAGTCGGAATCCACTACAGTCTAATAACCGCTTTGCTAATGTTCGTCTCTGCGGTCGCAGTGCGAGCTTGAAATATGCTGCTCCTCCCGGGGTTTACATGAACCTGGGTCCTGGTGATCCGACCCTGTGGACGGGCGTGATCTTTGTACGATCCGGTGAGCTCGATTTCTATCGAAATAAAGCATCGAATTGTGACATGGTGGTTGCTCTTTCGCCGATGCTAACATGAGCTCTTGTTACTCCCCTCAGGGCCATATGCTTCTGCCATTCTCCGTTTCCAAATTCGCTTTCCATCTTCTTACCCCGACCTTCCTCCCCTAGTGACGTTTTCGACGGACGTATTTCATCCATTGATTGTACCGCTTACCACCTATACGTTCAGTACGGGGTCAGGGGGCGAGGATCCAGTTAGCGCAACTGACGAGGGCAGGTTACCACCAGGAGGGTTCAGTTTGAGACATGGATTTCCTCATTGGTTTAGCAGGAAAGGACGAAGAGACGGAGGGAAATCGACTGATTCGAGAGATGCGAGCAGAAGTGCAACCGGCATAGACACGCCCAGGGGCCGCTCGACTGTTCTTTCTGACGAACGAGCTGGAACTGTTCCAAATGACAACCAGAATGCGTCTGGGAGTACGACCGAGTCTTCGTCCACTACCCAACCTCCACGCGATGATGCCACGGAGACAGATAAAGAAGCTTCCTTAGTGCCCGGCCATCCAATATCGACTGTTCCCGTGGTAGCATTATTGGACTACATCCGATCCACCTTCGATGATGCCACGGTCCTTGATTCCGTCCCTCTGGCAGCAGCTGGGAATCCCAGCGCGTGGCATGCATGGAAGGCTCATCGGAGAGGGAGTAGTTCGACGTTTGGAAGGAATTCCAGACGAGGGAGTCCGCAGACACGTCTGCCTGGAGACTGGCATTGGGATGGGATCTGGGCAAAGCGTGCGAAGGATGAGATCGAGGCTAGTCATTCAGAGGCCACCTTATTCGGGAGTTCCTCTAGGACTGCTGGGGATGAGATGGTACGTTTGGCCTACCTTTTAAGTTGCCGGGTTTATTAAGTTGTGGTTTGCTAATTGTGGTCGGTGCTGTAGATACGATTCTCTCGGTTGGATGATGCAGCCGTGGAAACCGTTAAGGAGATGGTTGTCCAATACATGGAGGACGTTCGTTGGTGATCTGTGGATTCTCTCTCTTTTCTGGTGTATATTGTCTTGATTTAATTATACCCAAATGCTATGTATTGACCCGGTTCTGCTTAGTGGGCTTGGATGTCTCTCCTTCCACGATTGCTTTCTTTCATATAAAAATCGACACGGCAGGACCGACCCAGCATCTGCCTCCAGCCTGGAAAAGGAAGGGAGACAGTTCCCCCTCTCTCTTTTTTTTTTTTTTTTTTTTCCCCTTCTCTTTCACTCTCAGCATTCACCCACTCCCATCTCCTGCCACCTCATACAAAGATGCCAACCGCTTATACCATCAACCCTCAGAGCACCATCATCGTAATCGCGCTAACACTGGTTCCTATCATCGTCCTCTTCTGCTGCCTTTTCCTGGCAATCGCCTGCTCTGAATTCTGGAGCGGCAGACGGTGCGATCGTTGCTGCTGCTTTTGCATCGTTCCCCGGTATCAACAACAGCAGAAGCATACGAGGAGCTCATCATCAGATACTCAATCTCAATATCAGTCTCACACTCGCAATTCCCGTTCTGTCGACGGGACGGAGACCTCAGAGGCAGATCTCGAGTTTCAGTCCCCTGTGCTGGGGAGGGAGCAAGTCTAGTTTGGAAAGGTTTACTTTTCTTTTTGGATTTGAGTAGAGGTTTTGGTTGTTTTCCCCCAGGCTATTTGCCTTACATTTTCCATCTCGTATTCTTCTCTTTCTCCCAGATTCATATGTCATGGAGAATCGGAGGCCACAATCTCAACATCAACCTCAACCTCTTCGGATAGCCAAGACCCCAACGTTGTCGAAACTTGGTGTTGGGCCAATCTCTAGGTACCCTCACATTCCGCGGAGACGGTCGTCCTTATGTGCGGTTTCGAGAACCTGTTCGGGCCAGTCTGCTATCTCAACAAGGACGCCGTCATTTGGGAATGACGTGGGTCAATTGCAAATTTTGAAGACCCGCGCTGATACAAACGTTTTGGATGAAGCATTTCGTCGTGATCTGGATGATGTCGATGAACTTGATGTAAGTCATTCCCAACTTTGCTTTGAGGGTATTGGATCTGACAGATGATGTAGGTGGAGAAGAACGGCCTTGAACTTGCTAGGCAGAATAGACTCAAAACCAGAAACCGATTGCTTCCTTGGTTCTTCCGTACAGCTAGCCCTAGGCCTTGGTTCACATCAGCGAAATCGTCGAGAGATCCTGTGAGGATACCCCCTCTCGCAGATTCTCTGGGATCGACACTCTCCGCTGGTAAACAACCTGGCATGTCCATAAGGACTTCGTGTCGACAGTTCTCGCTGCAACCTGAGGGGCTGAGTCACTCAGTTCCGCGGAGAGTCCCTGTTGCTACAGTCAATCTAAAGGCTATAGCGGAAAGTCCCAGGATCCGCGCACACTCCATATCCATGTGGGTTACTGTTGACGCGTTCGTTGATGTAAATCCGGTCGAGTCCTTTGATTTTGAATGCCTCACGCCGTTGGATATGGTTATTATACTTGATGATGTGTAAGTGACTTGGCGTTTGATGTCCATTCATATTCTGACTGTGTGTTCCAGACCGTTGATGTCGATTGGAACTCTGAGAAAGGCGGTTACGAGCTGTTCAGTCGTTGTCTCGAGTTTGAATACTGAAATCGATCATTTCGCTATTGGATATCTGGATGCGGGATCTGAGGACCATCTTAACGTGTTGCTACCACTGGGGTTGAATTCCGTGAGATCCGCCATGAGAGCGATGGAGACGTACCAAATCGCCCACCTGGCGGGAAAGAATGACAAGAAACCTGACATACATAAGGCCATTAGACGAGCCGCGAGTATGCTCAACAGCCGTGGGAGGGCTACTATAGGTCACATTCTGTTCATCACTGCTAGTCTTGGTATGCAGTTTTCGATTCCCTCGATGGGGGAGAAACTCAGCATCCATACAATGTCTCCTGACTGTCGCTTCCATTTTGAGAACGAGGAGACGCCTCGAGGGTGGCATGTATTTTCAGACACTGAATGTTATGAAAAAGGCTCAGCAAAGGATATTGTACAAGGCAAGGTTCGCAAAATGGTCAGACATATTCGCGCGGGAGTTGACTCGGGTGCCATCACGGACTTGACATTGAATCTCACTCCTCGAGAGGACTGCCAGATCCTTTCTATATGGGAAGACACACAGTTGCCAACGTTGCGGCCGGGGGAGAGATGGGTGGTTCCAGTTCAAGTTAGCGTGCCAGCGACGGACCAAAGGTCGATCGAAGATGACAGGCCAGCGGTCAATGGAAGTTCTTACCCGATTGAGAAGCTGATGAATCAGTTGTACGAAATGCTAGGGAGCTTTTCCCGTGAAGTTGTTACGCAGGATATTATGGCTGCGTGTCTCGAGTACAAGCATTCCGCGCTGGGGGAACACGCCACTGTTCGGTCAGAGAGCTACTGCAGAATGAAACGGAATGTGCACAGATGTTATCCGGAAGGAGCTGGTCCAGGGCTACCAATTATGGGAAATCTCGTGTTGGTGGAAGAGATGGGAGGCCTAAGGGCAGGTCGATTCGAGGAGGATGAAGAGGAATACTATGAAGAAGAAGAAGAAGATGAAGAAGGATACGATGGAGGTGAAGAGGATGGGGGGGACGATGGCGACGGTGACGATGACGATTATGAGGGTGGTAACAGCGAGGAGGACGAGGACGAAGAAGATGAAGAGGACGAGGAAGAAGAAGAGGAAGACTGTGAGGAGGAACGGGAGGAAGAGGAGCAGCCAGAAGGCCATGAAGAAGACGAGGAAGGAGAAATGTATGAGGAAGATGTGTACTTTGATGACGGGGACTATCGGCATTCAGAAGGCGAACAGCTGTACAGATGGTGAGCATTGGGGTATATTCTGCTGTCAGAATAGACGCTTCAGTATCCAGAAGATCATTACTTGAGATGGGCCTGCAGTCAATAGATCATTGATAACTTGACGGTTTGATATAATAAGACAAATTTCATTCATCGAGGAAAGCGGTTCTCTATCCTAGCCCTAGCCGACAAGCAGTCACGCATGCCAGTTTGAAGTATTCCCAAGCCATTCTGTACAATCGACCATATCTCCAAACCCATACAATACAGGCTGCTCTCACGTTAAATAGCAGCATGAGCTTGCGTCTCAAATGGCAACGCGAAGCAGATGGCCCCCACAGCCACCCAGAGCGCGGCACTGGCATAAATAGGCGCAGTCGTAAAACCACACTGCGAGGATATTATACTGGCGATCAGCCCACCAAACCGAAGCAGCGTGGCAGCCGTTCCAGTTCCAGTGCCTCGATGCGGTCCTGGAAAGGATTCGGGAGTGAAGGCGTACATGACGGCATATTCTGCGTTTGTTAGAGCATGAACATGAGACAACCCTGCCTATGTAGGAACGCAATCTAGAATAGAACGCACCGAAATTCCCCAAAAGCCCCGTCACGCACGAAAAAGCCAAACTGGACGTCGGGCTATTGACGCCGACGTAGGCGAACAGGAACACGCCGGTGATGATGGCTGAGATGCCCATCATCCATCTACGGCCGAACCGGGGGACGTTGACGAGGAAGCCGGCGGAGACGGGGCCCACGATACCGACAGCGGAGGTGATGCAGTAGTTTCTGTATGTGAGGTTGAGAGAGGCGTTTTGGGTGAATTTCGTGGCGAGGTAGGACGGGAGGAAGTTGAAGTAGAGGGGGTATGCGATTCCTTCCATCATGTTATCCTGTTAACGATCACGAACAATCTAAGAGGCGAAATCCTCCCAGCCAACATACCGATAGTCAGCCAGATAAACCACGTAAGAGCAGTATGCTGCGCCAGCTTCCTCGTCGCAAACAGAGCCTTGTACTTGACCCCATGGAACGACTCGAGGTTCTCCCGGAGGATCTCACGCTTCGACAACCCCGTGCTTCTGTCGCTGTCATTGTGAACCTCGACGCCCAGCTGGATGTCAATGGCCTGCAACATGTCCAGGGTCAATGGCTCGGGCTTCCCGTTGCGTCGGGCGACGTAGTTGACAGCGTCGACGGCCTCCTTGTCCCTGCCCTGCGAGAGGAGGTAGCGGGGGGTTTCGGGCATCTTGAAGACGAATGTTCGGACGAAGGTGAAGACTAGGGCCAAGCCCCCGAGGGTGATTAGGGTGTATCTCCTAGTTGTTCTTAGCTTATGGGTGAAGCGCCAGGAAAAGGATAAGAACCCACCACCCCATGTTCTCGCTCCGCTTGCATGTCTCCGGCGTGCTGTCGGTGGGACAGCTGAAATTGGCCAGGAAGACCCAAGCAATCAGGGAGACGATAAGCTGGCCCATGTTCCACCATCCGGAGAGAGAAGTGAGCAGCCATTGGTGGCTAGAGCAGTAAGCATGCAGTACACAGCAAAAGGGGGAGGGAAAAGAACACACCTCGCAGGCAGAAACTCCAAAAAAATCAACGAGTCCACCGGAACATTCCCGCCGGCAGCAGTTCCAATAACAGCCCAGAGCGCACTGAAGGCGACGAAATTCATCGCCCCGGCACACGCACAGAGGAAGACGCCGGCGATCAGCAGAGTACAGTTGAACGCAGGCTTCCGGCCGATGAAGTCGGAGGAGATACCCCAGAACGACGCGCCGAGGATGAGGCCGATATAGTACGCCACGGAGCTGTAGCTGACCTGGACGATGTGTTTGAATTCGGTTTCGATGGGCGGCTGGACGCTGCCGATACCCTGGGAGGCAAGCTTTTATTTGAAAAATCAAGAAGAACAAAAGGTCAATACTATTCATCCCGTGTCTTGCTGGGTTTCAGCATACGTTGTCAACGATGTATCCGAATCCGGTGACGATGAAGAGTTCCCATTGGTATCTAAGGCTTCATTAGCTGAGAGCTCCCAGGGGCATTGACGAGAAAGAGAGGCGCACCGTCCCATGCCGACCTCTTCCAAACATCTCGAGACAAGCTCCGACTTCAGCCGGTACGAGTCCGTCGTCGAGGACCCGTAGAAGTCTCTGGTCTCGGCGTCATCGATGGCTGCGATCTTTCCGATCTCGACGGAGTCGACTTTGGCGAGCGTGGGATCGGTCTTCTCGCCCTGTCCGGGACCTTTGTGGATTTCTTCTTGGATCTCCGACATGTTTCTGTTTCTGTTTGTATATGAAAGAGACAGACAAGGGCGTGGAAGACAGGAGGAGGAGTGCAGGTATATGAGGGCTTGCCCTACAGAGGCTATTATTACCCTACTACTGCCTTGCCTGCTAATATAACAGCCAACCCCATTATTGTCTTACCATTTGACTTTACGCATGCCTGTTGCAGATATCGATAACCTGCAAATTCCACAGGAGTAGATAGTAGATACGAACGGGCTGATAATGCCGTCCAGCTCCCAGCCTGGACTCTCGATAAAGAGACAAAATGGCATGACCAATCCCTCCGCTGGTGTTGCTGTTCATCAACTTATCTCTTCCACCGTCTTCCGGCCGGGTTATGCACACGCGGCAAATAACCTTATCCCGCTGCTGAGAATCGACAAGATCGACCTTTTCCTGCCAGGGGAGGGCATTTATCTCCAGTATCGATGCTCAAGAATGGGGGATTGGCGTGTTGCCACTGCGATTAGGGTTGGGTTGGGTTGGCCTTGGGACAACATGTCCATCCAGGGCGAAGGAACTGTGAGTTCGAAAAGGGGCAACAAACGCGAGACTATGCGGAGGACTCCATGGTTACTATCTATAGCATTACTGTGCATTTCCATTCGTTGTCATTATTTCGTGGATAGACCTTCGCGCTGCCCCAAACCCTAATCCCACTGCTGGTCTCCGTGCTTCACCCTCAGGTAAAATATCGCCATTGAGGGCTGTTCTCGCCATCCGCCAATTCCCTGGTATCAACATCCCCGGCGCGCAGTTGGACTCCCTGCTCGCGGTTCCGTCGAGCGTTCTCCCTCTTCATCCACAGCCCCAGGACGAGCGTGAACACAATGCAGACGCCGTTGCAGCAGCTCGTGGCGATCAGTGTGGGAGCATACTTCGGCGCATATTCCGTCCGAAAGGTAGCTGCGCTCAGAATGCCGCCCAGATTCCCCAGACCGACAAACAGCCCCGTATTGGCGGCCCTCGAGTTCTCGTTGAGATTGTTGTTGTTGTGCCAGGCATGCACGAGGATGGACGGGATGTAGGCCCCCCCGGCCATCATGAAGCATGCAAAATACGCCACGCCCTTGTTCTCCACCGCGTCGATGGCGGCCAGGATGATCATTCCGACCAGCGAGATGATGAGGGAGACGATGATGTGGAATGTGCGCTCGCGGAAGTAATCCGAGGACTTGCAGACGACGAGCAGGACGACGGCCCCGACAGCGTTGGGGGCGACGGTCCAGAGGTTTGTTTTGACCGTCGAGAAGCCTAGACGTTGGACGATCTGAACGGTCAGTTTCCCTATGCCCAAGGCTGTCTACAGAGCCCCCTTTCGGTCGACTTACCTGGGGCAAGAAATTCCCCGTCGTCGCAAACGCAACCGGATACGTCAGCGTAATCACACACCACACAGGAAACCTCCATCCAGACCACTGCCTGAAGCAATCCCGGAGATTAAACCTGCTCTCAACAGCCGAGGAGTTATTCCGCAGCTGCCGGGCCGTGGCGACGCTCCTCTCCGCCTCGTTCAAGAACCAGGCCGTCTGCGGCCTCGCGGGCAGCCAGAAACAAGCCACGATGCCGCAGAGAAAAGTCATTCCGCCCTCGATGATGAACAGCCACTGCCACCCGTAGACGTGCGGGTTGTCGATCTGGAAGACGCCGTACGCGATGAGACCGCTGAATGCGGCGGATATCACGGCGAAGGACTGGAAGATGGCGAGTCGGAAGCCGAGCTCGCTTCGCGTGTAGAAGAGGGTGAGGTAGTAGGTGACCCCTGCGTAGAAGCCGGCTTCGAAGATGCTTGGAGCGGTTAGTTTTTCTCGTGTACTCGCAGGGACATGCATGGCGTTACCCCAGAAGAAGCCGTACGGCGAGCAATCCGCCGAAACTATGCGTGGCGCATTGAAGCATCCCCAGAATTCCCCATGCGAGGGACACTGAGAGCAATAGCAATTTAGAAAGATGTATCCCGGCCCTGGGAACTGGAAGGGGACATACTGATCGAAAGCGTAACCCTCGCAGAATACCGCTTGGTCAAAAGATTCCAGGGCAAATCGCAGAGACCAAACGGCACGTAGAACAGCAGGATGAGCAGGGAATAGTCGTTTCCGACGAAATGCAGGTTCCGATCCAGGCCATCGGTCTTTGCATTTCCCAGGTTACTCTGTCACGATACTCGTAAGGAAGGGTCTCTATCGACAGTGGCTTTTCAACAGTGGCTGTGGACGTACCCGGTCGATATTGTCGAAGAAGTACATCTGCCCGTCTCATCAGCTTGACTGTTTCCCTTCACGCAAACGCCAAAACGCCCTAGGGCTACTCACGAGGCAGAGAAGAGGAAGCAGGAAGACGTCCACCTTGCGGACTGAACAATCAAGAGCATCAGCCATCTAATCCCATATAAAAAAGAATACCGAATCCTACCGTAAGACCGCTCCACGGCCGGATCTATATCGCCAGACACCTGGCCGTCCGTCGAGGCCGGTTCGATATCAACCGGGGTCGACTTTTCGGTGGACATCTTCTTTTCCATTGCGTGCTATGTGAATGACAGACAGTCTAGCTAAGGGGCCGTGGTTCTTGTCTACAGGGGCTCCAGCAAGAAGGCCCTCTGGCGGCGCGCTACAATATATCTGCTGAATATATCTGTTGACTACGCCGTGTGAGACTGGGATCTGCAATGCGCCTATGACGGTGATGATAAGAAGAGGTCTTCCTTGCGAGTGCTTCCAACCCCATAGAAAAGAAATGCAATCGAGGGCCAGGGCAAAAGATCCCTGCTTTGGCACCATTCGCGGTCCGGACAGAGCATAGAATGCAGCTGAGATAGGAGTCTCCCACCTTTTACAAGTTACCGAGTCTCTTCCATCTTATCCCCCACCGTTGCGCAGTGCCGGAAGCCCTCCGAGATACGAACAGATCTCCCGGGTGATCGCTACGGCTGCCCAGATGCTATCATGCAAGAAGGAAACAAGGCAGCGGACGATGTCTTCTCCGCACGCTCGTTGTGAGCCGGGATGATGGCTCCCCACTAATGGGTTGGTGGGATGGCCTCTATAATCGGAGGACGGACTTCACGGCGAACACGACAGGATAAAAAAGAACAGTGACCACGCAGACGGCAAGAAGGACACCTTCAAGCGTCAAGTTATTCTTTGTTAAAAGACACAGGATCTTCTTGTTCCGAATAGGGAAAAAAATGGGCGAAGTTCGCAGTCCGCCTCCGATCCTCGATTTCTCCGGTAAGTCCGCTTCAACGTTGAACGCGGCGCGTAGACGAGCACGCTGACGGTGGTAGTCTTCTACGGAAACGACGCAGAAGCCAAGGCCAAGCTGATCAAGGACGTGCGCAATTGCTGCCTCTACAATGGCTTTTTCCAGATCACCGGACACAAGATCCCGCGGGAGCTGCAAGAGCAGGTCTTTGCATGCTCCAAGCGGTTCTTCACCATGCCCCTGGAAGAAAAGAACAAGATCAGCAAGAGTATATACCCAGACGGAAACCTCCTGCCGCGTCCACAAGCACAGCTGACCGAAGATGAAACAGCCAAAAACACATGGAACAGAGGCTACGAGCTCGTAGGCTCCCAGATCCTCGAAGCCGGGACCAGCCCAGAACTGAAGGAGGGATTATACATCGGCGAGGAGATCCCCAAGGACCACCCGTACTTCGTCGAGAAGAAGCTGAACAGTGGACCCAACTTCTGGCCGGAGACGGTCGAGAACCCAGAGGAATTCCGAGAGACGACGATGGAATACTACCACGCCGTCTTCGACCTCGCCAAGGACGTGCTGAAGCTGATTGCCCTGACGCTGGGTACGGATGAGGGGTACTTTGACGACTTCGCCACGGATGCAGTGGCGACGATGCGGTATCTACACTATCCTCCCCAGCCCAAGGATTCCGATGAGAAGCTCAGCCGGGGCATCGGGGCGCACACGGACTTCGGGGCGATTACCCTGCTGCTCCAGGGGGACGTGGATGGTCTGCAGGTGCTCGACGGTCCTTCGGGAGAATGGTTTGACGTATGTTTTACATCCAGCCTCGACGAGATAGAGAGAGAGCGCGCGCCAGCATTGACATTGACTTAGGTCGAACCCGTCCCCGGCGCATACGTGGTCAACCTGGGCAACCTCTTCATGCGCTGGTCCAACGACGTCTACAAATCCAACATCCACCGGGTGATCAACAAGTCCGGACAGGAGCGGTACTCCATTCCCTTCTTCTTCAGCGGGAAACCCGATTACGTGTGCGAGTGCCTGCCCAACTGCTGCGCAGAGGGCGAGAGTCCCAAGTACCCGAGCACGACCGTCACGGAAATGGTCACTAGCGGCTACCGCGAGAGCTACGGACGGGCAGAGAAGTACAAGGCCGAGTTTGAGAAGAAACAGGCGCAGGCGGCGACTCCGCTGGTTTCGCAGGCGGCTTGATCCTATCTTGATTTCTTGGTCAATTGAGCATTAATAATGGATTGGATTCCTATCAGTAATACCATACCGTATCCAGCATTACACATATACCGTAATAGCGTAATACCACAATACCACGATACCGGAACGCTGTAATACCGTAATTCCAGAATACCCCCAGTACCGTATAACGCCATACCATACCGGCTGACTCCCGAGCTTATCGTATCTTCTCCGCATCGCAGAACTAAAGAACTAATTATTATCTCCAGTCCGTGAAGAAGAATCCGTGAAGAATGTCTTCCTGCCTCATTCTCTGACAGACTGCATCGCCCTTCATACATTGGAATCCGACGCAGCGTAAACCCATCCGCCATGCCATCAAGCTCATCTCCCTCCTCCTCTTCCTCCAGATCCCACTCAGCAACCCTCCCCAAAAGCCATATCTGCCAGATAGACGGATGCGGCAAAAGCTTCACCAGAGCAGAACACCTGCGCCGACATGCGCTGAACCACGAAGTCGAAGACAACTCCTGTGAGAGGTGCGGTGTGCATTTCAGCAGAACCGATCTTCTAGGCATGTTCGCCCGACAATACCGCTATGATTGATGCCGTCCAGGATCTGGCTAACAGCAACCCAAGCAAGGCACATGATCCGCCATGCCAAACGGGACGAGGAGGCCGGAGGTCCCGGGTTGGGCGTGCTGGACACGAGGAAGCGCACTCGTCGTCTTCCCGATGGGACGATCGTGACGAGACCGACCAAGAGACAGAGTCGGGCGAACAGCGGCAAGACTGCGAATGGGAGTGGCAGTCGCAGTAACAGCAACGACAATCATCACAATCCCATACAGCCCGCATCGCCCGTATACAGCAGACCGAGTCACAGTGGTGCCTCTGCGTCGGAGCCAAGTGTGTCGTTGTCGGATTGCCCAACAGGCCTTCATCACCATTATGATATGCCGCCGGATGGGGCGCCTGTGTCCCCTCCCCGATCTACAAATATGTCCGGACTCAGCAGTACGATGAGCCTGGAGAACGAGCCCTTGGACGAGAATGTTGGCATCGACACCAGCGAGTCACTGCTGGCGCCGATGATGCCCGGTGGCCCCTATGAACCGTTCGTCGAGCCGATTGCGGGTCAGTTTGATGTCGCCGATGGCGCGTGGCAGACGAATGCAACGCTTCCACCGTCGTCGATGGATATGGATTATGAAGACACGTTTAACCTGGATACAGGTATGCTATTCTGACCCGGTGGCTTATTTAGCGCATGAATGCTCACAGCCGAACAGCGACTTCGTTTAACATGCCCTTCGCGACAACGCACAACTACAATTGGCTCTTCGATGCATCCTCGCTCAACGATGCTTTCAAAGTGGACGAGGCGCTGCTGTCGACTGGCCTTTCCAATTTCGTGGAACCCGTGCCTGACATGTGGTCCCAGCCGCTTTGTAAGTCTGCGGAACAACCGTCGAGGATGCGTCCCGATCCGGTTACCTCGACGAACGATTTGATGCTGTTTCAGGCAGACCGCAACCTTGCTGCTCCTTGTGGCCAATCCATCCCTGCACCGCAGGTGGACGCTTGGCAATGCTCGGGACTGTCGCAGTCCGCGGACTTTGACTGGATGGGACCGGCCGTGCCTGTTGACCCCCCCAAACCCTTGCTGCCATGCATCACCGAGGAGGTGCGAGCCCGAATATTGGACCTGGTGGCTCAGGCCTGTCCGACGACAATGGATGGTTCTCCCATTGACCATGCGTCGCCACTGTTATCGCTGGCGGCGCTTCAGAGCTACTGCGATCTCTTCTTCACCAGATTCAACACGTCCTATCCGATTATCCACAAGGCGACTTTCGACCCATCCAAGGTGGAGCGGCTATTGCTTGCTGCCGTGATTTCTCTCGGTGCAACCTACAGTTCCCGAGACGCGCATAGACTGGCCGTTGCCATTCATGATATCCTTCGGAACCTTGTATTCGCCCACGCCGGTTTCTCAGCGGACCCAGACCTGTGGGTTCTCCAGACGATGGTGCTCATCGACTGCTTCGGGAAGTCCCGAGCTGGCCAGAAACAGCGAGATATGGCACAGTTGTTCCACTGCGTCCTCATCAAGCTGATCCGGAGGAGTGACTGCACGGCCATCCGCACATCACCCGCAAAGCCAGATCTACAGGACCTCGATCTGGAATGGAGGCGGGCCATGGACGTAGAGCAGCGCAAGAGGCTCGCCATCCTCTGTTTCATGTGGGACACGCAGCACGCGACCCTCTTCTCGCAGTCCCTGTGCATGTCGGCGTTTGAGATCCGGTCCTCCCTCGCCTGCGACTCGGGCACCTGGGAAGCTGAATCGGCGGAAGAATGGCATCGGAATTCCCAACGGGAAGGTCTGCAATCGCATCTCCCGTTCCTCAACGTGCTCAAAGCCTACATCACCCCGAACGCAATGCAACGGCCGCGTCACCTTAACGCTCTCTCCCGGGTTCTGCTTCTGCACGGCCTCATGTCCATCGCCTCGGACCTGAAACGCCGCGACCAGACCACCCTGCGCGTCGAGTCTCCGGATCTAGTCGGCGCCTGGAAAGCGCGAATAAGCCGCTCCCTGGACCTCTGGAAGGCTGACTTTGACGCCGACTGCATGAATATGAAGCTCAATGTGCTGTCGGATCTGCGCGCGTTCACGGGCCACAAGACCTCCGCGCATGCCTTGTATCACACGGCGCAGATCACGCTGGACGTGGAGGTGCTGGATCTCCAGATCTTCGCGGGCGCCACGCACATTCTAGGCCGTGTCGTGACGGATTCCGACGTCCAACGGTCCCGTCGAGCAGTCATGAAGTGGGTTAACGAGGATCCCCGGTCCGCGGCGAAGGTCGCACGTCATGCGAGCTTGATCCTGCAAGATGCCGTTATGAATCTGAATGATTGGGATGATAACGATGCGTTCCATTATCCGTGGTGTCTGTATTTGGCGACGTTGGGTTGCTGGGCGTTTCATTTACCGACGTCGTCGTCTGCTGGCACTGCTGCTTCAGAGGGTAGCAGCAGCAGCAGTAGTAACAGGGCGTTGACGGATAGAGAAGCGAAGAACCAGATGACGGCCTTGCTGGTCGGTATGACGACTTGTAACTCGTTAGAGGAGCTGTCATCCATGGCGGGCAAGTTCAGCACGAACGGGCTAACAGCTGTCATGGCGAAGCAATTGGCGATCGTGCGATGGGCGATTGTGCATGATGCTATGAAAGTTCTTATGAATCTGAGCAGTCCTGGTGGTAAATTCTGGTAATTTCTATGTCGATTACTGTGGTTATCTGTATATGCATCATAGAATGATGAATTGAAGAAATCTACCCAACACCAACATGCAAAGCTAAACCAAGAAATCTAAAATCTAATTCTTCGCCGCGTAGAAAGGATAGTCAACATACCCCTTACTCGGCGGCTCAGCCCCGTAAAACGTCGTGCGATCATACTTGGTCAGCTCCAGGCCCTCTTTCAAGCGTTTCGGCAGGTCAGGATTAGCAATAAACCACCTCCCAAACACGATACCATCGGCCTTCCCACTCTCCAACTTGGGCACGGCATTATCCCTGTTGAATGCACCAGCAGCAAGGAACTTGATCCCGGCCCCCTCCAGGGCATCGTGGAAGCGATCCAGAGAGAACACCTTGCTGATATCCTCGGAGGCCTCCTTCTTGCCCTCTGTCGTGGTGGACAGAGACTCCAACTTCTCCTTCTCACCGAGCACCTCGTCAAATCGGGGCTCAATCATATGCACGTACGCCACGCGGTTCTGCTCAGGCAGACCGGCAATCTGCTTACACAGGTACAACCAGTGCTCGTTGGGGTTCGAGTCGCGCGTGTCCTGGAAGTAATTGTAGGGCGAGAGACGGATGCCGACTTTTTCAGCACCGATGGCTGCGGTGACAGCTTTGATGACCTCGAGGGGGAATCGGCTGCGGTTTGCGATGGAGCCGCCGTACTCATCTGTGCGGGTGTTGACGTTGTCGTGGAGGAATTGGTCGAGGAGGTATCCGTTTGCGCCTGGCCAGTCGTCAGTCAAGACTCCTCCCCACCGACATTACCTATGAAGAATGAAGGGGAAAAGGAGGATACCGTGAATCTCAACCCCGTCAAACCCCGCCTCAACAGCCCTCTTCGCCGCACTCGCGAATTCCTCCACAGTCTCCTTAATCTCCTCCGTACTCATCGCCTTGGGCGGGTGATCCGCGTACTCCGTCCCATCCAACGCCTTGCCCGTGATGGGGATCGAAGACGCAGATAGCGGAGTCTTCCCACCCAGAAAACCGGGCGTGGTGGCCCGTCCGACGTGCCAGAGCTGGCAGAAGATGAAGCCGCCTTTTGCGTGGACGGCGTCCGTCACGCGCTTCCAGGCCGCTATTTGGCTTTGTGTGAAGATGCCGGGGACGTTGGGGTAGCCTGCTACCTTTTTGCAGTTAGTAGTTTTCCTTGGGAAATATAGGACACAGAGTATCGGAAGGATATGAGGTTGTAGACTTACATATCGCCCAATCGGTGTAGCTTCAGTCAAGAGTAAGCCACCCTTACTCGCTCGCTGCGAGTAATACTCTACCAGCAGGTCATTGGGGACGAAGACACCGTCACTTTCCTTGGTGGCTCGCATGCGCGTCAAAGGGGCCAGGATGACGCGGTGCTCCAGAGTGATTGCACCAAGACGAAGGGGCTGGAAGAGGGGTGTTGCGGCGAGGGGTTCGAGGGACATTTTGTTCTCTCTCTTTTTTCAGTTTGATGTTGTAGCTGGATTTTCTGGATAAATAGAGGGTAGAGGGGGGTTGCAATTAGGATTGAGAGAGTAGAGAAGAATTGAGGAGGAAGAGGAGGAAGAAGAAGATGGACAGAGAGAAAGAGAGGGCGAGACGCCTACGGTTAAAAATGCTCCCAATGGCGAGAGTGGGCAATGTTTCTTCAAGCAATCTCAGACGATCCTCGCGTGTGCCTGACCTTCAATTCTTTCCCCTCTTCTATTCCCTCCTGATAAATTAATAATACCGATAACTTTTGGTGGAGTTGCACTGCATCTCCGTCCATGCATACAGCATATAGTACCCCCATCTTTGGCGGCGGAGCTCAGCTTCTCCTTAGCCGCTGATGCATACATATTATTCTCCTGTTGCTATTATTATTAGTATTATTTAATCTTAATAAATCGATAGCCTTATTCAGAGTATCTCAGCTCTCAGTTCTCCAACTTCTCTTCTGCCGAGAGTTTATCTCACGGGCGTTCCTTGAGCTACCCCTGTCCCTGTTGTCCCTGTTGTCGCGTTGTCCCCCACCCGTTGGATGCTCTTTTCTTTCTTTCTTTACGCCTGATTAGGCGGTTCTGGTGGACGAGGACTTGGTTCTTGTTGTCGTCTTGCTGTAGTCTTGTAATTGAACAAGCTGTCGCTGCTGTGCTGTCTTGGGAGATCCGTTTGTTAGGGCAAGGGCAGGGTTTGCTATGGCACTGTCGATGGAGGAATAACAACGTATGCATGTAATGATTCATGGATCATTAATCACTGTACTAACAAGACTAGACATCATAAGTAATGCGTTACATATCCAAAGTTTAACTACAATGCTCAAGAGAAAAAATCAATGCTTCAAAAACCCGGCATAGTACCCCTCCAACCACTTCCCTGCCTCTTCACCAGTCGTAGAATCCACCCTCCATGTCCCAATGCTACCAATGTACCCATCCGGTCGCACATTCACAATGGCCGCGCTCGTCTTATCAAGATCTCCCAGGTATTTTTCCGTGCAGCCCGGCGACGTGACGTCATCAAGGTACACGGTCCACGGACTTTCCTTCAGGATGGACGGGAGGTCTGCGATTTCGAATGTCGGCTTCGGTGTACGCGTCACAAGAGCGTAGGTGAACATCTTCGAGACAGTCGTGTACCGCTGCGGCTGGATAAAGCTATCCGATTCCGTCGAGGGCTGTGGGTGTGCGGAATAAGACTTCTCCGCCAGTGCGGTAACCGCGGAGAAAAACGAGTCCTCTTTACTGATATATGCGCAGACGGAGGAGAGAAAGTCCTTGGCGGCATGGATGTCCGGAATGAAGAAGTAGACACGGAATTGACTGAGGAGCGGGATGTCGAGTTGGAGGTCGACCGGGTTCGCGTCGATGTAGCGGGCTACCTTGGCTGGAGGGGGCAGAGCGCCGGGTTTCAATTGGCATTTAAGGTTACTGTCTGCTGGTTGGTTCAGGATGTTGGCATCGTACTCGGCTCCGACGCCTGAGATGAACCGGATGTTGTCGTCAAAGTTCTTGGATAGGGCTGCCTCGCCCTTTGCGAAGGCTTTGACGTGCTCGATGTCGAAGTTGATCAGGTCTTGCGCGATCTTGTGTCGTTCGTCTTGGTATGTGTCCAGGAGCGTGGGAAGGGAAAGACCCCGAGATGCGAGATTGAGCTTCCAGGCAAGATTGAAGGTGTCGTGCATGCTGGTGTTCATGCCTTGGGCTGCTTTGGGAGAATGCGTATGGGCGGCCTGGATCATTAGCCTTACGTCCATGTTATCCAGTCGAGAGAGTGCGTACATCACCAGCAATGAAGATTTGATTCTTCTCGTCAGAAAACTGAGGAGAGACTCGCTGGCCGATGATATAGTTGCCGAACCACTCTGTCATGCTGTTAGAATCAGCTTATTCAGGGCACTGTTCAACCCTGACTCACCAACACTCTTCCATTCCAGCCGGAATGGATGCATGATCTCGCGCGCCTTCTTCATAACGTATTCCTGGTTGGCCACAGATTTGGGAACGAGCTCCCCATCTTCTGAGCTCAACTCGATGTACAATCTCGTCATGTTCCGCTCGCGAGGAATGCAGAGAACGGATCCCGCATCAGAGCGAACAGCAACTTTGCTCCAGATATCGGGGAAGTCGGTATCAATTACCCCTGGAAAAACATGAGTATGTGGAGCCGGATATCATCCATCCAGGTTAACTGCAGACGTACCGTCCAAGACACCCCAAGAAGCGCTGGTGAGCTTCCCCTTTAACTGAGCATTGGGAATATACGGCCGCACAATAGACCGGGATCCATCACAGCCTACCAGGTAACTTGCTTTGACGGTCTTATGGCGCTTGTTGAGGAGATCATCGCAGACGACATTCACTACCCCGTTTTGTACGGAGCAGCTGGCAAAGGGCGATGCCCTGTCGACGGAGACACCGCGATCCGCTAGATCCTGGATCAAGACATCTTCGACCATTCCCTGGTGGACTAGCAGAATGTACGGGTCTTGAGCGCCGACTAGTTCGTCGGGATAATGGGCTTGTCTGCCCGTGCGGTGAAGAGCCTCTTTCTCCGTAGATTGCTGAAGGGTCAAGTCAGGTCAGTCGGCCTTGAAACAACACGTATGAAGATCACATACCCAGAAGCAAATGTCATAGATCTTCACGCCCTTCCGGAGCAGGCTATCGGCAAGACGGAGCTGTTTGAACGTCTCGATGGTCTTGGGTTGGATCCCATCTGCTCTTCCTGTGGAAGTGGCCTCGGGACGGTCATCGAAGATCCTAACATTCACGCCGTATCGTGCCAAGTTTGACCTGTCGAGAGTTAGCACTTGGAAGCTACTCTGTGTACAAAAAAAAAAAAAAAAAAAAAAAAAAAAACTCACGCCAACATCAACCCCGACGGCCCAGCACCCACGACAGCTACCGTAGTGACTCCATCGGAGGACTCGACACGATCGGTGAATCCCTCATTGTCAACACTCGGCGCCATGATGATATCCTCGTCTTTACCAGCGATGATGGTCTCTGTAGATGCGGGGGGCGTGTTCTCGTCCTGCTGAGCTTGTGATATTGTCCGTTTCATTCCTTACAGTCGAGATACGGTCGGATTCAGCCGCAATTCATATCAAACAAGTCGATGCTCATGCAGATACGCCCATCCATTCCTGGATTTAAGTACCAGACAATCTCTTTGAGTCGGACCACCAGGAAGCAAGAGATGAAGGCATCCGGTCGCAGTGAACCGACAGTGGAGAGAATCGGGTCCCTCGATGTTGGTGTATTGGTATTGTATCGTGTTGCTGTGCTGCCGGGAAGAGTATGGGAGATGTATGGTATTACCAGTACAACATCCCCCACCCTTGACTGATTAGAGACACGCACTGCAGCAAGCAGAGGCACACACACATCTTATCGCGATAACGATAATGATAACAACAGCAACCCCTCATCTGCAGCAATCGGCCAGCCCGCACGCTCGCCAGTATGGAGAGTAATCTTAAAAACATTCACAGCATACGGAGTTAATGTAAATGGCATGATTAACGCGTCCCCGGTAGACAGACATACCGATCACATCAGGTCACCACGTCCACATCGAATCCACTATACAATCATGGGCGAGCCGAGCATCTCCTGGGAGAGCGTCGTCGCCAAGAAACGAGCACTACGCGACGCTGCCATTGCGCCTTTCCTGGTGGCTGACGATTCGGACTTGAAGTGTAGAGAACCCATGGTCGATGACGTATCGAAGAGAACGGAATCGGATAATGTGCATTTTAACAAGATCACGGACATTGATGATGTGCAGCAGCTGCAGGAATGTATCCGTCGGGGGGAGTTTACGGCGGAAGACGTCGTCCTGGCGTATATAAAAAGGTGTGCTGGATGCGATATCCTACTCGAATGTTAAAGCCTAGCTAATGGGGGGTTTGGTAGAGCGACGGTGGCGCATCAATTGGTAGGAAGTTTGAACATATGCTGCAGCTTCAGAAGATTGCTAAGATTGCTAACTTCTACCACCATATGCCAGTCCAATGTATTTACTGAAATCGTGTTCGAAGACGCCCTCTCCCAGGCCCGTGAGCTGGATAAGTATTTCAAGGAGACGGGGACGGTGAAGAGCCCTCTGCATGGCATTCCCTTCACGGTGAAGGATCAGTTCAACATCCGCGGCGTCGATACTACTCTGGGATATGTGGGGAGGGCCTTCAGGCCAGCTGCTGACGATGCAGTTCTGGTGACATTACTGAAGCGGATGGGGGCAGTGGTTATTGCAAAGACAAACCTTCCTCAGAGCATTATGGTACATGGCAGTTCCCCCAGAATAAAGCTATCTTTCTTGCTAACCCATGATAGTGGTGTGAGACGGAAAACCCTCTATGGGGTCTTACTACCAATCCTCGCAATCCAGCATTCACACCCGGCGGGTCAACAGGAGGAGAATCCGTCCTGCTGGCTCTCAAAGGCTCCATCCTCGGATTTGGAACAGACATCGGTGGCAGTGTGCGGATACCACAGGCAATGATGGGCTTATATGGATTCAAACCTAGTGTACGTTCTGGTTCTGATCCACTGAACCGTAACATCTGTCCTGACTTGTCCTAGAGCAGCCGGTTCCCCTACGAAGGCGTCCCTGTATCAACAGAGGGACAAGAGCATGTCCCGTCGTCGGTTGGCCCCATGGCTCGAAATCTCTCATCTCTCATCCACATATCGCGACTCATGGCAGATTCCCAACCGTGGACAATGGACCCAAAATGCAGTCCACTCCCTTGGCGAGAAGACATGTTCCAGTCCGTGCAAGGGAGACCGCTAACCATCGGACTGATCCTGGATGACGGCGTGGTCCGAGTTCACCCTCCCATCGCACGGGCCCTGGAGGAACTTTCCGCGAAACTAAAGGCTGCCGGCCACGCACTAGTCACCTGGGACGTATCGGACCACAAGACCTGCATTGATATCATGGATCAGTACTATACCGCGGACGGCGGGGAGGATATCCGGCGCGACGTGGAAGCGGGAGGGGAGCCTTTCATCCCACACGTCGAGGCATTGGTGAACCGTGGGTCTCCCATTTCCGTCTACGAATATTGGCAGTTGAACCGGAAGAAGCACGCCATGCAGAAGAAATTCCTCGATGCCTGGGGGGCGATGGACGTGCTTTTAGCGCCGACATTGGCACATGTCGCTGTTCCTCATCGCTCCTGTCGATGGATCGGGTATACCAAGATATGGAATGTCTTGGACTATCCCGCCCTGACATTTCCAGTGGGAAAGGTGTGTAAGGAGAAGGACGCCTTGCCGGCCGAGCCCTACGTACCCAGGAACGCGCTGGACGAGTGGAACTGGAAACTCTACGACCCGGACACGATGGACGGACATCCGGTGAATCTGCAGATTATCGGACGCAAGCTGGAGGAGGAGAAAGTCTTGGGGGCGGCGGTTGTTATCGAGAGGGTATTACAGGCAGCATAGATACATCCGGCATATGCAAAGTTCATTATTTTCCATATTCCATTACTTCTATAACTACCACTTGGTTACTCCGCCATCAACCAGGATATCCTGGCCGGTGATGTACGCACTCGCATCGCTCGCGAGGAAAACACACGCACCGCGAATGTCGTCGGGCTCGGCCACTCTCCCGAGCATGATGTCGTTCTTCCAGCTCTCCAGTAAATGGGGGAACTAGATGAATCAGTAAAGAACCGATTGCGAAACAGTATGTAAACAGGAAGCTCAAAACTCACGGCAGCCGTCATCTCCGTCCTCACATACCCGGGCGAAACACTGTTGACCCGTATGCCCTAAAGCAGTCAGTACCATCTGTACAAGAAAGAACAAGAAAAAGAGCATACATATTGAACCAACTCCTTAGCAATAGCAGGACACATGGCCCTCACAGCCCCCTTCGTTGCACAGTAAGCCGTGCTCAACTGATCCTTAACACAGATATGACTCGCCATACTAGCCACCAACACAATGCTCCCGTGCTTGGTGCCATTGGCAATCATCTGCTTCGCCGCATGCTGAGCCGTGAAGTACGCGCCCGTGACGTTGACGGCGAGCAGCTTCTCCTGTTCTTCGTAGGGGGTGTCGAGGAAGGAAATGTGTCTGTTTATGCCGGCGCAGGGGACGCAGACGTCGAGTTTGTTGGAGAAGTCTTTTTGGAAGGCTGCAAAGCCTTCTGCCAGGGATTTGGGCGAGGAGACGTCGACTCTTTATTTCTTTGGTTAGATCTTTCTTTCTTTCTCGGGCGTTCGATGGAGGAAGATAACAGGGGGAATATACAGATAGTGCCCTGTCTTCACGCCGTATTTCTTCTCGATCTCGAAGAAGCCCTCTGTCGGGGGAATGACATCGAATATGGCTACGTCGGCGCCTGCTTCTGCGAGTCCTTCGGCGAAGGCGAGGCCACAGCCACGAGCTCCTCCGGTAACGAGGGCTGTTCTGCCTTTCAGGGAGAACTATCCAGGTTAGTTTTCCTTTCTTGCAATTTCTCGTTATGGGGGTGACATGATAGAACGTACTCTGGACATGGTGATAGAATGGTATAGTAGAAGTTAATGAAGGCAGAGAAGACAAGCTACTAGAAAGTATTCTTCACGATAGCTTTTATTCTATTCACTGCTGAATAGCGAGCAGCTCAATCACCCCCATCCTTGACCCCGCAGTGAAGCTCAAGCTATATCTTTTTTGTATCTTATCAAGCTTCATATCTGCCCGTCTCGGAGGATATTTTTATCGTGTCGTTCCTGATCACTTGAATAATCACGCTTATTCTCTTATTTATCAAGCAGACCCGCTTCACTGCCCCTCCCCTCTTCCTCGAGAAAACAACAATCAAGAACACCTCAACCAACAAAGCTACCGGGTACAATGGGCAAAAAAAGAGTCCTCGTAGGATACGGCGTCGACATTGACGCCGTCGCTGGCTGGCTAGGATCCTACGGCGGCGATGACAGCGCGAATGACATCAGTCGAGGTATTGCAGCAACAGCAAGGAAAACAACAGCAGCGGCATATAGCTAACTAAGGACAGGGATCTGGGCCGGCACAATCGGCACCCGTCGCCTCCTCAAACTCTTCGACAAATACAACATCAAAGCCACGTGGTTCATCCCCGGCCACTCCCTCGAGACTTTCCCCGAGGAATGCGCCATGGTGCGCGACAAGGGCCACGAGATCGGACTGCACGGCTACTCGCACGAGAACCCCTCGGACATGACCATCGAGCAGCAGCGCGACGTCCTAGACAAGACCTACAAGCTGCTCACCGAGTTCTGCGGGAAGCCTCCCAGGGGCTCCGTAGCACCGTGGTGGGAGACCAGCGTCGAGGGGTGCGAGCTGCTCCTCTCGTACGGCATCGAATACGACCATTCCATGTCGCATGAGGATTGCCAGATGTACTGGCTTCGGACGGGCGATGAGTGGACTAAGATCGATTACAGCAAGAGGGCGGAGGAGTGGATGAAGCCGCTTGTCAAGGGGAAGTATACGGGTCTCGTGGAGATTCCTGGGAATTGGTATATCGATGACTTGCCGCCGATGATGTTTATTAAGAAATCGCAGAATAGCCATGGGTGGGTGAATCCGAGGGATATTGAGGATATTTGGAAGGTATGCTCCCTTCTGCCCTCGTTCTCTGCTGGATACTAAGAGTGTAGGACCACTTCGATTACTTCTACAGGGAATACGATGAATTCATCTTCCCCATGACCATTCACCCGGATGTCTCTGGACGTCCTCATGTTCTTCTCATGCATGAAAGGTGAACCAACTCCCTCGTATCTACACTTACCATGCTCTAGCCAGCTAACCTTCACTAACCAGAATCATCGAATACATCAACCAACACGAAGGCGTCGAATGGGTAACTATGGCCGAGATGGCGGATGAGTTCAAGCGCAAGAACAAGCCCCCGGAGGGCGCCATGATGCCCGCTCCTCCAGGCGAGATCCTGAAGAAGCAGGCTAGTTGATAAGTAGATTAATAGTTGACTTCAATATCAATCAACTTTGACACATCCATGATATATCCATCTAATTTACCGTACTATACCTAACTATTATTATTACCTTTCTTGGTAAGGTCGTCAGACTATTCTGTACCGTAACGTAACAGATACCATTACTTATGGTAATACCAATACAAACGTTAACACCGTACCATAATGATATAACCCCGCCCTATCCCCCACTCCCGAGATAAAGGCGCCGCGGAGCTCTTATCTATATCTTATCAATGTACGGAGTATTAATCTCCGTATCAACATCAATATATTACAATCTCCAATGGGAGAGATCCCCGAACCGACCCAAGGATCGTAGCTTCGGGCAGTCCGAGTGCTATTATTATTATTCCCTCCATATAGTGTGTCCCGTATATGATGCTGTTCTCAGAGTTGGGGGTGAGGGGTTGAGGGGAACACAAAGCAAAGACTTCATTCAATGCTTTCTGCAGAGATACTTGCTACGTACGTACTTCGTAGATGGGACGGGACACGGATACACCTTCTGCGCGTAGTACCATGTATATTTTCTACTTATCTAGAGCTTGCAGCTGTGCTGAGCTGAGCTTTCTTAGATATCAGTACTGTCGTTCACTTCATTTTCACACTCTTCAGCTCTAGCTGTTCGTATATATCAAGTAGCCTGTTGCTGCTACAGGTTCCAGAGTATATACTACTTATTGTTTCTGAGATCGTTAAAATATCAAGCTACATTATATATATATATCTAAAAAAATGCCCTCTTCAATCCCTATCAAACAACCGGAACACCGCGATGAATCAGTCAAGCTCAAGGTAAGCAACCTACAACCCAATCCATCTCTTTACTTCTCCCTAATCAGATCACATCATACAGATAGTCATCGTCGGCGCCGGTCTAGGCGGCCTCGGCTGCGCAATCGCCTGCCTCCTAGCAGGTCACTCCGTCCATGTCCTCGAGTCCGCCTCGGAACTCGGCGAAGTAGGCGCTGGTATCCAGGTCCTACCCAATAGCTCTCGCGTCCTGATCTCATGGGGTCTGGAAAAGGCTCTGGAGCCACACATGACCCAGCCGCGAAATCTCCATTTCAATGGCTGGAAGGGGAATCGCCTCACAACCATGGACTTCCACGAGACTGCTGAGAAGAAGTATCCCGGGACGTGGTTTGGTGATTTCCACCGCGCCGATCTGCATAGGTGCTTGTACGATCGTGTCCTGGAGTTGGGCGGTATCGTCTCGTGTAATTCGAGGGTGGTCGATCTCAGAATCAATGACAAGGACGGCGACGCCGCCACAGCCACAGCTGTCATGGGAGACGGGAGGGAAATCACCGCCGATCTGATTGTTGCTGCCGACGGCGTGTTTAGCGGGTTGAGAGATTTAATGCTGGGCCGACATGATCCTCCTGTGAAGACGGGCGATCTTGCCTACCGTGTTCTACTGGATACCAAGGAGATGCTGAAGGATCCAGATCTGGCAGAATTTGTGCGTGAGCCACAGGTGAATTATTGGCTTGGGCCCGGCGCTCATGCCGTCAACTACGTGTTGAGGAGGGGACAGTTGTTCAACATGGTTCTGCTGGTGCCCGATGATATTCCCGACGGAGGGAAATCTACCGTCGATGGGGATGTGGAAGAGATGTGTTCTTTAGTCAAGGGTTGGGATATCAGGTATGTCTCCAAAGTAGGTAGTCTGCTGTCCTGGTCTAACACCAACCAGAGTCCAGAAGGTCCTTCGTTTATGCAAATCCGTTCAAAAATGGAAGCTCTGCATCCGACTTGGAATGGATCAATGGTATCACCCATCTGGTGCATGGACCATGCTCGGTGATGCCGTACATGCCACCCTGCCATATCTCGCGTCAGGGTATGTGTCTTGCGGTAGCCTGCTCCAGTTACTCAAGTAACGCCCTGCTAACAATTCCCAGCGCCGGTATGACTTTCGAAGATGGCGCTGTCTTGGGTGAATGCCTCTCTCGTCTTCCCAAGACCAATACCTCAGGAACTTCCAATCCGAAATCCACGCCATCTTTCCTAGCACAAAAGCGGCATGCCCTTGCTGTATATCAAGCCTGCCGGGAAAAGCGCACTCAGATGATCGTCGAGAGGGGCAACAGGCAACAGTACCTATACCACCTTCACGACGGAGAGGAGCAGGAAGAGCGTGACCACAAGTTGCGCATGGTACCACCGCCAGCGGGAGAAGCTCTCGCTTGGAGAGATTCGGACTTGGCTCCCATCTTGTTGGGATACAATCATCTTGACGATGTAAGCAAAATGCTCAGAGGAACAGCAGAATCACTGTGTCTAACTGTCAAAAAAAGGTTAATGCCCATTGGAATATATCGAGCGACTCGGCAAACCCCCAGAGCGCTGGGGAAGCTTCTGAGGGCGTTCAGTCAAGATTATAGATATAGGCAGCAGGGAATCGGGTCAGTTCCGACCAGAATGAAAATGGTGCATGAGAACAAGAGGGTATTGTCGTACTCCAGTAAGGGTAGGTTGCAGATTGTAAATTGGCCATCTGCAGGCTGGGTGGGCAAATTAATACTTCAAAATCAACTGTACAAGGTCTTCTGAAAGAGTTTGGAAGGAGATGCAAGGATAATAGGTGGGCAAAATGAGGATTCACGAGATAATAATGTCAGTTATGTGAGATGTGAAATACAAGATTTCTCATGATAAATGGGGGATAAAGTGATTAGCAAACGCTGTCATCCGAGGAAGCGTGCTGTAGCAGAGGCTTTGCCCCGTATTGACTGAGCTGTATCATCACCATTTACTCGATTAAAAGTCCAAACGGCATCGAGGAAAATTCCGTATGCTTGAATTCCACTGAACCCAGCATGTATATCGTGATAAAGATACCGGAAACAGAGACCATAGAACCATGATTCAAGCCACCTTCCTCCATAAAGGCTCGCCATCGTCATCAAACTCCGCCCACTGAAAAAAAGAGCATTCTTCCTTCCCCGGTATGAACCCAGCAAAGCATGTCCACATATAGCGTCCCCTCGTCTCGCGTTTTTGCTGCACGCACTTCAAGATAGCAGGCACACCACATCGACATCGCGGTGTATATCGTGGGTGGAGAGAATCCCGGTACCATCGATAGGTAATATTGATACGACGGTTCCCAGACACAGGATGCGGTGAGATGGTCTGTGTCGGCGGAATGGAGTGTTTCCATTCTTCCTGCATCTCAGCATGCATGACAAGGAGAGAGTTGTGGGGGAGATGGATCGAAATCTGGCCTTGAGTATCAGCGCGGGCGTCTGAGAGCTCTCTTTCTCTGGTGTAACTGGAATCAGAATCGTTCGTTTTTCGAGTTCCAGGTAGGCGACCACTGCCATCGCTTCGTCGACCATTAGAATTTCCCACGTCATCTCGGGGAACTATCCGACGGACTCGAAATTCCCGTTCGACGCCTAAGCTCAGACCGCCGATAATTGCCCGTGGGCCTACATAGGACAGCTCATCTGAATGAAAGCCCACACTCTCTGATGGCCCATTGTAGCAATTGACAAATGCCGCGTTGGGTACCCACTCATTTGGGGACTGATACTTAAGCTTCTTCCCGCCAGGATAGCATGTTTTGATCCGTTTTTGAACTTCCTCATTTACTGCTTGCTGGACTTTTACCGACACGGCCCGCATCTGAGGCGTAAGAGTCCGTACTTCTTTGCGATGTCTACCGCCATATACGTACTCGGAAACTTGCTGCAGCCGTTCTTCAGCAGAAGACACGTACAAACTTGCTGTGTGCGGGCTCTCAACCTCCCTATCAAATAGCTGGAATTTGTATCGGGGGAAGGTTTTGGCCTCTTCAAGTAGTTCAATTAAAAGAGAATTTGCCTCTTCTGCTGGCAGGAAGTTATGAATAATCGAACATGGTGTATGAGCAGCGATATCCTCTGGAGAGAAGAGATGAAGCGTTTTCCCCTTTTTGGTAAGAGACCTTGTTCTTTGTTTTTCTGAAAAGCCCGGCTTCATCCGAAAAAATGAATATGAAGATAAAGACTTTTGGATTCCCGAGCCTCGAGCGGCTCTTTTGTGGGATGGTGAGGATGCGTACGCTGCTCTCCGCGTTGCGATTCTAGAAGATGCAGTCTCAACAGATCCATCGCAGGAAATCAAAATATCGAGTAATTCCCTCTGGTCTAAATCAGGATAAATAGAAAGCAGTAGAGCTAGTTTCACGTCCGTCGAATCGTCATCAACTGTGGAAATGGTAGTCTGCACCCTCTCGGGATTTGGTGGCGGTCGTTGACGGCTGTCATCATCCTGACCAGCTTTCCCAGCTGGGGAAAGGCGCTGTCTCTTCCTGGAGACAAAGGCGTCCATGAAAGGCTTCCCAGGACCATACCTGGGCCACCAGAGCGCGATGACGCGGAAGATGGATGAAGCGAAGTTGGGCGAAAGCCGGAGGCAACAATTGGTTTCCTCGTTATGATCACGTGATGCTCCACTCTACCATGATGTTAACTATTTCGGACAGGTGGATTATCTAATCATCCGTCCCCGGGAGTCGGAGTATATATGTTCCGTGAGGAAAGGTGCCTACACCCGAATCCTGTATATATGTTGTGGAATATGCATGTAACTCAGGGAAGAAGGGCAGAATGAAGCTGTATCGACTACATGTACGTAGCCTACTAAGGAACGGATGCCATTCTATTCTATCTCTCGCTCTTTTTTAATCAGGGGCTCGGATTCTCAGGGGTCAGAGAGGGAGCCAAGCCGCCATACCACGTGACCTTTTCCATATCAATATAGAAGCGATTAAGTGTATCAATTAGAGCTTCACGATGTACTAGAGACGGCAGTATATCGGTAACAGCGTTCACCACGGTCCCTACGAATCCTAAGGTATCCCTTTAGTATTTGTCATCCAGACGCCGCACCCCTGATCCACATCATACCAGACGCTTTCGGATTCATCCATCGCATCGAAGGTAATGAGCATAGTAAGGTCATACGGACGCTGTTGAATTTTCCTAGATATAAACCTTGCATATCCAAGGATACAGGATATCAGATAGGGGCCTCTTCTTTGACCTGCACCAAATTCGGTATTATCGGCGCAGGTGATATTCCGGGGTTTCTAAGGTCATAAATACTACTACATGCTTCCCGGAGAACCAGACATTGTCACACTAAACATCTTTAATTAATATGTTGTACAATTATTATTATTCATTCGTTCGATAGTCATTGACCTCCTTAGGCCCTTGCGCAGCCCGTGGCTGGACCAAAAGCATTGTAACGACTAAAGCCACGTCAAACTGTTCTATGAAGCAGGCGATCGAAGCGTCTAGCCATTGGCCTCAAATTTGATACTCAAAGATCGAGATGCACTTATCTTAATGAACGTATTCCTGAAGAGCCTCTCAGCAGAGTTTGGTTAAAGCCTTCCACAGATGGAAACGAAAGGATAGCAAGGCAGACAGCTGAGTATCTGCTAGAACTTCGCAAGCGTCAGTCCAATAATATCCAAGTACTCAGTGGCCATTCACTCCATTCCAACTTCCTGTTTAATGATCAAGATTCCAACCTTCCTCACGGTCCCTAGTATCCGATGACGAACTCGGGGCTGATATGGAGCGTAGGTTGAAAGAAACTGTGCTCGAAGCTGCGCGAAAACGACTTCGACATTGCATGCCATCTGCTACGCCTTATACTTTTACCCATGGTGACCTCACCAATGTTAATATCATGGTTGAGAATGACACTCTTAATGGCATGATTGATTGGGAGATATTTGGATGCTTTCCAGTATGATGGGAGTATGTTGCGCCTCAGTTGTTGATAGTGAGGGTAGGGAGTGAAAGGCTTTGTTACGGAACATATATGCCTGATCATAGTGCCGTGCGTGAATTCTGACTGAATTATTATTATCTCTGCAGGGGTCCAGAGAGTCAAAGAGCAATGAAATTCATCGAGGAGACAAGGAGCGGATGATTAACCTTATCTCTCCTGTAAGATCAATGGGATTCCTCATAAGTACATCAAAATACTTCTTTTCTATGTTACCATGTCTTCCATGTAACTTTTCTTTGCAAGGAATTCCATACCTAATGCCGGGAATGACTCGGTGATGATGAATCTGCATCATGCCTCTTCAACGGGACAGCTAAGTTTTCAAAGTGATTGAGAGATGATGCTGAAGGAGCAAGTTGATATGTTTCAATACCAGAATAAAGCCAGAAACACATGTGTAAACAGTGACAAAAGAGCGAGTCGATATGTTTCAAAATATCGCATTGAACGCAGAAGGATGAGGATGAATGAGTGACAGAAAGACCCGGTCTGGTGAGCTTCATGGTATATTTGAATACACGATACGCCCAGAATTCTCATGTTGGACAGCTTTGGCCGAGCAAATAGACATTGCCCTCATGCATGACGGAGAGAGGATGGAATATTTCCCTGTAACGGATAAGCTTAGGGTACTGGCTATAGGAAGGAACCATACTACCAGAGGCTCAAGTTTATCGGGTTGGTCAGTGCAGACCTGAGTAAACGCTCTTATGGTCATGGAATAGGTGCTTTGCAGACAATGGGTTGATGGAGGTTCTGGAAGGCTGCGGCGGCGTATGGCAGCTCCAGCTCATCCAGCTCATCCAGCTCATCCAGCTCATCCAGCTCATCCAGCTCATCCAGCTCATCCAGCTCATACCTCACGGTCGAAGTCGGGAAAGAAAAGAAAAAGAAAGAACGGAGAGATCGTAAGGACAGAGCAATAATATTGGCCGTCTAGCTCCATCTGCCGTCTCCCAGATATACCCGCCCCGTCTTGTGGTAATCTGCGAGACATTTCCCCTGGCATAAGCCCTCATACATCTCCAGCAGTGACGACAAAACCACACGGGTCCAACCATCATAACCCTCTCTCCGACAGTCGTTTTCCAGTTGCGAATTCGGAAAATTATCCTCGATAACCTTGACCGGGCACATGGTGACATCCGTGTCCTCATTAACCAGTGAAGATGCAGTCAACGAACCCGTGAGGTTGGCCAGAGCATTATCGTCGACAACTAGACACACCCTGAGCCTCACAGGCAACTCAATGGCTGGCAAGGTAAGGGAGATCTTCCAATCATGAAATGCTTCACGGATAGTGATTTCGTCAGCGCTATCATACGCTTCCTCGGAGCTGAACACTTTGGAAGAGTAAGTTCGCTCTAGCATGCGCATCTGCTCCGGACTCCCAGGGAGGATCTTCGGGAGTGATGTCTTGACTTCGTCGTTTAGCCTTCGCAGGAAGACTTTGATGAGACGCTGGGAGTCTGGAGCGTAAGTGGTACGGTACACAACTAAACCCCAGGTTAAGGTTAGGAAGTCCTTGTCAGGGCCTGGGGGGAGAGAGCTAAGACCGGGAGCCGAGCCCAGTCGGTAGACTTCTCTTTGAAGAAACACATTAGCAGGGGAGAGCCAATCTTGGGGTTCTGACATGGCCAGGAGATTGAGAGTCTTAGATGGGTTCTGCCGGGCGTCGAGTCCTGAATCTCGAGTTTGTTTCATGATACCGGAGCTTCATGATTGTCGTCAGAATGACATAAATACAACTACAGGAATAACCAACGAACGGCCGTCTATTCCTTTAGAAATCCAACTGTGCTGAGCCTTGGTTATTTGTTCTGGCTTTGATAAGTACACCAACCACACCCAAACCATCTCCTCCTTTGGGTCCCCTGGTATGAGAATGATTACCGGAACGACTGGTAGGAGAACTAATGATTCCAATGCATGTGAAAAATATTGAATCGGAGAGAACAGAAGGGCCAGCCGATGGCTAGCAGAACAGCATCGTAAGAGGGAAAATCGACCAAACCACGACTTTGTTATTATTGTTGGACGCAATTTGATCGTAGCTTCGTCCGTCACGGTGGCAGGAGATCAGAGTTTCAGATTCCATATTTCCTTCTCCCACATCTTAATGCCAATAACTTCCTGGAGCCTAAGAGACTTCACGTACATCTGAGGCGAAGAAGACGGGTCAGTCCCGTCGTCACTTTCATCAGAAGTATCTCCTGGCTGCTCGTGAAGGGTTGACGTTGTCAACGATGATGAAGAAGCAGATGTAGGATTGATATTAGACAATCCCTGTCCCCTTGGTTCAGATGTATCGCCTGCGCTTGACTGTTGACATGGTTTTCTTATCAATTGGGACACGACTGGCGAGCGATGCTCCGGATGGCACACTGCCACATATTTTAAACGGAGCGTTGAGTGATGTAAGATGTGGTCCACAACACAGAATCGTAGCTCTCTTAAAACCCAACGGCAGCTATCGGACTTGAAAAAGTAAAGCTGCAAGGCTATAAGGGCCCGTAGCCCGGATATTCCTTGCATAAGACGATGCTGCTCAAAAAAAGGGTTGTCAGCATTGTGCGCCATAAGCATTAACTCTCAGCAGGCTTGGTTCGAAATAAACGACGTATAACTGCAGATACTCACAAAACCACTCGAGTTTAGGCCAACTGAAAGCTCAATCAGATTTAATCCAGATTTCGTCAGGCAGCGGACAGATTTCGAATTAAGGGCCCAGCTCGAATCTTCATCGTTGCGAATCATTAGTCTACGTAAATTCTTCATATGCTTCTTCAAAATTTGCTGTCTAATGTCCTCGATTTTGACGGTGGTTTTCGGTGCGAAAGGCTGAACTGCTGATTGACCACTGCGCTCAATCAAAAAGAGTTCGGTAACTTTGTCAAGGCCGTTAACGAATGACAGAAACGTTTGTGTGACATCGTCTGTATAAATAGACGTCAGCTGGCAGTCAGGAATTTTCTGAAACATTGTCCAAATGTTGCGCTGTGGGCCAACGTTCAGTAAGGATAGATGCTTTAGGATGGAAATGTCGACAGCGCGACAAAGGACCGCTGGTTTCACTGGAATGAGATGGATAGAAAGGCTTTCCAAGGGAATCCCATGAGTTTTTCGAATATAGTCCTCTATAGACTGGCTAGCCACTTTATGCTTTGGTTCACACTCGATGAAGTTGACTGAATTCGGCAGCTCTCTGGCTGTCATTTTGCCTTTCGAGTCTGATGATATTTGGTGTCCTTCTGACATAGTATTATAGCCGTTCCCATTATGCTCCGAAAGGCTAGGATTCAAGCGTTGATCCTTATTGTCGTCATGATCATCATCAGTACCCAAAAACTGCTGATCTTCTCCCGCATCCTCAAGGTCGTCAGGATGGTCTAGGTCAATTACGTCGGATAAGGTATCGGCCAGTTTAGGATATACACCCTTCGAGTTGACAGTCAGAGCTTTCGCATCTTCATCGGTATCTTTACTCGAAACTGAATGGTTAGTCTCAGAAGTAGGCAGAAGAAGTTACCACAATCCCGGTATTTCATGGATAAGCTAAAGCTGTTTACCTTCATCTTTTATGGTCCCAGTCTCGTGAGTGTTGTCTTCTACAGACGCAACCGTGCTTCGCACATTACCTATCTGACAATCAGTATAGATCCCTCCAGAAGTTCGTTGCCACTGCGGGCGATCTGGTGTTCGCAGATCATCCGAACGTCTGCATCCTTACCAACAAGCTCATGACCAGGAGGCGAGATTCTGCTCACTTTCAAAGAACGTGATTTATCTGCCCATTCGAGGTATTCAGTGGCTGCATTGCGCAACTTTAGAAACGCCTGCAAGACCTTGCTTGGCACTTTTTCACCAGATGTGAGCAACTCTTGTGCAGCCTGGTGTAGTTCTTTCACAAATAACCTATCTTCACTACGCCAAGTTACTTTCCCCAAAGTTCCTAGCTTCTCCTGGCTGGCAGCTGCAACGGCTTTGTCAAGAGCTATGTGGGGAAACTGCTGGGATACAGATTCGTCCAAGCCAAAGATTTGAGCAAGAACACTTTCTTGGTCACCTCGTTCCCTGCGAACGTCGGCTTCCGTGGAGGGGCCCGTAGCAGATGGGCCCGAACCAGGACTTGTGTTGACGAAGGCAGGTTGCGGTACTAGTGGTATTGGACCACCAAAGTCATCCTCATCAGAGGCGGAATCCGAGTCTGATGTACCTGATGGGAACTTTTTCCGTGCCTTTAAAGCAAGACTGTCAGAAAAGGAGAGCTTCAAGCTTTTGAGTGTCGAATATGAGGACGAAATGCACTGTGCTATTTCAGAAACTCGTTCTAAGTCGTCCATTTCCAACACGGCCAAGCTTCTCAGGCCGGAAAAGTGGGCAAATAGTGTTTCATCTCCGGTCGTTTTCTTGGAAGGGTTATTACCTGCACCCTCTACAATGGACTCATCTGGGACATAATCGGGATCATGAAGGGTATGATGATGATGGTGGTGGTGGTGGCTGCTATGAAAAGCCATGGGTGGTGACACCCCAAAAGGCATGCCATAGACCGGAGTGGAGCCCACAGCAGATGCAATTGGCAGTCGAACGTGCAAATCTTGGAGACTCGGTAGCTTGCTGAGAGCTGCAAAAACGGACTGATGTATCTCCATACGCAAGTTGCATCTGCGAAGAGTAAGTAGTGAGGAGCGATTTCACACTGGGAAACCACATAAGACACACCTGAAGGTTTCCAATACCGTAGCCTTTTTCAAGACTGCTAGTAAGAGAGAACTGAAAAGCCTCCCACGGGCATAATCGGGCTCATTATTGCCTCCATCTCCTCGGAGCGCTGAGATGCCACTAGAAACTGCAGCAGATGTACTGTATATGGAAATTTCCCTGACAAATCTGGCATAGTTGTAATCACTTGTGGTCAAGGTCTCTAGCACTGCTGCGAGACGATCAATTTCAAGCCGATCAGTCCTATCACTGCCGCTACCGACAGGTAAGACATGCCTGATATTGCGATACAGTAACGAAGTGGCCAATTGGTGAAATAACCGGCAGACCAGTGACAGGCTCAAGAGATCTTTTGGAGTAGCCTGGTAACATTGCATCCTCACATGTAAGTAGTGGTAGCAACTAATTATCGTGTGTAACATACAGAAAGAGGAGCAAGGGAAAAAAGCAATAAAGCAACTTACATATCCAAAGATGTGCTCTAATGTCTCTGGCGGCAGTAAGAGAAGCCTTGGCTTGCCAGTTGCCATGCTATATACAGTTGATTCACCAGCTGTACTGGCACAGATAGGTCTTGTAGGGCAGCACAGGCTAAATGGGCGTTCTGGTATCAGGGAAGGGTGTATGCAAGAGAAAAAAGAGATATCCGGATCAACAGCAATCTCCTCCGGCCTCAGCAGCGAAGGTCGATTGTCGATTGTACACTCTGGATATTGTTCCAAGAGAGATGAAGAAAGCGCTGCATATAACATGGAAGGATGAGAAACTCTAGGGAATAGGAAAGCAACAGGAAGGAAGTAATGAGTCTGTAAAGAAAGGGAGTAAATGTGTTGCTAAAGAATTGATGGCAGTAGGAACAGAAGCAGCGCGTGAAGGAGAGATGGGAGAAGTAGAGTGAGCACTGAAACAGTCAAAGGCGGCGTGGCACTCTCCCAGGAGCAGACAAAAGCTGCAGGTGCGGCAGGGACTGTACACTGTACAGCTGGACATTCAGCCTAGGGAGAGTATGCACCTTTCAACCAACCCCAGGGAGACTCGTTCACTGGGCATTTGTGTTGATTGGGTATAAGCTCTTTGTCTCAACAGAGATAAAACATAAATAATGGAATCAAGGACTCCTGCAAGAGATGTAGACAACTCCAGCATGTGTATGGAGTACAGCGTGAGTATAGATAAACGGTGTTGATGTGCGCTAATCCAAAATAGGTTGGACACACCCCCGCTCAGCAAAGTGCCCCACTAGTGGTCACGTGGAATTATATAAGCAAATGGTGTTGATTATTAATCCTATGATGCTTCCCTTGTCATTCCTGAGTTGGACTCTCCAGCTCTCTCTCTCCCCCATGCAGCGCTCCTTGATCCTTCAGTAATAAGCCCATTTCCCCGGAGATGAGCCAACACCTTGTCTACCTATTCGATTCGACCATGCTATAGTTCTTGAGTCACTCCTGTCCAGCATGCATCTTCTGTCTATCCTCCTTAGGGCGGTCTCCGTCTTTCTGATCCTTTGCGCCTCATCGCCCGTCTCTGCAGAACATACTTCGAACTGGGCTGTCCTTGTTTCGACATCCCGATTTTGGTTCAATTATCGCCATCTCGCCAATGTCCTCTCCTTGTACCGCACCGTTAAGCGTCTGGGAATTCCCGATTCCCAGATCATCCTAATGTTGCCCGATGACATGGCCTGTAACCCTCGCAACGCCTTCCCGGGCACTGTATACAGCAATGCAGACCGTGCGGTTGATCTTTACGGCGATAATATCGAGGTGGACTATCGCGGTTACGAGGTGACCGTGGAGAATTTTATTCGCCTTCTAACCGATAGACTAGATGAGGATGTGCCGCGCAGCAAGCGTCTAGGGTCTGACGCAGGAAGTAATGTGCTTGTGTACATGACGGGCCACGGAGGTGACCAATTTCTGAAGTTCCAAGACTCCGAGGAGATCGGCGCGTGGGATTTGGCAGATGCCTTTGGACAGATGTGGGAGAAGAAACGTTATCACGAATTATTATTCATGATCGATACCTGCCAAGCCAACACTATGTACACTCATTTCTATTCTCCAAACATCATCGCAACAGGCTCTAGCGCTCTTGACCAATCCTCTTATTCCCATCACGCGGATAGTGACGTCGGGGTCGCGGTTATTGACCGCTGGACGTACTACGTCCTCGAGTTCCTCGAAACACAGGTTACCAACGCCAACTCGAAGTTGACGTTGGGGGATTTGTTCGACTCATATGACGAGTCTAAAATCCACTCCCAGCCAGGCGTGCGATGGGACCTGTTTCCCGGCGGTGAGCGAGAGGGCCGCCTACGCAAGGTGGTTGACTTCTTCGGGAATGCGCAGAACGTGGAAGTCGAAAACGCAAATTCGACGGAGCCGGGATCTTTGAAAGAAGACCTTGAGGAGATTGCTCGGTTGGCAGAGAAATGGCGCCAACGTGATCAGACATACCGCTCTATTCTTCAGAGTCAATCTAGTAAGGACGGTAACGCTTCAGTTACCAGCTCGGATTCATCGCTGCCGCAGTCATCGTACTTTTTGCGAAGGAAAAATGCCGGGGCTACGAAGATGACCGATGAAAGCAACTGGGAAAAGCGTCTCGTTGGCGTCTCCGTTTTGGCCACATTTGCTGCTGTTTGGCTAACAGGCTCCATAATCGGCAAATCTGCTTGATCCCCCACCCCAGTCTCTCGCTCAGAATGGTTTATAGAGATCGGGAGCCTTTTCTCGTTCGCGTCTTAAGATGTTACACCTCGATTTTCCTGTATATAAATCTGTCGAACGTCCCGTTTTTTGGTTTTTTTTTTGGTTTTTTATGTTTTTCAGGTTTGGTTTTCGTGATCCCAGTGGATCGCCTGAAGCACAGTCTACTGCATTATAGGGCGCTATTGGAGTAGGGCCTGAGATGGCGTATTCGGCGTTACTTATTCTGATTCATGGCATTGATAGCTCATTAGCAAGCAAATCCTCATAAACTTAAATGTGACAGTTCTTTTCTACGAGTCCATCGATGATCGAGTATCATTTCTTCGGAGCATCAAATATGATATGCGATCCGATCCATAGGGTTTTCCAGTAGGGTTTAGCGCGGGCGGGCTTTCTCCGCACGTGCCTCGACGCGTCTCTGACCCGCGCCTTGCTTTGCGTTGCCAGAACGCATAATACTCCATGCCAACGATGAATGCGGCATCGATTTAATGACTGCCAGTCGCAGTTGTTTCTCGTACCTCAATTGCTTCTAGAGCACTGAAAAGGGCCTCTCAAGGGCCTGGCCTTGTTACAAAATCTCTTTTTTTTTTTTCACCCGAATTTGTCGCGTATTCCATGATCCCTCCCGTCTCCATTAGCCTACCATGTATCTTCCTCGCCGATTAATCTCGCACCTATACCTACAACTCCTTAAATCGCACCATCCGCTCTCTCCGCCGGTTCTACTTCTCGTGGCTCTCGATCCGGATGCTCTTTGCGCGTGCCGTATCCTCACTGCCTTGTTGAAACGCGATTATATACCCCACAAGATCCAACCGGTTGTGGGATATGGAGACCTGGCTCGCGCGGGGGAGGAGCTGGTCAAGCCCATGCAGACTAGTAACGGGGGTAGTGGAGGAGTTGTAGTCTGCCTAGGGGTTGGCGGACTTGTTGATTTGAGCGAAATACTATGTCTGAACGCGGAAGACGACGCGGACGATATGGGAGGCGTAGAGGTCTGGGTGTTTGATTCCAGAAGGCCGTGGAATCTGGGGAATGTATTCGGTGGACAGCCGGGGATTAATCAGTCGTCGGAACAGACGGATGTGCTTGCGCGACAGAAAGGACGCGGTGTTGATAAAGGCTGTGTCAGTCAATCCTACGCGTCAGGGTCTGGCGGTATCTTTGTGTACGATGATGGGGATATTGAGGAGGAATTGATACGTGAAAGGGAAGCTTATTGGGCATTGATGGAAATGCCTGAGGTGGATGAGGACGATGACGATGAGAGTGACGGGTCAGACTGTGAGGATGGTTTAGGGCATGATCCTGGACTGGGTAGCAAGAAACGAAAGTCTTGGTCGGGGCACGAGGATGGTGATGAGTCCGATGACTACGATGAACCACCTCGTCGGCGAAGGAGAAGTGACTCTGTATGTTATATTGCCCTTTTTCCATCTTGCTCAAAACTGACTGTGCCAGGGTTCATTTATTATTTCCTCCCCTAGCAACCAACGGCAGATCTTGCACGACTCTTCAAGTTCCTCACGCTCGGTCACTCCTGTTTCAGATCCTCTCTCCCCTGTCGCACCGAAGCAGCCTTCAGCGCGTTCTTTGAGAAGACGATTGATCCGACTTAAAAGGAAACACGAGGCTGTATTACAAGCTTATTACTCCTCGGGAACATCTTATTCAGAACCTATCTCGTCTCTCGTGTATTCCCTTGCATCTGAGCTTGGACGCGAAGACAATGATTTACTCTGGTTAGCCATTGTCGGTGTGTCTAGCTTGGAACTCAGTGGGCGTACAATGTCCGGAGTTGGAATTTCCAGCGCATCTGAATCTGGGGGATCGGCAGGCTGGGGTGGAGAACGTGGAGAGCGAGTTCGCCAAATACTAAGAGACGAGGTTCATCGTCTCAATCCTCCCGATCCATACGAACGAGATCGCGATATACGCGGGGAAATAAATGGAGTTATTCCCACTACTGCAAGATCTCCAACAGACAAATCAATTCGCCTTTCTCCTGAGCCTCGTTTTCTTCTCGTGAGGCATTGGTCACTGTATGACAGTATGCTGCATAGCCCTTATCTTGCATCCAGACTTCACGTTTGGACAGAGAATGGACGGAAACGACTACACAAACTTCTGGCTAAAATGGGCGTAAGCCTCAGCCAGTGCCGCCAGAGCTATACTCATATGGATATGGAATTGAAACGAGTTCTACGACAACGCCTATTGAAATATGCCCCCATGTACGGGTTAGATGGGTTGGTCCCGCCTGAGGCCTCTGGCCATGCCGCTTCCCGGGAAGGTTGGGGATTTGTACGTTGCTGGGGCTGGAAGGCTTGTCTCTCGGCCACGGACGTCGGAGTCATAGTTGGTGCGATCCTCGAGGTCGGACCGGAAGACGCTTGCTCCTCGTGGGACGCGAAACATGTGTCCGGACCAAGGAACGATAATAGCTCTAATGATCCTCCTGGTTCAGCATGGTCTGATATGTCCAGTCTCCTGCCTCGCTTCTGGACTGCTTACGATACATTATCGTTGACCTCGGAGGCTCCTACGCTGCTTCTCGAGGCTCTCCCACTGGCCCAGCATCTCCACCGTGCTATTTTACGCACAGGTACATCCTTACTGTCAAAGCATCAGATCCGCCATTTGCGCGCATTCCGCATTGCTGTGGTGAAGGATGGTCCTGATGTTAAGCTCTTCACGAATCCTGGAGCGTTAACCAAACTTGCTTTGTGGATTGGAGAGGCTATCAGCGTACAAGAAAGGGAAAAGGGTGCCTCTCTAAAAGTTGGCCGCAAGAGAGCACCAGGAACCCCTCTTGTGCTGGCAGGGCTTGATGAGGATAGAGATCTCTACGTGGTTGTGGGCACAGGTGGTGGTGGCGGAGTGATTGATTATGCTGCCATGTCTAAACGACAAGATGAGCGCCGCAAGAAGAAAGAAGAGAAGGAAAAGAAAAGACAGGAGCGGGAAGAGCGCCGGGCCCAACGCGCTGCCGAACGAGCCGGAAGAGGAGAAGATGAAGATGAAGAGGAAGAAGCCGATGACACCGAAGAATCGTCATCTGAGTCCTCCGAGTCCGAGTCTGAAGGGGAGCAGACACATGGAAACCAGCATCTTCTCCGAAACCGATTTGGTCTTGCATTCCAGGAAGTCGTGCAAGAAACCAACACCCGGGTGCGGATTGACAGCTTCGAACATTGCGTGGTGGAAGTGCAACGAGAGCATCTCGGCGGGTTCCTTGAGGCATTGAGTTTCAGGAGCGTGGTCGGGTAGGACGTTCGTTTCATATTTTGATTTGATTCGGCATAATCTGATTGCGAATTTCTTTTATTCTTCTGGATATATCTGCGGTCTCCTGTGCTAAGTGTTCGAGGTATATGGGGCCGGTATTTCTGAGTTGGTGCATCTGGTCTTTTTTTAACTGCTCTGTTGGATTCCTGCATGCATTCTCATCATGCTCTTCTGTCTCTGCTGGCTCCTGCCATGGTTCATTTCATATATCCCTTTCTGCACATGTCAAGGCGCTGAAGGTGTTACTAATGGACTGGATGTGCTTTTACTTTCCTCTTGTCTGTTCTTTCCATGTGTCATGATGTTATATACAACCGAGTGAAGTGATGATTATTCTGCATTCCGTCGTCTATCGAGTTGATTTGAGCTTTCATTAGAACATCTAGATATTATTCCCCCGAAAACCAGCCAGAGCCCTCTTTCTCCATTTCTACATCCAGCCCATTTGCGACAGCCCTCCACCCACACCGAATATAGGCATCCCTCAACTACCTCTCCTTCTGATCATCCCTCTGATAGGAGAGCTGGTATAGAGACTGAAGCCGTTCTCGGCTGCGGCCTAGATATAATATTAGGGTTCTGCAGAGACAGACCCGTCAGCATGCTGACATCAAGGAGACAGATCAGCTTAACAGAGTCAAAAATTTAAACCGCACGTAAGCGGGGAACTTAGATTTATTTTAGAAAACGGGAGAAAGGTATAATATAACTCTGTAAAAGACGTGCAGTTGTGTCTTGTGTCACCAAAGCTGCATTCTTGTCTCTCACTTCAACCTCTCCATCCACAAACTGCATCCCAACTCAAGAATCTACCCCAAGATAACCATGAGCTTCATCGAGATCGCCTTCCTCAATCTCACCCAGGACCGAGAGGTCTTCAATAGCCACTGGCCAGTAATTGCCAACAAACTCGCCCATCCCAATCCGGGAATAACAGCAGCATCTCAGGGCAGCATACTATTCTACAAAAATCACCAGAACAAGAATGCCAGAACAGAATTTACAAATGTGGTCATAATCGGTGAATAATCCTCCTTTCATTCTACTGCAGACTTGATCATTAATTCTTCCGCGGAAATAAACCAGAATGGGAATCCCAATCCAAATTCCAGGACTTCCTGAAATCAGACCAAGTCAAGGACTTCCAACAGGCCATGAAAGCCATCGCCAATGGCCCGCCCATGCTGGAGCTGTACAACGGTGACCAGCATATCCCGACTGACTTTTGTTCGAAAGAGGTTGCTCAGATCGTGCGGGTTGCTGTTCCCAGCACGGACGATTATAGGAACCTCCGGGATATCTGGAGGGAGAGTGGACTGGCCGTTTTGAGTGGGACTAGTTCTAATGACAAGGAAAATTTGTTTGTTGGGGTTCTTTTCTGGGATGGTCCTGAGGTATTGTTCCCTCCTTTATCACTACTTAAACCGTGGGAGGAAAACTGACACAGTACTATTTGCAGGAACAATCAAAGCCAGCGAACGTGTTTGACCGTCTCGCTTCTGTTGGAGAGGTGTCGAGCTTCGTGGTACAGACAGACCGTATATCTCTTCTTTAGCTCTATACTTGATGGACCATGTAGTTATTGCTATGGCCCGTAGGCCATCTAAAATCCAGTTTATTTCACTAATGTCTAGCTGGCACAAGACCGAACAAAGTTACCTAAGATATGGAAATAGAGGCGTATCAACAAGTTACAGATCACCGGCAAGTGTCTGCAGAAACAAGCGCAATACCACTGACACAATAGAGAGGGAGAGGGAGAATTTCTCACTCACTCAGTGCAGGCGTTATTTTTTAATTCTCTTTTGTTTCTTATTTTTTTCCTTTTTTCTCTTTTTATGTTCAGTTTCTTGCATCTTAGACGCCTCATGGCCAAGTAGTCTGCTCAAACGCAGGCCACTGGCTGTGTAAAGGGCCAAGGTATATGAGAAAGAAAACCAACCTTGTAGCTCCTGGCTTGAGTTGTGAAGCTCGTCAGAAGTATAGCGAGCCACTAAATCAACTGCACGCTACGAGTCAGAATCAGCTGGCATCACGCGGTATTCAGAGAAAAGAAAGCACCATAGATGAGAATCGCAGGGGTATGTGCGGGGTTCAGATCTATTTCCGAGGGATAGTATGGAGAGCCTTGCCTATGGGGACCGGCCCCAGGCGTGTGAATGATCGATCGTTTGGCGCTTTTCAAGCAGGAGTCGCAGTACTCGAAATTCCATTCGACGTTACCTGGCGTTTGGCGTGGCCTTGTGTCGGTTCCTGTATACAATATATGGTATTAGTTATTCTCAGTTCCGGGTAGTCTGAAATTCTTTGTCTTTTTTGGGTTTTTTTTTTTTTTTTTTTTTTTTTTTTTTTTTTTGCCTTCAAGTAGGAGGTTAGATGTCCAATCTCAGTTATACTGCGTGCACTTACGTCCAGAGCGTCAATACTTCTCTTCTGAGCGGCCGATTCGGCCTTCTTGATAACCTTCTTCTTGGGTCGCGTTGGTCGAGTCTCTCCCGGCTCAAAGACATCGTCGGGCAAATCGAAACTATCCAAAGTGTTAAACTGTTCAGTTTCAAGCAGTTAGAATGATAACTCACTTTCGAACATGCGTAATTGTCAAATCGTCGATGCCTGGCTGATATCCGGGCCACGAAGTGCACGTCGACTTGAAGATTTGAGATTCGGCCGAGATATCCAACGATCTCGAGGCACCTTTTCAAGTCAGCCAAGTCGGAATAAAGTGGTGGTTATCATACCTGGTTGAAGAGGTTTTATTTCGAGACCTATGTAATAAGTAGTGGTGTAAAGAGTTCGGGTGCCATTGTCAGTCTTCTCCTCAGGCTGTGGGGTCTCCTGTTGGGCCGCAGCACTATTTATGGCAGCATTTGTCTCGTTAAGCGTTTCCGTCTTCGTATTTTGAACTTGGTATTGGGTTGAGCCACTTTTGACAGCATCCGCTTGTTGATCCTCGGTGACAATATGCACTCTCTCAAACCCTTTCGGGAACGGATGAGCTACCCCAATTGTCGCTTTCCTATCCAAGGCCCCGACAAGATGTCGAAGTTTCGACTCAACCAGGCCTGACCACATGGAATGCGCTTCCTTAGTTTTGCTAGACGCCGTGATACTAAGGTAGTACTTGTAGTCACGGGTAAAGAACGAATGGCGAGCAAAAAGGTCATTCCACGTAAGTTGTTTGAGGAAAATCCTGTCTACAATATCACCGCCGCGTTGAAGCTCACGGAGAATCACTGCCTTTGTAGACAAGGATATATTGTGAGTGGCACACATGGAAGGATAGGCTGGCGTAATGATGGGCATTAGGTGAAATCTATCGCCGTGATATATCTGCAGCTGGGGTCAGGGACATGGCAATTGAAAAGCTGACGGTCAGGTCTTACCTGTGGATTCCAAACTTTCATCTGCAGAGGGCCATCTTCAATGGGCTTCAGCAACACGGGCTGGGGCCATGCCCACTTGTTCATAATTCGGAAGAACTTGCCCACGATCACGGAACCTGTTGCCTGGGGGTATAACTGGCAAACCCTTGCCACCAACATTGCCCAAGCAACACCACCCGGAAAGCCTACGATGTTCGAGTAGATAGCCCGGCCTGTAAAAGTAAAGTTTAGCGGAATGCGTTGCTAGCCTAGGTGAACGGTACTCACGTTGTGCCCAGAGCTTGATGGCACGTAGCGCAAGGCGGAACGTCTTCTGCTGAGGAACGAGCTCCAGGATCTCATCAGTGACACGAGTCCCGTTAAGAGATCGAACTTCCTTTTCATCCAGTCCCCTTAGATAATCGTTGTTTTTCAGGTCAAGGTTAAGTGGAATTGTAGGTAGGATAAGGCGAGCAAAAATGAGATCGATACTAATCCCTGACAATTCGAGTTTTATGATGGGCACAAAGGCATCTGGCACAGGAGTCATTTTCTCAATAGCCCCTTGGGGAGCCATTCTCTCTAGGGTGGGAGGAAAGTCGGAGAAAAAATCGTCGATTACTACATGTTTCGGCCCAAGAACGAGGGTGTCGATATCCGAGCCTAGAGGGCACAGGTCTGTCAGCGCACATCACTCTACCATGGATTTAATGATATCAGTAAAGCGCAGAGGGAGCATACCAGGCCCATAAACTCCAAGGCGATAACTTCCATAAGTGAATACCTTGCCCCCTGCAGCATCGACAGCGGCGGGAGACAACCCCTTCTTACGACTGACAACCTTGACGAATTCGACAGTAACACGCTGGATTAGATGGAGTACCTGCTGTCTACAATGAAATGAAGGTCAGCCCTGGTTCCGACGCTCCGAGCTCCGTTTGAGCATCGACTTACCTCCGTTCGGTCTCGGCAGGACTCTCGAAGTTATTCTGAGCCTTAAGCTCCGCAATCAGGTCATCGTTCGCAGCAAGTTCCTGAGGAGTTGGAAGAATCGTTGAGATAGGAGGGGTGACACCCCACTGCCTAGTTGGTTGCGTCGCCATTTCTGTTTCCGCTGGAAGGATAGGAGAATCACACAACTACGCCGTCAAGCCCATGCAAAAGTCTAACAGGATAATTACGGACGCGAGGAGGACAGACAAAACGAGCAACAATGCAGGATCCAAAAGAAACAAGAAAAGGAAAAGGACCGGATGGACAGAAAGGAAAGCGAATGGATGGATGCGACTGCAAGCGCCAACTCGTCGGAGAGGAGAAGATCGAGTTTATCGCCAGGTGACCTGCTGACTCAGCGGCTAAAGATAGCATCACGTGAGGATCCATCCCTGCCAAGAGGAAGTGTTGGTGGATCCCATGTTCAGCTTCTTCCTAGTTAGCACAAGTCGTACTCTGACAGCGATTAGTTCAACTACAGCTTCACGTCGAGGTATCATCTTCATCCACCTCTTCTTCATCTCTGCCCTATGACGCCCGTAATGCGTCAGGGACCCAGGGACAGGCCGCCCCTACGCGCACCAACTACCCCCCAGCAAGGCACCAACAAGCGTCTCAGGCAGGAGACGCCCAAGAAACCACCACCCTTCTGGATGCTGAACAGGGACCAATACTCCCCTCCCCTGTCCTCTCTGTCCCCAAATTTCCCTGCCATGAGGTCAGACACAGCCAGCAACATATCCCAAACTGGCAGCAGCCTTGCACCTCAGGAGAGCGTCACCTCTTGAAGCTCTTCGCCGGAATGCCAGATCCAAGGCTAGCTCACATAAGCCGTCTGCGCTGCCACGGACACTGTATCCCAGACAATGGAGACAGAGAATAAGAATATACTGAAGCTGACAGCCCTACTTGATAAGCAGATAAAGACCTTCAGGGAAAATCATAATAGTGTAACGGTCTCGAGGTAGTTTATTCAACTAGCTAGGCCACTCTACGAGTACATTAAATCTTGAAGAAAGGAAAGGAAAGACGTGGTGTGGCTCCTGGTGGTCTGTTTACCTAACCTGGGAATAGTCTGCACGCTACTCGGCCATTCTCGGGCGCAGTCTTCCACCAAAAATCTTCCAAATTGCAGGTGCTCTTTCCGCTTCTGACTCAACTTCAAGATGATCAACAATTATGTCGCTATCACGCCCCGCCTCAAAAACATCGCTTACAATTCGAAAGAAGCCGACCATCTGCCAGCGGATCCAGTCCTAAGTATTCTCCATTTCACATTTCACCCGGGAGTCAACGTCACAGAGCCATCGCAGCTGGCATATGTACTATGGCAAAAGTCGTTGAAGTTTGTCTCAACAGTCCCTGGTTTTCGAGGGATGTACTGGGCCACAGTCGACCACACTTCGCCGCATCAACAGATCATCGTTCTAATTCAGTGGGACAGCGGTAATGGTTGGAAACTCTTCCAATCGTCCTTGGGCTTCAGTATGATGCTCGGTTATATTGAAAGCATTTCCAACCGTTGTATTCAGTCTGTCCTTCCTATCAATCTTACCATATCGGACAGTCTCCTGGGGCTGGTATCTTTCCGGTTCTCCGATGAGTGTGGCCAGGAGCCCGGCTTCAAATCCAAGTGGGAAACAGTTTTTTCTCCGTATCTGATCAATAGTTCTGCCGAGTCTGACTTGTTATATTGTTGCGGAGAATGGCTTGAAGCAGATCAGGCTTCTGAAGACCGATATTTTGTTGGAATGCTCTTCTGGAAACCAGATTCCCAAGACGGGCACCGGCGTCAACTGCGACAAGCCAATGACCACAATCTCGAGGACCGAATCGCAGACCTCGTGGAAGATACGGTGGAGGTAGTCTCGGTCTACACGCACCAGCTCAGCCAAGTGTCTTCCGGAGCTTCTACGTTAGGACTCTCAAACCCCTCCCCGGTCTCTGTGAATGGGCGGTTTGAGACGAATCACCCAGTGTTCCGGTCGCATGTGAAGCCTGAATACAATCTTGACGAACACACATTCGCACAAGGCCAGGATCAATGCCATTTGGAATCTATGCGACAGGCGAGACAAACCCCTCGTCAGCGCATTGCTGGTGGGCCCGCTGGTGTTTGGTACCCCATGGGGAAAATCTCTCAACACCATCTGCCCCAGTCACTTGGCTACAGCTGGAAACCCACAATGGACTGGATTTTCTTTCGCGCTCAGCTGGGGCATCCGCGAGTGGGCGGTCGATTCGAGGATCTTCGACGGAAACTCTGGGGGATGGGGGCTTGTCCCCAGATTTTCTGGGGTAAAATCCAAGAGAATGAGGGAGATGGTAACCTGATCTCATTGTTCATAGGTATGTCTCGTATTCGACGAAAAGATGGAGCGTTCACAATAGTAACACGATTGTCTTGCAAGCTCTTGAACACTCTGAACACCAGAAGCCAGAAGTCCGAGCGCAACTCCAACAGTACATTCACGAATTCGAGGATGCGTGTGGGGATGCGATTCAAGACCTATCCCATAGAGGAACTCCCGGTTTATTTCCAGGTGTTCGTCGCTCCATGGACATGGTCATTTTTGATGTCTCTGAGAACGAAATGGACCAACGCTCATTTGGATATGCCTTCTCCAATTACCAAGCGTACGTTTGAAGTTTCTCGTCACAAATCTTCTCTTTGGGCAATTCTGACCACTAACATGCCAATCTTCGACTGAATAGAACCACCCGTCAAGAGCAGGTCCTCGGATCTCTCTACAGTCCTTGGTCTGCTTTCATGCCCCGGTGCCAAGGATGGCTCATTGACTATAAGTCTCCACCACAGCAGAGCGAGCAACCACTGCCTATGCAATTCATCTCCATCTTCGGGTGCGAAAAGGAAGGGGCTCGCGAAGAGTGGTATCGCGACTTCGCCGAACGAGCTCAAACACAGTATGACCTTATAGGCCATATTGTGGATTGGCTGCGGACTTTATCCACACGGATCACTATCCAACACTTGGTTCTGGAAAAAGAAGATCCTTGGATGACTGCAGACAAGTTGGCAAAGGCGCAGCGTCCGCCTCCGCCACTCCCACCATCCATTTTCGATGTACCGTGGGCTAGACAGTCCAACAAGTAGATATTTGTGTGTGGACTCTTATACATAATAGATGTGCCCCCTCCGCAGGCTCATTTTGACCGGTGAAGCTGAAAGGATCGAATGGTGTCAGGATTTCAATCGGGGTTCTTGCGAGAAATGGAGACTGGTTGATCTGTAGTACCACGAAGGGCACCCAAGTGGTGTTATACAAAGGGCGCCCGGTGGTAGCGGCATGCGGCGAATGATACACTGCGAGCCGTTCAATGACAGTTGCGAATGTTTTGGAATCATGTTTGGGACTGTCGTTGTTTCGGCCTCAACTCAACTATTCCTGTACCTTGATCAACGTATGACTCGCAGCAGCTTGGCCCCCATGGACGGAATATCAGTTGATGCGGAGAAAAGACAAGGAGGTGCCTGTCCCCTAAGCGCAACGTAGACCCTTCTTCTGGACCGAAAACGTCAAATGTGCATGGGATACTCATAACGGAGCTTCATTGGGACAGGAAGGATGGAGAGTACAAGCGATATCAGTCACATCGACACTGTTTCTCGTCTGGTCCCCCTCGCCCCCGCCCCGCAAGAACGATCTCTTCTGACGCGCCTGAAGGATCCATCGATCCCGATCTGTCGAGCCCAGTGCGCTCCAACTGCCAAGCCTGTACGCGCAGGGGATGTGAAGGGATTAGGTTAAATTCTTCTTGTGCTGGAGTTTGTCGTGGCGTAGATTAGCGAATTCATAGTCGCTTGCCTATTCACCATAAAGCTTCAGTTACCGCTTTAGGAATAAACGCTCTTCCCAGACGGTACTAGCACTGTTCTTAGGCACCTCGGTAAGTACTGCTATTGGCTGAGAATTACGGGAGCTAAGGCAGCCACCCCACTTGGTCCCTGCGTGTCATATACATTTTGGATGTTCGACTCGGCACGCAAAATTGTATGGCACGGCAAACAATGCATGTTGACGGGCAACAGTAAAGCAGATTTCATCTAGGGTCCAACCCTGGCAATTTCAGCACCCATAAATTTTTTTTCTTTTCATCCTTCTCTCCTTTCCCTAAGGCTTCAAATTGACACTGGAGTGAAATTGTCAACTCATTGATATCTATATAAATGAAACAGGAATACCTCGATTTTACCAAATAAGTCCTTCCAATCTGGACATATTCAGCAGAAGTATTGCCCGTGGAACGGTAAGAGTCCGCCTTACCGTCATCTGCATTTTGTTGACTTTCCCAAGATATGAGTACAGAGCTGAAATACCTCGATGGGCCCGCCTTATCGCCCACTCGGCGAGGCCGGTCAGGCATCCCCATTCCCCTGATTTATGCCCCTGACAAGAACTACAATGAACCTTCGGCCCACCAGATGCGCATCTTGGATAGACTCCACGAAGTACTTGATAAGAACCCGGTTCCGACTGCATTCTGGGCTATTCTCATGCCTTCTGATATTGAAATATTGGAAAAAAAAATTGTCGAGTAAGCGGAGAAGTCGTTGTGCTTCCTAGAGTTCTGCATGTATGCATGCGTTTTACTCCCTCTAATTTGGCAGCAGAAGGAGCCCAAATTTCAAGACCAGGACCAGGACGAGGACTGGGATGGAGATTCTAGCAGCTCCAACCGATCTTCAGGCCGGAAGAAAAGGCTCACAGACCTGGTTGCAGACCACGATGAGTACAGATGTGTGGTCAGAGGGACATCAATGTTGCTCACATCTACCCCCATTTCTTACTCGCTAATCGGCACTCAAATGCCACCAAAACCTCCCCTCGTTCTGGGAGATGTTCAAATACTTCTGGACAAGCGATAGAATTAAAATCTGGCATAAAGAGATTTTCCAGGACAAAGACCACCCTGAACGTCAGACTGATTCTCTTATCAAATCAAATGTGTCTGAGTTCAGAGATCCATACGCTGTGGACCGAAGGCAAATGTGCCTTTCGACCACTTGAATACAACTGACATAGGGCCACTCTAAGCGTCGAATTCCATTGGCAATCTAGAACTGAGCATGTTGAAAATATCTATGTCAATACCGCATCTCCCTCCTCCAGGTACTTGAACCAGCATATTAATGCCAAAGGAGTTCCCAGCAACATATCCATCAAACCGGATCCATCAGCCCCTCTTCGAGAGCTCCAAACTGGCGATAGAATTGCCCTTAGGACAAAAGATCCAGTCCACCTCCCACTTCCAAGCAAAGCGTTGCTAGATATGCAATTTGTGTTGGGCACGCATTGTCAACATCTCAGGTGCAGGAGAAGGCCCAGGTCTATATACCTGAGATGATGGATCTGATGGCGATTCCCCTATTCTGTTGCCCAGAGAAGTGACTGGGGTTGTCCAAGACTGGTTGCCTAATGTGGCGTCTGGCTCGGACGATGATGATGATGGAACTCAGATTACCTCGGAGTTTCCATCCCCAGCTAGCGCGCGTCATGTCCAACTTGCGGCCAGTGAGGAAGCCATCCCGGAATCCTCAACCGAGGTTTAGGGATGGTTCTCTACAGGAACAAAAAGATATAGCACGACTTATTTACGCCTAGTTTGAACTTGACGAGACACGTTGTGCAACAACCCTGTGGACATCTGTATCCCACTGAAAAATCCTATTCTTCAGGCACAACACTCTAATCCTCCCTTGCTTTCCATCTCGTCCTCTCTGTTTTCAGTCTCCACAACAAGCCGAGTACTGTCTCGTCGAACAACATGCGTCACTCAGCAGTCATCGTCAGCGCCCTGGCTATGCTTGCGTCCCCGGCGCTTGCCTTGCCAGCTGGCAACGAAATCCTTGCTCGTGATGCTGCGAAGCAGTACCTCCACGTTACGTCCGATGTCCTGGACAAGCGTGATCCGGAGGCAGCGAAGCAATAACTCCACGTTGCCTCCAGCATTCTCGACAAACGCAGCCTCCAGTCCGCAAAGCAGTATCTCCATGTGGCAACCGATGTGTTTGACTAGAACCAGACATGCTCACGACTTGTCTATTAAACCGAAAAGGCATCTCTAGCCGCATCGCGATTGGATCCTGCCCTGTGACCTGCCGTTTTATTTTCTATTGTTGTGGGTAGTTTGCTTATCTTATATACTGGCAATCTGAACGATTCTTCCCCGTATCCTGGAGGCTGTGATATGATAAATTGTAAACACGAAGTAGGCTAGTCTTCTTTTAAGAGAGCACAGGCGTAAACAGTAAAGTCAGGACTTACATAGAGTCTCAGAGTACAACATATATCCCAGCAGTCGCGCAACCGATATGTTCAGAGCGACATAACTCGGATTGTCCGTGAAATTGGCTGGCTGGCAGCAAGGACAGAATGCATGCTATCATACCTGCTATGGGCTCTTCAAGCAACTGCAGGATTTGGTTGTGCAAGTGTCCAATGAGCTGGTCTGTCTCTACCACACCAGTCCCTCAGTCTTGACATGTAATCTTAATCGAGTGTGTGATATTGCTGTCAACCTAAACAATGCCGTTCAGGATCTCCTTTGAGGGTATATGTAAGAGCTGGATGGTGGTGACGGCGTGAAGAGGTAATTAATATACGTAGAATGTGAAGTACGATAGTAGGGAGGAAAACGTAGGGTCCTTATTGTGTAAGAACTAATCGCTGGCTTCGCTATGGTGTTGCGGAGTTCAGCTCCTTTAAGTGCTAAGTACACGTGATCTTGTGTGGCCTGAGGCTGCTAAATTTGCGGCCTTACAGTATATAAAACTAAAAATATCTATGCAGATGTTGTAAAGGGGGGCGTACGTGCGTTGTTCCCTGCGACAGGAACCGGGTTGTGATCGAGGGATCTCAGGGATGGACACACTGAACGATCTAGTAATGAAACGATATAACGATAAAAGGAAACACAACGATGAAGGAGCCTCGCTCCATTCTATACGATGATGACGATACTGAAAGTATGCTCTCTTTCTCGTAACTATCTGGGAGGAAACCCTCCTTAAGTATTCCCCAGCTACGGGCTCCACCACACATTAGCCCTACGGCGTTCCAAGACAGGAAATAGTAGGAAAACTGGGGTTTCGCAGTGCCCCCGGCACAGCATGGCCGAAATCAGTAGAGTGACCGACCTACCCGGGAATTACGTTCACTAACATGCCAACGCGCTAAGTGGGGCCAATATAAGCATCTGCGCTAATAGTCCCGCACGGAAAGGTTAAATAACCTTTAAGATAAAACCTTATTCCATGTGGGTACCAAGAGGGTGTCATGGAGCTCAATCAAGATAGAATATGTTGTGGAATATGCATGTAACTCAGGGAAGAAGGGCAGAATGAAGCTGTATCAACTACACGTACGTAGCCTACTAAGGAACGGATGCTATTCAGATCTTGTCTCTCTGTCTCGCGCACTTGCTCTACATACAATCAGGGGCTCGGATTCTCAGGGGTTGGAGAGGGAGCCAAGCCGCCATACCACGTGACCTTTTCCATATCAGAATAGAGAATGCTATTTGGCTATCATGGCAGCTATCGACGAGAATATCAAGCATGGGAGAGAGAGGAGGAAGGGATTCGCTGTCACTCTTGACATGTCAAACTCAACCTCACAGGGAAGCCATTGAAATTGACTTGACCAACAGCTCTCCTCAGTGTCAGGGCCCTTACCATGTAGACCAGGACGAGCACGTGAGCTTCCTTATTTGGATTAGCGTGGTGCGTGGATAGGAATACGTCGTCCAGCTTCACGTAGATCTCTCCCTTTTTTCCTTCCTCTCCATGCTTGAAGTTCTCGTCGATAGCTGCCTAGATAGTTGAATAGCATCCTATTCATCGTCTAGTTGAGTTACATGACACTCAGCCCCCATTGAGTGCCACATAATGCGTTGACCAGTCTGGCTGTCAACCTTGGCCGGTAAGCGCATCTGGTCAAGTGGGTGGACATGAGTGGGTGCAGTTTCAACCGGTTGTTGTTTTTGTGCTCCATGGATCCTCCAGACGCACCATTCCACCGTTGGCAAGCACCGGTATGCGGCCATAGATAAGAGGAAACAACGGCAGATCCACTATATAGGACCAGGCAGCAACAGTGCCATAGACAGGGGTACCTGTCTGCTGCTATAGCCGCACCACCTCCCACTGGATGTCAGGCTGCACTGGCAGACAGTGGTGGAGGTATTGAAGATCACCATGCGGCTGGTTTGCTCCCAAGCCTTGGCTTTGTCGCGCAATTTGGCAACGCACCAGTCCCAGGCAGCCACGCTGAAACCTCCTCCTCTGCTTGTGCCTCACGATGCGTCATTTTGCTCAAGCAATGCTTGATGCCACCCAGGCTGCTCAGTGATTCGCTGCATAACCCGCAGCATGGCCATCTTGCGTTCCATCAAGCAAGGCGTGTGCGGTAAATCTTTATTGCTTTCCCTTTCACTGGTCTTTGTGACGATCAGCTATAATAGGATGAGAAGAGGAAAGCAACTCGCTATTTGGCCGTACTGTCTGGGAATATCGTACATGAGGAGAAGAAGAAGGAAAGGGAAAAGGTGAAAGACATGGTGGGGAGGAAATAGGAGGCGAGGGCAGCTGCCTGCCCTCAGCCCTAGCCCTGTGCCCTACTTGCTCAATCGGCTGGCACCTTCTAAGACGTGCCAGTGCCAGGGTCACATGCTCACGGTCATACCTCAGGTATGGTCGTCACACTTCCCTAGTCACACAAGGACTACCATTATGTCTCTCTTCTACATCCGTGAGAACTTTTTCTCAACAAACATAAACGAGTTCATTCTCAATTAGATGTAAAAGTTACAAGGAAGGTAGAAGCTAGTTTTGCTAGACTCGCTTGCCGGTTTATGTAGGGTTGGTATGCTGCATATGTAGAAAAACAAAATCAGTTTCACTGGTCGCAGCAAAAACACCAGCAGGATAAGGCACGAAGACCTGCATTTCGCTCCCAGCAATCCTGGGCCAGAACAGCAAAGAGACCAGCAGGAGGACCCCCAGATAGTGGCGCTTTTAAATAAACAGACGTTGCAGCTGTGCGGATGACATCTTTGTATGTAGATGACAGTGTGAATGGGATAATGATATTAGCAGTTGAAAGTCCTGCCACAAAGCCAGCATCGACTAGGTAGGATTCCGTAGCTGTCTTGAGAGACCTGAGCATGCGGGCCAGGGACTGAGTTGTGGTATGTGGGTGAGGGTGACCACCCAACCAGGGAGGGAGGACGTCACGAAATCCGCGGATGCGCAATTGGGACCATAAATGCGGGCCTCCAGCCGTCCGGCACTCCTCAGATGAAGTTGAAAAAGAAGAAGGCGAGGAAGAAGAGGGAGAAGCAATGTTGTCTCCTGATTTGAGAGTGGACTCGCCCGCTTTGCGCACGAACTGTCTGTAGGCAGGACCACCTTCAATCTTCGCTATGTTGACTGTTGAGTGAGCCATTTGAAAAGTAGATGCTTGATACTCTGGATAAACGTCAGCGTCACATCTAAAATGTGATAATTAAGGATGCCTTCTCCCTTACCCATAGTCAAGCGATAGATCAAAGCCAACGCCATACTCCACAACCGCAGCAGCTTGGATGAGGTGGGCGTAGGCCAGACTCGCGGCAAGAGGAGAGCAGGCGATCTGTGTCGACATTATTCGATAGATGTATAAATTCTATGAGTCGTGTTGTAGTGCAGTACGACGGACAAAAACTTCCACGACGAAGGAAGAGGCATATGTGGTCAAGGCAACCTCGCCATGTCCGACCCCAGGTCGGCGCTTATTAGGGCATTATAGTCGGTTAGTTAACTTAATCGTGCTCAGACCAGCAAGTGGCCGCTCGCTCAGACAGCCACGTAACCTCCAGCATACCTTAGTATGGCGGAGGCCGCGGTCCTACGCCGTTCTAAGACAGGAAATAGTAGGGAAACTGGGGTTTCGCAGTGCCCCGGCACAATGTCAATATAGCAGCAATAAACAATGGTGGATAAACTGCTCTACAAGCTGTAGTAGAAAGAGGTCACTCTAAAATGATTGAGCAACCACTAGCAGCTGAGGCTGATGTTAATGCAGCACCAGCAGAAAGTTATGGGCAAAACACTCTATGGACTGCAGCAGAAAGAGGCCACCTAGACATCATGCAACGGCTCCAACAGCAAAAGAGCTGGTTCTAGCTGTCATGAGCGCAACTAGAAAGATACAGTTTGTGTGGCTGGTCGGTCCTACAGCAGGTGGCAGTAACACTCTTCCTCCCAGTACTGCTCCAATCTAAAGGATCTCCTGATCGAGCCTTAAGGCCGAAAGGACCTGTATTTCCCGTTGGGTCCGAATTGGAGACCACCAGGAATAGCTCGACGCAGATTGAAACAGAGCCGGGCACCACCCGCGGACCATGGAGAATTCTCGGTTCCAGTTAGCCCACCGTTTCGCAGACCGCAGCCAGTCAGTAATTGTCGGAGAATAAGAATAATGCATCCCGCATCGAACACGCCTGTCGGTGTTGGTTAAATCGGCTGGGCTCTCAGAACGCTTCGCCATTATATAGGAACCAATTCTTACAATTGCAAATTGATATCGCTGAGACAGTTCAAGTTTGCCAACTGACTGGGTCTTTCTTTTCGTTAATTTTTTTTTTTTTTTTTTTTTTTTCAGTGAAATGCTTTCATTCACCCAGTTGGTACGAGACTCCTTGTCTTCCAGCTTTCGGAAGGGCAAATTCAACAATTTGCCAATTTTATCCTCTCCCTCTTCGTCTCCGAATAGGGATTTCCCTTTTACCTCCAGCCGGAGCGGCTTGCCCGTTGGGTTGACCCGTGGGGTGCTCTGGTTACCTTGCACATTTTCCGCGGCCGCCATGAGCATAAGTTGCCAGCGCATCAAGCCCACAACTGCGTGCCGTGCATAGAGGATTATCCTGAAGTCGAGGATAATATGAAGACGATAAAGCAACGTTTTCTGCAGCAAGAATAATGAGCGAGGGATTAGGGGGTTACAAGATGGAAATTATTGGACTTCCTCTTTCCGAGTTTCCTGTTCTGTATGGAATATTTAATAATAAGTTCTTATAGGAACACCTGTCTCATTATCTCTTCTCTGATACTATCCGTTCAGTTTTCTGCGAAGAACTGGGCCAATTGCTTGTCTAGCCACTCGACGTCGTCTTTGCTATCCCCAGGACCTCCCGCCCAGTCTGTATATCAGGTAAGTATAAGAATGCCGTGTTAGGGACGCAACACTTACGGCCCCATATGGAAGGGAAGACACCCAGCTTCCCGATTCCGGGTCCCATGCATTTCATCTCGTACTCTGAGTCTTCCGGACTGATATGGTCCACTTCTGTCAGTTTTCTCTTCGGAGCATTAGAGGCAGCACCCCGGACTTACGGGAAATAAAGGTCCGTCTTCGATGGCAAAACCAGTGTTTTGGCCTTTATTGACGCCATCGCCTTTTCAAAATTGCCATTGAATGGTTCTTGCTTTGATACGTCTCCGAGCTGCCACGTTAGTGTCATCGTGAGCAGATTCTCCGGTTCTAAAAGGAAAAGACATTAGCTTTTGCGTTGGCCAGATCCTATTCACTTCTACTGCTCATCTCACCTTTAGAGAGTGCCCATTTCTCCCAGAAATTTTGCATGAAATCTTCCAAATCCTTGAACCCTAGTACTGTCTCATAAAGTCTCTCCCGGTAGAAAGCTTGGCTAAAGCCCCTGCAGTAGGCCATTAAATTTCATTCACGCCTCGGGGGAAAAGGGACGGGTAGGAATGGGAACAATCTCTTCTTACCAACCAGCATAAACCCTACCGAATGCCTTGAGTCCGATTTCTTTCTCTTCAGCCGTCCAAGTCCGATAAGGTTCTCCACCACCGGCTACACCAACCTGAGGCGAAGGAAGTTTCTTCGCAGCAAGAAGGGCCGATTTAATGCCCTCCAAGAAAACCTGATTATGTATAGCCGTTCTCGCAGAACCACAAAATGGGACGATCAGATCCATGAAGTCTGGATACTGCACCGCCCATTGAAAGCTTTGAGCGGCACCCATGGACCATCCTACAACGGCACGCAGATGGGTGATGCCTAACTGCCGCGTGACGAGCTCATATTGAGCCCGCACATTATCATAGAAAGAACAGAAGGGAAATGGACCCGGTTTGGGTTGGTTTGACGGAGAGGACGACTGGCCGTTTCCGAAGAGTGCAGGGACGATGATGTAGTATTTCTTGGGGTTGAGTGTTTTGTCTTCTCCAATTAACCAGAAATTGTCCGAGAGAGCTATAGATGGTCTATTTGTTAGCTTTCTTTCTGGTTATCTTGCAGAGTATTGCAGTGCGGGGTATATGTGTAGATGTAACCATACCTCCAGAGAACCACGTCGGGTAGACAATGGCAGGAGAGGAGGGATCCCCAAACGTCTTATATGCGATATGAGCATCGGTGAGTCTCTCTCCACTCTGAAGCTCCCAGTCCCCGAGTTTAAAGATCTCGTAGTCCTTCTGGGCCATCTTGGGCGTCTTTGCCCATGAACATGGTTAGATTGGCTGGCTTCTGAAGTGAACGCTTCCAAACATGGGGGGCGCGGAGGCATACTGTGCTCTGTGTAGCTCTTTGCTTGAATGTGAAACCAAGGAATGAAAACCTGTCTGTTTATTATTTGGTTATGGATGAGAGACTCCAGGGATTAAGGCCTATTTATATGTTTTCATGCTTATCTCGCATGAATACATACCCCACTTCGGGAAACTTTGGCTGACTTGACACCATTATAGCATCAAAAAACCACAATTCATGTTTCCATTTTTATTTTTTGACGAGGATTGGCAATCAGATGGTATGTTTTGGTAATGCTGGAGATGGTGACGATGGCTTTGTTCATAGAGCGTTAGTCAGCCTGAGGCATTCAAGGGATGCTCTGTTGAAATGTCAATTTCAGTCAAAAATTCCATATAATCAATGGATCCAAAAGACATCGGGAGTTTTGTACTGGACAGTCCCGAAGTGAAGACCCGTAGAGAGCTGGACTGGATACTTCATACTAATCCGTTGAAAAAGCTGTGAGAGAGAGTATCAATGGGATCATAGTGGCTTGTCCTATACAGTGCAAGCAACAGTATTGGCCTTATAATTTAGCGTCTTGGCAGTAACCAAGGACATTTAAATTCATTTAGTTACGTTTCTGAGTCTAAGCATCTGCGTGCAATCTAAGAATATTATGATAGTTAACTTGATTGTGTATGTCAGCTCTGGCTCCTCATTAATAATATACCTTGTTTGATTGTCAATTATCTCTACTCTAATTGTTAATGATATACTTCGGATTATCTTGAGTTCTAAGATGACATTTCTAAGAATCTATAACGTGTCGAGCATCGCCCAGGGTGGTAGAAAGGGGTAAGGTAGCATCGGGGGTATGCATCAGAGACAATGGCTATAGCAACCGATTAGAGTAGCTGAATGGAATTTATTTGGACTTGCAAAAATTGATTTGTGTCCCTCTCCAATGCAATGGCAGCCTCCAGTAACATCATAAAGTTGACATAAATGGATATGCTCCTCTTATCAATTTTATCGTACCAAGCCCCTCACTCTCCTCTTCTACAACATCTGATAGAGCCATCGATTCCCATGTCGATGTCATATTCTATTATATACATCCCTTATTTGCCGGATATTCTGATGAGAGCCGCATACAGAGCTGCTGTAGCTCACTCAGCTTCCCCACCTTGCTCACAAGGCCGAGGTCGCAAACTACCTTGTCGGGACCTACTTCGGCATTTCTCTCACATCCCTTATTTAAATTCCTCTGGCAGAACGAGCCTTGGTTTCCATCATGTATCGTCTTCCCCAAAGCACTCTACAAATGGTCAAATCGTTGACTGTGAACTTGAGGTAAGTGTAGCAGGATTAGCAAAAGACGGACTACCAATCGCTTACGGGTCACCACAGCAGGAGTCAACGCATTCCAGAGAATCTGGGTCCATATCAGCAGGGAATTCGTCGACCTTTCAGTCACTCACGCAACATGTTCAGAATAGCACAGGACTTTGAAAAGATCCAGGCCTCCAGACCGGAATTCAACCACGACGCACAAGTCACTTACACGAAGCCCCCAAACCCAGAATGGAAGCAAGGAGATGGTGCAAATGACGGCGGCGAGAGTCTGAAGAAGAACCACCTGGAAATTGACCCTTACGAAAAAGGAAGACCCAGCAGTTCCAACTACAAACTGTTGATCTCGGGAATAGTCCCTCGGCCCATTGCGCTCATAAGCACCCGGTCCAAGGACGGGAAAACGACCAATCTGGCGCCCTTCAGCTATTCGCAGGTTATCAACCATGACCCTCCTCTCTTCGTCGTTGGGCTGGTCGGGTCTCTGGAGAAGGCGAAGGATACACTGAGGAACCTCCATGAGACGGGGGAGGGCGTTATCAACATCATCTCCGAGCATTTCGTCGAGGCGGCGAATGCGACCTCCATCAACGCCCCTTACGGCATTTCCGAGTGGGAGATATCGGGACTCCACCAAGCGCCATGCTCCACGGTGCAAGCTGCCCGCGTGAAGGAGTCGATTTTGTCGATTGAAGGGAAGGTCGTGGAATTGAAAGAGTTTGAGAGCCGAGCATCTCCGGGGAAGAAGACAGGGGTTCTGGTCACCATTGAAGGAACGCGGTTCTGGGTACGGGAGGACGCTATCAACGAGGACAGGAGCATAGTGGACTTGGAGGTTCTGAGACCGATTGGGCGGCTGGGAGGGATCACGTACGGACGCACGACGGAGGTTCTGGAGCTTCCCCGACCATTCTAGGAGTGGGGATCGCAGAGGGGGCTACACCGTAAAAGAATATATTATTACTGTTTACAGAGTAGAGGATAGACACAACATGCTACTATAGAAGGTGACTAATCTTGGATTAAGTCACATGGTGCACGTCGTGGCAGTCACCTGAACAGTTCGAAATTTACTGTGGAGAGACTGGAGATTGGGGGCTTCGCACTTAATTCTCATTGCAAGACGCGGAGTCCTCGGGGTTATCATAATCATCTTGCCCAGCAATAGGAGAGCACAGTCAGGGCCAGAACTTTCCGTTCTATCGGTGACCGTCAATTGAGGTGACACATATTAAGCCAGGGCAACCACGGTAGCAAGCAGCACTGACATGACATTATTGCGCAGGACCCCCAGGCCTGTCCCAGTATTGACAACTTGTTTCCTCCGTCCACAAGTGTCTCCCCTCATTTTCCCCCGGAGTTCCATATCTCTCGCTATCGGCTTACATCCGCGTTCGTGAGAGCTACAAAACGCCGAACGGATACGAAATTACGATCGCAAGCCCCCAAGCCCATGGATTTCCTGCCAGTTTTTCATCACCACTTATCCGGGATATATTATTTTCGTGCCTGTCTGTCATTATTACCATCCCGGCTTCTTCCCTGTTTTCCCCTCGCTGTGCGTGCTGGGAACCATCCCACTGTGAAGTAGAATCCTTGCCAATGTGTTGTTGCCGCTGGATGCTTGCCTTCAGTGCTTGCAATGAGCCTCCCTTCTCCCAAGAAGAACGGCGCCGATAATACTGCTCCGAGGCAGATCCGATTCGTGTCGACTGACGGCCAGCCGCAGACCAAGCGGCGACGCATAACCGCCGCGTAAGAATCAATTTCTCCAATTCAATGCGCAGTCCCTGTTCTGCCATGCTGATTTCTGGGATTTGGTCTTTTTCCACAGTTGTCTGACTTGTCGAAAACGGAAAATCCGATGCTCTGGTGAACAACCTGGTTGGCGACCCTCGAGACTGAACACACCCACTTCTTCCATTGGCGCTGACGATTTTGGACCCAAAAAGTGTGCAGTACTTGCTCTAAATACGGGCATATCTGTCTTGGTTACAGTGAACCGTCCTTTCCTCATCGATCGCAATCTAATTCCACTGCGCGGACGCCTGTCCTTTCCTCATCTATCCCTAATAATAATGGGGACGCTTCGAACCCATCCGCGTCGGGAGTTACCAACGGTCGTTCATCAGATATACCGTCGAATGACGGTGATACGTCCCCAGAGGCTGCGCAGCCATCGGGATCGAGAGATGGCTCCTCCGCGAGGGATCCGTATTCCAATGCAAGCAAGGGACCAGAGCGGCAAGTCTCCGGGGAGAGTCCGGAAAGCGGTAAGTCAAAGCGCATATATTCTAAGACTTCCTTTTTGGTTTTGTGTCATTACTACTAGATCTTACTTGTCTCCACTGCATGCGTCATGGGCTTATGTTGACTTTCTCCCTGTCGACTAGAACGTTCTTCCTTACGCTCCAATCATCGCACTCACGTCCCTTACTTCCGGTATTTTGGACCTACTGCCATTGTTCCTGGCTTCAAGCAGATGGTTTGGCACTCTGCTCGCCTCATAATCACTTTGTTTCTGACCCGTCCTGCAGGTTGTACGAGTTCGAAGTTCACGCAAGAGCAATCCATCGTTGTCCTCAGGTCAGTTTACGGCTGTCTTTCAGTGGTCGTCATCACGTCTGACTGATCCTCGTTATGGATTCCAGATTCGCTTTCCGCCCGTCGCAGCCCAGACTCCACCGACTTAGGAGAACAGCAATTGATTATACCGGGAGATAACCGCGATGCGAATACAATCCCATTTTACGATCGAAATGATAATTTGCCGGTTAGTAAATTGGTGACACACCTCTGTGAGCTATTCTTTGTACATCTTGGATGCAGCTTTCCATTCCTGCAGCCAGACAGGTTCCTCAGGGACCTGAAGAATAAGCAGGTGGACACTATCCTCGTGGACGCTGTTTGTGCCTTGGCTGCAAGGTTCTCACCCCACCCTTTGCTGAGTCCCCCTCAAGCTCCGTCCATCGATGGAAACGAACCGCCTCCAAGCTGTAAAAAGTCCGACCGAGGATTGCCGTTTGCCCATCGAGCGATAAGCGCTCTAGTTTATGCTCTATCGTGCCCAACAATGTCCGTTGTTCAGGCTTGCCTTCTTTTGGCCTACGAAGAGTTCGGCTCCAGCCATGATAGCGGTCTTTGGATGTACCTTGGGATTTCTATTCGGATGGCGCAAGATCTTGGTATGCAGAAACTAAGGGGTTTGAAGTATAATTACGGACGAGTTGGCTTGAATCCAAATGCTGTCAAGACGGCCTATCCAGTGAAGTTGGGAGGGGACCAGTATGACGACTCTCAGGGATGCGAAGCCCCAATTCCTCCCCCTCTGGACACAGATGACGGACGTGCCAAGGAAAGAGAGAGAGTTGATTTATTTTGGAGTATTTTCTTTCTCGACCGTGTGATTTCTTCGGGAACTGGGAGGCCGGTGACATTGCGCGATGAGGATATAGAGTTATGCTTTCCCCTTCAATGTGAATCCCAGCTCCCCAACGGCTGGCCATCACCATTCCCGCAGCTTATCCGAATAATACACTTATACGGAAGGGTCACGGACCTCATCAACGGAATCCAGGACGCCAACCATGTCACACCTGATACTCTCCAGAGACTTGCCGGTATGGAAAGTGATTTGACTGGTATGCTATCTTCCCTGTCGAGAATCATGCAACGATGTGCCTTTGGACTGACCGATGGTATCTAGGTATCTATCAGCGTTTGTCGCCCAGACTCCATTTCAATGCGGTCAACTTCCAGACGTACGTGAGAGCAAAGGAAGGGACAAATTTTATCCTTTTGCATTTTGTAAGGGACACTTTGGCCACTAGTCTGATTCCGTTCTATTCTAACCTCCAAATAGTGGTTCCATACCCTCATTGTCCTTCTACATCAGCCAACTCTCCTTAATTCTTTCGGTGGGACAATGCAACAACTCTACCCTAACAGTAGAGAATTGTCCATGTCCTCAGCGAAAACTATAGCTGATATCCTTTCCTTCTCTGAACTTGTTGATGGCAAGAGTTTCATAGGGAACCCATTTACGAGTCAGCCCATGTATATTGCTGCATGCGCTTTTCTAATGGAGAGCATCTATTACACCTCTCCATCGTCAAGAGGGAACTCTCCTCCCCCTCAAGCGCTGTTGACAAATCAATCCAGTGGTTTCGTCATGCCTGGCTCACAGGACAGGAAAACGGCATCGAAACATACCCTTCTTGCTTCTGCTGCAAAGGAGAATTACCAACGGTGTTACAAAGCGTTGAAAGCGCTAGCAACATATTGGGAGGGCACAAGATACATTCTCACTGTTTTGGACCAGAAAGCCAAAGGCATTGTTGACCCTCTCCTGTATACTGCCGAAGAGATGGAGAGCGCCGTTGAGATGCCTCACGTTCCGTCTATCGCGCCTCCTGGATGGCGCATGGCTGGGCCATCACAGGGCAGTGCAGATGAGCAAGGCCCGTCTGAGGAGATGGAGGCCTCATCGGATGGGAACAGAATGGATCGTAGCCAAGGTAAGACCTCATTCGGGCTTATCCCCCAAGACAAGTTATTTAACCAGAAGTTTCCAAGCAATCGGATGGGCTCTCACCGGAGCTACCAATTCTTCTCAGCCAAATCTGAGCCTGTTGTATCAATTGCCGGCCCAGCGTGCGGATGCCGCCTCTGCCAATCCCACATATCCTTCACAGTATAGCCATGGCCAACACTATTTGCCGATGCATACGAATGCATCCCAGCCTCCTTATTCTCGGCCGCTTGAATCAACCGATACCCGGAAATACTCCCACCTGACGCCTAATCAGGTAACCACGTCGGACGCAAACCTTCTCCTGGGGTTGCATGCGCCATATCCGAATTCTGGCTCCTCCCATCCGTCGTCAGGTCCACAGACGGCTTATACAACAAACATTGCCTCCTCAAATGTCGGTAATCAAGCATCTGGTTATAACTATAACCTGCCTCCCTCTGGCCCTGAACCTCGAGCGAACGTTGCACGGTTGGATTCACATCATGTGGATATCTCTACCGGTGATCCAAATCTGGGTGAGGTATTTATAGAGAGTCAGGACATCGATATGAACACACTCCACAGCGAACACTCATTACCCTTTACCTTAAATGGCGAGATTATCCCCTGGCTTGAGTACCTCCCAGAAGATGTCGCTAACTTCTTCGGTGAGCACCAAAGCTACCCTCTAACGCGTCATGACGATGACCATGTAAAACCACCACAATAGAATTTTTGGCCTTTGTCATGTTTGATATAGCTTTCAACCTTCTTCGGTCCAGCGATGTGCCACGAATTTTCTTTGTTGGAAATCTGGAGTTCAAACCTAGCGTGTTATTTGTTTTGTCCTTGAAAGTCCAGAGGTTTTGTTGTCTTCCCACGTTGCGTTTTTTGATGAAAAAAATTTTTTTTCTCTTAATTTTTTCTTCTTTTCCCTATTCTGTGTCTGGAAGATACCTTTGTAGCATATGTTCGGTTTATTGCATGGACGGGGTTCTTTGGAAAGTCGTTTGGTTGAAGATGTACTACTGCACGTATATCCAGAGATGAGAGCGCATGATCTTAATTGACAATAGCCTTCAGGGTTCCAGCGAACTGGTCTTCATCTCAGGAACAATGCTATGATGTTCCATTATGATCGGTCAGAGCAGTTTACCCAGTGTTCAACGGCACAACACTATCAAATAACTTCATTTGCAACACAAAGCTTGCCACTGTAATAGTAGGATCCAAATCAGCCCCATGGCCTAACACACATACGTAGCTAGCGCAATCTCAGACTGTTCTACATCTTGGTGATCAGTTCTACAATATCAGATTCCTTTTATTTCCCAGGAACATTGGCGAAGCTAGCTCCCTTGCACTCCTGCCAAATACGGAAAGCCCAGCGCTGCATCCACTGGCTCTTGAGAATATCATCGATAGTTGCTCCGCTCCCTGGCTCGTACACAAGCCCACTTTTCCCAGTACCTCCACATGCTCGCATCACTTGTCTATCCATCTGACTCACAGAGTGTATTGTTGCCAGGTATATCCCAAATGGAGCAGGTAAGGGCCCAAATATCACTGGGAAATGAAATGCGCAGCCCATCCACAGAAGCTGCTCTCAGCTTGGACGCCAAGATGGGTCGTAGATTGAATGAGGAAAGAGGGCAGCTCCAGGTATAAAAATGCACATATTATCGTTTAATTTGCGAAGAAGAAAGGTCTTCACGGTCATTTTGACATTGCATATTGGCAGGTGGTAGTAGTTCTATGAGAACTGGCGAGTGACGCTGCTTTCGTCCATCAACACGTGCTATATCACGTGTTTGGAGGCTTTGGCACTACCACTTTTGGCTTATTCAAGGAAAGGCTGAAGAAATTGTAGGATCATGATGGAGAGTGTTTCATAGGCAAACGGCATGGCCTTTGTTTATGTCTTTTCTTGCTATGGTCTGTTCAAGGAATCGCTGTGCTCCTGCGCGTTGCCCCGACAACAAAGGCTTCCAGCCTCCGGAATTTACGAGACCAGCTCTTCAGAAGTTCCTCTTAAGAGCACCATTTCGAGGTCTCTCCCTATCATCGAAATGGAATCGTCTTAATTAGCGATCGGTCTTTAGCTCTACAGTTGTGCGGCCTTTTGTCTGGACACGTCCTCGATCTACTGTTGAATCTCTGCCGTGGACCGGCATACCAACACCGTTCTATCCATCAAACCCAAGCCGAACGCAAAACCTGTTTTTTGGAAGATCAAAACTCAATGGAGAATTCAGCTCTATTTTCCGAACCTATCAATCTTGCCGAAGACGACTCGCATCTCCATTTCCCCGATGAGGCTCTCATTCCGTCCAGCGCGAAGGACCACCTTGCGCATCCGCTAGACGGCATATCCGGTTCTGTCTGTGGCGATGACGAGCATCTATCTGGTCACCCAGAATACACCTCATCGGTGTCATCGACCGACGAACTGGTGCAGGTGAAATCTCGGACTTCTAGCCAATCGTCCTTTTCCTCGATGCCGGACTCTGTTGTGGTTCATCGCTCAAAGGATCAGGAGTTCGGATGCCCCATTGCGGGGATCGATGCTCGTGGTCAGGACGGTGCCGACAATGAGAACAAGATGGCGAAGGGGAAACAGAGACCCAGCGGAATTGGGTACGGGACATTAAGGTCGCTATACAACGTCCGCGAGCGCGAAGTCGCATTCAGACACCCTAGCTCCGTGCGGGAAATGCAACTGCACACTGAAGACGAAGATGCAGATGACGATGAGTACCTAACACCTCCTCGTCGGCGGATACACGGCCGCTCGCCCGGCTCCACGCCGTTGAAAAGATCCCCCTATTACTCTCCCAGTGGAGCGTCTCCGAGCAGAAACAAGCCAGAGCCAGTCAAGAAAGAGTATCCTCTCGTCCTGCTTCATTGCAATCTCCTCCCGCCCACTCTTTCGCTTTCAGCGACAATAGGCGTTCCAGATCAGAGGATCCTCAAGGAAGTCCTCCCCCCGCAGTATTGGAGGCGGTGGAAACTTCTTGAAGAAAAGGTCGGATTCGGCGTCGTGCGTGATCGTGGAGTTCTCATTTCCCATCCACAGGACATGTATGATCTACTTGAGGAACGGCTGCTAGAGAGTCTCGAGCTCCAGCGACCTAGGCTTCAGGATGGGCATTTTCTGGGGCAAGATGAGGGAGATTCGGAGAAAGAGGACATGGAGCAACTCGAAGGGGAGGAGAGCGCGACAGACGATGAACAGGGTGAGGCGTGTCCCGATTGCGGACGAAAAGTGGCCCGACAGGGAGGTGAAAGTGACTGTGGCAAGAGGAAGTGGGAGATTAGAGTCTTCGCCGCCAATGGTCTGATGAGGGCCGGTGCCTGGGCGGCTGCGTGGAAGGAGATGGAAAAGGTGGACGTCGAAGTCGGTCTTTGGCTCCCATCGGATGTGAGACGGGAATTGGAGAGGAAAGCACTCGAAGAGGGACTGATCTATTACGATGCACAGAGAGTCATATCCTCTCAAACGGTAACGGGAGAAACCCAGCCTCCTTCCCAACCGATTCATCTCTCTTCCGCCCAAGAATGTCGAACACAGGAACAAATCGATGGCCTTGATGATTCGACCAAATCCATCCCGATGAGCACTCTTGCAGACCCAGCACCGAACAAGTCTGTCGCGTCTCACAACCACAGAGCCGACGACATCGATCTCCATGTATTGCTGAAAAATTACCTCCGGCTGCTTGCGAGCGATGGGCGCAACATCGCACTAGTCATCCTCAGCATCCTCGTGATTGTGCTTGCAATCGTAGCTCGTCCTATGGGCGAAAACATACAACCTTTGCTCAGAGAGAATCTGCTGGATCCGAGCCCGCGACCTATCGTCCATATGCCGCAAACTGCTGCTCTGCACGTGGGCTCTTCGAACTCGCGGCCTCCGATCGTGAGATCCTTTCTACCAGCCGGATCGGCTGCTCCCTCGTCAGGCTACGCTGGATCCAGGGGAGAGTCGGCGCTTCCGGGAGGAGCGGAATTGGCCGAAATTAGAAACTAGATCCAAAAGGACCGCCCATGATACAAAAGTAAAGACTTGAAACGCATTTACGACCGATACGAGGCAGAGATGATTTTTCTTCTTTCTCTTTTCTTTTACTTCTTTGCGTCTCTTTTTCTGAAATGCATCTTCTGTCTTATTCCTTGTTATTATTATTAGTTGAGATGCCAATTGTTAATATGTGATGATGTTCGGAGTTGCGTTTGTATGGATATGGTTATGACAGCGATGAATATACAATTTCCTAATGCCTCTCATTTTTATTTATCTTCTTCCCCTTTTCTTGTTCCTTGTTTCTGGTTCTGTGTCCCTCCCCTGGCTATATATGGAGTTATATCTGATTCAACAGGCCTGGTTTGACTTGATTCAGTCCCAAGTATGTCAGCATTAAGCATGCCGCATAATCTATTAAAATAAAATGAACCAATGCATCGATACGGTTTTTGCAACCGTTTATCCTTTTACAGTTACGACAGAAATGATAGAGCGCGTCTACGCCCTGAAACTCTGACTAGAACTTGATCTCATCCTCGGTAGATTCATGGATTCGGCATTCATCCATTCTACGGGGTATGGATACGGAGGCATTTTAGTCAACGCTATTCTCGGGGATTTTTCTAATTACTAGTGGTCAATTATTTGTCTATTATTATTCTGTAGATGAATGCCATTCGGAGAGAGAATGGAGGGTCGTCTCTTTTTTGCTCGGAAATTAATCAGTCGATTTCGAAAGGTAGTTAATTGTCAACTCAACGGCAATGCCATCATTTATGAAGTAGTATGTATGGGGTATATGTATTTTGTACAGAATAGCATCTTTTTCTTTCCCTTCTTCCCCATCGTGACGATCCTAAGGGCGGATCACGATGGAGATGGAGAGATGGGGAATGTAAGTTAGGGTTGATCCCACCCATTCCACATGCAAAGCAACTGAACGCTATTTTTAACTTAATCGCCTGTCCCTTCTGTTCTATAAATAATACTTCAAGCGCGGAATAACAATCACATCACGGGATGATACTGCTTGTACCAAAGTCAAACACGACATCCATGTCTAACAGACGTTCCCTGATGCGGGAATAGATGTCTAGTTACATGTATCTGCTGACTCAAGCCGAGCAATGGGGAGAAAAGAAAAATGACTTATCTTGTCTTGGCTTGGCCTGTCTGCAGACCGGTTTTTGCCATTTCACGATAGCCGTTCCATTGGTCTTGTTTCTTCGGACGACTCTTCGTTGTGTTTGAACTTTAGGTACCGCGTGTGTGGAAGAGGGGTTCTACTAAGGGGAGGGGTCCTAAAGGGAGAGTGGATGGAGGTTATTGCTGAAAAGTTCAGGTACTATTTTCATTCCTCTGCAGGAAGCTTTGCATGTACATACATGTACAACTCTGATGCATAGACGTTATGTCGCTATCTCTGGCGAAGTAGGAAATAATAACAATCATACCATTTACCCCAGTCAATTCCAAAATTGCCCAGATACAACACAGCACGGCACAACGAGGATACCCGGTAAAGCCATTCGAATGCCCTAATCAAGACTCAGGAGCTTTCATTCAATGCGTTATTTTATTTTATTTTATTTTTTTCTTCCCTAACCGAGCGTTCCATGGCACGGATAACTTTCCGTCTGTCTGGATTATGTTGTGTTTTCTTGTTTAGCCTTCCTCAACGCAAAACATGTACCTTAAAAGATAAATGTTGAATAGCTGCACGTCCATGTTGAGTGTGCTCGAGAGATGAAAATTTCTGATGCATCTTTCTAGGTCGAAGCATCACCTGCGTACACCGTGCCAGGGGTCTTGCGTATGGCTGGCCGCGTTTAAAACCTTTACGAGGTTGAAGACAGGTTTTCTGCCTACGAGCAGCGCGGTAGGATGATAACACATGACGGTTTCCGGTTCTGTTGGCCGCAATTTTCTGTCCGAGCATGCAATTGGGCTTGTATCTGTTTGTTCTCTGAAGAATGGAACCAGACATTTTTTCAGGTTGACAGCAATTCCAGGGGAGTGAGTTTGTGGGATCAATGCTATATAAGACTCGATGAATCGCCCTATACTCGAGACATTATAGATGTGGAAAGCACAAACGCACTCACGCTCATTCCTTTGGTGTGTTCCAGTATAGTCAATCGCTATGGCGGGCTCACAAGTCTATACTCTCCTTTTTTTGGCTTTCTTGTCTTTCGTTCAAATTGGATATGCATATCCATGTCCGGATTCATCTAACCCCGAAGATTGCGACGATGCCTCTGCAGTATCCAAAACTACCACCAACAACACTGTTCACTTTAATCTGACACTGACTTGGGAAGACTGGTCCGTGGCAGGCAAGACCAGAAAGATGATCCTAACCAATGGCCAGTTCCCTGCCCCGACCCTTCGCCTGAAACAGGGCGATGATGTCGAAGTTCTGGTCAATAATTCGCTTCCTTTCTCCACGACGGTTCATTTTCATGGTGGGTCCCCTTCAGTCCAGTTTGCATGCGCTGTGAATCCATTCTCCTAACCTGATTTCAACAGGAATCGAACAGCTCGGTACCCCCTGGTCTGACGGTGTGCCCGGTCTGTCTCAACTAGCCATCGAGCCGGGTGATTTGTTTCTGTACAAATGGAACGCCAACAACCATGGTATCTATTGGTACCACGCGCACCGCAGAGGTCAGATCGATGATGGCCTGTATGGTGCATTATACATCCAGCCGGATGATTCGGTGGAGAGGCCGTTCAGTTCCATAGCAGATAGCAACTCGACTGAGCTCCAGGCCATGTTGGATGCGGAGACAGATACGCAACCTGTCATGCTCTCGGATTGGCTGCAGTTTACTTCTGGCGAAGTCTGGGAGTATGAGCAAGAAACAGGGCTGGATGCACACTGCGTCACTTCGTTGCTGATCAATGGGAAGGGCTCCGTGCAATGCTTGCCCCAGGATACTATCAATACGTGGACGACGGACACCCAAAAGACGATCCTTAACGGCTCCAGCTTGACTGATATGGCGTAAGTATTGTACTTTGTCCTCGGCAGTTCTGCTCCGTCAGTATACTGATTATAAGGATAGATGCGTCCCTGCAACAAACATTCTCCTCCAAGGAAACTATGAGCACAATTATAGTGCGGTCCCTCAGGGTTTGTTTTCGGGTTGCGAGCCCTCTCAGGGCCCCACAGAAGTATTCGAGGTCGATCCCTCCAAGGGATACGTGAGTTGGGATCTCATCAGCGCCGCAAGCTTAATATCGTACGCATTTTCCATCGACCAGCATCCGGTGTATGTGTACGCTATCGATGGCCGGTACATCAACCCGATGCTTGTGGAGGCCATCGAAATATCATCTGGCAGTCGATACTCGATCCTCGTGCCACTGGACCAGCCAGCAGGAAACTATTCCATCCGGTTGGTGAACGCCGGTGTCAATCAGATCATCAATACCACTGCCGTCCTTTCCTATACCACGCTGGATGCAAGCCAGGCCTCTCCTCCGTCCCAGCCGTATATCGACATTGTTGCGAATCTGACAACTTCTAATGCAACCTACCTCGACGAAACCCAGGTAGTCCCCTTCCCGGTAGAGACTCCGGCGGCATCGGACCAAGTCGCTGGAACCTTCATTCTCACAATCTCCCATTTCAACGCGTCCTATCTTTGGACCCTTGGCAACAGCAGCTATGAACTGAAATACGAGGATTCGCAGCCATTGCTGTTTAATACTACCTCGATCCCCTCCTACCTGACCATCAGCACCCAGAACGGCAGCTGGATCGACCTGATTTTCTTTGTCAACAACTCTGACGCTATCCAACCACCACATCCCATTCATAAACACTCTAATAGGTATTTTGTCATCGGCCAGGGTGACGGCATGTGGAATTGGTCTTCCGTCGCAGAGGCGCAACAGTATATCCCGAACAGCTTTAATTTCGACAACCCGCAAATCCGCGATACTTTCAGAACTCTAACTGCGACAGGGCCGAATTGGATGGCTGTTCGGTACCAAGTCGTTAATCCGGGCGCTTTTCTCTTGCATTGTCATATTCAGGACCACTTGAGTGGAGGTATGGCATTGGCACTTCTGGATGGTGTGGACGTCTGGCCAGCTATCCCCGAAGAGTATCAGCCAGGGAATAATGGTGGTGTGTAATATACACGTGCTAGCGGGGAAGGGTGCAGGATGGTTGTTTCCAAATTCATTGCATGTATTAATATATATCTTGAATTCAATTCTGAATTTGGACAAACGCTTCCAGTACCTGGTTTCTGTTATCATTGTATGCAACGATGAACATCTCTTAGATCCAGGGCATAGGAGCATTTGGCGCACTCCTTGTCAAACGAAGAGAACGGTAGGGCCAGTACCAACTTGCGTTCGGCGCTATTTCTCAGGTGACAGAGCCGTTGGCTTATCCAAAGGCGGGATGCCATGTAGGAGATATGTTGGGAATGAGACTTGATCACTGACTCCAATCCCGGGAATAACCTGTGCAATGTCCGTGGGAGACTCCCCTGCGGCCCTCGAATATTGGACCTACCTATCTTCTTAACCATACAGGACTCTCATACGCAAGACAGCTGACACTCCTCACAAGGATGGGCTTCCAGCTAGTACTTGTATATATCCTCGCTGCTAGTGAACCGTCAATAAAGTTTCAAAGGCCATGAGGGAGCGGGAAGTAGAACTGCAGGGATTCAAGTCTGAGACATACAAATGGCGTCCAAGGGTATTACGTCCTTCGGCTGCAGCATTTACCCAAACACTGACGCTCATCGCCGAAACGAAGAAGATACCAAAACCGTCTTTGTCAATTATGACCCGCTCACTGGACCATCCTAGAATATCCGTCCATTCTTCGCCGGCATGTCTTTTGCCGACATACATGCATTTCTTAGCTTGCGTAGCATTGCTAAGGATGCAAGCAAGACCATCTGGGTGCCGCCGATTTCCATATCGGACGAAGCCTACTACCTTGTCAGTTTGAGATACCAAGAAAATAAATTTATCTTCAACTCGAAATAGAAAAATAAGAATATAACGAAGAAGACGGGGCCCTGACCGATGCAATTCCTCTGGTCGAAGTAATCGCGCTGCTCTCCGTAAGCATACAATTTGCGCGCGCGTGTGAGAAGCGGCAGTTTGCCATTGCAAGAAGGTGGTATCGGTTTGGGGGTTCCTCCCCTGATTCCGTAGAGATCGCCGTAAAAGATGCAAGGCTGGCCGTCTTTACGGAGGAGGATCAATGAATATGCCAAGGGTTTGAAGAAGGACGCGATTGGGACCTGTCAAGAATGTCAGAGAACCATCCAAGTCAGCTTCTGTAGACTAGCTTACTTCTAGACTCTGTGACGGTTGCTTTGGAGATCAATTAGCATAGGCCTTGGTACCGGATCAGAAAACCCTTACCGTATCATGGTTTGCTACAAACGTCTGGATGAGAGAAGGTAAAAGCCCTGGTTAGTTGTATAGGCTCAAGATAAACAGGGCATGAAGACTCTCGGCTTACCACTGCATTCTGCGGTCTGAGCTGAACTAAAGTGTCGTCAAAGACTCTTCTGAGGTCCGCCCCTTCAGTACGTGAGATTTTCGAAAAGCTTCCCACAAGGGGGACATCAAATAACGATAAGCTGTAATCCAGCCTGTCCAGGTATTTGAGGAGAGGTTTGACCTCCCCCTTCCAGTACTCCCCGACAAAGAAGAAATCTTGCCCACAAGTTGCCCTGAGATGACGAATGAACTCCTTCTGGAAAGCGGCCGAGTAATGCTTGCATGCATCCAGTCTCATTCCACGGACCCGGAGCTGAGACACGATCCACTCGCCCCATCTGAGCACATCCTCTTTGACCTCAGGGTTTGAATAATCCAAGTCAGCAAACATTAAATAGTCGTAGTTTCCGTTCTCATCGCTGACGTCCTGAGCGAATCCTTTGTTTTCACCCACGATTTTGTAAATGGCATTCTTCTTGCTGGAATCGTCCCAGTCAACGGCACTGAAATGATGCCAGCCGTACTTCATGGAGCTGTACACATTGCCGCGACCGGGGAAATCAAAACCCACCCATCCCTCAATCACCTCCGGGGGTGAGATTTCGATATTTCGTGCTAGTTAGTGTCAGCCGACGATTGTTCCATCAAGATAATGATAAGAGAACTCGAAAAGAAAGAAAGGCGCTGAATCACCTTCAGGATCCACCTGGACGGCCTGGAATCTTTCCGTGCAGTCCGCGCCAGCCTTGTGGTTGAGAACAGCATCCCAGTAGACACCAATTCCGAGATTCTCAGCAAACGATGAAAAGGACTCCAGTTCCTCCCGAGGTCCCCATTTCGTAGCACGGGATCCCTTTTGCTCGAATTCTCCAAGATCATATAAGTCATAAATCTCGTATCCGGTGTCCGATGGTCTCATTGCCTTGCACCCTGGGGGGATCCACAGGTTGTCGACTCCGATATCCTTAAGATCTGGTAAGGCTTTTCGAAGGCGGCGCCAATGACCCTGGTCGTCTGGCACATACCACTCGAAGGCCTGCATCAAGAGAGTGTTGTCCGGGGCATCCCATGACGGTAATTTCTCTAGATTTTCTGCTTCTGTTTTGGGGAAGATGAAAGAAACAGGTCATTTGTTAGCATGAAGCGTATAGCAGTATGAGTGCCATGTTTAACGAACAGTAGACGAACCTTCAGGTAGCCTCTTCCTCGCATCGTCCTTCTTTCTTCCACCAAAACACCAGAAGAATACCATTTTGGGTAACACCAAATAGCAGATGAAGACCTCTGAAATGGACAAGATGAGATCAACGACTGCTAGAGTTTACTTATATAGTGAAGTATTCGGTACAGTGCTGTATGTTGACAAATTGTGAGACAAAACAAGTGGAAATGACGAGCATATATAGATAGTAGCGCTCGTATTGTCTATAACACCAGCCAGAAGCCGAATAGTGAAGATCAAACGCCAGAAGCTTATTTTATTAGAGATTTATCGAATATTGGGTTCGACCAGGTCGTCAAAAACGAATGTGTTAAATTGACAATGGCGCCCAGGCCCTTGCGCTTGCCGAAGGTCTGATATGCGACAATCCGTCTATTGTTGAAATCATTAGCGGCAGATTTCACGAAGATCGTTTCAGGGATAATAATAAAAATAAAAATAGCCTACTCAGCAGCTGAAACTGAAATTTGGCCAATCGAGACCTCCTGTGGAACGCTAACTCTATCACAACCGGACCAGTCTATCCAAAGATGCCGTGTAAAACATGCAGGGGATTGTCAGGTACAGCCGAGATTGAGAACACAGACTGGGAGGTCCAGGAACCTCATTGAGTAAGTTCTTTGTCGTCCTTCTGCTTGCTTAACGCAGAGAAGAGACTTTGTCTCCGTGACGATAAAACTTCGGATTCAGCTGTCCTCTGTCGGAGACTTCTCGATGTGGTGTCTAGGCTTGAAGCTTTGGAGAGTAATTAACTAATTCGGTGTTCTGAAGAGATACAAACCCGTCGAACCCGTGCATTTATGTATAATGCTATGCATTTCATAATGTTGATTACTAATGTATATGATACACGTGATTTTGTGATCCACTCGGCGTACGAGAATACCCGAATCGGCACTGAAGGCCGAGCAGCGCTAGATTGCAACCCCCAACGACGAACAAGAAAGCGCGCAAATACTACAGATACTTATTAATTATATGCAATGCGATAATGAAGCCAAGTGAATGCCGAAACAGCACCAAGTGCCGAGTATTCGCGATTAGTTAATACTCCGTACGGAGTAAAACGTGTACGATGGCAAGCGGTGGTTGGCGTGGAGATCGGAGGGCGACGGCTGTTAACGCCGGACGCGTGATTGGCGGCGAAAAGTTTTCGGGCCCGCGCCAAAAACAGTGTCTTTCTCTCCCCTTGCAACCGTCGCTCTCTTCCTCTCTTCCTCTCCTCCAGCGCTGTGGAAAAGCCTCAATTCCTGTGCCCTTTCCCGTATACCCTCGCACTCTCCTCTCCTTTCTTTTTGTCCCGTTTGTCCTTGTTCTCCTGTCGGTAATTGTAAATTTCCTTTTCTTTTTAGAAGCACATTTCATTCATAATGGCTGCCACGGCCAAACCTGCGGCCTCTGGGTCCACCACCGAACTCAGCGGTCTCCAGCTCTACTCCAGATTCGCTTTCGCTGGTGCCGTCTGCTGTTCCATCACTCACGGTGCCCTCACCCCTGTCGATGTGTAAGTCGAATCCTTTCGTCCGGCATTTTCCTTCCACCACTCAACTCTTTTCCTAACACCCTTCCTCTTCTAGCGTCAAGACCAGGATCCAGCTTGATCCCGTCACCTACAACCGTGGTCTGTTTGGTGGCTTCAAGCAGGTCATTGCCAACGAGGGTGCTGGCGCTCTCCTCACCGGTTTCGGCCCCACTGCCGCCGGTTACTTCCTCCAAGGTGCCTTCAAGTTCGGTGGCTACGAGTTGTTCAAGCAGCAGTTCATCAACCAGCTTGGCTACGAGACCGCCAGCAACAACCGTACCGCTGTCTACCTCGCCTCGTCTGCCTTCGCTGAATTCTTCGCTGATATTGCTCTCTGCCCTCTCGAGGCCACCCGTATCCGTCTTGTCTCCCAGCCTACCTTCGCTTCCGGTCTGTTGAGCGGTTTCGGCAAGATCCTTAAGAATGAGGGTGTTGGCGCTTTCTACTCTGGTTTCGGTCCCATCCTCTTCAAGCAGTAAGTTATTCTGCCAGTATCCCCCGGCCTATCCACGGCTAACATAGTCTTCCTACAGGGTTCCCTACACCATGGCCAAGTTCGTCGTCTACGAGAATGTCGCAGAACTCATCTACCGCAGCATTGACAAGAACACTGCCTCCGATGGCACCAAGACCGCTGTTAACCTCGGATCTGGTCTTATTGCCGGTTTCGCCGCTGCCCTTGTCTCTCAGCCCGCTGACACCATGCTGAGCAAGATCAACAAGACCCCTGGTCTCCCCGGCGAGAGCACCACTAGCCGTCTCATCAAGATCGGCAAGGAGCTCGGCATCCGTGGCAGCTACGCTGGTATTGGCGCCCGTCTGTTCATGGTCGGAACCCTCACTGCCGGCCAGTTTGCCATCTACGGCGATATTAAGCGTCTCCTTGGTGCCACCGGTGGTGTTGAGATCTCCAAATAGACGTGTTCAAGAGTTGGGTGTTTCTTTTTTGTTTCGGATTAGCGGATGTCGCATATGGCGCCAAGCCTATTCCGGAATCGGACCTAACACGGGTCCGCCCACGTGACAATTGGCATTATTAGCTCTGTGGTTGTCATGGAGGAATTCGAAATGCTCCTCGTACCCATGGTATAGAAAGGGTATGTGGTTTGTAAATTAGAGCTAATAGATGATTGATGCATTCTGGTTATAGAATTATTTGTTGGTTTTTAATCCATTTGGGTAGATCTGCGTCCACGATAACTCTCTTTACATAAGGATATGTAGAGTTCACCGATAGGGTGAGCAGTGTCCTTCCATTCAATTCATATTGGAACAGATTTTGTCTTTCTATGATGGGGGGGTCTAGCAAGATATCAACATTGCTTCCCATTATTGGTATTCCTTTACAGATATCTGTGACAAGAACGGATTTTTTCTACTTGAAGGTGTTGAAAACGCATCAAATATCTGCTACTCTATAAATGATTTATATCAGAGACTAGTGTTAACTAATGCTTCAGCCAAGTCTGTCATTAGAATGAGAATGCTTTAGCAAAGATAGAAGGGAAAGATACTTACATAGGTTTCTTTGAGAGTCGGGTTTCCGGGCTTTCTGCTACAGTTTTGCGTCTTTGGGGTGGCATGACGCCAATAATGTTGTTGAGACCAGCTGATAGAGAAGAATCATAAGAGTATCAAGCAAGCTGTAAATGAAGAGCCATGAGAATATGGGCACAAGGCCACCCCTCCGTGACCAACTTGGCAGGATATTTGATATGAATGACTTGCAGACCGAAAGCGTCGATAGTGGTAGGGAGAGGGAGAAAAATAGAGGAGTGGGAGGAGGTTCTTGAAACATGAGACCTCGAAGGCCAGTCAGTGTCAGTGAGTCTAAAACACAGCAGTAACCTTTGTCAAGCTCCGTGGCTGGTTTAGCAGAGCTCATCTCAGCATCCTCCCGTTATCTTCACTCCTCTCCCAGAACGGTCAGTTGTCTGAACACGGTAGCAAATTATTCCAGTGGGTTAGAAAATATTCAAGACAGAAGGGGAAAAAAATCTTGAAATAAACAAATACCTTCTCATGCGGCAGTATGGGGGGGGAGGGAGACCCAAAAATAGAAAAAAAGGTGAATCGATTATTCGACACCTGTGAGATTCGAACTCACGCCCCCGAAGGGACAGATTCACTATATTCCCAGACGGGAACCAATAGCAGACCTGCGCCTTAACCACTCGGCCAAAGTGTCCGTCAACTTATAATTATGATTTCTGAACATTGTTTAATAACAAAGCGGTAGGATAGGTCTTAATTGACATCGAAATGCTCTGCAATCTCATCCTACTCCACAACATACAAGTGAGGCCGTTTATTTGTATCTAAGCCATGATCGAAGGAAGCGGACGTTATTCGGAAATAATTTTCCATGGACTGTATCGGCCTTGCAAACGGAGTTTTGGCCTAAATATCAGCAGGCTTGACAGATACCCTGGGAGCAAATAACGCACTAGCTAAATTTCTGGGACTTGAGCAGCTTAGTTTCCAGCTTCAACCCTATTTTCGTAGATTCCTAGTAGAATGAATGTTCATATCTACTCAATGATGCAGATGCAGTCGGAGGACATTGATGTGGGAAAGGGAAAAGCATTCTGTGGATGCAGCAATGACTCGGTACAGTTTCGACAAGCATAAGAAGGTCTTGAAAGTCACGAGAAGACAGAGAAATGAAAGAACATGCAACAAGGAACAAAGCAGAAGACCGCCAACTTTTTTGAAGTGCGCTTCTTTTAAAAAAAAACGATATGCGAAATAAATGGTAGATCAGACAGCCGCCCATTTTGTTGTCTCCCATAAGCAATGGACAGATTGAAATAACCCGAAGACACGAAAAACACGAAAACAAGAAAGGTCAAACCAAGGTCTTCTCCCTCACCTCAGCCTCCTCCCTAGTCCTCTTCTCGCAAAATTCTAACATCTTTCTCCCCCAGATATCCTTCCCCTTGTACTCGCCCACAAAGTGAGGCCAGCTCTTAACTTCCTTGGCTAGATTCTGCAGTTCCTGCAACGGCAGCTCGTCGAGCGGAGTTAGGAAGGTCCTGACGCCAAACAGAATTGTGCCTGTGCGGGGGAGTCTGCGGAAGGTCTGTCTCTCGCGACGGATCATGATGTTCTGCGGCGTCGGCTCCCCGTCTACCTCGAAGAGTGATGTGGGCCGGTAGAGGGTGTCGAGGAGGTTTTCGTTGGGTCTTTTTACCTCGACGAAGTAGTTGGAGCGTTCCATGGGGGAGGATGGGGTTAGACGGCAGAAGAATCTTTTCCAGTTAATTCCGTCTATTTTTTCTTTTTTTTAAAAAAAAAGAGCTCGAGGTTAACTCACTTGCAGACAGAGTTGCCGACCTGTTGTTGCCACAATGGCACCGGTCCGTGAAGTTGGGTAATTGTCCATCCAATTCGTTGCTGAACTGTCCATCCTACCGGGAATAGACTTGCGCTGGCGGCCCTGGTCGAGAAATTGTCGGTTGGTCTTCTCTTAATGTTTTACTGTCGTTGGGTGTGGGTGGTAGGTTCTCTCCTCTTCTTTCTCTTGCTCCTTTTTGAACTTCTTCATCATACTTACAGGTAATACTCTTCGTCGTCATTCTTCATCAGGATGCTCAGATCCTCCATTGTGAGTCGTACAGCGATCTCAAGCGGATCGAGTTGGGCGGACCCGTCGTCACCACCGTAAGCGAATATTTCCCCGGTCATCTTGTTGTGCACGGTTTTGGTCTTCCCATTGCTCTCCTTCTTGAACATGTTCGGGTACCGGTGACAGAGGAACTCAACGACCTCTTCCAGCGCCTCGAGACACGCCTCGTACGATTCCGGAAGGCATTGGAGTACTTGGCCCTTCTTCTCCTCGAGCAATTGGGTTCTGACCTTGTGTTCGTCCGGATATTTACCATCGACGGTCAGCCAGTTCTGCTCGTCCAGTCTGCGGATATCCATCATCACACGGTATCGTTCCCGGCCCTTGATGGGCTGTGCGGGATACGCTGCCATGCACTTGGGGTCATTGTCCTGCTGTTGCCGTTGTGGACAGGGATTTGCGAACCGCAAGCCCACGACGAGAAGGACGGCGACGAAGGGGATGAGGAATGCCAACAAGACGGTCATTATGGGTTATTTTATTCAATTTTTTTTTCTTGAAAAGATATTTTCTCGCTCTTTCCCATCCAACGACACACCATGCACCGCACCACAACACCGCATATCCATACCCATCTACCGGGGCATGGGACCTCAATTATACCTACGGCCCGGAGACAAACAAGGTCTTTTTTCCCCTTCCTTTCAGATCAGACGATTACAATCCGTGCATCCACATGCCTGTTTCAGAAGGCAGTCGGAGAGAGGTAGCAACAGTACTTTTCTCTGATACGCTGCACTCGCAGGTTTCTTCCCCGCAAAAGAAAAAAAAGCCGCAGAGACCGGGCTGGAAGGTGAGGAGCCAATACTGACTGACAATAATAATACTAATAATAATACTAATAATAATAACAATAATACCACATGATCTGGGAAATACAGTTAATTAATCCTGAGCAGTGGAGCTGCTCGTCCCTTCGGCAGTCGATGGTATTTCGTCAAATGCGCGGGTAGCGCACAGCCATTCTTTTCTCTGAGGCATCCATTCAATCCATTCGTTCTCCGAATCGACAGCTCCAGTTTACATGGTTACTACACGCCGACTTTCTCTACGCTGGACACGGCACGCCGAATAAGTCATCACCAGCATCACCGGAGCTCCGCCTCCCTCGTATAATCTCCGCGGCAACGTCATTGGGCTTGAGGTCTCGTGAGGAGTACATACAGACCGGTTCCTCAACCAACTGAAAAAGAAAAGCAAAAACCAAAAAAAGGCCAGCCTTACAGTTCAGTTCCTGTTGTTCCGTTTCGAAGTCGGTCTTGACAGACACTGAACATGGAACATGGAACCCAGCACAGGATCAACGGACGAGCCTCCGAATCCGAGCTCAGGCTCAGGTTACATCCATTCTTGTTTCTGTTTCTTCTCCGTGATCTACGAATTTACTTACTCTGTGGTACTTCGTACCGTGTATGAGATAAGGGTGCACACGCACGTACCTTCCATACCTACCTACTCCGCCGTACTGCTAAGATCGCCGCAGACGTGGCTGCATAAGTGCTTTTTCCAGAGCAAGAGGATGGCTCAGGTTCCTGGCCTAGCCAGCAACTAGCATTACTTTTCTCCTTCAGGACGAACGGCAATGGATGGCGTTAGGTAAAAAAATCAGCCATACAGCATCGCGTACAGAGTGATGCATGGTCATGCTCTATTCTCAGTTAAATATTCCGTAAAATATCCTCAATAGTAATTACAATAATAATAACACTAGTAGTGGTCATGGTTAATGTGCGTCATACCGCCTCTATGACCTAATAACCTCTCGCCTTGAAAGCCGAAAAGGTGCAAAACAACAGGCTCTCCCTCGCCGGCCGAATTAGGGCTAAGATATATTTTTAAAACGGGTGGGGTTTTCCATTTCTTTTCATCCGCTTTTCTAGAAAGCGCGCTTGCCGCTTTAATTCTACATCATATATCCATAATATTAGGTCAGTACTACTGTAATATGACCCATGGAACCATATAAGCGCTAGTTTCATGGACTGCGATCTAGGTGGTGTTATTGGGTACCTCCTTGGAAGTATCTGGTTTTCTTACCATGGTTCTGATGTCTGGGATTTCTCTATATCTATTTACCTAGTATCTAGGAGGTAGTGTCTGGAGGTAGTGTCTAGTATTTACCGTGGAATCCGGATGCAATTGTCTCCACTGTGTCTAGTGTCCAGAGTATCGGAGTCCTCTGCTACATTCATAGATGGATCATGAATCTATCATGAGTTGCAGACCTGCAGACAATGACGCAGTGTCTCATTTAATCGACACCGCTCAGCTGTCACGGACCAGATCTTTAGAAACTAAAGTAATAGTGGCCTGTGCCATCTGCAGCCATGGTCTAGCAGTCTACACCGTACCGGAAGTGCCATGTCCATGCGGAGCTGAGCTGTCTGTATGACTGCAGACTTTCTCCACGTCCTGGTGGGATGAAGAGTGGGGGTTGACCGGTGGGATGCATTACTTCGTGATCACAGAATGAAGAAGATCCAGTGCTAAGTAGAAAGAAAACTATATGACGACAGTGGCTGTGCTGGTGTTCGAGAACTGCCTGAGCGTTTTGGCACTTGGACTTCTGAAGGTGAATTGAATTGAATTGAACTGCTGTGTATGATCACAGTGTGTCAAGAACCCTATGCTATGAGCAGTGCTAATAATAACCAAAAGAACAAGTAGAAACCACCGCTGAGAATACTGGCGCATCTATATCTTTGAACGAGGTTCGTCCTGACTCAATCGTATAACTCCCTGTCATCATCAGCAAAGGCACACACACAAACACAGAGACAGAGAGAGAGATGCAGTGACATGAACATACCTCCTGCGTACACGTCGCAATCAACGTCCCATCCCTAGACCAGATCTTCTGGAACACCAAACCCCTCCCCTCCCCAGCCCATGGACTCTCCATCTCCGTCAACATCCACTCATCCGCCCGGAACGCAAGCGGGTTGTGAAAGTAAATCGAATGATCCAAGCTGACCACCATGCTAGGCGCCGTCTTATGCTGTTTCTCCAACTCCGTCGCTCGGACCAACTCCCACTCCAGCCGGCTTTGGAGATCGCTGATGCTTTCCTCGCCCATCTGGCCCAATGCCCGGGAGACGGGATCGTTACCATCGAGTTCTACTCCGTCCAGCACCTGGAGCATGGCCTTGAGACGAGCCGGTGAGTTGAAGGGTAGGCCGTGGATCGTGTTCACAGTCCCGATGAAGAAGCTATCCGATGCGTAGGCTACGGCCGATAGATGCGCTTCGTGGCCGCCTGCTTCGGAAATCCTGCCTCGTGCGCGGAGGAAGCGTCGGACCTTTTTGTCTTCTGGTCGGGGGGAATCGCCTGCAGAAGATTGCCATCCGTTATTATCAAACAAGCCAACAGGGGGGGCAAGAAGCATACGATTGGAAATCCCCGCAACCCGCGACTCAAAAGGCCCACCACCAGCTACCTCGATCCGTGCCTTGTGCCCCGTCCCAGACGGCAGTTCATCGGGAGAAGGAATGGCCGGTTTTGGCGTCGCATGTTCCACCTTCCTCTTTCCCCCGCTATTCACCTTACTGAAACTCAACGTCGTCGTGAAGATGGGCCGCCCTCGTTGTCGCGCTTGCACCGTGCGCGTTATGAAGCTTCGTCCATCACGTACCCGTTCCACGTGGTAGATGACCGGGATCTCTGAGTCTCCCGCTAATACGAAGTAGCAGTGCATGCTGTGAACGGCGAAGTCGCGCGGGACCGTCCGCATGGCTGCCGAGAGGGACTGGGCGATTGCTGCGCCGCCAAAGATTCCTCGCGCACCAGGAGGGTGCCAGAGGGGACGGGTATTCGTGAAGACATCCTGTCAGGTATGCATATGTGTTAGCGAGAACAAGATGGAAAAAAGCAATACAAGTATTTCGAATAGACAAGATATACCGGCCCAACATCAACAACGGGCGTTAACTCCAGCACGTTTTCGATCGGAGCCTTGGACTCGTCCAGGGGCGGGGGCTCGAAGAGAGTCGGCATGACGCCAGCGGTGGTTTCGCCTTTCTCAGCACAACAAGTTCGGAAAAATGCCTTGGATAGGTACTGCAGATAATAAGGTCTGCACGCGAACACATGGATTAATTATGATAGGCGCGGGCCCTTTTGGATATTAATTAACTAATCAGTCACTTCTGAGAGGCAGACAGACAGCCTGGCCCGACTGGGAAATAGCCGAGGTCCAGAACTGCGGCGCCTCCTATGATTATTCCGGATATACAGCTAGTAGGACAACTGCAACCATTAGACACTAGATATTTAGAAATTAGGATGGATTGACACCTCGGCTGTAGTAATCAACGTATTTCCTTCCTTCCGTATTCATTACAGAACTGTCATGTCATGAGAAAGAAAGAATCCTGTGCAGACCGAAGAGATCTCCGTGCCTCTTTAGCCATACATAGTTTGGCCCGCTCAACATTCCCTTGGCACGACCATGTTCCTGTTTTAATAAGAGAAAAAAGGATAATTTTAAAAAATAAAAAAAAAAAAAATAAAAAAAAAAATAAAAAGAGAAAATAAAATATACATAGATAGCACGACACCTGTGAGATTCGAACTCACGCCCCCGAAGGGACAGATTCGCTATTCCCTAACCGGAAATATTGCTAGCTGAAAGCCGGCACATAAATAGCAGACCTGCGCCTTAACCACTCGGCCAAAGTGTCTTCAATCAGACTAGTTTTCATATCGTCCTCGTTGACCAACTAATATTGTTACTTACAGGAAGACTAATGAATAACAGACCAAAAATACAAAAAGTGAATCGACACCTGTGAGATTCGAACTCACGCCCCCGAAGGGACAGATTCACTATATTCCCGGATGGGAACCGATAGCAGACCTGCGCCTTAACCACTCGGCCAAAGTGTCTTGGTTGACGAGAATTAACTAAGTACGAAATTTATCAGTAAATTCGCGATTGTGACTCTTTACGCACTTTCTCTCCCTGTGGACCCAAAAATTCATAGGTTGGGAGGGCCTAAGGAAACTACTTCTTTTATCAACATACCGTACACCCGCTTTTGCAGTAAAGTGACAGTACCCAGACAGGAGAATTCAATGCCAGCTGACAAGAACTAGTATACATGGGTACGTATACTGGATAGTCATTTTCACAAGGAAAGTCTACTACAAACAATAGTGGTCAGTCCACTTTGCAGGAGACTAAAAGGAGTTCATTGTAAGCAGAGAAATGGTATATATATGCCTCAGGCCCTATGGAACCCCAACGCAAAGCAAATAGTAACAGTAAATAACAGACATTTCAATAGGCCATAAAAATCCTATCAACGGAAACTGATGGAAAATGCAGACAAAAGGTATCTAGGTCAGTGAAAAAAAAAAAAAAAAACATTAGGATCATTAAACACCAAGGCTTTGCAGTGTCTCCGAGCCTGGCAAAGAATGAATATTTGGCTTGCAGAGAATCATCTCATCAATCGGTCAATCAGCATCAAAGGAAGTTATGGCTCCAGCAGAACTTCTTAGAGGAGCAAGAATGCCCATGTTGGGTCAAAACATCAGATCAGAGGATATTTGCCACTTCCATCCTATTCCGATAACACCATCCTCTCCGCTGTCCATGTCTTGGTGCAAGGATCAAACAGTGTAGACAAGGTCATCCAAAGTCATTGAACGTCGTTTGTGATATATAAGAGTGAGCAGACGAGATGTGTCCAAGATCATAGCTCGTAGTTCACTTCTTTTGCCCTAAAGAGAGAATGGATATTCTTCTATTTTTCAAAAACGCCCACAAGAGTAGACTTTGCTCTACCGAAATCTGGCCCTACAGCGGCCCATAACCTCGCCCTGGCAGACCAATATAGCACTGAACTCGCTCCCATCGAGAGTGAGGTAGATGTCAAAGTACACTCGGTAAAAAGTGCCATTTGGAGTGTCCATGCGCTCAAAGTCGGTTTCGAGATTCTTGCGGGAAAGATCTGACGTGAGTGTAACTACTTCTTTGATACCTGTAATAAGAAAATGCCAATCAGAATCATCGTACTGGAATAGAGTGATTGTCAAAAAAATAAAAAATTAAAAGGCGATGAAAGGCTTACGTGGATCTTTGGTGTATTCCGGACAGACATCTTCATCGCAAGCATAGATCACATCCTCATACATAAGAGTCGCTCCCGGTGCGACCTGACGGAAAAAGCTGACTTTGACAGGTTCCCCAATCTTCATTCGTTCACCCTTCTGCACGAAAATCTGTCTCGTGTACTTACACCGATCCCTACCGTCCAAACTGGGAACACGGTACTGTTCTGGGTGATAGCCTTCTTTGAAAGGCTGCAAAGTTGCCATGAGGTAGTGTCGGCGGGCAACACGATGGGTGATCACTGTTTCTGTGATACCCGCGGTAACGGCGCCTCTGACGATAGCCGCGACTGAATCCATGGGTCGAACAACCTTGGATTGGTACTGGGGTGGCACGTGGAGCTTAATTTGCTGGAACAGGTACTCGGACGCACCAAAACCGCCCACCACAAGTACATTCTATACTCTGTTAGAGAGAGAGAGAGAGAGAGAGAGAGAGAGAGAGAGAGAAAGGGGGTGGGGGATGAATAGCCAAATATACCTGAAGGGATCCATTCTGTGCTTGAATAGCTATAATCTGATTACGCACCAGTTCCAAAATTCGGTTAACCACGGGCTCGAAGCATTGTAAGATTTCCTCATTGGTGAATGTCATATAGCCTTCTTCGATATTGGCTTCGGGGAAGTCCGACTCGATACCAAGGTCGACGGCCCATTTTTGTCCATTATTGCGGAAATCGGCCTTAATTCTGTTTTCGAAGTCCATGATACACTTAGCGTATACCCTACCGGCAGTCTTCGAGCCATCGGGCAACTTCATCTTGCGAATTTTTGCTCGAAGGATATTGCTGAAGTTTCTGTTGAGAGCTGTCGAACCGCATGAGTCGCCGGAACCGGCAGTACACTCGGTCACGGTGAAAGGCTGTTCCTCTTCGACCTCATAGGCGATCAGATCCACAGTCCCACCGCCACAGTCGACAATCAAGATAGCGTCACCGGTCTTCAAGTTCAACAATCCTGTCTTAGAGCAGAATAGAGCAGCAGCTTCGGGTTCCGAAACCAGAGTGAGACGGTTGTCGTTTTCGTCACGTAGGAAGCCAGCTTGGATGGCAGCCGCACGTGTCGCTGCCTTGCCCGCATCGTTCCAGATGGCAGGAACAGTAAGATAGTATTTGATATTGCGTTCTTCTCTCGTAAATACCTCGCCCAGTATCTTTTGGAGCTGAGCCTGCGTGGCCTGGCGCAATTTGAAGAGGTAATCTGCAGCTACGTCGATTTCCGACTTTCCAGGAGGGAGTGGAGGCAGGTTGATCGGGTCGATGTAGCTGTTTCCAGAGAGCATAAGCTGCAACTTGAACCACTCGACTTTCTGCACCCCAAGCTTGGGGAAGCCCGTCGGAGCGAGGGCTTCGCTGATATCAGGACCCCAACCGACGACTTTCTGATACTGATCGTAGTACAAGACAGTGGGGATCTAGCCATAAAAGACGTTGTTAGACCCGGTAAAAGTATTAAGAGCGACAAGATTTCTCCAATTGGAGGACAATGTTACGAACCTTCTGCTTGGTATGAGTTCCCGCACCAGGCCATTCCGTGATAATATCCTCCCGGACTTCATTTTTAGTCGTAAAAGCAAATGCGACGCCCGAGAATGTCGTTCCGAAGTCAATACCGACGATTAATTGAGTCTTGCTGCGGCCATCCACTTCGACTGGAGAGTGAGGAGGCATGCTCCGCACGCTCGGAGGGATCGCCTGAGGCATATTAGTGGCCCCATATCCCGGGGGTGCGCCTAAGGGGACTGTCGGTTGTGTATACTGAAGGGTGTTATTCGGGGCGGCTGGATAGTGAGTGAGCTGTTGCTGCTGTGGTTGAACCTGCTGGATAGGGCGCCCAACACCCTGATTGTATGGATAATTGGGCGGCCGGCCTACAGGATTCTGCGGGTTCATGGGGAGGCTTGTTGTCGATGAATTCCGGACAGAAGGTATGGAAGAATTAGGCAACGCGCCGTTCGAGACGGACGGAGCGAGACGAACGGTCGATGAGCCGGAAGTGGGTGTGCTTGTCACACTAGAGTTCCTGTTGCGTCTCGTGCTAAAAGCGAGTTTCAACCGGGAGCTCATCGAGACCATAAGTGAGAAGGCAATCCGAGGAGAAGAGGGGGAAGGGGAGGGGAAGAGAGAGATGGATCAAAGACAAAAGAGTGACAAGGCTGCAGCAGTAGACAAAAAGAAAGTTAAAGTGAGGTATCAAAACGAGTGGAGTGAGGCTGTGTCGGCCCGAGTGACAGACGTTTCTCTGCCTAGGCTGACGGGTAAGCTGGGATCTCGCAATAAAGGGGAGGGAGATAAGCTTGGGCGAGAGAGAAGCTCGAGACGCGCTATAGAGACAAAGGGAGAGGATGCTCTTGAGGCTGGAGGGACGGCGGCTATTGATTGATAGATCGAACTGCTAGCAACTGTATGCAGGAGGTGCGGCGAGAGTCTGGCCGGAGGACGCGAGGAATGGTGAGAGGATGAGAAGAAACGAATGGCGGGAAGAGGATGGGAAGGAAAATAATAATAGCAGCCTGCGACATGCGAGTGACAGTGTCAGCTTTTAGGGAGATGAAGGTCGCTGGTTTAATCCATCGTCGGTCTTGGCTTGATTATCACAGAACGCAGAGCAGCATTAATCATCAAACGGGCAGGATCCGGGGGGGTTCACGCCAGTACGCAAAATTACACGCAGCTGCTTCTGGACTCGCCCAGAACAGGCTGTATGGTAGGTATCGCTAATGGATAGGCGCATGTATGGTCATATTACTAGGTAGGCCTGCCTGTGCCGTGAGATAGGTAGCGAGGGCGGTCTAGGACGGCAGTACCTCACGTGTACTAACAATCGCATGGTATCAGTCACATGATGTCACGGATATATATCACGTGATATGTTTGCACCAGTTGCAGTTCGCCATCCAGCATAGGTAGTCGTGAGCTCGGAATCGCAGCCGAAGAAGACGGGGGTGTTGGTATAGTTGTTTGTCACAAAGGTCTCCGCGATCGTCTGGCCGCACTCGGATCCGTCAACGAGGCTCAGCCAACGCTTGGATTCGCGATCATGAGTTGTGGTGTCCATCATGGGCAGCCCGAAGGAGTTCTCGTACACCGCGTAGGCATCTGCCAATATAAATGTAAGTTGCAAGTGATCATTCAGCCATTAGAAAACAGAGTTTAGGGGCTAATATAAGATCTAATTCTTATCTAATGTTCTGTCTAAAATATCCACCACACGCATCTATTTCGATCTGCTAATCGAGATAGTTGCCCAGCCATTCAGTAGGCGTGAAGGCAGAAACCGGTCCATTCCACGTCCCGAATTCAAAATGGGTGATATCATACATATACAGATTTCAGTGCCATCTTTTGTTTTTGAAGCCACGCCCAAAACCTACTATTGGTCGCTTGTCTTTGCCAAGCCGAGATAATCAAACATAGGATACATAGGACACATAGTGTCAATTGGCGGTCATCTCAGTTTCCTGGATTATGGGGAAGGGACACGATGGCTCTTAAACTTGCGAAACTGCATTAGGCAGCTCCATGGAAAGCGAACCGATTTTAGAAACCAGCGGAGTTTTGTTTGTTAATATCCAGTGGCATGTTTTTAGGTTGGTCCTTAGCCATCAGAATTACCAGAAAAGGAAATCCAGGGTTAGAATAAGCAAAGTCAAATATGACAAGCATTACGCCATGCCGAGGCTAAAAACACACGGGCCACTTCCTAGCCCTGTAGAGTAATTTCATAGCTGGGCCCCAATAGAAGTAGAGGGAATGGCTGCTTCGGGAATTGTCCGAGGAAAGGGTTGATGAAATCTGGTGAATCAGTTCCTGATGGGGAGGCAGGTTGGAGGGTAACCGAGATTGAGGCTTTGTTGCTACAAATAGCAATAATAATATAGATAAATGCAAATGATTTTATTTTTAGTCGTTAATCTTTCGCGCGACCCAGTGTGCCGGTCTGTAGAGGTTCTGCAGCATGCTCTCTGGGTCTTGAATATAGCCGCAGCTTGCCTGCTCGTCGTTCGGCCATTTCTCAATGCGGAAACCCATCCGTTCAACGAGAAGGAACACTTCTTCCTGAGTCAGCTCCACGCTTCCTGGTTCGCCCAGCCCTTGATGCTCATGGTTATGGCCGGTGTGGCCCTCCCCAAAGTGCCACAATAAGGGACCGACATTGATCCAAATGCCGTTGGGCTTGAGGCAATGGCGGATTGTTTCGATGTATCGGATAATGTTTGGAGCAGTGTCAATGAAGAAGACTGTTGCCACTGCGTCGAATGCTTCCTTGTTCGATTCATTGGTATACAGGACCATGAAGTCCGCTGCAGACATACTCATGGTTCCAAAGGGAGGACGTTCAGTATCCTCGGTGGCCTGTGCAGCCATCATTGCCTGCCCGGGATGTACGTCCGGTATCATGATCTTCTTCAACTGCTGTTGCCTTGAGCGCAGGTTGGAGAATTGCAAGGCGAATGGGTAAAGCGCATGTTTCTGCGGACCTAGTGTGTGGTTTAGAACCCAGTTGCTAGCTATCAGCTGGTGATATGATATTTCATTCCCCTCCGCTGCAAATCCCTCCCGGCAGATATCAAAGACTAAGCGTCCCAGGCCGGCTCCTGGGACCAGGACCTTCACCTGGTCTAAAGAGCCATGCCTGTTCGTGAACTCCTGCTTCAGATCCTGAAGAACAGGATCATAGCATACTTCTCTCTCTGGTCGCCCCTCACTGCTCCAGTCCCGATAGAATTGGCGGATGGTTGAGTGTGCCTTGTTCACATCTGAATGGGTTGCAGTCCCATGCCAGTTCTGCCGCGAATCATCCGCCTTTGGTTCCACAGGCAGGCCGAAGGACTGGAGTGCCGTTGCAAGAATGGCATCAGCAATCTCGGCATTTGTGTCAATAGCATCATCTACATGATTGAAGTTTTCCAAAAGAGAGAATGGGGCCGCCGCAAGCATCTGCGAGTGAGATGATGGGAGTGCATAGAATGCCTGCCGTCGTCGATGTGTGGTATTCATATGTGCCGTTCTTCGATACTGCCTGTTTCATGGCTTAGCTGGTGCAGGGCAAGCTGTAAATTGTAAATATGATACGTTGAGTGGGCAGTTGGCTTCAATGAGATCCCATTATCGCATAATTTCCAGATACAACAGAACAAAAGGACAAACATAACTGATAGCTAGCAACAGCGCTCTAGCAGCAGTAGCCAGACATGAGCACAGAGAACAAGACTCCACGCGTCAAATCCATAGCACAAGAATCGGAAAAGCTTTCTTCCTTTTCCTTACCTTCATTTCACAGAAAAGTAGGCAAATAGAAAAAAGAGACCGTATACGTACCTGAACGAATCCAACGTCGCAAAAAGGACCCTTCGCTCTTCCGGGTCCTCGAACGGGTTGAAGTCCCCTGCCCAGCTGCGCTCTTCCTCCGGGTCATCCATGTGGTGCTGGGTGTCAGATGCCATGCTGTCTTGACGGAGAAGAAGGATTTCCGGGCAATTGAGCTGCGACGCGCTGATCATGAAGATCTTGTCCACTGTCCAGTGGAAGTGCCATCATTTTAGCAGTCTTGGCAAATCATCCTTGTCGAATAGGGAATGCGTGATGGCAGAATTGCAAAGCGGTCTGACTTGTTTTCCTAATCGGGAAGTCTTGCTCATGTCTACGTCCTGATGAGAAAATGTAGAGATTTGGACTATTTATCTCCTTCATTTGATTTGCTATTTCAGAAATACCTACGGGAATATGAATTATTCTCATGAGATAAGCCAATATAAGCTTATGCTGCACCTCTTTGTTAAACATACTCTGTTAATACTCCATATAACCCCGCTAATTATCCTTCCTAATGCTCGAAATGCTATCATTTTCTGTCGAGCGTGAGCTGTATTTGAGACTGCCTTACAGATAATTACCACCTATCGTTGAAATCTCATGTGAATATAGCTAATTAGCCCACTTGCATATAGCTGCCAAAACCGTCGACCGTCCTCTGTCAATCAGATCATCCAGGCAAGGGGATGTGGCCCAGACGAATCTCTTCGCCTTGCTGGAAGAGACCAACCATATCACTATCAACCCTAAATGATAATGCCCCATTTATAAGCGGAAATTTAGGTTCGTCGATTCGGCCGTTTGGAATGTCCACCAACATGAATGTTGAGTTATACTGGACTGGTTGAATTGGTTCAGCCAATTGCTCCGGGGTTTCTGGGAGCCGAAGAGCACACTCATTTCACCTAAATAGCACCCCACCGTAGCTATTAGCTGTTGAGATTAGTGTTTGAAGGATGAACAGACAGGTATATTGAATTGAAAAAAAGTCTCATGGTAACAGTTTGCGTTGTATCTGGAGATGTTCCGGTTTGAAAGGCAATTCTTGGTCAACACCATAGCTCCCTATACTGGACGATATCTGTCAGTAACAGTCCGCAGAGAATACATCAGTGGGATCAAATACCTTAATCGGTTGGGAGCTGTTCATTTGCTTCTGCCATGTCCAGATCTCTTAGGCTGGACTTTTGATAAAATCGATCTAAGCAGGTTTTGTTGGTCTTTTTGGAACAGAGTCAATTTGATCCTTATAAAATGATACCCCATGAGAAAGCAAGTTTATGTGCTGCATTGGACTTGGGAGGAGGAGGAAAAAAAATCCCTGTATCTTGGAAGGACATTAGCCCATAACAGGGGAGGTATATAGAACTCACCTCTAATTTCTCTTCCCCCTCAACACTTCCTCCTTCAGTGCATTGTGTCGATACACCTGCAGAAATACAGATTTTATACATTCATCATTAGTCACATTAAAGAACAGAAATGCCCCATTGAAGTGGAACTTCATTGTCTTAAGTGAAGAACAAGAAACTCATTATGTCCTGTCCTAGTTGATGCCAGACTTACTGATCATCCAGGAGACACCGGTATCTCGTCGTGCGCAGAAGAGGTTTCTTGAAAGGGTTCAAGCTGCTCAACTGCCAACTAATCATGCTCATTGCGTGGAATTTTTGAAATAACTTCCTCATCTAGGCAGGCTGGCAAACGAGGCGCTGTCTGATGTATTGTTTCAGGTCGTCTTTGGCATGAGGCATGTAGAATTTTGTCTGTCATCGCGATCAATCAGCTTCATCCCCACACCATGGAAGTCTCTCTTGACGACGATCAAGGGGAAAGGAATTGGAGAATGTGAGAGATAAGCTACCAGTGTCGCGAACGTCCCCGGACAGCCAGCACACCTCCATAGGCCATTATACTCCCAGCGTGAATCAGTATACTGACCGTAGCAACGGTTGGAGTCTCTTGAATGTAATTCTCACAAAGGTAAAGTTGTGTATGAGTATTAGGGAGTGAAGACCTGACGCTGTAACTGGTGGGTCTGCTAGGGCAGCTGCTGCTTTGCCGTCAATGTTCTCGCTGCCATGTCAATTTACAAAAATAATCAACTGGGTCATCCATCTTCAAAATCCCAGGCCAAACGTATTTTGTATCTTCTTTGGGGGGTTTCTCAGGCTCCTCAGAAATGAATGAGGGAGAGCATATAAATGAGCTATAATTAGGCATTGAGGAAGGGGATATGATCTGATCTCCCCATATTCTGGAGCCGTGTATGATGAAGGGAGATAATGGAAGGGAAGGGCGAGAGGGAATGTCTACTTGAATCTACCACTGCCAGTGATATTAGCCTCACTGGCAAATACTCAAGAGCCTAGTATATTATGCTTTGCAAATAAATTCAGCTTTCATTCACTGATATCAAAGAAGAAGTGTATGCATCAGGAGACAAATGACCAGTAATTATTATAACCATCCAAATGGGCAAACATTAAATGAAATGCAATAACCACCCCAACCACCCGGCTAACGCACTAGCATGCTCAAGAAAAACATACAAACCAGAAAATCATAGCATCATCATCAGTCATCACTTTTGAAGACATGTTTACTCGTAGAGGTCCATGTCGCCATCTCCATCTTCTAACTCTGCCACTGCATCATCTTCGTCCATCATATCCTCGTCGCCATCTTCCGGCGGAAGTTCATGGTTAGGCAAGACGTCGATGCGACCATCGTGCATGACAACCTGAGCCACCTCGCCATCCCTGATGCTTCCACGAAGGATGAGGACGGCAAGCCGGTTGAGGACTTCCTTTTCGATGATCCGTCCCAGAGGACGTGCGCCGTATACAGGCGAGTAGCCAGACTCGCCTAGATAATCCTTGACTTCGTTGCTGCAGTCGATCTTGACGTTGCGGTCGTTCTGCTCCAGGCGTTTCTGGACTTCGGACAAGCGGAGGTCCACGATCTTCCGGATCTCTCTCCGGGTGAGCCGGTTGAAGATGACGATGCTCGAGATACGGTTCAGGAACTCGGGAAGGAAGTAATTCCGTAGGGCATTCATGACCAGTTCGCGAGTCTGGGGTTCGATCTTGCCGTCCTTGGTCGTTGGGCGGGCAAGGAATTCAGCTCCAAGGTTGGATGTCATCACGACAATGCAGTTCCTCGCGTCGACAATGCGGCCTTGGCCGTCCGTGATACGTCCGTCGTCCATGAGTTGCAGGAGGACCGTGAGGACTTCTTTGGCTGCCTTCTCAACTTCATCGAATAGCAGAATTGAGAAAGGACGGCGACGTAGATTCTCCGTGAGCTGACCACCAGCATCATGGCCAACATAACCAGGAGGTGCACCAATCATCCGACTCAGAGCGTGACGTTCTTGATATTCGGACATGTCGAACCGAATCATGGCCTTGGGATCATCGAAGAGAAATTCCGCGAGCGCTTTCGTCAGAAGAGTCTTACCAGTTCCAGAAGGTCCGCAAAACAGGAAGCTTGGAGGGGAGTTGGGATTGCCCAATCCAGACCGCTGCAGCCGGATGGCATTCGACACTGAAGTGACCGCCTCCTTCTGACCAACAACGACCTTACTCAACCATTTTTCCATGTTCAGGATCTTGTCTTTCTCGGTGGTCTTCAGCCGTGTGACTGGTATGCCTGTCCACCGGGCCACGATCTCGTTGATCTGATCGGGACCGACGGCATCCGCGAGGAGTGTTTCACCAGATTCTCCAGCGCGGGCGCGGCGTTCTGCATCCGCCCTCGCCCTATCCGCTTCGAGCTTCTCGATGAGCGCCCGGGTCTCGGGAATAGCATAGTATTCCAGGTCGGCAGCGGTCTGAGTATCGCCCATACGTTCGGCTTCATCTCTCTTGACCTTGAGAGAGTCGAGCTTGATCTTGGCATCTTGAATTTCCTTGCTCCGTTTCTTCTCGCTCTCATACTTTTCACGCATGGGCCGTAGTTCTTCATTGACATTGGCTGCTTCCTGTTTGGCCGCCTCCAAACGAGCCTTGGAGGCGTCATCCTTTTCGCGCTCCAGTGCGTGAATTTCGATCTGGAGCTGACGTAACCTTCTTTGAAGGTTATCAAGCGCTTCTGGTTCTGACTCGCGCGTGACTCTGACGGCCGCTGCAGCTTCATCGACGAGATCGACAGCCGAATCGGGCAATCGACGAGCGGTGAGATAACGAGCGGCAAGGGTCGCAGCTGCGACAATGGCACCATCCAGGATGTTGACACCGTGGTGCACCTCATACTTATCCTTAAGACCACGGAGAATAGAGATAGTCTCCTGGACGGACGGTTCTTTGACCAAGACCTGCTGGAATCGTCGTTCGAAGGCCTGGTCCTTTTCGATGTATTTCCGATATTCACCCAGGGTTGTAGCACCAATGCAGTGTAGTTGGCCTCGAGCCAACATGGGCTTCAACAAGTTGGCGGCATCCATGCCACCCTCACCACTGGCGCCAGCGCCCATAAGAAGGTGAATTTCGTCAACGAATAGGACGATCATCTGATCGGCGTCCTCAATCTCCTTCAGGACGCCCTTCATTCTTTCTTCGAATTCACCCCGGTACTTGCTTCCGGCGACCAAAGAGCCGACATCGAGAGAAAGCAACCGGCACTGAGCAAGGTTGGCTGGAACATCGGCATCCACGATACGGCGAGCCAGACCCTCGACAATTGTTGTCTTTCCAACACCGGGCTCACCAATGAGAACAGGGTTGTTTTTGGTCCGACGGCTGAGAATACGAATGACACGTCTGATCTCCTCCTCACGACCGATAACCGGGTCGATCTTTCCTTCTCGGGCCAAAGCAGTCATGTCAATGGTGAATTTCTTCAGATTCTCGGTTTCCGACTCCGCATCGGCGGTCTTGGAATCGACCCGTCGTGTGCCCCGGATTTGTTGGACGGCGTTGTCGATGAGTTTGACATTAGGGATGTTGGCTTCGCTTAGAGCCTTCTGGATCTGAGAGTCTTGGACAACGGACTGGATCAAATGGTCGATAGCGACGAAACTGTCTTTTTGTGTCTTGGATAGCTCAACGGCGGAACGAAGCACCTTGGCCAATGGGGGAGACACAGAAACACTCTCTGGAGGCGGATCCTGGCTAGGAAGCCGGACGAGAGTCTTCATGAGCGCACGCTCCAGTAGCTGGGCGTCGCCATGTGCTCGCTCAATGACTTGTCGGAAGAGAGGTGCTGCAGAGGCATCGTGGGAGGGATGAATACCAGACGCCTGCTGATCCTGAGACTCATCTGGAGGAGGATTGAGGAGGGAGACAGCAAGGTGAACGGGGTATAACTGGGAGTGGGAGTATTGTTCGGCAAGGTTGCTGGCATCCAGCAATGCCTTGTTAGCTCTATCTGTAAATTGAGCTCCGTTCATGGTGTATTAGGTTTCAGAATATAAGGTATAAGATCATGAAGATGTGTGGTGAGAGAGAAGAGAAAAGCCAAAGCAAGAGCGAACCAAGGACGAATATATACCCAACCGTGTCTTCGCAGCGAAAGGCCTCAAAATGGCCAGATGCGGCAGGCTGCTTCCACCGCCTTCTGGAATCTGCTTCTGCCAGTCACGTGACATCAGACCACCAGTAAATGACGTCATGTGACAAGCCGGTTTTGGCAGGTCGATGACGTTTGCAGCTCGCATAGGGCCGATGATGATACACTAGAAAAAGACACGGACAGAGCCATAGCTGCTGTGGGGGCTATTTATGGGGATATTTATGTGAAGATGAGAATGGACAGAGAAAGGATGCAAGAAGCTAATTTACCTAAGAAAACGGCCCGTTGATTGACTGCTTTAGGCAGTGGCCTGTGCCTGGCTGCCTGGGGCCACTACGCGGTGGGGGATCGCTGCCCTGGAAAGATTCAGCTCATACTGCGATTCCTACTATTAATAATGATTGTAGTAATAGAATAAACATGGACGACATTGCCTGCAGATGCTAACGGCGGCTATCGAAAGGCAAATTAGGTAACTGCCGAAGTATGCAGAGCACTCGCGGCCATGGCTGTGTCTTGTTTCGCCTCTGGTTCCTGACGCTCAAACTTTCCCCTTTATAAGGGCCCCTCGCTGTTTTTCTTGCCTAGATTTCTCCCGAGATCCATATACGTTTGTTAGTCTGTCTCAAACCTGTCTGTTGCTCAACGGACGCGCTCAAGTCTGCTGTATTCTGTACTCATTCTTCTCCCTCTTCCCCTCCATCATGTCCGACAAACCTATTTTCGTCGCAACCCACCCCAGAGCTTGCTCGACGGCCTTTGAAAGGGTAAGTTAAGCGGGCTTGCTACGTTGCGTTGCACTTCCGGATTCATGCTGACATGGATATGGACTGCACCCGGAAGGTCTTTATGACTCGTCGAGAAACCATTCAATGCGTCCATGAGCCCTTCGGAGACGCCTTCTACTACGGACCAGAACGTCTCAGTGCTAGATTCGCAGGTGATGAAAAGGCCCGCATCGATAGTGGCTTCAGCCAGTCGACATTCAAGACCATCATCGATCGACTGGATCGTGAATCTTCCGAGGTGTGATTATCTCCTTCTGTATCATCGACTGTACTTTGTCACCGTGTAACATAGTGGTGACCTTGTTCCCATCGCCCTATCATGGAGAGAGTGAGAAGAAAGAGATGTTCCTTGCGGAAATTGATTTGACTTGTATAGCTGAACGGGAGCTTACCTCGACCAACAGGGAAAGAGAGTCTTTATTAAGGACATCCTGCATTATCTCTTCCCCCCGAACGGGAAGCCTGCCAGCATCGCCCCCTCTCTGCAGAGAGTCAAACGCGGCGTCGGCACTCCCCCCAATGGAAGGAATGCGTCGTCGTCAACTGGTAACAATGACGACGATGCCGTGGAAGCTCATCAGAACGGCATCCACACTAAAGGGGAACCCTATCCGTACCCAACGGACCCAGAACCGGGCAATCCCACCGTAATACCCTACGAGATCCTCTCCCGATTCCATTTCGCCTTCCTCATTCGTGATCCCCATCTCAGCATCCCCTCGTACTACCGCTGCACGATCCCCCCGCTGGACAAGGTGACGGGGTTCCACAACTACGACCCCTCTGAAGCAGGGTACGACGAGCTGCGTCGGGGATTCGATTATCTGCGCACAGCTCACCTGGTCGGACCTCGCATCGCAACGCGCGACGATGACACAGTCACGCACAGATACGACTCCGGGATCGAGATCTGCGTCATCGACGCGGATGACATGCTTCACAAGCCGGCAGAAACGATTGAGGCATTTTGTCGCAGCGTCGGCTTTGAATATACCCCTGATATGCTCAAGTGGGATACCGAGGAAGACTACCGGTATGCCAAAGAGACATTTGAGAAATGGAGAGGTTTCCACAACGACGCCATTGAGTCCAAAGGACTAGTGGCGAGAGAAGGGGTAGGTTGCACCAATTTTAGGGCGAAAAAAGGAAAATTTGACAAAGAGACTAAGACAATAATAAATTTCTCTCACAGAAACGCCATACCAAAACCGAAGAAGAATACGATGCCGAGTGGCGTCAGAAATACGGCGACAAGGGCGCCGCCATCATCCGCAAGGCCGTCGATCAGAACATGGTGGATTATCTGTATTTGAAGAAATTCGCCCTCCAGGTTTAATAATCTGGATTTAGTTCTAATCTCTCGCGGTCTTTCGTACTCCGTGTGAAACCAAATCTACCGGCCGATAAATGGAATATTTGTAATGGTTGATGAATTAAACTGGGTACCAGATTCGGATTTTTTTTTTTTTTTTTAAATTGCTTTGCCTTTTTGGCTCTAGGGATTTTGATCTAGGGCGAATGCAGGTAGACTGCGGAGTAATAATCAATAAATCATTTACCGGAGCACGAATGTTATACATACATCCACCCATAGTACATCGACAATAACGATAAACATCACACATCACTTTCCAGACAGCCCTATTTAGATCTCTAGAACCAGAATCATCCCTAAACAGGCGAAATGTGGGAAATAGCTTGCCAAAAAACGTATATAGAAAAGAAAGCGCGAATCTCACACAGAACAAGACAAAAGAAGGCCTACACAGCACTATATCCCCCCCTTGATCCCGTTCCTTGAAGACTGTTGATAATCCGTTTCAGCCAGTCCTGGAAGATGTACGGGATATCACGGATCGTATCACCATGAGGAAGTAGGTCCCATCCACGAGCACCGTAGCGATTGTAGTTGAGCCAGGAGCCGAAGATCAGGTATGCCGCTATGCAGAGGAAGATGCTGAAGATTTATCGCATCTGTTAGTGCCTTATTTGTTGAAGGATGGAGGAAGGGGGAATTGTCATACATCATAATCAACCAAGTGAGGAAACCCCAATGACCGGACGACTGGTTGTCCTTCCTGTCTTTCAGGTAATTGTCGCATGCATACCGCGTTCTCCAATCCAGCCTCAATACATAAGACCCATCATCTGAAGGCCCAAAGCTCTTAAATTGTAGACTCCGTGTAATGTTGCCCGTCTCGTCGTCTTCTGCTAGGTGAGGCTCGTTCTGGATTGTCCACTCAAATATTCTCTCCCCTTCCTCTTCCTCATATTCATTTTCATTGGATTCCTCAGGGATATCCTTGATACCCTCCAGACCCGACCGGTCGGGATCGCACTCGAACTCGATAACGGCGCTTGCGCTCTTCTTCTTTCCGTCCTTGAAATCGATGTATTCACCTCCAACCATTTTAACAAGGAGACCCTCCTTATCCTCATAGATTTCTTTCAATCGCGTAATATTAGTGACCTTGTCACCGTGTCCGAGATGGTCGAGCCCGGCAATGGGGAAGGACACGCCCGTGGTCTGTGAGCCATCGACCTTTTTCCTGTATTCGAACCCGCAAACTGGAAGGAGAAAAACAACATAGTCAGAAAAAGGAAGCTATAAAAATAGAGAAGCGGAATAAGACTTACTGTTCTTGGACGTCCCGCAGTTTAGATCTCCCCGAATCGCCGCCGATTTTAGAATAGTGCATATATTCAACACATAGGTGGTGTTCACGACGAACTCCTCTGTCTCATCTACATGGTACAAAGAGTGCACTCCTCCTAAATGGCCGAGGTTGTACTCAATGCCGTCCTTGACGATGTGGTTGCAGTCGAAGCCATAGGCTGAGACTAACGCAGGGAGAAGGGAGAAGAGGGTGAAAATGGAGGTTTGCGATCGTAGTCGCATAGTGATAGGGAGTTTGGCTGACTTAGTTCAGATACAGCTGATGTGTAAAGAGCGGCTGGTAGAGGTGTGAGGTTGTCGTCCGTGCCGATTTTGTTGCCGTGCTTGTGGCAGTGAAGCCTCGGAGGGTCTTCGAAACTCCGACAGAAGCCCGGCGGTAGAAACGTCGATGGACTGTCAAGATGCCTGCATCAAGTGCTAGAAGGATCCCACAGCAGAATGAGGCGAGAGATGTATATGAGTGAGGGATATACAGCGTTCACCGTAGGCAGCCGATGAAGCTGGGTGTCTTGGAGGTGCGAAGGAGGCTTGTTGGCGACAGAAGATAGAAGAGAGGCATCGAATGATGTCACCTGACCTTGGCATACACAGCGTGCAGCACACGCAGCACACCAGATATGCTATGCCGGGCATCCTATATAACCACACACATCAGTCTTTTATCCTCTACTACCATTTCTATTCTGCTTTCAAAGCAGTTCCTGGTGGCTGTATACATCCTCCATACGCAGCATCAAGCACCCAAGACTGCGCACGGACCAACTCGGCAGCGGCATTTGCTTGATTCTCATCTTTAAAAGAACAGAAATCCATACAGTGGGAGAAGAATCAAACCGCAGATCAGATCCCCAGAATGATATCCCATCGCATGGTGAGTCCTATCCCCTGTATGCATTCACAATGAGCATCTCAGACACTAACTACCGACTCAAGCTCTCGAAAGAGGATGAATCCTCCAACAGCGAGGAAAACGAAGTCCGTCGTGAAGACCAAGAGAAGATCAATCGCTTCAGCAGTCTTCATCAGCGCGAGTTAGTTCTGGAGCAGTTATTGAAGGGGAAGCAGGTATACATATATCCCTTTTTTTTTCTTTTTGTTGTTGTTGTTGTTGTTGTTTGTCAGTCTCAACATTACATGGGAGCATATGTTATTTCCACAGATGAGTGAATAACCAGGCCGCAGAAAGATAAAGAAGATCTCGAAGAAATCTCTACAGAACTTGAACTAGCGGATGAGGATGAGTTGGTTCCGTGAGTGCTCCCTCCCTGCTTTCTCTTTCGCTTTGTTTCCCCCTAGCATGATTGACACGACATATGTGACATGACAGCTATAAAATTGGGGACTCCTTCGTTCACCTCCCTCTGCCAGAGGCACAGTCCCTTCTCTCTACTTCTACAGAGCAGATTGATACCGAGGTGTCCCGACTGGAGGACTCGTTGGGCGAGATTCGTGATGAGCTGCAGAAGCTGAAGGTGGGGTTGTATGCTCGGTTTGGGAGGAGTATTAATTTGGAGACTTAAGAGACATGACTTTCTGGTGTACTGATTTCAACGAAATGTGGCCGTTTTAAAAGAATAGAACCATTCCAGTTGATCATGTTTCTGTTTCGAGAGTTGATCACTAGTATATCTTCCACAAAGGATACAGTATATGCATTTCAAGTAGTACACAATGAGTACATATCTATCTATATATGGAACAAATACATACAAAGATGCAGGCATAACAAGATATTTCTTTCGTCTTTGATATCGTTACCCATAACCTCATAGCCACATGCTGCGGTCTTCGGCAAAGCAGCGAAGGCTTCCAGCCAACCTCCAGTCCGCTAGGAATAGCTAAGTTCAGCCAAGTCCATTTACCTGTGAAATAAAATCAAATGATACTCGCAATTGTCATCCGCGAATGCGCCGAGCTTGACTGTCCAGCTGAGTTATCGGAGCTCTCCGCAGTTTCAGGACTCAGCAACGACTGATCTGGCCTGGGAGGTTGTTGCGGTTGCACATCGTCCATCTTATCGTCTCTTGGCTCTTGCTGCCGTTTCTCGTCAAGGAGATACTGAACCGTCCTCTCGACCCAGTCCCATCCTTGCCACTCAGACACTTGCTCCGGCGGTGACAAAATTTCTGTACCCTTCTGTGAACTCGATGATGATCTTGTTGTGACGTTCGACGAATCCTCCGGCTGTTGACCGGCCTCGTCACTACCTTGCCAAATCCAGCTGCTGTCTGCTGTACCCTGCATATCACCAGACATATATGCGACAATCTCCTCATCCCTCTCCCAATTCCCAGTGTTGCGCCTTAACCGATCTAAGATTCGTCCCAGGAAAAAGGCAATGTACCGTCCGCTGGACACATTCGCGGCCCGAGAATCGCCAATAGCTGCACATGCTTGAATGCATGTCAATGAGGATGCATATTCCTGGCGGAAAAGAAGTAGAAGCAAGCAACGGCAAATATGCGTGCACAGCATTGTGGAGGCGGACGAGGCGAGCAGGACTCGCCAATCAGTGGCATCCGTGGAGGCGTTCCCGGATGAAGAGGTTGGCGGGTTCTGCATGCAGCGCGAAAGGAGACGTGCCGTATCTAAGGCAATAGAGAGACAGTAGTCCATTGCCGATAGGCGGGCATCGTGAGAACATGCGGGAGAAAGGTTATGGCGATGAAGAATGAACCGGGCATTCTGAAGGAAAATAATCGGAACAAGGGAACGGGGTTCTAGATACTGATCGGATTTTGGATGATATTGCAGAGGAAGGGTCGCCAAGCATGCCGTGAAATGCCGCTCGAAGGTCTCCAGCGTTGCTGGACTCAGGACGGGGGAGCGCAGCGCCTTGGTGAGTTGACCCACGGACCGAGCTACGTGCACAAGAGCCAGGAACGGAGACGCCTGTGGTCCTTCGAGCACGCCGCCCTCCGAAATGTACTGCTCGTCCACCGGGCATGGAAGATCAACGTCGCAATCCTGGTCGTAGATCATGACAGGCCTCCCCATTTCCAAGGATAAAATTCTATAACAAAAGAAATAAGTATGCGAAGTGACCACCAGGTAAGAAGCAATCTAGCGACATACCTGTCCCAGCAGTAAAGCCCCCACCATATGCGTCTCTTTATTTCCACCTCAGTAGCCAGCCAGGGCCCAGATTCAATCTGTAGGCCGATATCTTGCCCAAGTCTCACAGCGGATCCCAACCACATCCAACTGGCAGACTTTGAGCCGACTTCATGAAGGAAGAGGCTGATAAGAAGAGACGCGCGCACCTGATCTATGGAGATGTCATCCTTGAGCATGTCCAAAAGGCCGTAGCTGATTTTAAGGTATTCCTTGCCGTCTTGAATACGATTCGGCTCTTGCGTGTGTAGTGAAGCACATGCAAACACAGTAAACAAAACGGCCGCCCAATCCCGAGAGACTCCCGCAAGCGAGCCAGATTGATAGATTCTCTCGTACTCGATGATGAAGCTATGCAAATAGATCACAGGTAGATATGAGTGGATAAACGCGAAGTATTGTGCGAGTAGACGATCAGCCACGCCTTTGGGAGGAAGTGCTGGGGAATCGCTTGTCAAACGAGACGCCGAATCCTGTTTCCGGCATGGACCCGGCATCTTCATGATTCCCCAGCCATGACTTCGCATGTTAGACCGGACATCAGAGAAGTCCTGCGCAACAGCGGCTCGTATCCGTCGGACTGGCCGATGTCCGATGTCAGGTAGCTTTAAAGCCGTCTGGCCATTAGAGTCCATGTCCCAATCCATAAATCCATCCGTCTTCGCAACTCCTGACCGGAGCTGCTGGAGCTGTTGTTTGGTCGACAGAAGCTGTTTCTCGAGGTCCTGGACTTGTCTACATCAAAGGAGAAAGATCATTTAGAAAGGGTAAGAAGAAAATCTCGCCGCAGGCACGTGTGGGGGAAAAAGATGGAGTCTACGAACTTGATGGAAGACATTCGCCTATTTGTTTCTTTCGTGAATTGACACCTGACTTTGCGGTTGATGCATTCCGTACAGCTGGCCGACTCAGACGCATCGCACTAAGTTAAGACGGAAGATGTTCTGTTAGACACAAAGCTCCGGTACTCGATGAAGATACAAGAACAACTCGACCATCATACCTTGACCTTACGTTCGCGACAGGCATCGCAGCTTGGATCTTTTCTCCTCTGTCTGTAAGCTCTTTTCTGAGGAGCTAACTGTGGCTGTGGCTGCTGCTGCTGCCCAGTGTTTCCTGGTTGGTATAATAGATTGGCACTTCCCGCTACGGAGCCATTCGATGGAGGGCCATCATGAAGAATGGACATGCCGTCCGTGGGTGAAACTGAAGAGGACTCATAAGAGCGAGTATATGGCGAAGTAGAAGTTGTGGGGACAGCGTTGGGGATATGGGATGATGGCTGTAGAAGATGAGCCATCTTCATTGAGCTGCCTGGCCTGCTTGACGGAGCGGCAAGGTGCGAGGTAGTAGTCAGCAGGGCCTGTTGGAAAGGTGCCTGCGACAAAGGAATGACTGACTGGACGGGTGGCAGGTCATACGAGGCACCATTCCGGTTATGGCCAACAGGAGGACGGTAATATGAACTATGCATTTTGAATGACAGTGGCGATGGGATCAGAGATTCAGATCATGAGAAAACATGTACGAAGTCACGGAGAGAAAGAGGCAACGGCAGGCCCAGCCCCCAACAAGGCCGACCTAAGAAGCCAGATATAGCTCCAGCAGCGAGTATCCTAAGACGGTAAATGCGGTTAGAATGCAGATATTGGTAGGCGGGTTACAACGCGCGAAAAGAAAGCCCTGAAGCGTATGAGACCCCGCCGTTAAGGCTTCCCCGGACGTCAGGAGGCACCAGAAAGATGTTCTGTGCGAAGACGAAGGGTGGAGTGCTGGATGCACACATACAATAAAAACTGCCGAGGCCGAATTCATCCGTGGAGAGGCGGATCTTCAGAAGCCAGGGATGGGAAATCATGACGGGGACATTTCGGACAGAAACATCAGAGAGGGAAGAGAGGTGAATAGTATGGGACCTGGAACCAGCAGAGTGGAATAGACGGACAGGAGATCGAAGTGATGAAAGAGAGGCTCGGGATAATTATTAAGGAACCAAGATCGCTTTCTGCAGCGGTTACCGAGTAGTTTAAAAAAGAAAAGTCCTCTTTTCTAAAAATTCAGGCGGCAGGGTCTCTCGCGGGAAGGATCCGAAGATGATAATAATAAATATAAATAAATCAAACTTACGTCCGTCTCCGTCCAGCATGGAGAAGAATCCGATAGGATAATCAATGGAATGATGGAAGCCAGCTCGGTAAGCTGAAACGCGGCGAGGCGAACCAGTCAAACTAGCATTCTCGGGAAAAAGAAAGTATAAAGATAAATTAAGATTGGCACGAGGCGGAGACGCCGTTTTGAGCTCGTCGGGCTTTTGCAGTGCATGAAAGGGGGCCTGCAAGTTGATCCGCGGTATCAACGCGCACGCAACACTCCGATCGGCAGTGGCAAGGACTGGACGGTGGATAATAAATAGTAAACAACTGTAATAATAATCATGGAAGCTTCTGGGCAATGAATCATTGTTGGAGGATTATCGTCGTCATCGAGTTGTGTTGGCGGTGTGCCACTGTGCTTGACCGAAAATATGGCGTTGTCGACAAGAGCAATGCATTTGCAGATGACCTGCATAAGTGCATAGCGTGCTCTGTGCAGTGTGAAGCTGGCAAAGGCTGTACGGATCGCACGGCCCGGAGCTCTGCATGACGACGGCCGTGGGCCACTCGGCAGTCATCTGCCGGATGAGGCTTTTGCTGTCCTTTGTCGTGACGCTCCCAGACCGCCACATACCGAAATGAGTGGTGCAGAGATGTAACCCAAACCAGGTACATGCTCCGGACAAGTCGGTTGCATTCCTATCTGGGATCACCGGCCTATAGATCGAGGCAGGACACCACCCACGCGGGCCCACCCTGGCTGGATCAGGGATGTATGTAATAATGACTGATTTGCGCTGCAAAGTCTCGTCGGTTAACTCCGTCGCGGGAACCAAGATAAGGATGGTCCCCGAAATGAGCGGGAGGGGAAGGGCGAGACTCTGTTGCCTTGCACACGGATGATTAATTAATTCTAATTTATAATGCAAGTCGCTGTGATGTAACATCTGCTTTGTCGTGTTCCCTGCTCCAATGACCGCGTCACGGTGCTGGTTACTCAGTGATGGGCGCTGTAATATGATATAACTGTCAAGTCTGCCGCGGAAGCCCGGAGGAGAGGATCTCCACATGTCACCGCTAAGCACGATGATCCTGGTGAAGATTTCATTTGGCTTAGCGTCTCGCCAAGCAGGACCCGTCCCTTCGTTGCTTGTTCGCCGAATTTCCCCTGCTGGAAGCACAGCCGAAATAGCGGGGGATCGTATCCATGGCCAGGTACCAATCGGGAAGGTCAAAAAATGAGGCGTGTTTTCTTGCCGGTGCACCGAAACGCCGAAGCACCTACAATCATCGAGCGGATCAAATGTTATTTGTAGCCCAGTGCTGCAGCAACCGGAGAGGACGAATCAATTCCAATCCTGCTGTTTTTATTCCCTCCTTTCTCTTTCCTCCCACCGCTTCATAATAACCCCCACGATCTTCTTAAACCCGTCCATTTCCTCCTCAACGATTAACCCCAAACCAGAGGCGTCGATACTGCAACCAACATACACTGGGACACCCATGCGACGGGCAAGTATCTTGGCTGTGCGAGTCGCATATTCGACGCTCGCTGGGTACGAATATAGCGTGGTCGATATGGTGGAGCCGGGTGATGTACGCTATGAAACTCGTCAGCAAAGTATTTATTCAGTCTATGCTCCATAAAGAAGATGAATAGTCGAAGTAGTCCACAAGCTATGCATTACACAACGTATGCAGACACGTATAACGTCCATCATGGAGATCGACCCTTGTACAGGACAGTCAAATGAAGTGGCGGTAGACCTTACATCTGGCATGGCATAGACAAAACTCCCCATTGGCTTAACGCTGCCCGCAGAATTACCGCCCACCGTCGTCGTTGTCAGGAACACCATCACCGACGTATCGAGAAACGTCAGATGAATATGAGCTGTCGTATATAGGCTCTTGGGTAGCGGAAACGAGATCTCCTCCGGCTTGATATGAGGACGGACCTGTTCAACGGGTGGGATGGAGTTGGTGGCCGCCACACTAGGCTGCGCAGCGCTGGTCATTGTTACAAAGTTCTGTCGATAGATGAATCTCAGTTCAGTTGGATGTTCTTGTTAAATAGCTGCGAAGAGGATATATTGAAGCGTCAAAAGACGACGATCGGGGGAAGCCAGAAGAAAGTGGCAGAAGCCCGCCAAGCACGTGGGTGCATTATAGATGGGGACTGTCTTGCCAGCGTTGGGCTTGCTATACTGCCTTTTTACATCGCCAGGCGCCTCAACTCTGTCTTCTATGAAATTTTCCCTGGCTTCTTTGATACCCATCAACACAATAATAAGCGAGAACTTCAAGGGAGTTGTGATTACCGAATTTGGATAATATGCATCACATGACCACGCGTTGTGTCCCGTCCGCATCTCAGACGCGACCAGCTCATCCTCACGTGAAGCATCTTGGAATCCATCACACAACTATTCTCTGCCGCTTATCATGGTCTTTAAGCCTTTTAAACCACCGTTAATAAGGAGACCTCCTCTGTTGCAATCACAGCCTTCATCGAATGATACTGGGGATAGCAACTTCGATGGTCCACCTGCCAAGAAGCAGCGCCTGGAGAGCTGCATTGGGAAGGAGACGGCAGATAGTTCCAAATATGAAGCAGATAAAAAGGACTGTTTGCCCTCTGTTCAGGAAACGACCGTGAGAGTAAGGACTGTTACGAATAGAAGACCTCTGCATCAGGTGAAGAACGCTGTTGCTAGTAGCACGGCTGGTCCGGGGGCTACGAAACACGCTGATACTTCTTCCGGTATTCCTGGAGAGGATCATGGTGACGAGAGATATTACAATGTCCTTTGGTATGGTTTGTTAATATTGAATCTGTTTACCTGTTTACCCAAGTGTCACCTTTCGTGCCTAATCAAATCAAGAACAGGCGCAAATTCACCACCAAGAAAAACAAAACTTGGGATGGGGATGGCATTCTGTCAGTTTCTGGAGGATATGCACACTTATGCGACATTTCAGGAAGAGATATGGGCAGGGTGATGTGCAGTTCGCACCTCGAACCAGGATCCATGCTTTCAATTGGTGGAAAGGAGGTGGAGGTCGATTCGGAGATGCCCAGACAAGAGTTTCTGTCAGGGAGGAGGTTCCTGGAAACCGCAACTCCTGCTAAAAGCACAGTGCCGCTCACAGATCTTTGCCGGAAGGAGTCCGCTTTCGTGAATACGACCCGTAATATGACACCAGATACCACTGCTATTGCTGGGAGTAGAGTCTCAATCGCGAGAAACGCTGCTTCAAAAGGTGTGAAAGGTGCATATAAAAGTCCATTACTGGAGACTACTGTCGTCCCTCAAACGTCGACAGGGAAGCCTGTTCCGCGTCATGACCCTAACGTTCCCGGGGCGCTGGTGATGAAGCGTCCAGACTCAGTTCCCAAGGGAAAGCAACTTGTAGATGTTGTCATCGATCCACTGCTGGGGAAAAACCTGCGCGAACATCAGCGGGAGGGAGTCAAATTTCTCTACGAATGTGTCATGGGAATGAGATCCTTCAACGGTGAAGGAGCAATCCTGGCAGACGACATGGGCCTAGGGAAGACTCTGCAGACAATAACGTTGCTGTGGACATTGTTAAAACAGAATCCTATATACGGGGAGCCGCCAATAGTTCAAAAAGCTCTCATTGTATGCCCCGTGACACTGATCAACAATTGGAGAAAGGAGTTTCGCAAGTGGCTTGGAAGCGAACGGATTGGGGTATTCGTTTTCGATGACAAGCGAAAGCGGTTGACCGATTTTACCATGGGCAAGGCTTACAATGTTATGATCGTCGGATACGAAAAGCTGAGGACTGTACAGGAGAACTTGGCGAAAGGCGCAGGCGTTGACATTATCATTGCAGACGAGGGCCACCGACTCAAGACACTACAAAATAAGAGCGGCCAAGCAATTCAATCACTGAACGCAACAAAGAGAGTAATTCTCTCCGGAACTCCAATACAGAACGACTTGCGAGAATTCTTTGCAGCCGTGGATCTGGTCAATCCGGGCATTCTGGGGACTTTCAAAGCATTTATTAGGGAGTTCGAGGGCCCGATTATCAGAAGCAGACAACCAGAAGCCACCAGAAAAGACATTGAAAAGGGGGAGGCCAGGAATGAAGAACTGCGGAGTCTGACATCCATGTTTATCTTGCGCAGGACGGCCGATATTCTGGCCAAATACCTCCCACCGAAAACGGAATACGTGCTATTTTGCAGCCCAACTCCTACACAGGCGAATATATACAGGAATGTGCTAGCCTCTCCCATGTTCCAGTGTGCCATGGGAAATTCCGAAAGCGCTCTGCAACTTATAACGATACTGAAGAAGCTCTGCAATAGCCCATCACTGCTTTCGAAGGACGGCAATGGACAGCCATCCAACGACTCGACCAGCGCCTTATTATCCTCTCTTCCTCCCAAGCTTCTCCGCCACTTCACTCCTTCTTCGAGCGGCAAAATACGCGTCCTGGATCAGCTTTTGCATAACCTACATACAGCCACGTCTGAGAAGATAGTCCTCGTCTCTAACTACACCTCCACCCTGAACCTGCTCGCAACGCTGCTTAGTTCACTCTCCCTCCCATTCCTCCGTCTGGATGGCACCACCCCAGTGCAGAAGCGTCAGTCACTCGTTGACGATTTCAACCGCCTCCCAGCGAGCTCCTGCTTCGCATTCCTCCTCTCCGCCAAGGCGGGTGGAACAGGACTCAATCTGATTGGCGCAAGTCGTCTTGTCCTTTTCGATGTGGATTGGAATCCTGCCACAGATATCCAGGCCATGGCACGCATTCATCGTGACGGGCAAACGAGGCACTGCCGGATATACCGGATCCTGCTCAAGGGGAGCCTAGAGGAGAAGATCTGGCAGCGCCAGGTGACCAAGATCGGACTGGCAGATAGTGTTATGGAGAATAAAGACAGTGTCGCACAGTTCTCACGCGAGGAGCTAAAGGACCTCTTCCGATTGGACGAGGAGAGTACATGTCAAACCCATGAGCTTCTGGGCTGTGAATGTGGAGGCCGAGGGCAGCGACAGCACGGCAATGCCAAGAGCGAAGTCGATGTTATTTCTATATCTGACTCCGAAGATGAGTTGAGCGACGCTTCAGATGCGTTCCTGCCTGACTTCCCGACTCTCATCAAAGCCTCTGAGCTGAAACTCCGACAAGAGGAACAACAACGACAGCAACAGCAGCGCGGACCTCCCGGGAACCGGAACCTTCGCAGAAAAGGCTCCAGCAAACAGAAGAGCAAGATGAAACAGTCCCTTGCATTGTACACACATATCGACCCTGGCCTTCTCTCAGGACACCGTGGGGAGACTGGACAAGCGGCTGATCTCGACATGGACATCCAAAAAGAGCTTGATGACGACCTTGTTCTGTTCCCTTTGCTCAAAGATGAAGACAACAGAGTTGATTTTATCTTCAAAAAATGCAATAGGAGCTCAGGGGAAGGGAGTTAGATCAATCAATCAATCAATCAGCCAGTCAGTCAGTCAGCTCTGATGTTTACCTAGGTATATCTATGCGATTGGTCCAAAACATGACTTATCTGGTGAATAGACCGAAGTTCTCTTGTTATAGATTTGTTCTTATGGTATTGTTGAATACATCAAGGCCACATAAGAAGGATCATAAAACCCAAGGAAAGAGACAAACAAACAAATAAAAAAAGAACGAAAGAAACTAGAGTGGTATATAGCAAATCATTCATAAGTCATGTAGGAATCAGAAATCAGTGAAACCTGTTCATAAAGCAGCATGCGTAAAGACATAAAAAGCATGAAATAAAAGCACCCCAAAGCTCGAAGTGTGAGAAATGAACAAGTAGGGAGAACTCCGTGCCAACCATTGAAATCCATTATGTACAAGTGCTATTAGCACATTGTTCATTAATACCTGAGCTTACCCACAAGGCCAAAGGTATATGCTGCCTCGGCTTCACTCTTCATCTGGATCATATAGATCTTGTAAGCGCCTACGGTCACACCACCTTGTTGTTTAGCGGGGGCGCCGCCTTCATTTTCTTCCCAGACAGAAACGGCGATACCGGTTCTCGCGACCCGTTCAAAGGAACTCTCACCCAGACAGACGTCGAGGAGAACTTCGCCGCGCGTTTTGCCACGGATGAGGATACGCTTGGTGGATTCGGATTCGGGGCGGGGTGAAGAGGCACCGGATCCAGATGGAGACCCAGAATCAGGGCCGTCAGCCGAGTGGGTGTTCCTACCAAAAGATATATCTCCATGACGAGAATCAGAGGATGACGATGCCGGCATAATTGTCAATCTGGCTGCTCCCATATCGCGCCATTTAGCATTGCTCTCGCGGGCATAGAGTCGGATTTTGGCATTGGAGAGACCAATTCCGTCTGCGCCTCGGATGGCAGCTGCTATCCTTCCAATGCCGGATGTCGGAGAAGAACTTGAATAAGAGCTTTCTCCTTTGTCACCAGTCTTGGACGTAACTGATGATCGCGCAATACTAAACATCTTGCTTCCGGCACCGAACCGCTTCAACGCGGAGAAGGCACTGCTCATGGTTCCAACGCTGCTTTCGGATACATCGGCGGACGACCGAGGAGCATTGGGAGAAGCACGGTAGCTCTTCCTGCGTCGTGGCCAGCCAAACAGTCCTCCTGTTTTATTGTCCGAGGAGTCGAAAGTCGAAGGCTGGTCAGCGAAAGGTCCTCGAGCATTCTGAAGGGCGATGTATGTAGGATTGCTGATGCGCGCCTGGTTGATTAGACTGTACAAGGCGTCACACTCTTCCGTGTTACGTGACCGAAACATGATGTTGTTACTTGAAGTTATCTTGGATCGTTGAGTAGGAGGGGAGCGAACACTGATGTCGATAGCCGTTCCACGCCGCATGGGAACGAGTGGTGTCAATTCCAGAGCGACAAGTGGCTGCCCTCTGTTGGAGCCTGTACCATCTTTGTCAGATGGGAGTGCACTATCGTTCGCCTCGAAGACTTCAATGAGCCCAGGGCTGATAATGATGATACATTCTTCAGGGGATAGACTAGACCAAGAGCCCGTATCGGACCACGCAAAGACCGAAGCAAGAGCCCTCGACGCTTTTGAGGGCTGGGTAGGAACGGCCCTATAGGCGGCTTGGGACTCGGACTTTGTGGGCGTGAGACTGCTGCTGGAGACGGATGGGAGAATAGAAGAATTTTCCAACTCTGGTTTTGGTTTGGAAGCACCACGAGTGTCAACCGGCGATCGGGCGTCATCATCAGAGTCGGAGCCGGTTTCATATTCGGAATCGGTCTCTGTATAATAGCTGGATGAGAATGAAGAAGAATCATCAAGACCGTAGTGTCGCACAGTTGATGTATCGGAACAATAGGAGTCGGAAGCCGTTGACGGTTCATATTCGTGTTTGAGGGGAGATGAGCCATGCCGCTTAAGTCGTCCACCACTTGAGCTGATAGTGGGAACATCCAAGTAACCACGGTTTGCAGAACTCGGGGTACGATGAGGAGGTGGAGCAGGAGCCTCTCCTGCATCGAGTGGATTACCTGGGTCGTCCAGGAACTCATCATCTTCATCTGACACATCGCTGGGAGACCCAAGCGAGGGGGATGGGCTACCCCCAGTCCTTAGCTTTGGGATATTAGGCAGTTCCATCGACGGAACGCATGACACACGCGGAGGACGTCTGTTGTAAGGGTCACTCGCAACCGGCATCGCACCAACATGCTGCTGTTCTTTAGGAGGCTTGCTCGGCGCAGGAGTACTAGTCCATTCATGGTGTTTCGCCTCATTGTAAAATCTGCCGCCAGTGGTGGGGGAGGCGTTCTCAGCGTCCGGTGTATCAGGACTAGCATGATTCTGTGCGGCGTTTGCCTGTGGCGAGGGTTCTCCGAGACGCGAAATCCTCTTCGCCTTGGTCCTCTTAAGAGTCGGTGTCTTCCCATCACTGGGAGATTGAGATGACATCACAGAGGGAAGAGGCGGACCAGAAAGCTTGATCGGAGTTTCCAAGATACCTTGTGTATAGTCTGAGTCTCGGGTAATTGCAGTGTGCAACGAAGAAGTCTTCGACTCTGTCGCCAACGAGCAGCCAACAACACTGCTTGGCTCAGAAGCTTGTGCATCCGGGGCCAGTGAATCTCCCGCAGAGCCGAGTACGGTTTTCTTCTCGCCCATTGGGATATCAACATCACTGGTACTGGCTGGGGTTTTCTGGCTCAGGATTCCATCCTTCGAGGTCGATTGCGCACGCTGCCGCTGCTTGGCTCGATCGATGAAACTGGGGGATCTACAGATCGCTGGAGGAACGGGGTCTGCCGGCAACATCTGGGCCCATTCATGCGCAATGCCTTCCTCGTCGATCTGAAGGGACAGCAATTCTTGCCAGTTTGTCTCCTGCCCGGGAGCACTGCGCAACATCACGACAAGTTCACCTCTAGTGTCACCATGCCGAGCGCTGACGCATCCCAGTTCGATCGGGGGAAACAGCAACCAGCGGTCCATGTGATCGATCTCGCAAATGAGAAGGTCACCCCCGGGGCCGTTTTCCGGAAGGTTGTCTCTTAGGAGGAGCTCTGCACGACAATCAACCACCTGCCCCGTCGAGTGGTACAGTGACAAGTTGAAGAAATCTCGCGCCCGGACGCGTCGAGTTCTGTCTACAATCACGTCCGTCATCACGCCCATGGTCATTGGATCGCGAGCACGCGTTGCATCGACGCTGGCGGCCGATTCATCCTCAAGCCTGGCCCGTTCTTCTCGCGCGCGTCGGCGAGCTTCTGTAACGATATCCTGGTAGGCAACGGCTATTTCTTCGGCCTTCGGGGATGGCTGAAGTATGCTAATTCCTTTGAGTGTCTTTGCGAGATATTTCAGTCGTACAAGTGGTCGCTTGAGGAGGTACGCGACATCGACCTTCTCACCATCGCTACCCACTACGTCGCCATTCTCATCCCGCGCCATGCCTTCATCTAAACTTTTTGTGTCTGAGTTACTCGAATCCTTGCCTTCTTCTTGCGGAGCCAGATTCACTATCACGTCCCTAAACCCGAGCCTCCAGGCTCTGAGGTATTCCCGATAGACCCTTTGGGCTCCTTGAGCCCAATGAAGGAGTGACTCCACATTGTCTTGTGGAATCCGTTTATGCAACGCCTTCAGTCGCTCCAGGGTAACGCCCATATCGACTATCGGTTTGGTAAAATTGACATCATCCTTGGGGTCCATAGACGGTCTGAAGAGACCAGCTGCAATTGCTGAGTCGGATTTGGAAAGTACGCAGGTCAAGAGCACTGGAATGACTCCTCCAACCAAGGTCTTTAGTTCACGCATGTATTTTGCTTCATCTGTAGATAGTTCTTGTAGTAAGTCACCGACGTTTGTTGCAGTCAAGCGGCTTTTGTTTGTTCTAACGCTTCTGGCAGATCGAATACTCCTGGTTTGACTTCTTGGAGCAGACAGTACTGTCATGAGGTCTTCATGGGTTGTAAGTCGTCTCTTCAATTTTGAAGGAACCCCAGGGAGAGAATCGGTGTCGAACTGATCTCTTTCCTCCGCATCTTCACCCGCAGGTTGATTAATGGTAGCCGGCTCACGCCGTTCTGATGGTCCATCTGACTGGGGCACTTGTGGCGGCTCGCGGTCCAGAGAACTCAGCGTCTCGACTGAGACTATGGTTGAGAGTCGGTGAACCCCCGTACTGGGAAAGGGTCGTTTCAGACCAAGTGGAACAGGCGGGTTGGTTCCAGATACTTCAGACCCATCTGAGAGTATATTTTCCGTATCAGAAGACTCAGGATTAGCCTCCTGCGATGCGACGGCATTTTCCTTCACTTCGTTGGATTGATTATTGCTTTTGCCGGTATCCGATCTTTTCACGCTGGGCGGCGAAGGGGACTTCTTTGCCCGCTCCCTTGATTCTCTCTTTTCGTCCGACGAGTGCTCACTCTTGGTAATGGGTGAATTCCCCTTGTCACTCATACGCCGGGTGTGACTGCCTTTCCCCCTGGAATCGTCATCTGAGCGAGAGTTTGAGTCAATAACTTCATGGACCGTGTTTCGCCTAGATGACTGCCTTGATTTGGTTGGTTTCGGGTTCAAGGGTGCAGGAACCTCGACAGATGGTTCAACATCTTCTGCAAATGGGTCGAGAGTGTCGGACAGCCATGCCTCAATTTTGGCGGGACGGTAGGGGGTAGCGACAGGCTTTGGTGGCTTTGGCGGTTCTGGCTTCACGAACACCTTCCTCGACTCGTCAAGTACGTGCGCAAAGATGCCCCCTTTTGGAGGTTTTACAGGGCCACGCTGTTTATAGGGAACCCCTCGCGCACGTCTCCTCGACAGTTCGGAAAAGTCAGCTTCGCTTGCCTCCCATTCGACTTCTGGTGGCGGCGTAGTCCGTCTCATCTTTGTCTCTGATGACTCGAGCTCTTCGTTCATCTGATGGACGTCTGCATCCAATGAACGTGAGGCAGAAGACGATGTTTTACTGTGTGATGTGCCCTTCTCATTATCAACGTTGCGTGGGGATCTCACTTTTCTCTGCTCTCTGTTGGATAATGGAGAGACATGACTAGCTCCAAATTTCCCAGCACTTCGAGGAGATGGGGATGGCTTCGTTTTATCATCCCTTTTGACGTCCTTTTTCGTTCCTCCCTGCCGAGCCAGCAGTTCCTCGTTACTCGTGTAAACTGATATCTTCTTAGGGGGCGGTCGCTTGGGCGTGGTAGTCTTCGCAGTGCTACGATTTATCCTCCAGTGCTCATCGCTTATAACGCGCTTTCGAGGCGTGCTGCTGCTGCGTGGTCTCACTCCAGAGCCAGGAGTACCGCGACTGCTACTGCCCTTGCTACCGACATTCTCCTTCCCGGGATTCGACTTAGGTTTTGTCGGAGTTTCGTCTTCGTCGTCGCAACAGGGATCATTAGCTGTGATGACCCCACCACCTTGCTGCTGCCATTTGCGGATCTTTGCTCGAACCGAGTTTGTATCGTAGGGACCCAGCTGCGGACCGAGATCCAAAGGCTTATTCTTCGTAGGAGTCGACTTGGCGCTGTCCAGGCGGACAGAGGACCGGTGAGGATTCGCTGGAGATGGCATCGATGCCTATGATATTCTTCAACGGCAATCAGTTAAACAGCATGTTTCAATGAGCATAGAACCGTCCGAGTGGCGGCGAAGGAATGATGGTATGTTGGCTGACGGCAGTGATGCGACGGGCATCAACACAGGGCAGGTGTTGTACAGAAGCGAGAAACTCACCACCACTGTCAAGTGTCACAGAATGCCCAAGCACACGATTGCAGATTGCAGATTTATCGCATCCGGGGCCAACTCCAGCGGTGCTTGAAGGAAAACAAGGCAAGAGACAGCAGGTAAACAGCGGGTCTGGCTGGGGCCGCAAGGCCAGGAGCGGCAATCGTCTGCACGCTGCCCGGGAAACCAACTTGGCTACGAGGTTAGTGGGAAGTATGTCGCAGCCACTATTAGAGGTCCTGAGGCGTCTCTTTCTTCAGGTTTCTCGGCTGTCTCATCCCTAGGGCCAATGGATAAGATGCATAACATGGACCGGGCTGCTGCACAGTTGTATTCCCACCTGAGACGAACCCGCGTTCCGATTATCATTCCTACCCAGATCAAAGCTGACGCGGGGTCTACACCGTCTAAGAATATTTCTTTATAACCTGGGGGAGGCAGCAAGGGATACGTAAGTGCGTTGTGACTAGCAATGCATGATGCATAATAGCGCTGTCATTGCGCGCAATGCAGAGTGAGCTGGCGCGCCTTGTAGATACCCAAAGCGACCGTTGGCGCGTTCAAAAGGACGCCTTTCCACTCCTTTCGCCACCTTTGTTACTCCGTTGACTCCTCTTCAAACTTCTCCAATAGTTCAGAAATCCTTGTGGAGAGGAGATCCACTCGAACTCTCATATATATTAGCAGGAAGATGTCGGTCAGCGCTGGACAGGGCTAATCATCGGGACTTTTGCCTGCTCGCTATTTCTCGCTGGCTCTGGATGATTCCCGAGATAGTTGTAACGCCTGTGTATAGGTAATCTAGCGGAGCATCAGCTGTATAAATTGACCTCTCTTGCGGCAAAAAAAAAAAAAAAAAAAAAAAAAAAAAAAAAAAAAAAAAAACTTACACATAGGAACAACGATCCAGATGAAATTCATCAGGAAATAGTAGACCCAGAAGTAGTAGGCTTCAGGCCTACAGTACGATACTCCATTGACGTAGTGATCGAACAAGCTCGTGGCATAGTACAACGTATCCCCGTACAGATGGCTCAAACAGACGATTATTTGAATCGGGTAGCGCAGAGAGTGCTCGACGAAGATCAAATATGCAACAGAAAAGCACAGAGGACCCCACACAAGCTGTTCAAAGAGCAGGGGGACAACAGCAGTTAGTTGTCCATAGCTCCTAATGCAGGTACTGGGACACTCACAGTGGTCATGGTCTCCATGCACAGAACAAGAGTATCCGAAGTAAGATATCGCGAGTCAGAAAGCGCATATTCCTTCCACAGCTGACCGAAGATATCCTGGGCTGACGCCATGTGGCCATGGTTGAGAACAAAGTAGCCCTCGAAGAAACAGTGGAGGCTTCCTGCTGCATTCTTTGCGTGTCAGAACTTGTCTGCAGAATCGGAACGCGGGTCGAGCCCATACAAATGAAGAACCACAGAATAGCCAGCCTGTCCGCTTTGCTTAAAGCTGGCCGCGTATAGCTGACAGCAGCCAGAACCGTACCCAGGATGATGGTGCAGCCAGCGCTGGCTGTAGCAAGAACACGGAGAACCGGAGTCTCATTGGCAACATATCCGTTTATATGCGCGTCAACCGGGTGGTACGGGTGAAGAGAAGCGTATTCTACAGCCATGACTGTCACTGCAGACTGCAGACTCGACTTGTGAAGCGTGTTGCGTGGACAGCTCTGTCTACCGCGTACAGCTTGAGGATATATCCTCCGCACGGCCCAGGACAGCCGAGGAACCTCCCGAAGGTCCTCCGTAGGCAGAACTGTGCTGTTCCTCGTTCGCGCGGTCTCGCAGACTACCACACCCTCTATGTGCTCGTCCATGTAACTCTGTTTCTTCCGCTTCATGGGGTCTGGATACCTCTACTCATTCATTCCTTTTCGCAATGGCGTCGAAACTGCAGAAGGGGAAGCCCCTGGGCATTGAAGTGCCGCCGGTGGATTTGCCCCCCCGGATCGCAGCCTTGTTTGTGATCCGCTTTGACATCAAGACCGGGTGAGTCTAAATTGTTTTTTCCTCCTGGAGAATCCTTTGACTGAAGCTCATTACTGATATGTGTTTATTCTCGTAGATATGTGGTCTCCTGGAAGCGTTCCCTGCCCGACGGTGCGTCATGATCCTTTCTCCACAACCTGCCTGCGGCCCTTGTCGTGAATCAAGCAAAGCTAATACATTCGGATAGTCGAAATCGATGGCGTTGTTGAATACAAGTCGCTTCCCTCTGGGCTGCACAATGTGGCCGAAGATCTGGTGTATGTTTGATGGGCCTGCCCTCTTGAGTTGTTTACGCTGAAATATGGGTGTGACTAGGTACTTTGTTCATGAGAAATGCGCTGGCGTCAGTTACTTTTTGAACAAACCAGCTGGTGAAACAGAACGGAATGCGATGATGTTCTCCATCGGTGTCTTAGTGCCGCTGAGTCTTGGACGCCTGGGAAAGGGCTGGAAGCATGCACGGCACATCAAAGAATTGGCACAGTTAGTTCCTCGAATCGCCCTATCTTCGCACAGTGGCATGCATGCTGACATCCAAATTTTGTCGCAGCGAGTACGTGAAGGATATGTCGAATACGCAACTGTTGTCCGAATATTGGGAGACACATCAAATCCGGGAATCTGAGTCATTTGATGGAATTCCCGATTCCCCCCTTGATTCGCCTGTTGGCATGTTCAAAAACCCTGGGGAGCTATTGCGGGGTCAAATATCCAGTGATGTGATGGTATTGGAATCGCCTAGACCGGGGCTGGCACCATACCACCCGGCCTCATCCTTGCCTGAATTCATTGACTGTTTCGGTCCCTTAGTCTTTCCGCTGTATAGGGCAGCGTTGCTGCGCAAGAGAATCCTTTTGGTTACTGAAGCCCCAGTGCATTTACCCAGTGACTATGGTACGTTGTTCCTTCCGTTGCCGATCTGTGCTGTGTTTATGATGTCTCTTCTAACTCCTCTCTTAGTGTATGCCTTGTCCTTGATATCATCCTTGCCTAATTCTCTTATTCCCTTACTCCCATCGGTTGATTTCCCAGCGCATCGACCGCGCCCGCTTTTCAACATCGGAGTCCATGATATTACCTTGCTCTCCTCTTTCGTCGGGACAGATTCCAGACCTGGAAAGGATCGAAGCTGGATCGCCTGCACGACTGATAGTGTTCTGGGTATGAAATCCGACCTCTACGATGTCATGGTGACTCTGCCACCGCCGTATTCGAAGAATGCTGCGAAGAAGGTGTATCCCCAGATCGTCATGTCATGCGGAAAAGATAGAAAGATCAAGCGCAACTCGGTACAGGTACCGCATCTCAAAGCAACACAGCGGGATGTTCGGCGTTTCACCACCCTTCGCAAGGGAATGCGCCGATTCTTTCACAGTGAAAACCCCTCATCAATAGGACCTGATGAAGAGGACTTTGATACGGCATCAACTTTCTCCTCAGCCTCTATTGTCGAGCCACTCCCCTGGCCCCGCCGTGCCTACACGTCTTTCATCTGGTGGGCATCCGCAGGCGAGAAGCGCGGCGGTCTAACTGAAGACGAGGAAGAGCAAGACGAGCAAGACGAAAGACTCTTAATCACCGGAGACAACATTTCTAGCCCACCTACCGAGTTACCAGTCGTCGCCCTGGTGACATACTTCCGCCGACTGACGACGCAAATCTTCGTCACCGTATCTGATGCAATCACCCGACAAGACGGCGATGATAACGATGAATCAGGTCTCCACGATGATGACGACGAATCGGAAGATGACGACGATCCGCCGTCTACAGAGGGTGATGACTCCCGCGTACCACTGCTGGACCGGAGAAACCCAAACCCAACATCTCGCACTGAGGAACGGGAACGGCGCGGTAGAAAAAGAAAGGGAAACGACCGTGATACTGTGAAAATCACCACAGCAGACATGATCCAAATGGGTCTCGATGTCTGGAGTGCTACAGACCGCATCTTCGTCCAGCAATTAGTCTCCATATGGTGGGGTCGGGAAGCGGTCGTCCAGGGAGCGCGGATAACGTGCTGTGGCATTCCTATTTTCTAAACGCGCCAGGGGCATTTTTTTCTTTGCTATTTTTTCGGCCTATGTAATGGGAAGAGATATAAGTATCTGATAGAATGGAAAGAGGATCTAAGGGGGCTGTCATATGTTTTCTTTCCCTCTTCTTTCCCCCCTGGCTTTTCGGGATCTGAGCTGTATTACATGGCTATTTGTACAGATTTATGGACTTGGCATTAGCTTCTCTTCTCATGCTTGATTTTGGATCCGATTTTTATGTATATAGACGTTCAGAGTGGTTATCACTTGAAAACTGTTGTCATTGCTTTTTCATATTATTCATTAGTGGACTGTAGACCCCATGTCATGTCGTGTACTGTGAATAATAACCCATAAACTAAATTGCCTAACCAGGCAGTTCTGCAGCTGAAGTTGATTTAAGGCGTACGCTAGCCTCAATATCAAAGGTTTCGGGTATGTGTCAAGAGAATGAAGGACATGAATGCAATTCTTCACTTGTAACCATGAATATATAACTCCATAAAGAAATTGACCGCATGACAAAGTAGAATACAGCGTGCAATATGAACAAGTAGGTATCAAAGTTTCCAACAGCAGGGATAAACCAAAACGGCACTGGATAATATACCTCCAAGAGCAATTAATTAGATAGGGATTTAAAAAGAAAGAACGCCATTCCATCTGGAACGCCAAAGGTGATCATTACAAAAGAAATATGAAAGAGCAATGAAGTCATTAAGAGTCATCGAGCAGGAATCACCTCCGGAATAATCGCATAGGCGCGCTTATATCCCTCCGCTCTCCTGATTCATGTCCAGTGTTGGCTTTGGTATGGAGTCCAGGAATGCGCCTCGCGCCTCCGAGAGGGGTCACACCCATCCCACCAGAGCGAAGATTTCCTTCACCTGCACTGACGCATCTTGTCATGCTGCGGGTTTTCCCCCTCCTTGCCCGGATCTGTGCAAGGGCGGCTTCTCGGCTAATTGGCGTACCTGGTGTGAGAAAAGAATTTGCTGAGGAGTCTTCACTCATACGTAAGGGTACCTTCGTTGTTGTGGGGTGTTCGTCAGCGTTTGACTCTCCCTCGAAGCTATCTTCCTGCAGTAACGAAAGACCAGTGTGGCCTTCCGCAACGGTTCGTGATGGAGGTGTTGGGGAGAAAAGATCATGGCTAGGGGCCGTAATCTTAGAAGCGCACTCGAACCGTGATTGGTTATTCTTTTCAACCTTGATAGGCGATTGAGTGAGTAAATCTATCTCAAAAGGCTGCGGATATTCTGGTCTGGAGACAGCGGGTTTATCACTTTCAAGGCTTTTTCCCGGGGATCGAACAGGGGAAGGGATGGTTCGAAATGTTCCTGTTTCCGGAGAAAATGTTATCAAAAGCTCCTCCTCGGGGGCCTTATCATCGTGGCCAGTTTCTGGCTTCGCGGCCTCGTTAGAAGGAGAATGAGAACGCGACCTGTTTTCTGTCTCAGGTGCTATGAAGCCTTGATCTCTCTCATTCGATAATTCTGCCTCTTTCTTTGCCCTTTCAGCAGCTTTTTGTTTCTCGTGGTATTCGAAATCGTAGATGTACTCTCTCCCCTCACTCTCTGCAATACGGCAACGGCATGCCTTGAATTGACATTCTATGCACATAAATTCAATTGTTCTTTCTGCCTCAGCCCTCAGTTTCTTCTCCCATTGCAGTTTAGCTCGGAGTTCTAGGATCTTTATGGTAGGGGAATCAATCCCAATGGTATCTTCATCTTCCTTCGGGGTAACAAACTCCGACCATACCCTCTGTCTCTTAAGAGGGGTAATGCTGTATACATCGGAGAAGTCCTCATCGTCTGAGAAGGGTGACTCAGCAGATTCAGAGGCTCTTTTAAGACTTCCTGCCGGACTGTCTACCGCAGCGTTTCCTCGAGTTGATGATGCTCTTCTCCCGCTTTCTTCGCGCGTTCCCGTTCGCCCTTGACATGGTGATTCAGAAGCATCATAAGCTTTAGCTGAAGAAGCCTTCGCAGCGTTCTTTTTGCGCGTCTCTCGAGATTCCAAAGCATCTAAGGCGTTGTTTGATTCGATGAGGTTTATCTTTTCTTTCAGCGTCCTTATCTCTTCAGTAAGACACGTGATAGTATCCGCGCGCTCGCTGGCTTCTTTCGTAGCGTTCTCTTTGGCTTCTTGTTCAAGCCTGACTTCATCCTTCAACGTCACAACCTCCTCTTTGGATGCTTTCAAGTCCTCTTGAACTTTCACTAAGATAGAACTTGCTCGGAACGCTTCTTTTCTGGCTTTTCTAATTTCCTTCTCGAAAATTGTTCTCTCGTGAGTTTGGCGTTCTTTTGCTGAGTGTAACTCTTCCAGCAGTGACTCCAGCCTTTCGCTAATTCTTCGTTCTCGAGATTGGGCCTCTGACAGTTGGGCGGATACACTAGCGAGTGCTGACTCTGCCTCCTCGCGGCCAACTATAGCGCGTTGAAGAGCAGCATTTGTTCCCGATGATGATACGCTAGAAGCTGATCTGTTTCCATGAGCCATACTGTTGAGACGAGCGACCTTGCTTTGGACATCCGAAATGCCGTTAGAGTTTTTGCGCTGGAGCTGCAAAAGATCTGAAGGCAGTGTATGAGAATCAGGTGTTGCTTGTCGGTTCATGCGCTGTGAGGAGAGAGGTGAGAGGACTTTAGAGGGACTTGGTGAGGTGCGAGATTTTGGATCCATGACGGGCGCTATTGTGGAGTATTTCAGTCCAGGAGGGTCAGAAAATTATGTGGTACCGGCAACAAGAAATAAAATACAAGGCAGCGTCAAATCTGAGGTACCGGAGCCATCAACGAACGTGGGTGGATAGTTGTCATCAAGTTGGCCGTGGTGAGCGTTGCCAGCAGAATCCCCTCCGTTGGTTGTTTACTGCCAACTCGGGAAGTTGCAAGTCAGGTGACACGTTGCCCTGGACAACTGCGTCCTTTTCTTTAATAACACGTGATAAACCAAACGAAAGCCCACGTGACCATAATTTTGGACGTGGCCATGATATCAAAAGAGGGCGGATTTTGCCTTCGGGTCGTTGACCTTGCTACATATTATTATTGCTTTTCAATGACTATTAGATTAGCAGGTAATTGGCAGCATGCATGAAATTGTCACTCTCCAGCTTGGACAACGAGCAAACTATCTAGCCACGCATTTCTGGAATATCCAGGTATTGCTAGTAATGATGCTCCCATTCCTCAAACTAAGACTCACAAGTTAATAGGAGTCTTATTTTACATATAATGACGGAGAAGGATCACCTATTAATCATGACGTCCATTTCCGCCCAGGTATTGGCGCTGACGGGACGGAAACCTTTCTCCCTAGGACGCTGGTATACGACTTAAAGGGTGCTTTTGGTACTCTACGAAAATATAACGCACTTTATGAATTGAGCGAAGATTTAGATCCCGGACAAGGTTTATGGTGAGCAGAGTTCCATTCAGACTCCCTTGAGATTCCAAGTCAGGAATTAGAATCCCTTAAGAGTGCTCCCTGATTTGACAAACCCTCCTTACCAGGGATGGGAGAGAGATTTTGCAGCAGCAAGATCGAATTCCTCAAAGCGACTACCATAAGAGCTTAGATCAAGGTCTTCCAGCCCCCCAACTTACTTCTGAGACTGTCCGTTATTGGTCTGATTTTAGTCGGGTCTTCTATCATCCTCGGTCAATCATACAGTTAAACGATTATGAGCTAAATTCGAGGACTATGCCTTTTGAAGACTGGACTGTCGGCGAAGAGCTTTTTACAGATCTTGACAAAGAGCATGATCTATTGGACCGGGATCTGAGACCGTTTGCAGAAGAGTGCGATCAAATCCGTGCTCTTCAGCTCTTCACGGGTTCTGATGATGCTTGGGGCGGCTTCGCTTCAAGATATGTTGACAGATTGAGCGACGAATTCGGCAAGAAAAGCATCTGGGTATGGGCAATTGAAGACGGTACGAAGGCACAGAGGGTTAGTGACTTCCAAGCAGCCCCTACAAATAACTGTCGTTGTGTTGTAACATTCTTCCCACTGACAGAACGCAGAAAGTCGAAGTTAAACGAGACATGAACAAGGCTAGATCTGTGTGTACGATTTCACCACAGTCATCTCTCTATACGCCTATTGTAGATCCTCCGCGCCGACTTCCAAGCCTTTTGCACGTCGATCCTCAATCAGAATTTTATACGTCAGCGCTTATTTGCTCTGCTGTGGAAACTGTGACCCTTCCGTCTCGTCTTCGTCGGTACCATGATTTTGAAGCTTCTCTAGCTGGAATTGATGGTACCCATAAGATATTCGAGCTGCAGTCCACTATTGTTCCGGACGAAGAAAAGGATGCAGCAAAGTCCTTTGTCAGAAAGCTTCACGATAATGCGCAATCACTGGAACGTGAATTTTCCGAGGAACTCGAGACTAAATTCGATTTGGATTTTACATATGATGACCCCAGCGGCAAAGCCAGACATGTCTTCAATCAGATCCAGGTCATACGCGGGTTTGATCCAGCATCTGAAGGCCTTGAATATTTCAGTAGCCAGCAGCAGTTCCGCGATGCGGAACAAACACTCGAAAGGTTCGTATTCCAAACTATTTTTATTTTTCTTAGAATGGAGACGTCTTCAAAAGACCACTAATATTAAGCAATTTGCTAACTGATACTCCTACCAGGTTTTACACGCCGCTACGATTCCCAAATCTGGATAGTTTCCCTCGGGATTTGTTCCCTGTTTCGAAGTCAGGTCTTGGAAACCAGATTTCCACGGCTCTCACAACATCGTCGCGAACTGGAGATAAAATCAAGGCGCTTCAAATGGTTGCAAGCCGGGCTATCTCAGTTGATGAGAGAGAAGCCTTGACCAACGGCCTGGGGGAAATCAGGGAATCATACGAAACGGGATGGATGAGTGATTCGGATTTTGATGACGATTGATTTGGCATGAATGATAACAGCGAGAGGAGCAAATGAAGGATACTGTTACTGAACAGTACGCAATAAAGAAAAGAGTCTCGAGAATTAACACCATTAGCACTTGAGATTACTTGGGAGAATTTCTGGGCAGAACGATGGACTACTACGGCTCTGAATTGCCCACGCTGACACGATTGAAGCGTCATTATGACTTACCAATGCATAGGTGGTGCTACGAAGCAGGAGTTATTCGGGTTACCAACACCAGAGTATCATACGGCCATTGAAATAGCTGGTCTAGTGGAGCTTTCATGTAGGCTGCATGCCACAATCAGAACCCGACTGCAAATATTACTCACGGACAAAACGTTTGAACAAAGGCATAAAATTCACTCGCGGGAATATATCCATTTATCCAAAGCCTGTACTATGATATCTGATATATTTGGTAATTAAACAATGGAAATCTTCTCTGTGTGCTCGGATTTTCCCGCAACCTCCTGCTTCTCAGAATCCAATTGTATATGATTGTGAAATATTGGCAATGGGATCATCACCACCAAAAAGAGCTGCAACTTCCTTAAGTGGCTTGTGTAACGCATTGGGGAATGTGAAGTAAACAACAACAGCCGCAGGCAAGACAGGCACATGAAGATCAAGTGTGTCTAACAGCAGTTGGCTGCATTTCAAGCCAGAGGATGTTGATGATGCAGAAGCCAGCCACTGCCAGAGCCATTCCCTTAGAAGATGCGTTTAGAATATCTCATCAGCACGGCATTAGCTGATCTCTTCAAGAAACAGGTTGAAGACGAAAAGGAACAGGAAGATGAAAGCCGCAGCAGCACCGAGGCTGTGGTGTTATTTGTGCCAACATATTCAGCAATGAGAGCAGTCTCAATGATATGATAGCAGCGCAGGCTACAATAATGCTGACTGAGATCAATATATGACGAGGAATTCGGTCCACGTAAGTCAAGGAAATCAGGTTACCGGCACAGGCAACGCAGTATATCCCAGCTAGGATTCAGAGACTAAGAGTTAGAATACCCCATCTCTGAGAAGATCGATGCGGCATATGCTGAATTTTGATATGTTAGAGCAGCAAGCACTCTGCGAGGTCTGTTTGATGCAAGGAAACTTACTTGTAATGACTAGATTCCCAATTGTATATGGAATAACGGACAGGAGGAAAGAAATAAGGCACGCTTCCGGTAAGAAGGCCTCTTCAGGATTATCCACCATGAGGATTCCAACTATACCTCCAGCTCACATTGCTTCTTCATCTGAATAAATTCCCCACCGCGAACTCATGACTCGGATCTGACTGGTCTCGTAGAACCTCCAGACAATTTCCCAAGCTTCATCATCACGGTCCTGCGTGGGGAGCCATTGGGGGGGCACTCTAATAGCTAGTAAATGATGCAGAGAAGAAGTGGGAAACAGCCCAGCGCAATTGGAGCTTGCCATTGTCCAGACGTGGTTGGCTTTGTAATGGGAGAAACCAAACCTACGTACGCAGCAACAATATAATCGATCACACCTAGAAGACCTGTTATCCCGGTCAGTATACCCCTGCCTTTAGTAGGGACCAGCTCAGTGACCCAAAGTGGTGATGCCATGAACAGCATATATGCGCTGAGTGAAGAAAGAATTCTATCAGTTTCAAAAAATCTCCGAAGTGAAACAGGAAAACATACCCAAAGCCAACAAAGAATCGGAAAGCAACAAACATAGCAATATTGACCGATCCCGAAAGACAAGCCGTGCTGATGATGAGAATGATACAGCCTCTGATCACAGTCTTCTTCCAACCAATCCGGTCGGCAATAATGGTATTTCATATGACGCCGAAGACACCGCCGACGTAGAAAAGACCCGTCACTGATTCTGTGAGGGCTTCGGCATGAGGATTCGTAGCTAGGCCCATGTACTCGATGAACGATGTTCGACTTGTAGAATGTAGTGCCGATAATTGACCCGGTATACGCATAAGAGACGCTTCCTAATGAGATTCCAAATATCATAAGGATAGAAGACCATCTGTAATGGCGCCGCCGGACATCCAGGGCTTCATCAGTCGCCGACAGACATTGTTTAGGGCTTGTTTCGTTTATCGCATGAATGAGCTGGAGTGTTCGATTCAGCTAGCTAGAAAGTAGGAACGCTGATCAGTGCACCGCTACCGAGGCATAGTATATTAAAGTAGATCTATGGATTAGTCCGGGGAAATCTGGGGAACGTGTGGGGAAGATGTGGGGAAAATTTCCGTGGAAGTCATTAATTAAGCTGTTTGTTTAAAGTTGTCGGAATGATCACTTTTGACACCTATTTACAGCAGCACGCAGTAAGCGGAAACGTCATTTTTATATATTATGGCCCCTCTCCCACTGTGACTAGACCAAGTACGAGTTTTTTGCACCTGGAACGCTTTATCCTTGCTGAAAATGAGATGGTGAACAAGCTAACATATTTGTTGTGGAATATGCATGTAACTCAGGGAAGAAGGGCAGAATGAAGCTGTATCGGCTACACGTACGTAGCCTCCTAAGGAACAGATGCCATTCTCTTCTATCTCTCTACATATAATCAGGGGCTCGGATTCTCAGGGATCAGAGAGGGAGCCAAGCCGCCATATGGCATCTGTTCCTTAGGAGGCTACGTACGTGTAGCCGATACAGCTTCATTCTGCCCTTCTTCCCTGAGTTACATGCATATTCCACAACAAATATGACACATGGCGATCTTGATCTCGTTAGACGCAAAAAAGCGGCCCGGGCATGCATGTTGCCCATAGCAAAAACCCAAGTGATTCAGGCTAGTTGAAACAAACAGCGAGATGTGCTCTTTGCCGGGCTCTGTACGCATCTTCAGGAACTAGTATCCGTCGAACTCATCCGGGTTTGGATAGTAACTGGCGTCCCAGTGGCGTGTTGAGGCGACAGTTGAAATGGTGTCCCGTGGAAGTACCGTTTCATCTGAAAGCTTTACTTCGCTCACCGCAAGTCTCTGTAAAGAAGCTAGACTCTCAAATGTTGTTAGCACACTCAAAAGCCCGGATGGAAGCCTGAAAATGGTATGTCAAGCTTTCTTACTGTCATTGATCGGCCGTAGCCGCTGACTCACCTTGAAAATGCTATCCAGAAACTTCGGGCTATCCAAGGATGGCTGGAAGAAGCCATCCTCTCCTAGCAAGGCAATAATCTCTTCATGACGGGGTTGAATGTGCTCCGGATGCCGAACAAGGTTAAACATCAGTTGTGTAATCATATCTGCTGGTGACATGGGACAGCGTCAACTACGCATTGACAGGATCATATTTGCGGCCGTTAGCAACTTGTCCAAACCATTCCATTGCATCGATATATTCCGGTGCCTCTCCTATATAACTGCCAAAAGCAAATTCCAGGAAGGCTCCAAATCTAGGGTATCGAACGTTGACGATCTGGATGTGTCATAATGCCAGCTCCTTATCATAAAAACAGCATTGAGGAAAGGTAACCTTAGCGTCAGAAAGATGATTGTTCCATGGTCTGACAGATTCTGAAGGCTTTCCTCCAAATTCTTCAGGCCCTCTCGAAGCAGTCGGCACGCATTCTCGGATGAAAGGCATGTCTTATTAGTGGTAGAGGAGCACTCAGGTTCATCCCAGGACTTCTAAGACATCTGGGATCTAGATCTACGAAACAAACGCAGTGGAGAATATTTGACTGCCCCAGGATCGGCTGATGCCTCGTGCTACGGTCTTACCTCTTTTCCATCCTCGTGTTTGAAGTTGATCGTCGCCATCGAAAATGCAGTCAACTAGTTAGTAGTTGGGTTCCTGGGTCTTCCAGCCGCTTACTCAGCATTTCTTCCCTGTTGAGCCAAACTCAAATCTCTCTGCGAACACTGCCATCTCCTCGATCGCTGCCTGTTCCGGCTGTCTTGAGCCATCCATTTCTATATTTAACATGCTTTTGCTATTAAAAGATTGCTTAGCATTTCACTGGCTAGGAAGTTAGGAACAACTCCCATCCCTTTCCCACGTCCGTCGAGACCGGTTCTGCATGCTAGAGATGGCCGGGCCCTGGTCCTGCCAAGATTGGAGAGTTGGATAGTTCCTAATAACCTGGGTCATGTTCCCATTTCTACTTGTCGATCTATGCGCCTGTCTCACTTTGTTTGCGGGGCAATGAATCGAGCACGTCAGGTGTAGAGCGCGTCTCTCAGTGAGAGCATGTTCTTTGACATACATACTCAGATTATGTCTCCAAAATGACCTGTCAGGATAATTCTCTAGCCTCGTCGACATTAATTACAACAGGGTTCCGCAACGGCTGCTGACGCCGCCAGATTCATTGGCCTTTCGAGAATGCGGAGAAACCAACCCTGGCCCTGTTTCTCGGTCACAAATATGATTGAACTGGGTGGTGGCTGCTGTTCACTTATGGACATGGACTACTTTTCATTAATTTTCAAGCTATATTGTACGATGGTCCACGGACATGCGCTTACAACCTTATCCTGATCATGGTGGGTCGGTCGACCGGCGACAGCAAGCTCCAGTGTTGTTATTTGGTGCACACGTCTCAAGTCTTACGTCAAGAGTCTGATTGGAATCCTTTGGCATGGCCTAGTTCATTTTCGGCTAACCTCACTCTTGTTGCACTGGCATGGTGCTCCTCAATGCTCAGTAACTCGACCGACTTGTGGCTCCGATCGATCCAAGGGAAAGGGGAGCCAGGAGAAGGGGACATGTCTGAAAAGGAAAATCTACAGACCGCCCTCTCTCGTTACTTCTTTTTTTTTTTTTTTTTTTTTTTTTTTTTTGTCCTGGACATCACCAGGTTTGCGTTGCCATATGTAACCGAAATATACCGATGCGACGCTGCATGATTCCTTGCTGAACTCACTGCTTCCAATGTCTCCTGTCTATCTGAGGCTTTTTGCCCATCCGTCTCTAGCCTCGATGACGTTCTTCTCATTCCTCGTATTGCCCCTCAAAATAGCTGTGCTGGTTTCCCCGTTGTCTTCGTATAACGGGAAGTTGGAGCAATTATTCTCGGTATGATGTTCCCCCACGAAAGCAGATACAATCCATCTCAGTGAGAGAAAACAGGGAAACTCAGTCTTCCTTCTACAACTCTGAAGTGGGTACGCATAAATCGGGGGTTACAAGTTTGTTTCTCGCATTGCTTCATGCCCAACAGGCATCCGCATGGACTTGTCTAATGCCACCACGGATATCTATCCTCCCCGCAAGTGGGTCGATCTTGAGCATGCCAATCATTGTCTTCAATTGGGACAGATTGGCAGCGGTTCTCTTTTTGAGAGGTTGATGCTACATACTTGATTGAACCATTACCATCTCGGCCCTGTTCCTTCTACTAACGGAGAGTACCTTTGTCTTACGGTTTTGGGAGATATTAAACAAGGCAAATGAAAACGCAGGGGTATACAACGAACTGGGTCAGCGAAGATATTTGCTCGACGGTCTTCACCGACTTAGGGCATCTCCGTTAGGTATTTAAACCTACCTCCCATCCTTCGTTTTGCTCTTGCCTACGGCCATATCCTTGCGCTTCTAATTGCTCCTACCTGTATGCTCGCTTATGTGATTCTTAGTTTGAAATTGTACCGTCCTTAGGCAAACAGTTTCTGGGCTTGTCCTGCCCACGGGGTAGCGAACAATGCGGGTCTCGACACTCGTTTTACTTTCCTTAACGGCCACTGCTTTCGGGCGTGTCGCTGTCTTCCCGCGGAAAGGGGGACATGTCCAGCTTGGCCCCCGTCAGGACATAGAAAGCACACCCCCAGGTACTGTTCCCACGCCTCCGACCAGCTCTAGTGGAACAACGGCCACTTCCACTACCAGTGCTGGCGAGACGGCTACTACTCCCACAGTCATTCCTACTGAGTCGGAAACCACCCTCCCGACTAGTCCTACCCAGCCGAATATTACGCCTACAGCTAGCTCTAGTGAGACAGAGACTACTCCCACGGTCAGCCCTACTGAGTTACAAACCACCCCCCACAGGCAGTTCTAGCGGAACAGAAACTACACCTACCGTCAGTCCTACTGAGTCACAAACTACGCCCACAGGCAGTCCTACCGAGTCAAAGACTACGCCTACCGTCAGCCCTACAGGGCCGGAAACCACCCCTACAGGAAGTTCTAGCGGAACAGAAATTACACCTACTCTCAGTCCTACCGAGCCCAAGACTACACCTACTGAGTCGAAAACTACTCCAAATAGTCCTAGCGGAACAAAATCCACGCCTACAAGTCCAAGCGGAGCGAAGTTGACTCCCACTGGCCCTAGTGGAACGAACATCACGCCTACTGGATCTGGTGGGCCTTCTACTATCACCACTACATATACTACCACCACTTGTCCTGGTAAGTCAGTTGATTTCTCAAGAGAGACAAGTCTAACTTCCGCAGTTACCTACACTATATCGACAAGTGGAACATCCACGACCACGATACCTATCACCCAGACTAGCACTTATACTGTGACGACAGTTGTTACTTGCAGTAATGGTTGTCCCAAGCCTACACCACCGCCGGTGTCGCCAACAGTGGTTTCCCCGACTGTTATCACCACAACCTTTGTTACTACTACCTGTCCAGGTAAGTTAGACAATTTCCTCTTTGTTTTATCATAGAACATGGAATAGCCGACTTTTTACAGTTACCTACACAACAACAACAAGCGGGACATCAACCTGGACTATACCAGTGACTCAGACTAGTACCATCACTTCCACGGCAGTTATTACTTGTAGCAATGGCTGCCCTAAGCCTACGCCACCACCACAACCATCACCCCCAACTACACCTACCACGCTTACTACCACATACATCACGACTACATGTCCTGGTAAGCTAGGGCTCCTTTTTACCAGGCGTTATAGCGCTGACCTTTACAGTCATCTACACAACAACATCACGTGGGTCATCAACCTGGACTGTACCGGTCACTCAGACTAGCACAATTACTGCTACTTCAGTGATCACTTGCAGTACAGGCTGCCCTAAGCCTACGCAACCACCACAGGCACTACCTCCGCCTCCACCATCATTCCCGACTACCCTTACTACCACATATATCACCACCACATGCCCTGGTAAGTTTGGAGAAATCCCTGCCAAGTCGGTACAGGATGGAGCTAAGAGTTGGAAGTGATCAACATAACAACAACAAGTGGAACATCAACCTGGACTGTGCCAGTTACCCATACTAGAACTATTACTACTTCGTCAATTATTACATACAAGACAGGTTACCCATACTCAACCAGCCATCCGCTGCCTCCACCTATTATTATACCGCAGCCGCCTGCTACAAATCACCCGGCTCCCCCTCCTCCCTCAGGAATCAGCCATCCGATACCGCCTACTGTTATTCCACAACCCCCGGGCACCAACAATCCGGCTCCCCCGCCGCCAAAGACTAGTCAACCGGTTCCTCCTGTTGTTCCACAGCCTCCTAGTACCAATCATTCGGCTCCCCCGCCACCAGAGATCAACCAGCCAGCGCCTCCACCTCCCTCGGGAACCTCCCATCCGGCACCGCCTCCTGTTATTATACCACCACCTGCTACTACTACTACTACAGTCACTTTCTGCCCTGGTAAGTTACACTTTGAGAATTTCTGTCAACACAAGTAAACACAACTGACTATATTTATAACTAGTTCTATCCCCAGTCGGGACATGTTCAGCGATGACAGAGACGGTAACGGTCACCGTGCCAGCTAATTCATGGCCAGGGACTGTACATCCTATTCCACCGCATCCTGCATCAGGCTCCCCAAGTGCAACGAAGTCGCTTTCCAGAATCGGTGGTGCTGCTAACCCTTCCGCAACACAATCGCCAGCAAGTTCGAGCTCTCCATCTCTGTCTAACGGCTCCGCTCCGCGTTTTGAGAAGTCAGCGGCAGCAGTAATTGCCGGCATTTTAACACTGTTGGTGATCTTCTAACTTGAATATGACAATAACTCTTTTCCTCGGTAATAGTTCTGTTTTAATAATCTGCTAATTGTTACCTTGTTTTTTGCCCGGCCCAACTCGGCAGCATTGACTTTTTTTTTTAAAAAAAGAGAGAAACACAATGTATTGACTGTGGCACTTTCCTTAACAGATTATTGCTGTAATATGTGAATGCTAATAGCATTCTATTGTCAGACCTTCAATACTTATTTCAATGATTAATTACTCTTTCAATGCACACAGACAATGAGCTTTTGAAGTACAGTCTGTCACTGGCTAGTCGATATCTATAATATTTGCGAGCTAAACTTACTTTATTTGTTAATATCAAACTGCAGTAATTCGATGCTTTCAAAGAGAGAGACTGGACTTTAATATCCTTGTTCTCCCTCGCCTGTCCCGGCATATTAAACGTATATAACCATGTGTTCAGATGGTAACCCTACCTCCGCAACCCTGCTAACAGTACCGAAGAAAACTTCCATGGACTAGATCATTATCTCATAGAATTATCAATTCTAGTATTAATATATGGGATGTCCTTGGGAAGCATGACTGGAATTTGTGACGATCAGCTATAATAGGATGAGAAGAAGAAAACAACTCGCTATTCGGCCGTACTGCCTAGGAATATCGTACACGAGGAGAAGAAGAAGGAAAGGAAAAAAGGTGAAAGACATGGTGGGAGGAAATAGGAGGCGAGGGCCGCTGCCTGCCCTCAGCCCTAGCCCTGTGCCCTACTTGCTCAATCTGCTGGCACCTTCTTAAGACGTGCCAGTGCCAGGATCACATGCTGACGGTCATACCTCAGGTACGGTCGTCGTAGAATTTGCAGCAGAACAGCAAGTTTACTCTATATTAGTCATTATGGCACATGTCAAATGACAACTAGGCATCAGCATTAATTACAGCCTCTTATCACAATAATTAATTATTATATGGTTGATGGATCTATAAGAATAGTCTTGTGGATCATATATTGTCACGACCTAGCTCCTAGGGTGCATTCTAAGGACTAAACCGCTGCGCTACCGGCAAAAGACCAGGATATCAGGTCGTAAGACCTGATACTGCACTCACTTATATAGTACTTGTTTTCCACACTGTCACAACCATATACTGTTATTTCCACTGGATCAACTCATCATTCACATGGCGACATGACAGACTCCTTTTCATCCCCTAGCCCTGGCAGCAATGAAGAACAGCCCAACACCATTGTACTGTCACCATTGCAAATTGAAAACCCACATGAGCTCTACCAACTAGTTACCAGAAAGGCCCAACTGCCACCTCAATTATATCTCCATATCGAGGGGACTCATATGGAGAACGAGCCGCAGTGCGCCGACACCAAGAATAATAACGACGAGAGCAAGCCTGCACCCCAGAAGAAAGTATACGTTACTGATTTTGACTTCTCGCTCGATCTGACTCGATCCCTGCTATGTCATGGTGAGGGTGCTACGGGATGGCATGAACTGTCTGTTGTTGGATATGGGGATGGTCAGGAAGTGTTTCGGGGGGGAAGAGTTCGGTCTCGCCAGTGGGCATCGCATTCCAGACTTGCTGGTACGGTAGATCTAGAGGGGGCCGGTCAGCAGATGGAGGATGTACCTTTCTTAAGCCAGAGGGAGGATGATGGCTCTACTCCCGCCTTGATGAGTTGGTGTGGGTGTGAACGGTTCTGTGACGATCCTGCCAGGGTCAAATCGTACGTTTATGCTGGAACAAAAAGACTTCTTTCTTTTCTTTTTTATTTTTTTTTTTTAAAAAAAATAATCAACTAACTCCTCGGAACAGGTTTATTCTCACTCGCGTTCTGGATGGATTTGATGTCGAGATTCTGCGCTCCGAGCTGACGTCGTATTTGCGCTCACTCAATTACCGCGGCACAATCACCATCTCAGCAAGCATCCCCAATAGTTCTGTTACCTTCTACTCACCGCACTGGATTAATAAGATGCGAAATGACAGAGTTGTCTCCACACTTTGCATCGCATTGCAGTTATGGATCGTGGCGCTCCCTGTAATCTGGCTGCTGGAAAGACGCTACGAGGTCGTGCGGTCGGTATGGTGGTCCTCCCGCGAGGTTGCGGATGCCATAGCCACGGCAGCGTCCGGCCCACGAAAGGTCTACGCCTGTGGACGAAATGAAGAGGAACTGGCTGGGTTCTGGGCACCGATTGTTATGCAAGCGGCCTGGGAGCGGCGGAAGGGGTGTACCCTCACGGAGGAGGACTTGGGGAGGCTGCAGCGACGAAAAGAGCGTCTGGGGCGGATGCGGTGGATGGAATCGCTGGATGGGAGGGTAACAGGAGCTGGCTCGAGGGTTACTTTGAAGGGACCTTTAGTTTTAGGAGGTTACAATTCCCAGGCGGGATGGGGTGCGAATTGTTAGGTCGGTAAATTCGATGATTGTCTATGTAGTTGTCTGGGACTCATGGAGTATCAATACAACATAACGTTCTTTCTTCACTGTTTGTAATCGACTATCCAAAGACGCGGCCTGACCAGATCATTACATACAGTTCAAATCCATAGGAAAATACAAATCAACTTACTTCTCCCCGCCTTCTAGGTATTCCTTGAACCATTGAATAAGGAGAATGGGACGCCATTTTTCTATGTTTCTTGGAACTGGAAATTGGATATTATGTTTTCCACAGAAGCAGTGGCAGATTATGGCGATGTCATGATGTGCGAGGCAATACCTGCTGTGGAGGTAGAGGCCTTTTTATATCCTCCTGATGCAGCCTCGCAGATAAGGTTAAAGGAAGATGATTGTGGAGCGGACCTAGAAATTAACTCCGGCCGTCTAGAAAATTCGCGCTAAAATCTAAAGCAGGGAATTTAGGGGATTTAAGGATCTTAGGGATCCTTACGGCTTAGGGCTACATGGACTCACGGTACAGATTTCCAGGTGTGCCGAGCGTTTTCTATTCCGGCTCTCTAGGAGCCCATGTTGACCCTCGAGGCACTTCTCCCGCGCATCGATACTCTCGGAGTTCTACCTCAACATGCCACTCTCTTTTCTAGGGCACAGAAATGAGGCCTGAGTCTGTGTTAATGCCTGAGGCTTCAAATCACCTGACAAGGGCACGGGAAGAATGCAATGCAAATAGTCTTGGCGTGTTTGCAGTTGGTGCTCAACGTGGCCTCTCCTGGAGAAGGTCGAGATCATAATCATTCCCTCATGCTTCTAAATATCCAGCTATCTTGCCAGCTGGCCAGTACTGAGTCAATCTGTCAACTATTCTTTGATGGCTTATCTTTCTTTTCTTTCATCCTACCAGCCTCCCTTGAACCGCAATCAGATCCTCCAATAGCTGCTATCAGTAAGCTTGTTTGCGGAGAACACAACCACCCAGCACCTCCAAGTACAGACTACCTAAGGCTCGGGAATTGCTTTTAAATTTCGCTTTTGCCCCTCCACGGCCATTCCGCCGAATATTCGCAGGCAACTTGTGTTTGAAACCAAACTGATCCTCCGCAGTGGGGTAGAGAAGTCCGCAGATAATGGCTCCGCGTAGCCAGCTACATGCGCCTCTAATATCTCCGTTCATGTCCTTGTCAATCTGGACTTTTCTGATCCTTCCCTTCATTATATCCCTACTCGGCTTTCCCGCACCTGCGGCTGCCATTGGCTCCGCAGTCATCGGTATCGATGTAGGCACCGAGTATCTCAAGGCAGCGCTCGTCAAACCTGGTATTCCGCTCGAGATCGTTCTCACAAAAGATTCAAAACGAAAAGAATCTGCCGCCGTGGCATTTAAGCCCACTAGGGGTAACGATGCGCTATTCCCCGAGCGATTTTATGGTGGCGACGCCCTCGCTCTGGCAGCGAGATATCCCGATGATGTTTACGCGAATCTGAAAACTCTTCTCGGCGTTCCGTTTGATGGAGGAGAAAATGAGATTGTCAAGACATACTGGAGCCGGTATCCTGATCTAAAGCTGGAGAGTGCTCCCGGTGGGCGTGGCACGGTTGGATTGCGAAGTAACAGACTCGGCGAGTCACAGAGGAAGGATGCGTTTCTGGTTGAAGAACTTCTGGCAATGCAGTTGAAGCAGATAAAAGGTAATGCGGATTCCATGGCTGGCAAAGGGTCAGATATCCGCGATGTGGTTATCGCCTACCCGTCGTTCTATACCGCCGAGGAAAAACGAAGTCTTGAATTGGCGGCTGAATTGGCAGGGTTAAATGTTGAGGCCTTAATCACCGATGGTCTAGCTGTTGGCTTGAACTACGCTATGAGCCGTACCTTTCCCAGTGTGTCCGAAGGGCAGAAGCCGCAGTACCATATCGTCTATGACATGGGAGCCGGGTCTACAACAGCCAGTGTCCTGCAGTTCCATGATCGTGTGATCAAGGATATGGGTCGATTTAACAAGACTGTTCACGAGGTCCAAGTCCTGGGGACAGGCTGGGACAGGACTCTCGGGGGAGATGTTCTGAATGAACTTATCGTCGACGACATGGTCGAGAGCTTTGCCGAGGACAAGAAATTGAAGGATCGCGTTACCATAGCTGACCTGAAAGCGCATGGTAAAACAATGGCAAAGCTGTGGAAAGATGCTGAAAAGCTTAGGCAGATTCTCAGTGCCAACACTGAAACGAGCACAAGCTTTGAAAGCCTTTTTGAAGAAGATCTAAACTTCAGATACAAGATTACTCGCTCCAAGTTTGAAAAACTGGCCGAGAAGTATGCAGCCAGAGTGGCAAAGCCCTTGGAACAAGCTATCTCGGCTTCCGGACTAGAGCTTGACGACATCGATTCAATTATCCTGCACGGCGGCGCTATCAGGACCCCTTTCGTGCAAAAGGAATTGGAGAAAGCTTGTGGAAGCCCAAGCAAAATTAGAACAAGCGTAAACGCCGATGAAGCAGCTGTATTTGGGGCTTCTTTCAAGGGAGCTTCTCTCAGTCCTAGCTTTCGTGTGAAGGATATCCGAGCCAGTGATGCTGCGGTTTATCCGGTTTTGCTGAAGTGGAGTTCGGGCGAAAAGTCGAGACATATGAAACTGTTCACTCCCACTTCGTGCGTTGGAACCGAGAAACAGGTGACCGTGAAGAACCTGGATGACTTTGAGTTGGAATTCTACCAACAGATTTCCACAAGCAACGGGGTAACGGAGTTACCAGTGCTGAGCGTAGGAACAAAAAACCTAACTGCCTCGGTGACTAAGTTAAAAGACACGTTCGGTTGCACGGCTGCGAATGCTACTACTAATTTCTCAATCCGCTTAAACCCGGCTGATGGGCTTCCTGAAGTCGTTAGTGGCTGGGTTGCTTGCGAAGTGGAGAACACTGAGAAGAAGGGTAGCGTTGTGGACGATGTGAAGGGCTTCTTTGGTCTGGGTTCGAAGAAGGATGAGCAGGAGCCTCTCGGAGAGGATGTACAGCGCGGCGAGTCAATTACTTTGGAGGCAGAGGAACCTCAAACCACAACGTCGGCCTCTGAGAATGCTACGTCTACTACCAGTGTTGTCACGGAGAGCAAGAAGACAGCTACGCAGACGAAACTGGAGACGATCCCTATCAGCCTTACTTCCTCGCCGCTGGGAACCCCATCCCCATCTCCTTCTGAACTCAACCGGATCCGCAACCGCCTCGCCGCCTTTGACGCTTCAGATAACGATCGTATCCTGCGGGAAGAGGCTTTAAACGAGCTTGAGTCTTTCATTTACCGGAGCCGTGATCTGGTCGAGGATGACAAGTTTGTCAAGGCACTCAAGGCGGACCAACTGGCCCTTCTCAAAGAGGAAGTAGCGGCAGCCGGCGACTGGCTCTATGGAGATGGCACCGAGGCCAAGGCGGTTGATTTTCAGGAGAAGCTTAAGTCTTTGCAAGATATTGTGAATCCTGCCCTGCAGAGAAAGAGCGAGAACTCCGTTCGTCCTGCTCGCGTACAACTACTTCAGGACGTACTTGGTAACGTGAAGACAATTGCAGAAATAATGGAAAAGCAGATTCAAGATGATGAAGAAATGTTCTCGTCGTCTGCCTCTGCGGCGAGCTCTTCAACCACCAGCCAGTCAGAATCAGAATCATCAACATCGGAAAGTGCATCATCTTCTACTACCACATCATCAAGTGATCCTGCCACGCCATCATCCGATCCCCTGGATGAGCTAGACGATGATCCTTACTCGTCCTCATCCTCATCCTCGATGACGACAACAACTTCAACCGCTGCAGCAAAGCCTACTGGACCCAAATACACCATTTTCCAGCCTTCAGACCTTTCATCTCTCACAAGGGTTTACGAGGCCACAAAGAAGTGGTTCGAGACCCAGCTGGCATTGCAAGAGAAACTGGTCGAGTCGGACGATCCAGCGTTGACCGTCTCTGAAATCGATTCCCGCATTCGTGAACTCGACAGATTCCTGACACGAATGTATCAGAAGATGGGCGCCACCACTAAACGCCCTGCGGGTGATCGCCCTAAGAAGGACAATAGTAACAAGGAGAAAGCAGAAAAGGCGAAGTCGGAGAAGCAAAAGCAAAAGCAAAAGCAAAAGGAGAAGGAGAAGGAGAAGGCGTCTCGAAAAGATGAACTGTAGTATTATTTTTACGTCGAGCCATCAGGTTTTTATGGTTAAAAATACACAATACAGCAATGTTTGGAATTATGAAGGCGTTTTTTTTTTCATCCTAGAGATATAGCAGCTATCTTTGTCGACCATTTTATTCCTTGGCTGTATGTATGCTTGTATTCCACCGACGTCATTTCCATGCATATACAGCATCTTTTAAGAGATTTGTTACATATTTGATTGATTGATTGATTTGTTGTATTATTTAACTAACGTCTGTAAGAGATTTGTTACAATATGTTGGTGGCCCAGGAGGTTCAGCTCCTTTCCTCTTTAGGGTTAGGGCGGCTTAGTCAGATAGAGTAGATAGCCAGTAGCGAGACGCACAACGCGTAGTCGTCGTGAGGAACAACGAGCATATTCCCCTATCTAGGACCTCACCAACACAATATGTTGGATCACGTGGGATTCTGCCGCATAGGTCCGCCCTCGCTGACCCTTTTCACCACGTAGGCCTATCTAGCTAGCAACCAACAATATATACCTCCATTAGGTTATGAGCCCGTTTCTTTCTTGCTCGGAAATATGAGCTATTTTTAGGCCCGTATAAGTGGTCAATTTAAGCCCTCTGATTGGCTGGATCAAAATTCCACACCCCAGATTCCAAAAACTCCAGGATCCCAGATACGGTCTGAACCTGAGCATGTCAGGAGAACCTACTACGCCTCCTTCTGACGAGTCTGAAGGATTTGTTTCTTCTGATTCTGAGTTGGAATCAGATCTTGACATGCCTGCTAAGGATGACTCGCACCGCCCTAAGGCTAAATGCCCCCCCGCTAGGAAGGGTGCTCCTCAGGATGGTCGTTCCGCCGCTATTCATGGTGAAGAAGCCCAAGTTCAGGACTCTGAACCATCTGGTGTTAAAAATTCTGGAACCAAGATTGCCCCTCACATGGCTATCCTGCTTTCCGCTACGTACCACCTTGGTCTCGCCTCAATCTCCTGGCCCTCCGTCTCTGCTTTTATACCATCTGTTTACAATATGTTTTCGATGATTGAAGCTCTGACTAGTCTCCTTGCCAACAACAGTCTGCTCCATGAGATGTGCCCTGAGCTCTTTACTCCTGTCCTATTTTATTACGGTCATGCTTTTTACTACCAGGTTCTCCGCGCCCACAACGCTGCCGGAACTGACGTTCTCACTCGGATTGAAAAGCGCGCCCTCACTTACTATAAACGTGTCTTTATGACCCAAGTTCAGGGATTCAAAGAAGGTTCTGGAGATCTTGTCTGTGAACTCCTTCAATCCCTCTATGGATTGGTCCCATCTGCCCGCATCTGGTATGATACTCTGGGTGCTTTTCTACGCCAAATCAGCTTCAAATGCTCTGAATATGACTCTGGCCTCTGGATCCATACTGCCCGGACCCAACTCTATGTGACCACCCATGTGGATGACTTCAAAGTCTATGCTAAACATGAAAACGATGCCATCTGGTTTATGGAGACTCTCTCCGCCAAATTTGACATGAAAGAAGTTGGAGACTACTAAATACCTTGGCATACCATCTCCCAGTCTGAGACCTCATATTCTTTATCTCAAGCTGACTACGCCGAAGATGTTGTTGCCTCTTTTGGTCAAGCCCATGCACACCCTGTTAGGATTCCAATGGATCCTAGCCTAATAATTGATGATGAACCCAGACCCTACAGTCAACACCAAAGAATATCAACGTGGTGTAGGCTGCTTTACCTGGCTAGCCACCAAAACCTGGCCAGATCTTAGCGGACGGTTGGCATACTATCCCAATATAACGCCAAACCCACCCAAAAAGCATGGCGTGCCCTTATACACGCAATACGCTACCTTAAAGGCTCCATCAACCAGCAAATTACCTATCATAAACCCACGGAGCCCATTACATCTGACCTCATGCCAAAATGCTATACTGACTCTGATTGGGGTGGTCAACTGACAGGCAACCGCCGATCAGTTTCTGGATACATCTTTCTGCTTGCCGGAGCCCCAATTTCCTGGAAAGGCCGCAAGCAGACATCCGTTGCCCTTAGCTCCAATGAAGCTGAGTATATGGCTCTAAGCAAAGCCAGCCGTGATGCCCTCTGGCTCCGGAATCTCATCAACGAGCTTAATGTGCTCCCAACTGAATGCCCAACAATATATCTTCATATCGATAATCAAGGTGCTCACGCCATGGCCGAAGCCGAGCTCACCACCAAGAGATCCAAACACATTGACATACGCTACCATTACGTTCGGGAGAAGGTCCAAGACGGCATTGTTAAACTTCAGGCCTGCTCTACCAAAGAACAGGCAGCAGATGGCCTGACCAAACCTCTCCAAACTGAACAATTCAATCATTTCCTGGAACTCACCGGCATACATTAAGCGGCGCTTGTTCCCCCATTTTAGCTATATTTTCTATTCTGGGTTAAAAGGGTTGAAATCAAGATTTTTCTGGAACGTATAAGGGCAATACGTGACTTTGGAGACCGTATCCGTAAGTTTCCAAGAATGCTACATCCCCCTCCACTCTGACGTTTCTCACGGTCTCGGCAGTTGAACTAGTGAATGACAACATCCCTGAAACGAGGGTAGTGCGCGAATTAGAACACAAAGTGGGCTCGGAATACAACATGTGGACAGAGGCTTACACCATCCATAAACTGTACGAGATGGATATTCGGAATAAATCCTGGATTTGCGAGGATGCATCTGGTGGAAACATCCAGACATTCACTTCCATCCCAGCAAATCGCACTGGGAAGGAAAGAGAGGAGGAAACAATCATGTCCACCATCGCATTAACCCCTGAGGATAGAGGAGGCCACGTATACAAAACATTTGCTCTCAAGGAGGTCATATCAGAGAGCTTCTGTCTAGCCTCATGCGGTGAACAGCTCTGGAGCATAGAGGCTAAGAGCCTTAATCCTGCACGCCCCATGCTTGAAAAATCCGCCTGACTTGTGAACGGATTCTGCCTGAGAGATCAGCCAGTCCCGAGGCATATTATAATTGTATGTTCCAGATACTGCACACATCAACATTCTGAAATGGGGCGTGGTGGTGCCGGTGCACCATCACATAAAGATATTTTTTGTCCAAGATGTCAATTCTAGACTGTGACTGTTCTACAATATGGCCTTTGTACATCTGGTAAGCTGCTTTTACAATCACACGTTTGTCAAATACTTCATTCTGCAAGTTGGTAAATAGAATATATGTGACGACTAGTACTACGAATAGATGAAGAAAAGCAACATATGATATTCGGTACTGTTTTCAACAAATACCAGACATGACAAGAGAAAGGAGAAAGGAAGAAGAAGAACTGAGGTGGTGTAGGCGTATGTAAACTAATGGAGGCATATGTATGGTTGGTAACTAGCTAGATAGGCCGAAGTGCTAAGGGGGCTGCGAGGGCGGACTTAGACGGCAGAATACCACGTGATCTAACATAAATGATGTGGATCAGGGGTGCGGCGTCTGTATACCAGATACTAAAAGGATACCGTAGGATTCGTAGGGATCGTGGTGAAAGCTCTATACCGATATACTGCCGTTTCTAGTACATATGAAGCTCTAATTGATACGCTTAATGCTCAATCGCTCGCTTGAGCTCGCTCCTATATACAGGATCTGGGATACTCGGGTATGGTCATCTTTTCTCCCGGAACATATATTCCATTAGTATCATAGATGCATGATGAGCTCAAATGGAGACATTCCTTTTGAAATTAAGTATTTGCTACATTTATCCCCCGGGACCTTGAATAAACTCTTTTTCCTCAGGTACAGTTGCCTGTGGATAATCTATAACTTGCGTAACTCTGACACTCGTATATGCCTGCAGAAGAAAATGGACAACAGAATAGAGCCAGCAAATGCAAGGGGTATATGTACAGCCTGCTAGCCAGAGCAAGACAAATGGGGTCAAAGACAAAAGAAATATGTATATGTACAGATCAGAATAAGAAGAAAAGCAGAAACAAATCAAGCATCATGCATCCCAATTTCACATCCGAATCTAGCAGCATAGTCATCATCAACCTCTTCTCTTCTTCGCAGAAAGGATGGTTCCTCAAAGTCAACGTCCATATTCACGTTATCCCGTGTTGTTGCAGGTTGTCGTTGGCTGTTGAATTCGAAGAATCTCCGTTTCTGCTGGTGTAGAGTAGGATGTAGAATAGTCCTTCCAACGCCAGAAGAGGAAGAAGCTAGAACGCCATTATAGTCATAGTCACAGTCTGCGCCATCGTCGAGATCTGAATCAAATGACCGCTTATGGCTGCCATGTGCGTGAGGTTTGTGCCCATTCATAAACGATGAATCAGCCTCTATCGAACCCTGACTACTAGAGGGAAGAGAGAAGGCATCTCCTTCATCTATGACGACGAATTGTCCCCGATCCTGATCAGCCAACGACGACAAGTGGGTCATTGAATATGGATCGACGGTAACATGATGAGTGCCGCAAAACGGGGCAAGTTCTGCATGTTGCGAAACGATGTTGTTCCCCCTGCTGTGACCGTAATTGCTGCTGATAAAGGCATTCTTCTCGTTCATTTTCCCGATTGAGGCTGTCGTTTTGTATCCCTCCGCGACTGACTTGCGGACTCTCATGCCGACGGTAAGGAGGGAGGATTGAATCTTTTCCGAAACGACAGGTAATGGGGAAGAGGTGACGGCTGAGTAGTGGTGATGTGATAAGGAAGAACCCGATCCGGGATCAGAAGTGGTCGTTGTAGCTGCTGAGAAGAAAGAGGTAATAGGTGGTTGGAAGCGTCTTCGTTTGGATATGCAGCTTGTGGTGGTGGCTGGTTGTGAGAGGGATGACATTGTGAATGGGTCGTTCTTTCAAAAAGGAATGTGTCTCTAACTGTGGATAAGTGATATGAATGAGTGCCTGTCTATAGATACTGGGATGCTATCTGTGTAACGCTGAGAGGAGTGGGGAGGAAAAGGTAGAAGGGAGAGGAAATCCGATGGAAAGAAGGTTCAAAGTCACTTGCGACGCGACGACACGTGAGTGACGCGTGAGCTCAATATTGCCTATCTTGGACATGCCCTACAGGGCATAGGGCACAGGGCACAGGGTACAGACGGGATAGCTTCATCATCCCAAGTCATGCTAATGAAGATACTTTTCGCCAGTTAATAACAATAATAATGTGTTTCTGATAATTTGTACAAGCATGTAAAAAACCCTAGTTGTTGCCCCTTCTGCCTCCCCTCTTTTGCCTTTCCTGGTGAGCCTTCAGGATTCTCCTTGTTTCCGTAAGACTTCGCTTGCCTTTGCTCTTAGCCTTGCCCAATGTCATGAAAAAATTCTTCTTCCGGGCCTTCTCCTTGTTTGTCGTACTCTTACCCTCGGCCTCCTTGCGCTCCTTGCGTCTGGCGGTTGTACTCTTATGCTCTGACCGATCAGTCTTCCCTTCTTTCACCCGAGCGATCCTCTCCTCGCGGGTCATCTTTCCTGAAGAGAGAGCGGCAAGACCTTCAATCTGCTCTGCTGTAAGCGGGTCTTCATTGTGTCTGCCCGGGCCATTATTCTGTCCAGCACGACGGGCCCCTGGAAGGGCCGCGGTGATCGACGCCTCGGCACGAAGTTCAGCGAGTTTCGCCAGATCAGCTGGGGTAAGGATACGAGTAGTGGCGAGTTTACTCGTGGATTTCTTTTCTGCAGGCTGAGCACCGTCGGTATTTTCTTTCTCCTCGCCATCGTCTTGTTTGGTTTTCTTCGCAGGTCGAGCACCTTCATCATCATCATCCGAGTCACTTATTTCAATTTCACCGTCGCTTTGAACATCAATCCAACCGCCGGAATCATCACTGTCCTCATCATCTTCCACATTCCAGTCATCCCAAGCGGCTTCATCGTCTTCTTCCTCTTCGTCATCTTCCGCATCCGAGGGCAAGCCCTTCTCGATCCTCTTCTTCCTTCGCTCCTCCTCTTTCCATTTCTCTAGAAGCTCAATACCATCGATCTCTCCTATCTCCTGTTCACCGAAGCGTTTCTCTTTCCTCTCCCCTGCCCGTAAGCTCATGGCAGCCTCTTTTCCGCGGTCACGCTTCCTCAGCATTTCCGCCCCTACATCTCTGTAAAGACCGAGAAGACCCTTGGCAGCCATCATCACACCTTTGTCCTTGCTCTTCTTGTACATAACAAGATCTTGTAGCAGTGTCTCGTTCATAGCAAGCGGCTGTCGCACGCATATTTCTCTGATGGAGTTAAGGCCGGCCGTAGCGACCTCCGCTGCGGATGCCTCGGAAACAAATTCATTTGCAATTTTCTGGATTAGGGGTTCAAGAGCATCCGGTGGGACAAGATCATGAGAAGCCTGCGCAAGTGATGCCAGGAACGATGTGACAGAGGGTTGGCGTGGAGTCAAATATTTCTGGAAATATGAGTAAAGCTGCATGATATGCAACTTATGCATTCCCACGAGACGTGAAACAAGCTGCAGAACAAGTAATCTCTGCTCCAAATTTAGCTTCGACTTTGTGTTATGCAGATGTTTCGAGAACAAGGATTCAGCAAAGCCCTGCGGATCATGTAGAAGATGTAACGCAGAGAAATTGAGCGGAGCAGTCTGGTTCTTCCTTCGATCTTTTTTCTTGGCTGCTGTGAGGGCTTTCTCAACTGCGCGAGACTTCTTCCTAGTCTTCTTGTTGATCCCAACCTGATGTCGAATTCGGGCAATGTCGATGGTTTCTTCGTCACTGCTCTCGTCCTCGGCCTCCTCTCTCTCCTTGTCTCCGCCTAAGAAGAACCGAACACCTCCAATAATGACTTTCTCATTATCTGACAAACTGCATTCCTTCATGACCTCGACTGCCTTAGCATCTGACCAAATCTGTCGTTTCCATAGTTCTCTTGTAATCCTAACAGCCCACAATGACTTCGATGAAGTGCGATCTGACGTGACTAGATTGAAAAGGACCGTCTGCATAGTCCGGTTGAGCTTGTGATTCGTCGTCTTGGCGTTTGATGAACGCAAATCGGACACTATTTTTTGGAAAAGCAACTGTCGCAGAGATTTGCTGGGCGTGGAGATGAGAACCGGGAACAGTGTATGGAGAAGTCTGCAAAGTGAACAAGGCAGCAAAATCAGTAAACGACTTAAAGATTCCACATGATCCGAAATGGGCTACATACGTCGCTGAATCCAAAAGATCTTTTTTCTTCAACAACATCAAACTTCCTACAATTTTCTCTCTCAGATCTGGCCCGAGGACCAGGTGGTGTTGCGTGAGCATATCGATGAGTTGTTGCGGGAAGTCCTTCGTTATATCCGGATAGCAGTCGGCCACATGAGAAATGAAGTCAATTAAGTCGCGTAGTGATATAATGCCTGTGTCGGTAGCCGATGAGGGCGCCGCCATGAAAATCTCCCGATGGCTCTCATATTGGTAGTGTTGGGCGCGAAAATCTTCGACGTAGGATCTTTTCCGCGCAGGTTAATCGGCATCTACCATCAAATCGCCCATGGGTCAATTCGGAAGGCCACTTACTTTGGGTCTCTTCGTATTTTATGCTGCAGATTCGGCCTGTAAACATCAAGAATGAAGCGTCAGTGCTGTTCGAGTGTTTCTTTTTTTTTTTCGATTACGGGCGCCGTCGCAACTGAAGGAATAAGAAGACTCACAAGTCCGCTTCGACCTTTTCCAAGGCCCCCAATTTCCTCTTAACCATTTTCTTGTGGGAGAAGAGGCGACAAGAGCTGTCAGAGGAAGGCGTGGTTGTTTGTTGTCTTAAGGTCTGATGGATGCTAGCTTGGAAATATTTTTTTTAATTTTCTCTCCTATCGATAAGCGGGTTGATTCGACCGCAGGCTGTACTCCACCCTTAGTAAGTCATGGATTTTACTGTTATCAGTGTCTAAATCCCAGTATTATTTTTAATCTAAGGATGAATCATCTCGGCATGGCCTGATGGAGAGGACATCCATGTCTTAATCATCGAGCGAACGCGGATAGTTTTCACTAGTAATTCGAAGGTATTCATGATCGCATCTCAGCTACTGTAAGAAAGCCATCCGATTCTCTTTTTTATGCCCAACTTTTTGGACCTCGCTCCCTCGGTGACTGTTTCAGATATTTACAGTCCCGCTGATGCATGCAAAATAACCTCAACCCTGATGAACCCCCGTCCACCCCGAGAACATAAAAGAGGAACAAACGGAGAAGTACGCCCAAAACATAACACCTTTACCGGTTGCTCTTGGCAACACGCTCCAGCTCGTCCTTCTTCTTGATGGCGTAAGAGTTGGAGCTTCCCTTGGCAGCGTTGATAAGCTCTTCAGCCAGGCACTCAGCAATGCTCTTGATGTTGCGGAAAGAGGCTTCACGGGCACCGATGGTCAGGAGAGCGATGGCCTGGTTAACACGGCGGAGGGGAGACACATCGACAGCCTGGCGACGGACAGTACCAGCGGAACCGATACGAGTGCTGTCTTCACGGGGACCGCAGTTCACAATAGCGTCAACCGCAACCTGGATGGGGTTCTGGTCGGTCATGATGTGGATCTATAAGTGAACAATATGTCAGTAGGCCGTGAAAAAGAATATTTGGTAGCGAAAACTCCATGTTTCCAGACACATTGGATTCCAGCTGGTGCAGATTCGCGCATAGTAGGCATGGGTAATGCAACGTACAATTTCGAAAGCATGAGCAACAATGCGGACAGCCATGAGCTTCTTGCCGTTGTTGCGGCCGTTCATCATGAGCGAGTTGGTCAAGCGCTCAATGATAGGGCACTGGGCCTTGCGGAAGCGCTTGGCGGCATAGCGACCAGCGGAATGGGGGAGGTAGACGGGAGAGCGAATCTGAATGTAATCGCTAGATGCAGAGAACCAAGTCAGTATGTGCGATGCGTTGAAATTCTTTTTCCATGTCTTCCCGCGCAAAAACTCCACGCTTCAATTTAACGCTTCCTTGTTTTTTTGCAACCCATTTTGAAGCAATGGCAATAATTCTTGTAAATCTGAAAGAAAGCACGTACGTCAAGGAGATATCCCTGATCTCGACATCCTCATAACTCCACTTGTTGAAAAGCTTCACAGTGCCAATCTCCGAGGCAACATCCTTGGGCAGGACCTGGAAAACGGCCGGGCTTTCGACCTCGACTTCCCCGTTGTCGGACATGATGGACGCCGTATGCACCTGGTTTCGGGGGAGGGATTGGTAGGAGGTGACGGACGGTGTCGTTGGGTGGTGGTTGAACGTCGACTGTCGAAAGGTTTCGAGTCTGCTTCGGAGCGCAGAGGAAATTGGGGTGCGGCTCGCTTAGCTGTGTGGGTGGGGTTAGGGCAGGGTCGAGCCCAATCATTGTATATATATCACGGGATATCACGTGTTGCTCCTTTTGACATTGATTCCCGTTTTATATCAACTCTGTAGAAAAGGAGACAGTAATATGGAGTAATCTACAGGGTAGATCTGCTCGTGATTACCATTGCCACTGCTATATTTATCCAGTGGCCATTACTTAGAATGCTTATGTCGGTTGTATTACGAGCATCAGGACTGTACAAAGGGGTCGCGTGTTCCTCGTAGGCCGTCGCATCAGCCCTACCGCTACATCCTATCACTGAGTCGAGGAAGCAATACAACAGTCTGGCGTAGAATAATAATATCATAATACAATCAATAGCCATCACGTTATATACTCCGAGATGTACGCAAGCGGGGTGATGAGCCGGCCGTAAGCCAGGCAGGTGACGTTGTGGCTCAGCCAAGTCCTCCGGGGCTTAACCGTACCTTTTCAAGGGGCTTCACGGTACTGCGCTGTTGCCCTTTGTCATGACATCAATCATCCCAGGCTCCTCTTTTTCCATTCTTCCTGAGCCAGTTCGAATGAGCCCCTTTCTTCCCTGACCACCCTCTTCGACACCATGGAGGAAGACAACCCTGGACTGAGAGCCGCTTTGCAGCGCCTCGATCAGGAACTGGAGGTACGTGAACAGGCTAGCTGCGCCATCATTTTCAACCGGGATTGCCTTCACTAGCCCGAGACTAACTCTCCATTCTCCCGTAGGATGGTGATATCACGCAGAAGGGGTAAGCTCGTTTCTCACTGTGTTCGATCCATTCGCGCTGGTCAAGAATAACCCCGCGGAGCCGGGAGTGACTTGGAAACGGTCCTCGCACGCGAAAAATGGCCCCTATATTGACAGGTACCCTTTGCGCTAACGCTTATCAAGATACGAGAAACGCCGTACGTTTCTCTTTTCTCAGTTCCAGGGATCGGGATTGAGCGAGACTTTGGGCCCAAATACCGCACCGCCAGCCATCCTCAGCGTCCGCCCGCCGACCGGAGATTCTTTAAAGAGAGATCCATCGTTATCTGGATTTGCAGGGAGGGAGCAGGGAAATGGATCATTTGGATATAATCGACCCGTTGGTGCAGGTAATCAGAATGGGACACCCTATTATGACAGAAGAACGGGCTCGATGCTGCAGCCGATGGACCACCGGACATCGGCGACCTCATACGACTCTCTTTTTCTTCCGAGAACTCAACCGAATCCAGAAGATCCAAGGACAGCAACTTTGACGAGTCAGGACTATGCATTCAATCCTGCTTATGGGGACTACCCAGATGAGTCCGCGGGAGGCTACGATGCGCTGGCTGGTAACGTTTCACGACAGTCGACAATGCTCGATTTGCAGCAGGGCTACTTCTCAGACTTTGCCGGGCAACAGAACGAAGACTACAGAGATAGCTATGGTGGCGGGTTCCACCACCGTTATTCTCAATCGGATACCTTCTCCCCTACTGCGAATATGGCTCCGCCACTGTTTCCTGCTCCCGAAAACCCCAATCTGCCGGCAAGCGATTGTCTGCTCCCCTTGGAGCCTCGGGACATCCCGTTTGCAGTTAGCGACCCGCATGACAAAAACACGCCCATGTCTAAATTTGACAACCTTCCAATGGTTCTTCGTCACCGCGCTCGAATTCATGCAAAGCAGCCTGCCTATTGGGTTTTGGACCAAAAAGGAAAGGAAATTGCTTCTATTACTTGGGAAAAGCTCGCCAGTCGTGCGGAAAAGGTTGCACAGGTTATCCGTGACAAAAGCAACCTCTATCGTGGAGACCGCGTGGCTTTGATCTACAGAGACGAAGAAATTATTGAGTTCGCGGTTGCCTTTCTGGGATGCTTAATTGCAGGGGTTGTTGCTGTCCCCATAAACAGCTTAGAAAATTATCAGGTTCTCAATTTAATCCTCACCTCCACACAAGCTCATCTTGCATTGACTACGGAGAACAATCTCAAGAACTTCCAGAGGGACATTACTACTCAGAAGTTGAATTGGCCGAGAGGAGTGGAATGGTGGAAGACCAATGAATTTGGGAGCTATCATCCAAAGAAGAAGAATGAAACCCCGCCTCTTCTTGTCCCGGATTTGGCTTACATTGAGTTCTCAAGGGCTCCTACTGGTGATCTGCGTGGTGTAGTCATGAGCCACCGGACAATCATGCATCAAATGGCTTGTCTCAGCGCGATAATTGCCACTGTTCCAGCCAATACAGACAACGGGAGCCAACAGGAGTCCAGGATCCTTGGTGGGAAAGGTCGTGGTGAAATCCTCATAAGCATCCTAGACCCTAGGCAAGGCATCGGCATGATATTGGGCATTCTTCTTACTGTTTACGGCGGCCATACAACTGTTTGGATGGATGATAAAACGGTCGAAACCCCCGGTCTTTACGCCCACCTCATCACAAAATACAGGGCTACTCTTATGGCTGCACACTACCCTGGTCTCAAGATTGCTGCCTACAACTACCAGCAGGATCCGATGGCTACGAGAAATTTCAAGAAGAACTCTGAGCCCAATTTCAGCAGCGTTAAACTGTGTCTTATAGATACCCTTACAGTTGACGCTGAATTCCATGAAATTTTGGCGGATAGATGGTTGAGGCCAATGAGAAATCCGAGAGCGAGAGAGATCGTTGCTCCTATGTTATGCCTGTCTGAGCACGGCGGTATGGTGATAAGTGTGCGGGATTGGCTAGGTGGTGAGGAGCGTATGGGATGTCCCTTGACCCATGAGATGGATCCTGCTTCACGTCCTGAAGCCAAGAAGGAGGAGGTGAAATCCGGGAAATCGGAAAACAACAGTGGTTTCGGGAGCAGTTTGTTAAGCGGCGGGGCTCCAGTCCGAACTCACGACGACGAATCCAAAAATGAGCTTGGCGAGGTACTTCTCGACAAGGAAGCCTTGAAGAGCAATGAGGTCGTGGTTTTGGCGATGGGCGAAGAAGCGAGGAAATATGCCGGAAGTATGCCAAATGCAGTGCGGGTAGGCTCATTTGGGTATCCTCTCCCTGACGCGACGCTAGCTGTCGTCGACCCCGAGACGAATTTACTATGCAATCCAAATGTCATCGGTGAGATATGGGTCGATTCGCCGTCTCTTTCTGGTGGCTTCTGGGCACTACCAAAATACACGCAGACCATATTCCATGCACGGCCGTACAAATTTGAAGACGGGAGCCCGACACCTATCCTATTAGAGCCTGAATTTCTTCGAACCGGCCTCCTTGGCTGCGTCATCGAGGGCAAAGTCTTTGTGCTCGGTCTTTATGAAGACAGGATCCGACAGAAAGTGGAATGGGTCGAGCATGGACAGGAAATTGCTGAGCATCGTTATTTCTTCGTCCAGCATTTGATCGTCACTCTGCTGAAGAAGGTGCCGAAGATCCATGACTGTACTGCCTTTGATGTCTACGTCAATCAAGAGCATCTTCCGGTTATCGTGCTCGAGTCGTATGCTGCCTCAACAGCGCCTACGACATCAGGAGGACCTCCACGACAACTAGACTCCGTCCTTCTCGAGTCTTTGGCAGAAAGGTGCATGGACCTTCTATATCAAGAATATCACCTGCGGGTCTACTGTGTTCTAATTACCGCTCCAAACACTCTCCCTCGAGTCACTAAGAACGGAAGGCGAGAGATTGGTAATATGCTTTGCCGTAAGGAGTTTGACGCTGGCACACTGCCTTGCGTACATGTGAAGTTTGGAGTGGAACAAGCAGTCATGAACCTTCCAGTAGGGATTGATCCAGTTGGAGGAATCTGGTCTCCCGTCGCAAGCGCTGAAAGACAAGAGTTGCTGGCCCTGCAAGAAAAACAGTATTCTGGTGTGGACTATCGTGACGTTGTGATGGATGATCGGACATCTACACCGCTGAACAACTTCAAGTCGATCGTGGACCTTCTTCAATGGCGAGTATCCCGACAAGCGGAGGAACTGGCATATTGCTCCATTGACGGCCGTGCCAAGGAGGGGAAGGGTATTACTTGGAAGAAGTTTGACTTGAAGGTTGCTGCTGTGGCAACTTACCTGAAGAACAAAGTGAAGGCCCGTCCCGGTGACCATCTGGCCCTGATGTATACTCATTCTGAAGAATACGTCTACGCCGTACATGCGTGCTTCTGTCTGGGCCTCGTAGCTATTCCCATGGCGCCAATCGACCAAAATCGCCTTTCGGAAGATGCTCCTGCTTTTCTCCATGTCATAAATGACTTCAGCGTGAAGGCGATCATTGTCAACAGTGATGTCGACCATTTATTAAGGCAGAAGATCATCTCCCAACATATTAAGCAGTCTGCCCATGTGCTTCGTATATCTGTGCCGGCCATCTACAACACGACTAAGCCGTCTAGGCAATCCCACGGCTGTCGCGATCTCGGTTACACGGTGAAAGATACCTGGCTTAATTCTGATCGGCCAGCTATGGTTTGGACATACTGGACTCCCGATCAGCGAAGGATATCTGTTCAGATTGGCCATGACACTATTATGGGCATGTGCAAAGTACAGAGAGAAACTTGTCAAATGACCAGCGCAAGACCAATCCTCGGTAGTGTTCGTAGCACTGTGGGTCTCGGATTCCTTCATACCTGCCTGATGGGAATTTACGTTGGTAAGGAGCATCTGTGAACCAGACGAGATATGCCTTCGAACTAATAAATGTATGCAGGAGCACCAACTTACCTAGTGTCTCCGGTCGATTTTGCACAAAATCCCATGTCGCTATTTCTTTCGCTTTCCAGGTATAAGATTAAGGATACCTATGCTACGAGCCAGATGTTGGACTATGCCATGAGTGCCCTACCTGCCAAAGGATTCCAACTCCAGGAGCTGAAGAACTTGATGATTTCGGCGGAGAACCGACCAAGGGTCGATCTTTGTAGGTCATTTCTCTTCTATTCGTTGCTTATGGCAGTTGCTAATCCCGGTTACAGATCAGAAACTACGCCTTCATTTTGCCTCTGCTGGCCTAGATCGAACAGCAATCAACGTTGTTTACTCCCATGTCCTTAATCCTATGATTGTTACAAGATCGTACATGTGCATCGAACCGGTAGAGCTCTGGCTTGATATTCAGGCCCTTCGCCGAGGCCTCATCTTCCCCGTTGATCCAGATACCCATTCCAACACGCTACTCCTTCAGGATTCAGGAATGGTTCCAGTCAACACCCAAATTGCGATTGTGAATCCTGAGAGCTGCTTGCTGTGTCGAGCAGGAGAATATGGCGAGATTTGGATTCAGTCAGACGCCTGTGCTAAAGCTTTTTATGGCTCAAAACAGGAATTTGACATTGAGAGGTTCAATGGCAGGATTGTGGATGCCGATCCCAATGTCGCCTATGTCCGCACCGGGGATCTAGGTTTCCTTCACACAGTTACTAGACCTATCGGCCCGGCAGGCCAACCTGTTGAGATGCAAATGCTTTTTGTCCTTGGGGGTATTGGTGAAACGTTCGAGGTTAACGGGTTGAATCATTTCCCTATTGACATCGAACGCTCTGTGGAAACGTGTCATCGTAACATCGTAAACGGAGGATGGTAAGTCGCATAAAAACTCATTCGCAGGTATTTGTAAGAGCCTTTGCTGATTGAAGTTCTGCTGCAGCGCTGTTTTCCAAGCAGGCGGTATGATAGTCGTTGTGGTAGAAGTTACAAGGAAGTCATATTTGGCCTCCCTCGTTCCAGTCATCGTTGATGCTATCTTAAACGGGCATCAAGTAGTCGCTGACATAGTGGCGTTCGTTTCCCGTGGTGATTTTCCACGGTCTCGTCTAGGTGAGAAACAGCGTGGGAAGATATTGGCTTCGTGGGTGACTCGAAAGCTGCGAACAATCGCGCAGTTCAGCATTCGTGATCCCGATAGGACGATAAACCAACTTGCGGGCATTCCCCGGCATCGGTCTAGTAGGGCCTCGAAGCCAGGAAGTACAATGGCTAATAGCACCCGACGCAACACTCTTGCGCAAGAAAACGATCCTCGATCTCCAGTACCAGCATCGATACTTCAAGAAAAATTCGACGAAGCTCACGGCGCCATTCAGGGACAAATTCCTCCTAGCGAGTTTAACCAGCCTGCCCCATACTATGATCCTGCCCCAAGAGTAGCGGAGATACCGCAGCGGCAAGATTCCTTAAATCATCATCCGCCGCTGGATCACCACTCCGTGTCTAATCTGAGTCTCCGATTCAGCAGCGACAGTCCGAGCTCAGAGATGAAAACACCATCTTCCGTGAGCGAGATCCCCCCTCAGGTGACCCCACGACTAGATTCTCTTCCCAGTCGACAACCATCAAGCAGCGGATCCTGGAGAGAGCCATCTGCAACTCACACCATGACGTCGCGGTCCAGCATACAAGGGGAAACCATAGAAGAATGGCCGCACGACGCACAACAGTATCAATCACAGCCGTATCTGAGATTAGACGGTTCATACGGTCAGGGAGGTGTCCACCGGACTCCAAGCAGCCACAGTGAAGCTGTAAGGCGATATGACGGGAGTGGTTACGGTTATGACTTTTAAAAAGGGATGGATAATTTTTTTTTTTGGCTCATGTTGTCTCTTTGACCATTCAGGCCCTGCCGTCCATCCAGCCATCCTATACCATTGATACATATGTTTGCATTGGCATGAGCGTTTAGTGATATGCCTGGTTGGATTGATTTTGATTTCTCTTTCGATCTCTTCTTGAAGAAAGCATGGTACATGTGAGTGTATATTTCCTATTGATGATATCAGATGGGTTGTTTCCTTCTATTCATTTGTCTCTTATTATTGTCATGAATGAAGGCAATACTTTTCTTTTCTTTTTTGACTGTTTATTTATTTTCTAGATGATGCTTGTCATGTCCATGATGAATGCCATATAATTAACCAAAGCATCTTACACTATATATACATGTATGTAGAATGTACTTGGGTGCTTCTTACTTTCTTAAGACTTGCATGAGACCTTTTAAGTGGTTACGTTCTGTCTCGACAGCATGCTGTTCTCACAGATAAGAATATGAGTGAATTCCCATTGATGGTATTTAATTACGCATAGAGCCACTGTACAATATTTGCTTTTAAGACCAGTACCTAATGACGGCCATTTATTTTGTTTCCTTCCCTTTTGTCTCATAAAGAATATCCAGTTGGTAAAAGGTTCAATGGCACTGGATAATATCCCAAGTTACATTTTTTCGAAACCCCGAAAGAAATATTTATTTTTAAGCGCTTTACTGCTTCTCTGCTTGCCTTTCCAATTCATCAATGTTGACTTTGGGCTTTGCCGGACCATTAGGTACCTCAATTGCGGAACCGTTGTTTCTGTTCGGACGAGAAATCCTGTCAAGGGCTTCCAGATCTTCATCTGAGAGGGCGTATGAACGAATAGGACGGAACGGTGCAGGGGAGCCAGCACGAGAAGTGAGGAACTGCATAGAGAAACCTGTTAGGAGAGAGCTACAACAACATATTTGCGTTCATCTGAGAACGAAAAGACACTTACCGAGCTAGCAGCGCTAAGCAAAGCGATCAAACTGGCTTGGACAACATCCTGGTGAATACCAACACCCCAGACCTGTTCCTTGCTACCAGCCGAGGTGCACTGAATGTATGTCGCTGCCTTCACGTCCCTGCCCAAACCAATGGAGTGTTCCTTGTAGTCAACAACGTCAAGGTCAATGGAAAGGGTGGAGAGAGCGTTTGCAAGCGAGGAGATGGCACCAGGGCCAACTCCAGTGATGGCGTGCTGAATACCGTCGATCTCGATAATACCGGTAAAGCGGCGCTTGAGATTCTTCGTGTTAACCGCCTTTCCGGGCTCTGCGGGTCCGGGTGTTGTTGATCGATCCGTGGTGATATCGTAGTCGATTAGGTTGAAGCGTGGGTTGGATTTGAGGTGATAGGACTCTTGGAAAAGTTCTGCGATTTCGCTGGGGCGTAGTTCCCGGTTGACAGCTTCCGTGCGCTGCTGGACGATCTTACTAAACTCGACCTGGAGCGAGCGTGGAAGATCAAGTTCCAGGGTACGCTGGATGACCCAAGCAGCACCACCCTTGCCGCTCTGGGAGTTGACGCGGATGACGGCCTCGTATGTTCGTCCAATATCCTCGGGGTCCAAAGGAAGATATGGGATCTCCCATTCGTCTTCCTTCTTCGCACCCTTGGACTCGCGGAGCTTGAAACCTTTCTTGATTGCATCCTGATGGCTCCCGCTGAATGCGCAGACAACGAGCTGACCACCATATGGCCACCGCTCATTCACCGGAATCTTGTTGCACTCCTCCACGACCTTGACAACCGAGTTGATATCGGAGAAATCAACGTTGGGCGATATCCCTTGAGTGTAAAGGTTGAGGGCCAGGGTAACAAGGTCAACGTTTCCTGTCCGTTCGCCGTTTCCGAACAGGGTACCCTCCACACGCTGAGCGCCCGCCATCTGAGCCAATTCGGCGGCAGCAATAGCACAGCCGCGGTCGTTGTGCGGGTGTACGGAAACCACGAACTTTTCCCTCTCAGTCATGTTTGTGCAGAAAGTCTCAATCAGATCTGCAAACACATTCGGTGTCCACTTCTCGACTGTGGCAGGGAGATTGAAAATAATGGGGTTATCCTCAGTGGGACCCCAAGCGGCCTTCACAGCCTCACAAATCGTGACAGCAAACTCGGGCTCAGTGTCCGAGAAGGTCTCCGGGGAGAATTCAAATTGCCATTCCGTGGTGTTGTTCGGGTCATCTTTAGTAATGGACCGTGCGTATTTTGTGCAGCGCACCGCCATCTCCAGATTCTGCTCCTTAGACATTCCGAATACAATTCGGCGGAAACATTCGCTGGTGGCGAGGTAGATGTGCAGGATAGCCTTCTTGGCGCCCTTCAGGGATTCAACGGTTCGACGGATGAGATCCTCACGGCAAGGTGACAGGACCTGCAGCCAGACGTCATCGGGAGTAGCGCCGGGGGTTTCGATCAGGCGACGAGTAAAATCGAAGTCCGTTTGCGAGGCGGACGGGAAAGCGACTTCGATTTCCTTGTAGCCGATATCGACAAGCATCTTGAAAAAGCGGAATTTTTGGTCGCCGTCCTGTAGGTAGATTATGAAATGGGTTAGCCAGTGAATTCCTGAATAGAGACTGCAGACCATGTCTCAGGGCCTTCGAAGGGCCACAGAAAGAGGTCTGGCGTACCATGGGGTCGGGCAAGCTCTGATTTCCATCTCTCAGATCGGTGGCCAGCCACCGAGGGGGCTTGTCGATTGTTTTATCAGGCCATTGGCGGTTTGGTAGCTTGATGGGTTGGGATCGCTTGTATTTCGTCGAAGGGTCCTTGAGCCTTTTGAGGGTCAGCGGAGAAGATGGAGATGGAGACGGGGAACGGGGAACGGGGAACGGGGAACGGGTCTGTACTCACATAGGCATAGTGGGCAAGTGGGGTGAAGGAGAGGAGACAAAACAATGTCAGGTCTCTTCGAGAGAAGAACACGAAGAATATGCGAGGCCGATGGATAACAATACGGTAGAAAGAAAACGATTGAGGATATAATTTCAGAGGAAGTTGTGGGGTTTGGACGATGACGATGGCGATACTTGAATGAAAAAAAAAAGATTTCGATGAGTCACTCCGAGGTCGGTCCTGCCGCGGGTAACCTTCAGTAATGCTGTAATACTAATAATAATATTAACAGCAATGACAACCCCCAAACCCAGCGAGATTACCAAATGCTGTCGTGAGGGTATGCAATGCAATGGAATCTTGAAACATCTCATTCATATGAACTGAAGTCCATAAACCCCAATTACGAAGGCTTCAGTCCGGTAATAAAAATTTATGGAAGCAAAATGTTATATAAGCATATGATACTCTGTAACTTAACTAAGAAGTACTCGGTACTCTATACACCGCCTACTAAAACAATTATTCTGCCGGTAAAATAGTACAATACTTAATAACAGCCAATACAAGAAGGTAGTTGATGGGCGGTATACTAGCTCCCGATCAGGGTGTATCATTACTGTAGGAAGTTGAAACCCCGCGTATCGACTCTTATATCTGCTACGATCCCGACGTACTGACCGGGGAATGTATCATAACATCAAGCATGCAAATATATGAGAACGACTGCTATGCAATTTTGAATGCCACCGTATGTGTGCTGAACATGCTCTGTATAAACAGAGTGTTTTTTTATATAAGAAAAAAAGACAAAAAAGAAATTCCGTACCGGGAATCGAATCCGGGGCTATTGTCCAGCAGTGTTTCAACATCTTTCCACGGCCCTTGAAGAGAAGACCCTAATTGAGCAAGTTCTTCGCTTATGAAGACTTCGTTACCTTCCAGATTTGGCCTCTTGTGTGTAGCATTTGGTAGCATGTATCCAGGCAGGTTGCAGCCTAGGGTGCCTTACTAACACATGAAATGAAACATATTCGAGACTGACACTATGCCCCATACTACAAAATATATAACGATGTTCTATCCTCGCTGTGTAGGTATTCTGCACGATGACCAATGGCCATAATCCAACTAGCTGATCGATATCAGCAGCGTCAAGTTTGTAATAAACAATCTACAATTCCCGTATATGCATACATCTATACCCCTATTTCTTACCCTTTTTCCTGTCCTTCTGCGTCTTGCCCTTGCCCTTGCCCTTGCTCTTGGGTGCCTCACGTTCCGACCTGCCCTTCTTCCATCCTATATTTCCTTCGCGTCGCTGTCGCATATCATCCAGCCGCTTCTTGTCCTTGTTGCTAAGCTTCTTCTTCTCCTTTACCGACACCGCCGCATCGAGCCCGTTGAGCTCGACAGCTCCCATCTTGCGCGCCTCGCGCTTTTCCCGCTCGCTCTCGAACCACGTCCTCTTGGGCCGCGACATAATCTCCTTCCCGTATTTGATTAGGTTTTCCCCCTTGTTCACCTGCATTTCGGCTTGGGCCAGTTGCTTTTCTTCTTTCTCTTCGCGTAACACGGCGTCAACTTCGTCTGCCATTGCCTCAGCCTTCGCGGCCCAGTCATCCGCAACCGCTGGATCGATGAGTCGGCTGACAATTTTAGCGCCATGGGCTTTGCCGGCTTTGACAGCCGCCTTCACAACCTTGCGGTCTGGCTCTGCAGCAATGGTACATGCACGGCCGGAACGGCCTGCACGAGCGGTACGACCGACTCTGTGAAGGTAGATCTCATGTGTCTGTGGTGCCTCGTAGTTGATCACGGTGTCCACTCCCTTGATATCCAAACCACGAGATGCCAGATCTGTAGCGAGAAGGAAAGCCACCTTTCCATCTCGGAATGCCTCGACGCTTTTAATACGCTGATTCCTTGTTAGCAAATTCAGCTGCTAAGAATGGATCTAGCCGGTTCATTTCAGGACCCACCTGTTCCTGGCTCATGCTACCATGCAGCTCTGCAGCCTTGAATCCTAGTAGTCCAAAAATAATCCGCACACGATGCGCTTCGCGCTTCTGTCGGAAGAAAATGATGACTCGGCCCGTGTAAACCTCCTTACATAAATGAAGGAGGCAACCCAATCGTTTATCCTCTCGTCCCGGTCGTAGCCTCACGAATTCTTGGACTAGCTTCCCAGCTGTGCTCTTCTTCGCATCAACCATTAGACGCACGGGGCGATTAAGGCCTACTCGAATAAGCTTGTCCACCGTGTCTGTCATCGTTGCAGAAAAAAGCATCGTCTGCCGTGATTTTGGTATCGTCGTCAATATCTCATTCAACTCGTCAGCAAAACCATCCTCTAGCATCCGGTCGGCTTCGTCGAGAACCAAGATTTCAAGCGTGTCGACGGTGAAGCTGGGAGAATTTCGCATGTGATCGATGAAACGTCCAGGTGTGGCTATGATTACATCTGGTCGCTTCTTCAACACATTTTCTTGCTCTCGCAGGCTGAACCCACCAACAAGTTGACAAAATGTAATATCGGTATATGTCGCCAGTTTGGTTGCTACGTTGTAGCATTGCACTGCCAGTTCACGCGTAGGCATCAGGATAGCCACTCGGCTGGTTGGCACCTTGCGAGGCCTGAACAGTAGACGTTCTAGAATCGGTACCACGAAGGCAGCTGTCTTTCCAGAACCGGTGACGGCGCTTCCAACGATATCCTTCCCTAGAAGGGCAACGGGTATTGTTCTCCGTTGAATTGGGGTTGGCTTCGTGAAACCGACTGATGTCAAGCCGCGCAGGATAGGACGGGACAGGTTGAAGTCTTGAAATGCACCATTAGATAACTCAAGCGCGGATTGTTCATCGGTCTTCTCCTGTGGTGCGAAGAAGGCTTTTCGCTTCTCCTCCTCGGCTGCGTCGACCTCGCTTTCATTGTCTGAGTCGTCTGAAGTGATATCATCTGGGTGAGCAACAGGTGTTGCAACAGAATCATCGTCGGAAGCACTGTCCTCCTCATCCTCTGATTCCTTTCTCTTATCCTTCTTCTCGTCATCATCAGAGGCAGTTCCATCCTCAGATTCCGAATCACCACTCTCCTCCTCGCTCACAGCACCCATTCCAAATCCGTCCGCAGCTAGCAATTCATCATCTTGGAAATCGACAGACATGCCGTAATCATCATCGGACGCACCACCCTCTTCATTTCCATCTACTTCTCGGTCTTCCTTAGCCCTCTTCTGCTTTTTCCCCGACTCGGCATCTTTCTTCGCCTTCCGCTTAGATATAATCTCATCAATGTCCACAGCCTTCTTGTTCCCATTCCGGGATTCTTCCTTCTCATCTCCTAAACCCCAGCCATAAAAGCCTTCAGTGACTCCATTAGCAACAGAATTGCCAATATCGAACTCGAAATCCGGATTCAAAGAGCCATCATTTATAGCTTCTCCCTCTTCTTCCTCCTCTTCGTCTTCATCGCCACTTTCTTCGGATTCCGCAGCATTGTTCCTGCCAATTTTGCTCCTAACTACCTCCTTCTTGTTCTTTTTATTCTTCTTCAATTGTTCCGTCTCCTGTTTCTGCTTCTTGTTCTTGCCTTTCGATACCTCGACCGATTCAGTTCCCCTCTTGCGCTTCTTTGTTGATAATGATTTCTCGGCATCGAAAGCGTCATCATCGCCATCTTCAATTATCCTATTCTCCTCTTCGTCTGATAGGGTCAACACGAAGTCGTCTTCTTTCGCGGGAGACATTTTGGAAGGCTGGCGGAGCTTGAAAATTTCGAGTTCTTTCTTCCGTCGTCCTCCTTTCTCGTATCGGTAATTAAAAACAATGGAAATTAAAATTGAAGAAAAATAATAGTAGGGATAGTAAATATTAACATCCAATCCCCTTCTTTTCTCCCAAATGCTCAACCAGGCATAGAAAGAATAGTGCCGATTTGCCAGGGAAAAAAAAGTTCTAGTGTGGAAGGCGGTGGGGATTTTGGGAATGGCAGAAAGAAGCAGGAACTATTCCCAATTTGTCAACTCCACCAATAACACACACCCGAAGGAATTCAGCAACTCCTCACTTATATTTAAAGACTATATTGAAGAGCTTCAAGAAATATTATTTCAAATATTGATATTTACTGCTGTTTTTATTAAAATATAAGATGTTGCATCTTCTGTTGAGATATCAAGATTGTAAAAATGCCGTTTTATGGAATAAGTGTGGATTACGTCTAGTCAACACGTGGAAAGCTTTCCATTCTCGTTCTGCCCATCTTGACTTCTTCCTAACCATCTATTAAACCAAAGAATTTTTTGCCCTCGCACTCAGAAATCACTGCACCCAATGATTTGTGTAGGGATCTTTTCAATTCGAAGACCGAAAAAAGAGAACTGTCAACCACCGTCACGTGGCTAAAACCACGTTAGCTGAATCATCTCATACGTCGCAGGGACGTACAGTAGAGTAGGACCATCAGAGATCTATCTACTGCTTCTTCTCCTTCAAATCGCATAGTACACGCATCATACTTTGATATTCCCATTGAAAAGCACAGGCAGTGCCAAAATACGCACATACTACTACCCATCGCTAAATGTACCCCTCATGGCCCAGACCAGGACTATGCAAAACCAGAGACCAAAGAAAACGACCATGGGAGTACACGACTGATTTAGATTAGGTTCCTTTTTTTCAAGCTGCTTAATTGTTGTGGAATATGCATGTAGCTCAGGGAAGAAGGGCAGAATGAAGCTGTATTGACTACACGTACGTAGCCTAAGGAACGGATGCCATTGATTATATCTCTCTCTACATATAACCAGCGGCTCGGATTCTCAGGGGTTGGAGCCAAGCCGCCATACCATGTGACCTTTTCCATATCATTAATGAACATGTTGAGGTCCTAAGTTTCGCTGTGAACTTCGATTGCATTGCTGATATCTAGTTAGATTAGATTACACCTTACAAAGACCATTGGACAGAGACTAACCTTTGTTTGGCGGGTCTAGTCAACTGACGAGAAGACTATCAGGAGCAGGTCCCACATCGCGAACGAGGAAGCTGACATTCAGACTGGCATAGAGAGTTGGTGGAAAGTTAGTGGAAATAGGCTAGATTTTTGTTTGAACACCGATGGTACTCACAATTTCTCGAACTTTACCCTAACTCCTTTGAGCAGGCCCTGTTCTTTAAAGCGATACTTGCCGAGCCACGCTTTGATCTGTTCGTACTCAAATTCGTCTTCGTTTGGGTAGGTGTAAGCGATAATGAGGCGAGCGAGCTTACGACGGCCTCCGGGGAAGTATCCAGGCCGATCTTCAAGGCTTGAATCGAAAAAGTAGCCCTTTTGAGGGTTGTATGTAGCATCGCAAACCTCAAGCAGTTTGTCCATGAGGCTTCTCCCGATACCCTTGTATTTTTTGTCTTCTCTCACGAACAGCTGTAGTTCTACCGTGAAGCGACCCGTCGACATCTGGCCAACAAAGTCCTTCGCCAGGGCGTAACCAAAAATCCGCTCGTTACTGTGCTCAATGTTCCTGGCCGCCAGTCCAGTCCTGCGTTCGGCAGCGACCAGAAATGGGAGCCTTTCTTGCTTGCAGTTCTCGATAAGTTGGCGTGCATCCGTCGAGCTCATAAGGGTAATGTTTGTAGGCAAAGTTGTCTTCTTGATGTACCAATTGAAAACTTCGAGAAGCCCGGGGATATCATCGGTTTTGACTGGGCGCAGATAAACATTTGCACTTGGAGATTTTGGGCTTGGAACCGGCACATACTGGGAGGCTTTCAAGTAAGCCTGTCGCTGTGCTTTCTTCTTAGTCGCCTCGGCCTCTTTCTCCTTTTTAATGTACAGATCCAGATTGTGGCAGTAGCCTTCTGAAGTTTCGTGTGCGTGCAGACGGGTCTCTTCATTTTCCATGTCAAGGAGCACCAAGGAAGTCTCGATGTCAGGAAGGTAAAGGGATCGCATCCCATCCGAATGAGCGGTCCCGTCAAAATATGCTTGGTGGTAGATGTCGACCTTGTGGCAGACCCCTATGGTTGCGTCCAGCCAACGACGGAATGTGTCTCTGAACGCTTCGTAGCTGGAGCAAGATCTGGGGCGGTATTCCCAGTCGGCGAAGAACACGTCGGCCCAGCTATGGGTCTCAGGACCTACCTGGGGTTTGTTGGCGCGTGGGTGATGCGATTTGAGACCGTCCTCTTCGGGTGCCACAAGAACGTATTCATGTCCTGGAGTCGGCTCTGAGGATAGAACAATCTTCCCATTTTCCACCTTGGGATACGCACGGGGGCTGTCCGCGTAAAGAATCCACTGAGCCTTGTATCTTTCAGAGGCAGATGTTCTGGCAGCATCCTCGAATACGAACTCGTTATACTCGGATTCACTGCCTTCATCACAACTCTCGATATTCAGCGAAGCGTTTCTGTTATCCGCAGTTACTTTAATCGTGGGAAGATATCCCGGAGTGTGACGGCGATTTTCTATCTCCTGATATATCTCACTTTTTGGGTCTGTTCCAGGGCCCTCCCTAACTCTAGCAAGGAACTTGGGACTTATATCAGGACTGCTATCGTCATTGAACCTGTTCAAGTGCGCTTCCTTGACAACCTGCTGCTGGTACTTCTTCAATTCTGCCAGTGCTTCTGGGGGCGCAACTTTAAACTTATCGTTGGGACCCTTGGCGGGCGTCCTAGGCTGAGAGGGACCAGCATTTGAGGCATATTTGGTGTGAGGTTCAGGAGTTGGCACTTGGTCATCCCTTACACTGGAATTGTTCGCATTATTAGGCTCGTCCCGTCTCGGGGATTGCCAGCTGGGATTGCCGACTCTCGATCCATGGGGGCCTTGCGCGTTGTGGTGCTTGCGTCTGAACCTTGCCAGGACTATTTCATCGGAGCCACCGGAGGTTGACATGTTATTGAACGCTCTTATCCCCGTTTGTGCGTTAATATTTATACTAAAAGTCGTTCGAAGGATACATTGGTTACCTTTGGAGATGACTAGTTGTTTATTTTTCAGTGCGTTGTGTGGGCTTTGAAGAGGACGTCGTTTCCAACAGCCTCGTTCTCGTTCGCGTTCGAGGAGGATGGTTGTCTCCCTGACCTCTCATCAGTTATATTAACGAGAGTATCTCACAGAGGGTAGTTTCATATTTATACCTTTAGCGCCGGCTTGTTGCCTATTTCTCGCTTCTTCTCGATCTCCCTGAAAAGGGACGAAGATGTTCTTTGAGTTTGGCGCGTCACTTTCCAAAGGGGAGTACCGTGTTGATTCTCGCTTAGCGAGGCAGATATGGGGTTTGATCCGTTGCCAGGTGGTCGAGGGGGTAATTCACTCTCTAGGGCACGGTGACGGATTCCTGCAGGCTTGGACTACCCCTGGGACTTAATCAGAAGCGCAATAACGACCTCTCGGTAGCCTCCCTCTCCTTGTAGCTATTTCGACGGGGGTGCCCACCCTCCTCTATCGTCTTTGGGTAGGGGAGCGGAGCCTGCCCTCTGTCGACTTGCGCCAGATTCCATAGCTGGGCCCACCTTGCCTGACATGGTTCCTGGTCTATCTACCTAGAAGTCGGACCTAAAGTCTGGAACTATGTGGCAGGCTACGTCTGCTCCTATAGAAGTTCAGTAGGGTCGACCAAGCCCTAGAGGAGACAGGACAACGCAGGCCTGTAAGTCAACTCTGGATCATATTGGAAGCCTAGGCAGCGTGACAGTTTCCTGGCAGGAAAGGCCTTGTTCTTCTCCAATCCGTCCCTTGTATATGTATAACCTGACTAGCAAATTGTCCTCAGCTAGTATGCTAGAAGGAAGACACCATGCATACCTCGTCATGTACTTTCTTGAAGAGAACAGACAAGAGTGTGATGGAGTCTGTTCTTTATCTCCAGTGATATTGATATGAGGGCTTCTAGCCAGGGAGGAATCCAGATCAATGGTCAATTAGAGGAAATAGCAAGGCCTGTTAGGTAGAGTCAATATCGTTGACCATAAAGAAATAGGATCCGCGCGATAGTGAACAATGTAAAACTTAAGACTCACTGAACATATAGGTGTCATAGACTGCTAGTCACATCTACATATTATTTTAGAAAGACAGAAACAGGATAAAAGCCCAAGCCAAATAAGAGAATGAAGACAAAGATGATGAAGAATAAAAACAGGAAGAAGATGTTTTGGTGAAAAGAAATGTATATCCTCCTACGCGAACGTGATCTCGCTTATCCAAATCTGGAAATATTCCACTTTGCCATTCACTGGAGTTCGCTTAACCCCTACAAACCTCATCAAAGGGAGAATTCCATTCAAAGAGACCATACGAAATGCTGTCAATATTACGAAAAGCCCGACTAAAGGATAAAGAAATGAGAATACTGATGCTGTACATATCCTGAAGTTCTATAACACCCAAGTATACGAACTGACGGCATTGAAGTGGCCTTGATAATGCTGGCAAGACGACGATTGTCAAGCGCATCATGAATGAGGATGTCACCACTGTCAGCCCAACTCTAGGGTTCATTATCAAGACGATTGATTTTATGGGGTAAGAAAGCTGGGCACAGCGATTCCTGTAAACATATGCTTGAGCTGACCCGAGGATAGTTATAAGCTTAATATATGTGAGAAGAAGCTTGAGAATGTCAGCCATCATGAAGCCCCGCACTGATATGTGACACAGGGGATGTTGGAGGACAAAAAACGATCCGATCATACTGGCAGAACTATTTTGAAAAGACGGACACATTGATCTGGGTCGTTGATGCGACAGACCGTCTGAGAATCGATGACTGTCGTCAAGAGCTTGCGGACTTGCTCCTTGAAGAGGTATACGCTCCCCGCCCGCACCGCCACCGGAAGCTTTTGGATGCTGAAGCAGTCCATTCCATAGCGGCTCATGGGAGCCAGCCTCCTCGTTTTTGCAAATAAAACAGATGTGGAAAGTTGTATGACAGTGGATGAGATTCGCCAAGTGAGTGTGCATCAATCTGTCTCTTGGTTGCTATTTTAGCTCATTCATCTACAGCGGCTTTCTCTGGACGCGATCAAAACTCACAAGTGGACTATTTTGCCTTGTAGCGCAATGACAGGGAGAAACCTCAACGAGGGGTTGGAGTGGGTGGTGAAAGATGCAAAAGACCGACTCTTCCTTTACTAGCAGGTAACTAGGTATCCTTCTGTCGTTATTACTCCGCCCCGCGTCAAATTAGGATTCTTTGCTTGACTGCTGCAGGAGAAAGCAGATAAGAAGGCAATTCTACTCAATTGAATTATCGCGGGGAGCTGAAGTATCTCGATCTGTTCCAATTAATGCCAGACGGAGACAGGAGTTGTCCGAATAGGCTTCGATGAATACAATAATAATAATGATACCACTTTACCTACATTCTGTATTTCTGCGAACCGTGTGGCTAGAGCAGTTTGCTGTGCATATTACCCCGTACGCCGTCTCTATTTCATCCGCGGAGAGCGGACCTATGGATCATCGGGAATCGGGATGATTTCGATCTCGTTGAAGCAAGGGAGCATTAACTACTCTGTAACTCCACACAACTTCCGTTGACAGGAGCAAATGCATACTTCCGTTGCCTTCCTTGCAGCGCTATAAAGCAGATCTGACCGTTTGCTCCACCGAGACACAGGAGAGTCTTCTGTGTTTCCGTCATGGACCTTTATCCCGACTGCAATTCTCGCCTTGGACAGTTCGGTGGATCTTCCTCGTGAAATTTACCAATTGGACGTGTGATAAAATCAGCGGAAAAGCGAAACACAATTCCATCCGTTACGAAGCTTCTGATCCGCGTTTCGGAGTTGATATCATAACACACGAGCCTAATAATAGCACGTCTCGCGGACTGACGACCTGAAATTCAAGGCAAAAAATCCATCGGAGGGATGGAAAACAATCAAAACAACTCCATGCAGTGCATGGGATTGGACGTATCTATGATCCTAAGTAGTAGCTGGACGGTGTATGCCACACGCAAGCACAGCAACCGATCAACGCCGGCTGCATGGTTGGCTGGCTGAGAAGATGATGGATTCGCTTCTGTGCCTGTTTCTGTTTCTGTTCCTGTTTTTTTTCCCTCTGGCGTCCGTGTTCTCGGCTCCACCAAGATTTTCATGGGAACAGTTCAGCCGCTGCAGATAATAATGCAAGCACATTTTCTTTTTCTCTTCCATTCTGTCATTCTTATCATTCCATTCTTCATCACCTCGGACTGAAAGCTGTGCCGTGGGTGCACCCCTGTCTCATCCCTGGTTCCTGTTGCTATATCCCGCTCCAGTGCCTTTACAGCCGGATAGTTGGATGGGCTTCATCTTGTTTATCTAAATAAATAATACATTTGAAATAAATACCAGTCATGGCACCCACAACAGACGCTGACGGGTCGGAGGACGTCAATGACTTCCTCCTCCGCATTCGAGAGCTGGGAGAGAAACGCGACAAGGAGGACGAGGAACGCACCAGAAAGCTGGAAGAGGAGATCCTGCAGGGGCGGAAAGAAAGACAGGCTCGGAGAGCTGGTAAGAAATTAAAAAAGAAGACCAGGGATCGCGTTTCCCCCCTCCCTGGTCACCATGGGTGCTCAGCTCGAGTTGCTGCTCACTTCACACCTCTCTGCCCATATCTGCCTCCTTTTTGTCCATTTGGTCGTATTGCCATGGTTTCTATCATTCCTCAAGCATAATTAATCGCTTTCTCCGTGGCAAGGTTTGTATCAGAAACTGACCCGGTTGTCTTGTTGATGCCACTGTAGAGCGGGCTCAGTCCATCTCCCCCACCAAAGATTCACCCTTGTCAGAACGGCTGAGCCGCGCACTTGGCGATCGCCCCCTCGATCCTCCAAAACAACTCGAACCATCCTCCCAGTTCTCAGAATCCGAGCCATCCAGTCCCTCGCGTACCGCGAAGAACGACGACGAGTCACCGACCTCGGAACGCAAGTCTGCAGTCTCATCCTCAGATGCGACTGAAATGAAACCGTCTTCCCCCCCGACCTTTCGGACTTCTGCCGTCAGCAGAAGCGGGACTTTGTCCTGGCAGCAGCGTCCGTCGTCTCGAGACTTGGGCTCTAGCAGACCAGTCTTTCCTAATTTTGCCCGTCCTGATTCTGCGAAGACTGTGTCGACGACGCCAACGGATGACCAGGAGCCAGACCGAAGTCAAATCGCGCTCTCCCTTGCTTCAAAGGATCCCTCCTGGTTTCGTCAAACCCCAGATCGAGGAATTGGCTCGCCTGCACTACGAAAAGATACCGAGATTACCGGAGCAGGTGTTACGTCTTTGAACAAGAAGCAGCAATTGCCAGGAATGGATCGGGAGACTACTACGGATCCGGAGAAGCCAGGTAATCAGGATGCAGGGGTGGTGAGGTCGTCGGTACCTTCAAGGGCCAGCTCAACCTTTGGGAATGAGAGTTTGGGCAATCGATACTCCAGTATTTCCCCTGCTTCCCCTGCCTCCGCGCTGGGCTCTCCCGTCCCTGTGTCAGCATCCCAGAAACTTGAGCCTCGGAAGGATGAGCCGCTGTTGGAAGAGCAATCAACACACCCACCTTCCCAAAGGCGACTTTCCCCAGAACGCTCTACGTCCCCAACCAAAGGGCTAGGCGGATTCGTTCAAAGTGCCATGATGAAGCGATCAGACAGCGTTTCAAAGCGGTGGAGCGCGCAAGCTTCTCCCAGACGTAGTCGGACAAACTCAATCGCCAGCAACCGCAACAGTGTTGCAGTTTCTTCCTTCGGTGATCTGTCCTCAGGTGTAGGCTGGAAGTCGTCTCTCGAGATCCGTCCCCCCACCACTTCGAGACCTGGATCGAGCCACAGCGAAGCGAATGTCCACGCGAAAGACGATGAACGACCTGCCACACCGCCTGCATCTAACAATGCGCGGCCGAACTCATCTCTCGCACACGTGCGACCTTCCAGTGCTTTGAGCAACCATGATCAGGAAACCGAGTCTAAGCCGCAAACACCAACAAGTCCTTTCGTGTCCAAGACAATGGACTCCAAGCGGTGGAGTCCCACCAAAGCTACCTGGCTGGAGAGCGCTCTAAATCGACCGGAATCTCCACGCCAGAAGAAGGCCCCGCAACAACCTAATTGGATGAGGGATAGACAGGCAAGAGGCAGTGTTGATCTAGGGCGTTCCAACAGTTTCAAAGAAGTCACCCCTGTGGGCCTTATGCGGTCCCCGGCTCCTGGGTCTCATTACAAGAAACCAAGCGCCTCTGGAGTCTCGGATGTAATCAGCACCCCGGAAACGAGGAAGGCCAACGAGAAGGAATCAGATCCGAAGCTCAATATCAAGGGCAGCGATGCATCACCCCCTGTAGAGGGTAGTATGGATGGTGGCCATGCGCCAGATAAGGAAGAGCCGCAGGTGGAATCGAAACCCGGAAATACTTTGAATGATAACACGGGCGTCAAACGATCGCCACCCTCAGTCGCACCGAAGCCCAATATTACCCTTCCCTCTGGGCCGCCCCGAGATCCTCTCTTGACAAGACCGAAGCCACAGTCCCCTGTAATAGATTTCCGGGCCAACCTTAGACGGCGGGAAACGGTCAGAGAGACTACCCAGCAAGAGGAGCCAGAGTTCAAAAATGTCTTTGGAAAACTGAGGAGAGCAGAAACGACAAGTTATGTACCCCAAGATGAGTTAAAGAAGAACATCCTGAAAGGAAAAGCTGCGCTCCATGCAACCAGCGGACCTAAGAAGTCGCAAAGAGTGGATGAATTGAAGGAAAATATCCTAAAGCAGAAGGAAGCCATCAAGGCTGCTGGTGGGTCTTTGAGGGGTAACACCGCCGAAGACCACGATGCCCTTGAGAAGCCACCAGTCCCGGAGGCAATTGCCAGGCGTAATAACCTATCCAGATCCGACAGTCTGAAGAGCAATCGCTCTGACGGCTTGTCTCCAGTGCCTCCCAAGGCTGCCAAACCCCCTCCAAGTCTTCTCGGGAAAAAGCCGCCATCTCCCAGACCCAGTGAAGACTCTGTGCCTCAGCCCCCAGCAGTTGGAGGGTCGAAAAATGAGGACTCTCGCTCCGATATGACTGGCTTGGATTTTGTTGATAGAGAAGCCAGCGATGATGGCAAGAATGAGACCTTGGTGATTGAACCAAAACAGGACGAAGACATTGGAACGCCGCAGAAGTTGACTGAGAAGACCATCAAACCGGTTCGTCCTTTACCATCGACAAAAGCAGTTCCAGTCGCTCATGCGACTGCTGCATCTGAAGGTCTCGTCACTAAAGGGAAGCTCGCAGGACGAATAAACCCTGCCCTAGCCGGTCTCTTGTCACGCGGCCCACCAGTAGCAAGTGGAGCATCGAGTAGTCCGCCAGCAGCAAGCATTTCCCAAGAAGTGAACTCAGTTACACCTACCCAGTCTGCCGAGTCTCAAACGCCTACATCTCTTACTCATATGACTAAGCGTCGTGCAAGGGGGCCCAAGAGGCGCCTGCCGAAGAATACTACCATCGAATCGGCGCCTAAGGTCCAGAACAAAGCCCCGTCGTATCGATCAGCGCCTTCGCTGGAAGTAAAGAAAACGCGGGCAGGTATTCCCGTCACTCAAAGTGCCAGCACTCCACCGCTTTTTAATGTCCAACAAAAACAAGACGAAGGAACTTCACAGGGGCAGTTAAAACCCAGGGTTGCTAGCAAGCCAACAGGGTTAGGAAAGAATCGTCAAGCTTCGTATGATGAAGGTGACAAGAAATTACAAAGCGTTTCCGCTACGGCTAACGCTCCTACCCAAAGTCATGATTCCCAAAACGCTGAGAATGCTGAAAGTACATCTTCAAACAAACCAGCCTTGCGGCCAAAGCCAGCAACATCTATTTCAGCCTCTTTTATTGCATCTAGGCAAGTATCTCAATCCTCAAATGACCACGATTCCGAGGCGAAGCTCAAAGATACTGCACCTCGAGTTGATCTAGATCTCGACAAGCTTCCTTCTCGACAGATTTCAAGTATATCTCGGGAGGCTGAGAATAAAAGAAATGTCACACCCCCTGGAAAGCCGGTCTTGCCGCCTAAACCGTCCAGAACCCCATCTCCATTTTCTCTACAAAAAGAAGCCTCCCTGCATCCTTCTCTGCCTCCGCTTAGGACCAGTTTGAAAGAGAATAGGATGGATTCTCCTTCAGACTCCCAGCCGAAACTCGGGCACGGCTTCGAAAAGAATGGGATAAGAAACATATCGCCTCTGAACAAGACCTTACCACCTCCACCTATTGCCCAAAAGACGTCTGGTATCTCTTTGGGGGAGTCTTCGATTAAACCAAAGCCTCCACCAAAGTCATCTTCCCTCTCACCTGTTCCACGGACTGGAGAGGCAGCAGAAGTAATATCGAACTTCTTTGAAACCTTTCCAAAGTCCAGCGACAGAGTAGATATCGATCCCCAATTTATCCTGGAGAATAAGATGCAAGACTTGAAGATAAGGACATTGAAAATGCAGATTTGGGAGATCACTGGTGACGGAAAGAGACAAGATCTTCCTACTAACCAAGAATACATTCTTTACGAGGGAAGTATGTACCTGTGCCTGCATGTGTTTGAATCTGATGGCAGCACACGGTCTGAAATACATCTTTGGCATGGCGATGGTGTTGGAGAAGCGGCTTTGGAGGATGCCCAACTTTTTGCCCGAAAAATTGCACGCGAGAACGGTTGCAAGCTTGAGCTTACAAGGCAAGGCAAAGAAACTGCGCGTTTCATACAAGCTCTGGGCGGAATCATAGTCACACGTCGTGGGTCAAGCTCGCGCTCCAGCTCCTCAGCTTTGTACATGCTCTGTGGCCGAAAGCATTTGAAGCAGATGGCATTTGATGAGGTCGACTTCTCTCGCCGCAGTCTGTGCTCAGGCTACCCGTTCGTGTTATCCGCCAGATTTGGGAAGGTGTATCTATGGAAGGGGAGAGGAAGCGGAGCAGAGGAAGTTGGTGCTGCTCGACTCATCGGGATGGACCTTGGATTGACGGGTGATTTTGAAGAAGTTGTCGAAGGGGAGGAGCCAGAGGGCTTCTTTGAAAATTTCTCGGATAACAAGGACAGTGAAGCTTATATGCGTTCGGAACACTGGCGGCTGAAGCCTAGTCATCCTCATTTCAATTGCAGGCTCTTGCGGTTAGACCATGAACTCGGCCAGCGATCAGGATTCTGGATTCGACGATCAGGGTCTTCCTCACCTGTCATCCGGCCGAATGACACGGTCCAGGAGATCGAACCTTTTTGCTTCAAGGACATCACAATGAGGGATATTTATGTCCTCGACGCTTTCTTTGAGATCTATGTGTAAGTTCGAATACTGGAACTGTGAATAAGATTCGCATTCCACTGACTTTTTTCCTTACAGGATCATTGGTGAGCAAGCTTCGAATCGGCCTGCGGAGTTCGCATCGGCGGTCGTTTTTGCACACGAATATGGAATTCTTGCTGCGTCTCTTCAGGACAGACCATTCATTCCAAAGAGCTTTGTGTCCATCGGTGGAATCCCGGATTCGTGCCGAAGTGCTTTCCGCAAGTGGGATAAGCACCCTTGGCAGTCTGTCCCCAAGGTGCTTCCTTTGAATGCCGCCATTGAAGCCATTCGGTACTGATCGACATCTCTTCGCTTTGCTTTCACCACTATGTTCTTTTTCAGCAGTTGCATCACCTGGTGCGCGGGAGTTATTAATGGGTGTTTATGGACATCTCACGCGGATGCATGTTGGAGTCCTAACGGGATCAGTGTTATATCCATTGGATCAAAGCGTTTTATTTTGCCTTGTTTGCTGTATGTAATCTGATTTGAGGTCGCTACTTTCTCCAACAAGTATAACTTAATATGAGAGCAATAGAGACAGACTAGACTCATACCCTCTCCACAGATGTCTTATAAATCCTGGCCACGTGATGTCATCTTTATATCGTTTGGCTCTTTCAACTTCATTACTTCATGGATATTTATTATAAGACTAGACAAGACTGAAGGTGGCGCCTTATTCTGAACAAGGAATACAGCGGTGGCCTTATCGTTCCCGATCTTCGCCATATCCGATCCGGTTCTTCGCCGACCCACCGTTGGGAGAATAAATTTCGTTTTGTTTACGCCTTTTTCTCACCTCAACGTCACTTTGTATCTGCTACCAGTCCAGCAAGAACATCCGCTCATCCAACCCTTTCGATATGCCTTGGTTGTCTGTTCGGTGAGAATCGATCGCACTGATTCACGCACAATGGACCCCACCATCACTCGCGAGCTGTCGCGACTGGACCCCGCTGTTCCTTTTCGCGCGTCCACCGATCACCTGCATCACACCTGGGCCAAGACCTTCTACTCGCGTCCTGAGCTGTACATCCGCCCGCAGTCCATTGAGGAGATACAGAAGGTCGTGAATCTAGCGCGTCGTTGTCGCCGCCGTCTTGTCACAGTCGGCAGCGGTCATTCGCCATCCGATTTGACCTGCACTTCTTCCTGGATCGTCAATCTCGATGACTTCAGCCGTGTGCTGCAAGTTGATCGCGAAAAGAGTGTCGTTACCGTGCAGGCTGGTATTCGTCTGAAAAATCTAGGGAAGGAATTGGCAAAACACGGGTTGACCCTTTCAAATCTGGGCAGCATCGACAGCCAGTCTGTGGCGGGTGTCATTGCAACGGGTACCCATGGCAGTTCGCTTCAGCATGGCTTGATCTCAGAGTGTATCCTGTCGCTCTCTTTGGTACTTGCCAACGGGCAGTTGGTGAGATGCAGCGCGACCACTAACCCGTCCCTTTTTCGCGCGGCACTAGTCTCCTTGGGTGCACTGGGGATCGTTGTAGAGGTCACTATCCAGACAGAGCCGTTGTTCAACGTCGCCTGGCAACAATCCAGGCAGAAATTGTCAAGTGTGCTGGCCAAGTGGTCTTCCGGCCTTTGGACGTCTCACGAGTTTGTCCGCGTCTGGTGGTTGCCGTATGAGAAAAGTGCTATTGTCTGGCATGCAGATAAGACGGACCTCCCGTTGCGGCCTCCTCCGAAGACGTTTTATGGCGGGCTTATTGGGAACGCTATTTACCATAACCTTTTGGCGGCTTCGACTTATTTCCCCTGGATCCTTCCCTGGGTGGAGTGGTTCATCTTTGGCATGCAATATGGATTCAGAGATGGAGCAGTGGTTGCTGAAGCCGTGGAACCCGCGCGCGAAGGGCTTTTGATGAATTGCCTATATTCCCAGTTTGTCAATGAATGGGCCATGCCTCTGGAAAAGGGGCCGGAGGCCATCACTCGTCTGTCTGCGTGGCTGCATGGGGATGTCGCGACTGCTCAAATTCCGTTCCCGGCTGACCGATTGTGGGTTCACTGTCCGATCGAAGTGAGAGTGTCAGATACAACTCTGAACAAAAACCCTCGTCCATTTCTCGATCCGACTTGCACAGATGGGCCGACACTATACCTCAACGCGACTCTCTACCGCCCCTACCACCGGGATCCCCCTGGCGTAGACCGGTACTATGAGGCCTTCGAATGGCTCATGCGCGAGATGGGCGCTAAACCGCACTGGGCCAAAAACTTCCACACAACCTGTGCTCGTGAACTAGGACAGTGGTACGGCAAGGACATGGATGAATATCTCTCAGTCCGGAGAGAGGTCGATCCCGACGGCATGTTTCTTGGTGAATGGCATCATCGTAATCTCCCCATTGACGTCCCGAAGACAGATTCAGACAACTCCGCAGAGCAACAGATGGACACTCTCCCGCTTCAGGAGCGTGAGAGGGCTCGCCATAAACTTGGGGTCCGTGGTGCGGGTGATGGAATCGAATGGATCGGGGATAGACGGTGGCGCTCGGATACGTCCGTGTCAACAGCTAAAGAGAAAGGGGAAACGACGAAGGAAGACGAAAATGACGCCTCTCGGGAGCAGAGTCCTAGTCCTCCCATGACAGCTACAAGCGAGGAGAGCTTCGACCTTCTTGTCAAGGGGGAAGCGAGTGTTGTTCTTCCAGCGTCCCGTTCCTGAATGGAGATTCCTTGACTCTCAGGGGCTCGGACCCTTCTCTATTATTGTATAGTGCAGTCCATCAGTTAGTGGGTCACTCCGCAATCTTTTGACAGATTCCTTTGTCACACTTTTATTGATGTTTTTGAACTATTTCCCCTATCTATTTGCAATTGTTTGCTATCAGCAAGTTGTTACGAAGTCGGTGCTCCCAGCATAGCACATCCATCTATCCATACGCACATACGCCTGCATGCGTGTATGCACAAGAGTCTGACCGCTGACTTGGACAGTCAAAAACCATTTGTTTGAGCGAGTCTGGGCAAATTTGGGCAGGTGACATGATCTCAATGCAGTACGTACTTATTTAATTGCAAACTGGCGATTGGACCCCATTCATCAAGGCGTACACTGCGTACAGTTGCAATGCTGTCAATGCACATAGCATATGTCAACAAAATGTATTGGCCATGAATATAGGACAGTAAATATATACGAGTCTCCATATCTGCAGGCAATAATCCCACGTAACCAGCCAGGCTCTGATTCGGGGAGATGTGTCGCATTCGCGAGGTGCATATTATGCAGGTTGGACCAGGGTCTCTACCGCTTTTTGTTTCTACTGTCGAATGGCATTGAATATCCCAAGAGGCTGATTACAGCGAGGCATGGGCACCTCCCTTCTGTCTGCAAGATGAGAAGAGAATAGAAGAATGATACGATCGATATGGGAGTTGCGAGCGCATCGTCCACCTGTCCCGTGACGAAGCCTTGAATTGTCCCCTCTAGCCGTACGCGCTGGCGCGTCCTCTACCGTTTCTCTGCGGTGGCTGTCCTCTCTGTCATCATCGAGCCTTGCATATTGATATTGTCGTCGTTATTGGATATATCTCGTCTTCCTATCACTGAATGTGCTATGCCCGACGGAGAATTGACGCATATGACATTCCATTTTCAGAGGTTCCATCGTCACATCGCTATCGGTGTACGTTGACTCCATCGCATCGTAGCTGAAGGCAAGTATGAGCTTCAGTCGACACCGAATGCAGATCTCTCAAGGTAATTCGACTATTCCTGATGTATTAATTATCCTATTAAAATGGGCAATGCTAATGATACATGTACACACAGTGCCATATCAGCGATAATAGAGTAACTGCCCTTCTCGAACTCTCTTGCTCCTTATCCCACAGCAGTTTTTCGAGCCAATTTCATTAGACTATCAGCATCTCATCTCCCTATCTTTTCCCCATTATTTGCCTTTTTGGAGACCCTCTGTTGGCCGGTCACGATCGATCCCATCCCTCCCCATGTAGCGTCTGGAGGGAGTCATAGCGCTGCGCAGCGGCCAGTTACATCCTATGGTTTTCTTTGCAAGGATTATGCTGGATTCTTGGCCTGCGGGTGACTCGCGCCATTCTGCATGGATATATCCATGCTCCCTGCATCCTGACCCTCTTCTCGTTGGTTTCTCAGGTGGCACTTGCCAATGAACTTCTGAGAGTATGCTATATCCCTGTTTTCTTCTTCAATCGAATGCCAATAGATATGATATGCACAGATGAGAAGGTCGACGCGTATCAAACCGATGCTTCCCGTGTTGGCTTGTGTTTTTTTCCCTTGCCGGCTCTCCTCTGCAGAGTACATGGCGGTGCACGCTTCACAAACAATGGGGTTTGTGAGGCTGTAATTTCATCTCTACACACAAAATAATATGTATGTGGGCACATTGTACCTGCTATTTACATCTTTCGTGGGTTATTACTCGATATGCTGTACGACCAGCCCGGGGAACTTAGGTATACCTATTGAAGAGGTGCTGTCGCAGCTACAGTGAACCATCAGACCTGCTGCATGTCTGTGCAGCAGACAATAATACCAAGAAGGATATTATCGATGCTTATCTTGTCATGTGATGGTCGCTGCTGCTCTCTCACTTGGTGAGAGGATAGACAAACGAGGTCATCCTCCAATTGTGCACATTTGCTACCCTCCTTTCTACTCTCGCTTGTCCTCGGAGAAGCTCTCCAGCGCTAGATACGCCCATCAGAATTCTTTCCATGCACGGAGTACTGGGGTTTGCAGTAGCCCATTTCTGACGTTCATCCCACATATTTGTTGACCTCGGTTCTGAGATTCGATTTGGATGATGAGATCTGGGGGCCGGACAAAAGGCCCCTTTGACTGACTACTCGTCTTGCGAAGCATGTGTTGATTTGCTGCCGATATATTTATTTATGCAAACATGATGGTTATCTGTGCGCCTAAATAAGCTGTTCAATTGACGGTTAGGCGCCTTGACTCTCGAGGGATACGGCTATTTCTGCCCACTGACTAGGCGCATTCCTCGATGCTGTAGTTTCAGAGCACGGAGTATTAGGGCGTCCTTGCTAACTTGGATCACCTTTGTGCTCGGGATAGTGTAACCTCACCGGCATCCGTAGGTGTGCTGACTACGACGTCAGTGATACAGGATGGCCAGGGAATCAGAAGTGATTTCCTCCTGGTCCTGGCTTCTCGCTGCCCAACTGACTAGCTCCATGCCTGCTGATGCTGACGAGAGTTGATAATCATCCGCGCTCTCATCTATGGCGGTTCGGACCGTCAACAAGAACCCTGCCTGGCACTCGCGGCAAAACATCGGAAAGTATAGGCAGTCATTAATGACGGGTATTGTCGTTGCTGTGTTGTCAGTAAGCTGGACAAGCACGAGACCAAGGCACTCATTCATTCTTTCGAGGGGGGATCCTAGTCCCAAGTAGCTATCTGAGCCACGGGGGTCGCGTCAACGGCCAGCAGCCAACAGCAGGAGACACTGGGAATGCTGAACAACTGTACATTGGTATCGTTGTGGCAGATTTGCCCACGTCACCGTCAGTATGTGCTCTCGGCGCAACTTCAAGGCGAGTGGATGATCGTCTTGCGCATATGCGGGATTGTTGGCAGGTTTAATGCATTCTGTGTTTGTTAATCCTGATAATAATAGGCCCTAGAAGAAGGCAGCCCTTCTATTTCAGCCTCTTTCTTATTGCTTTTTAATGATATACCTTTCCCCATGCTCCACCCTCCTGGTTCTATCTCCCCGGAGCCCCTTTCCCCCCTAGCAAAGTTTCGTGTCATCCTCCACTTTCTCATTATAGAATCTCACAGCTGCCAAGTTTGGAAGACGCAGGTCTTTTGGTACCTTTGTTTAGCCTCTTGCACCTTATCAATGAATGCTTTCCCTCTGTTCATGAGTGAATAGATATGTCTCGGCACCAAAAGCTCCGTCCCAAGTCACATATTCCGGGTTATTCAAACGGAGTATATGATTTAGCAGGAGGTGCACCATTCTTAGATCTTGAATACACTCAAGGCGCTTCGGAAGAGAAGCGGGAACAACGCGTCTTCCGGGTCAAGCGCAAACATGTCTTGAAGGCCTGTGACCGATGTAGGGTTAAGAAGACCAAGGTCTGTTGACAGCTGAAGCCCATTCTTATAACAAAATCTTCTTGATTAGCATGCTTATCCAGACCAGTGCGATGGGAAACAGCCATGTAACCGATGCTCGACGCATAATCACCCATGTCTCTTCCGGGAGAGGAAGGCCACCCAGGCTAAAGTTTATTCTCGAGGGTAAGAATGCTCTTTTTGATATTCCCATCTCCGTTGTTTGTATATGGATGCTACCTTCTCTGGAATCACCGATTCTCTGACTGTACGCCACGTGATCACCAGGTTTGTGGAAATGCTGGAGTCTCATCATTCACTAGTGGTGAAAGCATTGCAGAAGCTGTACAAGTACTGTGTGAATAGAGAAGGATTCCCGGGAGAGCCTCTAGTGGAAGCTGCAGACGGCAATCCTTTGACTCATGCCATCCTTGACCGTCTAGGGTTGATCAAACAGGCAGAGGAGACCCTGGACGAGCCTGAAGACCCGGAGAATCCACAGTGCACAGGGCTTCAGTCCACTTCAGGAGATAGCAGTGCGACGACAGACTCGTCTTCAGAACCGAGATCACCTCCAGACCCTCCCCAAAGCAGTTGCAACACCGCCAGCTCATCACCGGGTCTTCTTCATGATAACAATTATAACGATAACGACGATATATTGAAATGGGATTTCCGATTAATGCAACCGGAGCAGTACGTCGAGTACCCCGGTTTCGGGTACAACGGGACAATGCCCTCGCGACCATCGTTTATGGGAACGACCAGTTTAGCTGCCGACGCAATGTACCCGGAGCTCAGCCCTTCGGTACCAAACTGCGAGCAGCCATATCCGTTCTACTTAGAAAGCAGTTGCACGAGAGTTGATCTTCGGCCCGGATTGATGTCGAGGCCGGGTTCACATGCAATAGCAGCTGGGCTGCCTGTTGAAATTTATGCCCTTGGGGAGTTTCAGCTCCCATTTCAGGAGCAGCAATTCTATTCGGCTCCTCCTAATACTGAACCTTTCTTGGATTCTCATTGGAATACCAACAACTTCCACCAAGACCCAAATGTCCAGCAGTGAAAGCTCGTTTGCGTTCCAATCCAGGTTGCATGACTCGCAACAACATCGCCTCCACTAAGTTCGAGGCATCTATGGGCAGAGCTGAGGCACTGTGATGAGGCGTTCACTCTGCGTGTCTTATGACGCAACCTGTCGTCCGCTCGGGAGCAGTTTCCAGGTGCCGTTCATTGAAATCTATTTTGTTGGCAGTATCAGGAATCTGCCTCGAGGGATATCAAATGTGTTTCCAGAGTAGAGTTCTGGCTATGAGATACGAATGAATGAATCACGCTTCGATTCAAGCCTTCTTCCTTAACGGACCGACATGTAGCCGCCTCCTGCCCTGACCCCGAGCCCTAAGCCCTAAGCCATAGCAGATCACACATGACTAGGATAGTCTTAGCACCACTGTAGATTTAGAGTGTAAAACAATTACATTATTTACGTTTCTCACTAAACATGCAAGCAGTACACTCTATGGAGCACAACAACTAACAAAATCTTCCCCCTCCTCTCTCGCCAAGCCATGCAGTTAAATAATGCCTTATTACCTAGGCAAAGGATTCCAGTCGATCGGACCGACATTCGCCATCTTCCGTGCGGGGAGCGGGACACGGTTAGCCGAGGCTGTTCTGGGGAATCCCGTGACTTCCCCGGAGCAACCCTTCAAGAGCAGTAATCCAGGCTCTGGTCTCACTTCCTCATGCATCTGCTGAGAGAATCCTAGTTTTGAGTTTTACTGCTCGAATCTCCTCTCCTTTCTTTTTCTAAAATGGCATCAATTACCCGTGCTCTTCGGCCCTTGTCCCGTGCCGGCCCTTTACGCTTCGCGGCAAGCCGACGACTGCCTATCCGGCCGTTGCTATGGTAGGTATTCTTTTCTCTCTCTCTCTCTCTCTCTCGGCTGTTTCTAGAATAAAAAACTGTTCCTTACCCTGTTACCTTGTTTAATATTTGTTAACTTGTGGTCTGGTTTCATCAGTGCCTCTTCATTCTCTACGACTTCCCGCAGGCGAGATGTCGACCTCACCGGTCTCACGCCTACTCCGATCACGTACTTCTCGGAAACTGAATCGTTGATGGCGGAGACTGTAGCCAAGTTTGCTCAGGAGCAGATTGGACCCAAGGTCCGGGAGATGGACGAGGCGGAGAGCATGGACCCGGCCGTTGTGGAGCAGCTGTTCGAGCAGGGATTGATGAGCATTGAGATCCCCGAGGAATACGGCGGTGCCGGAATGAACTTCACATCAGCCATCGTGGCCATCGAGGAGCTGGCAAAGGTCGATCCCAGCGTCAGCGTCATGGTCGATGTGCACAACACGCTCGTCAACACGGCTGTCCTGAAGTATGCTTCGGAGCAACTTAAGCGGGATTGGCTACCCAAGCTGGCTACTGGTACCGTCGGGTCTTTCTGTCTGTCTGAGCCGGTCTCCGGGTCTGATGCATTTGCTCTGCAGACCAAGGCTGAAAAGACGGCGGATGGATACAAGATCAATGGCTCCAAGATGTGGATCACCAATTCCATGGAGGCTGGATTCTTCATTGTCTTTGCCAACCTCGACCCCAGCAAGGGGTATAAGGGAATTACGGCTTTTATCGTTGAAAAGGATACCCCCGGTTTCTCCATTGCGAAGAAGGAGAAGAAGCTCGGTATCCGGGCCAGCAGCACCTGTGTGCTCAACTTCGATGACGTTGTCATCCCCAAAGGCAATCTCCTTGGAGAAGAGGGCCAGGGATACAAGATTGCCATCGGTATACTGAACGAGGGCCGTATTGGCATTGGTGCCCAAATGACAGGTCTGGCGCTCGGTGCCTGGGAGAATGCTGCCTAGTACGTTTTACTACTGCTTCTAGAATAGTTAGCGTGTAAGTAATACCTACTAACATAATCTGTCACAGTTACGTTTGGAATGACCGCCGCCAATTCGGCCAACTCATTGGAACATTCCAGGGCATGCAGCACCAGCTTGCTCAATCCTACACGGAGATCACGGCGGCGCGCGCTCTCATCTACAACGCCGCACGGAAGAAGGAAGCCGGTCAGGACTTTGTCCAGGATGCAGCTATGGCGAAACTGTACGCGTCGCAGGTTGCTGGCCGGGTGGCCGGGCTAGCGGTCGAGTGGATGGGCGGCATGGGCTTCGTCCGCGAGGGCCTTGCGGAGAAGTTCTTCCGCGACAGCAAGATCGGGGCCATCTACGAGGGTACGAGCAATATCCAGCTGCAGACTATTGCGAAGAACTTGCAGAAGGCGTACACAAAATGAGGTTTGATCGAGTAGAGAATATGAGCATATAGGATGGATGACCTTTTATACTACTATGATTATTTTGGCTTGGATAAAGCATCATGATGACTAGGATAGTTGTTGGTTTATAGGTAGTTATTTGTCTGGGTTGGACGGGAATTTATAAGATATCCATATTGATACCATCTTTGAGATTATACATATATGCCGTGCCAACAATGGGACCCAATAGACCCTATACATACCAGGCCAGGGGTTATGCAGTACGGAGCAGATTGATAGCAAAAAAAAGTATCAAATAGCAAGGTAGTCGAGACAAGTACAGCCTATTAATCAAGAAGAATGGCCATGTATAATGATAACATCCACCAAATTAATAATAATAAACCTAACCATAATAATGTAAAGGCCAACGATGTATATGCAACACTTGCTGAGCATGACCCATCCACCAATACATATCTATGTATAGATGTTTATGTATAAAACATATAAAATATGAACTTTTCCAGGCCGTACAGTCGTCAAAGTCATCCGATTCATCCAGCATCGTCAACATTACCCCGACTCAAATAAAGGATATGGGACGGCTGAGCTGAGTTTAAAAAGAAAGCAAAAGAAGAAAAAGAAGAAAAAAGCAATAAAAAAACCATTGGGTCAGCTCAATATTGAATGGCCCAGCGTCAGTCTTCGTATTGACCCGACCCTCCCTCACTGCCTGGTGACGATGATAAATAACCACCTTGACTTGAGCCTTGCTCCTTTCATATTCATGTCCATGCAGAGATCAATTGTGGAATCGAAGCATTGCAGGGTATATATATATATGTATTTCTCATATAATCGATCAATAATAATGGATAAGGCGTCCGGTGAAATGAACGATGACGGCGCAAAAAGAAGAAGCCCTAATCGGATCACGGGCCCTTCAAAGGCTGCTAAATCTCCAACGCAATATATTGTTGGACCACGTCGATGCGTATATCCAAGAGGTTAAGCTTGTCGCGTTCTGTTCTCGACAGTAAAAAGGCATCGAGTTATATAATCGACGTGTCTCTTTTCTCTCCGGATGAGATCGCGCGGCATCGAAGGATCAGTAGTTAATTGAACGAGTGAATACAGTCGGAACGCGCGTAGCCTCTTTTTTTATTTTTTTTATATCCTTCGTACACATCTAGCAGAACAGCGTCTGAACGTCATTTTTTCTCTCTCAAACTCCATCACCCATAACAGGATAGGGACTGCATGCGACACGCAACCGTGGTTTAGGGTTAGGCGTTTCAATTTGGGACCTCCCAGAGACAAGGATAATGCGATTCCCCGTGTGGCGATGGGTCCTTGGAAGAACTTGGCTGTTGATGATGCCCCTGCCGGGAATGGTCCATGGAAACGTGCTTGGTGCTGCGTTTTCCAAGGGAGCAGAAGGGGAATGCTGCGGGGACCCGTACTGTGTGCCGTGCGAGAGGTTCCGCTGGAGCGTGTCTCCTGGTCTTTGGGAGAAGTCATGCGGTACTTGGTAGTACTGCAGGTTGAATGGTTGGGACGAGGGATCGGACAGAGGGACAGGGCCAGAGTCAGGGTTAAAGCCAACATGCTGGTCTGGTGAATACGGCATTGGACTGACCGGCTGGTGCATTGCGGGCGGCTGGAGCTGCCCGTGAAGGATATACGGTTCGACACTGCCTGGGTAGTCTGGCTTGGGCGACTGGCCCATCGCAGCCGGCGAGGGAGAGCTGTAATTTTGCCAACGCTGCTGCGACGGGGGTATCTGGTCGTGTGGTGAATGAAGGACTGAGGAGGCACCGGAGATGGAATCTGTCGCTCCTCCAAAGGGTCCGGAGTAGTTCGAGGGAAACATGGCCATATGGGGCACGTTACTATCTGCATTGGCGAGTTAGTTGAAACCCCAAACAATGACCCAGTACGCAGATGAGAGAAGAACTTTTGACAATGCAGCAGCTTATACGGTCCACGGCATTCATGACGCCCTTGCTTACCGTTACCCGGATATGCTGGACTACTTGTGACAATGGCGAGCTGATGCCGCAGCCGACGGACCTCTTCGTCCAGGGCAGCATTACGCTGCACTACTTCGTCGAATCGTTCCGTCTTTGCCCTCAGCTCTGCCACTTCGCGTTCCAGAGACTCTATGTGCTCTTTCGTCCGTTGACGAATGGTCCTCTGAGCCTCCCGATCGTTTGCCCGTTTCCCGTCGAGCTGTTCCGCCGTCAGAGAGGTTACTTTCCGAGTCCCAGCGCGCGACTCGCGCCTTTTAGGCGCTGTAGATTCCCTTTCATTGCCTGCATCCATTGGGCGTTGATGCCGGATTTGCCTTCCGACGTCAAAAAAAGAGCCGACTGCCGCTTTCCCCCCTTTCCAACGTCCTGCGCAAATCTTCCAGAACAGCACGAAATGGCCAAGTCACAAAGAAAGGAGAGAGGGGCACAGACAGGAAATAAACAAAAACAAAAAAGGAATGAAAGAGAAAAAGGAGACTGAAAACAAAATGAAGAAAACGAAAAGGAAAGGGAGCGAGGGGAAGAAAAAGACAACATCGAGCCAGTCGGCGTGGACCACACAGGAAGCTCTCTTGACGGACCTACGAGTCACTTCCGGCCATCTGCTAGAACGCACTAGGCATCCTCGCCATGGCGGCAACGAACCAAGAGCTTGTTCTCGACTGACAAGTGGGTGTGGCGATATCCCCTTCTTCACAACCTCTGGCTGGCAGCTATACACGCTGCACATTTACCGGAATCTTAATGCCTGGTTCCCTTTCCCCCTTGGCGAATCTGCCTGCTGTGGCATCGATGCCAGCATTCGCAGCTAAACAGGGAACAACAGGGAATGATTTCCCTGCCTCCTCCCCACTCGCTGAGTTTAGGGACCAATGGGCACCAGAGGATACGACGTGAAATAGCGCCTCTCCTCCCCAGAAGGCTGTTGGGGGGGCACTATTTGTCGTGATCTCCGGCTTTAGACTACGCTCCGGAACCCGCAGTCTCTGACCCTCAAAATAACGCGAAGCAGGGATATTAACATGCCCAACGGGGCCCCCTGGGTCACTGACTGACTCACAAAGTGCGCCGTATCTGCGCGGCTACTCCGTCTCTATCCTGGAATAGATATCTCCGCTCTCGGCGAGTCTCCTCCACATTTACCCACTCGAACCCAGCATCCAAGCCAGAAGAGGCAAATGTGCCAATGTGTCTGTTCCAAACGTCAACATGAGAGAATCATGCTGGGGCAAACCACGAAATAGCCCGGTCCAACGGAATGAAGACATTTGTCAAACTTCCGATGGACAGGCCTCAGCCAGCGCCAGGAAATTCTTTTCCTCCAATTCCTTCCAGCCTGGGAGATTCGGCCGATCACCAGGTGAAACAGCAATTTCAACTGCCAATGGCCAAGCTGCATGGCCAGAGAGGCAGGTGGGCTCCCGGATAGGGCGGTTTCGCCTCTCAGGGGAAGGTGTATTGTCTGACACAGCTCCTCAGATACTTTGAAGCCAAAATCCAATTACCGAATCGAGAGTTTTCTGGCGCATTCTTGACTACATAGTACATACGTATGATGGGCAACAAGATTTGGGTGGTGATTGGAGAGGACAGGAGGCGAAACGCCTAGGGGCATTTGTGGAGAAAACCAAGGCCTCGAGAACGCCGAATCGAAACAATGCCAAAGATTATTACAGATGACATGGTGGCCAAGTGTCGTATCCGATTGCGAGGGCCGGTATCATGTTTTTTTGACGCGTCCCGAAGCCGTGCGTACATAGGTTAATTGAACCATGCATCGTATACTTCCCCTATCTTCTTCTCCCTCCCATTCTCCCTCGTTCGTTCCCTTCCAGTGTCATGTCTTCCCGAACAATCTATTTTTTGTTTGCAGGTAAGTCTGTATTCCGAGGAAATACGGAAATGTGGCTTTGCTGATCTTTGCACAGTCTACCCATGGCGGTTGAATACACATACGCGGCATCGCCTTCTAAGGCATGTCTTTTTTTAACAGGACCTTAGTTCTGCTCCCTCTCCAGTTGGAAGACAGGGACCCTAATGTGGCAAATAATGGCTGATACAATGTGGCAACGAATGCCCTTCATTCGCATTGTTGAAAGCTTCCGAGGCATCGTGTCTAGGGTAGGGTCAATACGACTACGAGATGACGTTGGAGGATCATGCGCATGCAACCCAACACCAGGCAGTAACGTATCAATTTCCCGTTGTTTCTATCAGGGAATGTCGATCTACAATGCAACGGAGAGAGCGGGCTTATTTTGACGAGCATCGTCGGTTCACTTGGCGGCGCCGCTTTAACCTTTGTCCCGGCTATTGCTGGCGGTTGAGAACCAGAACCCACTTGGCACCATGAAAAAAATTTTGCCTCCGAGACACGAACAAAGCAAGCTAGAATGCACCCCTGCATAGAGCCTGGACGCGCTGCCTTCTCCACAAAGGGCATTTTACAACCACGCCATTCCGCCCTAAGGGGAAAGCTCGGAGTCAGGAACCACATACGCCGAGCGACGGGTCCGGAGCGCTGAAGAAAGGAGCAGATCATACGGCTGGTTGGAATTAGGACCGTGGATTATACTGGATATGACACTCTAGAACCGGCGAGAAAGGTACACAACGTTCACTGAAGACAATCAACGGTCACGGCTACAGATCACTTGACGTCACCGCTCACGTGGCGGTGCACCGTCCTGCACGTGACGCACCGCCTTGGCAGCCGTTTCTTCCTCCAAAGATCCACGTCTCGTTGATCGGACCATCGCGCATTGCGTTGTCGCTGCCGTCTTACCCAGAAACGTTCCCAGTCGACGTTTGTTATGCACCTGCAGGTGATCATCCGATTTTCCCGGCAGGTCTTCGCTTCCTGTGGCTGAGGATGGATCCCAGTTACAAAGCACGAAAAGAGGCATTCGTGTCCAATCTCTCGGGAGGGGGCATTCTCGAGATCAACTTGGTGACGCTGGTGGCTTCGGTGAGCCCCGATTCCCTTGGATGGCATTGCCATTGTGTGCTCCTGCTGACCAAGGACTCCCCTGTGATGCCCACTTAGACCTCGGTTCTCCTCTGGTCTGCTCTGCAATCCCGTCTTTCCTATTTCACTCCGTATGGCACTGCGGCGCTCATTGCAGATTTTATGCTCAATGTGCTGGCTATTCTTTTTGCAACGACCATATACTCTTCCGCTCCTGGTCTCCTGAACATATTGCTGGTGTCGCCTGCTATCCTAGTCCTTCTGAACCCGTCGCCAACCCGTGCTCGAAAGAAAACGAAGCCTCCGCGTCCGAATCCAGTTGATAAACATGGCCCAGGTGAATCGCAACGTACGGCAGCCCACTTGGGGGTCTTGCCAGTCCATCCCTTTCTCACAACGTATCGTGCTGCGATGATGGTGATCACCTGCATTGCCATACTTGCTGTCGATTTCCGCGTTTTCCCGCGTCGATTTGCGAAGGTTGAAAACTGGGGTACATCTCTCATGGACCTGGGGGTTGGTTCGTTTGTATTCTCGGCTGGAGTGGTTTCTGCCCGCTCGGTCTTGCGGAAGCGGAGCAGCCACTCGAACACGGCGCTGCTTCGGAGATTGGTATCGTCGATACGACATTCAATCCCGCTACTCGTGCTTGGTTTGATTCGGCTCTATAGCGTCAAAGGTCTGGATTATGCGGAGCACGTTACCGAGTATGGCGTACATTGGAACTTCTTCTTTACATTAGGCCTCCTGCCTCCATTTGTGGAGATCTTTGATTCTCTGACTGCGATCATTCCTTGGTATGAGGTCCTTGCTTTGTCTGTCGCGGCCTTGTATCAAGTGGCCCTCGAATCTACCGACCTGAAGGCTTATATTCTTGTCTCCCCCCGAGGTCCTGGATTGCTCTCCAAAAATCGCGAAGGGGTCTTTTCCTTCCTGGGATATTTGGCAATCTTCCTAGCCGGTCGAGCTACCGGGGTTCGGGTCATGCCCCCGTCGAGCTTGCCGAAACAGGATAGGAAGAGAGTGCTTATGACGCTTGCAACGGAAGGCCTTGTCTGGACGGTCTTTTTCTTCTTCAATTCCGGCTACGCCATGGGTTACGGAGCCAGTATCCCAGTCTCTCGTCGGCTTGCTAACATGCCTTATGTTCTTTGGGTGTGTGCTTTTAACAATGCACAACTCTTTCTGTTTTGCCTGCTGGAGACTGTATTCTTCCCCTCTGTTCACATGATAACAGGGAAGCAGGATGAAGCTGACCGCATCTCCTTCGCAACGAGCAAAATTCTTGCCGCATTTAATAGAAATGGTCTTGCGATTTTTCTGGTCGCGAACCTCTTGACAGGAGTGGTGAATCTGAGCCTACCGACACTCGACCTCAGTACTGCGCGGGCCATGGCGGTCCTCATAGGTTATGCGGCGATCCTTAGCCTGGTCGCGCTTGGCCTAGACAAGGCCAACATTGTATTACGACTTTGATATCATACAAAAGTTGATTGTGACTGTTTATACGCAGCACTTCACAGGAGGCTGTGAACTCTGCTGTCCAATGGCTAGTGAGTGTATATAATACTAATCTGGCTACAAGCAAGATGACATGGATAGTGATAAAATACTCCTCCATATTTATTGTATTCGGACAGATCACATGGATGCCAGTGCCCTAGGGTTTGCAGTAATATCTAAGTCCGCAGGTAGACAGACGCAGCCGAATGCAGCTTGGCTTCAATAGTAATAACTGCAAGGCCAAGTCAGTGGAGATTGCTTTCCAGGGATATCCTGCAAATATACGTAGATGCTTCCACTGTCTTCGCGCTCTGCATCATGTGGGCGTAATTGTTCGGACAAAGCTTGGGTTCGGTGGAGACATGGCCGCCCTATGCATTCTTATTTCAACCACCTCGTCTTCCAAGCTGCCATCTCAGAATGAGCTCCCAGAACGACTCTGTCCACTTCATTGATTACCCAGAACCCCGCGAGGGTCCTTCTGTGTCGTATGAAAATGAGACGCAGTCGATCCCCGTCTTTCGCGGCATCCCCCTTGCCATTGGAGCTTGGATGTCTGTCTACCTGCCAATGAACAAAACACTATTACCGCCAAACTGATCATCCTGCTATCATAGAATCCATTCAGTCGGCTTTGTTCAGAGCCATTTCTGGCGCAATGCTGGCTTCGGAGTCATCCACGAGATCCCACAACTCGGTCAATACACGCCACGCTTCGATCCAACCGTGATCCCTACTACCGACGGCGGCCCCTCTGACGCGCCGACCCATCATCAGCCTTTGCCTGCCCCGACAGACAAACGAAAGGGGGAGTTGGGCTACTACACCTCTGCAGATTATCATGCCCGGTACCTGTCCGGGGAGCTGACTCCTACGGCCGTCGTAGAGACCCTGCTGCCGCTGATACGTCGCGATATCCAGCCACCTGGTAAGCACTCCGTTGCCTTCCTCGAGTCGCAGGAGGATATCATTCGAGCAGCTGCGGAGGCGTCAACGCAGAGGTACAAGAAGGGGGCTCCGCTGGGACCCCTCGATGGTGTGCCTATTGCTGTGAAGGATGAGGTTCATGTCAAGGGATACAAGCGCACGTTGGGCTCTAAACTGGACTTCAAGGGCGGTCATGATGAGACTTCCTGGTGTGTGAAGAAGTGGGAGGAGGCCGGGGCCATTATTATTGGGAAGACGACTATGCATGAGCTGGGACTAGGTGCGTAGGAGTTGTCTTCCTGAACAGGGGGAAGATATCCATCTCTGCCTATAGAGTACTGACATATCCGACAGACACTAATAACAATAATCCTAACTATGGCACCCCAAGGAATCCTCACAATCCCAATTACTACTGCGGCGGTTCGTCTGGTGGTTCGGGATATGCTGTTGCCGCTGGTCTAGTCCCCATTGCACTTGGTGCGGATGGTGGAGGCTCGATTCGAATCCCGTCGTCCTTCTGCGGAATATGGGGTCTGAAGCCTTCGCACAACCGTATTTCAGGAGACCCCTCGCCCTCAATAGCTCCATCAGTCGGAGTATTAGGTCCCATGGCGGCGAGCATCGACGACCTCGCCTTTGCATACCGCATCATGGCCGCCCCGCCGCCAGCGACGGCACATTCGGTCTCCTCACTCTTCCCAGATCCCACAGCAACCCTATCCTCATCGTCAGAACAACCAAGACCCAAAAACAAGACCATCGGCGTCTTCCGCGACTGGATCGATCGCGCCGAACCCGCCGTACGCGCCGTGTTCGACCGAGCCCTCGACTACTACCGCACGCAGAAATCCTACGAGGTCGTGGATATCACAATCCCCTACCTCCCGGAGGGCCAACGCGCACACGTCCTAACCATCATGTCTGAGATCGCCTCTTGCATCCGCCCCGATCAGATCCGCAACCTCATCGCGCCCAACAAAGTCCTCGTCTCAATGGGCGTCTACCAGATCAAAGCTCGCGACCTGATCGCCGCTCAACGTCTCCGCAATCTCCTCATGATGCACCTCGCTCACCTTTTCCAGAAATACCCAGGCCTCCTCATCTTCACCCCGACTACCCCCATCCCGGGCTGGAAGATCAGCAGCGAAACGGACCTTTCCTACGGTCTGTCCGATGGGAAGCTCTCCGTCCGCAATATGGAGTATGTCTTCCTTGCCAACTTTACCGGATGTCCTGCTATCTCGTGTCCGGCTGGGTATGACAGTGCCAGTCATGCTCCGATCGGTGTTATGGCTATGGGAGAGTGGGGGGCAGAAGAGGACTTGATCGCCTTCGCGAGGGATGGAGAGGGGTTGTTGGATTCGGATTCAGGTTCTGCCGGTGCGTCGTCCTCTGAAGGTACTAGCTGCAGCTCTACAGGTCTGCAGGTCCCGTCTGCCAAGGGGTCTATGTGGGTTGATGTTATTGCGGAAGCTGCCGGTAAGAAGGAATAGTGTTGATTCCTCTTTGTAATGATACGACAGACGCTCTCAACTTAAATCTAGCTACAAGATTTATCTGCAGTACAGTGGATGGATACTATAATGATAATACCAGGTTATGGACAAGAACGCATCCCATCTGAACCAAATTGAAAATAATTCCATGCAAGGTCCGGACTTCATACAAAATAGATAAAATAGTAATGACATAGATCGAACAGAATAAATCATATGTTTAGATAGAAGGGGTAGATCTAGTAAGTAGAAACCCACCACGGCGGTAATTGGGTGGAAATAAAGATATTTAGGATGAACGAAGGATCGAAATGAGGAGTGGAAGGAAGAGCCATCTTCTGTCTTATCTGTAGTGGACTTCTGTGTCATATTTTCTCTCTCGGGAACAGATTGTGGTCATTTTGTAGCTGCATTTGCAGCCGATTGAATTCCCCGGGCAATTTTCCATATAATATCACCGGAATTTCACATTGGGCCGATTTTGAACCCCTTAGCCTGGAAGCGATTGAACCTCATGTTGGTTGGTTCCTTTCTTGCTTTATTCGGAATATTAAAGGCTCAAAGTGTGTTTTCATGACACCTGCGTCTCCAACAGGATCCTTTCGCTAATGAAGTGCAAAGGTGAGATATGCGCGTTCAAGTCTATGCAATGTGAAGTGTTTTCGAAGGAGGATTATAGTGATATCCGTCCAGAGTCAAAAGAAAAAAAAAATAACCAGCCACTTCATGACTCCAGGGGATACCAGTGTGGCAACGCCCCAGTTCGGTGTACGAGACTTCAAAACACAATAGAAGAAAAATAAATAGTCACTGCAGATGTATGTGTTGAATGACTATTCTATCCTTTCACGGTCAGATCCATATACCTTCGCCAGCACTGGGAACATAGAATTCGCAGCCAAGTCCAGCTGCCTCGCCTTGCGATCTGAGCTGCTGCAAGATCTGAACACCCGGGGACGGCCCGTCGGTCAGGGTATCTTTGATATGGATAATATAAACAGATAAGCCCGCCAGAGGGAGCGGGCTTGAATCAGCCCATTGGATATTTTCCGATCCATTGGGGTCGGGCCCATGATCCCCGTCGTCTCCATCAACAGGATCGTGCAGACTAGGTGTTGGTGCATCATGAACTAAATCAGGGGTCTGGCCAGTGTAGTCACCTGAGTTGAGCCGTGATCGAGTGCCACTTCTGGCGGAAGCCCGACCTGGAGATGCGTCGGATTTTCTTTCTCGGTGTATGGAAATACGTTTTGTTTTGGGACTCACTTCCCCGACAGGTGTGGAATTTGTGCGCCTGCGTTTTCCCGTAGTGGTGGATACGCTCTGCCGTTGGCAATTCATGACTTTATGAGCTAGAACTGTCAACTCGGCGATCAGATGGCGCGGACATAGGTGACCATATAGCGAACTATCATCGACTAAGTCATCATAAGAACATTCAATGAATATTGCTCGTAGCGTCCCAGAGGCTACTTTCGGCGCTGCTACCTCCCACACGCGTTTATTGCGCGGATCAAGAGAAATTGAGTCAGGCTCAACGTCGCCGAAGACGATGATTTCGCTTCCTGTGGCATAGTCGCGGATAAAGAACGCAGAGCTTTCAACAGCCTGCCACACAGGTTCCTTCATATTCGTAGCGTACAAGCGGGGAGAGCGTGCTGGCGAATACAGCCTAACAGGCATGTTCTCTCATCAGCCAAGCGCTTCATTGAGGGTCAAGTTGACGGAATACTCACCCAGCCTCAGAATGATCGAGAGATATTGCTCGAGAGGGCACTACAAGCGGATCTGTCGTGAATACCGTACTGCCCTGAGACTTTCCGGTGTCTAGGTGATGCCGCTTACAGCGACCGTGACTGACAGCCAGGCATTTGGTCAACAGACCATTACAAGCCCGAACATAACCCTTCGTCTCACCAAGTCCAAATCGAGGATTTCCTCCTTCGACAAGACGCTGGTAAGTGATGAATCCAGCCCCGCCATCTTCATCCGAAAGGTTTGGCCAAATAACGTCATTGAACATATGACTTTTGATGGCATTGACGATAGAAGGTAAAGCAGCCAGTGTCTTCGGCCCACTCCCGGCCTCTAGCATCGGTGTATTTATCGCCAACCCAGCCAGGTGATCCAGGTGTGGATGTGTGAGGAGCACAGCTCCTATGATTTCTCGAAAGATGTACGCGGCATTGGCCCGAGCCGTCCTGGCAGGCAAGTCAAGGCCGACAAACGGACCTTCCTTCATCAGACCTTTTCCATCTTTCGATTCTGTGATATACAGCTCAAGCGTTCTGATAATGCCAGCCAGTAGGGTGCCTGCATCAACAGCAACTACGGAATTTAGTGACCATTGTGTAGATGTTGATCGCACTAGAAGGCCTGTCACCGTGTCTTCACGAGGTCCTCCTGTTGGACCCTTTTAAGAGTTAGCTTCTTCTTCTTTTTTTTTTTTTTTTTTTTTTTTAAAAAAAAAAAAAAAAAAACGACATGACAGGCCCAAAAGTGAGCTGCTATGCAAGATCCCGAGATATTCCCCGCGTTTTCTCGGAGTAAACCATACAAGCGTCCAAGTAGTTTCTTCTTGTCAAAAAGAGAGAGAGAGAAAGAAAAGAGAAATTGAAAAATGAGAGGAATGAAAATAAAGGGTAGGAACTCACCAAGACAATTACTTGGAATGCTGCTTTGTTTGCCATGTCCTTAGCACCTGAGCTGAATACCCCCCGCGATTCAGGACAATCCAACGTCTCGCTGACTTTTTGATTTCGACACAAAACAGAATATCTGCAGCATCAAACAACAGCCCAGATGAACGCAAAGTCAATGTGCACTGTTTATCGTTCAGCGATTTTTTATTTCCGCTGAGCGTCCTCCAAACCGGATTCTACCTCATTGACCACCGGGCAAAAGGGAAACTAGTCGCGAAATACAGAAGCGGCAGGAATAATTGCGATATTGACTTCTCAGGCCTGTCACACATGCAATCCCAGCAGCTTGTCACACTGTCACAGGCTACGGCGACACCGAATAGCAATCCACAAATATGCGCAGAATGACGGATAGCTGCAGAAACAAGGCAGCCTCGACAGCCAATTTTCGTCGCAGAGGATCGTCAACAAAAGACTCCCGTATCACTGTAAGGCGTTATAGATCTCGTGCGGCAATGGATTCGATAGGATTTCCGACGAACATCCACTGGTGGCAATCGATTAACTAATTACCCAGGATGGTGTGACACGGACAGGTTCTCGAGGGCAATGTAGCACGGAATCGATTCAATAGCAGTCCGCTTTCATGGGCTGAATGAAGCGTATGGGGGGGTGTGATCGGAGGAGCGCGACAGTTTTCTTAGAGACAACGTGACAGGATCTAAGGATGCATAGAAGCAGGCATGGAAGCTCCTTAACGGAAAAGAAAAAGAACACGAATGCACAGAATACCGAATAGGCAGCAGAGGAAGAAAAAATTATGTGGCTGACCGTCAGCGTCGGGTCTGCGAGGATGACGGGGATGAGCGTGACTTCGGAGCTGAAGGAGGTTTCGGAATGCGTGGCGTCGCTTTTTGAGACGGTGGATGCGAGATGCAGCGGGAATGAGGCTTGATGTCAGACAGACATGCGGTGGAAGGGAGGATGCATGGCTTAGGAGGCGGGGGAGAAAAGGAAGAGGAAGAGCAGCAAGAGATGTGAGTCGAGTCTGGCGTAATTAATGGCAGCTTATCTCTCGGCATTCAGCTGTGTCCTGCCCTTGGACATCCTTGCGACAACCTCCCGATCGCCTTTCTGGATCGTCTCCGGGGGATGGACGTGGTCATAATCATCTACGGAGACTTGGCTTGTCCTTTGACATCTGTTATTTCGGCATGATATCGATATCAGAGATCTATCTGTGGGGAAACGTGTCGGCGATGAACCCCGTGTCTATTTTAAGTCCCAGTCGAGGTATTACAATGCAACATTCGAGTCTTCCCTTGCCTCCTCTACCATTCGATTTATTCATTAACGGATGTATTCGTCATAGTTAAATTCATGTTAGTAATATGCCTTCTTGCAGATAACAACATAACCGCCGACAGAAGCCATGCTTGCCAGCTTCAGTCCTGAGTCCTAATACTTCCCCACACGACCCACGCAATAACCCCCGTCCTGCTCGAACCCCTGTAGCTTACAGTGAAGTTGCTGCAGCAATAATAACGCCCACAGAATACTGCTGCACGGTCATTTTCATGACGCGTCAGTACGCCAGTGGAAGTCCGCCGAGCAGCCGGAGGAATATCACCGCGCGTTGACCCTTTACTATCCCCGTTCTTCATTGACGTGCAGGATCCCCGGCTGTGACGCATCCAGGCTGGGGTCCGTGGGCTGGCATGTTGGTGTTGAGATAAATGTTGTGTGAGATGTGTCTAGTGTTGAGAATCCAGTATACTGCCATCGACGTCGCCTTTTTATTAGAGGTACAATAAGAATAGAGTTGTATCTACTCCATACTCTCCTTTGCACCTCTTATGTTGGGAAGATTCCAGCCTAGTGGCATTGTTCATATCCTGCCCGAAAAGAGAAGATACTTGAAAGTTACGTATCTTGCTTTCATACTGCCATATACCATGCCATGACAGTTGCCGCTAAAACAATAGTAGTGAAGAGGATATCTAGAAATCATGGACAGTTAAAAAAAAGCGTCTTTGGCTGCCGACGCACTTTTCCCGGAGTCCATTCCCTCAACCGACGAAAAATAAAAGCAAGTACACAGGGCATTGAAATACAAATCGGAAAGAATATCAGTACATTCCCAGCTCCTGAGTAAGTTCAGGTTAGGTTCCATCGCCGCTTGCAATTGACATAAACCCAGAAGAACCGTAGCCTCGGAAAGATCCTCCCAACGCCAGTAGCAAATCATGGCCGCTGAATCGAGTAACATAGCAAGCACAATAATCAATAATCAATAGAATCTCATCACGGTATAAACCATAATTCGCCGCCATACGATATAAAATGGGGGGAAAAAAGTAGTAAAAGTACGCTCCCTAGCATCAGAATTCATTCTTTCAGTGATGCTCACCGCCAGCCCGCGGTGTTGATCTATCTTGCATGCCGACAGCAGCATCATAGCTTGGAATCGGCGGTTGTTCACCTGGAGGAACAGAGCCCCTGTCCTCACTGCCTCTGCGACTGCTGCCAGGGCTTGTATACTCCGGAGGCGGGATTTGGTCAATCTCTTCTGTTGATATCAACAGGGCATCACGATCGATTTCCCCACTGTTACCTCGACTGGAGCCTTCTCCAACATCCTCATTAGAAGGAATATGAGATAGTGGGGCGAGAGAGATATCTGTCGGTGATCGTAGTGGGCCGGGGCTCACGGACGGTGTAATACGCAGTGTTGAATTAGCCCGGCCATGGCTGGCTTCCTGGTAGACACGTTGGGAGATTTGAGCCGCGCTCTCCCGGCCAGACTCAAGTAAGATGCTCCCCTGCTCACTTCCATATGGCGGTGGGGGATCCAAGCTTCCAGTCATAGGAGCCAACCCCCACTTTTTCACATTGGCTTCAATGAACACAAACCCCAATTGTCCGAAGTTGACATGAACCGTACACGGACCATTCGCACCGACGGACGGGAAAAAGTTTTGTGATTTCAAGCCATGGGCAACCTCGTCAAGTTTCTTGCCATTGCGTGTGAAGAAGATTGTACCCGACCGGGGTCGATAGCCCACGCCAATCACATCTCCTTGTAGGAAAGGTGGACCATACGGCGTGGGCGTGAAGGGTTGATTATGTCTGCGATCGCCGGTTGACTGATATGCGACAGAAGTTTTATGGAATCCTGAACAGAATACTTGTCAGTTTTGTCCTGCAGCTTCACGTAAGAAACGCGCTTTGACCATCGTACCTGGTAGTCTAAACAAGGGATATGGTTTTGTCGCCATGCCAATGCTGATGAGTGTGCTCTCCGGTTTATCATAGATTTTCGCTTCCCAGTAATAGACATCGTTTTGTTTCGGAACGGGCAGATTAGTCTGTACGCTACATTCGGAGTCGAAAAACTCGATTTCGGTGCGGGCTTCGACAAAGCAATTTGCAATTTCCAGTTCCGGCTGGAATTCCCATGCGGAGACACCCTTTTCCTGAATCGCGAGAAACTGGGACAAAGAGATATCTGTTTGCATTGATTCTGGTGGGTTGGCTTCAACAAAAGCTGTCTCACGATTAGCATTCTTTGCTCTATCCCCAAATGCTATTCCTAGATCAAAATGGAATAATCAAAGGAGGGGGTGGATGTAAAATTCACCTTTCGCTCGCAAATACTCTGACCTAGAGATGTCATCCATGACCTCCAGGGCCTCGGCTTCCTCGCGCGCAAAAGCCTGCTCATCATCATATTCGCCTGGTCGCCCGAGCCGGTCGAGCATGATCCTCCCGCGCTGGGTATATCTGAAGAAAAAGAAAACGGTGAGGATGATTACGGCAACAGCCGCAGATCCAAAAGCAGAGAGGAGGCCGATCAAGATGCCTTTCCCGGTTGAACCGGTGGGATTGCCACTGGCACCGACCAGCATGTCGTCGACATGTTCAACGTGCGATCGTGCCGAGAAAGCATTATCGTGGAAATTGAAAGCCACCTGTTCAGGAGCCGATGTGCCCAGCGCTGAGGGTCGGGCGAGAGTGATGAAGCCAGCGGGTGACGTCGGGGGAGTTGTGATCGTCGAAGGTCTCGCGGTCGAGTACACGCCAAAGGGAGAACGAGAACTCGATGCGTCAGATTCACGCATCGTTCATCGACTGAGAGGGGATTCCCGAGGCGGTATGTGATACTGCAGATGCGTAGGAGTCGGGAAGATGACAGCGCGCGATGATGTCGTTGACGGAAGATGGATGAGGACGGGTAGATAATTAGATGGAAGAACTCGGTCAGTCGGTTGGTTCCAGCGGGGGTTGTTGGCTGAGTGGTATCAGCGCCTCCCGCAGGCCGCTTGGAACCTAACAGAGTCGGTCACCAGAGATCCCCAACACGGCGTCAGAGACCGGAACAAGAACAAGCTCCTTTCTCCTAAAACAGCGAGCGTGTCTCAGAATTCCTGGTTCGAGGCTGACTCGCCCCTTATCAACCCGGCAGTCTTCACTAGGCACCCGCCAAACGAGCAGTGAGCGCATTAACGCCCCAGTTATCATCACGGTATACAGCACACTCTCCTAAGCATGCGTGCCTCTTCCATTGACGGCCCTTCAATCCGTTTGCGAGGGCAGTGGGATACCGCCACAAACCATGGCACTCCCTGCGACATCCTCGTAGCCGGGAAATACGATGAGTGGAACAAGTATCCAGGTTAGTTCCCAGAATTCCTACACACGAAATGAGGAAGACCAGGAATGTGTCGCTGCGCATCTGTGTATGTATACGTCTTACTGTATTATGGCGACATTCCCAAAATTGCTTCTCTTATTGGGCTAACAGGGAAGCACTGAGCAGCGAAACAACATGCCCAAAGGGTTGCTGCGCGACTCGCGAGCTCGGGCGGTCTTATTTACCTTGAAGGACAACCTACGATCAATTGGGAGGACTCCGACCAGCCGCGTGCCTTCAGGCAAAGGCGTTACTTCTTCTATCTCAGTGGAGTGGACGAGTTGGACTGCTACCTTACTTACGATATCGAAGCCGCTCTGCTGACACTATATATTCCGGATTTTGACTTGCGACGTGCCGTATGGATGGGCCCGACTCTTACGTTGGAGGAAGCTCGAGCGAGGTACAACTCACATGCATGCACATAAGTTCGCTGGAATTCTAAATTAATTTCTGGCAAATTATGCAGGTACGATGTTGATCGAGTACGGTACTTCTCCAGCATGCAAAGCGACATTGAACATTGGGCGAGCAAGAACAACAAAAAGAATCCTGTTTTCATCCTCCATGACTCCCAGAAACCGCATGTTTCGTCTACGAGCCTCAATTTGGACTCTGAACGACTCATGTCTGCTGCAAACGCTGCCCGGGAAATCAAGGACGAGCATGAGATTCAACTCATACGTCGCGCCAATGAAATCTCCGCCTTGGCTCATAGGGCGATCCTGGAGAATATACACAGGATGTCCAACGAGACGGAGATTGAGGCATTGTTCTTGGATACCTGCGTTAGTCAAGGGGCAAAGAACCAATCCTATAGCATCATTGCCGGTTCTGGTGAAAATGCAGCAGTGCTTCACTATGTCAAGAACGATGAGCCCCTCAAGGGCCGACAACTAGTCTGTCTGGATGCTGGCGCTGAGTGGAACTGCTACGCGAGCGACGTGACCCGTACATTCCCGCTGACAGCAGAGTGGCCCAGCGCGGAAGCCCGGAACATCTACCACCTTGTGCAGGAAATGCAAGAGGAGTGCATCAAGACCATCAAAGAAGGTGTCCGGATGCTGGATTTGCAGAGGGTTGCGGAAGAACTGGCAGTCCGGGGATTGAAGGAACTGGGCATTCTCAAGGACGGAGATGTGGCCGAGCTCCTCGAGTCTGGGGTGTCGAAAGTGTTCTTCCCACATGGACTTGGGCATCACGTTGGCCTCGAAGTCCACGATGTCTCAGCCGCCTTGGCCCGGAGCGAGAGCAGCGGAGACGTCATACATGGCCCAATGCTGCCAGCCACAAGTCATGCCCCTTGTACAGCCACCGCGCCCGCTCTGGAGGAGGGGATGGTGGTGACCATTGAACCCGGCATTTACTTTTCGCGCTACGCGCTGGCCAATGCAAAGAAGACACAGCCGTTGGCCAAATACATTGACTTTGATGTTGTGGAGAGATATCTTCCCGTTGGTGGCGTTCGGATAGAGGACGACATCCTGGTCATGAAGCATGGGCACGAGAACCTGACCACGGCACCGAAGGGAGAGGAGATGTTGGAGATCATCCGTAACGGAAGAAAGTAGTTGATCAGTAGCAAGATACCTAGAAAGAGAGAGAGAGAGTGTGTGTGTGTGTATGTGTGTGTAGATGATTATGGATCAGTTGATAATGGCCATCCCGTGTTCCGTGGGCAACCCCAGGGCGCACGGCAATTAATTGAAGATTCCTAGATGGAAGTCGTGCATATTTGCTGTGCCGACTGCAGATCTCGGAATGTCCCGTAGACGGAATCAGGCGCAACGTGGATGCCGAAGGAACAGAGAAAGGATCAATCTATTGCATTGCATGATGCTATTTAATGTCCGTCTACTCATTAATGTCTACTGTATTGCCGTGTACATCTAGATTAATAATTTCCTAGGCCCCCCGTCTGTCCTCATCCTCCCTGCGAAGTTCAAGGGGCGAATTGAATTGCCTATCGGTCGACCGTCGGATTCGGACGAGAGTTCTTTCAAGCTGGATATCAGTGCGCGTGCAGGGGAGATACGAAGAAGGCTCGATTGGTGTAATTGGCATTACTAGTTAGGGAAATATAATGAGCGACTGGAGATAACGGTGGCTGTTGCAGCAACCGTGCGCAGGAGTTTGCGAGTCGCCCAAAGCGTCGAGTAGGACAGCAGCCAAGCAGTGTAACGTCGTTGTGTACACTGTAAAGTACGGAGGTCAGACTACACTATACGTACAGCTGTGGTTCACGACTCGACGTGTATTCACCAGAATAGACTGTACTACGGTACACCACTTGTACAGTGAACACTGGATCAAATTACTATTCTTCCTAAAGTTCCGACTTCTCCACGCCATTCGAAACACCACCGAAAGTACACGGACATTATTCCCACCTCCAGGCCATGACGATTCTGCAGGAATGGCTGTCACACCACTCGGGCCGCGTTTCGCGCAAGTCGTTTCCAGATCAAGCAGCAATCATAAAGCATCTATGCAGCAGATATGCGAGTCAGAGGGGCTGCGGGTAAATTGGGCGCTAAACACGGCTTTCTTGAAAAAGAAAAAAAAAAAAAAAAAGAAAAGAAACTTCCAAGCTGTGCTGTTCGCCTCCCAATGGCAAGATAGCAAAGACATTACTATTATTAACCGACCCCTACGGTAACCTTCGGGGTCGCGCGTATTGCGCGACCCTGACAACCACCCGAGCACCGATTTTAGAACTTCGTAGAATTCCAACCCATCAACTTTATCATATAATTCAACCACCACCACCATGCCCAAATTCAATAAAAATTATGAAGATCGAATGCTCAAAGCTATTGACGCGTTAAGCACACAAAATCCCCCAAATATCGCCAAAACTGCACGTGAATATGGAGTTAAACGGCAAACCCTCTCCGCAAGGTGGAAGGGACGGTCCAATCTATGTGAACGACCACCAACCAACACCAGATTATCAGAAGAGCAAGAAAAGGCTCTGTGTCACTATGTTGATACTCTAGAGCAATTAAATATAAAGCCACTTGCACAAATGATCCAATCAAGTGCCAATTCTATTCTGAGATCAACCCATACCAGCCTAGACACCCCTCCACCTACTGTCAGCGAGAAATGGTTAAACTGATGGCTAGGAAGGCATCCTGAATATAAAAGACGTCGCTCTAGAGCTATAGAGCTTGACCACAAGCGTGCAGAGGATCATGAGGTTATTCAGGAGTGGTTTCAGAAGCTCCATCAGACCATCCAGAACCATGGGATATTAAAGGAGGATATCTACAATTTTGATGAGACTGGCTTCAATATCAGTGTTGGTTGTGATCAATGGATTATTACCAGGGACTTCAATATTAATAAGCCTCATATTGGGATGAATTCAAACTGTGAATATGTTACTGTGGTTGAAGCAGTCAATGCAGATGGCTGGACCTGCCCACCACTTATTCTCATGAGTGGTAGCTGTATACTTACAAATTGGTTTGAAGCTGCTGATATTCAACAAGACTATTCAATTGGAGTATCAGAAAATGGCTATATGACTGATACAATTGCCTTCCAATGGATTCAGTCATTCTATCGGCATACTAAAAGATATAGGAAGGGTCAATATACCCTTCTTATATGTGATGGATACGGCTCCCATCTAACACATGAATTTGTTGAATTCTGTGAGAAGACCAATATCATCACCTTCTTCTTACCTCCATATACAAGTCATTTCTTGCAGCCATTGGATGTTGGTGTTTTTCATGCATGTAAGCACTGGCATTCAGAAGCAGTTGCAGATGCAACCTACTCAGAATACAGTAAATTTACTAAGGTTGAATTCCTTCATGCCTTAGGGGCAATTCGCAAGAAGACATTCAAAAAGCGTACTATTCGGCATGGATTCCAAAAGACTGGCATCATACCATTCAATCCATCAATTGTACTCAATCAAATGCCTCAACCACATCATCCATCCTCTTCATCCACCAATACCAATGATGTTGATTCCTGGGGCAGTACGCCAAAAAAAAAGCTGAATGATTTAGGGAGATTGGTGATAGGATATGGGAGATTCATGATATCAACAAGGATCAATTTAATGAGGGCCTAGAGCTGCTTATTCATGGTGGTAGTATGCTAGCATCATATTCAGCTGCTATCGAAGCTGAGCTTGACCGGTATATTAAAGCTGCTAGGGACCGCGCAGCTTGATCACAGGCCTCTAGGCGCAGGATTCGCAAGGGAGGCATAGTATCAAGCTCAGAGCTTGAAGCTATAAATCGAAATACTGCGAATATTAATGAGCAGGCTGAAATAAAGAGGTGGAGGACTAAGTATAAGCGTTGCCTACCAGAGCTGCTGGATGTGTGCATTCGACGAGGAATTATTATACGAAGGCAACGACATGCTAGGGCCCAAGCTGAAGAGTAGAGCTTTAGTTTAAATATATTTTGAAGTTAAATACTATAGAATTCGTTGAGATATTGAAGCTAGAAGGGGGGTCTAAAATTGGTGCTCGGGTGGCTGGGGTGCTCGGGTGGTTGTCAGGGTCGCGCAATACGCGCGACCCCGAAGGTTACCGTAGGGGTCGGTTATTTGTTTATCGACACCTGTAAATTGCTCGATGCCTAAAGGTACCCGCTGCAACAAAACAGAAAAAAACGAGAAAAAAAATTTTTGCTGCCCCTTGCGTGCTGGCATGAGTCAATCACTAAACCATCCAGGTATCGCAGAAATTTCTCTCTCCATGACGTGCTCTTTTTTGGACTGGTCGATGTTCATATTATTTGGGCGGAATAGCCGCCATCCGAATTGCACCATTTGAAACAAGAGTGCAATAATCGTCAATAGCAAGCGATAAACTTGGCGTTTAGTGAGCGATCGGAGGGCTTTAGGTGTGGATCATCCGCTGCCGGCATTTCTTTCTTTTTTTTCCCCTTCCACTGCCGTGAGTCATACCACAGCTCGACTCATCCTCCGCAAATGTGTCATACCCGCGCTATATATAACCATCATGCTCTCGCCTGGTTCAGGCCTCTTTTTTTCTTCCCTCCCTCCCTCTTCTCTTTCTTTTCCTTTCTTATCATCTCATCCTCTTAGGGGTGATGGTCACTCCCCTCCCCCTACAACACTCTTACTCTCGACACCCTCCGAAGCATAACATCATCTCTCTACCCTCCGGCCCATTCATCAGCCGTTACCAGGGAAAAGCATTTCGCATTTGTGGAATGGGCCAAAGGCATAACAGACGTCGCACTCGCCCTCGATCTCGGAACTACAGCACCGCCAACGTCGACTGTTTCCAAGTCCGCTTCGCAGATTCACCTCCCTGCGCCGCTTCCCGGTCCAAGCTCTTCGTTCCTAGACCGTTGCATCCTACCGATTTCACTGCCCGTGTATCACGCGAGCCGTATCAAATACCACCCGCCCATATCTGGCATTATTGGTATCTGGCATGGCAGAAACGTGAACGCAGACTGCGGTTAGAGACTGCAAAGTTAGAGGCGGAACAATGCCGTCTCTTCGGTGGTGAACCAGGCGATGACATGAGTCTCTGTTATCGCATGTTGGAGTACTTTGATGGGCTCGATTATATCGACCCGTGAGTTCTTACGTTATCTCGCTTCGTTGTCGGGGTTCAATGGATGTGTTCTGACCGGTGCCTCTCCATTTCCCCTTGTACAGACCGTGAGACGTATACCAGGACGATTGACTCCGGTTTCCTTCCGTCGTGGATTGCTAGCGCCTTGTCTACCTCTTTGACTGGCGCCGGTATATCCCACCCAAAAAAAGCAACAAAAACTGAATGGCCGGTCCGTGATGACTCAACGACATGAAAAAAATATTATTACGCATCTCCCTCACGACGAACTCGAACGCCGTGGGACCCCAAACCCAATCCCTTCGAGGATACGAGAACGCCCAGATCCCGGGGAACCAAGTCTCCGACTTGTAGCAATGAAGGTATCCGACGGCTTTGGCAATAGGATACTGGATTGGTCCACCAAAGACTTGACCCCGTGGTTTCCGGCCCGACCCCTTCGCACGTATGCAGTGTTGGAAAATTATTTGCACTGGCTTCAAGTCTGGGTCAGTCTTTGTAGACGGTGCTCGCATTAGTGCTCTGAGCTCTCCGCAAAGCTACCTAGGTCTACCAATGTGGGCGGTGATCGCGTTCAGACCCTTTCTGGGCGCTCGAGCTCCCCACATTGAGCTGCGAATCATCCATCTCGTCTTTGATTCCGGCAATCGTGTGAAATCCCTCTCGTCATCCTCAAGAAATTGGTGGTTCTCGGTATGAATCTTAAAAATGTCAATCGGGGGTTTAGCATAATGGACCCAGCTTTTGAAGATAAACGCCTACAAGGTTATGAGCTGGTTCAAGTAATGAAAGTTATCGGCGCGTTGGACAGTTGTCAGAATGTTCTGGATATTCATATCAGGATTACAAAATAGTATATACCCAAGGCGCATTTAGGTAGCCAAAAAGGAACAAAAATTGAATGCAAAGCCTATGCTTGAGATGTCTTCCTGTGTCTCGGTTCTGTAACTGCTTATGTAGCTTCATCTATTCTGGTTGTTCTGTGATTCTATAGCATGTGACTTCTATAAATGTACTAACCCATTACAGAAGGCGGTGGTTCTATTTGCCGCTGTAAAGGACACGCTTCAATCAACCATGGATAAAGTGAACTGCTGGCAGTATTTGCGGACATGCTCGTATGCTGACCCAATCTCTCTTCCTTTCCTACCTATCTGCTGTCCTTGGGGAGAACATGTTCCAAGTTTCTGTCACTTGATCCTTCTTCCACATTTCCTTATAGCATCAATTTTAGAGCATCTTGCCTGAGCGGCAATACCTCTGTACAAGCTCTCTCGTTCAGCCACCTGCGCTGAACCTGCCGCACAATGTCTTCGACAGATTATGATTATGATGAACAGGTATGTATGAATTTATACCCCTACATTGATGCACCAGCTGATTATTGTTCTCTCACAGGGTCAATTCTTCCCCTTCTTCATTTTGACTCTTTCGGGTCTTGTCACACTTCCTTTGACATACAACCTCCTCAGATCGACTAAAGGTTAGTAGAGCCCGTTTACTTTTTTTTTTTGTTTATTTTTCAGCTTTTGCATGGTTATAGGTACTAAATATCCGATATCTGTACAGGCATAGAGAGTACCGCACCACGAATAAAGTCGGATTTCAAGCCGGAACATGATGACCTTGTCCAGGCGCAGAAGAGGAAGCATTTGCGCAAACAGCGCCGAGTTAAGCGCATAGCTACGGTTGTAATAGGGTACGCGATTATGGCGTGGATGATCTATTTGATTATTGTGACTGCGAGGACGGTGCCGAAGATTTGGGATCCGTATGATATTTTGGGTATCTCAAGGGTGAGTCCCTTAGGAGGACATCCGGTACAGCTTCAGGGTCAGTTGCTAACTACTATTTTTAACTTGCTAGAATGCCGATGAAAAAGCTATCACGAAGCATTACAAGCGTCTCAGTCTCATGTACCATCCCGACAAAATCCGACCTGATCCTTCCAAAAATGAGACTATGGAAATGATCAATGATCGCTTTGTCGAGCTGACCAAAGCTTACAAGACGTTGACGGATGAGGAGGTCCGGAATAACTATATCCAATACGGTCATCCCGATGGGAAACAAAGTTTCAGCATTGGAATTGCTCTACCTAAGCTCATCGTCACGGAGGGGAACGGAAAGTATGTCTTACTAGTCTACGGAGGTTTGCTTGGTATACTCTTGCCATACATTGTTGGAAAGTGGTGGTATGGCACTCAGCGGTATACCAAGGAAAGAGTTCTCGTTGCCAGTGCTGGAAACGTCTTCCGCGAGTACAAGGATGACATCACCGAGGGTGGAATTATCAGCGCACTATCGTCTGGAGAAGAGTTTAAGGAGCTGTTCAAGGACGCCAAAGCAGAGGCAGGACTTGCGAAACTAGAGAAAAGGGTCCTGACTGATGGAGCATCTTTTCTGTCATCTCAGGATCGCGAGACACTCAAGCAGATGGATAATTCTCACCGGAGGAAAGCACTGGCGCTGCTCTGGGCGTACCTCGGTCGAATTGACTTGGATGATGCTACTCTTGATACAGGTGAGTTATTTTCAACAACTCCCATATGAAAGACTTCGTTCTGATAAGCGATTCTTAGAAAAATTTGAAGTGGCCCCCATCGCGTTGTCCCTGACTGAAGCATTCGGCGCTATCAGTCTCGCCTTTGGCAACCTGCAACCCGTCTTGGAAACTTTCCGGACGTCTCAGAATATCATCCAGGCCGTTACCCCGGGCTCGTCACCTCTCCTGCAGCTGCCGTACTTCAACTTCGAGGTCGTCAAGTCGATCCAAGGCGAGCAAGGCAAGGGCCACCTTACGGTTCAAGAATTTATGAACCTCTCGGATGACAAACGGCGGGCTCTAACTGTCGGTGCTGGTCTCTTATCAGAGGAGAAGTATGCAGCAGCCATCACGGTGGCAAAACAGCTTCCTGTACTTGAAATCTCCAAGGCTTTTTTCAAAGTGGCGGGTGAAAAGGTCATTACCCCAAGCAGCTTGGTGCAGCTAGTTGTGAAGGCCCGATTTGTCCCACCTGGTTCGACGAACGTCCCTGAGGTCACTGAAGCCGAACTCGAGGATATCGATCCTGATGAGGATGATCTCGATGCTTTCATGGGCCGCAGGCCAGCGAACAAAACAGGAAATTCTGGAAATGTCGGCAAGGACGGAAACAAAATTGAAGCTGTCCAACCCCCTCTAGCTCATGCTCCTTATCTCGCCCTTGACTATTCTCCTCGGTGGCATATTTTCCTTGCCGATACCAAGCAGGGCAAAATGGCCGTGCCGCCCTTTACTTTCGCAACCTTCGACCAGCCGATCTTTGATGAAACTGGAAAAAGTACCTTCAATATGCAGACCCTGAAGATGCAGTTCCAGGCTCCTCCGCAGGTCGGTGACTTTCCGTTCACGCTGTACATGGTCTGCGACAGTTACCTTGGTCTTGATAAGAAGCTCGATATCACACTTCACGTTGACGATGCGGCCAAAGCGGTCGCTCTGGAGGAAGATGAGATTAGTGAACCGGATGAAGGTGAGTCAACTTCTTTTTCTTCCTTATGACATATGTGACAGAAACTGATGAATGCGTAACAGATTCCATAGCTGGCCAGATGCAAGCCTTGAAGACAGGCCAACCTCCCAAGAAGAAGCCCAGGAAGCCTATTGATGAGTCCAGCGACGACGAGAGTGACACGGACGGCGATGCAAGCGATACTAGCGATACCAACACCGAGACGGACGTTGATGAATAGAGCCAGCCATGATGGGATTATGTCCACATCTACATCCTTTTCTCCACACATGATTTTCTTCTTCCCCTCTTGTCGGCATAAAAATGATACCAAATGTACTGTAATCAGCACTGTTGAATTCCCGAACGCCCTTCTCGTCTACTCCTCTTCCGGCATACCATTCTCGCAAGATAGTGTGCTATGCTATTTCTTCCAAGTTTCTCAGAAGGCTTGTTGGAGATATGGCTATTTCTGTTGTCTGGGTCAAAGCATACTGGGCGTTAATTTATTTCTATCTTTGGTTCACCTTATTCAGCAACGGAGAAATTTATAGCATTTTGCCAAGGATTTCACCAGGACCACCCCGGCCTCCATTCGATACTTGGAATTTCGGACCCTGACCTCAGCGGTTGCAGGGCGCTTAGGCAGCCAGCCAGCGCTAATATTGTAAGAACCTTATTTGCAGAATGTAAATCATCCGACTTAGATATACGAGGCTCATTTCTCTCAATTACGGACGCCCCACCACGCTCGAACAACAACAACAACAATAGCAGCAACGCGAAGAAGTAGATAGATTGTTCAAGGAAAGAAGGAGAATTTACTGTAATTTTTGGTTCTGATTATGTATGTATTGAATCCAGCTTGACAACTGCAGCTCTCACGGAATTCACCACTAAGCGCTTGTAAGAGAATGCACCGCCACAACAATGAGAACATACCGTGGCGCAGCATGTGCCAAGTCACGACGCGCCAAAGATATATCTTTTGTCTTCTGGTTTCGTGTTCTTCTTTTATTTCTATTTTATGTTTTTGCCTTTTGGCTATCTGCTGTAATATATCTGCAGGAGGTACCTCCAGTTCTCCTGGTTGAGCCGTGGTGTGTTTTGAGTGTTCTATCATCGTCTGTCCCCTGGAACATACTTCCGGACAGGCAGGCTTTTCCTGTAGGATAGGATCATTATACTGATTCTTTTCCTGTTTATTCCTGTTCCAACCGTTTGAGCCTCGCGATTATGTCCTTCACCGCGCATGATCCCAGACTGCTTTACAGCGTGGACAACATACAGGCCTTCTACATACAAGATGGCGAGGAAAACGAGCTCACCCCGTCCGGTCCTCAGACCCTCTCCCTACTGATGGTTCCGACCAAAACCACATACCCTGCATCGCAAAATGCAGCCAGCTATGCGTCAGAGATATCTGAAGAGGACTTTTATCTCCATTTACAGCTGCCTCCCGAGCTAGACATGCCGCTACCGGCAACTACTCAGATCTTCCACCAACATCCCAACAGCTATCTAATTCCTCGCTGGGATTTGGCCCCGGAGCAAGGCGCATTCATTCGCATTCAGTTTCCCGATGTTGGTCGGGGACCGAACACGGTGACGCAGGAGGATATTGATACTTTTGAGAGTATTCTTGCGCAGTGCACTGCGTTCATGCCGCATGCTTCACAGGTGGAGGGACATGCAAAGTACAATCCTGCCGAATATGCTCCTGGGGAGGGGTATATCTCATCATTGTCTGCTGATGTCAAGCCTGGACAATCTAATGGCAAGATCGTGCTCGTGGACGAGGAGGATGGTAGCGTCGTCGGTGAGCTGACGGATGGGTATGATATTTTGGAGAAGCCAGGAGTTAAGCCGGGGTCAAAGAGTGAGTATTCTTTTCTACTTTACCTCTGTCTTATTTTGTTTCTGCTCTATCAGATTTGTAGACATGAAGCTAATTGTCTAGATCCGGTGGAAATCCAACTTCCAGCAGAAGGCGAGGGCAACAAGATCACGGTCGACAATGTCTCGGAAGAGTATCTCCAAATGGCGCGGCACCCGGCATACAAAGACTCTAGACTTGTCCAGCAATCGGCAGAGGTGTCTCGTCTGATCGTCACGGGGTCATCATATCTGGCCAACATCCTGACAAGCGGCGCAGACAGCTTCACCAGGAAGACCAAACCAAACCCCAAACCGCTGACATTTTCCGAGACGACACATTCACGGATGCGAAAGATCGGTGACCTCTCACACAGCGCGGCGTCTTTCTCCTCCAAAACCGTCAAGGGCGCGACGGGGTACGCACAGAACCTCGGCGCGATGCTAGCCCGGCACAAAGATACGTCCAAGCGGACAGACCCATCGGGCAAAGTAATCGAGCATAATAAACCAGGCATTCTGAACAAGTCACTGATCGCCTTTTCGACCATAGCGGACGGCATTGAACAAGGGGCGCGGAATGTGCTTCAGACCGGCTCTCTCGCTGCAACCACGATGGTCGAGCACCGGTACGGATCCGAGGCAGGCAGCGTCGCGAAGGACTTTGCAAGGGGGTTCACGAACGTCGGATTGGTATATATCGACGCCACTGGGGTTAACCGGAAGGCATTCCTCAAATCCGTGGCCAAGGGGATGGTCGTGGGCCGGTTACGGAATGGGAAGCGCGTCCTCGTCGGTAGCGGAGATGGAGGCGGAGTTCCTCCTGACGCGGTACCGTCGTCCTCGTCACGGTCACCACATCGAACACCACCTCCAGCGTACGGGAAACCGGGGACATCCTTAAGCGAGCCGTTTATGGCTGGCGGGAAGAACTCTAAACAGTGAGTTTTCGGAATTAAGTGATGATTGTCGTCATGGCTTTTCGATGCTGGCAATCAACTGTGTTGGAAATTGGAATTAATGATGATGATGATGATGATGAATTGGGGTGATATCACACTGCAAGGGGATGTCTATTAGTTATGTACCTTTTTTGGGTTTATTTTTTAACTTAATAATTTTGTTTTGGGTTTAAGGAATGACACCTATTCATGAAATATAAGCTGTGAAAGTTAGCTTGGCACATTGAGAGCAACTAAATATATCCAACACATCGATCAAGTTTCTGGTACTGTACATACTGGCAGTTTTCTGTCGGCAACTAGCACAGTGTTCAGGTATCCAGGAGAGAAAAGAAATCAATGCAAGCTGCAGTTGTTAAACTCATCTCCACTCCCATGCATGTGGTCGAACATGCTGTGTTGGTCATTCTCTGCCAATCTAGTATATAACCACGAAACCGAAAGGAGCACATGCACACAGCTGACAGATCAGATGGATTGATTTTATTTATTATTCTTCTTTTTTGTCATGCACTGACACAGCATTGGAGGAAAGCTGGAAGATTGACAAATGCCAACACATGACTTTCGTGTACAAGCCTGAGCGACGTTTGCACCGCAGCGTAGCCTAAGCGTGTGCATAGCCACTAAGCTAGGTAGTATGCAGGGATGCTGCGACTAAATGCAGTCCGAGTACCGTACATGCATGCATGTGAGGCAGGGTACGTAAGATATACTTACTATGAGCCGTTAGACTGGGCGTACTTGTTGACTTGTACCTTATGTATTAGCTGTACTTCCTTGTCTTAGACTCTACGGAGTATAATATACTACTCCGTAGTCCTATATATCTAGGTACCCAGCTAAGAGATGGATGGTACCTAATCGACGCGTGCTTTTTTGGTACGCGAAGTCGATGACATAATTATCTGGCGCGTTCGCTCGTTCGTGGAGCGATAACCGAAACAGGTCTAGCGCCATTTTCGGCGTAAATGGGCTGGGAAGAAGAGAAGTACGAGAACAAGTTTCGACTTCATCCTTTCGAGTCTCTGTCTTTTTACCTGGTGACGTGGGACCACGAAGAAAAGAAATGCTTCGAGTCGAGACTCAAACTCGCTATCGAGTTCAGTTCAGTAACATTGATTCGCGAGAAGTAGTATATCCGGAGAATTTCTCGCATCTCATGGCCTTTGGATTCACAGACATTAGCCTCGGTTGTCCTTGGAGAGGATTTTCCTGGCAGCTCTCGCCTACTCGTCCATGTCCAACAAGGAACCAATTCATCAAGTGGGAAAGTGGTTGACAAGCTGCATTATTCTCCGGAGTCCGTGCCAGGGAAGACTTTGACGATGAGACGCTGCCGTGCGTCAATTGACTGAACTGGGAGAATGGGCATGCTTTACCTTGTGCAATACTCCATAGCAATGCATCTATACTAGGTAGGTACAACATAATCATACCTGTGATCTACGCTAGATGACTATTACCAATCCGTTCGAAGCCAGAAGCTAGCAGACGTGGCACACTGGACAAGCATTAGGGAAAGGGATGGATAGATCCCTGCGTGAATCCTTGCAGGTTGAAGAAGCAAGCATAGCATTAAATCAATAGCCGATCTGCTGTGCAGCTCTGTACTATTTAGTACCGATGATGACTTGTTGTAAGTAGTAGCTAGAACAAGCCACTCGGGAACGCGGTCCCCTGAACTCCACGGGGACAGTATCATTGATCGCCGACGGCTAGGCGCTAGGCGCTAGGCAGTGTGATATATTTGATCTCGAACCGCTAGCGCCGACGGAGGGAAGAAGAATAATAACTCAATTCCTTCGAGAGCGCGAGAGAGGAGCCGTAATTAAGGGGCAGGAGGACCGTCCCGAGGGCCAATGGGGCCAACTCGTAAAAATAAGCAGGAGGAACCTTGGTTGCGGCTCGTCTGGATCAGACATTGCATTCCGTAGCATGGACGCCCATGAATTGAAGGAATAGGAGAGAAAAGGAAAAGAAGTACGGAGTGGTAGTAAAAGAAATAACCACAACAAAGAGAGGAAAAGGAGATGAAGGCAGGCGATCGACGGTCGGTGTCACTTTGTTGTAACACCATTTGATGCTCCGTCGTGTCATGATGGAGTCTTTCATTTCCTTCGATTTTCGTCTAGACTCGATTATTATTTATGTATTATTCTGGGTAGGTTTATCTGTTCACCGCTGCGACCGTGGACTCAGGCATCCCGGACCAGGAATCATCTTCCAGAAGATGACAATAATACTAGACACCTGTACCAGAGAGAGACGTAATGGCAGTAATCATGATCCGTACTCCGCAGTAAATAATCGTAGCGGTCCAGCAGACCCGCCGATGCGACTGCGCTGGGCAGCTGCTGTCCCCTCCTAATCCTATATTCTACCTATATGCCCTTTTCTCTGTAGCATCACCCTTCATTCTCCCTGCGCTTTCGTGTCTTTCGCTTCGTTCTTCCTTCTTCCTTCTCTTTTTTTTCCCCTTTTTCTTTCCTCCCTTCTTTCCTTCTCCCCCCTGGTCGCCTGTGACAAACCCTCGGCTCGCCGACCGAACCAGGTGTTCGTTCCCGCTGGCTTAGAGCCTTACGATCGCGCCCCCTGGTCCGCCCACGCTTGTCCATCCACCTCTGCCCCCTCTATTATCATCTCCCTCTCTCCCTCTCTTCCCTCTCTCATCTCTCATCCCCCAAGAGCGCTTTCAACCCCCGGGTCGATCATGATCCTCGACACACGGTCATCTCTGCGTCGTCAATTCCTTCAGCAGCAGTGTTAGACCTGTGTCGTTGCTTGCATCACATCCCTGCAAGGCTTCCTATCCCGTTCGTCTCCATCCGTGTCTCAGTCGCGTCCGAGACAATTCCCTAGCCGCGTTTGTCCATCTCCGGCGCCCGTCAAGTATCATATATATCGCTCCGACGCCGCCGAGGTACGCTGCTTTTCCCGAATTGGATAGGCGAACGTGGTTTGGAAGGAGGTAGCGAGGAGAGGCCGTGCTGCAGTGCAGGTACGTCGGGCTTTCCTCTTTCATTTGATTCCACGCCGTGTTTGTCTCTATCCGATTGGACTTGCGAATTCCCTTTGTTTTCTGAAGCTGCCACTTTTTTTTTTTTTTTTTTTTTTTCTTCCCATTTTTGGTTGTTTCTGTTTTCTGTCTCATGTCTTCGTGCCGGGCACTTGCTGTCGGGGTCATTGTTCTTTCTTCTTCCTTTGTTCTGGCTGTCACTTGACTTTCCATCAACCAAGAGATTCACTCGCCCTATGTTCCTGCAGCTTCTTGTCGATTTGAAACTAACTGGCCGGGTTTGACTTCACAGCTCCTTTCCTTTCACCTTCCCCTGTTATTGGTGTGATTGTACAGCACGAGGGAAATCAATTGCGGCTGCCAGGACTCGGAGCCCGACTCGCGGATTACCGCATCGGGGTGCGGACTCGATTTGGTCAGAGCAAGAGAACGTGTCTGATACTGCAGGAGTGTTTGGGAAAGCCGGGTTGGACCGTTGTGCTACTGGCACCCGTGGGTTCCATTGCTCTGTCTTTAGCTTCGTACAGGTATGCCGTCTGCTGCCATGCAAACGATCCCTCATTATAGTTCAGCCCACAATCCCACAACATATAATACACCGTCCTGCAATTCAATTCCTGCACCGACTTCGCACTCCCATTCCGCCCCACCATCTTCCAATACCCTTGGTGAATCGTCCTCGCGGTCGCAATGGCCGCGTGAGTCGTCCACTTCCAATATGGGCACATCGCTAAATCCCCAGCAGCCCCTGCACGAGCCAGTGACCACGGCATCCCCTTCGGCTATGAGCGTCTCCCGTTCGCAAACCCTGCCCGTGTCAGCAACGGCTGAATCTTCTGTTGTGGCACCCACTGCTTCATCGTCGGGCCAGAACGCTCGCATCAACTACCCCGATCTCCTCGGTACTCCGCCTATCCCGCCTCCCAGAACATCTTCTAACAACCGTTCTCGCCATGGTTCCTCGGCGGAAAAGGTATCCGGGTCTCGCCAGTCGGAGGATGCGCGCCATCGCAAGGGAAAAGATCGAAGCACAGGTCGTCGCGAGAGAACGGGCGATATCCAGCCGCCCGAGGATTCGTCAATGGGCCTGGGCGGAAGTGCAACACGCGGTCAGACCATGTCGCCTTCTGCCTCTCAACCCCAATCCGAGCCCGGCATGGGATCTATTCCCAGCCTGGGAACGTTGATGAAGGAGCCCAGCACCGTGGTAAACCAGGTTGTGGTAAGTGACCCTGCGGTGCGTATGGAGAGGGAGCAGACGCGGCAGGCAGGCATGCAATCGTCTACTCCCACCGATAATACTCCGTCAACAGCTTCCGGGTTGGGCTTGGTCGGCAGTGAAGGTGTGGACGATGGAGGTCGTGGCGGGATGCGCAGCCGTCATGACTACAATGGAAACTCTAGCAGTGGTAAACGCAAGGAGACCACTTTTGGGCAGTACATCCTCGGACAGACATTAGGGGAGGGCGAATTCGGCAAGGTCAAGTTGGGCTGGAAGAAGGATGGCAGTGTCCAAGTCGCCATCAAGTTAATCCGACGTGACGTTCTGGGTTCGAATCCCAGCAGGCTTCCAAAAATCTACCGTGAAATCTCCATTCTTCGCGGCCTTTCGCACCCTAATATCGTTCGCCTCCATGAAATGGTGGAAACTGACCGCCACATTGGCATTATCATGGAATACGCGTCAGGGGGCGAGCTGTTTGACTACATCCTAAATAATCGCTACCTCAAAGATAATCCTGCTCGACGTTTGTTCGCTCAGTTGATCTCTGGGGTCGGCTATCTGCATAAGAAGGGGATCGTTCACCGTGACCTGAAGTTGGAGAATCTGCTGCTGGATCGAAATCGGAATATCATCATTACGGACTTTGGGTTCGCGAACACGTTCGATCCGGCCGATGAGCTTGGCGAGGAGATCGAGTACAACCTGACAAACAAGGAATTCGTGAAGAAGATGCATTTAGATAGGCCCAACGCGAAGGGGATGAGGCGAGGAGACTTGATGCAGACCAGCTGTGGCAGCCCGTGCTATGCGGCCCCAGAACTCGTAGTCAGCGACTCCCTGTATACGGGACGCAAGGTTGATGTCTGGAGTTGTGGGGTAATTCTGGTAAGATGCGATTTTTCAATACCCCCATCTTTTTTTTTTTTTTTTTTTTTTTTTTTTTTTTTCGCAACGGTGCTAACCTATGAGCGCAGTATGCCATGCTGGCCGGTTATCTTCCCTTTGACGATGACCCGGCGAATCCAGACGGTGACAATATCAATCTCCTGTACAAGTATATCGTCACGACGTCCCTGACGTTCCCGGAATATGTTACTCCCCATGCGCGTGACCTCCTGAGACGGATTCTTGTCCCAGATCCACGCAAACGGGCGGACTTGTTTGAAGTGGCTCGCCATAGCTGGCTCAATGAATATGCCCACATTGTTTCTCACATCACCAGCAGTACAACGAAGATCTCCGAAATTTCCAGCACTACGGTGCCTTCGGGTAAGGAATCCCCTCTTACGGTTTGCGCCTGGCCTATACATGATCGACTGCTAACACCCTCATCTTTTACAGAACGTGATCAAGAAGGGGCAATGCTTACACGTAGTGCCTCGGTCAGGGAACCTCCCAAGTCTTACCAGGGTAGCGTTTCCACCCTCGGTGGCCTCAGTCACCAGCAAGGAGACATCTCCCAAGATCAATCTACGGAGAAGTCAAGGAGTCCTAGGGAGGCCAAACGGAGAACGGTACAGGTTGAATATGTTGCACCTCAGTCGCAAACTGCTAGAGGAGACTCACCCTCATCCAACAATAGAGCCGTTTTGGCTAACACTCAAGCCCGCGTCCCGCAACCACAGCGTCAGGCTAGTGTCAAGGGACAGGTGGCAACAACAGATGCCGCGGCTGCGGCTGCGGCTGCCGCCGCGGCAGCAGCATCCTCTGGGCTTTCTCGCTCCGTCTCTGACGCAGCAGCCTGGACGGGAGCGCCAGCTACGACCGGACCTCAAGGTACCCGTCCAGCCACTGGGGGCTCCATGGCTTCATTCAATGCCGGTCGGTTGTCGACATCCTACGGGCAACCTGTGGCACCCAAAGTTGAAGCGACAAATGCCCAGGGCCGACTGGCCCAGCCAAAGAGCACACACCGCATTATGTCCCCGCCTTCCTCCCAGGCTTCTGCTCAGCAGCCCATTGGTCGTCCAAGTACCCATCAGGTTCCAGCTAAGTTCAATCCGACTCCGCGCCAGGAAATTCCCAAGGGGCACAAGCGATCAAGCACCGTATCCAGCATCGGCGAAAAGATATTTGGGCGGTCTGGTTCGCGCTTCGTTTCTAGAAGTAACACGCAGGCCAATGGAGCTCGTTCACGAGCTGCCAAACGCTATCCCCCAACAAGCATGAAGGATCCGTGGGCCGGACCGGACTCCAGGGTCTCTATAGACTCTCGTCGCTCTGCTCAATACCGCAGGCAGAGCGAAACGGGTCCTTCCCAAAGCAAACCTCGCAGATTCTCCCTTCTACCTTCGTTGAAGGCCTTTGCATTGCCAACAAGCAGATCCCAGACCCCCGATGAAGAAGCGCAAACGGCTCACTCCGCTGACAACCAGAGTCAACAGCCAGGCCCAACATCGGGCACGGCTCAAACCCGTCCTCATACCACAAACAGTTATGGGGTACAGGACACCACGGGTGCTGTAACGGAGGGCCCGAACGATGTTTCGACCACCGAAGCAGAGCCGATCAATTATCAGGCTCGTATCGATCAGCAATTTGCGGTATTGCATGCAACCCACGCGGGTTCTTTCCAACCAAGGACCTACGACAGTATTTCAGCAGAGCAGGTACATCAACACGGCGACGTCGGTCTTTCATCCCCTAGTTACTATGACGACTATGCAAAGACCCACAATAGTCTGCCCCGGCAATCTGCACAAGGGGCCCGAGCTGGAAAGGGCACGGTTCTGCAGAGCCACCGAAAATTCACAGATGCTTATGAGTATGAACGGTCATCATCGCATCATTCAGGAAGCTCGGGCGCAGCGAGAAAGGTCATGGATTTCTTCCGTCGACGTGCCAAATCCAGAGCGGGTGAGGATCGCTAAGTTAGCCTAGATGTGGGCGAAGCGCCCGAACGAACATGTTACCGATTGAACCCTCGTCCTTTCGGCTGAACAACCGGTTCAGTGAAACGAAATTGAATACGGTGCCTTCATTACAAGGCAAATAGAATTCGAAACCCCTTGGCATCTATCCGTTAATGTTATACCTGTGGGAATGGTGACCCCCCCGTTTTGCGTGTCTCATCAAGGTGCCCCGCTGATCTCTGCCAGCGAGCTCGTTGCGGAAAGTCCGTCAAGATGGGTTGGTCCGAACTGTATATCAACCAACCTGTGTCTCTGCCTCGGGAGGAGTCGAGCTCCAGTGTTGGCTCTGGCTCTATTCGTTAGTCTTCACTGATTTTTTTTTTTATTTACTTTCTTCCTTTGCTTCTCTTCTTTTGCAGCGAAAGAACAGAAAGGTCATTTGGATACCCCATGATACCCAGACAGCTTTTGTCCTCTTCTGTGGCTTGCAAGTATATCCGTTTTCCCACCCTGCCTTCTGCGCGAGCAAGGATCTGCTTCCTGCGTACGCGACAATTATTTTGGCATTTTACCATTTCCTTTGTTCCACAATATCTTTCGTCTTTCCTCTTTATCCCCCTGTCACTTTAACTATGAGTGCAAATCAGCTCATTTCCCTTCTGTTTCTACACAGACCAAACTTGTTGAAAGCCGGTTAGACTAAAATGGATCTGGTGTCTTTTACTTTGAATTTGGAGGCGGGAAGTCACTTTTCCTTGTTTCTTTCGGACTTCCCGGGGTTGCTTTGAGGATAATGTACTTAACCTTCATATTTTTTTTTTTGCCTTGATGTAATATTTTCTTTCGTCCCGTCCTCAATGGCACCTTTCTGTTTACCGGGTGGTTTTGATGGTTTTCTGTCGGCGGCCAAGGTTTACCTTATACCGAGTTGGAGGGTTCTCTGTTCGTTTGTTCTATTGTCCTCCCCTCCCCTCTTTCTTGATCCCAGAAAGTGGCACACCGTGTGTACAGTGAGCGTGTAGCATTTGGACGGAGACAGCTCGGGTGGTCCTTTTGATGTCTGTGGCCTCAGCCGTTTCTAGGACTCATTCAGCTACCCTATTTGATTTTATTTGATTCCACCTGCTGGAATTAGAACAATGGAGGCGGGATTAAGATTCCCGTTTACTCGGCTTTCTACAATGTTGTAGCCATTGTCCATGGACCTTGTGTGTCTCCGTACTGCCAGGGATAATACAGCTTGGAGTTACGGAGCTGCCTACACAGAGCTGCTTACACGGAGTCTCGGGGAGTGTACGCCTGCAACAGCGGGGTTTAAGCTGGAATTAAGTTTATAGCCATATTATAATTGATGAGCAGAATGTACATGGCTTCATTACATCATGGAGCTCCGACTCCGTTGGATTTATCAGCATGTTGTATATAAGAACCATCTGGAGGACAATTGAAGGGACCGTTTATTCGATACCTCTATTCTAATACATCATTATTCCCTTTTAGTTTGATTTTTTTTTTAAAAAAAAAATTAACCACCCAAAATGGCACCCAAAGTCCTCGTCGTCCTCACTTCTCAGGATAAAATCCCCGGCAGCAATGAACCCACCGGATGGTATCTGGTATGAGTTATATATACTCCTTCTTAGTCAGAATTCATAACAGTCATTCTGACATTATCGTTCACCGTTCTTCCAGTCGGAATTCGCCCATCCATGGCATGTCCTGAAAGACAAGGCAGAGCTGGTGATAGCCTCTCCCAAAGGAGGCGAGGCGCCTCTCGACCCGGGCTCGATGGAAGCCGTTAAGAACGACGCGATCTCCTCAGCTTTTGCGAAAGAGCAGAAGGGTCTCTGGAGCAATACGAAGAAGCTGGCTGATTTGAATCCGAATGATTATGATGCTATTTTCTATGTTGGAGGTCATGGACGTGAGTGGGCCAGGGCTAACTTCACAGCCGGTATTCTCCATCTACAATAACGACAACGAGCTAACTTCCCCTGAAATAAATAAAGCCATGTTCGACCTTGCAACAGATAAGACCTCCCTCGAATTCATCCGCGCCTTCGTCTCAGCCAAAAAACCCGTCTCCGCCGTCTGCCACGGCCCGGCGGCCCTCGTCAATGCCATCGACGCCACGGGCCAGCCTTTACTGAAAGGCGCCACGGTGACAGGCTTCTCGAACGTCGAAGAGGGCCAGCTGGGCAAGGCCGCTCTCATGCCCTTCGAGCTGGAGACAGAGTTGAATAAGGCGTCTGGTGGGCGCTATGTCAAGGCTGAGCAACCGTGGGGGGAGAAGGTGGTTGTGTCCAAGGCGGCTGTTACGGGGGCGTTGGTTATTACGGGGCAGAATCCTGCTTCGGCGACGGGGGTTGGGAGGGAGATTTTGAAGGCTTTGGTTTAGACTGGGTTGTATGGTCAATTGATATTGGGAATATCATTCTTAATAAGGTTGAGTTGTCTTGAACTTTGACTGCTAATTTATCTGTCTATGGCCATTATCTGCTCCGCAATCCGCAATGATTTATGTCGCCCCGCGGGCGTTGCTCAGATAATGCAACAAAATGCCTCTTTGGACTAATTAGTAGAAAAGAAATAATCCGCATTCATATAACTCACTGGAGTTGACTCGGACCAACAGACTTTCACTGTTACTCTGCCCTCTGCCCTCGTTTCTACTCCCACCAGAACCTGCAGTGTGCCCTGCAACTAGATTAGCGAGCCAACACATACAACATGGGAGTACCGTATGAAATCGCAGACTGGAAATCAGCTGTCGCTGCAAAACGCCAGGAACTCTACGAGAGTATTCCCCCAGCCCATCGACTGCCCCCAGCACTCGCAGATCGCGCAGCCAAGGGAACCCTAAAACCAGAAGATCCCGACGTACTACAATGCGGGATCCTGACGGATTTAGATCTGGAGATCACCAGCCTCATTGACGCAGCTGCTCTCGTCTCCTCCATTTGCAGGGGGAAGTACACCTCCGTACAAGTCACAGAGGCGTTCTGCAAACGGGCCTCGATCGCGCAGCAATGCACGAACTGCCTGAGTGCCATTTTCTACGACGCCGCCATGCAGAGAGCGCGCGAGTTAGACGACCACCTGGCGCGGACGGGAAAGCCCGTCGGGATCCTACACGGACTGCCTGTGTCCGTGAAGGACGTATTCAACGTGGAGGGGCAAGCAACGACAGGCGGTCTCGTCTCCTGGCTACCGAATATCGCCCAGGACAATGCTACTGTGGCGCACAGCATTATTGCCGCTGGGGGGATCCTGTACGCCAAGACAGCAACGTCCCAGGCGTGCTTGATGGTGGAATCCATCACCAATGTCTTCGGTATCGTACGGAACCCGCATAATCCGCAACTGAGCGCTGGTGGCTCCAGTGGTGGTGAGGCAGCTCTGGTTGCGGCCAAGGGCAGCATCCTCGGGTCTGGCACTGATGGAGGTGGTAGTATTCGGTTTCCGGCTATGTTCTGTGGGTTATGGGCGCTCAAGTGCTCCAAGGGTCGTATTCCAACGGGGGGTTGCGGTGGTGGTCCTCAGAGCGGTAGTGAGTCGGTCAATATGGGGGCTGGTCCTATGGCAAAGAGCGTGGCTTCTCTGGAGCTTTGGCTTCGTGCTCAGCTGGCTTCGAGACCGTGGGAGATGGATTCGAGCTGTATTCCCATGAGTTGGAGGCTTTCTGAGGCGGAACGTTCGCAAAAGACCCTGACCATAGCTGTGATCTGGGATGATGGTATTGTGAAGCCAGTACCTCCGGTGACGGTAAGATCGGATTCTCCCCATGTATGGGAAGAGAAACGATTATGCTGACTTGAACCAAGCGTGCCGTGAGCGAAATAGCCAACCTCCTCCGCCAACACGGCCACAAGGTCATAGACCTACCACCAGACAAAATCAAATCCATCCACCGCCAAGCCATGTCCTGCACCATGCTGTGCAACGTACAAGAAGGAGGCGAAACAGTGATGAAACACATTGAAGCCTCGGGAGAACCAGTCGTGCCTCGCACAGCAACGGGCTCACCCGCCTCACGACTAACCGCGCGAGAAGTCTTCGACAACCACATCCTCCGCAGCCGCTTGGTGAACGAGTACAACGATCTCTGGAAGGAGTACCAGATGGACGCTATTCTCGCACCGGCAGTGTGCCATCCTGCTCCGCCGCATGGGACATACATCAGCAATTCGTACGCTACGATATATAACATGCTGGATTATGTGGCTGGTTCTATTCCATTTTCTACGGTGCATGCCGTGCTGGATCAGGCGCGCCCGGAATGGTATAATCGCCAGCCTTATGAGAGGATTGAGCCGGTGCGGTTTCCGTATGATCTTGGAGACAAGGAGATGATGGAACTTTGTAAGTTATCTTTCCCCTGCTTGCTGCTGTGGCAAGTATGGTATTGCTGACGATGCAGATACTTCGCCGGATGTTTTTGAGAACGCCCCGTCGGGCGTGCAGGTTGTCTGTCGGAGGCTCATGGAGGAGAAATGCATTGGAATTCTGAAGGAGATTGAAGCCCTGATGTCGCTTGCGCGGGCGTAATGCCCAGTCGTGTCTATTTTGTTCAAGTTCCTCCGACATTGCGATCTCCAGGCCACTAGACAGGCTTGTTTCTATCATCACAGAGACTTCCCCCTTCTGGACGCCACCAGAAAAATGACGCAAGAAAAAGCCGATGGGGAGAAGAGGCAATAGAACTCATCGCTGACTTCGTACGCAGCCCTTATGTTAGCAGCTAGTAGGTTCTGCCAACTCAGAACGCCCTCTTTAGGTCGCCACACTGTAAGGGCTTGAATGTAGAATCCATAAGAATTCCTTGAGAGATGGAAGAGAACAAGGAGGTATTTTTTAAGAGACAACGGCTTTTATGTAGAAGGAAATAGGCGAGCCGGTACCAAACAGAACAAGGGAGACAAATGGGACAGACTCAAAAGTGGCTTTATACTATTATGCTTTCCTTCCTACAGCACCCATTGGCTTCAACCTCTTGATAGTGTTCTGTTCCAGCAATATAAATACTACCATAGGAAGGCAACCAGCCCAATTGCTCATCTGGCAATTGAAGATGCTATTCGAACTTCATGTTATATGTGTACAGACATTTACTTCACGTACTGTCATGGGCTACGCCCAGGCATATGGCAACTCTGCTTGCCCTATTTGCATCATTTGTTCTGTCTGTCTCTTTTGCTTCATCTGTTTTGTTTGTTCTATTTGTTCTGTTTGTTGCTGGCATGCCGTTGTCTCTGTTCTTCCTCCTCCCAAGGAATCCTTCGTGTATCTAGTACCAGAATGAATTTCATATTCAGCCCCTCTACCCGTACTATACGATCTGGATTTGCCAGATATTGTTATTGATATATTGAGAGAGGAACGGCCTCCTAACATCCAACTTTCCTCAGTATCGCCACCAGATACTGCCACTAAGCTGCGGAAATCAATCACCAAAGCTAAAGCAGCCCTGGAAGTTGGTGATACCCAGCTGGGTGGTATAGAGATAGCCTCCAGTGACGCTAAATTGCATTTTCAACAGTAGTCTCATACAGGCAGAGATGAATGCCTAGCAAGCAATTGATATTGAGCAACCACTACAGGCCAACCAACACCATCCAGCTCCTAAGAGCAAGAAGAGACTACAAACTGGAGGTGTTCTATCTATGAAGGATGCTAATCGGCGGATGAAAATAGGTAAGATTGAGAATATTCAAAAAACTGTACGTCGGATTGAGCGAGATAAAAAGAAGGCGGAGAAGGAGAGGCAGCAAATTACGTCCCAAACCCTTCTATTCAGGCTGAATTTGGGAAGATCCCTGATTTGAATGCCCCAGAAGATGCCGGTTTACTTTGTTTAGTTGATACTAATGGTGTTGAGTTGTAATTTGAATTTGAAGTTGATTGTATCGTGCTTGTGGGGAGCATCTGCATGGGGAAGACGTGTAGGGGCGCTTGGCACAGGCTAAGTGCTAGAGGGGCTGCGAGGGCGGACCTAGACGGCAGAATCCCATGTGATCTAAGAAGATCTCACACTTGGCAATATACTTGTCTATTTGAGAGTTCTCACTACCTCTCTAGCTAGTAAGTAACCAATATATATGCCTCCATTAGATCTTGACAGCTGATCAGCAGTTTTATACTCTCGGCTGCTGTCTGAGAATCAGCCGGGAAGCTCTTGGCCAATTAAAGTATTCTCAGACAGCTCCAGCGGTTAATCAATTCTGTTTTGTTGTCTCCTTATTGCCTTTTTCTTAGCTTAATAGCATTAATTCGTTTACGGGCATAGCAAGGGAGGAATACTCACAGCCTAAGTGAACGTGACAACAACGTGCATAAGCGCAGGAGTGAGAGCCTAGCTCTGCTCGATGCCGCTGGACTCGAAGTGCTCCACGATGGGCTCCGGTTGGACATCTGGAGGTTGAGAGGAGAAGCACCGAGGTTCATTTTGAGGATTCATTGTTGTCGTCGTCGCTGGATGAGACAGGTATATATTGGACATTGGCCCTGACGAAAGGAATCGTTCCTCCCAACGTTGGAAGAGTCCCCCTATCCATTCTCTGGCATAGCATCCCTCTCTCCGCGTGGAGGCTCAATCCTGTTTCTACCGGTGAATCTCGTGGCGCATAACCCTGGGCTCACCATGACATGGCCCGTTGACCAGCCCGGATGGGAAGAGGACTGTGCTCATAGAGACCAGGATCCTGCCGGGCGGGCATTCCCCGATCTCGACTGGTGCGTACCTGAAGAAATCGAAACGGGGTCCATGCCGGTCAATGATGATGCACCGCCCTCCTATCTCATGCCTGGCGGTTGTGATGGCTGGGTAGCCCCCTTGGGACAGGGTCCTAGCAGCAACAGGGCCCTATCAGCGAGTGCGTTCTACCGGTCTGTCGGGGCTGCCAGCCTGAGCCCTCCCCACAGACTTGTCACGACCGCTGGTCTCATCGCCTCTCCGCTACCTCAGCCGGAAAGCATTCCCCGGAGAGAAACCGAAAACACGCCAACTCAGATTGCTGAGAGGGGACCGGCCAAACCATAGAGTACGTTGCTTTCCATGTGCTCCCAGATACGCAAAACGCGTCATCCTTCCCCCCGGAGCTATGTCTAACCTATCTGTGTATAGATCTAAATCATACAGCTCCATTGCTACCGAATCCTTGCAGCTGCAATGAAAATGGGAAGGCTGCCAATACCAAGGCTGTTTTACGCAGAAATCCGAGCTCAAGAACCATGTCTGCATCTACATCTTGGCCATCGCTTTCGTCCTTGCCCCCATGCAAAATTGTGACAAGGTCTATACTCGTCGGGATAATCTTGTTCGGTACATGAGAAGCAATAAGCATCCTCGCTGAGGTTGCGGGACGCTATATCATTTCAAGCTTCCAACCTCTTATTTAAAAGTCGATCCCATTACGATTATACCCGGGCATGTTATCCGTTGCCTTTTTTTTTTTTTTTTTTGACTGTCATACGTTGCTAGGGAATTTCACCGAGTTTTGCTGTGCTAGCTCAGATCATGGTTGTCAACTCCTCGCGGCGGCATAAGTGGAAGGGCTAATAGTAAGGAAGGGAAACGTAGGGTCCTTATTGCCCAAGAACTAATCGCTGACTTCGCCATGGATTGGATTGGTGTGTATTATTTAACGTCTGTGGAAAAGAAATCATAACTGATTTCGCCATGGTGTTACGGAGCTCAGGGCTACTAGCTCGGCTGAGGCTGCGATCTTCGCGGCCTTCTAATAAGGCCGGTGAAGCTCTAACCGCCGAGCTGGCCCAATGCCTACCCAACAGGCACCTAAGCGCTGAAACCCTTGCTTAGCCGCGGAAGAATTGAATATGCCAATTGATAGGCAGAGACAGAAGAACCCTATCAACCAACCAGGAAGATGGCGAAAAGAAGGGAAAGTGAATGAGAAAGACAGAAAGATGAAAACACATACAAGACTACAAACCAAGCCTCCTGTTAGCCTCAAGCCGCATGTGCCTCTGCCCAGGCGTAATCCCCTCCTCGTCAACATCAAACGGCGCAAGCCCCAGCGCGCGCTTCCCCTCGAGCGACAGAACATTCTCCAACCTCGCCCCATGATCCGCATGCTCCCTCTCCAGCTCCCCATGCGTGTACTTCTCAAAATCTGGCGGGATGCCCGCCTCCAGAAAACTCCGCCGCGTCTTAACCAGATTCTCGAGGTTATACGGACACAACGGGATACACGCATTATAGCTGACGGACGAATCGCGCGTTCCCGGGTGGAACTTGTCGACCTCGTGAATGAGATCGCAGTGCCAGAAGACGTAGTCGCCCGGCTTCACCGGGGGGATGCCTACCATGCTCTTCTCCATCTCCAGGTGCGGGTGGAGGGCGTTCGTGGGGAAGAATTGCAGGTTCCCCGGTGTGGCGCCGGGGAAGGTCGGGGTTACGTCGTCGAAGGTCTCGTCTTGGACAAAGAAGGGTCGGAGCATTAGGTAGGCTGTTGAGGCTTTTAAATTGGGGACTAGACGGAGGGTTCCTTCGCCTGTGCCTGTGTGGGAGAGGCTGATCCAGCCTTGGAGGGAGCGGAAGACGGAGCAGGACACTTTGCTTGTTAGCTTTGCTTCTTTCTTTCTTTCTTTCTTCCCCCCCTTCAAACATATTCATTTAAGCTTACTTCCTGTTTCATACAGATCGGTCTTTGCATCTGACCGATAATCCGCGTTCCACGGATCGTACTCCTCCCATTTTCCCTCGAAGATCTTCCGGTAGCATTCCTGGTACTGCGGATCTTCCCAGCGTTCCATGGCGCCGCTATCCTGGTGCGCGTCGAGTGTATACTCCTGGTCTAGAGGAATTAGTCTCCGTACCGTACGTACCGTCAGACCTTTTATTTGTATGGGGAATACCTCTGGAAGGATGCCTAATCCGAAACCGGTCCGCATAGCAAACCTGACTCCCCAGATCAAAAACCGCCTCATCAGAACTCAACCTCCACAACTGGCTAACAGCGCGCATCGCTTTAAGAACCCGCTCGTGACTCCGGATCTGCACCTGCGCGGGCGTCCAAAACAAACTGAAATTCTGCGGATCATGCGCCGGGAACCCGGCCACCTTGGGATGACTCCGCACGTACGCCTTCAAATCAGCCTCCCATTTCGAGGCTGTTTCCTGCGGCACAACGTTGCGGATAACGACACAGCCGGCGTCGCGGACTCGGTCTGCCGCTCCGTCGGGCAAGACGCCGCCGTTCTCGACGATGTCGGCGAAGTCGATCTCGGGGATGGATGAGGGGCCTAGATTGGCGATGCGGTTGGCTTCCGTTGCGAGGACTTTCTTTAGGCGCGCGTAGGATTCTTTGACTTTTTCGCGGTCTTGGGGCTTTATGATGGATTGTTTGAGGGTGGAGAAGCGTTGTTCGAGGATGGGGCATCTGTTTTTGTTAGCTGCATAGTCACTGTAGGAAGTAGTATGGACGTAGATAGGTCGCGTTGACTTACTGTGGCTTCTCCTCCATAATCATTGTCTGTATCTGAGACATTTTGATGCGATTTCCGGACTTCGAATTGAAAACTAGCTATTCGAAAGGATGGAAGAGTGAGTTCTGCTGATGAACTGTAGATAGACGGCGATGGGTTTATATGTCCTGCCTCTCTGCTTTGGTTATGTCGGATGCACACACCTCCGACGAGGATATTGGATTGAATCTGACTAAAAGCTGTTTTACATCAATTATTGTTAGTGCGAGTGAAGAAGAACGCAGTTACTAGGCTTATCAGTGGGCAAGTTGTGAGGGCCACTGTGAGGTTAATATTGTTGTATACATCCGAGACAGATTGTTGCCCGCAGGGGCATTGAGGGATGCGTGTCCACCAAGATGTGTAATAGCTATAACACCAATTAGTTGAACCGAAATACCAATTAATTCCGTTGCTTTTTTAACGCCCCGCATCTTTCGAGAGTAATAATAATAATGCTTGCGTCGAATAAGAGTAGTAGTGGACTCATACCTTGCCCTAACTAGCCATCTCCCTTCTATCTCGAATTGGCCCGCGGCCAAATTCAGGCATTGGACATCAGAACAGAAACAAATGAGAATACTGTCAAGCAGCAGTATGTGCTATGCCGTCCACTATTGCTTCATTGAGAGAACTAATCTGGCGTCGTAAATCTAGATACTATCTACCGAACACGCCGAACTCCATCCAATAGATACTGTGAAAATAGTCCGAAACATCACTCCAGACTAGGCCGTTCCTCAAGATTCTCATCCATATACTCCGGAAACAGCCGTTTGAAAAACAGGTTGAGTCTCACACTGGGCAGCGCAGCAAACTCGAACCGTACGCACAGCTCCTCCAGCAGTCTCTGGTACCGTTGGAGCACGGTCTGGCGGATATGTAGAGTGTGCTCGTCAACGCTGGAGAGGAACACGGTGAGCATGAAGCTTCCGATTATGCCCAGGTTTCCTTTGCAGTCTGAGATTTGTCAGTCTGGTTTGGTATTTAATTATAGATGTATGTTGTGTGCATGGGGCATACAGCTGAGCCAGAATCCGGTAGGGTTCCGCGTGAGCATGAGTTCTAAAACATCCAGGAGTTTCTCGAAAAGCTGTGACTCGTCTGCAACTCCGCCGGATGTTACGGATCCCGTGCATACGAAGAGGGCGCCGTGGATCAAGGCTTCGATTGCGTAGTAGGCGAATATCAAGGCGTAGGCTAGAGGTTCCGTTAGCTGTGCTTGGTCTTGGTGACGGTATATGCAAAAGGACAACCATTTGGATCTTCGCTCTGAGGCCTGGCCGTGAACATGTGCTGGGATTGCCATTCCTGCAGCTTGGAAGCCGCTTCACTGGCCAGAAGCAAAGCAAGATGCTGCTGTGTGGCCTCGAGTCGGGCTTTGGGCGAATAGAACATGTCCAGCACATCTGCCAGCACCGGAGTGAGATGGCACAGACTGATGAACTGCTGGATGGACGGTGCGGCTGCGCTATCCACGTTTCCCCAGTCGTTGGTGAAGTCCATGATGCTGAGGCTTTTCACCGTGAACTGGTCATTGGAGATATGGCTGGGACGACCCAGCCAGCTTGCGAGCCTTCATCTTTGTCAGATTACGCGGTTCTGCATTATAAACAGTGGCGTGGAAAATACCATTTATCCTGGAGATAGACGGCCCACCACAGGATCCGTCGCAATTTACATTCTCGCGGTGATATTTCCAATCGTTCCGGATCGATGTGAAGCCCGGCCTCCTGCGCAACAGCCACGACCTATTTCCCTTCACGTCAGCTCATTCAGCGTCCATGTCTATGTATTCGGCAGCCTACCTGAGCCGTGACGACCCACGAACCCGGGTGGTTCGGCTCCCGCACAAGTTTCGGGGGCATCTGCAGGTAAAGAAGCAGCGTTTGGACCGTCCTTAGGTTCGGATTACGAGTTTCAAACATGACAGACTTGTAGGTGAACGACAGAAGCGCTTCTCTGTTTATCTTTGGCTCTCCTCGCAGCGCGCCGGAATAGCTCCAGAAAAACACGGCCATGCTGTAGACAGCGGCCAGCAAGGAAGCCGGCACTGTTCGCGCGGCGATTGCGCCCTCGAGCTCCTGGCGACATTCCAGGATGGGTAGTGTAGGGTGAACATATCGGTAGTACAGGTCTAGCAGTTCCTGGTGATGCGTCCTGGCGGCTGTTGGGATCTGGCGGATGTCGAACGCGTCGCCTTCGGCGTCGAGTAGGACATTGGGATAGATCTGGATTGAATCAGATCGCTGAACACACAAAGGAATGGGTGTATACGCACCGTGAAGTAAGCAGAGCCCGATGAGCCCGCCGACGCCCTCCAGATCGTCCAGTTGCTGGTGCCGAAGACGCAATTAGCGTCAAACGGGAGATGTCGCAGTAGATACACGCCTTGATCTCCGCTGGGACCAGCGTATAAGAAGGTCTGCCCGGGCACAACAGTCGTCTGGCCAGGGACAGCCGTCGTCAGTATCTGCCCCTGGCCTGGCGTGGACGCTGACGCCGCAGACGACGGCTCTCCTCCTTGGGCATGACTCCGTGACCGCGGAGATGTGGTCCTTCGCGATTTCTTCTTGGGAGGCCCTGAGAGAAAGGTACAAGCAAGGCCTCGATGTCGACACAGACTGCACGTATTCTGGCCTTCCTCGATCAGACATCCCACGCGCCGTCGACGGCAAGCATCGCACCTGTGGAGACAGGTCAGTCTCGACTTGATTAGGCAGACAGACTATTGAATAGACATTCTCCACGTACGGCTTTTTCTTCTTAGATCGATACGGTCGCTGTTGTCCACGGGGCTGGTCTGCAGCATCCACCATGGCGCTGGAGGAATGGTTGAATTGCGCTGCGCGGGTTTTTGCGCAACGAAGTGGCCGCGGGGCGCCTTTCACTTTAGCTTTAGCAATTTCAAAGATAAAATCAAAGATAACAGACGGCATCGCCCCGCGGGCGTTTCATGCATTCTGATTCATCAAGTGCGTTTAGGGTTGCCCAGCTGCCAAAAGACGAACGCCGTTATCAGAAAAGAACCACCAAAAGCCACCAGAGAGAGCATGGATGCAGCTAATCAGCGGGAGTTAACCGTCGTAAAGGATGACAAGCGTGCTGCGAAACCGCACTTGGCTGTCCTGAAGCTCTCAGGTCCTGATAATGCCCGTCGTGTCTTCGTTTCTTCCCTCATTATAAAGACCGGCAATCTGGCCGTCTCCAGCACGCTGCGACACATGGTGTTGACGGCCTCAGATTTTGCTTCTGGCCAAGATCGAAAGTCCTCCAGTCCTCCAGCATGGGTCTGCATAAACCTCGTCTCCTGCAGGAGTTAACTCCGCGACTCCTGCGGGTTTATATGCTCTGTTCGGTATGCCGTTCGTGCTCTATTCCCACCAGACAATTCGATTCAATTTCCCTTTGTCAACGGATAATAACACGCTGCTAACTGTACTGATGCGAGGTCTTCAGATCGGAGCAATGGTGCGTACTGTTTCTCGATACCAGCAGCTGCAGGCTGATGCTAACTATTGGCATTCACTGCCAGAACTTCGGCTTCGACAACAACTGGTGGGGCTCCGTCATCGGGTTGCAAAAGTTCAAAGACGACTATGGCAGAGTCGAGACGCCTGGCCAGCCCAAGACATTGCCCTCGACGTGGATGTCCGCTGCCAGTGGCACTCCCATTGCTGGATGGATCATCGGCTGCTTCATGGCGGGCTTCGTCACTCGCTCCATCGGTCGAAAGCGCACCATCTGGGTGATCTGTGGGATTGCCATCATCGGCATCATCCTTCAGTGTGCTATTCCGTCGTACTGGGGAATCATGGTCGGTCGGCTCATCAATGCCATTTCTATGGGTGCGTTGGCTTCTGCTGCTACGGACAGTGATAAAAGGGACTAACGCCAGTCAGGACTGGAGAGCAATACGGTCCCCGTGTACATGTCCGAATTGGCTCCTGCAGCCATCAGAGGTGCCCTGGTCAATTTCTATCAAGCATCGCTCATGCTTGGGGCTATCATCGCTACGGGGACTGTGTACGGCACCTCAGTGCATCTAACCGGTCAATGGGCATACAAAACAGGTGAGACAATCCTTCCACGAACGTAAACGGATCCATCCGCGACTGACATCACGAAGTCATGGTGGTGCAGGTTTTCATCCCAGTCGCCCTTGCGATCGCCGTGAAGTTCATCCCGGAGTCACCCCGCTGGCTCCTCTCCAAGGACCGGCACGATGAAGCACTAAAAGCCCTTGAATTCATGCGCTACGGGGCCGCTAGCCCAGAAGAGATCCGGCTGGAACTCAGTCTCATGGAGCAAGCCAACACGGAACAGCAGCAAACGCACGAGGCTAGCAGCTTTCTCGACTGCTTCAAGGGAACGAACGGGTACCGCACGTTCGTCGCGATCGGCATCCAGGCACTGCAGCAGTCGCAGGGAAACTCTTTCGAGACGACCTATCTCGTGACGTTCCTGCAGCAGCTGGGTGTCAAGAGCTCGCTCCTGATCAGCTGTGCCAACGCCTGTATGAGCTTCGCTGGTACCGTTTTCGCTTTCTATCTGAGCGACAAGATCGGAAGGCGACCTATGCTTATTGGTGGTGCTTTTTTCATGGCCGCCCTCATGTGGATCGTCAGTGGCATGGCTGCGTGGTTGCCGGGGGGTGTTCATGGCTCCTCGGCGCAGGGATGTGTTGCTGCTCTCCTCATCTATGTCAGCTCTACGAGTCCCTGAAAGATGCCATACAATGCTGACCGTCTAAATAGAGCGTCTTCAGTACCGGTTGCTGGGGATCCGTCATGTGGACCCTCACTGGTAAGCCGACACATCCAGCCTCCCATCAATGCATTGGAGCAATATCTCCTAACAAAATGAAAAGCTGAAGTAGGCACAAACCAACTCCGCGAACGCACAATGTCCATCGCCACGATAGCCGGCTTTATAACCAGCCTCCTAATAACCTACATAAACCCCTACGTCCAAGACTCCCCCGGAAACCTCGGCTCCCGCGTCGGCCTAATCTACGGCAGCATCTCTATCCTATCTATGTTCTTCGTTTTCTTCGTCGTCCCTGAAACAAAGGGACGCAGCCTGGAGGAGCTGGATGAGCTGTTCCAGGCTAGAGTGCCCGCATGGAGATCAGCTAGCTTCAAGGCTACCGGTGTTGGGGCGCAGATTACTTCTGTTGAGAATATCACGCCGGGGGTTGCTGTTTCTGTGCATGGGAAGTGGCATTCTGTGTTGGAGGGGGCTGAGGCTGAGGCTGAAAGCAATGATGTCGAAAAGGAGGCTGTTGGGCCTGTTAAATCTTGATTTTGATTTGAGTTGCAGCGCCGAGGATTGTTTTATGGTGTGGATTCTAATATAGGCTTCTGGCCGTCGGTTTTGGATTATACATAGACTTGGATACGGGTTAACGGTTGGTAGCTGCATATATGAAATGAAAACTAACAGCCATGACAGAAAGGGTCAGCTCCTTACAGGGTAGATCTACTAAATAGAAAACAGTGGACAGAGATGATTGATAGATGGGGTTTCAACTTCTAACAAGATCGACAAGCCAAACCAAGCCATGAAGACACCTCACCAAAGAGAAAAGATAAAAAGCAAACATCTGGTGACCACATATTCAAGAGTGGGAAGGGTAAGGACACTCGTAGGGTATGTATGCATGCATGCCCTACATTACATGTACGTCGTAATTGAGTCTCTAGTAGCTACTCGGTGTACAAGCAAGGTAAAAAGAGTACTTGGCAGATGGCAGTCAACATCATTTTCATTTGTTCGAAACTATCATAACTTCCCGAGCACCCAAGCCAAGCTTTGCGTAACACACGTTCACAATGCAATGGGGGGCTGATCGCATCCGAGTTGCACAGAAGCTTGGCTGTCTCAAATCTCGTCCCTTGGCAAGGCATCGTCATGAGAAGAAATCAACAATAAGAAACGGAAAAAAAAAAAACCAAACAGTGACGTCGCAATCCCTGTGCTTCCAGTTTCCACCGTGGTAGTTGAAAAGTCCCATTACAATGCAATAAGAGGCAAGCAAAGGCAGAAAAAGTTAGAGATGCCATGCAAGAGACATCCCCCCGTACCCGAATCCCTCCGTCGATTTCCATTCCCGAAAGCGAGGCAGGAAAGCCTCGAGATCAACCATAGCAGATGGGAAAGCGCGTTCAAGCTCAAAAGGAAAGTAGTGCGGCAAAAAGGTCGCGTCTGACTGAGGGGTTTGGTGATTGTCATTCACAGTCCAATGCGTTGGACGGTTGGATATCGTATGGATTTGATGCCGCGGTATTGACGGACGTCATTCCATCATCGTAGATCGAGTCAACCGCTGGATCCCACGAGCGCACGCGCCATTTTAGTATCCCAGGTAAAGGAAACGCGCCCCAGCCGGGGTAATGGAGATTCCACTCGAACGAGAGGAAACACTGGAAGTAGAGGAAACACTGTCGGAGCGCGAGCGCACCGAACGCGGGCGGCCAGAGTGGATGGGAGATAGAGTGAGAAACGCGTGGGTCGGAGTGTAGGTGATGGACTGGCTGGATGCTTCCGCGTCATCGAAGAGAGGCTCTGGGCCATGGTGGGTGGGAGAGAGGTTGAGGAACTTGGAGGCCGGTGTGGTCTCCTCGGGTGCAGCGCTGTAGCTGGTGGGAGAGAGGACGAGAAAGCGCATTGTAGGAGTGTAGGTGTACATTTTGGTTGATTGTCAAGAGAGGCAGGAAGGTCAGGTCAAGCGTTGGACTGTTGGAAGAGTTGTTGAGGCAGGGGTAGTAGCTTGGTCGAAGGGATGGATGGTTGGACTGGCGAAGAGAAGATGGAGCGGAGAGATTCAGGCGAGGAAGGAAAGAGTGGAGAGTTGACTTGGTCAAAGACAGAGAGAGAGGTTCACCACGTCCGGGCAGCAAGGCCTGAGCAGCTTTTTATAATGATATCCTTCGGTTCTATGACGAAGTCCGGGGCATATCATAACAGGGGGTGGTTCTACGCTACAACGGACATAGCCGGGCGGAACCACCGTCGGGCATGTGTATCCTGATCATAATGCTAGGCAGCATCCCTGACGGTTCTGGTTCTTCTGCTTATTTCGGCCCCGAAAAAGAGAAAGCCCACTGGGCTATGTCATTCCACAGGATGTCATCATTGGACGTCTGCCTCCCTTCTGTCGCCAGGCAGCGGAGTACGGCGCCCATATGGCGCACTACAGATGCGAGAGGACAAAAATAAAATAAAAAATGTCTCGGCGTCGATCCAGGCCCATCATCTTAATCCTGTTTCGCCCTCCACGCTCGGTAGCGACAGCCTGTATGGTCGTTCGTGGTCGACATGCAGGAGATAACAGGACAGAACCCCAGGAGCACAGGCCGGAGATAAGTGTAGATAGACGTCGTTGGTGCCTCCATCCGATGATCCTCACCAAGGTTCGAGCATGACGAAAGACACGTTGTCGGACGCGGTCTTGTCTATTGGCCCAGCAGCCCGTGCTGGTTATCCTCGGGCCAGTTCTTCACGACTAATTCGCGCTGGTCCGCCGACTCTGTCTCCATGCAGTATCAATAGTATCCCTCTTCTCCCCGTTTCTTCTCCCTTCCTCGCCTTTTATCTGGACTTCCGTGCGACCGAAATGACCATATTAGAAATCATCTCCGACTATTGCACAACCGAGACACCTGGGTCCATTTTTTGAGCATGCTCCGTATCTATCAGTTGCAGACCGTCAGCCGTCTCGTATTAGCAAATTACTAAATAGTAGATGGGTGCGTGGAGAGGGGATGCGTAGGGATTATTAATGATGGAAATCCGTGGCCTGGATTATGGTCAGCCGAGGCTATTCCATCCTAGTCCTTTTCGTGGCTGGAATTGATGCCAGGGCCCTCTAGCGCAGAATTAAGCCGTTACTGGCAGGGGCAAGATGATATCAGTCCGGCCAAGATAGCGATCATCGACCACCTGCAGACAAGAAGCTGGGGAAGAAAAAAATAGAGACTCGACGAAAACGCGCCGCGTCCGCGTGTGATCACGTGATGATCCGCATCTCAGGCATTTTTGGCAAAACATCAGTGAATCAACCAACTCCAACGGCTCCTTCTCGACAACCGCTCACCAACGGATTGGACTCACTCACGTACGTCGCGTGCGGCGGGAATGAGACACATGTACGGCGTACAGCATTAATAATGCCTCCACCAGTCGACCTGCGCCGACAGCGCCTACATTCGGACCGTCAGTTTGACTATACGCTATAGTCTGCATTGGCGCGTAACCTTCAGGCCATCTCTCTCTCATTTGCTTGTCTGCAGCGGCTAAAAGGCGATGAGAGCAATGGAGAATTCAGCGTGCGTTTGGTTTACTTCATGCTCTCGACCACTGTCATGCCTTGCTTGCTTGAGCCACGCAGTTTGTCATGGTGTATTTTTTTGTTCCGAGATCTGTCTACCAGGCAGATAAAAATGTATTGTCGGTGGCTGCAGATGGAGATATGAGCTTCGACGCCCGGTGCTTTTGCATCTGACAACAGATACGGGGGAAGATCGAAAATGATGCCCCGAACCTAACTTGATGCTTCTTCCCGCGGAATGCATCCACGCACGACTAGGCCCGTTTCATGTTCAGTTATCACCAACAATCGTTCTGCGCTGCATACAACTATTCGTTCATATATACCACGGCCTTGTAGTCCACATGAAGACCACGACCCAGGAACATTGTGATGACCACGCTTCCCTTGCAGACGAGATGCTACTGGAATAAACCTATTGGGCTTCTACTCCCACCGGACACGGAGGTCGTCTAACAGGGCTTCATTTTCGAGCCGCAACTTCCCCTCTAAATTTAGCCAAGTGGCTTCGTCAGGCAAGCTTTCCCGTGCGGACGTGAATTGGTCACTGGGTGTTGGAGAACGAGCACGCATCCTTCCTGAAAAGGCTATCATAATTCGGTATCCTGTTCGACAGACATATCCATTTCCGGAATCAGGGTTCAGACGCCTGAGATACATCATTGAGCACGCATGAGTCTGGCCCGTGTTGGGTAAGTTGGGTAAATCCGGTCCTTCTCAAAGGAGGCCATACTTTTGATGCTATTGTTATTTGGTATTGGTATAGGTTGAAACTTGAAAGAAGCTGCTTGACAATGATGAGAATCCTTCGGCGATTGCAAGATTTAGGGCTTAGGCCCGTGTCCGGTTTTCACATGGCTTTTTTCCCCGATACTCCGTGCCCCTGTCGGATATCCTGCAAATGCAGCCGTGTAGAACTTGACGAAGCTTAGAGCGACAGTAGCATCCGATCTTCCGTTTATTGGCCTTACGCAGCTTCAGCTCCGGATTGGCCTTGTTTAGCCCACAGGCTTGTTGGATCAAATCGGACCGCCCCAGTCATGACCCGCATACCCGTTAACCTTACTTGATGTTGGAAACGCTTGATTGACAATGTGCAAGCAACACAATCTGGCCTCTGCCGTTGTTTATTCGTCCTGCCTGTCTGTTCGGAGTCGAGATTTTGCTCCAGAATCAATTGTTATTATATCACACGTACGATAATTCAGTTAGCCCGTGAAGGCAGAAAGGTGAAAAAGGAAATCTTTTCAAATAATAAAAATATATATATATAAATATAAAAAAGGAAGGAAAATAAATAAAAATTAAGAAAGGAAATAATGAACTCACGCTGTAGTGTTGGTTTCTGATGCGTTTGTCTTTGCTTCTGATCGTTGCGTCCGACTAGGGAAGACAGGTTATAAAAACCACGGAAGCCTTCTTCTACCTTCTCCAGAGTATCCCATTCTCCTTTCATTCAAATCCTCTGTCTTCAAGTGATCTCTCTATCCTTCGACCGCATCTCAGGTTATATAACTCAGTATGACTTCCCTTATGGCTTACGCATATGACAAACAAGCTGACCATGTCTTCCTCCAGAGATACAACCAAGAAAAACATATCTTCTTGCAACATGTGCTCCATCTATTACCTAGTATACGACTGCGGCTGCATCCTGCAGCAGGGGGATATCGTCCGCTGCGCAATCAGCATCAGACGAGGCAGTCCCTGTTCCGATGTCAAGTCGCAAAAGCGTCGGTGCGAAGGCTACAACTGCCCTGCCCGTGACAAGTGAAAGGGCAAAGCATTGAAGCATTCAGTATGTCAACTTTCCTTCAGGACGACGATATCGTATCTTAACTAAAGCTCTAACTTTTCAGCCAGCACGATCAGTCCGGATCAATGAACTATTCGCTTCCTTTTTCGCCAGGTATATATATTCCGATTCCTTTCCGTTTACGACGACGGCATGCATGCATTGAAAACCGGTCGAGTCAGCATTATTCTCTACGAAAACCAGTATCCAGAAATTTGGACGTGGAAAAGGGAAATGGTAGATTAGAAGGGGGTGGAAGGGTGGTTGCTAGAGGATTGCCTGTTTTCTTCTTTCTTTCTCCTCCTTTGTGCTAAAGGGATATTATTATTGTTATTATTATTTTCTCTCTTGTTTCGATGTCGGACAGACATCCTTTGCACATTGTCCTCATTTCATCATCCATAGCAATATTCAAAGTCTGCTTTCTACCTATTCCTGCTCCGGTCCCCGTTCCCTGCAATCATACCATAATCACACACACACATACACACACAAATTTAGATGATGATCCCATTTCATTCCAATCCTTCTACTAGCACTAAGACAGACCCACTATTATGATCGCTATGATCTACAACTAACCAAAGCACACCTTCTTTTTAGCGAAGGCAAATGGGGGGAATGAGGCGAGACCCATTAGCTGAGGTTCATCTCTATAGTACAGACCCCCATCTACCCATCTACCCATCTACCCATCTACCCATCTGAACAACAACAACAATATTATTATTGTAGCAATTAATAATAATATCAAATCAAGGAACTCAAAACCCTGCATCGGGGCACCGGAACCTGCACGCACATGCACATACATACGGAGTAAATGTAGATAGGTAGATAGATAGCATGACCCAACCCAACCCCCTTTTTAGATAGATAGCCAAATCGAATCCCCCCTTCCAGCCTCGAGGATAAGAGCATGACCATTATAACAAGCAGAAGCATGTTAGATATGTAGAAGTTGGAACATCGTCTCCCCAACATATCAATTCCGGTGCTGTTGTTTAATTGGCCGGATGCAGTCGGGGAAGGTTTTTCTGAAATGCGACACGGGGGGAGGTGAAAAAATAAAAGGAAGGCCCGACCCGCTCCGGGTGTTGTTGATTCGATCACGGAGATTTTTCATATTGAGCATTTGTATCCCATTCTATCCTGACGGAGGGGAGTTGATGGTGCAGTCGGAAGTAACATGCGCAGTGTGGTGTGGGACTGTGCGCCGAGTTGACTCAACCGTCGACTGGTATTACGGGGGTATGTATGTTGGATTTACGCTCGACAAGAGATCCATACAGTACGCGGGTGACGGCGGAACGGCCGGTTGTGCGTGGTATCTGGGACAAAAATTGCGGCCTTTCCATCTAGACTGGCGTATCAACGAATTTTGTTAGATTATATTCGTTGTGCAAGCCCAGTCCATAACCAGCGTTGGTTTTGGCGTAGTGGCGAGTATTTGCTTCAACAAATTTGGCCAGGTGCGCATCAACAGCCTCCTGCAAGGCCAGCGCGTGTGGGACCAGCCCATCGTGATTGAACTGAAGCCAGCTATCCACAGGCGTGGCAGCAGCTGGTCTGCTGGTCCACCCAGCCAGGCCAGCCCCTAGTCCTCCCACACCGGCTGACACCTATGCAGCTTGGTGCTCTGGATGACATGCAGGAGCGTTCATGCTGCACGGGGTGCGTGCACGGCTTGAGTGAGTGCTCTGGGTGCACATGTACGGGACCAGCCTGGGCTGCATTCTGATGACCGCGGGACCGTCACATACAAGGAGCTCGAGTTGCCCATGGGCCTGTTCCGGCAGTTCGTGCATGACCAGGTGCAGCACTGCCAGATGGCCTGGCTAGGACCGTAAGGAGAAACTCGCCTGTATTAGTGCCTCGTTCTCATAATTTTTGTGTTTTACCTGCTGCGGTCGCAAGGACAACCTACCCCGCCTCTGATGGCTGTTGAATGACGCTTAGCTCCCGTGCATCCCATGGCAACGCTCCAGAAAAGTCGACACACAAGGCTGAAGGATTGGCGTTTCCTTCTCGTTTCTCTGAGGATGAGAAAGAGAACTCATCAAGTCCGACCCTTTTACAAGCCCGACGAGGTTTCCATCGAGAATTGGTGTTCCTAAGAAAATGTCATGCGGCATCTTCAGAAGAAGCGTTGAATCCGTTTCGTAGACCCCTTGATACGCATTGCATACAATGGATCAAGTTCTGTAAGCCACTCTAAAAGTGCCCCAACATCTCCAGTAGTAGGTGGGCCTGAGAGATGCACCATGACGATAGCATGGTGCTGCCTTAAGGGTTGTACGGAGGCAGAGGCCACTTCTGTTTGCTGATGAGAAGCTAGGTCGACTTGAATGGACGCACTACCGTGTATGATTTTATGGGTAGGTTTCTTCTCGGGCGATTTCGCTGCAATTGTCGAGATTGCATTTCAAACTCGATTGAAGTAGCACCTTGCCCTTTGGAACGCGCAATATAATCAGCCAGCTTTGATGGAAATGTTTGTACTGCGTCCAAGGGGAGAAGGGACTGTTTCCGAACGCTGTACTTGCATCAACAGCTTTCAGATCTTCCACTAATCTGGTGGGAGTTAATCTTGCACCATTGTCAAACTACAGCTGAAGAAACCCACCCAAATAAAGGGAGAGGAAACAACTCAGTGGTACATGGCTACCTGGGTGTCATGGCAACCGTTTTGGTTACCTATGTTCCACGTTGTCTGCAAACGGTCTACGGTCAGATACTTCCTTGTTCCATAGCCACAGCCCAGATGCCCTGTCTGGATCTAATGGCGCCCAATGCCCCAATCAGTCTATCTTCTGGGAAATTCCGTTGTACAACTGCTGGTAGCCGTCCGTCCACCAATGCCGGACACCACCAACACCCAAAGGTGTAGGAAGGGCCTAGAATCAAGACAGATCCAGGTTGAGAGAAAAGGAGGTGGCAGAGCATGCGACATGGGATGTACAGGCCAATGGCAAAAGTGCCCCATTGATTGCAACTGTGAGTGAGCCGACAGATACTCTTGGACGAGGGAAAGTGTGGACGAGATGTGCAGCCTCATGGTAGGGGCGAGCGAGGATTTATAGAGCACGCACGGCGGTGCCAAGAGGTAAGCACACGCCATTCCCGATTGGGGACGCTATGCCAGATGTGGTAATTCACCGTCATCGCAGGATACCTCTGCAATGATGAGAAATACTCGGGTTGCAAAGAACAATAATACAAGAACTAATCAAGGCAGTGGAAGCACCTGGGAAGTACAAAGACGAATTCCCACAATCCGATTTATAATATGTAGCCCTTCTGACATGCGTTAAGCAGAACAGGGAGGAGGCTCTTGAAAATCCGCATGTTATGATCGATGCATGGTGTGGCGTAGGAGCCACCGCAAAGCAAAAGGCATCCACGAAGGATCTACGGACAACTGTCAGCGCCTAGTTGGAGCAGATTGTTGTCCACAACTCGGGTTTCAGGCTCCCGATCGACAAGCTCCGAAGAGCATTGTCCACAACAAGAGTAGCGAGCGTTTGCGCTGCTGTATTTGCCACCGGTAACGCAACGTGACAGAAGGGCCCGCCGAGGCTGACGAAGAGGAAGAGAAAAGGAGGTAAGTAAAAGAAAATAAACGGACAGGGAAGAGGATGTTAGCTAGTTCGCCAAAAGGAAAATGCCATGATAGACCATCAACACAGGATGCGCGAGCACGTCACATGATGTAGCGTGACACGTGCCGCTGCTAACCTCGTTTCGGTCCAAAAGAGAGATCTCGCGCGGACAGTTATTTAATATTATCAATAACGAACAACGTACATGTAAATGTCCATAGACGTCAACTGGGAGACAGCCACCTCTGGACCAGACGGTGCGGCTCTGGCAGAGCGCATCCGCTCCTTCATCCACGACAAGTTCCAGCAGGTGGCCCTCCCCCGTTTCATCCGCTCCGTCCAAGTCCACTCATTCGATTTCGGAACCATCGCCCCTGAGCTTGAGATCAAGGACTTCTGCGAGCCGTTCGCGGACTTTTACGAAGAGGACGAAGATGAATCCGGTTCCTCTGAGTCTTCAGAAGCTGTTCATGAGGAGCAGGAGCAGGAACAGCGTGATCACTGGCCGGGACCTGTCCATCATAGCCATTTTGATTCTAGACTGGACGACGACCCTTCCCAATTCCGAAATGAAATGGCCATGAGCCATCTGCCCCAGCTGCGGGATAATCACAGCGAACTTCAATCCCCTTCCGCCGCAGCTCTGCGGTCCCCGATGAGTCCTCATTTCCTGCCTCGCACAGGCACTCCCTGCATTCTTGGCGGGACGTCGAATCTAGGCCACCACCTCATGGGTCTGGGAGGACTATCGGGAACACAGACTCCTCTAGCTGCTGTAGCAGGTGGCACACCTTTTGCAAGTGGCTGGTCCGACTCTGGCCTGGGATCTGGTATCGCGGCACGACCGGAGAGGGTACTTGATCCCTCCAGTACAATACAGCAGCAGCAACTTCAGGAATCAGATGTAGATATGAGCCCCCCTTCTCGTCCTTCTTCAGCGAAAACACCCCCGTCACCACCGTCTATCGGACACAATCCCGGCAGCAGCCCCAACGGAAGCAGCGGCCAGAAAGACAAGAAAGAAGGAGAACAACAACAACGACAACACGCACAGGCGCATCTAGACGCATCCCCCACGGCAGTGCCGCCTCTTCACCCCCCGCCTCGCATGCGGGAACGCAGACCTGAAGATTTCCAAGTCATCTGCCACGTCAAGTACGCGGGGGACGTCCGCTTATGTCTAACCGCTGAAATCCTCCTGGATTACCCGATGCCCAGCTTTGTGGGACTCCCTCTGAAGCTGAATGTGACCGGCCTTACGTTTGACGGCGTAGCTATCCTCGCGTACATACGCAGACGAGTCCACTTTTGCTTTCTCTCCGCCGAAGATGCATATGCTATGGTCGGCTCGGATGAGCAAGAGCATGGGAATGATGAGAAAGAGGCACAGGCACAGGCACGTACCCGCACCACCGGAGGTGGCGATCAGTACGGTGGATTGCTGCGGGAGATTCGGGTCGATAGCGAGATTGGTCGGAAGGAAGATGGGAAGCAGGTCTTGAAGAATGTTGGGAAGGTCGAGCGCTTCGTGCTTGCTCAGGTGCGGCGCATTTTTGAGGAGGAATTGGTTTTCCCTAGCTTTTGGACGTTTCTTATTTGATTCTTCCAAGTCTGGGGCCAGATGAATCGGATTTTTCTTACGAGTTTGTATGAGTTCTATGAAATTATTTGATGATCTTTTGTCTTCAGTACTCTTTTAAAGGCGCGTAACCAGCCAAAGCGAACAAAAGCAAGACCTATGTGAAATGATAAGAGTTGTGATGTATCCTAAGAACGCTCTTCCAGAACATAGAGGAATCAAAACAAAAAAAATTTTTCCTATACATCGTGATACATGCACAGCGTACTGGACAGGAAAGGGAAATCATCTAACGCATCTCGTTGATTACCCCTTCAATTTTGACCCCTGAGAAACGACATGAACACACCTCGTTGGATAAGATCCATTGTTATTGAGATAGACTCGGTGGAATTGAAAACGCTTAAACTGCAACGGCCCCTGAGAAAACCGGCATGTACTCATGGCATATTCCCCTTGAAAGCATCTCTAGAGAAGGACATAGCACAGCCTTGGGGCCAGGATCTTTCGGTTCAACAGCGGTCGGGACAGGTGAGCTGCTTTACTGGGATTTTCTAGCCTCATCGGTCTTGGGTGAGATCTGGTCTCCCAGTTTATTGTATTCAGCAGCCAGTCCCTCGGACTGCTTCTTCAGGGTCTCAATGTCAACGTTTTTCTTCTCAAGCTCCTTCTTCAGAGCCGCAATGTTCTCGTCCTTGGCTTCGAGTTGCTTCTTCAGGCTGCTAATCTCGGATGCGTCCTTAACGCCAGCCTTCTTGCTTCCCTCGAGTGTCTTGACCTTGTCCTCTAGACGAAGTACATCCAACATCAGGATATAAGTACGGTTGAGAATAAGCGAGAGAAACAGTGTGAAACCGCACAGGTACATGTTCCTTTGCGAATAGAACTTCCGTGCCTGAATCTCAGCGCGATCGGTGCCAATGGCAGCAGCTCTGCTATCACGAAGGGGTTGAATTAGCACTTCTTTATCTTCCGACAGTTCTTTCCCCCGTATAGATTGGTGCCAGGGGAAAGAGTAACAAGCTAAGAAGGAAAATCAACTAACCCCGCACTGCCACCTTCCCTGTGAAGAGCGGCCACGTCAAGCTGCACACGATACACCCGATTGACGCTGTCAATGAAAAGGATCAGGATGAAGATAAACGTAATCTAAACGAAAGCAAATAATCAGTACTGCAGTACCACAGCAGAACCTAGAAGGCCGATAACCAACTTGCCTTCAGACCGTATTGTATCTTAGCTACTATCGGACTTTCAGATATGAAGTTAAACAACTTCCGCCTAGCGGCGAAGGGAAGTGGAATGATCAAGCCTAGGAAAACGGCCATCTCAAACACCAGGAGGACAAAAACCTGCAGAGAGTGGCAAGAAGTTAGTTCAATACCAAGCTGGAACACAGACTACCGCCCAGGGCAGATTCTAAGTGAAGACGCGCTGCAACCACTACTGGGGCTAGCTGGCTGTACAAGAAGAACAGGACATACGAGAGTGTAGTAGAGAGTCATCGTGGCTGTAGGAAACAAAGACAACGACTTCTATTTAAACAGTGGGCTGAGGGTGGGATATATGTTGCGATCGCAAGCAAAGAATAGAGTGTATAAACAATTTCGACAAAGAATGCGGATCTCTTGAATCTGTAAAGTCAAAACTACGAGAAGTCTGACCGTTCAGCGAGCTCTGGCAGGGGGAAGAGTGCTTGACGGGTAGGAGAGAAGAGGTGAGTTGGTTTCAATACAGCTGAGGTGGAAACGTCATGGATCCGGTCACGTGCTTATTTCTTTCCGCCAGGCGCATGTTTTGTGCACACCGTATGTTGCTGGGATAAATATGAGCATCCACGGCGATCCTGAAGATCTTCGCAAATACAGAACTACGCTGTAGATCCCAAATACTCCATACGAAGGGTAGGATCTGCTGACAGGGGACTGCCTTCATCCGTGGACGTTCAGGCCAAAGATTACTCGAACAACTGGAGTTTTAATGTCTATATCCAATGATCCGATGAATAATGCCTCAACCCTCAGCCTCATAAGCGTTGGATTTGTGCTTCGGTTCGAATTTGAAGTCTTTGTGCGCAGGCCCAAGGAACATTTCTCTGTAGACCAAAGAATTAGCACTGAAAAGGACTGCAAAAGTCTCGACGGAGAAAGAAAGAAAGAAAGAAAAGACTTACGTGATCTTGATCCAGTCCTTGTAGTTATTACTTCCCAGGAGAGTTTCCAGATCGCTCCGGCCTCTCCAAGCTGGGGGTCTGTCCTGGATATTCGGAGGAAGATACTCGAGTATCCCAATAGGTACATAACGATAGGTGAAGCTCAGCCATTCAAGCAAGAAGCGTCTAGTTGTCCCGACTCCATGCTCATCGGAGCCCCACACTTCTAGACCGTACTTTGCGAATTTCTCTATAAGCGACAGACGCTCCGATGCCGATTTGTCAAGGTACTGGCCTGCCTGTATCTCTTCGAAAATCCAGGGTTTGATCAAGGCTCCACGACCAACCATGACAGAGTCGACGCCAGCATTTTGGATGTGATCGTTGTAATCCACGTGTGAGTAACAGTCACCATTTCCAAGGAAGTAGATCTTCCCACCATTAGGCTGATTTCGCGCATCCGACTCGCGTATCGTGTCGGTAACCTCATCTGACCGTTCATTCAACCGTTTGATAAGAGCAGAACATTCCGAGATATACCCCCAATCTGCTTGCCTGGTGTACCGTTGCTGTCTGCTCCGTCCATGGAGAGTGATGGCTGCAACCCCAGGAGCTCCCATCCCCAGTAAGCTAGATTCGTAGCCTCCGAGACAGAGACGTTCACAGAGCTTGAGAGCACTGGGGGAATTGTCCTTGGTACCCATTCGGATTTTAACCGTGATTGGAATTTCCTGCGACACGGTATTCATGCCGCGCAGGATCTTCTCAAGTTTCGAAGGATTGTCGAGGAGAGCAGAGCCTGATCCTTCGCGGTACACTAAATCTATAGGGCATCCACAGTTCAAATCAATAACACGGAGATGAGGGCTGAATTTTGATAGCAGCTCCGTGGCCTTCACCGCCTGCCATGGCTTGCCTGCTGCGATCTGAGCACCGAACCTGATATCTTTGGAGTTGTCGTAGTTCTTCACTATGCTCCGTTGTGAATCTACGGTTGGTGGAAGCATTTCTGACTCGTGCCCCTTCACCAATGCCCACTCAGACTTCGATCCCTGAACCAACGGCAAGCTCACGGCCATCTCCGAGTATGTGAACTGCGCACCAAGTTCAATGCAAAGTCTTCGGAAGGGCAGATTACCCTGCGTCGTTAGGGGTGCTAAAACGGGAGTCTCAGGTCCAAAGTAGATCCGCCTCTTTTCCGACGGCAAGAAAGGTGGTTCGGTATATTGAGCTCGATTGTCAGCTATTTCATCTTTGGATGGCTTTTCTCTGGATTCAGAATCTTCAGAGGCATCTGCGTGGCGTCCGTGGAGGTTCTTTTCCAGTTGTTTAGTTGTCTTGTCCAACCAAGGCAGGTAGGAATCAGTTCGGGGCGTTCCTATTTTCCTCTTCTTGATAGCAAGTTTGTCATCCATCGAGACGACATTAACGATGCCTTCCTGGGTAGCGTATGGAACAAGAGGAACGACTTTCTTCTTGCGTTCTTCATCCTCAATTAAGACCAGTTCCTTCTTTCCATCTGCCGTTTCTCGCTCGGTCATATGAGAGCCAACAAACCGGCACCTCCATCCAGAATAGCATTTGCCTTTAGCATCCCAAACAGGGCATAATCCATTGAAGGTTGTCAGATCTTCGCGCTTGTATTCCTTCAAGTAGGTCCGCAGATCATGTTCGTAGCGGCATTTGTCACCGTGGGAGCATTGGCCCGGGGAGAACTCTGGGGCATATGCTCGACTGGAACATAGACCCTTCACATCTTCTGACCTTCCAAAGTCACGAGCCGTGTTCAGACCAGATGCTTTTTTCCTTCCTTTCTTCTCGCCTGCCTGCTCCTCATGGCGAGCAGCTTCGGCAGCGTCATCAGGGCTGGTTTCCGCAGCAGGCGCCTGACTGGTTGAAACCTGAACAAGATACCTAATACGCCCTGGTTAGCATAATAATTTCCTCTGCAATTATTGATCATTAAGGGAGCAACGGTACGCACTCGGGTTTGACAGGAGCAATCCCCTTCGACTTCGGATAGATCTCAGTGTCCGTTCGACCATTGGATGCGGCCGGCACGTCCAATTTTGCCCTCTTCAAAGGACGTTCTTCAACTGCATCTGTGCTGGGGACCCCGGTTACAGCGCTCTCTGCAGGGGCAGTCATTTCCGCATTGGTAATAGAATTATCTACCTCTGCCGGTTGGGCCTGAACGGTGGCCGGATCCATAACTGCGATAAACTGCCCCAGGAACTTTTAGGTGTATGCTGCTCAAACTACTCAGTATGCTACACCCTAGAAGGTAAAACACGCGAGTAAGTCGACAAGTTCTGGTTTAATGACTCTGAGATGATTCCCAATTGGCACTACGAACACGATACTGCAGAAAAAAAAGTATATGTGGTGGCGCAGGTCAGATTGCACTGTTTGCATGTGGTGTGGCGCAGAACACGTGGAGGCGGTGCGCCATGCGGGGTTCGAAATTGTATCGTACGGTCCCAATACAAGGTACATACAGTTATATTACCATTCCCACTTGTGGTAATTCAGTAAAACGAGGAGAATCTCCGAGCGTAAACCTTCTAGAAGCTTTGGAACCTGGGTACGAGCAAAGAGGCCCAGGATTCCCTGCAGGATCCAACAAGAGTTCAAGGGGGAGTGGAACCACTAGTCTGGGACAAGGCGGCCACTGTTTCTTGGCAAGAGCAAATATCATCCATTAAGGACGTAACAAGAATCCTACAAAGAGTCCACCGCACAGTTTGTTGCACGCTGAAGCAATATGCTGCAGACTCGAGGCCGGAGTCCGTATGCTAAGAAAGGGTTATCCTTCTATCACAACGCATGAGCCAACCTGGCCGGGGATACCATGATGTAAGGTTTCATCAGGTATAGATAGATCCAGATATGCTTTCGCTACTCCTGCATAATATCGATTCGGGAAATAGAAGTCCAAATAGAATTTTCGCCTTCCCTGTTTTTATCTTCCCTAAGTTTAACGGGTAAACGAACTCTTATGTCCGTGGACGTCATAGCAACAGTACTATTGCCCAGCCCAGCAACATAGCTCTGGCATCTGAACATGGAAAATGGAGCAAACGCCCTTAAGGTTATCTTTATTCTCAGGGCAGTCCGACACCCAACTAGGTCACCAGTACCCCGTAATACTCCCAAGTGATCCCCTAGATTTGGTTGCTGTTTATATGCACAATCCTCCGGTTCAATGGAAGAGTAGGGTATTTCAAATTTATTGACATCAGGATTTAGGCTGTAATCTATGCACAAGGGGGGAACTACTAAGTACTAATTAACTAATAAGCAATGAAGTCTGCGTCATAGGAATGATAATTATAGCCGCATACGGAGTACGGTGTCTGGATGCCGGGCCGCACTTTGCCGTCTGGATGGTGAGCGCTGTACTTTGCATTTGTTTAAGCCTTGGGCATGGTGAATGTAAGTCGTACGCTAGAGCGCATGTCTGGATGTCGTTGTCATCATCATCATCATCACTGCAGCGTGCTCCATCATGGACTACTATCTGGATTCAATGGATTGTCCTTATCGAGTGCTGACTACTACATAGGTGGACAGAAGGTCCTGCGCCGTTACAATACCGCATCCCGGGGATGACACGGGATTACGGTAATATATTATATTAGATGTTCCTTTTTAGGAAAGGAAGTGCGTGTCCCTTGGTACGATGCGTGTGTTTTGTAGCCATTATACTATGAAGTTCTCTTTTCGATGAACTGCGGCCGTGGATCGAAGCCCTGGTACCGGCGTACGGGATATTACATACGTATACTGGTGGTATTACGTACTCGATGATACGTATTACAGACAGCGTAACGAAACCGCGCTAGCCCCAAAGCGGCAGGCTCGCCTTCGTCGCCATGCCAGCCCAACTACTCCAGTCATTCACTCTTATAATATTATTACCTTGGCCTGTCTTCCTACACTTCAGCCGCTAGAGCTTTGTGTTTCAAGAAGCCGTCCTACGGCGCTATCGCTCTTTTCTCCCAGACAATCCTATTGTTATTCAATATCTGGTTGTCCATTCTTGCATCTTGCCTTTCTCTCGTGGTTGTATTATTCGAACTAGTCACGCTTCCCGCGGCCTCAGTTCCAGAGCGGGACAACGCCCGAGGTTGGGTGGACTTACGGTGTGGTTGTGATCCGCCCCAAGCCCCATCCTGGAGACCGTCTTCTTCATACCTTCATGCTGGAGTCGTCTGGATCGCAGAGTCCCCCTCTTCACCCATCTCCCTGCGTCAGTGATAACGATCGTTTCCCGACTCGGGAATCCACCCCCGTGACCACGCCCCTGGGGTTTGGCGAGCCGTCGAGCAGCAGCCCGCACAGGGTCATCAAGCATTTGGATCCCGATTGGCTTCGAGATTTAGTCGACTCGGAAAGTCATCCTTCGCTCTGGGAATCTGCGATCACCCGAGCCCATCTCGACACAGATTACGACCTCTCTCTCTTCCGCTTCTCTCCTCCCTCGCCGTCTGGCATCATGGCATCCGCGGCTCCCATCGACATTGCCACTCGTCAGACGTCTGTTTCCCCTCCGGGGCAGCAGGCGTCCAATCTGACATCCGCTTTGCAGAGAGCTGGCAACGGTGAACGTGCTGGAAGCATATCTCACGCGAGCGGCGTCGGTATCAGTATGTTCAAGACTGCCCCTCCTCGCAAGGACTCTATCGGCGCAGCCTCGTCACAGTGGGGGAACGGCACAAAGCCCATCTCGGTCACAGGTTCCAATCGTGATAAAAACCGTCGAGAATCTCTCGCAGGAAGTTTAGTCGGTCAAATGAGCTGGGGTGGAATTTCTGTTGGCAGCTGGATTCGCGATGAGTGAGCAGCCTCTTTTTTTTCCCTTTTTCCCTTCTTTTCCTGCCGTCGCGCCGTCGCGCATGTGAACTGACAAGCATGCCAGTATTATTATGACCGGTACTTCGCCGTTCACTTTCCAGTCGCCCTCCTTTCATTCCTCCTCGTACCTTCCCAAACTCGAAGCCAACTTCATGCGAGATTTCTCCTGTTGCGGTGTGACGCTGCCGACACTCCACGATCTCCTGCAGCATTACGAAGAAGCCCATGCGACTAAGTCATCTCACCAGGGACCACGTCCGAGCCAGGGTGATACCAGAGCCACTATCGCAGCAGCGCTTGCTCAACAGCAGGTGCAACCGCATGACAGTCACAGCCGTGGACTGCACCCCGACCGATCCCCCTTGGACTTACAGCGGAAACTAAGTCAGAACCAGTCAGCTCAGCACCATTCGGACCTGGATACAATAGATGACATGGAACTGGACGAGCCTCTTGGTGATGCAGATGGCTCATCGCAAATGTTTTCGCAGTCACGGAATACTGGCCAGGGAGGCTTCGAGAGCTCCAACCAGAACATCCCGCAGTTAAACTTGACTATGCTTCCTAGCCATCAAGGCTTCAAAGGGTCACAGCCTGGAACCCCTGTTGCTTCAGCACGTCCCCTCTCATTGCAAAATAACCCGACCGTGTCGTCTGTGAATACGCCTACCCTGATGGCAAACCCCCTCCAGAATTCCCAATTCCGAAATACTCCCGACTCTTCTGGTCCGGGGACTCCTTCGGAATTTGACGAGAGCGTCGTAGGCGGCTTTGGGGACATGTCAATGCAGAATAACACGGGACAGAACCAGTCGCAATTCCCGAGGTTCGCTATCAACAATGACATGGTGGACCTTTGTATCGATGAGCCGGCGAAACGTCTTTTCAGCCCGAACGGTGGCTTTGGGGCCCACAACGCCCATTTCAAACTCAGTGGTGCCCAGTACGGTCCTAACAGCGATATTGCGCGACGCATTCGGGAGCAGCAGCTACTTGCTGGTGTTCCTGACACCTCGGTACTGCTTCCAAACGAAGAGCCCAAGCCATTCCGGTGTCCGGTCATAGGTTGTGAGAAGGCGTACAAGAACCAAAATGGATTGAAATACCACAAGGCTGTAAGTATATTCCCCTCCAAATCAATCTACCCCTGCCATGAGTCTTGCCTGACGATTTTCCCAGCATGGCCATAATAATCAGCAACTACACGACAATGCAGACGGCACCTTTTCAATCGTCAATCCAGAGACCTCGACTCCGTACCCAGGGACGCTTGGCATGGAAAAGGAGAAGCCATACCGATGCGAGGTCTGTGGTAAGCGGTATAAGAATCTGAACGGTCTCAAATATCACAAGTCGCATTCTCCTCCCTGCAACCCCGATTTCCAACTTGCAAATCGTAATTTCAATCTCGGCGGTGGGGTTATGCAAGGTCAGAACATCAACGTTGCTGGGGCGGGTCTCCCTGGCATTGGTGAAGAGGGTCTTCTGTGATCTCGATGGATTGCTCCTGCATGGATCCTCTGATTATACTTGGTTAACCAGCCCGACGATTTGGACGATCTCGTCACTTGATACACATGACTTTAACGACTGGTCCGATACCTTGGAGTTGTTTTGGTAGTATCTATTCACGGCGCATCGAGATCCGTTGTCTTGGGAGAGCTATGGTGCTGTTAGGTCTCATAGACCAAGACCCATGAGCTTCGATATGAACGAGCTTACTTTGCCTTTTCGAAAATCGGATGCATTTCGTACGAAGACCAGGTTCTTGTCACTTTGGTCAGCTGGCAGAAAAATAAAAAAGAAGATAATGGTTGAGTTCTGTTTTGGGTGTTTGAGAACAAAAAAAAGGAATTGGATTTCCCGGCCAGGTTTTAAGTGTTTTTTTGTCTTTTCTTTGAGTACCTCTGGGCGAATGTTTTCAGGATTGGGGGGACAAACGGAAAGGTCTTTGATCAACTTGGGTGTGCAAGAAGATATCGAAGAAGATATCGAAAGGAAGACCCGAGCTTCTCTTCTCGCCTAATCTTCTCTTCTTCGTTTCCGTTTTCGTCTCGAGCAAGGGTCTTTTTTTTTTTTTTTTGATTCATTCTTTTCTTTGTAGATAGGACCTTTTGGTTGGCTTCTGGTTATGTATGCCTTTGCCTTCTTTCCCCTTCACCACTCATAATTTTATTCTTTATCACTTTTCTCTGTCACTATTTTCTAATTGGTTTGCATTGCCAATATAGTTTCCCCCCTATCAAACTCCCCTTCGTCTCATAGACTTGTTTTGTTGTCTGTGTGTTTCCGTTTGCGTCTCTTCCCTCGATCGATCGGTTATTTGTGTTTGCGTTGGGATTAATTGATGCTGTCCTGTTCTCTGATATTACTATTAAGAGGTTGAGATGCAAAGTCAAAAATAAGCAGTTCTTTTCTACTGTCCTTTGGGTCCTCGTACTTTGGATTGCTGGATGTATGTGCCCTAATACAATGGGTTGTTATTCAAAGCGTATTTCAGGCACTGTCCACTCATCTATGCAATATTATTTGTATATTCATTCTCCTCCTTTATGCTCCTAATTAGAACTAGAAAATGTATCTAGCAGAGCGCGAGCTATTAAATCCCGCTACAGCCCCCGCAGCTGGTGCCGGTTGGAAGATCGTACAGCGTAGCGGCCAATGAAGACCGGATTGTGCTGTTTACCCCTCTTGTATATGATGGAGTATATGCTAGATTCTAAACCCAAAATATAAAGATATATAACGCATAATCCCCCTTCGTGTTGAGAGTAGATAGATTGATATCACTGTACTGAAAGGGAGTTCTTGCACAAAAATGTCACAGACAACAACCGGCGAATTCACTACTCCCACCACCACTACTCCTACTCTTGCTGCTGCTGCTACCGCAGCTAACTGGAAAGCCATCGTTACCCAGAAACAAGAAGAATGCAAACGCAAAATCCCCCCAGCCTGGCTCCTTCCAGAATCAATCACCTCCGCGCTGAAATTGCCGCTTGATACTAACCCCAACAAGCTCCTGGAATTGGATATCCCGCGCCGCTCGGGGATCCTGACGGAGCACGAGTTGAGCATCACCGAAGACTTCACGGTGGGGGAGTTGTTGGGGAAGTTGGCGGCGGGCCAGTTGAGTTCGGTGGAGGTGACGGTTGCGTTTTCGAAGAGGGCTGCTATTGCACAGCAACTGGTGAGTCTAATCACTTCTGGCTTGTCAGTGCCGTCGCTGTTGAGTATAGTTAAACTGATTTCGAATGTAGACGAGATGCTTGACAGAGACATTCTTCGAAGAAGCGCAGAAACGCGCGGCGGAGTTGGACGAACGTCGTGCACGAGGGGAACCGCTGGGTCCTTTGCATGGACTACCTATCAGCTTGAAAGATACCTTTCATATCAAGGGACAAGAGACCAATATTGGCTATGTGGCTCTCGTGGGATCTGTTCAGACTTCCAACTCGGCGCTCGTTGACATCCTCCTCGAATTAGGCGCTGTGCTGTATGTCAAGACGAATATTCCCCAGACGTTGATGGTAAAGCTTCCTTGCCGTATATAGAGAAGAGATCTCGTTCTGAACATATCTAAAGACGGCCGACTCAGACAACCACGTATATGGACGAGTTCTCAACCCTCACAATACGGCGATCAACGCTGGCGGATCGAGCGGCGGCGAAGGAGCGCTCATCAGCTTCCGCGGATCACTACTTGGAGTAGGGACAGATGCTGCCGGTCTGCTCATCTCAACTGTTCCACGTTCCCAGCTGACCATAAAAAGGATCGGTCAGGATCCCAGCCCTATGCTGCGGAATATACGGCTTCAAACCCAGCACCGCCCGAATTCCATACGGCGGACAAGCCCGCAGCGAGCTACCACGCCTAGGACAGATCCTCGCCGTAGACGGACCGCTAGCAAAAGACTTCGACTCCCTGGAATTCTTCTTCAAAACCGTCCTAGACGCCGAGCCGACTCGCTTCGACAGCACCGCCCTCCATGCCCCTTTTAGAAGCAACGCCCAGTTGCTCGCCAGCAAGGACGGCAAGCTCACCGTCGGCATCCTCGCAGAAGACCCCGTCTACCCGCTACAACCGCCCGTGAAACGAATCATTAACGAGGCGGTTATCAAGCTGCTCGCAGCAGGTCACCGGATCGTCCAGCTAGACGCGGCTGAGTGCCAGATAGACGGTGCCAATGAGATTGCCATGGAAATGTTCCGTCTCGATGCAAGCGTATTACCCAACATGATCGCTCAAGGCGGGGAGCCCCCTGTGCCCTCCGTAGCGGCGCTTTACGGCTCCCCACAACCAGACCGGTTCAGACATATCGCCGGTATTGAGAAGTTACAGGGCTTGCATAGACAGGCGTTCTTGAATCTGAAGAGGCATCAAGTCAAGGAGGCCTGGCGGAAGATCTGGATCAATAATAAGCTGGATGTTGTGCTTGGTCCGGGGGCACAGAATACCGCTGTGCGACATGATACGTATGGCTGGGCACCGTATACTTGTCTTTTGAACGTTCTGGAAGTGAGGTTTTCTTTTCTTTTCCTTCCCCCTCTCTTCTTTATACACAGACTGACTAGAAATAGTATCCTGCTGTCGTCATTCCATTTTCTAGTGCCTCCAAATCGAAGGAACCAGAGCATTTCACCATGCCAGAGCGTACCACAGGGCCAGACTGTAGGTTTTCATTGCTTTCTCTCTCTCTGTGTGTGTGTGTCTGAACAAAGCACAGCTAACAGGTAATAAATAGATGTGCCGGACCTCGTTGATGGAGCGCCCGGTTCGGTGCAATTGTTCGCTCCCGCTATGCGAGACGAGGAATGTCTTCTGGCGGCGCGCATTGTGGATGAATGTCTTCGGGAACGGTGAGGGCAGTTTTCAAGTAATCTTGGATGGTTATTTTCGAGCTGTTTTTGGAGATGAAATTTGTAGGGAAATGAGATGGGTGGATGGAAGTTTAACAGCAGAACTATATCTTGCTTTGAATGATGTTTCGTGGGCACGGATATAGACTCCAACCAGTCCTACATCTGGAAATAGAAAAATGCCCAACTCCGTCAAATCACATTGGATATACTTTAGTCTAGGTAGCTTAAGAGTACATGCGTAGACTGAGCAGAAACAAGCGTCAAAATCAAGGGGCAGAAGGAAGACAATTTCACTGTGTGCTGCTTCAATTCAGTTCCATCCATCCCAACCAACACCAGCCAAATGAAAAGAGAAAAGAACAAATCCGCAGAAAGAATGAAGCTGACGGAAAGAGACCAACAAGACTGGCAATTTGGTCTGATGAGATATTCTGTGTTGCCAGCAGTTTCCAGGAATTAAGGATAAAGGAATGGAAAACACCAATAACCTGAGAACGAGCAGACGGATGCAAAGAAAAATAGAAAGCATTATTTGTACCAATTATCTGGCAATAAGTGCAATAACCCTTCTTTTCGTTTTTATTTCTTTCCATTTCGTCTTTTCCTGCATGAGATGTTACACCGCAAAGCAAAAATGTTACAAATCCGCAGTAATGGGCCGGGGCGCAAAGAAAATAGGAAGAAGCTGCTGGGCTTGCCGATCTGCAAAGTTTAGATCTACCACTCGAACTCGCCTTGGGCTTTGTGAAAGACGTATCTACTAAAATTAGTAACTTCCCTTTGGCCGACTGTTTTGTGGGGAATTCGGGATAGCATACTCTCTGCCTCCAGTGGTCAGGATACCGTCCTTCAAGGTGCACTTCCATTTGTTCTTCACCCTCTGTACTTTGTCATAGGTGCAAAGCATCACCTGCCCAACAGCATCGTCTCCTTCATGTTCCTCATTTATAGGGTCGTCAGGGTCATCAAGGTCTGAGTTAATGGCATCTTCATCATCTTCGGCTTTAACGTCGTTGTCGTCTGCTCCGTCAAACTGGGCCCGTAGTTTACCTACGGTTGGTTCACAACCGGGCAATTGATCCAATGAAGTCGCTGTTATAGCAGTCTGATTCGGATAAGATGGGCCGACGTGACGGCTGGCCAATCTAGGCGATTGGTGTTCGTCGAGAGGGCGAAGAAGGCCACCACCTTCGAGTCGCAGCATCTGCAGTCTAATCTGCTCCCGAATAAGTTGATCACCTTCACTGTTTTGGCGCTCAGCAGCCTGTCTCCGGCGCATAACCTCCGCCTTCCATTCCGACAGTGGGTCATCACCCGCGCCGTCCGTTTGCGTCTTGTTCATGGGAGGTTGATGGTGCTGATGAGTAATCGGTCCCTGGCCATTTGGAACATGAGAGCCCTGTGGACGCTGCTGTTGATGTCCGGGAAGCCCCAAAGTCATATGTGACTGAGCCTGGAGCTGACTGACGGAGTTCGCAGCAGCAGCGCCATACCTCTGATGAAGCATAGTGGCAGCACGCTCTCGTGCGGACTGAGAACTGGACGAGTGCGCAGGTATCATGCCGTTCACGACCGGTAACCCGGAATGGTCGTTGGTATCAGGTTCCGTCTTGATGCGTGGGCCTTGGGAAGTGGGCCCCGCAGTTCCCGCGGAAATAGGGGCCTGCAGAGACGGAACAGTAACAGGAAGCGAATGCGGCAGAGCTTGAGATGGAACATGTTGCTCCGCCTGGGAATGAGGGATCGGTCTGGGGGCGTTAGAAGGGACGGTAGCGGAGGAATGAAGGACAGGGGTCTGGTTTGGAGGGGGTGTGGGCTGTGGGGGAGGGGGATCCCAGGGGAAATGGGCGACGCCAAGAGAGGAGAGTTTCTTCTGCCAGCTCTGCAGATATCAAGGTTAGTCGATGAGACCAGGAGGGAAGCAGAAGACAGAGAGAGAGCAACAAAGCGCCGAATCGGGCAAGCGGAGGCGGCAGAAAACGCAAGGCGGAGAACAGGGCAGAGTCGCGGCTATAAAAACGCCTCAAAAGCCGCCGATTCCCTCCGGCCCCGCCTTGCCTGGGGTCCTCGCTGCCTCCGCCTCCCATTGAACTTGCAGCAGCCTCATCAGAACACCACCCCAACTCATTCATAACTCACCTTGCGCAGGTCAATGAGCGTCTGCTGGTCGACACCGCTCTCCTCGAAATCGACTTGAGAGGCATCGCACACCTCCTGGATGACACGGTCAAAAACCATGCCCTGTTCCCATGAAACAAAGAGAACCTTGTATAAGCTACCGTTCTTCAACAAAATTATGGGAGAGGAGAAACAGAGAAAAGAAATAACAGGGAGGCAGGGAAGATGAGCGATGGCTGAAACTCAAGAGCCGCTCAGGCAAGGCAGGGCTGCTCGAGAGACACTCACCACCTGCTGATTCGACATGGCTGACTGGTATAGAGCACAAGGAAACGTAACTCTATCCGCAGGGAAGGAGAGCAAAGTAAAGTGGAAGAGAGCTTAGGGAAATGTATTTCGTTAAGCCTGTCGTTGGCTATCCCAGCGGTCTCCGTCGTAGAAGACGGGCTGATACGATAGGCCCTGGAGCCTAAGTAGACCCTCCCTTCAACCCAAGCTCTTTGGTAAATCGTATCTTTGTACTATCTCAACAGTATTCTTTCAGGATTCGAAACGCTGTTCTCCAGTATAAAGGATACCCGGCCGTTGGAGGACTCGGGGAGGTTGCGCCAGAAGTTGGTTGCGGTACAAGTTGCCCATGGCCGGGCGAAATCCATCATCTCCAGGTCGCTGATTAGTCAGCACAAGACCGCCTTCTCAATTCCCTGCTCACATGTCCACGTCTTGCCCTACAGCGTTTATTATTTTAATCTCAAGCAATCTGACAATGTTGAGCAACAGTGGTGTATTAGATTTGTAGGTCCTGCCTATTAACAATGCCTAACTAACATACAGGAATGCAGCAACTCCTTCCCAAACAAAGTCGATTACAAATGATAATGCCTGAACCAAACTCCCAGATGATATGTAAACCAATGCTTCCGCAGCCTGAAAACCAGTCTATCTGATCGTCATCGATTTGATCATTCCTCCTTTGCTGCCAACTCCACCTTCACGAGACGCTGCTGCACTTGTCCCAGGCTTGCGCTCGAAGATCTTCCAGAATTTCAAGCTTTCATCCGCAGCGGCTGTAGCAAGCATCTGTCCGTCGGGGCTCAAGCAGCTATGCAGGACACGGGTTTCGTGAGCAGGGATCTCAATGTTGCGGACCAGGGTGGGGTAACTCCAGATGCTAAGAGAGTTGTCTGGGAATCCGCTGGAACTGACGATCTCGCGGTAGTGGTTGCTCCACCTCAGGCTGGTAACTTGAGAGCCCGTGTCAATGCTGTTGGTCCGAGCACCAGTCGTAGTGTTCCAGAAGTGGATGTGACGATCGTAGGAACCACCACCAGTGGCAAGCAAGTTCAATTGCCAGGGGCACCAACTGAGAGCCTTCACGGCGGCGCGGTGGTTCGTCTTGGTGAATTTCGGGGCGCTCAGGGATCTAGCGTCCCAGATATTAACCAGGTTATCATTTCCACCAGTGGCGAGCTGGGAGCCATCAGATCTCCATTCCAAACCGCAGACCTCCGAGGTGTGAGAGACGAGCTCGGCCACCTTGTGCTGAGCAATGCGGACATCGTGGTTGAAAACGAGACCGCTGCGGGCACCAGTGGACAGCGTATGCTTGGACCACCCCATGACGCCGACACGGGAGTCATGGCCAAACATGCTTCGCAGCTTGGTTCCCTCCTCGACGTCCCAGATCTGCACCTCACCTGTGCCAAGACCAACACCGACATAGGCGCCATCGCCACTCCATTTGACACTGCTCACATAGGTATCCGGTGAGGTTTCTAGTAAGCAGCTCACAGATCCGGTATCAGCAGACCATACGTAGACATTACGTTCGAGGCCGATGGCGACCTGGTTACCAGAGCTCCAGTCCAAGAGATTGAGATAGTAGTCATCGAGAAGGCCAGGTGCGTCCAAGACTCTCTCTGGAGCAGTTTGAACTCTCCGTCGGAATTGAGCCGATTTAGATTTTGTTGGCCTGAGGGGACGGTTGTACTGAGCACGGAGATCAATGGGCTTTGACGACTCGGGTGGCGGGGGCTTGAACGCCAAGATACGAGTATTGAGGTTCACGCCGCAGGCGTCAGCCAAGGAGGATTCATAAGCAACAGCGTCTGGTGCTGGTCGATTGTAGGAAGTAGTCGAGGACTCATCGTCGTCTAAGCCAAGGTTATCAAGAGCTGCAGTGATGTCTTCCTCCGCGCTGCGGCCTCCAATATCGAAGGCACTGACAGCATTAGCAAGGACGGCTGAACCCTCACTAGATGAGGATTTGGATCTCTGATGCTCTTCAGGCTTAGCAGCACCAGCAGTTGCCAGCCCCTCACTTGCAGTACGATTAGGGATGAACCTGTCGCCAGCATTGTGGGAAATGCGGATGGTTGTCTTCGCGGGCCTAGAACGAGTGGAAGTCTCCTTCCGTATACGCTCCCTCGATGGAGACTGCGTCGATGATGGGCCAGTTCCAGTCAACGACCAGTCTGATACCCCCAGTTCCAGATGCTTGGGAGACTTGCGAGACCGTGCGATGTTCGATTTAGGAGACTCGCGGTAGTGCCGAGATGCCCTGGACATCGACTTGGCGAAATAAGAGGCGAGGTTTCCCCCATAAATAGACTGAGACTGGCCTTTGCTTCCATCTGCAGACTGGCGAGGTGGGGTATAGGGCGAGGAGTGGTTGGAGAGGTTTGCAGTTGCACCGATCAGGCTAGTACGAGGAGACGGGGTCAGAGGCATACGGCCTCCGGCAGTCTTCGATGAAAAAAGCCCATGATGGGTTTTCACAGGGGTTGACACCGATACACTGGCCATGACAGTTGGAGAATCTCTGGGATGATAGCTTCTGCTCAAAGACAAGACTCCTTATCGACGATGACGTTATGCTGGATTGGACAATACAAAGTGTGATATTGCATGCAATAGAAAGAAGAACAGACAAAACAACGAGTTATGTATGTAGCAAATAGCTGATACAGGCGTGAAGAAAGAAGATGAAGATGAAGAGAAGAGGGAGAACAGGGAGGATGGCTATTTATCCTGGCGACGAGGACTCCAACTTCATTATTTACTCTTCCTCTCTCCATGGCAACCGTTACTGAGGTGCTATATCTGCGCCATGCCTGTTGAGGCTAGCCATCCACGTGACGCACTTACACCCCACATCATGCTGCGCTTTCCCTTTCCTGGAATAGCGTTATCCACCTTCCTTTTCCGTCCAGAAAGAAGCAATTCATGCACCTTGTGGGCGCTTTCACGAGTCCTGCAAGATGCAAGGGCATTTACTGTTTATCACTGTTATTGCCATTCATGGTCATCCTGTGAGATAAAGCTCTTTGTCAGCATTCACTGCGCCCGAGAGACTATCCTGTTGCGTCGCAACCGCATCTCATTCCCCACCGTCGGTCTCCTGATGGCGCGGCGACCGTCTTCCACGCCTTCGACTAGCAGAGACAATCCCATATTTAGCACCTATCCCTTCCACCAGGCCCCACCACTGCCTTGGATCAGCGCTGCCCGAGGCCCATACCCGTTCTCATCGTCGCCTCGCGCTCGTGGTTATCAACACGTCCAGAATACCTACCTCATGCCTGCCAGTCCAGCTGCTGGAGGCCGTCGGGCCAGCGTCGACTATCGTCCTACCATCAAGAAAAGCCAAGGCCAGGTCCCGGCGTGCCTGGTAAATGCCTCGGTAACTCACTGCGGAAACGACCAAATCTATGCCTTTGGGGGATTCGACCAGTATACCGACGAAGGTCTGCATGCCTGGAGAACATGTGCTTGTGGGTGGAGAGTGCTGACATTTGCCAAGTTTACAATCATGTTCTCAGGTTAGATCTCAAGACGCTCCGATGGGAGCTGGTGGATAACTACGGAGACATTCCCGGGGTTCGCATGGGTTGTCCTTCCCTTCCCGACAACACGCTCTCGCTCATGGAACTAGTAATCTTGAGCAGAAGCTAACTTCATACCTGTGTTTTTCAGGGCACACGGCGACTATTTACCAAGGTGACAAACTGATCGTATTTGGTGGAGAGAACGAGCACCGTGAATATCTCTCCGATGTCGTCATCCTCCATATTCCCACCTCCACCTGGACTCAACCCGAGATTCGTGGCCCGGTCCCAAAGGGTAGAGCGCGCCATGCTGCCGTAATCCATGAAGATAAGCTCTTCATCATCGGTGGGCTAACCGGTGAAAACAGCGTCATTCTCGACGATATATCATACCTGGACTTGAAGACGTGGACCTGGTCTCGGACCTGGAGTTTTACGGCCCGTTTTGATCACACAGCATGGGTATGGGGCAACCGCTTATGGATCTTTGGAGGAATTGGCCCGGAGATGGAGCGCACAACGGATATTTGGTGGCTGGACCTCAGTGATTCTCCGTCCTTCTCAGTTACATCCTCTCAAGGTACCGTGGATCCCCCGGGAATGGACGACAGCATGACTCATGACGTAGATTCAGTATACAATTCTTCGCCCCAGTTACCAGGTCGCTATGCTGCAAACTCTGGAAGCGTACAGGTTCGCACACTCAGCCGACGTAAACCCACTGCTCCGGGTGCCATTTCTTGTCACCGATTCCAATCGGGTGCCCACGTGCCCTCTTTTCCCTCCGGAACCCATTACCAGTTCTACGCTTCTGGTCTGATGCTTGATATCCTGACGCCGTCAGAGACTGTTCGAACGTTCGAATGCAGTTTGTTGTCCCTGGAGCTCGATTCGCTGCGCTGGCGGAGATTGGCAGACGGGCAGGAAATCTTCACCCCTGGCTATCGGTGGCATTACTGCACGGTTGACCCTGATGGCAAGAAATTTTGGTTGTTCGGATGCACCCTCGACGTTACCAATGCGGCATTTGATGACAATCATATGAGCGAGGTGTTCTGCCTTGATCTTGAAAAGTTCGGACTGGTCGGCAACGATTCGGCCCATGACCCAAGTAGGATGCTGGCATTTGAACGACAAGGCTCGATTCCGGTGTCGAATCTGGGTGCAGACCTCTCTGCAGTTTTCGACATGCCACCAGAATCAGGCAGCGGGGCGGATTTTATTATCACGGCAGATCAAGATGATCAGGACGATGCAGAGATGTCAGCAGACTCTTCCTCTATGTCTCAGTCTCAGCCAGCTTTCCTCTCTCCTGACGCAGCTACATCACCTCCCATCCACGTCCATCGGCTCATTTTACAGCTTCGGTGGCCACACTTCAAAAGGCTGTACGCTGCTCAGATGGCCGAGTATCATACGAACCGAATGCATATTCCAGAACCCTACTCCGTAGTCCGCGCATTTCTCTACTATCTATACACAGATAGCATCGCTGGCCATCCCGAATACTGCCCCGACGCTATCGATGTTGCAGGTATGCTTGTGATGGCGAACCTTTATGACATGCCCAAACTACGCTTGCTCTGTGTGAACCGGCTGAGCCATGAGCTTGACGTGGAGAATGCGGCAGTTGTCTGGGAAAGAGCGGGGAGGACCAACGAGGAATGGTTGATGCGACGTGCGGCCCAGTTCTGTCTTTCACACTGGGGGCGCATCGTCCGGACGGATGGCTTCAAGAGTCTGAGCAGACAGAGCCTGATTGAACTATGCGAGATGGTCGACATGGAAGGTCGGGTTATTGCTGGACCTGAATTGGAGATGGTGAGCACATTTGGGGCAGACAGACTGTCAGCGGATAGAGAGAAGCGACCGAAGCTAGAAACGGGGGCCACAAATGACGAAATGGACGATTATGACGGCGATGAGACTGAAGGAATGGAGGTTTCCTGACACTCATGAGACCGAAGGGACGGGAAATCACGCATTTGGGGTTTTGTTTCATTTGTCATTCTATGCAATATGCATCTGCCCGGAGAGACAACTTCCTGGCATGAAAGCGTAATGCGGAGTTCTGGGGGTTTATGTCATGGACACATTACATTCATTTATGCATATCAGTGTATACTTCACCGGTCATCTCCATTAGATATAGATTATGTTGCATCCTTTCTCCATATTGCCCTGAGAAACTCGGCGTAACCATCTCGAACCAGTGTTTTTTGTATTAGTAGAGATGCATGGTTGAATTCCTGCGGTTTCACGTAACTGATACCTTCTGTCTTGTACATGTCAGAATATACAAGATATGTATTCCCTAGTTTTCCGCACCTTGGCTGGTGTGTCCATGAATGTGGCTACCTCACACAAGGTAACAGGCCTGAAACTTGAACAGTCCTTACCCAGTCAGGGCTTATTCCATCTCTGATTCTCCCTGTCAAATCCGATGATTTTGAGATCAACATTGAGCGTGTTCAGCATCATATCCATGGTAAACTCCTTTAAAAGAAGAATTAGCGACAGGACATCGGGCATTGGGGACGGGTCATGGAATAGCACATACCTTATCTTCATCATCGTCAACATCTTTCCCATTCGTACCCTGCAAAGCAACATCACCTTCCTCCTTACAATCATCATCACCACCGGGACCCCGAGCCTCAGCGCCAGCAATTTCCATCTCAATCAACATCTGCCGCTGCTCCTGCTCCCTCCGCTCCTTCTGCATCCTCTTCCACCCACTCACTCCTCCCATCCGCGCAACTCGTTCCCTGGCACTGCTAAATAGCTCCTCGGCGGCATCTTGACTCACGCTGCGCCACTTCAAGATAAGTGCTTCCAGCTCCGCGTCCCTATCGGAGGATTCGATCCTCAGCGCTTGCAACGCCGTGTCGACCTCGGTGCGGAGGGCGAGGAGGCGGGATTGGAGGGTTCGTTGCTTCTTCTGTAAATTTGAGAGTTCCGGGTCTTGTTTTAGGAGGTGCAGTTTTGGTCTGAGGTGGAAGGGGGAAACAGAGGAATAGTTCTTCAGTGGTAGTGGTTTGTGTCTTTTGTTAGTGTTGGAGGTTGGTTCGTCTTCGTTATTCCCATTGTCATTAATACCGTTATCATTACTGTCATGTTCGGTCGTGTCTTGCTGGTTTATGCTTAATGATGCTAGCTCTTTTCTCTTCTCTCGTTTTGGAATCTGGAATGTGTCATGGTTCTTCTCTTCCTTGTCGGTGTTCTTCTGCGCGGGCTGGCGGAGAGGAGACTTGAAGGGTTTCGAGAGCGCGGAAGACGCCTGCCCCAGGCGGCGCTTTTGAGTGGTGTTTGAGAGGTGAGCCATTGTTGCGTTCAGTATCAGTTACATTTCTTCAGATAATGAAGTAATATGGTTGAATATGAAGAGCTCCTAATTACAAAGAGCAATGGGGGATACTCGACGCGTCGATGCTCTTCGTGGGGAACCGAAAACGTCACATCACGTGTCTTCGTTTTATATGGAAAGCTCGCACATAGTGGTATTGAAAGAAATCATGCAGCAGACCAATGTACAGCCAAGAAAATGAGGAGGAAAAGGGATTTTTATAGTGCTAATCAATGTCCAATGCCTCCAGCAACCCACTGTGCAAACTCAGGCTCCCCAGGCCGTGGGAAGAAGCCTCGATCATTGTCCCCATCCCCAGGACCGCCGGGGTTACCTCCCCCCCCAGCAGCTGCGGTATTTTCTCTCCGTCTATTCCTTTGCTGTCTCATGTAGACAAGAACCAGCAATGTCGCTGCCAAGACGATAATAATAAGGCCTTCCAGCACACTCTCGTCGATCTCGAGTTCCAGCTCGTCATAATATCCATCGTTGTGGTGGTTCTCGAAATGAGGATCAGAAGCAGTAGCGAGGATATCGTCCTCTTCTAACTCAACTCGCTGTTTGTACAACTGCGCTTGATACCTAGCCTCTTCTTCCTCGTCGTTTTCGATAAACGCAATTATCCATTCCTTGAAGGTCCGGTACTGTGTTACTTCTATAAGTGGTCAGAGATCAGTAAACTGCTGGTAACGAATTAAACAAAAAAAACTTTTTTTTTTTTTTTCGCGTACCTTCTTCCTCCTGGATGGGGTTCACATTTCCATGGGTGATTCTGTCCCACCAGGCCCGAATCCGTAGCTTGAGCAGTGCAAGTTTTACAGGTAGATATGCCGTCTCGCTTGTCTCAAGTGCCAGATCGTAATAACGTTTGGCCATATGAAAGTCCTGGTCTACAGATATTCCATTCTCATGCATCCAGCCAAGATTCCAGTATGCCTGCGGACTGTGGGAGGCTTCGGCGGCAGTGTGGTAGCAGAGTGAAGCCTTCTCGGCATCGAGTGCGGTGCCAATACCCGCAAGATAGTAATCGCCCATCTTAATCAGCGAGTCCGTGTTAGCCTGTTTCGACGAACGTGTCCAGTAGATCAACGCCAAGGCTGCGTTTCGCAGTAAAGCCGGTCGCGGTTTTCGGCCCCATGGGAGGACACCGCTGAGGGGAAGCAGAGACCGTTGTTCATCGAGAAGGTATGCGACGTTAGCCTGGGCATTTTCATAGCCTTGCTCGGCAGCCATCATTGACGCAACAAGGGCTTTTTCATAGTCACCGTTCTCATACGCGGCATTAGCTTCGGGGAATGAAGTGTGTATTGCTTCAGCCCGCTCTGCAACCATTTTATAAAAGACCGTGGCCGTCCCACAGTGTCGCTGCCTGCCGATTCCATAGTTAAACATTTCAGCCAGATAATAGAACGCTTCCATCCAGCCCCAGCGCGCGGCTAGTTCAAAATAGCGCGTAGCCGTGGCCACGTCCCCTTGATCTAGGAAGAGTGCACCTAGCCTTGTCTGTGAAGCAGGAAAATCCTGATCAGCAGCCGCTCTGAAATGGGATGAAGCAACAACTGCGTCCTGCGGTACACCGTATCCGTGAAGATACATCAGGCCAAGCTCATGCTGGCAGAGAGGATCTCCGTTGACATTCCCACGCCTAAACCAGGTAAGAGCAGTGCCAAAACTCTGTTCAACGCCCTCCCCGCGAAGGTACATCAAGCCAATATGGCCCGCTGCTTTTGATGCCAGCTTGTCAATTCCACGCGGATGGTTCGGATTGATTGAGCCATCCTTATTCCAGTACCGCTTGGCAACAAGTTTGAAGTACTTCATAGCTTTCCTGAAGTTCCGAGGCAAGCTCTGCGCACCTTCATAGTACATTTTGCCTAGGCTGAACGTGGCTTTTAGTTCACCTTTTCGGGACATGAGATCCAAATATTCCAGGATATCCTCCAAACTGGCCTCAGCGCTCGACTGTGATGCATCCCGCCCATTGATTCCAGAGCCGACCATGCTGGCTCCTTCGCCGTAGACGCCGCCATTTTCATCGGCCCAACGATACGACTCCAGAATTATGGCATGGCCGCCAGGCGGCCCGGATCTGTAGTACTCGATAGCCTTATCCGCAACACGTTTGTAGTAATAGCTAGCCTGGTCACAATCCCTTGGAGTCCCAATACCGACATGACTTCGATACGCCAGGGTCATTTCTGATCTCGTATCGCCTGCCTCGGCCGCAAATGTGTGGTACATCAGCGCTTTCGCTTGATCCCGCTCGACTGCGCCACCGATCCCTGTCGCGTACATAAATCCAAGCATATACTGGGCCGTACTGTTCCCCGTTAACGAAGCAAGATTGTGGTACCATTGAAATGCTGCTTTGAAATCTCGCGGATAGGTGAAGTTGCCATGAAAGCTCATTTCCGCCAAAAGAAACATGGCATCGGGATTCTGGTCCTCCTCCGCAGCAATCCTCAATTCATTGACGGCCCTTAACAGTACCGGATGAATTTTGCGTTCGTGGGAGTTTGAAGGAGGGGTATTCAGAAAGAGAACACGGAAAGCTACCTGGGCATAATGTAAAGCATACCCCAGGAGACCAGAAGGCTTTTCAGGACGAACAGCGACGATATTAGAGTCTCGTAGGAGCTTCAGCGCGGATTCAATACGGTCTAACAATAGAAAAGAAAATAGGTCAGTAAGGAACTGAATTTGAAGTCGCATTCGAAGGGCCAGATGAACTAGATACTTCTGCGTACCGCTTCCTAGTCGCCCGCCTGCCTCACGCGCGGCGTCTTGAGAGTATGAGCCTCCATGCTCATGTGGTTTCTGGGCGATATCTGTTAATGTAGTAGTTGCATCATTTTGTTGGCTATAAGAATGGACAATAACCGCCTGCAGTAGAAGCACTAGAAGATATCAGTAACGTGTGCTGCAAACGATCAAGTTCCCCAGGAGCTTACGCAGCGCCAACAACGGCACGAAACGCCGGAACCACGGCCTCTTCATAATGCTTGAGAAATCTGCGAGCAGAGTAAGATTGAGCAGCACATTGCGACCGTTCTCAATCAGACATTACTGGCACTGATGTTGGGAGTGATAGGTATAGGTGAGGCTGGAAGAACGTTCTACTAAACAAAAGCTTGGAGAGGCAACGGGCCACCTGTCACGTTATATAAGCCGCTCAGTCCGTAACTAGTTAACTAGTTAATGAACTACGCTGAAATACTATGATACAGAAGAAAGGAATCCGGGAATAATACATATTCAATGGAATGTTTTCGTTTATTTTTATTTTTTTTTCTCTCTTTTAGATACATTAAAACCAGAAGATAAAAACAGTGACACATTCAGCTTCTTCATGTTGACACTGGGCAAAGAAACGAAAAACCACAAGGACAACTGCAGTCATCCTCCTGCATTCTAGAAAGTCTCGGTATCTACGTCAATCTCGCTGAAACATGCATAGCCCGAAGAATTGTTCGCAATTTTCGAAGGGGCAGCCTTGAATTAGGAAGGCGAAAAAACATAGGGAAAAGAGAAAAAGTAACAAGACAAGCCATAAGGCTACAACTCGAAAGGAGAAACATACATGGGAAGGCTAAAACGCCCAGATTGCGAGAGATATAACCAAGTTCGAAACCTAAGATGCAAATCAATTCTTTGTGTTGTTCTTTTGCATTAGAACATAGTGGTACAGTGGTGGAAAAGGGCGAGAAAGAAGAAGAGTGGTCGTTAATGAGAAGCCAGCACACAGAAGGCTAACTCTACTGGCGTGGGGACCTATTGGAATGTGAGCAAAACTCGTATCAATCACATAAAGAGTTAGAAGATGGAACATACGTCGGGCTAAAAGCCGGGGAAGTTGGACTGTATCCCGGAGAGGTTGGCCCGCCAGGCGACGTCGGTGATCCAGCGAAGTTAGGGGAAGTTGGGGAATACGTCTGTGGACTAGTAGGAGACCATCCAGGAGAGGTAGGGGTGTATTTGGGAGATGTGGGCGATGTAGGTGATAAGTGTCGCCCAGCGCCACCGATAGCAGGGCTGGTCGGGCTATAGCTGGGAGATGTAGGGCTGAAGGCAGGTGAAGCCGGGCTAAAGCTTGGCGAGGTAGGGCTATAGTTTGGCGACGTGGGTGAGAACCCTGGCGATGTTGGAGAGTAAGACGGCGAGGTCGGTGACGCCTGCCCATACGCTGGAGACGTAGGGGAATAAGCAGGGGATGTAGGCACAAACGAGGGGCTAGCAGGAGAGAACCCGGGTGAGGTTATGAAACCAGGACTGGTAATGCCCATGCCAGGAGATGTGGGGGAATAGCTTGAAGTCGGAGAATAGCCTGGAGACGTTGGACTCGTGTTGAAGGGGCTGCTTGGAAGATAACCAGGGCTCCTGGCTGGGCTGAACCCTGCAGCTTGATAATCGGTAAAGCCTCCCGGACTCTCCGCACCAGCCTGATGAATGGGAGAGAAGGCCGAATCCGGGTCTGGCGTCCCGATGTAGGCATTCGCCTGTAAAGGAGAACCTGTGTCATATTGAGTTGCTGCACCATCCGAGATAGCATCCTTGGCACCAATCGGACCCATCACGCCGAATCTTGCGTTGTTCGAAACAACGGTGTTGAGTATGTCCTGATCGAGGTAGATATCAAACTCGCCAGTTCCGGCAGGCGCCATCTGGCCTAAGATCAAGTTCTCGGACACGCCACGGCAGTCGTCGAGCTCTCCAAAGGCGGCAGCCTCCAACAGAATCTCCACCGTCTCTTCGAACGAGCAACGCATCAGTGCTCCATTATCCGCACGGTTGATACCGTGACGGGTTACAGGTGTAAGATAGCCCCTCACAGTCATCACATCGACCAGGAGTGCCAAATGGCGATGGTTGACGTAGGAACCGTCGAAGGCGAGCACTTGCGTCAATTCACGAAGGACAGCAGTACGAGCGGCCTCAATACCAAACACTTGGAAAACTTCAATGAACTGATTCGAGTAAGTGCGAGTTGCATCAACCCCTGGAATAGCCAAGACTTCGCCGAGTGAGGAACCACTCGTCTCGAGAACCCATTCCTTGCATAGTGGGTCGGCCTTGCTCGAGAATAGGGAGCCGTCCTCGAGAATGCGAACCTTACTCTTCTCATTGATGAATGCCCGCTCAACTCCAGGAACTCCACGAAGTGTAAGTGTATCAAGAAGATGTTGCTCCAGCTTTTTCAGCGTGACATCATACTCAATGTCATCTTCTTCTTCTTCGTCCTTATAGTCTTGAATTTGACGGATTCGAATGACCTGCTCATCCGCATTGTTGTCGCTGAAGATGACAGCGATATCCTTAGGGTACTCGTGCTTGATGCGTGCAGCAACATCCTGGACTGTCAGTCCTTTATCGAGAAGCTTCGGTCGACTGAGGATAATACGAAGTAACCACTTGGATTGGTGAGCAGCATCCTCAGTGACATCCTCAGGAATGATGAAGTACGACTCCACCATATCTCTATCATTTTCAATAACAGTAGACTGAATATCTGGATCATAATAAATTTCAGTAGCCTCTGTAACGGATCTCAGACTTGTATGCTCCACAGCACTTCGTAGCTGTTTCGCATATTCCTTGTCATGAGCCCTAGCAGGACTCTGGTATACAGTCATCGACGGAGTTTTGATGTTGGTCGCGACGTTCAAAATTTCTTTGAGACGGGGAACACCAAGGGTGACGTTCTTTGACGAAACACCGGCGAAGTGGAAAGTGTTAAGAGTCATCTGCGTAGCCGGTTCGCCAATCGACTGAGCAGCAAGAACGCCAACCATTTCACCTGGATTGGCGATAGCTCTTGCAAATCTGCTTTCGATGGCTCCGATGACATGTTGGAATGCAAGTTTATTCATTGAATACTCCGTGACAAGTCTTCGGAATGCAAGACGGCTGCGTAGCTGAGCCTTGAACAGGAGGGTAGCATTCTCCTGGGCCTCCTGCGAGATGAAATCACGGCCGCGGACGATGAGCAAGCGGTCAAGCAGAGACCGAACTTGAGGAATGACCTCCGCCGGGTGCAAGTCACTTATGGTTCCTTCGCGAATTCTGAATGTGGTCTTGGCGGTTTCAAGGATCCTCTGCACGTTAATTGGAAGCTGCATCATTTCCTCGTCCTCCTTAGCGACGGTGCGAAGGAAAGCTCTGTCGGCCAGAAGCTGCTCCCACTCCTCGTCAAGGTATTTCTGAACTTCGATATCACCCGCAATTTCATTGGCCTGTTCAAGGACTTCAGGACCGAGTGACCACTCTGGGTCCATCAGGTCGACACGGAAGCGCTTCCTGAACTTCTCATCCGAGCACCTAATCACATCAACACGTTGGTTTTCGATGTGAGCACCGTCCAGACCGTCTTCTCCGTATATGAATTGTATTACATCACCCAGAGAATTACGAACGGTCCCATCATATTTGACCATAACTTCTTCCAAGGCCTTGACCAATTTCCGCTGAATATAACCTGTTTCGGCAGTTTTAACTGCAGTATCGATAAGACCCTCTCTACCAGCCATGGCATGGAAGAAAAACTCCGTCGGAGTCAAACCACGAAGGTACGAGTTCTCAACAAAGCCACGAGACTCTGGGGAATAGTCGTCCTTCGTGAAGTGTGGTAAAGTGCGGTATTTGAACCCGAAAGGAATTCGCTTGCCCTCCACCGACTGTTGCCCGACTACTGCAGTCATCTGCGAGATGTTAATTGTTGAACCCTTTGATCCCGAGCGAGCCATTTGAATGGCATTGTTGAGATCCTTCAAACTCTTCTCAGTTTCGCTACCTGCCTCATCACGAGCATTGTTGAGAGCACGAGAGACTTTACTCTCAAAGGTTTCTCGCACATTCATACCCGGCAAGGGTTCCAATGTGTTCTCAGCCGCGCTTTCTGTAATCGACTCAACCTCCTGCTTCCGTACACGGACAGCATGTTCAATCCTCTGGATTGTGTAAGCGTCAGGAATCGTGTCACCGATACCAATGCTGAAACCATTATGCAGTAGCCAATAATTGACAATTGTCTGGGCACCATTGAAAAATGCGACAGTAGTATCCGGTCCATATTCGTTGTAGATTGTATGGATAACACCACCGCCACTTGCACCAACCGTCTTTTTAGAGAACATTCCATACATCAACTGGCCGCTATGGACAAGCAGGCCACCGTCATTCAAGGGACAGAACTTCTCGGATAGAGGGGAGTTATCCTTCTCCACACGAAGAAGGTTCAGGCCTGATGGAAGGGCCATGCTGATCATTTGTTTCCCGGTCCATCTCGGTCTGGGCTTCAGGATTGCCGGTGGAGGAATAACCCCATCCCAGTCAGGGACCCAAAGCATGATATTCATAACTTGCTCTTTGGTCAGGAAAATATCTCGCCGGCAGATCTTGTAGATACCGCAAAGAGTATCCTGGACAATACCCATAAGCGGGCCATTCCGTTGGGGGGACACGATATTCATAGGGACCAGGGCCAGTTGACTCAATTCTGCGCGAGATTCTTCACTTTGTGGTACGTGCAAGTTCATTTCATCACCGTCAAAATCAGCATTGTAAGGAGTTGTGACAGAAAGGTTAAGTCTAAATGTGGAATATGGCATGACGCGAACACGATGCCCCATCATAGACTCTTTGTGAAGTGAAGGTTGCCGATTGAACAAGATAACGTCACCATCCATCAGATGCCGTTCAACCTTCCAACCATAAAGGAGCTGCTGGCCGCCGGCTCTCTTCGCGTGACGGAGATCAATGCGTTCACCAGTGTCCCGAATAATGTACCTTGCTCCAGGGTGCTCGTTGGGGCCATTCATGACGAGCTGTTGCAATTTGTCAATGTTGTACGGGGTAACAACTTCCGGGTAGGTTAGCGTCTTTGCAATGCTCTTCGGGACGCCAACTTCATCAAGTGACAAATTAGGGTCGCCAGTGATAACAGTACGAGCTGAGAAGTCGACACGCTTTCCCATTAAGTTCTGTCGCAAGCGGCCCTCTTTACCCTTTAGACGACTGCGAATGGCTTTGACAGGTCTGTTTGATTTCTGCATAGCCTTCGGCTGACCAGCGATGTCGTTGTCCATGTATGTAGCGACATGATACTGCAACAAGGACTCGAACTCGCGGACGACGTGTTCTGGCGCACCTTCTTGCTCGCAACGCTGAACGTTTTGGTTGGCACGAACGATTTCTGCAAGCTTGTACGTTAGATCGTCCTCACCGCGCTGACCACTAGTGCTGCCACCGACGAGGACGCTAGGGCGAACAGGAGGAGGAGGAACGGGTAGCACAGTAATTATCATCCATTCGGGACGGGCATAATCATTGCTCAAACCCATAATACGGACATCTTCCGAAGAAATAGCCTTGAAAACATTCAAAGCCATCTGAGGCGTGATGACTTTCTTTTCCGGCTGCGGCATGTCCATATCGTCATCCACCATGTTCTTGTTGGGTTTCCACGTCCCGACCAACGTTATTCCCTCTTTTCGGATCGTAGGCTGGGAGTTACCACATCCGCCATGCCCTCTCACGGGCTTAGCGCCTTCTTTCGTATATGGCTCGTCTTCATCGGCAGGGGGATCAGCGTCGCAGACTGACACATCTTTTGAAAGTCGCCAGATATGATCAAAGCGCCTCTTCGGATCTCTCATACGGATGGCTTCTAAGAACTTGGGATCGGACTGCTTTAATGTCAGCATAATTTGCCAGTATTAGGATATGCCATCCCATTAAGGGATGACTAACCGTGTTGGCTTTGATCTTTCCACAGTTGTGGCAAACGGTCTCCAACAGCTTCTTGATTTTCGCCAAGAAGCCTAGAAGATAAGAGTTAGCTGTGCCCACAGACAGGTACATCGCTGCGCAAAGGATTTTCAACGTACCAATATGGTAGACTGGAGTAGCCAACTCGATATGTCCAAAGTGTCCAGGACATTCCTTCTGTCCTTCTTCGCAAGTTTCGCAATTCCATTGTCTATCGATCGTTCCCAGGCGAGGATCGTTCAGACCTTTAGTCCGTGGTCGCTGTCTTTGATCGTCCTAGATGGCCCGGTTAGTATCCCTGAAGACTCATGAAGGAAGCGGTAAGCAGATTGTATTTACCATAGTCTCTGGGTATTCCACGTGCACTACACTCATCCGCTTGATCTCTTCGGGTGAGAAGAGACCAAACTGGATCTCCTTGATGGTGCGCAGTGGCGCCTTAGAGTAAGGAAAGTGGACGGTCATGATGTCGGTTGCAGTTATGTGAATAGGCTGGTCGGGAGACGGATAACCCTGTGGAAGGATGATTCGATAATAACGGAGACTGAGCGGTTCTGAGTCGTCCTGCTGACAGAGTAACTCTCAGGCATACAACAGCGACAGCGAGAGGAAAATTGCTGGAGCCGGGCGAGGCCTTTGGCAGCCCTTGCCACAAGGGCGCCTGCGACCTTGGTCTGGTTACTGTTGCGAAGTCGAAAAACGCGAAGGAAGCAATTTTCGTATCGGTACTGTCGTGGTTCTTGCCCCTAGATGACACGTCTCGATGCAAAATGGAGATGTTTAGGGGTGATTTGGATGGTAAGGCGATGAGCGCGACGAGGTGATGAAAGGAGAAGGTTTGGCGTTGCCTCCCCGGTCAATGGGAACGAGTTTTCTGTCGACCTGAGCCGCAGATAAATGTCTTGGCGCTGGAGACCACTATAATCACTTACACTAGTCACGATACCCAGCCACCTTTGCCTTTGCACCACCCGATTCACACCCTGATGTGGGACGATCCACACTAATGAGCTGTCCTATAGAGATCCCTCACCGCCCGGCAAATTCCAACATCTTTTTGGGAAATGCGCTTTCATCCTTCATCCTTCATAATCACCGAGTGTGACCATTCACCACAGCAGCAGTAATTCCCCTTGATGAGGGGGTTCTGTCAGTTTTTCTGGCCTTCAACACAGGCTGGATAGTTCCGTTCGCCCTTAATGACAACTTCACGTTAAATGCAATGAATTTATCTCTCATTGATCCGTTTGTCCTGGCCCAGGACTACCCTGACACCTTAACGGGCACGCTGAGTATGTCCGCTCTAATGTTGCTTAATTATTGCTTTTTATTTATGATGAATGGTCACTAATTTGAGACCAGGGAGCGGCCACGCGACCTGCTTACGCTTTAACCGCAAGGGTGACTATCTGGCGTCGGGGAGGGTTAGTCTGGAACTAACCCACATATTTGGCGCGTGAGTTGACATGAAAGATCAGGTAGATGGAACGGTTGTGGTATTCGATGTGGAAACAAATGGAGCGGCACGCAAACTACGGGGGCATACGAGGCAGATACAGTCCTTGAGGTAACGTTTGGCTCAAGAATAGCCAATGGAAGCGTCCTGCATGCTGATCGATCCACCAGTTGGTCTAGGGACAGTCAGTATCTCCTCAGCTCCTCCCAGGACTGGAAATGCATTCTCTGGGACATGAAGGATGGGTCGCGCGTGCGAACAGTCCGATTCGAGGCACCGGTCTACATTGCGGAACTACATCCTTTCAATCAGTACGAATACCTTCCCCTCAGTCCTGTCTTCTATCTGCATGGTTGTACCATAGGCTAATAAGCTTGCCGTATAGCCTGTTATTTGTGGCATCACTTTTTGAAGACCAGCCAGTTCTTGTGGATATTTCATCACCAAAGCCCGTCAAACGAATCATTCCTTCCGCCCCTCTTCGTCCTCACGAAGACGTTGATCCTACTGTGGCCGCGAAACAAGCCGCGCAGGACGCAAAACAATCCACATGCGTCAGTATTTTCACGGCGCTCGGAAATCACATTATAGCGGGCACATCAAAGGGCTGGATCAACATCATCGAAACGCAAACCTGCAACACCGTTCATTCTACCCGGCTATGCAACGGGGTTGTAATCCTTCTTCGTCTCGCGAGCAATGGGCGTGATCTCGTGGTTAACAGCTCAGACCGCGTCATCCGCACAATCGTCATGCCAGACTTATCACAATTAGGAGTGGACCTGGAACCCTCCAACATCAAACTCCAGGTAGAACACAAGTTTCAGGACGTGGTCAACCGACTCAGCTGGAACCACGTCTCATTCTCATCAACAGGCGAATTCATCACAGCATCGACCTTCATGAACCCGGACATCTACGTCTGGGAACGCAGCCACGGCTCGCTAGTGAAAATCCTCGAAGGCCCACGAGAGGAACTGGGAGTTGTCGAATGGCATCCCTCCCGCCCGATGGTGGTGGCATGCGGTCTCGAGTCCGGGTGTATTTACACGTGGTCCATCGTGACGCCACAGAAATGGTCAGCCCTCGCACCCGACTTTGGCGAGGTGGAGGAAAACGTCGAGTACGTCGAACGAGAAGATGAATTTGACATCCACCCTGCTGAGGAAATCCATCAACGCCGCCTCGACCAGGAAGACGAAGTCCCGGACGTCCTCACTATCGAACTCGCCGAGGGCGCTGCGGATAGCGAAACGGATACCTTCCGCATGCCCATCCTGCTTGACATCTCTGACAGCGAAAGCGAGGACGACGTCATCACCGTCGGACCGGGGACTATGCGTAAACGCAGTCCCGGTGCCGGACGCGAGTGGATGAATTCTGACGGCGCTGGTAATAACGGTAATAATACTACTGCGAGGAACGGGGCATCAAGAGGCCAGAATAAACGACGGCGATGACCTCTCTTATGGCATTACCTACCCTTTCTCCCTTTGATGACTACTGTACTATATCTTTTGCAAATACCTGGCGTTAAGGATGGAGTCGGAGTCCTATTATCGATTACAATTGCATTCAGGTCGTTTTGGTCGGATTTTTTCAAGTCAAAGTTAATTGAATTGAATGGAATCGAACTAAACTAACTTGGCGAGTTTACGAAAGAATCTAGATGGATTCAAGGGACGGTGGTCGCAGAATCGCCATTTATCCCTTCGTTATATATATTATCTACAGCAATTGGGTAGCAATAGCATATAAAGAGTATCCATATGTTATTCAACTGGATTTACCCTGATCCTCTGTCGGTACGGGGTATTCTCGGTAGAAACCAGAATGGAACCTTGGCCTCCAATCTTAATCTATATTCCTAAGAAGGGAGATATAAATGTCACTGACCTCCAAACGATTCCACCAAGTGGGCAGCTGCATATACCTACCTATCTATTCAGGGAAAAGAAGAGGATTTCTTATTTTTTTTTTTTATTATACTTTTTTTTTTTCCTGAAGTATCTGAAAGAATACCCCTTTTTGGAGCACCAGACAATAAAATGATAGTCAAGAAACAATAATCAGAACACAGATAAAATCCAGGGTATTGTAATTATACTCCACATAATATGACAGAATCAGAATGCATCGTGGACAGGGGAATTCAAGTAATACTAGGCAAAAACAAAGCCCGCATTCTCCGCGCTGCAAACAGAGCAATGTCAAAAGGGAAAAACAATTGTTGTACATGAGGCTCTAATATCGGTTCTTTCTCCTCGGTCAACTCATTGACGTGTCTGTCGTAATCGCCGTCTTGTCGGTGTTTGTCGCTTTGAGCCCACTTCGAGTGGTGGTTCGGCTCTTGTGCCCTCCGCGCTTTGTAACGTGGTTCTTGTAAGAGTAGCAACTGACGTCTCACTCGCCTATTCGGTCCAGGGGATGTGCAGAACCTGACCGTAGCATGCGCGGAATTGTGTGGATTGGTCAGATCGGCACGTGGTTCTGCCAGGACTCGACACCTTGCAAACACACGAACTTCTCCGAGATCGTTTCTCGAGTTCCAAGGAGAACCATCTGCGCGGTTGTGTTTGCAACATCAGTTCCAGTGATGCCTTGGGAGATGGGAGCGAGGCGGCGCAATGATGAAAGGATGGTAAAGCGATGTAGAGTAAAATGACAGAGGCTTCATAAGATTGAGCCTCCAAGGCCAATGATCAGAACTGCAGTCTTCGGATACATCCGGTGATCCTCAAGTTGTCGGCATTTGAGGTGTGATGGTAGTGGACGGGGAGAACCATAATGTGATTCAATTGGAAATCGGCTTCCGTGCTTGGTAGATGTGCAGGATATTGTAAGCATGGATATCCTTGTTAAATGCTTCCGATCTTACATCCGCTACGAGTCGCTTAATGCGATCCACCGGCCAGCCAAAGAAGCGAGTGAAGGGTGCAAGGCTGAAAGTTTCGATACTCTCGCAGATCGCCAGGTTGTACCAGCGGGCAACCGCCTTCTCATGCTCGTCCTGGTGCCATGGGTTCAGCGGCAGTCCAACGATCTGGTGGTCGATTTCTGTAAATCCAGCCTCCTGCAAATGGCGGATAGTCTCTCGCAGGTTATGGGCCAAGGGTCGCATGGCCTCTTCGGTGGCTTGCTTCAGACACTGGTACCAATGATGTAGAGCCAGTCCCTCCAGGGAACGATCATCACAACGAGGCTCGAAGTCTATTTCCACTTGTTCGAACCAAGCGCCGGGACGGAGATGGGCGAATATCCGACGGTAGAGGCTGGGCCAGCTCACAACGCTACCACAGCCCAGCTGCATGTGGATCAGATCCCACGAATCCTCGCCCAGCGCCCACGGGCTCTCGAAATCAAACGGGGCGTAAAAGTCGCAGTTCCTCGGGCTGTTCAGAGGCTGTATGGGGGAGAGATCCACACCCACGACAAAGGCGTCGGGATACTTCTGGGCAACGTCAATGGCCCAGATTCCCGTGCCGCAACCCAGGTCGAGGAAACGACCGTTGCGGGGGTGTGGAGAATAGATCAATGCGTCGGAAACCCTTGCTACCGTGATGACCTTATGGAAGATGTCCAGGCGATCCTGCTCCAGGTCGTCACAGGGTAGAAAGTAGATGCCTCTGCGGAAACCATGATAAATACGACCATTCTCTTCATGGCCGGGAAATGTCTCGGGGTTCCTGGAGAAGAATGAGCACAGGGTTATCTACCCGCAGATGATTACCTGGCGGGGACAGGCGAAGGGGCTGAAGGCAGGGACGTACTTATCAATCGGGGAGCCTATGTTCGAAGACGTATGGTTCGAACGGGGATGTCCTTCTGCCGGGTCTCTATCTGTGATGGCATTGATATCCATGGCATTGGAACTGCGTCTTGTCTGGGCGCTCTCATTTGGAGGCGTCCAGTGGGAATTGTGATTGAGATAGGCTGAGGCTGCTGGCAGTGGTGGCTGTTGCTGTTGCGGTCGTTGTCCAAACATCAGGCCAACGCACCTGCCTGAGCGGCTTAGATAGTGTTGGAACTGGGAGGAGGAGGAGGAGGAGGAGGAGGAGGAGGAGGAGGAGGAGAGAAGACAGGTGTTGGGGGAGGAGAAGGAGAGCAAAGAGGAAGGAAGCAGTGCTAGAAGTCCCTAGGAGAGGGGATCGGTGAGCGGTTGGGACGATGTACGGAGTACAGACAGCACGGTAGCACAGGTCGAGGAACAAGCTGAAAGAATGCGGTCAGCGGGGAGGAAAAGATAATAAAAGATAATAACAGGAAAAAGAAAAAGAAAAAGAAAATCAAAATCAAAATAAAAATCAATGTAACAATAATTTTTTAAATGGAATAAAATAAAATCAAACGAGAGGGGAAGTGCACTTAAAATACACAGGAGATACCCCAGACAGCAGGAGGGATCCTAACAGAGTCTTACAATGAGCCCCATCCAAGGGGATTACCCGGTTTTCTTATAAAACAAGGGAGAACCACCGGGCTGACAGCACCGGATCAGTGAATACATACCGGCTTACGTACGAGGTAGAAGGGAGCTGCCCTTCAGGCAACCGGACCTGGAAGGGTCTGCCGTTGAATTGAATGTTTAATTATTAACTACTGCGGGATCCAGCGGATGCAGACAAGACTCTTAACTTTCAAGGCAGCAGGGAAGGCGGGGCATGTTAGAAAGAACTTAGGCACTCTACATTAGCGTCCGAGAGCGTGTCCGTCCCAAGGGGCTTGCGGTGCAGAAAGTTTACTTGTCTTTCTTCCCTTCTTGTCTTCAGGCACCCATCTCCCTTCACAAGCTGGCGGAGCTGGCTTGGTTGCCCGAGTGCCCGGCCAGGAGACCATATGCACGATCCAAAGCATATCAACCGCGTCCATTGGCTGCGGGCGCTGGTATACGCGCACCGTCGACTTGAGCCACGCTGCGACGTACATGCGACATACACAATGATCCATGGTTAGCCAGCCTCAGCTGACTGGCTTGCCAGATGTCGCAGATGGCGCCGTGAATCCTCGCTGGCCCGCATGGACAGAACCCCTGCAGACAACACGGTCTAGATGCGTTGCAGAGAGCCTGGGAAAGCGAAGGTCTTTGTTCCATGAGCAAGAGAAAATCTTTCGTATGCAATAATACGTAATAGAATACTAATCGGACCATTTTATCTCGTGAGTGTTATGACGACAGGCTGCATTGTCAGTTCATCGCGAGCCTGTCTATCCTGGATATCCAGCCCCTATCATAATAAATATCATAATCTCGCCAATAATGGTCAGGACGATCCACTTGGCTACGCTTTCTTGCTTTTTTGCTTTTTTTTTCTTTTTGTTGCGAGAATTGAACCTGATCTCGTTTCCCATCACCATTATCTGGTTATCCATCCCAATAAACTCGGGAGATCACTGCATGGAGTATGTGCTCGGAAGGTTGAACAGCTGGCTCGCTGGGCTCAAGCAAAGCTCGAGAGCAAAGCCAGGGCAACCCCTGCATATCATCCTGGAAGATGATGGTGGGCGCAGATGATAATAATAACGACGGGCGTCTCCGAGGAACAGGAGCTGACTGCATCGTGCTTGGTAACCAACCCACCCGAATGGACGCCACCAGGGAAGCTTCTCAATTTCTAACCACACTGCCGGGCATATCACCGTCTGTGCTTCCAGGCTAGTTACCGTCATATCCATTCTCGCGCGTCTGTCGGGCGGCCTGACCACGGCGGAACCATGCCGCTGGAAATGTTGCTATGCGCTGTACGCCGTACGCTGCACGCATGCTGGATGTGCTATGCCGGACGCTGTGTGCTGCATGTTGTACACGAACCTGCACAGTCACGCAGACATCAGGCCTGGTCCAGTCATATACTATGGACGTTGACAAAACAGAATAGATCAGAACGGGCCGGTACGCTCTCTGCCGGGCGTGTTCCGTGGCAGACTCCACTGGAAATAATATTAATGATAATGACAATGATTATGATTATGAGTAACGTCATAACCCACCCCTTCGGATTGACAGTCATATTGCCAAGTTCGCTTGCATCGCAGACCATGATGATTGTTATTATTTATCAGCCGTCCGGTCCTGATTCTGTGCCGCTGTCAGTGCACCCACCTTCGAATCCTCGTCCCTGTTGCCGCTGACTCAGTTGCCCTTCCGAGCTGTTGCATCGCAGATCATGTCCTCGGTAGATATACATGGTAGTAAGTACAGACATCGTCCCATCTGAGAGGGTTCGTTCCGAGCACACAGACGTCCCAAGTTCCACCTCATAAATTATTTTAGCTTCCGCGCTACTCGCACTGTCCTTTCACAGTCTTGAACCTACGGTGGTATTTTTAGATAATAAATGTTCTCCGATAATAATAAGAGGGGAGGTTCGAAAAACTCTGCATTTTGTGAAGCACAACCCTGCTAGCACCCTATCCATTGTTCTCTACGCCGCTTCCCATGTTATTTCAATTCTCTTAACCCTCTTAATCCAACAATCCCAAGAGACACTGATCTAAAGTCCTTTCAAGGGAGACTTAGCTATACGTGTCAAGGTGCAGATAGACAAGACGTAACTCGAAGAGCTCCCTCGTGGGTCACGTGGACGGTCTGTACAGGCAGAACAGGGCTTGGGCTGGCACCGTGATAATACTGAGAGAACAAGAAGCCTTTGTACTACCATCAAACTTAACACAGATACACCGTGCTAGCACTGCATTATGCATTAGGAGGAAGTGATCATCCATAAAATATGTCGGTCTGTCTTTATTGGCTCTGTGTGAATGCGATTGAAGCCGTGCTTGCTTTGCTTGCTTTGTTTCAGAAGCCCATCCACTTGGCCATAGCACAAAGGGAGCATGCTGTACTGTCAAGAACCTTCGTGATACGTTGATTTTATTTTTCTTTCTATTTTCTTATTTTTAAGAGATGGCAGACTGACATTTTTCAGGTTTCACAAGGATAATACGATAAAGGATGATTCTCCAGGCTCTCAGATATCCAGTGAAAGTACATCGTTTCTTTATTCTCGAGGCAAGCGATGCTCGCCTAGATCACTAATCATACTTAGTATTGAGTAATTAGTACTCCGTACCATTGCCGCTTTGACACCTATCCGATCCTTGCTGAAAAAGAGCTGTCATTTTTTTCCCGGAGGCACTAAGCAGCTTTCCACTGCCGTTGGCACTGACAGTGCCGTCCCAGCAGAACTCTGACTGTGATACTACCCGATACAAGCTTCGTGGATACTAGGACTTCCAATCTCAGAAACTGATTCACCTCCCTGAGATGGTATTTACTACGCAGAGCTCCGCACAAGGTAGCGACTGCATATCGACAAGCAGTACCAACCGTTCCCGGCCTGAACAAACTTGACCCAAAAGTTCATCGTAATGACTACAGGCTACATACAAACTTCACTTTCTAGAACCGGGAAACCTCGGAGCCGCATCTAGGATCATGATGTCTCGAGTTTGGATTCTGGACAGAAAACGAGTAGCGGTCAGCTTTCACGGATCGGTTCGAAAGGAACTCGGCATTTACCTTGCCGTCTCCGACTCTACAAGGCTGTTGTAGTACTTTTTTTTTTTTTTTTTTTTTTTCGAATCCAACTCTGATCCACTATCTGAACCAATCCGTTTCGAATTGAATCTGCCAAGCTACATATCGTTGAATAGGACAGTCCCTGCACTCCACCCCGAAGTTTAGGTAGATCCATCGTAACATTGAACAGGGCCGTTCCATATTGGTTTGGTTTCGTTTGCCTCGACTTGCGTGCAACTGCTCTCGTCAGGGGATGATGATCGCATGACCACAGTCCCCATCAAGGGTTGCAACTTGAGCGAGACATTATTGCCTGGTATTCATTCCAACTATTTTCCCGGAGTCCCCCGAGTACCTTGTTATGTTTGTAGACTTCTTATCCCTTTGTCTTAAGTAACATGCGGTTCATATCCCTTGGACCCGGCCTTGCCCCCATTTAAATGATCGGGTCAGGAATCCGCCTGCGACAATAGGGCTGTAGGCGTGAAAGGCAGCGCAGAGGGAAGAGCGTGGCGGTCTGAGGCATCCGGAACCCGTCAGTAACCCTATTCACTTGAGGAATATATCCAGCGCAATTTGGGAAAAAGCCGGCCTGAAAGTGAGTATGAAAAGTGCGGACGTTCAATCTGCATTCGTCAGTCTGGCAAAGGTAGTTGTTCTATGGGAGCAGAGCCGGAAGTCTTGGCATTGGGACTTTTAAAAAAAGAAAAAGAAAAATTCAACGCTGCGTTCTGCATCCTGGCATTCCGCGAGCACAATCTTTATTTGCGGGTTATCAAGAAGACAGAGCATTCTCATATAAGAAATTGATAATTTTGTTTATTTATTGAAATTTTATCCATTTTTGAGCTCCTCGTCACGCCGAGGGAGACCTACATAAAACTTTTACGTTTGAAGGAAAAGGGAGGGAGAGAGAGAGAGAGAGACGCCAGAAAACATTCTGAAAATTCCCAAATCCAACAAACCAGCTGAATACTGCTGTATCTATTTCTACCTATTCCACACACAGTCTATCACTTCCCCCGGGATTGGATTGGACTGGATATCCAAAGTGCATGCATGTACAAGATACATGTAACAACCATAAAGAAAAAATAAAAGCAGAAGAAAGAAGAAAAGAAAAAAAAAAAGAAAATGCACACTCTCCAACAAATATCATCCTCATCCATCTCCCTCCCTCCAGAGAGTTATATATACGCCATCTCCCCGTCTTCTCCGGGATCATTTGCTGCAATTTCATCAGATGATTCCCTGCGCGTGTTTGACGCCGCTGGTGGCAGGCTGGGCAATGCATCTGTTATTTCGAAGCAGAGTCATGAGGGTGGTGTCACTGCTTTGAAGCCATATGCTGGGAAGGAGGGTCAGCAACAATCGCTGCTGGTTACTGGGGGGAGGGATGGGATGGTGAGGGTTTGGGATGCTCGGAGTCGGGATGGGAGTGCGGTTTTGAAGATAGGGACTGGTGGGTTATTCCTTTCTTTTATTTTTACTTATTATTATTATCTTTTTTGTGCCATGCTGACACATTGCAGCTAGAAACGCTCCCGTGCTGTCCGTTGCTTGCAATCCCGAGACTAGCAGTATCGTTGCGGGAACTGAACTTCTATCTTCTCAGGCTGTTGTTGCTTTCTGGTAGGAATATCTTGGCTCATATTGACCCACTGCCATACTGGCATGAGCTGCTAATTGACACCCAGGGATATCAGATCACCTAAAGAATTCCGCCTCCAGTACGTCGAGAGCCACAATGACGATGTAACAGAGGTAATCAATCCACGGAGACCAGACATGCTTTATATTATGGAATCGATCTTACTAACTAGCATTGTGAAGCTTCAATACCACCCAACTCGCAGCCATATTCTTCTATCTGGAAGCACAGACGGCCTGGTTAACGTCTACGACACACGGATCGCAGACGAAAACGACGCCTTGGTACAGGTTATCAACCACGGCTCAGTGCACCACGCAGGATTCCTCAACGACAGGACTATCTACGCCCTCAGTCATGATGAAGTCTTTTCCATCCACCCCGCCACAGACCCAGATGAGCAGAGCCAGGATCCACAGCCTGTACAGTTTGGCGACCTAAGACAGCCACTGGGTTGCGAGTATGTCGCTCAGTTGTGTTTTGGCGGCCAGCAACCATACATTGCTGCTGGGAATAAGGCGTAAGTTTGAATGAACTCTAACGAAACGAAATGAAACGTGCCCTTATGATTGAGCTATGTGCTAACAACGACAACAGGGAGAAACGACTGGATTTGGTCCCGCTCCTCTCAACCCCATCGTGGCAATTCGACCAGAATAATGTCTGGCGTCTCCCGGGTGCTCATGGCGAGGAGGTTGTTCGTTCGGTGTATCTTGATAACCAGGTGTGTTTTCTTTTTTTGATTCTGTATCATTATTACTATCCATTTGATACTGATAACAACAGTCCAATACGGTATTCACATGCGGAGAAGACGGGTTTGTCCGCGCCTGGAAACCCGACGAAGCGGGAAATATCGTGGCTACAGAAAAGTCCCCCGCGCATACTTCATCGAGTACTCCTCGAACGAAAGGAACGAAGCAGAAGGAGAGGAAAGAGAGATTCAAGCCGTACTGATTCGGGTGATTTTCCTTTCTTCCCTGTGGGATGAGTGTAGCTTGTCACATTGCGTACGGGGTATAAAATTCCTGATTTCGCTGTCCATAGATTAAACTTGACGATATTATATACACCTTACACCGTTGAGAATCCAAGCTAGAACCTCTGATTCAACAGTATCTGCCTACTAGTAGTAATAATATCTATGTATGCTCGGGCATTACTGTCTGCACTTCACCTTGAGCAACAGATAAGACGCCATGCAGATCACAAGCAGTGGTCGCCGACGGTATCTTCAAGTTTGGTGTTGCTATGGCGAAGCACTTACAATGGACCAGCCAGAGGTTCTGGGCCGCCACACACGCAGAGCTGAATGGTGCCTTTGGGTAGGAATTAGCTGATTTTGTTGAATACTACCTAGGCCGGGCTTAGTATTTTAGTGAGCGGAGTAACCGTGTACTACGAATCCTGCATATTACTGCATATGTGCTTTTTCTTGCAGTCTATGGCTTTGCGGCTGAACTGTCGGCATGAGTTTTTTTTTTTTTTTTTTTTTTTTTTGCCGGCAAAATCTGTATGACAATCTGTATCTGTGTTCGCGCTACCAAGTAGAACGATCGGCCCCTAATATGAACGAGGGAGTCTATTCAAGCGCTATAAGAAGGCATGGCTGTGGAAGTCATGGGTAATCCGAGGAACAGCGGTCGAAATTATCGTATTGTCCACTGCTACGCACAAAGTTGCCAAGCAGAGTACAGTTGAGACCAAGAGCATACCTAAGAACTTGACATGCTTGCTCGTATCCTCTGTTTCTTGAGCTTCTTGAGCCTCTTCGTGTGTCGTTGACCTGCTTACATCAGCCACTGCAACTTTGTTCACAGTGGAAGGATTTGGGACAATCTAGTTGGCAAGATACCATATATGTGAATGGGAGATCACAGAAGTAGACCCAGGGATGAAAAGTGACTCCCAGAATGAGAAGGAAATGCCCTTAGTATAGGGGGATGAGAGCGACCACTGGACGACAAAACACATAACTAGTTAACTATTGCAGTTCCCATCACAGGTCTGTTGTTTGTTCCTTTTGCTGGTTGGCAAGGGCTGTGTCACGACCTGGTCGTTCGATAGGTAGTTTAGCTAGGAAGCTCACTCGGTTAGGTCACATGTGGGACATGTGACGCACGAGAATATCTTCGCAGGTAGGAGCTGGAGCCGAATCCCTTCCTCCTCTCTCTCCCATGCTTGATATTCTCGTCGATAGCTGCCATGATAGCCAAATAGCATTCTCTATTCTATCTTGATCGAGCTCCATGACAGGCTGTAGGTCTGAGCCATTAAAAATCACAAATCAGACAGCCGAGCGAAGTGAGGCTAGAAAGGCTCATTTCCCATATGCGAAGTTCACTGCCAGGTTTACCGCCATCTGCTAAGCCGACTCCCGGTAACCATACAATTTATTACCTAGGTGAAGTCCTTCTAGCAGGAACCTCAAGCACGGCATCGTGATCGGTGTCTATGCGCTAGTTAGCACGAGGTTAAGAAGAATAATACCGTAGACCCAGAGCGGGGATTCGGAAAGTGGATTCGAAAAGGCTAATCTGGCACCAGACCCCGCAGCAATACAAATCAATACCGATACAACCAGGGATGTGGACTGCTGGATCTGCGCGGGCCGAGCCACTCCCAGCGGTGGGGAGGATGTGGTTCGAGGTCGAAACAAGATCTGCCAAAGATGCATGCAGCAGCGCTTGATCGGCTGTGTAACTGTACCAGATAAGACGCGATGCAGGTCCCCGGCAGTGGTCACTGACTGTATCTTCAAGTTTGGTGCTGGTAAAGGTAGGTTCAGAGGCTTCCTCTCCTTAGAGATCCAAAGGATTCTCAGGAAGCTACTGCAGTCTCATTCCAGGAAACAGCGCATGCCCCATCCTCCACCTTATTCCAACACCCCTAGGTCAGAGCTTATAGATTGGTCTACCTGTCAAGCCGAGGACTGGTGTGCCGGGGGCACTACGAATCCATAGGACGGCCAGCATACTCAGGTATGGTGGAGTCCGTGGCAGAAGGATACTTAAGAGAGCCTCCTCCTAGGTAGTTTCGAAGAACCAGACATACTTTCCGTTTTCAAGTTGCTTCACTAGTATCGTTATTGCCATCATCATTGTTGTTGTAGTACGGAGCTCGGCTCCATTGTCGTTGCCCTCTTCCCTTCGTTATATTGTTCGTTCCCTTACTAAATCGTTCCGCACCGCGTTGTATCGCGGCATCGTTTCAGTGCATCCATCTAAATACTGAAATGCTCTAAACCTGAAATGGCAGCAAGGTCAGCTGAGCTCAAACCAAGTCTTGGTAGCTGACTAGTACCAAGGCCAGGTCAGGTATGGTCCTTAGCGAGGTCAGGCCAACGGTATCCTGCCTGCAATTATTGACAGGATCGTGCAGTTATTTCCATTTTCGGGTATTAATGGTCATGTGATCAAAATATCCGGAACAGAAGAAAGTCCGCTTCCGTTCCAGATTAGTAGCGTTGTCTGCCTGTTCCTTTCCTTCTGTACTCTGCGTAACTAATCATCTAATGCTGATGAAATACTCAAAGACCAATGCATCATTATATCCACCGAGGCTGACAAATTCACCCTTGCTGGGATTTAGTGTGGAAATAAGTGGGAATTTGCCCATATAAATCTGAAGATATCTGCACTAACTTGGTCTCTCTAGTCTCTCCCTCTATATGCTGCTCTTTTGTTCCCCTTACTACGTTGCATTAGGGTCTTTACATTTTGCCAACATGTCGACAATACCGGAGTGTGCCATGTTGAATCTATACAAGCGCAGTCCACTTAATTAAGCAGAGCTACCTACGAGTAATCAGCCTCCTTATATATTCCCATAGATGCCTAACCAGGCAGTCCTTACTGCCTCAATATCGTGCTCCATCCGGCCTAGAAGGCTGTAGCAGGGAACTGCATACGAATATGGCCTTAGCACCGTACAGCTTCAACAAGCCAAAGGTATCAAAGTGCAAACAACCGTATATTAGTCTTGGATAGACGGCGCCAAAGACGGGAAAGGGGAAATTAGACCCGATACGCAAAAGAAAAGCAACGGGAAACGAGGATTCTCACATGGAATTATATTAAGAGTGGGCTGAGGAGAAGACAGCAGAAATCTCCCAGATGCTCCCGGGAACTAGACGACTGGGATTCAGCATCCAAGGTGTCAGTTGGACACATTCTTATGACAAGAGCTTTGTGGATGTTTCACAAAGCCAAGGGATTTTGTTGACCTCACAAAGCTTTATTTGTCTACATACGGAAAGTTATCCCATCTTGTTCTCATGCAAATGACGAGCCAGGACAAGACTCCAGCGGTTGAAGGGTGTGTATACAACATGCAGACTCCACAAAGGACGGCTCTCTTGGCCAAACTCGCATAGCTCATCGATACAAGCCAGGCTCATGCGGCATTTTGAGTCTGTCTGCAGCTCTGTGACATCTCAAAAATGAGAGAATTCGTTGATGAGGCAAGATCTTCACCCAACTTCATTTTTTCTTACTGATGGAGAATTCCTCAGGGTGCAACCATGCTTCGGATTGGGCTGTGCTGGGGTAATAGGTTAAGACTTGTTATTAATTGCTGTCTTGTAATTCATAGACTGGGAAATAGTAACACTAATGCTTGTAGCTTGGTTGATGGGAGTTTTTTAGACGGGATCATAGTTAACTAGTTATATCGCAGTTACTTAATCCCATAATAGTTACTCCGAGCTCCGTCGATTTATCTCTTTTTTTTTTTTTTAATTTTAATTTTAATTTTTTTCAAATGATAATGAAAACCTGCATAACATCCTCTTCCCTATATCATTTATTCTAATACCTCCCTCAAAATAAATACAAAGCAAACACAAAAGACGAAATGACATAGAATCGCACCTACTGAAAATCTCGACAGAAAACAATCCATCCCTTATCGCACCTCCAGCCAAAAAACCACACGCACACCCAACACCAACCCCCAAAAAGAAAAAGAAAAAAGAAAAATGGATGCCCAAGCCTACCTAATCCGCCACGGCTGGTCCGGACCCGGCAACCCTCTAAACCCCAACAGCAAACACCACCCACACGGCGGCCTAGGACTAACGCGCCCGATCCTCGTATCCCGAAAGAACAACAACCACGGCGTGGGCAAGAAGACGACCAAGGACCCAACGAATCAGTGGTGGCTGCGTGGCTTCGAGGATGCGCTGAAGGGTGTAGGTAGCGAACAGCGGGATAATGGCGGTGCTTCATCGGCGAATGCGTTGACGAGTGAGCTTTACCGGTTTTTTGTGCGGGGAGAGGTTTTGGAGGGGACTATTCGGCGTGAGTGCGGACATGGACAAGGGGCAGAAGGAGCTATGGGGGATAATAATGATGGGGAGAAGTCTGGGAAGGGGAAGAGGAAGAGGGTTGATTCTGATGATGAGGTGAAGGAGGCTAAGATGCGGAAGAAGGAAAAGAAAAGGGAAGACAAGAAGAAGAAAAAAGACAAGGAGGGAGTTTCATCTGAGCGGTGTTCTTCAGATGAGGCCAGCAAGGAGGATAAAGAGGAGCGACGACGGAGAAGAAAGGAGGAAAAACGGAAGAGGAAAGCAGAGGATAGCAAGGACGGCTCGAAAACAAAGTCATCATCGAAGACTGAGAAAAAGAAGAAGGAAAGGCGCCGGAGAAAGGAAACTCTCATATCTGCTGAGGCGGATTATCCGACACCAGCATCGACAGAACAGGAACAGACGGATTCCAGTGGACAGGACGAGTCGGCAGCAATAGGAAAGACTCTGAAGGAGAAGAAAGACAAGAAACACAAGAAGGAATCCAAGAAGAGCAAGAAATTAAAGACAGACGAAAATGCCGACCCCGGACTAAGCACGAGCAAGGAGCCCAAGAAGGCAAAGAAAGACAAAAAGGACAAAAAGAAGAAATCCACCTCGGATTAGGTCTGGTCGACGGTTATATTTGTGCTGTATACTGCACATTGCAACATGCATATATTTTCATTATCCATAGAATCTTGATACCCCAATTCATGACTGTTGTCGAATTGCTCCGTGTCTCAGCTCAGCGCAATGATATCAGAAGAAGGAAACTCCCAGTCAACCATCTGCTGGCAATTTACCGGGCTTATTGGAAAGAATCCAAGGCCTTCTCTCCCAGAACTCATCCTTGATGATATCCACATGATCAACCACGACCTGCGCCTTTCGGCGCAACTTCCTAAGCTTCTCCTGCTGAGTTTTGGAAGACTTTGCGTCTTGTGCAAACCCAGTTTCCGCTTCCTCTAGGCTTCTTTCTTGTGTGCCGCTGGGATCTGGCCTGTGTCCAGGTTCCTCTAGTTGATACTGATCAGGATGAAAGTGAGTGTCGAGATACCTCCGATATCTGGGATGAAGGGGGAACTTACCTGACGGTAAACAACGCTGCCCTTCTTATAAATTTCGGGCTCGTTATTATAATTGATCCCGAATCTTTTAAAGAGGATCTCGTTTTTGTCCGAAGATACGGTTCCCTAGTATTTCTTCCGCGTCAGTAACCCAACCGTTTCTAAGAGAGATAACAGTGGCGCAGAGTTACCTTCAATTCAAGCTCTGCATCTGTGTTGCTCATGCCGCCTTTCTGGACCATGGTCCAGAAAGTTGTATTATAAAGATTATTGATGTGACCTGCATAGGCAATGTTAGACCAGGCAATGATACATATAGGAAGACATCGATGCCATAGAAACATTGCGAGACATTTAAAGCAGATAAAAGAACATACAATCAACCTGTCTCCAACTCATATAATCTCTCAAGTTCCAAATAGTCGGATACACGACCGCCCGTCCATCAAAGGAGGGTAAGTACGGCGGCTCTAGAGGGGTGCCGGGGAAGTAGGTATCCCATTTAAATATATAATGAGCTGTAAATGTAGACACAATAGTCGTAACAAGTTTTCTAACTCTCCAATTAGCCAGCCAGATTATACATACGACCTGCAGGAAATGGACGGGGGAGCTTTTCGAACTTACGCACTCCGCCGTTCAAAAAGTTGACAACTTGGATGGAATACGAAGCTAATTAATTAAACCCATGATAGAGTTCAGGTTAGCATATCATATCACAGGTATAAAGAGGCATAAAATCCTCATATAGATGAATGAACGAGAGCGGAACAGACCTATACTCATCGCTGACTCCGTAGGCGATGTTCAGATCCGGAAGTTCCTTCATCACCTCAACAGCTGCATTATTCATCAGATCCAATGCGCGACGGTCATTGGGCTTTTGGAAGCAATAGCGATCTGAGAATCTAGGACTAATGTTAGTCGCGTTTAATGAACCTGATGATTTCCGCAGCAGTTCATTGTCTTCTACTGCGATAGACGCGAGTCGTGGCAGTACAAAGATCTAAATCGATGGCACGTATGAAGAGACAGAAAAACAAATACTCAAAGCAGTACAAATAACTAACCTGTGGAAGCCTCTGCCATCAATCCGGACTACAATCCACGTATTTGGGAGCAAGACGTCGGGCTGCTCAAATTGCTTGACATACTCGAATCTTGTTTATTAATCAATTGCCAGAATCAGCAAAATGCAAGAATGAAAGAAAAATCGTCTATAGATATATATGAAATACATACTTTGAATTTGCCATGGTAATGCATCAACCATAAGAGGGTTGGAGGGGATAGATAGTAGACATTGACAATAAAAGAGGATGAATAATTTCTACGGAACCCGTGACTACTCGTGCCCCATGCCCTACTACATAACATCACTCTACAATGCTATTAAGAATATAGCTTATATGTTAATCCACATTAATATATAATCTAGTTCCCCATAAAAAGCTGTAATATAGCATGTAGTACTGATTACCATTTCATTGCATATTCAGCTTTACCTGGCTTATGCTCCAAGCGCTTTCGGCTCTTTTTCATCAGGTCAAGCCTTGGCGCATTTGCCCACAACTATCTAGAACATCAATGATAACTAGGCTCCTTAAAGGATGTGCCAATGTACTCATTGGGATGGCATCTCTCGCCGTCGTTGGTGGTGGTTCCTTTACCTGTGTCGTCTGTTAGGTGGGCTTGTCTCATTCTTCTTCTTTTCTCAGTAGCTGATGTCCCGTTTTAAAGTGCAACCGCAACCTCGTCAAAGGCAAAGCGGACTGGCGTCCATCGTCAGTCATGGTCATGGCCATGGTCATCATCACTTTTAAGCTGTTCATTTGTGACATGAGCAATGCAGCAGCTGCAGGCCAGTCTCAGTACAAGGGTAAAATATCTGTAGAATGGATATAATCAAGTCATTGTATTTGATATACAAGATTATATATAAAAGAGTATACTTAATAAAGTTGATTTGACTTTCTGGGCAGCCCGTAAGCGCCAGAAGTTTATAACTAAGTAGTTAACTATTGGATCCACATGTAACTTACATAATACAGCTACGTCTTGGATAGTTAACTAACTAGCTAACTATAACCGAAAGGCTTACAGAGGAAAGAGGACTCAAGGAAACAGGATTTTGCTATTGTCTGACTCGAAAAAAAGAATTAGCAAAAGAAAACCACCCAGGAAACTTAGTGCTATGGCACATTCATGGTCCGTGATTGGACACAACAAACGTGTATGGAAGGAAATACCAAACTCGAACGAGTGACGGTGCTGATCCCATCAAACTGGGGTAGCCTCTTCGGTGATATCCTCATCGCCAGTTTCGCTGGCCCTTTCACTGGACTCGCTAATAGACTTGTTGGATTTCTTGGACTTACGACCAAAAAAACCGAGACTGCTCTTGCTTGACTTGTCCACCGACGGGGTGCTTGAAACGATACTATCCAGGCTTCTACCGAGCTGTGCTTCACCGCCTGCGTCGTCAATATCGCTCAAGGATGGCTCTCCCTTCTTGGAGAAGAGGCTCGAACGGTCCTTCCATGACCCAAATTTTCCGGAATTACCCTTCCTGGTAAGTTTGCGAATGAACGACTCTTTTGAACTAGAGTTGTCCGCAGAAGTGCCAGAAATAGACCTCTCTAGAGGATTGTGGTCACCATTCAATGAGTGAGATTCCCTGGAATCACGATGCTTTGACGGCAAACTGATGTCAGACAATGAATCCTGATCGTCATCGTCCTCTTTGCCTTTGTCCCTATCAGACTTCTTGCCGAAGACTGTCTTGAAAGAAGGAGCCGCAGGATTCAACTTAGGTGTGACTGGCCTATGAGACGAGGATGGACGTGTGCCAATGGGTGCCTGTAGAGGACGTGCTTGTTTCTCAAATGGATCTTGCATAAAATCCGGTTCTCCAGTGAGTCCCAATGGCAGATGACCTGTAGACCCATATTGCATAGATGGTCTACGAGACTGGGCTCTTGACCAAGCGGAATGCGAAGTCCAATCTAACCCAAGTGGACTCCGGTGACCAGTCCTCTCTACCGAAGGCCAACCGAAATACCGGTTATCTGTTGAAGGGTGTGGCAGCTGATTATCAATTGACGTCGAAGAAGGTCTCTGTGACAGCGAGCCGCGTCGAACTGGGCCCAGAATATATGAGGGATCGATGGGATCATGTCTTGGGCTGAACTGATTGTAGCCGGCACTCAGATCCAGACGGTCATTTGGCTTCAGACTGCTAGTGCCACCAAGGCCAAACTTGCCTGCTGAGAAGATACTCGAAAGAGCAGCACGTCGAGAGTGCAGATGGTCAGATGAGCTGTCAGCAGTGACACTGGTTCTGCTGCTCCTTGGGAGTACCAGTGATGGATGTCCTAGATCGCCAGTAAAACTTGATCTACGACGTCTAGATCCAATAGGCTCCATCTCATCTAGATTCCTTGGAAATGACTGGCTTTGTCCTGGCTTCAATGTTCCAAGAAGAGGGGGTTCATCTGCGAGTGTTTTCCCACGCGGGCGATTAAAGCCAAAGAGGCCGTAGAGTCTCCGTGATGCACTCTTTGGAGCATCTTCTGTGACGGCCAAATTGGCGGACTGAGAATCATTATCTTTGGCTAGCTCTTTCTCCCTTGGGCTGGCGAATATGCTTGCAGGTCGACTCCCCGGCGATTCTGGTGAAGCCTCGGTATGTGGGAAGCGTTCGAGTGTGTCTGAAGGCTCGGCTTTGGGAAACCGAGAATGATTAACAGCCCCAGGAAGTTCCGGCGATTCCTCGTCACCAAGGAGATCCGATGGCAAGAGCGCATCAGCACGTGGACTCATCGGGGTATTGCTGAAAGATAAATCCAATTCTCCTCGCAAAATTTCTGGCGGATCAGGTAGTCCTGGTAGAGTCATCACATTGTTGATATTAAAGAAAGCTGGATTTGAGGCAAAAGTGGGTGAGTTGGTTGAGGCAGGGTTGAAATTGACGGCATTTTGAAAAGAAGATTCGACCGTAGGGAAATTAACCGGAGAAGAAACATTGCTGGCAAACGATCCGCGGTGGCGACCAGGACGGAGTGTGGCCGTATTCGAGAGATCCAAGTCTACGGTCGGTAGGGAAAACGACCTAGAAGTGGGGGGCAGCTGGGATGTAAGCCACTTCATGTGGTCCTGGGCTTCTTGGTACTGCTGCTGGGCCTTCCAACCATGTCAGTATTAGGCATTAGACCTTTGAAGGGCAGTAAAATAACATACTTGTGCATGAAGGCTCACGAGGGACGCATATCTGGCTTGTAGGTTCCCCAGCTTAATATCCCACTGCCGAGCTCGCTCATTATCGATGCGATCGAGCTCGTTGCCATCCTCGTTGTCTCCGCCTTGTAGCTTCTTCCGTTCCTCTTCAAGCTTCTTGATGCGCCCACCCTTATCCTGAATCTGATCGTCAAGCGTTTTCATTTGCGTCTGCTCCTTGGAGATTTTCTCACGAATCTGATCTGCTCGCTTTTTGCCCTCTTCTTCCACACGTGACTTCTCCTTCTTCGCCTGCTCAACATCTTTGGTCATCTTCTTAACTTGATCTTGCCACCGATCAATATCGTTCTTGCGTTTATTGCGTTCCGCTTCTTTCTGCTGAATGAGTTTCTCTCGCTTGGTCCTCTCGCTCTGCACCGTTCGGTTGACCGTTTCAAGTTTATATACTTGCTTCTTCAAATCTCCACTAGCCTCATCCTTCTCCTTCACGCGCTTCTTCAGTTCGTCGCGTTGCTTTTCTAGCTCCTTCAACAACGCGAAGTGCTCTTCTTCCTCCTCGGCAGCCTGCTTGTCTAGGGTTTCGTTTTCGTGTTGCAGAGACTTTAGCCTTTCAGCAAGCTGTTCCAAGGTCTCATCGGTATCATCGCTGGATACGTTCTTCTGTATATCGCTTGCTTGCCCATGGAAAAGATCCACCCCGCTTGTCGCAGGGGAGATTTTTCGTCCGGCTGGGGTTCGCTTCGGTTGTAGCTGACCTCCACTGTGCTCACGAGCCATCAGAGGTGCAGATGGAGCGGCGAGACCAGCAGTAGATCTCGGGATCGACGCTCTAATCGTTGGTCCACCAACCGCCGCATTCTGCTGGATCTGGGACAAGGGGAGAGATTTCGTTCGCACATGGAGAACAGCGCTGGGTGTCTGAAAATTGGCAGCGCTGATAGAGAAAACGCATATATGGTATATTGTCCCCGGAACCAGGTTTAAAATTTCTACTGCGGTTTCCGCCCTTCTCGATTCGCCCACTGGGGACTGTCAGCACTTCCTGCGCTAATCCTAGCCAAAGAACAGATGAAAATTTCCGAATTACCCTTGCTTCCATTTACTTGGATAATATGCTTGTAAATCGAGTTGTAGAAATCGGGTTGTTTCCAGGCAATGCGGATTTCACGAGCTGTGACCTCTTCTAGTGTCACATCGGGTGGCGGCGGAATGTCTAGGCCGAGTTTGTCGACCAAGACATCGTTAGGAGTTTGGCAGACCTGCCACGCACGGTAGAGTAACCTTTTAGGAACAAGTTAGAAATGCCTGACCCAACCGCTGGTATAACGGGACACTCACCAAACCAGAGCCCAAAGAATGGACACAGCCAGGAAGAGAGCCATGATGCCTCGTACCCTCACTCGTGGAATTACGGGAGGGTAGGCGTCAAAGGAGAGATACAAGGGCTCATACATCCCAGCGTCAGATCCTCATTGACGCTGGAGGATGATGGGCAACAGAGGAAGCAAATCTTCTTCTGGGAAGCGGAGTTCGAGTGCTTCCTCAGTCGCAGTAGTGGGCGATCCTGGCTAACCGCTTCGGGAATCGGGATTAGTTAACTAGTTAATTCACGTGATGGCAGAGACCCTGATTAGGTCATACGGACTATCCATGATCCGGGGTCCCTCCTTTGGGCCTAGCGTGAATAAACTGGCGACCTGACGTATGCAAACATGCGAAACACTCTTCCGGCAGATCCCTGCGGCGCTCTGAAAACAGTTGAGGCTGGCTTGTTGGGCGCGTCACCTACCTTCGTTGCTTCTGTCTTGTGTGGTTCCGCAACGTGTCCTCGTCCAGTGTTGCGCCATGCAGTACGTTAGGAGCATCAGCGGCTCCGTTTCGAAGACATGGAATTCCATCAACCCAGCAACCTTAAGCGGTGCCATTGATGTGATTGTCATTGAGCAGGAAGATGGTCAGCAGAGTCATTGCACTGTGTGAGCTCTATACTCATGGTTGGACTAGGAACTCTCGCTTGCTCGCCGTTCCATGTTCGATTCGGAAAGTTCTCGCTGCTACGCCCGTACGAAAAGAAGGTACCCTCTTCACACTTTTGTCTAGGGGCTCTGGCATTTAGCTAAGTTGTCCAGGTGGAGTTCAAAGTCAATGGGGTTAAGCAAGACTATGCGATGAAACTGGGTGAGGGCGGAGAGGCTTTTTTTGTCTTCGAGACAGCGGATGACATTCCCGCTTCGTTGCAAACCTCGCCTTTGGTATCTCCGACAGGAAGCCCAACACAGAGAAGCGAGGAGAATCTTGCATCGTCCCTCCAGGAGCTGGAATATTTAGATCTCGACAGAAATACTGGTGGTGTTAGCAAGGATGACACAGGCATGTCTCCAGCGATATCCATACCGCTGAGGGGGTCCCGGTCGGCTGGTGATCTAGGTTCGTTACAAAGCCTCGTTCCTTATCATAGATTGATTACATTTTGCTCATAACGTATACAGGGGCCACTACTTCCTTGTCATCACCGGGTAATTCAAACGAAAGCAGCTCCTATGGAAGCGAACCGGCGAGATCTGACCATGGACTGTCGGAAAGCGTGCCATCGTCAAAAGTTTCTTCGATAGGTGATGGTGGAATAGTGGAGGATTCTCATGGCGCAAGTGACTCTTCCCATCGAAGGAATCGCTCCCAAAGTCCCCCACAACTGTCTGCGCAAGAAGCCGTTTCCCGTGCAATTTCACTCTCCAAGAAGCTGTCTATATCGAATATCCCATCTCACGTCACTGAGACAGGAGATCTGATGCTTGACATGACTGGCTACAAGAGCAACGAGGATGATGCACTCCGGGCGGAGATAATTGCGCGCAAGATCCTCGCCGAGGAATTGGAAGGCAACTACGATATTGGGGCTCTTATTGGCGCTGACGAGCACGGTAATCTGTGGATCTACAGCAGCGAGGAAGCCAAGGAGGCTGCCAGCCGCAAGGCCACCCTCGACTCGCTGAGGGCGAAACCTGCCGTGAGCGACGACACGGTCTCAGATCCTGGATATCACAGTGAAGGTGAAACAACCGTCTCTGACTCTCCGCTAATGGCAACAAGGCACTACCGTGCTAAGTCTGATCTTCAGACTGGATTTCCAACTCCACCGCAGTCGCCGATGCAAGGCTCCCCTGCATGGGAACCGAATCGCAACTACGCGAAGACGTTACGTCTGACTAGCGATCAACTGAAAGCGTTAAATCTAAGAGCAGGCGCCAATCCTATGTCATTCAGCGTTAACAAGGCTACTTGTACTGCCACCATGTACCTGTGGCGTGGTGATACTCCCATTGTCATCTCTGACATTGATGGTACTATCACAAAGTGAGTCCTTGCTTTTATTCCTTTTCTCCTCCCCTAGATAGATTTATCTAACACACGCAGATCTGATGCGCTAGGACATGTCTTGAATATGATCGGACGCGATTGGACGCATGCTGGAGTGGCAAAATTATATTCTGATATCGTGAATAATGGCTATAATATCATGTATCTCACGAGCAGATCCGTCGGACAGGCAGACACAACCCGGGCCTACCTCTATGGCGTCTGCCAGGACGGTTATAGGTTGCCCAAAGGACCAGTTATCATGAGTCCCGACAGGACAATGGCGGCGCTCAGACGCGAAATCTATCTAAGAAAACCTGAGGTCTTCAAGATGGCGTGTCTTCGCGACATTCTTGGGCTCTTCGCAGGGAAGGAGAACCCATTTTACGCAGGATTCGGAAATCGGCTTACGGACGCATTGAGCTATCGATCCGTCAACATACCCTCGGCCAGAATCTTCACGATCAATTCTAATGCGGAGGTATCTTTGGACCTTCTTAGCCTGACCAAATACAAGAGTAGCTATGTTTCCATGAGGGAACTAGTTGACCATTTCTTCCCCCCTGTCAAGCTCCTTGTCCAGCCAGGAGGAGAGGAATTCACCGACTTCACCTATTGGAGAGACACACCAAAGGATCTTGAGAACTTCTCGACTACAGATAGCGAAGAGGAAGAAGATGAGGAAGAGGAAGAAGACGAAGAAGAGGATGATGACCTGGACGCCGAACTCAGTGACGAAGAAGCTAGTGATTTTGATGACAATGACGATGAGGATGCACGTGAAGGTGAAGACCTTGGTGCGAGCTACTTTTCACAAGGCTCTGTAGATACAAACCTTGCAGGCTCCATTCTTGAATCCGTTGTGGACGACCAAGGTATCGATTCAGAGGAAGTGGGAGGTGGGGATGGTGAAAGAGGCTCTCAGACCGGGCAGCCGAAACCGTCTTCTTCATCACGCTTGCTTCGTTCGAGTACAGCCTGAGTTCGACTGCAATCTCCACATTCGCAAGTTTATTGAGGCATTTGCGCCTCCAGTCTGCCATTTCCAGTTACTGGTCTCTTGGCGACCAGGTTGGATTCATATACCCCTTGATCTTTAGCATGCTTTTGCAGTGATTCGCAGTACATTTGGCACAATTCGGTGGCTTTAGCCCAACATACCAGCATAGAATTATAGGCGTCTATACTGGCCATGAACGTGGCCCATCTTTTGTTCACTTCTGGTTGCATAATGGCGTTTATCTGCATGTTATAAGAGAGGGAGATGCATAATGCATAATACATGAGATAGTTTGATTCTCCTCGGGCGTGTGGCATTCAGGGAAACTCCTCTTTTTTTTATTGTTTTTGGTTTAGGAAAGGTGCTCAAGAATGTTGGACACACAGTTCGTATATAGTCGTGTTTATCTTCCAGCGGGATTGGAATTGGGATGAGCGTTCGGGTTGTTGGTAGCTCTTTGAATGTGACTGGATTTCTTCATTTAAACGGACATGAGATCTTGCAAGTTCAGTTATATTCTGGTAGTAACAAAGAGAACCGTCGTCTAGCTTTCAAGAAACGGTGTCCCTTGTATCACTCCATCCTGCAGGGAAGCTATAAATTTGCTGGGTGAGGCTTGAAAGCGGCCGGCTTTCAGGATTGTCTTTTGCTCAATGCATTTACGCAGAACAGTTGCTATCGCCATCAAACACATTTGGCCAACAATACAATCAGTTTGGCCTTCTTCACTTACAAACTTGGGATGGGACTTCTTGCTCTGTCACCTAAACCACTCCTCTGACAGAAGCGTGAAGGATATGCGAAGCTACTGGGCTCCTCACCCGCTAGCAACCGCCGTATCACCTTCCATCCTCTCACCCAGCACCGCATCCTTCATTCCTGCGCTCTCATCCTCGAAAAAAGAAAAAATCTAACAATGGCATCTCCGACGCAAATGCAAACTTCAGCGTCCGCCACACAACCTCTCACCCCTCCAGCCGAACCATCAACAAACAACGTCGCGTCGCAACCCAACGCCAACAATCCTACAACTCTACCCCAACCACCACAAGTCCCGGCAACGTCTCTCAGAGACAGCGGTAAGTCCCGCCGCCCGCGAGATGTACGCTTGATCCACCTCCTCCTCGCCTCTCTTGGCGTCACCGCATACGAAGAACGAGTTCCGCTCCAACTGCTCGATTTCGCCTACCGCTACACATCAGGCGTCCTCCAGGATGCCGTCCATCTCTATACAGAAGGGTACGCGGGGGCAACAGGTATAGATGCCGCCCATAGCGTCGGTAGTGGTCGCGGACCTCTCGAAGTGAATTCCGTCACACTCCCGGCTCTACGACTAAGCATAGCCTCCCGACTGCATTACCAGTTTCAGACGGGCTTGCCGAAAGAATTCTTGATGGATGTTGCGGCGGAACGGAATAGGGTTGCTTTGCCTGGTGCTATGAGGGGGTATGATTCTGCGGCTAGCGCGGCGCGCACGCCTCAGAGTACTGTGATGGCTGGGATGAGACTCCCGCCGGAGCGGTTTTGTTTGACTGGTCTCGGGTGGAATTTGAAGGAGGGTTGGGAGAGTGAGGGTGAAGAAGAAGTGACGGAGGAGACTCAGGTGACGGCTGCTGCTGACAATGGGGATGCTGGTATTGAAGAGGAGGATGATGAGGATGGGAGGATGGAGGATATTTTTGGTGAAGATACTGTTATGGGCGAGGGTGGAGAAGATGGAGGAGATAAAGACATGACGGATATCTAGGGGAATCCGTGTGGATTCAAGGACTTTTCTCTTCTCTCTCGGAGGGGAGAGGAAATTGCCATAAATTGGGCTTGGTAGGGCTGTCTTGAGATACTGTTCTTTCTCCCAGGCGAATGAACCCCAAGTCTTCGTGTCCGAGTCGAGAAAACATCACTTGCTGGCCGGGCCCGTATGGATGTCAAAGGGGGGAAAGAACTCAAAAAGGGAGTTAAGGCGCAAAGGAATTGACACCAGGACATGGTATCCTTGGGAAGGTGGAGATTTCGCATTTTCATTTTCAGGGCTTTCATGGAGCCTAATGTACATATATAATTCTAACAACATGCCATGGCCTTTTGAAGGGAGGGCAGAGATGCAAGGTACCCTCTTGTTGAAACAGAAAAATCCAGAAAAAGACGCCAGGTAAACTCCACAACCCGATGCAAAAGGAAGAAAGAGACGAGTAGAAAGAAAACCCAAACGGGCACACCGGTTTAAACCCAAATGTGCAGCTAGAAGAACCACCAAAGGAGACAAATTCACCTCCCAGCAGTCTTCTCGTTCCTCATCATATCAATGACCTCCCGTCTCCTCTTCTCAACCTTCGCAAGCTCCTCCTCCTTTTCCCGTCTCCGCTGCTCAAATGTCGCGAACCACTCCTCCCGAGCCCGGTCTTCTTCCTCCGGCTTCGCATGGGCAATCATGCACGAGTTCATGGCGAGTCGTTGATCCCGACATACCCACGTCGCTGTGACAGTGCGGTTTACGGCGCAGTCGGCGAAGGCTGTTCATGACAAAAGCATTTATCATTTAGCAGTTTGTATTAAAACTTGTTTGCGCCATGTCCAACTGAACTTTAAGATCCCGGAGTGGAGCAAGGTAATTTAAGAAGGGGAAGAAGACATACCCTTAATCTCTGGAGCACATAGACCTCGCACGCGTTTATAGTAGAGCTGTTTGACTTCTGCTTCTTGCGTGGCGGTTAAGGGGAGTGGGTTGCGGAGGTTGTAACGGGTTTGCGGAGTTTGGGACGCTGAATCCGTCGATGTTGTTGTTGTTGTTGCCATTGTGGGATTTTCGGACGATAGACTGATCCGCGAGATGCTTTTTTGAAATGGATGCAGTGTGGTATGGATCTTTTTATTCGAGGTTCTCTCTGGTGAGTCAATGAATTGAACTGATCTGAAATCAAATCTGGTGCCTGGTGGATTGTTTTTGATGCACGATAGCAATTGCAATGACTGGTATTTCCCGTTCACAGTTCAAAAAAAAAATAATCAAGAGATGATGCGAGGAAGGAAATATATCGTGGATCAATTGCGATTGATAGCCCAGCCTGCCTGCGCGCTGGAGTTGACGTTAGCGGCGGTTTGGCGTGAGGCTAATTAGGATGTGCCTGTTCCTCCGCCCTTCTCCCGCGGAAGCTAGATGATATGATGCCTTAGGTGAGCACGTCTCTACATGCTTCCAGGAAAACTAGAATAATATGACCGGGCTGGAAAGTAGACTACTGATGATGGCCTGCGCAAGGCAATTCAGTTGGATCTCTTTATACAAATCCACAGTGCAAGTAAGGACTCATACAGAACCTATTCATTGATGGGAATCGCATCCGAGTGCAAGGCGGTCGAGTGCGGCAGAACTATCATATCACCAAAAAAATTACCAGAATCAAAAGACATCAACGACTCCATTCGAAGAGGAGCTTTTTCTTCCTCACAACACAACCTAATTTATTAAAAAGAGGCAATCTATTTCCGTCAATTGCGCACTGTATTCTAATCTATCCCCCCATTTCCCATTCCTTCCATCCCACACAAAATGTCGTCCTTACGCAACGCCGTCCAGAGACGGCAACATCGCGAACGAGGACAACTCGAAGGCAGAGAGAAATGGGGTATCCTAGAAAAGCACAAGGTAACTTCATTATAATTCTCTTTTAAAAAAATACTATCTAATCCGAAAAAAAAACATAACAGGACTACTCCCTCCGAGCAAAAGACTACAACACCAAAAAAGCCAAACTAAAGCGCCTCGAAGAAAAAGCCCGCAGCCGCAACCCAGATGAATTCGCCTTCGGGATGATGTCCGAGCGGTCCCGTGTCAAAGGCAAGCATGGTGCGCGGGACTCCGCTGCGGCGCGCGGATTAAGTCATGATGCAATCAAGCTTCTCAAGACGCAGGATGCCGGATACCTACGTGTAGTTGGGGAGCGGATACGAAGGGAGAAAGAGAAGATCGAGCGGGATATTCGACTTCAAGAGGGGATGCAGGAGATTTTTGGCGAGGATGAGAAGGATAATACCAAGGATGACAACGGTGACGATGATGACTCTGATTTTGATTTTGACTTTGATGATGAGAAGAAGAAGAATAAACCGCGGAAGCTCGTGTTTGCAGATTCTCGGGAGGAGCAGAAGAAACTGAAGAAGCAGATCAGGGATGAGGAGGATGCTGATTCCGATGACAACAAAGACGAAGATGAAGGCGACGACTCCTTTCTAAAACAGCTGCAGAACCAGAGCCGGAATCAGAATCAACAGAGGAAATCCAAGAAGCAGCTCGAGGCCGAACGACAGGCTATCGTCGAAGCTCGTCGAGCGAGGAAGTTGAAGAAACGAGCCACTGAGGCGAGGCGGAATAAGCTTGCCGCGCTCACGAAGCAGTACAACGAGATCGTAGCTGCGGAGCGGGAGCTGGATTGGCAGCGAGGGAAGATGGATAATTCTGTTGGAGGGACGAACAAGAACGGGATCAAGTGGAAGATCCGGGAGAGGAAGAAATGAAATAACCTGGTGCGCTTGATGATTTGCTTTAGCTTCGTGGTGTTCGGTTGATGAACATGATGGCTATGCTTTCTTTCTTTTTTCATCCTTTCGTTCTATTCTGTCTCGTCCTGGTTCGATGGTCGAGGTACTGGGCCAAAAAGGTTTGGGATATCGGAATACGTGCTTTTTCTGTCTGCATGCAATTTTATAGACATAGACTACACTCCAACATTACTACCATATTGTGACGCTAAGGTCGATTGTCTTGGAATTTTGGCCCGAAGAGAATCGAATAAAAAAGAAAACAAAATGACCATCCATATCATATCTATAAACCAGCTCACCCATAACTAGATCTATAAACACTTTTCATGCCTGACTCTTTTTATACTCCGCAACCCGTATAGTGACTGCTCGCTTGTGAGCATCCAAGCCTTCAACCGCAGCGAGCTGTTCAACTGTACTGGAGAGGCCAACCAATCCTTCCGCGGTAAGGTTGGAGCTCGTGATGTGCTTGACGAACGAACCCAAGTTGACGCCAGAGTACTGCTTGGCGTAGCCGTAAGTCGCTATAAGAGATAGACAGTCAGCTATGCAATAACACTTGAAATGCCAGGCCGAATGCAGCAGGAAAAGTGTATAATGGAGGGGAAGGGAAAACTTACGTAAAGAATGATTGACACCGGCGGAGTAATCACCCACGCTCTCAGGAGTCCATGGGCCAATAAACACACTACCGGCATTCTTCACGAGGTCAACGACGGACTCCGCGTTCTGAACTTGCAGAATCAAGTGCTCAGGGGCATATTCGTTGCTCAGCTCCATTGCTTCCACGATATCCTTGACAACCAAGGTGACTGAGTGCGCCAGAGATCCCCTCACGATATCCGAGCGCGGAAGAGCTCGCGCTTGCTTGTCTACCTCATCCTCAATGGCCTGAAGCTCGCTCTCATTCAAATCGACAGCAATGAGGACGACCTGCGAGTCGACTCCGTGCTCGGCCTGGCTCAGAAGATCGGCGGCAACGAACGCTGGGTGGGCACCCTTGTCTGCGATAACGAGCACCTCACTTGGCCCGGCAGGCATGTCAATGCTAACTCCGGCGGAGGTGTCGTTAGATACTAGCATCTTTGCAGCGGTCACGAATTGATTGCCGGGTCCGAGGATCTTGTCGACCTTGGTGACGCTTTCCGTGCCGTATGCCATAGCCGCAACAGCTTGCGCTCCACCGGCGAGAACGATGCTTTCTGCTCCTACTTTGTGAGCAACGTAGACAATCTCAGGCGTTACGCTACCATCAGCGCGGGGAGGAGACGCAAAGACGATCTTCTCACACCCAGCGGCCATGGCCGGCACACCCAACATCATAGCAGTAGACGGAAGCACGGCAGTTCCGCCAGGGATGTAGAGACCAACCCTCTCGATGGGTCGTGAGAAACGAGAACAGACGACTCCAGGCATTGTCTCCACGCGGAGAGTCTCGTCAACCTTCTGAGATGAGTGGAAACGGTCGATGTTGTCAATACTGATGTCGATTGCCCGTTTCGTCTCTGGGGAGATCCGCATCAGTTCCTCGGGGAATGGCGCACGGAGAACAGTAGTCTTCAGCGAAGTTGCTTTTTCGAACTTGTGAGTATACTTGAGCAATGCAGCATCTCCGTTATCGTGAACGTCCTGAATGATTGGCTTGACGAGGTTTACAATAGCCTCATTTGATTTCTGAGATGGCCGCTTCAGGGCACTTTTCACAGCATCTGCGGGGGTGGAAGCAGTGACGATACGCTTCATCTCCATGCGGGTTTCAGTCGACACAGGCACCGCCGGCTTCTCGGGAGCTGGCGAGGGCTTGGATTGTGCGGGGCCTGCAAGGCCAACCTTTTCAGCCCATGGCCCCTTAGCATCACCCTTTCTCCTCTTCACTTTTAGGCTCTTCAAGTCGAGGTTCCTCTCAACATCCTCCAAGCTAACACCAGCCGCCACGCACTTGGTGAGGGCAAAGTACAAGAGATCTGCGGCTTCGAAAGCGATATCCTCCTTGGTAGTCGCACGGCAGAGTTCCTCGGCTTCCTCCATGATCTTAGCCTGTACTAGCTTGGAGTCATTGAAGAGTCTCGCTGTGTAGGATCCGGGGGGCGCATCTGCTTTGCGAGCAACCAGTGTCTTCTGAAGACGTGAAAGTCCCGAGTAAGGCCCGAAGCAGCTAGCAGTTCCAAGATGACAGAATCCTGTGTGTAGGTGAATCACAATGTTAGTGTACATTAGCCAAATTACTTGTTTCCAATGGATCTCGAACCTCTGCCAATTTGGTTTACAACGAACAGCAGGCAATCGCTGTCACAATCGAAGCCGATCCGTAGCAATTCCTGCACATCCCCGCTGGATTGGCCTTTGTACCACAGACCGCGCTTTCTGCTCTGGTAGACACCAGTTCCAGTCCTGAGTGCCTCTGCGATGCTCTCGTCACTGCTCCATACGAGACCCAGAGAAGTGCCCCTCTCATCGGTCACCGAGGTGGCATAAAGACCGGTATGTTCATCAGCCACAGCACGAGCTGAGATCAGCTTTGCCGCAGCGACCTTGCCGTCCGCATTGCGCTCAAACGTCAATGCTTCCGACGGAACGACGCTGATAGCACCCTGTTCCAAAGTTTTCTTCAAAGCATCCTCCGATACCGCACCACCCGTGGTCTTGTAGAGCCCTTGACCCGCAAAATCCTTTCCAAATTTCTCGACCAAAGCCTTCACATCGGCCAATTCCGTACAGAGACCAGCATCCTTCCTATCAGAGACTTCCGCGACCCACTTCTGGAAAGCGTCGACCTGCGCATCGGATGAAGCGTATACGACTAATCGAGAAGAGGGAACATCCTGTTCCTTCGACAGAGTCGTCAATTGGTCCAGAGACACGAAAACCTTTGCAGCACCGGCGTTGAGAATATCGACAATGTCCCCGGCGGAGGTGATATCCGTCGCATCGACGTAGATGTCTAGTAGGCGGAAGTTCTGGCGGAGGAACTGCTCCGCTTGCGACAGGCTGGAGACCTTGATGAGGACACGACCGAAATATGAAATCTGCTTGAGCGTAAGACCGGAGGAGCTCGCGGGGAGCTGTAGCGAGACGAGGAACGGCGTCGCCATTGTGACGATGATGACAGAGTGAGGGGCAGGATGAGGGACGGGAAGGAAGAGAGGGGAATTAAAGCCTTCGATCCGAGTATGAGTCAATGGATGGAGGGACCGGATAGAGCTCTTAATGATCAGACAACCGGTGTCCAGCACGCATAACAGGAATAACTAATGAACGAAATGAAGTTCTTGAGTCAAGGTGGATGAAGGATAACCGCTTAATGTGTCACCCCATTTTTTTTTTTTTTTTCTCCCTCTGCCGCATTCGGATGCTCTGGACTCTCCACTCTCCCTAAGCAAGATAATCCATTCTCCCCAAAAGTCAGGATTGCAATGCAGCGAATATTGGCAATGCATTCAGATTCGACAGCAGTATTCCAATGCAATTCATGCAGCAACTACTGTTGCTCCAGCGGTACTAAGCATGGCGCACGCCGTCTGCCGGCCGGTGCGCACCCCCTCGGGCCATGGAGATGGACCTTGAGTGCTTGAGATGAAAATGAACATTAGAGAGAGATGGAGGTCATTCCGACCTTTGTGGAATCAATATGCAGCAGGGTGGTACTGCATGCCAATAGTCTGCAGTGACCGGCCGGGGATGCAACGCTTCCTGCAGCAACCGCCCTTGCAGAGAAATGAATGAATGAATGGCCTTCAACGCATGGAATCCTGCAATACAATACTTCTACTCTGTCCAGGCAGAAAGCAATGATCTGGTGACACCGTCACGTCTTCGAGATCCGGCAAACTTCCGCACATGCTACCCCATGCCATCGTCTGTAACGCCATGCCATGCCATGCCATGCCATGCTACGCCATGCGATCAGACAGAATGCACAATGACCTAAATTCTAGGTCTTTTCCAGGAGCCAGGACCCCTGAATGATACTATGTAGCACCTCCGGGTGATCCGTCATTTCCCCCACTGTCGATCGATATCGGTTCAATCCCCGGTTCTTGGATGAACCTGGCATCCTGTCTAATCAGAAGCGGAGGGAGCTGAAGGGTCACATTCGTCTACAATGCTGTATATTAGATGTCGCCTGATTGACAAATATGTATTTGTTTTCGGACAAACTTCTACAGCATGTCCGTGTGACGCGAGGAGGCATTCGCATATTTATACCGACTGATATCAGCTCGACGCCCATGGGAAAATAACAATGAGTGTATATGTTCAGCTAGCAGGCTAATCCGTCGCTCCGTTTCCAAGATGCGCGTATTGCCTTTGTCGCTGTCTCTTGCTCTCGCGGTTCTGTTCCTCGTGGAACCTTCCGTGGCTTATCCATATGCTAAACCAGCCAGCTCTTCTCGTCGGCGTGGTGACTCTGAATATCGGGCCGATGCAGTCAAGGAGGCGTTCCAGCACGCATGGAATGGGTACAAGAAATATGCCTTTCCCCATGACGAACTGCATCCGGTATCGGATGGTTATGGCGACTCAAGGTATGTCTTTCTATGCTTGTTGTCGTCTTTCAAACGTCTTGGATTGTATAGGATTGACTATGGGATCCACAGGAATGGCTGGGGCGCTTCTGCAATCGAGGCTCTTTCGACAGCTCTTGTGATGCGGAATGAAGAAGTGGTCAATCAGGTTCTGGACTTTGTCCCTAGCATTGATTACACCAAGACGGAGTCAATGGTCAGTCTTTTCGAGACTACCATCCGCTATCTGGGTGGCATGCTATCGGGTTATGACCTGCTCAAGGGACCTCTTGCGGACATGGCCACCGATCCAGCCGCGGTGGACGTACTCCTAACGCAGTCTAAGAACCTAGCTGATGTGCTGAAGTTTGCCTTCGATACCCCCACGGGTATTCCTTATAATAATATCAACATCACTTCTCGGGGAAATGACAACTCGTCGACGAACGGTCTTGCCACGACCGGTACACTAATCCTCGAGTGGACTCGTCTGTCAGACTTAACGGGGGACACTGAATACGCTGAGCTTGCCCAAAAGGCAGAGTCATACCTGCTTGACCCGCAACCAAGAGCCTTGGCTGAGCCCTTCCCCGGCCTCGTGGGGAGCGATATCGACATTGCCACGGGCCAGTTCCAAGACGGCTCGGTTAGCTGGGGCGGCGGCGACGACTCCTTCTACGAGTATCTTCTGAAGATGTACGTGTACGACCCGGAGCGGTTCGAATCATACAAGGATAGATGGGTAGAAGCAGCGGAATCCACAATGGAACATTTAAAATCTCACCCATCTTCTCGCCCCGATCTGACCTTCCTGGCAACATACGACAATGGAAGCTACGGGCTATCCTCTCAGCATCTCACCTGTTTCGATGGTGGAAGCTTCCTGCTCGGAGGCGCCGTTTTGGACCGCAGTGACTTTGTTGATTTCGGCCTGGAACTGGTGAACGGATGCCATGATACGTACACGCAGACAGTGACGGGTATCGGGCCGGAAGAGTTTAGCTGGGACTCGAGCGCCGTCCCCGCTAACCAGGAACCCTTTTACGAAAAGGCCGGTTTCTATATCCTGGATGGGGGGTATGTGCTGAGACCCGAGGTCCTCGAAAGCATCTACTACGCCTATCGCATTACGGGGGACGAAAGGGTGAGACAGAGACATTACATGAGATTATCCGACGGTAGACAGAGCTGACACTGCGCAGTACCGCGATTGGTCTTGGGAGGCATTCGTTGCGATCAACGCCACCTGTCGAACCGACTCGGGGTTTTCGGGCATCACGGACGTCAATGCAGTCGACGGCGGATCGATGGATGATAACGAGGAGAGCTTCCTCTTTGCCGAGGTGATGAAATACGCGTACTTAATTCATGCTCCTGGTATGGTTGTCCCCTGGTAAACTGTGGATGACTGGGGCTGATTGAAACAGACGATGAATGGCAGGTCAAGCCAGGTGATAGCAACACTTGGGTTTTTAACACGGAGGCACATATCCTGGCTGCTGCTTGAGTTGGAGCCATATTCAATATCGGATACATCGACCAGCACATATTGTAATACAGAATTTATCAGTCCAACTCCAGAAATGGAGAATCTGGTCAATTAATCACATCCAAACAAAAACTACAACCTCCCCTTCAACAGATTCCCCCCATCAGTAACAATAACAGCCCCATTCAAGTGACTCGCCGCCCGACTCGCCAAAAACACAACCACGCCCGCAATATCCTCCGCCCTCCCTAATCTCCCGTTAGGAGACGCCTCCTCGAACTTCTTCACCCCCCCTGCAACTCCAACAAGCCCCCCGCCATCTTGGACGGGAAGAAACCCGGCGCAACGGCATTGCAGAGAATATGGCGCGGTCCCAGCTCAACGGCAAGGTTCTTGGTGAGATGGATCACGGCGGCCTTGGAGGCGGAATAGCTGAATGTCGCGTTGTCGCCGAGCGTGCCGACGCCTAGGCCTGCCACGGAGCCAGTGACGATGACTCTGGCCGGGTTTTCTTTTGTTGCGGTTTTGGTGAGGAGGGGAGAGAATCTTCTTGCCGTCAGCATCTGTAGACGGCTAATACCACCGGGCATGTATAGCTAGCTCTATCCCGGGGAGGAGGGAGGAAAGGGGATATACTTCTGAATCAAATAAAACACCCCAAAAACATTCAACTGCATGACCTTATGAAACGCCGCGGGCGGATGCGTCTCGAACTTCTCGCCCCACGTAGCACCGGCATTGGCGAAGAGGATATCGACGTGGTCCGTCGTCTTGCTGACCTCTGCCACGAGGCGTTCGATTTCCTCCACGCGCGAGCCGTCGGCGGGGACGGAGATTGCTTGCGCACCGGGGCGTTTGTTGGGGAGGGCGTTGAGGGCTGCGACGGCTTCGTCGCAGGCTTTGGCTTTGCGGGAGGAGATGTAGACTTTTGAGCAGCCTGCTTGGAGGAGGCTGTCGTTCCTAGTTAATTGATCATGGACTTGCATATGATGGACGGGGATACTCACCCGCTCGCGGCGTGTAATCCTAATCCCCTCGAACCACCCGTTACAACGGCGACTTTACCATCGAGTGAGAAGATGGTGTCGAAGCTGTTCAGCTGGACCTGTTGTGCTGCTTCGGAAGACATCCTTCTGGGGTGAGCTGTTAGAGCTGCTGCAGTATTCTTCGAGGTACAATTAAAAGACTTTGGTTGATGTCGTTGATGTCTTGCAAGCCGCGACGATCAACCGACGTGCCTCGGTTCGGCAGGAATTGATTCGGTTGTTGAGGGGAACTCGATATTCCGAGCAGGAGAATTGTTCATGCAGCATTCCGTTCGTTTTTTCTCTCCTGGTGTCTGTCTATCTATCCCTATGGAGTTGCGATGGCATGGTCGTTTGTAACTTGGTAGGAACGGTGACATGGTGTTATTTGAGAGATTCCATGGGACGTAGGAAACTATTCTAGTGACCAAGTCTCCTCACTTCTGTCCTGTGTGGAACAACTACCAAGAAGAGCATTCTGGAATAAATATTACTGCATGCAAGGTATCCTGGGTACTAAATAACCTGTCGAGTCTATCCCAAGTAACTCCCCAGCAGTATAATCGTAGCACCGTCTAGGAGTTGTTTCACCAAAACCAAACACACATAGATCTATAACAGCCGTCGCATCTGTCATGCTAGCACGACCGAGTCAATGCGCGCAGACGTCCATGGTATCATTACAAGAAGGGAAAAGAAAAGAAGAAAAAAAAAAAAAAAAAAAAAAAGAAGCAGAAAAGCGGGAAAGATCAGCCAGCGCGGTCCGCACCGGCTATCTAAGAGTCATGAACAGCAGTTTGCTTCTCCTGGCCATCGGAGTCGCTGAGGCCGATTTCCATCTTTTCCGGCGCAGCGTGGAGCTCCGCCTCAGGAAGAGTCAAGCCCAGCTCGGCAGACATGCGGGTGATCTCGTCATAGCTGAGCTTGGGCATCGTCTCGGCGATTTGGTACGGCCATTTCTTCTCGATATGGGCCTTTGCGAAGATCAGGTCGATCTCCTCCAGCTGGCGGCCGGCTGTCTCCGGGTAGAAGTACCAGCCAAACGGCACGGCGATCAGGTTGATCAATGCGAAGAACAGATAGATCCCCCAGGGACTGGCGTCAGAGAAGACGGGCGTGAACATGACCACGGCGAAATTGGTGAGCCAGTTGGTGCAGGTCGACACGGCGGCGGCGGCGGTACGGGTGCGCAGGGGGTTGATCTCGGGCGGGTAGATCCAGGGCAGAGGCAGGATGGTGAAGGCGAAGAACACGATGAAGAGGAAGATGCCGACGACAGCACCCTTGGAGTTCTGCTTGGTGGGGTGAGTCAGGCAGGCCATGGTGATGATAAAGCTGAGACCCTGGCCGAGGAAGCCGATCAGGAAGAGCTTACGGCGGCCGACCTTCTCGATCATGAAGAAGGAGGGAATCGTCGCCAGCGCATAGACCGTGGCGAAGACACCACCCAGGACCAGGGAGAGACGGTGGCCGAGTTTGATGTTCTGTTCGAACAGCAGGGTTGAGTAGTAGATGGCGGCGTTGCAGCCGGTGAATTGCTGGAAGAATTGGCCAGAGCAACCGAGCATCATGCGCTGGAACTCCTGGGTCTTGCCAAAGGTGAAGAGCCTCTTCCAAGAAGCCTCGGAGCTCTGCGAGGATTGCAGGTCGGCCTTCATCAGGTTGAAGTCGCGGAGGACAAGCTCGTCCGTCGGGACAGTGTCGTTGAGCTTTGCGAGGATATAGCAGGCCTCGTCGTCATGGCCTTTGGAGATGAACCACCGGGGGGACTCGGGCAGCACGAGAGCACCGGCCGACGTGATCAAAGCAAAGATGATCTGGAAGGCCACGGGGAACCGCCACTGGACCGAAGTTTCGACGTAGGAGAGACCAAAGTCGATCCAGTAGGCAACGAACGTGCCGACGGCAATGATGGCACCCTCGAAGCAGACGAGGAAACCTCTGTTATGGGCGCGAGAGCATTCCGACTGCCAGACGGGGATCGTGGCCGTGTTCATGCCATTTCCAAGGCCGGAAATGACACGGCCCACGACGAACTGGCCCAGACCCCATTGAGGACCGAAAGCAGCGACAGAGATAACGGCGCCGATGGTCATGATGATGCCGCCAGCGACCATCAGACGAGTGCGGCCGATCCTGTTGCCAAACAGGAGGGTGAAGATTGCGCCGAAGAGACAGCCGATCTCGTAGCAGGCCGTGACGGCGCCGCGGAGGACGGAGACGTGTTGGGAGTACGCGCGGCTCGAGCCCTCGGGGATGTTGAGAACGGGGAACTCTTTGGTGAACTGGGTACCAGAGATGATACCGGACATCAGGCCCTGGTCGTAGCCGAAGAGGGAGAAGCCCATGACGGAGGTGAAGGTGATGGCCCAGTGCAGTTTTTTGCCCTGCAGGCCGGCGGTTGAGGTCCACATCTTTGCTGGATCTGGAGCAGGGTCTGGATGGCTATTCAAGAACAAATCATAGATTGACTGGGGTGTCTGGGGATCAGACGAGAAGGGGGTCCATATTTTGTGATATTCCGGGGAGACATCCGGACATACTTATATGTTGGAGTCGCAGCTAGATTGCGCCGGGTGGGGAAGAGAACCACGGACAAGCAGCAGACGGAATCAGAATTAATTTCCCCAAAGGACAAAGGAGGGGCGACGGCGCGTGTTTTTTTTTTTTTTTTTTTTCCTTCTTTCTTTCGCAGGTTGCGAGAGCGAATCTGGCGATGCGGACCGGCAGGACAGGGCACGATGGAGGGCACGAATCCACCAGGAAGACGATCATCCTCTTCTCCTGCTGCAACGGGAAGCCAGGATGAGCGTCAGACAGTGATCTTTGCTCTCTTGAGCGCTCAGGTGGGTTCTCCGCAGCTACTATCATCCGCCGTTTCTTCCCCGGCCATGCAGCATGGAGTAGGATACCCTGGTTTGCAATGTAACCTGCTTTTAGCGAGCTCGTCCAGCTTAGCAACGGCTCCAATGGGCCGCTGCCACTCACAGTCTGGTGGGTATACGCAATACGCAGAGCTTCCTGGTTCCGTCGTCCGATAGGGCATGCATCATTGCATCGAGGAACGGCAGTTGGATGGGAACATGGGCTTATTTTGGGCTGCACGCTGCGTCATACGATGACGTCAGACTGCAGAGAAGACGAAAACGATGAACCTGCCGGATGAGGATGCTTGAGCCTGGAGTTGTCGACTTCTCTGTGTTTACTGTGTCTACTTGTTCACCGTGTCTGCCGTGGTAGGCGTTGCAGACATCCACCATCCCAGCCATTGCGGAGGGCGTACGGCGTACATGAAATCCAACAAATCCATAACAAAATAACAAAGTGACAAACTGCCGTCTCGACTCCAGAGATTGTAATGAAAAATAATCTCCCACGTTAATTTCACTGTAAAACAAATGCATGCACGGCCATTGTTGTCGGTGGAGCAGCATTAATATTATCCCGTCTCCGCTCTCCACACAATGCATCCCACATCCCCAGACGTCGCGCATGGAGACGAGACTTGGAGACTTGGAGGCACAGATCCATGGCGGAGGAGACGCTATAACCGAGATCGGTTACTTTCCGACTCCGTATTTTCATTCTTCCTTCGGCCCGCACGTTTTCGCCCCTGTCGTCTGTCTTTTCTTTCGCTGTCACTCCCAGCGCACCCCCAACGGCCCTCCTCCGGCGGTCTGATTTGCTCGCAGCCTGGTCTCGACTCCATCGCACTGTGTTATCAAGGGAGCTTTTGCTCTCTGCGCGTGGATATAAATGGTCAGAAACAGCTTCCAAGGCGCCGCCCGGTGCCAAGAGCAGTGGCTCGGTGGACACATATCCCGATGTCAACGCAACTGTCACCAGATTCCGAAGAATCTGAGCTCAGTCGGCCGGCTAACTTCGACTTTTTACGACCAAACATGTGAGCCCGTTATTAGCCGATCCTTCTCCCCGTCCCAGCGAGCCGGAGGACACGAGGACACGACCCCGGCTTGCGGACTACGGGGTACATACATACATGCACTCCGGATTCAGGCCGACATTCAAGAGAGCCTTCCTGCCTCGTCTGTCGGCATGATAACGGGGATACCCTGCGGAATCCTTGCCTTTCCCCTGACCACTTGCGTATGATACATAATCACGAAAACTGCGTGGCCTGTTGTGCAACATCCCAGCTCATCTATATTAAAACAACCCCCCCCCCAAACCGCCGATCCCCTGGCACTCGCCATGCGGTTCGAGCATTTGTATGTGCCTTTATGGAGTACGGAGCAATTATAATTACATGTGATATGATAATACTGCGCTATAATCAGCAGTGCTTCCTTTGAACCCAACTAGGTTTTACCACGGAGCCAACCAGCTAGGCCAAGACGGTTGGCGCAGCGCACTGTCTCTCCTTTTCCCTCTTTTCCCTCCTGCGAGTCTGCGCCTTACGTCATGCCTGCATGGTTGGAGAAGCAGAAAAACTCAAATTAAATTGTTGCACAGTGGGGCAGTGGTCGTCCTGCCTGCCGAGGACGTAATAAGGGCTAAGTTCCTATGCAGATGAAGGGGACAAGGTTCACTTGGCACGCGTGCTAGGCTGCTAGAAAAGTTTGAAGTCTGTGAATTTGAAGATCGGCAGAGACAGAGCCGTCCGAGTGCTGGAGGAACAGTCAAGAACATGGTCAGCTTCGGAGTAGTAGTGGTGGTGGTGGTGGTGGTGGTGGTAATTCCAGGCCCTAGTCCTCTCCCAATACTTCATGTATCTCCTATGCTTCTTCGGCATGAACTGCTCGCTGCAAGAAATGGACAATGCCACACGTGCTCTGCTCTGTCCACTACGTATTATATGATACTAATCATAGACTGCTGCTGACGCCATGTATGGACGACGTCTTGTAGTCTCAACTGCCTCTTAACGCATGGGGCACCACGATGATACATGATTGTCATGAAGAGTGGCGGAAGCCTGTCTTGAAGGAGCTTCTGGAGCCATGTAGGCTTCTGAGAGCAAGCCCATCGCTGCCATTAAGAAGAACCGGGTGTGGTAGTTGTATTTCCTCCAATTCTATCCAGATATTCTCCGCCGATGTACAGTGTAGTCATCCCGCCTCCGCCCGTGATCCGACATCCGACGTAGATTCATCCCATGTTCCTGCGCCAGCTCATTGCTGCAAGGTATTCAGAAGATCCAGAGCATCAGGTTCTCACTCCTGTCCGATTCCAATTCGTTTGATGAAACCTCTCACCTTCCCCTGGTTAAGAGCGAAGAAGAGTCGCTGGCGGAATGGTGCCCCGCGATGGCAGCCAGAGCACTCCTGCGCGCAAGACCCGCAAGATCACTCGCGCCTGTGACGCCTGCAAATTCAAGAAGAAAGCCTGCACGGGAACTTTGCCCTGCGGTCCTTGCGTTCGGCGGAAATTGGACTGCACCTATGACACCTCCTATCATCGTGGAGCTGTGGTGAGCCCGCCGTCGCTATCTTTGTCCCCCCTGCCGGATCAGTCTTCGGGACTGGAAGCACGGAAAACAAACCTGCAACATGGTCAAGATCAGAATGTCCCGGAGGTCGCTGATCAATACTGGGGTCCCACCTCAGCACACTCCTTCTTGGGTTGCGCAGTCTTGGACCTGCCCACTTCACCTTCCAATGCCATCCCCAGTCCTCGGGATGGGGGTGAAGATTCATCGACGTCCATATTCGCTTTCGGAGACCGTGCTGTACCCGAGTTTCGGTCAACAGACTTCGAATGGCCCGATCGAGAAACGGCAGAGAGTTTGGTGCGTCGGTATTTCGAATTCGCATCGCCAACCTATCGGATTCTGCATCAGCTGACCGTCGAGGCAATCCTCTGTCGTCTGTACCGAAGAGAACTGCAGAATGAAAGAATCACAATACCCGTAGCGTGCAAGGCGATCTTATTGCTGGTGTTCAGCATGGCAAGTATGTTTCAGATGGATTCCCAGGGCCGCTTGAGGGATGCGGACGATCGTGGATGGCGCACCAGTGATCTCTACTACTCCAAGGCGAACCATATACTATCTCGAGAGACCGGTAAGCCCACTCTCGAATCAGCGCAGGCGCGATTCCTCATGGTCCTTTACTTGGTGAGCTCTTCGCGAGCTCAGAAGGCATGGTTCACGTTGGGCACTACCATCCAGCTGGTGATGGCGCTGGGCCTACATAGCAGACACACGAGAAAGGATACTGAGACAGTGGACCTTGTCCAACGGGAATGCCGACGCCGCATTGTGTGGTGCTCGTACACTCTGGACAAGTATCTGAGCGTGGTTCTAGGCCGGCCTCGTCTTTGGCATGACGAAGACCTGGACACGGAGCTTCCTACGCGAGTGAACGATCAGGATCTGGCATCCAATGCAATAAAAGCATCAAGCCGTGACTGTGTGATGGATGCTCCGGTGTTTCATGCCCTGTTGGCTCGGATTCTAGCCCAGGCGGCCAGAGAACCCTACATAGCGGCTGGGATCTCTGCTGGAGCGCACATCCAGACCCTCCAAGACTTGTGCAGTCGCGTTGCAGATTGGCAGGCAGAACTGCCTCCGTTTCTCTCTGGCGTCATCCATCCGAGCAGCCTTGTCCCTATGTTCCGACGACAGCTGACCGTGCTCCAGCTGGCACGCTATCATGCGTTGATGTTCATCACACGTCCGTTGTTGCTTCGAAACTACGGACAAATCTGGCCCGATTGCAGGACTAGCTACTCGCATCATCTCCGTACTTGCCTGGCAGCCGCCCGGGATGCGGTCGAATTGATTCTTAGCTTTGTCTGCGAAAACCAACTCTTCCATGCATTCTGGTACTCGCAGTATATTGCCTTCAACGCTTTATCTATCATCTATATCTACCTCATTCAAGTCCAGCGTGGTCATATTGTTCCTGTCGGACGGCCATTCCCTCATAGTCAGAACAGCCCGGATGAGGCTCCTTTAGATGAGTCCATGCTTTACGGGCTGTCAGAGACAGCGCAGCATCACCTTGCGGATGCAACAATAAGGAACGCACCCTCTTGGAAATATAGTGCAATCCTGCAGAGCCTTCGACGGGGGCTTCAGCGGCTAGGGCCTCCAACTGGTCATTCTCGTCACCTGGAAGATACAGAGGTTAAAGATAGTACCCATGGAACCTCCACAACCCAAGCAGCTGATGGGCTGATGAATGGGGCGAATGGTGAGTTACGGAATCAGGACCCAACGAGGGTGGAGGAGAATCTAGGAGAAATTACCGGGGCATCCAACTCTTCACTCGGTGCTAACCACTCGGGCGAGCCATTGCTAGTCGACGCTCGGACAGAATCTCTGTTCGACAACTTCGCGATGGATAAAGACTTGATTCTCGACTTCTGGCCCCAGCTGGATAGTCTACCCGTTAGTAAGTGCCCCTGAGGCTTCTGGTTGACTCAAATACGCACTAATTGTTCTAGCATATGAATTATAATTCTGGTTTCTCATGAGTATAGACAGTCGTTGAATTTCCGGCTCCGGCCATGGAAGTATCAAAGATGCTGTGATGAACACATGGGAAAAGGAAAAACAAAGCATAATAATACCCATGCACCGTGGATTATTCTCATCTGGTAGCTGCCGATTACCAGATATACTTATAGCGTGGCTGGCCATCCTCTCACTCAGCTGTACGTGCCTTGGCATTCAACCGACGAAGATAGAGACCCAAAACGACAGAAGACACCACTCCACCAGCCGCAAAAGAGGATAGAATGATGCCGCCGGTGCGATATTGAGGAGAATCGGATGTGGGGAAGAAGTAAGAACCGTAAATATTCGAAGAATTTCCGAACAGGTTTACCAAAGCATATACAACCGCCCTTTTCGTTCGGGTACGTGGAATGGTGCTGGCAACCCACGCATGCACGACGTTGAACGCAGAATACGAGCCAGCACACATCAGAAACATTTCAATGTACCGGACAGCTGTGACATGGGAGGAGATGACCATGGCATTTCCCACGACATCCAGGCAAAGCGGCCAAACGATCAGGATGGCACGGTAGTCGACGGAATTGGCGACCAAGGAATTTGCAAGGGATGTGAAGAACCCGAACATATACACCGGCGCGATGATCAGAAGAGTGATAATGTTGCTAAAGCCCAGCGTGCTGGCGATAGTCTGGGATATAATTCCCACTCAGTGAAACGCCTCTGATGCACATGGGTAGGAAACCTCACTGGGAAGAAACGCTGCTCTTGCTCGTTCAACCATTTATGCTGACCAGAGCGAGGGAAATCCGGCAGGAGAACTACTGCCAGTGCACCGGCAACCATGGTTCCGGCACCTTCAATGATAAAAAGCCATCGAAAGAACAGAGACACAGTTACTCGTCTGCATTGTTTCGTCCTCATTTCTCAGGGAATTCCAATGCAAACCTACCTCCAGCCTTCCAGGCCCCCTTTGCCGTCCAGTCCACTCAGGATGCCTGCGGCGAGAATGCCGCCGAAACCATTAGCAACTGTGTTCCCACAGTATACGATTGCTACTCGGACTGCGATTTCTGACGGTTTGTACCAGGAACTGATCAGGAGTCTGCCCAGGATGGAAATTAGCTTTCCGCAGGAGGGGATTGATAATCAACGAAGCTCGATCTGAACATACAAGGCCCCTGGAAAGAACGGCGATTCCGCGAACCCAAGGAGAATGCGCACACAAACGATACCTCCATAGTTCTTGGTCGCTGCCATGCACATCGACAGCCCACCCCACACAAAGATCGCAGTTGGGATATAAGTGGACGGTTTCACACGGGTCAAGAGGATGTTACTGGGAACTTGGCCCAGAAGATATCCCACAAACTGGAAGACAACAAACATTTTGGTTAGTGTCTTCATCCAGAACTGCTCTTTCACGCCCGGGTTATGTTCTCTAACGTACCATGATTGCTACTGCAGTTTGATACTGAGAGTCTGAGAGTTTCAGGTCCTCTTGCAACCCGCCCAGACGGGCATTGGCAATATTCGACCGGTCCAAGATGTTGAAAATAAACAGCAAAAACAGAGAACTGATGAGATGGAGATCAATCTTGCACACGACTATGTCAATATCAAAGTCAGCTTTACGTCTGCCCATATCTACTTTTTCCAGACGTGGATGACATGACACATACGGCACTTTTCCAGGGCACTAGTCCCCGCGTCTGACAAGCCATCAAAGGAAATATCCTGCAATTGGAGTTCCGGATCCGACTCGAGATGAGTTGAGGTAGGCTTAGAATCCGCTATTTCAAGCATCTTGCTTCACGACTCTTTACTTGGTGCGGAAGGGGGAGGTGTTATAGAACCTCTATTATTCAAAGCAAAGTGACGAGAAAAGAAATGAAAAACAAAATAAAAGACGACGCTTTTCATCCCGGACCGGAGACTGAAATAAATAGTAGATCCCCCCCATCCCCGCGCGAGCTACAAGGAACATGCATCTTAGGACTACCCCAGGAAAACACACAAAGACTATGACATGACACCAGAGAAGATCCCGGGAAAAGCGGGGTGACTCTGCATATCTTTCTCTTCTTTTCCGCCCGAATATGAGTCCATAGCGGAACATGGAGAGACTAGGCTTGGAGCATACCGACTCTGGGAATTATGACTTGGCGACTGACAACATGGCAAGAGATTAAGCTTTGAGCCGCTGAGTTTTGACAGTCCCATTGATTGCATGATTCAGTCTGTTCAGCTTGCTTTTTAGGCGTGGAGAAGGCGAGAATCCGCTCTGCGAGGCTCAGGGTTTACGGAGATGTGCGGATATTGGCATTTCCGCTCTGATTGATGGCATTGGGGCTATTTATGCCGTGTTGCTAGTGATTTACTATTCTTTTCCTTCTTTCAATCAGGCCCATACATGCATTGTCATATAATACTCTGTACTCTGTAGACAATGCCTCAACTAGAAAATGGCCACTCCATTTGGAGGACTAGCTACGCCGCCGGGAACCTAACAACATCGTCAATGACTCTGTTTCGGCATATCCAAAGACGAGAAATACTACCAACCTTCAGCGGCACGCTGCTGAAAAAGAACGACCACCGTTGCCGCTTCTGACACTCCTGACTGAGCTCCTCGAGGTCAAAAAGCTCTCCAATCGGGACACCCCAGCCGGCAAGTAACCATTCATGGAGCCAAAACTGGGTATTCTGGCACGGCCACGCCTCGAAGGCAGGCATGTCCCCCGCTACTGCGGAGAACCCGGTTTCCCAAAGCCAGCGCAGCGTCTCCTTGGAAGACTCGACTCCGATAGCGGGTGGTACGGGGATATCCGCCATGGCGTTCACTTCAGTGTCGGATAGTTGTGTAAAGGCACGGCCCCATCCCGTGCGGATAAAGAGAATATCTCCTTCTTTCAGTGCTAGGTTCTGGCTTGTGGCAATGTCCTTCAGGACCTGGACGGGGATGGATTGCGAGGCGAAGTGCTTGACTTCGACGTTGTTAGCCTCTGCCCATGCGGCGTAGTCGAGAAGGACTCCGCGTCCTATAATGCCACCTCTTTCCACCCATGCTGTGCGAACAGGTTCGTCAGTCAGTCAGTAATCCTGTCTATAGTAAAGAGATCGGATTCCCGCCTCTGGTTGCAACTACAACGCACCGTGGATCCCATTCACGCTACTCTTAAACAAATCATCCAGACTATGCCCATTGAAGAAAATCTTTGCATCCTGATATCCATAATGCCTAAACCCATCCCACTGTGTCCCACTCTGCGTATTAAACGTGAGAACATCATCGTTCACGGCCCGCGGAGCCTTAGGGAGCACTGTATGGCTGAACGCAGGCCTGTCGAACAGCGGCCGGGAAAGAAAGTCCAAGGGCCAATCTGTGGAAATGCGTACCCCGTCCTGGATCTCCTGTGCTGCAGCTTTCACCCGCTCTGGTGTTAACAGGTTTAACATGCCGCATGGGTCATCCTTGCCGAATAGGCCCCAGGCATTTCCGCGGGGGCCGTCCTTGCGGAGGGGTAGCTCGTCGAATGCGGGTTTGACGAATGGCATTCTTTTTCCGATATTGGATTATCTGGAGATGTATACAGCTAAGAAGAAGGGAATCCCGACAGAAAGGTAGGGTTGTTACCGTCGTGTATCTCCCCCGCGCAAGACTATCGCCATCCCACGAGAGATTAAATAGTAGCCGGTGGGGCAGGAACAGGCTTCGGAGATGCACCGAACCAGCTGATAGTCACCAATATGCTATCCTTCTGTTCGAACAGCACGGACTTGAGCTCTGCGTGGGGTTGTCATTGCTGTCTAGAAAGAATATGGGTATGTCGGGCCCGAGCACGCCGTGGGGTGCAGGGGCATAGTACATGAATAATGCATATCCAGCTTGACAGGCTAAAAGGATGACATTTACCTCCTCGACAAGCAGTCAAACCGGCAAAGTCCGCGCAATCGGCGTCTCCAACTTCACCGTCCGCCGCCTGGAAGAACTCCTAGCCCAAGTCGCCGTCATTCCAGCCGTGAACCAGGTCGAAGCACACCCGTACCTCCAGCAACCGGATCTGCTACGATTCTGCCAAAGCAAGGGCATCGTCGTTGGAGCGTACTCGCCCCTGGGTAACAACCAGACCGGTGAACCGCGTACGGTCGATGATCCCCTTGTGCACGCTGTCGCTGCGGAGCTGGGGATGGACCCCGGCCCGCTTCTTGCTAGCTGGGCTGTCCAGCGTGGGACGGTGGTTTTGTCGAAGAGTGTTACTCGTGCGAGGATTCAGGCGAACTTTCGGGTTAGGCGGCTTCCTGATGATGCGTATGCTCGGCTTACATCGCTGGAGCGGCAGAAGAGGTTCAACTTTCCTGTGTTTTGGGGGTATGATACTTTCGAGGAGGTGGGTGAGGAAGCCGTGCGGAAGGCTGCCTTGGATGCCGGCCGATCAACAAGACTAGGTTTACTGTTTAGATGATTGTAGTCGTAGTGTATGGCAATATCGCTATTGTCTGCTAGATACCTAGTTGCTACGGACTACTATTCCAATGGTTTCAATAGCAACTCATTACGTCGACATACGTTCGTTATCTCAGACCCTAAACATGCGTATTACAAGACACAAACTCTGAAATGCCATGTTATTCTTTTCTTATTTTAATTTTAATTTTTATTTATTTATTTAATTTTTTTTAATTTTTTATATTTTTTCCTGGGCATTTCCGCTTTGCCGGAGCGGGACTGTCGGAGAATTGGCGGAAAAGCACCCCCGCAGATGTGTAAAGCATAAGGAACATCGCGAATGCCAATAATATATCCTAATTTATAATCTCATGAAGGATTCAGAAAGAGCAGAGGCTACAGTGCCTATTGAAAATCAGTCTTCGAAATCAATAACCGGTGTTGACAGAACAGCGGTGCCTACAAGTATCTAAGTCCGATCATACACTTCAGGGTTTCAAGCCCTAACCACTACCACTGTCTTTATCAAGTCAATGAATCGCTGAACCTTCTACCAAGAATTCCAACAGAACCTTCATGGCATCTTCAACATCAGCATTGTCACCAGTGTCATCCTCACAGGTCACCGCAGAGACCACGTCTGCACTGAAGAATACCGCCACCAACGCCCCGATCAAACCCGAGGCCGTCGAGCAAAATGCCATCTACACTATCAATGACCTTCTACGAGCCAGAGCAAAAGATGAAGAAGGCCGTGATCCGATCGTGGCTTACCCCTCGTCCGGTACAGATTATACGTATTATACGCCTCTTCAGGTCAGTCTATGAATACCGCAGTGAGAGATTGACCACACGCGCATACTGACATGATCCAGTTGGATGTCTTCGCCGAAGCCGCATCCATCCACTACGCCAGCATGATCCCGCAAAGGCGCTCACCTGAAGACCCCGTACAGGTAGTGGGTTTACTGGGTCCCTCTGATTTCGAATATCTGATTACCCTCTTGGCCATCTCCCGATTAGGACATACGGTTCTCTTTCTTTCGACGCGCATTGCGGAAGATGCCTATGTCAGTTTAATTGAGAATACACGTGCGTCGTTTCTGATCGCTCATCCTGCTTTTCGAAAAGTGGCCGAGAGCGCGGGTAAGCGCACCGGGGTCGCGGTGCAGTCCATCCTGGAGCGGGAGGATTATGAAAACGCTTCAACAGGTATGGCTTCATTGCCACCAAGTCAACTAGACGGCCAGACAGAGGCAAAGCGTACCTGTTGGATTATCCACTCGAGCGGGTCGACGGGAAACCCTAAGCCCATCTTCCAGACTCATTCCGGGGCGCTGCACAACTACGCCCATAACGTCGGTCTACGGGGGTTTATCACCTTGCCTCTGTTCCATGCTCACGGTGTCAGCTGTTTGTTCCGGGCAATCCATTCGCGGAAGTTGATCTATCTGTACAATGCAAATCTCCCCTTGACGGCCCCGTACCTCCTCACGGTTCTACAGGAACATCGGGAGATAGAGATCCTCTACGCCGTTCCCTACGCGTTGAAATTACTATCCGAGTCCCAGAAGGGCCTAGAGATACTGGCAGACCTGGATCTGGTTATGTTCGGCGGCTCCTCCTGCCCGAAACCCATTGGGGATACATTGGTGCAGAACGGGGTGCGTCTGGTCTCTCACTACGGAACCACCGAGACGGGCCAGTTGATGACTTCGTTCCGTGACCGTTCGGATCTGGACTGGGACTATGTTCGACCCGGGACGGGTCTCTTGCCCTACCTACGATGGGAGGAGCGAGCGCCGGGAATATATGAATTGTGCGTCTTGGACGGCTGGCCGTCCAAGGTTGCGAGCAATCGTCCCGATGGGTCTTATGCCACGAAGGACCTGTTCGAGAAACATCCCACCAGGCCGAATGCCTGGCGCTACTACGCACGACTGGATGATACTATCGTCCTGCAAAACGGTGAAAAGGCCAATCCGCTGATAGTCGAGGGAGTGGCGCGCAATAATCCCAACGTGCGTGAAGCGGTTGCTTTCGGCGCCAACAGGCCCCGTCTGGGCTTGTTCTTGATTCGCGCTGCGGCCAGTCTCTGCGCGACGGACGATGAAATAATCGATTTTGTCCTTCCAGCCATCGAAGGGTGTAATGCTGTTTCGCCTGCGTACGCCTATATCTCCAGGGACATGATTCGTGTCTTGCCGTCGGATACAACCTACCGGGCAACGGATAAGGGAACCGTCATCCGTGCTGCTTTTTACCGTGATTTCGAGGAGCAGATCAATCAGATATATGATGCAGAAAACAACACCAGTGGAGAGGGTCTGGTTCTAGAGGGGGCTGAGCTGATGGCCTTCCTGCGTAAGAGCCTTCTTGCCGTGGCTCCCATTGATCCTTCTATCCTGAAGGACTCCAGTGATATCTTCGGTTTAGGCGTTGATAGTCTCCAGTCTATTCGTCTCCGAACGATTATATGGAAGAACCTCGACCTGGGTGGTCGGAAACTCTCGCAGAATTTCGTCTTCGAGAACCCGTCTCTCCGCGCCATGGCTGAGGCACTGATGCGTTTACGTCTCGCGCAGGATCGCCAGGAGGAAATTCCCGTGGAAGAGCGCATGGAAAGGCTTATTGAGAAATACGGTAGTTCCTTCAAGACCCATGTACCAGTTCCTCCCCGAGATGGCGAGGATGGTGAACATATTCTGGTGACAGGCGCCACAGGCTCGTTGGGTGCCCATATCGTAGCCCAACTGGCTCGGATGGATCGAGTGCGTACAATATACTGCATCGTTCGCGCTGAATCCCCTGGTTCTGCTGTGCGTCGAGTACGCCAAAGTCTGCAAGCTCGTCGTCTTTCATCTAACATCAGCTCAGAGGCGGAGGGTAAGATCGTTGCTTTACAGGCCGATCTCTCGAACCCCGTCCGTCTAGGGCTGGATGAATCCACCTACGAACATCTGCTTCAGTCTGTAACAGCAGTCATCCACTGTGCCTGGGCGGTAAATTTCAACTGGACCCTAGAGAGCTTCGAGGAGAGCTGTATCGCGGGCACACGGAATTTACTCGATCTCTGCCTGCGAGTCAAACAACCCCGTCCAGCCAGGTTCTCATTCTGTTCATCCGTAAGCTCTGTCGCCCGGACTCCTGGGAACTGGATCCCAGAAGCACTGCCGGAGTCTCTGAGCTACGCGCAGGGAATGGGATATGCGCAATCCAAGCTGGTAACGGAGCACATCGTCCATCGTGCGTCTCGCCAAACCGGCATGACAGCTCGTGTTTTGCGAGTAGGCCAGATCATCGCAGATACTGTCCACGGCATCTGGAACTCCACAGAGGCCATCTCCATGATCCTCCAGACCGCAGAGACAATCAAGTCCCTTCCTCAGCTGGACGATATTCTCTCCTGGACCCCGGTTGACGTGATGGCTACCAGCGTCATCGACCTCGGCCTTGCCCTCGTCGCGAGCGATATCATGAATGTCACAAACCCCACGCTGGACCATTGGACTCGAAGCCTTCTTCCCCTTTTGAGAGAAGCAGGGTTGGACTTTGAGGAGGTGCCGAGACGAGAATGGTTGCGCCGACTACGGAACTCCCATCCGGATCCCAGTGTGAATCCGTCTATCAAGCTGATCGAGTTCTTTACTAACAAGTACGACAATGGGAATCCTAGTCGTGTACTTCTTTACGACACCAAGAAGGCCCAGGCTGGGACACCCGTGTTACGCCAGGTGGGCGGGCTCACAGCGGAATTTGTGACTCGATTTGTGAACTATTTCCGCTCCCAATGCTGGTCCCAGCCAGCAGCTTGATATCAGTCTCAGAGGCGATATTGTAGCAGTGAATTCTGCATAGGATGAGAACCTGCAAGTGTATGGAGTGATCTTGGTGGTTGTTCTTAGAAAGATAGTTGGCACATATTCCACAGATATGTAGTGCCTGAGGCAGACAATGTAAATCCAGGGCTCGTCACATGCATAGTTAGTCAGCACATAGCTTCATAAATTATCCCTCCCAAAATGGAGGGATAATCTCCACAAACACTTTGAGTTCCTAAAACCATCCAGCAAAACTGTGTGTCGAAGATTGCAAAATGGTGTTAAGATCGAGTTCCTATACACAGTCTCGGTGGAAACATTTCTAAGATATCAAAACTACAAGATATGATTAATGCCTGTGTCAACCAAGGGAAAGAAGCAAGCTGTGTCGTCGACAATGTGAAGTGCGCACACCAATACATTCTGGCTGTCAGTTAACTCGTGAGCGCTGTACACGCATAAAATAACAGCGGATAACACTAATCCGAACATAAATTAGAAAGCCAGAGAGTGTGAATTATGTGACACCGATCCTGGCAGCCACTGTGCCTCTCCGAGTATGGACTTCACCCCAATCTTCTTGTGATATCACTGACGATCAGTAGGAGAACCTATTTCTCATTATATCAAGAAAATTGTCGCTATCCAAGGCGCTCTAAACCACCTCTTTCGTTTTTCCCGATCCCCCAGGATGTATCGTGTCTTGCACAAGGCGGACTTTGGCATTATATGCCTTCTGGAGCTATTGAATAGCTCTGTGAAGTCTCCCGAACCTGGTGAACAGCTGGAGAAAGATGTCCTCGCACCTAAAGGCTAGGGGACGGTTTTGCAAATCCACTTATTCAGTGGATTTGGGTTCTAATGCTGTTGAAATGCTTGTGGTATCCGATGAGCTCAATGCGGTGACATCCTTGATATGAAAAGGCAGTCTCTACAGAGTCTTCCGTATTGATCCAATGCAAGACCTTGATGGAAATATCACGGTAGTGGAGGAACAACTGTGGATGTTGTGATCTACAAAAGAAATTTCAGCATGTTTTACAGCAGTAGTACCACAAGCCTGCCGGGCCATGATCCATGGTTATTGATGAAAGATGATCCTTTGATGCCTTGAACTGAAACAAACATAATGAGTCGAGATCAAGCCGCTATTATACTGCTGATAATAATCGAGAGAGCCTAATTAATCAATCGGCCTTCTCAATATTAACCTTGACAAATTCTCGACCGCCATCATCACCATCATCTAATTCTGAAACTGTATCCGAATCACTCTCTTCAGAGTCAACCGGAGTCAGATCCCGGCGGTCCTGAGCAGGATCAAGTTTCTCTTTCTCCTCTGCATCCCCTTTCTCCGTCTCACTCTGCACGCTCGCCGAATATGGAGGTGCAGCCGCAGCTGCAGTCGCAGCAGGAGTTTTTCCAGGGACGCCAGGGTCGGCAGGCGTTGCAGCAGCAGCAGCAGCATCGGAAGAAGAAGAAGAATCAGAAGCAGCATTACCATCGTCCTTCCCCTTCCCCCCATCCTCAACAACAACCTTCTTCTTCTCCCCCGGCGCCCGTGGAAGAGTAACAACCAACACCCCATCCGCCAACCGCGCCGTGATACTCCCAACATCGACATTCGCCGGCTCCTTTTCCCCCAGCCGAATCTCCCTCTCGAACGCACCCGTCTCCTCCCTCCTCTCATCCAGGACAAGCGCCGAGTTCAATCCCTCATCAATACCAGGCCTGAGCACCACCCCATGCACCTGTAATGTGGACTCGGACGGCTCATAGTGGACATTGACATTCTCCTTTTTCGCGCCGGGGAGGGAGATGTGCACGGTGTATTTCTCGGGGGTGGAGAAGATGTCGACGCGTGGGGTGAAGTCGACTTGGTTTTGGTATGAGTTCCACGCGCGTTGGTAGTTGTGCCAGAATTGTTCGAGGAGGCGGTTATTTACTGCTCCCGGTACGGCCTGGGAGGTTAGTCGTTGGAAGAGTGATGCTGCCAGTGAAGAGGGGTTGAGAAGGTCTATGTTGGCTGGTGTTAGCTTTTGGCTCTGGTAGCTCTGGTACTGATGAGGAACAGCTATTTCTCTTACCGCTAAATGGAAGTCCCACTCTGGGAGGTCTTCCTTCTTCGGCCCCCGACCCAGCAGATGTCTGCTGTCTGTTTCTGTGTCCGCGTCTGTGTCTGGTCCTCGAGGCATGGTTCCGGTGCCTGCGGCTGCATCCGGGAGTCTCATCCTCAGTGCGAGTCTGGTCATTGCCGTTATCGTTGCTGTCAGTGTTCACATTTTCCTCCGATGCGGAACTGTCATGCAATGAGTAGCGGGGAGGATAGTCGAATGCGAGGAAAGGTCTTTGATCCAGTCCAAGATGGACACTCCACATAGGGTTAATACTGGGCTGGGGGAAAGAGGCGGGCATTTTCACAAAATCAGCTGGAATATATTCGAAGGATTGAGAATAGATATGGATGGATAGATATCTGGGGAAGTAACTATAGTACAAGACAAGATTCCAACCTCCTGGCATCCATCGGTGTATAAATACAATTGACAGTCCTCTGTAGAATGCAGAAGAAGCTCCTACAACAAGCCAGATATCCAATTATTAATGGCATGTGCTTGTTCGCATGTCAAATGAAAGACTCTTGCAAGCTGTTGTTATGCGGGATAGCAGCGAACCCTAAACGCCACGTCAGAAAGGAGTGATGGCAAGTTGAACGCGGGTAGAGAAAGTCGGGGACCGGAAACTGAAGAGGATAAATCCTGCTGCCTATGTTCATAATCAATGTATGCAGTTTAAGGATCGAATCTTTGTTTTCGCTCAAAACATCGCATGCTCGCCATTTGGCGCTGGCGCATGCTGCCTCGGTCTACAGCGCTGTACATCCTTGTCGGCTGTGAATGCCAATCAACGACGACGACGTCCTGATCGGAGGTTCCAATAGAGTCGATATCTGGGAAGGCAGAAACATATTGCTATAGACTTGACTCGAGCATGCATGCATGCAGCCGGTCATAACGATTAGTAGTAGGCAGCTAGATTCTAGGTACTCCGTGGCCACCTTGCAATAATATTCATAACGGCATTTGGCTGCATTCCGCTCTCTGCTGTCATCAGGAACCGGTAGACTCGATAAAGAGAGAACAATCCATTCCATTCAATCCGGGAACGAAAGACTTGGTTTGAACAACAAAGAGGTGGAAGAAAGGATCCTGCAGACCCTGTCACCGCCAGAAGACACTGCAGCAAGTAGATGCAGCTAGGGATAGTTATTGAGCAATTATGAAGACAGCACGGAGTCATAATTCCATTTATTAGCTATTAATAAAGTCTTTGCATGGTGTTCGACAGTGCAGGAAAGGGGATCTATCTACCTAACCGCGATGGCGACCTGTCAAAGGACGGACAAATGGCAAGAGTACCCTTTTAAGTTTCGCCTCGAAACATTGATGCCTGACCGGAAATAGTAATATCTGTCGAATTATCCGTGCCCTTGCAAGATGAGCGGTTTTGAAATCCTGCCATCCACCTGTCCAGTTGGGTCGTTGCCTCGCGTCGAAACGCCGAGCTGCCATTTATAAAGAAAGAAAGACAAGGGATGACAGATAGACAAGACGGATCTTCGGCTTCGGTTTACCTACTAGTAATTACCTTTCATTAAACAAGTAAATGAGATAAGCGGCATAGGATGAAACTCGGCACTTCAGAGCTTTTCTTTCTTCCACCGGCTGAACGGATGCAACAACCACAGTAACAACTCCCGCATGCCGAACGCCGATTCACTCCCTTCGGCACCCCGATGGAGCTGGAGGACCCTCTCATTTCCAATCCGGGACAATGGTCGCTCGTGCTGTTCCACGGACAGAACGATCTGGATACTAATTAATAATGTCTGTTTCGTTTCCAGGAACTACTGGGTCTGCGCAGGTTGCAGATAATGGCCCATGCATTCGCGGATATTTGACTTGACTTCCGACCTGCTCCGGTCCAAGGCCGAAGGACGCTTATGACTCGACTTCTTTTCAATCACTGCTTGCTACACTGTACCCTGAACCTGCTGAGAGACCTGTAAGAAGCAGAACAGAATTCTCCAGGAGGCAAAAAAGGATTTGCAATGATGTCATGAACGCCGCTATCCGTATCGATAAGACTGGCACGTGTGATAAGGGCTTAGGGTAGGGCATGCTTGTAAATCGAGCATTATTCTTCCTTCTCACCGTTTTGAAAACGCATACTCCGTATTGCATATCCTCAATTCTCAGGCTGGATGACTTTAGTTCGTGAGGTCCACAGCGGGAAGTCTCGGAGTAAGGAGGAAATAGGACAAATAGTCTTCACGGAGTTAGGAAGGCGGACTCGTCTATTGGGCTGCGGTTACGAAGCTTTCTTCTGTATCTTCCACGGTGGAGATGTCGGATTGCCCATCGAGTCTATATTGGCTCTAGATTATGTGCTGTCTTGAAACTTTGAAGGGGATCCATGCAGGAATTTTCTATCTACATTTCCAAGATTAGCAATCGCCGAAATATGCGCCCCATCGGGGAGCATGGACACTTTCCCTGAGGATCGGCCCTTAGTGCATAAACCTGGATAATAGGAGTTCTAATAGCTGTCGAGCCATGGTTTGTCGCCCGTAATCTTCTACATGAAAAAGATGTGGTGATGCGGATGTCTCTCTTCGAGCTCCCGCAAAGGGACATAGGAGTGCCCGCCAACTTCCAAGTTGTCAGTTTGGATCTATCGGCAGAAGTGGACACGGCCCATGGACGTGACAGAAAGAAACGCAGAGGGGCTAGATGTTTATGCGATGTTTATGTGTCCAGGAACGTCTCTGAGACTAAACTATCACTTCTTACATTCTCCGAATCATCGCCGAGGGGAGACGTCATAATTCGTTAGCAAGACGGAGTCATAGCATGGACTCCTATATATATGAACACCAGTCATTCCAAATGTCGTTCACTTGTTCTTGCTGAAACTTTTTTAAAAATATATTATGAACACTCTCCACTCCTTGTTTTGATTCTTTTTTTTTTTTTTTTAAAAAAAAAAAAAGAAAAAAAGAGAAGAAAAGAAAGGGAAAACTTGCCGTGTCGGGGTCGGTTTCTCATACAGTTCTCTTTTTCATTTCCAAATCGCCATCCAAATCACTATGCCGCAGCCTCTTCCGTTGAATGTTGCCCGACGACTGGGTAAACGGACATCACAGATTCCTCTATCTAGGATATCGTCATGTAACCCGCCGTCGAAGTTTGCTGTTATTCAGCTAGTGCCTTCTCGTAAGGCTAGCAGCAATGCCACTGACGTCCAGAGCATAAATAGCCACACCACAGGCAAACGGGCGCTTGCTACTGTACGAAATTCAGCAGCACATCTCGAGACAGATCCTCACCGGGAGAGAGTGGTCATCCTCGGATCCGGTTGGGGAGGATACACCTTCTCCCGCGAAGTATCTCCCAAACTATACTCACCCATTGTCATTTCCCCGCGGACATACTTCGTCTTCACACCGCTTCTTACCGATGCCGCCGGCGGTTCGATCGATTTCTCGAACATCACAGAGCCGATCCGGGACCGATCGTGCAAGGCCGATTACATTCAAGCCGCTGCCCGGTGGATAGATTTCAAGAACAAGACGGTCGTTTGCGAGTCAACCGTGATCAAGAAAGACGTCACTGAAACGCCGCGAGCAGTTCTGGAGGAGAGGACGGACGAGGACCGCGGCGGGGAGTATGGTGCCCTCAGTCCGACGGCATATAAGCAACAATGGGAGAGAGGAGACATGTTTGAGATCCCGTATGACAAGTTGGTCATTTCCGTCGGTGCTGTGGCCAGGACTTTCAACACCCCCGGTATCAAGGATAACGCCATGTTCTTCAAGGACATTGGGGATGCGAGACGGGTGAAGCGCCGTGTGAGAGAATGCTTCGAGTTGGCGGCGCTGCCCACATCGACCCCGGAGATGCGGAAGTGGCTGCTGCATTTTGCCATTGTCGGAGGAGGCCCGACGGGAACTGAGCTTGCCGGTTCGCTTCGAGACTTCATCTTCGGTGATATCATAAAACTCTACCCATCCTTAGCGGGTCTGCCGAAGATCACGGTGTACGATGTCGCCCCCAAGGTCCTGTCAATGTTCGATGAGTCGCTCTCGAAATATGCCATGGACCATATGCGCAAGGAAGGTATCGCCGTTAAGACTTCTCATCACATCCAAAGCCTCCGTTGGGGAGCGCCCAATACCACGGGCCCTCACCCGATGGACCCCAAGGGCCCTCTAACCATCACAACCAAGGAGGAAGGCGAAGTCGGCGTCGGCGTATGCGTCTGGGCGACCGGAAACGCCATGAGGAAACTCGTCCGTGACAGTCTCCAGTCCGTGGATACTTTCCCTCTCAATTCCGCCTTGATGAAGGACGGTCAACGACCCCCTGACAGCGTCACCAAGTCCGGGTGGCACGTCAAGAAGTCCCCACGTGGTGGTGCGTTGCAGGTTGACAGCCACCTCCGCGTGCAACTCGAAAACGACAAGGGCGATGTGGCTGTCCTCCAGGACGTCTTTGCTATCGGTGACAATGCTGTGCCAGAGGGCGCGCCAGTCCCCGCGACCGCCCAGGCTACTCGGCAAGAGGCGAAGTGGCTCGCGGCACGCTTCAACCAGCGCGATTTCGCAACCATCCCGGGCTTTACCTTCCAGAACATGGGTATGCTGGCGTACCTTGGAGCCCAACGGGGCCTGATGCAATTGCCGCAGGAGGAAGGACAGCGTAGCAAAGTTCTCCCGGCCAACTTGAAGGGCCGAACCGCATGGATGGTGTGGAACTCGGCCTATATCGGTATGAGTATCAGCTGGAGGAACAAGCTTCGTCTGATTTTCCGGTGGACGCTCAATCGTTTGTTTGGCAGGGATGTATCGAGGTTTTGATTTCATTCATTTGCCCTATTTCCTTTGTGCTTTGTTGAAGGTGTCCGGATCCTGCTTAGCATATAGAGAGCGTTTGAGGCGTATATGCCCTTTTTTCTTGTTTTTCTTCTGGTTGTAAATAGACTGTCCAATATTATTTCTTATGGATCTCATCTGTCATCATTAACGTTAATTTACTGAATTACTAACAAGGAACCACTGCCCGCGCTGTGTAGGGCACTGCATCTGAATAAAGAGCCTCCATCTACAACTTGCGCTGTCAAAAGGGTTGCTGGTGTCCGGCCTAGAGGTCCAGCCCTAACAAGCCGCCACGTAGTTAGGGCTTAGGGCTCATAAACGGAATATCTTAGGACCGAAATTAGGGTTAGATAGACGATGGGGATCCTGGGCTAAACCCAGAGTAGAAGGCTAACTTCCAGCGAGCAACTTAAGCAGCAACTTCCAATGAAGTCGTTCACCCCGTACTGACTAAAGCCGTCCCATGTTAACTCCAGCATGAAACTGCATTGTGGGCCTTCAGAGCAATCTGATCAGCAGGATGGCGCCTCCTAAACACTCCCGACCCCGGATAACCAGGTGGATACGCTTCCGCATGCGCCTTCACCGACTCATCTGCACCTTCGAGACACCACTCTGTCTCCGCGGCACCCTCATCCGTCTTAGCCATCGAAATAAATACCCTTTCCTCGCTCTCCTCCGTCTTGTCCTGCCGCTACCGACATGGCACTTACCTATCCCAGACCCAGTGCCTCTGAGAACCATACTGAATAACACCCCGCTTCTTGTCTCCCGAATGACCGCTGCAGACCTCACCAACATGCGTTCCATTCCTCTATGGCGCGCAAGGGATACCCCGGTTCGATCCCTGTATCGGATCTACGAGGCTATGGCCGCACGCGAGTGCAATGCCATAGGCCCGGAGGTGGAGTACTTCTGGTATCAGGCGCGGACGTCATGGGCAGTGCGTTCCATTCCGGACCCGTGCGATCCAGATCCTGTTCGGTACGCTATCCTTGCCTGTATTGCGGAGGAGCTTGCCAAAGCATTCAACTGGCGGCTGAGTCTTGGGATGCGGCGTGATAAAAGAAAGCATATTTACCGTAAGACAGTCGATGACATACTTCCACCTTACACGGCAGAGACTGCGCCTACCTGGGCTAAGAACGTACCCGCTTTTGATGTCAAGTTGATCGCGGATTTCCCAGATGATATGCTGGATCCATTGGGAAGATTAGTGCTTGAAGCAGGTGGAACAAGTCTTATCTTTGCAGAGAGAAATATCGTAACCAACACCGGCCACTTTTACACGATCTAACACAGGTTGGATGATCCCTCTTGCAATCTAAGCAAAAGAATCCTCGTTGTACTTTTTTCGATAGGCCACAGCAACTGTCACCATGGTTGCATGGTCAGGCGGCATTTCAACGGAGAAGAAATTCAACGTCCGAATCTGCTCCATGTCCAGCGGGCCTCCGTTCTGCGCCCTCAAGTACTTCAGCAGCGCAAGAGAATCGTCCATATCTGACTCCCGCTTACTATTCTGCGTCTCGTCGTGAATCCGCCGCAGCTTCCGTTCCAGTGCCCACTTCAGTGGGACAGCAAGGACGCGTAAATTTGTACCTTCCCACAGGACAATGTTCTGTTTCTGAGCCGCCTCGAATAAGTGTTGCTTGGATCTATCGGGGACGAACAATGCCATTTCATCATTTGCCCAGTCTTCGGCGAAGCCCAGACGCCGTGCCGTCCTTACCATGGCACTTCGCAGTGGCCCCTTAATGTCGTCATCATGCGTCCACTTGGGTTCGATAAAGTAGTCAAGGTCCTCTGTGCTTTCTCGGTTTCTGAAAAGGCTGACAGCGAGGAAGCCTCCTGCCGACAGCAGAGTGATAGGTGAGAATGCAAAGAGCCATTCATCTTTGCCCATCTCATCGTCGAGAGCTTCGAGGCCTTGCGTGGCAAGAAAGATGTTGCCGTTAGTATTCGCGACCTTCTTACTTCAACAACCCCCCCCTTCCATACCTTTCTTGAAGTCATCCGCTCCAAAGCTGTTCTTTTCCACCTCCATACCTTCTCAGGAAAGCCGACACCTGAGGCCTGAGAATGCGCAATCCGCCGCGTACAAGGACAGCACTATGAGTCGTGCTATTCCGCCGGAAGATAGAAGAACCAACTCGGCGTGTAGAGAATTTTACAGTAGGTTGTATCGAAACAGGAGAGTCGTTATCATGGATTAGGCAAGGGAGAGAAGAGCAAGAAGGATCCCTCTTCTATTGTATTACCTCCTGTCATCTGTCAACAGTGATTTACTAACTGCCCACCTGCAGGTATGGGAGTATGGGAGGGGGGGGACCAATCTCCCACCTGCAATCATGCCTTGAGCCAAATGGGGTAACCCGTCTGCATCATTATTGTATCTTTTGCAGCCAAGTATGTGGCTGTTTCAGCCCAGATCTGACCACATTGGGCGAGGCCCAAATGGCCGCTGCAGCCGGTCTCTGCAACCCCTCAATTTATTCAGGCAGAAGGCATGAAGCAATAATGGAATCCATACACCAACAACAGTTTCCGATCATTCTTCACCCTCAGTGTCCTCGATAAGGGGATACTAGCAGTAAGCTTATGAAGATGGGTATTCCTTGCGTCTGGTGCATGAGGGACTAGCGTCAGTCTAATACGGTGGGCGTAGTCAGCGATTGAGAGCTACGTTTGACGTTTCCTTCCAGATAGAGGGAATTTTAGAATAGATGTAGGATTCGATTTGGCGTGTTTAATATTATATCTTGACAGGTCTCTCAATCTCCTCTCTGTGCCGAGGTCTGTGGTGGATCCTACCCTCGGTAGAGTTTCCATGGAACATTTTGGGTCTTCGAATTTGCAGCCAATTCCTCTTCAAACAAGGGCCTTTATATCAGTTGTCGTCTGGCCGTCAAAAGAAGCGTGATTTGTTGAAGGCAATTAATTTTGCTCAATTTACCTAGGTCTCAAGGCGTGCGGAGTGCAGTAGCACCAAGTCTCCGCATACTCAACCTCCTTCGCAACACTTCTCTACAACTATCTCCAGTGTATACCATCCTCAGCAGTGGCATAACAAAACAAACAAACAAACAAACAAAAAGAGAAAGAAAGAAAGAAAAGAAATGGCACACACAAAAGACCAAAAAGGAAACGACCCGGAACCACCCTACATATCAATCTCCCACAAGAAACAATCCCAGCTCAACGACGCCCTCTATCTCCATTCATCATGGAAGGACAAACTCCAACTTCCTCCGCAGACCCTCCCACCTGGTATGCATCTGTCGATTCCAGACTCGGTCTTTCACGCGAGCGCCAAGCTGCATGGTCGAGTGTCCGTGATCGATGTGCCCCGGACGTGTGGATTGCTGAGTTCTCGAGAGTTAGAAATTACAGAGAAATGGGACGTGAAGGGATTACTGGATGTGATGAAACGGGGGGAATTGAAGGTTGAGGAGGTCGTAACGTCTTTTTTGAAGGTAATTCGTGTTTAAGTCCTGCGTTGAAAACAATGGATTGGCTGAATGCAAATAGCGAGCAACAATCATCCACCAACTCACCCGTTGTCTAACGGAGCCTCTCTTCCACAGCGCCCTCCAACGCGCAAAGGAACTAGATGACCATTTCCAACGTACCGGAACCACCGTGGGACCTCTACATGGCCTCCCCGTGTCAGTCAAGGACACGTTCAACGTCAAAGGCGTCGACTCCAGCATCGGCATTGCCGCATTGGCATTCCGTCCTGCCACGGAGAACGCAGCACTGGTCGACCTGCTCACATTTCTGGGCGCGGTGGTGATTGCCAAAACCAACGTCCCGCAAACGCTCGGCGCACTAGACAGCTGCAACCACCTATTCGGGCGGACGCTGAACCCGCTGGATCATCGGCTCACCGCCGGTGGAAGTACCGGCGGCGAAGGGGTTCTGATCTCCATGCGCGGTTCCATGGTAGGTTTCGGCACGGATATCGGTGGGAGTATTCGCATTCCCGCCATGTGCAATGGGATATACGGGTTTAAGCCTAGCGCGGGACGTGTTCCGTTCGGCGGGCAAGAGGATGGCCAGGCGCCTGGGAAGAGTAGGATGGCATTACAAGCTGTTGCGGGACCGTTGGCTCGATCCGTGGATGACCTGGGTGCTGTTCTGCAGGAGATCGTTCCCCGGGCTGAACTGTTCGGCGAGGATTGCATCCCTGGTCGCTGGGAGAGTGAGACGACGGCATCCCAACCTGGAAGTGAACATAAAAACTTCACCGTTGGTATCCTTCGCTCCGACGGCCTCATTGAACCCTTACCACCCATCGCCAAAATCCTAGACGAGGTAGCCCATATTCTTCGGCGAACTCCGGGTATCGATGTGATCGACCTCCCCTCACCACCGGCACTAGCCAAATGCCAGTCCCTGGCAGGTAAACTGATGGGCGTTGACGATGGCTCGACTATGTCAAATCTCCTCCAAGCCACGGGGGAACCGTTAACCCCCTGGCTGCGAGGAAGGATGAGTCTGAAGCCCCGGAAACCGTTGACGGTGGCACAGCTCGCAGCTCTGCAAGCTCAGAGAACAGCCGTGGAGAAGGAGATGCTCAAGATGTGGTGCTATGAACCCTCTAACTCTAACATAGGGAATGGCTCAAGGAGGAGGATCGATGCCGTTATCCTCCCCGTGGCACCGCACCCCGTTCCAGAAATCGACCGGTACAATGCAGTCGGGTACACGTCCAGTTTCGTTCTTCTCGACTACCCATCCGGCGTGATTCCCGTGCGGAGATTCGGGGAATCGGATCTGGAGCTGGGCAAGGAGATGGTGACTCCTACTATTGGGAGCTGGGATAAGGCTAATAGGGAGTTGTGTAAGTATATGGATAGAACCCCATGACATTCTATTCAGTTTTCGGGTCGAAGGAAGAAGACTAAACCTTGACTAGGGAATGAAAAATCAGTAGACCGCAGGGTCTACCTCGATTCTCCACTCAGTATCCAGGTTGTCACGCCGAAGTTGCACGATTATGATCTCTTTCGGTCAATGCGAATCATTGACCGAGCCATACGGGATCATCAAGCGTTGGATCTGAAGAAGCCAACGAGTGCGAAGCTGTGAACGGTATAATCATAATCATGTTTGCCGAGAGGAATGAAACGGCCGCGGTACTTGTTGGCAGTTGCTCCTTGTTTGCATGGATGTATTAAAAAAGGGGGGAGTGATTCCATATGCATAGTCCTCTATGGTTGTAACAGACGCAATTGGAAGACAGTTCGAGGTAGAGGGCTCTTATATTAGACAATAATGTACCACCCCAAGGGGCCATCTCTGTGTTCCTTTACTCGCCAGAGCGTGAAATTTAGTAATTAGTTAACATTCAGAGGAACAACAAAAATACGCATATTTCATATAAATATAACAATATCATCATCATAACAGTCGTTACAACATTAATACTAAAAAATACTGGTCAAACATTACGACTCCGCCAAAGAGCAAACCCCTTCCGGAGCCCATCAAGACGCGGAGTATCGGCCGTAGAAACAGGCAATAGACTAGGATTAAAGTCACAACTGGAACAGGAATGCGAATGCGAACTGCCCAGGAAACCAGCATCGATGGGTCCTTTTTCCATTCTTCTATGTCCCCTCCAGGATCTTGTGGAGGTAAATTCAACTTCCGAGGGCTGTGGGCCTGTCCCTGTTGTCGAGGCGGACGAAGAAGAAAGGCCATGGAAGTGCTGGTGAGGTATATCTTTCTGTCGTCCGCGAGTCGTCCATTTCCAAAGCCGTCTGATGCCTTGTTGGAAACCAAGGCCAATATCGTCGATTGTAAGAGCGAGGATGATAAGTGGAATAGAAATGGCAAAGCCAACGCCGAAGGTGTACTTTGCCACGTATGACAGATGAAGGTCCTGGGAGCCATCAGACGCATGGGGAAACTCGGAAATATTAACTGTGAAAATGGACATGATAAAAGATAGAGGAAGGAAGATTATGGTGACGATGGTAAACATCATAATCGTCTTTCCCTGGCGTGTGGTATCGACGGCTTGATCGCGAGCAAACCGTGCCTCCAGGGCATTGGCATATTTCTGTTTAAGATCGAGCAAATCCGTTATGCTGGAATAAATCCGCTCAGCTTGCTTGTCCATCCGGTCGATGTCTTTCAGATGCATATCGATCGTTCGCTGCTGATCCTTAAACCTTTTCTTGGATTCATACTGCAAGCGATGACGGCCGTAGTAGATCTCCGACAGGACTTCCTGGAAGTCGGCTAGGACATGCTGTTGGTGCTGAAGTACTGTGCGAATCATGTTAAGCTCATCACGGATGTCCCTTGCTTCGGCAAGAAGATTCGTCTCATGGCCAATGTCTAGCAGTTTGTCAATGAATCGGGGCTGGCCGTCTTCCTCTTGGAGAAGCCATTTCATCCCGTTCTCGTCCGTGTACCTCAGCCGACGTGGTCCTAGTCGACCACCGGTCCTGTGATGGGACTTGAGCCAATACGACGCTTGTACTGACGCCGCATTGAATACCTCAAACAGCTTTGTCTCGCGGTCGGTGGCAGTCCCGATCGAAGACTCAAACATGTCCAGGAATTGATACTCCTCGTCACCCATCCGATGACGGTCAAAGATTCCCGAGCAGCGGTTTGTAATGACCGTGGCAAGTTCATGAACAGACTGAACTCGCTCCCTCGTCTTGGAGTTGATATCTTCAATGATTCCGTCCAGTACATTCAGCGGATCATTCTTGGGTTGATCCCACCGCTGCGGGAAGCTCGTCACAATGAGGTTCTTGCCCAGGATCCACATCCACAGCTGGTCGACCATAAAGATCTTGGGATCTTTCGCGTACCACTGGCTTCCCTGATTTTGGGTCTGGTAGCGGTATACCACCTGGTCTTGATCACGGCTCTGTGTATCAATGTTGGGATAAAAGAATTGGTCCAGCGTCCGTCGTACATGGAGCGATATCGTTGAAGAAGCAAGGTGCGCCCTGATCAGCATCTCGTCTCGCGTACGACATACCGGCTTTCTACCAGGGTCCATGCTAAATAGGGTGGCCGCTTGAATTGCCTGTTGCATTTTCCGTCGTCTCTCCGCCGACTCAAAATGTAGATATGGCATGAAGAGGCAGACATTACAGGTCTGCAAGTCGCCAGTATTATCCTTGGGTGAGAAACCCGGTGGCGGATACCGATCATCAGCAGTGGATGGCTTAGTTTGAGACTCGGACAGTCGCGGTGTCCCTGGACCACCTTTGGACTTGCCATGCTTTTGGGCACTCTTTCCATTCTTTGCTTGGTTATTGTTGTCTTCGAATTTAGAAGCAGATTTTGCCCGCTGCAACTTCCTACCGGACTGGTTTTGTTTCTTGGAGTTCTTATTGTTCTTTGAAGTTTTGGATTCAAAAGATTCCGCGGTAGAGTTTACCCGCTGAGGACCGGGAACTTCATCCGATTTTCTTCTTTCCAGTGCGAGCCCCGGCTCTGGGGACCGGGTTGCTCGCGGAGTGTTCTGACAAAGGGGTCTCATGAAATGCGAATGAATCTTGCGTCCCCGGTGTTGGCAAGTCAAGGACCATTCCAGGCCCTTGAAACCCTCGACGTCATTTGCGCCTTCTTCGATGAAGGCTTTCGTGAGCAAGGCCTCCACCCATGCCATATTGTTCGCAGGGAGGTGGATCCATCGGAAATGAATTCCGTCGTCAAGAATGGTGCTCCAGGCTTGCTTGTTGGGATTGACCTCATCTTTTCCGTAAAGCAAGTTGAACACAGATGTTTTCTGTACCCGATTACAGTTATGAAAGTTACCAAAGTCGACGATCGTCGCTTCAAATCCTTCGCAGGCACCTTTGGCGTCTGCTGAAAGCGCATCGACATTGTTGAATGGCGCGAGAAGTAGCACGATGTCCTTTCGCCGGAACTGCGCGGCGCTTAAGAATGCCGTGCTGCCGAAATTGTCTCTGACTCTTCGTTTCAGATTCGGCTGCTCTAGGAGGCATTTGACCACCTCTATATGGCCAGCTTGCGCAGCAAGGTGCAAAGGCGTTGCGCCGTTTAACAGCTGGCTGTTGATATTAGACCCGCTGCGCAGTAGAGAACGCACCATTTGTTCGTTGCCCTGCTGGCAGGCGTTGTGCAGTGGAGTCCATCCACCGTCGCTCCTGGCATTAACATCTGCATTGTGCCTGAGCAACAAGTCCACGATATCCGGCCAGCCATGAGCAGCAGCAATATGGAGTGACGTCTTATTCCTCGACTCCACCGCATCAACATCCGCTTTAGGACCAAGGGGCCTGGTCAAAAGCATTTCTGCCAGTCGTATCTTCCTCGTCGCGCATGCCCAGTGCAGGGGAGTCCGGCCAAGCTCATCGCGTCCCTCGTCACCATCGATCTTGCAGTCTGTTTTCAAAAGCAGCTCCACGACATCTTGCCCCCAGTCACAGTACTTGTCCGCAGCCAAGTTATGCAACACATTCCTCTTTCTCGCATCCTTCACATTCACGTCCGCTCCCCGCGTAATGAGAAGCTGAAGCACATGCCAATGGTTCTTCCAAGCCGCTGTCATCAATGCCGTCCGTCCCTCTTTATCTACGGTCGTATCCGGCGACGCTCCATAATCAAGTAGAAGTTGCACAATGCGCACATGATTGCGCTCGGTGGCTTTCAGTAACGGCGAAACACGGTTCGACGGTACGTTGGTAAGCGCGCCTATGCTGAGTAGATACTCTGTCACATTGGTGCAGCCGCGCTGTGCGGCCCTCATAAGGCCGATGTGCAAGAGATTGTCATTGAACTGCCCATCATCGCGAGCCTGTTGGACAATGAGTTGTAGCGTATCCACGCGATCGTGTTCCACTGCTCTCAGCAGCCTGGGTTCTAACCGCTCATGGCTGTCGCTTCCCACGCTGGTCCTATTTGACATGATCGATCGAGTATGGGACAATGGCTATAAGATTGCACCAAGAAATCACATAGTGAATGTTTCCAAGCAAAAGCCCGTTGCTTGTTATCGCATGCACTGCAAAAACAAGGTATGCGGGTAATGAGGGTAAACGAACTTGAAAAGAAAAAAAAGTCTCCGAACCTCCGCTTACGCCTTCTCCCCGTACGATTTTGCATTAGATAAGGAGAAAAGAAAAATGTCGCTGCATACGAGCGAATCCGAAGCGCTGTCGATCCTCCCGAGGAGAGTAAATGTGTCGCGCACAGCGAACGTACTAGCAGCCTAGCACCGAGTGCGGCGCCGCCACGGCTCATGGCACTGCATCTGCAACCGACGTAGCCTTGAATCAAAGATCGATTTAGTAAGTGCAAATGTAATTCTGAAAATCGCCAGCCTTGTCCCGCAGCATGAAATGAAAGGGGACTGAGGTGGGAAACTCATGCACGCGCTGAGCCATGTTTGCTGCACCGCTGTAACATGGGCGGCTATCGTAATTAGGACTGGCCCCCCTCCCGTGTCAACATTATTTGAATACGAGCTGAAGCGAATCTCCCTATGAGAGATGCTAGTGTCGACTGAATGGCCGTAGTACTTGCAGTAGTACGCTGTACAGTATACACACTGCTGGGCTGGGGCTTGAGCACGGCATGCAGGCTCACCCCACTGGGTCTGTCTGGAATAGCCTTTGAGCCTCAATCATGCTGATTAGGATTAAGGTATCATTTCAGTGAGAGTGGAGTAAACCATCATTGAAAGAAAAACTGATATGAGAGAAAAGAGAAATGCAATGGAAAGTTGGATGACAGGAACTCATGATAACATGTGACCTGTTCTGAAAGACAGAATAAAATAACCCTGCAGCAGTCTTTAATTTGACAGTACCCAACTTTTGTCTGTTTGAAGCTGGCACGGTTGTAACTTTGCTGCATTATACAATATTGATTTCCTCTTGCTATCCTTCTGCTCTGTACAGTATGTACCGTATACATGATTATAAAACATCCTTTCTTATGCTTTGGCATGTAAACCCCCCCAACAAGTGCTGTGATACGCATATGTAAAAAATACCAGTCGCCCAAGAGAAGCAAAGGAACCTCAAACTAAGCGCCCTGCTGTCATGTTTTCTTCCCTCCATGCATGCTCGACAAAGATGTGCCTCCATTTTGTGTTGTTGGGTCGGCCGCATTTTCGGGAGAGATGTCATTATCTTGAGTCCCAATAGTTCTTTTCGGAAGTCCGTTGAATAATAGCGCCAATAGACACCTAGATAAACAATGAAACGGAAAAAAAAAAAAAAAAAAAAAAAAAAAAGAGAGAGAGAAGGACGGGGAAAATTAAATATATTAAACGGTGATGCCAGAGTTTAGAATAAGAGGGGATTAGAGTATGTCAGAGAACACTTAAAGCAGGAAGGTTCTCGGTCAAAGCCGTATTATCCGAGTCTCATTTCTTTGGCTTCTGGGGAATGTCTTTCAGAATATCGTCAAAGCTCATGTTAGGATTTAAGCGACTGACGGGTCGTGCTGGAGGTTCAATTGGTGCCACACCCGCAGGTAGAGGTAAAGCCTCCAGTCCGTTATATATGGAATAGCGATTTTCAGCCCTCGCACTTGCACCGGGAGAAACGTTTCGTGGAATGGCCGGAGGCGCTGTAAGCCCTCCAGGAGGTACCAGACCGGCAGATGTTGGTTCCGACGATGAGCCAGCAGATGACTGCTGAGCCGGGTAGGCCGACGACCAGGAAGACTCATTGTCGTAACCATCTTCTATCGGCGGTATCTCCGGCAGTTCCCCATTGTCGGCCCATTGCTCAGCCACCTGCCAGCAGTGGCTGCGTCGATAGACGCCTTCAACACCGTTTACCACAACGTCCGAAGGCATGCTGACGACTCCACCTCCCCCGGCAACACCAAACCAGCTCCGTGCAACCTTGCCGTCTGAGTGGATCCATGGCGCACCGCCGCGGGGGGCGATGCAGAGGAAATATTCTACCCCCTCAGTGTATTTCATGTCACAAACGTCCACCACAAGAAGAGGGAGAGACTGGATCACGGCATACAAGAAAATCCACTGGCCACATCGAAGATCGATTAATTCATCAAGGGACTTTCGGTGCGCCTGGCGGCGTTCGAACTGCATGAAATTTTCGATGAACGACGTGGCTTGGACGCCTTCCCACGTGTATGTCGACATAAGAACAGTATTGATGTCCGAGTCTTTGAGCTTCTTTATCCTCTGCTTTGGCTCCTTCTTGGGATCTAGTGACTCACGGTACAGGGCAGACAGTTTCGGTAATTGAGGAACATCGAAGGGGATCGGGGGCTGCACAGGCGGCGTACTCCGGTCGTACTCGCTCATCACTTGTCGAAGCGCCCGAATGTGGATCTCTACTGGGTCAGACGTGGCCGATGTATCCCCAGCGGAGTCCACCGTTCTCGTCGTAAGCGCAGTTCGATCCACCAACAGATCGTACAAGTCAGCAAAATCATTGTACAGGTCTAGCAGAAGTAGTCGATTGAGACCACTTTCTTGGAAGTTGTTCTTCTTCGAGCTGGCCTTGGGAGGCCAAGAGCCGTATTTCTGGCGGTAGTAATGCACGGTGAACTTCCTGAATTCCAAAAAGGCAGCCTTCCACGCCTTGAACCGCACGACTTTACTCTCTTCCGAAGTGGTCGAGTTAGCAGCTCCGGAGAAGATGGACGGGAAGTCAAAATCTTCCAGCTTGCTGTAGAGAACCCGGAGACGATTGTCCAGATCTATATAACCGCGCTCCAATCGCTTTTGGGTGGTGGGGTGGATGAGGGAGTACTTAGGGCTCCGCAGCTGCCGGATCTCCTCAAATCTCCCGACGGCGTGGACAAATCCCTCGAGATAGAGAGGGTAGAAGCGTAAGCGCTCCCCCAAGATTATGGCTTCAATTGTCTTCTCTCGGCTGTTCCGAACGTCATCCAACCGCAACTCGTCGCAGTAGTTTCCAAAGCTGGTGGTTGCGGTCTCTCCAAAATTGGAGCCATCGAGGTTCGAAAATTCGAATCGAGTAAGGAGTCCCGCGATATCCATGAAAATAGAAAAGAGCGATGGTGATCGTGGAGTCGCAATCAGCGACTGACCCACCAAAAAAGCAAAAAGATTACGGTATGACACCAGCGCCTCCAGGTCCTCCTGCGCGGCCCTGAACTGCGGGCGGGAGACGTCGCCGCGGAATGGAATCGGCAGATACAGATGAAGCTCCTGAAATTCATCAAGTCCCTCCTCAACCAGGTGCATTCGCCCACTGGCGGTACTGTCGAAGTCATTATCCGGAAGGTGGTCCGGCGAAGGGGAAACTGGAGTGGCAGCCTGGCTGCCAAGCGAAATGGTGCGCGTCTGTTGCTCCAGATTGTCGACTCTGGTATCCGTTCCGCGGGCCAGATATGTCAACGTTGGGGATGAGGCAAAGATGGAAGAGTCCACCTTGAAAGAGGGCGACCGGCCCGTGCTTTCGGGGAATAGGTAAACAAAAGTGTCGCCATTCTCATTCCACAACTCGGGAATCTTTTTTTTTTTTCAAAAGAAATCTTAGTTACACTTGCCTTCTAGTTCGATCCGCCCCGCCCATGCGAGGCCAGCTGGAGCGCAGAGTTCACATACCTGTTCACCTCTTGACAATGGATCCAGATCGTACACCACTTTCTGTTCTAGTCCCGCAATCCATGCAGCGGGCGCGCCGGTGGCAAGTGTCGGTGAAGCGGGTTTGATATCCATCGAGCCAGGTCGTGACCAGCCCGGCATCCAGCTTTTCCGCCTATGGGAGTTAGGTGTCCCGGGTCGCGATTGATCGCGCACAGACAAGCCTCCTGGGCTAGATGGTCGACTCCCACTTTGAGCGCGACTTCTGCTGCGGGGTCTGGAATCTGGAGAGCCCGGGGTCGAGTTTGCCAGGTCCTGGTTGACTTCCAGCAGCGATGGGGGAGGTGGAAGAGGGCTGTCCAGATCGAAGTGGTCGATCGAACCGGGAGTCACCGATCCGGCCCTGGTGGGATCAATAGGACTGGTTCGAAAAGCAGGGCTGCTAACATGGCGAGGTTGGATGCCAGGGGATTGTTCCGCCGGCGCTTGGTCTGGCGGGGGTCTCGCCAGATGTGGAGGCTGTTGTTGTGAGGAATGGTGATCCTTCGACCCCAAGGAGAAAAGGGAAGATATGCGCTTTGCTGATTTCATCGGAGCAGACAACATTTTGACGGCCACAGTGGGAGAGAAACCCAACAGCGGACAGCAGACGAGTGAGACCAGAGTCAGACCAGAGGTAGCATGAGGAAAGAAAGACGGGTGCAGGAGCTGTCCTTTGCTCTTTCGTCCTTTGCCGTTCTATGCTTTTTTATTTATAGTTTTCTCTTTTTCTAAAACTTCCGGCCGTCTCTCCAGGTCCTGGGGTGTGGCAGTGGCTGCGGCCTGTGATTCGACCGGCTGGAGGGCCAAGAGACCGGTGCGTTGAGGGATTTGCGGGAGAAGAAAGCGTCAAGAGAGGAGGCAGGCGTTGTTGAGAATCGACAGGTAGGCTGGACGGAAGAAGCGAGAGGAGAAGAAAAGGAGGTCAGAGCAGGAGGAAAGCGTGGATCTTTTATGATTTGGCAACGAGGATGGTCCCCACGAGGTCTTTGCGTGCTGTAAATTTTTTTATTTTTTCTGATCTTCAGATTTCATATTTTTTTTCCGTTTCTCTTATTTCTTTTTCCCTTGTTTAGCGTCTTAGCTGTGGGGAAACAGAGTTTGGCTGAGTGAGTTGGAGGCAACCGGACAACAAGGCTTAGAGAGTATTAGAACAGCCTGATGATCAGGGAATCGGTTAATAAGAAGAGTGCAGGGATCTAGAAGCTGCGAGGCAGAATTTCCCAACGATGCTGCGATTTATGACGGGGGAGGAAAAGGGACGAGAAGGGGATGAGATCGTTGGGTCCTCGAACATCCGAAGCTTCCAGTATGGAGCATTCGACGGCACCACGGATGCTGCATCCACATTGTATCGTCCAGCTGGGGCGATGCAGAGCGATGCAGAGGTTATTCTTAGAGTCATGCTGGCATTGTGCAATCCGCCATATGGCATGGCGTTATGGCATTGCGTGCGCATAGTATGGGTTATTATTAGCACAACGTCGCGCCCCTCCACTGCCAACTAACTCCCAGCATTGCCCACACTGCTGTTCCTGAACCAGAACGCCGTCTAACGGGAGTTCCTATTTCTCCGTCTACATCGTACGAACTATTATTAATTAATTATACAGAATCCAGATGTCTCCTCCCGAGGATCCTGTCAATCTCTTTCGAGGCTGGCCCAATCCCGCCCTGCTGCCTGTCGCCGACCTGCTTACTGCCTCAGGCACAGCCCTGACAACGCCCTCCGTTTACGAACCCGGTCTGTTCTACGGTCCCGACGAAGGCTACCATCCTCTGCGTCGCCATGTTGCCGAGTGGCTGACCTCCTTCTATCGTCCGGCTCATCCCATCTCCGAACAGCGCATCTGCATCACCGGCGGTGCCAGTCAGAACCTGGCATGCGTTCTACAGGTCTTCACCGATCCCGTCTACACTCGCAATGTCTGGATGATCGCTCCGACCTATTACCTGGCATGTCGCATCATGGATGACGCAGGTTTTGCTGGTCGCCTTAGAGGCGTCCCAGAGGATGACGAGGGCATCGACATTGCGTTTCTGACACGCGAGTTGGAAGCTGCCGAAGCCATGGCCGCCGTGGAAAAGAATTTCGAACCAGTATGTCTGTATCCAATACGGTTTTTTTTAAGAGTATCCAGAGCCAGCTGTCGTAATCTCTCTGCTGACGGCGCCCTGCATGCAGAAGCTCAAGGGTTCAAGGCCATGGAAGAAAACGTACAGGCATGTCATCTACGCAACCCCCACCTTCTCGAACCCGTCCATGAAGATCATGTCTCTCCGTCGCCGCGAAAGTCTTGTCCGCCTGGCGCGAAAGTACGACGCCCTGATCGTGACTGACGACGTCTACGACTTTCTACAGTGGTCGTCCGCGCCAAATACCACACTCCCAGAACCAGCGAAGGCGTCCATCCCGCGGCTCGTAGACGTGGATCGCTACCTGGACGGCGGTCCGAAAGATGAATGGGGGAATGTGGTGAGTAACGGCAGCTTCAGCAAGCTGGTCGGGCCTGGTGTGCGTACAGGTTGGGCCGAGGGTACCGAGAAGTTCACATATGGCCTTTCACAAACGTACGATTATGCAAAGCACCCCACACTTCCCTCAGCCACAGGACATCATCACAGCGATAACGCCGCCGCCAGGGGTGATACGCGTCCCGATTGATAAGTAACCGTCGCTACTCGAAGTTTGATGCTAATCTCGCGAACATGTAGGGGTTCTTCACGCTCCGGCGGAGCGCCATCCCAATTGACGGCCACTTTCATCGGCCAACTGCTGCCCACTTCGCTTCTACAGAATCATATTCTTAACGTCCTGCAGCCCACCTATTCGGATCGTTACCACTGCCTCATGTCCGCGATTCAGCAGTATCTCCTGCCGCTGGGCGTGACCCTTCCATCGAAAACTGGGGAGATCGCGGGAGGGTATTTCATATGGATCAGCCTACCACTGCCGCTGCGCGCGGATGATATCGCGCAACGTGCCCTCGATGAGGAGAATCTCACCCTGGCTGAGGGAGAGCTCTTCCGCGTCCAAGACGACCCTGCTGAGAATCCCCCCAGTTTTGAGCACTGCCTGCGGCTCTGCTTTGCTTGGGAGGAGGCGGGGAAGTTGGCTGAAGGCATCCGTAGACTTGCGCGCGTAGTTGAGCGTGCTCTGTCGCGATAGTCCGCGCTAGCTGGAGGTCCAACGGATCTTCAGGCATGTATTAAAATAGAACTATAGAATATAGACATTAGACACAATAATATCCAGTGCCTAGATTACGAGTACCTTGCGCAGCACCTCGCCTACGTCCTACGTCAATATAATATTCTTGGCCCCGTTCCGGAGCTAAAGTGAGACATGCATTGGAATACGCGGCCAAGTACGATGACGTCCACAAATCCCACTAGAAGCCTAGTCGGTTGCTTGGCTGGGAATGCATTCGATGAAGTAATTATCCATGCAGTAAATATCATATATCTTGGAATTTCTAGATGCATTGAAGGCCTTCCCCCCCGTTTTGGTGCTCGCCCTCTGCTCACTGGATAGAACTGAGCACACCCTGAGGTGCTCCCTGAGCATGGGTCAGTGCTGACCTGATGAGGATAACTAACGTAATTCCCTGCCGACCTGGCCAGCGCCGTAACACATACAAAATAGTCATTTTTTAGACCTAAATATCTCAACAACCACGCGTTTAAAGATTAGTAAAAGAATATATATAAAATATATGTTTCTAAAAACATATGTATTCAATTTTATTTGTTCTTTATTTGTGCATACTATGCTCAAATTAACGAAGCCTATCTGCAACCAAAGTGGTGCTCATTCTTCACTGACGTTACTCGAGAAAGGAGAAGGTCAAGATTTGGTGTCATTAACACATTTCCTAAAGCCAGATAAATTGAAGTCCACCAGTTTCATAATGGGATCACACAATCTCACTCTCGGATATATTGGAACTACAAACAGCCACAAGAATACTTTTAGGTGTTTCTCCGATGCAGCTGAACAATAAGTCTGAAAGCAGTCTTCCAGGGCTCTCTAATGCTGCCTGGAACGAAGTTATCCCATATATTCCACGGTGAAGAGATCTACTGATTCCAGGCATGTTATTTGAAATGGTTGGAAATGGGAATCGAATAGGGGACCAGCTCAATGCAGATGGTACAGAAAGCCTTCTCATTTACCTTTTCGGATTGTCACGCGCTTGTGAATCTGCAGCTTGGAGGACATCATATCATATATCTGCTGAATGGAGGAGATGAAATCACCCTTAAAAGTCTTCATACTAGAAACTTCCAATGATTTCTCAGTGGACGCAGTGCATTCCCCGAGAGGCAGAGGCCATATTCAATTGATTTGGAGTATCTTCCAGTTTACCATATCTCGTTTCATTGTGCCGCACTTTCTGCTGCCATGGATACACACTTGTCTCTGAGCACTGGCTGCTCGCTTTGGGGGATTCTTCCATATTCGGATGTGCACCCAATCATATATGCCTATATGAATCTGAAAGATCAGGACGAGCCCGACCGATCATCCCTCGATCACTACGCCAGACGCCGAACTGGTTATTTAGATGCTGACAATGCAGCATGCTAAAGAACCGGTTTTACGTCAGAAAATTTGCTTATTTTGGAATGTAATGTTCTTCATTCTAGGTTCTAGGGTTCCAGTTACCTGTTATTTGTTACCTTGCAATGTCTGTGTCTTTGTATCTTGGCTGCTGAGACTTGACTCTGGTGGATCTATGGATGGATCTTTGATCTGCTGTGTTGAGATCATACAGTAGATCTAGATACAGTATGTATAGTTTTTTTGTAGATGCCAGGCTGATAATGGGTATTCGTATTCAGGTATTAGTATGATAGACCTATCGTGGACAGGCCCATTGAGAGAATGAGTAGATGATATATTCATATTCTAGATTATGCGATAGCTGATGTTTCACTGGATAAGAAGAGTGGACTGTCTCATTTTGCTACCTAGGAAGCCAAAACTCTTTGACACAGTCCCGTAGCAATCCGACAAACGAAGGGGAACAAAATAAAGTGGGAAACATAATAAAGTACAAATCTACCCCATACTACCAACTGAACGCCTCTTCGACGAAATCAACCACCATCCCCCTCCCAGTTCGTTCTCTAGTCGCGGCACGGACTTCATCCGCGAAGCTGCCAGGTCCGCACACGGAAACCGCCGTTGCCCCGACCCGTCCCGGGAGGATCTCATCCAGGATGATACCGGGATGGCAGCGGCCTGGTATCATCGTGACCGTCTCGCTGGGGGAAGAGATCAGCCGGTCATTCACCGACGGTTTGGAGACGAAAAGTCTGATCTTAAGAATCTCGCGACGATTAGGGAGTTGGAGGATCTGGTTCATAAAGTCCTTGGCCCAGGTGAGATGAGCAGTGGTTCTGACGGACCATATCAGATGGATTTGATGGGTGGCAGCGCTGTCCGAGGAAGCGAGGACGAGCAATTCCTTGATATGTAAAAGGTGGTGGGTTATGCCAGCTCCCGCAGCGAAAAGGACAGCTGTGCCGTAGCTGCTTAAGAAGGTTGGGTCGCCCGTGAGGTAGGGGCCTTCGACGAAGCCGGTTGCCTGGAATGTGCCGTCTGGGGAGGCCATGGCCTTGTCGTAGAGACGTCTGGTGGCGCCTTGGCGAGCAGCGATGATAAGCGAGACAGATGTGGTGAAGTGGCGCTGCATTTCCTCCTCCATATACGTGGAGAAGTTCTGCTTTTCGAGATCCAGGCCCTTTGGCGGATGGGGGATTGTTTCTGCAGCATTATTATTGTCTTCGGCCCAGGCCACGGAGAATGGGTGGGACATCCACCAGGAGACACAGGGGATATAGGCATAAACGTGGCATCCGGGAGGCATGGACACGCGTCTGGGCAATTCAAAAGTGACACAGCACGCTTCACCGGCTAGTGCTTTCACCTCGAGTTTCGTGGTGTGCTTCCCAATATTGAGATAGAGAAGTCTCAGGAGCCTAAAGCTGTGCTCGAGAGGCCATATGCAGAAAATGGCTTTGAGCCAGGGTCTCTGAGGCAGGCTGTCAATATCCAAATGGACATAGACGCCTATCAGGGCTGCCAAGGCAGCGAGCCGATGGAGATGCAGAAAGGTCTCGTAAAAGGCATGTCGAAGTGGCGATGGAGAGTGTAGACAGAGGAAGACCATGGAAACCGTACCAACGAGACCCCATGTAAAAAAGGGAGTGTCGCGGAGGCGCTGCAACATATGCTGGACATTTTGTTCATCGCAGGCATTGACCGCCCAAGCGACAGTGTGAACTACAGATTCGATCACGATGATTCGGCCCAGCCACCGGTGGATGAGGTTGTATGTATCGAAGCTGATCCGTAGGAGGGGAATGAGCGGGTTGTTACGTGCCGCGAGGAGAAAGAGAGGAACCATGTTGAGGACGGCCAGAGTCCCAGATCGTCCTCGCAGCTCCGCAACCAGAGCCGCCTTGACATTCACATTGTAATCCAAATAGGCGCAGTATGCGACTTGGCTTGCAATATACAATGTGATCAGGATAGTCTGAAATCGCGAGGGCACAGTACCAACATTGACAGCAGATGATAGCTGGATTTCTCGGTTATGTCTCTTTCTTCCGAGCGGCGCATATAGGACATGCTTCTTCACGCTTGCCCATAGTCGTGAGCTTTCAATGCTCCAGAAAGCTTGGCGTCTTTTATCCGCTGCCAGAGAGGTGAGAAGACGAAGTTGCGCGTGCGCTATCTGAGCAACGCGTCCGCAGAAGATGCAGAAAGCGAGGACGGTGAGCGAAGCATAAATTATTCGGGTAAATAGGACATCCCTAGGAACGTCCACGCCTCCCAGTCCTCGGGAGTATTCATAGATGTAGCTGGCGTTTGTCCCATAATAACGCGGTACGAGTAGAATGTCGGAGGACGCCATCAAAGAGAAAAACCTGCTTCTAATGGAGGTGTATTGTTGGTTGGTTACTAGCTAGATAGGCCTACGTGGTGAAAAGGGTCAGCGAGGGCGGACCTATGCGGCAGAATCCCACGTGATCCAACAGCTTCGAGCGCCCTGCATACGGTGGTCAGTATGGACGTCTTGGCGCTTGGTAAACAGCAATAAAATGAAGTAGATCTGAATCTTACCGGTTAGCAGTGTAGGCTGGGCTTGAATTGTGATGGATATCGAACGCGTGGTCCAGAAGCAAGGGGAATCGAGAAAGAGGCAGTTAACTGGCGTATTTTCTGATCGAATCACAAAGCAGTTTGCAAATATCAAACACTGTCCTTTGCGTGTCGCATAATGAAAGAGGCGATGCAGACAAAAAAGCACTGTTTCTGAGAACGGCGAAGGTTATTGAGCCAAAATATCGTCCTAGTATCCAGAAAAACGCGGTATTTGAGGTGTGTCAAGAGGTCCAAACTACAACAGTAAATGCCAAGGTCATGGACTACATTCAACGAATATCGAAGTGAAGTAAATATCGGAAAGCTGACTAGCAGTTTCGAGTGAATGGAAGCATGTCAGGGCCAGCTGGACAGAATCAACAAGCAAAAAACGAACGAGTGAATTCCCGATCGAGGGAACAAACCACAGAGAAAACGCCAAAGGAGAGAAGGGGACACAACACTGGATGAGATAGATAGAAATACAGTTCACTGTGCTGTATGCGACATGTCAGGTCAGCCGGGAAGACAAGACCTGTACGGAACCGGCCGCCACGGCTGGTATTCGATGTTGGACGAGTCATAAAGACGCAGGGCGCATCAAAAGGTGGGCTTTCAGGCGCATCTCGAGATTTCTCCAGTGCTCCAGTTCAATCATCATGAACTCTGCCAGCTGCGAGTGGCAAAGCGCCAAGCGCTGACAAGTGGATCAACCTATTAAGACGGCAGAGCCTGTCGTAGTCTGTTTCCGATAGAATCAGGGGGTTCATTTTCCAGCAAACTGCTTGTCTCAGAACTGGCGGGCCTTTCAGCCTCGAATGTTTCAGCGGCCCCTTGCAGGTCAGCATACTGATTGGCGTCGTAATGCGTGGCACCCGCTGTAACTTACTTGGAAACGAACCAATTGCTGGTTGATTGACAGCGATTATGGCGTTGTTCCTTTTTCTTTTTCTGGTTTGTTTCAAACGTCCCACCCACTGTGATGGCCAAGAATGCAGATTGGACGTTAAGAGAGAGAGAGAGAGAGAGAGAGAGATGGAGACAGAGATGTTGGCTAAGTTTTGAACCCGTGATCCGAGCGCATCTTGTGGACTCACGACGAAGATGACGGGTTTTCTAACTCTGGAGTCTACACACATCGATCCATCACATCCCCATACCCTTCATGCATCTGGTCTGGTCCTTGTATACTGGCTCTTCCATTTCATGCGAAATCATACGTTACTCCTGGTTTCCTTTCCTCACCGTCCCATCCAGCCTCCATCCACACAAATGACTTCTCCCGATACGTAGGTGCTTGCCTGGCTGGCTAGGAACACAACAATCCCCTTGAAGTCATCTGGTTTTCCCCATCTCCCGGCTGGGATTCTAGCCAGGATGCCGGCATTTCGGTTGGAGTCATTTATCAGAGCAACATTCATGTCTGTGTCAATATACCCTGGCGCGATCGCATTGACATTGATCCCCTTGGAAATCCACTCATTGGATAACGCTTTTGTTAGCTGTGCTACACCTCCTTTGGATGCTGCGTAGGCTGGCACCGTGATGCCCCCCTGGAAAGAGAGGAGAGAGGCCACATTGATGATGGAGCCACGGCGTCCGAAAGGGAATTCAGACGCATCTCGTGCCAGGAGGTAGGCGCCGAATTCCCGGCACAACGCAAAGACAGATGTCAGGTTAACTTGTAGCACCTGCATAGTGGGTTGCCGCGTCAGTGCTGGTTGATAGGATATACGAAGGGAAAAGGGGAGATGGAACCCACCTCGTCCCAATCCTCGTCAGGGAACTTCTCACTTGGATGTCTCCTTTGGATCCCAGCACAGTTAAGCAGTATTTCTGGTTTCAAACCTTGTTTGGTTATGGCCGGGATGATGCCCTTCACTGCTTCTCGATTTGACAGTTCTGCCACATGGATCCAAGCCTTTCGCCCAATGAGGTTGATTTTATCTCGTGTGGATGTGTTGGATTCGTCTCTCTGAGTGCGTACCAGGATCAGCTTAGTTGTTATCTAAATCTCTTCCCAGTGGCATACGCACCTGGATCAAAACAATATCAGCTCCAGCCTCTGCGAGAGCAATGGCCATTGCCTGTCCAATTCCTCTCGTCCCCCCTGTCACGACGGCAACCTTGCCGCTCAACGAGAATAATGATAAAACTGGTGCTGACATGGTGCAATGTTTCTCTGTTCGTATAAGCCCTGGGGGAACTCCGATATATTTCTCTTGAATGATGGGTCGCGTTGCAAAGCCCCTCTCTCTATATAGACACACCTGTCTACTTTGTATCTGGATCGATTATCTCAAAACCTCTACTGAATTAACAGGAAGATATTACAGGAATAGCGGTTCTCATACGACGCAATATTGCGTGTTATCGCCGTGCCACTCCATGCAGTCTGGCGGGGATATTCCCAGAAGGGATAATTCCGTTGCCGACACTCCCACGTCGCAATAGCCGCCGGTGGGGTGTTTGGTTGGTTTGCAGCAGAGCCGGTCTTGGTCCGAGGCTTCTCCATCTTCATTAAGCTCAATGTCAGGTTGCAGCTTTGCTGGTCAGGATCGAGGGTTTGACTCATTAAGAAATCCATAGATCTGGGCTATGGTTATTTGGCATCTGGGATGTGAACATTTGTGCATACCCAAACATGCACAGCTATCATTGTATGGCTCGTGATGGCAAAGATATCCTTCATGTCCATAGCAAGATATATAGAATTACTCTGCTCAACAGACAACACCGTGTTCATTGGGATGTCAAGTACAGGGAAAATGCCGGGCATTTAGCATCAAGAAACCACAGTCAAGTGGACATGCAGGGCACTGAGAAACTGCCTCCACGAGGTTTGTCTGATATCTATGTCATTGGCGAAGGCTTGATTATCGTTCAGGGTGGACTGGGAGAAATTTAATGAACAATTAAACAATGTTTGGACTCAATTTCGAATAAAAATAAGAGCAGGATGGTCATTGAGGCACACAATCTCCGAGAGTATCTATAGCCAAGATTGCTAGTTACTAATCTTCTGAATTCCCAAGGCACGAGTAGTATTTAATACCTCTGTCATAGTGAACCTTCTCCAGTTTCTGTTAATATTATATAGTAGAGATAAGTTCAGGCTCATCTCAGATCATACCTGTTCAAGCTAGCCTGCCATGACATATTAAGACGCGGGGTATGCAGTGGAGTAGTCGAGATAATATCACACCGGCGTTGCCCCGAAGCATTTACTAAGATATGTATCACCCGGCTGCAGCGCAATAATAATAATGCTTGCTCATGGACAATCTCTGATACTAAGTTTTAAAGGTGTTATTTAAGGTCATTGCAGACGGTTTATAAGAAATACCTGACCATGGCAGAGCTTAACGAAATCCGCGGCCGGCTGGCATTGGTCACAGGAGCATCTGGAGGGTGAGTTTTTGTCCTTCATCTCCAAATACCGTCATCTATCCCCATAGCTCAACTAATTCTAATAATGACTTCGGGACATATACAGTATTGGAGCAGCCTGCTCACGCCGACTCGCAGAAAATGGCGTCCATCTTGCCCTGACATACTCCTCAAACGTGAGATCGATGAACGAACTGGCGGAAGAGCTTAAATTGAAACACAAGGATCTTCGAATCTCGATCCACAAGGTCGATGTTGCCTCTGCAGACGAGATCCAAGAGATGTTCGTGCAGATCGACAAAGAACATGGACAGAGACCGGACATCCTTATCTCCAATGCAGGATACGGGAAGAGGATACCTCAGGTGTGGGATATCAGTCTCGAGGATTTCGATTATATGATAAACGTCAACTTGCGGGCTTCATTTATCCTTGTGAAAGGGGTGGTTGAACATATGAGGGACCAGAGATGGGGGAGGATTGTGTTCATGTCTTCGATTGCTGCTTATGGGGGTGGGATTAGTGGGTGTAGTAAGTTGCAATGTTTCTCTTTTGTCATTCACCTTTTTCCTATGTCTTTTTCGAAACAGCAGTTCGTCTAACTGCTGTAATAGACTACGCGGCTTCCAAAGGTGGATTGACCGGCATGATGAAGAATCTCGCCACGCGTCTCGCCCAGTACAATATCAGCGTCAATGACGTCGCCCCGGCCCTGATCGGTGAGACTGGTATGATTCCCAATGCGCAGGCTATACCCGAGGCTGCGGCTGGTATTCCATTGCAGAGACTGGGAACAACGGACGAAGTGGCCAATGTGGTTTTAATGCTGGTCACAACGGGTTACATGACGGGCCAGAGTCTCCTGTTAGCCGGAGGGTTGAGATAGGAGGAGCCGTATACGGAGTATTGTTGTATATTCAAATACAATCTTGAAGGCTTTTCAGACCCCACGATAGCTTCTCATTTACGCCGTACAGCGTAGACTTGATCCACCATCGGCCACTAGAAAGCGTGGGGGAAGAAAACCGCGATAGCTTTTACTTCCACACCGGACATCTTCCGGCCATCGGGAATTGACTGGATAGCCGTTCAATTGCCTTCGACCATAGCAACTCGGCCTGGAAACAATCGAAGAGCTTCGCATGGGCATCATGTCGTAGAGTGTAGTACACGGAATCCTCAATGCTCCTGGTCCGGCGTATTCTATTGGGAAGCGATACAATCCAATTCAGTCCGCGTAAAGAGGGGGAGGGTGAAGGTGCTGAAGGAAGAGGGGAAGAAAGGAAGAAAATTAATGCTACAGAACACAAGTCGAGGAACCGGCAATAGAATACCCAGACTAATAAAAAAGAAAAATGAGGGCAAATGATCATTGAATGCTATGATTACGCTCGTAGATCGATGGTTGCATTCCCATGAATATTGCTCCTACTTCTTTCCCCCCTCTTTATTCCGTATTCTACCACGCTCCATACACAGGGAACATACCCTACTTTTCATAAATTCGCTATATCAAATAAATCTATCAACTCTGTCATCCTCACCTGAGTATAATATATATCTCTCTCTCGTCATGTTCGTCTCAAGTCCGTCTCTTCTCGCTCCCCGCCTGGTTGCTGACATCATTCGTAGACCGAACTGCTGCAACATGCCCGCCCAAGCTGCTCTCTTGATTGGGGACATCGACCATGCACGTAAAGCATGGGAGGATTTATCGTCAATTTTGACGCTCAAGGTGCGGTTGACTGTAACTGCAAACTGCGGAGTAGTATCGGGCTGATCATATTCTCATCTTAGGAATTTCCCAACGGCACACGCAGCGAGTTTCTCCAAAATTGCAAGGATGGGAAATATGACGACGTCGTCGCGATCTACAGGTCGAATACATCTAATAAGGTAAAGGAAAATTGCATACAAGGCCAGTCAGCCTGGGGAAAAAAAAGAACTATACTGATGTTTCCGTTTGTTTAGATAACCGGTAACTTCAATGAAGAGCTGATCTCTGTTCTTCCAAAGTCGTTGAAGTACATCTGTCATAATGGAGCTGGCTACGATAACATTGACGTGATTGCTTGCTCGGAGAGAGGTGCGATATCTGTTGTCCACAATGCCTGGATCACACGCGTCTAACCGCAATGCAGGAATCTCGGTGTCTAGCACACCTGTCGCCGTCAATAATGCTACTGCTGACGTGGGAATTTTCTTAATGATCGGTGCATTGAGACAGGCCTATATACCATTGACTGCCATTAGAGCGGGTAAGCTGTGCTCCCTATATGCCTCTTTATCCTACCCACGTCTGATCCGAACGGACCTGCAGGCACATGGCAAGGGAAGGACACTCGACTAGGTCATGACCCCCAGGGGAAGACCCTTGGAATTCTTGGCATGGGTGGTATTGGAAGAGTATGCAATCCAATCAGTAATTGTGAAGGAGAATTGATACTGACGGAAACAACTCCAGGAAATAGCTGTCCGTGCGAGAGCCTTTGGAATGAAGATCCAATACCACAACCGTTCCCGCCTGTCCGCTGAATTGGAGGGTGATGCTAAATATGTATCATTTGACGACTTGCTCGCCAGCTCTGACGTACTCAGCCTAAACCTTTCCCTGAACGCATCGACACGTCACATAATTGGTGAGCGCGAGTTTAAAAAGATGAAGGATGGGATCGTGATTGTCAACACAGCCCGTGGGGCGCTTATCGATGAAAAAGCGCTGGTCGACGCATTGGAGTCCGGAAAGGTGAGAATCAGACGACCCTCGTTTTTGTGTAAGGAATTCTAACACCGTTGAAAATAGGTCCGTTCAGCAGGTCTTGATGTCTATGAGAATGAGCCTGAGGTGGAGCCGGGCCTCCTTAAAAATCCCCGAGTAATGTTGTTGCCGCATATTGGAACCATGACGTTTGAGACGCAAAAGGATATGGAAATTCTGGTGTTGGATAACTTGCGCTCCGCCGTTGAGAAGGGGGAACTACTCACGCAGGTGCCGGAGCAGAAGAAAGCGAAGAACAGCAGCAATTTGTAGATCTCAGATATAGGGTATTGAGAGCCATCGTTGTACCTATTCCATTATCATAGACGAACTTAGACATCAGAATATTCATCGCAACGGCCAGTCCTGAATGCGCGAAACATGGAAGTGTTACGCCAGACAAATTATTACTTTCGGGATTTTGCCAGGCGGTGAACATATGGATTCTCCAAAACGAGACTAACGCTAGGGTTCGCTTAGGGCACGGACCGCCAAGACCAGGAAAGCGCACCATAACGACGGACCAACATCGAGATCTCAGCGGCCGACGAAAACATAGCGACAACTTCTCACCCGACATCCCAGGGCCATCTTTCATCCTCTTCGGCAACCTCTCCCAAGATGGTGAGTTTTATCCCGCCTCATTAATCTGCATCTGAATCTACAACGGAACCTATATCGCGCACCGATTCCGGACCCCCGAAAAAAAATCCCGATACAAGATGCCTAGAACACCCTGCTCACAGGAATCACCATCCATTGCTGACGATACGCTCTTCTCCTATATCTCCAGGTCCGTTACGCTGCTCAGGAAATTTCGTCCGCCAAGAGCGCCCGCGCCCGGGGCTCTTACCTGCGTGTTAGCTTCAAGAACACCCGCGAGACCGCTCAGGCTATCAATGGCATGAAGCTCGAGCGCGCTCTTACTTTCCTCGAGAACGTCACCAACAAGGCTGAGGCCGTCCCTATGAGGAGGTATGCTGGTAGCACTGGTCGCACTGCTCAGGGTGAGTGGATTTGGTTTTCGCTGTCGATTCTTTCAAGTTGGGAAACGGAAAATTTGAACATTCGTTTTTCGCCCTGGTGTTGGAGCCGGATAGGGGTTTATTGGAAGAGGGGGAGCAAAGAAGCGAAGAAAACGTTAATTGGAGTTGTTGATATTGGGGTTCACCAAAAATCCTTCACAGAATGATAAAAGATGAAGTGATTTTGCATCGATGGCTGACGACTTTTCTCACCTACAGGAAAGCAGTGGGGTGTCAGCAAGGCCCGCTGGCCCGTTAAGTCTGCCAACTTCCTCATTGACCTCCTCAAGAACGCCGAGTCCAACGCCGACAGCAAGGGTCTCGACACCGCCAACCTCATTGTCAAGCACATCCAGGTCAACCAGGCTCCTAAGGGACGGAGACGCACCTACCGTGCCCATGGTCGTGTACGTTTTTGAATCACCGAATTACTACGGGCGTCTTTAGCAGACAATTCCGGGGGAGGATGGATAAAGTGCTAACGTAGTTCGTTTTCAGATTAACCCTTACATGACCAACCCCTGCCATATCGAGCTCATCCTTACCGAGGGTAACGAGGAGGTCAAGAAGGGCCCCGTTGTCGCCAAGCGCGAGACTGGCCACCTTACCTCCAGGCAGCGTGGCACTCAGATCCGCCGTGCTATCACCGAAGCATAAGCAGATTGCAGTTGTCGGGGTAGGGGTTGTTAGGAAGATGGGAGGCCGGAGTTTCTACATTTATTTTTTTTGCAGCTGTATGCAACAAATACCTGGTCACGGAAGGCAGATACACTGAAATGAAAAAATACCACTCGGGAAGACAAGTGGTCGAATTATGATGGATAATAAATAGTGGTCCCCCAAACCTTCTACTTTATTCGCTACTTTATTCGGTTCAGATTCCGGGAAATTTCCCATTTACTCTATGAATCCAAGGCGCAGCACCAGGGAGAAAAGAAAAAAAAGTGGAGGAACGGCCGGGCCAAGGTAGAGGAAGCGATAAATGAAATTCTCGAATGAGCGCTACAACTGTGCACGGCAAATGACATGGTATTTGTCGGCCATTTGAAAAGATCTATCGGTAGAATTAAGCGTCTTGTAAGAATAGCACTGGCTAGGACCAGGGAGACTTCCTGCTGAATGTAAGAGCCATGCAATATGAAGAGCTCTCATGTACCTCGCACAAGTTCAAAGTCATGGTCGGTCCACTGGGATGTTTATTTGCCATGGAGTGTTAGCAGACCTGTTTGACACACCTATTTACCGTTCCACGAGTGCGACTGTGGACATCCAAGACTAGCGCTCGCCTCGACGCAACCTTGGAATAGCTTCACTTCCTTCGACGCATCCGTCTGCGGGGAGAAACCCAGAAACTCAAAAAGCGGAGCGCGGGCCGAACGTTAGACTCCAGGCCCGCAGATCATCCACGTCGTCCTGCTCTCGGCGACCTTCCTGTGGCTGCAATCCCCCGGAGGCAGCAGTGATAGCAGCTGTCGCTACCTACTCTGCTCTACAGCCATCGGCACCATGAAGCGCATCATAGGTTCTTTGAAGAGACCATCGAGTGAGTCATCCGATGCTCTTCCTGCTGGTGATCGTTTACTCGGCTGCCCCCCTATTTCGCAGGTCGCTAACAACAAGGTCGTCCAGGATCATCAAAGCTCGATAGCGCGCCCATCTATCCAGAAAATTCACCAGAAGGAATCGTCGCCCGAGAAGTAGTGAGCACATATTGCCTGCGCAGCCCTTGTCACTGACTGATCCGGCCATCGTCGACTAACATGTGAATCTACTTATCTATAGGATGCCTTCTGTCGTTCGGGTGGTGGTCCTGGAAATGACTCTAGTGGAGTATGTGCTTGCGTTTGAAATACGAGATATTTCCTTATTCCCTGCCTACTTTCTAACAGTTGTCTTGTACTCATATCTAGGGGCCCGACTTCGCCCGCCTTCCCACCATTGTCGAGAATGCAGAGTGCAGTCCGAGTGCCGCCAAAGCGGCCGCTGTGCACATTCGCAAGATGTTATCATCAGATACTCCCTTGGAGCAAAGTTACCTGCAGTATAATGCGATTATGTTAATTCGAATTCTCGTTGATAATCCCGGGTTGACCTTTACGCGGAATATCGATTCACGGTTTGTGAGCGCTGTCAAAGGCCTGCTGCGCAACGGCAAGGACCGGTACGTGCGGAACTTCCTTTGTGAAACGTTGGACTCTCTAGAGGCTACTCGGTCATGGGATGAGAATCTCGCGGACCTTCTGCAGACGTGGAAGAAGGAGAGGGGCAGGTCCCCGACCGGGAAAACGAAGGAGGTAAGTACGGTCGAAAGCCGAAAGGACGGTCAGGATAGGAAGTTCTGTTGCTGATTAACTGTGGCCACGCATAGCCATCACTATCGCCATATCCAGTCCAGTCTCAAACGTCCACCCTCCCCCCGCCGGATGAGCTGTCATCTCGCATCTTGGAAGCCCAGTCATCCGCGAAACTCCTTTTGCAATTTATACAGAATACACCCTCTTCAGAGATCCAGGGCAATGAGCTTATCAAGGAATTTTCAGACCGATGTCGGTCCGCCTCTCAGTCAATTCAGAGTTACATCGAATCCACCAACCCAGCTCCGGACGAACGTACCCTTGTGGCATTGATAGAAACGAACGACGAACTATCTGTATCGTTATCAAAATACTCACATGCCATCCTTGATGCTCGCAAAGCCTCTGGGAATAACACAGATAGCAGTAATGGCAACGCGTCTCCATCTGCGTCTGCATCCGCATCCGCGTCGACGTCTCCCGTTCGAGCGCCCATTCTGACGTCCTCGCCCTTACCTTTCGCCTCTGCCCTAGCATCATCATCATCACCTGACCCAGAAACCGGGACCTCAAGGCTCGCACAACCCGCACTTCAGCAGCGACAAGACATATTTCAAAACCGGAGTCCATCCCGCTATCCTGCCTCTCGCCAACAGACACCAGACTTTGCATCGTCCTCGTCAGCGAGTCCGCCTGCGGCAAGTGTAAGTGTGCCGAATTCTACTAGTTCTGCATATGTCAGTACGGGGCGGTACCAGTACAATTCGGAGGATTTCCAAATCCAGAACCCGTTTGCCGACTACCACTTGGGTGAAGGCCAGAAGACTAATGTCTAAGAGCTATTAAGTCTTCAGCGAATGGAAGGTATATACAGCCTTTCCTTCTCTGGGAAGGGCTAGTCCTAAAGGCTGGCAACTTGTCTGAACGTCCAGCTGGATATCTGAAATGGGCCATTGATTTCTTGGAATAAGAGATGGACACTCCCTAGGCCTGGCATTTTGTCAAGAGCTTAATCGTGCAGCTTTACTTTCAGCCAAGTCATATATGTATTATGGGTCTTTGAGACAGTCTCTTTTTGAACTGCTTGGAGTACATACCGCCCGGTTGACTTTATATTTTTTTTTTGTCTTATATCCCTTCATTGTCTATGGTTTTGGACCTTTTCAATACCGTGCTACCCTTCTCTCTTTGGGATTACTAGGAATACGCATTTTATCAAATCTGAATCTTTCTCTGGCATACCAGTGTACAGCTCATTAGGTGTCAGCATATTTTTCTCACTGCTGAAGGCGGACCAGCATTATGTCAAATCATCTTGTAGTGTTAATACAGGGCATTGATTGGTTATTTACTTGAAAAGTTTCGTGATATAATGTGAATATACAAGACAACTGTGTATAGTGGTATATGATTGCAAGCTTGAAGAGAATAGTGGAAGATGAACATATCATATTAGAATCTTCATCTTGCATCTGCCATTGTCAGGGCCCTTGCCATGTAGACCAGGACGAGCACGTGAGCTTCCTTACTTGGATTAGCGTGGCGCGTGGATAGGAGTACGTCGTCCAGCTTCACGTAGATCTCTTCCTTTTTCCTTCCTCTTCATGCTTGAAGTTCTCGTCGATAGCTGCCTAGATAGCTGAATAGCATCCTATTCATCGTCTAGTTGAGTTCCGTGACAGCTGCCATGGCCATCCATAACTAGGAGGCGGTATTTCCCAATTGTACAGCTAGTAGTAGCAGGAATAAAGAGATTTTTAAGCCAGTGAAGGCCTGTCTCATTAGTAGTCCATCCATTAGGACTAACTTCAATCCTGCTGTGCCAGGGGCACTGCGAAACCCCGGATCTCCCATATTTCCTATCTTAGAACACCGTAGAGCCGCGGTCTCCGACATACTAATTTCTAGGTTGCTTCGCTAGTATCGTTATCATTGTACAGAGCGGAGCGAGGCTCCTTCGTCGCTGTGTTTCCTTTTATCGCTATATCGTTTTGCTAGATTGTTCAGTGTGTCCATTCCTGAGATCCCTCGATCACAACCCGGTTCCTGTCGCAGGGAACAACGCACGTACGCCCCCCTTTACATGGGAGTATTGGATCTTGATACCAACCCTCTATATAGACCTTCCCTTTAAAGATAGTGCATGGAGGAAGCGCCCAACCAGTAGAGTTGATACACTCAATCAAAGTAACCAATTCCTGATTGCCTGGCTGTACAAGACGTGCTTTTCCATAATAGTCAGCTCTAGTAATCACTCGAGCAGTAGCTACTAGGCCCATAGCAAAGCCAGTTTCATCAAAATTGTAGATATCCTCTAATGCAATCCCATGCTGCATTATAGTGATTTGTATGCAGTCAAACCACTCTTTAATAACTTTAGGGTCTTCGCATTTAGTGCGTCAATAATCATATCATTGAGAAAAGCAGGATTTCACTTCAGGACAGCATTTAACAAAGTTTGTAACCCAGTTTGCTCCAACTGATTGAATAGGTGTAGTACCACGGCCAGCAAGAAGAATATTAGCCATTTCTTGTACATCTGATGGCTTGGGAGGCACTCCATGTTAATCTAGTGATAGAATCCATCATACAAGCGATTCCTCTTCATTTTAGGACAATTTATGGTTGTTGGCGCGTGTTTCATTGCGATATTTGCTGCCATGAAGTCGGTCGCGTAAAGTTGAACGTGGTACATTATAGACCCGCGCAGCTTTAGCAATTTGGGTAATTTGCTTGCTTTCTATAGCGGAAATTGCTAATAGAATTCTACCCTCTTGTTAGCTGAATTTTTTGAATTTTGACGCGATTTTGGAGGCATGGTGGATGGTTGAATTGAGTGAGGTTTTTAATCGCGGTCAAAACGCGTTGAGGTGGCGGCTCGCTAGTGAAATACGTTAACCAACTACCTAACTAATCCACGGGCGAGTAGCGCGTATTCTCTCCTTATTGCTGACTTCGCTATGATTGTTAGAGGTCACGTGCATTCTGCCATATTAGACCGCCCTCGCTTGGCCTAACACACTAAAATAGCTAGACCAACCTAGATAGAGACAATACAAGCAAGTTGATCCAACAATGATAATAATGGAGGTGTATTGTTGGTTGGTTACTAGCTAGATAGGCCTACCTGGTGAAAAGGGTCAGCGAGGGCGGACCTATGCGGCAGAATTCCACGTGATCCAACAGATAAGTGTTAGTACACGTGAGGTTCTGCCGTCCTAGACCGCCCTCGCTACCTATCTCACGGCACAGGCAGGCCTACCTAGTAATACGACCATACATGCGCCTATCCATTAATAAGCGCTACGTACACGTGATCCTTCATGGCCTAAGGCTGCTGCATTTGCGGCCTTACAGCTAACCGGCGCAAAATAGATTGATGTTGGAATGGCGACAAGCGATGAAGATGGGATTTGAGATGGCTACGCTATGAGGATAGTTGTGTATATTGTTTTCACAAGGCTGACCGAAGAGAGAGGGCTCTATTATTCTGAGTCTGTATTGTGTAATGCTGGAGGTTGCAATGCTACTACTATGTAACACCGGCGGCAAATAATACTGCGACAGCCAAGTTTCGACTCGACAACCACAACCTTCTTCCTCCCATGGCGGAGTGCACACGGGCAGGTAGAGCCTGTGATCAATGTCGACGACGCAAAGTGCGCTGCAATGGCCGGCCCAGCTGCCAGCAGTGCACGCACGTCGGCTTAAGCTGCACGTATGCTGCCGTCGCGCAGGATCGGTCGAGAATAATGGAAGTGTATTGTTGGTTGGTCACTAGCTAGATAGGCCTACGTGGTGAAAAGGGTCAGCGAGGGCGGACCTATGCGGCAGAATCCCACGTGATCCAACACCCCCCCACGCACGAGCTGGCCTAAGACTAATCTAAAGAATTTAAATACAAAAATCGGCCTCTATTCAGGCCTTCATATGAGAGAATAAAAGCAAAATTAAGCAGAGAAATGAGAGGTTCCGCTTTGGCCAATCAGAAGCCGTAAATCAGAATAGAAAGTATAACCAAAATGGGGGAACAAGCGCCGCTTAATGTATGCCGGTGAGTTCCAGGAAATGATTGAATCGTTCAGTTTGGAGAGGTTTTGTCAGGCCATCTGCTGCCTGTTCTTTGGTAGGGCAGGTCTGAAGTTTGACAATGCCGTCTTGGACCTTCTCCCGAACGTAATGGTAACGTATGTCAATGTGTTTGGATCTCTTGGTGGTGAGCTCGGCTTCAGCCATGGCGTGAGCGCCTTGATTATCGATATGAAGAGATATTGGTGGGCATTCAGTTGGGAGCACATTAAGCTCGTTGATGAGATTCCGGAGCCAGAGGGCATCACGGCTGGCTTCGCTTAGAGCCATATACTCAGCTTCGTTGGAGCTAAGGGCAACGGATGTTTGCGTGCGGCTTTTCCAGGCAATTGGGGCTCCGGCAAGCAGAAAGATGTATCCAGAGACTGACCGGCGGTTGCCTGTCAGTTGACCACCCCAATCAGAGTCGGTATAACATTTTGGCATGAGGAGGTCAGATGTAATGGACTCCGTGGGTTTATGATAGGTAATTTGCCGATTGATGGAGCCTTTAAGATAGCGTATGGCGTGTATAAGGGCACGCCATGCTTTTTGGGTGGGTTTGGCGTTATATTGGGATAGTATGCCAACCGTCTGGCTAAGATCTGGCCGGGTTTTGGTGGCTAGCCAGGTAAGGCAGCCTACACCACGTTGATATTCTTTGGTGTTGACTGTAGGGTCTGGTTCATCATCAATTATTAGGCTAGGATCCATTGGAATCCTAACAGGATGTGCTTGGGCTTGACCAAAAGAGGCAACAACATCTTCAGTGTAGTCGGCTTGAGATAAAGAAGATGAAGTCTCAGACTGGGAGATGGTCATGCCAAGGTATTTGGTAGAGTTTCCAACTTCTTTTATGTCAAATTTGGCGGAGAGAGTCTCCATAAACCAGATGGCATCATTTTCATGTTTAGCATAGACTTTGAAGTCATCCACATGGGTGGTCACATAGAGTTGGGTCCGGGTAGTGTGGATCCATAGACCAGAGTCATATTCAGAGCATTTGAAGCTGATTTGGCGTAGAAAAGCACCCAGAGTATCATACCAGATGCGGGCAGATGGGACCAATCCATAGAGGGATTGAAGGAGTTCACAGACAAGATCTCCAGAACCTTCTTTGAATCCCTGAACTTGGGTCATAAAGACACGTTTGTCCGTGGGCATTTTCCCATTTAGGAAAGCAAGGGTGGCATCAGCTTTTCGGGTATGCCAGCCAAGCAGGGTGGCCAGTGCCGTGAGGGTTCTGGTAGTATTTTCATTTACCACTGGTGCGTAGGATTCCATGAAGTCTTTATCAAGTAGATTGCCACGAATGACCCAGTGGGCTTTAGCCTGATAATCCTCTGAGATAGGTATGCCGGGGATTTCTTTCTTTTTGTATACCCACCGGCCAGGGATGACTTTGGCCCCTGGTGGTAGGTCAGAACGGCGAATGAGTTGCCAGCAGCCTTTCTCTTTGAGTTGGTTGACTTCCTTTTGCATGGCAGCTTGCCATTTAGCAGCATCAGGATGGGATATGGCCTGCTTATAAGAAGTAGGCGTGTTGTCTTCTGATGAAGGAATGGTTGAAGTGGCAAAGTAAGCTAGGGACATGCCTTTGGCAGGTCGGAGCCATATATCTTGGTCATTGAGAGGTTCATCTTCAACTAATTGAGTTGGGTTTTCTTCGGTAGGGGTGCTGGGACCTTTGGGAGTGGTAGTTGTAGGATCTTTGTAATCCTCATCAAATATAACATCATTGGTGACAAAGACGGTGTCAGTTTTAGGGTCCCAAACACGATATTGATGGCTACTAATTTGGCCAATGAGGAAACAGCAGTGAGAACGTGAATCAAGCTTATTTCCAGGTTTATCTGGTCCATGCTGATGGACCCAGGCTGGACACCCCCAACGGCGATATCCGGGGAGTGAAGAAATGGATGAATTAGTCCACGCTGCCAACGGAGCGCGATAAGGGCTGGGGTGTATGTCCTTGTTGATATTCACCCCCCCAGGAATTTGGGAATTGTATAAGATGGTAGATGTAGGGAGCCGATTTGTAAGATCTGTGGCATATTGGAGAGCATCTACCCAAAAGCGTTCTGGTATATATGGGGCATCAAGCATCATAGCTCGGGCCCGTTCAAAAGGATCCGGATGCCACGTTCACTAACGGCATTTTGCCATGGTGAATATGGCGAGCTTGGTTGCCATTCTATGCCTTCCTGACGGTAGGTTTCCATCCATTCAGTGGAGCGGAATTCATTATCAGAGACTAGGTAGGCAGGAGCAGTGAAGCCATGGTTCTTCATATTTTGAAGCCAGTTCTTGAAGGCGGTAATGGCTGCACTTTTTGTCTCAAGGAAGAGGATCCATCGATAATGTGTGGCATCGTCGGTAATAAGTAAGACATATTTTGCCCCAATTCGGCCAGTGACAACATCATTAGGGTTGTCAAAATCAAGAGTTTGTCCACCGCCGGCGATATCTAGATGGACTCGGGCAAGGGGTTTGGTAACTCTGGACCTAGGGACCTTGCTATAATAGCGTGTCTGTCTAGCCTGTATACAGACTTCACAAAATGGGAGTTCTTTAGAGCCTTTGATTTCGATGCAAGACTCAGGATCTCGGGCGAGGCGGAGGAGATCGGCTTGATTGAGATGGCATAGGCGTCGGTGCCAGGCCATGATAGGTAGGGATATCTTAGTAGTTCGCGGCTTCCCTAGAACCGGGGTCTCTTTTGGAGTAGGAGCCTCAGCTGGTGTCTTAATTGTGGGAGCCTTTGCAGGTGGCTCTTCTGGGCGGTTAACTTCTTTGCCAGACCGGGTGGTGACAAAGGCATAGGAATTTTCTTCTTCTCCAGGAGATAGACAGTCTTCAAGGAGGTAAACATTGTTTTTGAACAATTGGGCTTGGAATTCAGCTCCAGATGGTGTGGTAATCAGCTTGACTTCACAATCTAGTGTATATTGAAGCCTAAAGCCTTGTCGTACAAGCATGCCTTCTGAAATGAGGTTGGAAGTAAAGGAAGGAACATGGCGGACGTCTCTTAGGATCAGAGATCCGTAACCAATATCTATAATCACGGTGCCAATGCCTTGAGGCATAGAGATATGGCCTTGAGCACCTTCCATATAATCTGTCTCCACCAGATCATGCTTCTGCAAGGCCTTATAGGTTGCAAAAAGTGAACGGTCAGGTGTAGAATGGAAAGAGGCACAGCTGTCAACAAACCATTGATTGGAAAATGAGAGAGTCTTTGCAGACTTCACAATGGCAGATTTGGCATTGGAGAGTTTCTTATGCAAGACAAGTTCCTGTGAAGCAGGGTGATCCTGGTTTGATTGTGGGTTTGCTTCAGATTGTTGCTGAACACGGAGAGCATTAGCCATAGTAGTATAGAACTTGCGTCTATACTCTGGTGCTTTCTCAGGATGTTTAAAATAGCATATAAGTCCATGGCGATTTCCGCAGTGATCACAGTCTATAAGTGTATGACGAGATCTATCTTGGTTATTGGAACGTTGAGGAATTGTGTATTTGGTTCCAGATGCTTGTTTTGAATAACTGCGGTTCTGGGAGTTCTCTTTCTGTTGGTTTGACCGGTCTTGAGAATGAGTATCACGGAATTTAGTGCCGGTTCGAGTAGATAATTGGGTCTGGATAACCTTAAGATCCAGGTTGGTAACCGGAGCACGGCCAGTAGAGTAGACATCATCTAGTTTACTCTTGATAAAGGCGCGGTTCCAGTCCCGGAGACCTATAAAGAAGAGGTCATGTTTGAGATTTTCAAGAGATTCTTCTCCAATAGCGTGTAGGCGGTCAAAGATTCGATTAAAGGATGACTGGTAGGTGAGATAATCGTTATCCTTTATATAGAGCTCTTTGAGCTCCATGGTAAGGGCCATTCGCTCTTCACCGGTGGATTTGCCAAAAAGTGTGGCAGCTCGGTCCCAAAGACCATGGGCAGAGAGGTCATATACGGTGCCTAGTTTATTGGAAGCAGGGGTTGTCATGGCATTGAGCATACGGGCTCTCATGACAATGGCTTTTCTGTGCCAAACTGCAGCATCAAGTGGAGATGATCCAGCAGGAGGAGAGTCCTGGTGAAGAGTTGTAATAGCATTGAGAATACCAGCTTCTTTTTGTATGGCAGAGCTCCATGCATCGTAATTATCCAGTGTCAAGATGACACGGCATCGGTCAGGCAGTAGCGTATCGACATCGGCTTGGACAAGGGCAATAGCATTGCTGATATTTGTGTCTGAGGCATCACGCAGAGGCGGTTGGATATCCATTGGTGTAGTATCTTGGGTTGTATTTGAAGGCAAGGAAGCTTGTGGAGTATTAGACTGGATGATAGATGCCAGTTTTAGCTCCATTCTAGCTTCACGGTCTCGCATATCTTGTTCCATCTGATTCTGGCGAGCAAGCATTTGTCGCATCATATCAGCAAGATCAGGGGTAAGTTCGTTTGTGGAAGCCATGTTGGCGGTATTGGTAGAGCTCAGATTGGCTCCGGAAGGCGTTGGGGTCTCTATCTCTTCAGAGACAACTGATGAGGAGGTCTCGTCTATATTCGAGGACCTGTTTTGGAGATTTCGGCGACGTGATCGTCGTATAGCAGTAGCGGGAGGCGTAGTAGGTTCTCCTGACATGCTCAGGTTCGGACCGTATCTGGGATCCTGGAATTTTTGGAATCTGGGGTATGGAATTTTGGTTCAGCCAATCAGAGGGCTTAAATTGACCACTTATACGGGCCTAAAATAGCTCATATTTCCGAGCAAGAAACGGGCTCATAACCTAATAGAAGTGTATTGTTGGTTGGTCACTAGCTAGATAGGCCTACGTGGTGAAAAGGGTCAGCGAGGGCGGACCTATGCGGCAGAATCCCACGTGATCCAACAGAGAAAGCATGCCGCCAAGCGTGGGCAAGTCATCGCCGGTTGTCGCCAACAGCAGCGGTCGTCGACGGCTTCGATTCTCCTCCCCCAGCCGGCCAATTCGCGTGTAAACGCATCCTTTTTCTTGGGGCTGCTGCCACAGTACGACGCCGTTGTCTATCCAATGAACCCGGTGATCGAGGGATCAGAAGTCCGCGCACTCGTGTCTCAGATGGACGAGCGACCCGACGCGGCCGCTTTTGTCTACAGCTACGCAGCCGTCACTCTTTTCCTGACGCGGACGGTGCCGGTCGACCAAACACCGACGGATCGCGAGCGCATTGCAGCCTTCGTGGCGCGCTCGGTAGAGCATCACCGGTCTCCGGGCATGGACTCGCAGCCGTCCATCGTCGATGTCATGACGGACATCTTCGTCCAGATCTGTTTCATCGGGCTACGGCGGCTTGAGCTCGGATTTCTCTACCTACGTCAGGCGATTTCCCTTCTGTACCTGCTCAAGGTCGATTCCGAGGACGCGATGAACGCCCTGGACCCCCGCGAGCGGGCTCGCTACCACCGCGCCTACTGGGAATGCTTCATCCACGAGCGGTTCACGTCCGTGACATGCTACAAGCCAACCTGTCTGCAGCCGCTGCGCGAGCTGCCCGAGCACGACGCGTCGGTGCCGCACCACGTCGAGGACGGGTTCAACTGCACGATCCAGAACTTCCTCCTCATCAACCGCGAGTTCCTGGACTTCTGGCTCGGCGACCGATCGGCCGTCACGCTCGGCTGGGTCGAGCAGCAGCAGCAGCAGCTGGAAGACCCGGAGTGGTACCGCAAGGTCCTGCAGCTGCCTCTGATCCAGCAGGCGGATCTCATCGTCACGCGGCACTGGATCCAGACGCTGACCTGGCAGATCGCGCTGTCGAACTTTCTGCTGTCGTCGTCTGCGCCGTTCCCGCTGCTGTCCGTCTCGTTCCCGCTGCGTCTCTCGAACGAGCTCCAGTCGTTTCTGGCGCATCTGCCCGGGAATTACATCGTTGGCTTTCACGGGTCCGGCATCCTCGAGAAGCTGCTGGAGATTGCTAATACCATTGCCGACGTGGTGCTGCAGCTGGACGATGTGTTTCGGGATGACACCGTCTCGAGGATCAACGACGTTGTCTTTCTCAAGAAGCTGCTGCTTTCCTTTCCGGGGTTCGCGGACCTACAGACTTCTATCTTGACGGCCAAGTTGGAGGCGATTAGTGAGAAATACCCGGTTATGGAATTCGGCTGAGAATTAATAAATAAATAAAACCAAAAGAGTACAAAACTAAAATCTATTGAACTAGGTATATACGCCCCTCATACGGCTGCAGCGCATCCAACGGCTCCTCCTCATAGTTCTTCAACAGCGTCTTATATGTACCACCAAGGCTCGCGGCCAGATCGACAACCTGCCGGTCAGCGGTGAAATTGAGCGCAACGACGAGCTTCTGCTGCACAGCCCTCTTTTCAAAGACGAAAACGGCCTCATTCGACGCATCCGTGTCAGCAAAGACACCCTCCGCAAAGACGGCAGCATTGGCACGACGCACACGCAGCAGCTCCCGCCAGAAAGCGAGCACAGATGCCGGCCGATGCACCTGCCGCTTCACATTGAGCGTGGGGTAGTTGTCGTGCACGCGCATCCATGGCTTGGCGGAGGCAGTGGTGAAGCCTGCGTTGGGCGTGGCATCCCACTGCATGGGCATGCGGCCATGGTCGCGCGCGAGATGGGCCAGCGCGGCCTTGGCCCTTGCGAGCGCGCCGGGGTCATCGCGCCGGTGCTCCTTGACATAGTTGTAGTAGTTCAGGCTGTCGAGGTCCTTGTACTCCTCCTCTATGTCCCAGTCTGCCGGGGCGTTGGCCATGCCGATCTCCTGGCCCTGGTACACGAACAGCGTGCCGGACAGGCTGGCGACGAACATGGCCAGCATCTTGGCGCTGCGCTCCCACAGCTCCGGGTGGGTGACGGCGTCGTCGCAGCCGAAGCGGGAGACGGAGCGCGCCTGGTCGTGGTTCTCGAGGAAGGTCGTGCTCCAGCCGTCCGTGGAGCCGTCGACGAGGGCCTGCGTGCGGGCGACGCGCGCGCGCAGGTCCGACAACGTCCAGTTGCGCGGGGAGGTGTCGTAGCGCAGGCCGGCACCAAAGCCGATGTCGACGAGGTCGAACTGGAAGACCATACTCAGCTGCTTCTGTTTGGCGGAGACGTAGTCGAGGACGTCGGCCATGCGCGGCGTATGCGGCAGCTCGCCGACGGTCATGGCGTTGTACCTTTGCAGAATATGGCCCAGCTCGCGCAGGAACTCGTGGATGCGTGGCCCGTTGCAATACAACGAGTAGGCCGGCTGGCAGTCGAGTGTTGGGTCGATGACGGGCGCATCGGGAAAGTCCAGCGGCTTGCTGTACATGTTGACGGTGTCGACGCGGAAGCCGTCGATACCCTTGCGCAGCCAAAACTCGACGGCGGACTCGTAGATAGCGACGCGCGTCTCGGACAGCTCCCAGTTGAGGTCGGGCTGCTGCACCGCGAACAGATGCAGGTAGTACTCCTGCGTTTCTTCGTCCCACTCCCACGCACTGCCGCCAAAGGTGCTGCGCCAGTTGTTGGGCGGACGTCTCGTCCCGTCGGCATCGTACCTCGCTGGCCGCCAGATGTACCAGTTGCGTTTTGGGTTGGTCTTGGACGAGCGTGACTCCTTGAACCAGGCGTGCTGGTCGGAGGTGTGGTTGATGACCAGGTCGAGCAGAATGCGCATGCCGCGCTCGTGGCAGGCGGCGATCAGCGTCTCGACGTCGGCGACGGTGCCGTAGGGCGCGTAGACGGCCTCGTAGTCGGAGATGTCGTAGCCCATGTCGTGCTGTGGGCTGTCGTACATGGGGCACAGCCAGATGGCGTCGACGCCCAGCGACTGGATGTAGTCCAGCTTGCCGATGATGCCGGGCAGGTCGCCGATGCCGTCGCCATTGGAGTCTTTGAAGCTGGCTGGGTAGATCTGGTAGATGGCGGCTGTTTTCCACCAGGGTGTTGATGATGATGTTGTTGTTGTTGGTGTTGGCTGGGACATGGTGAGTACGGGGTTTAGTCAGGAGATGAGAATAGAGGCAACAAAAGACGAAAAGAATGAAGAGGGCATCTCGACAACGCCGCTGTTACATATACTCCTCGAGCGATGCACTCTTCATCAACGTGAACACGCTCTACTAGCTATTGGCCTCTTGTCGGCCCGACATGTTCACGGCCCACAGCTTGGCACGACGATTGCTGTACATTTGTACACTCTGGAGTATTGAGTATTTACAACATACTTCTGCATAATTACAGTTTGTTCACATTCTCCACAGTCTCCACAGTCTCAGCCTTCCCCTCCTGCATTTCTCGCTTCTCGGCGCAATCGGAGGAGGCCTGGAAAGGATCGACCACTGTCGACACGAACTTGCGCGCGGGAACCCGCTGCTCAAACAGCATATCCAGCTCAGCGTAGGTGCGGCCCTTGGGCTCCGGCAGCCGGAAATACGTCCACACGAGACAGAGGAAGCAGCTGCCGGCCCAGAAGAAGCCGGCCTTGGCTCCCCAGTCCCAGGCAGACGGGTTCAACATGCGCGGGGTCAAGATGTTGGCGATGATGCCGATGATGTTGAGCACGTTGCGCGCGAGCACGACCGTCTTGGTGCGCAGGCGGGACGAGCTCAGCTCCGAGACGAGCGCGTAGCAGACGGGGCCGACGGTGGCGTCGTAGAAGAGGGCGAAGACCAGGAGCAGGCTTCCAATGGCCCAGGAGACGCCGGTGCTGTCCGGCACGCAACCCAGAGCGCCGATGACGACCAGCAGGACGCTCTGTACTGTCTGCCCGGCCAGGTAGAGCGTGCGCCGGCCGAACGAGTTGATGAGAAACCACGAGATGATGGTGCCAACGGCGCCGAGCGCATACTGAATCAGCGACATGGTGAAGGCGTTGCTCGGCGCCAGACCGGCTTGCTCGTAGAAGTAGGTCGAGTAGCCCATGAAGGTGCTGCCGCACAGGTTCTGGATGGCCCAGGTGAGACAGACGATCTCCGTGCGGCGCAGATTCTCGCCGCGGAAGCAGTCGACGTATGAGGTGCCCTCGGTGATCTGGCGCTCGAGCTCGTTCGTACGTCTGATCATGGCGATGGTCTTGTCCGGGTCGAAGTCCGGGTCTGCGCGCGACGTCAGGCGAGCCAGCGACTTTCTGGCATCCGCGATGCGTCCCTTGCGAACCAGCCACCAGGGGGACTCGGGCGCCAGAGCCACACCCAGCATAATCGGCAGCGGCCAGGCCCACTGGCAGGCAAAGGGGATCTTGTACGCCCACTTGTCCTGGAGGGGTTGCACGCCCTTGAGCACGCCCGAGACGATAAACTGGCCCAGCACCCAGCACAGGTTGACGTAGGTGGTCAGATACGGGCGCAGCACGACGGGACACACCTCGGAGGCGTAGGTGGTGGTGAGCGTCTGGAACACGCCCCACGGGATGCCGAGCAGGATCTCGCCGACCAGCAGCACGGTCAGGCTGCTGGCGAAGAACACGATGAAGATGAAGCAGGCCACGAGGGCCAGCGCGCCCATGATGGTCTTGCGGTAGCCGAAGCGGTCGCAGACGATGCCGTTGACGAACAGGCCCAGGATCTCGCCGACGAGCGCTGCGTTGGACAGGCCGGCCTGCCAGGCGGCCGTCAGCTGGTAGCTGCCGTCGGGGAGCTGGCGGCCAAAATCCTTCTGGAACGGGCCCATGGCGTACAGGCTGCCGATCAAGACGACGTCGAAGCCTTCCATGACGATGGCGGTGGAAAACAGGACGGACCAGCCCACGGCATAGGGGTACCTGCGGAAGCCCTGCCACAGGGTCATGGTGTGCTCTGTCTCGAGGCCATGGCGGGCCTCGTTGTCGTCGTCGGCGTGACCGTCCTTGGGGTTGGGAGTTTGAGGAAGGTCCGACATGGTAATGGCGAATAGACGAAGATAACCATTGGAACCTGGGGACGAGAGCGATAGTCGCTATCCCCAGCTTTTATAGATCTGTTTCCCCAGATTCTCCCCGTCTACCGGGTACTGATGGACTGGGACTGTTCACGAACAGGGACGACTTCGGGCCGACATGGGACCAATCACGCGGCAGCATCTGGTCTTCCCGATGGGATGCGATGTCGGGCCGACAATGCTCCAATGGAGAGAGCAAGGAGGCTTTGTGGAGACTGGAGAGCATGACGAGAAAATGGCCGAATCAGTCACCAGCCCTAGCGTACGGACAGACTCTGGATCATGCCATGGCCTGCAGAGATCAGTGTTCAGTGCAGCAAAGCAAACCAAGCAAACCAAGCAAACCAAGCAAATAAGTACAGTGCTCCATGCCGGATGTTTGAGATGAGGAATTGATGTCTGTTGAGTTGGAGTTGGAGAGGACGCAGTTCCATGACATCCCTGTCACATGACGTTGTTTCATGTTTGCAGGCAGTGCAAACAGCAGATGTTTCATGTTTAGCCCTAGTGCATGATCGGAAGCTCAGCGGGTAATTCCGACTATGTGCTTTGCTTGTGCTTTGCGCTTCGTGCTCTACTACTCTACACAACAGAACAGAAACAGACACAGAGACACAGAATGAACTCTTAAGCCCTCAACGCCTTCACCAAAACCCTCCACGCAACCCCTGGTTTCCATCTAATAGGAAGGATCCTTTCCATTGAATATACGCCAGTGCAGTTACAGTTCACAGTGGACACACATTTGCCTTGGCATGGTGGCCCACGTTTGCTTGTTCTGTCTTGACTTTCTTGACTTTCTTGACTCGCTTGTCCTGGCCCATTTTCCCTGCACCAATTCCTGCGCAAAGGGGGATGTGCAAGTGACACTGGCCAGTATGTGATTTGACTGTTAAACTTAGTATTCATCGGGTACTCCGTGCTGTGTACATGCTTCTAGAAGCCCCTTCTTCCCCACTAACCAAGACTGGATAAGCCGATCAATGCCTTCCGATGTCAAGGACAGAGTAAACCTCGGTTCAACATCCTCATGCTCTCTCACTCCGTACTCCGACTGCAGGATAAATCATAATATAAATCATGCCATATTCGTGCCATCCATTCATTACTATAGCACACACACAGTGTTATGCCCCATGCAGTCCAAAATGCTCTTCCGCAACTTCACCGACTCCGGCCGCACCGAGACCCGTCGAGATCCTCGACTTCGACTCCCGCAACAACGGCTGGTTCCAGGTCGCCGCATATGTCCACAACTCATACCCCAGATAACCCCCGGAATATCCCCCTCAATCCTCATCAGCGCCGCCGGCGTGTCAAACTCCACGGCCCTCCCCTCGTCCAGCACGAGAATCCGGTCGAAATCTGCCACCGTCGACACCCGGTGCGCGATCACCACCAGCGTGCACCCCTGCATCTCCGCCCGGATCGTCCGCTGGATGCGCGCGTCCGACTCCATGTCCACCGACGCCGTCGCCTCGTCCATGATCATGATCCGTGGCCGCCGCACCATCGCCCGCGCCAGACAGAGCAACTGTCGCTGGCCCTGCGAGAGGTTCCGCCCTCCTTCCGAGATCCGCGAGGAAAGCCGCAGGAAGCTTTCCCCTTCCCCTTCCCCGATTGCCTTGTTCAGCGCGTCCTGCAGCTCGCCCTCGTCGTACTCATCGAATGGGTCCAGCACCTCGCGCACCGTGCCCGAGAATACCACCGGATCCTGCGGGATGATCATCACTCGCGAACGCAGATCGTGCAGTCGCATCTTGCTAATGTCTACTCCGTCCATCCAGATTGTCCCGGACTGCGGCTGGATCAGCCGCAGAAGTGCCAGGGCCAGTGACGACTTCCCGGCTCCCGTTCGTCCGACTATGCCGATCCTTTCGTTTGCCCTCACCGTAAAGCTGACGCCCTTTAGGACGGGGGGCAGATCTGCTGCGTAGCTGACTGTCAGGTTGTCAATTTCAATACTTCCTTTGTCTGGCCAGCGAGCTGGGACGTCAACTCCACTTTGCGGTTCCTGTTGCAGCTCTGTATATTCAACAATGCGCTCCGCCGCGTTAAAATCAAGTTCGAGATGCGTGTACTGATGCAGGAACCAGTACATGTTCCCGGACAGTTCAAGCGCGAATCCAAGAGCAAACCCAGCAATGGGTGCGTCGAAACTTTTGACAACAACAAAGACTACTGCAATGGCAGTGACGAACTAGCAAACAACCACAGTCAGCAGCGGAAAGCGGGACTAGGGATACAAGGATACAATAGAAAGACTTTAGACGCACGCTGGCTCCAACCATGCTAAGCCAAAATGACATCCAGCATCCGTACAGATCCTGATGCCAACGCGCTTGACAATGCTCGTCAATCAATGCATACAGCCGTTGCAGATACCTCTCCTCCATCCTGAATGCGCGTACGGTCGGCAGCCCAGAAAGCAGCGAGCCAACCTGTTCATAGACAGGAGACCGCGCAGTTCTTTCAAGCCTCTTCGTCTCTCGGGCCCCGGCAATATAGAACCATGCAACGCTACACGACGCCACCAGGGACAGAAAACCAGGCCCCATGATCAATGGCAAGCTCACCAGTGCTGCCCCAATGGAGCTCAGAACGAGAACACCACTCTGCAGGAGAAATGCCAGCCCATCCGCGACATCTGAATCCAGCGTGCCAAAGTCCGAGGTGAAGCGATTGAGGATTCTTCCAGCCGGTGTTGTGTCGAAGAAATGGAGCGGCATCCGTGTGACGGTGTTGGTGAACCTTTCAAAGAGAACCCTTGACGCACGAATCGAGCCCCTGTAGATGAATCGGTAACGCGCGATTTCCAAGACGAATGATAGCAATGACAATCCCACCAAGACAGACACGTAGAACACGAGCCTGTTGTCAGCGTGCGCGGGAGAGCTTTGGTATTCCCTGGTCCAGATGGATATCCAGAACGGTACTGCAACACTGAGTGCTACGGTAAGGCATGATACCAAGAGAACAAATATCCAGTGGACGTAGCCACCACATGCCTTCATATACGTTTTATACACTTCACCCTTTACGCTTCCTGTTGCACGTTTCTCGTCCTCATAGAATCTTCTCGGGGCGGGGGCCGTCTCACCCTTGAAACTTGTTGTCAACTGGTCGGCCTTCTGGATCTCTGCCACTTGTACCTTGGCATTGCCATGTAGCTGTTCAGACATGTTCTGTGCAGTGTCAAAGCACCCCCTTTGAGTGAGAGCCAGGGGGTGGCCGGCTTCTAACACACGGCCATTAGCAAGCACCACTAAATACTCTGTTCCGTCCAAGCATAGCGGAACATGGTGGGTGACGAGAATTCGGGTTCGCTCATGGCATATCTTCCCTGTCAATGCCTTTTCGTAGAGATGGCGGCCAACGTGCACATCAACGGCGCTGAAGATATCATCCAGGATTAAGATCCCAGCACGGCTATACAAAGCTCGCGCAAAGGCCACACGCCACTTCTGGCCACCACTGAGATTAATGCCATTAGCTCCCACCTCAGTCATGTCGCCGTCTGTGAGCGCTTTCAGATCGTCCCTGAGCGCACACGCGTTGAGTACCTCGCTATACCGCTCTGCATCGAATGGAAGCCCAAACAGAATGCTCTCCCGGATTGTCGCATTTTCAATCCAGGGATCTTGGGAGACATATGCGACAAGCTCACTATCTATCCAATTCTGCCGGTTGAAATCGGTGTTCAACTCATCGTCTGCTCTGCGCGGGACTGTAAGGCTTCCCTCGACAACTTTGGCTTCCCCTATGATAGACTGAAGAAGCAGGGTTTTGCCTGAGCCAGTTCTGCCTGACACGACGCTGAGTTTCCCGGTTGGGAAATCAAGGCAGAGGCCTTTCAAGCAGAATGTGTCCTCCTCGAACCCCTCCTCCTCTGACTTCTCAGTCGGCCAGGTTATCGTGGCTTTCCTGAACGAGATCGTATCACCGGGCAGTCTATCATCACCGCGTTCTTGCAACTCCAGGAATTTCTCCACCCGATGAGCGCTCACTGCTGCATCAGACAATTCTGTCAGCAGTTCTGGCAAGATTGATAGCGTAAGCTGCAGGCCCTGGAAAATTGAAACTGCCGTGAATGCTGTGGATGCCGTGATCTTGTGGTTGACAAGCACATATACTAGCAAAGACATAATGCTCATGCAAACAGGCCCGAATGACCAGATGGCGACCATGGCGAGACTGAACCAGAAAACCGCATGTTGATGTGAAAGCTCAATCTGGCGCAGCTTGATGATTTTATCAGACCACTGCCTCTCTGTTGAGCTGAATTTAATCTGTCGGATACCTCGCACCGCTTCTGTAAGCACGGCAGACTTTTTATCGCGTGACTTCATCAGTGTTTCCTCGGTTTCGGTATATCGTTTCATGATACAATAGTAGACCGGCGACAGTAAGATTGGAATGCCACAGCCAGCTAATACTGGTCTCCACCCCAATATCTTTGTCAAAAATAGTATCCCCAGAGTCAGGTCAAGTGCGCAGTCCAGCATGGTATGGCTGGAGTTCGCGAAGTTGGAGATCTTATCAGCATCGACACCAAGAAGATTGAGGATAGAATTCCTTGTCCTTGGAGGACCACCACCACCACCATCATCATCATCATCATCATCATCATCATTATCCTTGTCTTCTTCTTCGCCTTCTTCAGGGTCCATGGTCTTGCCATCCGTGGTTGAGCCCACCACCACTGTATCCTTTAACCGCAATATCTTACTGGTAATCACTGCAAACAGCTGCTGGTGGATCGGAAGAGACAGTTTTAGATCGGATATCCCATCTACCAATGATCTGAGCCATGAGGACAAAACCATGGAACCCCCAAGGGCCGCTGCCATCAACCATAGCTGAAGCTGATTACTGGCTCCAGCATCGCGCTGTTCAAAGAGACGAAGGATCTTGAAGAGCAGCACTTGGGGAAGGAAACGGCAAGCACAGTCGAATACCTGGAGAACAAAGACAGATAGAAGACGGGATGAATATATTTGCAGGAACTTCCTCAGGACGTTTGTGGCAGGGCGAGATGCAAAATGATCATAAAGAGTCTGAGCACGCTCTTCATGGCCAACAACAGGGAGATCATCTGCATTTAGTTGTTTTGTTTTTGCAGCTTGGACCATGGTTTCTGTAGCCCACCAGAAGGTATATCGGCTGAGAAAGCATACACTTTCGCGCCGATCTACTAACTTTCCATCCCGGTAAGCGTTTGGTGCCCGGGGAATTGACAGATTGGTTAGTGTCAGGATGAATGCTGCCGATATCTGGACCCAGGTCAAAATTCCATCCAGCTTGGAAGGCCCTGCAGCGCCCTGTATCCAGCCCAGAGCATTTATAAAACTGGCCACAGCTCCTTCCACTAGACACGCTATCGCGCTATAGCATCCCAAAAGGTATCTGTCTTGACATCTACTGCGGGTGACAAGAATGCATTCTTGAAAGAGAATGACACTCTTTCATTAATTAGCCACTGCCGTGTCTAGCTGGGATTCTTGTGTTGTCACTTACCCAAGCAGCCAGTTGTAGAATCTGAGATGTCATCCATGCTGTCCCAGTCAGCACAGAGAGAGTGGCAATGGCAGCAACAACTGCGAGAACAATCCTTTGGTGCACAGCTTTTGATGAATAGGTCAAGACATATTCATCGGACGAGTTGGTGCTGGTAATCACCAACCCTGGATATTCTTTCCCCGGTTGAACCACGATGAGTTGGCGCACATGAGGGATAGACAATAAGACTATAAATGCCAACCCAGCGGTGAAAATGCTCTCCGGGTGCTGGGAGATCGTCTCTAAAAGGCCCATGGCTGGATCTGTTGCTGTCGGGGGCACCCGCAGGGAATGGAAGGCAGGCTCCATTGCGTCTTTTATAGAAAGGAATAAGCAATGAAAAATAAAATAAAGTAAGAAGGGCAGATATTTTTATTTGACATTGATTAAGCAAGGTCGCTGCAGCCTAGAAGAAAGTGAGTCAATATGGCTCTGATCGTCTTGTTTGGCTCCGCTTTGGGACATTGGACATGTAAGCCAAAAATATGGAGCATTTCTTTCTATAATTATGCTGACTCCTGATGTTACATCCGTGCTTCAAGCATGTATTTGTGTGCTGGGGGCACTACAAATCCATGGATAGGACACTTCTTTGTCCTGGCTCTTATCTTGAGATACTGCCTACCGAGTTGGACGGTCAGACTCCGCCATACTCAGGTATGGTGGAGTCCATGGCGGGAGGGTATTTAAGGCGAGCCTCCTCCTAGATAGTTTCGAAGAATCAGGCATACTTTTCATTTTCAGGTTGCTTCACTAGTATCGGTATTGTCATATAGCCTTCCCCTTGTTACATTGTTTCTTCGCTAAGCCGTTCCGCGCCGTGCTGTATCGCGGCATCGCTTCAGTACATTCATCCCTGTAATCCCTCGACCACAACCCAGTTCCTTTCGCAGGGAACAATGTACGTACGCCCCCCTTTACACCAGCTAGCCCTCAGCTGGTGGGGTGCCGAGGAGGCAATTTTCAGCATCCTTCTGAAACTAGATAGGAAGCAAATGGTGGTTGCAGATGACGAAAGCCACAATGCTGTCAGGGCCCTTGCCATGTAGACCAGGACGAGCACGTGAGCTTCCTTACTTGGATTAGCGTGGCGCGTGGATAGGAGTACGTCATCCAGCTTCACGTAGATCTCTTCCTTTTTTCCTTCCTCTCCATGCTTGAAGTTCTCGTCGATAGCTGCCTAGATAGCTGAATAGCATCCTATTCATCGTCTAGTTGAGTTCCGTGACAAATGCTGCCTAAGGATTGTTGATCTAGTTCGGAGACATATCAGCATACACAGGAAAGAGAAGAAGAATCTAGTTTCAAGAAGAAACGTCAGCATATAGGCAAAAGGAAGTAAAATCTGGCACCCCCATGGCGGCGAGTTGGATTCATTCATGCCATTCCTAATTAAAGAAAGGAGCAGGTCCCAGCCCTCCAAGATGGGCCTTATCTTCCTCAGTCAAGCCATGCCTTCTTGTACGGTGCAGATTCTGTGGTGGAGTTTGCATTTTTGAGGCAGACCTCTTCCAGTTCAGTTTGGACACAGTGGAAGTATTTGATTCAGACACAGGTGGATTCAGGGCTTTACTAGTAGGAACAGAACGTTCCTGTACAGCAGGCATGTCAGTAAGCTAGATAGTAGAGATGGAAGGAGCCCATATTGCTGTAAAAGTTCGAATATAAAATTCATTTTTGTACTAGATACACGAAGGATCCCTTGGGAGGAAGAAGAAGAGAGACAACGACATGCCAGCAACAAACAGAACAAATGATACAAATAAGGTAAGTGTCACGGAACTCAACTAGACGATGAATAGGATGCTATTCGACTATCTAGGCAGCTATCGACGAGAACTTCAAGCATGAAGAGGAAGGAAAAAGGAAGAGATCTACGTGAAGCTGGACGACGTACTCCTATCCACGCGCCACGCTAATCCAAGTAAGGAAGCTCACGTGCTCGTCCTGGTCTACATGGCAAGGGCCCTGACAGTAAGCAGGGTGCTCAGGCGTTGGACCTGAGTTGCCATATGCCTGGGCGTAGCCCATGACATTATGCTCCCCCTTCTCCCCCCTCCTCTGGAGGCTTCAAATCGGTCAAATGTGGTGACATTCTCAAGGGCTTCATGGGGTTCCCAAGTGGGGTCAGGATAGCCTACCCATTTGACTGGTACTTGTTATTGTTTGTGACTGTGGCATCTGGTCTTTTGTTCAGCTAATATCTGTTCCACAGCTCATTCTTGTGGGTTTCCATTATCATTGGGGACCAAGGTAGCAGGTGGTTGATGGTGTTGAAGCTGTTGATTTGGCAAGGGATTGGTGGTAGCTGGTCTCAGTAACCAAGTGTGGAAAACAGGACGAACACTGTGACGACCGTACCTGAGGTATGACCGTCAGCATGTGACCCTGGCACGTCTTAGAAGGTGCCAACAGATTGAGCAAGTAGGGCATAGGGCTAGGGCTGAGGGCAGGCAGCTGCTCTCGCCTCTTTCCTTCTTCTCCTCGTGTACGATATTCCTAGACCGTACGGCCAAATAGCGAGTTGCTTTTCTCTTTTCATCCTATTATAGCTGATCGTCACAGGTGTGGTATCCTAGACTTGGGCTAATACAAATGCAAAGCAACTATCCTAATTACTTAACACAACATCTCAGTTGTCTGTCACCCACTCCATCCAGGATCCATATGGCATTCTTGGCCATGATTGAGAATCTGCTTGTCTCCATCGCTTCTACCTAGGAAGCTACTTAACCAAATGACAGTACATCGCTTCAATTGCGTAATCAGCCTGAGACAGGTTATACCTAATGATTCATCCCTGCATGTCCGATTATACTAAAGATACAGCCCCTCCAAGCCAAATAGAATTGAAAATGTCATGACATCCTCCTCCAGTATCCCAGTTATTGATCTCTCACTTACCACCTCCCCAATGGGCTGCGCAGGCCCTTTGCGGGAATTCCACAACACCATTACATCCATCTCCAACCACCGCATCCTGGTAAAAATGATCACAGACTGCGTAGACATCCTTACCGCTCTCTTTGCGCTGCCACATAAGGCCAAGAGGTGGCGTTAAGCATTCCCCGGCATCTTCTGGGGTATAGGAAGGCGTGCGAGGAGACAATTAGAGAATAATTTGAGTGTGCAGCTGAATTATACGCCCGTGATGGGCCGGGTATGAGAATTTGAAGGGCCTGACAAAGCGGGCGTGTGGGTTGACACACTCGCCATTTCGGACATGGTCGAAGTATTGTAATGCGGGGTCCACTCTGACTTGGGAGTCTTCGTCTGAAAAGCAGGGGCGTACCGGCTCATGGCATCATGGGAGGTGAACTGAGGTCCGAGGATGAAGGAAGGTACGAAATTAGAAGAATCTTGTGAATGACAACCAGACAAATCTTTGGTGATTCCCGTTATGGGAGAATCAGGAAGATTGTTCATGGTCATCACCGGCGACAGTCGCACGGCAATGTCAGGACTCTGCACCTGGGGGTCAGGGCGGGAGTAGAGCGACTGCAGCACGCGCAGATCTGAAAGAACATCTTTGGGGAACTTTTCAACTCTCATTGTTCCTGTTGCCTGGATCCCACGACGGATTGCAGCCATTGGCTCACCATGCCAGGATTTGAATTGTACACCGTTATTAGTAGCAAGGAGCTCGTTAGCATTCCAAAGATAGATTATCTGATATAGGCCGCCATTCGAACTTTCAGGTATGAGGTTATTTTGTTTTTGGTACTCGCAGTACTCTCTTGCTGATGGGCAGATCCTTGATGATTGGAAACCTTGTTGTGATTCCCTTATTCTCCTTTCATAATCGCTAATCTCAAATTCGATAAAAAAAAGAAGCTGTGAGGGGACAAATACAAATCCAGGATCACTCAAAGAGTCGAACGCGGTGTGGCAATTAGGGCACAGAGATATCGCGTTTTCGATGCCTGACAGTGAAAACCCTAGCAAGCCTCGCTGCCGGAGCACACGCTCCTAAAATATTAAATCGTTATTAGAAAATGAATGAAGTTTTAAGAACTCTCATGCTTCGCGGATACTAACCAACATCCACTCTGCCTTAGGGAAAACATGGCACCCTTGATAGAGTAACACGCCACAAAGCCAGCAGCCCCCGTACAGTCTGAGTAACTCAGCCCTGACTGTGTCTGAAAAATTCCCATTCGAACTCTGTCTACTTGAAGTAGATGATCTCATTTGCCTTCGTCTGTTGGGATTCAATCTCCAAGTTGCGTCAGCCATCATGTTCCAACGAACCATCTGATAAAATAGGAAGAAACGGAGAGAAAATGGAGAGATTCACTGACCTTTGGATACATAACACACAGTACGCACCTTCTTTGCGTGAGGAAGGTGGAAACTACAAAGTAGCAAGGCCTAGCAGATCTCGGTTTCCTTTGCACCATAAGTACGGCAGTCCATAGCCGCCATAAGTCCAATTTAACTCTTAACGCTAAGAAGCCTTACCCACCGCCTGTAAAAAAAAAGAGGCAGGTTAAATATAAAATAGAACGAACCGGATCGATGGTGATAAATTCCGATGAGACAGAAATCCGAATACGCAGACGAAAGTGATGTTCTTTGCTGTCAGCAAGGATATGGCTCAATGCCAAGGACATATAGATGAGGTCGACATTCAAAGTGGATCTCCCACAACCGCATTATCTATTGTTCCCTGCCGAATCCGGCGGACCCTCTGAATGCCGGCTCCACCTTATTCCGTATATCCTCGCTTAATCTTTGGCTGGAACTGAACTGAGAACTTAGTAACTAGTTAAGTGGTAATAACGTTAGTCAACAATTCCCTCTACGGCCGGTGCAGCGCCTGTCTTTGGTGGCATTCAGAAGGGGAAAGTCTCCCTGATGGTAGTATCAAAATCCTATATAGTGGCTGGCATATGCAAGTGAAATAAAGACCGGTAACTCTGATTAGATCTGCCTGTCTGTGCGCTGCTCGCGATGGATCACACTCTCCACGATGGTTCGAACCATCTACATCCCATACACCACTACCATCATCAAGCGCGGACGGACAGAATGAGCCCGCTTTCTTTCAATGAAGCCACCAGCACGGCGGTCGAAGCGACTGAATTAAGACACCAACAGCCACACAGCTATGTTGGCAGTGATGAGGAATCCCAGCCACCCCCTCGGTACACGCGGGAGAATGACCCATTGCATCTGTCGTCCAAATTGAAGTCACCCGAGGAGATCAACCAGATCCAGGCCAACACTTCTCGAAAGCGAAGCAGTATCACGCGGTCCATCATCAAGGATAACCAGACTGGCTGCTCGAAGAGACTGCAAGGGTTCTACCATGAGCAGAATGAGAACATCCACCGCATGCTGAAACCTGTGGAAGAGCACGTCCGCGCAGCTAAGGAACTTAACGATAACAACCAGCTGAAGTACAGGATCGCAGTATATGGCAGCTTCGCCGCCAATGTGATCCTGGCCATTCTACAGATCTACGGTGCCATCTCCTCTGGATCTCTCTCCCTGTTCACTACCATGGCAGACGCCATCTTTGACCCCATGTCCAACCTGACCCTCCTCCTGTGCAATAAGGCCGTCAACCGCGTCGACCCCCGCAAGTTCCCCGCGGGGAAGGCCCGAATCGAAACAGCCGGCAACATCTGCTTCTGTTTCCTCATGACCTCCGTCTCGTTCATCCTCATCGCCTTCTCAGCCAGAGAGCTAGTCGACGGCAGTGACTCCGAGACCAACAAGTTCCACGTCCCCTCGATCGTAGCCGTGGTCATCGCCTTCTGCACCAAATTAGCTCTCTTCATCTACTGCTTCGCTATGAGGAACCAGGTCTCGCAGATCCGCATCCTCTGGGAGGACCACCGCAATGACCTCCTCATCAATGGATTCGGTATCCTAACTTCCGTCGGCGGCAGTAAGCTCCGCTGGTGGATCGATCCCATGGGCGCCATTATCCTGTCTGTTCTTATAAGTTGTCTGTGGCTTTATACGGCCTACAACGAATTCCACCTGCTTATTGGCGTCACGGCAGATATCAAGATGCAACAACTCATTACGTACATTTGTAAGTTCCCCTCCCCCAGCATACACCAATAAAGTAGTAAACATAAAGCTAATAAAACAAGCAATGACCCATTCCCCATTCATAACAGCCATTGACACAGTCCGCGCCTACACCTCCGGTCCCCGTCTCGTAGTCGAGGTCGACATCGTCATGGACCGCAACGACTCCCTGCAGGCCACCCACGACGTTGCCGAGGAGCTGCAGATGAAACTTGAGTCCCTGCCGGATGTGGAACGGGCCTACGTGCATGTTGATTATGAGACGACGCATAAGCCGGAGCATTTTCTGAAGAAGGAGTTGTGATTTCCCCTTCTTCCCATTGTTTGGTTGTAGTTTTCAGGGAATCAATTTCCTGCTGATGTTATACATGGGCGGCTGTGGTAAGGTATGGCTCGATTGCTTAAAATCAGAATGTCTTTGGTTTACTTGATATTGCTGCGTTGAGGATAGGAAGTAGAGGAGGATGAAGTAGAATGAATGGACTATCGTAAATAGATATTCTTGCAATTGAATGATACGAAACTACCACTACCTTCAACATAGGCTGTAATTGTAGACTTGTAGTAGCAGCGAGACGTGATTCTTATTTCAAAATGGAGCTAGCTATCTAACTGGACTATAGTTATTTCATTTGGTAGTACATGCATATAATATCATATTTCCCTTAATCTCCCTTATGGTCTACAGGCTCATACCCATGCTCATACTTTTAATTCATCACTGCTGAAACAACCCAATGCTAGCACAAAAATTGCTCTCGTTATCACTCTGCAGCACAAGACTCTTCCCCCCTGAAGAGGTAACCATGTTCGTGCTCGCCTTGGTGCTGAGGCCGTAGATTTTGATATCAGAGCAGTCCACTTCGACCATATTCTCCTGGCACGACTCCGTGTCAAGACAGGTCTGTGAGTAATTGTCAAAGAAGCTATACAGACCCGCTCCATAGATGTACACATCCGACGATTCGAGGACCCGCAGACCCCATGATTTCTTGCACGCGTCGGTGGTACACGTGGAAAAGTCCGGGTCATTCCAGGCCTCCTTTTGAGGGGTGAAAGGGACCATGGCGTTGGGGTTTGACTGGTAGTAGGGTGTTTCGGATTGGATGAAGCCCATGAAGATGTTCTGAGCGTTCGCGACTTGGTAATTGTATAACTGGTTGTGTTCAGAGGAGGTGCCATACAGCCAGACGGGGCCTTTTCTGCTTTCAACGAAGATGCCGCGGCCGGTATAGATGTCGATTTGACTATGGTCCTGGAGGTCTAGTTCGTGGTCTGCCGTCCAGGCCCAGACGTTTTCCAGGTATGCGCTTGCTTCCTTGGTGATGTGGAGGAGCATGAAGGCCCCGATACATTTAGGGTTGGGGGTGTTGGTTATCTTGGGGTCTTTCTTGCAGGTGTCGCTTTGTAGCTCAGTGCCCGCAGATCCGCCCACACGGAAATGTACATCCCACATTCCTGCGGATCCTTGAGAGGATTGTGCGAGGTTCCACTCCATGAGAATCGCGCCAGGAGCTGGGCCTTTAGTCTCCAGCATCAGATCTGACAGTTCTACAGACCCGCTGTCGCCCTTCTGACCGATTTGAAGCATAGGGATGGGGTTTAATTCGTCCGCGAAGGCAGGCCCAGATGCCATGAGAAGCGGCCAGACTTCGCCGGTGATCTTGATGTTCTTAGGCACTTTAAGGGTGGATGTGATAATATAGGCTCCGTGGTCGAAGTAGACAATCTGGTCTTCAGTGACACTGTCGAGCACTTTCTGGATGACTTCCGTGTCATCCGTCACGCCATCTCCCTTAGCTCCAGCATATTTGACGCTCACAAAGGCAGAAGCAGGGTAATCTTCGTATAGAGGCTTCGATCGTTCAAAGATTGTATCACCGCCGTTCAAAAGCACGCCAGGTAGTTTCTGAGCAGGTACCGTGCCCTGAAGGCGGGTGTTGGTGATTGGTTTGCTCGCGCAGGTACTAGGAGTGTTGGAAGCCGAAGCGGATGTCTCTGTGGACGCCATTGGGATTACGGTTTCCGAGCTGCTCGGAGTGAGAGACGACGGGGTACCGGGTGTGAGAGAAAGGGAAGGTTTCTGAGTAGACATGCCGGTTGGAACAGAAGAGCCCGTCGAGGCCAAAGATGGCGCACTGCGTTCGGTAGAAACCTCAGCAGGCGAGGGACTGGAGACGGACTGGGCAGCCGAAGCAGGGCCTGCAGCCCCAGAAGGAACAGGACAGGAGGATCCAATGACTTTCACAACTTCAACCCTCTGGACTACGCGGGTCTCAGAATCCTCTGACCGTTTTTTCTGGGCGTTGCTGGAGGTGTACGCGTGGCCCTGCACCCAGTTGGAAACAACAGAGCCACCAGGGAGGATCGTGTTGCCTTGAATGCCGGCGATGGCAACCTTGGAGCCCGTGAAGTCCACGTTGTCAAGGACCAATGTACCACCGCTGACAGGAACATTGTTGGTCGAGTAAGCTGTGACGATGCCAGTAGGTGTATTCGTCAGCTTGGCATCGAGGAGCATGACGGAGCCGACGGTCTGATTCTGGGGTGAATTGGACATGTTGAGGCCAACTCCGCAGTTATTGATATCCACCGACTTGAAGGTCCAAGCCCAGTTCCAGTTCATGAAGACGGCGGTATTGCAGTTGTTGAACGTCAGGTTCCTAGTCGTGAACTGCTGGTTGCCCACAAACATTCCATAGTTTCCTCCATTGAACGTAAGGTCAGACATGAAGCCGCCGGAACCGTTGTCCATGAAAACCCCAATCTGCTTGTTGGCATCACCGCCACCCTTAACCATCTCGAAGCGGATATTCTGCAAGCTCGTGGCCTGTGCGACTTGCCAATGAATACCGGCTCCAGAGCTCTGGGGCATGGCTGTCAGGTCAATGACAAAATTGCGAATTGCACGGAAAAAGTTATTCTGATTGGTATACCAGTTGTCTCCAGAGTCGGTGTATGGATCAGAATCGATCACGGCCATTCCACTAAAACTGGATGCGGCCTTCAGAACAGGGGGATTGAGAGCATCGCCAACCATCTGGGTGTAGTAGTATTGGATAATAGGCTTTGAGACCACATAGGTGCCTGGAGGGAAGTAGACTAAGGCTGGGGTAGTGGTAGAAGAGTCGCAGCCATAGCCACAGCGATTTCCCGAGGAGATAGCCTGGTTGATGGCATTCGTGTCGTCGGTTGAACCGTCACCTGGAATGTTGTCAGCGAGAGCAGGAGAAACTATGAGTCCAGAGAGACATACCCGTTGCACCGAAATCCTTCACATTCCTAAACAGGTTATAGCCAGTATTATTCCCGAAGGCAGCAGTTCCCTGGCGCTTGATATTGGCGACCCAGTATCCTGACATGGCAGCAGCAGAATCCCCAGCCTCGCGTAAGGGGATGGCCTGGACGAGGCACGAGGGAAGCCCGACTAGAAGAAGATGTATGAAAAACAACATAACAGGCGAATGGAAGGCCATCTTGGACATGGAATTCAGAGAGAACGAGGCGAAGTGACTTAGCCAAAAGGCAAAGTCCACATGAAAGAACTGGGAATGACAATTGGGGGTTTGTTCTAAAGAAGAAAGAGAGGAGAAAGGAGAGAAAGAAAGTAAAGATTGGAAAGAAGATGGGAAGAAGAAATAGAGAGAGGGAAGTGAGTGAAGGGACAGCAGACAGTCACTTGATGGGCCAGCTCAGCAAGACAACTATCACTGGGAACACAATGAGTGAATGACACTGTGCTTGCAGTTGCCAAACAGAAAGAAAGAAAGAATAGAATAGTTCAAGTCAATTGAACAACCAGCCGTGGGAAAAAAGAAAAGGAAAAGAAGGACAACACTGAAGGATGCCAGCCTTTAAAAAGGGGAGGGTGTTTGAAGGAGTCCTGCCCAATGCATTATCTCCACACATCCCCACCACCAGCAACCAAAACCCCCTTGCTACCTGACCACCCTGTGTGATCTGTACTAGAAGCACAAGCAGCACTGGACAGCCATCAAACATAGTTTGATCAGGGCAAGACAACGCTGAAACACCCGCCACCCGCCTGCAGAAGGCATCCATTGGCCCATCGCAGCCGCCCAAGCGCTGGGCGAGACGCTCGTCATAACCCAGGGATTCAGGAAAATGCGGATCGCATCTCCTGCAGAAAGGGTCACATCCGACCCTCTTCCTTTCCTTCCGATCTATCGACTCATTGGAGGAGACTGCTGCAAGGAACTTCCTACCGGTCACATATTCAGACGGCGGTGTCATATATAATATCGAGGACATGCCCCGCGTCCTGTAGTATCTTCACATCGTCGATTGACCGTGAGTGAATCATTTATATATCAGTCATATATGTTGTGAAGTGGGTGAGAGAGCATATTGCCCGTTATCCCCATCGCGACGGCGGTTAAGCTGGCTGGAGGTGCAGGCTGCGCGAAATGGGGAATAATAGCACGACCCGATCCATCCACAGGTGGCTAACTGGATGACAGAAGATATAGGATGATTCGAATTGAAGCCAATAGAGGGGCTGATGGGTGGCAGAAACTGCGAGGGGACGCTTCAGCGCCTATGCTGCCTTGGAGATAAGGCATCAAGGCAGCGTTTTCAGCCTATCTGGTTCTCCAGGCCGTTAAGACCAGTCCAATAATATTCCATTTTGCCAAGCTGCATATCTGCAGACAAGCCGGTGTCCGTCGGCATATTGACTCGTTAAGGAGCATGATTAAGGAGCATGATGATACTTCCAGGATTACTCGTTTTGAGCCCTCAGAAGCAAGACGGTATATATGTTCAACATATGCCGGACATAGTAACTAGTAAGCTGGATGATGCCAAGACTGTATGTTGATAAAATAAGCTATATTTGAAGGCACCAGTTTGATCGATAAATGATGCCGAATATACCCAACGTCAGCAAGAAATAGCTTCAGCATGATATGGAAAAGGTCACGTGGTATGGCGGCTTGGCTCCCTCTCCAACCCCTGAGAATCCGGGCCCCTGATTATATGTAGAGAGAAAAGAGACATAGAGATAGAACAGAATGGCATCCGTTCCTTAGTAGGCTACGTACGTGTAGTCGATACAGCTTCATTCTGCCCTTCTTCCCTGAGTTACATGCATATTCCACAACACAGCATATGCTGCATTTACATTGATATAGGGGAGCATTCTGTTAGCATAACTGTTGCCTAGAATACATAGGGGCCAACCCCCATCAGTGAATGACCTTGTAGTGAATATGCTCGTACAGTATAAATTTCTGCTCGGCATATGCCAACCTTCTTTTCTTTCCCCAACTCTCCCCTTCGTGGAACCTTCGGAAGTTCAGCCCACCTAGAGAATTTGCACCACATAGGCTTGGCATACCTAGGAAATCTTTAGGTGTGCTGAGTGGTCTCCCGTTCTGGAGCTATAGTGAGCTCCTAGACACTACTGTCCTGTGCCATCGCACTTACATCAATCAATTGTTTCTATTTGGAAGCGGTATCATACAGCGCTAAATTATGCTGCGTTAAGATGGGCGCTTACCATGAGCATCCTAGTCACCAATCAGCAGACTTGTGGCCTAATAAATTAACGGCGGTTCGGGCAATGGCTTGATATTACCATGGTGTATGGCTTCGGCGGGCGAAGCGCTGGTGGAGTGGCCAACAGCAGCTGAAAGACGGAAATCAGCAGAGCACTATTGAAACAGGGCTTGAGGATGATCTGCTTCTCTGCACCAAGTTAGCCATTAATCATGTGGCTAGTATGAAAGCAATACGCCATCAAGAGAACTTTTGGCAGAGTTAGATCCCAGAAAGGAGCTTCGTCAAGTGTTCACAAGTTGGGATCCAAACTTGGAGGAACAAATCATGAGAACCTGAATGCAGCAAGGACTCTACATGAATATATTGTAAGTGTACTTGATTTCTTCACGATTGGATTGAAGTACCTTATTCAGTGGCCCTTAGCGGTATCAACAGCCGCCAGCAGTAATGTTCTCACCCTGGAATGCAAAGTAACAGATATCATCGGCGCCTATCTGATTTGGATCTAGGTATAAAAGGGCTGCAGCACTGCCTGAGGTACTGTAATGAATCCCAAGTCTCATTACTTTCCCTGCTTGTAACAGCAGCCTCTACGTTCTCTTTTTGCATTCAATTCATTAGTGAGCGGCTCTCCACCATGTCCTACGAGGTCTACACTGCTGAGTACCTGAGCTAACCAAATCATATTGCGATCTTTATACAAACAAGCGCAGATGGCCTTGACAGGCAACTGTGTCATGTAAAAGGAAACATCCTCATGGGCATGTCATACAAATTGAGAACGTCCAGACGTCCTGAAGAATCAGCGTCTTTCGTTCCCGACTCCAAGAAGAGAATCAGGACCATTGCAAGGAACAGACTGGGAAGCTTTTCCCAGTTGTGCCGGTTGATCCCACCGCCAGCTTCTCAGGTGTTTCCCAACGGGAGACGTAAAAACCCTCCAGGCCTCTCCGGCGCTGTGGAGAATGGGTGACTGAAGTTCTAGAGAGAGCAATCAGCGATGGTCTGATCAATCCCTAGTAGGTTTCAAGGCATGCTCATCCTGATATCATTATTCTAATGCGGAGAAGGAACCAAAAATTACTGTGCAAATACGAACTAGGTTCAAAAGTTAGTTCAGCATCCAGATGAAAGCCGGGCAGAAGAATGTCTTTTCAATTAGTATAAAACAATCGCATTGTTGTACCCGCGGCTGCGCATGAGTACCGAAATCATTGTACCACATCCCTCATGTAGGTCTTAGTAGTATACAGTGCTATAGATGGCTTGCATTAAGAGATATTCTGTGCGATATGGGTCAAGAATCTGGGTCACAGCTTCAAGCCAATCCGGCTTCCAACGGCATGCCACAGTTGAACTACAATATTCCCAATGTTCCGGATACCAACCAGCTATTTCCCAGTCAATCAGCTTGATAGCAAACTCTCCACTGCCATCTTCATGTGTCCCAGTCCTGCTCACTATAATATTCTTTGGTTGCAGGTCGCCGTGTGTGAGAGTGGATCGGTGGCCATGAAAAATTCTGTTGACCATCTCCTGCATGAACTGCACATATTGCCGTGACTCATTTTGCCGTAATCTTTCTATAATTCCCTTATTCATTGCAGGTTGATTGGCAAAGGGGCCTGATATTGCAGGATTGTTGTCAGGGGTCCAGAAGACTGAGTCATTGTAGGGCTTCTGGCCTATTCCTCCAAGATAGTCAGGCGGTGTTGTTTTTCGAAGCTCAATAATGGCGTCTCTGACCTTAACTGTTATATTAGACCGCTCTTTGACAGTCAACGTTGGCCATAGGGTTTGAAGTGTAACACCCTGAATAAACTCCATCACAATATAGGTCATATTTGTTTCCGCATCAGTAAAGGCATCGAAGACTTTTGGCACAGGGACTTTTGTATTTGTGGATATAAATTGCATATTATCTGCTTCTGATATTGAGACTCCCTTTCCAAACTTGACAGCGAAGCGGTTGCTGATTTTCACAACTTTTGCAGCTCCATCAGGCTGGCTAAGTATGTTGGGACAAGCGTTGATCTCAGAGACTGTTGGTAAAATATTCTCACTGCTTTTTGACAGTACCATTCTGACTATGTCGACAGGAGTAGGGGAGAGAGTGGTAAATAAAGAAGTAGTAGTAGTAGTAGTGCTATTTAACGTCGGTGTGGGACACGCGCTAATCACGTGCCCGCGGGGATCCCGGAACGGAATATACGACGGGCAGAGCGGAAACTGCCTATCTGGTAGCTAAGCTAATTCTATCATACATGCTGGCAAAAACTCCCGCGGAGTTTGCCTAGGATTCCTGGGCCAGAGCGGCGACACATATTCTGCGTGGGGGTGGGGGGGGATGGAGATATAAAAAATGAAAAGGGGAGGACAGATTTTTTTTTTTTTTGGGTTTTGAGGTCAGTGGTCAGTGTGCTGGGCATATCATTTTGTAGAAGTGAGACCTCTGCAACCATTCATGGAGATCCCTTGTTCCTGACTTAGAGTGCAGAATCTCATCTACCTGCCGGTTGCCCCATGGCTGAGGGGAGGCCTTGTGACCTTTTTGACAGTAGTAGAAGTGGTGGGGGGTCTTTGGGCATCCACAGGAGCACTCCAACTTGGCGTCTTCATGCCCAAAGCATTCATAATAGTGGGCGAAGTCTCTGTGGCCAGACCGGGCAGCAAAGAGTCGGCCGAGGGTAGCTCTGGGAAGGGATAGTTTATGGGGTTGTTTATCCAGGTCAATGGAGAGGTCACAGTATTGCCATGGCGCATTCTCAGCCCAGTATGATTGGAAATGCTGCCAGAATTCTTCCTTCAGTGTCTGGTGAGCCCAGGCATACCTTGTCAGAGGGGCATTGGTTTGTGGGGTCAGTCTGGCCCTTTTCTTTGCTTGTTTGTCGGCCAGCTCATTCCCTGTGATTCCAGCATGACTGGGGATCCAGTGGACATGGACTTGTCTGTGTTGAATGGCTTGACATCATGAGGACCAGGTGGGCCAGGCGTTTGCAAGTTCTTAAAAGGCCAGGATGGTGTGTTGACTAGAGCCTCTGGGGAAGCCCTGTAACTGGTGTGCCACTTTATGGTTGTCTAGGAGGACATATAGATTCTGTGTATAGGGGGCCTGGGCACTATTATAGGCAGCCTTTAGCCCTTTATATGCTGTGCTGGGGGCACTGCGAAACCCCGGATCTCCCATATTTCCTATCTTGGAACACCGTAGAACCGCCGACTCCGACATACTAATGTATGGTGGAGCCCGCGGCCGGAGTACTTAATGGAGGGTTCCCTCCCAGATAGTTACGGGAAATAGAGCATTCTTTTGGTTTCTAGGTTGCTTCACTAGTATCGTTTTCGTCGTATAGAGCGGAGCGAGGCTCCTTCGTCGTTGTGTTTTCTTTTATCGTTATATCGTTTCTTGCTAAGATCGTTCGGTGCCGTGTGGTATAGCGGCATCGCCTTGGTATATCCATTCCTGAGATCCCTAGATCACAACCCGGTTCCTGTCGCAGGGAACAACGCACGTACGCCCCCCTTTACAATGCTGCAGTGGCCTCTGCATCAAAGACTTCATGCCTGGGGAGGCAGAGATTGCTGTGGGTTGCCTCTTGCTTCTAAGCACCCCAATGTCCATACCATCCAGCCCCAGCCACAGCATTGGAGTTGCTTAAATAGCTGCTGTTAGTGAAGAGGAACATAGAAAGTAGAGGGCATGTATCAGCCCACTGTTGGAAGGTCTCACCTGCCCTATCTCAGATGGGGCATATATCTTGGATATCTTTCAGGTTCACTGCCTGCCAAAGGGGGTATAACAGAGGGTCAGTCTGTTCTACCCCCTGTAGCCATGGCAAGTGATTATGTATTAGGCATGTTTCCACAGGAAAGGATCATGTTCAGAATAACTGCCTGTGGACTGGATGGTAGTTGTCCAGTCTGGAGGCACACAGTCTGGCAAAAGCGCGCCTTTGGCCCAGGATGATCTCCATTGGCGGAATGGCAGTTTCTTGATAGAGGGCTGGGATAGGGGTTGTTCAGTATACTGGGAGAGTACCCTGAAGGGCATCCCTAAGTACCCAGTCAAGGTGAGAGAGGGAGGAGTCAACTTGATTTGAGACAGAGCCTTGGTTCCTGAGTTTAGGCCTGTTTCAGCCTGGCCACCATGCTTCAGCCCCATAGCAAAGGACTGAGATAACATAGGCAATTGTAGCTTGTCACAGCAGGTATGCCCTAGTCCTTTTGACTGTATTGGCTAATGATCTGATCCCAGCAGCTCCCTGTAGGCTCTGTTTTTCCCAGTCAATGACCTTCTGGCTAACCATGGAGACAAGCTCTAGAACTTTATCTCCAGTAGTCTTTATTTGTGCTGTTTTTGATGCCACTGCTGCTGCAATGTGGCTTTGGAGTTCTGAGCTCAATTGGCTTTGGGGGGACTCGTGGGTTGGAGTTGCAGGAGGGGTATCTCGTACAGGCTGTGTGGGTGGGTATTGGTTCTTGGGAGAATGGTGCGGGAGGTGTTGAGCCTGGATCGGTATCTCTTGCCTCAGTTGTTCTGGTGGTTGTTGGTGGATGGTGGGCTCTCAGGGAGGCGTGGTCGGGGTCTCGTGGGTCTCTGGGACATCCTCCATGATGGCATCTTTCCTTCCATTGTGTTTGTTGAGTCTTTTTTCACTTCTCAATTGCATAGAGTGCAGGCGAACTTGCGCTCTGGTAGCAGGGCCCATTCTTTTCCTGGAGCCCATCGCGTGTGTGTGTCTAGGTGCGTGGTGGTAGCTGACGAGGTCGTGGTGAGCGGGAAAGGTCACGTGCTACCAAATGACGGCCAAAAAAGGCGTCGTTTGAGGCCCAAAATGGAACCATTTGGTAAATTCAAATTGTTATAGAGGACAATTTGTATTTACCAGAGGGGCGCCGTTTCCAGCAACCCCCTCGTTCCGGTTTAGCGCCCGTCCCGTGGCTGCCCCATGCAGATCTACATTTCAGCGGAGAAATACTTTCACCGAGGATGCCGCTCCGCTGACATTCGATGACAGGGTGAGTCTGACCAACAACATCGCCATGGGGGTTTCCATCTGTTTCATCCCTTATTCACGATAACGATGAGTGGAAGCAGCTCCCCAGACTACAAGGCGCTTTTCTTCAAAGCAGAGGAGGAAAGGAAGCGGGCAGAGGAGGAGAGGAGGCTGGCAGAGGAACGCCAAAGGTAGGAAGCCGAGCTGAGAAGGCAAGCAGAGGAATGAGAGTGGCAAGAGAGGGAGTGCAACCGACCGACGACATTTCCAGAGTTCATCCAACATTGCCATGATCTCCTTTGGAGGCCCCTACGAGTGCAAACACCATCTCACTCCACGACAGGCAAAATCCCTGCTCCCACCAGAAAACACTGCCCTATACAACTGCTTCTGTGGACTGACTGTGAAGCTAGACAATGGGAAATTTACAAATCTGTTTGGCGCTACCTTCAACCAACAGAAGAGGACGCATGACAGTTATTCACGCCACTAGTTGCGTCGGAAGACCATGGTCAACGATTCACATGTTGACCGATCAGCAGTGAACAGGACCTCCAGACCTATGAGTGACTCACTGTTGAAGACCATGTGCACGACATCATCACTGAGTTATGAAAATACCAGATGCTTGTGAGGAGTTCCAGTTAGGCAGCAGAGTGTGGTTTAATAATCATGCCCACGCACTGGATGAAGATGATGAAATCAAGGTGAGACAGTCATCAAGCACAAAACCTTTAAAACTGGATCAATATTGCATCCATTGAGTCAATGGGAACACAAGTACCTTGCTCACTACAGTCAAATACAAACCACCCCATAAACTCCCTGTGGCGACCCTGCGTGAGGGACTCCGACCAATGGATTTTTGGCAAGAAATCATTGAACCTGATACTGTTCCAACAGTAGAGCCAGTGAAATCACAATATAATACTGCTTGGCTAGTTGGATCCACAATTGTCCAAGAATTCCATGTGATGATTCAAGAAGGCCTTGAGTATTCATATTTAACAAACGGCCTGGTGGACATGCAGCTCTGGGTGCCACACGATGACCTGAGTACCCTCTATTATGACCTGGGCGACCCCAGTATGTATGGAACAGCGGGTATTGGAGGACCAGGGGCTCCCATGACTTGAATTGTGAGGACTCTGTGCCTCTGTCTGATGAGTTTTCGCACTCCTCTTCATGATCAGGCCTGGCGGAATGCCGCTGACAACAAGCTACCGAAATGGCACACAAGTTTCGATAGCGAGCGCTCCCAGATCCCAATGGCAGATTTACCACAGAACTCAAATGTGGGCTATGCTAGCACTGATTTTGCTAGTCCTGGGCAGACCACCTCTGAGTACCTCCCATCATCATCCTCAGCGGGGTCTCCTGTCACCACCAGCCGTCGAGTGCCCACATGAGCGGCCTCTGGCTGCGTGCCATCATCCGACCAGCACCTCCAAGAGGATTCTTTGGATTCTGAGGTAGACCCCGCCGCATCTGCTGGATGGAAGCGTAGGTTTAGCCAGGTCACATTATCCCCTCCGTCCCAACAGTCTGCACCCTGAGCAGGTCCCCAAGCCAACCAAAGTGGGCAATCTCGTCTACATGAGGCTCAATATTGCACACAAAAGTGCCTTCTCAGGCTACAGCAAGGCAGCATGCTTGACCCTGATTGTCCAAACACAGAGCTGCATATGCTTGGCAGAAGTGACTGACACCTGATCAGCGCAGATGACTTAGTGAAGAAGCTCAAGGCGCAGCTTGATCAGGATCTGGATCATAACTGCACTCCAATAGGCCCTTGTGGATCCTATGGCGCACCATTCAAGATTACTTGTGCCACCTTTGGATATACAGTTGTTGGGAAAGGGACAACTTCAAGGCTCTGGACAGAGGTGTCACGCGAAGCTGAGGTTTACCGTGTCCTTCAGTGTGTCCAAGGATCGGCTGCTCCAGTCTTTCTTGGGGCGATCAATTTGGCCCAGATCTACTTCCTCCACAGTGCAGGAAAAATCCGTCATATGCTCCTGAAGGGCTGGGGTGGCGAGAGCATGAGCCATATAACCCTGGATAAGACCATCCACCGTGCGATTTCTCGGTTGATGAAGGAGATCCGTTCTTTGGGCATTTCACACCAGGATCTTTGTCTGGAAAACATCTTGTGGAATGCTGAGCTCAAACAAGCCTTAATTATTGACTTCCATCAATACAAATTGGACCGCCAGCCGATGCACAAGCGTCCAGGTCCTCTCAAACGATTACGGCGTGGACCCGAGGAATGTGAATCTAAAAGATTGCGTGTGGTGTGAATGGATGCCACTGGGGACAGAACTGGAGTACTAGACCAACACAGAGAGTCAATGGGTGCTATGGATAGCTTATACATGAATGAACGACAATTGCTATGCGGTGACACTCTTCATCTATGCCAAAATCTCATGACCCCTCCATTAACTAGTGAGTCTTGACCTCCACCATTAAAACTTGCCCAGTATAATAGTGATGTTTATACCTACTCCCTATGCGTGGAAATCGTCTCTCTGATTGCCTTCATATGGTTGACTTGCTAACAGATACTTGCTCTCCACCGGCATATTTGACAGCTATATCATGCCATGTTATCTCTCTCAGCCTTGGGTAATGCGAGGCCCGCATTGGTCAGCAGATAGCCATCAGAGGGTGACAAACGCCTACAAGCTGCTCTCAGGATAGAGGCCATTGGGTACTAGAGTTGAAAAACATAATATGCCCGTCGCGCTTGAGTTGTATCATCATAAATACGCTGGCATCACATTCCTGGCAATATTCGAACGACTTCCAGAGGAGACTGTCCCTTCAGCGAGCCTGTTGCTGGCGTATTGCGTTGCGGCTGTTGGAGCGGCACCTGTGGATTATCTTTTGTTCCTCTTTCATTGTACATGGATCGGGATTCTTTCACTGGAGTCTTCAGACTCGAGAAGATATTTGGGGTTTAAATAGCCCTGGGGAACGTCGGTGCGGGACGTGTTCCACGCGGTACTTCGGGAACTAAGTTACGCTTCCGCGGGTGAACACTATATATTATGTCACATAAATAGAAATAGAACTAGGATCCTACGGGAAAATATTACTATGGGGGCTACTTCATGCAGAACTAATAATCAATCAGTACACAGGTCTATTGTGATCTATTAGGATTGCAGACCTAGTTATCAGTATTATTGCCCCATACCTTAAGAAAATAGGCAAAATAAGATAAGTCAAGAAGAAAATATAGAAAAAGGGAAAAAGGAAAATCAAAACGGGGGATAGAAAGAAAGAATGGGAAGAAAAAATAAAAAATAAAATAAAATAAAATAGGAAAAAGATCAGAGTCTCCCTGTCTTTTTACCCATGTCGTACCCGACAACATTGACGAATAAACGAGAGGTGACGAGACATGTAATATGTAGGGTATGTGTTAAGTGCAGTTTCAGACAAGGGTTAGTCGGAAAACGACATAGGAGATAATAAAGACAGACAAACACTGCATTTGAAAAGAATGTGATACAAAGAAAAGACCGTATTTGCTTTTTAGGTTGTTCCCTTGACATTTTTGCCCTTGGGAACGCGAGCAAGCCAGTAGATAAAGACAGCCCCGGCAACATTGAAGGCCAGGTATACCCACATGATACCGAAATTGCGCCAGGCATCCGAGTAAGAAATCTGGAGCATCGACAAGTACGTGTTGGTTTTTGACATAGGGCAGTAGAAGCAAGTCCCATTTGAATTCGTAGTTCCATGCGGAGGGGGCAACAGTGTGCCAGGATCACCAACGAGGGCGGTCATGCTGTTGAAGTAATCTTTCAGATAGCTGTCACAAGTCTCGCCTGGCGGTGGAACTAGCTGCAATAATTCGTAGTCCTCGCAGGAAACTGCCGCGTTTGCGACGCCGGCAGGAAGCATGCCACCTACAAGATAGGTAAATGGAGAGACTCGGTACATGAAAATCCAGAAACCCGGCATAGAATTTGGTTGGGCGAGAACACCGCAGAAAATCAGGCAAAGGGTAAAGAGCAGCTGGGCAATGTTACCACCAGTTTCCGCTAGCTCAATTCCTGCAATGCACACATGCGAAAACGTGCATGAGAAGAGAAGGAAGGTCCAGACGAAAAGGAACATCAATGCCCCTCGTTCGTGAACAGCGTTCGTGGGCTCTGCGTTCCGGTAGAGACCAATTGGGTAATACCAGCAGAAGTACACAATGACAGCCATGAGAGTGTTCCACGGGATCTCAACGACGATGTTCGCGATCATAAAGGCCTTCCATGAATAAGCCTTCGAAGGTCGCTCACGTACTTCGTATAGGGCACGCTGCGTCACGAAGTGAGGCATGATTTGCTGGACCAAGTTGCCGAAGATAGTGAATAACATGAAGACACCAAACATTTGATTTTGGAGACCCTGTTGGCTGTTATGCGCTTTGAACAAGGTGAAACCGATGAAGAGTGCCGAGAAAATGCAGAGGGCCGCCTTGGAGTAGATATACGTTGGGGACCGCCAATATTGAGAGAATACACGAACTGTGCACTCGTACAGCTGTAAACCAAATGGGGCGGCAAACTCTCGATAGCTAGAGGGATCGGATTCCTCGACGGGTTTCTGTGAAAGCGTCTGTTTCAATTCGGCCAAATGATCAAGCACCGCTTTGTGTTCAGGACTATCTCGCCAAACTGCAGGCCAGTCAATGTCGCTATGGGACCCGGGTGCGGCACCAATAACCTCTAGCATCCATTCAGCGGGATTGGCATCCTCTGGAAGCTTTGGGGCACCATTCCTTTCAAAATAATCGGCAAGGATAGATGACCGTTCTCCGATGTCTCCAAAATAGACGGTCTTGCCTCCCTTAGCGAGGAACAGTAGACGGTCAAACCGCTGGAATAACATAGCAGACGGCTGATGAATGGTGCAGAGAATCGCTTGACCATGGGCAGTAAGGGTATCAATCAAGTTGAGGATAGACCAAGAAGTTTGGCTGTCAAGACCGGACGTAGGTTCATCCAAAAAGAGTAGCAGTTGTGGCTTCGCTGCGAGTTCAACGCCGATGGTAAGACGCTTGCGCTGCTCAACATTGAGACCTTCGCCAGGCACACCGACAACAGCGCCCGCATATGCTTCCATTCCCAGGAGCTTGATCACCTCCTCAACATACTCGTATTTCTCCTTGCGACTCACATGGGCGGGTTGACGAAGCATGGCGCTGAAGCGGAGTGCTTCCCGAACTGTCGTAGTGTGGAGGTGAAGATCCTGCTGCTGAACATAACCTGTTTTCCGTTGAAAGGACTGATCGCGCGGTCGGCCATCTACCAACATCTCACCAGTCACGACACCCATAGTTACACGGGTGGCAAGGACATCAAGAAGAGTTGTTTTTCCAGCACCAGAAACACCCATCAAAGCAGTGCACGTTCCAGGTTTGACCCAACCATCGACATGATCGAGGATACGCCGGTGTTCGCTCTTAATCTTAATATCATAGCAAACATCCTGCCAGTGGAAAATAGCCGTCTGCCTGTGAATATTAGCCACAGGCGCCTCGTTCTCCCCGGAATCATGCCCCTTATCCGCGACGGTTGTCTGGCCACCTGTCTCCTCATCAGACGCATTACCACTAGCTGGAGGACTATGGCCGCGACGGAAAAGTAGCACTTCACCCTTTGACTTAGCCTCGGAGATGTATTCGGTAGCCGCAAGGTATGTGAAGCAGAAGAAAGCCATGAAAGCAAACATGATACCCAGATTTCTCCATTTATGGGAGTGTTCATACTGGAAGCTCTTGCTCAGATATTCGGTACCATTGACATATGAATAACCTTGTTTTGAGCCCACCGTTGTGCAGACTTGGTAGTCTGGGTTTGTGTAGCTCTTGCCCTGGGGGAAAACCTGCTGTGTGCAATTAAAGCGCCTGCCGTGGAATTCGTTCACCATAAAACTTTCGAAAGCATACGCGATCGGGTCAAGATAGTTAATCCATCGTGACCAGCCCAGCATACTCCGAATAGGAAGTGCAAATCCCGTGTAAATGACCAAAGCCAGGATAAGAACAGCTGCGGGAACCAGGGCCTGAGACAGCGTTCGAGATGCTGCAGCTATCGTACGGAAAAGCATGGACATTGTGAAGGTGGTCACAAGAGAAAAGAGCCAGAAGGTAAAGTAGGCCCCAGGCTCACGACGGAGATTCGTCATGAAGTAAAGTGGGATGTTGAAGGTGACAGAATTCAGGAGCTTGTACGGAACATCGCACAGCATTGAGGCTATTGCTTCTGAAAATGGGTGGTAGAAGGCATAACGCGCGTGCTTTTCCACGATCGGGCGTTGGGCATAGAGAGTTAAGATCTAGTATTAAAGATCAGCATTAAGCGCCACACCAGAAAGCTTGAAGCGAGTGTATACCTCAAGAGCACTGCTAAAAGCGTTGAGCAGGACAGCAAAGAAAAGCAAGGCACCCCGTTGGAAGAAACTGCTGGTGGTCTCAGGGATATTGTAGAAAATACTGGCGATAATTAAGGACATGATAAAGTTTCCAATTAGCTGACTCAGTGTCAAACTAGCATCACCCTTTAAGCGCTGGAATCCTCGGATTGTGCAGAGCTTAACTTGCTGATTAACAGAAATTGTGTAGGGGGATTTCGCGCGCCTTCAGTTTATCAGTGTCTGCAACAAAAGAGTGGTCTGGAATATCGTCTTACTGTGACTTTGACTTCATTGCTGCGCGAGATTCGGCAAACTTCTTGACAGATGCACCACCAATCGGATGTGCCTGTTCGTACTCTTCCATCTCTGCGCGCAGCTTCGCGTAACTCTCGCTCCGTTTCCAAGCAGCCGCAAATTCGTCCGGTGTCCTGGGAACCACCGTCTCGTAACCGGGCCTCACAATACGCTCGGTGGGGCTGGTGAGAGAGGTGAGGAAATCGGCCGTGGTCTGGCGTTCAGGGCATTCGAAGCCCATGTTCACGAAAAACTCCTTCGCCTCGTTTGTGGGGCCGAAGTAGATCTGTCGTCCTTCATATAGGACAGTCACCTTGTCAAAAACCTGTGAGAGATATCCCTGTCAGTCAAGGTGGATGTGGTACCGGGAGCCCAAGATTCCTTACATCGTAGGCGCTTTGAGAAGCCTGGTAGATAGCTACATTGGCTACCGTGCCAGTATATTGGGACATCAATCTCAAAGTTCTGCAGAATTCCAGAGCATTGGAACTGTCCAATCCTCGCGTACTGTTGTCCCAGCACTGGATTGGGGAGCCACTTAGTGTAGCTTCTGCAATACTGACACGCTTCCTTTCACCACCGCTGACGCCGCGAATGAAATCATTACCGACCCGAGTATTAATGGTATGGGACAGACCCAACATTGCCATTACGACATCTCTCATATGTTCCGCATACTGTTCTCTGCTGACGCCGGGGATCCGATTCCTTGGGGAACGAGCAAGAGCGGCGAAGGTAAGCGTGTCACCAACAGACAATTGGGGGAAATGTACGTCCGTCTCGGCTGTGTAGATGGCTTCACCACGGAATTGACTATACATTTGCTTGGCGGGGATACCTTGGAAAACTGATCAGCAAGCAATAGGTTGAGCATGTGATGCAAGTGGTACGTACCTTGATAATTCATGTGAGAGCCTTCATCCATGTAAATTCCATTCATTTCACCCGCAATAGTCTTCAGTAAGGTTGTACAGCCACTGGTAAGCGAACGTGTCAGCACGATTTCTTGACCGAGGCACTAAGAAGTACGGATCGCGCATACCTTCCTGGGCGGCCGAGAACGACCAACATCTCGCCACTCTTTACCAAACCATCAAAGTTCCGCAGAATTTGAATCTTCTGTTTGCCAGTGCCCATGATCCAGCGGAAAACGGTGCCAACTTCTAGGAGCACGTTGGCAACATCTTTCTGGTAATCCGTTGGAGTGCCGTATCCATGGACACTGAGGTCCTTAAACAGCACACCAGCCGTCCGTTCGGGATATCTTTCTGGGTCGCGCGATTGCAGAGCCAGCAAATTCTTAATCCAAGCTTTAGAGCTGAAGTTTGGGCTATTAGGGTCCAGAGCCTCATTCTTCGCTTCGAGGAAGGTGTTTTCTCCAGGACCGACGGAATGCCTCGTGGACTGACGCGTCAGAATACGAGCCAGGCGCGAGACGCGCCGCTCGACCTTCTCCTCATTACCAATTTCGTCTGGCTGGTCCTTTTCTTCCAACACGGTCTCGTCTGTTTCCACACTTTCGGTGCGATCGTGTCCGGGTTCTGGATGCGTGTTGAAGTCGGAAACCGGACGTCCTTGGCTCTCAACTCCGCGGCGAGGATTCAAGTTTTGATTGAAGTTTCCGATCAGCGACATGGTGGCAAGAAGAGGGTGAAAGGCGTACTACGCCCTTCAACGATGGCGGGTCAGACAGATATGGACCACCACCACCACGTAGATACGACCACGCAGATATGTAGATGTTCAAAGGTGATAGTGGCCCTACCTCGACCAAAAGGTAAGAGTAGTTGAAAGATATGAGGGGAAAGTAAGGGAACAAGAAGATCACTCCAGAAGGGGGCGAACCGAAGGTAATTATATTTAAAAATCTCTTACTATTTATTTAATTAGGATTATTATGGGTGGGTCAGTGATCCTGAGGGATCTATCTACCAGTACGGAGCACTCCGTATTATACACAGCTTGCTTCGGCAGGCAATCCACCCGAGCCAAGTTTCTGCATCCCTATGTTTAGATTAATAATAGCACAATCGCATTAATCATTATGACAGTAATGGACTCATTCCTTATTCTTTGTCAAATTATGATATGCATATCTGTGAACATGCAGATCAAACAGATTGTCACAATCCGGGAGACGCCAGACCCGAGGTGCTCCGTGCTAGCACTTGGCGGGTAAAGGCGCAAGAGAAAAGTCAGCATCTCATATGATTAACTTTCTGTATTCACTGACAAAAACCATACGCCAGATGCAAAACCGGAGCAGCAAGGCCAAGAAGCGCAACCTGACAACGGGATGTTCCTCGACGCTGCCGTCTCCCGCTGACTGTTGTCGTTGGCTGCTGACTTGCTGCCTGGTGCCGAAACCACATCGACCACGTTAGTCCCGTTCCGGTTAAGGAACCAAGTTCCAGCCCGCTTCGAAACCTTTGCTTTGCCACTCGTATCCAGCATCGTATTCGCTTTCGCTGTCGTAATGCTCAACCTGGTTAGCCTCATGAGGCTAATCCAATGCTGGCGCTGCAAAAGTGGGCCGGACCCCAGAGTTCCCGCTTCCGACGTGATTCCTGGTAACCGTATTACGCTCGTAAAACGCCGCCCGTCCTCCGGCTTCTTCACACCCAACCATCCGAGGCGCCGTTTGCATATTTTGCACAATTTCGGCTTTAAACCGACGTCCCGCGTTTTTATGTCCGATAGCAACAGCATCAGCTTCGTCTGGTCGACACGACAGCGTTTATTTGATTGATATTTGTCACCCTACGCGGTGGTCGCCACGGTCCCGAGGTGATAGCACATTTTCTTCTCCTCGTAGAAATCCAGAGAACTCCAAGGTTCACAATCGATAGACGATAATGCATCATACTCCTTACATCATATTTTTTATATCACCTCACTCCTTACTGTTTAACGGACACCATTCAAGTGCCTAAATTACAGCGTATATCATGAGCACGCACAGACAACAACAGCGGTGACAGTAATAATATTAGAAACTAGGCATCTTCCTCCTCATCATCAATCGGCTCGACCAGAAGGTTACCCCCGCGGCCGATCTTCTCCCGGATGGTTACGCCGGATTCTATCTCATATACTGCCCTAGGCATCGGTGATACCAGTCGGAAACCATACTGGTGTTCAAAGCCCCCCGGTTTTGACACACCGGATGCACCTTGTGATTCTTGCAAGACGTCGTAGCATTCCACAAAGGCATAGAGTTGTTCGATGTCGGTATCCGGTGCAAATCTGCGGATGACACGTTCTCCCGACGGCAGTCGAATGCTGACGCGGACTGCATCCTTAACGTCTGCCCCTGGTTCGTCACGCAGTGTCTGTGCACGCCACTGCTTCCATTGCTGCAGATCTTGTGCCCGCCTCTCATTCGCTGCTCTCCGTTCCTGTTCCTCCTGCTCTGCACGCTGTCTAGCTGCCTCGGCTTCTCGTCTCTGTCGAGCCCTCTCACGGTCGATGGCCAGTGACCTTTCATATGCAGAGTCCTGCTGTTCCCTGATGCTGCGCGAAGCCTGTTGCTCTGCACGCGTTGTCCGGATCCGATCCAAGGCCTCCTTGTTCTGAGTGGTGGCCGCCCGGAGCTTGTCAACGAACTCCAGGGGCGTTGTGTTTCCTGCGATTCTCGCGACGACAGACATTGCGGTAGAAGATACGCTGGGGGTGTGTACTATGACAGATGCAAAGGGTAACTTGGTACATCGCAAAGAGTTGGCAACCTGGTATGCCTCTGAATCTTGAACGTTTCCTCCCCAAATAAGGATATTGTTCTGGTGATTATTGATGAAATCAACCACCTCCTGTGAAAGCAGAGTGTCTCGGACCCAACACCCCGTATCGTCATGCTCGGGAGACAAAAGAACTACCAGTAGAAATTTGAGCTCCCGATGTGCTTTCTCCAATGCCATATTATATCCATTCTCCAGAAACGGTAGCGAGTGTGCACCGTACTCCTCCTCAAATTCCCTGATGAATCTAGCTGCCGTATCTTTAGGGGCAAGAGGCCTCCGTCCATTGGTATTGCGGCGTGCGCCTCGGAGAGCTGGATTTGCAGTCACACTAAATAAGCGTGGGAGAAATGGGAATAACGCTCCGAATAGTCGAAAGGAGCTACATAACAGTCTGTATAGGAAGTTCAACGGTGTGAAAAATAGGGCTAATAGGAAAGGAGGACGAAAGACAGGTTGGTCTTCCGGTTGCGTAACGATTCGGGGAGCAGGCTCGATAGCATGCGTAGCTCGGAGAATATTAGCAGAGGTGTCTTCCATCACTAGGTTCTGCGTCCGACGGGTAGGTTGTGGGGGGCTATGAAGCGCAGCGCGAGCTTCTTCAACGGGATCTGGGCCTTCACCGTCGAAAAATTTGGAGACGGCAATCTATCGGAACATCTATCAGCAAGTACCGCCTATAACCTCAGAGGATAAAACAAATTTCCCAGAACCGACCTGAACGTTCCATTGTGACCGGCGTAGCAAGGGAATAGCTTGCGACAGTTCCTGGCCAGTCACTGCTGTGTAGGTATCGAGAGCAGATCTCTCACTATCAGACAGTTGTGCAACATCAAGCTCAGGGGAGGACATTGTTAATTAGGTGCCTTTCCATCAAAAACAGGACCAGACTCAGAAAAAAGGAGGCAAAGCAGGGTAAAGATGAGCTGCGGTGTGCGACTAAGCCAACTCCATGAATATGCGGCGGCGGAATGCGGGATTAGTTCGTGTTCAGTGAGACAAGCTCTTGAAGGGGTAATAGTCCAGCCAGAGAACTAAATAGAAAAATAAGAGCTTGAGTAAAGGTCTAAATGATAGAGGGAAGCTATGAAAGAGCCTCCTGTAGAAGACACTGTAGCTCAATGATCTTCAATCGTTTCAGTGACGATAGTTCGAATGGGCCCGTGCACGTGCCTTAGACGTCTTCGGAGTACGGTAGTCGACAGGCAACATAAAGCATTTATCTGATCTTCGCGCTCAGCAGTTATCCTCAGTCTCCCTTGGCATTACCCTGTCGGTCTTATTTTTATTGTCCCTTGTCGGGGGGGCTTTCATTGTGTTCGACACCATTTGCCTGTTCCTTCCTGCGTCTTTCTTTTTGGAACTGAAGTCTCGCCTATTCATCTTGGATCTTTGGTTTCGTCTCTACCACATTTGACACCGAACGCCTCGCTACTTTGGATACTTGTTCTCTCGGCCCTTTAACAGAGGAATGTCGTTTCCTCTCGATACATTTGACCGACATATCTCTCATCTTTTTGATTCGATGGGGATATCTCTGCGCTGATCCGCTGTGCCTTGTGGGTATTCATTATGGCTTCCGTGGGGAAGCCCAATCTGGATGACTCCCGGCGCACTACGGGGTCGCCAAAACTGAAGGCACGAGGTTAGCAGTGTTGTTTTCCATTCGATGGTTCAATTTGCTTGCAAGTGGCGCATGTCGAGTGGAGATTCCGTATGCGCGATGCACGCAGCTTAATCGATTCACATTCAGTGATGAGCGGCAAGTCAGCTAACAGTATAGCCCTTACAGAAAATTCCAAAGACACCTTATGCCGAAACATTACCATCTACGGTCGATGCCGATATGAGGACAAAGGTACCGCAACTCTCGCCCGTCTGCGCATTGCCATATCTCAAACTCGGACTCGTTCTAACCGTGGATACACCACGTCCAGGTTGCGCCTTCAACCATGATCCGCTCAAAGTTCATTCAGGGAATCAATCGGACAGGTTAGGATACCCGAATATCTGGCCTCTCGCATCTTGATTAAGAAGGCAGCTTGATATTGTAGGTTGGATAGTGGCTTACAAGAAATTGCCAGCAGCAGTGGCAGCAGTAAGAAGCGCCTAAACGTCGAGTCTCCCAGCTTCACCCCATCTTCGCTGCCTACAAATGGCTCGTCCACGCCAAAGAAGACGACAACGATATCCCCGAAAGCCGTAAGCGCGGCACCGTTTCAACCTAAAAGCATCGCATCACGTATGATGCCCTTGTATTAATCATAACTCTCCTGCAGTCCGTTTGCTTACTGGGTAAAAGGCTCTAGCACCAGTACTTCCTCCCCTTCAATCCGGCAAGAAGTGGCGTCTCCCGACTGGACTACTGTAGCCGAAGCCCAAGAATTCATCCCTCAGGCCTTTGATACAACTCACGTGGTAAGCTTGTTCTCTTTTTCTACCAGTGAATATGGCCCAGGATATGCTTGGTCGTCGTTACCCTGTTGATCCTTCTGTATAATGGGCAATAGTGTCTCCTTCCTTTCATTTACTCATCCCAGTTTGCTCCACCCTGAATTCTGACGTTTGGGATTGCATGGCATTTACAACCTCATCTATCTGAACACGTTCCCTTCTATCTGGGCGCAGCAAGAAGGAGAGCAACAAGGAAGGACTGGTTCCATCGGGTCTCAGAGCGCTACTCTATGGTGTTCCTTCCACAATGTCCAATCGATGGCGTCCGCGCTCTGTTCGCAGCCTGAATGCCCTTGCTGATAATTTTGATCCTTCTTCATCTTCACACCATGCCAAGTTATCTTCCTCGCTACTCGGAGAAAATGAATTGTCTCCTATTCCTTCTTGGCACTCTTCAAGGAGACACAGTCCCAGAACTCGCCATGCTAACAATAATTTAACCCTTCAGGCATCTCTTCAAGCGAACGGCGGTGCTGGGCTTGCCTCGACGACCCCGTTCGATCCTTTCGCAGCAGTTTCTGCGCCACTCTCCGCTGCCACGGCTGTCTGTCCGGTTTCAGCAAATCCTTATTCGCATGACGCTGCTGCTGGGCTTGGCGGAGCTACTTTCTTTGCAAGTCACGGCGGCTTTCAACCACCTGTACGACATCTGTTCCCAGCTCTTTCTTTATCTCATCTATTCATAATTCTGACATTTTGCAGGCTCAATATCATCTGTACGCACCAATTGGGCCTCATAGTCAAAATCTGTTGGGCTACCAGCGAAACGTGCATGATTTTTTTCTTCCAAATGACTTCCGAGAAGAGCTCCAAAAGAAGGCGGCAGCCACCTTGCAGGTCTTGCCCAGTACGTTTGTAGTATTCCGTCCCACGGATATTTGATACTGACTACGAGGCAGATACCCAGTTGCCGGCCCAGGTCGATTATTTCCACTCACTGGTGCCTCTTGATCTGAACCATCAGAAAAATGCGGCTGTTTTTGGATTTCCCAGTTGGGTTTACAAAGCTCAGTCAAGCAAAGACGGGAATTATTACGCTCTCCGGAGATTAGAAGGTATGCATTACTGAAAATATTCTTTGGAAAGACAAGGGTAAATAATACAGTTCTAACGTACTTTGCTAGGTTTCCGTTTGACAAATGAAAAAGCCATACGATCCGTCCAGGCCTGGAAGCGGGTATGCAATGGCAGCGTCGTTACGGTTCACGATGCGTTTACCAGCAGAAGTTTTCAGGACAGCTCCTTGATCTTCGTTACAGATTACCACCCATTCTCTAAAACCCTCGCTGAGCAACATCTTTCTACTGGTAATAGATTTCAAGCCCGTCATAATGGGCATGTCCCCGAACAGGTGCTCTGGGGCTATATGACGCAAATCGCGAACGCCCTCAAAGCTATTCACAGTAATGGTCTCGCAGCAAGGGTCATTGAGCCCAGCAAGATTCTTCTTACTGGGAAGAATCGCATACGTTTGAACGCGTGTGCCATCATGGATGTGGTCCAATATGACACTCAGAGGTCGGTTGCAGATTTGCAACGTCAAGACCTAGTGAACTTTGGCCAGATGATTGTTACTCTGGGCGCCAATTCGCCAAATATCTTGCACAATCATACCAAGGCGATGGAACACTTCTCTCGTGCATATAGCCCGCAGTTGAAAAACTCGGTCTTCTGGTTGCTCAATGGGATGCAGAAGGACCAGGATCGGAACATCGATATCTTCATTGCCGGCATCTCCTCACAACTTATCTCTACCTTTGATTCTGCTCTTCATCTGGATGACCAGCTTACTTTCGATTTGGGTCGCGAGCTTGAAAATGGCCGCCTTGTACGGTTGATGATGAAACTTAACTTTATTAATGAGCGTCCCGAGTACGAACATGACAAGCAGTGGTCCGAGAATGGAGAACGATACTTCTTGAAGATCTTCCGCGATTATGTCTTTCATCAGGTGGATACACAAGGCGAACCCGTTGTGGATATGGGACATATCCTAGCGTGTCTGAACAAGCTTGATGCAGGGACGGATGAGAAAATTACCTTGGTCAGCCGGGATGAACAAAATTGCTTTATTGTCAGTTATAAGGAACTGAAGAAGGCTCTTGAGTCTTCATTCCAGGCATTACTGAAGCCTACGAGGAGACTTCCTTGAAAACAACGTTCGTCTCGTTTAATACTTAACCCGTGTTGAGACCGTCTAACTTTATGGTGAGATTAAGTTTGATATTGCAAGGGATTATATACGGACGCTACACGGTGAAGTCGACAGCTGAGTACGGACAGGTGCAATATGCACGATGTTCTCGTTGAATCCGGTAGGAGGTATTTGAAAGAACAAGGCAGAGGGGCCTGGTTGAGTGGAGGAGATAGGATCTCTGTTGATAGCACACTTAATTCTGCAGATTTGAATCATGCGTATATTACAGTTAGCTCTTCATGGGGGACGGTGGATTAGCGGATTGATTCGATTAGAAAGGCATGCTAGCCTTGATATACACAAATGCAGAACACATCGTTAGACATATGTATCGAAGGATATGACCGGATGGCTTAGAATAGCTGCTTGTTCTAGGCCATATACGTGCATTCCCAGCCACATGCACGCACTAGGCCATCCAACGGCTTAGGGCGAATACCCTATGTTACTTGTCTCACCGCCTTCCTTTAACATAATTGATTATATCACGTGATGTTGTAATGTAGACTCTCCTTGACACCCAATCAGGACTAGTGCTATGCAGATATGAAGGATTCCTCGTAAATTCTAAGGTCTCCAGCAATCTTGAGGTCTTTATAATTACATGTTCCTTCCCTAGTCTACTACCATACACCTATGCAGGTAGCTATTAGGTAGGCGGGTTGATCTCTCCCATAGCAAAACCAAGAAAAAAGAAAAGAAAAATCAATCCAAATCAGGCACAGGCAACCCATTCACAATCTTAACCTTCCTCCCCAGTTTGTCAAGTGCCTCGACAGCTTTTTTCTCCCTCAAGGACTTCGTCTCTTGATCGGAGATAAGCACAAAATCATACTTCAGGGCCGCATGGCCCTCGGGGACGTTGTATTTCTTGGCGATCTCGGCGTCTGCTCTGGATATGTCGACGACGAGGGAATCCTTGACGCCGAAGACGGCGTCAGAGGTTTCGTAGGGGTCGTTGCGGATGTAGAGGGCCCTTTTTACGTCAGTGGTATTAGATAGTTGTTCCCAGTCAAAGCAAACGAGAAACAAGAAGGGAATACACACGTGATAAGGCGGTCGTACCCCTCCTTCTCAAACATAAAATGCATATGAGCGGGCCGATACGGATGCCTCCCCACCCGCTGTAAAAGTTTCCCCACGGGTCCATCGTGCGGGATAGGATACGAAACAGGCATGATAGCCTTGAACCAAAATGTGCCATCGGACGCACTCCGCATGATGCACCGGCCGTCCAGCCCGCGATCCGCGTACTGCACGTCATAGTGGCCTGTTGAGTCAGTCTCCCAGATATCAATCTTCGCGTTGGCGATAGGTTTGCCTTGCGTATCCCTTAGAGTGCACAGGACGAGGAGGGGTTCGCCTTGCTCATCGTGCGAGATGGTCTCGCCTTGCTCTAGATTTGGAGGATTGTGGGCGTGAAAGGGGCCGAGGACGGTGCCTTCTGTGGAATTTGGAGGTTTAGGGTGGTCCATTGAGTCGACTAGGATGGAGAGGCCCAGGATGTCGGAGAGGAGGATGAATTCCTTTATTGTTTTAGTTTTTTTCTTGTAGCGAAAAAGAAAAGAAGAAAGGATTAGGGCGGAGGGGATACCTGTCGAACATCACTACAAATCTGGCCTACCTCCGTCAGGAATTGCAATCCTGCCATCCATTCTGCGGTGCTCAGTCGAGTCTCCCGCGCAAAATCGTGGAGATGCGTAACGAGACGCTCGAGGATATATTTCAGCCTTGCGTCCTGGCAGAGGGAATTGATCCGTATCACGTTCTCGGTGATGTTGTCCACCGTTAGGTCCTTCATGGGAGGGATCTTGACTTGGGAGGGGTCCATTTTTCTTTTCTTTTTCTTTTCTGCAATTGATATGATATTCCTTTCTCGTAAAATTCCTTTCGCGTCAATGCTTTCTTTCGTCTGTATTTATTTGGTTTCAATATATGTGATATATGGCCATTCTTCTCGTTCTAGTATCCATCCTATATATTTATATATACCCCATAAACTCACCCCGCATCCCGGCATTATAAAACCAGAAGAGAATGGTCCGTAATCATTTTGCTATCCTCCCCGATGCAGCCGGGGAGGCTAAACGGCAATTCCAATAAGCAATTCAGATGCCCCTGATTCGCGTTGAAGAAAGATCAAGATGAACGCCCGGAAATACCCCCTGTCCTGGAGATGACGTCTGTTCGGCTGGTTCAGATATATCCTTTCTTGGCAAGGGATAGAGTCTTAACAGTGTGATAGAAATTAAATCCGATCCCTATAGGTTACTAGAATTTACTTGGTGCTCTGTACATGTACTATATGTACAATAGCTATAGCTGTGCCACATACACGGCCAGTATGCAGAATGGCCATATTAATCCAACAAAACGTCAACCAGAACCAGACATCCAGGGATATCAGCGCTAAAACTCGGGAGGAAATGAAAAACAGGAACAGCATAAAGGCTATGAGTAACGCCATCGTGATGGGGGAGGAGGGATAAGGAAAACGAAAACAAGACTGTGGGAGATTTATCTAGGGAAAGAAAAAAGAAACACGGGACATGAAGGTTTGTAATAGCGAACATGCAGGCTCTGAGTGGTCAACCTCAATCCCTCAAGCCTTGACCATTTTCCGCTCCCGCTCTCGATCATTCAAATCGCCCTCTCTCTCTTTGACTGCAGTCGCCACTTTTGTATGGTGGTCAACAGTGTCCATGATGGCTTGCATCAGTCTTTGGTTGGCGCCAGGATCATCATCATCCTGTGCTGTCGCATCACTGTCGCGGTTGAAACTGATCTGTCTGTCGTGCCTTGATGTTGGAACGTCTTGAGCGTCACTTATGGCACGTCTCCGTGGTATCGGAGAATGAACATTCTGGTATTCGGAAGGTTGAGCCGAACCGGGCGCAGAGTCGCTCCGGAAGTTGTGATCTGGACCACGCTCTGGTTCTGGTTCTGGTCGCTGTTCATGGCCTGAAGAGGGAGGTGGGATGGATGCAGGCGCTGAGGCTGGTGTGGATGCAGAGGAGGCAACCGAGGTATCTTTTACTTGAGTGCCTTCCATACGTTCCGAAGAATGGCCTCCCATCCGGATTTCTTGCAATTCCTCTTCCTTGACATCCTTCCAGGAACATTTAGCATGCTTCTTGGTACAGCCCATGCATGCGGTTAGATTCTTGAGACAGTCCATATGCAGGCGGCGACAACGGTCGCATGGTGGTAAGATACGCTCCCCGCGCTGTAGCTCTTCCATCCGGGCAACCATCTCCAGTTTAAATGGGCCGCCATCATCCCTCTCATAGTGGTTGGACTTGGGCGGAGGAAGCAAGGATGATGGCGTGCTAGGGATCGCGACGGTTCCCGGGGCGCCCGGAAATATGGAGTAATCTACGGGGTCAGAGCCCCTAGGCCTGGGCCGCGACAATGGCCGATTTGCTGAACCAGGCGCCTCCTCATAACCGCGCGCCTGACGATCAGCGGTGGTGAAGAACTTCTTCATCAGTTCGGCGCGAGTGGTCGGAGACGCGCCCTTGATGGACGTCCCATTGATGATTGTAATGTTTTCTGCGTTGGAGTGGGAGAACATGAATTGAGAGGACAAAGGATTCTCATCCGGCGGAGGTTCAATGGGACCCGGTTTGTTAGTGTTAACGGCGACGAAACCAGACGGCGGGGAGTGAGGGCGGGAGTGCACATTAGGAGTAGAAGACTTTGGACCATTTCCATTTAAGTCTCGCCAGGCTGGACTTATAGAGCGGGCTTGCTGCGATCGGAGAGTGGCATCATTTTCGCGACGACTGATGATGGCGGTTCTGCGGTTCTTCAGACGATGGTTGAGTTGCCTGGCTCGAGCGGACACTGGAGGGCAGATCAATATGTCAGCGTGAAGGCAACCGCAGGGCAAAATGGCTTATTACTAGCAACCGACCTTGATCCGCCATCTGGATGATCTGCTGCAAGTTCTTCTCCAGAATCTCCAACGCGCCCAATTCCTTCTCTTCGTCCTCGACAATAGGCTGCGGAGGGATCATCTTCTGCGGCATCCCGGAAGCGATCAGAACGAAATCCTCCTCGCTGATTTCCACCCGGCATTGTTTCGTGTAGAATTGGCAAACCCGCACCCCATTGCGAGTCTTTTCCAGGTTGAACTGCTCTGGCTTGTTCTTGGCGAACTCAACTACATCCAACCAAGTTACGACCGGGGGGTCTTTTCCATGAGACTTGAGAACGCGGGGAGGTCCATCGAAGAGACGCTCGAAGCGTTTGACCAAGATGGGGCCCAGCGGACAGGCGCCGAGGTTTCCCGCGATGCTCTCATGGCGATGGAGGACACCGTCGTAGTCGCCAATCAGGCGCAGGATGCCGGGCATGGTATCATCCACGGAGACGAGAGGGAGATTTTCAGAATACTGGCGAGCCAGATAGTTGATCTGAAGATGGTTTGGATGAGTTTTCGGGACTTTGGAGGCAATGGGGGTGAAATCGCCAGTAGGCGACCTCGGTCGTTTGTTGGACGGTTCCGCCGTCGTGGTCCTCGATTCCATGGCGGGGAGTGTCCGCAGTCAGGTCAGCGACTATGGGATGGATGAAAATGTCAATGGAGTCGCCAGACGGGAAAGAGAGTGTTCTCATCGAGGGGAGGAGACGCCAATGGGTTCAAGGTTGTCGTCGGGAGGCCGGATGTGTCGCCGACGGCGGGAACATAGATGGAGGCTTAGCTTTGAGACCGTCGGAGCGACGTGTTTCAGCCACGCGAAGATACAGATACACAGCTACAGAAAAACAGGAATCCGTACGAAGAAGCGAGTCAGAGAGAGAAAGGAGAGGGAAAGGCACTGGAAAGAGGGGGAGAGGAGCGAATATGACAGCAGGTGGAGGCGGCGCCGCACATAGCAGCGTCCGTCCACCGGGAGATGGAGATATTGATAATTGGCGATGCTTTCTGTAAGGCAGAAGAACAGGAAGAATGCATTTGATTGCGGCTGCAGCGGAGCCCTTCCGCCCGGCCTTTTCCGCTGGTATGGTACGGTATGTAATCTTACAGCAATACGGAGGAGGTACACGGAGCAATACTACCTAACTTGAAGGCAGTCGATCCAATGCAATGGATTCCGAAGACGATTGAGATACTGATTGCAATTACAGCATTGGCAGGTTACCACAGCCTGCCAGATATGATATGATACTCTGTACAGTTAGGTAGGATCGGGCTCCTGCGCAGTTCTGTGGTGGTACCATACCGGGTCATGACGGTACATGGCGGTAATGGCGCCGTATTAAGGCGGCCCGGTCCACTAATCGCGCCTCCGGTGGCCGTCCACGTGTACAGGACGGTAAGATACGGTCAGCCATTACTGCGTACCCCGTCTTGCACACATAATTCTGCCTGCGTCTCCTCGCGACTGCACTTACTCTTCTCCCCGCTTCCCGGCGAAAATCCCTCATAGTAGATACGACGACCTTACGCAGTCGGAATCCACGTCCTCTTTCCGCCTGATCTGATAATACCGGTTCTGTCGGTACAAGTGACATCCACACATATCCCCTCAGTCAATCCCCCCAGAACCCCCATGTCCGATCGAGGACAACGAGGCACGCGTGGCCGCGGCGGAGGCTACGACCGAACCGGCCGTGGCGCACCCCACCATGGCAGAGGTGGCGCATCTGGTGGCGGTGCATCACAGCATCAAACCGAGAAGCCCAAGAAGGAGAATATCCTCGACCTCAGCAAGTACATGGATAAGGAAGTCCATGTCAAGTTCAATGGTGGTAGGGAGGGTAAGTATACCATGAACAATCTTGACCCCACTCTACGCCTCTTGAATCTATCTAGCTAACAGGTTTAGTCTCCGGTACATTGAAGGGTTATGATCAGCTCATGAACCTGGTCCTCGATGATGTCAAGGAGGTCATGCGCGGTAAGCTGTACCCGAATCCGTTTCAACTGGCTGAACGTCTCGTCCTCCTAACTGTTATCTATCCGGATTCCAGATGATGAGGGCAACGAAACAACCCGCCCTCTTGGTTTGATTGTCGCGCGTGGCACCCTGATCGTGCTCATATCGCCTGCTGAGGGTAGCGAAGAGATTGCCAATCCGTTCTTGCAAGCGGAGGAATAAATATAATTTGGAAATGTTCACTTGTCTACTCTGTCCCTTCGAATTGGGAAGGAAGGCCAATCAACTTGACGACATGGGACGAAAGACGATGTGCTCCCTGAGCTTCCGCGCAACTCCCACAGACTTGGAGATACAGGGGCCAACTCTTGGTCAGCGTAATTGCCCCGCTGTCAAGCGACGGGATTCTGATCTCCGGAAGCCCCGTTGGCCCCGGCAGTAGGTAGCAAGGGGCCCAGCAAATTCAGCGAATGAAAGCAATGACGAGTGAGATGCTCTCTTGTCATGTATTTGTGAGCAGTATATCATGTATGTGGGATATATTCATAGCTTCTCCATCTTGTACGATGATATCATTGCTCCCACAGGTGTATGGAAGCACCGGGTGACATGCTCATCCTTTGGCGTTCAGACAGACATGAAGCTTACCGCGCTGTACATTTAGCAAAGAGACTGAGACGAAATGGCCGGAATTCTTCCTGCCCCGTAGAGACAACAGCAGAACGCGTAGGTGTGAGAGATCGGAGACACGATTATTAATCGATCAGCTGCTGCGTCGGCGTTCCTCAATCCTCTACCTTCAATTATTCGTCGTCCTCCCAACTCCTCCCAAAGTCCTGTGTCTGTCGCATCAGCCCATTCCGTCCAGGCATTCGCGATTGCATCATGCTTCCCGGTTCCGTGATTTCTGCGCCTTGCACGAATAAGGACTACCTACTGGCTGTGGCCGAGTCCCCCTCTGTCGTCATGCAGTGTCAGACACGCAACCTCCCAGTATTCCCATTCGCCTGCTCATCCTGTCTTTCCAGGCCCTGAATGTTCGTTCCGTTTGCCCTCAAGATATAATACTGCGTGTGGTGTGAGGACAGTCATGGCGAAGACTCGAGCTCGCCTTGGGCTTGTTGCTTTACTTTCTGGAGGTCTGCTCTGCCGTTGATCCAAGAACTATTACTTGCACCTCTTTTTATATAATATTTCTAGTGGCGATTCGAGATACGCTACCATCATGAAGGTCTACCATCTCTTGCTGGCCGGAGTCTCTGTTGCATCCGCCATTGTAGTACCCAATGAACAGGTCCTTGGCGATCCTGCCATTGACAGTGACGAGGATGCCTCTTCCTCCGTTAACCTTCTTTCCCTGTTTGAAGACGGCATCAGGAAGGCAATAAATGACAATTGGAACACCATATATGATGCTCTATCCTCGGGGGTTGAGTCGGATGCTGCGAGTTCCGACCTCCGCGAGGTCTACACAAGTACCTTTGACGATGCTGATGATAGATGGGTTATTGATGACTTCGAGTTCGATATTGAAGATAATATCTCTGATGATGGGCATGGAAAACGTCCACATCGGTCTCCTCATCCTTCTCCGCCGCGTCACGGCCCCTCGAATCTGACCATCTACCAGCTCATTGAACGCAGCAAGCATACAACTAAGCTAGCTAAACTCGTCGACGAGGACGAAGCACTGGTTGAGCTGCTCAACAGCACTGATGCTAATTACACCGTCTTCGCGCCTACGGATTATGCGTTCTCCAAGATCCCCAGACATGCACCGAAGCCCTCAAAGGAGCTTATCCGGCACGTGTTACTTTACCACGTAGCTCCTGGTCTCTACCCTACTGCGCGTATTTTCCACAGTCACACTCTGCCGACGCTCTTCAATGAGTCGTCCCTGGGAAAAGACCTGCCTCAGAGAGTGGTCGTTCGTGCCGGTCTTCGAGGATTGAAAGTGAATTTCCACAGCCGGATTGTAGCCTCTAATATTGTGAGCCATATATCATTCTCCTGCTAGTCATGACTTTCTTCCTCCCGGTCTAACCTTGTCAAATAGCCAGCAGTAAATGGCATAGTCCACGGCGTAGACACCATTCTCCTCCCACCCCCTCGAACCTCAACCATCCTCAACCTCCTCCCTACCGAATTCAGCACATTCACACTAGGCCTCACAAAGACGGACCTCCTCCCCCTCCCCGGTCACAAGGGCGGAACAATATTCGCTCCCTTAAACTCAGCCTTCAGGAAGCTAGGTCCCCGCGTAAACGCCTTCCTATTCTCAGAACATGGCAAGAAGTACCTCCGCGCCCTCCTGAAGTATCATCTCTCGCAGAACCAGACCCTTTACTCAGACGTCCTGTACATGGAAGATGGCAAGACCAAACCATTCGGACCCCGCGACTTCGCGCATATCGATCTCCCAACGCTCCTACAGCCGCGCCATCTAGCTATCGATATCGCTCGATTCGGTCCCTGGGCTGGCATCAGGATCAATGGTTTCCAACACGTGACGTTTGAGGACGGCATTGCTTCTGACGGGGTCCTGCAGGTTGTTCGGCGCGTGCTGATTCCACCGAAACAGGATGCCCATGTGGATGTGGGTGAAGGTGACTGGGTTGACGATGTGGAAGGGGAATTGAGCGTTGAGGACTTGGTGGAGCGGCTGGATCTGAGTCGTTTGGTTGATGATTAAATTGAAATTGTGCGGATTATTGAGCTGAGAATAATTTGTGAAGGCTATGATGATGATGAAATATAGGGGTTATCAAAATTGAATATCCTGTCCAATCGAATAACTATATACGCAGTATATGAATACGAGATGACAGAACTTATAGCCGTACAGACAGAATGTATTAAAACGAACAATTAAGGTATCGGTCATAACACATGTACAGGACAGGAGATAACATATAAATAATCATGACTGCTTGCACGCTATATTGTCTGGTCGACAGGTCTACTACTCCGTAGTAGCCTCAACTATATCACCGAATTCGCTCCCACCATCAGCCGACGTATGCTGTCGTTCGTCATCGCTCTCCTTCAATTGTTTCAGACCATCAGCATTCTCAATCCAGCCACCGGCCTTCTCAACCCCGTCGATATACTCCGAGCTAACGCGCAGATTCAGACTGGCACTGAGAGCCCGCTGGACTCTTGTCTCCCTCGTCTGCGAAAGTAGAGTCCGGAAAACATGTACGAGGAATCCGCTGAGGATATCCACGCTCCAGTCGTCGGGGACGAGAGTGAGAACGTCGCGCACGTCGAAAGATGACGCGAACCGCGCGAGGAGGTCGCTTGTTCGTTCTATCCGATCAGAGGGGTCCTGGATTTGCAAAAATTCGTCGAGAAGGTGCTTGAAGAGTTCGGATTGGTATGCCGGCTCTGCAAACTCGGCTGTTGATCCCGCCGCTGTGGTGTGCCGGGGTCCTCCGAAGAGACAGTATCGAATGGCCGAGTCATAGTCGCCTAGTCCATGGGTGAGAAGACGAAGAGCTTCTCGGTGACGGCCCTGGAGTCCATCGAGGATGATGCACTCCGATACTAGTTCGTTCTGGAACGGTTCGATACGTTCAAGGACTGTAGGGATGGAATATGGTAGGTGGGATGGAGTTGGCGTAGACGTGAACTGCGTGCTGGATCCACCGCCGAGCAACTGGAGTAGTCGCATCCTCGACTGCCACCATGGCTCCGGCGGGGCGTTTTCTGTAATGAAATTCATATATGTCGGTTTTGGCGGCCGAAGTGCACGATATGTGGAATAAGAGTGTGAGAGTGATTCTCGAGCTTCAGGGGAAGAATGAAGCACAGAAAGAACGGTATCCAAGTAGTACGAAATGAGGTCATCTGCATATTGGATATACTGTAGTAGGAAGTCAGCAAGCGATCAAAATACACAACAGGGACAAGGAAACATTGAAAGCTCACATTCTTTGCGAAAACTAGGTGCTCCAAGTAGACCTGAGCAGCATTTGGGGCCCGCTCTTTGAGTAGATTAACGACATCTGGCGGTTCCAGCTTCACCCTGCTTGTATTATCCGCAAATACCTGCACTCCAAGATCGGGGTTACGACCCGCAAGCCATGAACCGTATTCTTCAACAAGTTGCGCGTCCTTGATTTTGACAAGGTACTTGCGCATCTGTACTTCCACCCCTCGGGGCGTAATCTCACCCCCAACATCTTTCTCACCATCGAGTATCCTCCGCCACGTTTTGAGAACGTTCCCTGACATCTTTCGGCTCTGGTAAAGACGGCTCAGAACGTATAGTCGGCTATAGTTTTCTAGAAGGACCACAGCCCCATCAAAATTACCCTTCCAGTTGTCGACCAACCGGTTTAGCTCCAGCCGAGTTGACGAAGAACGGCGCTGTTCGACTGTTAGCTTGGAGTCCTGCTCCAGAAGTAGATGTAAAAGCGCAGCGTCCACGCTGTCAAAGACATATGTCTCATCGGTGATGCTAGGATATCCTCTCTTCTGTTGCCACGAGAACAAGAAGCGCTTAACCATGTCCAATATGACACCATCGCTAGCATCGAATTCCTGCTCTTCAGATCGCTGGATATAATCTTTCGTGACAGCTGCGAGACCAGCGTGTATCCAAATTCCCTGTGGGCCCTGCAGAACGTCTTCCCGTAATAGAGGGAGTAGCAGCAAGACCACACGAGGGTCAATATTTGCACTCACAAGTGCCTGTTCGGTAGCTCCAATCGCTACCTCATCTCTAGCCACCGAGTCCATGAACAAGAGGTCTCCAAACAGCAACAGGCTCGCCTTTTGCTTCACATAGTTTAGGCCAAGGAATTCCGCTTCGGACCCAGGTTCCATGCTCTGAATAGATTGTATTATATCCATCATGACATCCCGCTGTAACATGGTGTTATCAGAATCATCCATCTTCTGCGCTATTTGGATCCTGTTGTCAAGCTGAATCGTCAAGGGGTTCCTGGGGACCCGCCAGATTTGATTGCCCGACCACATAATGAGGCTGCTCTGGGTGTTTCCAAGTCCACGAGCAATTTTGACTTCTTCAGTATTTCGTTCCGCTTCCCAGCCCTGCCCTGATGTATCACTACCCTTCTTTGTACCGTCGTCGATCAATTCCTGTGACTCAAACAATTCATTTTCTTCCTGAACCTGGGCTATAGAGGCCTGGGTTCTTGGATCTGTGGGGGGAGTATGGGGAGCCAATGAAGGCGTCTGAAGTCGCACCATTTGCAGCAGTTTCCCCATTTCACGAAATTCAATGGGGCTTGGACTGGTTGTATGTCGAAGTCCAACCGGAGCAGACGGCATATTTTCCATTGAAGGCATTTCCACCCATATCTTTTCTCTCTCCTCCTCCCCTGGATTGATACCCCATTGCTGGATTTCCAGGCGTTTACATGGCTTTCCATTTTGCTCCACCTCAACAACAGCAAGGACGAAGTTTTCTGGAGTCTCATTTTGGACCCGCATTCGATTATCCTCCTCTCCCCCATCGACAACAATAGACTCCGGGTATCTGGTAAAATTCATCGTGCTACCTGGGACTACTTCGCCATCTGTATTGACAAACATTCCAACACCAGGGTCTTCCTTTCCAGTCCCCGTAATAAGTAGAAACTCCGACGATGTTGGGGATACAATGTGGGGCTTCAGCTGAGGTAAATTCTGCTTCGGTAGGGCAGGGAGTGGTTTATGATCGTTGCCGACTGGATTGTCAGCATCCTTTGTGGGAGAACCGCTCCTTTCTTGCCCCTGAGAGCCTGTATGCCCTGCTGTCCCTGACGTGGCCAAAGAGTCGGGAGTCGCAGAGCCTGACCTATCCGACTGGCTGACGTTTGAGTGTAACCTTCCAGAAAAAGCATTCAGACTGCTACTTCGGCTATGGCTGCGTCCGTCCCCGGTGGGTGAGCTTTGGTGAGCTGCGGAGGGTGACCTGTCAAGTGTGTTGTGTGATGATGCCGATGCAACGTCGTCTACATCCCCAGGGTCAAAGATCTCACTGGAGGAAGATATGGGAAACAGATAGATCTTCTGTTTATGCTCCACGTCAAGTAATGAGTATGAAAGCGCATCAGCCACGCAAGCAATAGTACCCCTCCGAGAAGCTACTAAACAGCCTGGAAATTCGACATGCCTCATCGGCCGCACTTCATGTCCGATCCTTACTAGCATTATCCTGCTGTGGAAGGCAACCATGATCACTGGGTCCTTTTGATCGTCTGGGGTCCTGTCCAGATCGAGCCCACCAATCCAGCAACACTTATTGACATTCGTATTCTGGAAAGCAGGGCTGAGTTCCGGCAGCATGTAGAAGGTGACGACGCCATTGCAAAGGATGCATGCTTTCTTTACCGTCGGTAGCAGAACGATCTGCTGAACTCCACGCTGGCTCGTGGACCGTGAGCTGGTTGAGGACGGGAGGGACAGCCTAGAGGCAAAGATAAAGGTCGGGTCACTTGACTCATCGGAGGGCTCTGATGGAAGACAGACGTAGTGCAAGATCTCTGCGGTGGACGTGCCGATATAAAGATTCCCGTTCCAGTACTCTACACAGGTAATATATGACCCTGCATTGGTGTCGTCCGCTGTCAAGGGTACTTGATCGAGAAGAAGACGGAGGACGTAAGGAGAGGGTTTGGGCGGACTGGCTTTCCTCCGCTTGTTGGGAGTGAGGCCGCCATCTTCTGCGCCCATAATGAACCCGGCATCGGCTTTCAGCCTAGGCAGGTCCCGGACAGAGCCTCATGTAAACAGAGAGACGTGCGGTGTCTGCATTGAAACCGCTGGGAGACGACGATGTTCCAACTTCCTGGCCAGAGCTTCGGAGCTTCTCAGTGAACAACCCGGATTATGTAAGGCATTCGGGAGCTTACGTGGGCCATCCGTCTTAGGGACTACAATGTACTACTCCGCTACGACCAAGCCGCATCCAGATGCTGCCTGCCTGACCACTCTGACAAGAATGCGATGCTAGTTTAGTTCCGCTCATTTGAAACAGCGGATAAAATGGATACTTTCGCCCTGACCGAAGGCATCATTCCGGAGCAGAACCAGCAGGATGATCGCGGCTCCGGAAACCTGCCTGAGGGTGCTCAGAAGTTCCAGCGCGCGATTGCAGCTTGGAGAGGTAACAAGTCTGGGATGAAGCCTTGGCGTCCGGAATACTTACTGACCCATAAATTTGGCTTTCATAGGCATTGATTTTGCCAACACTATCGCGAAACTAGATGCCACCGCTTCGGACATCGTTGCTCAGCAGCGCGACGCCCTCGTCCAAAGGAAGGACCTAGCACAGAAAACCAAAGATTTCCGAAAACTAGATGATGCTTCGAAACTTGCAGAATACAAGGGCCTTCTGAAGGGTTGGTGATGCTCTCTATCAACTCCTGGATGTGCGAGTTTGCTGAGATGTCTTTTTTCCACAGCCTACCAAGCGTTCATCGATCTCCTAACAAACCAAGGAAAGGCATCGTCATCTGCGTTTCTACAACTATATTCATCATTATCAGAGGCCCCTGATCCGTACCCGCTTCTTGAAGCTTCAGTCGATTCGCTTGTAGTTTCAGAAGATACAGTCCCTAAGTTGACTTCCGAGAAACAGCACTTACAAAAGTCGGTTGACAGCCTCACAAGTCAACTAGAAAACACGGAAAGACGGTTACAAGAAGAGCGCTCTGCCCGACGGAAGTTGGAGGAGAATCAAGATGCCAAAATCAAGGAAATCGAAGCTTCCTGGTCCGCAGTGCTAGCGGAGAAGTCGGATAACTGGACCGCCAAAGAGAAAAGTTTGGAAGAGAAGGTAGAGAATCAGGATCGTCTATTGAAGGAACTCAAAGCGAGTTATGAAGTATCCCAGCGCTTAGACCAAAATGACGAGGCCGATAGCTCCCGACACGCCACTGCCGCAGAGTTCGACCTTGTCTCTGCAGATCTTGAAAAGACCAGCTTGAGGCTAGCAGAAGTGGAGGCACATAATGAACGACTGAGGCTTGAGCTTGCTCAAGCCGTGTCACAATCACAGTCAGGGCAAACAACGTCCGTCGAAGATGATCCTTCATATCTTCGTTTGCAGTCCGAGAATTCTTCATTGCTTCGGAAGCTTGATGCATTGCGGTTTGATAGGGACTCTGATAGGCATTCGTGGGAAGCCAAAATTCACCAATCTGAAAGGCAAAGTGCTAATCTGGCTGCCGAGCGGGATGAACTGCGGTCGAAGCTGGAGAAGTTTGCAGATTATGAGGACATTCGCCGGGAATTGGAGGTGATCAAGGTAAGTACACTTACTGTTTGGTTTGGAGTGTAGGTGTTAACTCTTTTAAAGTCCATTGAGTTTTCTGCCGGAGATGATGATGATGCTGGAGATATCGCGGACGATATCACTGCAGCTGCTACAAATGGTGCGGCATCAAAATCCAAGGAGAACAATTTAGAGCGATTGCTTTTGGCTAGGAACAAGAAGTTAACCGATGAGCTTACCATCCTACGCGTATCTCACCGAGATCTTCAGGGTCAGCTTGAGACCCTACGTGATGAGCTCTCGCAGACAAAGGAGGAACTTGAGAAATCTCAGAACCTCTCCGCTACGCTTGAGAACGATCTTCTCAGAGTGCAACAGGAGGCAGCAAATGCTTTCCCATCTTCTGCTATGTCTGTTGCGGGAACATACAGTTCGAAATACCATGTCCCATCACGAAGGGGAGCATCGTCACCAACATCATCGATCATATCTGGCTTTGACCAATCAGCAACATCCGTCAATAACATGGATGCTATCCGTGCCGGAGAACCAGTGGGAGGTGGTTCTGGTATCTTGCCCATGGTGCAAGCGCAGAGAGACCGTTTCAAGAAGAAGAATGCGGAACTTGAAGAAGATCTTTCGAAGATGTACAACACAGTAAAGTCCCTCAGACAGGAAGTGGCTTCTCTTCAAAAAGACAATCTCAGTCTTTACGAAAAGACACGGTATGTGTCCTCATACAACCGTGGCCAGGGGGCGTCTTCATCCGCATCTGCGTATGCGAATAAGCCGGGAGCAACGTCGGTCCATTATTCAGCAGATACGCCTTCGGGGCTCTCTCTCGACCGGTATCAATCTGCCTATGAGGCACAAATTTCACCTTTCGCCGCTTTCCGAGGCCGCGAATCTGCACGTGCGTATAAACGCATGACGCTCCCGGAGCGTATTGTCTTTTCTCTAACGCGCATCATTCTTGCCAACCGAACGAGTAGAAATCTATTTGCAGGTTATTGCTTTGCACTTCACATTCTGCTTCTTGCCATGCTATATACAATGAGCACAATGGAGATAGAAAAGCATAGCAGCGCGACCCTCAGCGCTGTCGGCGGTGCTGCTGCTGCTAGAATGGCAGCTGGTGCAGGCGGAAGTGGTTCCGGACAAGGGCATGGTGATGATTGGCAGCAAGAAGGCTTCAACCATGTGGGATAATTGCATATAATGCATCTGGTTTTTTTTTTTTTTTTTTCTTTTCTTGGAGCGTGTGTCTATTGTACTCCATAGTGGGCGTTCGGTACGGTTCCTACGATATATGTCACTATATAAGCTGGAATTTCTAGAACCACGGCCATGGATGGGAGAGGGCATTCAGCAGGGTCTTCCGTGCGCATGGTGATAATGTCTCCAGAGTGAATTTTCTCCTCCTTATGACAGTCCCAGAGCTTCACATCATTTCCTGCTGAGGAAGAGCTGTCAGGGAAGAGTACAGGACGAGATGTAGTGGCAATGGTCTTCACGGCATCATTCCACCGAAGCCAGAAGAATTGCACCTTCAATGTAGTCTGATCATTGGAGAGCCAAGGGGTTTCAAAGCAGACAGCGCCTTTCCCCAGTATGAATGCACACTAGGTGCAAGAGTTAGAAGATTTCGGCAAGTCTCTGTGCGCCTCTCCTCAAAAACTGAGCTCTCCCATTCTTTGATACGACTCTCGTTCCAGAAGGTGCGCAGGGTGTCCCAGAACATCTTGTGGAGGTGATGTTCAACACGATTTCCCATTGAAAGTGGATAAATATGAGCGATCTCGACGGGACCACCCCACCCGCCTTGATACTGACACATCTACCCCCGTCGCTATTTCCACATTGAGTATTGTCAGCAAGGAAACACAAAACCATAAGGCATCGGGTGGAATGGGATCTTACCAATTCGCACGCATCACGGTCGCGCAGTAAGGGCCAGGTTGCCTGAGTCCCCTCTGCAGCAGCTGAAGATAGATGAGGTTCCTCAAGGCTTGCAAACAGGCGCTTGGGCGGCCTCACAGGAGACCCTGCATAGGCGGGCGTGGGTCCAACAGGAGATGAGACTGCAAAACGAGCACGAACTCTCTGCAACCCTGATACACCATCATGTATTAGCACTGGGAATGTTATTGCCTCAGTAGTAGTGAGGGGATTTACATTGTTGCACAACTCTGCTTGAACCAAGATTATTCAATCCAATAGCAACAGACGGCGCATTGGTGTCAGATTGCTCAGCCAAGATTCGGAGACGTTCAATGTCGCTTAGCCACACGCAGGCCCACGCAAATGATACAAATAGGGCAAGCAGGGTGCTCAGGCGTTGGACCTGAGTTGCCATATGCCTGGGCGTAGCCCATGACACCTCTTGCGCTGTCAGATCTCATATGCAGAAACAAATTCTTGAAGACTTCATCATGGAAAGCCCATGCTGTGTTCCCAGTATGTGTGTTTACTGTATCCGCCATATGATCCTATTCTGGAGACATCGAATGATTTGAGGTTAGCCATCAGAAGATGTGGTAGCCCAGACACCTTTGGGTGCTTTGGAACTCACTTAAGTTGCGGCACGTGGTGATGAATGCTTGTAGGAGCTTCACTCTAAATGATAGATACTTGATCGCAAGGAAACTTGATCCGCTTAAGCAAGGGGTAGAGCTGTGAAAAAGGAGGCCCTTGAACACAGAAATGGCTTGCGGGGGATTTGAATGAGATGAGAACTTAAGATTTGATGAAGTGGGGAGAGACCAGTTGACTTGTTGAATGAGGTCAGTGGGAAGGTGAGCAGGCACCAGAAGCCAGCTGACATCTTTAACTATGTGCAGCGAATAATCATCACGATTTTCCTTTTTCTTTTCTGTACTTACCTTTGGATGTAACTTTCCTAGGCTCTTGGTTATCAGGTACAACCATCTCCCACAATCCCTGTTAGCTATAAGATTCAACGAAACGTCCAGCAATCAAGCCTGTTGCAAAATTAGATACGGGCTGAACATAGAACGAGCCATCCGCTGTCATTCGCTAGAAGCAGAGGTCTGTTCCGGGAATATGCAGCAGTATGCGGCTGGTATTGGAAGCAGTGTGCCTGACGCATCCTGCTGCAGTGTAACCTTCTCGTCAACATTAGCCCCTCAAACTCTTTCTGCATTCGCCAGATGCACCTTAGGCACTTGAAGGATTGTTTTATTTAGCACGGAAGCGCTGTGGAATCCGACCAGGATGGCAGGGTCTACTGCTCGGCGCGTAGGGTGCCAATGATGATCTCTCTGGCTGTCGGCCAGCATGCATAACGTAATCAGGCAGTGAGCCGTTCGGAACACGACTATACCAACACCATGAATCCATTATCAAAGCAGTAAATGGCTGCAGCTCACACTTGAAGGTTATTAAAAAAGGACTTTTTCCATCAATTAAAAGGCAGCACTAGGTCATGATGTCCTTCCTTCAACCTTGAAAGACTATCTTTAGGAAGGAAATATGATGGCGGCCGCTTAAGGGGGTCTTGTAGGCCCCCAACATGTAATGACCATAAGAAATGATCTGTATAGCTTCATTTATTTTAATATGGCAAGAAGTATTATTTTTTAATGTTTCAACAAGCCTTTTAAATCGGGGGTGATAGGTGGACGGCTCGCTGTCCGATTACACTATCCCGAAAGCTAGTCGTTACTATCAATAGAACATGCATGCTTGGTTGATCTCTTTGCTTCTTGCGTACATGGCGCTATCATATATAGATAGTATATAGTAGATACCATGAGCCCGGAGATTTGTCTTCGGGCTTCGCCTTGTGGAGGTATCCATTTCTCATAGACCTTTTCAGACCCTCTCCTCTCTTTGTCTTTCTTTCTTTCCTTTATCGTATTTTATTTGTCTGGTTTCTTTCCCATTGTGGTCAGTCCCATTGTCTGTTGCAGCTGGACGAGAGAAAGGAAGAAAAAAAGCATCTGGAATGCTCTCCGTCACCGTCTTGCTCGTTGTCTCTTTGACAGCGTCTTCCTTTGCGGCACCAACGAGAGGTGTCCTTAACGATGCATACAATTATTCAGAAGACCTGGCTCAGTATTTTTCGAGGGTGAGCAGACACATCGACACTGCCAATGGCAATCGCAATCGCAAGCCAATATGCGGCGTATCCAATATCTCCCTACCGTCTTCTACGCTGCCTATCCCTACAAACCTCAAGATCCGATACGTAGCAGTCGGCCGTGGCACACAGGTAAGTTTCATCGCCTTGCTATCTTATTTTTATTTTGATAAAATAACCAACTGACCGAAACCCGCAACAGAACTACACATGCTCCTCTTCATCTCCGGACGTTGCACCCGTAGCCGCCGGTGCCATAGCAAACCTGTACGACGTCACGTGCATCGCCGCAAACTACCCAGACTTGATGCCTATCCTCCCCAAAGTCGCCTACTCCATTCCCCTTCCAGGTGACGAATTCTCTCCCCTTCCCCCAGCTAATACGGGCTTGATCGGTCACCATTTCTTTCGAGACGCAACTACCCCGGTCTTCAACCTTGACACGACCTCCTCTCAACAGTATGGCATCGCGATTACAAAGAAGGTCGGCTCGTTCGGCGCGCCCTCGAATTCGCTTCAGGGTGCTAATGGTGCCGTTCCGTGGCTGTACCTCACGACCATCAACGGTACGATTGGTGATTATAGGAGTGTCTATCGCGTCGAAACGGCCGGTGGACAGCCGCCGAAGACTTGTGAGAATCTGCCTTCTGATTTCACGGTGCAATATGCGGCCAATTATTATTTCTATGGGAAATGAATGATCGGATGATGGGTTCTCTTTTTAACGTTTTCTTCTTTTGCGCTTAGATGTTCTCCGTGAGAAATGGGCGGCTTGATTGTCTGATTGAGTAAACCTGGGACTTGGTTGATCCCCTTGCATAGCTGGATTTTTATACAGACTGGAGATACCTTGGAATGAAATCGTGTCGGAACAATTGTTCAGTTCACCGACTAACTAGTTAGTTATTGCTTTTACCCTCCCTTATGTAAGCAATTATGTATTTACAGACCTTGAGACAGCCAGACATCATTGTTAAATGGACAATTACCGACCTGGCAGGGTCGATCCGATAATTCTTTCAATCTCTTTACCAGCCGTCGTCCCAGCCAAGACTCCCACACCAATAATCCCTCCATCGCTTGCTTCCCTGAGAAAAATGCTCTTCCCGCCATCTTGCGGGCCGCTCCGTAGAAGAATTCTATCAATGTATCTTTGAACTATCTCTTTGTATTTTGGATAGTGCTGTATGACACCGCCTGAAAAGGCCACGACGAGTTCTTCCGGGCTGCGGAGGTGCTCCGTTTTGGGAGAACCTGTCACGTTTGTGAAGGTTTTATTCGTAGAAGATAGGTTCTCAGAACTAGTGAGGTGGATTTGGTCTGTGCAATTCAGTAGGCCGACGATTGCGGCAGCAATTAAAGCAGCAGAACGACTTTGGACGGTGGATGCAATGGTTCTCAGAATGGCTGCGGATGCCGGAGACCATTGCCAATTGCTAGATGAGGGCGGAGGGAGTTTTTCGGAAAGTTCATTTGTCAGGGTTTCGACAGGAGATGGGGCCGCGACGACGAGGGAAAGGAAATCTGTTGTGAGACAGTAGGGGTTGGTGAGTTTCAAAGGGAGCGCCTCCTGTGGGATGTGTAGAAGGTTGTGCAGATAGTCATAGGTGATGATTCGAACCAGTTCACCAATATACCGACCACCAACCATATATTCAAGAGGCTGGAATCCTGGCCGATCAGATGAAGATTCGAGTTCTCTATCCCATTTTGTGATGATATCGAGCTCTCTTAGAGGGGGGGAGGCAGCACTGAGCGTCCACTCTGTATTCACGAGTGCCTCTACTGCTTCAGGGGTATTCATGAGGACTGGGCGAGTTTTCGATTCATGCAGATCGTTCAGTTGCATCGGAACAGTCGCATTACAGCCTGCACCAACGATGAGACCCATAACAACACGACTGTTGGGCAGCGATTTGACTGAATATGCAAGAGATGCCAGTGTTGCAACCGTGTCATTTGTTATTGCTGCTATTCTTAATGCAGGAAGCACGCGTCTCCTCCGCCGTTTCGTAACTATTGGTTCAAAATCATTGTTAGGACGACGTGTATGTCGTTCGTAACCCTCCAGCAAAGCCTGCCGGAGATCGAGGTCAGAATTCAACGCGAAGCCTTTACCAGTTGGCATCAAAATTGCCTCATGTAGGTTGTTTTGCCTGAGGGAAGAACTGTCAATTTGTATTCCATCAAATAAAACCGGATATTTAGTCAACGAACTTCATCGGAAAGCAGAAGGAAATTCCCATGTCCACTGTGGCTGGACTACTCGTATTTCCCAGCGGATCCAAGCTGTCTGCCACGACTTCTGCGATACAGTCTCCAATCCACGCGAAGAAGTTCTTCGGGTTGCCTTTTTTAAGACTTTCCTCAATAGGCCATGCTTTCTCCAGGGTTCGCCTCACACGCTGCCTCCCCCAACTGGTCGCCGGGGCCGACTCACCGAGAAGGTCGATAAACGCAACGCGGAGGTAGGACAGCCCAACATATGCAGCTAAATAATGCCCCGTCTCCTTACCAGTTGGAAGACGGGTGACTGGTATTGGGAAAAACTGATCCAAGGAAGTCGCAGCAAGTTCTTTAAAGATTTTTGAGAATCGATAAGCCAGTTGATATATGATGTCATCACTCAGAGTCAATGGCTTCAAAAAAAAAGGTATACTATTTCTACCATCTTGTATGCCAGCCGCAACATTGTCCATGTTGGTATCTGGCCCAGTAGATACTGGATAGGTCAAGGATGGAGGTAGTATCACTCCTGGAGATCGTCAGCAATTGATTGCCCCTTCCATGTGACTTGTTGACATGCCGAGATTATTACTGCTTTTGGATTGGCGGTCCCGTGATGTTACCAGGCTGTATATAATGTTGGTGGTTCCCAAGGTTCAACTCCTTCCTAGTTAGGCCTAGCCAGTATTACTCAGCGTAAGTGTAGATAGTTAGTCCGCCCGACTCCGGGCCTCTCTAGCTAGATCAACCAACTCAGCGAGTTCGACCCCCATCAACATATAAGCCGCATCCTCTCCACTTTATACTCCCATGGGTCCTCGGTGATCTCGTTCAAATCCAAAGGGCGGATGCCCCCCTATCTGCTCAGCACTTGGCTGGGAAAGACCCGCGGCATTAACCTCAAGACATTCTCAGTCTATCTGGTCTGCACAATGTAGGAAAGTGGAGGATATGTGATGATAAATGCCTTTTGCAAACCACTCAATCTCAGATATTTCAACAACGGCACCGTTTCTCCATGAAGAGGGATCCAAGATATCCACGCTGCTTTCACTTTGCATGGGCGGACAGGTGCAGTGTTTTGATTTTCAACACAGCCCTCCTGGTTGCTTTGAAATGCTTTTAGTTGACCCGAGTGTTCGCATATCCTCTGCTTATTTCCGCAGTTTTATAATTTTAATCCTTCACAGTCCTGGATAAGATAGTGAGTTAATCCATATGTAGCGAACCCGAGCCTCGCGCACAGATGTCGGGTGATGGTAATTGCATCTTGAAAAGTCTCTTAATGCAATCCAGATTGCCTTGTCTTATTATGGGTCTAGGCCTCTCAACCGCAAGGAGATAGCAGGGACTCGTGTGCATCAAACGAACAGATTGATAATTGGTAATTTGGTAGCATGATTGTTAAAATAGACAGGATGGATGGGTACTGTATCCAAGCCTTCAAAGGGTTGTAACCCGTCAGGTGATCTCGAGTAATAAAAAGTCACGTGTATGTAATGTGCCCACAGTCAATTACAGACTAGGCAACTTTAGGACTAGCGTGTTATAATTTTCGAAAGGTTGAGAAAAAAAAAATCTCGACCACAAGCTTCGACCGGACAACGAAAAGCCCAGAGGGGGGAGCGAATTTCGCGATCAGTCCGTTTATTACTTTTAAACCGTTATATTTGGAGACTCGTACTCTGTTTGAGTCGGATATACGGTTGCATTCCAACCCTTCTCTTTTCCCGCCAAAAATTCTCAAATTTCTTTCTTCAGTCGCTCCAGTTTGGGGATCGCCCATTTCATCGCAACGACAATCAGAATTCACTCTAAAAGAAATCGACTTGAATTCATACAACCGAAATGGCATTTTCTGGTCCTAGAGGTCGTGGTGGTGGTGGTGGTGGCCGTGGTGGTCGTGGTGGAGGTCGCGGTGGTGGCAGAGGTTTGTACTTTCCTAGCCAAATTTGAACCAGCACCATTGGCGCCCCATTTAGGAGAACCGATATTGGTCCAGGCGTGAATTATTGTGGTGTCTTTCTTAGGGACAGAATCGCTGATTCATACTGTTTCGCTTTGAAGGTGGACTTGGTAGCGCAGCTCGCGGCCGCGGTGGCGCTCGTGGTGGAGGTCGTGGAGGCCGTGGAGGTCCCCGTGGTGGACGCGGTGGTGGCCGCGGTGGTGGCCGTGGTGGTAAAGCTGGCATCAAGGGTGGTGCCAAGGTCATCATTGTATGCATTTCCTGTGATCCTGGCGGCGTGTGGAATGATTTCCGGTTGTTAACTTGCACTTTCATGTCTAGGAACCTCACCGTCACGCCGGCATTTTTGTCGCCCGCGGCGGAAAGGAAGATTTGCTCGTTACTAAGAACTTGACCCCTGGAGAGGCTGTCTACGGCGAGAAGCGTATCTCTGTGGACTCCCCCGCTGGAGAGGACGGCGCTGTTACCAAGGTTGAATACCGTGTTTGGAATCCTTTCCGTAGCAAGCTTGCTGCAGGTGTTCTCGGTGGTCTCGATGAAATTTACATCCGTCCTGGCTCCAAGGTTCTGTATCTTGGTGCTGCCAGCGGTACCTCCGTCAGCCATGTTGCCGATATCGTTGGGCCTACTGGCAATGTTTATGCCGTCGAATTCTCTCACCGTTCCGGTCGTGACTTGATTGGCATGGCCACCCACCGTACCAATGTTATTCCCATTGTCGAGGACGCCAGACACCCTCTCCGCTACCGCATGCTCGTGCCCATGGTCGACGTTATCTTCGCTGATGTTGCTCAACCGGACCAGGCCCGAATTGTTGGTCTCAATGCGCATATGTTCCTCAAATCTGAGGGTGGTGTCATTGTTAGTATCAAGGCAAACTGTATCGACAGCACGGCCAAGCCCGAGGTCGTCTTCGCCAGGGAAGTCCAGAAGATGAGAGATGAGAGAATAAAGCCCAAGGAACAGTTGACTCTCGAGCCCTTCGAGCGTGACCACTGTATAGTGGCTGGTGTCTATAAGCGTTCTGCATAGGCGGTTAGAGAGGAGTAATCTTTGCTTTCTTGTTTTTCCTAATGTTGTCATATCGGGTCATTGATGTTTCTCTATCTGGCGTCGAGTGTTGTGTGTTCTGTGATATTTCGAAGGATGTTCTTATGTTCCGATTCAACTCAAGATTTATGCGCATGTAACCTTTTTCTTATTTCAGCGCGAAAATTCCTTCAGATTGGCGGTTTCTGGTCATTTGGAGCATGGGACGTCCTTGTTTGAGGACTCGTTATTGCCGATGCCTCGCTTGCGACGATGGCCACCATGTACCCTACGAATGCACTGCTGAGGCCGATGAGGGTAGTATTTGCTACAATCACACAATATAAAAGCAATTTCTCACGAGGTATCTTCGTTCCATTATCATTACCCCTAAGATTCCATTTGGTGTTGGTCGGCAGAGCTGCGAGTCTCGGACATTCCCCGTCCCCCTCGAGAACACTACGTTCGGAATAACAATCTCTTGCAACAAAAGCGAAAGACCTCGGTCGGACTTTCACCGAGAAATGGGAGTGGATATGGCATGGTTGTGCAGTTACAAGGTATTATTGTCCATGGTTTGCAGGTATTGACTGCGCTGCATGTGGTGGTTCACTTTCGATATTTGCTCGACCCCGCAGTTGGACAAGGAATGACTGCATATGATGGGTGCAAAGGGATGGAGGCACTCCGTGGGTGAGAAGTATATATATGAGATGCTTCTCCCATCTCCAAATCGTGATACTCTTTCTTCCCACGTTTCATCTCTCTGATTCCTCTTTTACTCTCTCTGTTCTTCAAAGGAAGGCTGCCTGCAACAACATCACCTTGAATATGCCCTCCATACTCATCACCGGTGCCGGTGGCTACGTCGGACAGGAATTGGCCGCTGGTCTTCTTGCGAGTTCACCAGACATTACAGTTACCCTTACGGATATCGTTAAGCCTGCCATCACTGAATCTGCTGCTCAGCATGCATCTCGAGTGAAGAGCGTCCAAGCCGATCTTACATCGCCACAGGGACTGGACGAGCTGATCAGCTCGTCCAGTCCCTACGATGTTGTCTACTTGCTCCACGGTATCATGTCCAGTGGCGCAGAAGCCAATTTCGAGCTCGGACTTCGTGTCAACCTTGACGCAACCCGGAGCATACTGGATAAACTACGCACCACGATGCCGGGGGTGAAGGTCATCTTCACTTCGTCCCTGGCGGTCTACGGACCTGCGCCCAAGGGCTTCGTGATCACAGAAACCAACTTCCCCCCTGTGCCTTCATCGTCATACGGCTCGGAGAAGCTCATGTCGGAAATACTGTTGAATGATTATTCGAGACGAGGATTTTTGGACGGCCGGGCTGTCCGCTTGCCAACTGTGACTGTCAGAGCTGGCAAGCCAACGCAGGCAGCGAGCAGCTTCGCGAGTGGCATTATCCGAGAGCCATTTAATGGGGAAAAAGCTATGCTTCCCGTGGGCAAGGAAACTGAGATGTGGATCTGCTCGCCATACACGGTCATCAAGAATCTTATCCACGCCAAGGACATTCCTAAGGAAGCGTTCGGAGAATCCAGGACCGTCAACCTCCCTGGGTTGAAGGTTAGCGTCCAGGAAATGCTGGATGCTCTAGAGTCGGTCGGTGGCAAGGAAAGACGCGTACTGGTCGAGGAAAAATACGACGTGGCTATTGACAAGATCGTGCAGTCGTGGGCTCCGAATTTCGACACGGCTCGCGCGTTCGCATTGGGATTCTCGGGGGATATTCCCATGGTAGAGAACATCAAGCAATACGCCAGCCGCTTCGCATGATGCACCTTCATGGACCGCTTTTGTTATTTTCATGTAAATACATCTTCTCAGTAAAGATATAGCCAATAGAACAGAAGACTTCGCGCTGTACATATTTCGCAACACGTAGACCAAGATCTATTTTGCTACACAGACAACAAACAGACGTCAGCAATTGCACAGTGAGGCACTATACACACTCACAACTCGCTAGCAGTAAGGCATATCTCTTCACCCGCCGGTCCTCGTGGCCAGCATTTCGCCTTTGTAGCCGTAGGGAACAGTCGGGATCCTGTCTTGGGCGGTTTGGAAAAGCGGGTCATGTGATTGGCTGGCGACCGCTCGAACAATTTGAACTTCCGAACTTCAACCTCGACTTCCAGGGCTGATCATCTCCAACAGCCATTGCTCTCTCCCATCCCCTCTCCCTCCTCCCCCCTCAGTTCTCACTCTGTTCTAGTCACAATGGCTTCTCGGCGCTTGGCTTTCAATCTTAACCAGGCTCTCCGGAGCCGCGCTGCCTTGAAGTCCGTCCAGCCGATGAAGCGAGGCTTCGCGTCCCCGATTACCCTGCCATCTACTACCCAGAGCACTACCCTGTCCAACGGGTTTACGGTATGGAAAAATGACTCAATTACATTAGGAGGCTTGCTAAGGACCATTAGATTGCAACTGAGCATTCTCCCTACGCCCAGACCTCCACCGTTGGCGTGTGGATCGATGCTGGCAGCAGAGCCGAGACCGACAAAACAAATGGAACCGCGCACTTCCTGGAACATCTTGCCTTCAAGGTATATAAACGTGGTATAAATAGCTGAAAACGAGAGTCGCTGATTGTTGCTCTTCAGGGTACAAACAAGAGAACCCAACACCAATTGGAACTTGAGATCGAAAACCTTGGCGCTCACCTCAATGCCTACACTTCGGTACGACCCGGGAAATGTCATACAGCAAGGAGTCTTTGTACATTGCTAATTTCCATATAGAGGGAAAACACCGTTTACTATGCCAAGTCTTTCAATTCCGATGTTCCCAAGGCTGTCGACATCCTCGCCGACATCCTTCAGAACTCCAAACTGGAGCCCGCTGCCATCGAGCGGGAGAGAGACGTGATCCTGCGTGAGCAAGAGGAAGTTGACAAGCAGCTCGAGGAGGTTGTATTTGACCACCTGCATGCTACCGCTTTCCAGAACCAGCCTCTTGGCCGCACAATCCTCGGCCCCAAGGAGAACATCCAGACCATCTCCCGCGACAACCTGGTTGACTACATCAAGACCAACTACACTGCTGACCGTATGGTTCTGGTTGGTGCTGGTGGTGTCTCTCACGAGCAACTCGTCAAGCTGGGTGAGGAGCACTTTGGTCATCTCCCCAGCCAGGCCCCCAGCCTCGTTGCTGCGCAGAAGAAGACTCCGGAATTTATTGGATCCGAAGTTAGACTTCGTGATGATACGATTCCTTCTGCCCACATTGCTCTTGCTGTTGAGGGTGTCAGCTGGAAGGATGATGACTACTTTACTGCCCTGGTTACGCAGGCCATTGTCGGCAACTGGGATCGTGCCATGGGTAACTCCCCCTACCTTGGAAGCAAGCTCAGCAGCTTTGTCAGCCACCACAACCTTGCCAACAGCTTCATGAGCTTCTCGACAAGCTACAGTGACACTGGGTGAGTTTCTATTCTAATACACTAATGCTCTTTTTGTAATTCCATGTATAACTGACTTGTCGGGGGCAAACCTTCAGTCTCTGGGGTATTTACCTCGTCACTGAGAACTTGACCAATGTCGATGACCTCGTTCACTTCACACTGCGCGAGTGGACTCGCCTGACATTCAATGTCACCTCCGCCGAGGTCGAGCGTGCCAAGGCTCAGCTCAAGGCTTCTATTCTTCTCTCTCTCGACGGCACCACTGCTGTTGCTGAGGATATTGGCCGCCAGATCATCACCACTGGCCGCCGCCTGAGCCCCCAGGACATTGAACAAGCCATTGGACGGATCACCGAGAAGGACGTCATGGACTTCGCCTCGCGGAAATTGTGGGATCAGGACGTCGCCATCAGTGCCCTTGGCAGCATTGAGGGTCTCCTTGACTACAACAGGTACGTTTATCCTATATGATAATGACGTTGCGAGTAGTCTTTGCAAAGCAAAACATGATGCTAATGACTTTTGACTATGCAGAGTTCGCAATGACATGACCCGAACCAGCTTGTAAACTCTCTCGCAAGCGTCCGATCTTCAATACTCGTGTTTCTGTGTCAATCCGGGGATTCCGCCTTCTGGTTTGTTTCGTTGGTGGTTAATTGATAGATGATGTGGTCGTTGCCGAAGTAGCGTGTCCGTAGCAAATTTTGTACAGTATATAACTGTTCACCGATACACTCAAAACAGTTCCCTTTTACTTCCATTTCCCTTTCCCTCATTTACCTACTGGGTTTCGGGAATCTAGGTAGTCCATAATTGTATGTAATCCAGGTATGTATTGGCCAAGGCTTATTTACAAGGATTGCTCGGAGGTCCAAACCAGGTAGGCTGGAATCCAATTATAGCAGGTCAGCATGGACGTAAGATTAAGCTCTATCAGAGTTCATCACCAATCGTAAGTATAATACCCTTGTCTTTGATTATACTGGACATCCAGGCGTATACACCAGAAGCGGATGTCATTTAATACTTCTTCAAAGATGTTTAACCTGCTACGCGACAAGCCTCGGCTCAAGGAGTCCATCAACTCCGCCACCACACATTAATAATGTCCTCGGTTACTAAGGTATGGGTCCGCTTTGATCCATCCCTCTTTACTACTAGGCAATTAAGTTGGCATTCATCGAGAAGCTTCGGTCTCCCGATTTTCTCTTACTAAAGCAGGAGACTCTCCTCCATTGATCTTCGTAATATATTACTGATTTATAATGAGTTGATTGCTTTGGTTACTGGTTATATCATTGTTGTACTATATAAAGTAGCTCTTGCATTGACGTATACAGGACTTCTTCAAAGTACCTCCTCTTTTTTACTCTTGCTGCCTCCCTTCACAAAATATAGCTGCCACCATGAGCAACAAGGCACTCGTCTTCAAAAAGATACCCGAAGGCTACCCTGTCCCTGGGGAACACCTGACCATTGAAACTGTACCCTACGATGCCAACACTCCAGCCCCTGAGAATGGAGTGACCCTACAATCGCTGTACACTAGTTTCGACCCATACATGCGTGGGCGCATGCGCCCGGCGGATATCAAGTCCTATGCACCTCCTTTCACCCTTGGCAAACCGATCGACAGCCGCAGCATTGCCAAGGTTCTCCGCTCGAACAACCCGAAATACAAGGAGGGTGACATTGTCATCGGCCAACTGCCGATCCAGCAGTACGTGGTGCTGGATGGTAATGCGGTTAAGACGATCGGCCCTCTCAACAATCCGCTGGGAATCGAGGATCTCAGAGTCTTCCTGGGTGCTCTCGGTATGCCGGGTCTCACTGCATACTCCTCCCTGTATAAGATCGGCAAGCCCAAGAAGGGCGAAACCATTTTCGTCTCCGCTGCTAGCGGTGCCGTTGGCCAACTGGTAGGTCAGATTGCCAAGCATGAAGGCCTGAAGGTCATCGGTAGCGTCGGCTCCGATGCGAAGTTGGAATACATCATGAAGGAGCTTGGCTTTGATGCAGGATTCAACTACAAGAAGGAGAAGCCCGCGGATGCTCTCGCCCGCCTTGCCCCCGAGGGCCTCGACATCTACTACGAAAATGTCGGTGGAGAGCACCTCGAGGCTGCACTGGATGCGATGAAAAACTTTGGGCGTGTCGTTGTATGCGGCTTGATTTCTCAGTACAATTCTGAACCGTATCCGATTAAGAACATTCACAACATCTTGGTTAAGCGTCTTACGATGCAGGGATTCATTGTGGGAGATGCTGACACCGGCCCAGTCTATGCCGAAGAGCACCAGAAGAATGTGCAGAAGTGGATCAAGGAGGGCTCCTTCAAGCCGCTCACTTATGAGACAGTTGGGATTGACAATGCTGCAGAGGGTTTGGTTGGCCTTTATTACGGAAAGAACTTGGGCAAGGCGATTCTGAAGTTCTAAATGTTCTGTTACTGTGATGTCAATATGCATGAGACTGTAATTACACCACATTGTATTTGGAGAATAGAAATTTAGCAGTAATCGTGCCCGCATCGCCTACCTACCCGCGTTCCCCGTGTAGGCGTGCCCCAGTTCAATGACTCGTTTTTGAATCCAACGCCTAGCTACCCATCTAAACTAGTGATATTTTTAAAAATAAGTGGCTCACCATCTGGACCTACCATGAAGCCTTCTAGAGCTTCATTTTCAGCCTCATTTAATGGTGGTCGGTTGGCTAGCCGCTCCTTTTCCTTCTCCAGAATCTTCTGATCTTGTTGGGCCCGTCTAACATCCTTTTTCATCCGCTCCAGATTTTTAGCTTCAATCCGGTGATTGGCATCCTTAATTGATAAAACACCCCCTGTCTGTAAGGACCGACGGGTCTTCTTCCAATTTTTACGTTGGTTGGCGTGAAGGAGCTTCTTGATGTCTTGTTGGTGCTGGGCGGCTAGTTCTGCTTGTATAAGACTCCCAGTAAATATACGGTCCAACCTTCCTCGTAGGTGGTCACCTGATATATTGGATTCTTCTTCAGAAGATTCATTTGTTGCATTCTGAGCGTTATTGATTGAATTCCGGAGCTGATCAACAGTAGTAGGTGGAGACACTGAAGATGAAGGCATTGGAGGTGACGTAGATTCACTATCATATATTTTTAATACTGGTTCAGGAAGCTCTTGCCCTCATAGGGGATCAAGCACCATATTAGGATCAAAAGGCCATATCCCTTGCTCCCTGAAGCTGGATTTGACTGTACGGTATTTGAAGGTCTTCTTCCAGACCCCAAGCAACTCATATAAGAACTCCCATTTATCGATCTCCTGCAGGCCTAGGCAGGCTGCAGAGTTGATTGCCTTCCCATGATAGTGTTTATATTCCTGGAATAGGCTGCCATTTAGTGGCTGAAGGAGATGAGTTGAATGTGGTGGAAAGCAGTATAAAAGTATATGCCTTTTCTGACAGAATTCAATGAATTTCAAGGTGAGATGGGTTCCATGATTATCCATTATAATAAGCCGTTTTTGACCACGAGCTCGCTGCCGTGTAGCCTCATCAAAATGATGAAGCTAAGCTAGAGCTAGTCCATCAGTAATATTTGCTGAAATACTCTCAACAAGGGTAACTGATATCTGGGTTGAAGAGCTACCTATAGTAGCTGTAGATCGGCGATGTTTGGTGACAACAGATTCAGTCTTTCCTTGGCCTATACGGAAGCCAGTCTCATCAAAATTATAGATATTATCTGGTTGAATGAATTTGATGAAGATCTATCTGAATCTTCAACCGATCAAACCAGGTCTCTATGACCCCAAGATCTTCAGCAATAAGGCGTTTAGGATCCATTGGTTTTTGCTTAACCTGGCTGTATTCAGGGCCAAGTCGTTCAATAAATTGATATGGCCAGTTCTTCCCAACTCCGTCTGTATTTGGGATCATTGAATTTGCTCTGGTGCGAATCAGATCAACTGTAGTAGAGGCTCCAATATCATCAGCATATTTAACCCATGCCCGTAGAGCCCCTTCATGCTCAACACTAAGTGGTCCAGCCCGTTTTGTGCGTGTTGACCGTGAACATTATCTCCGGAGTCGGCGAAGGAGTCGGCGGTAATCCACCCCAATTTCCTTGGCCAATTTGGGGATGGATTTATTTTTTCCGGTCTGATAGGCTTCAATATCCTTTGAAATGCGAGCTTCTTCTTCAGAATATGTATTGGTCATCTCGGTGTTGATATAATTGAATTTATTTAATGAATTCGAAAGCGTGTCATTGAACTGGGAACACGGGTAGGAAGGCGGTGTGGGCACGATTAGCTATAGTGCAGAGTACATGCTGCTAAATACAGAGAAGCCCTTGTTTCCGCGTCGGCCATTTTCGGCTGGCCGGAGGAAACATGGACCAATCACATGACCCGCAATATGATGACCGCATCCCCGGCCTCCCGAGGTTACTGGTACTACAGAGTACAAACTGAACCTCAGCAACGCTCCAACAAGGCTGATCTCTGTATCCTGAGACTTACACACGCCGGTTATAGAATCTCCCCTCTTTTCGACGTCTCAGTGAACTTGATCTTGTCTTTTTTGTGCGTTGCTACGTTTCCGCATTTTCCCAGCAGCACAACCCAAGACAAAATGGCTTCCCTCGCGCGCCCGTTCACTTTGAGACAGACCTGCCTCTCCATCTCCAGATCGTCCCTGCCCAGGACGACTGCTCCTGGAATTTCGCAGATCGTGGCTTTCCATGCGTCGACTAAGAAGAACATTCTTCCTCCGCTGCCTCGTGAGTGCTTGCCAGATTTCCCGCTCGGTGTTGTGATAACATCGATAACGTTCTATGATGTTTTTTTGTCATTACCGTGATTTCTAACTAGGACAAATTATACAGAGACTATCCAGGGAACAGGTATGCTCATTCAAGTGGTTTCCGTTTGACCTGACCCCTCTTCCTTCGTTCCCGCCGAGAGATACTATATGGAGATGTTACAAGGCGGGCATTACGGGTTTTTGAAACATCGCAGAGGCAGTGATTGATGGTTGACATATTTTTCTTTTTCTCACGTTTTAGTGAATGATGCTGCGCCTGTTCCCAAACCTCATCCTTCTGAGGGTAGCTACCACTGGACCTTCGAGAGGTATATTCTACCATTGATTGCTCCTGTCTACGTTTTCTGGGATTTCATATAGCAATGGTTATGCTAACATGGAATGAAACTAGACTCATATCCGCCGGTCTGGTGCCTCTCACCATTGCGCCCTTCGCTGGCGGGTCTCTGAACCCTGTCTTGGATGCTGTCCTTTGTTCACTCTTGATCGTCCACTCCCACATTGGATTCCAGTACGCTGAGACTTTACCCATGTTTATTATTGATCGTGGCTAACCGTGTCTCACCATCACCAGGGCCTCAATCACCGATTACTTCCCTCTCCGCCGTGTTCCTAAGACCCGGAAATTCCTCACATGGGTCCTGCGTGGTGCCACACTGGGAACCGCGGTTGGTCTGTATGAGTTTGAGACGAACGACATTGGCTTGACGGGGGCTATTAAGAGGGTCTGGGAGGCTTGATTTCTGGGGCAAAGCTGTACATCATCAATAGCCTTCTTTCCCGCTCATTTTCTGGTTTCTTCTTCCATTTGGTCCAGGCTACATGATTATAAATATAAGCTTTCCTTGTCTGAGTCTCTGGGCATAGTCTTGGTTTCTGCATTTTGGTTGTAGGTCCGTGGTTATGTACTCTTAGCGAGATGTACTTCATACCCGATATGGAAGTGTGAAATTAAGACATGGATTTCAAATGGCAAAGCATTTTATTTTCTATCCTGTCCTCTATAATAAGACGCCAGCGTCAGGAAACACAAGAAAAGAACCAGTCGCACCGATAATGAAAATGTCAAAGCAACATGAACTATACACAATTTAAAAGAAACTAGTCCTCATCTTCAGCCTCCTCATCCCCAATAACATACTTATCCTCATCCTCCGCCTTAGCAACAACCTTCTCAAATAACTTCAATGTCGTCTTCAACGGCAACCCAACAACATTATCATAACTTCCATCGATCCTCTCAACAAGAATCGACCCAAGCCCCTGCAACCCATAACCCCCCGCCTTATCCGCTCCCTCCCTGGTCCTAACATACGCCAGAATCAATTCATCCGTAACCTCACCATCAAACCGGACAAGCGTCTCCTCAACAGCCGTCTCAAGCGCATACCCAGGATCCCGCGCGGACTGCAATGGCGCCATAACAGCGATAGCAGTGTAAACTTTATGATCCCTCGCATCCCTCAATGTCTTTAGCATGGAGAGATGGTGCGCCTCGGACCGCGGCTTCTCTAGTATCGAGCCTGTAGATACGTCGACGACTACTGTATCCGCGGCGATGATCAGGCCTGGTTCACCGCGGTTCTCGTTGTTTATTTCCTGCTCGTAGATTGTTTGCGCCTTTTGTGTTGCTGTTGCTAGGACGTATTCGAATGGTGCCATCGTCTTAGGGAAGTTCTCAGGGCTTGTGGATGGGATTATCTCGAGTTTTGGAAGGTGGAGTTGGGAGAGGATTTGGCGGCGGCGTGGGGAGGAGGATGCTAGGATCACGCGCTTGTTGCGCAGGTTGACAAGGACAGGGAGATTGAGAGGTGGAGGGCGTGGGAGGAGTTTTGTCGTTGTTGTCGTCGTCGTTGTCACGGCCGATGTGGTGATGGGGTCGTAGGCTGGGGGAGGGTCGATAGTGTTTGAGTCGTTCATTGTTGCCAGTAAGGCTTCTTTTGAGTCGGACATTCTCTGTGTCTTTTCTTTCCAGGTGTTTTCCAAGGGTTCAATGTTCTCGCCGCTCTCCCCCCTATGCAGAGATTCTGGTTATTGCTCCGTTCAGTGGATGCAGAGATTCATAAATATTTGACAAAAAGTGACAGGATAATTCTCCTCACAAGAACAATTTTGATACAATGCTCAGACTGTCAATTGGCAGTATTCCCAGACGGTGACTGACTGTATGAGTGCTTATCCCGCTTGTTCAACCGCAGCCATGATATACAAGGCGGTAAGTCCCGGCAATTCGCCTACACTAATATATCCATATCGATCTGGCCTACAAGGGCAAGTGCGCATCAAAAAGCAGAAGCTCAAAAAAAGAGAAAATAGATATCATCAAAATAATATAGCCATATTATGGATATCCAAGCTGTCCCTGCCTTTCCATGATATCAGAACTGAAACGCCATAACTCCATCGTCCCAAGTAAAAAGAAAGGTTATAGTAGAACACGCTTCAGGCACCGGGAAAGGGGGGGAAATTCGAAAATAACCATCCACTGAGACTTCATACTTAGATGTGACCGTTCAAAGACAACCAGGTCCGAAAACCACAACCACCAAGTAGCAAGTCCGTAAGCACAAAGTAAAGAGAAAGAAAGGCATGAATTCGTCGTGACATCCAGCCCTCCACAGTAAAACGAACGACTCAGCAGGAAAGGAAACAAAGAGTCATGCCTGAAAGCTCTCATCGATTCGTCCCCCCCTGCTCTCTATCTCAGCGATAAGCTGCTGCCTCTCCTGCAACTGCAGACGGATAAAGTCGACCGTCTTCCTCAGCACGATGCTCTCACTCCGACCCTGGCCCTCGAGACCGGGTACCAGCTCGGTCAGACGATCGAAGCCTTCCCGAATCGCGGCTCGTCGTTTCTGTTCGGAAGCGATGTGGTTGTTCTTCTTTTCTTGCTCTGTGAGGCGTGGTTTCTCCCGATCCACGGACCCGTTGGATCCAAGGGGCTTTGTAGACGACGCGTTCGTCGGCATTGATGAAGAGCGGTCGTCACGGTCGTCTGTGTTCATCGCTTCGACAGGTAGTAATGGGGAAAATGGAGACTCCGACGAGCTTCCAGATGTGAGAGAGGCAGGACGATGTGCAGAAGGCATATTTTGCTTTCTTTTTTCTTTTTATTTTATTTAATATGAAAATTTTTTATCCTGTGGTAGAGTGACACCGGTGAAACGTAGCGTTTAGTCGGCTTTCCCTTGATGATTCTGGAAGGAGGCGGCAATAGATGGATAACAGACGGGTCGACTGGGGAAGACGGGAAATACGGGAAGAGAGGATGGAGAGAGAGCCAAGGGGGAAGATAAGAAAAGCTGCGAAATGATCGGACTCTATGGATTCGATCTGATTCTAGCAAGAAGTCAGGTATAGACGGTGGGGTGGAAAAGAGGGAGGGTGGGATGCCAGAAAGAGAGCATTGGGCAGTGCAGGAGCAGGCGAAGGAGAGCCAGGATTTTAATTATATATCAAACGAGTGCCGGGATTAATATGATTTGCAAAGGAACGGCGTGGCCTGGGGTAAGCCGCGAGAAGGCAATCCGGAGAACAAAGTTCCAAGAGGAAGGAGTGCGGAGTATTCGGAGCTAGCTGGCATAGCACAGCGCTAGCCCCTCTGGACAATGCACTCCATCCCCCGCAATCCTCCAGCTGCAGTCCCTTGATTAATCCCTCTGTTAATGTCCCGTCTCCCGTTGCTGCTGGATATTGCTATGACGTTCTCATTCTATATACGATTGGCTGACCTGCATCCAGCCTATCGACGGCTAATAGCCCCATCCCGCACACGTCCGAGTCGTATTCTCACAGTTCCGCCGGCCTTGTCTTTGAAGTCCATGCGGGGGCACGCATATCATGTATCATGTGACCGGGGAGCAATTTAGATTCATCTATTTAGGGGATAAAAAATACACGGACATAAATATTACGAACGATAAATGGATTCCTTCGGTACTGTATACAGTACCTAGGTACCTAGTAGTATCATTCCCCATCTCTGATAGAGGTGTTAGCCTTTCCAATCAACAGTCCCACTGGCCCATGTACGCGCTACATGTTTGCACGAATACGGAGTACGTCGTTTATTAGCCTTTTGTATAGACAGACATAAAATGCACCCCAATCTGTCAAGGCTGGTTTAACCTTACTCCACTTCCTTCTGACAGCTAAACATCTGCCGTGACTCGTGGCGGTTTCTTATTTCACCTAATCTAGACGTCCTCGAACATGCATACAGCATACGGATTGCTAGTCCAGAGAACCCAACCGCGAGAGTCAGAGCAGACTGTTTGGATTTTGCTTCTACGTCCTACTTAGATGTCATGTTTAGCTCTGTCCAAGCTGGTTGTTGTTCAAACATTCCCATAGTAACAATGCGGAGGGGAGGCTCTCTGCAATGACCACTCCTTCATGATTCGATCCGAACCTGCTTTCCTGTGAAATACCATGTCCTGGATGCGTGGTATTTCTACTCTAATCAGGGCATGCCAATTGGTGGAGTCTTTTATCCTTTCCGACAGACCTGAGTCGGACAGCCTCAGACATCTCACAACCTCGTAGGGTAAAGGAAATTCGGCTGTAGATATTACAGTATATTGATAGGAATCTGGCAATAGAGAAGGTCTATTCAAGAGTCCATGGAGTATATAATGTCCCTCAAAGGGGCCATACTCCAATGTGTGTGTGTGTCTAAACAGGCCTTGAGCCCTTGATGGGGATCTGCCCTCGCTTAGCAATGTCCAGGTAGTGAAGTAAAGCAAGAAACACCACACACTGAGAAAAGCAATCCCTAGAACAAACCTCTCTTTGTCTGACTTCCTTTTCTAACAAGATACCTTGTTCTATACTCTTGTTATTTTCCCATCATAATCTGTATGAATTGCCTCACCATCTTGTGAAAAGACATGTTTTGATATAAGGTAAACCTCGCATAAACAGATATATCTCTTAATGGAGTTCATGCAATTAATATCTACATATCACCTTTCCTAGCCCTTTTCCAAGTAAGTTATTTGCTTGTATCCTCATCCTATGCACTGCGTCCAGGCTCAGTGATAAAGGAGAATCTGAACCAATTGCTGAGATGCCCAGATCCTTAGACTCTGTTGTCATCCAGGACTGATTGGACACCTGACATGTTCTGCTCTCCTTTTGACATTGGTGTCTATTTTTGAAGAAGCTCTCGAAGCTAGCCCTATCTACAGGATGGAGAATAATGCTGCCATGGCTCACTCAGAGAACGGTAATAACATCAGTTCGACGCATGCAGATCAAAGACCCTCTCTGGTAACTTCGCCGTCCCATGTGTCGGCAACTTCTAGGGCAATCTCAGCAAGAAGAAGAGGTTCCTCACGTTATTCGGAATTCAGTTGTCCAAGATTCATGTCCTTTGAACATGCTGAAGGAATCCAATTGCCCTCATACCGCCCTCGAGTGGAACGAAAAAGACCGCTATATCCCACGATAGGAGGTATTACCTCAAGCAGGTTCGCCGTGCAGAACGAGTCACAACGCTCAGATCCAAAGGACAAATTGAAGAAGGTTCTAAGAAGACCTGAACTGAAGATAGCAAAATGGCAATCCGCTGCAAAATGTCTCCGTAAAACAATATCGATACACAGGATCAGTAAATACGCCACGGCAATGCGTATCGGTCATCATGGCCAGGCTTTGAGGATGATTGAGGTCAGCCAATAGTCATATTAAAGGCGCTTTTAACATAAGATGGAGGCTGACAATGTTTCTCTTAAAATAGTACAAGCCGGCATATCGACTTAAGGAAGTGAGAAGAGCATCAGTCCTGGTCGGCACGCCGAGATCTGTATTTAGGCCATCATCTGTCTTTGGTGTAAGTCCAATTCCGGGAAGAATGTGTGTGTGAGCTTGCATTCACAGCGGGAAAACAAAAAAACAGGCCTACAGCGATGGAGTAAACAGCTCCGAAGCATCGACAATACGTGAAGCCCTGGATTCGACTCAAAGTCACCAGGGACCCTCTTCTCAAACCATCCAGAATGTTGAGCTGGACCAGTCTTCCACTTCTAAATCAGGAAATCCGAGAGACGACCATCGTTCCCTCCGTATTTCCATAGGAGATTGGCCGGCGATAATGCGGTCACTAGAAGCAACAGAAGGACTAGGGCAGGTTCCCACTCCATCTGAGGCCCCATCTGAAGCCCCAGACACCACCGCTCTCCACTCGCAGCTGGACTGTCTACGCGCTTCTATTCACCACGATCCGCAAACTGGCCAAAATTTCGACACTGTAGGAGACAGTTCTTTTGCTAGCTCCTCTCCAGCTTCTTCTGCAGCCACAGTCAGACGTCACATACTTGACGCTCGCACCGCATCCACGGTCAGATCATCTTGGTATTCTTTCAGTGATCCTGAGTCCTGCTGTGACGACGAAGTGCAAGAAGAGCCTGAAGCACACGTGAACCGCGTCTTCTCTACCACAGGTACGTCTCATCTTTCTCCTGGATTCCAGAAGCACTTTTCCTAGCCTTCAATGCTACTCTTCGAACTACCAAATTTATCTCGTAGCGACGCGAAGGTCTCCCTTGGTCTCAGGACGCGACTTAGATGCAATTGCTGGTTTTCCGTCCAAAATTGTCCCTCCATCAGGACACTATGAAAGACGATGTTCTTCAGCTTGTCTAGAAAGCAAAGCTAATGCATCTTCTATAGAAAACTTTGACTGGCGGGGTGAGAGCGATATGGAAGACACGCCAAAGCTTGAAAACGCGTCACCTGCCGAGATGTCGTCGAAGGGGGAAATGTCCCATAGCCAAATCGTACACTGCGAGACATCTCATGCTGGATCCACTGCCGAGAGAGGGATGCATATTGATACTGCAATCTCTACCGAGGGTAATAGTAAGCAGCTCCCAAAACATAGGATCTGCGAAGTCCTGGCTCAGTCACGGATCCCACGTGTGGTCGTCTCTAAACCCAAAATTTCTGCTGCAGAGAACCAGAGCCCTGTGCCAGCCTTCATCAGCTCAGAGGTTCGTAGCTCAATACCGGTTCCGAGTCGACTCGTACAAGCCGTACGAGCAATGAACACACAAGGAGTGACAGTAAAAGAATCTGTCTACGCTGAAGATAAAGCTGCCGGCAAGTCAGTTGATCATAAAAGTCCTGCATCATCCATAGGATCTATGGACGCAGATGGGGAAAACGAGGACTACCCAGATGGTGAAGGGGATAACGACGAAGTCAGCAGTTGGGACTTCGATGACGACGATAATGAGCCTTTGGAGCGACCGCCTACCATATTTACTGGTGAATACCGGACCAGAAGGCTTCCCCGAGGACCAACTTTGAGAATAACGCCTTCGGCTGAGTATGTCATCATGGGAGCCGAAGATCCGGCGATCAAAACATCTATTGTGACACAGCGGTCCCCTCCTCGTGTTCGATACGTAGTGGGAGACGGTAACCCTTCCGAACCTCATGAAGGCACTCCTGGTCACAGTGAAAGCGGGAATGGTGACCTTCCCCAGGATACCAAAGGAAATTCGCGCGATGTTGGAATGGGCTCAGAGGATATGAGCTCTACTGATATGGGCTCCCCAAAGAGACCAATATTCAAACGTAGCATTTCCAGCCCTCAGTTGAGGGGTCTGAAGAGCCTCGTGTCTGGGGTGCCACCCGTTCCTAAGATCAACCCGGAGTATCGGCAAGAACGCCGCCTATCGACTGCGCAAGCAGAGAGCTTAGAGCCAAAGACACCGACAAAGGATGCAGCAGCCTCCATGCAATCTCCTGTGGTTGAAGCTGTATCAGACTGGGATATAGATTCACCGATGACGGCAGTACCACGGTCCCCGATGAGAGATGCACCACCCATAGCCGTTGATTCTTCAACCTTGACGGAAAAGAACGGAAAGCATAATACTCAAAATGATTTAGAGGCAGCCCACAACGCAGGATCATCTAACATTGCGAAGGAGGACACGACTTCCAAAGAGATCGGCCTGCAAGGTAGTTCTGACGGAAATCAAGGCAACGAAACTGAGAACATTCCTAGCCGAGCCAGACTCCCGGAGTCTAAAAGCTCACGCATGCTGGTCGGTTTCAGGACCATTTTCTCGAAGCGCAAGTCTATTAGCGAGAAAACCAGGCCGAAGAAGCTAGAGGGCAGCGGCGAAACGGCTACCCCTGCTAGCAAAGGGCGGGCGTCCGACGTAATCAAATCCGATGAAAATGTCGAGGGGACTCCTAAATTAGGCAGACAAATCTCAAAAGCGAGCAAGCAGCAGCCCAGATTGTCCGAGGGAGCTACTTATCTGCGTAACTCCAAAACGATGGCGGAGCTTACGCCTGTTCCCCTGTCGACAAAGATGAATGCTAGCAATACGCCCACAGGCTCCTCTCAGCCAGCTCTGAGAAAACAGTCGGAGAATCATGTCCCATCGTTCGCTAGGCCGACCCAATCGACGATCACCAAGGCTGCCGGCTTGTCCAGGGTGTCCACTGGGCAGCTAGCTGCTTCTGCAACACGAGATGTCCGCGGACGCAGACTTCCCATTACTGTTACCGCGAATGGAAGCCCGCAAAGCGCGAATCGCAACCAGCACCATAGCATGAGTATAACATCGTCCTTCCATAAGAAAGTCCCTACTATTCCGAATGGGGGAGGCACGGCAATTGAAGACATGGAGAAAGTGGACCTGATTCGTAGTTGTATTGACGACATCTGCAATCAGGTTCGCGATGGCAACACTGCCGATCAGCGTGAGAAACACCTTCGGGTAAGCCGTCTCTTCATTAAGATTGTTTATTGTTGTCAGCAGCTAACACGCCTATGCAGGTCGTGCTTTCACTCCAGCAAACCCTAGCCGACTACATTAATAAAGAAAAAGAATTTAAAGAAATCGAACAGCTGTACTTCAAGAAGAAACTCAGCCGCGATATCGGACGTAACACTCTCTTTGAATTCTTCGAGCAGGTGCAGGCTCTATTGAGCGAAGAAGAGTAGAAGAGCGATTCGTCTCGTTCGAGATTTTCGGATCATCGGTGGCACTTGCGGAATTTAACTGTCTCGGGGTTGTGCCTTCCCTCATGCAATCCTATATGATATCAAGGACGTTCCTTTGTTCATTTCGATCTTCAAAAAGGAAAAAAGAAAAAAAAAAAAAAAAAAAGAAAAGAAAAGAAAAACTCTGATTTCACATGGTCGTCTTCGTCCTACAACCTTAATGTCTAACAACTAATCTGGCTCCTGTTGGCTGTTGATCGTTCAATCCCTTTCCTTTGCTTTTCTATCCGTTTCCCTCATGGCCTTTTTTCCCATGGTTTTTTTTTTGTTACTTGTCCCAGAGACTTAGTGGAACCCCCCAAAAGGTTTACGTTGCGAGTGTACGAGTCTACGATTCACGAACTCATGATATTGTTGTTTTTCTTACACTGCCTGTACTTTAGTATGCTGCCGAGCGATTGTCTCGGATGAATTATTTCAACCCCAAAAAAAGTTGAAAACCCCATGTATCCAGAAAAAATTGATACAATGTCTGAGTCCTATATCTGTCTTACATAACTCCAACATGATCAGAAAAATCAATGACAATGGATGCTCCTTCAGCCATCACTCAATAGAGCATATGTCTTCCATACATTCTGACACATGGCAAGGGAAGGAATTCCTGCAGTGTGGTATCTTCCTCCTTTCTCTGAGAGGCAGGACCGGCTGAGGTGGAAGGTTTCATTATACCTACCATCTGCATATGAGGATACATTAGATTCCTGCAAGATACTAAGGAATTCTGCAATGTCCCAGCACAAATGCAATCAACACTCTGAAAGAGAACGAAGATTCCATGTAAAGAAAGAAAGAAGAGCAATTTATTCACTCTTTAAAATTCACTTCAGACAAGACACGACACAGCGCGACACGAGAAGGTGGACTTCCTCCCCATAATAGAGAGGACTAGCCCCCTAATACTCTATTTACTCTCTCGTCTCTTCATCTTTCAAGCTTGTTGGCTCCTCTACAGCTGAGGCTGTTGATATCTAGTCAGCCTGTTTCTCTTCTGGTATTTCGACCTCTCGTGTCTGTCTAAACACCTTCCCCCAATCCGCAGCCATGGGAAGGATGGGAAGGTATCGAAAATACCAAAAGTACCGAGTCAGTTCGTTTCCTGATAGCGTTGACCCTTCATCCTAACATATATACGGCTAGCTTGGATAGACAAGAAGGATCAAACCAAGCCGCTAACAAGATGTATAGTATCAGCCACGCCATCATGGCAACATGCCAAACGGAGATAACGACAGCATCAGCAGCAACAGCAACAATTTCCGGGGTGAACAGCGTTCTGTAAACTTTCCTTTCGCTGCTCCAGAAATAAACACTCCTGCTCCTGTACTTGCCACTGGAACAAGCTACTATAGGAGTAGCAGCAGCAATAGCAACCATCCGTCTGTGCTTTTACCTTTCCACAACCAAAACTACCATCCCCCTCAGTTCTCCTACACTAATACCACCACTTTATTCCCATTCTCTGCATCTGACTATACGGAACACTACTATGTTCCCAGTGTCAATGGTAATGAGAGACTAGCGTTTGCGCGGTGTCCGGCCCAGCTGGTCGGTCCTAGTGAAAGGGTGGAAAACCACAATTATCTCTTTTTGGAGCAATTTCGCTATGCGGGAGTGCAACAGGTAAGGATAGCACATTTTGTGGATGTGCTCCGCATTCCCGATGAATTTACCTCATAGGGAAGAAGGGATAGATCGGATCGGATCGAACAGATAATGGTCCAACTGACAGTATCTTGTACAGGAATACCAGCCTCCTTATTGCAACATCGATAACGTATCGCGCGAGAATCTGCTTGGTACAGGCCACATCGATGTTGGTACTGGTCTAGTAGAGGAAGAAGGGCAAAAAGACCAGAAAGAGCAAGAGGGAAAGGAGGAGAAAACGGAACAGAAGCACGAATGCTTCGCTGGGCCTTTGATCATAACTACACCGACATTCTCCAAAACTGCGCCCGCTATTCTCCGAGCGGACGCACCTGAATTTGTTCCGCAGAGCGTTATTGCTCTGTCCATGTCTGGTAGTAATAACGGCTAGGGCCAAGACCCGGGGTTTTAGGGTTGAATTCTGGCTTTTTTTACGGAGTACTGCCTGGCTTCATCTTCTTTTCTTCTTCCCCTGACTTCCAGGGAATCAAGCGAAACAAATACATGGATGAGTTATTGTCTTTGCTGTTTGCTGGCGGATGACCTGTACTGTGACCGAACGAGAAGAGATGTTGTACCTACTGGTTTGCAGACGTATATTATTGGTTCTGGAAGGCTACTGTACGAATACACATACCATGTTGAAGCGGGAAACGAGAGGTTATCACCAGGTAGTGCTGTGTAAACTGGAACCGCTTATGTCAATATTTGAGGAGAAAAAACTCTTTTCCAATGATGAAAATGGGCGAGAATCAGCTACCACTCGTTAAGATGCCCCCATTAAAATCTTGACCGAAGATCTCACTATCACCGTCGTCACGTTCATAACCAAAATAGAAAGAGCCATTGTCCAAGCCACCTACCAACATCAACGCCTGACCAACGCCGAATTCATTCCCAATAATCCTCAGCACGTCGATAGTGTAGTTCCGGAGCGGAGAACCGACCTCGTCCGTCGTCCCTGCCATAGTCAAGAACCAGAGCACTATAAGACTCCCTGCGTACCTTCCGGAGATACTATGCGCAGAAGAATCTCCTGATGGCCCTTCTACTTTTCCCATGTCAGCGGCACCGAAGTAGTACGGGATGCTATAGCAGATATCCGTTGCGCATTCCCGGACCCTATCGTAGATGCTTTGTTCCTGGATCTGGAAGTCTTTCGACAAACTGACGGCAGGCGTCCTGTTACGAAACCGCTTCAGTTCGCTAGCGATGATCTCCCCGACAAGAATACGGGCGCAGCGGTAATGGTTCCAAATAGAACATATCCAGAGATCCGGGTAGATATGGTACCGATTATTGTATGCAAATACCCCGCAGCAGTGCTTTTCTAGCCGGGAATTTGCACCGGCTGTGATGAAGGCGAAGTTGGGAGGCAGCGATGCCAGCCACATGGTCAGTTCGGCATCAATTTCGTAAGCAGCTGATAAGATTTCGGCGTCGCTCGTAATTTTCGCGCGCTTAATATCTGCACGGAGGTTTGTAAGTTTGGTGTTGATATCCATTATATTCTCTGAATATGGAAATGTGCCGGATGGCAAAAACGTTGCAGATTTCAGGAGTTTTGTGACCGACGGCGGAAAATAGGAAACTGTTTGCAGGCAGCAAATGATCTGGACATACTGTCAGCATGCTTTCTACAAGCAGATTCTGGTAGGACACTCCGCGACGAGGATGAAAAACGTACAATTTGAAATCTCGTTTGGTAAAATAGCCTAAGCCCAAGTTCATCCTGAAATTGCTCTGCTTCTCTCAACTCAAGCAACGCTGCTGCGCCATAAGCATGATTGGTCCAAGCATCGAGCTCTTCCTGCCTCCTTGATGTAACAATCTAGAATCCCATATGTCAACTTCCGCACACATATAGAGAGTAGGATTTCACCCCTTACTTCGAATATTGAGAGCAAGAGAACCGCGGCAAGAGTGAAATGACTTCTGGCTTGCACCTTATCTGAAAGAGCGGTGTTGACGAGCGTTAAAGCTGAACCAAACTCGCGTGCTGCTGTCACTTTCATAGTGGAAGACTTTCTAACATTCGAAAGCATAGCCATGCCGACAGCAGCCATGCTTGCCATCATAGCCTGGTAACTAGGCGATCCTCGTGGAGCCCCTAACCTCATCTCATCTTCTTTAGTCCAGGAGAAGTGCCGTAATAAACCACTATGTATAAAAAAGGATACAGCCTCGTTCGTTGTTGGGTTAGGCCGCAACATACTCGGAGACAGTAACTGTGCCGCTTGCTTCATAATCTGAAAGAGGCCTTGCTGTCGGCGTTCATTGCCGCTGAAATTTCTATCCATCAGAGAGACTGTTCCATTTCCCAAGGATTCGCTACTCCCACTTGGGAAACCTGTGCGAGCGGCCCCCTGTGCCCGGGTCTTCTTGGCTTTCCTTGATTCGGTGCCAGTTACGGCAGTGGCTTTTCGGATAACATCTTGGCTCTGGTCTCGAAATAGCAGAGACAGATGGTCTCTATACCCCGGACAGCTACGGTTTGCACGGATACACTGGGAACAGTGTGGTCTAGCTTGGTCACACTGCATAGAAGGTGAGTAAACCATAGTTCACAGAGAGAACTAACAGCCAGCTTACTCTGATTTTCCTTGACCGGCATTCGCCGCAGCTTTTACTTGGCTTTCCACAGTAGACCATGATCGTTGCTGCCCACGGTTGGGAACAACTAAGTACGACAGGCACCTGCCTGAAGTCCCTCACTCAGCGGGGTCGTCTTCATAAATAGTAAGCTGTGCAAACAGAAAGGCTTATTTAGGGGCTTTTCTAGTCAAGGCTGTGCATATGGCAGTGCACTTTTATCTGCGTAGCCATGGCCTTATGGCGTTGGCAGGGATATCATTTCCCAGAAGCATCAGCACTAGTCTGGATGCGGTATGCACTGCGACTGTGGGCCCTAGGCGATAAGATATATGTCACGTGCTAACTACCACCTGTTTGTCCGTTTTGGGTATCCTCAACGTACATGTATGTCCTTCCAAATTCCGACGCCATTGACGGTGAAAGAGTCTCACCTGGTGTACTGTTGCACACAGCCTGGCTGAGAGCTAGTCCCTCTGTTTTCAAGCTACTCCGTCTTTCAACTTCGCACTCCTTTCCTAGATGAGAGCATCATAGACGATGGATGGACGACACACGCTGCCAAGGCTGAGTCGAAGGAGATTCCAAGAATGGAGGCTATTTAAACCGTGCTGTTTTGAACATTTACGCATCTCATGATAATTTAACAATCAGAATTAATTCCATTTTGTTCTCTCTTTCTTTATGGGAAGGAAATATATACGGAACCTACACAGCTCTTTTCACATTTGACTGTTGGCTTTGTCATAACCCTTCGTTAGATCAATCCAAAGCCATGGGCCTCACCTATCGCCATGCCATTTCTGTGGTTCAATTGATCATTTTTATTCCCTCCTTGTTGCCTTCACTCATCTTTGTATGGCGGCATGGGTTCTCCAGAAGCGCGGGTTTCATTTTTCTGGTCATATTCTGTCTGCTACGCATTGTCGGTGCAATATGCGATCTGGTGACTATCAGTGACCCATCTTCGACGGGCCTGTACATTACATCAGCTGTGTGCAGCTCAATTGCGCTTTCACCGCTGATTATGCTTTGCAACGGGCTCCTATCCCGAGTGTGAGTCTTGAAGCAGCGTGGAACTACCTGTTCAAATAACTGACCTTATTTTTGCTTGCCTCCATCAGGAACATTTTTATCCCTGAACGATTTGGACTCTTTAATACCAGCCTTCTTCTCCGTCTTCTGAGACTTGTCTCCATTGCTGGAGCAATCCTCAGCATTGTAGCCTTGACGAAAAATATGTCCATGGAAGCCCTGAAGCACCCCGGCTCGTTGATCAAAATTGCCATGATCCTCTTCATTGTGGCATGGGTATTACTCCTTCTTGCCCTGGCCATTCTCACTCGACATGTCTCGGTGATTCAGGCAGGCGAACGCCGCATACTGCTCGCTGTGGGACTCTCGGCGGCTTTTATCCTTGTGCGCCTCATTTACGCGATACTGATTTGGTTCGCGACGAGCTCGGTTTTCAGTTTATATAATGGAAACAACACTGCAATGCTCATTATGTCTGTTATGCCGGAGTTCGCCGTCACCATTGTCTGCCTAGGTATGGGGTTGACGTTGCGTGTTCGAGAACCCGTGGCTGTGGAGGAGCAGCAATGCCTGGACTTCAGGCCGTCTCAAGGAGCCCCTACACGGGAATACCAACGGGTCCAAGGGCTGAGATATGATTTGCCAGATGGTGTACAGCGCTGTTGAATGCTCGAAGGCGATAGAAATAGATAAGGGGTGGATTGGTCTCTGGTTTTCGTTTCTTTTGTCTTTTCTTCTTTTGTTCTTGGGCTATTTTCCCTCATGCTCCTAAGTTCATCCCATCAACCATTATAGAAATTGCCCAATTCAAAATATTCCTACGAACCATGAGGCAGGCTTGGTAGCACTGCCCAAGGCGTAATTAAAGCAAACCATAGAACTATCATGTAGGTAATATCTGCTGCAAAGATGCAGCCTTATGGGGTCGTGCGGAAGCTGTGACTGGAAGCTACAGACACAGGCTTATTTCCTTCACGTCCTTGTCTGCCATTGATATGGTTACGATAATGATGCAGGGATACAACCTTCGAGGGCCTTGTCACGCCAACCAACATGTGCATATCTCTCTCAGCCTCGGGCAATTACAGCCTCTGTGCCCGTATAGCATCACGAGTAACCACCAACCTGGTCATCATCTGTTATTCTGTTGTTTGATGAATCTGAAGTTGTCCATTTGGCCATGAGCTTATATGTATATATGCCTTGGCTTATGCATATGCTGGCTATGAGTGTATAAGAGTGTCTGCAAAGAACCCATGGATTACGGGTTGGACAATGTTCATCTAGTGAATCTTCTTTGTTTGTCTATGCCCTGGCCATTTACTCCAAGCAGTGACTACCATGGTGCCCTTATTACTTAGGTGGACAAGATCCCGACATCATGTCATAAAGTCCAGCTCTGCCCCAAAGTACTCCAAAGTGTCTACACATACTGCAGCAATTGGAACTACACCAACTCGATCGAAAGCCCGAAAACAAATCAAGATCAGTATTGCCATGGAAAGAAATATTCCAAAACCGAATATCTGAAAGAGCATCAGAGACAATACGAACGACAGCATTCGGAGCAAGCCCCTGGGCACACTACAGTGGAAATAGAGAGCCCCTGGTGTCCTCCGCCCTACTCTGCTCAGCGATCGGATCCTCCAGCCATGGATGCTAACGGAGACTCACTATATGCTTTCCTGCGCGAATTCGATACCATATTCGTGGTGGACGACAGTTCAAGTATGCTGGGACAGCGATGGAGAGAAGCAGAAGCTGCCATGGCTCCCATCTGCACTCAATATGACCAAGATGGGATAGACATTTCTTGAACCATCGCAGGATATTCATTGCATCCAACACGGATGCATATATGGGGATCAAATCAGCCGACGATATCCGCGAGATCTTCAACGGTGTTTACCCCCGCGGTGCCTCGCCCTTTGGAAACCGATTGCTGCAGATTCTCAACCCGTAACCCGTATCTCCGGCGCATCGAGGAGATGGCTTCTGCCACCGACGCGGATGGAAATCTGATGGACCCTACGCTTCACGTGAAGCCGCTGAACATAATCGCCATCACAGACGGAGCTTTTACGGACGACGCTGAGACTGTCATCGTTGAAGCTGCTAGGAGACTAGATGGTCCCAGATGTGAGGTCGTGCCATGGCAGGCTGGGGTTCAGTTTTTCCAGACTGGGAATGATAAAGCGGCGACGAAGCATCTTCAGCAATTGGACGATGATCCTGGGAAAAGAGTTCGGGGTGAGAATCTCCGTGATATCGTCGATACTGTGCCTTGGAAAGGGGAGGCCGGCCATACATTGACTGCGGACGGTATTCTGAAGTGTGTACTGGGTGCAGGTGCATAAGAAGTATGATAATTGCCAAGGAACTTACTGACACCAATCGCTTCACTTTTCTCCTAGCATTATGATCTGCTGTGAATGGCTTTCTCTTTGTCTCTTTGTCTCTTTGTTGTCTTCGTCACTCCTCTCCCAAGAGATGAGAGGAATACAATCTAATGCACAGAACGCCTGGCCCGGGCACTTGGCAAACTATTGGTTTGTTGCTATTTCTGTACTGCTAGGGACACAATCACATCCGCGCGTCCTGCAGTGAAGCGCGGGTATTTCCCTCCAACCAAAGCCTCAAGCGCCAACTTGCCGCCGAACCATGGGATGCACAAATTAAAGGATCCGGTCGAACCTTGCATTCAATTTCAGGGGCAACCAACGCAGTATCGTACGATGCGTGCTTTCTCACAGGCTAAACCCCAACTGCACTCGTTTGTATGGAATCAATCAATCAACTGCCATCCAGTTTCACGGTGGCACAGCTTGTCTTCAGCTCGAAACCTGGCCTCTAGCGAGAATTAAGTTCCGCTAGCATCTGGCGCAGCATACGGAGATTACGGACTGGATCTCACTAAAGCCAGACACGCCAATCGCAGGGAGAATTCCACCTGCAGACGGGGTAGCCAGAGGCAACCAAACTTGCTTCAGCTCACTCCCGACACCAGGTTCCCTTTCAGGTTTCTGGGTGGCTCTGGGTTGCTTCCCCGTCAAGAGTCTGTTAGGCCCACTTCGGTGCGATCGCCTGGCTGGCATCATGGATCGCCATCGGGGCTACTTTACATGCATATCCCCTTCACCAGAAGAGTATTTAGCTTGGAGGGCCGTCAGTGACTCAGGTTATCCACGACATTCCTGCGTGCTATCCTGCTTCCTACATGCTCGTTGTGGTCTACCTGTCATTGTTTCAGGGTGACTGTCTACCGAAGTTCTCGACCAAAAGCTGAAACCATTTCACATTTCGTCGTGGGGGTTCTTGACACCCCCTTGCGTCTACCGGCGCTTCCTGAACGCTGTCCGCCAGTGTCATTGGTGGTGACATCCTCCCGACATAACACGCTGCAGGCACACCCGTTGTGACGGGCACCGGTCGCGGCTAATGAATCAAGGGCCCAGCTTGAGAACTATTGTCCAGCTTGATCTTCTGGATTGTCGCCTTGTTCCTAAACCATATTAATAGCCTGTCAGTCCCAACGGTGACCTGTCCAGCGGGTCTATTCAACTGTCAGGCGTTTCCGGCTTTTTCTTTCTTTTTGTCGTCGTAATTATAAAAGTCATTCCTTTTTGTATTTTTTTTTCCTTTTTTTTTTTTTGTCTCTCTCTTTGTTTCTTTTATCATCTTTCTTCCGGGCTGGCCTTGAAGGGATCTTTTCCATTCCTTTGGAATATAATATCTCAGTGGTTGCTGTTGGGCCTCCGTGTTTACACATACTGCGCCCTTCCTCTCATTTATTGAGATAGGACAACTTTTGTGTATCACTTTGGCGTTGACTGGTTATCTTTCTTTTAGAACGTCTGACTCTCTTTTGGATTGAGATTTTCGTCATTGTTGTTCCTCCCTACAACTTGCTTTATTATCTTGATTTGATACGTTATACCTGAATATGGCGTCAACTACTCTGATGACATTTCTTCTGTGAGTGATGGTCTGTTTGATAAATATCAATACTCAAGGTTGCTAATATCTTCCTCCCAGTTATACTCCACCGAGTACAAAATCAGTAAAATTACTGGGCTCGTGGGATAATTTCTCTCGGCCGTATATAATGGAGAGGGACCGGAGAGTCGGCCCCGACCACTGGAGAGGATGCCATACTTTCACAAACATCATATGCGACGGATCACCCAGCAACGTGTCACAAGGGCGGGATGGCGGCCTAAAAATGGGGGGGACTTATTGGTACTATGTTAGTATTTCATCTCTGACTGCTGTCAATTGGTTACTTCTTCTAACTAGGTTGTGGTAAATGAATAGTATATATTAGATGACGACAGGGAGTTCTATAACGAGGCAGAGCCGGTGACAACCATGTGCCCCCTTCTGCCGGGTCAACCGGTGAACGTTCTCCATGTCCCCATCGTCCTCCCAGATAACAGATGTTATCGCCGTGGGAGCAGTGCTAGTTCTGAGAAGTGGGAGGACTACCGGACTATGAAGCCCGAAGACAAGTATATGAACCCTAGGCAACCACCCAAGCCGAAACCCATACTTCGTTTGAAGACTTCTCCTTCGCTGTTCAATCATCCCAATCCCTCGTGGCCATTTAATGGCGATATCTACTCGTCGGAAGAGTTTGTCCACAGCAGAATTTCACAGTCTTCAAATGCGACAGGCCGTTCTAAAAGACGGAGGAGGGGCTTCAAAACTGCCCGCTCTGCTTCGCCTCCCAGGTCTAGGGGTCTTAGAGCCGCATTTAGGTATTTGAATGGTAATTCCCCTGAACGCGGTGCTGTTGGCCGCAAAGGTGGAGGCACTATGGCACATGATGATTCTACAACGCGACAGATGGGGACTCAGCAAGAAGGGTGGCGCTCTATGCCTCATTCGACTGAGAACGTCGTATTCGAGATGCCCGTGCCAGAAGCAGACAGTCGAGATGGGAATGGACACGTTCTCCGTTGGCCAGTATGCGGCGTAGAGGATCGATCCGTGTCTATCCCAATACAGGATCGTCGAGCTGCTACAAAGTCGCGGGATTCCTCCCCAGAAAAGAAATACCTGACTCTGGATAGGTCCCCGAAAAGCGGCCTGTCCGGTCTTAAGTTGGAGACCCCTACGCTTCCAAAGCAGAATCCGCAAATATCGCCCGCTCATGCCGAGCAGTCAACTATTTCGAAGGAAGAAACAACCCCAAAGCCGCCTGATTTCAAGTTCAAGAGGCTTCCCACGCTGCCCAACAGCCCATCCTCGGTCATGGAAGAGGCCTTGAATGCCATCGAGGCTCAATATAGAGCGATTGACATGGAAGCCCTATGCAGCCGCTTCTCTAGCTTTACTATGACAGCTAAACCGGACGCCAACGAAGCTCCATGCCAAGTAAGTCGGTTTTCCGAATGGAGCACGGACACAGAAGCCCTCTCCCCAGACTCCATGGTATCATCCTCGACATTAAATAATGACAAGCAAACTTCTCCCGCCTCTGTCGGAATGTCCCAACCCGCTACTCCCCGCTTGACAGCAGATTCTGAATTCTCTTCCGTCTCTGTCTCTGATGACTCTAAATTCTCTTACCTGTCTCTTCCTCGTCTTTCACTCACGCTTTCCTCGCCAACTCTCGATCTACCTTGGCTCTCCACTAATGATGTGGAATTTGATCGTATGGAGACCAATCCCAAACGGCACGCAGCTCTTTTCGAAGCGATGGAGTCTTGGGCGATCCTGGATATGCCATGCAGTCCCGATTCCTCTTCCACCTTCGTTTCACCAGAGAATTCCGGACAACGGAATAGCTCTGATATGTCACGAAACATTACTGCCACTCGCCAGTCGTGCGAGGGCTCGGGGAAGACCCCATTCCCTCGGCAGGCTTCAATGATCCAGGAAATGATAGATGAATTAGGTTACTTGAGAAGTATGATTGAATCTGGCATTGATGGATTTTGATCTTGCAACCGGCGAGGTGCCGGCGCCATTTATTTACTGTATAAATGTGTGACATTTAAATATGTTATACTTTGAGGATTTGTTATCATATAGAGAGTTACTGCAATACTCTGGGCGTTGGTGTTTTGTGTTAATTAGCATCTGTAGATACGAACTAGCAAATAGATGGATATGAGACAATCTAGAGAATCTACTGACATTTTTCAGGCGTACGCTTTCCTCTCTTACTCCCTAATCCACAGAAATTCCGGCTTCTGTAATCCGTAAACTCTGGAGTAGTGCCCATCAAGTATCACACCAAGACACGTGCCAAGACAAAGAGTCGCGTGTATCCGCAACCAGCAAATACGGATACATTCCAGAAACAGAAACAAGCTCCAAAAGAAAAAGAAAAAAACCAACTCCAAAAACACTCCAACCACCCTCAATTATGGGATACGAATCGTCTTTCTGACACCAAATGGAATTTACGAAAGCTATACTATAAAAATTAGAACATGGTCCAGGACGCTGCTGCACAGCTATCATCACCCCATGACCGTCGGCGGCAGCTTATACCCGTCGGGGAGCAACTGCTCCCGGCAAAATGCAAAGCCAGGACGCTGGCATACTGTCCTACCATGGATCTGATTGCGTTGGCCACTGTGGATGAGGAGCTGCGTGTTCTCAGATTGAATGGGCAGCGAGTCTTTGGGGGGTCATTTTCTGGTGGGGAGCTGTCCTTTGGCGGAGATGAGGATGAGGATGAGAAAGATAATAGTGGTGAAATTAGGGGGTTGGTATGGAAGGGTGATGGTGAGTGGTTTTTTTTTTTTTTTTGTCTTGTTCTCCAGATTTTCCTGGCATGACCCTTGGTGACTTTTCTTACCAATTAATTGGTCAGGTCATCTACTTGCTGTTGCTTGCGGGGATGGTACAATCCGTATCATCAGTTCTTATAGTGGAAAGACAGTCCATCACTATCCTGTATACCAGCTACATGATGATGATGCTTCTGCTCAGCCTGCGAGACAGCGCGCCAAGGTCAGCTGTTTGGGATGGGGCGTCAACTTCACGGACGGCGAGGCTGCACAGCGCCACTTGCATGATGCCTCTGGACGAATTACAATCGAGGACTTATTATCACCGGACACTCATATCTCCAAGGCTACCGCTTACCTTAAAGCTGATCTGCCCAGAGAGTTGGCATTGTTGGACATAACGAGCTCGTTGCCGAAATTGAGCACTTTGCCTGGAACGGGGAGCGAGTGAGTTTTGCTATTTGCTCTGCTTTTTCATAAGAATAATATCTCTGACAACTCAAATTCAGCGATGATGTGTTTAGCTCTCGGGCGTCCATCGATGCTATTTTCCATTCAACAAAAAACACTAGCGACTCTGTAGATGTCCTTGTGGTAGGGTTTGACGACGGAACGGTGCACTTGCGTATTTTTGACTGCTTCGAGATTGGGTCTGTTCGAATTGGGACTCCTGTCCCGCAGTCGTGCCGGATTCTTTTACACGCCTCGCATCCTCTGAGCTCCACGCATGCGTTGCTCGCAGCAGCACCATCTCAAGATGGCGGCCAGGACGTCTTACATCTACTTACTCTCGACCTCCGTTTTATCACTAATTCGGGCCGGTACCTGTCACTTCTCGCTTCCAAGACGACACAACTGCAGAATCTGCTCAGGTACATTGGTCAGGTACAGAGGCAGATCGAGCTCGAATGGAAGAACACGCAGGAACTGCCAACAAGGTACATGCGTAACATAAATGAAGACCTTCAAGAAAAGTGCAATTGTGATTTTGTAACTGCATTATATCATCTAGTTGTCACCGGCGACTGCTTTGAGCCTCTCAAGGAGTTTCTTGTGGACATCGTTGGGGAAAGAGTATGATAGCAATCCGTCCCACTACATCTAATGGGGTCTGTTACAGAAGAACACTGACTGGGAAGAACTACAGGGGCATAAGCGGTGGGAGAAGGCCGTTTCAGCCGGTTATGAGAATATTCGTCGATTGGCACATGAGTGCCTTCTTCCGGCGTTGGAAAGGTCTCAAGTCCTCCTCAGTCGGCTCACCGGTCTCTCTAAGTTTCAGAAACTCAGTGATGTCCTGGGGCTGGAAACTTCTAGCCTGAATGCAGTGGTGGAAACGCTGGATTGCCTTTATCTCCTGGGGCATAATATCTTGATTCATGCCAACGAAGAGCTCGGCCAGTTTCTTGCGTTCTCACGATGGCTTCGCCATGAAATTGAGGTGCAGAGCGCGGAGCCTATGTCCCAGACCCTGGAGGAGTTAATGGAAAAGGCCGATACGATAGAGTATCCCCCGACCTTGAAATACATACGCGGTGCACTGACCAAAAGCGCCCTGCGGAATTTCATCCAGCAGCTACCCATGATGGGATTTGGAAGACCGCCTCCTGCTCCGCCGTCTATTATAGAGAAATGGGCGCTTATCGGTCAGGATCGTTCGTTTTTTGACATGTTCAGCAAGCTGCTTGCTCAGCAGAACAAACAGGGCGAAAAGGACCAGGCCACGCCCGATGATACTACCCAGTCAGAGCTTCCTAAACTTCACGAGTTGATTAGGCGTCTAGGGTTGCAGTTTGAGAGTGTGTTTGAACAGATCGCATTAACGCAACGCCGGGGCATACTTCATCGGTCGGCACTTACACTCCATCCAGACTGTGACAAGGATGTTATTGATATTACTATGTGTTACGAGGTATTGGCTGCTCTTCATCCGTGTTAAAAATGGCTGCTGACAATAGATAACTAGGATAACGACAAGCCCTGTTCGATCTACGTTGCTACAAGATCCATAAAGTCAAAGGAAATTTGTACGGCAAAGATGGCCCCTTTCCGCAAGATGAGCAGAAGGGTTTCGGACTAATAAGATCTAATAGTATTTATCTATCGCGCGACCTTTAATTTAGTGAACGGCGTCAGTTCAACGAGGCAAGCGTCCGTTGCCCCCGTCTCATTTCAGGAAGGGGAGATCCACCAGGTGCAGTTTGTCGACGACAGTACGCTCATGGTTCTTTGGTCGGACAACAGTACGTGGCGGCCCTGCATGCTGAGATATCAAGATATTCGTTCTTGCTGACCTGTATGTCTTTTTTTTTGCTCTGTGAGCAGAAGGATTCTTTCACCTTGTCAATATCCCAATATTCCAGTCAGAGACGACGGATTCCCACCTCTCGCCGCCGCTTTCTATCAATGGTCTTCCCAATGAGTCTTGCCTCCTAACATCTCCGCAATCTGCTACGGTGCTCACAACGTTGGACCTTGTGTCACCTTCTGCGGGATCCTTGCGAGCGGATCTAATCAAGCATACTTTCCCGCAGTCCGGTCCCAAGTCGAGGCCCGTACGGATTGAAGTTAATGGACACAAGAGTCGCAGGGCAGTGTGCGTTCTGTATGCGGAAGGGCTGAGGTATGAGGTGTTTGATTTGGATACTGAAATGGGGGATGAAGTTGAGGAAGGGTGAGAATCGCTACATGTAACATTTGATTTTCGCATAGGATGGTATACGTGGCATCGGCGCTGTATTCTCATTGTCAAATGGGCACCTGGTATTACTATGATGCGGCATGCATTGCATCTCTTTGTTTCTTGCCCCCACGACTGATTAGCGGTTCCTTCAGTTCCTTTGAAGAAGATACCCTTGAGTTATCATTGGTAGATTCCGATTTGTCCAAGAGTTGCAGAATACATCTACGCGGAGTACTAGATACTAGGCAGTCTACTCTGTAATTAGTTCAGTCTGAGGAGTTTCGCAGGTGTTTGTTTTTGGCGGCTTTGTCGCCTAGGCCACAAAGAGCAGGCGAACCGGGTTCCCCAAGGAGCAAAACAAAACAAAGCAAAACAAACGGAAAGGCGGGGCACCATGCTGTATTCTGCCGCATATACGATATCCCCCGATATGAAGACAACGAGATGCTGTCTGTATTCGCCACTGTCCAGAGCAAACAACCTGCACCATAATAACAATATGAGATCTCAAGCAGACAGTAACAACAACAGTTGACCTGTATGCGCAGGGCAGTCCGAGAGCGCTGGGGGAGCTGGGCATGCATGAGTCACGTGGGGCAGCGGGAGTCACGGCTTGCTGTGTGGCCCGTCCTCAGCTGAGCGCTTTGCCGCTAGAGCTTTAGCCCGGCAAGCACTGCTGCAAATCTAGTCGATGATAGGTAGACTCCCTCTTCCCTACTCGATTCTTTCATCGCTTTCTTGTTCCTGGCATCGCGAGACCAAGGCTCATCGTCTCTCTAGCTCTTCTTCTTCTTCCATTGTCTGACTTCCTGCTTCCCCCCAAAGAATCCGGTGCAGAAGCCTCAACTTCACCAGTCCGTCCACAAAAATAATCCCTCCCCAATTTACCCTCCCCAGGACGGACCGACTCCTCCACCTGAAGCCCCTGCAGTCTTGTGCTCTGCTCACTAAGGAAAATTATTCATCTGTCCACACAACAACACTCTTTTTTCATCTGGACTGCCTGACCCTGTGTCTTCTTGCCATCGGAAATATCAATCCTGGCCAACTAGTTCTCTTTCTTCCTTTATTTCATCTTTTCCCCTTTTCTCCTCCCTTGATTCTTTTTTTTTTTTTTTTTTTTTTTTTTTGCGATCATCTATCTGTTTTCCACTTGAGGCAATATGGATGTCACCCATGTTCTGGAGGGCACACTGTCTCCAGGTAAGGCCTTTTCCCCTCCCCCCCGTTCCATCCGAAGAATCGCGGATGGGCAGGTAAATCCCGCATCAATAGGAATCTTTAGGAATTTTTTGCTGAAAGTATCCCTTTTTCCTACTCTATAGATGCCGCGACTCGTCAGAACTCCGAACAGCAGCTCCTCCATGCGGCGGAGGTAGACTTCGTACGTTACCCCTCCCCTCACCGCTACCATCTCGCTGTCAAGTTGGGCTTTGGAACAGCCGGGATCTTAATATCGCTATTATCTTGTTTGCTGACTTCTCACTTTCCATGGTTTAGACTGGGTATCTCACAACACTTGCTCGAGAGCTTGCAAATGAGAATGCACCATCCCATGTCCGAACCGCTGCCGGTCTGGCGCTAAAGAACACATTCACCTTCCGAGATGTTGCGAGGCTGCGCGAAGTTCAGGGGAGATGGATCCAACAGATTAACCAAGATATTAAAAATCAGGTGAAGGGGCTCGCGATCCAGACGCTGGATTCGAAGGATGCTCGCGCTAGCCACTCTGCCGCCCAGTTCATTGTCTCCATAGCCGCTATCGAGCTTCCTCGTAATGAATGGCCGGAGTTGATGGGCATTCTAGTCCAAAATGTCGCGACTGGGAGTGATGTCTTGAAGCAGTCCTCCTTGGTCACTATCGGTTTTATCTGCGAATCACAGGATCCCGAACTCCGGGAGAGTCTGTCGGCACACTCAAATGCCATCTTGACTGCAGTCGTTCAAGGTGCTCGGCGTGAGGAGCCGAATATGGATGTTCGTAATGCTGCCATCACTGCTCTCAGCGACTCGATTGATTTCGTGCGATCCAACATGGATAATGAAGGAGAGCGGAATTATATCATGCAGGTCGTCTGCGAGGCTACGCAGGCCGAAGATGTTCGCATCCAGGCTGGCGCTTTCGGTTGTCTGAATCGTATCATGGGCTCCTACTATGATAAGATGCGCTTCTACATGGAAAAGGCCTTGTTTGGCCTGAGCATCATTGGCATGAAGAGCGAAGAGGAAGACGTTGCCAAGCTTGCTATTGAATTTTGGTGCACTATTTGTGAAGAAGAGATCGCCATTGAAGATGATAATGCTGCTGTACGTTTTTCTTTTTTGGTCTGTTGCAAACTGTTGGACTTGTGTCGGCTGACATGCTTTCTACTAGGCTCAAGCAGAGGGCTCTACCGACATTCGTCCCTTCTTCGGTTTTGCACATGTTGCGTGTAGAGAAGTCGTTCCGGTCCTCCTATTGGACATGTGCAAGCAGGACGAAGATGCTACCGAGGATGAGTACAATGTGTCGCGCGCGGCATACCAAGCTTTGCAGCTTTATGCCCAATGTGTTCAGGGCGATGTTATCCAGCCCGTCTTGACTTTTGTTGAGGATAACATTCGCAGTCAGGACTGGCGTTGTCGCGATGCGGCTGTCGCCTCCTTCGGCGCCATTATGGACGGTCCAGACCCCAAGGTCTTGGAACCATTAGTCAAACAGGCTCTCCCTGTCCTTATTGGCATGATGCAAGATCCCTCTATCCAGGTCCGCGATTCTACTGCCTACGCCTTGGGTCGCGTGTGTGACTTCTGTTCCGAAACCCTCGACCCCGACGTCCACCTGCAACCTCTTATTTCTTGCCTGTTCAATGGCCTTGCCAGTACTTCCAAGATCGCCAGCTCCTGCTGCTGGGCACTCATGAACGTTGCCGACCGGTTTGCTGGTGAGCCCGGTGCCCAGACAAACCCACTATCGAAACACTTTGAGGAAAGCCTGAAGTCTCTTCTCGCAGTTACCGAGAGGTGAGCATCAAGTTTTGTTGCATTTACAACTGCTTCATGTTTGGCTAACCCCCTCGATTAGACAAGATGCCGATAACCAGCTCCGCACCGCGGGATATGAGGTTATCAACTCCTTCGTCACAAATGCTGCAAATGACAATCTTCCCACTGTGGCAACCCTGTCAAACGTCGTCATTGAACGTCTGCAACAGACTGTACCCATGCAACAACAGGTTGTAAGCGTAGAGGATCGTATTACTTTGGAAGAGATGCAGACTAGCTTGACTAGCGTGCTACTTGTGAGCAATCCCTGTCCCATTTTCCTTTTTTTTGGCATTGCGTATAATCGCAGCCATTTCCTAGGCAACTTGGGTACTGACTCCAATCCAGGCTATTGTCCAACGTCTGGAGACAGACATCAAGCCGCAAGCCGATAATATCATGCACGTACTGCTCCAGATCTTGGGAACTGTGCCTCCTAAGTCAAGTGTACCTGATATTGTATTCGCTACCGCCGGTGCCATCGCTACCGCGTTGGAGGAGGAATTTACCAAGTACATGGACTCGTTCACCCCATTCTTGTATAATGCACTGGGCAACCTAGAGGAGCCAGGGCTCTGCTCTATGGCCATTGGTCTGGTCAGCGACATTGCGAGGGCATTGAATGAGAAGGTTCAGCCGTACTGTGATGACTTCATGAATTATTTGTTGAACGACCTGAGGGTAGGCATCGAACTACTATTTGCGAATAAATGAAATATTGAACTGACGATTTTTCCCAGAGCGCCTCCAATCAGCTGAAGCCCGCGATCCTGGAAACATTCGGTGACATCGCTCAGGCTATCGGGACACAATTCAACACTTACCTGCCCGTAGTTGGCCAGGTCCTCCAGACAGCTTCGAATGTCACTACAAGCACTGATGTTTCCTTTGAAATGCTGGAATACATAACCTCGCTCCGCGAAGGCATCATGGATGCTTGGGGTGGTATCCTTCTTTCCTACAAGGGCACCCCTCATGGTCAGTAGCAATTCACATTGCCTTTTGTTTATTCTTTTACAGTGTTCTGACTCTTTTAGTCTCCATGCTGCAACCTTTCGTCGAGTCGATTTTCCAACTCCTTCACCTCATCTCCCAAGATGCGAGCCGGAGTGAGGCATTAATGAGAGCGTCCATGGGTGTTCTTGGGTATGTGCAGTTTCTTTTGTCGCTATTTCACCTAGGATTCTCATTCTAACTGTCACAGGGACCTGGCGGATACCTTCCCCAATGGCGAGTTTGCCGCTTACTTCCGAAACGAATGGGTCGGTGAACTGGTAAAAGAGACCAGGTTGAACAGGGAGTACAGCCAGCGTACAATCGACACCGCTCGTTGGACCCGTGAGCAGGTCAAGCGTCAAATCAGCCTGGCTACCGCTGCCATGGCTTAAAAGACAACAATGTCTCCGTTCTTAAGACGCTGATCTCGGTCCCGAGATGGCTCCCCTGGGTGTACCGAGGGACGTGAGGCCGTTATTTCCGCTATATGCTGAAAATGTACCTCCTTACATCGATTGCAAGGACATGCCGTCGCCAGACAAACCAACCCCCCAGCAGAGTCCATCCTTTGCCTGTGCTCTCACCGAACATTACATATCGGTACACAGAGTTGGATGCTCCACGCTAACCCTTTGCCGTCAATTCTCGTCACCCGAAAATTGCACGGCTGAAGCTTTTCCCCGTCCCCGACTTACCCGAAGACTCACCCAACATTCCCGCTTACCCGACTGGCATTCTAGGTATATCTTCCCCTAGTTTTCGGACATGTGTTCTGTTACATTCCCCTTCCCCGAATAGATGCCATCACACATCCTTCACATGCATTTCCCCCTACCCCTTTATGTATGTTCCTTTCTCCCTTACTATTATTACTATCTTGGTTTTTTTCCCCCCTTGTTCTACATGTTTTCTAATTAGACAAAGACCCCGTATTTTGATAGCCTATCCCCTTCATGTATGCCCAAGAAGTCATGTAAGCCTATTGAAGAAAGTACCGTTGATACAAAGTTGTGTTTTCGCCCAAAACCTCATCCTTTCCAAATGTAATTGAATGTTCTAGCACAGAAATGATGTTGGTGAAGTCGAAAAAAAGCCAATTCCATGTACGGAGTAAACAAAAACACATAAACAGAGCGTTTTTTATAGACACGAGTGCCTGGGTCCGATGTAATGCTGGATTTTGAAGAGTTGGACGACGATAGTAGCCAGAAACTGGCTTCGATGCCAACATGGAGCGTTGACGATTTGGAGTGGATCACGTGTTATAGATAAGATAAGGGCTTTGAATAAGAAGCCCTGGGAACGTGCGCACACCAAAAATTGGTTAGAAGATCTTCATCAATCTGAACCAGCCGACATCTCTCCTTTCTCAGGACAACGAGTTGCACAACTCCTTCGAGGTATGCATCATTTATATTTCCTCCTCCCTTATCTGCAGCCCTTCAGTTAGCCTGGAAGAAGCAATCATTTTGGGTTTCTGCGCCTCAGCGATTCTCTGTGGCGGGATGGCCTGTTAAAAATACAAAAGACCGACCGCGAAGAAAATGAGAATCATGCAAGCTGCAGAATATATACCCCAAAAAGAAAAATGATACGCTTCTTCCATCGCGACACGGGCTGAAGAACCCTCCCAATTCATGAAGGGCATTCTTTGCGCTCGAAGGCTACTGGTGGCTGACTTTTTTTTGGGTGGCGATGCCCCCTACGGGTGAAAACCCCCTCCATACGGGGTTGAACCTGAGCCAGGGCATTATCGTTCCCTTTGTGGACATTATAGACACCTCATTTCCTTAGCCTTTCTCGATTTGAGAATCTCGAAGAAACTCCGACAAAATGGTCAAGACTTCCGTGTTGAACGATGCGCTTAACGCCATCAACAATGCCGAGAAGGCTGGAAAGCGCCAGGTCCTCATCAGACCTAGCTCTAAGGTTATTGTCAAATTCTTGAGCGTCATGCAGAAGCACGGTGAGTAGACTTCTGTTTGTTTGTTTCTTGCATTCGTTCCGAGGACCTACATGGTCATTCGGGTTGATAACTAGGCGGCCGGTCTTCAATCTCTTCCACGACGTCTGCCTTTTAAGTGCCCGATATATTAAAAACATGTCTTTGACAATGCGTGGATCTTACAAGTTTCCGAGCTTTTCTTTTTCTGTATTTGGTAACTTTTAAATCTTCGCGACAATACTGACTTTCTCTTCAATTAGGCTACATCGGCGAGTTCGAGGAAGTCGATGACCACCGCTCTGGCAAGATTGTCATCCAGCTCAACGGACGGTTCGTATACCAACTTCCATGAGGAAATTTTTCAAGAATATATGAATTCTGACTTTGTCGCAAATAGTCTCAACAAGTGCGGTGTTATCAACCCCCGCTACCCCGTTCAGCTCCGTGAGCTCGAGAAATGGGCTGTCCAGCTTCTGCCCTCTCGTCAGTTCGGCTACGTCGTCCTCACCACCTCTGCCGGTATTATGGACCACGAGGAGGCCCGTCGCAAGCACGTCTCTGGCATGCTCCTCGGCTTCTTCTACTAGACGATTTGTCTAAAAATAAAAAGCTATGAGTTGGGATCCGCATGCAATGGTCGGTGTATATGAACAGGACCTTCAAGACAAAGGAGTCTTGGCAATGTAGCTAAGGATACTCTAGAAGATATACCAATTATAGTTTGCGGTGAAAATTTATATTCCTACTAGTAGGAAGTATTTCAATAGGATTCATCTCTATTGCAGTTCTACTTGTTCTTCATGTGGCGTATGTTGTACTGTAGCAAGCTGAATGAAAAACTTCATGTGGAGGGACCGCTTTCCGACTTCGCTAGACCGAGGATGTTCTCCGATTCTGCCGCTATCTTGTATCCCCCGCAAATAACAACTTCACGTACCTGGCCAATTCCAGTCAACTTACATCAAACTCATGTCCATATTTAATAAAACTCATTCTCAATGCCTTTGGACACTATATATCTAGTACGCCATGGTGTACGTACCCTACCTTCGTCCCTGCAATTTCTCTCTTCATCTGCCACGGTTCTTTAGACCTAACCATACGCATCTTTCCAACACCAGCACCGGTTAAATTGGTCAATTGACTACAAGACAGGAGAGTATATGTCTATGTACCCGAGTCCTACAGGGAACGCAGCAGATCCGACCTTAACTTCTCATGGGCTGCGACAATCGCAAGAGCTTGCAGCACATCTGAGCAGTCCTGAATTCAGACCAAAGCCATTCAGAGTATATTCGAGTCCATTTTATCGGTGTCTGCAGACAATACAGCCTGGCGTGGAGGTATTGAAAGAAAGACAAAAGTCAGGGGCGGCGGATATTGAAGCTGGAGCCTGCTACGATGTGAGGATTGAGAATGGATTGGGGTGAGTCAGTCTGTTCCCTTCCATTGTTTCTCCTTTCTACTGCACGTATTCATTTAGAAACACATGCATTGAACCGGGAACTAATCTTCTATACAACAGCGAATGGTTCGGCTCAACAACCTTCTTTGATCACCCATCCCCTGCAACTCCCACCACCCTCCAACCTCTCTTCCCAACCCTCCTCCCCTCCGAAAACCATTACAAGCCACTCCTCATTCCCTCGAACCGCGGCGAAACAATCGCCCAACTCCACAACCGCATTGCCACGACCCTCTCTGCCATAATTGCCGAAGTAGACGCCGAGGTCCACGCCCTCGAATCCTCCCAACCCCCGTCGCAGAAGAAAACAAGTAAAGCCATCCTGATTTCCTCGCATGCCGCGCCGCTGATCGCCATGGGACGCGCCCTAACGGGGAATATGCCCGACGATAGTTCCGTGGAGGATTTCCATGTTTTCACAGCTGGTTTGAGCACGTTCGTGAGGAGGAAATCATCGTTTTCATCATTCTTGTCGCCATCGTCACTATCTAATGAAAAAGAGGATGGCTTAGGCACTTCTCTCGCACAGGGAACGCAGTTACTTCGTCCTGGAACAGATCTGGGTGTACTGGGAGTTCCTAATTGGAAGAATGGGAAGGGGGTCGGGGGTGGATGGGATTGTGTCGTGAATGGGGATTGTAGGTTTTTGAGCACTGGTGCTGAGAGGGGATGGTTAGTCTTTCCTTATCTCCTCTCCTTGTTCTTTTCTTTTGTTGTCGTCGCTTTATTTACACCATTTTACCTATATATGACTAAGTTTTATGATCTAGGCACTTCAACGGAGATGAATCCTTCGATACGGGCCCTATGGATGGCTCATCATCTTCTACTAAAGTTCCTTCATTGGCTACGCCAGGTATACCGAGTACGAAATTATAAATGCTATTGAATAATGCATGTTCTCGGGGGATGTGCAAAGGGCAGAACTAAACAGAAGGCAATAGACCGATGAGATGATTCTCCTATTAACTACCATTTGAGATGACATTCTATGATATGACGTTGCTATTGGTATTGTCTTGCTTTTTTCCCCTTCAACCCCATACTTGTGTGGACTGCATATGGACCTTTGTATAGTTGATGTGCTTTCATGTCCTACCAATACTGTTTGAAAGTATCTGTGCAACCTGAGTATGGTAATATTGGACATTATGTTGTTGTTCCTTCATCTAAATCCACACCCAAAGTCGAATAGCAATCTCCAATTACCATCACCTTAAAGAAAGTGAAAAGAGGTACAAGGAGAAAATAAGCAATATCGAAACAGCAGTAACTCAATTTCCAACATCTTGGTTTGCAGTTGAATGTACCTCATTGGCCTGGTTTCCGCCATCCTCATGGTTCCTCCTAGTCGTACTAGCCTCCTGCTCGGTCGAGTCTTGGTACGCACTATTTTCCGCAGATCCGAATTGATCCTCATTTCCTCCGTCTTGTGCTTCATCCTGACGACGACGCTCCTCTTCCACTCGCGCCCTGGCTGCATTCCAGGCTGCTTCTGCGGCATTGCGAGCCTCGACATGTCTTTCTCCAACCCCGGGTATCAAACTAGCAACAAACAAGGCAAAAGAACGTTCGATTCTCCTAAAACCGCGCCATAATTGGATCTCGGAAGCACCAGTTTCGTTCTGCGCTACAGTGGTAGTATGCGTTTCTTGGATAGTTTGAGCTTGTTCCCCCGGACGTTGGGATGGCTCATTGCCCGTTGAGGGAGCTGGCTGCTGTAACGGTTCATCCACACCAAACTGCAAGAGTCCTTCAAGATGTCGCTGTATTGGAGCAAGCAGCAATCTGTATAGAGATCCTGGGACCGATGTCTCTGAGAGTAGAGATGTCAAAACCGCCAAACTCACAAGAAATATGTGTGACCAGGTCCCTGGCTCGCTGAACATGTAGCAAAAGAAGTACAGTCGGATGAACAACCAGGCACGTCTGACATGTCGAGCGAGTCCATTATTTCCATTGTTCCTTGGTCTCTGGTTAAGGACAGCCTGTCGAACAGCGTTCTCCAAAGCAACTGGGTCGGGTTCAGGGCGTGTATTTGCCGTTGGAGTAGGCTCTAATGTGGGTGATGGTGTGGATGTCTGAGTTGAATGAATGGCAGCAAGCGACGTCTGGATGGCTTGAGTTGCATTTGGAGATGCGAGCAGAGCTTGATACCCACTCGGTGAAGAGAGTAGATAAGCTGGTGCACGGGAAGAATCAAAGGTCAAGCCTGCGCTTTCTCTGCGGTCCTGTGAAGGACAGCGAGGTTGAATAACACGGAGTTGGTCAGCACGGGTATAGACGTTTAAAACACGGCTCAGCAAGGACTCGATAACTCCATCACGCTGAGAAAGCGGGTCGCGATATTGATTGTCTAGAAGATTCAACAGCTCCGTGCGTATTCGGATGATTTGATTGAGCGGAGGTGCGGTGCCCTGGTTCAATTGGGATTCACTCAACGCTATTTGCTGGCGTAGAGCCTCGAGGCGTAGTCGAGGATTTTCCGCGAACTGGCTGTCCATAGTTGAAATGTGGCTGGAATTAGAACCCAAACCTGACACATCGGCGGGGGTTGTGAAAATGGAAGGACTACTCGTCCATGGAGACTGCGATGTCCCCGAAGGAGGGGGATAGAAAGGATTCTGCTGCATCCGTTGGAGCGTATGCGGTTGAGAAAATGATAAAAGTGGCTGCGTGGAAATTGGATGTGAGCGCCCTACAGTCGCAGTTTCCTGGACTCCTTGTCGCAGCGGCCACCTTCCCCGCGCCTGCAATTCTACCTGACGACGGAGAGTCTCGATATTACGCTGTAAAGCAATTCCAATTTCTGCTTCACCAAGTCTTGATGATATCCCAGTGCCCCTATATCTCATCCCTTGGATGTTTTGGGGGGGGGTCGACTGAGAAAATCGTGTGAAGGGACGAGAATTCCTATGCTGGGCGGGAAGATGCGAGGGTTCCTGCGACAGTGTACTGGATGCGGCCGAACTAGATGCTGAAGGGGTAGAACCTGGAGGAAGGACGAGATGTAGAGTGTGCACAGCAGTCTGCAGACAACACAATGTCAGATAATCGAAACGAATCCCGCCATGACTTGGCGGGCAATACTCACATCAACCGGTTCAAGAATATCCTGCAAAATCACATTATTGTCTGAGAGTGGTTTTCCACGGTAGATCAGTCTCTGGCTCTCAGGAGAAGGTCTGCTTGGAATCGAATCGGATATGCGAGTCTTCAGGGCTGCGATTGTGGTAGAAAGTGGAACGTTGTTGATGGTAAAACGGCTGGGTGGGGGGAACGATGGACAGAGAATGTGAAGCACGATCACATTCGGACTTGATCCATGACCCAGAGACGAGGCATAGTTGTTCGAAGAAGCATCCGAAGCCATCTTCGCAGTAACGAGCAGTTTGAGATTCCCGAACAGAAGAATGCTTTGTAGCGGTTAGAAGCTCATGGTTCTCCGCATCTGGATTTAGCCACTGTCAGTGACAGCATATGCGAAGTAACGCCCTTCGCTTTTCTTTGTTTCTTTTAACTTGACTCCTTGGAAGTGATGCGTGGTGGATGTAAGCAAAAAAGGAGCGTCTGCCTAGAGCGAAGAGTAGGGAAAAGGCCGACGGTGTCCTTTCTCATTCACTCCATTCGATAGGGATCCAGGAACAAATCGAACCGAACACACCAACCAACGCCGAACTTATGCAAACAGGGAGCTCATCCCGTCAGCCTAACAATGACAGTAAGAATAATAATAGCGGAGGACGCAATGAAGCGTGCTGCGATGCCTTCATCGAACTTCACGCGGTGGTGCTATTCTGCCGGGCGGTGAGAACAGCGCGAGTGACGCAAGCAAAAATTGCTTCGAAGGAGGACCCGGAACGTTCAACTTCCATCGTCCTCCCCTTCCCACGCTTGGCATTCGGATTACATCCTTTTGCATGGGTTTTTTGGTCAGCTTTTAACCCACGCGAGGATGCCTAAGAATTGAAACGCATAATGGCCAAGCGCCTCTCCGGCTATTCTGTGCTCCTTCGCCGGCCCGTCGCAACAGCCATTCCTTGGGGGAAGAGGACTATTGTGATGGAGGGTTTTCCTTACAGAGTGACTGGCATTCACAAAGCCAGTTATATTAGGTCGTTTTCTACATCACAAAATTGGAAACAATCGCAGAAGGGGGGCGACAATGAAAGGACGAAAGGCTCCTTCGGGTCTCGCCTGCGGGTAGCATTGCGGCACACTAAGGTGGAATGGTATCCAATTTCGGTCGGTCTTGGAATTGGCCTTATTGGCTTGATCCAAATCTATAGGTCACAGCGTGCAGAAAAATGGCGTGGGGATCGGGAGGCTGAAAACGAAGGTTTCGACGATGAAAGGCCTCCTCGTCGTCCGAGGGTTCGGCCTGACGGACCCTGGCATGTCCAGATCATGTCTACTTTGCCCCTAAAAGCAATCTCTCGACTATGGGGACGAGTTAATGAGTATACAATACCATATTACCTTCGTGTCCCAGGTTTTCGGCTATATTCGTGGCTGTTCGGTGTCAACCTGAACGAAGTATCGGAACCTGATCTTCACAACTATCCTAATTTGGCCGCCTTCTTTTACCGTCAACTTAAACCTGGCTCACGACCTTTGGACCCTCATCCTAATGCAATATTGTCTCCTTCTGACGGACGTATCCTTCAATTCGGTACTATAGAGCGTGGTGAGGTCGAGCAGGTTAAGGGAATGACGTATAGTTTGGATGCACTCCTGGGTTCTGCGACACCCGAGTATGCCGATCACAGCAAGAGATTTAGGGATCACAGGTTGGGGCCAACGCAAAAAGATGCGGAGCAGGTGGCGGCGGACGAGGAGTTTGCCAGGGTAAACAACATATCCTACACACTTCCCACCCTTCTTTCTGGAGATCCGGAGGCACAAACAAAAGGACTATCTATGGATGTTTCTACAAAATCGCAATGGAGTTCTGAGTCTGAGGTCAGAGCGGACTTGGCACGCGGGGATGCCAGACCATGGTATACTCCCAAGCCGACGTCAAATAACGCACTCTACTATGTGGTCATCTATCTTGCCCCTGGCGACTATCACCGCTTCCACTCACCGGTTCCCTGGGTTGTTGAGAGCCGCCGCCACTTTGCTGGCGAGCTGTATTCGGTATCACCTTACTTACAGAAGCATCTCCCGGGTCTCTTCACTCTCAATGAGCGGGTCGCTCTTTTGGGCCGCTGGCGTTGGGGTTTCTTCAGCATGACGCCCGTTGGCGCGACCAATGTAGGCTCAATAAAGATCAATTTCGATGCCGAGTTACGCACCAACAGCTTCACCACCGACACCGCTGCAGATAGGGCTGCAGCGTTGGCTGCTAAACGTGGCGAGCCATACCATGGCTTCGTCGAAGCAACCTATCATCATGCGAGCAGGACTCTTGGTGGGCATGCGCTCAACCGCGGAGAAGAAATGGGCGGCTTCCAGCTAGGCAGCTCGATTGTGCTCGTATTCGAGGCTCCGGTGGGAGCTCGGCAGTCCTTCGAGGTCGGCTGGGGTGAAGGTGAACGCAAAGAAGGTTGGAATTGGGCCATTGAGAAGGGCCAACGTATTAAGGTTGGTGAAAAGTTGGGATACGTGGAAATATAGTCGTTACACTGGGGTAGCGGAGCACAACAGGGAGGTCCGTTGAATGGGGACTCGCTGCCACCGCATTGAAAGAGCACATTCCTTCCCACGCCTCCCGTCCCTGTTCTCTCATATTATCGTCTTCCCATGGTTTTCTTGAGTTATCTTTGTTCTGTAAAATATATATCTCCCACATTGCAGTGTCGGTCTTGGGACATAATAAGTCGCGGATCTTCTTGAGCGCGGCTGTTGGGGTATCATTAAGGATACGTTAAAATAGTGGAAGTTGGACACCCTCCTCTAAATGACTTATTCGCGGAAAGCATCCGTTCAGGATGTAACTAGAGTACCGTAGGTATTGCTAGAGCAGCGAGCAGCGCTGTGCTACTTTTGTCCGTATGCCCAGCGTTGTATCACGTGACATGGGCGGCCGACGCGCCGACTCCAGCTCGACGCGACGAAAGGAACATCCAGACGAAGAATGAGTTAGGCCCAATTCTAATGAACAGTGGCCAGGTCGACTGTCTACACACGCTTCCACACAATGTCTCAATAAAGAACAAAATACGAAACAGAAGCAACGAACAATGCCCCGCCACCTCCTCCGCCGACAGCCCGCTTCAATCCAAGCCCGAGACCGAGATCAAGAGTTGAACTTGACCCCAAATGTAGACGCTACTACCCCCATTAACGCCCCCCAAGTAGTGCGAACAAACCGTGGAGCGACGGCCATGCACACCTATGCTTCTCTTACACCGTCACAGTTTCAAACCCCTCAACGCGGTGCATCTTCGACGCAGTCGCGATTACACCCGCCGTCAGGCCTGGCTGATTTCACCAGTCCCGCTGCGGCGCTCTATTCACTGTTTGGGAGAGGTATAACTAGCCGGAGACAGCACGTGGACATGCCGCGTGAAGATGACGAGGAGGAAGTAGTGGACGATGAGGTTGGCAGCGATGAAGCGCAAGAGCTGGCGGAACAAGATCAGGTTTTAGGACAAGTTGACGTTGTGGAAGAGGATGAAATTGAAGAAAATGAAGATGGGATGATTGAAGAGGATGGTGGGGAAGAAGTTGAAATGGGTGAGGAAGATGAAGATGAAGAAGGCGACGAATTGATGGATGATCGAGGTGAGTACATGGAGCGCTATTAATGTACTTTCATATGATGCCTTACTAACTATTGGATCTGTAGAACGGACGTCTTCTCCTCTGCCTGCGAACCTTCGCGAGATTTCATCCTTAGCCTCATGGACGGTTTCAACACACAAACCAGGATGCGGCGTCAATGCCCTGCGTAATCCATCTCCTCTTCAGTACTGGCAATCTGACGGTCCCCAACCACATACCCTTACCCTACACTTCTTTAAGCTGGTCGCGGTGGTTAAGATACGTGTGTATCTGAATTTCGATCTCGATGAGAGCTATACGCCTACGAAGATGGTATTCCTTGCTGGTATGGGTGGTAATGATCTTGTAGAATTCGCAACGTGGGAAGGGGAAGGGCCTTGCGGGTGGATAGACATTCCACTGGACGGTGTTGGTGGGCGGAATGGAGGCTGGGTCAGTCAGAGGATGAGCGCGAGTAAACGAAGAAGGCGAAAGCAAAGCCAGGTGCGAAGCAAGAACAAACTCAAGAACAGATGTCAGCATGCCTCCACGGCCGGGCTACGAACAGATCTCGGGTATGACCATAGTGCTATAATCTCAGGCCCGGAAGATCCAATCGACCACTACGACGACATCGTCTCTGAAGGAGGATACGATGACGACGAGGCAGAAGACGACCTTAACGAAGTCGTCGATGACATGGATGATCCCTACGCCGGAAGTGTTCTCAAAGCAATGGTCATTCAGATGCGAGTTATTGAGAACCACCAAAACGGCAAAGATACCCACGTCCGAGGCTTTCAGGTTTTCGCAAAAGACGATGATCATCGCCGTATGAGTATTGCCCCTTCTGCCTCTGCGAGTTCCAGGCGAAGGCAGAGCGTCCGGAGGTCCCTCCGTGCGTCCGCGAAGGATGCCATCGACGACATAGGCGGCGGCGGCGCTGAAAATGCAACTGCTCTTGAGGAACCGGATTGGATGGGTGAACCTGTTATTCGGTAATTTGGGGGGATTCTCTTGGTGTGTGCGTGGTTTCGTTTCATTTATCGCAGGTGTTAAGAGGCAGGGATCGGTGTTTCGCTCCCCTTGCGATATTGGTTGATGGGAAAGCATGCGAGAAAGTGCTTGAAGCAGCTTTATCTGGTTTCCTCATTTTTACAATTCAGCATAAAGATACCCAGTTGTTCTTATTCAATTTCTATGCTAGGAATGGATCCTCATAACAGTAGGGCAATTTCTAATTACTATAGTACGTACTATTAATACTGGCAGCCGATCACATTTCTAGATTGATCATAGATATCAGACATGTAATGTATGTATGCCTTTCATTTTCCATCGTCGTAGCACTTCCTTTTCATTCTGGGTTATCAAGAGGTGAATAGCACCATACAGAGCAGTGTTGAGATGAGATGGCATTAGAACTTTTCTATTATTCAATTTTAGCATAAATGTTCCAAGTCACGTGTGAAACTATTTCAAAAGTTTCTCTAACTCAGCAGCCACTGCATCACCGACTTCAGTGGTAGTAGATTTGCCGCCGATATCGCCGGTCTTAATCCCAGCCTCGATGACATTGCGCACGGCAGCCTCGATGGCCTTAGCCTCGTCGAAGCGTCCGAATGAGTATTGCAGCATCATTGCTACGGAAAGGATGGCGGCGACTGGGTTCACAATGCCCTTTCCAGCGATGTCGGGAGCGGATCCTGTAGATTCAACGGATTACTACACAATTCTCTTTTGATACGGGCCGGGAAACAAGGAGAAAAGAAGTAAATGGAAGAGCATACCGTGGATGGGCTCATAGATGCCGCTAACCGTGCCCTTGCCATCGGGAATACCACTCAAGCTGGCGCTGGGCAAGAGTCCCAGAGAACCAGGGATGACGCTAGCCTCATCACTGATGATGTCCCCAAACAAGTTGCTCGTGATGATGATACCATTAAGCTTTCTTGGGTCCTTCACCATCAGCATGGCTGCAGAGTCGATGAGATGGTGGCCAACCTTGAGCTGGGGGAACTCTCTAGCCATCACCTCGGAGACCGTCTTACGCCACAAGCGACTCGTGGCGAGAACGTTGGCCTTATCCAAGCTCCATACGGGAAGGGGAGGGTTATACTGCAGCGCCAGGTGGCCTGCTAGACGAGTAATGCGTTCAATCTCGGCGCGAGAGTAGGGTTCCGTATCCAAGGCATGTCCGGAGCCATCGTCCTCCTTGCGATCACCAAAGTAGATACCGCCAGTCAACTCGCGAATGATGTTGAAGTCGACGCCCCGGCACACCTCTGCCTTGAGCGGGGAGCTCTCGACCAGAGAGGGGGCGGCAAAGTTGCAGGGTCGTAGATTGCCGAAGGTGCCCATTTCCTTGCGCAGCTTGAGGATTCCTTGTTCGGGACGAACAGAGCCTGTTCCCCATTTCTATAATAGTCATAAAATCAGTGGAACCGCTCAGTCGTCACTCTAACCACCTAGTGGAAGTTGTGTGGGCGTACCGGTCCTCCAATGGCGCCTAGGATAACGGCATCTGCTTTCTTCGCGGCATCGAGAGCTTCGTCGGTCAACGGCGACCCTGTGGCATCAATCGAGGCCTGAAAGTGAATTGTCATGTGAGATGTTGAACGATTAAATAAGCACCAGAATAAAATCGTCCAATACTCACACCACCTAGTAAATGGTCCTGGAAGTTGAAAGTAAGATCATCACGGCATTTCTCAACGACTCGGAGAACCTGTATCAAGAATAATACTTCGGTTAGCCATCTAACTTTCCTGTGAGCTCAATTCAATAGAAACGTGTCCCCGAGAACAGAGACGGCTGCTCACCTTGAGAGCCTCCGCAGTCACCTATCATAAAACAGACATGCGTCAGTATCCACGACTCGGTTGAAAATGGGCGGATCTTGATACCAATGACTTACCTCCGGGCCGCAGCAGTCTCCTCCAAAGACAACAATATTGTAGGCAGGCATTGCGGATATGTAATTCTTTTTCTCCTTGCAAAGAATCTTGGGAGGAGAAAGAAAGAAGAAAAGGGAACAGTTCGATCGACTGTCAGACGCAGTTTGCCATGAGTTGATTATTTCCAGTGCCCCGACCCCGCACCGATACCGGCGGCGTGGTGTGTTATATTCACATGATCTTCATATAATCATCCGTCCGTGCACATTGGGAATGGGATGTGGGCATAACGAGCTCTCCTCTAGCCAAATCACTATTCCCCCGCACTTCCGCAGTTTTGCCTACTCACTCAATTTTACGGATCCTCACGGCGCTCCAACTTGATTCAAGCCATCGTCATGTCCATCCAGGATCCCATTGCCTTCAACCATCTGACTATCAATTTCCAGTGTAGCTCATGCATAATTAATTGAAAATTCACCTCAATATGTTGAAGCATATTCCTAGGTAACAAGATCGAAAATTGAATAAGACTGAGCAGAAAACGACGATGAAATCAGAAAGCGGGAGCTTCATTTCTGTGTATGCGAGTCCCCACGACATAGCAAATATAACAATCCAGTCTGAGCCTCGAGCATGATAGGCACAGATTAGGACAACCTAAATGACTGCACAACCGACCGTTCCAAGATAGTCAAACCGAATGCTCTGCCAGTGGCCCGTCCACGATGTCCAGTTGACAGAGGGCAGACAGCCGACTCCCAATCTTAGAGACCGGGACATGAGGCAGAAAATAGTTGGAGAAGACGCATGCAATTTGCGTCTTAAGATCCCTTCAACGTGTAAAAGTATTAAAAGTATAGAGGGGGAAAGAGAAAAGCGAGTGGACCCACTCTACGCCTTCTTGACACTTCGTAGTGCCTTTCGGTTGGCAAGATCTCCCTCTACCAGCCACTTGCTAGCCTTGACTATTTGAACGACGTTGACGAACTGCTTAAAAGCCATAACAGGGGCGGAGATCGCCGTGATAACCCATGGTATACGGCTATCAATTTTGTTCGCTCTGGCCAGTTCCAAAGCACCGGCACTCCATGGGCTTGTAAAAAGACTGTTGGCAAGAGTTCCCGGCTGCAAAGAAGGTTGGTCATCCGCGACAGGCTCCAGGAGAGAAGGAGAGAGAGTCGGTGATGAGAAGGAGAGGAGATATAGGCCAATGAAAAATAGCTCATTCAGAGCACAGCAGACAAACAACACGACCTGCCCGGCCTCTATTAGTTTTTCTCCGGCGCACATAGGGATTGATCCGGACTCACTCTACTGTGATAGTAGTAATACAGAACCCGACTTCTGCTGGAGTCAATTTTCTTGTGGCTTTGGTTCGCACCACCCATGCTCAGTGTTGCGTACATGTGCATGTAATGGCTCGCCAGATCCAAGGAAATCAAGCTCTGGAAGATAATAGCCCATCGAGGCCAGGCAGAGCTCAGAAAGACGAGAAGGCACGCAGTCGTACACCTATCTGTTACCATATCAAGTATCGCACCAAAAGTGGTCGACTGATTGAAATAGCGTGCGGCATATCCATCCAGCGCATCCAACAAGCATGACACACTGTAGAGGAGGGAGCAAGTCCGCGGGTGAAGTGGCATGTAATAGAGAGAAGCCACTGTGAGAACAATTCGCGAATAACCTACGTGGACTGTTAGGTCTCGAATGAACACATGGGTATGAACCAAAAGGAGAAAGCCTGCCTACCGATCAAGTTAGGCGCAAAAAGAAATACATTCTCCTTCATATCATCCTGAGCAACTGGGGAAGCATCCTTTTCCAGTTGGTTCTTGACCGAACCGTTACCACTCGGCAGGGTATCATTCTCTCCCGTTTGAGAAGCCAAGGCCGCCTTTTGCCTCCTAGTCTTTGCAGTCATATTCGTAGCACGTAAAGGACGATGTAATAAGTAGCGTTCAGTAACGGTTCAAAGCACGGAGGAGACAGGGTGTCCGATAGAAACCAGGAGGCACCAGAAAGATTGACTGGTCGGTCAGAATAAAATCACAGTCGGAAATAGCAATTATAACTTGTTCGGAGCTGCCAGCAGGAAGAGCGACCATAGTTAGCAAGGCCCATTGACTTTCAAGACTCTAACCTAAAGGACTTGGAAGAACGTAGGCGGGACTAAGCGAAGCGAGTCATACATTTCTCTCGCCCAATGTCTCCGACCAATCTAGAAGAAGCCGTATGAATTATTTCGAGCGGAATACCCAGCTGTATGGCGTTGCGAAGGAATAATGGGAAGAAAGAATGTCGACAGAACTCTTGAACAGGGGATGTTGGCTGGTTTCTGTTTCTCCATCAAACCATGCACGGTAGACTTTGAACTCGGCGATAAGGTGATAAGCAGGCGACGTGGGCTGATGACCAGATCCACACGCGCTCGGGATTGAAGGAAGGAACAGTTAAAGCGAGGAAGGGCAGAAGGTAACAAGTATTCCAGCGCGTGCTACTGCTGACAAGATCTGCTGGGGGCAGAAAAGTTGTTGGAGTGTTCGGAAGCTCAAAAGGAGAAGCTCGGCGGCGTCGATCCTTGTACCGCCGGGCGGCATTATTAATTTTGTCCCAGTGGAACTCTCGCATGATTCTTATTTTTTCTTTTATGCAGGAGATATGACAGAAACTAATGTTAATAATAATAAATGGCACACTGTGGAACATAAAACCTTGTGGTGGAAATTTATTCTTATCATTTCTCCCGAAAAGACACCCGCAATGCATGCGAAAGAGGGAAGGGGGAAAAATAGAAGTTGATCTAATCTATGTACACAAAAAGCAGCCATAAAATGGCAAGATATGTATAACCCATAGCTCACATTATTATCATCATGTCCGTGACCTGCGCGGATCTGTAGCGTCTTGCCGCCGCCAATCTCGGGATTCTTTGGTGCCCATACTTCCCAAGCCTCCTTCGAGTCGTCGTTCCCACCCGCCCAGGCGGACGACAAGACAAGTTGCATTGTCTCCTTCCTGGGTTACCTCCGTTGCGAAGCTGACTATGTCCTTGGCTCCTTGGTCCGGGGTCTTCGCTTCCTTGACGATGTCGACAATCTCCTGGTCAAGAAGTGTACCACTGATTCCATCTGACATGAGAACCAAAAAGGAGAATTCGGCCGGGCCCATTTCGACACGTCTAATCTCTGGCTCTGCCGACACCCCAAGCCGTTTGGACTGAATATCACCAAACGCGCGAGTGTTGGCCAGTCCACTCAGACGTTCCTCACCGAAAGAATCGGTCACGAACATCGCTGCATATCGCCGCAGCCTACTCAATTCAACAGGCGAGGAAGGATGATGATTCGATGTCAAAGGAATGGCTTCGCCTGTGGCAGTAGAACATAATAGTATCCTAGTGTCACCAACATGGGACACTAGTAGGCTTGACGATGCAGATGGATGCCAATAAGGAAGAGGTGTGGGAGTTGAGAGCATAGCGATGCTGCCCGTGCTTCCACCTTTGAATCGTTTCCTCCCCCCGATCCAGGATGATCGACTGGGGCTATAAAGAATATCGTCGTTGTTTAATGGCTGATCTGCCTGGATCAAATCATCTTCTCGTTTTGCCGCTTGAGCAGATACGAAATCGAGATCTGCGCGCAAGAAGGCATACTCCAGGACCTCTTCGATCGTGACACCTCCACTTGTCCCATGTCGACTAGCTCCATGCTCGTGTCCGAAATATGAGAAGTACGCTGGCACAAACCGCCTGAAATAGCCACCCACGAGACTCCTCCACCTTTTCACCAGCGCTTTTTCCAAATCGTCAATTTTATGCCGATTCCCTCTCTGCACGATGGGTAAATGACCGTGCGATAGTTCTGCGGGCCTGTACCTGTGCGTATTTTTCGCATCTTCATGAGGATTCGGCTTTTTTATTAAGCTCGACTCTAGCTCGAACTCTGCTGCCGCATTCTGAATGTATTCATGAAGCGTATCCCTCAGAAATTCACTGCACTCTGACCCTCCGTGCCCGTCAAATACTCCATAGTAGAACACTTGTGGATCTCCTCTTGCACTGTCTGCAGCGCGGTTCTCAGGCGGGGAGTCGGGGTTCCCACCCTCGGACCGCCTGATTGTCAGAGACGGCGGAGGTCGTTTTGCGAATGCAGGAATATCAATGACGCCTGCCTGGAAGGTGTCCTCATTCGCTGGTCGAGTACCGCGACTAGTCGAGACTCCGAAATGATGCTTCGCGCTGCGGAGAGGGATGCGAACGACTGTAGTTTCACGGCTTACAAGGTTTTGAAGCGAAGTTGGAGGGTGCGAAGTGTCTCCCGTATGTGGGACAGAGGCTGAACGAGGCAGTTTATGGAAAGACGTTAGTGGTCCCCGAGGATCCGTGTGAAGAGAGGACGACGGTAGATGCGTGACAAAATAGTCATGGAACTGTCGATCCTTCGATGCTTGTACAGCACTATTCGAGGACGCATCTGTAGCATAGCGCTTCTTAGACCATGAGACTATGAGGCCTGGGTTTTAAAAGCAAAGACGTCAGAGACAGTTTCGAGTCTGATGGGAAGATAAGATGGGAAGGGTTCATTCAACATACTGTAGCTGTCCAAGACCCGGACGGTCACTCGCTTGCTAGGAGCCAGGTTCATGAAGGTCAGCGCATTGAACAAGTCTTGTTCGTACTATGAAGAATGAAACTTTGAACCCTGGGGGTTCCAGGTGCAGATCTGGGCCCTCGTCCCGTGGGGGTGTTGAAATCTCATAAATAAATCTTTAAGCCTGCGCTCCTGTGGTCCGAGCGCAAAGAGGTAGTATCGCGGGTTTGCAACCGGAAATCGGAAGCCTCTCCGGACTCCTATCCCCAGCACCCCAGCACTGCGGAGGCAAATTTCTATAATTGGTAATAAGACAGTGCAATCACGGCGCTTTTCAGCTCGGAGTAATCACGCCTGACAGGAGGGCGAAGGTAAGAGTATATTCATTACGGGAGAATGGTCTGTATTCCGCTCAGATGTCGATGCCTAGTGCCAATGAATTGGCTTAGTCAGCATGTCCAGGAATGCCCCGAGTTAACTAATTGTGGAGTAGCAGCTCTTATGCATGTACATACAGCACAGTATACAATTACCCCAAGCTCATTATATCTGTCTTCAGAACGACTCTATTCACAGATACATAGGGGTTGGATTGATATTGATGTCTCAGGAGGCAAGTTTGGAAAAGTCTTGGATTGGGATTGATGGGAGTGAGTCCAGCTAATCTTGTCGTCTTTCTCTTTCCTATTTGAGTAGGGAATATGCCAGGTGGATGCTTCACGCCTTTTCAGGATACAGTTGAAGTGCTCTTTCTAGACTAATATGGTTATCTGCTTGTCAGTGATAAGGCTAGGACCCGTCTCAGTTCCGTGTCAAGTTTCGACTACTGCCAGGCCAGTGCCGACTGACCACCGCTTGATCACCGTTATTCGATCATTAGCTGCAATGAGCCGACAGGCTCGAGGGTGAAATGAAAAGACGCTAGCACAATTCATCGATTATCCTGACATCTAAAACCCAAGCTGTGGTGACTAGACATTGCGATATTCAAGCAAGGTGTATCTCGATATTATCTAGATTCTGTACCGAAAGTAGCTCCGAGCAAACTCCAGCTACTAGCGCTTTGTGAGTGTAGTGAATCCTACGCTTGGTCAGGGGAATTGACACAGAATAGAGAGAACTAAGTAGTTAACCTCGTTCACCTCTCTTGCCCTCCATTTTGTGAGGACACCAAAAATGGCTCAATCCCGCCGCCGCCCAATGGCTTTAAAACCCGCTAGCTGTCCTCTCTCGTTCTCACCCATCTGCCCTCCATCATCCCCTCCCTCATTCCTCTTTGCGCGGTCTCCAAGTCGTGATCCTTATCCCATTTATTGGCCTCCCCGTTCTATTGCAGTCCTTCTACTTAGGAAGCGAGCATGGGCCGGTCTAATCCACGTTTATTCCTCGAAGAAGCCCAGTCGCTAGACACCGACAGTGATACCTCTAGTATATCATTCTGACCCGATGACTCAGATTGTTCAGACGCCAGCATAGATGTGAGCTCCATCACATCGCTAGAACCTCCACTGCCCCACAGCAAACACAGCAGAAGTCCACAACGTCATGTGCGTTGTCAAGCAAGCCATGGCCTACCCGCATGTTTCAGTGATGATCCAGATGATGACACAGATGAGGACATTGCAAATATTCCCCTTGACTATGGGCGATCAAAGGAGACCAAGCGCCGAAAGGATCGAATCATAGGGCGCTGGAAACAGTGAGAAGCAGCTCGTCCTATTCGATGCGGATTAACTAATATGACAAAAAGGTATTGCAAAGTGAAAGCCTCAGAACCTGGTGCACTAGAAAAATGGAACAAACCCACAGAGGCTATCAGTCTCATTACATCTAATGATGTCCATCGGTTTCTCAATTACTGCCTAAAGCTAAAGCGTGGACGTGACAATCGGCATCTAAAGGGCATCAAGAAAGCTAGTGCCCTTAAAGCTGATTGGAAAAGCTTTCGAAGCTACTACCGAGAGGTTACAAGGCAGAGTATTAATCCTGAGCTTAGTGAAGAGATTAACACGGTAATTCATTCAGCATCTAATCTATAGTGTAAGCTAATTCAGGCTAGGGAATTCGGCATCTTGTTGATAAGTTTCAACTCGAAACACCCGAACGGGAAAAGACACCAGTTTACGTTCAAGACCTGACAAAATTCAATGAGACCGTTCTTCAAACACAGGAAAGACGATTCCATCTTGGTTATGAGCGTATCCAGCTATGTCTCTTTAACATGCTCGGAATATTCACTGTGAACCGCCTGAGTGCTCTTCTCTCTCTGCAATTCAAGCATCTCCGCTTTTCCATCCAGAGGGATCCTCAAGGCGGCCCTCCGATACTACTAGTGGAGATTAGATCTGAGCATCTTAAGAAGCTTCTCGGTATAACGCAATTGTATGTATACTACCCTAACTTGAAGCTATCGTTAGTCTTACTTAGTATTCTAGGAATAATTTCCCTCTACCTGAGATAATTGATGATCCATCACTCATTTTCAGCCCTCATGTGTTTATGTTTGGTATTCTATTCTGGCTAGAAGCCTTTGCCGCGCCTGGGCTTCAGTCAATGGAAGCCACGCGAAAATTATTTGTGCAACGTGGTCAACAACAGATGGAGTTACCATTGAAGCGTGATATTGAAGAATATTTTGTCTTCTGCAAGATAGACACCATCGATGGATAGGTTGTTCTTCACTGGGACACGCCTATTACTAATAGCGCTATGGCTGGACGACTAAAAAATCTAGGGGAGATTCACGGTTTCCTTCATTCGATGTTTGTTCCATCGTTTTCGCTACGGTGGAGGGAACATGCTGAATAAAAGTGATGCGGTTAGCGAAGCGCAGCAAAATTTGATCATGAAGCATTCCTCGATTCGCACCTTCTTGGATCACTACCTACCCCGAAATATCGACACTGATATGCAAAACATTATGAATGGTCGGGACCCCAATACCCAGCTAATGAATGCTATCACTCGGATGAGTAGGTGGATTGACAATAGACGCCCTTGGCATCTTACCCCTATACAAAGGGCATCCCTTCGCGAACATCCGGAATATCTAGAAGCCACGCGACGAGTGAATGAGCAGGCCAAAGCCTCCCGACATAACTCGAGCATACAAATGCAGTTACAACTAGAAAAATTAACTCGGGAAAGAACCAACACGTTTAATCGGCTAGCAAGGGCCCTAAGACAACAGATACGGAAGGAGTTCGATCGCAAACAGGCTATCATCGATATTGAGCGCCAACTCTCAGGGGCTGCTATTAACGACGAGGAAGCCAAGGATGTCCTTCGGACCGACCAGATGCTACCAGAACAGATATACCTTTTCGAAAAGCTATTCACTTGGCCAACATCTCTCTCCTTGGAAAACGAGTGGCAGCGACGGAACGCAGCAGTAAAGGCGATTTCGCAATATTGTTCCCTCCTCGAAGGGGGCCCGCTACGTGGACGGCCTAAGCGGGCAACGCTTAGTGATGGATTCGACGAAGAGCAGTCCGCAATAGTAGTGCGCCCAGCCAAAATACATTGCGCATCTCCTAAGCCTTCACAACAAGAACTCCTTTTACAGCAAGCCGAGGAACATATCAGGATAGCAGAACAACCGCAACGGTGTTTTCAATGCTTTGGCAATACCATGCTTCAATTCATCGTCGAACGCAGGAATGGAGCGAATACAAGTCAACATTGAGACACTTTCGAGAGAAGCACCTAAAAGATCGAAGATGTCACATGTGCGATGAAGATCTTCTACATGAGATGCATCTCCGTAGACATGCAGAAGATGTTCATCGTCTTGACACACAGAAGAAGTTTACCTTGACAACTCAACAGAATTATAACTCAAAGAAGATGTGCTAAGAGCGGGTTAGTTTCTGCTGTACTTGATTCGCAATACTTTCCTATAACTAACATTTGCATGAACTTAGGCAAAGTGAAGGAGTGCATTTGCTAGGTGGGGGCACGCTAGATATTTTCTTAGATTAACCATGTGACTATACAGTACCGCGATCATCACGCTATTTTTGTCGAGACCGAGAACGATCAGTCTGGCTGGATTTTCCAGGTGACTGGCGACATCCAAAACAGGATGCGTCACGATAACAAGCCTGGGAAGAAACCAGAAGAATCAACAAGCTATCAGAGTAAGACTTTCATTGGAACAGTCGCAGTCGCGAATTTTAGTCGAATCAAACCAATTTGTGAAAGCGTACCCGCGCCGAAGAAACAGTTTGAAGGTGCCCAAAGATTATATCCGGGGGAACCGCTTCGGCGCTGCCAAGAGTGGACAGCAGAGGCTATCAACGCCCTTTCCAATGCGAGTGTACTACAGAGGTAGTTAGAAGGGCGGAGTACATCATATGCGCGTGTTCACGGACCTTTGTGTTTGCGGCACTATACTGTAAGGAAAACGGAATCAATGGTGGATCACTGACAATGGCACGACCATCTCCAACTATGCTATGCGATGGGTATTTTTCGAGGCCAATTTGTATTTAGTGACAACGCTCCTTTATCTGGATATTAAGATGCAACAGTCGCTCGCAAATCTATGCATGCAGAGCTCATAGCTATTCACTTTCATGTTGTCTAGGACCACAATTCTAAGCGCAATGCCTGTATCCAGGCACCTTCAGCGACAAATGGTTCCAACACTCTGTCAATCCAGAGACACCAATCATTATCATACCGTAAAGCACAAATAGCCAGACAGTATTCCCAATAACTCGGATACCAACCGGCCTTTTCCCAGTCAAGGATCACAAGGCGCGGTTTTGGATCGTTGGCTGTATCGGTCTTCGGTTCGTTTTGGATCATGATATTCTTTCTTTGAAAGTCACCATGAGTGAATGTGGGCTTGTGGTCACGAAGAATATGCGGGAAGCAGCGGCGGTAGAACTCAGCCCTATAATGTGGCGCCCCGTTGTAGATGTATTTCCGTGCCATTCCCTCATTAAGGGCCATTTCAGAAGCGAATGGACCATTAATTGAGGGGTCCACTTCCCGTGTCCAGAAGATCTCATCGAGGAGATGCCTTTTGTCGATGCTTCCATAATAATTTGGCGGTGGAAGCTGGCGTAACTCGTCGAAATAAGTCCGTAGTGTGTTGGAGATTAACTCTTTTTCTGGGGAAGACAATTGCGGCCATACTGAAAGAAGAGTCTGGCCGATAATTCGCTCCATAACGATGAATTTTTTGCCGGTCTCCGGGTTCGAATATAGTGCGAAGACTCGAGGGACGGGCACCTTTGTCTTCGCTCGAACAAACAACATATTTTCGCCTTCCATAAGGTCGACTCCTTTCCCAAACTTCACGACAAAGTGGTGACCAACTTGAACGACTCGTCGTCCACCATAAACCAGAGATATATCTGGCGCATCCTCGATTTCAGCATCTGTAGGAAGAGGAGAAGGGATATCAGTCGCATAAAAAGGGAGTTTGACGGTGGTTGCCATTGCTGTTGAAAGTGGATGTGAGCAGGTCACACGAAACTAACAGCAAACGTTTCAACTAGATTAAAGGGAAAGAAGTGAAGATTTGTTGATAACTGGCTGCTGGACTGACAGGCATTCACTGGCACTCTCCTCATTGCTTTTCTTCTCTTTCTTTTGCAGCTTCTCTTCAGTATTTACCTCATTCACTTGACATGCTTAAGTGAACAAGCAGTCACTCTCATGGCCCTAGCGCTAAGCGAGGCATGAGGCTCCCTCTGAAGGCATAAATTGGTCCCTTCTGACCCTCCTCAACTTTTTCCCCTTCCTCATTCTCATCCTCTTCCTCTTCTTCATTAGTCCTTCTACCTTCTCTCCTTTTTGCTTTTTGATATCTCTTTGACAGATTACTCTTTCAGCTAGTCTCTGAGTTGTCCTTCTCTTCGACAGTTCACACTATCACTCTCACTCTCCCTTCTGCCTTTCGATATCTCTACAACAGATCACTCTCACAGCTTGCCTCTGAGTTGTACTTCTTTTCTTTCGGTAAAAAAACCAGAACGTTCCCGAGAACCAGAACCATGCACTTCCTTCCTCTGCATGTGTTTTTCCTGTTGATAGCCCTTCTTGGGCTAGCTGTCGGAGAGCTTCTTTCCAACGAAGGTGAGTGGTATACTTCATACTGTCTACATCAGATTATCAATGATGCTTCTCGGTAATGACCACTCCGTCGGTCGTCCCTATATATGCAGTCGACCGCAAACACCAGCTTCCTGATCCTCTCGTTGGGTTTCCCCTTTCATCTTCCTTCAAAAAGACCCATCCCAGCCCAAGCGGCTTCATTGCATTACCCGAGAATGGGAAGAATATTTCGGAGAAACGCCCCTTGGCCGACTTGGAACTGTATCGTACCAAGGGCAGGTTGGCCGCCAGGTCGATGGATGCTGCCCACAACGAACGTCGTGCGGACACAGGCCCACCAACCGTCAACGAGTACGATTGGGATGTAGTAGATTATGGAAAAGTCAATCGACTTCAGGATATGTCCCGCAAGGCTTTGGAGCACCTGGATCTCGGATACCTTGAAGAATTTTTTAAAGGGAAGGACGCTTGCTACAGATCGAACCGGAATATTCATTACGATAACCAATATTGCGCATATGGTCATGCGATAATTGCGAAAGGGATTTTCAGAAAGGATGAACATACCGGTGATATTGCACGTACCCATTGGTCTGATGTGACATTCCCCATATGGAAAGAGTACTGTGAAGGAGATGGAATCGCTCCTGGGGATCTCGAATACATCATCGAGGACACGGTCATTAACAAAGATACGACCGATATCATTAACCAGATCATCCCGGCTTCACAAAGGCGTCATTTGGATTTCTCTAAAGTATTCACTCGAGATAATCCAGACTTCTACGCTCTCCTTGCTACTCCCAATGCTATCGGATCGGCCTACATTTGCATAAATTATGCAACCTCGATGAGGTATAAGAGAGTTGCTTCTATTACCCCCTTCTACAATACTCAAGCTGCCGCGTGGTCAATGATCATTAAATTCGAGCATTAGTTGAACTGGATTCTGAGGAGATAGTACTGCGGGGCAGACGTCACCCTTGACGTACAAGAATTCGAGGGAAGTACGGAGTAATTGAAGTCAAGTGATTGCGAAGGATACAGGAAGGATGGGGAGAGATAACAGGGATGGGATTATGTAATTTGATGGTTTATACGAATTATGGGTTATGAAGATGCAAAAGTCGCATGGAATGAACCAACAGTTAAGGAATGCTCCATATAATAACCATTAGCCTTGTAGTGTTTCGCAGCATCTTCTCTGTTTCCTTTGTCTGCATGATTCCAGCATATGCTTGGTGTCTAACATTGTTTGACATTTTGCTCAAATATTTCCATTTACATTTACTAGTGTTATTGCCGCTAGTAGTCAGCTTTAATGTACTTACAATAGTTAACTAGTTAATCAGTGTGACGACCATACCTGAGGTATGACCGTCAGCATGTGACCCTGGCACTGGCACATCTTAGAAGGTGCCAGCAGATTGAGCAAGTAGGGCACAAGGCTAGGGCTGAGGGCAGGCAGCTGCCCTCACCTCCTATTTCCTCCCCACCATGTCTTTCACCTTTTTTCCTTTCCTTCTTCTCCTTGTGTACGATATTCCTAGACAGTACGGCCAAATAGCGAGTTGCTTTCCTCTTCTCATCCTATTATAGCTGATCGTCACAATCAGTATGTATTAATTAATTAGTAGTACGTAAAAATGAGATTTGCTGAGTCATCGCCCTTTCCAGCTGCCTGCCTCGTCAGGTTTAGCATGTCCATGTGCAGTTTAGCGGCACCAAATACAGTTTGGTGTGCCCACTCCCATCCTGATTGGGGATGGCGTCCTATCCGCTATTTGATCAAGTATATAAACCGTGAGTGCGTCGCTGAACATCCTCCCTCCTCCTGAATCCTGATTTTTTTTCTTTCTCTCTCGCACATGCGCATTAGGGGGCTCAGCCGTGCTCACTTGGCTCATGCGGAAGCTGAAAATTTGATCCTGCGGACCCCTACTCTGGGCGCCAGCGTTACATCTTCGTTGCCTGCCCGTGTCTTTCTTCGTCGTTGGCCAATCTGAACAGCGAATTTTCATACCCTAAGGCCTCCAAGCTGCTTCATCATAGATGAATAGGGAGGCGTGGTTGTCAATTAGGGCTGGCTCCTTATCTCACGCTCTTCTCATTTCCAGGCAGCCATCTCAAATCTTTTCTGTCTACCTGCAATTCCTGGGCATAATTCTGTTATCTCAGACGACAATTACTCCTGTTGGACCAATGATAAGCTGCATGGAGTCATCTTAGGCTCCTTACATGTGGTCTGCTGATGTGTACATGTGTCACGGAACTCAACTAGACGATGAATAGGATGCTATTCGACTATCTAGGCAGCTATCGACGAGAACTTCAAGCATGAAGAGGAAGGAAAAAGGAAGAGATCTACGTGAAGCTGGACGACGTACTCCTATCCACGCGCCACGCTAATCCAAGTAAGGAAGCTCACGTGCTCGTCCTGGTCTACATGGCAAGGGCCCTGACAACATGGACCAGCTCTTGTAGCTGGACGGTCTGTGACCATCTTATTTCAGGAGTTGGGGAGCCCAGTTCCTGCAGTCCTCGTGAACGTGGATTGAGAAGACTGATGATCAGAATCCAACCCAAATGGTTCGATTTACCTTGGTACACCTGCATGGATGGTGGGTGCGCCTTGCCCCAAGATTTAGGGTTTTAGATAGGATTCATCATGCTATCATTGTCATCGCTTAGGGACCTCCTGTGGCCAATTACAAAAATACCACATCACAAGGCATACATTACCCTAGCTCTGCTTATTTCGAACAGATCCATACCGGTGCCTTGACTTCATCGGCACAGCCCAGAAGGATAGCTTTGTGACTGATCTTCAACGTGGGGGACGGGCCAGGGCATACCTGTCCTGGAGCCATCCCATGCAGGGCTGCCTTGGATTCTGCATTGCAACTGCTTCTCTCCCTCATTCTCCACAATTGCACGGTCACGGTGGAGATGGATTAGGAAGGCTGAAGCGAGCCAGTCCCCTTCTGGACCTGCGCCTCACATTTGAGCCAGGGGGATCTTGTGATGGGTTGGGAACCAGGACGACTGAGCGACTGGTGGAGAGCAATTTGTGAAAGTTGTACTGGGCCTCCTCCAGGGGCTGGTCTGGCAGCAATTTGATTCGGCGTCTCACGGTTGGATCTGGGTCCACCTCAATATTAGGCCGCGGTGGATGCTGCTGAGCTGATCACCGGGATCCAACGTGGGTGTTCCCCTCCTTCGCAGATGGTGTTGTCCATGCATGCAACACTGGATTCCAAAGTTGTGACAGCATTATCATTTCAATGAATATCAGGGCCAATGGGAGAAAATACCGCATTATCACTCAGGCTTTGGCTCGGCTCCTCAATATCTGGAATCGCTATTTCCGCGTCATCAGTTACATCCAGATGTCATGCATCATGCATGATGGAGGAGAGTAAGTTCACCTTGCCTGGTTGACGTGTTCCAGGCACAATCAAATGGTCACATTCAGTACTCTTACTGCCTCTTAGCGTGTCTGAGACATCGTCAGGGGGAGGGGAGGGGAGTAGGTAAGATAATCAACTTGTACAGTGGTCAGAATACCGCCACTGTGACAGGCTATCAGCTCTATAAAAGGGCCTTTAGGACCTGCATTTAAGAATGAAAAGCAGTACCCGGTCCTCAGTGTTTTATTCTTCCTCATTTCGGTCATCCTTTGTTCTCCAACCATGGCAGTGATTACTTTAGACGACATCATACCATATACGCCGCCAGTGGCTAAACAGCTGCTTCCTCCTATTTCTTCCGGACATTGTGCATCTTCTGCCAAACAAGTAGATGCAGTCAACCCGACTTCTGTACAGAGTAACTCAGGTTCCCTACACGCAGTGCAACCAGCCCTGTTAGATAAGCCGCGTACTGGTGCTCCTGTTCCCGACTACGGCTCTGGAAAGTTTATGATGTTCACAGGCACGAATGCGTTCAATACGAAGTTCGCCGAATTGGATCTGGTGGAAACTGGATCTAACCGCGGATGGTACGGATAGTTGTGTCAGCCAGCAGGGAGATGACGACTGCATGGATGATGCTGAGCGACAGGAATTGAAGGCTCTTTGGCAGGGCAAGTACATCTGTTATTATCATTCCTGGTTGATCCGTCTGATGGAGAAAAGAGCGCTAACTAGGTGTTTTTGTGACAGATGCTTCAGGGAATGATAAACATAAGACATATGCCACGCAAGACGATCTCGATGATGTCGACCGACAGGTAGCATATACCCATGCTGTCAGGTCTAAGTTTTCTGCAGCGCTTAGTGGTCATACAAGTCCTTCGTGTGCTGGCACTGGGGATGGGTCAGAGCCCCTCGATCTCTGTCAAGACCCAGCTCCAGGAACGGGGGAAGTAGAGGACGTAAGAAGTCCAATCCCCCGCGAAGGAACGCATGGTGCCTCTGAAGCCCTAATGTGCAATGCACCGACGAGCAATAGGGGCTTTCAGCATCTATTGGATTGCTCCGCGTGCCCTATGGATCTTCAAGATATCAGTGAGAGTGTGAACCAACCACCATTTAGTTATGATCTCCCGGCCGCCACGGATCCTGGAGGCCTGAGTTCCGAGAAAAACTCAGGTCAGTCGGACCTCAACGATCTCGCCAACGTTAATGATGACGATTATGAAGTGACAGTGAGTGGCGACGAGCATACTTTGAATCCGATCGAACAAGGCACGGCTCCTGCGAGTGCAACCTTGAACATCTCTCGAATTACGGGTCATGGACCGGTGTCAGGATTGGCAAGAGTCGATCTGATAAACAAGTCGCCAATGAGAGGCTCTATCGCAGCTCCTGTGACTGGGTCCTCCGCGTCGGCTACTTGGACACACGCCAGACATAATCAGGCAGGCCAAAGCCGCAAAAGAAACAATCGATCTGATTCTTCCAAAGACGTGGACAATGATACCCCCAACGATGACGATTATGTTCACGCAGATAATGGGGCGTCTGGCATGGAAACACAACCTCGTCCGGCTAAGAGACGAAGACAAACACGTGCTTTAGCATCTCCATCTCGCCGAAAGCGATGTACAGCGTCATTGCGGAATCAATCTAGCAACCAGTCTCGAACGACGAATTTGCCTGATTCTGAGACTATTCACGTTCAAGGCTGTCTCATCCGGAAAATCTCCCTTGCCAAAATTGAATATTACTGTTGCTTCACAGAGATTCGAGGTACTCCCTTCGTACCTGGCACAGTGTTCCCATCGCTGGACCAGAATTGTGATCAGCCTCCGCAGACAAGTCTGCATAATATTGAAACTGTTTCTATTCGAGGTCTCTTCACCCGCGATCCCTCTCAGCGTCGAATCGTATATAGCTGTTCCTTCACGGAAGAAAGTGATTTGCCCACGTTCAATCCCGTGACGGAAGCTGAATCCGATTCCCCGAACGATGTAGGTGATACTGGATATGATGAATTGCGCTCCACCGCCAAAGCTTCAACGCATACTTCGACGCCTAACTCAATCAAAGGCATGCCGTTCTCACCTGAAGAAGATACGCTCCTAATCAGCCTAAAGGCAGATGGTCTATCATGGTCGGCTACTGAGACGCGCTTTCCAGGGCGGACCAGAGGCTCCCTTCAAGTGAGATATTGCACGAAAATGAAGTCTCGGATATCCGAGAGCAGCGGAAAGCAGTCGGGTCCGGCTAGGTCCATGGCATCCCCAGTAAGGCCTGGTCTCGAATCCGATCGGGAAACCTGCACTGCAGAGAGTGCGGCACCAAATAAGCGATACGGGCCGCCTCGATCCAGATGTTCAGTCAATAGATACTCACCAGGATGAATGCTTTGTGTTTAAGCTACCACCCCTACCTCTTCCACCTTCTAGTTTTATTGCTTTCTATGGACATATTAGCACCAAATATCCCATGCAGTTCAGGTTGAGTATCATCGAGGAGCCAGACAAAAAATGTAACATGCGACAACTACAGTGCTCGCATTTGTTTGATGTTGTTATATCCGAAGCTAGTCTCAATCTCCCATCAAAAAAAAAGGTGAGATAGGAACGGCAACTCTGGAAAGCAACCATGTCACTCCGTTTGAATCTAGGAAGGGCAAACAGTGAGAATCCGAAGAAGTTAGTCTTCTGGTGCAGCTGAAGGAACAGAAATTAACATGGTCTGAGGTGGCCATTACCTTTCAAGCTGGTTCAATTTGAAAAGAAGAATGCTAGAGCCTTCCCGCCTACCAGTTGAACTATTCGCCATGGTCATAGACTACGCAACTGGCGGAAATAGCGACGTTGCAGCACTCTGCAACTTATCCCTAGTCTCTCGCCAGTGGTACGCCGCTCTGAACGCTCGAGTGTACTCAAGATGGTTGTACGATGGCGAACTTCATTCAATTTCGTCTTTGTGGAAATTTCTTCGATCTATACTCCGCCATAGACGGATTGCAGATAGAGTATATGAGCTCAAAATTCGAAATTGGACGTTTGGACTCGTTCACAGACGTAGTCGTCTCGTCCTCTCTGAAGATGACCTGGACTTGGCCCAGAACGCAATTCGCACAGCGGGACTTCAGCGCATAGAAACCAGTATCCTTAAAGCCCTCCGGAAGGCAGACCCAAGGGCGTTGATGGCCCTGCTATCAGTGAATCTACGAAATTTGACGACGCTGTACGCTCATCTTCCAGAAACGGACATTTTCCTCGCCGAAGTTCTTCGAAAAGCAGTCGAGAGTCGACGAGAACAACCTCAGAACGACTATCCTCCTCTGCATAGTCTCCGCGAGGCCCATCTTACAAGTGCCTGGAATTACCGCCAAGATTTCCGAGCTCGTCATCAGTACAGGCTCGAGCTCAACCATCTGTGGCCTATATTCCAATTGCCAAATATTCAAAGGTTATCAGTCTCTGACTTCGAGTCTCTCGGAGCTTCAAATCGTTTTGGAGACAGTTTTAAAACATCAAGTATCACAGAGTTGACCCTTATCCACTGCCACGACTCCTTGCTTGTAGTTCCGGATACAATAGCGCTCCTTACTTTACCGAAGAAATTGACCAAGTTATCGTTCTATCTGAATGACTGCGACTTGTTCGGAGATCGTAACCAGATTTCCAATGCCGACCTGTGGAACGGTATACGGCAATTCGAAGATTGTATTGAGCATTTAGATATCTATCGGGATTGCACAGGATTTGATGTACCAAGTAATCTATGCCTAATGAGACTGCCAATATGATTTGCGTAAGAGCCTGCCGTTATGCGACTGCGTTGCTCTCCCTGGAGTGTATATAAGCGTAGCATTTATTGCCTCACTATCTTAGGCATGTTGAATACTAAAGTAATTGTTTTCGCTTTTGATATTCTGCCTTCAAAGCTCAGTTTCTATATCCCTCAAAGCCATGTCAACTCTAGGGTACAGGATCTACAAAGTGCAATATAACTTAGCGCTACAAGACCCTGCATTCAGAGAAACGAGGTACCACAATGTCATATTTGTGGAGACCGACCCTGACGGTGGAGGCCAAATCCACCATGTTACCGGAGATATCGCAACTGGAATGACGTACCAGACTAAGTCTGGACGGCCTCCTGAGCAGTCCGACACCTTCCACAGCAAGGTATTTCTAGGCTGGGTCCGCAAAAGTGACTACCCGAGTGCTGTTGACCAACTACTCCGATCACTTCCACCACCTCCGCGTCAACGGCGATTTAACCCTAGGAAAATGGCCTGGGAACAGTGCAAACCGGACGGCACACCTTACGGACCACAGGAGATTCCCCCTCCTTATGAAAAGTGCACAGAGTGGACAGAGAAAAAGGCCATACCAGCCTTACACCGGAATGGTCTTATTCATGCCTCCCTATGATGGTAGGTGACCTCAGGTCTTTGGACGAACACCTGAAGACTCAATCACCGTGCAGAGCTAATATGACCCGTGGTGAATAGGTTCTTTGATCGATCAGACACTCAACTGTTGAAAAAGGTCTAGGAAAGTATCATTATATGCTGCAGATAATTGTATATTGCTTGAAACTAAATATAACACATTCTGCTCTTTTTAACAAATTTCCGGTGCGCTTATCCAACCATTTGATAATCTGCGTGGTCATGCAAGCTTTGGGCCAAAGAGCTTCGAGTTCAGAACCATAAATCTTGATAGAGCATCCGTAGCATTGCTGCCTCACTTGGCCAAGGGTGCAAGATTTCTTCTGCTCGCATAAGCCAGTCATCTTGCCAATTGAATGCGACAAAGATCACACAATACTCCCAGTAACAGGGGTACCACCCAGCATCTTCCCAGTCGATAAGTGCGACCTCAAAGCTCTCTGTCGGTAACCCTGAGCTTGTCTCCAAAGAGACACGACGCACTAATATGTTCTTTCTTTGTAAGTCTGAGTGCGAAAATACCGGCTTATGGTTACTAAAAACAGAGTCCAGATTCCTTTCGTAAAAGTCTGCCTTGTGACTGTGCCTTCCATTGGCTGCCCAAATGGACCGTAGTCGCTTCACCAGCCCTTTGTTGAAATCGTACTCCGAATGAAATGGTCCACATATCGTCCCATCAGACTCCGGACTGTGAAACAAATGATGAGGGACAGGCCCCTTATCAACGCTTCCATAGTATCCAGGAGAAGGGACGCTTCGAATGGTATCGAACAACGTCCGAATCTTGCTGCAGATAGTGGATTTTGCATCCTCCCCAAGCATATGCCAAATCGCCTCCAGTGACTCGCCTTGTATTCGCTCCATAACAAGGCATAAATGGCCATTGGTGGGAATACGGTACATCGCATATAGCTTTGGAATTGACACAGCACCATTAAGATGGCTTTCCAAAAACAGCAGAGCCTGGCCTTCACGTTCACGAACCCCGCGCCCATGCTTAACGAGAAAATGCGGACCAACTGCAACTACACGATGATAAGAATCATCATGTCGGAAAACTGTGTCAGATTTTAAGATATCCTGTTCAGTCGGCAAAGGTGCAGGAAGCTCAGATCTAAAATAAGGAAGGTGGACAGGCGTCCATTCCGAAGTGTGACGCGACTTGAGTTCATCGCTTCTCTGTGTCTTCGGACTGCTAATAAAGGTGCTTTGTCTGAATTTATTCCACATTAAGTAAGGGGTTCAAAGAAGAAATTTGGAATTCTGGTGGTTTGGTCTCTATTTATTTTTCTATAGAGAGTATCAGATGCTGTGTGCCAGGTTGGGAATGAACAACGTTGCGCCAAACAGTAGCCATACAGCTTATCGATGGCGATTTCCGTGAGCGGTATGGGGGGCGGTGTAGCAACCTTATTTACTGACCGGCAGAATGCCTTCATATCTCCCCGCCATCAACCTTGAACCTTTCCCTTTCTCCCTCAGCTTTGGATCTTAGTTAGACCTACCAAATAGACTCGGTTCTTCTCATTCGATATTCAAGACGCCGGCCATTTTTAGAGCCAGTTGGATGATTGGCTTGTTGATTCCAGAGCTCAGACCTCATATTCCGTAGCTCCTGGTTGGAGAACGTGCGCTTCCCGATTCTCTCTTGAGCCAAGTAGGCCTCCAGAACTCTGAATCCTCCACTAGCGATTGGCCAATACTAGGTCCTTGCAACGATCTCCAATCGCCGGAGCACCTGTGGATGTCTACTCGATTGAATCAAGGTGCGTACTGTTGTGAATCTCACCATACAGCGTATTCCTTGAGAGTTCACACAAAATCCCATTTTGTCGTAGTATCGGCATACTAACCTCGGCCACCGCCTTGGATAGCTATATCTCGCGCCACCAGTTCTTACGACACATTTGGTTCGAATCATATCTTCATTAGATGGTTTTACAATGATATGCATCCCCTGATGAGCCTACAGCCCCTCTGAAAACGGCCACATTGTCCTCGCTTCGTCTGCTGATTTTTCCCCAGCCGTTTGTTTGATAAATAGATCAAGGAGTTCCCTATCCTGCTGTTTCTTTTTGTCGATATCCATTTCTGGAAAACCCAACCTTCTGCGTCTGTGTCTAAACACTCTCTTGCCAGATGTTGCACCTTATGCCACGTCTGATATTCTTCAAACTGTGACTCATGCTTCTGAATATCTGCTTGAGTGAGTATGGTGAGCCCTAGGGAAGACCTCGAAGATTTCCAGGAGGCGGCACGAAGTGGAACCACCCCAAACTCAGATACTTCCCCACAGCGGATGAAAAAGGCTGCTCAGAAGGATTGAAGTCCCTACGAGTTCACTTGTGGAGCTGTCCTTGGCGTTTTCATGAAAAGCCCCAGCGAAATGCTAATTTTGGCCGCTCCACACATCAGCGAATTTAAAGTGGGCAGGCTTCTGGTGGCTGAATCGGGTTATGAGTAAATCCGAATCCGAATCCAGATCTACAGGAGACCCATATCGCGTCACGATTTCCTGTAAAGTTTGGATAAGGCACAATGAGGGCATTCGTAGAGAAAGCAAAGTAGAGCTTTGCGGCCCGTGTAGCCACGTAGTCTAATACAAGCCTCTTCTCTTTGACAGACTAATCTCATCAAGACTTCCAAATAGGTATTCCGATTGTCTCTCCATTTCGGGTATAGGATCGAACTATGCGCAACTCCGAAGTCGGTTAACTGAACATTGTCCCATAAATTCATCTAGAATCAAAAGGCCACGGTTTTTCAGCTTTCTCTATGGTCAGGTCACCTCCCTGGACTTCTGACTCCCGAGCTGTTTTCATCCACTCTTCATAGGCTGCCCTATGTGCATCCTGTGCTGTATCCCAAGCCTCATTTGGTACCCATCCGTCAGAATTCGTGTTCAAAGAATCTATAAGCCACATTTTAAGTTTCTGGACAGTCTCAAAATCCTCATAGAGTTGGGAATGCTCTCTTAATTCTGTTTCACTGGGAGAATAAGGGCAGGTGCCTTGCATTCCAAGCTCTGTCCAACGCGCTGCAAGTTCTATAAGCTCCTGACGGAGAGCAGTTGCGCTGTCCCTCCACGTCGTATGGCAATAATGGAAAGGTCGGAATAGAGTGGGATCCAGTAGTCTCGCAGGACGTAACTTTGGAAGGAACCCCTTCATGGCCACGTCATAGGTCTGATAGCAAATGGACGCATCTTTCACTCGCCGATCACGCTCAGGAGATGTCACTACATTATCATCCTCCGGGCCGTCACTTGGGAAAGAAGCGAGATCGGGTGTCTCGTTAGCATAGATAAATGCAGGCTCGATGCTTGTCGACTGCCAATCGATTATGCCGACAATGACAGTCGGATCACTTGGTGAAACGTAGATATTCCGTTTGTGCAAGTCTGCATGAACCAAGGTAGGTAGGGCAGCTTCTTGTGTGCGAACATCGTCAATTAATTTTCGTATGACTTCCTGGCACGTATTCAACAAGCGAGTATGATCTTCGATTGAACCGCGATAAGAAAGCGAATCGGCTAGGGATGCGTGAGTGGCCGGTTTCTATCAAGCCTGAACAATAACTTGAAAGGTCCCTCCCTAATATTTGTCAGTGAGAAACTTTGTGTATCGTATGTCCTAGCATAGTCAACTCACATGGGCCACAATTGGGACTCGGTCCGCCATACAGCTCTAGTTCACCAGGGTTACAATGCCAAAAAACGGGACTGCAATGTGGCCCAATACAGAACTTATTGTCAATTGGAATCTTTTTAGACTCATGAATAGGGGCGTCAAGAAAATATAAACTGCCAAATGCCGGAAAGTTCAGCGACGCCATCTCTTTGATCTGCAATGAAATAGCCTTCGTACACAACATATGTTGATGCATATTCATGCAAGGCCATTTCTCGTGCAATGGAGTACCCTCAACATGTTGCTCTATGATGTACTCTGATCCCACTGTATTCGATGGGTTATCGTTCCACGCCAGAATTTTTGGGATCGGAACTGATGTTTTCGTTCGCACTGCAGACAATATCAGCAATCTGCCTCACACAAATATTGTTTCCCGTACAGTACTCTATCGTCGCGACCTCAGAATTGGTTGTCAGCCTTGGTGGACCAGCAATCCTCGTTGGGAGCCTCGCAACTACACGGTGCCCTGAGTCCAACGTAAAGATAAATACTCTGTTAAATCCACCCTCCTTTTTCACGCAGTCAACAACTTTGCTGGCCTGCGGGAACAATTTCATAGCTGTGTTGCATAGCTCGGAAAAATCGAAATCGATGAATCGAGATGTCCGCTGTAGCCTATCGCGGTTGAGCCAACGACCACCCGTGTAAGAGTAAGGGTCGCATGCTATCTGTGTCAGTCGGAATAGGACGAATGACAGGATAATCTCGTAGAGTACTTGCAATCCCACGTTGTCTTCGCTCCCAGGTCTGATATGGGACTGACAGGCATAGTAGAGGACGGTGACTTCATAAGACCAGGAGCCTTGGAAGCAAGCTGTCTCAAGCTGGTCGAGAACCTAGTTTGCGCTGATCGACTCATTTTGAGGAAGGCTTCTTGATGTCGCAATCGAAACCAGAGCTCCCTGGGGCTTCGCATCATCCTTGGTTTCCCAGAAACACATGTCTCCGATAAAATGTACATTCATTGACGAAAACCAGAGGGAACGTTACTCGGCAGCCAAGCCTTCGGGCCATTCAATATCCGATTTGGTGTGTCAGGAGCTGCGCTGTATTGGTATCTTCGTCGCGACACGAGTATGAACAAGTTACATTTGCTCTACTCATATATGCTCATATCGCATATTATTCGCTCGACTTGACTAGCGGGTTATTATGGCCTACACTCAGCGGCTAGGTTTCAAGTTGCATACATATGTGGTAGAAGTGAACAAAACAGGGATTGGTATTAGATCAAAATAAGCCTACAAGCATCTTGATATTTCTCCTTTTCTCTCTTTTCTCAAAAATGCTATAAGACATTATCACAAAAAATTTTCGTGGAATCGATCAAAGTTACTGGGTCGGCCCGTCCAACACTACTTAGTAATACCTAATTATCAATCTAGCAAGTAGCAAGTTTGGTTTGACAGAACTGCAATGACAGTATCAGTATGATTTTCTAGATAAATATGTCTCAGATCCAGTCTGAGATTCTGATTACTGTAGAAGTATTAAAGGAGAAAGTCTTTTAACGTAGTAAGCTAATCTGCTACAGTAGGAAGGATTACTAGCAAATACCCAAGTAGACTTGGTGAAAAAACACAATTACGAAAATATATACAATATATACAAACTGAAAGAAACAATGTGGTGTGATGGCTTAGGCAAATCTCCCAAATCCCTCAATGATCGGGACTCAGTAAATTTGTGCAAGGCGGATGTGGGACTAGAGGAGGTACTGAAACTATTCCCGCTGCTTGCTTATAGGTGATTCACATATAGCTTGTTACCTGGTATGGGATGTCAAACTAGCTTCAGAGATACAGTGAACTTTATCCAGTAATGTTTTATTTGTTTATTTTTTTATTTATTTATTTATTTTTTTTTTTTCTCTCTCTCCAATATCCAAATCAGCTGTGATTTTCTGGACATGAAAATAATGGATAGCAGTTGGTGGTGTTCACAAGATATGGGAGAACATTTATTTTGTTTGTCTGTCTCAGGGAAGTCAAGAGAAAGCACAATATATGAAAGGACATAGGAAATGTGGGATTCCCTGACCCAGATCTCCCAAGAAGGGCGGACACAGGATACTCGAAGGACTTAGTGGATCCCAGCAAGACAATGAAGCGTCTGTTAAACAGCTGGGCAAGTAATGGAGCCGCCATAAATACGTACTGTCCTACTTAGAAGCTACAGTGTGCAACAATTTAATAACTCGTTACAAGGAAATGGGGGGTGGACAAGCAAAAAGACTTTGAGACTGCGTTGACAATTCTAGCTAACTCGAGTTGCATATAGGTACGGAAAGGCACGGGGTCTAATATGATAGGGTATGAGAACAAAGCAAGAATATATGACGATCTCTGAAAGGCCTTTAAAAGACGAAGGGGTCCTATAGACAAATCATTTCACATCTGGCCTTTCGGCACATGCTGGGCTCCATATGAATCGGCATGTTTTGAGAGGATTGGCACCTACCAGGGGCAGTCATCCAAGCTCCGAGTCCGAGCAAAAGAAAACGGATCTTTTCAAGGATTTCAAGTGTGATCTGCCGTAGCGAGTAGTGCCTAATGACTCATTAGATCAATACTCTTGCAATTTCTTTGGTAAGAGTTGTCTTGGGTGGAAACAACTAGATCGCCTTCGTTCGAGAGAAGAGACTGCTGTATACGGCGTCGACGACTGGTTGGGCGGTGATCTGTCTACCACCGAAGAAACGGCCGTTCAGACCCTTGATGGCATTCTCCCCACCCTGGACACGGTCAAACTTCAAGTAGATATCACCTTGGGAGTTCGGATCTAGCGCAATGTGAACAACATGGCCATATTTGTCTTCACACTCAGCGCGGACGTCATCCTCCAGCTCCTTAACCCAATTTTCACCTTCTTCTCTGTCGAATTTGTTAGCAATCCTACACCAGCCTCTTGTACCAGTAGGGTGGACTTACTCAGTAGGATCAAACATATTGCGAAGCAAGACACATCGACTTGCCATGTTGACATTGACTGGCAGTGGCTTGGCTTCGGTTTTGGGCCTGAGAATCTTCTGTTTATCATCGATAGAAGGCTCGGCAGGTTCATCTGTTCTGGCAAGCTTCCTCATCAATGCGTCTCTACTGTAATTGTTGAAATTCACACCGGCAACATCCGTATCATCCAAGGCACTTGCACCTGAAGCACCCTTATCAGGGTCTCTGCCGCCAGCGCGGTCAAAATTGCTAGTACCACCAGCTTGAATGCCACGACCTCCATGACCGGAGAATGAAGAGCCCTGGAAGTTATGTTGGTTCGCGCCTTGGCCCTGCGCACGTTGCGCAGCCGAATCCGGGGTAAACTTATCGTTGCCAAGGCCAACGCGAATCGCACGACCAGCAAGATCCAATCCATTCATCTTCTCTAGCGCTTCTCGGGCTTGGTTAGGGTCTCGGAACCTTATAGATTGTCAGTTAGAAAATAGTTTCAAGTAACAGGGGAAGCGACTCACTGGACAAATCCATATCCCCGACTTCTGCCGTTTTCATCCTTTTGCAGCTGGACGAATTCGAGTTCGCCAAACGGTTCAAAAACATTCTGGAGTTCATTTTCAGTTATGCTGAAATGGATGTTACCAACATACAACCTGTGAAATGGCGCTGAGGTGTGGTGGTGATTAGTGGCGTTGGCCTCGGAATTGCGAGCTTGCCGATTCTTTTCGGCTTCAGTTAACTGAGCGATAATCGGGATTCCTAAAAGCGTCTGTCCGGTAAGCTGGATAGCAGCAGGGACGGATTCTTCGCTTTTGAATTCGACATAACCAACACTGAATTGATGTTAGCTTCTTGCAGCACAATCACTTTTGGAGAGCAGAGAAAATAAGGAGGGCAAGGGGCAAGAACGAAATTACATAAATACTAACCCTTTAGATCGTCCACTAACACGGTCCTTAACGATCTGAGCTTCTTTGACCGGTCCAACCTTTTCAAAAAAGGCAATCAGCTCTTTCGTCCTCAATCGCGCAGCAAGCTGTTGCACAAAGATGGTACGTCTATCACGTTCGTCCTCAGTAGGTTCAGGTGTTTTACTGCGAGTAGGGCTACATTTGCGGCCATCCCTGTCGCGGCGGTGACGTTTATCATCATCTCGAGAATCCCGACGTGAACGTCCCGAGGGGCGGTAGTAGCGGTCATCATACGGAGACCGAGAACGTGTTCGAGCGCGGCCACCTCCTCGGTAATAATCACCACCGTAACGATCACGACGAGAACGATGCCGATCACTGTCGTGGCTCCGGCTTCTCCTTCTGCTTCTATGGCTTCCGTTAGCACTGCCATGTTCGCTTCTCATATCCTCATCTCCATCGGCATCTCGTTCACGTCGTCGACTACGGCTGCGGTCTCGTCGTCTGCGTTCTCGTTCTCGATCTCGCAAGCGGTCACGGTCACGATCACGGAGCTCATCGGGGTCTGCTCTGGAACGATCGTCGCGATCCTGGGACTTTGACGTCTCCTGGGGAGCAGGAGCAGCTGTCGACTCAAGGAGGGCTTCAACGTCGAGACCTGACATATTGACGAAGAAACCGTTGAATTACCGTCCTCTTCCTTGGAAGAAACGAAAGAAAGAGGATTTATGCGGAAGGGGTTTGAGTCACTTCAAATTTTTGGCCTTTTTGTCAGAGAGCGGATAAGAGACGGGGGTTGACTGTGCGAACCCTTCTATTCTTTTCCAAGCGGGAAAGGCAGTGCACTTTCCTTACAATCTGATCCTGTTTATGCCACTGTAAGCTAGTCTCAATAGTTGGTTGGGCTTGAGTATGGTTGCAAGAAGGTTGAATAGTGAGAGGAATCATGACCTCAACTGGTGAAGTGGAATCTTCCCACTTGTCAAGCCACATGATCACGTGCTCCTTGGCACTTACAGTTGCCATCTCCAGGGTGGGATAGAGAAGTGGAGGATACATATTTTATTCAGTAACAGCCTCATCTCATTATGTGAATATTAACACAAGACTCATGAAGATAACTAATGAAGAAAGAAAAGAAGCTATTCCATCTCAGCAGGTCATTTGAGTTTTGCATCTTGACAAGAAGAATCATTAAATCAATATCTGACAGACATTAAAATAAATCCGGACTCCTGGTGAAACCACTCCCAGTAAAAGAATAGAAGAATATTTAACCCATGCATCAGCATGCAACACCTATATTAGCACAAATACGAAGGACAAAACCGGGAACGGAGTGTAGAGCAACTAGTGGATCTCAATTGTTGAGGTCCATGCCCGCGTGATTGATTCTACGCGAGAAAAGGCAAATGAATCGGATTCACTGAGTCTTCAGGGTTTTAGCATCGGGCAACAGCAACTGAGTTCCAAACACCCAGTCCCAGAAGGGGCTTGTAACGCCAAACCCGTTGTTATAATCGGCGAAATGATGTTCGAGATGGTACTTCTTAAGAGTTGCATAGAAAGGCGGAAGCCTGAACATACAGTCAACACTAATAATCTTCTTTGATTTCATCAAGGAAGAGAAGGAGAGGCAACAGGAAGGAAGTTCACTCACTTCTTATGATGGAGGAAGTAGTGGGTTAGATCGTAGCAGATATATCCGAAGACACCGCCGCAGTACGCAGTCGTACCGGCATACCAGTTGAAATATAGGATAGAGTGTGCAACTTTCCAGAACGGAGTGGCAAGGATAAGAAACAAGGCCGGCGGCATTACAAGTCGATATTTGTCCATTGGCAAGTAGTGATGAATTCCGTGCAGGAGGAAATGCAGGGTCAAGCCCACCCGGTTATCAGGGAGGTACCTGGAAAGGCGTTAGACTTCTTCATCATCATATACGAGCAAGGGCAATCTAGACAACTTACTTTTCCATGTGAAACAAAAACCGGTGCATGCAATATTCGATGATAGACCAACAGAAAAAGCCAAGGGTCCAGTAGCCAAAAGCTGCCTGGGCACTTCCCAGTCCGGAGTATCCGACGAACGTTCCATAGGCAACCGGAGGAAGCCACACAATTGGAATCACATACCACGCTGTCTTGCTTAAAGGCTCCAGAAAGTTGCCAAACAGCGGCGCAGCTTCTCCTCCCTTGTAGTGACGAGGGCGGTGGACCTGCTGCAGGTAAAACTCTTTACTAAAACCGCTGAACCAGAGTTGTGACAGAAGAGGCTGGCCAAGATCCAGAAACTTATGTGTCTTGTAATCTTGAGTGATATCCGTTTCCACAGTCAGATCCTCCGCAGACGACATACCCGTAGCTTCGTACAGAGGTCGAGATGCGGCATCGCCGTTCGTTCCTCCATTTGTCTTCCCATTAGAGGTTGATTCAGACCCGACGATTCCAACAATGTATTCATCCATTATCTCGTAAGCAGAGTCGGAATGCTCGTGAGAGGCGACATCGCGCAGTATTTTAGTCACATCCTTCCCGGCGTATTCAAGGATCAATTCGCTTCCACCAGGATGATCATCGATAAAGGGTGTGACATCGTAGACCTTACGTCCTAGCGTCACATAGCAAGATTTAGCACTGTTATGTGACTCGACTTCGGCCGGAGTGAGCGTTGGAAGGGTCTTTCCAGGCATTGTCGATGGCAGCAATTGAACTCGGAAGTTGTCACCGGTCACTTTCTTTTTTTTTTCGGTTTTTCCACTGCAAAGTACAGGGAAGCGCGATTCAGGAACAAATAAGGCAGGCTTCACCGTAATTTGACCGCAGAGACGAAAGGTGTGGTCAGATCAAAGGTGGCGTGAGAATCTGGATCCGTATCGCTCCGCTGCAAGAATGAGCTGTCGTGCCAGAGGAATTAGGGGCTATCTCTCCTAATGTGTAATATTCGGAGTGGGAAGAAGGTGGCAAGGGGTTCAGGGGAATCTGGTGAGATTTGAAACGATTAGTTGAGCTTTTCAACCCTTTTCTCCTCTAGACCTGATAGGCAGAAGAGGTGGTTCCAGGAAATGTTCCCTGGAAAATCACGGCATGCCGGAAACGTCAAGAGGCTAAGCCCTTTCCGGACAAGCAGACCCCTGAATAACCGCTGTAGCCCTAAGCCCTGATTAGTATCCACTCTTGGAATAGCCACATCAGCGCCAATGGATCTGAAAACGGTTTTCTCATCTACAGCAGTCCTACATAACTAATGATGCAAGGCATACGGAGTAGTTAACGAAGCTTTTCTCCATGGTCCCATATTTAGTATCAATATATTGGCATTATTTCCCCGCGATAAAGACGGTGAGATCCTTTGAAATACAACACCGATGATGCGGCGCTGCAGTACAGTAATTCTCCAATCGATTTGAAAAGCAATAGCTTATAATTAACTACCTAGGCAGTTTTCGGTCAGATTTATTAAATTCTTGAATGGCCCGTCCTATTGTTACAGGCCACGATATTATTCACCGTCTTACCATATGATCTTATGCCTTCGCTTGATTCTAGAGGCCTCACAGCAGCCAAATCCCTACTACTCTAAGGAGTTGCGGGCTAAAGAGCTGCTGTCGTCCGCGTTTTGCCGGCTTCGAGTTGCAGTACGAAGTACGATGTATTGTTATCTTCCTTGGCTGCAGGACGCCCCTGTTCATTAACGAGTTTGTAATGTAAAATACAGGATCTGTGAATTCCTTTTTCCAGTTAGTTTTGCCGTTTTCGGGATAGCCACCCAGTACGCCGTATTGTCATCATCGCCCGAACGGTCTCCCTGTTCTAAGCCTTCCCTCCCATATTCTGCACTCACTCGGTCGCGATCCAAAGACGCCTACCCCCCTTCGCCCTTTTTCTTATTGGAAATTGCGACTACGCCCTTTTTCTATCACATCCACTTCCACATTCACTGCGTCAGCTTGGATCGGCTCCTCAGAAGAATTTTTTGCTCTTTCTTTTTCCTTTTATCTATCTATCTGCTACTACCAGAGTATTCGTTTATCTTAGAGCCTCACGTTGCCTGCTGGCCTTCTATGGTATCTACTCTTTTAACTTTTCTCATCCAAGAGAGACCTTCCAAATCCCCAACAGGCTCCAACCATTACGCCCTTTCCGACAGTCGCCCGTCCTGCGGCTTCGTTTTCACACCGTTTTTGCCCCAGCCATGGTGATCCCGCCTGTTGTGGGGATCGGATTGCCTGGATGGTGACAAGAAAGGAGTCTTAGGTAATATGCCCAATGGCATGCTACATTTCCCTCTTGCTCAGTAGGCCCAACCCATTGCAGTACTGAAATTATACTGTATTTTCCCACATTGTATGCCACTGGCCCCCCTGTTTAATCATTGATAAAGATGGGGATTGGGAGATGCTTCTTGAATGAATCCCCAAAAACTTGATTCATTATACGGGCATTTGTTGAGGTCTTTGGTGGACGCTTCCTCTCACGTTCAATTAGGTCAGTTGTCCGATCAACTGTATGGACGGTGCTTAGACCTAGGACCAGATTATTATCTAGCTATGCTATGCATAAAACACCTTTCTGCTCAATAGCGCCGGTAGTATTCCATGGGATGTAGTAGCCAACATATCGTAGATCTTTGATAAGCTGTGGAAAATCATCACTGCCAGCTGCATGAGGTCTAGTGGTGCCACAAGTTCCAATTCCCCTATCTCGGAGGATTCTGAATAGACCAATGCTCGTGAAGTAATTATCAGGGTAAATAGTGGAGTAATCTTAGGTTGCTGGCAGATATTGAAGCAACTAAAGCACCATAGAACCAGTCATTGTAATGTCCTTATGCTTGAAGACTTCAACCAATCCCGTTGCCCGGCTAGATGGAGTGAATGTCCATATATAGCCGTGGTCAGCTAAAGCAAATAGCTTGTAGCCTTGGTTGATTGTTTATTCGGCATCTTGTACGTGTGTAATGATCGACCAAAGCACCGGACCATGAGCTCATCAATTGAGATGTTTGATGATGGCTTGTAGTATATCTGACAAGCAGCCCGGAAGGAGTTGATTAGGGGCTCTAGCTTATGCCATCATATGCTTCCGAGATGCCCCATATCATAATGTAGGCCTAAGCTCACGATCAAGAGGATGGGGATTATATGGATAATTATTGAATGGCGGTTGTGGTGAGATATGAAGATATCGCACCAAGCCCATATGATGTCAAATAGTATGAAGAGGTCCAACCTTAGTATTGGTACGCCAATATCCATCAGTCCTTGGTTCCTTATAAATTCCCATATAAATAAGGACACCAAGCAACGCCTTTATCTCGTCTGCTGTTGTGGTTTCCAGGCTTAGGATGTTGCAAGATCAACCCGTTTATTAGTTGCATGTTGGTTGGTGTTCTTAGCAATCTTTTGACCATGACCAAACGCGTGAGTGCCTCTGATTATTCGCCTTTAGCGTTATAGTAGCCATCAATATCCCATCTTCACCCCTTCCCCATTTCCTCCAATATTTTTTAGTCTTCTGATGCCTTACTCCGTCTCATTATTTCCAACTTGAAATAATTGCTTATTGCTGCAGGTTTCAGCAAAATGGGAAGTGCAAGCATGATAGCAGTCCGCTCTTTTCTTGCGAGCCTTCCTGTCGACGAAGGTTCAAATGAATCTTCTGACCAGAATGAACTTTCTACAAGCCACAATGATAAGGAGCACCAGTGTCGATTTGAGCTTCAAAATGATCTCGAAAATAGTCAAATTTCAAGACTGACACGACATAATCTGTCTTATTTTAGTAACTCTTTCAACGATGACGACGACAAGAAGCAAACGACCTCATCAACGATATCCACTAAAATGTCAAAGACAATCAACTATACAGATGCGAATTTTGTTATTGAACTGGAGATGAGAGATGTGGTTTTGAACTCAGAGTTGTTTCCACATAACTGGGAACAAATGCTCCAACAGATCAATACACCTGTTGTTGATCTGCCCAGTATAACTAATGCCTCCTGAAATGCTTTCTATAGCAACAACTTCCCGCCAGCTTGAAAATGCAAAGAAAATACTATTAGAAGCACCAAATGAGGCAACAATATCATGTGCAGTAGCACCAGTGCTTATTTCAATTGATTCATTCATTCTGTCACCGACATATGATGCAGTGCCTGATGCGAGTTGGAAGTCTCCATTTCTGCCCACTATTGACGATACTGGTGGCAGATTAGCAATGCCAAAGCCTGTCACGGTTGGTTACAGGCATACCAATATCAAAGCATATAAAGCAATTCTGAACTCAACCCTTTTCTACGCCTGTTATCTGTCAACCAGTATTGATTTTCCCATCCTTTACTCTTGAGAACAAGGGCCTAGAGAGTACCTATTATTCTGTGCTCCAGACTCGTCTGAATTCTGTTCACATGTTGCGAAACTTATGTATGTTGAGATCTCATGCTGGTGATCCAGAATGGGAATCACAGTTTGATGACAGAATCACTGTCATAACTGCCTCATTAACAAAAGACAAAGCTGGTATCTATGGCCATTGGGTTGGACAAGATCACAAGTACTATTCATGCGCGCTTAGAACCTGGCCCACTGGACATGATGATTACACTGAGATATGGCGTTCAGTAACAATCGCCATCTATACAGTTCTGGGGGATAATAAATCTTGGATCACAAGTGATCTTGAAAGGATCTCAGAGTCTTTGCAGTTAGAGAAGAGGACCAGAACATCTGACACTGAATCTCAAATAACTAGAAAGTCAAAACGATAATAGCAGCTGGAACCTTGCCCTTCCATGCTAGATGTCTATAGAATGCTGAGGATAACCTGTGTTGCTGGGCTCATGCAAAAGAGCAGATGACGGAAATCCAGTGGCTCAACCTCCACACACTCCAGGGTAATATTTGACAAAGCTGGAAGATCTCGGCACTTGTCTAGGGTCGCAGGATAAATGGCTAGATAATGCTGATTTGTACGATGATTCTATGAGATCTTATACAGCATTTCCTTATTGAACATTACTAATGTATGGTGGAGCCCGCGGCCGGCGAGGACTTAATGGAGGGTTCCCTCCCAGATAGTTACGAGAAATTGAGCATTCTTTTGGTTTCTAGGTTGCTTCGCTAGTATCGTTATCATTGTACAGAGCGGAGCGAGGCTCCTTCGTCGTTGTGTTTCCTTTTATCGTTATATCGTTTTGCTAGATTGTTCAGTGTGTCCATTCCTGAGATCCCTCGATCACAATCCGGTTCCTGTCGCAGAGAACAACGCACGTACGCCCCCCTTTACACTGCCTGTAGACATCTACCAGGGGGCAGGATTGAATTGATATGTATTCAGCATGTGGGCCAACTGAATAACCAAGCTAACAATACAGAGGGCATAATACTCATAGACCTAGAGAGTTTAGCGCGAAATCTTCTAAGTAGTTGGACTTATTCTGGGTGATCCAAGCTAAAACCCGCCAAAAGTTAAAACTAAGAAAATTGAGTAAAATAAATAATTAAAAATGAGAATGAAAAAGAGAAAAGAGAAAAAAAAAGATGAACTAATTTGACCAGTGCCAGGCTCGATCTGGCGACCTCATCGGTGTTAACGATGCGTGATAACCAACTACACCAACCGGCCAATTGCTTGTTGAAGGAGGAAGCCCTTTTATGCTATATAAAGAAAACTTGCAATAGTTAGTAGTTAGTAACGTATTTCACTAGCGAGCGCCGCACCTCATCAAAAATCTACGCGTCGTCTTGCCTTCCTTAATTTAACCTATATATCTACTAATAAATGAATGATCAATCGTCTTGTTGGTGGAGTTGCGGGGTGCCAAGACCCCCGAGTGTCGAATAATAATGCGCGCCCCTACCTTAAATACACATACTAACTTACCCCCCTTTGTTTATCTTCCCTGCGTAGACCTCCCTCGCTCGGTATAACTCTCTCTACTTCAATTCATGGTGGGCAATCCCGGGCTCATGGCCTGTTGAAGTGAGAACAGATTGATTGGTGGTTGGCTTGGGTTATCTTTACAGGCCCACAGGGTGCGATTCCTTATATATATATCCATTTCCAATCCCTGCTGCATGGTTCAGCCACCGTGATACTCAACAGGTTCCTCCCAGGCCGAAACCCAACCCAACCCGCGGTTTGGCGAGGTCTAGAGGCAGGCTAACAAAAATCATGTGACTGCCTGTCAGGTTCGCTCCATGGTAGGGTATGGGCTCGAGACATCACACCAGCGGGAGGATTCGAGGTGACCTAATATATTAGGATCGACCAGACAGAGAAAGGAAAGCGGTATGATAAGGTATAATGGCTACGATAGGAAGAATACGTAGATAAGGTAGATTAGGTACACAAGTGTTTGTGGAATCCTAAAAGGGGCCTTAAAGAACCGCCGTCCGGGCTTTAAATGTCGTTGGCAGCCACGTGGTAGGTACAACTGCGGCGGCTTGATCATCCCTCGAAAATGATGGTCTCTTCCGGGGTAGACTGCTGCTATGGTGAACCAGGAAGGCGGATATCCTCGTCGCGCCGGCGCATCATGAGCTTCGTGGTGGGATGGATGCGCACGCTGAAAGAATGGCGGTAGTACTGCAACGGTTCGTTGGGGACCACCTTCCAGTCGTATCGGATGAGCAAGTACGCTAACATCATCTTGATCTCCTTGGAGGCAAAGAACCGGCCGGGGCAAGCCCGTGGATGCCAGCCGAAGCCGATGTGGTCCCCGTTGGTGTTCTCCAGTTGGGCACTGAACGCTTTATCAGGGTCCTCTCGCAGGCGCATATACCGGTAAGGATCGTATTCTTCCGGCTCTGGCCAGACACCAGGATTGCCCATGCGGTCGGCAGCTACCGCCACCAGCTCTCCTTTTGGGATGAAGGTTCCATTGGAGAAAGTCACATCCTGCAATGCATAGCTGCGCATGGTGGCACATTCGACGGGCTTGACTCGCTGTGACTCCTTGAGACAACTATCCAGCAGTTTGAGCTTGTACAGCGAGGCGGGTGTCCAACCCCCTTGGCCGATGACCGTCCGGATCTCATCACGGAGGGGCTCAAGGAGATGGGGATGTCGGACGATGTCCACCAACCCACCGATCAGCAGGTCGGAGGTTCCGTAGATCCCAGCAAAGTCCATGGCCAGTTGCGCTCCGGCTGCATCGTACCATTTCCCCTTGGCAGTATCCTCGAACCACTGGATCGAGTCCACGTAGCGAGGCGGCTCCATGCCCTTTGCCAGGCAGGCATCTCTTTCCGCACGTCGCTCCTGGATAATGGGATCGAGAAGTTGCCGGGCTCGTCGAACCTGCGCCCGGAGCTTTGCTCCCTGGGGCTCGAGCCAATGTACAAGGGGGCGCAGAATGACGGGCCAGAGGCGCAGCTGGCGCGCTTGAATTGCCATCGTCACTGCGTGGTGCTTGGCGATGTCGAGCCACTCCTCATTGTGGGCTAACTTGCTCCCGACCATGATAAAAGTCACTGTTCGGGTCACCAAGTCCAGACACTGGTTGTAGACCGGCACCGTGTGCCATTCTGAAAGCAAAAGCACATCCCTCTTCATCAGCCAATGGCCTAAAAAACCTATCACGATCACTTACCATTGCTGTCGCCAAAAATATCCGTGATGATCCCGCTGGCTTCATCGGCAAGAGGCTTGACGTACTTGGGAGCTTGGGTTTGGAACTAGTTCATGACCACCTTGGTGATGAGATGTGCATCCCTCGTGACTTCCTTGAATCCATCGAATCCGGGAAGATGAGAGTGAAAGTCCTGACGAGAGCACGAAGATCAGCAAGTCAGGTCCTCACAGCGGAAGCAGTTGCAAAGAACTGTGGACTCCTTACCGTGCCCAAGAACTTGTACATACAGAGCTCTTTCATCTTGCGGAACTCGTCGGCCATCGAGGAGGGCAGAATGGTGCAGTACCCAGAGTCGACTATGAACCGAATGGGCTTATCATTTTGCGAGAACCAGCTCTCAATCCATGACGGCGCATTTGCATCAAAATCCCGCTTGGCCCTCATGGTCGTCGGTTCCCACCATCTTTTCGGATTGAACACCCGCAGCTCAGATTTCCGGCCACTCGAGTACAGGTAAAGAAGAAGGCACAGTAGCCCCGCGCTGGTAGTGACCAAGGGCGTAAACCACGAGCCATGTTGCTGCATGTCATTCCAAGCCAGCGACAGAAGGTGGTGCGGCTGTGTGAGCGCGTCGACAGTCATGGCTAGACCAGGTATGGTTGATGGAGAGGAGGAAAAGATATCGAGAGTAATGCGAGCAAAAGACCCGGGAAAGATCGCGAAGGAAAGGGCGTCTCTCTCCCCAAGAAAGACCGTTCCTATCATGCAATCACCGCTTGTTGTACGGTGGTTGTGATGCTGGGATGGTGGTGGATCCTCGCCGAATAACGCCGGACAGCCGTTGAAGCCGAATTGACGCCGGCAGGCCAAAAGAACCCTACTTTCACTCACTCAATCGGCGCTTCCCCTCCTTTCACCAAATCGGATGTAAATGGACGGGCCATAATGGCGACCGGCCGGGCTGGAAATCCCCAAACGTAGATAGATAAGCCTAGATCCGAAATCTTTGGCCCGGCATACATACGCACAGGAAGTTTCACGCGACGGCGCCTTTCCTGCCACAGCTTCAATCGACAATCACAAGTTCTGTCGCCACTATCCGCCGTGCAATTACCCTATTGCAAGCAGCATGGCTCAATCTATGTATCCTAATGAGCCTATTGTCGTGGTCGGCAGTGGTTGTCGCTTTCCTGGTGGCGCCAACACACCCTCCAAGCTCTGGGAGCTACTCCAGCATCCTCGCGATGTGCAGAGTCGAATCCCCAAAGAACGATTTGACGTCGACACATTCTATCACCCGGACGGGAAGCACCACGGGCGAACAAACGCACCCTACGCCTATGTTCTCCAAGACGATCTGGGCGCCTTCGATGCCCCCTTCTTCAACATCCAGGCTGGAGAGGCCGAGAGTATGGACCCCCAGCAGCGGCTGTTGCTGGAGACGGTGTACGAGGCCGTAACGAATGCTGGAATGCGCATCCAGGATCTGCAAGGAACTTCGACTGCTGTTTACGTCGGGATGATGACGCACGACTATGAGACTGTCTCGACCCGCGACCTGGAGAGCATCCCCTCCTACTCGGCGACGGGCGTCGCGGTCAGTGTTGCGTCCAACCGCATCTCGTATTTTTTTTTGACTGGCATGGACCAAGTGTAAGTCACCCCATATCGTGTATCGGTCCAATCAATGCTCTTCTAACGGACCGGGATGGTTGAAAGATGACGATCGATACGGCATGCAGCTCGTCGTTGGTTGCCGTTCATCTGGCGGTGCAACAGCTACGGACGGGCCAAAGCTCCATGGCAATTGCTGTGGGTGCGAATTTGATTCTGGGGCCCATGACATTCGTCCTTGAAAGCAAATTGAGCATGCTATCCCCCTCGGGTCGATCCCGCATGTGGGACGCCGGAGCTGACGGCTATGCCAGAGGCGTGAGTGTTTCTTGAGCCCGTCGATGACCGTTCCCGTCGCTGACCGTGATCAGGAAGCTGTTTGCTCTGTAGTGTTGAAGACATTGAGTCAAGCCTTGCGCGATGGGGACACGATTGAATGTGTCATCCGAGAAACTGGGGTGAATCAAGATGGCCGAACGACAGGCATTACGATGCCGAACCATAGTGCTCAGGAGGCACTCATCAAGGCTACCTACGCCCAGGCTGGCCTCGATATCACCAAGGCTGAGGACAGGTGCCAATTCTTCGAGACTCATGGTCAGTAAAGAGAACCTCTTCTGTTGGCGCCGTGCAACTGACATTCGTATGATAGGGACTGGTACCCGGGCAGGAGATCCCCAGGAGGCGGAGGCCATTGCAACGGCCTTCTTCGGCCACGAGAAGGTAGCACGCAACGACGGAAACGAGAGGGCCCCTCTGTTCGTGGGCAGCGCGAAAACCGTTGTCGGTCACACCGAGGGCACGGCCGGTCTGGCTGGTCTCATGAAGGCGCCGTTCGCCGTCCGCCATGGGGTCATCCCCCCCAACCTGCTGTTCGACAAAATCAGCCCGCGAGTCGCCCCGTTCTACAAAAACCTCAAGATTGCCACAGAAGCAACCCCATGGCCGGCTCTCCCGCCCGGACAACCCCGCCGCGTCAGTGTCAACTCCTTTGGTAAGCGAGGATTGCCCGGAGGGACCCTGACAAGTACTCGAACCAATGCTAACTGAGCCGCGCCGATGGACAGGATTCGGCGGCACCAATGCGCATGCCATTATTGAAGAATACAAGGGGCCGGAGCAAACCCAGCTGCGAGTCTCGAATGATGAGGACTGCCCTCCCCTGACTGGTGTCCTGAGTTTACCCTTAGTCCTCTCGGCTTGGAGGAAGCCATCGAGGATGGTATTGTTGCGAGCGACTTCAGTACGGAGGTCAGAGGCCAGCCATCGGTCTTGGGAATCTTCACCGGGCAGGGGGCGCAGTGGCCGGGGATGTTAAAGAGTCTGATTGAGGGATCGCCATATGTGCGGAGCATAGTGAGGGAGCTGGACGACTCCCTGCAGAGCTTGCCGGAAACATACCGCCCCTCGTGGACGCTACTGAGCCAATTCATGCTAGAAGGAGAGGCTTCCAACGTCCAATATGCCAGTTTCTCCCAGCCACTATGCTGCGCGGTGCAAATTGTTCTGGTCCGTCGTTGCCCGCCTGCTGCCAGGTGAGACGGTGTTGATACATGCCGGGGCAGGAGGCGTGGGCCAGGCGGCCATTATTCTTGCCCAATTAGCCGGTGCTGAAGTCTTTACAACTGCTGGTACTGAGGCCAAGCGCAACCTTTTGATCGATAAATTCCACCTCGACCCTGATCATGTCTTCTCGAGCAGGGACTCCAGCTTCGTCGAAGGTATCAAGACCCGCACGAGTGGCAAGGGGGTCGACGTGGTTTTAAACTCGCTGGCTGGGCCTCTCCTTCAGAAGAGCTTTGACTGTCTGGCTAGGTTTGGTCGGTTTGTGGAAATCGGCAAGAAGGATCTTGAGCAGAATAGCCGACTCGACATGTCGACTTTCGTCCGGAATGTCTCCTTCTCCTCCGTTGATATCCTCCACTGGCAGCAAGCGAAGTCTGCTGAAATCTTCCAGGCGTTGTCCGAGGTCATCCTGCTGTTGGAGCGAACCGCAATCGATCTGATTCAGCCAATATCAGAGTATCCTATGTCGGCCCTGGAGAAGGCATTCCGCACTATGCAGAGCGGCCAGCACGTTGGGAAGATTGTTGTGACAGTAACCCCCGGTGACGCGGTCCTCGTTCGTCAGGAACAAATGCCACTATTGCTGAAGCCTAACGTGTCGTATATTATTGCTGGGGGCTTGGGTGGTATCGGACGGTGGATCTGCGAATGGCTGGTCGATCGCGGGGCGCGATATCTCATCATTCTGTCTCGAACTGCTCGCGCGGACCCGATCGTGACGAGTCTCCAGGAGCGGGGGTGCACCGTTTCTGTACATGCCTGTGATGTGGCCGACGAGAGCCAGCTTGAAGCGGCTCTCCAACAGTGTCGGGCGGAGAACCTGCCCCCGATTCGGGGCGTCATCCAAGGGGCGATGGTTCTCAAGGACGCCCTCGTCTCGCAAATGACGGCGGACGGGTTTCATGCCGCGCTGCGGCCCAAGGTTCAGGGAAGTTGGAATCTGCACCGAATTGCATCGGACGTGGGTTTCTTCGTGATGCTCTCATCCTTGGTGGGTGTCATGGGAGGCGCAGGACAAGCCAACTACGCGGCTGCCGGAGCGTTTCAGGATGCGCTCGCAGAACACCGCATGGCTCACAACCAGCCAGCGGTCACCATCGACCTCGGAATGGTCCAGTCAATTGGGTATGTGGCAGAGACAGATTCTGCAGTGGCGGAGCGACTCCAACGGATCGGCTATCAACCCCTGCACGAAGAGGAGGTCCTGGCCGTCCTCGAGCAGGCTATATCTCCTGCGTGTTCCCCTGCCGCACCCACACGGCCTGCGGTCATCGTCACTGGCATCAACACCCGCCCAGGCCCTCACTGGGCACACGCCGACTGGATGCAAGAGGCTCGGTTTGCGGGGATCAAGTATCGTGATCCGTTGAGGGACAATCATGGAGCTTTGTCGCTGACCCCGGCCGAAGATGACAATCTGCACGCCCGGCTGAACCGTGCAATCAACCAACAGGAGTCCATCGCCGTGGTCATGGAGGCGATGAGCCGCAAGCTCATTTCAATGTTCGGCCTGACCGATAGCGAGATGTCCGCCACTCAGACATTGGCGGGGATCGGCGTGGACTCCCTGGTCGCCATTGAGCTCCGGAACTGGATCACAGCCCAGTTCAATGTTGATATCTCGGTTTTCGAGTTGATGGAGGCCCGAACGATCGCCAAAGTCGCGGAGGTGGTGCTGCAGCGATACAAACCTTAGCAAGGCACGTATATATATATATATATATATATCGACATTCTTCGATAGTGTCTGATTGTCTCTCTTACAGCGTCCCATTCTGGGATGCAGATTCATTTCTTCCCTAGCGTGAATATGTCACTCATTGTGTGACAATGAATAAATCAGAGCCCTAGCCACGTAAGCGCAACCCTATAGAGTCCTTGGATGAGACGAAGGGCGGGTATCAGCGCAGCACATCTTGCTGTCTCTTTTCCTCAATGCTCGTCCGTAGACCAGAAAATAATTTATTATCTTAGGGTTCCCTGAGCGTCGATACCCTATCAGTAAGATCCTTAGCTGGATCCGCAGGGTTAAGAGCCCACTGCCACTGCCCAGGTTAATAGTCTCGACATCGTGGTGTTGCAACGTCTGAGCGAGAATCGGCGTAACATCTATGGATAGGGAGGAAAAATTGGTTGAAGAGTGTTGCTTAACCCTTTGAGATGTATGTAGAGTTGTTCGGGGCACCCACAAAACCCACACCGTTGCAGGTTCGGGTTTACACCCTAGAATCTGCTGCAGATTACGGGTTTAAACCCCTAAACGTGCTAGGTTTAGGACCCAACCTGCGGGTTAGGGTAGGTTAATTAGGATAGGTTGACCTAACCTAAGAACCCACTAACTACTTACTAAGGGTTGTGGTCCTGGGGGTAGCTGGGGATCCATGTCGTCGGCCCATCCTTCGGGAAACACTCTAGAGACACGGTGCAACCCACCATACCACCCGCACCCGCCATGGCGCAGCCAGAGGGCACGGAAAGGAAACGGAAAAGAAACGGAAAAGAAACGCAGATAAAGAACGACGCTGATTCATTCCCGCAACAAGCCTTGTCCCACGCGAGCTGCAGCGCCTCCCAATTTTCACATGGGTCCGGCCGGACGAACGTGAGACAAGATGATGCCGCCGAGTGCGCAGCCGGAAGGGATTGGGGGACAGAGGCGTGCCTAACCGTGTGTTGGCTAGGTGTCTTCGGTGGTGTTTATCGTCGGTTCGCACAGAGTTAACATGGATATCCTTGTGATTATAGAAGCATTGACGAATACAGGTGTCCATGTTGATACTTCAGTAACTTGAGGATAAGACTTGTAACTATTATTGGACGCGAGTAGAGGAAGAGTAAACTAAGTACTGTCGTGTAACCTTCTCGGTAAGCTCCGTAGCAATGAGCTACCTTTCGAAGCTCGGCAGACCTAGAAAATAAGGCCTTCATCAGCCGCCCCACTGGTTAAGGAATTTAGGGGTCTTTAGGAACTTTTGTGGGGAGGGGTTAGGGAGGCCTTAAGGGCTACACACTCTAGATGGCCGGACTTCAACCAATTTCTGAGTGGTCCGAATTGAATACTCTCTTAAATCATAGATAGATTTCGCTCCCAACAAGCAATTGGCCGGTTGGTGTAGTTGGTTATCACGCATCGTTAACACCGATGAGGTCGCCAGATCGAGCCTGGCACTGGTCAGATTAGTTTATCTTTTTTTTGCTTCCTTTTTTTCAGTTCCCACAGCCTCGGTTCCTCTTTCCTTTACTTTATTTTCCTTTTTGAGCTTAAGGTGCGGCGGTGTCGAAAAATGATTTTAGGCGCTTTTCCATGGGTTATACTCCCATAGTATGTGGTCCTGTTGCGCGTAGAGCGCCATATTTCGCAAAATGCCCGGTAGATTTTCCATTGCTTTGTGCGTGGTTTGCGATAATGATAATAACAAGTAAGCGAAATATATACCGAATATAGTACAGATGGCTCTGTCTACATGTTGTATCTCCCCATTGAAAGGATAGAAAAGGGAGGGTGAGGAAATGAAAACATAGGTGGAGGGGCGTGAGGGAAGAGGCGGGATATATATAGCGCAGAGGAAACAAATTCGAGTATGTACTATCCCTGAACGACAGAAAAACACAACACAGACCGGAGATAACCACAAAAAGAAAAGCACAAGCAGAAAGCGAAGGGTTCAACGGAAATAATATGTAACAAGTGAATTATCCAAACAATAGTGTCTACGAAGGCACGGCAACCGGCATCGAATATCTCCGTGTGCCGGCTCCCTTTTCAGCAGCAACCTGAATATAAGTGAGATTGCCTATGACCAGATCCGCTCGGGTCTCAAAGCCTGTTCGAGCCACTGTCTTCAATAGGGTTGAATTAGCGGCGGCTACCGAAGAGCCACCATAGATGGACCACGTATCATAGTCAGTCGCGCCGTTCCAGCTCATATATACTGATACGTTTCCGGCGCTATTGGACCGGACGACAACAGCTGGGTCCCAGAACGGGGTTGCTGACCATTGGTACTTATAGCCACGGTAGGAAGCGGGCTGGTTGATTTCGCCGAATTGGGCGGATAGGACCGTATTGCCGGAGGAGTCGAATTCGTGAATAACGGTGGTTGATCCGTAGTCCAAGAGGGCATTACCATCGGGGTCGCCACTGACCAACTGGTTGCTGCCCTGGCTCCAGGAGTACATGGGGTAACTGGCATCTGCCAGGGTACGGCGGTTGCTGGCAGTCATAAACAACAGATCCAGATCGAGGACGAGGCCAGTAGTGGGGACCCGTTGGCTCGGGCCATTGTTGTTGTTGTTGAAGATGGATAAGGTGATGCTGGTTGGTGTTTCCTCGAATGCACGGATATGATGCTGCCATGAGAAGTTGCAGTTGGGACCGGCCTGGAAGTCTCCACCTCCATTACCCTTGTAGGAGAGTTAGCTTTGATCTATATTCCAATTTTTTTTTTGGAAATCGAAATGGCTGACTCACACTCAATCTCCACTTAACAGATCCGTCAGAGTTCAAGTAAAAGGCAGAAAACATGTGGCGGATGGATATAAGGTATCCGTCATCGACAGCGACGACCGAGTTGATATGATATGCATCCCACGGATTGTTCCTGTCATTACCCACTGGAAGAGGCTGGTGCGAGTAGTTCAGAGGGATCTCATCAATATGAGCCAGCGCGCTCCAGGAAAAGACCACCTGGTTCGTGGCAACATCGATTTCCCAGAAAGTGGAATCCGTGATCCATCCATCCTCTGCGCCACCGACTGACGTTAGATCAGCCTGTGTCACATTGTATGCAGTGACCAGCATGGTATTACGGGGGGTAAGTTGACTCTCGTGAAGATCGATGTAGGAGGCGCGTGGAGAGCCATCAACCGGAATAATATCGCCGGGCAAGGTGACGGTGTAGATCTCATTGTACGTGTCATCCAGAACATGTACGAGGCCATACCCGAAACCAATGGTCAACATGTCTCCATCCCAGTAAGTCAAGACCGGTTTCCCGAATAAGGTCTGCACATTCACATTCGAGGTCACTGCACCTGGACTCTGGTATACCAGACTTCCATCCTGGTCATAGATCAGGGCAGCCGTTCCATTTGGCTGTTCGCCACGAGGGCCAACGAAAATATACCCGGGTGCCGGTGTGCCTGAAACGTTCACGCCCAGTTGAGGTGGTTGGAAGGGCTCAGTAACATAGGTATTGTAGGGCCATGAGGCGCCGGCCGCTTGCAAGCCCAGGAAAATAGCGGCAGCCCAGATGCTTGACAGGAGTGAGCTTGCCATCCTCGAAGATCTGGGATATCCGATGGGATTACCAAGGACGATATAACCGTCTGGGCTGTCGGATAGCAGGTAAATCGAAATAGCCAGCCTACAGCAAAGCAGAACGAAGGCGTCGTCAGCGTTGTGAATGAGAAATCCCTCAGTAGAAATATATATATCCCGGGGCAGGGGCTATTCAACTCAACTCAAAACTCATCAGCCGGACTCCGTTGTTGGTTGCCGAACATGAATACTGAGCCGAGATTACAATTGACGATGAGGGTTATTGCATGACGATCAACCGCCATTCCTTGCGATCTATGGAATATTATTGACGACTGCATACCCCGCTTATTGTTTCTAGTCAGTTGTGCATCGCACTGATGAAGGGCCATTCCTGTCGTACGAAGTATGGCGTTTATTTAACTGCGATCCCTCGCCCAACTACTTGCCCCCCTACAGAACTGATAACGGAGTACCGATAATTCCGGGTCTTCTGCGTCACCAGGAGGGCGAACAAACTTTGTCCACCTAACTCCTACTAAGAGGTACGAAGGTACTACCCCCGTACAGTAGTACTTCTGTTGGCTTAGAGGGCACGTGTTCCTAGTACGCCTAGTTAGCTAGATGCCACCCCTGAGCTCCCGTGCAAAAACCACGTACTCAATACACCCATTAAGTCATTAACGTCTTTGCAGTCTCTGGGCGATATCATTTCTCGAAGATGACTGGTGGAATAATTAGTTACCTGATTCCAAAGCTGTAATTGGCTATTAAAACACACCACTTCGTTGCTGCAGGAATTCCTCACTAACCTGGCTATTTTTCGCTATAACCACGAGTAAATGGTGTATCTAGGTAGGCAAAGGCAGGCGTGTGACTGCATACCAATAGTCGCATGCCCATACATGGTGAGCCAATCGACCGAAAAATAGCCGGAATTATTATTATTAAACGTGGAAGTTGCGAGTGTGATAAAACTTGGACGACTATTTGGCTGACTGCAGCACAATAAAGAACACAGCACTGTCGACCAATTACTATATTACCCCTCAGGAGAAACATGGATGGTCGGCTCATCACGTGACAAAGCATCAAGACGAGATGCCACAGCATTATTTTCATCCATGGGAAAATTGAACTCCAAAGGTGCGGAGAATTGATGCTTGATCCTTGTTCAACTGATCCAATCATCAATGACAAGTTATAGCAGCGAAGTTCAATCCTTCTAATTCCCCGGATGATAGTCAATCCCCGAACGGCATTGAAGCGTCCGCCCACAGGGAAATGAAAGTTATGGTATTTTACTCAGGCATTCTCGAGAAACATTCTTCGAAATCTTCGGGTGCCATATGGTACAGTGCAGTACGAGTGGAGTCAGGGTGCAAAGTACGAGGTAAGACTCAGGTAGGGAGGGTCGGGAGTTTGAGTTTTCGAGGGATTTGAAACGTGCAGTTTCCGTTGAAAAGCCCCTTTCCAGCCCACGATTGTCCAAAAAGACCACTGAAATATGCCCTATGGTCTGATGGATGAACGAATTCCAGGGCGAAAGATTCCTTCGCGGAGCGCTGCGCCTATATTAGGTACTAACTACTCCATCGTTGATTAGCATACCCTCCTGATCTAGACCCTGTAAGGATAATAATAATGATGATGAACTGCGGGGACTTCTCTGAGAACTTCGGACTGACCCCGAAAGGCATAATTAACAAGGAATGTGATCTGGAAACCTAAAAGACTAATTTGGGACTTTCTTTGGCATCCGAGAGCCCAAGGTTTCCAGGCCGATGGCGGTCGTGATTTGCTGGCAATTATGAAGATCGGTCTAGATCCTGTTCTCCTGGAGTTTTGAGTTGCTGCTAGTAATTAGCAGTGTTAATTTGACACCAGGAACAAGGCACCGGGAGCTATCGAACCAGTTCTGCGACGGATGCGAGGATGTCCATGCACGCTGTAAGCTGATACAGACGCGTGATGTACCTTATCGATTAACGCCCTTCCCCCGACTCAATTCAACTTCGCCCTCTTTCTTTCTCCCCCTTCTCTCTCTCTCCCTCTCCCTCTCCCCCATTATCTTCCCTTTCTCGAATCGCCCGGTCGTGTACATATCTTCCCTCTTCCCGGACAGTCGGGCTTGCTTGACAATCCGTGCCTTCACCATCCGCCGCGTTCATTGCTGGCTTCAACTGTCTAGCTATTGCTGCTGTTATTATCAAAAGTATAACCCCGATAAACGGACCTGTCTTTTTGACTCCCTCAGAGCTCTGATAAATGGAAGTACAGCTCCGTATGTGTGCCTAGTTTTATAGGTGCCCCAGTGGCTACGCCTGCCAACTCGACTCCTGTTGCGACCCATGACTTCCAAATCAACGAATATGTCGACGCTTTTGGATTTCTCATTTTCTCCTCCTAATCGCCTGATTACATACCTCCACACGCTATCCAGGGCCAAAAGTGGTCTGCCCCATCAACAACTCGTTTGTGTATGCGCCTCTCATACCATCACCAGCACAAATGCTCTCCTCGAACTGGCAGCTTCCATTGGCCCTCAAATAGCGATTCTGCAGATTCACGCCGATATTATCGATGACTGCTCGGAAGAGACTGTTCGTCAGCTGACGTTGCTGGCTAAGAGATATGGCTTTTTGATCTGGGAGGGTGGGCAGATCTTAAACGCCAGGGTTGATGCCGTCGGGGAACCATCCAAAGAGGCGGAAAAAGCGGCCATAGATCTGATTCGGAAGAAGTACACCAGAGGGGTCCTTAAGATAGCATCGTGGGCGGGAATTGTAACCGCCTGGGCGCCTGGCGCAGATGTTAACAATCAGGAGGCTGATATCTTGATTCCAACTTTGAGAGCTGCCGCTAGGGAGGCCGTGGCTGATGCTGTACAAACGGTAACGACCGAGATAACAGCTGGATCTGCTGCAGATAATGCACCATGTTCGCATAATCCCGTCAGCAGTGATACTGTTCAAGACACCAGTTCCGAGTATTCGGCGGACAATAGCAATGTTGGGTTGCCTTCACGCAAAGCTTCTACTATCTCCCTTACGCACACATTCACACAACGCACAGAACACTCAGCAGAACATCCTCTGAAACCAGAGATTCAAGAGCAGTCATTCAACCCCAAGGATGGAAATCAGCCATTCAGTGGATCATCCATGGATTATTTTCCTCCACCACCGCTTCTCACCCGCGGTCTTGTGCTCTGCCTTCCTTCTGTTAACGATTCCTCCTTTACCCCCGAATACAGACAAAGTTGCATAGCTGCTGCTCAAGCCAACCGGGACTTTGTAGCAGGATTTCTTTGCAGTGAGCCGTGGGATACTATCTCACGAAGAAGCGATATTCTGGAGATCGAGCAGTTAAAATTCGACGGACGAGGTGAACGTGATATGAGCTCTTCTGATGATTACTGTTTTGCCATTTTCTCGCCCCTTTCGAACAGGGTTACTGAGTTCCAACCGGTGAATAGTCAGCCTACTGCCGATTCTGATATTGTAAAGTATCCCAATGGGGAAGTCAGCCCAACCACTCCTGCCAACGGAAACAAACAAGCAGAAGCCTTTAATCCAATAGCAACTAGGTTGCAGTCCATTGTCGAACGGGCGATTCAACTTAAAAGGTCTCTGGACGGAGCTGATTCGGAGAATACGTTTACTTCTGGTCTGAGACTCATGCATATACCTATCATAACATTGCCGTGAATGCTTTGTTTCTATTTCTATTTTCTCTTTACTGGACATTACCTTGTATGGTCAGCAGAAATGGTGTCAGCATTCCAGCTTGTCAGTGATGCCAAAATTCCTTTCTGTTATACATATTATGATGATGTATGCTGTTTGAATTTCTGTAAAAAGTGCACATATTCTTTCTTTGCTACATCTTGTTGTGCGCTCTTACCATTTACCAACCATAATTACAAGGGGATGTGTATGTCTGTTTTCTCCACCATCCCTTAATATACAGTGTCTTACTGTGATAACTCATGCTTCTACACACTTTCCTACTGTCTCCAAAGAAGAAGGTGCATGTACCTGTGTTCCTGTTCCTCAATTATCAAAAGTCCCTGTTGTTTAATTCAGCAAGTTATCGATGCCTAGGTCACGTGCAGAGTCAAAACACATAAAATATTACATATATGAAAAAGTCTAGAATGAGATATCCAGCAATATGCATCCTTTTAGGAAATTCTCCGCAATTGCATCTATTTCTGTTGCATTTCGATGCCATTAGATTCACGGTCACATGATATCGCCATAAAAATCGCCACGTGATGGAATTGTCGAATTATTTCCACAATCCTCATCAAGCTCGATCTTGCCTCTCTGTGTCTTCATGATACCACTACTTCATCCAGCATTTGGTGCGGGCGGGGTTTTATAATCTTGGATTTTTAAATGCCAGAGCTCTTGTCAAATCAGTTTAGACATGAACGCGCTGATAGAATGACTGGCGTTTTCCTAACCGGACGATAACCGCGGCTGTGTCTATCACTTTCTCTGAAGAAACACACTCAACTCTTTCTGGAAGCGAGTTGCATGCCATATTTTGCTCTAATGTTCACTGTAATTTACATCTGTGACGCGTGGCACGCGTTCTAGTCTAGGACCTTCCAAGAGCTGCATGGACTCCAGGGACGCGTTGCAATGAATTCAGAATATCCTCCTTTGCCTCGCCCAAGAGCAGTGGAGGATTCTATAAGAACTCTGTCTCTTCAAAACACGGTGACTCCAGTCACATCACTGCCCTCGTCAGGGTCGGAGGAATCCCTTTCCGCGGCTGTCGGTGGTAGCAACCACGACCGAGAACATCGCACTCCTTTTCAGCCGGTTACAAGGGCCATTTCGAGCAAGGGGGATGTGATTATCGAGTATACAGATCGGGATTCCGATTCTTCCAAATCCCGTCCGGCTAGCTATCACTGGCAGGTCGCCAGTGATGACCTGGTACAGAATAGTCCTTACTTTCGAGCCTTACTTGATCCCAGCAAATTCGCTGAAGGGCGGAATTTGATGAAACAAAGGGCTCTGCTGGGTTTGGAGCCAGAATCTACCAACCAAACAAGCGACGAAAGAGCGGGTTCCCTTGACCATGAGGAGCAAAAGCCAGAAGGAGAAAAAGATGTACCACGAGATTTACTATTGCCAACGATCAGTCTCCCGGTAGATTGGTTTAAACGAAAAGTTGGAGCAGAGCTCATTGAATTATTTCTCAAAATATTATCATTGAACTCGTTCGACGATGAGGAAAAAAGGGGTCTCTATGTCGAGTTAAAATTCCAACCTCCATACCTCATCTCCAGGCTTGTCGAGATAGCAGATATATTCAATTCACCGCACGTCGTTAGAGAGGCCCTAAAAAAAAGCGGTTATTCTTATGGAAAAGGAAAGATCTCTCTAACTAGATTCTCGCCTTATTTACTGAAAATCAGCGAGGACCGCATTCGACAAATGATATTTATTGCAATGTTCCTGGAGGAGCAGACCATTTTTCAAGTGTTAACACACACATTGGTTATCATCGGCTCGAGGTTTTGGATTAATGGAGTCGGGACTCCCAGCGTAGAGAGTCCACGCTGGAGGTACTTCCAGCATGGCTTAGAAGGTGAAGACCATTACCCTATGCATGCAAGCCCCCACTGAAACTAACCTCTCCGATTCTAAGAGGAATTATACTACAGGCGGCAATATGTTCTGAACACAATAACAGACCTCCAAGCGTATTTTCTTCGTGCCTACGGTGCTATGGAAGAGGGTCCCGAAGACTTCAAACCTCCACCAGTTGCGGCAGTCCCCATCCCATTGATACGCCAGCAACCTCGCCAGTTTCAATGCCGATGGGCCTTTGGAAATTCCAGTGCCTGCGACGCTTTTCATTTGGGCCAAATCATCCGCTTCTTTTCCCTCCGCACCAAGACAATCTTCCTCGGATCTACACTAATAGATCCGGATTTCACCCCGGACCCCGATTTAGAAACTGATAGTGATCCAGGTGATGGAGATGGACAGCAGGAAAGTGAAAATAAGGAAAGAGACAAGGGGAAGGATATCTACCCCAATAGTGTTGATGTTTCGGGGTCTGTGGGCCCTTCAACGTCCGACATATCCTCCCTTATTGCATCTCTCAAGCAATGTCCAGATTATCAGATCGACTCTAACCATAGCGGTTGTGGAGTACGCCGTCGTCTCCTACCTGCACTAGATTGTATTGAGCGCTTTGTAGGCGATCCGAGAGGGCTGCTGGGCATTATTATACGGCCAGGGTCAAACCCAAACGTGGAGATAAGCCGAAGTTCTGATCTGTCGTCGCTGCTGCCACCGACGAACTCGTGGTGGGCATGGACAAATAAGTCTCTCCGGAGAGCCGACTCGGTTGATATACGCTTCTCAAAAATCGTCTCGATACATTTCGATCCCAGTTCGAGTCGCGTGTCTCAACAGCGCACATCGACAGCAGCGGAATCATTACGCTCGTCCCGCTCCCCAGAAGAAGACGCGCGGCTATTCTTCACAGCTAGGAGACGGGACTGGGAAGCTTAGGTCCTACATATTTCTTATCGGTCTTGATCTGGAATTTTATTCTTTTCTTCACGGAGGTAATGGTTAGGGTTGATTTTTTTCTTTTCTCTTTTTGTTGCACATCACATATGGGGCCACGGCTCAACCCATCATGTCATCCTTGCCTCTTTATATTTACACTCTCATAGAATTTTGTTTTGCTGTTTCGCTGCCGTTTTTAGCCGCATATGACATAGGCACATAGAAGTCATGTATAAATGACCAAATAGACCAGTCTCGAATACCGGCACCCGTACCAGTACACGCATCCCACGGTTTTCCAACCTTAACCATTATTATTATTATTATTATTTACGTTTACATTTTGTATATTTTGCGTTTAGATTAAGCTTAAGCCTAAGCTTAAACGTGGCTTGATTTGACTTGTACTTACTAAGATACTACCTTCATATTTACGTGTTCATGACACAATACGAAAGTGGGAGGGTGGGGCATAAGCTTTGCATTACATATACAATTTTTTTTTTTTTTTTTTTTTTGCAAGCGTTCGTTCGGCTTGTGAGCGGTAAAGATTTAATTAAGCTTAAAGACCTGACCTTAAATAAAGTACTGATCTTATTACATACATGCAGATAAGTCTAATGGAGTGAAAGGGGGAGCACACTCAAAAGTCGTCTCTATGCACATATAAAGACCCGAAGAAAAGAAACAGTGCTTTTTGACTAGACTAGACAGACAAGACCGCACCCTATATACAACAGGATGCACATACATGTGCATGTGCATTCCCACCACCTCTATCTAGTTGTACAGATATATACATGTATGCAGGAATGAATAACAGAAGCTCTTCCCCTTGACAGGTCATCTGCTTTTTTTCTGTTTTTTTCTGTTTTTTTTCTTTCTTTTTTTTTTTTTTTTTCTTTTTTCTTTTTCTTTTTTTTTCCCGGCCTTCACCCATTTATGCAAATGGACCAAAACGAATGGTGAGCGGTGAGCTGTAATAGGGATAATGTGGCCATTTTGCCCTCGTTTTTGACAGCCAAGGGTTGTGTTTTGGATGCAGTGATGTGCAATGTATGAAATGAAAGAAAGGAAAAAAAGAAAGAGAGGAAAATGAATGAAGTCCCCAAGCGAAAGTATGCTGTTATGTGTTCAGTCCCCCGGAGAAACGAAATGCGTAGCTGAAGGAATAAATAAAATAACAACAATAATAAAATGAAAACTTGGAATTGCAATCATCCACATGTAAGCGTTCCCCGTGAGCGCGTTCTCTTCAGGTGACCTCCGTTCTTGAAGTGATTTCATTTTCCTGTTTAATAGATCGGGTCACACCAGAGATACCCGCCCAGGTCGAAATCGATGTTCGTCGTAGGGAAGAACGATCCCGTAATTTGACCGGCGGCTGCATCGTAGGGAAGGTATTCGTCGTATGGGTTGCGAACATCCAGTGACTTCCCAGATTTTAAAAATTCTAGCGTGTCTGATGGATCTACACCATAGGAAAGTGGCATAGCAAGTGGTGTACTTGATCTATCCATTGGCGAGTAAGCGATCGAATCCAAGTCAATACCGATGGCCTCGGTGCTGGCAGCGGCGGCCTGCACAGCAGCAGTCGGGGAAGGAGGAAGGTCAAATGGAACCTCAATCTGGGCATTGGGAGTAGAATCATCGCCGCGTGGAATATCACCCACGTCGATACCAACGCCGGGCGCCAGGCGACGCAAAAATCCATCGCACAGCCTCCAAGCTCTCTCTGACGCCGGGTTCGCCTTTGACAAAGCAAACAGCCACTCGATGGCCTTTTTAACCGCTTTAGAGATCATGGGTTCCTTGTCCGGCACATGCTGTACCTTAAAGGCAAGCTCGAGGAGAAGCACTGTAGTTGCTTGCATGAGGAAATGCAATATGCACCACCAAGGAGACACTTTATGCAAAAGAGCCCCGTCTGGCGTATCGGGGAACAGAGTCAGCATATGGCAAGCCGATTCCACACACTCTGCGGCAGCATTATTGCAGAATTCGTACGTCTTATCGCTCTGGAGACCGGATGAGTCCAAGCGGCAAAGGCACGGTCGGGTAATTCCGATCTTCGTGCTGTAAAAGAAAAGAGCAAGACCCATTCTTTGTGACGCGGGACATTGGGACGTTTGCGCAGAAGTAAAGTCGTAAGCAGGCGGCAGGTTCATAAGCCATGAATCGATGTCAAGCATTAGGCTTTGGATGGTGAATTCAGTGGTCGCCCAAGGAGACTGTGCAGCTTCCGGACTGTAAAGCTTAACCGTCATTCTTTTAGAGATGGACGTCAGAGAGGCTAGCTGCAGGAAGTATAGAGACATGCAAGGAGGAAGACTCTTTAGGTATTCCGCCTTGCCCATCTCTGCATCCTTGGTGCCGGACGGTACCTCGTTGGAATCGGAGTCCAAAGAGGCAGTCATACCAGGTGTGCCGGAGCACACTGAAATCCGTTCTGGTTGACTTGGATTTCCCCTTAGCGGACTGCTAATCAGGCGGGCGACATCTTTCTTCTGAAAGTCACTCTCATCGAACGGAACCGGAAGCGGCGTTGTACAGGAGTTGTCGGTAATACACGACGGACGTCCTGTCATCACGGTGAGGAGATGCTCAATGGTATATAGTGACCACCAAACACGATATCGGATCTCTTTGGAGATATCGGAAGTACATGATCCCACATTGCGCAGATGAAGGCCAAGACACAGGGCCCCGCGAACCGCACTGCCGATTAATTTCCACGACCTACGGAAAGGGTTTTGTGGTGAGCATCGATGTAAAGCACCTACCTGACCGTGAGAGATATACGCACCTATTGACATGGCCCAATGCTAACAGATAGAAGGAGGCTAGCCCTTCGACTTGTAGCTGTTGCAGATCCGGATGCTGGAAAGTCTGATCCTCCAAACTCAAGACCCTCGCTCTCGAGAAATATTTCAAGTGCTCATCACTGTCTTGCTGCGGTTCCGTGTCCGTAAGCTGCGAGTACTTTGCGCCAACTGCGAAAATGAGGTTTAGTATTGCCAGCCACCTTTTCCCGGGCTTCAAGGACGGCTGGTTGAAAAAAACTTGGAATTGAGAGACGAATGTCGAAATGCCGATGATCGGGAAGGAAGGATGCACGGCATTGAGGTAGATATTGAACAGTTTCGTGGCCGTCTCACGCGTGGGAACCTCATATGGATCCAGCTGCACACTAGAGCGCATGTCCAGGTCGTCCAGATAGTAATTGAACGAAGCCACAGAGGAATCATGCTGTCCTTCCATCCGAGGCGCTGAGGATGGGGAGCAGGGCTCGTGATCCGGGAGGCTTGGTGCATTGATGGAGCAGGGTTCGCATTCCTGATCGACTTCCTTCTTTATCTTCTGCAGCCAATTAATTTCCGAGCCCTTTCCAATGAACCCTGTAGCACGGGCTGTCTCATCTCTGTTGAAGTCTTCTTCTGTGTGGTCCACCTCAAATGACCCGATAGACGGTGATCGAGAAAGAGACGGTTCGGTGTCGGAAGAACTCCACGAGGATTTACGCTCCGTAGAAGCTGCAGAGTAGGCATCGTTGTGCAACTCCAGATGATGGGTCCCCTCCTGCGTACGTTAGCTGTTGTAGAAGGCCGAGGAGAGGCGGGATCTCTACCGCTAGTGCGATATTCATCAATTGCTCATCGGAGACCCCGAATCGGTTGCTTAGCTTTCTAATCACATCTTCATACGCCTGTACCTTGGCTGACAGACTGGCCAACTGTCTACCGTGCTTCGGGGTCAGTGGCCGGAGAACCGAAGCCTAGTGGAGGAGAGGGACTCACCTTTTCGATTTCTCTCTCTTTCCGTCCGTGTAACAACAGATGATCCCGGCCTCGCGGCAATTCCGACAGCCTGACTTGTCACCGGTGCACTTTGTTTTCCTTTGCCGGCAGGATTCGCACGCTCGACGAACATGGCGACGGTGAAATCGTCCGGGGGACGAAAAAGCGGTCTCTGATCCTTCGGCCAGCCTTGGAATAGCCATCTTCCTGGAACCCAAACGTCCAGAGTCGTGAGTTTGAAAGTGAGGCATTGAACCCTCCTGTATCGCTCGCAATGTTAGCTTCCTTACCGGGCATCCAGAGGCTATCAGCTCACCACATGACCTATCTGGCCGCAAGCCTCTGCTGCATCAAGACAGGGCAGCTTGAAGCAAGAATGCTCTGCCCAGGGTTGGAGCGATAGGCCGTCCATGGTGGTTTCCAGGGAAAGAACGAAAGAACGAAAGAACGAACGAAAGAAAGAAAAGAATAGATGTATGTATGTATATCCCTCTCGGTATAAAAAGGATTCAATGAAGAACTGCACCGACGATGGTCAGCAAAACCCTCGAAGCGGATATTCACAAGAGCTTACCTAACATTTGATGATGAAGCCAAGCAGAGTTTCACACAGGTAGCATTATGTCAGATATACCTAACCAACCGAGATCAGTAGGTTTTATTTATCGGAAGAGATCTTTGCATGAAGGACCTGGGTGCCTGAGAATGGGGAGGTAATGATCAATGTAATTTCAGAGCACAAGAACCGAACAGGAAAGGGACGAACCGACCGTCTAACTCTTCCATCGAGACGCTTGAGCTCTCGACGAAGCTCCCACAGGAGGTATAGCCAGCCGGAACTTAGCTGCGAAAAGTGGAGACTACCGGTTCCAGAGACCGTTTGATTCCGTATGGTGTTCAAAGTCTACGAGCAGGGAAGAGCATGTTTTGGCCGCCGGCCCGTGGTTTTTTGAAGCTCAGAACCAACCCATGTCCCAAATCGGAAAGACTTGATGGTCGACCAAAGACAGACGGCCCACCAAGGATCGAGTATTATGCCTGTCCTCTTGTCCAGACAGTGGCAAAATGATATAGGAAACCCATCATCCTCGTACGTTGCCGCATACGTAAAGAACAATAGTCCCGGGGCGAAACCCTAAACCGGGAGGCAGTGTGATGGATCTAAACGACTGGCCATACATGGACGTTCTTCGGTGATAGTATGTATAGTCTTCCGGCCCCCTCGTCTCCCAGTCCAGAATCAATGGCCAGGGCCAGTCACCGAGTCCCCCGGTGGGGGCCTGGAGGGCTTGCGGAACTGGGAGGGGATCGGATGGTAAGGTGATACCTATGCAGCAACCAGCATGCCCGGTCCAGATGAAGCGTTGTAGTGTCCCTTCCAGACACCAGCCCGTCCATGTCCAGAGCATGTATCTGCCAGGACCGATCGCAGGGGACGGCACACGGCGTACTGCCTCGTATCTCCAACGTGGCTCGGAGAAACATGGACAGGGCATTGTCCGCACGGACAGTAAGATCAGGACACGGCGGAGGGGCAGTCCGGCTAAGTTCCGGGCTCTAGGGCCAACGGTCGAGGAGAGAATTTACATCAGCGGCGCCTGAGAGGCCGGCAAATAAGGTGATCGGGCGAGACACGGGCTGAGCAGCGCGCCGTGCTCGAAGCAGCAGGGGAACAGCTGCCAACCCAGAGCTGATTGGACTCGGATCCGAGTGCGTAGAGCCAAAGGCTGGGCCCAATCCGGGGCGATGGAGATAATATCCACTGGCTCATCCGCCGCGAGAGGAGCCAGGGCCGCGATGGACATCGCGACGACGCAATGTGAATCCTGACGTGTTCTATGATGTTCGGATGATTGCACCATGCTGCAGTGAGCAGCAAATCACCGATCTGGCTGCCGTGAAAGGCTTCGATTAAGGTTTAGAAGAAACCACGAGGCGGCGCAAAAAATGACAATGAAGGTGGAAGAGAGCGAAGGAAGACCTGCTTGTCACGGCGTTCAGCTGCCAACCGTGGAAGCGATTTATTTGCTCCACTGGCGGCTTTAGCACTCAAGAAATGCGGAACCGCAGGAGACTATTAGTTCTGGGCCTCGTTGAGATAACACGAATTTCCGGATCCGGCAGGTCGTTGTGCCAGAATATCGCCCAACTAGGCAAATAATGCCACCGCGGACGGGCCGCAGATGTTGCATGCTGTTATTCTTGGAAGAGACCCCTGTCGATCAGCAGGGCTGCAACCGTTTCTTCGAATGAATAGTTATGGCTGTCCCTCGCGACACCGCACGGAGCAGTAGCTAGTGTCAACCGCGCGGCGGGATGGACATCACCGGCGAGTTGCCCGCATTCTGTCGAGTCATTCAACGTCGAGTCTAGTCAATACGAGACAAATAGTTAAATGCACGTCGACGCTTACGGCAGCCGCCGCAGGGACTTCGAGCTCTCAACCCCGAAGCATTGCTGCTCGGTCGCAGCTCGGCCCTGTGTCTTCAGTGGAAATTATGGAAAATATGGAAATTAGTTAACTGACTGTTCGGGCTAACTAGCCTCTCTCCCAGCAGCAGGAACGCGCACCTTCGGGCTGTTCCGCTGCACTGAGTGCATGGAGACAGTCAAAACCGCCTGCTTGAGTGGACCTTTCGTTTCCCTGCATTATGCAGCACGTTGATTATACGCTTTCCGGCAAATTGAAATGCCGATGGACGCAGAAAAACAATGCAGGCTTGATTTGTGCATGGCAGCGCACAATTCCGACGTCCCCGGCTCGACCGGATTCTCGCCTCCACTCAAGGACATAGCCGACTGCTCCCACAGCGCCTGCGTGCGAGGCTTGCTTTGTCCAGGCTCGAGTGCGAGTGCGCTCCTTGCGATCTGGGGGACATGCACCCTTAGTTGGCCGAAGCCATACGTGACAGAAGGATCCGAAGGATTCCAAGTGTTGGATGGCAGCCGGCACAGAATTCCAGGACGATCATGAGGGCGGATCCTTGAGATTCAATTGCGGGTATTGCCGATTCAGAGCACACGACTCCGTGCAGGGAGTGTATTTATGGGGGAGGTAGTCAAGGGGCATGATCTGGCAGACCGGTAGAGTCGCCGACTGACTCTCGCCAACCAGAAACATCTGAAGATCAATATCGCAACTCCCCACCATCCTCGTCTATCCTCTGGCTAAGAAGGACGTGTCCCAAGCATGGACTTGACTCTACCAGGCAAAAGCAGAACAGCCATTTACCGGTTTCCTCCTACAGCACCTACACGAAAGCGGGGTGCACGGTTCCCAGTCAGTGGCATCAAGGGCCATCGACACCCTGCCTTTCGGACCAGGTGTCATATAAGCCGAAATTATCGTCTCAGTTGTGTCACAACATCCCAGTCACGGCAGGCCTCTAGGATGAGACCAGTGCCTTGAGTAACAGAACCGGGGGGGAGGAAACAGGCCGAGCAGATAGGGAGGTAGAGTAGCAGCGAGGATGGGGAGAAGAGAGGTGATGCAAACTCTAGAACGGACACTTCACCTATGTATGCCCTTTCTCTTGCGCATGCAGGGAAGCCTTGCAAGGTAGTTCTACATATAGTAATCCTGCAGGGATGATCGCCGCAAAGCCCACTCATCTTGTTCTTGAGAACTCCACGAGCATACGGGATATCTTTGGACAATTCCCCCGGCTTCATGTCTGATTCTGCATCTACATCAACCAACTTTTCTCCTGCTATCGTCCCCTATTTAGTCATGCATGCAACGTGCCAATCGAAGAGAACCTTTCTATGATATATTAAGCAAACGCGTCGCGAAAAAAAAAGGTGGTCGCATCCTTCAAGCTCCTCGAAGCACGGACATCTCGCCCTCTGCAAACCTTAACCCTATCTCGACCATCGCAACGCACACGACGGAAACGAGAGCAGAGCGAACAGCCGTCTTCGAGAACAGAAAGAAGAAAGAAAGAAAGAAAGAAAGGCCAATCCAACAACCCACCCTGGCTCAAGCGGCAAAATTCCAGATGCCCGATAACCCACATCCTCTCCCTGTGCGATGGCGATACTTCCTAACCGACTCGGCATGGAGCTAGCTGCCCGAACTCTATCCGCCCCACGGAAGGGAAGAAAAAAAATCAGCCAGAGAAGGGCCTGGACTCGACCATGCCGATGGATCTCAAAAAACCAGCGTATCACCTGCTCGGGTCGGAAACTGGAAACCGAACGTTGCGGAGTGGAAAATTGATTCCGGTCCAGCTTTTGAATGCTTTTCATGTCGATGGACTCGCGGCATCCACACCGCTGCCAGCAGGTCTGATATTCTGCTCCACGTGTGGGTAGAGGCTTGCTGTGCTCAGTGCAGGACGGTAGCAATGGCAGACGTGAGTTGATGCTGGCTATATTGCTGTGCTTATCGGTGGGTCGAAGAGGGCAGCTGCTGGGTAAGAGTTTTCATCATCCTTTTTTCTCATACTTCTTACACAGCATGGCGTCGGCATATAAAAGATCCCTCCCTACCGGGGGAATGTCTGGCTACGTTGCCAACCTCCATCTCAGCCCAGAAGGATTGGTTCCTCCTGTATGACATCCGAAATCAACGTCATGGCGTCTGGGCCGCAGCACTCCACCCGTACTTCCTTAGACGGAACAACAGATGCCGGTAGCAGTGATATCACGGAGATCAAAGAACCACGCATCTATGAGGATGACATTGGACATGCCGACTTCTCACTCGATTCGACTCCACGAAATGGGAGCGAGATCGGGGCAGAAGACACCCATCAAGCCGCCAACGGCTCCAGGATCCATCATGCCCGCCTGCAGCGTGTGAAGGCTAAACTGGGGCGCCCGTTCAGGTCGATCTGGCCGTCCACGGGAAGGGGAGTACAAGAGATCCCGCATCCCGCGGACCTGGAACGGCTGGAGAAGAACCAGGTCGACGTCGAGTGCCAGCCGTCTTCCCCGGATCTCGCAGGGGAGCCAGATCCGTCTGCACCTCAGGGTGTCCCGCGGGAGTTGCGCAACCTCACCTCGGAGATCTTGCTGGTCGTCGTCTGCTCGGCGAGTCTAACATTGTACGCCTTCGCCCTGGGGGACGTGACTGTCAACCAGGAGGAATTCAGGAAGGCACTGGGAATGCAGAATACCGAGCTGCCGTGGTTGACGGGGTCCTTCAACACGGCCAATGGACTGTCGGTCGTCGTGTCAGGATCCCTGATGGACCTGGCACCACCGAGGAGAATCATGCTTGGTGCCTTTGGATGGTTCACCATATGGAATATCATCGGAGCCTTCTCCATTCGTCCCAGCACGGCCATCCTCTTCCACATCGTGCGCGCCATGCAAGGCCTCGCGGTTGGAGTCATGGTGTCCGGCTCCATGAGCATACTCGGCCGCGTCTACAAGCCAGGTCTGCGTAAAAATCGCGTCTTCTCGGCCATGGCAGGCACTGCCCCCTTCGGCTTCTGGCTAGGTGGCGTCCAAGGCGGCGCGCTCAGGGCTCACCTCCCCTGGATCTTTGGATCAAACGCCATGATCTCGGGTCTCTGCTGCGTCACGGCCTACTTCACCGTCCCCCCGCTCCAACCCGTCGCAGACATCGCAGGCACTGAAGCCCCATCCTTGAAACAATTCGACTACCTAGGCGCGACAGTCGCCATGGGCGGCTTCATCTGCCTCCTCTTCGGCCTGACACAGGGCTCCGTCACATCCTGGGCCCCCTATACCTACGCACTGGTCATCGTCGGCGTCCTTCTCCTTGCAGCCTTCATCATCCTAGAACGCTACGTCGAGCGCCCCATCATCCCGAACCGTCTCTGGAAGACGAAGGGCTTCAAACCGCTCATGCTCGCCTACTTCCTCGGCTACGGCTCCTACTCAGGCGCCTGGCAGTTCTACGCCGTGCAATTCTGGCTCCGCATCCAACACCACAACGCGCTCACAGTCGCACTCTACCTCCTCCCAAATGGTATCGTCGGCGTCTTGGCTACGTGGATCGTCAGTCGAACCCTCCACCTAGTGCCGGGCCATTACATCTACGCCGTTTCCATGCTAGCCTACGCTTTAGGTCCAGCCTTCTTCCTTCCCCAAACTCCCAATACAACCTACTGGGCACTGTCCATGCCCGGTGTCGCCCTGGTGACGTTCGGCCCCGATCTCGCCTTCGCCGCGGCTTCGATCTTCATCACTTCCAACGTTGCGAGATCCTACCAGGGTAGCGCGGGAAGCATGTTGATGATGATGCAGAATCTCTCGGCTGCTATCATGACGGCTGTTGCGGACGCTGTCGGCGCACGTGTCGATAAAGGTCCAGACGGTGATATTGGTCTCAAGGGCCTACGGGCTATCTGGTGGCTTGGTCTGGCGGGGAGTTTAGTCTCAGTGTTGATCACGGTGATTTGGGTGAGGATTCCGAAGGAAGAGGAGAAAGACCATGTTGTTTGATTTAATCCTATTATTTTTTGCGGTATCTTTCTACTACGATATTCTCATGATCTACGTGCCATGTTCGGTCTCGGTCTGACGCTGTGTGTCCACTGCCGGTTTTACGCTGTTTATTTCGGATTTTGTTCTTGGGCTATTGGGTTCTAATAGATATCTAGATTATAGACACAACGGGCTAATAATACTGGGGTTATAGAAGGGCGTGAATACATCTTTTATTCTTTTATTCAATAAATTCTAAGTAGCGTGCGTGGCTAGAGATATATATACTGAACCATAAATGATAGTATACATCGCTTGGTAGCTGCTACCGTGGATTAAGGTAAATGAGGTAGACAGAAACATATAGCAATAGTAATCAAATACGGAAAAGCCATAATCAGTCTCATAGATTTAAAGGAAAAAGGGAGAAAAGGGCTGGAAAAACGCCATGACTACTTAATTCCTAATTCCGTCAAATTGGCCGGTCCAATCCATTGAAATATTCGAAATAATCAACGCAAAAGAAAAAAGGCCATTACATTAGCATCATGAAAACGAAACAAATGAATATTCATAACGTACAATGCCATGCCGATTCAATTGGAAGGATAAAGATGGGATGGAATGGAAATGAATGCATATAATCTAACTGCGCCATTCTTTTTGCCGCCAGCCCAAAAAGAAAAACAATAAAAATAAAAAAAAATAAAATTAAAATTAAAAGATAAAAAAGAAAAGGAATAGGAACAAGGAACAAAAAGGATAGGGGAAGAAGAAAGATAGAAGAAAAAAAGGTCTTTAATTAAATAGAAAACATCACTAGCTGAAAATATGGATCTGGAAGATGCATCTAGATTTGGTATACAGTACGGAGCTTCTGAGTCACTGTGGGAGGGAGTTGTGAGAGGAAGGAATCGAAGTCGGGTATCATGTTTTTGTAACCTTGCAAGACCTGGTATTTGACGTTTTGTATTAGCATCAAGGATACTCGAGGGGACATAGAAGAAAATTTACCTGCTGGAAGGAGTTTTGGATATCATGGTACTCCTCCTGGTCAAGTGACTTGTTAGGGAACGTGGCAATTGCATGGAAATACTCCCCCAGACATGACTCCATGGCTTGTGGGTTCTTCACGACCACCTGGTTGAATCCCAAAAATGCAGATGCTTTTTCACGCGTAAAGTCAATCTTGGCCATGGATTTCAAGAATGAGTTCGCGTATTCGCCGAGAAGCGGCGCGAGCTGGTCAGAGCAGCACAAACCGAGGCGACCTAATGCCATGGCGGCATTCTCGTTAACCGAGTCGATGATCTCTTCATTGTTGATGATGATGTACAGCCCCTGATACAACTTGTCAATGTACGGGGACAGAACTGCCTTCTCGTTCACTGCAATCTCCCCGCATGACCAGCAGGCGTTGTTGAGGACACTGAAGCCAGTGTGGCGCTCGTCGTCCCGGATGAGATCAAGATCAAGCTGCTTGACAAGGGTGGGCATTATGTTAGGGATAAAAGGCTCGAGTTGAGGGAAGATATTGATGGCACAATCACCGAGGAGGGCGTATGACGACTGTCGAACCTCATAGTTGGGGTCCTCCATGCAGAAGCAAAGTAGATCGAAGAAACGCGGGTGAGAGTTCGCGACCAACTCGCCGCTCTTCTGAGGATCAATAGCCTGGATAATTGCGCTCAGAAGGTCGAGACTCGTGACCAAGAAATCCTTATCTGGCTCATCGATCGCATGACCTTGGACCGATGCGATATATTCCTGCAAATTATCGTAGATAATCTTGATGCACCTCTGGAAAAGAGGGGGTGCGAAGGGAGCAAATGCGTCACCATACGCTGTCGCAATATACCCAAGACATTCGAGCAACGGAAAGAGTTCTCGCGACTGGTCCGTGACCTTGTTGTAACGCTCAATGAGCGCAGGCATGAGAATGCTGACAAGATGAGGTCTGGATAATTCCCCCATGACGCATTCCGCCAGTGTCTGAACACAATCATAGAGGATGTACATATTTCGATCCTTGTACTTCCCAAAGCACTGAACGAATTGCCGCAAAATCGGCTCGCAGTATGGGACCAAATTGTCATCAGACTTCTCCTCTAGACTGGCAAAAGCAGAGGCCGCTGCTTCTTGAACTTTCTTATTGTTATCCAGCATCCTGCGCAGAATGCCGTCCATCATGGGCTCGAAGTACTGGGCCTTCTCCGAAGGATCCTGCAAATGCGATGCCCATTCCGAGTATCGGCCAAGACACCAGCAGGTGATCTGCCTCACAACAGGCTGAGGGTCATTTAATAGAGATATTAAGTATGGGATGAGTTCCGGGAGGTGAGGGGTGACCGCAGTCATACATCCATCCGCCACAGCACCTAGAGTTAGAACCGCAGCTTCTCTTTGCGGCCATAGCTCATGACGAAGAGTGTCTTTCAGGTATGGAAGTATGATTTCGAAAATGGGATTGTGATAGACATTCGCAAACACGTCCAATGCAGCAGCAGAGCATTTTCTCAACGTCCACTCATCCTCCGGGTCGTCTCCAAATTCCGAATCTTCGATTTCCCCTTCACTGAGGTCGTCTTCGTCATCCTCATTGTCTCCGGAATTACCGTTTGTAGATGTATCTGGCTTTGATGTGTCCAAGCGGGCCGATTTTGACTTCGCAAACTGGGGCTTAAGATCCTCCTTACGATCTGCCACATCGGCATCATCCTCATCACCAGCCAGCCTGATAGCGTCATCCTCATCATATACCATGCTCTGAAGCAGAACAGGAATGATCTTCGACATATGTGGAGCCAGTGGTTGCAGTAGTTTTTGCTGCTCGCCGGCGGCAAGCCAAAACTCAGCCGCGTCAAGAGCTAGTTCTGGATCCTCCAGATTATTTTGCTGCATAATAATGTAGTTTACCAAACCCTCGATATGAGGGATGAGTTTCTCGGGTGCAACGTCCACTAATTGCGCAAACGATTGGCAGACCATCCGTCGTACTTCTGTATTCGAATCCTCCGCGAGCCGGAAAAGCAACGACAGAAACAGGTCCAGTGAAGCGATCAGTGCCTGAGGTCTGTGCGGTAGGAAGGTATGGATGGTAGCCAATGCCAATGACCTGATATTCGGGCTTTCACTGGAGGTGAACTCCATCAACTTGGGAATGATGACATCGAGGGGCCGCTGTCCTTCATAGTCTCTATCAAGGACCCTGCGGTTATCCTCACACACTTTGGACAGGGCCGACATGGCCGCTTCCTGCGCGAGAACAGGAACATCCCCGGGTAAGTTCGAGACGAGTGACAGAAGCTCGTGCAGGACCTCCGGCCATGCCAGCAGTCCTCCTCTAAACACCAGCTCCGTTATGATGCTTCCAGCGGATTTCCGCACGTGGGGATCTACATCACGAAGTCCAAGCAAGGTAGCAGTGCGAACGTATACCAGACTGTGCTGACCGATGGTGTTGTAGGCTACATGTATCTTCGTCTTGAGGTTCATGGCAGCAGCGAAGCGGACCACGTTGTAAGTGGTCTGATCCATGCCCACCGTCGAGGGGACTTGAGGAGTAGAGAACAAGTAGGTGATGTAGTTGACATAATCCGGAGACGAGGTCGCTTGCACTAGCATCTATCAGAGACGAGGGAAAAAGAGGTTACCATCAGTCAGTTTCGATCTGGCCATCCCGTATGGATTGGGGCTATTCCGAAATATAGGATACAAGGACGCTGGTGCCGATGCAGAAAAAACTTACCTGCTCTGCTTGTCTTCGAGCTAGACGGTCCTGTCCGTTCAAAGAGTCCTTGAGACAGCAGGCAAGCTGCCTCAATGGCTCATCTTGGGGTTGCCACTCCATTTTGAGGACAGTTAAGTGCAAGTCGGAAGTACTGAGGAGGGACCAGGCAAGAAAGTTTAAAAAGATAACACCAAAAAAGAGGGAAGATAGGTTGTACGGAGAACCCCGCCGTGAAGCGTCGTCTATAGCCGCCCAAGGGCTGGGGAAGAAATATTTTTTTAAAGAAAAGAGGAAATACCAATGATAAACTAGTGTTTATTTGAAAGGAAACGAAGATATGGCGACTATCCTCGACATGCAGAGGACAGACGACGAAAAATTGCGCCCTCCAGAGGTCGTCTCTACTGCACTGGAGGTTGGACGCAGACTTCGACCAGGATAACGAGCGGCCAAGGCGGTACGTATCGTACGGTATGGCCGGAAATACTGATACGATATCAAAGGAGAAAAGAAGAGAAAAAAAAAAAGGCAAGGACGATAAAGAGTTATATGGAACCGCTGCTCATTAACTCATCTGATAAGAATACCGAGTAGGCCAGGTGATCTTAAATAAGAAGCTAACACTCAGGAATCGACAAGGCTTGAAGAAGATGGTAGGGAAGCTTGGGAGAATAAGGGAGGCAAGGGTTTATACGGTGTGCGAGGGGAGCGGTACGGGAAGGTATGGGCTGTAATAATGGGTATCGAGAGTGGATAGGGCTCACAATAATGCAGCAATCAACGAGGACGGAGGAAACAACAGAATGAGATAGATGCAGAAAGGACCCCTGAGCACGTAAGCCCTTGGTATTTCTGACTTGGTGCTCATCCCATTAATTGTGCAACTGCTTCCGGGCACTGTAGAAGACAAGGAAAGGAGTGTCGAGAGCTGTCAAAGAACCCTAGACCAACCGAGAATAATAATTGCAAACAGTCCACCCGCTAAGTAGCAATGGAACGACGATGTTGATGCCATTACTGCCTGATCCCGTGACATGTATGCCTGAGAAAATTCCTCGCTTATGACTAGCGCCATTTGCGTTCCCCACTGCAGGCTATAAAAGCCTGCTCTCCCCCGTTCCCCTTCCGAAATTTTTCAAGCGACTCTACGTACGTTCTACCCTCCCCTAACATTCCCTTCCCTTCCCTTTCCCTCAAGAAAGGGAAGTGATGCATCTTTGGGATCAAAACTAACAATTCTCTACAGTTCAAAGAATCACTTTAGAGTAGACGTCCCACCTCTGAGCTCTTTAAAAGAGCCACAGATTCTCCACCCTTGCTGATGACTGCCATGTCCTCAATACCCTAAAGTGAAGCCGTTTTTACTCTCGCCAAGATACGACCTGTGATAATCCTTCGGGGTAGTCGGGTTCGAATCAGAGAGTGGTGATGATCTTTACCTTGTCTTAACGTCTTGACTTCGGTCGGTTAGACTTGGTGGGTGTTGAGGAGGTCTGAAAGGTCCTTTCCCCCTTTTATTGTTAAATATCTCGTTTCGACTCGCCACTGTTTACACTTTTATGTCGGGTGTTAGAATGGCTTTATGTCGTGCGGATTATCTAGTTAATAGAACTGATTTCTCTGAGAACCTCAATTTCAAGTCTTCAATGTAAAATGTACAAATCTCATGCCCAAACGAGCTTTTTGATATCGTAGAACAAATGTTCTAGATATCCTGTCCGTTTCTTCGCGTCTTCCAATGGGATAATGTCGGTCTTTTCAACCATGGAGAGCTTCCCAACTTCTGGTCCCCTATGCGCAGAGACAACCTTGGACGTCGCACGTTCGATTTCTTCGCATATCGACCGTACAAAGTCGAGCTCGCTTATATTGCCCGGAACACTTCCACTCCTGTTCCCATTTTTGATTGTCGCCGAGTTGCAAAGCGGGAGAGCCTTGAACGCGACGAAGGATGGAGAATTTTTCTTCGCCTCTGCAGCGCTTTTGAACCAGGAGTAAATGTCCCACTCATTAGCCGGTGAGGATCGACTGGCAGTGTCATCTAGCGCTTTCAGGTTCACATTGCTCTGCAGTGACCGCGTGTTGACTCGGAGCGAATTTTCGTCACCATTACCATGCACAATGACCAGGCCTACATTGGTCTTCTCGTCCATCTGAGCCTCCGTTAAGATGGACGTAATGTACGTCCCGTAATTGATGCGGGTGATGGAGCGGAGATCGATCCGTTCAAACGAGAGCACCTTGTCCGTGTTCCAATCAAACCGGCACGTGTATACGGCAGCATCGGTTAAGAGAAGGACAGATTCTTCCATCGGGAGACTGCGAAGGGTATTTGGCTGACGCGGTGTCAGCATGGTCCAGCCGCCTAGAAACTCTTCGGATTGTTCGCTGATAACAATCTGGCAACTGGTGTCGATGGCGTTTTGGCGTAGCCTGTCAACGGAAATTCCTGGATCCACGGACTGCATCTCCAGTTCGAATTCCTTGAAGACCTGCGTGGATACATTCCCAAGCAGATAATCGATGCAAGCTTGGGAGAAGTAGTCATTAATCGCATTGTTGAAATATCGAGATAGCGTAAGACCAAGGTCATGGAGTGCGCCTCGGTAGTCTCGCTTTCTAGTGCGTGTATAGTCGCCTTTCAGGGCAGCCGTCGACGAGTACTGCTTGGAAATGGCGTCTCCGCTGTCTGCCCAAAGTACATTGAACCACTGGGTCGAGATGTCGTTATGCAGGTCGATATCGATGCCCTCGCGCCTGAGTTCCTGTTCCAAGGCCCATTGACCGAAAGCACATTGAGCAACTCCAGTACGGTCCAGGCAGTCCATGCAGTTAGTGCGCACAATTCCTGCCTGCTTCCTGACGATGTTATTGCCATGTATGACAGTATCGCTATAATCTTCCAGGGTCTTTCTCAGAGCATCTACCAGTCGCTTAACATTCTCGAATTTCATCCCACGACACTCCTCGTGGAAATCGAACCATTCCAAACCGAGGGGGCTGCCGTTTATCCCTCCAGAGGCGTTCAGTTCCTGCGCGTATTTATCGTATTGTTGCCCTAGATCAAGCTCCCCTCCGTGCTTGTCAATGAGAGAAACGGCCTGGACTTTTCCATACCGCCTTCCCAACTCTCGAAAATGCTTGCCGAAAGCCAGTTGGTTCGTTTCAGCCGAATGATGAAGCACAGGCACGGGTTTGAAGGCATATGGTGATTGAGAGAAATACAGAGGAATCGAGCCGCGTATCTGAAGGAATGAATGGATGTTCTGTGCAGGATTCCAATCCGGGGCCGATAGGATTTGCTCCGTCTCGACCGTGTTGGCCGTGTTGCCATTATCGTCAACACCGCGTCGCAGATATCGCAGACCGGGCCGTTTGATAGATCGTCGGGAGATCAATGTTAGCAGGAAGTTGCGCTTGCGAGGACCGGAATCATCCGCTTCTGCATCGCTCCCTTCCTTGCTCAAACTAAGAGCTTTAAGTTGCCCCTCGACGTGCCCATCTGCTTCTGCGGATCCCAAACTAACAGCAAATTCTTTTTGACCAACGAACCCCTGCATCAATGGCAAGACGAAGTTGTGGGCACCATATTCTATGAAAGGGTTCATCAGATGTCTATTCCAAAAATACTGCAGTGAAGAGGGTCAGTGCCGCTGCCGCAGTCGGAACAAACAAATAGAACAAGAAACATTAGCATACCAGTGGATCTACGACTTTGTAGAGAGGCACAGTGGACTTTTGTGACTCCAGAACTCCAATTGGACGTGTGATGTCATAATCATAGGCAAAGAAGAAATTATGGGACGCAAAAATCAGTTTCGTATACCGCAGAAGTTTCGGTAACAGTTCCACCGTCTCTTCAATCGACGTTGATCCTTCGGCGGCCTTTCCATCTTGAAGCGATGGGTGGTCTTGCACATCTGGTATAGAAGCCGGCGTGTTTTGCCCCTCTGCATTAGAAACGCCTGGGAGAATCTGAGTTGCCGTTTGCATTGGAGGTGTTGCCGCCTTCTTATTATCGGCAATATGGTCGGTGTCTTGGGCACCTACGGCATTGAGACCCGACAGTCCCAGGGCCTTCTTTGACAGCCAGCTAGCAGCGAACTTGCCGAAGCGGACCCTCTTACCAATCACTTCCTCAGCAATACTGCCAACACTGGAACCCCTTGAGTGAGATATCCCTGTTGGTGGCAAGTCTTCCGCATTGCTGATATCGGTGTCGGACTCGCAGGGGTCACTGCCATCTGAGATTTCCTCGTAGTCCTCCGTTGTTTCCCCTGGCCCACTCTCGTCCTGCAACAGGCTAGCTTTGGTTTGAGAAATCGCACGCATCGCGTCTGCTTGTGAGGAGGTCGGGATGAGAGCAACGTTGGTCACAGCGTAAATCGGTCTCCCGTAGACCTGCGCGACCTGCTGGCGCTGAGTGATGGGTATGAGGAACGAGCATGACGCAACAGACAGCAGTCCTGTTTTTTGTGTAGAAAGGTGGGAAAACTTAGCAATTGATCGGTAGGTTTGTCTCGTATAAATCTCGATCATAAGGCTTACCGACAATCCCAAACGCCTCCAACTCCACTGCATCTCCCTTCTCGACAGCAGAAGCGGGAAGCAGACCCGAGGAGATCTTGTTCGTCTTATAGTCGATGCGAATAAATGGCGATGACTCGCCGTTCCCGCCATTATACTGACGCTGTCCGTTCCCGTGGACTTGGAGGATTAGTCCGTCAACAGCGGCGAAAATGATCAGCTTTCGCACCAGGCCGGCGGGCATGGTGTGTGTATGTGTGCGCGCGTATGCAACCAGGCGATCGATCGGTCAGTCTATGATGAACTCGTGCAACGGTGCGGTAAGATTGATAAAAGAAAGTATCTACCGATAGCCATGATGGAAGAGCATTTCAGATCACAATTGAGAGATTCTGATGGCTGTGGAGAGCGGAGAATGGGTCTAAATCGGAGATGAAATGGTCTCGGGCGGACACGATCATACTACATCATCGCCTCGCACCCGCGCCGGTCGAAAACCCCACATTTCCCGTGTACATTGCTACGTTCACTGTTCAGTGCTGGTCATATGGACATGGACAAGCAGGGGATCCTACGAGGCAGTGAAGCTACAGCTGTTATACAGCTGTGCTTAAGTTAATGGAAATTAGCTTTACGGTGCCTCAAGGTTATGACTCGGAGAGTACTCCGTATGTATTGGGCACTGGCATGGTAACTCGATTAATATATTGTCTTTGCCTCCTCTTTTCCTTCCTTCTTCTTGTTGTTGTTCTGATTATTTGAGATAGGCGAGATATTTATCTGGCGTGTCGGACATCGTTGTTGGTTGTGTGGCCCTGGCCGATTTCCTAGTTGGGAAACAAGTCTTCGAACTTCCCAGACCACCGAGTCTAAGATCCAATCAGTAGGAGCACTGACTTCTCTAAGTCCCATGCGGGAACCTGAAAAGTCATAGATTTGTGGAGAGAGATCTTGGCAGAATCACTCCTCGCTTTGCACTACCGGCCTCAAAGCTCACGAAGCAGCTACGATGAAGAACATTCTTTCTATTTCACGTTAATCGCCGGTATATATACAAGCCCACAGCCTAATCAATCGAGAACCCCAACGGACACCGTCAGAAATCAGCCAGCCAGAAGGCATACCATCCTGTTCAACCAAACCAAGCCCAAGTCATATCCAATCGTGCATGGGCATCTCTCATTCCCAACTTGCCCTGGTATTTTGAACTTGAAAAGAGAATAAAAGTACATGGGAGATGCGTTTCCAGAAAGACAGGGGGAAATTTCAAACCAAAAACGAAAATAAACGAAGAAAGAAAGGGAGAAAGAATAAAGAAAAATCATACCTATGACATTTTCCATGAGTCCAAAAGGAAACGAGAAAAGAAAACCAAGCAGATAAGATAAAGAAAGAAATATGCCAATGTCATGCTAATCGTCACGTTTGACACGGCGGGAGCCGCGCTCTAATTCCTCACTACGCTTCAGGGTAGGACCAGGCCCTCCATCAACGTCTTCTGGCAAATCTGCCAACCCGACGCTTCCATTCTCCGCGTCGTAAGAATGGATCAAGGCCTCACGGTCACTTGGTGAGGCGAAGAAAGCAGATGAGGTACTTCGGCGATGGGGGTCATAGCTTCTTCGGGATTGCATAGATCGTCGGGTCTGGTAGCCCGTGATACCATCTGTAGGTATTCCATCATCGTCCATCTTGGTGCTAAGTAGTGTCCGTCCATCCGGATCGGCTCGAGAAAGGTTCAGGAGATACACGCCGGAAAAGGTGATGAGAAATCCACATAATAGGGAAATGATATTCACGGCATCCGTGGTATTAAAGCCCCCGAACAAGATAAACGAGGCGCATAGAGTAGCGGTGGTGAAAGTGACATAGTAGAGTGGATTGACACTGATGGGCATGTTAGTTCAGGTGTAGACTTTCTCCCCAGTAATTTTTTGGTTCAACTTACATTGACGTAGAGAACTGGTTCAGAGCCTTGTTTAAATAGTTCATCTGAGTAAGAATGCAGAAACCTGTCACAATCGCAAAGACATATGTTGACGCTTGGGTGAACTGATTATTGCCCTGGAAGGTGAGTTTGAACGCAATGCCGAATGCCTTGACGGACATAACGGAAACAGAGCCGACTGTGGAGCAAATCGAGACGTAGACAAGAGGATTCTTCTTGCCGTAGACTGGCGAAACCCGGTAAATCATCACCGTTGAAAATATCGCTACGGCTAGGCAATAGAGGAGAAAGCCTAGGTTACCAGTCAGCGCCCACCCAGTGGCCACTCGCTATTATCTGATGGCGAATCATACCTGGCTCCAGAGCGTACTGAAGAATCTCATTTATTGTCTTCACATCTTTGTCTGGAGGTGCATGAAGGACAATTACAACAGACCCAAGGAGACACGTGGCACAGCCCAGCTTTCCCAACGTACCCAATCTCTCATGGAGGAAATAGGAGCCAAGGACAGCACTGTGGAATCAACAAATGCAAAGGTTGAGAGACGCGAACAGAAGCCTCACTCACCCTATCAAGACGCTAAGCGCACCCAAGGGAGTGACAAGGATAGCCGGCGCAAACGCATACGCTGCGAAATTGCAAATTTCGCCGAGGCCCACTACAAATTTCGATCAGCTTCTTCCATCGCGCAGGCGACCGAAAGGGTCAGGATTCCAGTACATGTTACGACACCTCCCCACCATATCGGACTCTTCAGATAGGAGAACCCTTCACCCTCGAAACCATGTCTTTCAGAGGCCTGCATCAATCCCTATATTATGCAATCGATCAGTCTCCGTTGGTCGACCTTCCCACGCACCATGCCGGAATTCCTGGAGCAGAAGACGAACCTTCTTTGTGATGACGAAACTGGTACCTGTACGAGGATTATGGTCAGCGTTCGGCGATGTTCTGATGGGATTGAGGAGGCTGTTAGTGGCAGAGGGGACGTCCGACGTACCTATAGCCAATGTCGAGAGCATGGCTAAAAGTAGCCCTATGTATCTGGAAGCGGGAGCACACCAAGTCAGCACACTATCCTAACCGCACACCCGCGGAACCGGGAAGGGTCCTCGAGAACTTGGGGAACAAAGCAAGACGCACTTCTCTGAAAGCATTATGACGATTGCAGGAGCCGATTGCCCCTATCGCAGCCAAGAAGTATGTAAAAAAGAAAAAGAAAAAGAAAAAAAAAATAAAAAGGACGGGTTGGTAAACTTGGTGTCTTAACCAAGCGACATGGAAACCGGAAGGAACACGTCGCAGAGACTAGCGACTCTGTATTTCTGTATCCTCTATAAGTGTATAAGTTTCTGAAACCCCCTTCTTTCTGTTTGTAGTTGGGTATTCTGGTTTCCTTCGAAGGTCGAGGCCAGCGACCGTGTCGGAAGTGATGGAATGAGGGCCTTGAAGGCTGGTGGTCTGGGAGGTGTGGTCTTTGTCGGAAGCGCAACGACGTAAGCAAAAGGAGTGACTGCGGCGGAAAACAGGTAGTAGACAGCGGTAAGGAATCAGGTTACGCGCCGCGACAAGTATCTGCCAAATATCCTTCTTTTAATAGATAGGTATATTTATAAATATTTCTTGTTCTTTTTGAACCTGCCAGGGAGGAGTCAAAATTTAAAACTCAAAGACACCAAGAATAATGCGATACTGTGTCGAGACCGGAAATATAACCGGCAGCACTGGGTAAGGAGAACGGACGCCCTTCACGCTCTCTAAGAATAACTGACGATCGCCAAATCAAAACCGCGATTACGCATCGCGGACCCGCTCTGAAATTATTCTTGAGTCTTAACCAGGACAGGAACAGGGTTCAGGAGGAGGGCCCAGCAAATAGAGACTCCGACGGCGCTGGTGGCTGCGATCGTCGTTTCAGCGACTCTCACGTGTGTTGCCGCAGGATCCTGCCGAGGGCTGGGCCTTATGCTAGACACGAAGTACGGAGGATGTTGGAAAGTAACAGTATCTACGACTCTACGGAGTATCGATAATAATAAAGAGGTGCCCACATCATATATTACTAGCAGACGCTTGTTGCCACATCTCCCACCTCGACGGCAGCGCTGTCTCACGTCCTCAGTAACCGGAACAGAAGTCCGATGCCTGCAAAACTTGTACAGATGGAGACGGCCTAGAACATACAAATATTATCTCACAGGCGCAATAATAGCACGCTTTTCCCAATATCCCCTTCGACAATAGACGGTAACGGCACCGCCTTGAATGCTATCCGAAATGCAGTGTACAGTATCGAGGGACGAAGATAGCCACAACGGACGCCAGTGATTTATCATACAGAACTCAGACAAGGTATCTCATGTACTGAAAGAAAAACAACAAAATACAAACAGGGGAAAAAGCAGGTAGGGAAGAAGAAGAGAACAGACCGTGCACAAACCTGGACACATGTAGATTGCTTCGATCACATGTGGCGTCGACGATACACCCCATAAACGGGGCATTTAGAAGGACAAGGGTTTTAATTTCACGTACCTTTCTTTTCTGGAGACAAATAATGCATAGATGCTCTTGCATCTTTCTCTGAATAACTCGACTGTGGTCGCTAGAACCGTGTTCGTGCTGTTAGTACAGGCGTTTCTGTTGATTGGAAACGCCACCATTGTCAAAATCAACACCCTACTGAGGGGCCGATCGAATGGTAGAAAAAAAGATACTAGGTATTCCCTGTCCAAGGCGAACCTTCAGATCAAGGGAAGGGTAGGAGGGAGAAAAGGGAAAAATCATGAGGAACGGGGTCGCTTAAGATCGGGGGTGGGCATCTCAGCCATCTCAAACTCCTCGTCAAGTTCGCGAGAACGTTTCGCGGAAACGCTTTCATCTCGACTAGGTGACTGGGGGATTGGCGGCTCCGCATCACCACCATAATCAGGTTCGGCGATCCCGAGGTCGATGTAATCACTATCATCATCGTTACCAAGAGCCAAACCATGATGCTCTTCTATTGTGGCATCGACTTGTGACTTGTGGTCAAATTCTTCGCGGATCTCTCCATCTTCGGGATTATCACCACCTTGCGATATGCGGTCTACCTCCTTGAGGATCTCTTCATTCTCAGGATGGGTACCCGCCGCCGAAGGGGCATTAACCTCGAAGGTTTCTCCGTCCTTGCTTTGATCGTCCGCAGATAAAGAATGGCCAGTCTCTTCATGGACTTCTCCATCCTCGAAGTGATCAGACTGTCCATCCATTTCTTTAGTACCCACAGTGCTCAGAGGATTTGGATCTTTCACAGGGGTCTTGAGCAAGTCATCGCCAATATCGAGCAGACCATCAGTTGGCTCTGGTGTCTCCCGTGGTAGATTCTGGGAAGCGATGTCGGAAGTCGAGTCAGCGTTGGCATGTGTGCCATGGTTAATGCCAGGTTCTCGGGCTTCCTCGTCATTTTCTTCGTCCGCCATAGCACTTGAGACAATAGTAAATTCGGATTCACCGGTGCGCTCCTGTTCGTCATATTCCGAGGGGATATGTTGTTGATAGGTGTCGGCGGCTAGTTCGGTTTCATCAGGCACAGCATTTGCGCATTCATCATCAGACACTCCAGCGTAGTCAGAGTGTTCCGGAATCTCTTCATTAGTTACCTCTTCGGGGTTTCTTACATCACCGGTATATTCGACTTCATCAGTATGATCATGCACCACTTTGTCATCACCAGTAGCGCTTTCTGTGAATTCCTCCTGGGGTTGGAGGGTTGTTGAATGAGAAGCAGGCAAGTTAGAAAGTGTGGCTGTAGACTCGGTTTTCTGCGCCTCCGAGTCATACGATCCTTCGTCAGGAACGTCATCATGCTCTTCATGTACAGAATGAGGATGGCTACCAGGCTGATCTGTATGAGTGACACTTTCATGTTCCTCACGTGTTTCGTACTCTTCAAGGCCATCATGGTCTTCATCTTCAATATTTATCTCAACAGCCTCTTCATCGTGGACGTCAGAAGAGACGGCAGGATCGGGTTGCGGCTGCGCCTCCCCATCGTGCACTTCATTAGAGTCTTGCGTATGGTGAGCAGATCCCACATCTGGGACTTTTTCGTTCAAATCCTGATCCTGGCGGTCATCCTCCTTAACGATATCATTCTGAGGGCGATCTTCGTGATATTGCTCCTGGTCCTCTTTGGGAACTTCTGCTGGTGCAGGCTTTTCCTCCTCATAGTCATCCCAAGGGAATAATTCAGAAAGCCCTTTGCCCTCATTTGCAGCTGTTACCAGATTTGATATTTCAGTGGGGAGAGTCAGTCTTGCGCTCAGGGTCAGATACAAGGGCTCCGGTACATCGGACCCATCATTACGGGAAAGCTGCAGATACAGATCGACTATCTGGTGCAAGGTCACCTTCGATATATCCACGGAGTCCTGGAAATTTGAAGTCAGCATAGATCTTCAAATGTAAAAAAGAAGAGGCTCACCTCCAGTAGTTGGATATTCAAAGAATCAATATCCGCCACCAAGATCTCGTGTTCTCCAAGGTGTTCTCCAAGCACCTCGCGACAAGCTCCAAAAAGCTTCCCGAAATCTTCATAAGCAAGGCCCTCATCTTCAAGGAAGAAAGTTTCTGAGTAGTCACCTTCCCGAGGAGGGAATAAGGAAATTTCATTGTCCTGGTACAAAACCTTAACTGGGTGCAGAGCAGTATGTGGAGTGGAATGGGCTTCCCGCTCATCTGATTCATGGAGACCCGCGGCTTCCGTTGGCTCTGTCTCCTCAACCCGAGCAGCCTCGTCAACAAGAGATTCCTGCTCAGTGGCTTTCTGGCCCTCGTTTTCATGCTGCTTCAAATGTGCCTCTTGGCCAGCATTGACAGCATGTTCTTCTTGGGAATCCACTGTCGTTTCTGCTTTGTTAGTGTGGTCATGGAACTCCTGTTCCTGTCTCTGTTCCTGCTCGTGCTGGCCCTGGTGCTCAGCAGGCACCTCAGAATCGTCTCCAGTATCATTGTGGCCGAGCTGCGGTGTAGTCAAACAGGGTTCGTTAACGGCATTTTCATCTATCTGATCTTGGTCTCTCCGTTCCTCAAGATTGGATTCGGTTACATGCTCTTCAGGTTCACCTTCGATGGCTTCTACTTTCTCTGTGAGGTGCGTATCTTCAACATCCTCGTTATGTGCTTCCTCGGTATTCGGAGGCATTTCTTCTTCGTAGCCCGTAAAGGGAGCATCGATGTCTTCATCGTATTCGTCTGCCATTTCCGCCTCTAACGACTCTTCAATTTTGTACTCCACGTGGGTCGCGTTATTCGTCGCGGGGGGCTGGCCATATGCGTCGACCATGGATGGCTCTGCAGTGTCATCTGCCATATCTGCATCGTCCATAGGCCCCGGGATATCCTCATTAAGAACCTCTGGGTATGCATCTGCTACCATCATATCGTCGTCCATATTCGAGGCTCCATCTTCCATAGCGTCCAGGTCAATGTCGAAATCATCGTGGCCCTGGTATGGAGAACCTAGTTCCATCGTATCATCAAGAAGCTGGGTCTCCATGGTTGAAAAGGGCACTGACGATGTAGCGGTCATGGTAGAAATGGGAACGAATAAGGGAGAATGGTTCGGGTACGCATAAAAAAATGTGAAGGTGGCGTCACGGCCTTAAGGCTAGCCGAGAGCAATGAAGCTACAGGCGTCGAGGGGGGCTAAAAGAAAGGAAAAACGTATAAGGAGGAGGTAAGTGAGATAAGAATCAAGCCAACCTGGCAGCAGACGGCATCATTCTAAAGATCTAAAGGACAAGGGATAAAAAAGGAACACTTCGGAGAGAGTGGTTGGACCAAGTCGGGTAGGCGTTGTCTTTTGGGGCCTACAAATAACCCAGTTAACTAACCTGACTCTCGTGCTCAGTAAGCGAGGGAAGGGCCGGGCACGTGCCCTGTATGTCCCATACCGCCTACTTATATAGGCTAGATTATATTGCCATGAATGGTCTAGCGTATCATGATTACGCGTGACGATTGGGCCAGGAGGTTCGAAGAGAACAGCGAAACGGGGAAGTAATATCTGGCTCGAAGACAGGAGACCGTCGCATACGCACCCGCTATTCCCTCCGCAGCGAGTACCAGTTGAATACTTGAGCGAACTGCGCATAAGATCATGGTATGCTCCTGTGCCTCCCCCCTTCCGACGCTCCCTGAGAATGTTCACGTTGACGGTTCTGCAAACACCTAGGTTGTTCTCGCTGCTTCAATATGCACCCGCGGGGGTAAGACGGTGCTTTCGCGCCAATTCAAAGAGGTTCCACGATCAAGGATCGAAGCGTTGCTTGCATCCTTCCCTAAACTCGCCGATTCGGGTACGCAACACACCACCGTCGAACAGGACAACGTTCGCTTTGTATACCAGCCGCTGGACGAGCTGTACATTGTGCTCATCACAAACCGACAATCCAACATCCTACAAGATATCGACAGTCTCCACCTCTTCGCACAAGTGACAACTAGCATCTGCAGGAGTCTCGATGAGCAGGAGATTCTACGCAATGCCTTCGAACTACTCAGTGCGTACGACGAACTGGTGACGCTTGGGTACAGGGAGAACTTGACCCTTTCCCAGATAAAGACATTCTTGGAAATGGACAGTCATGAAGAAAGGATCCAGGAGATCATTGAAAGGGTATCATACACCTTTGACACGGGATCTTCGACGACGACTGTACGGCTAACTTGGGTGCGCAGAACAAAGAACTCGAGGTCAGCGAAGAACGCAAAAGGAAAGCGAAGCAACTGGAGATGCAACGGAAGGAGGTTGCTCGTCGTAACAAGATGGCTCCGAGACCACCATCCTATCCTGTCTACACGCCCCCTGCGCGTCCCACGATGCCCGAGACAGATACTTACGAGGCAGAGAGGTCGAAACCCATTACTAAGTATGTGTTCCTGTTTAGATACACCTTATCTTGCCTTTACTAACGCTGTCGATTATAGACAATTTCCCGTCCGCGGGAAGGGAATGCAGCTCGGAAAGAAGTCCAAGGCCACGGATATCTACGAGAAAGTTCGCGGAGATGTTGAGTAATGGCTCCTATGAGGAACGAGGTACTGGAGAGACGTGTTATCTAACTGGAGCGAAAAGGCTTGAAATTGGTAGAATATGTAATAACATGCTTGCTATTCTTAAATTTGTTGAGACAGTGCTCAAAATGAAATAACCTAACGACATGTCCTTTTGTGTCCATCTTTGCCTCGCCGAATATACTGATGCATTCTGCTCTAGTGAAGAGGTCCGAACAGCATGATGAGGGCTGAATTCGAACGAATATCCCCATATTTGCTCCTTAAACATCCTAGGTCAAAAGCCGATGCCAGACAGACGGCAGTTCACTGTCCAACTTTCGAGTCTAATCCATGGTCCATGGTGTCTCCTGCGGAGTATATAGAGCGTTTTCTATACCAGTGGACGGAGAAGTGAGTATAAACCTGTCTACCAGGTAATAGATACAAGGAAGGCATATGCCCCCCATTCAGTTCAGACACTAAATCCAAACAGAACACCACAGCCCAGGCATGAATGTGCTAGGTATTCCATGAAGTAGCGCTTCGCTGTACACATGCATTCTGCATCGGTTCAGATGAAGTTGGGAGTTCGTCCATTTCAGAGACCTCAAGAGACTATTAATCAAGCCGAAACTAAGCCCTCCCCAAGCTCTGCCCTCCGCCGACCAAGATAAAGCTGTTTAAGAAAACAAATTTCTCGTATTATATAATGGTAACTATCCATCATCATCAAGCCATTATTTCACGATGACCTCTTCTGCTTAGATTGGCTTAGGTCGTTGTGTAGTGTGAAGAAGGAGAACCCTAGCCATTACACGGGGCGTGCCCCCGTTTTTAAACACTCACTTGTCGTCAACGCTGCTGACATTTGTCTCTAGGTCCTGTTGAGGGTTTCTTCAAGATAGTCAGAAACATGTACGCTTGCCATCCGGGGATTGGTCTAAGAGGATAGCATAGCAGTAGGTAGGTGGTACTTACTCTTTCTTACGACGGTCCCAGAGCCCACTCAGATCCCCTACAGGAATGCGTATGGGTAAAGCGACGGAATCGAAGAGTTGCGCAATCAACATATAGAACCCAAGTATGCTTGCGATGAAAAGAAAAGCTCCCGCGCCCTGGAAAGTTCAAAAACAGGTCAGACTTTTGTTGTCTATTGGTAGCAGGTACAGAAGCGGGAGGACTTACAACAACCAACCGGTTCCCGACAAGAGAATCTGCAACCGCCAGTCTCCAGTAAGCTCCGGTCAGTAACAGAAAGACCATGGTGAGGGCTGCGAATATGAGGACAAAGACAGCGTTCGTGCGAGTGGCACATATCAAGAAAATGATCATCAGTATAGCCATTGACAGGTAGAAGAAAGCTGTTGTCATCAGTTAGTTGTGATTGAAAATCGTTGCGTGATTTTGAAGTCTCGTACCATAAGTGTCCAGGAACTCTGGGCTACTAAGCCCTTGCAATGTGTTGGTTGTAGACGACGAGTATGGAGCTATTCGTAGTTGGGTTGTCAGTTTCTTTGATACTACCACTTTGAAGCAAAACAACCCATGAGACAAACCTGCAGCGTTAAATGCCGGGGTCATTGTTGTAGCGAAGGCGAACCAGAATGCACCTGGCAAGACCCAGAGTCAGTGCAAAATGCCAACTTCGCCTTCAGAGGGGTCAGAGGCATACCTATGGTGCCGAATACAACACATGGGAAGGTGTTCCCCAGAATAAACTCGAGAATGCTGGTGATAACCAACAAGCCTCCTCCAAGAAAGACGATAGTACCACTATTTGTTTTGTGTCAGTTCTGGGAATATCGCGGATGTCCAGCGTTGGCCTCTTACGTGAACGCAATGCCATTCCCCCCGGCTCCCCTCCAACCCATTAAGCAACACGAAAGTGGGGTTGTTGTGATGACGAACCCGCCCAATGCCCTAGGATAATCGGTCACAATGAGATCGTATTGGGGTTATGATGAATATATGCCAGGTGCGTACAGTGGAGTTGGATTGCCTAGTTGCTTGGCGTACTGTGGCTGACGGTGTAGCAATGGGCTCAGGTAGAGCCTCTCGAATTGCTCGCTAGAGAGCGTGATCGAAGTAGGAATCGTACTCAGCCTAGGCATGTTTGGGAGCGACTCATGGTGTGTATTAGTCGTCTTGATATTGTTGATGCTATTTTCATCCATTTTGTCGCTGATGGATCGATGCTGTGAAAAGGATTGAAAAGGAGCTCTACCTGCAGACAGAGAGAGATGGGCTGACCCCCGCGAGTAAAGGTTGCACCTCCAAGTCTGTGGTAGTTATATAGGATGATCTATCCCCCTATTCCATCTCATCCAGACACTGCAGACTCAATACAGACATGAATGACGCCAAGAACCTACCTATCCATATGCGGGGGAATCCACCAGAATGCGGACCCGCGTCCAGGTATGAGATCCGCAAAGCTTAATTCCCCATAGAGTGCGGTTCAATCCGCTCATCCAAAGGAGAGACGTGGTCAGCAATATGATGGTCTCATTTCCCTGGCTGCCGCACAGGATCATCCTCCGGGGCTGGGGTTATTCGGGGTGTTTCCCCGGAACGGCATGCCCCAGATTCCATCCTCCTCAACTCGGGGAGGCGGTCGGGCAAGCGGGGGAATGCTTTCTCAATGGAGCTTCTAACACTAATTAGGAATGTATATCATATGCGGGGGCTCTTAGCGCCTGATGAACCCAATAATGAAGCTTGTGCTGTGTTGTGGGGGAAGCGGCAGCTCAAAATCCTGGTTCTCGAGTGGCCAAAGAGCCGTCACTGGGGTTACTACGCATCATCCACATTTTGTCATGATCGAGGCCATACCTCTCTGAGTGTTCGAGATTCATGCTTCCCAATTATTCCAAGAATAATAAGAGCAGGCACAGAATTGCCTCAGAGATCCCGGGAACGTCGGAACGGACTCCCTGCATTCTAGGAGCTAGCTTGTGAGTGACATTATATTGATATCCCAGGCCAATGATATCTGGATCCATTGGTGAGTGCTAGCTGATAGTCTTGAGGGCTGGATGCGATGATCTGTGGAGAAGCTTTGGGCTGTAGGACGCAGGAAAAGCTGGGGAGCGAATCTATGGAAAAACGATCTTGACTGGCTCACTTCCTATACGTGGCACATTTCCAATATAAATGTAATTGTGGGTATGTCTAATTTCTTCCTGGCCCCGTTGGAGCTTGCTGGCAGCAATACCAGGCATCTTTGGGCCTGAAAGCTGAAAAGTTTGGGAGACTGAGGATGGCACAAGTGCTGGCAATGGTCGATCATCAGCATAGTTAAACTTGTTTTAGTATAGTGTATAATTCGAGTTATCTACTTATTCACAGGGGAAAAGAATCACCGCCAAAGTTTGTAGGGCTTGCTTGATGCCTGTCCTGTAACACATAAATATGGCTTTCCTCAGCCTTCAAGTCCGTGTTTCCGACAGTAGACCAGGGGGGAAAGGAAACTTTGAGACAGAGGTATGGGGAAAAGACCATATAGCATCTATCTTACGAAACTACGCCGTCATTTACTCATTAGAGTGGAATTATGCCTTTAAAGTCTAGATACATGGGCTGACTAGACGGGAACGGACGTAGAGGTGATCAGTCGCCCCCAAGGCTGGCCAAGGAGCTGGCAGACGGTGCAAAGAATGTTCCACCCGTCAACGGTGTAGAGAAGTCGAGCAGGCGATCATGCTTCCCAGGGGGATCCCCAACAAACATGCGCTCCAGCATCTTCTCGATAACCCATAAGCGGCGTGTGTAGCCAATGAAATACGTTCCGAATTCGCCTGAGCTGGGGTTGCCAAAAGGCATGTTGTCCCTGAGGATCGAGTATTCGTTACCGTTCTCATCCTCGATGGTGTTGAGCGTCTTGTGCGACTGCTGGCCAGACTCTGCATCGGGCAACTCGACGTTATCCCACTTTGTACGACCGATTATCGCCTCTTGTTGCTCTGTGGGGAGAGACTTCCACGCGTTTAGATCGTGGACGTATTTCTGCACAACGATATAGCTGCCACCGACCGCCGATTCGTCCTCCTCCTCAATAACAATTGAGTTTGTTACAGCTGGACCGACCGGGTTCGCCGTACCGTCAACAAATCCAAGGAGATCTCGAACGTCGAAATAGCGGAAACCGACCGTCTGGTCGACAACGGACACGGAATCGCCCAAGAGGTCCATTAGTTGCCGTTCAAATTCGAAACACAAGTCTCGACGTTCCGACCGGATGTGGAAAAGGAGATCACCGGCCGTTGAGACAGCAGTGTGAACCGCGCCCTTTATCGTGGGGAACGGACGTAGTTCTGCCGGTCGAGGGAGGCCGGTAAGCTGGTCCCAGATATTGCTGCCGATTCCAACAGTACACGCGAATGAAGCATTCAGGTCGCGAATGGCGACATTCTTGGCGAGACCATCGACTGCTGCAAGCGTGGAGCGCACATTCTGCACCGCATCAGGATTGTTAGCAACCGACAAGACAAGAAAGGTTGCGGACTGCGTGAGCGGCGCGTCCACACGTTGCGACTCGATTGGCACGCGACGACTCATGCTCGCCTTCGCCGTCGGCTGGGCAGGATAACGCAGTTGACAGAGCGTAGGCCGCCGCTGAGATGGACGGGTCTTGACTGTTACAGTGTATCGTCTCGTATATGGGATGCTAATTCTAAGATGGAGCTGGCCACGAAGTCCCCGGGGGAAGGGTCTGGAAGCTTTATTGCTGCATACCCTACCCACGTTCATGTTGCATTTATCATGGTTGGATCTGGACCGTACCGGTGATTTAAAAGGTGAGTCTCTCAGGGTCAAGAATTATGGCCTCGCATCCGCAGTGACATCATCACCAGGCAGGTTGACCCAGTCAGCATGTTCTGCGAGCATATCAAACAGGATCTACAATGCAATGCAGCGTGCGAGTGGTTGACCGCTGTTAATCAACCTTCACCGAGGAGCGTGTCTTGATTACCAACCCTAACTATCGCGCGTTAATTGGCCTGTTACGGGTTAGTTCCATGGCTTCCAGCATACATGGATAGCGGCGTGCCACCCGCAGATAATACTGGATCAAGAAAGATCCAGGTCTTCCAGGGAAATTAAGTGAAAAAAGAGCATTGGATAACCTCGGAAATACTTCCCCTGTACTGCTTAATGGGAGCCCATCTCTGCCATCGGCTGCAAGCCGCTAGCTGTTAAAGAGACAGGTCCTTGAGCATTCAATCATTCTTGGAATGAGCGATCGGGAAGCCCTAACAGATATACCGCCGGACCGCTGAGCGCCGAGAAATAAACTGAGAAAAAGACAGGGGGCGTTCGGCCATTACGAGCATCGTACGGACTATTTTATGAGGGAACAATCGATATCTTCTTTCGCGGCCAACCTGATTCGAAAGGTAAACCGGACAACACCCGAACTATGAGACGAGTGACGCGTTATACATGGGAGGACTTGAAGGCTGGGAAGAGGCAATGAATGATGCATCATATCATGTTAATGAAACTCGTCCGCGGGACCACTCGGATCTGCGAGCCTGATATACATATCGACAATAGCCCGGGAGTGCATCGCGAACAAGGTGCTAATATCACTGGCCAGATTTTCTTTTTGATCGCTAGCTTTCCACAAGATCCTTGACGGTAAACCATACCCGAGAATGGTTTTGCGCTGGGCATGGCCCCGAAGATGTGTCTCCACGGCTCCAGAAATGCATGCTGCATCCCAGCAGCATGGCCAAAGATGGTCACGGCTGCCGAATAATATACTAGATTGGGAAGCTTTTTCACATCTCCCAGTCTGACGAGTTTCTGCTGGAAGTCTCTCCTGAAGTTTGTATCTTTTCCACTGATGCTGTAGTTTGGTCTTAGTTTGGTCTGGCTATCATACCCTTTCCAAATACTTTAACCCGGGCGAAAGATGAAAGCCGATGGTAGCTCGCCACAAGAATAAACAAGTGCAAAAGAGGGTTGGTACGTGAATGGGTCGGGACAAGGTTATCATGGAGAAACAATTGTGACACTAACCGGTCTTCCTCTTCAGTCTGCGTTAGGATTTACAACTAATAACGGTATACATGGCGCTGGTCTCGTTTAGTCTGTGGCTACCAGTTCCTTTTGGCGCCAGGACTCGGTACAGGTCAGATCGAGACAACTACAAAGTTCGCATACGGATTTCTTAGTAGGAGCTGGCTTTGCGGCGAGTATACCAGGGAAGCCCGCCTGGTCTTTCTGCGATCGTATGAATCGCCATCGTCACTTTGATGCTCTGTTGTGCTAGTTACTCCGGCTGGAAGACAACTTCAACGCATCTGTGCCCAATGGATGTTAGCCCAGTTGGCTCAATGCTGGACGATACCGGGCATTGGCCGTATGTCCAGCCTCTAAGTTGGAACTTGTGACCAGCTATCCAGGATACCAGTGAATAAAACATCGGTTTCTGCATCTCTTTGTGCGGCATGGGCTATCAGTCGTCAGCCGACTCCGATTATGGATATCTTGAATTCAGGCCCAGTTGAAGTCGCAGAATGGTTAGTCGCTAAAGGGTTCACCTTGCTCCATGATGCCCTGAATCATTGAACAAAGGGACTCGATTTTATCATTGCAGTCACTCCAGTTTAGTGGAGAAAGCCAAGAAGCTCGTGTAGATCATAAGAGAAGCTTCGGTGTGGTGGAGCTTCTATGGCATTTCCCGGGACTTTGGCAGATGTTGGTTGAGTATCACCGTTGAATGAATTTTCATATTCTTCTGCTCCATGACTATTCTAATAAAATAAACCACTGCATCCTTGCGGATCTCCATGCATCGTCTTACAATACGGAGCTTTTATTTTGACCAGAGATCTTCTTCCTTGGTTAGGTTGTCTCTGTATACTCTGTGGTGGTAGACCCGATATCGCCTAGCAAAATCACTCAACCGGCGTGTTTCATTAAGCGTATGTAGTGGATGGGTTAACTTCGCTTCAAAAGGTGGAGCCTGAGAGCCTTCATCTTTGGATATCCCACTCCCACCATGTCCCCATGAATAAAAATATAAAAAAAAGGATTTCTAGTACCGATGATGCCGGAACGGTCACAGACTAAATGCAGGATAGCGGAGTGGTACAACTAGCATCGATTTTTACTTTAGCCATACATGGCCCATGCCATGCATTGGACAGCATCTCATGATGTTATTACTATTATTCCAACAGGATCAAGCAAGTGTTTTGCGCTGCATTTCGATATCATTATCGTTCCAGAATCCAGACCTCGTTGAGCGAGCCTCGCTTCATGCTGGAATAATATTGGGACCTCGGAGGTGATTGCCTAGGCCAGTGATTAATCTCCACTGTAATAATAGCGCACCGCCACAGTGACTGGACATCCAATGTCGCTTGCAAACCCTCTAGTGAGGAGATGACGCATGGGGGAAACATTACTGGTTGCTGCTGCCTCCATGGGACACATATCATTAACAATTTAACACTGTAACAGCTAATGGTATATGGTGGAAAGTAGCCTGTACCACTAAGCTTTATGTGGCGAGAAAACTAAGGGATCATATCATATGGCACGTTATGAAAGAATCGGGTCCCTGAGATGCGATATGATGCTATAACGGTTTCCACGCCGAAAAACAAAGTTGAAGACTATGAAACTATGATAGATTATCGAAACCTTGCAGAATCATCCACAGGTGGCACAGATAGATCTTCCGACAGTCCGAGGTAAAACCTAAGGCGTCTGCTTTCCCCACAATTCTTGGGTATGCCCACGTTGCAATCTTGATAGGCCCTGGTCCTCGGCGGATAGTGCGCCAAACAGGACGAATTATTAGATATCTAGCAGGCATGAGGAACATGCAGCTACCAAACTTACCTCTGTTCCTAGAAGACAATCATGCTCCGATAGTTCAGATCACAGGGCGGCTAGGAGCTGAGGAGCTGAGGAGCTGGAGAGCTGAATGGACAACCCTCATGCGTGAGAGACATACAGCGCAAGAGGCAGGGGGATTGTTCCAGGGATTTCAAATTAGGTTTGGGGGGTCGAGTGCCATTCACACGTGACCAGCTAGGCGGATTCCGCCAATTCTGCTGGGTTCGTCTGTGCCCAACCACTTTAAGCGAGCCGCAAGACGACTCTGCAGACGCAATTATTATTATTATGGCTTGGGAGGTGTCCACTGCAAGCTCTAATGGGTTTGACTGATCAGAGCCTTGTTACTTGTCAGCAGGTAAGTTAGGGAGCTTGACGCGGCAGGCAACAAGCTGTATCATGTCTAATTACTAGCTCAGGGAGACAGGGGCTTATCCAGGTCCATGGGACGCATTACTGTTCCGCCAGTGCGGAAGAATAATAACATGCACCATTGCACCCATAAACCAATAGTCCATGCAGGACACTTGCATATATTTATGGAAAATTAACTTTCCCGAGTCAGCCGGACCTGGTCCTGAGCATTCCACAGCGGTGACTATGGGGCTATGGAGTTCGTTCTGGCCATTGTCTACACCGCAGGCCAACCTAAAATGGCTGGTTCTGCCCGCCAGCATTGTCTTGGCTTCGGGGAAGCAGATATTGGCCTCCTCCTTGACATGTTCTCGCTTGGGAATCGGAGATTCCGTAAATCCCGGTACCGTTCAGCACGGCTGCCTGCAGCGACAGATGATGGGCGAGGATGGTTGGACCCTCTGCAATAATGAAGGAAATAGCTAATTTCTATAATTACGGTTTCAACTACTATGCAATCCAGGCTTCCGTGGTCATCAAAGTAGGAAATGAGCCTGTCTCTTGAAAACTCAAGAGAGATTATGTCCGGATTGGTCATGTACGGCATAATCATTGCATGCTGATATGGTTTTCTGCTGTTCTGTTCCCCACAACTACAGTGACGCGCCAAGAGAATTATTGCCTTTGGCCACGGAGTGGCCTTGTCCGTTGGCAGCTTCCATGACAGCCTCAGAAGCACTGATCCCTTCGCAGCTCTTGCTGCAATGATCGGATCAGAAGTCAGAACTTGAAACTAGGTGGATACAGTTCATGTACATGGTCAGGATCGTGCCATCAGCCACCAATTTCCTTTCTACTGATTTCTTTTGAGACATCAAGGTGGGTCTTTCTGCCCTTGTCTTTAGTTTTAGCCTTTGGATGATACCGTGGCATGAAGAAAGAAATGGGCAGCATGATTTAGTGCGTCGCTTCTACGGAGAAATCTGTCCAATGGAAGAGGATCCGTCAGCCGGGCATTCGCTTTGCGACGTACGTTTCCAAGGCCATTCTATTCCACAACCAGACATTTCGCTTAAAATATACTGAAATGGGATGGTTAGAAACGGAGCATCTTACCAGCGTCAATAATAATACCGATGGCGTTCCATGTGGCCTGCGAGTCAAGGCCAACAGAGAAGATCGCCAAGAAAATATAGCATTGATTCTTCGCCTCCTAATAATTTCAGGTATTCCAGGCTGCACCGGCAAACATCGGAGACTGACTGGGCATCATCGAGGGGTCAGTTTACCCGAAATCTAACCGCTATCCTTGCTGGCCATTTTGTCCCTCAGGCTCTCAGAGGGCTATCGCTCATGGCTTGCTTGGTATTATTGCTTGGTTTATTTCAAATGCATGTTCCGGAGTGCAGATGTGTCCCACCTCTAGGCTGTGGAAGAATCACCCAAGGCCCGCAGGGGGAATGCTGTCCATTGGTATGGAGTGACGATATCGCGCCCAAGAAAAAAAAAAAAAAAAAGGGTGAGAGAAGAAAAACGAAAAAAAGGAATCCCGCCCCTCGAGGCTACATGATACGCACCTAGTGCGGCATGATCATGGCCGCAACCAATGTCCGCACGTCATTTCCTTTGCGCACAAGCACGCACAGGCTCATTGACACTTTCGGTGCTGTCTACCTCGAATCTACCTCGAATCCAGCCAGCCGGGTGTTCTTGGCTCTAGCCGCCAACCTAGACTGCACGACGTCCCCAATAGTTATTCAAAGATGACTCAAGAGCCTCCTGGTCATTCACCGAATGCAATTTCGCGGATCTCTCCCCCAGACTGAGGAGAGAGGCTCCTGCGGCTATCCTAAATGGGTCGGCGCCTATGCTAACTCACTCCACATCACCCAGATCCAAAAATAATAAAGTATCAATACCCATGTAATAACATAAAGTAAAAAGCTGATCGAGAGCCACCTCTGGACCCCCTCCATTATGATTACATCTCTGGAGAGCAGCACCTGACCGGACGTGGCGTTCAACACCTTCTCCGTACATCTCGCCCATGCCCGAGGATAAGACATCTTCATCGGCGTGGAGCGGATGAGAGATCCTTATTATATCCACAGCAACTATCTCTTATTATTATCCAGCTGGACTATTGCCTGCTGTATCTTACCAACCAGTCACCGGAGATTTTCTCGGTACCGATAAAGGATTACTCTCTCTCTCTCTCCCATCTCACTCATCCTTCTTCTACTCCTCCGTCTATCAACAGAGCTAGCTAGCAGGCAGATCACTTTAGCTTGACTTAAGAAGTCTTCACAGGGGCTAATCTCCGACCCTTTTGTTCTCCATTTACACGGAGTATTTTATCTTATTTACTCGAACCGCCGTGGGCTTCTAATACTTGTCACCTCCCTACGCGCCATTCGGATTCCTACCGCCTCTAGGGGCTCTGTTTGCTGTTTTCCCCTACCGTATACACTACTGCTTTCGTATATATTCTTCGACTATCATCGATCTCTCTACGTGATATTGGGACCTTTGCATTCTCCGTCTTTCAAATGGGCAGAATGGCTGGACCGGGTGGCGGGCCTCCGCGCAAGAGCCACACTAAGTCAAGGAACGGGTGCAAGACGTGCAAAAGAAGGCATATTCGATGTGATGAAAGCTTTCCCCAATGGTACCTATACCTCATCTTCATTAGCCATGAAGCCCCGCAAAAGAGACTGACAGCATATAGTCGAAATTGCACTAAACACAACTGCCGCTGTGACTACATGGACGTTGCTGCTGCGCAGGAAGAATCGATGAAAACACGAAGGGTTCCTGATCTTCTTATGACTCCGGAAATCGAAATCGAAATCAACAATTGGCATGCGACTGGTGTGTCACCTTTTCCGGAGCTCGTGCACTGTCCCCGAAGTAGCTGGTATGGATTATCTCGGTCAGATCTTCGACTGGTTCACCACATTATCGGGCTTTCATTTGATCTATATCGCCGTGGATTCAGCAACTGTACGCCATGGGCGCAGAGACTGCCGAAGTAAGTACAATGCCATGATAATAGGCGGGATTTGGTGGACGGCAGCATTCCACTGTGGAGAAGAGATCCTAGGCTGATCATACGGCCACCTCCAGTTTCCTAACCTTCGCCCTTTCAAATGATTTCGTTTTGCACTCTATCCTGGCGCTGTCCGCGTTTCATCTATCCTGGACAACTGGCAACCAAGACACCAAACACTTGGCTTACCACCACCGAGGAATTGCTATCAAAGGCCTGCAGGGAGCAATCGGCTCTTTCTCCAACAAGAATTGTGAGGCTATCCTTGCTGCCTCGATTCTACTATCGTGGGGAGCTACCGAGTGGCAAGTACCATTTCTATTAGCTTGTTTTCCTCTTGCTCTGCTAACACCCCCCTCAGGCAACTTTGGGCATCCTTACAACAGGGTCTTTCTACAGTATGCTCTCTTCTTGAATATTTAAAAAGTAACAAAAATAACTAAACGACAACAGGTTCTGAATGCCATGCATCCATCCTGGAAACAGGAGTCAGATATTGCAAGATTTCTCGAGACCCAGCAGGTCTTGAGAAGCATAAACTCCGCCATCTCCAACGGATATCGTCGTTTCCCAGAGGGGGATCTCGCTCATCTTGACCAAACCATAACGGGTCTGGAGAACGTACAAAGTCGCGTCTCTCACAATCACGAGTACTACACTCGAATTGAAGAGTTACTGGAGTTCCTACGACAGCTCCGTAAAGATCTTCCGATGCAATCACCCGAACAAATCTTTGGACGGATCCAGCCGCTCATCCAGTGGCTATTCTGGCTGCCGCCTGCCATCCTTCGGGGCGGAGATACGGATATTAGTGGACTCGCGATTCTTGCTCAGTTCTTCGGTGTTGGTGTGGAGTTGGATTCTCTGTTTTCCGACATGGGGATTGCATATCTCGGGGCTCTATCGGTTGGACCAATCGAGGATATTTTCAGAATCGTTGCTGTCAGGAATTCCATGGATCCATTCAACGCAGAATTCCAGCTAGCGTTGAGTCTCCTAGACCTGCCCCGGCATATTCTTGCGCGATATAAAGACCGCCTCCATTGGTCTCCGCGACCGACTATCGACCACAGCCATACATCCCCGCCACCTCCATACCGAAGCAGCCCACATGGCTTTTCCCTCGCCGCTTCGTCTTCATCACCTACTTCACCTCAGTACTCTGCTTACACATCTCCAGTCCACTCTCCACCAGCCGTGCCTATGACGACCTCCCCATTTGAGATGGCACCTAACTATGTCACGGTGCCCGCCTCTCATGCTCATTACCCTCATATGCCTCAAGTGCTTTCCGATATCAGGGAACCACGGACTGTACTATCACATTTCAGCAACCCCAGTGCCTCACATCTACCTGCATTCACGTCTACGTATGCGGATGGTATGTGGAGTAGAACTACACAACGCACTGATGGAGCGCCGCTGGGTCTAAATCTAGAGCTTTACAATGGCTCTCATCCATTCAACGCTGGAGGGTTAGTAGCACCGGGGCTTTGCTGGAGCTGAGCCTGGAAGCTCAACCGATTGGCAATGCACTCTGAAACCGCTTTTTTATTTTGAGTTCTTTTTACTAAGGGCCTGTTTAGCTGAGTCCATCTCTTTCCGACCTGACAATCTTCCTCCCGAAGCAATCCTTGTTCTATTCGGAAATGCAGAGATGCAGAAACCGGCAGCTCGAAGCCCTCTCAAAAATCATCCAACGCTAGATACTGGCTGTGTTGATGATATCACATCCAATTAATAGCCAATCTGACCAATCCGTACGGCAGAGCCGACGCATTTCGGTCTGATGGACATTCGAAACTGTCCTCTGGACTTTCTCTTCATTTCATTTCCTTTCTCTCAGATGGTGGTGGGTAGGGTATCCATTTCTTGCAGAGTCCACTGCACGCCTTATGACGTCTCTCTGTATTTCCTTGGGGAATATCTACCGAATATTGGAATGCAGGGAACACGGTAGAACATGTGAATGTGGCGAGTCATGAAACTGACGGATCTATTTTCTTTTTAATTCCTATGATCTATACCTAGGTATTTCTGGTCTTTATTTCTTCATCATTATTTCATTTTAATTTGCCACTGACTGTGACGACCCCCCCTGCTTTTGCTCTTCTCTTCATGCTGACCGGGTGGTTCTTCGGTTAGAACTTCTCGATCGGTAGCTGTCATGTCATGGATTATACTATTATTCTTGGATAGATAGATAGCTGCATGCTCCCACTAGCCAGCCATTAAGGATCCAATTGCATCACCCATTTTCTCCCTAACTAAGATTGCATGATCATCGCGCGTCATTGATTATTCTGGTCGGTTTAACGGATGGATCCAGGCTGATCCGACTTTTTCTTTGAGGGCTCAAAAGCGACGGCTCGCCCCCTCCCCATCACTTGCATATTATTTAATTATTGACTTCCTTGAAACGGATATAAAAGACCAACGGGCTGTTTGACAGTGGCAATCAATCGTACGATGGGTTACCTAGGTTAGGTAGGGATCCGAATGCCCAACGGCCATTGGTAAGCAGGAGTACTTAACCTGGGTTACTACCAAGGTAGAGGCGGTTATTGCCTTGTTTTGGGCACGCATGGAGACATGCGAAGTAGGAGTCTAGACCAGGAACTAGAAATATGTTCGTTTTATTTGACATGTCACGGGGTACTTCACAGTGCACATAAAGTGCATAGTACATACACATAGATCCTGGCAAGGGAAGGACAACAGGGAGCAAATCCAGGGGTCGTTTTTCTTTTCTTTTTTTAAAAGTAATAAATAAATAAATAGCGCTAAATATATCGATGTACAACTTGCCATCCATTGTAACTGTAACACTACACCTTTGCTGACAGGTTGGAACTCCCCTGTCAGGAACGCAAGAGTAACACTGACAGTACCACTTCCCACCAGGGTACAGTACAGTACTGTTGCATCCTAGCTGAATGTACTATGTGCATTTTGGGAAAATACACTAATAGGATGTAAGCGCTGTGGCTGTGTTATGTATGTCTAGGATTGCAGCCAAAATAATATAACTCAGGTGCGCCGACGAAACAACAATTCTCCAGGTATTCTTGATTAATAATACGACGAGCTTGTAAAGAAGCTCTCTGATCTTATCGGCGAACACCCCCGGCGAATCGGTGGCATCGATTCGGTGGCTTTTGCGTCTGGGGCTTTTGCCAATCTGGAGATTAGGTATTGGGTATACGAGGTTGCGAAAAGTCTACTTTTTGGGGGGGGTTAATAGCAATTGGTTTGTGTTTGTATGTTTGTACTGTTTATGTTGTATATTGTATATGTCTTGTTTGCATCGTTTGCAACATTTAGCAAGCTCATGTTTAAGCTTTCTTGTTCCAAATTACGTAGGCTGAAGAACAGATACTGAATGCCCTCCGATCTGTCTCTACCTTGATTCTCCTCTCCTATCTCTTTTCTCCCGAGGGATCCTATTGCTATTTGTTCAGTATATGATAGTCTGGTTCTGGCGAATTGAGGCGGTTGCTCAGTGTTCACAATGGCCGATGCCGGTGGTTGGAGCACTATCGAGTCGGATGAGGTCTGTGATTGTAATTTGAATTGACGCCGTTGAAGATGGCAGATGCTAACCTTGACTGTTTAGGGGGTTTTCACTTCTCTGATTGAGAATCTTGGAGTCAAAGATGTACAATTCGAAGAACTCATATCTTTGGACGCGGATACAATACGCTCATTGAGGTGGGCTTTCCCCCTAGAAGGCACGGAAGGCACGCAGGCTCTGTCTGATCTAACACAATCGAAATAGCCCAGTCTACGGCGTCATCTTCCTTTTTAGATGGACCCGCGAAAAGACCTCCAACCCTTCCACCCCGCTAGACGGTTCCTACGACCCTTCTGCGACAGAAAACGGCGTATTCTTCGCAGCCCAAACGATCCAAAACGCCTGCGGCACTCAAGCTATTCTCTCCGTCATTCTGAACCAAGACACACCCTCCTCGACCCCCTTCCCCATTGACATAGGCACGGAGCTCCGTTCCTTTAAGGACTTCACCGCCGCCTTCCCTCCCGAGCTTCGCGGGGAGGCTCTCTCCAACTCCGAGATCGTCAGGACCGCGCATAATGCATTTGCTCGCGCTTCCCCGTTTGTCGATGAGACGGCCCGCGTCGCGCCGGACGAAGAGGCGGATGTCTATCACTTCATCGCGTATACCCCTGTGAATGGCGTGTTGTATGAATTGGACGGGTTGCAGCCTCATCCCATCAGCCACGGCACGTGCGACGCGGAGTCCTTCCCCGAGAAAGTCATCGAGGTCCTTCAGCGGCGGATCGCTAGATATCCCGAGGGAGAGACGAGGTTTAATCTCATGGCTGTCGTGAGAGATTTGAGGGTCCGCGCTAGAGAAATCGGGGACGTCGAGTTATTGGAGCGCGAGGAGAGGAAGAGGAGGGCTTGGGCTTGGGAGAATACATTACGGAGGTGGAATTTCGTGGGGTTCATTGGGGAGATGCTGAAGGGTGTTGTTGGCATGAAGGAGAGGCAGGGTGAGGAGGCCTACAAGGCTTGGGTTGATACGGCGAAGGCCGAGACTAGGAAGAGATTGGAGAAGAGGAGAGGCGGCAGCGGTCTCTCTGATTGAGTTATTCGGTTTGATGCCGATGTCATATTACCTAGACGTTCTGATGATTTTTTTCTCCTTTTCCTGTATTTCTATATAGCATATACCATGTGGAATACAGCATAGTAGGATCTTCTTTCCTTTACCGTAGTGACTCTGTAGCCTTTATTGCTTTGGTATCTTTTTAAGCTGCACAGCAGCTTGTTTTCTAGCTTTCTCTTTCCCTCCACTACACAGTGTGCTTGGGAAGAGCCGCAGGGGTGGGTCGTGGACATCTTTATTAAGGGAAGAAAAGTCGTCTGGCCCCCATCTATAGAGCATTAGGCACAGAAGGTTATAAGTTAGAGAGAAAAAGGGATATCTGTCGTGTACTGCATTAGGGTAGTTCATTACTTTTATTGTCCATTTTGAGCCATTGTTCATGGGCTAATGCTGCAGCTACCTGTGCCTGACTTTCATTCAAATAGCAAGGTGTTGGAAATTAAATATAATATCACCCCATTTAAACCCTGAATTTTCCATATTCTCTCGAATTTACCATGCTTCAGCATATCTTTCAGTCGTGGTAGGAAACGCTCCACACCTTGTACCCTATCTCCGGCTCAGACCCGAAGCCCAGGCCCCCGTTTTCAGTAATAGTAATGAAAGGAAGTGCCTTGGCCGAGTTGTAAGTGGCATATTGAATAGCATAACCTTTACCATTCCCAAGGAATTTGATCTTCGACGGAGCTGCTTCATCGTAGTTGTCAACCAGAACCCCGCCATATCCGATCCATCTTCCATCCAAAGCACTCGCGATAGTGAATACACCGTTCTCCTCATTGGCGTTATAGTGGATAATCCATCGCTGCCTTTTATCGTCATGACGGGGGGTTGCTGCGGTGGGAATCACTTGTGGGGGGAACCCCTTGCCCAAGTTCGTCAGTGCCAAACCAGCCATCTCAAAGACCAAATAACGGCCTTCAGTCAGGTATCCGACGCATTCCTTAAAACCATCTTCGAACCACAGGGCGTCGGAAATGTTCTGCTGCTTGCCATACGGGACAGATGGCCGGGGTTGGGGGTAGGTGGCTTCACAGTTGGAGGTACCAACGTACTCCCCATTGTCGTTGACGGCAGGCGCCTCGGCCTCGGGGATATACGGAATGCTGTAGTCAGGCTAGGTTAAGAGTGAGAGTCAGCACAAAACAAAACCAAATGAAAGAGACATTTTAAATAGCAAGAGACGTACGTGGTCGAGATCCAGAGCATTAACCAGGTTGGACATGTGTTCTCGACGCCAGGGCACCATTTGGTCCGTCTGGATATTTTTATAGCCCCTTGCAGTCAACCATTGCTCGAGGAAAAGAATCTGCGAGTTGTGATCTGCTCTCTCGGTGAAGACCCGATTGCCGCGCGTCCAAGGAGAGATCATATAGAACGGCACTCGGACGCCTATAGTAGCAGTTCCACTCAGCCATTACGCATTATACAGGAACCTCGCGGTCGAAGTGTGGTGCTTACCTGGTCCAACAAAGACGTCGCCAAATTCCCCATAAGGGTCCTGCATCCACTCGCCTGGGGTGCCTGGAGGAGAGTGAAATGGGACGACGTGGTCGCCAAAACCACCAGACTCTGGGGGATTGTATTAGATTAGTATAGAACTTCAAGGGTAACAGGATAGTGACGGGCATACCATCGTAGCTGATCATGAGAAGGGTCGACGAGTACTTGGGGCTCTTAAGGACGGCATCGACGACCTTCTTTTGAAGCCACGCGCCATCTTTTGGCATATAGGGTGGATGTTCTGATAGTTCTGCTGGTCCGACGATGAAACTGATCTCAGGGAGAGTCCCGTTGGCGGCTGCCTCATAGAAGGCTTCGAGGCCCAGAAATGCCAACCCCTTTTGCGCCAAGGTAGAAGAACTAGGGACATCCTGGAACTGCTTGAACCATGCAAGGGGGTTGTCATCAAAGTTGTCCTTATCTTGGAACACTTGCCACGAAACTCCGGCCTCCTCGTAGTATTCATAAATGGTCTTCCATTTCAGAGGGTAGCAGTTCAGATAAAGGTCCTCGCAGCCTGGTAATTGTCAGCAGAGTTTTGGCAAAGGGAATGGGCTAATGAGAGCGAAGTATGTGAGAAAAAAGAAACCCACCTGGAGTTTCATTATTATCAAGGTAAGGCCCTCCCCCATTTGGGAAACCTGGACTACCAGGCACATTCACCGAGCCACTCACTAAAGTAGCACGGTTAGGGTTTGTTGCAGTGATTTGGCTTTCCTGGATAAATGCATTAGCATGCAGAGTACAGAGACAAAGGGAGATCAATCTTCGCACCTGATACATATCACCGGATGTCCAACCCTCAGCAATGGCGAAGTGGACCGGGATATCCTGTCTCTTAAGATATCCCCAGCTCCAGGGGGTATTTTTCTTGGCCCAGTAGTTGTTCAAACCATTGTTGAGGGCGGCATGGTTGCTTATGTATCCATTGTCGCCTGCTGTCATGCACTGAATTGCATTGTGGGAACTCCCACCTTGATATCCAAGGTACCAAGGGAGTAAGGTTGTGGTGGCAGTAGACATGTCTTGGTCGACCTGTCTACCAACGCAAGGCCAGTTCCGTTAGAATTCCATGCGACCAGTTCAACGGAGAATGGTTGATTAGCTACTAACTGGAGCCAAACTGGCGATCCATCCTTATTCACCTGGACATTGGGATCGTTGAAGCCTCGAACTCCGGCCATTGTGCCGAAATACTATGAGATGCCGTCAGAGAAGAACCATCAAGAAAAGCGAGTTGGGCTCGAAAGGTATCCTGTAGACGCGTACACTGTTCCATGACCGATTTTCCTGCATGAAAATAACGACATGTTCGATGTCTTTCAGAGAACCGCTGTTTGCTGGACATGCCAGGAACAGGGCCAGCACGAGCCCAAAGATCATCCTGGACATGGTGATGAGAAGAACCGGACCAGGAGAAACGAGGTCAGGTTGCCAAACGAGAGGAAGGCCACTTAGTCCATAGATAGAGAGAGCGAATTGAGTGAACGACAGAAGATGGATTTATAGCCTGAGAGTCTGCCTGGACGTGGTGCCTGCAGCCAAGAGAGGGGAAGACATTCACTGAGATGCAATATAGATACTAATTAAAAAGACGTTGAGCCTGAGCAATCACTTTACCCTACGCGTGCCCGTGCAAGCCCTGGCCCTCTCACGTGCTGAACCACAGAGATAAGACTCGACAACCGCCGCTCCAGACGGCTTTCTTCCGTTTAATCTTGACGATCCACAGATTCCACACGGGCCATGGGCGGAAAGCTTGTCTTCGGCTGGCTTCATGCCCGTCCATCCACGCCATTCCATTTTATCACACTTCGACCCACCTGGTGGATAATCTTCAAGGGACAATGCTGCCATAACGGTTATCAAAACCCCGCTGAGAGCCTGCAAGAGGCCAGGGTTATTGAAACAACTAACAATTAACATGGAGAGACGGTCCAGTCGTCGACGGAAGCCAGCTCCGTTGAAAGGACAGTCGCCTCAAATTCAACCAAGTATGTCCGACGGCAGCACGTCAAAACGTCAGACCCATCATCGCCCGTGGATGGTGCTGAGCTGCTCCTTACTCGCGTGCTTCTTCGTCTCGCTGGCATACTATTTCCAACAGCGCGGGGGGGTTGATCTGCTGCAGTCTTTCCTCGCCTCGTCATTACAGACACACACCGCGGGGAACCACCGAGCATTCGTGCCACACAGCCCCGACATATCTCGTCCCAGAATAGAGCTTCATCCGGAGGACCATGTGTACCGTGAGCCGTCGACACAGCGCCTGAATTGGCGGGTTACTTCAGACAGCCTGCGTCCGGATGGTGTACAGAAACGAGTCTACCTGATCAACGGTGAGAAGCTGACAGCAATATCGCGATGCATCCTCTTGTCTTGAAGATTACTGATGTAGAACTCAGGCCTCTTTCCGGGTCCAACGGTAGAAGCACGTTCAGGTGATACTCTGGTTATATCTGTCACCAATTCCTTGGAGAATGAGTCTATCTCGATCCATTGGCATGGCTTACATGTACATTGTATGTTTTATGTATATCTACTGTGACTCTGATATTGCTTCTAACAGGCCATCAGACTCAATGGACGGGGCAGCCGGAATCACTCAGTGTGCTATCCCTCCAGGGAATACATTCACGTATAATTTCACAATTCCCTTGGACCAGAGTGGGACATTCTGGTATCACTCTCATTCTGGGATTTCCAGAGCAGATGGACTATATGGAGGCTTCGTCGTTCACACGCCCGCCTCCAAGTCCTCGGTTCGCGGGCTCATGACTCGCTCGAGCCCTGCTGACCTGGACAAATACAAATATGACAAGGAGCTCTTGCTTCTGATCGGAGACTGGTACCATCGATCTGCCGGTCAGGTCTTAGCATGGTACATGCGGGCAGGCTCCTTTGGAAACGAGGTAGGAGTGCCTTAATGTTTCGCTTCATGCAGTCCAGTGTGTGTTAACAACAATGGAACTTTGCAGCCAGTTCCTGACTCTCTATTGATCAATGGGGTCGGCCACTTCGATTGCTCTATGGCAGTTCCTGCGCGGCCGGTAGACTGTATTGCAATCCATGTCAATTCCTCATATTTAGACTTGGACAGGAACGCTTTCTACAGAGTCCGTGTAGTCAACACCGGGTAGGTGGTGCAACTAGTTGAGTTTCATTCTCCTGGGTACTAACAATCCTACAGATCCCTGGCAGGGTTCACATTGGTATTTGGTCATGAACACCTAGAACTCATCCAACTCGACAGCATCGAAGTCGAACCACAGCAAAAGCAGGGAGTAAACTCTGCTGGCATCCTCTACCCTGGACAACGAATGGACTTCGTCTTACGTTCTCCAGCAGATCTGGATACTAGACAGCCGTCCTCGGTGACCGTACAACTTGATCGAGGGTTAGTAACATCTATTCCTATCCTATAACGAGAAAACGCCTCTAATGCAGAAAGGAAAATAAAAATAGCTGTTTCAAATACCCCAATCCAGCCCTCCTTCCCGACCAGACCTTTCCCATAAGCCCAATCCCCAACGATGCCAATAACAAAGAAAACGAAGTCCCACCGTGGAAACCCAACACAACAACCCTAAACCGAATCGACATCGAAAAATTTGCCTCCTCAAGCACCATCCTCGCCAACATGTCCGCAAAAGCCCAACAAACGCACGTCGTGTACACGAAGATCCAAAAACTATCCATCAACAACAACGTCCCGTACGGATTTTTCAACCGCACCTCCTGGCGCCCACAGCAGGATCCGCCTATCCCTCTGACGGGCCTTGCCAGGCAAAAATGGGACCGGAATCAGTTTTCTTTCTCGACGGGCCCGGAACCGGTTTGGGTTGATCTTGTGGTTAATAATCTTGATGAGGGACCGCATCCGTTCCATCTGGTATGTTCGTATCCATTTTCGTATTACTTCCTTCGTCCTTCTCGTGTACATGGATAAAATGTACATGTACAATATGGTTAATGATATTGATACATTTAACAAAGCACGGCCACCACTTCTACGTCCTCACAACCCAAAAAGCCTCTATAGGCTGGGGCTCATACAGCCCGTTCGTCGACCCGTATCCTCCCGGTCTAGAGCCTAGCAGAGAAGATCACACTCCCTACAACCTCACCAAGGCCACCCTTCGCGATACAACCCAGATCCCCAGTCGCGGGTACGCGGTCCTCCGCTTTCGAGCCGATAACCCCGGTGTGTGGTTATTTCATTGCCATATCACCTGGCATTTGGCGAGTGGAATGGCTATGTTGGTTGATGTTATGGGTGATGAGATGGGGGTAGGAGCTCATGAGGCTGGGATGGGGATGTGTCTTTCTGTATCTTGATCTTGAGTTTTTGCCTTTGTTTACATGCCACGGTTCTGGTCTAGGGATTTACATACGTGGTGGATGCATTATTATATTATGCATGGATAGCTTCATACTCCTCAGTACGTAGATAATGTTGATTGGAATTATAATGAACTCACCCCACTCTTCAGCCCTATAGGATACCAGATAACAAGACCATGAGTAAAGGCCAAGAGAAATAACAAATAGCAACAGCAATAATAATAGCACTAACTTCTAAGACAGCAATAATCATACGTAATTCCAAGGCGGGGATACGCCCAAAACTGGGTGAGGGTTTTATTCATTTCCCCTCTTCTTCCAAAAGGCCACATGACAACTTCCCCAGAAGTCACCGGACGCCTAACACCGACTATAATGGAGCATAGAAGAATGGTCCTAAGCCCATGTCGCTAGTATTCATATCCCGGAACACAGGCATATTTAACCTGAAGCCCATTCTACCACTTCCAACGCGCACATGACAAGAACGAGAGTCGAGGGAAGAATCCTGGACACAAAAATTAGCACCGATCGTTCGGACATACTCCCAATTAGAACAAAAAGATCCTGTCGGCGGACTTACCAGATAACGTAGCTCTGGAAGAGCAACTTCGACATAGCCCCGACGTATACATTGTTGATCTGGCAGATCTGAGCCAGCTGGAGGGCCGATGGAGCCCCCGTGAGCAGGAAACAGACGATGATGAAGATCGGATCGTCCAGAATACTAACAGGGACATACTTGGCCAGAAGCGCAAGCAGAGGAGCCATGATGATTGTGGGCAGGAGCATACGCGCAACAAGCGATGCTATGATCAGCTTCCGCTCTTCCTTGGGATGCTCCATATCCTGAAGTGCCTCCTCCGGCAGAGTATTCCGAGCCAGGTTCGCCCCCAGGACGACTAGAATCAACGGCACAGCGACTTGCCCGTTCTGGTCAATGGCCCGCGTCACAGAGTTCCGCACGAAAGTGCCCTCGCTGAAGAACAGGTGCTGCAAGGATGGGACCGAGGCAACGATTATCGCCACAAGCATCGACCACAATGGAGGGTTCATGAATGCCCACACGCCTCGCACAAACCTTCCTGCCCAATTCCAACCGGCGGAAAGACCCTTCTGCATCCCGGTTGGAAGTCGATTAAAGGTGGCAGCCCTTTTCCCGTCCAGCCAGCGCGAGATACGGTCATTGGATCGGCGTACCGAAGACCTCCATCTTTGACCAGCATCTGGCTCCGCTTCCTCTTCCCGAGCCGTTATCTCAACATCCGGAAAGGACAGAATCTGCCCTTGCGAACTTTGACGAGGGAGGAACGGACCACGGGGCGGATTTCCGATTATCGGAGATGGCCGATCCACCTCCAGCGCGTCTTCCTGTCCTTGCAGTGAAGGCAGTTTGGAGTAAGGATAGGTACGGTCCGTCACGGGCGTTTCCTCACCCGATCGGAACATGGGCGGTTCACGGTCAAACTCATCCGAATCACGCGTTCTGATCAACGGCTCATCCGGATCTGTCTGCTCGGGGTTATCGCGGTAGTGGGCCTGTCCATCCTCAATTCGAGAAGCCACTTCATCTAGGCCTTCGATATATTTATGCCTGGGGGCAAGTAACACATGGTATCCCCAACTCCAGCGCACGAGCTGACCCAGCTGTTGAAATATAAGCAGGTACAGAATCCCACGCGCAGCGACTTCGTCATCGTTATCATTTGGGACCCGATCCCAATGGAGCCCTTTCAGCGTTTGCGATAGCGACATAACGAGGGATATGGGGAGTGAATTGGAGTTTCCGAAGACCTATGGAACAATGCAAAGCAATTAGTGGACCTGAGTTTGGCAGGGGAGTGCCGACCTCCCCGAGAGGAAAGAAATCACTTACTGCCATGGCAGCCACAAAATTCGACTGGCGTTTCTGGAATCGGAAGCATCGCGACACGATAAAGGAGCAAAAGAAGGAGACGAATGTCTGGACAATGAAGATGAAAGGTATGATGGCGAGGTCGGTCAGTTTCTCGGCAGTGAGTTGGGATCCGAGTTTCGTAAAAACTGAAGGAATCAACCGTCAGCAATGAATAGTCCCTAGAAAGAAAGCAATCCGCATACCTAGGCACGGCGTAAATAATGTGACGTTCAGGTTGGCGACGAGCTTCTGGGCATCGGCATCGAACATGCCCTGGCGAGCGGCAATGTAACCCGGAAGACTGACGCAGACGACCTCCAGGACTGCTTCGAAGACCAGAAGCACCAAGTGGAAGAACGGCGGATGGTTCGAATGGGATGAGGGGCTGCTGCTCTGAAAGATGGCGGTCGAGTTGACGGCCATTTGGGTCATGACGTGATGACCGGAGAGCAAATAGTCGGCATTTTGGAGGGATCTCGGCGACCTAAACAAGGCCATGGAAGGGCAAGAAGCGGCCAAGAAGAAGATAGGAAAACTGAAAGTCTCAAGACCACGGGGAGTTCTGGATATGATGGTCGCGATTGATGAGCAGAAGACAGACTGAAGGAAGTTGAGTTCTGCAGGCGGGAAGGGAGTTCCCAACAGGGAAAATGAGGCAGGATAAGGTGACTAGCGTACGCGGGAGAGTCGCTCTGCCACGACGCTCGTGGAAGAATAATGATAGAGAGCTAAGCTATACAAATAAGTCCGGATGGCAGTGATAAATTCCGTCCGCAAGCAAATAGACCGGATGCTACTCTGTACGAGGCAGAAAACAAAGGCTGAAGTCGTTTCAGCGTGGCGAGTGCCACCACGCAGGCGCCGCTGTCTAATAAGACGTAATCTCCGCCGAGTCTGAAATAATTTTCGATAATCAATACAATTCTACCTAGGTACATGACGAATTCCCTGGGAGAAGGAAGAGACCAGGAGGTATTTCTTTTGTACAAGGAAATAGGCGAGCCGACAGCAAACAGGACAGACAGAATAAATGGAATAAATGACGGAGTTCTCAGGCGTTGGCCCTGAGTTTGCCATATGCCTGGGCGTAGCAACCCTCTTTAGGGAGTGAGTTGTCTCACAAACAATTCCTATGGCTAGAATACACTAATTCACATCGCATCGGTTTTCTTGTAGAGTGATAATATGAGCCACCTGATTCTGAACTTGTCTCTAGTTGTCCTGCTCCGGATATTGTCTACAAGGATTTCACTTGTCGGTGTTGCGAAGGATGGGTTCGGGGGAGGTAATGTTACGGAGTATATGAAGATCCTGCCGGTCGCCTGGCATTTTGTGTCGGGTTCAAGGACAGGACTGGTTTCAGTGCTACGGAAAACGAAAAGGGAAAAAAAAGAAAAAAGAGAGAGACAACAGTACGCTTGTCTTCCGTGCAAATTCATTTTTTGGACCTGCCTGCTGTCAGCAGGCCTATCGAGGTTACTGCACAAACTCCAAGGCGGTATCTTAACCTCTCTAAGGGCGCAGCACCTCCGGGGCTGGGGGCCTTTGTAGGCGGGAAGCACACCGGCCCAATATCATCAGAATCACGATCAGGGCACGGAGGACCAGGTCGGGGGAGCGAGCTCTGATTTGGGCCTGGGCTCCCAGGGGGGGTAATGGTAGGCACAGGAGTCAATCAGAACTGAGGTTGCTATGTGTATCCAGCTTCCAGGGGAAATGTGATTTTGTTGGAAAGATGTCCGCGCCGGTGGTGCTTTTAGAGTATCGTGGAGAGATGTCCTTTGTGGGCTTGTGAGGTTAGTTATGTACGAAGCATATGAGCTCGACTATATATTCTTCTTGTCTGGTTCCCCATAAATTTCCAGTCCAGCTTCATTCGGAGCTAGGCGCTGGCGGAAAGCAAAAGGGGACCCCTTCTAAAGGGAATGGCGCATGTGATATATTATCAGGGCAGTGTCGTTCTAGATGGCCTGATTTATAGTACAGGTGACTATGGTGATGTGGTGTAGGATATCGTTCTTGTTGTTCTACTATTGAGTACCTTGCAACGAATAGGGAGTGCCAGGCAGGGGACATATAGTAGTATATATATGGTAGTATGTCGATCATAGCCCCCCAAGCGCAGTAGGCATCGATGTAGAGCAAGTAGCCCGGGCACCGGGATACAGAATATATATAAAAGGAAACGTAGAGCTTGCCCTGTCTCATGACAGTTTCCGATAAAATTTGACCTGCAGGAGAGCCATGCGTAGACGGAGCTAACCATAGCTAATATTTACCAGAAATGGGTAACTATCCCATAACCATTAACCAGAGCACTGCTGCTCTGGAATCCCACATGATAACATTACTGTCTACAGAGGGAATGGCAGATGTTTCACCAAAGTCTTCTTTAAAAAAACAATCCGCTCGTCTTCTCCAACAAGAAGCCCCAGTGGCGTAATGGCAACGCGTTTGACTTCTAGTTCGGCATCAAAAGATTGTGGGTTCGATCCCCACCTGGGGTGTGCTATCTTTTTTTTTTTGTCCTGCATGCAGTTTTTACCCTGGCATAACTAATTATGTGGCTAGCTAACTAACTAGCTTATATCTACGCGCAGCATGTCTCCCTAGGCTGTGAACTCGCAGCTCACGAAACCTAGAAATTTTCGCGCAGCTCCATCACACGTGATGCAAGCAAGCAGTCATAGTCAAACTCCGCGGAACTGCTTACGCCAGCCTTTCCTTTTTGGGACATTGCGACAACTTTTTCTTTCATTTCAAGATTCCTATGATAACGCGCTTCTCCCCACGATGCAGATTTAGATGAACCCCGCCCAACTACACTAATACTGGTGCAGTGACAGCCTAATTTCCAGAAACCAAAGACATGATCAGCGCGGACAATGATGAGCCTCTTCATGGTAGGGATTTTCCCGATCTCAGTCGTGTCTTATCTGCGGTTGGCAGGAGAACAATGGGCTGATAAGACCCCGAGCAGTGCTCGACCTCCCTCAGATGTACGCGAAGCCCCTTGCGACGGACATCCTAAAAGCCCTAGAGCTCTTAGCAATCAAACCTCGAAATTTCGGACCCAACCCCCAAGAAGTGCGAACGGGCCGAACGGTGCAACCGGCCGGGGTTTCGCAGTATTTGACGTCGATCATCTCCAGTTCACTGTCGTGGCTAGATTCCGACGAGCTACGAGAAGCTGTGTGGGATGCAGCTGCAGCTCGACTCAGCGAGCGGTCTGGGCGGGCCGGTAGGAGGTTTGCGGTTTGCCAGATGCGTCTAGTTTACTGATGTAGCTTTGCTTGAAAATAGCCATGCCAGCCATGTCTCGCACCTTTACGATTCCCGCGTCGTCTGATCAGGATTTCACAATCACACTGCATGAGCCCTCGCTGACGGCTGACAATCTGGGCATGAAGACTTGGGTTTCTTCATATCTCCTCTCGCGGCGACTCCATACTGTCCTCGAATCGACCCCGCAGCTTGTGCCGTCTGCTACATCAGCACCAGCGAAAACCTGCGTCAAGAATGACAGCGTACTCCGGGTGTTAGAACTAGGCGCAGGAACAGGTCTTGTCGGGCTCTCTTTTGCGGCGCTTCACGGCAGCAATGCAAGCGTTCACCTCACGGATCTTCCCTCCATTGTGGAGAACCTCTCACGCAATGTTGTGTTAAATTCGGAGCTTCTTGACAAAACTGCCGCGACGGTGACGACGGGCGTTCTGGACTGGTCTGTAGACCCCGAAACAGCCCCGACGGAAGAAGAACGGTACGACGTTATCCTTGCTGCAGATCCGCTGTACTCGCCCAACCATCCGAAGTGGTTGGCTGATACCATCTCCCGATGGCTGAGTCGTCGGCTGAATGCACGGGCCGTCCTCGAAATGCCGCTGCGCGACGCATATCTGCCTCAGGTCCAGGAGCTCAGGAAGCGGATGGGGCTTCTTGGTCTGGCTGTAGTGGAGGAAGGAGAAGAGATCGGGTATGATGACTGGGAGAGCGCTGATGGAGGAGCCGTAGAAGTTCGATGCTGGTGGTCGATCTGGGGGTGGAGTGAGAAGGTCTAGCATAGTCGACCTTATGTCCATGTCCGTCGACGATGTCACGATAGACGATAGATGATAGAATAGACGATAGACGATAGACGACTAGACGACACAGGAATACTACAGAAAACAGCGGAATAACCTCACAGCTTTGCAACCGCACTTCATGAAAAGAGCGCACCTATGATTCCTGGTATCTCCAGATCCGGTCTAGGGCTTACGCCAGACAATGTATAGTGCATATTATACGTAGATCATACGGATAATGTAGATGGAGAGCCACGTCACTGATTATTATGTACATGTATTATGAGACATCTCAACATCTAGTCTTAGAAATCCTGCAACCAGGTATCCAGACTTATACCCAGGGCTCCAAGCAGAATGCCCTGGCAAGAAACTGAGAACGGCACATTCTCTCGCCCCCTCGGCGAGTCAGAAGCCTTTCTTAAACTAATTGGTGATTCAGGCCATGTACTGCAACGGGAAAACTGGGCAGTCAACACTACAGCCACAATCATCCCTCGAGGCACGGTGACAAAAGCAGACATAGCGGACCGACTTCGCCATGCATGGATACATTTACGCTTTCAACAACCCAGCATCGCTGCGGTAGTCTCATCTGATATTACACGAGTTGTCTACATAGCGCCACCTTCCAATGAATCGTTGAAAAAATGGGTCCGTGAGACGTTCATGGTTATGTCTGATTCTCGTTCGGCGGGGGAGGTGGTAGCCTCGATGACGGTTCAACCAACCCAATATGCGCGTCTATATTACATTCCGCAATCGGATGAACTGCTCTACAATACGGCGCATTGGCGTTCCGATGGGGTAGGGACATTTCTGCTTCTTGACCTTCTATTGCAGCTAGCGTTCGCGCCTGATCTGGGAGATCCCTTCCATCTTCCCTGGGGCGAGGAAGGGGGCCGACTAGCTCCGACGGTGGAGGATGCCATTGCCATCAACCTCACCACCCCGGCTACTCTGACCGCTGCGCAGAAGGCTTTGGTAGAGAGAAATGCATGCAGCTTCGAGTTGACTCAGGGTGCTGTGGGTATTCCGTACAATGGCGACTCGACAACCTTGCCAACAGGAACCTCTTCAGCCCGGACTACCCTGTCATCGGACACAACAGAAAAGATCGTCCAAGCATGCAAAAAGCGCGGGGGTAGCGTAACCAGTGCCGTGCATGCCAGTATCGCATCTGTCAACTACGCAATGCGGCTGCAGCATCATAGAGGCCGAGAATACGCAAGCTCGGTCCGCTTCAACCTCAGACCTTATCTGCCTGAGGTTTTCAACACGTCGACATACGCGTCAGGCTTATACTCGACCGCCTGGATGTTTCAAATGCCCCCGGACGCAGACTGGGATACATACTGCCGAACCTGTCAGCAGCGGTACCGTGCCGGCATCACGGCCACCTATCTGGCTAGCCATCGCGAGTTTGCGCGCACGGTAGCAGATATGATGCGTACTCCCCCGCGTAGCCAGGGAGAGCCGCCCAGTGACGTCGATATAAGTAGCATTGGCGTGGTAGATAAATGGGTTCGTCCTGTGCACGGTGACGCAGAGTGTGGCTGTGAGGTGCGTGCGGTCAGCATTGGCGTTGAGATGTTGACGCGGCAAGGAGCGTGCTTTGTGTGGACGTTTCGTGGACAGTTGAATCTAAGCATCGTTTATAATGAGTCGTTCCATTCCATGGGGCAGATGGAGGAGTTTGCTGAAAAGGTGAAGGGTGTGTTGTTGAGGGAATTGGATATTCAGGACTCCTAGGGTTTGTTTCTGTGATCAAGTCTGGATACTGGTTTTGATAGAAATGTCTACAGCCATTGAATGCAGATGGAACAAATCCAAATTATAGGAACTACGTGCGTAAACTATAGATTCTCAAATTTCAAGATGAATATACGCCCAAAAGAGCTTCCCTTACCTCCTTCCTAGCCGGTTCATGCTGGATTTCATATTCATCCTCGACGCATCGACTATATTCCCAATCCACTTCTTTTGCTGTCCATCGGTCTCCTTTTCAACGTCGCCCCGGTTAATCGGAAACTGAGCCTTTGCTATTGAAACAAAACAAGCGCATCAGTGTCAGCACAGAACCAGACCGAGAGCATAATATTCAACCAAAGAATCAAGTATACATACCAAACGAAGTAGGCCAGTAGTTCATATAGACATTCTCCCAGCTACCCGCAGGAGCCTCGTACACCTCATGCATGATGCTCAGGTTGGGATGCTCTTTGACGGTCTGATTCCACCAGTCCCAGCCTGCACGGTGAGAGGGGCCATGCGAAAACCTGTGCAAGCCCTCGAGGGATTGGAAGTAGAAAACGGTCATCGTCTCTCTCGCCACGTTGCGGATTGAGTCTGAATTGGAGATCCAGCTGCTGCTTGTTAGGACTGGAAATTCGGGTCAGCTATTTATATCATAATATTCTGTTTATTTAGCTTGCTTACAGGTATATTCTTCTCTGTTCGTCTCTAGGTCTTGCATCATTTCGGATATGAATTTCTCGATCTTCTGGTACTCTGGGTACAGGATACCTAGGGGACTGCAGAATATCACGTTCAGAAAAAGAACATATCAAACGGTAAATGCAGTAGATGTATGTGCGTGGTAATAACGTACTGGTTCGACCTCGAACCCAACAGTAATACCACAACAGTCTTCCTGGACGGCTGCTCCCCAAACTGCCCCGTTTCATCTGGGACCTGCGCTGAAATCTTCCCCGGTATGACATCCTTCATGTACGGATTCGGACGGAGTCCGTACATGATCAGCACCGGGTCCAGAGCGCGGTATGCTAGGATAAACAGCGCCGGGAGGAAAGTCAGGACAGTCGGGAAGAGCCATGTCAGGAGACCCTGCAGAGAAGCTGCTATGAGGAACCAGGTGGATTTTTGGAAGTTGTCGAAGATGATCTGGTAATAATTTCCAGTTAATTAAACGCTTCTTATACATAAAGCATGTAGATGAATACTGACTGCGTAGAGAGGAGCGTTGCTGGGAGCCGTAGATGGTCGGGTATCTGTTGGTTGAACGAGGGGCTTGAGAGGGGCCATTTTCTGAAATGTACTTCTCTTCCTAAAAAAAAAGCAAGACAGGTGTTTGGAGAACTGAAAGAATCAACTCCGTGGGGACATCGCTGGGATACCGTGAATTTTATCAACCCAACAGGCTGACAGGCTGACAGGCTGACAGGATGCGGCAAACCAGAAACTGAAGCTGCACCGACCATCATCAACATACAGAAACCCAAAAATAGTATTATTATTATTATCATCATCATCATCATCATCATCATCATCATCATCTCTGCAGTGGCCCCGGAGGCTTTTCTTCGGACACATTTGTTGCCTTCCAATGAACATACACTACATATGACTTGTTCTGTCCCGAGACGGCGGTTTACAAGGAGAACATGGAGAGGAAGGAATATATATAAATATCTTGGTTTCACCTTCGAATTAACCATCTGAAGCTGCAGGATTTCATATACTTCTCCCTTTCCGGTTGTCCCTCTATTATGTTATATCAAGTCGGCCCCAAAGGCTTCCCTTCCAGCTCTGTATGATACACTGACTTCCCTCCTATTCTTCTATTATTACCACGAAAGATGCTATCCCAACGATTCCCCATCCCGGAGGAATTCCAAGACCAACTCACCTTCTCCGAACCGCCAGACACGCGAGCAGATGCGGACATCCTCAAATCTCTCACTGAATATCGACCCGTGACGGGCGAAAAGAACATTTGGGCATTCTGGCACTCGGGAGTAAACGCCATGCCAAACTGGTGCAAGCGAAACATCGCTTCCTGGGCACGCATCTGCGGGCCATCCTGGACAATCCGCGTGCTGGACACGGTCCCAGGCTCTCCCAACCACGCACTGAAGTACATCCCGGCGGAACTCTTACCGGAGATCTTCGTACAAGGTACCATGGAGGGTCCCTATGTTGGCCCTCACAGTGCCGACTTCCTGCGCGGTGCCTGCCTGTACATGTTCGGGGGCGTCTACATGGACGTCGGCATAATCCTGATCAGATCGCTCGACCGGATCTGCTGGTCGCAGTTGGAAGATGAGACATCTCCTCGCCAAATCAGCGTGCCATGGATGTACGGCACAATCATGGCAAATCATTTCGTCGCGAGCCGTAAGGGTGACCCCTTCATCAAGCGGTGGCATGAGTTGTTCGTCCATCTATGGAAAGGACGCACCAGTTGCAAGGGCATGATTGCTAACCCATTACTCGCGTTTGCTCTGAATAACGACTTTTCCCAATCGGTAGAACGTGGATTCCGCTGGGAATTCAAGGTTGAGCCGCAGGTGGTGTTTGAATATATCGCGCAGGTTCTCGCTTGGCAGCGACTCTGCTTGCTTGAAGACGCAGGTGATGGTTTCGGTGGCGCAGACTACGCGCGGGACCACATTCTCTGGTTCGATGTCCTCGAGGAGGACTGGGGAGCAGAGACTATCGTCGGCTTCCGTGGACAGGAGATGTTCGACGCTCTGGCGACTAGATTGGATGCGGATCCAGAGTCAGAGGAATACAAGACGGCATACAAACTAGTCTGGAGGGTGCTTGCGCGGTCGAGTATGCAGAAGATCACGCATGGGAAGAACCTCACCAAGACGCCTGCGCTGGGTCTTCTTTGGGACTCGGAAGAGAACAAGGATAAAGACATTGAGCCTGGTACTTTTGCTGAGCTTCTCCGGTACGGAACCGAACATTTTGTTCAAACGCGGAAGGACATCCTTTATGTGCAGGTGGAGAAGCCGGACAATACGATGAAGAAAGGGGTTTTTGAGCCTTAAGAGAGCTTTCTTAGACGGGATCGAATTAGAATAGACATGAATGACTTATATGTTCTTCGTCTTGCTCTCCGGGATTCAAATAACTAGACAGGCGATGATTTTGGGAGCCGTGTAGTAAACCATGACATGAGAAAACATGGCTAGATTCAAAGCAAGAACATTCCATTGCAATACTGGGTAGGTGGGAGGGTGAGACTGCTTCCTTGCTGCACAGGGGCTTCGGCCATCTTGACAGTGGATGGTGGATACGGTAAAGACTGAGAAGAATTCTCTTGATACTTCGTAGTCTGCACAGGGTTCTTGTGGTTTATTATAGATGATAATATCGAGGAATACTTAATCCTCCAGCCCGCTCCAATCGTCCTGCCCACTACCAGATCTCTCATGCTCAGCAGACTGCGCTCTGCGTTTCCGGTTGCGACTAGCCATAATTGCGCCCTTCTTCTTGTTCTCTAACCGTCGTTCATAGCCGCTCTTGGTGCTGATCCTTGTCAGTCGCTGTTCTTTCTCATCCTTCACATTCTTGACTGCCGATTGCCTCGCTTTGACTCCGTGTTTCTTCAATTCCTTCTTATCCTTCTTGCTCAAATCCGGTAGAGAATCTAGCAGCCACTTCTGGATGGATTTCTCGCCCGTCTTTCCACGTAGTTTCTCACTGACATCGATGACGTTTGCGATACTCTTGACATAGGGGATGTCTTCCTTGGTGTAGTATGTCACGGCAATGCCGCCTTCACGGCCAGCACGACCAGTTCTCCCGACTCGATGGACGTAGGCCGCTGCGGAGTTGGGGATGTCGTAGTTGACAACTCCGTTAATACCGCGGAAGTCGACACCCCGTGCCAAGAGGTCGGTGGTAACCAGAATCCAGATCTCGCCTTTTCGGAAACCTTTCATGATCTCAGATCGTTGGGTGTCGGATAGGTCAGAATGGAGGACAGCGATTCGTGATGAGCCACCGGCCTCGGCGGGGATGTCGTACATTAATTCGGAGTGGAGCGCAACGGCCCTGGGGATGGTCTGTGTGAAAATGAGGAAGGGAGGACGTAAGCGTACATCTTCGGGTAATGCTGCTGCCGGGTGAAGAAGCTGTCTTAGACCCAACAGCTTCCCTTGTTCCGTTGCAGCGTATATAAGTTTGTGACTGATGTTAGGAATAGCAGAGTCCTTCAGTCCGACAACGAGGCGAATAAGCGGCTGGGACTCGTTCCGAGTCAAGGAGAGAGATTCTCGTCGTTCGTTGATAGTCGATTTAAACAGATCCTCGATGCTTGAGCCCATCGTAGCTGACCAAAGGCTCATGCGGAGTTCCGGATGGGTACAAGCTCTCCAGATACTGAGGGTCTGGTCGCGGAAAAGAGGGTCCAGAAGAACATCGGCCTCGTCCAGAACCAAATTCCTCACCAGGGGTAAGCTAGCTATGGATTTCGTACCGTTCGCAGAAAGTGCATTGACAAGCAGCAGCGGAGTAGTTACCAGGACATCACTCTTGGTGACTGGAGCCTGCCGTCGGGTTTTCACCGTAGTCTTATCCTCCTCTTCCTCATCATCATCATCTGAAGATGACACACTATCATCGTCCGAAGGATTTGTATCCTGATCAACGTTCTCATCTTCTCGCTCTACGACCCTCATGCCCTTTTTCATCATGGTAACTTTCACTCCAGTCCCAAGAGCCAATTTTCGTCCCTCGTTAACAATCTGACCAGCAAGCTCCTTGGTCGGAGCAACGATAATAGCGAATATTCCCCGCTCATCTTGCTGTTCATGATGATGACGGACGATCTTGTTGATGACTGGGATCAAGAAAGACAAAGTCTTTCCACTGCCCGTCGGCGCCACAACGAGTAAATCCGGCTCAGTGACTTCCCCAGATTTTGTCTTGCTTGTCGACTCTCCCAGCAACAGAGGCAAGCTCCCCAATTGAACCTCGGTAGGAAGAGTGAACCCCTGCTCAGCAATGTTCTCCGATAGTCGTCTAGATATCTTGTATCTCGTCCGTAGTTCCTTAAATGAAACTAGAGGCTGTGGATACAGTCTTCGAGCCTTTTTCTGTTCCTTCTTGTTAAGCGGCGCAGCTTCTTGCTGCAGCTTCTTCTTCTTCTTCTTCTTAGGCTCCTTGACTTCTGGCTGCACGATGCCTATTTCCTCCAGATCACGTAGATCCGTAACTTTGATCTTGTGTGAATTGAGAATCGTGCGCCGTTCGACGTCATCCATCGACTGCTCTCCTTCCTCTCCGCCATCTGATCCAGAGGCATCGAATGCATGCTTTTTCAGAGTTGCCTGGTTTTTATCCGTTGTCGTGGCACCTGAAGGGCCTTTATCCGTACTGAAAAAATCAAGATTCATATCCATGGCAGCATCATCATCATCATCTTCTTTTTCTCTCCCCGAAATACCATTTTGGGAATCGTCTCCCCTCTTGCGCTTTTTCCCATGTTTCGCCTTTCCTGTCCTTTCAGCCAGCAACTTTTCGGCTTCGGGATTACGGAAAAGTTGCGGGTTCTCTGCTTTCCCCGTCGATGGGAGGCGACTTGTTACCGATTTTGTCGAAGAGGGAGTAGTCGCGCCTCCTATCTTCAGTTTTGTCGAACGGGTTAAAAGCTTGAAAGCGTCCATCTCCGGAATCTTTTATTCCTTCGTTGGACTTTCAATACATGTAAAATGCTGCAAAGTGAGTCCTGGTCATGTTGTTTTGGAGTTTTTTTTTTTTTGATGTCCAAAAAATTTTGGAGCTTCTTTTCCGCACGGACCAATAAGAAGTAAGTATGTCAACCAGTTCCAATCCATTGCTTATAAAAGGGTTCAATGCTCCATTTCATGGTCTGATATGGGTCGATTGAGCCTGATTCTGTGGACTCTAATGAGAATTTAACTGGAGTAGACGGACTAGGAAGTACTGCTTTCAGAATACCATCTATCTACGGTGTTTACAAAACCGGCCCATTTCAGACCGATTATGGTTGCTACTCCTAGGAGCACCGGAGACATGGAACGTAATTTCTTCTCGCATATATAGATGGTTCAAAAGCGGTAAAATCACTGGGCAATATGTGCGGGCTTTGGAACTCAGACCCCCATCAATGCGTTCAACCGACGATTCCGAGGTGCAGAGGGAAACGGAAACTCCTTGGAAACAAAGAACTCGTCAAATGGCCCGCGGGAAATCGCACTCGAAAAAGTCTACTGCAGACAACAGTTGACTCCATCGTCTATCATACAATAGTACAGCGCGTAGAGCAAATAAAGGAAAAGAAAACAAGGCCGGTTATTTGTTATTGAACCACCTAGTGGTCATGGTGCGCTTCCCCCTTGTATCCGATAAAGTTCATCCGACCGATGATTTCGCCAACGGTGAAGAATCCAATGACCTCAGCAGCAGTTACTCCAGCGAAAGCAATCTCCTTCTTGTTGGCGTTACGGACGCGTGCCACAATGCCCTGAGTAGACGGAAGGTTGAGGTTCTTGATCGTAGCGGGATTGCGAGCAGCATTGATAAGAGGCTGGAAGTAGGATTGGAAGGTGGCCAGGTTTCTAACGCAGAAACGTGTTGTTAGCCGAGACATCCATTCCCCCCGACAGTAATAGCGGCTGCTGGCTGGCGACGATGACACTTACGGAGGGTACATGTTCTGACCACGGAAAACCAACTTGGCGAGCTCGAATGCGACTTTCGAGTAGTAGACGGTAGGGGGTATCAATGCTAATTTCATGTCGCCAATTTGTCAGTCACGCATATCCAGATGAATGAATTGAATAAATGGGCAGTCGAGGTCTGCCAATGGACAAGAGGATAGCCCGGATCTCTTGTAGCATTGTCGTCCTCCCACCACATCCACTGGAAGAGAAAGGGATAAAGGCCAGTATGATAACCAGTCCCCCAAAGGGTATCCTTACAATCGACGAAAGAGATAACCTTTCCTGTCCTCCCTCCGACTTTCCTCAAAGCCTGAGTAGCATTCGAGAGAATAGGACCCGCAGAGGCCGTGACGCGAGAAAGACCCTCACTTGCTTTCGAAACAGCTGAGGAAGCGGCTTCCTTGGCCTTGGAAGCTTCGGGGCCAGTCGAAGCGTGCCTGATGGCTGTCCTACGGGTAAGGAACTGCGATTGCCGCAGCACGGCACGAGACGCCGTGACGGGCATCTTGACGACCGAGAAAAAGAATTAAGGCGGGTAAGAGGGGGGAATGGTAGCAAGAGACCTCTGGTTGAGGACAAAGGGTCCAATGGCAGGGTGGTCAAGGGCCAGACTGTATCGCGCGCTTACGAAGCCAGAAAATCTGGGATTCGAAGGTCGGGAAGTTCAGGAAAAGTCGTCCGCGCTCGGCCGCTCACGTGATGGTGCCTGGATACATGGAAGTTTACTGCACATACATCTACAAGCTGCACACATAGCATACAGTGGAATGTAGAGTGCTAGTCCCTAGGAATAATGACAAAGTGATGCCATCTCATGGGAAATAGGGAAATTCTGGGTGTGGGCTATATTCGACGCAGTGCCGTGTCGGGTACTTCCACATACTACGGAGTAATTGTCGGTGACGGCGGAAAGACCATGGTTGTGCGTGGTCTTTAGACACAGAAGCGTGGTCTTTCCGCGCTGTGCGTTGGTGCCTTGAACATTCCAGGCACGCTATACCCAGTTTGTTTTAGGGCCATTTCTATGGTCACAGATATCGGCGTGCTTTCTTACACTCGGCGCGTACATCATATAAGGAGGCAAGAACATATAAGGGCCTGGATGTAGCCTCGTAGATTCGTGATTTCATGTGCCTTTGTTCATAAGAAGTCGTACAATACTGGAGGTTCTGCTATTTCTGTCTCCTGGAACGTTTTCACGTGTGCTACTTAGTATGCCTCAGACGAAGATGTTGCATGAGGACGTCGATTGGAACGCCTTTGTTCAGCAACCTGATAATAAAACAGAAGGCAGATTCACGGAGGCTACAAAGCGTCGCATTCTCCATGTGAAGCTGAATTTCCAAAAGTATTGTCCTTTCTCTTTATGCGAATGTCTTTGCTGATTCGGTGTCCATTCCAGATTCTCATCCAAATTAAACCTGCCAAAATATGAACACTGGATCAAAAATATCACACTGAGGCTAATCGAAGGTTTCCTGCACTGGTATCTCAATGAGCACAATATGAAGTATCAGTCTGGATTCTTGGTCTTCGCCTGATACTTCCGGATCTTCTGGTGCGAAGAGATGGACAGCCTCTTCCCTTACGACCTCAGACGCAGGATAACAAGGGCAGGTCACTACCCATCGATCATCAATGCTAGAAACTAATTTGGTTAGCTGGTATGCACCACTCTTACTGACGAGTATGAACTTGATATGGGAGCAAAGACGCAGCCGCCTATCAATATTGACGACCTCCTGTACAAGACGTACCACATCATGGCATTGACTATCATGCATTTTGCGACTGTTCGGTGTCAGAATCAACACAGTTGCCTTAGGAAGATGATGTCATCAACATCTGCACGGCCTAGGACTTTGGTTGAGTCTGTGGGATACATGAGGAGCCGCGACTCCTTAAAATGGAAGGATATTGAGCTTTACATGGTGAAGCACCTGGAGAACCCAGCATGTCAGACACTTCTTATGAGGGTTACGCATTGGCTTAACAAAGGCAAAAGGAATAAGGGTGTCGTGTAAGTCTTCTACCCTGTTCTCATACACCTTGCTAACCCTTACAAGCCCAGTCTTCACTTATACTGAAAGAAATGACAACCTTGGCCTATGTGTCATTCAAGACATATTGGAATTTGCCTTTCGCGATGATGCATTTGCTAGCGAATATATTAAAGAGCTGAGGGATGTCTGGTGGTACACCCACGTGCCAAACCACCGACTCAGCACTCCTATTCATTTCAAGGAGGAAGTCCAAGAGATCCCAGTATTTCATCATGCAGTGAAGGATGCAGAAGGGTGGTGGATCACTCATCCAACAAGTGCCTTGCCGTATAAAAAGCTCCAGGAAGATGAAGTCACGACAAGCAGGGAAGATGGATCCAAGGTCCCAGGTTCTTTGTATAAATATCGCAAAGGGGCTGCTGAAAACCTTAGTAAGTCGTCCATTCATGAAAATAGAGATTATTCAGGTGCTAACATCTGTGAAGGGCACTTAGATGAACACTCCAGGAATGTTATCATGGGCCACAGCTGGAGTCACACATTTGCATACTATGTTCAGGTCCAGGACAATACCCAATCCACCTTTATAGGTACCCCAACCAGAGATGCTTTGATAAAGCTCGCAACGAATTCGAGTTTGACCCAAGATGCATCTGTGCCGCAACATTTGAGTGATGAAAAGAAACAAGAAATTGAGTGACTCACTGAGCTCACTCACCTGAAGCGCACACGTGATCAACTCCAGCGTGATCTGATCGCACAATACCATCAGCTGCACAAGGCTCGAGGGACCACCCTGTATTCTGAATTTGAAAGGGCCCAGAGACAGGTGAGAGTGAAAAGGAAGAAGTTGCATAAAACGGCCAAAGATGAGCAGCATGACAATTTCTTCAAGCATGTCAGAAACCACATTGTTGAGGGAAATTACAAGGGGCAACCCCTTACCTTTGAGCCCGACATATCGCATGTTGTTCCGGAGAGAAAAGCCCTTGCTGACCTTGAGTTCAAGAATCAGGATGTCGATAAGATCAGCGACGCAGAGCTACTTGAGGATCGTATCCGATCTCTTGAGATGCGACTGGCTCTCTATCACCTGGAGGTACCGAAAACCCTGCAGAATCGCATCAACTTTCGTGAACCTTCACCTGAAGTGCCCAGCTGTCCGGAAGTATTGGATAATCTTCTGCTTGAGAGCAAAAGTGGACTTGAATGCCCCGTATGCCTTGGTCGTCCTGGTATGCATTCACGCGCAAGACGGTACATCTATGCCCGGAAAGATACGCTGCAGAGGCACTTCGAGACGCATAACTTGAAACAGAAGTTCCCAAAAGGACGGACGTGTGATTATCCTGGATGCGAGGAGGTCTCCTACACTCTCTCCAGGTACAAGCTTCATCTGGATATGGTACACAAGATTTCTCTATGATATCATGTTTTTACCGGATTGGATTTGTTTATAATTATACCTTTCAAGACCATCTGCAGGCAAGAGAAGCCGGCAGAACGGCTCCGGCCAAAATAAATAATCGCTTATCAGTGCCATCCTCCAAAACTCACGATAATGGTCCAATGGCTACACTGTCATCGGGAAAGGCACCACGTCGGGGCTGTGGAGAGAAGTCTCGCGCGAAGCGGAGGTATACCGAATGCTGCGGCAGGCGCTAGAGTCTGCGGTGCCTGTTTTCCTGGGTACGATTGACTTGGCGAAAACTTAATTCCTCCACGGGGCTGGAGAGAATCGCCATATGCTCTGGGGGGGAGAGAGTACGGCATCGAAGGAGCTGACGCCTAAGCTTCTCGAGGAGATTCGCAAATCAAACAAGGAAATTGGGATGGTCCATAAAGACCTTCGGCGTGATAATGTCCTATGGAATGAAGAGCTTGGGCGCGTGCTAATCATCGACTTTCACCGCTCGACATTGAAATGTCGGCCGACTTTGCAGCGACCACGAGCCATAAAACGACGACTATGTCAGCCAGAGATAGGAGACCCAAAACGAGTTCGTGCGACGTGAGATAGTATGTTTTCTTCTGGTGGGTTAGCAATCTAGCTATGGATGATAATGAAGCGTCAAGTTGTTTCCGTCCTGCATCCAGAGTCAGTATTTCTACCTGTTGGGACCAATTTTGAAGGAGCTGATCTCCTGATCTACCCATTCCTTAACGCTGCAGGCTGCGAAAACAGGATCATGTTTGTGCCGTAGCAGGTATCCTTCCAAAGAGGCGGGCGAGAACCAACCCGGAGGAATGTTGCTGGCGAATTGATTCGCTAGACGATCAAGGTCGTTCGGTGCCCATTCATCGGAGGCTGGTTCAGATAACGGTTGGATGGTGCCATTTTCTTGTCGGACCGCCATAAACTGTGTATCCCTAGGGACCAAATAAAGCTTGTAAAAAAGCTCTCGAGCCATAAGATCATCCGCATAGCCGATAAAAGCCTTCATGTCAACTCTCCCTGCACGCAAAAGAGCAGGGTCCAGACGGTCAATGTGATTGGTAGTCATGAAAAGAAGGCGACCTTCTTTCGCAGCCACGCCATCAATCACGTTCAATAAGCCTGAGAGAAAGATATTTCCCTGTGCTGATCCGGTATCGTGCGTCTTAGCTTTCTCAACCCCGTCGGTCGCCTCCTGGCTTGGCTGAGAAGAGATATCACCACCGCGTTTCGGCACACCGGCGGCATCGATATCCTCCAAGAGAACAATGGAACGCTCCGGACATTTTTGGAATAGAACGGAGAGGGTGCTGTCGTTAAGTCCAGAGGAGCCTAGAGAGAGAGTATATATATCCATACACAACATGCTGGCGATGGCATGACACAGGCTTGACTTCCCTGTACCTGGCGGACCGTATAGGGCAATGCCTTTTCGATAGGGAATGCCACGTTCCTTGTAAAATGGCTCAGTTCGGGGGTGAAAGAAGTCCGTCACCTCGTTCACAATGTCCATTTTTACCTTCTGATCCAAAACCACTGAGGATAGGAATCGTGGCGCTTTCGTCGCCATCGGCACCCACGACAGAGGCTGGCTCAGACCGGTATAGACAATGACATCGCGAGGGTTCTTGTTGACGGGGGTTTCCCGGATATCATGCATGATGTCACCGAGGACGCATCGATCATCGCGAGTGTAGAAAATCAGTGTTTCCGGAGCAGCGAACCATGGACCACCCGATTCCTTGGATACGCGTCGTTGGAATCCAACCTTGTGTCCTCTGTAGCTAAACCAATGGATAGGACCCTGTGACGGTGTAGACTTGAGTCCTCCATGTGCATCCCGACACCTTCTCTTCAACCAGTATTCTCGTGGGTTATGCTCAAACAACCGCTCATCGTCTAGGATGTCCTTGAGGTCATCGTCGTATTGATCGTTGTTTTTATCGCCGTCGTCCCACGGGGAGGAAAAACTCGCTTTCGTGCTGACAACAAACTGGTCCGTCTTGCTCAACTTTGGCTGACGAGATATCCATATTATCGCGCTTCGATAGAAATTATCATAGCTCGGTATCGCCATCTCTTTCGCACGGCCCCGTAAAACTAACTCCATGTAGCTCCAACGTCCAAGGATGAAAGCAATAAAGAACACAAAATCGCGCAGGTAGGATGAAACATACGGATAGAAAGCAAAGGAAGTCAAAGAGGAAAGAAAATTAAACCCAGGAAGTAGAGCCTCCATCAGAGGGAGTATTATGGAGGATAGTGCACCAGTGGAACTGTAAGTAGAAGCCATATGAACGTGGAATAGACAGTAGTCTGTGTAGATGATATTTGAAAGGGGGATGGAGTAATATTATACTTTTCGGTGGAAAAACAAAGGCGGAGGACATGAAAAGGGATAATCCAGCCTGCTGTGTCGAGACACCCGAGACCTCTCTGTGATTTTCTTCGGTTCTGCTGCCTGTGGGGTACTGACAACTACCTAATCTTAGAAACCAGGCTTTTAGGTCAGCCTCATTGTTTTCGACCTGGCCTGGGAAGTGGTGTCAAACTTGTTATTGATAGAAAAGCGATGTCCCAGTCCTTTCATATAAAGAGATGAGAAGGATTAAAACGCCTGGGCCTTGAAAGTATATAAGCTATATCAGACTTGATAGATTCCTGGTTTGAGGCGCCTTTGCTTTAGATGTAACAGGAAGCATATAAAGAAAAATATGGCCCATATCAAAAGTAATAAATATATGAAAGGCATGTCTGGCCAGCGTGTCGGCCAAAAGAAGGGTAGGACGCGAACAGCTTAAATATACAGGAAAATTTAAAAAGTTCTTTAACAGAGCCAATTCTAACTACATGATCTCATCGAGCCCTAAGGAAATCTAGAACCTCTATTCAGCACAACGGGCGTTCAAGACCATTTGATTAAAAATCACAGTACTAACTACTAAGCAGACATTATGGACAACTGTGATGGCAACATTGGAGGACCTACAGGTACCCTGGTTATACAAGTGCAACAAAGGCGATTATCAATAAGCATAACAGGGGCTCTGTTAACCATAAGAGCTTGTCTCTTGCTGTTACCTATGAAGCCTCCTTTTCGCTTAATTCTTTTCTTCCTTGGAATACCCTCTTCCTTTTCTGCAGTCTTCGCAGGAGTTCATGAATCAGTGTCCAATCGTCGAACAAAGGTAGATACAAGAGTTGATATCATATCGGTAAGCATGGTTGACCAGGAAATGGATGGGACATAGGCAGATTAAATACACAGGAATTGTCAAAACTAAACAGACCAGAATTGAAATGTAGACATACTATCCGACCTCCGTATGTTGGTGTTCTGTTTGAGGTGGAGGCAGGACAATTAGACGGCGCCGGTCATAGTCCACTTGGAATACGTTCCAGGCTTTGTCTGGCACATCTGATATGACACTATCAAGACATGACTGAAGGCCTTGTCGGACACCTTGGCAAAGGCTACTAGCATCGATATGCAATGGGCAAAAGACGAGATGATAATGCTCAGGATCATTCCGAAAGCGGGCGAAGAACACAAACCCACGTGGATAGAAGTAATATGAATGAAAGCGTGTGAAATACTGGATTCCAAATTGGGTCTCAGCGTCGATGACATTGTGGATTTTGGGGACGGGACGATCCATTTGCTGAGTGTTTCTGGTAGCCTGATTCAGGGGTACTGGGAGATGTTGGAGGGCTATTCGGCTCATGCTTTGATAAACCAAAAGGCACCCAGAATGGAAGATTGAGGCAGAGCATAATATCGAATACAAGTTGAGAGCTTTCTTTGGTTCTAACGGTCAAGTTCCAGAGGTATCCTACTGGGTTTATATAGGCCTTGGGGAGCTTATACTACAAGAATCTGTCGCAGCCACCTGGTACCATTAGTAGAAACTGAACAACATAGCTTTTGACAAGGAGAATTCTGATTAACCACAGGATCGGAGCAAGATGGCCTGAGGTGAGTGCAGATATCACTGGTTGCAACGTCAGGTTTAGATGTCTTATTGACCACGTGAAACAAGCGTATAGGTGGGGCATCGGAAACTGTCCCTCCCAAGTCGCATCCAGTTTACCGTGGCAGTTCTCTTGATGACAACAACGAACACTTTGGTCGTAAAGGATATCTTCATTCAATATGACTCTAGAGAAACGACCACTTACCGATCCTATTAGGGATATTATCAAAAGAATACCAGATCCTACTGCCAACAAGGGAGTCTATCTTGGCAGAAAATCGGGGAGACTAGGAAGGCGCATGATAGGTTCATAACGCGTGCAGTAGGAACTTTCGACGCATTCCGTGAAACTTAAAGAGGATTCTCTGTCGATGCATGTTATTGGTCGAGGTAATCGTATTTATGCTGTGACAAATTTCCATTATGGCTAAATCTGTATCACGTGACAAGGTGTAATACACCACGTGCAATTGGGAATCAACTCGGGCAGCAAGAAACCCCGCCTGCTATAAATCGTTTATTACAATCCTAATCCCAACCACATCTAGCCAATTCCCAACACCTTCATCATGCCTATCGAACAGTGTCAGCTCAGCCAAATTCCTATGGATAGCGTCAGACGGATACAGAGCCTTATTTATGAAGGGAAAACGAGTATTGGTCAAGGCAGGCCAGGTGAGGCATGGCAATGGGAGGGGGAGGACCTCAAGAAAGAACTGGATGATTTGAAGAATTGGATGCGGACAAGTGGGCACGAAGTAAGTTATGCCAATTATAACAAAACTTTTTTAACTAACTATTCAGGTTCTTCAATGTAATGTGTTTCATTTTACCCAAAACGCCCAAATCGTCAGAAATCCACAAATATCTCAACCAGCTACATATCTTTTGATTGTGATAAATGGGGTTCCAGCATTTCGAACAGGAAAGCAACTTTTGCCAAATCAAGCCTACTATGTTGACGAACTGCCGATGCTCTTGGGTACAGACTGGGACATTGTCATGGCTGCTCTGGCTAAGGGGAGGCCTTAGGGTGTGGGAGTAGCTGAGGGAGGTATATCATACGACGAGGGACCGCCGAAATCAGAAGCCATCATCTGTGCTAATGCAGTATCTATTTCACTGGATGAAAGAACACCAGGAGATGGGCCATCTGGTATTGAAGGCAAGTGTGGCGGTACAAGGGGATCAACAGCCGAGTTCATGCTGCAGTATTGCGCTAGAGGATCAACAATGTATGGGAATTCGATTGGATTGACGAGCGAGATGAAGCCCGGCAAATCTACCTCTTCATCCGCTGGTTCGTGTGTCCGCTGGCTTTTATTTTGAGCCGCGACGTCGTCTGCGTGGTCAAATTTGCGTTTGGTCTCTCTCAGATTATCAATTCTCTCTATAGAGTATTAGCAATTGCCAAATAGACCAAACGGTAGAGCTACCCTGGTTTCCGTTCAAGGCTTCGTGCACCCATTGCTCATATTGTTCCGCGATCTGTCTCCATTTGGAGGAGTGCATGGTGCTGACGAGGAATGGAAGACAGCCATATCTTAGCCGACGAAATTTGTCATGAACAAAAGACAATACTCCAATGATACCAACCGGGAAAATGGAACCATTCCCAGCATGTGCAGCGAACAAGTGGCCAAAAACACGGTATTTAACTCCATATTCAAGGAAGCGCCTTCCTCTGTCCTTGTTCTGCATTGAAGGTTTTGTGTTGATGTAGTCTTTGTACCTGGAGTTTCTGTTGCCCGAGCCGAGATCCGCCAGAAGTACGTCAACTCTTGGTTTTTTGCCGTTCTGAATTTCCCATTTGGTATATTGGTCTGCCAATATAAGCGAACCAAGGACGTTTCGTAAGGTCTCATGGGCACAACTCTTGTTGATTTTAGCATCATTGAGTAATGGGTCTTCCGTCTCCCAACTCAAGTGATGCACAGCAAATTTGGAGGTCGTTCTAAAGACTTCAAGGATTGTTCTTTCTTCACGATCCAATTGTGCCATGAGCTGTTCAATATTTGCTTGATCACTCACGGTTGGCCGTGGGCTCATTGGCTGTGGGCTTGCTGTTTGCTGTGGACTCGTTGGCTGTGGACTCGTTGGCTGTGGACTCCTTGGCTGTGGAATCACTGTTGGCTGCGTCGTTTGTGGGCTCTTTCGTGGGCTTGCTGTTGTCTGTGGACTCTCTGGCTGTGTGGTCGTTGGCCGAGTGTTGGCCTGTTGGTTTGAGCAAATGGAGCTCGCTGGCTGACATGACTGGCCTGCGAGCTCGGTCGGCTCATTGTCCTGGGTATCTAGATATGTATTAAAGGGTTGCAAGCAGAATCACATATCTGAGGATAACATACCATGGGCTGTAGGTTGCAAGAGAATCTGAAGGCTGTTTAATGCCGATTCAAGTTCTTTGCGATGAGCAAGTAAGCCTTCTTTATTCACTGACGTTATAGTTGATAATGTCAACGCTGCATCTATGATCTTCTGCACGGAGCTCATTGTGAGCTTTGACTGCTTTTAAAAAATGGCAAGACAGAGGGAAAGGAACCGATGTTGGGTACTTAAGATGGGATGCGCCGTATCCCATCCTGCTGACTGGAGTCGAGATGGGATGCGCTCCTGCGGACCGGGGTCAATATGGGATGCGCCGTATCTCATCCTGCTGACAGGGTTCGTGATGGGATGTTGCTGTATCCCATCCTGCTGATTGGAGTCGAGATGGGATGCGCTCCTGCGGACCGGGGTCAACATGGGATGCGACGTATCCCATCCTGCGGACAGGGATGCGTTGGTTGGCATAACGCCAGAAAACTCTCATCCTATTACTAATAGGCTCGCTCGTCTCCTCCAGGTATTCGATTCTAGGGAGGGGTTAGGGTCATGATCATGCTTGCACCCTTCTATATGTGTTATAGCACCCATCCTAATTTAGCTTCTGAGCATTGGCGGGGGTTGGAAGAATGGGGTGCGCTGTATCCCATAATAACAGGGATTATGAGAAGTCAGCATGGAATGCATTGCAACTCACCGTACTAACAGGGTTTGGCATGGGATGTGCTGTATCCCATCATCCTAATTGGGATTAGTATGGGGTGCGTTGTAGCCCATCCTCATCGGAATCCCACTTTAATTAGCAGGTCGGCGTTGGGGCGCACCACATGCAATATGGGATGCACTGCATCACATCTGGATTTTGTTCAAGCCCATTGGTATCAAAAATGTTTCTTTATAAGGTCTCATTCTGTGGTCCTTCATCTCTACCGTCATAAAATCGTCTTTGGCTCGTTAAATGTGTATCCATCTTCCTTTCATCTACCGATCTTAACTGCTCTCCGTTCCTAGTCGCAGCCTGTCTTTCCATAGCCTGTTGTCACTCAACTCGAACGAAAATTGTTTAACTCGATCAACCCCAAGATCAAGATATCCAGCAAGGTTTGTAGGGGGTCATCAATACTGAACATACACTAATACCCGTGACAGATGTGTCGTTGGAAGGACATAGTATTTCAAAGCTGTGGGTGCATCACTGGCCCGTTTAAAGTTGGGCCCGTGAACAACTGTGGAGGGAACTGTACGTTCCAGACACAGAGCCCGGCTCAGGTTCTTGATATCGAAACCAACCCAGGACGATGCGACATCCACACTCATCGACCGTCGCCATCGAGCAGTGAAGGGTCGTTGTAATGGTATCCTGTTGTATTACCTAGCTATGTCTGTCAGGAGGGAGGGATAGATCAAATATCTGTCCCCTAGAGCGGTGTAATCGTGTATAAGGTCATTTCTAGAGCCTTGGCATAGGAAGACTTTACCTTTCGTTTATAGTTTACTGCTGTCCAATCTACCGGCAGAATATATACACATTCGCTATGATCGTTGTGTTTTCTTTAGTATGAACTCTCAATTGAACCTTCCTCCACAAATCGATCTCTTTACCCTTCCCAGGCTTAAAGTGATCCCCAAGAACAAGACCTGGTTATGAAAGAAATGAAATTTTAAAGCAAGGCTAGGCATAATCATATTCACGAAGTCCGACATAGAAGAAAAGGAAGAAAAAACTAGTGTCAAGTACAGAGAGATATGTGTACGATCTCCACCTCCACGGAGAGAATGCTTCGGTAATGATAATAGCGTTCTCTGTCCACGTAAAACAATTTCATCCTCCAAAAGACAGTCATGAAACCAACTCAAGTCTCAATTTGCGGTTGGCGTGGGTTCGGGTAATGAAGATTCTCGTCGTAATGGTTATCAAACAAAGGTAAAGGATCCTGACCATGGAGATTGTGCATGTTCCTAAGAACCTTAGCAATTGTTTCATCCAGCGATCGTTTTCGGACAAGTGTGAGTTGTTTCTTCGTTAGGCCAAGGACATAGACAGGGATCAATGTCCTGCATTCATGAGCGGTTTCATAGTTATAATCGGTATTATTGAGGTCGATTATAAAATAGGAGTGCTTTCCGCGGCAGATTTTGACGGCGACCAAGCGAGTCTCATTATCCGGGTGCAATCTTCGGAGGTATTCCTCGGTCGCAGAAACAAAAGGACGTATGGAACTTAAATAATCTTCAGGGTCAAGAATACTATTTGGGGTATCGGCAAGTATTCGTATTCGCAACGAGCCTGAGCCGACATCAGGTAGAGATTCAGAGGGAATCACTCGGATTTGGCGAATAATACGTTCGCGAATCTGTTGGGTTGAGCTGTCCATGGATGGGGTGGTACCTTAGGAGATATGATAATGAGGGAGAATGAACATTGCTGGCCTTCCAGATACCTTGGATGAAGGGAGGCATTTAAATGCAATCAAGGGATGATCGGCAGCAGGATTAATAATTGTCCGTGCTGTTTGGTAGCCCAGCATGCATGCGATGAGTAAGCCCCAAGTCCGACGAACCCCAGCACATATTTGACGAAGAATGTATGTCCACTGGCAATTCCGACCTTGTGACGCTGGCCGTCAGTTTTGGGCACGCCACCCTGGCCGTCTGCCCTCAGGCCTCCAACCTCATAGACGATCAGATATATGTCTAGGCCCGCCAAGGACCCAAGCCCCAGGGTATATCACCAGGGTGGGCTTCTGTCGCGAAGGGTCGGGTGGCCCACACAGGATCCTGACGGGTCCTGGGTCGACCATATCCTGGGAGTATCGATTTTGGGAGCAGACGAATCCCAGGGTCGTCAATCCTGTGATAGATTCATTATGGGATGGTCAATTTCAGGCCAGGAACTTGCCCATTGTAGAGAGGGTTCCAGGATGGGGAGTCACAGGATTGCAAATCTCGGGATTTATTCAACATATTCTTGTAGCTTGGATGTACTTCCCCTTGCGGCACCGACAAGGGGAAGGGGTTTCATGAGTATTTCCGGATTAATATTTCCACCGAAGGCCGCTCCGCTGACCATGACCACCAACACTGCCCTGGAGTTTTCCATCCTTTCCATCCCTTATTCGCGGTAGCGATGAGTGGAAGCAGCTCTCCAGACTACAAAGCGCTTTTCCTCAAAGAGAGGGAACGCAACCGACCGACGACTTTCCCAGAGTTCATCCAACATTGCCACGATCTCCTTTGGAGGCCACTCCGAGCCCAAACACCGTCTCGCTCAACGACAGGCAAAATTCCCGCTCCTATCGGAAAACACTGCCCCCTACGACTGCGTCCGTGGACTGACTGTGAGGATAAACAGCGGGAAATTTACGAATCTGTTTGCCGTTACCTGCAGCCAGCAGGAGAAGATGCACCACAGTTATTCACGTCACTCGTTGCGTTGGAAGACCATGGTCGACGATTCGCACGTCGACCGATTAGCAGCGAACAAGATCTCGAGACCTACGAGCGACTCGCCGTCGAAGACCACGTGCACGACATTGTCGCCGAGCTGTGCAAAATACCAGAGGCTCGCGAAGAGTTCCGGTTAGGCAACGGAGTGTGGTTCGATAATCACGCCAATGCTCTGGAGGAAGACGATGAAGTCGAGCCATCAATCACAAATCCTTCAAAGCCTGATCAATTTTGCATCCATCGGATGGACGGTAACAGGAGTACCTTGCTCACCACGGTCGAATACAAACCCCCACACAAGCTCTCCGCTGCGAACCTGCGGTTAGGCCTCCGACCGATGGAATTTTGGCGAGAAGTGGTCCAACCTGATCATGTTCCGACGGAGGAGCCAGAGAAGTCAAGATATCACGCCGAGCGGTTGGTCGGATCAGCCATCGTCCAAGAATTTCATGTGATGATTCAAGAGGGTCTGGAATATTCATATCTAACGAACGGTCTGATGGACGTGCTGCTCTGGGTGCCCTACGATGACCCAACTATCGTTTATTACGACCTGGGTGACCCCGGTATATACGGAATGGCGGATGCTGGAGGGCCTAGAATTCCGAGGACTCGCATTGAGAGGACGCTTTGCCTCTGTCTGATGAGTTTTCGCACCTTCATTCGTGATCAGGCGTGGCGGAATGCCGCAAAAGACAATCTACCGAAATGGCGCACGAGTTATGATAGCGATCGCTCCCAGATCGTAGTGGTGGATTTACCACTGGACGATGCTAGCTCCGATTTTGCTAGTCCTGAGCAGACGACCTCGGAATACCTCACATCATCGTCTCCCGTCACCGGGCCTCGAGTGACCACACGAGCGGCCGCTAGCTGCGCCCCACCATCCGACCAACATCCTCGAGGGGATTCTTCTGATTCTGAGGCTGATCCTGCTGCGCCTGCTGGACGGAAGCGGAGGTTCAGCCTGATCCCATCGTCCCCTCCAACCCAACGGCCTGCACCCCGAGCAGATCGCCATGGGAACGAAAGCGGGCAATCTCGCTCCCATGATGCTCCATTTTGCACGCAAAGGTGCCTTCTCGGGCTACAGCAAGGCGGCCCGGTTGACCCTGCGTGCCCCAATACGGGCCTACATATACTTGGCAGAAGGGAGGACCGCCATCCGATCAGCGCAGTTGACTTGGTGAAGATGCTTAAGGCGCAGCTCGATCATGATCTAGATCATAACTGCACTCCCATGGGCCCTTATGGGTCTTGTGGGAAGTCCGGCGTACCGTTCAAGATTACATGTTCCACCTTCGGATATACTGTTATCGGGAAAGGGACGACTTCGAAACGCTGGCGTATGGTCTCACGCGAAGCCGAGGCCTACGGGGTCCTCCAGCGTGCCCAAGGATCGGCCGTTCCCGTCTTTCTCGGGGCAATCAATTTGGTCCCAACCTACTTCCTTCACGGCGCGGGAAGGATCCGTCATATGCTTCTCATGGGCTGGGGTGGCGAAAGCGTGGGCGATACTCTTTCAGACAAGACCATCCAGCGTGCAATTTCTCGGTCGGTGAAGGAAATCCGCCGTTTCGGCGTTGTCCATCAGGATCTCCGTCCGGACAACATCTTGTGGAATGCTGAGCTCCAGCGAGCTCTCATCATTGATTTTCATCTGTGCACCTTGGATTATCCACTGCTGGATAGACGGCCAGGTGCACTTAAACGATTACGGTGTGGTCGTGAAGAACGTCACTCAAAACGGGTGCGTGTGGTATGAGAAAGGCCACTTGGGAACATCGTGGCACGATGACCAATTGCTAGTGATTCCATCGCGCACAAGGGCGAGATGAGAATCGATCAAATAGAGAGAGCCCAACAAGCATCCAAGCTTCGGTGGCGGTCACAAAGTGAATTTTCGGATAATGAGGCCCTATGAAGAAGCGGTTCCTCGAACTTTTCACCAAGGCGATCGTGCAGTGCCTGTGAATCTTTCAAAAAAAAAAAAAAAAAAAAAAAAACAAAAACCACGTCCCCATAATAGCTATGGTCAGAATAAGTCGCAAGCATCGATCTGGAGCAAGAGATGGCGGGGTCAGTTTCCTGACTGGCCAGATGATTTATTCTCTATGCACCGGACGTAGCACCGACATGTATCCTCGTAATATGGAATTCTAAACCATGCGACTGGGTGTATCTGCCCTCGACCGTATCTGGCACCTCGTCAACTATTATGGCAACAGACGGACTCGCCAGACAAACTTGGGAGGTCAGTCGGATTCGAAGTCGAACCTGACGTCACTGTATGTCAGAGGGAGGCGGTGTTGATCGCCTGCAGCACTCTGCTCCGCCATCATGACTGCGCTGGTCGCCCACCGTCGGCCGTGATGATCATCTCGTTGCATCGCCAACTGTATTGAAAGCGAGTTAGATCGCGAAGGAGGCCCGTCGAGGTCCACTGCTGATCGATCTGTGCGCACATGCTGTTCTCGGTCAGTATCGTCAATACCGAAGAGACCATCTGGATCTCGGTCTCGCGAATATCCTGTACATGAAAATGTCAAGGCTTCACCAGCTGCCTCGAGCCAGCGATCGAGCTGCATGCGTCACAGCACCCTCGGTGATTCATTGGAGAAGGAGGCACACGGAGCGATGTCTGGCATCAGACGTGGCTTGCCTCGGCGTAGCTAGTGACTCGAAGATTATCGGCGGATCCGAACTGGGCTCCAAGATGCTGCCATCGTATGATCCATCGCGATCACATTCTGCCAGCCTCTCATGTCCCGAGCCAAAACCCCGTAATCCCATACGATCTGTGCCACATTTCGTCCTCTGCCAATCTGTCCCGGAAACGTCGCTCGCGATAAATGCGATGTAGATGGTCAGGCAAGCCGTTCGCGCAGTTTCGCGACCGAATCGAATTCTGTCGAGTTTCCCTGTTCAGTTGAAGGGAAACAATATCGATTAGCTGACGGTTCAAGGAGCGACATGAAACGGCCACGACTCACTGCAGTAAAAGGGGGTGGCGAAGTGCACACAGGACGGAGAGGCCGGCCCAATGGCAAAAATGGCTCAAGTTGGTCCGAGTCGACACGGCGTCAAAGGATGGGACAGCGACGAGAAGAGGCGGGCGGGCGAGGAGGCCACCTATATAGACCACGCACCACGATGCCAAGCGGCAGCGATGCGCTTTCCCTGATCAGGCGCGCTTTACCGGATGCAGTAATTCGCCGTCACCGCAGAATACGGAGTACAACAATCAATAAAGAGCATTCAGAGCTTGAACGGCGTCATGGAAGTCTCGGATTCAGGTGTTGCTTTCATAAATCCCTAGATATACCTATAGCAAGGCTTTTTATCAAGGTACGATGTCCTATTTAACAGTGAAATTGGCTGAGCGTCGGTCAAAGTCAATCGTACACCAACCCAAAAAGTCATGCATTGTTGATCATCACGGTGTGTCATATGTCATGTTTCACGGTATTCCAATTAAAATATATGGCCAAGCTCAAAACGAGATAATCGACCAAATGCATTCAGAAAGCACTTGGGTGAAAAGGCTGTCGGCCAAGTGGAAGAGGTACCTTAGCTCGGTAAAACGTTCCTAGTCCAATGCTCCCCTGGAAGACCTTGTCAGTAATTTTCGACCTATGTATAAATGGCGTTTGACAAAAAAAATTCATGCGCTGGGCAATCACTCCCCGCCCTTCATGTACACGCCTCCCGAGCAGCAAGCAGATGCAAGCATCGGCCTGGGTGTACGCCCGAGAGACCCGCAAAGACAGTCGAAAAGCGACGGAATATCGAGAATAAGAGTAGTAGATAATCAACAGTAGTCGCACGTCTGACACTGATAAGGCAAGCTTATGAGATCTGGAATATTTCTTATTCTTTCAAGAGTGCCAGGATATACATGGAAGCCGCCCAAGAGTCGTTCTCACGAGTATCTTCTTGTCAACTCCAGAGAATCTTGGGGAGATAAACAACGGGGCACATTTGCTTCATCCGTATCGGGGATTTGCCTGTTGAAAAGTCCCAAAGTCTGCCTGCTTCGTTGGGGAGGAAGGGCATGACTCAAAACCTGGTCAACTTTGATGAGGTAGCATTCGTGACATTCCGTAGAAGGTGATGGATATCCTTTTCAAATAGATCTTTTTTTTAAATAGCAACAGTGAGCATTTTGCAATATCCAAACAAGTGACAGGGAACATGTTACGATATCGCTAACCGAGACCATCAACTGTCAATTTCCCCGCCCTCCGCTTTCCAAGATAGAGATTGAATTCCTAATTTAGAATTCTTCCTTAATCCAGGCAGGAACGGTTGCCAGGTGATCAGCTACGGTGCAGTCTGTGGGAAGCGATGGATGCTTGTCGTATTGGGTGGGCGATACAGCCACTTCTGTGAGCGCTTCGCCTGCAGACCTCGATGATCGCGGTGCCAAGTCATCGGAACAGCCTCTTTGTATGTGATGTGGATCAGGTATGCGGCGTCTGGACACCAGATACTAAAAGGATACCGTAGGATTCGTAGGGATTGTGGTGAACGCTCTATATCGATATACTGCCGTCTCTAGTACATCTTGAAGCACTAATCGATGCGCCTCCTTGAGCTCTCGATCGCTCGCTCTATACAACTTCCAGGATGGCGGCCTTTCCTCCCGGAATATATATACTCCGTAACCTGGGACCGGATTATTAGATAATCTACCTGTTTAAAATAGTATATTCTCATCAGTATGCACCTGCATTTTGCATTATGGATGATTGAATCATCATTGCAGACTGATTTTACCATCCTTGTATGTAGCTCTGTCGACGACTACGCGCACGACCACCGCCACAACGGACGTGCGAGACGCGCTGTACGAAGGTAATACTGGTGCCCTTCATCAGGATGACATGGATTCATTGCACAGCCTCTTCTCTGGATCTGACGCAGAAGACTCCAATGACTCCAACGATGACATTCCAAGCTTGACAGAACAAGCAGCCCAGCCCAGAAATGCTACTCCCCATGCTAATTGTTGGGATGAAATTCCCGACTTCTTGCATCCCAATCAAATACAAGACATGTGTGATCCTACAATGCCTGTGGATGTGCATAACCCTCAGGGCCAACAGCACGTCAGTGAGTAAGAGCAACTCAGCAGGCACGAGCTTGATTATGTCTTGTTCAACCTGTTGAAATGGTTGCGCTAGATTCAACTCATAGCAGCGCATTTACTTCTGACTTGACTGCCACCCTTCTTGGAACCTGCCCTCCAGATTCTGATTTAACTGGTCGCATTCAGAACAACAGAAGCAACACCTGTGCCCTGGACCATAGTCCCTCAGCAGCGCTGCGGATGCCTTAATCAATGATGGGGATGAAAGGGCCAAAGCTCTCCTGTGTGCACAGTGAGTCCTCCACGGAGTCAACTTAGGACAATTGTGGGCTCAATGAAGAGGTCCTTCTCATCCATGGCGCCACCAACCAAAATTTTGCCGTTGCTGTTGTCAAGCATAGACTTTAGGTGCTGAAAATGGCCCGCATTTATGATGCGTGAGTAGTCAGACGACATCTTAGCACCTTTGGGGTAAAACTCCTCATATGCCTTCTTGAATTCCGCCACCACCTGAGGCACAAGAGACCTATCGACAAGCAGGTAGTTCTGTGAAGTGCAAAGCTGGCCGGCGTTCACAACCTTGCCCCAAAGCATGCGGCACGCAACGAGGCGGGGGTTAGTAGTCTTGCTGACGATGGCTGGGTTAATACCACCTAGCTCAAGGACCACAGGCGTCAAGTGAAGTGCCGCTGCCTTGGCGATGATATGGCCGACATTAGCACCACCTGTGAAGAAGATCCTGTCCCAGCGTTCAGCCAAGAAAGCCTGAGTCTTGGGCACACAACCCTGGACGACGGAGTAGCATAAGGGGTCAAGGGGCGCCTCGCAAATCTTTGTATAACAACGGCGCTACTAGGGGCGTTCTCAGAGGGCTTAATGACCACAGTATTACCAGCGGCGATGGCACCAATGACAGGGCCCAAAGTCAGCTGGAAGGGAAAGTTGAAGGTGCTAGATATCATGAGAAAAAGGCAATTTTAGTTCCTCTCGCACTGGAACCTTTTTGCAGAAGAGAAGAACCTACCCGATCACCAACACGCAACCAAGGGGATCCTTCCGAATCTGGGGCCTCATGAACTTGAAAATGAGATCGATGTCAGGGGCCTTCTCGTCTTTCACCCACTTATGTAGGTTGCGAGTGGTGAATACAATGTCGTTGAGCAGCCAGTCGCTCCCAGCGACTTCAGTCTCAAAGCGCGGCTTGTTCAAGTCCTGAGCGCAGGCCTCGGCAATCTCCTTCTCATGGTCCTTGATGCTACGGAAATCGTTAATTCACCTTGCGCGTCATTCGGGACGTTCGAACGGCTTTGCAGAAGGTATACTACTGACGCCCAGTAGAGCTGCGGAGCTGGATAAGACGGAACTCGACATCGCGGGTTTTTTTGGCTGCAAGGCTAGTGTCTGGCGTATTTGTAAATCTGTGACTACCTAGGTATTCTGCGACTGCCAGGCCATTATTCATACATACGGCTCGATTGTTCTACCGAGGCGAGAGGAAAGTTGGGTTCATCGAGAATTGGGGGTGATGGTTGGGACAAGCCGGTCCGTTTGTTCGTCCGACCCCGTCCCATCGTCATTCAGCTAACCCTTGATTCACCTAGGTGCAAGTGGTTAATTTATAGGTACTACTATGGATCCAGCCCATCCAAGGATACTATTCTGTTCGAGTACCTCGTTCCCCTCCCTTCTAAGTCATAAGCTCTAGCACTCCCTTTCCGTCTGTTCGTACAGACGCCACAGCACTGACATCGCGCCGTTCGCGCCGTACGCGCCGAACACAAACCACCACGCATTAAGGAATGCCAGGTAACACCAAGCGCATCTTGAACGTTGTTACCAACGTCGGGCATTACAGCGACCAATCCCACCCGACTGGCTTGTGGTTGTCCGAGCTCACGCACGCCTGGCACGTCTTTGAGGAGCATGGATTTGAGCAGACTATCGTCAGCCCAGCTGGGGGTCTCTCTCCCCTGGAGCCGCGGTCCCTGAAATTCCCCAACTACGACAAGACCGCGAAAGCGTGGCGGGCCGATCCGGCACGGATGGCACTGCTCGAGAACACTGCCAGACCCGACCAGATCAACTCAGCCGACTTTGACGCTATCTACTTCACCGGCGGACATGGGGTGATGTACGACTTTCTCGAATGCGAGGGCCTGCAGCGGATCACCCGGGAGATCTTCGAACGGGGTGGTATCGTCTCCTCGGTCTGTCATGGCTACTGTGGCCTGCTCAACACCAAACTCTCTGACGGCTCGTACCTGATCGCCGAACGCAATATGACCGGGTTCACCTGGCAGGAGGAAGTGCTTGCCTGTGTAGACAAGCTTGTGCCCTACAACGCCGAAGAAGAGGCGAAGAAGCGCGGCCCTCACTACAAAAAGGCCAAGCTGCCGTTTGTTTCCTACACTGTGGTCGACGGCAACCTGGTAACTGGACAGAACCCAAGGTCGGCGAAGGACACCGCGAGGAAGGTTGTCGCCGCCCTTGGTCAGTGATGAACGCTATCACCGACTGCCTAGTTAGGAAACACTATGCCGTGGATGCTCATTGACGCCAACCTGGCAGCCGAATGGCACGAGCACTTGTCAGTATTCGAGACTTTTGGGGATGGGAAGTAAAGAGAGGATGGTAAAGAGAACAGATCGATTCTATATTTTCTACGTCTATAATGATAAGCAATACAAGACCCAATACTTGAAGAGGTTGAGGTATCCTCAGTGCCAAGTATCCTAATGCCCTGCTTCCCAACGGGTCATCAATGTTTCCTACATGACTAAATGGCTTGCCTTTAAGGCGCCATACTGCAAGGTTCAAACAGTTTTGATTGTGCGAAAGCTTACAGAAGCACTTCGGAAAGACCACAATTTCCACCGGCTCAGTCTCACCCTAAAGTGTCTCATCCTTAACGGAAAGTCACACAGCACAGTCAGCGTCGTCGTCACATGACTGGTAGCAAGGCCGTGTGGTGATATTTATGACCTGACATTATCGAACGCCTGTAAAGGTGTGGGCATGTTAAGGATCATCTGCGCCTCCCTGAGTACGTCCATCCGTAGGATGGTCGAAACACCCAATTCGTTGAGGAGTTTACTCAATGGACCTTTGCTCCGAGAGAGCTTGATATTTCTCGGGAAGAGACATTGTGCCGCCAGTAGTGGGTTCGCCTGGACCGCCACCTGGTACCATTTCCCGTCAATCTTGTTGATCGCATTGTTGGTCGCGATCGAAGATTGCGACGGGATAGTCTTCAGAGCTGGAAGGGGTACTTCCAGAGTCAGATCGGGTGTCCCATCAGCCGCGGTGATGTCGGCCTTAATGTTGTGATTGTCCATCTCCAGATTGATGTTGGCCAACCATTTAGGCAGTTGGTATCCATATACACCTCGAACCCGAGCGATCTCGGTATCAACAGGTAGAGCCAACACGTATCCGTAGAAGGTTCGGTTCCACATAGAGCTGAGTAGCTGGGTCGTACTGTAACTTCCTTTACCTGGCTGACGGACTATGATGGCAATCGAGACCTCATTATAAGGATCATTGTCACAGACAAGGTACGAGTAAAACGTCAACGCGACTAACCCGTAACCGGGTAATGCTGTGATGGGCTCCAAGGGTGACAGGAGCTTGGACTGCAGGCGGTCGAGGGGCGCCAGATAAAGGAGTTGGACGCTTCTAGTGCGATAGTAGAAGTTGGGTGCGTATACCTGGCCTACCCTTGAATCGACCAGCCTCTTTGGAATCTTCCGGAAGAAATCAATGTCGTGTCCTACAGCCGGGTCGCGGGCCACCTCTTCCAGGTTCGGGTTCATACGATAACGGTCGTAGTAACCGCCTTTGGGTACGTCGACCTTCTGACCTCCGAACTCGACCTGGATGGTCGGACCCTTTGGGTGGCTGTATATTTATAGGTCATAGAGCATCAGTATTGCATCAAAATGAGGAGTAATCCTGAGAGTCATACGGTATGGAGATCTTTGATGATGCCGTTGACGAGCGGCCTGCGGAAGACATGATGCTGTAGGTATGCTAAATACCAAGACCAGGATCTATCTGGTGGTGCCGTTCATCAGAAGGTGAGCAGGAAGCGGTGACAGAGGCTGATATTGGTATCAAGAGCGATCTCGCCCCCTCCTTTTCTCTCTGGAGTCCATGGAGTAATCTTCTCATGTCCATCGGAAGGATTGTTGCTCCGTGGTTAGTCCTTTCTTTAGGCGAATATTTTGCGATTTGGAAGATGTGGGGAGATGTGGGGACCGACTCTATCTTGCAGGATGTTGAACTAAGCTCCACATGAAAATAAGGTTTTTTTATCACCACTTTGGGAAGACAACATCGGCGTAATTAACGACCCGACCCCGGCCAATATCTGTCTCCAGCACCGTGCGGAAATGAATATTCATCTCGATCTTTGAGCCCAGAAATTGGCAATCAATTGAAGTGACCCACCTAGCACTACAGCCTGTGCTGATATGTAATGTTCATTAGGTCACAAACTCTACAGTCCATTTCAAACAATAGTAGAAAGAATTATAAAGGAAGACGAGTACTACGAGTGCGGAAGCTCAGTAAATTAAAAGCTTCTTTGCATTTTATGAATTATTCCAAGCAGATTTCACTATGACAGGGGATGGGATGTTTTAATTGTGACGGGTGCGAGCGGCTTCATCGCTAGCCATGTTGTTCAACAGCTACTTGAAAACGGTGACCAGGTCCACGCCACTGTTCGCAGTACCAAAAATAAAAAAAGATCAGGCACCTCCTCGATATGCAAGAATGATGGCCAGACAAGCCAAGATTGTTTGAAGCGAATTTGCTTGTAGCAGGCTCATTTGATGTTCCAGTGAAGGATTGTTCAGTGGCCATCTTTCCTCCCGGAACATACATACTCCGTATCCCGGGGCCGGATTGTTAGATGATCCACCTGTCCGAAATAGTATATCCACATCTGCACGCATGTTTACGTCGTTGCCGCAGTCTTCTAGAGAAGACCAGCAGTTAGTCTCTGTAACAAGGCTACCATACGTTCTACATATGCAGTCTTGGTGCTTCCCTACACGCATCTTATTCCATATTCTATAGCTATTCCGCATAGTATCCGCGCTACTGGCCCCTGACTAGCCTGACCTGCGCTCGCGAGACCGCAGGTCTCACAAAAGCTCCTGAAGCTTCCTTGAGGCAGTGGCATTGTAACATCCTCTAGCCACTATGGCTCGTTACTTATAGTAGTACTTACCACAAGGCCGACCAACTAAGTACATATACCTAGTTGTTAAAAGTGTACTGATGAACCAAGATAATTCCCAAATGATACTTCAAGTAACAATAGATCAATTGAGCACGAAGAACTAAGGTCTACAAGATACATGGTGGTGAATGAGTGTCTTTATATATCTTCCCTTTAATGTTAGGTATGTCTGTCACGAGGATGCTGTATGCCAGTGGTATGCCAGTATACCTTGAGTATTGTAGCGACCAAAGTCGCCATCTTGTTCTAGAAGGGGTTTAGTTCGGTTTGGTATGGCAGGTTTCTCATGTACCACATGTCATAGCCTAAAAGAGGCGGGCTTGAGTAGTGTTGGATCCACCTAAACCTTATCACGATAGCCGGACTAACAATCTATCCGCCAACCTGGTGCAGTCCACCCAGTCATCCAGTAAGATTACCTCAAACAACAACAATCACACACTTTCCGACGCTCCCTCTCCCATCGAAGACCACTTTACAAGCATCCCGAACTGCTTTTATATCCTTGAAATTTGCCTTTTTTCCCACAATCGTTTTCAACTTTCCCGCTTCCACCCATTGCCGAATCGAATCCAGATCGGTCGCGTTTGGTTCTAAAAAAATAGATGAATACTTGACCCCATAGCGAGATGCGCGAGCTACTCGGATTCGATCCATCACGTTCAAGCCAATACGGATAGGGAACGGCACTGTTGCCTTGTCTTGCTTGTCTGGCGATCGTCGCATCACGCTAGAGTTTTGGAGAACATCTCCCGAGGTCAATATAGACACTGTAATGATGGTTCCTTTCGGTCGCATCAGTGTCAGATACTCCATCGCACTCCCTGTGGTGTCGAAAATAAAGTCGACGGATCCCGGAGGGATTACAGCCTTAGGATCCGATTTTTTATAGTCAATGACTGACACGGGAGATGTGAGTTCTTGCAATATCAACCTAAATTGGAGTATACTTACTTTCGTCCACAACCCCCTCACCCAAGAGTTCATTTACCTTTGGTACCTTTTGGGTGGAAACCGTGGTGATCACTTTGCCAGCTTTGAAAATATTCTTCGCTAGCTGGCATGCAAAAATGCCAGTTCCACTAACTGTGTTAAGATAAGCATGTAATCTGCAATAGCCAAAGTCGGGGAAACCTACGCCCAGCAGGTATGAAAACAGTTTTCCCTGCAAGATCCCCTTCGTAGCCCCGAAGCGCCTGCAGTGCCGTCATAGACGCCAAAGGAATTGAGGCTGCATCTTCCATAGAAAGATTCTTCGGTTTCAATGCGACAAATTCTTCAGTTGATCTTGCAAGCTCACTCCATGATCCCCGCTGACATTCTGGCAGTCGAACAAAGACTTCATCGCCGGCCTTAAAGTGCGTGACCTGGGATCCAGTATTCACAACCGTGCCAGCACAGTCATAGCCGATCTTGTACGGAAAACTTCACATAAAAATTAGACCGAGGAGAAATTCAGGAATGCAAGACTCTTACCTGTCCCTGAGAACCAGTTTAGTTGCTCCTGAGGCTTTTTTAACATCTATCGGGTTGATACTCGCGGCATGAACCTTGATCAAGATGTCAGTGGGGCGTTCCACGGCCAGCGAGGGAACTTCGCCCAGCTCGTATTGGTCCGGCGTGGTATGGTTTGGAATGCAAATAGAAAGCATCTTAGCCGAGGTCGAGTAGCGAAAGATAGACGATTCTGAACGAGAGGGTCAATTTCTTGTCACCTGAGACAGGAATTGAGCAGTTTAATAGTATCTGACTCGGAGCTTCAATTTGCCCGACGGAAGCGGAAAGAGAAGCCCATCGCTGCTTCCGGTTCAACCTTCATTTTTGCCTCAGCTAACATAATCAACCACTGAGCTGATATGTGAGACCCAGGTATCAGCTCAGCTGTCAGGGCTTGAGGCATTGCTCCCGCATATATGTCACATAATGATGGAGGAGGTCGTCTCTCTTTCCTTTTTAGGCTTAGTGTTTCTTAGTCAGTGTGTTGGGAAAGCACTGTGCGTAACTCCGTTCGAAAGGAGCAGGTTATGAACCGGTAGGAGGTAGATGCTCTCAGGTCTCCGTTGGCTGCTTAAGGTCGGTCCCTAGAATCAGCCCTGAAAGGATTCGCAGCTCCCAACACCGTAGAGAGACACTGGAGCTCCTGAAGTCTTTAGGCAACACAATAAGCTACGCCTTCAATTTTATCCCAGTCTTAAGTTAGGGCAGATGCCATCAGCGTGGCTTTGGCCCCATAATATAGACACCACACTCCCAAGGATTCAGTCAATGTGGCTACAATAGTCCTCATAGTTCTAAACGCAATACCACGTTCGTCATAAACAAAAAGTTCTTCATCACTTTCTTGCCTCAAAGTTTAATTTTCCATCCACAGTCGCGCATCCTTGGTATTAATGGATTTTCACCATCAGGAACTCGAATGGTAATATGTTTTATAGATGTGGTCGTTCTGATGTATGTATTTATCAAATCCAGTATATCCAACCTGGTTGTATCGAAGATTGAATCTGTCGTCGAAGTGCCACGAAACGTCATTTCAAGCGTATCAAGATTGACGAAGCTGTTATGGATGGGCTTAAAACTTTCCTCAAGAGCCTCGGAAGCATAGAGGTGGTATTCAAAGACTGGGAATGTGATACAGGTGTGGCAAACTTGCTTTGCGTTGCTTTTACTGATCTAGCAGAGGAAAGGAGCAACATGGGGGACGTCAACAGAGGCAGTCCACGCATCAGGGAACTGGAAGCTCACTAGCCTCACTGTGGATTGTGCTATTGACTCATAACAGATTTGGACAGAGACAATATTCCTTGGAAAGGTAGAGAGGAGTTGATGGCTCACCATCATTAATGAAAGCGACGGGCTCTGAAAGCACGAGGAGCCGCTCAAATATCTTTAGTCAAATCTCAACAGGCAAGTCAAGAATGCTGAGCAGCATATTTGAGGCAATATGCACTGCGAATCTGGGAAGCTGCAAGTCTGATTATCCTCAATACAGTATAGATTCAAATCTGCCTCTCCAGGCCAATTCAATACCTCAGGTGTTGGTTTGTGCCAGCTGAACTAAGAAGTTAGTCATTCACATGATTAAAGCCAGCATGAGTCATGGCGTTGGCACCTTTATCCGCGCAGCCTGGGAGGCGTAGATTCTCCGCTACCTTCTGATATGCTGTCTGCAGGTTGGCTAGACTGTTGACTGGAATCCAGAAGACCGCGCACTGTTTTCGGACCTGGTGGGCTAACTAAAGGACTATTTGTATCTTGTCCACACCGCCAAGGCCAATAACCGCAATTTTTTTGGTGGAATCAGACTTCTGTTCTACTCTCCGTTTGAGGTCACCGAGTAGCTCCCTGCGGCCGGTAAGCTTGATATTCTGTTCAAACGGCATCTGCCACCGCGTACGGCCATGCCCTAAACACCAGTTAGCCTTAGGCATAGAAAAGAGAGGTTAGGAGATATCCCCGTGGAGCTTGTACAAGCTATTTAGGGGATGTCCTCACGGAGCTCTAGGTGATATTATTATTACTGAGTGGTAGGCATATAAAATAAAGAACACTAGTAGGCGGAACTGGGAGCGGTGAAGAATCTCCATCAGAAATGTAATTGCAATTGTGCCGCTATGATCCGCCGTAGCCCGGGAGCCCGCCCTCCATCATCCAGACTCCTCTTCTGTCGCTGTCCTTATGGCTTCTTCCCTCCAGACGGCCGTCTGGTTGAAATATTAACGCCATATTTAACCATATTTTTCCGCGACCGGATATTTACCTTTCACTGGCATGAAGAGGACCTATCATTCAATGATAATAGAGGCCGACGGTGGAGTCCTGACAAGACTCTCGGCACATTTCTTGCATCTGCTCCAATGATAGCCGTGGAGAAGTCCAGAAAGCCCCGCGCTCAGCGATCGGGTAAATGTGCCTTAACGCGCCTTTCTGCTCCGTACTCCGTACCCCGTGCGGAGAACTGTTAATGGCAAGCCTCAGTTTTCTGGTCGGTGAACGATGCAACAGCCTCCACCGACGATTGCCACAGGCGGGAGTTCCCCGAACTCCCCGTGGCCGTTATGTGGTGCGTGATTTTCAATTCCGGACCATCTTCATGCAAAGGGCAGGGATTGAAATTAACGAAAATGAAAAAGGAGAATAAGCAGTCCAATTACTTTGGTCTCACGACCTCTATCCATTTATCCGACCTCTGAGTCGTATGTATAAAGCCCCGGGTTAACTGCAGTACCCCTCATTTTGTCCTTATCGATTCGTCTTTACAACAGCTTCCCTCACTGTCCTAATATTGGGTCCAGAAAACAGAATGGCTTCCGCAACTGTCGTTAAAACGCTGGCCAAGAAAAACATTGGTGTGTTCACAAACCCCAAGCATGACCTATGGGTGGCAGAGGCAACACCGTCTGTGGAGGATGTAAAGAGTGGGAAAGGGTTGAAGCCTGGAGAAGTCACTATTGAGGTTCGCAGCACAGGGATCTGCGGGTATGTTCGTGATCTCCTGCTTTCCCTGCTTTCGCCACAGAAATGTCAATTGACGCTTTCCTTCTCTATCCAGTTCCGATGTGCATTTCTGGCACGCGGGTTGTATTGGACCCATGATTGTTACCGGAGACCATATTCTGGGTCATGAATCTTCTGGTCAAGTCATCGCGGTAGCACCTGACGTTACCAGTCTCAAACCTGGCGATCGCGTGGCTATCGAGCCCAACATCATCTGCAACGCGTGCGAACCTTGCCTCACCGGACGGTATAACGGTTGCGAAAGAGTCCAGTTTTTGTCTACCCCTCCCGTCGATGGACTGCTTCGTCGCTACGTTAATCACCCGGCCATATGGTGTCATAAGATTGGTAACATGAGCTACGAGGATGGGGCCATGCTGGAACCTCTCAGTGTGGCTCTGGCAGGAATCGAACGCAGTGGTCTTCGTCTAGGTGACCCATTGTTGATCACTGGTGCTGGACCTATTGGTCTCATTACTCTGCTCAGCGCGCATGCTGCGGGAGCCACACCTATCGTTATCACCGACATTGACGAGGGTCGGTTAAAGTTCGCCAAATCGCTGGTCCCCGGGGTCCGCACTTACAAAGTTGAAATCGGGCTCTCTCCAGAACAGACTGCGGATGGTATTATCAACACCATGAATGATGGTCAAGGGTCCGGGCCAGAAGCCTTGCGACCCCGACTTGCTCTTGAGTGTACCGGAGTGGAGAGCAGCGTGGCTTCTGCAATCTGGAGCGTCAAGTTCGGTGGAAAGGTTTTCGTTATCGGTGTCGGCAAGAATGAGATGAAAATTCCATTCATGCGTTTGAGTACTATGGAGATCGATCTTCAGTACCAGTACCGTTACTCCAATACCTGGCCCAGGGCCATTCGGCTCGTCAAGAACGGCCTCATCGATCTGAAGAAACTTGTGACTCACCGCTTCGTCCTGGAGGATGCTCTCAAAGCCTTCGACACGGCTTCTAACCCGAAAACGGGCGCTATCAAGGTTCAGATCATGAGCTCGGAAGAAGACGTCAAGGTTGCTTCGGTTCTTAATGGTGTCTAAATGATTTTGTTTCGTCCTTTGCATCTCTCTGTTCCGGTGGATAGAACCTTCTGTCTTGTTTCTTTTACATACGTGATGAACCTTGCATGATTATTTAATGGTGACCTGTTGGCGATTGGGAGGCATAAAGGTTATGTAGGCAGCTCTATCTGACTATTCTCTGTTGACAGAACGATAGAAATATACCTGTCCATATAGATTATGGATTACTCTTGATACATTGGAATACAGGATTTGTAATGTCAATCCATCCCATTCAATCCAAGTTCCACTACTGTCCAGCTGGACTCCTCTGGGTCTTCTATAGTCTTCAAGCAGAGGCATATCCTGATCTTCTGCCTACTCCTTGTATCCACCGGGCTATCATGATATTACAACGACAGCATCAGGCGACAGTCTGACATCAAAGACTGTTCGATTCCTATATCACAGAAGATGTCCGGCTCCGTGCTCAATTTAGAGCCCCAATATGCGAAAGCAGTGGCGTGAACAGCACCAACTGAGCAATCTGAACGCACAAACTCTTTTGGTAATATACTTAGACATTGTGCCTCTTGGGTTAGCCATAATAGAAATATGAGTACGTAGACACCGCTTGCTAGAGGCCTTTTCTTACCGATGGTAACGCCCGCTGCCACTTTTTCTCAGATGCTTTTCTTCATCTGCAAAATCTCTTCTCTTCGATACCATTCTATGATTCAATCATGTATATAGCACATCCCAGCAGCAACATGCTCATGGTGGCCTGTTGCCAGAAAAAGCGGCCTTCCGGCCCGGTCGATCCATATATGAATTAATCAATCAACCCAGGCCACTTTTCGGTGCAATTTTCGGTGCAATTAGATCACCTGAAAATTCATCAATTATTATATAGTATCTTAATAACAGCAGCCCTTCTGAGTGGTGCCCGGATGAGGCCAAAGTCAGTGCGTCGTCTAGACTTTCAAAGTTTCGTCTGCTCCGCTCTCTCGGCCCGAACATCTACGTGATCCCTGCCAGACATGTGCTTCTTCCCACGTCCGCTGCTGTACAACGGCATCCCGTGTCTTGCCCACAGCCCGTTATGATTAGTGGAATTAATCACTGGGGACGTTTAGATCAAGACTGGAGCCTTCCGTGCTGATCATATATACGGCATCATTGCATGACTGAAGCGGGGAAATCGCAGTTAAATGCATATCCCTTGGCGCGAATGAGATTTTGACACGTCCTATGATCGATACGCAGGCTTCATTTATGACTGGTACCTTCGAATCATCAGGGTCATCACGATGCTACTGTCGCAGCGCATTCTCCCACCTGGTGAAGATCGCCAGCCCCCCCCGGCCTTTGCAATGTCCCCAACAAGACTGTCCGTGCAGTTCTCGCATATAGATATAAATACAGCTTGGGACCCCCGAATCATGGAAGGACATTGTTTCCTCAGCACGAGCTTTCGGGCTTGAAATCAAGATGATACCGAGTTTTCTACTTCTCGTCCCCCTCGTTGGGGGTATGGTTATCAACCCCAGGACTAGTGAGCAGGAGTGCCCTGGGTATATAGCGTCCAATGTTCAAGAGTCAGCAAACTCTCTGACCGCGGACTTGTCCCTTGCTGGGAAGCCCTGTAATACGTATGGCACCGACTTGGACAACCTGAAGCTTCTCGTGGAATATCAGACCGGTATGTTACCTTCATATTGCTGTTTAGGTAGGGTGTCAAGCTGACTTGTGATTCAGACGAGCGTCTTCATGTTATAATCTACGATGCCGATGAAGAAGTTTATCAAGTCCCAGAATCCGTTCTTCCACGGCCAGGAAACGAAGGTGGCTCGCGTGAGACATCTGCACTCAAATTCAGCTACAAGACAAATCCCTTTTCGTTTTCCGTCTCCAGAGATGACGAGGTATTGTTCGATACTTCTGCGTCAAATCTCATTTTCCAGTCTCAGTATTTGAACCTTCGTACTTGGCTGCCCGATGATCCAAACCTCTACGGGCTTGGGGAACAGAGTGACAGTCTGCGTCTGCAAACAACCAACTAGACGCGCACATTGTGGAGTCGTGATTCACCCGCTATCCCGTCGCATACCAACCTTTACGGAAACCATCCTGTCTATGTCGACCATCGCGGGGATTCAGGCACACATGGAGTGTTCCTACTAAACTCCAACGGTATGGACATCAAAATTAATAAGACAGATGACAGCAAACAGTACCTGGAATACAATACCTTGGGAGGTGTCTTCGACTTTTACTTCTTGGCCGGACCGACTCCTAAAGACGTCAGTTCGCAGTATGCCGGTGTCGTTGGGCTTCCAGCTATGCAGAGTTATTGGACGTTTGGTGTATGGTATGCTAAAAACGTTCGAGTTGATTCTTACTAACAACTTTCTAGTTCCACAATTGCAAATACGGCTATCGGGATGTGTACGAGGTAGCCGAAGTGGTCTACAATTACAGCCAAGCAGGGATTCCATTGGAAACAATGTGGACAGACATTGACTACATGGATGGCAGAAGAGTCTTCACGCTCGATCCCTTGAGGTTCCCAACCCATAAGATGCGTGAATTGGTGTCATATCTTCATGCCCACGACCAACACTATATAGTCATGGTTGATCCAGCAGTGAGCGTGAGCAGTAAGTATATCACAGTGTGCATTGTATAGCGTACGAACACTTCTGAAGTGCTAACTGTTGGGTGAATCTACAGACAACAGTGCCTTCCAAAGAGGTAAAGAAAATGGTGTCTTCTTGCAACATCAAAATGGCAGTCTTTACGAAGGTATGTCTTCAATATGAATAATGGCTCGAGGAAAATCAACTGATCAATTCAGCCGATGTCTGGCCAGGTCTAACAGCCTTCCCTGACTGGTTCAACCCGGTTACGGCTCCCTGGTGGAACGGGGAGTTCAACATATTCTTCAGTCCAGAGAGCGGCGTCGATATTGACGGTCTGTGGATTGATATGAACGAGGCCTCCAACTTTTGCCCTTACCCTTGCACGGACCCGGCTGGCTATGCGATTGAAAATGATTTACCTCCTTCACCACCACCTGTTCGGTCGAATCCCCGTCCTTTGCCTGGATTCCCGTCAGACTTCCAGCCTTCCGGGTCAAAACGCTCCGTGAAACGAGCATCCACCAAAGGAAAGAAAGTCGGCTTGCCTGGCCGTGATTTAATCAATCCACCATACCAGATTGCCAATGCTGCAGGATCTCTCAGTAACAAAACCATTGACACAGACCTTATTCATGCTGGTGAAGGTTACGCCGAGTACGACACGCATAACCTATACGGTACAAGTAAGTAGACACCATACCCTTCCATAGCAAGATTCCTCTAACCAATGTATTTAAGTGATGAGTTCCACTTCACGCGGAGCCATGCTCCAGCGTCGTCCAAAAGTAAGACCACTGGTAATTACTCGCAGCACATTTGCTGGAGCTGGAGCACATGTTGGGCACTGGTAAGTTTAAGTTTGCGGTTCCAACCCTTCATGCACTAACGGATGAAAAAAAAAGGCTCGGCGACAATGCCAGCTTGTGGGAGAAATACCGGATTTCCATTGCCCAAATGCTGTCTTTCGCATCCATTTTCCAGATTCCAATGGTTGGATCAGACGTGTGCGGGTTCATAGGCAACACCACCGAAGAGCTCTGTGCCCGTTGGGCCACACTGGGCGCTTTCTACCCTTTCTACCGCAACCACAACGATATTGAGGGCAACCCCCAGGAGTTCTATCTGTGGCCAAGCGTAGCTGAAGCAGCCCGCAAAGCTATCGACATCCGCTACCGACTCCTCGACTACCTCTACACCTCGTTTCACAGACAAACCTTGACCGGGGAACCGTTCTTGCAGCCATTGTTCTACCTGTACCCAGAAGACCCAAACACATTCCCGATCGAACTCCAGTTTTTCTTCGGCGACGCCCTCCTCATCAGTCCCGTCACAGATGTAAATCTTACCTCCGTTGAGGCGTATTTGCCGAACGATCTCTTCTACGACTGGTATACCGGTCTGCCTGTGCGCGGTACAGGGGCAAACGTCACCCTTGACAATATCGATAAAACCGATATTCCTATTCACATCCGCGGAGGAAGTATAATCCCCCTTAGGAAGACAAGCGCAAACACGACGACTGCACTCCGTCAGAACGGTTTCGAAATCCTCATTGCCCCAGGTCTGGACGGCAAGGCATCGGGAAGCCTCTACCTCGATGACGGGGAGTCCCTTGAACAGAATTCCACCGCAGAAATAAAGTTCGAGTATGAGAACGGCGTTTTTAGTCTCTTCGGCACCTTCGACTACCTCCCTGCAGCGTCGATCGAGACTGTTACTTTGCTAGGACAAACGTCGCAGCCACACGTTACTAGGGCAGTCCAGGATAGTGCTGTTGAGGGATATGAGTATGACGCAGGTCGCCAGAGTGTCATGGTTAAGACGAACATCGGCCTTACTGGACCTGCACAAGTGAGTTTCAAATAGTAGTCTTCACTCAATTTCTCCCTGAGTAACGCATTCCCCTCATCACAACGGTGCTGTTGTTCGTAGTTGAAGAAGTTTCCAAAAGAGATGCATTTCTTATGAAAATCGAGCCAACCTATTTGCAAATGAATAGTGTTTATAGCAATATCTATGAAATAAAATATGGACCGTCTTTGGATATAACGCAGCCAGATACGACTTGATTTCTACAGCCACTGTGACTTTCCCATTTCCAACAAGGTTTATGAAGAAGTAGGAAGGATTGCAGACCGAAGATGTCAGGTTCAAGATATCCAGTGGGAAGATTTACATCAACCTATATCCAGAAGAACTAAATTTCACTCTATTCTGTTCAAGCTATGAGTACTAAACTAGGAAGTTGGGTGCAGTAATTGATCTCTCTAAAAATGGCTGAGTAGGGAAGAGCTGTATTCATGCTCATGTTCGGCAGCAGGTAGAAACAGAATAGCAATACATGATGGTGCAAAACGCCACAAACAAATATTAGCACGAGACCTAACCAGGACGATAGAAACAATACAGGGCCAGCAGAACTCCATATAAATGGCCTATGGAGTACTCTCAACACCCAACATCTCCTCAGCATTCAGCCTGAATACCTTTTCAATTACTTCCGAGTCTCCACACCACTGTAGACAAGCCTCTGTGAAAGGTCTGATATCGACGTTATCAGAACGAGTATGCGGCCAGTCCGTCGCATATACGACCCTGTCAGGCGCGGTGCGCAACAACTCCAGCGTAGTGGCCTGTATATCCCGCATATGTTTATCCTTTGTAAAACGGTAAGGCGCGGATATCTTCACATACGTCTTTCCTTCCCGTAGAAGGGAGACTAGAGATGAGAATCCTGGAAGTGAGTACGGATCAAACGAAGTGTGATCGTTCCAGGATATTGATGGGAGATCGGGGCCACCAAAGTGGTCGATACAGACTCTAACATCGAGTTGTGGGATTATTTGCTCGAGCATAGGAACCATGTTCAGCGGGAGGTAGATCTGAATCATCCAGCCCAGGTGACGAATGGCATTGGCTTGTTGCAAGCACGTCTGCGCTAATTCCTGCTCGTTCAATACCTTCCCGACCGATTTCAAATTGATCCGCACGCCACGGACACCTAGGGCATGCCATTCTGTCAAAGTCTGCGGTTTGATATTGTTTGGGTCGATGGCCACGATTCCCCGGCCGCGGGAAGGACCGACTTCTTTCAGTGCCTCCAGGAGGCAAGAATTGTCGAAGCCATAGATCGATGGCTGCACGAAAACAAAATTGTCTACTCCAATAGACGATTCAAAGGCCAAGGCCTCACGCAATGTGTGTGTAGGAGTTTGATAGAGTGCATCTGGGCTGAGTGGAAATCGCTGGGGTTCTACCACATGCATATGACTATCCCATGACCGCGGGGGAATCCTCTGCTTCAAAGATAGCGTTTGTAGACGCTTCTGGCTGTCTTTGTGGCAGAGCCTCTCACCGAAGCTGGGCCTAGTTGCGAGAGAAGCCCGCGGAGAGTTTCTAATGGGATTGATCTTGGCCTAAACAGATGTCAGAATTGGAGGAATAGGAGAGACAAGTCGTAACTGGATAAATGAGGGCACGTAAAAAAGAGGACAAGGAGATAAAAAGCGAAAATGTTACCAGGGGCGAATGGGTAGTTAGTGTAGACTCACAGGAGATACCGGACAACGCCTAGTGGTCAATCCACGCTGCATAGAACAATTCAACGGCATCTTCTAATCGACCCCTAGAAGCCAAAGAGGAAAATAGCCACAGCTTCTTTTTTCTTTTGAAAACACCTGAGGGGGAAGCTGAATATAGAATGCGACCCACAGGTTCAGCCAGAGCGGAAGTTGTCCGTGAGGTGATAACCATGCACGCACGCACAGACAGAGAGATGAAAATGTCTCCTTTCCCTGCAGCCAGAGTAGCATTCAAAGGACAATATATCTGCCAGATTCGCCAAGAACAACCTGTGCGAAACTGCACCTCACTGTTTTTCTGCTGATTATCAGACGGGAATACATAGCGACATGGGTGGCATTTTCAGCTTGTTGCAGGTTATGCAATGGACATGCAGGAGTTTGTATGACAGGGTTGCGCAGGAAGAAGGCAAGGTTCCTACGGCAATGCTTGGTCTTCGCCTGTTCTTTTGATGCCTCTGTCCTTCAGGTGGATCTAGTCCGCATTCTGGTTGTTTTCCCTGACGTTCTCAATGCTGTTATGGTTGGCTTATCTGCGATGGTATTCAACCGAGACTGCTTGCTTGGATCAGATATCAATAGGTAGAGCTGAGGGACATCTAGGGACTATGTAGGTGCCATGGTGTCTCTTTGGTTCAATAACATCCTCTTGATGCTGGTTCACCTGTGTTCCACGGTCATCATCTTATATTAGCTGGGACCTTACAAACAGTCTATACCAGTCAAGGGAGGTAAATCAGACAAACCCACGTATTCTTGAGTGAAATCGCATCAGCGTGAACTGCTATCAATAGCTGAGATGCGTGCATAGTATGTACGGAGTAGAGCTCGGAAGTTGACCGAAAAGCCAGATCAACCTCCGAGCACAGTCCACAACCGCTCCTCGTTCTCCATCGACAAGACCCATTCTCCGCAACCCTCGATCTACCTGTCAACCCCAGGTTTTCATATCCTAACGTTTCGCTGCGATGATATGTAATCCCCTGATGTCGACATTGAAAAGCGCATCGAGATACGCCACCAACCCATACTACGCCTTCGTCATCTGCGTAATCGCTTGTGGTAGCACTCCTAAAGGTGGGTTCGAATTCATTAATTTATCGCGACCCGACAGTCTGGGAGCAAAGATTAACAATTTAATGTTTAACTAACTGTTGATCGGCTATCGTGCAGGTTACGACGAGGGTGGCTTTAGTGCCAGCGTGTCTCTCCCTTCCTTTGTGAACGACTTCAACCTCGTCAAGTCCCACTGGAAACACGATCCCACAGCGCTCGTCAACCGCAATGCGAATATCACCTCTTTCAATATCCTGGGCGCGGCCTTTGGTGCGTTGTCCGGCCTTATCTTGAACGACTATTTAGGTCGTGTGCGGTCGTGGCGACTAGGATGTCTTGTCTGGGCGTCGGGTCTATTCGTTCAGGTCTTCTCCTCCGGTATCTATGGGTTGATTCTGTTCGCGAGAATCTGGAGTGGTCTGGGTTCTGGTCTGCTTACGGTGACTACGCCGTTGTACCTATCTGAGATTGCGCCGACGAGGACGAGAGGGCTGGTGGTCAGCGTTTACATGGTGAATCTCCTGGCCATTCTGACCTTGGGTGAGTATCTGATTTTCTGCCTCGAATATGGAAGCAGACATGTTAATTTCCTGGTCCTGAAGGTTTCTTCATCAACTATGCCGCACAACTCCACGTGTCTCCCACGCGAACCCAGTACCGTCTCGTGCAATCAATCCCCTTAATACCAACGGGCATTGCCTTCCTTCTATCCTTCTTTGTCCCAGAAAGCCCCCGATATCTCATTTCCAGAGGATACCACACTGAAGCACGAGCCATCCTAGCCCGTCTCCGCAGAAAGCCTATATCCGATCCCAGCGTAGAGACCGAATTCGACGAAATCGACGCCCAGCTGCGCGAGCGAGTATCAGTGTCCTACTGGACAGTCTTTGAAGAAATCCAGACAAATCCCAACTACCGACAACGCTTCTGGCTTTTCATGACCATGCAAACCGTCGCCCAGTGGACCGGTGGCAACGGCATCACATACTACGTCAGTGACATCTTCAAATACGCCGGCATAACGGGGAACTCGACATCGCTCGTCTCGTCGGGAGCCTACGGCATCGTGAAGCTGGTCTTTACCATGGCCTTCACCTGGTTCCTGATCGATATCGTCGGCCGACGCCGCTGTACCATGGCCGGTCTCTCGCTCCAACTAGCCGCGCACCTGTACATGGCTATTTACATGGGCCTGCAGCCTGATTCGGGGCGTAACAAGAATGCATCCAATGCTGCCATTGCCTCTATCTTCATATATGCCGTTGGCTGGTCCATCGGACTCTGCACTATGCCCTTCGTCTACGGGACCGAAATCTTCCCGACCCGCATCCGAAACGTAAGCTACGCTATCGGAACGGCTTTGCATTGGTTCTTCCAGTTCGCTGTCGTTCGTGTGACGCCTAACATGTTCTCCTCGCTTCATGTCTGGGGGGCGTATTGCTTTTGGGCTGCTATTTGTTTCTCGGGGATTGTCGTGTTGGGCATCTGGATGCCCGAGACAAAGGGCGTTCCTATGGAACACATGGGTGAACTCTTTGATGGACCTTGGTACTTGCACTGGCGGGCTAGCGTTAACCTACCCGAAGTTCATCGCCAGTCGGTGTTGTACTCCAAGAGTACCGATGTCGGTGTTGCTTTCCATTCAGAGTTCGATGGAACGCAGTCAGATCGGGAATTCAAAGCTCTTTCTTAGAGAGTGGTGGATATGCTTTGCCAAAAAGCTGTATATATATTGTATTGCTTGTGACTTATACCCCCATTCAATCCCGATTGCTGTTTTTAACATATGCTGGCACCAGTGTCATATCCTCTCCAAATAATGTTAATAATAGTCCAAAATTCAATACCCAAAACGACGCATACGTATTTCCAAAAACATATTCAATGAAAGAATGCTACCATATGCATGACATGACATGACATAGACATTTACTCCACATAACAGTGACATCAAATGAACCCTGACGTAATAGCAAAGAACATGAAATCATTATTAATTAGGACTAACTGGAGAAAGCCACCAGTTGCTCAAGGTCCAATCCATGCAGGATTATATGGGGTCATATTCGTCGTGATAGGTTCAGTGTATGAAAAAGCCTCGAAGACTTCAGGCGCGATCTCGTACGAAGACGTTGAGCGGTTCACGCCCATCGACATCTCGCTCAGATGGTGTGCCGCGTCCATGTGGGAGGTGTCTACCATCGACGGGCCTGGAGACGGGCCTGGAGGTGGTGGGTATGCGTACGGTGGGTGGATCGGGGGAGCAGCAGAGACGGGGTCCGCGACTGTGATCGGGGTCCTTGCTGCCGCATGCTGTGGTATGGGGGATACACTGTGAGAGTGAGAGTCGTGCTGGTGGTGGTGGTGGCGGGTTGGGGATTGGCTGTGACGTTGCTGCTGTTGTTGGTGGTGGGAGAGATGTGCCGTCGGCTGGTTTGGTGGCATTGTGTAGAGGTCGATGTGAAGTTTTTCGAGTTCTTGGTAGATGAGGTTGAGGGCTGTTGCTATGACTATTTCACGATAAAAATCAGAAGTCAGTAATCGAGGTAAAGACGACGTTTGATAGAGTATGGACAAACTCACCCGGATTTGAGATTTTGATTCGTTCTAAAGCAAAGACACAAAATCTTAGATTCTCAAGGGTCATTGGCGCTGCGTGCTTTAGAGCTTGGATCTCCAGTAGGAATATCGACGCTGCTGTGTAGATGCTGTACGCGAGGGAAAGGACGACATGGCTGTCACCGAATGTGCGGCGGAAAAGATCAAAGATGGATATTATCGTAGTTGCCGACGACATGCACTGGACTAGATGGCTCTGGTCATACATCTCGGGCTTTATTTTCGAACAGAGAACAGGACGATGCAACAGAATGTTTATGGTGTGGTATAAGCAACTGCCAAGTTCAATCTGTTTAGCCCATGACGCTATCAACAGCTGAACCGGGAGTTGAAGAACTTACTTAATGAGGGCAATATGACTTGGGGGACAATAAGGAGGAAGATCGGTAGCAACCAGTTTCAGATAACTGGGTAGCTCTTCCCACCATTCCGTCAAGTTTTTGGCTTGATCCTGTATGCAGCTGTAGAATTCCGATTCACTGCTCTTCCGTACAGGGTCGTAGATGTGAATCAGAATTTGATTGAGAATCTCCGTCAGGCTACACATCTTCATGAAACATGAGGTTGAATGCGCCTGCGTAGGCGGGTAATGGGTGCCCTCTGGGAAGACAATCCCATGAGGTGTCCAAATCTCGATCTCAGACGTGTCGTCCACTGCAGTCATCAGCAACTGGATTCATCCTTTCAACATGAACATAGTCCGAGAACCAAATTAACTCACATATTCTCCTTGGCGGACTGACACTCGAGTGTTGCATGATAGGAGCCCTGCCGAAGTATAAGGAGATCATCTTATCCCAGAAATAACAGCTCCAGAAAAGTCTGTTTCGGGTCTCGATGTCCTCGTCGGTCAGGTGAGCTGATCCGGAATACTTGCGACTATCGATGGATATTCCTAGGTCATCCAACAATCGAAACGCCATCCCGCTATATAGCCACGCCTGGGTTCTGTTCCCTTGCCCGCATTCTTGCGCACTGAGGAGAAGCAATGTCTGAACCGTAGGAATCCCAGCATAACCGGTACTCAACGAGTCAAGGACTCCCGACACGGCACGCTGATGGAATTGCGCGCCACCTTCGAACGGGTCGAGCAATGGCCCGATGGTAGGGTCCGCCCTGCACCATCGTACCGAGTGCGAAAGTATTGCGTTTAAGAGGACATCCGAGTAATACGGCCCGTTGATTTTCATATCACCTAGAGCACCAATGAGCCAATCGTGCCAGACGGACAGATGGAGGGGGGAGGGGAAGGCAGACGAGTAAATGCAGGTCGATAGACAAAATTAAAAAGCGGCTGAATCCAGCACCAGTGCGAATCAAGAAGGTATTGAAAGGGCTCCTAGCGAGAAAGCTCGCATTAGCCATTGTCGTACAAGACAAGACGATTGTCGAAGATGCATACCGGGATAGCAGATAACTGCTCGAAAGCTCTCTCCCTCCACGCATTGTTGATTAGCCGTTCCCTGCTGGCCCCGAGATCCTTCACACGGCGGACACTCGGCGATGCGCGCTCAGTCGCACTGCTCGGCAGCTGAAACAAGCTGGTCGGTCCATGAAACGACACTCGACCATCCCGTTCGACCTTCAGGCCTTCGAACTCCTTGATCAAATCGAGGTTATCTGTGCCGCCATCCACTATCTTTATACGACGAGAAGGGCTGGCGTTAGCCTCAGCCGGCGATGCAGGCGATTCGCCCTTGACACTGCTCGCTTCGGAAGAATGCTGGCCCACCAGCTTAGACAGAGCCTCCTCGAGCTCGGCGACGCGAGACTCGAGTTGTTTTGTGTATGACAAAGTCGGGGTCCTGGACGAAGAAAAAACCAAGCACGCGTCAGCCTGGCTGCAGGTTTTAAGCGCACGGGGAATACTCCGTAAAAACTGCTCACAAGCTATATACGCATACTTCGCCACGAGCTGCACATCGTGAACACGACGGACTGGCTCCGTTACATTTGACCTGTGAATAATGAAATAGATCAGCCAACGGAAAACGTTCGACGCGCCGTGAGGAGGCTTCGGACTTCAGCCGAACCTGTCAGGGAGCGTTTACCTTGCGTTTGCGGCAGGCCTCGCAGGAGAAGGCGCTCTTACGCGGGAGATTGGTCTTCAAAGGTACATCCGCCATCCCCGAATGTCTCCAGTAGTCCAGGAAGAAGATCGGAAAAAGCAATGACTATTTACTGAGGGAACAGGACAACGATTATTATTGTTGGAGAGAAGCGACGGGCCAAGCTGCAGAAGTAATGACAGCCACCATAGAGCGCATGATTTCGTTTTAGTACATCGGACCTTTTTCTTTTTTTATTTATTAATTTATTTTTCTGGTGTGAAGACCGAAATGATAATGTGGGGGGTAATCGTCTGTGGAAGTGTACAGGCCAAGTTGATCGCAGTGGGGAGAGGGGAAAGAGGCCATCCAGCGGCGACGGTATGGATTCTGATCCAAATCAAGCAAGATTCCCTGCCGGAGATTCTTTTCATAAGTTATAACAGCAGCATTGCATCAGTCAACCGCAATCTGACCACTAGCCGGCTTGCGAGCCGGCAGGGATATCCGTCGACTGCCAAATAACCCCAACCAGTCAGGCAGTTCAGACGGGCGTCGCCAACCCATGGATGATGGATATGGATATCATGTTGTTGAACATAACCTGCTGCTGCTCCCAGATCCAGTCCCTCCGTTGAAACTTCTATCTCGGGGAGAAGCGCCGCGTTGGGTTGGGCGTTGTGGATTCATCCAAGATCGAGTCTTATCACGGATAGCACGGCCTCGACAAAGCTCCTCGCTTCGCTTCTGCGGCAGCACCGCAGACCGCTTAATTTACTGCTTCGCTTCCCTGCGGAGAATCGTTATTTGCTTGGCGACGCTGGATAGGGAAGTTGGGGTGAGAAGAACCCGTCGATTGGCTGTTGCTGGAGCCCACCGTCTCCTCTGATCCGAGCTGAGGCAAATCGGCAAGTGTCTTCGGCCACAATAGCCTCGACTGAGGTTAGAACACCATGCAACGCTGGAGTGTAACTGGATCATGATGGCGTGGGAAACTTCACTGGCTCCGTGGAGGGGAGCTTGGCCGGCTCGTGGTTGGGAGTCTTGGGACTGCGAAGGAATCGAAACGCACTACGAGCCGCGAGGCGTTTCGTAACGCGAGGACTTCGCATAACGCGAGATGGTTCTGGAAACCCACATCTCGGCATTCCATCGAAGCTTTGTGGCGTTTCCGGAGATGCTTTTTAGATTTTTTAGATTTCGAGGCCGCTGAGAAACGCGATCGATGAACCACATTGTCGGGTCCAGCGCCTGAATACTCTATTTTTTTTTTTTTTTTTCAGATGGCAAACCATCAATTACAGTTGATTCTTTGGTTCCTGCAATGAAATAGTATACAGTGGACGTGGCCAGAGGCCCATCGGAATCTAAGCCCCCCAAGAAATATCTTCTTCACAGAAACCTTTTCTCAAACTCCACCAAAAGATCATGTACGTCGTCCACCTTGACCTTGACGGACCTTGGGTTTTGCAGGCAACCGGGTCCCAGATGAGACTCCATAACCGCCCTCAGTTTCTGTGTCCCGGCATCCGTTTTACTCAGCATCTGGCCGGTAACGTCGACCGTGATACTGGCGTCTGCAACGTCCTTGGATCCCAGAATGAATATGAGATTGTACTTCATCTGTTTGGCCCTCTGGATCTTCTTCCCTAAGGTCTGGCTGCTATTGTCAACATCAATCAAGAAGGTAGAGTCGACGGACGAGAGTGGCTCCGGAGCGGTGGCCGCATCGACGGCATCCTGGTTCGGCAGAAGCGCACGGAAACCAGACAACTTGGCTGCTGCTTCCTGCGCCTGACGCAAGACGGCTTCGTCCTGGTTGACGGTCAGAATGATCCCTTGACGCGGGGAAAGCCAGAACGGCCAATGACCAGCGTATTGCTCTATCAGGAGCGCGAGGAATCGCTCTAGCGAGCCGAAAATGGCCCTGTGAACCAGCACAGGCGTCGCCTTCCCGGGGTTCGCGGGATTGTACTCTTCCTCGCCTTCTGCAACCTGGTACTCCAGCCCGAATCGTTGAGGCAAGTTCATGTCCAGCTGGATGGTAGACAATTGATGGTACTTGCCCGCCTTATCCTGGAGCTGGATATCAATCTTGGGCCCGTAGAACGCTCCATCACCCTCATTAATCTCCCATTGTCGCCCGCTATTATCTAGTGCTTCTCGCAGCTGCGCCTCGGCACTATCCCACAACTCAAGGCTCCCAATGAAGTCCTTCTCCGGTCGCGTAGACAGAACGAGTCGATACGGCCCCAGACCAAAAGTTTTCATGGCCATTTCCACGAATCCGAGAGCCGATGCGATTTCCCCCTTGATCTGATTCGGCCGGCAGAAGATGTGGCCGTCGTCCTGATGGAAACGGCGCACGCGGGTGAGCCCACTCAGCGACCCCGAGACTTCGTTGCGATGCAACGGGCTGAAATCTGCATAGCGAATCGGCAGTTCTCTGTACGAATGGGTTTGCGACTTGAATAGCAGGCAATGGCCGGGACAGTTCATCGGTTTCAGGCCGTACGACTCGTCTTCGCCGACTTCGCCGTCGGTCTCGCCAGTAGCCCCCCGGCCTCGCACCTCGTACATATCATCCTTGTAATTCTGCCAGTGACCAGACACTTCCCATAGTGAACGCTTGTAGATGGTAGGGGTTAGAACTTCGCGGAAGCCATACTGGAGATACTGCGTGCGGAGGAAGGAGATGAGTTTGTTGACGACGTGAGTGCCATTGGGAAGGAATAATGGAGAACCTGGGCTGTATAATGAGGATGTGAACAGGTCCTGGAATGTCCCTAGGGCTCGATAATCAGTGGTTGGAGTGGAAGACTCCTTGTTGTTGCTGCTGCTGGCTGCTGTGTTAGGCTCGGATCCTGAGCACGAACAATTCCGGAGGCCGGTCGACGATAGCCATCGTGATTGTTCCTGGTACCATCTCAGAGAGCAATTGACAGCAGGTCTCCTTGGCAGGGAGCTCTGCCGTTGCAGAAGAAGATTCCACCGCCGCATAAGTGAGGTGGTTGCACTGGATAATTTTTCTCGTTTCCGGTCGGACGCGGAGCGCGTATTCCTATCGCCGTCTCCCAGCAGCCACACAAAAGCCACCAGCCATTACAGCATGCTGTTCGTGAGCAGGCCAGAAATGCACATTCTGTGGAAAGCACAATAAGCAGAAGAGCTATATAAAAGCCTTTTACCAAGTATGCTATGGATATCCAAGTGGGATGACATGCATTCATGGTGATCTTTTTGGTCATGTTGCGGAAATACTCTCTCTAGCAATATTCAACACCATGCTGCTTACGAGTAATATACCATTATATCATATACCTTGCTAATCTGCTAAGGAAGCATAAAGCTTGCTACTACTTCAACGGCCTTCTTCATCGCCATGGCTCTTACATGCGTGGCTGCATGCCCCTCACTTCCTCTCTCGCTCTAAAGACCGTCAGCAAGGCCATTTCGCTCGTTCACCAGGCAGCCAGAATCTCGGCCAACCTGGTGGTTTTCCCGGAAATATACATCTCAGTATTCCCTATATGGAGCGCTCTACGTTCACCGTCAGAGAACCATGACTTCTTCCCATGGTCCAGGAGTTGGTGTACGCGGATGGTGAAGAAGTGCAGGCTCCCCGGGAAGTTGCCCGCGAGACGAAAGCAGTCATCAGTATCGGCATCTCTGAGATGTCTCGCGCCAGCGTGGCTTGTTTGTACAACTCAAACTTGCTTATAAGCACGGCTGGCGAGGTTGCTGTGCATCACCGGAACTAATGCCAACCTTCTTCGAGAAACCCACCTGGAACCCGGGAGATGGCTACGGCCTACACGTGGCTGACACGCTTTACGGTCGGATTGGCAGGCTGATCTGTGGCGAGAATACCAACCTGTTAGCACGCTATCCTTGATGGCACAGCGAGAGCAGATCTACATTTCATCCTGGCCGCCTATCTGGCCTACGCGGGTTCCTGCGGCATCTGCTAGCCAGAGTCCGGGCCCGCCGAACTACGACAATGTCCTCGCTAATCGGCTCCGGACTGCCGCCCACTGCTTTGAAGCAAAGGCATTTGGCATGATGTGTAGCAGTTATCTCGATCAAGAAGGCATTGATGCCGTTATTGCCGGCCCTAGCTCCCCGGATGTCATTGAAAATGCGCTGGACAATGCCTCTCAAGGAGCCAGCATGTTACTGGATCCAACGGGGATTCATTGTGCTTCATTTATGATCCATGAAAAGATAAAGGCGCAGAAGCCCACTAATTCCTGCAGAGTGAAGAAGGTGTCCTCTATGCAGATATCAATCTCAGCCGTCGCATCGAAGGAAAGCAGTATCATGACACTGTTGAAGGATATCAAAGACTGTATGTTTTTCAGCTGCGAGTCAACCGGTCTCGAAGGGACCCGGTTGCCTTTACAGAGAGCTGCCACATTCAGGAGTGATGGAATTAAAACCATCTCTTTCTGCAGAGTTCTTTGTAGATTGTGTACATTTCCTGATTCGGCGGCTCCACGCAGGCAATCTGTACCCATTTTGATAATTCTTTTCCGTATATCTGCTCCCCGGATTTATCAAGGCCCATAGCACACTTTGCGGGCTCTTCCCTCGCAGCTATGGTCGAGTTCTAGTGAGCTGGGCTTCTTGTCTGATTGGTGAGGGCTAAGGATGTTCTCAGATGGATGAAGATACATAATTTGGTTGATCTGGATATCCTGCATGTTCTAACCTGTCTTCAGCATCCAAATTAGCACCATATAGCACTGTTAATTTCTTCATAAAAGATATAAGAAGTCTTCACTGCAGTGAATACCACGCTAAGCCCCTTCTGGTAAACGGAGAGCCCCGCAAGATGCAGAGATCTGCAGACGGTATCTACAACATCCCATCCTCTACTATAAAAGGAACACACAATCACCATGTACTCAGTCTTTATAAATCAGCTGCTACATTGACCGAACTGATCTGGATAGCCTACAATCCAAACTCTAGCATGTCTGCAAATCGAGTCAGAGCCCTGGAGGGATTCGTCCAGTCATGGGTGATAGCGCCTGATAAACCGAAGGAAGAGAACCCAACATCTACAGCGGAGAATTCAAAGAACCAGCAAGATACAATATCCCTACCCCCAAAGAACGATAAGGACAAAAATAATGTTAGCCCAGAGTCCTCAGTATACTCTGGCCCCGAGCTCATCATGCCGTCACTAGACGCGATCTCCATCACGGAAGGGTCTTGGTTTGCTCCAGACCTGCGACCTGAAGGGCAATCCCTTAGGAAAAGACGAAAGAAAGCTGGAGAATCAGAAAAACAGAAGAAGAATTCTAAAGTCGCGTCCGAAGATAGCTCCAAGGCTGCTTCTTCTTCGCCCAAGAACGAAAGGGAAAACACATCGCTGCGTGCTTTAGCATCGTCGTTCCTGACCTGGGTCCTAGAAAAGATCATCAGACCGGGGATCAATCTTCTTCTCTTCGCAGCCATCCTTCATATACTCGTTGTGCCCGAGCTGGTCTACCAGCATCCGAGTCTCTGCGGTATCGCACTGATATCGAAGCTCTATCCCGCAAAGTGTGCTGCTCCACGTTATCAGCAGCATCATGGCATCAACCCTCTGACCCGAAATTCACCCTCCCGCTATGACTCAATTATCACATCCCAGAGAAAGCTAGAGACTCTATTCAATGGAACCCTCCAAGCTTTAACCCCGCTCAACATCTCCCTGAAGCAAAGCGAGTCCATGCTCCGCAACGTCCACGGAGACCTGAAACAGATATACCCCGGTGTCAAGAACGCATTGGACCTCGAATTTCAAGGCTGCTGGCAGGCCATCCGCGCCGCGGTCCAGAACTTTGACTCTCTAAAAGCAGACATGCAATCCGCCGTGAGTAGCTTGATGGCTACAGGATCCTTACAGGCGAACCTGGGCATCCAAGAACAACAACAGCAACAGACCACTTTATCAGCAGCACCACTGCACTACTCGGATGCAACCAAGGCTACGAGACTCTCAACACAACTCCTCCGTCGAGAACAGTACCTCGAACGCCTCAGTTCACAGATGCAATCCAAAGCAGACTCCCTCTGCGACAATCTCGCCACGCTAGATGACCACCTTGAGTCCATCGAGGCCATCGTCAACCGCGAAGAGAAATACCACCATCAACAAAACCCGCACTTCTCCCAGTCCGACGATCAGTCGCTGGTCCGCAGTAGCCTCCGTGCGGCATTCGATTCCTTCCTTCCCCATGCGTCGGGGAAGTTCTTTTCCACCATCAAGAAGCCGTCCTCATCTTCCACTGACGAAGATCCAGCGGTAGCGGAAAGTCCTTACCGGTCTGTACCGCGGTTGCTGCGCAATGCAGCGAGTCGCCATCGTCCTGTGATGGTCTTGACACAGAAGCTGTCGAGACAGTTGCAGAATATGCAGAGGAATAAAATTTATTCTTAGGTCGTTTTGTCTTCTCTTACCCAACTGGACGGGCAGGATATTGGTATTGCATCTTTTATCCATCTACTTGCACTGTTTGATTTACGATGTCATGATAAATCTTGCATGGAATGAGGGAAGGCTGAATTCTTATTCTTATTCCTTTTTATTTTTATTTTGGAGGGTAACTAGGGTACAATGAAATGGAATTGGGATGGGGATGTTTAAGGTCTCTAATCAAGTACCAGAGTCTGTTCTGCACTAGCTTCTCAAAATGCATACACACAATTCAGTTTAAAGGATTGACATGACAGTGTTCATTCGAGCTGCGAGTTTATTAAAAATCTAAGAACATGCACAGGTACATGAATGCATGAATGAATACAACGTGCGATGCCCAAGGACCAGTATATAGGTAAACCAGTGCATCGTTTCAGCACGAGTTAGCTAAACATGGATGCATAGGTGATGGTCGAGAATGGACAACCATATGTCCAGAACGTGAGGGTTGCTTCTGCCACTGTATGTGGGTTCGTGTGGCAAAGACGTTTGAAAACATCAAAAGTGATTATATACATGTCACATAGGTATACAGAGGAAGAGAGAAACATCAGATGGCCAAGATTCACTAGATCGTCGCTTTTTCAAAATCTCCATGAGGCTTGGATGAAGACTTTGAATCAGGCTAGGCGGGCGGGGGCGTCGGAGCCTTCAACCTGCAGCGGGTTTTCTCCATAATAAGTTGGGAGAGCCGACATGGAACATGAGGTGGTTGGAACACCCCAACCGTGGACTACAAATCGCATACGAGCATGGCTCAAGTAGCGCGCTGACTACCTTTTTTGTGTAATAGAAGACGGATCGTCCAGAAGCGGGCTGCCGGGAACAGCGTCAAGAGCCACAGCGTGTAGTGCCGGCTTCTTCACATCTCGTATAGACTCTTGCTTGTTGCGCTCCAGCCTCTCAATGACCCAGTCTGCGACCTCTTTATCCTCTGTCGAGTGACTATCCAGAGCAAGCATAGGATCCTCGTCATTTTCGAGGCCATCTGGGCGCTGCATGAGGGGAGCAAGCCAGGGATGCCGGAGTAATTTAGCATAGGTTGGACGGTTGCTGGGGACTTTGTCCAAACATGCTTTGACAAAGGCATGTGCTTCATCGGAATATCCCGACTCTGGTAGGGTTGGTGGATCGCCGTGGACGATAGCCTGTTGAGGTAATCAGAAAAAAATCTGGATAGGAAGCATTCAACATCCTGGGATTTGGATACTTACGTGCAATTGACTGAAGATATTGTTGTAAGTCTCGGGTGGGTACGGATAGCGGCCTATGGCACACTCGATGATTGACAATCCCAGACTCCAGATGTCACTTTGAACACTGTAACTTCCAGTGCTAGCAGTCCCAGACTGCTGCATTCCACCGCCTGCTATGCGTTCAGGCGCCATGTAACTTTGACACCCAATGTTGGTTCTAGCGATGCTGGCGACGAGGTTACCGCTAACACCGAAATCACAGATCTTGATCTGCCCGCGCGTATTGACCAGAATGTTCGTCGGTTTAACGTCCCGATGGATGATATTGTGATCGTCTTTGAGACATCTGAGTCCCATGACCGTTGAGAGAACGATCTTGCGAAGAATGTTCTCCGGGATGCCCATTTTGTAGAGCTTATCGATGGAGCCCCCATCCATATATTCCACGCAGATGTAGACCGCGCCTTCCTGGAAAAAGGCTCCGTAGAAGTCGATGATAAAAGGGGAAACGCACCGGTGAAGAATGTCCAGTTCCATAATAATCTGTGCAAACTTGCTCTCGTCCAATTCCAGACGGATCTCCTTCATTGCCATGATCACTCCTGTCAGGTCGTTGTCCTGCTTCTTCGTTATGGTGGACAAATCCTCACTCGATACTTCCGGTCGACTGACGATTCCCCTCAATCCCATCCCAGGCTTTCGCAGGTGGGGCCGACTGTGTCGCACTTTATATACCGTTCCATAATTGCCTTTCCCCAGCTCGTCCAGCCGATCTACCTCATCCAGTGAGATGCTGAAGGTCTGTCCCGAAGAGAACTCTATGCCTCCGCCATGGAGGATTGCCTTGTTTTTGAATTTCAATGTTCCGGCTTTTGTATCGATATATTCAGAGTATTTGCTGAATGCAGTTCCACTGGTGGCCGGCGATGCACCGGGCGATGCCCCAGCAGGACCAGTAGCATCCGATAATTTTAGATTCGGCTTCTTCCGCTTCTGGGCCAGCCCCCCAGGCTTTTGGGGTGTTAGGAAGGCACCACCGGCTGGCGTTGCAGGAACCGAGCCACGCTGGACGGCAGGAGGGAGTATGCGTCCTGCCATTGGCCCCGCCAGCGGAATATTTGGGGATGAAGGTGTGCGATTGGGGATCAGTTCGGCAGCATGATTCGTCGGAATCGTCCCAGTTGAAATGCTGTGCGGCGGCTGTGGAGGACCGTTTTTCCTGGAGAGGTGGAAGGCCCTCATCTTTGCGAGAATATCCTGGTTCACACCCGACTGTGCGCTCATTGAGGCGACCGGCCGAGGAGGGGGGTTCGTCCCTCGCCGAGCGGCATTGATTTGGCCCAACAGGGTAGAGGTGCTTGTGTCTCTCGTAGGGAGCATAGGTGGAATAGGAACCGAGGGCGCGTTAGCGCCAGAGATATTGTCATTGTCATTGTCGTCCGCAGTGCCATGTTCCTCCTCGACCTCAGGAGAGATCGGGGGGATACCTGAAGTAGAGTCTCGGTCGCTCATCATTGCATATGCGCGCGATAAGCTGTGCATGCAATATCATCAGTATAACTCCTCCCTACAGCTCTTCCAGCTGCGACTGATTGATGCCGAAGCTCTTCGCACGTACCTGAGAGACAGTGGGCGGTCTTCTTATCGGTGGCAGAGGGGGGATGCAAGGCAAAGAGATACAATGCGGATCCTCGCCTTTACCGCATGGAACTGAAGCTCAAAGTCTAAAAGGCAAGGAAGTGTCTCGGGAGCCGACGAGAAGCTTTTATTGCCAAGGTGGGTTGCAAGGAAAGGCTGCGTGGGGCAAGACAGGCGCCGTGGGGCCTGGCAAGGACAGTCGATAAGTAATCCTGACGGAGAAGATGGAGACGACCATATCACGGAGGAGGAACAGAGTAGTACGCTGGAAGCTGTCCAGCTCAGACAGCAGAAGAGCAGAGCGAAAAAGAAGAAAGAGAAAAAAAAAAGAAAGTAAGAATAAGCAGGGAGCCAATGAAACAGTCCTAGACGGTCATCCGTGCATTCGAGGAGGTCATCTCGAGGGGAAACGAAGGCAAAATCGGCGCATGGGCGGAAAGGAGAGCCAGCCTATTGAATATGCCCCGTGCCAAATGCAATGAAAAGCCGGAAAGGAGGGAGTAAGGGAGAAATCAAGGGGGCTTTGGGTAAAAGGGGTGTCCCAGAAAAGCAGGGAAGAAGACAGCGCTGGGTTGGGCCGCAACAGTCGCAGGCAGACACGATTGATGAGTTAGTAGATCAGCGGTTAGATAGCGCAGCCATATAATATACTACTATATGACAATAGTATGTGGCCGGAATCGTCAAGAGATGGGTATACGCAGCAGAAGCCGCAGTAAAGAATGCAGGTCATTTCAATTAAGAGCTGGACTGCACAAAACACTCTTCTACCTGTCCACATGTGATCCTTCCGGCCGCGCCGAGCATTTCCCGTCCAGGAAATGACTGGGAAGCTTCCCTTCCACATCGAGTAACCTTTTGGCGTCGTTTGGATGCCGGGCTCCATTCCGGTATCGGTGGATGCCACCTAAATTGTCTGAGGCTACTTGTATTCTTCGTCCGCATCCGGGTATTCGAGAAAACATCGTCTGAACTCTCCATCCGCAAGCTCACAAGAAAGGTGTTATTATTCGGAAAGTCATCTTGTTTATGGTCTCCCGAGAGATGCTGACAGAGTATCCTGTAATTGTATATGTTGGGGAGATGCCTCTGGAGAGGAAGTACGGAGTAGCTGACTACTTTGAACAATATGACGGCAAATTGACTGCCTAAAACAACCGCAGTTGAGGCTGCTTTTCTACCACTCACCTGGGCACTTGCATCCACGCACCACATCTACACTCAGTGGCCGCATCCTTGGTCCTGCTTTCCAGCCCCTACCTATGCCATAATTTTCACTTTTGTCCCTGCCCTGCAGTTTTCTCAAAATGGCTCCCTGGTTCCCAACATAAATGGTGGCCTCCCATCACAGGCACGTGATATGTTATTTCCATATTGGGACTAGCGTGTAACACAATCATATGCCAGTCATCACATAGATCTTTTCCTCTTTTCTTCCCTTGCCCTACTGCCCAACTTAACACACTCAGTCAGTTTAACTCACCTGGCTCTGGTCTCAATTAGGTAGTGAAATCGAAAGTCACGTGATTTACACGAACCTACAAGGCGCATATCACACAGCGTGCGTAAAGCGTATTCCCAGGATTCTTCTGGATTTTTTGGATCAACAGGGACGGCGCTGTTTGCATCTGGAAGTCTAAAACTCTCCTAAGATATTTCCCAGGGGCAGTGCAGCTGGTGAGGACCGACAGGGAAGGAGAGAAGGGAAGAAGGATAATCGAGAATGCGTCGTGTTTCAAGGAAACGGCCGGGCTTATATAAGTGACCATGCCCGCAACAGGCAGTGGCATTGCCGGGCGGCAGGCGGTCAGAAGCGGCAGACGGGAGGTGCAATGAGAGCGGTTCGGTTCTCGGTGCCCCGCTTGCCGTCTTCTACATTAAAAAAGAACGGCGGTTTTCGGCTGCCAAGTGCAAGTGAGTGGTTATAAGCTCCCGGGGTATGCACCATTTTTGCATTTTGCCTGCCAGCCCTCTCAAGGTTCGCAACATAAATAGCAGCCTGGGAGGCCTAATACTGATCTCTCCGATGCTGGAAAGGCTCATATAATGATTCTACCTGAGATCCAGACTGTCAGAGTGCAGGTTCAGAAGACAGATATCGATTGGACTGGACACACAGGTACAGGCAGATAGACAAGACGTAGCTCAAAAAGCTACAACATCGTGAGCCACGTGGGCGGCCTATACGAGCAGAACCTCCGGGCCAGCACCGTGATAAGCATGACCCGTGAAGAATGAGTGCGACTTATGCAATCGATGATTCCAAGTTCTCTCAATTTTGATGTCAAGATTCGTCATTTTTTAGGAAATGGAATCGATTACCTTCAACGAAAGAAGTGGTTTCATCTACCTTGCCACTCACTCCGTGCTCACCCTAGGCTCAGGTCTACTCAGAGAGCAAAAGGCGGCGAGGGGGTGAACGCCAAAACGGGAAGGGTCTCGGATACATGGAGAAGATCAGTTCGATACGGGAAACAGAAAACATCTTACGAGCACGATTACATTGATTCTTGGTTGCAAGCGCTACCATACTGAACTCCTGAACTCCATAGACCTCATATACCAAAAACTCCGGTGTCTTTTGTCCATGATCCAATCCTTCAACTAACCCAAGGTAGCTTTAAAGCCGTGGTAGGCCTGTTCAATATCGAATGCCAGCTCCCGGGCCTGGTCCTCACTAAGTTCCTCCGTCGCCCGCATCTGGTTCAGCATGATAAGCCACTGGATAATTTTACTTCGATTTTCAAAGTCCCGATCCGTCACTTTGTTGACCGACTGGATGACTTCGGAGAGCAGAGGGTGAAGTGCATCCTTCGACACCCAGTTTAATTTCAGTGCGTCGAGGAATGTGATGAAGTTCTCCGTGGCTGTCAAAATGAGGCTTCCGGATGCTGTACCGCCAGGAGCACCACCGGCTGCTGCGCCCATGCTTGTAGCGGGAGCGCCGTGGGAAGCTTGTTCGACTGTAGCAGGGAGGCCGATACGGAGACGTTCTGTGGCACGAGGGCACTCTAACTATTCATATATATGTATACATCTCAATCAACCATCCTGTTCCTTGGTCTGTTTTAATGTCAACGGATATAGGTGACTTACGCCCCATGATCGTTTGAATGTTTCAAGGTCTCCGAACTCCTTTGCCACGGTTTCATCGCCGAGACTGGACTTGTATTGCTTCAGAAGCCGTGTGCATGTTTCGGTGTACTCTGTTTCGGTGATGACATCCTTGATGTATGCCTTTTCTAACCCATCAAGCGTGACAATGATGCTGTAGATTTCGGCTAGAGATTCGTAGAGATCCCGCTCCGCAGAGCTCGAGGCTAGTCGGACTTCCTGTAGTGACCGGTCAGTTGCAAGTCAACGAACAGTACCCCCACGCAGCATACCTCATCAAGATTGATCGAAGCTGCCAATGCAGGATTCGGCGTATAACTGTACGGCGTAGGAGCGTAAGAGAGAGGACGCTGGGCATACATTTTCTTCGTTCTCGTCGCCCCAGCACTCCTCGATTCTCGTCCGTCAAGGCGGAGAGGGGAAAGGCGGTGACCCAATCAGGCCGGCATGTGATCCGTGCGACGGCAATATTTTTCCCTAAGAAATTTTTATGATTTCCTTCTCGGTCAAGACCCGTCAACCACTGGATCCGGTTACTCTGCAGAAATCTATTCTGCGGATCGGGCGAAGTTTCCGTCAAGATGCCCAGCCATTTGAAAAAGTCAACGAAGAAATTCGAAAAGAAACACCTCAAGGACACTCTCGAACGGCGCAAGGCGGCTGCGAAAATCAAGCAGCGGCAGCAGCTCAAGGAAAAGAGAAAGGCCCAAAATGCGAGCAGAAGCGCTGAAGATGAGCAGGAGAGAAAGGGTTCTCGCAAACAATTAGAGAAGGAGAATGCCTTCTCAGAAATGAACGTGGATGATTTCTTCTCTGGCGGCTTCGACATTCCCGACGCCATCGAGAAAGAGGGAAAAGCACGCAAGAAGGATGTTACCCCGAAGATTGGGAAACGAAAACGTGTGGAGGATAATGAAGAAGAATATGGAGAGAAGGAATCTGCTGCATCGTCAAGTGGGGAAGACGAGGCTTCATCTCAAGGCGACGACAACAATGCAGCCTCTCAGGAGAGTGCCGATGAATTCGACGAACATAAGGACCAGCTCGAGGCTTTGAAAGAGAAGGATCCCGAGTTCTACAAGTATCTGAAAGAAAACGATGCCGAGTTGCTTGATTTTGGTGATCACGGCGACCTGGCGGAGGTGGATGAGCTGAGTGAAGAAGAAGATGAAGAGCCTGCCAAGAAAAAGAAGAAGAAGGCTAGTAAGGAAGACGAGAGCGCGGACTCGGAGGGAAACGCTCTGGATATGAAAACTGTGAAGAAATGGCAACAATTGATGGAAGAGCAACATTCAATGAGGGCAATGCGACAGGTCGTCCTTGCTTTTCGCGCCGCTGCATATATCAACGAGCCAGATGCCCAAGAACAGAAATATTCCATTTCAGACGCCAATGTGTATCACCAGGTGCTCGTGACGGCACTCCGCACGGTACCAAAGGTGCTTTCGCATCATCTCCCCGTCAAAGAGACTGCCTCCGGCAAAGTCAAGGTGTCCTTGGACTCGAAGAAGTTCAAGACTCTCACCCCTCTTATCAAATCCCACACTTCTTCTGTTCATCAGCTTCTCGTGAATCTATCCGATGCACAGACGCTGAAACTGACAATTTCGTCAATTGAGCCTATGCTACCGTACCTTCTCCAGTTTCGAAAGCTGCTCAAGGTTATCATCAAAACCGTCGTGGGTATCTGGTCGGATGTTTCCAACGGAGAGGCTACTCGTATTACAGCCTTTCTCCTGCTGCGACGTCTCATGGTTCTGGGAGACGCAGGGATAAAGGAGACTGTTCTCAAAGCCACATACGAAGGCATTGTCAAGGGCAGCCGAAACACGACCATTCATACCCTGGCTGGAATCAACTTGATGAAGAACTCCGCTGCTGAGATCTGGGGAATCGACCAAGATGTTTCCTACACGACCGGATTCACCTTCATCCGTCAGCTTGCCATCCACCTCCGTGGAAGCATCACCAACACTTCCAAGGAATCCTACAAGACGATCTACAACTGGCAATACGTCCATTCGCTTGATTTCTGGTCCCGCGTCCTCTCCCAGCATTGCGATGGTCTCGTGGAAGCCAAGGCCGGCAAACAGTCGGCCCTGCGGCCACTCATCTACCCAGTCGTTCAGATCACAATCGGTGCCATGCGCCTCATCCCAACGGCCCAATATTTCCCACTTCGTTTCCAACTCACTCGGTCTCTACTTCGCCTCTCTCGCGCCACAGGCACTTACATTCCGCTAGCCTCTGCGCTTCTCGAAGTCCTAAACTCGGCGGAGATGCGCAAGCCCCCGAAATCGAGCACCTTGAAACAACTCGACTTCACAACCTCCATCCGCGCCCCTAAATCTTACCTCCGCACCCGTGTCTACCAGGACGGAGTTGGCGAGCAGGTCGCGGAACTCTTATCCGAGTTTTTCGTTCTCTGGACTAAGCACATCGCTTTCCCTGAACTCTCGGTCCCCATCGTGGTTATGTTGAAGCGATGGCTGAAGCAGGTATCTTCCCGTTCACTAGGAAATAAGAATAGCAAAGTGAACCAGATGATCCTGCTGCTTGTGCAGAAGGTAGAGTCGAACGCCCGCTGGATTGATGAGCGTCGGTCATCCGTATCATTTACGCCGAGGAATCGTGCGGAGGTTGAGTCTTTCCTGAAGGATGTTAGCTGGGAATCTACCCCGCTCGGTGCATTTGTACGGACACAGCGAAAACTACGGGAGGAACGGGCTGCTATTTTAGAGGAAGGGAGACGGGAGGAGGAGCGACAAAGGGCGATGAAGAAGGATGGCGATGATGATATCGTCATGGAGGGTGCAAGTGAAGATGGTAGCGATGGTGAAGACGACGATGACGATGAGGTAAAGGGTGAAGAGTTGGAAGATGAATCGGAGGAGGAGGAGGAGGAGGAGGAGGAAGTGGAGGAAGTGGAGGAGGAAGAGGAGTAGATTGGGTTCTCTTCCGTTCTGTCTTTTCTTTGCCTTTCTATTCTCCCATTAGACATGGGTTTCCATTTTCTTTTGATGCAACTGTTAATATTAAATAACTGGATATCTCTTGTATAGACACCAAAATGACGAGTCTTACTGCCTTCCTTTCTGGCCCATCTACATACCCTTGTTGACTCCGGAGTCGCGTGACCCTTTTAGATAATCAGCCGTCTTCTAGTTGTTCGTCTCTCAAAAGCTTGATTCCATGGGTTTGGGTGATGATACAGACTCTTGGTTCAGCAACAGTTACAATCGGGAGATCTACCGCTTGAAAAGGTGGTTGGCCGTCTGCCAAGTCCACCTCAGGAAAGAGACCTTGTGCTTGTCATTTCCGAGCAAAATCTCGGAAAGTTTGTAGAGAGGATCTGGAAGGACTTCATACCATACCATTTGAGCTGGAAAGTTCAGCCGTGCCACAAACCTGTCCGGGGACTCAATCTATGGGTCTGTACGAGTGCTTCCTCTTAAAATAATGTTGCTTCTGTGTATATCTATGATATATATACTGTCCATATAAACAAATTCTCTTCCGGCACTTCACTCCTCGTTGGTCATAACATCCATCATGCCCTTACTGGAGTCTCTTGTATATCATCCCCGCGAGCTTCGAGGAAAATCTTCTCCCAAACCTCCACAGACATCGGCAAACTATCATGTTCCACTCCAGAAACAGTGCAGCTTCTCACATCCAGGACGTCCTGGAACTCCCCATCCTCCACCTTCCAGCATTCCTCCACGTACTCCTGTCCCTTCTTCCCAATCATAGCATCTCTTTCTGCAAAATACAGACGTACCTTTAGAGTCTTCTCTCCCCTCTCTCTGCCTGCATCCGAGGCGTCTATAGCCCGTCTCTCTTGCTCAACAAACTCCCTTACAAACACCCCATAGTCTTCACATTCCCCCCACATTCCCTCGCGCCCCTTCCGCAGACACTGCAAGGCCTCCGAATTGGCACCCTCCGTATCCTCCTTAAACAGGAACTGGGTTACAAAGTTGTCGACTTCCACCTGCACAGCTCTGGGAACGCCATATCCTTCTTCCATCCGTTGACGATTCTTTTCCAGCTGTGATTTTGACGCGATATCGCCTCCAGTGACTGTGTCATGGATCTTGGTCATTACTGCTCCGCTACACGCTAGCTTTGGGCTCGCTTTGAGGAGGAAGAAGCGGGGAATTTGGTTCCAGACGTTGAAAGCCTTAGAGGGGAGGTGTTGTGCTAATTGCATGGTTGTTACGTGGGAATGGGCTGGATCTACCCATGGACCTATTACAGTGATTCAATATTAGTATATTTTCTTGTTTTCTCGTTCGAACCTCTGTCTGTGCTATACTCAACGGAGGGAAGAGAGAAAAGAACCTACACAGTAAAGCTACATACGGCCGCTCCGGATGTAGAATCCCCCGACAGTGATACAGGGTGTTTAGCAAGTATATCGTACCGGCACTATGCGAGATGAGTGCGACATGCTCGATGCCCAGATGGGCTAGGAGATGGGGCACAATCTCCAGCCAGACGGGGACTCGTTGGTCGAGGGGGGTATTAGTCGAGTTGCCCATTCCGGGTCTGCAGTATAAATGAGGTTAATAATGAAGGTAAATACCGTTTCGAGAAATTGCAAGCTATTGCTCGGAATGCTATGTGTTGCCTGTTGTCTGGTATACACGGGGTAGTATCTAGTAATGGTAGTAGTAGTCCATACCGATCAATAACCAAAACGCGCACGTCTAATTTTTCTGCTACCACATGCACAGGGATACCATGATATCGCGAGGAGAACATGCCCGGCATGAATAAGATTGTGGTTGAGTCCCTGTCGTCTGGGTGTTCGGGGTCGTGTCCGGCATCCGCGTAGGTGATGGTCAGTTCATCGTGGTCTGGGGTGGCTGGGAGTGTGAATGTTCGGTGGAAACGAGAATTGGAAATGAGGCGAAGGGCTTTGGAACGGGGGGAATTGGGATCAGAGGGCATTGCTGATGGTAATATGGAGTTTGCGGGATTGCTCAATCTGTACATGCACGACTTGGAAGATGCACGGAGTAGAAGTCTATGGGGCAATGCTTCACCTTAAATAATGATACCTAGATAATCGATGATAATAATAATAATCTGACTACATTAGTCGCAGGGATAATATGCGCTGTCATTAGTCCATTTTTTCATCACGAGGCTTGCAGCATGCACGCATGTAATCTGAAATGGATCAGGGATGCGGCGTCCGGATATTAAATACCAAAAGGAAACCGCAAAATTCGTAGGATTCGTAGGTTCGTGATGAACGCTCTATATCAATATACTGCCGTCTCTAGTACATTGTGAAGCTCTTAATTGACATGCTTGATGCTTAAAGCTCTCCTAACTGACTAGTTCAGTGACCTAGCGAAAGTATTTGCTCAGTATGCTCGACAGATATATTTGGCCTTATTCTATAAGACGGCAAGTGGGCCGCTAGAAATGGCCCAGCCCAGCGCCTGCCCAACGTGGCGATCTCACTGTATTGGCATATACAAAACCCTGAAGATTATGATGAGGATATAGTAGTTATTTCGGATTATTCTAAGGATTCAGCGTCGGGATCTGGAATATATATGTTCCGGGAGGTGAGGTCCCTACACCTGGTTTCCCCGAATCCCGCATACGAGAGCATAAGGCCTGACTAAATATATCACGTTATAAAATGACTCCACCATACTCGGGGTAAAATAGACAGGAGGAAGAGAGGCATCAAGAATCAAGCATTCTACAGCCCATTCACCGGCTCTTGCACCATCGACTGGCAACCCAGCTGGCTCACAATCTTACCAGGCCTCTGGTCTCGTGATTCAGAACCCCTCTCACAGACTACGAACCCGCTCTATTTTATGCGCTACAAATCTCCTGTGAAGGCACTTAGATGTTCTTAGGATTGTTCTCATTGTAGGATAGTGTAGGTTGTTCTTGGGAGTAGGTAAATGTTTCCCAAGAGCTCGAGAGGTTCTCTTGGGAGCTTGGCAACTCCTGTGGCAATGGTGCTGGATTCCTGGAAGTGCGTGAGCTTTCATAGAAAGCATTATATGCTGGCTGGTCCTTTTTGTCTGCTCCAGATACAATGTGTAAGGTTGGTGGTTGGTTTGCGAGCTAACGTGAAGGCCTATAACAAGATATGCGCGAGATGCAATTGGGGAAGGATAAAGATACAGGAATGTAGTCGCGAATAGTAAGAGGAAGAATGTGCCCTCTTTCCTTAGGTTGTTGCCGCTGGCGCTCCTTCCTCGCAGAGACAACTCTCCAGCTGTTGGATCACGTGGGATTCTGCCGCATAGGTCCGCCCTCGCTGACCCTTTTCACCACGTAGGTCTATCTAGCTAGTTACCAACCAACGATACACCTCCATTACCAGCTCTATATGGTCACATGACTACTTGCAAGGGTAAACTCAATGCTACAAGATGGAGGGAGAGTACTGTAATAGGCCAGAGCCCATCAGGGATCATATGTTTCCATGTGCCTAGGGCTTTGTTTACACATACATGATCGGAGCCATGATTCTTTCTTCTTCAAGATTTTGCCCACTGAGTAGATCTGAGCATGCCCGGAGCATACCCTGAGTGTGAAGAGTTAAAGTAAGATTTGATTCAATCCGACTAGACCAGATACAATCTATCAAAAGGTGCCAATGCCTGAGCACAAAAACGGAAAGGGAAGGCCTTGAATGTTGATAGGGAAAAAGTGCATATGCATACCCGAGGTTTGATATTGATAATGAAAGATGGTGGTTTTAGTTGTGGGCCAGGAAATAAGCTGCATTTGAATATTCCGATGCAGACTTAACTTCCACCGTGACTTGGACTGGGTTTTAAATCCAATCGTGTAATATTCAGTACAAGACTATGTACCTAAGGATGGGTTCTTCTCTACTTTGCCATGCAATGACCAACGCAGAAACCCTATTGTCAATGATCAGTTGAGAGCGTTTTCCGCACCCTCTTCATCAGACTCCTCTCGAATTCCTCCACCCCGTTCTTCTGCTGGTGAAGTTTCCCTCCCGCTATTACATACGTCTCTCGTTTCCTGCTTTGTACATCGTCCATCTCCTCGTCGACTCCCTCGAAATCCTTGTCTAATTTATGCTCGAGGTCTCGTTTTCCTTCGATCACGGACTGGACTAGGAAACGGTCGTGTGAGACCAACAATATAGCTCCGTTAAAAGAAGACATGGCCGTGGCTAGCGCGGTTACAGTATAAAAGTCCAGGTGCGTTGTGATCTCGTCTAAAATTAGCAAATGCGGTGAATTCCACACGATCCTAGCTAATGCTAGTCGCACCTGGACAAGACTCCGCTTTTTAGTTGTGTTCAGCAAGACTGGATATAGTGAGGTATTAAGCAATCCTTACCAACTGGCCTCCTGAAAGCCGTGATATGGGAACATCAGATGCAATGCGACCTGCAAGACCCAATGATGACAGTAAACCTCTGGTGGCTCCTTCATTTAATGCCCCTTCAATCTCCCTGGCCATTAGTCCCAGTGCGGTCAGCTCGGGCTCCGTTTTGCCTTGTTCCTGAAGCTCCTCAACCGCATGCTGCGAGTAATATCCAAATTTTAGTCTCGAGTGAGTGGAGATCTTGCCCTTCGAAGGAAGTAGCTTTCCTGTCACAATTTGTAATAGCGTCGATTTCCCAGACCCGTTGAGTCCCACGATGCCCACACGATCCCCCAAGTGCACGACCAGTTCGACTCCATTCAGGACAAGGGCTTCGGTGGGTTTATATCGGAAATGGACGCCTTCCAAGGAAATCAGGGGTCCGGGGAACCGCAACTCCGAAGCCTCGGGAAGTAGGATAATTGACGCCTTTTCATCAGTTGGCACTTCTATTTCTGCACGGCTGGACAAGTGAAACCCGGGAAGGTCGCGGTTCAGTTTGAATCGCCCTCCTTTCGCACTGACTTGGATACCCATGCGATCATCTACCTTCTTCTGGCGGGATTTTGCCATGCGCAGCTTGTTTTCATCATTTGTTTTCTTTCCGGCCTTAGTGGTTTCACGAATTGTCGCCTCCATATGAGCAATCTGTCGTTCCTGTGTTTCCTTCATACGGCCCCAGCGGAGCTTTTGCTCGTCAAAATCCTGCTCGTACGCCGTTAAGTTGCCCCGGAAATAAGTCAGTTGTTGGTCCCGTAGGATTACGATTTCCTCGGATACCGCGTTCATAAACGCTCTGTCGTGGGACACGACGACAACTGTCGTTTCTGAAGAATCACGGAGCTGATGGAGGTAGTTCTCGAGCCATACAACTCCAAGAAGGTCTAGAAAGTTGGTCGGTTCATCGAGGATCATGATATCAGATTCCTGGATTAGGACACTGGCTAGGGCACACCGCATGCGCCATCCTCCGGACAATGTCTTGAATGGTTTGTTGAATGCGGCTTCTTTGAAGCCAAGGCCTTTTAGGATATGGCGAGCGTGTTGCTCTACATCTCGAATCTTTATCTACTCGCTATGAAGTTAGCTCTCGCATATTGTAATCTTGCTGTGCGTGCAGTGACAACCTACTGCTTCAATTATGGACTGGAGTTCTTCCAGGGTGTCAATCGCACTCTGAGTGTCGTCCTTAATTGCTGCGACATCTATCATTTCCCTATCCTGCTCGACTCTGAAAAGCGTTCAGAAAAGAAACAGGATAATTCTGAAATAGGGTAGAGTTTCAAGTAACTGACAACTTCCGCGAGACTTCAAGTTTAGATTCAGCGGCTTTCAAGTCCTTTCTCGCCTGGAATCCCCTCGCTCCACTCTTTAAGTTTGAATTCTTCTGGGCTAAGAAAAGCTGTTCTTCGAGCTTCTCGTGGCGGATTTTGCGAATGGCTCTCACTGGCTCTAGTGGGTCATCTGTATCGAAGCTTTTCGCGAGAACTGTCGGGATCAAGCATTATCAGGTCAGGACATCCTAGTACATATAGTTCACAGGGCTTACTAGTCGCCTTTCGAACGATATCTTTTGCGGACTTATCGCTTCCCATGGCGTATTCAAGAACTGTTCTGCCCTTATTATTTCCCTCGGAACCACTGGCTCCTGTACGAGCATCTTCCACGCCATCATCCCGAGACTCGACGTCCGTCTGCTGTAAGATGGCTATTCGACTTGCATGTGGGATGCCAGGGATAAGCTTCTCAGCCATGGCCTTCAGAAGTGCTGGATGCGTCAATCATCAGCCTTTTTGGTACGAAGAAAAGAAAGGGTCTCCAGATTCAAATTAAATTTCTCATCGCCGTACTCGACTTCCCCGTCCCATTCTTTCCCAGCAATCCATAATGCACGCCGGCCTTGAGCCGCAAATGCGCGTCCACGATAAGCTCTCGTCCTTCGCCTTTCGCTTTGGATTTTCCCTTGCCTCTTCCTTTAAGTTTCTGTTCGAATGGATTTCCTGCAACTATGTTTTCAGGCGTGGGTGAGAAGACGGTAATGGTAAGACCCTCCACGTCGACCTTTTTTTATTTTGTTGGATAGAAAGAGGTAAGCATCTCTATGGAATTAGACACAAAAATGGACATGATTTATCTGCGAAGTACCTCTTTAGAAGGCTTATCATCTAGGAGATGGAAACGTGTCTGTCTGCACGTTGCAATAATTGACGGGGACTGCATGTCTTTGAAACTCAGGGTAGTAGGCTTGACTTATTCCAGAATTGCAAAATACAACAGAGATATTTCAGGGCAATACAAGAAAGGAACAGATCGCAATTATCAGAAAGAAAAGTGTAGCAGTGCCATGAGATATTGGTGGCAATCATTCAGCAGCTATCCCTTCACTATTATAGTTTCTTCACTCAGTGCCATGATAAATGGATCAATCACCATCCCGACAAGCTCCACTGCCATGAGCGGCTCATTAAATGAAGGTGAGTCATGTAGATTCAACCGTTACCTCCGGAAGATTTGGCAATGGGACAAGGGTCTCGTTGGTTGCGCAGCGACAGATTGTTCTTGGCGTCGGGATCAATCATCACAGTCGGGGTCCCGAATCGGTATAGTCGACAGCCTGAGGCAGATAGCCATTTCGTATTAAGGATAATAATCAATTACCATCTAAGAGAGGCTCAGGTATGATCATGCGTGCTTGGAATAGCTTGTCCAGCACAGACAGCTTAGCGGGGGGTTTGTTTGGTCCCGAACTGGTATTACAACTTCCAAGACCATGAAGAACAGCGGCCTAGATCAATCTCCTGGGGGTTCTCAGCGTTCCCCTTCTATTTGCCATGCCATGATCCTTCATCTCTTTCGTGGGCTGTTTGCAGGAGCAGCCTTCCAATGTTAAGAACCGCATCACAGCCGACGTAGTTTCAAGGGGTAAAGTTGATTCATCTCGGGCAGAACACCCCAAGCTAGCAACAGCCAGACGAAGATTAATGGAGAACTATAATAATATGAGCTGCCGGCAAAGACTTGTTCCGTTTTCCTTCTCAGAAGGAGGTTTATTTAGGACTTGATACACATCACGCAACCCTAAAGTGTTCTCGCCGCAGAATAATTGTGCTATTCATATAACCCACACATGCAGATTGCAATGCGGGTGGCAGTGCAATTGAGCAGCACAAATGGGAGAAATTCGGGAGCCTTGGTGCTTCAGAGAAGTGGGGTTGAGATCGATACTTACATCTCCAGAACAAATCAGACAATCTACGTAGATTGGCTTATTTTTGCAAGAAGAGCGAGTTCCATGGTTGCTCTGCTCGGCGTCATCATGAAACCCACGAAATCCTGGTACGCGGTAAGTATCGGAAGATATATCATCCGCAGCCATTTTGTGGACCGGAGGCTGACAGTACCGTATTTCGTGCGTCAGCCAATCGCCGCCTAGACTGCGGCGCCTTGTTCTGCTGAGTCAGTAGACGACACGCAAGCCATCTCGAGCGGGTTTCTATTCTTGTCTCCATTACCCTCTCGACATCGATCTCGACTCGACTGCCACAGCCAAATTATCATCTAGCATCGACTTGATCTGCCTCATAACCATCCGCTCGCCTCCATCTTTCGCCCCGTTACCCCATCGACATCCTATGACTTCGGTTTTGCGGCTGTCCTGCGATAGCCATATCTCCCATTAGACTTCCACCATCTTCCGAGATATTGCAATTGAACCCCCCTTATCATCGACCCTCCTTTACCATCTTTGTTCTTCTCCTCTTTCAAGTTACGACGGGTCATTGACTTGACTTTACCGCAAATCGGTTTCTTACGCAAGAACTAGCGCGTGCTGCTTCTCACTATGGCCGCCCTAGCGGAGCATCCCGTCGTCACCTCCTCGTCCTCTCCTATGCCCACAATGAACACCTGTTACGATCCCGACATCGATACTTTCCTGAACCTCGATCAACTCACCTATACATCCCCCGAACCCACTAGAACGAAGTCCGAACTAGCGAGTCATCCGTCCGTCTCCAGTACCGACTATAGCGCCAACGAACTTCGAAGTGCCAGTTTCGCTTCCAGCAGCCAGTCCCCACTGGCTTTCCAAGGCCCCAGCCATCAATATGATGAGCATAAACAGCAGACGGGTCTTCCTCCAGGCGCACTCGCACACGCAATGGCCTTCAATGCCAATGAAATGGGGTTTGGTGCTGGAAACCAGACCTATCCTCTGAACGGAGACATGGTGGCTAGTCATCAATTACAGCGCGATGGCTCTGGTCTTGACTTTGGTCGTACACCTACGCGCAATCCGTCGGAGATGGATCTGGAGTCCGATAATGTGCCAGCCGTACCAACTTATTACTTCACCCCGAATCCAAACAGGGGTCAGTTTGTAGATCCCAGTGCCTTGAACGGCCAAGAGGCTGTGAACATTGGGCCTTCGACACAAGTTGGCCGTATGTATCCTGGAATGCATCAGCAGCAGGCTGCGATGGCCAGGGCGGCCGCTCAACAACAGAGACATCATGAATTTCTCCGTCAGCAACAATTGTTTCAACAACAACAACAGCAGCAGCAGCAACAGCAACATCAGCGTATAGAACAGCACCTGACCCAATCCAGACCTTTGCGTCACCCAGATCCGGAAATTGAAGAACGTATCACTCGTCTTCTCCAGCAGATGAAACGTACTCCAGTTACACCAGAAAGCACTCCTGGTCCTTCTTCCATTTTACCGCAGCTGGCGAAGATTAGGAAGGAAGAACAGGACATGGATGAAGATGAGAGGCTGCTCGCTAGCGAAGAGGGGAAGAAGCTCAGCAGTAAAGAACGTCGCCAGCTTCGAAATAAGGTGTCTGCGCGCGCTTTCCGTTCACGACGAAAAGGTATGGCCAGTTTTCTCCCTCTCTTCGAACATTACGGTTCTAACCACATGCAGAATACATAACCCAGCTTGAAAGCGAGGTTACCGCTAAAACAACAGAAGCCCATGATCTCCGTCTTCGGAACCGCGCTCTCCAGGAGGAAAACGGCCGTCTTACGGATTTGGTCAGACTGCTCCTGTCATCGCCCCAGTTTTCTACGTTCTTGGACGAGCTGAGTGTCTCTGGACTCCCTCCGCCGCCATCTACCACGTCTCAGGCTCCTCAGGTTCAGCCACGGCTACCTCAGCAGCAAGAACCGCATCCCCCAACCGTGGCGCGGCAGCCAGTACAAACTGAAGCCACCAAGGATGTAAACACGAACCTCAACTCTCAAGAGATCCAAATGCAACAGAACGCCCAAGTTGGCATGGTGATCGTCCCAAGCCACCAGGTTGAAATGTCCTCCGTGGATATGACCACTGCAGGTTGGAACTCGGGAATTGATATGAACTATGGCAACACGCCTATCTTTGCGGTATTAGATGTGCCACAAGGGCCGGCTGTTGATACTGAAGTTCTTTCTGGAAAGTCGTTGGATTTCGCTGGTTCATACAGCATAGAAACCAAAGAAGAGGTGCCTTGCCTTGAGTTGCCCCCTGTAGTCGAGGAGTCGAACGGAGATTCTGGTATGAGCAGTGCTGATTCCGGAATTGACATCGATGAATCGGACCCAGCTTTTGCTTTATTCATGGATTCTCCGGCTTCTCCAGCTTCTGCCCCATCCGATCCGTTCGGCGGTCCTTTCAACAACGTTCATTTTGAGAAAGGCTGCGTTTCATTCCAACTTGTTGTGGGAGAGGACCCTGAGGACTTGGCCAGGGCTGCAGCAACGAGTCACTTTGTGCGTCTATGCCACAGCATGGAGGCTGCTTTCCAACGCGTTTCGATGGTGACCTCCCATCTCTCGTGATTACATATATTTTAGAAGCGAGCTTTTAGGAAGTCTTACCCTTCTCGGGTTTTCATTCTTTGACATTATAGAACTTCCTCTTTCCGTTCTTTGGTGGTAGTATAATTTGTGTCTGGTGTGCAAATGGTGTACTAGTTTCCGAATCCCACTTCTCCGTTAGACTACAGAACCTTTCCTTTGTTCATGCAAATATGTGCCTTTTTTTTTTATCTCTCTCTCTCATTTCGTGGAATTTCGTGATTCAATCCCTTGCTCATTCTATCTTGTGCTCTTGTCTTGTATTTGAACTGGACATATGTGTATTTCATAGGGGACAGAGGACTCAAGAAACTAAGTCCATTATGAAATTGAGCAGTAAACAGCTTCAGGAATTATCGAGATGCGCAGTAGAGTAGAATTAACTTCAAATCCGAATTAGAACGTAGCGCTGTAGATGCAAAGTACATTCATGATGTATGCGATAAGCCCAGTAGGAAATGAATCATTCTGCGAAAAAAAAAGTTCTGACTTTCTCCAACTTCCAACTCTTGAACGAGACTCCCACAACAACGACGGACATTGTTTATCTGGCCATTCGCTCCTACAATGATTCTCTGATACGGTCGAGTTCCTTTAATACTGGAATGCTTCGTACGATCAGCCAAGTTGGCTTCCCTTTGTCTGCCCCGAAGGCGGCTTCCCAACGCCTTACGCGGGATCTTCTTCCCACGCCCCCAGTTGCTGCAACGCCCCTGTCTGATCAGCCTCACATTTCTCTCAAGAGCACATTCCCGGGTTCCTCCCAAGTATAGACGATCATCTCTTGAACCTCCGTCTCCAACCCGACGTACTACGTCGAGCTCCCTCGCCGATCAGTCTCTTTCCAATAACCAAAACATCCACATTCTACCAGCGCCGAAGCTTGATTTCAGCCGGCGAAGGTCGTCAAATTTTCTCATCTACGATCCCAGTGTATCCAATTTCTCAGGCTTCAAACCCTTACCTAACCCGCCGACCGGATCTCAACCAATGAAGTTCTACTACCAGTTTCTTACCACCCCCACCGCCGATACTCCCGGCACGACAGTTCTGCTCTGTTTTCCCGATAAGAGATATTTGTTTGGCCAGATATCGGAGGGGACTCAGCGTGCTTGTGCGGAGAGGGGGGTCAAGCTGTCATACTTGACTGATATCTTCCTCACGGGACGGATGCAATGGTCCAATAATGGCGGTCTGATCGGGGTTATGCTTTCGCAGGCAGACGCCCTTGCTAGTGCCACTGCAGCGGTAGAAGAGGCTGCGCGTGAGAAGGAAGAGCGACGGAAAGCGCGTGGGATTGTCGGTCAGAATGACGCACATAAGCCACAGACGAAAGTTCAACACGGTGTGCCGTATGCGGTGCGTGATGGACAGACGGTGGTGCAACGAGGCCACTTGACTGTTCATGGAGGTAAGAACTTGACGCATACAGTAGCCACTACGCGCAGGTTTATCTTCAGGCAGGGCATGCCAGTGTTCACGCATGAATATGATTCCGAGAATACAAAGCGTGATTCTGCCGAGACAGAGGATCCATTTCAGCAACCCACGTGGTCGGATAGCAATATCAAGGTATGGGCTATACCCGTCAGCCCTTTCATACGGCAGGATTCCAAAGACGTGCCGTTGCGGCCTCAAAGCCCAAGGAAGCGGAGTCATGACGAATTCGAAGAACCTGATACAGCTGGGAAGTCTCTCGACAGGCGTGCCAGGGACAAATTGATTAGAGAGTCTGTGGTCTCTGATATGTTTAATTCAACGTGGAGGATGGATGCTTTGACCGAGACACCGCTTGCTGAGGTCCGGATGCCCGCGACCATGTTCGTACGTAATCCAGTGACGAAAGATTTCGAAAGGTATACCGGCCCAGTACCTGGAGGCAAGGAACCACTGCCTGACATTAAGGTTTATGTCCGACAGCCTTGGCCAGCTGTGCTTGTTGAGAAACTACCGCCAACAACCTGGTCCAAAGAGGCTCTCTCTTACGTTGTCCGTAACCAGGATCTTAGGGGGAAGTTCGATCCGAAGAAAGCGCAAGAGCTCAAGGTTAAAAAGGGCCCGGATTACCAACGTCTGACCCGTGGTGAAAGTGTGCTGTCTGAGGATGGGAAGACAGTTACCCCTGATATGGTTCTGGGTCCGCCGCGACTTGGCAGAGGTATTGCCTTTGTTGAGCTACCGGCACCTGAGTATGTCGAAAATTTGGTCAATCGGCCGGAGTGGAAGTCACCCTCTGTGATGACCGGACTTGAAGCTTTCGTCTGGATTCTTGGTCCCGGTGTTGGGGATCATCCTAAGCTCCGTAACTTTGTAGCGAGCATGTCTCATTGCAAGCACATCGTGTCTAGTACGGATTACTGTCCGAACTACCTAGCCCTTGCTAGTGTTGCAGAATCATCAATACGACTGGCTCGGCTGAAAGGTGACAGTTATTCTGTGCCTGTTCACGATAATGTGACTCTCCCGCAGCCAGGCACTCTAACAGCGGATTCGGACACTGTGAAGGCTGCTGTTCAAGACTCACCATTCGAGCCTGCAGAACCCGGCTTGCTCATTGATATGGAGCCCAACTTTGGGCTAAATCGCACTAACGTAGTACCGCGTCTAAATCCAGCAATGACTATGCAAAGGATCCCTCGCAGTGTTGAGACGAGGATGAGTGCCATTCGTCGTCGAATCAACAAGCCAGAGTTCAAGCGGACATTGGAGAAGCTAGAAGAGGAGCTTCCTGGTGGCGATACTGAAATCATCACCTTAGGTACGGGGTCTTCTGTGCCATCCAAATATCGCAATGTCTCTGCCACGCTAGTACATGTGCCTGAGTCTGGCTACTACCTGCTGGATTGTGGTGAGAACACCCTCGGCCAACTGAAACGAGTATTTGAGCCCGAGAAGCTTCGACAGATGCTGCAGAACCTGCGGGTGATTTGGATTAGCCATCTTCACGCGGACCATCACCTCGGCACGGCCTCCCTCATTAAAGCTTGGTATGATGCTAATTATGGAGATGGCGCATTATCGCCGTCCGCCTCGTTATCTACCAATTCAATTGAACTTGGCATGGCACGCATCCTAGAAGAGAAACGGCTGTTCCTCGTGTCGGACAGGATGATGATCGAGTGGTTACAGGAATATGCATCTGTCGAGAACTATGGGTTTGAGAAGTTGGTTCCTCTATCTGCGTATAATGAAATGGGAGAGAACGGTGTCATTCGATCGAGTTTCGTTTATCATCACGTTCGTGGCGATGGTACTTATCCTGGCCGGGAATATGAATGGAATAAGCCGGTTATGACTACACTTCGCTTCCAGGATGAGACCTCCCCCTTGACTCCTCTCCTTCGCTCGGCCACTGGTCTTTCTGACCTCCTCACCGCCAGAGTCCCTCATTGCCGTGGATCCTTGGGCGTCTCCCTTGTCTTCCCGAATGGATTCAAGCTCTCGTACTCGGGCGATTGCAGGCCTTCGGCAAACCTCGCCTCTATCGGCCAGGGCTCTACCCTTTTAATTCATGAAGCCACATTCCAGGATGATATGCAAGGCTCCGCCATCGCCAAAAAACACTCTACGACTTCTGAGGCTCTCGAAATTGGGCGCCTGATGGGAGCTCGCACCGTCCTGTTGACGCACTTCAGCCAGCGCTACCAGAAAATAGCACAAGTGGATCAGCGTATGGGTACTACCAAGCGTGAGGAAGATCTTTCTTGTGCTCCCGACTTAACCGTCAAGAGGCACGCACATCCGGACATTCCATGCGACAATGAGGACGAGGATGATGTTTCCGCACTCCACAAACCTTCCGGACAGGGACTTAGTCTTCCCCGCCGGGCGGCCACGAATAAACCTCGCCCCAGAGCCCCCGTCGCTGTCTCATTTGACTACATGCGCGTTCGTGTGAAGGACATTCCCGTTGCTGAAGCTTACGCACCTGCCATCGAAAAGCTCTTCTCTATCCTCGAACTCGCATCCGTCCAGGAAGCTGAGAAGATGAAACATCTGCGTTTGGAGGAAGAGAATAAAAAAGTCGAGAGCAAGAAGAGCAAACAGAAGAACCAGAAGAACCAGAAGAAAAAGGAGGCTGCATCTACGGCTGGCGCAGTTGCAGTTGCAGCTGCTATTGGTGTTGGTATCGCTACGGATGAGACAGAACCAAAGAAGGCTGTCTCGGTTTGGAGTGCTAGTGAAAGTGAGAGCGGATGGAGTGATGCTGAATAAAGTGAGGATGCAGGCATAATTCTGAAAATTATATATTTCTTGAATCCAATGGCATGAAAGCTATTTAGATCAGCTATACTTCAGCCTCTAACAACAAACTGTAGGGCTGGATGATCCCAGGACGCTGAATGGGCTCAGTTGATCGAGGTCCAGAGCCAAGGGTGTTGAGGTCAGACAGTGATCTTTCTTCGAGATGCTGGTGTTTGGCTTGGATTTGGAGTTTGGCAGAATACACTATGTAAATTTTCCTTCGACAAGGTGGTATTACTCAATGGTTATCAATCCGGAAAGACTCGAAGATACCTAAGAGGCGGGGCAATGACGAGAAGTGCCTGACGAAAACCACATGACGAGGGGTCTTGGCAATGAGCTTTTTGTTAGAGGTCACGTGTATTCTGCCATATTAGACCGCCCTCGCTTGGCCTGACACACTAAAATAGCTAGACCAACCTAGATAGATACAATACAAGCAAGTTGATCCAACACTTTTACCTGTCAATTACTAATCAGATGCCGACAATTTTCCCGCAATTTACCAACGTCTAGCAGGGTTAATTTCCCTACACCTGACGACCCGACGAAGGCCGTAGTTTTGCCTGGTTCAATCACGAGATTGAGCCCCCTAAAAATCTCGCCGCCACAGGCGAAGCTGACCGTGACATTCTTGAACTCGACGCGGCCTCCGATCAAGCATAGGTGCTCGGTCCCGTATGTCATAGTAGGCTTGATCTCCAGGACTCGACGAAGTCGGTCGCGGCATAAAGGTCTTTAATGACGCGCCCGGAGACCCTTGTAAGGAATAACAGTGGATCCTGCAAGAGGCTCCAATAGCCGCTAAAGGCTAGGGTCTATATCAACAAAACAATTGCATTTCTATATAAAAATTAATTACTAGGTGGTTTAGGACATCTAACTCTAGTATGTCCCCGAACATGACAATTAGAACACTGTGGGGGGGGCTCGTACGCGTGGCCCAACTGTAGAAAGTGCTGGATCTATATGAAGTGCATCTTGAGCTTCATAGACCTCATTCTTGTGCTGAAATTGCTCTAGGCCCTCCTGAATAGCTGGCGCTTCTGCAATAGCTAGCTGCCTATTAGATCACTTCTGCTTTTGGCCTTTCCATTCATTATTAGCACGAAATTTGCGTACTTCTTCCCGTGTAATCATAAGCTCATTTAGAGCCAATTCATGGCCCTTAATAAGCTTGTCCAAGCGTGTTTCTAGCAAAGATGAAGGGCTTTTAACACATTCCCTAAGCAATTTTCTTGTTGCAGATGCCTGCTTTTCTAGCTGCCTAGCAGTATAGGGTGTTTTGGGTGCTGAATCTGTTGATTGACTGCCTGGTGGTGTAGGGTCTTTAGCTGGATATCCAACTGACTGGGCACCCTATCTGGATTAAATGGAAGTAGGCCAGCACCTGCGAAGCTATTTTGAATAGTTTCCGCTTGAAAAGCACTTTCATAAGCTTGTGGAAAGGCCTCTAGGAAATCAAGCTTATCAATATGATTGATTCCTAAGCGTGCTTTCTGCTCCACTAAGCTCCCATATGCCTTTTTTAAAGGTGAAAAGCAGTCTATATCCAGAGGTTGAAGCTTGTGGAAAGAATGCGCAGACATAAAGATAGGAATGATATTATTTTCACTGCATGTTTAATCAAATTGAGGTGTAAGATGGCTGCTATGACCATCAATAACCAGAAGACAGTATTTTCCAGTTGCACAACTAAAAATAGCAGAAATAAAGGGATTTTTAAGCCAGCAAAGACCTATCTTATTAGTAGTCCATCTATTAGGACTAACTTCAATCCTGCTATTATGTGGGAGCTTAAAATCTTGATACCAACCCTCTATATGGACCTTCCCCTTAAAGATAATGCATGGGGGAAGTGCTGTAAATGGGGGCGTACGTGCGTTGTTCCCTGCGACAGGAACCGGGTTGTGATCGAGGGATCACAGGGATGGACACACTGAACGATCTAATAAGGAAACGATATAATAAAAGAAGAGACACAACGACGAAGGAGCCTCACTCCGTTCTATACGATGATGACGATACCAGCGAAGCAACCTAGAAACCAAAAGAATGCTCAATTTCTCGTAACTATCTGGGAGGAAACCCTCCATTAAGTACTCTCCGGCGTTCTACGATAGAAAATATGGGAGACCCGGGATTTCGCAGTGCCCCCGGCACATTGTATCTCTATCTATTGTGGATGAAGCTGTTTAAAAAGTGATTAAAGGTGCTGAGATAACTATGCAGAATGCTGTCCTATTACAACACCAAATCAGTCAGCTTCAATCAGAGATTCAATATAGAAAGAGGAGGCAAAAGAGGACCAAACACTTTATTCAAAATGGAGGAAGTTTAACTGTTGCTGAAGGTAGAGAGAAGATTGAAGGAGAAAGGATTCTCCAAGAGGATTGGCAACCTAGGCAGCGTCGGCCACCAACATGTAGTAATTGTAACATATTAGGACATACTAGGGTCCAGTGTCCTAGTAAATTGATATGGACTATTTTTCAATGAAAATATGCTTGTTTTGTGGCGTTGAAAAGCATCAAGTTTAGAATAGTGAAATTCGTGGAATTCGGAACCGCTCGATGGTCAAAACCACTCGGTGGTCGGTTACGTTAAGAGGCATGAACAGTCTGATGATTTATCTCCTGTCTCAGAGCATTCCAGCTGAAACGGGTCCATCCATTTGTAGATAGATATCTTTGACTGGAATGCAATCACTGGGGGAGTGATGTATATGTATTTTATATACAGAGGCTGATATGTACGCATTATTCCTAACAGTAATAGTACTCTATTTGAAAGGATCTTTTTGAATAGGATGCTGCAAGCATGGAATCCATAATAATAGGCTTACCGAATCTGGTGCATTGTCGATTGTCAGTGTCAAAGGGTCTGTTTTAGGGCTGCTTTGAGGTAGTTATCAGCAGGGCTGTTTGGAAATGGGCGTTTCTTGGAGAGGGAATATGTGCAGTTGAGTGAGGCGTGGAGGGATTGACATGGGATTCTGGATGGCTTTTCCATGTAGATGGGAGAGGACAGTACAATGGTATTCTTTTCAGGCTTCGAGTTTGAATTAGAAGATAGTTATCGATGAATATCGGTTATTGCGAGGTCAGAGTAGAAATGAGATAACCTGCTCTATATACGATTGATCAAGAAAACTGTCCATCAGGCGCCTTATATGCATATGCTTGATTCAAAGAATCATCAGTAAGCCGCTTTCCACCAACTAAACATGATAATGTAGTCTAAACGTGATGTATTTATCCACTCACGAGCATTTTGAGTGGCTGTTAAGGATTTGTCGAGTTATCAGCAGCGCTCTGGGAGGCAGTATCTTGCTGGGAGTCTCGAGCGTCATTAAAAAGCTTGCTTTGGCCGGCTTTGTCCTTTTTCTTCAATTGCATGGCCCCATTTTCTATAGCCTCTTCGGGCAAAGGGCGGATATGCGGCTGACACACCCACCATGGGCGGCTATATTCTGCAATAGTGGCCTTGGAACCAGTTAAATCTGCTGCATCCGAGGTGTTCTCAAACTGCTGGGGATGTTGTTCGTATTCCTTGAGACCCTCCTTGACCGCATCTTCGACGAGCGTCAAGACATGCTCGAAGGCCGGAATGTCACCAGGTCGAGAATGGGCGAGGGAATCTCGGATATTTGTGTATTTCGAGATCATAGGCCGGAGAAGTTGGAAAAGATGGCCCTGCATCACAATGAGACTGGGACAATTTGGTCTCTTGGATTTCTCGCGCTTCTGTTTTTTGTAGGGCGGGCCTTCCTCTTCCTGGGAGAGAATATCTGATTTCTGGTTCTCTTCTTCCGATACGGGATCTGATGGGAGGTACAAAGGTCTCCTCTCCGGTGGTGGTGACTCAAGGACATACTTATAAATGATGTCCATATACCGACGGAAGATTGCATCGATTCGGTACCCACCTTTTCCATCTCTACCGCGCCAATATTCCCGCCCTTCATGTCCAGGTAACGGCGGTCTGCTGAAAATTGTTGGATCAGACAAGTTTCCCTCGGCACTCATTACGCCGTCGGCGCCGGTGACCTCAATGCAACGTTCTAGGTCACCGTGGTTGAGAACGTTGCCGTTTGCAAAAATAACCGTTTCCGGTGGTAGATTCTCCCTCAGGTACCGAATATAACTCCAGTCTGCCACACCAGTATTATGGCCCTTCTGCTCTCTTCGTCGGCCATGGACGGTGATAATGCTTGCTCCAGCGGACAGGATCATCTTAGCATACTCGAGCGTCTTCTCCTTTGATTCTTGAATACGAAACTTTGCTGTAACAGGTACAGAGAGTTCCGTATGTAATTTATTAATGAGCTTGTAGATCAGATCCCAGTTTTCTTGAAGGAATGCCCCGTAATGTCCCTTCCTTGCGATCCCTTGAGGACACCCCAGATTTAAATCAACCGCATCGCAGTATGGAGCAACATGGCGCGCCGCCTCTAAAAAGTCATCCGGGTTATTTGCGCAGAACTGTACGAAAAGCGGTCGGTCTATCGATGGGTTTCCGTCGAGATATAGCGACTCATCATTCTTATCGCCAACTGTTGCACGAGTAGGCTGGAAGTGCTGATTGCGCATCGACGGCTGTTCTCGAAAGAGACGAGCATGGTACATAGGTGAGTATGCAAGTATATGTTTCGATTCTTCGGGTGCCATGAACGAACGAGTAAGCATGCGCCACGCCTATTGAAAATTCCAGTCTTAGCATTGAGGATCGCCCTCAAAGGGGACATTGATTACATACAAATTCAGATCGGTCAACCATCGGTGCAACAATATATTTTGGACTTCCCAGACTCCTATAGAACTCTCTCCCGTGTAGCTTCTTCCTAGGAGGCTGGTCCGCATCCGGAGGTAGGACCTCGGGGACGGTCATTTTCAGCGTAGTGTAACGTCGAATTCGGAAGGAAAGTTGCCCCAGCTGCGGGGCCAAAAGTCGCGCAGTCCCTATGGTTACTAATGTGAGATATTTCGGGTCCTTGAACCAGTAATCCGCTTCAAAGGCAAGGTGAAGGGCTGGAGGCGGCGCATCTCCTGCGGCGACTCAAAAAACTGTCGGGGCGGAATAAATGCTCGTCCGTCTTATCTTGATCTGATAAGATTCTCAGGGACGGCGGCAAGATCGCTGCAAATGCCGCATGAGAAATCTCGTGTTTAGGGTAATCCAACGGCTATGATGAAATGAGATGACGTGAGTGGTGGCTTGTTAGATATGTTCAAATTTACTGGTTCTTTCATTCGATATTTCGAAAAAAGAATTTCCCATTATTCTATACCCACTACTTGCAATCCGTGGAAACTGAACCCACCCCCAAAACATACACAAATATGGACTCAGGAGCCGGAGGTAAATCCAACACATCAACCTTCTCAGTGAACTGGTAATTTCTGACTAGTTAAATAGTTCCTTCTTTAATATCCTTGTCGGATGACGGGGAATTTGCCGCTCAAATTAGCGGCAAAGATCTCATCGTCCATTCACATCCAGCTTCGTCCGAATTAAGGGAGATGGACATAACCAAAGTCAAGGAAAGTTTAGCTTCGACAGCAAAATTCTTAAAATTTTCGCGGACAGAGCCTAGAGGAGGAGCGGAAGAAGCGTCGAGGGTTGAGTCAGGTAGCGACCAGGTCCGGCATCTGCTTTGCGCCAGTGACGCTCGTGTCTCAGTCTGGAAATTGAAGCCACTTACGTTGTTCGGTGAAATTGAAGGGGTTGACTCTGGAATAGTGAACGTGGACTTTGGCAGGAACAAAGATGAGATCATAGTTTTCCACACGTGGAACACGAAAGTGTCTGTCTTCACTCTAGCCACTGGACACAGCCAAATTATCAAGGCACCGAAGTTCGCCCACCATAACGGCTACGGATATCGACCTAAAACGGGTCAATTTGCAATTCTTTTAAAGCCAGAGACAACTGATCTACTGACTATCCATGAGTTGAGAAGCTACGAGCTCATTAATCGAGCAAATCTACCAACAGTGGATGCGCAGGGCTTGAAATGGAGTCCCGATGGAAGGTGGATAGCAATCTGGGAGGCTGCAAGCGCAGGTACGAAGGTACTGATATTTACTGCAGACGGACATCATCTTAAGACATATACTGGATCTCCGGGATTCGACAATAGCTTCGATCTGGGTGTGAAAAGCATAGAATGGAGTCCTGCGACTGGTCCCAATGAAATTTCAGAATATCTAGCAATTGGGAAGGTCGATGGAACTATTGAAATTCTCCGAAGCAAAACAGTACGGATGCATACACTAGACTTCTGTGAAAAATGATCTTAGGCTAACCCGTTCAGTTCTCCTGTTCGATTTCGCTGTCCCACATCATCCAGAACGATCAACATGGTCCTACAGTCTGGCGGGAGAGGCATTCTAACACAAATGGGGATCCCGAGTATGCGGAGGCGCCAAATTTTGCGGCGTCCATAATGACGACGGAACTATCTGGTCCTGCTCGTGGAGTCTCGACAATAACATTCAGTTTCGATGGCAGTTTCCTGGCGACTGTGGACCAAGGACGACCGAACATTGTTTGGATATGGTCGATAGAGACAACTCCGAGATTAGCATCAGTTTTGGTTCATGAACATGCGGTCAGACAAGTGGTTTGGCATCCTCGGAGCACACAGTGCCTCATAACAACAGTCAATGGTGCTGTTGCTGCTGTCCGTCATTGGTCTTCAAATGGTGATCCAACGACTGTACGCATGCCTATTCATCGAAGTGAGACTGGGAAGTACGATGCGAGATGGTTGGCATCAGAACAGAATGGCAATTTGGCGTTCTGGTATGGAACAACTGAAGACTGCGTACTCGGTTATCTGGGGATTCACGATGAGGTTTCGAAGTTCAATGTGCTTTATTATGTGAATGCCAAAGCACGAAGTATTTCTGGCTCAGGGATAGGCCGGTATATTTAATGCTCTCTTTTACGATATGTTCGCTTTGCTGTCTATGTATACTGGGCCCTTCCAGATCGGCTCATTGGCGCTCGCCAGGCCATTGTAATACCAACCCTACATCAGAGCGAGTCAGACATAGGATACCACAACATAATAGATTCGTCTGCCCCCATACCATGATAGAGAGCTTTTCTTTTCTGCCAAACAGAGCGGACGAAATGAAAGCATACGGACAGCCAATCACAGCGCATTATGCATCAACCCTGTTGCTAACCGAGCCAAGACACCAACAGTGAGGGTTTAGGGCTCAACAAATAAGGCTTAGTCATCAGTCCCCACTGGAGTCGGCGCACCTTGAGTGAAACTTCTTGCCGCTGCTCTGCTCATTCCTCGAACAACGACCTCAGCAGACAAAATGGTGAGTAGATACCTACTACGATACTGGGTATTATTTTCAAAAATGCTAATTAGGGGATTCTTTTCGACAATAGGCGCCAGCAGCTAAGCAAAAGAAGAAGTGGTCCAAGGGCAAGGGTATGTTATTATCACCAGTCTATCCTCCGTCGCCCTCTCGCAGACGAAACAGTGATTTCTTTTCCTCTCCGGCGATGTGACGCTTTTGGAGAGAAAGATAACTGGGATTCTTGTGTGCAATTCGATACAAAGCATGTAAGGAATGGAACACGAAAGCTGACGTGACTTTCCCGAATAATAGTCAAGGACAAGGCCAACCACGCCGTCGTCCTCGACAAGACCACCTCCGAGAGGCTGTACAAGGATGTCCAGTCCTACCGTCTCATCACCGTTGCCACCCTTGTCGACCGTCTGAAGGTCAACGGCAGCTTGGCCCGCCAGGCCCTCGAGGAACTTGAGGAGAAGGGTCTGATCAAGAAGGTCGTTGGTCACTCCAAGCTGAACATCTACAGTACGTTTTACCCTCTTGTCATGGATCAGGACTTCTTTTGAAGTAGTGGATGCTTGAAGATGCTAACGGATGTCCCCTTTACTCTAGCCCGTGCCGTCACCGCTGAGTAAACGGTTTCCCTTCGGAATTCTTTTGCGGTTATTGTTTTCATTTGCGATGAACGAGTCTCATGAAAATCCGAGAAAATCGGCTGGGAGTTTGATGCAAGGTGGTTCGATGGCTTAAGCCGGAGTGGGTATAGTTCGCTACTGGGCATGTCAAGTAGAATAAAACTTGAATTGATCACCATCTATTCCACTTCAAGAAGCATCCTTTTTGCTGTAAGGCATTACTTCATGGCGATGATAATCGATATTTCGAAGACAAGCAAAGATCGGGTTTGAAGCATGTACAGAAGACTGTAGTCCGCAGGATAATAGCAACGTTATATATAAAACGAGATGCGATTTTTATTCTTTTTCCAATTGAAACCCCTATTGTCGAAATGCGCTTTTAATCCTTCCTATCTACATCCTGATCATTCCTCTTCGGCCTCTTACTCTTAGCAGCGTCACAAAGCTCCCTCTTCCCACCATCCACCACCATCTGACCGACAACCTTCCCGACCTCAAAATACTTCTTATGATCCCTGTAGAAGTTTTGCCAGTGCTCGACATGCTTCCTCACTTCCGCCTTCGCAAGCCTCACATCCCGCTCCCGCCTGATCTTCTTCTGTGCCTTCGTAAGCTTCTTCTCCTCCTCACTGTCTTCGTCATCGATGGGGATAAACATCTCCTCAACGCCGGCCAGGTCAGAGGTAAGATCATCCTCAAAACACCCCGTGACGAACGCGCGGGCGGCGTCCCTCCCGGCAAAAAACCCGTACATGCCCCCTGGGCCGTAGATGCGCGGGTTCGCAGAGACGTCGAATATGGTACCGTTCAAGGCGAGGTAGATGGGGAGATTTGGGTCGGTGCCGTTGTACAGGGATAGTTGTTCTGGTGTTAGGAAGATAGGACCTTGCTGATTTTGCCGCAAGTTAGCGGATTATTATCAGGACAAGGTCTATCAGAGAGGAAGAGAACATACAATATATCGCACCACTAAAGGCCACTTCGTGAACCAGGGTCGATACCCCCAAAGCAACGATTCAGAGGAGGTGATGTAATATGAAAGGCCGCAGCTGGCCACTACCAGCGTGACCAGCAAGCGGATAATGTCAAGGACGCTGATACTGTTCTCATTGCTGCTGCTTTTGTTGCTCTTGCTTCGAGGTTCGGATGGTGACTCGGATGAGTCCTTTGGTGCCTGTGCCTGTCTCTGACGGAGTTCTGACATGGTTATAGACGTTGGATGATCATCTGATAGCTCTCTTTATTTTTTTTTTTTTTTTCCCCTTTTTGTCGATTTTTTCGATGCTTGTAGTAGGAGGGGAAGAAATGTGAGAGATGTGAAGATCCGACCATGGTGCAGTAGATATATCATTATATTCTCCGCAGGTGGCATGCTTGCACGGCGTGATAGCTCCTTGCTAGTCTTCCAAGAAAAAAAAAATTTGTATTATGGATTCTAATCATAGAATGGCGATGCATGAGAAGCTACACCGAGACCAGCGAAAGTTCTATCACATCCAAGTTTTTCATTCCCAAGCTAGCAATGTCTATCAAGATTACTGTGCTATGATCCAATTTCCCAACGACATCACCACCGAGATCACCACTCAACAGGTGATAATCGTGTAAACACCATAATCCCAACACTAATATATAAACCAGTGACTGATGACAGGAACTAATCCCAAGATATTTATGACCCGGTTCTCACGGCAGCACTATGCACTTAGATAAAGTCAGCAAAACCAGTCGATCAACTCAACTGAAGAACTTATGCAGAAGACCAAAAGAAAGCCAAAAAAGAATATCAGACATCCAAGGAAGTATTGCGCACAGAGCACGTCAGAAATGGGTTCATAGCGACGGCTAGCGTGGAAACTGCGAATGAGGAAGAAATTTTCATCATAGGATTTTTGAGGGCAGGGATGGTTACGCGACGACGCAGAGACGAAGAATAAAGAGACTCACCACATGACAGCTAGTATGTGTTGTAATGTCCTGTGGATGTATTAATAAATAACATTGAGAATGCGTTACGCACACATATCGCTTGATCGTTTGGATTTGTGAGAATCTTGCAGGAGAGAAAAATCAGAGAAGACTTCGAGGGGAAAAAGAAAGGGAAAATAAATACCGGTCAAGGCCTATCACATGACTTGGATCCACTTTTACTGCCATGACTATAAGGCATGTGTGACCCAGAATTGTTCCAAAACCAATCCATGGACAATTAGCCCCTTTTTTCACTACAAATGCTTGGTGGTAACTTATTGGCATGTTTATTAAATGGGTTAGCCAAGTGAAAAAGGATGTTAGTATTTATCTCCAGATACTGGTGTGACGGTTAGCAGGCGGCTGAAAATGGCTACATTGGCGGCCGTTGTGAGCGTCTCTCTAACCAACATCCGTCTTGGCATCTCATGAATTAACCCGAAAAAAACCCGCTTTTAGCCAAGCTAGGCTGAATACGGTAGGTCATGTGAGCTGCTATATCATATTAGGCTAGCTGAGGGTTGGGTTTTTAAACCCTCATCCACCCTCATCCCAATACCAAGCTCTGACGAGCAGCACCATACTACTATTATGTATAGTATTCCCATCCACCATATTATATATTATATTATTTTAATTGAAACATATATTTGTATAGGTTTTAATATATATATATATTTAATTATATTATCTATATTATGCGGTTTCGTGGTTTAATCATATATTTGGCCAAGGATGGGTTGGATATATATATCCCTCCATGCTAGAGTTACCGCTGACCCATACCATATATTTACCGCCCCGATTAACACCCCATTTTAGTAGATATCTAAACCATTAATATATGTATATAGTAATTAGATATCAAAATTTATTAGTCCATTGGCAACCCTGCAGCTGATGGGGGCAAAGAGAGGGGAGTGGCCAGTGTGATAGCACCATGCTGGAACAAGGGGAATCATCAGGTAATGTGGCATCTTAAGAAGGGGGCAGTGCACCAGTCAATGTAGCATGGGAAAGGGGGAAATGAGGAAAAAAGAATAGAAAATATGTGGCCATTTGAGGGAGAGATGGTCAGGATTGGTATATAGATGCAGCAGATGCGTTAAGGCGGTAGGGGAAGCACGCAAAGGTGGTGAGAGGGCCAGGCTATACCTGAAGCAGTGCACACTATACTGCAAGAGGCAATGGGATAGCTGGTGACGGCAGGCGGTGGCAGACGGCAGACGGCAGATGGAAGTCCATCCATTTTTTTTTCTAAATATTTCATTCTTCAACGTCAATTGCTCAGGCAACTGCTAACTTGGTTCATCTCCATACCTCTGCTTAAAGCCGAAAACAAACTATGAACAGTCATCGATCAACACCAAGAATCGAAAGAGGTACTTTATGAATTATACAGCACTTGAGCATAGCCTCGGGTTATCCGTATGTTCAGACAGTGCCACTTGGAACTCCGTGCCGACAAGATTAGCTGTTTGACCTACGGGGTTAGACGCCTAGGTGTTCTAGAATGAGAAAGAGACCAATTGAAGAAAGGATGTGATATTCTCCTGGACACCTGAACAGATCTGCCTTTGTGAAGAGTGATGATATAACCAAGTGTTATGGAGACACCTGAAGCTTATGACAAGCACCTACCCTGCCATGTCCACGCGGACTTGAGTTGGATTCTCTGTCATTGAAGAAAGAAAGAAAGAAAAACTCAGAGCTTACTTCTACAGGAGCCGTGTCGAGCTTCAACTGATTGGGCTTTCATCTGAGTCCGACCTTGTTATTTTTAATTGTCATTATTGCCAGCATCCAGGGCGCCCCTGGGGCTGCTCTCTGAGTTTTCTTTGTTCCCTCGCTCCTGAGGTAGACTCGTCCAAATCCTCGGACGTCCTCTCTTCCATAATTTTTTTTTAAAAAAAAATTCTATATTATTGTTCTATTTTATATCCGTCCTTCCTCTGTTTGACAAGGGGATTCCACCGCCCGTTTCCGCTCGCTTCTTGGGAGCAGCTGTTTGGAATATCGAAGCTTCCTCAATTTCTCTTCCCTTCCCTGGAAAAATTTTATATACTTGTTTTCCGTCCCTCCATAATTACCTTTTTCGTGTCCAGAAATCATTTGAAGACAGTTGCAACGAAATGCGTACCTGATGCAATCATACACGTTCTGATTTATTATATCAAACTGCTCTTTGTTGCTCGCCTTGTTACATGAGAAGACGTCTGACTGTTTCATCTGCTCATTCATATCTAGAATACAGCACCATCTATGGAATGGATGGGTCTGACGTCGGCTGATGAAGACCCAAGTGCATTTCAAGATGCGGAAATATTGGGGTTAATTACGGGAGTCGATGGCTTCAATCCTAATGTCAGTGTCTGTTCTGGGGCCTTCGAAGCTGAAATTGGCTGTATACCTTTTCCTGCAGCATCAAGCGAGTACCCGTGGGCGTCACAACCCCCACAAGAACCCACGGGCATGACGCCTTCGTTTTCGCCCCCTGCTTCACCTACGAGTCTGGGTTCGGTTTTTAGTACGTCAAGCTCAGAGACGAATATCCTGAGTGCAACATCAAGCACTCGGAGTACAGTTTCAGCTATTCCAAGAATAGTTTCAAGCTCTTCGACCACAATATCAAGGACGCTGACAACAAGCGCAACAGCCGGACTTCCTACAACATCTGCTCCACTATCCACTCAGTCGCAGCATGACAACTCTAATTTAAGCACCATACTTGCCATAGCCATCCCTGTCCCAGTTTGCGGCCTCGCAATCCTTCTAGGGCTTATCTACCTTCTCATGAGACGGTGCCGAGGAGAACGTTGCTCGCGGGAAATTGACAGTGAAGCGACCCGAAGAGGAGACAATGCGAGTTTCGTCTCCCATCCAAAGCTTCATCCCCAACGACCCCTCGCGATCCCAGAAGCCCTTAAAATCTCCTTCCCGACCATAAGCACGCCCCGAACCCCATCAGAGAATTACCAGTCGGCAATCCATCAGGTTTCTATTCCAGACATAAGACCTACCAGCCCGCTTCCCCGAAGTACGGGCTCGCTCACTACACTTGGCCGGTTTTATTTTGAATATGGTGGAAACCACACCTCAACGCTAGATTACGATACATGTGGATGGAATGAGCACTCGAGCTTTTTCATGTCCGAGTCGGAAGAAGGCTCGGAGGATGGAAGGTCAAAGATCTCGCGGATTAGTTCATGGGAAGAAGAGCTTGGACACGGCAATAATCTGGATAATTTGTCCTCCGTGTCGTCTCTTACGGAGGATATGCAGCCAGGTCGGTGTGGGACTCTTCACTGACAAGTCTGTTTGACTGTCACAAGTTAAAAATTTTTATTTATCTATTAATTATTAATTTTTGATGATGTGTACTGCAGTGTGCAATTAATGCAACTCCCTGGACAAACTTGGCTTGAAATTCAGACATTAATACGAGTAGTTGATTAAGTAGTGAGCCATACAGTAGGTGATCACCTGCCGCCTGAATTCTGGAAATTTTAAACCACCACAATTCATCCAATATGGGGTATATTGAAGCCACTCTGGCAGATATAGAATTCTTGAAGCCAGAAGAATTGATCAATTACACCAAATTACAAAAAAGGCACAGTGTCAGCTGTACAACACTAATAATTACTTGAAGAAAGTAAGCAAAGAACAGAGGGTTACAGATCCAGAAAGCAGAGCAAAAGAAATATCAAAAGGAAGAGGAGCAGCTAGCTAAAGACACAGCTTCACAGCTTTAAAACAACTTTAAGTAGAACAAAAACGGCAAGAAGAAGCCTTCGAGGCCCTCTGAATCCCAAAAACAGCAGCATACAGTCCCTTCAGGGGATGAAGCTATTGAAGAGGTCCCTCCTATAGTAAACCATTGGGAAAGGCAAATTCACCAACCTGTTTTAGTACTCCAGGAGATCTCTATATAATTCAAATTGTATGTGGTTCTAAAGCTTCATTTTTCGGCATCGTCGTGCTAATTCGGGCGGAAGCTGGTACTAGGCATCAGGTGACAAAAAGTTTGGCAACTGGAAGAATATGACACTGAAGCATGGTACCGATATGAGACAGCCGAGAACAGAATTGGAATAATAAAACCTTCACTGAGACAATAATATCAGTGTTTATAACACTGGAATCATGGCCTGACGAACCTGAAGGGTCAAATCGAGTTTGCAAGTTGAGATTGTCGATCAAGTATACTGATTTCTGCAGGCTACATGTAGCCTATGTGTTTAAAGACACAAGGCTCCGTAAATTAGAATCACATTATACCGTAAGCATGCGTTGTGCTGTTTAGAGCAAGTATATTCAAGATAACACAATCAACTTTTCTTGCTTTTTTGATACCTTTGCAAATCCATATTTGAATACTGTACCCTGTCTATAGATATAGATACATGAGTAAACAGTCAATCCCATGAGAAAACACATTCCCTTCCTAGACTAAGACCTCGTAACCTCCCTCCCGCCGAAATCAGGTATATAGGCCTTTGCATTCCCCTTCATAAGCTCTCTCAGCGCCATGGTGGCATACTGACTGGATCCGAGCTGGAACTTCAGGATCACGGCGAGCTTCTTGTCCTTGTTATCCGCAGAGTTTTCCGCCGCGGCCTCAGTATTGGGTCCATTTTCGTTTTCACTGGCAGATTGCAGCACCTCCAGGTCTGTATGGACGAATTTCTCATCATCCTGCGAATAGAGCTTCACGTCGAAAGAATAATCCCCTCCCATCCGAGACAACAGCTTCCGATAACTCCCGCTAAGACTAATGTCTCTCCATTTACGACGCATGTCGAATGGATCCAGGGCCCCGCCTTCCGCATTGCCCATGAACTGCTTGTAGAACTCCATCATTTTGTTCGCTGGGTATAGAATATCGAAACCGGGAAGGGGCAGGACGATGTCGAAGATGGTGTATTTCCCACTTGCCGCTTCGGCGGCGGTCAATGCCCGCGCGCGCGTGAATATATCATCTGCAGCGACGGCAGAGTCATTGGCCTGAGGAAGGATGATGACTTCACCGTCCGCGTCGATTGTTGTTTGATCGCTAGTTGCATTATCTGGATCCTGTTCCTTTTCCTTGTGCTCATTGATGATGACTAGATCTCCCTCGACGACCTTATCACCGTATAAGCGCCAGCGTTCGCTGACGGCGGAGTTCCACACAAGCGACTGGTATGCGTGGACGTACATCAACCGCAGGTTCCGGGGAACGGCTTGGAGGGCGCCGAGGTAGTCCCCTTTCGACCGTCCCAGGTGGCGGATTATGTTCAATTCCGCAGAGAATTTCCGGGGTAGCTTGCCGAGAGCGTTGTTAATTCTTCCGGTCGTTTGGAAGATATGAATCGCTTCCGCACGAGCTTTGTCTTCAGTGCTGATTAGAACAGTTGGATCTTCCGGGTTTCCCTGAGCCGCTGCAAGTACATGCGGGCTAAAGTGGAGAATAGCCTCACAGGCTCCCTTGAAGTCGCCCTGTAGCATTTTAAGCCCGATCGTGTCCGTTCGTCTGGAGAAGCTACCGAAACGCTGCAAGCCGTAGTAGTTGAAGTACCCCCGTTCGTGGAGACTCCGCAGCGACTGGCCTACAACCTCTCTGGCCTTTGCAATGACTTCATCCTCGGCATTCGCTCTCACATTGATACCAGGAATCTCGCAGTCTCGGAGAGTTATGACAAACTCGTTCCCATTGAGATCCCCCAGTTCGAGTCCGTGATTGCGGTATTCAAAATCACCTACTGTCGCGTTGCGCAGGGTCGAGTTGAGCCTCGCGAGACGGTCAGCATGCACTCGAAAAGCGCAGGCGCGCTGTACCGTCACACCACGTCGATCCTTGGTACCGGCGAACTGAAAGCTTTTCGTGTTCATTTTTAACTGGTGTGCAATAAAGGAGATGGTCTCCATGGTATCTTTGTTTTCTTTGTATATGGTGAAATGCAGATATGGACCTCCGACCTCGTCCCAATTGAATCTGCCTCCCTCTCTAGAATTGCCGCCACGTCCACCTTGTGTGTTCCGTTTAAAACGATTCGCGGCGGCACTGATGGCCATGATGCCTTCCGGGTCCGTAGACGATTCAAGCTGGGAGTTGAAGATCCGTCGAATGGCTTGATGTATCTTTGTCCGCAGGTCGCGATCGGAAATGGCGATCGTCGAGATCCTCCCCAGTTCTCCTGGACGAGACTTGGGGCTTGACATGGCGCGCTTATGCAGTTTGACGATTCTCTGGGCAATTTCGGGCCCGAAGTAGGACTCCAAAAGCGAATTGTCTTCGTCGGAAATCTGAACTTCGGGCGCGGCCGGTGTCTCCTTTTGTTGTTCGTTTTTCGTGGGCTCCGCGGGTTCTTCGCGAGTTGCCTCTGACACGCCAGTCAGAGTTCCAGTACTCGTTCCTTCATCCTTCTTGTTATTCTCCCGTCTCAGAGACGCAGGTACTGTAACATCCCGCAGATGTAGGACTTCGCCAGACGGCAAGATCTCGTTGACCAAGAAGTCTGTATACCTAACAGAATCCAGGCAGGTTAGCCGTGTCACGCCCTTGAAACAACGCACAGGTTTTCCTAGCAGAAGCGTCTCATATATACCTCTTTTTAAGAACTCCCGAGAATCCCTCATTGTGGCAGCTGGCGAACTCCGTGATCCCCACCTCTGCCTCTTTCAAACTCTGCGCGTCGACGGTCGAAGATCTCCCTGCAAGCGCAGGCGCAGGCGTGCTGACGAGGACATCGCCAGTCGGAGCGGGATTATCGACCTTAAGTCGCTTGCGGGGGTTCTCCGCGATATCTTCCAGCTCTATATTGGCGCTCATATTGCAAGCAATGGGTGACGCTGGAGAGTGGTTGAATGCTCGAGGCTTGAATCCGATTAAGCTTCGGGATTTGACTCTGACGGGTGGACTAATCCGGTATAGCGCTTTATAGGGCAGAGCCCTGAGGTGCATATGTAGGTATCTGGCAAGTTTGTGCCAAATTAGAAATTAACTGACCCCAAAGGTTACCGTAGGGGACAGTTACAACTAGAATGTGAGTACCTGTGAAATTGAGTCGAAAATGACCGCCAGTGAAGCTGTTTACGGCATTATTTCCACACAGCGTTTCAGCGACCTGTTGCTGCTTTATGTTAGTACACGTGAGGTTCTGCCGTCCTAGACCGCCCTCACTACCTATCTCACGGCACAGGCAGGCCTACCTAGTAATACGACCACACATGCGCCTATCCATTACTTTAACCATTCACACACGTGATCTGGCCACTATTCTGCACCCGCCAAGCCCATTTCATAGCACCGCACCCCGTGCTGTTGGTTCACCCTGCGAACCTCCTCGACTCATGATCGAATCGCCGCCGAAAATGGCTTCCCTCGCTGCCAAATACAGCTGCTAAATACAGCTGCTCTCTGATTCCTACGGGATTTCCCGGGCGACCGTATAAAATGTCACTTTTTTTCCTCCCCTGGTCTCCTTTTTCTGGCCATCTCTCCGTCTCTCGTCACGCCTCTCGACGAACTCTCTTTCCCAATGGGAGCCGTTTCTGGCGGCCCGCTCACCGTGTCAACTAATACTTCATTTATTAGTTCTTATGTATTTTTGTAGTTTTTTTTTCAAAATTATATTTTAAATTCTGGTAATATAAGATTTAATAAAATACACAAGAATACAATTGTAGATACTATATAAAGCGAATCAAGAATCTCTTATCTAATTTAATAGAAGATTATACAAAATAAACATTTTAGAAGCAGCTACGACTTCACTAGGCTTCTCGTTGTTGAGATATCCAATGTACAAAAGTGGGCGTTTTATAAGGGATGCAGGGCTGGAACGCACGCTTGCGTAGAAGGTTAGATTTAATTCTCCCTGGAACACGGCCGCCCGAGGATATTCAGTGGAGTACCTTTTTTCTTGGCAACTTTTTACCAATGCACGATTTATAGGCGGGGTAATAAGCTATATAATCTCCACTCCCGTCTCTACTTCCATCTTTACTTCCATCTCTACTTCCATCTCTACTTCCATCTTACTTCCATCTTACTTCCATTTCAAGCGCCGCTACGAACAATTCAGGTGATCGCTTTCAACTACAGGGTACACAATGTAGTGATAGACGTATCTAGGGGTTCAGGCAGCTGGCGTTTATTGCATGAGCCAACCAACTTTCATGGATGACAAGGATAGCGAACTATCACTAATCTGAACCCGTAATAATGCTGCGGCTAGAGGAGAGTCGACACAGTTGTATGCATCAAAATCTAGTAATCATCTCCTCTCAACCACTCGTCTAGCAAAAGCTCCTTCGCGGCTGGTCTTTCCTCCGGCAACCACCGCAGAGTCTTTCGTAGAAATCGGAGGAACAGTACTTGACTATCAGTCTCAAGCTGAGATTCACGGCATTCAAGAGATTGCTCTGAGATTTTTGTAGAACCTTTCCAGTTACCTACAACGTAGATAAGTCATTCGTGTCATATTGAAAAGCAGTCAAAGTTCACTCACCGTCCTCATCCCAAAATTTAAGACTTTCTTTACTTCGTCTAAGAAACTCAACAGGGGGCGGTCCTAGAAGAGAAATCATTTCTGCGATACGCTGGGCTTTCTCAGTCTCGGTTTCAAGGCTTATATTTCTGAAGAGATGTCCTTGCTCAGACAGTGTCCATGCCTACAAAGAACATAATTATTAGATGTCATAATGCAGGGGGTTGATAGTCTTACCATCTGACCCAAGGCCCATATATCAACCTTATTATCCCATTCCATACCTAACAATACTTCTGGAGCCCTATATACACTTGGCATTATAAGGCCGGTTTGTTTCTGTTTAGCAAGTCGCGCCTCTCCAAGGTCGGCGAGTATCGGTTCACCGTCTGTCAAAGGCATTGCACGAGTGGCATAAATAATACGATCAGTAAGCACTTTTCGTGGAGAGGGGTTCGAGATTTCATCCTCTTCCATTCCAGCAAGGATGGAGTCATCATCAATACCTAAAAGGATATTGTTCGGTTGGACATCTACGTTGAATTAATACAGGCCATAAGATATTGTGGAGTTATTACTTGCCTGTGTGGATGATATTTGCTTGGTGTAGGTAATCCAGGGCAATAAGTACAAACCGTAGGGCAGGCCGCAGGAGATTCTCTGGTAATTTATCTCCCTCAAGACAGTGTATATAATCACGTATATCGATGCCAGCAGGCTCGTACAGGAGGCATGGATGCACCCCGTAAGGTCCGGGAATCTCAAAAGCGTCAAGGATAAGCCGGACATACTTTTCACCGCCATGAGTACTATGCATAGCTTGTAGATGCTTCGAAATCACCACCTCGGGGAGCTGTCCTTTAGCTCGAACGTGAACTTTCATGATCAAATAACGCCGATGACTATGGATACGTCAGTATATATCTCAGATAAGTATGTTGAACACTTACCAAAGGTCCCGACATAGCCATACAGTTGACGATGAGCCGAAGCCAAGTTTAGTAATGACCTGATACTGAGAATTAAAAACTTCACCAATGCGAACTGGATAATAGCGCTCCTCTAAATAATCAGGAAGAGTTTCTTCTTCGAATTTAGTATTCGAATCCAAAATGTAAAATCCCGAGTCTGGAAATATGCGTGGTTGAGACATTGAAACCGAGGTAATTTTCCTGCACTGGAAGAGGAAAGAGAAAGTGAATGGTCGGTAGCTTGGATGTCTAACGGGCAAAGCTAAATATCTGCCAGCGCGGAGGACTGTTTTACACCAGAATCGGCTCATGACTTGCTTTTTATGGAAGAGCAATGAAAAGACTAAGTGTCTGTAGCCTTTCAGAGGTGAGTGGCAGCAACTTCCTGAAAAGACCCGCTTTCTTTAATGCGACCGGCATATTTGGCCCACTTAAAAGGCACTAGCGCCCGCAGGCTTACCAGCAGGACAAACTATTGGACCGCAGTCATCCCCTGAATCAGTAAATGGGCTGAGGAAAAGCTATATTAACCCGAGCCTGACTAGCGCTGCTGTCAGTATGCTGGATAATATGATTCGCGTATGTAGTTATTAAAGTCGTAGTTAGGGTAAGGTCATATCACACATTTAGCGACAATATCTCTATATATATACACACCAAATAGACCACACATTGAAATCGTCGGGTAACGCGGCATCTTGGAAAGGGGGCAGTGCACTGGGCAAGGCAAGACGGGAGGGGGAGAAGGGAAGAGAAAGTGCGTGGTGGTTTGAGAGAGAGAGGCCGGACTTATATAGATGCAGCGGATTGTATTGAGGCGGCAGGGGAGGCCCGCAAAAGCGGCGAGAGGGTGACGCGATTCCCAAAGTGGTGAGCACTATACCGCAAGGGGCAGGAACATACCCGCCGCCGGCAGGCGGTGGCGGGCGGCAGAAGAACAGTGCAATAGGAGTTGTTGTCGGCGCCCCGCTAACTGTGTCAACGAATACTCTATTAACTAGCTGCACTAACTACATGCTTAACTACTCTTATTCATACAGTATTCTAAAAAAGCAAGCCACATACAGAATAAAAATTATGTCAATGTATTTGGTGATGCATGTAATGTTATTTCAAAACACCACAACTACTGTTCATATCTTGAGCACAAGAACTGATGGAATCTCATTAAGGAAAGCTTGTCAGCTCAATCAGGCTCCTCCCTGCGCTCGAGCGTATGATGTAAACAACAAAAACAGGGTACGTCTGCGTCGCGCGCATCGAGCGATCTCGCTCCTCTCTTTCATGAATCACATCGAGTGCCGCGGGCTGAAGGACGTCTTGCACTAGCTGAGTCACCTCAACACTGCCTGTCTGCAGCTGCGCCGGGCTCGAGCTCAGGGAATCATTCCGCAGCTTACGGATTCGTGTCTCAACGTCATCGAGGAAGCTGTTGGCAGTCTCGCCATCTCCAACGTGGAGTGTGACTGTGCCGATCTGCTCGCGCGCCTGCTCTCTGGCTCCGCGGTGGCGGAAGGTGGTAGTGGAAGATGGGGTTGTGAGGCTGAAGCGTTCGATGGTGCCGTTCTCGGGTAGGAGATGAAGAACATGGATTGTGGCACCAAACTTGCCAATAACAAGGAGCACGGAAGGACTGGTGGAGCGGGTGAATATGTTTGTAAGACGGGCAAGCATGATTATGTGAGTTGAGGATTGTTAAATGAAGAGATATTGATTCTTAGTAGTAGTAGAAGTAGTAGTTGCTATTTAACGTCAGAAAGGCAGTCACGCGCGTCAAAACCAGACCACGTGCCGCAGGGTCCCGGAACGTGAAGTAGATCCGGGGTTATATTATGGAGCCGAAGTCCCAATCTATTGAGGCTACAATAGGTTATAATATCACCGAACGAGAAGGATAGCAATGTACGCGTAGATTCCAGGGAATGAGTGCTTCTGCATCTAAAAAACAAAAACTGTCCTTTGGGTGAACCTGGACTTAGTATGACTAATCCTTATGGATCAACATACTTCCGATTCTCATCAGAACGGAACATACGACGGGCGAAGCAGAATCGCCTGGCTGGTAGCTAAGCTAATACTATCATACAAACTGACTAAAATCCCACGCAGGATTTTGCCCGAAGTTCTCGAGCCACTGGAGTTGCGTTACATATGCTGGGTAGAAAAAGAAGGAGGGAAAAGGGGGAAGAGAAGTGGACAGAGCGGGAGGTTACCGCGCTGGACCAGGTATGTAAATCCCCAGTTCCTGTCTTAGAGCTGTCACGGCCACGTTTTTAGGGTGCATTCTAAAAAGATAACCACTGCGTCAGGAGCAAAAGACTAGGATACTAAGCCGATAGGCTTAGTACTGCACTCACTTATACAGGTAGGTGGTTCATGCCGTTACAAGGGAGTAAGTCTCGTCAACCTGTCAGTTGCCCCATAGGTGTGGGGACGCCTTGTGACCTCTCTGGCAATAATAGAAGTGTACAGGGGATTTGGGACGTCCACTCCAGCTTGGCGTTTTCATGTCTGAACCGCTCATGGTATTGGGCAAAGTCTCCATGGTCCGACCGGGCGGCCAGGATCCTGCCCAGTGTGGCCCTAGGGGAGGGCTAGTTCATGAGGGCGCTTGTCTAAGTTGATGGAGAGGTCCCGGTAATGTTGCGGCGCTCTCTCAGCCCAGAGACTTTGAAATTGTTGCCAGAAGTGGTCTTTCAGGGCTTGGCGCGTCCAAACGAGTCTTGCAGCGGAGATCGTGGTTGTTGTGGTGGTGTACATCTAGGGGCTGCAGGGAGGTGCGCTGGCATTGGCGTTAGCACAGCCAATGAGAATGCCGTGCTGGTAAAGTTGTCGTTGCTGGTGCCGACAGACTCGTTCCTTTGATACTCTCCTGGGCTCAAACCATGTATACTATGTCCCAAGCTCCGAAACCTCGCAGTGAACCTCGTCGCCTCTCCCCTTAGCTCCTGACCGCTGACGCTGTGGTGCAGGCGGATCCGACGCACAGACTTCTTGTAATTCGTCTGTTTCCGATAGCGCGTTGTAGATTGGATGCTGTTGGTGACGGCCTCTTCTGTCAGGCGCCAATACTTGACAGGCTTCTTTCCTGCGGTGGGTTCTTCGCGGACGGCTTCGAACCCCTGCATGACAGGTCAGCATCCATCCAGCCATTGAGCAGAATTTTTGGTGAAGATGTCTTAGTCTTACTGCATTCATGGAAGATTGTGTCGGATGCTATTCTGCCGTCATGAGCCTTGGCATATTTGTAGTGTTTGATATACTGTCGGAAATCCAAGTCTCATCACTGCGGATGGTTGGATGTCAAATTGGCATCCAAGTCCGCAATCTGCGGATATGATAGTTGGATATCATATGATCTGTTGGATGCTGCCGCAGCCTAGAATCAAATAAACAACTTCTTGAAGAGCGGCAGCTCCAAACCCAACTTGTCTGTTCCCTCCAGGAACGCCTTATTAACAATCGCTGGCCCTCTGATGAACTCATCTACCATAAAATCTGGCACTATCAGGGTGCCTTGATGGTGCTTGCAATACAGACACAGAGAGACAGTTGTGGGCGATTCTGGAAAATAGCCTGAAGGCCAAAAAGCCTAGGTATTTACAAGCCTTCCTTCGCCATGGAAGCTTACCCCAGGCATTTAACGCGCTGCTCTCCATACCTGGGCTTTGGACGCACATGCACATCAGTGTCCTGCATAAGGTGATTGGGATGTGACCAGGTAGGCCCTGTGCTGACTAGACGCAGATAACTTCCCTCATCCAGTCAAGATTTGGTCATATTGGCTAATCACGAGTGCAGGAGATTATACGCTACTTAGAGCATATTTGACAAATTTGGTTGAAGTTGAAGCAGCAATGGAGGGCGACTTTATAGAGCACACACAGCGATGCCAAGTGACAATGGGACGCTAACCCTAAATAGGAACACTATACCGATTCTAGTAATTCAGTGTCACCCAAGAGTACGGAGTACAACCACGCATTAATTTAGGAGTGGATTTACATTTATTACAGCGATTGACTGGCGAGTTTGATAGCCGGACTTGAAACTGAACATGGAATTTATGCTCTGGGGATACGCCTAATCATAGGTAATCAATACCTGCACATCCAAGTACTTCGCTGCACTGCAACAGACAACAGGCATGTAATCTAATTTAGTGATTTACTGTTAAAGAGTCTTGAATCCTCCGGGGTCTAATAGATTATATGAAGTGAAGAGGGCTTTCATGAATGATAGAAGAGACAGGAAAAGAACACAGTCTGCATGATGGCAGGGCTTAGAACTAAAGAGAAAATGATGGTTAAGGGGGGAAGCCAAAAACGGCTCCCCTGCTAAGCGTCACATCGTTAAATGGAGTAATGTACAAAGGATGCTATAGAACCGGGCTTAGAGGAAGAGGTCGATCCCTCGCCAGCCCTAAACACTTATCGTTTATCAAGACTATCCAACAGGATGCCTCTTGCAATGCTCATTCAAGTATTGTGTGGGTTTCCCTATACCAAGAAAGCTATACCGATACAATACTGATGCATGATATCTCCGACACGGTATCGCCATCCTCATCCTCGGCCTCGCATTCGAATTCGAATTCGGATTCCATCTCGAGGTCATGAGCAGGAACTTCCGTCCTTTCCTGGTCTTGGACGCCTTGCCACGTACCCCTGATTGCCCGCACCTTTTCCCAGACGGCCTCTCTGGCTTTTCGCCGTTTCATTCCTTTGCGGAGCAACTCTTCGTAGGGAGTGTGCACGTGCCGGATATGGGCTTCCACTGCTAGGATAGCCTTGCGTTCCTCTGACTTGGTTGTCGTGCGTCCTACACGACCTGAGCCTTTGAGGAACGCATGATTGATGATCGCTTCGAGTGACTCGGTGGGCATCAGCGGGAACTGTTCACGTAGACTTTCTCGTGCACGAGACTGGTCCTTCTCGTCGCGGATTCTGACTGCGCTGGCGCGGGAATCGGCTGTTGCAGCGGCGGAATCCAGGACTGATTTGTAGATGTCTGAAGGGACTTGGATGCCAAGGGTACGCTTGCCAGATCGATGCTACAAAGTTTAGCGGGAGGCCAAAAGTAGATATAGGGTGCTGCACTCACGTAAATAACATACACAACTTGTTGAGACTGCTTGGTTCTGCTTCGGCAATGTCGCGTGATATACACATTTCCTTTGGGTACAAAGACATATCCTTCGGGAAACGGGTATTTCCTAAAACAGTTCTGTATATATGAACCAGGTGTCAGTAATTAGAAGAGGCAAAGAGGGGGAAGTACGGGAATTCAACTAGCAGAGCAAGCGTCATACCTTCTCAAGCGGATCGTTTGAAACCGGAATTTCAACAGGCTGGCGGGACTTCCGCACCACTCGAGAGCCAGTGACAGGAGCAGAGACTACATCACTTTCTTCCCCAGGATCTCTGTTCAGGATTCTTTTCTGCAAAGTCTTGGTTTTTCTCTTGCGAGTCGACTTTGTATTCGCCTTCTTCCTGGCAGACTTGGGCTTGATGGCCATCGTTGCTCTAGAGGGAGATCATGAGAGAACTCAGAAAAAGAATATGCAGAGAATATAAAATAGCTAGAGGAAATGGTGAATTAGGCCTAGTAAACTGGATTTCCGCGTGCCGGCGAAACAAAGGATAGGAATTGACAGAGAGCATTGGCCGCCTAGGATAAAGGAGACCAGGTTATTTGCCATTACGGGAGACTACCAGTCGGACTGTTGGTATTCCATCTGTAGAAATAAGACAATGGACAGTAATAGGGACGGAAGTGGTAGTTCTTGTTTTTGAGAGACATGAACGAAGGCGGGACTGTAGGCGGTGTGATATACCCTGGCAGTATTGTTCCCACCGTATTTCCTCCCTTTGTTCGTTCTTTGGTCAGACATTTCCAGTTGTCCAACAAAGTCAGTTCGTGAGACTAGCATCTATTACGAGTGCTGATATGCAATGATACAGAGACATGTATCTTGTCCCGGTACAGAGGACGTCTCGATAAAGATTACTAGTAATGGAATCTCAATATCTCATCCGGCGGCTTCGTCCAAGTACAGGTTCTGCTATGATAATCCTGCTCGGAGTGCTGTCCCCAAATCGAATATTTGATACATATGAGCTGGTTCGATCCTCCGAACTTCTTGTTCTTGTCCATATCACCTATCAGCGAGGGCATCAACATCAACCATCCACATCACTCACAGCGCAGACCGAAATGAAGCGGAACTTACAGTTATCCATGGTAGCAGTCAACGCCCAGGTGCAGATCTTCGGGAGCCAACGGCCATATCCGTACGAGTAATCTACCATGCTAAAGGGCCAAGCCTGGCATTGTGAGTCTGGCGACGTGCTCCCCTGCACCCATGCCTGCGCGAAAACGCCTTTATCGGCAAGTTAGATGCAGCCATCCTTGTTGCCCGTGGGCGGGGTTTGACAGCTTTTTGATGACGGCAATAGCGTCGGGGCGTTTGAAGGATGGCGTGTTCGGATCGATGTTTGCTTGACAAGTTTGGTTCGACAAGATCGGTTTCCCGCCGGGTCCTGTAGAGGGCTGGGTGGGTGAAGCAACCACATAGGAAGATAGCAAAGAAAACGCCAACAGACTGAATCTTAGGAAGAACCCCATACTTTCTGTATAATATAAGAAGCTAATGAACGGAGGTTATGATTGAGAGTCGGGGAGGTATTGGACGTAGCCTAGGGCCGTATACATACTATGAACCGAACAAATAGACAAACACAGAAATAATGGCTTCAAAGATCATTGTTATATTCTCGCGTATGACTCGGCGGCAGGTCCTGCAACCCTTGACGGCATATCCTGCTGCAAATGAGGGTGTGACTTTGTATGAGCCCCCGGTACAGGGTATATCCCGACAGGCTTCGACCAATATGAATCTCCTCAAAGAACTGTGTCACAGAGCTTGATCTATCAGCTGTTAATTTTAACTTCCATCTTTGTCTGGTTACAGATGGCCGCCGCAGTATTCAAGCACTTAGGCGAGTCCCGGGTTTGTTTCCCTCAGCCTATCCGAAAAGCGTTTCACTCCGCAATAGACAAAGAACGGATAATTATAGAATCAGTAGCAATAGGTGTGAGAACCGTTAGACATACTGACGGTGCTTTCCAGTACGCATGATGAAGGTAGCGAATTTGATTGCCAAAGTCATGCGCATTTTCAAAACCATAGGTAGAAAAAACTCAGTGAGGTTTGAAGTCGCTCGAAGACCATGCCCAGCTGTATTTTCAATGAAATACCACCAAGTGCTCCAGGAAAAGCTCAACAGCTATTAGGGATCGCAGAAACTTAGCTGACAGATTAACGGTTATAGCCTTGTCGCCATCGTTCTTTAAGCCAAAAAAAGGACATAAAATTGATCCTTGACGATGAGGCAGGCAGTTTCCAGCATTCGAGAACATCCGTTAGCCAACGACTAGCTATACGTAACTCTCCCGCAAGCTATCATAGTCTGGTATCAAAATACAAGTATCGTATTATTGGCAGTCGTTTAAGCATAGATGAAGTCCTTCCTGTAGAGAATATCGATTGCTCGGTATATCTTTTGACCCTAGCAAAGCGACTGGGTGGTCTCGTACCACTGGGACAGCACCATGTTACTCGATATAAAATCCAGAAAATTGGACATGACGGCGAAGTTGAGTATGTACTAGTATAATTGTTCTCGATGAAGCCATCCTGAAGTCATGTGACCTATGCCTCGGGACCAAATGAGGAAAACTGGGCAATTGCTACGTCTCATGATAATTGCAGTCGTTCTGGCCTCCATTTGGGATGGTGGGCTGGGCTCTCAGGGGAAATTCAGCATCACCTTTGATGGAGGTGGGATGCTCCGTCGGATCAATCTGCCACGTCTAGCAAAGCTCCCAGCGACGGCTCGTTGCTAGTGAGCAGAGCATTATTGGCATTGGCGGCTCTCAGATGCGGTCTCCCGTGTCTACGACAGATCAGGGAGATGCGCTGCACTAGACCCGGCTCGGAGGGCTGGCGGAATGATCTGTCACAGCCAGCCAGGATGTCTCACGCTGTTTGAGTTCAAGCCGTCCATTCTGTCAAGACCCAATAGTTGGGGCGCTTCGTCCGCCACGGATACGATATCTCTTCCATGTTGGACGAGGCAGTCATCTCATTTAATTTTAGAAGAGAAAGATGAAGGAATAGAGGAGGGAAAATCCGTTCTTTTGTGACCTGTTTCTCCCTTATCGTCTTGTACAACATGTCCAGGCGAAAATCGAAGGCAATCAGGCTCCGCGATTGGTGCCCTGGAATCTAGACTGCAGGAATAGATGAAAAGGATATGGATATATGTCTCGCAGCGATGCGTACCTGAGCACTGCATCCACGCCGGTAGGAAGCTGTATGGAAGAAGCAGAAAGTCAGCTGGAGAATGTAGAAGCATAAACAATATCGATACTCAGCCTTCTCTTTTCATTTCGTCATTTTCCCCTGGTGCTGTTGTCCCTGTGCTGGTAGTGGATCTGGCGCGGGCCAACCCAAGGGAAGGAGGAAGCCAACGACGTCAAATTCCCACAGAATTACCAACGGAGAAAAACGAAAACACTCAGCCTCCGCCCTCTCTTTTTTTCTCCCTGCCTCAACTGCACGATCTCCTCCATCGGATACACAGACAGAGACTCTGGCCAAGGCTACCCTGTCTTCTCTTGGCCAACTCTAGACAGACGTCCGCCTCCCCGTCTCCGCTCCTGCTCTCCCTTTGTTCCGTCCAGCCTTACCATTTCACCCTTTCTTCTCCTTTGCACATCCCTGTTCTGTACAGTCTGTCGGGTCTCTTAAGGGTCCTCGGGACTTGCCATTGTAGTTTTTTGTCTTATTATTCTTTTTTTTTTTTCCACCTCGTCATCTACAGAGTATTGCACTGGTTGCCCGGCCCTTCTTGGCTTCAATGGGCTTACTGGCCTGCCTACTACGGAATCCTCCTCGTCGAATTCAAATCCACTCCTGAACCCGGCCCGGTTAAGGATACGGGCGGCCTTTGGCAAGGTTGCCTGGCAAATTGAGAGTTGTATGGTTGCGAGTTCCACTGCGTTGCTGACATGAGTTGGGATCAGCCCGTCCACAGGTAAGCTTACAGCCTCATTTGTCCGATGTTGGGTAGGAACATCTTAAGGCAATCCTAACAGGACCTCGTATTCAGCTTCAGCTATCCCAATGGTGAACCCCAGACCCCCACGAGAACCCCTACGGCAACGGTATTTGGCGATTCTGCTTTCCAGACTCCGAAACTCGAGTCCAGCTTCTACGACCCCCGGGTTACCTGGGACACTTCGGATCCCTATGCGTCGAGCCCAGAGTTCCTTCGAACACCCCACAAATTCGCGTTGGGCACTCCGCTGAGGTTACCAGACATTGGACGGGAACAGAATGCTGGAGATACAAGTCTGAAAAGCGTCAAGGCAGAATCGGAGCAAACTAGTTCCAAGAAACGTACTCTTAGACCCAAGCGGAGTGATATAATTCCAGGAGACGATGGTTCTCATACCGAAAATTCTTCACAGTCTGCCGCCTCCATGCAGACGCCTCCGCCGTCAAGTGCTTCGACAAGGAAAGTGACCGGACTTGCTCAGGTTCAGAGTGCCGCGAGGCGGTTGTCAACCCCCTGTGAACCCCCCGAAACCCCAAGCCGTGTGATGGGGGCCTCGCCTCGGATGATTGGGAATCTGCAGTCATCCCCGGATCTCTTCCAGCTACCACCAGTTGACTCATCCACCATTCCTTCGTTCTTCCCCCAGCACCGATTGTTCTGGGACGAGGGCATTGGGCAGCATTTAGAGGGAGCTGGGTTGCCAGGTACTGATGCGGATCCGTTTGATTCAAGCTCGGCAAATGCCTTTGCTTCCAACCATGGCCCCGGCTCCATATCCCAGATCCCACCTTTGCCAACTATTGATGGCTCTTTCCACGGTTTACCAGAACTTCATAATAACAATGATCTTGGTCTCGGATCAGCCACATCTGCAGAGGCCGGTTTCTTCCCTGCGCCATTCTCCACGTCTCCTCGTCTCCCCATGGCCAGGTTAGTCGAAGACCCGGCCATGTTCTTGAGCTCACCGGCCCGACGATTCGGGGGCCCTCAACCGAGCCCGGTAAAGAATCTGTTCTCGCGAGAAACCAGACAGCCCTATCACCACCAAACAGAAGAGTTTAAACGGGAGGAGCTACGACGTGCACAAAGCAAGAACCCGCAATCTTCGGAATCTTCGTTATCGTTAGCAGATGAAGACGATGACGATGATGACGACATCTTCAGCCCTCGGAAGTTGAGGCCAGGTCTGGCACGAAGTGCAACCAACAGTTCAATCTCACTGGGGGTTTCCGGCCGTTCACAGCTCCATCAGCCCCTACCGTCGAGTGCCATGGCTTCCAGCTGCGGGATCCGCAAGAGTCCGTCAAAGGGACGTTCATCGCCTGCCAAATCCTTGCGCAATCGCCAGTTTTCACCTTCGCATACTATGGCTGCTGGTATTCCAACACAATCTCAATCCTTGGTGTTGAAGATCGGCAAGGATGGCCGGGCGAAAACGGAGATGCAGGTTGTCACAGAACCTCCCATGCTTGGCTTGACAGATTCCATGATGGCGGCGGAGATCAGTAGCACCACCACCGAGGATGACAGTGATTGGCCCGGGAACTCAGACTATGCGCTTTTCCGTAACCGCCAGGCGCCCTTGGACGCGAGTAGAACGGTGTTTGAGAGGAGTGAATCCGGATCCCGGCCGCATTCCAAGAGTTCGTCGTATTCATCGAGCACTATACACTCGGGACGCCTTTCTCCCTGGTCCCTAGGAGAGAATAGGCGGCCACAGTACAGACATGTCTCGGAGGGCTGGAAGAGAACGCCTATTAAAAGAATTTCGTTGCTGGGCAATCCGAGCCTGACTCATGGTAGCCCGAGCACCATTAATGAACCTGACGATGAAGATACGGGCGATGCGCAACATGCACTACGACAAGTACTGAAGGGGCGGAGCAGGAGTGTGAAGCATCATACAGTCAGTGGTTACAAGCCCCGGGCTAATCGACGCTCTTTGGGAGCGGCGCATCTGCGTTCGTCTCCACCTCCTCGATTTGGGGGTGAAGTTGACTATCGGTCTCGCATATCCAACGCTTCGCCGGCGACTGTTACAGACCCCGACCTGTCGACACCTACCACCAACCGACACAGCAATCCAAGCAATGCTACTCGGTGCATTTGCAATTCTATGGATAACGGTGGCCATCTGATGATTCAATGGTAGGTTGCTTCTTGAGTTATTTCGATTCTGCATTTGTCCCTTGATTACTAACCAGACGACAGTGAATCCTGCAGTCATTGGCTACATACTAAATGTGTCGGTTTGGAACGGTCGAATCTGCCGTCAGTGTATGTGTGCATGTTTTGCGAGCAGACGCCGACGCGGAAGCCTGTACGAAACACACTGGGAGGAAATCAGGGACTGTTGTCTCCCTTGGCACACAAGTCGACGCGATATCGATAATTCATTTGGCCGTGGATCTGCCAGAGCACGTAGCCACGAGGACATGGCAGTTGCTAATTTCATTGTCTCTCATTCCCCTGGCGTGTACTTTTCTTGTCCTGTTTCTGCTTGATCCCTGTGGATTGAGCTTAGTGATACCTCTATGTCTAACGTACATAATGGGTCCAAGACCAACTTGGAGCTAGCTAGATTTATTAGAATAATCAACGATGTATAAACTTGTCTGTATTAGACAACACGAACTCTATCATTCCCTTCGAAGATATGAAACAACGTCAATTGGATGCTTCTTATCGCCATGTTCAACACGATCTGCATCTTTCGGTGCACCCGTCGATGATAACACTGCAGAAGACAGCGAGATAGCTGATCTATCTGTCTCATGGTCGACGATGGTGATCATTGGCCTACCCGATAGCCACCTTCCCAAATGCAGAGATGTATCTCTCGATGTTCTTCCATTCCCCATCTGAATGCAAGCAGGAAAGAGAGAAAGGAAGAAGATCGAAATGGCGAACGAAATGCCCGTCTTCTCCCCCGGCGTGGGATACGGCATCATCATCGGCCTGGGGGCATTCTTCGCTATCGGAATGTCGTTTCTCTCCTGGGCTTGTCTGCCTTCATGCAGGAGGGCCAGACATCGGAGATGTTCGCGACGGCAAAACATTCCATCAAAACGGGCCTGACTGCGAGTGCAGTGGTTTCTTCATGGACTATTGCAGCGACCCTGCTGAGTTCTTCGACGGGTAAGGAATCAATGAAACCTGCACTGATCTGGTTTACTTATCCTTGAAATACATCCACCAGAGGGCTATTCCTACGGAGTATCAGGTCCTTTCTGGTACGGCGCTGGAGCGACAGTTCAGATCTTCCTGTTTTCAGTGGCAGCCATCGAGCTGAAACGCAAGGCGCCCAACTGCCATACCTTCCTCGAGGTGGTGAAGTTGAGATACGGACCCAAGGCGCATTTGCTGCTGGCTTTCTATTCTCTTTTCTTCAGGTATTCACATCTGTCAATCTGCTGGTCGGTGGATCGACGCTCTTTTCCGTGGTGACGGGCATGAATCGCGATGCTGCCTGCTTTCTCTTCCCAATTGGTGTTCTCATATACACGCTCTTTGGGGGGATCAAGGCTACGTTTCTTACGGATTGGGTATGTGGCACACCTATCACAACCCCCTGGATGTTTATACTTCACTGATTACATCCAAGGCTCATACGGTGGTTATATACGTCGTTATGTTGGTTTCCATCTTCGTCATCTACGTTTCATCGAGCCAGATTGGATCTCCGGATCGGATGTACGAGCTGCTGAGGGAAGCAGCGCAACTTCACCCCGTCGCTGGGAATGCTGAAGGGTCTTATTTGACTATGAAGAGCCCGGACGGTGCCTATATTGGTCTGATCTTCATCGGGGCTGGATTCGCCTCTGCAGTCGACTCTCAATTGTTCGCTATCGACACTTTCATTTAGCCCATCCCAGGTAACAATTGACACTGACAAAGTGCTATACAGATTCCAAAAAGCAATCGCAGCAGACCCGGCTTCCACATTTCTCGGCTACATGGTCGGGGGACTGTGCTGGTTCACCATCCCCTTTGTTCTCGCGACCACATACGGTTTGACTGCTGCTGCCGTGGAACATTTACCGTCCTTCCCAACGTACCCTCATCGCATGTCTCAGTCGGAGGTAACCAGCGGCATGGCCATGCCATACGCTGCAGTCGCAGTAATGGGCAAATCTGGTGCTGGAGCGATAATACTCATGATGTTCATGGCGGTAACATCAGCTGTAGGATGCCTTTACAGACATGATATAAAATCAGCAAGCTAAGTCTTACAGATGTCATCCGAGACAATCGCAACATCCACCCTGATCACCTACGACGCATACAAAGCCTACTTCGCCCCTCAAGCCACGAGCGCCATGCTCGTCCGCGTATCACGAATTGCAGTCATCAGCTTCGGGATCATCGTCGCCGCTGTAGCCGTCGCATTCAACCACGCCGGTTTCTCAGTCAACTACCTCATCAACGCGATCGGGATCTTCGTCGACTCCGCCATCGTCCCCATGGCCGGCACGATCCTGTGGAAGAAACAGTCTGGCCGCCGTTATCGTGTCTCCACTGTCTTGTTCCTGTGCAGCCATTGCTGCCTGGCTGCTCACGGCCTATTCGCATGCGGGCGAACTGAGTATCGACAGTACGAGTCTGCCTCTCCCGCTGGTAGCGGGGAATATGATGTCGCTCTGTGGACCGCTCGTGGTCATGCCGGTGTTTACATTTCTGAAACCTCAGAATTTCGACTGGGATGTTCTGAAGGGCATCCAGCTTGATGGAGCAAGTAGATCCGAATCTGGATCACAGCCTGGGCCTGAATTAGGACCAGAACCAGTGCCGAAATCCAATTTCAAATCCGAACCCAATACCCAAGCAGATATAATGGAATCCTTCAACAACCATAGCAACATGGATAAGAGACTCCATTCAGCCAGGAATAGGGGCATAATACTCTCCTTGACATTATGCCTGTATTTCTTGATTCTCTGGCCCATTCCGATGTACGCTACGGGTTATGGTAAGCACACACTCTCTCTACCGCTCTCTTTACCTATTTGTACTAATGCCGTAGTATTCTCAAAACCCTTCTTTCGCGGCTGGATCGTCGTCGTATTCCTCTGGGCGTTTTTCGGTGCCATCACCATCACATCTATGCCGTTCTGAGAATCAAGGGGGTCGATTGTTCGATTTTTCATGTTTGCGTTTGGTCGGCGCAGGAGGGATCCGGAGGGTACGGTGGTTATTACGGCTGAGGATGTATCTATTGTGGAGGGCGGAGATGAAGGGAGGGTGAAGATGAAGAGTTGATCTCCTTGGTATATATACATATGTACTTTTTATTCTACCCATGTTGAAGGCCTTCCCTTTCTGTTTTGGCGCTCACCCCCTGCTCACTATTGGAGGTGTGTCTGTGTTGTATTCCCATCTAGGTGACATACTGCATCCACGCGTCTACCAGTCCTTCTTCCCTTTTCCTCTTTCTTCTCTTATGTCTGGTATTCGTTCAAATAGTACTGAATAGCATATGTTGCTTCTTCTCCATCTATTCGTAGTATTAGCCATCACAAATGGCATATATATCACCTAGGTATTTCTATGTTGTATTTGGTATGAATAATGAAAGTCATCGACTGACACTTTCTGCACTATAACCAATTCCAGACCAAGTTATGCTATCATCTTATTCCTACCGTCCCATCCATCTTACTACTTACTCCGGCACAGACAAGTCGACTACATGTGCATCCCTGGTAGGGTAGATACTGTTGTGGAAGGAAGCAAAGTAGATCCCGACAGTTCTGCCCAAAAACATACCAGTCAGCGTCTTTCTATCTATCTATTTATTTATCCATATATCTTATTGGCCTCTCTTTGTTTAAATGCATGCATGAAATGTGGGAGTTATACTGTGGAAACCGGATTCAGCAAGTAATTCGCATTATGGGGTTAACCATTTTACCCCGAGCGGATTAGCGAAGCCCTAAGTCATGATACAGGTAAGGTTACCGTTTTGCAAACCAGCCTCCCTCACTACTCCAGTACTACCTAGATGGACCGGCATTCTCTCACTGGTAATATAGAGGTTTATTAACTACAAACAAGTCATTGCTAAATTATGCTTGCACATCATTATATTAGAGAATGGTTTGTTGACTTTAATAAATTCACTGAAGCCTCTCATCATCAACATAACTTCATTAAATCCAACTCAATAGAGGCTAATACTTAACCATAAAGACCAAAAACTAAAGCAAAAACCTAAATGAACCCCCCCACAGCCCCTCCATCAACCGTCTCCCCCTATCCAACCTCTTATTCAACCTCGCCAACACAAACCTCAACGCAGTAGCCGCCAAAATGGCCAGGAACGCCGTCGCGCAGTTAACAGACATCGCAGGAATAAACCTCGGCGCATCCGAATTAGGATACATATAGCTCGCGTAGATGGAAGAACCGTTCGAGACACAGTTAATCGCCGCGAGGGCAGCGGCACGCTTACTCGCGGGCCGGGGCAGGGTATTTGAGATCCAGCCCAGGGCGACGACGTACCCCGAGTAGAAGGAGGGAACCATAAGCATCATGGCGACGTATCGGGGCGCGACGGCAGTGGTGGCTGCGGCAAGGATAAAGGCCGCAACGGAGACATAGAGGGGTAGGGAGATGTGGAAGTAGCGCTCATTTGTGCGGTCGGAGTGCCAGGCGTTGATGAAGGTGCAGATTACTGCGAGAACGTAGGGGGGTGCGGTGAGGAGGAGGGTTTCGATTCGGCCGTAGTTGAGTGTTTCGACGACCGTGGGGAAGAAGTTGGTTACGGAGGCGGAGGAGACGATGCAAAGGATCATGATCATCTAGGTCTGTTAGCCAGGAGTATATGTAGAAGTGTGTATATCTAAACATACCAAAATCCAGGTCTTGATATCAAAAACGGCCATCTGTGCACCGTGAAGGAATGATTGCTGTTTACTGTCGACCCAGTCATCCTCACCGATATCCTCCTCCAGACGCCAGGCAGCAAGCTGCTTCTCTTCCTCCGTGAGCCAGGTCGTCGTCCGCGGGAAGTTGGGCAGGATGAAGATGGCCAGAAATGCGACGACGATGGTGATGGCCCCTTCGATGATAAAGAGCCAGCGCCATGCGCGCAGGCCCAGGTCATAGTCCATGTTTCCTGTGATACCAGCAGCAATGAGGCCGGAGAAAGCCCCAGAAAGTAGGGACCCGGAGTAGAGTGCTGCAGTGCGGAATCCGAGTTCCTTTCGAGTGTACCAGGCACTGAGGAAGTAGAGGCATCCGGGCTGGAATACCTGATTAGTTCTGCAGAACAGGGAGAGGGAGTGGCAGGATCAACATACAAAATACGCAGCCTCAACGAAACCAAGAAAGAAGCGAACCATAATCAAACCAACATAGTTCTGTGCGCCAGCCGTACACGTGGAGATGATACCCCAAAGCATCATGGAGCAAGGGAGATAAATGGCGGGCTTTCCAATCTTGTTGAGAAGGAGATTCGACGGGACTGAGGCGAGTCAGCCTGAAGACTTCATCCATGCATCCATTTCATTCTCGTAAAATCACTTACTCTGCATCAACAGGTATCCCACAAACAAGATACTCACACAGGTCTGGTACTGATTCGAGTTCGGGTCCATTCCCAGGTCCTCTTCAAGACCAGCAAGTCGTGCAGCAGCCTAGATAATGGAAAGGGGGAGTTAGCCCCAGCTTCAACATACCTCCAGAGACGAGAAAGTGTCGCTTCGCTACTCACAATATTGTTCCGGTCGAGGTAGTTCATGATATACATGATGATGAGCATGGGGAGGAGACGAATATCAATCTTGCGGACGAGGGCCTTCTCAGCCTTCTGCCGTTCCTCGGGGGACAGACTGGCAACATAAGACGGAGGCTGCGCTTTGGCGCCCTTGGGGGCATCAAGGTCTGCAGCTGCGACTTCAATGTTGTCAGTGTAGGGCTTGTTGTCGACATTGTCGAGCTCGAGGTTCTTGACAGACATAATGGCAGCCGTGACAGGGGAAAGTACGAAGTAGGGGGAGGGGGGGAATAAAGAGCACTGAGGCAGATAGGAGGGAGGTGAAGAAGAGCAGGGAAATGAGGAGAAAAGGGGCTCCATATCAACCCCACGGCAGTACCCCAAAGCGCAAGAGCCCTAAAGCCCCGCGTGGAAAGGCCTAATTGCCTGATGTTTTCCCTCCGCAATCCGAGTCTGGCGGAATCGCGACATCCTGCCCTCCGGGCCAATCGGAACGTGCGCTGGCCGCGGAGATTGGACCAGCAGCCAGTCACATGTTTTTCTCCGCGTGGGGGTAGCACGGATCACCGTGGGGGTCGGCCCGAAAAGGGCAGGTGTCCCCCGGTATTTCCCCAGAACCCCCACGGCCCCCCGGCGATCATCATTCATCTGTGTCATGACTGCGAATTCAATATGCATTGCGCTCTCTACCAAATTAATTACCAGACCACACATGCAGCAATGAGAGGAACATCCTCAGCTTGACACTCAACACATGTACACTCACGCTAATGGCGACAAATGGATAGTGCAAACTAGATATGAGACAAATCAGACTGGAAAAAGGAGAACTGCCAGAGCGCAAGGGAACCGCAAAGGCGTGGCCACGTAACAAATGCCAATGTTGAAACGACGCAGACCGGATACACACCCACCAGGAGAAAAAATGAAGACGAAAGAAGATTAAGAAAGAAGCACATTTTGCACGCTTTCCAACACATTCACATGCCGAGACAAAATAATAGCCCATGGACGGGATGGTGGGGTTGTCAACATTATATGAAATAAGAAATCCGCTAGGGAGCGATAAGGCCCAATCCCACTCGCACACACACACAAAAATAAAAAAAGAGACCAGGCGGGAAGAAATATTATCAACGTCAATGCAGCGCCCAGAGCGCCTCGATTTCTCGTCCTGCACGGACGGCGACGCTTCCTCCCCTCGGCTCACTTCGCAGATGCAAAGACACGTGCTTTTCGCCCAAAATCAGAAACCACGTTGCTGTCACCGTAACGCCCAGTCGACATATACCGGCGATTCACCGGTCCCTATCTATGGAAGCGGGGGGGAGAGATGAAAGAAAAATAAAACGATATGTCGTCTCCTCACTCTTTCGGAATGAGGCATGTCTCTGAAGTTGTTATGGTTGGTGTATACAGACCATACGACACCGGGCCAGGAAATTGAAAAGAAAAAAAAATCGGTGATCATCCGCTGATTCCACTGACATGCCAAAGAGTCATCTGTGTAGCCATTCAGATGAAATGCGTATAAACCTTGGACATCTCGTGCACTTCCATCTCCTACTCGGCAAATTCCTGTTAGCAAATCAAGCACGGCAACAAGAATTTAGAGTCGGTGATTCTGTATCACTAACCAATTTGAAGTTGTTCAACTCCTCCTTGATCTGTTGAGCAAGGAGAGGAGTCAAACGATTGCACGTCGCGATGTCCGCACGCCGATCATACTCGCCACTGGGCCATGTCTCAAAGAATTGGATCCGCGGGCTGAAAACTATGTTCTTAACCACCGGTTGCGGACTAACCGGGACACTACTCGCCTCAGGGCCGACCGTTCGCCTTTGCGACGTGAAATAATCCTCGCCGGCGATCGTGACACCGTCGTTCCTTCGGCTGCTTTGGTCCACCGGCGTACTGGGAACACTCGAGTGCGGCGAATCACTGCCGTTTCGTGAATGGCAGCCTTCGTTGGGCTTTGCCGGTGCTGACGATGCTGCCGAGTCGGAATAACTCTCTGCAAGATCAGTCAAGTCAGCTAACTGAAAAGACATAACATAAGCTAGTAGAAACATCGCTGTTGAACAAACGCACTTTTCAAGATACCCTTCCGGTTATTGACGGCAGCAAGAACTTCAGCTCGCTCTCTGTCCCCTCCCACGATACTCTGCCGCAAGTGGGATCTACCATTAACAGCAGACGCCTCACGGCTGGACCCAGAATTGGTGGCATCCCAATTGTCAATTCCGATCCTAGGCGGCGCAGCAGTAGCACGCGGAATATCCTGTAGTGCTGGCTTAACTGGAGTCTTTTTCTTATCAGCCTCGACGTTAACCACCGACAGCGTCGGCTCCATGGGCCCCACAGTCGCCTCCACGGAGTGGTGATGGGATGATTTCGGTCGAAACAAGCCAACAAGGGATCTCGTAGACCGCTTCATCCCCTTGCCCATCTTCCGAAGCATAATTGACGCAGACGAAGCCGTGGATGAAATGGATAGTTCGTCGGTTGAGCCCCTCGTAAAGTAGGACTGACGCGAAGAATAGATGCTCTCCCCCAGTCCACTGGCCTCCTGCTTCTCGGCGATCGCAGCCTGCTCCGCACCTAGTTCCTCTTTCAGCTGCTGTCTCCGGGCCTGTTCCGCCATCATTGCTTCTCTACTCAGAGCGTTGTTGTGCGAGGACGCTTTGATAAGGTCTGATGCGCTCCCGAACGAAAAGGCTCGTCTTAGTCTGGACTTTCCGGACTTTTCTGGCACATGATTATTGATATCTGTGAGACGTTGTGTAGCGGGGCTGTTTGATGCGGTCGACACTTTCTTTTCCTTGCCACTCGCATCTGGGGTCGTTGTGGTCTGAGGAGCAGTTGCTGGAACAGGTTGAGATAGTGGTGAGGGTTTGCTCAATCGCTTGGCATGATCCGGCTTGGAGGTTCTGCTGGATGACACAGGTTCTGTTCTTCCGCTATCGTGTACCTTTTGTTTATGGGATGATTTGTCTCGTTAGCTCACTGATCCACAGCATATCCAGCAGAAGTTCTACTTACCGACGAACTGGAAGAACGGGCAGACTCGATACTTCCAGTACGGTCTCTCTGGGAGTGAATCGAACGAGGCCGAATGGCAGCGTCCCGGGGATGTAAATTAGACAGATCCGTCTCGGATTTGGGTACTTGACATTCCATGTTGAGCAGATTAGCACTGTCAACGGTTCCCACGCTCCGGCGTCTATATCGTTTTGCAAGCTCAGGCTGTTGTTTCTCGGTACCAGCGGTCTCATCGGTGCTGGACCCACGGCCATGACCCGCTACGCGAGGAACGTTGCGGGAAGAATTCTGGCGGTCCGAGGAGCTGGAAGGGCGTTGTGACGATGGGGCGTGACTATCCAGCGTAGTCGAAGAAACCGTAGGTGACGTAGGCACATTCGTAGGCTGCCCCCCGGTGACTCCTCTGCTGCCCCGACGGTAACGATCGGGTGACGGTTTAGAAGAGAGTGTGGACGTGTTTATCGGAGGAAGGGTAGGGGGTTTCGCGGTGGATAGGGGACGGAGGGCCGGGTCGTTCCAGCTACTGTGTCTCGACGGAATGGCCGTGTCATCTTTGGACACGGAGCGGAGAGATGAATTGGAAGACGACGGAGTGGATACAGAACCAGCTGCAACATGACTCACGAGTCGCGAGGGGTGGCTGTTATTGTGGTTGCCAAGTCCACCAGAAGGAGGGTTTTGCGGCGCTGAAGGAGTGGGGATAGTTCCATGGTCAGGAGACAGATGAGGCGACCACGACCGGCGGTTTTGGGAACTGGCCAGATTGGGGGTGCTCGTGAAAGCGTAGGGAGCGACCACCTGGCGACCCCTGTAGCTTCCAGAATTATTCCCGGCATTCAAGGTGCTCCACGACATGGTTTGACTTCGAGACGCCGACTGTGGCGATTGAGAGGAAGGAGTAAATGTGGCAGATGAAGACGAAGGACGTGCTGCAAGCACGGAGACGGTGGTACTTTGCTGTGGCATTGTCTGCACTAACGCCGCCATGGCGTTTCCTCATTCAACACCACGGGAATTTCCAGCGCAGTCGTAAAGACAGGCACGGAGGCAGCGGAACCTCGTTCAGGCACACGAGTTGCAATGGAAAATGGGATCAGGGCGAACAGAGAGAACCAGAGAGATCGAGAGGGAGAGACGCGAGAGGCGAGAAGCGATGTCCTAGACAACACAACCGTTTTGTGTCAGCGAATTTTCATGATCTAATGGGGGGGAACAGTGACAGCGTGATTTCGAAGGAAGCATAAGGAAACCGGGCATGGAAGCCAATGGAATGGAGCTCCAGATGATAGGCGGGTCATTCGGATGACGAGGATATTTTTAGAGATGGAGCGATCTGGGTAAGGGGGCCATACCTTTCCTCACACGTATGAACATAAGATTAATATGATACAAGAAGGAAGAAGCATGGAAGACGACGCCAGATGCAAATGACAGAAGCAGTGGACGTGAAAGAGAAGAAACGGAGCCGTGGAGATAGAGGAGGAGACCAAGGGGATTCAACCCTTCAGATGGCACACAGCTGTGGCCAAGCCATGTACAGAGAAAGAAAAGAAAAGGAGACGAGAAGAGAAAGGCAGGCAGTAAGCATCAAAACATAATAAAAGAAAAAGGGCAAAGAACGGCCACAACAAAGGTTCACCCAGATCCTTGGAAAGGCACCTTATCTTCTGGAACAGCAGAAGACGGGGCCGTTCACTGGATGAGGCTGGGGAAGGGAAGAGGAGACGGGGGAGACAGAAAGGGATTGCGGATGGGGAAGTGAAGGGGGGAAGGAGGAGAGAGAAGAGAAGAATGGATGGAGATGGCCAGGATAGGATTGATCAGGGACGAAGGCGAGGGCGAAAGGGGGGAGGGAGAGATGGAGAAGAGACAAGAGACGGGCGTTGGAGATCCGACCCGTGCTGGACTGCTTAGACACCATAGTTTCTTTTTTTTTTCTCTCTTTTCTTATGATTTTTATCTTCTTGCTATTTCTAATATTTCTATTTTCAATTCTAACTCTATAATAATATTTTCTCTTCTTCCTCTCGACAAAGTTACACTGAGCAGAAATGGATCTCTCCTCGCTTTCCAGCTGGCATGGCAATCATCCGAGTAATAATAGTAGCACTGCTTCTCTTCTGCGCGGAACGTGCTGATATGGTTCCCCTGAGTTTGATTAATCTCCGCCTCGTTCGGCTTGGTTTGGCCAAGGAATGCACTGGTATTACAAGCTGTTTTATCTTTTTCTTTTCTTTTTCTGCAACGACGCTTCTCCTTCTCCAGGCTGACTTCATACACGGACTTGTGCGGAGTACAGAACACAGCATCGGCATCGGCATCGGCACCAGCATTAGCATTAGCATTAGCATTAGCACACGCACAGCAGACGCAGACGCAGACGCAGCCCGGTGTGTATTTCCTCGTAGCGACGCGTACGCGCCTCCAGAATCGAGTCGCAGCGAGTACTACTACTAGTACTGCCATCCACAGGAAAAGGCCACGATTCCGAGTTCCTGCTTCCGCTTGGACGGCTATTTCCTCTATTTCCTCTCCCCTTTCGCGTTAGCAGGATTGTACTTCTCATATCCGGTAGTATTGAATAATAAATAATAATAATAGTAATGTTTCTATTTCGGACACCGGCACAAAAAGGGATGCCAGGACTGCATGAGGCCACTTCTGAGACTAGCACCGTTACAGGCCGGCTGCCCTTCTGAAAATGGGGCTATCGACCCGGTTTTGCGCAATTAACTTAACACGGAACGTCCTCTCATTTCCAATTTCAAGCGTCGAGCCTCAACACTCAGTCGGATTCTCAGAATAGTCGACATGCACGTCATGGGCCGGGCCTAGAGCTGCCCCCCATCTCCTTCCTGAGGCTTCCCGGACCGTTCTACGAGTCAGCCGTGTCTCTGCCCAGGTGTTTGGCGTCTTCGTCAGGCTTTCTCGGCCATTTTACGGTGATTATGCTCGGCTCCGATCTAAATTCTGAGTGTTTCATTGCACTCCCAAACGATGCGTTTTTCGCGTACAACTCGTCAAGAATTGCCCAAAGCGGCGCTGAAGCCTAGGCAGCTAATATAGTTCAATATTATGGTTAAAACACAGACTATTGACGAGAGAGAGAGAGAGAGAGATCGCGCATCCGTGCTGCTTATTTCTGCCGGGAACTCCGGACAGCCACCATATGCAGGTTACTTCCTGACTCTGACTCCTCCGTGGTTCTCTCCAGAACCATCAAGGAACAATAGAGTAGACGCATGGCACATCCCCAGTCTCTCTGTTAGGGCTGTAGATCTGTGTTTCCATGAAGCAATCAGACTCTGTTCTGTAGCCATAATTAAGAAACCCTTATCTGCAATCCTTAATACGGAGAAGAAATCCGCCGACCACTCGACCATGGTTTCGATGGCACGAACCACCCTGATGATCCATGATCGTCATCGAACCCCAAATCTGGTGTCATAGTTCAATAATAATATTAAATATATGATATGATCCCTGTACGGAGTATGCGGCCTGTGATCGACCATCCATTTTACCCCTCGATTGTGTACGCTGCCCACGGCTCCCTGGCCCCTGGCTGGCTCGGCCAGGGTGGTCGCAATTTGCTTTCTTTATCCCGAAACGTCAAAATGCATGCATGATATGCATTTCTATTCTTTCGTTTATTATTTTACTCCGCGCCGTCGATGATAGTGAACATGATACAGCATATCGCGATCATTTCGGCTAGAATGGAATCCGTAGGGAATCGTTCGGCACATATCCATATCTGTCTCCTTATCTCTCTCTCTATATATATACACGCTGCATGTCCTGCAGCATACACTTGCAGCCGGCTTGTCTCCGACTCCCGCGTAAAGATGAGATGCGCAGTTACCCTATCTGCTATCATCTGACGCTTCTGGAATCTGGACGCGAGAAAAGATAAACCACACCGTTAGAACTTAGAGAAGGCTGGGAGTCTGTGACTCTTTAAGCGATTAGACTTTACCTAGCCAACGCGCGAAAAAAAGCACTCGAATAGAATAGCCATAATGCGGGGAAGGCAATATCGATGATACTGACTAGAAAGACAAGATGCTGTCAGTGCGCCGCCGTTGTATCAGGCAGAGCCGATCTTTGACTGTACACTGCAGTATTTACTCCATGCTCTTGTGTCTACACAGAGATACAACAAAGAACAAGACTGTACATGCTGCTACCTTCAGGACCCTGGATGTCCCAGGCTCTCAGCCGGGCTCGATTCAAAGGCAGAGGCAATCTTCCGTGGAACACGTGGCCACGGGTCTCAAAGGACTAAGTTGAGATTCTGCTCGGCTGCAGCAGGATGCAGTTGCACGTCGGCAGAGTTGTACCATCTCAAGAAAGGAATATCCGTGGCTGGGAAAGCCAGTTCCGACGGCCCTCCGTACAGAGGTAGTCATCGCGCTCTATTTCACTTTGCCAGGTGGACAGTCCTAGTCTCTGATCGAGAAACCCGAATCTCAAATTATCCGGGAAAGGAGGACTGGGTCTCTTACAGCCGGGTATATTCCTAGATCAATATTCGGTCCCCATCCTCGCCGGCTTCCTCGTCCGAGTACCAGTCCTTCGATGTCGCAGATCAACGACTATAACCGGGTTCGCTGGCGAATATGCCGTGAAGACAGAATCTCGGGATCTAGGATTTCCGTTCAATGGGAGTGATGGCCACCAAACAAATCACCGATCATATCGAAGTAGGGCAGCTGGAAAGAAAAGGAGCTCGCCTAGTGGCCATTAAAATTAATCCTTCATCCATTTAACTAGCTTAGCTTGCTCGTTGTTGATTATTGTTCTTATGGCCCAGTCCTTTCAGTGACTCCAACCCAGCCCCACGCCATGCTTTGTATACATAGCGGTGCCAGCCCTTCTGCTCTTCCTTATTCGATTTGTCCTTAGCACCGTACCCAGGCCAGTTCTCGGCCGTCCAGGAGAAATTCCAATATCGAAGATCGAGGGAAAGTTGACCTGTTCGTCAAATGTATTAAAAGAAATCAGTAAGAGCAGGCTTGAGCCTATCCAAACGGCTCTTCCATTTCGCAAAACAATAAGAGTAAACCTTTACCATCAGCTCAGGGGGTATGTGTAGGCTCGTTATGTCTTTAGTTATGACTGCTGCCTACGAAGTGAATTGTCTACCACGTGTATGACGGTCCATGATACTGGCTCTGTGCCTCAGTATCTTGCAATTCTTCCATTTTCTTGTCGCGCTGAGAAATGTACTGAAAACTGGAGAGGATTACGTACACCATTTCCTTCCTTTGGTTCTACGGATGTCGATCAAACACGATCCATCTGGCGGAGACGGATGGAGTATCACTGGTGGCTCCTAGGCTCCTGTATGGCAAGATCCAGGAATGGGGAAACGATCTTACCCGTAAGACTACCGTTTCAGATGGAAGTATTTGGACCCACGAAGATAACCTAGGTTTTTGCAGTGCAACCAGATACTCTTCTCCCGGATTGATACGCCGGTACCCACCCCGAAGGAGGATATGAGCTTCTTCTAGAACTCTTCACTAGGAATAAGCCGTTCCATGCGTTCCTAAAATGCGCGCGTAGATCGCGCTGTTCCAGTGACGTCTTGAAATACCAAGAAGTCATCGATCTGGTTCTCCATGGACTTCCGCGCCGCGAGATAGGGCTCGCCGTCGTGGCGGAAGTGGTTAGTTTCGTCTTCTCGGAATCGATCATGCACGTCGTACTGTCTCTGGGCATCGTCCGGACCCGGGCCGTATTCCGTGTCCGACGTAGTAGCATACTCCAGCAGGGTACAGAGTATGCAGGACTCTTCTTAAATGTCCCGGCTCGATGGGAAATCCCAAAGGAAGATAAGGGCTACAATCACCTGACTGTCCTGATAGCTGCTATACATAGGGTTAGTTTTGATGGGAGTCTTCGGAGGGTCTTGAGAAGACAAAATTCGAAGTGAGGAAGATCAACATGCCATCGGATGTACGGGGCACCTGCGCTTAGTCGAAGGGCATGATGTGGTCAAGCTCCAAACATATCTCCATTTGGATCTCTATGAAAGTCCGGATAAGGCTCTTGTCATGGTGGTTCTCCCGCATCCAACACAAGGCCACATCTGTATATACTGCAACATTCTTTCCCCCATGCATGCCCATTGTTCCAAAAGTTAGCAAGGTGCACATGGAGATGGAGCCCTTCATGTGGTTAATTGGAATTGTTTGTCCGTTTGGAGATCCCTCACATAGAAGGACAATAACCGTCAAAGACATGAATGACCACGCCAACACTTTCTCCAATGCCAGCTGCGTCTAAAACATTGCTCACAATGTCTCTTCTTTGTCTACCCTTGGTCCTCTTTGCAATTCTTCACGGCTATCCCCCCGCACAATTTGATTGTCACTTCAGCGGAGTTCTCCATCTGCAGAGGGGGACAATGATAGAGGAATCCGACAAAAGAACGGCCCTGAGTCTATAAAGGCTAGGGAAGTCCCGACTATTTCTCTTCGCTTCTCTACAGACTTCTATCATCCTCTATCCCAATTCTACTAACCGGATCCCAGATCAAAGCATCAAGATGTGTCGACACAACGTCTATTGGTACGTCTGCGACCATCTGGTTCACCACTACGTGATCTGTCCTTTCACGAATGAACCAAACCACGAACAATCCCAGTCCCTGACTCAGATGATAAGTGAGGTCTGTTTCCTCTGCTATAATAAACCGGGAAACCCGCGCCTGGACGCCATGCGAAGGATCCAAATGACTATGGAGCTGCTGGGGCAAATCCTTGGTTTCGACGCCGGAAATCCCACACCTGATACTCTTGAACGCGCTGCAAACTTCTTCTCCCGAGGGGATCACAGACGCTGGCTTCAGCCCACGGTAAATGGATATGGAATTGAGTATCCGGTTGACCCAATCCTTGAGCAGATGGTCAACGGAACGTATACCGACGGCAATGACTACGCTGGTGCCGGACATGCAACTGATGTAGGCATGGCTGAGGTTAGCCAAATGCTAGTACAGCAATTTGATCAATATCAGCAAGAGATGCAACAGCAATCTGGAAATGTGACTGGTCTGGCTCTTGTACCCCCTACTCCAGCCCAATCCCCGAATCTGGGTGGAATCCAGACCGGCCATGTCCATAACCAAACCATCCAGACTGTTCCCGGGATGGGTCTGGGTACTCTCCATCAGCAGCAGACGTTGAATGCTAACAATTCATATGCTTTCAATAACACAGCAGCTCTTAGACTGCCACAGATGCTGGCTCAAACCCCTCCTCAGCTTCCTGCTAACCTTTACCGGGTAAACACACCGGGTCCTATTCAACAAACCCCTGCAACTCCTGGACCGCAGCAAATGCAGACTCTGCCTCCTGCTAACACTCACCAGATATTTATGCCAGGTCCTGTTCTACAAAGCCCTCCTGCTCGTGGACTGCCCCTACTTTCTCTTTCTCCTTCTCCTCTTCCTAATATTCACCAGGTATTCACGCTGGGTCCTGTTCAAACCCCTTCAACTCCCGGACTGCAGCAAGCTCAGCTACCTCCTCAATCCCCCGCTAATGTCCCCCGGGTGCCCAGACCGGTTCCTCCTCCGCAAACCCCAATGGCTCAAGGGCAGAACACTTTCGCTAACACAGCAATACAGGGACAGGGACAGACACAGGCATATCTTCCTCCATTGCCCCTTCATAACCCAATTGGTATGCTCCGACGGAGGGATGCTGCAGCCGCTTCTCAGCCAAGTCTAACAGCTACAGGACTCGACGCCGGAGCGACTCAGCCTCGGCTCCCTCCTCAATCCCCCGGTAACACCCATCGACAGGCCTCAAACGAATCGCAATTCACCAAATCTGACGAGTACAGGACAAGGACAAGGACAGCAACAGACACAGGCATATCTTCCTCCATTGCCCCTTCATAACCCAATTGGTATGCTCCGACGGAAGGATGCCGTAGCCGCTTCTCAGAAAAATCTAACGGGTTTTTTTTTTTTCAGGGCCTGGTTTCCCGCAGCAGTCTGTAATTGCTAGTCCTCAGTCTAATGCTCAACGTCCCACAGGTGCACAGCAGCATTATCAACAGCAACAGCAGCACTCAACTCCCCAAACCACATCCTCGGGTAGTCCTGGTACGCCGAATGCTCCTTATAACCCATTTCCTGGGACTTCGGGGCCATAGTTTCATGTCTACAATTTAAGCTTGAGCTGACGTGTAATAGATGATTCATCAGGAACTTTGGATTAATTAGCTAACTATTTAATGGAGATTTCAATATGACTCATGATAGTTTAATGGTGTTGACGCTTTGCATGCATCCTTTTGAGTTGGAGTAAGAGAATATCTTGTAGATCTACCTGGAATCATGCGTAGTCCTAATGTCTACAGATACTCATTCCATAGCGTCCGAGGATCACGGCCACTCTTCAGAAAAGATACCATACGTGTATCACTTTTATTCTTCCGTTTTCTACACTCAAAACCCGAGATCATCACCATCACTACGGAAATCCTCACTGACATCCATACCCTCGCTACCTTCCTCCTTGTCCAGCCCCTCGAAGATCATGAACTTTTCGTTCTTCGCATCCGTCTCATCGGGGACGACGTTCCCATCCTGGACCTCGCATTCTTTGAGAACACACTCCCGACCTATCTTGCTGCGTCGCCCAATAATGCAGCCGGTGAGTTGGCAGCGTTCGCCGACCACCGCGCCATCCATGACGAGACAACGCGTCAACCGTGCGCCGCTGGCGATGTGGGAGTTTGCGCCGATGACGGATTCCTTGATCACACACTTCTCTTCAACGGTGACGTTGTCTGCTAGGAGGCAATCGGCCCTGGTAACGGTGCATCGCTGAGCCACGCCCGCGGGGTATGCAATTTTCTGGGAGTGAGCGAACGGTGACGCGGCTTGACGGCCGAGCTCTTCGATGGATTCGAGTTTAGCGAGGCGCAGGGATACGGATAGGAGGAGGGTGGAGCTATCGACACGTCTCACTAGGGGTGCGGATGGCTTCGAGGAATGTACATATGCCAATATTGGGGGGATGGTAAGAGGCGTCTGTTCAAGTTCCGCGGTTTCAATGCCGGGGGCCCTGACTCGTGATGCGAGGCGGAGGTTTGATGTGGCTGAATAGTCTGTGGGTAAAACTCCGGACTTTGTCGTGCTCATGGCTTGAATGTCGATCTCTTCTTCAAGGGGTTCGCCGTCGAGACTGCCTGAATCTCCTCCGCGAGTCCCCTCCGTTTGCTCGAATATCTCCCTCAGTCTCAGCTTGTCTCCCAGACCCCGCTGCCACTCGGATTTTGCCCACCAGCCGACGAGATCTTCACTGACGCTTTGGAATTTTTCGTTCAGCCTTGCCATCTCCTTGACCCAGTATGGGAAGATATAGATGTGGGCGTCCCTATAGCTTGTCAACATCTTCACCTGTGAATGCCGTTTCACAAGCGAATGCCGAACAAGCAAGCCCTTCTGCGTTTCCATTTTTTCCTTTAGCGTGTCCATTGGCATAGCGAGGACGAGTTTCGACAACTCAAACCTCAATGCGGCCGGGCCGTCCTTCGAATAGCGCACTGCAGGAGCCTCATCCTGCTCGAGGGGAGTGGTAGCCACAAAGTCCGTGACTTCACCCTTGACGCTTTCTTCCCTTCCTTGAGTCTGGTACCATACCCCTAGACCCCCTCTTCGACCTCCGTGCTCTCCACTTGTTCCCGGGGTCGTTGGTCGGAGCTGTTTACGGCCTTCCCGAATAGTCGAGCCGTCTAGAGCACCTTCATGGACCATCCATGCCTCCAAAAGGGATTCACCAGGTATATCACAGATCAAGTCACAAGGGAGTAGAATGAAGTCGGATTTGATGCATGCCTGGACTTCTGGCAGACGGAGCAGCTCGGAAGTTCCCGTTGTCAGGGTCAGGTCGCGCGGAGCAAGGACCGACGGAGAAGGAGATGGGAGAGATGTGAGATGGGGATTTTGCGAAAGAGCTGCTTCTAGTGGTGTCTGGCTTGCCGGGGGGGTAACCAATGTGATGTCTGGTTATCTGTTAGCTTTGTCGAAAGACATCTACTCAAGTATAAACAAATAGTATGTTATAGTCATATTACGCAATTAAATAAAACATTCCAATGTATAACAATTGCGAAAAGTACATACAACCATGGCGATCTCATATATCACAACCGAAAAGAACCATACTTACTGGTAATTCCCATCCGATAGCACCAGTCCAGCGGATACCACACCATAGGACGATTCGCAATCGGAATAAGAGCCTTCGGGAACTCTTCGGGGTTGGACGTAAATGTATTGAGGGACACTCCCGGGCCACACAAGATGAGGGCCTGGAAGCCCGTGGGGGGCACGGGGACGGAGTGCGGCATGAGTGACAAAAGGTGCCGATTGGACGGAAGCAGACGTTGATGTTCCTATGCACCCAGAGTTAAGAATGCCCAGGTATGCACCGTAGAGAGAGGCCAGAGTCGCCTTTATGACTGTGATGACTGCGAGTGCAAGAAAAGCAATCCCAACGCGATAAAATCAAGAGTCACGCCGCCTGTCACGTGTTGATAAAGATGCTGAATCAGCATCGCCCGCGGGGAAGGCAAACAGGACAAACACGGCAGCTCTGCGCAGCAACACCCGCGGCGCAATAAACACTACGCCAGCCACATGCCGCCTCCCCTGCGTCCTCCGAGGTTGAGCATAAGCTCTCCTCGACTTCTCTCTGTTGCTCCACTCTTTCCTTCCTGTCTCTCATTGTTTCCCCCGTGCGGAGGGCTGGAATGTGAGCTGCCTTTTTTATGATTCACCACCACACGACTCATTGATGCGCATTGTTCGTTCCCTCGTCCTGTGACCTCAATGTCTCTCTCATACCCTCAGGATTCCCGTCGACGGATCGGGGCTGGCAGGGGCTTTAGTGCGACTGGTCGCCGCACTGTCTTGGGGTACTGGGTACCTCTGGCTTTGACGGTCGGTATCGCAACGATTGGCGTTGCGGCATGGATATGGAGTGAACGGAATGACGATGACGACGACGATTACCCCAAAGACGATGATAGCGGAGACGAACGCCCTCCTCCTCCCCCGGGACCTGGTTCCATTTCTGGTGGATATCCTCCTGTTGAACCGGGTGCAGCCTTTCCGACGCCCGGAGCTCCGGGGTTCCGTGAAATATCTCAGCCGGAGGATAGCGGGATGTTTGCGCGCATGCAGGGAGCCTTGCGCCGTACACCCAGCCCTCAACAGATCTTCGACGGTGCCAGCAGGAAAGTCGCTGCCGGCGTCGCTGCAGCTGGAGCGTTCGTGGGTCTCACCCCCATTCGCGAAGAAGGCAGAGGCGACTTTGAAGATCACACCAAGTGGTCGGAGGAGGTCGAGTCCAGGGCTAATGAACGGGATCAACAAGCCGCAATTGCGCCTGTGATGAGTGGAGCCTTATCGACTCAGGCAGCTACTCCCCTCCAGCCTAGCCTTGACAAGAAGAAGAAGAAGAAGAAGACGGTCGCAATCGTTGTATCATCAGTGTCCCCACAACATGATCCAGATGGTTTTAATACAGAGCACGCTGTAAGTGATTCGTGGGCATTGGATCGTTTCCCTGCTTTGAATAGTGCCGTTGACAATAGTCGATACAGTCTATCCTTTCTCATCTCCCTGAACACGTCGACCAGGATACCTCCAGAGTTTTTGTTCTAATCTATGCCCCCGAGCTGAAGCATGCAATCAGCCAGGGAGCTTCGTCCCATCCGACTCTTTCAGTCGCATCGTCCTATTCTAACATTGCTCGCGAGGAGGCCGAGTCTGGTGCTGAGTCACCCAGCGAAGGAGCAAATGAACTTGAAGGGACGACGCCTTTCTTCAAGACCCTGTACACCCAAGCGCAGTCTATTGTTGAGAAAGACACCATGATCTTGCCGTTCAGCACTAAGGCGGGTCATGTTCATCTTATACGTCACCTATCACCCGACCTTGTCTATATCCAAGAATCCCTAACAGGGAATGAAGGGGACCTTGTCCATCACATGTCCGGGTGGGTCAGACAGGTTGTTGTGGTCGTGGGAGACGAAGGTGGGCGTGGTGGTCTCATCGACAGCGAGGATGAGTCGACGCTTGCAGATAAGGGGGAGAAGTGGTGGCAGAGAGAGGGGATTACAGGAATTGGAAAACGGATTGACGTTGTAGACGTCCTCCGGGTAGGGGATGACTGGCGACGACGTGTTCAAGGCCATGACTAGAAAGAGATCTGGTCTCCTCGAGGACTCACGATGTCGAAACGCCACTACATGGGGCCACCATGCTTGTATTTTTTTATTGTTGCGCTTATGATTTTAGGAATTAGGGTTCTTTGCTTTACTGGTAATAATGTAGCCCCTTCTGGTCTTAAACCCAAGTTGAAAAGAAGAATCCATGATAATGCTGTGTATACAATGTATGTGCTTATTGACGTCGATATTTCGGACGCTCCTGATGGCGCTAGTCCGCAAGCGGCAGTCATGTGAGCATCCCTTGAGCTCCTCTTGGCATCAAAAACGAGGCGCTCTTGGACAACCTCACGGTCGACCGGTCTGCCCATCTCCAAGCTTCCTTGTATTTTGCAGCCCTCCGCTTGACGGGGCCTCCGTCTTCTGGTCAATCGTGATTCTGACGGTCACCAGGCCCACGCGTCGCTATTTGCTGAGTCCGTTGTTGGCCCAGGGTACTCCGATCCCCACATGACATGTCTCGCTCGTCGGCCATCTCATCAACCTTTCGAGAACGGTTTTCATCCTATCTCATTAGGACAGGCCCTTGGGTAGTCATATCTTCAAGTCGCTGGCCGTAGCTGCGTCGTGCGGCCACTTATCGACGTCATGGCGACGGCAATCTCCAAGCCAACCTCACATCCCCCGAAGATGAAGCGCCCTCCCCCGCCCTTCGTCCAGACCGGAGTGAACGGAGTGAAGCATTCACACGTCTCATCCTCTCCGCAGTCCGCGTCAAAGCGACTTCCCGGGACAAACCAGTTGACTTCGGCCAACTCTGCCGGCGGTCCTACGTCGAACCACCTCGGCGTGGCGGCCAATTCCGCGAACAATGCCATGCATAGGGGACCGCTCAGCAGAGCCAGGAAGGATGCACAGAGACCTGGTGAACAGTCTGCACGGCTGCAGCGACAGTCGACAAGAACTATGCCGCTAGAGCATAACGGACGTGTGCTTAAGAAATCCCCAGAACCATATGGTAAGCCTCTGTTTTACGACCTAGTTGTCACGTCCGGTCCAGTGTCTGATTACTGATAATCCCATCCTTTATACGTCTATACAGTCAAAACAACCTCCCATATCCTGAAGAAATTCGCAAAATCTCCTCCCTCCCTCATCGTCCATCTTTATCCGACCCACTTCCGATTTGAACAGCAGGATGGCAGTTTTCCCTATAACTCAGAGATGAAGGTTATCATTGAACATATTCGCGCAGGTACAGTCCCGCATGATATGGTGGAAGAACTTCTGCGAGCTGGCGTTCGATTTTACGAAGGTAAGGTCAAGATTTAAGAACAATCTGCGGAAGGCGTGGTCCATGGCAGGCGTTAAATCCTTTGTCTTCCAGGTTGTCTTATCGTTCGTGTGGTGGATCACAAGTCAGTGTCAACCCAGGCTCGTAAATCGTCCGCATCTTCGTCAGATGACAAGAATGAGCCGTTTTCAATTCACAATTATAACGAACACGTTACCCCGTCCGCATTTGTCCCGTATCCAAAACATAATCAGCTTTCCGAAAAACAGGCCTCGAAGACAGACGCGGAAACTTCAAATAGTTCCGATTCCCAGAACAATGAGGGACAGTTCGCTGAGACTGGCACCTCTACCTCTCACAAAGCCACCGCGCCGAAGCCTCGCGTATTCACGACTGTCCTACACCCTACTCCTCGTTCAATGCAAGCCGAGCTGACTTTGCTCGCCACCACTCCTGATCCAAGAGCTGTGAACAGAAAACAGCCCACACACTCACACACGCCTTCCTCAGCTCTATCCCAATCACCAGCTATACCAACTGATACGACTGATAGCGGTCATGTCACCAAGAGACAGAAAATGCTCGTTGAGTCGCAAGATCTTATAGAATGTGAATCTAAATTGACGAGAGCACTCGCACCGCCCCTTTTCTTAGAACCAGTGGATAGCCTCGATGCCGTGCATGATCTCCTGAAGTTTATGGAGAGTCCGCTCCATCGCGACAAACCACCCTCTCCGAAGAGAAGGAAACGAACAGTAGCAGAACTGGCTGCTGATGAGGCGCTGGCGGCCGAGGAGGAGAGATTTATGCTTATTATGGACGAGCGATTGGGTCCGACCGCTAACGGAGTTTCCGGGGGTCCGAAATCTGCCGGTGTTGACGAATCTGGTGGTGCTGCAGCATTCGAGCCGCGCTTCGCTAGGTTTAAGACGCTAGAGAATATCCGCATGCAGCATGAAGAGAAGGCTAAGAGAGAACACGAACTGAAAATCAAGCAAGAACTTGCTAAGAGGCAAGCGCAGGAGCAGGAAAGAGAACGGCGTCGTGCGATTGAACAGCGGCAAGCGGAGGAGCATGCTAAAGAAGAAGCTCGAAGACAGCAGCTCGCTGCTCAGCAAGCCCAGGCACAGCTTACCGCTCAGCAACAGAGTAGACATATTTTGGCACAAGCCAACGGTGTGCCTCAACGACAACAAACTTCGCCGGTTGTTCGTAACCAGACACCCCAGAGCATTTCTTCTCCTTTGGTTGGCAATGTCATGGCTACTCGAGGCGGCGTACCAATGAGCATAACGGCATCTGCAGGTAGTCCCCAGAGGCCTCCTTCAGCGTTGCAACATGCCCATCCGAATGTCATGGGCCATCCAATGGCTCCGACCACGAGTCAACAGAGTCGAAATGGAACACCACAGATGACGCATGGGACGCCTGCCATGTCTCATACTACCCCTGTCATGCGTAATGCTACACCTACACAGCGTATGAGTCACGGTAGTCCTAGCCATTCGACCATGGCTCCGACTCCAGTGACAACGCACTCTATGATGGGGACCCCGCAAATGGGCAATGGAATGGGACTCACACCGCAGCAGCAATACTTGATGCAACAAAGACAGCAACAGTTGTTAGCGCAGCAAAGACATCTAGCGTCACATGGGCAATTCAGTCCTCAGCAGATGGCGCAAATGCAAGCCAACTCCCAAGCCATCCGACAGCAGCAAATTCTGCAGGCCCAGCAGAACCAACAGTCGCAGATGCAAAACTTCCAGAACCCGCAACAGCAGCAGGCCTACCAAGCTCAGATTATGCGTGCACAACTAGCCCAACTCCAAATGGCCCAGCAGCAGCAACAGCACCAGACGCAAAACCAGCAAAATCAAATCCACCAAACAAATCCGCAAATGACCCCCCAGCAACAACAAATGCTAATGGCTGCTGCCCAAGCCAATGGCGGCCATGTCCCGCAAAATTTTCAAGGTCACTCTTGGGCTCTGCGATACCAGACTCTTTATGAACAGAAGTTACTCCAGTTGCGGAGTGATATGGCCAAAAATACATGGGTCAATATGGACCTCCCACGCAGTATCCGCCTCAAGTGGCACAGCAGTACAACGCTGGACTTGAACAGGCTGCCAAAGCTTGGATCCAAGAGTATATGCGTCGCGATGCTCAGCAACGTCAGCGTGCTGTTCAGGCACAAATTTTGCAGCAGCAACAACAGCAGCAGCAGCAGCAGCAGAATCTGATGCAAAGCGGAATGAACAAATAATGGTTTTTTCTTGCCCTCTTTTTTCTAACCTCCCTTTTATTGGCCAGGGGGGCATTGGAGTTTTCTTTTTTTCCCATGAAGTGGAAGTTTAGTTTGACGGTTTACCGGATACATAATGCCCTTTGCATCGGCTTGAGATCAGGATATGATTTTTGGTGTCATTTTTTTAACGTTGGATTGGTTTTCGGGCGGCGAACTTTTTTCCTCTTCTTTTTCCCTTTTTCTCATCAACCTCTTTTTTATCTGCTCCTACCAATTACCTTTTTACATCATTCCATTCTACCCGTCCACTTTGGTCTTTTTTTATATTTTACTTGGCACTGTACAAGGAGCAAGTTGTTCAAAGGTTCTGAACTGTGAAAGAAGGGGCGTTTTCTCGTTTTCATTCAATGTTTGGTATTTGGTATTACAGTAAATGTCTTTGTTTTCTTTTCTCTTTGTTGCCTTTTTTTCTTTCCTTTTTCAGGTCAATCGGGGGGTGACGCTCTGAAGGCAGACAAGCCTTGGCTTGAAAATTGGAAGGCTTGTCTTGATACCATGTGCTTCTTTTTTTTTTTTTTTTTTGCTTCGTCGCCTTGGAATGTATGCATACGTGTACATTGATTTTATTGAAGTCAACTAATGCATTTTCCTTTTTCCTTTTCCTTTTCCTTTTTTTTATATCTCATTATTCTGGAATGTTTATTAAGATAAAGAATAATAGGAATGAGAAATGTATATGAATCTTCAATCGGGCCGGCCGAGTTAGAGTATACAGGGGGGAATGTCCAATATAGATAATTACTGGCAATTTCAATTTCGTAATTCAGCCTGGCAGAGAGCCTAGTTGAAAACAGAAGAAGAGAAGGAATAGCCACATTGTACAGTGTATACTAATCCAGCAACGGTCAACGGTCACCGATCAATACGAAACCAAGAAAAAGAAGCGTGGCCACACGTTCCTGTATGCAGGCACAGATATAAAACGACAATCACCATGGACACTCTCTCTGCAGTGACTAGACTGCAGGTCCCAGTCTCAATCCTATTATGCATTCCCTTTTTTACTTGCCCCCTGATAGCTCCTGACAAGGATCAGTCTGATAGAGTCCGCAGCAGGAACTTGCAGGCACGACCGACCGCGATCAGTCGAAGGAAAGACGTTGAGGCCCGAAGGGGATTGTCAGTAGAATATTCAATGGGACTAGCCAGCCAAGTTGGAAGTCCCCGAACGGATGCCATTAGATAGATAAAGCCGGCGCTATGACTCGAAGTATGCGCCGAATATAATATCTACTCCGTAGAACCCTTTGCATCCTGCATTGCTCCGGGACTCGCGGAAGTCTGTGAACCCTTTGCAGGATGCAGAGGGACCCCTTCCCCCTGTGTATTTGACGAATCAGGAATGTATTGCTTCAATTTATCCGTTTTCGGTAATAGCGCTCGTATTCATAACTATACAGTGCAGACAAGGGGGTGTCATCAGTACTGTTCTGTATCATCTTGGCAAAGGGGACTGCCGATAGATCATATTTTATTCGCGTTTGATATAGTAGGGTTTCCTGGAATGGAAATATTAGAGCATATTTCTAGACGGTGTTTATGAACTGTATCCAGCGGTACGTATGTACATTTCAGATGGCTGGGCTGAGTGGGCTCTTGCAGCACTTCGCATCACGTCATAAGCCATGATGAAGAGTAGCAATTGCATGCCTATTTGTCAACTTCTTGGTAAGAACGTGGCAAAGAAAGACGACACTTCTCTCCTTGAAGACGTCATATTCCTTGCCTATATTGAGATCAGTTAGAAGTGGGTAAAAATACTTATATGGGGCGCTGGTAGCACTTGCAATTCCAAGTGGAGCTGGAAGATGAGAACTAGTTGGGAGGATTCCCAGCTGGACAGGTGAGCACTTGAGGTACAATCAGGGCTCTGAGTGATGAAATTCAAGCCTTCCGGGTATGGAGTGGGTACCCTATGGGGTTGTTGTAGTGGATTTCTATCGGGGCGGTAGTTCGGAGGAGTTGTATACACTGGCACTGGAATTCCTCACGGTGATGAAAAGAGCTTCGCAGTGATATAGTCGACGAGCTAATATGACTCCAGGAGCAATTTGGAGGGGAAAAGAAGCAGGTTGGTTGAAGTTGAAAAGTGAGCGAGCTATCAGAAATACCCCCGGTTGCCTTAACAACTGTATCAGTCCTGCGGGGCATTTGCCTTCAGCCTACGTACGCTGTACAGCGTATGCATACAAGTACGTATATGGGCAATGGACAGAGAATAGGTCAAGACGTTTTAGGTAGATGGCATTGCCTGTGCAAGTCCGTATGGCTCGGAGATCGAGGATATTTCCTCGTGTAGATAGTTGTGTGCAGGAATTTGAAACATTGTGGACGATTAGATAAGTCGAGTGTGGACAACTAGACTTTCTTCTCGTGAGATTCATATCTAATAATGGAGATAAATTCCTAGCAGAATCTTACGATTTTTCAGGAAAATTGCAGTGATGGTGACGGAATTGTCTGACTCTGACCCTGGCTGGGATCCGGGTCGGCATCGAGACGAACGAAAGGTCGACGGCCGTCCTCTGTGCTGCCGGAGGGCAAAGGGGGTTCTCCGTACCTCCGTAGACAAGCCTCCAGTCAGTCAGGTCTGTTTGAGTCTTCATTCTCCCCAGCAAACGTGCATCCGAGGAATGGAAGTTGGTGGACTAATCGATGCATGACATATCAGAAACCAAGGTTCCACGACGCAAACGAAGAGCCAATTCGGTCCCTAAAGTTAAATATGCCCCTCATGAATCTTGCCTGTAACGTATCATCAAGCCACTGATATGCACAGTTCACCTCTTAGGCTAGTTCTGAAATTGACACCGACCGTCGGAGGGACTGACCGCTTCGAACTTTCAGACCATGATTCTTTATCGGCTGATGAATGGAGAGAGGTGGGGAGATAATTCCATACGTAGACATTCTTCATACTTTTCGTCGCCCTGAATAATTTCTGAGCTATCGGACACTGCGAGCACACGACATTTGTCGTCAGGAGGCAATTCACCAGGTTAATGGCCGGGCGACGCATTATTGCCTAGTTCAGCGACGGTGGATGGTGTGCACGAAGTCGTCCACTGACGAGCTCCAAGGGCAGACGCCTCTTTGCAATCTGCACGGACCGGGTTTCCGCGCAGGATCCGAGATGCGGAATTGCAGCGTCTTCGTAGCTGATGATCGTCTAATTACTGATAGTCCGACTGGCCCAAGCTCCCAAGCTTGTAGGAAAGCCACTAGAAGTTCTAGTGTCGGGAGTGCCGTCTGGGGTCATGGACATGGATTATGGATCATGCAGATCCAGTTGGACCGGGATTCTGTCTGTTGTTGTCAAGGCTCAAGGCCCTGTAAACATGCAGCCCGGACCGGGTTCGCGCAGATCATAGCAAGCCATATTCCGCTAGTCAACGTCGGATCGATTGGCCGGTGCCCTCCCGTAAATCAACTTGCCTTCACACGGAGTGCTTCGTGCTTGTTTTACTCATACCCAAAAGGTACAAGTGATTTGGTGCGCATGGTCCGCCACCACCCGCATATTGTTCACATGTCGAGTTGACTGCTCCCGAGCTCGTTGCCTTCCCTTCTTCCCAAACCTTCCGGGCCTTGTTTTATCTGCGATTGAATATTTGCAAGTGCATTTTGAAGTCCAAACAGTGTCGTTTCCCATAAGCCACATAGGTGCATGCCGAAATACACGGAGAACACAGCCATGCCAAATGACTCTTGCACGGTTCAGCCCTTGCCCCTTCCGGTCCCTGATTCTCTTGTCTTCTTCTCCACTCGGATACAGGGCCGTGATCACCCTTGTTGGCTGTCCAGGATCTTGTTTTTTTGGGGCGGTTGGCAGGTGCCGAGAGTCTATTGTCGGGATCTTGCTGAAGAGTGGATTCGATGATCTGAAACCTGCAAGGAAATAATTCGTCAGTGAATTCTGGAACTCTGTGGATGAAAGGCAAGATGATAGGCCATTTACATACCCAATGGCTGTTGATTCAGAGGCTGCCAGTTAGGTGAACTGACAATGAACTCTGATGGATACCACGAGATGAAGCGTTCAATGGGTCCAATATGTCAATAAATCGGGTCGACGGTTCGTTTTCAAGACTCCGTTGAAAGGATAAAACCAAACGAAGGATCTGTGGAGAGGTGACAGGGAGAAGTAACGGGAGACAGGACAGCAACCAGATCGCAGACGAAGGCCTGCTGCTGGTGGCGGTGTTGGTGTTGGTGGTTTGGAGAAGAGGATATAAATCGATTCTCTCCCCTCGAACCCCCCCGGCGAAACACTTTCGTCCTCTCCCACCTGATGCCTTTTGAATATTCCGTTTCTTCCAACAAGGTGCTCTGTTTTCTTCTCTTCTCGGTTTCCTCCCGCCCTAACTTTCCTCTTTTCCACTCCTTTGGATAAACTCAGGGCTATAGACGCGTCTGTTCTTCCGTCGCTAAACAGCATCGTCAGCCATTCTGATGATAGAGATGGCATATGACTGTGAGTGAGGCCTGTCTCTCCCCTTCTTTGATGCTATCATACATTTGAGTCTATCCTTTAATGATCCTTTCTGCACATGTCTATCCCTCGTCCCGTTTTCTATCTCTATTGTATTAATCTGTTTGGCAATTCCCTACCAACGCAACCCTGTTGTATTTATCTTCGCGGATACTGAAGCTTAAACAGCTCGCTTTGTAGGTGGAAATCGACAAACCGGAAATGTGGACAATATGCGGTCCCAAGGAAGGGCGGTTGATCAAATTGACTACCGCCCATTAAGTCCCAGTGAATGCCTCTCCACGGCCTCTAGTTTCTCTCCTTCAAGTTCCCCGATCAGGACTCCAACCACCCGCTATAGCCAAAGACCATTTCCCATGTCAGGGTGGCGTGAAGTAGGTTCCTCTGCCGGTCACACCTATGGCACAGCTCCAGCTCCCATCCCTGACAATCTTGCCTATTACGATGAGAATCTTGAGCAGTTTTGGGTTAGTCCAGAAGTGGCGTATGAGAAGACGGATACTTTCTTGTGCCAGCCACCCGTGACTGGGAATCTGGAGATGACTCGCAATTCCTACAACAATCGCCAGACGCTATGTCTACCTGCGTACATGTCGAACCCCTATTTGTCAAGACCCATATTCAACCAGCCTGAGGGAGTGCCAGTCTCCGCTTCTGGGAGCAATTTTCTCCGTTGGATGCCTTCTACCGATCCTATCCCTGAACAGACGCTCACGTCGTCCCAAGACTTGCACCAGGAGCCATTAACGCCCCCTTCCCCATGTGCTGAGTTATATACTTCAGACATAATGAAGACTCGGTTTACGACTACTCCTCATCGCTCTTTCTCCTTGAATGCTTCTTTTGACACCGAATTATCCGCGAGACGAGATCCTCTTGTGGCCAACTGTAACGGTAATCTGCCTTCGCGATCCGTTTATCAGAACAGTTCTCCAAGCCGGCATCAGCAACAGCCATCTGGAAAAATTACTAGACGGCAATTGCTGAAACAGGGTCTCATGTTGGAGAATATACCACCAATAATCAAGCAGGTACAGTTCAGGTGCAGCGAGCCAGGCTGTAAGGGACGTTTTAAGAGACAGGAACATTTGAAAAGACACATGAAGAGCCACTCCAAGGACAGGCCATACGTCTGCTGGGTCCCTGGCTGCCACCGTGCCTTTTCACGTAGCGACAATCTCAATGCGCATTACAGCAAAACCCACAGCAAAAGAGGAGGCCGCAATCGATATGTCTCCACACTTGATGAAACCAGCAGTGACTATGATCCAAACTTTCGAGGACAGCTTACCCCGGATGGTCGTCCAATATATGGATCGAAGCTGTGAGACGTACGCTAATTCGGCCTTTATGACGACAAATTCTCTCGGAGACAAGTGAATATAATTGCTGATTGACCCCCTACCCCGACCATAACTGTTTATTTAACGACCCCTTTTTCAACTAGTTCCGGATGATAACACGTATTCGAATATCGAAAGGCAAAAACTCGCACTATGAGAAATTCCTCTTTGCATTTTCAGAACTACAGGCATGCCCAAAGCAACTCAGAGATCTGCTGTTTTCTTTTCTCTTCCTTGGTTTGATTCCGTGGGATTGAAAAATAATATCCGGGATGCCGGAGTACTCCTCCTTAATTATTTCCATTTCTTGATGTCCTCACGAAACCATGGTTGGTTTTTTTTTTGTTTGTTTGTTTGTTTTTTGTTTTTTAATTAGGCAAGTATGGCTGATCGTGCCTAGTCTTATGTGAACGTGATATGATTCAATAGATTCCTTCTTGCATTTCTTTTTCTTATTGCAGGTTTTCTGGTCTAGTGAGCAAGGATTAAAGAAAAAAGCCTCTCTTATGTATCTTGATCCCAATTCGCTCTTGGCGAGGAATGAAACAAGGCCAAAGATAGGGACGTTGGGAGCATGTGGCCACCTGGGAGAAATAAGAGGCATCGTCAGCGGCGGACAGAAGAGAAGGTGGTCGAAAGCACAATCCCCTAAAATCCAATTCAATTGCATTAATCGATTATTACATTCCTATTCTCACCGAATCTTCTGGTAGAAACCACTGTACGGTTTGGCTCCAGCCCTAAGGGCAGTCCATTCCCCGTGATGTCATAACAGAAAATCTTTTTTTTTTCTCTTACACAATCATCACGAACAGGTCCAAGTTCAAGTTTATCCTGTTACTTTGTTGACAGGGGAAGGGCGATGACTGCTTCACGAAAGAAAAAGGAAATTATGTGCCCTGAACCCATAGCTACTGGTACGTACTGCGCAAATACTTGCTACCCTATACTTCTTCCCCCCTCCCGCTGCGCCGTCGAGTCAGAACGAACACCCAGTCAAGGATGTCCTGGTGATTTCCTCATCTCTAATTCATCTGCCTCCTCTCCAACTATGATGACTCTACTTGTTCACTGGCATGAAGCAAATGATTATAACATAACGCCGAATGTCAAGCTCGACAGTCTGAGAAGGGGAAGAGAGATCTATAGAACTGCCAGATTTTTTTCTTACCAGGAGAATCTGTCTTGATATGAGATTGCTATTACATTGTTTTGTTTGGCCCTCTTACTAAGGTCCTCTTGATCAATGCAGGTCTATATGGTTGTTGCCAGAAGGATATTCAAGGAGCCTGAAGTAAACGTCGGCAGCATTGTCTTAAACACCCTATCCTTTTCGCCATTTAAAATTCTTCCTTGGACTTGGCGTTTATGTCGTGTTAATATATTTCTTTGTTTATTTTTCTTTTCCGCTAGCGGCTGGACTTCTTATTATCGGCTTCGAGGTACATCCTCCGGAGCTTTCCGGGGAGAGTACGATGTTGCTATCTAGAAATGAAGATTTCTCACTCCTGTTTTCTTCATTCCTCCATCTACTCCATTCGACACAGGCTGTGTAATGGCTTCTTCAGGTTAAAGACGGCTTCTATTGTCATCCGAGATCTAATTAATATGCTGCATAAGGCAGACTGAGTTCCTCTTTATAGAAACAGTATTGGGATTCCAGGTCCAACTAGGACAAATATGCACACGTACACCTCTTCATGATAAGAAAGCAATATTACAAGCAGTGAATGAGCTCTCTGGTCTTTCAAAACACACTTAGACCTAGCCACTGTTCCAGATTCTTCCTTTTTCTAGAATTCAGCCAAATTCGCTCTCTCTGGCTGGTCTCATTCACCGCCATCATCTAATTTATATCATCCTTCAACACCCCTCACTCCTTCCCTCCTCCTCCTTTTCCTTTTCCTTTTCTCCTCTTGACATCAACACTTCCCTCTTATTCTTTGTCCATCTTCTTGTTGACCTGAGTAACATATAGCCTATATGTCTCTCGCCACATTATATTTGGGCTTCATAGGGCAAGTCTGAATAGATATGTGGACTAGGTTGGTGCCCTGGTTATTTATTTGGCCAACTGTTGCCATACGCACCTATGGGCTTGTGTCTTTCTGCTTGTTCTCTCGCTATTATCCTGCAAGCCAACTCACAGACGAAAACCGGTGCCCTTGTTATAGGAGTCTTCCACTGCCGTGTATCTATCGTCTCCCTACAGAAGTGAGCACATCCAAGACATACCAAGGTGTGTAACATTATTCCTTGTAGTTGCAGCTCGATTATTATTATTATTACTTCCCCATTTCCAGTGCCTTCTAAATAGATCCTGTGTTTCTGTGCTAACCCACAAGCAATTACTAGGGAATCATAGTCAATAGAATAAGGCTCAGCACATCATCTACCCTATTATCCATAATTTGTCGACTTAGATCCAGGATACAAGTTTCCATAAGAGTCGAATAGGTGTTATTGTAACCCTTTTGGCTCAATATGGTTTATTTCAGCCTATAACCCTACTTGGGATTATGCAGAGGACGTAAGGTAACCGCCTTTCTACAGAATTTAGTCAATATCATTCTAACTTTTATATACATACAGTACATACAGTGGCCTCTCAAGACCAATTTCATGTCTGGTTATCAATGAGGACTAATAAGGTAAATTTGTCCACCATCAGCGGAGGGACTCCTGGTTAACTAGATGACCAGACTACAAAGGAATACCTATGGAGGCCGGCAGGTCCCCGTCAACTCACGTTCCAACGCAGCCAATAAATTTACAGAGTATTGAAGAATGCTCTGTCTTTCTTCTCTAATGTCGGAAGATAAAACAGTTCCTCCCAGAAAATCGCTCAGGAACACCATTTGACAAAGGTCCAATTGATATGTCGAACTGGATGGCATTCCTTGAGACAGAAGCCTGGTCACAGGATGTAGACATTGCCCTTGCAAAGTCTGAAAATTATACAGCACTATCTCAGACTGCACATTAGATTACATCAAAACAGACTTCATTATTACCTCGCGAGGCAGAACAGTTAAGTCTTCAAGCACAGAAGTTCAGTCAGATTCTACAAAAGCTTATGATCCGTCGGACCTCTGACAGCAAATGGTTTAATTCGAAGATACTTTATCTGCCAAAGTCAACTCGCCAAGACATCACCTGCCACCTCTCAACAACTTACGAGGAAACATGCCAATTTCCGACTGAAGGCCCAACTACAAGATTGGTGGGAAGATCATATACTTCCAAGATTAAGATACAGCGATACCCGAAGCCCAAGGTGGCAGCCAAATTCTGCTTCCGGATGTATTTTGCTTGTCAGTCTCGCGTACAAGTCACTATTATCGGGACAAGGTGTATCGGGTTACTGAGCCCGAAGGAATGTGAAGCTTGGTTCACACACAGAAGGTAGAAGCACCTAACTCTTCAGCTCTCGAATCGAAGTGTTGGCCTGAGTAACTTATCAGGCCTACTAAGATGCGCTGTCATGGCGACCTTTTAGCCGATGCATAGCAGAGGTGATAATAGCTTGATATCGTCCTTCGCTATGACGTTCGTTGGGGAACATGGCGAGTTGTCCTTCTGGATAATGGATGCGGACAGATGAGTCGACGGGAAGGAGTTTCTTCAATTTCTGTCCTCATTTCATGCGAGAGTGTGTTGATGGCTGACTTTGTGGTCTTTTCCCACTCATTCAACGAGCACGTCCAGCACCTAAGCCAGGTTTCCACACGGCGTGAAAAACTCCGATTAGCCGTCTTTTCATGAAAGAACAGAAACGGATTCAAAAAAAAAATTGGAGACACTAAAGTGCTGGCCTGAGTAACATGCTGGAAGACACCTTTTTAGTGCAATAGAAACACGGATATTATCGAGGCTCTTGAATGATCCGATACGTACGGAGTAGGAGTAGGGTTTGCGGAGCGGGGCAAGATAAGATCATGTGTTGGGATACTTTGGCGCTTGGCTCCTTCGTTTAACTGCAGTATTCCTGTTAGTACATTGTACTTCTAGTACAGAGAGAAGATCATACAATGTGAGACGCAACAAGCTGTCGCTGCAGAAAGTTCATGCAGGAGCTTCGTGGTTTTGGCCCAATCATCCTAGAAAAATATGCAGGCGCATTCACTTGAAGATAAGCGCCGTCATAGCAGTCATGCTTATTGTTTCGCTTATTGTTCTCGACAGAACAATAAGTATTCCTCTTCTCTCAAGAAAATACCTTCATCTTCTCCCCCCAGCTTTTTTCTTTCCTCGGTCACAGAATATCCACCATGTTTGAATCCACCAGCATCAACATTCAGATTGAACCAGACGAATCCAGACCCCTTCTGGACTCCAAGTTCGACAGCCCACCAACACCACCATCATCATCATCATCCGTGCCTTCTTCGAAGAAGTGGCTGTTCCTGATTATCATCTCCGTTCTCGCTCTGACCGTTGATCTTGGTTTCTACTTGACAGCCGCCCCTCAACTGGAGATCTTCCAGGATATCATCTGTAAAAACTACTACTCCAGAGTTGATGGATTCGATGAAGACCGTTGCAAGTCCGATGCGGTACAGAGCGAATTGGCCTTGATTGGCGGTTGGTTAGACACGTTTAATACACTTCCTAGTATGCCAATATTCTCATTATATCTAAGCCCGACAATGAAGCGCAGTGAACTGATCCCAATATCCTCAGGCGTTCTTTTATCCATTCCATATGGCGTTCTCGCAGATCACTGGGGGCGCAAGCCAGTCATGTTAATCGGGATGTTTGGCTTTCTGTTAGGAGATGCGTGGACCAGGGTCGTCTGTATGTCCATGGACTCTACTGCCCGGAACCCTACTAATTAGCAAGTTCACTGTTAATGTGCCATGATAACTCAGGTTTTTGGCCCAATCTCTTTCCACTACGACTAGTTTGGCTATCTGGTTTAGGGAGATTAATCGGTGGTGGTGACCAGGTTCTGTCATGCATTGCTCTTGTGATGCTTGCGGATGTCGTTTCCGAGGATGAAAGGTCCGTGACAATCATCATCCCTAAACAGCCAGCGTTGCCCTTTGCTTGCTGCTAATCGTCAAGCAGAGCAAATGTGCTATTCTACTTCAATGCCATGATGATTGCGTCGGAGGTCGTCGCCATTCCCGTCAGCGCGTATTTGATGACCACCAATCCATGGGTTCCGTACATACTCGGGTTTTTCATAGAAGTCGCCGGGGAATACTAATTTTTCTCTTGCCCGAGACTCTGGCAATTGTGAAGCAGAAAATGCAGATGGATTGCAATGCCAGGCAAGACAGAGACCATGGTGAATTTAGCACGATCGGAGAATCGACAGTAGCAGATATCGTTCTTGGTCAAATTCGCGACTTCAAAGAATCAATGCGGTCGATCTGGAGGAATACAAACGTCGTGCTGGTCCTCTTGGTATTTTTCGTCGCTAGCATCAGCAAACAGTCCACATCGCTGTTTCTGCAATACGTCTCGAAGAAGATGCATTGGAGTATTGCTCGCGTGCGTGACTCTCTAGTTTTTCATACTCTCATTCATCCATCTTCCATTGCTAACTCCTGAGCAGGCCAGTATGCTCATCACTGTTCGTGGGGTTGTTATCATAACTAATTTTATTATCCTGATGCCTCTTGTATCGTTCATCGTTACCAAATACTTCCATTTAGAAGCTACACGGAGGGACTACAGACTATCTCAGCAGAGCGGACTGCTCGCAACCCTCGGCTTCTTTGTCATAGCTGTAGCTACAGCCCCCTCTGTTCTGATCACCGGTCTTGTCATGCTTTCCGTGGGTAGCGCATTCGCTGTCACGTCGCGGAGCTTGGCCACATCCCTTGTTCCGCAAGATCTGGTCGGAACGCTGTACTCGGCCGCTTCCGTCATGCAGTCCCTGGGGGCTCTCGTCGCGGGACCGCTTTTCGCGTATACCTTCAAGTTTGGTATGCGTCTCGGGGAGGGATGGCTAGGACTGCCTTTCTTACAGGCAGGCTTCCTTTTCATACTTGCCGTTATCTCAGTTTCTTGCGTTCGACTGGAGTTGTCAAAACAGGCTGCTGTCGAAGATGGAAATCCGCAAGAGGATCCTCAGGAAGAAGCTTGTTTGAGGCGTAGCAGTGATTGCTAGTTTTGGATTCTTTTTGTCCAGGGACCAAAAAAGGAAGTAAACCGCATAACCACGTTTCTTGGAAGCACAGCGGTGTGTGTATTTGTTGTATACAGATTATCATCAAGGCTTCGAATCACAATGCAATGCAACAGAGCAATCAAACCGATGCGCCAATGGACTTTATCTGCAACCTTGTCGTCCAGGGGGCTCCCGACGGTGCACCTGCACAGCGCTGTAGATCAGCTCCCGCCCCGCAACCACACCGCAACGCTGTACAGCATCGTCGTCACTGCGGACTCGGGGATCATGCTGTTCAAGACTGTGATAGGTCTCCATACTCTTCAGTGTTGTGTCCGGCTTGAAACTCTATATAACACAGTGTGACCTCTGGTTGTTCCCTTATTGGATCTATGACCTGTGATCGACAGTTCCTGATGGTCTGCAGAGAAGAAAGATATCGACTCAATATGCCCGAAACAGTATCAGATATACTACGATGGGCAGATGTTTTTATCTCCGATCCCTTTACTATAAATGTCCCGGCGGATCCAGGAGTTGTCGTCTTTCTTATTTCACTCCGTTTAATTCCCAGTTAACCCATAGCTCACTTGAACCATGTCTCCTTCTATGCCCTCAATAAGCATCTCCATGCTTGCCCTAGGACTCATACCGTTCATCACGGGTGCCTTAGCAGACTTGTCTTCATGTCCATCGGATACACCGTTTAGCTGCCAAGGCAGTTCCTCCCGTCTTAAAGCCAGAGCCAGCGATAGCTGCTGCGTCAACTCTCCGGGAGGAATGCTCCTACAAACACAATTCTGGGATACAGACCCATCCACGGGTCCAGAAGACTCCTGGACCATCCATGGACTATGGTATATCTCACCTGATGTTCTCTAAGTACTCGGAATCCAATCTGATCTAAACAAAAATACAACAGGCCCGATAACTGCGACGGCACATACGAATCCTCCTGCGACTCTTCCCGAGCATACAAGAACATCACGGACATCCTGCAAGCACAAGATCGCACCCAACTGCTCTCCTACATGGACACATACTGGGTGGACATAAACGGCGACAACGAGCAATTCTGGTCCCACGAATGGAGCAAGCACGGGACGTGCATCAATACGATCGAACCCAGCTGTTACACCGACTACACGCCGCAGGAGGAGGTGGGCGATTTCTTCCAGAAGGTCGTCGATCTATTCAAGGGGCTAGATACGTATAAGGCGCTTGCGGATGCGGGCATCATGCCCGGTTCGGACGAGTACGATCTGTCTGATCTGGAGGATGCACTAGCTAAGATTCATGATGGGAAGAAGCCACAGCTTTCTTGTGAGAGTGGAGAGTTGAATCAGGTTTATTACTATTTTGTTGTGCAGGGGAATGCTATTGATGGGACTTATAAGGCCGTTGATTCTGGTGAGTTCTTTTTTGTCTCGTCCCCCCGCCCCCAAGTTATCTGTTGCTAATACAATGTGTTAGTGCAATCTTCCAATTGTCCCTCCTCTGGCATCACTTATGCAGCTAAGAGCGGCAGTGATGGGTACTCTAGGAGGTAATTCTACATCGAGGAAATGGCCAGCATATGATATCTACGAAATGTATATATCGTCTCTGCCATGTGAAGCATGCTTCTCTACTTACATAGATTGCTTGTCATCTTATCATGTTCTTCCTGGGTGTATATATCTGCTGTATCTGCCAGTGTATGAAAAAGATAATCACCACCAAATCCAATATTTTCCTGTATGTGCCATTATATAAACTGTTTCACCAGTATACAGGTAGACCTTGGTTCGACGTCTTGTCTCTTGCTTTTGCTTATCAGGACTGCAGAGATTTCCATCTATGGGATGCCAATCAGTCCGTCAATCAGAGTGGTATTATTCTCCACTTATGGGAGAGTTACGGACACAGTCGAATCTATTCAGACCCTCCAGGAATAGTGTCTTTCTCTGCTCATGCCGCTGTGCCAGTAGCAGGAGTTCACTCCTGCCTAAGTTGCGATGCCCGCAGCAAGCAGCTATTAAGGCTTGAGCACCCTCGAGGACTTTGGTTGGCCCTGACCGTTCGGCGTGGAAGGAGTTTCGTATTGGGGGGTTTCTGAGTGATCCGGCCATCGTGGCATTCCCAGCTTCGGTGGGGCTTGTCTACCGTTGGAATCACTATCGAGTTACCCATGTAGCATACCCGTTGCCATAACCATGCCTCTGACCAGACTTAAAGACGCAAGGGATAGAAACAAGCTCATGACCCTTTTAACCGCAAGTTTCTTCTCTCTTCCTCCCTCTTTGCCTCCACACGATCCAAAAAGTCCATGCGGTTAAGATATCCTTCCTTCGCCTTGCTGTGAACACGGAGCTCATCCTTGATACCAGCCTGGTCGACATAGGCAGCCCAATCAAGTCGCGATTTCTCAACGGTATTGATCTTCGGTCCTTTGGCATTTTCAGCACCAGCCTGTGCTGCGGCAGTCTGCTTCTCCCAGCTCTTCTTAATGGATCCAGTTGGGTTAGGGTCAAATCGCGAAATCTTGCGCAAAGGTCTCCGAAGCTTCAGAGCAGACTTAGCATTTGCAGCGCCCTCCACGTCCGCCGCAGTTACTATCTCGACGTCTTTCCCGCCGGCAAGGAATAGCTTTGCTTCTGCAGAATCTTTCGGGACAACTTTTTCTTCTGTGATGACATCGCCGGCGAATTTATATGTTCGTTTGATCTTGATCATTTCTTCCGGGTAGCTGGTTTGCTTCTCGGACTCTTTGGTTTGTGTCGAGTGCACCTCTGCAGTCTGCGATGCAACTTCTCCGTTCTTTTCCACTGCCTCCTGGACCTTTTCCTTCTCCTCTACCTTCGTATTTTGTGGGGGATGTAGCCCTAAACCCGTGGAAGGGGCGTTCATCATCTCCCATAATGCATCGACATCAACGGTAGCTCCTTCGATCTTAGCTAGGGGTTTGCGTTCTTCCGTCCTGTAGAGAATAAAAGGTCAGATAAAGGCAGCCATAAAGCAGACTAAAATATTCAAAACACTTACATCCTCATCCTCATGGCCCTGGTCTTCACAAACCCCCCAGCACCACCTTCAGCTTCATCCTTATCTTCATCAAAATCCATGTCATCCTCCTCCTCTTCATCATCATTATCGACCACCCCTCCCGCAGACTTCGTTCCCTTTCCCTTCCGCTTCTTCTTCCCCACCTCCGCCTTCCGAATCGTCGCCTCATCTCCAGAATCAAGAGCGTTCTCTTCGGAAGTTTTAGGGCCTGTCCTGCGCTTCTTTTTTGCTGGCTCCTCTGTTACTTGTTGTTCTTCTTCGGCATCGGAGGAGGACAGGTCGGAATCCTGCGCGTCGTCGGCTTCGGCTTCATCAAGTTGGAAGTCTTCGTCTTCGGCTGAGTCGTAGGGTTCGTCGAGGGGACCGTTATCCTCGACTAACGGAGGCATCTTTAGTACGAATATAGGTATCGCTTCCCACGAGCGAATTCGTAGACAAAGAATCAATGGGAATACAGGGTTAACCAGCGCAGGAAGTGCTAGATACACGATTCAGGCCTGGGGATTCTGCCGGGCTGGGCGGCGATTGTAGGTTATTAATTTTATATTATGTAATAAATGTAAAGTGCATAAGTTAGTCCAAACCCAGAAGACAGGTCAGCTCACCTCATAGTCAGGCCAACCGACCTGAAGTTGTCACCTTTGGAAGGATTCTAAGTCTAAACATGCGAAAACAGCTTTTTTTTCGGAGTTGGCCGGCCAATTGTAAGTCCCCGAAACTATAACCTCGTCTGCTAGATACAACCATATTCCAACATCTGCAGCCTGTCACCTCGTTCAAGTCCGGAACTAATCAATAATCTGTCTATCACTTAAAGGATCCATGACTTTCACTTCCAGAGTCTCTGACATGTCGCGATTTCGCCGCTTGGCCATTCTCTTCATAAACAGGTAACCCGCTGCTGCTGCAATGCCCATAACGACCTCCAGGCCGATAAGAGCGCATGTAAGCGCGAACCCGGCGCGACTCGCAGCACAATCACGGGCAAAATGCGCGGGTGCTTCGAGATATGTGTCATCGGAGTCAATATTCGATCCATCCAGGGGCCTCTTCCACTTGCATGTCCAGGACTGGAGGGTTTCGTTTTTGGTGAATCCGCTGGGGTATTTGGAGGAAGGGAGATAGATGCCAAACGCGACGCCTACCAAGGCCGTTATAAACCCAGAGAATGCATGCGCTGTAGCGAGGATGTTAAGAGCCTTTATATGCGAATTATGCTATTCCGGTTAGCACTGTGCAACATGAAGCTATCTACGAGAGAAGAACAGCGACAGTCGAAACAACTAACCGAAGGAAGAAGAGCAGCGACCACGTAGATCATACTTTGGAACACAATGATGCAGCCGCACGATAGGAGTCCGACTGTGGGGCGAAGATCGAAATTTAAAGGCCATAGAGACAACCAGACATGCTTATACGCAGAAGTGGCCATGTAATGCCTCAAAGGGGCGGCCTCACAGCCTATGACTGAAACAGCAACACTGAATATGATCAACGCAAGCACGAGTTGAGACCAATGAAGGATGCGCATGCGCTTCAGGTAAGTGGACTCATTGTCATCCGATGCAGAAGCATTGTACAAGCTTGGGACGGACAGTGTTGAGCTGCCGCTGGAAGTCATTGTATCAAAAGTGGAGGGTAAGGATAGTTATATAAAAGTGACAATATCTCCCGAACACGTTATGCCCGCAAAAAGAAGAATCCACCCGACAAGAGACCCAACCCAGAGAGAAACTGCCAGCTATATATATCGCGACAGGGCGGCACGTACGCAAATGAACCTGCCCAGAATAGATGCCCACTCATGCAGCTCACAAAGGACATATGAATGGTCACATACCCTTTTTCAGACGAAGCATTCCTTCAAGTGACAGAGGAGCCATTGAGCAGCCTCAACTGTTAACAGGCTATTCCCGTTTGATCCCTGAAACCGCAGTGGGAACTCTTCGAAGGAGTAGACGCTCTTGTCACACACCTCAAATAACCCAAGGTATCGGCATAGAGTCCTGTTTCTTCAGAAGAAACCGCACAAGCGCCGGGGATAATCCACGTGTGTGATCAGCAAATCAATCGAGAGACACGCTCGTCTTTTTCGCTTCCGCTTAAAGCTTTGGGGGTCTGATCTCAAGGTAGAACAAGATGGTGAATCATGATTCATCAGCCTAAGCGCTTCAACCAAGCTCGGCGGCTAAGCTGGGCATATCATATCAGGACGTTTCGTCTTTTTGTCACGGACAGCTTGGGGAGATTGCGAATATGCAAGAAACTCTTTCATCACAAACTTTCAAGATGAAGGACGTAATCATTTCAAACACTCCAGCCATTTCTACTTTCCCCTTCCCCAAAAGAGTCATCCAAGACGGGCAGCGTCATGATTACTCCGGAGCAAGAAACTCAAGCTGAGACTAACGGCGGCGCGTATATTCCGATCTCCTTCTTTTATTTCTGGCCCACATTTTTAAACGACTCGCCGCCAATGATATCCCCCATATCTGCAGAGAGATACTCTGCTCGATGCACGGAGAGTTGACAATGCGATGGAAGATATGTTCTGCGTATGCTCGGCTGACCCAGGAAAATCACTCCGTAAGGTCGGCCGACCGGACAATATTAATTAAGCGAGCTGACCTGCGCTCGTTTAACCACCTTGACCATGGCTGACCGGTCAGCTTGGCGAAAAACTCTCAGGTTTCTCAGAGATCAGGATACAAAAGTCGGTTGACCTAACTATTAGGCAAGACCTGTATATTCATGTTTTTTCCGTTCCGGTAGGTGACCGAACTTCGCCGGCCAACCCAAGGCGGTGACATATGGCAAACTCCATATTCACCGCCTTCTATAAACAGACTAATGTCACGTGTCTAATACACTCAGCCAATCATCATTATTAATGTTTTATGTAGTAAAAAATGTGCTTGATTCATCTTTCTCCAAACATTACGCTATACACATTCACCAGGTCTAATTGAGATTTAGACACTCCATCTCAGGATAAGAGTTTCATGCAGACATTACTGAGACCCTGCTTCAAGAGGAATTGGTCCAGTGGCAATTCAGTAGCCATGTCATTGTCCAAATTACAGGGAGTCAAACTCCCCGCCTCGGCCGATTTTCATGGTACGTTCGCATTAGAATGTTGCTTCGGATTTACGATATTCTATTTTATTATGTTGTATTGCATTTCATTCTACTCTGCTTTTAAAAACGAGTTTAGCTGACTCTATCAATGATGTGCAGTCCATCTCCGTGATGGGCCGATGATGGATCTTGTCGTGCCAACCATTAGGCAAGGAGGGGTGAACACTGTCTATGTCATGGTAAGGATCTGATTGATGAAGATTAGAAATTCGAAGATTCGCATAGCTCAGGTAATTTATAATTTTTGCTCTTATAATAATTATAGCCAAATCTGGTCCCGCCGATTACCACTGTCGAGCATGCTCTGGAGTATAAAAAGCGTCTACAAGCCATTGAACCGAAGGTGAACTATCTCATGTCCCTTTATCTTCACGAAAATGTGACTCCCGAGGTCATAATCGATGCCAAGAAACAAGGTATTGCCGGTGTCAAAAGCTACCCGGCTGGTGTGACCACGAATTCCTCTTCTGGGGTTGTCGATTATTCCCAGTTCTATCCTGTTTTCGAGGAAATGGAACGTCAGGGTCTAGTTTTGAACCTCCACGGTGAATGTCCCTCAAAAGGTGACATTACAGTCATGACCGCAGAAGAGCGGTTCCTGCCCATCCTTTTCCAACTCCATGAGCGCTTCCCTAAGCTTCGTATCATCCTAGAACACTGCACGACCGCTGCCGCAGTGGAAGCCGTTAAGAAGTGCGGGCCGACTGTCGCTGGCACGATTACTGCTCACCATCTGTCCATCATTATCGACAATTGGGCGGGAGACCCGTTCTGTTTCTGCAAGCCCGTTGCCAAGACGCCTGCAGACCGTGACGCGCTTCTGCTGGCAGCTGCTTCCGGCAATCCAAAGTTCTTCTTCGGCTCCGACAGTGCACCCCATCCTGCCAACTCCAAGCGCGGCGGTGACAAGATCGCGGCAGGTGTATTCACACAGCCATATGCAACCCAAATCGTCGTCGACGCATTCGAGCAGGCTTGCCAAAACGGCGTTTTGAACGCAGAAGACGTTACCCCAGAAATTCTTGAGGGCTTTTTGAGCAAATTTGGCCGAAAATTTTACGGCCTGGAAGGGGAGCAGAAGGAGCATATCACTCTCGAAAGGAAGGGTGAAAAGATCGCAAATATTCTCGAGTCACAAAGCTTGGACGTCGTTCCTTTCAGGAGGGACCAAGAGACTTGGACTGTCTCTTGGGTTTGAGCGTTCGTCGCATATTGTCATGAAAGATGCCACCATTTTTCAATTTTGAGTAAAAAGCTTAAGCTGTATTTCTTACTCTGGCTTTTTGTCGCCTGCTGTAAGCATGCCCGTCACAACCTCTAATGCTTGAGCCTCCGCAGCATCAATCTTTCTACCTACCACAAGGTAGTTTCCATCGCTGCCAACTGCCAATTGCCCGGCACGCTCCAGATGTAGTCTTATTCTGCTCTCGATATATTCCTTTCTCTCATCCCTTTTGGAACTAACGTCCATCTCATCTGTTGATTTGGGCAATGTTTGCAATTTCGGCCGGAGCTGCCTGAGCGTCGCCTGTAGCACAGGAAGCTGTGATAAGATGAACGTCGCGTTAGTCGTAAGGGGTGTATGTTTCGCATTAGATCCCGCAGCGACGCCAACCCGTAACTGCTGCGCAGAAGGACTGGAGGTCAAAAACGACAAGTTAAGATCACCGGTGCTAGTTTCTGACTTGACATCTCCCTCTCCCTCTGCAGATTTCGAAGCTTGAACAGCAGATATTATAGACCTTAGTTGAGATATAACGGCTTCATTCCGGGCGTATTCTTGCTTCAGCGACCTATTCAATTTCCTCGCCTCATTCAGCTTCTTGCGCCACGTTTGGACTGTTTCCGGTGTTGGCATATCTGAAGTGTCGAAGGAGATATCCTATGAATTGAAAGGAAATCATTAGCTTCCATCCCAAGGTAGTCTCTCCTAAGCATCGAGTATCCCTGAGCAACTCCAAAATGGAATGAGAATCCTACCTCGTAATGCTTCAGTCTTATCCACCCCAACAGGTCCTCCGGCACGGTGAGGATGTTTCTGAGCACATAGATCTCAAATTTATCAAACGCCTTATCAACCGTCGCCTCTAGGAGTGTCTCTAGCTGATGCAATCCATTCTCAATCTCAAGTTTCGCTTCGGGATAGACGACATTGCCGTCCTCATCGGTGTCCGGAATGGTAGAACCATTACTGGCATGGGCAAAGCCTAGGCGTTCTGGAGGGGTAGATATGAGGCCCGTTTCGAGACTGGAGATGGCTTGGTAGATTAGGTTGTTGACAGAGTTGATAATGTCGTCTATCAGGGACTGATTGAAGTCGTCAGTTTTCGGAGGCGGAAGTCTATCTTATAGGAGAGGAAATCACTGACCAAGGGAGTGTAACTGAAGTGCTCAGTGAGCAAAGAGGTAGTCACATCGTTCATCGTGGTATAACTTTTTTAAATAAGACGTTCATACCAGGAGGGGCTGGTGCTGTGTTGTGTTAAGGTAATGTCTTGTGACGCGCGACGAGATGCGTCCAACGAAGACTTGCAGAGATTTGTGTTCCCTTTACCGTCCCACGTCAAGTCGATCCAGTGTTGAGAACTTTAGGTATATGCAATTTAAGGAGTATCGCGGAATCAGTAGATGACAAAAATTGGTGAGGAACAAGAATGAGAACAGAGCCAGCAAGATGGGCAAAAAAAAGAAAGTGAAAAAAATTGAATGACCAGTGCCAGGTTCGATCTGGCGACCTCATCGGTGTTAACGATGCGTGATAACCAACTACACCAACCGGCCAATTATTGAATATATTTTTCTTCTCAAAATTATTAGGGTAATTACTTCATGTATGATCGGCAGAACCCGTGTCGCGCGTTCTCCCATTGACTGCTTTAGCAAAGATAGTCTCCAAACTTTCAACAACAGCATCTTTAAACAGCTCTTGTCTTCTGGGCTGTGTAATCCTACTTGGTTCTCTAGAACTCTAAAAATGCCTCCCGAACGCCGGCAACCGCAGAAAAACAGACGTCTTCCATTCAATCCTCCGCGTCCTAGAACATCCACTGCCAGCGTTGGACCTTCAACCACACCTAAATCTAATACGAAGGGCAAAGGTTATGCGGGAAAAGGATCAGCCTCGGTTTCCAAAGCCGGTACATCTCGCAAATCGACAGTCTCGCGTCAGAGGTCTCCATCCGTGGAAGCATCATCAGTCTCAAGTTCAGTGTTAGAATCAGTGTCGGAGTCCACAACTCGCCGTTCCCGAGAGAACTCTCTTTCCTCCGAAGAACCAAACTATATGCTCGCTGAGATTATCACTGATAACAGAGAAGATGTGGATGTGATGTCGAGCGAGCCTACCATTCCCCCAAAACTACTGACAAGGCTGCTACATCATCATTTCCAGAATGAGAAGACCAAGATTGGCAAGGATGCGAATGAGGTCGTGGCTAAGTACGTGGACATCTTTGTGAGAGAGGCCTTGGCAAGAGCTGCGTATGAAAGGAGTGAGAGCGAGGGTGGCGTGGGTGCAAATGGGAAAAGGGCGGTTGGAGATGGGTTCTTGGAGGTATGGTTGCCCTTTTTCTTTTTTCTGGCTCACCGCGAGGAAACTTACAAATAACATGGTTGGTTACTATGAATCAGGTTGAAGATCTCGAGAAAATGGCTCCGCAGCTGGTTTTGGATTTCTGATTCCGGTCTAGCTTAAACCGGCATGATACCAATCGTGATTCTTGGAGTTACAAAGAGCTATTACTCTATGAACGCTTTTTTTCTGCGACTCCGTGGAGCCAAATCTATGCCATACCTTGAACATATCGTCAAGGCCGGCTGTTTACATGCTGCGTATATATGAATCCGCTTGTGTTAAGCTTTGGGGTTGTACCCACCCATTTCTTCCCTTTCGGACTCGACAACTTTAACGAGTATGCTCGGGGCCTTCTCGGTGAGTAGTCTGTTAGAGTTATATCCAAGGGTCCATCAGTTTGCTAATTTTGTCCTCTTGGCTATATGGAACCTAATGCTCTAGCTTTGATAGTGTGGTCCTTACATGTAAGAACCTACGGTGTCCTGCAACAGAAAACTAGGATATCACTTCGATGACCCCATTGTTTACAAGAATGTTGATGCTTACAGCGAAGTCGGCGACTGGCTGTGTGGTGACCCCAAGCTGGGAAATATGAACCAGGTCAACGAAGTGCGACCGGTAATATAGATGGGTACTTTCTATCTGTGATGTTGAATGCGGTTCTCTTTCCTGAATATTGTTACATCCTGTCAAAATCAAAGAAGCGAGCTTTGATCATGCAACCGATTGCTACCAAAGTGCTTTGATCTGTGAAGGCCACATTTCTTATGGCGTGTATGGATAAGGAGAGCCAGTCGTCTTGGTTCACGGGACGCCTTCATCGTCTCATTTGGTGCGACATAGCTCAACCTAGTCGCTGCTGGCTATCGAGTGTTTAGGCAAGGAGTGAGGAGGCCCGCCACTTGTTTGTCGATGCGTTTATATCAGGGCAAGTACTCATCTTAAAAAGCAGACACGTTGGAAGTTAGGTGCAGTCCACATTGTTGACAACTGTGGTGGCATTGCACTGCGCTTCTACAGAGCGAGTCTAACGCTTGTTGATACGGTAAACTTGGATAGCTATACTTCGAATACAATGTACTTTTTGATTACTTCTTGGCTCCATGTACCATATGTGGCTCGGGACTTTCTCGAGACATTTACTCCACCTTTTTACAGATCGAAAATTCGCCTGGAACTTCATGGGTCTCACAGATAGGATAGGTGGGGATTTACCAGTCCTGTGATTCGTTCTACTCGTGGGTATATTGCACATCAAGCAAAAAGGCTTGGGTGTGGGAATAAAAGATTTAGTGTGAAAGATAAGATTGAGTGAGGGCTTTTTAAAAAAAAATGACCGATGCCAGGTTCGAACTGGCGACCTCATCGGTGTGAGCGATGCGTGATAACCAACTACACCAACCGGCCATTGCTTGTTGAATAGTGTTTCTTCCTAGTGTTTGAAAATGAGTTGCTTATGGGATCTGCTCGTCTTTATCTTTTACTCGACATGTGGTTGATTTTATCCATCTTCATTACTTGTATAATACGTGTAGAATATTTTCTTTAATATGCTATTTTCATAAAGCAGGCTCGCCTATGTCAAATATATGCCATTCGCTATAGGCTGGACTGGTATGTAGTGTATGTATATATATATATAATGAAAGGTTCCCGATAAAGCCCATTGTTATCCATGGCATGAAACAGTGTCACAACGAAGTATGGATAACTACTGTATTCCCCTGCGACCGATGAAAAAGGAACTGTAAAGGGGGGCGTACGTGCGTTGTTCCCTGCGACAGGAACCGGGTTGTGATCGAGGAGTCTCAGGAATGGATATACCAAGGCGATGCCGCTATACCACACGGCACCGAACGATCTTAGCAAGAAAACGATATAACGATAAAAGGAAACACAACGACGAAGGAGTCTCGCTCCGCTCTGTACAATGACAACGACACTAGTGAAGCAACCTAGAAACCAAAAGAATGCTCTATTTCTCGTAACTATCTGGGAGGGAACCCTCCATTAAGTACTCCGGCCGCGGGCTCCACCATACATTAGTATGTCGGAGTCCGCGGTTCTACAGTTTTCCAAGATAGGAAATATGGGAGATCCGGGGTTTCACAGTGCCCCCGGCACAGAACTACAACCCAAGTTGGCAATGTAGACCAATAGACATGGAAGAAGACGCAGCCACAACCACCAGACGTGAATAGACCCAGTGCATGCGACTTAACAGCAAATGATACCCCCTTGCAGGCCGCGATGATTGTAGAACCCAAGAGGACCTGAATCGCAGGGAAGGGCACAGAGTATTGACATCATCCCAACGATATCCAGATTGCCAGCCGATACAGACGCCAGAGATATGCAACAGGCGTCACCGTAGAACGCAAAAAAGCCTACGAGCGAATAGATGGTAATAACCCGTAGCTAGAGAACAAGATCAAAGCACCCAGACGGCAAGAGGAACGGCAAGGGCCCCCGAGGGAGTTAGGTTCTAGGCAGATTGAGATTAGTATCTTTTTCATCTCACCCCAAACGAACGGCCTAACCCAGTCAAAGGATGCCCATAGAGTAAAAGAAGATGAATGTCGGTTAAACCCAAAACCATCATTGAAACCCGAATGCTTACTAGACATTATATTCATAGGGTACGGACCACGATCATAAACTTATACAGTATACCTAATTCTACAAAGGAGTTTTATCTTCATAAAGCTAGAGTAAGAATATCAGCCAACAATTGGCCGGTTGGTGTAGTTGGTTATCACGCATCGTTAACACCGATGAGGTCGCCAGATCGAGCCTGGCACTGGTCATTTCTTTTTTTGACCTAAAAGAACCTTTTAATTAAACATTATTTATTTTCTTTTTTAATTTTATACTATCGCCGGCTAACCACAGATTGTCATCCATTTGCTTAGTGCTCACACCGTACACCAGAAAGTCGTCCAGTGATCGGTCTTATTACATGCATCTCACGGAGTTGTCGGGTTAAATATTCTTCTCCACCACCAAGATCCGTAGTCATGACCCTTTTGCTCCTCACCATTCATCTTTTCCCCTGTCTCGTCCCCCAGCTCCAGCTTCAAGACCGGCAGCAGCCTTCACTTCCCTCGTCTCTTCTTTCCTCGCCTCCTCAGCTCGATTCCCCTCTCTCAGACGATGACCCCATTTGAGCACCGTCCACAGAACGCACCAAATAAGATCCATAGGAACGCAATAACAGTTGCAGTCCAGCTGATCCCAAGGCGATCAATCATCGGCGTTGCTACTGCTACCGCACCAGCTCCCATCAAACTGAAATAGATTGTTGGCAGCTACTGCCAGAAAGAGGCGAGAGATGGGCCGCAAATGATGAGATTAGCATATAGAAGATCTTCTCGTGTTCCTGGAGCATGCAATACGGCGGTACGTGTTCCGAGTTCGTCGTCACTTTAACCGTGCCAGGGATAGGATCCGAACTGTCAACAGGGTCATCTTTGGTGCCACTTTCGCCTTGTCTCGACATATTATTGCCAGCATCAACTCCATCATGCAGACGCCCAATGCCATCATCGACACTTGCCTCGGACAATTATCGGAAGTCATGATATTATTGTTGATCCAGGGGTCTAGATACACCGATGTTATTCACGGCTGATTGGGAGTAAATAGACACCACCGATTTCTCGTAGAACCTCCAGCACGAGTATAGCAGGATGCAGATTGATATCGTTGGCCACTATACAGACCTTATCTACTTTAGTTGAAGATAAACACTGCCCTGGCTAAATGTGCCTGAGATAGAGTGATGGTCTAAGAATCGATACACACTTGAACTTCAAGAGCATTCGTAACATCTCACATTATTCAAGCTTTTTCTTAAATCCACCCAGTAACTCATACAGAAGCAACCAACAAGTTAAGGAAGAAGAGAGAAAAAGGAAGAGCATCAGTTGACAACAGTCACCGTCAAACCCTCCTCAACCAACACCTTCCTAGACAACTCCCAAGGAACCGCAAACAAGCCCGAATTAAATCGACACGACCAGAGCCCACTGGGCATTCCTAAACCCTCATCTTCATCTTTACAATTATAATCCTTATTACCAGCTTCATCATGATTATGACTATGGTTATCGCCTCCCTTGCTTTCATTTCCCTCCCCCAACAGAGCAAGCTGTTCTTTCATATCCCTCACTGCGAGAAGAGTATTATGCAAGATAACCCCAGGAGAACTGCGTCGTCTCCCAAATCCACCAGAGGTGAATAAACATATAATCCAATGTTTCTTGCCGCCGTTGTTGTCGCTGTTATTCTCATAATCTCCTCTCTGGGGAGGGATGATGAGTGCCGTTCCCTCTGGCGCTCTGATGGCTCTGGTATTACTGCTGGTGTCAGAATTATCGTCATCACTATCATCATTACTTTTTAATTCAAGGATTTCTTCCACTTCGTTTAATGTCGATGTGGATGTTGATACTGTTTTGTATTGTGGGTTGGTTAAGTGTGTCTCACAATGGGATCGGTAGATCTCGAATGCGGCAGGATACTGGTCAGAGCAGTGTGGTCAAGTCAGTCAGTAACTGGTAACAAGAATCATGAGAGATACTGTCATATTGAATAGTATGACTTCTAAGAGTGTTGACAGTGGCATCCTTCGATGCTCTACATACGCGTGTCTTGATGGCTTCGGCAACCCCCTTCCCCCAAACACCTTGAGAATTGCAAGCATCTGAAATTTCTCCAAGAATGTCAGATACATCGATACTTACAATGGCTTGCAGGTTATTACTTACGAATCAGTGCTGCTCCGCTTGGCGCGTCGAATAAATCACCTTCCCTTTCCACCACTCCAGAGAGGTCTCGCGTGGAGCTCATCCTTGGCAGTTTATCTGCTTGTCGATTTTGATAGCTTAGGGAGACTTAATGATATAAAGATCTATACTGTACCAATTGTCAAAAACGATCAATTTCAAAGCTCAAAACGAGCGCTTCCTTTGATGGCTATCGTTGTGGGGAGGGTTGGGGTAAATACAGGACTAGCTATTCATTCACTAAGGATACAGTTTAAAATGGATGGAGCCATGAGCAAGTAGTAACCATGCTGTTCGACTCTTCAAGCGGCATCTTCCACGGAAGATCCAACTAACAGTCCCTTTCTCAACTTGGGCAAAATCTCTGAACTCCCTGTCCAACAGGGGAATCCAACAGGGTAAAAACAGAATCCAATCATGACAGGTCACTCAAATTACCAAGATCTGCCAGTTGACGAGAAATGAAACGACGTACACTTTTGCTCTTTTTGACTCGTCCAGGATTCTCTTCTGCATTCGAAGTCTCACCGGGCCCAACGTTTTCTTCGACGGTCGCCCCCAATCCTCTTTGAGTATCCGCTGGATTATCCCACGATGCTGTCGTCGCGGTGGACAGCGGTGCACTCTGCGCACTGCTAGACTTTAGCCTTCTGCTCATGGAACGGGAGATAGTCCTTAGAATTCCAGGATTCTGATCAGGTAGGGGATTCTCGTCCATAAAAGTGGTATTATTGGTTGCCAGGTTTTCCCCGGGGACTGGAAGGTAGATGATGACTCCACGTTCAGGTGGAATGTAAAATCGCTCCTGTAGCGCGGATTGGACCAGGGTGGTATTACGCCGGTTTGTCATTGGGGCTATATAATCAGGAAGCGCAAAAATTTTCATCAAATACGCCAGATCCGTTGAGTTTCCAAACTGAATGAATGCGTCCTGCTGAATAGTAACCATGACAGAATGTTCCGGTCGTTGGAAGATCTGAGCCAGATAAGATGAAAGGTTCGAAAGATGAGATTCAACATCCCTGATCTGAAAATTGGAATAAGTATACCAGACAATATCAGATTTCCGTAACCTTGGGATGCTACATACTTTCGTGTTCAACTTGATCTCGAAAACGGTGACAGAGTCTGGTCCCTCCTGGAGCTGCGGCGGATTCTGCTGTTCACGAGGACAAAACGCATTCTTAAAATACTGGCTTATAATACTTCTCGTAGAGATATCCCCTTCCAGGACGCCCGTCTGTGGGACATGAGCCGGTTTAGCTTCGACCGGAGCACAGCGCCTCAAGTTGCAGGATATGCGGTCATCCTCATAATCCGCGTCTTCTGGGAACATGGGCGGCATGTCAACGAAGTGATCGGATTTGATTCTCTGCCTTAGTGTTGCCTTTGCTATGTTTGCTATGGACGTATGATACGCTGCGGGAGACTGGAGACTCGGGGCCGGAGGCGAGGAGTTGTCCGACGAGGATGAAAGGTTCTGCCTTCTTCTCCAGAGAGAGAAATCCATCTCCACAGACTCGATAACAGTCAGCGTAAATTTCCCAAGAGCCACATAGACCCTACTCACCAAGGGAAATGAGAAAAGTCAAGCAGCCTGCAGTGGTTGTCTGTCGGTGCAGTTAGATAGAGAGCTGGGCTGCATCATGGAACTGCATGACTTCCTGGGCTGGGAGTCGCCTTCCTTTGTAGGAAGCATCGATGGAGAGTGCCTGGATTGGGAAAGAACGAATATGCATTTGAAGGAGGAATGAACATGGCTTCCATACCCAGAAGCAACAAGAAAGACAGGATAATAAAGGGAGAGAAAAGGCAGCATCAATGAAACCATGACAACTCCGTATAAGCAGAATTCCCACTGTTGAAAATCTTGTCGATTCTCCTCCTTCTATCCCACACAACCTCTCCAGCCCCTCCATTACCGCTTGAACGCATGATATAGAGAATGCGATGCAGGGGAATAAATTCCTCATCTGTGATATCTTTCTTCCACGCGCTCAGAGGGATCTCCTGGTCACCGTTAAACCTGTCTAGGTATCCGACCACGTAGTTATCAATGTCAAATTGCTCATCCCATACAATGCGATTTATCACGTCTGCATCCAGGTTGTTAATAAGATATTTGTTTTCCTGATAATTTAGCGATTCCAGTACCTTCAGCTGTTCGAAGCTTATTCCCCTTTTCCAAGTCCGCTGAATATGGAGGGGGAGACAGCCTGGGTTCTGGTTCTTTATTCTGAGATCGCCTAGCAAGAGGAGGACTGGGAGATTTGGAATCGTCTCGCTGCGATGGTGAAGCAGGGGGCAATGGAGATACTTCTTCGTGGCTGAATTCCATAGATTCCAGGAGAGAGGGATCGTCCAATTCTTCAGTAGCAGCGCGATTCGCAGCCATGATCACAAAATACAAGCAATCCCACGAGATAGAAATAATGGTAAATGATAATGATATTTGATGGATTCAGGAGGCTCGTCTACAGTAGCATAAATCGGACAGAGCATCGGTATTTATAACTGCCATCTTGAAGATAGTCTGCTGCAGGATCGACAATAATCCCAGTTCTGTCGGAGGGATGACTCCAACTGAATCCAAATAGGCAGACATAGCATGATAGGCGTGAGATACATTGCTATATACATTGTGCCTGCATCGATTCCAAGGAGGCTTGTAGCAACACAGTCAGACCTGAAGGTGGCTGAGATTCACAATCGACAGCATTGCAGGCAGAAGCGATCACTACCTGGAAGTGACTCATTGCTATTGAGTCAGTAATAACAACACGGCATTAACGTAACCGATAAGCGAGTCTGACACGCGTTTTGGTCATACCCGAAAGTTTGAGACAGCTTAACCTCCCATCATGCCACCAAAAGCCCATAAAAATCCCAAATATTCAGCTGAAAAGGAAGGCAGAATCCTACTTGCAATATCAGCCATAAGGAAAGGCAATATCTCAAATACTCGTGAAGCAGTCTGTGATCTTAATGTGCCTCTGTAAGCACCAGGTGCAGCCGTCCCCCATAAGGGCAGTGTCTTACAGGGTTCCTCAGTGCGTACTTAAGCAAGGTGGATTCTAGTTAACTAGTTATCCGCTGAGCGCGGATAGTGCTGGTCTTTTTGGCCTTGTGGGGAAGTGTAGGTGATCCAGCTACATCCCTTACAATAGCTGAATAGCATTCTCTATTCTTTCTAGATTTAAGCGTCATGATGGTGTCCGACTCGCTTACTGGTTACGTTATTTAACTAGCCTATCAGATATCGTAATCAAATCAGCCATGATGAATTTCTGGATGTCACCTGTGGGACAGTCCGTTCGCACCATGTCTTAACTGCCCAAGCCAACAATGAAATAATTGGCTCTCATGCGAAGTTGACATTCTTGAGCCCAGCGCATACTGGAACGCGATGAGGATATTCCACCTGCAGGAAGCCTGAGCTATTTTTTATAACCGCCAGATTGCATACTCAAATGGCCTGGTTTACGTAGTCTCAGCGTACGGCGCAGATTCAACTACCATAGACCGGGATTGAGTGGACATGAACGGCTCTGGCTAACCATCATTGTCAGTCCCTGGTGGCTATCAAGGTTGCTCAGTAAAGACCATGTATGCCGTATTTGGGTTATAAAAGAACGCATCTTTCTATTTGAATTTGAAGCCATAAACAGCTCAAGTTAAATTTCTTACTCTGTTACTGAACATACAAGCCTACATATCGACCAAAAAAGCAAAATGGCCCAGGAACTTGTATTGGGGAGTGATGATGGCTGATTTTGGTATATCCTGGATAGCCGGATTTGTCTCGGTCTTGCTTGTTGTATTTTGGCTCCCTTGACTATCTGTACTAGTGGACTTGTCACTTATTTACACTTACGCAAAGTTCAATCTTGGTACCCTAGGTCTGTGTCTAAGGAACCCTCTTGTAAAGTTGTACCCATCTCTTGAAAGTCTTCGGCAGGCGTCTTCTATAGACGAAGGCGGCTTTTATCCGGTACAAGGTCAATTTAGACAGCACCGATCGCCATGGTGTATTCCGAGAAGACCTCAAACTCCTGCAGTCGTGGATATAGAAATTTGTCAATCCAGTCCCGACGCCATTCATCCTCGTACCAGCAGGTGTAGAGAGCTTTGCAGTACTCCCAATAATCTGGATACCAGCCTGCCTGACCCCAGTCGACGATGGCAATGACTCGAAAGGGCGCGGTCGAAGATATCATAATGTTACCTCGGTGAAGGTCGGCGTGTGTGAATTTGATGTCTCCGTCATCAGGCAAGAGGTCCCTATAGGGATCTTTATATTTGAGGGACGCCGGAAGCCGCGATTGGGGCAAGGAGGAGAACCAATCGTTAAATTCCTTTATGTTTGGGAATGGCCCGGCTTCTGTTAGTGACTGGAAGACGTAATCGGGAACTTTTTGGCGGTTGATAGATCCTAAAAAGACAAATTCATACCAGCAATGAATTTACGTCCACATAGGTCAGGGCGTACCAATGTACTTGCCGAACTTTGGGCTAAGTTGACGTAGAGATCTAATGATTTCGTATAACTGATTGCACATTACTTCTTTGTCTGCGCTGTGAAGATCATCCCATCGACCAAGTAACGTCTGTCCTTCTATGAGCTGTATATAAATGAATACGTAGCCCTCGTCGTCTACACGCCATCCGAAAAGTTCAGGAACCGGCACAGTGCCTTGAAAGGCCCGCTGAACCATCCAAAGGCACTGCGCTTCTGCAACAGTAACGTAGCGACCAAACTTGACGAAGATATTTGGGTTTCTGAAGATAATAGGTTTTGGTTGAGCGCTCGTGCATATATCTGTTGACAGGGCCCGGACTTGTGCTGGCGTCGGCAGCCGCTGGCCGGGAGTCTTGAAGAAAGTTGAGTCCAGAAAGTCCATCTCCAGCTTTGTGCCATCAGGAGGCTGCGGGGCAAGAAACAAGCGAGTCTCCGTCATATTGATCGATGAAGGTGCAAGCGTGGGAATGCAGGGGGACAGGGGGAGGGGGAAGAAGGCGCCTTTGTCTGGGGCACTCTGGGGCACAGCCTCACCCATTGATAGCTGACGGCCAACCAGCCACAGAGTAATCCACTAGCCGGATGCGGACAGAGTATAGAAAGGTTCGGTCGATGTTTCATTGGTGATTCTGGTTCTTGGTGTTGGGCAATTTCTCAGCAAGTTTATCATTTGTGGCAGCCTGCTCGCCTAGCTAGATCAACCAACTCAGCGAGTTTGACCCCCTCCGACATTAAATAGTAATCAAATCAAATCAAATCAGTCACTGCATCAAACCATCCCAAAGCACACAGCACAAGTTCGACATAGCCGCAGAGAAAGAGAGAGGCCATGGCAACTACGACAAACCAGGGGGTGGAGGAAGAAGCTTTCATCCAAGTCAACACCCTGCTCCTCAATGAGCTGAAAGCGAAAGTCAAAGCACCCCCTCTCAAGATATGACTGACTTGCTTGTGCACAAGGCCAAAACCTATCCTATACTATGGAAAGTGTTTCATGACTTGTCAGTGCAGTCCACAACTAAAAGTTTTAATCACTCTGATGCTATGATGCTGTTGATGAAAGGGATAAATTCTGGGTTGTAACTAATGCCGTGATTGTATGGCCATTAAGTGTGATAGTGAAATAGGGGGCACTGAAGGATTCTGATAGAGGAGTATCTGCCATTATCAAGGGTCTTAATAGATTGGTGACCACAAGTGAGGTTATTTGGCACCTTGGGTCAACTGTAGTGCTGGGTCTCAATTCTACACTAATAATGAAAGTCAGTAATGATATTGATTTACATGTTAGGTCACCGCAGGGCTCCGAGACTTGGAGCGCCAGCGATTAGTTCTCATACAATAAGACCCCTAAGGGCTGCGCCACGAGTTCCTGACCTTAGCACGCTACTCGCATAATCCCTAGATCCGCCTACGTTCCGTAGCGCAGGTCTAAAATTACAGCACCTTCTCACTCTAGACTATATCAAGCAGCATGCACTGTGTGTTCTGATCCTAAATATACATAGCATCCTTCAGCAGCCAAACAGCAAGCATATCTTCTTGCTTATGTTGTGAGCACCTGGCAAGCCAATGGATTTGAAGTGGAAATCCCTAAGCAAGGACAAAAAAGCTTCAATTAAGGGGCAGTTGGATGCAATTATTGGTGACTTTTGATTCTTGCCTGTGCCAGCCAACCATGAGGCTCTAGCTATGCTTGGTGGTGGCAGCCCTCACTAATACAAAGATATAAGACAACAAGTCTAGGTTGCCCTAGGGCCCATCAGCAGTGAAACAGGGTTTAATAAGTTCCTTACCTTCAACCCTCAGTGGACTCAGTCTAGCACCATTGCTATGATTCAGTCCTACCTTAAGGATAACTAGTTTTGGCGCATGGTGATCTTCACCCTCGAAATATCATGGTGGCACCAGGCGCTCGGAACTGGAGAGAACATGATGGTCGAGGGGAGCTACTTTTGGCTCCCCCTCCCAGAGCGTGGGCGTCTAGGCATGAGAGAGATTGAGGAAGGATACTGAGGGTGAGCAATGCAACTTCACCGCACTAGCGTCAGGAACCAAAAGAAAGCGTGGCCTTGCGTGGAAATTGGGCTCGTGGCCGTGCAAGTTGATTCACGTGCCGCCAAGACGGCATGTTGGTTAGAGAGACGCCAAAAACGGCGTCAAGTGCTGCCGTTTTCTGCCGTATTTAAAGCCAGAAAAAAAAAAAAAGCACCTTTCTAGAATTACTTTACATATTTTACCTTATTTATATTTTATATGGGATACAGAGGTGTCCGGGTGGTGGATTACTTGGTTAACTATGCATATTTAACATCTAAATACACAAGATCTTGATAACCTCAAGAGATTGAATGAATTGTATTAGCCTTGCAGCTCATGATCTGTATTCGTTAACACATTTATGGCCACCACATATATAAGATGGAAGCACCAATACCATTTTAAGTCAACATTGACCCAAAAAAGAAACCAAAGACGCTTGCTGTCGTAATCCCTAGTAGTAACCGGCCTCCTCTTTAAATCGGTTATCCTTACCGAACAACCCGTCTCCAAGATTTTGGACGCACTCCTCCTTCCAGTTCTTAGGTGTGAACTTGTCCACTATTCCTTTGAAAGCTTCTAGGGTGCAAAAAGTCTCGTCGCCAGGCAGATGGTTCTCAGGTTTCGCCGCACAGCCGGGAATACGGACAGGTTTGTCATTGTACCTGACGCGTACATAGTGATTCTTTAGTCCTTTCCTTGCTGATTCGGGGAGGGAATCAAGAGGGATACGTGCAACGTCGGACGGATTCTGTCTTGTTGAAGAGGGCGAGGAGCCCCCCAAAAATGACAGGAAGCCCGTCTTCTTGGGTGTTTCGTCGACGGCTCTGGCGCCTTCGCCTGCTTTAGAGAACAGCTCGATGGCTATCGATGAGGTAAAAGGGGGCCACTTTTCGCCTTTGAACCCGCCAACGCTATTGAGAATTGCCGCCAGAGTGGTATCATGGCAGCCGCTGAGAGCAAATCTGATTGCCTTGCCATTCTTCAATGATCCTGGGGCTATAGTTTCACTGAACCAGCCTCCGGTGGTGGCTGCACTAACCATATTGTCGACAACATCTCCCAGAAGAGCGCCGATACCGAGTCTCCTGTACTCATTGGTCTCTTGGTACCCGGCGAACCATTCGTCCACGGCGATCTTATCCATGATCGCTCTCCCTTTCTTATCGTAGAACTCGACAGGAAGCTTGGTACCTGGTCCGTGGGCATCCGTTGCATTGACCGTATCCATTATTCCAGAAAGGCGAGGTTTGGAATCTACAGCAATCCTGGGTGAGTAAGCAGGCATCCATTTCGACCAAATGCTGTTCAAATATTCCATCTCCTCGGTTTCGTTCCCTGTCAATCAGGTATATTAGTCCTCGTTCCTCATTATCACTTCAGCGTATACGCTGGGGAAAGGCTCACGCACACCGATCAGCTGCTCGCTGTGCAAAGAGCCTAGCCAGTTGTCTGAAACGAGGACAGCTTCCTTCGTTAGGAAACAGTGTCTCGTCGGACACAGAGCGCCCGACGATTACTGGGGGAGGAAGATTGACAGTGCGAGAATCGGCAGGATACATTCCCCAGAAAACTTGCTGGAGTGACTCGAGCGCTCGGGGAACTGCAGTGGTACGGAGATAAATGTCATCCGTGTCAGATTTGACCTTGGGCATGAATCCAAGTTGGTCGACGTAGAGATGCCTCAGTCGCTGACCCAGAGCGAATGTCGTTTCCCGTCCTCGGTCTGTCAGCTCGCCGTGATGGCTTTCCAACCAGTTAGTCCACAAAAGGTCTTTTATTTTCATCAGATATTGTTGAGCCAACTTGCCAGATACCCTCCATATCCCCTCCTGGACCCAGTGCGACCACCGGCTCATCTCTCTGGCCAAAGGTTTCCATCCTCCTTCGCCATTGAAAGTTGTCCCATGTCCCGAGATCCTGCCTGCTGGCTGCCATTTGGACCATCCGGGTAGCTACCTTGCAGTAAGGCCAATCTTGCGGGAAGAAAAGTCAGTGACCAGTCGTCGAGAAAATCAAAGGCGATCCGATATGATATTTACACGGGGAAAGGCCTGTCTTCACGATATTAGCATGGGAAAGATCCATTGACCAGTTGAAACGAGAGCCTGTCCCATACATTCTGAAACCGTGACGAGACAGGCGTTCGTTCACCTAGGAATCGATCAGCGGACGGAATGGCAGAAGAACTACCGAAAGAGGCTCTAACCATGGCGGAGAAACTGCGCGAAGAACCAATTATTAGTGCTTCCCAATCCTGTCAACAATAGCTAAACAGCAACAGTAACATACCACCTGAACCAATTGCAGCTGCAGTCCCTTGGGATAGAGCCGCTCGAGCTCCTCCTGGGAGTATGGCTCACGAGGGACGAGGGTCGTCATTAGGAAGATAAATTGACCATTGAAAGACCCAACAGGATCTTATTACCATTGACAGGACAACCTTGGGGGGATGCTCCTGAGAAAGCACTGAGGGACCTTCTGGATCGCGGTTATAAATGCCAGGGCGGTGAGCCAGCGCTATCTGCCGTGGCATGACGGAATCGCGCATTAATATTCTGCATTATTTTCCAGCCAGCCTTGCTGCTCAAGGGAATGATTATGCATTTTATCCTAATTTGCCGAGTGAGGAAGTGGTGCAGCTTATGTTTCATTCAAACTATGTGGCTGTATCTAAACGTATCCCTAGATATCAGATTCAAGTCGGATCAATGACAGCAATCCGTTGATCTCTCCCCACTCGAATCCCTTTCCTTTCATACTATCTATTCGGTACGGGCAATAATAATATCCAATGGACCCGCTTATGTGCTCACCAAGAAGTCTGGCCGGTTTAAGAACACCGGTTATTCAAACGTTCCCTATCACCGTTGGGTCAATAGCGTATTCTGACCCCCGCACATTCTCTATTGAAGTTTGGCGCTCCGCCTGCTGAGTTGAAGATGTGATATGATCCTGCTGTCGAATACCAGTGGAGCTTTCCTTCTCAGGTTGTCTTCTGTTCTACTTGAGAATGGGCAGATAGTGTTTCAAAAACCTCTTTCCCATGTGAGCCTTGGGGCGTCTATTGGGGTCACTTGGAATGTGGTCCATCATCGGTTTGGTAGTCTTGGAGTCGGAGAATCCCTCAAGGCAAAAAGGATCCTCCCCACAAGCGGTTAATTCTTCTGCTAGAGTCTTGGTTGTGTTGCGTGGTTCATGAGGCTCGTCAAGGTTGTCATGATTCTCGTCCGGAAGGTAGAGAGGATACTCTCCCCAGCCTCGTCCCTCAAAGGTAGACTTTAGAACCATCTTCCATGTGGTGTTGTGTGCTAGTTAAAGTAGTCTGGATCTGTCATCAAAGATATGGTAGGAAGTGAAGACCTCATAGAGAGTCAACACAGGAATGTGTAGCATGTATATATCTCCAAAGTGTCAAAGAAATACTATGGATACTCTTCAGAGCAGCGTCTGTTGTTTGACTTTTCTTCTTTGTGTTCGCCGGGTGCTCGGACAGTAAGTTGAACTGGTAGTTTCCAGGATATAGTACTGACAGTGGGGTATTCCCCTGTAACCTGCATTGTTTTTCAGATGTGCAACTGTGTCCTCAAGAGAAAAGATGACAGCGAAAGAGAGAGAGAGAGATGATAGCCTTATCTGCGGAGTAATTAATCCCTGAGGCATGTGTGACCGCCAAGACAATAGATGCCCCAGGCACCAAATTACTCCAGAACCCCCCAACTTCTCGTTCTTTGGACTTATTTCTCCCCATTGCGGCACACAACGCGTATCTTCTGCTTGCAATCCTTCTTGCGCATCCTGTATCTTCACTCTTGAGGCATTCGCTTCAAGTCATTGGATTCTGTGTTTACATCTGCAGAATACCCTTGTGCTGCTGCACCTCGGTTCCTAGCTTCCGATCCCTGCTTCCATCAGACTCGACCTGGTTAGCGTAAAGTAGCAGCTCCAGGTCTTTGCCATTGAAGCCGTCCGGCCTTTTCGTGATCAATTTCAGTTTCATGCTATATTGTCAGCCATGCCTATGAGCTCGGAGGTCTAAAGGGCACTAGTTCTCGTCTCTCAAGCCAAGTAAGCAACCTGGAAGCTTTATTGGCATCCTGGATTTCTAACTCTTCGTTACGCAGTGTCAATCTGATAATCTTCTCGTACAAATTTGCTCTTCCTGTTGCTGGGTTCTCAACAGGATTGTTCTACTTCTGTTATTTCTGCGACGTACACCTGCGAATCTCGGTGTTCCCCTCCAATCAGTTGACAAATCTATTGCCTTGCGAACTTTCATTACCGGTGGGAATCTCCGTCATTTATGATTGTTGATCTTTTTGAAGGCAGGATCAACTGACCATTCATTCTCCAAGCTGTTTCCAGGTACTCTTAGGGTATTTCCGTCAACACCAGATTATGGAGGTAGGTATTTTATCTTCTTATCTTCCTATTGTATAGTGTCGCATATCTCATAGCTCCGGGAATAAGTTTTGACTGGGAAGTTTTCTCGACCACCGGACATCGTGCAATTCCTGGAACTTTGCTCGCACTTTCGTGATGCCCATTAGGATTCTATGACTGATTCCTGAGTGAAAAGGCCAGCAGCCTGCTGCGTGCATCCAACCCGGTGGTCGTAATATCCGTTCCATGATCACAACACTGACTGTGCTTCTATGGCAATTTTGATGATTATGCTTTTTGATTTTATTTTATTTTTCGCTGGCACTTTCGCTTTCCGCAACCGCTGTGTCAATCTCGTTAAAGACTCGGAATGTACGTCATTTTAACATCAGAAGACCAGCTAAAACTTGAAATATACTGCAGGTTTCGAACCACACAATAGGTCCGGTAGGGAACAGCACGGGTCAGCTTTCCAGTACCAAGGCACACAATGCGAAACCTCGTCTTCTTTTGATGGGACTCCGCAGGTACAGTGTCTTATCTATGTTGATTATATCGGAGATCCTTATTGATTGCGTACAGGAGCGGCAAGTCTTCTATCGAAAGTGTAGTTTTCCACAAGATGCCTCCGAATGAAACTCTCTTCTTAGAGTCGACAACGCGCATCCAAAAGGAATCAATTCAGTAAGTGCCAAGTCGCTATTTGCCAGGCTATTCTCATTCGATGGCTTAGCTCGTTTATGGACTTTCAAGTCTGGGACTTCCCTGGTCAATTGGAGTACCTTGAACCGTCTTTCGATCTTGAGGAGATCTTTGCTGGCCTGGGTGCTCTCGTATGGGTTATTGATGCACAAGACGACTATATCGACTCTGTTTCACGTCTTAGCCAAACGACCTTGACCATTCAGCAGTTTTATCCGAACATTAACATTGAAGTGTTTATCCACAAGGTCGACGGCCTCTCCGATGAGTATCGCACGGACACCTTTCAGGACATTGTTCAGCATATTTCAGATGAACTGAGCGATGCTGGGTATGAAAATGCCCCGGTTCACTACTATCTCACCTCTATCTATGACTACTCTGTCTTCGAGGCCTTCAGCAAGGTCATCCAGAAACTTATCCCAAACCTCTCGACTCTCGAAAACCTAATCAACACTCTTACAAATAATTGCGGGTTCGAAAAGACTTACCTCTTCGATGTCCTCAGCAAGATCTACATCGCATCTGATACTCGACCGGTTGATATGGCTAGCTACGAGATGTGCTCCGACTATATCGATGTCATCGTAGATGTTTCCGAGTTATACTCGTGGGACCACCCGGATCGCAAGCCCAAGGGAGAACAAATGCTGGAGGCAGAGAGCCATGTTATCCTGCACGATGAGACTATGATCCACCTAATGGAAATAAACAAGTATATCTCTCCTACTATTCCTGCTTAATCCTCTCTTTCCACTAACCAGAGCTGATTATAATAGGTATTTATGCCTTGTTTCTGTGATCAAAAACCCAGAAGCTAAAGAGAAGAAGGGGTTGATCGATATGAATTGCAGGACATTCCAGGAAGCCCTCAACGAGGTGTTCAGCCGCAGTTGGGAAGAAGAACCAGAAGGCCAGGTTATGGAAGGACAACAGGGTCCTCGCGGTCCATGAGTTTCCGGGCTGAAATTGACCTTTTCGCTGGACTGTTACCTGAAAAGGGATACATCTTTGTGAGGAATTCCTTGATATCGCGACGAGTTTGGAATACCATCCTTCTTCACTTATAAATTTTATTTGATGATGATGGAACACTGATATCCTTATATATTCCTTTACTGGACCTTAATAAAGCATTGATTAAAACATGTGAAAAGGGAAATCCCTTTAAAAAACTAAGGAATGGAAGCGCCAGGCTGTAGCTAAGATTAATACCTCTACTTGGCCACGAGGCCTTATCTACCAACAAAGCTTCGAACTTAGCTTAGGGTATTCTACTATAACAGCTGATAGTAGAGCACTATACCATCTACTTGCAGGCAAGAAGTCCCTGACTATGTTCTCATGCATTCATTTACCGTGGAATACCAGAAGCCAAGTATCGAACAGCACTCACTATATCCTGAAGCCAGTTCGCAGGGAGTGAGAGACATTTAAGAAAGGAACCCGTCCTCAATAACCCACCAGTGAGAAGACAAGAAAGGATGAAGAGATAGAAATGAAGTCAAGTAGAACCACAATGGCGACAACATTGTTCGCCAGCGCACAATGTTCAATTGAGATCTAATAGGCCACAGAAGGGGCCTTGGAGGATACAAGTGACGATGAGAACACTTGAACGACGTTGAAGACCGGATTCTCGATGAAGGGCAATAGTAAATCGACTATCTCAGATGACGCATACATCGCAGCGTGATATAAACGGCCGCCATGGTCGTGTAGGCAGCACCTCCAGCGGTAGCCCAGACAGGTCTATGGACATTGAAGGATCTCCGTAGCAGCTGTGTCTCTTTCTTGGGTTTATCTAATTACCAATAGCCCGATTTGTTAGAAGAAGCCGAGAGAGATCTATTTGATTCTGGGAGGTTAGGGAAAAAGGGAAATAGATTATGGCCTGCTTACCTGAAGAGAATACCCGGTTCCTCAAGGTGCCCATTTGCGCCCTTGAGCGGGCAGGGAGAGAGAGGAGGGCTTGCATGATTTGGCCTGCGGGCATTGTATTGTCGACACGGGGTTCTTCCTGTTAAAGAAACAAGACTGTATCACTTGTTGTCTCTATATCTGCTGACGGTTGTATAGAGCCACGAGAGAGAGGCCTAAGGGGTCGAGTCACTAGACAACGCATCTTATATACTCTTGCTACACAGCCGCCCGTACTTCTGTCTAGTAGGGCTAAGGTAGACAGAGAAAGCCAGCCTCAATGTCATACATACTAAATGCGGGGTAGCCGTCACAAGAGCCAGATGGCAAACAATCCATGAAGGATGGAAATTGTCCCAGTGCCGTACGCCATTGTAAGGATCGAATCCAGGCTTTTGGACACTAGGATGGTCATCCACTCTACGCCTCTTCTGGCGCGCTCTTCCTGCCCATCCTGGGGGTGATTGGTGGTCCGAGTCCTGCACTGTGGCCAGTTTGTAAAACCCAGACCAGCCGAAGGCCTCGCTTTCTCGACTGATATTCTTCCGTTCTGGAGTAGTGGCCTCCGGGAAGACGTAAACGGCGTACTTGGGTCGAATCAGAACCTGGGAGGGAGGTGAGAGCCTTGCTTTTTATTGAAACGCATTGATGTGTTGGATACGACAGGTATCCCTGATGAGTTGCAGAAGGGCATGGTACGTACCTCTATGTCCATCCAGTGAAATGTGAGTGTGGGGTATGCATTTGTCATGGCTATGACTGGGTAGCATCTCCTCTCTGGAGGGTAGTAAAGTAATACTCTGTTTGAAGTTTGAACTTGGAACTATGGTCCTTGTCATCTTGGGTCGATATAGGTGATCTGTATGGATAAATGACGGCATTTTAGTTCTGAGAATCGATATTTTGGCATGAATGAAGTGTCTGTTAAATGGCAAGACTCTTGACTCGCATTAATACTGTATAGATGCATATATGGATTGACTTTCGTCTCCACATCATTTCCGGAATTGTGGGAATCCGGGGTAGGGGTGGGGTTATTATTCTGTCGTTTCCCACTCTAAAATAGCTCCGACTCATCACTCTTGTCGGGAAATCGGTTTCCTTTCAATACGATGGATACTGTTAATGTAGGGAGGGATAGAGAGACATATGTTGTCCCATGTGCTGACTTGGTAAGCAGTCCATCCTGAAAGGATTTGTGTAACGTAGAAACCAGGTAGGCAAATCGTAATAGCATCCCAAAAATATCAATGCAAGGAGAAGGATGAGTAAGAGGATAAGTCTTAGAGATAACTATCTGCTATATGATGTACCTAGGTACCCTCTACAACTGCGAAATTTCGGTGCGAAACCATATTAAACATTGTGTTATACATTGGAATGGACATTCTCCAGGCTAAAATGCTATATGAGTGTTGAATGTATAATTAATCTTCTTCTGAGACTGTAATTTTAGCTTATAGAAGTTCATTGTTGTGGAATCATGAAAATGCAGAGTCAAATATATCAATAAGGGATGGTGTGTCTATGGGGCAGCGTTACATTTCGACGGTATGTTTTGTGACGGTTTGCAGGGTGCCGGAAACGGCAGCAATTGAACCACGTGTGACTCGAGCATAAGAGCCTTAAAGATACGCACCATACAGTCCACTGCCATGGATGTAATTGTATAGCAGAATAGATGGAGTGAATTGAAGAGCAAGAATATGTTCTGGCAGCTCATACCTAGTTAAGTTTAGCGTTGTTTAGTTGGCATTTGATTGAGACATCCCATAGTACCACGTGGTATTCGGAGATCGGAGATAACTACAACCGGATCACCGTAGGCCATGGTCGGTGCCCGAGTGGTCTAGTGGTATGATTCTCGCTTTGGGCGGAATATCTAGTCTAACATGCGAGAGGCCCCGTGTTCGAACCACGGCTCGGGCCTTTTTCTTTTTTTCTCTTTCTACAGCCTAATCCAACCCAGCTTTTGGACGGTTAGAATGCCCATTGTCTGCCGCTCTTCACATGATTCACGTGACAGATGCACCTATTTGTTGGAGACAATAGTTGTCTATATTTATCTAAGAAGGGGCTGACCATAGGATTGCTAACATTAAATGAATGTAATCTTATAGCTCTGTGACAGCATGGATGGTGGCCTACACACGGCATGTGGGTGCTATTCCCAAGATGGCAAAACTAACTGCAACAGAGAATTACAGTGTATATTTAGCGCACCGCACGTCCCTCATATGACTAACTTCCCTTACGTATTGCCAGCCTGCTAGAAACACCTTGTCATCAACAACTATTACAGGCCAGCCTCCTTGTCGGCACTTTCTCGTAGGGAGCATCTTCTTCCTCTTTCATCATGAACGGAATGAAAGGGATGTTCAAGGAGGGCTGGCACCCCAAGGGCAAAAATGGTGGAAAGGAGAGCTGGCGGGGTGACTTCAAAGGTATCAACCAAGTGGTACGTCTCGGTTTTGCTATAATTACAACTAAATAGTCCAGATTAATTGACAATTGCTCTCATCGTCAGGCAGGATGGATGGGCAAGGGAAAGGAGGAAGAAGAGCAGGTCCATGTTGCTCGGCCTCTAAATACACTTCGAGACCCGGCGGAATTTGGACCACCACCCAAACGGGGTGTTGTGTCTTCGCAGAGACCAATCTCTGATCGAACATCCTCAACATCATCATACGACCGATCTGTGCAGAATCAACCCGTAGTGGTTGAAGCAGAGAGTGATGAAGGCCCACGCCCTGCATTGCCGTCCCGCCCGAGCAGAACAGCTTCATCAACCAACGTTCCACCACCACCACCAGTTAGGCGCGTCAAGTCTACAGCAGACCCAGAGACGATTAATCATACACTGCCAAGACCGGAAGCCCCCCCTCTTCTTCCTCCCCGACTTCCTCCACGAACCAATTCCATACCGTCAACGTCACCTTCCCCGCCGTCGCCTGCGTATTCGGCAGCATCACCGTCGGAAGCATACTCAGAGGGATATGTGAACCAGGAGGCTGCGTCCCGCCTCTCCAGTGCTGGTGTTTCTGTTCCTGCTCTAGGGATCGGCAATGATGGCAATGCGTATGGAAGAGATAACAGACAAAGGATTGATCTGGTGCAGCAGGCGCCAGTCAACGAACTGCAGGCTCGTTTCTCACGCATGACGACGAAATCTTCCTCCTCGCTATCCCCCGCTCCAACGTCCAATTATTCGTCACCCGGTACCCCTTCCAACTCGACTAGATCACCACCGCCGCCGCCAGTTTCACGGGTTGATACGAGCCGGTCAATGTCAAGCAGTAATGGAGAAGGCTTGCCTCGGAAGAAGGCACCGCCTCCACCACCTCCTAAAAAGGCATCAATAAGAGCCCTGCCTGTCAATGCCCAGGCTTCTAGTCCTCCACCAATTCCCCATGGAACCAAACCACGTTGAGCGGTGTATTCCTGGCCATGCGGGGCTGGCATTTAAATCTACAAGTAGATTTGTAATATTATTTATCACATCTGGCATTATAGTATATGATCTCTTCTTGGAAGGCAAAGGTCTAGATTGAGTAGTTTAGGAAAATTGACGACAAAACTGGGCACGCTGATATCATGGTGTGCATCCTATGAATGGATCAAGCCTGCTGCCATCAGGTTCATCCAGAAAAGACTAGAGAGATTTTTTCCTGCTTATCAGTATTACTGCATGGTTACTTGGCCTGAGGCTCATCTGTCCGAGGACTTTGACAGGCTCGAAACACCAGCGTAGTGGGATTCAGCAAACACGGGGTCTTTCTTTCTTTGACCGCGAACAAGGGGGGCTCCTATTCTAGGAAGTCCTTGTTCGACGACTGACGCTTCCCAGGTCTCTTATGGATTGATAGAGGAACTGGAAGCCTGCTCAAGCATCACTCCAGACAGGGAGTCACAGAGCTGATGGAGGTGTCCACTTGACGGATATGTGTCTTGACTGCAGCAATGAGCATTGTTTTTAGAGTTCACGTGGGACGATACCCTTTCTGTAATGCGAGCAATAAGCTTCGATTGCGAGATTCAACAATTCAACAAGGAATCGGAGATCTGAACCGAACATTGGAATCTGGAAGAGACTTCCACTGACTAAAAGACGTGTAACTATAGCCTTTACGTCAGGCAGACATATCCAGCGTCATAATGCGTGGTGCATCGCTGTATAATAATGATGCCAGCCGAGGCTCAACGCCGGGCGATCCCCAACAAAAAAAGGGGCGGCCTGTAGGAAGCATTGCCACTCTGGGGAACCGCTGTCTCTCTGCATCCGATGTGATATGCATCGGGATGCTTCATTGGCGACCCTGCGCGATTTGGCAGGGATGAAGACATTTCCCTTTCGAGAACTGCAGGCTGTCCCCATCACTTTTGTTGTTTGCTGGCGGATCCGAGGCAACAAGGCCATAATTGTCATATGGAATGGAATGGAGCCTGGCGGGTAATACTAGTACTAATTTAATTTCTTCCCTTTTTCCTGGCAAGAAATTTCCCTCTAACCGTCTTTCTGCTCCATATTTTTTTCTCTCCTTTTCTCCCCGTGAGATCATCAGGCATTGCCAATTCTCCGCTCTTCCACATGAACTCCAGCTAATTCCCTCCCTTTGCATCTGGTTCAATTGCTCTGTTGCCGCCGCCATGTACGACTTCTCCGCTGGCTCCGAGTCCGTACGCGTCGGGTTGCCGCCCGCGTCGCTCTTCCGACTGCCTCCTCACAGAGCCCCCGACGCCCTTCCTCCTCCCCAGCTCGCGGAACCGACGTGGTACCAGCCGTTCAATATCTCAGCGTCAGTGTACGGGAAGGCCCTGGATTGGCGTGTCCCAATTGCCATCGCCTCCGTCTATGCCACCACCGTCGTTCTTCTGAATCGTGTCAACGCCCGTCGTGGATTCAAGCCGTATGCGTTCAGCAAGACCAAGGCATTCAAGTTCTTCGTCATTGTCCACAATGTCTTCCTTGCAATCTACTCCACATGGACGTTCGTGGGCATGCTGCGTGCTTTCCGTGCCTCGTGGCCCCGCCAGGATGAACCCCACGGCCTGACGGCTGTCGTAGATACCATGTGCAGGTTCAATGGCCCTCATGGCTATGGCAATGCTGCCATGTACAACCCAGAGACCCTCCAATGGACAAACGCAAACCCCGCCTTGTTGGCTGAAGGCGCCGCTCCGTCCGACGAGTCTGGGCGCATGTGGAATGAGGGTCTCGCGTATCTCGGCTGGCTGTTTTACCTGTCCAAGTTCTACGAAGTTCTGGACACTGCCATTATCCTTGCTAAGGGCAAGAAGAGTTCCACCCTGCAGACTTACCATCATGCTGGTGCTATGATGTGCATGTGGTCTGGTATCCGGTACATGGCTTCTCCCATTTGGATCTTCACGCAGGTCAACTCAGGGATCCATGCTTTGATGGTGCGTGTCTTTATGTTTCCTGGTCTCCTAGTCAGAAAGTTGACTAACTTGAGAAATTCTCTAGTATACCTACTATACCCTCAGTGCCTTGAACTTCCGTGTCCCGACTTCGATCAAACGTAGCTTGACCACCATGCAGATCTTGCAGTTTGTCTTCGGATCGATGTTGGCTGCCTCGTACTTGTTCGTTTACTACACGATCCCCTTTCCTCGCGAACTTCAAAGCCTGTCTGGTGCTGCTCATATCGCTTCGTCAGCGGTCGAGACTGGCGTTGCCACCGCCTCTGCAGGTAAACTGTTTTCCGGTCTGAAACAGATCGCTCTTCGTGCCGTGGGATCAACAGTGACCAAGACCGTCAATGCACAACAGCCCTTGGGAGCAGGTGCCCTCAATGCTGTTGCAGAGGCTCTGCCCGTTGATGTTGATTACCGCATGTTCACCTGTCTTGATACCACCGGCCAGGCCTTTGGCGTCTGGCTCAACGTGATGTACCTGCTGCCTTTGACCTACCTTTTCGTCCAGTTCTTCATTCGTTCTTACCTCTACCGGAAAGATCCTGGCACTCATCTTCCAACTCCGATCCATGCGGCGGAGAAGGCGGGAATGGACGCCATAAAGGGAGTTAGCCGCGAGATGCACAAAACTGTCAGCGACATGGGCGATCAGAGGAACGGCCGGGCATGAAGACCGAAGTAATTCCTCTTCAGTCTTTTTCTGATCGATCACCGACCGCTGAAGTGGAGTATTAGTAACCCGCAAGACCCATTTCACCATGTGTCGGATGATACCATGCATTCGTTCGCTGCCTTTGGATACGTGTCCCATCGGCCTAATTGGCCTTCCGTCCCGTCATGGAACGTTCGTTGTTAAACGCAAACAGGGGGCCCATTCTTTTCCTCGCCTATTAGATAGATTAACATCTGCCACATCACGCATGCAGATATACATCCTTCCGAAGATTTCTTGGCTACGACTCTGACAGTTGTTGGATACCAACAAAGTCCACAATTCAAACTTGGGAAATAAACGAATTCTTTCCAATAGAAAGAAGCCCCCCTTCCCCCCGTTGTCATCTGCCTACCTGCCTGAGACTCGACTGATGCTCTATGGTTTTTCTTCCCCTTTTCTTTCATTCTGTCAATTTCAGGCGAAACCTTTTTAATTTCTTTTTCCAGCATTGTTGCTATTGCTCGCTTTCCTGGCGATGTATCAAATAATATGTACAGCAGGTATGCATCAGTCAGCTGGCGCACAAGGGTGGTGTGACAAAAGCGGGAGGGTTATAATACTGGCTATATACGGGGATAGGCAAATTGACTGGATTTGGGTATTGTTCTTCTCTATTGAAAATGATAGTAATTAGTACTCTGGCTGCAAAAGATCGTGGAAGGGTGACTGCCCTAATTGCTGCTAGGGCTAGGGCTAAGGCGGTAGCCACCAAGTCTTCTGACTGGTTGATAGGTCTATCGAGGTTCACCGCCTTTGATATATGATATGGCATCAATTGAGGTCATTCTCTCTATGCCCCAGGTTAGGTAGAGAATAGAAAAGATCTACAGAGACCTTTTTGTTCTAAAGAGGCATCGAAGATGTGCCGCTAACCTACTGAGTTCATCCCCGAACCGAGAAGCTTCGGTAAATACATAGAATATTGAATATTGGACATAGTATATAGTACGAGATGAGGACCGCATCTATAGACTGCACCGTTATACGTATGTATGTAAATACACTTGCATACTCATATACGAGTAACAGTCAAGTCTCTCAGCTTGACTTCCAGGCTATTATCTGACCCAGTGTGCAGCGCAGCAACCTCCCTCCAAACCTGCAACACCCGCTCTTCGGGCTCAAACCCTGTTGCGGTTGTGCCCGTGATAATGTATCGAAACGAATGGCTCCCCCGATTCTCAGCATCGAGCGCATCTGCCGCAGCAATGTGGAAATCGTTCACCAGGACCGCAGCAGGCTTCTTGTGAAATATGTCGCTGAAACCGATCCTCAATCAGCGGCTGCAGCTACTCACCCCAACTTCTTCGACCCTCTGTGTGCGTGTCTATGATATCGGGTGGGAAAATTGTCTGATTCGATGGTGGTTCGTTGTAGAATGCTAGGTAGCACCTCTCCACTGAAGGCCAGTAGCCAAAGCTGCGTATAACTTCTGTGGGCAATGCAGGTCAGCATCATGTGTCGTGTTGAGATTTCAAGATGTTTGGAATCACCATTGCATTCCGTGCAAGATAACTCGGTGTAAATATAAGAGAGAGAGAACTTGGCTGAGTGCCTTGTCCTGATCACTTAATGTTCTAGTAGTATTAATGATAGATGGCTCTGGATTTCAGTGGGTTTGTAGTGTGTCTTAGAAGAAATGGTATGAATAGACGATATAACCTATTCTGTACTTGACTTGCTGTTGTTCTTTTCAGCAGCGCAGTCTGGCTTCATTATTTGCCGATCTGATCCCTCAAGCTCCTTATTTAACTCCTCCACCATCTTCAAACACACCTCAGCAGTCACCAAGAATACCAACATGGCCCCCAACCTCCAGGAGCTCACCATCTCCAAATTCCACTACCTCCTACAGAACAAGCTCACAACCTGCGTCGAACTGGTCAATGCCTACCTATCCCGAATTTCCCAATACAACCCATCCCTCAAAGCGCTCATCACAGTCAACCAAAACGCCCTGGAGATAGCACACCAAAAGGATCTCGAAATAGCAGAGATCCTCAACCAGAAGGACAGCAAAATCAAATTTCTACCCCTCCATGGCATCCCCGTAATCCTCAAAGACACATACGCCACAGTGGACCTCCCTACAACCTCGGGCGTGAAAGCCCTCCAGACTCTCCAGACAAACGAGGACGCCTTTGTCGTCCAGAGACTCCGTGATGCAGGTGCCATCATCCTTGGCAAGGCGAATCTGCATGAATTCTCTCTGCAGGGGCTCACGCTTTCGTCGCTGGGAGGTCAGACTTTGAACCCGTATGATCTCTCCCGGACGCCCGGTGGCTCATCTGGTGGGACTGCGGCTGCTTTGGCGGCTGATTTCTGTCTTGTCGGGTGTGGCGGGGATACTATGAATTCGATCCGGTCTCCTGCGTCGGCGTGTTCGATTGTCGGGTTCAGGCCGACTAAGGGCCATGTTTCTCGCTGGGGGACTATGGGGGTCTCTGAGACCCAGGATGCGGTTGGGCCGATGGCTAGGACGGTCGCGGATGTGAAGGTGCTGTTTGATGTCATGCGAGGGGAGGATGGGAATGATCCCGTCACGGTGAATCCTTTACGATGGAAGGAGAAGGGGGAAACGCAGATATCGTCGTCGTCACTACGGATGGGGATCTTACATTCCTACTTTGGGGATTTGATCACTCCGGAGTCTGAGATGGTTCAACACGTTATCCTGGATGCGCTCAACAAGTTACAAGCAGAGGGACTGGTGATGGAACCCATTTCCCTGTCAACGACCAAAGAGTGGGGACTTTCTCTGCTTCTTCAAGAGTACGATGTCCAGTCTTATGAATTCCGAGACGTCCTGAATACTTTCCTTCAATCGCCTTTGATCAAGCACACACCACATACGACGCTGGAGTCGATCGCGGAGAGCGGCGAGTACGCCCGTTCAACCGTAACGGATGTCTTTGTCAATGCATTGCAGCCGGAACAGTTCTCGAGAGAAAGTCCGGATTACCAATCAAGACTTCAGAATATTGAACGCTTGAAAGGTTCCGTGGAGAGATGTTTCGAGGATCATGCATTGGACGCACTGGTCTATCCTCATCAGAGACGACTAGTTGTTCAGGTAGGTGAACCGGAACAAAAAGGGCGAAATGGAATCTTGGCTGCGTTGACAGGGAGACCGGCTATATGTATTCCTGGTGGGTGCTTTATACGTGTCACTCCGAATTGTCTTTGGCTGATGAACATAGCTGGTTTTTCGCTTGAAACTGCCACAGCGCCTCGAGGCGTCCCTATCGGAATAGAACTGATGGGGAAACCATGGCACGATGATGAATTGCTAGATATAGCAGAGAGGTTCGAGTCGATTCTCCAGGCGAGGAGGGAGCCCGATTTGACATGTCTCAATGACCGGCTTTCGAAGTCATCTGCACCTGCAGTGATCTCTGGTGAACATCGCGACAAATGCTCTAGATCGTCTTGGCCTGCGGAGGGGGACAAAGCCCATAAATTCAACCACGATCATCCCGGCCAGATGTTTAGGCCCCTTGGGTGATCCTGCCATGCATGCATCCAGTACGTATAAGAAATGAGTAATGGAAAGGATCGAGGGTTGCAACCGGAAAAAGATACTGGAATTCGGCACGTTATCCGCTATCATGCATTGCATATCCCGTTCAACCATGGATCAGCTTCGCATGTGAATGCCTTTTCCCGTTGGTACACTGCGACTCCATCCTGGGCTATCTGCAAGATATCGGCGCAAGACGCCAATGATTGTCTCGGCTTCATCAGTATCGGTTTGCCGTGACCCCGCAGAGTCGATTGATTAGATGAAATTGGGTTTCAAAGGTGATGACTTGACTTTGTACTTCTGGCGGGGCTTGATTCTCTGAGTTCTTATAGAGATCAATGCTCCCTTGGTCATAACTCTGTAACTACTGCTCTTAAACTCCATCTAATTATACAGTTTAACCATGACGAAGACCGGTATGAAAGAGATTCAAGAGTACACATTTTAAGAGCGCATGCTGATATGATGCAGAGACAACCAGCGCCGTCCTCCATCGGGATACGCACCATGTTCCCAAAAAGGCTGTCGGAGGGAAGGGTAGCTACATCTTCCTTGAGGATGGCCAGAAATTCCTCGATTCCACCGGCGGTGCGGCCGTCTCATGTCTAGGCCACGGTAACGAAGAGGTCACCAAAGCCGTCATTGACCAGCTCAATCAGCTAGCATACTGCTATTCTGTTTATTTCAGCACGCAGGTGGCTGAAGACCTTGCCAAGTTGCTCGTTGATTCCACAAGCGGGAAAATGACGAAGCTTTTCGTCGTCAGTTCTGGTATGTCTTGGATCCCGTTCCATCATATCGTGCCGTTAACCAAAGAAACAGGCTCCGAGGCCGTCGAGGCAGCCCTCAAGCTAGCCCGTCAATATTTCCTCGAACTTCCAACACCACAGCCACAACGAACCAAATACATTGGCCGGCTCCCCTCGTATCACGGCGTGACTCTCGGCGGACTGGCTGCAGGTGGCCATACTATCCGTCGGGAACCGTTCAAACCACTCCTCTCAACGGCCTTCTCGCACGTCTCCCCTTGCTACGCGTACCGCGGGAAGAAAGAAGGAGAGACGGACGAAGCGTACGTGGCCCGTCTAGCTGCTGAACTAGACGCGGAGTTCCAGCGTCTTGGACCTGAGAATGTGTGTGCCTTTATCGCGGAGCCGATTGCTGGAAATGTAAGTGTTACCGGGACTACATGTATTCCCCCTGCGTGCTATCTTGAAATACCCATAGTGACCGGGATCTCTCAACCAGTCCATGGGCTGTGTCCCCGCAGTACCAGGCTATTTCCCCGCCATGAAAGCCGTGTGCGAGAAATACGGCGCGCTCTTAATCCTTGACGAAGTCATGTGCGGTATGGGACGGAGCGGCACGCTTCACGCCTGGCAGCAGGAAGATGTCGTCCCAGATATCCAGACCATTGCTAAAGGACTCGGAGCGGGGTATGCCCCTGTTTCTGGTGTGTTGATCGGCGAGAATGTAGTGCAGGTGCTGGATAAGGGGAGCGGAGTCTTCAGACATGGCCAGACATATCAGGGCCATCCTCTTGCCTGCGCTGCGGCGTTGGCGGTGCAGAAGATTGTCAAAGAGAAGAATCTCATGCAGAACGTACGTGAGATGGGCGCTTATCTTGAGAAGCGTTTGAAGGAGAGACTGGAGAGCCATCCTTACGTGGGAGATATTCGGGGCAGGGGACTGTTCTGGGGGGTAAGTCGTCCGCTTTTTCTTCTATGTGCAACCATGCAGAGAATATACATCGCATCGGGAATCTGGCTAACGAGGAAATGGGATACAGATCGAATTCGTCCAAGACAAAGAGACAAAAGAATCATTCTCACCCGAGACTGGTGTTGCGAACCATATGCAGGAGACTGGTTTGAAGCCAGAATTCTCCATCTCCCTTTTGGCTGGGACGGGTGCCATCGAAGGCATGCGAGGTGATCATATTATCCTTGCACCACCGTATACTGTCTCCAAGGAGGAAATTGACGACATTGTCGACGCAACTGCAAGGGTTGTGGACGATGTCTTTGCAAAGTTGAATATCGGGTTGAAGCAATGAGTTCCGCATCTTTCTTTACAGGTTGATGTGATATTCATGGGCATCAAATTGTACGACAGCGATATATGAAAGTGTGTAACCTTGCTATATTATTATCCGTCATAGCCAATGACTATATAATGATTATATCCATACCCTCCATGTAAATTCAAACTTGAAGAATCGATTTCACTCTCCCAGTCAAAAAGTCCTTCCCCTTCACCAAAGCTACGAGCAAACTGAAGAGCACCCAGCTTCCTATCTGGCCTGTCCCCTGCCCTTGTCCTACAGGGACTACTAAAATAAGACTCTCCTTCTCCGGGTCGTACCCGGTTGCGCGCTTGTTACTGCCACCCAGGATGTCGGCTTTGAGGTTCGCCACGATTGCTTTGGTCTGTTTCTCTATGCGGCTAACGACACGGTACGAGTGTTGAGTAATGTCGCCTAGGGCATAGATCCCTTCCGCAGGAGTCTTGTCGGAGGATGAAGACGAAGACGAAGATGTCAAGACACGGAATTGATCGTCGACATGCACGAAGCCTTCTTCATTCAGGAACGAAGCAGGTATGTATTCATTGTTAGGGATGACACCGATGGCAGCGACATAGGCATCTGTCGTGAGCGTCTCGCCATTGGAAAGCGTGACGGTCCATTTCTTACTGCTCGCGTCCTGAGTCGACTGAACCACTTTCGTGCCCGGGATGATCTTGACGCTCTTGGACTTGAGAATCTTCGCAGCACTCACTTGGGCCGCCGGCTTGAGCGACGGCAGCACCCCAACCCCATCACTTGCGCTGACGATGGTTATCTGTGTATCCTGTTTCTTGTCCGTGGCGAACGCTTCTGCCAGTTCACCTGCGAACTCAACGGCAACAGGCCCTCCCCCGCCGATGACGACGCTGCGCGCATCCTTGAAGATGGCCTGCGCGTCTTTAATCTGCGTCAATAACCCATCATCAAACGATGCCTTAAACGGCACAAGGACACTATTACTCCCCGACCCTGTCATGGAGGGCGTGGTAGAACCCGACGCAAGGACCAGATAATCGTACTCGACCTCCTTCGGATTTGACGAGCCCTTCTCCTCAACAGTCACACTCTTCTTCCCACCAGTCTCGATAGAAGTGGCTTTCCCCACAACCAACTCAAACCGGTCAGAGCCATACTTAGCGAAGAGCTCAGGAATGGACAGGATATACGCCTCCTGCTTGAAGAAATCCGGCTTGGCAATAATCCGCGGCGAAGCAACATTGAAATAAAAGGACTCCGTCGGATTGACGATTATCACCTTCAACTTCGTCCCGGCCAGGTTCTGTTTCAGGAGTCTCTGTGCCAGGCCTATTCCTGCGTATGAGCCTCCGATGATGAGGATTGTTTTCGGGGTTTGAGGGGCCATTTTTTGTTCGGCTTGTTGTTTTCGGTGCTGGTAGGATTTCGCTTGCAATGCTATCGCAGAGAGCACGATGAGGGAGAGGGAGAGGTAAAGAGGGTTTATATTTATATTCTCTTGGAGCTGCATGGTGTGTTTGTTGTGTTACCTTGGACAGTTGTTGTTCTTTTTGGGGGGGTGTAAATGTCCATGCAGGGCGGCGTAAGGTAGGTCAGAATGCCTCTGATTCTGCTCTCTTTCTCCCCTTCTCTGTGTGTTATTCTCAAAGATCTGTTAACATAATTCATTACCCTGTAGGGAATGCCACGCTTTATATCCACAACCCATACATTTTCGTCGGTGTTGCGGCGTGATTTTGGTCCGTATTATGTATCCACACAACCTTTATAGCCACGACAGACAAGGGGGTCATCTTTGTACTCCATATAGAGCGTTGATCATTCTTAGGTGTGGTCAAGATGAAGAGCTATTTATATAGTTAATAAGTGTCTACCGACTGTTCAGAGAAAGGAATACCAAGATGAGGACTGTAAGTCCATGCAGTCCTATTTTTAAATGATTCACAATGTGAATGACATTAAGAACCTAGTATACAATCGATCCAAAGAATCAAGCCCTCCCTTCAAGCTCTGTCATCTTGGGTGTATTCCCTGCTGGCACAGACGCAGTGAGGGGTCCCTCGTCAGACCACATCCCAGCCACCGTCTCAACGGCCCGTTCAACAACGACCCTCACCCTGTCTCTCAGCACGGCATTCGCGCATTCCACCTCGAGATCCTCCAGCCATACTCGCACGACGTGTTTGTCGACTCGGATCTCGATTCCGGGGACAGGGATCCCGAGTGCCCGCAGGCGCGCGAGTTCTGCCATTTCCACTTCGCTGAGGTCTGATTCGTCTTCATGCTTGCCCTCCGCCTCGGTTGTTGGAGTTGGTTCTGAGGCGGCGGTCGAGGTCGCAGTGGATTCGCCGGCGATGGCACCATTAGCGAGTGCGCTTGGAGGAATACGGGGTCGCTCGATCGGAGCAATCTGAGATCCAAACTGTGCTTCGAGCATCATTAGAAGACGCGCAAAGCGCTCCTCGGGTCCCAGGTAGGAGTGAGGGTTCGGCAGATCCTGTTCAGGATGATGGTGGTGATGGTGCTTATGTTTGGCCGATTCTGTGGGAAAGCAATATCGTCAGTATCGGGCTTCAAGGAAAAAAAATTATAGGCATTTATCATACGTTTCACAGATGCAGGGCTGCTTTCCACCGTAAAAAGAACCGCCATGACTGCGTCGGCGACCCCGTCATTCATCATGTTGCCTTCCCACTCTAGCTCGACTTCACGAGTCCGGGGATGATATCTGACAATCACGCAGCCCATGACCAAATACATCTGCGTTTGCTCCATAGGGATCTCTTCGTCCGCTGCTTCATGCTTCGCTAGCTTATCATCGCCGTTGGAAGGCTCAATCAACTTGCCCTCACCGGATGGCTCTTCTTTAACGTTTCCCTGAGCTGATCCAACCGTTTCTATGGCCCCGAAGGTCCCCTCAAGCGCCCATTTGATCAAATCCATACTCGCAGAGTTTAGAGTGATATGCTGCTTGCATGTAATCGTCGTCGTCGTCAAACCAGCATACTCTCGGAGGTCGTCAGGCGCCATCAGCGACAAGTTAAAACCGTTTTGAACCAAGACTCCAGCCATGAGCTGGCCATCATCCTGCTCCGAAGGCGGTGCAATCTGCGCTAATTTGCCGACGACTTTGGCGATTTTGTCCTTCCTGAAAGGAATGCGGACTTCCTCGCAGTTCGCCGGCGTATACACTTTCACCTTGATAGTCTTCTCGGCGTTCAGACTGAGTAGTTTGGACTTAAGACGCATCATTTGGTGCTTCTCCCCGTGGACGAGAATCTAAATGGATTGTTAGAACCCACAAAATCGCATATACAACGCGGGAGAGCATTCTTACCACCACTGGTGCGGCAACCTCTTCGATGAAGTTCCGGTTCTCCACACCATCCACATGGGCCGCAAAGCTGATCTCATCCACTGTGCATCTTCGAGGTATCATGACTCGCTGTTCTTCCTCGGCGGCAGTCATTCTGCCTCTTATCGGTGCCCGAGTTGATTTCGTCATCACAGCTGGAATCTGCTCGGGCTCATTCAGTAGCTGCTTCGCCATCGTACCTTCAACGCTGTAACCGGTCATGATGACCCCATTGCGCTCACTGGGTGCCCAGCGTTCTAGTAACTCCCGACTTGTACCCGTCTGCAGCATACCCGGCGACGCAAGCATGACACATCCCCCAATGTCGTCGAAACGCTCAAGACTCCGAAGACTTCTGACAAATCTGAAATCCCATGGCCCGGCACTCACGCTTTTATCACCCTTGGCTTCTGCCTCAGCCATGCGCTGACGAAATAGCCGTTTAATATTATCGTTCATTGCGCCGATATATGTTTGGTACACGACCATGCACCTTCGTGCCACATTTCCAATGTAGTAAATGGGAATCTTTTGTAGTTCCGGATGCGTTTCCCAGTACTCGTCCAAAATAAGGAGTAGCTCCTGAGCACGTCCTAAGGCGAACACGGGCATCAACACTCTCCCACCACGATGTATAATGTTAGTTACAGACTTCATAAGAGCAGCTTCACGTTCCAGACGAGGTGGATTGGATGAGATCCCAAAGGTGGATTCTGTGATCAGAACGTCAATCTTTACACCCTTGGGTACTTCTGCGGGTATCAGATGCCGGTCCTCTTCGCGGGAGTAATCCCCTGTAAATAGGATATTCAAGCCCGCAATGGAAATTAAAAACATGGCAGCGCCCAGGACGTGTCCAGCGGGGAATGGGGTAATGCGAATACTGTTGATGGTGTGGGTGGTGTTGAAGTCAATTGTTTCGATGAGAGGAAGAGTAGAAAGGTGGTCATGCTCCGTATATAGAGTGGTGCGCTGGTCCGAAGAAGAAGCTGTATTGCTGACTCGGACATTGTCCTGAATAAGCCATTTGTAGATGGCCTTGGTAGCATGTGTCATGAAGACCCGGCCTTTGAAGTTGGTCTTGCTGAGGACGTAGGGAAGCGCTGAGGAATGGTCGACATGGAAACTGCAGAAATGATGAAATGTATGGTTAGCTTGGACGATTCCATTGAAAGAAAAGAGCGAGCATTGAAATACAGGTAAGGGCAAGGCAATGTCGATGGACCGGCGCAGAATACAGGGAAGACAGTATAGCACATATGGCGGTAGTATGCAACGAGATTGTATTAGGTGTTTCTGATATACATTTAAAAACATAGGGCCAGTATCACCGAAGCGAAAAGCTCCTCCACTGATACTAATCCGAGACACAGTTCTGTATCGGTCACGAACCCAACACGCCCTCTCGCTCAAAGGAAGCAATCTTTGTCTTTTTGTGCTCCAAAGCAGACTCAGAAGAGGAGGAAAGTGTCCCACGTACTGGCTTATCAGAAGAATATCCACCGTACTTAAATCGAATTCATCGAAGAAGGGGAGAGCAGAGAAGCCCTCCTTTGCTGGATGCATTCCGGCGTCAAGCTGTCAAGTCCAGCATCTGGTCAGCTATATTCCGTTCAACGAGATATTCACCCAAAGAAAAGCACATACCATAACCGTCTTTCCCTTGTACTGAATGATGTGACATGAACGGCCAACTTCGTTTCCTCCGCCTAGACAGTAAAACGCTAGTCGATCCGACGGGTCGACAGGTTCGTCGTCCACAGCGGCCATAGCCGACGCCTTGCGTTTAGCCGCCATAACGCGTCACAATTATAGAGAGAAGCGTATCCTTGATGTTAGTGCACCATCGAGCGAGAAGAGGGTCCGCCAGAGTAAGCAACTTGGAGCAGTGTCGCGAAGGAACTTCTTTGTTTTGGGTGACACTTCAATTCGTGCAAAGCGAGGATCAGGCCATGTCAGATGACTGGTGGTCAGAAGCAGGAGACCCTAAGGCTACGAGACCTTCTGGTGAAGACGAGAACGAGAACCCTGCAATTGTCGTAGACCATGGCGACTTGCACGAAGCTGCGCAGGGAGATCGGAAAGAGGAGGATGACATAAGCACGGATAACCACGTGACTCAGCAGGCTTCAGGCGCGCTTCCGTGGCTCGACTTTGCTTCTCAACTCAGTGCAGGACCGGCTTTCGTCTCCTCGACCTCGTGTATCGCGTACGCCGTCTCCATCTTGCCTAGCGACGCATTCAGTTAGCCACATGGTTTGTCAGGTAGCTTGGGATGGTTGTGGTTGGTGGTGACCGGCCGTTCGAGCATTTCGGTCAGAGAACTGACCGGCACGCGGGCGTCTCCTGTCGATAACCGGGCCAGGTTTTGATCCTATTCTGTACAAAAGAATCGAAGGCGCACGCTCTGTCCCAAGGGCAAACACATTCACCATGGCGCAAACGCAACAGCAGCAATTTTCATCACAGCCTTTTTCTCCTCCCGTTTCTTCACCATCCCCAGGTGCAGGATCGCCGGTGAATGGAGGCATTCCCCCTCCGTCAAAGCGACCGCGTCTCTCTCCTCATCCGCAATCCCAGTCTCCCTATGCTTCTCCAAGCTTTGGTACCCTGCAGCTACCGCAGAATCCGTCACCGGCTCCAAACGGGATGAATCTCAACGGCTTCACTCCTACGTCCGCAGCTCCACCTCCCCCGCCACCGCCAGCTCCGGGGACAATGGGGCCGCCATCTCGCCCGGCAGACAAAGCTACCGATGCAGCAGAGCTGACAGATGTTCTAGCATCGTCTGGTATCGATGTCAGGGAAGAGGAGGCTTTCCTCACTAGCAGTTACTCAGCGCCTTCTGTTCAGGCCCAGCAACCTCCGCGAGCGCTGCAGATTCCACCAACACCACCGCTGAATACGTCCTTTACTTCTCAGGCTTCTACAAGCGAACCCATATCTACAGCTGGCAGTTTCAATAGTACCTCACTAGTAAGGCCACCTGCGTCTCAGGAGGCTGTGTACGCAGAGTCGGCTGCGAAACCCCCCGCCCCCTTCAAGGATCCAAACGAGCCGACAAGGGAGGATACACAGGCTGCTAGGCGTGCGCAGTATCATTTGCAAGAACCGTTTCTCTTAACCAAGGTTCTCGAACAAAAGCTTCAAAAGCGGGGATTGGACCTCGGTGTCCGTATACCTGCAGAAGGTCTATTCCATCCAGTACCCGGACGCTCGCAGCCGATCGAAGTAACCGGGCCTGATGGGTCATCCGTTGTACGTACAGGACAAACAATCCTAAACCAGGAAGGAGCACCTCTAGTGGACATACTTAATCTCTTATCCCTCACTTGCGAAGAACGGTTACGAAACGTGATCGATTATTCTGCGACACTTGCAAGGAGTCGACGGGCACACTCTCATGGTGCTGTCCCCACAGAATGGAATGATTTGGCACAGACTTTTGGTTCCACCAGTGAAGTTCCTGCCAGCCCTAAAAGCTTCTCGCTCAAACGTAAGCTGCAGGCCCGCTTTCGTTTGGCAACACTGACTAACAATGTCCTTAGGACCCCATTCGGCAATGGAGAAAGTCCGCTTTCTTATGGAACAGGACGCTGCTCTTGAAGAAGCCCGTAATTCCAAACGCGCCAAACGTGATGCGACTGCTATATTGGAAGGACAGTCCAATAGAGCGGAGTCGGCGGACATGGTAGCGTCTGGTACATCTACTCCTATCGGAGAAAAAGCGCCGAGCCTTGAGAAGAAGGGGTTGTCTAAAAAGGAAGCGAGGAAGCTGGCCGATGCGAAAACTAGCGAAGCCCAACAACACCAGCAATCCGTCGAGACGGCACGGTTGGCGACCAGCGGCATGATGTCCGGCCGCATGTTCGGAACCAAGAAGTCGTACGCTTGGCTAACCCGCTCCCGGCCCAGCGGGTTTTCTGCGCCATCGCGACCTGGCTTTACGACGCCGGGTGCAGGGGCAGAGAAAGCCGGGCGTCCTGGGGAGACTCCAGTTGTACCAAGCAAACGGTTTGGAACTTGGCGGGAAGACAAGGAGAAGGGCGCAGGCATTCAGGTTCGAGATATATTATTCATGCTCGAACTGGATGGACGAGGGGCCAGGCATGTGCAGAAAGCCTACGCAAAGGATATCAGGGAAGACCGATTGGATTGATCGATTGTACACTGTCCTTTACCCCCTCCCCCTTTTTTTTTCTTCCTTCCTCCTTCTTTTCCCCTTCTTGTACTCTCCACGTCTACTCGCATTCACCTTTTCATCTATCGACAACCATCGGGGTCTCCTTCACGGTTGCTGCGCGGGACCGTAGTCTTCTTCGGTGTTGGAGGGGCGTCTTTATTGCTTTACGTGGGGTTGTTTCGTTTGGTGCAGTACCGCATAGTACATGTTTTTCTCATCATTGACGAGTTCCCGCAAAGCTCCTTTATAATGCTTGCATTTCTCTCTTTGCTACTTATTTAATCACCGAGGAAACCAAAAAGCATGTCCCCTTTTGACAAGTGACCCTGGTCCGAACTACGTGAGCGGCTGTATGTTGTCGGGCTGGGCCTTTTCATACAATTTCAAGCTATGTGCAAGAGTGAGAAGCAGGAGGTGCGCCAGTCACGTGAGGCTTCTGTAGGCATTAAATAGAGCAGGACTGATGTCATAAAAATCGATGACTAATCACACAGCGGTACGGCGGACTGCACATACCAGCTGCGCAGTGTTTTTGGCGATTTCCAACAAGCATTATGCCTTGCCACTGAACAAGCGCTGAAGGTGGCCCCGGACACGAATATCGTCAGACACATCTCCAATCAAAGTAAACGACACGAGATGAACACAAACAGAGAACAGAAAAGGGAACAAAGGCGAGAATGGCTCTGTGGAGCGGATAGGATCCTCGGGTTGGCCCCGTCAAGTGCGGAGGCGGACTGATTAATGCAAGCCTAGATCCATCGACAGAAGGCGTCGATATTCCGTATTATTTAATGTCTGTTTTGCCGCCAGCCGGTTAACTTTACTGGCATCGCACAGGGCGACAGGCATTGGGAGTCCTTCATTCCCTTCCAGTGTTGGCCAGGCTACCATGGGTGCACGCCCGTCTGGAAATGCCTGCAGGGATCTGTCTGCATGTGCGGATTAATCATTACAGAGTTGCTCCTCAATAAAATAGCATGAAATATGCCAAAATAAAAATAAAACAAATAACAATGATCCTCCGTAATGTAATAATAAACGCCCTGGGACAACCGGAAAAGCGCTCTCTCTCTCTCTCTCTCTGTGCGGACGCTGTAATTACACGGAGATGCTGCTATCTTCTGCCTCATGAACGGGCTCCTCTTCACTGCCTCTCTGCTATTGATCAGGTCGATCTTCTTCCGTTGCACGCGAAGATCCTGCGGCGACGGACGGCTGTGCCTCTGGCCCTGCAACCTCGCCTGTCTCGCCCAAGAGGGCTTTCTCAGCACTAATCATCCGTCCGTGTTGACGCTGACCCCCTTCCTTCACCTCGCCATCGTCTCATCTCTCTTCCGCTGCGGATGCCTTTCATTCACCTCAATGCTTCCTCGCCGCCTGTCTTCACCCGCTGAAAAGGAGATGTATCACCTTTGATCCTGCTGTTCTGTTCCTCCCGACCGGTACTATCCCAGTCGTCATTCCCACGCAGCACGGAAGACGTGCGAACCTTTTTCACCCTCTGCTATTTCCTCCCTGACGCCCATCTCCATCCCATCTCCGATCCGCTGCGTGTCATAATTGACATCACGAAGACTCTCTCTGTGGAAACCCAGTCTCTTCTTTCCGTCTTTCCTTCGAGTCTTCTCTGGCAACGTAGGAGATAATCGACACCGACGACCTCGACCTCCCCGTTCCCACTGCAGTCCTCATTCCTCCCTCTTATTTTTTTTTAACCTCCTTTTCCTCAGGGTCCCGCTTCTCGTGCGACCAACAGTCCCCTGGCACTCGCCATGTCAACGCCCACTACGGCTACGGCGACTCATCCCTCGCATCACCAGCGCTACGGGTACTCTCACCATCAGGCGTACCAGCCAACCACATCGTATCCGACCTCTACCGCCGATGCCGCTCGCCTAGCCAACTCGTACGCCTACGCCGTCCACAACCCCCTTCCGACTAATACCACTCTCTCATATACTCCATCTTCCAAGATGGTGCCCACGGGCTCCGTTCCGAACGCAGTATCCTCGACGTCGAGCGTATCCTGTTCTGTCGGTCGCAGTGGAGGGAAGAAGAAGCCGGACTGGGGCGAGTTCTACAAGAATGGTATACCAAAGGAAGTCATCGTCATTGATGACAGTCCGGAGCCGTCAAATACGGTCTCACGAAGTACCGTTGCCGTTGCGAATGCGAACGGCAGTCAGGCACAGCCTGCTGGCAAAAGAAGAAAGACAGGCCTAGAGTCGAATTATGACGTTGTATATTACGATCGTCCGTCGTATTCTATCAACCCTCAACCCTACGGGGAAGATTCATCGGCGGGATCAATCTCGACCGATCGGACGACCTCATTACACACTACCGCTCCAACCTCTCTTGGGTCCCATGGGAGCTCCGGTGCGAGTGCTGGGATTTACTATGAAGATGCCAATGTTGGCCAAAAGAGGAAGCGTGTTACCACTCGCAAGTCCGCTCGGGACGAGCAGAAACGACGGGAGTTGGAAACTTTTGGGGATGCCTTCTTGAGCTATATCCCCCCTCCTAACCCACCTATCAAGGCCAAGGAAGTGCCTGTACCGGTGATTCGTGATGTAAGCACTCCCCTCTCTTGCCAGGCCCCTCTTCCGTCGTTCTGGTCGATGGTGATGTTGATATTAAATTCAATAGTACGGTCCTAGAGAAAAATTCGATGACGACGATGGCCACTATATCGTGACTCCAGATGCACCCCTAACCGATCGATGTGAGTATCACCCCTGCGACTCAATACTTGATCGGGTGCTAACCCGGAGACAGATTCCATTATTAAATTACTCGGCCAAGGCACCTTTGGGAAGGTGGTTGAGGCCTACGATAAGCACCGGAAGACACGCTGCGCAGTGAAAATCATTCGTTCGGTACAAAAGTACCGCGACGCATCGAGGATTGAACTGCGTGTGCTGTCTACGCTGGCTTCCAATGATAAGGAGAACCGCAACAAATGCATCCACTTGCGGGATTGCTTTGACTTCAGAAATCATATCTGCATCGTCACAGATCTACTGGGGCAAAGTGTGTTCGATTTCCTCAAGGGTAACGGTTTTGTACCTTTCCCCAGCACCCAGATCCAAAATTTTGCTCGCCAACTCTTTACTAGCGTCGCATGTGAGTTTTCATCTCCCCCTATGTGGCTCTATCTTACTGATTCGTATATAGTCCTTCATGATCTTAACCTCATACACACCGACTTAAAACCCGAAAATATTCTTCTAGTCAGTAATGCCTACCAGACTTTCACCTATAATCGAACAATTCCGTCATCCTCCCACGCCACCTCCAGGAATGCTCGCCAGAGGCGTGTACTGCTGAATAGTGAGATCCGGCTGATTGACTTTGGCTCTGCCACGTTCGATGACGAGTATCACTCGTCAGTCGTCTCCACCCGGCACTATCGTGCTCCGGAGATCATTCTCAATCTCGGGTGGAGTTTCCCTTGTGACATTTGGAGTATTGGATGCATCCTCGTCGAATTCTTCACAGGGGATGCACTGTTCCAAACACACGACAATCTAGAACACCTCGCCATGATGGAAGCCGTTATTGGCCGCAGGATAGATGCCAAGCTGGTCAGACAGGTAATGCAAGGAGGACGGAACGGACATCAGAATCAAGCAGCCAAGTATGTCTCACTCTCGTGGTCATATATACCCATTGTGCATGTGTCCATCGTACTGACTGCTTGGGAAGATACTTCAACAGAAGCAAACTCGACTATCCTAATGAAGAGACAACAAGGTCATCAAGAAAATATGTGAGGGCTATGAAACGGCTGACGGTACGACTGTGCCCTTGATCCTCCTGCGAGGCCAACTCGCTAACTCTCAATGAAGGATTTTATTCCTACGAATACACCTTTCAACAGACAGTTTCTGGACCTCCTGCAGCGGATCTTTGTTTACGATCCTAAAAGCCGAATCACGGCCAAGGAGGCATTGAAGCACCCTTGGTTTAAGGAGTCACTTATTGATGACGGTACTGAGGCTCTCCGGATCGGTATGCAGCTGCAGCGCAACGGCCGTGCCTGACCTTTGACCCTACTGTCCGTGCCAGACTATCATCCCTGCTGGGGGTAATTTGGTTATTCTTACGGCCGTTGAACGGTCCTGTTATTTTCTCTTGCCCGTGAAGCAAGCACGCTTTAACTGTGTAGGGTACGGCAACGGATGGATGGCTTGGTTTGAATGGCAGTCATCAAGCATGGTACAGTGGCACGTCCAGTGCTGCAGCTGATCCTTGCTTGAAAAAGCAACGGCTTGATTCAGTGTCTCATTTACTTTGATTCATCTGCATTACCTGTTTGTGTAGGCGCTCCTTGACTGTCATGTGGAAGGGAGGGAAATGGAGACAGGAATTGAGTCTTACTTACAATGGAAGGGGGCCCGTGGCTTTTTCTTTTTATCTTGCCGTTTTATTTCTGCTGAGGCCAGGCCGGACTAGGGGGCTTTGTGTGGGATTACCTTTTTCTTCCTTCCTTTCACTCTTATTTCTCAACATCCTTGATATGATTTGATTGACTTTTTATGTTTTTATGGGGCGCTGGTGATATGATACGGGCTTTATATCGTGCATAGGCTTTTTTTCATCATCTACCTGGTAACGCGGCGCTGGTCGTATCCCGGCCAATGTCTCCTTCTCGTTTACACATTTTTCCTTTTATTCCGTGATTTACGGCCTGCATTTTCTTTTGCTTTATTCCCCGGATTACATTACACTATCCATGCCTTCCCTTAGTTTTTTGCCTTTTTGAATTCTTTCGAGAATTTCTTCTTTTGTTTCCTCCCCCTTCCTCCTCGCCTTGGGTTTTCTTTTTTTTTTCTCTTTTGTGTTAACGGCCATCTGTCGAGCAGGCTGGAATGGTATGAATGGATCAGGAATATGAGAGGGACTAATGGAATAATACCCATCCATGGCTGGCGACAAAGTAGTCGAAAAGCAGCAGTCAGGTTATATCAACTGTGCAGATTCTTTCCATGTTTTCTCCCACAGTAGTATAGTTATCTACTACGACAGATTCCTGGAGTGGAAGGAGTAGGTCTTATCTTATCGAATCTTATCGCGATAACCCGGACCGGAACAACAAATACCCGCCACCGTCCCGCCATCCCACATCATTTCTCCATGCGTGACTCAAAGAAAATGCCCGTCTTCGACAGTTGATCTGGTACATGTCTAGCACACATCACCACCATGGCCGTACAAGTCCAGTCGAAGGATGAGAAGCTCGCCCTTATTCGGGAGAACCTCCAGGAGATTCTCAACCCGGAGATTATCGAAGAGGTCCTGGATAAGGGGGAGACGCTCCGGATTTACTTTGGTCAGTTAACCTTTTTTTTTATGGATTGGGTGTTGTTTTCTTTTTCGTTCCTCTGTTCCGGTTATTGTAATTGCTGATTTTATCTTTGTGCAGGAACTGCCACGACGGGGAAGCCTCATTGTGGATATTTCGTTCCTGTGAGTTGATTGATCCCCGTTGTATTCAAGCAACCCATCTCGTTTCGATTCAATTGACCGTTCAGGCTATGAAAATCGCCCAATTCCTCCAAGCAGGCTGTCATGTCAAGATCCTCCTCGCCGATATCCACGGGTTCCTGGATAATCTCAAGGCCCCTATTGAACTGGTCGAGTACCGCGCCAAATACTACAGATACTGCATTACGGCTCTGTTGAAGGCGGTCAATGTGCCCATTGACAAGTTGGAGTTTATTTTGGGGAGCTCCTACCAGCTTTCATCGGTATGCATGCGTTTGCGCATATTTTCGCTCTTTATATATATTTCCTGGATTCTTTCGGGCTGCGTGGGTTCTGATCTCCGGGTAGAAATATGTCATGGATGTTTATCGACTTGCCTCGCTGGTTTCGACACATGGTATGTATGCATTTGCCCTTTTGGAAAAGGGAGGGGGCGGGTATGGGAGGAGTGACTTGCTCGTTAAACTAACATGTTGGTAGATGCGAAGAAATCCGGAGCAGACGTGGTGAAACAGTCTGATAACCCTCCTCTTAGTGGTTTAATATATCCGCTACTTCAGGCGCTGGATGAAGAAGCGTTGGATGTTCATGCTCAGTTCGGTACGTTGATACTGCTGGAATCAGATCTGGGGGGAAACGCCTATTCTAATGTGCTGAATACAGGAGGAGTCGACCAGAGAAAGATTTTTGGTAAGTTGTCTTATTCTCTTGCTCTTTCCTTTTGTATGACTTGCTAATTTTAATGTTCAGCGCTGGCCATCGATGTTTGAACCCCCAACCCTAAAAATGCTGCTTGTCGCCTTACTTATAATTACTCCAGGCTCTTCCTAAGCTAGGCTACAAACCTCGGGCCCATTTATGTACTCCCATGGTTCAAGGTCTCACGGCAGGCAAAATGTCTGCAAGTGACCCCAACTCCAAAATTGACCTTCTTGACCCCCCAGACGTTGTCACCCGCAAGATCAAAAAGGCCGTTGCTGTCCCCAAGGAGGTAGAGAACAATGGTCTGCTTGCTTTCGTGAGGCATGTGCTATTGCCCGCCAGCTCTCTGCTGGATGGGGAACGTAAGTTTACGATCGAACGTCAGGGCAGTGACCCTCTCATTTATCGCGATGCGGATGCATTGGAAGCAGATTATGCTACTGATGTGGTACGTCTGGTTTCTCCATTGACTTTTGACGGCAGATTGCTAATGCATTCCCTCATAGGTCACGCCTCAATTGGTATGTTTATGAACGCTGTCAAGCCGCCCATAGTGCCATCTGCAGAATACTAACAGCCTGACAGCTTAAACCCGCCATCATTTCCGCATTGCACAGACTCCTGGCTCCTATCCAGGAAGAATTTACGTCCTCGACAGAATGGCAAGAGGTATGTGTTCTATTGTTCTGGTATTTTGTACCACTGATCGATTTTTATACTTACATTTATTGCCCAATAGATTGAAAAGAAAGCGTACCCTGTTGAGGAGCCCAAGAAGAAGGTGAAGAAGGTGAAGAACAAGGGCACTAGACACCCTGGCGCAGCCAAGGAATCCGAGAAGGAAGCCGAAGAAGGCAAAGAGATCAAGGATGCAACCCAGGAGGACGTAGGGAAGAGCGCCTCTGAAGCCATTGAGAAGCTGTCCGTACAATCCTGAGTTAGCTGATCCGAAGGCGACTAGATGGTGCAGCATATGCCGAAGACGATGTCAATGTCAATAACCAAATAATAACCTAGACCGGCTTACTGTCCGAATCTAATTTCTCACTGCTTCTCATACTGCGTAGAAATTGCGAAAAAGGGCCCTGATTCGACGCGATACAACGCCGCTATCAATCACTGCTGCCAATAACGGAAATGGTTGAAACAGAGTGCAGGGCAGGCAGTAATTGAGCATGATTAGGATATACTCTTCCTGGAGGACTGTTCGTCCTGCAGCGTCTGTACCTAGTATTCCAACTGCAGACGTCTCTCTGCACACGCCTCTCTCCATAAATGCAGGCGTACTGAACATCCTCGTCATCGTCTCTGCAGCAGTCTTATCCTGGATCGAAGACCAGCGCTCCATCCAAGTCCGATCTGCAGATGATCGTTTCTCTGCAACCAGCATCCTAACTCCCTCGGATCCGGATATTACGGCTCATCGCGTCGTCGACTGCCGGACGCCGGTGATCTTGATTTTCATCGCTGATGATCTAGCATTCTGGCTTCAACGATGTCTGATGCTAATTGGCGCAAGAAAAACCAACAAGTCGGAATGTACGTTGGCGACTCTTCTGTCATCTTGCTGGTGAGTCCAGGAAATTGTGATATTTTGCGATCTATCCAAACTAATCTCAGAGCGTAGACTGTTGACAATTGTGGCGATATAACATAGCTCTCAGTTTGCACACTGATTTATTAAGAGCTATGCTCGGGCAGGGCACTGTCGTTCTCATTGAAAAGGACATAGGGCATAGTAGGGCTCACCAGCTTGTCAACAGGGCGCGGCTCAGTTTCTTCCAAAAGACTGATGCCGGATTGACTACCAATCGGTAAGTGTTTTATATGCTCTTGAAATGACGGCATGCTAAACTGTGGCAGATTCAGTCAGGATATGGACCACATAGACATGGCCCTTCCAGTTATGGCAATCAACACTGTAGAGAGCAAGAGGTCTATTCCCTGGTGACATAGTGATTCCTATTATATAAAAGGTTCGAAAGGTTCGCTAGTTGCTTCTCTCGCCCTATCCCTAGGTTTGGCCAGCTGCACTGTTGAACTCGTCATTTTCTGCATTATGGGAGAGTACCTTGCCATCACGGTCCCTTTCCTAGGACTTGTTGTCCTTGTCGTCCAAGCATACTACCTACGTATATCACGTCAGGTCTGAATCCTAGATATCGAAGCCAAATCCCCTCTTTTCACCCACTTCACAGAAACAATGCAGGGAATATCCGTCGTCAGGGCTTTGCACGGGGAACCCTCATTCGAAGAAACCCTACACGGCCACCTCAACCGATTGCAGAAGCCATTCTGCATGCTCTTCTGCATCCAGCAGTGGCTGCAGTTGGTCCTGGATTGCATCGTTGCTGTTATTACCGTCGTTCTAGTGTCCATTGTTACCTTTTTTAAAGTCCCGTCTTAGTCCTGGTGCTATTGTTGTCGCGCTGAATCTTGTTCTTACTTTTAACAGTACCTTGGCGAGGTTGATTATGAGCTGGGCTGCATTGGAGACTTCTATCGGTGCTATTTCTCGCGTGGAGTACTTTGTCAGGAAGACTCCGTCTGAAGGGAGAATGCGTGGGCCAGATTAGCGGCGTCTAACTGGCCTTCCAAGGGCGCTGTTCAGTTCGAGGATGTCACGGCTAGCTATAGGTTCGTTTGTATCTATTACTGCCTGGTATTACCTGACTATATATCACTATTTTCACACTACAAGGAAGATTCATCATGTAACTCATTATCTACAATGAGGTGTCTATATAGATACATATCGTAGAGGTACAAACGACGTAACAAAAAGGTAGCAGGGAGAGAGGACGTCCATCGAGAATAAGATGGAGGAGATTGAGTAGAAACCACATTTTCCAAGATTAGTAGTAAATAGTATGCAAGCGTTCGCCAATGTTGTTATTAAATAATTTTTCCTTTTTCATCCCTCCCTTTTCATATTTTCCACCGTGAAACACATGCCATGATCGATAATGAAATCAACAGTACCCCTCCCAGTCACAGGGCATTGGGACGGGCAGCCCGGGTGGACTCTTTCGTGGAGCCGGTGGGGATGAAATATTTTCGAAGCCGGATACGGGGTCACTCTCCATTAATTCCTCCGGAACTGGGAGATGGTGGCCGAAGACAGCATCCCACTGGTCCCAGTCGAAATTGAGGCTGGGGTCCATGAGTGATGGGAGAGTGGGTACGGCCATCATACCCTGGCTGTTAGGGGAAGCGGTGGGAGTAGAGAAGCTAGTGTCCATGAAAGAGGGGAGTTCGGAGGGCGAATTGGTGAGTGCAGGTTGTTGGGTCAGCGGAATCGTCGGATGGAAGGGACCCATGCTTTCAGGTGAAGAGACCATGGATGCAGGCAGGGTTATATCTAGAGGGCGAGTTGTCGAGCCATTGGTATTAGTATTGGTAGCGGTGTGTATGTTCTTATTGTTTCCCGCCGTCGGAGAGTAGGTATATTGCGGCGTGGGAAGACGAAGCGGCGGTGTGCTGGGTGCAGAGGTTGGGGCCGGCGGGAGAGGATATGCATATCTCAAGGGGCTGGGACGCATGGGCGTCGGGTTGGGAAGCATGTGTGCGCGGGTCATGTTGAAGAATGTCTTTGAGAAATCTGCAAATTGTCGGTCGAGAACAGGCCGTTGTGTGGGAACCTGAGATGGGGGAACCAGAGAAGAACTGCCACCATTCCCGCTGCTAGCATTATCGTAAGTGGCCTTCAGAGGGTAGTGGTAGTAGGGATCAGATCGATCACGATAGTCTTCTGAGACTGACGCCACGCCGGCTTGGATTTGAGCGTACTCCGTCCAGAGCTGCTGCGGATTCAAGCCAGCCTTCTGCCACGCCTTCTGTCGCAGCCGGCGGATCATGTCCCAGGCTTCGCGGCCACCGTCTTTCAGAGGACGAGCTGTCGTGATGCCATCCTCACCGCCAACTACGCCCCCGTCTGGCCCGGTGAGCGAGAATATCTTGTCAATAAAGGCGCGCGATTTGGGCGCCTCGGGACTGTACGGTCGTTCGTAGAGATCGATAAGCATTATCCTGCGAGAGTTAGATTGACTCGAAGACGCAATATTGAAAAGACTGGACATACATAGTTGCATGCATTGGTTGGTGGTTGCTGTAAGATTTGTGTTAGAATAGATATACTATAAGATGCAATCAATGGCTTGGAAAAACTCACCCTGGCCAACTCCACTGAAATGGCTGGAAATCAGGATCAGTCGCAAGGAGAATGAACTTTTCCATGAATCCATGGCAGTGACGGAGAGCACTGTGCGAGATTAGAAAAATTATGCCTAGCAACGCTGCTGATGGTGTGTTGAGCATACCTTCGCCTCGCTGATGGCCAGATTCGGCTTTTCGCGTTCTTCAAGAAAGGCTGGTATGCGACACAAAAGGCCTGCATAGAACCAGTCAGCTAGTCGGGACAGTACATCCGGTGGGAAGGGCGCATCACCTTATCGATGAACAACGACAGGAGGATTCTTGCCCATTTGTGAAAAGCGACGAGGACAGGCGAATGATATTGTTCCGCGCACTGCAAGGGGCCTTCTCCCGGAAGCTCAGTGTCACTTGCCCTCCCATCGGCCGGAGAACGGTATGATAATGCTGCAGGTGAAGTCGAGGAGAGGGAGGATGCATCCGAAGGTCCCACTTCCGGAATCCGGTTGACTATAGACTTTAGCCTGACCTGGAGATCTAGCAGAATCGACCGCAGTTCCTCCATGTCGCTTCGAGTTACCGATTTCGTCCCAAGCTGAATTTTCAGGATCCGACGAACCGCCCCTGCAAACGGGTCATTAGTACCCGCCAAAGACTTAAAACGTTAAGTCGGACTCCACTTACTGGCCATTATGTATTTCCCTCGTGCAGAGAGGTAATAGACATTCACCATGGAAGGACCACCACACAGAGTCGGGCTGTCAGGATTGTCTGGTGCGCGCATACCGGTACCCACCAGTCGTTCATACTGAACGGCTTCCGGGGTGCCCAGGAGTGTGTCCTTGACCTCACTCGTCTCCTGTACGTCCCAATAGTTCTCGTCGCTGACCAAAGGTGGTAGGCCACTAGACATGGCAACAACCCCGTCCATATGCACTATGTGCCACCACAGTCGACGCCGATATTCCGCCTCGCAGGTGCCAATGCCGAATTGTGCAGGATCACGATGTAAGCCCATTGTCTGGGCAACTCGCATAGCGAGGCTGATAAACAGACTGCTTGTCAGGGGCTCCTCCTCCTTGGAGAGGATGGTCTGAACGAGTAGGTACGCAGCAAGACCCTGCAGCGAAGGACTGCGAGGGAACGAGATCTTGGTCAGCCACCGAGTTGTCTCCTCACTATATGTCTTTGATAGCGCGGATCGAGAAGCGATGTTAAACTCGGCTTGGATTGTCCGTATGGATATCGTAACCGAGCCACCATACCAGATGGCGTAAAGCAGAGGGATGAATGTCGGTTCCGGACACGGCTCACCCGAGTAACTACTATTGTCGTACCAATCCCAAAATGCATTGTACATTTTGAGGACCGTCGGGGGATGGATGACAGGACTGATGGCATGTACCCCAGACATGAATCCCTTGTATAGTATATGGCTTTGTCGTTTGCTAGGGACATGATGGAGCGTCTCCGGCTCGACTGCCTTCTCGTTGACTGAAGGGGAGTCGCCTGATGGGAAGAGAACAGATTTCTGAAAGCTTGAAGAGTTTGTCTCCTGCCCGTTCGCTTGACCATGCAACGTCGTGCTCGATAGCCCCGGAGTTGTCTGATCGGTCATCGTTGTCTCGGTTGGGCTCTCATCAGGATGCGAGACATTATGGGAGCGACTCTGGTCTCTGAGTAGCTGATTGAGGTCGTTAATCTACAAAAGGGTTATTTTGTTAGCTTCTTGCCTTTAATTCGAAGTAACTCACTTCGCACCAGCGTACCTCGTGTGATATATAAGCCCAGTAAGTAGTCCCAACGTATCTGATGAATCCCAAGATTAGACTCCGATGCATTCGGTTCTTCAGTAGCAGAGGAACTTACCTGGATCTCCCTCCATCTTCCAAGCTCAGATGGCCGAGGTTCAAACTCCCCACTGGATCAACAGGGTCCGTAGCACGTCCAGATGGGATAGGGAATTCATCACCACTGGATTCGGCCGCACGACGTGGACTAGGAGGGCACTCACTCATCCGGTGGTCCCTCTCAGACTTGAGACTCTGTGCCACGTATTGCCGGTCCGCGGGATCCAAGGGCTGGTTTGTGTTGTTGAGTTTCTCTATCATCGACGACAGTTTCTCCAGCCGGGCCTTGATCGCCTCTGGTCCCGACCGACGGCCGTGAGGATCATCACCGTCGACATAATCTGGCAACTGAGATGAGCCTCTCTTCCTTTTCACAGAATATCCACTGCCGGTGTCTTGGTATTTCCGAGAATTGGGACCCTTGATCGTCGTATCGTAGACACATTCAGCTCCGTTCTTGGAGCAGTTCCCGCACACTGGATGGACCTGTGGCGATGAACAAAGGCAGTTAGTTAGCGCTGTGAGGCCAAGGGGGTAATCTTTTTAAATAATGATATCAGAATACCTTGTCACACTTGACCTTCCTCCTACGACATGTATGGCAGCTGTAGCTGGCGCGGTTGCGAGTGATCTGACGACCTCCAGCAAGAGGACCTTTCCCTTTTGAAGGCTTAGGAACGGACGGGGAATTCGATGACCGAGAATAGGAACTATTGAACTGAAAAGGGGATACAGACTCTTTCTGTTGCTGCTGCGCCTGCGCCTGCGCAAGCGAGAGCCCATAATCGGGCTGACTGCTGGCCGTGTTGGGGATCATGACGCCTTTGGAGGAACGACGCGGGGTTGATGGATGGGATCAGCCCGTCGGTGGAATGGGAGCGTTGTTTTCCACTCATTCAAGAGTTGCGCATGGTAGAATGCAAGTCTTCTCCTCGCTGACCGTCTTTCTCTCTTCTGGTAGCACAGGCTGCAGTGGTCGGAGTCGTCCTACCCGATTGCCGGTTTTCTGGGGTAGATGCAAGAGGCAACCAGGAATCGGCTTGTCAAGGCTCTGCGCATCTGCGCAATTCCGCCACGGCGATCGGGTCTGTCAGCTGCTGCTGGCTCAAATTCGCTTCGAGAAAGTGAGACACGCCTCCAATTCCCGTCTGAGCATCCAAGCTACCAAGTAAGGTTAATTTCGGTATGCGGTTGAGGGTCCTGGTTGCATGTGTTGCCTTATCCTCGTCCACTAGTAGCTTGCCGGTCATGCAACAGTTGCACCGTGGAGAAGGCAGCTAATGAAAAATAATACAAATTATAATATAATACAATTTCTGTCGCCATTATTCCGTAAAATGTGGTATTAGGAAATCAGAAAACGCGTGTTCACTGGATATGAAAAATAGCAAAAAAAAGTACGCCCGTCGCCGTGCAATGCAACCCATAAGAACTGAATAAAAAGGACATAACACAATCTCAAAAAAAGAGAGCCTGATTTGTAAACGAGGTTCATGCCTTGCCCTTCTTCTTGTCTTTCTTCTTCTTCTCACCCGTGGCCGGTTCGCTGGGCATACCCGGCATTCCTGGCATTCCTGGCATTCCTGGCATTCCTGGCATTCCCTGCATATTCTGCATTTCCGCCATGGCCTCCTTGAACGGGTTATCGCTGACCCCACCGCCGCTATACGCGGGTGAGTGGATGGGGAGAATCTTTCCGATTTTCCAGCCTCGCGGGGCAGGAGGGGCGTCTGGCAGTTTCTCAGGCATTGGAAGACCTCGAATTCGCAGACGATAAGGCGACTGTTCCGTGGTCGGGTGGGCCTTTAGGTACTGCGCGACAAGAATGTAGAGGTGGTGTTCTGGGCTGCAGTTAGAATAACGCAAGACAGACAACGAGAGCAAAAGTATAGACAACAAAAAGAGACATACTATTCTTGATCTTAGGATTCACCAACCTCCCGTTACTATCCTTAAGCATAACCCTCACACGGCCTGGATTTGTCCAGTCCTTGGGATGGAGCTTCTCCGGCTCGAATCCAGCGCTTAAGCCTAGCATTTGCACGGCATCCACAATATCCCTGGCCAGCGGATTTTCCACCGCTAGTTCAGCACCGACCTTGCGACCCTCCGTGCGCGACCGTGATTTATCGAAGTAGACCGGGTAGAGGCACTGGAAGTGCTTGGGGATCTCGCGTTGCAGATCGGGGGGTGGCCTTGCAGCCATCGGGATGGCCCCCGGAGAGATGAGAGAGGGAGCAACCTCTTCAGGATCGGAATCGACCTCCTCAACGCGTGGATTCTGGGACATGTCTGCTGCTGGCTGTGCCTAAGGAGGTGGGGAGGAGAGATGGGAGAGCGCGATGCTTCTGCGTGATAAAGTTTAGCGGATGTTTGTGGGGTTTGTCTGATCGGAGTGCCGCAACGCTGTCTTTGCTGCAGTTGTAATTTTTGTTGACCCTAGTTTCCTACGGTAATTAGGCCCCCTGGGCTGACCCTTCTACTTGATCTAATTAAGCATTTTAACTTGGCATGCAAGCTGATTTTGACGGTGTACGGCCTTGCTTTGGTATCATATCCATCTAGGGTGCCTCTAAACGCCAAGCCATTCCAGTACAGGAGGCCCTCGAGCATCTGCCTAGTACCTATTATACAGTCCATGCCATGACCGCAGGCATGCTGAGTCTACATAAAGCCTTGGGTTAATCCGTGTCCTCCTTTGACCCTGGTTCAAACAATCTTGCTGGAGTGATTCCTCGGAACTGAATACAGCAGGCACACCCGGTTTGTGCAATAGCCGTACACCTTGACGTCTTGCTTCTGCTTTGCATAATTCACCGGCGAGCGATAATGAAGGAGAGGGTCTTCCACGGCAGCTGCAAGAAGGTCAACAGCATCCCCAACTGTCGGTACAGGCAGGAGCCTTCAGAACCCAATTGTATGTGCAATTGTGTCGATCTCGATGTTTTCGAACCAAGTCATGCTCTTTGGTATAAAAGCCACAGGGTCTTTCAAGTCTCATGTTGCCCAGGCGTCATTGATGGTCCTAGAGCTTGTAATGGGGGCTGTAAGTTCCTGTTCCAGTTCAGATGGTTTCTCATCGTACTGAGGCGGCTTGCCGGTGTTTTCATTGCTATGGACCAAATTTGTCGTCCTCATCTCCGTTAGCTGCTGAAGACGCTGTAATATAGAGCGGCCACGGCCTTTTTCAGTCACATATCTCCTGATCCACTCATTCTGGGGGCAAGATTTCCTTCGTAGTACCTATCCTTTTCGACGAGACGCTTCCGTGCATTTTCAAAGGCTCTATCGCACTTGGGCTTGAAAGACATGTTGGTGCTGGCAATAGTTCAGAGGCAGAATAGGAATGTGAGAACAAATCATCTTCTGAGAGGCGAGGGGGTGTCATCTGCAAGCCATAACTTTCTCCAGAAATTGAGCTGGAGTCGTATGGTAATGGTGGTATCGATCGAGTCTACTTGACACGGTTCTAGTAGCTAAACGGACGTTGATGTCCTTGTTACCGAAGGCTGCAAGAGGAATTGCATATACAGACAAGAAGACATCATGATGCGCATGATGGATGTGAATCCATCCATAGAGATATATAACATCCATTGAACATGAGACCTTAATGCGACCTAGTGTATACAACTCTATTCCTTACTGTCCACATCCTCATGTTTGCAGATTTCCGGGGGGTCAAAGGCGACGTATTCGCTTGTTATCTATCCTACTGAAATAGTGACTGCAATAAGAAATGGAATCCCGTTCTCACCATTTTCCAAAGACCCAAGACGGTTGACGCAATGAGGGGTCTGGACTAAAGCGCAGTAAATTGTAGATTTCATGAGGCATGACTCTGATCAACTAGGATCTAAGTATGAAAATGCAAAATGGCTATGACAATGGTGAAACGGCTAGCCAAAGGATCAGGTCTCTGTTCCTCTCCTGACACATAGTCTAGGTCCTTGGCACCGGCATCTTTCTCGTGCGTTCATTCATGAAATTTTGCCCTTGGAAGGAAGGAAACGAAACAAAAAAAGAAAAAAGCTATGCCTGGCCTCGCTTAGACCTTCATCTCCTCGAGACCGTGCTTCCAGAGGGTAGCAAAGGGAGTAACACCATCCTCACGGAAGTCAATAAGAACGTGCCTGTCAAATGTTAGTATCCAGTGGGCAGATATGAAAGAGAGGAATAAGCACGTACATAGAGTCACCATCCATGGACTGGCCCATGAGGACATCGTAGTTGTCGTAGTTGGCAAGGATCTTCTTAACGGCACCGGGGGCGCCCTTCTTGAATGCGTCGATAGTCTCTGGGGAGGCACCGGTCTCCTGGAGTTTGGTGAGGACCTTCTTGACGTAGGCTAGAGGGAGAAAGTAAAAATGTTAGTAACCGATGGAAAACCCTAACCGAAGACTCGGACGAGATAAGACTAACTCTTCAGGTGGGACTTGAAAGCATCCTTGGAAGGCTTCATGCCCTCCTCAGTCTTGAGCCAGACAAGACGGAACTGGTCCTCAATGTCGTGGACCATGACCTCACCACCCTCTTCACCACCCTCATCGGCTTCCTCAGCGGAGGGGTTGGCACCCTCGAGCTGGAAGTCGTCGCCGCCAGTCTTCTTGAGGTACTTGCGGCAATCGGTCTCGATCAAGACGCCATCAACCTCCTTGAGGTTAAAGGTATCGGAGAGGAGCTCGTCTCCGGAGATGATGTCCTATGAGGAGGAACAGCCGTTAGCATATTTCGCATATATTGTCGATTGATCTGGTTGAGAAAACCAAGTGAGGGTCGTACCTTGTAAATGATCATGTTGGCGGTATTGTATTGAACGAGGCAGAAGTGGGTCGGTGAAGAAGAGAAGGTGATAATCGAGTGGTTTGAGATAGGGGAGGATTCGAAGGGGGGAGGAAAGAGGGTTAAAATAGGAGGCCAAAGAGGGGAAATTCTGAGGTTTTTCGCCTCTTTTTTTCCTCTGAATTTTGGCAGTTTTGGTGGGGCAACTAGCACTAGGCCCGTTTTGGCACAGATCTAGTGGCGGGGGAGCGACCAGGGCGATTCTTCCACAGAACGCGGTCTGTCGGAATGCAGATTATTGGCGCTGGGAGAGAGAGGAGAAGAGACGACGCCTTGAGAGTCTCGAACAGGCAGGAGAAAGATCCGCCAACAACCATGGATGAGCAAGGCGAAATCAATTCCTCGAGAAGCATCGAGATTCGAGACCTCGTGGATCACATGATATATACGCCTGAGGCATCAAGGAATCCAGGCACAGGGATTCTATTTCATAGTGCATAACATATATCAGTACCTCCGGAGGACTCACTTAACATGCCATGGCTCTCCCAAATCATCCCATACCCCAGAATTATCAATTTCTCAATTGTGCAGAGTCCAGCTCACCCATCTTATGATCCCCATCGTGCCACAATCCGCTGGCTGCATACTGCATTCGACTGTCGGTCGGGCTCCATCCAATCTTATTTAGATTTGCCTCTCCCACCGCCTCCTGCTGCATCTTCCCGTCCGCTTTTTTCTCTTGTCATACGGGGTCTTACTATTGCCAACCTGACAGCAACGGAGGGAAGCAGATATATTTATATTTCTTACTTCCTGGAGGAGTTTGCCACTTCTTCCATACTTCGTGTACTTGCTTCCCTGGTTTGTGGTGTCACTGGTCTGTCTGTTTCGCAGCTTGGAGTCAATTTCAAGCTTCATCCTTGTCACCTTGATATTTGACCTCATCGCATCATATATACTAGTCTTCTCGTTGGTTTGGTTAGATTTGGTCTCGTTCAGTTACAATGGCATCCAATGCCTCTGCTCCATTCGATCTCCCCCCCCTCCCGGCTTACACGCTGACTCCACGCCCTCCGCTTCTGCCTCCGATCCCAGATAACATCCTGGCCCTCATCTTGCCTGTCGTCGCCTATTGGAGCGTGTCCATGATCTTCTACTACATCGATACCAAGGACTTGTTCCCCCAGTACCGCCTACACACCCCCGCCGAGCTACTCAAGAGGAACCATGTTTCCCGCCGCGACGTTGTCAGGGACGTCATTTTGCAGCACATCATCCAGACTATCGCCGGTCTTGTGGTGGCCTATTTCGACTCTACCGAATATACGGGCAAAGAGGAGTATGACGTTGCTGTCTGGGCTCGCCGCATCCGCATCTCCCAGAAGGCTCTCCCTGGCCTTTTGTCTGTAGTCGGAGTCGACGCAATGGGCTTGGCGAAGAAGCTTGCGCACAATGGATTCGTGACGCTTGGGGGAGTGCTGGCTGGTGGCTACTACCCTTCTGCTGTTCAGAAAGTTGCACTTGACAATGGCGTTGAGACTCTGGTGCCTGCATTCGCCGACTGGGAACTCACGGTCGCCAGTTTCATCTACTGGTACTTTATCCCGGCCCTGCAGTTCACCTGGGGTGTTCTTGTCGTGGATACTTGGCAATACTTCTTGCATCGTGCGATGCATCAGAACCGCTGGCTCTATGGTAAGTGTTTCCTTGAGTGAATTCAGACCACCAAGTGATCACTGTTCTAACAATCCTTAGCTACTTTCCACTCTCGCCATCACCGACTCTACGTCCCCTACGCCTTTGGTGCTCTTTATAACCACCCGTTTGAAGGGTTCCTACTCGACACTGCCGGCACCGGAGTCGCATTTTTGACTTCGATGATGACAAATCGTCAGAGCATGTGGTTCTTTACCATGTCCACTATCAAAACCGTCGATGACCACTGCGGCTATGCCTTCCCCTGGGATCCTTTGCAGAAGATTACATCAAACAATGCCGCCTACCATGACATCCACCACCAGAGCTGGGGCATCAAGACCAACTTCGCCCAACCATTCTTCACCTTCTGGGATAAGCTCCTCGACACTAACTGGAAGGGCGGTGATGTCAAACTTCGTTATGCACGTGCCAGGGATGCAGCCCAAAAGAAGTTGGATGAAGACGCACCTACTGCAGCGAACACCAATGGTGTTACGACAAACGGTAAGTCCACTGCCACAGAGTCCAGCAATTTCAACGGCAACACGAAGCCACAGAAAACGACAACCGCTCTTCCCGAGAACGTCCCTACTCCCAAGAATTTGGTGACGAACGGTGCGACCAAGGCATAGAACTTTTTTCGCACTCTCACATTCTCTATACATAATGAGTTGTCAGACGCGTCGTTGTAATCTGGATTACAGTTCAACCCGCCGTCGCTTGTATATGGACTTGTTTACTATACTGTACTAATAGTTGAGGGTTTCGAGGTACTTCCTGCTCCTTCTCAGTCTGCCGGACATTTTTCTACTCAATTTCTCTATAAAATTGGTTATTTCCACAGGAATATTTCTTTTAATGGATACTAAATTTGTAATTAATGACCATGCTATGCCTTTTTCTTCATCACTTTTTCTCTTCGTGTTTGGGATATTCAATTTTGTCTACTTGACCTTCTGAGGATGTATGCTTGCCCACAATACCACGGCTCGTTGGATTCCCAGATAAGGGTGGTGTGGGTGATACCGACCGCATGGAGTCATTATCATCCTCAACGCTGCGTACATCGCCCCCAAGGTTACCATGGTTGCCAACGTCGGTGGCTTCTTCCGATCGTTCCCTGCTCGTATCGCCGCTGTTCTCCTCTACAGGGGTGATGGGCCGTGAGGATTTTCCCGAAAAAACGGGTGGTGTGGGTGATACTAACCGCATGGTGTCATTATCATCCTCAACGCTGCGCACATCGTCCCCAAAGTTACCATAATCTCCATAGTTGCCAAAGTCGACAGGTTCCAAGCGTTCTTTGCTCGTGTCACCATCGTTCTCCTTTTCAGGAGGGATATGCTGTGGGGATTTCCCCGAGAACAGGGGCTCTGGGATCAAGGTATGAGAATCGGAGCTGTTTGCACCGGTATCCTGGCTCGGCCAGTTTGTATCAGTATCCATTTGTGGAGAAGATAGTCCATCAGCTGAAGGGGGTATCGGAGAATAAGAAGAAGGGGGAGGAGAAGGAGAAGGAGGGGGAGGGGGAGAAATCTGAGGGCTAGAATTGTTTACTTCGTCCACCCGGTGTTGCTGGGATTGCGGCAAGTCCTCCATGCCATCGTCATGTCCCCCTTCTTCGTCTTCATCTTCGTGGTTGAGATGTTGAGTGGAATGGTTTGGGTTGTTATTAGCCTTGATTTCTCCATTCGAAGAGAATACCGTCTCGCTAACTTTCGGTGACAGCTCTGATCCTCTATCACCTCCAACCCAGCGTGGTTCTGTTTCAAGCCAGCTATGCAGGTCAACACCCTCGGTTTTCCTGGGTTCGTTGCGTCTAGCAGAAGGTCCAGCTTGGCCTTGTTCCTGGGGTTCATTGAGCCCACGAATAACAAATAGATTAAGAGGCGCGCTCTCATCACCTCTATGACGCCGTTCTCGCGAATGAGGGTTAGCTTCATGATGGGCATGTCGCTCTCTCCGACGAGATCTAAGGTAATGCTTCACAGCAACTTTCCTGGCAGCCTTGAACGCGGATGCCAAATCACTACTAGAACGGAACAACTCCGATGAGTTTTCATGATACTCAATGCATCCCTCCACGAATGGAGTCAACCGAGGCTCTTTATAGAACTTCCTCGTCCTAGTCCGACTCAGCAAGGTGATGCGTAGATCGCGCAGAATGTCCGGACTGGATCCAACCCGGGCCAATGCACAGGCTTCACATCGATTGGTCTGGTACGTCCAGGGTCTGTCTTCTGGCATCTCGCCCGAGAGCAACAAGCTATCATGCCGGGTCCAGATCCCCTTTAGCGCACGGAGGTTCTCAATGACCATCTTCTGTTCCTGGCTTATTTCTTTATCGTATCGAGGATAGTTCAGCATAACGTCCAAATGAAAGCCGACTTCCGCCTGCACCAACTCGAAGATATGTGCGATAACATGCGGATTCATCCCCCTGTGCGGGTCACATAGCTTCGCGGCCGGCACGATGAACTTCGGAACAAGCCGCATGATGAGGTTCCTCGATAGATTCGACGGCAAGTGCTTGATCAGGCCTATGATCTCGTATTTTGTCTTGCAGTTGTTCTCTATATGCAGGACCCCTGTTAGCTTTCTCCAGTCTTCACGGTCCAGCTCTTCCGCAGCAACCGGGTATAGGCGTTTTATGCTCATGCTGTACTGCAACCCCTTCGACGCTTTTGTTGCTTTGGGTTTAGATGGTGGCGTAGGTTGCTTGTTGTGTCTCTTGCGATCTTCAGGTGTTGACGGTGGTTCTGGCCTGGACTCGTTGGATTCCTTACGATGCCCGGCCTTTCGGGCCCTCTCTGGGATCTTGATGGACACTGTTTTCCCACGGATATGTACGCCGTCAACGCTGTCTGGCAATCCGGAGAGAAGGCTGGATGATAGGCTCTCGCTGTCGTCCCGGCGAGGACGATGATTGTAACGACGTTGGTCGCGACTCATAGTTGAAAGGGGTCGATATTGTATCGATGAAATGGAAATGGGATTGGGATGGGTTTTGAGAGGTTTGGAAGAAAGGAAAAAGTAACTCACTCTGTTCTTTTTTTTTTTTTTCTCTCTCTCTTTGTAATATGCAGGTTAACGTATGTTCACTTTGTTTCCCCTAGATTGATGTATGCCCGCAATGAGGACGATAGGATGATATTTATATGTTAAGCAGGCTTTGTTTCTTTCTCTACTTTCTTCCTGCGAAGAACCAGTTGAGGATAAAGACACCCCCGCTCTCTAGGATACCAACAGCATCAATCAATGAGTGGTAAACGGCATCTTCCGATATTTGCTACGAACAGGGTGGGTTCCGGACAGTAAGTACAATTTCAATCAATGAAAAGTACTCTATACCTCGTGATGGTTAGAACCCCCTTTTTCATCGGAGACCGTAGCCTTGGATGCGGAAAGAAAGAAAAGGAGAATGCCATGATCAAGCAGACGGCATTGAAACGCTGGATGGATGGAAATGTAAATCTCCATTTACCGTTGTCTACCATCACCATTGCCTGTTCGCCGATTCTGCAACTGAAAAGGAATGTAACTGGGACAAAGGCGTGTGACGGTAAAGTAGCGTAGGTATACGGCTCTTCCAGGCCTGGACGAAACCTCACTGACTAGTCGATCGAGCTCGAACTCATGGCATCATCGACGTTAGCATCCGGCAGAGAAATATCAGAGTCGCTCCGCATATCTTCCTCGCCGTTGCTATCACTTCCACTTTCACTTTCGAGATCGTTCGCTGCCTCAACGCCCGAGTCCATGGAATGATCTTCGTTAAGCGACTGGGCCATGTCGGAGTCAGAGTCGAAGTCGAAAATCGGAGTACCGAGATTCAACTCGTCGCCAATGGCGCCGATGAAGGGATCGTTGTTGGGGCCCACGTTCGACAGGAGATCATTGAGATCGATTTCATCCAGCGTAGGCTCCGGGCAAACCTGAAGAAACTCTTTCCCATCGGCGATGTCATTCCAGACAGGCTCGTCCTGGGCCCGCATGATGCGGAAGGGGAGGTATTCGGGCTGGGAAGATGAATTGGATTCCGTTCTGACATCCACATTGACACCACCGGCGTCGACGTGGTGACTGTGAGCGTTATCTCCACCCTCACGCCGGCATAGAAGCAGCTGCGTCCAACCGTACCTCCCTTTGTGTGAGAAATCACCGAAGGCGAGAATCTTCAGGTTTGGCAGGCCATCAGACCCGAAAGCCCAGACGGCGAACTCGAAGAGTTCCTCCATATCCATAAAACGATGGTCTGCCAATGGGCGATAACTGGAATTCTCAAAAACATCCATCCGCCGATCGTTTCTCATGGACGCAGGGACCTCTTCGTCCGGATATCCGGCTCGGACGAATTCTCCGACGAGGTTACGAGGGATATACTCGCGGCCGGTGATTCGGAAATGCAGAAGTTTGAGCCTCTTCGAAGGAGCCATGGGCCATAACTGGCACCTCTACGCAACACCGGAGGGTGGTGGTTAGCTTGTATACAGTAAACATGTTGCTCGCACTTACCATCACATCCGGATCGATGCAGGCACCCAATGCCTCCAGATTGAATACCTCGAGGACACCACGGAGATCTTCCTTATCAGAGTAGAAATCGAACATGTGCGTACTGGGCGTAGAGCTAGATCTCGGATGGTATGAATACCATCGCAATGTCGACCGGTGTTGAGCGATTGCGCTCGCGCTGACGATTCCCTCCATGAATCGAACATAGATGCTGAGACGAACGAGGCCGCCAAAGGATTCTAAAAATCGAGACAACACGACGGCTTCGTTCAATGGCGAATCTTCGATTTGTTCCTCGTTGTCTTCGAGCTCTTCGTCTGCCGCATCACCAATCCCAAACTCTTCATCGTCACTATCTTCGTCTTCTAGGTCCACGTGGTGATGGTCCAGGAGAGGAGCGTGATTATTCTCGCAGACAAACTCGAAGGTGTGTAGCCGGAGTCTGATTCTATTCACCATGATGCCAGTTAGGAAGTTCGGCGAATGCCGACAGTCACGAATCTTCAACGACCGCAGCTTCTCGGGACTGAAGCTGGGCAGAAGCACCAAATACGCCCGCCTCATAGAAACATTGTGCAGGGTTAGGTGCTTCAGAGATTGAAGCTGAAACGAGGAGAGCGATTGAGCCGGATGGAGCGTTCGTGGAGCAAAGAGACCTGTCCGGTCGAGTACGGTATCTCTGTCATTTCCGGCACCATCAAAGCATTCCCTAAAGCTCAGATCCAAAGATTCGAGATGATGCGCATTCACGCAAAGAACATCACGAAGGATGTTGTAGTCATTGGAGCCAATGCCGGACCATGCCAGGTGTCTCAGTTGACGAAGCCCAGGCATCCCGGCTAGGGAATCAGCATGCACACACGAACCGTCCAGGACTAGGGTTAGAGACGTTATCCGATTTTGGCATACGGGCAAATATCCCGACGAGCCCAGAAAGGCCTGGGGAATGCAGCACCCAAACGACCAGCTTCATTACACTTAGCACAGTCAAGCTAGCTGTTCAGACAGGCCGTCTACTTACCGAAAGCTTTGGAGACTCTGATCTGGAATGCTAGGATGCAGAAACTCCCCCAGCTTCGATAACCGGAACATCAGCCGTTCATGGATCTCCATGTATTGGAGATCGTCTTCGTCGATTTCGGACGCCGAATCCTGAAGAAGATGTCCCTCCTCCAGGAAGCATCTGTCTGCCAGGAACTCTCTGATTGGGGCTCCAACACCAAAGTGCCTCACGTAGTCCAGTGGGTTAAAAACTCGTCTTTCCCCGTTATCTAGAAAGTAGGATTTGGAGAATGACTCCGTCGGGATGGTCAAGAATGGCCTCTCGCCCGCCTCTACCGCAAAGTGCTTAAACAGCTCGGGGAATAGCAGACGGTAAGCCGCCTTTGAGGAGAGGGCAAGGTTCTTAAGATCCCTCACGGGAAGCTGGGCTCATTGTATTAGCAGATGATCAACTTCCCAGGCAGGTGTCTTGTATTGGCTATCACAGCCAGCGTCTGTCACCTACCTCACCGATAATCAGAAGGAGAATGTCATATGGCATGTCGAAAATCATGGTGAACGAAGGAACAATGGTAACAGATGCTAACAGATACAGGACACAGGGGTAAGGAGGTTGAGAGTGTTGGTGATCTCCTCAGAAGGGGGATGGCAGGGGGGAAGAGGGGGATGGACAGGAAGAGAACCTTTCAAGTGAAGCAGACTCCATGGAAGCACCTGGAGACCCATTTGAGCTCCCTGTGATTTGAATCATGGTATTTTGTGGACGACATTGCCATCGCCGTGACGATGAGGGCATGGAGGGTTGGGCTGGTGTTAGGGCACACAGGTGAACCAAGCATGCACCAGCACATCCCAGCTGGCAGTCTCCAGGTAGAATAAATGCCTGATCAGTTCCCAGTGAATGTGTAGTTAATGGAGGTCCTGAAGCCATCTTTTGTCTGGTTGTAGGCCTTTGTTGTGGGCTTTCCGGCCGATGAAAGGAGCAACAATGTGATTGAGTACTATGAGGTAGGCTGTTTTTTTTCTCACAGATAGGAATCTCCCTGTCCTCTGTCTTCTCCCTGGTTGTATCCCTCCCTAGAGCTGACTTCTAGACATCTCCCTTTCCTTCCATCTTTGCTGGGCCAGAAAACACCGGCTTCAATCACTCCTCAACAGCTCATCATAAAGAAACGCCACGTCCTCAAAATGGCTACCGAGAGAAAGACAATCGACGACACTCCCATCCCTTACACGGCCTCTCCCCTGCAGCTGCTGTGGGGAGACGTCTGTCTAATCTTCAGGAACCTGCGGCTGCTCCGTAAAATCGTCTCACCTCTTAGGCCATGCCTTTCGGGAACGTTGGACGAACTTGGTCCCTCATGGGAGAATTGGTTTGGCGTTGCCGTCCATGTATCTCTCTTCATCCTGCAGATCGCGTTCCTGCTCTCTTTGCCCATCTGCCTTGCGCTCATGGTGCCAGCAGCTTGGGTCATCGTGTACATTGCTGCAGTTTTGGTTGCGAACAATGCCGTTTGCAACGTGGTCCTGAATGGAAAACAGAGATTTCTCGTGTCCAAGGGCCCCAGTGCACAGTTCCCGGGTCATGAGAGAGAGCACTGGATCTTCATCAACGGAGTTTCAGTTGGGTAAGCATGTCCTCGGGGAAAGAGTATTCCGCAGCATAGCTAACTTGCATGTCCAGGCATCACTGGATGCAGAGTAACCTTGACCGTCTGGCGCAGACGTTTGGCCGTAAGGTCACCGGCGTGCTTAATCCAACGTAGGTCCATTTCCCCCCTTCTTCTTGGTGTGAGGAATCCAAGCCAGCGTTGACATGTCAATTCGATTGGCCGCAGGTATGGTATCATATTCGATCTGATTCAATGCTTGATCCAGCGAGACTTTGCCTACGCGACCCAGGACGTCCGAGACGCGTACCCCTACATCAAGAAAGCCCTGCTAAATCCGCAATTTGACAAGGTTGTCCTCATTGTGCACAGTCAAGGGGGCATTGAGGCTGGTCTCGTAATTGACTGGCTCCTGGCTGAGATGCCCCAAGAGATTCTCCAGCATTTGGAGGTCTATACCTTCGGAAATGCGGCCAACCACTGGAACAATCCGAACAGGACGCTTTCGACTGACAGAGAAGATCGTCCGAGCATCCCCTACATCGAGCACTATGCCAACTCCGAAGACTTTGTGAGTGTGCTGGGCGTGCTCAATTACACTCCCATTCCCAACCGCTACATGGGTCAGCTCTTCGTGCGGTCCGGTCCAGGCCATTTGCTGAACCAGCATTACTTGAACACGATGTTTCCCCTCGGATCCGACGGCAAGGTGATGAGCGCGAACGGCTTCATGAACACGCAGGTTACAACCGACGCCACACAGACGGGCATTTGCGTGATCAAGGAGCGAGAACGCCGCAGGAGGCAGAGGAAAGCTCTGAGGGTGAAAGATCTCAGCCGTCTCTGGATGTACAGGAATGGAGGATCGCCTCCGGAGGATCATCTTTCTGCTGTTTGACGGGGGTCACGGTGGATCTGTATCTCTAGATACATTCTCGTCTTCATTTCTTCTTCCGCTCGGTCTGCGGGCCGGCGGCAACTGTCAACAAGTAACCAGGATCCATAATTACATGCATCCATCGGTGGAGCGCTCCATCCGAGCCCAATAATAACGGCGATGGATGGATTGCTTATCGGTGGGTTTGCCGAATTTAAAAGGCTTCTTTCGTTTCTTCCGTTGCGTTATTCTTTATTAAACATCTCTCTATCCCTCACTCTCCATCTGGGAACCGTGTCGGAGATTTCCATGGCATGAATGGCTCCGTCCGGTTCCCGCGCAGAAAAGTTAAACCCAAGCAAGACAAGCTTTTACCTACGCAGTAGTACGGAGTAATGGAGGCATTCCAGCATGCCATCGTCCCGACGGCGCACGCCTTCGGGGGCGTCTCTGTCGGTGGCTTTGGCACCGATGGCTCTACGGAAAGGTGAGAGAGTCACAGAACCGTGGCCTAACTACCCAATGCGCAGCGCTGACTCTGCCAGAGCCGTATGGCAATGTCGAACGGCGAGAGCGGCTGCATTTGTAGCCACGGGAGACGTGCATCTCGCCGTGTCTCTCTTGTCGCTTGTGATTCTGCTTCTGTCCTTCTGTCTCCGGTACATCGCTAAGGCGTTCAAGCTGAAGCATGCAGCTTTGGCTGGATCCGGGAATGCCTCCACGCAATGTATCCCCATCCCCTTTGCGCTGGCGCATCTAGCGGCCTCTGTGACTGCCTGCAGCCTGGGATGGCTTTTGGGGTCATGGAAACGCTCTGTCGCGCTGAGCTATATCGTGTTGCTCGGAATTGCGCGGTTTGGCTGCAAGAATGATGCCAGTCGACAGCGGATGTATCACCATATGAATGCCATGGCCACCGTGACTTTGATCCTCGCAGCCGTCCAGGATCTTATGCCTATGGCAATCATCGGATCTAAGTATCGTCCGTCTTCCCTCGAGGCCACATTGTTGGGTTCTCTGGCCGTCACTGTTGCGATTGCAGCTGCTACTCCCCGTCCCCGGCGCCCCATCACGGCGGACGCAGAAGAATATGAATCCCCGGTGGAGGAAACGATCTCGCCCGAGGAGACATGCTCTTTGTTCTCGTATTACTGCTCCTACGAATGGATCACACATGTCATCCTGCAAGGCTGTCGTAGGGACTTGACCATGGCCGATTTGCCTCCCCTGCCCGAGTACGACAAGCCCTGGAAGTGGCTGCAGAAGATCACAACGCAGCGTCTCAAGGGTGGGAAGACCTTTCGCATTCTGTGCCGGCTGCTCAAGACAGAAATCAAGACGATGATCTGCTGGTCTGCAGCCACTGCCGTGGTGGACTATATCGCCCCTTACGCTATGCTTCGACTGCTCGCCTACCTGGAGAACTCGCAGGATGCTGTTGTCCATCCTCTGGTCTGGATTGCTGCGCTGTTCGTCGGGCCTACGTTAAGGTCTCTGTCCTACCAGCAGTACATCTTCACGGCCACTCGCCTTCTCGTTCGCCTCAATATCTCGCTGGTGCAGGAGATATACCACACTGCCCTGCGCTCGCATATCTACGATAGCTCTGTAGACCAGTCCTCCAAGGACGCCGGGAAATCCGGCCATGCAAACCTGACGAGTTTGATGTCTTACGACGTCGATGCCATCTATAACTCTCGGGATATCTTCTTTGTCGGCACCGGAGTGCCCATCAGCGTTGTCATCGCCATGGTCTTTCTCTACCGCATGCTAGGCTGGCCCTCTCTGTTCGGCGTTCTGACGTTGATCTGCTTGACTCCTCTACCAGCGATGGCGTCCCGCAAGGTCTCTCGAATTCAGCGGTCCGTCATGCAAGCCACGGATGCCCGTCTGTCGAAGATCTCCGAGTATCTCAACTCCATTCGTTCTCTGAAGTACTTCAGCTGGGAGCAGGCGGCGCTGGACCAGATCAGCGAGACCCGTGCCGTCGAGCAGCGACGTCTCTGGAGACGCAGCGTGTATGCGGCCGGGATCACCATGGCTGGAGACCTGGTACCCTTCGCGGGCTTGCTAGTCATGTTCTCTGTTCTTGTCCTTTTTACCGATCGTCCCCTGAGAGCTCCTCTCGCCTTCACTTCCTTGTCCATCATGGAGACCTTGCGCTCTCAGTTCGTGTGGCTGTCGAATGTCAGCCGTAATTCAGCACAGGGTTCAGAGTCGCTCCGACGCGTGGACCGGTTCTTTGAGTCAGCGGAGGAAGTCAAGCGACATCCTGCAGGTCCTCTTGAATTCAAGAATGCCACGTTCAGGCGCACCCCGATCGCGGCATTCCGGCTGCGCGACCTGTCCATTCGCTTCCAACCGAACGCCCTCAATGTAGTAACCGGCCCGACTGGAAGCGGAAAGACCTCTTTGCTTCTCTCCTTGCTAGGGGAGACAGTTCTGGAGAGCGGAACAGTGACTTGTCCCAGGGATGTGGCCTATGTGCCTCAGACAGCGTGGCTGCAGAACGACACTGTCCGGCAGAACATCCTCTTCTACAGTTCTTACGACGAAACCCGGTACAAGACGGTCGTCGACGCGAGCGGCCTGTCTCAGGATCTCGAGCAGCTCGCCGCTGGCGATCTCACGGTCGTAGGGGAGAAGGGAACAGCGCTTTCTGGTGGTCAGAAGCAGCGAGTCTCGTTAGCGAGAGCTTTGTATTCGCGATCCTCGACGCTTCTGCTAGACGATATCTTCTCTGCTCTCGACACCCATACGACTAGTCTCGTTTATGAGCGATGTTTCCGGAGCGGTTTGCTTGGTGATAGGACTGTGGTTCTTGTTACACATTTCCCGGCCGCGTTGCAGGACGCCACGATGGTCGTCTCTTTGAAACATGGCGCTGTCTCGTCTGTGAGGATGCCGTTGGATACGACCCTGGCTTCTGAGGGAGTTGTACGTCCAGACTCATCACCGTCGGGCAGTGAGGACGAAGAAACCCCGGAAGAAAATGCATCACCGGAGGGTCCAGGTCCGCTGCCTGTTACGAAGTCTCATGCTAGAGAGCCTGCTGGACGCATTACCAAGGAGACTTCGGCGACTGGACGGATTCCACGGACTCTATGTAAGTTTTTGGCATCTTGTTATTCCATGAGATGTAAGCTGACCTACCACGGTAGTCTTCCAATATATGGTCCTGTTCGGCGGATATTCCTACGCCCTGCTAGCAATCTTGACAACACTTACAGTGCAGTTTGCCTACTTCTCCATCACCTACTGGCTTTCGATATGGACAGGAGCGTACTCAGAAGGCAAGTCACCGAATACAATGTTCTATCTGTCCGTCTACGCAACGACCATTGCCGTGTTCCTCGTGCTGCAGCTGTCCAACAACCTGATCTACCAATACGGCGGCTGGGCGGCGGCAAAGAGAATGCACGCCAACCTGCTCAGGGCCGTTCTCTTTGCTCCCATCTCCTGGTTCGATGCGAACCCCATCGGACGTGCCATAAATCGGTTCGGCAATGATACGCGTTCCATGGACACGGTGTTGATCGAATGGCTTCGCATGTCGATTGAAAATGCGCTGCGTCTGCTGCTTCGCATCGCGAGTATCGCATCTATTATGCCCATCTTCGCCCTCCCCGCTGCGATAATATGCATGATTGGCTTCGTGATCGGTGAAATGTACACGCGTGCCCAGATCTCGATCAAACGGCTGACCTCGGTGAACTATTCTCCTGTCTTCTCTCACTTTACGGACACCCTGGCCGGGCTGACGGTCATCCGCGCACGAGATGGCATGGATGAGGTGTTCCAGAATCTCCTCGCCGAGCGCTTAGCCGTGCATTCGCAGTCTGCGGAGGCACAGTACAACTGCAATCGTTGGGTGTCAGTGCGGACGGACTTCTGTGCGGCCTCTGTAGCTGCGGCAGCTGGGTTCGTGGCGTACTTCAAACAGACCGATTCGGCTGGACTGGTCGGGTTCTCCCTGACCAACGCCATTGGAATGAGCCAGACCATCCTCATCCTGGTGAGGACGATGAATGAGCTCGAGATCGAGCTGAACTCGTTCCAGCGCATGCGTGAATACGCAGAGATAGAGCCCGAGGAGAAGACGATGGTGGCCGAAGAGAATACTGGGGAGGAAGCGGACCTTCATCCTCAACATCCTTTACATCTCCCAGCTAGCTGGCCTACATCGGGTCGCGTAGAATTCCACCACGTCACAGCCCGGTATCAAATTGGCGATGGTCCGGACGTCTTGCGCGATGTGTCGTTCAGTACACAACCCGGCGAACGAATCGCCCTCGTCGGTCGAACGGGCAGCGGCAAGAGTACGCTAGGTCTGAGCCTGCTGCGGTTCGTCCCTATCGTTGCAGGCCAAATTATCATCGACGGTGTTGACATCAGTCGGATCCCGCTCAAGCGACTCCGCACCAGCGTCACGCTGATTCCACAAGAACCTGTCCTCTTCTCGGGCGATGTCCATTCGAACCTGGACCCGTTCGGTGAATGCAGTGACTCCGAGCTTCGATCTGCCTTGGCCGCCTGTGCGTCGATTCAGGTGCACCACCATAGTCATACCGCAGACGATCGCCAGGGTCAACAACGGAGAACCTCAGCCTCAACGGACACGACAAGCGCCAATGGAACCAATACCAAAACAAGCTCACTCGCCTTAACGACCCCCGTCGCTGTGAACGGGGAGAATTTCAGCCAAGGCCAACGGCAGGTCCTCGGTCTGGCGCGGGCACTCTGTCGTCGGTCCAAGGTCGTGCTTCTAGACGAAGCGACGGCATCCGTGGACCAAGAAACAGACGCACACATGCAGCGACTTCTGCGGGAGATGTTTCCCGATTCTACGATTATCGCTATTGCGCATCGGCTGCGGACGATTATGGATTATGATCGGGTTCTGGTTATGGATGGGGGGGTTGTGATCGAGTGAGTTTCTTGCTACTTGTGTCTACTTCATCCTTGCTGACGACATTAGGAACGATTCGCCGCGGATATTGATTGAGAAGAAGGGCGTTTTCTGGGGCATGGTGAGGAATACGGGGGAGTATGAGGAGTTGGTGCAGTTGGTGAAGTGATTATTCTGTCTTGACTAGCTATAGAATACGGATTGTTAAAAGCATCTATACATGGGTTTTATTTGAACCGTGCACAGCATCCTGTAGAGTCTAAAAATAGATATGAATCATGCAATCTGATCAATTTCTTCGTATTTCCATTTAATAATCAACTGACTGCACTGTCGTTGTCTGTACATATAACCAACATCCCAGCGAACCTCCTTTGCATTCAACCGGAGCCAGATCACAACAACCAAAAAAAAAAAAAAAAAAAATCGAAATAAATATTGCACAATCCTAAGGAATCCACGGGGATGTCCCGCTTCTTCCCTCACCCCCCATACGCGGAGGACCAGCCCCTCGCGCACACCGTCCTGCTCTCGCATACGCTCTTCCGCTGCTTCAAAACCGGCACCGCGCTGGGCGTATTCTGGCACGTTGGACGCAATCTCTCCTCTCGTTCAGCAGCACGCATCTGTGAAAAAGAAGATGCCCCGTCAAAAGATTCAACAGCGCCACCGTCCACTGCCATTGCGTACTTCTATTCTCTTCTCCAGCAGATTCCCGCTCCAGAACCGGCACTAGTGCGGTCCGCGTCACTTGGGTCGTTGGTTGGATTGGGGACATGGATGATCATCTTACCGCTTAAGATGGGCGGGAAGGAGGAGATCCAGTGGAAGGATTACAGTTGGAGGATTCTGGAGAATCGGGGGCAGGTTCTGCTGGATGATTGGTGTGTTGCTGGTTTGGTTGGTGGTGTTGTTATGGGGTTTTTGGCGAAACGCAGACACGAACAGGAACGGGAACAGCAACAAAGGGATGGAGTTGAGGGATCTGAGGGAAAAGCTCCACTGTGGCAATGGCTTCTTGCTGGTGCTGGATTGGGGAGTTTGGGAGGTGTTATTGGTTTTCTAGTTGTTAGGGCTGGGGGGAGGCTGCTGAGGGTCTGATTCATGCTGGCTTCTTTTTCATATTTCCCGGTGATATGCAATGATGATACCCTTCTCTGATCATATATTCATTTCCAGTGTTTCAAGGTAATGCAGTACACATTATTCGTCATTGGCTTTTCCCTTCTCTTTCGGTTTTTGCGCGTACACAACATACCTGATAACCCAGGTCAGTAAGTAGCATGTTATTTCACAGCCGAGCCAACTTACAGCAGTACATATGCATGGATATCTGGATTCCGAATATCCTGGCGTGCCCTGGCAAGATGCACCTGCACTTCCTCCGGAGACCATCCAAGCACCCGAGTGAACATTCCCATGGTCCATGCCTCAAAGCCTTCTAGCGATTGAATCCGGTTCCACGCACCGAGTTCTTTCTGTACAAAACAGCCTATTCAGCATACAGATTCAATTAGGGACTTTCAGGCTTAAAATAGCACGGCTCACCAGTTTCGAATCTTTCGGCCAAGGGCCATTGGGGATCTTAAACGTGTGCTCTTTGATATTCACAAATCCGGTCTCCTCTGCCCACTTCCTGAACTTTGGCCCTGGACAGGGCTCTTGGCCCAAGATGTTTGCTGCGCGGATAAACTCTGCTGAGTTGATGTATAGATCATGCGTTTCTTTGATAGAGCCATCGTCGGACCGGTAGGTGAAGTCAAAGTCGAGAAACTCACAGTAGCCGCCTGGCTTCAGGTTTCTGAAATGAGTCAGTGTACGTCTACACGTACAGTACCGGCAGTGATATGGACTTACTGGTATGTCTGCTGAAACAGCCGTGGCCAATCCCGCACTGCCGAAGCCAGGTATCGCCCATGGATGAAGTCAAAGGGAGTTCGAAAGGCCCAATCACTTTCGATGTCGTCGACTTCAAACTGGACATTAGGGGGTACCCTGAGTTGTTAGCATCGTTGATATCAACAGGGGTATCCTCACACACATGGAAGGTTGAATTGGACTCAAATCGTTTCCAATAACCTATGGACGAGCAGTTCTGTTAGACTAGGCCATGCACAGGGCCAGTGCCGGGATTTGTATTACCTGGGCAGAGGGAAACATGTCCCCTACATCATCGGCGGTTAGCAGACAGCTTGACAACACTCACAGAAGCCAACTCACCTATATCAATTGCCCACTGCCCAGTCCCACAGCCCAGATCAAGAATCCGTTGCGGATGCTTCTCTATCGGAGCCAGAAACAGCTCCCCATCCAGTGCCAGCGTAAACAGAAACGAGAGAATATCCATCCGGTCTTGTTCCTTCTCATCATTGGGGAGGAGGTACCGTCCATCACGGTAACCATGGTATCTGCGGCCATGTTCAAATCGATACTTCAGAACACTCGAGGTAAGGGAGGTGGTATCGCTTCCACTGCATTGTATTTCGGTTACTGTGACGTCCTCTGCTCATCCAAGGGGTTTGTCTCCTTACGCTTCACTAAACGTTGAGTCCAATTCAGAGACCTGTTCGGTATCTGTCAATATTGGCTTTGCACGAGACAACTTCAGGCATATCATACAGTATCGTCGACAGTGATGGGGTTATTATCCACTTGATATTTCGTATGGGTCAGCATCTACTGTCCACGCAGCACGTAATCCTCACTCACCCCCTTCGGCTGTTGTATCGGCCATTATTCTGCTAATAGATGGCAAGATATCGGGACGCAGAAGGCAGGATGTAGCCACGACAGCCAGGTTATTTATGTATGGGACGGACAACGCAGAGCATGCAACCAGCCCCTATCCCGCCCGCCACATCCTCGGTAAATTAAGCACTATCGCGGCTAGGAGAAGCAATAGACAACCGCGAACAGTCCGTCAGGCTACAACAATGCGTGATTGTCTGCAGGCGCGTACCGCTGTCTCCACTGCAGTGCATGTACTGTAGGCCAGTGTCCTGTCTTTTGGCTAGTTACCACGAATGCTCCTGTATGCACGGGCTATGCCTTGGCTCCCTATAGCAATGCTGCTAGTGATTCTCAGCTGCATTAGTGGCGGTAGGTAAGCGAGGGTACTCCTTTTGAGAGTTTCAAAGCCCCCAACTCCAACAGCGTGCAGCATTGGGAAGCAGTGAGAACAGAATGAAGACTGCCTCTTCTGTACAGCCCTTGCTCCTTGCATACACACCTGAGGGCGCTCAGAGAAGTATTTCTTACCAAGATGTGAAAAGGAAGCAAGAGAGTATATATCAGACGTAAAGGGTATCGGCTGGTAAATACAGGAGCCAGATTGTCAGGGGAAGAATGATTATATTGATGCTATAGCCAAAGCATCGACAATGCTCCATGATGCTGTATATGATGCTGTATATCTTGTCCTATATATTCGTGACCCCCTATTTCAGTAGGTCCTCCACCGGATAGGGTTATCTTTTATCCTCTTTTATCCATATCATGTGATATAATACTGACAGTATGTGGTGGTTCCCATGGTTCAGCTCCTTCCTAGTTAGGAGCCCATATTAGTCAGCATAAGTGTACTGTGTAGATAGTTCGCCCAACTCCAGCGAGTTTGGCCCCCGCCAACATAATGGCTTGAATGAGTGTATCGAGTAGCTGGTTGAGCGTATGAGCCCAGGAGTGGCAGCTAGCTGACTGTTAGCACCCTAATAGGTTCTGCCATCTCAACAGCCCTCGTCTAGGTCGCAGTTGGGACACCAGGGTCCATATCGTCATACCCTGTGACTGTGATGATGCACTGCCCAGACCAGCTTGATGGGGGAGACCCTCCTGAAATGCGAGGGTTCTCATTCAAATGTGATTAAGCGACAGTTGCAGAAATGGATAAGAGACAAAGCCTTCTTATACTTGTTGCTGATCGGAAAGCCTGTGAAGATGGCTGGGTGCTACATCTTGCAATCAACCGCAAGGGCCAGATTCTTCCCTTCCGAATGCGTGACCAGGCTCTAGCTTGTACCACCAATGTTGGGGCCTGGCTCGGTGGTCAGACCTTGGATGAGAACACTGCCAACCCAGATGAGGATGTCAGTATTACAGAAGAGAGAATGCCGGTGGTTGGGATTGCATCTGATTTTTCAAGGTGTTTTATGGCAATTAATGTATCTTGACTTTCCCTCAAATCGCCATCTTGATGAAATTGTGGCAATTCTCCCTATTGATGGAATCTATGTTTCCCAATATGCCGCCGCATGTGTGCCCTAGACGATTCCTCTCCTTCAGAAGGAACGGCCATTCCACGAGGTAAGGGAATATCGAGCCCATCAACGTCTTCCATAATCTCAATGTCTGGAGCGAATGGCCATGGTTAGCTTCTATGCATCAATTAGAGCTTCACGATGTACTAGAGACGGCAGTGTATTGGTATAGGGCGCTCACCACCATCCCTACGAATCCTACGGTACCCTTTTATTTAGTATTTGATATCCAGACGCCGCACCCCTGATCCACATCATTTGTTATGAGCGTGGACTTGCCATAATGCTGTCCTAACCGACCTTGGGCACTTCGGCGGATCTATACGAGCCTAACCACTATATAGAGCCATCCGAATTCCTCCTGCTGTGCCATCTTGGCTTGTTGGGTGTGTTAGGTTGCCCAGAAACGTCTGCTTTCAGTTTGAAACCCGTATATGCCATGCATCCGGTCCCCTCCATGCGAACTGCCACATTATGCCACTTGATTCAACGCCATTTCAATCATGAATAAGGGTCCGTGCAGCATGTGTAGTTGATTTACTTGTCAGGGTGTACATCGGTTTCTCCACAAACCCTACCTCTCCGCAACTGACGTATCCATGACTTGAGGTCGCCACGAGCGTCTTATATTAAACCACACAAGATGATATGACTGTTTAGACCGATAAATGGTATTCAACCGCAGACATGTTCCTAGCTTATTATCTCCACTCGCTCCTGGACACCGTCCTGTCCTACTACAAAATCATCGAGACCAGAGAAGTAGGCTGGATCACTATCGACCGCCAATCGGGACAATTCAAACGCGAGCAACAGCCCCTCTGGAAGAAATTCAAGCTCCTGCTCCTCTTCAATCCGTTGACAGAATGGATCGACCGAACGCACTGGATGAGACTCTGGACGCGTGACAAGAGCGTTGCAGCCGGAGGCCGGGAGAGGCAACCTCGCTCCCACCGCGAGATCAAGGGCTTTATCGACTTCTACCAGATTGACATGTCGGACTTCTCTCCCTCGGATCCCGAAGAGTATCCGACCTTTGAGGACTTCTTTGTGCGCAAACATGCCTCCCATGCCCGGCCCATCTATCAACCGGAGGACCGTACCAAAGCGATCGTTGTCACCGACGCTAGAGTCGCTGTGTTTCCTTCCGTCACTCGGGCAAAAGAGCTCTGGATTAAAGGGAGCCAATTCACCATCGGGAAACTCATTGAAGATGAGAAGAAGGCAGATACATGGAACGACGGCGCCGTGGCCAGTTTCCGACTCAGTCCCCAGGATTATCACCGATACCACTCCCCCGTTGCAGGGAAGGTGAAATGGTACAAACGGATCCCGGGGAGTTATCTCCAGGTTGATCCGGTGGCGCTTCATTCAAGCGTAAACATCCTGACGGAGAACGCGAGATGCTGCGTTTGTATTGACTCCTCGGAGTTTGGGCAGGTATTGTTCGTAGCTATTGGAGCCACAGATGTTGGAACAGTCGAGTATGTTCGCCTTAACATTTCAGACCTTTTGACAAAGATGATGCTGACAGCCGTAGGTTCCACGAGCCCATGCGCCAGCCCGGCCACGATGTCGAAAAGGGAGAAGAAATCGGCCTTTTTCAGTTCGGGGGTTCAGCCATCGTTGTCGTGTTCGAGAATGGGAGGATCGGGTTCGATGAGGATCTGCTGGTTCCCAGTAACAAGGAGATCAACATAGATGTGCGGGTTGGACAGAGCTTGGGAAAGGCGACAAGACCACGGGCTAGAAAGTGATATCGTGGACTGCTTCACGTTTTCATGTACATGCGTACACCATATATTTGGTTTTTCCCTAGTGATCCTTAACGCCTCATACCTATGGACGGGTGACAGAATTATTTTCACACTCTGAACATATCAGCGATCATGGCCTTTTTTACTTCTATTTCACACTATGTATGCATTAAGGGGAAAGAATATATAATATCACAACTGGGTCGAAGCCTACCACTATAGAAGACTTCCCCGGAGCCTGCACCTTGGGCTTTCAAGACTTAGGCTTGCTATCCATCCGCACTTCCTTCTCAAGTTCATCCAGTCCAGCTTCATACTTGGCCTTTAGGTTATCCACGTCATCAAGTTTGACATTAACCTTGCCAACGTGTCCAGACCTTGTGATCTTCCCATCCGATCCCTTGGCAATTTCGTTCGCAAACCACCTGCCTTCTCTGTGAGCCACAAGGGTCCATGCAGTTCCTTCTCTGCCAGCTCTCGCTGTCCGCCCTACACGGTGCACATAGGACGTGACACTGGGCGGCACGTCGTAGTTGACAACGTGGGACAACGAGGGTAAGTCCAAACCACGGGACGCTCGGTCTGTAGCGACAATGATGGAAATTTTCCCGCGTCGATAGGCTGTAAGGGCTTTTCGAGATGCCGATGATTTATTGGACTTGATAATTGTTCCCATGCGATCAGATAGGGGTGGGTGGAGGAGGGAAAGGAGGCGGGAAAGCCGTGATGCTGATTCGGATGATTTGGTGAAGATCAAGACTGTGGTACGCGGTGGATGTGTTCGAGAAGAGGATTTTATCCGCTCCGAATCAGAGTCCTGGGAGTCCGATGATTCGTCCGATGACGTTAAGTCTGAATCTGAATCTGAATCCGAGGTTGAGTCTGATGCCGAAGACGATGTATCGGATAGGTCATCGTCTGAAGAGGTCGAGGAATTAGAGTCGTCGGAACTCGAGTCGTCAGAGCTAGAATCTTCAGAAGAGTCCTCAGATTCAGAGGTATCCGCATGAGCACGGTCTCTATCCGGGCTTGCATCAACTTTGATATGTGAAAGCAACAAACGTAGAAGATAGAGTGGCTTCGTAGATCCGTCTCCAACAGAAACAGAATATTCCTTCAGAGTTGGTGGTAAAGAATATTGCGAGTCCCCATGTCTGCCATCCTCTTCGTCAACGTCCGCAGCATCCTCAGTGCCGATGACAACCAATTTCGGGTTTACCAGTCGCAACGAGTTCAGTTTTGTGATATCCCTTGTCATGGTAGCACTTAGAATTACCTTCCTCGGTTCCTCACTATTGATAGGAAGCCCCAGTCCTGAAAGTAGATTCCCGCTGAAGCCAAATGTCTCAGGTGATTTCCGTGCATCTAGTGAGCTCATCACAACGTCAACCCATTCCTGGAAGCTTTCATTGAGAAGCCGATCAGCTTCGTCAATAACAAGCCATTGAAGATGACGCAAGGTAAAGCCTTTTGTATAGCGGATATGGTCCACCAGGCGACCAGGCGTGCAGATAAGAATGTCAACATTCGGGCTTGGCTGATCAACGTAGCCAGGGAGCGATTCGTTTAGGACTTCTGCCTCAGAGACGTAGTCTTGAAGGCTGAACTTGGTCCAGTCGTCCCCGGTGAGCTTCATTTGCTGCCGCATCTTCGATGTCACAGGATCATAGACTTGATCTAGCCTCATCAACTGGTGTTGCTCATCCTTGATGGCTATATTTCCCACGGCTGATCCTATCTTCAGTCCCGAGCCAGCGGCACAGAGCTCGCATGCTTCTCGAGCTTGCTTGACAAGTTCTCTAGTAGGAACTACAATGAGCCCTCTCAGCCTAGGGGCGGGAATTTGTTCCAGCGCAGTAACAAGCGGTAAAACATAAGACAGCGTCTTTCCGGAACCTGTAGCAGCAGAAATACATACATCCCCTGGATGTCTCCTCGAACCTGGTAAAAGTAGAGGTATGACAGCAGACTGTACAGCGAACGCCTCCTTGTAGCCATTTTGCTCCAGGTTGTTCAGCAGCTTTTCGTCAATGCCGAGTTCAGAGAATTTAGCACGTTTCTCCGTAGACACTCGCAAAGGATCGGCCAGCCACGAAGGAAGAGATGAGTATGTTGGTATCTCAGATTGTTCCGGAGCTGGTGCAGGTTGCGGCAAGGGTTCCAAACCCTGGGCTACAACAGGTTCAGCGGTTATCGTCTCTGTTGTACCACCAGTATCTGCACCCCCTTCTTTGGACTTGGACGTATCAGATGGCTTCACCTGGACGGACTTCTTGAATTTCGATAGGATCTTGGAATGCCTGCTCCTCATCAACTTTGTCTCCTCATCCTCGGATTCTGCCTCCGTAGTCTTAGGCGGGCCGTTCTTCGTTGACTTCTCGGAATCTTTCCCTGCAGCCCCATTTATATGTGTAGTATTTTCAGCCGGTTTAATATCGCTTCCGGAAGTTCTTCGCTTTTCTTTCTTGGATTTCTTCTTAGCTGTAAGGACGCTCTCGTGCGCACTCGGGGATGTCGCTTTGTTGCTGCTGGGCGAAACAGCACTCTCCACTTTCGTCGGGGTTTCTTGAATACCAGATCTGGAGACATTATCTGCTCTTTTCCTCTTCTTTGGACTTTGTTTATCAGACAGCTGCGGACTCTGGTTCCGTTTCTGTTTCTTGGATGGCGCGGGCGTCGTGGTGACAGAGGGGCCATTCGGATCTCTCTTGCGTTTGTGAGGCTTCTTACTGCTCTGGGGAGTAGCTGAGTCCCTCTCTGGTGAGACAACGCCTGCCGAAATCTCTCCGGGCATTATCACGGTGATCTGGATGTTTGACAGTGCAGAATCGAGGGATGTTTTGAGAGTCTCTTTCACTTTTTTTGTCTTCAGTAGGAAAACTTTATGATGTACTGCCGGCAGATTACACCGCTTTTATTATACTGACCGCCTCCATCTGGGACGACTAGGTCAAGATGAATCCGCGTCGCTTCAATAACCCAACACAGCTTGCATTCAGTTCAACAGTCAAGCGTGCTAGTTTTCTTGTCATTGGCGCAGCAGTTGCCGCTGTCGGCCATGGACGTGGTTGTAAATCTTACCTCTTTAACGGCATTGTCGATACGTTCTCTGCGTCAGTACGAGAGCCAATATGCCTTACAACATTGCGTAAGTGGTTCTCAGTTACAATGGGATCATTCATCCGTCAATTCTGACTGTAAACGTGCAGTATGATCAGTGACTTTTTCTTCCCACAGCCAGGTTCGTCTTACTATGTATCAGCCACTACCCACTGGTTCAATTGTTGACCTCTTCCAGGTGGTGTTGAAAGTCACATCTACCAACTATCAACCGTATGAATACCCTCTTGCTATCCCGCATGCGATGCACGGCGCTCATATATCCCAGAAACTGATCGATCGTGGTCACAAAGTCATCATCGTCACACATGCCTATGAAGGACGGACTGGAGTTAGGTATCTCACCAATGGGCTCAAAGTATACCATGTCCCTTTTTTCGTCATATACCGGGAGACGACTATGCCCACCGTTTTCTCGTTCTTCCCTATGTTTCGAAACATTGTGATCCGCGAGCAGATACAGATTGTGCATGGCCACGCCAGTTTGAGTAGTTTCTGCCATGAAGCCATCCTTCATGCCCGGACTATGGGATTGCGGACGGTGTTCACGGATCATTCCTTGTTCGGGTTTGCTGACGCTGGGTCGATCCTTACGAACAAGCTACTAAAATTTACTCTGAGTGATGTTGACCATGTCATTTGTGTCAGCCATACTTGGTAAGCTGTGAGGTTTCAGGAGCCCAGTATATGATTCTGACCAGGCAACAGCAAGGAAAATACGGTTCTTAGGGCATCTTTGGATCCTCTTATGGTTTCTGTAATTCCCAATGCCGTGGTTGCAGAGAATTTCCGTCCCTTATCGTATGGTCGCGAAAATGGCCGACCACTGCCGCAGATCGGGCCAAACGATACAATTACGATTGTCGTAATCTCGCGCCTCTTCTACAACAAGGGTACCGATCTTTTGATAGCCGCCATTCCACGGATTCTCGCTTCCCATCCCAATGTGCGTTTTATTATCGCAGGCTCTGGCCCCAAAGCCATCGATCTACAGCAAATGCTGGAGCGGAACGTGCTACAGGATAAGGTTGAGATGATCGGCTCCATCCGACACGAGGAGGTGCGCGATGTCATGGTACGCGGACATATCTACCTCCATCCCAGCTTAACGGAAGCGTTTGGTACAGTCATAGTTGAGGCCGCTAGCTGTGGGCTCTACGTGGTGTGTACTCGTGTGGGTGGCATTCCAGAGGTGCTACCCCAGCATATGACGACGTTTGCCAAGCCCGAAGAGGACGATCTAGTTATAGCCACAGGAAAAGCGATCGCGGCGCTTCGTGCTAATAAAGTGCGCCCGGATCGATTCCACGACCAAGTCAAAATGATGTACTCGTGGACCGACGTAGCCCGGCGGACTGAGCGAGTATATAAAGGTATCCGCGGCGACATCAGCCAGGAAGAATTTTACGGCTATTACCCCGGCCAGGGCTGGGAAGCCAACGGAGATAGGATGCGGAGTTTCGCATTAATTGACCGGTTGAAACGCTACTACGGCTGCGGAGTCTGGGCTGGGAAATTATTCTGTCTCTGTGTGGTGATCGATTTCCTGATCTATGTCTTCCTGGAGATGTGGTTTCCGCGTGCAAATATCGACATTGCACGTAGCTGGCCTAAGAAGTCAGCCCAGCGAGATGAGCGAGATGAGCGCCCCCAACCCCACGCTGGCCGTAATGGGGATTCGGGTTCTTGATAATTCACCGTAGCTCAGTTGATCGTGCATATGCCTTTTTGTATTATTTGTTTCACTCGATGTGTTTTTATTTCTACGAAGATATAATATCCGCACCGTGATACCCATGCTAATAGTTAACTAATCAGACATGCAAGCAAAAATGTCACAATGCACTTTTGGTTTTCTGCTTAAGGCAGGCTAATGCCGTGCAGCCTCCGTCCTCTTGGTCCCAGGCTCATACTTCCACTCTTTAGCCACGGTCTCTGCAGACTCAGGCTGGATGTCCTCAGCTCCAAGTACGCCCTTGTCTCCATGACGTCCGCTGCTATTTTGCTCCCGCTCAATCCCACGCTGATCAGCAAGCGTCCGCTCAAACTTGTCCTCGCGATAGGCACCGACACCTTCAAGACCGGAAGGCTGCTTCTTCCTCCCATGTGCACCCTCATGTCGGGCCTCAGTCCGCGACTGGTTGGCGCCGGGATAGCCGAACCCCTTATAGACATCCTTGGACGTGGCGCCCATCAGCGCATCCTCGGGTTTGGTGCGAGTTGACTGTTTGCCGTGGCTTCGATCCATGAGATCGTTGAACCCCTGGCCCCCCGATTCGCCTTCGACATTAGGCGTGTAGGTTGCATCCTTGGGTGCTGTGCCTGGTGGGTAGGTCTCGGCGTGAAATTCAGGGGCGCCGTCAGCTGGGCTGGCCTTGACGCCTAGATGATGCTGGTTTGTTTGTTAGTTATTGCTGTTTCGATCTCCAATGAAGAAATGGACACACTTTTTCGCCACTCAATGGTGCTGTTGTTTTTACGCCAGGGTGGAATTCTCCCTGCTTGGGAGTTGCAACGGCATCGATGTTTCTGAGTTCGCTCATGATGAAGTTGAAGATGGTAATACTATGATATGACTTGGGTTCGTATGTAACTGGCGAGTGATGGGGAAGAAAGTCTGCGAAGCGTGGTTGTAACAATCGCAACCACAACAGTCTCTGGAGTCTCTTATACCTACTTCGAGCTGCGAATATGAATTATCAAGTTCTCTATGTTATCCTTCGAACAGAAGCGACTTGGAAGCAAGGGCAGGGTATGACGTCAAGCTGATCGTGGTTGACTTCATAGCCATCTCATGGCGGTGGTTCCAGGACGCCATACGCATCAGCCATGGCCGATATGATTGGAATATCTGAGACGCGGAGGTGAGATCTCCATCCATGGTTGCGTTGGTTGGTTTTCATCTTTGCTGCTGCCGCTGGTGGTGCGGACGATATGACACCTACGATCTGCAGGGAGCATTCTCTCTTGGGATATACTGTGCATGCGAGGAAGGGAGATGAATAACTTGGATTCATGTTTCCGTGACATTGTAACGTCAACGCTGTGGTTAACCATGTCGGTGGCCTTTCTCAGGGCGTACGAGTAGCTCACGTTTCCGAGACAGGCTAATAGAGAGCATCGTACTAATCACTCGGGATGACCTGCGTCCTGGGTATCCTCTGATGATCTAGACGGGGCGTTTCCCAGGAGAATGTTGTATGAACGCCACAATTATGACAGGAACATGTGAATGATCCTGTCCAACTGCTAGACAACTGCTAGACAACTGCTAGTCAACTGCTGAGATAGAGGGACTCGTCTGAATTTACTGGCAACGGATATGAATTGACGAAGTATAGAACAAAACGACAATTAGGTATCTATGAACAGATGGGTATGTATATAAGTGTAAAAGGAATAGAGCGCGCAGGCAATTCGACTGTTGTCTACGCTTAAACAAGACATGCAATATACCGTAGTTCGATCAACGAAACGTGGCTGGATGTCCCATGGAAGGTGCATCTCATTTCATCACAGGGGGTCTTCCCTCTTTGTTCCATTTCACTCGACTTTGCACCCATTCGACCGCCTCCTGGACTCCAGATCCATAGAGGGCGCTGATGGGCAAGACGCGGCTGTCACGAATACCGCCGCCCTTTTCCCCCTCGAACACCTTCCGCACCAGTCCTTCCTTGATGCGGACAACCTCGACACAGTCTTCCCGATCTTGTTTATTAGCAAGCACCAGAATCGGGACCCCCGCCACGTCGGAATGTTGTAATACCGACTCCAGCACCTGACGGCATTCGTCCAGACGCCCAAATTCGCTTGCTGCTGCATTTATACCAACCATCCGCGCGGAGAATGGCGTAGAGTCCGATTCTGCAGGTTCTTCTTCTTTGTCTTTGTCGTCCTTTGCTGACGACCCCGCTGCCGCAGCGGTCACAGTAGAGCTAGGTCTTCGAGCAGGAAGCCTCGTGATATCCGGATCCTGACCAACATCCGTGCTGTCCACGACGAAAATAATAGCATGACAGCTCGTGTAGTAGCTCTGCCACAGTCGTCTCATGGAGATCTGACCCCCAACATCCCAGATCTTCAAGTACATATCAGGTAAGGATATTGTGGCGACATTCTGGCCGACAGTGGGGACGGTTTTCGAAGGGTCAGGACCTGGTGCCGGCGTGCCATCGGGGCGAGGGAGATAGAAGGCTTTGATCTGGGAGAGGAGGGTGGTCTTGCCGGCGTTATCCAAGCCAAGGAGGAGGACGGAGTATTCTACACCGCAATCGCGTCGGATTAGCCGCGTTCATTACCTGCATGTATATTTCCATGTCATATTATTATATCAGATAACGGAACCGGTTACCCACCTTCCTTGCTCGTGGCATAGAAATACAGGGACTTGGCGAGATGGTACATGATTGATAGCGCTGAGTGTCAGCCAGGCCAGAAGGCCAGGAGGCCAGCTCTGACAGGTTCAGAGTTCAGGAACAGCAAGCAGACGGGGAAAGGGAGAGCATGACTCTGCTCGGATGCGTCGTGATGGCGGAATCGTCACCTTGGACAGTCTCCCAGGCCCTACAATGTCGTCAAGGCCGTACATGTCGCACATGCTCGGCCAGGATGCTGCTGATCGACCAGCGACAGCAAGGCCAGCGCCCGTCCGTTTCGGGAATGTAGGGCACAGGGCTGGCCCTATACCCTAGTTTCCGCATGGGGACTCCGCCGTAACATTATTATGACTTGCATATCCTTCGACCAGGTTTTGATTACCAAGAGCGAAGATTGACGTCTGGATGATGTTTCTTGGGACGTCCAGCACCCGAGAAAGCATAATCATCGAACCCCACACAGATTCCCGCGGAAAATGGCTCTCTCGCGGTCAACTACGAGACGTTTTGTCAGCAATTCTCCCACTCCCGGACCCTGCCCGATGGCCGGCTTGGTTTTCTCGCCTCCTCCTCTCGACGCTGAGACGAGCGGGCTGGTCGATGTCTGCTTCCTCGTCTCGTTGTGAGCCTGAAAGTAGAGATCCGGTGTGGTTTTAGGCTGTGTTGCCGTGCACCCATCCCTGTCCATCGCATGTCCCGTCCAGAATGCTCCGTGCTGCATGGGCCGGAGGCTGATCAAATGCCTTCAAGCATGGACATTAATATTGACACCATCATCATCGGTATGTCGCCATTAGCATCCTATCTGCGACGCCCGCGGCGGCTGTCAGAGTTTGCGGGCGCTGATTGCTCATTTATGTGCCGCAGGGAACGGGCCGTCTGCCATGATCCTTTCATATATCTTGCATGGCCATATCCCCGTGTATGCGCCTGATCTTCCGCATCCCGATCATCTGCTGCACTCGAAGCTGAAGGCTGCTCCCCAGCTGCTGGATGCCGATGTGCCTTCTCTGACGGAACATTTTGCGGCGTCGCGCCTCTCCTATTCCACCCAGGCTCTCCCCGTCAACGTTTTGCTGGACACCCTGGTGCGACCCAGTGCGGACGTCGAGGAAGGAGAATGCGTTACGAACCTCCGATGGCGATACGAGCCCGATAACGCAGTGCCGCATCTGGTTTTTGGCAATGCCCCCCAACCCGGCGGCCAGTGGACGAATGATCCAGTGGCTCGGAGCTGGGATATTCAGACCCTGAGCTACGCGACCATGTTGTCGCTGCCTGGCTACTCTTATGCTGAACACTATCGCAAGGTCACCGGGAAGGATCTCCAGGCCTTTAGTCGACCGACGAGGCGGGAATTCGCCGACTACCTTCGAGCATATCCGGAGGCAGTGCATATCGACCATGTCTTCCACTCCAGCCAGAATCTTACCGGGATTGCGAGAACGGAAAACGGTTTCTACATTCGCTCTCACAGAATCCACTGTAAAAACCTAGTTCTTGCCAGTGGTATCTTTTCTGACGCGCTGCCGCCGCCTCCCCTTCTACAGCCTTTGGTACCGCTGCAGCATAACCCCCAGGTTCCTCTACTAGTCATTGGATCTGGATTCTCGGCTGCCGATGCCATCATCTCTACATCCCCAGAACAGAAAATCATCCACATGTTCAGATGGGATTCCGAATCCAGGCCTTCTCCCCTTCGTGGCTGTCACCAACAGGCATACCCTGAATACGCCGGTATCTACCGCATCATGAAACGTGCTGCATTCGCCGCACAACCTCAGATGAATCAACGTCGCTATAATCGACAGAAAACATCGATGCCGTTTCTGAGATCTCGGAACTGGGACGAGGTCTACGAGGGGCTCCCCAACGCCGAGATACTCTCAGTTGATGATGCGAACCAAGGACAAGAAGTTATCGTCACATTCCGACTGATGGACGGCACGACGTTTACCCGTCCAGTCTGTGGCCTTGTATACGCAGTCGGGCGACGAGGCAGTCTGCGCTACCTGGACGATTCTCTACTATCGGAAGTCCTCGAAGGAACACCGAACGAGCATCGAACAGAAATAGACCCCATGGTTTCCGGACAAACTCTCCGTAATAAAGCTCTTGACGATCTCCAAGTCGCACGGGATGTTTTCATCATCGGCAGTTTAACAGGAGACTCGCTTGTCCGGTTCGCCTACGGGGGATGCGTGTATGTCGCAGGGAAGCTGGTTCGCGCGTTCACCAGCAAGTACCAGGGTACGAGTGGATGTGGCAGCTGCAGTAGCAGCGGTGGGTTATCAACATCAGCATTGACGCCTAAACCACCCATCTCGATCATGAACGGCATGGATGGCCACCATCCCATTCCTTGGGAACGAGGGAACGTCCATGAGGATGAGAACTACCGTGTTATTTCATCCGTCGCGGATAAGAGAATCCTGCCTAGCTGGTGGAGGTCATTTGTGAGAGTCTGGAGGTGGGATTGATTGCGACACAGTGGTTATATAGAAAGCTGATCCGTTGCATCTGTGTTTTCGCGAGAGGGAATTAATACTGTACTGTAGGTCTGAGAGTGACCATTTTGTCTATATAAAGAGCCTTTGCTACGGGACATGATCTGTTCATGTATTTGGATGACTTGCAATTTTTCGCTATCGAATACTAAAGGGTATAATATAATACATCATCTATGGACTGCAAATGCAATATCTCGTCGACTGAAATCAAAAGGAATCGATAGACTCATCCCATCAACTGCAGCTGATCGTCCGGTGGCCACCGCACCTGCGCAAATGTGAGACATCGTTTGATGGCCTGGAGGTACTTTCGAGTAATTTCGTCGCTCAGGATATGCGCCTGCTGGTCGCTTTGGTGGAGTTTTTCTCGTGCTGATCGTTCGTGGATACCAACCATGGTCACACCGATAGGCCATGCCCTGCAACATGTCAGTACCATGCATATACAGGCGCTCTTGCAAACGAAAAGAAAAGAAAGAATAGACTTACGCCTTTCCGATACTCAATCTCAAGTATGCGTCATTGGCATCGACGTATCTCCTTAGCTGAGCTTTATGCACAATCTCGACGACAGGTTCCAGGACTCCTTTATCGACATCCCCCTTTTCGAACTTGCGGTATAAGGGCTTCAGGTTCTCTCTAGATTGCACCATTGCGTTATACGCTTGTCTTCCCTGTAGACTCTGCTTGACGGCTAGATCCCGCTTGGATAAAGCGATCTCCCACTCCGACAACACCATGTTGAAGTACGACGCCAGCTGCCGCATGAGGAATATCCGCCCTTCCTTATCCTTGGGAACGGATGATGGTATCTTCATCTCTACTTCCGGAACCAGTTCCAGCGTCGTAGGTATAGGTCCGTCGGAGAGTTTGGATTTCCCTCCCAGCGACTTGGAAGTAAGTCGACGATACCGTCGTAGGCGTGCATGATGAGTCTCCCCAAATAGCCGCGCTGGTTCATCAATTTCACGTAGTTTCGCAATCAGCTCTTCATTGGGAATATCATCTTCGCCTCCATTCTCCGAATCCTTCGCCTCCTCGTCCTGCTTGGCGGGTTCAGGCAGCTCCGGCAGACCCAGTCGCTTCCTCCTCTCCCGTTCCTGTTCCGCCTCTTTCTCTTCTCTCCTTTTCTGAGACTCCTCGGCTAGTCTTCTTTTTTTCTCCTCTCGTTCGCGTCGCTGGGCGGCTTCTTCTTCCTCAAGTTTGCGCTTTTGGGCGTTGCGTGCTTCGCGCTCTCGGCGGAGTCGCTCTTGCTCTTCATTGTAGGCTGCGATGCGGGCGGCTTCGAGCTCACCCCGGCGTACGTATTTCTTTTCTGGTTTGGAGTTTCCGTCGGAGGGATCTGGTGAGGCAGAGGTGCCCTTGGCCTTTGAGATCTCCTTGGACATCAAGGAGGCGAAATCCATTGTTTTGGTTTTCTCCGTCTTTGTATTGCTCTATAATCTGTAGATTAATAAAAATGATAGAATCGTTAGAGCGTGATATGATGCATGGATATGCGCAAGTTGGGGGGCAGTGAAGTGGTGGACTTGAACCGTCGAAGTTGGAAGAATCAAAATCCAAATCTGACTTCGACAAACCAGATCCAGTTTCACAAACAACCAGCATTCCCACAACCATGCTCTCCTACGAACATTGACCTATAATCCCTTCAAACACACATATAATATCCACTTGTCTCTAATCAAACGAAAATCGAGCCACCATGTCCACGCGCGACGCGCCCAAAATCCAAATCGACCGCCAATCCACCACCCCCTTCCACCTGAAGCTCTTCTACCGACTGAACAACTTCCACCATCTCTCTGACTTCTCTATTCCCCCAGTCTCTGGGGCATCCAGCTCGGGCCCCGCAAGCGGTCCTAACTCCATCCGAACGCGCAGCTCTCCCCCCCCTCCGCCATCGCTCCCTGCCCACCTCCAGATCTACACCTGGCAATCCTGCACCCTGCGCGAGCTGTCGCAGCTTCTCACCTCCGCGTTACCATCTGTATTTCCCGATCCCCCCATCGGCACAAGGTTATGCTTCCGACTTATATACCCGGACACGCGGGGAGCGGCGTCGCTCGGGCCCGACGCGAGGGGCAGGTACCTGAGTAAGGATATGGGGAGTCTGGTTGTCGGTGCGAAAGAAGGGCCTCCTCAGAGACGGGATAGTATCGATCAGAGCGGGAGTAATAATGTTCCTTCTGGACCGAGGGGACTACGATTGTCTGGTGATGATGCAGAGAAGACACTACACGACGTGCGATTTGTGGTGGGCGATTACGTCGATTGCGCCATTCTGCCTCCGTTAGAAGATGGGTCGGTCGCGCCTCCTATTGTATCCGGACGAGGTGCTGGTGGGGGTAGTGGCTCTGTGATCGGGGGTGGTATGAGGGCTTTCCGGGAGAATGGGTTCGGAGGGAGACCTGGTCGCGGTGGGAGGGGAGGAGGATATGGGCATTCGGGCATTCCCAGTGGTGATTGGAGACGCGGTGAACGATTGCCAGATGGGGGTGGGAGGGGATACGGAGGTGGTTCGAGGAGGGGATGGGCGCCGTATTAGCTGGGCTTACACGTTCCTTTTCTTCGCTTCTTAGGTGGCTTGAGGTTTAGACGGCGGATACCCAGAAAAGTTGGGATATGGTGTTGATTGCCAGTTTTAATGTTATCGGGAAAAAATGCATTTATTTAATACCATCATTGCAGCAAGTGTATTTGAACTCAGGTGTAATCGAAGAGAGTATAATTCCTTGCAATTATAAGATATGCCAGGTCGATTCGATTCATGGATAGCTTAGACCCTCCGCAGTCGATCAGCGGCCTCGATCTAGAATTCAACAATGGTATCCTGTCTCCGCTTCCCACGAAATTCGTATTTTCCCTACATATTCCAATCAGCCAAGACCTTGTAACTAGCAGAACCAGATCGTCAAAAAGAAAACGTACGTCCGTCTTGTACGCAATGTACCCCAACGCAGTCGGGATCAGAGCAGCGTAGAGAAGTGTATGCCAGGCATTGCGTGGAGTCCAGCGGAAGTACTTATAGCGGTTCTTGTTAAAGTCTGCAGCGGGTTGATAATTGCTCAATTAGCCTCTGTCGACTTTGCAACTTCAATACCCCCGGATATATTCGACTCGACGTTTTGGAGACAGAGCTGGAATCCATTCCATATCCCGCAGTTGCAACAATCACATCCGCCAATCCAATCAAGCAGTCAAATCCGTGTGTTTTTCTATCCGCGAACGTCGCAGGAACAGCAGAGGGAGGGGAATTAAGTTACCCTGGTATCTCTGGAGAGCCGGGTCCAGAACCAACGCTGCGGGAGTCGATTCGTTAGTCATGGATCGTACAACAATGGGAAACAACATCGCCATTCTGCTCATCACTTACATTTGCTTGTGGCCATGTTTGCAACGCTGGAGAATGCGCAGGTTGATATCAATCAGCGTCGAGACGATGTCGTCCGACGCTCCGGCGATGTGAGCCGCGATGTCTATCACGTGATGTGATTTATACGCTGAGTCAGCGTTTTGTCGCCAATTGGCGATTCAAAATTAGACCGGTGATAAAATGCTACAATATCACTTTCTTTATCCCTACTTTTCCTATCTCTATATATATTTGTAAGTGGGTGGTGTGCGACTGCGTGCTGATATAGCAGGTACGGGCGAACCGGTTGGTACGTGAAGATAATTGATGGAATGTAGGGTGCCTTTATTTGTAGAACTAATCCTGAGGTTCACACTCAGCGGTGCGAGCGCTTGCTAAATGTTGAATCACGTGGGATTCTGCCGCATAGGTCCGCCCTCGCTGACCCTTTCACCACGTCTACTTCTCGGTTCGGTACCAAGGTTCTCCTTGAAAGTCAAGCCGTATTCGCTTCAGTATTAGAGAACATAATGAAACCCGCAAAACCCCGGAAACTCACATTCTTGAATTCCTTGGCACATTCTCGGGCCGTCTTCCAAAAGGCATTCAGACGTTCGCCTGGGATAGGTTTGGAGAAATGCTCCCGATTGAGTTGCTCAAGGTCTGACATACTCTCTTTGGATGTTGGTGAATGCGATGAACTCCCGATTCCGAACATGAACAGCATTCATCTACTTAAGCTATTACTCATTGCTTGAAAAGGCTTTTGATGGAAATTTTGCCAGTGAAGAACCAAAATGGCCAGGGTTTGTCTGAGTCATAGGCGACATCTGCGCAATACACTTCACTTCCATCAGAGGGATTCACTACATGCAGTACCATGTCATATTAGCCGCGGCAAAAGTTATCAGATCTACTCCCAGAGAGACAAGTCAATAGGGGGTTATTTGCTTCTGCAGGCCTCAGTGACCATGGAAGTCAAATGAGAGTTGGGAAAGTTCGGCATGATAAGTAGCTCAGACTTCTGTGGCAGGTCGCCTGGACAACAGAGCCATCCAATCCGAACCAAGAATCCCGAATTATTCCCTGCTTCCAAACAGGGAACTTCCCACTTCTCTCAGAGAACTTCTTCCTTGTCCAGGAGGACTTTCTGTGGCCCCAAATAACTCCTGCAACAGGCAGCTGAAGAGCCTACAAAGTTTCTGTGTCATTGAACGCCATGGGTCCCTCAGCATTCGCGTTACCTAAGGATACAGATCACGAGACAATGGGGGACGTAAGGTATAGTTTCTTGCGTGAGAGAGTTACCATAGAATTAAACCAGGAGGAACTTTCGTTGATGCTTTCTTGAAGTGGTCACACTAGTGATTTGGCCTTTCTAAACTGCATCCTCCTCTACACTTGCCTGCAGTGCTTGGAAGTCCACCTCCTTTTTATCAAGCTCCTCTTTCATTGCCGCCCATTCTACATTATACTGGTTTAGCTGCTCCATCTTGCTGTTCACAAACAGTTCAACCTCAGGGCTGGCAACTGTCACAAGCTCATCAATAGAAGATAGAAGCTGTCGAAGAGCAAGCCAAGCATGGCTGTCGGGCGCTTCGAAGCAGGAGTATATTAACTCATGAAACCAGAATCTTCCGTCCTCCATGGATTCGCGCATGAGGGCCGCCATACTGGGCATTAAGCAAGTTTCAGCTCTTTTTTGCTGCTCCTCCTCCAGCACATTGGTGAACATCTTAAGCAGAATCAAATGGTTTCTTCAGAAGAAGCCACCGTGGGGGTGAGTAAAGCATCTGAAATGGTGCTGTATACACCCATTCCCAATCTAGCACAGCAACTATCTTCAGGCCCTGTGCATTGTTGACGAGCATGTTTCCAAACCAGAAATCGTCACATTAACTTGAATGGGCCATGGTCATAATTATTGTCAACGAAACGGGGAACAAGGGCCGTAAATATCTTATTATGGAGATATTTGCAACGAGCATCTTCCATATCATCCACTGAATTAGGTTGGTCCCACAGATGCTGCATGTCTTGCTTCCCACATATTGAAAATAGCTGGTAGCTGAAGAGAATGTCTCAGAGATATGGCCTATGACGTCCGCAGTGTCAGCTGGCTGCCATATAACAATGAAAGGAAGGGGGAGCACACCACCAACGCGAACGCCCCCGTGGCTCTCTATTTCATTCATCTTCAGCGTCAATGGCCTCGAGTCAATGACACTGCTGAAATCCGCGTTTCCAGAGAGCGAACCTATGTGCGGAAAATTATATGCTGAAAGGTCCAACAGAAAATTCGCAATTTGGCGATATATGGTTTCCAGTTCTTCATCACTAATGTCCAATCGGAGAGAGCGAGCTTTTTCTGGGCCAGTACCTTGCCTTAAGATCGTGTCTAAAGGTTCTCCCTCAATAAACTCCATGATGATGAAGGCCCCGAGGCCAAGTGGATTCTCGTGACTGAGACCCCATGCTATAACAGACGGTACAGGGATGTTCGTCTTCTCTTTGACAAACCTCATTGTGGCAGCCTCATGGGTAATTTTGTCATCACCATCCATTACTCGACCAGGCACTGCAAACCGTACCACCCATTGTACACCGTCATCAAATTTTATTCTGCAGCTCCAATTAAACGATCCGCAATTATCACCAACAACCTCTGAAGGCTGATTATTTCGAAATGTTGAAACCCACGTCGCGATTGGAGGCCCCTTGGTGGTGTTAAATCATCTGGCCCAAGAAAGGGACTCAGCGTAGTGAGAAGCCTGGGTGCGTTCGTCCCAGTCCATGGCACGAATCGATTGGAAGACCAACGGGCTTGACTTGATCTATATTCTGCACAAATAGGGAGTAGATGAGTTGACAAGAGAATGTGGGCCAACGGAAGAAAGAACACAAGCTTCTATTTATTTCGGCGGTTTAGAGGTCCGGCCAGGAGCATCAGCATAAGAGGCATCACTAGAGGCTTCTAGGATATGGATCCGTGGATTGGATTCTGATCCCATGGAGCCGGGCCCATACTGTATAGCATGTCCCTTAGTAGTATTCAGGTATGTGATGATGTGGTCAGCTTCAGCAAGGTGAGCTTCTCATGGGTTGGTAAGGTGACGCGCTAAGATGCTGACTAAAGCAGCAATATCAGGACAGGTTGCAACAGCAATATAAATGAGGGATCCTATACGGCATTGGTAGCCATATATAGACATGGGTGTTGCTTTGCCGTCAAATGGTCCAATGGTAGAGCTGGAGAGAGGTGTATGGATCTTCCTCAACGGGTTTATATTGTAGTCATGGGCCATTTTATCAATATAGGCATCTTGGCAGAGCCATACAGTTCAATTGGTTCAATCCCATAAAATGTGGATGTTGAGGAACCAACGTATATCACCAAGAACACGCATTTCAAAGCGGGTGCAGAGGTAATAAATCAATTTGCGGCGTAGCTCGTGGCTTTGGTGATCTTTTTGTGAAAGGATGACAATGTCATCAACATATATAAAAAGAAGTAGGTCCTGATGGGCAAACAGGCATTGGTCTTCCAGGATGGGGGACAGACCATATTCTAGGCAGGCACTGGTAAATTCGCGTTGCCAAAGCAGAGGTGAGCAACGTAAGCCATAGAGAGCTTTTCTTAGGCGCAGGCATGGCTTCTGATTGGTTGAATCAGAATGGGCAGGCACCTGGAGCTCAGGAAATTCCATAAATCCATCAGGCAGTTCACAGTAGACCTCTTCATCCATTGGACTCTGGCAAAAAGCATTAACACCATCTAATTGAGTGGAGTCAAGGTCAAAATGAGCCATTATCGCCATTAGGAAGCGGAACGTGCGTGCAGCCAGGGTAGTGGCTCAAGTATCTAGACCATTGAATGGCTGTAGATCACCCTATACACAGATTTGGGCTTTGAACTTGGTGAGATAGCTGTCATCATTAAATTTGTAGGTAAATACCCACCGCAGTGGTATTACTGGCTTTCCAGTAGGTCTAGGCATCAGCTCATATGTGCCATTTTTATGGATGGTAGTCCATTTAAGTTTGGCTGCACGGAGAAAGTCCTCATAGTGCGGATGGTGTAGTAGAGCTGCCCAGTTCTTTGGCGCAGGTGGTAATTGGTCACAGTGAAGCTGAGAGGTTGGTCTAAGCTTATCATCATTAAGCTTGACCAAACTATCTGCGTCAGGCGCAAGATCCCACCATTGGTTGATCCAGTTTTGAATGGATCCAGTTGGTTTGAGCTTAAGCTGGTCATACTTCCATAGTATGTCAGCTATACAATCATCTGTAGTTGGAGCAACCGTATCCCTGAGTTTTTTGAGAGCTTGTCGGATAGATGGGGTCTGCCCACTACCAATCCGGCAATTCGTGTATGTCGATCAGAGATAGATGAGATAAACCAGCAGGTAAATAAGTCAATTGCATGCTGCTCATCTCTCCAGGCTTGGTAATCATATTGATATTCAAATTTGGCATCATCGTATTCTTCAGTTTTTGGGTAATTCGCTCTCCGGGGCAGCAGAGGCTTGGGGAGAGGTCTTCGAGCTGTTTTCTTGGTGTCTGTAGGTATGGGAGGATCTGTAGGATCCAATAGATCTGGGTTGATGATATCCCATATTCGTAAGGCTGAGGCCTCGGTACAGGCTTTGGTGAAACACGCCTTCCAATCAGAATCCTTATTGAGTCTGATGTTGTTGACGATGTTAGCATTAGCCATGATGTCTAGCTAGATGCTCTGGGGGTAGGAGGACAACTGGGTTGGTTGAAGCTTCGGAGCGTCGTTGCGGTAGGCTGAGTATTTTGGTCCGCTGGAAGATGGTCCAGAACTATCGGATTAGAAATTTTGGTTCAGCCAATCAAATACCGTCTTTTGACACTTCTTTTGAGCTTATTCTGACGCGTGTTGACCCTCAAATTGAGATATCCGGGCTCATAACTGACGGGTTCGACGTGGTTGTCTTCATAAAGGGGTCGGCGGAGTCGGTCCCTATCTAGCTAATGGAGATCACGTGACTACTCAACACTCCCCACTTACAGGTCTAAAGTTGTAGACAGACTGCCGAGCAGTTCTATAGCGGCCTCGCTGACTGAGACCCGCTCACTGTTTAGTTCAACTGACAGATGCTTGGCGTCCGGGGGGCCGACGAATTATCTCCGATCTTATGCTCGCGACACACCAAACACAACATACCAGCTTCACAAACTAGGCCACGATGGCGGGGATACGGCCGGATGACCCACGATCAATCAGGGTGTGCTTTGGACACATATATTTTCTATCGAATGAGGAAATCTATAACCGATGGCAAGCCCCGATCGGGTTGGTTTTCCACCGATCTCGACATATCCTTGATTTGAGATCATCCTACCCGGACAGCTCGTTTCCACCCCCTGCCTTGGGGCGGTGATTACGATACGGCGTATCGGGCGACCATGCCGGAAACGGGAAAACTAACGGCAAGGGGCAATTCACAGGTCCTCGCTTTACAAGGTAAATATTTATGCTGGATTCTTGCTTCTATAAGCGCTTTGAGGCTTTGGGTTTCTGCTTCCCAGTGGTTTCCGCGGATTTATTTGCTGAATAGGAAAGTTTCTTGCTGTCGTAGATCCATAGGGCTCGGAACTAGGGCTTCACTCGAGACTGTATCATCGCGTTCTCTCGAGCATATCGAGCTCTTGTCGCTCTAGCAGTGGAACTAGCATGATCTTGGTAAGTAGGAGATGCATCTCTTCTGTACTGTAGGCGTGGCTGTTCACACATGTCAGATATCCAAGTACACAGGTTATAACCACCCACGATCCATGGACTCGACCGTGGCGTATGCTACGTATCCCAAGGAAATGCCATCTTGCTCGACCGAAGCAGAACTGATGTAAATGCTACGTCAACGGTGTGTATCCATATATCAGAAGTCTCGTCAAATCGTCAAAATAAAGGATACAGATATACATATTATCGACACGAAGACAACAAGTGCAGACGGATATATACACTTCCAACGGCAACACCATGACCCAGTACAGACAAGGACAGATTGTCCGTTTCCGTCCTGTTGCTGGTGGGTAGTATATATCTTTGATGCAATTAGCCATGTATATTAATATTAATGCGTCACAGCGAGAACCCCCCAGGGCCATGGGGAAGAGGATATAGGTACCATCACCCAGGTTCTGGTCCAGACTGGGAATGCGCAAAATCGGAATACCGACGTCACTGAAGATGATCCTCGGTATGAGGTGAGTATACTCGGTATAGTGTACTACGAGGGCTGTGTTGACTTGGCTCAGATCCAAAATCGGCGGGGGAAGAAGTCGGTAATCATGGAGATGGATATCGTGGGCGAGGAAAAGTAGCTGTATTTATATTGAATCAAAGTAACAGCTTCCTGTCAACTTAATATACGTACATGGTACATGTGCAAAATCTCATCCCTTCCACACGGTGTCCACTGGATGCAAATTGCTCTTCGCCGGTCCCTGCAGACAGATTCCCTCCTTGCTGAATCGGCTTCCATGAACCGGACAGTCCCATGTCTTCTCTACGGCATTCCAACAGATTACGCCTTTCAGATGCGGACAGATGGCGCTGAACTCTTGAACGCAGTCAGACTCGTCCTTGTAGACCACGACAGGCTCAGCAGTTTTGCTGTTCAACATTCCTCCCTCGCCAGGAGCTAGGTCTTCGATATCCTCAATGTCCGACTCCAGATACCGCGTGTACTGCGTGTTGATCTGCGCGTCATGGGCGAGCATCTGAGGGAGAGCCTGCATGACGCTGGCGATGCGATTCGGGTCGTACAGTTTGCTCCACGGATTCGAGATGCCCTGGATCTGATCCGCAATGAGCTTCCCGGCCAAGACGCCATGAGTGAGTCCATCTCCGCTGTCCCCCGTGACGATGTAGATATTCTTCTGGCCCTGGTTTCTGCCAATGAATCCCATGTAGTCGACCGGCTCGTTCACCTGGCCGCTCCATCGGTAGTCCACTGTCCCTGCCTGGGTGAAGCGCTCACGCACCCACGTTTCCAGCGTTGCAAATCGTCCCGACGGATTCGCCTGCCCGACCTTGTGGTCACAGCCTCCGACGACCAGGTAATCATCCTTGTCGTCGCAGCGGGTCAGCCGGACGTATTTGTACTTCTCTGCCGAGTCGTAGAGAAGACAGTCCTCGACTGATCCCTTGGGCACACGGACCGCAATGCAATAGCTCCTGTTGCTCGCCATCTCCGCAATGACACTTAGTTTCTGTGGTGGTACATTGGTCGCTTGGACCGCGTGGCTGGCCGTGATAGTTTGACCCTTTTCAGTCTGCAGCTTGACCATCTGGCGTCCAAAACCGAAGAAACCCGTGCCTTGTTCGTTGATTTCCTTCGCCCTGGTGTGCGTGTAGCATTCAAAATTCGGCTGCTTGTCAAGCCATGTAAGGACTCCAATGACATATTTCGTCGGGTGGAAGGTGGCCTGGTCCTTGAACACGGCGGCGTCTCGCTGATCAGGTTTCCCATGCCAGCCGTGGACGGCAAGACCTTCTTGATACTCAACCTGCATGCCTAGGGATTTAGCCGTCTTGACCTCTTCCTTGAGATCCTCGACGTCCCTTTCATGTCTCCCGTCCTCACGATCATACTGCGAGATTTCATACACAGGCAGATGACGGTATTCGCATTCGATGTTGAGTTCCTTGGATATCTCCCCCACGCGGCGCAGCGCCCATGAGTGGCTATCCGCGGCCATCTTTGCACCCTCAGACCCATGTTTCTTGTAGATCTCGGTGAACCCATCGTCCAGCGCACTGGTCAAGTGGCCGCTGGTGCGTCCTGTCTCACCGGAGACTGCACTTCTCGCTTCGATCATGGTCACTTTGACCCCACGCACGACCAGCTCGTAGGCAATTGAGATGCCAGCAATACCGGATCCGACAATGCACACGTCCGTGTCCAAGTCTTTTGACAGCGTGGGGAATTGGGGGTATTCCGAGAAGGGCATCTGATGCACCCAGACGGCGTCCGTCTCGCCTGTGGTGTGCATGAAGTGCTCCATCTGCGGCATATTGGGGTTCTCCTTGGCAGTGTGTGGCATAATGTAATCGGCTGGTAGTATATCGAACTCGTCACGGATGCCGGCACAGCAGGCTTCTGGGACATGTAAAAAGCAGATATGAAGCAATACTTGAATTCATGTTGTCGATAGGTCTCTATGATGTCGTTCCTGTAGACGCTTGCCACCGTGCATAGCATCACGATGACGTGAAGCTGTTGAATCCGCAACCAAATGCCTCTATATGTAGGAAGTAGTGTTAGTATATACCTATAGCATATTGACTAGAAGAATCCAAGTCGATGGATTGAGCGTGCGGCAGGCCTTTGGTCCCATGATGCATATACTGAGAAGGTTTCAAGGGAGCTGGACGAGATGGAGTAAGGCCATCCGAATAGCATATACAGGACTAGACGCATGAAAAAAGAAAGATGTCCGAATCTCAACAGACGACATCGTCAATGGCTTGGACTGACGCATGCCACTGAACTAAATGCCATGGCCGACACCGTCAAAACTCTATCAGAAAAGTCTTCTCGAAGCGTGTTAAATAGGGCATGGTACCTGATCCATCGGCCCCTTCTGACCCGACAAAGCAACCGTTTCACCAGAAGTGGGGAGACAGATTCGCGAGTAAAGTCTATTATTCATTGCCAGTGCGCGTTGCACAATATGGAAATGGACTTGCTTGCTGAGCAACATTAGCTGTGGCTCTATTCTGTCCGTGCTCACTGCTAAGATTTCCATGATCCACAATGTTTATTTTGGCCTCCATTCGATTACGTGTGCATTCCAAAGGAGAGTGGGATGCCATCCATGTCGAAGCCGGGTGTTATTGTATTCAATTTCAATGTCGATATTGTGTCCAGCCCTATGGTTTCCAGCTTGGCATGACGACGGGAATTGAGAAACCGGTAGCCAACCCCAGCTATGATTCAAGCGGTATACACGGCCCGAGGAGGTGAAGAGAACCTCGAAGGCTACATCCACCACGCAGTGAGGTTATCGGATGCAGGGTTGCGGAATCAACAGAGCTCCGGTCACCATGGGATGGCATGGCATGCATTCCAGGTGTTGTTCATGGAGGTGGGCCTGGCTATCTCCTGTTCTTGCCATCGATGATTCATTCCGTGGAATCTTTGTCGGTGTAGATACTTCCGCATTCTCAATGAGGCATCCGGTCACCCGTCCGTAGACATCACAGTTCCCGAATCCCGTTTTCCCGCTATGGGATCGATTGGCGAAGGGAGAGAAGAAGCCCTGCAGCCTTGAGGACTAGTGAATACATGCAGAAGTGGACTGCGGCACGGTTGAGGCTGGAGGAATGAAGGGTTTCTATTACCATTTGCAATTCAGTGGGTGGCTCGTGGAGTAGATCTGCTACCTGGAGTTCCCGCAGCGGAAACTCAGCGGATAACCGTTGTGTTCGCCATCTAACGCTGACTCGCCCTGTTCAGAAGAGATGCAGGGGTAATTTCCGGATTGAGACAGGAACGATGCTATTTTTGTGGGATTATTCAATAGTTATCAATCAGTGGAGCCGGGACCCATCTAAGGAATATTCCAAAGCAGACGCTAGTTGGGCGCGAGACACGGTTGGACTTCACTGAAGATGCGAGGTTACATCCGGGCCCGGTGGAGTTGCATCGTGCTACCTCGGCAGCGTCCCAGAAAGGCAAGTCACCGGATCATCACTAGTTCGATACTGGCGGTCTCTTGACGTCGGCCTAAACCCGGTATTAGCCCGGCTCCCGTACTAACGGTACAGGGCTCTATTGGACGAACCAGGGTCCAGCTCCGCGGAGATTGCAGCCAATGGCAACAACCGAGTTGGTTATGTCCAATCAGCGAAGTGCGATAAGGAAAAGTTAGTAGCCAATCAGACCAGCGGATATTACGCGAGCCGCTGGACCGGGAGCGACGATGATTGGCGGGGAGACGTGCCAGAGGAATCGGGGATTCCGGCAATTTCGACCTAACTTTGCGAATCCTGATTCCGGGTCGTTTCCGAATTTCAGACTGCACAGTGCATCTGATTCTCTGTCTTCTGTGGTCGGTACGATATGATAATGGATGCAAGTGAAGTCGTGAAGTCAACAACTTGAACTGTTCCAGCGGAAGCCTCGGCTCCACTCCCGACACGAGATAGCGGGTCTGCACATGGCAGCCAATCAGCCCGTGTGGGTCAGAGAGTGACAGTGGGTCTGGGAGAAGACCCAGTCCCGTGACAATGCAGGAGCCTGCCTGAAAGGGAAACCAGTCATGCCAACAAGCGGTCAAGATGCTGCAGTATAGTAGGATACACCTGCTCCGTACAGCGTATCGGTTGTTGTGATCATACAGGATAGGGGTACATACTGGTTATGCTGATGCATCTACTGCGCGGCGGAATGCAAGATACACGCATGCCTACTTCCCCGAGCAATCGCATCCATTGCCGGTGTCATCCGCATGCGACGCTCAACGGTCGCGACAGATCACTGTGACAGATAGATGATGGATTGCCCTGTGCATACAGGCTATATAGTATACGATGGAGCAGACAGGGATGAAGAGGAATGAAACTAAAGCTGAATGTAATCGTCATGGGATTTGCCTCCGACTACCGCCATCGTCATCGAGGGCTATAAACTCATTAGACTCTGCAGTCTGGGCCGAGGACTATTATAATTATAATCGGATTATTATATGGCTCTGGCTGCTGCCGACTCCTAGACTCCGTAATAATCCAGATTTCATAAAATAACGCTCCCTCCCTCTTATAATTATATCCTTATATCCTTCACTGGAACCCAGTCCATTCACTGTTCCCTGTCGCCGTATCAACTCTCCTCTCTGGTGTCGTGGCTTGTCCTTCTTTCCCCCTCATCCTCTCATTCATCCATCTATCTCTCTGCATGGTCCTGGAGGGCTCTGTATCTTTTTAAGTTATCAAAAATTCTCCCGAACAAAAGCAAAAAGGACTGAACACCATGGCGACCGTGACTGCCACTGCCACCACCACCCCTCCGGCCCAGGTCTCGTACTATGGCCATCCTTCTCCCGCACACTCAACCACCTCTTCTCCCATCCACCACTCTCCCACTTCCTCCTTGAATCCTCTTCCTCTGCAGTCGCGCCAGTTGCGTCCGCCCAAGGGACCCCTGTATGTCCCGGCCGCCCTGCGTCCCACCGAGCGACCGACCAAGTCATCTCCTCCTACTCCTCCCCGCAGCGCTCATAACTCCCCTGATCGTCTGAACGGCGACAACGGCTGTCCGGCCAGTCGTCGGTCCACCGTCGAGAGCAAGGGCAGCGGCAGCGGCAGCGGCAGCGGCATCAGCAAGTTGGCCGAGGATGAGTGGATGAAAAACGAGCATCTGGGCGAGGTGACGGGGTTGCCGACGCGGGAGCATTGGAAGGTGAGTTTCGAGAGGGAATCTCCTTAATTATATATACCTCCTGGACATATTTGCTTGCGCAACTTCTCGCACGAATAACTCATCGATGCCCGGTGGCGTGCTTATGCGGAGGCTGACGCAAGGACCTCATCTCACCTTCATCTTGCTCGATGGACAATCCACTGACCGCTGTTCTGTCCTCAGGCTGACTCTGCTTCTCCTAACTGCGACTCTCCCACCTGTCGCTCCTCCTTTGGTCTCTTCCTGCGTCGTCATCACTGCCGCCATTGCGGCCACGTCTTCTGTTCTTCGCACACTCCCTACCTGGTCCCCCTGGACCAGGACGCCCGTTTCCACCCAGAAGGTGCCCTGTCGCGCGCCTGCGATCTCTGCTGGAGCGCCTACCAGCGCTGGGAGGAGACGCGTGGAACCCGTCTCAGCAAGATTCAGAGCGAGCTGGAGAGAAGCCAGGATGCCTCCTCGCAGCACTCCGACAGCTCAGAGACCTCTTCTCAGGAGCAGCCGGCTCTAAGGCCTGGACTGCCTCAGAACTCTGAGATTGCTGCTAGTGTTCCCAAGGACTGGAACTGGAGTACCTTCTGAATGGTCCTTAATACCGTCTCATGTTTTTCTTTATCCTTTGATTGATTGCATAGATTGCTTATAGTATGGAGTTGGGGACTTGTCTGGTTTTCTGCATTCCTCTAGAATGCTTCGTGGGTGGCTCTATCTGTCGTATCTTTTGCCTTGTTGCTTTTTTTGCCTTTGCCCACAGGATACCCCGTCATTGCTAGCGGTGCTCTCATTGTTCAACTTTACATCATGGCGCGGGTTCTACTTGAGTACTGTACAGTTGCGCTACTGTTAATATGGCTAAATACTATTAGCTTGTCTATTCCTTGATCTACAGCGTACTCTATCCATCTAGCCCTGGTCTATGTTCTAATCTCTACGTCCACCCTCCTCCACATCCCAACATGCTCTATCCCCTCCTCCATCCACCTCCCCATACTCGTATCCGTCTCGAATCCTAACCGCTCATACATTTTTTCTACATTCACCTGTGCGTGAACGAGGACCAGACCCTTCCATTTCGATGCAGTCAATGCCCTCTCCTTATCTTGACCAGCATACGTCTTCACAACCCGCGCATGCGCAGCATCGATCTCCTTCGCGTTCTGACGTGCCCAATCGAGTGCCGCGCCAAGCAGTGGCCGAACGAGCCCCTTCCCACGGTATTCGCGCAAGATGGCTACACGTGTGATTTTGATGTACGGTTCGTGATAGAGGTCATATTTCGCGTGGTTTTTGTGGGATTCTTCAGCATTTGAATCGCAATTGCAGCTCGCTAAGAGTGCTTCGTGCGGCTCGTGAGGGGGTGGGACCAGTCGGATTACTCCTACGGGACTTCGTTCTGTCCCCGTTCCTGTTGATGTTTCTGTGTATAACACCCATTGCCAACTTCGCGGGTCATCCTCGTCTATCTCGGTCTCTGGCGAACAGCCCTGTTCGTCGATGAAGACTTTCTGGCGGATGAGCATGGCATCGTTGAAGACGGGCGGGTTGGGAGTTGCGTGTCTGTTTGCGGGCGTCGAGAGGCTGAGCGTTACAGGGCCCGGAGGGGGTTGGACGGATATCGACGTTGATATTAACATGCCGTGGCGGTAGCTGTAATTAAAATATCTTGATGCGTGTCGTGCTGCTCAGGTTACATCTATGATGAGGATATAGTTACTATTTCGGACAAGTGTATTACATAATAATTTGACCCCGGGATCCGGAGTATATATGGTCCGGGAGGGAAGGCGCCGGGTTCCCCGAATCTCGGATATATAGGAAAGGAAGCATTAAGCATGCCAATTAAGAGCTTCACAATATACTAGACACGCAGTATATTGGTATAGAGCGTTCACCATGAATTCTATGAACCATACGGCTTCCTTTTAGTATTTGATATCCGGACGCCTCACCCCTGATCCACATCAATGTGCTAAATAACACGTGACCTCTTAAGTCAACACGCCTAGGCTAACTCGCTGAGTTGGTTGTTCTAGCTAACATCTGTCTTCTGAACCCGCCCCTTGACACATAGAGAAGGACTTTTTGTACAAGAGCTTCCTCTTCATTTTGAGTCCATGTATGATTATTTGCGCATTTTTCAGGGTGGAAAGCAACCCCACGGAGTCTACCACGTAGGGTAGATTCAGGTACTTGATAATGATGTATTACTTGTCATACAGACTTGACTTGCTCGTTTTTAATAGCTGAAATAGCCGATAATGTCCTCCCCTCCCGCTTAGCTGGATCTGTTGATTTTTTATGAGCTTTTGGTGGCATGGCTGGTTGTTGAATTGCCTCAATTTTTTGGGCATGGCCAAAACATTGGTTATCAATCGTTGAATCAGTTGCCCTCTTCCACTTTCATCATTCAAAATATAACCATGTCCATTTACGCAGCAGCTCATTACGACAAGCAGAAACACGGCACGGCATAAGCTGTTCCGAGGTACCTAATTCCGTCATGTCCCCATCTCCAGGTTTGGGAACGGAGGTGATGGTTGTTATTACTCCGGGCGATTTCTTGGTATCCCCAGCGGTGGAATCGTGGGCGTATTCGGACTGGGCGATGTTGGACGACTAGCCGTGCAGTTCGCCGCTGCCTTTAGACTCCGTGTTTTCGGCTTCGACATCTCCCTGGCCGCTCTGGAAGATGCAGAGAAGGTCGGTGCAGAGGATACAGTGGATAGCTCCAATGCGGATGCCATGAAGCAGCTTGCCGACAAGGTTACCAACAGCGAAGGACTAGAGGGAGCTATCGTCGCCTCAGGCGCGGGAGCTGCATATAAAGCTGCGATTCGGCTAACAGGATTTCAAGGGTAAGTTACGTCCTTATTTTATTTTTCCTTCGTGCTAAGGCCGTACTAACCAATGTGTTCTACAGCACCATCGTCACCGTCGGCGTCCCTTACCAGCCGGTTGGCGTAGAGATGGCCAGCCTCGTGAAGAGGCGCTTTAAACTGCAAGGCACACAAACGGGAAACCCTGTCGACATTAGACAGATGATGAGACTCGTCGAGAAGTGTCACGTCATGCCGGAAGTGGAACTTAGCTGGATATAGTCAACCGCAGCATATGGAACGAGCTGCAGCTTCAGCATGTGAACCTGGCTGCGGTTTCAAGCGAGTCGTTATTTACGACAGCCGTCAATCCAGATCATTATTATTACGCAAGGGTCAATTGCATGCCTAGGATTATTTAAGTATATCACCTAACTAGTCTTTGAACTAATGCATGGCCTCCCTAGCCGTAATCAAATTCGTATTCGAACCCTTGAACATCGTAAACCAAGAAAACAGGGCTGGCCGTGTTGTAAACCCTAATATAGCCACTAGACAAACAGTGCAAACAGATCATTCGTACTCCAGCTTAATTTTTTATTCTTCTATAGTAAACCAGAGTAAACCACCACAGTTCAGATATACGAGAATGTCCCTCTACTTCGATGCAGCCTCTATACTCACCTCACCTTCTACCGGCGGCTCTTTCAAATCGCGCATCTACTCCTCCCGCTCCAAGGCGTCACCGGCGCAGATCTATGCTTTGATCACGGAAACGTCGAAATGGGACGTCCTCCTCAAAGAGGTCATTGAGAATGCCGGAATCCTCAGTTTAGAACACAAGGTGAGTCTGCAGTGCTGCGCAACGATGAAGATATGACACGTGCGTGCTGACTGACCAAGTGACTCCTAATCCTAGCTCACCCCGCTGCTTGCCTTGCTACTTGTTCATGACCACCTGTTCGCGAAAAATGGCATCGCTGCCCCCGCTACGCATCCACTTCGCCAGGCTGTGGAGAGACATAAGACGAGGCTGAAGGCGGAGTTTGTCAAGGCGCGAGTCCGGCGCGGATGTGCGACGGTGGAGCAGCTGAAGGCTGCTGTTTCCCGGGAGAAGAAGGAGAAGAATAAATCCATCCAGAACACTACTGATTACTATCCCCGGTGGATCAGGATCAATAATCTCCGTACCAGTCTGGAGGAGCAGTTGGGATCTACCTTTTCGTCGTACAGGAGGGTCGATTCCCTTGCGCAGCTCGCGCAGGAAGAGGATGATGAAAACGGTCCCTGTCTCTACATTGACCCGCACATCCCGGATCTTGTTGCTGTGGCCCCCTCGGGCGTCGACTTCTCCGGTTCAACGGCATACAAGAATGGCGAGATTATCCTCCAGGATAAGGCGTCTTGCTTCCCCGCGTATCTGCTTGTCGGAGATGCGGGCGCGAACGGTCAAACATGGCAAGGAAATATTGTCGACGGTTGTGCCGCCCCGGGGAACAAAACTACTCATCTTGCATCGATACTTCATAAGCGGCAGCCTAATGATAAAAAGCGGAAGATCTTCTCCATGGACGCGTCACAGACTCGATCCAGAACGCTTCAGAAAATGGTCTCCCTCGCGGGCGCGGATGACATCGTCACCATTCTCCCCGGACAGGATTTCCTCGCGGTAGATCCGTGCGATACGCGATTCGCAGATGTGACCGGTCTTCTCCTGGACCCCAGCTGTTCGGGCAGTGGGATTGTCGGCCGTGATGACGTTCCCGTTCTTACTCTTCCTGCTGCTGCTACAACAAAGACCCAGCCAACGGGGAAGAAACGTAAACGTAAACACGACGACAACTATAATAGCGAAGAAAACAAAAAGCCACCACAGAACGGCATGAATACTACAGACGAAAATGATCTCCCTACCTCATCCGATCCCGAGCGACTGGTGAAACTGTCTAATCTTCAAGCTCGTATCGTCGAGCACGCTCTCTCCTTCCCCGCCGCCACCCGCGTCACATATAGTACGTGTTCGATCCATTCCGTCGAGAACGAAGGCGTGGTATCTCGCATTCTGAACTCGGACGTCGCGAAACGCCGCGGCTGGCGGCTCTTACGCAGGGATGAGCAGTGTGCCGGGTTGCAAGCGTGGAAGTATCGCGGTATCCGCGAGGAGGCAGGATCTGAAAATAGCAGTGCGCTGTCACTGTCGGATTCGGACCTGGATGCTTGTATCCGTTGCTGGCCTGGTGAGGAGGGCTTAGGCGGGTTCTTTGTCACGGGGTTTGTGAGAGATCAGGAGGGAAACGGGGAGGACCAAGATGAGGAAGAGGAAGAAGAATGGGAAGGATTCTCGGATTAGATCCATTCGAAAAGAAATAAAATATTCAAACATATCACTGATTTCATGAGAACTGCAGCTGATGAGCGAAGCTTCCTTCGTACCATCAATAGGAGCCCACAATACTTCTTCCAGGGTTGCCAGCTACCTTTATCGCTGCTGTTGTTTCCAACACTGTGACTGTTTTGCAAGAACATACATCTTACTCCAAAAGCAGTTTCTATTCCTTTCCATTATTGTGCGAACTTGGACAGATTTCGTGCACCTAAGACCCCTTCAATTTTCCTGCTTCAGCTATAAATCTATTTTATTGAGGCCAAGGGAAGACCTTCAATGCGTCCAGAAAATCAAGCACCTATGCTGGTATCGTACATGGTAAATGCAATCAGATCAACGTCCAGACAAGAACTGCCGGGCCTTATTCCTCCTCCGCTCCGTGGTATACACATCCAGTTTGACGGCTATGAAGACCAACTCGAACCTATTTGCAGACTCATTCCGCTGAACCCGTAGACGCCACTGACCAGTCCGCACGACCCAGTCTCGTGTCATGAGCCCGTTTAACCGCGACGTTTCTGTATGTGCATGAGGCGATGTATATGTATATGCATTCGTGCTGGAAGGATCAAACGGCGACAGCATGTCTGAGCCCATCTGCTCCATATCGATCCTCCTCCGTTTCATCGGACGTGGCTGAGGACTAAAAGCGGGGTTACTGTCATCATCACTACTAGGAAAGACATATTCCTCGCCATCCACGACCAGATCGGTATCCCGGCCGATTCGAATAGCGACTCGATCCTCCCCTAGCGCGGAATGAGCAGGACTAGCCGGTTGAGCACTCGCGCCGCCGGACATCATCATCAGACCCAGCGGTGCCTTGGTGGGGAGGTTCATCTTGTTCGCGACGACCTGGAACAGGCTCGACACGCGGGCTTTGGCAAGACCATGGAAATCGGCCCGCATGGACGTGAGATCCAGCGTGGCGCTGTCTCCGCCGATTTCGATGATCAGATCGTGAGATTTGTCGTCGACAAAGGGTCGCGCGTATACGACCCATCCGCCCGTTAGACCTGGGTCAGAGAGCGGTGAGGACACGGGTGTATCGCTCGAAAATTGGACGCCGGATTGTCGCACGTCCTCGAGACGGATGATGATTTCGGACCGTCCGCGGAGAGGGTTTTCAGAGATCTCATGCGGAATGACTTTCTGCTCTAGACCGCGCAGGTGGTAGTATCGACAATCTCGGAGGAGGGAGGTGCGGTGCTCCTCGTTCCGGATGTGCAAGGGGTACCCGTTCAGAAGGCGGATGATGTCCGCAAAGATCTCGCCGGAGCGGTTTGGCACCGCTGGGGGATTAATGGGTGGTGGACGAAGGAGTGAGTTGCGGTCTAGTCCTGGGAAGACATCTTTTGGATTTGACCAGCAGATGGCGAATCCCAGGGAAAAGAAATTGGGCGAGTCGCCCAGGTTCGAGAAGAGGTCGCGCGGAATGCTGAAGTCGCGGTCGCCTATTTGCATGTAGATCTCTGACTCGAATAGCTGGGCCATGAGTCGGGGTACTGTGAATCGGTCAGACAATGGTTTCATTTCTTTGAAGCATAGCAGACATACAGCTGTAGAACTGGGCATCCGCAAACAACCTGACAAACTGCTCATTATTCTTGGGCTTTATATAGTATCCTGATTTGAATCCCGTCAGAAGGAGAATCCGCAGACGCACAAACAAAAAAGGACCAACCCTGTAGATGCCTCACGATCTCCTGAAACGTCACCGGATCCCGATCAATATAGAGTGTCCGAAGGTTCGACCCATGCGCCGTCCGTAACTGCTCTTCGAAGAACTGCGAAAAATACGACGGCGCTGGAACGACGACGCGACGGGGTCAGCCATTGTTTGAAGGAACGCATACTCAAACAGCCAAACCACTCACAATCCGATACGATCGAAGCCCCAGATACCTGAAACAGTTCCCTTCCGATCTGGATGGAAAAGACCTTGTCCGCGGGCAGGGTCGATTTCGGGCCCTTAGTGGACTTGCTGGACTGGGATGCAGGGGAAGATGTCGAGGACGTCGGGGCCCGTGAGTCCGCGGACGTTGTCATTGCGAGTCTTAGACTGTCAATTGACGAGACAAGAAACAGAGACAGAGCAACGGGAGTAGATCTGAATGCTGCGACGCGAACGCGGGTCGGTGGTTGTCGTTCTCAGTGCGCGGGTCGAGAGAAGACATTGGATCGGAACGAGGGTGCTGATTCAGAAATTTCCGCTGCAGTGTTACCACGCAGCAACCGACGGTTTTGCAGCTCAGAACCGACGGCGACGAGAGACGGCTGGCATGGTGGGAAGAAGGGCGGAGACCGGCATGCCAGGTGGTTGACGTGGAAAAACTCTACGAAACGACGGAATTGTCAGGGATGTTTTTTGATGGGTTATCGCTGATTATATCATCATCGCATCATGCATTAGTTATCAAGAAAGAGAATTGTCATCGGCTCGCTATTCCTTGCTCGAATACACTGCGGAACAACGTCCAAAATACTAAACTAGACTCCTATCGGTAGGGCCATCCTATTACATACCCTCCTTCAGAGGCACAATGCGATTCAATACCACCTTCTCATCCGTCGTATCCTTGTCCATGGCAAAGTACGCAATGCGCATTGCTTGGAACCGGACGCTCTCCGGCCCAAGTGCAACGCTGCCCTCAGTCTCCTTCTCCTCACCGGGGTTATGTTCGCCGCCGCCCTGCGCCGGCCAAGGTGCCCGGCGGCGGATGTCGTGGAAACCGACCTCAACCATGGCATTGGGGTAGATGTCCTCCGAGTGCGGGTTGATATCGTTAATGAAGTTGCCCGACGGATGCGCCGACGGATTGGCCGATTTGAATAGAGGATGGAAGACTCTCGCCTCAGCCTTAACGGGGCTGTTGTGCGCGGGGGAATCGGCGACCCATTGGATGAAGCTGTTTGCCATCAGTTAGCCATTGTCCTGAAAGGGCCACCAGGTTTGTCCACTTACGCTTTAGGCTTCTTCGGTGCAGCCCCATCGGCTGGCTTCTCGAAACGTGCATGGATCAGGTTTACGAGCCCGGTTTCTGGGTCCTTCTCATACGACGTTGCTACGACAGGGTACGGGGCCTTCAATAGACCGACTAACTTCCCAGGCGCCATGCGGAAGTAGTCTGGGGAGTCTTCCTCGCGGAAGTCGCTGCGATCAATGTATACGCGCTTGGTGAAGGGGATTTGGTGTGACTGGTAGTAGTTAGCATCAGTTTTTTTTTTTTTAAAGGGGCGGTTGATGACATACGCCGAAAGAAGGATCCTTGGGAGAGAAAGGTTGTTCAATCATTTCCACATAATCATCTGGCAAGTCATCGATGACAACCAGGATGGGGTCCAAGACCATCATCAGTCGCGGTACAGAGAACTCCAGGTAACTCCGGATAGCCTGCTCAAAACGGGCGATCTCAATGTTGATCAAGTTCTTGGTGACACCCAGTTCGTTGATGAACGACAAGATAGCACCAGGGGGGATACCCCGACGACGCAGACTGATCAGCGTATACAGACGAGGGTCGTCCCAGCCCCGAACATAGCCCTCTTTGACGAGTTGGTTGAGCTTTCGTTTAGACATGACCGTACCCGTCAGATTGAGGCGGCCGTATTCCCTCTGCATGGGTTTATAGAGGCCCAGCTTGTCGACCAGCCAGTCGTACGACTCACGGGAGTTCTCAAATTCAGTGGTGCAAAGCGAGTGGGTGATATTCTCAAAGCTATCGCATAGGCAGTGTGTGAAATCGTAGGTCGGGTAGATCTTCCACTTGTCGCCCGTGCGGAAATGGTGGCTTTCCTTCTCATCCAGGATACGATACGCAGCCAAATCCCACATCTGCGGGTTTGGGTTGTTCTCAATGTCCTGTTTCATGCGAAGAGACGCTTCCATCGGTTTATATTTGCCATCGCGCATGGCACGGAATTCAGTGAGGGACTCCTCGATGGGGCGGTTGCGATGAGGGCAGGAATAGCGAGCGTGGCCTTTGCCTTTGCCGCCACCTCTCTGCGCTTCGATTTCCGCCTTAGAGCAATGACATACATAAGCCCCATCCTTCTTGATCAGCTCCTCGGCCAATTCGTACAAGCGGTCAAAGTTGTCGCTTGAATGGGTGATAGTGTAGGGCTTGAAGCCCAGCCACTGCACAATATCCTTGATAGACTCAAAGTACTCCTGTTTCTCACCAGCTGGGTTGGTGTCATCAAATCGCAAATTGCAGACCCCACCGTGGTATTTGGCAAAGCCAAAGTTGATAGCAATGGCCTTGCTGTGTCCGATGTGCAGATAGCCATTGGGTTCCGGGGGGAATCGCGTAACAACATGCTTTTCGGGACGTTCCTCGTAGACATCGGCGAGGAAACCAACCTTGAACATCTGTTCGGGATCAGATGGAGGCGGAGGTTCGCGTTTCGGCTTGGGAGCCGCCGGGGCTTTGGGCGCTTTCGCCTTATTCTCCTTCTTTTTCTCTTTCTTCTCCTTCTTTTCCTTTTCCTTCTTCTCCTTCTTCTCCTTCCTCTCCGCCTCTTTTTTCTCCGGAGGATTTGCGGGGGCGACAGGCCTTTCAGGAAGGCATTTGGATTCTGCGGGCTATAGATGATTATTAGAAGGGGTTAGATAATCGCAGCGAATGACATACCGTGGACTCCATGGTAGCTAGCTGCTCTTGCAGGGAACACGAGGACGCTGGAAAGAGCGGGATGGAGGGGTGAAAGATGAAGCCGCAGAGTCGGCAGTGTGTGGTGGAGATAAGATAAGCGGTGGCGGTGAATTGAACGACAACAGACAAGGGGCTTTCTGGTCAGCGCTTGAGGACGGTACTGCAGTGTCAGAAGAGAGACACCGAAAGGATCCTTGGTTCTTCAGGAATCTTCTTCTTTCTCGAATACCATGGATGAAGTGCTGTGTGAGTCAAAAGGAACAGTCACGTGCTTGTATAGATATCTGTCACGTGATGTTTACGTTGCTCCACCCATTGCAGCAGTCATTATTGTCATTAGCATTAATCACTCTGTTATTCTGGTTAAGAACAATAATTTGGAGGTTTAAAGCGATGGGCTCACTGCCTGTCCTGGTAATTATCCGTATCCTCTATATCATGTGCGTTGTAGACTGCCATGCAAACCGAATACATTCCTGATGGATTCAATAACAACAAACCAAAGGGCTCTCCCAACGTATTATAGAACCATAGCGTTATTAATACCCTGTAGATGTTTTTCTAAAAGCATATGTAATATATACAAAACCATTCTTATTCTTGTAGGCCTGTACAATCCAGCCCTAGCCCCAACCCTCGTATTAAAAGCATTTAGCTCTTGCCGATCTTCACATTCTTCCCCAGACTAGTTATTCTTTGACCGTTATAGTAACTTTGGCTTACTCTTGTTCCTTGAAGCCTCGGCTTCAGGTGCCTGTCGAATAATCATGCCTTTCGGGTCTCAGGCCTCGCGCCTCGTTCGCGCTGGAGATCACTATATTAAATATCCTATATTGTCTATTCCCCGATTCCCCGCACTTCCTCTTCCCCAGTCTCCCTTCAATATGTGGTGAGAGAATCCAGTTCATTCCATTGACTTAGACGCTTCACCATGGCAGATGACAGTCACCCCCACTATGTCCCTCTGGATGTCCCTCTCCCTGTCACTCCATCAGACCAAGTCTTCTCCGATCTACAGTGGAAGACGCTCTTCTCCATCGCCGATACGGTCATCCCATCCATCCGCGCGCGCGACCATGCATCAGGGAGTGCCGTATCCGACAAGCTGGTCCCCGTGTCGCAGCTGAACCATGCCGTGTCCACGCTGGCGAAGCGCATCGCGGACAACGGCTCGTACTCGACTGACGCAGCAGCAGCAACAGAGCTGGCTCGTCACTATTTCGAGGAGAATGGCTCCTCCAATCCTGCTTTCAGGGCGCTTGTTGAGCGGACTTTTGCGCTGTACGTGTACCAGGAAGGGAAGAATGGGCTTTCGTTGATTCTCAACCTTCTCAAGTAGGTCACGCTGGTCCTTTAAATTTTCACATCGTCTGTGTGGACGCTAATCTAACGTGTCCAGTACTCGCGTCGGCTCTCTCCTCCTCACGGGCTCTCCCATACCCATTCAAGACCAGCCCTTTGACGTGCGTGAGCGAGTGTTCCGCTCGTGGCAGACGGCTAGTCTTCCGCCCCTGCGTACAGCGTATCGCGCGTTCTCCCTCATCTTCAAGAAAACATGGGCCGCTACGAGCCCGACTCTATGTCCAGTCATCGGCTTTCCGCGCGTTCCCATCAGCAGTAAACCCGCGCCCGGCTTTGACTTCGAGTTCCTCCAGATCCCACCCGGGTCGGGACCGGAAGTGATCGAGACGGACGTCGTAGTCATCGGCAGTGGCTGCGGTGGTGGGATAGCAGCGAAGAATCTGGCCGAAGCCGGCTACCGCGTCCTGGTTGTGGAGAAATCATATCACTACCCGTCCAAGTATTTCCCCATGGGATTCTCCGAGGGCTTCACGAGCATGTTCGAGGGCGGGGCGTCCATCGTTGCAGATGACGGGTCCATTGCCGTTCTGGCCGGTTCGGCATGGGGAGGCGGCGGCACGGTCAATTGGTCTGCCTCATTGCAGACGCAGAACTTTGTCCGCCAAGAGTGGGCGGAGTCAGGGTTACCGTTCTTCACCTCGTCTGCGTTCCAGGAGTCGCTAGACCGTATCTGGGAGCTATTGGGGGTCGACTCTGACCACATCCAGCATAGCACGAGCAATCGGGTGATTCTGGAGGGGGCCAGGAAACTGGGATTCGCAGCCAAAGCAGTGCCACAAAATACAGGTAATGCGGAGCATGACTGTCCTCTCTGCACAATGGGGTGCGTCGGCTGCCAGAAGAAAGGCCCAGCAGCGTCTACCCTCGTCGACGCGGCGAAAGCAGGTGCTGTATTCATGGAAGGATTCCATGCGGATAGGGTTCTGTTCAAGAAGGGAAGCAATGGCCAGGTTGCCTCTGGGGTCGTTGGAACATGGACCTCGAGGGATGCATACCTGGGTACCACCGGAACAGATGCCGTGAAGCGAAAAGCCATCATCAAGGCCAGCACGGTCATCGTGGCCTGTGGCTCTCTCCAGAGTCCCCTGCTCTTGCTGCGGAGTAGGATCAAAAATCCTCATATCGGACGAAATTTGTACCTCCATCCAGGTTAGTTCATCTTTTTATTTTTTGTTTTGTTCATGGACTAAACTGGATACTTATAGTCATTATCGCCGCCGCTGTTTTCGACGAGAAAACACACCCATGGCAAGGCTCCGCCCTGACAACGGTCGTCAACAGCTTTGAAAACCTCGACGGACACGGCCACGGCGCCAAGATCGAAGCACCAGCTATGGTCCCCGCCATGCTCCTCCCAACATTCCCGTGGCGGGATGGACTAGACTTCAAACTCTTTTCATCCAAGATGGACCATATGAGCACCTTCATCACTCTGGCCCGTGACAAACACCCTGGTCGAGTGTACCCGGACCCTGACGACGGCAGGGTCCGCGTCAACTATACCCCATCTATCTTTGATAGAAGACACATCGTCGAGGCGCTGGTGGCATGTGCGCAGATTGCGTATGTGAGCGGTGCCCGCGAATTCCATACGACATACGGCGATATGCCGCCGTTTGTGCGGGATCAGGATGATTCCGGGGAAGATGGGATCAACAATGCGGCGCTGCAGGCGTGGATTGCGGAATTGAGAGGTAAATCGCCGCTGAACGTGGAGCAGAGCATGTTCGCGAGTGCGCATCAGATGGGGACGTGTCGGATGGGAGCGTCGGCGAGGAAGAGCGTCGTGGATCCGAATTGTCGGGTTTGGGGGACCCGTGGACTGTACGTGATGGATGCGTCTGTGTTTCCCAGTGCCAGCGGGGTGAATCCAATGATCACGAATTTGGCCATAGCAGACTGGGCGAGTCGGAACTTGGAGCAGTCAACGGCAAGGTTGTAGATGCTATCTCCGTGTGGTTTGACCGTAGACGCCAATGTTAAATGTAGCATCGTCACAGAAATAGTTTCATATCATTTCTATATTCTATATGCAATGAGCAGTTAATGCTTACTGGCCACCCTCCTTCCTCTTCTCAATGAAATTCTTCTCCCCAAACGCCTCCTTGACTCCCTTCGTCTCCAGAGTACGCTCATACCACTCGACAACAGCGGGATACTTCTTCCTCATATCGGCATCGATAACCATCCCGAACCCCCAGATCAAGGCAGACGCAGCCGAGATATCCGCCAAACTCAATTTCTCCTGCGTAGCCAACCATGTCCGCCCCTTCAGATGTCCATCTAAACAAGACAACGATCGGTCCAACCGGGCCAGGGCAGCCTTCTCCTTGTTCTCATCGAAGGGCGCGATTCCGATGCGCCACAGCACCAGCTGGACGACGGGGTCTGTGAGCTCGTTGTTCGCGAAGCAGATCCACTGCCTGATCACGGCGCGCTCGGCGGGCGTCGAACCGAGCAGTTGAGTCGCGGCTGGCCCGGATTCGGCGATGAACTGCGCAATGGCGTCAGATTCCCAGACGTTCGTGCCGTTGGTGTCGTTAGCGGCGAAGGCGGGGACTTTGCCCAGGGGGAACTTGGAGAGAAATTCAGGGGAGCGATTGGTTGTGCCCATGGCGAATCCGGGCGCTAGCTCGATCTCCAGGCCGTTCATATTGGCAACGGCTTGGATCTACACCGTAGATGGACGATTATTAGCTGGCTGGATGGTGGTTGTTCTGGGTGATCGACGTTGAAGTTGACGTACCTTGCTGACCCGCGGATTGGGCGTAGAGGGTTCCGAATGGCGCCATGGTGAGCTGTGAATGGCAGAGAGTGAGCAGCGAGCGATACGAATAGCAGGATGATGTGCGATGTTGCAAGGAATAGAAAAGGATACGAGCAGAGGAGAGGCGGTTATATGCGTCATCGGAACCCCGCCGTTCTGGCACCTTCGAAGCCCTAACGGAATTGTTCCGTCTTAATAATGAAGACCTAGGCAAACCTGTAACCTGATAAATCATATAGAGCGAAGGAAAATGCACACATATTCCAAGGGTAACCGGACTATCTTCCACGAGCTGTCTGGAGTACTAAACAGCGCAGTTACAAGGCTGAGAAGCTCGGCAAAGAAGACTGTGGCACCCTCAGGAGCTGGGTATTTGGCAATAGAGTCCGCGATAACTGAACAGCGTGCTGCATTTCGATCAGCAACACTGCTGTAGAAGACATAGACCTTCTTCCGTGCCAATTGTTGCATCAGGACACTCTTCCGATACTACTGGGTCTGTGAGAGGGCAGTGGTACCTATAATTTGGTGCTTTTTCTTTGATTGTGTGCATGCTGTTTCCACCATTATATGATGTTAAGACTGGGGTTAGCACTCAAACCTGGCGCAGCAGTGTCCAACCTCTGGAAAACAAGCCTCATTCATCAGCAACGCGCGTACGCCTGCGAAAAGGATAGATAGCTGTAGATTCTTAGAGAATCGAATTCGTTCTCTTCATATTCTCAGGTTTGTGCAGTCTTGACCCTTGACTATCTTTCAATCCTGCCCACGGGTGCTTCCGGTTTATTTCTTGCAAGATTGTCCAAGATAATGGACTGAAAGACTGTAAGATGTTATTATTATAACCTCAATATATATACTGGCTAATAAAATGTTGCCTACCTGTTAACTGATCATCCAATGCCAATGATATCGAGGCAGACTGGCTGGATTAATACCACGGCATCAGTGTAACTGACATACGTAGCCGGAATATATTCCCATCCAGTTAGTTGCCATGGCGAACAGAGGAATAGAAATGCAGCGTGATTTGTCGAAATGGACAATGCAGGAGTCATGTTGACCCTAGTAACATACTGAGAGGTGTCCTCCTTCTCTTCCTAAGGCGTTGTCGTCGAAACACCGTTGATCGAAAGCTCAATGACTGATCCAGTTAGTTTGGTCTGTCAGACGAGCTGCTTGAATGGTCGTTCCCCATCATTCATATCGAGACTGTGGCCATTGTTGGCTATTGCTGTCCACCCATGTAACATCAAAGACGGCTTTGCCTCTGATCCTGGATAAGCCCCTTGCAGTTTACCCACCCCCCCCCCTCTCTCTCTCTCTCTATATATATGAAAACCCGACCAAAGTAATAGTCTGCGATGAAGCACTCGTATGTGGGTGGAATCTGGATGTGAGCTTCTTGGAGCGCATATACATTACCAGTTGACCTGACATAAAGTATCCAGGTGTCGCTATGTCAATATGGATCGTCAGCATCTTCGTAGTTGTGCAGATGACGGAGACGTGGAGGTATGTTTGATGGCCCTCATCTTGTTGCTTCAATAGTTCTGAGGAATTAGACCGGTAGCAAAGAGGCCCTACAAACTCAAGACCATGTAGGACGCTAGATATAGTGTGGCGTAGGCCTTGAGGAACAAGTAGAGATTTCGAAACTGCTGCTTGTCTTGCGCAAAATTGGTTGCCTGCCGTGTTGTCGGTGGAATCCGTACACAAAGCTGACAGTCAGGCTTCCCTGTTATGAAAGTGTAAATTAGCATCCAGAATTCAGTAGTTCAGCCATACTCAACCTACTTTGTATATATAATCATGTGGCTAAAGACTGCCTGACAAACTCCGTGGCAAAAGTATACTTTGCGAGAGTTGTATCTCCGGTGGATAGAGACGATCAATATATGCTGGAATACTGGAGAAAGAAAGAGGATGTGGAAAAGACCGCTACGATACTGCAGCAGTGAATGGATTTCATTATTCTTACCCAGTGAATGCTTCTTAGACTCCTGCCTGGCTTCTTTGTCATTTCTTAGATATCCAAAGACCCGTACAGGATGTGACTTTCTCTTACTCATTTATCCCTATTCGGCCTTCAGTGAACCACCCAAGATGTGATGCTTGCAAGGGCATAACAAAGCACACCAGATAAACACAATTCTCGCATTTGTAGTCCGTCTGGTTTTCTGGAGGAGCCTCGCTGCTCTACCTTGTCAACCAGGCAACACCAGATGCAATTCCTGCAACCCCCGCAACCACACCCTGCACAATCCAATTTATAACTGCAATGCCACCTCCTCCAGCTGCAGCACTCTGGGCTGCGGCGAAAATGCTTCCAGCAGCAACGTTGCCAGTGCTGCTTTGTATCCCTGCCGCGACGGATCCTGTATTATCATGAAAGACCTAAGTGGATGAAACCGACATTGGGATGTACGATGGAACAAAAGAGGGGCACTCACTGGCTGCAACCCCTTGGGGAGTAAAGCCAATTGCCGAAAGAATTGGCGAAACGATTGCAGGAAAAATCATCACTGCTGTTGTACTCGCAATGGCGGCAGCTGGCACTGGATTCGCAGCCACCCACCCGGTGGCCTTTATTTAATATACCAGTTAGTCTACTGATTTTATTGGATGCTATGGAATTCAAGTGAACTCTTACCATGGTCGCCGCAGTCGCGACGTTACTTACAACTGGTAGGACACCAGCAACGACGTCAGAGACCGGAACACTGAGAAACCGCATCGTATAGTAAGATGCCTATGTGTCAAAGGTTGACGATGAGTAGTGAGATATTAGGATAGACTGAAGATGGATATGGAGCAAGAAGAGTAAGAAGAGTAAGAAGAGTAAGAAGGGAGCTGGTAAAGGATGGGGAGTTGCATAACGGCGGGGCTGTCCATGATGATTTAGCTGCTGGCATTTGGTGAATGCATGCATAGCCATCAGCAACACTTAATTCTTGTCTGAATATTATTATTGGAATTTATAGACCACCATAATTTTCGCTAACGCGTTGGTTTATAGGGAGCAACAACCTGTTGGCAAGACGCGTCGTATAAGGCCAGCATCAAATTCGACGAACAGAAGTCACTGGACAGATCGTTCCCCAATTCCAGTCAGAAACCGTCATATCTACCTACATAATGCCTTTCCTCGTATGACTAGATCACTCAAAAGCTTTAGGATTGCATTGGCAACACGTCACAACCAACACGTCACGGCTGTGAATAGCTGGTGAGGCTCTAAGCGCCGAATCGAGTATTCAGATCCCCTGCTAGGCTCCTCACTAGGGGGAGGTCAAGCTAATCGTCTCTAGTCAATCTGAATCCGTCTTCAAAGCACTGGCGATTTCCTAGCAAATCCTTTTGTGGCCTACCCTGTAAGGACCATTTCCATCCTACCGGCATGCTGTCCCGAAAGAGTCGCGCCGCCCCATCCAGCGAGGAGCCCGTGCTTCAAGGAAAGACAGGCACGTCTAAAGCCAGCGAAGAACATTGCAAATACCTTCATGCAGTTGCAGCTCAAGCCGGCTCATATTGGCCACATCTATCAATCTGGCTTTCACGAGACATTGATCGGTCTTCAGGATGTACGCGCCGCCCTCCTAAAATTTTCTTTCTATACTAAACCAAGAAGACATTTAGGGAGATTCTTCGCGAAGCCGGTACCGTGCAGCTGATATTGGGCAGCATGGAGAGAGTGAGCTATCCCCCGTTTTCTTTTCCGGTTTCCGTGAGTTTAACCATGTAGCAGAGCTCGACAAGATAATCATCAAATTCTGTGCAGACAGTAGCTACAGTGTAGAGCAGCGAAGAACTGGGATGGAAAGTTCATCTCTGCAATATATCTCCCCTCAAGGCTTTCACACAGTACGCCTTGACCAATCATCATAACAGGACGCTCAGGAATAACGTTATAAGTCTAAAGCCAAGGATATCCAGCAATGCTTCTCTGATCTTACCGCTGGTTTTCACGCAGGATCAACCGGAATAAATGAGGCTCAACCTGTGGTGCAATACAGACAGGGCTAGGGCTGTGGATCTAATCAGATTGATTAGATAAGAGATACTGGAACGCAGTGGTGTCACGTGAAAGACATGCGGGGCAGCAGCATCGCGCCGTGGCATTGTAGTAGCAGCATACGCGCGCAGGCCTAGGATACAGTAGGCCATCTGTTTCGCTGCAGATGCCATCTCCTGCAGAGAATGTAGTCAGTTCATACGATTCTCACACCAGAAACCCGATGTATACACCATGGTGACAGCTACCGCACCACTACGCAGTCCAATACCACCTCATCGTCAGATGGCATGGCTCAGAATTCTCTCCCGATGAGCCCCGCGCAGTCCCACTTGATCAGGAGTCGATGGCTTCGTCTATAACCCGGGTCTTTCTGCACGGTCTTTTCTGCCTTAATTCTCTCTAGAGTTATTCTCTCTATCATTTCCCTACTTAATCCTTGTACTACTCGTGCCGTACGCTGCATCCAAATAGTATCCGAGGACAGAGATCGTCGAACTTCGCAGTGGAGTTCCGTGTACATAATGACAGTCGACACGGTCTTGGGAACCGAGGGCTTTGGACGCCCAGTGCACTCTGCAGACTCCATTTTCCCGGATAGCGAACCTGCGGCCCCCGAAATCATGATACCCGTGACCAAAGTGCCTGCTTTGGACATCATCGATCAATATGCCGTTGGGAAGCCCATCAGCGATGGCATTGGCCATTCTGGTCAGATAAAACTGACCTGCGTCTCGGATATAGAAAACATTGTTGCTGAGCTTTTGTCCGGATATGCGTCTTTTATCTCCGCGTTCACTGGGTTGGATGATATTGCTTTTGCTGTCTGGCGGCGGGGTATTTTTGCGACTGGATCGCGATCCCAACAAGTCATTGCACACGCGTCACTATCAGCAGTGGTGCATGAGAAGGAGCAGTCACGGCGATATCGTCAATGCAGTCTACGTGAAATAGACTACGCCTACTACAGGCCGGAAGAGGTTCAATTTCGTCTGGAGCTGGACTCGCCAGCCGAATTCACCAACGGCGTGGGAAATAGGAACACAGAAGGTCACAAAGAGGTTTGTTGTCTCTGAAGAACTGCGAGATACGACTAATCTGACGGCTCTTAGCTGCTATTTTCTCTATTCGTTCACCCCGACACAGAGCGTGGATTGCTGACAATAAGCTTCTCCTACCCACTCGCCTTGATCCCTCCAGCGGCAGTGTCCCAACTGCTGAATAGCCTTGCGTCCTATCTTGTGGATTCCTCGTCAAGGCTACACTATGACATGTCATCCGAAGCAACGCTTGAACTAGAACTCTCCATTCTGAACTTTCCTCCGTTATCAAGCCCTCCTCTCCCGAACGATGAATCATCTCCTGAATGCACAGATAAGAATCTTGAGTCCTTCCTTCTTCATACTTCCTTCGAAGGCTGGGCAAGTAGGAAGCCTAATGCTATTGCGCTCGACTTTGTGCACTCTCTATCTTCTTCGACGGCCATAGCGGAACATAGCACCCTAACATACGCTGGTCTCGATGCCGCCGCATCTAACCTCGCCGCCCATCTGCGAGAATTACTACCGATAGACGGATACAGCTCTGATAGGGTGCAAATCGTTCCTGTATATATGACAACATCACCTGAACTCTATATTGCATATCTTGGGATTCTCAAGGCAGGGTGTGCTTTCTGTCCAATACCGCAAGATGCCCCTGATAAGCGCGTACGAGAGATTCTTCGAGATATCGACTCGCCCATCATACTTGGCAACATTCCCGAGCCTTTATCCGGGCCATGGTATCCGGAGAGTAGTGACTCTCACCAACCGCGTAGTTGCTGGGTTGATGTTGCCGCTGTCTCCAAGTGGCGGGCCGTTGCTGGTGCTACCTCAGTACTAGACATGGCTTACGAGAATGCCTATTTTCGATGTCCTGATATCAAGCCAGACCAGACCGCATATCTCCTGTTCACCAGCGGCTCCACTGGTAAACCGAAAGGCGTCCAGATCAGCCATCTGGCCGCGACTTGCTCCATTCAGTCGCATGCCATTTCTATCCCCCTCCCTGGTGTTTGCCCAGGAGACTTTCGTTGGTTCCAGTTTGCTTCGCCGACGTTTGACCCTTCGATAATGGAGATATTTGTCACCCTGTCCAGTGGAGGCACACTTTGCTCTGCGGAGCGTACCCTTACTCTTACTGATCTCGAAGGAACAATCAATGAAGCGAAAGCTACAATTATGATGGCAACACCAAGTCTAGCAGCGTTACTACGACCCTCTCGCTTAAGCACTCTGCAGTCATTATGGACAATGGGTGAGAAGCTGAATCGCACCGTTATCGAGAACTTTGCGACCAAGGTACATGTTAATGGCACTGCTCAAAAACAGACTTCACGGATGCTGGTGAATGCGTATGGTCCCACTGAAGGGGCCATCAACTGCACGTTTCTCGCTCCTGTCGAGTATTCTGTTCGAGGCTCAATAATTGGGAGACCTTTACCTACATGCTCTATATTCATTTTGGATCCGGATAACCGCATCCCTAAACCATTACCAGCAGGCTTTGCCGGGGAGTTGGCAATTGGAGGCCCACAAATAAGTAAAGGGTATCTGAGCCGCCCAAAAGAGACAGCGAAGTCTTTTGTTTTCTGCCCGGAATTTGGGAACTTATATCGTACCGGAGATATGGCACGTATTGTCTGGGATGAGACGGGCTGTCCCGTGTTAGAATTCCTAGGACGCCTTACGCAGGATCAGGTCAAGATTAACGGCAGACGGGTTGAGCTTGGGGAGGTTGAATCTGTCCTTTCCGTTGTCAGCGGCGTCAAAGAGGTTATTGCTATCGTGGCTAATCGAGATACCAGCCAGCAAACAAGTAGACAACAGATTGTCGCATGTATTGTTTCCAGTGACACAGATCAGACGGAAAGAGACAGGATCGTGGATGAGTCGCGGAAGAATGTCGAAAAGCACCTTCCTTCTTACATGCATCCGTCCACTTATGCCTTTCTCGATTCCCTACCGCGTTCCAGTTCTGGAAAGGTTAACAGGGGAGTTGTTCTTGCGAAGTTGGGAGAAGAAAAGGTTGATGAGATCACGATTCTCTCCGCCATGAAGCCGGAGCATGTGAATGGCATCCAGGATGACTTGAGAAGCGAAAATTCCGAATTTTCAGCGGTACAGCAGCTCGTGATTCAAATACTTACGGAAACAGCAGGAGAGGACATATCCTCCACCACTCTAGGATCCAGTCTTTATTCGTTGGGTATGGACAGCCTTGGGGCAATGAGGTTTCTCCAGAAACTGAAAGACAACTCTATTACAGGGATGTCTGTGGCAGATGTTCTTCGTACTGAGACTCTTGGACTTCTGGTATCCAGGATTCTGGATACTAGTCGGACGAGACATGGTTGCAATTCAAACGGATTTCATTTGGAATCAACCTCCATTGAAGATCTGGAACGGACTCTGGAGTCCTTTGACAACAGAAACCGCTTAAGATGTGCAGAAAATCTGGGCTTAAAGGAAAGCCAAATCGTCAAAGTTCTCCCAACAACTGCAACACAAACAGGCATGCTTGCTAGTTTTCTGCGTACATTTTCGGATACAAATTTTGCTACTCGCTCTTATATCAACCATACTGTCCTTTCAATCGCATCAGATATCGATATCCATCGCTTGCATGAGGCATTTGACGCGGTAATAAGCTCCTATGATTCCTTCCGAATTGCCTTCTGCTTGATTGATGATAACATGGCACCATTTGCACAATGCATTCTTGCACCGGAGGTTCTTCTACCGCCTGATTGGTCTGTATATAGAGTATTACCTGGAGATATTTTGGAGGATACTCTCTGGAGAGTTGCCAGAGATGCCGAAAAATCGATAAGCATGAACAAACCCCCTTGGAGATTGTCCATGGTAACCTCGCCTGATGATAGAACCACATTGATTCTCAGCATCTTTCATGGTATATTTGACGGTGCCTCGCTGCAACTCCTTCTTGAGGATATAACCTCAGTCTATCATGGAAAGCCGCAGAAACGGAGAACATCCCTGGAGCGTATCGTCAAGAACCACTTTCAGGTTGACCATACCGTCACTGGGAAGTTCTGGAGAGAGACCTTACAAGGATATTCCCCTGTCCCATTTCCTTCTGTTACATCTTACCGGCCTCCTGCAGTTACGGCCATGGATGCTGTGGAGATCATAGCGCGAACGAGTTATGACCAACTGAAAAGACAATGCAGGAGGATGGACTGCACGCCTCTCTCTGTGCTTCAGGCAGCATGGGGATCCATCTTGCTGGCTTATACTGGCAGCCAAGATCAGGACATCACAATGGGCAGTGTGGTCTCTGGACGATTTGATACCGACACCGAAGTCTGCACTGGACCAGCTTTCACCATCATACCCACTCGGCTTGCTCTGCAGCAAGTACCTAAAACCTTTGGTGATATTTGGACAAACGAGTCTGTTGTACAATATTTGACAGCATTCAATGCGAAGGCTCTCTCATATCTTCAACCCCAGCTAGGGTCATTGACTTTGAAGAACGGGCAACTTCCATATGACACTATCCTAGCCTATCAGGACTTTAGCGCCGGTTCCTCTTCGAGCAATTTATGGGACAGCATACAGCATCCGCCCATGGCTCATGACTTTGCTGTGATGATTGAGGTGTGGCCTGGCTCAGACTTATGCCTTACATTACGTGCTGCTTTTGATGATTCCCACCTTGATAGACCCTCGGCAGAGATGATGCTCCGTCAAATGAGCCATATCCTGGAATCTATTCTGGAGAATCCCGAAGGGGACTTTCTGGACGCGCCGATGAATACACCCCTGAAATTGAAATCTGTTATGAATCAAGATCCGCATGTACCCCCAGAAGTTCAGGAAGGTGTTTTGGTACACACGCGTTTTGAAGACCATGCTAAAGCTCATCCTGATGATACGGCACTGATTTTTATGCGTGACCTTGACAATGAAAATAGTCCACTTAACATTTCGTGGACGTACGGCGAACTCGACACTAGAGCGGATTCTCTTGCTCAATACCTGGTTCAAGTCTATGGCACATTAACTAACTCCGCTGTGCCGATCTGCATTGACAAGAGCCCCGCCATGTATGTCGCAATTCTGGGGATTCTCAAAGCAGGGGGTGCCTGGTGTCCCATTGATACCCTTTCTCCTCCACAGCGCAGGCATGATTTAATTGCTCGAACTGGTGCTCAATTACTCCTTGTTTCAAGTGTGGATGGTGGGCAGTCGGAGAACTCCGTACCGACGGGTGTTGATGTGGTTGACATTGATCGCTTTACCGGAGAACCCTCAGATCTCCTGTCCAGCAGTATCAGAGGAATTGTTCCGAGATCGACTCCCAATGATATGGCATACATGATCTGGACGAGCGGTACGACTGGAGCACCGAAAGGGGTTCCTATTCAGCACTCCGCCGCTGTGTCTGCCATGAGGTCGCTGGAAAAGGACATTCCATCAGATGTGCCTGGGGGGACGGTGCGGTGTTTGCAATTCTCGCAGTATTCTTTCGATGTATCCATCCAAGATATATTTTACACATGGAACCTAGGAGGTGTTTTGATTTCTGCAACGAGGGAGCTACTACTTGGTTCGTTTGCGCGGCTAGCCAATATCACAAAGGCTACACATGCGCACCTGACTCCAGCTTTTGCGGCGGGCATTTCAAGGAGATCCTGTGAAACTCTGCAAGTCATTACCATGATAGGTGAGAAGTTAACACAGTCCGTCGCGGATGATTGGGGCACTGGAATGCGTGCGTTTAATACCTACGGACCTGCCGAGGTCACAATCGTGTCGACTGTGCGCGAATTTGGAAATGAGCACAAGAATATTAAAAGTGCGAATGTTGGTTGGCCATTGGAAACTGTATCTACGTTCGTGACAAGGAACCAGAAACTCATTATGAAGAACGCTGTTGGTGAGCTTGCCTTGGGTGGTCCGCAACTCTCCACTGGATATCTCAATCAGCCGGATACTACAAACTCCAAATATGTCTGGAATGAAGAGGTGGCTCAGACGCTATATTATACAGGTGATCTTGTCAGGATGCTTGCCGATGGCTCCTTGGAATATCTCAATCGCGTGGATGACCAGGTCAAAATGGGCGGTATCAGGGTTGAGTTGAGTGAAATCAGTTTCTTTCTTGCTCAGTGCCATCCACTCGTGGACAATGTTGAGACGCTCATCCTCAACCGACCAGATAGACCGATGCAGGTCATTGTTTCGTTCCTGTGTGCTCCTGGCGCAGCCACCGAGGGAATGACCGGAGATCTGTTGATTGTCAACGAAACTGCGGCGGAAGTCGCCCGTGGTGCGGGCGAAAAATCGCATGCCGTCTTGCCTGGACATATGCTACCTTCAGTCTACCTTGTTGTCTCTCATATTCCTCGAACCCAATCTGCTAAGACTGATCGTCGAGCACTTCAGGAGGCATACGCCACGGTTGATATCCAGGCCTGGGATGAAATGGTTAACCCCGACTCTTCCGAACCTACTGCAACTCAGCATGGTGAGGCTCATTCTATCCATGATAAACGAATTATCGATATCATTGCTTTGATGGCGAGTATTTCACAATCCCAGATATCGACAGCCACAAGACTCAGCAGTCTGGGGATTGATTCTATTCGCGCTATTCGGCTTGCTTCGAGACTAAATGAGGCCGGCTATAGACTCTCCGTGGTGGATGTCATCCACTGCGTGACCGTTAAGGATCTTACGAAACTAGCCTCATCATCCTCTTCTGATAGAACACCAATAGGGGGATTTGATCTGGACGATTTTGACGGACGCTGGCACGCGGGAGTTGCTTCCAAGATCCAAGAAGACTTCTTCATGGCTCCCGCAACCCCAATGCAGGAGAGTCTGCTAAGTGAGACGATGAGGGCTCGTGAGATGTACTGGAGCAATCACTTCTTCTCCCTTGATGCTTCTACTGACCTGCAGCGTCTCCGAGAATCATGGCTTACTGTTTGCCGGTCAACCGAGGCACTGAGGATTGGATTCATTCCGGCTGCTGAAGTTGGTGAGACTGTCTCTGATAGCGATGACTTTTCCATCCTACAAATCATCTACAGTCATCCTGTCCTAGATTGGGAATTATACAAGTACACAGAGGCGAACTTTAATGACACTCTTGGACAACGGTTAGAGGAGATTATGGCCAAGCGACAAGAAAATTATTTCAGGTCTCCACCCTGGGCTGTTACGGTATTCGAAAAGGAGAATGAAAGATTAATGGTTCTTACTATTCATCATTCAATACATGACGGTCCATCTATCTCTTTCCTCTTAGATGATCTCCAGGCTGCGTATAGCGCCCGACAGACTCAAAGACATCAGCTCCGAAAGAGTCTCTCGGTTATTCTTCCGACAAAGAAAGAAACAAACGAAGCTAGTCATTTTTGGAAAGCCGAGCTGAAACCTTTTATGGAGGCAGATGTCCCTGTGTGGCCGGATCTAACTGGGAAGAGAGTTTCTCCCAGCTCTATGCAACAACACAAGTTAGTCTCCCAAAAATTAACATTAAGTGAGCCAGTTGAGAAATTGCAATCTATGACAGCAAAACTGGGCATTTCATCCATCGCTTCCCTTCTTCGGGCCGCCTGGGGTTGTGTCTCCCTGAACTATCTTGGTGCCCCTGCAACGGTGTTTGGAGAGACGCTTTCTGACCGCGTGTTGAATGCAAGCCTCGAGGATGCCGTGGGACCATTGATCTCGGTGGTTCCTGTTCCATTCCGTCAAACAGGGACTGTTCGAGAGCTTCTAGCGGAACAAAATCGTCTCTCAGTTCAGTCGCGAAAATATCGCCACATTCATTCTCGTAAAATCAGGAAGATCCTGGATCGCCCGCGAGACCAGGCTCTCTACCCAGGGCTGTTCATATTTCATTCCGTGAACGAGTCTGAAAGCTCTCGCGGTAATGGGTTGTGGACAGAGTTGGAGGATCAGGTTGGCTTGCATGTCGAGCATCCGATGGCATTCAATGCCTATCAAGATAGCAATGGTGCCATCGTTATGGAAGCATTTGTAGACAACTCCATCATGAGTTCGGAGCATCTGATCATGTACCTTCGTCAGATTGATGCGTTCCTCAGCGCGATGTTGACGTATCCGGACGAGCAAATCATCGAACTTGTCAGTCGTCTCCCGAGAGAATTACTGTCGGTTTCCACGCAGAAAGAAAGTGAGAACGTTCTGAAATCTGCTTTGACAAGCCCTGTTTATTGGCTTGAATTCAATGCCGAACGACACCCCGACTGGACTGCGGTTGAGGTGGCAAGCTCAATAACAGAATCTGGTATTAAACAACAGTCGATGACTTACGGCTCATTGAATGATGCTGCCAATCGTGTCGCTACTTTCATTCTGTCGCTTGGCTTCAAGAAGCGAATGATTGCGGTCTGCGGCCGTAATCTTGCTTCATATCCGGTTGTCGTTGGCATTTTCAAGTCAGGGAATGCATATCTCCCCATCGATGAGGGTCTTCCCAACGAACGCAGGGCGTTCTTGATTGAAGATGGGAACAGTCCATTGGTCTTTACCGAAGCAGCATTTTTAGATACGTTTGCAGACATTCCTGATACCTGTCGAGTCATCTGTTTCGACCAACCCGAATTCCAAAAGTCCCTGGACGACATGCCAAGTGATAACGTATCCTCTGCCTCAGACCCAGAGGATATTGGCTATCTTCTTTACACATCTGGTTCAACTGGCAAGCCAAAAGGAGTTATGGTCACCAGAGGTAACCTTTCTGCATTCATCGAATCCCTGTCTGAGTTCGCCTGTGATGTTGCGCCTGCAACTCTAGAACTAGGTGGCAAAGGAAGATACCTGGCGCAGGCTAGTAGGGCGTTTGACCCTCATCTTTTGGAGATGTTCTTTCCCTGGCGCCATGGAATGGCAACATCAACGGGACCAAGGATGATGCTCTTAGATGATCTGCAGCTCACCTTGTCGAAATGGAATATTACCCATGCAAGTTTGGTGCCATCGCTGTTGGACCAGACAAACGTTGACCCCGAATGCTGCCCGGCTCTAAAATTTCTCACTGTCGGAGGAGAGAAAATAACGCAAAAGGTGCTAGACACATGGGGCGCTTCATCCGGAGTTGCTTTAATAAATGCCTATGGCCCGACAGAGGCGACTATTGGTTGCACGTTCGCTCTCGTTGAGAACGAAACGACAGTCCGGAATATTGGTCGGCCTTTGAATGCTTGTGTTGGCCATGTACTTATCCCCGGAACATCAAGATACGCGTTGCGTGGTCAAACTGGAGAGATCTGTTTCTCTGGTAACCTTGTTGCGAAGGGATACTTGAATAGGCCGGATGCAAAAGGGTTCGTGAGAGGGCCTCAGGGTGAGAGAATGTACCGCACAGGTGATATAGGACGCATGATGGTCGATGATAGCGTTGAATATCTCGGCCGTGGTGACGACCAGACCAAGATCCGTGGACAGAGACTGGAACTCGGAGAAGTCTCTGAGGTTATACGTGCGTCCTCCAGCATCAACATTCAAGTTGTCACCATGATTGCGAAGCACCCGGCTCTTTCGAGAACCCAACTGATCTCGTTCATTGCGCGGTCTGGTATCTTAAAGCGTTCACCAAACGATCAGCCATCTCTTTTACAATCCGATTTCGTGACGTTGGGGAAAGACATACATGACGCTTGTAAACGAAAGCTGCCTGCCTACATGGTGCCGGAAATAATATTCCCAATTACATTCATCCCCCTCGCTCCGTTGTCCGGCAAAGCAAGTATTAAGGACCTTCAAGATCTATTTTCGAGTATCTCACTTGCTACTCTCCTCCGAGGGAATAATTCACCGGTTGGGGACTCCGCGGCCAATCGATCTCCAACGACAGATGAACTTGCTGTGATCAGACAAATCTGCAGCCTCATCTCCACAGACACTGCATCAATCGGGCCTTTGACGAATATATTCGAAATAGGCCTAGACAGCTTAAGCGCGATAGGCCTTTCGGTGAAATTGAGAAATATTGGGTTTGATGCCACTGTTGCCCGAGTCCTGAGCAATCCCATTGTTGAGCAGCTTGCCCAGCTTCCTCGGAGAATGGACTCTGATACCGGGTCTACGGATAATTCTGCATTGAAACAAAAACTTCTCAACCTGGAATCCGAGTTTCGACGAGACCCACCTCCGAATATAGACCTATCTTCTATCCTAGCAGTCAGGCCATGTCTCCCTCTGCAGGAAGGCCTAGTCGCTCGATCAATGAACATGCAGGGGGCCCAGCTTTATGTTAATCATGTCGTGTTGCAATTGAATCATTCCATTGATCCGGACCGACTTAAGGAGGCTTGGAGGATTGCTACTACAAAACATGAGATCCTGAGGATTTCATTTGCTCCAGTTGGCGCTGGGATTGCCCAAGTCGTTCATTCTGTGGCCTCTGAGATGCGATGGGTAGAAGAATGGTTTGACAGCGTTGACGAGGCGGTTTCAGGTTTCCAGCAACAAGAAGAAGAGCTTGCTCGAGAAATAATCGACGAGATTTTCACCGTTCCTCCGTTGAGGTTCAGATTAGCCAGGTCTTCAATAAACCAGGAACCTCTTATTCTGTCTATTGCGATTCATCATGCTCTCTACGATGGCCAGTCTTTCTCCATGGTCTTGGAGGATGTCGCAGGTCTCTATCTGAACAAGCCTGTCAGTGAAAGGGGCTCGCCCTCTGATTTTATTGACTATGTTTATTCCCAGGATCTGGAGAAATCAAAACAGTACTGGGTTACTTTCCTGGCAGACTGTAAACCGACAATCTTCAGGACGGACAGTCTCGCGGTAGAGAACCCTAGTTCTGCACATCGAACACTGGAAACCAGACTTTCTGCTCTAGAGCACCGATCAGCCAGTCTACATACGACCGTCCCTTCGCTTATGCAAGCTATCTTTGCTCTTTTGCTGGCTGACACGGTTGGCGTCTCCGATGTAACTTATGGAGTCGTACTTTCTGGAAGAGCTGTATCGGTCCCTGGAGCGGAATCGGTTCTGTTGCCTTGCATCACTACGATTCCTGGTCGTCTAAGAGCAACGGGACTGGCCAGCGTCAATGAGACCATTGAGTATACACAGAAAGCTACGGCCAGATCTCTTGAGTTCCAACATACACCACTGAGGCATATACAAAGTTGGCTGATGTCAGAGGCACCACTGTTTGATTGCCTGTTCTCTTATGTACGGCCCACGAAACCCACGGCACATGGACTGTGGAGAGATATCGATAGCAATATGCCGGCAGACTACCCTTTTGCAGTGGAGGTTGAAGCGGATAATTCTGTTGATCAGATACATATCCATTGCCGGTTTACGTCTTCTTTCGGCTCGTCTTACAGCGCTGCAGAATTCCTGGAGAAGATGGATGTTCTTCTGTCCAGCATTGCGCATGGCGAAGATACGTCCTTGGACAACTTCAACTTATCCCAGTCTGATACTCGCAGCCCTGCCGTAGCTGTTTCGGAATGGGATGACAAGACCTGGTCAGCTACAGAGACGAAGGTTCGTGAACTCGTCAGCCGGTTCTGCAAGCTTGATTTGGAGCATGTAACCAAAGGAGCATCGTTCCTTAGTCTTGGGATAGATTCAGTGGGAGCAATTCAGTTCGCGCGTGAACTTCGTCAATCCAGTTTTCCTGCTTCCTCTTCTGATGTGATGCGCTTTCCTCGCGTAGGAGAGTTGGCTCGACGTCTGGATCAGTTAACCTGCAAGGCAGCTGGGGATGACCAAATTCCACCAAATCCGTCTTCCGTCAGGGATCTGGATGCTTATCGGTCAAGGATTCGTGCCCTTGGTCCTGATGATTCGATCTCTGCACTGTTTGAATGCACACCGTTGCAGTCAGCTATGATTACGCAGACACTCGGGTCTGCAGGGAGTGTATATGTGTATCCGCACATCGTCCAGATTTCAGATACAGTGGATCCCTCCCTGCTCAGAGATGCCGTGTTGCAAGTTATCAGGAGAAATGATATTTTGCGGACATCCTTTCATCCTATACCGGAGCTTGGTTACTCGTGGGCCGGTGCTGTTCATTCGAACCCCCCTCTTGAATGGACGGAGACGAGTCTACCAGATGATATTGACATCATCGTCGAAATGGCCCGGCGTTTTAAATTCGACAGTGAGTCGACCTTTGAGATCCCACCGCTCCGGACTGCGCTCGTCACCAAAGCAAACAGCAGGTTCTTGGTGGTTGTTATGCACCACGCCCTTTATGATGGTGTTTCCGCACCATTCATCCTCGAAGATATCGCAATGGTCTATCAGGGCACTATTCCCCCGGACAGGCCTCAATTTTCTGATACTGTCCGTCACGTTTTGCAAGGTAAAGATACGGCATGTGAATTTTGGAAACAGAAACTGCTCGGATACGAAGCTATCGGTATCCCTCCGCTTTGGGTGGGAGAATCGAGCGATAGAATGTTTTCCGTCGAACGCCGGATCGTTATCGACATATCAGAACTGTTGAGAGTCTGCCGAGAAATTGAGGTCACCGTCCAGACTATCTCACTCCTTGCATATGCAAAGGTACTGGCCTGTCTGGTTGGTAAAAGAGACGTTGTTTTTGGACATGTTCTGGCAGGGCGTTCTTTGCCTGTGCCCGGTGTGGAACGAACAATAGGGCCACTGTTCAACACTGTTGCCCAAAGAATCACTTTGGAGCCGAAGTTCCTGAGCAACAAGTCGCTCGCTCGTCGACTACAACAGATGAATGCAGACGCTCAAGATCACCAGCACGCTTCATTGAGGGTCATCCAGAACATGCTAAGAAAATCGGGCAGCCTGAAGGCAGAAAGTCTTTTCGACACGCTTTTCGTCTTCCAGAAATATACAGACTCGACGGACAGGGCACTCGACGAACAGAAGATCTGGACATCTCATGAACCTCCAGATTTCGTAGCCGAGGCGGAGCACAAACTTAACGTCGAAGTTGACCATGGTCCGAGTGGCATTGTCGTTCGAGCTACGTCTAAGGGAAAGTATCTGTCTCAGGACATGCTGAATAAAGTGGTCGTGGATTTTGAGGAAGCTTTCCGAGATATTGTTGAACATCCAACGAGGTGTTCTACTATCTTCCCTGAGCAACTAGGCAAGATCCCACTTCAATTATCGGGCCTATATACCGACGAGTCGACTACCGAAGGTGCCTACGCAAATATACATGAACCCCTAATTCAGCAGATCCTTGCAGAAGTCGCCGGCGTTCCGTTCGAGGCCATCAACCCAGACACGAGCATCTTCAGCATTGGTCTAGATTCCCTTTCAGCTATTTGCATCGCTGCAGTTTGTCGTTCGAAAGGTCTGAAAGCCGGGGTGGCAGATATTTTACAAGGCAGCACTCTCCGTGGGATCAGCTCACGTATCCATATAGGCCTGAAGGAAACGATCCAGCCTAAGGAAAAGCCTCTCCCGGACCTGTCAAGAACAAGGGAAGATGCACTACAGAGACTAAACCTATCTGATGAGTCTGTTGAAGCAGTTCTTCCATGTCTCAGTGGTCAGAACTTTCATCTAGTCAGTTGGCGCAAATCAGGCAGAACCCTGTTTGAGCCTGCATGGTGCTATTACGCAAAAGAACGGGTAGACCCCGAGCAATTAGAGGGTGCCTGGTTCAAGCTTCGTCAAAGACATCCAATCCTCAGGACTTGCTTTGTGGCTGTGTCACCATCTGAAGCGGTCCAAGTTGTGCTGAGAGAACCAAGCAAGAATGGACAAGTCTTTGGGTTCGTGGACTATGCGGGGACAACCATCAAGGAGGCAGCCAAGAATCAGGCCAAAGAAGAGGCCATGCGGCCATCCTCGCTGTCAACTCCCCCGGTTAGACTTCGATTGATCAGAGCGCAGGATCAAGACGGGATCATGATGTTGGTTAACCACGCTGCTTACGATGCGTGGACGATGCCAATGTTTGTTTCAGAGCTTGCCGGCATATATCATAACCAGCCGTTTCAATCCAATCCCGACTTTCCGTCCTTCGTTAACTACTCCATGCATACTCTTCTGTCGCTCGATGAGGAGAAATACTGGACATCCGCAGTCGGGTCGAGTCAGCCGACTATTGTGAAACGCGATAAGGAGCCACTGTGTTCGCATACGCCTCCGGAACAGTTGTTCGTCGGTATCTGGGAGAAGGTTAAGAATCTGTCCCAGATGGAAACTATCTGTCGCGCTTCTGGCCTTGGTGTCCAGACCGTGGTTTTGCTCGCCGTGTCTCGCTCTCTGGCTAGGCTGACGAACACTGGAAGCCCGACATTCGGTCTGTATCAGACAGGCCGATCTGCTTCATTCCACGATATTGAGCGCCTCTCCGGACCATGTCTCAATGTCACGCCATTTACCGTGGATGAAGTCCTTTCTGGGAACGACCGGGTAAACCTGCTCTCGAAAGCCCAGTCCATTCAGTCCTCTTTGGCGGAACGTGTCCCATACGAGCAAAGCTCTTTGCGAGACATATTATTGCGCTGGGCTAGTACCAAGAATACAAAGACGCCCCTTTTCAACACGTGGATCAACCTGCTGTGGATGCAGCAGAAGTCATCTGCCGACAGCGAAAGTAACGATATGTTCCAGCCTCTTGCCATCGGTGTTCCCACGGACTTTATTCCTGCAGAGCCACTTCCGAGCGCCATGGATACTACTTCTGTTGCACTTTTGGATACATCTTACCTACCGGATGGCAACGTTTATATCGATATCGGGCCAGATGTCAAGACCGATTCTATTGGGTTTGGCATCCGCGTTGAGGGAGGCATTCTATCGGAGACGGGGGTGCATAGTCTTGTAACGGATATTGCGGAAGAGATTGAGAGGATTGTGTCTTTGTTGGCGTTGGCATGAGGTTTTCAGCATGAGCTTTTATATCATAGAGGATGTGCAGTTTTATATATATATATATATATATTTCTACCCGGGTCTTTCAGGATTATGTTTTATAGGGGATCATTAATACCACCCTACTCCAAACCAAACATATAGCTGTCATGTAGAGTCCTCTTTAGGTGACATGCTATTCTGTTCCTTTCACACCAAAGGGAATGGCTGCTGCATGTAGGTTATTGCAATGGCCATTCTTCATAGCACGTCCATTGAAACAACCAGGCCATTCAAACAACCAGGCAGATTCGTTGAAATACCCTGGATCAAACAATCAAACATCAAACCGGAAATGTCCCTTCTAGACCACTCGCATCCACCGTCCATACCTTACCAGTCACATGGTTAGTGCTGCTTCTTCAGCTCGTTGCGGAACGACTCTTCCCCCTTGACCACCTGCAAAGGCAAAGAGCGTCCGACACCGAAAAGAACAAAGAGAGCCCACTTCCACCGGAACGGTCTAATGAGGATCAAAAACACAAACCAGAAGATCAACTCAGAATAGGTGAAGAAGTCAAAGGCACCCGTCGGAGAGAACTGTTTCACGAAGCGGGTGAAGTCGATCCAAGTCTTCATCTGTCCCTCGCCCGGCCGCGTCAGGGGATCGGTCAGGAACATGAGCAGAAAGCGCGTGTAGATTCCGATATGCGTGTTACCGACTGTCCCAATAGCATTCACATACGTGCTGTTGTTCGCGCAGAGGTCGGGGTACTTGGGTGGGAAGACTTGGAGGTACCAGTTGGGAGGACTGTAGCTCGGTTCGAATGCATCGTCCGGCAGGAAGGAGAGTGAAGGGCGTCGGAATCCGGTTGCCATGACAATCACATCGCCTGGGACGATGGATTCATGGCCGGGCCCTCCCTTGGGCACGCCTCGCGCTCGGTGGTTGAAGAGGATACCGTCTTCCCGGACAGAGAGGATGTCGCCGCGAAACCAGTTCGCCTTTCCTTCGCGTATTTTGTCGAAAAGATCCGAGTTGGCCATAGGGGTTGTGGTATAGAGGCCTCCAGACGGCGCAATGTCCTGCAGGTCGCGATAGAAGAACTTGCGCAGGAGCCATTCGGGGATCCAGGTGAGATACGTCTGCATGCCAAAGATGTTCATTGCCAGCAGCGACTGGACGAGGACATTGCGAGGAATGATCCATTTATCAGACCGCGACAGCACGTCGATTTTAGAGGCTCCTCCGTTGACAGCATACTCGAGGGCTTCGATGGCGCTGGCACCACCACCAACTACCAACACTCTCTTACCCTTGATCCCCTTGCCGTCGAGATCGGACGAATGGTAAATACCACCCTTGAACCGGCTCTGGTCGGGCAGAGGGGGCATTCGCAAATCCCCGCAGACGCCTACTGCAGCAACGACGCCATCGAACTGGCCGTGTCTCTCTTCGTCGTCGTTGATGATCCAGGTGCCTGCATCGGTCTTCTTCACGGAGGCTACGGGGGTGTCGAATAGCGTGTGTTTCTCCAGGCCATAGCGTCTCCAGACTTGGACGATTTGCTCGCGAATCTGCTCCTGCGTGGGATACGCCGTGTCAAACCTTACCGAAGGATGGAATCGGTACATGACGCTGTGAATCTGCAACGACGAGGTAGAATTTACTCTCTGCAAAAATGCCGTTGCGCGTCAGCAAAGTTCCTCTCATGGCCTGGCACGGAGACGCACACTCCAGATCCCCCCGAGTCCTTTATCCTTGGATCGCGCTTCGAATATCTGGACGTGGAAGCCATGGCCTACACAGTGAGCGGCCGCGGACACCCCGGTCAGCCCAGCGCCGATAACAGCTATCCGTTTTCTGGGCAGCCCGCGAAGAGAAGAGGCCGAGGGAGGCGGCGATGGCGCAAAGATCCAGTTGATGACGGCCTGGAAGACCAGGTAGACGAAGGTGAAGGTGCTGACAAAGGGATGCTTGAGGAGGTTCGCCCAGGACGATGCAGTCTTCGGCTGGGCCATGGTAGGGCTTCGTACTTCGGTGTCAACGCTTCCATGGAGGACGAGAGAGAACAAGGCCCTTTCCGGCTGCAATATTGGCAAAGATGGTATAATATCTCTTCTGACATCACCGTCCGTGACGTATGCGGGGACCGTCTCTGTGGCGAAGGAGCAGGAAGCTGTTCCTGGCTGTTATTGATCATAACACTGATTATAACACTGCATTCGCATTCAGCCGGTTCAGCGGCAATGGGCCCATGGTGCAGAGCAGCGGCTGCGAATCGCACCGGCGTCCATTCTAGCTGTGATGCCTGTGCTGCGTCTGATCTGGTGAGTTGCTCTTCCACAGAGAGGGTGGCGCGCGGTGGTTTCTCATATTCAACCAGCATAGTCAAGAGAGGAGCCCTCACCCAGCCAGCGCTGCCCAGCGGCAGACCGGCAGAGTCCTCACGCTCGCGCAAGAGGGCCAGGTGCAGGTGCAGATATGCCGCGAACTCGCCATGGGGAATGAAACCCAGTCGCCTGGGACAATGCTGGATTCTTCCAGCCCCGGCCGCGACGTGGTCGAGTACCACAACGATGTCCACTTCATGTCTATCCTGGGCGAAATCATGGGCCACCGCAGGACGAAGCGCATGATCCGCATCGTCATCGAGGAGAATCCCACGGCCCCGGATGAAGTATGCGACCAGCGACTGCCGCCGAACGTGAAGAGAGAGCTGTCGGGGCTGGACGAAACCGATGTCGATTATATCTGTTCAAGAAGGGCGCGTTCTGGCTCCCGCCGCCGCAGTGCTGGTGTGTTTGGTATTATGTCTCCGGAGACTCTGAATGCTGTGCTGACATGCGAAGCGAGCAACTTCTGCGTATTTTCTTTGAAGTCGTATACCCCTATGCGCCTGTTCTGAACCGAGTCAAGTTCATGCAGTCATACCAGTCCTCGCAGCATTCGTCGCTGCTGCTGAACTCGATTCTCGTCAGCGCAGTGCCGTATGCACCCACGGCCTTGCTTAAAGAATGTGGCTTCGAGGACCGTTCCTCTGCGCAAAAACACTTCTTTTCAACGGCGGTGCTTCTTTACGACTTTGGCTGCGGGAAGAACCAGATCCATCGCCTCCAGAGCTCTCTTCTACTGGGCACGGTGATCTTCTCCTTTGTGTCCGAAAAGGACTTCCGTTACTGGCTTCATAATGCCGTGCGTATTGCAACCCGGATGGGCCTTCACAGAATGTGCATCCCCCTATCTTGCTCGAAAGGAAGTGAAGTTGAAGCTGACCGGGCCACCCAGCAATGATTTGGACAACCACTTCGACCCGGCTACGTACAAGCTCTGCCGCCGCATTTGGTGGGTGATCTATGTAGGTGCTGATCGAGAGAAGTGCAGCTGGTGATCTTTACCTGACGAGCTTCGCGCAGTGTCGCAACGTCCTTCTGTCCATTTCAGGCATGGAAAATATCCAGATGATACACAGCTGTGATTGCAATACAGCGCCCATGACGGAGGACGACTGGGAGGAGGCGGACGAGTCTCCTCCTAATCTCCCTCCCATCACACCGAGACAGAAGCTCTTTTGGGTGGAATATTCAAAGTTGGCCATAATCGGTAAGACTCCGGGTTCGTCTCTGTTTCAGCGGTGACAGCCGTCCTGACTCGTCTCTCATGCTAGGAGCTCGATGTCTTGCCATTCTCAAAAGCCAGCAGGCTCCCCTTTCATCCACCGACGTCGATGTTATAGTGACGTCCTTCAATACCTGGCGAGTATTGCTTCCGGATACACTGCGGACTGACAAACGGCTGTTGCAGACGACGAACGACGACATATGGCCAATAGTTCTCGTCACAACCTGTTACAGATTCGAATGTGCCATATACCGGAGAGTCTGCCGCATGTATCAGACTAGAAAGGAAATCTATGAATACGACTGGGCCAAGCAGCAGCTGCGGAAGGCAGTGTTTGATTTTGACATGATCATCGGCAAAGTCATGGCGTATGACATGCTATCACGGCTGCCCTTGTCCTTGTACGCATGCTCCATTCTCTGGAATTCTACTCGAGACATCTGCAGGCTAACCGTCGACACAGTATTGGCTGCGTGTACACGGTCATCGCCCTTCACATCGAAACCACTCTGGACCCAACGGAGAGCCCGATTAACCAGTCGCTCGCTCTCCCGTACATCCACCAGGGGATACTGGCTCTTCGAGCAATTTCAGAACAATGGCGTACCGCCAAGTGGACATTGCAACTATTCGAATGGGTTTTGACACAGAAAAACATACCCTTGCCGCCGCACCATCCCGGTGCTGCCCCGGGCTCTCCCCGTTCACAAGAAAGGGAGGCCGGCTCGGGGGCTGACGCTCGGTTTTCACAGCCGGATCTGCTTGCCCATGGCCATGGCCCCTATGGTATAGAATCCGATACCTTTACTGATGAGTTTATGGGCTTTGACTTTCTGAGTAACCCGGATCTACTGGGATTGTGGAATTGATACGCCCGCCACTTAAGTTAAGAAGTAGCTAGGAATTACGCTGCATGTTATGAATACTTAATGCGCCGCACTCTGCGTCCTTCCTAATATGTAGGCATCTTGAGGGACCCTCTTTAGGAACATTGCAGTGTGGTCCAACCAGCATCGTGCTTCCTGGGAATTCAGTCATGGGGATGGAATGCACAATAACGATGACTGCAATTGACAGGAACGATCTCCTTGACCATATACAAAACACCTTTCAAAGACGATATGCATCATGCCAGTCACTTACCGTCCGTGCAGCCCTGATATTGCATATCCCACGCTCGGGGTATTAATCTGGCTGAAAACCCGAGCGGCATTCCAATCTCGGCCATTCTGCTATTTAGCGTACTGCTCCCCATGATAAATTCGTCTGTTTACTCCCGGGGGGACTTGCTTTCCTTTATCTCTCAACTTGCGTTGACTGTTTGTGGTTGCGTTGGTCCCTTGTTGTCTGTCGCTGGAATACCTCCCATCAACTTCTGTCCAGTCCAACAACACACAACGTATATACAACTCGATCATTGTTATATCATCTTTGCCCAATCCCTAATAAAGAAGCCACTGGGCATTTCAATACCCAGAAACCCCTGCGTGCCCTGCGTATCCTGCAAGAAGAGAGCCAACATCCGGACACCCCAGATATGAAGCCAAAATCATCGAACGGCGCCAACGTCGAGTTGACACAGGAGAGCCATGTGGATAAGGAATTGGGGCGTCTTTCGTCAGATACAGAGGATGTCGAGGCAAAATCTGGACCGGTAGCTTCCCTGGTTACCTATTGGCGATACATGCTCGATCAACCGCTCATAACCCCTGCTGTCCTTGGTTGGGATTACCAGGGCTCAGGCAGCGAAGCTGACCCTTATGTGGTGACATGGATTGATTCCGATCCTCGCAATCCCATGGACCTCTCATCAATGATGAAAGCCGTCATCACGGCAATAGTTGCCATTCTGACCTTGGCTGTTGCGCTCATCTCCTCCACGTATGCCGGATGCATTGACCAGATCATGCAGGACTTCCACGTTGGTGATGAGGTCGCTACACTTGGTATTGCCCTCTATGTCCTTGGATTTGCCGTGGGACCGATGTTGTGGGCGCCGTTCAGTGAGACGCAAGGCCGACAAGTGATTCTGTGCTTCACATACGGGTGTTTCGTGGCGTTTAACGGTGGGACGATTGCTTCGCAGAATATACAAACTATGATCATCCTGCGGTTCTTCTCTGGCGTCTTCAGCGCGTCGACTCTTACCAATACCGGCGGCGTTATCTCGGACATATACCCAGTGAACAAACGGGGTTTGGCTATGGGACTCTTTGCCGTGGCGCCATTCATAGGGCCAGTCTTTGGCCCTATTATCGGAGGCTTTCTCGGTGCTGCAGGGGGATGGCGCTGGGTGCAGGCTCTTGTGACTATCTTCTCTGCCATCCTCTGGGTGATTGCAGTGCTCGTCATCCCAGAAACGTATGCACCGGTTCTCCTTCGCAAAAGAGCAGCCAAGTTATCCGAGATGACCGGAAAGTCATACCGGAGCAGATACGACATCAGTCGTGGGAAATCGTATTCCTTCAAGGAAGAATTGAAGACTGCGCTTGTTCGTCCGTGGCAGCTGATGCTCTATGAACCCATTGTCATCTTCCTTTCGCTGTACATGTCCATCGTCTACGGCATTCTCTACATGTTCTTCGCCGCCATCCCCATCGTCTACCAAGAACATCGCGGCTGGAACTCCGGACAGAGCGGATTAGCCTTCCTGGGAATCGCGGTGGGGATGATAATAGCGCTCATCGTCTGCATCCCTGAAAATGGCCGCTTTGCACGACGTGCCGCTGAACGTGGCGGCGAAAACCCCCCCGAAGAGCGTCTGATAATAGCCATGTACGGCAGCTTCTGCATACCGGGGGGGTTATTCTGGTTTGCATGGACGAACTTCCCGTCCGTTCATTTCATGGCGTCGATTGCAGCTGGCGTGCCGTTCGGTTTTGGCTTGGTCCTCATCTTCATCTCCATCAAGAACTACCTCGTTGACTCGTACACCGTCTTTGCGGCTTCTGCCCTCGCTGCCACGGTGATCATGAGATCATGCTTCGCGGCTGCGTTCCCGCTGTTTACCACATACATGTTCCATGGGATAGGCATTCACTGGGCGTCTTCCATCCCGGCGTTTCTGTCGCTGCTTTGTGCGCCTCTTCCGTTTTTGTTTTATAAATGGGGGCCCCGCATTAGGGCTCGATGTCGTTATTCTGCTGAGGCGGAGGAGTTGAAAAAGCAGATGATGGCACACAAATAGTCCTGCTGTTTTGGAGTTGGCGAGCGTTGGGTGAATGAATTCTGCGTGTATCACAGCCGATGCGATCCATAATCTATAATGCATATAGTCCCTGCCCACCCGTAACTTCGAAATATTTCACTTTGGCAGATACAAATCCCGGATGTATAGCGGGCCATTCCAATTTCCTTCCTGGTCATCGAGCGCCGTCAAAGCCACCGGACGTCAGACTGCGTGATGTCAAAGTGACCTGGAAAGTGATCCGGGAGCCGTCCGACGAAATCCCTGCGTGGATCAGACTCTGACGGCAGTCGTATCCATTGGAATATGCCCTCAATGCCCATTCTGCTCCTCTCCTCGTTAAGGGCGCGTATACCGTATCAGGCACGGGCTAGGGCTAAGTCCGACAGCCCAGCGAGAGGTCTGAGCAATCAGCGATCATGCATGCACCCAACTTGACGGAGATATACCAGCATCTCGAGTAACGGCGTTAAAACGGTCTAGAAGCGAAGACAAGAATGGATCATGTACCCGTCCCATTCTTGCCTCATGACGTATCCATGACTGCACGGTTGAAGATGAAGCTGAAGGAGAGCATAGGGAGAAACTCGCACTTGACACTCTGCTGGATGATCAATTATGACCTTGAAACCCACCTAATACAGGATCTATTATATCAACCCAGAAATGGCGGCACACGGACGCAAACGCGCAACGACACGGCTCCGCGAAGCCCTTCACGGAGGTCAGACTGTAGCCCCATGCTCTTCATTCCCTTGCTCCAACCTCTAACCCTCCAAAACAGACAAATGTCTCATAGGGCCCGGTGTCTTCGACGGAATATCTGCCCACGTCGCAAGCTCCGTCGGGTTCGACTTCCTGTACCTCGCGGGTAGTGGCACCAGCGGCTCCGTCTGCGGCGAACCGGATCTCTCCATCATAACGCAGACAGAGCTGGCTGATACAGGGAGAACGGTTACGATGTGCACTGACATCCCGGTCATCGCAGACGCGGACACGGGGTTCGGAGGGCCGTTGAACGTCGCTAGGACGATCAGACTGTATGAACATGCGGGCATTGCAGGGTGCCATATCGAGGACCAGGTATATGTGAACACGACGTGAGCGAGATGTATTCCCGACTAATGGACTCGCTCTGGCAGGTCTACCCGAAACGCTGTGGCCAGCTGAAAGGCAAGAATATCGTGTCGACAGAAGACTTCCTGGGGCGTATCGGCAGCGCCATAGAGGCCCGCCAGGATCCCGACTTCGTCATCATTGCCCGGACGGATGCCCGCCAGGCCGACGCCTATGGGGGTAGTAGAGCCGGCCAGCATGCGTTCGACGAGGGAGTCAGACGCCTCCGGGAAGCTGTAGAAGCCGGCGCGGACGTGGCCTTTATGGAGTCTCCTCGAACGGAAGACGAATGTGCTACTCTGGTTCGAGAGCTAGCTCCCACCCCGGTTTTGATTAATGTCCTCCCCGGTGTCAGTATTCTCCTTCTTGACCCGTCTAACAATAGCCGACGATGGTAACGTGTTACAGGGCCTTACTCCAAACATAAAAACGGCGGATTGTCAACGCCTCGGGTTCAAGGCTGCCATCTACCCATGCGCGGGTTTTATTCCGGCCATGTTGGCCATGCAGCGGTCGTATGGAGCGTTAAAGAATGAAGGCACAGATCGGCACCACTGTGAAGGGTATACAATCCAGGACTTCTTCGAGCGACTCGGTCTAGAGCAGGCCTGGGATTTCAATGATAGGATCGACAAATGGATTCAAACCAGAGCACCGCTCCCGCAGCGCCGCGCCGAAGGGTTGGGTGACTGGCCTGGCTAGTATGAAGACATGGAGCGCACAGAATGAACTATATCCAAGAATCTTCCAGTCTCGAGTGGCAGACATTTCATGGACAATCTTCATCCAGCCAGAGACAATTGTAGATTCCACGCATTCACGTCTATGGCCACTAGAACACAGCCTTACGCAGCATGAATCGTCTCCGTTAGATCTTTATAGATGGCCATTCTTCGTGCTTGGAGTGAGCGTATGAGTGTACTCATTCGGCACTCACTCATACGCACCACTATCCCCCCCGCCGGTATAATGTCTCTGCATGAACCCATCACAGTACGGCCTGGCCAGCTCGATGAGCTTCCTGTCGTCCGGGACATGGTACCGACGAGACTGACCAGCCCAGAAGTTCAGTCTCGCTCTGGGAAGATGATGCTCCCGTCCGGTCGAGGAATGGGATAGTCGTACATCTGCGGCCGACGGCGAATGCTGTACGACTGCGACTGCAAAGGCGAAACACGATCCGATCTTCTTAGCCCTGGCACTTTCTCGTTCTGTCCTGGCCACCGGCCGTCTGTCAACGGCTTCCCGGATGCCTTGGTCGCTTGGGTGTTGGCGTGGAGCTTCGCCCTCACGACCTTCTTCAGGCGATGCATGGCCATTTAGTATGGCCACATGGGGCCGGCAGTGAAGGCGAAGCGGCACGATGCCACATTTCCTGTGCCACGTAGACTGCCAGCCAGTGCTGGCAGACTGCCCAGAGCTGCCCTCAACAGCTGTCCGAGCATTCAAGACGCCAAGGTATTCATATCCCACGGAAGAGCGGAAGAGGATAATCTCCCTGGCAACACGATTGGCATGCATCGCCGAGCCCGTAAGAATTTATTATATCGGACGTTGGGAAATTAGGCCACCTTGCCTCCCCTGGATCCCAGCCCCTGGCCATATCTTTCCTCCGGTTTCATCGCCATTATCTCCGTCGAATCCTCTCTTGCTGCTTTCCCTGGGCGTCTGCCGTGGTTCCGTGGTGATTCCCTAGTCGCCGATTCCCGCCCATGGCGTCGCTTTCGCCGGAGGAACTCCAGTCTCGCTTCGATGAGTTCTGTGAGTGGGATGAGAAGAGGAATAATCTTTTTAAGGTGGCCCTTGCCCATAGCACGTGCTGCGTGTTTTACCCAGGCCGAGGCTGACGTTTGCGCGCCAGGATCTGCTAAGGAAAACGGTCGAAGATGCAACGCTAATTGATAGTCTTAAAATCGACCTGGAAAATGAGAGGGATTCGCGAATCAGGTATCAAAAGGAGCTCCGCGACCTCGTGGAGCGGAAATCGAATGCGGACCTCATTCTGGTACCTGTTCTGCTTCATGCTCGACCGCCGGCAAGCTAACAGGCAGTCCAGAATAAAGACCCCTATGTAGCCGTTCTCGTCGACGGGGATGGAGCCAAGTTCCTCGACGCATTGCTCCAGGATCCCCATAAGGGCGGCGCCGAAGCGGCGCTGAGGCTGAAGCAGGAAGTTAGAAATTACTTGCAGAATACTCCTCTGGGCACGGAGGATATTCCCATTATAGTCCGCGTCTTTGCGAATCTTAATGCCCTGGCCAAGGCACTACGCTCGGCGAATATAATCAGCTCGGAGACTGACATGCACACCTTCGCGGAACAGTTCACTATCAGCCGGGCCGAGTTCGACTTCGTCAACGTCGGCTATGGCAAGGAGAATGCCGATTCTAAGATGCGGAGTGAGTAGTGTCGTCGAAAGACGAAGCATGGTGCATACCTTCTGACCTCGGGCAGAGATGTTCAGTCATTATTACAAGAACTTCCAGTGCAAGAAGATCTTTTTCGCTGGCTGTCATGACTATGGCTATCTTCATGAGCTCCGCGAGTGCAAGGGAGATCGAGATGCCAAGGACCGTGTTGTCCTCCTGGAAACCACGCCGGCAGAGTCTTCATTCAGGTCGCTAGGTTTCCCTATGGTGCGTTTCGACAGCATATTCCGCTGCGAGTTCCTAAAGAACGAACGGACACGCGGCATTACAACCCCTTCATCGGCGAAGGAAGCCCTAGGCCTCCAATCTGCCGAGCTCGGTGTTCGAAGAGCTTCCGAGACTTCTAGCGTATTTGATGCTCAAATCCGAGTGCCCACGCCAGCGTCGGCTGCTTCCACTGGGGCCCAGTCACCCGCGCTGGCGCAACGTTCTCCTGCTTTGAGCGTCACTGCCTCCGGCAATGGCGGTGTTTCCGTCAGCTATCCGCCCTCCTACGCGAAGGCTGGCGGTGCTAACGGCCACCAGAATATAGCAATCCCCGTCTCCAAGGGCACCGCTAAAAGGCCCAGAGTGATTGAATGGAATAAATACGACCAGCGTCTGGATCCACCCAACAAGTACCCCGGGGTATCGGACGAGATCCGCTTCAACCAGAAGCGCGAGAAGATCAAGCCAGTCGTGCTCTGCAATGAGTTCTATTTGACGGGACGTTGCAAGCGGCGGGTCTGCGACAAGCACCATGAAGAAGCGTATCTGACGCCGGCTGAGATTACGGTGCTTCGATATAAAGCGCGCACGACCATGTGCCCCAAGGGCCCTGATTGCAAGAATTTCGAATGCTACTTGAGTCACCACTGCCCGTTTAACAATACTTGCCGATACGGCGCGAGCTGCAAGTTTTGGAAGACCGACTGGGGGAATCTGCATATGACCGTCGACTCTCTCGTCCCTGCGTAAGTCAATCAACAGGGAGTATGGAGGATCAGTATTGACTGTTGCTGCAGGATCCGATGGGCCGAAGGCAGCGATTTCCCCGAGCATCTCTAGGAATACAGTCATAATAACAACACATAAGACATATTTGGAATCACCTTGGAATACTACATTGTTTTGACGTCGGAGGGTTGCCCACCGCCGGCCAATATTCAACCTGTGAAGTGAGATTTAAATCCAGTTACTGTATCAGAATGCCAGAAAATAGTTATACTCCCCTATTTACTCGGTCTCATGGACTACAATACCGGTATTCCCGGCATCTCTTGTATTCTGACGTGTCAGTTTCTTTCTTTCTTGCCCCTGCCGGCTCGATCACGCAAGTCGACGCAAGTAACTTCCATTCTAACTACGCTTTGGGGATGAGAAATAATAGATGAAGAAGCGCATCTTTGCTGTCTCATTCCGCCTATCCTTAATTATTGGGGGAGAAACGTGCAACTCCATGCGGCCCCGAGGATGAGGAGCCGATATACATTGCTGCATTGGAGACATTGGCATTCTTTACGCAGACCAACCGATGGACTTGTATCCAATGTAAAGGGCACTTGGGGTGCATGGATATTGTCTGGTATATAACCTGACTCCGACGAAGTTCATTCCTTAGTAGACTTGGAGCGAGAACATATGCTCGTCTGAACCAATTCTTCCTACTCCAGCATGCCCACCTATGCGATACCGGTTGCGGACGGTAGTCCTTTTCCGTTGCAGAATATTCCATCTCGAATCTTTTCGGAGCGTACTTCGGTACCTACCCACGTTAGACTTGAAAGTCTCGACGATGCGTCTTATGATATCTCCTTTAACGTGTTTATCGCTCGTGAGTACTCCGGTTATCTTTCTGCTGGGAGAGCAACCTGGGTTAACACGATATTCAGGTTCCACAAAAGAGAGCGTCAAGGTCTCAACCTCCAACTATAAGCATTCGTATTTTACCCCGGCCCAATGCGTGGCGCATCGTGCCAGCTCAGGCTGTGGGCTGGAAGCAGGCGAGCGTCTGGGACTGGGTACGATTTCGTCGCCGGTAGGTTTCTTCTTGGAAACTGGCAAAGAATGTCTACAAGCAACGTGCTAACAGCGAACAGGACTCGGAATGGCCCGACCGGTCTGTTTCCCGCCATGGGTGCCTCTTCGAAATGGCATGGGACGGAGCCTACGAGGTGCCTGATATTGGCGGAACGTATATCGAAGATGGTGACTAGGTCACGATGGAAGCTTGGGCGAAAGGTGCAGACGGGGTGAGGATTGGATTGGATTTGGGACGTTGACGGCGAAAGTTCTTCCAGCGCTGTAGAGTAACGGGGCACCTAATGATGAGCCTACTTTAAAGTTATGAATTCTACAAATTGCCGTGGTCAACTACGGCACTGAGTGAATGCGGGCATCCGAGGCCTCGGCTCCATCGTGGGGAATGCCAAGCGGTGCGAGCGCTAGTAGTAGAACGTCTTCCCCGTGGGGAAGTGGGGAAAGCGGGGAAATCGTCGGGATTAATACGCCATAAATAAAGAATCTCCTGATTCTCGGATTCCTCCTTGTCGGCAGGACAACATGGCCGACCGAAGCCCCCAGTCGGCCACAACCACTGGGGCCTACTAATGCAGCCGATGCCAGCGTACCTTCAACCGCTTGGACCATCCCTCATGGCATGTCCGCATCTATACCAAGGAAAAACCATATACGTGTCCTGTGTGCAGGAAACCCTTTACAAGGGCAAACCTGCTCAAACGGCATGCGTGCTGCCATGCCTGTGCCAGCGGTATTTCGCCTACCGCCGCTCGTTCTGGCCTCGACAAGCCATCGCGCGTCTCGCAGGCTTGTGCTGTTTGTGCGGCGTTAAAGCTCAAGTGCAGAGAACAGAAACCGTGTCTACGCTGTGTCCAGCGCGGGGTGGTCTGTGTTTCGATGGCCTTGACCTTAAACGGACGGCTTCGCAAACATCTGGTGGATTTCAATCCCCGAGTCTGACAACACCAGAACAGGACCAGGACCAGACTGTCGACTTGACTGCAAATGAGTTAAGTCCCAACGATACTTCCTCAGTGTTTGAATCTCCTCGATCTTCAAAGACACCGGTTGTTGAGCATCCTCATTTTAAGTCAGCGATTCAGTTGGAACAGGGCTATAGCTCCCCGCAGGTGAATATGAATATGGAATATAACACTGCTCTATCTACTCTATCCTCATCGCTACTTGCAGGCTCCAGTCATATGCCATCAGATCTCGTACAGGAGCATCACACTGTCCCCGTCTTCCCCGCAGCATCTGGTCCGGCAAACTCTTATACAGACTTGCTTGAAGGCCTGCTTTTCGTCCCCGGCTCCGAGGAGGCAGTGGCGATGCCCTTCTGGAGCGGCTCTCAAACCCCATTGAATATGTGGGTGAAATTATGGATTATGCTGTTTAAATACTCAACGGAGCTACATAAGCCCATGGCACGATGACTCCATTTGTTGAAAATTTGACACAGCTGCTGAGCGAGATTGGCCGCAGTGCTCGCGCAATTGGTTATGGCTAGAGCCTCGGAGTACCAACAGTTAAATTGCATGGGTTATACCATGCCTAGTGAGTGCGATAGACTGCATCTGCAAGGGTAGAAATACAAGGTATATCGTGGCATATGGCATAGATATCTAATAAGTATGCGGCATAGAGCCGAAGTATGAGGGGCCAAGAAACTAGGGCTACCTACCTTCAGGGAGAGGAAATACGACATCAACACGAAGCACTTCAGATACTCCATGATACTGGCAAATTTGGGTTCGGGCGCCCAGGGAACCAGTCCCGCTAAATTTTCTATCTGGTAACCTGCTGAAGACCATCCGGACTCGAGCACAAGAATGCTTGTTAGGCCTCCTCCCACGAGGATATATAATCCCGTTCTGGCGCTGCTTTATTTCTCACGTCCGCAGCAATCATGGCTAACTGGATCCGAGCGTTCTCACTCACAAAGCAAGAGGTTCTCGAAGCAGAACCTCCTGGAACCAGCAAACTCGTTGGTCAGCGGCTCATTATTCCCCCCCCGTGACTGTCGTTGTCCGTTCACCAGTAACCATATTATGCCGAGAAGACCATATTGGGCGAAATTCCGGCACGGATAAGATCCTGTTCGTTCCTCGACCATCATGCAGCGGTAAAGACCCGTTGAATTGGCCAACGTGGAGGAAATTGGCAGTGCTAGTCGCTGTTTCTTTCTATGCTGCTGTGGCCGATGTCACGTCTGCATCGTTGCGCCTGCTCTGCCTGGTATGAACTTCCAGCTACTCCATCCCAAGCTGTATGGGACGCTAACCCATCTGGTTACGGTGGATCTGATCATGATGGGGGCGTCCAGTGTCATCTGGGTTCCCTTGTCGAATGTCTTTGGGCGCCGGATCGTTCTCGTCGTTGCTCCGCTTATCATGACGCTCTGTAGCATGTGGTGCGCTCTTGCAACGAGATTCAATAGTATCCTAGCTGCGAGAGAATTGCAAGGTTTTGGCGCAGCCCCGGCAGACACTGTTGCTCCCCGGGTTGTGGGTGAGATATTCTTCGTGCACCAGCATGGATGTGCCATGGTACGTCAACTTTTCCATTAAGATGCCAGACTCTAACACCACCAGGCTGTCTATACGTTGTTCCTTTTGGGCGGAATATCCTTGGGAGGGTTTGTTGGGGGCTATATTGCCTCCAATCTGGGGTACAAGTACAACTTCTGGGTTTCAACAGCACTGTCCGGCGCTGTCTTCGCGATCAATTTGCTGCTCATACCAGAGACGCTCTTTGATCAGGGGAAATACATGGATACCAACCGTCGTCGGAATCACGAAGGCATTGACGCAGATGAAGCCAGTTCCACCAAGCCTGAGACCGTCTCGCCGTCCAGGTTGACCTCTAGCCAGCCGCTGACATTTGGCCAGTCCTTAAAGACAGGAGTCTACCGCGGCAGTCTATTAAAACAACTGATTGCGCCATGGCTCACCCTTCGGTTCCCCGGGACGTGGATGGTGATGCTTCATTATGGTGGGCTACTCGGCGGCTTCGTCAGCATGGCTACAGTCGCTCCAGAGCTGCTCGCAAAGCCACCGTACCTCTGGGGGGCCAATGTCGACCTCTTCAGCCTGTCTGGCATCGTTGGGCTGGGCATTGGGGCTGTTGCCACCTACCTAGTGGCCGATCTGTTGATTCTAACCAAAGCTAAGCATGACAGGCGTGGATTATATGAACCCGAAGATCGTCTGCTCACGCTCGTTCCCGCGCTTTTCCTGGCCACCTTTGGCATCCTCGTGTTTGGTCTTTGTGCAGAGAATCCTGGCCCGCTCACCTGGGGTGGTGGACTGGTCATTGGATGCGGTATGCTGGCCTTTGGGCTGATCCAGATTCCATCGGTTGGTTTCAACTATGTAAGTCAGACTCATCGTCTTCCTGCGGGACTCGTGGGACTGAGACACCCCAGCTAGTAGAGTCGTACACGGCTGTAAGTGCCCATTGCTTCGTCATGGTAACCCTTCTTCGAGCGATTATTTCCTTTGCCTGGACGTTCTTCGTAGGAGACTGGGTGGCCAGTGCGGGTGCAGTGCTTCCTTTTGGCATTGTCACAATGCTCATGGGCGTCTTTTCCCTGCTTTTCATTCCTGCCTGGCTGTTTGGGAAGAGGTTTAGGATCGCCACAGCGCAATATCTTCCGGAGCCTGGGCATCACTGACGGGGGGTACATGGAGAGCCATTGAAGCTGACATGTATTCATATGACTTAGGAACAGGGACAGTGAATGGCATAACGACGATGGATAATATTAGGAACCACTATGCAATATCTGAACTGTCCAGATCCCGAGTCTCGATCTACAGGCAGCAGTCGTCTCTTGCTGCAAACCCTAAGGAGTTCAAATGGTTGGATCCGTCTCTGCGTGCCATGGAGAGCAGCACAGGGCTACAACGCCGATGTCAATCGAATATTTCTGTCTCTGTCTATTTTGGGCGCTCCATATATCTGATAACTGTCCCAAGTGTCATGATCTCCCTTAGGACGTCAGGTATACATCGCTTTAAGTCCATCGGGGGTAGCTTCTCTTATAACTGTCTCTGCGGAGAGCGTCTTCATAGCGAGACCTTAATCTCGCAACGGGCCCATTCTCGGCGACTTGGATAACTAGAACGTGTAAATATGCAATTGGAAATTGACATTCATTCCATCTATAATCATATGGCTAGAGCTTACGTGCCGGAGCTAGTCCACCCAGCACTTAGCAAGCAACGGGCTCGCCAATGGGTCTGGCTCGGGATGGGGATAACATTGCTAGCTATATCATGGAGATTCTAACGTTGTAAAGGATATAAATAGCCTCCCCATCCAGAACCATTCCATCTGGGCCCCATTATCGTCGGGGCGTCCCGATTCTGAACATAGCTGTTCAGCTCGTATCTGTCATGAGAAACAACTCGGGGTGGCAGAGAACCGGGAGGTTGAGAAGCTGCCCGATCACACTGTCAAGACAGCTTCTGCTCGCAATTTCAAGGCCGGCGCTGCTGTCTGGACCGGAAGAGCAATGGTTAGGATGCTGTTCGACGCAGACGGACACGAAATAGCTCGCTACCAGGCTACCCCCAGCACTCGTCCCGGCCAGCCTTATTCGGCTACGGTCACTCTGTAGATCCTCCGAGTGATCTTGAATCTACTGAGTGTTAGTCTGATCCTTTCGTCAGCTTCAAGTCTTGGAGTGCATCACCTGTACGCATCGTACCCATCATTCAATGCATAGCTTGTGGCAGCGAGTCAACCACGATTACTGATGAATGCCGATGGCAGATCTCACCTACGGTAATCCACACTGATGACAGCCAGGTCGCCTTTCACGCAGAGGGCTTGATATATCCCTCTCTCGGAGTCGTGGCCGCCAGCCACCCAGCCTGCTCATCTGGCTACGACGACTGAACGTGAGTTCTGGAGGAATTCGAACCAGCTTACCACCACCACGGAGGACAACAACAGTGGACGAAGCTTGCCCAAAGAGCTGCTTCCATTCTTTGCCTCCGGACGACATATTCGAACGCCTACCCCGGCCCCATCAGAGGTTGGGACGTTCCGGCGAGGGACAGAAAATGCCCTATCACTCGCTTCGACGATTTGGTCAGGTCAGGTCGCATTTCGGCATCGTTCCGATGTGCCAGCGAATAATGAAGGAAGATCCCTCGATAAGTGATAGCTTGAGCATCCGATGCATCCTTGACGCAGAGATTCCTGTTATAATTGGCTGTCTTCCATGGCGAACTGCTTATCTACGGAGGACTATGGCTTCTATATATACCAACACCCCGCTCCCTGCTGCACGGGTAACAGCAGTCACAGTCACAGCCGAAGAATTCCAGTACAGAGTACGGAGCACTCAATTACAATATTCTAAGTCCCCACAGACTCAAGATGGGAAGCCTGGGAATGGAAGAGCGCATTGCTCTCAAACGTGCCCGACAAGCAGCCCTGGTGCCGGATGAGTGGCGTCTTCGCACTCTTCCGACGGAGACAGGCATCAACGCGCTGAAAGTCATCCGTAATTGCGATCTCCTTTCACAGAAGGAAAGGGATATTACAGAAACTACCGATGCGAATATCCTGCTGGGGAAGTTGGCTTCCAAAGAGCTAACCTCCCTGGAGGTCACCACGGCGTTCGCAAAACGCGCCGCTCTGGCGCACCAGTTGACAAATTGCTGCACGGAAATATTCTTTGATGATGCATTCAAAGACGCCCGCGCAGCCAATGATTACCTGGCGAAGACGGGGAAGACTCTGGGCCCTCTGCATGGTCTTCCTGTCTCGGTTAAAGATGCATTCCGGGTCAAGGGGCAAGACACCACTGTCGGTATGCCGAGCGTTGTACACCCATGGCCAAAACCATAATACGTATTTACTGATCTTGTATGAATAATATGCACAGGCTGGGTTGCCATGTCAGGAAAGCCTGCGGCCGACGATGGGATTGTCCTTCAGATTATCCGGAAGCTGGGAGGAGTGCCCTATGTCAAAACGAACGTTCCACAGTCCATGATGGTAGGACGCATTGCAACTGTTTTTTATGACATTATATATGCCGATATTAATGTACCGACAGATGTCCGATTCATACAACCATCTGTTTGGGCAATGCGTCAACACCCTCAACACCAAATTCATCTCCGGCGGCAGTTCAGGAGGAGAGTCGGCTCTTCTGAGTGCTCTGGGCAGTATTGTCGGCATTGGCACAGATATTGGAGGTTCAATTCGGATTCCGGCCAGTCTATGCGGCATCTATGGTCTGTCTCCAACTTCTGGCCGTCATCCACATGAGCAATTCAGGTATGGGAATAACGAGCACATGCCTATCGAATATCTCCTAACACTTTGTAGCCCACGCCAGGACATAGTGCGCTCTGTGGCTGGCCCAATGGCATGTAGCTTATCCAGCATCGAGGCCTATATGGATGCCTTGATGCAGGTTGAGCCGTGGACCATCGATCCCATACTTGCCCCAGTGCCCTGGCGGTCTACGCTGAGTAACCCCCCCAAGCGCCTCAGAGTCGGCTATATCATCGATGATGGCATGGTCAAAGTACAACCTCCCGTGGCGCGAGCTGTGAGGAAGACAGTTGCAGCTCTGCTCGAGGCTGGACACGAAGGTCGGTCTCCACACCAGAACGAATCTGCCCAGGGTCTAACCATGGATGCCGATCTTAGTATTCGAGTGGGACGCCAGCAAACATCCCTACGGCTATGATCTCTGGCTTCGTGGGATCCTCTCCGACGGTGGCGAGGGTGCTCGCAAGATGTGTGCACAGAGTGGCGAGCCGCTGATCAAGGGGATGCTGGTTGGCACCGAAAAGGATATCTTGACCACAAGTGAACTGCACCAAGTACGTCGTTCACCGAAATGGATATCTAGACGCTGATACTCCGATGCTAACCACTGCGCAGCTCCTCTTTGACAAACGCAACTTGGAAACAGAGTATCTGAAGCAGTGGACAGGCTCTGGCATCGATGCCCTCATCATGCCGGTGACCCCATGGGCCGGATATCTGCCAAAGACTTGGGTCAGTGGACCGCAATACGTCGGTTATACTTCCATCTGGAACCTCCTCAACTATGCAGCACTTGCTGTGCCTGCGACCACGGTGAGCCTCGAAGAGGATAGGCCCGACGACGACTGGCTAGGCCATGTACCAAGGAATGACCTTGATGAATTCAATTACAGGCAATGTAAGTTGAGTGACCTTCGCAACCCCGGCGCTCTTCCTGCAGAGTCATTGACCAGGGACAGACGATGTCGACCTAGTGAAGGGTCTCCCTGTCGGCATACAGGTTGTCGGTGGTAGATTCGGCGAAGAGAAATGTGTTGCCGTGGGGAAAGTTATAGACTCACTCTTGAAGGGGAAGACAACGTAAATCAATGACTGTCTAGAAGCTACAGCTGGACAGTATCTCTGCTGAATAGGCAACCCAGAAACAGCACTAGAAAGCAGCGAAAGAACCCAACGCGGACTGCAAAAGACAAGCAACCGCACTATCAAACGCATCATGATCCGTACCACGTAGATCTTGTAGCCATTTGACCTCGAGGCACTGTTCAAACCCCATCCCCGAACCTGTAGTGGTTCGTCCATCTCTGCCCCGAGTCATTAGACATGGCATATCCCAACGGGGCAAGGAAGGGAGATAGACGTACCGTGTCATATGGCTTCGAGGAATCTACAAACCTCAAGTCCGTCGCCAACCGAATAACACTGTTCGGATCGTTGTTGATGGTGGACGCATGGATCTATAGACGCCATGTCAGGTATTTGCCATGATTCAGGGGCCGAGCGAGGACACATACGGCATGCGGCTTGTGAAGAACGACATCGCCGGCTTCATAGTCTGACACCAGCCACCGCCGGCCATGATGCCTTGCAAACTCGAGCGGGTTCTCCGACAGGAATCCGGTGGACATCATGTTCTGGTTGAAAGCGTTCCTTGCCTCTTCTTCAGTGAGGCCGGCTTCTCGGGCCTTCTTGGCAAAGTCCTGTTCTATTTCACGGCCGACAGCGTCTCCTATACGATATATTAGAAGCAGAATACGTTCATCAAACAGACCAGGGGAGAGGAGAATACCATCTTCGAGATAGATCAATCCACCACCCGTGACGCCGACGTCTCCAATTGGCACCCAAGCGGTCACACTCGTCGGCTCACCGTATCGCAGAAAGATCTGGTCGTAGTGCACCCCGATGGGCTTGGTCCGCGGGACATTGTTTCTGAGCAATGTCCTCCTGAGACCCAGTGTATGTTCATTCCAACCGGTGAACTTGGCGACAAAGTCCCGCAGGACGGGATGCCGGCAGAGATCCTCGGCATACCAATCCTTGTAGTGTGCTTCGATAGCCAAGTCGACAAAGGCCGCCGCACTCTCGCCACCGGGACGGCTGTTGTTCGCTGCTGCGCCGGCACCAATACCAGGGAAATCATCGGGGGACCGGTTCGGGTTGAAGATGCCCTGAACCGGGGCCGTGTTTTCTTTCAGCACCCCGGTGGGACCAACGAGCTCGAAGTATTTGCATCGAGTGCGAAGGACATCCTCTCGAGGCAGCAGCCCTTTCAGGAACAGCATACCATCCCTTTCGTAGCGGGCACGCAGGACATCCAGGGGCTCGTCCGGGTGCGATGGGGTGAGGAGGGCGATATCTCCGGGAAGAAGAGGGCCGTCACGCACGGCAATCTGGCTTCTGGGAGCCTCGACGTCGATTCCAGGCATGGCAACCGGATGCAAAGGCTACAGGCCGCGTAATGTATCAACCTATGGTGGCGATGGAGGCCGTCCGGAACGTCCGCGTCCGCGTCCACGCCCGTTATATCCTACAACGGTTATTGAAACGGGGTTTTCAATAAGCGACGGGACTTGTTTCCCGATGACATGACATCAACTGTCATCCACGGCGGAAGATAGGTACACAATATCTCGAGGAGCAGCGGTTTCTGCGCCGCCCCTCCCCCGCATCGGGGCTCCCCCGCGAAGAACGGCAATGGCTGGCGGATAAATTATAAAAGCAGGTTTATGAACAGCAGCAGATGTACAGAGGATTGTAACCACCCCATTCCTGTTTTGGCTTTCAAGTGGGACATGGCAGGGGGTGTGGAGGGGACGTTCTGGCAGGGCCTTATATACATCTTTCGGGTCCGAAACACCGCAAGGCGTGCTCGTGGAAGGTGAATTCCTCTGTCCGGCTACATCACGGCCGTGGGACCGGTTTTTCATGCCCTCCGCAGTCAATATAAGAATATAAGTAAATGTGCGCGTTGCAGCCAGCTCTGAATTCCCGAAGTCCTGCTGTTCATCCAGCCATGGCCGACTCAGATGTGCCTCCGCCGTCCAGGAGACCATCAACGAGCGACGATATTGAGTACATTGCCAGTGCAGGCTACAGCACAGGTAACAAGACCCTTCTCCATGGCTGGTATATAATGCGGCCCAGCCCATCTCCGAAGCTGGCCAAAATGGAAGACGTGATGTTACTGATTACCGGGATTGAAAGACGCAGAAGCCAACGTTGCATTACAAAAGCAGGTTCGCCATGGAGAGAAGCAGAAATACACCACTCATACTATGTCTCATCTGCCAGTGTACCTGATCTCCAAATGCCGGGTAATAGGGTAGGAGATGGTGACAGCAACTAAAGTGATATAGTCGCCAACGTCACCGCCGCCCTTCCCAATTGCCTTGGCTGCGGGGCCAGTAAACTGTGCGAGAACCCGGTCAGTTCAGAATTAAAGGTGAAAAGAGGAACTGGAGTCCTACCCAGGTCTGGTTCATGCCGATAAAGCTAACACCAATGCCCAAAGCCAACGTGAAGCAGCCGGCAATACCCAGAGGCACCCGGTCAGAGTCCTGCCAGCCCTCAAGGTCGTATCCGCCGATCCGCGGACGGAAATAGAAATGCTCAATGGCCAATATCATACCGAAGCAGATCGTCCAGTAGCCGAGAAGGTCAAGGAAGTCGCCGATTATGTCCTCGAGAGAGTTGCGCCCGCCCCAAGCGAGCCCAAGACTGATCGCGGCCAGCAGTGTATTCCAGACAAAGCGGGGGATTGCCATGAAGTATCGTCCCCAGAGTTGCAGCGAAAGGGAGGAGGAATAGTAGATGGCCGTGACATTGCCCACTGGGATGAAGGTGGTTCGGTGTGTCAGAACAGGCTCTTCTACAACGTGTTCACGTTGAAATCAAAAGGATGGAAACTCACTGAATGACAGGGCGTATAGGACGCAGACAAACTTGCTCCAAGCCATCGGATGCATGGTATATAGGATCAGGCCGCCAATACCCTGTTCATCGTATATGCCGGACAGACGCTGGTCGGTGAGAATGATGCCCCCGTACAAGTTGCCCAGCACAAAGCCGAAGATACTCGGTACAACCAGTCCAGCCATGGTCATTCCAAAGACAAGCCATCTGCTTACATCGGCAGGGTAGTGCACGTAGTAGTCGCCGGACATGCTGCACCAAGCGGCCGACTCGCCAAAGATTATGGCGAAATAGCTGAGTGCGGCGCCGGCCCTGTCGATGCCAGATACCTGGGACACATTCGGCGTTTGGGACCAGTACCTTGACGACTGGCCATACTGGATACACATGAAGATGAGAATCAAGACCCAGGCTACCTGTTCGTATCGGTGCACGACCTTGAAGCCGAAGAAGGAGATGATGTAGGAGCCAACAGCAACAATTACGATGCCGGCGACCATCGTAACATGCCCTCCACTGACAGCCCTGATCAACTGGCCGGCGACAATGCAGTTGATCGTGCCAAAACCAACATTGATAACCGCATTCAACAGGCCGCAAAACTTGGAGCCCCAGATGCCAAAAGCATATCGACAGACAGCAATCTGCCGGAGCCCGGTGCCAGGGCACAGTGTGGCCGTAAAGGAAGGGATCATCGAGCCCAGGATGTTAGCGAAGATGCTGATCACAATTGAGTCGTAGACAGAGAGGCCCAGAATGGGTCCGAGGATTCCCATGGTCAGGTTGCCGGGGGATATCAACATCGACCACCATAACAGCATCATCTACCGGATTGCAAAGCAGTCAGTTCTCTCCCTGTCTGCCTGGCTCGATTGAATGAGTACGTACATTCAGAACGTTTGGTGGGTCTCGTTCGTCCTCGAGAACTCGGTCCGCGCCGGTTGTCTCGACGCCGAACTTTCTATCCATCCAGGCCTCAGCTTGGTTCAGCTGCTTCAAGATGGGGATGCGATTCCGCAGATCATCGATCTGAAGCTCTCCCCGGCCGCGGCTGACCGTGTACATCTCGGCAGCGGAAACGCTGATGTTGTTTTCTTCATCTTGGCGGGAATATGACTTGACGTCTTTCTCCGAGATTCCCTTGGGCGCAGACATGTTTGGGGGAGCCAGGCTGGATTGCATCTGGTATGCTGTATTTGCTTAGATAGAAGCAACAGTAGCAATGCTAGACAGTCCTTTCTAGTGGCATGATGCTTGTCTTTATGTACTCAGCGGTCTCTGATAATGCTCCGGGGCTCTAGGAAATGGCCGATATCTACACTCTTTCCCAGAGAAACTCAACCCACGATAGGATACCAAGACAGTTCGTGTGCACGCTGGTTTTCGTATCATCGTGGCAGCGGCTATGTCGTGGTGCGAGCACACTGTTCAGATGCTTAACCTGGATGGTAAGCATGGTAAGCCATCCGGCAGCATGATTGCACACGCACGTCTGCATGGGAGTACATATCAAGCAACGCCATAAAGGACAGGCGCAGCATTTATTCCGCATGCCATTGGGAACTCTATTCCCACCGGATACGCCTATCCGCCGAATCTAGCTCGCGGGGGGAGAAACAGCTGAAATAGCTCCCTACTCGGGACTAGTCGACGTTGATAAGTTCATCCTCCAGCACAGATTGAGCCTACGCACAGATAAGCCGCGAGTATCCCGCAGGGCAACTCAAATTGTCTCCTGTCCGGGATCGACGTAGATCTTCTCGACTGAAATTATGCCCTGATTGGGGTTGGCACAGGCTGGCTGATAGGGGATGGAGATAGCATACTGCAGCCCTGCCACGGCACTATGGAGGGCAGTGGGACTCCGGCTTTCTCTGGAAATGCAACGGAAACTGTGCCCTTTCCGGGAATCGGCTGGGAAAAGTACGGCATAGGAGGATGATAATTCGGTGGATTGGACGGAATCTGCAATGGTCTGCGGGGCTCTCGCATGCTCAAGGTCGAGGACAATATCCGAGGATGGGATATAAATCTGGCGCCCAGCATTCGCGGACCTCCCTTGGCCATTGCCCTGCACATTTCTGACAGTATACCGTACCTAATAAGCCACCATCATGGTCTGGAACTTCAACGAAAAGCTTGACAACCCCGAGCGCCGCAAGCTCCGAGATGAGCTCATAGCGGCGGACGACAAGTTCGTGCTCGAGATCCCCAAGGTAGAACTCCATGCCCATATTGAAGGCACCATGACGGCCGACCTGAGATGGAAAATCGCCCAACGGAACGGTACCGAAGTCCGACTCGGCGCCTTTACGCCCCCGGTCAAGAGCCTGGAGGAGCTGCGGGAAGCTTACAATACGATCCTGGCGCGGGTTGGGGAGAAGGAGAAGAGCAGCGAGGGAAAGCCGGTCTTGTTCTTCCAGGCGTACTACGAGGGGTTCAACAACTTGATTACCAAGGAGGACTACTTCGACCTGGCTATGGGGTATTTCGAGACGGTTGCGAAGATGAATGTCCGATATTGCGAGCCCTTCTTCGATCCCCAGGGCCACACCAGCCGTGGCATTTCCTGGGAGACGATGATGGGCGGGCTCCGAGAGGCGCAGCTCAAAGCCGAAACGGAGCTGGGGGTGAGTCGAATTGGTTTCCTCCACCGTAGATGCAACTATTCTGACACGCAATGAACCGGAACAGGTCAAGTCCCAGTGGGTGATGTGTTTCCTGCGAGATCTTTCCCCCGAGTCCGCCATGGAACACTACAAAGCCGCACAGCCGTATAAAGACATGATCACCGGCGTTGGACTCGATTCCGACGAGTACGACCGGCCTCCCTCGCTGTTCGAGGAGGTGTTCTCACTGGCGCGGAAAGATGGGTTCAACATCACTGCCCACTGCGATGTTAACCAGAAAGATACCCACGACCACATTCGGCAGGTCGTGTCTACCCTCGCTGGAACCGGGGCACAGCGCCTGGACCATGGCCTCAACGCAGCGGAAAAGCAGGAGTTGATGGACCTGATTCTCGAGAAGGGGACTGGCCTGACCGTCTGTCCGTGGGCATACCTGCGACACGAAACACCGCACTTTATCTGTTCGCGGATCCGCACACTCTACGACGCCGGTATACCGCTGTGTATCTGCTCCGACGACCCTGGATACATGGAGAACTGCTTTGTTCTGCACGACATGCTCCTTGCCAAGAGGATATGTCCCTTCGTGGACTCCGAAATTGCTGCGATTGCCAGGCATGCAGTGAACATTTGCTGGGCGCCGCAGGATGTCAAGGAGCAGATATTGAAGGAGATTGACGATGTATACAGTAAATACTACCCGAAGGCGTAGGATACAGTGTATATAAGCGCGCATGGGCAGAAGTGAAAGAACATAGTCACCCATAAAGCCAACAGTACGCCGATAGAGAAACACTGAGCTAGTAAAAGATAGAAACACTGAGCTAGTAAAAGCTAGAAACACTCTGTCGAGGAGCATCAGCCCAGCATCAACCCAGCATCAGCCGGTGCGCCAGAATGCCAACCATGATCGAATTATACCGACGCTCAACGTCGCTTCGACTCCAAACCTTCTCCAGAGCTTGCAGCGCTCGCTTCGGATGACCGCAGCCGATTCTATGAAAGGTTGATCTGAGTTCATCGCGGATCCACGTCCTGGCCTGGAATTGATCTACATCATGGCCCAAATCACCGGGGGATAGACACAACCCCGCCTGGAACAAGGGCCAGAGTATGGAGTTCCTCCACGGCGTGTCCGACGGGATGGCTTTCACATGGTCGACCGTCAACCGGACTAGACCGGGCACCTCGAAGACACAGTCAGGGAGATCGAATAGACAAGCGAGGTAGATCAAGATGCCAGCGCGCCACGCCTCCACGATGTGAAAGCGCGGGCCGGAGCTGTACTTCGGCGAGTGCCATGCCTGCACGCCCGCGCCAAGCTGGATGGCTTTGTTCAATGTGTCCTGGTTGGATCTGCTGCTGCTGTGTTGCAGCTTGTACAGCATCGTGATGTCGGCGATATACTCAAACAGATCAATGGGGCAGAAGAATACGTCGTAGCCCCATTCTCTACCGCTTGTAGTATTGAATTTGTCCAAGGCCTTCTTCACGTCGACGCTGTTCAAATGCGGCATTCTGGGGGTTGTCGTCGATCCCATGATATCCAGCCTGGTGCACATTAGGGCTGGAGAACGGGGAGTGTTGCTGCTTGCACTTACCACACAAGACGCTGCTCAAAAAAGCATCGATCAGTGCCATCCGAGCCACGTAGCTTGACCAGCGACATTGCCCCCTTGAGATGCGTCTCAAACTCTGTACAGTCTCCGGAGCATATCTCCATGCCAACAGTTAGAAACCGGCCCGCCGTGTAGCAAGGGAGTGGGCAATCGGGGCATACATCAATCTGTGCGAGCAATAGCATGGTAGCCAGAGAACCCAAGTCCCCCTTCTGCTCGACACTGACCAGTCGTTCTCTTAGCTGCTTTGTTGCCTGCAATCGTAGCTAAAGACTCTTCCTCTCCAGTGTTTCGTCGCCGAATCGGTTCGCTAGATGGCAGCACGCGGATGCTGCCACAACATACCGAACGGAGGAGATATGGTCCACCATCGGGAGGACGTGGTGTAGATATGGAGAGTCTGTTGGCCCCTGGCCCAGATAAAAAATGCCACCGATCTCTCTGGCATCTGATTGTGGTATTAGCTCCGTGCTGTCGATATTCCCAAGACGGGAGTGTCTATCATACAATATTCGATCAACAATTCCATATCGTGATCGTCCAACGACGGTCCAATAGAGGGACGAGGGCTGGCATCTTCAATGTGCTTCCAGCTGGACTTGTAACCATAAGATAGCCAAGAGCCGTCCATTTTGAGCTCTCGACATGGACGAACAGGACTGACGGCCGTAGCCTTTGCATGCCCTAGGGTGGCCTGGCTCTGCAGGGCAGCACCCGTGCTTTTCTTGCTAGGATTTCTCTTCCTACCTAACTTTGTTCCACTCGAACCCGGAAGAGAGGAGGCAACAGGGCACGTCTTCCCCGCCAGCGGACCGCGAGCTGCAACGCCAACCCACCGGGTCACGTAGCCTTCACACACGATGCCCTTGCCGCGGCAACTCAGACATGTCGGGAGGGTGCGATCACATCGTCTCCCTCGCCGACGGCAGGTTTTGCATGCGGTTGGAAACAACGTTGGGCAGCATTGACTCATCGGTGGACGGGATTGGCGCGAACCGACAGTTGAGAGTAGAGATTATGAAGCTCCGGGTGGGTTCTGTAGTACCTGCGAAGCCCATTGCTCTGGGCCGTCGGTAGGATCGAGGTGACAAGCCTCGGAGAACTGTGGAGAGCCACGACGATTCCCAATGCATTATAAGAGCAAGAGACAGGCGGAGCCGACCGAATGCAGCCTGTCTGCAATGCTTATCACTCGGCTGGGGAGTTTCCCGTATATCATGGCGAATCAAGGGAGGCTGAACTATCAATTTTCGTTCGCCTATCTCCGAACAGGTTGTTGGGATGATATGGCGTCGGCTAGAGCGATCCCAGACGGCTTGCCTGGCATGTCCTGCTATCTTTCACGGCAGGACTGCTATACGGATCCTGGGGATATTGGAAGTTGGTGGAGGATATAAAGATACGACGAGCATACAAGATAGCAGTACCGGACTCGTCAATCCGAAGGCACGCAGTATCTGTGATCTCTGCAAGCCAAATGCCCGATAACATTCCCATTGTTGACTTTGCTCAAGCATCCAAATTGCCGGAAATCGTGGGCAAGGACCTTCTGCAAGCATGTGCAGACTGGGGTAGGGTTGAGCGTGGTCTCCGTCGACTGTGTAGCATGCGTGCTGATTCCGGTACGGGATATATCAGGGTTTTTCTACATCAAGAACCATCCTATCCCGCAGGCAGATGTAGAGGGGATCTTTGAGCTTGTAAGGACACTCGGAGAAGGCATTAACGTCGTCCGTTGCGTTACACTAATCCGCGCAGGAAAAGCGCTTCTTCGCGCAGCCTCTCGAGGTCAAAAACACCGTGCCCTATTTCCCGCCCAAGAATGCTGGGTATAAACCGAGGACCTTTGCCGGGTTAGTGTTGTCCCATAACCCATATTTCCAGTGCTAAGATCCAGTCCAGGATAGACAACACGAAGTCGGACCCGCGCGAGGCATTCAGCATCAATAAATGGCCTACTGCGGCACATACTCACGCCTCAGTCCTGCCTCCCGTTCTCCACGAGGCCAGACCGCAGATCGAGGCGTTCCAAAAGAAAGTCCAGGCGTTGAACAGGAGACTGCTTGAGCTGATTGCACACGCGCTGGGCCTACCCAGGGACCAGTTCACCGCATGCCACTCGCCTGATCAGGAGAACTTTGACAACTTTGACCTGATGCATTACCCGCCCATAAGCAAGACGGAGGAAACTCCTGCAGACGGAACCGTGTATCGCATTTCCCCACATACCGACTGGGGCTCGCTCACCTACTTGTTCCAGCAGGATGTCGGCGGCCTGGAAGTTCGTCCGCCCAAGTACACGTCCCCGTCTCTGTCTCTCGGAGCAGAGGAATGGATTCCTGCCCCCGTACACAACACCATGATCCTTGTCAACATCGGCGACATGCTGGAGTTCTGGACGGCGGGAGCGTTGAAGTCGACCTGGCATAGGGTTGTGCCGAATACCCGGCTCCACGGCGATACGGGTGGCATCGACCGGTACGCATTTGCGTATTTTGTGCATCCGAATAGGGACACGGTGCTAAGGCCTATTGAGGGGATGAAGCGCGAGGGCTGGGTTCCCCGGTATAGGGGTATTGGCCGGACGGCGGCAGAGCATATTGCTGCTCGCATTCGAGGCGAGGACCGGATAGTGTCCATGCAAATCGACGCAGATCGGACGGCTAGAACTGTGCCCATGGAGGCTTAATCAGTCCTTTTCGCCTCAACGATGAATACCGTGTAGACGCGGTAGGCGCGTAAGAATATGGGTTGAAGGGCCTGTATTTCAACCTGGGATATACAGAGAAAGAGAGCTCTACACGCTCTGTATATGGATTTCTTCTTCTCATACTGCACTGGTGTCTCTCAAACAAAGCCCGCACCTACTATTCCCGGCTGGTTAGTACATGATATCGAGTGAAAAGGCAGAGCATACCATTGACGGTTTTGCGGGGTGGAGGGCTCTTCGGCTCAGCTGGGGTAAGGCGTTAAGAATTGGCTTGTCCTCCATTTCTTGGAGAACATTCTCGCTTTTGATGTCTATAGGAATGAAGATTAGGGCAAGGCTTTTTGACACGGCCATACGGATACGTCTTACCGGTGCAGACAAGCTTGCCTTCAGTATGTAGATAGTCAAGTGCAAGAAAGATCTGCGGAAGATCAGCTTCGAGTAGATCTCCAGTAAATCAATGGCGGCGATTACGGTATAGTAGATCCCTGAAGCTTTGCCACATCGGTTTCTGAACAAGACAGACGGTCACCGCCGGAATAGGGAATTGTGAAGACATCCAGTGCTTTCGATATATGAGCATGGCCAGGGTGCCATGAACTCCCTTGATTTAGTTGCCTATAGACCTGGAACTCCTCCTGGCTACCTCCATCACGCGGGTAGATTTTGAGTGTCACATACTGATGACCTCTCATCGTGCCAGTGGGTGTTTGGTTAAAATAGGTAGACATGCCCTAACTGACCCAAGATCACGAGCGAGGCACACTGTAGACGTAGTCCCCAAACCAAGTTACCAATGATCTGGTATCTGGAACTAAGCACGTCGCCAGTATTAGCAGGATAATATTGTCCTTGTTTGAACTACCCAAACCGTTCCTCGCCAAGCATCTCCGAGGGACGACAGACGGTTTCAAAGCCGCTGGTGGGAAGACACATGGGAGGGTGTTCTCCTGGGGGATGTGGATACGGCTGGGTTGGAGCGAGCAGATGATGCCGATGCCACTCAGAAGGATAAACCAAGGTCCAAGGTATCTCTATTTGGCTTTTTGAACGCCCTTGATGGAGGATCCTCTCAAGAAGGTCAGCTGCTTATCATGACAACAAAGCACATTGAGCACCTGGATGAGGTACTTATTCGGCCAGGCCAGGTGGATGGGAAAGTGCTCTTCAGGCCTGCCGATAAGAATACGAGCGTTCGATTATTCTGCACGATCTTTACACGGACGCCTGAAGAAGGAGAGTTCTGATGGCTGAATGTGAGGATAACTTCAGTCGTCCTGGCCGCAGAGTTGATGCCTATTCTCCCAGTAGCAATTATAGCTGAACGCCATCCATACAGAGGTATACATGGTATAGATCGAGGTCTCCAGTCGTTTTTTTTGTGGACTCTCTCTCCTTCGACCTGCTCGGGTTACGTTGAAGGGGGTCGAAATCGCTGGGTTGGTTGTCCCAGCTACGGCCATCTACGCTGTCTAGGAAGGAGCTGGATGTAGAACCACCAACAGTACGATGTGAAATATCCACATAGGCCAAATGCATCCTGGTTATTTCATAACCCTACAGATATTCTCGATCCGGTCGTGACCGGGTAGTAGATGAGGTCAATCCAATGTCAAGCGAACCCGGGCCGCCATCCTTGCCGCCAACATCACCAAAACGAATGGACACGTCCCCCAGCAATCGTGCGCGGTCCCATCCATTAAGTGTGGAGGGAATCTTGGAGAACTCAAAGTTCGGATTGTCCCGGGTCAAGGTAGATATGAAACCAAGAATTTCCGGTCCTCGGGACCTCGCCGTGACAAGCGAGGTGACGACCGACGACGCTATGAGGACCAGCGTGGCCAGCAGGAAAAACATGAACCAGGCCCAGTGCACAGAGCATCTCAGAACGCTCTCCTGTTCAAGGCCCCTGCCCCGCGTGACGGTGAACTGGGCCAGGTTGGATTGATACTGGAGGATATCGCTGCCCCTGGCGGCAGAAGAGCCGGTAATGTTGATGCTCGGTACCGAGAGAGAGGATTCGGCGACAAACTGATATCCCAAGCGAGCCATGTAGAAGGAATTGACCAGCTGGGTCAGCCGGTGCGAGAAGACCGTGGGGTCCAACTCGGACAGCGTGATGTTCGCGGTCCCGAACGAGGTATACGAGGAGGACGAACCGGCCATGAAGATATCCATGACTGTCGGCAGGTGGCCGAGGATCGGAGGCATGGCGTTTTGAATACTCCACGCGGAAATATTGAAGGAATCGGCGTTGTGAAACACTTCTGGGAGCAGTCGGCTTTCTTCAGCTCCATCCTTCACCATAGCGGAGGTGATGGTGCAGTCGCCCTGGACGCTGGTTATATCGCTCGTGCGCGAGCAGCTCATCGAGGCCTCAATAGGAACGGACACTACTGAGCATGTGCCTACCGTGTAATCGCCGTCGATAAACCCACCTTTGTAGTTCCTGCTCGACCAGAATACGGTCGCTTTCAAGCTCGACCCGTTCAGATATGTCAGAGCCTGGCCGGAGGCGAAACTGCTGTAATTCTGCCATGTGCGCAATCCGGAACAGTTGAAGGAGAGATATGATGTGGTCACCGTCGCCGTCGTGTTTCCATTTTCCAGGAGACCCAGCACGGGGAGACCGATGAGCGTTGAGTACACAGGATCCCCTTGGCCAGCGGATTGCATCCACGTCGTCTGATTGCCCAGGATAGGGATTTTCACATTCCCCCAGAGATCTGTGCTAGATTGTTCTGTGCGGCTGGTGGTGACCAGGCTGGCTACGAACATCTGGTCGGCAGCCGTGTTTGGGTAGCTCAACGAGGCCGCGGGCAGGAGGCGGGATGTGGCCGTCACATTCAGGTAGGCCAACACGGGCGATGATGAGGTAGTCCGGAAAGAAGCTGATAGCATGCGCAGTGCCGCCTGCGCTCCAACCGGCGACAGGGTCCAGACGCAGAGCAGCCCGAGGCCCAGCGGATTGAACGAACGCAGAGTCAGCTGGGTCGCAATGGCACTGAACACGGTGGTGGAGCCCATCCACTGCTGTAATATGCTGACCGGAGCGCCATGCTCGAGCCGCAACTGTGCCACCTTCTGCGCGGTATGGCCCACGACCACGGCAAAGCAGAAAGGGAAGAGAGTCACTGCCTGTCGACTCGACCGGGTCAGAAGACCGGTCACCGGTCTGGAGCGCGGGAGGGAGGAAGCATACCACTTTTATGGCGATTTGGACCGCCGACCATGCAGAGGTACTGATCGCTCGGTTGTTCAGAGCCAGCGCGGCGATCAGAAGCAACACGAAAGGCACTGCCGCTAGCAATCCCACGGCCAGCGGCCGCCACGAGAGCGTGCCTGGCGAGGGGGTATTTGACCGGATGCGCGCGAGGACATCGACTTCCGCCGTGCTTGACAGGCGGGAATAATGACTGAGGGGACGAAACGAGCGTTGTCCGCGGGCCTGGTCCGGGTGAGTGGTGGTGTCCATGCTGGCGTGCTACTGCGAACGGTTCACTTCGTCCGCGCTAGTTGGCAATGGACATTCCCAGATGGTCGGGCAGCATCGACAGATGTAATTAACATGGCCCAGGAAAAGACCAGACACCGGTTGGGCTGTGTCCGGGCTGTGTCGTGTCCAGGTTGCATCTGCGGCGTTGCAAGAGCGGACATCCCTGCGAAGAACGCCGAGGGGGCTATGCAGTGAGTCATCAAATGAGCTCTCAGCTGCGTCCTGCGTGCCTCGCCTCGGTCTGAGCCGTACGGGCAGTGTGACAACCGTACAGCTGTTATCTGTCTGGAGTTTCCCCGACTCCATCGAGCTCCTCCGAGCCTGACTTCCTGCCCGCGTGGGCGCATCGCTGCTCGACTGCAACGATTCGAATACATCCTCCAGGACGGTCCTGTTATGCTCCAGGCACGAGCACATCCGGAGCTTTGAGCGGCAGGTTTCAGGGACGATCATGTCTGCCGCGCAGACATATGAATTGCTCCCTCCCCGGGATCGCCTCTTGCCGGGCGCCTCTGTCCCCCCTGCCAGCAACGGTGAACAGCCGGCATGGGCCTCGCGTCCAGCCAAGTTGCGGAGGTGGCATGTTGGCAGCTTGCTGCTGGACTTGTCGTGCATGATAATACCGATTCCCTTCTATGTCCTCATCTATTACTGCGCTGCCAGCCGCGGACGACCGGTGGATGAAGCGCATTTGCACCGGATGACGGAAGGGCTGAAAACCGTAAGATCCTGCGAATTGGTTTCATGTCGCCGTGGATCATCCGTCTGATATCTGCTAGTCTGCGACTATCTTCCCGTTGGTCTTTTCGGTCGTGGTGGGAAGAATGACCAAAATAGCAGCCGAATGGAGGCTGGAACGAGGCAGCTCGGTGCTCTTGTTGGAAGAACTGAATCACAGCTCAACTCTGCTGAAAACGGTCTTGACGCAAGTGAGACTGCGTATGCTCAGCATATGCGGTCTGCTGCTCATTCTCATATGGGCTTTCTCGCCGGTGGGTGGCCAGTCTCCTCTGAACATCCTTTCCACGACGACTACTCTCACCGCGTCAAAGCAGCCATTGCAGTACGCATACCTGACCCCGGGCGTCGCATTCAGTGGCACTGCTAGCTCAGACACGTATGGCGGATTTGTCGAGAGTCTTTATGTTACCAGTCTTCTTGCCGCGCCTACCACTGTCCAGAACTCCATGGATAACTTCAACAACCTGAGACTGCCGACACTCAAGGGGCTGAGGAATCAGGCAAATTCGACTGGATGGGTCACCATTCCTCAGACAAGGAATGTAACCTACTCCTCGCTCATTGGGGTACCGATTACGGGGATCAATGTCCTCGGCAACACAAGCTTCCTGATGGACGGGTCTTATTATGATCTCACGTTCAACGGCAGCTCCGGGGGAGATCTGGTTCTGAACGGCTCCGGTATTTCGGTTAATATAACCATGAACGATGTCTTCACCAAATTTGGGGTCATACTCAGCGCAGCAGGTAGATCCGCCCAGATGTCTTTTACATGGGACCAAGTCAACGTCCAGTGCCAGGTGGTATGCACAGTCATCATCCCATATGGGAATCAGCATTCGTGCACCGTGAAAGCAATGCGTCAGTTAAACGTTACCTCTCCATTGGTACCTGATTTTATGATCGCGTCAAACATTGAAACGCGCTGGAACTCGCTGCTGTCGGGTCAGAACTTTTCTCTCTCGGAAGCATTCCTTCGCCATCCACAGGCGCCGCTGCAGGCAAATCTGTCGGATCCTTCAACGGCTTCTCCGTCCGTGGACGACCTGACCATCCGGCTATCGCAGCTGCTCAACACCTATTTGTACGGCGGGGCTGATCCCTTAGCGATGCTGTCCGGGGTTCCGTCACCGGCAACCGTCATGAATGCCACGGGCACTTGCGTCTCTGTCCATCAAAGAGTATACGCGGTGGACTCGGCATGGTTGGGTGTTTTTGCAGTGGCGAACACCATTTTCCTTCTCTGTGGACTTACCACCGCCGTGCTGGATTCATTCCGGCTGAATCCGGACATATTGGGCTACGTCTCCTCGATGTTGCGATGGCCGTCGCTGTCCCTGGACATGCCAGCCGTGAGTAGCACTCTGGGAGGGGAAGAGAAAACAATGCTTATCAAGGACACGGTGGTTCGTCTTGGTGATGTGCAAGGTGATATGCCACTGGGTCGATTAGCAATCGGAACCCTGGACAAGGTGCAACGTATACGTCCAGGTAGATCATACGAGTAAAGTAATGTCACGAAGTAACGAGTGAATGGCGGACACTGAAGAGGGCTTGTATTAGCTAGGAGCTATCGTCGCGACGCTCTAGGGAATATATCACTGCTACTGAGCACGAGTACCGATTATGTTAGATAGTCATTGTGCGCTCGACAAAACCAAGCAAGCTTAAAAGAGAAGAGGATTGTACTTTGTGTATTCTAGTCGCTCGTCTTGTCGGTATCCTACACCCGTGGAAGAGACATCATAAAAATTCTTGTGCAAGATCCTAGCTCATATAAATACATCATCAACAGCATCCCAGAAAGTAGCCAACCGAACAAGACGCTCGGCTATGAGGACACACGCGATTTGGCACATCCACCATGGGTATGCTTGTGCACCGGGGTATCTCGGCGATAACTGACATGGCGGCGTTGTGCTGTTGCAATCCGAGATGGGATCGAATCAAGGTTAACTGCATACTTGGCGACGGCGTAGGCAGTGGCCCGGGAGTTAACTAGAAACGCCGTGGGGTTCAGGTTGGTCATATTATCTCCGACTGCATGGTAGTTGGCGTCGTAGGCCACTCCAGCCTCTCCCCCAAAAACTGCCGCCTCATCTTCGGTCTTGATTCCCTCTGCCCCGGTAAAGAGACCACCGGCAGGAATTCCATTCTCGATGAAGGCAGCATAATCCGACCGACCATCAAACTCGGTCGCGATAGTCTTCAATCCACGCACCGCGAAATAGTGCTGGAACAGGTGCTCGATCTCAGCAGACCCAGCCGGTCCAGTCTGGTTGAAGGTGTCACCGTCGCCATCATATACCATATACGCATAGTTTGGTGAGGCAATCATGTCAAAGTTGAGGTAAAGTCTGATCTTCGCACGCTCAGTTTCATTGAGATTGGCCACGTAGAATTCACTGCCCAGGAGTCCGAACTCTTCAGCCGTCCAGAAGCCAAATCGCACTGCATTTTTGACTGAGAACTTTGACAAGGCCTTGGCAATGACTAGATTGCTGATGGTTCCCGACCCGTCATCATTGATACCGGGTCCAGCTTCGACAGAATCCGTGTGAGCACCGAGCATAACAACGTTGTTAGGATCACCACCCTTTGTTTGCGCGATAACGTTGTAGGTTGTTCTGTTTTCCATCTCTGTGAGAACATTGAGCTTGGCGGCTACAGGCCCACTGGCGAGCTGGTCGACTATCGACGATGCATCCGCGAGGCTGATGCCGACAATAGGAACATAAGGTTCCGCTGGGTTGGAGGGACCGCCCAGGGTTCCACCCATCACACCTTCTGCAGCATTGTTGTAGACAATAGCGGCGACTGCATTGGCAGATGCTGCAAGGATGGACTTTTCTGCGAAACTACACGTCCCACGCTTGATCAACGCGATTTTTCCGGCGATGTCAGACGCATAGTCAGTCGCATCACAGCCCAGGTTTGCTACCAGTGAGAGTTCTGCTTCAAAATTGCCGCTGGGGCTGTAGGTCATCGCCTGGGCCTCAATAGCCTTGCCATCAACGGTCAGATTCTGGTCTCCCTTGGTCCAAAGGTGGACCTGCGGCTGCTTATAGACATCGTAGTAACCGGTCTCCTCCAGCTCCTTAATGAGGTAGTTGACTGTGGCGTCATGAGCAGGGGAACCGAAGACACGATTGCGATCCGGCCACTGGTAGGCAAAGTTCTCAAGCTGCTGCGATCCGTGCAATAGATCTCTCAGCTTGATGTGAGCTTCGAGGGCAATCTAACAGGCTTGTTAGCCAACAGGCAAAAAAAAAAAAAAAAAAAAAAAAAAAAAAAAAAACTATTCACTGCATACTCACGCTGTTGACAAGAGGCTTCTTCCACCACTTCGCGCTGTTCTGGGCGCTGGCAAGTGAAAGGAGAGACACGCCGACAAGGCCGGCACTAAGGACCTTCATGGTTCGGGGGGAGTAGACGCTGTCAGGAGATAATCGATTGATCAACGGATGAGGACAGAGAGCAATAAATCTTCCTGCTCGAACTGATCCCTACGTGGTTCTTATAGGCATTCTGTCCCCAGCATCACGAGCAGCATCGCAGCGATATCATCATCGCGGAAAATTCCTCTATCAGTAGCCAAGCCCCAAGCCCTTCCAATATCTTAGGTAGCAATGGCTGCCGTTCCCTTCAACTTTCGATTGATGTTACAGCGGAAACTCTTGGCGATGCGATCAGGCAAGAGTAGCCAAGACTTTATCCTCCGAGGATTGAGCGGAAGTTCCGGTGCCTTTGCCCTGGCTAGGACAGGGCGATAGGCACTCCCGGGCCATGCAGGGTTCGAAATGGCTTCAACATCCGTAGCGTGACAAGAAAAGGATTCATGGCAAGCGAAATCCATGGGATAGCTGTACGCTGGCTATGTGTCGTGATTGAGCATCCATCGGAGAGAGGGACAGTCGCCCAGAATTCAGAATGATCCAGATACCTCCATATATATACCCGCCTTGGCGGATTCTTAACCTTGAGCAAATACAGAAGGTGGTAACGGGTAATCGATAAGAAGCTGGTTAGATGCGGAGATCAGACGATAGCAGTGTTTGATACTCTCAGGGGAGGATTGAGCAATTTTGAAGCTATACGATCAGCTGTAAAACATCCCTCGAGCCCTTCTCCGATGGAGTTCCTCGCGTGATCGGGAGCAATATCTTTTACCCGATACACGTGACAGACCTTAATGTCCCTCGTATTCCGTTCGCGGATACGATGCTCCTTTGAAGGGAGAATCCCAGTCTCTTCACGAGGTGTTCATAGACAGGATGTTTGCATTTATCTGGATATACAGGTGATGATATTTTGTCGTTCCATCCGAGGCTTGTCTGTACAGAAAGCTTCGTCAGGAAGTCCTGCGCAGTCTCCGTGTAGGTAGCTGCACTGATAACACCGTCAGCCATCAACACTCCATGGGTATGGGATGCATAGCATGCTAGGCTAACAGTCTTCTTGTCTACCCCTCTACGCTAGTTTATAGTGATCCCACTCCTTTCCCGCCCCGTATTCAACGCCACCTCAAGCGCATCAACCACCTGGTCAGGAACACTCAGAAACGCCGAGTGCGATCCGCTGGTGTGGTACGTTGTTGGGTTGCCCAAAGTCTCTGCAAAGGCCTGTTGTATTGCCAGCGGCAGTCCCTGGTCTTTGTCACAGAACAGGTACATGCACGGCAAATCATGCCATGGTTCGTATGTTGCTGGCTCCAGAAATGACTTCGTGGGATGCGGCTTCAACATGGCAATCCACTTCTTCTGCTCGGTTGGCGCGAGGTCACTATAGAAAACGGTTGCTTCCTGGGAGGGGTAGCAATAGCCATCATTCTAGGTATGGGGGGTAAATTCCATCAGGATACAACCGCCTAAGAAATGCGCCAAGCAAGAACAGAAACACGCACCTTGAATAGCATCCAGGGAAGCCAGTTGCCGCCAAGCTTGTCAAACAATGACTCTCCTTTAAGGCCAACAAACGCAGTCATCCATACCACCATGATCACTCCTCCTGGTAGGCCATCCTGAGATCGTTGTGCGTATCCCAGACCTTCTACAGCGCCCGCGCCAACCAACCCACCGTACGAATGGTTGACCACCACAATTTGTCGTCCATTGTCCGCTAGTCCTGTGAGGATCGCCTTCGTATAGGTGATGTCCGCGTGGAGACCGCTGTCCGGGGATGAACCGCCAACAGATGGTGTAGTAATCGCCTCACTGTCATAGCCCTGCTTAGCCAACAAGGCTCGAACTTCATCAAAGGCATCTGGAGTATGCCATGCGCCTGGCACGAACACAAAAATCGGTTTCTCAGTCATAGCCAAGCAAGACTGCGACAGTAGTTCGTCCAGATTTCGATGTTTGGTCTTGCAATCAGGGGAGAGAAGGGGGGTATTGAGGGGTATAATGAGGCGAAGTCTGCTCGTCGCTCGAATGAATAACTTCGGACTCCAAAGCCTAGCACTTGCGGAAGCATCCCGGTTTGGCCCATTACGCTGGCCGGTCCACTTCTAGCTCCAATAGCTAGAGAAGTCTGATTCCACGCGGACAGAGCGAGTATCATTCCTTTTTGAGGTATGACTTACCGGAAAAGACTGGATAAAGCCGCCGGTGCCTACAGTGAGGCTAGACAGCATGCTAAGTTCCCTGGAACCCAGATGTGTCGTCGGTCGATCCTCTGGCCCACTGGCCAAAAGCAACGGCGTCGAAATAGTGCCTAGGGCGGGTCGGGACGGGACAGACCCGAAGAAGAAGCTAATTCCTCAAATCCTCCCCGTGCTTTGTGGAAGTGAGGGACTCCGCAGTTAAAATAAGACGTGCATAACCCTCATAATGCCTTTCTAACAACGCTCAAAGGCCGTGACTTGCATGAATCGTCTTTTTATACGGGTAGGAGCTACGAGGACGGGTTCTACCGCGCCGTCTTGGGGAAGCGGCGGACATCACCTATGTCGTCGCCGGGAGATCTCCGTGCCAGCCGCCAAGAGGCATATCGGTCTGCAACCATCGCGATGACCGTTTTAGCTGCGGCCTTTGTAGCCTTACGGTTCATCGCTCGGTGCAAGAAGCGACTAAAAATTGGATGGGACGATTACATTATTGTGGTCTCTCTGGTATGTGTGGTGCTGTCGCCTCTATTGAACGAGCGTGCGCTGACTCGACACCATCTGTGCCCTCAGGTCTTGCTTTTTGGGCAGACAGCCTGCAATTCTATCTGTAGCGTGCCTCATTTCCCGGACACCTTCGCGACCCAAGTCTGACAGCCAGTTGATAGTAATCCATTATGGGTTGGGACTACATGCTGCTACGATACCGCTAGAGAATCTGGTCATGTTTGCAAAGGTCTGTGGACAATCCCAGTCTGCAAAACGGAATGAATCATCAGTTGACACCATGAACCGCAGGTGCTGATGGGGTATGAATGCATCTACTGTACCACCTTAGGTGTGACCAAGGTCTCCATCCTGCTGATGTACACTCGCATTTTCCCTACAAGACCCTTCCGCATAGCTGCCATTGTTCTAGGCGGCATTGCAGTCGCATGGGTTATCTCCATCATCTGTGTGAGTGTCTTTCAATGTAGTCCAATTGCAAAGGCCTGGCATCCAAACCTCCCGGGCACCTGTATCAATCTGAAGGGCTCATTTATCGGCAATGCAGTGCCCAATATTTTGACCGACATCGCGATCCTGTCTCTCCCAGTGCCGGTAGTCTGGGGCTTGCAAGCCTCGCCCGCGTATCGTCTGTCGGTGATTGGGCTTTTTCTGTTGGGCAGTTTGTCTGTTCTCTTATACCCCGGACTCGGAGATTGACCCATACTGACAGTTGTCGGTGAACCCGCATGCAGCGTCGTATTCACCAGTATATTTCGATTCACCACTCTCTTTAAATTCCATCCAACGGATACAACCTGGACGCTGGGAGATGCCTGCACCTGGTGTCTCATCGAGTCTTCCAGCGGTATCATCTCCGCCTGCATGCCGACCCTGCGCCCGCTGGCTGTTATGATCACATCTCGACTCAGTAGCCAACTGGGATCGCGATTCACACGCACAACAGACACCAAAGCCTCACCAGCCAATAGAAGTAGACCGGACAACCCAACCTTACGGCCAACAAATGAACCACTGGCGAAAACCAAGGTGCAGTTGGGTGTGGCTCCAACGGATGGCTGGTCAGACGACGAGGTGCCGCTGAATACCATTATGGTACGACGTGACGTGACGTGGCAGGAGAACAGTTACTCTTCCCAGTCACGTTAGTGGAAACAAAAAAGTGGACTAGTCCCAGGAATTTAACTCTCAGTAACACTGTTTATTAACAGTTGGTGAAAACCATCAAGCACGCTTTAAGCCGGCATTTGAGACATAATGGTGACGCAAAGGTAATGGGATTGTTCGGCCGAGTCTTCATTATCCAGTCAAATTCTCACGAAGACAGAAGTCCTGCCAATTTTCCTGATGCAGTACAAAAACACAAACGTCATGATATACGTTATAGAAAGTTTGTAGCTAGATAAGGGGTGAAGTCTAGGCAGCAGCTGTGCCAGGGTTCACTGAATATCAGGCCATATATGTGATAGCTAGTACTATTAATAGATGGTGAAGCAACATATGCCATTCAGTATTACTTTCAACAGTGCATACCAGACATGAGAGGAGAAAGGAGAAAAAAAGGACTGTAGGGCGCGTAGATGTTGTTGTCGGGGGTCAAACTTGCTGAGTTGGTTGATCTAGCTAGAGGCCCGGAGTCGGGCGTCCGGGACTACTTCTGCCTTCAGTCAAGGTCTTACAGAATCAGTTTTGGAATCATTAATGCGCCAAAAACGGATTACATGATCTGGACAAACAGAGGGTTTCAAGATTTTGCGGGCCTGTATTGGGGATCTACTACACCTATGCTGACTAATGTGGGCTAGGCCTAACTAGGAAGGAGCTGAATCATGGGAACCACCAACAGACGTAGGCCTAATCGGCTCTGCCATCTCAGACCGCCCTCGTGTAGGTTGCCCACGTTAGATAGTTCGCCCCTAGAATTCCTAATAGACAAAGATATCCTCTAACCACTGGACTCCATTATGGGACGGGCCGTCACAAGCCTGAGCTTTCTACCTAGTACCACTCTAATGCACTGTGGAGCGTATGCACCACCTCCAACATATGGGTATTCCCAACTGGACTAGCCTCTGGCTCAAAGTCATGCTGCAATCTCAAAGATTCGGATGCATTTGAGATCTTGAGACATGTTTGGTAAAATTAATTCACCCATTCCTGATTCTCACGTTGTCGAAGCTTCTCTTCCCTGCCCCTGATAGCGATAGGGGGCGGTTAGTCTTGGTACGCTACAATCGCACGCGTTCTGCGTTTGTGGATGGGGAGTTTGAGGGCGGTGCCGTTCCGCACAGCGAGAGTATTGAGGTTCGGGCTTTGATGTTTCATCCTGATGATGTTCATCAATTGATTCGTTGGTGTACTATTTTTGTTGGATGGATTTATACATGATGCATGCTTTACGAGGACGATGATGATATCAACAAACTAAATTAAGCTGCTGAATCCCGCCGCATCTTCTTCAGCTCTCCGACAACCCTCTCGCGGTCCCAGCCCTCCTTCAACGCCTGGAGGATAACATCCTGCTCGCTTGAGGGCGCCATCCCATTCGGAGCCGGGGGTCTGTTATCCAAATTTGTGGGAAACGGATACCCCTCTCCAATGGCACTGATGAACGCTTTAACCCCCGTGCTGAGCCCTTCCGCACCATATTTCGCCGTCAGGACATCCCATGTATGCTTGACAAGGGGCAACGTGTCGATGCTCTCCATGGGCTTCCCAAATGCGCTGCTGATCTGTAGCAGATTCGCCTTGCGCGAAAAGTCCCTCGTACTATTGGCACCGGCAGCGTGGAAAAGCGCCGGATTAAAGAAAACTGCATCTCCTAATTCCAGGGGAAGAGCGACGTAGTGTTCCTGGAAGAAGTCCTGGAATTCCTTCAGACGGTACGCGAGATACCCGGACTCGAATAGCTGGCTGAATGGGAGGAATCTGGTCGGACCACTATCGATCGGCATGTTGGTGTGCGCCACAGCGCCCTGCAGCGTCAGTAGCTGGCTGGCTATCTGTGTCGCCAGGGGGAATCGTGCACAGGCATTGGAATCCTGGAAGCCGAGATGGTAATCCCGATGAGGGTTCTGCGCCGCACCCCCAGGTTTCACAGCGTTCATCTGCGCCGTCACGCGGTATCCCGGCCCCAGCCAGGCTTCGCACACCAGCGCCAGCCACGGGTTGGAGTAGTACTCCACAAAGGAATGGGCGTCCTCTAACGCGTGCTTGCTGAAGGAGTTCCAGATGCGATCATTGGACCCGGCCGCGGCAAAATGGTCCCCTCTCTTTGAAGACTGGGCGTTCTCGCGGTCGACGATGCGCTGGAATGCGGCGTTTGTCAATTCCAGGATTGTCCCGTAGCGCTGCGGGGAGTACATGCCCTTTAACACGACAATGCCGGGGCCGGCATAGAGGATGTGATGCCATTCATCCTGCAGGTCTCGGGAGAGCGCTTCGGAAGGGTTTGCTGTCGTCGAAAGGTCGTAGATGGGGATGTTGTGTTGGATTGCCGTGGCCCGCGGATAGGTCGTCGGCGAAGTGAGACGACGACATAGCTCGCGGAATTCATCGATGGAGGGCTTTGTCCCCCGGGGGAAGAGACGGGGAAGCTGTCTGCCTAGCATTTGGTGAATTTATATCCTACAGAGGAAGATGACAATGGGCTTCCGTTGTTGACTTGAGGCAGTGGTCGCAATTTAATGCTCGTTCCGCCAGCCAAGCGGGGTATGGGGCTTACATTGAGACATGGCTGAAGGCTGCAGGAATCCAGTTTCCGTTCACTTTGTAGAAGCTGCAGCAGTCCAGGAGCTGTTCAACGGAAACCTGATTCCACCATCGATGATATTCAGACCGTGACCAAGCACTGCTGGTGAGAATTGATGATGCAGCGCGTAGAGCGAGCATGTCAGGTGACCACCAACTACATTGTTGGATCACGTGGGATTCTGCCGCATAGGTCCGCCCTCGCTGACCCTTTTCACCACGTAGGCCTATCTAGCTAGTCACCAACCAACGATACACCTCCATTATACATTGTGTTGGATCACGTGGGATTCTGCTGCATAGGTCCGCCCTCGCTGACCCCTATCTGTTGACTTAGTAGTCACGTGATCTCCATTAGCAAGATGGGGCGGCGGATGGAGGTAGAAGTTATCATTGGGACGATGGTCAAGGGGGCGAGGAGGGTTCGCAGGTTGGATGGAGAGAGGGATTTTGTTGCGCCAAAACACCTTGCATACAGAAAAGAGTAGGTGTCTGAGCCTGTCACGCGCATGGTGGAAGCTGGTGGGTTGGTTTGGTGGTGGTGACGGGGGTGTATCAAGAGACAGATTGATAAGGTAAGAGACCGTGATAAGGACGAGGATAAACAGCGCTCGATTAGTTATTATTTTGTATGTCTGGCATGCTGACCCGTGATGAGGATATACTGATGTGGATCAGGGGCGCGGCGTCTGGATATCAAGTACTAAACGGATACCATAGGATTTGTAGGATTCGTGGTGAACGTTCTATACCGATATGCTGCCGTCTCTAGTATTAAGGCTCGATCGCTTGCTCAAGCTCCTATATATGCGGGATTCGGGGAACCCAGATGTAGGCACCTTTCCTCCCAGAACATATAACTAACATACTCCGGATTATTAGATAATCCACCCTGTGGAGGGCTCCACATGTGCCAGACTGAAATGTACGCAGCCGCATTAAAATTCCATCTGCCGCAATAGGATTATCTATTGACCCGCTTCTAATGTCGACGCCACCTATCCTCCGGCCCGGCCCGAGCTGCACAGACGGTAGATTACCACATACCAAGGTCAGGGCCGGTGACGGCTGTCCACCATCAATCGGTACCGGCGGGCCTCATGCGATTCCAGGAGAAGCTGAACTGTCGGGTATCCGGCACCAGACGACATGTCCTGAGGAACTCCACCGCATTGTCTGAAGGATTCCCTTCGACCTTCCTATAGTGCTTTGACTTCTTTGAACACTTGGTCGCTTATTTCTTTTTATAACTGTTGTGGAATATGCATGTAACTCAGGGAAGAAGGGCAGAATGAAGCTGTATCGACTACACGTACGTAGCCTACTAAGGAACGGATGCCATTTCTCTCTCTCTCTCTCTCTCTCTCTCTGCATATAATCAGGGGCTCGCATTCTCAGGGGTCAGAGAGGGAGCCAAGCCGCCATACCACGTGACCTTTTCCATATCAAGAAGAATGGAACAAACATGCCGCTAGCGGCAATCGCATAAATGGCTAACGGCTCCATTAGATCGGTGTTACGCTACATGGGGCAAACTAGATTGCACGGTGTCTTTCGGTTCAATCAGGTGCTATGATGTCTCCGTGAAGCGAAGGCTAAGTTACCCTTCGCATCCAAGACCGGGTACTCCGATTTGTGATGGTAACAAGGTTATGGTTTCCTACTGATTGTGTCAAGAAATTTCCGTACCGTGACATAGGGAGAGGTGGAGGGAGAGATGGAGGGAGAGGTCCGAATAGGCGTTCCGACTTGAATCTTTGTCGGGCTCGGATTTACCTATACTCTTCCAGTTGATGCTATCGATGACCACGCAGACACTGCGATAGTTACGGCTTCCAACGAGTCGTCCGGAGATAATGTCTCCCATCCCGGCTGCTCAGACTCCCTCGCGCCTACGACCACCACTCGGCGACCATACTCTGATCTTGAATCGTGCGGTGCATGTCAACGCTCATATTGTGTCCAAGTCACTTGTCCATAATATGCGAACGCGCAACCTTCTCAGTTCTCTGCGAGCTCGGCTTTCAAGCCTCCGGATGGTGGAAACCCAACCGACGAGAGGTATTACTACGAAATCCGTCCATCCGGATAACCATCACAACGATGAGCTGTTCTGGTACACATCTGGAAGATGGATGTACGTCTTCATTTCGGCTGGATATTTCTAGTGAAGCTGATGAACTATAGTTACAATGAACATCTACGCTTGTCGGAGCGCCAATTAGAGTTCAATGTCTCTGCGCTGAAAAGCATTATTGCTAGTTCATCTGGCCGAGCAACATCAGACATTGTTGACTTTTCTAAATTATCAGAAGGTGGCTTTAACCGTGTGTTCCAGGCACGTTTCAAGGACGGCCAATGTGTCATCGCGAGATTACCCTATCCGTCCACAACACCTGAGCATTATGCTGTGGCCAGCGAAGTGGCAACGCTGGATTATCTGCAGTTACATGGGATTTGTACACCCAAAGTGTATGCATGGTGCTCGACGAAAACAAATCCGGTCGGCTCTGAGTACATTGTCATGGAAAAGCTGGGCGGCACCCCTCTTGGTGACATATGGTACTCGATGACACCAAGAGAACAACACAGCATGATGAAGAAGATTGTCCATTGGGAGGCACAGCTGATGTCATTGAGTTTTCCTGCATATGGGAGTATTTACTATTGCAAGGACCTTACGTCAGAGAAGAAGATTTCTTTACCAGGGCAGAAAGACTTTGAGTTCTGTATAGGGCCAATTTCGCATTACAGTTGGTGGCATGATGGAAGGAATATGTTGAATGTTGACCGGGGTCCGTGTAAGTCGATTGCTTCTGAGCCTCCTATCAATGGCTTTTAGCTTTTACTGACCGCTAGGAGGGCTGTCACCTACTGAGATATTTCAAGCTGTTGGTGAGCGGGAGTTGTTTTGGACGAAATTTTACACGAAACCTCGCCTGCCATATGAACGTCTCTACAGGGAAATCTATAAATTTCGCAAAGTCTCGCCTGATACTCACATCCAAAATCTTTTGGATTATCTGAAGTTAGCACCTTTTCTTGGATTTAGTGCTGGAACAGCGCTTCATCGACCAGTAATGCGACACCCAGATTTCCAGCCAAACAATATTCTTGTGTCAGAGTCAAATGAAATTGTTGGCTTTATTGATTGGCAACATTCTTCCATTCTCCCTCTAGGTCTTGCAGCTGGGATACCGCAATATTTCCAGAATTATGGTGATCCTCATTCGGAAGAGCTTAGAGAGCCCCAGTGAGAGCTTCCATCAAACTTTGACTCTTTAAGTCCTTCTGAACAAGCATCAGTACGTGAGACTCAGCAAAAGAGATTGGTTCATTTTCTCTATGCCGCTTTTACTAGACGGCTGAATGAAGTGCATTATGATGCGATATTTGACAACTCTGTGACAGCTTCAAATTTCGGGGGGTGTATATCCTGACATAGTGCTTCAGCCTCGTTCATGCCTTATCTGGGCTTATTTTCCTTTTATTTGGGCTCTAATTTGCTATATCTTGCCCTGCTTGTTTTCCTACTCACTTATCTCCTATTATGGTAACTGCTTTTGCTTCAATTCTGTATATAGCTCGTACAAGGGTACGATCTAGGGGGGTGTGTTGACTTAGCAGTTACATGACCTCCATTAGCTAGTCAGGGACGACTCCGCCGGCCCCTTTATGAATACAACCACGTCCAAGCCGTCATATACATCACTGTAAACATATAGGCGGCTAGTGATTAGCTATCAGGCAGAGTCACTCTGGTGCACTAAAGTAGAGCAATACTACTTTGGACGGTCAGGCGACTAGAGATTTATCCTACCGTTCTACCCAATCGTTTACAGACATAACCTAGGTGTTGTGGCGCCCAACGCTCTCCAGTATCTCCAATCACCAGTCATAGCACAGTCATTAGTCTCCAGAACTCTCGCTAAAATTGCCTATATGTCTGGTTGAGCACCCTGGCCAGTGTAGGCGCCAAGTTATGCGGTCAGACATTATGGTGAAACCCTAAGCCCTCAAATCCCTTGAGGAGAAACTGTGACTTGTGAGTTCTGCAGCTGGTTTTAACGAACCGTATATACTTGGTACTAATGTTCGCTTGACACCCGCCAGGATATGCGTCGCGCGTGCATTCTTTGTCAGCGGCATGTCGGTCAGCATGGTAAAACAATATCAGGACTCGTCAATAACTCGCTATGTGGCATGGAAAACAAGTACTATATAAGTGAGTGCAGTATCAGGTCTGTAAGCGGGTGGTGTGCGACAGCGTGCTGAGATAGCAGGTACGGGCAGACCGGTTGGTACGTGAAGATAATTGATGGAATGTAGGGTGCCTTTATTTGTAGAACTAATCGCTGAGGTGCGCACTCAGCGGTGCAAGCCCTTGCTAAATACTCTAGGTACACGTGACTAAGTTATCAGGCATGAGGCTGCTAACTTAGGTGCCTTACAATTATCCCCCCCTCTGGATGGCCTGGTCCCTCAGGCCAGTGTATTGTCAAATTTCAGGGTGGTGGAAGGGTGGTTGGTCAGCGACGTGTTCGCTTAGTTGGTAATTTCCCATGTTGTCTGTGCCGAAATTCGCGTAGTTTCTCTGGTGTGCCTTGGAGGTCTGCTGCGGAGAGCCATTGATTTTCGGATGGGGGGTAGCCAACCCATTTGACTAGATATTGCGTTTTGCAGCCTTGGCCACGTTGTGCTAGGATGTCCTCAACTTCCCATTCTTGTTGGTTATCAATGATCTCTGGGCCTGGGCGGCTAAAATAGCCTTCTCGTTCGTGGTATGGTTCCAGTAGATTCACATGGAAGACAGGGTGAATTTCGCCATACTGTTCGGGTAGGTCGAGCTTATACGCTTGCTTACCCCAGGCATCAATAATGGTGAATGGCCCTAAGTAGCGGTCATCGATTTTCTTGCTTGGCCGTAGCCGACGAATGTTCTTGGCATTGAGTATCACTTGGTCCCCAACTTGGAAGGTTTTTGGTTGATGGCATTTATCATATTGAGCCTTTTGGCTAGCCATAGCTTTAGTAAGGTTTGCTTCTAGTGAATTTCACATGGTCCGCATTTGTTCCACCCTCTATGTGGCATCTGGGACTTCGCCATCTGGCGGTGGTAGCTCGACGTTGATTTTTAAGTCTGGGTTGAAGTTCATGAGTGCTTGGCTAGGGGTGATGCCAGTAGATGAGTGTGGGCTGCTATTGTAGCACAGCTGGGCTAGGGGTAACCAGCAGGCCCAGTCATCCTGCTTGAAGTTGCAATAGATGCGAAGATAGCACTCCATTGTCTGGTTTTGCTGCTTGGTTTGGCCGTCCGTTTGGGGGTGATAGGCTGTAGATAATCGTTGGCGGACGCAGAGCGAATGGCATAAGGTGGACCAAAAATGGCTGGTGAACAAGCTTCCGGGGTCTTATACTATGTTCACAGGCATACTGTAGGTGCTGACCCAGCAGTGAAAAAGGAGGTCTATGAAGGTTGGCGCATTGACTGATTTTCAGCATGGAATGTACATTGCGAATTTCGTATAGCGGTCCACAATGACCAGGATGGCCTCATACACCTTGCCAAGCCATCGCAATGGTGGTAGCCCAGTGATAAAGTTCAATGTAATGCTGTTCATTGGACCTTGTGGTGTTGGTAATGGTTCAAGCATGCCATATGGTTTATGGCGATGCACCCGCGCCTGTTGGCAGGGGTCACATGTTTCATAGTATTCATTCATGTCTTTGGCCATGCCATGCCAGTAGTATTTGAGCTGCGAACTTAGCATCCGCTTGGGGCTTTGGTGCCTATCTTGCGGGTCATCATTGTTCACTCGGAGAATTTCCATGCGGACGGCCGGGTCCCGTGGGACATATACACGGCCTTCATACCTGAGCAAGTCATCTTTGCTAACTTCCCAGGGCGAATCCTTATGCCTAGATTTGCCTTGTCCTGCCTTGCGAACTTGTATTGCGGCCCGCAGATCTCATATCCATGCTTGCGAATTTCGCAGCTGTACAGGTCCACTTTTTGCAGTCTTTGCAAAAGGTCTGCCATGGGTTTGGACATCTCTGAGTAGGCTATCTCAGTCTGAGCGGCTGCAGCCACTACAAACCGTGGCACCAAAAATTCCGGACTTTCTGTATCGCCGGCGACTGGATCCTCATCTATGGGCGCGTTCTGATTCCCATGGGATCTTAGCTGGTCAACCAATGGTGTCAGGGTCGTGCCGTACCTGGGACTTATTTGATGCCCACGCGCCAAGATGGCTCCTAGCCTGGTCTTCAGCCGCTGTTGGCGTGCTGGCTTTCTGTTTCTGTCCAAAACAGCCCTTGTTAGAGCTTTTCAAACAATGTGGGTAGCATGGTTGGCTCCCTGCTAACTTCATGGGCATAATCAGGTTGACGGCTTGGCGCGTCTGCCAGTAGTGGGGCAGTGACAAAAGCTTTTTGAGCTTCTCAAAAGCTTCCTTAGCCTCCTGTGTCAGGGAGAACTCCACAATCTCCATTGCGCTAGGGCTAGCCCAGTAATCTGCAGTCTTCTCTGGCCAGGGTGCTAACTTTGCAGGCAGGTGCCTTGCGAACTTAGCAGTCCGCTGCTTTGGCCTGGTGCTGCCATGGGTCATTTCTGTCAATGGCGTGGTGATGCGTGAGTATCCCTGAATGAAGCGCCGATAGAAATTGGCAAAACCTAGGAAGACCTGGATGTCTCGTACGCAGGTAGGCTCAGGCCAATCTTTGATGCTTTGTACCTGGTTCTCTTCCATAAAGACCCCTTTGGGGTTCACCATGAATCTAAGGAAGTTTACCGTATCCACATGGAATCGGCACTTGTTCATTTTGGCATATAGCCGGTGTTTCTGGAGCCGTTCAAATACTAGGCGGACATTGCCGCTCACGGTCTGCTAAGTCCGCAGAGTATATCATGATATCATCTAGATATGCCACCGCGCACACGTCCAGCAAATCACTCAACGCGTGGTTGATATAGGCTTGGAACGTGGCTGGTGCATTGGCTAGCCCAAATGGCATCACCGAATATTCATAGTGCCCATAGCGAGTACAAAAGGCAGTTTTCAATATATCCCCTTTTCTGATGCGGATCCTGTGGTAGTGTGCCGGGGGCACTGCGAAACCCCGGATCTCCCATATTTCCTATCTTGGAACACCGTAGAACCGCGGACTCCGACATACTGATGTATGGTGGAGCCCGCGGCCGGAGTACTTAATGGAGGGTTCCCTCCCAGATAGTTACGAGAAAGGGAGCATTCTTTTGGTTTCTAGGTTGCTTCACTAGTATCGTTATCGTCGTATAGAGCGGAGCGAGGCTCCTTCGTCGTTGTGTTTCCTTTCATCGTTATATCGTTTTGCTAGATTGTTCAGTGTGTCCATTCCTGAGATCCCTCGATCACAACCCGGTTCCTGTCGCAGGGAACAACGTACGTACGCCCCCCTTTACAGCATGTTAAGATGCTGACTGGAGCAGCAATGTCAGGACAGATTGCAACAGCAATATAAATGAGGGATCCTATAAACATTGGTGGGCATATATAGACATGGGTGTTGCTTTGCCGTCAAATGGTCCAATGGTAGAGCTGGAGAGAGGTGATGGACCTTCCTCAACAGGTTGATATTGTAGTCCTGGACCATTTTAGCAATATAGGCATCTTGGCAGAGCCATACGGTTTGATCCCATAAAACGCGGATGTTGAGGAACCAACGTATATCACCAAGAACACGCATTTCAAAGCGGGTGCAGAGGTAATAAATCAATTTGCGGAGTAGCTCGCAGCTTTGGTGGTCTTTTCGTGAAAGGATGATAATGTCATCAACATATATAAAAAGAAGTAGGTCCTGATGGGCAAACAGGCATTGGTCTTCCAGGATGGGGGACAGACCATTGTTATGGAATATGCATGAGACGCTCCAACGGAGAATGACAGCCTATGAACGGACGACTGGTGTCACTGATGGAGGTATATCGTTGGTTGGTTACTAGCTACGTGGTGAAAAAGGTCAGCGAGGGCGGACCTATGCGGCAGAATCCCACGTGATCTAACAGTTGGTAATACGGCTCTTTATACGATGCCGTTTGACGACTGGGCTAAGCTCGACAATAAAGGTTGGCGCGCCGCACAATTTCGGGCTGTATTTTCCGACAGTCAGGCCCCCAAATTTAATGCGGCACTCATAAGTACTGATACACGGCCCGACAGATTTTTCTTCTTGGTAATTTCCAAATTCCCATGTTTCCTAATACTCATTTTGTAATCACCGAATATTACCACTAAGATGGCTTTTCTGTGTCACGGCTAGGCTCATGGACATTAGTCATCACATCATAGTCATGTGATATAACACGTGATTTTCAGATAGTTGTCGCCAGTCTCTACAAAGACCAGCGGTTAGCTCTGTACGAAGGCTATACGCATGTTTACCCTTTCATACGACTCCTGTAAAGGGGGGCGTACGTGCGTTGTTCCCTGCGACAGGAACCGGGTTGTGATCGAGGGATCTCAGGAATGGACACACTGAACAATCTAGCAAAACGATATAACGATAAAAGGAAACACAACGACGAAGGAGCCTCGCTCCGCTCTGTACAATGAGCCCTTCCCAACTCGGACCGCAGGCCTCACATTCTGCCAGATTTAGGTGATCAACACCTGATCTTGAAGATGTAAGCACTTAACGCCCCGCAGGTCTCTCACGGAGGTAGGCATGGTAGGCAGCCTAAACATTTAACCGACCCCTACGGTAACCTTCGGGGTCGCGCGTATTGCGCGACCCTGACAACCACCCGAGCACCCCAGCCACCCGAGCACCGATTTTAGAACTTCGTAGAATTCCAACCCATCAACTTTATCATATAATTCAACCACCACCACCATGCCCAAATTCAATAAAAATTATGAAGATCGAATGCTCAAAGCTATTGACGCGTTAAGCACACAAAATCCCCCAAATATCGCCAAAACTGCACGTGAATATGGAGTTAAACGGCAAACCCTCTCCGCAAGGTGGAAGGGACGGTCCAATCTATGTGAACGACCACCAACCAACACCAGATTATCAGAAGAGCAAGAAAAGGCTCTGTGTCACTATGTTGATACTCTAGAGCAATTAAATATAAAGCCACTTGCACAAATGATCCAATCAAGTGCCAATTCTATTCTGAAATCAACCCATACCAGCCTAGACACCCCTCCACCTACTGTCAGCGAGAAATGGTTAAACCGATGGCTAGGAAGGCATCCTGAATATAAAAGACGTCGCTCTAGAGCTATAGAGCTTGACCGCAAGCGTGCAGAGGATCGTGAGGTTATTCAGGAGTGGTTTCAGAAGCTCCATCAGACCATCCAGAACCATGGGATATTAAAGGAGGATATCTACAATTTTGATGAGACTGGCTTCAATATCGGTGTTGGTCGTGATCAATGGATTATTACCAGGGACTTCAATATTAATAAGCCTCATATTGGGATGAATTCAAACCGTGAATATGTTACTGTGGTTGAAGCAGTCAATGCAGATGGCTGGACCTGCCCACCACTTATTCTCATGAGTGGTAGCTGTATACTTACAAATTGGTTTGAAGCTGCTGATATTCAACAAGACTATTCAATTGGAGTATCAGAAAATGGTTATATGACTGATACAATTGCCTTCCAATGGATTCAGTCATTCTATCGGCATACTAAAAGATATAGGAAGGGTCAATATACCCTTCTTATATGTGATGGATACGGCTCCCATCTAACACATGAATTTGTTGAATTCTGTGAGAAGACCAATATCATCACCTTCTTCTTACCTCCACATACAAGTCATTTCTTGCAGCCATTGGATGTTGGTGTTTTTCATGCATATAAGCACTGGCATTCAGAAGCAGTTGCAGATGCAACCTACTCAGGATGCAGTAAATTTACTAAGGTTGAATTCCTTCATGCCTTAGGGGCAATTCGCAAGAAGACATTCAAAAAGCGTACTATTCAGCATGGATTCCAAAAGACTGGCATCATACCATTCAATCCATCAATTGTACTCAATCAAATGCCTCAACCACATCGTCCATCCTCTTCATCCACCAATACCAATGATGTTGATTCCTGGGGCAGTACGCCAAAAAAAGCTGAACGATTTAGGGAGATTGGTGATAGGATATGGGAGATTCATGATATCAACAAGGATCAATTTAATGAGGGCCTAGAGCTGCTTATTCGTGGTGGTAGTATGCTAGCATCATATTCAGCTGCTATCGAAGCTGAGCTTGACCGGTATATTAAAGCTGCTAGGGACCGCGCAGCTCGATCACAGGCCTCTAGGCGCAGGATTCGCAAGGGAGGCATAGTATCAAGCTCAGAGCTTGAAGCTATAAATCGAAATACTGCGAATATTAATGAGCAGGCTGAAATAAAGAGGTGGAGGACTAAGTATAAGCGTTGCCTACCAGAGCTGCTGGATGTATGCATTCGACGAGGAATTATTATACGAAGGCAACGACATGCTAGGGCCCAAGCTGAAGAGTAGAGCTTTAGTTTAAATATATTTTGAAGTTAAATACTATAGAATTCGTTGAGATATTGAAGCTAGAAGGGGGGTCTAAAATTGGTGCTCGGGTGGCTGGGGTGCTCGGGTGGTTGTCAGGGTCGCGCAATACGCGCGACCCCGAAGGTTACCGTAGGGGTCGGTTAATAAATTTTTAAGAAATGATTCACAAATGAATATGAACTCCCGCAGTGTTCCAGGGACTTCGGGACATTCTGCCAGAGAAGAAAATGGACAGCAGAGGGGTAAGAAAGTGATTAAGAATTATTTTTAATTGTTCCAAAAGAAGAAAAAACTATCTGTGCTTACAGGGGCCAGTTGGTGTAAGAAAAATAATATGGAGCTGCATTAAAATTCCATCTGCTGCAATAGGATTATCCATTGTTTGCAACAAATCCACTTTTAGTGCCAGCGCTACCTATATCTTCATACAATAGTAACCAATAATAGCTGTACAGCATAACGTAATATTAATTAGCTAATAATGCCTACCTTACCTGCCAAGCCTCCAGGATTTGGCCTATCTATATTCCGTATAGCAGCCTAGCTGCCATGCAATCTGTATTCCGCGAAAACTGGCCATTACAAGAATACAATATATGCTGGAGGGACCGGGAGGCGCCGTACCGGTGCCCAGATTGTAACCCTAAGCTATCCGTCCCACTCCTTTAGCAGCTTTCTTCAGCCCGTATTGTCTCAGTCGATACCATTTCACACTGCGCGGGCCTCCGTCGGAGCAGATAGATTGATACCTACCGGCAAATTCTTTTCACTCAGGAAGGCCAGTATGTAGCTCCAATATAGTAAGTATCTGCGTCAAAGAATATTAATACACGATGGGTAAGATTCCCCCATAACTACTACATTCCCTCATATGACAAAGAGACTCTCATAATCCCGATGGAATCATAGCTCATTCCGATGCAGAAGCTTGAACCAATTGAAGCTGTATATTACGTGTTCTGAAGGATGAGGTTCTTGGCGCTAAAGCTCAGATTAAGTTTCCGGGTCAGATGCAGCACAGGCGGGGTTTGATCAGTGATTCATCAGCATGCCAGACTCTGTGATTGAGGGGCAGGATACGACTGTATTGTAGCAATGTGTGATTTTCTTCATCAGCATGTAATAATGGCTGATGATGCTAATTATAGGCCACTAATCTTATTCAGTTCCATATAAGGCTCGCGCCCACATTATGGTCGATGTAGAGACCTGCATACAGCTATGGACCTCACCACTTCACCGCCACTTAGCAATGGGCTGCAGCCTCTGTCATGTCTGCGGTGCGCTCAACACAAAGTGCGCTGTAACCGGTTGAATCCTTGTTCACGGTGCAACAAACTGGGTGCGGCCTGTGAGTTCCCCATTCCAAAGACGGAAAGGCGGCGAAGAAAGAACACAGCCAAGACATCAGCCAGGTCCTCCCCCGCCGCAACGTCGACCTCCGCATTAAACGATAAGCTCTTTGCTCGTCTTGCGCTCTACGAGGAAAAGCTCAGGAGCTTGGGCGTGGATGTGGAAGCCATCAACCGCTCCTCTGCTGTGCATCAGTGCCAGCCGCCCACTCCGATCTCTGTCTCCAGCGACCAGTTAGACGTCCAGAGCCAGCGATGTCCCTATGCTGAGACGAGGACAACTCCTCTGCACAAGGTAGCAGCAGCAGCAATCCCAATTGACCCTGCTATTGATGGCGCTGCAGCAGGATGTGAGCATGCAGTGAATAACTCAAGTGCGTTAGCTTTGGGCATACTGCCTGGAACGACGGCGGCTCGCATCGATAACTTTACCCACCACCGCAGCATTTCGCCAAGTTGTGGCCAATATACCTTCAAAATGTCCAACACATCACCATGATTCTCCACCCGGCGTCGGCCGGTGCAATGCTGGCCGAAGCGGCCAGGGACCCTGGTCACGCTTCCGAGGGCGCCACTGTTCTGCTCTTTGCAGTCTTGACTGCAGCCGTCATGTCTATGACAGAGGAAGAATGCGTCCAAACATTCGCGACGAAGCAATCGATCCTCCGCTCCAGATACAGATCCGGCTGCGAGTTGGCCCTAGCACGCGTCGAGTTCCTCGTGTCCTGCAACTTTGCCGTGCTCCAAGCTTACACGGTGTATCTCGTAAGTATAACTGCTTAGCCCCAGGTTGAATCCCCGAACTTTGTTGTCTTTTCTTTTTCTTTTCTTTTCTTTTCTTTTCTTTTCTTTTCTTTTCTTTTCTTTTCTTTTCTTTTTTTTTTTTTTTTTTGGCTGAATTGTCTTTTCTTAGTCCGCAGTGAGCGCAGACCTCGACCCACGAGAGCTATGGAGCCTCACGGGAATCGCCAAACGAAATGCTCAGAGGCTGGGCTTGCACCAAGAAGGAGCTGTCAAGGGTCTCACCTTGTTTGATGTTGAAATGCGACGCAGACTGTGGCACCAGATCGTCATGCACGATGCTATGTCGGCCCAGGCCATGGGCTGGCAATGGCTGGACTCCCACGTTATCGGCAAACTTGAACCACCCACCAACATCAACGATAGCGACTTGTCTCCAACTATGCAGGAACCTGTCAAGCCTCGAGTTGGTGCCACGGACATGATATTCTACAACTTGCGCTACAAGTTGATCCAATTCGTGGGCAGAATCGACGGCTGGTACCGTCGGTGGCTCGCCCCCGGAGAGAATAATCGAGACACTGCTACCGCCATCGATCCAAGTTGCTGCGCCGATATGCAATGTATTATTGAGTCCATGGAGAAAGAAGTCGAGCTGGAAATCCTCCGCTACTGCGACATCCTCAACCCACTGCACCTGTTAACGGCGGGCATCGCTCGGCTGACACTGTGCAAACAGCGCTTCCTCATGCTCAAGGCGTTGTCATCACAGCACGGAGGAGAGTCGTCGTCATGGTCAAGTAGTCAGGCCGCAGATGACGGGGAGAATAACATGCTCTCGACGGCGATCCGCGTGCTGGAATACGAAAACAACCTGATCTGCCAGCCCTCCATCCGTGGGTTCCTCTGGTACATGCAGCAGGAATTCCTGTGGTCGTGTCTCATCTATATCCTCCAATGTCTCAAGGCACAGCCGAGTGGAGAACAGGCTGACAAGGCCTGGGATCAAATCGGCCGGCTGTACGAGCTGCGGCCGAGCTATTACCAGGGTCCGAAGCAGAAGCTTGCCCTTCATATGCATGCCGCGATCCGCATCATGACGCTTGAAGCGTGGCGAGCGAGAGAGATCCATTATACGTCGCAGGGTGAGCAGATGCTGCACACCCCGATCTACATCACCACTCTTCGGGACCAAGAGCAGTGTCTAGCAGTAGGAGGAGGATCAAGATCATCTGAACATCATCACCAAGCGCCGACGACGAGCCTAGAGGCGCCGCCGGCCCCCCTCCCCACTGCCACCACCTTCTCTTCTCACACGCCGAGATCCCAGATGGAAAGTGACCTCTTTTTCTCCAGCAGCAACTTGGGACACGACCTATTAAATTGGTCGGATATGCTGGGCTTGAACCCAGCCGCCAGTGAAGCGAGCGCCTTCGACTTGTTCTCCTCGGGTGGGCCAGTTTTTGGGTCCGAGACGAGCACGTCCACGCAAGGCTTCGACAGCGATGCGGGCCATTTTGGGTTTCCGTCGAGTTGGACTAGACGCCGTGTTTATAGCTAGAAGACGAGGATGAAACCGGGGGGCCGACGAGTATCACGACAGTGATTCCGTGTATCCCCTGACGTCTGAGTTGTGTACAAGTCAATGTATGGTTCAGAGGGGCAAGAATAAAAATTAGAGCCCGATGAAAAGTTGTAATCAAGTACGGTACCCACAAAAAGAAAGAAAAATCGATGATATATTAATATAAAGCTGTCTAGTGTGGAAATAAATGACTAGATTAATTAAAGGTCGTAAAAAGAAATCTATTGGGGAGACAACTATCCTATAGTAGAAGACATCCTTTCTCTCCTTTCCTCCTAAATTCTACGGGAAAAGCTCGAAGTCCGTCTAAGCTGTTCAGATGCATGTCTTAGATGGCGGATATTGCTATATATTACTATACCAGATATCTTATATCCTCAACATTTACGAAGGCTTTTAATTGAAGCCCATATTCTGCATCTCTACCCAGCCCCTTGTACACGCCGCCTTTCCGCATCAGCTCGCCATGTTTGCCCACCTCGACCAACCTCCCTGCGTCTAACACGAAGATCAAATCCGCCTTCTCAATGGTGCGCAGTCAGTGGGCCACGGCAATGGTTGTTCTCGTCCTGGCGGCTTTCTTCAACGCTTCCTGCACGAGTTCTTCGGACCCGGAATCCAGAGCCGCCGTCGCCTCGTCGAGGAGGATTTTGGTGTTGCGGAGAAGCGCCCGCGCAATCGCTATGCGCTGTCTCTGTCCTCCACTCAGCATCATTCCTCGCGAGCCTGTCTCGGTGTCAAATCCCTGCGGGAGTGAAAGGATGAGATCGTAGATATTGGCCGCCTTACAAGCCTGAATAATCTCCTCCTCGAAGACATTGTCCCGCGAACCCAGGACCAGGTTCTCCCAGATAGTCCCCGAGTCCAGCATGGGTTCCTGGCCAGCAAGCGAGATCAGACTGCGATAGCTGCTCACGTTCAGTTGGGAGATGTCCTCCCGCGGCGTCGATGGCACGACTGATTCCCGGTGCATGGGAGAAGATGGCGCCGGCGATCTGGGCGCCCGAGATCAGACTCGCAAAGCAGATGAAGAGCTGGAACATGGTATATTCTCCACTGGAGATTAGGTTCCCTCCGTACCAGAATGCCAAGGCCGCACACAGGAAGACGATGGATTGCGAAGCGGCATACATGGCCGACGCCTGCAGGATGGACCGGACGGCCTTGTCCGACTGCCGCGAGAGGATCTCATTGTAGTGGTTCAGCATGCGAGCCTCCATGTTCAGTGAGGGCCAGCTTCAACCCCATTCCCAGGGACAGGACGATGCCTCCGAGGATCGTGGCGAGAAAGGTCAGGAGAGCCCCCAGCACTGATCCGCTGAGTCCGTTCAGATCACTGGGCGCGGAGGATAGGAGGGAGGTTAGGGTCCCAATCGAGTTCTCCTTGGCATCAAAGAAGGCCACCTCCTGGCGCAGAAGGTAGCGGAGAGCCCGCTGTCGTGTTCGATGCGTGAGCTTCTCGGCCGCGTAGGCGAAGCCCACGCCTTGGCCCAAATAGGCGGCGAACATGCCTAGCCCTATTACAAGGTACATCAACGCCCAAAAGTCCACTCGGTCCCGCATCAAGCTGTTGGGAGACAAGTGCAAAGAGTTGAGAAGGCTTGCAAAGATCACGGATTGACTGATTGTCATCACCGTTAGCTTCACGACCTTGGGGAGAAGAATAATGTGAAGCAAATGCATTCATGCACACTCACGCGGGAATCCCAAGGCCGGCAAGCGTGGCTGCCACAGTCGCGACAAGGATAGTGGCAAGCTCCGGGCGACTAAGCTTGCAAATCCGGTTTAATGCTGAGGACAGATTGTGCCATGAAAAAGGCGACTTCTTCACGAGTTCCGACGGATGATGAGCAGCGGAAGCCTCCTTTGCTGCTTGGGTGAAATACCCTTTTTCGGCTTCGTCGTCGCCTGACTGGCTGAGATCGTAGACACCGACCTTTTCAGCGGAGAGGAAGGATTTACTACCGGCTTCCGCGCTGTTGATTTCAGCTGCAAACTTCTCACCAGCCTCCTGGTGGTGGGAGGTGCGCTGCTTCTCCACGAGCTCTGAGTAATGTCCCCGTTGGAAGACGCTCTTGGCAACTTTACTCCCTGGTAGGCCATTCACCTGACGGTCTAAAACTTCGTCTCGATGTATTCCGGGGTCTACCATGGTGTTGTTGCCCTAACGTACCAAGCCAGCCACGACTGAAGGTGATCCTGATGATGCACGTCGCAAGCCGGGCAGGCAGACAGTCAGTCAGTCGACTGATTCAGCAAAGCTCAGATGGTACATGTCCTTAACGCCTCTTCCTCTTCCCAGTTCCCGTCCAAGATCGGGGGCTCGGGGTCGGACACCAGCTCGGGCAGTGGTAGAGGGATCGGAGACTCCGAGCCCTGAACTTGAGACACCGCCTGCTTGTTCTGTAGTATACATAGTATACATACATATGGGCTGCCAAATGCATCGAGGCTGATGAAAGCTGTTTGTGTCTCTCTCTACGTCCCAGAAAACAAGCCAGTTTGGTCGCCATGGCTTCCTTCGAAGGTTTCCAGGCGACCGCTGTCTTGCTCATTATTGTTTCTCTCCTGCTTCATGTTCTTGCGAAATCTCATCAGCGAGATGGCCGTCGGTCAGCAACTTGCTGCAGCTCCAGCGAGGTGGCGGCAGAGGTTGAAAGATTAGCGAAGCAAGGAAAAGCAGCAGAGGTTTCGATTGGAAAGTAAATGCTTCTAGTAGTAAGAGTTGGTTGAAACCGACATTGAAAGACAGTCCCGCAAGGTAGTTCTATTGCTCCTTAAAGTGAACAGTTCTACCGTATATCTTTATAGTTTGCAAGGAGCCATTTCCATAGTCGGCCATGACTTTTGTAAATAAGCTATCCAAGGCATATATACACTTCCACTGCTAGTTCTTTTTTTAGATGGGTCCAAGTAAAAAAAGTCGAATCTAGAATTGTTTTGGCATTAGGCTCCGCGCCCCCTTGCGAATAAGCATATCTGCGACTGAGACACCGAGTTGTTCCGCTTCTTCGTCGCACTGGACCGTGGCCACATCCTCAGCAACAATCTCCGACGTTCCTTCTATGTTGACCACGGTGGCTCGCAAGCTAAGGCTGCCGCCGCCGCCGCTACCGTCACGGCCTCGTTGTGTCTCTTCTGTCGATCCGTTTTCTTCTTTCAGGGGCTCCAGAGAAGACCACACGCCGATTGGGGACGAGCATCCTCCCTGGAGGCTTCGAAGCATCGCTCTCTCCGCCAACCCGCGCCATCTCGACGGCTTATGGTCGACATGACGGACCAGCTCGAGCATGTCTGGACGGTCCGTGCTAACCTCGATCCCGAGGGCGCCCTGACCTACTGCATAAGGGAATATACTAGGATCAAGCTGATGCGTAATCCGATGGCCGAGTCCCAGGCGTAATAGGCCCGCGGTCGCCAAGAGAATGCATGAAAACGGGGAAGAAGGCGCGTCAAGCTTAGCAAGACGAGTATCGCTAATATATACAACGGTACTTTATTAGAATCAAGAATCAAGCTTTTTGCGCCGAGATTGCAGTGAGTAGTAGCAAGAACCGAAAAAAAAAAAAAAAAAAAAAAAAAGAGCCAATCACTCACAGATTGCCGCGACATTCCATAACCTCCAAATGAGGCCAATTGCGCCGAATCAGTGCTTTCCTCCTGGAAGAGCTCGTTCCCACCACGGAACCAGCGGGTAATTGATCGATGGACGTGAACTTCGAGTCGGGCCTCATACAGACGGCATCAAGACAGTTCTCACGCTCCGGGATAGCTCCCAGGAGACAATGCGGTGGCAGCGTGGTCGGCATGTCCTTCAAACAGTGGACCAGACAGTGGACCTTGCCGGCCACCAAGTCCACTTCCAGGCCATTTGTCCACAGGCTTTTACCAATATCCGAGCCGCCTGCCAGCTTGGAGAGGACCGCGAAGGGCGCCTGCTTATCGGCATCGCCAACGACACTGCCAGTGGCAATTTGAAAGTTGGGAGAGGGGTCGAGCGTTTGGCCCAGCTGGGATGCGATAGAACGAGTCTGAACGAGGGCGAGCTCCGATTTACGGCAGCCAATAATAACAGCCTCTTGTTCTTCTTCTTCTGACTTGTGCTGCGGCTTAGAGCAGCTATTCATGTCAAGGCTCATGGTGGGCGAAAGAAATGCCGCGGGAGGGGTTGCTGCGTTCTGGCAATGTCGGAAACGGCAAAATCTGTTTCAACGGGGTCTTTGTGGCTGCAGATAAGACTGGCTATGATCCCACTAGTGCCAGCCTATGCTGTATGCAGTTATACATATGTCTCTAAGCTCTAACTAGCCAATTAACCCTTACTCATCTCTGATCCGTGGATGCACGTGATTTGAGACTACGTGACGACTGCGATTACCAAAGCAATCCCGTCAGTGGCTCTAATGAGTGTATTGAGTCGTTGGCTGGCTCTGGAGCTCTGGAGTAGCAACTAGCTAACTAGTGTTGGCGGGTCAAACTCGCTGAGTAGGTCGATCTAGCTGGTTCATCGAGCTGGTTGATCTAGCTAGGAGTTAACTAGTTGTCTACGATATGCTAACTAGGATGGAGAACCATGGGAACCACCAACAGCTAAGCGTACTAGGAGCACGTGACCTCTGAGTCGACACGCATACACAGCTTTTCGTGTGCGTGATCCGGAAAGGAGAGACAAATCTTCATCGTGGAACAGTACTCGTCTATATGGCCTATATGATCGAATACCGGAACTCCTTCCGAACGGTTTCGCCAATCTCGAGTGCGTGCGCCCGAGATGTCCTGGAAAAGACGTTGATGTGGGCTATCCATGTATTCCGCCCCTCGCTGGGGTCGGGGACGCGCTGCCCCTTGGTCCAAAATGTACACCACCAGGAGACATGGGCCCGAAGATCCGGCCGTCGGCTGAAGAGCTCGAGACAGGGATCGTCGGATTGGCAGATGCCACCCTTGACGACCGGAAGAAACACCATCTGGCACCAGTACTGGGATCCGCGCGCAAACGGATGTGAAAGCTGACGGACTCGCTGGCGGTCTTGAAGAGGGAAGAGGAGGGCAAGGCCCCAGTAGTCCACTCCGTATGTGTGCTTGATGGCGTCTGCAGCCTGGATGCCGGGCGGACGGGGGTTGATCTCCAGCAACCAGGCCGAGGGCTGCCTTTCCGTTTTGGCAGGAACGGGACGCTGCGTCAGGTCCAGCACGTTGTCCTGGATGGTGTATTCCACGCTCGAGTTCTGCACGCGCGCTTCGAGGTGGTAAATGCCGTCCGGCAGGCCTTCTCGAAGTAAACTTTGATGGAGAGAATCCCGGATCACAGCCGTCTCCTTGGCCGGGAGCCCAGACGGCAGGACGTTCCCCAGCTCCAGAAAGGTGCCGAGACTACTTCCGGTCTCTTGGGCATTGACGTCGGCGCCCTTGGGGAACTCGTCGGACGCTTCGAAGAACAACAATTCCCCGTCGCAAAGCACAAAGTTGGCGTCCACTTCTGGCCCGTCGCAGTACTTCTCAATCACGAACTCCAGGCCGTGTCTCTCGGTATCGGTGGCTTGCATGCCGGCCTCGATCTGTTCCAGGTTCTCGACTCTGTATACCCCTTCCGATTGGAATCCCATGAGGGAGGGCTTGATGATGAGCGGGAACTCGAGGTGGTTCTCCCGTACAATGCGGGCGGCCTGCTCAAAGGTCGACGCCCGATGCGTCGGGCGACCTTCGGAGACGCTTAACTTGAACTTGTTGGTGATATTGTCGAAGATCTCGGGCGAGTACGTCGGCAACCCCAGTTCCATGGCGGCCGCGGCAATCGGGACTTTGTAGTGGTCGCAGAAGGTCACGAGCCCGTCGAGATGGCCGCCCCAGGCGCGGATGGCGTCGACGACTCGCGCGGTGAAAACGTGGTCGGATTGCTCCGTACACTCCACGGGGATGAACTTTTTGCACCAGTGGCCCCAGCGAGGCCCGTCCAACCAATGTCCCGGATTGTCAAGCACGATCATATCGATTCCCAAAGCTTCCGCCGCCTTGTACACTGTCTCTCCGTTTCCTCCGCGACCCGGCGGACGACGGCCACCTTCCACGAGGGCCAAGGTTTTACGCTTCGGTTCCTGCATGGAAAGCCAAGGAAATGACAGTCGATCGCGCAGTTCAACATCAAGATCCGCTAGCAGCGAGGCGAGCGCGCGTGGACTCGTGGAACCGACCGTCCTTAAGAGCATGCCACCGGCGGACGAGGAAAAAGCCTTGGGAAGGTCTTGCAACGTTTCGATGTCGCAAGACCGCCCATCAAAGTACTGTAAGGGTTTCGCAAGAGCCAGGGCGGTAGTCACCAGGGGACAGTCGAGAAGACGTAAAGGGACGATGTCAGACCGTGCAATGTACCCGCGAGTTTGTGGTAAGATCAACCGAACCACACTCTGGCCTGCTCTAGCAGCCTCGGAAAGACCGTCGAGCACAAGCCGAAACCCGTCTGCTGTTCCAAAATGTTGGGGATCGACCGTTTGCTGCTGCTGGGCATCTGGCCCCTCGAAAACAACGCAGGTTTCCGCATTCGCAGGCCAGGAAAACGAAGAGGACGCAGTGATCTTTTGGAAAACGAGATCGATTGAATGCCAGGAAATGGCATTTGATGCCACGCTGACAGTATTATTCACCTGGTGTCCACATTGGAATCGCGCTGCAAGGTTACGTCGTGTTAGCGCCGTTTATTGTGCACATTGCATAAGGAAAGAGAACTTGCCTTCCGAGCCATCTTGCCCTTTTACAGCAATTATGCCCAGCGTCCCTGTGACAGCAAGCGTGGATTCTTGCATGACGAGTATCCCTTGCAGTGAAATGACAGTAGTAGAGATGGACCGATCACGATGTACTGTACTCCACCTATTTATTTAATTGGGACTTTTCCCTTGTAGCTATCCGCTGATTCACTACGTCAAGGTCGGACTTTCCGATGCTTGCCATGTTCCCCGAATTAACCCTAAGCAACCTCACCTCGGACAGTCCGATACAAGGAGAGGCTCTGTTCATCTTCGACGAGGTCTCTAAATGTCTTATCTAAGCAATATGTAGAAAGCTGAAATTGTCCCACCATCCTAGAAGACGAGCCATTCCGGCTAACACAACAGCCAGCATCTTGGAGTTGCTCTTCCGTCAATAGCAAGCACATCATGTCTTCAGCGGGAGCTTGGGCGAAGGCGCTGAGGGACATCGACTCTTGCTACTTTCCAAGCCTAGTCCATGAACCTGCTGCGTCATCCACGGCGGAGAACCTTTCTACCTCGCTGACGCTGCCCGCAATCCCAAGGCCCGGATTAGCTACGGGGGAGCTGCTGACGGAGGATGAGGTGTGCAAACTTGCCTTTGTGCTGCTGCTCAAGGCCTATATCCTGGCTGACGCCGTGTCCTGCGGCTTTGTGCGTCGTGGTTCCCCGACGACGTCGACGACCGTCCATAATATCCTCCAGGCCGACTAGGATGCCGATGCCATTCTCTTTGACAACAGTAGAAGCACGCGTCGACAATCCCGCTGGATGAGCCGCAAGACATGCACCAGGTGGAGGAGCCGGGTATAGCAGGCCCTTTAATACCACGCTTTGTCTCATCACACAGCAGCAGCAGTATGAGACAGACCAGCAGCGGCTTTCGGACGATGACTTGGATTCCGAGCTCATTTTGCGCATTGAGCAACGCTCTCCGGCGATGACCACCACCAAGCCAAGAAGATTACCCTGAGCTACAAGACCGAATTCCTGGACCAGTGGTACGCACAGAACATCCTTGCGACCTTTGAAACCATTCTGCAAACCATGGCAGCCGACATTACCCGCCTGCTGAAGAGCGTCAACCTGATCAGCCCTCGGGACCTGCAGACGATCCATTCCTGGACCGCCACAGTGCCGACTTATGTCTATCAGACGTTGAACGAGCAATTTGAAGGGACGTTCAGCGAAAATGCCGAGCAAGAAGTTGTCTTCACCTCCGCAGGGTCGATGACATACCGAGAATTGGATGACCCGAGCACCATTCTGGCGGTGCGTCTCATGAAGCTGGGAGTCAAGCCCAACACACCGTGGTGCCCAACTTCATGAGGAAGAGCCGATGATCCGTCTGCACGATTGCCACGGTCTGGAAAGCCGGCGGTGCCATCGCGACAATGGATCCCGTGTATCCCAATGAACGTCTCTTCGCGATCACCAATGAATTTGAGGCGAAGGTCATCATCAGCGACCCAGGGCAGCGGCCGAGGTTCGTGAAGCAGCCACGTCCACGTCGTCGACGACGTAACTGAACTTCCCCATCTCCTCGAAACTAACGGCCTCCCCGTCTCCCGAGCTGAGGCGTGGAAGATGAGTGGCGTCAAGTCCAGGGACCTGGCTGTGGTGGTATTCACGAGTGGGAGCAGTGGCAAGCACAAGGGGGTCTTGCACACTCACGATCACTTGGCCTCGGAACATTTGTCTTACAGCTGGAACGTCGAGTATACTAATGGATCCAGGTTGCAATTTGCGTCTTATGCCTACATTGCTTCAGCTGGGTAGGGTTTGCTTGTTTATGAAGCCACACACATACACACACCTAGCTACCCCTTAATTAAGGTGCCGAAATCCCTATTTCCCAGAGACTCAGCGTGTGTTTTCCCATGGTGCGACTTTATGCGTCCACTGTCTGCGATTCCACGGCATCAACTCAGCCACCATCGTCAAGGCGGCCTAGGCTCTGACCATCTCCGCCCTGTCCGGTTCCACTGATATCGTCTTCAGCGATTTTATTTCTGGGCGTCAGGTTCCGATTCCCAAGATATATGCCCCATCCGAGATAGGGCAGGTGAGACCTTCCAACAGTGGGCTGATACATGCCCTCCACTTTCCATGTTCCTCTTCACTGACGGCAGCCGTTTAAGGAACTCCAATGCTGTGGCTGGGGCTGGATGGTATAGACATTGGGGAGCTTGGAAGCAGGAGGCAACCCACGGCAATCTCTGCCTCCCCAGGCATGAAGTCTTTGATGCAGAGGCCACTGCAGCATATGAAGGGCTAAAGGCTGCCTGTAATAGTGCCCAGGCTCCCTATACACAGAATCTATATGTCCTCCTAGACAACCATAAAGTGGCACGCCAGTTACAGGGCTTCCCCAGAGGCTCCAGTCAACACACCATCCTGGCCTTTCAAGAACTTGCAAACGCCTGGCCCACCTGGTCCTCACGATGTCAAGCCATTCAACACGGACAAGTCCATGTCCACTGAACCCCGGTCATGCTGGAATCACAGGGAATGAGCTGGCTGACGAACAAGCAAAGAAAGGGGCCGGACTGACCCCACAAACCAATGCCCCTCTGGCAAGGTATGCCTGGGCTCACCGGACACTGAAGGAGGAATTCTGGCAGCGTTTCCAATCATACTGGGCTGAGAATGCGCCACGGCAATACCGAGACCTCTCCATCGACCTGGATAAACGACCCCATGAACTATCCCTCCCCAGAGCTACCCTCAGCCGACTCTTTGCTGCCCGGTCTGGCCACGGAGACTTCGCCCACTATCATGAACGCTTTGGGCATGAAGACGCCAAGTTGGAGTGCCCCTGTGGATGCCCAAAGACCCCCCACCACTTCTACTACTGTCGAAAAGGTCACAAGGCCTCCCCTCAGCCATGGGGCTACCGGCAGGTGGATGAGATTCTGCGCTCTAAGTCAGGAACAAGGGATCTCCATGAATGGCTGCAGAGGTCTCACTTCTACCAAATGATATGCCCAGCACACTGACCACCGACCTCAAAACCCAAAAAAAAAAATCTGTCCTCCCCTTTTCATTTGTTATATCTCCATCCCCCCCCCACGCAGAATGTGTGTCGCCGCTCTGGCCCAGGAATCCTAGGCAAACTGGAGTTTTTGCCAGCATGTATGATAGAATTAGCTTAGCTACCAGATAGGCAGTTTCCGCTCTGCCCGTCGTATATTCCGTTCCGGGATCCCCGCGGGCACGTGATTAGCGCGTGTCCCACACCGACGTTAAATATCACTACTACTACTACTACTTCTTTATTTTTTATATACAACACTCGCATAGGACAGACCCTCCACACGACTATACATTGTTTATCACTATTTATACCATCTACACTGATCGCTCTTCCCCTTTAGACATGGAGGTAGACGATCCTCCTGCGGACGAAGCTCGCCCAGGGACTCCGCGCCTGTTCGAAAACTCTGATCCGTTATCAGGACCTCCCACCCCTACCCCCCTCCCCCGCATCTCCCTGAAAAGGAGGGCGCCACCCTCCCCTATAGGATGCCTACGGCGATAATAGCTCCTATATCCAACACGCAGGCTGCTGGATCAATTTGCCAGCAGGCTACCGCAGCTGCAAACGACCAGCTCCTGCTCCTAGGTGACTGGAAGCTGGCGCTAACCTCCCTTGCAGAGGCACTTGAGACAACTGTCTCCTCTCTACAGGGCCGTCCCAAAGAGCTCGCTCGAGGGCTTGTAGCTAGGTTTATTACTCTGGCAAACCTCAACACCCCACAGCAAGGGGCAAAGCCTGACATAGCACCCCCCCCAGATGGCGCAGGCATATCAAGCTAAAAAGACCTTACAGACCTCAACCTGGGCCTCAGTTGCCGCCCTAAAAGCTAGCCAGGACAACTGGCAATCTGATACTCAAGAACATAGCGTGCAAGCCTCTCGGCAGCAGACACAAAAGCCAGCCCAGCAGGAAAGCAAAACTGACTCCCGTATCTTTCTCCGGCTGCCGGCCTCCTCCAGCCTACGAGCTATTGGGCCGCATGGCATCCGGGTCACCCTAGCGGAAAAAATTCCTGGTGGAATCGCACGAGTGCAGGCCGTGGCTACAGGATATGCAATCTCAGCCACGGAAGAAGGTAGGGCTTTCCTACTCTCCCCACAGGCAAGCGGGCTAGCAGGAGACGGCAACTTTGAGGCCGCAACGGGTTTCCATCAGGTAGTAGTCCCTAGGATCCCTCAGCAGCTCTGGACCCGAGAGGGATGGGCACCCACCACAATCAGGGATATCAGTACAGAAGCAGAGCGCATAACTGGTATGAAGCCACTTATGACTAAGCTCTCTAAGCACCCTGTAGAGGAGGGCTCTATCACGGCAGTCATAGCCTTTCCAAAGAAGCCACAACGTGCCTTGCAACTCTTTGGCTCCTCTGGCCTATCACGGCCTACCCGCCCTAAGAAAAGACCACTACAGTGTACCCGCTGCCACCGCTTCCATGATACACGAGCCTGCCGCTCTAGTGAGCGCTGCATCTCCTGTGGATCCTCTAAACAGGAGCATACCTGCCGCATGCAGTGTGTGAACTGCTGCGGTCCACATGCAGCAGACTACCAAAAGTGCCCTGCTAGACCATATACACAAAAGGGTTCTATTATCCGCCTTGCAAAGGACACCTTGGCTGCTGTTCGTAAGGCTGGCCGACTTGCCTTTCAACAGCAACTAGCTAAGTCAGCCTCTAGCCACCAAGCTAGCAGTCCACACACCCCCCACCAGTCCTCAAGCCAGCTTGCCCAGGAGCTTGCAAATCAAACCCTCCCATCACCAGAACTATGAAGATATTGCAGGCTAATGTTGGAAGGGGCAGCCCTGCCCATGACCTACTGCTAACATTTGAGGCGGACATTATCCTAGTCCAGGAGCCCTGGACGGACATGGCAAAACAACTCACAAAAACACACCCACGATACCAGCTCTTCAGCCCTGCCACTCGGTGGGAAACTAGGCCTAGAGCTTTGATATATGTTCGCCGGGATCTTCCAGCATTCTCTCTCCCTCAGCCTATCTCACCAGATATCGCAGCTATCTGTACAGCTGGCCTAACCATCATAAACATCTACCGCCCCCAAATGACCCCGTTGTGCCAGCGGGATCTGGTTCAACCCTATCTACCCTACACACCCTATTGCAATTCTCCCCTCCGCAGAACACTATTATCGCGGGGGACTTTAATACCCACCACCCCCTCTGGCAACCGGGGACAAAACCGCATCAAGTAACAGCAGGCGCAACAGCACTTATAGAGTGGCTAGAAGCCCATGAACTAGTGCTCTGTATGGAGCCAGGCACTCCTACTCGTGGGCCAAACACCCTCGACCTGGTCTTCTCCAACATGTTGATAGAGGCAGTAGTTGAAGACTACCTTAATACCTCAAGTGATCATGCGACCATTCTGATTACAACAGACTGGTCGGAGCCTATCTCCCGTCCAAGGATGGGCTCTACAGACTGGGAGAAGGCTAGATCTCTGCTAACCCCCCCACCTGCGCACCTCCCCATCAATACCCTAGCAGAAGAACTAGTTGATAATGTACAGCTAGCCATCCGTGGTGCATCAAAACATAACTCTCGCAAGCTCCCACGCACCCCTTGGTGGACACCGGAGCTCACAGACCTACTCCACCAAACACGACAGCAGCAAAACCCAGACTACCTACCACTCCGGAAGGCAATATCCTGCGCAAAGGCTAATTACTGGAAGAGGCGAATTGAGCAAGCAGCGTCTCCCACAGATGCCTTCCTACTTGCTAAATGGCATAAGCGCTCAGATCAGCTCGCGGCACCCCCTCTAAACATCCAAGGAAATCAGGTTAGCACTCCACAAGATAAAGCGGATGCTTTTCTTTCACATTTACTGGAGAAGGGAGCCTCCCTTCCAGATCAACTAGAGGAGGGCCCTCCAGCAAAACCTCTGGATTCACTAGGGTTGCCAACTAAGGAGGACTGCTGGACTGCCCTTTGTGCCCCTGCCCCATCCGCCCCAGGTAGGGATGGGCTTGCTACCACAGTTTGGAGAGAGCTCTGGCCTGCTCTAGGCGACACAATCACACTTCTATATTGCCGCTGCTTAGAGGAAGGCCGCTTCCCACAGTGTTTGAAGTCTGCAAAGGTGGTAATGATACCAAAGCCAGGAAAAAGGGACCTCACACAGCTCGGCTCCTGGCGACCCATCAGCCTACTCTCCACCTTAGGAAAAGGCCTAGAGCGCTTTCTGGCGCGGCGCATAGCTGCACGAGCAATCCAGGTAGGGCTACTGGCCCCCTGCCATTTTGGTGCTCTTCCTGGCCGCTCTGCGATTGATCTTGTCCAGATCCTGGTCCACAGGATAGAGAAGGCCTTTGGAAGGAAGATGGTGGCTTCACTACTATTACTGGACGTAAAGGGGGCCTTTGATGCGGTAATCCATCAGCGGCTTCTCTCACACCTACGCCTGCAGGGATGGGACGAAGGCCTAATCCGGTTAATCCAAGATTGGCTGACCGGCCGCACTGCCTCAGTCCATATTAGAGAGGCTATTGCAACAGCCCTAATCAAGGGTGGTCTCCCCCAGGGATCCCCTCTATCCCCAATTCTCTTCCTGCTATACGCGGCAATGGTAGTTTCCACCCGTAAGGGCTCTTTCTGCTATGCAGACGACCTGGGACTGCTATTCATCGGGAACAACCTGGAAGAGACCTCATGGCAACTAGTGGAAGCCTATAAATCAATCACGGCACTTGGGGCTGCATCAGGCCTTCCTTTCTCCTTTGAGAAGACAGAAATACAGCATTTCTCTAGGCAGCGGAGGCAGTCTATCCCCACAGTCTTTCTACCAGGCGTAGGCGAGATCAAACCATCTCCATACACCCGATGGTTAGGGGTCCTGCTCGACACTAAGCTCACCTTCAGGTCGCACATTAATTGGACCTTCAGCCGCGGCAAGCAGCTCGCTCAACATCTCCGGAGGCTTAGCAATACCCAGCGTGGGTGCCCAGTAGCCTCTATGCGTGCAGTGGTCATGCAGTGCGTCCTGCCAACAGCTCTCTATGGCGCAGAAGTCTTCTATACTGGCTACAGGCAACAAGGGGTTATCAGCTCCCTTCAATCCCTGCTCCGCCTGGCCGCCCTGGCCATTCTTCCGGCATATAAAACAACCCCTACTACAGTACTCCTCCGGGAGGCAGACCTACCTGACCCTGAAGCCCTGCTCAACGGTACCCTCCAGAAGGCGGCAATCAGATATGCAAGCCTTGACGCGAAGCACCCGATTGCTCGCATAACTACCACTACAGCCCAGAGCTGTAAGAACAGGACCAGACTTACCAGGATCCTCCAACTTGTCCCTGGACCAGCGCCGGAACGCTTGCATATAGAACCACCCCTCCCACCACTGCGCATGCTCCCCACTGACCGGGGTAAGCACCTTCCTTCCCCATTGGAAGTAACAGTCTATTCAGATGGCTCCTGTACAGACCAGGGTGCTGGGTACGGCTATGCAATATACTATGGCCCTATCCTGCTTACCCAGGGATTCGGCCCTGCCGGCGCGCGGACAGAGGTTTATGACGCAGAAATTATGGGTGCAGTAGAAGGGCTCCGTGCTGCAGTTAGCCAAGACTGCACCAAGTTCGCTACCCAAATCAACATCCTCCTTGATAATCTAGCCGCAGCCAGCCTGCTAGCAGATGGCAGGCCAGCCCCCCATAGACAAAGACTTACTGATACTTTCCACCAACTCTCCGCTCAGTGGGACAGCTTGCCTTCACTTTTATCTCTACCTCGCAAACCTGTAAGGGTCTGTTGGGTTCCAGGCCACTCTGGGGTCACAGGGAATGAGCTCGCAGATAAGCTGGCAAAGAAGGGAGCTTCATTAGCCAGTCCTGATATCCCCCCTTCTCCCTCATTCCTCAGACGGGAGGCAAAACAGCGGATCCGCGCAGATACACGCGCGGCATATTTTAGAGGCGCACCTCAGGCCTATTGTGACCTGGGCATCAGACCTCATACAAAAAGCAGTCGTGACCAAGAACATAAGCTCCCCCGCTGGGTCCTGGGCAGGCTCATAGCCGCCCGTACAGGTCACGGGGATTTTGCAGCATATCATGAAAGATTTCAACATGCAGACTACCTGGCAACCTGCTCCTGCAAGAGACAGAAGTCCCCTGTCCATTTCTTCTTCTGCCCACCCACCAGGAAGCGCTGGAAGGATAGATGGAAATGCAAGAGAGGCAGCCCATCAAGTACAATTGACTGGCTACTAGGTACAGCTGCTGGGGCAGAAGAGTTCAGCCGCATCATGCAAGATTCATCCTTTTTCAAGGATATATACCCAAACTGGGCCCGCTCAAGCACTGAATAGTGCAACAGTCTACGCTTCTACCTGGACGAACGGGAAAGGCACCCCTGCTCGACTGAAGGTAGCCAAAGCAGGTTCCTCACCTTTAGAAGTCCAGGCCAGGGTAGCGCCTGGTGCTTCTTCCACTCTTTTCCAACACATAGTGTCAGCTTTGTTGCTTCAAGCATGTATTTATTTTAGTGAGTCTTTGCTTAGGTAGCACGTCCGGATGCCCCTTGGGAGGCCGCGGGTCACGTGTGCCACGTGATCCGCCGAGTGACGTTAAATAGTAGTCAAATCAAAATTGACCAACCCCTGAATTTGCCTTGGATGGGAGGTTGGTGATGCAAAAGCCCCAAAAACAAAGTTGAAGAAGGATGATGATTCTTTCCAAAACCTCACCTGGGAAGCTACATTTTGCTTCGAATGCTGAAAATATAATTCTTTTTGTTTGGAACTAATGGTACGGTGCATGTTGATAATTGAAGGTTCAGGAAGCCACACAGAGACCTGGCCTCGATATATCACCGCACACGATGCCAGGAGGTAGGCCCCGAATCTACGAAACTGAGGAGGATAGGATCAGAGCACGTAATGAACGTCGGCGTAATCGCCGTCAGGGACATCCTTCTGCTTCCAGTGCAGAAGCTCCATTTCACAATATATTTGTCACCCATGAGCACGCGGGTGGTACTCAGGCTCCAGACGGCAATGCTGATATCTTCACTGATCTCGCCAACACTCTGAACAATCTTTCTGTGGAGGAGTATCCTTGTGAAGAAGAGGCACCACAGCTTAGTACACTGGATTTTGTTGCCGTGGATGAAGATGAGGAGGAAAATGAAATCAACAGGCGCAGGTCTTCATTGGACAGCGATGGGAAAGGTACTAAACCTGAGACCACATACATAGTCCAGGGTGCACAGGACGCTAACTTACCATGGAGACACAGACCTTGCCATGGGGGATGACTCTCCACCCCCTTCAGGGTTGCCATCCCCACAACCAATGGACCTAGTCATTGATGATGCCACCCAACTGCTAGCGGAACGCCTTGCAGAGCAACTCCTTGGACACCACGGCTGTCTGGAGCATGTCACACATCCTCCATCCAATGCCAACACCATTTCTCTCTCCGAGCTGATCGGCACGGATCTCCCAGATGTTCTGTCCCACCCCAAGATTCGACCGCATCCAGCCGACTGGGAGAACCGTCTCCCGGTAGTGGCACGACGCCAGCTCTTTACCGGCATCCGCCAACGGCGCGCTGGAAGCCCCCCTCCGTTGACAACCTCTGACGGCTCCTCTCCCATGGAGAGTCCTCCACCCGCGATGGAGGATCTGCCTCCTCCCCGGATTGATCTTGAATCTGATACGGTCCCAGCCCGGCAATTGCCCCTCGCCATCACCTTTGATGTTGACAGTGCCGGTGGCTTTGCCACGAGTCTGAGCGTGGCCCGACAAGGGCTGGACTGGCTTGTTATCCGACCGCCTGTCAGCAACCTGGCCAGCTCGCTGCATCTCCCACCTGTTCCGGTTGGGTTCTACGACCCCAATGGGGAACGATGGCGATCCGCTCGAGCTCCGATTCATCACGTCCCTCATCTCCCCTTGGGGCGGCTCCATGGCTTTGAGGCTGTTGAGGTGTATCTTCTGTTCCCCGGTTGTTCCATCCGTCCCTGCAGCACTGGGTCATCACAGATGAGCAGTGGACCACATGGACAGATGAAGTGGTCATGCCCGCGATCTATGACACTCTCCCATCGGAGCTGATCCAACACTTCACCGCGGGTGCGCGGACGCGCAGACCCGGGCCACGGCCGCCTCGGTGGAGCTCACCACGCAGGGGAGGGACGGGCCCCGGATGCAACTGCTGCATCACTTCATCCAGCCGCAGTACTTGGCCCAGCTTTGGGACCGGATTGGCTTTTATATCAAGCAGCGTGGCCATACTGAATTTGAGGGGTGCCGCATCTTCATCACTGCCAAGAACCTGAAGACCAAGTCTCAGGACCCTGACTGGCAACAGGCACAGGAGAAGTTCTTCTCCACCTGGGATCAGGTGGTCAATCGGTCCTTCCTAGTCGAGGACTTCTACGATGTGGGCAAAGAGGTCACCCCTCCTGATCGTAGCTTTTCCTTCCGGCAGGCGTCTGAGGTGGCGCGGCAGCCCCTGACGCTGACCTGGCGTCGATGCTGCTTGGAGAGCTTCCGTTGCTGGCTACATGATGTGGCCCGCGAGCTGGGAGAGGGGCATGAGACCGCATCTGCTACGGAGGAAGATGGACCAGGCAATCCCACTCCAACCACCCGACAACTGCGACCACGACGCCAGCCGCCACCAACTGTCCTGGTAGAGATTCCGGCCCAGCCTGACGTGGAGATGGAGGTGGATGACCATGGCTCGGATCCCAGTGTGGCTTCACCACACTCCTCCTCCTCTTCTTCGTCTTCTTCGTCTTCCCCCACGGTTGCGGCGCCACCTTGTTGGCAGGAGGAATACTACCCGCTGTCCCTCACCCAGGACCTGGGTAGTCTCACGATTCAACCACACCTGGGCCGACGTTCCGCCCTTCGCCGGCATGGCTTGCTCTATATCCAGCTTTATAACACGTCCAAGGGGATCTTTGCTGCTGGCAATACCTACCCCTTTGCCAACCATGCCCTGGACACACTGGCGCTGGATCCGGGCCTGGTTCGAGCATGGCAGCACATCGGGCAGGCTCTGAGTCACTCACCACAGGCGATCCTCCGCGCATACCTTCATGCCAAGGTCCGGTGTCATACGGCACTGACGTCGTGCCGCAACCATTCCTATGGGACGCGTGAGGAATATCGTGTCAGTGGTCCTCTGCTGCATTCCATCCACCAGGTGATGAGCCGGCGAGCCCATCCGCGGGCCATCATGCCTCAGCACGCCACCGTCCCCTTTTTCATTCATCCCACGGCCCTCTTTCTGGACTGGATCCGGTGGAATATGAACCGGCTCTGTCTGGGGTTTGAGCTCGTGTACACGCTGCAGTCTCACACGGTGGTGCACTGGGAGCATACTCGGGTGATGATGATGTTTCTCCGTGCATTGACGTACACCTATGGGGGCCAGGGCCATCATCTCCGACACAGCAATGGTCTGTGGCTGGACTGCCGGGTTGACCCTGGCGCGGGTAATGGCGAGCGGGTGGTGGAGGGCATGGGTGTGGGGGAGACGTTGGACCGGTATGGGTATGGATGGTTCCTGGACAAGGTGGACTGGGCCAGCATGGTCTTCCGGGTGGCACACCGGAGCCACATGGCATTCAACACGCCGACGCTGCTGTCCGCCTACTCCCGACGGTATCAGCCCCTTGTGCGGGCGCAGCGCGACTACATCTTCGTGCACGACATCTTTTCGCAGATGCAGGCGTGGCGGGATGGGCCTCCCGCCCGGACGGCGGTGTTGTTGGATCTGCTGGTGGATGTCTGTCTCCGGGCCTTCTGGAAAGATGTGTTTCGTGCGCTGCAGGCCTCCAAGCCCCAGCAGCCCATCAAGAAGCAAGCCCTGGCAGACGCCCTGGCAGGTGCGGTGCCACTGACCATTGTGGGTTTCCGGCGAGTTTTCCAGCGCGCCCCAGTGGAAACCGAGTTCCAGTACGTGCGCGGATCGAATGCCAAGGTGGGCCATGTGCAGGTGCTCTTCAGTTGGCTCTGGGGCTGGGCTGGGGATGGCAACCACGGGGGGGATTGGCGGCGGAAGGGCTGGGAGCAGAAGCTGTACCGACTCCTCTTCCGGCAGTGTTTTGAAGTGATCACGCAGGTCTTTGGGCTGGGGCAGGCTCGGGCGTGGCGGGCGACGCTCCAGTATCGGTTTGTGCGGACGCACTGGGTGTTACCGTATCCAAACAACCAACGCTTCTGGAGTCGTGGCACCGGACTCCATGGAACTGGGCGGCGACGGCTGCTCACTTGGGTCAGTGTCCATCCGGACGTGGAACGGTATCACCGGGAGGACCCATTGCGGGAGCGGACCGTCCCATTAGCGGCAATCAACCAGTTGCCCATCCGCGGGTGGCAACGTGGTGCTCAACCGATGGACCTCAGCGTCGAGCTTCCCACGATTCCCAGTGACCTTGAAGTGCTGGTGGCCGCTGTCACTCGTCCCAGTCCGTCCACGCGTGCCGCTGGGTCGTCCCCACCGCCCCCCTCCGCTCAGGGCTTGCCTCTGCCTGTGATCCGGGTTACGGCGGGACCGATGCAGCAGCATCTGCTTTCGTATCACCAGGATGAGTCCCGAGTGACGCGACTGGGCCAGCAGCAGGCGCAGCAGGAGCAGTTGGCCACGGAGCAGCTGTTGGAGCAGCTGCCTCGTGTCAGTGAGGCCTTCTGGAAGCGGGTGCAGGAAGAATACCAGTCCATTGCGCTCTATCGGCGTCCTCACGTGGAACCAGCACGACCTGCGGCCACCCCTTTGTCAGATGATGGGGGTCGGCGGCAGCGGATGTGGAAGAAGACTCAGACCCTGATAATCTTTCCAGCCGGCAGCGGACAGTGAACCGGGGCCGTCAATGGCTGTATGACATTGACCAGTGGACCAAGAAGCATGTGCAGAAGTACCATCAGTATGCGCGGGCGCTCCAGGAAGCGGAGCAGCGGACGTATGGGATTGGACCAGGGATGACTGCGGGAGAGTTTGAGCGGCAGCGGCAGGCGGATGTCAGGAAAGCTCGCACTCGGCAGCAAGATATCCTCCGGGCGATGGGGGAGGTTGCCAAGTGTATTGGAACAATATATAGCGACGTGGAAGAAACGGCGGCCGATGCTGGGGCATCTGTTGGAGGATGCACCACATAGCTTTCATGAGCATTCTGACCCTGCCTCTTTCTCTCACTGGCGTCATATCAGCTCCAGTCACATGTATATATATATTGAACAGGGGGAAGAACTCCAGCCTGGTCCGTACCGGCGGGTCGATATAGGTGGGAGGACAGAAAGAACGGAAAATGCAAGGCTAGCAAAGAAGAGGAAGAAGAACAACAACAACAACAACAACAACATATAGGGCCTTGTGCCCCACACAGAACACTCTCTCATAGAGCTCTGCTGGTGGTAACTTAATTCACATACCCAGCTGTGCGCCTCCCAAGTATGTATGAAGCTAAGTTGGCTGTGAGCTACTCTCAGCATGAAGAATCTCAATACAGATAATCATCGTATGATATCTGTGGGTCCCCTGCTACAATATACCTTCTCGTATATTGTTGGTATACATTAGAAACAATACAGCTACTGACTGTATATCAAGAGTATATTGTTTTATGCCACATGATCCCCTAGTGTGGTTTCTTGTCATGGCCTATATAACCCAATGCTTCACATTAGCGTGTGTCGCACACCAACATTAAATAGCACTACTACTACTACTGTAAAGGGGGGCGTACGCGTGTTGTTCCCTGCGACAGGAACCAGGTTGTGATTGAGGGATCTCAGGAATGGATATACCAAGGTGATGCCGCTATACCACGCGGCACCAAAAGATGTTAGCAAGAAAACGATATAATGATAAAAGGAAACACAATGACAAAGGAGCCTCGCTCCACTCTGTACAATGACAACGATACTAGTGAAGCAACCTAAAAACCAAAAGAATGCTCTATTTCTCGTAACTATCTGGGAGGGAACCCTCCATTAAGTACTCGGCCGCGGGCTCCACCATACATTAGTATGTTGGAGTCAGCGGTTCTACGGTGTTCCAAGATAGGAAATATGGGAGATCCAGGGTTTCGCAGTGCCCCCGGCACAATGCTCTGAGCGGTCGCTATCTGACGACATCGTACCAAAGTAGGCAATACTGAAGGAACACCGTGACAGAACCGTGGAACTGCTAACTTAGCTGAATTCCGAGTTTTCACTACTCCCGTACTCTCCCGTGTCCCAATGTCTTCGGAACAAGCCTCTCAGTTGATTATTTTTCCCAAGAATCCCTAGCCAGGGTGCTTCCCACGCGCCCTAGAACCCAATGCGAAGTTCGCAGCAAGAAAATGATATAATGATAAAAGGAAGCACAATGATGAAAGAGCCTCGCTCCACTCTGTACAATGACAACGATACTAGTGAAGCAACCTAGAAACCAAAAGAATGCTCTTCCCATTGGCAATTACCCTTACCACCTCTCCGGCTCCTCCAATCGGTCCATAACGGACTTTGGCATCTTCAGCAATATGGCATAGACCCTGGGCAGCTAATGCTTGGTACCGTGGACATGTCCCCCATATGTTGGTGTGACCCGTTTCCAGACAGAACCGGCATTGGTCACCCGCGATTGGCACATAGCCCCGTCGGTTGGGTATGTCATTTAGCCCATGTCTTCGGAAGTCGTTCTGTCTCACCTCCATGAGGCTGATTTCCATTTTCCTCATCCGTTCAGCCAGGTCATCTAGCGTTTCCTGGTGTCTCGTTCCCGGGGCTGTTCTTGGCACCTGCCGCTTCCCTGTAGACACTGGTTCTCTGTCCTCTGGCTGTCGTTGTTCATCTGGGACTCGCCCATCTGGCTGCACAACTACTAAGCTATGCGCAGCTGACACTTCCCTGCGAAGTTCACATGCTTCCCTTCACGACCCTGCCGAATTAACTTTAATCCAGCCACTTCCTCCAGATATTCTTCAACTGCCTCCCGGGCCCTTGCGAACTTCATAGTCTCGAACTTCTGAGGGCTAATCTTCGCCCTCCTTACCACTTCAACCTGCACCTCCTCCGGCAGACCCTGCAGGAACATCTCTGTTCTCAAGAATTCCACCAGCTGGCCTCAGCGCATCAGTTCACCAGAGACGTTGCTAAATTCGCGAACATACTTGGTCAAGTTGTCATCTGTTGACCGTTTCTGAGCAACAAACCTGCCAAGCCAACCTATGTTGAGCTTGGCCTGTGCTGAATCCTGGTCCTGATACTCCTCTAGGAGCCGCTTCTCCAATCCTTCATAGTCCTTCCTCTCATATTCAGGGAGGCTCTCTACCCATTCACACACACTTACTGATACATAATCACACAGGGCACCTATCTTGTCCTCCTCTCGCGTGATTCCATGGTTCCTAAACAACGAATGTAAGGTCCTCAAGAATTCACTGACCTCCTTACCATTGAATGTTGGGGCTCCAGAAGTTCCTCGCAACGGCAGACCTCTGGGTGTCCCCAACAGTTTCTCCAACATCTGCATCATCAACATCGGCATGCCTTCCGGCTGCCACATTCCAGACAAGCTCGGAGTAGTGGGCATTGCGGCCGGCGCCGGTATTCCCTTTGCATCTCCCGGTGTAAGAAGTGGACTCCCTTGTTCCACATGCACCGGGAGAGGCCGATGCTCCGAGCGGTCGCTCTCTGACGACATCTCCTTACCAAAGTAGGCAATACCGACGGAACGCCGTGACAGAACCGTGGAACTGCTAACTTAGCTGAATTCAGAGTTTTCACCACTCCCGCACTCTCCCGTGTCCCAATCTCTCCGGGAAAAGCCTCTCAGTTGATTATTTTCCCAAGAATCCCTAGCCAGGGTGCTTCCCACGCGCCCTAGAACCCAAAGCGAAGTTCGCAAGCTCCAACAAGCGTAGGGCTTCCCGGGGACGCCAATATGTAAAGGGGGGCGTACGTGCGTTGTTCCCTGCGACAGGAACCGGGTTGTGATCGAGGGATCTCAGGAATGGACACACTGAACAATCTAGCAAAACGATATAACGATAAACGAAAACACAACGACGAAGGAGCCTCGCTCCGCTCTATACGACGATAACGATACTAGTGAAGCAACCTAGAAACCAAAAGAATGCTCTATTTCTCGTAACTATCTGGGAGGGAACCCTCCATTAAGTACTCCGGCCGCGGGCTCCACCATACATTAGTATGTCGGAGTCCGCGGCTCTACGGTGTTCTAAGATAGGAAATATGGGAGATCCGAGGTTTCGCAGTGCCCCCTAAGTCATATTCTGTACAATGACCCAACTTGGGTCTGGTGGGAAATTAGAATGGGTAGTGACCCTAAAAAAGATGGGTCAAAATAATTTCTGACCCATCTTTATCTCAAGAACTAGGCCATGTTAGGAAGTCAGACTAGTATCATAGTGATCCTAATCAGGTCTAGTTTCTGCTAGTATAGTTCGATTGATGACATAAGCAGGTTTAAATTAACCCTAAGCCAGATAGGGTAATATGTAGATAGCACTGCTATAGGCTATCTAGTAGGCCAATTGAACTCAGAATTGAATATGCTGATGTCATTGGGGTCTAGAGGGGTCAGGGGACTTTTATTTCCCAATTAGGAAGGTGTATATTCTGACTTGTACTATTCATCAAACGAATCAGGAGCCAAAAAAGTCACGTGACCTAAACTGCCTAATTAGGAAGGTGGTTGATCTATAGCTCATTCTCAGGCATTTTATGACAGGATTACAATGAACATAGTCGCACTCCCTGAAGTGGTCTATATAAGGAGATATCACAGTTTGAATATAGGACTTCTATCATAGCAAGATAGAAAATGACTATACTACTATTCTTATACTCTTACTCTAAATTTGTCAGGATGTTAGGCCTATTTTAGTAGTGATACAATAGAATCCTAATCTATAAGGTATAATTACTGCGTATATATTGATATTGCATATATATACATATATTATATGGTAAAAGGGATAACAAATGATTAGTAGATATATTTTCTAGCCTAATATGTAGCCACTACAGGCTATATAGAAATATTCTCTAGGGGTCTGTAGCCCATTCAATGCTCACAGAGGGGTTTGTCAGGGCCCTTGCCATGTAGACCAGGATGAGAACGTGAGTTTCCTTATTTGGATTAGCGTGGCGCGTGGATAGGAATACGTCGTCCAGCTTCACGTAGATCTCTTCCCTTTTCCCTCCTCTCCATGCTTGAAGTTCTTGTCAATAACTGCCTAGATAGTTGAATAGCATCCTATTTATTGTCTAGTTGAGTTCTGTGACAGGGTTATGTGACCTTGAGTTCCCAATTAGGAAGGTAGTCATTTAATAATATAGTAGCTAAGACAATAGCAACTAATAAGAGTATTATAATAAATAAGGTCTTGCATTCTAAGGTGATTTAGAGAAGGATATATAGAGGTTTAGAGTTAGAAATTCTATTGCAGTGAAGTAGAAAAGGTCTCTTATTAATACACTAATAATATTACTATAGTTTAGACATGGTGGTAGAGGTATTATATACATGAGATAACATATATATATATATCGATATATTAGAAAGAAACCTAAACAACTAGGCAGGGGCATCAGCCTAGAATAAGATGATTTGAAATCAATAAATGGCAGGATTAATAAGATGAGGGATTTTTCAAGATCTGCAATTGCTATGGTGGCGCAGCTAGATAGGGGACACGGCATAGAGTGGGGGGACGGCACAGAGTGGGGGATCGCTCAGCTGGACTTCAGGAATACCACCTCCCAGAGGATCCTGAGGATCCCAAAATGACACCACCACAAGTATGATATCATCTTTTGAAACTGAAAGAAATTAAATTTACAACATGGAATGTCTCAAGCTCTTCATATTATAATATAAATAGGTGGTTGACATCCCTTGAGGTTGGTCCTCTAGCTAAGTAATATTGGCAATATTTCTTTTCATATTACCTATATCTCCATTGCTATACTGTCTTCAACTTTCTAAACCCTCTACTTATTTTCCTTTTTGATTTACTATTCACTATGGCCACTGAGCTTCCTGATTTTTTTATTTACTACCCTACCTTCCATATCCTTATTTGTAAGGAATGCCATACTGCTCTTCCTAAGAATAAGGCTGTGGAACACCTTAGGAAAGACCATTTGATGACTCAACATCAAGTTATTAACCTTGGCTATCAGGCTATCATTGAGAGGCTTGATATCTTCCCTCTTACTAGGTCTCTTCACCAAATTCAGAATGACCAGCCAATTGCTCCCATTAAGGGATTGAGCTCTTTTCAAGCTAGGGAATGTAGTGCTTGTGGTGAGCTCTTTCAATCCATGGACAAAGCTAATCGCCATATTACCAAGGCCCATCAGCACCAGAGAGGTCATGCTCAGTATCCTACCATTATAGATACTCTGGCCCAGGCATTGCAGCCAAATCGTTACTTTTTCAAAGTGCGGCTTCCATCTCACCCTCTAGGGGACCATGCTCCTACTAGGGCAGGCACCTCTAGTCCTTCACCAACCCCTGGCCCATCTCAGCCACACTATGCCCACCACGCTAGGTAAGAAAATATGTATCAGGTGCAATATGCACTCACTAACTATTTCCTAGGGTGGTTGAGTCTAGTGACTCTGACATTGAGATGGTCTCTGCCAGGTAAGCATTCCCACTGCTCATTTTGAATATATATCTTGCTGATTCTCACTGTATAGGGATGTCAATACCTCTCTGAGAGCCCCTTCTGCCTTTGGACCCTCTGCCAGTCTTCCTACCAGGTGGGGTCTATATATTTATGTAGATATGTATCCTCTACGCCTTCACTAATATGTATTTCTAGGCCTGGTTCTTCGTCGCAGCCTGACTCTGGCATCACCCCAGATCTGGTGGATTCCCTGCTCCGTCAGTACCAGGAAATCCAGAAGCCCCAGCCAGAGCAAGCCAAGATCTATCTGTCTGGGTCTAGGGATGAGCTCAATGGATTTCAGCTCCACACCAGGTATCCAGAGTTCCTGCAGCAACGCTCCCTCCCAAAGCTAAGAAATCTCTTCTCTCTATCCCTAGAGCATTCTGGTGAGTTTAATTTCTTTTCTCTGAGGGATACCTCTACCACTCTAACCCATGTTTCTTTTGCCATATATTTTGTATGGGGAAATGAACAACCCTAACAATGCATGTATCCTTGTGTTTGATGTTCAAGAGTATTTAGAGCTTATATCTATATCTATCTATTGATATATATATATATATATATGGCATGCACTAATTTTTTTCATATTTTTCTAGATCGAATCCATGATTTCCTGACTGCCTGCACCACCTATATATTCGCCAAAGGCCAGAAGATCATCCCTCTCCTTTCTCGCCATGTTCGATGCCTTCTCAATAGTTTTGACATTGAGCATGTGACTCTGCGCCCTTTCAAACCCCTCCAGGAGGCAGCCAGTGCCCAGAAATATGCCCGCGTGCTTCACAGCTTTCTCGTTTTTCTGTTGGAGAGCTATCCCTACCAGGTCACTAGGGGGCCTAGGGATAGGGACCTGAATCGACTCTATGCTATAGATCACATGGTCAAGGCGGGGATTCAGGAGCTCAAGGACCTGCTACTATCCCCCACCCTAGCGGAAGAGGATGAGGAGGCACCAAAGGCCTCAGGCCCCTTGCAGGCAGGCAGTGCCCGTGCCTATATTGGTGATGACCTTGATGGTGAGAATGATGAAGAGGATGAGATCGATCTGGCCCTGGACCTAGGGGGGGATGATGGTGAGGAAGATCTTGAGGACTCTGGTGTTCTCGAGAAGCTCGAGCGGCAGGCCTGGCAGGCCACCAGTGGTTTTCAATTCACTCAGGCGGCAGTGCACGAAGGGGTGGCTCTCATTGAAAAGCTCCTCATTGACCTGGTCACCAGGCATGAGTCATATGACATGAAGGGCCCTATCTACGCGTTCCTGGCCTGTTTCAGTATTCACTACCAGGAGGTGACCTTCAAGCGAATTGACCGCATCAGCCAGTCCTACTCTGCCGTTATCTACGCCATGCAGCTGGTCGCCATCAACCACCATTGGACCCCATGGATCCGGAGGATCCTTGAAGCGAAAGAGGATGGGCAGGACCAAGCGCTGGCTAATGCGGCCCCATTTCATGCTGTCTTCGGCCCCTGGCTGCAGACCTACTTCAAGCACCAGTCTTTGACTTCAGCCAGCGGTGGCATTCCTATATCGGCATGGGGCCTGATTTCGACTTTTTGAGCTTTCTCTATCAAGGAAGACCGCTGCCTCAGGCCCCCAGGCCACAGCCAAGACCCCCCAGGGCCTATCTACCAGCTCCTTTCCTCTCAACCAGCCCTGCCTGCGCTTCTGGTGGCAGAGATCTGCCTCTTCACCATCCCCTAAGATCCCTATTGGTCAGTTCAATGCATTCATGGGCTCCACAACCCCCACATTCACTCCAATCGACCCCAATGTCACTGAAGGCATTCCCGATGGTGACCCGCGCCTGGCCGAGCTGGAACCAGGCCAGCGACTGCGACTGCTTGCACACCAGCCATTCCCTCAAACCCCTAGGGGCCTTCAAGCACCAGACCTCCTGCTTGGGCTCTTTCAAGAATTCATGGGAACGCCTCAGGCTGAATTTCGAAGCGCAGAACAGCGTGAGTGCCTCTACCATCTGCTGAAGCCAACCCCATTCCTTCTCATGGCATTACCAACTGCTGGAGGCAAGACCACCCTGTTTCTGCTTGCTGCAAGCCTTGCCTGGGCGCATACTACTGTCCTGGTGGTTCCCCTTGTTTCATTGAAGCTGAACCTGCAATCTAAGCTTCAAAACCTAGGTCTGCCATGGGTGAATTGGGAGGATCAGTAAGTACTATCTATCTATCTATCTATCTATCTTTATATATTTACTAATGCTCTATATAGGCATGAGGAGACCCCTCCTACCCGGCTAGTGCTAGTATCCATTGAGTCTGCTGTCAGCCAGGTCTTCATTAACTGGGCCATGCAGCTCTACCACCAAAACGCCCTGGACCGCATTATTTTTGATGAGGCCCATCTCATCCCCCTGGCCCGCAGCTATCGGGGGGTGATGAATGATGTAAACCGCCTGAGCCAGATCCCAGTCCCCAAAGTCTTTGCCTCGGCCACCATGACCCAGCCTGCCCTGGACCAGCTCCGCCACCAATTCCTCCTGCCAGCCCACCTTCCCCTGGTGGTCCGTGGTGATATCAACCGCCCTGACATTCACTATCTGGTCCAAGCACACCCCCCTAGGCTCTCTGGCGCCCGCCGCTTCCAATATCTTTTGAACCTGATCCGTGATGCACGCCAGGCTGGGCAGATCCCCCTAGGGGTCAGGTGATCATCTACCTTCCCTATAAGGGCATGGTGGAGGAGTTCCATCAGGCCTATCCCCAGGAGACTGCCTATTTCCATGCCGGGCTGCCAGAGGAAGAAAAGAAAAGGGAGGTGGAGAGCTTTGACCATGGGCAGAAGCTGGTGCTCCTTGGGACAGCTGCCATCGGGGGAAGGATATGACTTTGCTCATACTGCCATGGTCATTCACTGGGGGACCAGATGGGGCATCAGCCAGTTCCTTCAAGCTACAGGGCGTGCGGCGCGGGGTGCTGGGGAGATTGGCTGGTCATATGCCATCATCCCCCCTTGAGCCTGGGCAATTCCCAGAACCAGCAGATCTCGAAGAACAGCTCTTCCACGAGTATCTCCAACAACGGGTGTGCCGGCGGTCCCTGATCAATCGGGAGTTTAATGGTAGGGTCAGCCAGGGGTGTTTTCAGCATGAGAAGGCCTGTGACCTCTGTCAGGTCAGGCAGGAGGAGCTTCACATGGTCTCTGCTAGGGCTAGGGAGGCCCTTGGGGATGGGGAAGGCCTCAGGCTGAAGCTGAAGGCATACATTAAGTTTTTTGAGTATGGTATCTGCCTCTATTGCTTTCTGATGACCCAAAGTAAGTGCTTTCTCCATCTATCTCTTTATATATATATATATACTAATTGCCTTTGTTCCTAGTAAACCCATCCCAGCCAGGAATGGATTATCATCACCATCATCAGCAATGTACTCATGCCCAATCTCTAATTTCCAGCTTCAACAAGCATCGCCACCAGTTCCACTTTGAGCCTCATGGGGGATGCTTTCTCTGCCTACTTCCTACCAGAGCCTGTGGAAATAGCACTAGAGATGGAGATCAATGCTTTTTTCCCCTGGAGTTCTTCTTGTCTGGTTTATACTGATTATAGCTTATCCTGATGTGATGACCCATCTTCAGCAAGAAGGCTTCATTCATGAAAAACCCCCTCATAAAAAGGCAATTGCCAATCTCCTTTTTAGTGTTGAGAGGGATCCTTTTCAGACAGAGGCATTTATGGGGGTGATCTATTTCATTGAATGGTGTGAAAAGCATGTTCAACTACCTTAGAGCTGATATTTTAGATCTAGCATGATCATCTTATTTTCTTTAGCTAAGTTGTCACTATCCTTGTCATCCCTTAATATTTTATTTTAATCTATATCTTCTATCTTTTATTATACTATAGCAGTGCTAGAATAGAACTTCTGTGTAGCCCTATCCCACTATATTCATCTTTAGTCCAGTAGGATTCAATGCTATCTAGGGGTCTGCAGCCTATTCAATGCTTAGGGACCAGTCTGCCAGGGGTCTAGTCTAGCTCAGAATGGAATATGAGAATACCCTAATAGGCTAGATCAGCCACATCACCTTAATTTCCTAAGTTGGAAGGTAATTATACAAGAGCTCATATGAAAATCCTTATAGAGAGTATTACAGGTCTGACTTTCTAAAGTGGCCTAAACAAGGAGATATAGTAGGATTAAAGTTGGTGTTCTATACTAGTAGTATAATCTAAAGATTGTATTGGATATCTATAATATATAAAACTAGTATAGAAGAGAAATATAGAATCAAATCAAAGTGATATATAATATATAAATCAGGTCTAGTAAATCCATATGGAATAGATCTAAGGATCAGAAATATATAGAGAGAGATAAAATAAAGATAAAGATATTTAATAGAGCTATACTATTATTTAATTCTCATAATAAATTAATTATACAAGATAGCAGAGAAATATATATAAGAAGCATAGCCACAACTAGTATCACTATTGATTAGGTTATATAAGAAAAAGCTATAGGAGACTCTAGGTTTAGATCCTTGAGCACCTACTAGGGTGATATATATAATCAATATCCCAAAAGAGAAGGATCAGGTAATATAGAGTGAGAATATAAGTTATAGTTCTAGAAATCAGTATAAGATTCTAAGGTCAAAATCTATCCTATTGACACTATGGGTTAATGGCATACTTATCTAGCCATCCCTAGAGCCTAAGCTAACTCCAAACCTATTAAATATCTAACTAAGCCTACTGTTAAATAATATTATTTATATAATCTCTCTGTATTGTATTATAGCTACCTTAGGTATATAAATATATTATGAACCTATAGAGAAATAAGATTAAGCCTTATAATATTAGTAGAAGGACTATTAGATATTAAATATATATTATATATCTCTATCACAAGTAATCTTATATCCAACTACTCAGATCCTAAGATTAAAATCTATTGTATTAAAGCTATAGATTAATGGCATACTTATGGCTTATATTCAAGCTAGAGCTCACTCTAAACTTATTTAATATCTATCTACACCTACTATCAAATAATACCACTTATATTATCCCTCTTTATTATATCAGAGCTATCCTACTCCTATATCTATAGGCCTTTAGAAATTTAGTAGATGATATATATGAAAGAGATACAAGTAGATAGAAATAGCTCAATAGAAGCTAGGAAATAAAAATATATTTATACTTAAGATAAACAGGATATATAATATATATAGTATTAGAGTAAAGAAGGATGAAAGTAAGATATATATTGAAAAGATAGGTGTATATATGTAGTCTTATAGTACAAGACAGGCTGTGATTCAGGAACTAAAGAGAGCTTCAGGTAGAATTATATCAGATTAGTAGAGAAGAGAAAATAATAAATAGAATAATAAAGGAAAAAAAGTAATAATATTCTTTAACTATCAAAGATAAGTGGTCCTACTTTGACTAACTAAATGAAATACTTCCTATATAGCAGAATAGAAGACTTAAACTAAGGGTCTTATATTATAGAGATATGCTTTGATTCTTCAAGAAAGAAAGGAAACTATCTAATAGGAAGGGATACTAATCTTAAATCTATAGTTAAATATAGAGATTGGCCCTCTACTATACTAATAGTATTATAAAGGGGGATGTATGTGTATTGTTCCCTGTGACAGGAACTAGGTTGTGATCAAGGGATCTCAAGGATAGATATACCAAGATGATGCTGCTATACCACATGGCACTGAATAATCTTAGCAAGAAAATGATACAACAATAAAAGGAAACACAATGATGAAGGAGCCTCACTCTGCTCTATATAATGATAATGATACCAGTGAAGCAACCTAGAAACCAAAAGAATGCTTTATTTCTTGTAACTATCTGGGAGGGAACCCTCCAATAAGTACTCCAGCCACGGGATCCACTATATATTAATATATTGGAGTCAGCAGTTCTACAGTGTTCTAAGATAGGAAATATGAGAGATCTGGGGTTTTGCAATGCCCCTGGCACAGTATGGTGGGAATTTGTATTTGCTATATCCCTGATACAATATTAGAAATAAAAGATGATAAATAAGATGATGAGACATAAAGAATAAGAAAAAGAAGTATTGAAGATTATATTCTAAAATATCATAAAATCTTTTAAAATCCTCTAGTCCTTCTGTCAACTTCTATCTTCTAAAAGATTCTATCATATTCTATTCTAAAATCCTCTTTACCACTACTATGAGGCATGTCTCCTACTTTGCCATTCTTTGATTTCAAAGCAGACTATTTTAGAAAGGTTCAACTGTATTATAAATAGGCTTATCCTCTCTTTATATCTAATTATTCTTTAATTTGTGAATAATCTCTTAACTTATCTATACCTTGACAGGCATAACAAATTTAACTAATTTTATATTTTCTTTTACTATTTCTTATAACTAGAAGAATAGAGAGAGAGAATAAGATAAACAAGAAATAAAAAAAATTAAGAAAAGAAGCAAAAAGAAGAAATAGAGAAAAGGATATAAAAATAAGAGAATAATTAAAAAGAAGAATAAATCAAAATAGAAAAGTGATTACTAAGTCATATTCCAGACATGGCGGTAGGTACCTCCACATAGAAAAATAAGGTTTCAGAGGTGGGTCCAGACTTACCGCCAACATCGATTTTGGCCCTAGGTCTAGCTCCCTAACTAGGCCATATTAGGAAGTGAGACTAGTATCATAGTGATCCTGATCAAGTCTAGTTTCTGCTAGTGCTGTTGGATTGCTGACATAAGCAGTTTTAAATATACCCTATACCAAATAGGGTAATATTATGGCCAATGCTATTACAGGCTATGTAGGGGTCCAATTGCTCAGAATTAAATATGATGATATCATGGAGGTCTAGAAGGTGCACGTGACTTCAATTTCCTAATTAGGAAGGTAGTCATATAATAGCTTAGACGAAAGTACTCATTGAGAGCATTACAATGAACATGGTCTGATATTCTGAAGTGGCCTAGAAAAGGCGATATAGAGGTGTAAAATTAGAAATTCCAATGTAGTAAAGTAGAAATGGTCTTTTATACTAATTTATAGATCAGATAAGATCAATAAAGTATGTATGTATAACAGTAAAATAGTAGGATAGGCTAGAACAGCTAAGAGAGAATAAGGTAAAAAGCATATATATATAGAGAAGAAGTATGTAGAAATATAAATATAAAGATAGTGGATATATAGTATATAGATATAGATAGCTAATAGAAAAGAGATAAGCTAATATAGCTAAATAAAAATAAAATGAGAAATATATATAGGTAAGATAGATCAGCTAAAACAGCTAAGGGGAAATAAGATGAAGAGTATATAGAGAAGATAATAGATATATAATGTTTAGAGAGAAATATAGAAAGTAAGCTTAAATAGAAAGATAGTAAAAGAGAAATTTAAATAAAAATAATAAAAATAAAAAAGGCTAAAATAAAATAGTAATATATATATATATATAAAGAAATTAAATATAATAAAAAAAAGAAAATTAGTATACGTTGTGACGGTTAGCGGGGCGCAGCTTTCGGCCCCCGACCAACCACCGCGGAGAACGGAAAATGTAATTGCCCGATCCAGTATTTTGCGGGGCCGTGGCAGTAACATGGCTACCGGATTCAGGCTAGTGGTCTCTCTCGCCGCTTTAACGGGAAAGGCCCCACAACATCAGGCCTATATAAACTACAAGTGCGTCCTTGAAGGACGACCGTCACTTCCACGTCCCTTTTTCCCCCTGTGCAGCAATCCGGCAACGCCTTTGTATTTGCCTGTGAGACATGAGCAATCGCCGATCTCAGACCACCCCTCCCCTTTCTTACTTTTTCTACGGATCCACTTTGTGCCTGCAGCGCCAGCCCTTTCTGACACGATGGAATGATTTGATTACCTGCTGTTCAGGTGAGGCGGAATATGGACTTGGAGAACTATCACGACACATGATCCATAATATCTCACTGAAAGATTTCCTCAGAGCAATATTGTGCGACTGTCGACTCCAATCTGGCGACTTGGTCCTTCTTTTCTCTCTCCTTTTTCCGGCTTCATTAGGCAGAACATTTTGCCTCTGCTCCTGCATCAGCTGAATTCGATTAAATGGCTGCGACTGTTGATCTGGACTCGACTATTGCGGTAGCGGGATTCCCCGATCCAAGCCATGTCAGACCTGGTTCCTTTTTGATGCGTCGTCACGACGTCCACCCGTGTGATAGCGCATGGTCCACTGCTACAACCAACGCCCATGCAGAGTAGAGGCCAATGGCAAAAATACCGCATGGTCTATTTCAAACGTCAGTAACAACTCAATTGAGAAAAGTGCCGCGATTCCATGCGTTATTGGCCGTCTTGACCCTCCATCTCCAAGGCGACGGCTTGATTCATGCAACACAGCGGTGATTTGAAAGACAGTCCATCCACAAATGGGGCCAACATCGCCTCGATTGTGGAACAAAAAGGGGCTTGCTGGAAAGTGGATCATACTTTCGTGAAGCACAGAGAAATACAAGGATATTCAGCCATTCTGAGTCTCATAGTCTATGGATCTCCAATCGGACGGCTAGATACCATGTCCGGCAGCAGCTGAAAGCTGAATCAGAGATAATCCATACCTAGATGCGACAGCACTGCCTCGATTGTGGAACAAAAAGTCACACCGAGCACTAAGATGAACTGTGTAGAACGTGCTGCCGAGCCCTGTCTCATTTTTGAGCCGCTGTGCGCATTCGTTGATTGGAGGACAATCGACTATTGATGATGACGACTCCATTCGCAGTGCTACAGTCTCATTTTGACGGAGTACAACAAATGAAGCGGCAAGGGCGGTTCCCTGAATTCGAGGAGAAATAGCATGATCATTGCCAGACCAGCTGTCGCACCGTCAGACGGGTATATAAACGGTCACAGCACGCGGTCTGAAGTACAAAATTGCTCAAGAAGCTAATTTGTTCTGCTGCAAACTCCTTCATTGAATACAACCATGGCTGTCACTTTGAACAATATCAAATTCTACCGTCCGCCTTCCCTCCCTGCACGGCCTCTGAAAAGCACGTCCCCTAATCACAATCACACTTCATTTCCTCATCATGCATCAAAAAAAGCTGATCCTATCCCAGCTCATTCCACACTCCCCTTCTCTCCATTCTCACAAGCAGCATTACCTCACCCCTTACCTCCCCGGCCACCAGCTATCATTCCCTCCAGTCATCATACAGCATCTGCCACTCTACACTCCCCCTCTAGTACATCAAATACAGCCGGTTCCCACCCCGTATGCGGGAATGATTTCGACCGAGCGTTGGATGACCTCTTGTCTGCTAAGAATAGCAAGAAAGAAGAGGACGGGGAGCCCTCCAGTTGTCTTCCTACACAAGGTAAATCTTACAGTCAGAAGGGTGAAATGTTCTTAACTTACGTGAAGTAGATCATAGAAATGAGAATCATACTCATATCATGTTGTCTGATCCAGAGATTTTGATCCACACGACAGCCAGCTTGCTATCATCCAGCTGCACCCTGCAGGAGCCCGCGCAATCGCTAGCAGAAGCGAAGCCCACGCATCCAGAGCCACGTCATGAGTCGCAGCCGCCGGAACAGCCCAATAATCTCGCGCACACAACATCTCTGGATACATCGCCGACATTCTGTACCTCTGAACCGCATACATTCGCGCCTCACGAACCCAACCATGATTCAACGCATACCACTATACAAGCCTCCGCACAGAATTCATCCGTACCAAATCAAGAACGTTCGGAGACTTCTCGAACAAGTTCAGTCCCGATTCATAGCCCCAAACCTGGCGGAGCCACCTTAGGAAACGAAAGTATGGACTTCGGAGAAGCAGAGTGTGCCAGCTCGTGCCCACTAGGAGAATTATCAAAAAGAAAGAGAAGTCCATCAGCACACTTGTCCTGTCCGCCCACTCCGCTGGTTGTGGTTCCAGCTCCGTCCTCTCCTTCTTTATTGCGCGAAAGATTTCCGCAGAACTCGAAAGGGATGGTCGAAGATCTCGATGAATCGGACTCAGCTCCTTCTGACGACGAGAATGATGCAGACTACCTGGATCAGTCCATGACAGAGGACGCCAACGAAAGCTTGCACTCATCCAAGCGACGTCGTAGAAGTCCAAGCGACGCTTCGTCAGCCTCTCGAGGAGTACCTACAAAGTTATCCTTGGAGTCCCCATCTGCTGAACAGCCCGAGTCACCACAAGAGAATATGAGTTCAGAGACTGAATCAATTCCTATCCAAGGTTTCCTCCGATTACGCACTAAGGGAACCGAAGTCATCTACACTTTGGAGGTCTCACAGACGCATTTTTCGTCATTTTTCGCAGACAAGCAGATGGAATCTCCTCGACCACATCCGCGGACAGTTTATCCCACGACGAGGGCCCCATATTCGCCTGAGGAGGATGCATTCATTATTGACTTGAAGGCTCAAAAGCTCAGCTGGGACGAGATCGAGGATCAATTTGCAGAACGATTTCCATACCGGAAAAAGACATCGCTACAGGTGCGTTATTGTACTAAGTTGAAGCCCTTGACGAAAGAAAGTAGAAAACGACGAGTCAAGAGTTGTCGGTAGCCACGCTTCCCAAATCTGATATGGCATGATCAATTAGACTAGAAGCATCAAAGCAATACTTCCATCTGTATCACTACGGAGCCGAAATAGCAAAAGTAGAGTGACGAATACTGGATAGTTAGAGCCCATAGTAGTTCGGAGACTCGAGGATGAAAGTGGTCACATGAGAACAATTACAAGCTAAGTTAACATAGTGGGGCTTTATCCAGAAATGACTAAGCTTTGTGTTTCTAAATAATGTCTGACTGCTAGCCCTATATAGGTATGGTGTATTAAGCCTAGTCTTCGTTGAGCAAGGCACAACCCCACCAGTCTCCTTCACCCCCAACTTTCATCCCGACCGTCTCTCCCTTCAGCAGAATTCCCGGAAGAATCAGCCACCAACCATCCGAAATCCATTCCCATGGCCTCAACAACCCCGAGGGACCTCTACGCCTCGCTACGATCACTGCATCGTGCCGCACAAAACGGTCCACACCCCTCTCCAAATCTATCCTTGCCCGACCGATCCCGACTCGCATCAACCGACACCGCCATCGCTTTCGTCGCCCAACATACCGAACATCTCTACGCAAAACAAGAATCCTCTTTCGTCGAAATCATCGCCGTGAAGCATGGCGTTGAGAACCTCGGAAACAAAGTCAACCACTTTGAATCCGGCGTCAAAGGCGCCCTGACCTCGCTGGCCGGTCGTTTGGACAGTGTCGAGGAGCGCCTGGATGGGGTCGAAGAAAACTTAGGTGAGCTCCGAAGCCAGGTCAAGAACGTCGAAAGCCAGGTCAAGAACGTCGAAAGCCAGGTCAAGACCTTGCAAAATAACGTCCAAAGCATCGAGAATCTGGTCCGCAACACCACCTCCATACAATTGAACAGCTTAGCAAAATGGCGAGATGACCCCGTCCATCCCATTTTCTCCTCCGCAGGAGGACTCGCACCCGATTTTCCCAACACCGTCTATCAATTTTGGGCCTTACTCATGAATCGTACGTAACTCCGAACATCAGCACGTCAACCCGCTAACCCTCCTCCAGCCACCGCCTTGACCCGTCTAGCACAGCACTATGAGATAGGGGGCTGGGAACGATGGCAACGCAGTTCATCGCATGAGACCGATGTCACCGAGTTTCTTGCCTTGGAGGATGCCGTGGCAACCTGCCCAGAACGTTGCTTACAGGCCCTGGCCGGGAAATGGGGTCTGCATTATCATCAGCTGCAGCCGCCGGAATCTCGTACAAAGCGCAAGGCAGACTCTGAGGACTCCGCACAATCCAGAAGACGACCGAGAGTGGATTTCGACGAGGTCGTCGAGTCCGTCATCTCCCAAGATGACCGGGGCAGATACACGTGGCAAAATCGAAACATACGGATCGGTCCCCGCCAACCGTTGCCAGAATCAAGTGAAATATCATTCACCGAAGTCCTCAGACGATATCCAAACCCGCCGGGGCACCTCAGGGTCTCGTTTGAATCCGCCGAAATTAGACACCTACCCCGTCCATCCACACCAAGTCCAGAACGTCCTGCCCATGCCGCGGCGTCAAGTCACAGTTAGTCATTCATAGCTGGAGTATTTCATCCAGGATTGGCTAGAATTCATCACCCTTCTCGTTGTACGCCAGTCTTATGTTTACAGGACGCAAGAGCTTCATTTCTGTGCATCGTGTAGCCGTAGACTCAACACATCGACATAGCTTTCACAGCACGACGTAACGAAGCTTCACCTAGAGAATACTCTTTACGATCATTGCAGCCAAACAAATCTTCACACTTGGTGTGAAAGATGCTGGTGTTTTTTTCAGCCTGTGACAAGGATTCACATATTCGGAAATCGAAGGCGCATCATATATGCAAAGCCTGTCCTCGATTACTATTTGTCATGTCGATGCTATAGCGAGATCCTCGATCACGGAAGTCAAACTCGGTTTATCGCTAGGCCATGCTTGAAGTATAGTGGCATGTTCTGATAGCGAGTCACTATTGGTGCTCTTCTACCGACTTGTCTCACCATGACTAGTTACAGCTTCAGGTTTCGGTATCCTAGGTCGTACGACTATGAGGCCCATCTGCACCTCTGCTTTCTCTTCCTCCTACTTTACTCAGATTATCAAGAACCTTTCAGAAGTCGTCTCGTCGAAGTCAACTATTCACACCCTACAGACGATGGAGTCCGCCCTTTGCAGCTCACGAATATCACCTTCACCTGGCCAAGTGAGAAGCTCCTCAAATTTCCGATATGGAAAACGTCAGACGGTCGCTCCTTTGCATTGAAATACTTTGAATTATGTATTTATGCAAGCGAACCACTTGTCCTGGAGAAGCTCCCTTGCCGATGGTCTGTCCCTTGGATCAAGCTTCATTATTCTTAGAATAAATTCCTTATCCTCCCTAGATATCTCCTGTTCAGAAATCCTCGAGAACGGTTTTTTCTTTTCGGGAGGAATGCTTTTCATGATATATGCCAGGATATTCAACGTGTCCGGCGTGCAGATTTCGCGGTATGTCAAAGGGAATGGTCCAAAGAACTCACACTGTCTCTGGAGAATCTTTAATTCGTAATCATCATGGTCCGCAGGAACATCTGGCTTGAAAAGGAAGAAATTGTCTCCATAGAGCAAGGTTATAAGCTGGAGAACAGGTTAGAGCCGTTTAGCAGTGCAGAGGAATTGACATAAACGTACCAGGGCGCCAAAAGACCATATATCTGTTTGCGTGCCCCAGCCAATTCGGAGGTGCGCTTCAGGACTCCTCCAGATAGGTGCTCCGATCAAGTCACCATCCTTGGCATACGCTGAATCCGCAGGAACAGTACTCCCAAAGTCTGCAAGTTGAACATCTGTAAACCGTACATCCCCATGACCATAGTTTACAAGAATGTTGTCCGGCTTGATGTCTTCAAACTGTATAAGATAACGTACTTAATCCAGACAATCACGGCACTTACCAGTATGTACAAAATTATTATCATGTAGAACCTTTAGCGCCTCTAAAATCCTTCTTGCAACGTATTTAATCTCTTGATTTGTAAGTCGTTTAGAGACGGAAGCATTCAGAAGGTGATCATCTAGATGCTTTAAGACTATCGCCGGTGGATCAGCTGGCTCGACTATCTCGTCAATGAAGGGACGTATGAATGGGGTGCGAGACTGAAAGCGGTTCAAAACATCACGCTCATTGTGAAGACGAAAGTGAGGGACACTTTTGACAATAACTTGTTGGTCGTTTTCGGTTCTGCTAAATAGACTATGAGAGGCTGAAGCTACTATTAGATTTGCATCATCTTCGTACCTTGCAAGCCAAACCGTCTCCTGTAGTTGCCTGCCAATGGTGTAGAGTCCGTTTTGACCGCGAACGCATTGACCTAATCGGAGGGAAGAAGCCATTGCGGGTGGTATGAAATCTGAAAAATGAGTTTTTCTGTCATAAAGTATCAAAACTCTTGCAGAGTACGCCTAGAGAGAAACCAATTTTTACGAGTCACGTTTCGTCGGAATCGGATTTATAAATTGCCGGTGAAGCGCTACCCGGCCCAATCCAGGGTGTCACGGACCAGATCAGGAGGGAGTATTCGCCAAATATGCCCGCTGCACAAAAAAGACCAGAATACGTAGGACAAGTGGGGCCTTCCCCTAAATGTCCTATACGTACTACTCTCCCATATGATTGGTTGCCAGGCCGTCACACAGGGTCTCACTTGAGTTAGCAAGTTATGCGCTGCGGAGCACCAGTAAACTGATATGAACGCCAACGGTGCCTTTGAGTCAATCAATTTACGCCCCCCAGTCTAAAATATAAGACAAAAATAGAAGCCCAATTACAGAATTTCTCCAAGCGCGGGAATATTAATTATTTCTTCTTGGGGAGAAATACTATCCAGCAACAAGACCAGCCATCACATCGAAGCGCCGCGACGAGGCCAGTGCTGCATGCCTGCCTTCGATTTGACCATTGTCACCCACTCATGATAATGTCTACCCTGGTAGCTGAAACGATAACGTGGTGCTATACTCTTTTTTTGCAATCTTTCATGAATGCCATATTAGCGCATTTGGAGAAACCCAAAAATATAAAAGCATCTTGTTTTCTGTCTACCATCACAGCAGATTCTATCTTCTTCTCAGTCACAAAACCTAGGCTCATTGTTCACCATGTCTTATAATCAAATAATCTCCAAGAAAACCATTGGGACAATCATCAAAAACGGTCGGGAGATTACAATCTCGGTTGCAACAAGAACTAGCCATTGGATACGTCCTGATATTGCTGTCGACGCAGTTGGGGATGCATTCACTAAGGCAGTGGAGGGATACGATGGGGACTTACCTGCTGATACCAAAGACGTCTGCGCAAGGTAGTTGCCGTTTCGGTGTTCGCTTTTAGAGACTAACGGTGATACTATAGAGAATCCGAGCATACGAGCACTGACCCCAGAGACCATTTCACTGGTGTCTGCTTCAACTCAAAAAATGAAGGAAAGAGCGTACACTTTCCGACAAAGAAATGATCGTGCTAGACTTCCCCTCGTATTCAACGTGAGTACCCATACAACGTTGCTTATTGTATGGAAGGCACTAAAGCATGTCTTTCCAGATGCCGTCCATAATTCGTGACTCTATCAAGCCATGCATTAAATGGCTCATGGCTATTAATATGTAAGGGTCCAGTCGAATTTGAAGTGGAAGCTTGGAGGCGTCAGGCTGGAAAATAGTGCATAGTTTTGTGAATGAAATATTCTAGCGTCTCAGTTATGAGACTTTGGTTTTGTAAAATTGTGCAATGTCTGTTGGGAAGTTTCGACAAAGTAGAGAATAGATATACAGAGGGAGAGACTCCTTTTGGAAGCTGGAGGAAAGGAAGCTCTAGAGGTTCGCTTGCAAAGAGAGCTAATGCCAGATGAGCTTCGAAGCGTCCATCAAATTATTTTGAAATCAAAGCAAATGGGAACGCTTGCTCTACAGATGAGCTATGGAGCTGCATCCTACGGTGGAAAGAGAAAGGTAGTCCAGCCCGAGGTTTCATTGGGCGACGTATTGCTCTACTATCACTAGCGCTAGTGTATACGAGCTCTTCATCGTGATTATTTGGTGATCTTGTCAAAGCAATTTCCTCAGTTTAGATAACGGATGAGATACTGCATGATCATCATTACCGCTAAATGCATATGCAGGACCTATTCCAAGCTCAGCCCCTAGTAACGGTGCTCGCTTAGGCCCCTCTTCTAGTGTACATGACCTGTTTGCAATCCCCGCTAGTCTCGATATCCAAGGGGTTGGTGTGGAGCTTCAGTCATGAATGGATACAAGAACGATACTTCGAAAATTGAGAAAATGTATAAATTATTCTTCCTAGGTTACTACAGCTGTTCTGAATCGTCCTTAGTCGTCGAAAAAGGCTAAATCCGTGATTTCTGCCATCAGCTCGAAGAGAAACGCTACTGTAGGTCCCTGCCTAAGTATCGATATATCTCGATTTCCAACTCATTTCTCTTTCTGCTCTAAGAGTTTAAAAAGTCTTTCTTGTTGCTGTTCCAACTGAGCTAGAAGTTTCTCTTCTCGTGCTTTCTGCTCTGCCTCCCGTGTTTTCTGCTCTTCTCTCTGCTGTTCCAATTGAGCGAGAAGTTTTTCTTCCCGTGCTTTCTGCTCTTCTCTCTGCTGTTCCAACTGAGCAACAAGTTTCTCTTCTCGCGCCTTCTGGTCTGCTGATAGTTGCTCTTGCTGTAACTTTTGTTCCTCTAACTGCTGCTGCAAGGTTTGAATCATGCTACGTAGCTCCGGTTGTAAGCCCCGATTCTGTGCAGAGGGCGCCCGGCTATATGAGGGCCGTTCCTGGGACCAGATTCGTGATTGGGAGCTTATATCGTCATCGACATCGAGCTCAAACGGGAGTTCTTGTGGATCAGGAATTTCTTCCAGAAAACGCATCAACCGGTCAGTATGGATGGGAAGGAAATCACGATCGAGATTTTCCACAAAACGATAACATGCCCATTTATCCCCGTCTGCCCAAATGTTGAACTGCTTCACTAACCAGCGATAATATTTGATCCCGTCTTCGCCAATCTCGGGATAGTGGCCGTAGATTCGCACACCCTCTAATTCATGCGAAATCGAGAAGCCAAGGAGCCTCCGATTCACCTCTCCCAGACGACCGGCAGCCTCAGCTAAGCTGACCACCGCGCGAAGCGCAATACACATGCTGTGCATATTCTGCCGATCCGCAAATTCCAAAGCTTGGTTTCCGCACTTGATTTCTGCCGTTAAGTAAGGGAAGTACATATCTTCTCGCACTGCATAGAGAGATTTTTCGTCCGGCTTGATTCCAAGCTTTCGCCGCTGGTTGTCTGAGAAGGTCGACCACCGTAAGCCTCGAGCATGGTCTGGCTGTGGTTTGGGACCATAGATTGGCTCTGTCTTGAGCCATGGATCATTGTAACCATCGATCACATCTTTCAGTCCGTCCTTCCCTTGGATAAAGAGGTTCTCTGCAGATGGCATGAGGAGTGGGTGTAAATCTACCAGCAGTCGCGCTTCTGATCGATTTCGTAATGCATTGTGAAAATCCTCGATGAACTCATCGTCGAAGAGACCGCGTGGGATTTCAACTGGTTGATGGAGGAGTCGCTGGCAAAGCTCGACATCTTTAGAAGTCGGACCGGCGGGGGAATGGCGCATAAAGCAGCCTTTTGTCTCTAGAATCGTGACATAATTTGCCGCCTTATATGCATGTGATTTAGCATCACGAGATGACGCACTCGCACTCGGTGAAACAGAACGAGGGCGTCCACGGTCGGTCGATGGTGATTGTGAGCGTGACCTCTTAGATGCAGGTTGGCTCATAATGTCAACCTCGTTAAACTCCTCTGATGGGGCGGGTATCCATGCAAAGATCTCCTTTTCACGTTTGTTGATCGGTTTCGACGGATGTACAGTCGCTGATTGTGTACGTTCCTGTTCATTAATCTTCTGAAACTCAATTAGTACATCAGCACAATAATAGGTGTTTGCAACCAGCCCTACTACTAACATTATACGATAAAGGTGAAAGGGGTTGCGTTGTAATCTGCTCCTGCTCTTTGTTTGATGGTACTGCACCTGTACTTGAACTGTCGCGCCGTCGCAGTTTCGCTGGCCGTTCGTCCACGCCGTCATACGAATCAGAGGCTATTGTGCGTTTCATATTCTAGGCATTAGATAATGCGAAGAACCAGTTGATTCAATGAAAACAATCTACAGCGATTTAATATATAGCACTGTATCAGAAAGGATAAAGAGTCGATAATTGAGTGGTAGGGAGATCGAAACAACGAGCTCAGTTGGCGCCGACCCAAAGACTTGAACTGGCTCCAACATCCAATCATATCTCCTCTCATGTATTAGTCATGTTCCGCCTTAAAATCCAGGCACCAAACAGCGGGACATCCATGCAGCATCCGATTGGTGAGAGAGTTGGAACTGGGGGGAAGATTGAGGACGTACGGGAGCTGACCGAGAAAACTAAGCATAGAGAGGAAAAGGAAAGAAGCTTTCTCTACAGCACGTAGAGCCACCTTAGGACTCCGCGGTGCCTAAACAGGAAATCATAACAATGGGATATCCCGTTGGAGATGACTTCTTAGGGCTTAGGGCTCGGCAAGGTCCCGGGACGGCGCCACAAAGGACCGTGCCACACTGTGCCACACTGAGCACGCTGAGTACGCTGAGTACTCGGATCCCCCAGGTCCGTCACAATTTCAATCGAATCATCTTATCGTTCCAGTCAGTCATCCCCATTGGCCGCAATCAACCCATGTCAAATCACGGGTGGCTGTGGGGGAGGCGACGGTGGTCAATAAATAACCCCGCTATTAATGAACACGAGGATGGTCTGATATTATCTAGTTGTCTAGTTTATAGTTTATAACAACAGTCCCTTGGCTAGAAAATGGATAATAACCTCTTCTCAGGCTTATCTCCACTGAATGTGAGTGCAGCTCTCCTCATTTTGCATCACTTCTGACGTGTGCCTCCCACAGCCTAAAGAACCGCAGGATTTCAAAGCGTTTACCTATGAACGCTCTGTACATGTTCCTCACACCGGAAATGTGCAAGTTTTCTCCTTGCACCACTTGCATCTCAATAATTCAGCACTTCAGGTTCAAGCCTTCCGTTTAAGTGAGCGTGCTACTTCAGCCGGCGATCTTGGACCGGCAATAGCGTTCGGTCTCGTGGGGACCATAGGCGTACTCGTGACAGGGGCTTCACTATACTATAGCAGGAGAGCGGATAGACAGGCATATCAGGGTGGCGATACTTGTGGAGTGTGTTTGCAAACAATTGCCACTTTGCTTCGTTCTCAACCGCCTCGTTGTCCGGATTGCGGCTCCATACGATTACCAGAATGCGAGATCTGCTCAAGGCCTACCTGTCGGGCGCGCATCTTTCAAACCAGACGAATTGAGCAAGAAATTATTTTGACAAAACCCGCCCGGAAATGTGAGACGTGTTCAGCGCACTACTTTGTGGGGCTGGCTAGAACAAGCGGCTACATGCGCTTTGAAGAAGTCTAAAGAACAGGGCCTATGTGTACGGTGTTTCTTATAGTCGGCGTACACGATTGCCAGGCATCACTGATAGTTGGATATGGGGTGTGCTTTGTAAATCGTAGCTGAAAGTGCTCTCATATACGAGATTCAACCAGGCTGCGTACATCATCGTTTGTTACAGATGAGTGCCCCTGAGTGAGGCACAGCTTGTTCTTTCTGCTCCTGAGCCTGTAATGATCAAAATTCATAGTTCGTGGGAGGAATTATTAATTGGGGTGTTAGTTAACTATTGGCAAAGGTAGAATAAATGACGTAAGTCGTGGGCCTAGCCGTCCACATCGTACTAGTACTACTATGTCTTACTCCTGCTCGCACTCGTCTGACTCGGTCATCGTATAATGAACAGCTCGCCACCCTTTACATTGCTATCGATGGACGGAAACCGATGGACTCCAAACGCCACACGACCCTGACAGATCTCTGAATATACCAAACTGGCTAGAGAGTGTGCTTGGTTACTTTCGGTGGTTACTCTGCGAAGGATTAGGACCCTGATCGACCGCAGAGATTTGATTCGATGCGGTCCCACAATCCACTTGTGGACCGAAGGACACAGTTAATTGGACGACAACGGAATGGGTAACCTATCTGCGTCTGGTGCCTGGCAGGACTGATTTGATTCGCACGTGGGTGAATTGCTCCCGTCTGGAAACCTCCCAATGCAGGGTGGGTCTTTCTCAGTTCATTTCTTCGTCAAACCATCCTATTTTCCTTTACCACGACCGAACGACCCTTATTATCGCTTCATCAGGAATATTCTGCATACTTATGAATTATCGGGTAATTTATGAAGCTTGATTACACTTAATGCGTGAATAAAGTTCCGCAAAACAGCGATATAGCCATGGCCCCCCGTCTTCCAGAGTACTTCGTCCGTTCAATCCAAAGCAGACCCAGAGGTCAGTTCTATTCACGTCAGGAAATTCCCCTGCTGACCAAAGAGCTAGCTTGGACTGGGTTATTACCAGTTTCAAGAGGCGATTTCCCAATTCGATAAGCTCGTCTCGCTAGAGAACGCGCCGGAATAGACTTGTATTTCTTCAGAGGAATAACAGATCGTCCTCTGAAATCACAACGCAGAGGTCGGTTACAGGACGACTTTTGACAGCAGTGTGATATGATGGCTTTGATTGTTAATATATTGTCAGGTGATCTGTCTCATTCATACCAAAACCCGAATATACCAGAACCCGATCGCATATCAGATACCTTATGCATCAACCCGGCTTTGCTGCACAAGCAGAGCGAGCCGTTAAGTGAAGACCTTCCAAGTAACAGCTTGGATGACAGGCTTGAGAGGTCGATCTTGGGTGATCTGGGACAGAACTGGACCAACCAGAGTCTGCCATCTACCGATACTATGTGTAACATGGCGGACAGTGGTAACCCTTATTCTAGCTCGTCGAACGTGCGTGAGATCGCAGCGATGAGTCTCCCAACGTGCATTGAGACAGGAAATTGTTCAACCTCGGAGATCTATAAGGTCGGCACGTGATGGAATCTAGGTGAGCTAATCCAAATTAGGAATAAACCGAGGTATCCACATACATATACTAGTTACGTAGTAAGGATGATTTGTCTACGGAGTGAAGAATTTGCTTTGGATTAGGACCCTGGTCGACCGCAGAGATTTGATTCGATTAGGTTCCACAATCCACTTATGGACTGAGGGGCACAGTAATTAGGTGTCTGCCTAGCAGGATTAACTCGATTCGCATATGGGTAAATTCCCTCTGCAGGTTGCGGCTGCTCTGCTGCTGTAGAGCTGGCCTTTTTAAGACAGAAGTAAACCCGATTTATCACACAATTTCTCTTTCGATTCTCTCCCTCGCATTACTGGACGCCTTCAAAACACAGCCGTTCTGAATCAGTTGAAAAAATGGAATTGCTTCCACGAGTTGGTCATATCCAGGCAATGGCCACGGTTTTCGTTGCAACCTGGTTTGATTCACGAGTATGCATACGCTACCAACGGCTTATATTTTTTCCCTGGTTTTCACCAGCTTTCAGTTTAACCAGTTTTCGCCATTCTTAAGGAGCCAAATATGGCTACCACCTTTAAAAACCTTCGCTCAGCCTCACCCTCCTGTGACCGATAGTCGCCAACTCTCTTTTTCATCCAGCGAAACTCCGTTACCTCTCTCCCACCCTTTCTACGATGTGTCTAACGGAAATTCTTATAGATTCATCGTCGCTAAGTTATGAACGCTGTGCATATTACCTCTAGAAGTATTAAATAATGGCAGTCTTTGATGTGAAATAGCCGTACTAATACAGGATGCATATTATTAGCGTCTATACAATAACGCGAGAAGAAGCTATTCAGGAGCTGGTTCCTTGGCCTTGGTTAGTTATCTCAAATCAGGGTGGCCATTCAACCAATCATAAGTTATTAGAGTCGGCGGCAAGACCAACCTGTTCAACGAAGGAGTCTTGAATAGCCTGAAGAATCTGAGTGTCCTCTGTAATATCCTCTGCTAGTGGCTGCTCTCCATCCCCTAGTCGATGCAGGTGGCCGTTGCGGACAACCCAGTTCAAGAATCGCACATCCTCCGTACTTTGGATTGCCACCTTGAACATATCCACATTCAGATCGCAGATCATACTCGCGACAGCCTTCTGACCTGCAGCGGTAGCCTGCCTCGTATTCCAGCTCTTGCTGACCTGGTAAACATAGACAATGACGACAAGTTGCTGGCCAAACCGGCGAAGGCGACCAATTGCCTGGTCCATGACAGCCTTGGTTATTGGCAGATCGTAGAAATGCATGATATTACATCGTGGTTGCAAGTTCAGGCCCAGCGCATTGACCGCCAGAGACATGATCAGGATCTGGCACTCGTCCGTGTTAGTAAATGCATGAATCAGGATATCGCGTTGTCTGTAATCGAGCTTGGCGTGGAAGATCCGAGCATCGATGCTGCACTCTTTCAGCACTGCCGCAACATGGATCTGATTGGCGGGAAAATTACACCAGATTATCTGCTTTTCCTTTCGAATGAGACAGTTATGGATTACGATAGGAAGCATAGCTCTCATCTTAGGAGACCCTCGTAACAGGGTTCGGATCGCATTGATCGAAGGGTAGATCCTTTTTCCTTCTTTCCTTGCAGCATCAAACCACGTCCTCGCATTCGCATACTGCTTACGATGCACGGTCCGCCCCAGACTTTGACACACGGTGTTGTATGCGAAGAGTCTCAGAAAGTCGTCGAGGTTGGAAGCAGTAAGTACGCTCTCCACGTATTCAAAACCCAGCCATGTGGTCAGAAGCGTGAGCATGCGGTATTTGGCCATGTTGAGCACAATCTTGTGATCCTTCTCCATAATCAATCCTTTGTAATGGGGTGCCACTAAAGTGTCGTAAAGGTTCCTCTCAGCGTCAGTAAACTGAACATTGATGATACGGGTCTGTGAAGGGGGAATACGAGCGCCAATGACGGCCGTTTTCCCACGGATGTGGATGACGGAACTGAGAGTTCGGCGGACCATGATGGACGGCATGATCATCTTTAGACGGACACTGGCGACGGCGACTGTAATCGAATTTGAAAATACAAACCGATCGAGGGCCCGGCGGGTGAATCGTAAGAACGCACCAGGGTGAGAATCATCCAGCGCGAAGGGATTATCACCAGGTCCAACATTCAACTCCCGCATCTTGTCCGGCTGGTCCCACACCTGATTCGCCTCCTCGGCCACAATGAGATCCACATATCCAGCAAAGTCCATAATACTATTGTAGAAAATGGTACCGGACATGATCAGATGAAATCTGGCTTGCAACCAGCGAATGCTGATCGATAACCCGCTATCCTTATTGCGAACGGTGTGCCCTTCGTCCAGGATCACGTCGTGAAAGACGCCCCCCAGATCCCCAGGCCAGCCCGGAGGCTTGTAGTCGCTTGCAGCCAGCGAGGGACTATACTGCATCGGATTCTTTCTACCTTGTTTTCGTAACCATCTTTCTACGGCGGGGGGCCCATGACGGGAACGGAAAGTGTCATATGTTGTCAGGATTACCACGTTTGCATTTTCGAACGAGCCATCGAACACCTCACTGTGACAAGTAAGAGGTTCAGTAATCAAGGAGGCTTTTTTCCAGGTCCCGGTTTTATAAGCTTTCTTGTCTCCAAAGAGAATGCGGACATCGAAAGCATCTGTCACTTTCTGGATCTCATTCGCCCATTGCATCAGAATTGCGGATGGAACGATCAATAGAAAGGGCCGGTAAGTCGGTACTGGTGCGGTAGCCTTGGTATTATTAGTGCTCTTAGCTTGCCACGCACTGTGCCGGCATTTTGCCCGTCTCAGGATCTGTGGATGGGATTATTCAGCGTCGCTGGAAAATAGGTTCCAGAAATCTTTTATTCATGAAGGCTTTATACTCACCTCTAATATGTACACTATAGCCTGGTATGTCTTGCCGAGACCCATGACATCGCCCAAAAACGCTCCAGTGGACAAAGGAATGTCGTTCTGCCTTGCCTCTCTGATTTCCAACAGACGAGCAACTCCAAGTACCTGCCATGGTTCCAGAGAACAATTGCTCCTCATATATCGATGGCGTACCTTCACGATGGAGACTTCGTCATCTTCTGGTGCAGCAAGATACAGCTGTGATACGGCTGCATCAAAGTCATGAGGCTGATATTGCGAGTTGTCCATCCACAACAACTGACTGCGGTACGACTTCAAACTGTCTTCCGTCACTGTCATCAGGTACGATGGCGGCACATGCTCTGACTCTTCATCAACTCGCATGCTAGCTACCTCGTCCGCTTGAAAGCAGTTGAGATCAAGAAAAGTCTCCCTGTCACTGGAATCAATAGGATCATATGCAGGTTCAACTTGCTCACGAACTTCTTGGACTTCATCGACACCAGCATGAGGATCGCCACTGGACCACTGAGATTCCTGCTTTTCAACGCCTGCGTCATGGCCGCTTTTTGATATCGCATCATTGGAGATATCTTGAAAATCAGGATCAGTCCAATCCGACCCCTGTTGAACCACATCACTGGCCTTATCAATTTCTGCATATTGCATGGCTGTACGCGCGAACATTAGCTGCCAGTATGGATCAGCTGGATCGAATTCGGTCGACTTTTTAGTCGGATATTCTTCCCGGCCGTACGATTTAATCATTGTTTTCCAAGACTCAGACATCATCTGGGACACAATGCCAAATAAGTTCTCAACTTGTCCAGCATCTTCCTCCGAGATTGTAGTATCATTTGGGGGAGTTTTGTTAGTGGGATCGGTGCCGTCTTCCGGTATTAGGTCTTCCTCCCCCGGGCCGTTGGAAAAAGGGTTCTGCTCAGAACCTGTTTTCAATCGCTTCTTCTTGGTACGGGGAACATTCCGAGCGGTCCTCTTCTGGGTGGCTTTTGGATTAAAATGACCGTCTAATAACGCTCTACCCCCGCTTGGCCGGTTGATCTGTGACGGGGCGTGAAGGTGCTGAATTGCCTTCAAGACCGACCACATCAAGATCTCCGCTTCTCTTGGGCGGAGCGCACGGTTCTTGAATAGTCCATCGAGATGTCTAGTGTTGTGGCGTAATGCATGGTACATGAACCTTGCTAAATAGTGAACCTCGGTCCAGTCGGATGTATCCGTGTATGGATTCACGATCTCTTCCTTGAAGGCCTGCATGACATTTAACGTTTCCTCCAAGCCAACGCCTCGAGCTGTCTTTTCGTTCTTCTTCAGACAGTCCTCCCAAAGGGCGTTCCAGAATGGCATGAAATTGGGACTCCTCAACCATCTCTTCCAATCATCCTCATCCGACAAGTGAAGTTGGGACCGGAGGATGGTAAGGCTTTTACTTAGTATCTTCGATATGTCTTCTCCTAGTGAAGTCTCAATATCCCACTGTCAGTTCTCACAGTTGAGTCTTACGTCTTGCAGTCCCTGTTTGCTGTCTGGACAATCCATTCACTGTGACATTCCTTGGGGGCTGGAGCGGGTTATCTCTTGCAGTAACCCTTGGATCGGCTGGCGGGCCGTCATTAGTGTCAGTGGGACCGTTGGAATTTGGGTTCTGATTGACAACTGGAACCCTTTTACCAACCCCACTACAAATACTTTCCATCTTGACAAAAATGTGTCAATTATAAGGATGTCCTCAGAGAATGAATGAGACAATGCGGCTGGGTGGTGACTTGGGGGTTCCTTTATCAATACCTACCTTGCTTTGGACTCCCGTCGGTCCGTTATGGTAACTGCATCGGGAAAACACTCGCTACTGACAGAACTCTGTTGTGAAACGACCAATAAGAATTAGGACCCTGATCGACAGCGGAGATTCGATTCGATGTGATTCGATAGTCCACCGCTGGGCCGAGAGACACAGTTAATTGGATGACACCGTGGTGACTAAGCGCCGTGTTTGCCTGGTGCCTGGTAGGGCTAATTTGATTCGCACGTGGATGAATTCCCTACGCAGGCTGCATCGAGGAAGGAACTGCGTAGTAAGCTCCGTTTCGCTTTGATTTACGCTGTGGAACTGCATTTTTAAAGCCGGAAATGAACCAATTTCCCACAAGATTTTTCTTCTGCTTCTTCTCATCGCATTAAAGAACAGGGCATCCGCTCGCGTTCCTTCCTCTCAATACCAGTAAACAGTGGGGCTTCGCAAATCAATACTTAAAAACATCTGGGGAAACTTAGTAGAATTTATCCGTGGGCGGACTGGACTCTTTTCATCTGGTAGTAATGGTGTTCTCGACTGGTGTCGACAACGTTCCTACTAACAACAAACTAGCTCGTTACCGACGATATATTGGGTGCGAAGCGGGACTGTTACCAGCACCGTACGAGTGCAAGACAGCACGAGACAGGTCGTTACCGGCACTGTATGAGTGCAAGACAAGGCGAGACGGGTCATTACCAGCACCGTATGAGTGCAAGACAGCACGAGACGGGATCGTTACCAGCACCGTATGAGTGCAAGACAGCACGAGACGGATCGTTACCGACACTAGATGGGTGCGAGACAGCACAAGATGGATCGTTATGGGAGCAAGACGGCATCAGACAGGAACCTTCCCGACCCAGCACATTGTTGATGGGACTTGGCCCCACCTCAGCTTGACTGAGTTATCGTAGATTGCTAGTGAAAGCTACCGCCAAATAATTATTATTCAAGAGGTATAAAGATCTTCCTATCAAACAGCTCGCACTCATCCGAGTCACTCGGTGTATGATGAACTGGGTAGCTGCTCTTTACACAGAATATACTGCGTTGCTTACAGAGTACATACTTGTATCGAGACTTTTAAAACAACAAGGTATGACGTCAGTGTCGGCCCATTAACCACATTAGGAAAATGCTCGCTAGTGATAGCCTACAGAGTAGTTTTGATGCTGATCTGTTTGCTTCAGAATGGGAAGAGGTTTGTCGAAATTCGACGCGGTTCGATACTCCACTCATGGGCTGAGGGGCATGTCTGGTGCCTGGCAGGACTAATTTGATTCGCCTGCGGCTGCATTGAGAACGAACTCTTTGACGACAACCGACACCAGTTTGTACCGGCATCAACTCGGACTTAACACCAACTCGTTTTCAACAACGATTCATTATGACACCAAATCGAACCGATACCAACTAGTACTGGCAACCAACTCGAACTGACACTAACTCGGACTGACATCAACTCGGATCGACACTAGCTCGTCTCTGACAACAATTCGTTCTGTCTCGTTTTGGTTTATGCTGCGGAGAGTGCACTTTTAAAGACAGACACGAACTCGATTCTTCACACCATTTCTCTTTCGAATCTACTCCTCGCATTAACTGAAAAAGATCTTGCAAACTTATCTCCATTTCAAACGCTAACCATGGGGTATTATGGCCACGGTTTTCGTGCGAGCTGGCTTGTTTCATGGTTGTGTGCACACTACCACCGGCTTACGCTTTTTACCACGGTTTTCACCACTTTCCACATCACTTTTCACCATTTTTCCACCTTTTCCCTGGCCCTCAGTTTTCTAAGGAGCCAAACATGGCTACCACCTTTAAAAACCTTCCCTCGCCCTCCTGCGACCGATAGTCGCCAACTCTTTTTCATCCAGCGAAACTCCACCATCTCTCTCCTACCCTTCCTACCATGAGTCTAACGAGAATTCTCATAGATACATCGGCCGTAAGTCATAAACATTACCGCTCGAGGTATTAAGCGATCCTAGTCTCTGATGTGAAATTGCAGATACAAATACAGGACACATATTATCAGCGTCTCTACAGTAACGCGAGAAGCATCCAGGTGAAGTCACAATCTCCTGTCAGTATAACGAATCTTTAACAGTCAGCCAGTTTGCTGGACTATTAGCTTTCTATTTGAACTCAATCTTGACTCTGGAACCTTTCTTGTTGCAAGAAAAGCTCGCCTTTACCCAGAAATTTCTGGCACCCGGTATATCCATACATACCGGCCATGGGACGGCTTTTCATCCAGCGGAACTTCATCACTTCTTTCCCACCCTTCCTACCATGAGTCTAACGAGAATTCTCATAGATTCAGCGTCCGTAAGTTATGAACGCTGTCCATATTACCGCTCGAGTTATTAAGTGATCCCCGTCTCTGATGTGAAATTGCAGATACAAATACAGGACGCAGATTATCAGCGTCTATACAATAATGCGAGAAGCGTTCAGGTGAGGTCACAAACCTTGTCAGTGTAAGGAATCCTAACGGTCAGCCAGTTTGATGAATTCTTGGCCTTCTATTTGAACTCGCTCTTGACTCTGGAACCTTTCTTATTGCAAGAAACACTCGCCCTTACCCAGATATTTCTGGCACCGGGTATATCCATACATACCAGCTGTGGGACGGCTTTTCAGTCTCATCAAGGTGCTCCCTTTCCAAAATGATGACAGGTCGGTTTTGTTAACTTGAACAGCTCCTTTAGGTGATAACGACGTGCTGCATACAAGTGAAACTCCTGCCCACAATGTTCGCCCCTTCGAAATGAATTCATCCAGTGCTCGCCAGCCGGTGAACACACTGGGTCACGAGGTCAATCTACCTACCATAGATGCCACTTCTGAGATAGGATCTATGGGCGGCCTATTCGACCGAGACTTTGATGACGACGGACCACCGCAGACTCCTCAGCACGCCTCGACACCAGTTCCATCATACTATCAAGGTGTTTTTCTTTCCGGATATTGGTCTTGAGATGACCTCGCTAACTCGTACAACTTCCGCAGATCGTAATAACGACGGGACACTGTCTTGCGATATGCTCTCCGCGCAGAACATTCCATCCATCGAAGCGGGCTCGAACACGGCGGTCGCAGATCATCACATGGAGCAGGTCGATCCTTACGACCATGGGTACAGTTCTTCGTCCATCGTCGGTGCTACACCTGACTTAGCGCAGACGAGCGATCCCATTGAGCAAATTTTTGACAGCTGCCAAAATTCACAACGTCTTGGTTGTTTCACTCCTCCGGAATGTATCACTGACCAAGACAGTCCCTCTTACTCCAGCTTGGCAGCGTCACCCGGGATTGGCCGATCACCACTTACCGTCTCCACTAGCGACTGTAACCAGTCTAGTCATGATACTGGGGAGTCCATGCCTGCTGAAAGTAGTTTGGCGGGCACCGCTGGGGTAGAGTCATATCCTACCCCTGTATCAAACCCCTCTCATACTCCGAAGCCAGCAAACCGTGTACAGAAACGCAAACCTCGTAAAGCCACGAGGGAAAAGGCTATTCGAGAAGATAGAGACGTGTTAGCGTCAACACTCTCCACTTTGGAACGGGGTAATCCTTCACCGTCGAACGAAATTAACTCTCCTCAAATGGGTCTCCTCAGATGTCTGGTGAGTAAAGCGTGTCAAGTCACTAATGGTGAGACGTTGCGTGAGGTCGATAAATTAAACGATGGGACGTTGCGTACGATCTATGAAACAGGCGATCGGATAGTCAGGGGAACTTGTGTCATTCTCAATGACTGGAGTGAGTGGTTGTTACGAGAGTTTCAACCAGCATTACTTCCTCCTTATCACAGTCTTTCCACTGTGGAAAAATGCGTCGCTGCGTCTCGAATATTGGTAGAACCCAAGGATGGCAGCCATGGCAAATCCATAGCTCGTCGTCTGGCACAAGTCCTTCTTTACACATTCGTTGCAGTATACGAGAAAGAATTGAAAAAAATGTTCCACCGAAACGGTCGCACACCCATGGCAATGGCCCATGACTTCATAATGGAAAGGATCGAGTGGAATCGTAATCGACTTGTGGACAGTAAGAATTATGGCAAGCGATGGTGGAGACTAGGAAGTGGCATTGGAATCATCACAATTCTGACATGCGCACCGGATTCGGTGATGGGCGACATGTAAGCCAACCCCGACCATACTAATCGATAGGAGACTCACTTTTTGTTAGGGAAAACCGAACATACACCGATGATTTCTTAAAGCTCTTGATCAACTATGTGAGAAACGCGTATCCCAACGCTGTAGCTCACTTTCAGTCACTTGATCCCATTATTCAATCCCTTTTTGCTAATACTTCATTGCCCACGAATGCTTCCGTCCGTCCAGACGGTTTGCATTTGGATTTTAATACTCTTTCTGAACGGGTCCAGTGGTTCAATACCGAGAAAGCAATGGAAGCTGCAACGGAAAGGCTCCTGCGCGTCTTCAAGTAAGACTTAGAAGGACAGGCGTTGCAGGCAGCAGTCTGTCTCTTCAGTTTGATATTCCTTAGCTCCGTATATAGTTACTTGCTGCCTTTTTTCACTAATATGGCGGGAATAAATCTGTTACATATGCATTCATTGAGTCTCTCACAGACCATAAATAAAGAAATGATTCAATTTCGCAATACCAATTTAGGCTAAGCGTAGGCAAGTAACAGGAGTCCGGCAGAACCCAGCGTTGTTCCTGTCTCTGACTACGATCTTGAAGGTAATGGCAATCAGTATCGACATGGCTTTCATGAGGGCATCGCTTTGGCTTCGTCAATTGAATCCGCGCTTTGACTGATGAAGTTCTTTGAAGTGGTCTTTACTGGCTTGGGCCAATGGCGTTCCTGCTATCATTAGTTTACGGGAAGCCATTCAACGGGGGGAGGTGCGCACTAGTTCTCGGAGAGATGGACTGAAAGCTTCGGTAGAATCGGACTGAAAAGTGAAGATTCGACCGGTGCCTCTTAGCCGGATCACCATATAAACATCAGCGTCACACTCAACACTGTAGGTGTAGCCTTTTTTGAAAAGAGTCTTCCTGAGCCTGCCTCTTTGTTGACTCCTAGCTCGCGGAGTATCCAGTTGACGTTTTCTGGAACTTGGATCTGCGGTCATTGTATAGAGTGATTCACCTCGGTCTGGCTTGATTCACACCACCTTTCGAACGGGGGATCCCTTGCGTATTTATATGGTTATTGACTGTTGACTCTTGAGTGTTTGAAACAGAATGGCACCATGTTGTCTGTTGAAACCAAAACTGGACGCTTATGTAAGGCCTCCGTCTCTGAAGACTATATAAGGTCCTCAGCTCCCTCCTCTACGACATTGCTCACTGCATGGTTTCTGGTTTAGAATCCAATTCTCTCAATCATTCATGGATGCCATTAACATTTATGGAATTGCCATTGGCGGCATCCTGTTACTTCTCGTCGTGGCCCGTTTGAGACCCGCACTCTGTGATTTGGCTCGTGTGCTCTCTATTTTGGTGTCAAAATATCTCGTTTATCCATACATGCTGAATCGTCATCGATGGTTCGGACCTTGGACCTGGGCAGGCATCATCAAATGTCTAGTGTACGGCGCCTTAAACTGCGTTGTCGTCTTGTACAATGTCCACACATATGAGGAGGCTAGTGCTCAGGCAGGCAGACTTGCTCTTGTTAATATGGCAGTCCTATTCATGGCTCCTCACCCGAGTGTCCTAGCAGATATCCTTGGAATTTCCCTAGAGGCCTACCAATGGATACACCGTGCAGCTGGGTGGATGACGTGTGCTTTGGTGACGATTCATGTATTGACAATTCAGCAAGACGTGGACCCAAAACAAGGGGAGATCCTCTTCGCAATTATTGTAGGCAGGTTCCCTTGCTATCAAGATGTCAGAGCTAAGTTCTATTTAGGGCGCTGTCTCATTAGCAATGATTATCATATCTACCATTCCAGTCCTCCAGAAGCGGATCTATGAAATATTCTTGCGAACTCATCAGGCCCTTGCAGTCTTATTCGTTTATGCTATTTGGCGCCACTTGCCCTCGGGTTCCATCTTCCCACGACTGTATCTCTACGTCCCGTTGTCTATCCTCTGTTTGATCGCGGTCTACCAGGTTGGACAGTTTCTATACCAGAACAGCTTCCTCTCATCCCGGCCAAAGCCGCGGGCAACAATTACCTGTAGACCAGTTCAACCACCAATCGATGGGAACAAGGAAGGCTCGGGAAAGGAACTGGAAAAAGATGTCGGGCGCATCATAAAGATTCATGTTACTCTGGGCAGACCCCTTGGCATTGGTGCCGGTCAGTGTATTCACTTGTGGATGCCCTCGGTGAGCTTTGGTTCTTGGATGCAATCACACCCCTTCGTAGTGACCTCTTGGTCACCAGAGAAGCAGACCACGCTGGAATTTTTTGTCCAGGTCCGTCGAGGATTCACCGCAACTTTGCACCAACGTGCCTCTGCCAGTGGATCCGCTTCGTTCTGTGCGTTCGTGATGGGTCCGTTTGGGATCAGCCACTCCTTAAGTCAGTATGAGACCGTCGTTGCTGTGGCCAGCAATGCTGGTATTGCGGGCGTGGTACCCTATCTCAAACAGCTTCTCTATAGCTACAATACGTTGACGGCTCAAATCCGCCGTCTGCATCTAGTGTGGGAAGTTGACACTCTAGGTAAACAGTGATCATTTACACACACGCACAGAGCTAATCGATATAGATATGGTTGTTGAAGCGCAGCCTCTACTCAATGAGCTGCTCAAAGACGACAGTCTTGCCAATGGCTATGTGAGTCATACCAGCTCCTTCGAGGATAGAGTCTAACGACTTGCAGATATTTGAAGTATCGATGTATACCGAAGCAGCCCACGATGACGGAGAATCCTTCGGGGAACACAACCGTGCTTTCCTATACCATGGGAAGCCGGATTATAACAAAATCATATCCACCGAAGTGGCAGATGACTATATAGAGAGAATTCCTAGCACTCCGGACCAGACTGGGGAGATTCTGATACTGAGTATGTCTTTGATATGGTCGATAACTGATCAGAATACTAACATAGTAAAGCTTCGGTGTCAAACAGATTGAGGGATCATTTGAAGTCTGTTGTTCGTGGGTACCTTGGTAAGAAAGTTACTATGCAGGAAGTGGACTACCAGCCGTCTGAGATCATCGCACAGTGATTATGGGGTGATAGAGTTTTCTCCAACCTAAAGCGTTCATTAGTTTATTAGTAGAGATATATAACATTTCCATGACGTCATGTTCCTGTTTTAAAAAAAAATGATCGACCTTGCATATCGTACGGAACGGCTAGACCCACATTGAGGACAACTGGATGACGTCAACGTCTGGATGCTTGAAACCGAACGCTTACTAAGACAACAGTCATTATACAGGATACAGTAGCTATCATATGGAAACATTATTTCACCGAAGACAGGACTTATGATGAACAGAGGTATAGTACATGCTCTAGATAGAATCTGCGATCGTTCGTACAATAGGAAGGTATGACAGAAAATATTCACGGAGCCTAAATTCAGCTACTCATGTCTGGGAACTAATAGAATAGAAAGTACGTGCAGAAATCAGTGCGAGTCGAGCCAATCCCGCTAAATGATCCTTTGAGAATTTTGCGATCTTGAAGATATACTATACAACAGTTAGATACTCCGTTCTCTGTCAGTGGTGTGATCCGAACATACATCTTTTAATTCATCGATAGATTGAGCTGTATCTGTCTTTAGGAGAAATTGGAAAGCCAGAGAGTCCACAGACCAGCGGTCTACATTATCGATTCCCTTGGCGCCGTTGGACTTGGTGTATTTTTGCATGAGCAATGTGGTTATTGATGCGACGGCATCGATTGACCTGGACTGGTCTGGAGAACCCTTCACACAGCGGTCCAATGCCGCTGAGGAGTTTGTCAGCTCTTTCTTCCAGCATGCCGAGTTGCTCTTACCGATCTGAATCGTTCCGTCCATTCCCAGTAGGATATTGGAGCAAATGACCGCCTGGTGGTCATACCCACAGGCATGGAGAAAGGATAGACCGCTGAGAATCTTCGCCCAGACTTAGCCTTCTATATCTATATTCAGGGTATGTGGCGTTACCTGTGCAAGCGCGGATAAGACTTGAGTGTCCTGTGGATAATAATCACAAGCGACCACGTGGTCGAGAGTCACAGGCAGATCGTCAAACACCATGTATACAGAATCTTCGTATGTGAAGCACTCTCGAACGAGCAGGATATTCTCATGTCGAATTGTACGGAACTTCTCTAATATATCTTCGGAATCTTCCTTCTTAAGTGTCCGTATGGCCCTTAACTCTGACGGATAGGTACGCAAGGTAGCTATAGAAACGTCGCCGGCAAGGTCACAGTTGAATATACGCTTGTAGTATTCCCAGGGCGAATCATTCCAGCCACTCAACTGATGTTCGGCTTTTGCTTGAAGCACGGCCAAGGGCAGTCTCAATCTCTTAGGACCACCAGTTAGCTGAGTAGGAGCTTTTTTATCTATGGTGGTTTCTCCACCATCCGCTCGGGTTTCCGTAGACCCATCCAATGGTTGATCCAAGGCTTTGACCGAGGCACTGCCAGAGGAAACAACAGCAAGACTCTGAAATGGTTTGTCCGACATAATAGACACAAAACCTATAGCCACAGAAAGGCGTTCATTACGTAGGGTGCATCGGACAGGGAGACGGAGCATTTATACCTGAAACCTTACAATAGACAGGAAAGGAGACTAAATCTGTGGGCTTCAAAACAGGGAGGTGTAGAAACGGTAACATGACTCATCTACGCGTTTCGCATCAGTCCCCTTCAATGAGATTATAAATACCCCTGAGCTGCCTACTCGCCCATCACCTCTCACAATTTCTCTATCGCATATTTATTGAGAGACATACGTAAATCATCCCTGGGCAGACATGGATCGTTCCATATTCAGCAGTACAGAGTTACGATTGGCAAGAGAACGGCGTCTAAAGTTTCAAGGCACAGCAAAGATCAATATCAGCCAAATATCCCTACCTTCCGACTACAAACAGGACAATGTAGAGAGGCTGCGCCACATCTTTGAGAGTGATGATTGCGACCGATTATCATTGCCAAACCATGTCGTTGCGACCATCTCGAGAGAACACCTCATGAGCGCCCTGAGTGGCAACCAGGTAAATGCAGCCTCTTTGATGAGTCAGCCGTCTGATAGCTACATCGCCCTGGAGTTTCCGATTGGACAGGTGACGTGCCTGCACGGACAGCACCGCTTGAGAGCGGGGAGGGAGTTCTTGGCACCCTATGACCAGTGGTGGACGGTCGATCTATATTTAGACGGTGGGTCTAGATTCCTCGTCATTGTCACTGGGGTCTGACTCTCGATGAGACATCAGTCGGGAGCTTGAGACGGAATTAACGGATGAATATGCCAATGAAGCGACACCGACCGATGGCGATGTGTATCGCAAAGTCCGTCAGTATCAGTATGAAGCCAGTGCTCGCTTCGAAGAGCGATGGTTGTCTCGGCTGACGGAAAACAAACAAAAGCGGATGCGACAACTGTCACAGCCGGAAAATAGCTCGATCCGCTCAGCGTTTGACTCGTTGCTGCCAATTCCCGGTCTCTGGAAGGCGATGAGTATTGGCAACCTTCCTCGCGTCATTGCGGTGAAGTGCGATGAGGTTCGTATATCCCTGGCGCCATGAGACTTTTGCTGACGCCATTAGGAAATCATCCGCTACCTCCGTTTTATCAAGGACTTCTGGTCATCGCTAGTCGAGCATGACCGATCCCAAATGGAGAAGATTGATTGCGTGACCGTAGAGAAGCTCCAGCTTCTGGTTCCGGGAGGGCTGGACCGGACCAAAGTTAAAGGCCTGGTCCTCAGTGGTGAAGCATTCGCGAAATTTAACCAGTCGGAACGCAAGTCTATCTGGAGGGTTTTGCGCCGTCGCGGTGAGATTGTCCCATCGCTTCACACTTTTTTCAAGGACCTTTCTTACCTCGAGGTCACATCGAGCTGCCTTGGACGATTAGTCGACCTCGCGGCCATGCGCAAGCGCACCATGCGGTCCGCCATGAAGCAGATCTACAACCCCGCAAGACATGGTCGCGGTCGCTATCAAATGCAAGTGTCCGAGACGGAATTCCGATCATGTTCCGGGACAGTGGAAGAAGGCAGAGAGAGTGGATATCGACAACTCTGGCTCTTTGCCTTTCGACACTACCTTCAAATGCCGAAAGCGCGTCAGAAAAAGAAGCGACATGCCAAAACCAAGTTCCGAGAAGCCGACGACGGAGTCGTGCACCGAATGGCATCCCTAGCCCTTCAACTAGGATTCGACTCACCGCAGATCCGACGTCTCATAGACGACTCGCCAGATCGCCGGCTTGCGCTGGAAGCGCTTCTGAAGGCGCGTGACCGTGATCAGTATCGATACGATTCTATCGATACGCTTGTCAATCAGATCGTGGCATGTTTTAACGAGGCCGTTCCTGTCGAGATTCGAGACCGTCGCGCCTCAGCTCCTTTTTCCACCATCCCCAGACAGAGTCGATGTGGGAAACCCAGCCTTGAGACTCACGAACAAGAGCAAAACTTTCTCTTCCTTGATCAGATGGAGAGCCAACCATCGGATGAGTCCATTTCCGCGCTCTTTGTGAGAAGATGTGTATATTTCGCTTTCTTTGGTCGACCATCTGAGCCTCCCCCAGCCCCCATTGGCGAAGATAATTCAACGCGCCATAGCTCCCCTCATCCGCCTCCGTCGCCACTGTTCGTCCCCGAAGAACACAATCCGTTGGATGACCACCAGATGACGGGGATCGCGGATCATGTCAACGACAGACCTGACACACCGCGTCGGAGCAGTAGACGCGAGGAGAGGCGGGAACGGCGACAGCGGCGACGGCAGAAGCAGGAACGGAGGCAGCAGAGAGAGTCTCGCCGTCAACAACGAATGTCCAATGGTGGGCATGAAGGTGGACCGGCTGCCAGACGCCCTTCTGTAGACCAAAGCCACCGGGAATCAAGTCGCGGGTCTTCCGGAAATATCACTGAAGTGGAAATCGACGCTAGGAATGAACACGAATCTAGACAGCCGGAAGACACTATAATAGAGGAACTTAGAGGTAATGCACTCACTGCTAGCCATACGCCAGTTGATCCACTGATTGCGGAACCGATTGAAACCGAAGCCACACTCGGGGAAGATGTCCACGGGGTGGACACTCTTGATGATATGATGGCGCCAGAGATCGTTATCGATGATGTTGAGGACAACGCTAGACTGCACGGCTCCACAGAAGCGAATCCACTAGGAGAGATAGACGAAAACGAGTCTCTAACTCGACTCGAACCTGACCACCTTGGAGAACTGCCGTCAGGTCATCTTATAGAGGATCGTCAAGCCGTTCTCAGTGCTGTAAATCAGCATAGGGCTGTTCGACGACGAGCCCGACCCTCAGTACTCAAGCGGACGGTCAAATCCAGACGACAGGCTGCGGCACAGACCCGTCTACGCGGAAAGAAATATCGTCTGACGCAAGTAGATATAAAGCAGGGGCATAAGTTCACCTCCGATACAGATCTCCCAATCCAAAGTCCACTCGATGACGTTGTAGCGGAAGAGAGGGCTCAAACGCTTGCGCAGTTAGAAGAGCGTCCAGTCATCTCCGAATCTGCTGTTGCAGATCATGCTGATCTTCCCCAAACGTCACCCCTCCCTTCTGTGCCAGAGTTCCTTGATAGAGTGCGCGAGCCCGAAAGTCCAGTGGAGGAGAGTCATGAGCCCACCAACATTGGGGAAGACCCGCACGAGACAGCAATAGAGGACCGTATTATGACGCCAGAGATAATCATCGACGAGCCGTCTCCTGAGTTGAACACCCCCACAGAAGCAGATACACCACCGCGAGAAGTGGCTAACGGTGAGGCTCTAATTCGACAAGAAGAAGACCACCGTCTTACAGAGTTTCCCTCCACACTCCGCTTATCAATACAGGACAGGGCTGCTCGACTGCGATTAGCCAAAGCCAGACGACAGGCTGCTCGACGTTCCCGACACTTAGGACTCAAGCGATCTGCCAAAGCCAGACGACAGGCTCCAGCACAAACACGTCTTGGCGGAAAAGACCATCGTCTCACGCAAGTCGATGTGACGCAAGGGCATCAGTTCACCCCCGGTGCAGACCTTGGAGCTGAGAATCTGCCTCCAACGGAGGATCTCACCGGGCAGAGCCCACTTGAAGCGGTGGTGGCGGACGAGAGGGCGCAAACACTCGCCCAATTAGAACAGCCTCCAGCCGTCTCTGAACCAGCCGTTGCTGATCCTGCCAATCCACCTCTGCCTTCGATGCCAGAATTGATTGCTCGGTTGCGTGAGTCTGAAAGCCCGATGGAAGGGAATCAAGGAGATGCAATTGGGAATCCTCCACAGGAGCATCCTCAGGAAGAGCTGCGGCAGGAACGCAGTGAACAGCCGAGCCGAGAAGCTGCGAGGCCGGAAGCAGTGACTGACGACGGGGAACCCCGTCGAAAAGTCCCGATAGACAAGAGAATCGCTGAGGAAGCACGACGTCGACGAGAAGCCAAGCAGCGGGTAGAGAATACTCCGCGAGCAGCCCAGGAACTCGAAAATGACTTCACTCAGACCCAGAGCGGGGACGATCTCTTCAATGACGACGACAATAGTGAGCCCGCGCCGCTGGAAGGCAATCCTGCTGCTGCTGCTGGTGGAGAAAGTCAGCAGCGTCCATCAACCAGCTCACCCAGCCAACCGCTTAAGGCTGGGCGAAAACAATTTGCTCGGCATGCTCGCCAGCGTCCATATGGGCGTCCGATCGAGAAAGGCCAAGGCGACCGGGATAGACCACTCACGCAGATCAATATGCAGCTGACTGCTTCCGATCAACCCACCATTGCCTACGGAAATCCGCCACTACCGTCCCTTCCTCCGGATGAGCAACGGTTGACCGAGAACCCGCCCAACACGCTTCCAGTTCCCCAGCCCAGTGATGGTAGTGTCGAGCGCAGGAGGAAAGCAGCCAACCTGATTCGGGAACGGCGGCCACCCGGTGTTGCCAGTCCTCACGAGCCGTCCAAGGATCTGGTCATCTTCCGGGAATGGACTGGGACTCGGTGGATGGAGCACACGAGAGTTGCCGCTGATCAATCCGACCCGCTCCGCGTCGAGCGCGAAGCCAAGCGCTTTGTGGAAGCTCATCACGCGCAGCTACGAGACGCGCGGATGCGCATCCTTATGCCTTCACAATGCCTTGCGTCGGCTCGACAGGATGGGAGCCATTCCGTGTTTCTGATCTTTGAGAATAAGACCATTACGCCCGTCATGGAAAAGGAGGCAGCGTTGTTCATGCACTCCAGACACCACCGCCCTTAATATTCGCTGCTCTGGCTCCGATGTGACTCAATGATGCGAGGCCGTATGGATAGCTTGGCCGCGAGACCGCGTCTCGGCGGCTCGTCAGGCTCATTGGCCACTGGGGAGACACGGTGGCAGCCAGGTAGCGGGCTGGGCTCCATGGCCGGGGCCATATGGCCCAGTGCGCTACCTGGACGGGTCTATGCGTCCATGCCCAGATGTACTTGGCCTTAACGCCCCCGCCTACGGTCCAGTGCTCTATGTCTACATCCATTTGGCCCTCCCAGACACGTAGACTTGTCTTTACGGCGGATCAGGCCATGAGGCTCTCGACCAGTGTCCCACTACGACGTAGGGCCAGCCCAGCCATATGGTTACCGCATCTTGAAAATTCTTACCTAAGCCTCTCGCGATCAAGAGATGGACTATCTAGAATGTATACGATCTTGAGATGCGTTTACCAGGTGACAGAGGTGCCTATGATTCATTTGATCCTATGAACGGATTCCTAGGACGCAGAGTTCTAACGTAGGCAAAGGGCTACACAGCCTCTAGTCGAACGGCTGTAGATGTCCTTTAAGGCTTTTGCTTTTAATGTGCTATTCCCAACATCAGGCTGAATCAGCTCTCCGGGAGGCTACACTGGTTAACAACTTGACCGTCCTATCACAATCAGATTGCTGAGTCGTTTACCTGTTCGAGAAATATACAGCTTTAGTCATCCGCCTGTAGTTAACTGAGTTAGCTATTCAACTAGACAAGACCTACCCTACGATCGGAAAGACTCCGGATACAGTTTCTGTCAATCAAATCAATACTTTTGAACATGGAGCTGAGTCATTCGCCCGTCCCTAGAAACATGAAGCTTAGTCATCCGCCTGTAGATTGTCTTGGCTGGAGTGCCGTCTCGCGTTGATCCTCTTATGGCAAAGAGTGGTGCGAGAAGATTGTCTTGAGACAGTTCTCTTGAGATAAACATTTTATTCCTGGTGTGACGGATTGACCTTAATGGATCGGCCGATCCGACCCACGTGGTTTGGGAGAAGGCATCCGATACTTGATGTGATCCATGACAGCAAACATTGGACAATCTGTGTCGTGTCTCTTTTGTCTGGACTCGGTAGATGATACGAGACAGCTGGATGCCTCAGACATCCGTTCTGGCTGCAGGATCGTCTTGAACTGTTTATCCTGGTGAATATCTCACAGCTGCTTCTTTCTGTTCATGCTAATTTTATCTCATACTGAGCCGGTTGGTTGGGGGCTTTATGCGGCCTTAACTTGTTTCGCTGCGTTGTCGATGAGGACTCCTTCATGACAATGTTCAGTGGCGAGAGTGTGGTTTCCTCCCGGGGATCCATGAAGTTTACTCATCTGTCCGTGGAGCCCCACAGCCCCACAGCCCCTATCCTAGGCCTATTAGAAAATTCTGTGCCTGAATCTGCACATGCCTGTTTTGGTCTTTGATCGTCGTACTCCCCAAAGGTTTTTCTTCTCGAAATTACAGATACATGCTTCATGAGGTATCTCGATCGTTTCGATCGACCATGGCACCCGGCGCGAACAATGGAGATTATACAAAGAAGAACTTGATGGACCTTCCAGCTGAAGTATTACAGCTAGTGTTTGAAAACGTATGGAGCCTCTCTTCACACAGTCAGACTCCATATTGATGATGGTTTAGCTGGAATCATGGGGGGCCTTATGGGCACTCTATTATGCTTCCCAAACGCTGCGAGCTCACGTAATTCGACCACTCTTCCGGGAGACACTGATCGGGTTCCAGAAGGATGTCCCAGTATCTCTGAACAGCAGGAAGCTGCCAATCAGGACAATATTTAACATACTGTTGAGAGAGCAATCGCATATACAAGACCTATACATAACGCCGTCCTCAGCCACGAGTTCTCTGAGTTTACTTGACTTCCTGGGACGGCTCCCAAACTTGAAGTGTTGTGTGTATGGTGACTCCCGTCCCGTTTATGTGGATGTATAGTTGCTATGGGATTCTGCATGGATCGTGTTGATGCTGACTTTTGAAAGAATTGACCAGGTTAGAGACAATGGAGACTCAAACCCGAAAAAAGATTCTTGTTCTGAGTCTTATGCGCCGGACATATCCTTCAGCCTCTTGCCCTCTTGCTCCTTCCAGTCATTAGAACGCCTCGTTTTATCTGCAAGTTCCACTTGGACGACCCCAAACTTACCCGCTCTCCGTGAAATTTCAATTTATTGCGAGGACATCGGTAGCTCTTCTATTATCATAGACCTCACGAAGCTACCTCGGCTATCATCCTTTGAATTAGAAGAGTACGCAGGCGAGGGCCTAACGCTTTTGGGGCCATCCCAGACAGTAAGGAAGGTTATTTTCACGGTTTCCAATATCGAATTGAGCTTCCTCCAAAATCTGGGACAAAACATCGAAGAAATCGACCTGTACAGCGAAATTCGAAATCGCCTCCCGCCTTCAACTCTCATCAATTGTTTTGCGGCCCCACTTCTAGGACGTTAGTGCCTCGGCATGCCCCACTGATGTATTGAACATACCAGCACTGTTTCATTCTAGAACATTCGATTATTTACAATTACGCCGGATTACATACAGCGTAGGTGCCCACCAAAATTCATTGGCAAACTCGCTTTCTCCCACATGCAATCTCGTAGATAAGGTGATCGAGTGTTCCAAATGGCTCCGAATCTGGCAGCATCTCAGCATGAGCTCATTCGTGACATGATCCTAAGCAAGTCATTGACTACCGCTCAAATGGCCGATGTAGCCGGGTGTAGTGAGCGCAGCATTCGATACATTCGTTCGAACCTGCGATGTTTCGGCAGTGTCAAGGCTCCTCCAAATAGTGCCGGCCGACCACGAACAGTGACCCCACTGATGTTGGACGCGCTTCGTGACCATCTCCTTGAAAAACCAGATCTATATCTGGAGGAAATGGCGATTTTCCTGTGGGATGAATTTGACACTTTAGTGACCACCTCTAGTATTAGGCGAGCGCTTGTATCGATCGGATGGTCTAAAAAGGTGGCTCGTCGGATTGCGAAACAGCGCAATGCAGATTTGCGAGACTATTATGTCCACAATCTGTCAGATTTTCGTTCGTATCATCTTGTCTATGTTGATGAGTCAGGGTGCGATAAGCGGGCTGGATTTAGACGTACAGCTTGGTCTCCTGTTGGTGTAACACCAGTGCTAGTCTCTCGGTTTCGCCGTGAACAGCGTTATCAGATCCTGCCAGCGTATGCTCAGGACGGCGTTGTTCTTTCACGTGTCTTCCAAGGATCTACTGATACTTCAGTATTCGAGGACTTCATTGAACAACTACTCCAGCACTGTGGACGGTGGCCCGAGCCTAAATCTGTGCTTGTGATGGATAATGCGTCATTTCATCACTCTGGGCGCTTGGAGCAGATGTGTAGCGATTTTGGAGTGAAGTTGTTATACCTGCCTCCCTACTCTCCAGACCTAAATCCTATTGAAGAAATGTTTGCGGAATTAAAAGCCTTTATCAAGCGCAATTGGAAGGTTTATGAAGAGGATCCGGATCAAGGATTTGATAATTTCCTGGAATGGTGCGTTGATACGGTGGGTGCGAGAACAAAGAGTGCAGAGGGCCATTTTCGCCATGCTGGAATCACTGTAGAAGAAATATAGATACGTGTACTGTTAATAGAGTTCGATAGGACATTCGAGAGCCCCCGCCACCAACAACAGACATACTATATTAAGCATCATCTATACGATATCTTAAACCACTTCTTTTGGCATCTGCGAGGCTGCCAATTAAATCAAGAAGGTGACTGATACTGGGATATGGTGAACTCTGTAATGCCAGTGGTACCGACAGTGATGGTGAAGGGATCCATGTCTTCTGGAATCGTACAGTAAAGTGATCAAACTCCATAAAGCAGTAAGAATTTCGAATATGAGTACTACAGAAATCAGGCGGATCTATCATGTTCCATCTACGGAGGCGGGGCAAGCTCTCTTCGTTCCACACGGATGTTTTGGCGTTTCCCACGACCAGGCGGGGACATTGGACAAACTCATTGTGGAACGTGGAACGGCCCGGTCCTTTCTCACGCCCACTATGTGTCGGAATATCTTTGTTCCAACCGAGGGCAACCGAAGTTGGGGCTTGCCGCATTAAACCAGCCAATGGTAGCCCGAGATGCGATATCACACCCCATATGTCAGAGTGCCGGGACAAAACTGTAATTAGAATGCGATCATACGTCCGACTTAGAAGGGACATCCATGCCAACCAGAAAAAGCAGGCTCTAAATGTGATGTACCTTCCAAATCATCATCGGTCGTCATGGCTCCTGCTGAATATCAGACTACATTCTCGAACTCACCCAACTACGCACTTCAAGTCGGCCATAACGTTGGGAATATCGAGACCCACCATCACTATACCGCTGGTGAGTCGCTGTTTTATTCGCCATGGCAAGTCATGACAAGACCTCAAAGGAAAGGAAAGACTAATGGAATCTACGACTAGACGATCCTTTAACTCGCCTCGTATACTCCAAAAACGCCCGATTCAACTCTAATTATCGACAGCACGCGCAGATCTGCCACGAGAATACCCGAACTGACCTCCTGCGAGACATATATAACTGGGTAGACGGGGAAGATGAGCGACACATTTTTTGGTTAAAAGGATGGGCTGGTACAGGCAAATCGACTATCGCACAGACAGTAGCAAAGCATTACTTTGACCAAAATCGACTCGCAGCAAGCTTCTTCTTCTCACGAGGCGGAGGCGATGCAAGCCATGCAGGCCTTTTTGTCACGAGCATCGCGGTTCAACTTGCAAATGATGTACCACTCCTTCGAGACGCAGTTTGTATGGCGATTACAAAATGTAGCGACGTGACAACTCGATCACTATCTGATCAATGGCGTCGACTGGTTCTTCAGCCCTTCTCAAACCTCGAAGTGACGCACAATCCATCTTCATACCTCGTCGTCATTGATGCACTAGATGAATGCAGTAGCGAAAATGACATCCAAACAATCCTCCAGCTCTTATCAGAAGCTCGACAGTTTACACCCTTGCGCTTACGTTTCTTGCTTACCAGTCGACCTGATACAGTGATTCGCCGGGGCTTTCAAGAGGTGCCGACGGTTGAACGTCAAGAAGTCATTCTTCACCAAATAGAACGTGCTCTAGTCAATCACGACATTGCTCTTTACTGCAACTATGAGCTTGCTCTTATTCGGCAAGAACAGTATCTAGAGCCGGACTGGCCTATCCCAGAGGAAATTCAACGACTTGTTGATAAGTCGAGCGGCCTCTTCATCTGGGCTGCCACGGCATGTCGATACATCCGCCAGGGACGAAATAATGCTGAAGAACGGTTATCCATGGTTCTAAATACGCGGATACATGACTCCGGGCCAGAAAAAGAACTTGATGCGATTTACACAATGGTTCTTATGAACTCTGTCCCTGAGAATTTCAGTAATGAAGAGAAGGAAAAGTTATATGTGCGGTTGGGTCATTTACTGGGTAGTGTTGTGATTTTATTCGCGCCGCTTTCCATTCATGCTTTACATATGCTATTGGACATCTCCGTCAACCAGATCAAAAGAACGGTTATTGATCTCCATTCAATACTTCACGTTCCACTAGAAGAAAACAATGAACTTCGATTACATCATCCCTCGTTCCGAGACTACCTGGTCAACCCCACCAGATGCGGCCTAGAAAATCTCCAAGTCAGCGAGAAAGGTGCGCATAGGAGGTTGTTGCTCGATTGCTTGCGTCTCATGACAGCAACCTTGAAGGAGAATATATGCGACCTAGATTATTCTAACCCTGGCATCCTGCGAGCGGACGTGGAAGAGAGACATGTCCAACAATCTATTCATCCTGCGCTTCGTTATGCATGTCTCTACTGGGTGCAACATCTCCAAAGAAGCGGTGAAATGATATATGATAAGGATCAAGTCGATGATTTTATGAGACAACATCTCCTAGCTTGGCTAGAAGCCCTGAGCTGGATGGGAAGAGCTGCAGAAAGTATACAAGCGGCGACTTGCCTACAGTCTATTGCATCAGTAAGAGAGCCTAAAATACTTATCAAACATTAACTAAGCTTTTTACAGACCAATACCTGCCCCTTATTCTGTCAATATATCCAGGATGCCAAACGCTTTATATCCTATACTTATCCTATCGTGGAACATGCACCCCTCCAATTATACCTCAGCGCATTGATATTCACACCGGAGAGTAGCCATGTCCGTAGTCATTTTCAACAAAGAGTCTTCAGGTGGATGAAGAAATTGCCAGCTATGGAGAAGAACTGGAGTTCTTTACTTCAGACACTTGAGGGCCATACTTACTCAGTGAGGGCGATCGCCTTCTCTCCAGATGGGACCATGCTGGCGTCAGCATCCGATGACGATACAGTCCGGCTCTGGGATACAGCTACAGGGAGTGCGCGCCAGACACTTGAGGGCCATACTCGCTCAGTGAGGGCGATCGCCTTCTCTCCAGATGGGACAATGCTGGCGTCAGCGTCCTATGACCGTACAGTCCGGCTCTGGGATACAGCTACAGGGAGTGCGCGCCAGACACTTGAGGGCCATACTGACTGGGTGAGCGCGATCACCTTCTCTCCAGATGGGACGATGCTGGCGTCAGCATCCGATGACCGTACAGTCCGGCTCTGGGATACAGCTACAGGGAGTGCGCGCCAGACACTTAAGGGCCATACAAGCTCAGTGCCTGCAATCGTCTTCTCTCCAGATGGGACCATGGATACGTGGCAGACACTAAAGGACTTTACTCGCCCAACAAAGCTGCTCGCCTTCTCTCCAGATGGGACCATGCTGGCATCAACGTCTAATTGCACAGTCCGGCTCTGGGATACATCCACAGAGAATGCGCGCCAGACACTTAAGGGCCATACAATCTCAGTGACTGCAATCGCCTTCTCTCCAGATGGGATAATGCTGGCATCGGCGTCTAATAACTCTACAGTCCGGCTCTGGGATACAGCCACAGGGAATACGCGCCAGACACTTAAGGGCCATACTCGCCCAATAAAGCTGCTCGCCTTCTCTCCAGATGGGACTATGCTGGCGTCAGCGTCCGTTGACTGGACAGTCCGGCTCTGGGATACAGCCACAGGGAATCCGCGCCACACACTTAAGGGCCATACTGACACGGTGAGCGCGATCGCCTTCTCTCCAGATGGGACTATGCTGGCATCAATGTCCTATGACGATACAGTCCGGCTCTGGGATACAGCCATAGGGAATACGCGCCAGACACTTAAGGGCCATACAAGCTCAGTGACTGCAATCGCCTTCTCTCCAGATGGGACTATACTGGCGTCAGCGTCCAATGACTGTACAGTCCGGCTCTGGGATACAGCCAAAGCGAATGCGCACCGAGTCTTCCGGTGGTTGAAGAAATTGCCAGTTATGGAGAAGAACTGGAGTTCTTTATTTCAGACACTTGAGGGCCCTAGTCTCTCAGTGAGGGCGCTCGTCTTCTCTCCAGATGGGACCATGCTGGCATCAGCTTCCTATGACGATACAGTCCGGCTCTGGGATACAGCCACAGGGAATACGCGCCAGACACTTAAGGGCCATACTGGCTCAGTGACCGCGATCGCCTTCTCTCCAGATGGTACCATGCTGGCGTCAGCGTCCAGTGACTCTACAGTCCGGCTCTGGGATACAGCTACAGGGAATACGCGCCAGACACTTGAGGGCCATACTCGCTCAGGGAGGGCGCTCGCCTTCTCTCCAGATGGAGCCATGCTTATTACCGATAGAGGTAGAATACACGTCAACTCTAACGACTTAACTAGTCATTCCCAACCACAACATTTGGTTCCTGCTCCTGAGGTGGTAATTGAAAACCCATGGATTGCCTGTAAGGGATACAATATTCTCTGGCTTCCACCAGAATACAGATCTAATGTGTCTGCTGTCTATGCGACTAAGGTTGCCATCGGGTGTTCTTCGGGCCAAGTTCTTCTCTTTGAACTAGATATTTTCTAAACTCTTCAGTGTGTTGTTTGACATAGACTGGAAAATGGATGACTCAACGGCGGGACAGCCTACTCTCGCACGTTCGATGGGTACATGAATTCTGATTTATAGGAACATGAAAGGAGAAAAATCACTTCCTTTATATGTTAATCTCTATGTAAGGCAAACATAGTCACCTGTTATTGACGAGGACGCTAGTTTCTTCACGGCGGTAAGTTCAAGATACGTATTGGATGCCGCATAGCCAGTCCGTTTTCTACCTGCGTCCTAGTTGCTTCAATTTGGAGCTACTAGCAGGATGATAAGTCTGGTCTCAAATTTGGTACCCAGAATTTAGTTGATTGGTGTTAAAGAGCTTTTGCCGTAGCTCGGTATTTATGATCTAAAAGTAGAAGGCGCTTAATGTGATTTACATTCTAAGCACCAGAGTGCCACTTAAAAATAGAAACATTGGAGGCAATCTTAGCGCGATATTACCAGACTCGACCTAGCACTAACCCGCGGTTTGAGGTTACGTGGCTCCACTTCGCTTGTGAGATCACGAGCGAATGTGGGTACTTTCTGGGAAATAATATAAACATGGCCTAACCCTGGTCACCGTCAATTCATGTTACGTGTACCAAACAAAAAACGTATCTAGCAGGATTCCGACGCATCTTATCAACCATGCAGTCTACTCGCGATGACCCAATTGTCATAGAACGGCGAATGAAATTTGATGATCTTGCATGGGAAAAAAGCGACAATGTTTCCAGAAGCTGGAGAGATAATCTTTTTAATGAAAAAGTTTTTCGAGAGATTGGGGGGTTCATTATCCGGCACAGAGGCGGTCCAGCAGAAGAACTTTTCAACCCACAGAAAGGTTCTTTTAATATAATGTTCCGCATGAAGTTTTTGGATGGTGGTTCTGCTATCATTCGCTTTCCAATCCCTGGGGTGTCTATGTTTCCGGAAGAGAAAGTGCAAAGAGAAGTGTCCGTAATGCGATTTATTGAGCGGCATACCAGTATACGTGTCCCTCATGTCCTTCATTATGGCATGACTGAAGGCAGTCCAGCCGGACTCGGCCCTTTCATTGTCATGGAATATATCGAGAACGACTCTGATCTTGTTGACGCACTCAATACCCCAGGTCTGCAAGATGATGAACGGTGCGTTCTAGATCCAAATGTTCCAGAAGATCGACTACGATCAGTGTACGGTGATTTGGCGGATATCCTGCTCCAGCTGGCCAGGAAATCATTCAATGAGATTGGTTCCATCACGAATCAGGAAGATGACGAATTTGATGACGAGTGGACAGCCGCATACCGGCCCCTCACCTTAAATATGAACGAACTTGTTCAACTTGGAGGCGTTTTTCCAGAACAACTGCCGCAGACAAATTTTAGGACTGCTTCTGCATACTTCCTGGCGCTTGCAGATATGCACATGATCCACTTATCTATGCAGCGCAATGATGCAATCGAATCAGCAGAAGACTGTAGACGCAAATATCTAGCTAGATGTTTGTTTCGGAAGTTAGCGCAGGAAAATCGGTTATGTTCCTATGATCAAGGTCCATTTAAGTTCTTCTGTGATGATTTTCGACCCGCCAATGTGCTTGCAAATTCTCAGTGCGGTTTCAAATCGGTGGGAGCCATTGATTGGGAATACTCCTACGCCGCTCCTGTGGAATTTGTTCACAGCCCACCGTCCTGGTTACTTCTAGAGCGCCCAGAATACTGGAAAGGAGGTCTTGAGGACTGGACGCAAACCTATGAAAAGCGTCTTTCCGTGTTCTTGCAGGAACTACAGAAGAAAGAAGATAACCTAATCGAACGGGAAATACTGACTGAAGGCGATCGCCTCTCACAACACATGCTAAAAAGCTGGCAGAATGGGGATTTTTGGGTGTGTTATGCCGCTCGAAGGAGCTGGGCTTTTGATATGGTATATTGGGCAAAGATTGACCGCCGGTTCTTTGGGGATGGTAATCTGGAGGACAGATTAAACTTACTCAGTACGGAAGAGAGAGACGCTCTTGATGATTTCGTGAAGAGGAAGCTTGAAGAGAAGGACGCTCGCACTCTATAACTCAGCAAGTTTGACTAATTAGTTATCTGGCCTACAAATGACAGTATTATTAGATGACAATCCCGGATATAGAGAATTTGCCCCTGGAATTTGTAATCCATCTCCATCCTCTAACGCAGTGGATTAGATACAAAGACAGACCGTTGATAGTTCAAGATTGGGATACTGGCGCGGAAAAGCAGACAGTCGGTCCTTATCGTTGCAATTAGGGCAATGGTATTTCGTCATTTTGGAGACCTGAGCATTTCTTTGAACCAGGAGCGCAAGATCAGCTGCGAATCCAGCCGTACTTTCAAGTACACGCCGAAAATAATCTTCTTCCTGTAGCTCATCAATATGCTCCGTGGATATAGTGAGGGGGTCTCAAAGACCTCGGTCTGTTTTCAGCGCTTGCCGCCTCATTATGGAGTATCAATCTAACGCCTCGACAGCCACCCATTTTCCCAAGTTAGCCAGGATTCGCAGTATTTGTCTCACCTCGGCTCCTTCGTTCATTCTATCTCAAACTTGAGCTACGACCACAGAAACAGAGTGACTGCACAGGATGTGCTCATCCTAAAGAAGAAAGAGACATTTGAGAGACGTATATGTTCTTCGCTTGCAATGGATTGTCTTCCCAGTTTTAAATCAGTGGTATGTCAGCAACAACCTGCTTCTCATGTGAGATTATATGGTGTATATTTTGCTGCTTCGACTTATCTTTGATCCAATAACCACTGCTTTTCTCCAACGGTAACTAATGGTTACTCGTCTACTTGTGGGAGCTATATTTAGTTACTGGAACGTAGTCGTCCTTATGTCATCGATGTGTTGCAATTAAACTTTAATTTCCCAAAATCAGATACCCAAGTCATTTATCTGTCCAAGGCATGCGAAACAGAAGAGCTTAGTCATGACTGGAGAGAGAGCTCCACCAGCTGGCTTACTCATTACCCTGTGAATGGCGATCAGGGCCCGAACCACTCATGCATTGCCTACTAACTGAGTCATCCAGATAGCCTTAAGTTAATGGTCCTTTGGGCCTCAGCCAGGGCTGGGCCGCGCTATATTGCTTGCTGTCAATACGCCTAATAATGCAATGACCGTTACTATTCCCTAACCGATTGCATTTTACCTGGGTGAAAGAAGTTGTATTTTTGGGATGTATAGAATGTATCGATAATAAACACCACGGCGCTTGTATCTCACTCGGAGTCTTAACGAGATAATCACCCATCCGTTATGGTCAACTAGTTTTCTGATCTGCAGACTGCGAAACATTAAGCTTAGTTACTGGTATGTTAATAGTATGTTAATAGTATGTTGTAAAGTTTTACTTATTTTTCTAGGACTGGCGATCAGTGTCTAGGCCAATCATGCATTGAAACTGGGGTCTGAGTCATCAGCCAGTGAGGGTCATCCACGCTATATAATCGCTTGGTATCCATGCGCCCTGAACGACAACTACCGTGGTCAATAACTGCCATTTATATCAGACTTTACAAGATGATCATCAACAAGCAACAACGCCTCCAGAGTGGCAGCGGGCCTGCGGAAATGCAGGATGAAGGTCATTCTGACAATCCAGAGGATAGTTCAGACAGCGACTTTGAGAGAATCTGTAAGAACCCGCTCGAGAAAGCTTTCTTTGACAAAAAGCACATCGAGAAACTGCTAGCATCCGGTACCTTCGTGATCATTCTTCAGACAGTACGGAGCAAAAATAGTCACTGTCGCGCGTGGAACTGCCCACCAAGGATAATAACCGGCATGCCGAACATACGGTCAGATTTTCGGTTCAACCTTAAGGATTTATCAGGCCGACATTATCGTAAGTTTTGCCCTGCGGGACCATAAAAACAATAATTAACAAAATTAGAACCCAATCAATATTATCATATCACGTGTATGGAACAAATCTTCCTTGACCTTTCTCCGCTAGTGCGTAACGGCCAGCTGAAGATGGAGGGAGGCATTACTTCTGTGAACCGGTTTTGTTGGAGTGTAGAACGCTTCCATAGCGCAATTGAGGATTGGTTCGAGTACGCCGGTCGCACATTTGATGTGAAATGCTATGAGAATTACAACAAGGCCCATGAGAAGTGGAGCCGGAAATCAAGCGTCATCATGATTGACCATCAACTGAAAAACCATGAGGGTGATACCGAAAATTGCGAACAATGCGAAAATATACCAGATGAGCCGTGCAAATGTGATTACTTCCCCAGAGAACCTCGAGCATACGCGCTTAGTGAAGTGCTTGCATCAGTTGCAGGTGTACCACATGTCGACGGATTATTACGGAAAAGTCCCAAGCGGAAGAAAAACCATCAGAGGCAAGATCAAGAAAGTCCAATAGCAGTACAACCAGGATGTCCTGAGAAACGTGTCAAAGCTGCCTAAACGGTTATATACAAGATTAGAGCGTATTCGGAGTGAATTCTAGTCTCAGGGTTGATGAGCTTGATGAGACCTAGTGAATAGCATTCCTGAAGTCGTCTTTTCCTGACATCTATCACCTTCCTTTAAAGCAGTGAAGTGGATACAAAGGCAAAGGGACTATTAATTGTTACAGTTTTCCATAAACGGATCTTAATTCCACTCTTTACCTGGAGCATCCTCAATCTTTTACGTTTATTGCGTAGGTGACAGGATCTTGGCCATTAGGGTTAGGGTGGATGGCATTACAGTCGTGCTCAATCTGTGCCGAGTATCGATCCAATAGTACAAATCCATAATGGGGATATACCAGCAGAGGGCGTAGCTCTATGTAATCAACTCTGTTACTTTAGTCCTCAAGGTTGAGTCCAACAGGATCATCCCAGCCGTAGGTTCATAATGGTAGTTTTAAAACCATGTGGACACTAAAACCTTGAGTCTCAACTTTAATAGATTATAGACCCACTGGGCGTCTTAAACTATGCGTATCAACATGCATTGGGTTGGAACCAACCGAATTACTCTGCCAGGTATCTCGACTATCGTTTTGCCACTATTGCAGTTGGTCTTGGCGTCTTTCATTGGACAGTCTCCTTTTTCTGGACACTGTGAATGATACTAGACATCTGGGTGTCTAAGACATCCATTCCGGCTGCAAGATCATCTTGAACTGTTTGTCCTGGTGAATATCTCACAGCTGCTTCTTTTTCATGCTTTTTACGGAGCAATGACAGAGGCGTCCTGGTTATACCCCAAACATGAGGGTACAGTAGTGTCGGCTCTATATCTTGGCTTCTCTCCTAGCACTGCCGTCTCTAGTCATCTTCTATATTTCTCCCAAGACTAGTCTTCCGCGCATCTTAGGGTGGAATATTGAGCTTATCACACTAATTCATACGAGCGCGAACCACGAAACTTGTGAACCATGAGGCATAACAACTTGCTATTGGCTATCAGGTGACCTACATACACGTGACATGCATGCAGGGATGCATCATCTAGTGCCACTCCACGTCATGCAACCCGACAAAAGTGTTTATGTCTCTGCCGGATATCTACCTTTCCTGGATATCTGCCATAGAGGGCAGGGCTTGTTGAAAAATATCTTCCGCTTCATCAAATCTAATAATACATAACAAAAGATGTCGCCACAATGGACAGATAGCCATTTGTCCTTGTCCTCCAAGCAGTCTGGACAGTCCAACCTCTTCCGGGCCTTTTGCCCATCGAAAGTTGTTGAAGTCCATGATTCCCCGATTGCGAGGAACGTAAATCTCTTCTGACTCGGGCAATTTTTTCGAGTCACAGACTGACTAGATGCTCATATAGTTCTTCCTTCTTCTGCTAACTTTATTCGCCTTCTTTCTCTGGAGTGACCTCATCAGATCTTTTATTTCAGTGTCGCTAGATAATGTCCAGGGACGTGGCCAACTGCTGATTCTCACTAACACCAAGTCTTCTTCGATGCGGATCCCATTTTGTAGCCGATCCTCGGTCATAAAAAACTTTATCCCGTAACGGGAGATAAGAGCGGCTGGAAGCTTTTGAAGCATTTCTCCTCGATGGTAGATATATTTTAGAAGGCGTTGTTCTGATTCTGCTTCCGAGAAATGCATATTTTCCTTGCTGAGTTTGTACAAAAGGTATTCAAGCGGTGCAAAAGTAGAAGGAGACTCTGGATGCTTCTCAGGACGACGATAGTGTTTCACAGATAGTCTGAACGAAGATAAGAGAAACGGTGGGCGGTGTTCATAGATTTGTGTCAAGAAGTTGATGGCGTCTTGTTTGCGATCATCCAACACTAAAGACCACGCCAACCCCATTGCAATTGGAATGAGTAACTCTTCAAGATCCTTTTCATAGAGGTATTTCCAAGCATCTGTGAAAATCTGAAGAACAACATCCCGGTTGACACAAGCGCTTTTGATAGCAACGATCAACTGCTGAATTATCAGACCTGGTCCTAACAATCCATGTTGACGGTCATAGCGAATTGCGTTTTGAAGAATAGTCGAAAAGATCGAAGTGATGATGCTTTTCTCATTATCCTGATAACACGAATATAGATCCCGACAAGTTTGCATCGCTGAAAGGAGGCTGTTGAAGTCAGGGAGGTTTTTGAACACCATTGCAGTGAGTTCGGGGAGTGTCAAAAATCGTTGTTCCATCGTGAAGTAATTGCCTGCGCTCAAGGAAAGTATAGATCATCATACCTTGCTGGATCAACAAGTAAATGAGGAAAAAGAAAACCGAGGGTCAAAGTAGAAATGAGAGGCATATATATATATATAATTATGAGCTACAGCTTGCCCCACATCGCACTGCTACGGAGGTTTAGGCGGCACTGCGCCACAGAAAATGTGGACACTTCACTGTCACCTTTCTCTGTCCCCTCTAGGGCATCTGAGATAGTAACTTTGATAGAGGAAATTCCTATTCTAGCTATGCAGCGGCTATTAATACACTTTTCGAGATTCTAGGGCCAGCTTTTCCTGAATACGTCCTCTGATGACAGTGCCGTGGGCGTCCTCGGCATGACTGAGAAGATCCATTTTGTCTTGTATTGGAGCTGTATCACACACATGACACACAACTCGATTGGATGACCATTGTGGGTTCACGTGTTTTCGCAAAAAATGCCGGGTTAGCGAGCCGGGCGTGGCGTACTTTGTAATTCGATCTTTTACAGGAATATTGGGATTTCCAACGCAGACAAAGCAGATAGTCGGTCGATCTTCCGGGGATGTGACTCGAACAGAATCGATCGCGTGACGCAGGGCATTCTCTGTCTCCTCCTTGATGACGACCCGCTGCCGTTTAGCAGAACAGTGAGAGTCTTCGTCATCAGGTGCAGGTCGGCGAGGAGACTGAGCCGCTCGACGTGTGGGTCGGCCTTCTTCCACACCACAAAACACAGTGCCTGCATTGATTGCCGCAATCCGGCGCTGATACTCTGCCTCGAGAGTTTTACCCGGTATAGCCATCATGCAGTCAATGAAAGCCAGATGCTGCGCAGACATCGAATCCCGGTCCTGTAAGGTCTTCTTGACCCGAGGAGTGACCATCAACCCTGCCAGCTGGCATTCCAAGTCGATCACGGGTTGTTCATTCCGGTAACGCTCCAGATTCTCTCGAATCCGTTGGTTCCTTTGTCGTTGCTTCTCATTGCGTAGTGCACGAACCGCTCGGTTGTGCCGTCGCTTCGCTTCCATTGTCCGGTCATGGGAAACTTCCAACTTATCTCGCAGCCGACGTTGGCGTTTGGCTTGGCGTTTGGAAAGCGCTCCTTCATCGAGATGGCCAAAGAGGGCTTTGCAGGATATACGGTATCGCTCATACTTGGCTGCTTGAGCGTCCCATTTCCGTTTCCGTCTATGGACGGTATCCTGCCGTGCACGTACCGCCGGAAGATCGTTAATGGACCTAGATTCTTCGGTCGACAACTTGTATGGCCGATTTGGGTCGATGGACGCACTGAGCGAGCATGCAAATCGTACCAATGGCGTTTGGGACCCTGTCTTGCGGATAATGCCCTGGGCGTCCACGTCCACATCGACCTCATAATGTCTGATGAACGTTCGAATATCCGAGTGCTGCATCATGACATTTTGCAAGGCATCCGAGATTTCCTCTGTTCGCCATGTGAGCGGGCCGGTCGAATTGGTTGGGAAATGCACTTACCACTATTATTGAACTCCTTGGCTCCCGCATACCGAAGAAGATAGGGTTTAATAATGTCTTCAAAGGCTGTGATCTCGCCAACACGACGCATTTGAGATCGCAATGTTGAGCTGAGCATTCTCTTTTCCAAGACAATCCGATATCCGGTTGTCTCCCGCTCCACCTGACAAAACACATATTTATCCAAGATTTCGTCCTTTAATTTCAGGTCCTGCTGATTTAAGCCGTCAACAATGCCGACGCTATAGAGTGCCTTTGCATTGTCCAGTACGGGACCAGTCTTTGTGATTCTCTTGAAGCCATCAATGTGGAATAACATGCTCAGCAGACAGACGTGCGGACTAAGAGTCAGTGTTGGGTCAAAAATAATTTCTGGGATTTTGAACTCGTTCCTGGGCAGTCAGCAGACCAGGCTAATAGAAATTTTCGGAGGCACCTACGGAGCTTTCTTCCCAAGGAATCGCTTGGTGAAGTCCGGCTTCAAAAAAATAATCAAATTCGGTCGACCTCCTTCCGGATCACGGATAAGTTTGAGTCCCAGGTCCTGATAGCGAAGATGTAAGAGAGCTCCAGGACGGCTTGCCGTAATAGCAGCGAGCTGAGTGTAGAAAAGAAGTTGGATCCGCCGCCAACCACATCCAAAACTCGTTTCGGTGGTGGACAACAGGACACGCGCAAACTCGGATACATCTTCAATATACATATTCTTTTTTGGCCTTCGATCCTCTTTCAGCTTTTTCTCGGTCGCTACTAGTGCTATGACCTAGCCGAAGTCAGAAATTACACTGTTGAATAAGAAGGAGTCAAATGAGACAGACTTACATCCTCCACCTTGACGATAGTATCTTTGCTGAGTCCTGACAACGTCTCTTGCTTCAGAACAAGATGCCACCATTTCCAAAACGACTGAAGCGAACTCTTATATTTGATGCCGGGGCAATGTCGACCATTTTTTCCGCGACGAATATCGCACCGCCAGCTAAAGAAGGCACAAAGAAACTGCACCGTCTCATCAGAGTTGGAGATGAACCTCCATTGCTGTACGGGGTCCACACGAATGTGCCGGCAGAACCTACGAGGAAGCATTGGTGAGCTCTTGACAATACAGATGAGTTTAGGGCGACCTACCTATTCCAGTACTCACGGGTCTCATCCAACTTATCCTGCGTATTGGGACTGTACCGTTTCTGTCGAAGCTCAGAGACATTAAGATTCTCCGCTATGGCCAAATACTCTTCCGCAGAGAGCTGTCCTTCATCGTGGAGATCATCGTCATCTGAATCGCTCTCATCATCGGAATCCTCTTTGTCTGACTCCAGATCACTGGCAGACTCATCATCAGACCCGTTGTCTGAGAAGACTTGGCTCAGAACGGAGCTGGCATCACTGTCGCTCGCATCGTCTGAGGCGCTGACGGCCCGCCCACTATCACGTTTCGAGGGAGCCATGTTCGGTAATCAGGAAGCAGTGCTCGCAAGGCCAGGGACTAGTTGTAGAGGGGGAGGGGGGTGTAGGAAAGAAGAGAAGAAACAGAAGTCAGTCGAAGGGGGTGGAGACTCATTATAAGAAGAGCCATCCTTAGTGTTAGCGTTGAAAAACTGGTTATATACAGGGACAGTGACAGTCGATGCAGAGAACGACAGGTGGACTGTGGGTCACTGTTTCGAACGAAGGGTTGTTGGACGAGACGAACAAGAACAGAGTCGTTCATAATTAATGAGAAATAGCAGGAGCCCGCTAGTCTCAGCGCCTACAGTCTGCGAATCCACCTTTCGAAGTCAGAAGGGAAACAGGAAGACTACAACACTCATGAGTGATCCAGAAACTGAGCGCTGAGTCATTAGGGCTTTGCCAGGTCCCAGGCCGCGGTCACATGATCTTATAATGGCATGGAAAACGGACGTGGTGGGAAGGGAGAGGTGCGTGGCAAGAACGGAGGTCGCACGGGAGCCGGGACTTGGCAGGGCTTGGCGGTTAGTGAGCTGCTCAAAGCAGCGTGAAATATGGCCCATTTAGGCAGCTCGCTAACCGTCAGAACGTTATACTGAGGAAAGATTAGGAAAGATTAAGAAATAATATAAGAGAGAGATAAAGTGGTTAGGGTTAAGAATAATAGAGATATAAATAGAAATCAAAAAAATAAAAATAAAAATTAAATTAAAAGTAAATAGTGGGATATATATAGCGAAATAAATTATAAAAAAGAGAGTGGTTAGGGATAAGAATAATAAAAAAAGATTAAAATAAAGGAAATTATTATATGGTAAGAGAGAGAGATATATATATAGAAATAAGAGAATAAAAGAGATATAGGATAGAGAAGTAGTATAATAAGAAAATAGAAATCAAAATATAAAAAATAGTAAGAGATAAATAATAAAAAAAGTGGTTAGGGCTAAAATAATTAATGAATAAAAAATAAATTAAAGATAAGAAATAGAAAAAAAAAAGAGGTAAAGTTGGAAGTAGAAAATGGAGGAAAGAGTAAGAAAAATAAAATAAAAAAAGAATAAAAAGGGAGGAATTAAAATAAGAAATAAAAAGAGGAAGAATTTTAGAAAAAAAAAGAGAATAATAGAATGGAAAAAGAAAGTGATTAAAATAAGTAAGAATAAAGAAAATAAGAGATAATATTAAGAATTTAAAAAATAAATTTTAAAGTAAGATTAGAAAAAAGAGAAGTAAAAATAGTTAAAAAAAGGAAAAAGTAAGAAAAAGTGGTTAGGGAGGAGGAAGAAAAAAGAAAAAGTAGAGTGATTAAAGAGAAGATAAAAAAAAAAGAAAAAGAGAGTAATTAAAGAAGAGAATAAATAAAAAAAATAATTAAAATAAATATAAAATAATAAAAGAGAGCGGTGAATAAAAAGGAGAAGAAGTAAAAAGGATTAAGTGGTTAGGAAGGAGAAGCAGTAAGAAAAAAAAGATTAAAAAAGAGAAGAAGAAATAGATAAAAAGAGATAGAATAGTTAAAGGGAAAGAGAAGTGGAAAAAGAGAGAGTGGTTAGGGAGGAAGAGAAATGAAAAAGAGAAAAAATAAAGAATAAATAGAGAGAAAGAGTGGTTAAAGAGAAAAAGAAAAGAAAAATAGAAGAGAGAGAGAAAAAAGAGAAAGAGAAAAAGAGAAAGAGAAATAGATAAAAAAAAAAGAAAAAGAAGAATAGAGAGTGGATAGAGATAAGGAGAAGTGGAAGAAGGATTAAGTGGATAAGAAATAGAAAAAAGAGAGAAAGGGAAGTAGAAGAAAGATTGAGTGGATAGAGATATAAAAAAGAAGAAAAAAAAAATAGAAAAAGAGAAAGAGTAAGTAGGAAAGAGGAGAAGTAAGAAAAAAAAAGGAAATAAGAGAAATAAAAGGATAAATAAAAAAAGAAAGAAAAGAGAATAAGAAGTAAGGAAAATAAAAAAGAAGAAAAGAATATATGGAAAAAAGAAGAAGAAGTAGAAAAAGAGAATAAGTGGATGATAAGAAGGAAAAGAAGAAAAGAAG